ATAACTTTTTAAAATATTAATCTAATTTTAAAATGTAATTTATATATTAATTGATATATTTTTATATTAAATATAAAGATCTAAAGTTTATAAATAAATATTTTATTAATTTATAATATATTTAAAATAAATATAATATTATAAATAAAGATATTTATAACTTTGATAAGATTAAATTTATTTTAGAGATTATTATTATAATAAAAGTTATATATAGCTATAATTAATTAAATAAATTAAATCTTATTTAGTTTAGAAATTATAAATGGGTTATTATAGTAGAATATATAAATATTTAAGGCTTTATTTTATTTTTATTAATTATATTTAAATCTGATATTAAATAGGCTGATTAATATATATATCTAGATTTATTATTAGATTAATTAATAATATAATTATTAAATAGCTAGATATTAGATAAAATTAGTTTACTTTAACTTTAAAATATATTTAATAAATTAATAAAGCTTTATATAGTTAAAAAATATTGATTATTAATATTAGATAGTTATAGTAGCTATTTAATATTTAAATAGGATTAATATTATTATAATAATAATATTGTCTCTATATATATGTTTTTATATTTTTTATATCTATTATAATCATTTAATATAGATATTTTTACTATTTTTAAATGCTATTTTAAATATATTATTAAGAATTAGATATACTATAGTATTAATTATATTAATAAATATAATTTTCTTATTATACTATTAATAATATGTATAAAAATCTATTTTATAGAAAATATTATAAATAGCTTCTCTTATATAAATATTTTATCATTTAACTCTAAATTTATTTTATTTTAATTAAAAATTATTATTAGAATCTCTATTCTAAAAGCTATAAGGCTAGATATCTTATTAATAAATAATATTTTATTTATAATATCTTATAATATTTAGAATTTATAGTATCAAACTAAATTAATAAAATAATTTTTAAAATGATATATTATAAGCTTTTCTTTATTTATAAATTAGATTTTTAATTAGTTAATAAAAGAATACTTATTAATAATATATTCTATAGTAATTTTAGTAAAGAAAAACTATAATCTATAAGTTATAAATAAATATAAAATTAAAAAAAAAATGTTAATTAAAACTATTTTATAATAAGAATATTTTGATAATTATTAAAGATTAAGAGTTTACTATAGTGCTTTTAGAAATTAATTTATTTAATAAGATAATTAATTAAGCTAGGGCTTTTTAGTCTCATAAGCACACATTATCTAAATATATAAATTGCAGGTAAATAAAGTATAATTATATATTATATAGGAATAATTCTATATAGAAATATAAGTGATTTTTTGATGTTAAGTAGAAATCTGAAATGCTTTAAACTATGTGAAGTGGTGGGGTGCGCAGGGTGCTTGTGTGCGCAGGGTGCTTGTGGAATACGTTACCGAGTGTAGATGCTTATGTAATGTGTAATCCCGTGTGAGTAGCGAACAGGCTGTGTTCGGTCGTGGTAACTGGTTGGCCGTGGTGTTAGCCGCTTTAACAGGCGCTTGTCCTGAAGTAGCTTGAGTCATCCCAATCTGTCCTTAGCCTTGTATATGTTGGTTTCGTAACATCCCCCATGCTTCTATAGTTTAAGTCATCCTTAGCTTTATGCATGTTGGTTTCGTAACAATAGGGCACTAATTTTTGGGGATCTCCCGCATTGGCATAGCGCTCAGGCTAGGACACATCCAAGTTTAGACGTCTAAGAGCTGGCTCAGTGTCACTGCATGGTATGCCAAGACACTAATGCATTTAAGTTAGGCGTGTCATCACCAGCAGCATGCAAAGGGGACAGATCATCTTTAATGATTGTTGTTCCCGTTACGGACTTGCGATACCTTTCTTGTTATTGAATCATGACCAACTGGGCTCCATTATAGCAGCCTCTTCTCACCTCGCATTTTAATTGACCTTCAATTGCTGCCCAGTCAACATGGTAGGCCAATCCGATATCATTTCAAGACCTAAATAACCAACGCTGATCACAACCATCTTCAAGGCCCAGACACCGAAGCAGAGGCGCGCGAACGAGAAGTACGCAAAGCACGAGGCTGCGAAAAGAGGCAAACCAGAAACTACTTTGAAAAAGAGCCAAAAACAGAAATCGCCAGTGTCCATTGGCTGGGTTGGTATGTAGGATACTTTGTGAAACCTAGCCAAGTTCGTTAACATTTGACTCCAGTGATACTCGCGTTTGTTGTCTGTGGAGGATTGGCATTTGAGCTCCTAAGGATTGTTCCAGACATTTGGTCGGCGATTACTTCCCTCGTTAAATAAAATGACATGGAAAGACTACTGTACAGTGGCCTAGAATAATTTGCTAGTGTTCAAGAAAAGGGAAGGCAGTTTCGTCTATAGAGTCGTCCATTTGACGGTACAATTATACCCAACGCCATCAGGTTGTTTTGATCTACTGCTTGTTTAATCCATCATTCTGATGTCTCCTCCACCTCTGCCTTTGAGGAGACTTTGGTCTTTGGCCTTTTCTTCCTTTTCAACTTTTTTTTCTTTATAAGAGTTCCTTCAGATGGTATTCCATCCACGTTGATTCGCTCAGATGCTCTTTGCATTTCCAACCGGAGTCCCTCTATTTTTCGCATGGCCTCTGCCATTTCCAGCTCTTCCGCGCCTTGGATTACCTTGGGTTGTACGGACGGGTTCTGGTGGCTATCAACGAGCGTCATACGCTCGAGTCCACTCGAATCCACTTGTAGAAGACTTCGCTGCGAACGGGGTTTGGATTCGACTCTGGGGTTTAGAGACTCAGAAGAATAGGATTCATCAGCATCGATTGTCTCGTCCGCTGCAATTTCAAACCTTCCAGGGCGTGTGCGGAGTTTCTCCACATCCATGCTCTGGCCACCTGCTAAGGAGCTAGCGCTAGGCCCATCCCCCATTCGAAGATCAATGATAGGGATTGAATCTATATCCAATTCGTCGTTGTTGACATCGAGAAAGTTGTAAGTGTCAGCCTTCTCCAAATTGCCCTCGTGGTGTCCAATGTAAAAAGGGTCGTCTCTGCTGTAGTCTTTGCGAATTAAATGATGATCCGAAAGTTTACCATAGTCCTTCAGTTGTTCAGTAATTATCGAACTTGTATCAGCTTGTGCCCCCAATGAATTATCCCAGTGAATTGACGTAGAGTCTTGTTGTATGTAATAGAAACTGTGAATACTATTGTATTCCTTGGGCTCCATCCACTTCTCAAAAGAGTTATCAAGAGCTCGGGGTAATTTGTCATTTATTGCTTCATCTAGATCTAGGTGTTCGGGAAGTGGAACTTTTTTCTGAGCACCAATCGCGACAGAATTCAGATCGAAGCCCTTGAATATGCCAGGAATGACCCATGTTAATAAAAATGGCACTTCTTGTGCCGTATCAAATCGCGACTTTAGAGCATCTTCAGAAAGGCGCAAGAGTTCAAGGAACTCAGTTGCTCTTTCTTGTACGTCTAAGTCGGGATGGGCGCCTAAATCCTCAAGGAAAGTGATTAGGCGTGCAAGGGTAATAGAGTACTCAGCATACGAGCTCGTGCTGAATTCTGGCTGTGATGATAATAGCTGCAAAAATATCTTAGGCATTGCTTGAAGGTAAAGAGCCAAGGTTGCGCCCGGTAACCCTTTGCTATTGGGACTGATGAGGATGTTAAGAACACGATCAGGAAAGGCTAAACAGTCGGCGAATTCCCCTGCTAGCCAGGCTGACGGTCCGAGAGCCCCGACGTGAGGTGATGTGATGGTACGTTGTGTTTGTTGATGGTCGGCCAAAAAGAGAAATGACTCGGCTGTCCTGGTGGCCTCCTTGCGGATGGCTTTCACGCGAACAGCAATATTGCGGATCTCTGAACCAATCCTCATAGCAATATCTGCTTCTGGAGATTCTTGCATGGATTCATCGTTATACAATGTAAAGCTACCGACATTAAGGCGTAGTAAAAGTTTGAGCAACTGCCCTAATATATTGACATACCATTCGAAATCAATAATGTCCGAGTAGTTGTCACGGGAGCAAATATCAAGGATGCGAGTGAATACTTCGTTCCTATACTCAGATGGTAAATCAAGCTGCGTGCGGCTCCTCTGGTTTTCACTAACGGACTGAGAGATTTGAGAACTAATATTGGGGTTACTCTCAATGTCCACTGAGTTATCCCTATTAGGCTCCAGGTCCAATTCATGGCCCTTGAGTAATTGAACGATGAGGCGATTAACGGTGTCCTGCAGTGTCTCAGATGTAACCATTTGCACCACAAGCTCAAGTGCTTGAAGCCTGATAGAGATATCTGCATCGTCTAAACAATCCATGATGACAGTTTGTTGCATGGCTACAAGCTCAGGGTGTGATAAGACGATACGGTTGAAGGCTAGAAGAGCGACATATTTGACTGCAATATCAAGTAAGTTTTAATGAAAAATAAAGAACTGGTAGAAAGATAGTTCATACGGTTGGGGTCTGCATCTAGGACAACCATCCCCCTCAATTTTGCAACACATAAGCCTGCAATTTCGTCCCCTTCTTGAGTGCCTTCGGCTTCAGTTAGAATGCCTCCTTGAATGATGCCATTGATACATTCGTAGAGGAGAGACATGGCGCTTGTGGTTTGAATGATGCTTATCAATGGCCGAAGCAATTTTCGGACCAAACGAGGTTCTAGAGGGATGAGTGTAGCAAACTAAGGGAGTCAAACGCCTTTTCTAATATTAATTTTAAATGGGCAATAAGGCTGGACTTACCAACTTGATGATTTTGATAGCCATCCAGTTATTTCCGCTATCGACCAAAAGTTCGAAGAACCTTGGGGCCAAGGGTAGGAAATCATGAGGTCTTCTCCATCCAAGTTCACAAACAACATTGACTACTGCAGCAATGACACTATTGTCTTCGTTTTCATCCATCAAGCGCTCCTTGATTTTTGGCCATGCCGCTTTCAAACTTTCGGGGTAGACCAAGGCAAGCCGGTAAAGTACGACAATTGATTTCTTTCGAATGGTCGTGTTTGAATGGGAAAGCCTCGGAAGTATATCATTGAGCAAGGACATGGCGAGTGAAGGCGTTAGTATATGTGGCAATGTTGCTAGTGGTAGCAAAAGGTTTACGACAGACGATGAAACGATATCCTAAAGCGGAACGTAAGTCACGAGCATTAGAAGTCTTTCTAAGAATGTTCACCTTTTTGAGCAGGTTTGTCGCTAACATGAGTACTTCAGTCTCTGCACGAAAACTCTGTGCCGCCGCCAAATACCCAACACGCTTTTGTAAATACTTGGGTGCAGACATGACCTCGAGTACGTGGAAAGATGCCCAGGACATGTCGTATCCGAACATTTCTAGGTAAATCAGTTTTAGGAGAGCAATTGCCTTTTTATCTGCGGGTTCTATTAGCATAATATAGCCCTCTAGCTCCGTTGAAGAGCTTCCAATGGATAGTTAGTCACGAACCCATATCCTGCGATTTGATCTCGGAGCGGCATTCTCGCAGGCTATTTTGAATATATTCGACCTCACTACCCTTGTGGCCCCTCAAACCTCTGATGAGGTCATAAAGTGATTTTTCAAACCTGTGATTATTAGAGCCGATTCCTTTGGTCATTTAAGAGAGCCGATTCCACTTACATGGTGACTGCTGCGATGCCGTTACAACGCTGACCCGAAGCAGTCAGATAAAATGGAATGCAGTGTACTGGGACACCCAAGAGCCGAGACACGTCAAAAGCTCTGGGCACTAATTTACTTTTTGTTGAGTGCAGTGGCCATTCTTTGCGATAGGAAATGAGGTTAATGAAAAGAGCATATATTCCTAAGCATCGCTGTTAATCAATATTGATGATGACCAGGCGCGGGGTGGACTTAAAAGAAGCGTGCTAGTCTAAGCGCTTCATCCACCCACGGAAGGCGCTAGTCTTCAATGGCACCACGATTATGTCACCTGTATTAGTAAGTAAATAAGAATCCAATAATCGCGCATTCAGTCTTGTTTGGTGTCACAGGCGAACTTTGATACATCTACAGGCTCACGGCGACAACACCGATTAATATATCCATTGTCATTATTCATTCCAATTCGACTTATAGGATAAGCTAAATTAAAGCATTGCCTTTTGATGCTTTTTAATCACCATGACTCAAAGAGTCTCTGATCAAAGTTTCCGTTCATCACATCCAAGTTCCGCCCTCCATGTTACCCAACGTACCCCGGCTCTTTTCGAAAATGCATATTCCCCCAGGGTTCCTTTCACAGTGAAGGAGAGCCCGGATCAATGGGCCACATATGAGCACCATTTGCTTGTTTGTTTGCGCACTGGTGATGATAAATCAGCACACCTTTGCCTTGACCGCTTGACGGAACGATTCGGTCCAGCCAATGAGCGAATAATGGGATTAAGAGGTCTTTACCAGGAAGCTACAGCAAAGGATAATCCAACTTTGCAAACTATTCTTGGTGAATATGACACTATTCTACAGGATAACCCCGTTAATGTGGTCGGTTTCCAGCCCTGTCAACCGCTTGAGTGTGCTTGACTATATGCTAAATATATGTTACAGCCCATCTTGAAGCGCCGTATTGCTCTATTACGCTCATTGGACAGAGAAGAGGACGCTATATCGGCATTGGTGGACTACGTTGGGGCTTTCCCTACTGATGCAGAGTCATGGTGTGAGTTGGCTGATTGTTACCAAGCCAATGGTATGAGCGCACAGGCGATCTTCAGCCTCGAGGAAGCACTTCTTGTGGTTCCCAATTCCTGGACTGTAAGTTTTTTATCTATGAAGTTTCGTATCAAGCAGTCTCATGGTCTATATCTTTCTAGCTTCACGCACGCCTCGCTGAATTGCTCTACATCTCAACCAAATCTGCAGACGCGACGGTCTCTTCCCCACAAATCTTAGCGAGATCTATAAGGCATTATTTACGGAGCCTTGAACTTTGTGATACTTTTGCAAGAGGACTATATGGCCTGATTTTGGTAAATAATCCTACAACCTTGCCCTCAAGACCTCGTTTTTCAAAATTTGCCCACAAAAAAAACTGTATTTGTAGTAAATTACACGCGCTAATTGATCATCTGACAATAGATTACTTCACAGCTTATCCAACACCCGGAATATCTAGCAGGCGGTAGTGCAATTGATGGACAGGTGCCATCTAAAGAAGTTCTCGAGAGGCTGAATTCTATGGCGTTACAGAAAGCGGAGGCGCTCATACAATCGCAGCAGAAAACACCCAATCCGGATGTAACGCAGGATGGCATCATTGCCCTGAAAGAGCTGGTGCAGCAGAAATAGTTTAGAAAGGGCCTTTTCAGTGGGTCTAGGGTTGCTCTCTGCACATATGCATGTGGATGGCTATAATTCTGGGCCTTTGGTATATTGCTTTTGGAAGGGGACGACAAACAGCTAATACATATTGTTTTTGAATGCCCTTGACTGGGGCTTGTGATACCAAAGTCAACCTCTTAGAGCAAAGGGCTGCCCTAAATCGCCAAATTCGTCGGCCATATTTCCATTAGGCACCTGGCAGCAACAGCTGAGCCAGGTGCATAGAGTTGTAGGATTTTGCAGCCTTGCATAATATAACAATCGTCACAGCAGCATCTTCGTGAAGACCTTAACAAGTGGGATCCCAGGCTGATGCATTCGAGCCTTTAACACAGACTCACATTGCATATAGATTGGAGAATACAATAACAATATAACAATGTGGTGATATAGTAAGAGTCAATAGTAATAATAGTAATCCTGGTGAGCGGCCGGGCTTGGGCAGCAAAATCTAGAACGAGCCGCGGATGCCAGTCGCCCCTAGCGTGGCAAGGATGATTGATGTTTATGATGATGATAATGACACCCCATCAACCACAGCCCTGAAGCGTTTATTTGTCGAGAACCGATTTACCACGCAGTTAGAGGAAAGGGCTTTTATTTGGAAGAAGGCGTCCCCTCTGCAGAGCCAAGACGAAAGAGCGGCGAGGCGGCAAGGCAGCGTGTGATGGGTATGGCCTAACTAAATCACTGTAAGTGTTTTGGGTCTCCGATCGCCCCTCCTCCCTCCAACCAACCCTGTGCCCAATGCCTCTACAGTTCAGGCACATACTCGACTTTTTGCATTATTCTAGCACCTGCTACAGTCGTACCCAAAGCAGGACCACACAGGCATGGTAGTGTACCTTGCATACCTGAAGCCTCTCTGTCCTCTCTATTTATTTCCCTAACCGCCTGTTCCTTCCTGATTATGCATGTACGCTTCGATAGTCAAGGCAGACAGCTCTGGACGAGTCCTCACTAATGCCCTATCCATTGTGTACCAAAACCATGATTTTTGTCCTTTCTATCGTTTAAACCTTGCTCTCCAAAAAAAAGCAAAACCAAGAGAGCCCCGCATCCAATTCCTCAGACTCCAAGATCGTTTGTTGTGCGCAGCCAGAGCTGCTACCGCCTTTTCGCATCGAGGTGTTTACCCCGCCGAAAAGCCGGAAACCATCATCCATGCCGTGAGTGATGTATGCTGGAAGAAATGTAACCCTCAACCCTTCGGTGCTAAGTTATTCTAAATGAACAGGTTCGATATTACCATCAATCCAGACGGTTCTCACGATTCGGAACACTCCTCGTCCGCCAGTGACGAGGAAGATTCCTCTGGTGTCGAAGTCTCTCCCCCATCTGTTCCAGGCAGTCACGACGAATATACAGAATATGAGGTTGGTGACGAGTGGGCTCATTTGCAGTACCCTGATGAGATAAGATCCTCGGACTCCGCGTCCCGTCCCAGGAATTCGCGTCACAATCGCAACACTATACATTCCTCCCGTTCGAGGTCAGGTCGCCGGTCGTCTCGGCGAGGCATTGAAAGGGAAGCCTTTCCCCAAAGATCACGGCGGTACCGATCGCCGGAATCTCCTGATAGCGTGGATTCAGCAGAGGAGTTTGTCCCTACCTACACCCGACACCAACCAGACAAGCGATTTTGGTCATCTGGGGCACCGGCAGGTGTGAGCGGCTACGCCCATAGTTCGTCTTCAGGGCCATCCTATAATGTATTGCCACAAGGAGGGATGGGACATATGCCATTTGGTCATTCCGGACCGTCGCACCCTCCATCAGATCAACTAGTAAGATTTGGGCCCCTCAACCCCATGGGTCGCTCCGGCCAGTTCATGAACGCCCAAGGCTATGGATATGGGTCGCATTATCCTCCGCCCCATTCCGGCGGTATGCCTGGGTTATTTGGCCATGATCAACATCCCGGCCATCCTAATCACCTCCCACATCACCATGCTCAGGAATCTCGCAATCGAAGTCGAGGACAAAGCCCTCCTGAGCCTCCCTTGTCTCATATGATACCCTCTCAAAGTAATCCTCATTATGGTGGTCCTGCTTTTGCTCCGCCAGATCTTGTTCCCTACGGCGGCGGCGGGTATTTCCCCTATAATCAGAACTATCCTGGAGGACCCGTCAGTCATCATCTTTTCGGGCAACTTCCTCAAAAGCCAGAGTCTCCTTCAGCGACATCCCAATCAGATATAGCAAAAGATGAGGCTATTGCTAGATTGGAGAAATTGATATTAGATGAGCGAGCAGAACGAGAGGCAAGAGATGCCGCGCGCGAGGCTGCAATGGCAAAGGCGGCTGCGGACAAATTGGCGGCAGAGGAAAGAGCAATTGCAGAGAAGAAAATAGCAGATGAAGCGGCAGCCAAAGCAACAGCAGCAGCCAACGCAGAGGCAGAGAAGAAGGCTGCAGAAGAGGCTGTCAAAGCGCTGAAACTGGCGGAGGAAATGGCAGCCGCTGCAGCTGCGGATGCTAAGAAGACTGCGGAGGAAGCAGCGGCGGTAGCTGCTGCGGAGGCCAAGAAAGTCGCAGATGAAGCTGCTGCTGCAGCGGCAGCGGAGGCGAAAAAGGCGGCAGAAGAAGCAGCAGCTAATAAACCTCCACCAGAAAAGAAGAAACCTATCAAGTTCAAGGATGCCGTGGGCAGGAAGTTCAACTTTCCTTTCCATTTGTGCAGTACTTGGCAGGTATGTTCAATCACTTCTAACCAAGATATCTACCGTTGCTCATAAATTTTGATAGGGAATGGAAGAACTTATTCGCCAGGCCTTCCTCCATGTAGAGGTGATCGGTCCTCATGTTGCTGAAGGCCACTATGACTTGGTTGGGCCAAGTGGTGATATTATCTTGCCGCAAGTTTGGGAAACTGTCATCGAGCCTGATTGGACTGTAACCATGCATATGTGGCCCATACCAGAGAAGCCAAAGGACGACCAGCCACCTCCACCTCCTGACAATAATGCTATTATAGTTGTAGAAGAAGCAAAGAAGAAACCTGATGCTACGGGTATGTTGATAATTGAGCATTCGTGAGTGAATCTGTATACTGACTAATAACTGGTACAGCTCCAGGACCCAAAAAACCACGGCCGGGAAACCCCGGCTCTTTTGCGAAGTGGATGATGGGGAATAATAGGAATAAACCCAACAAGCCTTTAAAGGCGCCAAAAAAGCCCGAACCCGTACCATAGTATAGTCATACCTGCAGTGTTATTTGACTTTGTTTATATGCAGTGTCGGGAGATAGTCAACGATTTGCACCTACGGCTTGATACCCTTTCTCAAGAACGGTGATTGTTTGAGTACGTCGAATTGATCACCAAGTCGCACAATCGCACGGAGCAGGACGGGCATGGCGCATGGGTTTCCCTCTCAGTGTTGGATTAAGTTTCTCCGTGCTTCGTTGGGTGGGGTGAAGTAATATGGAAAATCAGAAATTATGGTCATTTTTGGGTTAGCATCATCACTGCTATTCCTATGGTTTTCTGAGCTATGTTCAAAGGCGCGCTATTGGTTCTTTGGCATCCCGGCGGCTCAAATTTTGATACCCCAGGTACATCATCTAATAGCGATAGATAATTGGTTTCAGCTCATTGTCTTGCTGTGTTATTTAATTTTTGGGTAATCCTTTTTTATATATAATACGAAAGAGTAATTGAAAAAAATGGAAAAGAAAACAATCAAATCACCTTTGTGATTCTAAATCGCACTGCATATGTACAGAAGAGTGTCAAGTTTGATATGCCGAAAATTTCATTTCTTACTATGTTTATGACCCTAATTTTCAGGCAATGACCTAATCTCTGCAGTATTTTGTTCGTCTCATCATGAAAAGTGACGGATGATATATCTTTTGAATCATGTTGTATCGACGGTATACATATTCAACGATGAGGATCCAAAGGTTTCCAATCTTTTAGTAAAGCCGGATCTGCCCCACCAAGAAGATCGGTTGCTGTATGTCTGTACCTCGTCGTTCTCAATTCAGTTTCTGTGAGATTTTGACCGCTTATCTGTAATGATGGCGACCTTGGGGGTAGTGCAGGTTTAAGTGTATCACCCTGTCGTTGAGACCCAGGTGTAGGTGTGAGCGTTGATTGTGCGGCTAATGGAGTAAGTATAGCGGGTTTGACGGGGACTTCAGGCCTCAATGTTTTTCTGTCTTTGAGTCCACTACCTTTTTCGATGATGGTCGGGTGTGCTGGATATAGGTCTTCGACTTGCCCGATGCTGTTCTGCCTGGGTAAAATTTGGGGCTTCACCCAATCAGGCCTGTTATTTTCGCTGAAAGGATTGGGCTTTCCAAAAATATTCGCCACGTTCCCTGGTACGTTAGGTTTAAGCTCAGACCTAACTTGGTGGCCTGATCTGTGTTAGCAAGGAAAAAGGGCCCTCAGGGATTGGGTCTTTTACCTCCATCCAGCCACCATTTGTAGCGATCTGAGCTAGCTGAAGGTAATTCGGATGAAAAAGACGGGTGTTCAGTAGCTTCGTCGTCGACATCGATAAGATGATCTCTGTATGTTAAATCACCCAACTCACGCCGACGCTGCTCATAGAGGAGGCGATTTAAGCGATCCTTTTCATTCTCATTGATAATGCTGATCGAACAATCAAACAGAGCCAACACCGGTCGATGATCTGATATTCTTAGGTCCGAAGAGCAGTAATCTATCTGTTTAAGACCAGATCCTTTCCAAAGGATACGGTCACACCATGCTGGTATCCTAGCCTTTTCTCTGGATGGTCGTTGGATTGTGCACTTCTATTAAGGGGAAATTTCACTCACGAAGTATCATATTCATCGGTCCCTATATCGTATTTGTATGTTGGAGGGAATTTAATCAGTCCTTCCGAGTAAAACGGAAACGTTCTACCGGATATCATTTGAAGATTCAACTGCAAATGACGATAAGTAAATATCCGGCAGTCATAGGCACTAGGTAACTTACCTGATCATTTTGATATAGTGTACCGAATTCCCGTTTCTTGATCAATTGTCGTACTTCACGGTCACCTACTCCGATGCGATAATTAAAATCGCCCAGCCATATAATAGCATCGTGGTCTTCAATTGACCTATTGTATCGAAATCTAAGGCCATTGCTGATGGTAGTGTAGTCCCTATTCCGTTCGTCATAGTTTGCAAAACCGGCTGCAAGATGAGCTGTTACGAAACATATTTTAGTATTTGAAAATTCAAGACGAATTGCACAACCCCCTTTGTTACCAGCCATCCCTGAAAGGCCCGTCTATAACTGGATATTAGTTTTATGAGTGAGATTTGAGATGGTTGCTTGCCTTTTTCACACTGCCTTCCACATTCTTAACGTCGTTGATTGCATCCTCGCGTACGTAAATCAAAAGAGCGGTTCCAACAAGCTGGCCACTTCTCAATAAGACATACTTCTTGGATTTAAACTGTTCTGCATATGAATTAAGACAATCCCTGGCAGCATTCTCCCAGACTATTCGTGGGCCCGGGTCAGTAGACATAATTTGTTGGGGGCTCAACTCTACAATTTCCTGAAATGCCACGGCAACTAGGCTGGGATCATCCCCGTCTCTGTCACGGAGTGCAAGGAGCCATGAAGATAGATCCGTTGCTGCCCCATCGGGTTTGCCGTTCAAATTAAAGGTGCCCGCCCAGATTCTGATGTTTTTCGAGGACGTATATTCCTCAATTCGGCGGTCGAGCTCGGCCGAAATAATATCATTAATAGGATCATACAAATCGACCGGTTCTTGATTTGCCAATCTACCCATTAAAACATCGATCGTGTTCTGCCTGGCTTTGTCTCCGAATGTATTGACATATAAGCGGGTTGCACTCTTTCTAGCATCTGCAAAAGCGCCGGCCAATGACATTTTCCCGTGTCTTGTGAATGATGTTTTGAGAGCACCAGTGCCAGCATATATCCGGGACAGAGCGTCACCGTTGTCTGCCCACAAACTGGAATGTCGCATTCGAAGCTCAGGAACCATCTCACCGCCTAGTTGATGAAGGAAGTTTTCCAAGGCCATTTGACTGATGATAGTCTGTATAAGATTTGTTCTATCGAGACAGTCGAGGCAATTCGTCCTGAAGATGCCCTCTTGTTGCAGTATTACCCTTGGAGCGTTACGGCTAGTGTCAGCTGAGGGTGAACGCTCTTGTTCAGGAACGGCGTCCTCCATCAAGAAATATCCAAACCCGTCTAGAGCGGTGTTTATCATATACCGGATCTGGCTGCTAGCCTCGTATCCAAGGGGACCCTTGGACTCTGCATTAAGATCAAATTCTGTCATTTCTAAGAGATGACGATCGGATGACATTGTACTCTCGCTTTCTTGTGAATGTACTCTCCTTGTAACATGCTTGCGAAATTGGTCGGAGAGTGTCATTTCACCAGACTTACTCTTGCCCAAGAGGTTGATGATGTGGACAGCTCCATACTTTAGTTCCAGGTCCTCAAAATGTTTGTCAAAAGCATGTTTTGTCGCGTCGAAGGACCGAGATATTTCAATCTTCTGCTGCCCTGGAATAAAACCCGGTGCTTGTTCCCAAAATACTGGAACCGACCCCCGTGCTTGAATATATGAGAAAGTAATGCCTGAAGGGCTCCTCAAGATGGTCTCAGTCTCAACGAAGTTCGACACATTTCCATCATCATCAATCCCACGAGAGTTGAATCTGGTTCCAGCACGCCGAGAGGATAGCCGTGATATCACTGTCAAAGTTGAAGGGAGGTTTGAATGGAACTGAGGTACATGAAAGGATGATGCAGGTATCGTCAGTGTTCCAGCAAAGCCTCTAATTACTAGTGTTAAAATGCGAGAAGCATCTAGACTCTCCCTTTCATGCTTTGTTAGGCGACTGCGGAAGAGTAGGAGAGGAGCAATCATATAAGAATTCCAAAGCATGCCTTCGTTCAAATTGTCAATATCAAAAGCAGTTGAAGTGCTTGATCTGTACGTGACTCAGCCAATTTCAAATAAAGAGCTCACAGAAGCACTCACCGATCTTGAAGATGATCAGTGAGATTGAAGTCGAGGCTGTAGTAGAAGGTACTATCACCTAGCAATCTTTTCAACGCTAGGAATGGGTGATCAGTGACTACATCTCTGGAGTCATCAATGTCATCGTTGCCAATATCTTCTGCGACAAATCGAGACGGTATTTGATAATCTTCGCCGTGATCATAGTCAGGTCGATTCAAACAGTCTACATGCGCACGTCAATAATGCTACTTAGTGGTCGGAGACCCGAAGATACACACAAAAGTCGACATTGTTGATTCTTAGGACACTTTCCCCGGGTCGTGGGATTGCAGCCCGAGAGGACCCAGTCACAACACATATAAAAACATCCTGATTCAACGAAATCAAGCCAAGGGTTCCCCAGCCCTCCCCTAGAAGTCTGCAACCTTCCAACTTTGTCGATGAGCGTGGTGTAAACTCGACCAAACAGCGAGTTGCGCGATGATTGATTGGTGGGACATTCCTGGTGCTATCTACAGTGGATGAGGGGTCTCTGAATTCAAGACTGTGATCATTCGTAGCTAGCACGATCGAACATTGAGGTTGATCCCGACGAAATACACGCAAAGAAGACATCGTCTTGTTGCATTTTGAGAGGAGCAAGTCTGGTTGCGTGCAACATTATTACAGAACTTGAAGGTACGATTGGCCCGCTGACTTGTTTGTTACTGTAAATATGTAAATAAAACGCGAAACTTGCACCCGTTCTGACTAAGCGGCATCGTCTTGTCAGACAGTTACGATTGGCCCGACGGTCTTGACGTATTGATATGATAATTCCTCGTATTTTTGTATAGATATATGATTTCTTGATGACTATATCATTCGGGATTTTACCGCTTATGTCTTTGTGACCGATGTGTCCTTGTTCTATACGAAGTGACAATGTATAGTACCCGATCATACCGTACGGTATCGTAAATTTGAAAGTAATATTGTATGGAGATTAGCTAATCGGGACTAGCACCAGTCCCGCCCGCTGCGGAGTTAAAAATTGCAAATTTGGGAGGCGAGCAGAAGCCAATACGATAACGTATGGGATATAATATTAATACTCAACAATAAATCAACCACGACTGTCGTGCTTATGTCCACACCTCCAAATACCCAACGGATCTTCATCAACCCGGCAGAGCACCTTCAAATATATATCTCTCATTCCAATGGGTCTTGCTGCCCCTCGAAAGTAGGCGTTTGGCGATTTACTTTCGATTTTTCACATCACTGACATCAGACTAACATAGGAAGGTCAAACTCTCCCACGACCCCAACAATACGAAATGGTCTCGATCGACGGACGGCTTTGGACATAAAATAATGACATCCCAGGGTTGGACCCCTGGTAGTTACTTAGGCGCTCGAAATGCACCTCATGCCGATACGTTCACCGTTGCCAGTGCGTCGCACATAAGAGTGACATTGAAAGACGATACCCTTGGCCTCGGGGCTCGCTCTAGAGTAATGGGAAACGATGAACCCACCGGGCTCGACGCTTTCCAGGGTCTCTTAGGTCGTCTCAATGGAAAAAGTGATACCCAGTTAGAAAAAGAGCAACGCAAGCGAGATGATGATAGACTTGCTATCTACGCCCAGAAGAAATACCAAATGGTTAATTTTGTGAGCGGTGGCTATCTCGCTCCGGAGAAGAGCGAAGCTTTTCCAGAAAGTAGGGATGTGCTCTCCGAGAAGCTGAACGCTGAAGATCGCCCTACCGATACGAGAAATCGCGAGACAAATAATGACATCTCTGAATTTGATGAGAAGGCGACTGTTTCAGGAGTTATCAAGGAGAAGGCCAAAAAGAAAGATAAGAAGAGAAAGGCTAAACCAAAGAAGAGCACCGAAGACATAGAAAATGATAAACGCGATTTACCGAGGACAAACAATATCAGTGTCGAGGCTGTCTCCGAAACTCCAGTGATTTCTCGAGAGCAGAGACCAATGGGGAGGCATGCTATACGAGGCCGCCATATTCAACAGAAGAAGAGAGCTATCATGGATGACCGATCTTTGAATGAAGTAAGAAGGATATCTGCATTTGTTTCACTCCCCCGCGTATTCATGCTAACATTTATGAAAGATTTTCATGATCAAGACATGATATCGAAGCAAAGGAAAGGCGACCTATTAATACCAAATATCTTCGATCATGGCGTGGGCGGACTTGTCGACGAGTGCAAATTCCCAATATGAATCGAGCTGACCGAGTTAGCCGATTTCTGGGGTATAAAGACGCTATGTATGCATTTGCGGATAAAAATTACATATTGTATATATGAGACCGAGTTTATATAGTCTGCTTATATAGGAGCTATAAATGGTTGTTTTATCCTTTATTGATACTTCAGTGATTACTATATTATGGACATTGTCAATCCAAAATAAAAACATGGATGGATACTCACCACTTCTTCGAATTTGTGTTCCTCAAAAACCAAACATACTCTATGAGCCAATTGATAGATGCTAATTGTTATTAATAATAATTGCAAGACATAATCTCATGGCAGATCAGCACAATAGCGACACTAAATGTTTTCTTGGCGTTGTCACGGGTCGTGGGCCTGCCGCTCGACGTCATCCTTCAAGGGCAGTGCTGACATTGGAGATCATTCACAGATACAATCCCAATCCCCTTGATGGTTCATCTTGTATAGCCCTGTTGGACCGTTATACCGTTTATTCATATCTTGGCTTCATGCTTCCAAATCGAGGTTGAAAGCGTCATCTTGTGTACATTATCTATGCCAACACCCTTGCAGTCAACTGTTCCTTAAACTACCGGTATGGTGACTGATAACCAGCAGCGCAAGCCATCGAGCGGGCTTGACAACTCTCTCAATGACAGCAATGGTACGGTGGCTAAGAGGCACCGGTAAGTTTAATGACCGCCCTCTTTATCTCAATGACTGACAGCCTAATGATAGTGTCCGTTGGGCTCCTTTGAATATCGGCATCGAAAGACGCCTGCAGACCTTTATCGTTTTATGCCATACATTGACCATAGCTATTTTCCTTACCGCCTTCTTTTTCGTCTGTGCAATGCCATTATTCTGGCCATTGCTCCTCCCTTATCTTATTTATATCTCCCTCTTCTCTACCGCCGCGACATCGGGATCACTCAAGTCCCGCTGGCAGAGTCTCCGTTCTCTCCCAATCTGGAAGCTCTATGCTGCCTATTTTCCTGCACGCCTACATCGTACTGAGGTACTACCGCCTACTCGGAAGTATATATTCGGTTACCATCCGCACGGAATCATTTCTCATGGAGCTTTCGCCGCTTTCGGGACGGAGGCATTGGGATTTTCGCAACTGTTTCCTGGAATTACAAACACTCTACTTACCTTAGACTCCAACTTTCGGGTACCATTTTATCGAGAGTATGCCATGGCGTTGGGCCTCGCTAGTGTATCTCGTGAATCCTGTGAAAACTTGTTGACAAAAGGTGGTGCCGATGGTGAGGGTATGGGTCGTGCCATAACAATTGTTATCGGTGGAGCTCGCGAATCACTCGATGCACAACCGGGCCGACTCCGTCTAGTGCTGAAAAGTCGTAAAGGGTTTGTGAGATTAGCTGTCCGCACCGGGGCTGATCTTGTTCCAGTGCTTGGTTTTGGCGAAAACGACCTTTATGAACAAGTCAATTCCGAACAGCATCCCTTGATCCACAGGTTTCAGATACTTGTGAAAAAGACCATGGGATTTACGATACCTCTATTTCACGCTCGTGGTGTTTTCAACTATGATGTCGGCCTCATGCCCTATCGACGGCCTCTTAACATAGTCGTTGGCCGCCCAATCCAGGTTCTCAAGCAACAGGACAATCGCGATGTTGAGGAAAGCTACATAAATGATCTACACGATAGATATGTTCAAGAATTGAACCGGGTATGGGAGGAATGGAGGGACGTATATGCAGTCGGGAGGACATCTGAATTGGAGATCACAGCATAGATATTGTAATTTTGTTGTCTGGGTTGTGCATGAAGTTTTTTATTTGCTTTTTTAGGTGTTTATATACATGTTTTTATATTTCTCTCATTTACTGTTTTAAGTATTTTGAGGATATCTCCGTAATTGGACTGCCCCTTGTTAAGTAGTAATTCTATATGTCCAGTCCCAGATTCCATCTACATTTTGCCAGGCTTTTTCAATGACGGCCCGCTCCCAACCCATCATCACAGCCAGCAGACGGCAAGATGTACTGCCTATTCCACATATCACCCGGTCACTTTGGCCAAGCACAGCCAAATCAAGCAGATAGGCTCGACCAATTAACTCTCTCAAACCAAGGATCTCTTTTGAAGGTTGGAACCGGACCTTTTCAAGTAGGGCTTCCAGCCCATTATCCATTCTTAGATCACTTGACTCCTTGTTTGATGGTAATGGGCTATCTTTGGGCGAGTAGGAGTTGCTTATTCCAACCGACCAGAACAAATCTTTGAAAAAGCCACCCTCCCAGCCTATGTTCTCGCCGAAGGAATGATCTTCTGTTTCCCTCACGGAATCTAAAACCGACTTACTTGCTAAAGAGATATAGCTTTGAGCCTTCTCTGCGCCCTTTAGTTCAGAGGTTGTATATATGTCTGGATCGTCCGAAGCCAAGATAATCCGAGAATATGATTGCATGGATTGTTGCAATGCTTTATCACCGGCCGCTTGTGACAAGTGAGTTTCGAATAGTGCCTCGGCCCTGTTCACATACTTATCGAGGGGTATATAAGAGTCTCTATATTGAGTTTCCAGTGGATGAAGATCACCCCGACGAACGTGAAGACCGATCTCTAGTCCACCTTTATAACGAATATCTCTATTCAATTCGCGAACTCGTTGTTCAAGAAATTTTGCGTCATCACCGGTTAGGTGGAAGAGAGCTTCATATCCATTGCGAGCCATATCAAAAATTGCCTTCTGCTGCTCTGCAGCAGTTGAACGAGAACTCTGAAAATGTTCCTTGAAGTTTTCACCAAAAATCCAATTAGAATTTGCAGATGAAACAATCAGGTGTCGTGCCTGAAGAGGACATGGGACTCTTTGTGATGGTGGTGGTAGGCGACAGGCGGGTCGTGGAGGTGGTTTGAAGAATGAAGAAAATTTCCCATAAGCCCAATCCGTATCATCGATAAAGAAGCTACGACCTTGTTTTCGTGCAAGCCCGTAACTCATCCATAAATCCATCAAAGTTTTCCCGAGCCCGGCGTCTTCAGATTGCATTGCAAAAGTAAGGCTAGTCTCACAAATAGGGATTTGATTGTCGCCGATAGCTAATGGCTTCTGAGGGGGGATGAAACCATTGAGTTCAGCTTCATTTATATCAACAAAATTTTTATCTGGACGCGAGTGATCGAAGGGATGTGATTTGCCGCTTGAAAGCTGCCCAGAAATTGTAATGCAACGGGAGCAAAGATCTGATATTTGCGGAGGTGACAAAGGAAGTTTCATGTCAGTTGGAATGGAAATAGTCCATTTCTGACGGCCTTTCGAGTTCTTCAGTTTTATAGGGGAAGGAATATCTGGAAGCAAATCAGATGGTCGATAAGCCTGATTATCTGCGAGCCACTGATGCGTAAAGTTTAAAATAACCCCGAAGTCAAGGAGGAGGAAAATTTTCACGAAAGAGAGAGTTGCTAAGCCCCAGAATAAGAGGCGAATCACTTTGCGTTTTCCAGAACCTGGAGGTCTTTTCCCGTGGCTAGGGACAATCGACGGAAGAACCGGTGATGGCAGGGGTGAATCGACGAGCGGAGGAACAAGCAAGTTATTGCCTTTTGGGGTGAGTCGCGGTGTAGTTGTTGTATGGACTCTTCGAAGAGACATGGTTGGTAAATTATGACGATGTGAAATGATCATCTTGAACCTGATAACAACGGCAGTCTTGTTGCATGAGAAAAGCCGATAGTTGACTCGTTAGTGTTAGTCGATTGTATACATTATCCTTGCCTCCCAATCGCTCGAACAGGCTTGTTATGAAAATAGCGATGGGGAAGGAAGGTGGCAAGGAGATGAGCTGAAAGCTGATCAGTCAAGGCGAAGATTGGAATACTCGTATCGCGATGACAAGCCCTTGCACCGAACACAACGACTGTGGAATACAGCCGAGGATAGACCCTCTTGGTTGTAATTCATACAATATGTTCGAGTATGCTCGCGATTGAATTCGCAGATGGGTGCACACGATGTGTGACAAGTGTTTAGCTTTACTTCACGAAATGCTGAAGGCCTCCATATCCTCGCAGGTATCGACGGCCTTCCCCAAGAAAGTTAATAAGGCTTTGCTGACGCCGGAATGCAGCCACCTCAAAAGTCAGTTACAATTGAATGTAACCAGAGCAGGCATGTCAGACCATTGTTATAATGCTGAGAATGGGTCAGGCAAGGGCCAGCTGGTGTTGCAATCCATAGATCTACCACCTAAGGGGGGCGGGTTTCAAGGAGCTGGATCGAGCATCTTTGTTTACTGCCCGGTATGAGGCGACAGGAGAGGGCGAGCGTTGGGTCGATGGGCATACACTTGGTCTGATTGGCGGTATTGGCGCGGGACCTTGCGTGGCTATAGCGGCGGCGGATTGAATCAAGATGGATGGTGCGCCGCGAATGGCGAGACAGGTGAAACAAGGGGCGTGCAAGGTGTGACACTGGTGTTCTCACGGCGAGCCAACCAGAGTGAGGAGATTACAGTGCCTTAACCCGCCGGGAACGGGCCGCTGATATGTTCTAATTATAGCCTCACTATTTACTACCAGTATGGATATTACGGACTTAATATTTATCAATCCTGTACGCAGGAGTACGCAACTATGCTGGTAAATATAGCCTGATGCAAAGGTAGAGACATTACCGAGAATGAAAATTAATTCATCATTAGTTACGTGCCGGGCCGCTGTTAAAAGAAGGGGCGAACCGCTGCATTCATGAGGAACAACATACAAATTGACAACAAGCCTGGGGTATCAGATAGCCAGCCGATTAGATGCCAGGACGAGTATGAACCCACACTCGTAGACACAAAGCAAGGAAATACAAAGGCTGAAAAAAGAACAGAAGGGAAGAAGGGTCGCAACAGCGACGAAAATCAGTGGCATATGGAAAGACATCCAAGAAAAATAATCGTTCATACAATCTGAAAAGTTGTGCACTTCGTATGGAGGGATTTCTATTGATGCCAGACGCCGTGAATCGCCTGATCCTGGTTGCGTGGACGGATGCGTGGTCGACATGAAACTCACTGTTAGAGACGCAGCATTGCTTATGAGGTTGGGTATAATAATGAAGCAGCGCTGTAAACAATCACAAAACTCTGCTAGCTTAAGCTAACAATGTAGAAAATGGTCTTCAGGCATCAGCCTTGGAAGACTCGGTAATCGAGCCCCTTGAGTCAACAGTACCTGACAGTGCTGGTACAGTTCCTATCGACTCACGTTGATTTGTTGTTCCACTCAAGATTCGTATGCTGCCTCGAGAACTCTTGACTAAGTGGCCATTTTCGACTCGATCTTGAATCATTTCATCCAGCATACGCGACACCTCGTCGGTGCTTTTTCTCTTGGCGTCTTTCTCTTTTTCTGATGCTGGAGATATTGGGTTAACCAGACTGCTAGAATCGCCAGCAGGTGCGCTAGCAGGTGAACTGCTATTACCTTCACTGTTTCGATTACCCGGTTGCTTATCTGAGACAGAGGCGTCTAATGGCATCTGTGCAATGTCGCGTTGACGAGCTGCAGAACGAAGAGCAGTGAGCATACGATCTTTGTCATCAAGCTGAATGCGCAACTCGGTGATTTCCATATCTTTCTCGCGTAGTAGCGTTATTACATCGGCATCTTCACCATTTTTGAGTTGCGATATGCCCATAGACATCCTTGAATGGCTGGAACGTCGTGCCTGGAGCAATCGCCGCTCCAAAGTGGATATATACCGATTTTTATCCACAAGGTCAGCTTGTAAAGCTGTGACTTGCATCTGGAGGCTCGCATTTCCATCGCCGTACTCCCCAATAGTATCATCGTCATCTTCCGGTAAAAGCGATGAGCGTTGAGCGTGATATCCGCTGGATTGGTCTCCGCTATTCAGAGAAAGTTGTGACACTGTTCTACGTAGAGAATTGGCACCTAGAGTAGATTGACTGGCCGACGAACGAAGCGAGCGTGTGCCTGACTCCAGGGTCCCAGAAAGTCTAGACAATCTGTCCAGAGCCGCTGTTGCGCCGTTGCTATTAACACCCGTGGATTTTGATGAAAGAATGAGACGATTAAGATGCTCAATCCGTTCCTTGAGCGCAGTTCGGGCGAGTTGCATTTCAAGCATCTGCTCTTCGTGACGAGCGTCCGCTTCTTTTTCTATTCTTTCCTCTTCAACCTTCGATTCATTTTCCACCTGCGTTTTACTCTGATTTTCCAACTGGGCACGCAAGGACTGGATCTCCACGCGATAGCGTTCCAATAGAACTCTACTTCCAGCATCACCATTCCCCCCCCAAATGCCTCCTCTGCTCGCTTGGCATGGCTGACAATGTTATTCTTTGCCCTGGCAGCGAATTTGAGGGTATTCAAGGTCTCATTCGTGTGTGTGTTGGCAGGAGCCGCACTTCCAGAGGACCCAATCTGAATAGTGCAGAGAATGCTAACGAGAGAGTTTCCTGATAGTGCTGGTTGCAGTAGTCTTGTCAACTTGCTATCGCGGTATGGCAGATGCTTGCTTTCCTTGTCTGTAGAGTTCGCTATTTTCTCTTTGCTTTCAGACAACCTTGCGATGACAGTTCCTAAGGTAAGAAGGCTCTTATTAATGTGAGCTCCTTCTGTACGTCTTTCCTTGTTTTCAGCCGCACGCTCAGAACCGGCCAAATCGATCAGACTCAGTGTCGAAACTCTCACACCTCCAGGAACAAAGGCCAGTCGCTTGTCTTGAGATGAGTTGCCACCAGGGGCTCGCTCACGACTCTCCACAACAATCTGTACGACGGCATGACTTCGCGAACTCCGTGCGTTGAATTGAGTGCTACCGGTCCTTCTCGCATGATCGCCTCTTGCAATAACACGAAGAAGCTGGGTTGGACTTTGCACAATTTCTTCTTTCAAAGGTGTTGCATAAACGCCCCGCTTACTATCTTCTCGAAGCTTGATCTCTTCTTGCGCCGGTGCACCTGGGCCATTCGCAGTAGAAGCCGAGAGTAGATCGTGTATCTTCTCATTATAGATTTCCAAATAGCTGACACGAAGAAGAAACTCTCGATGGGGTGTCTCTCGAATATAAGAGAATATATCGGTAATTGCCAAGGGAATCACTCCAGGCGATGAAGCTGTACCTTGCATGGAAAACGTCTTACCAGTGCCAGTCATACCGTAGGCAAAGACAGTTCCGTGATACCCTTCCATTACCCTGCGAACGAGTCGTTTGGCCGAGGAGTCGTAAACTTTAGAGTTATTATCATGTGCAGCAAAAACATTGTCTGTAATAGCCAAGTTAGAATTTTGAGGTTGAAGTAGGCCGTTGCGTGAAATTCTTACCATAAAAGTAATCGTAATTCTCCTTTCCTTTGAAACCAATTAAAGACCTTCGGCCATCTACCATCCATTCGCCATCAGCGCGAGAACCCTCTTGAGCACCATTATCGGGACGAACTCGCACGCTGACGATAACGTTGCCCTTCACTTCTTTTGAGCGAATGCCTTTCTTTCCGCTAATTGCAGAGTCTTTTGTATCCGATCCTCGATGCTCCGCATCTTCATTTTCATCAAACGTTGTTGCGCTAGTTGAATATGATCCTTGAGCTGACGAACTTCTACTCTGTGGTGGTGAAGAAAGGCTGATTTGTCCTTCATAATCTTTGATGCCCGCCAAATTCGGGACCGACTTGCCGTCATTGCTGTTATTGTGTAAAGATGAAGCCTTGGATCCGCGGTTGCTACTTGTAGTAGCAGTGCTAAGTCTGGATTGCTTTCTCGCTGTCCCAGTAGCAGACTTTACCAGATCGGGGGAACCCCGCATATTCGACGTTACTTGCGAGGTGGAACTGGAAACTGACGCTGTTGAAAGCCTCGAGCTTGCTTTGGGCGGCTGAGGAAAAGAAGCAATGCTGACCGTTCTTCGGAGACTTCGATCGGGGCCATTCGATGTGAATACACCTGAAGTGGATCGCAAAGTAGATATACTGGACGAAGAGTTAGATTGAGCATTTCCACCCAACGAAGGACGCGTTGGGGAGCGGAGCTTTGAAGGCGATGAAGATGAAACTCTTTGGACATCTGGAACCCGCCGCGAAGGCTTTAGCCTCGTTGTTGAAGAAAGCGAGGCTATGCTTCCTGTCGGTGTGCTAGTTGTTTGGCGAGATGGCTGAGGTAATGCGGATGGGGAAGCCATGACGACGATTTGAATAAATTGCAAAGGCTGTTTATTATATGCTCAGAGGTTTGTGACACTTAGAAACAATGCAGGTATGCCATAGAGGTTATGCTGAATCGAACCACCAACGATTGGAGAACACAGGACCTTCAAAAATCAAGTGCACCTAATAGAAAACCTCGTCAGACTTTTTGAATAGGCGAGGGAAATAATAGTTGTTGATTAAGTATCAGGCAAAGAGTATCCATCCGATTTGAGTTGAGGATAAGTTATGAGAAGAAACAGGTGCTAGGTCGATTTGTATGCAGAGGAAGACTGACATTACCGGGAGCTTGCAATCCCACCCTGAACCTCGTGGATGAAGAGACTTTTATAGCAATTATTCACTTGCCACGATAAGACTGACCTTTCGAAGCCTCTCGAGCTCTAGAGAGCAGGGATGACGAAGGGTCGAGTGGAAGGGATTGTGATAACACAAGAATAACGAATTCAAGATCTCTTATCGTGAGGATGGTAGACGCGTCGAACAATGGGTATGAATCGTGAGCAGTTAGACCAATCTTTTGTACACTGTAGAAAAAGAGAATAGAAAATCAGATTCCGGCGACTCAGGAACATGCGTCGTGAAGCCGAAAGAGGTCGTTGTTCTGGGGTTCGCAGGGAAGCTCATAAGGGGGAAATTAGCCTGTCTATCCCGAGTCAGGCGTGTTGTAGCGTTCTTTCCCGCAAGGCACACAACTCACAGGCCAGGGGGCTTACCGTAGGTGCGGGGCTCCTGGTCTTTGGATTTAGGCATTCAATCATCCTCATTGGCCGCCGGGACTTTCAAGCGCTGCTTAGTGCGGATGATGGGAGTACCAAGAAATAATATAATAATAATGATGATAACAATAATATAAAAACACGTAGTGTAGTGATTATCTACCATTATATAATAAATTGAGCAAGAGAAGAGACAAATGACGAGAACACGAGACAAGCTGGAGGACGTGTCCGCATACAATATCATAGTATTGATAGGTAAATACAGGAATAGTATAATAATATTTTTCCGCTGAGCACCAAGACTGGCATTAGAATCGTGCCCTTTTTTTGGAACTGGCCAATAGGAAGCCTTTCTTTTTAACTTAAGTTCGAGGTGCCCCACTTAGATCCAGGGCTTTTACGGATGTGGCCAACCACGGTCAGGGACACAACAGGAGTTCGGCGGATGGGGCCCGTGGTGATCACAACACATTCTCCATTCATTTTCCTCCAGCTCGAAAGGCCAGAGAGCAGCAGTTCGCTTCATGGCTGGCCAATGGCCCTTATACAACTAGGAGGAGACTAATGCTTAAGACCGATCAAAACGTTATTTACATATATTAAATCGGTTACCAGCTCCATAATCATCATCATCATCATCATCATAATAATTCCACTATTCCTTGATACTCACAGAGCTAAACGAGACATGTCTACCTATAAACCCAAGTGTGCAATTGAACTAATTGCTCTCTTGAAATCGACACTGACGCAAACTTCGTCGGGAACTAGTTATCTTACTGATGCATTGCGTTCGCGTCACATGCCTCAATGAGCTTGTGTAGTCGCAAGCGCACTGAAAATTATGTGGTTTGTATCACAACAGATACCTTGGCTACTTTGCTCTTGTGCACTGCGAGACTGGCTCGCTAGACTCAAAGTTTCGCCCATCTCGGATTTTCATGGTACCAAATCGACCATGAGCGCAAGAACCCAATAGCAATCGAACTTCATACTTATATGCCGCGTGCAGGTCTTATACCGCCTGTTTTCAGCATCTGTTCACTTTCGTCATGGGGACAATTCCTGTCATGTTATAAGCCCAAATTATTGCATGGCAAGAATCATCGAACGGCACCGAAGTCCAGTTGTCGGGCAGCATTCTTGAACCGGTCGTCGTCATCCTGACCCGCCCGACGCGAGAGATCATTGCCCATTTTCTTAGAGCCCCCCGATTTCTTTGGAAGAGCCTCCTTTGGGGTTGGTTTGGGATCACTTCTCCACCAGCTGTGCTCTAATATCTTGCGCGTCGAATTTCGCTTGCGCGGGTCGAGAGTGGTCATAGACATCAAAAGATCACCTCCAACTGGTCCCGCCGTTGGAAATTGACGGAGAAAGAATTCTCGTCCTTGGAGGGGATTGACCCGATCTCCCGGCGGCACATAGTTAGGTAAGCTCGTTACTCCGGGCCAGTTCTCCTCGGTCGGGGTACCGAATGCTTCGCTTATCTTTGCGATTTGATCCATGTCGCTATTTCCAGCAACGAAAGGTACACGAAGCAATAACTCTGCAAATACCATGCCTATAGACCAAACATCCACCACGGCAGAGTATTGTCGGGCACCGAACAAGAGTTCCGGCGGTCTATACCAGCGTGTGATGACCTGATGTGTCATATTTAAATAAGGGTCTGCGAATGAACGAGCCAGACCAAAGTCAGCAAGCTTCACTTCTCCATCTGAAGCGATCAGCAAGTTGTTCGGCTTGATATCGCGATGTATCACAAAATTCTCATGGCAGAACCAGACGCCCCTTACGAGCATACCCATCCACGCTTTAATATCAGCCAAACCGTACTGAATATTCTCATCTTTGATCAACATCTCAAGGTCTCCGAGTGGCAGGTACTCGAGGACAAGATTTAGGTTTCGATCTTTAGAGGAGAAAACATCGTGCAAAGCAATAACATTGGGATGAGATAATTCTTGTAAATATTTGACTTCACGAATAGCATCCATCGACAAGCCGTCTCGATATTCTGCATTGACTTTGATTTTTTTGATTGCCACGAGAGACTGAGGCTCCAGCCGCAGATGTCCGAGATACACGACAGCATATGTACCTTCACCCAGTTTCCTATCTATGAATCTAGGGGTTAGTATTTAAGAAGGGCGTACGGAGGGTCAACCTACCTTTAACGTATTTCCGTCTCACGCCTTCATTTAGCTGTCCTGTAAGTTCCGATGCGTTTTTTGCGACAAGGCCCTTGGTTTTAGACACTGAACCGTCTATGATTGAGCCATCAGAAACAGGCTGAGAAACCATAGGGGATACTGCCATGATGTAGGGATTCCTTTGGTGTCTAGACTTTGTACGAACCCTGGCACCGCAAATGTACTAAATCGAGGGGTAAAAACGAAAAGGGGAAATTTCGCCTTTTTACGTGACTCGCATGTTAGCTTTGAAAAAGGACTCGTCGGTGGAGTATAAAATAGTACGTCAGAACGCATGAATTTATTGATGGCCGTGAGCTTGGAGTTGTGATTGTCGGGAGAAGGCACGGACTAAAGTTAATCCAGCAGGAGCGTTTGGCACGCCCGTAAAACTTCCGCTGCTTCCTGTCTATGCGTGTTATCTGGACAGACAGAAAAAAGGAGCAATTGAAAGAAAATTGCATTTCTCTTCCGCATTTACATATTTGTACCGGTAATTATGATTCTACCTTCTTTTGATGCCACCGAACTGTTCCTAATCTTGTTTTATTTAGTGTTCCAGTATTCGGAATGTTAACTCCAAGGCCGCGCCTGGGCGTGATGCCTTCCAAGATGCTTGGAGCCCTCACGCCTAGCTGGAGATGTGTTCGATGCTTCCACCAGCGAAATACTCATTTTAGCGCTCCTTCGCCCACTCCATTTGTCCCCGATGTTGAGACTTTTTTATCGTTGATCGGTCGTGATATGTCCAAGCACGCGAGCAAATTCTCATCCTGGGAAAGTCTGTTCTCCCTCACGTCCTCTGAATTACGAGACCTCGGTATTGAACCCGCACGACAAAGACGATACCTTCTTCGGCAACGCGAGAAGTTCAAGAATGGAATATACGGCCCCGGCGGTGATCTAGACACGGTTGTCAATGGTGTCGCTCAACTCCGGGTAGTCGAAGTGCCTACAAACTCAACGAACCAAGATACTCAACCTATCGCATCCGCTACCTTAACCCCAGGAATGCGAAAGCTCATTGTCAATTTGCCGCCAGATGTAGAACATTACGAGCACAAAGGATCTAGTGTTATCCAGAAATTTGCGCACATGAAAATCCACCGAGGATCTATGCTGAAAGGCCCATATCTTCAAGTAATTAAAGGCACCAATGGATCAGCAGCATTAATCAAAGCTACAGAGGGTATGTGGGAAGATAAACGGGGGCAGAAAGTCGATGGTGGTGAACGTCGTCGCGCCGAAGTACGAGCAAAGAAGAGAAGTGCAGAGAGGCGCTTAGCTAGTACTTGATACACATTGTGAATATTTGTACACTATCATACTATGACCCTTACATTTCAAACCTGCAACTTGCGTAAACATGGTGCTTGAATTCAACTAATACACTGTAGTTATTGCAAAGGCAATCATTATGAAGTTACTCAAATTCTTGTAGCAACGGTCCCAGAGATCTGTATATAAAAGCTAAACTTGCGTATATTTTTAATATATTAGTCTCTATTGACAGCGACTTGTAGGATTCATAACGGTAAGCAATGACACAATATTAAATAATATACAAGAATCAACGGGTCGAAGACAGTCCTAATCCAAATAACGCTCCCTCGAAGAAAATTACTTAGTTATTATTCGTAAGAAATGTAGGTAGAAACTCATCGATAACACCTCTATCTCTCTCTACACAAGGCGATAACAAGTGACATGATCCCTTTTTTTTGTTCTTTTTTCAAAGCCCCGAAAATTTACGCCTTGGCAGACTTGTCTCGTCTCTCATATTGAATGATCGAATTCGCCCACGGCTTTGAGAACAGGGACTGTTTGTCAAAGTTAATCAGAGTACAGTTGAAGTTGGAAGTCAGGTTAAAAAAAAAAGCCTGCGGGTAGAATACTTACGGAATAGTCAGTGTCAGGAACGCCTTTGACGCCGGCTAGATTTTGAAACTTGAACTTCCTGACCAATGCCGCAGTGATGGCTCCTAGTTGAACGTACGCAAACTGCTCACCGATGCAGCGATGACGTCCAGCACCAAAGGGCAAGTAAGGGCTCCCAGCACCCTTGCTGATCAAGCCATAGCCATAATCAACTTGTTCATCGTCTTCTGTGGTATTTTTTATATCATCCCAGCGATGAGGTTCCCATTCTAGAGGATTGGTAAAATGTTCAGCTGATCGGGCAGTAACGCCAGGTGACGACAGAACATTGTGAGACGTAGGGATGGTGTAGGGGGTTCCTTCCACGGGCATTGGGTTCTTCACAGCGCGAATGATGGAATGGATAGGAGCATGTAAACGCAATGTTTCTTTAATCACATTTGCCTGCAGCTCCAATTTCTGCAAATTTTCATGACTAAGCGGAGGGAGGTCGGATCCAAGGACTCTAATCTGTTCTTGGTACAATTCCTCGGTGATATCTGGCCGCGAAGCTAGGCGAAGGATAATCCACGAGATGGTAGAGGACGACGAGTGCTGACCAGCCATTAGGAGAGCGATCATCATATGAGCGACTTCAATATCCGGAACTTGTGTGCCATCCTTGTAAACACATGACATCAAATTCCATACCATGTCTTCAGAGTCTTTTTGACCTCCGGCCTGACGACGTGCCTTGATTATTTCCATGTATGTCTCGGCCATTCTCTTCTGGGCATGGTCGCGCTTGCGGTTATGTGGAAGAGGCGCCCAAGGGAGCATGAAATTGATAGGGGCGAATCCCATGTCAAGGTCGTGGTACAATTCTGCAAATGTTGAATCGAATTTGTCTCGCACTTCCTTTCCTTGGAGAGAACGGGAAGCGGTATAAATGGTAATTTCTGCCATGGTTTTGCAAACATCGAGGGTAGCCTGTTGACTTTGGAGGGCGCTCGATGATGCGACGAAGTCATCAACTTCCTTGGTGATGAGTTGAACATAGGATCGGAGGGCATCCGCGGTCAGTCCGAATTTGACAAACTATTTCACGTTAGTATGGTGCCGTTGACAGGATCAAGAATGCTTCCTACCTTCTTTTGCTCCATAAGCTTGGCATTAGGACAGTCGTAGACAACATGTTTGCCGAAGACCGGTGTAGTCAAAGGTGAGTATACTTCCTCAGCGCATACATCGCGTAGCTTCGCATTCAATATGAAGTCGTTACCTTTTGTTCCCAGAAACACGGTTGTCTTCTTTCCCAGCAAAACGAAGGTGAAGATATCGCCATACTAGGTGTATTTAAGTCAGCTCATAGAACAAACCACGCCTCACAAGTAGTACAGGTGCGCACCTTTTTCCGAGCATTGAAGAAGAATTTGTAAGGGTCCATGCCATAGCTGATGGTGCTGCCAATGAAAGGGAACCAATGAAACACAACGGGGGGCTCATTTGGGTTTTTGAACAGCAACTGAACCAAGACATTTGTGACTACCGACAGCGCGATCAAGGTCAACAAGGCCAACCCAACGACCACGTAGATTGACTGCGTTGAGCATTGCTTGCAGATTCTGTCGATAATGGCGGCGAATAAACCCATTGTGGGAAATTACCAGAGAATGAAACACAGGTGAAAAAGCGATCGAATTAGCACGATGACTGGCGGGGCCTCATAGAGTGAGATAATCTCAGGCTGACCGAAGGAGCAGAATCGAGCGACTGTCAGTGGGTATAGGGGATGTCAAGCAGGAAGCACCGAAGATCGAGGTGCCGTACGAAAGAAGCGGGAAATCACGTTCATCGCAGCATTAACATTTGGCGAAGAAAATAATGCAGCTTAATTAATATATATTACTGGCTCCTCTGCCCAGGGGCTCGACGGTGGCTAGTCCCATTCGGGCCTAGGTGATGTAGGAACTGCCATGGAGGCGTGTGGTGCCTGATAGCCTAGGCATAAATGCGAGTCTCAGCCAGAGAATGCGTGGCTATTGCTAATACTAAATGTGCGGGTGGCCGATCTAACCGTGTCACGCCACACACTTGGCCACTATCATTCACATGCTGTAACTAGATAGTAACTTAGCATGCTCGACAGAGAAATATAGTTCCCGAGATCCTTTCTGTAAATAGAAAACTGCTTTGAATTATTTCCACGGTTTCCCATAAAGTAGTATTTTATCCTTCAATGATATCTAGTAAACTAATTGATAGTCATCGCATGACAACGAGGTCAAAACATGACCGTATTGACACGCCAACTTTTCCAGCGAACACACCTCGAGTTTCCCTGAACGCCCTCCCAAATAAAATACATGTACTAGACGAGGCCTGTATTATAATCCTGACTTCATGCATCCGCCAAGATGTCAATATATATACAGCAGTAATCCCTTGCTCCACTATGTTCAAGCACCAAGAGAGACGCCCGATAAACACGCACCAGTCCTACAAACTAACAGACAATCCGAATATGTATATTTTACCGCTTGTCACGTGGATATCGACTATCTGGGTCCTCCTCGAACAAAACGGGATCTCCGCGACCGCCCATGTTGATGAAGTCAGTCGGAGGACGGTTAGCGGACGGAGAAGGCTCATGGTGTCCCTTTTTCTGACCAGCATGGTTATGAACGCGTTTTCCGGCCGCATTTTTCCGGAAAATTTTCACCTGCGAATCGTCATCCTGGACAATCGTGCTGAGTTGAACATCATTGATTGTGCTGAGCAATGTGCGTTCCCGTTCGACCTTGCGTTTGGAGAAGTCCAGGTTATTCATTGCACCAGTCAAGCCATCCGTGCTATCGGTAATGCTTGGACCGTTGCCTGTGATCCAGGGATGTTCCAAACACTCGTCAACCGTAATTCGGTGTTCCACATTGACTGTAAGCATTCTATCGATAAGGTCCAGGGCAACATCGCCAACTGAGTCCCAATATGGCGAAGGGTAATCAAAACGAGCCATCCTAATCTGTTGAGCGAGGTTGTATGGGTATTCCGGTGTATAAAGCTCGTCGGAAAATGGTGGAAATCCGCAGAGACAGATGTAGAGAACGACGCCCAGGGACCAGATATCCACAGCCTTTGTGTAGCGCCGATGCCGGGATTCTTCTAGAATCTCCGGTGCAACATCTTTTGAGATCAGTAACCCTGTGTACTAAAGCTAGAATTATACTTACAGCTCGGGGTTCCACACCTAAATACCGTTAGATTGTGAGAATTGTTTGACCAAAAAAATTGACTTACAATGTAGTAGTGAACGAATCTTCACCAATAATTTTAGCCAGACCAAAGTCAGCCAACTTTACAGTTAAGTTCTTATCCGCCAAAAGAATATTTTCAGGCTTGATGTCACGATGTACAATCCCCCGATCATGCTGTGATGCCTTGAATTAGTCATGACTAGTAAACGAGTTTGAAAAGGAGATGCTCACGAGGTACTTTAGCCCTTGGAACAACTGAATGAATACCTTCCGAGTGTCATTCTCAGATAGCTTCGAGTTAGCGACGATGTAATTAAAGAGTTCCCCATCAGGGGCAAGCTCAAGGACTAAATACGCTCCGTCACGTTCATCAAACGTATCTTTGAGACACAAGACATTAGGGTGATTGACACTCATCAAAAGAGCAATTTCCTGCTGAAGGGTGTCCGATTGGGATTTTTGAGACTCGCTCTGACGTCTTTCAAAAACTTTCACGGCATATTTTGTACCGGTAGCTCGTTCTACGCAGAGATAAACAGTCGCAAAATGGCCTTTTCCGAGTTGCTGCAGAATTCGGTACTGCTGCCGAAAGCCATTGGTATCTCTCGTTCGAGGATACCGAAAGACAAATCTAGCCTCGTCAATAATGGTAACTTCATCGCCGTCCTCGAGCTCTCGGTGCTTATTGCGGCCTAGAATAGCTTCGTTGACAAAGGTCCCATTACTAGAGAGGTCCTCAAGTACAGCGACGACATCCCCATTCCTAATTTCATTGAAAATTAAGCAGTGGCGATTGGATATCGTGGGGATGTTCAGAACAAGGTCTAATATTATCAGTTTCGTCACGTCTTCACTCTATGTTTCTGTCTGGCTTACCGCATTCTGGATGACGCCCGATAAGATACCCGCTAGGAGGTAAATCCGGCGAATCTTTGTTCTCTCCACTATTTAGTGATTTTGACTGAGATTTGGAAATTTTCGACGATGTATTCGTCTTTGTATCAGTTGACTGAATGCACGGACTCGTCTCACAGTTATTTCTTTTTTTGAGAGCAAGAGAGGCCCCGGACTTATCATCTAGGGGAATCAAATAACCCCAGACACCTTCGGCAGCCTCATCTTCCACATCGTCAGCGAACGCACGAGGAGGATAGACGAATTGGGAAAGCGCCTGGGTGTCTCCGGGAGGGGATGAGAACGCGGGCAATTGCTCCTCGGATAGAGGCGTATGGCGTACATCAGGTGTCGCTGTTAGGTCCTTTTGGATATCTGTAGCAGTGGAGTCATGGTGTGTCAGTGGCGTTGGGAGATACGTGTTCTTGATGGGTGTCTTTCCAGTGGTTGCCGTGGTCTGCGAGGAAATACGCTCTGATCGTCGCGGTTTCTTCGAGTCCTGTGCTTGGTTGTCGAGACTTGCCTGCTCGATCCATGACAGTTAAGTTAGTGACGGCCATCAAAGGATGTACATAGCGCAAAGCTGGTAAAAAGAAGTGATCCGTACTCTGCCACGCTTCAAGGAGCTTTTTTCACTCCGAGGCGCCATTCTTACTCTCCACGCGTAGAAGGCCAAGACCTTTCTGCCTGCAACGCGGCGGAGAGAATATAGATGATGCGGATGGGCTTGGTAATTGGAAGTAGCAACAGCGGACCAATAGTGACAACAGGCTGCCAATTCCCCGCAGAGACGTCTGAACATGCAAGAAAACGGTGGGAACAGGTCTCGCGGCTGCTGGGAGAGGCGTGAATAAGGTCAGCGGCAGAGAGCCTGGAGGCGGGCCCACAGCATGGCCGAGACGGGTAAAGCAGCATCCAGGCCGATGAGGCTGAGTGATGAGGCTTATGTACATGTATGGCATCATGGTTGGCTCCTGCGATAAATTCCAGGAGACAAATAATTTATGTATCCCTGCAGCTGGCAACCTGTGGTTATCTGGAATCCATGCATCTACCTCCCAGCACGATCCTGATATTTGTTAACGAAAACAAATAAACAGAGGGAAACGAGTCATACGCCGCGTACGTAGACAATCCGTAATGTCTACAAGATGCCCATGATGACGCACGCCAGCAGTGCCAAATCCACAGCCTGTCAATTACTCAGACGTCCAAAGCATCAATGTCAGAGTACAATAAACGCGATTAAATAATATTGGATAGTAGTGTTGGGAGTATGTACTGAGTATATTCCGCGCCCCCACCAGCTCGCTCTGACTGGCTCCCCCGGTTCCTCAGCAGCTGCCCCAACAGCCGGCATGTGCTGCCGCGGACCTTCCCAAAGTAATTTACTTATTATCTTTGTTAAGTACACTTGTATCACTATTCACATACTCTTCTTCTTACTTCCCTAGTGGTGATCTACGGAGCCTATATTATCATACTGCCATCAGTGGCCCTTCCCTCCTCACAAGGCTAAAAGACTTCATCACAAATGCCCCTGAGCCAAGCAAAGACTTGCAACCTGTAACGCGTTCCAGTCAACTCGAAATTGAATGCTCGCTGCGACTCACAATGGATGCGTCAGTCTTTCAGAGTCCACCCTATCCTTCCGGGAATGCTAACAAGCGCATGTGTTAGATCTTCGACGAACATCAGGCGCTCCGCATTCGAGCGACTCGCTGCTTTCAATGCACTACGACCAGGTCTGAGCGACAGTGACCAGGATAGCGGCCCACCCAGCGACAGTAGGCGTAATGGCCTACGGCCAAAGGGTCTGCTGGACGCAGTTCTGAAAGGACACCCCCCGGTATCGCGAGTACCAATGGTCTGTTTGTCATGCTTCAAACTTCGCCGTCGAACCGGAGGCTAATGCTAACTACAGACCATCCGAGAGCTCGAAATTCTACTCGCTTTATCCAAAAGCTCGTCAAACGTCTCCCAGCAAGACCACGCCCTCCGACTAGCTTCACAACTCTCCGAATATTTACCAGAGTCCCATAGTCAACTGTTCCAACCCTCACCTTTCCTACTCGACATAGAGCCGTCTCCATGGGAAGAATTAACGCGGAGTTTGACGGAGGCCCTTTTATCGCTGAGTGCAAATCACGCACCTGTTTTCGAATCTGCGAAAACAGCGGTTAAGGAGTATCTCAATAGCTATCTACAGGCAGCGGATGCCTCAGTCTCTGGTCCAGATCGATCTGCTCAGTTCGAGACTCGTCATGATTCAGCGGAAATTATAGTGCTTACAGTTTCATTGGTCGGGTTTATGGAAGGCGCTTCCAGATTCACTCATTTGTGGACTACCGTGGAAAAGCTGGACATTATTCAGCAGCTACAAGAGGTCCTATCGGAGAACTTTCTCGTTGCTGTCGAGACCGCCTCTTCCAAACTTCGCACCTTGAGCACAGCGGACTCTTCTCTGCGAGAGTGGCGCAGATATTCTCGAAAATACGCAGCCCAAAGACGACCTCTCGGTGCTATGTTATTACAAAAGGGTCTTATTAATCTTATCAAATCTTTTACGACTACAGCTGTTTTGGGCTCTTCCGTTATGGATGACGACGCGTTCTTGACTAAGTACACCACTGAATTTAAAAGGACAATAAATCATAGCGGAGACAATGAGGTTTCATTTGTGAAGCATCTCACGAGTATCATTGGAGATGAAATTCAACTTTTACAGGATGGTGCAGATTATCTGCAAATAGGTTCACCGTGGCAACAGGACCTCGCTTTCTCAGTGAAGGCATCGGCCCTAATAGCTTTTTTGAACTGTACAATATTGGACGAGGAAGTGGCTGATATTGATTTGTTGCTGTCATGGCTTGATGATACAATTACCGACCCAATTCAGATGGCTCGTTTTGATCTAGCAACTGCAACTCTCAAAATTGCGGCGAGTATCGCAAATTTATTCCGCGCAAATGCCTCCAACCTCAGCCAATCCCTTCTCAGATTCATTGTGCAAGGTAGCCCGAATGCATCCATAGCTTCGGTTGCTGCCAACTGCCTTGCGAAGATCCTTAACATCTTGTCCCAAGATTCTGAAGATACTGTGATCACTACTCTGTACTCACTGGGTAATGTTTTGAGTCCAGCTGCCGTAAGTGCTGAACGACAAGCTCAGCCTTCTATCGAAACAGTTGAAAACAGTGGCAACATGGATACCTATTACTCCAATACAGAAAGTGTGATCTCGCTGCCTGGCAATAGTGAGGAGGAAATAGTAGTGACCCATCGCAACGTCATCCATGCAATCGTAACCTTAGCTGTCGGGCGTATGAATGAAAAAATCACTGCTCTGTCCCAATCAATGCTGCTTCAAAAAATCGGCAAGATCAACATTGTTGTTGACGCATACATCATTCAGGAAACTGCCAAGTTGGCACTTGCCAGCAGACAGTCGGAATTTCAGCTGTTGCTGAAGTTTTATGCCCGTCTTCATCGGGAGGGTATGCTCAGAGGCCACAGCATTATTATCGATGCAGTCCATAATGCGAGGATCTATCTCTCGTATTGCTTGAGACATAGCCCATCTCACTACAGGGTTTATCTTGTACATTTACTTGAAAGAATCATCAGTAGAGGGGATGCGACTGACTACGAACACAGTCGACAAAAGGATGTAGCATTATCACCAGGTGACATTACACCGTTCTTGAAGCCGCTTGGAATTCTGCTGTCGTGGCAGAACGAAGCGGCAGGCCAGTCTGCTGAGGCTTCTAACTACGACGAGGACACAGCCGCTCTCTTCCGTGACGCCTGGTTTAATATTGCGGTACATGGTATAACACTAAAGTCCGAAATGGGGAGACTGTACCGGGACGAACTACGGGCTATTGCAGTAAATTCCCCGACACTAGTCCCTGAAAATCGCACTGAGATCTTGGAGAGTGATGTTGAACTCAACGTCATTCTCAGGCGTGGTATGACGCCTCAACGAGTGGCTGAACAAAAAAAGCTACTTGTCAAAGAGCTACCAGACCGTGAGTCTGATATCAAGCGCCTCACCTACCAAAAGGCCATTTTTCTCAATGCCAGTTTACTAGTTGAATGCCTTCGAGCGTCATCCGGGCATTGCAATAAGATATTTTTGTACTTCTTGGATCCTTCTCTGAAATCATCAGAAATGGGTACCTGCATGGATGCCGTCGCTGATAAGGTTATTAGCACGTACTTGTCGATAACTCTGGCTGGCAAGGATCAAGACTTTTCAGCTCCATGTTTATCAAATCAGCTCTCAGGAATCTTCCTCTACTGTTGCCATCGCATCAGTAGGGTTCAGGATGTTGCTTTATCTTGTGCAGGCAAGATCATCACTGCGTCCCCATCCTCTCTATGTGACAGAAATTCTCTTTTTGTGCTACTAGACCTTCTCACTATTATGTGGTCATCCTGCCTCGAAAATGAATTGGATGAATACGGTTGGAAGTCCACCTTTTCAAAGGGTAAGGTGCAAATCGCACTATCTGACAATTACGATTCGCGTAAACGCACTTTGGCTGCATTTCATGTCCAAGCGAAAACATGGGTCACGATTGCAATTAATATCTCTCCTCTAGATGTGAAGGGTCTCTTACAGGTAACCAGAAATGAACTCGCTATGCACAGGCCAAGTCATAGTTACTAACTCATGCTAGACATACCTTTCAGAATATGTAGATGATGACACCTACGGGGATATTTCGCTAGGACGCTCATTCGCCCTCGATATGGCTGCTCAGATTCCTCAGGGCGACCAACGATTGGGTTTGTTTCCCGTGATTACAATTGTCAAATACCTTGCTAATCCATCCGTACACCAGGTTCCATTGACAAATACGGTATACAAAATATCAACTTCGCCTCGGATTTCATTGCGCAGTACACCGCACGACAAGAATACAGGTTCTCGGAGGTTTCTTTGACAAATGGCCAGAGAATCAAGGCCCAAACATTTGGTAAGCCGAGCCGTATACATTTTGGTAGCCTTGACTTACGAGAACACCAAGTCACCAATGGTGCTATTGACTCTAATATACACCAGCCTGTCAGAATAGTGGCTGACGATTTGGAACGGCTCTCTCGACGTATCTCCACTGGCGACGAAGTATTTGGTGATGAAACTCGTCAGTCTCTACGAAATGCAGCAGCAGTTATCTCCAGGGGCATGGAAATCCAACCAACAATCATCCATTACTTAGTCGGTATACCATTTCAGATATTCACTAAGGAGTCAATCAAGTTTGGCATCTCAATCTGGTTGGGTGTAATTCACGAAAATCCCGAAGCAGAGTCCAGGGTCTTGACAGAGATGGTAGAAGCTTGGGAGAGAACTGTAAGAAGAAGAAAAGGGTTGTTTGATCCTTATTTTGAGTAAGTTGCCATGATATCGACTCTAAACGAAGATAATAACCAAGCAGGCACCCCGACCCTTTTTTTACCAACATTGAGCTGCTTCCATCGGACAAAACAGCCCTTCTTCGACAACAACACAAGGCGCAGGATCTCTTGTCTCCACATTTCCGTATTCTGCAGTTCTTCGACAGTCACTTTAATGCCATTCGTTTAGGCAACCCCCATTCTCAGCGCATACTCACTCGAATGATCAGCAGTGCCCTCCTTGGCTTAAAGCACACCGGGGGTCATCCTCTAGCACGTGAGGTTCACTTCTATATCATACTTTTAGCACTGAAGATAATACGATTTTCGACAGCACAAAGCGACACCTCCAGATGGAAATTGAAGGATTTGGCTCTGTCGGCTGCTCTCAGTTGGTTCAGGCACCCTGCCAGGTAGGTTGACATACCGTTTGTCCCTATCTTGAGAGTCGCTAATTTGAGTAAATAGATGGTCCCTGGGTGGGAATCGACTACAAATGAAAGCTGAAGATAGAGTTTTGGGTGACCTAGAACTTGCCCTTAAAAGTCTCGCAAATCTAGGTTCTGTTAATACAGGGCCTCGAAAATCTTTGAGAAGTAAACAGGAGCTTTTGCAAATTCTTATTGAGAACGAACGAATGCGTCTTAAGGTTTGGCTCTTTCCGCTTGAACAGGAACGGAAAAATCACATTACAGGTTTTGGGGGGAAAAGTCAACCTGAGGTTAGTGCATCTTTCAAAGACTTGGGATTATTAAAGACTAATAAAATTGAAGGTCGTTGGTTCACTCTTACAAATAGCTTGGAACGAGAACCCAAGCCTAGCCATCCAAATAGCGACCCGATTTCCCTCACAGAAGGTTCAACATGAAGTTCGCTGGCTGCTTCTCAATTTCCCCGAGAAAGCACTGGATGCACCTGAGAGCCTTGAGATAATGTTAGGCACTGCTTTACCGTCAGACATTTCCTTTCAACTGAAGGTTTGCTAACTCTTTTTATTATGTCTTCCATCCACTTTCTTCAATTTTACTTCATTCGCTTTGTGGAGAAAACAGACGCATGAGCTAATGTGAAAGCAGTATCTCCTATATTGGGCTCCTGTCGCACCTATTGAAGCATTAACATTCTTTTTACCGGCATATGGAAACCACCCATTCATTCTACAGTATGCCATGCGAGCCCTGGAAAGCCACTCTATCGATGTTAGATTTTATCTTGTTCCACAACTTGTACAAGCCTTGCGATACGATGCCTTGGGCTATGTTGAGCGATATATTTATGAAACTGCAAAACTTTCTCAATTATTCGCCCACCAAGTCATTTGGAACATGAAGGCAAATGCGTATAAAGACGAAGATTCTCAGATTGTATTCATCCCATTGAACCCTCTAATGAGTTCGCACAGACGCTAACCAATAGATAGCCCGACTCAGTCAAGCCTACGTTGGATAGCTTCATGGAAAGATTAATATCAAGTTTCTCCACGGACGAACGCGACTTCTATGAGAGAGAATTTTCCTTCTTTAACGAGGTTACCGGAGTTTCTGGAAAGCTACGACCGTTTATCAAAAAGAGTAAACCTGAAAAGAAACAAAAGATTGAGGAGGAACTACGCAAGATAAAAGTGGAAGTCGGAGTTTATCTGCCAAGTAACCCTGATGGAGTCGTTGTTGGCATTGATCGAAAGTCTGGGAAGCCCTTACAAAGCCATGCAAAAGCTCCGTATATGGCTACATTCAGAATCCAAAAAACCAGGCCCGTCGAGCGAGCCGTCGATAAAGGTGCAAGAGAGAAACAGTTATTACAAAACGGCAGCAAAAGTACATCGGCAGAGCACTCAAGTGAGACGTACGAAGTCTGGCAATCTGCTATTTTCAAAGTCGGCGATGATTGCCGACAAGATGTCCTAGCCCTGCAGTTGATAGCCGCTTTTAGGAGTGTGTTCAACTCAGTTGGGTTAGATGTCTGGGTGTTTCCTTATCGAGTGACAGCTACTGCTCCTGGATGTGGCGTCATTGATGTTTTGCCGAACTCCATCTCTCGAGACATGCTTGGTCGTGAAGCTGTTAATGGACTTTACGACTATTTCGTTTCAAAATATGGCGGAGAAGAGTCCACAAGATTCCAAGAGGCCCGAACGAATTTTGTCAAGAGCATGGCCTCATATTCGGTTATTTCATATTTACTGCAGTTCAAAGACCGGCACAACGGCAATATCATGATTGACGACGCCGGACATATCATTCATATTGACTTTGGATTCTGTTTCGACATAGCACCTGGAGGTGTTCGCTTTGAAAGGGCTCCGTTCAAACTTACTTCAGAGATGGTGGCTGTCATGGGAGGAGTGCAACACGTTGCTGGTGGGAATTCTTCCGGAACACTGCATATACCAGGTACTCATGGCCACGATCCGACGGGCACACAATCCTACAAATGGTTCGAGTCACTTTGTGTCAAAGCATTCTTGGCGTCGCGTCCACATGCTAACAAATTCATTCAAATTGTGACGATGATGTTGGACAGCGGGTTGCCATGTTTCAAGCCAGAAACCATCAAGAATTTCCGCGACCGCTTTGTTCTGGACAAGAGTGAGAGGGAGGCAGCGGATTATATGCGTGATTTGATTGACAAGAGTTATCTCAGCTTGTCTACCAAGGGATATGATCAATTCCAACTCATGACCAACGGTATCCCTTACTAGTCGTGTATTCCGGCATTGCAATGCCAAATTTATATAGCCTTTAATGAATTATTCCAAGATTACCAAGCTGTAAGGGTTAGACCAAACATTACGTCGGATTATGAATAATTATATAGCAACATAGATACAGTACTATGTATTGCTGGCTTGAAGATACAACAAAAAGTTCATTTTTCCACACTATCCTAGGTGTTTATGATTCAAACCACCAATCAAAAAATCATGGGCTATGCTAAATATGAAGAACTATGCACTGAACCAGTCAGAAAAGAAAAACGAAAGCGCATGTGGTGTGTCAATCTTTGATACTGGTGGTTGCAACAGGTTGGAACTGTGCTGCGTAGAAAATACTCGAAACGCCTATAGCACACTGCTATAACGACAAAAATGGACACAAGAAACCGGCATGGTTACCATGGGAAACGAACATTCCGAATACATGGGCAGACCTGTACTTGGTTCGTGCATCTTTATTCTAAGATGCCTATCAATCAATCATCTTGCAAAATCAAGCAACCGTCTCGGGTCTCCGAGAGCCAGCATTTGTATGCAATCGCTGATGGCCAACCAGCAGCCACAGCTTAGCGGATACTACAGAATCATGGTCGTTGCGAGCGTCACGTGCTGACAAAAAGGAGGACCTTCCTATGTGTGTGTGCATGAGCGGTAATGTAAGCAAGACAATTGGAGCAAATCTAGTCCATGAAATCGGCACGAAGAATTTTCTCTTGAAAAAAATCCGGCTTATTCTGCCTCGGCTCCTTGGGCAGTTCACGCGAAGGCTGCTCCATTATGGCAATAGAAGCTGCGCGTTGGTGATGAATCTGCGGGTCACTATTTATCGGGGACTGCTGGTTTGAACCCCCAATGGAAGGGGCGCGTTCGGCTCTGTTCCGAAGAGCAGCGGACCAGTTAAATCCTTCGCCTGTAGGTCGCCATGACAGGTTAGATCTTTCATTTGCAGAGGTATTTTTGCTAGTACTTGCAGAGTGTGCAGGGGAATTATCTTTGGCAGAGGTAGTGTTGGTCGACGATGCGACGTCGCGCTTCGTCGCCGGAGAGAGTGAGCTGGAAAAGGAATATCTACCATTTCCTGTACCAGTTCCACCACGAGCCTCCCTTAATGCCTGAGCGCCAAATGACGCCCGTCTTGCAAAGGGCGATGTAGGATGGTTGGGGGACGCGCTCTCATTATCGTCGACAGCCTCTTCAAAGCTCCCCGAACTTGACAGACTTTCACGACGAGGGGGTAAATTGGAAAATGGCGAGGTCTGGGTTGGAGAACCAGACAAGCCCAAAGTGGTAATTGACATCCGTCGTGGGTTAGACTGTGCACTGGCTGCGGCCGTGGTTATGGGGCCGGAGAAGGAAGAGGGTCCAGTCGAGTTGCTATTCATAGTTGAGCCATTCGGTCTGGAGAAGAATTCGGTGAAGGAGCCCGGGGCCAAAGAAGCACGACGCTGGGAGGGAGGAGATGTTGACGTGGGTGAATTTGCACGATCAGTGGACATGACACAATGATTGATGTACCTGGTGGAGAGGGATGATTTCAAGAAGGATCACGGGCGGGCGGGAAGCCTCGCGGACGACAAAGGTATGGTTGTAGGCGAATAGCAAAGAGCAAAGAACTCTGGACAGAGTGTATGTGGGTGTAGAAAGGACGCTGAAGCAGATATGATGTCACTGTTCAGGGCATTGCGGGAGCGTCATCAACAGAGCAGGAAGATAAGAGGTCGTTCAGCCGAATCTTCTTATCTATTGTGATGGATACCGGTCACCTTTTTGCGCGAAGAGTGGTCGGAGAGCAGTTGCAATCAACGGGAGATCCGTGGGAATTGGGGAGTATAATCAGGAGCAAGAGAGACGACAGCTTTCTTCGGCCGAATTGCCCTTACATACGACCGGGGGCAGGTATTGTAGGTCTTTCGTCCTTGGCGGTATTAACACGGCGGGTGGAAGGGAAATGAGCGAGTTGGTAGGGGGTGATAACGAGGGAAGGCGAGCAATGTAGAGAAGAATGGGAGGATGCTGTTTTAGCTTCTGTGGATGGCCAGCAAAAAGCGGGGAAGGGAGTACACACAACCTTAGTCAGGCGGAAGCTGGCGGCGCGCCAATGGGCCGGCAGCGCGCAGGCCAGTGGTTGCCACTGTCAGATGCCAATCCTTACTCTGAAAATTGTATGCTGTGTCCGCTTCCGGCCAGCTGCGATGCTTTCCTTGGCTTTCTAGCCATACAGCTCCCGCCGCCTCGAGCCAAGCAGCACGTCCCCAGCGAAATAGCAATCAGTAAAATAGAACGGAGCAAACGAGTAAAATAGCTAAATAGTACGCAGTATCCGTAGGAAGTGGTAAGTAGCAGCAAGGGCTCAGGACTAAGAAGCTAAGAACGGCCCTGGTTGGCTCCCCCCGCAGTAGCCCCGCTCTGCCCAATGCTCATCGCCAAACAAGCTCACCGTAGCCGGAAACGGGCTAGGAGAACTGCCCTCGCATAGGCGTGCAGCAGATAATAAGATATCGTCCTGCATCCAATTACAGGTCACTTGTCGTGCTCGGCCGTGCTGAGGCAGTTGGTACCAAGTCAATGACGTCCTCCATCTTCCACAGTCACGACCCCAAAATCCGGAACAGCCACAACCAGGAGTGGGAGCCGCTAATCAGGATCGTCGTCGACTAATGCGGACTCTTGGTGCATCAGCGACTTGTCCTGCTGGGCCAGCACTTAATATACATCAGACAAGGCTAGGGCTCTATCATAGCCCATTGTTATTCGTATTCAGGGAACCCCACCCTTGTTAGTGGCTAATTCTTCATATTACTGTTCACCTCGGCCGTGCTGCAGCTTTCAAAACATGCTGGGTGTCGCGTGCTGGACTCCATCTTACTTTTAACTCGAGTTTATAAGCTGCCTATTGTGAAATAACCATGACAGGATCCCATTGAATACCTCCGTTTGCATGGTTCTATCATATGTACTTCATGTGTTGTCGGCATCACATCAATGTGTTTTCTGTGGACACTTGTGCCAGGGATACCATCAACAATTGTATTTAATATATGTAACAGGCAGCCTACGTAGGTAGATGTACAATGCCCACACGCCAGAGATGATCACGCCAGATGATACTACAAACAAGAAAAGAGAAAGGAGCGAGACAAGGAAAATCGTGTATTCAAGGGTCGTCTGTCTAACTAATGCTACTTCTCGCTGATGCTCCGTCGCTCGTGTATTCCTGGACACCGACAAAATTCACTGAAACATTAGAGACTAAAATATAAAGCAATAAAAACATACATAGCGCTCATGATACCTCCCTCATATTACTCGTTTCCCGAGATGCCATTAATCAAAGATGAACCTCCGAAAAAGTTCCTGCGCCTCTCCGTGTTTCTCTTGATAAGTATATCAGTTGATTTTTTGGTGTTCGGAAGTTCCCCACCCGGACCGCTGCCCAGAAGGAAGGAGCGAGCCTTCACCCTCCACCTTTCACCATTCACCATTCACCATTCACCTTTCACCTTTCAATACAATTACCGGCTGCCCCCGCGATGGTCCTGCAGATGCTGGTGAAAGAGCTGCGTCAATCTTCTTCCAACGCTGGGTTCTATCTCAGTGCCATCGCGAGCAATTTTGACCTCGCGGTTGGCGTTCCAAGGGTTACGCATTCCTCGAGTGCGATAGAATTGAACACGCTCGGTTGACATCCATTGTATTCGAAAAGGTTTCCCTAGAGACTGAGCGCCCGTGGCTCCATTGTTCTCGCTCATCTCGACACTTGCTTCATCCTTCAAGGCATCCCCATCAGCGCCTTGGCTCTCGCTGCCATCATCGTCTTCATCGTGACGACCCTCTATATCATCCGGATCGTCATCATCATCTGATGAGTCTGCTTCCCAGAACGTCGTCCCCCGAGCCGTGTCGTCGATTATCCTCCCTTTAGGCGCCGTTGCTGTGGCTTCTGTGGGTGTTACCTTGAAGTCGTCTGCTTCAATCAACCCCCTCTCAACCCGCACTGGCATTTCCAGACTGAGGGCGTCGTCATTACTGATAGGGGAAATCATCCGCGCGTAACCGAAATATTCTCCTGATTTATTGGCTGAAAAGATCAGGTAGACATTATCCGCAGACTATTCATTAGCGTAAGCAATTGGACAAGAGGTCGAAAAAGACGGGGGAAAGCATTCACCTCATAAGCTTCATTGAAAATGGATTCGTTATGAGTCTGTGTTGCCCATACGCCACTTTGACGGCTTAATTCAAGATCTTCTACTGTTAAGCTTTTGACAACAAAGAATCGCTCTGGTACTCGTGCCAGCTTTCGAGGCGGACTCGGGCTTGCGTTCTCGCTCTCCGCAGGAGTCACCATATGATCGTTGTCTTGTGCTAGAGAGTTTCGATCACCGACGCGACCAAGTGGACCAGAGCCAGGCAGAGTCACACCTTTCCGTAATCTGCACACTAACCTCATACCATGAAACCTAGAATCCTGAAATCTAGACAACGCCGCGGCACAAGCACCCTCGCTCTTATAATTCACAAAAGCACAGTTGCTTTTCGATATCAAAAACACGCTTTCGATTTCGTCGGTTGCATCTTTAGAAAAATGGTCCTTCAGATCGACAACATTAGCCATTGGAGGAAGATTTCCAACCCACAGGGCATGGCCAGACTGTTTTGGTTTACGTGGTGGGCCTCGTGGTGCGCTGGATGCAGCCGGCAGCGACAAATTCGATGGATTGTGTTCTGTACAAGCCAGAAGTCAGCTATCACAAGCTTGTCTGCTATCACCAATTATCCCACTGCAAGTCATACGTACCCGAAATTTTAGGAGCCCGCGACGGCTTCATAGGCGAGGATCCGTCAACAATTGTCTGAGAGACGTCGTAGGTTGCCGCAGACACGCCCCTTTCAATTGCTTTTCTCGGTGACATGTGAGGTAATTGAGAGTGGTGGTAGTCCTTTGGAGGCTGTTCGCTCATGCGAACATTCGAATTCGCTTGATTATTTTCAAACCCAGCGTTATATGAATGTTGTGAGTAGTACGAAGGACTATACACCGCCGGTTGTGTATTCACTGTGGCGCCTCCTTCGTGGGACGGGTGATACGCTAAATATCCAGTGTGAGGCTGAGAATGATGATGTATATATGGGTGCTGATAATTCGGTGAATATGGTACGTTATACATTGTGTTCCCGGGATTCTGGCAAACGTAGGGCATTTGCTGGACGGGATACATGATCCCTTGCGACTGGTGTGTTTCAATAAACTGATGCTGAACGTTGGTTTGTCTAAAAGGCAGAGATGCATTCTGGTAAGTAGGCAATGTAGAACTCATGCTGACCATATTTAGCGGTGGCGATATTTTTTTATGACTGTCCGGAGCTGTATAGCTGTGCGATGCCGGTTGATATTCGGTGCTAGGTGGCCGAGGTGTTTGGTCAACACGGTGTGTTGCCTTTATAGGCTCTTGTAAGGTTTGAGAAAATTCATCTGGAGATGCTATTAGCATAGAAGTCTCACGTCTGTCAGGGAGGTATCGGGTGGGCACAAACCCGAGTGAGCAAGATTTTCGGCGGATCCAGATCTTGCTTTGGGTGGTAAATGCTCCTCAGCAACCTCGTGTCGAGAGTGCACAGGAGGAACATCACCCATGGGGTCGACTTTGGGTTTAGAAACCAAATAGATGTCGACTGCCTTTCTTGTTTCCTGCATCCGGAATTAGGTTGAACGTGTCCGAATTTGAGCCCGAATAACAGCCAATCAAGCTACTGAAAAGGGGGGAAACGAGTTAACAAATGGGTGCCACATACCGCTATGAGACAAGTATATGGGTTTGCCTTAGGTTTTGGTTTTGTCCTCAAGGCGACTATTTGACCTGATTTGCAGTGCTGATCTCTGAGAACTCGGATGTTAGCAATGTTCGACAACAAGGGATCTGAAGGGGGAAGCGGAAATCGATGAGAAAATAGAAAAAGAAGAAAAAGAAGTGACCAGACAAAATAATTTCACAAGGCAGACAATATGGTGAAAACAATTAAGAGGTGTAGGGGCCTCAGGGAAGATCGACCATGTGTGCGAAAATTATTTCCACGTGATTGGTGACAAATTTTCGGGATAACAATACTGAATTCCTTCCCAAGTGGAGGAGCGCGAGAGAGGAACTTGCCAGGTAGGCGAGTGGAGCGGGTGAGGAATGGGGGTTCGTGAGTCAACTCTAGAACCACCAGGGTAACAGATAGGTAGACTCCCGGTTTTCCACATCTCGTACGTGATGCACAAGAAGGACAGGACAAACACGAGGGCTTAGTGGACTGAACGTTGTATGCGGTGTGGGAGGAAATGTACATTGAGTGAGTATTCATCAGCCGCTCGCAGTAAGATACTACTGGGGTTTTTGAACCTTCAAAGGCAGCATGGCGCCGCAGCGGAATGGGGGAGAGAAAGGAGACGAGGTACCTTACCTGGCGGTTTAATGATGGCTCTCTGGCCAGTCCTCTTTAGGCCACAATGGCGCCGCCTGGGGCTGGGGGCTCTTCGTTGATGCGTTATCAACGTCCAACTGTTGGGATTTTCAACTCCGAATTTATGACTCGGGTAAACCGAGGGGGAACTTTCTTTATATACCTCCTATCTAACTACTTTCACCGGTAGCACAGCTCGATTGTGATGGGGCAGCTGAAAACGAATGCAAATAACCAAACGCTTACCGCAATCGCCTGCAGATGAATGCCCGCCAGACTCCCGCGACGCGGTAACGAACCCGCAGGGATGTTAAAGCTAACCGGCCTGACAGAATGATTACTGTCCCTCAGCCAAACAATGGCCTTTAACTGACAAGGTGGAGACGATAGCTCTGCCAAATGCTACCGAACGCCACAGAGACTCACCAGCCCCTCCACGTCAAGAGTTGCTGATTAAAAGGATGTTGGGTTGCTGTGGTAGAGATCACTAGGAAGATACTCAGTAGAAGAGAGGCAACCGATTATAGGCTGAGTCTCCACCTGACTTCTTATTCTTTGCTCTTTTCGCTGTGTCTCTTCCAGTGGCCACACGAGGCAAAATTGCTGCCTGCTCAACGGTGGATATACGATTGCTGCAGATCAATGTTTCGAAGGGGTAAGAAGAAACAATTGGAAGATCTTTCAGTGGGCTAAGAGGGGAGAGGAGTGAAGGCTGGTGCTGCCTTGATCGTCCGAATCACTATTTATGGATTTAAAAACAAATCAACATTTATAATAGCGCCGCCCAGTAAGTGCTGTGCCGGGGCTCCACGAGCTAAGCAATGAAAGTGGGAGGTCCACTGGAATGGCTTACCATGTGGTGGCGTTTCGATTCAGATCAACAATGTCTTCTTAAAAAAGAAGGACACAAGTGTGAGATTGGAAGCGCTAAACACTCTTGGACAGATCGTAGCTCGAAGCCACAGTTGCTCGATGCATGTGGCGCTGAATCAGTTGTAGAGTGAATTAGTAGTATTCTTTATAACTAAGGATTGGCAATGGGGACCGGACAGGCTGGACTAAAAAAGGTTCTCCAAGGCCCGCTAATTACTGTAATTCCCGAAAGGTCTAGTACCTCCTATATACCTATTTAATTCTTTTATTATCTTTTTTTTTCCCTTTATAGTAGATGTGGAGAAGGCGAGGAGTCAGTCTGACATAGGAGGCGCTTAGGCTGATTACCCCGATAAGTAAAGTGGCTCATTCTTTCTACCCACTTATGCCATGCCACAATGGTACATTGTACAATAATGCAGCCACAATTACAGTAAGTTCAGAAAATCCAATGGACACCGACTGGGGATGGTGGCCTTTCAACTCTATCAACTGTGATTTTTTGACAGAACCATACCTGACGATGTACGACGCAATGCAGAGGCAAGAGTCAACTTCCAGTAAAACTTCCACCAGAAACATGAATTTGACACTAAAATTAATATGCGCCACAACCAGCGATTCTTAATTTCGGAATAGATTAAGAAAGAAATTTTTTAGAGTTCCTTTGTTGTTTCTGGGCTAAAATGCCAATTGTAGGATCTTTACGAGTGTGTTTGGTATGTAAAATATTACTGACTACATACGTAACGTACATTGGAGCGCAGATCGCTGTGGCAGTGAGTAACTGACGACGGGACGGGCCTCATATGGTGTATGATCGTCTCACACGATCGCCCTCTATTTCTCTTCTCTGTTTTGCCACCTTGGGCACTGGGATGCGGCCATCGTCTGCTACATGCGGTGGTTAGCGGAATGGGTCCATGCATAAATTTGGATGGCTGTGCTAAGGGGATCATGACACCGGCTTTTTTTCTTTTCCTTTTCCTTTTGACCCTCGTAAAATAGAGCAATTCCATTGACTTCTTCTTCTTCATTCTCCTCCTCGGCCCGCACCCCGCCAACCAAAGCAAGAGAACAAGCTAGCCAGGTCCCGCTCTGAAATGTCAGGGCTGCATTCCCACTAGGTCCAAAGCTTGGACCTAAGCTCCAAATTCAATGAACGGACGACGCTAGCCAATAGCTTCTTTTTTTCACTTTCTTGGTGATAGGCAGCTGCCAATCCTAATAGACAGAACGGGTAAATCGGCGATTGCAAGCTGCGCGAAATGTGTCAACACATAATAGAGAGCGCTCCGTGTGATCCCCATTATCATAGCGCACTTATGGTGCAAACTGGGCGCAAAATGCGGCGTCTTGACTGCGGAAGGTCCATCTATGCTTTATCCCGTATGCGGGCTGGCTCCACTTGGCCGGTATGAGATTCCAGCCAATCGTTCCCGCCACGTTCAGTGTCCAATTGCAAGCAACTACTGATATTACAGGGGCAGTACTATAATATGATTAAACGGCTTTTTAACTGCTACTATCATCATCACCATCATCATCATAATCATCCCTCTTTGCTAACCGAGTCATGTTGATAATTGAACCTAACTCCTACGCATAGGTGTGCTTTTGCTATACATGCTTCCGGCGGCTGGGCACCGCACCTGTTTTCAGGCACAGTCGGCTGCATACAACCCAAGGCCGAGGTTGATACAGAATGAATTGGCGACGAGATTGGCCACTATGAATATCATCTAGCCATTGCCACAGCAAAAAAGAGAAAATACCATGCAAGCTACTCCACTCGACCCCTTCTCGTTCGTCTTGTATCCCTAGCCTCCCCATCAGCGGCTGCAAGGTTGAATCCTGACACATACTGCCGAGCTCGGCGCCGAAGCTGTCGCTATTATTATTATGTGTACGTGTGGCTTATGCTTGCGGACAGAACAGAGCGATGACGTCATCGGGCTCGTTATTGGGGTGTTGCGAACCCATGTCGAAAGCACAGCAAATAACATACAAAAAGGCCCGCACGGCGCCATTCTTGCACGACAGAAGGCCTGCTGGGCCGCCAGTCGAAGTTAATCAAATATGCCACAAAGATGGAACCGCTTCAAGTGATCAGAAGAGACTGCTGGAAACCTATCGAGTAATGCAAAGAGTCTATGGAGTCTGGACTGAGTCAGTCCTCTACGATTGGTCGATCTCTGGATGCGACTCCACTGGTTGGCTTACGGGAACACGACAATAATAATATAAGGTACTTCTATCATCGTTGTCTAATGCCTTGCACTCAATCTGGATAAATTGAAGACGGAGTGGCAGTCCCCAGACCGATGCTAGCAATAAGTCGCTAGCCCTGCCGCGTAGAGCCTAGATGATGTTGAAATAGAGGACGATCACACGTTTTGCCAGCGACGATCTAGGCGAATCACAGCTTAGAGGTCACGAGTATTAGATCTTCGGATGAACTCAGAGTGGGGTAGAAGTGGGTATGCGGGGCAAGGTGGGCTCCTTGGCTGGCTTCTGTCCAATAGTGATCCACCTACAGCGGCCTCCTGAGTCATAAAAACGTATGCGGCGTCGTTGGCGTGTTTTCGGCGCCTCTGTTGCACGCCAGCTCGTTGGCCAGACTTACTCAGATGACCACGGGCGGTGGGTCTGTGGCGCCGTAGCACAGTGAACCCACTGAACCCCCTGAAACAGGAACATAGCTAACACGATAGGTACCGAAAGGCCTCAATGTGGCTTGTCAGGGCGCCGCGAATACATGGATCCGTCTTCATTCCAGAAACTTCTATACCAGTCTCGAAAACCGAACACCACGAGAAGAACGAAGAAACAAGCATAGATACGGTCGCTTAGGCATTAGTTTCTCGGAGATTCGCACAGCCCCATGTCAGATTCTTTCCCATGTTTACAAAATACACTCATGTTGGCAGCGTCAGAAGAAAATTTTGTTATCCCTTTTCACATGTGATGCATTGACAGAAATTGACAGAAATCTTCCGATCCAGGACAGCCTGTCCACAAAGGAAAAAAAACCGCTGTTTAGCATGGCTTGAGATTTCTACCATATGCACAGCGCCACCGCCGCATAGATTTTGTGTAGAAGTGGCGTTCATCATCGGATTATTGCACATCAATCTTCTAAGTACGTATTAGATGACGCTCAGATACTACCACCCTTGTCTGTGGCTCAACTAACGTGGGCTGATGGCAGATCGAAAATATTGCCACTGTGGCTGCTATTTTCTTGACGGCTAAAGTCTAACATGTTATTTTGTTTTGATTTTGTTTTTCATTATCATGCATGATATAACAAATTAAGGTTCGCGTAAGGGGGAAAATAGACTTGTGATACCATAGTTATATTCAATCCATGTATTGATTGATTGACAGAGACTGATATCACAATATGAAGATATACGTATCAATCCATAGCTGTATACATATATACAGACGAGTCAATGAGTAGATATCATGCTAGAATTAAGGGGTGGCTTGGTAAGATGTGAGAGGAAAACAAAGAGCTGAATAAAAGTATCTGGGAATCATGCCCAACCAAACCAAACAAATTAAACCAAATATCCACACACTAGGTAAGTAGACAACTTAGCAGGCTGTATTAGGAGAGTTGAAATGATCAAAAAATGAAAAATGAGTTGGGGGCTTGGAGTGTTCAGGAGTTTGGGATCCCATATTATATGTACCTGGATTCGTCGACCTGGCGGAATTCATGTGTTTAATGAGAGAAGAGAAGACGTGGAACGGCAAGATCAGGATGAGGCGAGAAAAAAAAGCGTATAAAGAAAAAAGGATGAAAAAGAAACCGCTTTCTGGATATCAAGTTGATAAACAAAGAAATATAACATATCCAAAAAAGAGCATTAAGCAGTCATATAGTCGAAGGCATGAAAAGACATTCATATAATAAAACAGACCCGAGTTATATTTTCATTCCGGCTTTTCCTGCCAATTCCAAACCCATAGTAACAACATTAACATGCGACGAGCATGTTGGCAGTTCCCTTAATACATAAAAAAGCAATATTTATAAACCCACAACTGGGCTAAAAATAACAGTTACCTGTCATTCCCAAGAGATGCTACTTTGCCAGCAAATCTCGCGCCTGCGCTGCCTCTTTTCTGTAGCTTTTCTCGTTCTCTACCATCTAAAGGGGCTAGAGCGTGGGCTGCCGAGTGAGACTCGGAGCCTGAATTACCCCGGATCAGCGGGAGGGGTGAAAGACCGCTGGAGCCCTGCTTCCCAGGCGTAGGAGGAGAAAATGTTGTATATGTACTCGATACCACGGCTGTGCGTTGGCTGATATACAGTTGTGCCGAAGGAGACAGAGTTATTGGTGCGGGCTGGGACGGAATCTCGGCACCGTTTTGAACCAATAATTCGGCAATCGGGAACGGTATGGCTCTGGTGGACGTTGTCTTCGAGTTAGCGGCTAGTCCTGGCGAGGATCCAGGAGTAGCTGGATCGGCAGCAGCAAGAGCAAGAAACACTGCGTGGGTATTTCGTGAGCGATCAGCAACATTGACGTCGGCTCGTAGCGCTATTCCGTAAAGAACGCCTTGGATATCATTCTTCTTGATCGATGCCAACAGGGTTTCGTTGGCCGTAGAGTAATGTGAGCGTCCAAACGTCAATGGCCGCACATATGCGCGATCACTATATTTAGCGGTGATAAACTTTAATCTCTCCTCACGAGTCGATTGTGGCTGTGGTTTTTGCAACTGATCTAAGGTTGCTTCCCAGACCATGTTGCTGACCCGATTTCCAACCTGTAAGAGTATTTCGACAATGTCGTTCGAAAAAGAATTCACGTCCAAAGTCAAAGACCGAACTTTAGAAATGTGAGTTCCCAGAGATCGGTGGATACCACTACACTCGATACATAGAACAATCCCTAGGTTAATGGAAACCCATTCAACCTTGAGAGTGGATGCACAATCAGCACACCATTTGTTCCCTTGGTCGGCATCACGTATTGTTTGTAGTAACTTGGCTGGGTTCTCTTCGTAGCTATTGCTATCACTGCGGATATAGCTTGGCCGGGCACCCACCGTCGTTCGACGATTGACGCTGGTGGCGTTTGATGCATTGGAATGAGAGTGTTGTCCCGAGTACGAAGAGCTCTTGCCGGTTAAGATAGAACCAATGTCTCGCCGCTTGGAACTGCTGTCACTACGTGCCGAAGGTGGTACCGATGGTAGAGGATTGAGTCCTTCAACTGCACTCTGCAACGCATTATTGATTGCCGTGATCCAGGTACTCATGTCTTCTTCAGAAGTTGCCTGGTAGATACGTTTGAATTGCGGTGTAATCACTTCAAAGCAAAATCGACGCTCGGCGTTTCTTGCTTCACGTACAGAAGCCATACGCAAATCAATGGGATCCATGTGAAGATCTAGCCTCTGTTTCCAGTTGCTGTACTCCGAAAGCTGGCCTTGATCTAATACAATCCAAAATCTATTTTATTAGTCAGAGGTAGCCTTTTGCCGCGATTTCAATGCTCCAGACTTACTTATGCCATGCTTGTTTGTTAATCCCCTTTGGGTCGATATGAGACCCGGGGCGCGAGAGGGCCCATAGCAGACCCTCCTTCCTCTGCGGACCTGCCAGCTTATCTGAACCCGCCACCGATATTCCATCTTCAAGATCTCGGAATCCTTTGAAGCGGCTCTGGTTCGATGTGACATTTGAAGCAGAGGTTGATAAGTTGCTTGTCCCAGTGGGCTGAGTAGCCTGCGAGGAGACAGATGATGTATTGCTATGAACGTTTCTAAGCTGTGAGCCAGTGCTGTCTGCTCTGTTAAGCTCCGGTTCTGACGTTTGTCCGTTATTGGAAGAGCTTATTACACCGGGGGTAGAGATGTTTTCCGGTTCCACGTAGGTCTTAGTGCTTTTCTCCAAGGCTCGTCGCTTTTCCTCTCGCTCTGTTCGTTGGAATTTAAACTCCTTGTCGGCTTGTTCGACTTCCCGTATAAGGGCATCCAGTTGAGGAACCATTTCATCCACCCTTTTTGACGTGGCAAGGTAATTTCTAGCTTGTGTCTCCGCGTACTTTGTTAGATGAGATAAGACTTCTTGTTCCTTTCGGCCACCGTGAAGATCTTGCATAAATGACGAGTAGTCGAATCGTTTGAGCTCAAAAGTCCGTCGCTTTGCCTGATACTTGGAATCACTTTCTACACGCTTTTTCTCCTTCAAAGAGTCTTGGCGTTGTCCTAAATAGCGCCCAACATAAGCATAGTAATCTCTGCTTTCCTCATCAAAATCCTTTTTCTTCGATTCGGCCTGTTTGATGTCGTTATTGTATAGTTTGGATAGAGGCTCAATGACAAGCTTCTGTAGATGCAACGTGTTGACCTGTTCATAATTGAGAATCTCACGTGCAATTTTCTCGAAATAGTGTTCCATAGCGGGCTGGATAGCATTGGCATTAGAAGAAGACGCGTCGTTCAGAGCTGAAATGAACGCGTTCGTTGCTTCGTTACAACCAATCTGAGCCAGATGAGCCGCTTCAGCCTTTTTCAAAACCTTTTTAATTTTCGCACGCATACTTCCCGTTCTCTGTTCTAGTGCTTTTATCGTGGCTCGAAAGAGTGGGCCATCTTCAACAGCACTCATATCGTCACCTTGACGAGATGGGAGGTCAACTTTCACCGGAGCAGGAGCGGAAGCTGCTGACGGTACATCTGCTGGTTCTGCCGGGCTGGCTGAAGGTCCCTCTGTATCACTGAGGTGAGACATAATGGACTGAGAGGAAGGTATCCGATTGCGACCGGGACCAGTTATATCCAAAGTTGGCGGAGACATTGTTTGTGGGCTGGAGATAGGCCGCCCTGTATTCTGAACCCAGAATGTAAGATTGGCAAGTGTGTTCAATCGATTCGTTCTTTGGTCATAGTCAAGAAAACTGCAGCTGTTCCTCCAGCCTCCACCCTTATCCTCGACAGGCTTTGGAGCTTTCCACTTCCATGTCCATTCAAATTGAACGGAAGGGCTACCATTAGTCGCAAAATCACCAACGAACTGTACATTTGTGTTATTTTGTAGGTTAGGGTTGGCATGGAATTCTCTTGTGATGAGGTTGTCTAGTTCTTTGATGTTGGACGCATGCGCGAAGGTTAGACCTGTCAGACTGGTGTCGATAGTTTCGGGCAACGAAGTGGAGACGCCATTGACTGTGGAGTTGAATACATTGCCAGTCTGTGTTTGCCTGGTGATAAATAAGAATTTGAAGTTGAGTTCCTCATCGTTGTTCAGCCGAAGCAGGAACGAAGGAATCGATGCGGACGAGGGGGGGTCGGGGTCCTGACGAGTATGAGAACATTGGTCAGCTTCATAGGGAAAAAGCAGTATTATAACACCATCAGAAACCCGTGGAGAGACAATACCTGAACATATTCCACAGGGCTATCATCACCGACATCGCGCTTGGCGACATATCTTGTTGCAGGAAATGTATTTGGCGAGAGATTAAGGAGAACACGATTGCGCGAATTCGTGATTGTTATACTAGCGATGGTGACTTCACCGATAACACACAGGGTCTGATCAGTGTATAGTTCAGATAAAGTTCAGAAACTGGTTTTCAGACTCACATTTGTTCTGGTCCTTGAAAAACAAGGTACCCGAATCATCGATACGACTTCCTACGTTACCCATCTTCCCCAAGTTGTGCGCAATCCTTGTTCAGGTTGCGAGGCGAAGTAAACTCGACGACAGGGTCGGACGACGGATGGCCACCATTGAACGGAGGGGTTAGCGCACCACAGATTGTAAGAGAATGATGCCTTGCTAGCAACGTCTGCTTGTTTTATTCTTTCTAAATGTCGATGCCTATACGGGCGTAGTTTTTTCGGCTGAAATGGCGTTGTTGCCTTCGGAAAGAAGAGGACAGCAAAGTTGCGTATGAATCAGCGTGGCTGATTTCAACTGAAACCAAGGTCACAAGGCACTGTTGCTCACGAGACACACATGGCGAGCGATATTTCAGTGAGAAATCCAGGCTGTTACGGATGCTGAGAACTGTGTATCGAGCTCGAACAAAAGTGAGCGAACGAAAGTGGCTGGATGGTCCAACATTCGTGGCTCGGAGAGTTGATGGTTGTAGTGGCAGCGGCTGGTTTGCATGGCAAGTGGGGGCCTTGGGCGTTGCTATGATTAGCGCTAATGATCGGTCCCGCAACCGCCAGAGAAAAGAGAAGATGAACGATCCAACATCCTCCACGTCCATCCACCAAGGGACAAATACAGTCTAAATGCTTGCGATTGTCGCACGTGTTCCTATGGCTGTGTACTTTCTCGTACGTCGTAAATGTCGACGCTGGCCAGGCTGAGAGACATGGCTAGTGATCTGAACACATAATCCATAATCAAACGTTTTTGACACTGTCATTTTTTATAATGTCTTTAACACACTCTAGTGTTGTAGTGCAAAAATGGATATTCCATGCAAAGACTATACATTAGTATCTCGGCTAATGATACGTTCACAAAATTATTCTTGTCTGCAATACCGAGATATAGACTAGAATTGGCTTCAAAGAAAGTCGGGTATAAAATCACAAGAAATAACTGATATCCAAGTAAAGAACAAGTGCATCGAAAAAGTAGTAGATATTGAACCCAAAATTATCGACAGGTAGTTCATCGTGATTCATCCAGCTTCCGCTGCAGTTTTGGTTCGTCTGTTGCTTCCAGCCAATGTCGAAATTTGCCTCTAACATCCTTCATTTCATTAAAATTGCGAGCAAGATTGCCCCTCTGGTGTGTGTTTAGCTGTCCACCGCGTCGACGCATATCCTCTTCGTCAGAGCTGGAAAGTGATGATTCGGAGTTGTGGACTTGTTGCATATACACTAGCTGGCCTTGACTTTGTTTCTTCTCCATTCTTCTTTCTTCTTTAAGACGGTTCATTCGCTCCGCATCTTTCTGGCAGTCAAGAGTCGTGACGTGTAACCCAGGAAAGTTAGCAGATAAGAATTCTTGAAGAAGGTGGAGTTTATCGGCGTTTGGCCGATATGTTCCACTATCATTATCAATCATGAGTTCGTATTCAATAGAGTCATCATTATTTTCATTGCTATCATGTGCTTCGTTTCCTTCGATTACTTCACCATTTGAAGAAGTGTTCTCCGTAGACCCGTTAGATTGTTGGCGCCGATGGTGGTGTTTCTTTCTGAGGCGTACAAAAAATTCGCCAGAGAAAGCGATATAGATTGACACATCACTGTGCATGGTATGTTTGCTCAAGAGATCGATGCCAAACTCCTTCCCAGTTTCTGTGAAGCGCATATGGCCATCCAGCGTGAGCACATACGTGAAGATCTTGCCACCGCGGCCGTGATCCACAAAGTCTAAGAATAACTGGGTGAGTTCTGTAGAGGGGGATGGAAATTGCCCGTTCATAGTGCTTCGGTCAAAGTTATAGATGCGGGCATGCTGGTGGTGCAATGCTCGATTGAGGATACGTCCTCGTAAACTCTGAGAAGTGAACATTCCTGCCACAAAGGGTTTAAATTCGACGTATCTATGATATAACTCCTCAGGAACAGGTCCTCTAAGCTGTATCTGAACTGCTTGGAAGCTGTATGAAAATGTTCAGCAACGGACGATGATGTGTTGGACGGGATTTGACTTACTTATAGCGGGTGCTTTTGCCTTTCGCATCTTGGTTCTCTGTCATAACCGAAGTTTTCAAGATTCTTCCAATTAATGGAGAGAAATGTTTAAACCAGTATAGAGGCCCCAATGTGTACATGTGGCCACCGTTGTCGGTGGGAGTCCGCCCAAGACACTCAACACTCATGATCAATTCGGCATTCATACTTCGTTTCGGAGAACAAGTCGCAGCGAGAGTCCTGAAGAAATAGGCCCTCTTACTTCCAGCACGCTTTTTGATATGGTACGAGGTTTCTTGGATTCCTCTCCAGTTCTTAGATATATTATCCACAATAACATGTGCATTCCCTAGCCTATCATCATGGTCTGCCGGATCCTCGTCAAAAACACGACACTTAAGATGGAACCCTGAAGCGGGAACATTGGCCACGATCCATTCCGAGTCCCAAACAGGATTAACATCTCTTCTTACTGTGTGTGTTCGAAAAGATATCTCAGGGTCTTGTTTGTGCCGCTTGGGGAGATCGACTCGCAACTCAGCTCGAACGAAGGGATCGGATGATAGCGTATTGAAATCGGCGACAGGAAGATTCTTCGCCTGGTGGAAGGTAAATTTGAGGGTGAAACCAGGGGGCACGCGTGGTATAGGCGTCTCATCAAAACCACCCGGCGGACTCTTTTCGGAGCGAAGTTTGCTGTCATCATCCCGCGCGAGGGCTATAGCTTTATCGTGGGCCTTTTGCGTCTTATCGACAAATTTCGTGCCATATACCTCGGTCACATGTCGATGACGCACCTCTGGGGACACCTCATTATCCATCTACTAGATCACAGCAAGCCGACGAGAAGTGGTGGGTAACAACGCCTGGTAGTTAAGAACAAGACGCCAAGTACTTTTAGTATATTTGCGCGGCTACAATAAGGGAGTGGGATAAGTGAACCTAGACAATGCCCGAAAGATGGCAGCAGGAAGTGACGATCTGAATGGATTTTACCATCGTCATCGTGGGTCGAGATCGTCACGTCAAGTCAAGCATTGCTTGGCGGGAATAACTTGTGGATTCGACGCTAGCAACAGGCTTCCCTGCCATTGGCCAAGGCGGGCTACGTATTCGTACGCTGGAAGAACCGACGATATTTTCATCACCCAGGATAAATAGGGAAAAGGACAGGAGAAAAACTTGTGATAGCAAATTTCAGTGAAGAAGAATACTGAACGATCATTTTCTAACCCACGATCGGAAACTAAGATAAATAACCGATCCTTGCACAGCTCCGTAGTGACATCTCACGCCTCCTCTACTTCCTTGAAAATGGTTGCAAAATCACGCCCCTTGCATCGACTCTTGTCGATTTATAGTTCCTAGTGTTCTATTTTCCCCTTATTTTCCTCAACTTAGTGGCTAATCAGGATCCTCGGAACAAGAATTGCATGTCCTCTGGAGTGAGTTTTTCTAGGGCTTCTCCTTGATCTTTGTTGATGGTGCCGTTGATCATGTTGGCCTTTTTCTCCTGCAGGAGCACCATACGAGATTCTACCGAATCCTCGATGCAGAGTCGAGTGATGACGCACGGACGGCGTTGTCCAATGCGGTGGCATCGGTCCGCACTCTGCCATTCTGCTGCTGGGTTCCACCATCTAAAACAACGGCTTGTGAGTACCAACGCAAAACATACGCTAGCTTTCGCCGCATAGAAAATAGAGCGAACTTACGGATCGACAATAAAAACCCGAGATGCCTCCGTTAGATTCAGAGCTACTCCACCAGCCTTGAGAGAAACAAGAAAGACTTCGACGTCGACGTTTTTCATGAAGTAGTCAATAGAATTCTGACGCTGAGTGGGAGTCATGCTTCCGTCCAGCATAACTGTATTAAACCCAGCCCGACGTAGCCGCCATTCAACTAACTGCAGCATAGATGTGAATTGAGAAAACACAATCGACTTATGTGTTTGTTTCTTGCTTCGAAATTTGTATAGATCGTAGACGAGCATCTCGATCTTCGTTGACGATGTCCAGTTCTCCATGCGAATGCGGTTGATGATTGAGTTCTTTTTAACAATATCCTCTTCTTGTTCGATTTCCGGCTGCTCGAGATCAATTGATAGGGGAATATGGCATCGTGGACAATCTACAATGGAGTCGATATCGAAAGATCGCATGTAGTCTTTTGCACATTGTCTGCAAAACTCGTGATGACAGCGAGATCGTATTGGACTCTCTGCTGGTTCGTCGCAAATGCTGCAAACTAGAACGTTTTGTCCACCTTCGGCGTGTTTTTTGAGAATCAAATCAGGATGATTGGCAACCTGCCGCATTTGCATGATGAGACCAAAAATATTTGCATAATTATTAAGCATGACTCCGCGGCTGACATAGGTGTCAAATTGCCTGGTGGTATTTGTCATGATGCTGGTAGAGAAGTCGCGCTCAATCTCACCAAAGAATTCATTATGAATGACCACGCTGCCATGATTAAGTGTTAGAGGAATTAATACATTGCTGGCGCAATAAGAAAGAAGTCAGTTACCGTTTGGGAGGAAGCTCCATAGAGGCAGTATGATCTCTCTTCATTCTTCGCAGCATGATCCTATCAGTAATGAGACGAAGTTTTTTCAACGCATCCTGACGAGCCTGTCCATTGTTTCTCTCTGTGACTACGGAAATTTTAGATATATCAAAAAAATTCAAGGATGTTGTTCAACTTACTTGGATTAAGAATCTCCTGATTGAATACAGACACATGACTAAATCCACTATACGATACTATTAGCAAATACATGGGGGTTTCCGCCCCCGGGGGGGGGGGAGGGTTCTTACCTATGTTTACAATGGGTACATTTCTTTTCTGCATCCTGAGACCAGTGAAGTTCCTGGCATTTGCACATCTTGCAGAAATAGCAAGCGAAAGGACGGACCTCAAGGAAGCGAAGCAGAGAGAAGAATTCTCCAATGCGATTTTGCACCGGGGTTCCAGACAGGCACCATTTGTAATTAGATTTCAAAGCAAAGCATGCACGCGCTACGCTCGTTGTTCGTTGCTATTCTATGTCAGTATAGATGAATGCACATCAAACAATTGACTTGGTAATGATTACCTTGATGCTGTGTGCTTCGTCAAGTATCAGACGGTGGAAATGGATTGAATGAATCACACCTGTGGAAAGGTTAGCAATATGGACTTTGCTAATAACCGTATGGCTCTTACTGTCTTCCTTGACGATGCCATCGTCTCGATTCCAACCTTTAAGCTCCTTGCGATACATAGATTCCAGACCAGAATCTGGAAAAATGTTAGCAAATTATTAATTTTTTCTAAAAAAAAATAAGCAAAGCAAAAACACTGACAAGAAATCATGATGACATCGTGCCTTTGGATGTCCTTTTTCTCCATATGCTTGATCTTAGGATTTGAATTATGGTACACAAGTACCTTGAGCTTTCCATCCGTGTATTCCTGGGAGAAATTAGAAAGAGCTTTTGGTCATAAGAGATGCATTATCAATCAACTCACATTAATTTCAGACTGCCACTGCATCAAAGCCACCGGCGGTACAACAACCAAAGAAGGCTTTCCGACGGGATAGTCTGACATCAGAAGAGAGACCGCTTGAATAGTCTTACCCATGCCCATCTCATCGCCAAGTAGACCTCCTTTATATTGTGTTTGTTCTTGACGCATCATCCAGTTGAGGCCTTCAAGCTGGAATGATTTGAGCTTGCGGGATATGCTGGTGGGTTGTTCGGCCTGCACCGGTGTGATCGGTGGTTTATCCTCCAATTCTTTCCACATGGATACAATCGACGGGTGTTGGTTTTCGAGTTTCCTACGTTCTCTTTCGGCCTAAGCATTGGTTTTCGGTGGGTTAGAAGTCTGTAACTTTGCATAATAATAAGGTAAATCGTTACTTACCCGGCGACCCATACGAAATGGAAGAGATGTACCAGCTGTTCTTGGCGCTCGCACACCTCGACGACCCGAGGTTGCAGGTCTTTGGCGTCTAGAAATTGGTCTATCATTGTCCGTATCCGATGGAGGCGGGTCACTCAAACTATCGTCAGAAGAATAAACATATTCTTCTGCAGCATCAACCATGTTGGCCGTAGTTGAATCAAGGTCGGAGAGGGACATGTTATTGCTGGCTGCTGAGGAAGCTTGAAGGCGTGATTTTCGTGAATGGCGCCGTAGATTAGGCAGACGGATGTCGGAGTCGCTTGTCAACTGCTCACCGGACTCGAATGCAAGTTCATCATCATCGGAGTCAGGAATAGGTGAAGCTCGTTGTTTGCCAGAGGCAAAAAGTCGAGGGCGTTTTGATTCTACCCCTTCGTACTCTTGGAGTTGCAGTTCCTGGGCTAGTGCGGCATCAGACAGCTCAGTGCTCGGTCCTTCGTTAGAAATGTGAGAAGCAGATCTCTTCTTCCCAGTAGTAGGCTTGGGGAAATTCAATGACAAGGCGCTTGCACGAAGTTGTTGAGCACGAGTGGAAGCACTTATTCGTTTCTGAGGCTGGTCACGATTGGTATCAGATTCGCCAGGAGTAACCGTCACACTTGTAGCCGGAGTATCGTTGAGGCTTTCACCACGCGAAGATACATTGGCAGATGGGGAAAGCGACGAGGCAAGTGATGGAGACTCTGTTTGAAGTGGAACCACAACTTCAACGGTTCGTAGTAAAGACGTTCTTGTGGAGCGATGGGCAGCTTTCGTATTCGATTTGTCAGAAGTTGTGGTCATCGTGGCTGTATTCTGCTCGTCAGGCTGCATGAAGGGGACGCCAGACGAACTGCGTGCAAGCCTCGCAGAGCTTCGCCTCATGGGTGCAGCGATCGAAGGCTGGCTCTTCTGGGAGGAACCTATGAAGCCAAGCCGATAGTCAGCAAACGGGGAAGGTCAATTGATCTCCAGACCAGAGGCTGCGTACTGGACGTGGTGTTTGCAAATGCACGTCGTCCCATGATGGCTGACAAAGGTTTTTTATTAAAAAACGGTACTTCGGCACTGACAGGCACAAGGGCTGGGTGTTGCAGTAGAAGTAGGAGCTGTGTCGTCGTGTTCGAAGAGACGAGCAGCGTTGATGCTGAGAGCCTGGAATAATCATGGCATGAATAATGCCGACCAGACAGGCCGGGCCAATGGTTGGCGGGAAGGGCAGTTGCCTGGTCCCTCTTACCCACCGAGGCCCACTAGCTGGCGCCTGATAAGTGACAACAGGGGAAGGTGCGCAGCCGAAAAAAAAGAACAGGATGCCAATCGGAAGGAGCCTCGCCACCCTCACGTCTCGTTCCCCTTCCCATCACTCATCTATTGACTGCCTTTCTCTTACTATCTTATCATCATACCATCTTTGCTATAGTCACAGTCGACTCGCAGGCTCGAGCTGCTCAACCCGCCGCCAGAGTGTTGGTTGCCGTGGGCTTATTACTGATACGAACGTTATCGGCTGACAAACCTCTTAACACGGTTCACCCCACAGTTGCCTGTTCTCGCGCGTTAAGTGGAACGCGAAAGTGCCACGAGTTCCAGTGACTTGGCCTGCCCGTATTCACTGCGCCAGCCAGGAGAGTCGCCATCCAGCCATCTCCCTATCCCAGCTTCTTTAAAAAGAAAACGAGCCACGATTTGACTCACTCAATATGTGCGTATCTGTTATAGTTTCCATTCTTCTCTTTCAGCAAACGCTGATATTGAGCTGTTTAGGTCCAGACGACGACAGACTGGGAATCAAATCAGGGGACCGTAAGTTCGTATGAGTGCTACTTGCCAGCTATTTTGCTCACCAGACTTTGCAGACATTCTGCCCTTACCGACTTTCTTGCGGTAAGATATTATATTTCTTTTCCATTTCTGCTCGTAGAATTATCTATATGCAGATATCCTCGTAGTCGAAATAGTGTTACTGACCTGATCCAGTCAAATAACATATCTGCTGCTCAGATTCGAGATGATTATGAGCAGCGTTTACGGGAACCGGAGCGTCGGGCTGAAAGGGAAACCGGAGAAAATGGACTGGAAGAGGAAGAATATGACGATCAACCCAGTGAATCTCCAGAGCAACGAAAGAAGCGTAAGCGAAAGGAGGCGGCAACTCTTGCCAAGATCAAGCAAAGCAAGGAATTTGCGCGGCGTAAAGCCAGTCGTGCGGGTGACCCAGATGACGATGACGACGAAATAGCACGAGAAATGATGTATCAGAAATCGCGGCCTCTGCCCGGGCAGCTCGAAAACTGCGAGATCTGCAGCAAAAGATTCACCGTCACTCCCTACAGCAAAGCCGGCCCCAATGGTGGCCTTCTTTGCACAAAATGTTCAAAGGAGATTGCAAATGAGGAGAAGAAGGCTAGACCTAAGAAGGCCATGCCAAAGGTTGGCCGTCGACAACATCAAAGCAAGCTACTGGACGGACTAGCTCAACACGGTGCCTCAAGTTTGGTTGAGATGTGTACGAAGGTTAGCCTTTGCCTTTTATCTAATCGGGTGTTTGTCCATGGATTGACAAATGACACAGAAAGTTGCCGACAATATCAATGACATTGAAGAGTTCGGTGACTTGCCTTCACAGCTTCTGCACCGTCTCAGCCAGATTTTGTCTAAAAGACGAGTCATGACACCCAGAACACTCCAGCTATTTCTACGTGCGGATCTAGACTCTATCAACATCTACGACTGTGGCAGTAAGTTTGATAAACCCTCCATCTAAAAATAATAATTAATGAGCGGAAGAACTGGAAACCGATGATTTCGAGAAAATATTCGCGTTCATGCCGTCACTAGTGAATGTTAATCTCCGGTTTGCCGGTCAAATGAAAGATCGAGTAGTTGATTATATGGTACAACGGGAGTTTAGAATCAAACAGCTGCAGCTAGATGCTGCAAATCTCATCTCGGACACTTGCTGGAGACAACTGTTTACAACAATCGGGCCTCAACTCGAAGCTCTACGGCTGTCAAATCTTGATTGTTCATTAGATGATGAAACTGTGGAGATTATGAGCTCGAAATGTGCAAATCTTCGGCGATTGAAACTCACCCAATGCGATCGTCTAGGTAACAAGGGACTTGTTGCAATTTCCAACCTTCCGAAAATTGAACATCTGTCCCTCGACACTGATTCCCCAGTCAAACCAGACATTGTTATCAATCTAGTACAAAGGCTAGGATCCAGTCTGCACACACTTTCTTTGAAAAAATTCCACGATCTTGATGATGAGTTCCTTCACGCAGTTCATACGCACTGTCGCCGGCTCGCAAAGTTACGTTTCAGCGGTAATGCTATCTGCACAGACAAAGGATACGTGAGCCTCTTTGCAGGGTGGTCAAACCCGCCTCTGAAATTTGTCGACCTTTCCTCGACTAGAGATGTTGACAATGCCAAGCCGGACGGGCCAGAGGATCCTATAGGACTCGCATCAGAGGGCTTTATGGCTCTCATGCAACACTCAGGCTCTAAGCTTGAGAGACTGAATATCAGTTCATGCCGGCATATTTCTCTCCGTGCTTTTGAAAGTGTTTTTGATTGTAATCAGGTATACCCTAATTTACAAGAGATGGACATATCATTTGACCCTGTTGTGGACGATTTTCTCGTGTCGTCTATTTTCAAATGTTGTCCTTCCATTAAAAAACTTACAGCTTTCGGCTGTGTCAAAATCCACGACGTCAAAGTTCCAGTAGGAGTGGCACTGATCGGCGGTCTTCGAGCACAAGATTCAATTATCATCGAAGGAGAGTAAGGAATGTTATGGTATTCCAAAAGGTGGGCTATAAACTTTTACGGCGGTGATTCTGCTTCGACGTTTATGATATATCGAGGATTAAGGCACGCTGGGGATTTGAATAAGTCCGAAACTCAGGTTGGCGATATTAATTCGGGCTTTTGCTTGGCTGAAACAGTTTTGTTTTGTTTTGCGAGTGCGCCAGATACGGGTTGTGATATTACAGGTAAATCTAGAGCGACTGAGACGGATAGTGGATATTGGAATGAAACGCCACACATACCACGCCATAGCCATAGAACTATGTAATGGAATGCAAGTGGTAAGCTCTCCTAGAAGTCCGCGTACATATTACTATTTGATGCCGATTACAAAGCTTATACTCATTCCATTACATGCCCCTGCTGTTATTCATTCCTGTACTTTTTGCCCTTGGGCTGGCTCTATCGTATGGATAGCAGCGGCCGTCGATCTTGATTCACGATGATACACAATCGTATCCAACGGATCCGTGTGCCACAACCCTTCTCCTTTGAGTAACCGCAAGAAGTCGGAAACAAAGCTATTTGTGCTAAGTGTGCCGTGCCCCGACTGTCGCGTTATCTCAAGAGTCGAGACTAACGGCAATAATGTCACTTGTGCTCCAGCACTGTCGATCGATCGGCTCCACACCGATAATAATGCGACAGGACGATCGTTATGTTAAGCGCCCAGTCTCACCCATCCGTCCCGATGCTCGGACTCTATGTAATATGAATGTTGATTGCACAAGATGTAGGCAGCAAAAGAGTGAGGGTATGGCGCATGTGATGTCTGCTGGGCCTCGCACAATCCGAGGCTGAGTGATTATCCTTTGTCATTATTAGTGTCATATTATTATGGATTATTCTGAATTTTCTCAGTTGGCTGGGCGGTATTGTCACGTATTGTCAGCACGGGTAATGTTTCCACTCGATGGCATTCTTTAAAGACAGCCTGCTGCTTTCGCATTACTTCTACTGCGTCTCAACTATGGCAGGGTTTTGAACACAGGCGAGTCTTCGTTCGAAGGAAGGAGGCGAATGACGCGGTGGATGGTGATCATCAAATCATGACCGAAGATGATGGTTATTAAATACTATGCTGACGATTATTGCATGACCCCTGACCGGGAACACTGCTAACCAGTCAATCAATACGTTCCGAATAACCTCCTGAGAGGCCGAGGGCCACCATAGCCTTAATACTATTGTTATCATCAGTATGATTAAATAGTTATTATTTTTTATTGCCACAGCATCTCCTTATGCTTCATACGTTCTCGCTGTTGACCAATAATAATCGCTCATGGTGCGTAGTTATGAGCTGTTATGCACGGCGTGGAAGTAAGCCTGCCGACGCCTACAGAAAGCATCACGCACGCTTCCCTAGAGTGCCTAGTATTGCCCATACCTAACAGCCCAGCCCAGCCCAGCCCAGCCCAATCACACCTACAGCGCCACCTCACGCTGTAACTGTGTAAATAGCAGATACTAGTAATCACTAACTAATAACAACAACCACGCAGCTCACCGGAGTTATCACGTCCGATGGCCTAGCAATACACTGTAGTATGTAGTATGTACCGCAGTCTCCTGGCAAGAATAATATGAAGGATAATAAATATTGTAATCGTCAGTATAATAATAATGTAATAATGCACCTCCATTTCGAATTGCTCTTCCTATTCTAAATTTGGGCCAGTTTCGCCGTGGGCTGCTGGCCAATCACATCGCCGAGCCCGCCTGCGTTCTGGAACTAGCGTGTAGCCTAGTAACTGCTATTATTCATTACTGAATTACTGTCTCTGTAATTGTGGTCCCATTACTGACTGACCGACCGACTGACTGACGGTGCTTATCGTCGCAACAATTATCGTTCTTGCCTCTCTCTGTGCGATACATTTCCTGCAAGCAATCAATCGGCCAGCAGCGCAGCTTGTGTCTTTTTTTTGTCCTGCGTTTCTGTTGCTGTCGTCTTTGACGGATTCCGTGCCTGAAGGGACGACCGGAAACGGTGGTGGCACCGATACAACAGCACTTCCACCCCAAACACGCCCCGAACGAAGCCCCTGCAAAGCCCCCGTCCACCTTCAAAGTCGATCGTCCACCGACCGTCACGGCCCTCGCCAGAAGACCGTCGTTCTTCTGCAACTAGTTATACTCATCGCTGCGAAATTTACTCTCCCCCTCTCCGAAAAGACGACAAGCCAAAGCCCTCGGACGGCGCGAGCAGCGACTTGGGCGACTCTGCTGTACCTCGTCCTCCTTACTTCCATTTGATTCTTCAATTTTTTGGGCAGCCATTCTCTTCGCTTCCCGCCGTCCAAACCTCGTCTTTGGTGTCACATACTGTTGTTGTATCTAGGTAATACTACCTAGCCGTGCTTGTGGCTGCCCTGGCAGTGGAACAAGTCGGCCTCTCACCGTCGCTTCACCATGCCCATCAAGCTACCCAAGGGCTTTGCCCGACGAAAGTCATCAGGAAATGTTCTCGATGAAGCTGAAAATGCGCCAGAGCCGTCTTTCAAGGTTTTCGAACGGCCCGGTGGCGGAACCAGAGCTTTTGAAGGCGGTGTTGCCCTCAAGGGCGCCGGAGCTAGTCGATACTATCGCCCGTCAACTGCAGAGTCTGATAATATATTTGCTGGAATAGAGAAACCTCTGCCGAACAATAGGTATGTGATTATTTGATTGGGGTGGACTTTGTGTGCTCATGATCCTGTAGGGGGAGTGCCGGAACCCATCAGTCCAATTCCACTGGAGGCCCGTACGATAGCTCATCCTCCGCTCGTTATAGCTCGTCTTCGACCCTGCCTTCTTCCACCGACGTACCCGTTCACAATGATCCGGCTAGAGGCTTCCACGACATCCCCGTGCCAGAGTCGCCCTCGTTGTTCTCTCTGCGTGCCGCAGGTCGCACATTCTCTTTTGGGACAAGACCTAGTCGTTTTTCCACTCCTACACATACTCCACAACATGCTCAGCAACCGCTACCGCCGCAGCCCCAGCAGCAACCAGTATCTGCGGCGCATATTAGGGATCGTGCAATGACAGCAAGTTCGGCCAGCACGGCAACGCCGCCCAAGCTGTTGGAAACGGACCTGAATCTAGATGCGGGTGACAATGACAACTTCAGCAGTATGTTTGAGAATTTTGGCAAACGAAAAAGTGCTATATTACTGCAGTCATCAAACTCGGTATGTCTCATGGCCTAACATGGTCTTTGTTCTAAGCTAATTTGTCATAGGAGGAGATACAATCAAAAGATTTGCCTGCTCCTCCTCAGAATGAACGACTCCCCCAGCTTGCTCCATTAGCAGTTGATCATTCACAACAGGTTGAGGCCTCACCATACTCGTGGGACACTCAAACAGCGCACAACGAAGTGGTGTCAGCAAATGATTATAATGATTCCCGGATTCCCCGCCGAGCCTTGGCCCCATCACAGTCTGTGACTTCAACAAACTCTATATCTCCCGTGTCTCCGACCAGCGACACGTCCGTACCATCAACTCCCTTTATTGGAGACGCCGACGCCGAAATTGTACGCCAGTCTCTACTTTTTTCAAGTAAAAACAAGCAACCAGAAGTGTCAGCCCATCGGTCTCAGAATGTGGACGAGGAAACCCCATTGTTTGGTGCTGATGAAATCACGTCTCATGCTCGGCTGGCCTCGCAATATGAAGAGAGAGCCAATTCAACACCCACTGCTCAGAATAAGATCATGACTCCGGCTCAGTTCGAACGTTACCGACAGCAACGAGAACTTACTCGCAAATTGAGTGATGCATCAAAAAGTGATAGCTCGATTGAGAATGATTACGACGAAGTCGAAGACGAAGCCGAGAAAAGTCGAGAGGCAACAAGACAGCGCCGCAAGCAAGAGGCTCACTTATCTGTTTATCGTCAACAGATGATGAAAGTCATAGGCGAACAGGCACCTGTTCTGTCGACCAACTTACAGTCTCCCTCTCGCCTTTCAAACGATCGAGCTAATTCTAGTACGCCAAATCTATCCAGTCGCATGTCAACACTTGGCTTGCAGCCCGGCAAATTTGACAGTGGCAAGAGCAGTGATGGCGATGATGATGACGATGTACCGCTTGCAATTTTAGCTGCCCATGGGTTTCCCAACAGAAACCGCCCTCCTACAAGACTGAATGCGTCCAGCTCGAATCCCAATCTCCGAGGATCAGTTGTCGGCCCCCCGGTTCAGTTTCTGGTGAAGCAGGTCCCGATGCTCGAAACAGCCTGCCGGTGTTTGCTCGAAACCTGCCCCGCGATCCATATTACGGTGCTGGCCTAGTCAATGCCCCGGTACGAGAAAGTCTGGCCTTGGGTGGTGGTGCCCCTTCACATGGCATCCCGCAATCGTCCACTTTACCCCCAGGGGGTTTGATCGGTGTCATTGCAACGGAAGAGCGAGCAAGAGCTATGCGGAGGGGAAGCCCTAATACTCAAGTTGGTGGGATTTCGCGACCGTATTCCGCGGCTAATATGGGCCAGATGGGCGCTCCTGCTCCGTGGGGTGCACCAGGAATTCCTCAGCAGCCCCATACTACTTCTCCAGGAGAACAGGCGCAACTACAGATTTCTCAGCAAATGACAGAAATTATGCAAGTCCAAGTTCAGATGATGCAGCAAATGATGCAGATGCAGGGGCTCCCTGGTGGGCATCCTATTCAAGCTAATACTGGCCTCATACCACCGCCCGGTCAGCCTGTCAACACCGGCGGTCGACCACTGTCCACAGCTTCGTCTTTCCACTTACCCGGGGGTCCGCCCCAGGCGGATCAGCGTACTCTGAGTTTATTAGATCCTAACATGTCGAGGTGGAATCTCAACGGGCCTCCTTCGCTTCACCCAGATGCATATGGCCGCCCTGCTACACCTCAAGGTGCTCATATGTATGCACCATCCATAGCTCCTTCAGAAAGAAGCAACGTTGGGATGGCTTCTCGGTATCGTCCGGTTTCAACAGTTGCTCAAGACGCGCATATGGCTCGCTCTTCGACATTTACATCCACACTCAAACCTTGGAATAACGAAAATCAGCGGCCAGTTTCCACATCTCCAGCTTCTGCGCTAGCGTCAGATCGTAAATCCACGTCAATAGCCACTGTCACCGTCCGTTCGGTTAGTGCCCAAGGCCAGCATGATTTCGCGTCGAAACCACACGCCGGTGCTGGCTCGGATGATGATGAAGACAAAGGCTGGGCAGATATGATGAAGAAACGGGAGAAAAAAAAAAGCAGTTGGAAGTTGAAAAAAGAAACTCCGGCCTTGGGAGATTTATTGCACATGGTTCACTAATATATTAATATAACGTGCTTATTGTATCAAAAGGAGTCATCACGTTTTGTTGATTATGCATTTGGGTGATTTTCTTTGTGGCTCAGCGATATCTTATATACTTATTCCCTCTGCCTTGACCTGTATTAGACCATTCCCAGGCTCGCGTCGCGGCCTCTTTTGGGGAGAGGAGGGAAGCGAACAAATCATTACAGGAGTATGCACTTTACTGTGTTTAATGCTATATGATGGTATTCATGGACAAAATGGCGCATCAATGCTTATACAGGACAAAGTCTTGGATATACATTTCTAATGCATTCAAGACTTGGGATGAATAGGAGCATTTCATAATTCTCAAAATTGATTTTATTATCAAGTAATCAGATAATCCATTTAATCTACAACACTGGTATTAAATATTTGGCCGCGTTGCGGGCCAGGCAATATTTGATCACGTGCTGATAGCGATCGCATTTATCACGAAGACTGACTGCAGCAAGCTAAAATAGCCCACATGTTGGCTGTTTGTTATCTTCTAGATTCTTGAATACATAACACAGCTTGATTGAGTATTTTCGCTATACAGGTTTTCTGGCTATACGAGTATTGGGTTTTACTTCTTCATCGTTCTTCTTTTTTTGGAATTAGAAATTGCCTTGGAAAACCAGTTTCTCGAGACTGCGAAAAACGACCCTTAAAACTCGAAGGCATATAACAAAAACAAAGATAAACCATCATGAATGCACCGGATAGGTTGGTTGCTTCCTTCTTGCTGTCACATGTCCAGCATCATCTTGCCAGACACCAAATAGGTTGTCGGTGATATAAATGATGTTTTCTCTTCCCAATTGTCACCTTTCTCAAGACTGCAATACACTTCCAACGCTTTTCGATCTGGAGTTTGTTTCTACATATCAATCCATCAAGCATCGTCATTTTGTGTGTTCTCTCACCGCGTCATACCTTACCGATGCCTTGGACCCAGAAAGGCGACAGCGCTGGGGCACCGTGGAACGGATCTCGATACCGAGATGCTTCCGCTCCCCCCCCTGGTGGGAATGTGCCAGCGAAGTATCTAACTCCCATTTATCTATTTAAATTTGAAGACTACCTTGACTGTCCTTTCATTTTCGTCTCGAGACTGCATCAAATCCTTTCATTGCTTGGCTTCCTGCCCATCCATGGATTGTCAAGACGTGTACTAACAGACTACCCGCACAGAACTGAAGCTTTTATTCTTGGAGAAAACGAGAAAAAGATTGAAGAGAAGGCAGATACCCGTATGCACGGCTTCAGACTTACATGGCCCCGTTCTAATCACTTTACAGGGACTCCGTCTACTTCGATTTTCACCATCAACAAAGAAGACCACACTATTGGCAATCTGCTCCGCTCTCGCCTCTTGCAGAACCGGCATGTCACCTTTGCTGCCTACAAGGTATGTCTAAGAACCACTAATGATATCCTCTCCAATCTCACTTTGATATTAGTAAGACTAATTTAAACTTCTTCAAGGTGCCCCATCCTTTAAATCACAAACTCGAACTTCGTGTACAGACCGATGGCCAGATCACGCCCAAAGATGCTCTACTTGCAGCCTGTCATGACACAGTGAAAGACCTTGGGACACTCTCTCGCGAGTTTACTAAGGAATTCGAACTGCGAAAGATGGTTGGGGCTGCGCAGGGGCAAAACGGCCCTCAAGACGGGCATTAGGAGCGGATCGAGTACTTTTAATTTGAATGTCTCCCTGGGTATCTGAGCTGGGGCGTTTTCGGCGTCTGTTCATGGCGTTTCATTCGTGCAGTAGATAGGTAAAAAGGCTGATTCATGGTGTTCATTATTTGTACGAGTTTAGCGTAATGTCCCTTAGAAAGCTAAGAGTGCTGCACGTCTCCTGGTCTTGTGGAAGAACTTGCTTGGACATCACCACCTGATAGTTATGTGTAGGCGAAGTAAAAGATCCCAGGTTCCCCGCCTATAAACACATATACCGATTGTAATATAATTTGTCGATATATATTTAGGATTAGGAACTTACTTCATGTTGGTAAAGCGGGGGTAGGCTACAGATAATTGTAGTCGAGCAAATAAAAGCTCGTTGCGGCTAGTGTGGAACGGTTGCTGCCTCTCGGCTTTGCCCGACCTTGGCTGCTGTGCTCCTTGCTCCGCCGTTACGACCAACCAACCTTCTTCCACCCGTCATTGATTGTCAACACAGCCCTCGTTAGTCTCGTCGTTGAGTTCCTGACTATGGTGATAGAAGTACTATAAATGTACTCCTCATCGAACACTTTCCTGGGCGGCGCTCAAAGCGCCCGCCCGGGACAACAGGCATCACCCTTCGGACAACAACAACAACAGCAACAGCAACCGCAACAACAGAATATGTTCCCCCATGCTGGTCTGGCGCCCCAAGCAACTGGATTTCCCGGCGGCCAGCCTCAAGCTCAGTATACTGGATATCCAGGTGTCTCAGCTCCTCAACAGCCAGGCCTTCCGACCTATAGCCACTCTCAGCCACCGCAACCGCAATCGCATCTGCAGCCGCAATATCCTGGATTCGGTCAGAATCAACTGCAACAGGCACCACAACAACAACCTGCTCTTTCACAGTTCCCCGCTCCTACAGGTGCTGTGCCCTCGATTGCCGTCCATAAGACCTCAAGCCAAATGGCTCAGTCGTTTCAAGATACCGGTGGTCCTGCTTCTCGGCCCACGCCGCCGCCCAAGACGGGTGGATCGAGGATCCCCAGCATCAGGCTTTCGTTCATTACAGCACAGGATCAGGCCAAGTTTGAACAGCTTTTCAAAGCCGCCGCCGGAGAAAGCCAAACATTGGATGGTACGTTTGTTGAGTATGGATCAACCGATATGAAATCTTACTGATGTTGGACAACAGGCGAGAAAGCTAGAGATCTTTTAATGCGTTCCAAGTTGCCTGGTAGTGAATTGTCAAAAATCTGGTATATATTAACGAGATATGACCGACATCAGAGACCTTGGCTAACATTCGTTAGGGTTTTATCAGACACAACCAAATCTGGCCAGCTGTTTTTCCCCGAATTTGCTCTCGCTATGTACCTTTGCAACCTACGGCTGACCCAAAACGAAGTTCCGACTTCACTGCCCGATCGAATTAAAAATGAAGTGTCTAGTATGGTGGATATCATATCTTTTGGCGTACCTGACACTCAGACTCCTACTCCTCAGTCAAATGCTCCCAAGTTTGATGCACCTCTCATGCAGAATTCAGCTGCCCCTCCCGCACCCCAGCAACCGCAACCGCAGCAACCATCAAATACGCAGCTGCTCAACCAGCTTACCTCCCAGCCCACCGGCTTTTACAACCAGGCAGCGGGTCTCCAGCCATTAGCTGGATTCCCTGGCCAAAGTTCAGGCCTGGCTCCTAATCCGACAGGCTTTCCAGGACAACATCAACCTTCCCAACCACAACCGACAGGGTTTTTAAGCAACCCTCAAGCAACCGGTTACAATGGTCCCCGTCCACCTCTACCGCCAATGCCTGCTGGATTTAGTTCGAACCTATCACCGTCACAGACTGGACTTACTGCATTGCAAGCTCAACCTACGGGAGTTCCTGGACAATGGGGCTTCGTCAACGCCCCGGCTACTGGTCTACCCAATATCGAAGCTTTGAAGCAGCAACTTATGCCCCAACCTGGCCGGGAGGGAGGTTTCACGACTGCTGGGCTTTCGGGGAATGCAACCATTCCTTGGGCTGTCACGAAAGACGAGAAAAAGATTTATGACCAACTATTCCGTGCGTGGGATGGTTTACATAAAGGATATATTGGTGGGGAGACTGCTATTGAGATCATGGGCCAAAGTGGGTTACCCAGAGAGGAACTCGAGCGAATCTGGACTCTCTCTGATCCCCACAACCGTGGAAGGTTGAATCTGGATGAGTTTGCAGTCGCGATGCATTTGATTTATAGAAGATTGAATGGGTACCCAGTCCCTAATCGCTTGCCTCCGGAGCTAGTTCCTCCCTCCACGAGAAATTTGAACGACTCTATTGGTACAATGAAATCTCTTCTTTCACAAGATGCAGAAACTCGGAAAGCATCTGGCGCTTTCCTGCAACCGCAAAAGACTGGAGTTAGTTATTTGAAAGATCACTCATTCCGCGGCGGTGCCACGTCTCCTGGAGCTGCCCGTCGAGATGCGACTCTTTTCAAAAATAACGACGATTTTGTAGGTTATAAATCTAGTGCCCGTCGTCGGCTTGGCAATGGGGGCAGGACCCCGTCCCCAACAACGTCGTCGCAAGTGTCCGAGAAGTCCGAGGATGAAATGACCGTTGATCAGCTAAAAAAGAGACTTCGAGAGACCAAGGTCATGCTCGATGCGGTTGATTTTCGCGATCAGAACAAAGCCGAAGAAGATGACGCACTAGATCGTAGAGACAGGAGAGAGGCAGAATCCTTGATGGACCGCGTTCGACGTGTCCAAGACGACATTGATACTGATCCAAACGCTGCTTTCCGTCGTGTCGACTCTGGAGCTGAGCGGAGATCTCTGCGTCGCCAACTTCAATCTTACCAGGATCAAGTACCTGAAGTTGCCTCCAATGTGCGCAAGGTAGAAAGACTTATTGCAGAAGCTAGACTGGAGCTTTTCCGTTTGCAGGATGCCAAAGCTCATCCCAACAGTGCACTGAATATCATCGGAACAGGTCCGGGTGGCGCTATCACTGAAGCTGACCGCATTAAGGCCCGTGCAAGAGCGCGAATGCAAGCACGCGCTGCTGAGCTGGCTGGACGCCCTCTTCCTGCTTCGGATGATGAAGGGGCCGCCACTCGACGTGCTGAAGAAGAAAATGTCAAGATCAAAGCAGAGCGCGAACGGAACGAGGCTATGACAAAGGATGTGGAAGAAAGCGTGAAGGATTTCTCGAGAAGTCTCGAGGACAGCCTTCAAGAAGGAACTGAAAACTCGACTCGTGAGCATGAGAGACGTCGATGGGAAGACGCTCTGGGAGTTGAAGATATAATTAGAGATTTAATCTATGACTTACAACGTGGCAGTCGAACTGCGAAAGTTCGTAAGGAGGAGTGAGTTGGTTATTCCTTTTCTGTTTTCTATGTTGGCTAATCTAGTTTCACAGACAACGAAAGCCTTCCCCAGCTTATGAGTCGGCTTCGGCCAGAAATGAACCTCTTTCTCGGCCTTCACCACCTCCATCGACGGATTCAGCCGGATCTCTGGCTGGACTAACCCACCAAGAACGTGTAGCTTCTGCAAGAGAGCGAGCACAGAAACGTATTGCTGAGCGAATGGCCGCGGCCGGGCTTAAGCCTAACGCAGACTCTGGCGATACTCTGCTCCAACGCCAGGAGCGTGAGAAGAGGGAGCGTGAAGAACGGCTCAAAAAAGCCGAGGAAGAGGATGCCAAGCGAGAACAAGAAAGACAACGTCGCATAGCGGACGAGCAAGCCCCGACACCCTCGGCTAAAATCGCAGGCAAAAAGCCTCCTCCAGCTCCTCCCTCACGCAAAGTGAAGTCAGATACCACCGGCAATCAGGACGCGAAAAGAGCCGAAGAATCTGCAAAGGCAGAAGAGCATGCTATCAAAGCACGTGCTATCCGAGCAGAACAGGAAACACAGGAGGCTGAAACCAAGCGATTAGAGTAAGATCATTTTTTTCTTCCTAAATAGACCTTCAAATGCATTCATTAGCTCTGACTTGATCAATAGGGATGAGGCTCGACAGCAAGAGGATGAACTTCAACGGGAGCTAGAAGCACATGAAGCTCGTCTCCGTGCTCTTGAAGAGAAAGCTCGCCAGGGCAAGATCAAGAAACAGGAAGAAAAACAGCGTAAGCAGGCCGCAGAGAGAGAGGCGAAAGAGAAAGAGGCTCGACTCGCTGCTCAGAGAGCGGAATTGGCGGCAGCCAAAGAGCGTGAGCGGCAACTTCAACATGAACTTGAAGAACTCGAAGAACAGAGTTCCTCCGACGAAGGGACAGAAGATATTGCAACTCCTCAAGACAGCACCCCAACTCAAAGCCAAGTGTTACCTACTGCGGCTGCTCTAGGCATACCGGCTCCTCCACAAGTTGCTGTACAAGCAACCAGCGAGTCTTCTAGTAGCCCCGAGGCGGTTGTGACTGAATCGAGGAACCCGTACTTCCGGCAATTGAGCCAATCTGCTGACGGCCAGCCGAGTGTGCCAACTTCACCCCCACAAGTTACACCCCAGCCTGCGATTAACTCTCCGTCGCCCGAAGTCCAGTCTACTAATCCTTTCCACAGACTTGCACAACAACAGGAAAGCGCAAAAACGACGTTCAGTGCACCGGCTGTTCCGGGCCCCCTGGCAACCAAGTCCCGAGCACGCCCTGAGCAGGATGACGATTGGTCCGTCGCCGAGTCTGAGAATGACTCCTCGGATGACGATGATAATGACCGTCCAGGGGGTGGAAGTGCCAAACAACTTGCTAGTATTCTCTTTGGCACTATGGGTCCCCCTAGACCTCTTAGCGCAACGGACGAGGCAAAGTCCCCTACCCCCGTTCAAGAGAGTAGTCCTACGGCCGCCCCTCCACCTCCGCCTCCTCCTCCTCCTCCTCCTGTTCCATCCAGCATAAATCCGGAAGGAGACTCACATAGTGGACCACCATCAGCACCACCTCCACCACCACCGCCACCTCCTCCAGGACCTCCTCCGCCAAGCGGTATAGCACCTCCTCCTCCACCACCTCCTGGTGCACCCCCGGTGGCTATTGGCGGTGGCGGACCTGCAAATCGAAGCGCCCTCCTAGCGTCAATTCAAGCTGGAAAGGGGCTGAAAAAGGTTGAGACCAAGGACCGAAGTTCGAGCTCTTTGGCCGGTCGTGTGTTGTGATCTATTTGATAGCCTCCAGCATCTATACAGGCTTGGGGCAAAGCTCCGTTATTTTTTTGGATTGCTGTCTAGCTGTGTCATTTTTCCTTGTCCATTCTTCGTGGAATGTTTTTATGAGGGGTCAGATCAGCCGTTTCCGACTTTCTTTTGCAACACGACTGGATCTTGAACTGCAACCCCTGTTTTGTCCTCGTGATGTAATTTAATTCCAAATGTTACTTATTTAGTCTTCACATTAATGTATATGATACTTATGTTTGGATTGTTCCATGATCTGCAACCCGCGTGTATCGTGTGTCCATCATGTACAGACTACACTTTGGAACTTCATACAACCATAAAATACGTCGATTGATATGATTATGGACGCATACTATATCGACTACTTACGTCACCAAGGATCTTTTCTGTTACTTAACACGGTGAGAGAAAGAGGCCAAGACCCTTCCAGTACAACCAAGGTTGAGTGATGCAAATGAATCCATCAATTGATCTATTGATATTCTCCTTATATATACAATTAACTAGAACAGAATCTCTGCAATAACATTTCCCAAAGTACTCAAAGTCCAAAGGACGACAAGGCCCCAGCCAATTCTACGGTCCATTTTCCAACTGTTTAGTGGCACAATTATAAGAAGCCCGAGGAGTGTGATGAGTAAGGTCAAACCACTAATGATGAGAGTTTTTGAAATCATGATTCGATATGGTTCCCTATGTATGCCGGCTGCGGGAATCTGTTGCTGCGTTGACTGCCATGTCATGTACAGCCCGCCAATGCCGATACCAAGCAATATGTTCAGCATTGGTCCTCCAAAACAGGCGCTCAGCGCCATTACTGGGAAGCCTAGACGAGCTACTGTGACATCTGCCACCAAATCACCCAGTGAATTGCCAACGGCAAAGACTGTGAGACCCAGAAGTGAATCGCTAATGTTCATGATGACTCCAATAGTTTTGAGTAGGCTGACTACTTCATCGGCAATTGTCGCGATCCAGCAAATGCCAACAATGAAGCCGATGAAGGCTAGGATGGGACGAAGCCAATCCGGTGGATGTGAAAGAGTGCGATCTTTCAATACTGTGATCAGTAGAGCTGCGCAGAGTAGCGACACCAGTAGACTGCATAGAATAGGAATAATCAATTTTCGTGGATCATGATCAACGTCAATGTTAAACCAGACGATTACGACAACAAAAAGAGGTGCAGTGAAAGTTTGCACAATAGTAAGCCAACGATACCAAATTCGCGTTGGAGAGGAGACATCTTTAGTTTGTGTCTCCAAGGCTGGCATCTCAGAGTCAAGCCTGCCTCTATTTATCGACTCGATTCGGTGCACACTTTGAGAATCATGATCTAGAGTGCCTTGATCGATAACTGATGATTCATTTCGTGGACGCAGGAGGGGCGAGTCTTCAGGCAGACGAACGATGGGTCGTATTTGTTCAGTTCCATCGTTTGTGAGAGGGAGTTCAGCTTCTTGATCTGCATCTTCACGATAAGGTTCTATCACTGGAACGGTCATGGTCAAGCAAAACACACTCGGTGCGGCTACTGCACCCAGTAACTTCTCCCAGACAGACTTCGTTCTCCAGTTACATAGAGTAGGGAAGAATGTGACGAAGAAAAGCCTAAAAGGTGGAAGACATCGATGCGGCCACCACTTCAACTCTACTGGCTCAGGAATGATTTCCTGAGCTAACCCATTCTCCGCCGCTATTGCTGAGTTTCTCAAAGAAGCAGCAGAACCAAAAAGATCGAAGGGCCGCAATGATGGTGGTGAGCGTGTCAATGTATCAAGAAAAGCTGGAAAAGGCACAGTTGCGCTTGTTTCATCATCAGTCTCGGAGTAGGAAGGTATGCGAGGTACACCGCCGTTTGACATCGGAGAGACATCGCCGGGAGAGAGATGAGGTGAATTTGGAGATGCTTGGTAATTCGGGACACGAAACGTGTCTCCAGGAACTGTTAGATGATTATTTGGCTGCGGTGGTTGCAATTGTATTTCAGAACGTATTGAGGAATTGGATGAAGTTGGTGGCAATGTTAGTAATGGGGACCTGAGCGAGAGAGGCTCTGGTAGGGTTTCAGGATGTTGAGACATATGATTGGTAGACACTTCTGGTTGCGAATACATGCCCGCTTTGGGGATATTCGTAGTGTCAATTTGTATACCAGGGACATCATTCATTGAAACAGATCTGTTACGATTGGACGTGCCCTGTTCGCGTGTATTTGAACCATTCTCATTTGAATATTGATGGAGATCAATATTATCTTCATGAATGCTCTTTGCTTTCTTTAGGGAAGAAAGTACCGATTGAAACTCCAAAGCACCGACTAAACTCGGTCGAATGGGATTGACGGTTGTTCGCCGTTGAGGCGGCGTGGGCCGACTCACATGCATGTTTTCACGAATTTCAGCGAGATATCTGTTTCGTGTCTCATCATCTTCGTCGTCATCTTCCCAGGCTGGCCATTGGTCCGATTCAAGTACATTAAGATCAAGGGACTCATGGCCATGCAGGAGACTAGTTGTTTCCCCAGCAACTGGATCGTCGTCCGAGACTGGCTCCTCTAGGTCGAGTTCCTGACTCTGAGGTATATGAAAGTGTGTTCTTGCTGCGTATTCTCTTTCGTATTTCCGACGTTTTCGAGTAAGGTACCAGTGCCACGATACAACCATCACCACATAGAATATGTATAGGCCGATCATGGTTGCACACTCCCAAACATGGAGCTCTCCATCTGCTAGAACCACGAGGCTAAAACTCCCGGCAATAATAAAATATCCAATGTCACGGACAAAACTGCGACGGGCTACCCGAAAAGGCCTTACAAGGGCCATCGATCCCGCAACAACGGCGGTAATAAAACAGGCAGCACCGATAAGCTCGCCGACAGCTAAACTGCCACTGTTAGAACCCATTGCTGCAAAGGTCGAGAAGACGTCGGGGCTGCCATTCCCAAAAGCTAAAAATGTCACTCCTGCCAAGCTTTCGCTCATGCCTAATATACTGGCAATGGTGCTGAGATTAATGCATAAGAAGTCGCTGGCAGCAATCCCAATCGTACTAAACAGCAACGACAGCCAGACTATCAGGATCGTGAAGGCAATAGGTTGTACATGGCGAAGGGAGCAATAGTATAGTTGAATATATGGAAACAGCCCATCTTCGTCGGGGCAATTGCTCTTGACGAATGCACACTGATCGTCTGCATGACGTACCAGTCGACACTGATCTGGGTTAGAAAATGCCGAAATAAATACGGGGTTTAAATGGAATGTTCATACCTCCAGGCCTTGCTCGGAATCTTCAAGTAAGGCGAGCAGAGAGTGCTCTGAATATGTTGCACGTTTCTGAAATGCAATGTTCGATGCCGCTAATTGGCTTTGGCTGAACCACCGAATGGTCCATGTTGTCAATGCCAGCAAAGTAAAAATCACAATGCTCAATATAAACGGTCGAGGGTAAAATAACAATCTACGTCTTCTGTGCCTTTCTGGGCGCACCATGACGGGCAATCATGGATAAAAGGATTCCTGATTGATTGAACATCACAATGGCAGTATTGCGACTGCGGATATTGCCTTTGCAGGTATAAGCAATCGATCCTGGGGAGAGGAGTGCATATATATGCTGTGCAAAAAACAGCGACGGCTGTAATATCTGGAACTGCAGCGCACAGACTGTACAATAGCAAGGCATGAGGAGGAGGGTACGCGACACTGAGAGTCATAGAGGTGGTCCACTGCTTGATGATGGTGTGGCGCCCTCTTGCCAAGGATCGTGGCGGTGCCGGAGCCCGCGATTCCGGTTTGCATGCTAGTCACGTGCATGCGCACCAGGTCGGCGCGGCTTTCCGTATGTTTTGTTGACAATCCCCACTCCCACCGGCTCTTGCCCGACGACGACCCTCACCTTCATTCCCAGACGGAAAGAACGAAAGAGCAGGCCAGGCTTCATCCTGAATGCATTGATATTACCACCTCGCTTATGCTGCTTAAGCTTACAAGGACATGGATATTTGATTGCGCCTAGTTATTACTCTTTATCATAGCCAAGCCTGTCCTCGTTCCTTATTCTGCGCGCACGGAAAGAACCGCGAGAAAAACGATGCCTCGCGTCGCCAACACATCCAAGAGCCACCGCCGCTCAAATGGCGGTGCCTCGACACCGCACAAGAACTCCCCCATCAAGTATGGAAAGAGCGATGCGATGCTGTTCACGAGTGCACTTGCTGACTTGGCCACCCTAGAATTCCCTTGAACGATGATATGGGAGAGAAGGCTGCTCGGATGCAGTCGCGACAAGCCCTGCATGACCGTCAGATGAATCAAATCAAAGCGGCCGTCAAAACACCCATGCCCCCGCGCAGGACCGCATACGATCGCGCCGACAGTCAAAGTCCGACGACCCCGCGTGGATCGCTTCGCCGAGGCCGGGAAAGCGATGCGGATGGCCGTGGCAGAGGCGCAACCCCCGCTCAAAGAGTGCCAATCTTAGCCAACTTTGAGGAGTGGATGAAGATGGCAACCGACAATAAGATCAACGCTGCCAATTCGTGGAACTTTGCACTCATCGATTATTTCCATGATATGTCATTGCTTAGAGAGGGTGACGGTGTTAATTTCCAAAAGGCCAGCTGTACTCTGGATGGTTGCGTCAAGATTTATACCAGCAGAGTAGATAGTGTGGCTACGGAGACTGGAAAACTTCTCAGTGGTTTAGCTGATAGTCGAGACCGTAAAGCCCCAGAAGCCGGCGAAGGAGCTGAGGGTGAAGACGAAGACGAAGAAGGCGAAGATGGTGCGCCAAGGAAAACAAAGAAAAAGGTCAGTACGATTTCAATCTTCCAGTTTAGAGATGTAAAGGATTATAATGCTCACTGTTGGTTTAGACTCGTTCCCATGAGGCAACTCTTGCTCCGTCATTTGCCTCGTTGCAATTGAAAAAGCTTGAGCTTGAATTTGCCGTCGATCCATTATTCAAGAAGGCGTCGGCCGACTTTGATGAAGGTGGCGCCAAAGGATTGCTGCTGAATCATCTTTCGATTGATAGTCAAGGTCGGATAGTCTTCGACAGTAGCGATGACATCGATGAGACCACCAACCCAACAGATGCCATGAATGAGGATGAACTGGAAGATGGCAATGCAGAGTCAGGAAATAAAAACATCAGAGAGCACGAGGCCGATCCAATGGATGTCGATCCAGTTGATATTGACCTAACTGCTCTCGTCAGTAAGTTTTTCCCTGACCTGGATCGTATTAGTGAACAAGACATTTGCCCATCTCTCAAGAACTTCGATTTGGGTGATCCCAGTGGCTCTCTGAATATGCCACTGTTGAAAGCCCCTGATGAGTGGCGCAACGATAGAACTAGTGACAACTTTGAACACGCTGGACGTCTAGGTGACGCATCGGGCATCATGCTCGACGATGATAACGCCGTGGGATTTGACGATGATGATGGAACATTCGCAGGCTTCGATATTGGCGAAGATGCTGGCTTTGGAGAAGGCGGCGAAGCTTGGGCGCGAGAGGCAGCACTTGAACCGATGCTCAAAGTTCATCGCATGGAAATTGATGGAGAAGACCAAGATGGCGAGCAAGGCCTTGATAATGGAGAAGCTTATACTCTATCGCTCTCTCATCAGCCATCCAACAAGGAACACGAGAACATTCTCAGTTACTTTGATAATGCTTTGCAAAAGAACTGGGCAGGTCCTGAACACTGGCGAATTCGAAGAATTAAAGAAACAACTGCCGCAAGCTCGACGAGCCAAGTCCCAAAACAACGCAAGGAAAAGGAGCCGTTTGAAATCGATTTTGCTGCTCCTCTAGATTCTACAACATCTGAGCTGATATATACACAAGCAAGTTCAAATTCGGCTATCTCAATACCCAAAACGCAGTGGAAGACCAAAGGACGCAATTTACTTCCGGATGATAAGCATTTCAACTCTCAGCAGCTGCTACGTCTTTTCCTCAAACCGAAAGCTCGTCTAGGATCTAAAAGATTCCTCGGGGTTCGAAAGACTACTGATCATTCACAAGGTAGTGTGCCAAACGCTGGAGAGATGGATGAAGCTTTCTGGGCGAATCACAAACCAGAGAACGACATGACATCTGCAGATGATGGTGGTGCTGCCGGAACATACGATGCGAATTTCTTCGCGGATGATGATGGCCTCGCCTTCCCTAACGGTCTTCCACTTGGAGATGATGACGACGACAACATGCCGTTTACAGATGCTCGAGAAATGTTCTCTCCACCAGTTGACCCAGATGCTCGGCCAACGACATCGGCTGGTGACGGGGCGGGTGCCACTGGCTTAACTGCGCTTTTGAACATGGTCGGAGCGACACCTGGTTCTGCTCTCCATGGTGGAGGGTTTGGGTCGCAGCTTGTCACGCAAGGTGGTCGCCGTGTGCGACCTGATTATGTTGCTTACGCGCGTGTAGCGAAGAAAGTGGATGTACGACGTTTGAAAGAGGAAATGTGGAGAGGCATGGGCGATAAATTAATCGAGTCGATGGATTTCAACTCTGCTTCTAACGGTGCAGCCGTTATCGAAACGCCTGAGGAGTCTGCTGAGGATGACGGCCCGCCTACACCTACGCCTAAGAATCGATATACAGATGGCGACCATGCCATGCCTGATGCTACTCCAATACCCGATAAAAATGGCCAACTGCGATTCACTAACATCATGAACTCTCTCAAAACGGTTTATCCAGAGGAGGCCCTCCGAGACATCAGCACTTCATTTGGATTTATTTGTCTTTTGCACTTGGCAAATGAGAAAGGTCTCGTGTTGCAAGGCGGAGACCCTCTCGGCGAAGGCGGTGGTTCTCTAGAAGAAATTTACATTACCAAGGATGTCGGCGCACTCATAGAAGAGGGGGCGATGTAGAAGGTAGTGTTTTTGCCTGGTGTATTCTTCGCATCTGTGGATCTATATTTGAAGTGACGCTATGCCTTTATGTGGCGCTCAAGGCGTTAGGTTTTTTTCCGTTCTCAAGGTGTAGCTCGAGTAGATGGGACTCTAGCAGGGGATTTTATTCCAACTATAGCGTCTAGTTATTCTTTTCGATCCAGTCTTCTTGTATATTTTTCATCGGTTTTATTTCACTTTTTACGTTAATAAATTATTTGATATCATGTACGTTCTGTTAAGGGCCTTCTATCAAGGACCGCTATCAATGCAGCAGTCTTGCGTTACCAGTATTATTTACTATACTACGCTATGCACGAGGAGCGGTTGGGTGGAGAGGGACAGGCTAGTTGTGTGCTTATGTATGTGACTAAGTATGTGTCTGTGTCTGTCGGCTGTTGAGTTATTATTAATAGGTATACATCCAGTACCATTATCAAACATCACATTTCCATATTCAATTATAAGGTCGTCCAATGTGATAATCAAATATCACACCGCATGGGCCAAGAGGGAAAAAGGAAAAAGGCACCATCGGCGGCCCGCGCTACGGCAGGCGCTGTGGTTGGCCCATGCACCGACGGCGTATCGCCTGCAGGATCGCAAGATTGAGTCTGCAGTGCTGGTTGGATGCCCGCTGTGACGACTTCTGCCCACCGTGCATCCAGCACATCGTTGCAGCCCATCATGCCGCGCTGATTTGCTGTTGACCGTGCTCTAGCGCCCATCAATGCAGGCCAGTCAGCACTCAGAACCCAGCTCTGCCATTTCCCCTCGACAGATCACGACGCTCCCCGCCCAATCGCATTCAGCATGCTGCATCTGCAGCCATATAAGCACACAGTAACCATGCGCCTGTCCAATCACCAAGCCGGCTCTCTGCAGCATTGCTGCTCCAAGCCAGAACCCGGCGCTAACTCATCTCACGATGATCATTGATTTGACCATGGACTAGCTGCCCGGCTCGTGCAACTGCACATGAGGGGAGCGTTGTTCCCCAGCATACCATACATAGTCCATGGTGCAACCTCCCCGGATGAGATTCTTTCTCTTCTAAGCTGTGCTTCTCCATCCATTTTCTCCTCGTTCTTACATCGCTGTTTGCATTTCATTCTCCTCCTATGCTTCGTCATTTGTAACTGCGCAGGCTTCGCAGAAACACCCAAAACGTCTAATCTATACAGCAAATACCCCAAAAATAAAAGAGATCTGCTATAGTCCGAGCCAATCAACAGCTGGTACTACGCAGTTGAGAGCAGGTTCTCTCGCTTAAACCAACCTGCATCTCCGGACATAGCTGCTTAGCTGTGACCCAGACCCGAGTCCTCACATCAGGATCGTTGACGATCTCAACAATGTCAATGTCCGTCTTCACAGATAGTCGGAATAGCAGTCCGCTAAATCCGCATCAAGCCGTGCCTGCTGAAGTTCTAGGTGACGAGCGCAATCGGTCAAGCATGTCGAACCGGTCTCAAACACATCCTGCACCCATTATCCGCAGTTCCTCGGGCTCGTCATCTGAATCTTCAATAAGAAGTCCCCGAACAGCACGCTTTGCCGAAGAGACCACTGTGATCTCACCAATATCTCCTGCCGGCCCGTCTCCATTTGCGGACCCTCCTATATCAGAGAAAGCTGCCCAAGCTCATGTCTCAGATGTCGGATTTGGATATGTCGCGGATAACAACCCATCAATACATACATCGCAGCCACCCCTGACTCCAGCGTCGCCATTGAAGAGCGCACTGAAGACTCCGGGAACGGCAAGAACGTTGAACCCACTCAGTCCGACCTTCCGAGAAGAGCTGAAGTTGGAAAGAGAGGAAAAGAAAACCGAGAGGGAAAATGCTCGGGATTTGGTAAGCTTGCTGAAGTTTCACACCAGTTCGATGGCCAACTAACTCTTTGCCAGAAAATCAAAGTCCGAGTAAGGTTAGCCAAGGTTCTGCTGCGTGGCGTGAACTTCAGTTGCAGTTTAATCGTGCTCTCCCTTCTCTCGACTAGCTTGACCATTTTCAAAACGACAAAGGACCTTCCGGCTCGGAACAATCTTCCTCCATGGGCCCAAGGGACTAATCCTTGGGCACAATACCTTTTATTGGTCCTTTCTTGTGTCTCCCTCTTTACCGCCGTGATCGTCTTTTGGGGCTATTGGAAAGGAGGACATAGACGTGCGGAGAAAGTGGCAATCTATTACTCATTATTTGCAGTGGGATTCTTCATCTTCAGCACCGTCATGTGGGTAGTTGTAGCGGCTATTTTTCAAAGTTCCAAAGCCAACGGCAATGGAAAAGATCTCTGGGGCTGGTCATGCAATCAGAATTTACGCGAGCAACTCTTCCAAGCCGAGGTGAACTACGCCTTGGTTTGCCGCCTGCAAGATTGGTCCTTGGTTTGTGCCATCATTGAAATTGTCATCGAGGTCATTGTCCTTGTGATTTACGCCATTGGCTTCTACCGCTTCTACTCAAAACAGCGTTTGAAGAAGACAATGGACCTCAGGGACAAAGCCCGTTCGGACTTGTATCTTGCTCAGCTCCGTATACAATCTGCCCCGAACACTCCTGGATTCGTCCCAATGACCCCCAAGTCACCTTACGTGTCTATGGCCGCTGTTCAGAACTCCTACTCCGCCGCAGAGAATGGCGAGAATTACGCGGTACAATACGCCAACCCCAAATCGCCCACCCGAGCGGTCTCGAAGCCATTCCAGCTTCAACCGCCGCCAATTCGGATACAGCATGCGACACCTAAAGTCGACCAAGAAGGCTTTTCAGCCACCTCTTCACCAGAAGAAGAACCCGGATCCGAGAAAATCAACGACCACGTTGGTGCCGCCCCAGGGGAGAAGACGTACGACGCTGTGCCCATTCCAGGGGCCTACACTACCCCCCTGAGCAGTCCTAGCTACCCTCCTCCTACTAGGTACTAGTGACGGTTTGCGAGCATCAGTCAGTCTGGGGCATTTCCAGATTAGTGGGAAAGTGTACGATTTGCGTAATAATTTGTATCGTCTAAGTATAGGACGATGGTCTTGCTTTAAATTATACCTCTGGATTCATGAATGAGCCTTTCGTTTTATTGGGAAATTGGTGAATTAGGCGTCGACGTTGATAACAATGCTTTTGTCTTTATTTTCTACGTATCGTTAAAGCATTGGATATTTTTGATCAATCATAATGTGACGTGTAACGTCTCTCTGCTACAAGCTACTACAAGCTAATCGATACATTGAATATGTTCCTTGGAAAATCCTTTTAGTATATAGGGTACCTCGGGTCTAGCCCTAAATTGTGCTTGGTAGCAGTATCAATACTACTCCCCATACTCTGAGGGAGGAATGTGTATCTTTGTCAAGACTTCGAATGAGATCATTGATTGAAGGGATCAATTGAGCTGTGAATCAGTTCACATGATAAGTACAGCACATAATGCTACAGGAGTAACAATTCGATAACGATCAGGTGCATACTTAAAATACTCTCAGCCATTTCTATCGCACGTGAAAGGATGATGCATCGTGGAAGAAGCATTAAGGCAGGTGGAGAATGCCAAGCATTGACGATGATTTCAATCTGCGACTCGACGCCGAGACGCTCTCGTCTGATCTTCCTCTCAACACTCGCTATTGTCTGGACTGTCCTGTGTGGAGCAGAGAAAGAATGCTTCGCTTCCCTGTCTCTCCCGCATCGTCGTTTCTCAGAGCCAGCTGCCAGTCTATCCGCACGGGACCTGGCAGCATCAGAGGTTTCGCAGCGAGCTCGACCGCGCGAAGATCTGCCCCACCCCTGCTGTCTACGCTGTCCTCGCTGTCCACACTGTCCACTGGCCACCGCCACTACTCCTCCAAGTCTCCTCCCCAGGACAGCAGATCGCAGTTCAAAATTCTTCCCTTCGTGGCCATCCTGCTGATTGGCACCGGCTCTTACGTATTTTTGGTGAAATCTCGCGCCTCTGCTCGCCCGGCAGCTATCCAACGCAACTAGAAACCCAACCCCCCCAATCGATCTACTTCGTTTTCTTCCGCAATTCTTGAGTACACTACCTTCGATTCTACAAATCCACCAAAAATGGCACCTTCCGAGAGTAAAGGTGCTCGTTTTTCGCCCGACGATGTGACAGTGGTGTTTGTTTTGGGAGGCCCTGGAGCCGGCAAGGGCACGCAGTCCGAAAACCTGGTGCGGGACTATGGTTTCAACCATTTATCTGCCGGCGATCTCCTTCGCGCAGAACAAGTCCGCGAGGGAAGCGAATATGGAGAACTGATCCGGCATCATATTCGAGAGGGCACAATCGTGCCAATGGAAGTCACCGTGGCCTTGCTGTCCAATGCCATGGCTGACATCCTGGACAAGGGAACCTCAAAATCGAGCCCCGCTCGGTTCTTGATTGATGGATTTCCTCGCCAGCTCAACCAGGCTCATTTCTTTGAAGAAACCGTATGCCCGTCCAAATTCGTCCTTTTCCTCAGCTGTCCCGAAGAAGTGATGCGTTCGCGCCTCATCAAGCGCGGCGAGACGAGTGGCCGGGACGACGACAACATCGAGTCAATTCGCAAGCGATTCCGCACATTTATCGAAACAAGCATGCCTGTTGTGGACGATTTTGAAAGTAAGGGCAAAGTCATCAAGGTCGAAGCCACAGGAACGGTCGATGAAGTCTACGAACGCATCAAGGAAGAATTCCAGAAGAAGGGTGTCTCAACTTTGTAACTAAATGTCGATTCTTATTAGCCGCACATAGATCTCAACCAGCATATGAAATGATGTAGTTAGTTTTGCCTTCCCGGGCTTTTTATTTTTTGATCTCTTTGTAATTGTCACTTTTTGCCTACACATTTAGAATTCTAACCTGTAGAGAACATGCATAATGAGGTTATGTCCAAGACAATATCAATCATGAAAAGTGAGTATAACGTTGGTCATTTTGATCAGTCCCAAGAGCCTCAAAACGATTAAAAACACCCCCAACCGTGTATGACAAGACAAAAGAAAATGTGAAGGAAAATGAATCAGCTAATCCATAACAGAAAAAAGGTCGAATTATAGGCGCAAGGATTTGTAGGACACGAACAGGCTCCTAGATCCGGCCATGCTCATGCATACATGGAATGAGTGGAAAACAAGTCTTGTGTTTGTCTTCCTTTACGAAAGGTAGGAAAATGAATGTCTGTCATTTGAACCAAGTCTTCTACCCTTGTCTAATCACCCCCGCCAGCAACAAGATCGACTTCACGTGGTTGTTGCTGCTGCTGCTGATGTGGTCGTCTCCGATCGCCATTTGCTTTCTTGTCTCCCTTGGCAGCCCCTTCCTCCGCGGCTTGGGCAGCAATTTGCTGTTGTTGAAGCTCTCGGGTATATCGCTCCCGTTCACTACGGATCACATCGAGCACTCCCTCAAGGCTGCGACGCCAGACGAACAAGCGACCCTGAACCTCAGCCCACTGCTTCTCGCCAAAGACTCGGTAGGTGGCACGATGTACCAAAAATTCGGAGCGCAACTGGGACAGTTTGCCCTCGACCAGACCAGCCCGAATGGTGTCGATTACCCACTTCTCTACATCAGTATCTGCAATACGGAGCGCGGAAGCTATGGTAGCATAAGGAAGAGACCGTGAAGGTGTGGAGGAGGCCAGAGAGGCTAATGTCAACAATCGCATCTTGGTCTGCAAGGCATCGCCGGCCTCGGCAAGGACCCCCCCAGAGATGGAGCTCAATGGTGTGGATGAGACAAAGTCGTCGTAGGTGTCGAGGGTATCGGCAGCAAAGATTTCGAGCAGCTCAAAAAGTGAGGTATCACTGGTCCGTAGCGCCTGAATCGCATCTGAGGCAGTCAACGGGGTGAAATCGAAAGTGGCTGGGTGCGATAATGCCGATGTGAGAGCGCGAACAGCAAGCTCGCGCGACTCTTTGGATGATGCTTCGCTTGCATCAATCGTCTGAAGTGCTTCCACAACATGAGTGTGAGCCATTTGGCTATCACCAGCGGCTTCAGCAGCGTCGGCAATGGCGAGGTGCAATTTTTGTTCATCGTCCTCATCCAACTCCCACGTGGCAAGCCAATTCTTCAACTGAACAACGAGCTGAGTCTTGAGTGCCTCATAGGCACTGGTAGCGCCTGACTGGCGAATGACAGCAATGATGGCCAGGAAAACATGGTACCGACTGGAGTCTGAAGGAGAGAGTGTGTTGAAGACAGTCGTCAGGATAGAGATGGCCAACATAGGGCCGAATTGTGGAGAGGATGTGACCGGCTTGGAGAGGTAGGTGCAGATGCGCGACAAGAAAATATCTGGATCCGAAGACTGCTGAATGAGGTGTACGAGAAGATTATAGGCAGCGGTGATTTCTACAAAGAGCGATGTGTCAGTAATTTCGTGGTGATCAAACATCAAAATGCTCCCGGCCAAACTCACCTTTTTCGGGGGCGCTATTGAGAACGGCGCCAGCAGCAACGACCTTTTTCAACACCTCATCCCGTTGTTGCAGACTTGGCTCCTCGCCATTTTGTTCTTGCTGGCGGAGGGGCTCGAGCAGAGGCAGGACTTCGGCGTGGATGCTAGACCCCTCATCTTTGCGGAGGACGTCGATGTACTGAGCGAGCTCCTCGCACAGCTCGGTGAAAGACCCTTCGATAAGAAGGGTGTTTGTGGGAGCCGGCATTATGTAGGAGGCGTCTGCACACGGCAAGAAATCGATGGCAGGCGTGGGTTGAGGAGGGCAAAATTTGTGGTGGTGGAAGCCGTTGTTCGCCTTGGAGGCTCGCTGATCGACTATCGATAAAGTGTGGGAGAAATTTCAGTGTGTGTTTCCATCCGTTGGCGAATCAGCATCCGTTCCGGCGGCGACTCCAATAACAATGTGGCTTCCACAATGAGTAGTCATTATTTGAATTTTGAAATACATCCAAAGACATTAATTATTGCAGAGATACATACATATACGTGTCTGTATATGTAGGAACAAAAATTCTGGCGTTGGACCGCCTGGGAAAAATATTCGCCATGGTCTAGTAATACCCCGGTAGGCAGACTAGAACAGATCATGGGTGAAGGGCGCTTTTAATTAGTTGAGCTACTTAATGTATAGCTATTTAACAGATTAAGTGCAAGCTAGATGCTCGCTATCATGTACAAATAAAGGAGAGGAATCGAGGTCATTAACCATGGTCGCGTATTTTGACAACAGTATCAAACACTCAAGGATATCATTATGCTGTAGCATAGGCAAAATCCACACTAAACACCATGCTGAAGGGACAAAAATTGCGCTCGTTCTCTGACAGTTATCGAAAGAGATTGATTGCAGACAATCCTCCTGAGGAGGTCCAAAAGAAAATGAACTATGATTAAAGCCGACAGCCACAGCCACAGAGCACTGCAGTCGGCTTTAGATCATCAAGCCAAACACTGCGAGTGCGCCCGCAGCAACGAAGCCAACGGAGTGGTCTTGGGCGGCGTGAAGGGCGACAGCGGCACCAGTGTGGGTGGAGGTGGCGGACGCGGTTGCTGCGGTGGGCGATGCAGAGGTCGTGACCTTGGACACTGAGGTAGAGGTGCTCGAAGCAACGCTGGAAGTCGAAGTGGTAGAAGAGGCAACGCTTGCAGTCAGGCTTCCACAAGTAGCGCTTGCACTACATTGGTCCTGGCCCTGTTGGTCGTTGGGATGGTTTTTGATGCATTGAGCGAAATTCGCTTGGCACACATAGAAGGGAATGGTATTAATGTAGATAGACACATCTGGAACAGTTCCATTGATGCAGGTGCAGTCAAAGTTCAGGGTTGTCTAACTCCAATGTTAGTCGTGCAGTTGGCGAGACACGAGACCGGAGTGGGCTCACCGGGTCGCAGTCATTGGGCGAGGCGGCTCCTCCGCAAATTTGAGGGCAGGTGTTGCGCTCGCCTAGACACCAGTTTGCTGTACAAATTTTGGGTGAGAAGACGTCTTGCCGAAAGTAGCACGCTGGGCAGTTTAATACTCACATAGATCACTTTGACTGATAAGCCCCAGGTTGAAGCCAGCGGGGAAGGTGTAATTGTAATAAGCTGTTGTCCTAGCGACAAAGGCAGCAAAGATCAACACGGCAGCAGATGCGCGCATCTTGACGAGAGCAAATGCGGCGAGCAACAATTGAAGGAGAATAATCGGCCGAGGGTAATAAATACGCCTAAGCGATGCAGCGATTCGCACTACTGTAGTCTTGGATGCGTTCACGGAGCCAGAGAGGCGAGGGTGGTGAATAAGGGAGAGGAGAGAGTAGGCGAGGAAAGTGAGGAGGAGTGCGCTTTTAGCCACAGGAGCAGGAGGAGCAGCAGCTCCGACAAGAGCAGGGAAGGCACTCTCTCGTTAGCTCGTGCCTTGGGAATATGGCCGTCCGAACCAACCACTGGCAACCAGTCACCAGCAGACTACGAAACAGGACTGAGACGAGGTCTGATTGGTAGTATACTGTATAACTGGTACTAGTACTAGGTAACTATTTAGTACTAGGCAGGCACTAGTAGTGACAAAGCTCTCCCAGAAGATTCCGGCTGCCCTCGTTCCAGGGTAGCATCCTTAATTCTGCCCTTCTGGTCGACTCTTATCGAGCATACAGCCAATCGCGCGCTCAGGGACGCTTCTTGTCAGCTGCTTTGGGCCTAGCGGTGGCTCGCCTACGCTACAGCAGGATACCGGCGTACGTATAGGCTGCAACTTGGGACGGCTTGGTACGGCTTGGTACGGTCTGCGTAACGGCAGAGACTCATCGATTATCGATTATTGTGCTGGGAGTCTGCGAGTCTACGAGGTGTTGTCCTTGGCCTCTACCCAGAGGCCACAGCTGCCGCCTCCCCAGGTATTGGCACTGGCACAGGCACTGGCATGGCACATGATATACAGAATCGAGAAAAACGAAAAGAGAGTCACACCACTAGAAAAATTGTATCAATCATGTTTCACTCTCGGATGTCCGGCTGGCACTGGCCGCTAGCCCCAGAGCGACTAGCGTTGCTCTCGGACCCCTCCGTGAATTAACCTCAAACCGTGGAATCGTCCTTCTTCTATTAATAATTAATTACTTGTTGTTAGACTTGGTGGACAAGTGGTTGTTGGTATTATTATGGGCTAATTGTGGCGAGAGTGCTACTTAATACTATTACTATTATGTGTAAAGTGTAGTTAGTGTATTCTTTGGTTTGTCTATCAGATCTTGGCCTTCGCATCGGCCGATTTCTCATAGTTCCTCCCGCTCGTGTTGCGAGACGCGCCCACCACCAGTCCAACCTGCGAGCCCAGGGCCACAATGTCTCCCGCCTCATCCTTCATGATGACCTCAATATCTGTTCTGCCATTCCGAACCGTCTTCATATTCACTCGGGAATAAAGCCAGTCCACGCCTTCTGTAGGCAGCCGTTTCTTAAAGTCAATGTTCAGCGAGACGGTTGGGAACCAGAACGGCGGTGTCGCGTCTCCGTCAGCTGTCGAATACACTGCCTGACGATCCAGCCCGCCAAGCGCCATGGGGAAGAGGTCGATCAGAACCACTGCCGCCTCGTTCGTCCATCTTCCACGTCCGCCTTGAGGACCAACAGTCCGCAGCCGTGCCCACTGATCCACGATTCCGAGTTTATCACCATGAGCCGGCCCGAAGATCGCTGTGTGGTTTCCTACACGCCGGAATTTGGAGAATTTCGACCCAACCGCTTTCCACAGGCTGTTATCTGTTGCAAGCGCGAAGGAACCCTCGGGTGTCAACTTGACATCGGGCGGTTGCTGGCTGGGTGGAGGCGGGTACAGTGTCCAGTCCGATGGACTCGAAATACCAACGTCAGACACCGGGTCCGAGACAGTAATATAGCCGACCACTCTAGCAGTGTTCTTTTTGAGCTCGCCGTTCTGTGACGACCGTGAGTCTTCCTGTGAGAGAGTCACGTGTATCGTCGATGTTCTTGCGCCCAATTTGGCGTCTTCAACGGTGAGAATCGCTGGCCCGACAGTCGATCGCCGAAGAAATGTCATCTGCATGGAGATTGGCATAGGGTCTGAGTTGTGTCGGGTTGGATGAGTATGTTTGAAATGCGTTATAGCGAGGCGGTACAGGACCGCCATTGTGTAGCCGCCATGAGGAACTGTATCTAGTTATTAGGATGTAGAAATACATTATTTAACCGGACACGTGCCTGCTCCGATCGCCCAGTTGTTGTTAAGATTTGTTGAATATGTATGCGATGACTTTGGTGTGACAGTAATAGCGTCTTCAAATTCTTGGGTATGCGGCGGCGTCATCTTGTCTAATGTTTATGCAAGATCTGTGCGCGTCGTTTTATTGTGCTGTACTCGCTCGATTAAAGAATGGCGATTCAACGTACAGCTCTTTGTTTTTGATTCTTCTAAGTAGGTACAGCTACTAGCAAGGATGCTGACAGCGATGAAATTAGTTGATGAGTTAGAGTAGCCGGCAATTATTGGACCTCGGCATGTCTGCGCATTGCAGCCTAACTGTTAAGGTCACACACGCCAAGTCGGCATCTACGGTGGCGTAGCCCTTGCGTATGGTTTTTAGCGTTGAGTGTATGATCTGCATGTTATTAACATTATTATAACATGCAATTGTTTGAGAAATGCAGCGTTTATTTATAAGTTGAGACTATTCATATTCCGTCAGTTCTGCAAACTCCATTCCCGAAAGCGCCTGTGCCTATCTTCGTGTATATCAAGTACATTTACCTGCCTCCTCATGTATGCGAATGGAAAATATAAGTAAAAAAGGAACCCCCCCGGACAATTGTAGATGATGAAATCTACAAATGCTTCATATCGTATTTTCAAAGTGTCTATGCATCCGCAAAAAGAACCTACGGTTTATGGGTAGGCGATTTGCTCGGTGACTTCGACGTAAATCCTAGTTTTGCGTGGCAAGCCGTTGAAGGCAAGATAGAACCCCTACACAAGCCTTCATTAGTACTGATTCTGACCCACGACAATATTGATAGAAAGATATTACCAGTGACACCCTGATTCAAAGTAGCTCTCGCCTCAGTGCTTCGTGAGCCCAGTGTTACTGTAATAGCGTGTTCGACAGCTTTGGCATCGGCCAGTTTATTTGCCCAGTGGAACACGACCTCATCCTCGCGGCCATCGCCCACGACAAATAGAAAGTCGGGGCGACCATCTATACCATCCCTCTTACCACGTTCAATACAATAACGCCAGACAAGCTCTGCTGCATTCGCCTTGTTTGTATCACTCGATTGAATGATTACGGCACCATCGACTGGAATAACATGCACGCGCTGATTCGCACATGCATCGCTGATATGATCTGCACATTCAGAGGCTTGGCGAGCTGCTGCAACCTTGTCTTCAGCAGCACCGTAGTGGAATACAAGAGAACAATGGAGTTCCTCAATCCAACTTCCCTCGGTTCTTTCACGGAAGTAGTTGAGGATCCCTTTAATTCCAGCCTTCCACTCTTTAATGTCGTTCCCCTGGTTGAGTGTGATCCAACTATCCTTTGATGGCTCCCGAACGAAGCATCCATTTTCAGCTATAAGACCAAGACCGGAAACCTGACGGAAAAGTCGTTCCAACTCTTCTGGCCGCCTAGAACTCATTACATAAACAATATTTTTTGGATCCTCAAGCAAATCAGTGAGAGTGACTAGTGCTCGTTGAGGAGTTGTAAGAATTATGCTGCTCGGAGAGCCCCATGATGCCAAAGTGCCTTCATAGTCAAGGAAAAGAAGCCGTCTATTGGAGCGTTGATAAGCCTGCTCCAAGCGTGGGACAGATAGTCGCGGGACAGCAATGGTTTCCCTCGACGAGTGTTCATTCCAGACCTTGAACAAGGTATCTCGGAACGATTTAACCCAGTTAGTAGTAGAGTTTCGTAATACTGCATCATACAGTTTGCGCCACATGATTTCTCGTTCCGAGTCGCTCATTGTTAATGCCGTATGAATGGCTTCCGCGCATTGGCGATAATCCCATGGATTAACTAGAAGTGCGTGCCCATCAAATATCGAGGCACTTCCTGTGAACTCGCTAAGAATCAAAGAACCGTGAGCCTTTGGTCCATACTTTCCATCCTGACAGTAGACAAATTCATGGCTTGTGAGATTCATCCCCTCACGAAGACTGGTTACCATAAGTGCATCAGCGACCGTGATAAGAGCTAGGTACTGCGCAAAACTAAGGTCTTGTTTGAGGAACACCAAGGGCTGATGGGCTAGTGTCGAGTGAGTTGAATTAATGCGCATTGCGATGTCCGAAATAGTCGTTTCCAGTTCCATCTGTTCATTCGTTGATGATGCAACTTGAATGAGCACAACCTGATTTATAACTGTAAGCAAAGATCGAAAGCAGGTTTAAAATTTACTATACCTTATCGCAGAACTCGGGATAGGTATTAAGAAAGAGCTCGTAACTGAGAAGTTTCTGCCTAACACCTCTAATCGAATCGAGTTTGTCCCGGGAGACAATCAGGTGCTTGCCCTGGTACCTATTTGCAATGATCTTAATCCAGTGATCCACATCAGAGCTTTGGCGTCTGAGATCCCAAGATTTAGGGTCGATCCCAATGGGAAACTTTTCCACGTTAACAAAGCGGTCTTCTAGTTGGACGCCATCATTGCGGGCTTCGACACACAACAGGCGACTGCATGTTTGTAGAAAATGTCGGCAATATTCTTCGATCTGAAAGCCAATGAGATCTGCACCAAGAACACCCTCTAGAAGCTCTTTCCGCGGTGCCAGACACCTGAAAACCTCAGAAGATGGAAATGCCACGTGCAGGAAAAAGCCGATCTGTGCATCAGGCAATAATTTACGCAACATTGCTGGTACTAGAAGGAGGTGATAGTCATGAACCCAGATGGCGTCGCCACGCTTCCAGTTCTTAGCAATGCACTGCGCGAAAGCTTCATTGAGTTTGACGTAATAAATCCAGGAATGATCTTCGTAGGCTTTGCTTTTGGGGTTGTCTGGAATCTGGTAATGGAACACCGGCCATAAGATGGTTTTGCAAAAGTGAGTGTAATGGCCATCGAAATCGCTGTCATTCACGAAGACGGGCAACGATTGATATTCATCTTCCAATGTTTCAGAAAGCTCGGATTTGATGTGTTGATTGAGCGCGTCCGTCGGCATACCGAGAGTGCCAACCCATACAGGTTCGTCCAACGTAGTACCACTCGCTGAACGAATTGCGTTCCGTAGTCCACCGTTTCCTTGCTCCGCAGGCTCAATAGACCAGTCCGCATCAGAGAATGAAAAAGAACCACGATGCGAGCCGCGATGGCTCGGGGTCTGTTTTCGTTCCTCTTCCTTCAGCGTTTCAAGCCCTGTAGCTGGCTTCTCGGTTTCGCGGTTTGCGACAGGCTCTTGGTGCTTCAAGATCGAGGGAGAGGGAAGCGGGATATTCTTCAGCCTCGGCTGAGTGAAGGTCTGGGTTGAGCCCCAAGCAGGAGAATGAGGTTCGCTTTGTGACAGAGTACTCAGACGCGCACGCACGTCCACCTCTGAAAAATAGGCGTTTTGTGCATCCGCTTTTCCACCTGGCGCGAAGAAGCGTTCGTGGTCCGTAGCCTCGCCCGATCGCAAGCCTTTCTCCATTGAGTCATTCTCACGCTTGTGAAACAGGCTCGCAGCTGCCGTGTTTCCATTGCGAGGCGGGGATCCTCGCTGTGACCGCGATTTGGGAGTGGAGGACGGCGATCCTGGTGATTTGGCGAGGCGGAAGTTGATAGTGTATGGTAGGAACCTGCGATTGGCATGAGATTAGCCAGCGGGCACAACACGAATGACTAGAGATTATACAATGAAGCAATGAAAACCGTCATGGTGACTCTTTAGTTCGACCGTGGGTGCGGGTCGTGAAGATTTCTTCTGCTTCCTAGCAAGCTCATAAACAATGGCTCTGCCCTGTGGAGAGGCGAGTATGCGAACCAGGATTAGAAAGCCAATGCAAGGAGGAATGGAGACGGGAGACTGCAGAGGCTATGCGGTATAAAGCAGCCGAGGGACGACGACATCAATATCAAGGCTGGGCAGCAATGATGTATGCGTCTTCATTATGGCTTTGCAGCTGCCAACCTGAGAAGTGGAGCGTGGTTGTTTTGGTGGGCAGAAGGAACAAAGTGAGCCCAGTAATTTCGACGTCATGTGCAAAATTAGGACTACATAATACTTTCTGCGGCTTTCTTGCTTTATGGGGCCAGACCCACCGGGCAGCGGTTCGACTGAGGCCTTTTTTGTTTTCAAAAAAAAATAAGGAGAAAAGAAAAAAAACATATACAAACATAGTTGCTGATATGATATTATATTCACTAGAGGCCTTCTACGATCTGTTCTCTTGTTCATATTTAGTTCTGGTTGCTATAGGTGGGAGGGAAGCTCTAGCATTATCCAGCCAAGAGCCTGCCTTCCTGCGCTCGACAGAACAAGCGAACAATGCAAGGGCGCAAAGCAAGCAAGCACCAGGCTTGACGTCTTTCACTTCTCATCCCGAGTCTAGAACGTCCCAATTAGGATCTCGCCCGCCACACTTTGTCTACGGCTTGCTTCATGATCGTACGCTTGCCGAGCTTTCTATTGGCAGGGTACGTGTGGCCAATCACGGCTGCGGTAGGACATGCATGGTGCAGCTCTCCCGTCAAGCGGTGATTGGCTGGCATTGCTTGTATAAAGCTTGGTCGATGACTCCATGACTATCTGACGCTTGCATGACCATCTACTGAGATTCGCCTTGCGGTGGGAAAGGTGAGTAGGCGAATAGAAGACACACGAAGAAGGGAAAGCTAAGAGCAGGATCATTCGACTCTTCACAGAGAGGAAGATTTGAAACTCTCATGACGTCACGTGATTGGTGACTAAGGCCTTAGCCTGACTCTCTGAGTTCGATATTTGTTCCGCTACGGTCTGTATTGTTGAAGATATTTAGGTATAGACTGCATCCAGTGGGCCGACGGAACTTACCTGCAAAACTAACGGCCTAGCTATAAGTAACCCATTTGCCAACCCATGCCCCTCCGCATTACTTCTGCTCCCGTCTCTGGTATCAAAAAGAAAAAAAGCAGCACGCCCCGCAGTCGTGCTTCTCCCTTCGCCAGCCATGCCCGCACGAAACCGTCGGCACGCAGAGATGTTCAAGCTACAGACAACTGTCGCTCCGGCACTGACGAGGTTGATGGTGGTGCCTTGAGTGATTCGGGGCCGCTGGCAGATGTTGGTATCTCCCGACATGTCGCTGACACTGCAAACCTCGACGATGTTCTTCAGGCTATGCGATATATAAAGGATTCGATGTTTGAGGATCTGCCTGCTCGGGCAGGAATGAATAGTACACGTATTGCTGAAGTGTTGAATCTACGTCGCTTGCTGCCACCGTTAGTATCGGTTGCACATGTTCACACAGTGCTTCAAGCGCCAACCCAGGTGGAGCGGGAAATTGTGTCACTTTTAAACTCCGGTCATCTGCGGCGTCTCATTGTGCCTGGACGAGGGAATGATGCGGCGGGATTGGGGGATTGCCTCATCTTGGCAGATGACTTGACCATACTTGTACAAGATAGTAATGACCTCGACCAAAACTTGAAAGGCATGTTGTTCTTGTATATATGAGAACACACTTTGCTAACATCCCACGCTCCCTAGATCGCTTTATTCATGTCATTGGTCAACTCACTAATACAACTGCGATGCCTGCAATGACTTTCTCGCCGGCGGAGTCCATGGCCCTGGTGCGGGCAGGGTTCCTTGTAACCGCATCATCGCTGTCAAAAGGTTCATTGAATGTTGCGTCTCTTCCCGAACTGTCTCCAGCGGCGTCAGGCCAATCCAGTGATGCGATTCAGGCTAGCCGTGCTAGTCAATCACGCGCACCCACTTTCTTCTTGTCGCTTCCTAATACCGGACCTTACCTTCGGCTGTTAAACGCTGGTCGCTCGCATTTAATAACTTTGCTAAAGAAGTCAAAGTATCATGAAGCTCCTCTCACCCTCCTGCGTGACCGTTGGGATGGTTCTGTTGAGATAGGCCAGAGTTTCTCTGTAGCAAAACGGCTCAGAGGCGAGTTCAGCGGAGTCCTTCCAGGTCGGACGAAGAAATGGAAGCAATTCTATGGGATGAACTTTCGCTGGATCTTAGAGCATTCTCTCGGTGCTGGACTCGTTGAACTTTTTGACACTGGGAGCGTAGGGCCCGCCGTTCGGTGTTTATAAAAGCTACTTCATAGGCACAACTTTCCAGAAGCAGTGTTATTCCAAGTAGTTATTATATATGAAATATGATATATGTTCATAAATACAATCCATCTTGGAGCTTACCTGCAATCGGTTTGAACCATTTGCAATGCCCCCATTGAAGCCTACCGGCCAGCGATGATAAAGTAAATGTCGCGAAAAAACCATCCTGACACCTACTGCCACTACATATTTATCAAGGACTCTTATGTCTCTGCTGATCAGTCCAACCAAGAAACAGCCCAACATCAGCTACAACGGCCTTAGGCACCCCGCCCATCGTCCAACTCCGCTGGACCCATTGCGGAATATGTCCGCCAGCATCTGACACCGTTGCCATTGTCCACTCAATACGTCGTTTTTGAGCATCATCATTTATATTATGGCCAGGAGAGGTGTGCTCCTTCAATAACACATGTTCAACACTAGCATAGTGCGCGAAAATGGTCTTTTTCGGGACTGCAGATTTGATCTTGTTCTTCAGGCCGTCAGGAATGTCGGATTGTTCGTTGAATGCTAGTGGAATTTGGATGGTATAGAACCCTTGGGTAGAAGATTGAGAGCTACTATTGTTGTTCCTGGATTGTTGTGGTGGTTCATATGCCGAAATAACTAGTGAAATGAAGGTTCTTGGAGAGATGAGAGCCCCGGGTTTGAAGCTATGCGTGATCATATTTACTGAATATTGTTCAAGCATTAGAGCTGATGGCGTCTGACAGAAACATTTGTATAACCTACTGTGCATATCGACATCCCTCCAACCATCCCCGAGAACCTTCTGCACAGGCCATTGCGACAGATGCTCAACGGATGAGACGCTCGGCGTATACGCCATCTCATTCTCCGAGTGATTCTCCCGGAGACCCCGTTCAAATTCCGCCCACGACGCGCTTCCTTTTTCAGCAGCATTGTTATGGACGCTCTTCCGGCAGACCCAATAGTCTTTCTCCCTAATTGTGCGCGTTAAAAGCTGGACTTTGGCAGAGGAAGGCGAAGAGCTGCGGGGTTTGGGATCAGGGATGAACGTTTGCGGGATTGTTTGCGTGATGAATGTCTGGGCTTCGGTGAGTGCTGAAATTAGGAACTTCTCGAGAGATGGAGAGGATGAGGAGCTGTCATTGTTTCCGAGTGATGGGTGCGGAGGTAAGGAGGAGAAGGTTTGAGGGGTTAGTTGGAGAAACGGCATTATTCTGATCGAAGAGCTCAGTGGAGTTTTTCTCGTTTTTTAGAAGAGAAGTCTCGTTGATATGTGAAATGGCCTTTGTAGGACATGATCTTGGAATCAATTGGCGTTGTTATTTATGTCTGTAGCAGTAAATTGGAAACTGATGTGACACAGGGGCTGATGCTTATAGGGATGATCTCATTATCACGTGAGGCTCGATAAGGTTGGAGATAAAGATACAAAAGCATCAAACACCATCAGTAGTCTACTTTGATAAGGTTAGAAACACAACACTGGTTTCCAGAATCCAAACTTGATACGTACTGATACGGTCACATTTCTAAAATAAATAATCTTGAGTCGGGATGATCTCCTTTCGAGACGTTGAAAACAATTGGTGAACAAAATAAGTGCGCACAAAAGCACTATCAAGCAAGAAAAGCAATGGTAAATTTGACAATAGATAAGCTTTCCATCATCCAGATGGTCGGGGGAATGATAAGGTAAAGAAAATAATCAAGCAGATAAGGTTTTACACGCCATGCGCCCCTTTAAATACCGGAAACCATAAATAATAAATCAGCACAGGCTATGAAGAGAAGAATGAATCAACACAATTCCTGCAATGCTAACGCCCCCACCATCCTCCTTAGGCTGTGTACTGGGTATGCATGACCATGAACATCCCCAATCCTCAAAAATTCAATAATACATAAGTCAAATGCAACGCGTCCAATCTGGATCGAGACGGGGCGAGTTGTTGTAAATAGAATGTATAGCCACCGACAAGCATTGAGAGCGTAGTTCATAACAGGATTCGGTTGTAAATTCAGCCACCAATGATGTTTGCTATTTTCGTCTTTCCATAAAATTTTCTTCTCTTTGTCATCGTCGTTATTTTACACCCAAGGTTCATAGTGAAAAATTCTGTAGGGTGCCAGCTACCCATACCATGTAGCCGCACAGCTTTATAACGAAGGAGCTAATACTCATGACTCGAAACGGATTGGGAAGAACTATTATGGGTGGAGTTGCTGATGGTCGTATATATCAAAGCACGAACGCTTCACGGTGTCTATCGCGCACCCAAGTCTCCGGGTTCTGGTTGAGCCTGGGGAGCTGAGTTGGCTCCTTGATTTTGTGCAGCAAGTTGTGTTCGTAATGCTGTAACTTCTGTTCGAAGATTGTTGACTTCTTCTTGAACGCTTCGAATGTACACCCATAATTTGTCCTCACGACTCTGATCTGATAGACCGCTAGCATCATCAACAGCTGTGTGAATCACGGCTCCATGGCTACTCGAGTGGCTATGGGTGGCACCATGTTTAGATGAAAGGGAAGGTGTCTGCTGGCTGTGTAGGAATCGCGAGTCCGATGTACTGAGTCCCGGAGGGAGAGGGAGTTGCGGGGCTCCGGGTGGTGGAAGACCGAGAGTACCTTGAGTGGTTCCGGCTCGAAAATGTGATTGATGATACTGCTGGTTCAAGCCTGGAGAATGAGCACGATGCTGTGGATGCGGATGAATACCACCGGCTTCAGTTCCATGGCTGGCGTGGTTGGAGGCGAGGGCATTTGGTGATAACGGCTTCGGGCTCTCTGTCATATTGGGGGCGGGGAAAGTGGAGGTCGAAGAATGGGCTGTTGCAGGGAAAGTCATAGTGCCACTTTGAGAAATAGGAGATGTTGACGAACTGGATCCTCCGTGACTAGTTGCAGGCGGGAAAAGGCCCCGAGGGGGTGGAGGCGGAGGAGGTTGGTTGGTGGCGATCGGAGGGTACGTGCTAGGAGCACGAGGTTGAAAGACACCAGGTGCACGTGGCATAGGTTCTGATGAAGGTGCATTGTGCTTGCGGATACTTGGCGTGCTAAGACGTCGCTCATCTTCTTCGTCCATCCTTTCCGGCTCAGTGTACATAAGTCCGTCCATAGCGTCATCTGCTCCAGCACCTGCATCGCCATAATCGTCCTCGCCGGCATAACTGCCCATGCTTGACCGTCGACCTGCACAACCACCTTGGCCTTTATTGTGACGAGCCAATGCATCACCTCGGGCGAATCTACGTCCACATTTATCACATATGTGCGGACGTTCTCCCGTGTGCAGTTTAGTATGTCTTTTCAAATCGTGGAGGCGTCTAAAGCGTGACTGGCATGTCTGACAAGCATAGGGTTTTTCTTGACTGTGGGTGAGGAGGTGACTCTTTAGGTTGTGGTGACGCGTAAACTCAGTCGCACAATAAGGGCACCGATGTTTCTTCGTGGAGGGTGATCGGGGGCTTCCTTTGTGGAAGCCAGAATGCGGCAAACTAAGACCGCGACGAGGATCATTGAAACCGGCAGCAGGCATGGGATACGAAAATGCTTTATTCGCATCATCTGCTATGTCGGTGTGTTCGTTATACGGTCGAGGTCGGTCACCATCTTGAGATGCGGTGTCTTCGATTGGGCCAGGGCTGGCCACTGTAGAGCTGTTCATTAACGAGACCGAGTTTGCTCCCTGGTCTCCTGTGTGGACAGAAGTACCAGGGGCATGACCCGGGCTCGCATGGGAGTCTACTTGCATGTCATCGGATGGCACGTGGGTTTCTCGGACAAACGTGTTACTTGTGGGCTCGTTCAGCGTCGAGGCTGCATTTGTTTGTTCTGAGGACCTTGCTTCTCTGTCAGAAGTATCACCAAGAGCAACTCCCAATGCTTCCCGAGCAACCTGCGGGCCACCCTTGTGTTGAAATTCTTCGGATTCTTTTCCTAGTTCCGACGGTCGATCAGCCGCCGTGTTTACGGCAGGGCTAGCCATGCCAACAGCAGAGGGAGATCGCGACGGTTCCAGGCCAGGGGAGGGAGAAGTGCGCAAACCAGCGCTGGCAATCGAACTCAGATGCGCGTCGGGTTTAGTTGAGGATGATGGTTTCAGTAAAGAAATCTGGTCAGCAGGAGCGCTTAGAATCGAGCTTGACGAGGCGGGCAGTGGGTTGGATATGGCGACTGGATCGCTGGTGGCTTGCATTGGCCCAGCCATGAACGCACCGTATCTCCTAGCTGGCAGATCCAGGTGAGAGAAGGGCGGAAAGTGCTCTGTGGTCAAGCTGGTCATGATCATGTCAGCGCTGAATGCAACATGCGGTATAGTCAAGCGTGGTTGTTGTTGCGGACTTGTCGCGGTTGATAGCGGGTAGAAAAGGGCAGCAGGCAGAGACGATGATGCTGTGGGCGGGAGGATGGGGGTATGGAGAAGGGAAAGCGAGCAAAACAGCGAAGAGAAATGCGACAAACCGGAGAGCGCTTGCGATTGATTGATAACAATAATGATGGGCAGATGGGTAGAAGAACAGAGCTCAGCTACGTACCGTTGCGCGTGGGGCGGGTGTTGCAGGTGTTCCTGAAGCGAGTGTGGCGCAAGCTGATGGGCGGATGGGGGAGCAGGTTCAGCTGCTCCCAGAGGAAGGAGGCGCAGTGGAGTCGAGCGAGGAATAAAAGAGCAGGCGAGTCAGCCTCGTGCGAGGGTGGTGGATGGAGAGAAGAGGGAAACGATCTGAGAGCAGCAGCAGCAGCAGGAGTAGTCAATACGAGAGTTGAGATTTGCGCGGCGGCTTCGAAGGTCGGTCGTGTTTGGCTGCTGCTACTAGTTGCGGCGGCCCATGGGAACCGGCCTGCCAGAGCCTACGGGAGCAGTCGTCGACGAAGTGTTCAATGATGGTGGCAACGAGCGGCAGAGAGCGCGATATTATTTTCGGAGCGCAATAGATCGTGGCGATGAGCGTTGGTATGAGCCGCAAGAAGAGCAGAGGGTAGTGCAGCAGAGTTGGCGAGGCAGCCAACTTCATGTGTTGCATATATTATTAGCGATGGCTGTAAGACAAGGCTTGGCGGCAGGGTGGAAAACGTGGTTGTCCGCGAGAGGAATAATGAGACCACGACAAATAATTACAGTCCAGTTTTCTGAGACGCAGCGACTGATGATTGTTACTTACACGGTCGAAGGGGAGCGGAGAAAGCTGGAGTGGCTTGGCCACTCGACGTGCGGGATTCCCAGTCTTGGTGACTGGTCAGTGGTCGCTAGGCGGAGAATCCGACAAGCGTATTCCTATTCGTCTTTCATCACCATCATAAGAAGCAAACAAGACTAGGCAGAGGCTATGACGGGATGAGGCTATCAGAGTTATCGACGAGAACCGATGGGGCTTGGCTGGAGGTGGCTGGCGCAGAGGAGGCTGGCTGGCTGTACGGTATTATTAGTATTATTGGTATTGCCGTATTGGCAGCGTATGCACTACACATCATTACCGGCCAGAAGGTGCATTTCTTACTATTACTCTATTAGAATTATTTGTTAATGCTTGCGATGATGAGAAGTACAGTTCGCATCCGGCTGGCCTCTGCACGTGTCCTGTAAGTCTGTAATGTCCAGTGAAGTGTAAAGGTATTCTGTATTCTTCCGGTTCGCCCACCGCGGCTGTGCAGTGGCTGGGCTGGCTTACCGTAAGACGAGGTGACGCAACAGGCGGTACAACTATTATATCCATGTACCCGGTTACAGTGCCATAGTCACCAAGTTATGTATGCCTACGCATACTGATGATTCCGCCTCAGGCACGATCTGCGGGCTTTGCCTGTCCATGACTGGGCGAAAGGATATGAGCGCAGTGATGGGCAAACAAATAAGAAGCATAACCGGGCGGGGAGACGTATGACATCAGCCGCGTCGTTGCTAATGGCCATCCACATGCAGGTGTGACCAACCAACTAACATCATGTTGATGTCAATCTTAGCGGCGAGGCTTGTTTTGACTCTTGTCTCTAGCATTATTGTATTATTATATTATATATTATGATATTATTAATAGCCAATAATAACACCACAATACGCAGTGTCCAACACGGTATACTAAGCCATTGCAGATCTTCACTTCCAATACGCGACCGTTTCCGGCTTAGACTGGCACGTGATGCGATATCAATATCAAAACTACACGCGTTTGCGAGAAGGGCAGAAAGCGGTCCTCGACTGCTGAGCATGGAGCTGCAGAGGGGCCAGCAGAAACAAACAATGTGATATGGCACTAATCGTTATGCCTAGCGACAAACAAGCGACTTTCGGGAGAGAAACAGAGGTGCAAAGAGCTCCAAATACCATTCTTCCACCAAATGCCATATTGCTCCTGCAAACTTCTTTGCTTGTCAAATTGCAAGTAGAATACCTGTAGCTTGCAGTATGCTACTGTGCTACTATGTGCTACTGATTACGTTAGTGCCATTATAAGGGCTGCCTTATCACGAGCTGATAGGTTAACACGCTAGCCCCATGCGTAGTAGCTTGCGTGGTGACTCCTCCTCGCTTCTCCTGGCCTTTTGGCGTGCAGTCAACTTTCCATGCGCTGTGCTTGGGCGTCTCCTTGGCTTGGTCGAAGGCTGGGGTTTCTCTATAGTGCGCTACTTTTTTTGCTTCGCTTTGGCTTCTCGACGCCCTCGACTATTATACACCCCTCCAAGATCGGATCGTTGGCACTGACGACATCAGGCGCAAGTCCACCAGCGTACGTTAAAACGAAGCTATCTTGGAAGATCGCTCACACTTGCAAAGCTGCTTATTGTCATATTCTATCAAAACACACCTTGCACTTGTAAAGGCGCGAGTTCGCTACTTGGACACTAAAACCCTGGGTCTTCGACTGATGCGGGCAGTGGGAGACCCGCTCGCAGAGAAATAGCAAAACTCATCTTCTGATATCTTAATGTGCCCTGGCTGAGGACCTGCGATGTACGGCTCTCACCCCCCTCCGAATTACATGGGGAACTATCACAACCCCCCTCAACCAGAATGGCAACAGCAACAACCTCCAACTACATACAACCCCAACACATATGGCCCGATACATCCAGCTCCGCCAGCATCAACCAGTCCTGTGTCTGGACTGGATACGACCAGTTGGGGTGTTCGCTATAACCAGCATAGCCCGCATGCTTCTGCCCCTCCATTACCGGTAGGATTCCTGCAATCTGGTTCGTGTTCTATCCCACTAACATGAGATTGTTTAGCCTCGCCCTGATCAGGCTTCCCCGCCGCCTCCTCCTCTTCCTCCTCCACCACCACCTCCCTCTTCTCTACCTCCTCTTTCTGCTCAATCGCCAGTCCATTGGGATTATGGTGTCAATTACTCGCAATATTCTCAAACACCTATCCCTCCACCGCGGCCTCCCCTACCGCCAGCATATCAGAGTGGAATTCAACAGAACGCGCAAGAATGGCAAGCTCCACAGCAAGGCCATCCAGCTCAGTACTCCACTCACCCTCTAACTCACCATTATGACCCATCCGCTCCGCCGCCACCTCCTCAAAACCAAGAGCCTACATATACAGTCGGAAATCATGGACAGTATTCAGTGCCAACTTATCATCAGCCGCCATCAATCACATCCGGTGAACAACAGCAATTGGGTCCTCCAACTTCTATGCCATTACATTCAGCGCCGCCAACTATTAGTGCTACTCCAACATCGTCCTCTCCTGTGCAAGTAGGCCCAAAAATAAGCCAAGTGTCATCAAGCGCCTCCGCCCTCGGGTTTGGCAGTCCCTCGGACTGGGAGTATCTTTCACCCGCACCGGGTGAGGTGAATGATATCCACTCGTATCAAGCGAGTGCAAGGACTGAACAACATGCACCCCAAAATGCGAGCCCTACACCGCAAAACCAGGTCCATATTCGCACTCAAAGCCAGTCCCCGGCTTTGTCGCACGTCTCTAACCCAGCATTCTCTGCACAAGCGCAAACACCACCCACCGAAAATGTCTCCTTAAGCCATCAAGATGTGCCTCATTCTACGCGCCCTGTGAGAGATGATAGCATCCGGTCCGACCATAGTGTTGTTTCCTCCTTAAGCTATTCCGAAACGATTGACGGTGTCATTCAGGCGTGGAACCATCCCGTCTCTCCTGTTATTAAGCCCCAAGACGAATCTTCCCCGCAGAGCCCAGCTTCATTTTCGAAGCCTGCTTCTCCCCAAACAAAGCCAAGGCAGCAGATTCCCCCACAGACGCATACACCCTCTGAAATACGGACACCCTCTCCAATGATAACCAACCCCGACACTGGCCCAGGCGAGCGAGTAGTGCAAACTCCTGTGAGCAAAACATCGCCTGATGTCCCTGAAAGGCCATCTTCGCAGGCCAAACCCCTTGACCCGTACGATGACCTTGACCCATGGTCTAAGTCTTCTCTATTTCGATATGCCACCATGCTGCGGAAGGAAGCAGTTGCTGAGTCGGATGATGAAAAGTACAAAATTTTTACTGGATTCGTAGCTAAGGAGACAAGGCTACGTGAGGTTCTATATAATATTGAGGATATTACCAAGGAGAAAAAGGCATCAACCACGGATGCTTCATTGGAAATAGGAAACTCCAAAAAGGACCTCACCACTGAACCTGTTCGACCCATTATCGAATCCGGTCTTATTCCTGTGGAATCAGAAGTACCTGCCAAGGCTCCCGTTGTTCCAGCTCAGTCACCCGACTTGGATGATATTCCCTACAGTCCCGGTGGTCGGCCAATACTACCTAAGGTCCAATTCACACACGCTGTTAAAAACCAGAAGGGCGGTCTTCAAAGATCGGCTTCGAACCCTTCTGGCCGCGGTAATACCCCTCTTACTGAAGTTCCGCCAGTTCAACTTGAAAACAATGCCACCACCGCCACCCATGACTTGGCTTTTAGGTCTACATCGGTGCCACCGCCATCGATGAAGAGTTCAATTACTCATCAAACACTAGCTCCCTTAGAGCCAGAGCCTCCTCATCCGGCCTACACACCTTTTAGATACACAGAGGGACCGCAAAGGGGTTCTGAAAGTCTTACTGTTGTACAACCAGCCTACCAAGCGTACTCGGCTTTACGTCAGGCATCTGCCGAAAGTGGGCGTGCAATGTCCGTAGCTCCTGTACTGCAGTCACAACTTAAACCCAGCACCGGCATGAACTCCACTGGCAGTCTTCACCCAGACGAGACTTTTCTTGGTATCATTCGAGAGAAAAGTGTCTCATATCGTGAAAAACGTCCGTCCCCCTTTTCCGGATCTGCAGTTGAGGAGCTCGGCGCGTTGATTCCAAGCCCATTCCCAACCCCCGGGCAAAGTCCGGAGGTTGCCAGCATCGAGAAGAAGATGGATGTCTACTCCGATGATTTCAGGTATATCCCTGTTGCTACCGAGTCGTGGGATTTGTCTGCTAGGGATCGGTATGATAAACTTGAAAAGGGCCGTGTCGCACGCCAAGAGGCATCTGAAGAACACATTGATACTCTCTTTAATGACAAGGAGATCGGATATGCTGATATCAACCCTCTTGAAGAGGAGTTCCGGCAAGGGGAAGCTCGGACCCAACTTGACGAGGAAAGGAAAGAGCTTGAAAATTATATTCGCAACGTTTTCAATCCTCTGGATGCACGGTTAAAAGAAGAGATTGTGGAACTACGCGCACTCAATCAAAGAGCCATGGAAGAACTCAAGAGGCAAACTTTCCATGAAAGTAAGAGTGCAAATTACCAGCTGTCATATACAATGAAATTAGTAAATTCTTTGGCAGCTAAGCTGGAATACCGCTTTCAGAAACGCCTTGATATTGCCTTGGAGCGGGAACAACGGCGCAAAAAGGCAGAGAGGCGACCATTTGTATTCCTGGGTGATGCTCGCTCGTTGAGGAAATTGGACGGTGATTTCGAGAAAATGGAAAAGCAGAACATTGTCGAAGCTGCCAAGGACCGTGATGAAAGAGCTAATAAACTGACGGATCTTTTTGACGAGGCTGTTCTGAGTGCGTTAGGCAACCATCAGCGACTCCTCGATGATGTGACCTCCAAAACCAAGAGACTCGATATTGATGCGGTGGAACATAGCAGTTTGTCCGAGCCGGACAAAGAACTACTTCTGCGGTCAATTTCTGCGCTCACAAAACTGCTTGTTGAAGATGCCGAGTCTATGCTTACCAGCTTTAAGAAGGCAGACTCTCTTCTAAATGAGGCCGACTATAATGTTTCTGTAGCGGAAGCTCGCTACTCGAATGCAGAATCCGATATATTCCGTCAACTAGACGAGGAGAAGGAGAAAGAGGACAAGAAGATTGACGAAGACCATGTTTCCAAGATGGAGAGTGTCAGAAAGGGACCATCACAGATTACCATCAAGATAGATGAAATCCTGCGAGCAATGAATAAGGAGCCTGGTATCGGCCAAGGACCGTGGAAACGACCGGCAGCTATTGTGGCGAACCCGCCCACTGCATCCCTTGCTGTTGAAGAGCCTGCTGACCGCCCTGGAGATGTCTTGATGCCAGGTCCTCGGCCGCCTTCTGCAGAAACAGAGCAGCAAGAGCGACTGCGAAGGGCTCTTGAAGAGGCGAAGAAGCGAAATGCAGCAAAGAATTATACTACCTGATGATTTGGCTGGTTAGTCCAGGTGTAACAACTTCACCCAATGTTGCGGTTATGAGATGACGATTTTCTTTGACTATCTAGTATATAATGATCTATATATAATGATATTGACGGTTTTAGATTTGGTTATTTTGCTCTCCCAATTACATTCACATCAATTGATATCAATGATACGCAGTGAAAATATCTGATACCTCTTGATTTTGGAAGCACATCTTATTGAGTCCAACATCGAAATAGCTGAAGATGAGTTCAAAAATTTCACTTCTATCTAGTTACATTAAACCCACTCACTTTCACCTGTAGAAATTTCATGAGCCTACATTTCTGCCGTGTATCTATGATCTGCCGAAACATACTCTCTGATAATCTGGATCTACCGAGTATACCCTGGACTATACGTAGTGCAACATCATGCTATATACTCTATACTTCGTACCTTACACTAGTAAGTTAATGATCATACGACAATCCACTGATTTTCCAACCTGGCGATTAACAAAGACTATAAGATCGCACGAAACAACGAGCCAATCAAGAAAACGTATATATACAAATAAAAGCGGGGTCGGTGGGTCCCTATCCAATAAGACGAGCTATCTAATTGAGAAAAGAAATCTTTCCGAACGCGGCTAGCAACAGCATTCTATTTCCAATAGCGGCAATTTCATACAAAGGATTACGATATGTTGACTCAACTTGAGAGACGCTCGAAATTTGCAACGCATTGTCAGCTCGATGCTGCACTCCGAATGCACATCATATTGTGGAGAGTCTTATTAATAGCAGTTCGGCCGAGGCTGACTGCCTGGCTTTCATCCGATAAGAATCAAATCCACGGCGCAGCTCCGGCCGCTTCGGCGCCAGAGAGCCCCGGCTCTCCCTAGTCATTTTAGGGTACCAGAGTTTCGAGCAGCAGCTGTGTTGGGCAAGACGGCCAGAAGTGCCACTGCTACGCCCCTTCGGGCTGTGAACGTTGGCTCAGCACGTAAGGATTTCCATGGTAAGCAGGCATCTTTTCTTTGTTCCCGTGGCGTGGGGTCTTGAAACTCGGTACTGGGACTACATATGACATGGTACTGGGACAACCCGGTAAGGCGCAAGGCGTTAGGCGTTAGGCGTTAGTAGCCGAGTATCTCCTTCCCTGCAATAGCCAATTTCGTATAGCCTCTGCGTCGCTTGGCTTGTTTTGTGGCACTGCGTTCTTTGACCTTGGCGCCAAAAGGACCCATCAGACCCATGATCATCGTGTCTGGGCCGCTTTTCGGTGGCACCACACTACCACGAGGTAAAATAGGGGCGTGAAAGAGCCTTCGCCATCACCCTGTCCGCAAATTGTTCACCTTTCCAAAGGTCTTTCTGCTCGCCACTACTGGTGATTCAACGCCCCGTTTGACCCGCTATCCAGGGCTTCCAGGTCGTCATTCCCGATGCCGTTTGCAGCATGATATAGCCCAATTATATATCAGTATACGAATGTCAAGGCGAAGACAAGGTATGGACTCATCATGCTCCAGTTGTCCCGCAAGACGAAAATGACAAAGCACCGAGAACACGCGATCTTACACCAAAATTCACGGCCGCTCCGCCGACCGCTTCGAGACCGTATTACGACAATCATCAGATCTACCGAGTACGCTTCTGATTTCCGCCAGCATCCCCCGTAGCTGGCCGTTTGGCTCTTGATGCGGCTAAGCTTGACTGCGCTTCGTGGATCAACGACTTCAGCTTGAGAACAAAGGAAGGTGGTGCTCTGTTGATCTCGGTTTTCCTAAGAATATCGGTTAGGTTACGTACATACGATCCTAGCACGGAAATCGGCAGTTCTTCCAAGGCATCCAGCACAAACATATCGCCCGTCTCATTGGCCTGGCCGATCAGTTGCTCGTACAAGTTTCGGTCGTCCTCATCCTCACCCACCGGCGGCACACGACCCCACAGACTTTGTTCAAAGGCATCAATATTGCGAGCGCTGATATCTTGGAGCAATGCAAGTAGTGCTTCTACAGCACCCTTGCTTCCGTATGGTATTCGCATCTTTATATTTTCTCTGATCTGTTTAACATGAAGCCGTAGCTCTGAAGCTACTACTTTGACCTCTAGCGATCGTCTTTCGGGCGGTAGTCGTCCGCTCCGGCGATATTCATCGAAATACTGGAGAAGCCTGCGGGACTGCTTTTGGGCCTTGTCGAAAAAAATGGCGGCACAAGCTCCCGCTGGCATTGCTTTTCGTATACTAGTGAACACATTGTCGTCGTGAACAGCAAGTCTGAACACGGTGGCTTCAAAATCTCCTTGGACGACACACTGCTCGGGTGTGCGAGGTTCGGTGGTTGTTTCTGCGAGATCTTTTCGGAAGTTCTCGGGTAAAGTGACCTCATTGAAGGCAGACAAGATATCACGGACCTTGTCCTGGCGAGACATACTAGCCATTTCAGAGCTCGACTCCGATGGCGATGGGCTTCCCGGAACGAAGCGCCATTCCATAGCATTGGCCACCCTGTCTAATTGATCATGTAGAAGGGTATGTAGACGAGGCAAGCTCGGAGAGAATCCATCTTTAGATAGAGGTAAACCGGACTGGGGCGCATGAGGCGAGAGATTCTCATATACTTGATCAACCAGCCACTAGATGAAGGTAAGTTAGTATTGCTTGTAGCTGTAAGGATAGAGTTGGGTCTGATACTTACAAAAATATGGCGACAAGCCATGTCTGGTCGATTTTGGTACTCTGAACAAGTGCACTCTGCCCCTCCTTGACGGATACGAATCTGTGGGCGCTCTGCTAGTTGGAATTCATAGAAAGAAGGAGCTGCCCGGCAATAAACCATGTCAAATTGACCACTCAGTCCCGCGAGAGCTCGAGCCCTCGAGTCGTCGTCGAGGCTTTCAATGTCGTATACAATATGAGATCGGCCGCGCACCATTGATGCCAACGGGTCTAAAGCCCTTTGACTGTCGCTGTCGTCTTCGTCGTCTTCGTCGTCGCCTAGAGCGTCAGTATCGCTTGCTTCCGCGGAATCGTCAGATTCACTTTGAGAATCGTGTTCGAGCTCTTGGCTATTACCTCCCCTTTCCTTGTCGTCACCTTGCTCCCTGTCGTTCCGCGGTAGACCTGGGTTGGCCAGTCGATGTGCTTGGGATCGGGTAGTTGGCATGTTCCCACCGAGAGACAGCTTTCCGAGCTGCCTAGTAGGCGGAGGCGACATAGGTAGATGAAATAAGAATGTTTAGAACAGCTATCAGGCGGTTGGGTGCGGGTTGGTGGCCCGAGGGATGGGGTTTATATAGAGTTCTTCCGAACCACGGACGGCAGTGGGAGGCAAGATCCATCAATCTTTTCTCCTTGTAATTACAGTGCCAACATTTCTATTGTCGAAGTGACCGCTGCCTGGCCTTTTGCAGCTTAGCTTGACTGGTGCTGGATAAACGGTGTTCAGCGCCGTATCTAAGCTGGTAGCTGAACGAAGCCCCCAAGCGGCACCGACCCTGGCACAGATAGATTTGCGTCCAGATCGGCTTTATGCTTTTACAGAAAACGTCATATCGTAATCATTTTCTCTTTCTTTGTTATTAAACCTTTCTTTTTAGGCTGCAGATAGCCAATGAACCCAGGCGCGATACGGCACAGAACGGCGCTTAAATTAAGGTGATAAAAGGAGATGACAGAGAACGGGCGACAGAGCCACGCGCGCTTTTTCGCTTTGCATTTGGAAGTCCGAGGAACTTTTTCTAGTCGCTGTAACCTAAATTGAGCTCAAATCAAAACGGAATTCGAGCCGGTGGGCCAACACTTCCTTACTGAAGCTAACTCGGTAGGATGTTAGTAGTACATATTACTGACTCTAGTCGTATAATAACAATTTCGTCTCGTACTTGAAAAGAACGACATCTTCCCACTTTGATAGCATCTAGGCAACGATGATTTCTACACTCTTCGATGCATTGATGCTCGAATCAAAGGAGAGCGGATCATGTATTGAGTCATGAACGATGAAATGAAAAAGAGAAAGTACGGCTGATGCCCGCGAGCCCACCCGAGTCTGAATGTCGTCGACAAAGGACTGGATGGCAGCTTTCCCTTTCGTGTATGCGGCACCTTCTCATCGGGCGTGCGAAACGCTCTGGGCTGATGCACTGACAGCAAGCCATGGCGGTGCTTATAAATTGCTACGGCGCTGTCAAGCCGGTTGATGATCCGGTGTTGGAACTAATTAGAGACGATCTTCGTCGAGGCTCGAGCGGCTAGGGTGTGGTATCATTGTTATGTGCGAGCGTTATTTCCCCCCTTTAGATAGATAACTGCCAATGCTCGTAGGTTGTCGAGGACAGCCCCAGCGGCGCAGGTCTTGCATATATAATTTTAATTTGAAAATTTCCATTGGTCAGAGAACATAATGAGGGGCCAGATGAATGGAGCAAGCATATATGAACCACTAATTGGGGCACGGAGGCGGTTGGCGACTTTGTTGGAGCTTGGGAACGATGCAGTCGATTTGGTCCAAGCGGCAGAGACAGAACACAGAGACTCCACAGTGGCCGGGCCAACGCCGTGGCGCCATGCGTTAGTTATGCGGCGTGGTCGTGTCCAAGGTGTCGATGTTGATGTCGAACTCCATCAGCTGCGATAACCATGATTCCGTGTCCAGCAATCAGATGGCGAATGCGACAGATGCTGGTAGTTAGCAGCTTGGGGCGGAACATGCCAGACACCGCTGTCTCAGCAACAAACTGGCGGTGTTCCGAGCTTATGAGCTTAGCGAGTCCATGCTTGGCAGCTTGCAGCTAAGGCTGATCCGGAGAATGCCTTGGGGGAGGGGGGGCAATGCCATTTCATTGTTATCATTCTTCTTCTTCTTCTTTGGGGCGGAGAAGCCGATAATCGAGCAGCGAATGAGACTGGCAGCAGAAAAGAAGGTGAAGAAGACTGATGAAAACAGGAAGAAAAGAAAGCAGGCAGGGTAAGGGCAAGGCAGACTGCGATGAGTGGCCCGGCTGCAGTCCCGTGTCTGTGGACTCGGGAAGGACCGTCCTGCTCGGCGCTTGCCCTCCTTGCTACACCTATATCACACCTTCATATTATCACTCACGTTCTCAGACGTAAGCGCCCCCAGCTGGCACCTCCAGAGCCTCACGTCCAATCGTTCATTTAAGGCTGCGGGCATAGGGGCTAGCCAGCGATAATCCCCAGGGTCTTGGGCTCCGTGCTGACTCGGTTACATTTAATATCGATAATTATTGCTCGGCAACACTATGCGGTACTAACTATACCATACTATACTATACTAGCTAGGTGATATCACTACCTGCATCGAAGATATTCCAATGCGCTATTGTGGAGTCCGCCTGCATGCGGGGTGAGTCACGCTTTAGTACCATTCTTTCGAGGAGTATCTCGCTCTACTTCCAAGAACATACGCGCCAGTGCCTCCGATGCTGACGGGTATTCACGCCGCCATAGCAGCTTTATCAGGGCAACTCGAGCACTACTCTTCCCTGCAATTGGCCCTTCTCCATCTGTTCAAATACACTGGTTAAGTCCTCCAGTTTCTTGGTCTGATAATGTGTCTTGAGAACCCCTCGCGCCGCAAAATCCAGCGTTTGCATAGCTTCTTGCCGGTTGCCAACCGCTGACCCTGTTATATTGAGCTGCTTAGCAATCAATATACCCGGTGCTGCTCCACTAATGGCAACAAAATCGCCTTCCGGAATACCCACGCAAACCAATGTTCCATTGAATCGAAGGAGCTGGACTGCTTGGCCATACGCCGCGTTTGCCGCTGTACACACGACCACGGCATGAGCGCCCAACCCATCAGTGAGAGCTTTGACATGCTCTGTAAGGGTCGCTTTATCAAACTTGGTGAAATCGATGAAGTGCTCGGCTCCGGATTGCTTTGCTAGTTCTTCTTTGCTACCATGATCGATTGCAATAACTCGAAATCCCATTCCCTTGCTAGCTAGCTGGCACGCAAGATGACCCAGTCCCCCTATTCCGGAAATGACCACCCATTGTCCTGGAAGAGCCTTGCTGCGGTTGAGGGCTGATAGCATTGTGACACCAGCACAAAGCATCGGTGCTGCCTCCACCGAGGATAAACTATCCGGAATGGGGGTCACGTAATTGGCTGGTCCGAGAGTATATTGCTGGAATGTGCCTGGGGTATAGTAACCTGAGATTTGTTGATTGAAACAGCATCCGTCTGCGCCAGCGAAGCAGGCCTGGCAGCTAGTACATGCTTTGGACACCCATTTAACCCCGACCCTGTCACCAAGTTTGAGTCCGGACGTCTCCGCTCCAGGGCCGAGTTTGACGATATGTCCGACGCCTTCGTGACCACCGACCTGGCCGGGCTGGGTAGGGTATGGAAGTGTTCTCCACTATCAAGGCCTCAGAATGCAGAACTTGCCGGATTTCTTTCTCTCGGACTTGCTCTACTCACTGTATTTGTCATGACACCATAGTCGGAATGGCAGACACCGGAATGAGTCCTGAGATATGATATTAACATCTTGCTTTCTACCAGGATAAAGCAAATCTTGAAATTTTACAATTTGATCAGCACCTGGCCATTTCCAGGCTCGGGTACGTCTAATTCAACGACCTTTGTTGAGACTTTTCCTGGTTCATCATAAATGGCTGCTTTCTGCTTCTGGGGAATGTTCACGGTGTCATTTGCTGCCATTGTGGCTATCACTGCCGCAAGAAATGGGGTTGAGGGGGTTGGAAATGCTAATGGGGTATGGGTGAACTGAAGAGATTCGTGGTTGTGGAGGTTGATATTAATCTACTTGGCGACGGGTTTAAGCGATTATATATGCACAGCCGCGGTTTCAATTACATGTGAACACCATCTGACCCCAGTACTCTTCGTATTAAAGTTCCTATTGTTGTGAAATGCGAGTTGCGAGAAGTGGAGAAAATCGGTTATGCTACACCTTCGGCTTAGGGATAAGAGGAGGGGAAGCATCTCGTCTTGCCGAGCATACATGGTCGATTCATAAAACTAATAGTATTATAATCGTTATGATATAATTATGCTTCGCTTTTCTCTACGCTGCAGCTGTCTCAAAAGCCAAAAGCGGGGAAAGCACCAGATCTTGCAGGCTAGGTATGACAATGGATGGCTTGCTTGACCAGAGTCGAATAGCACCCCGCACACCCACGGTCTTGGTGGGGTTTGTTTCATGTTGCGGGGGAAGCCCGACTTCTAAGATCCTGCTACTAAAATCGCTGGACAAGATTGAAGCGATTGAATGCCTCGGCTTTGGTTGTGGATGATCTACTTGCTACAACTTAAAAAGCGAGAATGAATACGATCGATAAATACAGCCGTGACAGAGATAAAATACCACGTGCTGTCAGAGGCACATAGGCTTAACAGTCTTGACTATATGCAGAACAATCTACGAACTGATCGACAAGTCAAATTTTGTCCTGTCAGTGCCAGAGCATTAAAAAATCGAGCCTCATCTGTTTCTATTTATACGTTTTGTAGAAAGAAGAGCGTCTGTATTTTCGCTCACCAATGACCCAGCTCTCCTGCTCGGGGCAATGACCCCCGAATTCCACCAATGATGCCAGAGAGCACAGCACAGCACAGCACCTTCTACTTGTTTCAGAACCACATCTCCTCTCTTGAAACTTATATATTCTGCATTGGAGGACTAGCAAGCTATTTAAAGTCGTCAGTCTACCCAGCGACAGTAAGCCCGAACAATTGGCAGTCTGCCACTCATCCATGGTTCCTTTATTCACGTTGTATTACACAACTGACTGACATCATCAGCAACCCGACCTCGTGGACCGTGTGCCATAGATGAAACCCCCATTAAAGGATTAAATATAGCATGCAAAGAATACTATAACCCAATTATGGACATCCCGATCATTGACTCGCACGTCCATCTATGGCCAGAAGCTCACCTTCCAACCATTGCCTGGCATTCATCCGAAAATCCGCTGGGTGCCCAATACTCTGTCGATGAATACCATCACTGTGCCACTCAAAAAGCACAAACAAAGGCACAGCCTGACTCTCCACCCCCTGGGAAACACTTGCGTGGATTCGTCTATCTCGAGGTAGATCGCATTTCGTCACTGGACGAAACCGACGGGGAGAAAGGGTGGACTCACGTGCTCGATGAAGTTTCCTATCTCACGCGCATAGCATTGGGCAGACCGTTGCAAGGGGAAGGCCACTCGGATTCGCAGCGCGAACTTCTTCTGGCGTTTATCCCCTGGGCTCCGGTGCCAGCTGGCCCGGTGGCAATGGAACGATATCTATCACTTGTGAAGCAGCGTGCTATAGAAGAAAATGTATGGTGCAAGATGCGTGGTGTACGTTATCTTGTCCAGGATAAGCCGCCGGGAACGATGATTCAGCCTGACTTCATCAAGAGTCTGAGATGGTTGGGCAGACGGAGGCTGACTTTTGACCTTGGCGTTGATGCAAGGCAGGGAGGACTGTCGCAGTTGCAAGAGGCTGTTACGATGATTCGAAAGGCTTATGATGAGGTAGCAGAAAAAGACATGGTTGCCATTGTCATCAGTATGTTTCCATTCAGTCATTATTATCTATACTATTGACATAGCGGTACTCATACACTGACAGATCACCTGTGTAAGCCCAACTTGCACATCTCGCCAACAGCGGCAGTTAGCGGACATCCCAAATTTCTGGAATGGAAGAGACTGATAAGCACGATGGCCGCAGAGCCACCGACGTATATGAAGCTTTCGGGACTATTCTCGGAATTACCAGCACAGGCTGCGAATATAGCAACAAGGGATCTCGTTGAGTATATGCTTCCATGGCTAAACGTCGTTTTCGAATCCTTTGGCCCACAAAGGATTATGTTTGGGTCTGATTGGCCCATCTGTAACCTCAGTGGAGGTGGTGCTGGTGCTTGGGCTAAATGGCATGAAGTGGTGGCGCATATCCTTGATATTCTGGGACTAAGCGACGATGATAAGGCGGCTGTTTGGGGAGGGACGGCTGCTAAAGCTTACGGGTTGGATTTGAATGTATAGCAGAGCGAACTCAAGTACAGGTCTTGACTGATAGTCCCAGTTTTAACTCTAGATAAGCTGGATAAGCTGAGTGTCGAGTGTCGAAAGCCGCAGTCATCCTAAGAACGTTTAATGATCATTATTAATGGTTTTATTTATCATGATTCTATTTTAACTTTGCCCCTTCAAGCTTTCGCTGGATAAAATGCTGTCAAGAAGTTATACAAACCGGCTCCAAATGCAATAATTCCCACCGTCGCTGAAACGCCGCTAGAACAGAAAAAAACTCTGATCAAAATGCAATATATCATCGTAGTACATCTTACGAATCAAACATTGGCAAGGCTGAATTTATAAACAGTCGCCAGCAAGCATCGCCTTTAAAATACCCTCGCCGGGCCCAGCGATCTGATCAACTATCTCTTTCTCCATCACAAAACAAGCGAGACCCTTCTCATCAGTACCCCTAAAAGGTGTAGATGCGCTACTTCCACTCTTGGATGGCGTACGCATGATCCCTGATCCGCTAGCAATTGTCCCTCCTCTTCCGCGGCCTTGAAATTCACCTACAAGGCCCAAGGTTTCGAGACTGCCAATAACGTCTTTAAACTCTGTGGCTGTCAACGGATGAAGCACGTTGTCCAGCCGACATAGTGAGCAATAGGAATCAAAGAGCTCACGCACAGTAGGTGCGGCTGTCTTGGACTTGGACGGGGTAACACACATCTTACCACTGCGTCGTTTTCGGTCCAGAGCCACAAGGGCACACAGAGCGGCTTTCTGCTGCAAATTTAGCCCCTGTAAGCGTTGGGTAGTGCCTTGACTGAAAACTGCCGCAGTAATACGTGCAACATGAGCAATGGATGCCCTTGGTGCAGTAAGAGCGGTATACGTATCGACCAAAGTGCGTACTTTGTCATTGGGAGTTCTTGGAGGTGACGACAGATTGACATTCTCTGTAAGAGCAGGCTTCGATGGGCTCTTCGTCACGTCATTGGTATTCTCCTTTTCCAGCTTTGTTTGAGTCTCTTGCTCGATCACGTCAATAGCTCGTTTGACTAAATCGAATGCTTTTCGTAAATCCCCTGTTTGGGACGCAACCTTTTTTGCACACAGCTGTACCGCAGCTGGCTGGACAAAAGGAACGAAGCCAGAAGGGATGTCTTCGCGTGTGGGTAAAAGTGATCGCAAACGGGCATTTATCACATCGGCAATCTGAGCAGCGCTGTAAGGCAAGAACGGAAGCAAAATGGGCTTCATGTTGTTGCTTTTCAGACGAGGTAGGAATCGATCGGTGAGATCCAATGCGTTGGCAATGCCAATCAAAAGCAAATGCGATTTGCTATTTAATGACCACTCAAAAAGAGAGTAGAGAATTTCTGGGTCGGCTGTTAAAAGATGGTCGATCTCGTCTAGTGTCACTAGATATAGGTTCGTCGACTTCTTCGCAGGAATGAACATGGACTTTAGTTTTTCGGCTTCGCTCATGGAGAAGACCTCCGAATCATCGCACAATGTCTCGATGAGTTTCCCATAGATATCTCTGGCAGTTCGCATGCTGACGCAATTGACATGTGTGGACTTGACTACTGAATGGACATTCAGATCTCGGCATACCTCGTCCAGCATGGCGCTTTTTCCAGTGCCAGGAGGGCCGCTGATATACATGCATCCTCCTTTGCGCGATTCCATACCACCTTCAATGAATGAAGTCATTTCAGCCCGCTCTCGCTCTCGTCCGATTAGGCGACCAGGGTTTGCACTTCGTGCGAACATCTGCCTAGCAGGAGTGTAGACGGTTATGTTGGTTGCTGGGGCTCCCGCATTCCTCGGCGTGCGAGGTGTAAGAGATTTCCCCCCAACTTGGACTCGGTGTTTTGGGGTGACTGGAGGAGAGTTTGCGAGCGCATCTCGAAACCGTTTTGACTGTGGAGTTTTGAATTCGGTTGGTTTGACATTTTCATCTAGCCGAGTTAGCGGTGAAGAGCTCGGTGCAATGCAATTTATTAATAGACATACTGTTCACAGGCTTGGAAGCTTTGAAGTGTGAATCGATTTTCGAGGGCGATAAGGTATTGTCGTTTCGAACGTTACGTTTCGAACGACTATTACCGATCGTCAGTTTCTTGACGTTGGCGTCGTTTTCGGAGAACGGGCCGGAACAGTCGACAGCTTTGGATCTGGGGCTGGCCGTTGACAAGTTGGGTGATTGTTCTTCTTCGTGGATTCGAGGCGGTCGTGCCCGGCGCTTGCTTCCAGAGCGCAAAGGCAAGGGCTCTGAGGAAGAGTTAGGAAAAATAGAAGGTGCAGATAATCATGGAGTATTGGCTTACCTTCAAGGTCAATTGCAGCCCGTGAGCGCTTTCCTAGAACTGTGGCTGCCATTTCAGATGCAGGTGCGTGTGCGTTGAAAACGGCGAGAGCAATCGCGGATGGTGGATGTACCGAAGAGGAGGAGGTACATTTGAGGTACATTGTAGAACGCGTGCCGCGCCGCAAAACATTAAAAGCGGCAAGACCGCGACGCGTTGTACGCGAGGCAAGTCTTCCGAGAGCCACGCCCAACTCATTTATTACGGCGATCTGCAAAATCCATAAGCGCAATTACAGTTATGCTGATAATTATGCACGGCTACGCTTTTGGTGATTTCGCGCGGCCGTACTTATTCCCGGCTGCACTTGCCCATCAGAACGGAAGCGGAACATCTTTTTTTACAGAGGTCCCGCCATAGCGATGACGATAGTGGATGTAGCCTTACTACTGTTTATTAGCAGCTTCACTTCAGCAAACGCAATTTGTTACAAACACCCAGCTTTTACCCTTATACTCAAATAGCCGATGGACTTATAATCGTTCTATCAACTTTCTTCCCTTCTGGATGAGTGCTCAAATTCCCAGGTTGAGTTTCTTTTAGCTTCCCTCATTTTCTCCTCGAAACGCCGTTAACCTGAACTACGGGTGCCACTTCTATCCCAAAATTCAAAGCTTCTATCAACATCCACATTGGCCAAAATGGACGGCGACGTGATAGCACAGTTTACTGAGGTTACAGGCTCTACGCCAGAGCTTGCAACTCAATATCTAGAGATCGCAGACTTCAACATTGAGCAGGCTATGCAACTCTACTTTGAAAACGGTGGGGCAGAGATACAACCGTCCAGACAAACCGAACCGACGCACCGCAACAATCTAGGCAGTGATGTCATTCATCACGCAGATGCAGATGACGATGTCCTTGTGGATGAAGCACGATCATCAGCGCCTTCACGACAGCCCGATCTAAATTTCGAAGATGATGCTGCTATAGCTCGGCGGCTACAAGAGGAGCTGTACGCTGCCGGTGGTGATTCCTCAGATGGCGTACGTGCACCGATCGCAAGAACAACAGAAACGCTTGTAGGTCCGGGGGCAGAAGATTTTGGTGAACTGGATCCTGTTTTGAACCGGTTGCGGATGCGGCAGTCCAGAAATAGTCGGTTTACACCCCAAGAAGCAAATTATTCCCACCAACTAACCTTTTGGACTTTTTCTTCTAGACCGCCCTGGTATATTCAATCAACGCGATTCTTCCATCTGGGAAGAAGCCTCCGAGAACTCACAAAGGGCAAGTCTATCCAGAGCGACTGGCGGCGCTTCCGAAACGTCATCCAAATCGACCCTACTCGCTGAGATGTACCGACCACCGTTCGAATTGATGTCCAGGCTGCCCTGGGATACAGCCCGTGAAGAAGGTCGAGAGAGTGAAAAGTGGCTATTGATAAACATACAAGATCCTTCAATCTTTGATTGCCAGCTATTAAACCGTGACCTCTGGAAGGATCCAAGTGTGAGAGATACTGTTAAAGAGAACTTCATTTTTCTTCAATACAACAAAGACGATGAACGCGGAATCCCGTACTTGCAGTATTACTTTCAGACCAGCGATGTTTCGGACAATTACCCGCATATTGCTATTGTCGATCCACGAACTGGCGAACAAGTCAAGGTGTGGTCAGGCCCGCCAGTTATTAAACCCGCAGATTTTCTGATGCAACTCCACGAGTTTCTTGACCGATATAGCCTGAAACAAAATGCTCGCAATCCTGTTGCGAAGCGGAAAGCTGAGATTCCGAAAGAAAAGAAGCTAGAAGCTATGACCGAGGAGGAGATGATGGAGATGGCTCTGAAAAATAGTCTCGAAGGGGCTACTCCTGAAAAGATTGAAGATCCGGACGAATTGACCAGAAGCGTTGGTGATTTGAAGGGCAAAGGCAGAGCTACTGACGTCGATGATATCCCCATGGAAGAGCAGGAGCCTGAAGAACAGGAGGATCCCAATGTGTCTATCTTTCGGGCTATTCCATCGGACCACAATCACACAGAACCACCTGCAGACCCTGCTACTACTACTCGTATTCAATTTCGCCATCCCTCGGGTAGGGTAATCCGGCGCTTTGCTCTGGCGGATCCAGTACAGCGTATTTACGAATGGCTAAAGTCTGAGCCACCGCTCCAAGAGAAGGCCGGAGTTATTTTTGAGCTCAATGCCATGGGGAAGAATCTACTCCAAGAGCTTAATACTTCCATTCAAGATGCGGGCCTCAAAAATGGCACAGTCATGATAGGATACTTGGAAGATTGATTATTACGGCATTCTCACTCGAATTATGACCTGCATATCAAGCGGCGTTGCAATGGATGTTGATTACGACCCTTTTGAGACATCATTTGCCATATGGACACTTTTTTCGATGGCTGTTACCTCTAAACAACTGCACAAGACTTTCATACATTTGAATTGGCCACTTTTTTTTTATCTTCATGAAGCTAGAGGTTATCGCGTCCTGCTGGAATCTAGAATTCAACATCCTTCTAGGTAGAGTGGCGGCATCGCCGTCGTTGCAAATAGCATTTAATAAGCCACTCCTCGCATGATTTACTATTCTTGCTACGACAATGGCGGGAAATGACCTTAGACGAGAAAGTAGTCATAGTAGTAGGGAGTAAGTCGGACATAAAGTGGTGCAATCTGCCACTGCACACAAGAGCAGGCGCTGTCGGCCAATGAAGGGGTGCGGGTTCCTGGAGGCCTGAGGCGCCCACAGCGCTGAAAAAGCTAGCGATGGCATTCGGCCAATCACGGGTGTCACCGCCTGCCTTGTTTGCAGTGTTTGGCATCCCCCGCCAATCACACCCCCCCGGGGCTTTTGCTGATTGTTTACACGCTCGACTCAGCTCGAGTTGCCATAGCTGGTTTGGAGCTGGTCATTGGCCCTTTCTACGACTGTAATCTTAATATTCAAGGATAATCGACGCCTTTACATGTTGGACATATATATAGAAGCTACTTCACCCCTCATGTGATTTACAAGGCTTCCCTGCGAGAAGAAGACAACGCATACCGTCCCGCACTGTTGGGAGCAAGTTCCCCTCGCAGCAACACTGATTAGATAGGCATGCATGCAGCATAATAGTGCGCCGCTTCATCCCGTTCTGCTGCAGCTAACGATCTGAACTAAACAACAGCTGCCTAAATAAACACGAGCGGGGGGTATTATTTGAGACTCTCGATCCTCCCTCGTTGTTTTGTTTGGCTTCATATTTCTCTTGGAAACTGCCCTGTTAATCTTCCGGTATCGACACCGCTAGATCGCGCGTTCATTCGCTTTTTCTTTGACGACCGGCGTGGGGGTTTGTGATGACTTTGTCAATGCCTCTTCGACACACTCTGCCAATCTAGACAATTTCTCCAAATCCCATTTTGAAAATAATAGGTGTCAACCCGGTATAAACGTTTGAAAAGGTTTTATTTTCAACGTGGGCACGGAACAGCGCGACTCCTTGCCGGCACCCCTTGGCTGCAAGGAGTGAGAGACCAACCGTCACATCGACATTTCACACTGTCAACCAAGGACGTATTTAGGGCCAATCTGGCAAGTTATAATCAGCTGGAAGTTATATTGTCTACTTCTGTCTTATAATATTCGACGATAATACACCAAAGGACAGCCGATCCGCAATTTTTGAGTCGACCAAAAATGCAGGTCGTCGCGGACCCCGAGACGCTTTATACTAAGCAAAACTCCCTTGGTACGGCACTCCTCTTTTCTGTCGACTTCGACTTTACCTTTATGTTATATGTCTTAATAATTCACTCATAGGTGGAGGGAGCTTTGGAAAAGTGTACAAAGGGTAAGCTTGAAATCTGTCGAACCCCATCTTCAACTTCAGTTCATCTAATCTTCGTTTTTCAATACAGTGTCGACAAACGGACGGGCCAGTCAGTCGCAATCAAGATAATAGATGTCGAAAATGCCGAGGATGAAGTGGAGGATATCATAACGGAGATTTCTATCATGTCTACGATGAACTCCCCCTACGTTACCAAATACCTTGGTTCGTATCTCAAGGGATCTGACCTGTGGATAGTCATGGAGTATTGCGCAGGGGGCAGCTGCTTAGATATCTTGCGGTCAGGGCTCATCACTGAAGACTACATTATGATCATTCTCAAAGAACTGCTTCTCGGTTTGGACTACCTTCACAGCGACCAAAAATTACATCGGGACATAAAAGGTATGAAACGCCAGGTTTCCAATGTATGGAACATTCACATAAACTGATCTGCCCTTAGCCGCCAATATTCTTCTTAGTGGAAATGGTCAGGTGAAACTCGCGGATTTTGGCGTTTCTGGTCAGCTTAGTGCAACCATGACAAAGAAAAATACGTTCGTCGGAACCCCATTCTGGATGGCACCGGAGGTCATCAAACAATCAGGCTATGACTACAAGGCAGACATTTGGTCATTGGGTATCACTGCAATTGAACTGGCGACTGGACAGCCCCCTTATTCGGATATTCATCCAATGAAAGTTTTGTTTCTCATTCCCAAAAACAATCCGCCGATATTGCAAGGGAGCTTCAGCAAATCATTCAAAGAATTTGTTGCTTTGTGTCTTCGTCGTGATCCAAGAGAACGACCAACGGCAAAGGAGCTTCTAAAGCACCCATTTCTGAGGAGGGCTAAGAGAACGACTTATCTAACAGAGTTAATCGAACGGCATGAACGGTGGCAGGCGATCCATGGGCGCGGAACTCCAGACTATGGTGAAGAACACACCTCTGGACCATCACCACAACCGGCACAAGCCTCCCCAGATGACGAAGACTTGTGGGACTTTGGCACTGTGCGGCCGGCTGGGGGTCGTACCGCAGGCCTTCAAGCACTAAGTGGCGCCGCTGCTAATGTTCGGAATCATAATCCTGGTAACTGGTCGACAGAGTCGGATAATAATAATATAGTTGAGAATAATGATCTCGAAAACAAGCGGTCCAAGGAAACATTGCGTACCGAGCTAGTACCACAGTCTCCCCAAAAACAGCAATCGTCGATACCATCCCCTTTGGCATCGCCGACCAAAGTCCCTCTCCCTCAATCACCCCAGAAACAACCAATACCAGCAGTACCTAGAACGCCATCATCTCAACTGCACCAGCAACAACTGCCAGCAATGAAAAAGAATGAGAGTCCTGCAACTAAAGATTACGATAAGGCATTTCAGCAGTCGCTAGCTTCCGACCTGACATTTTTGCAACTAGGAGAATCGCTCGGTGGAACTGCACTGCCTGCACAAAATCAAAGGCAGCCGCCTGCATCAGATAGTGTCGTACGCAAACCAGTACCTAGTAGAGCGTCAGTTTCTGCTCAGAACCAAACCCGTTCTTCTCTCGGAATTTCTAGCAACATGTCAGAAACTCCTAAGCTAGCTGAACAAAAGTCACTCCCTCCATTTCTTCCACAATCTCTGTCGACCCCTCAACCACCCTCGCATCAAAGGACCAAAGAATCTGAATCGCCTGACAACAGGTCGCCGGTGCCAGAACAACTTGGAGCTACCTCTGACGCAAATGCATTGGGAAAGTATGTGATTATTCCTGCCCTAGAACATGCACTCCACTGCCGGGCAACGGGACTCAATACCCTCATGCAAGAACCTGGAGGAATGGCAATACAAGCCAAACAGCGTCATCAATACGCTCATGAAAAGATTAAAAAGCTCGCTGTGAAAGCTGCGAGTATTTTCAATGAAATAGATAAGTGGGATCAAGAAGCACCAGTCGATATGGCGATGGGCCAATCGTCATTCACTGAAGCATTTTTGGATGCATTGATGAGGTTCTGTGAGGTTGAAACTGCAGAACCTGATGGATCTGCAGACAGATAAAGTGTTTCCCGTCTACTTTCTTTTTCTGGAACTATATACCTTTGTGCTGGTTTCCTCTCGTACGATGGATATGACATTCATTTCGTTTTTGTGTGTTGTGAGCTCTTGGTCATTCGAATTACCCGACGCATTTGGAGTTTTGCTTTAGGTTGAAGTATAAATTTTGTTTAGCATTGATTATGATGTATCTGTACCTATTATGGCTTTGCTCATATAAAATATTGGTGAGCTGGCCAACTTGTGAATCCTTCGTTTGTTTACTTTTTTTGCCAAATATTTCCCACGATACTTTGAACTGCAAAAGCATCTTCATGGGGTTGCTAGATCATCAATCTTAGGTATATCGTATATACATGAAAGTAATTTCAGAAGGGTATATAATTTTTGTCCAAAATATAACCTAGAACAATTCTCCCGCCAGGCAGGATGGAATGAAACATTGCTCTTCATGGGTATAAAGGTCATCTCACACTCTGTCAAGGTCTAGAGACACCAAGAATAAATCAAAAATCATGCAGGCGGTTGGAAAAGCCAATCAGTTTCTGGTGTAGGAATTAGGTAATTGGTGATATTGAATTCATTATTGCTAGCCGCAGTAGTAAGGCCATGTATTGACATCGGATTTGTAATATCATTTATGTTCAAAGGTGGTAGTGGCGTAGGCATATTCGGGACCCGGGGCACATTGAAGAAGCCAAAGACATCGAGATATTCGAATTCGTTGTTTGTTAGATTCCTTCCGACAGGGGTAGGTGCCACTGTTTGCCTGGTGGATTCATTAGATGTGCCAGGCTGTGGCTGACGGGATATCAAGAAGTCAAGATCAAAAGCACAGCGTCTCATATCCGCTAGTATTTTGACCGAAGAGGGCGTGACACGCTCTCCCTCCGTTCCTCCGGTTTGCTCGTACTCGCTATATTCGTCGATAACACGCTTTAGGATTGTGCTGTAACGCTCGGCGACTTTCCAATGTCGTCCCATTTGGCCTAGGGTATCGACGAAGAGATAAATGTCAGGGTTCACCGTATGTGCAATGGTTGATCCATGCACAAGTAATAGCCGAGCTGATACCCAGAGAGAAAAGGCGAATGGCGGGCCAAGTTTGTCGAGCATGTTATTCTCAACGACAAATCGAGTAAGTGACAGAATATTATCAACCGCAACCAGACACCGTTGGCTGGCACTGTAGGAAGGGGTGAAAATAGGAGACCTGGTAGTAGGGTATGCTGCAGAAGAATGCAATCGAATTACAGTTCTAAGAGTAAAGGGTGAGCTGCGTTAATATTGTGGATCTTTTCGTGGACTTACGTTTGGTACGTAACATGAAGCATGACCCAATCGCATTGAAACCTTTTCTTCGTTTTTGAGCTCTGGAACAAGCGAGATGTGTTTTCATGGGCGTATTCAGTGGGTAGATTGAATTCCCACGCTGAAAGTTCGCTATCCAGCTTTCGATAGGTCGCTTGCCATTCCTCAACATCTGAAAGGGCTCCAATATCTACAGGCCGTTTGAGGAATTGATGTATACGGGATAGTATACCCAAGATTTCAATGTAGAATCCAAAAGATCCGACATTTTCGCCGTGGCTGGTATAGTCCACCCTGTCGACAGCGGCTTGAAACCACCGAGTTTCGACCGGTTGATTCCTAATAAAGAACTCATCTCGACAAGGGAGCTTCCGATCAATATCCTTTTCATCCAAGACAAAGTCAAAGGCAGTGGCAATAGTCGAGTAGCGATCCAATAAGTAAACCATCCAGAAGAGACGCCTCCGACTCTCATCTTCAATCCAAGTTTCCGGGTCAGGGAGCACATTTGCTCTTAACGTGGAAATAGAGGGGTATACGGAAGAAACAAGTGAGGAACCTGTTTCAGCTGCCAATCCAAGTTGGACTACAGACCGAGCTATCAAAGCTAGAAGTTTCCACCCTGGGGGTCCGTTTGATGACCCAACAAAGTCAAGAGCTAAAATCACTAGTGCTAGTATAGATTTGACTGACGAGTTCTCCAAACCGTATAGCAACACTTTTTGCTTCGAGGAATCGTGACATCGCTTACGACTCGCCTCGTTGAGCCGTGGATCCGATGAGAATCTCAGAGTTGTGGCAACTATCGCATGGAGAACAACTCGATCAGCCTCATCTAAGGGGGACGGTCCGAATAAAGCGTCCAGAGTTGACCTGCGATGAAGTATAGGGCACCAGCTATTAACATGTTCAAAATACAGGTCTACCAGTGCATATAGCAGATCGTATGGCGGTAAATCAAGTTCCGGGTCCGCGAGAGACCGCTCTTGATTGTTAAAAAGACTGACTGGGACGTTTAGTGACGAATCGTTATGAGAATAATCTCCGCTAGAGGCGTCCGGAGCTTGAGAAAGTGGTGTCGAATGTGACAGCCCATTTGAGATTCGAGATTGACTCTGTAACTTGACGGACATCTCTGAAGGGCTTGTGATTGTCACATCATGGTGGTTAGCTGTCGGGTCAGGTGTTCGGTGAGACGCCGGTAATGTTGGAAAATCTCGGTTATATGAATTTGCATGAGGATTAGGCCCTGTCGCAGTAGACCGTTCCGATGGGGAGCCATAAGACATAGAGCCTACCCCTTGTAATTGGCGACCTTTCACAGCGGGGTTATTATTTTGGATTATATGAGTCTCAATCAAGCGAGCTTGGGTCTGAATGGTCTCCTCCAACCTGTCTGTTGCGTGGACTATTAGTATTTGTTGACTTTCTTCTCGCATTGCTAATATAATAAGCCTACCGAGACGCTGCTCTAACTCCTTGCCATAGCCTGCCCTCAGGCCAGGTTTCTTTCTTTCCTTGTACTCACATAATTGTCCATTGCGCGAACACCATCCACAGCTTGGCTGAGCTCGATCTACAGAAGAGTTAGAAGGCAGGTAGAGACTCATCACAATTAAGGAAACCCACCGCATTTTACTTTTCGCTGCTTGCATAGTTCACATCTAGGCATGTCAGAATCAAATGCAGTCATAGAAGGTATAAAGTGCTGGCTGTGCATCTAGTAATTTATGCGACGGACGAAGCAAGTTTTCAAAATTGGCCATAGAGTGAGAGATTCAAGAGGCAAACGAAAAGTTCAGGGAAACACTGGGTGTAGGCAGAGAGACAATAAGGTCTAAAAAACGACTGGAGAGGCAAAACTTACGACACCATCAACGGGCGGCGTTTTCTTTTAGTCCCACGAGATGCTTGGGAGCCATTCTGGTCGACTAAATGCTCACTCTCGGATTCCGCAGCTGAAGAATCTGCCTCTGGAGTCTGCATCTGCTCGGGATCAGGCATATGCAGTGTGCTTTGCTGTGGAGAAGGTCTGTCAAAGGCAGCCATGCCGGACATCGGGGTTGTGTATAGCGAGGTCCCTACCCGACTACCAACGGCGGGAACGGCTGGGCTGGAACGGGGGTCATAGACAGAGCTGTTGAGGCAGGGATGAATTACACGAGCTGCAGGGGCTGCTGTAGTCAAATGCCACGTCTCAGATTAGAGAAAGCGACGCCTCTCCCAAGTCAGACTGATAATTGACCAGAAAGAGTTGACTCTCCTCGAATTCTCTTCGGGGACAAATGACATGCTACGCGAGAGCCGCCTCTGATTGGCCCGGCTCGGCCAACCCCGCAGAGGCAGCTAGGCCAATGGCGCGCTCCTTCCCCAGATGCTCTGCAAACACGCCGATTCCTCTCCTAGCCTGGTTTGGATGGCCTGAGGCTGCGAAGCTCATGATATCACCCATCAACCATTGTGCCTGCCAGGAACCTGTCGTCCAGCTAATTTGCCATTAGCACTCCTCCTTATCCCGATCCTGTCTCTAAAACAACAGCCCAAGCACCTCCAGTGCGACCTCTTGCAGCGCCATTACAGATCCCCCGGTCATCACATGCACAATCTCCAGCGTCGCGGGTAGGAGCTTCTCGGGCTTGATTGCCCCGAGACCGACTCCATGGAGATGACTGTGAAGAGCAAAGACCCCGTCTCGGATTCGCATGACTGGCCATTCGGCATTGTGTCCGGTGGGTTATTTTACGTCCGGATAAATTGTGCTTTTTAAATACCGTGATCTCTCGTCGTTCTTTGCCGAAGCTTCTTTCCTTGCAATTTCTACCATCAACAACACGCCTACCAGAGCCATCTGACAACATGGTTTCAACCCCGGCTTTCCCCACAATCAAAAATGTGCGCACTTTCGTCATAGCAGGTGTAGGCTCGGGCGGTGATTATCACAATGTAAGGCGGTTGCTATATGATATGCAAGTGAGCTGGGCCAGTTGCTAAAAGGAGGAATAGGTGAAAGGCGGCCACTGGCTGGTAGACAGCCCGATTTCAACCCCGATGGCTCGATGGGAACAATACCGCAATTCGCGAACCAGCTGGGGTATCAATGTTTTGGGTTCTTTCTGTGTTGAAATCGAAACAAGTGATGGAACCAAAGGATTCGCGACAGGCTTTGGAGGCCCACCGGCCTGTTGGCTGGTCCACCAGCATTTTGAGAGATTTCTGATCGGCAATGGTAACAATAGACTCTTAAAAGATGCGGTTTGCGGATAACTAACCACAATGCGTATAATAGACCCACGCGATATCAACGACATGTTCGAAAAGATGTACCGTGGATCCATGTTCTATGGTCGTAAAGGTCTTCCAATCGCAGTTATCTCCGTCATCGATCTAGCTCTCTGGGATCTGCTCGGGAAACTGCGTAACGAACCCGTTTACAAACTCATCGGTGGAGCCACTCGCAAGAGGTTGGATTTCTACTGCACAGGACCCCAGCCAGCTATAGCGAAAGAAGCCGGCTTCATCGGTGCAAAGGTGCCCCTACCATATGGGCCAGACTTGGGTACGGATGGACTGAAGCGAAACATCGAGTTCCTTCGTAAGCACCGCGAGAGTGTCGGGCCCGACTTTCCACTTCGCGTCGATTGCTATATGTCGTTGAATGTGTCCTACACTATCGAATTAGTCAAGAAAGCTGAGGCAGAAGGACTGAATATCGACTGGTGGGAGGAATGCTTGACTCCGGATGATTTTGATGGCCATGCCCTTCTCAAGAAAGCTCACCCTACGGTCAAATTCACCACCGGCGAGCACGAGTACTCGAGATACGGATTCAGGAAGTTGGTCGAAGGACGCAACCTGGACATAATCCAGCCCGACGTAATGTGGCTTGGCGGGCTTACTGAATTACTCAAAGTCTCTGCTCTCGCAGCTGCTTACGACATTCCAGTCGTTCCTCATGCCTCTGGTCCGTACTCATATCACTTTGTAGTGTCCCAACCAAATACCCCATTCCAAGAATACCTCGCCAATTCCGCCGATGGCAAGAGTGTTGAGCCTGTGTTTGGCAATTTGTTCTTGAACGAACCTATTCCTGTCAAGGGATACTTGGATTTAACTGAACTCGACAAACCTGGTTTTGGCCTTGAGCTAAACCCAGCAGCACCTCTAATCCCCGCTTCCTCGCTTCTAACACCTGCTCCGTCAAAGAGCCTACCTGCTCCAGTAACGAGTCAGAATTTCGAAACATCAGAGACAGAGACACCCAATGGTCAAATTTAATCGCGTGTGCATAGATCAGGTGCTATAGAGCATGTAATTACTTATGAATGAGCATAATCATACTATCTGCTTTCCCTTTTCCCTACTATAATACAATTTCGTGTATGAATTCACCTCATGTTGATTATGATGCAATGAAGAACATATATACAAAACATTTAAAGACCATCTAGTTACTCGCCCAAGAAAGTCCCAAATAACAGAGCATTTCCAAAGAATAAATGCTCACCAGCAATCTTCTAGTCATAATTAGTTAGCTAGCCTCCGGATTAAAAAATTAATAGGTGTTACATAGTTGGGCGCATGGAACCCCTCACCTCCATACTCGGGCTGTCTTAGACCGACCGCCGAGCGATGCATCACTTGTTAGTGTGGGGCGTTCCATCCCTATGAACTATGAGGGGGTAGGAAAAATAAGAGGTGAAAAGATCAAATGCAGTTGCAGACATATTGAAGACATGGTTTTTATTGGCAAATAACTTGCATTCCATATAAAGTATAGTCAGTCATATTGGTCTTTGATTCATTAATCCATCTTACAATTTTATATTTGAGTGACTGAAATATACTATCAATTGATATCCCCGGTCCGCGGCATATCATTCTGCACAACATATATACCAGTTAACATCCAAAGACACTTTTTATTCTATCATTTGAAAAAGAAATGGCCATACCTCAGCTCTTAGTGGGCAAAGTTTGCGGAATCACAGGCGGTTTAACTGGCATTGGGAGGGTACTTTTCCTCCTTGTCCTTCTGAACTTAAACCGAACATCTCAACTGACCAGAGATCACTTTCTATAAACACAGGCTATAGCACTCGAATACCTCCGCCACGGTGCCAAAGTCGCCGTCAACCATCTCGGCGCAGCCAATGATGAACCTCTCGTCGAAGCTTTCAACAGAGATGCTTCCGTCGTGATCGCAGAGAGTGCAACCTTAAAAACAGAGGAAAAGCAGTATATTACCGTCGCAGGGGATATATCCAAACCCGGAACAGGAGTAAATTTCGTCACTAAAATTGTCGAGGCATTCGGCCGATTAGATGTCTTCGTTAGCAATGCGGGAGTTTGTCAATTCGCCGAGTTTCTTGAGTGAGTTCCGTCTACTTCTTGGATATGCATTCATTTCATACCTAATATCAACTCAACAGCATCGAGCCTTCCCTCCTCACCCAGACCGTCGATATAAACCTCTGCGGCGCATTCTACGCGACCCAAGCGGCAGGTCGCCAAATGGCACTGCAACAATCTCCACCGGGCGGGTCGATAATCGGAATCAGTTCGATTTCTGCGCTCGTGGGAGGGGAAAAGCAATGCCATTACTGTCCTACGAAAGCCGGCATATTGTCTCTGATGCAGTCGACGGCAGTAGCACTGGGAAAATATAATATTAGGTGCAATGCGCTCCTGCCAGGGACCATCCGGACACAGCTTAATGATGCGGACATGAGTGATGAGAAGAAGCGGACGTATATGGAAGGTAGGATTCCTTTGGGGAGACTCGGGGCTCCTAAGGATCTGGCGGGGCCGGCTGTATTCCTGGCTTCAGATCAGTTGAGTAGTTATGTGGTGAGTGTCTTCAGCTATTTAAAGATAATGTGTTTGGGATAGTGCTGATCGTATATGGATGACAGACTGGTGCTCAGATCCTGGTCGATGGAGGCCTGTTCGTCAATTTACAGTAGGAGATGAGATGGTTGTGTATATTTAAGTCTACACTTTTACGGTTAAGGAGCACAAAAGCTTATGCTAGGTGTGACAACATTCATTCGTGAATGGCTCCAGCCATTCGTCCATAAATACATGTATTCCCGTGGTATCGAGAAAAACGTCGAAAATCAACGAATATAGACGAAAGAAAATCACAAGAAAAACATACAACAAGAATATCGAAATCGCAGACTATGTATACAGGGAATAACACTTGTCTGTCGCAGTAGTGGCCCTTTTTCCCTTGTGCATTGAAAGTGACGAATCATTAGACTTAAATTTTAAGCGAAGTCGTCCATTGGTTTATCTTCAAGAGTAACTCCTTTCATTTCACCTTCGCCGGGAATACTGGCAGTCGCGCTGTTGCTGTCAACGCTGCCTTCGCCCGGCTGATGGCTGGCTCCAGCGCGTCGGACATTGCGTCCACGAGTGAGTGAATCTCGTTTCGCGACAGATGGTGCGTTAGCAGTGGATGGTGGAGGTCAGCCGTCAGAGCCACTGGCGGGAGCTGCGTTTTCGTTTGATGCAGATGCATCAGCTTCGGGTTTACTCTCGGCGGCCGCACCGTTGGTTTCGGACCCTTCTACTGATTTGGCGTTTTCCTCTTCAGCATGGGGTTGTACAGCAACCGGAACATCTAGACTTTGTCTTGATTTGCGCTCAGGGCCTTGTGGACTGCTAACATTGACTGGGAATCGACCTAAGGAGCCATCTGTGGATCGATCACGACGATGTCGGGCAGCGGGGGCAGGGCTGGTGGCTCGGCTGCGATTTGCAATAGCGCGATTCCGAGCCTCCATCGCAGCGCGACGGTTGCTTTCGTCAGTGCTGATCGCTCGTGGACGAGCTGCGCTTGGCCCTGCCCCAAAAGCACTGGCGCTCGACTGTCTCTTCAGTTCGCCAAAGATAGCATCCTTGTGATCAAACAGGTCTCGGATCAGTCGATAGCTGTGACGTTCGTTCATAGTTAGGGTACTTTCGATTCGAGGGCGGAGTATGCATGGAGCCAGTGCTTGAGCAAGGGTAGAAACATAAGCCTCATCAGCCGAGGTCAAGTCAATCAAACGAGTGAAGTGTGTCATCATGGCATCGAGCGTTGCTATGTTATTGAGACGAAGCTGACCGAGGGTGCTTTGAAGAACCTTGATTCGCCCCTCTTCCGTGGTTTCATTAGCAGTTGTCGAGTATATCGTTTTAACTATTTCGTAGACTTGAGATGACACAAGGGAATCTGTATGTGCAAGTCAGCGTTATGATCTCAATCGGGAATAAGAAATATTCATGTCTCATACCCGGGAGTTCGAGGAGGTATAATTTCAGAACGCTAGCAACAATGGGTATCTCATATTTCTCAAGTATTGAACGTTGGTCGCCCGTACTAGTGTTCAGTGCTTGTCGTAGATGGTGGGTGGCAGCGAGCGGAACGTCGTGGAGCCAGATTGCTCGTCGTGTATCATCGCCTTCGAGGTCGGGGTAATCTAAGAAAAAAGAGTTAGTAACAGTGTAGAAGAGAGAGGGAAATAGAAACGTACGGTTGTCCAGAAATGTTAGTATGTTCGTGACAATAACAGGAACGCGTTTACGGTCAGCTCTAGCTCTAGCTTCAAGATCCACACCAAAAACCTGGTCTATTACTTGCATCAGCCATATTCAATGACGAAAATATTTAGGAACGAGGAATGCTTACCTCCTACAGAACCGTAGTAATTTTCATAGGGTTGAACCTTTGGAACAAACCCTCCAGTGCGGTGATTTTCAAGCATGTATCTCAAATCGCCCAATGGCTGAATGGTTTCCTGATACAACATCATTTGGTCAACCGTACTCTGCAAGCTAGGAATCACATTGCTGATTGCACCGGAGAAGTCGAGGACCACCGACTTGATAGCTTTGAGACGGTCGAGTTCGCAGCGTTCCATGAATCGTAGGTGATCAATGATTTCCTCCTCTAATATGCATCTAATTTGATCAAGCTTGATAACAGCCGCTTTGTAGCGTTCATCCGCCTCATAAGCTTCACGGTGAAGCTTTTCAGAGGGAGTCTCGTCGGGGTGGGGGTTGTTGAGTGGGTTCCAGCCTGCAAGCATTTCAGAAACAGATGCAATAGTTGGTGATCCAGCAGCGTCCTCATTTGACAGGACCGACGCCATGCGAAGCAATGGCTTTTTGTTCTCAGGGATTCCGGTGATTTGAAAGACCCTCGACCTCCACTGGTAGTTCATACGACTGCTGTTGGCAAACGTACTGCCCATGTTACCGATAAGGCGCAAGAACCCGACATCTACCATATCCTGACCTATACGCTCAGCGTAACTGATACTCGAAGCGCCCAAATTTTTTTGGAGATATTCTACAATATCGGCGCCTGTCGACGTGTTCTGATAGGTACCCAAAATCGGTACCTTGGCTTCACCAATTCTGATAGCATTGAGCATGTCACTGAGAACCTTTTTGATTTCCTCAGTGTCATAGGACTTGTCGCCAAGCTCGAAGAATTCGGGCTCCTCCGGCTCTTGAGGGTCTGTCAAAACAATCTTAGGAGGCGATGGCTTGCCTTTTGGGCTTGATGTTTCTGGGCTTTGAAAAGCCAGCTTGTTTTCTTCCTCCAAATCTTCGACCAGACGACATTTATTGAAGTACTGGCTTCGAAGTTTCCTGACAAGGTCCGTTTGTTTCGTATGATCTTTGATGCGTGCCTGTAAGTCGTCATGGGAATTCTGGATACGAGCTGCGTGCTGGTCACACCATCGGCTAAACGGGTTCACAACCAGCTCCCGAATGTTGGCTGAAATCTTCTGGTGATTCTTGGACGCCTCGATCATTTCTCCACGAATGCCATCGTAGGCCTGAATGTCAGACATAGGTTAGTCGATGTGACTTAACGAAGGAACAATTGACTGCAATTACTTTTCTTACACTGGCTCCTTCATCTTTGGAGAAGCCAGAGCCAATCCTGTCCACGGAGGGAGCAATGTCGCCTAGTCGCGCTCCATATGCACCCTCAGCATCCGCTCGCAGGCTTGCGATTGTGAGGATCTGTTTATTCTCCGCGACACCTTGCTGAAGCTTTGTGTACAAGATACCTAGGCCCGAGGCGTAGTCGGGCGTCCAGAAAGAGTCGGCGAAACCAGGCATTGTGAGAGGCTGGCGAGGACGACGAGAGGCGTCGACTGTGGCAGTGCGTAACACCTCAAACAAGAACGCAAGCAAGAAAGACCAGCGCTAAGAGCGAGACACAGTAACGAGTGGAAGGAAGTGAAATAAACAACGAGCAGGCAATGCGCAGAAATGCGCAGGAGGAACGTGGAGGTAAGTGAGGTTAGAGCTTAATACGAAGATACGAGTCCTTTTCGACTTGAGCGCCACGACTCCCAACAAGGACAGGCTGGCCTAACGCAGGCAGGTTTAGCGCTGGTGGGTACAGGACTGCGGAAGGGCTGGCCGTGGGTGATTGGTCGATCCGGGTCGGTCCCCACGTGCTAATCCATCCGCGATCTAAAATTAGAGTTGCTACGTCGTTATATCTGAGACTTACTCCTATTCAGTCTATTGAATGCTGGGTAAATCGGACTCAATCGTGAACATTAGATGATATGTAGCTGTGTGTCTATGTGCAGGGCCAAAAAAAGCCAAAATACAAGTGCTCGCGACGCCGCTGTGAGCCGTGACTAACAGAATATATGATACACCTTTCTCCACAGCGGCCAGCTCGCCTGTTCTGCGCGCTCTTCCTCGATAAGATGCTGTACATCGAGTTCTCGACGTCCCGTGACCAAATCCATCTGGTCGGCTTTCATGAAAGGTGTGTGGTAGTACAGTTTGTATGGGATGTAGAATGCAATAACGATGGGGGCTGCGAGGTAGTAGGAGAAAAAGTTCTGCGTAAGCTCTGCCGCTGTTTCGCTTGCATATCCCACTGGTGCGAAAGCAACCCAAAACTGGGCGACGAGCACGAGACAGTTGAAAATGAAGCCAACCCACGATCCAAGCACGCCAACCTGAGACCGGAAGGGGAGTTCCCCGAGCGAGTATCCTTGAACTTTCCAAGCACGACGGAAACGGATGTGAGATAGACAGATAGATCCCCATGTAAAGACTGATGACAAGCCTGAAATGGCAAGCATCCAGGTAAAGGCGTCACCCTCTTTATCCGAAGCAGCTAGGAAGGCCAAAAGACCAAGGGCAGAAGAGACAAGGATGGCAAACAGCGGACGACCTTGACGGTCAATGTAAGCCAAAAAGCGGGGCGCTTGTCCCTGCTCTGCCAGGGCTGCAAGGGTACGAGAGGAACCGTAAACCGAAGAGTTTCCAACAGACAAAACTGCAATCATGATAACTACATTCATGACGGAAGGTAGCCCGCTGATACCGGCGGTTTCAATGGCAATGACGAATGGTGAAGCTGACGCATCCGCGGACGACTTGCCGTTCATGAGCTTAGGTTCAGTATATGGGACTAGCAAGCCGACTACGGTCAATGCCACAACGTAGAATAAGGCAATGCGCCAAAAGACCTGCTTAATCGCACGGGGGATGGATTTCCGTGGGTTTTGTGTTTCGGCGGCAGCCAAACCGACCAACTCGGTACCAGCGAATGCAAAAGCTGCATTCACGAAGACACTGCAAAGACCTTTGAATCCATGGTGGAAAGCGCCTGGATCATGCCAATATTTACCGCCGATATAGCCACCATTAGGGCCGCCGCCGCAGTTCAAGATAACCCCTAGGATACTATGGAAATTTTGTCAGCTTGTTGTATGGGCGAGAATTAACCCAAATATTTAGATATGGTGGAGGAAAGACGTACATAAAGCCGACAACTGCGGTTACTTTAATGATGGCAAATGCAAACTCGGCTTCACCATACCCGCGCACCCCAAACAGATTGATAACCACAATCAGTGACCAAAAAATGGCCACCCAGGCTGCATGACTAACACTGGAGTGCCAATAATCAATGGTTATCGAGGCAGCAACGATTTCCAGGGGCATAACTACTAGCCACTGCAAGGCATAATTCCACCCCATGGCAAACCCCCAGGCTGGGTCGATGAAACGGGTTGAATAAGCAGCAAATGAGCCAGCGACCGGGAAACAGACGGCCATTTCCCCCAAGGCATGGACAGTGCAATACAACATGATTCCGATGAGAATGTAAGCAATGACGACGGAAGCCGGACCCCCCGTCGCCAGGACTTCTCCAGATGCGACAAACAGACCAGTTCCTAACCGGAGTAAGCAAATGGCATCTCAATTAGCAGAAAGAAAGATCAGGATGAGTTACCGATAGAACCGCCTATGGCAATCATTTGCAGATGACGACTTTTCAGGCGTCGCTGCAAAGGCGAGTTGGCGGTATTATGAGCAGCGGCCTCGGCATCGAAGACATTACCATCTGCGCCGACTTGGCCGCCTTTGGTAACATGGGCATTGGGATCGCGCTTGAAGCTGTCGACCAAACGCTGATGCCAGGAGCCAGTAGGCTCGCTCTCACCATAATAGGCGGGCGTGTCTGCAATGGAGGAGTCCATGGCACCGCCGTCCTGGGGATAGGCTGATTTCTCCATCGTTTCACCAGCCCGCCCAACGACGCTTGGCAGTTCAGCAGTGAATGCGCAGATCAGGTCGAGACTGGCAGCGACCAGGATGTGCGCGTGCGACGTAAATTGCACGTGGCAATGGCTGCTGGGAGGTCCTGTCCCTTTGACGGGTGGAAAGGGGGCGGGAGAGCAAGGAAGATGAGAAGCGAAAAAAAACAGCACGCGACAGTGGACTGTTGTCTCCTAAATAGTTACTTCACCTGGAGTTGAGGGAGTTAGCAAATCAGCCTTGAAACGATGGATGCCATCATGATGATTATTATTATGGCAATTATTGTACTGGCTGTCGCATGCCCTTGGCTGTCGATGGCTACCGTGCAAAAAGATCCGAATTTTGTAACGGCAGGGCCGGGGAATCTGGGCGTTCCGGTAAGCTGTAGACCACGGAGCAGGCGGGAGGCTTAGTATGGAAGAGATAAGGGCAAATCAAGTGAACTGCGGGCAGCCTTGGTGGAACCTCGTTCCCACGTTGGCATATGTAATGAGTAATACAGTATTATAATTTATTAGTAGTGATTAGCAACTGGCAGTTGCAAGACTGATAGACGAAGGAATGATCTCGTTCTGCACCGGAACGGTAGTTGATTGCAGCCGCATGGTTGGGGCCGGAAACGGCTGTGGTTTGACTGTGGGCTTGAGAGTCTATTCTGGCCATTCTTGGTAACTCATCGTATTGGGCGAAGAGAAGTGGTCATTTGAAGTCTAGTCGGGGCAGTGGATCCCGGACAGCAGCCCGGGCCTGTGACTGGCTGCGCGATATCTCGTGCGGGGATATCGGGCAAGGCTCGTGACACGCGGGCCACACTGGCGCCTGATTGGCGATGAGAGCGTCTTTCAACGACAATTTACAGTACAAGTATATCGGGACTATCTAGTTCTCACTATAACAACGACGGTACGCGTTATGAAATCGGGTGCATGAAGAGATGCTGATGGCGATGGAAGAGGATGATATTGCTATTGTATAAAATCACTCGTGTTGTTATAGCCTTGTATAGCGAGACATCCCGAGTACTGGTTCTGACCGCCTGCTAGTGTGCCTTGGCCTTTGGGACTGGTATGCAATTGGCAATTTCATCGAAGCACGGGAGAACAGCTCCCCCGCACTCTATAACCATAATACGTACTGGAATCTGGGGGCCCCGGAAAGACCCATACCGCTCCCCTCTTGGTCGACGCCAAAAACGCCTGATCACCGTGATGCTCGGCTCGTATTATGAGCTTTAATTTTGCTAGCCATATTATCGCCACTGACCGGCCCGGATACCCGGTAACCCTTGGCCCTGTTGCCGTCTGACTCTATGTATTCTGTCCCGGTGCGTGGATTCACTGTCCCATATTTTGCCCAGCTTAACTAGTCGCATATGTTGGTGTCCTTTTGCGTCCAACAACCCAGGGGCTGAGCGCCAGTCAGACAAAGACAAGTGATTAGCTAGAGGGATGAATAATATCTGGGCAATGTAAGGTTAGCTATATCTGTTTGTTAAGGCTCAACTGTCAACAAATCTCTCATTAATGCGCGAACACTATACTTTCTCAATCAACTACTATGTCTTGTGTTTCTGTGTTCAAGTAACGCACTGTGGACTTGTGGAGTGATTCTGCGCGTGAGGGCTGACGACTCGCATGGCTGTTGTAAGCAAGTCTGCAAGACTTCCGCACTGGTTTAGGAATCGCCATTATCCTAGCTCTACTCCGGTTGTAGGAGCACCAAGACCGGGCACTTTCTGAGTCTGCAGTCTAGAGTCTAGGCATCTTTTCTACCTCGAATTTTCAATCACACCTTACTAGAATTTGCGCCATTTTACTTTCGTTTCTTATCCTGCCATTGAGTGAGAAATAGCTACGTTAAGCCTTGAACTCCAAGGGAAAAGCAACAGGACAAACTGTCAAACACGCATTTCTCTCTTCCAGAGTTCCAATAGGTTCTCTCCAAACGATGACCAAGCAAATTTAACATAAAATACAGTGTTTGATAGATCCCCGCAGAGTTTTATATAGAAGGTAGACTTCAACTACGCGATTTATTGCATCAAGGTTAATACGTGGTTTCGAGTAAGGTTACAATGTAGTGATGCCAACCCAGAATCCCGGGGAAATCACACATTCAATATTGATTTGTGAAACTGTCAATAGTAAGAACGTACTTTATCAATTAATTGAAACGTTGAAATGGGGGAGGCGGCTGTCTGTCTGTTTGGTATCTATTAATATCCACGAAGCTATACAACTGCATGGTGGAATGGATGTGTCTTGGTGCGACGAAAGTTTTCCTTGCTCTTCAACCTCAATCTTTTTGATTTCCACACCGATATTCTCAGTCATTACTTTACATAAGCTTATCATGCCGGTATTTGTAAATATAACTATGGAGTCATAAATAAAACGTCAAAAACTGTCCGCCGTGCACGAATTGCTCATCATCAACTGTCGGTCAATACCTCTGTGATATAGGATCTATTCTAATTTATCCCTGTGGGAATATTACTATGAAAGGCATTGGGTATTTCCTCTTTCTGATGATACAGTAGACTAATTAGTTAGGAACACAAGGCCCGATTGATCATCGAAAACACTCTTCTTTTAGATCATTCCTCGTCAATGATACTTCATCTCAGTTCAGTTTCTTCGCATCTTAAGAATGATTGACTGGACCCTCTCCACCGGGTATTAACTATTGTACTTGTTATTAGCTCCAAATACCAACTCACACCATCCTGAATATAACCAAGGAATCTCACCATGCAAACGTTGTTTCCGTTAAGAAGAATCTTGGGAAGCTTTTCTTGGTTTCCGGAATAGTCACTACCATTATAATATAAGTCCCCGACATAAACAGCAGTAAAGGCACTGCAAATATTCATTGAAAAAGACATACAACTCTGTAACATCCTCAAGAACCATGTCTAAGCCGAAGAGTTAGCTTCTAAACGAGAATTCTTGGTGACATGGAATACGCATATACTTACTGACATAGTCATCAAATCCCATTAAAGTCCCAGAGAATTCTGACTTTGTGGTCAGTCCAGGAACTTGTCAATTGCTGGTCCAGAATTCCCACAGCAGGATATTGTGTTAAAGAGTCCAGGTTTAAACATACCTTTATCGCCTTTCATCACAACCCAAATCTTGGATCCGACACATTTGTCGATAAGCTCTATAAACAATTTTAGTGATTGTCCCACCATTCCCGCTTCGTGAGGATTAAAACTTGTCTCTTACCGAGAGGTAATAGTTGAGAAGCCATTTTTATACGGCCACGGCCAGATATCCCGGGGCACAGTCGACAATGTGGTTAATAAAACGTCTAAAACGTCTTTGTAACGTATCTTGCATTCACAGAATGGTTAATGCAAGACCCTTTGCTAGACTTGGATTTGATTGGGATAAATAACGAATATCAAATAATGATTGACCGTCCGGACCATAACCAGATTCACATTGCGCGCTAACCATAAAAGGATTAGCGCATTGGTGATTACTGTTTGCCATCCCAGGGTAACAAACAACGAGGGATTATGCTACTTTGCACTACCTTTCTCTCTTGTTAGACAGCATTTCTGGTTTTTGAAAATGCGCCATTAGGCTGGAACTGTATTTGAGCTGCGAGCATTTTCCACACGGCGAATATGATGGTTCCCAATGCGGGAACGCATAAAATCAGCTGCAGGACCATGGCCACCTGGTCGCACTGCCTACCTAGTGAGAGTTCGCAACATTTACCACGGCAAATCGTACCACAGCACTTATAGCAGGACTCGAATATCTCGGCCTAATCGAGGCTCACAATGGTCGTCTGGCTGTCGCGTATGGTGCGAGTTGGTCCCTCCGCGAGCTACATCAACCACAGTCCTCCACCAACCACCTCCGAGCAACCGTCAATTCTCCGTTTGTACATTTCGACAGAGCGATGGCTTCGATGACTTCGATGATGTCGATGACTTCAGCAATCCCCGAAGCAAAAACGATCTCAGCTCGATGGTCCGCATGAGAACGGAAGGACGCCTGCCACATATCGACGTTACAAGCTCTCCGAAAAACAGCGAGAAATTACGTCAAGAAAGGATAGCAAAGGAGAGAGTGGAAGAGCTTGCTCGCAAGGCCAAGATCGATCAAGAGAAACGAGAACAGCAGGCCCGACTGGCGGCAGAAAAGGCCCTACTAGAGGCAGAACGGCGAGCTCGCAAGGCTCTTAAGGCAAAACGGAAAGAGGCCCATGAGCAATGGATGAGGCAGTTTAACAACATTATGCTGCATGAAGATCGCCTTTCCAACGTCGTGGATACTTTTGTTGAGGAATTTCATGATATCGTACATGCCAAAGCTATATCAGAGCTGAACGAGCTTGCCCTATCGCTCTTAAATCTACGCAACGAGTATGAGCAGTGCAGAGGATATGTCTTTATGAACTGGAGACTATCTATTGAACAAGGAATATCCAAACTGGACTCTTGGATCAACTTCATAGCCCAGAACCTAGACGATAACCATGCCACACCACAAGCTTCTGCAAAGAAGAAAATCGACCGACTGCTCACACCTATGGTCACCTTTCATAATGCTTATCTTGGTTCGCAGGATGCAGGCTTTTATTTTATGAAATCCTCTCGATTCACCAGAGATACGCTTCTAGAACTGGCTAAAGATGTCCCAAGGCATAAACCGTTTTATCATGGGCTGGAGAAAAAAATGAGGGATAATGAAGATCGTATTTTGAACCTAGTTCACCAATACCGGCGCTTTAGAAGACGCTCGCTCTGGTACAAACCTCTAGGTCTAACACAAGTTGTCAATGTTGCCTCATCTTTTGATTCTTCTTGGGAAATTTTGGGGCTGGATAATACGGAGTATTTGAGGTCCTTACCCCTGAAGCGTCGCGTCGAAGCATGCCTGGTCGATTGGTATCTTCCGCGATGGGGTTCCCACTCTGCACGCAGTTTCGAACTTGATATCAATTGGAGATACCTCGATGTGTTGTATCCATTCGAGGTGGTTCGTTCAGGGAACACTTACATCAACAAACTAGCAAATGCTCTCAGACTTTCTCTAAAAAGGTCAGTGCAGACTACGTTTAAAACGGCCACTCGACAAAGAAAAGCCATCGCATTCAAAAAATGGGAGATACAGGCTACCATTATAGCTTCCAATGTGGAACACGCCATAAACCAACTCAGATACATAACATGGGCTAGGCTAGAGACCGAGTCCAGAATACACCGTCTCGGTGGTGTTCCTGATACCATCTCCAGAGGGTTATTTACCTCGCCAAAGCCTCTTAGTCAGGACATACGGCGCTTTCTCCGCTTCGTTTATAATATATCCAACACGGCGGATCTCGCCAGCCGAGATGATTCTGAGAATATCTTCTCGAGGATGAAAAATATCAATATGTCATCTAGCGCCTCACGCACTAGAAACAGAGTTTCTTTGATGACACCGCACTCGAAATCTACATTGGATACTACACACCCATTGAGTACGAGAGGTTCCAGAAGTAGACGGTCTAGAAGATTGAAATTAAAAGAATCCTCTATAAAGGGCAAAGCAGGCAATCCACCAAAAACCCCACCCTCAGGTACTAAAAAGCAAGAGCATCTTCTCAAAAGAAGGCGCAGAAAGAAAAATCTATTTGGTAGTGGAGAGGGGCTTGATGATACTTCACACGATGGTTCACATCCCACTTCTAAGAAACCTTCCACTAGATGAACTCGAAGAAGGGAACGTGCCGACAGCTTTATCACGAGCTTCATGACCTCCAGAACCTCCAAGTAGAGATGATCCCCTGCTCCAAGGACCAATTTTAATAGCCTTTTACGAAGCACCGCAGTTCGAGATGAAGGGAATAAGCGCACATTTGATAGTCTGTCGTGAACCTAAATAACAGAATCATACAGCGTCGACATTGAGAAAGTGTCTGGATTTATCTCAACCGTTTCTGATTAAGGTAATGGGTTCAGGGCTCGACAATCTTCCTATCAATATCTTATTGTACCATGGCTAGACGTCTGTATATATTCATTGCGTCGACAAAATTTCGTTTCCCATCACATCTCTGTCTAATATATACAAATTTTGGATATAAGATACCCTTAAAATGAGTAAAGTTTTCTTTAAAACCCCCAATTATAGATATTCGAATACTCTAATGCATTAATAATTCACACATGGCCAATATCTTCCCTGCATTAAAGCCTCGTCCGTAAAACACCGTAGAACATGCTCCAATTTAACAAACCGCCATTTTTATTACCAGCTATGCAACGAACAAGGTAAAGACTAGCCCCGGACTGGTAGAATCTTCGATGCAAGAACCTCCTGTCGACATAGGGGACATTCAGGCTTTTCTCGAACCCAGTCTCGGATACATGTCCAGCAAAAGACATGACCACAAGTCGTCACACTCGGGTCTTTGAAAAGTTCAAGACACAATGTGCATTTCCGGTTCTGTCCCTCCGGAATCCATGAAACTGAAGTGGGGTCTTCGGAAAGATCATATCGTGCTGTAGTCGCATTCAAGGTTGGAATTGACGGTGGGTTTTGAACGGAAGAAAGAGGAATGTCTCCCTTGCGCTCGACTGGTGTTGTCTTTGATCCAGTCTCACTTCCTTTTTGTAATGACTTGATTGTCTCGCGTAAATGAATTATTCCTTGTATAGTCATCTGTAGCACTAGGAGAACTCCTAACACCTCATAGCCAACGCGTTGTTCACTTTCGTCAATCCGTTTTGTGAAGACATACCGCAGTCCCCAAAGTCGTTTTGACAGATGGTAATATGCACCTGTGAAGTAAAATGTCGCCAGGCTTAAGGCGTACATAGGTGATGGTGATGTTAAGGAATCGAGATTATCGAGGATATATTGTTGCACCCGTAATGAATTCCAGAAGGGTCGTCTGCTTTTGGATTTATTTTCCGCTCCAAGCGCAAAGCTCTGGGTCGCTTCCTGTGCATTCTGTCTAGCAATACTTCTCTCTAATTTAGAGCGAAGCTTCCGCCGCAGTGAGGGCAAGGAATAGCCGAGAAACCAGGGTAGTATGATACTGCTAACAATGTAACCGCCTCGTCGCGTAATTGATGGTAGCTGTAGAGTATTATCTTCTAACTGCACAACATCGCAATATTCTTCTCCCAGGGTTCGATTTCCGATGAGCGTTGTGAGTGAGAAGTATAGAAGTTCTGTGAGGTTCTTAATGGTGTCCGCATTGCCATGCACGTAGCGAGCTCCTTTGAGAGCCCTGACAATCGATTGTGCCTGGTTTGTCAGGCTCGCCGTGATGAAAGTGTCCTTCTCGTGAGAGCGTATGATATCAGGAGACGTTGCGAAAGGAAAGAAATGTGTGGTCGGAGCAGATGCGCTTGCTACTGGTGATTGCTTGGGGGGCTCGGAGCTCCCAAAGGCGTTGTCGGACATCTTCAGGCTCCTTGAAGGGCTATTGACGGAAGAAGATCAAGTATTTGATGGCAATTGAAATAATCGAAGAAAAGCCCTGACAGATCTGACAGCCGACTCGAACATAAGCCGCTTCTTTGCTATCAAACTGCGAGCCGACGGCGATACTTGAGCCATCCGATAGCCTCGGTAGCTATCACGTGATGTCGTGATAGTAAGGCTCCGTCTTGGCTGGCGGCGTTGACGTGGGTCGCTCCACGTGACTAGTGCTCAGAATGGGCAAGTTGAGGCTCGGGTTCCCTGTGCACAGGCCACTCACGGCCAAGTTTACATGTGTTTAAATCGCCTGCAATAATGAGAGATGTCGATGCTTTCTCACTTGCTTCGCCAGCTTCAATCTCTTCTGTGCTAGGTTTTGGGATGGTTTGATATTTTTGTTTTCGTCCGACCGGAGTCCCTCATTTCCTGTGATTGTGTCTTTTCCCCTTCCGACAGAGTGCCAATCACAATCGCCTTGTTGTCTCATCATTCGCTGGTATTGTGGTGGTCTCTCACTGTTGGGCGCCACGCCTGCTTCATGAGATCATGGCAGATAGCAGCGTCCAACCACCAGAAGAACTTGATTACTTCAGCCTTCTTTTCCCCCTACCCTTTCGTGTTGCGATTCTCCTTGTGGCAGGTAGGCACAAGACCCAGACCATCCATCATCGGGAATATCGAACTAAAGTGTTACACAACCGTAGGCTTCTGGGGATGGGGATTTAATTTGCACTATCTGTCTTTGGCCAAAATTGTATTCCACGCTCCCTGGGTTTCTGGATGACTATCATACTGACTTTTCAGGATGTTCCTGCTTTAATTCGATATCCCTCTCGGCAGTCGCCTCACCAGATAACGCATCACCTTTCAACGTATCGTTTAGCCACTTTTCTCTCGATTCCTCTTGGGGCCTTTCTACTTTTATTCTGGGTTGTGACACACGGGTCAACGGAAAAAGTACCCCTTTGGGAGTCGATCCCACAAACTTACATTCTCCTCCTGGTGATATTCTTGATCCTTCCTTTCCATCGCCTATCACGAAACGGCCGACATCGACTTTTTGCCTCTCTTCGGCGTATTAGTATTGGTGGGCTGGCGGAGGCTCAAGATGGAAAATTTGGAGACGTCCTCTTGGCCGATGCGCTCACGAGCTATTCGAAAGTTGTGGCCGAGATCTACATCAATTACTGCATGTTTCTCTCTTCCGGCGTCTCGAGTACGGGAAAACCTGACCGGAAGTGTGGGGGGCGATTGGTCGTACCTATACTTATTGCGATACCCTTTGCCATACGTTTGAGGCAGTGTTTAATAGAATTTCTACGAGTGCGACGTGCGAGAAACCGGAACGATGGCTGGGGTGGTCAGCATCTGGCCAACGCCCTCAAATATTCCACCGCTTTTCCAGTGATTATATTCGCCAACATGGAGCGGAACTTCGACTCTGAATCTTCGCATGGAATTAGTGAGGTTACTGTTTCACGATTATGGTGTGTTGTCTGCTTTAAATTGCGGGCCTGGATTTATTTATTAACCATCGCTCCTAGGGCGCTCTTTTCCTTCATAAATTCCGCTTATTCTTTCTATTGGGACGTCACCAAAGATTGGGACCTTACCCTATTGACACCAGACAATCGTCTTCGGCGGCAGGACTACCCATTTGGACTACGTCGACATCGGATCTTCGCTTGGAAAGAGCTATATTATGTCGCGGTCATGATCGACCTGGTTTTAAGATTTAATTGGCTATCACGTCTGTCTCCTCACTTGGATCAAGTCAACAACGTTGAAAGTGGTATCTTTTTCCTCATGTTCCTGGAAATTGCGCGACGGTGGATGTGGGTGTTCTTCCGTATAGAAACCGAATGGGGTGAGTACTGTTTTACTCTACTAGTAAGGGATGTTTTGAAGCTAATCACTTGTTTTTCAAGTTCGATCCAATCGGGGCCCAGCACCGGACGACATATTGCTCGGTGATTTCAATGGGAAATTTGACGACGATTAAGTAATAAATAGTCGGGTACGGCTTAATAATGTATTCATTTCTATATTGCATAAATTTATACTGCTTATTTTAGAGTTGTTTGGTGTTGCTTTTTAAGAATATAGACGGGTTCAAACAATGTACATAATTTTGGTTCTGATAATATCCAACTTAAATGAGTTCTCGAATGTCGAAATCAATATATTCTCCAAGTAAAGATTTCCATTTAACTATAGATAATGGGACAATCATTATTTACAAAGCATCTTACGACACCACCCTGTGTGATACCGAAACCTAGACAAGACAGAGATGGAACGCCAACCGTGAACTTTCAAGTAGATTAAAAACAAGTACAATATAAAGGACAAAACATAAAAATTCAGATTTATACTATACCCCTGAAACGAACACAATGCATAAGAGGATCAGGATATCACTAGCAAGTGATATTCCTCATCGAGATTGCTCACTATCGGTTGGCCGAGCAGGCGGATGGCTATCGAAAAGATCTTCAAGGTACGCACTCGGCGCTCTGCCCTGAGGCGGGACGTTCAAATTAAGAGTGCTAGTTGACGCTCCGACATGATGTGATGAGCGGTTCGCATCGTGGCCTCGGCTTGGGGGTAACGAAGGAGACCCCGGCGGGCTGCGTCCAAGGTTGACTTGACTGTGACTTCCGAGTGTTGCATTACCAGCAGCATAGTAACCTGCAGGAAGGTATGTTGATGCTCTATTCATTGATTGATGACTTCCAGCGCCTGCAGTTGGCGAGAAGAAGAGATTGCTCTGAGAAGCAGGATTCTTGGTTGATGATAGGTGGCTTATGCGGTCTGACTTGGAAAGCTTATCCATTGACATCGAAGTTCCACGGGCTTCACGACGAGATTTGCGATGGGTTGAGTGACGACGGGACCTCCTTTTGTTACGCAATAATGACTTATTTTCAGATTGAGCAAGTTCGTATGCTGCTCGGCGAACGGAACGATTGATCGACCATGCTACCATTGCTCGCCATGCTAACAACGAGAATCCAATAAATCCAAGAGCTGCACCCACTCCGATAAAGACTGTACCTTCGGGGACTTTGGACTGTTGCATATATGGCGCATTCGAAGTCGGGGGAACGGTAGCTGTGGGAATGGGGATGCTGTTGCTGGTGCTCTCCGTCAATCTTGGTAGACCTGTGCTAGTCGAGGTCGAATCAGTGGTCGTGGTGGTCAGCGCGGGAAGCGCATTGGTCGTAGTAGTATCATCTCCATTGACCTGGACAAGTATCACCAGAGTCGCCAGAAGTCCGACAAGGAACAGAGGTGGCTGCGAAGCCAGCCGGGCACCAAAGATATTCATTGCGGAGAACGCTGCTGGGGTGGGCGCTTGGATGAGAGGTATTCACTGCTGGAATGTGTGATATGCAGGTGCGTATAGGTCACAGCCCCGGCATTTCTCCGGGAATTGGTAAGGTCTAGGTTCGGAAAAAGTGACTGAAAGCAGTGTGGTTTGAGGCTATAACCGCTGGGTTTTCAATGGGTATAACAGTCGGGTTTGCGAGTTTGTTTCTCGGTTAGTCGCAAGTCAGCGATGAAAACCAAGAAAGGACTCGGAATAAAACGAAATGAGAGTGGTGAGAGATGCGTACGTCCGATAAACGAGTGGACGGCGTGGAAAAAACGAAGTCGCAAAGTCGTTAGCAATATAAAGTGAAGTGTCTAATTAGAGGCGAGACTGTCTCACTCGAAGACCCGAAGGCACTAATTTCCCACCCCTGTCCCAATCTGGACTACACGGTCACGGGGCTGTACTAGCAACTATTATTGTTAACTATTAATTATTAACGAGGTCATTTAGTATTCATTATTAACGAGCTTTTTTAGTATTCATGACTAGTCATCTATAACAATGTACTTCAGAGCCGCATTATTCTGTGCGAACTGGTTCTCCGCGACCATGATGTTAATTAGCATTTAAGCATCGCGTATGCTGAATTAGGCCAAGCAACGAGACTTCCCTCTGCTAAGGCCCTTCTCATGGGAAAATTATTGCAAGGTGTTAAAAGCGGCTTAAATATATTCAAATCAATAAATGTTGGGCAACGAAACACGCGTAATAAGTGGCTATGTTCTTAAAATACAGGTCATCATCAGTGATTACTGCTGCTTCTTCTGCGAACTAGGAGAGGTATCCTTTTCAAATGCAGCATACGAGACCTCCAAACTCAATAGAGCCGAGACACCAACATACAAAATCGTCACGATAAAAAAAAGGGCGATGAATCCCATGAAGATACCTGTCGCACGAATTAGGTAAAATAATCGGTAGGCAGAGGTTGGGGCGAGACACGTACCTGGGCTAAGGAACTGGTATTTATCGAAAAGGGATCTGTTGTCTCCTTGCTCGTCCTGTCGATTGGACTCTCTGAAGTCGCGTTTCAAATCTTGATGAAAAGGGTATTGGTCTTTGATATCATTGCTGTCATAGGTCACCGAACTAGCCTTTCCCTCTTCTTCATACTCTCGAGGAGATGTGCTGTAGATAAGGGTGTATTTTGGGGAGGAGATCTGATCAATTATATCGGCAAGCAAAGCATCTATCCAGACGAGAAATCAATATCAGGTCTATGAAATGTTGACGTTGGGACTTACCATTATGCGAAAGTTGCTGAGCACGTCCCTCGTGTAAAGGTAGGGCCGGGAAGGATACATATACAACCCTTGGTCCATCTCCAAATTTCGCGGGATAATGGCCAGCTGAAATACTTTAATACCGGTACTACCGTGATTGGTATTCAGTGAACTCACTTGAGCCGTCAATCTCAGTCACTTGTGCTGCGCATTCATCCCTCAGCCCATTACCGATAGACAATGGATCTAATATTCCTGTGACCTCCGAAACCGTCACATTCGACCGAATAGCCTTGTCTTTTCCCAGCACCTTCTCCCGAAGACGAGGTGTAGCTCGATGGCCCCGATAGTCGGCGGCGTGGACGCCAGGCTGCGACGCGATAATGTAATAGTCCGACGGACAAGTCTTTAGGTTCTCCCATACATCGTCTAGCACCGAAGTGGCAGGTTTGAGACTCGACGAAGATGATGGGAAGCTATCAAATTATTCGTTAGCATATGTCGGTTGATCCTGACAAGATGGAATGCGCACTCTGATGTCGAAAGAAACACAAAAGGCGAGGTGTCTTTGAGGCCCTCCACAAGCGCAGCACCGAATGCCAATAACAGCAACTGTCTTGGATTCATAGTGCTGTCTGGTTGCGACTGTCGGCAAAGGGTGGTGTTGAAGCAGGTTGACGTTTCGACTTTACTTGGCAGGTCAAGGCGAGCGGGAAGCCTTGGCATGGGGGGAAGCTTCCGCAAAGGATTTTCCGATAGGAATGGAACATTTTTGTTATGCGTTCCACGGAATAAAAAGTGATTTAATTAATTTTAATTTATAAACTCCACTGCTTCTAATTGTCATTCACAATTATCGTCGACATGGCACCTCAGGCAAAACGACGCAAAATAGCCAGCGCTGTCGAGGAGATCAATTTTGATCCAGCGGCGAGGCAAGAGTTCCTAACAGGATTTCACAAGCGCAAATTACAGCGTATAAAGGTGGCTCAAGAATATGCGGAACAGAAAGCTCGTGAAGAAAAGAGAGAGGAAAGGAAAAAGGTACGCTTTGCCACTGTTTACTGCTGGCATTTATTCTGATTTATTTCATCATCTTGTAGATTCGTCAGCAAAGAGCAGCAGAGTTACAACAAGCTTTGGATACATCTCGACAAATGCTTGACGAAGCCCGTGGTGACCTTTCGCAATCGGAGAGCGAAAATGGAAGTGAAGATGAGTGGGAAGGGTTTGGAGAACCAGTTCCAGTGGACCATGAAGCAGAGTACATCGATGAAGACAAATACACCACGGTGACAGTCGAGGAAATGGGTGTCTCGAAAGATGCCTTCCAAGATAACAGGGAGCATACCCCGACTGATGGTGATTCCAGTCATGAAAGAAATGACAAAGAGAAAGGTAGTTCGACGACCAAGCCTCCCAAGAAATCAAGCAACGAAAAGAAAAAGAAAAAGAAATTTCGTTATGAGTCGAAAGCAGACCGTAAGGTCACTCAGAAGAAGCAAAGGATGGGTAGTCGGAGGCAGGCAAAGGCAAGACGAGAAGGCTAAGTGATTTGAAAAGCAGCCTACCTAAAAACGATAGTCTGGTAGAGTTTCCGCATCACATTCTCACGAACCACAATGTCGCTGTGAATTAATAAAGGGAGGATCAATCAGGGGAATCCGAAAAAAATCGATACGAATCGTCCTTGGATTTGGGGTAAATTTAAACGGCTAATTCATTGCTAATGACGCCACATGAAACGATCCTCCTAACAAAACAACAACTGATGGATATTTCGAAACGGACGGAACTAGACATATTTCACCTATTTATGATTGTAGGGTCATTATTTAAACATTGCTAATCGACACCTCCAGCTCGTGCAATTCCTTCTGCAGATCGGCGTATTTCTTAGCCATCTCCTCGTATTTGCTTTCCCATTGACTGTTGGACGACTCTAGGGCCTGGACCTTGCGTTCGTAGTGACCAGCCTTGACATCAGTCTGGCGGAGCCTGTTGTTAGAGTTTGTTAGCCTTTAATCTTGGTAAACTGGGTGCACGAGGAGATAATACTTCTCGTTAGTTTCACGGAGGTTCTTATCGGCTTCCTCAGCTTCCTCCTCGAGCAGCTGAAGGCGTCTCTGCAAAGCCTCGTTCTGGGTATCGTGTTGAGCGCTGACATCGGCCTTGTCTTTGAACTCTTTCATATTGCCCTCAACCTTTTCAATCTCGGACTCGAGGAGTTGGTTGCGATGCGTCAACGAAGTGATTTCTTGCTCCTTGGCTAGGTTCTCTTGCTCCAAAGACTTAACCTTGGCCTTGAGCTCCTCGACTGACGCTTGGGCCTCGTCCGCCTCAACGCGGAGGGCGTTCATTTTCTACATCAAAAAGAATCAGCATCATGCACTTGATATCCCCGTGCTGGGGGTTTCTGGGATGTCGCTGATGAGCTGTGTCGGTGGTGGTGGTGGTGATGATGGCAGGCACCCAAGTAGAGCTACCCCGCCGTCAGGGATATGCAGAGGGGTGGTGGGCGGCATGAATACGCACTTCTCTGATCTTGTCCATTCTGGAACGCTGTTCACGGGTAGTTTCTAGAAAATAGCAGTATCGGCAGGCGGTTCGACGCAGCAGAATAGGGTGTGCAAGAGTCCGAGCAGCAATAAACTCGAGAAGTCAGTCTGCATGGGCTGCGTGGTGTCTGTGGCTAGTGGGAGTTAGGCTGCCCCTTCCCCTCTGTTGGGGGCCCAGCCGGCCATTGATCCATGTCGGAAGGCGGTGGAGCACGACGATCGGCCTGTCTCCACGGGCAACCGCCACTAGTCAACAAAAGTGCAGCCTTGCTCCTATGCAAGTTAGCTCATACTTACTGCTTACTTACCTGCACTCTGCACCGAGAATTGAATTGATCTGGACACGCTATCATTGACGACCTCCAACGCATGATAATCTCGCTATAAACTATCCGGGCAACAATGCTCGCACTACGCGATAAGGAGAACCTGGTGCACACGCACCAAACGACCGCTGCCGCAAAGCCTTTGAACCAGGGCCTTCGCCAGTTGCAACCAAAGACTCCTGGAACCCGACCGTCCAAAACACCGTACAAGATTCCCCTAAACGATGAAAATGGCGTTCCAGCGTTTGGAAAGAATACTGTCAAAGTCAAAGGAGCTGGAGTTGGAAATGCCCAGCAGTCGAGCAAGGATGCCTTCGTCACGCCTTTAGGTGAGTAGCCCCGCGCGCGCGTGTGTGTATGTGTGTGGAAGAGGCTCCTGCTAATAAATCAATTTGTATTCAGGACCGCGCAATCGGGCTCCTCTGGGAATGAAGACGACCAATGCCAAAGCAAATGCTTTCCAGACGCCGGGGCTACAGGGAGACACTTTGAAGGCACCAAAAACAAACCGCAAAGGCTCTAGTCTCAAAAAGGCCAAAAAGGTAGAGCCTCTCGTTCAGCCTTCCCAACCACAAGTATCAGCCAAAACAGAAGAGGATGATGTGCCTGACGTCGAATATGCTCCTCCTAAGCCAAAAGGTAAATTCCATCATGGCGCTTTCGACGACAAAAGTTGATGCTAATGTTGTGCATAGAGCTCTCTGACGACCCGGAGGAAGTCACCTATAATACCAACTTTCCACAGTTCAAGGGGCGCAATATTATACGCGGATGGGAGAGAATCTACTTACACGGCGACATAGGAGATGACGGCCTGACCGATCGCGAACGCAAGTTCCAGCAGGAATCTGTGTCCTATGACAAGATGATCGATGAAATAATTCAAAAACAAGTCGAGGATATCGAACTGCCAGGATTGAATGCCCGTGAAGCCCAGGACCTGCCATCCTTCGATGAGCCAGATCAGCAACGACATAACAAAGCCAACGAGAAGAAAGGTCTTAACAAAGGCCTGTCTAGCCTGAAGGCACGAGATGCTGCCAAAGCCCTTTCCCAGACCAAATGCTCATTGGCAAAACGTGTTGAAAGCACCAAGGTTTCAACGAGCCGCACATCCAAGGCGCCATTGGCCCTCATAGCGCCGAAGAGGAGGACTCCTACTCCAACAAATTCATCAACCGCACACAACACTGCTGCTGCAGCTAGCTCTCGTACCACTCTGGGATACTCTAAAGGCAGAAGTGTGTCCTCTACGCTCCAGACCAAAGGAAACCCAGCGAAGGAGAAACAAGCTCCATCAAGAGGAATACTCGACCCAAGAAAGTACATGCAGCTCTATGGGCCTCCTCCAGCTGGCAGTGAGATGTGGATGCAGTGCAAGGAGGCTGGGCTGGTGGCCGACCCGGAGGAAGTTGACAATGACTTCGTCCTGTCGCTGGATGAGGAGGATGAAGAGACCAGAAACTTCCAGCTCACACTATAGCTGTTATGAAGACGAACAAAGTTGTGGGAATCGGCGTACGAATAAACTTGTCTTTATATTGCTATCAACAGCAGCGGTTGACGATGGAGAATGGTTGGCTTCCGTCACCAGTTTATCACGGCGTTCTCGGGCAAGATACGATGGGCAGTATTGTTTTCATGTATGATATATCTCCTGCAGACAGATTCTTCTACTGTATTGCATCAATTAGTAGCATGGGATCCACTCATTTTAATGCCATTGATTACTGCTCTCTACACTCAGTGGAATGCAGCACAAAATTATAAATTGGAATAAAGTGTAATTAAACAAGTTCGCCAATAAATTCCTAAATGTCCTACTATTGAGAAATGCAATTGGAGTTGTTGCGGTGTGCAGGGGAGCTCTAGGGCTAGCTTCCCAGGCGGGCACGGGCCTGGTGTACCCACCACTGCCTCTCTGGCCCAGCTCCTCTCTCTCTCCCTCCCACAGACGCCAGATCTCTCAATTCCCTAGCACCAACGTCAATTCTCTGCGAGACAATGGCGAGAGCACACTCCGAGTCCTCTGAGGACTTTGAATTCATCGAGACTCCCGCTGCTCCTGCTGCCACCCCTGCCCCTGAGGATTGTGGAGTTAGGACAACCTCGGTAAGTTCCTGAAACCTTGAACGTGGCTCCATTGTCTAGATTGTTGACCTCTCCGATTCTACTAGTATCCTGCGATCAAAAATGCTCCTCTGCCAGCGGACTCCGCAGGCAGCGACAGCTTCTCCAATGTGCTCCTGATCATTCTCCTACTCGGTATTCCCTACTACCTGGCCCGTCAAGTCTATGGTGGATTCTATACTACAATCTTCTTCGCCATCTTCACCTCCATTCCCATTTTGGTTGCGTTTTGGACTGTTGCCTCTTCAATCTCTCCCCGAAAGAATGAGAAAGCCAAGTACCCTGGCCGCCCCGTCGAGCATTACTTGCAGTTCCACAGCGAGCATGACCGTGCCCAGTACCACGGTAAGAGCAAGATCCCCATGGCTGTCTTTTACGAGAAGTACTTCAACGGCGAAGTCGACTTCAAGGGTGATGCTCTTGATGTGTTGGAGTATCGACATGACTGGGCAAACTTCCGTTTCACCTGGTCTTTGTATAAACATTTCTTGACTGGCTTCATTCCTGAGTTGTTGTTCCATACTCGCTCTCAAGGTATCCGACCTAACATCCTAGTCCTTGGCACATTAACTCACATTTTGGCCTAGATGAGGAACAGGTCCGCGACCACTATGATCGCGGTGACGATTTCTATGCTTGGTTCTTAGGCCCCCGCATGATCTACACATCTGGTATTATCAGCGACATTAACCGAGAGGAAACCCTGGAAGAGCTGCAAGATAATAAACTTTCCGTTGTCTGTGAAAAGATTGGTCTCAAGCCCGGTGACACTGTCCTGGATCTTGGCTGTGGTTGGGGCACTCTGGCCAAATTCGCCTCCGTCCACTACGGTGCTCAAGTGACTGGTATTACTCTCGGCCGTAACCAGACTAAATGGGGAAATAATGGTCTTCGCAAGGCTGGCATTGAGGAATCGCAAAGCCGTATTCTCTGCCTGGATTACCGTGACGCACCCAGCGTTACCGGTGGCTACAAGAAGATTACTTGTTTGGAAATGGCCGAACACGTTGGTGTCCGCCATTTCAGCAAGTTCCTCTCCCAGGTCTATGATATGCTTGATGATGACGGCGTTTTCTTCCTTCAAATTGCCGGTCTGCGTAAGTCGTGGCAGTACGAGGATCTCATCTGGGGTCTTTTCATGAACAAGTACATTTTCCCTGGTGCCGACGCCTCCACTCCTCTCGGTTTCGTTGTAGACTCTTTGGAAGGCTCTGGTTTTGAGATCAAGAGCGTTGATACAATTGGCGTCCACTATTCTGCTACTTTGTGGCGCTGGTACCGTAATTGGATTGGTAACCGCGAAAAGGTCGAAGCCAAGTATGGCAAGAGATGGTTCAGGGTAAGTGAGATTGAATTTCTACATAATTATCTACTGATATTTTGAGCGACTAGATTTGGGAGTACTTCTTGGCCGCTTCCACCATCACGTCTCGCCAGGGTGGTGCTACTTGCTGGCAACTTACTCTTGTCAAGAACATCAATTCTACTCACCGTGTTGAGGGTATCAACTCCCAATATGGTCTTTCGGGTGCTCGTCAAGCAGCCATTGATACTGTCGGTCACGGCAAAGTGCCCAGTGCCCATGTTCCTACCAAGGAGTAAACCATAGAGCCGTTCAATTCACGCGCCAAGTTATTTTGAATGCTTAATCTCTATTATATAAAGCAGACAACTCCTATCTGTGCAATTAGGACGACTATCCTACTCACCCCCGTCCGAACTTTGGGTGTAGGCCCTTATGCCTATCTCTAGCCCGAAAAATTGTTCTTCTTATTGGGAAAAGCACCCCTAGGTGTATATTTCCTACATGCCTTTTTTTTCTTTCTGTTTCTAAATATAGATATGTCTGTGATTAATTTGTACCATTTACCTTGTAATGAGAAGACTGTGACGTGTGACATGAACTGCTATTACAATGTTCGCAAGTGGAGAGGATGCTTTGAATGATTCAATGTTGTGGATGTTCAACCAGCTATCAATCAAAGACGAAATATAGGTATAATACCACAAGTATGTTGCTAAGAAATATAATTGTATGTATCAATCTTTATAAAACTGCACATTCTCGATAACATTATGTAGAGTTTTTAGCCATTACATATTTAAGATTGAGAGATTGATACTATCGTGACAAGTCAAATATAAATAACTATAATTGACTACTTGTGACACCATCATCATATATAAACTTGATTTCAGATTCAACGTAAGTACTTAAATTATTCAACCCGTTTATACAGTTTCGCCCTATCTGCACCCGCGCCCGCTCCTTGGCTACAGCATGCATCTGACTTCTCCGTACTTTGATGCAGGGTTGACTGGTTGAAGGCTTGCGCGGAAGGGGGCACATCCAGAGCCGGATTCTTCGTGAAGAACCCATCCGGTTTCAACATGACGCTCACTTTCTCTATAGGCATTACCGGGAAATCCTCAATACGAGGGTTGTGGGTGAGACCGAAAGCTGTGATGTTTCGTTAGCTTTATCTCCCTTGATACGTAGAATACTCAAACTTACTATGCCAAAGAACAACGTCCTTGTTTTCAATAGCAGCATCTCTCGCAACCCATTTCTCAACACCGTCCGACTGTCGGCTTTGATTGGTGAATTCTCCGGCAGCATACAATTCATCGTCTTGATAGTTAGTCACCCAGATAGGCTTCGACGCAAATTCTGCACGTCTGTAATTGAATGAATTCGGGCCCATGAGGAGCATTTGAGCGGGCGAGGTCTGTAATTTATATGCAACTGGTTTGTAGGTAATAGGATTGATCACGTTGTCATTACGGATCTTGAAGACGCGATGACGCTCTACTGAAGTGTTGGCGGAGCCGGATTTCTTCAATACAGTCTCTTCAGTCACGTAGCCACATGAGAATGGGTTATCTTCGCCTTCTGGCATGGGTACGCTATCTTCGTAGTAAATTGTGTTTTCAAACCCGTCGATTGCCGGATCGATTCGATAGGAAAACATATGTTGGTGGAAAGCAGCCACAACACCGGGGCCGACGTTGGTTCCCCAGGGTACAGTTTGTCCGTCTTCGTTGTCGAGGGGAGCTGTAGAGAGAATACCCGTGGCTCGGACCTCAAGCTCAATGCCAGCTGCTTGATCAAAGATGTAGGCGAAAATGTATTCGTAGTTGGACACGGTGCAAATCATTTGTACGACCAATTGGCGGTTACGCACGACGGTTGCGGCGTTTGTACGGTAATTGGTGTGTTTGTGTTGAAGTCCATTGTCTTGTTCGTGCAAACATATCACGTTCTCCAAATGAACCGGGGCTCCTTTGGAGTCAGTACGCCATCCATCAAAATACTTGATGTGGCCGAGGCAATCACATCCAAGAGACAACTGGTTGGCTGTTACTCCAAATCCAACGTCACCAACGTCGAAGGCTTGCTTGCGATGGAATGGTTTGCGGGGGTCTAATAGATATTATTAACAAATGACCGTCGACATTGAGTATTTAAGTTGCTTACCTCCATATGGGACAGTCATTTCGCAGAGTGATAATCTATAAAATAGGTTTCGACCTTCATATGTGACGTTATGGATCACCAGGCCGTCCCGAGTGTTGAAGCCAACCCGGAAACGCCACTTCTGCCAACTCACAAGGTTTCCATCCACACTGAAAGAAGGTCCCTCTGGTTGCTGGACAATGTAGGGCTTCAGATCCGTCCTCAAGGGCGTGTCTAAGAGATCGTGGGTATATTGAATAGTTTTCACTGGCTTCCAAGGCACGGTTGCCGTCACTGTGTGGTCTACGCCTGCTGGGAGGTAATCCATTCGGACTAACTCATGGGTGAGGCCGTCAAAGACTGGCGAGAATTTGCATGGAGTCGAGTAGTGATTGTTCTGAGGATGGTCAACGCCGACAACATACATGTAACACTGAAACAGTCGTCGACTCTCGTTCGGATCGTCGGTACCATAAATCCACGGGTCATTACATATGGTAACGCCGGCAGGAAGCTGCAACTTTTCCACTTCCTTCTGAACTGCGGGATGCCCTAGACAAAGTTCTTCAATTGCTAGCAATTCATCCACGTCCACGGGACCCTGCAAAAATTTGCGTGTGAGCAAAATGGGCTTATCTGACTAGAGGTCGTGGAGGATACCTGGACGTGTTTGGGCAGCTCTCGAACATGGATGACAGAGCCAGTATCAACATTCAACAGGGCTTTACAGAAAGCTCCTGTATCCTGTCTATGAAAAAGGACCTGCAGCACACGAGCTGGTCTCGGTGGCAGTGGCTTCCCTAGCCTTTCGGCTTCGATGTAGGGAACCGCATCTTGCTTCAAGGGCTCCTGTACATCAATGCGCTTGTATCGCAGTGTTACCCCAGGGAAAGATGCTTCTAACAACTTCACGGCAACCTGAATCTCTGAAGGCGTGAGGGGGTCGAAGGGATGGAGCTGTGCCAAGCTCGCCTCTGAGGCCACCTGAGGGACGACCGACATATCGAGAGTCACTTTGAGTGTGCCAAGCTCGCCGGGTATATGAATTCTATTGGTGTATATAAACGAACAATGAAGAGAACTAATGAAGCTGGCATAATAAAAAATTCACGGTGGACTGACTGCCTTTTAAGTACTTCACCTGGCAGATGTGGGGACCAGATCTGGAGCGGATGGACTTTCCGCATGGAGAAAACACCACTGGCCCTGCGATTGTGATTTGCTTATCTGCAGCCGCTTTGAACAGACTTGTTATAGTGTTCAAGCAAATGCCTGAATGCCATAACTCTGTACAGCGCATTGCGTTGTTCTATTGGGCCAAGCACTAACGGTGGTGAATTACTGGCACTGCACGATAAGCCAAATCTCCGCATCGGCGATAAGCCTCCACTGTGATAGGCCGGCGTGTCTCTTGCCTAATCGGGGATAGGCTATAGCCGCTCTTTCTCTCTCTCCACCCACGAAATAATCACAGTAGTCAGGCAGAGTCCTTCACACTCGTCAATTTTCGCGCAATCTTAATCGATGCTTGCATGCACTTGGCGGCAAGTCTGAGTCTGACTATCCTTCAAGCCAGGCCCGAGATAGTATGATAACAGAAAACGCCCACCAATTGTCTCATCCTTAGGGGATAGCGCCTCCGCAAGAAAGCGTCAACGGCACCGTTTATCTACACCAATCTTTTCTAGCCTGTGCATTTGCTAGCCCCCCAGCGCATGGCAGCACATTCGACTGTATATAGATTTTCATCCGCGGATCAGCCGCCGTTACGTACGAAGGCTAGTAGTCGGTTAGAAGCAAGATGGAGTCGCTCGGGATGTCTGACCTGCAAGAAGAGGCGGAAGAAATGCGATGAGCAGAAGCCGAGGTAGTTTACTTCCCAGGGCTTGATACGATCCAATGTTTTTAACAAGGAACACAGATGTGGGAATTGTACCAGACTCGATCGCGAGTGCGAGGGTTATGCAAACCTATGGCAAACCCCTTTTGAGCCATCGATAAAGACTTTCCGGCAGGAATCCTTAAAGCCAAGACGCTCAAAGGACTCTCCAGCGTCCGATCAGGATGATAGCAAAAATCAGCCATCGCCGTTGATACTGTATCTGCTGGATGGTTCAGCTGTCTCCCCAGAGCATCAAGTTATGTTAGATTCGGAGTCCACAGCAGACGATTCCGAGCGGGATCAGAAATCTCCTAATGACTCAACAGCATTGGTTTTGGCTTCGCGTAGTGAAAATCCAACCAATTGCCACTTGACCCATCACCCTTTTCAACCAGCGTCTTCCTCCGATCTTTTCTATCTACAATATCATGCCGAAAGAGGCTTCAAGCTTATGTCGAATTTGGAGACTCAACATAACCCATTGAAAGAAGTCTTAATTCCTCGTGCACTATCTTCGCCGCTTCTTTTAAGTATAATTTGCGCTATGTCTGCAGGACATATGGCAAACTGGCCATCTCCGAATCAAGAGAATTTGAGGAATGCGGAATTGACATATTACGGTCGAACCCTTTCAGGTGTCAGAAAGGCTCTGGCACAAATAACACAGCAAGACGTATTGGACACAGCTAGTATAGATCTGCTAGAGGAACTCATTGTCACTCTTGCATCCTTTTGTAAATATGAAGCAGTGCGAGGGGCCGTCAATTCTTGGAGAGGACATTTAGAAGCTCTACAAAAGCTTGTGACCTACCGTGGAGGGCTAGCCAGCCTTGATATTGAAATTGCGGATTGGCTTTCGGGCTTGTAAGAGGAAATCCCATCTGTTTCGTTTCTTTCATATCTAATCGATGATTAGGGTTACTTATTGGCAACATATGGCCAAACTTACAAATCCGAAACTTGCATCTGGTTTTATTCTCTGTGACAGCATTTATGATAGTCCTAAAGTGGATATATATCTAGGATGCAACGAGCAACTGGTAAAGATTTGTTCTCGGATCTCTGATCTTCGCTTTTTTGGTCACTCCACAACGGCTCTGGTACAGGAGGTATCTGAAATGTACGTATCTAGCTAACTTCTCTCGTGATCAACCGGGAAGAAATCATTGACAGCATACAGAAACGAAATACTTGTTAGATGGTCTTGGGAAAAGCAAGATTTCATCATACCCCCAGGGATCAGTGAAATGACGTTCGAACGACTTCGAGTGGTAGCGCATCATTTCCACTACGCTGCGTTCATATTTCTTCATTCTATTATTGATATAATAGCCCAACCAAACTTATCAGACCTCGAAGACCCTCATGCCGACTTCAGTTCCATGGTACACTCACTCGTCGTATTTTCCAAGACTGAAGCTTTACAAAATTTAGTCTCTCTCTTGCGTACCTTGCCCCCAGACAATCACTCTGAATTCTCGGCTCTCACTTTCCCTCTATTCATTGCTGGCTGCGAGTATGAAGAAAGAGATCAGCTGGCTTTGATTCTTGATTCACTGCAAACTCTGGAACTGAATTTCGGTATCCTCAATACCAAACGTGCCCAAGAGTTTTTAGTGAACTTGTCGAGATTACGTGCCAAGGGGAATTGGAAGCACTGGTTGCACATTCTAGAAGATGTGGATTGGGACTTGATACTAGTTTAGTACAGAAATATTTAACTATATAAACAGGTGTTTGTCAAATGTCTATCTACACACAGAGATACATCATGTCACGGACGCTCTCGATTTTTACAACTTGGCCTTGGGAGTTTCCTGTTCCTTCTTGGCCTGATCTTTGAGTACCCGTCGAAGGATTTTCCCGCTAATACTCTTGGGAATGGCGTCCACAAATCGAACACCACCACGCAGCCGTTTGTGCTGAGCAACCTTGGAATGCATCCACTTGATGATTTTGGCAGCCTCATCGTCATCACTGACGCCGGAAGATTTGCTCTTGGCGCTGCGAACAACATACGCCCTTGGCACCTCGGAACCATGCTCTTGGCTATATACACCAATGACAGCCACATCATCAACCGACTCATTATCGACAAGAAGGCCCTCCAACTCAGCCGGGGGAACTTGAAATCCCTTGTATTTGATGAGTTCCTTAACTCGATCGGTGATATAGAAGTGGAAATCCTTGTCCTGGTACCCGACATCTCCAGTGCGGAACCAGCCATCTGCAGACAGGCAACCGTCGGTCGCCTTCTTGTTTTTGTGATATCCCAGGAAAATATTTGGACCACGCACATATAGTTCACCGACTTGTCCAACCGGCACCTCTACGGGTTCCGAGTCGTCCTCTGGGGAGGTCATGTATTTGGCTTCCAAACTACCGAGTAACTTGCCCACCGAGCCAATTGTTTTGTTCCAATCCTCCCAAGGCTGCATGTGTGTTGTAGGGCTTGTTTCACTCAATCCATAGCCTTGCTTGATGCCAACCTTGATTCGTGATGAAGTAGTCTCAACTAGTTCTCGGGTGAGTGGTGCGGCTCCCGAGTTTAACATCCGCAGGGTCGACATATCGTATTTATCTACGATAGGGTGTTTTCCGAGTAGAAGAACAACAGGTGGGACGACAAAGGCATATGTGATTTTGAAGTTTTGCACATTGGCACAGAACTTTTCAATGTCGAATCTTGGCATAACGACAATCGTGTATCCGGTATACACGCCCGAGTGGATTATACAAGTCAGGCCTAGGAAAGTTAGAGAATGCTTATATACCTTGAATAATCACTAGAAAAAAAGTAAAGAAAATAAACTTACCATATATGTGAAAGAACGGCAAAAAGGCCAAGATCTTATCACCCTGGCCATCTGGACCTCCATTCCACGTTAATTTATCTCCATCACCAGCCTTGCCCTGTAAAACGTTCGCAACAATGTTTCTATGAGACAACATGACACCTTTCGGCAAGCCAGTTGTTCCTGAGGAATACACAAGATACGCGACGTCCTTCTCTGGGTTCACTCTGGTTTTGCGGTATCTCGATGTTCCCGCCAAGTTTCGCACGGAGGTAAAATGCTTGAATTGGGCATTCGGGTCGCGCTGGTCTCCCAGAAGTATGATGCGGTCCTCAGGTATTCCGACCTTTTTCGCAGCCGCGCGGGCTACGGGGAGCATGGGGACCTGTGTGACGATGGCCTTGGCCTCGCTGTTACTCAACTGAAAGGCCAGCTCTTCAACGGTGTATGTAGGATTCGCAGGAGAAATCACACCACCGGCCCATGCTACTCCGTACATGACCGACGGAGTATCAATGGAATTTGGGGAGAAAATGGCCAACACATCGCCTTTCTTCCAGTTCCAGGTCGCCTTGATGCCGTGAGCAAAGGTGAGTGCGGTGTCCCGGAGCTGCGCGAATGTGTAAGATCTCTTTGTATCAGAATCGACGAGCATAACTATTACATTCATAGATTAGACTGAATGGTTCTCAAGAATGATTTGTGTTGTTAATCCCACCTTTGTCGTCTGGGAACGGCCGGTCTTTGCGCTCGAACATGAACGACCAGACATCGACGTTGGGGACATCGATGTCCGGGTAGGAGGACTTGGTAGGCATAGCGAATTGAGGGAGCGTATATATACAAAGTATACCGACCAGGGCGACGGCTTTATCCAAGTATGAATTTATATCCAGGAACAACCCAGGCGTCTTGTGATTTATAGCAGGGCGGTTCCTTGTCGGCCATGACGGCCCTGAATGCGACTAGCGCAGAGGGATGGACGCCCCACCCGAATCCTGGAGCAATCACCGCTATTCGCTGGGGTAACCAAGCCTTTGACAAGTGCACCGAAAGATAACGGCCCATTGGAAAAATGCCTCGGCTTCGGCTATATCACCACAACAGTATCGGTTCTAGGATATCTATTATACGTATTAGACCCATAACTCGCAATGCACCCAACATCCTAGATTCACTGGGTATATACTTCGGCCTCTTGTATATTGTTGAATATTCTTGTGCAATGCGCATACCTCATTTCCTTCCATATAGGCAACGATAATAATCGGTTCGTGTACCTGGTTTTGTCACTCCTCGGCTTAAACATATCAAGATAGAGACAATACCTACACCTGCCCTTCTCTACAGCCCTGCTGTATCCATTCTACAGGTAAATTATGAATCTAAATGCCTCCATAACGGCAAACAATAATACTGATTGTCGTACATAATTAGTTAGTAATACTAAGACGCACTAGAATGCAGCCGTACTGCCCATTGGCCAGACTATAGCTTTAATCCCCATAAAGACTAGTGCAGATGCACTTGATGCGTTTTGCTGAATTTGTGCGAAACCCCTCGTTTTCATCTCTTGTTCCCTGTTGGCTTCGACCATATTATTCAACTCACATACGCCGAATCTTTTTTTGATTCCTGCTGAAAGCATTACCTATTTTATCCGGGTCGAGAGACTCCAGTTGAACGTTCCAGTATATACATATGTGTGTAGGTATTGTGTATGATGTGAGCTGGAAGCAATCTATTGTGCTTCGCAGAATTTTGAGGCACTTAAGCAAGATGGGTGCGACTCCGCCAATCAAGTTAAGATATTGGATCAAGGAGAAGTCATTAATTCGTTTCATTGTATTTTATATACTTTTATTTTGGAATTTATTTTGTCCTTTCTGCTTATTTATTATTCGATCGCTCCCTTCTGTGGCTATTACTCGTCCCCTTTCCAAAGACATCATAGGGGTGGCATGCCACGCGACAGCTTGCATACAAGTTAGTACTTCCCTTTTCCTTCCGCCGCGAGGCATATGGTCTACATTGAAACGATACAGAGAAGATTAGCATGGACCCTGCACTAAGGATGACACGCTCAATCAAGGAGAAGCTAAGGTATTTTTTAATTCGCGGTTTCGAATCCACTTCCCCGCTTTTTTCCCCCTCCATGATATGATTGGCCTGCCTCTATTTTAATGATGGAAAATACTACAGTACATTGAACATAATTAGATTATGACCATGAGAAAAAAATATTATAGATACTAACATCTACCACAACATTTGAAGTGACCGACAGATCATCTCTTTGTACTGGTGTTCCGGTGATGTCATAACGTTTGAGCCGCTTCCGCAAAAATTGGTTTTCTTTTCTGCCGACATATGATCTGTAAATATATCAAGGCTAGAATACCAGAAAAATTATTCGACCTGTTTCAGCGCAAGTGAGACCTTCAGAGCAGGGTAGCTGCACTGATCTGCTCCTTCAATATTTCGATATCCCGTCACTGTGATTGTGAAATGTGGCATCAATCAGCACGGTCTGACATCAGGTCCCACACGTCTTCGTATCTTTAACAGAGGTCATTTCTATTCATAGTGGGGGAAAACCCCGATTTTCGTTGACCCCGGATTTTCGTTGTCCAGAGCCGTGCCAGCGAATGTCTCACCCCCCCTCAACCTAAACTTAGGATTTGAGCGATCTGACAGAACCCTAACCAAGTCGGACGCATCCGGCGAACCCATCGTTCCAGCGGTCAAGGCATGGTTGTCCACCAAGAAATGTTTCCAAGGATCCAACATAGACCGCGTGATGTGATATTTTGTCTTTTTTTGGGATGTGTTCCTACTGGTTGGCCATGCACTGCCTCAGGCCGTTCTTGTCTGTTGAGATGCATGTGGTCTGGCAATTTTTATATGAGAACGATTCCACCAACCAGCTCCCCATTCGGTATTCATGCTCCAATTAGTCCTTGTGCTCTTTTGATACTCGTATTTTTCTGCTTACATACGCAGCCAGTACTCCGATTTGATGAGTAGATGTTACGGTTCAATGGCCAAATCGAGCATCCTTTCTATCTGACATACAACGCCACTCAAAAAATAGTTGTCACTTCTCATGATTGGCTTTCTAAGCTGGATCGAGTCAAATACGAGCCAAAAACGTGGACAGATCTGCGAGAACTCTGTAGAAGGATCTGTTGATCTATTCTTGGAATCTACGAATGCAGGATTCCCGAGTCAGAAATATCTCAGCTGTTATCCACTCATCTGATTCATATCCTATCATATAATAATAGAAGTGTAGGAAACAATCATCTATTGGTACCGGCTCTGCAAAGTTACTTCTAGCCAACTGTATAGGAAGCAATGTCTCACCATCTCGTTAACTGCTGGTCCGTCATTGCTTACCCCAGTAATACGAGTTCCATGGATTGTGCGCCCGGGTGTGTACACATACGAAGTGTTTGTCTTAGGGCTTTTGGATCGAGTTGAGAAACTGACTGGGCGATAAGACTATGCTAATTGTCAGAAAGGTAGGCATGGGTAGATGATGCATGTCTCTGGAGCGGAGAAAAAAGCATATAAAGGCCGAATAACCCTTCGATATCCTGACTCTGAATATGTACGAATCATTGAAGAGTCAAAGAACAAGACTATTATATAAGATCTAATTACGTGAACCATCCGCTGAATATCAAATCATACCATCAGTCAAACGAAAACCACTCTTTACAAAATGAAGTCCTTCTCAGCCCTCACCCTTTTCCTCTCCACCTCGATCCTCACCTCTCTGGCCTCTGCTACCCCCATTGCAGCACCAGGAAACGGCGACGGGCAGCCCGCCCCTGTCTGCGGTACCTGCAATCCTATCTCTGGACAGAACTCCTGCGATCCCACGACCTCATGCATCAACACTGGCACAAATTTCCATTGTGCGTGTCGTGCAGGATACAAAGCTTCCAACGACAACGACAACTTCAACCAGCAATTCAGACTGCAAATGCCCAATTATGAATTCCTGGTTTTCACGCCCCAAAATGTTGTATGCGATACGCTGTGCGATAACCCATATGGTGGTGTTGGGACTTTGTGCACCGAGGTGCCGCTTTATACTGGAGACGGCTGTACCGCTTAGTTAATATTGCCTAAACAGTTTGGGTTTACGTTTTCGGTTTACATTTGTTTAATGTTGTTTCAGTCGAAGATTACTCCTTCCAGTGCTGGGGGCGATGCTTGACCGATTTCAGGTCAGATTACCATAAAACTCATTCGTTAATGAATGACTTGTTTCTACTTAATATCAATAAATTGATATGTTTAGCGTGAATAAACCAAATGTGTTTTCTCGATAAATTTACCACTAATGGCTACCTTATGCCGACATTTCACTCCGTAACGCAAAAAAATGATATCGCTCGATCCCTGTATGGTCAGCCAAACCCAATAAATAAAAAAACCATAAGTTCGAACAAAAGACAACGATCTCCTATTCTACAAATGCATATCATCGTCATCGTCGCCAACATCAATGAAAACAAGGCGGGTGCCATTGCCGGCGATTTGCCAAACCTAGGCCTAGTCAGGAATTGTGTCTGTTTTTTGTGGAAGTAAAAGGCAACTTACATTCATTTCCGCGTACTCCTCGATCGTCTGTGTTAGCTGATCTTCTGTGAAGCCCTTGGCCAACACCCGCTCGCGGACCTTGCGCAAGCTGAGTTGGCCGTCTTCTCCATCGCCAGCAGCAGCAGCACCACTTTCACGCATGCCGCGGATCAGGTTGTAAATCTTGCTTGTAGGGGTTTGGTCCGTTGCTGCGCTAGAGTCGTTGGACAGAGAGGCCTTGCTGACTTCAACAAGACGCAGGGCTTCGTCAACATCCTCTGGAACGACAACGTCGCTGAAGCGAAGACGGGCCAGGGCTTGTGACAAGCGTACAACACCCAAGAGTGTACGGGGTGTGACGTGCGAGAATTGTCGATTACTTGCTTCATCCCGTTTTTGTTGCTTACGCATGCCAACATATGCTCCCACCATATAATCAGAAACTTGCTTGGGAACCACAGGGCGGTAAGACCGAGCACGAGCAATATATTGGCGAACCTCGTTAGGGCTGAAAACGACCGAGTTCTCGCTGGTTTCTGGGTGCTTGTTGTGCATGTGCACATATGTCACATGATTGGCTAGCTCTTCATCAGCATCACGAGATGGTGTGTCAAGCATGAGGAACATGACATCGAAACGGGAGAGAAGGGCAGCTGGAAGATTAATGTTCTCGACGGGTGAAATTCGAGGGTTATAACGGCCATACAGAGGATTGGCTGCTGCCAGAATTGATGTTCTGGCATTCAATGTTGTGGTGATACCCGCCTTGGAAATAGAGATAGTCTGTTGCTCCATGACTTCATGGATTGCAGTTCTGTCTGAGTCGTCCATTTTGTCGAATTCATCGATACAGCAGATGCCGTTATCAGCGAGAACAAGAGCACCTCCTTCCAAAACCATTTCGTCCGTAACAGGGTCCCGCATGACGGCAGCAGTAAGACCTACGCCACTGCTACCTCGGCCAGTGGTGTAAATGCCCCGAGGAGCAACCTTGCAGATATATCTGAGTAATTGAGATTTGGCCACACCAGGGTCACCCATGAGACAAATGTTGATGTCACCACGGATATGCATGCCATCCGCCATATCCTTACTAACACCACCAATCAACAACAGCAACAAAGCCTTTTTCACATCAAGATGGCCGTAAATTTCAGGAGCAATAGACCGAGCAAGATATTCATACATATGCCCAGAGTTCCTGTACTGCTCAATTCTCCGCAGAGTCCGGGAATCCATAATCATGGTATCGTAGGCCTTTTTGTGTTGAGTGATATACTGAGCCTCCAAGTAAGTGTCGGTAAGCAGACCGGCGCGAATTGCCCGGAACCCAGTATACGGAGTTGGGAGGAAAACACCCGCAATATCGACAACATCTCCAGGGTTCAGTTGTCTTGTTAGAGTGCCATTGCAGTGTACGGTAAGAGAGCGAGGGATATGGCCGACGGGTACCTGATCTGCCATTTCCTGGATTTTGACCTCCTGGAACGGAATAAATTTCGAGGCCCGAGTCGACAGGAAGAGCTGTCCTTTCGAGTTATTGGCAACACATTCATCAGAGGGGCATTCTGTCATAGGCAAAAATGACTTTGAAGTAATAGGTTGGAAAACCTCGCTTCCGCATCGGTCGCACGTATATGCATTGATTTTGACAGCTGGCTTGACATCGGAGACTCGTGTTACGATACCCCTAACAGTAATAAGCATACCAAGGTGCTCTCCTCGCACATGGCGCACTGCTAGAGCCTTTGAGCTTTTCTCACTGCTGGACCCAGACGGTGTCAACGGCTTGAAGTTCAAAGTGTAGCGCCGAGTCAATTCGGGTGGAAACATTGATTGCGGTGGCCCACTGTCCATCTCTGCCTCCGTGGCCATTTGAACCGTCTCGTTGCGCTTGTCACGTTGTGACATGATAATGTCAAGCACGTCATCTTTGAAGCTATAACAACGTTAGACAAAGCATTGCCACTATTTCTGTGAAGTACTCACGAAATCTCTTTTGTCTCCTTTGGCATTATTGCATCCACAGCATTCGAGAAAACGTCGATGTAACGCTTTGTGTTTCCTTGAATCGATTCCACCAGTTTCAGGTCCGAGTCGTCAGGGAGGGCTTTTTCGAACTACGGCAGTAAAAAGTCAGAAAGAATCAAACTAGTCACGCAAATCAGCCCAACTTACTGTTTGAAGATCGTCTAGTTCAATTAGAATGCTGTTGCTGTCCCTATTTGCAATGTCCTGAAGAGTTTGCATATATTTGTTTTTGGGATCGCGGCGTCGGCGAGCTGTCTGACCTCGCCCCTCTTCGGCATCATCCATGAAATCGTATTCGTCTTCGGTACGGTCGCCATCAATGCGCAGATCTTCAATTGCCTCTGTTGCCGCTGCATCAGATGCCGAATCAAAGCTCTTGAAGTGCTTGAGAAAGTCCTTGAACGCCTCCTGCTGCGCGGCGTAGTCAACTGGCGCAGGATACTGAAGGAGAGTCATCTTGGGCGCCGACGGTAGGGGAATCAGACGCAGATGTGGAAACCCAAGTACTGTGTATGTAGGATCGAGCGCACGCAAATTTATATGGCCTGCATAGAGGACGGACAATACGAAGCCCAATAGTTATTATTAGGCGAGAAAATGGAGGTTGGTAGATGCCGCTCTGAATGGCGCTAAGCAGCAACACGCGCCGACCGCGTCGCAGCGCGTTGAGGCATTCTCAGGCCACTTCGGGACTAGCTCATATGGCACGTGCGGCGGAGCGGACTAACCCTCGGTCCGGCATGGGCCGCGGAGGAGCTGGACGCGGACAAATTGCCGGGGAAGCAATCGTATGGCAGGCGCGGAGTAGAAGGAAGCTCACTCTTGAACATACCGTCCCTCATTTCAGCGCATTTGTGCAGAACGCAGCTCATGGTCAGCGTGGATGCAAGAGCTGTTTGTATTCTTGCGCCATGGCTCCTAGCAAGAAATCTTCCACCACTGCCGAAGTCGTCTTGGTGCCTCTGAAGACATGTCTCGTCAATCTACCGACTTCGGTTGTCTCTCTGCTAGTCAATGCGAACGCAGTACGTACAAATCTTCAATAATTAATAATACCGGCTAACGCCTGTTTCAGGCTGCACAGAATGTCATTGTGGAATTACAGTACCGCTCGTCAAGCTCTCAAACCTCGGCTTCACGGTCATCATATTTGGGATGGACAGGAATGCCCAGTAAGCGCAAAGTGGCGCCTATGGTGAGCAGAGATGGAATAAGCGCTGGCTCTTCTGCCAGAGAGCAAGAAGTAGCAGTCGTTGAAATCGATTCGACATTTGGCAGGGTTTTGGGATTGAACGAGGGGCAGAAGGTTTGTGGGAAGCTTACCTCGGCGCAAAATGACGATGTATTGATGTCTTTAGGTTGGATTGTTTCTTCATCTCGACCCTCCAGTTGCGCATACAATTAATATTGAGCCATCGACACCCGCAGATTGGGAGAGTATGTACAATCGTCGGGGAAAATAGGGCTGTGCTAACGCTTTATAGTCATTGAACTACATGCATCGTTCCTTGAGTTGAATTTGCTACATCAGATTCGTGCTTTACCGAATCCGAACTACACAGGGGCTTCCTCGACCCCGGCAGACCACTTACACCCACTCACATTGCATCTGTCCCCTACTTCTACAGCCAATATTATTGTCACTGCTCTTTCTCCTACTCCACCTGCGACCTCTCCTTTTGCCAAGATTGCGCCTGATGCCGAAGTCATAGTAGCACCAAAGGTCCGCCCAAAATCTGGCAAAGCAAACAGAGGTGAAAATCGAAGCACGACAAGCAATGGACGCAAAAGCGTAGGGGCGAGAAGCACGAGTAGCACAGTGAGGCCAAAGAGTAGGGAAGCTGAACCTGATCAACCGGCAGTATACCTTAGGGGCGTCGATAGACAGTATGCCGAAGAATGGTTTGACGGAAACACTGAAAGTCATGCCAATAGTGGGTTTAAGATCTGGGTAGATCGAAACCTTCTTGCAACAAACAAACTTCGTGGGCATGAGTGGGTAGTCGTTTCAATTGTCCAACCGGCTGGGTTACAAGCTCCGTTGGATCCCCAACAACAGCTGCATCAAAAGGAACAAGAGTCAGCCGAAGTTGGGCGGCCATCAGCCAAGCTTGTGGCAAAAGTCCTTCCTTGGGATGACGCCCCGGACAGTCGCCACATTGCTTTGTCGTCGATGCTATGCACAGCACTTAGTTCACCGGGAATTGTAGGAGGTGTTGTGAAGGTCGAAGCTGCGCCGTCTCAGCTCGCCCGATCTGCGGTCAAGTCGATTAAAATTTATCCATTTGCTTCGGACTTGACTAAGAAGAAAGATGGCTTGAAATTTGGCGGAGACACTGCTGCATCCCGAAGCGCTTTGGCAGAGAGAATCAAGATCACTTATGGTAGCCCTGGAGCGGAATCTGGGTTTATGTCTGGTCCTCTTACCGATGGAATGGTCCTTCCAGCAGCCGACAGTCAGTTTCCCGCCGCCGTTTTCGACGGTGCTATTGTACGATTTGACCCCCCAATCAAAAGTTCTGAATCTACAACGTCTCTTGGATGGATATTAGGATCAGAGAGCAAGCTCAGCATTGATGTTCAAGCTGAGGTACCCAGACCAGTTGATATAACACTTTCTGGCTTTCCCACGGACGAGCAGATACCTTCCTCACGCCCAGAGATGGTTGGAATCGATTCACTCATTAACAAGAGCTTGACAAATTTGTCACGCGCGTCGTCAATACTTCTGACTGGCGGCCTTGGGTCCGGAAAGACAACACTATGCCATTTACTAGCTCACAGACTACGGGAAGAGTATCTATTCAACGTGACTTATTTCTCCTGTCGGAAACTGGTAACGGATGAAACACGTGTTTCAACCATTAAGGAGACGCTTAGTCGATTGTTCATGTCGGCATCCTGGTGCACACGCCTTGGTGGTCGAGCTCTTGTGATTTTGGACGATATTGACAAAATCTGTCCTGTAGAAACGGAGCTACAGGTTGGCGGGGAGAACGGCCGAAGTCGTCAAGTCAGTGAGCTAATTTGTTCCATCGTGCGCGAGCACTGTACAATGACTTCTTCTGTGATATTACTCGCTACAGCTCAGTCAAAGGAATCTTTGAACAACGTGGTTGTTGGTGGCCATGTTGTGCGCGAAATCACTAGCCTGAAGGCTCCCGACAAGGAAGGCCGGCGAAAAGTGTTGGAGAAACTTACAAGTCAAGACAAGGACCTGAAAATGCTTAATGGCCACTCCCGAAATGAGAGTGGTCCGACTCAAGAATCATGGCTAGACCCCTCAAACCCTGGCAGCCGCCCCAGTTCTTCAGGTGCAGACGGTTTTATCCTGTCAAGGGACTTAGATTTCTTGGACTTGGCTGGCAAAACAGATGGATATATGCCTGGAGATCTTGTTCTTTTAGTTTCTCGGGCGAGAAATGAGGCTTTAATTCGATCTGTACACGATTCCAGTACAGAATCCACAAAAATAACTTTAATGACCGATGATTTCGACCGTGCTTTGAAGGGTTTTACACCAGCTTCGCTTCGAAACGTTACGTTGACATCATCTTCCACAACATTCTCTTCAATTGGTGGACTTCACAGTACTCGACAGACATTAATGGAGACCCTTCAGTATCCCACGAAATATGCTCCCATTTTCTCCCAGTGTCCTCTCCGACTACGGTCCGGGTTGTTGTTGTACGGATTCCCTGGTTGTGGTAAGACACTACTCGCTAGCGCAGTAGCTGGCGAATGTGGGTTGAACTTTATCAGTGTTAAAGGCCCTGAGATTCTCAACAAGTACATTGGAGCAAGCGAAAAAAGTGTTCGTGACCTTTTTGAGCGTGCCGAAGCTGCTAGGCCGTGTATTCTGTTCTTCGATGAATTCGACAGTATCGCCCCTAAGCGTGGTCATGATTCGACTGGTGTCACTGATCGTGTGGTCAACCAGCTGCTCACTCAGATGGACGGCGCCGAGGGTCTTTCTGGGGTATATGTGTTGGCAGCTACTTCGAGACCAGATCTCATCGACCCAGCCCTGCTTCGTCCTGGTCGTCTGGACAAGAGCTTGCTTTGTGACATGCCATCCCACGATGACCGCATTGATATTATTCAAGCAGTCAGTAAGAAACTGAAGTTAAGTGCAGAAGTTGAGTCTCGTGTAGGCGAAATCGCATCTCGAACAGGAGGTTATTCTGGAGCAGATATCCAAGCAGTTGTATATAATGCTCATCTTGAAGCCATTCATGACCTCTTGGGTGACCGCGCCTCAACGACTGCAGCATCGGCGACCAAAAAATCCAGCGGGGCACAGGCAATAAATGGTTCAGACACAGCCAACAACAAATCTTTCATTCAATTCCTTTACTCTAATGAACAAGGAGATGATAGCTCTACCGTTCGCACGAAACTTCCGCCACCGGCCGTCGTGGCCGCAAAGCTGGAAGCTCTCAAGCAAGCCCGTCGGCGTCAACGCCAACTCGAGCATGGAACTCAACAGGATAGCGAAGCCCATCAGCAGCAACAACAACAACCAAATGGCACATCAGCAGAAGACACTGGCGACGAAGTTATCATTGGATGGCAACATATCGAGCGATCGTTGGCAACGACTCGCAGTTCGCTTAGTGACCGAGAGCGTCGTCGGTTAGAAGCTATCTACAGAGAATTTGTAGTGGGGCGAAACGGCGAGATGCCTGATGGTGAGGGAGCGAGAGAGATTGGCGGAAGGACTAGTCTGATGTGAAGAACTGCTGAAGTATTTATTTATGCATATATATCTTCATGTCCGAAACATAGTGGACATGTAAGCGATTGTATATACCCCTAACTTCTGTATTGACCTGGTTGGGCAGTTCATCTATGTAAATTAATGCATATCAATTGATGTATCAAAATTAACGGTTAGCTACAATCATTCAAAATGTCGACAGACTAATAGCATTCTCAACCATGTATCCGCCTTCAAGAATAGCAAGCATCCGTGGCTCCGTCCCTAGTTAATCCAACAGCAACCAGAAGCTGATTGGGAGATGCGTATATGCAAGGTTGCTAATAATGACTACAATAAAGTAACTACATAAGGTGATTCGGTGATTACTCATCTCTGCACTGGGCCCATTGTGGCCGTTTACTTGATTGAGCATATCATTAGTAGACCTTTTTGGAGGCGGTAAAGTTGTGAAAATGGCCTATAAGAAGCGACAAGATGACTCTATTAAGAATTATGAGAAATCTAATTAAAAATGAATGTCGAAGAATAATGTGGCAGGAGGGTGATGCTTCAGTTATGCATCCTTAATTTCAAAAGCTACAGTCTGTACATGTGCTGGTCTGGTCCTTCCAAGGCTGGACTTCGTTATTATTTTGCGATTTACTAGTTTCTGCTACCTAGATATATTTCAAATGTCTTTATTCTAAGAAAAACACGTTAATTTTTAATGGGCTTGTTATTGGAGACAGCTCAACTCTTAAGAGTCAACTGATTAATGCTGCTATGCAAAGCCATAACTAGTACTGACTATAATCGTAGCCAAGCTCATTCTGCCAGCTTGTTACCGTAAGTATACGAGAATTGTCTCCGAAAACGAAAGGGATTGCAAAGAAACAATTTTTTGTTACGTGTAACTAGAGTTGGGTCAATAGTGCTGGTAGACATGGTCATATCAATGGAAGGCACAGATTTATCAATATTTACAGCAAGCCTTTACTAAATAACTACTAATTACAAATATACATTACTTTTTCCTGCCACAGATCGACCAGTTACAGCGAGCTAATCCTGCGCATAAGCCATGATAGAAGGTTCTGTCCCAGTCCAGCTTCCATACGTAAGTAAATTAATTAAGGCCAGTAACAGTAAGCCCTCTGTCCCCAAAAGGTCCTCCAGGTCCAACCCGTCGGCTAAAAATGTCGAACAGACCTTATCCAAGTCCAGCCTCGAGATGTCTCCCGGCCCATCGTGCGTGATAGCGTCAATAGCTAGAGCCCACGATAACGGATTGTATAACATCCCTTCATGGGTGTAGAACGAGCCGCCAATTTTGTTCGCGCAGACTTGCTGGACCCATGCATTTGTGACGCCAACATTGCGCTCGTCCCACATGTATGCCGATGACGAGTTGGTACCGCTCATTGGCTCGACGATTTCGTCGAAGCTCGAATATAGTGTTGTTGTGGGGACGTATGCCGAGTTACCACCATTGGACCGCAGTGTTGCAGAGAACTTGGATGTATATTCTTGCTGTGTCACAGAAGGGGTGCAGGTCAGAAAGGGAAATCCGGGGCAAACAAAATAAGCCAACACGGTGCCATGAAAATCCGGGCTGATGGCGACAAAATCACTCAGACTGGAGCGGGTTGAGGGCCAGTATTTCAAAGCCCATTGTGTATCGAGTCCTCCCTGAGACCAAGATATGGCGGCAACTTTAGTCGAAGAAGGGCTGATGCCGGATATGTAGTTGATGGCATACGCAACGTATTCGGCGTTCACCTGCGCATCACCCAGGGATGCGCCGGGGATGTTGATCCAGACGGGATCGAGGTTCGCGTAGTCTCCCAGTTTGCTAAAGCTGAAATGATACGTGACGCCGGCGGGGATGAATGTCCCAGGGACGAGGATGACTGGGATCTTACCACCGACGCCGTATGAGAAGGATTCCGGGATATAAATTGCAGACCGGAGGGTGTTCTCATCGAGTGTGTAGGGGGCGTCTCCTGGTGATTTTGACGGATAGATTGATGTTTCTGGGTCTTTGGGGTTGTCATTGTCGACTGAGTTGAGAGACGAGTTTAGGAAAGTACCCAACAAGTCTAATACTTGGCCGATGAGTCCCTGCGATAGCAACTCTTCGACTGCGACAGTTAGGTCTGCGGGGGACCGACTGAAGATGTTGGAGATAGTAGCTGCAGCTGCATCGACGGAGCTAGAGTTGGCAGTGGTGGTGGATGATTGTGGATGATTGTGGATGATTGGTCAATGACCGGACCTTGGTGCCGATTGACGTTGCTTGCAAAGAGAGATAGGGATTTAGACTGGCCAGGTCATCTGTTACCGAAGATAAAAGGCCTGCAATATCTGATATATCGTTGTCATTATTAACATCATTTCTATTCAAAACAATACTGCTTTTCCGTGGCAGAGCCAAAGGGTTCGCCGCGATTGAAGCAGCCAAACTTGCGCCTATGCAGACAGATGCTATGTTTCGCATGGTTTTTGCAGATTAGATGGTCTTGAGAGCTCTGTGAGAGGGGGAAGAAGAGACAAAAAATAAAAAACCCATGGGTGGCTACAAAAGTTGGTGACCATGGTAGGCGCTATATTGTTTCTTGAATTACAAGCCGTCCAGGACACTCAAACAACATGCGCGGCTGTCATCTACCTCGGTTGCGATCTTGTGAGTCTGAACTGCGGGGGAATGGTTGTTAGTTTACTCAATAGTTCCTTTTCGATCAAACTTAGACTGGGTGTTTTCCTAATAAAGATACTTTGAAGTAAATTTTACAGAGTGCTTAGATGAGAGGAGGCGAAGATTTAGACCATCAAAAGATACTGGCATATTTTAAATTCGTCAAACAATCTTTGGACAAATCAAGTGTTATTGATTAATCAAGGATTCAAATATTCAAATACCAACAGGAAAATAGATTGAGATCGGACACGAGCTGTGCGGAGTAGACAATCAGCCAATTAGAACTGATATAATGGGCCGAAAACAACCGAAATCCCAGGCAAAAATGGGGAATGTGGAGAATGCGGGGGAGTTTGGAAGAACATCATCAGATAAACCATCAGATAAACCATCAGAAAATGTTGATATATGTTCAGATATCGATCAATAGTGCTTCCAAATTCCTCGCGATCCGACTTCTCCAACATGCCCATCGGGGTCTGCAAAATAAATACTTTTCCCTCCGAGATCCCAGTCGATGCGGCCTGTGACGGGGACGCCAAGTTTCTGGAGATGCGCATCCCACTGTGTCACGTCGGCAGGACTACCAACGGCGAAGCAGAAATGCTGTTTAAGATGAGTCCTATCGCCCGGGTTGTCGGATAGCAGCGATGAGATGATCGACTCGCTGGGACCGTGACCTGGGATGGTTCCGCCCTTGGGAGCGACAAAACCCTTGGAAGTCACTCCGAGTTGGAAGAGCAAGAGCGTCGTAGAGCCGAGACTGAAGCCAGCCATTCGAGGCTGAGACATAATATCAATGCTGATGATACAAGTAAACTGATATTAGGATGAGGAAGACGCACTGACTGCATAAAAGGGGCCGAGTTGAGGACGGATTTGTAGAAATCAACTGATGCGCCGACATCGCGCACGTAAAGACATGTTTCAAGGATGTGAGAGATGGGGGGAGGTTGAGCTGCCATATTCAATGCTGGTGATGCTGTACTTCAACTTCGATGTGGATGATCGTGGTTGTACTACCATCTATTTCCAAGTTGCGATTATACCATCGCACTATATAGCAGGTAGAGTACAGTAATCATGCCTTGTTTGATATTACGAAATAAAGACTCTTCGAGACCGAATCGTTTGTCAGTTTCGCACCTGGATTTGTCATGGAGGACGTCTAGACATAGACGCTCGTATCCGTAAGGTGGTTCATGTGGATGACGTAATGTGGTACCATGCATACTTATATCAATAACTTCATTTGTATATAGAAGCCTGTTTGAGACACTTAATAGACTCATCTTTCTGTCTCGAATTCGCTTGACTAACCTGTTTTTTGTATTGATGTATTGTCGATCCACGTTAAATTGGGGGGCAAAAGAACATGTTACACTACGAAGGATATAATATTGATGATGATGGTATGATTTTGATGACACTGATGGCGTCTTATTTATTTGTATATAGAGTTTTGTTTCTTTTACTCTTGATTTGTCTATATGGTCATAAAATTTACGTCAGTAGCATGTTGGAACGCTGCTTTGCAACATTACCTTTTGTTGTTATACTCGTGCACCTATATCATTTTTGATGATTTTTTCAGAAGCATCACCACCAGGCAGAAGACTAAGCATCTAAAGACCTTCTTCTACTGACCTCCAGCAAGCTGAGGAACGAAGCCGGCATAGTAATCCAGCTTACCCAACGACACACCCTCCTTTCGTAGAATGCCATACGCGGTCGAAAGATGAAAGTAGATATTCGGCAAGGCTATGAGATGAGCATACGTAGCAGCGTTCATCTCAGCCGTCTTATCAGGGCCAAGCTTCGTCGGGCCAAGAATATCGGCTTGCTGATTGACGGTGTCCTTGTCAGCCTCATCGAGCGCTTTGAGTACCGTGTCAATGCGCTCGTAGAATTGAGCGAATGAAGTAGGAGAGCCTGGAAAAGTCACTGGCTCCCGACCGGTCACGCGCGCGACCAGATTCTCGGAGAATTGCGTCGCTAGGCGCACTTGGTCGGTCAATGGGTACATGTCCTCGTACAATCGGGCCTGGAGCAGAGTGCTAGAATTGGGCTGTAGCTCGGCTTGGTGGAGGATGTGGGAGAGGGAGTTGAGGATAGCTCGGACCACGACGATGGTGCCGTCGTAGAAAGTGTGTCCCATTGTTGCAGCGAGACGTTTTGATGACTGAGGTTTGAAGGGCAGCCAGGCTTGAGATTTGGATTTGGATTCAATGTTTACAGTTTACAACAGCGCGGACACGTTCCGAATCATTGTCAGGGGTTCCTGATAACACGGAGTTAGTCCGGGGTGTAGAAACACGTGATGCCAAGACTATTGTTGACGGGAGATATAATGCATTGTTTCTTCATGGGTAGTACAATGCATGTCAAAAATAAGCAGAGGACATTCTTGGATATGGATATATGCGGTAAGGGATCTTGGCATTGGGTTTTAGATATAGTACGTGGATAATCCATCATTGGTGTTGCAAGGTTCATTTCTCTTGATATTGTTAGGGATTGAAAATGATGCGACGTTGCGCGATTGCCCGGTCAATGAGACTGAACGAGTAACCTGCCATTGTTGCTTGCAATTGATGCAAGCAACAATATGGATGGCGTATCCCAATCTGCAGCTCAGGTCAGTTCAGCCCAACTCAACTCAACCAAACTGCGGGCATTGCATCCACTGACTCAACCAACATCGCCATGCTACTACGTACATCGATAATTTATACTCGGAAGCTAGAAGCGTCAGCATCCCAAACGGCCCCCTCAGGGCTCGTCCTTGTCATTCACGGATGATGGCCCGGGAGAGCTAGATCAGGTTGTGGGGAGATTGAGAATGGAGACGAAGCCCATGCCATGTTTCACAGTTTCAGCTTGCACGGCGTTCAAGACCACAAGGTTTCATCGTGCGGACTATACCTGTATCTGTTTGTGATGGCGTATCAGCTGTGTACGACATAGCCTGTGCCACAGTCTCCAATCAAGACGACACGCCCACCACATAAGCGGTGGGTTGCGAGATGCGTTACTTCTTAAGCGCTGGGCAATCCCGGGCATGGATGATGTCACGTCCCATTAAAGATCATCTCATCGCATCGACCGGTGGCCACATGTTGTATTCTAGGCTACGACGTGTCTGGAGTAGTATACGGGGTTGTTGTCTAGTCAGACAGTCAAGGACGCTTCTAGAAGCTGGGGAGGCGAACGGATGGGGATGCGACGTATGGTGGGTGTTTGTTATATTAGCGACAGTCAAGAGTCAGCAAGAGAAGCTGCTATATAGTAATAATAACAGCATATACATGTCTACACTAATTATATGGTAGAATAATACTTGGAAGTTGGTACTATAAATACAATATAGAAAAAGACAGCTGATTGGCCAGCCGGCGCCAATCGATAAGGCCAGCAAAAAGAAGCTTCGCGGTCGGCGCAGGCTGTGATTGGCTGAGATACTGCAGCGGGCCGACGGCCACCGGTGCAACAGTAACATGCTGGGTCCACTGCACTGGCCAATTAGAGGCGGCTAGTCGCGTGCCATGCAGACCTGTGCAGACCCGTACAGACCCGTAGCAGATGCGACTGCCACTCACTCCCAAGTAACGAACTTAATTACTACTGCTACTGCTACGTGTTGACTGGATTATGGCTATGCATTCGCGGAGCTGGGCGGCAGTCCGGTTGCACTGAGATATAAATAAAAATAACAATAAAAATAAAAAATACAAAACAAGAATGAAAAGGACAATGAAAAGTGTAATGTGCAGCCTCGCATTCCTCACCCTGGTGACAAATGCCGGACTCCAAGAAATCGCCCCTTGCATGGCACGCCGATTCATACTCGAATGTGCAGGGTACTGCTCTACTAGTAATAATATTGCCTTTACTATGATGGTATTATTAGCCGTCGACGGAAGACCTCCCCCGAACAAGGATGTAACTCTGTCCTCGTCCCGACTAGTCCAGGTGTACTATTGATATTTGATAATCGAATCGTAATACATGGCAGATTTAAGCTCAGATGTAACTTTGTCTCAGGAGGGAAGGTTGAGGCTGAAGGACACGTCAGCTATGTAGATGGAAGGTACCACGTATCAGCATTCCTGCCTACTGTCTACTACCTGCCCATTGTATGGTGTAATGAATACTCTACGGCGATACCGGGTAATCAAATTTATGGAACAAATATACTACTAATAAACAACAGCCCAGCAACACCTGGAAAGCTCAAAGCCTTAAGATAAACACATGAATATTATTAAATTTGAAAAAAAAAAATAGTGGAGCTTGTTTCAGCCTGGAATGCGACGTTGTATGCCGGAAGCGTCAGGCCTCCGCACCACATGGCGATCTCGCTGCCTGAGGCTGATGTTCACCGTCTCTCGGCCATATCATAACACATATGGCAATATTGACAATGCATACATATAGATTTCGCCATTTACGTATATATGATAATATATAATGCATAATATAATCAACTAACACGATAATATAAGATATAATATAATACGATATAATAATGCTACCATGGCGTAACGAGTGTCACCGTGTTACGCTGGCCATCGGCCAATCGGCGGGGCTGGCAGCCCAGCCAACCATAGCCCGTAATCTCGACGGTCTAACCGCATTCCGACTGGGCGCACATACAAGAATCTTACTCTCGACTACCACTGCGACTTTACTGCGACATGATCCTCCATACAGATCCCAGCTTCCTCTCGTCCAGACTGGAGACTCCAGACTCCAGACTCCAGGCTCTAGCACCGCATGGCGAACGGGATCTCCAAACAGTGGCAGAGGTGCATGCATCGGCAGCAGCAGTGGCAGTGAACAGCCCAGGCTCGTGCTTCTGCAACGCTCCCATCCATACAGATGATGTAGTAGCTTTGCCGCGGCCCTTGCTTCGCTGCGTCGCCATTAGATAAGACAAAATCCAGGCTGTGATAAATGATAATGCCATTAACGTACTGCTCGCGTTTCTGTAAACAATAATACGGGGACAAAAGTATATGCGCACGCCATTTGCCGAATGCAGCGGCCTCCATTCTCCATTCTGACTCCACTGCGATCTGCTCCCGCCGGTGCTACCTCAGCCCGTCATACAGCCCAGCTCCAAATACTACTGTACTGTACGGTCTCTGCGCATGACCCGTTGGTCGTAATGGTCCTCATTTTATCTGCCTTATCGCTGCTTCAATCAGATCTCCTTTTCTCCCACCGATCCCACATTTCAGCCCCCTCTGATGCTGTATACTCCCACCAGCGAGACTGGCTGCTGTTGGTACCTCGTCAACAACATCCACAGCAGCAACGGGCCTAATTGCTCAATGCGGTGATCGAAATTATTGTTATTGTTCCTCTTATTATTCAGCCTGCCCGCCCCTGTTGAGTCTCACATTCCAGACGTCGTTTAGCCAGAACAGGAATCCAGGGCCTCCCGCCCCGACCTCTCGTCCTCGTCCTCCTCCCTACGCATCTGCTTGCCATCCTGACCTCTGGCTGCCCACAACACGCCACGCCGAGAGGGAAAGGTGCTGGCCACTTCCCACCCCCCGACAATTTCACTCTCGTTTATCGTCGACCCTGTCCTTCCCCGTCATCATGGCGGCGCCACTCGTTAAGGTCCTGCATCGCATGCAGGAGCTCTTCCACAACCTCGTCGCCGCCTTGGAGGCCGCCCTCTTCGGCGACAACTCGGCTCGCCGCCAGCGCAGGGTATATCGCACCGACCGCACGCCGCGTCGCTCGCTCGATGACCTGATTCAGGAGGTCGATCGTCTGTTCAATGCCCCGCTTGGCCTGCAAAACATGCTCGCCATGTCCGCCCGGATCCAGGAGCAGCTCAAAGCCTGTCTGGAGTCCAACCCAGCCTGCATGCTCCCCTCGTACAGCTACGCCTTGCCTACGGGCAAGGAGACCGGCACCTTCCTCGCCTTGGACGTGGGCGGTTCCAATTTCCGTGTCGCACTGATCGAACTCGCCGGCCGGGAACAGGGAATGAAGATTGTGAATGCGACATCCACCGCGATCGATGAGCAGGTCAAGGCATTGCAAGGAACTGACTTTTTCGACTGGATGGCCGAGCGTATTGACACGATTCTGGCGGGCGTTGGTGAGAAATACGGCCGTGAGGAAAATCCTCTGTCGATTGGCTTGTCATGGTCTTTCCCCGTCGAACAAACCTCGGTCAACAGTGGCAATCTACAGAATATGGGTAAAGGGTTTCGCTGCGCCGACGGAATTGTCGGCCAAGATTTGGGCGGATTGATTGTGGCGGCGTGCCGGAAGCGCGCGCTGAATGTTCGTTTGGACGCTATTGTGAACGACAGCTCGGCTACGCTATTGACTCGTGCCTACGTTGATCCCAAGACTCGCATGTCGCTTATTCTTGGAACCGGTACTAACGCTGCAGTGCACTTTCCTGTCCACGAAATTGGCCTAACCAAGTTCGGTGCGCGACCGCCGAGCTGGTTTGAACGCGCGAAGCATGTTATCGTGAATACCGAACTGAGCATGTTCGGCGGCAAGGTGCTGCCGATGACGCGCTGGGACGATGTCCTGAACCGTACACATCTGCGTCCGGATTTCCAGCCTCTGGAATACATGATTACGGGTCGTTATTTAGGTGAAATCGTGCGTTTGATTATTGTTGAAGCCGTGGAAACCGCCGGATTATTCGGCGGAGAACTGCCGCATTCGATGAAAGACCCTTATACCCTCGACACGTCGATTGCCGCCTTCATTGAAGGTGACACTTCGCCGTCTCTCGCCCCGTCTGCTGCGCTCCTGCAAAAGAACCACACTTTCCCTGTGACCCCAACTGTTGAAGATCTCACCTTTATCCGCCTCGTCTGCAAGTGCGTGTCGAAGCGATCCGCTGGATACCTGTCCACAGCAATCCACAGCATGTGGTGCCTGCGCAATGAGGCGGAATTTTCAACTGCGTCGACCACCGAATCTGTCAAGAAAATCGAGCCTCAGGAGGTGACTGTGACGGAGATAGAAGAGCCAACCAAAAATCTGAGCATTGCCTGCGACGGCAGCGTGATCAACAAATACCCTGGTTTCCGTGACCAATGCCAAACCTACCTCAACATGCTCACGCGCGAGTCTGAGCCGGTGTCGAGCGAGGACGACGCAGCATCTATCACGTTGGAACTTGCCAATGAGAGCGCCATCTTTGGCGCAGCTGTGGCAGTTGCCATCTCAGTTGCTGAGCGAGAGCCAATCTCACTTTGATTTACATGACATAGCTTAAAGCTTGAAGCATACAGCTTACAGCTTACAGCTTACAGCCTACCGCGTGTCGGAGTTCTATCATATATACTAGATGGAACTACTTTCTGGATATCTCTTACCTCTTTAAGAGATTCGCATGTTTACCTTCTTGTCACTCTGCATAGGGCGGTGTTTCGGTATGGTGGTTTTCAAGGCGTTCAGGCATACAGTTTTGCATACTGGGCCTTATTTGTAATGCGACCTTTCATGCACATATATTCCCCTTAGTCTTGCTCTTTTTCAGGTATGCCCGTCTAATGGATGACCAGCGGGTGGAATAGCATAGTTACATAGACGGGGTTGTTGATAACCCTGACAATGAATATGTCCTCTACACGCGCCCATACTCGTAATTTCGTAGGTCTGATTAATCTCTACACAAATCCTGCAGAAACTCCACCATCCGTTTCTTCATCACTGCCAACTCGTCCCGCGAAACCGGCGACCCGTCTTTCCGTCCATCCGATTCTTTAGATGTGGTAGCGCTACCAGTCGTAGTGAGTACAAGGCTCTCCTTGATACTGAAAAACGGCACGCCGAGTCTCCGCAGCTCGGATTCCATAGACCGCGCCATGTCAACGCATGCTCTGTGCACTTTGGCATCGTAGTACCTGAGTTCGATAGCGTTTTCCTCGTCGGTCTATAAACGTTAGCTTCAGCCTTCCATCAAGTTTGCTCCTATAGTCAGACACACTGATATTTTATCACCCGTCCTACCACCACTAGTACCCACCGCGCCGACAGATTTCCTATTGGATTTTATCAGATATATTCCTTGAATGTGAAATGCTAAAATGGAATGGTAAGATGGTAGGAAGGATGTCGAACAATACTTCTTCCAACTGCCGCTGCTTCTCGCCGCGTCCCTGCTGCTTGGCGACCAGCGCCTCGCGGCCCGCCCACCACTGCTTTTCGTGGGAGTGCTGGGATTTTATCAAGTGACGGATTTGCAAGGATACGTTGTCGTGGTAAGAGACGAGGCGGGTGACGTGTTTGAGGGCTGCGGGCCAGGTTGTTATGCTTGAGGGGTCGGTGAGGGTGGGTTTGTGCTGGGGGGACGTTGTGGTTGATGTTGATGATGGGGGTTTTGAGGAGGGTGAGGTTGAGGATGTGCAGGAGTCGAAAATGCAGAGAGAGTCTGCAGAACTGCAGAGAGCTCTGGATTATCGGTGTTGTGCGGATTGCTGGATGTCATTTTGGTTCGTCATTGTACGGTTGGTGGGTGGTATTAATATTCCATAGAGCTGTGACTAGCCAGAGGACATCTAGCTTGTCTGAAGAATTATTATTCCGTGTCAATTCATGATATCATCCGATTATTCCCACCCATTGACATGGTAACTAGGGATTAAGTTAGGTGTTTGATAGTGATGCTGTAGTAAGCAGCCAGCAAGTGGAGCCGCCGGAAGGGAAGAGCTGCCAGCCGCGCGAGTCAGACAATCTTCTAAAAATTTAAACCCCGACGACGTCGACAATCAACCACGCAGAGCCACTACGTCTACCAATTGACAAGCACCACCGGCGACTCAACAAATTACTTGGACTCATTTCTCGTCTACTCGCCCGGCCATAGTTCAATGCGTTTGATTCTGGCGTAAGAATCCAGGGTTCCGCCCGATCCGTACAAACAAAACGAAAAGGACAACCGACAAGCAGAGCAGAGGTATCGAAATGTCTCGCTCGGCCGCCGACGCGACTCGTTTCACAGCCACAGGGCCCTACGTCGGCCCTCAAGCACCGTACAAAATGCCCGATCTCAAATCGAAAACAAACAAGCAGAAACCGCAACCGACGCCGACATCTACGTCCTCGTCATCGTCAATCGGTGGTGCTGGAGGCGCTGGAGGCGGGAATGGGGAATCCGTACAAGGCGAAACACCGCGCCAGAAAGTCGAGCGACTGCGTGCACAGGCTCGCGCAGCCAGGTTGAATCAGAACACGAGTCCGGTGGACAGGCTCATTGAGCGTGGACGGCGGGCAGCGAATGGGGCGCATAAGATGATTATTTACACACTGATAGCAGCGTCAGGTACGTCTTTCCCACCTACGGTTCAATATTTAGAGAGTTAGTGGGTGAGGGATGCTGATACTATGTAGGCGTCTGCGGCGCTCTCACACTTTATTCTGTTGTCTCCCTGACAATGTGGAATCGTCGCCAACGCGACCTCTGGCTCGACCGACAGCTGCAAGACCTGCAAAGCGCTCGCCAAGCATATATCCAGGGCACAGCAACGCCGGAACAGCTGGAGATTCTGAAGAATGAGAAGATCGGGGAGATTGAGAAACAGAAAGCCGAGGAGGCGAAGGAGCAGAGGGTGTGGAGTAAGGCGAAGCGGTTCTTGTTTGAAGGGTTGAATAAGGGGGATGATGCTGCAGGTGCTTCGGCGAGTACCACGGAGGGTGCGAGGATGGGGGTGATAGAAGCGTTGAATGCGAAGAAGGCCGAGGAGGAAGCTGCCGTAGCAGCAATGTCTTCAGTTTCGACGACGAAAGTTGCTGGTTCGTTAGACATTCTGGCTACGAACGCAGAGACGAAAGCGAAGCAGTCTGCCCAGAGCTGGTCGAGTTGGATATGGAGACGAAAGGACTAGAGGGTTTGTTAAGCCGATTTGATTCATTCTCGACATCTCATCTCATGCGGACAGAACGGTTGAATTGTGTTCTGTGTTTATATTAAGACGACATCCGTGGCGTTGGTTACCGTCTTGTGTCTGGCTACATGTATTCTGGAGTTTGCTTCTGCTCAATGAATTACTACTAGAATTGTTTCACAGTGTATAACGTGTACATAGTGAATTTCATTCAATAATATTTTTTTCAAATTGATGTTTTTTATTGTAGATCGGTCTCAAAACTCATATCCAAATTATATTGCAAAATTGAATTTCGAATTCTTGATCTAACGGACTTTCCGAAACTGCCAATCCTAATACGCCATTACTATTTTGTCCCCTGTTCAACTTTTTGATCTTTCCTTTATTTTTCTTTTCATGGTATCATTTGTTATTAAGTCAAGAGACTAAGCGTGACCGTTGGTCTTGGAGGCCTTGAGGGCACGACGAGCGCGCACACCATCGGCCAGATCCTCCAACACATCAACAGTCATTTCCCAGTGGATGCAGGCATCGGTAATACTGACACCCTTCTTAAGCCCCGCAGGACCCTCGGCTGGCACCTTTTGGTTGCCCTCGTTGATATTGGACTCGACCATCACTCCAATAATCGCATCCTCGCCCTCGCGCAACTGGTCAGACACCTCCTTGGCCACCAGCGGCTGGTTGAGATGGTTCTTCTTCGAGTTGCCGTGCGAGCAGTCCACCATCAGAATCTCGCGCTGCTTGCGGCTACGCAGGGCCTCGCGGGCGGCCTTGATGCTCTCGCGATCGTAGTTGGTGCCCTTGGTACCGCCACGCAGGATGACGAAGCCGTGCTCGTTGCCCGAGGTTTTGGTGATGGCCGCAAGGCCCTCCTTGGTGACACCTAGGAAATGGTGCGGGTTCGCAGCAGCGCCGATTGCGTCAATGGCCACGCCGAGGTTGCCGTCTGTGCCGTTCTTGTATCCGATGGGGAAGCTGAGACCAGAGGCCAGCTCGCGGTGGAGCTGGGACTCGGTGGTGCGGGCTCCAATGGCGCCGACGGAGATGAGATCGGCCAGGTACTGGGGGGAGATGGTGTCGAGCATTTCGCTGGCAATCGGGATGCCGAGACTGGTCAGGTCGGCGTAGAGCTTGCGCGAGACACGCAGGCCTTTGTTGATGTTGAAGGACTCGTTGATGTCCGGGTCATTGACCAGTCCTTTCCAGCCGACCGTTGTGCGGGGTTTTTCGAGGTAGGCACGCATGATAATGCAGAGATCGGAGGAGAGCTTGTCAGAGAGCGCTTTCAAACGGTGGGCGTATTCCAGAGCGGTTTCTGGGTCGTGGATGGAGCATGGCCCGACGACGACCAGCAGACGGTCATCGCGTTGCTCGATGATTTCAATTGCTTGGTTACGGCCACTCTGGACGGTTTTGACGGACGCCTCGGGCTGTTGTTTATAAGATTTGGTTCTTATTCGATTTTCAAGGAGATATGACTCACCGAGGGAACCTCCGCCTGGAGGTAGCGAGGGGAGAGAAGAGGATCGTAACCAAGGACTAGAACAGTCAGCAGATACTTCAGAGATGAAAAGAGAAACTCCAGCGGATATACACCTCGAGTGTCCTCATTGCCCTCCTGCTGAGGCTTTACCAACGGCATCTTGTTCACAGTGAGAAGAATGTATGCGCAAAAGTTCCTACTCTCTGACAGTTTGTTAGGAATGATTCAAAAAGAACAAGCACACAGATTCCACTTTTAGCATATACGCCATACGGCACTTAAGAAGAAATTGGGGGCCACTCCCGGTGAAAAGGATAGGCCAATTGACCAAACCAGCGCCAACGGCAAACAATGCAATAATGGCGCTATATGACTCATCTTACCTGCTTAGTTGCACCTTGAAGCTTTCTAGTTGCAATGCTGCAGGATGAGCATGCGGCGATAGAATTGATCCACAGCTCAGAATGGCTTCCTGCCTTTTTATCCTTTTTGAGTCCTGTCAATGCACGACAGCACGAATATAATAATTTTTTAATCAAGCATGGTGGGCAGCGGGAAGAATAGAGCAAAAGTCCCCCGCACACAATCATGCGGCGCCGGCAGAATTGGCCAATGGGAGCGCCGGTATTGGCCACAATGTGGTAGGCGGTGAGCGATATTGGCAGATCTGGTAATGCGCCGAAAATATATTCCTTTGTTAATTACTCTCGTGCAATTACGAAGTATGGAGTCTGGAGTAGCATTGCAGCAAGCAGGTGGTGTGCTTTATCACGAGATCTCTGGCAAAGATCCATCCAACCTTTTAACCACAATGATTGTGTTGAAATGCTTTCAAACGTGTGATACACGTCGTCAGATTTGAATCTGGCCTGCGGAGTTCTTGCTACGGACTTAGTCTGACATGCACCAAAAGGGTAACTCGGTAACCCAAGGCTCCTGTTCTCCTTGACTGATCAGCGAGCTCGGCCCTCATTCCGTAGCTGGAACAGGCTCGGTGATACAGGTTAAGACCCCTGGGGCTGCGGTCGAGCCCGGACCAGAGGCTCCTAGCACTGCATCATCGTCCGCGTCTTCAGTCTCAACTGGACCGGTCGGTTCAAGCCGTCACGCCTGAGTGAGATGTCTATCGGTTCGGGTCGGTAGCGAGTTTCACCTTGGGCGGTCTCAAACACACCACTCGGACGCCTAGGCAAAGCTTGGCTGGTCTTTAAATTGGCCGTGCGAGAATGGACTGATGGACACGACCAGGCAGGTGAAAGAGTACGAGAAGCAGGAGAATAGGAAGCGAAACACCCGACAGGCCGCTGACGATCCGTAAATAGCACCACAGTAATACGTATAGAGCTAGCTGTAGTGCTGTAGGAGAAGTAGAGCAGCAGTAGTGCAGAAGCGGCTGTGATTGGCCGCTGGAGCTTGCAACTGCAGGCATTGCCGCCGCTAACTGTTTAGCGCCTAGCCTTGCTGCCTGCCAATCATGCGCCATGCCTTAATGCCTCAATGCCTCAGTCAACCGTCCGCTCCTTCTCTATGAAGGACTGAAACCGCCCGGTAGCTGCCATCCGACAGAGCCAAGCTGCAGCTGTCTGAAGGCTTTGTCTGAAGCAGTATTCTCTGACACTGGCGCCGCACATCCGCCTTGCAGGCTTCCCCAGGGTCCTCCATCCTCACCAGAGCGCATCGGTCTTTATTTACGTCCTGTCCTGGAACCTGTTTCTTTCAGAAAAAACGAAAGCGAGGCGAAAACGAAAACATCCACAAGACGAGACGCCACTCCTAGCACGGAAACAGAACTGTAAACAGCAAACAGAATGTTCTCGAGCCCTACCAAACGCCCGAGGGAGGACGAAGATGAGACGTTCAGGTTCGGCGGCCATGAAATGAAAGTAAGTTGGTTGCTTCGGAGTCTGCAACTGGCAGGACAGGCATCTGACTTGAGAATAGAAACCCCGCTTCAACCTGTATATCACGTCTCCCCCGCGATCCGTCGAGCCCGTGAGCAAAGAACATGCCGGTTGTTCAAGTCCGATGCCTGAGTCATTCCGCCAATGGCGCGAAGAGAAGAGGCCTTCCTTACAAGAACGCCGTCCGCCCACGCTCACTGTCGACACTGCCATGGATATCGACATGGTTGACTCCAAACTCCTCCAGAACGGGGACAACCTATCACCATGGCCTGCCAGTGCAAGAAAAAAGGACTCAAGCCGCTCGCAGCCTTCGCCGATACCGCACAGCCTCGTCAACGAATCCCTCTCTATAAGCGGAGGTCGCACTGCTACCCCGATCTACGGTCACTTCACAGTCAACATGCGTCCGGAGCGGATGAACGAAATACCTCATACAAGTAACGTGCTTTGTCCTCCAACAATCGGGGATGAGGCGGACTGGTGGCGCCGCAGACGGCTTCCGAGTCCTATCAGTGAATCGGGGGACTTCCTCGAGGAGCATTTTAGTGAGCCGCAGACTCCTGATTATCTAGATAGCACAGATAAGCTCGTCTGGCCTGATTCTCCGTCATCGATGGAAGTCGAAGACGATTCACTCTTGAAGAATACCTACCTGCAAGTTCCGGAGCAGATACTAGAAATACCTGCTCGTCTACATAGCGAACATCAGACGGAAGCTAAGCCGCAGCACGTCGAACCAGTCGCGGAGCCAGCACCTGCACCGAGAAAAGGGAAGATTGGCTTTTCTATGGGCTATCGAGCAGACTGTGAGAAATGTCGAATGAAGATTCCGGGGCATTACAGTCATATCGTTCGGGCATGATGCTGATTTTCAGCTACAACGAGCCTGTTTTTAGATGGATTCCTATACATTACGACGCGACGAAGAATACTTATATCTATATATTCAATTCCCTTTTTACTATACCCTCTTTATGTCTCTGGCGTCGGGGTTGCGTTACATCATGCCGTGTCTAATATAAACTGGTACGATAGAATCGATTATTTTCAGTCTTCACGTACAACAATCTATATAAGACTATCTAAATAATAATAGACCCATTAATGTGTTTACTCATCATCCTTATTAAACGTTATGCTTAGCGCATGCATGCAGCTACCCGACGAAGTGCCCTATCCGAACACGCCTCCGAACGGCCAACTCCCCGGATTGCCCATTCAATACCTGCAAGCTTCGTTCAATGTTTTTTTTCGCCTGGGTGAATACATGTATCATTGTGTTTATATTGAATATACTACTGTCGAAGTAATGCAAATAGAGCAACTGGCTATATCTCTTCAGCAATTGCAGCCTCTCTCTACATTTCTGCGTCTGTTCCTGAGCTTCCCCATACATTGATATAGCTTCTCCCCGGCATCGCCTAACGGCATAGTCATTACCCGATAGACGGCTTCCACCTGCCCCAAGAAATAGCCGGCATGATTCCGATTTCTTGATCTTGATTATATTTCTGGCATTATTTCCTTCTTTCTATTTTCTCTTTCTCTCTCTTTTTCTTTTCCTCTCCGTGGCCTTTTTGTCTTGCATCGCAACCGTGTTGCTGAGGAATAGCTCTAGCTGCCGAAGATGGCCTTGCCTATTCCCCGGGGCCTGAAGCAGGTCCTTCAAAAATCCCCATCCGACATCGTCATCCTCTCATCCGTGCGAACCGCCATCACTCGCGCCAAAAAGGGCGGTTTCAAAGATGCCTACCCCGAGGAACTACTCGCACACGTCCTCAAGGCAACACTTGCCGCGAACCCCAACCTTGATCCCGCCCTGATCGATGATGTCGCCATTGGCTCTGTTCTACAAGAACTAGGTGGTGCCAAAGCCGGGCGCATGGCGCAAATCCATGCTGGCTTTCCAAACTCAGTCTCCTTCCACACAATCAACCGACAATGCTCCTCGGGCCTAGCAGCGATCACGGGCATCGCAAATGGTATTCGAGCGGGGGCTATCAATGTTGGTATTGGCGGAGGCATGGAGTCGATGACCCGGAACTATGGATCTCGCGCGATTCCCACGGTGCTATGGCCGGAACTAAAGGAATCGCACTCGCAAGATTCCCGAGACTGTATCATGCCCATGGGCATTACATCGGAGAATGTTGCTAGCCGATATGGAGTGTCGAGGGCTGACCAAGACGCCTTTGCCGCGCACTCGCATCATAAGGCTGCTGCGGCACAGGAGGCCGGGTTATTCGATGCTGAGATCGTGCCAGTCACAACCAAATTCTTTGACGCGGAGCACCCCGAGGCACCACCAAGAGATATCACCGTCGCCAAGGACGACGGTGTCCGACCCAACGTCTCAGTCGAGAAGATGGCTACGTTGAAGCCTGCTTTTAGAGAAAACGGCACCAGCACTGCTGGAAACAGTTCTCAAGTAAGCGACGGTGCGGCTGCCACGCTTCTCATGCGCCGCTCGACAGCCACTGAGCTTGGATTGTCGTCGTCTATCAAGGGCCGCTGGGTTGCTAGTGCTGTGGCTGGCGTAGCGCCGGATGAGATGGGAGTTGGGCCGGCGGTTGCAATCCCCAAGCTGTTGGGTCAGGTTGCGCTGGACATTGCAGATGTTGGAGTTTGGGAGATCAACGAAGCGTTTGCGTCGCAAGCTTTGTACAGTGTGCGCAAGCTCGGCATTGATGAGGCAAAAGTCAATCCGAAGGGAGGCGCCATTGCGCTCGGTCATCCATTGGGTGCTACGGGTGCGCGACAATTAGCTACTTTGTTACCTGAATTGGAGAGGACAGGGCAGGAAGTCGGTGTAGTGAGTATGTGTATTGGTACGGGGATGGGTATGGCTGGTTTGTTTGTGCGTGAATAAGAGATGAATGAATGAATGACGGGCAAAATTTTGTAAATAGCTAGATAGCATTTTTTTTTCCGAGACTTGATTTATCCATCCTTCAATACACTGCATGAGGTTATACTATCTATATCAATTGTTATACATGTAGTTTAAGATCTCGGCGTCACGAACCTAATCTGCCTTGGCCATACTGAGGTGTGTCGAAGCACATCATTCATTGTTGAATATAATGTGTTGAACTATATTTAATTTCGACTAATGATATCTAATCCTAACATATGATTAATTTAGATGCTTTTTGAGATACTATTAAGTCATGTGACACTGATGGGCATTGATCACGTGATCCGTGTCTTTAAACTAAGGACAAATGCAGCAGATCTTGCAAAAGTTCGGCCAAACATCCACAACAACACCGCAACGATGCGCCCACCGGTGCGGTTGTTGCAGCCATTGGAGGCACCCAGCCTCCAATTCTCTAAAACACTATATGTCTGCTCCAACTGCCGATACGAAGTGATCCCCTCGTGCTCTGCTGGCCACCAGCAAGCTCGACGTAATGCCTCCGGCAACACCCCATTCACCGAAAAGCTTCGCAGACGAATCTGGGGCACCGATAACCCACCTGGCCTGAAGGACCCCTACGGCGGTGAAGGCATGATTGCCCGAACTTGGAAACAGCGCAAGGAGGAATACCTTGGCCGCAAGGAAGAGGAAGAAATCCCAGAGGAGGAGGAGGAATACAAGTTCCCGACAATACCAGATGATGATCAAAAGAGACCGGACTTTGTGCCGGCGACGCATGCTCATAATCTGAAGAAATTGGGGCATCTTAGTTTCTGGAAGAATTTCCCGCCATCGGATGCGGATGCTTATTACCCGTGAGTGCCAGTTGTTTTTGTGATGGGTGGTGATGGTAGTATCTTACATGGATTGTTGCTAGTTTCCTTGCTCGCCGGAAGATCCGCACAAAGGAGCATGTACGTTCCGCAGCTCACTCGGTTGCTGTCGAACTATGCATTCTACATGACCTCAAGAAACCTCTAGACGTTGCCTGTGACGCTGCTCAACACCACCAATCCGTCTGGGCGATTATAAGGAGATGCCAGATCAAGGAAAACGCGCAAAGCCTAGACGATGCACTCATCTATCCAAGTGAAGAGTCAAAGAAGCTTCTTCACTTTGTGTTCAATCAACTCGGGCCACAGCCGGAGAACAAAGTCGAGAGCAACGAGGAGGTTGAATTAAATAGTGAAGCTATCAAGGCGGAACTCAAAACTCCAAAGTTCTACGAACCCGATACCCAATCGCGGGCAGCTAAGATCTCGTTTGAGCCGCGAGATAAAGGTTATCTTACTCTTCCTCTGAATAAACGCTCCGTCAAATTTGCCGTGAGTTAACTCCCTATATTGTGAATGGAGAATGCACTGACAGTAGCCTAGTATTTAAAACGCCTGGCACAAATCACCGGTTATCCTGTTCCCGACACCCGTGCTAACAAGGCTCAAAACGTCAAGCATGTGACAGATTATCTCGAAAAAGTGATTTGTCCGCCCAAGAAACTGGCTGAGGAGCTCTCATCTCTACCATCCCGGCGAGGCATACCCAATCTCACAGTCAAGTACAAGCGATACACCAAGCGAGATCATGACCGCGACACCGGAAGACAGCAACTTATCGATGAGGCCCTCCGCGAAAGGGGACTTCTTTATGAACAAGACGAAACGACTAGGTTTCGTTTATAAACGCGAGTTGTGCATCGAGAAGGCATAATACCATTCCTTTCTTGTCTGTATTGCACGTTGAAATTGTTATCTAGTGTACAATAGAAGTTATTCTGAACTAATTCAAATATAAAACCGGCATACTGCCACATCGACACCGCAAAACTCCATATACAAGTCATAAATCAATATCATACGTAAGAATTTTGAAACAAGGAAAACGGTTATGATCGCCGAGCGTCTGCGGGTATCGAAAACCCTCTTGTCATGAAATCCCCGTCCTTGAGCTGCCGCTTAGTCTTGTCATTGTGAAACAAACTTTCCAGATTCCCATTCCGACCAGCGACCTTCTGCTTCTTTTTCTTACTCTCCTCTTCCAATACTTTTGCTGTAAGCATAGCCGTCGCCGCATTCTTGATACCCGAAGACCCGTTCGTGGTGGCGGTAGCTTTAGATGATGGTGTCTCTGCGGTGGCTGAAGATTCACCATTTGCATGCTTCTTACGTTTCTTAGATCCAGACAGCTTCTTTAACGAGTGCGTGAGCCCTTGTTCGCTGAGTTTCTGGCCTCGAGCCATCTGTCGTTGTTTGTCGGCTTCTTTGGTAGGCAGGATGACGATGACGTTGTCTTCCGTATACGGCTCGGTACACTGCCTAGCATTAGAGAAAACCCCATACCAAGTTATAACGCAAGAAACTCACCTGTAAACATTTATCACCTTTCATCTCCCTGACCGCCTCCTCAGCAAAGACATGCCCGCACGGCACTATATAAACCGACTTGACACTCGGGCCCAGTTCTTTCCTTGTAATTGGACACACCCACGTCTCACCCTTGTGACTGGCATCCTTTTGCGCCGCTGGTGAGTTATCCGGCGAATCATCAATCTCGAATTTCAGCTCAACCACGTCTCTCAGACTCTTGAGTCTTCCCTGCAGGATCTCATCGCAGTCGGCTTTTGAGCTGATGTCCTCGTCTTCGGCGCCAATCAGGTATTTCAAGATCGCGTCTTTGTTGTAGAGATTCCCCACGGAGTCTGACACGATAGGGCGGAGTAAGGGTTTGTGCGATAGTGGGCACGTTGTCCAGCAATGCTCTTGTTGCTCGCGCTGCGCTTCTTTTACTTGTGTTGCGGAGGGGGCTTTGGCGGCTTCGCGGACTAGTTCGCGCCGGGTTGGGATACTATCCAAGGTCAGCAAAATGATATATAAAGTGTGAGAGTGAAATGAGTTACCTTCCGCCGTCATTACCCATCTTTCTTCGCACAATACTTGGAAGTAGAGAATGGTCGCCACGCAACTGATCGAAGATCGAGGATCAAGATAGAGGATAAACTCTTGGCGGCTCTGCGATACATGACTAGGCACTCCCCGACCCACTGGCAGCTGGCCAGCCAAAAGCGGTTTAGCGGGCCGGCGGAGTATAAGCAACAGCTGGCCATAACCAGCAACTCCCTTGGACGCTGGCGCTAATCATAAACACTGCATTATCACGTACAAGCTCAATGCCGATACTATGAGGGGCCCGGGGAATCTGCTCATTCTCTTAGGCGTATCGACATGCTCGACCGTGCTGGCTGCCTCGAGCGAGGCTTCGTCCCGTCCAAGAGGCGTGGGACCTGAATGTGTGTTGCTTCGACATTCATGTTTCATCCACAACAAGTCACAAGTTAATTGCTAACATTGGTGGTTAACAGTTGCAAAGTTCTATAAAGATACCACCACCTTTAGCTGCATCTCTCATCCCGCCGTCAAGATCCCCTTTTCGGCGGTAAACGACGATTATTGCGACTGCCCCGACGGCAGTGACGAGCCTGGAACGTCCGCCTGCTCTCATCTCTCCCGTCTGTCGCCATTGACACCTGGGAATCACCCTGATGCCGAGGGTATTGACCTTACCCCGGCGTTGCCTGGTTTCCATTGCAAGAATAAGGGCCATACAGCCGCGTATATTCCCTTTCAGCGGGTAAACGATGGGATCTGTGACTACGATATTTGCTGCGATGGCAGCGATGAATGGGCTCGAGTCGGCGGTACCAAGTGCGAGGATCGGTGCAAGGAGATTGGGAAATCGTGGCGCAAGGCTGAGGAGACAAGACAGAAGTCGTTGACTGCGGCACTGAGGAAGAAGAAGGAGCTTGTGGCAGAGTCTGGACGACTCACCAAGGAGATCGAAGACCGTATCATCGACCTCGAAGTGGAGGTCAAAGCGCAAGAGACCAAAATCCGGGCGATGGAGGTTGATCTTGAGAGACTGGAGAAGGAGGAGCGTGGAAAGGTGGTCAAGTCTACTAAGAAAGGCAAGGTTGCTATGCTAGCTGGACTGGCAAAAACACGCGTGAATGAGCTCCGTGAAGCTCTGAATGAAGTTCGTAGCCAGAGAGACGATAGTCGTTCACGGGTCAAGGAGCTTGAGGAGATTCTTGCGACGTTCAAAGTTGAGTATAACCCCAACTTCAACGATGAAGGTGTCAAACGTGCTGTCCGTAGCTGGGAGGATTACGCTGCCAAGGGAACTGCTGGCGATTTCTCGTCTGAAGCTGCCAAGGATCGTGATTACGATGAGATAACTAAAGAAGATAGCGAGGTATCTGGTGTTGATTGGGCGCATTGGGAGAATCAGGATGATGCTAGTGGGGGAGTTGATATCCGTGAGTGCTTGAGAAAAGTGGCATGAGCATGTGCTAATTTAGAACAGTGTACAAATTACTAGCTTATCTCCCGCCGGCTGTTGTCGAGTTCCTTGAAGACAAGTTCTATAGCATCAAGAAGTTCCTTGTCGACAACAACATCATCCCTTCCTCCAATAACGATCCGTCATCAGAGTCAAAGGCATTGAAAGAAGCGCGTGACTCATTGAAAGCTGAACAGTCGCTCCTGGACCGAACTGTGAAATCGATCAAAGACCACAAGGCTGATCTAGAAAAGGACTACGGCGCGCAAGGTATCTTCCGCACTCTCAAAGATGTGTGCATCCAGAAAGATTCCGGAGAGTATACCTATGAACATTGCTTCCTAAGCAAGACGAAGCAGATTCCCAAGAAAGGTGGTGCAACTGTGACGATGGGCAACTACCAAGGCATTGTAAGCATTACTATGGACGATGTCAACACCGCCGGGGAGATCCAGCAAGTTGAAAAAGTGGCTCTTGAGTACAAGTCTGGTCAGCAATGTTGGAATGGACCGGCTCGGTCAACGATGGTCATTCTGGAATGCGCCGAAGAAAACGAGATTCTAAAGGTGATGGAAGACGAGAAGTGTGTTTACTCAATGATCGTAACCACTCCTGCTGTCTGTGGGGATGTGAAGGTGAAAGAGTCGCGCAAGGATGAGCTGTAATTAGATGAGCGAGTACAGTCGAGCATGTTTTCAACTCTGACCTTTCGGAGTTTATAGAATGATCTCTATATATCCTTGATAATCGGATGCTATTTTCGGGTTTGCCTTTCAGTTTGAATAGTGGTATAAATACAGGTATACATCAGCTGAATTCATCGCTATCTGATTTATGGTAGGACCGTCAAACAGACTCTCGCAACCCTTTCTCTAAAAGAGCGATCAAAGGCTTGTCCAAAGCATCCTCTGCAAAGCTCACTCTCCCAGTCACCCACTCCAACCAGTCTTCAGCCCTCGCACCACTCCGTGCTCGAAGCATCCCAACACTGACATCCACCACGCCAGGTCTCCAATCGCAATGCCAAAACACAGTTGCACCACATATTCTACAAAACTCTCTATAAATCTCAGGACTGCTTTGATACCGCTGCAATGTGCCAGTTTCATAAGAGAAGCCCTCACCATCCATTTCTGCAGTCGCATTGTTGATGAGATTTATTTTGGAGACGAATGTCCATGTCTGGATCGGGAACCCACTGGCGAGTCTACATGATTTGCAGGCGCATGCCCCCGCTAAGTATTTTGTGTTTTCGGCGCAAAGCCACCACTTGACGTCGTCTGAATTTGCAGACGAGGCTAAATGAAAAGGGACAAGTAGGTCGGACCATGGCGATGACGCCGCCCTAGACTGGTCGTTTGGGCGTGTGATCGAGAAGGCCACCCCTCCACAATGGCATCGAGCATGCAGGAGGTTCGCGTCATCTACGGTTAAAGAAGCTGTTACCGAAGGCTTGGACTTAGACTCGGCGTCTTTGGTGATGTGGGGGTGTTGTTGTAGGAGACATGTTGCAGCTGCAACTTTATTCGTTGCTGAGCCTGACAAGAAACGACTCAGCCCGCCGTCTTGAGTATCTCGGACACCCCAGTGTGAGACGGATCTCGTCTCAGGTTCAAATGCCGCAGCTGTCGTCAACAAACCTGTTGCGACTAGGTATCTATCCTGCCCTTCCTCTCTGCAGTGCGCAAAGACATGGGCACCGCAGATCCCGCAGAACCATCTGCTGACGTGAGCGGACTGTGCGTATTGTTTCAGACGTGGGCTAGAGAAGGACGGAGGAGAATGCAAGGCCAGGTAGGATGTGCAGAGGACTCCGCTTGTTGACCGGCAGGAATCACAGTGGCAAAAGGATAGCTGGTTGATATGCGATGCAGAGAGCACTATCTGCTGGGAGACCTGCCCGCATAGGCAGGCGATGGATGCACTGACGGTGTCTTGAGCCATGTTATTATTCACGCTACGAGCAGGATCTCAGCTTCATCGACAGTGCGAGATAGAGATAAGGCATAGATCTAATCAATCAATGTGATCCTACGTAAGGGCTATACGGACCCCGCACTTTGTCTAGCACAGCCCAACACATTACATCAATATTCAAATGCATCGTGTTAAGAAATCCTCGTATTCTGGCCAAGCTAACGATCTCTGGGAAGTAAATGTATTAATTACAGCACGGTGTACTAGATTGGTGCTCAACTATTACTGATTACTCCCCGTAATTTCGCCATTCGCTGGTGGAGGTACTTGCTTTTTTTGTATGAATGAACGGCTTCACTAATGATCCAGTTGAGCTTGATTGAGCATATTTTCTCGACAGATCGACATGTTAGGGAAATGGGAACAGTGGAAGTAGATATGTATGTTTGTTTGTATGTATGTAAGAGGGGCGCGAGAAGAACCCTATTTGCGTGGAGTATAAATAGGCCGTGTCCCCTCCCGGCGACCAGACTTTTCTTTCTCCTTGACTACAATAAAGCCTCGACTACTCACGAATACTATTCCTACAAGCCTATCCAACTCGATCTTTACGAAACCAGAATACTTCTAGCTCTCAATCAACCATAATGGGTACGTTCTTCCTGCTGAGCCCGCCTGTTAATATGTCCACACAGCAAATGCTGTCTGTCCTGTTACCCCGCACCTTGGATCGCGCGCTGATTTATCAACTACGACCAACTAGGTCCTTGCAACTGCAGCTGTGGTGCCTCCTGCCAGTGCCCTTCTGGCCAGTGCTCCTGCGTAAGTCGGCCCTTTCGTCTGACTGGACGCCGTCCCTGTTGATGCTTATCGCTTTTGTCTATCAGAAGTAAATACTCTGCCTAGCGAGGCTCGGATCACCACGTCAAGTCTTAAGACCAGATCCAACCATGAGCTACGAGGAATGGGGGCGGCTAGATGATATAAGTCTGGATGGATGACTACGGAGGAATCATGCATTAAGGGGCGTTTTCATGTCCCAGATCGCTGGTTTTAGGGGCTGCCTTCATAGGCTCAAAGAGTCCAATGTGCCCTAAACGAATTTTCTGTACCTCAATGATACCCCGATCTAAATCCAATCAGTATCCTGCATTGCATTCTCAGCTGGCCATGAGTAATGATATTTGGACGTAGTAGGTAGGCTTCGTGACTATTTCCGAACTTATCAGGCTCCGTTGTTCGGCTGTATTCGAAACTGGCTCGGATTAATCTTACTATTGCTATTCATATATATGAGATGATTTACAAATAGAATTTCTCTCTCTAAGCATGGGCCTACATTTCTGACTTAATTATCATGGTATAGCCCTCCACCAGCGTTTCGGACGGGCGGTTACCCCTCGTGGCGGGGGTTCTTCCAGCCTGAAGCAAAGCAATTATTCTTTGAGTAATCACTTTATCTAACAGTTTCAGGTCCGGTGAATGAGATGGAGTATTGGCCTAAAGGGCCCGTGCATTGCCAACGACAAATCCAGGTGCGTATTCTCCATCCACATCCACGTATGATTGATAGACATGTATGCGCGACATATTTGTTGTCCGATTGCATTGCCCTACCTCTCCACTTTGCCCTTTTGCCTTGGTTCCGCTTCTCGGACATTATCGGAATTTTTGTCTTTCGCAGTGAGGCGAGCCAAGGCAAAGAGGCTGGAAAAGCTGGTCATCTTCCACGGGCCAGTCAGCTGGCTTCCCCCGCACCGAGATTCATCAGCTGTTGGGGAGCCTGGTAGCCTTCGAGCTCTTTTCTAGGTTATGAATCCTATACTATCAAGAATAAGGGATCTTCTTTCGTTCCTCTTACGGAGTGTGGCTGGTCGCGTTTTAGAGGGAAAGCCACCAAACTTCTTTTTTTGGGACGGAGAGCTGGTCTGCAAGGATAGAATCAGATAGGCCAAATTCGGTTGGATCAATCATGACCCCACTCCAACAACCCCGGTGGCACTGGCGCTTGCAGCGGTTGCAACGTCATGGTTATCGAAGCTCAGAGAAGAGATCAGGTGGATGGCCTATCGATCCATTACTGTGTGGTGGGTTTCACTATTCCAGCCAATCTAGTCCAGTTGAGCGTGCCCGCTTCGACACGCATTCTCCCAACCCCCAATACAACGCGTACATGAGAACCACATGATAGGGGGCGTCGTTGTTGCTGATTACTGGAGAGTGAGTGGTTTCACAGCGGACAATTGGCCCTGGTTCCAAAAAGAGGCTTTTGACTGGGCCATCACAGCGCACCCTCAGGAAGACGTATCTGTGCGATGCTGCTCAACGATTGGATCCAGATCAGACGTTGCTGTAAATAAGCTCCGAGCTGTGGCCTAGTATGTTTAACCTGATGGAATGAAAGTTAGCTCCTATGGAAAATTGAACATAAAAACTCGGTCTCCCAGCCCTGAGAGAGGGTGTTTTCTTTTACACAAACAAGCCTGAAGACCGAACAGCCATCCATATTCAATACAACAAACCACTTGAGATACTTCCACCACCCTCAAAACCAACCAATCAAGATGTCTCCCTGCACCTGCACCTGCTGCAACGGTAACTGCAACTCCTGCTCTTGCAGCACCTGCACCGTAAGCTCCTCGCCATCCTTGACTATGTTGTGTTTAAGCCTGACTGTACACTTTAGCACTAAACATATGTGACTCGCCTTCCCTACAGAGTTGTTTTGAGACGACATTCCATTTGCATTGAATGATTTGATTTGATAATGTTGAGATATTAGTGGACAGGGAGAGAAGAGTCGAAGTACTATCGTTGTCTTTGCTCGTTAGCTTTCATTTCTCTCAGGCGGTGTTTGCGGAAGAATTGATTGTTGAGACATCTTTTGTCAGCTATTAAATGCCTTGCTGCTCCTCTTAATGGAATAAATTTAGGTCTTGAGTTGTATCAATCCAAATCACGTAAAAGTAGTCGTCGTAGTTGCCGTATCCGGAAGGCGACCCTGTTACGTAAGCCGCTGAGGGCGCATGGGCCACCGCCTTCCTGAAGCAGAATTTTTGCGACAACTTTTCGATCTGCCAGCGAAGTGTCGCATTCTCCAGTCAGGCGTTTCTTTCGCACATCAATCAGAAGGCTTACAATTTGTGGACGGGAACTCGCCATGTTCGACTACGAGTTTCGAGGACGTCGGGATCGGGATCGCGGCGATCATGATCGCAGCCGAGACCGTGACCATGATCGTTACAGACCGCAAGGCAATGATCACGACCGGAGGAGACCACCACATCAATTCACCTTTCGCTTCCCTCCAACCTGGGACCGCCCTCTACTATCTCGGAGGCGTGAAACCACACCGGAGCTCCTGGTTGGTCAAGTCGATGGCCCAGATAAACCGCAGCTCAAGTTCGCAAACCCCGAAGAACTGACTGACAGCGACGAGGCCGAGATGGACGAGTCTGCGTCTTCTGGCGACGACAACCCGCCCCGAAAAAGACGCGCCCTAGAATCTGCCGTCAGCAATACGATTGAAGGACCCAAATGGTCGAATCCGGATCCATACACAGTGCTACCTCCTTCCGACGAGCCTCAGAACAAGCGGGTAGATGTTGTCAAACTTATTCGCAAGGCCCGTCTTGCTGCCACTGCGCCGACGAGTAATGAGGCGGTTACTACAAATGAAGACTATATATCCTTCGATATGGATGACGGCGACCTCGTGGACGAAAACCTACCTCCAGAAAATGCTCCTACCGGGCCAAGGGCACTACGAATGCGTCCCAACGAACCTGTCGCAGGGAAAAAGCGTACACGAGATGATGAGGTGAAGGTATTTACAGGAAAATTCGGAAAGGTCGGGTACACTTCAAAAGGTGATATTGTTAGTGTGTGGCAAGCTGATCCATCTGATAATGCAAGTCCCTGGCTCGAGCTGATGGAGCCTACACTACACCTCGGCACTAGGTTAGAAATACCACCTGAGTTCCATGCCCCTGGTTCTAGATTCTGACAAATAAACAGACTTCACAACGAGATTTTAGCGTTCTATGACTGGGTCAAGCCACGCCCGTATGAGGACATGATTCGGCAAGACCTTGTTAGTAGGATACAGAAGGTATTTGATGCGCAACCAAAGTTTCGGGGCATGGAAGTACAGCCATTTGGATCTTTTGCGTCAGGCCTCTATCTCCCTGTTGCCGACATGGACTTGGTTTTGCTTTCACCCAGTTTTATACGTAATGGGAGGGAAACCTTTATTCCACGTAGACGGGGCCATAGCAGCCAAGTCTCAATATATGAAATAGCCAGGGTTTTGGAGAGGTCTGGCGTTGTTGCTTCAAGCTCTATGGAGATAATTGCAGGCGCTAGAGTCCCTATTCTCAAATGGGTTGATCGTTTGACTGGCTTGAAAGTTGATATGTCGTTTGACAACGATAGCGGCATTCGTGCCATTCAGACTTTCCAGAAATGGAAACAAGCATACCCAATGATGCCCGCTGTTGTTGCCATTATCAAGCAGTTCCTACTATTGCGTGGCTTGAATGAGGTACCAACTGGCGGCTTGGGAGGATTTTCAATTATCTGTCTGGTTGTCAGTCTCTTGCAACATACGCCTCACTCGTTGGATGGGAAAGGCCCCTCTCTGGGCAGCATTTTGATGGACTTTTTTGATTTCTACGGAAACAAATTCGATTTTTCATCGGTTGGGATTCGACTGGAGCCTCCGGGATTTTTCAACAAGGTAATTATTATCATTATTTGACCCAGGATACGTAGCTAACACGGTCTAGATTGTCTATAGCCAAGATAGGAAACCACGATTATCTATTGAGGATCCTAACAAGCCGGATAACGACATATCTGTTGGAACCAAAGAGATTGATTTGATTTTCAAAAGCTTTTCCAGGGCATATTATGCATTGAAAACTCGAATGCAGCACTTGGCAATTTCGCAGCATCAGACTAATATTTCATTTCTGGACACAATCTTATCGGCGTGCTATGATGAATATGCAGAGCAGCGATCTCAATTACGCACAATTTTTGAGACAGAACCTAGATTTGCACCTCATCTGCGACTTCTGACGCCTCCACCTCCGCCACCTGATGGTCCATCAGAATCGGAATATGATCCAGAGGATGCTCCCGTTCCACCTCCACCGCCTTCCGTTCCAGCTACAGCAGCTTCCGGTTTGACTGCTAAGGAAACGAGTGCTGTCAACTCGTCTAAAAAGAAGGACGGCAAGAAATCTCCGAAACGCCAGGATAGAGAGGAGAAAAAACCGTCCAAAAAGGATAAAAAAGCGAAATCTGCACGAGAGCGAGCAATGTGTCTTCGAATTCTACTCCCAGACAGGGCTTCGGCAATCAAAGATCAGATCGGTCACAATGAAGCGTTCGAATTTAGTGGCTATGAAGATTCTCGTAAATTTTGGAGCGACATGGCTAAGGTGAAGATAAAGACTTCAACGGCCTAGTAGTGAGGTGCATTTATCGTCCTAGCTCTGTTCTGCTTTTTTGCATCATAAAGGAGTTGGAGGCTTGGTGTTGGTTTTCATTATATTTTTGAGTCTGATGAGCTTCTGTCTTTTCCAATTACGAGATACCATGACGTTTGTTCTAGCGGAGTTATAAAGGCGAGGAAGGTCACATTTTATTCTTTTTGTCTTGAGTTTCGCTTGTGGATGCTACTCACATACCGGGCGACTTTTTTACAGATATCCGCTTCTAACCAGAAATTCGATACAGCTCAATCATCAACAACGTTCCAATTTTCTTCATTCCTATTCGATTCTATCTTTGTTCTGCTGACATCTAGGATTTCATCTTGACGACCACAAGGTTCGAGCATTGCTACAGAGACATCGTCAACACTGACGTGCTGTGTTTTGTCTACTTTGTCTAAGAGATGGCGCTTTGCAAAGAACCTGTGTGTCAAGCAAGTGACAAGTGATAGCATTAATAGGCCCTGGCTTATTATTCCTGTCTGCTTATTTTTTCCCTTCTCATCAAGGAGTCGCTATACGCGGCTGCTTGGAGAGGATGGATTGATGGTACAAATCTGTCGTCTCGAGCAGTTCTGAATGGGACCTAGTTATCCTTGCCAAGAGACTTGAAGGTCTTGACTACCAACAAGCTGGCCGGGAAAATAGCTCTTCGGACATGGCTCCGATATGTAGCACTACAGGTACCCCGCAAACAGCCCCTTATTTGCTCGAATCTGGTTCGCTATTGAGGGCTGTTTCTTACTATTTAGGCTATTGGTAGCTCCGCTTTATAGTGTGGCAGATATAAAGCAAAAAGTCTGGGCTGTTCTAAGCTTTGAAATACGAAATTTTAACAATATTCGTTACAGATTGACCGTCATAGCAAGACCAACAAAAGTAACACCCCTAATTAGCGAGTATGAAGTTCACGGACGGGATGTGGTGTCTCCGGGTGAGTTCAGTGTCAGTCTTCCTATATTTGACAGGGCTTATTATTGCGGGGGGCTTTAGGAGGGATATACTATCGACTGGATGAGCAACGTGGAGCGGTTCGCAGTCGAGGACGATGCTGTACAATTGCTTCTAAACAAATACCAGCGGCACCGGGGCGACACGTTGAATTCTTGTATGCCCTGCTTTAAGAAGCCTCAGTACTGACCTGTGATCTCTGCTAATCTTCTCATAGCGGCGATTTCGGCCGAAGTGACATCCCCACTTGAGGGTGTTATTGGAGTGAAATTAGTCCACTGGTAAGAATAAGTTTAGCAGTTACCAGGAGACTTTCAGAAAGGCTAATTCTTTTCATTGTGATTAAAAGGGCTGGCCAATTAGACAATGGACCGCACTTCCATCTCAACTCAACAAAAGGCCATGCAAAGATAAGCTCTGCTGATGGTGCGGTCAACTACCAGAGCGGACTTCTCAATCTCAACATCAAAACCTCTGCCAACGACCTCGAGTTTGTCTGGTCCACCGACACTCAGAAGAAACTAACTGGCCATTCAGTCCGTTCGATCGGATATGTGAGAGATCGCACAACCGACAAAACGCGCTGGGAGGACGGGCTCTACATTGAACATGAAGGCTACATGCTCGCCGAACTCGACCTGGGCGTGAACGAAAAGCTATACGGACTTGGCGAGAGATTTGGCCCATTTGTCAAGAACGGTCAATCGGTTGATATATGGAATGAAGACGGCGGAACTTCATCTGAACTGGCATATAAGAATATTCCTTTCTATCTGAGTTCTAAGAGATATGGAGTTTTTGTGCGTCATGCTGGGAAAGTTAGCTTTGAATTGCAAAGTGAGCGGACCACGAGGGTTAATATCTCTGTCCCAGGCCAGGAATTAGAGTATTTTGTGATATATGGGAGTACACCTAAGGAAGTATTGAGACGGTATACGGCCTTGACAGGCCAGCCGAGTTTGGTGCCTTCTTGGAGTTATAACCTGTGGCTTACAACAAGTAGGGACCTGATCTGGCTATAAGGGAGCCGACTGACATGTGTGACTTTTATAGGCTTTACAACTAATTATGATGAGCAGACCGTCACTGGCTTCTTGGACGGGTTCCGAGATCGCGATATTCCGCTTGGTGTTTTTCACTTTGACGCATTCTGGATGAAGTCGTACCAATGGTGCGATTTGCAGTTTGATGAAGACTATTTTCCCAATGCAACAGCATATCTCAAACGACTTAAAGATCGTGGGTTACGAATCAGCGTTTGGCTTAATTCATATATCGGACAAGCTTCACGACTTTTTAAAGAGGGAAAAGAGAAGGGATATTTCATCAAGGTAATCGCTATTCTTAGTGTCATCTTTCTAAATACTGATAATTTTAGCGCCTCGATGGTTCTGTTTGGCAATGGGACTTGTGGCAGGCCGGTATGGCCATTATCGACTTCACCAACCCCGAAGCATCAGAATGGTTCACCAATCATCTCATGCGGCTGATGGATATGGGCGTAGACTCCTTCAAAACCGACTTTGCCGAGCGCATTCCATTCAAGAACGTCAAATTCCACGATGGGTCCGACCCGGTGCGCATGCACAATTACTATTCACTACTCTACAACAAAGCCGTCTACGAGGCAATGACACGTCGGGTGGGTAAAGCAAAAGGTCTCCTTTTCGCTCGCAGCACTGCTCCTGGCGGCCAAGCATACCCGGTGCACTGGGGCGGAGACTGCGAGAGTACATTCGAAGCAATGGCTGAATCTCTCCGCGGCGGACTCAGTCTGATGCTCTCTGGATACATCTTCTGGGCATCGGATATCGGCGGATTTGAAGGCACACCACCGCCCGCCCTTTACAAACGTTGGGTGCAATTCGGTCTTCTGTCCTCACACTCCCGTCTGCATGGATCAGGATCATACCGCGTTCCATGGATATACGGCGAAGACTGTAGTGAAGTCCTCCGAGACTGCGTCAAACGTAAGATTTCCCTCACGCCGTATATCCTGCAGGAAGCACTGAACGGGCATCGAAGCGGTGTGCCGCTAATGAGAGCAATGTTCCTGGAATTCCCTGACGATCCAAACACATATTCTATCGACACGCAGTACATGTTTGGCAGCAACCTCCTCGTAGCACCGGTTTTCACAGAGGACGGGTCCGTGTCGTTCTACGTGCCGCGCAGCAGCGAAGATGATACTCGTGGGAAATGGGTATCCTGGTTCGACTATGACAAGACTTATGAGTCGGGCCAGTGGTATCACGAGACGCACGACTTTTCATCTCTACCTATTCTTATCCGGCCCGGAACGGTGACGCCAGTGAACCGCAAGCTCAAAACACCCCAGGACGATCCACTCAATGGGCTGGAATTTATAGTATGTGGTGAGGTCGAAGACGCAAAAGTTGAAGTCGTGGATCCGGAGGATGTACACGAGGTTATCAAAATCGCTGAGTTTGCTTCGATTCAAGATGGAAAGAATGTGAGGATTGTGGCATAGGAAGATGGGGTGGCTGCCATGGTGAAACTAGCATATCACGTTATGTACTAAATTGGATTTTGATGTTCATAATTATATTCATTCTCCGTAGTCACTTCGCTGAATGTAATAGCTTTAAATCAAAGCTTCATTCTCAACCTCCCACTAACAGTTCGCGAAAATATCGGGTATTTTTGATAAAACAAAGCCAAAATTAAGCAGTCTCCTTCGTCTCGACACCAGTGCTTACAGCGGCATTCTCCTCGTGCGTCACAACATCTTTGATTTGAAGATGCTTTTCGCGAGCCTCTTCGATCAGACCGTCCAGTTTAGAGTTGCCAGGTTTGGTCTTCCAGGGTTGTGGCCCACCGGGGCTGAATAGTTCTTCTATTTCTTCGAGTGTTTTGCCGCAGGTTTCGGGGTATCTAGTTATAGTTACCTGGTCAGTAATGGTAGGTTCAAAACAATGAGTTGAGCCGCGTACGTGAAAAAGAATTGAATGGCTGCGCCAACGCACAGAATTCCATGCACCAAGAACATTTTCCATGTAATGTTGGCAAAACCTGGTGGGAGGTAAAGACCGAGCGCAAAGTTGAAGAGCCAGTTTCCGATGGCGGCAATGCCCTGCAACCTTTCGTTAGCTTTGGTTTTCTATACTGATGACCGGAAATAGGGGATGACGAACCATTCCTGTGGCACGAGTCTCCAATGACCAGACTTCAGCAGCGTACACCCAGCAAACGGGAGCAAGAGTGAGAGCATAGACAATAACCAAAAGGTAGCAGAAAGCGATAACAGCGCTTCCTTTGCTGCCGGTTACTCTAATGAGGACATTCAGGTTGTTATCGACGCCTCCTGGAACGTACTCGCCGGCCGAAAGGATACCGGCAACAATGAAATGGCAAATCGCCATGCCGATGGCACCGTAGATAAGAAGACCACGTCGACTTGTCTTGTCAATGTAGAAGAAAATGAGCGATGTGAAGACAATGAACAGTGCATATTGAATGCCAGACGAGACTAGAAGAACATTTCCTTTGAGGCTGTTTCGCAAGTAAGTCGAACGTTCATAACTCTGCTATCAATAATTTCGGGCCTCCTTGACTTACCCTGCCATTTCAAACACATAGACTACGTAATAAGTCATTATGTTGGCACCGCTCAGTTGCTGCCAGGCCTGGACGGTGAAGCCGGCAACGGTACGTCGCCACATGCCGTTGTAAACAAACTTCCTCCATCCTGGTAAAGCAGTGCGCTCGGCTGCGAGGACAGTGGTGATTTCCTCCCATTCGGCGACGACCAGAGGATTGTTAACATCACCACCAGCCTGAATGCGAGCCAGTGTGGTAATGGCTTCTTCGGTACGATCTTGTTTGGCCAACCAACGAGGAGATCGAGGCAAAAATGGAAGTCCGATGATCAACAGTACGCAAGGGATGTACTGCATAGCCCATGCGGCTCGGAAAGACGATGGACCGGCTATGAACGAGCAGCCATAACCAATGAAAAACATGATGAAGATGCCCCATTCGATGGCGAGCTGCTGGATGACGATAATTGAGCCTCGTTTTTCCTACACATGTTAGGAACTATTGGTAGAATTTCAAATTGAATGCGTGATCGTGATTTACCTTTCGTGCGATTTCGGCGAGATATACTGGAACCTGCGACGAGGTGATACCGACACAGACTCCATTCAGAACCCGGCCAGCGATGAGAGGACCATATCCTTTGCACCCGGCTTGGACACCGGTTCCGACAAGCCACCACAAACAGGCGAACATGACAGAGTCGCGCCGACCCAGCTTGTCAGAAACAGGGCCTGCTATGAGAGAACCGACGACAGAACCCGCAGCCAGAGCAGAGCCGATAGCTCCCTGGAGCACGCCATGCGGGTTGTCGAAATAGTCCAGATATTGATTTGTACCAACAATAGCGGACATGGACGAGATATCGAAACCGAAAAGGGTCCCGCCCATTGTCGCAATAATTGCGAGAAAGTAGGTGTTGTACACCTTGGGGAAGGTAGGTAGTGGCATGGCGATTGAGTTCCACCTTCAGTTGTCACTTAACAATAGAGTGGAGGAAGAATGTACGTCTCAGTCAGAATTGATCGAAACAAGCGGAGACCCCAAGCTCATCTTATACGTTTCCAGGATTTGTCAAAACATGGCAGCTCTCCACACGAGCATCAAGCATCAAGCATCAATCGACGCACGAGCACGGGATTACTCCATGAGGAGATTGTATAATAATCTACGCAGCTGTCCACCTATGGGTCTCAGTTACGTCTTTTTCATCCCTGTCAGGCTCTCAGAGTGCGGGCTAATTGCCGGGCGACAATATCTTCATCGTTATTAAACCTCTGCTCCACACTCAGCACCTCTCTTCACGGCCTGAAGCTGGGATCTCGGTTAATTGCGAACGACTGTGGGCTAGCAAGGCGGTTAATAGTAGGCTTAATTTGAAGACTTAGAGGGTTTCCGGCGCAGTGGCTGCAAGAGGATTGGATGCCAGGCTTGAGCACTGCAGGGATCGGCGTGGTGGCTGGCTTAGTGCACGCCCCAGCCGCTCTTAGCGCTGTGTGGAGATGGAGATTTCCCTTTCTTCTAAGCACCCTTACTGCTGCTACTACAGATGATCATACTATTACGCGGCTTTCAACTACCAGACGTCATCTCTCGGATAAAGAACGTAAATAAAAAAAAGATCTTGCATATCAACAACGTGGCGAATCTTGAAGAACTCCCTGATTTCAACGTGGGTGGTTGTAGTTATAATCCAAACATTACTGTAACTCGATACGATCGCTCTCAAAGTCCTCCCTGATTCCGACTTTTACCATTCTATTGATAGTGGTCTCAAATTCCTCAGGCTCGCGACCGAGGAGATTCTCCAAGGACGTCGTCGTTACTGCGCACTCGCCGCGCCGGATTGCTTCAAATACTGTCGCCCAGCTTCGTGCAAGAGCCTTTGGGTCACTGTCGTATGAATCGAATTGCCTAACCCGCGGCTGTTCTAAATACTCCTCGAGGGCCACTTGTCGAACTCTGAGTCTTCTATTAACTGCCCGCCCCAGTACGTTCGCTGTTTCTCGTAGCGAGAGGGCTCTCGGGCCAGATAGCACGATCTTTTTGTTTTCGTACGGATACGCTTGCGGACCTCGGACATAGCGTATTAGCAATCTTGCTATTGCTTCTCCAATCTCTTCCTGTTTGGCCCATGCGATTCCTGGTCCGGAACCATCGTGCGGAATTGAAATTACACTTTTCGCATCCTCAGACGTCGGTGAGGCTTTCGGATTGAAAAGTCCTGTATACAAGGGGAACGTTCTTGAGAAGATCCCTGCTCGGGCAATTGTATATGTGAAAGACTTGTCATCAGCTTGGGTCTCAGCAAGGTATGTTTCTGTGGCTAAATGTGCCTGCATAATATCTGCTGCTGACAGGTCTAATCCGCCCCCTCCGAATGCCAGCGATGTGTAGAGAATGTGTCCGACGCCTATACGCCGAGCAGCATCAATTGCATCTCGATGTACCTATCCTTTCCGGTCAGCAATCTAGCGGGGTTTATTATTCTATTGAATAAATAGCACCTTTATTCGGTGTTCATTATCAAGACTCCTGTAGGATAATAAATTGAGTACATCTAGCCCATCAAAAGCCCGGTCAAGGGTGCCTTTATTGTTATAATCCGCCTCTCGTATCGTAGCACCCCGGGCCTTGGCTTTACATAAAGCTTCCGGAGATTGCACGCAGAGAGTTAATTGTGACGGAGTTATGATCCTCGTCAAATACTCGATGATGCTTCCAGCAAGTGGACCTGATGCCGGAAATACGCCGATATTCAATACACGCATAATGGCTGTATCATATGGAAGGGTATGAAACGGCAGTAGCTTTTTAAAAGTTGATAGTGATTACAATGGAGCTGTAAAGTGTAGTCGGGGTTCTACCCGAGAATATGATGATGTCTGTTGTATGTCATCCGTCGGCATGCTCTATCAAGTTCCTTGGTTGTTTATCGGGGGGGGGGGTAATACTCCATTCGTTAAACCTGTCATCTATTGAAAATCTTCATTTCATTCCATATATCATTTCTACTTATCTGCCGTAGAATGTTTCTCCTGCTTTAGTTCAAATTGTGAATAGTCTGATGGGGGAAAACTGGAAACAATGATCAGAACCCATATCACTAAACATGTAGATTTCTTGTTTCTGATAAACAAAACACAGTATGTGACAAAAGTTTGAATATAGAACCACAAAGGTGGATAATGTATAGGAGTCCTCCCCATATAAATAATAATAATATTCTAACATTTTGCAATAGCTACGGGCGGCCAAAAAGTGTAAATTTTAACGGACATAAACTGATGTAAATCCAAATTGGGAGGGGCACAGAAAATCCTAATATCATATTCAAAAACTTTCATATTATTGTATGCATGTGTAATCTCATCGATTGATCTATATTCCCGAATGCGAGAGAAAGGCAGTCTGGTGGCATTTTTGTTAAAACTTGATGCTGGCTGCAATGGGATTGCAATGCAGTCGGGGGTCCACCCGAGAATTTGATAATGTTTGTTGGATGTCTATCATTATTAGCGAGAATATTACAGCACTTCCTTTTCACTGGATAAGTTTCGCTTGTTACAAAGTAACTTTAAAAGTATGTAGTGATGTAAAATTTAGTCATCAGTTTCGGGTTCCTCATACTACGTACCACCTATTTAATCTAAAAATAGACGAATAATTTGTACGGCAAATTACTGAAAATAATGTATGGAATAAGGTAACTAGATGTTGATGTCCTGTGATAGATGTGTTTAGGGCATGGCCAGTAGGACGTTTACAGTAATTGATTCCTATTTCGGAAGGTCATTTTGGTCAGTCAGACCAAACATTACCTAATGCTTAACAGGCATTATACGCCAGAGATCTAGTCTTGAACGATTGAGGTATTGTCTGTTTGGAATTATTCCATTTAAATACCCTATCAGCGACCTACCATATGATGCTAGATGAACCCCTAGCTTGATCGAATATCATGTGGAAAACAGACAACTCGGTTAGTGCTTTGAACCTATTTCTGAATGAGCGACCAAGTGTATCTATGCTGAAATTACTATTTGTGCATATGGGATACGAAAGAAAGAAGAGCCTCTTTCTTTATCTGCATCGAACACGGCGCAGAAAAGCCGACCACGGACGAGCGTTGTGCACCGCGCGTCGACTCCTCGGTGATGGAATCATGGAAAACTATGCAAACAGCGAGACAGTAAGTCGATTAATACCATCATTTCATTATATGCTTAAAGATAAGCAAATAAAGAACATCCCCTGATTTGAGCTAAATCTCCAGACTTGAAAGTTAATGCTAGCCCTCGTATCATTAAAACTCCGCTCCAAACGCTGATTAACCCTCGGTAATGAAAATCCTAATTCCTTCAACATAGCATAGCACCCCAATCCTAGCAATTTCTCAAATGACTTTCTTGTTCAATGTCCGTCAATGTAGCCATAGTCATCCCCAATCGACCCTGAAAAGCCTATGCATATTCAGAAAAGTCTTCGTCCTCGGATTCAGCAACATTCGATCCTCGAAGTGCAGCTTCGTAGCCATTCTTGCAACTACCGATCTTCTCCGAGTCGGAAATAGGATTTTGCATAGTAGTTTCTTCGTCCTTGACATTGACGGCATCATCATTCGCAAAGGCAGTCTCACTCTTGATAGAAATGTGGTCATCTTCTTCATCACTGTTGTTAATATTGATTGCACCCAGCAGCGACTGACCAAGCGATCCATTAGTATTGAACTTGCCTGAGGCTTTCAAGTTTTTGGCCTTGAGAGATTTTTTGGGCTTTGCAACGGGCTTTTTGACCCCGGCGGCCTGGGTGCGAGAGCCACGGGCAACAGATCTGGGACGCGGAGAAGCCTGAAAACCATTTCCCTGGGATTCTGCAGCCAGGGCCTTTGCCATTTCACGGAATTTGCGGAACTGGCCCTCGACAGCATTGTAGGTTGCGCCACGTCCAAACATTCTGGCGATAGCATGGTAGTCAGGCTAAAGGGATGTCAGCGGAAATCTGTCGATATTGGAAAAGTCAAAATTGTTTGAAGTAACGAGAAGGATATGGACCTTCAGTTCGGGATGGGCAGCAAGCAGGGCACCGATGAGACGGTCGAAGGTACCGGGTTCTTTCCAGTTAACCATTTTGGCGTTGCTCAAATTTTGATAGATAGAAGACTTGATTCCTTGAGAGCTAATTCGTTAGCACGATAACTCATCAAAATGAAAACTGGGTGGGGGACTCACAGCAAAGTGTATGCGAGATAAGGTAGAGAGTCAGCAAGACCAAAGAGGATATCTGACGAGTCTTGAAGCTGGGTAATGTGAGGTTGAGAGAGTGAACAGTATTTTCTATCTAAAGTCTGGTGGGCCCTTGTTCAAAGAAGAAATGAGGAGTGATGAGAAATCTCTGGTGTCAAGGGAAGATGAAGAGTGTGAGTTGAGAGAAAAATGAAGCAAAGAGATGGCTATGAGTGACGCTTGGATGGGATGAGAAATATGGATGGTATGATATCTGCCGATGCCTAGTCATTTGTTTGTCAAGGTGGCTAGGAGGTGTCACAATATACAAGAAGAATAGGATGATGAGGATCTAGAATATGCATATGGACCCCACCTTGTCTGGCTGTCAAACGTCTGGAGAAATAAATATCTGTCTCCTGCGAGCGCCTTCTTTGTGTATATGATATTCGCCACCCGCAACTGTAATATTAGATGTGCTCCGATCTCATGTACTGTATCGAAATGATCTGCGGTGAGGTGCATTAGGCATTTTTATCGACGAGGAGCAAACGACACCCCGACCCCCTACTATCTCGATATGTTACAATTAGATTGTATCTGTGTTTTACAAAGACATACTTTGCGTGACTAGGTAATCGCAATTGATACTGGAACAAAAAAGAGGGAGTAGGTTGCCCCGACGACTTGGCAGCCCGAAAACGAAGTCGTCTCCCAGTTGCTGGTCAGTGTCTCATCCCCAACCAAACAGCACACCAGTGCCCCAAATTCATAAACAAAGAGGATACCCTCCACCAGCCACCCCTTTTCGGCTTCGTACTTGGCTATCACCTGATATTCAGCTTGAATCTGAGGCTACTCACAATCATCTTCATCCATCATCTTCTCTCCTACACCTCATCTTCCCCATCCCTCCTCAACATCTTCTTTCTCAATCTTTACCCTAACATCACCAGAAATCCACTGGATTCCACCTGTTCCCCCTAAAAGTTCAGGTATGTTTTTAGCATCACCAGAGCTTCACTGGATTTTACTGTTGTCCACTATACACTCAGCTCTTCCTCTCTTCAGACTCTAATCACATCAACAGCAAGACAATCTTGCCATTGTAAGGCCTGTCGAATTCTACAATCTCAATCAAATGCCTATACGCTGGACACCTGAGAATGATCGGATTGTATGCCATTGCTCTCTGTTCAGACTGATACTGCTAACCACTGCACTCAGCTGCTCCTCAAAATCCTTGAAACCCATGCAATCTCTCTGAACTACAGTGGGGTATCTGCGGCCTGGCGTTAGTACTTCTGCTCTAAACATTCAGACTACCTTACGACGGGAAACATGCTAACAATCTCTGCAGCTGCTGAGGACAACGAAAGGCCAACTCCTCGTGCCATCTCTGAGCGCATTTTCAGGCTCAGGCAAATGGCCGGTGGAAAGCCGAGCGCTTCTGCAGCCGCAACTCCCACTCCCACCAAAGCAAAATTGACCACTCCTGGTAGCCGTGGCGGTGCCCGTTCTCGCGGCTCTAGCAGCGCCAAACAGGCTGGTACCAAACGCAGGAACAACGTGAAAAGCGAGGACGACAGCGAGTCTGATTTTCCCCTCAAGCGCATCAAGAAAACTTCCAACGAGGTCACCATGGCCGATCTCAGCGCTCTCGAGGCGGCGACTCCATCAAAGCGCAGCCGCAAACCCGCCGAACGTTTCAGTATGACCGCCTGTTTGGATAGCGGCTCCGATTCAAAAGATCTAAGCTACAGCTCCATCGACGACGAATTTGTTCCAGACGAAGTTCCGGCTCTGGCGTCAATTGAACCAGATATGGATCCTCTTTCAGAAGATGCTTAAATAGGCACAATGGGCTACTTTGGTGAAGGACGGTTAGGAGGACGTTGTATTAGGGAACTACTAGTTTATTTCTCTTTTTCTTTTAAAGGACTATGTCTTCTTCTCACGGAGCGGGTATTATTTGGATGGGCGTTTAGGAAGAAACTTTATGATAGGGATAATCAAAGATTGATTCGTAATTCAATTGACTGGACAAGCATAATGGGGTTTTCTGACGCTATAAGTAGAGATCTTTCTATCATGCCGCTGAACTCTAGTACTATCTTGATTCTAGTATGAAATACGTCTTGCTCTAGATGCTGTCCTGGGAGGGCAGTGGCCGCCTCGTCCGGGTTCCGACATATCAATTGGCGTTATTAATATAGACTGTCTTTAAAAAATTTCATGATACAAGAAGATTCTCCTTCTTCAATAATTTAACCCTTACACATAGAGATCTCTAGGAAGCATGTATGTACCAATTATTCTAAGATAGAGGAGTTGAGCTGGTTAAATTCTCTAAGGACATAGTACCCTCACCACACCCAACCCTCGTCATCTGTAATCCGACCAGGTAACGTTGAACCATAGCTACCTGGTTGGTAAGCCAACCCCCCAGGAAGCCCAGAATCCGCGACCTATTCCTCTTCCTTAGGGTAAATTTGAGCATATTGGAATCTGAATATGTAGCTACACGAATAATATACATCAGCTTTTGCCTTCTCAAGACTAACGAATTGCTAGTCCCCAGAATAGGGGTGGGAAGAGGAACACCCGGCAATGATGCAAGCACGAGATACCATATATCAATCAGGACCAAACCCCAATTGGTCTTGTTTATCTAGCTTGTAGTTGACGAGGATCGGACACGACTTGCAGTCGCTCTCACGGAGTAGCTTTAGTACCGCAAGCTCTCTAATAGCTGACAGCCTTGGCTTGTCAGAGGCTTGTTTCTGCCTATCTTGAGCGAGAGGAATGCCGACTTAGCATAGGGAATCGTCCAGAAGAAGGAAGAGGGGTGGAGTAGGTCGAAAAATTTGGCGTGTCGAGAATATAAATGCGCGAATAACACAAAATTATTTTTTCTTTGTTGGCGATACTGATGTCTAGGCAACAACAGCGGACAGAGTTTCGTTTCTTCTTTGCCCTTTCAAAGAATGTTCTGGATTCCTCCGCATTAATGAAATCGTCGCATTTTCGTTGACAGGCCTGACGTCAGCAACAACCAATCTGATCTCTGCCCACAATCTTAAAGTTGACGTTAAAACCCTAACATTGCTATATATTAATATTTATTTTTATGGGGATACATGGCATACAGGCCGCCCATTATAGACGAGCGCTCAGGAAAGCTTATCATCTGCAAGAGCATATGTATGAAATAGGAGTTAAATAGAAAGATTTGATGGAGGACTGAATATCTCCCAAGTTCATGGATATGCGTATACCCTTCGCCTAGCAAGGTCAATCAAACTAGCAGGAGAAATCCAAGAAGCTTCTATTTTGAGACAGTAGAAATTTTATTCTGTCTGGGACACTTGAAGGGCGTACAAGCAGATTCTTCCTACCTTCGAATATCTCCACCCACCCCCCTCCAATCTGTTTGCCTTTACGTTCTTTGTCTCATCTACCAGCATAAGCTCAGTACAGTCGTTTACATGCCAGATCAGCTTATGTCTGTGAGCATTCCACCACCACCACCACCACTGGTTGTCGGCAGGTTTCTTCTTCAGAACCCTTTTTGCCTCTGCATTAACTAGTCTCAGCATCCAACACCTTAGCACTTCACTTTTTTTCGACACTGATCCTGTCCCCAAATCTTCTTGCATAAAGCTTATCTATCACGACCATGCCGATTAGGTGGACAAGTGAGCTCGAGGGCAAGCTGATGAGCCTCATCTTCAAAACTATAGATAGACGCGTCTCGGGAGAGGAGTGGGTTGAGATCGCATACGGAATGGGGGAAGGATTGACTGCAAAGGCCTGTCGGTAAGCGTTTATCTTAATTTTCCTTACTACAGATTTCCACTCTTTTGTTTATCTCTACCTTCTCTCTGGCATTGCTTTTCTTCTTAACGGTCATCTCTTCATCCTCTTCCACCATCACGATTCAGTCACCCACCAACTTCATCTTTATCCTTTCTCATCAACCCATTCAATACATCCCCCCATCTGCAAACTCAACTTCAAATTTATTTCGAAATGCCTGTCAAGTGGACCAAGGAGGTCGAAAGTCGATTTATGAGCGTTGTTTTGAAACAAATCAACGCCAGGGTCTCGAAGGATGATTGGGACCAAATCGTGACCATACTGGGCTCCGAATTTACCGTAAAGGCTTGCCAGTGGGTTCTCCATGTTATACTTGCATTTTCACTTCAGCATCGATTTTCATTTATTTCACCCCTCTCGCCCACTTCTTTCTCTCCTCTCGTTCAACCATCAACAACGTTACCTGTCAGTCACCCTCACCGCAATCATGCCTCCATTCCGATGGACTGACGCCCTCGATAAGCAATTCTTGCTTAAATACATCTCTATCAATGCCACTGGATCGCATAACTGGGACAAAGTTGCAGCGGCAATGGGACCAGGCTTTACACCTGCATCCTGCAAGTACGCATTGTGCTTTTCCTTTGATTTCCATCGCTCTTCCTGTTCGCTTTCAAACGGAGCGAATCCTCCCATAGTCTGGTCTCCACAAGGGATTTCCTCATCTCCATCCTCTCCGCCTTTCTTTTCTTCCATCCATCTACCTGACCACCGCCTCAAATCTCTACCATCATTCATCCTTTCCATCAACTCCCAGCTTCTATCAATTTTCTCAATCACTGATCTCCTTCCAAATTCTACCCTTACTATCACTTGTTCCTTGGAATTCACCCCAGAAAGTCAAGATGCCTGCGTGGACGCCTCAAGCTGATGCAGAACTACTTCGGGCCATTGTCCAAGTAAAACGCATCCAGGTCTCAGCCACAGACTGGAACGCAATTTCCACCGCGATCACCACCAAAATGGGCGGTGACTATTCAGGGAACGCCTGTCGGTAAGAGACAGACTAGCTGGCTCGCTTCGACCTACATCCAACTTCAAATAATTGAGCTTCATGTCAAGCCGATGCTAACTCATTTTATCGATCAGGCTGCACTTCGCAAAGATCATCAAGGAAGGGGACGACTTCACCGCTTCTCCCACCAAAAAGCGCAAGAACTCTGGTGATGACGAGGATCAAGCGCCTGCCCCGAAGTCTCCTGCTAAAAAGCAGAAGAAGAGTACCAACGCCAAATCTTCTGCCAAGCCCCAAGTCAAGCCTGAAGTCAAGAAGGAAACATGCATCAAGGACGAAGAGGAAGAACTCCTGGACGACTTGGAAAGTCCCGATGACTACTGATACGCAAATTGGCTAGTACTAGTATGTGATATCTTTTAGATCCCTAGCAATATCGATAATGCTAACGTTGCTGACAGCTTCTAGAACTCTGGGAGCATACTCTGGACCGCCAACTGTCGCCATCTCTCGTCGACAATTTCCTCTTTACACATCATCTCAAGTTTTTCACTATCCCTGCTATGTTCCCAAGTGGCATTAGCCAAAAAATGTTTTGTGATCTCGAGTTCGTCATCTGACTCACTTATTTTGGGGGAGAGGCTATTGGTAGAAATCTTGTTCATGCGCATACAATTCCCAGTAGGACCAATGGGGATAATGAGGCATTCGGTTCATTGCAATGTATTTGGGATAGTATCTCTACAACATGACTAAGCCAGCCAAGGTTAATTGACTCAACATTATCAATTACATCTAGCATTTTCACATATAAACGTAGGTCAAATCTCCGTTCTCTTTCCGTGATAGATTCATGTTACAACTACTAGGTCATGGCATGGTCCCGATGGTTCATCGAAGGGAGTATCGTATAACTGATACCTCCGAGCAGTTTGTAAGTAGTTATCTGCCTAGTAAGGATCGGTCACTCGCTTCTATTAGTATTATGGTACACATAAGTTTCTAGTCATACATCTTATTGAATGGTCTCCATCGTTTCCCGGGGATTCATGGAGTCTATATGGCTTACGGTAGAGTGAACAAGGCCATCTGGGAGCATCATTTGATTTACCAAGTCTACTAAGTTCCCTAAATCTACCGGTCGGACATAATATACAGGGTACATAGAATAAATATACGTGGATATACGGGATCTACAGAAATATATATATACAATGAGACGGAACTTCATACCGATAGAAATATCTGGGAACAGAAAAAAGAGTCCAGATAGGGACAACAGGTTTGATAAGTGGTTCTGTAGAAAACACAAAACAAAGGATCTCTATAAATCATTGTCTTATATATATCTGATCATTCTTTCAATGTTATCATTGTAGTAAGCTTTATCCCAAACTCAAAATCACTGCTCATCTGTAGTTCAACCAGAAACTTAGTGATTATCGCGCTGACAAAGAATCACCATTAAGCTGCCTCTACTGGAGGGCATTCTACTATCTTCTTTGATATTCAAAAGTTTCCTTTCGCTTATGAAATGTTTTCACAGCATTATGAAATTCTGCATCGTGCTCGTCACATCTACATGGCATATCAATCTGTCTTATCACGATTTCAAAACTCTATAGCGGACATCACACCAATACTCCTCCACCTTCTTTTCGTGAGATCTCCCTAGTCTATGATAGATTCAAATCCAACATAAGAGAACATCAAATCCATGGCTAGCAATGTCTTAGCCACTCCCCGGCGGAGCAAGACGATGCCAACGGAGGGCCATATGACTAGGTTTCTCTACGCCATACTAAAACAACTTGATCTCAAAACAGTATTCCCTCCTTGCTACACAACTTTAATATCTATGCTGACGTGCATGCCAGATAGACTGGAGCGACGTCGCCACAGACCTTGAAATCTCCAATGGCCATGCCGCTCGCATGCGTTATTCACGCTTCCGGCAACAGATGGAGGGTACCATATCAGTGTCTAGAAATCCAAAACCGAAAAAGGCTACCGGGAGAGCGGATTCTGGGAAAGGAGATATTCGCAAAGGAGCAAAACCTAGCAAAGCTGGCGACTCGTCCGATAAAAAGAAAAGGTTCGGCATGCACAGCAACAACAAGAGTATCGGCAATACAAAAAGGGTCGCGGATATGGAAAAGAACCCTAAGAAGCGACTTGCTCCAGATGACTTTGTCAAACTGGAGGCTGTGGATTTCAATTCATTCATGAGGCGAGAACCGGCCGCTGATTTCAGGGCAAATCCGTATCAATACCCCATGACGAACATAATGACTCCGAACCGGATGATGCCTGCGTCTAACAATAGTCTTCTTTTCGCACCGATGCAATATCCGATTTCCCAGTCTCCTTCCACCATGGCCATGAATACAGATAATACCATGGTAAACCAGAGCCCCTTTCCGGGCAGTTCACAGATATACAACACAGAGGCCATCGGGAATACTCCGAACTGGAATCAATCAACAGACTTCTGTTTCTCAGGCTGTTGTCAGCCTTGTTATCCTTCAACGCCAACAATGTATCCAACTTATCCGGCTACTTACTCAACATCATCGTCAAGCACTCAATTCCAGCCACAGCAAACTCAACCGCTGGAAGTCCAACCTCTCGTCCCCCGGCCACAGAATATTTGGGTTCCTGTTAAACAGGATGATGGCTATGGAGGAGCCTCGGACGATGTGTTGGTCAAGGTAGAAGCTGGGACAGGATTAGAAACATAATGTTTGAAGCCAATGGGTGTAATTGCTTTCATCATGTTGCTGCCACTCTCGTATGAAATCCCTTGATGATAACAAGGGTATATCACTCTGATAGATTGAATTTTGATAAACCACAAAAGAATATCTTGGTCCACCGGTCCTAATAAAAGTTTTATCTGGGTAGTGACACGGATATAGCTACACTGGGGCTTCTCCATCAATTAGAACATTGAATTATTGTCTCCTTCAACATACTTAGACTCTGGAGCAGTTCAGTAGGCTTGGCTCAAGACAGGTAATTTGTATTATATACATTCAATTGAGATACTCTGATACACCTTCACTGATGGGTCTTTGACCAAAGATACAATTCTGATATTTATTTTTTATCTTCGTTAGAATCTATACCTGGCTGTTCATATGCTTGTTGATACCACTATTACATATGCCAACAATTCTAGGTTAGTAAAGAAACAAAACTGCGTAAATGATATTTAGTTGTTCACTATCTACTTTCCAAAATGCATGAGCAGGAGACCTAGATTTTGAAGTAGACACACTGTGTCAACCAAAGGACATAGAAGGTGGTTGGTAAACTTGTTTGTTTGTCAACACACCCCCTCACCCAGCCTCACCGTGCAAAATCTGCGCAGGCTGAGAGAGCTTCTTTTCTCAGCCTGCCCTTTATGTTTCCTTCCTTCCCCCCTTTTCTATCCATACCATTTTCTCCATTCCTTTTTACAACTTTCTTCAGCCAAGTCAGACTTTCAGGAATATCTACTTACTTAACCTTCACCAACTCTGTCATTACTCAATAAGTCTGTTATTCATCATTCTATCATTCTAACTCTCGCCAATCAACTCTTTCCGTTTGTTTCTCTCTTCCTTACACCTCATAAACACATCGCTCGGCACCCCACTTACAATTTGAACAGTTCAACTTTTCCAATCTTAAAAACCTCACAATGCCTCCAAAGAAAGACGTTACCAGCGAGGTTCCAGCTTCTACCTCTATCAAGCCCGAAGATGCTGAGTTTTTCCTTCAATGCCTGAAAGCAATCGACGACAATGGCACAGTAAGTAGACTTATCAACAAACCCTATACAGCTTCCAAGCAAGCTTATACAGCTCTCTGTAGATGGATATGTCGGTTCTTTCTGTGGCTCTTGGCCACACCAATATTGGCTCTACTCGCAACCTTTTTGTCCGTCAGAAAAAGAGATATGGATTGGGAAACATTCTGACAAAGGTCAGCGGAGGATTCTCTACGAGGAAGGGCGACAATGGGAAAAAGGGGATAGCCTCTGGTTTGAAGTCCCAACTTTAACACATGATGCTGTTGCTAATAGATGAACTATACATACAGATGTACTCAAACAGAATCCTTTTCTGACGACCAAGGTCGAGAAAACACGCAACCAGTGTCCAATAGGCAAAATGACCAAGTCTCAGGCAAATATCGCTAAAGTAATGAAGGTCGAACCTCAGGATGAGATCTCTGAGGGCATGGCTGTGTATGTGGAAGACGATGCTTATTGATCCATCATGAATTCATTGGCGAGCTTATTCTGGCTATGCTTTGGAGACGCAATCTAGGCTAGAGACCATGTACCAATACATGAACTATTAGTCGAAGCGTTTAGGTGGAACTGGATGATTTACTTGGGGAATGTTTACAGATTCTACTTATTGTAGTAGAATTGAATTCTATGGAATTACATTGCGCATAGCTCCTCTCCTCGCCAACTAAGTACCAGGTTCTAGGTAATCCTTCATCAGACCCCGCCCGGTGTGTATCAGACAATCAGTTGATGTAAACGAATGCGCAGTCAATATCCGCCCACTCTCGTTTCTTCTCCGAGTTTCCTTATCAGCAAACGGCCCTCCTAATCTACTGGCTGCCTAATGTTGTCATTTCATTCTGGCTTCCCAGCCTCCTCTTGATCCCTCATCCTATCCCCCTCCACAGGCTGCCATATCCACAAACACTAGATTGATATTTTGCTCCCTTTATAAGCCTTTACTTTCCTGGACAACATCACTTCATCAACAACTTGAAGCTCAACAACTACAACTGTAAGCCCATCCTCATCATATTCGTCTTCTTCTCACTTATAAAGCCTTTTGATACTATCCTGAGTTTTTTATCCGCATTTCTGGCCTCAAAAGTTCAAGTGTATCTGTCATTCTGTTATTAGCTCGCATCATTTTGTCAATCTCCCACCACATTAAAGATTGTTATTTAACACATTAGTATCTTCCAGCTTGCAATCATCCTCAATCTATCCACCTTCCACGTGTCAAAATGCCTCCACAAGGTCAACGTACCTTTACCGACGAAGATCAAATCAAGTTTTTACTTTCTTGTATTCGCAACTCCCACAATGGACAGGTGAGCAGCTTCTGCCTGAGACTAGTATCCCTTCTATTCAAAGATTAATGACTTCCGACAGGTCGATTATGGAACAGTTGCTACCGAAACCGAAACAGTCAGCAAGGGGGCTGCGTAAGACTTCCAACCTCAACTTTAGATCCCACCCGAATGTTAACAGGACAAATCTCACAGTATAAAGCGTCTTGCCCGTATCACTGCCAAGTACTCCATGACAAATGCCGACTCTGGTAATGCATTCACCCTTATTGTTAGTTTTAATGCTAAATCAGCGACTCCAGGAGAAAAAGGGGCCAGTCGTGGGAGCAAAGATGCCGCGAAAGCGAAACCTAGCCCAAAGAAGTCTGTGACCAATGCTGGGATCACCAAGAATCGTGCAGCATTATCTAAGGGGAAGAAGACAGTCGGTGTCACTGTAGAGACTGAAGATACGGACGACGAGATCTACGATGCTGAAGCCTAGAAATGCACCATATACCAGCTATCCTTCTGTTCAACTCTCTCTGTTTCGATGGCTTTGCTTAGTGATGAATGATGGATTCTTGGGAATCAAGAATACTTATTCTATGCGAATGTAGTTTAGTCTCTATGGCAGATACTACCGCGCATATTCATAAATACATGCAAGATCGATTTCAATCTCAATATTTTCTTTAGGTATTGACATGGACATCATTGTACATTGATAGAAAGAACTAAAGTATACTCCACGGTAAGCAAAAGAGACCCTAGCACTTTGCAAGCGTATAACACCAAGGCTCGTTAAAACAGAGTTCACATGCAAAATGGCACAGGATGAGCAGCGCTAGAATCATCATTCATGAGGGTATCGTATCTTATATCCAGGAATCACAAGGTACTATAAATCAGCCATAACAGATTGCAAAATGTTCTTTTTATATTCACGCAAAGCAGATTCTTTGCGGCGCATCTGGTGTCGCAAACGCATATAACGCTGTTTCCAACTTCCTTCGTCCATCGACTCGTTGCCGCCAAAGTCATCGTCGTTTCCAAATTCATCATCTTCCGTTTGAAAGCCGAGTGTTTCGGTGTTGCGATGAAGTACGTTTTCCTGTTGACCAGGAGCCAAAGAAAGGTCGCTTAGGGTACTATTAAATCCGAAGCCATGGCCAGGTCGGGATTCGAGTACCAGTGTATAAGTCTGAGTGGAACGTGTAGGCACTACTAACGAACCATTGTCAGGGGGTTGAATGATTTTAACGGTAAAAGATCCAGGTGAAACACGCGCTAGCCCTAATCTATGAGCGACACCGAAATATAAGGCACAGAAAGTAGCGATAGAGTCTATTGGCACCATAGAGTAGATGGAGCAAATCCTTTGCACGGCAACATTTGCGAGAGCGCGAGCTTCATCAACTTCAATGGACGTTGATCGGCCTATTATTTTTGCCCGCAAAATTCTCCCGGCGACAGCGCGAGTAACGTCGTCAATTGATACCTTTGTAGGTTGTCCTAATTGCAGGCCGCGATCAGTGATCATCGAGGGGAGAGAAGCGGCATCGTCGATATCATTTGACGTTGCGATCGATGCGCGGCGTCCCCCGAGGTGATCAAAACGGGCCGAGGCATCATTCGCCCCATTAAGTACCAAGGTTGGTGGCGTCGCCAAACGTACAGGCCGTCCAGTGCTTTGTGGGACATGTAGCTGAAGCCTTTCAGGCTTCATATGCAAATTCCCCATAGAATTTGGTGTCTGATTCCGCGGCGGAGCTAAAGATATGTTATCTACCCCCATTGCTGGAGATGACCGCACACTTGCCATATGATTTGGTGTATTGGAACGTGCAGGATTCGCGGGAAAGGAAGAAAATGGACCACCAGGAGCAGATCCACGATTGGGTGGTCTTCCTCGAACTTTTCCTGTCATTGATCCTGTATTGCTGGGCCATGCAGAAGATACAGCCGGCCCGTGACGTCGCCGACTTCGAGATTTCTCTCGGGAGGAGGGTGTCACTGCAGACCGAGGCTCTGCCACAGGAGCAGACTCCGTTTCATGATTTCTGGGAATAACAGCTGATCGTGGAAAGCCTGGAGGAGAGCCGTCTCCCTCAAAGGGCCGCCAACGCAGGTCTGGAGCAGCCAGAGTCCCAACCTGCTGGTCGGTTCCAAACGAGGATGCGGCTGCGGCCCACGGATCATTCGGATCTATATCGTCTGGAAATGCGCTGAATGGAATGGCGCTATGTGGGAAATTTGCTGCATGGGCGGCCAAGGCATTACCATCAAGTACAGTCATTGACGTATCTAATTGAGGACGTTTAGGGTAACGAGCATCTTCTCTGTCTTTCTCATCCGCACGTTTTCTGCCCCGCTTGGGTTTCCACTCGGGGACCAAGGCCCTAAGGGCTAGATCTTCTTCTAAAGGGACGCCGTCCCGATCCTCACACGCCGGACCATTGAAGGCAGGAAGTTGTTTGAAATAAGAATGGTCATGGCCAAGGAGGTATTCAAAAAATGCATCAACGTGCATCGCACGCATCCAACGCTGAACAGTCAATATCACTCAGAGCCTAGGGATAATATGATCGTCTTACCTTGAGACGAACAGCATATTGCTGTACTTTCTGCGTACTCTGCTTTTTCTCAAGCGAAGGAGGTTCCACGCCTAGTTCAATCGCTAACTGAATCCAAGTCTTGAGCTCCTTGCGGTCCAGTTTACGTATGAGTTCCCAGAGTATAAAGACACTAAAACTTTTTCCGTCGCTGCGAGGTGGACCACGAAATGTTTTCCGCAATTCGCTTGAATCGGTAGATATCGGCACATTGGGATTGCAGTACATAATGAACGCAACGTACGCGTCGTCTATCGTTTCATCGGTAACGTCTCGGGGAGGGAGAATGCGGCGCTCTGCATCGCCGACCGAGTCTCTAGGTATGGCTCGTCGAGAATTAGTGTCAATTGGCGGAGGTGACATGGAAATGCCTGTGCGTAAACCCGACGATGTCATCACACCAGATAACGGCCCCCTGGGCGAAGACTGTAAGCTGCGCGGCGTCTCTTTCCGCCGTAAAGGAGGCGAGTGGGATGCAGCGAGTCTGCTCCTTGTGCTACCGGGAGAACCACTGCGCAGTGGTGTTTCAAAAAGAGGAGGGTATCTCGCGAATTGTTGGATAACCATGGTGTTTCCATTATCCGCAGGCTGCGGCACCGGCGACTTGAACGGGCTCTCCATTTTGGTATCCCAACTGTCTCCTTTTTCAAGCAAATAACAAAACCTATAACAAAACCTTTGTCAATGTTGGCCTTTCAATGGCGAGGGTCTCGGTTCAGATAAGCATAAAGGACGTGCATCAAGCATGGACATTGTCAGGGGTATCGCATATCATCAAAAGGCGGATTAAAAAGACGGGGAGCCATCCCGATGAGAAGATGCGTCGTCTGGTGGACGCCCCCAGAGATGAGGGGGAATGGAGCAGGATAACTGGGGCAGAAGAGGAGGAAGCTCCAGCCTCCCCGTGGAAGCAGCAAGCACAGACAGTCAGTCCCTGGCTTCTATTTTAGGAGGCGGGGCTTGCCGCTTTCCCGCAAGAACTCTATTCCGTAGCCCAATCACATCACATGACCGCCAATGTGGCTCGTTTGGCTGCGTGGCTGGTCTTGGCGGTGCTCACGCTCACGTGATATGATCGATAAGCGATAAGCAGGCTCACAATCTAATCGATAAGCGATAAGCTAGTGCTCCCGGCATTTCCCCATTCGGCGGCCTCCCTCGCACCTTACTCCGGCAAACATCGCGGCTCTTGCCTCCGACAGTCTCTGTCCGTTTGCTCCCAGCGAGGTTCCTTCTTCCTCAACCCCTCCTATCCACTGCAAGTCTTCTCTACACGTTTGTCGTCGACTTGGGATTCAACTGTTCAGCGATCGGGGTGGATGATTCATGATGCATGAGCAGCTGCACGGGCAGAAGCTAACCAAACAGCCCCACTTCTGACCACACGCCTTTAATTATCGGCATGATGTCTTCTTCAAGAGACGCAGCAGCGGCGGGGACACCATCTCGCCCAGTCCGCAGCAGTAGACAGCGAGTCCAGTCGTACACTGAATACTCATCGGAAAATCCCGACACAGACGAGGTCGTTGACCAGTTGACGACAACCTGGCCTCGTTCCACCCGCCGTTCTGTCAACCCGGACGTTGCAGCCGCTGATCGCCCGAAACGTACGACCCGAACTCCAAGGTCATATAGAGAACCTTCTTCGGACGAGGATTTAGATCGTGTCATATCTCGCTATCCTGAAATGGTCACTACTAGTAATCCCCCACAGTCCGCCGCCTCGCTTCCTCGTCGAGCTACACGCCACCAGCCAAAGCGTTCTCCTGGCAAGAGAAAGAAACCTACTGTAGCATCACCTCGGAAACGTCACCGCACCGAGCTTGTCGTCACTACAGACGCCATACCTTTCTCGAACGGCAAGGTTCCTGCTTGGGATACTCTTCCATACCATATCCTCTTCAACATATTCTTCCATGCGTCCCACCCTCTAGTTGACTACCGCCAAGGCAGTCACCTTCCTTCAGTGAAGTGGCTATTAGATGTTGCTCTACTCTGTCATGCTTTTACCGAGCCGTCGTTGAGTGTGTTATATCACACACCTGTCTTAATTCCACCCCTCAAAGCTCACAAGATATTGCAGCTGCTATCTGAGCCACTTGAAGGTGTTTCCTTCAACTACGCCAGCAAGGTTCAGGAACTTTTGGTTGATGTACGACTGACGTTGGCCTATAAGGCTGGACCAGCCTACGGGTACTTCGATATTTGTAAACTCCTAGAAAAGGTGCCACATATCAAGACGCTTCGCCTCTATCACAGACATGACGGCTTTTCACCGCTTATGCATGCAGATCATGCTCACCGTTGGACCTATCCTTCGTCCTTATTCGAGACCCTGAAAGATAACAATGTCCGGCTCCATACCTTTGATTGGAATGCTCGCTTCATGGAACCACGAATGCTCATCAAGACTATGTTAGCACATCATCTTGAAGCTCCTTTCAAGAGTATTCGCACTCTACATCTTTTCCAAATTCCATCCGATGACATCGTACTAGAAAACGAGAGTGATATTGCTGAGATGGGTGACAAACTCATAGAAACTGGACTCGGTGCAGCTTTGTGCCAATTACCGGAATTGCGAACTGTGTCATTTACGGATTGTATGGCTGTCAATGAACTGCTATTCGTCGCCATGCCGTCGACATTGGAATCGCTAACGCTCGACAACTGTGACGAGGTTGCAACCCCAAGTTTGACTGCTTTCTTGAAAAGCCACGGAGCAAACTTGCGAGAGCTGGTTCTCAAGCACAATCGACATCTCAATATGTCATTTACAACAACTCTGAGGGATTCCTGTCCTAAACTGGAAAAGCTATCGACCGACTTTATAATGCATAACTGGCCCCCATACTTTAATGGAATGCCACATTTCGAGAGTCTTCTCAAAGCTGGTGAAATACCAACCTGGCCCAAAACACTTCAAGAAATTGAATTGCTACAGCTTCGTCAATGGGATAAACCGAGAGCGGCGACTTTCTTCAGCTCCCTAGTTGACGCCGCACCGGAACTCATGAACTTGCGCCGAATTGTCATAAGCGCCACTATAAAGATGGGGTGGCAAGATAGAGCATCATTCCGTCGGCAATGGATCAAAAAGTTTGAGCAGACATTTCTTCGCCAAGACAGTTCGCCAAAGCCAAATGCACTGGCAGATTCCAAACCCGACCATTCTGTGAGTGGGGATTCGGTTCGGAGACACTCCCATCGAGAGAGTGCCCGCTTGGCCAACCAACGTCTTTCAGGAGTCGATAATGATTCTGATGATAGCGATCGGGATTTTAGCGCAGAGGAGGACGTCGAAGCACAAGAAAACGACGTTAATGTTGCACATGTCCAAGGCTTGTGTGACGTTGTATCACTGCGAATTGACAACCTCAGACCAGCGGACACACAGTTCAACGAGGGTGACTTTCTAAACTCCGAAGAGAGCGGAGATGAGGACTGGAATGGCGAAGACTGGGAACCCGGTGACGATGGTCATGCTTGGTGAGATACTGCCCTTATGTTTATTTTATCTGATTTATTTGTTTTACAAAATCATTCCAATCTACTCTGTTCCTGAAGCCATGGGAGTTTGTCTGAGGGAGTTCTGGCTAGCACTGTGTGGGATGGAATTACATTATGGGGTGATTGAATTCTCTGGATTTCCCGTTTTTTCTTTTCAACTACCACCTGTATCATTAATATGCCCCGGGTTTCTGTCATATGAAGTTGCGTTTTTAGTAGAAGTCAACAGGCATGGATCGACGGCGTTTTCACACTAGCAACGACCACCAAATGTCAATTGATGTCGAGATATGTATTTTAATATGTATTCAGGTAGTAAATTGTTTACTGAAGTCATGAATTACTCCAAATGCCTTAAGCACCAGCTGAGCAGGATTGCTAAATATCTATATCACGCCTAATTAAGGAAAAAACACGTCAACAATTTCCCATATAGCCTTATTAAATCCATCACGCAACAATGCCTATATCCCGGTCCTCTATCGCCATCTTGAACTCTTCCGGGTCTTCTCCACGCTCTTTCATAACCCACAACAATGTATCAACAAACGTCTCTCCGTTGTTCCGAAACCAGTCGCCCAAGGACTGCACATACGCTTCGACATGCTCTTTCAAAGGGGCATGATCTCGCAGCCACAATACCTGTCCTGGATCAAGCTTGAGCATGTCTTGGACAATGTAATAATGCGGAATCTCATCGCCCCAGCCTTCCTGACCGGGGTCATGGAATATATCAGATCGGAGTTTCGACGCCAATGACGACGACTTTGACGGTGTAGCTGCGGCGTTGTGATGATTGTGAAAGAACGTATCGTGATTCACAGTATTGTTCTCGAGAGGACCGAAATACGTTCCGGGGGAGAGGCTAGATCGCTCAGGACGGTAGTTTAGATGGATGTTGAAAGAGAGCGGGTGGATGTTTTCAGGGTAGCGTTTGTGGAACTTGCGTTGAATGCTGCCATTACTGGGACAAATATGGTTCTGGACTACATCTTGAATCACCATACGCACATCTTCAATCTCAGCCAGTTCCCCTGTTGACCAATTATGCAACAATTGTGCCCGTTCAACCACAACGTTGCGCAGGCCACGAGAGAAGCGGTCAAATTGATGAACGTGGAATGCACGGTTATATAGCCATAACCGATAAACCGCGCGCCGCAGACGAAAGCGTTCTTCATCCGTCAACAAGCGGCGATTTGCGAAATCGCTTTTCCACTTCTTCACGGGGTATATAGCTTCCCACTTCTGGGCCACGCGGCCGACTTGGACCACCTGTTTCAAGAGGGCATCGGACAGGGAAGCTTCGCGGACGAGCTGCGCTGGTTGACTGGCGTTTTGGGTTACTATCTGGATTATATCGTGTATAGGACCAAATTCTGCATCTGCAGCACTCATAAGAATTGAGATTTTGGATGATGGGCCCAGGACACGGCGCAGTCGGTGGTTGGTGGCGGCTAGATGCAGGACATCGGAGATGGAATCGCAGGAACGAAAAATTTGGAGCAAAAGCTCCGTGGGTAGAGTTTGGAGGCCCATGGTAAATATAAGAACTGTTCAAAATCGGTTAGTCAGCAAGCTTCGACGAAGCTTGCTCAGGAAGGAGCTCTTACCTCGAAGGTGTGGATATCTTAGTTTGGTATAGTCTTGAATGTCTTTCAGATTAAAGTGACGGATTGACTTTTCTAGAAGTGAATTGCTCTAAATAGAGAATCTAAATGTATGATTGTAATGGCGAGAAATTGACGACTCTGGCGATACTAATTTAGCATGCGCAAGCCGTCGCCGATGTTGTTGAGGACCTATACGACGATTACCCCTTCTTTGGGGCTGTCAAGGGTTCCGAAGTGAAAGACAATCATGGGAGAGGAGACTTTATGAGCATAGTAGCTTTGCGACCCTTCTGGGCCGCTGAAAGATGGGACAGTCATGGCTGGATGGTGTGTTTGAGGGAGCTGGATGAGGCTGGCGCGACAGATGGCGTATTTATAGCTGGAGCTCTGTTATGTAAGCCAGCTAGCTCGCCGCAGATCAGCAAACGGTTCACTACATGTAGTTGTAAGCAGAGTGAGCCTACAAATTACAAGAGTCTAGATAGAAGTTATTTTCTTGAATTTGAATGATGCAGCTTTTGATCCACTATCAACACAACTCCAGTCAACGCCAGAACAGCATACATGAATAATGTCAACTGATATCGCATCGAAATAATGCAAGTGGTAGAGGATATTTCCACGAAGACAATATAACCATATTACACAGAAGCATAAATAGAGCCTTTATCTTTCCCGTCTCAACCAAATACCTCTCTCGTATCCAGTGCATCTCTCTTCCTGCCTTCTCTCCCCAGTCCCAGCGTCGACTTCTTGGCCACGTGATCAGTCTGCGTGTCCCGACGTTGGGCATATCGGCTTGCTTTCTGAAGGCGAACATCGCGGCGGACTTGGTTAGGACTGACGTACTCCTTGTTCTCGTAAATGACCGGTCCACCAAAACTTCCTTCGAGGATGACAATCGGAGTCAGGACAAAACGAGGTCCGATCTCGACGAGCGATATATCCGGCAGACCATCCTTGCTCTTGACGACCTGCTTTTCATTCTCATCTCCTTTTTTGCTCTGAGTACCATCGGACTCTCGAATCTCGTAGACCCTGATCCAGATCTTCCCATCAACGCCAAAGACACCGATGATACGATCGATAAATGGCTTCACTCCCCTGACGCCCCGCTTAGGTACACAAAAGACTTTGCGCAGCATCTCTCTGATAAGTCCGCGGTATTCAGTACCATTCTGGCCCATCTCAGGACCCTTTTCATTGAACGACTTGTCGAAAACAACCACCCCGCGGCCGCCCTTCAGGCAGTTGCCTGAAAATCCAGTGCCCATTTCGCCCGTAGTATGCAAATTGGTCACAGAGAATTTAATGGTGGGGCCGTTAGGTGGTCGCGCAAGCCAAAGATACAAGTCTTGGCCGTGTTTTCGGGCCTCAAGAAAGAAGATAACATTGCACGAGTGCAGCTCTGCAAGAGAATTAAGAAGCATATTGTATCCGCCACTCTTTTTCGTATCCAATTTATTCTCTTTGTGCGTATGCGGAAGCAGCGCAGTCATGTCTGAAAGGAGATATCGGTGTCTGGATATGGTGAATTGTGTTAGAAACACTAATATTCTTCCAATGCGTCAAGTCTAGCACTTACCGATGGGTAACCCCTCTGGAAGTAAGCATTAGAACACGGCTTTTAGGCATTGTTCCATCATGACTCCCGGTCTTCTGCCCATTAACAGCGACTCCGCCGTCTTCATCAATATCCTCATCATCCTCGTCGCTGTCACTGGTGTCTTCGTCGAGCATATCTTCCATGTCAATATCCTCATCGTCGATATCTTCGTCGACAGGCCGCTCCTGCTTTTTCTTGGAGATTGATTTGTAAACGGACGCCATTATGGCTGTGGTGAAATTAACACCAGAAAGAAAATCAAAAATGTCTCTTCTAAAAGATAGAAGACTGGAAGCAGCTGTTCCGCAATCTTCAATCTTTTTTTTATCATCCCGGCGGCAGAACTTTTTAGTCGTTCACCGCCCGTCGATTGTCTCCACCGTCACAGCCAGCCAATCAATGAGCGATAACTGAGCCTAGTCACTTTTAGAGAGAGGAAAGTAAAGGAAATATTTTGACTATCGCTTACATAAATAACTCTATTCATCATAAAGAAAATGGGCGTTCGTCTGCACGAGAGGTGGAAGAGGCTGTAGCTTTATACGACACATCGCTAAGAGCAATTCTTGTAATAGAAATCCACCACAACATTTCAGGAATTAGGACGAAGACAAGAGAAAAATAGCAACTTAATTCAACTTTTGAGGATATCATTGCATAGTCTCAACGCTAGAAATACCGCGAAGAAAAGTAACAAAAAGAAAGAATATAAGAATAAGAATGACAGAGAGAAGAGAAAAGAAATGTGAAGTATGTATTTCCAACGCTTCAAATGGTTGGGCACTAGCATCGTTTCATCGTGAAAATCCACTACCATTATCATACCGATTCTGGGGAGGATGTTGATTTGCGCCTGTAGGAGGCGATGTCCATGGTCCACTGACGAATTGAGGATCGGTTGGTGTATTTCTGACGGGTCCAGAACCAGGCAATTCCGCAGTACCGACATTTGGTGGTTGTTGAGTTTTCTGTGGGCCACCAGCCTGGCCCATTCCTACCTGGTTGTCGGGCAATTCGGCAATGAAAGCATTGTTGTTCATTGGTTGGCTGGTCGCGGTGTGGTGGCTCGATAGAGATGCTAAACTAGGGTGATGTGATAGATTTCCCTGCTGTGGGCCAGTTGCTTGTTGAGGCGATTGCACAGAGCCTGGAGTTCCATGCCCGGCTTTCGGAGGAAGATCACTTGGTGCTTCATAAATAGGAACACCTTGCGAGTAAAGGCTTGATACTTCTGGCTGTGGGGGAACCTCGAGTTCGTGATAGTTTGCAGGGATATTGTGAAACTGAGCCTGACCATGATTATTTGGGGAGTTGTTTCCAATATTCTGTTGCGGTAGATGGCCCATCGGAGGTTTGGTAGAGTGAGGTATTGTAGGCTGTGGGCCCATTTGCCATTGAAGCTGAGGAGGAGGCTGCCCAACACCACCTGGACCACCCGGTGTGCCTGGAGATTGATGTGACGGAGAATATACAGGGGAATATTGCTGGGGACTGTGCCATGACTGTGAACCTGGGCTGGCTGGAGAGAATTGATGAGGGATTGCTGGTTGATTAGGTGAATGCTGCTGAGGATAGCCGGGCGGTATTGTAGCCGGGTGTGGCACACCTTGGTGCTGGTGGTATGCATCTACAGGTGCAAAGGCTTGACCCTGAGGATGGTATTGCGGCACATCTCCCATGTAATTGCCAGAGTAGCCAGTAGAAGCATAGCCGTAAGGATTGGCAGCCGACTAGTTTAGTCAGTTGGGGGTCTGTATAGCTACAAATAAGAGGATAGCTTGTGATTTTGAAATACCTGATATTGAGGTCCGCCCACTGGGCCATACTGCATTTGTGAGCCAGGATGATTCGGGTGGCCGGGGGGGAATTGCTGGTATGGACTGGCACCAGTTTTTATGGGCATGAACTCCTTTGATATTTTATTCAGCATTCGATCGGCTAGCTGCGATAGACCAGAGCCGCCGTGAGAACCAAGTATGCTCTAAACAGATATCAGCCCTAGACGCCAGCTTTCACATGGAACAGTGGTCGCGCATACAGACAAGCCCGCCTTCTCGGTTGACGGACCAAAAAAAGACCTGTTTGCACCGTAGTTCACCATGCCTATTGGTGATATTGGCGACGAAGTCATTCCAGGCGCCTGCGTTGGCCCGACACCGATCGAACCGGGGGTTGTAGATGGTGAGAGGGCCACGGGTTCTGTTGGGATCTCCCATTGCGACTTGCCTGTTGCTCGCTGGACAAAGTACCATTTTCGCGACACGCCTTCCCACTGGGCAAGCCTGTACAGTCGAACGTGAAGTTAGTAGATGTACACAAAGTAACCAACAACGTCTGCCTTGGCAAAGCAAGAAAAATCGAGAAAACTGACCATCCTTCGGGCAAAGGCGGCGGTGGAGACGAAGGCCCCGCGCTGTCCTGGGGCGTGTCCTTGGCCATAAGCAGTGGGCTATCTTGACAGCTATCGTAATGCAAAGGTTGCAAATGCACGCTCAACGCACTGGGGCAGGTGGAATCATAGCTTCATTTTCACACCATCGATGGTGCGTGACTTGGGGATTAAAATCAACGATAACACTGGCGTTTGGAGATCGCGGCTGAGAGACGGCTGGACAGTTGATGCCGCCCCGTGATTGGCGTGGCGGGTGTGTGTTTCTCGTATTCCTTCTGCCCTGACTTCCTCCATAGTGACAAAGTTTGAAAATAGTATCAAGATTTGCTGCCTGTCTTTCATCTGCATTATATACGCCAATCTATGTCAGATTAATTTAGGCTTCTTGGGGGGACGCTCGTAGATAATGCAAAAAGTTCAGATAGTAAATAATATTGATACGGGGAGAGCTCCTACAGCCAATCCCCTTTTGTGGAGCTATATTCAGACTTTTGTCATCTTATTGTATTAGTGACTCCGTATTCCACATGACAAGTCATTTCTATATTAATATTATATATTATTATATACCATTTTTACATAAAGACAACTAAAGAGCTCTAATTGCGTGAGGCGGGGTGAGACACCTCTCCCCCCGCTCCTCATGGCGATAGCAGTATCCTCAAACCGGTTTTAACCTACTCATAACGCCTCTAGATCATCGTCTACGGAGTACTCCCAATGTCCAAACTCGCCGTCATCATCGGCGTCACCGGCAATCAGGGTGGTTCCGTTGCCCAGCGCTTCCTCCAGGACTCTCAATACCGAGTCCGTGGTATCACTCGGGACCCCGCCTCGGCCAAGGCCCAGGAATTATCTTCGCAGGGCGTCGAGATTGTGAAAGCCGACCTCGAAGATGTCGACAGTCTCGTTGCCGCTTTCCACGGCGCTAATGTTATCTTCAGCGTGACTAACTATTGGGAACCCTTCTTCCGACCAGACCATCGACAGGCAGCCGCTGACGCCGGGATATCCATTCGCCAGCACGCCTATAACGTTGAGCATCGCCAGGGCCAAAACATTGCCGACGCAGCTGCAACGGTGTTGGACTCACTGGACCACAATGGCTTCCTCGCGTCGACGCTAAGCCATGCAAAGAAAAGCAGTAATGGCGTATATGAAGAACTATACCACTTCGATGCCAAGGCAGACATTTTCCCATATTATGTGCAGGAGAAATGGCCGCAACTCGCAGCCAAGGCGTCGTATATCCAAACCGGATTCTTCACCCGAAGCTACAAATTAGTCCCCACAGCGTACTTCCAAAAGGTCTTCTATTACTATATCTATCCCCCCCAAGACAAGACACATGCTAACGAAGTACGTGACAGCAACCAGATGGAAGTCGCCATATGCTTTTCCCAACTGATCCGGACAGCCTCATTCCGCACCTCGAAGTTAACCGCGATATCGGCAACTTCGTCTACGCCGTGTCCAAGATGCCGCCGAGAAAACACTACATGGCCGAGGGCACCACCTGCAGCTGGACCGAATACATTCGTCTCTTCACTTCCATCACGGGAATCTCAGCTCAGTACAAGCAGACGTCGCTAGCCGACATGATCGAGGCCGTGCCCGACCGGGAATTCGGCCGCGAGGTCGGCGATATGCTTCTATACTCGACGGATCCGGGATATGATGGCGGGGATAAGACGCTTCTCAAGGCCACTGATATTCGAAAGGTATAGTCTCTTTCCTCCACGATTAAGAGGGAGTTTTGACTGACTTCTCAGGCCGGTATCGACTGTCCGATGACGAGCCTCGAAGAATGGATGAAATTGGAGGATTGGTCTGTCCTTGGGCCATAACTCTCGTGACATAATTGTAAATACATATAATAAACGCGTAAGAGGAAGAATAGCCGTCACTTTTGAGATGACAGGCCATTATACTTGATCAGACTCTGGTCGTCGGTCGATATGATTGAGGACTTGTACGTGGAATCGCTATCGCTATCGCCATCGCCTAGTGAGGACGACGGTCGGTCATGCCGAGGATATCAAAGGCAATACGTGGATGAAACATTTCTCATCTTAGCCCATCCATTCGAAAAGCTTAAAAGATTGCTAGTTTTGGTCGCTAATTGTGCTTGGCATAGAATCCCTGAATAGGGGGATGCGTACGTTCAAAGACAGCCATTGGAGACAAGCCAAATTTCACTGGCACATGCACGTCCCAGGCGGCAAAGTAAATATTTGAGAGATTCTGGGCCTCGGGGAAAACACACTGGGATGATTGCTTCGATGCGCTCTATATATGTTTTACACTTCGCATGGGGTCGATGGCCGAGGATTGCGAGGGAGAAGTATAATTTTAACAACCACATGTGCAGTGCAGTATTGATAATCACATGATTTTTTTTATCAGATGTCGTACATATATTAAAGTTATATTAAACTTTCCAATATACTTCAATTCTATTTTCGTCGTATCTACATCTAATTACCAACTACATGTTATTAACCAGGGTTTTTCTTTCCATCAGAAGTGAATTTACAAGTCCTGTGTTTTTGATCGCGGCGGCTTTAATCCTTCCTTGGTCTTTAGTATAGTTATCAAAAAAGTTATTTAGATTTGACTGATAATCTCCAAAATGCGACTCTAGATTTAGAGTTTGTGTTTGATTGGTAGATCATGGGACGTCAAATTTAGCCGATGCGGCCATAGCCAATCACAAAACAATATTTACGACTTTTCCGGAGTCGCCGCGAATCTTGGTGGAGGGTGTAAAATCCAGCCAATCGCAATCTAGAAACTACACAAAAGCCCCCACGAACGGTGACTAATTATTGGGCTTCTTAAATCTTAAAAACCGGAGATTCGAGGCTGAAACCAACAACAGCGGGGCTGGCGACCAATCAGTGCCCATCGACAAATTTTTTTCGATCCCTTGCCGAAACACACATTCGCCGCATCTGCCAGCCAGCTGCAGGTTCGGGACAAATTCTGTCGAATACGGACGCATGCGAGTCTAGACCTAGGCGTGCATCCTGCACACTGCCACGTCATGCTGGAAATGGCAAAAGGGGACAATCTCGGCCCTGCTCGGATTGGCTGGTCCAGTTTTTCAGGCTTCTCCCTATTCGGGCAAACAAAGGCGTGCTAGTCATGCTAGTCATGCTAACCATGCTAGCACCAACCCTAAAGATTCTACTACTGCTGCCACGAGGTTTAAGCGTCGCTTTAAAATCTGCTGGTGCCCATCGAAATCCACATCTTGACAGGATCCTGTAAGGAAGCGTTTTATACAGCGACGCCTTCATGTGCCGCCACACTGCAGATTCAGATTCTTTGGTGGAAGCGAACATTTGCAGACGGCGATGATGTCGCTGCTCCTTGGGGGGTGGCACTCGTCTGCCGGCTCCCATCACAATTACCACCACTCCCACCCTCAGACGCAACATGTGTCGGTCTTTGAAAAGCGCCTGTCGGATCCATTCTCAATGCCTAGCATTGACCCGCTACCAGACTACCATCGAAATGGCCTCATCGCGGTGTCGACCTTTGCACTTCTGTCGCTTGTAGCGACCTTGGGCATGCTTTTATTCATGACTTGCCGACTCGTCTTCTGGCGCCGGTTCAGCACCGCCTATCCAGGATACAACCAATACGTGATTCTCATTTACAACCTACTGATTGCCGATCTGATCCAGGCGTGTGCCTTTTCGTTAAATCTCTACTGGGTGTCAAACAACAAAATAGACTCCCCCTCGGCTGCATGTTTCATGCAGGGCTTATTTATACAACTGGGCGATCCTGGGAGCGGTCTGTTCGCGTTAGCCATTGCCGCGCACACTTTCATGCAAGCGGTATTTGGTCGACAGATAGAATACAGATGGTTTATCTCCGGAATCCTGAGTATTTGGGGATTCATGATCATTATGTGTATCATTCCAATCGCCTCACACTTGAAAGCTCCGCATCCGGTTTTTGCACCGACCGGAGCCTGGGTGAGTTTATATACGTTCTTTTTCAAAAAGAAAATGTCCGCTAATCCCTGCTCTCTAGTGCTGGATCAATACTGGGTATGAGAAGGATCGATTGTGGACACATTATTTCTGGATCTTCGTTGCGGAATTCGGCACTCTGGTTCTTTATGGAATTATGTATTTCGAACTCCGCCGAAGAATCGCTGCCTCGCCTGCCCATCAGTCACAAAAGCGGTTGATTCGAATCGTCAATATGATGGTTATGTACCCGATCGCCTACGTTGTACTGTCACTGCCGCTAGCAGTCGGCCGCATGTCGACGGCTCAGGGCCACACTCCCTCGGTGCGATACTTTTGCGTCGCGGGCTCGATGATCACCTGTTCAGGGTTATGCGATGTGGTTATGTATACCTTTACCCGTAGAGCCCTGGCCGTAGAACCTGAGAACCGGACAAACCGATCCGACAATCTCAATCCGTTCCATCACCAAGACTACCGCAGCAACCACATTGCGACGGTGGTCGCGATGACTGCGCGCAAGGACAACGACGGCATGTTATCTGGGCGACGCTTCCTCGGCCGCAAAACCCACAAGGGGTATCCCCAGCAACAGTCATCGAGTTCCATAGACCACCATGAGTCCTGCGAGAGTATCATCGGTCTTAAGGATGCCCGCGAATCCACCGACGCAATCAAACTATCCGACCTTTACCAGAAAACCACCATCGAGGTGACCAGCGAACCCGCCTATCCCTCGGCAGCATCTGAAGATAGGCCAACGCCCCCAAGAACCTCGTTTTCAAGTGAAATCTCGCGATCTGCGGATAATAATACCATAAATCCACCTGCGAAAGCGAGGACGAAGCGATGACCAACTTTGCCACGCAACTCAACTTGTACATAGCGACATCTATGTGTTTGTATTTTTAGATTCATTAAAAAACCATGTATATAGTAAATAGCATTGAACGAAGTTATGATACCCAAACCCTACAGTTGTGAGCGCGGTCGGGCAATCGGCGTCTAGCGGAGAAGAATTGCACCGAACTGGAATACCGACCCGCGATTAGCACATGATAGTATTAAATGTGCATGAATTGCGGCACGATATAAGCTGCACGGCACGGCACGCCTCGCCTTTATCGCAGCTCGCTCTCAACCTTCACTGCGGCATTAGCAAAACCACCCCAAAAGAGCAGAAAGGATCTGAAAAGAATTGAAAAGAATTGCAAGTACATTGAACAACCGTAATTATGTCTTGTCCGCAATGTTTCTCGGGCAGCGTGCATGAGGGCACACCCAAGGGCGAGATCACCAAGCTCCACGGCCTAGACGCCTATGTGAGCGCGCCACCGCAGGAGCCCGCCAAGGGTATTGTGATCATCGTCCCTGACGCTTTTGGCTGGGAATTCGTCAACCTTCGTCTTCTGGCAGACCACTACGCTGAGAAGGGCAATTTCAAGGTGTACTTGCCTGATTTCATGAATGGTGGGTACCTCCATGCAAGAAACCGTGGTTGTTAAGCCGAGGTTGTTAACAAGCAGTTATAGGCCATCCAGCGTCCACTGCTGTTCTCACTGCAGTGCCAAAATTGGTAGGAGGAGGGGGTCTGTGGGCATGGTTGGCCAAACCGTACTGGCTTTTTCTCCTGGTGAAAATCATGGTTCCGTTCTTCATCCACAATCGGTTTGGAAAGGTCTGGCCCGTTGTTGAGAGTTTCTTCAAGACAGTGCGTGAAAACGAAGGCGCCAATCTTCCTATCGGGGTCGCTGGGTTTTGCTGGGGCGGCAAACACTCTGTTGTTCTGGCTCATGGGACGAGCAGCGTCAATGGCAAGCCATTGATCGATGCTGCTTTTACTGGCCACCCGAGCATGCTGGACTTCCCCAGTGATATTGAGAAGATCAAGATCCCGACCTCGTTCGCACTAGCCGGAGAAGACTTTGTTGTGCCGGCTTCCAAAATTGAATTGATCCAGAAGATCATCGAGGCGCAGCCTGAAGAGACCAAGGGCGAGTCCAAGGTCTATGTTGGAACCGGCCACGGCTTCTGTGTTCGAGCAGATCACATTTCCGTAGAGAAGGAGCGCGCGGCGACCGAGGCTGAGGACCAGGCTGTTTCTTGGTTTTTGAAGTACTTTGCAAAGACGTCTTACTGATTGGAATTGCTGTATTCTTTTTTTTTTTAGCATATATGTAGTAACAAGAAGCTGTATTAATAAGCTTGAGACATCAAAGTAACACTAAACATAGAAGGTGTGAGTAATGACGTTCAGCCAATGACAATGGCCGGCGGACCCACTGCGCATCAATGGCCGGTGACCATCCCGACTAATTATGTTGAGGATGCTCCGAGTCATCGATCGATCGTGCTCGTCATCCGCAAACATCCAAGCATCGGGTCAGACCAGGAGCCAGGTCGCAGTCTGACTCGGGGACACCAGGGTTAGCCTATCGAAAGTCTCATTCCTGAAGACGACGACGACGACGACATCTGCAAAGCCACCGTATCGATCAGTATGAGGAGGCTTCCCCGCGTGGCGTCCGCAGTCGGCCGTCGACAGCTTCAGCCATTCCCATTCCACTGCTCACGAGCTTCTCCCATCACTGCTATAGCTCCCCATAGAGAATTTACGTCCCTAGGATTCCGTCTATTACCCTCTGATTTTCACCGCTCCGATTTCACAAGTCAACCGTTCACTGGAAGCTATGAAGCTGGCCTCCCAACTTCCGGTCCCCTGGGGTCCGCCCCCGCCTTTGGCACCCCAAGGTTAACACCACGAATGTTGAAGCAGTATCTCGATCAGTATGTGGTTGGGCAGGACAGGGCGAAGAAGATTCTCAGTGTGGCCGTTTACAATCATTACCAGCGTATAATGGAGCTGCAGCGACAGGACGAGGCTGCTGCGGAGTTGATGGCGCAGAGGGAGAGACGAGCGTCGGTGGAAGCTCATCCAATGGAGAGTATGGGTATATTCATTTGCAGCATCAAAAACACTGTACTAACATGCTATTTTTTAGGCGAGTTCCCCGGCCAGCAGCGAACAGTCCACATTCGGCCTCCACCACGAGAGCCTGACCACCATCCATTCGGACAGTCACCTTTGACTGATGAGTCCCCAGTGCAGCTTGAAAAGTCAAACATACTCTTACTTGGACCATCTGGTGTCGGCAAGACGCTGATGGCCAAGACCCTAGCCCGGGTCCTGGATGTACCATTCAGCATGTCTGACTGCACCCCGTTCACTCAAGCTGGATACATCGGCGAGGATGCCGAAGTCTGTGTCCACCGACTACTTGCCGCCGCTAATTACGACGTTGAAAAGGCCGAACGAGGGATAATCTGCCTCGACGAGATTGATAAAATAGCGACTGCCAAGGTCAGCCACGGGAAGGATGTCAGCGGTGAAGGCGTTCAACAAGCTCTCCTCAAAATCATTGAGGGGACCACAATCCAAGTCCAAGCAAAACCAGAGAGACACTCATCCAGGCCCGCGGGAGGTGCTCCCCCCGGATCATTTCCTCCAGGAGGCATGCCTGGTGCTGGTTACTCCTCCAGCGCCTCAGGCGGACCCTCCCCACCCTCAAAGGGCGAGGTATACAACGTACGAACCGACAACATCCTCTTCATCTTCTCCGGGGCCTTTGTCGGGCTCAACAAAGTCGTAATGGACCGGGTCTCCAAGGGCTCCATGGGCTTTGGACAGCCCGTGCGAGCATCCTCTGGTTCCTCTGGCGACGGCCATTACAACCCATCCATACCAAACCAACCTCCAGTCCCCATCCTGCCAGGTTCCGAGGAAGAAGCATTGTACAAAAAACACCTCCCGTTCTTCACTTCTGCAACGCCAGCTTCCTCTCACGGGGACCCCATCTACTTCAACCCCCTCGACCTCCTCACCCCTACCGACCTCCAAAACTTCGGCTTCATCCCCGAACTCGTGGGCCGAATACCCGTCACCACGGCCCTTTCCCCCCTCAGCCACAGCCTCCTCCTTCGCATCCTCACCGAACCACGCAACTCGCTCATCACACAATACGAAACCCTCTTCGACCTCTCCGGCATAAAACTCAGCTTCACGACCGCGGCACTCCACAAAATCGCCTCCAACGCAATCGCCATGGGCACCGGTGCACGCGCCCTGCGCACAGAGCTAGAAACGCTCCTCTCGGACCCGATGTTCGAAGGACCGGGGTCATCCGTCAAATTCGTGCTCGTGACCGAGAACGTGGCAGTTCGGAACGAAAAACCCATCTACCTCGGGCGCGGCCATGGCAGTCGGTTCCATTCTATGATTGCTGCCGAGGAGAGCGAGTGGGAGGCTCGACAGCAAAAGCGCGCTGAGAGTAATAGTAATGATAAGGTGTCTAGCTTTGCCGAGTATCGGAAAAGTGCAACTACTGGTCAGTAGACATTGTCAACTATTTTGGGTTGCACCGACGCGCTGTTTGGATGTTCATTGTATATATATATATATTGCTACGTTGCTAAGCGGGTCTTGCTTTTATGATAACAGCGGGTATGGGATATGAAAATTATGCTTATATATATATTCTCTTGTGCATTTCATCTCTAAACCTCGCATAGATAATTCTGTTGCTAGTAGACATATATAGCCACGTCCTAACACACATACAGCAGTAGCAGCTGAAAAATACGACATAAATAGTCTCATTTAGAGCTATTTTTCCCATCCGAGCTCCTCCTGAACTCGGTTGGCTTCGGCAGCGTCCCCAGTTTATGAGCTTGCGGATCCCATACCACGGTGTGTGGCTTTTCTGGGAGTGGTTTCGACGCATCATTCTGAGCCAACCACTTTGTGTAATTCTCCTTTTTGACGTTCCATCTTTGGTAGAAATCATTGATTCCACGGCATACTTCGATCTAGATATAATAAGCATATGGGGAGATACACTAAACGATATTGAACTTACATGCGTCCAACTCCGCCATGGCTCTCTTGGCTCATCGAGAGTGATTATGCAGAACCGTCTCATGGATGCGGCGTTGAGAAGGGACCAGGTTGAGAAAATCTCACAGAGGTAGTCTGTGGCTCGGTTTGCTCGTGCAGTTGCATCGGATGGGGCTGGAGACTCTTTGTCATCTTGAGCTTTGACTTTGGGCATGTCTTGTATTGAAACGACCGAGGTCTCAAGGCATGGGTCAGCTAATTGGTCGAGGTCGCGTGCTTCCATTGGCCAGTTGGATGGCTCTCCTCTACAGTAGATGTAGCCAATCAGAACAGCCATTACTTCAAATCTGAAGAGGTATTAGCAACTATTCCAGTTTTATATCTGCGAAATGCTTTCACTAACCGAGGGTCTTTGTCCGACATCATCTCCAACCACTCTAGGATATTCGGACGGAACATCATTCGGTAACTACCTGGAAGTTTTGAATAAGCGTAATCTCGAAACCAAGCAAGGATAATGATTGCTGCATCTGGATCATGTCGCATCACATCCTCAGTCATGAGGAAGCCTGCTCCGTTAGGGAATATTCTCTGGAAATGCACTTCTGGGTCGAGATTTGGAATGAACCCATCTAATGAAGCATTCCAAAAGTTGAATGATGTACTTCTTGTAAGATTATAGAATCCAGGAAGAGTATAGTATCCTATAAAACTATGGTGGAACTAGACAGAAATGGATTTAGTCAAAATATAAGAAAAAGGACACTTTTGATACATACCAATGCAACCCCTGATTGGGATTTCGCAAATTTCTCCCAGTCGTTGGGTTTACGATTAGACAACACAATTGCAAAGTGACTTTCAAGAAAATGTTCCAATACTTGATAATCCCCATCAGCCTCTTCAGGAAAGTACAGATAAAAGCAATTTGTAAAATTTGCTCGCCAGCTAGTGTTGACGGCAGCAAGATTGTGAAAGTCCAACTTGAACACTCTAGGGAACACTTTCTTGATGTATTCCGTGGAATCAATATTTTCCTTGTTGTCTGCATCCAACATCTCCACATCTTGTCTGTTTTCGAGGTCTTTCTTTTCTGATGTCGCCTTTGAGGGATCAGGATTCGGCGGTGTGTCATCAGTAATTTCCATGGCAGCCGGGTCCGTAAATGAAGCATTTGATGGTTTTTCCTGAAGAGAAAAGGTAGTGAGAGAGCTAGTGTGCTCGGTGGCTTGTTTATCATTTGGAGAGCGATTAGGCTCAGTGGCAGACCTTTCAAGAGGTCCAATATCCGAGACTGCATCTCGAACGACAAGTCGGACCGAACTTGAAATAGCGTTCTTGTCACTGACAGAATGTGTCGTTGCGGTGTTTTCTTTAATATTAGAATGGTCTGTTGGCGTTTTTTCTCGTATAATTATTGGCGGGCCCTTTGAACTATCTGACCCTCTATCACTGGGGGCGCTTAAACCGGAATCTTTGCTGGGCTTTGGGGTAGACTTCACAGCTATTCCAGAAATTGTATTTGTTGATCGTGAAGGACCTGGTGTCTTGGTGATCTTGCGTACTTTCAAAGGAGATGGTGTAGGTTGTGTGGATAGAGATTTCATATCTAAGCGTGGAGGAGAAGGAATAGTCTGTGATGATAGTCTTCGTGATAGAAAACCTTCCAGCCTAGGTTCCATCGATTCATGAAATCGTCCTTGTCGTTCTGGTCTTGCCAGCCTGCCGACGCCCTCGTCAGGAATGTCTTGAGCAGGCCTGGTACGAGATGGGCGTGGTAGTAGACCAGCCATTCCTGCAATCCCTAACGATCCATCTGGAGCGGTGTATGAATACCTGTTCAGGAATTGAAAGCTTTTTGACCCTGTTGGATAGCAGAAAAGAGTCACCGAATACACTGGGTGAGCACCATTGGGAATCCTGGAGATTCCAACAAGATCTTTGTCCAGCAAAAGTTTGGAAAGCACGGTGAGCTTTGCCTGTGTGTCAGCGAAAGCGGTTATACAACCATTGAAATGGATGTCACTGCCTAACTATGATTAACTCTGTTAGTATTTGTGGTCAGGGGTACGGGCGAAGCTTACCTTATCAGTGAGAGCCCTGTATTGTTCCAAGCTGCAAAGTTCATCAAAATGGATGTTGATATCCCGAGCCTCCTTACGCTTGTAAATCGTTCTGCGAGCGGATTCTGACAAATTACAAACCGAAACGTCACCAACTCCCACATCATCGTGACCATAGAATAGCTGACAAAGAAGGTCCCCTTTCCTACTCAGTTCACGAGCTCCAATCTTATATACCCTACCAGAACTCTTCATTGAACGTGGGCCCGGTTTGCGTATCGTTGTGGTTTTCATTATAGGTGAATTTGATGATCGAAGGCCAGAAACAACACGAACAAGACTTGAAGGACTGGCCCCAACAACTGGGTTGGCCATTGAGGAAGTGGCCGCACTAGCAATAGTTGCGCTAATGACTGGGTCATCGTCATCATCATCATCATCCTCCTGTTCAACAAAAAGGCTATCATTGGCATTATTCCGCTGACCTCTCAAATATGACGACATCTGGAAAGGTGTCCAGTCTCCAGGCTTCCGCAGCTCCAATTGACCTCGATCCGGTTCATGATCCATCTTCGCAGCTTTGTCGAACTTGTTCGTAGTAGAGAAGAGCTTCCAGGTTTTATTCTCCTCGGCTGAATGATTTTGCTTCTCTTTCGCTCGTTGCAAGACGTCCACGAGACCTTTATTCGGATTGCGGCCTTCCAATACGGCCATGCCAACAGGCTCAGGTATTGCAAGTGTGGGCCTTTCTGCCCGGCGAGGTGCGGTTTGGGAGGCGGGAGCTGTCTTAGCTGCATGTTTCTGCCCTTCCGGTGGTTGTGGCTGGGTTTGCTCCCCATGAGACTGGTCCATCTGATCTTTCTTCGATATTTTGGCGCTTGGCAGTCGCCTTTGTCTGACAGGTATGCCGTTGTCACCACCATCAGTCGGAGATTCCCCAGCAGATTTCCTTGAATTTCGCCCATGTTCAGCCTCTCTTTCAATTGAGGACCCTTCTTTGGATATTTCGAGTAAGCTGACCCTAGCTCGCTTTTCCCTCCGCCGACGTTTACGTTCGTCTCTGGCATCTTCTGAGGCTTCAAGCCTTGCTTCCCATGCCTCGACATCGAAAGGGGCCCGAATACCTTGCTGGATAGCAAGACGCTTCCTTTTCCACGCTTTGAGAGTGTCACTATCATTAAATGAAGAGGCTGGCTCCCACGTACAACGCAAATCCGAATACCCTTTCCATTTTACGAGATACATCTTAGCTCCGTATCGAATATCTTGGGCATAAACGGTTTCAACTTCGTACTCTTCTTGCGCCTCACTTTCAACAGTCGAGGTGAGTGAAATCTCATCATCGTCTCGTTTTCGTAAGGGGTTTGAAGGTGGTACGGAGCTTGCAGCACCGGAACCAAAAGACACGGAGGAGGGCCCAAGGCTGGAGTTTGTTTCGGCCATTGCTTTCACACCATCGCCAGTGTTGACTGGGTAGTTTGGTATGATAGAAGGCAGCAATCTCTAAAGATGATATGATAGTGTTGAAACTTGAATCAAGTGGAAGAAGTTTGTGGAACAAAAATGGTGGTTCGTGAAGGTGAAGGAGGAACAAGGCTGTCAGGCAAGAGGGGCTGTTTGATACCTGCCTTGTTTGTAGCCATGGTAAACGGTCACCAGTATCATCGGTACCTTCCCATTTGCAGATATATCAGTTTGCAGTATCTAAATGGCATTTTCCATGTCATGCATCGTGCAAATCTCGCCATTGTAGCTTCATATTTCTCTTCATGGAGACGGCCAAATGATACTCGCGCTTAGTCATCAGCATTAGCTAGGCAGGTTAATCTCACTTGGGATGGATTTACAATCACGTTTAAAAGACAAGGTGATAGTGATAGGTAGCTCTAATCGAGCAATGCTACTCATACTGCTAGTAAGACTTTCCTATTATGTCACTCTTGAAGCTATATACACATGTGTAACAGAGCGAAGCAAGGGTTGGAAATTCCATAAGCACTGGGTCACGTGTCTACCGATAGAGCTATTAGCTATCATTAACTTTTGAGCTGTGTCTCAGTGGTCGAATACTTATTCGACTATCTGGAATTGTATCAATAAATGTGTATCTATCGCTTGGCGCTTAATAACTGAAAATGACTCGGAAAATTGCTCATAAATCAAGGGGTATATATACATTCCGAAAAAGCAGCTTTTGTTATCATGAATCATCCTAGACATCACTATCATACACTTATTACCTGAAAATGTCGCTCAATCATAAAATATCGTCGTTCCAACGCCTATAGAGGCATCCCTTTCCGAGTCAGGAGCTTTTCTATTCGTGCCTTCATCGTATCTACCAATTTGTTGATTTCTTTTGTAGTAATTTTGTCCCACTCCTCCAAGACAGCAATCTTCAGCTGGACCTTGTCGCCGATACTTCTTTTCTGGAGCCTCTTCTTCAAAAGAAGCATGACGTCCTTGAAAACGTTGAGGTCCGGCGATGCCCCTGGATTGCGAAGATAGGGTAACTGTACCGAATCCAGATAGGCGTGCACCAAGTTTTGACCAGGTGCCGGGCTCTCTTGGCCTCCGCTGGAGCTGTCTAGGTATATTAGCCGCCTTACCGTCGCGATAGGTTGCACGTTGGGTTGTAATATTTGAGAAATATAATCACGCTGGCTAAGACTCGTATAATCAGTATCTTCGGTGTTGAGGAAAATAAGGGGGCTCTTGTAGTCGTAGCCGATCATTGCCCAGCAATGGAATATCGCCTTGTCGGTGCCTTCTCGCGATTGAAGACAGCCTTCGCACAGTCGCTCATCCTTCCGGTTGAAGACCTTCGCTTTTCTCGTCGTGCCAAGGCCAAAATTAACAAAGTCGTTAAATAAGACAGACCGCCACTCATTCTGCCATCTTTGGTGCGCGAGAGCATATTGCATCCGCTCATCCCGCGATTGGTTCGTTAACCACTTCTGCTGGCACGCGATTCTCTTGCAGTAACCTTCTTTGATCATATAATTTCGTATCGTTTGGAGGTGGACGCCATCGACACCCACGGCATTCCCCAGGTCCTCCCAAGAAACATCATCATTCGAATTCTCGAGAAGGCGAATCATTTTCTGGGTGAGGTCATCGCTGATCTTCTTCGGTCGACCGCGCCTGTCCGACTTCTTCGAGACACGGCCTTCCGCCTTTGGCATTTTTGGCAGTGCATTTTGATCGGGCCGGCTTGGGTGCGTTCTGTTTGTTTTCTCGACCTGCGGGCGAACCTGGGGTACCTGATTGCCCATCCTTTGCATATAGATAAACGTATTAGGCATTGGAGGAGCTGGGTTCTGCGGCATCTGAGCGCCGGGGACGCCTGTAGGGCCCGGGTTGAAAACGTTGCGCAATCCTCGTATCATCGACATGCTCTCTGCTGCTTGTTTGCCTCCTCTGCTCGATACAGCCCTGTACGAGGCAAGAAAACGCAGCTATACAGGTCACGTGTGAACCGCTAAACCGTATTGGGCGCCCAGTCAGTGCTCGGCGGGAAGCCACAGTCGACCTCCTGCTGAGGACGAGGGCTGCGCAGGCATTCATTTTATTGTTCAAAGCTGCCTTGACTCAAATCGAATCACTCATCTCCAGCTCTTCTCCTGATAAGACTCTGTGCTCTACCATCACCTCGACTCCTCGCTCCACGGCCATTGTTTTGACATTGGAACCAGTCCACCTCCCACTTGCTCCACCTATTCTCCCGCTATTCCTCGCCGCCACGTTTAGTTTGAGAAATCACCATCTCCTTTTCTCGCCCAGTGAACGACAGACACCATGGCTAACGACGAGTATGATGTGAGTCACTTCTTCCGCAATATCGCGAAACAACCTTTATAGAACTGGCCTAATTTTGTCTTGTGTGTAGTTTCTTTTCAAGGGTACGTCCCCTTTCCTCTTTGCTCCTTACTTGGGATGAATGATACAGGATGTATATACGGAATGAACGGTTGCTGATTTCGGTGTCTAGTCGTCCTTATTGGAGACTCTGGTGTTGGAAAGTCTAATCTTTTGAGTCGGTTTACTCGCAACGAGTTTAACCTCGATTCCAAGTCCACTATGTGAGCTGCGACTGATAAGACGAACCAAATCTCCGGAGAAAACGCTAACACCCCACAGTGGTGTTGAGTTTGCAACACGCTCGATCCAGGTTGACTCGAAAACCATCAAAGCTCAGATCTGGGATACTGCTGGACAAGAGCGATACCGTGCCATTACCTCAGCCTACTACCGCGGTGCCGTCGGAGCTCTGCTCGTTTATGACATCAGCAAGCATCAGACTTACGATGGTGTAACCCGGTGGTTAAAGGAGCTGCGAGGCCATGCCGATTCAAATATTGTCATCATGCTGGTTGGAAACAAGAGCGATTTGAGACATTTGCGTGCCGTGCCTACAGAAGATGCCAAGCAGTTTGCCAGTAAGCAACATTCATCGCACAAAACACGGTTTTGCGGCCATTTTGCTGATAATCTCAGGCGAAAACAACTTGTCCTTTATTGAAACCTCTGCCCTCGATGCGAGCAATGTCGAGCTTGCTTTCCAGAACATCCTGACAGGTTAGTTTCACACCTGTCAATAATATCAATATCAGTGACTCATGAGACGTCGAATAGAAATTTACGGTATCGTTTCGAGCAAGGCTTTGGATCAAGGCGAGGGTGGTCAAAACTCTGTTCCCATGGGCCACGTGATCGATGTCAGCAAGTCTGTAGACCCGGAAACGAAACAAGGATGCTGTTAAGAGGACAGTTTCGGAGAAGACGAAATGCCGTGATTACGATTTTACTATTTATCCAATATGACATGGGAATGGGTATCTTGACTTGGTTCTGGAAGTTGCCGGAGGTAATGGGATGGACCAACGGTTTAATCAAGATAGGGAATGAACAAGGCAGGGACTTGGGTCAACCATCACTAGCAAGAACAAGGTTGTTCGGTTTTGGCTGATGATTCGTTATGTCTTTGATAGCTTTCCGTGCACCCTCTGACCTTTCGCCCTTGAAGATGGCATCTTCTCTTCTCTGTTTGACCTTACTCCTACGTGGTATTTTCGGCCTTCTCACCCACACTTCATGTACCCTATGAACCGCATGGTCCATTTTTTTTTCCCTTCCCTTTTGAGGTCAGGCGCCTTTTTGATTGCTACTACATGCTCAGTTTTTATAGTGATGAGATGTGTTTTTTTTTTGCCTAGTTGAAGGTCCATTCGTAGTTACAGTTATATGTAATAATGATTTTTGGAGGTTCTGCACTAATAAAGTTATTAACCAGCCTAGATATTCGCCTATCGCCCTTACATCTCACTCTCATCTTTCCGAAAAGTTTACACTTCACCACTTAAAAAACGGTTGTGCTCTTCATAAATTTCCGTATTCGGCTCGTATATGACCTCGTGTCATCCAGACACAAACATGATGTAAAAATGCTATCAGGGGTATGAAGTTTTCATAATAAAACAATCACGCAATAGACCAAAGAAACATTGAAATGAAGATAGCACGAGGGCGATCAACATATTTAATCTAGCGACTGAAAGTGCTATAAAGCGTAGGAAAACCCGTCAAAACAACATCTGCAAGGGCGCGAGCCCCCATCCACTTCTTATAAAGCATAAACTTATTATACAAAGATTACATATTTGATAGTTCATCTTTCCCCAGCTGGGGAGAATTAATATGACACTCGTTCCGGGTAAAAGAAAAACCACAACATATGCGTTTTTTTTTATGGTGGTATTATCGAATGCGTGTTCTCCCCTGGCCGACGTGCGAGTCAATGTTCCATCTGGGAGCACCTAAATCCTGCAGTTCCTCCTGCTCGCCACTTGAATTGACCCGCTCGATTGAACGGAGTCTCTTTGGTTTGCCCATTGGATCTTTTTTGGCGTGTTTTGTGAGTCTGTGTTGTGACGACGAAGGGGAGGGTTGGTGATGGCTGGAGCCATCTCGCAGAGGACCTCGCAGTGTGATGGTCTGCCAAAGCTCCCTGCAGGCCGTTTGCGAGGATATTATGTACACGACCGTGTTCCAGAAGGCTTGCAGTGGGAACACGAATGATGCAGCGTAGTTGAGGCCGAAGTTGACTGAGTTTGGGTTGACGAGGGCATATATTCGATTGGCACTTGATGGGACCTGATATACATGTGTTATCACATCAAATATCTCAATAGCATTTCGGTATACAATAAATTAGGGGCTGTGCATACCCAAGTTATCAGCAGCGCGATAAAAAACAGAAAAGCAACTCGAGCATACAGCCATGCTTCGGGATCAGCCTCATTCTGCGCAACTTGTCGAGTCAGGTTCCTCATTCTCAGTGCTGCTGGTCTAGAACGGACTTGCGGATCAGCTTCGATATCAACCGAGTATGGATTTTCAACAGCGCCACGATCAAGGGTTGCTCGACACCTCTGACATTGGTAGCGGTTTCCTTGTTGACAATGGGCCGCTCCTCACTAGTAACCTCGACTTCAATGACGATGGCACTGAAAAGTGGGTTCTCATTCAATGGGTTCATAAAACCCTCCAGGCTCTCGCGCTTATCCCAGACGACTTTGGCTGCTCGGCTGTAGATGTACAAGGCAAGGATAATAGCAGCCCTAGATTCTGTTAGATCTGGATAGTTGCTAAGATCAAGCTTGGGCTGGGAAACACTCACCAAACGATCCCGTAGAGAAAGACCATACGCATGAAATCCCACTCAGTGGTGATCCAGCACCAAATAATAGCCGGTCCATACATTGGACCCCTTTCATGCGTCGTAATAAAGAGGAAGGCAAATGCGGGAATAAATGAGAGTCCATAGCAAGCTAGCAGGTAGAAAGGGTCCAGAGACCGAAGCTTTTCAACAGTGTATCCGCGGAAGAAGACCAGGTAGACGTTAATCGCCATACAAAACGCCCAGTAGCAGTCAACACCGAGAAACATCTGAACCAAAAAGGCCTGGAAATCGCAAACGGCAGTGCGAGCACCAGCGTGAGGCCCGATTTCAGATATCAATGCCGCGGTATTCGATCCCAGGTTCCCGAAACATGCAAAGAAAATTAATCGGTTGATCGGCTTGTTGAAACCGGGGGCGAGTAGGTATGTTGAGACAATGAAGAGTATGCCAACAATAGATATTGCTGAAGTTACTCGCTCTGTAACGGCCAATGCCCACAACTGATCTGCCGTGAGAGTCGGCATGTTATTTAGTTGATTGCTTGCCGTTCTCTACAAGGAGGTCAAAGGTAGCTTTGTACAAACATAGACCCAATGGGAGCTCACAAGAAAGTTATCTCGAAAAAAGTCTTATTCCAAAGTAAGGAGAAAAGGGGCCCGCATTGGCAGAGTGTGGGGATGTCTATAAAGTGTAGGGACTCGGAAAAGAACTGCTTGTGTGTTGATTCAAGAGGAGATTGCCTGACTGTTAGACTAAATGTCGATCTCCACAAGAATTTAGTAGAATTCAGCAAGGGACTACCTGAAATTCTGTATGAGCCGGCGTAGTCATACTAAGAGTCATAGTTCGTCAGCGGAATGGAGACAATACTTTATTTTGAGCATGACAGAAGAGGTCTAGCAGTAATACGCGGTGCATTCACGTGTGGCAACAGCTCCACTGTCATCTCATCCTTGTGGGAATATCCATTGGATAGGAACCGATTCCAAAATCCGAAATATAAATTGCATCGGCGGGAGGCAATTGAAGGATTTGAGCAGGACATGTCTATCACACGAACGAAATGAAAATGAACTATGAAACTTGCTGCAAATGTTGACCTTATTAGCAAGCTTGCATCCTTCTTTGTCTTGGTTATGCTAAGCTAGAGCTCAATAGCTCTAGTTTTGCATATCACTTTTCACCAGATCTAGTGTTCTTTTTGTTCAGGTGGTTTAAATTCCATTTTTACTGTATTTAACGTCCACTTTATTCAAATAGAGCTCCAGGATGTTTTTAATATCACTTTTGCCCTAATTTTAGCATCCTTTCTGTTTGGCGGAGTCACTTCATCTGATTAAACCCAATTTTGACCAAATTTAGCGTGTTTTATATTCAGGTGGGTTCATGTTGTCTGTTTGAAATAAGTTTTGACCAGATTTGTCTTATTCTCTGGGTAGAAGATAGTCGTCAGAAATATCAGCATCCCCACGTAGATTCCCTAGAGCAGCTCTTTGATTTGACTGTCGCCGAATCATGCCTTATAGAAGATCACCAGCCGGATAGTTGGCTCATGCTTGATGAATTATGGCGGGCAAAACAGTATCCAGGAGGCACGTACGGAGATCGGAGTGGCTGTATGATCGGGGCTTTAGCTTGGTAGCTGACCTCGGAGGATGGGAGCGCCGCCAGATGATTGATTAGTGACACGGTAGCACAGTAAACTCCACAGACTACTCTCCGGTGACTTCCTTATCATCCCACGGTGGAGGGTGCCAAGTTTGAGAACTTGTGCTCTAGTTTGGAGGTTGTCATCACCAATGGATATTTGATCGCTAATAACAAAACATTCCCTACCTCCTGATTTCATTTCGAAGCACTGTGCCGATGAGGAATACTTCCCAAACGAGTACCACTCTATGTTTAAGACTGAGGGTGCGTAATCATCTTCCTCTTAAGCACGAAAATTGGCCTTCAGATAACGCTAACAATCTTCTCACTGGCAGAAGTATTCACTAAGTTTACACATCATCCCTTTAAATGATTTGAAGAGCTATTATGACACGTGCCCCGAAACCAATCCTGTGTTTTATCGAATAGTGTGCCAACTACCTGAAACCTGATTACCAGATAAGTGGATATCTGTATATCCTCCAAGTCACCTATTAGATAGACCACTAGTAAGCTTTAAAAAAATAATAAGAACAAGTCAACGAGGAATACACTTGGATACCCTAGGAGGCGGCCACAACGAGAGGACTTTGTCACTGTTACCCATTTCCACACACCACAGCCCTGTTACTCGATATATTCCACAAGCATAACGAACGCAGCAAACCAAGCAAGGCATATGACTATGTCAGCTGATAGTTTCGTGAGCAGTTGTTCACACAGTAAGGAGCTAGAAAGAACAGGATCAACCCCACAAACGAACCAGACGCGACTCACCGCCTGAAAAGAATGATCAGCCCACGCTGTGTTCGTATTTCTTAGCAATGTCAGTTAAGGAGCGCCTGGACTTCCTTTCTTGGTTATTCCAATGCGGGCTGTCGCAATATATGTCTGTTGCTAGTCGGGAATTTCCCTTGAAACGAGGCGAGATAGTTGATAAGCCGCTAGGATCTCCTAAACCGCAGCGTCATCATCCCTCGATTACACGTCGCAATTCATGTGCAACTACGACCAGGTCGAGAAAGGGCAAAGCGTGGGATTCTGAAGAAATTAAGCTTCTCATACAGTTGAAGGAACAGAACTTCTCAGGGTCTGCAATTACGAGGGCATTTGCAGAACAATTTCTGGGAAGGTCGAAAGGCTCTATTCAAGTATATTGGAGCACAAGTCTGAAGCATTTGCACTGATTGTACATAACCACTAGAGCTTGCTCATGTCCGACTTAGTTAGATAGATGTGTTTTGGAACGAAGTCGCATTCAAGCATCTGTCTTGCAGATCATCATATCCATCAACCCAATCTTCTATTGCAACCAGCCTCGTCATTATGCAACTCTGTCGCTTTGTAAATGCTTCGTGTTCAGCTGTTCCTTGCAACTCAATGATCTAAATCTGACATTTACTCTACCCCTTCATCAGCCACTCATTGTATAATACTCCTAAAGACGTTGGCCGCTCTTCAGGGTTCCACTGCAAGGTCATCTAAAACCACCGCGAATATCCTTTTTTGTCTGCTCCCTTCCAGTTACCTGACCTGTTCCACTTCTTGTACTCCCAACAAGGAGAACACATCCTCCAAGTTGTCAAACGTCCCGTCACAGCAGCGTACTTATTTCACATAAATTTTGAAAGGTCACCGAGCCATCCAGTCCTCAGAGTTATCAAAAAACGCTTCATTATATGGATAAGATTCTAACCATTCTTCTGGGGCTATCGAAGTGCAGGACTTGGTATAAAACTCCGTAAGAGTATCGTTGAGAGCCACTAGTGTCATCGGGTAGGAGGGTTGAAGAGTGAACCGTGAATCTTGCTCGCGGTAAAGGGTTAAATAGTTTGATATTGTAGTCCCTATGGGAAATCATTACACAGTCAGTTAGCAGGTAATCAACAGCTAATTACCTTTCAAAACGCGTAGATAATGAGGGCTAGCTGGGAGCTGTCCATTATCGACAGCATCTAGATAATTGTCAAATGATCGTCGAGTTACTTCTTGCATGAAATGGGTGTTTGGCATGAATAGCGCCCCATTTGAAACTGTGATGGTCATGAGTAGCATCACCCAGAAAATATTGAAAGAAATACCATCCAGACTTATCTTTGGATGAACCAACCCGTCATTTGCAATTTCCACACCATCCTCCCATTCCCAATCGTCCTGTTCCAATCTCTTGTCAAAGAGTTTCGACTCACGTTGTACCTGAAATCGGTATGATGTTGTGGGAAATAAAGAATGAAATGATATATATGAAAGGCTTCGACGGTTTTGATAATGTGCAGTAAATCCCGAAAGGGGACGTGAAAGAGATCGGAACATTTTTGAAATGTGTGTACAAGCTGTTATACAAACTGAGACGGACCGATTTGTGTGGAAAGAACCAGTGTTGTTTATTCAAAATTTCTGAAGTGTTTTGCATGCGCCTGGCATGATGTTGTCAATCTACTGAGAGGCGGGATTCTGATCGATTTAGTAAGAAATTATGAAAGAACTCGAGAAGTTCGCCATCAAAGTACCTTGAGAGACTTTGACTGGTTTAAGCAAGAGTAAATAATAAATCCAAGAATTGAACAACGATAGTGACATAGTTCACAGCAGACGACTTGATATACTTGTGCTTGATAAACTATGTTACCCGCAATTAGTCAAGAGTAGTCATGATCACGATATTTTGTTCTTAAATTTCATGAAATAAGTGCAATAATATCAGTAATTCTCCGTACATTTTGATGTATTGACCTTGGTCGTTCTACCTTATTATTGCATTCCAAATCGTGTTCTGCAATAATACAGGTGCAAATGATGTAATTAAGACTGACTTGGTAATAGTTGCAACCAGCATGGACATCACCAGCGAATATATCGATTGAAGTTGACGCTCCGTATTTGAACGCGTTGATGGACAATGAAACCTATGATTCTCCTCTGTAAATCACGTGGTGAATCGTAAGATCGGAAAAGGGTTTCATACTAAACAAAAATCGGCCAATCACATGGCACATAAACCAATACCGCTCGTTTGCATTCTGCACCGACACCGACAATGTTGTCTTACACCACAGTCAATTCCTTCAATTTCTTCGTGTTATGATATCCTGAGAGCGTCAGACTCGGTCACTATGTTTACTACGAATTTGGATGAGATCTATGCCCTACCTTATATAGGAATGGGCTTATTTGGCTATGTGTTCAAGCTTAGCGACGACCGAGTTATCAAGGTACCTCGAATTTTCCCCGAATCAGAGCACGAGCATAATTCACATTTAAACTGGGTCAACTTGGAGAGCCTCAAGAAAGAGGGAGCGATATACAAACGATTGGGTGTACACGAGGGAATCATTCAATGCCTCAAAATCCAAGACGAGTCAATCGAGCTTGCTTTTGCTAATGAAGGCACCCTTCTGACATACATCCAAACCCATTCTCCGCCGACAAAAGATTTTCGATTCGAGTGGATTCGGTCTCTTACTGATACTTTCGTCTACGTCCATTCCCGTCGGGTCCTAGTTCAGGATATTGATTTGCAGAATATTCTTGTTCACGACTCGAGCCTCAAACTTGTAGACTTTGGACAATCCTTTATATTACCACCTAACGCAGACATGAAACATGCTTGTGTAAATGAGACAACTACGAGCATGGAAATCCTTCATCTAGGATGTATCTTCTATTCTATTGCGGCATGGACCAAGTTTAAATACTACTACTTTGACCATTGGCGATGGCCACTACTAGAAGAGCTTCCTGACACAAATGACATCATTTGTGGAGATGTTATCAAGAAATGCTGGACTGCAAAGTATGCTACCATCGAGGAGGTCGCGAAGGACATTCAAAGTCAAGCGGATGAGGTTTCTAATCACTGAGTGGATGCCAGTATGGTCATATATCCCACTAATTTGAGTGACTCAAGGGATTTTTTTGTGTTGAGGTTTAGAGTCAATGAAAAGAACAATATGATGGTATCAACAAAACAACATAGAAAGGGGAAAAAAGCAAAGAAATCCAATAAGTATGAGCTCTCTATTTTTCTTTAAAAAATGGTAGTATCCTACAAAAATTTTCACAATTACCGACACGGAAACTTGTAAGACGCCAGCGCACAAAGTTTGTTTGCGAGAAACTTCTAGTCAAAGCAAACACCTTTTGTGAATATAATGTAGTTCCAGCATTTCCCAATTTCCAACTTCCAAATTTCATCATATCTTCTAAAGTCAGTGCCAAAATTTGCAACCATGAGTAGCAGATGTGGATGTCGACTAGAACATCCTACGCTCGTAATATGGAAGTGTGGCCATCGAACCTTTTCTCCAACAGAAGCTAGGACTTGGTATTGTGAAATCGCCCAGGAAAGGAGCCCTCCTCAGGCCTGTGATACTATCGAACAAGTATATCCAGCCTCATTTCACACTCGAGAACAAGCTTGTCCGGATTGCTTAAAGAAGAAGAAAAAACCAAATCCAAAGCCCGGTTGTGGTGATCCTGGCGATCCTGGTGATCCCAGTCAAGGACCCTCCGGGTTTTCAACTCTGTCCACAGATGTCACGGCAAGTGCTTAAAATTTCAGTGAGTATAACTTCCCAGGTGTTGCTTACAGCTATTCATCCCATTATCTTTCATACACAAATTGACTAACACGGCGTGCTTAGCAAAGTATTCCAGTGAGAACCTATGGGTCATGGAAAGGTCTTTATTGGATGAGAAGGAGATGTTTGATGAGAAGGGGATAAATGTTAAACTGGGGTCTGATTTGTTTGTTTACTTCGTTGTATGTGTGTGTGTTTCTTTGTAAATATTAATGTACTATATGATTGATGCTTTGTTTTGCTTTCGTCAGATTATCAAGCTGCTTCTCTATGTAATTTCAGGAAACAATACAATGTCTATGCACCACTACATAATGAAGATAGAATATATTTGAAACTCATCAACGACTCAGTGATGCATGATGAATGCGGGATTGCATCAAATGACAAGTTATCCAATATCTGCTAGAATTCGGGTCTGCTTATTAAAGTGGCTCTAGGATCTTTGGTAGTCAACGGTGTTGGATATAAGGACTAACAAATCTGGAAATAGCCATTTACCCAAGAGGAGCACGCACTGAACTATTAATTGATATATCAAACCGTCAAAGAAAAAATATGTTTTAACATGTGGATTATCGACTTTTGAATACCACGTCTAAATTAAGCCTATTCATATTGACATGAGTCTTGCAAATAATATACAGTGAATGATGAGATCAGAAATTAGCGCGCCTGTATTCTTATTTATGACCAATGGCAACTGCTGAATTCATAACCCTACTTACTGTCTTTAGCTCCACCAGAAATTATTCGGAGGGATCTGAGGCGAGGTGAGTTGCCTTTATAATACTCTGTATGGCTTCCTGTAAATTAATAAGCCTCTATATAGACCTGTCTATACCTCTGTAGTTGTAGGGTTTTACAATCCAAGTTCCATATAGTATGAAAATCAGCCAATCACATACAGTCTATTCAGCAATTTTGCGCTTAAATACAAACGGTCCATTACTAAGCATACCACGTGATCTGTCACCTCCAAACCGCTCTCGTCGAAAAATATATCATTGCATCAATTGATGTTTCGACTTGCCAAATTGTTAAATATGGCTGCCGAGACTGCTGCAAAGAAACTGAAAACCTCGGGTCCTCTCATAGGCACCCACAAGTACGTTTGAAACCCCAATTTTTCATGTCCCTCCATCTCTATAAAATGATGTACCCCGCCTTGCGCAAAGCTAACTGATCTCTCACAGTGGCCATTTTCACGCCGACGAGGCTCTCGCCGTTTACCTTCTTCGTCTCCTCCCCGACTACAATGCCTCTCCTCTAGTGCGAACTCGGGATCCAGCGCGTCTAGCAGAATGCCACACTGTCGTGGACGTCGGCGGTGAATACGAACCAGAGCGAAATCGCTACGACCATCACCAACGGACCTTTAGCACCACCTTCCCCAACCACAACACCAAGCTGTCCTCCGCCGGCCTGGTATACATGCACTTTGGCCGCGCCATCATCGCACAACATACCTCTCTCCCCATCGATCACCCTGACGTGACCCTGCTGTACGAGAAACTGTACACGGATTTCGTAGAGGCGCTGGATGCCCACGACAACGGGATTAGTGTCTACGACCCCGCTGCCATAACAGATTCCGGGCTAGAGAAACGCTTCAAGGATGGCGGCATCAATCTTGGTTCTTTGGTTGGTGATCTGAACAACGCCGACCCAACTGCAAACGGGGAGCCTCAAGACGAGGATAGCTTGTTTGCGCGAGCAAGCACATTCATCGGCGACGTTTTCGTACGGAAACTGCGGCATGCGGCATCTTCCTGGCTCCCGGGGCGGGCAATTGTAGGCTCTGCTTACCAGAATCGGTCGGCCAACCATGCATCTAATCGGATCATTGTTCTGGGTCAAGGAGGCGTGCCATGGAAAGAACACCTGTACAATTTTGAGCAGGAGGCTGGGGGAGCGCCGGAGTCCGAGGTTTACTATGTGCTGTACCCGGAGAGCGCGGCTGCAGACGCCAAGTGGCGGATTCAGTGTGTGCCAGTGTCTGAGGCCAGCTTCGTGTCACGGAAGCCATTGCCTGAGGCCTGGCGCGGGGTGCGCGACCAGGACCTTGATGGCGTCATTGCTGCAGAGGCAGAGAAGACTGGGAAGCAAAAGATCCCACCGGGAGCTATCTTTGTTCATGCCAGCGGGTTTATTGGGGGGCATCAGACAAAGGAGGGCGCGCTTGCTATGGCGGCTATGAGTTTGGAGATTGCATGAAAGGATATACAAAAGTAGTTATTTTTAACATTGTGAAGGTTCTTTCTCTTCGTTTCTCTTTCATTTCTCCACCCCCAAATCTCAGTTCTCAATTCTCAATCGTAAACTCGGAAAAATGTCACATGGCCATGTCGGGCTCATAGTGCGGTGGTGTTGCTGGGCCTGCCGATATCGCAATGGCGCCATTTTATCCATCTGATTACAAGAATGATATATCAGAACATATCTCAATTCGAAAAAATAGTATTTTATCACATGCCCTAGTCAGCAGTGTTGTGCGATGTTTGATTCGTCTGCGAATAGAGTATTAGAGTGTCTTGGCAATAATAGCTGGACCAATCGGCTCACGCTGCCGACAGCACGTTCTTTGGAAAAAGCTTGTCATTGTCGCGCACTGGCTCTGCAGACGGGCAATTCTTTGCCAAGTATGTGGCACGCATGAACGTCCACAATGAGCGAGATTTTTCAGTGCTCTAGTTTCTGTCAGGGAGGTTGTTGGAAAGAGGCCACGATGTGCTTGTTGTGGTGGAGTGCAATGTGTTGGGACCGCTTACGGTATCCTAGGGTATATCAAGAATAAATGAACAGGAGTTTATCGCTATTGGCCACCACAGACATAGAGTTGGACGCTTCTAAGTCCTAACTAACTACTGTACCAAGTCTAGAACGTAACCGTCCTCGTGCTGTTTGGCTTGTTTGAGCAGGGCTTGTAGAGCCAAGCCCTAATAGGCTAAGACCGAAAAGGAGCCCGCCATTTTCCTTCCGCTTTGGACAGCTGTGATTGCTGCTGCCTTGCGCCTTCCTTGCACAAAATTCGCTCCTACCACCGCTTTGGTTGGCCGTTCCAATCATTCTCCTTGTAGTGCCTGAGGCTTTTTCGGCTTTTTCTGCTTTTCTCACGCGGATCCTCCGGTGGCCTCCTATTCCCGCTAACGCCAACACTATTATTAGTATTCTTCGCAAGGAGGCTGTTACTGACCATTGATGGTCACTAGCCCCCGCCATGTGCCCCTTTCTGTTGGACCACAACCGTGGTCGGCGTGTAATGTTACCCCTTCATATTCTGCCATTGGCTGCCCGCCCTGTCCCAACTCGTTCGCCGGCAGCCGGCATATATCAGACAGACAGCTGAGACAAGGAGGGGAGGGAGCGGACAATGGCAAAATCCAGGGTGGGTCATGAGAGAAAAAAACCTCGCAACATAAAGAATCCAGAATGCCACTCAATTTTCAATGCTGTGTCGATCGAGATTCCCATGGTGGCGGTGTGCATTGTTACGGAAGGGATGATGTGAGTCGTCTCGAGACGATATCTATTAAGAATGACAATAGCGCCAGCCTGGCCCAGAGACAATGATGTCGAGAAGACAACCGCTGCACCGAGCAGCAGCGCCAGATCGGGCCCCAGTGCGAAGAGTAGCAGCTGGCTGGATTGGCTTGTGCTGAACGACCGAAAAGAGGCTCGTTTATTGCTGCTTTGTCTGCTGGGTTTGAATACAATGTTGCTCGTAGTAGGGCTTTTGCTGCCCTTTATAATCCATGGTGGTGCTAATGAGGCAGCCATCAAACGTGAGCTTGCGGCAGACGGTGACCTGACTGCATATGTGGATATCTTCACTGGTACTCATAGTGGAGGGAATAACAACCCTGCAGCAGCGCGACCGTTTGGTATGGTCAAGCTTGGCCCGGATCTGTTGATTCAAGGCACCGATTCGTATTCTGGCTATCTTCCAAAGGGAAAATTCTCCGGGTTCAGTATGATGCATGAGCAAGGCACGGGGGGTGCTCCGAAATATGGCACAGTGGCACAGCTTCCGCTTGTTGGAGAGGTTTCAAATCCTCTATCGAGAATTACAGTCGCCCGGAACGGGAACGATGAAGCGTCGGTGGGCTACTACAAAGCAAAGACTAGTCAGGGTGTTACCGTAGAGCTTTCGGCCGCCAATCGCGCTGGTATATATCGTTACACATTTCCCAGTAGCGGTGAGAGACATGTCTTGGTTGATATCTCGCATATACTGCCATCCTTCCGTGGAAAGAATTTCGGCCAGGGTTATGCTGGTGGAGAAATCACAGTCTTCCCTGACGGTCACTACGAAGGCCATGGCGTTTATAATAATGGCTGGAATCGGTCACCTAACTGGCCTATATACTTTTGTAAGACATATCATGCTTAGCCCAGATCACTTACTCACTACGGATAGGTGGATATTTCGAAAACACGCCCCAAGGCAACAAGACTTACGCCAGTAGCAATGGAGATGCTAGTATTGAGCAAGCTAGTGGATCTGCTTTTTCCAATTCCTCGGATGTCAGAATTGGCGCCCTCTTTACATTCAACGAAACCGAAGTCATTTCTCGCGTGGGCATCTCATGGCTTTCCACGACGCAGGCTTGCCAGAATTTGGAGACCGAGATTCCGCGTGGAACAGAATTCTCCCAGGTTGTCAACGATAGCAAGTCTGCATGGAATAAGGAAGTTTTCTCAAAGATCACCACATCCGCTACAAATGTAGATTCACTCACACTTCTATACACCTCGCTATACTACATGCACTTGATTCCTACCAACCAGACTGGAGAGAATCCGGGTTGGAAGTCAGAGGAACCCTATTATCAGGATATATTCACCTTCTGGGTATGTGAGCCACAGTGAATGTAGCCAGCCTTCACAGCTAACAAGAAAAGGATCTCTTCCGCTGCGGAACTTCGTTGATGCAAGTCCTTCAACCAGTGTCATACGAGGAGCAGATCCGTTCTCTGATTGATATTTGGAGAAATGAAGGTTACCTGCCTGATGCGCGATCGTCCAATTATAACGGTCGTACTCAAGGTGGATCGAATGCCGACAACATCCTTGCAGATGCATACGTAAAGGGAGTTCGTGGCAAGGTCAATTGGTCAGATGGATATGCAGCTATGGTCAAAAACGCCGAAGTCCAGCCGCCCAACAACGACCCAGATCCATTGGCCCAAGACTCATCGACTAAGGAGGGGCGGGGTGCTTTGCCAGACTGGAAACAGTATGGCTTTATCACTCCATCATACACCCGTGCAGTCACACGAGCTGTTGAATACGCTTACAACGACTTTGGGCTGTACCAAGTCGCGTCTGGTTTGGGTAAACACGATGATGCGAGCAAATATCTCGAGAGATCGCGCAACTGGAGAAATCATTGGAACCCCAATGCAACGTCACTCGGGTTCAGTGGGTTCGTTGTACCTCGGAACCTTAGTGGATTCCAGTCTATCAGTATCCTCAATGCGAAGGGGTACTGGAATGACCCTTGCTACGAGGCCAGTCCATGGGCGTACTCGTTCACTGACGTCCACGACGCAGAACACATGATTGACCTCATGGGCGGACATACCGGATTCGAAAAACGTCTTAACACTACCTTCGAAAAAAGTGCCAGCGGGACCATTTTCGACCCCTCAAACGAGCCGTAAGACTTCCCATACATATTTCAAATCCTCGCTAATTTACTAAATTATAGCATGTTCACAATCCCCTATCTCTACAACTACATTAACCGACCCGAACTCTCCGTCCTGCAATCGCGCACGGTGGCCAAATCCCAATACAGCGTTGGCGTCGACGGACTACCCGGCAACAGCGACGCAGGCGCCATGCAGACATGGTTATTATGGAACATGATTGGTCTATACCCAGTCACTGGCCAGACAACCTTCATCATCCACTCACCCTGGTTCGATTCCCTGGTCATAGACCTCGGCGCTGGCAAAACCCTGAATATCACTGCCAAAAACGGCGATAATAATGGGGACAGCAAGTTCTACGTCCAAAGCCTCAAAGTTAATGGTGTCACTTGGACCAAGAGCTGGCTGACATGGGATGATGTGTTTGCAAAAGGAGGCACGCTGGAGTTTGAGTTAGGGAGCGAGCCGGTGCAGTGGGCGACGGGGGTGTTGCCGCCGAGTCCAGCGTCGTGATCACCTGGATTTATGTCATATTCTTGTAAATACTTCCGAATGAATACATATAAAACGAGAATAAAAAAGGAATAAAACCACTCAATAATACGACTAAGCTCAATATGCATTATGCTATCTCTACAGACTGACAACAACCTGATGGGTATGTAGCTCATACAAAACCTTCAAATAAACGTCACCATCAAGACAGAAACAGGCCAAATCGCTCTCTCAAACATTTTCCTTGGTCCCCTTGAATCCTCAATTTACCGAAAACATAACCATAACCCATGCCGAAAAGTTCCTTAAAAGAGGACGTGTTTGATGCTCAGTATTCCGCAAGCTGCAGCTTCTTCCCAACCGGTCGTCGCCGCACTGGTTTCTCAACTCGGTCTCGATCAGCCTGCACACCTTTGAGGGCATGAAGCAGCATTCCCGCATCGAAAAACCCATCTACATAAAATCATTAGCACGATCAAACCAAACCTAACATAAAAAGGAAAAGGGGACATACATCCACCCATTCCATCATCCTCCACCTCCCCACTGTCCGTCGTCGGCGTCTCCGTGCCTCCTCGTCCAAGGTGGCTAGTATCCTGCCTAATCAACCTTCCGCGCCTATTCTCCAATCTCTCCGACAGCATCTCCATCTCCCGTGCCCGACTGGTCCGCGGACTCGTAGTTTTGCGGCTATTCGTCCTCAGCAATTTGCGGATTTCGAGTAAGTACGATTCCAGCGTGTCCATTAGCCGTGAGGTTTGCCGGTGTTTAGAGCTCGCGCAGATCGAGATTGAGTCGTCTTTGATAATGTACCCGATTCCGAAGCCGTCGCCGGATGTAGGGCCGAAGCCAAAGTGGCGGAGGGAAGGGTTGCCGCAGTTCGAGGTGGACAGTATCGTGTTGTTGATTTTGTCCCAGCCAGCATCGTTGAAGAGTGCGGGGGTCGGGGGATGGTCCGAAGGCGGGCTAGACTACTAAGACTAGAGGTGTAGGCACCGTCGTCAGAGGATGGGGTGGAGGAGATATCAGTATCGGGAGCAGGGCTGGCACGGCCGTTGATGCTGGCGGTGGAGAAATCGTCGTCGAAGGAGCGCTGCCAGACGCAGTAGAGGGCATACAGGTGCCGGTCTTGGCCCTGGGCTTTGGAGCATTCTCTTGTAGTAGCGACATGCTTGTCGGCAGCGCGTTTGAGCGCGTCGACTTTTTGGTTAGGCGGGTTATCGCCCCAAAAGGTCTTTACAAAGTCAATTGATTCCTTGGTGACAGGGCGAATGGCTTCGGTACGTCCGTGGTGGTACATTTTGGTCATTGCGGGCTCATAGGTGTTTTCCATGCGGCCGTAGAGGCCATAGTAGGCAGCTTGAAAGGCCATTTGGACGAACGCGTCTGGGGAAAAGCCCATGGAGGTGATGAAGTTTTTGCCATAGCCGGAAAAGTCGAGGACTTGGAATTCGTGCTGATGGAGGAGGTCGGCGAGATGGGACTCGGCGAAGCGGAGGGCGATATTGAGCTCGGGGATCATATCCCACTGGAGTTTGCGGGGGGTGGTGCTGACGTTTCCGAAACTGCGGGGATCGCGTTTCGCTGGATCAGGGCTGGTTGAGGCCCAAAGGGAGGGGGCCAAGCCGTTGATGGTTTTGGCGTAGCGGAGGATGGTGTCAGTATAGACATCGCTGGCGAAGCGGAGCACGGTGTGGCCATCCACGCCGGTATGCTCAAAGTTGATGCCTGCACTGCCGTTCTGGCACACAATGATTTGCAGTTTGTCATACCAGCGGTTTATGCACGTTCCGATTTGCACACCGCGGACTATATCGCTGGTGCCGCAGAGCATGTTTCCGCAGAGATCCGCGGTGCTGGTGGGCTCCATGTGGTCGAGGCAGAGGACGAAGATGGCGCTGTCGACAATATGAAGGCATTCAGCGTTGTTCGAGCCTTCTTCTTTGGTCAGAAGGTCTCTCAGTCCAGACCATACTTTTCGGTTTTCGGTGCTCAAGATTCCAAGCGCCCCCTTTGCTGCTTCTTGGATTGGGGTTTGTTGGGCGTCGTCGAGGATGACCTGCAGATTCAGGGTGATGTCTTTTTCGCTCATGATGAGATCGTTGTTGTCGTCTAGCACGTCGAACCAGTAGAACTGGCCTCGGCAGAGAACTACGATGTGTTTTGCAGAGGGGTTCTGGCCGATGATACATCCGTTTTCGGTGGGAACACGGGCCGTGCCAAATAGTCGAGAATACTGGAACATACATAGAGGGGTTCCCTTGACTTTGTCGGGTGGGAGTTCCTCTCGGCGGACCGCACGAACAAATGACAAGGCTGACGATGCCAGTGAGGCGGCGCGGGTGAGCTGGTTGTTCCTAGCCGGCGTTGGGTCATCTTCCAGCAGGAAGAACGGATTCAAGTTAAGAACGACCGCTAGCGGGGTAAGCATGGACACTATCAAGTAGTAGGAGAATTCTTACAATTATCGAAATTCAAGTACGAATCGTACCCTTAGAGCCAAACATTAGCATGTGCTATGGGTTGTACCGCGACGACTCACAAAACTGTTCGATATAGCTGGTCTTTGAGGAAGCGTATTTCTTCAGCTTTTCCTGCAACTCAGGACCATCCGACTTGAGAAAGTCATGAACAGCAGCTCTTGTGTCCTCGTGCTCTCTCGGCGTCTGCAAGGGAGCCAAAGCCTCGAGATACCTTCGACAAGTGTCTTCGAGATCCGGGATAGGCAGCTTGGGCAGAGAATCTTGGTTCGCAAAGGTGATACCCCGCGCATTTGCTTGAGGATTCTCTTGGGAGGTAGGCGATGTTACACTGCGCTTTTGCGCGGGGTCCATAGTGCCGATAGCTTGCAGTTTTGGAGACTCGCACCGGGACGATGATTGGAGTTTGGAAGGCAAGATGGCTTCTCCGCCGCCCGCGGAAGACATGTTGAGGAGTTTCACTGCGAGGTTTGAGTAAGACATTGCTCCTGTATTTATCAAGGGTCTATCAAGCGAAGAGACAGGAAAGGAAGGTTGGGAGGGAGAGGAGACGCAAGGCGCTGCGGTAGAAGTAGTGACAGTCTTGAAGACAGTAAGAAGGCATGGATGAAGTTTTCTAGAAACTAGACTCTAGATGTATGCATGTTCATTGACAATACCAGACATGAATTAGGTAGGTGTACATGATTCAATAATATGTCTTGTGTTGTGTTGTGTTAGGACGCCGGGACACATGGAGTATCACGGGATATATATGGACATGCGGCGGGGGTCACAAGGCAAATTCCGAGGACAGCACAGGTTATTCAGGCTGCAAAAGCACCCAGAGGAATTCCGAGGTAGATAACAGAGCAGGAGAAACACAATAATACTTACAGTAGCCCGGCTATTAACCAGCGGTCCACGGAGTAAAGTACTGCCAGCGCGGGGGCAGCCGGAGCAACGGAACAAATAGTTGCTTGGCTGACCGCGTCTCTAGATGTCTGCACGAGTTGTCAGGACGGACGGACGAGCGCTAGAGCTAGAGTTAGAGCTAAGATGCGGTCTAGCGGAGACGAGCGACTGGAGCAGACTGGAGTATATTTCAGTGTCCAGTTAGATGGCTTAGTATTAGCAGATGAGAGATAGAGCTGTGTTGTCGTGCCTGCGCGAATGTTTACGCCGGATGGAGAAAGCCTTGGATAAACCCTTGAATAACCCTTGATGCTGGAATAGAGGATGACGTGATGGTAGTTAAAGAACACAGAGACGATAATAATAATAATAATAATAAGAGTGATAATAATGTGATAAAAGGCAGCGTTGTACTACATCCGCGTATCTGGATTGCGACTGTTGCACTGTAACTTATACAGGAGCCAGTCTGACTAAGTTTAAGCACCAGCGCGGTCTGAAGTAACACCAGAACCCTTCTCTTTTAAGAATAAAAAAAATCAACAAAGCAAAAGTAAACTGCAGCACAAGGAGGCAGACGAACCCGGCTCTATTAATGCACAAAAGAAGTCCTCAAAAGTGGCAAGGGCAATCCGCCGGCCTTCTATCAACAGTGAGACGCGAGACGGCAGGCCGGGGCAGAGGAGGCGAGAACGGGCATCCGAGAGCATCAACATCCGACAGCATCAATTGCGACGATAACACGACGGCGTATGAACTGATGTCCTGCCATGACGTCTCATCTCGGTCGAAGGGAGAATCAATCCCCGCATATAGAGTCACGTGATATATACTGTATGATTGGCCAGAGAGCGGCGTCTCGCGGATTGTGGCATGGCATGGCACGTGACCCGTATCAGATTATGAAAGAGAACCAACTCAAGTTAAGCGCGGCTTATGTAATACAGGGTTGGTCAACACACGTGACTTGCCTGCTTCTATTACAATATTTGGCACTAAATGTGACCCTTACTATACATGTATGAGAGAGTAGTAGCAAGGATTTACTATTTTCAATATTCTGGTCTTTTAGGTAGCGGCTTATTGGGAGAATACAGCTGCTTACGAGGTTGTGACAGGTTACAGGGTCTACAGCATCCCCGAGGAACTGGTAACGCGCGCTGACGCACGCTGTGGCCCTGAAACGAAGAAAATACTTTGGGCATTTTCCAGATTATTATCCGTGGCAAGCATTACATGTCATATGCATTATTATATATGTAAGGTGTGGAGGTCTATCGGCTGCATGTAAAGGATAACACCAGTTAATCCCATTAATTGTGATGGCGCCAAATATTCCTTTTAAGCTCCATTGATAATGGATCAAAATATATATCCAGCTCCCTATGTCTTGTATCTAAAGTCGACTGTAGCTTTCTCTGATACAGATAATTCATTTTGGAGACGCCGTCTACTTCTATGTATACGTGAAACCCTCACATTATCCCATACCAGTCCTAGGAGCTTGGCAAGTTCTTGAAAGTTCGTAAGCGAGAACGCCCAAGTTCTATGTCTTGTGGCCATATACAATTTTCTCAATGATCACTATTTACATCGCCCTTTAGATAGCTCTGCCTCGCTCTGTAAATCTCCATTCCGTGAACTAATATCCTCCACTATTGAGAAGGGTGCTAAAGATGCTATCTTTCCGATTACTCAGGACTGTAGGCCTATCCATCTCTACCACCTTTCCCTGATCTAGACCGACAATCAGATCATAATTCAAAAGAGTGTGGACACGATGTGCAACCGTAAGGACTGTGCATGTACGAAAGGGATCCTGTTGCAGAAGGCCTTGCACACTAGCGTCAGTTTTCATGTCGATGCTGCTGGTGCCTTCATCAATCAACAGGATCCTAGCGTTGCTTGCTTGTATTTTCAGCATTGCACGAGCAAGTTGTAGCAGTTGTTGCTCGCCTCGAGATAGCAATAGAGTGTCGTTTATCTTGGCATCTAGCCCGCCTCTTTCGAGTAGCACACCATCCCAGATTCCAGCTCGGTCGAGAGCCGCGATAATGTCTACGTCGGGGAGGGTTTCGGTGGGATCTAGATTGAATCTGACTGTACAGCCAACCATGATGAATGGTGTTTGGGAGATGGTGACAAGTCTTTCGCGGACTCTATCAGGGGAGAGAGTAGCGAGGTCAATGTCGTCGATAACAATTGACCCGTGAGTCACGGTTAGCATGCCTAATAATGCCGATAGTAAAGAACTCTTTCCACTAATTTATTTTGCGGTGGAATAGTTAGCTGGGACTAGCAACCCTAACGCTGACTAGAATTCTTAAGACGATAATACTTACCTCCCAGTACGTCCGTAGATACCGATTTTCTGACCTGGCAAACATTTCAGAGAGACATTGCTTAGTACTGCTACTTCAGAACTTTTGTGGTTCGTTAATCATACGAACAAATTTTGGTGATGGCTTATATATCCTGTGAAATACATACTTGTATTGTGCAGTCATGTCCGAGATCTTAATAGATCCCTGACTTGGCCAGTCGATGGGGACTTCTCCCTGCTCAGTTGAAATTTCACGTGGCACTGTAAGTTCAAAATCTTTGACGCGTAAAATTGAGCCAAGGGATATCTCCAACTGTGCCCAACCCGATATGAGAGATGAAAGGCTACCATTGAAGGCTTCGTGAAAGATAAGTCAGCTGGGTAAGTAGTACAGGTCACGGCCTTCAAGGGGTAGCATCAGCAAAAGCAAGTTCCATAAGGAAGACATACCAAGAATGCTGTTGAGCGATACTCCAAGCAATCCGACACTCGTTGTATGTTTTAAAGACGCTGCTAAGCTGACGATAATGACTGCTTCGGCAGCAACGATGAGGTTCAAGACCAAGGTGAGCCAGCGCTGAATGCAATTAAGCATATAATACGTGCGCTGGGTAGCATCCAGCAATTTTGAATTAGCGATTCGAAAATCTGCTTCCCATCCAAATGCCTGAATTGTAGCAAGGCCCTCGACGGTGTCAAGAAGATGGGAGTACAACGGACTTCTGCTTTCCAGGTCCAGTAAACGAAGCTGTCGCGATGTTTTCAGATAGAAATGCTGTAAGAGAAAGAGAGAGATAATCAGGAAGGGCACAGATATTGCCATGTACTTCGATCCGGTTGCAGTCAACGCAGCATTTGCAATTGACGAAAAGAGATCTGAATAATCAGCAATAAGATTGATAATAGGCGAGCGATAGTGGTTAGGAAATCGATTAAGAGGTTGAGTGGAATGGTAGGGGTCTTACTTGAGACCGTGATTAAAATGCCAATAGGTAAATCGCTTTCTATCAGGGTCATATCCTGGCTAAACCGGTTTAGTATTGACCCAATGTCAACGGTGGCTATAAATTGAGGCGTTGCCCTTCAGATGTCAGCAGTTGATCGAGACGCGAGAGAAAAGAACTGAATATACATCATGATGGTCTTCAGTACGACATAATGAAGCCGGCGCGCTGTTGAGGGCGAGATCAGAATGAGTGTAGCCCTACCGTTTTGTTAGGAGATGTAAATAAATGTTTTTTATCGAATAGAATGGTTCACCAAACATAACCACCATTTCCGATGGTGTTACATGTGGCGAGGAGGAAATACACAGTGACATAAAGTGCCTTTTGACTTCCACCACGATCGGCCCATCGCTCAAGCCAAATTTCTAGTAGAAAACTGATGTCAGCGGTATCGGGAGTAGCACAAGTAAGAATCCACTTGCGACTGTATGTACTGGAGAAGACATTTATTGTTACGAAGAAAATAAATATCACGGCGTTCGTCCACCCAACGTAGCGCAGATAGTAGGTATAGACAGCAGAGTCCCCTGTAGCCCTCCTGAGATCGTCGATCTCATTCACCTTGGAGAACATGGCGGCTTTATCCTCCACCCCCAGCGCCAGCAATCCTTTTGATCCTTCATTTTCCACAGCGTCAGACCCCATTCCTTGGTAAATATTCCCATCGCGGGGCTCTTTCTGGCGAAGACGTCCATCTGAAAGAACATATATCTGATCCGCAAGAGACAGCTGATCCACTATTAGGGTGTTAGCTCACAATAGGCGACAAAGGAATCTTGAAAGGGATCCTACTCTCATGTGTCACCAAAACCACGGTCGAATTTGCTTTTCTGAGCAGTCCGTCAACTCCCAAAAGACGCGTTGTGATAGTAGTCCTGGTTTTCCGGTCTAGTGCACTGAATACGTCATCTAAAAGCAAAAGCTTCCTGCGAGCGTATACCGCTCTAGCAAGAGCGATCCGATGCATTTGACCACCACTCAGTAGATGGCCAGATCCTTGCCCAATCCGCGTGGCATCTCCATCGCGAAGCATCTCCAGGTCTGAATTGAGAGCACATGCGTAAAGAACAGCCGCGTACCACGGCTTATCAAATGTGTCCTCCCTCACCGAACCTGCCGAGAAGGCTCCACAGATTGCATCGCGGATGGTGCCACTTGGAACCCACGGTGTTTGTGCACAGAAGGCCGGTTGTCGAATGGTCACTGTCGTGGATCCTGTCTCACAGACCGCTTGACCAAGTATAGCCCGAAGTAGGGTCGATTTGCCTGATCCAACTGGCCCTTGGATCATGACTAGCGCTCCGAGGGGTATTTCTAAACTAACATCTCTCAAGACAATCATTGCTGATGGGGATGGGCGAATGTTGAGGCGGTCCATGGAGATAACGGGTGATTGAAGGTCAACAGTGTTCGGTGAGCCTTTGGAAGTCATATATTGCACTTCGGTAATACGTGGAGATGCATCGGATTCTGCTTCCATCGTGCCAAGAATGTTCTCACCTATGTCTTGAGGACGGGTTGCCAACAGAAGAAATGCCTGTATTCTATCAAAAGATCCCGTAACAGCCGCTATGGAAGGAATCGCGCTTAATAGCTTAGAAGCCGGATTAGTCAGAAGGGTTATGATAGATAGACTGCTGAATGCCTTGGTAACATTCAGTTCCTTTCCTTGAGCAGCGTAGACAACGAAGGTCAAAGCTGGCGCTAAGGCCCAAGGCAGATTCTGGATCATATTCTTCCAGACCATACTCCATCGGTAATTGGCCATTTGATGGGTTTCTTGGGCTCTTTTCCTCTGTACGAGCTGAATAAAGGTTTGAGCTAACCCAGTTCCCTTGACTGTTTGGATATGGTCCAGCATTGAACGGGTGATCGCTATGCGTTGCTGCACAGCATCCACCCACACTTTCTGCTGCCCTCCTATATGCTTCGAGATATAAATACTTCCTCCACTTGATACTATTATCATATTTCAGCAAATTATCGCCGTATGTGAATTTAGACGGGATCCTTACTGAGAACGATCACTAGTGGCACCAGGCAAACCCACCCTAAACGAAGCGCAAGTAGCGCAATGCCAATGCCCACCTCAATTGTCCGCGCCCAAGATTCGTTCAAAATGATTAGACAGTTGATGATCCGGTCAATGTCCGTAGTCATTAAAGTAATTGTGGCAGAACGATCCTCTAGGATACCATCAGGGATGTGTAAGGCATGGTCGTAAATCATCAACGATGCTGCCCCTCGAAACATTGTCACAAAGCGATACAACATCTGGTCATATAAGAGGGTTGAGATGGCCATTCCCAAATATATTAGAACTGTGGCGCCGATGAGACCATAGCCGTCGTTGCTCGCGCTATGAGAGTTATCAAGCCAGTTGAGAATAGATGTGATCAAGAAGGGCTGTGAGAAGGTAAACCCGATCAAGCATAAGCGTGGAAGTACTGTGAGAGCAAGTGGCACCTTGAAAGCTCGACCCATTTGCCATGGGAATTCGAAGCGGCGCTCAGGACGCCGGCGTAGGACCCAGGCTCTCAATGCCTTCCGCGCCGTGCCCGCGGACTCCAGGGACTTGTCGAGATGATCAAGATCTTCAGCAGTAAGCAAGGATCGAAAACCCGTGAAAAACAGACGGTTTAGCCACCACATGAACGAACGATTGACAATTCCACTCGTCGACTCTGGTGGGAGATCTTGATAGGACCCAATGAGGTGTTTCTGCTTTCCCAAGCTCTCAAAAAGCACCATCGCTGTTTTCACAGCGATACTTACCGTAAAAAGACTAGGAATCAGGATATTCCCGTGGGATAACCACAAAGTTCTCGTTTGTACAACATCGAAAAGTAATGTGAAGAGGAGGTAGATGGCGAGAAGTGATGAAGGTCTAACTGACCGCTCATCTTCCGCCCACGACAGGATCACAATTTCCATTGCCACTGCTAAATTTATTGCGCTCAATGCCACAGAGAGCTTTGTATATGGCTGAATTTTCTTTGCCCAGCTAATGAGTAGGGCAAGTTGAATCGCGGCAAAAACCACGGCAGTTATCCGAGTGGACGTTAGCTCTTGTCTGACCCGGTGGGTAGAAATATGAAAGTTCTTACTAGCTTTGCCAATCTCATTAGATGAGGCTGCGTTCGCACATCTCTCTTAACCAGGATTTGCAATCGAACTGGACACACGAGGAGAAACGCGACCGCAGGAACGAGACCAAGTATGGCTTGTTCAAACAATAGCGTGAAATCAAAGCCACCACGGCACCCGCGGTCTATTACAGGGCCGAACCTGTTGTCAGCCTGGAGTGAGCACCCTGACGGCATGATTTTGTGGTGGACCTCTTTTCCGCTCTTGTTTTTCTTTTGACGAGATGGAGAAGTAAAAGGGAAATTAGGCAGAATATTATATAATCAACGGCGCGTGGGCCAAGCGTCACTGTAAGCGAACGAACCCCTATCGTCTATTGTGCAATCACTGCCCTATCATCAATGATTTTACATAGGTTCGATAAATGTGATGACACAAACAATTTATCAATTGGTGTCTTTTTTGTTTGTCGGTGCTATTATTATTAGCAAAGTATAGAACAATGAAAGCCAAAAAAAGCCTATGTCCATTAACGACTGTATATTAAGGACTAGAAGGATAGGTTCGTTCATTTCCTCCCTACTTGGTCTATACGCTATCAAAACTAGTATCTACATGTATATCCGCCTGCAACACAGCTAAAGAAAAACAACGAGGGCCAAGAATTGGAATAGGGTAGAATAGGCCCAGACGCGATATCGCATAGTCAATTCTGAATTCTCCATAGGGTAGAGAAACTCTCCAGATGCCTCGTAAGTTGATGCACAGTCCGCTTTTTCCCTAAATCAGATTTACGCAACGTTATAGATTGACAAGACCAACGAAATGATGCATTAAGTGCATTACTGAATTTTGGTCCCCTCAGACCGAGGCGATTATTGCGTGTTACGCGATTGTATCGTCGGTCATTTATCCTTCAAAGTTCATTGTGTTTCAACTGAAAAAGTTATGCAACCAAGATATTCCGATTTGAGTTGCAGCAATTTGCTAATCCTGCACTCGTACCTTGAGCCTGTGTAGCCCGCAATTAATCCGACTTTCCGTATATTTTTAGGCGAGATTGGAGATATTTACGGACCCCCGTCGAAGTAACTTTGCACCGCATAGTACTCAAAGTACCCATGTGATGTGCAATGCGGATTTGTCTATCAATACTTTTGACTGGATCCCAAATTATCCCAAGCCGTAGCCAAATTTTGAGGTCGTGCATAAATGTGCAAATTGGGAGTCTATTGAGGATTGGGTTTTGACGCACAGTCGGTTTGAATTCAATCACATCTTCTAGAGCGGCATCCTTTTTTTCATTTTTTTTGCGGCTATCAACAACCTCCATCCCTTTCCCAGACCCTCCTGCGGAATTGATCAGCCGTGAGGGGACTCGTCTCCAACGTCAACCTTGGAATTTTCATGAAGATGATACGAGATTTTACCAGACCGGTCACGTGGCTCACTCCGTCATCTTTCTTAGTAGTAAGCACACTATATCTCGAGCCTCTATCGTAGTGTACACTTCAAGTCAATAGTTATCTCTCTCAGGTGTTTCAAAAGAGACGTTTGATACTCGGAGAGACATGTAGAGTCATTCTGACACGTTGCAAGTGGCAAACGCCTTTCCTGCACCTGCAATGCTAGTGACACAAACAAACAACGATTAGGCTGAAAGCAAGAGAGATGAAAAAGTTTGCTGGAGTCTGAGGAGTCTGGGAGAGTCAACCCCAACCAGTCGCTGTTGGAAGGGAACATTCCCTCCAGGCGAGTCGGGGAAGCTTGATGAGCAATTCGCAAAAGTGGGAAAATTTGCGAGCCATGCCGTAGAGATGCTAGGAAAACGAAGCCGAAGAGGGAGTAGAGAGGCTTGACAAGTTTGAACTCCACGTCTCTGCCTTGAAATATTCTAGACCTACACCTTAAACGGGCACTATTCTAAATATAAATCAAGGCAACATTGTTAGTCTGTCATGTGTCACGGGAGCATCACATGGCAAATGTATCCCGTGGCAAACCGCGAACCAGCTCCGACCATATAGAGCAGAAAGTGAGTGAACCCGATTTGGTCTGTCAGCAACCTGCGTCTTTCGCCACCCAGTAAGCGCACCTTGACAGTACGTACCTATGCAAGGTAAGAATGAAAGAGAGTGTTTGTAGCTTCACAAACCCCAAGGGTTGTAATGCTTAGAGATTCGCCGTGTTCTCTCACTATCCAACTCAGAAATGGATGAAACGGTAGTAGTAGCATTCAAGATTCCAAATGTTATCATCCGGGTTTAGCAGCGTGCTTTTACCCGTCGCCATGCCAAGACACATTTGTGAAAAACAGAAATGCTTCCACAGCTGTACAGTTGAAGCTTAAGCTGCGCCTCACTTGTTCGATCAGATTTACGTAAATATCCCGTCTTGAAGCTCTACAGGCTGGTCGTGAATGCTGGTTGTACGGATTAGAAACATGTCAACTGAGATTCATTAGTTTGTTCAGGGTTTAAGCGAGATCATGACTTGTTGGGGGACTAGGGTTTCGCCCCAGTTAGTACCGACGAGATAGCCCTGTGTGGAAGATAATCGCCTGAATGCAGTAAAGTTACTCATAAATAGTTTCTAAACTAGAGTCTAGGTGCCCATAATAGAAAAGTTAAATAAGTTGGATGAGTTATGAAGTAACTGATTGGTGAAAAGCTCACCGTTCAAGTTCCTCTTTCGGGGCTGACGTTACGCCACGTGGGAACAGGATAGGAAGGTAAATGTGTTTATATATAAATTTCTCCGCTGAGTCAGTTTTTGTCGACCGAAAAACCACTACAACAAAAGGGGTCCCCCTCATTGGTGAGGGTAATTAATTTGGTATTTATTGGCTGGCAGTCTTCCTTGTCTAAATAGGCACATGCTTGAATTGTAATAAGGCTTTTCACTTTTTAGGTGCAAATTAGGGTTTCGACGGACCAGAAGTCCAAGCCTGACAATTGCCTAGCTAGGCTAGAAGAGAATAGCTAATTTTCGCCGTCGCGATTTCAGCCGCAGATGAAAAGTAAAGCGTTGAAACAATCTCTAAGAACTTCAGGAATAGGAAAGGAAAGTGTCCACCAATATAAGAGCCAAATTAATTACCGCTATTCTTGAAGGTGATCATTTTTGGTGTCGTGGTTTTACAGCAGAGAGAAAGCCTAGGATCTCCACTGCGTTGCTACTGTTGAGGCTTTTTGTCTTGGCAGCTCGTTGGTGATGGCTGAATGATCTCAAGTTTCGGGGTGGGGCCGAGAGCCGACACATGTTTTGATATTGCTAGAACAAGAAGTCAATTATATACGTACTACAAGTTGTATAATAGAGTCAAGCAAAAAACTATATAAGAAGATATATTTCTACCTCATTCCAGATGTTTTCATTCGTTAAGCAGCTTCACCAACAAACCTCAGTATATGTGAGTAAAAAAGGGCAACAAGAAGTCACCAGAATACTACTCTAACAGCTTTGTCAGCCGCCTCGAATTCTCAATAAAGACTCAATTTCTTAGTCTATTCGTCCAACAATCTACAGACCGCCAAAATGAAGACCTCTATTGTGGCTACATTCATCGGCCTTCTGGCTTCTAACGCCCTGGTTCAGGTGCAAGCCGCCAATTGCCAAGGATCGCACGGCGCCGCATGGGGCGGTACCACCTGGGAGGCTATCAACAAAGCCATTGTACAGACATGCAATGCGCAACCGCGTAACGACGGTTACAAAACGGTTGAAGAAATTGCTGGCTACGATGTAGCAGCCGCTGAAGCTAATGTCGGTTCGGGAGGATCGCCCAACTGCTGGGCGGCTATGTACCAAATCAGGGACCAGTGCTTGGATACCGGAACTGGACATTATGCGACACAGGGCTACTGGCAATATGGGGACGAGTACTACTTCTTGTGGGCCTGGGATCAAGCTGATTGCCATCATCAGCTTTCTGGCTACGACAACACTTGCTAGAGGAGGCATCGATCATGCATGTTCATTAAAACAGAAAGGTCAATCTAGCCAATATTAACGTTATTTACCTTTCGTGGAAACTCTCCATCAATTAAATATAATATATACACACTAGGATATGAAAGCAGCGGTAGCAGGATACAAGGAAGCTGTAACACCCCCATATTAATGCGATGCGGTTAGTGCTGATTCTATATAGTGTAAGGGTGTGCAAAGGTTCCTTATACTCACAGTTAGTATTGTTCATTTATCAACTTATGTAAATGTCTTACATCCGCTCGATGCGGGATCCATGTCTCATTCATGTTGGAATATATAGCTCCATGCCTCTAGGAAGAAGATACGATCATAGAAGGAAGTGGCTCCAAACCCTTAGGGTGTAGCACCGAGCCGGAAGGTTTTAACTATATCATATTCGATGGAGCGCTAGCTTTTGAGGTGAAAATGTATGCCTCAGAAATTGCCAAGGCTCCATAATCAAACTCAGCTCAAGGACAACTGGAAAGTTACCTTTTGATATGACTTCTACTTATGGGAAGTTGTGAAAGGGTAAGAACTTTAGTCTTGACACGCCTTTCTGAAGGAAGGTCTGGTCATCTTACAGACACATAACGTCGTTTGACAAAAGAGTTTGGTCCACGGCACATAATTACAACGTTAAGTTAATCAGGCGTAACGCCCGTTTCATACTAAAACTAGGTAATACAACATTCTATCTTCGCTTTGGGTCTTTTGGGTTGGCAATAGTATAGCTTCGGTGTGGGTCCAGGTATGTTTACCAGCATACACTCTTCCTTTTAAGTCCTGTCAATTGAAACTATCCTCGCGCCAATTTTAGTATGGTCGATATTGGGGCTCCACAATAACATTATGGTATAGCAATTTGAATAAATCGATCATATGATAATAGCTAAAAGGTAAATCTCAAGTTTGTAGACCAGATAGCCTCACAGCCTCTTCTAACCTTTTAATTTCATTACATATCAGACGTAAATGGTCTAGGTCCAGATGAGTTGTGTGATTGGAACGGTGATCCCATGCTTTTAGTCAATTAGTTAAAAGTCTTGTTTAAGTGATAGTGGGCCGAACATTGGATACTTCACCGATATGTTCCAAATTATAAACGCACATCTCAACAGATCCATCACCATTGCGAACCGAGGAATGAGCTCCAGATGTTTCTCCAACCATTCAAGCATAGTCCGAGAATGTGTATGCGAACAACATTCTAATCAAGGTAATAATCTGTAATTATTTACCTTAAACAGTAGGCAGTAAGTAGGTCTATATGGCATCGTTAATAGGGTCACCATTTTCACCTGAAACATAGAACTACATCCGGAGTATAACGTGGCGTTACAATGGGAGTCTCATAATCAGTTTTCTGTCCCATTAACAGTTGGGGCATGGACACCCCACATTTACCAACAGCCTTCCACATTGGGAATTGTAAGGCTCCTGCCACTGCCAACCTCCAAGTGCCAAAAAGTTTTTAGTGAGGTAATTGGGCCAATGCCCAATTCCAGGGTTGGCAAGCTTATAAGCCTCTGTGAACCTGCGGCACGTGCCTGTGCGCACCATGCGCTGCTGCCACGCCCCTATAACGGACGAAGCGGTTGAACAACATAATTCATATTTCACTAGTAAGCTTTATTAACACGCGTAATTTCAGTATTTCCACATGTAAGATTTTTGGATTTATAGAATTACTGCCTTAGAATCTATCTCAGAGCTATCTAAGCGTCTATTTTAAGGCCTATCTTAAGGCTTTTTTTAGTACCTTCCTTAGTACCTTCTTTAATACCCTTTTTAATATCTTTCTTAATACTTTTCTTTGAGCCTGTTTTAGAGTCTGTCTCAACATCTGATTTAGTATCTATATTAGTATCTGTTTCAGAACGTATCTTATTACTTTTTTTTACCATCTTTCTTACTGTCTTTTTTACTATCTGTCTTTGGCCCTACCTGAAAACTTTCTTTAATATCTTATATCTTTTTAGGACCTAGCGAAGCACCTATCTTAAGATCTGCCTTAGAGCTTACATTAGGGCCTTTCTTAATATCTTTTTCAGGCCCTGTCTTAAGGCATGTTGGGTGTGCTTAGAGCTTACCTCAGTACATTTTTGAGGTGATTCTGAAGCCTCAAAGCAGACAGTAAGAAAGGTAGTAAAAAAGGTGGTGAGAAAGGTAGTAAGACATACTCTAAAATAGATACTAAATCAAGCACTAAAACAGACATTAGTATAGACCTTCAAACAGATCTAAAACATGTATTAAAAAAGGCATTAAAAGATATTTAAAAAAAAGCACTAAGAAAAACACTAAGAAAGGCTCTAAGATAAACCTTAAGATAGACGCTTAAGTAAGTCTTAAGATAGATACTAAGACAGTAAATTCTTTAAATCTAAAAATATTAGATATGGAAAGATTGAAATTACCTGTTTCCTTATGTAATAAATGTAAAAATCAGAATTATGTCGTTAAGACCACTATCGGCTGCCGTAGCCCCGCGGCCGCGCCCCGCTGCCGCCAGACCTCACAGTTAAATAAATCTATCTGATAAGTAATTATTTGAGGATAAGTCTATCTTAGGCAGTTACAACACCCAGCTGATTCGTTGACTGCATGCATGTCACATTTCATGTTAGATGAGGATGTCCCAAATTATCTCTTCGCCCAATATCAGTGATTCGAGAGCCCGGGGGTCTGGTCCGTCTATATAGGGGTGCCAGCACGCCAACCTTGCCGTCGCGATAATCGGCCAGCATAGCAGTCGTCCTAAGAACCAGCTGCCTATCTCACCAGATGCCCTTATATTTCGCGGAGTGATAACCCAGTAGAGCCGTTTCTGCCCACCTCTCCTTCTCGTCTTGCCAGCTCATCCCATCAGCGGATATGGCTGCTCCCGGGTCTCGTCAGGTCAAGAGACCGCGGTTGTCGCTCAGCTGTGTCGTTTGTAGGGCTCGCAAGGTCCGCTGTGGGCGTGAGCAGCCCGAGTGTACCAACTGTACGCGAATGAATAAGAAATGCGTGTACAAGACCATGGTCCGTGACGAATTGACCGGTCGTGTCCGACAGCTATCCCTCAGTCCCAAAGACCGAGACCCCGCCGAGCTGAATCTTCCGCACAGCAATGAGTTGCCTGGCAGATCCTCGAATCTACTCTGGTCTCCACCCGCTGTAGCGACTGGTCTAACGGACTTGGGGGAAGCGCGTATCCCGCACATGAGCAGCAGTAGCAGTAGAAACAGGAGCTTATCCGGCACCGACCCGGGCCAGTCCCGGACACAGCAGCATCCAGTGCATGGCGACCTGGCTAATCCAACCGTGCCCTCGTGGGAGGAAGCCATGCAGGTTCCCAGTGACCACAACATTACCCGCCCTGCAAATAGCAGGCCGCCCAACCAGCGAGCATCATCACAAAATCCCAGCGAGATACTGTCCCCTGACTATCTCAGTCTGAGACGAGGGGCTCGCATTCAATATATTGGCAAGGCCTTTTGGGGGTTCGTCGCCGGACGGGTAAGAGGCGCCGCGCACCGTGTTGATCACCCGTAGGGTAGCTACTAATCGTCTGTGGTGTTCCTCGCAGGAAAGTCTGAGTGATAGCTTCTTCGACGAAAACCGCCATGCTCTGCCTGACCTGCCGCTCCCGCATATCGCCGCCGCCAGCCTGGCCAACTTGTTGAGATCCTTGCCCACCAAGCCCGTGTGTGATGTGCTGCTCCAGGCCTTCTTCATCGCCGTGTGGCCCCTTGCTCCCCTGGTGCACGCTCCCACCATGCAAGCAGAGTACGATGATTTCTGGGAATGGTGCCGGAATAGTAACACTGTGATGCCCCCAGCCAAGCTTCAAGATGATCCCACATTCATTAGTCTTCTATTTGCTGTCCTGCTCTGTGGCGCTTCTGCCGCGCCTATCACCATCTGGGCATCAGCCAGCCTACAGACTCTGCGGAAGGAGACGATAGTGAATCACTTGAAGTCAGCCTATACGGCGAGTCTCTCCATGAGTCAACATCTCGAGCACCCAACATTTAATACTCTAGTCTCAACACTTCTAACAGGGCCATTTGTGGACCATCCTCGGGAGCCGATGCGCAACCTTGTCTCTGTGAGCACAACCGTGCGCCTTGCGCAGACCATGGGATTTCATTCGGAGTGGGCGTCGTCTGCGTTGGACCCAGTAACTCGGGAGATGCGACGCCGCGCGTGGTGGCACATTATCTGGCTGGATGTGCAGTCGAGCATCTCCACTGGGCTACCCCTGTGCTGTGGGAGTGACATGCAAGAGGCAGTGAGCATGCTGGCCTGCACGCGGGATGAAGAAATTGGCAGTGTTTCTGCTTCCTCTCCACCGTCTGCCGAATCGTCGACGTCGGGCGAGTCCGTGGCCATGATCTATGCCATCGGACGCTTCGAGACGGCCCGTCTGGAGTCGATCATTGTCACTCGCCTACAAAGCGCACAGGGGCTGACCCATGAGGGGTTCCGAGAGCTGGTCACGGCCACAAAGCAACTTCATCACAAGATTAACGCTCTCCTCGCCAAGATCCCCACGCGCGGAATCCCGGAAAAGGGGTTCATCCCATCTCGCCTTGCAAACGCCTCCCCGCTCACGCACTCGTCTCTGTACAAGGACGATGCGAACCAGCCCACTGTTTTTGCGGCCTGGACACGCATCATGCTTACGCTCCTCAAGTCTGAAGCGGCTATCTTATTGCAAAAGCCATTTTTGCAGCCACCCGAATGTGAGAACCCGCACGCGCGGAAGTCATGGACCAGGTACGTCATAGTCGGGATTCCTAGGTGTCTCTCTTTCATTCCTCTATAATTCCTTTGGAGAAAAACAAAAACAAAAACAATTAATTATTCCATGATATTTTGGCTATATCCTGTATGCAAAAAAAATCTGTTGTACAGACCTTAAAAACTCCTACATATACATATCGGATCAGTTTCTTGTTGACCCGCTACTTCTATGATTAACTTATGTTGGTAGTATTGCGCAGCTCTGCTTGAGCTACCTGCGTAATTATTTGCAACTTTACCAAGCTCCAGCGTTTGCGCCCTATGTGTGGTCCTACTGCACGTACTATGGCCCTCTCCAATGTACATTTCTCATCCTGATCTACCTGCGGTATTTCCGTGACGCGCCAGATTATCAGCTAGCCCGATATTGCGTCGACGAGGTCATTGACCACTTCATATCTCAGTATCAATTACCGGACTCCTCGTCGACAGACGGTAACCAGGACGATCCTAGGGCACGGATGCCGGTAGCCATCCAAGCTCTTGTCGACCTTCACGGTCGTCTGGACTCGCCACTAGGTGGTGATGAGCCGCCACCACCGCCGGCTAATTTGGATCCGTGTCAATTCCGCATGCCTGGGACCTATCTCACGACCAAAGCAAACGACTCCCGCAATCAATCCGTTCAAACAGGTTCGGTTGCCTCCTCATCCGCCACTGCTCACAGAGAGAGTGGCCATAGCACCACATCCGGCATTACCAGACCCCCACCATTCCCTCTGCCGGCCACGAGCATCTCGGCACCGGCGATCGACCTGTTTCGTACAGGGCTCGATTCGGTGCCGGGCCAGGATTTCCTCGCCAGTATGTCCGATCTGGCTGCCTTCTCGTCGCTGCTGACGATGGAATCAGAGGACTTCTTGGGAAACGCCGACCTCATTTCATGTCCTTCAGAGTTGTGTCTACCAACTGTAACTCGAAGCGGCGAATAATATAGGCAATCGCCATGTACATTTCCAGATAAGGCAGTCTGAGAAGACAAAATAGCTAGCTCTCAACATATACGAGATAAGCAATGAAGGAGAGAGGAGCATCACGCACTAGATACGAAGACACGAGCGGTTTTCGCGCGAGAATGCCACCATGAACTTGTTGAACTTGGCCATCTCCTCAGGGCCCTGTAGCCATCGATCTGGACCAAAAGTCCGTGAGTTTTCAAAGAGTGTCTCGTTGTAGCGGGTGTGGTAAATTGCCATTCACACGCGAGTCCCCTTCGGGGATAAATCGGCTGTCAGGAAGATGGACTCCCCGTGGGAGGACTAGACGTGGTGTGCGTGAGTCGGCAGGAGATGAATATCGTAAACCTTTCTTGATTACCTCTGTCTACGGAGAATGCAACGTCTTAGCCCGTAATAGTCAGCTTGTCAGAGGAAGATGGAGGAAACGAACTAGATATGGCAGCTGCTCTAGTTTGCTGTAGTTCACATGAGAGTCCGGCCGTAGCATCACCGTCTTCAACTGGGCCAACAACCGGTCCTGAATTTCTTGGTTGTAAACAATGTAAAGTAGGGTGACCGTATTTGGAATACCTGTATTGCCATTTCCTGCGGAAATGAGGGTGAGGGTCTCATCTCGCAGCCCCTGTTTATCGGGCACCATGTATCCTTAGTCTGGGACGGAGATCAATAGCCCGCTCCATTACCGTGGGGAATAAGGGTGTTAACCCTTCTGCTGCAGCAGCTATGTACTCATCAATTCTTCGGGAAGCAAACTGCAGTCATAATGGTTGGTTTGAGTTCGCAGGTTATATTGGGGTATCTAACTGTCGGCTCTTCAGTTGGGCCCTTACCTGTTCTAGTTCATATCCCATCTCCACGGAATGAGAAATGCATCGCGCGATCCACAAAGGGAGGCTATTGAACATCCGGACGAAGGGGAACACTTTGATGACATGTAAACTCGGTAGATACATTTTTAAAACACGCACTGGCAGTCATTGAAAGTCCAGATGTGATAGGGTGTCGAGGGATTTCCCAAAAGCAAATTCCGAGATCATGTCTATTGAACATCAACTTCCATAAAGTGCTTACTTGATAGAGGAATACACCTACCCATTGCAAGAGACTTCAATGCCCGGTGGCGCTGCGTGTGGCATTAGAGATGACCAAGGGAATTTGTTTGCTGCACTGGAGTTAGTACGGCTATCTGCCGTAGCTGTTCCAGGGAATTTTGTGGCCTTGTATTGGAATCCCCTGCAGAAGGGCGGTAGGGTGGTCAACTCTACGAACAAACTGACTTCTCAACTTGCAGCCACTGAATTCTACAGTATGGAGATATAACGGGGTGCCTGACATAAGACAGCTTAACAAGTTGGAAACGGATGAACAACAGGGAATTCTATCGTGTCGCGCGGTCATTAATGTGACTGCAAGATTAAACATGTAGCTACAAATAGAAACCATGGTTACGACTTAAGTATTACGAGAGCCACGTAGATGCCAACGAAAGAGGGAATTAAAGATAATGGGTGAACAGCTCGCTTATTCCTGCTACTAGCTCTATTTGAACTCTAGTGGGAGTGTGATTAACTGACTTATCTCGGTGACAGTCTCCTCCCAGAGCTTCTTCTGTACCTCCTGACCAGCCGGCGACGATACGTACGGGTTGTCACTAGTGAGGGAGGGCGAGATTAGTTGGTTGTTAAATACGGAGATTGCGCTAAGGGACACAATATGACTTACTCAGCGATACTTTTATCTGTCAAAAACTTTCCATGAGATTCGGGCCCTGCAACCAGGGCAGCATTGAGAATGATCCAGCCGCCCACTTCCGCAGATCTCGCACGAATTGCCTTGATGACATTCACCACTGCGCGCAAATAGATCGGGAGAACATCGCTCATGTTCGTGTTAATCATTCCGGGGCAGAGCATGTTGATAATAACCTTCTTGGGATCCACCCGGGGCGCCAGACTGTACAGGAAGAGAAGGCAAAGGAGCTTGGAGTCACCATATCTCTGGAACGGGCTGAAGAACTCCTCCTTGTCCATATGTTCGATAACAGATTCGTCCGGTTGAAGAGGCGTATTCTGGAGGCTCGTACCCTCAAAAGCCCGACTGCCGACCCAGGTGATGCGGGCAGGGGAGCCGGTTTTTTGGGCACCGGCTTCGAGGTACGGTAACAACTCGGCAATCAGGAGAGCGTTGGAGTAGTAATTGACCTGGATTGTGCGATCATGGCCACTTGGGCTGCGTTCGGGCTTCAGCAAGCCGATGCCCGCGTTGAGAATGAGAATGTCGATAATGGGGACCTCCTCACGGAGTTGCTTGGCGAACCGCTGGACACTGTCGTATTTGTCGACGTCGAGTTCCATGACTTTGGCGGTGGTGTTGGGGTTATGGGTTTTGGTGCGAGACTCACCATGTAACTGTTTGACAATATCCTGGCCCTTGGCTACATTCCGGACAGCGAGGATGACGGTTGAGATATTCAGTCGTAACAGCTGTCGAGTGACTTCTAGTCCCATGCCAGAACTAGCACCGGTGACTACGGCCGTTTTGCCTTGGAGGTCGATTCCCGTCGGCAGCGGAGTAACTTTGGGCTGGGTTAATTTGGGCATGGTGATTGATACGATTGATAGTTAGGAGATAGGAGAGAGGAATATAGGGGTAGACGAGTGAAATAAGGGCCAAAGAAGAATTATGACAGATGAGAGCCTGGACTGGTGCATGGCAAAAAGAATCCTCATAATTAAACTGATTAACTATCTAACCATACCTTAATAGCTCAACAGCTTGAATAAGCTTGATAATCCTCTTTCTAGAATTTCAAGGAGTTGCTTACTGAACATCTATGTGACGGATTCATCTAACGAGATTGGGCCAATTATCATCTATTATGTGGTCGATGATTCAGCATTCGGCCGACTCTAATCTCAAAGCAGCCTAACGTCGCCCGAGCGACGTGATAACCCTTGCCCTAAAGTGAACTCTTTTTATCATCCCTCGTCTATCTATCGCCTGTCCGCTGACTTCGCCGTATGGCGCGCTCAGCCGGAACGGCTATCACCGATAGAGGAACGTCTTAGGAAATTATATTATCCAGCATGATATTGTACAGTCATGCAGACTTAGAGTTCCTCACCGCTCGATTCGACCGCATTCTTGCGTTGTCGCTCTATAATCTCGAGTCAATCAGCGCTTCCTCTGTCAAGTTTCAATGGCGCCATATAAACCCCGCAGCTTCACCGCAGGAGAGGACCCGTTGAGCAAGTTCATCGTAGTGCAAAATCTGCCTCGACCGCCAGATCGGCAGTTCCTTTTCCATGGGATCATGCGTCCGAGCAGGGGAATCTACGCAGAACTTATTAAAGGCGGAAAGAACCCCCCTACGCACTTCCATCGATCAAAGTGGGAGTTCTTTCGCGTGCTGAAGGGGAATCTAACGATTAACTTGAATGGGGTGCCTGCTCATGTCACCTCGGCTACCGGTGAGATCGCGGTGATCCCGTACACGCATCACGTCATCTACGGCACTCCGGGAACAGAAATGAACGAGGTTAAATTCGTCATTAGTGCCACTGATCGACCTGCTGAAGACAATGTGACGGGGTTGGATCAAGAATTTTTCGAGAATTGGTATGGATATCAAGAAGATATTTTCGAGCGTGGGGTGAAGTTGGATCTCATCCAAGCCTTAGCGGTATGTATGACAAACTTATTTTTGCTTTCTGGACGCGTATGATGATCAGCTCCCTTACTTGGGCAGATGTTTGATGCTGGAGGAACCTATCTCTCGCCTCCGTGGTGGGTTCCATTTCGTTCGTGGGTCGGGTTGTTCCTGGGGATCGTCATGGGACGTTGGATAGGGGGCCTGCTCAGATATGCACCTTTCTATCCAGAGTGGACGACTGATTGGCAAGGTGCATGTGACATTATGGAACGAAGCTACTTTCAGTGGCGATTTGTAAAGCGGAATGCACAGCAACTAGCTCGAAAGAAGTTCGAGATGAAAAGTCTAGAAATATTCCTGTTCTAGAAACAATTTTCCCACCAACCAATGGCTGACTCAATGATATCCTGTTAGGCATTGGCGCAGCTAGGTATCGGACGCGGGTATATCGTATAGTGGCACCTTTTCCTTTCGTGTAAACGATCCCTCGTTCCTGGTAGATACATTCCAAGCCTATCTAGCTGTAGCGGCATCGCTACCATCTGAAGTTGAATTCTCGTACGTACCTCAGGGAATCATCCCAAATCTAGTCACACAGGGTCGGTCCCAGAACGGAGGGAATCTCCTAGGTCTAGAAGAGATACCTCAGGTTTATATGTATTAACTCCCTCTCTTTCTTCGCGGGCGTAGAAACCCTTCTGACAATCCCCCTCGTCTTAGGGGTGGATATCTTCGCACAGTGGCCCGCTGAACTAGGAGACGCAACTATTGTAAATGCTATAGATTCAGTGGTGGCGAATCTAACATCCCAGGCCCAATCCCAGGGTCTGTTGCTTCCTTTTATTTACGTCAATGACGCTGGCCCCAAGCAGGAACTCCTGGTTGGCTATGGATCCAAGAGTTCCCAGTATATCCAGAAAGTAGCAGCCAGGTATGATCCCAAAGGAGTAATGCAAAAGTTGCAGAATTATAGTTATTTTATCTCAGATAAGATATGAGTACATGTGATATACATAATTATCTGTAGAATACATTTCTTGTGTCATAATTGATAAAGTACGTTATTGTCATTGCATTTTAATAACAAAACCTGTCTGTCGTCATATTATGACCGGCTTGATACCCTTGCTCTATAGACTCAATATCGAGCGGTGAAGCTTCAATTCACCCACATCTAGTTTTTCCAGACACCCCCCGGACATGGCCCTGTCCAGACCGTGCTACAAATCGTCATTAATTTGCCTTTGGATAGACTGCCTGTGGCTGTTACCTTTTATCGCGTAAAGTTGACAGTTCCTGCGTTTCTGGGGTCGCCGTCTAAGCCAATGATGCGGAATCGATCATGGGTGATTATGCTGCGATCTAGGTGATTGGTGGGGCAGGCTCAGGTGACAGTGCGGATAGTGAGCGGCGGTGATGAGGTATAGAGCGGCAGGCTGCAAGCGCTAATCTGGAAACTGACGAACCCCGATCTCTCTTATAATAGAGTGGCGTTGAAGTAGTTTTAATGAAGCGCTAAACCGGCGCGCCTTAGCCCCAACACTAATAAATAAGACTCAGCTAAAAACTGCAAGGTATCTTACTATAACGATTTTATTACAAGTATTTTCATTATATTATGGTAATTTCGGCCTATTCATAAATTATTATGGTTTGGTATGAGCACTAGCTACTTCAGTGCCATTGTACATCTGTACAACTAATAACGGTACTAGCCTGCTTACCAAAGACTCCCAATAGGGCATTAGATGTTCAATTCATGTAGTAGACATCTGTGCCTATTAGGTCCTGTCCACTTATTGGTCTTGTTTCAGCCTTGTGGATCGAAAAATTGTCTTTAATCTCTCATCTTCGATTTGAGATGTCAATTCGAATTAGGTCAATGTGAATTCTAGCCACCAATCACAGTGTAATCAAACTGCAGGATGAGTCATTACTGACTGGTTACCTATTCGAGTATTCAAGACTCGCAGCCTTTTTTTGGATATTTAAGAAGTACCAGTATTCCCGAATTTGACGTTTCCAAATAAGAAGCTGCTTTTCAACTTTCCACCAAATAGACCACAATTATACCTAGGTATGTGAGAGAAGACTTTATCGGAGGTTTACCAGAAAGATGAGAGTTAACCGGGGAAATAGATTGTATTCATCTTTCAATCTCAGTATGGTTTCTAAAATCTACTCGGCGGTCGTCGCCTTTTCTTGTTTATTGAGCGGTGCTATCGCAGAAGACCTCGCTGCCGTGTATGGTTATACTTCCTACAGTTGCGGTAACGATGCAAGCTTTTCGTACACTTTTCCATGTGGAGGAATAGGATGCTCGAATTTAGGATCTGGAGTTGCGGCCTTGGGTTTGCATCGCGCGCATGTTGGCGACGAAGGAGTTACTTGTAGTGCCTATAGTGAATCGAACTGTGAAGGAAAAGAGCAAAGTATGGGAATTGGAAAAGGCAAGGATTGGGGCTGCACAAACTCGCAGATTGGTTGGATCAAGTCTGTTCAGTGTTATCAGGGTTGCAATTCATAAACCTACCAGTTTGCGAGCAGTGATGTGGGTTAAATAGGAGCATATAAGATACATATGTATATAACTGCCCAATATCGTACCAGTTTTCATACTGCCTTTTTAATGGTGGTGTTCACAAAATTTATGCCTGCGGGCCTACGGTGTTTGAGATGCTCTTGTTCGCATCTCCAAACTCCTCTAGGGAATAGCAACAGCAACCAGTTACATTACAGTCCTTGTAAATATACACGCAATAATACCAGAAATACGATGTCTGGAATACATATCTTATATTCCGATGAATTTTCATATCTTAAACTTTGAGCCGGAAACTGAGTATAGGGCTGGATTGGTACAGATGTCTACATTCAATACAGAGGGACTTTAATAAACTGGTTTTTATCCAAATCCCAAAGGTTAAACATCGAGAATAATAAGAGAAGCAATAAAATTACTATATCATGTCGCTTTATTGCCTAGCGATGTCTTAGCTCTCCTTATTTTAGAGAATAGAAGACTGACTTTGGTGTTGATATCTTTTGATTGTAAATTTGTCCAGAGCTTCTCGATGAAGAATAGTTTGGACTTCGGCTCTAGATTATTATATCTTGTCCATTGTAACAGTGGGATTGGAATAACGTCGGCCAGGAGGAGACGACGAGTATTGGTTAGCCTCCCATGGATGGTAAATTTTGGTATTTTCAGCCAATTTACAAATACTACAGTGTAGTCACGGCCCTTTTATTAATTTAAAATTTTAGAACTAATTAAAGTTTAGTAAACCTAACATTTTGGGACTAGTTCTGATTTATTCGGACAAATAAACTCACATTGTGATTTCTTCTAATTAAGTGTAATTATGAAGGCCTGATTTACATGTTATTACAAATACCAAAAATTCTTACACCAACCCCAGCCTAGATACTGAGATAAGTCAAAGATTTTTTCTAATCCAACCAAAAAAGCCACATTTGTCAACCTGCGGCGCCATCGGAGCCCCGCGGCCCTTTCGGTAACTTCTGCCATGAGGTCACCTATCTAGGATGTCGCCAAGCCCCTCATCTTGTTTCAACTGCTACAGTGCAGGTGCATACGCGTTCCATTGCGGTGGATCACAATATCTGAGATTGTTTATTGCAACAAATTACGCACGCAAGGATGGTATACCGCGGTAAACTCTCGCCCAATTGTGAGCCATGCCGCGCACGGGGAACAAAGGTGTGGCAGATCCCTTGACTTATTCGTCATTTTATGTCATGCGTCAAGTCTAACCATTAGCAGTGCGATCTGGCTCGCACGGGATGCTCACAATGCTCCAGGCGTGGAATTGTTTGCCATGGCTACCGGGAGGTTTCTGGACTGCGCGTCGTTAATGAAACCGATCGGTTTTCTCGGAAGGCCATTCGTGCAGGACATCAGTATGGAGGTGATTTTGGGAGACAGGTTCAGCGCCAACGCAAAATCGTTCAGTCATTGCCTGTTAGCATACTACAACCCACGCTAGAAGACGTAGCGAATAGTTTTTTCTTCACCTCTTTTGTTCCAGGCAGCCACTTTGGTTATCTCCCGATCGTTAGTCATGCCACTGCGCTTGCGAACCCTCTTACGGCATGCATTCGTGCTGTCGCGGTGGCGAGTTTCGCCAGCGAGCAACAGAATCCGAGTATGATGAAGGCAGCTCTGAAGCATTATTCTATTGCGCTTCGTGAGACTCAACCCACTATGACATCATCATCAAGCATTGCAGCTCAAGACAGCACTATCATTTGCGTTTTACTTTTAGGGCTTTTTGAAGCCCTATGTCACAAAGGCCAGGCAAATCCACACAATTATACCACGCATAACGCCGGCGCTCTAGCGCTCCTGGAACTGCGCGGCCCGGAACTCGTTCAGACGCAAATCGGGTATCAGCTATTTCTCCAAGTCAGTAGTAATATCCGTGTCAGCTGTATTGTGCACCAAAAGCGTACGCCGCCACGTCTTCTCTCTTTGCACCGACGAATGGCTCCGTTTATCGACCCAGCAGATCCCAAAGTACGGTTTTTCACTATTCTCGACGATTTCGCAGAATTACAGGCTGTAGTTCTCGAAAACGGTATTAGTGGCTCACTTGAAGTCGCATTTTCTGCATCACGCCTTGATTCCCGATGTGAAAACATGATGTCTACTATATATGACTCGTCTCTTTACACTACTCACATCTCTGACCATGAGGTTGCATTTGGGTATGGGCGAGAATGGCACCAGTATCCCGACGCACATATAGCACAATGGTGGAATTCAGTGCGTCAGACACGTATATATCTGAATCAAATAATCTTAAATCAGCTAGACTCAGCGATATACGAAGATGCTGAAATTGAATCTGACTGTCTGGATATGCAACTAGCCGCTATAGCTACAACACAGCAACAGGCTGCCGACATCTGCGCTAGCGTTCCACAGTTCGCCCAGGCAATTCACGAAAATCGGTTACAGTCTAATGTGGCTGCATTAACACTGGTAAGCCGGCTGTTTTTCCCTCTGTGTACCGTGGGAATCTCATCTGTTGTGCCTGATTCAATGAAACGTTATGCTGCTCGGTCGCTGTGGTTTCTAGGCACTGCAGCCAAATTTCCACAAGCTGTAGAGGCTGCGAAAATGATTGAAGACAAGTCATTGGATACTAGTTGGTGAGTGATACAAGTCCAAACTCTTCGTTCCCACCAGCTGACGTTTGAAGGGTACATATTTTTCATGTTTAAGTTTGTAGTAATTGTTTAATAAATTAATTTGAATATAATGAGTTGTATCCAACTTTTGTACAAGATATGACAGGCCTGAATTGTTGCGCTTCTAACAATGGCCATAGCTCCCTTATATTAGCGCAAAATCCTAGTACTAATAACCCGATACTGTACCGATCTACTGAATTGGCATTTTGTGCCTCAACTTTCAAATGACTTATGAAATGTTACCTGCAAACAACACACATAATAATCACGCTTTTCAGCTCTTGCATAGTCATCGAGATAGCTCCACGAGGAGAAATTGTCCCGCTCGGTAAGTCAATTTTAAACGAGCTTTTAGAATATCTAATTGAATACAATTTGTATTTGTTATTGTACTCTACCATATGTTGACAGATTGATAACAAGGAGGGACCGGTCACCACCCAGTTAGATTTACTAAATATTTTCCAGCAATTTAAACATGATTCAATGAAAGTGTAAGAATAAATTCCATAGGATCCGATCTGCAAGCCTTCTTGAATCAAGCTCTCAATCTATCTGTGCTATATAGCTTTCCTAAGAATCCACGAGCACCGTAATTCAAATTAAACTTTGCATGATGAAGTTCATGCATTCTAGCTACGTTATGAAAAAGGCCATAATCACTATGAACCGTGGCAGTCGTAAAAGGCCCGTAGGATAGAAATAGCCAAAACGTCAGAAAATGGCTTTTTAGTAATCGAGGTTGAAGTACGATGGGTAGAGCATTGGCGAATATTTGCTCTATCGGATGGGCGTATTGTGCTAAAAATACTATACGCGCCGTGAAGCGATGATGTTTTTCGTGAATATACTTATAAAGTTTTGATGGCGTAGAGTCCGGTTGGTATAATAGACATGATTTCTCGTAAAACAATAGATAACGCCATGTCTCGAAGAATATTCCATATGCTCGGCAACTCAGACTCAACTCTCAAATGTGGTCGATGCCCAAGCAAGGCTGGAATGAACGCAATCACCCATCTGATGATTTGACCACGCAGCACAGTAGGCACGCAATGCCAGATCTAAGATTTTGAGGGCTTTTTTGATGAAGGCTGCATTTTATGTCTCTGTGCAAACTTTGGAACGAACTTTTCCATCGTTGTATATACAGTCGATGCAAGCATTGGAAAGGACAGAATCTAGCGGGAGGGTATATGGACAAATGTCATCAATTGATGTGTCCAAGGAATCGGTAAAACTGGGCATTCGAGGCAACTCAAAGCCGACACCGTGACAGAATGGCACTGGAGCTTATTGAGGTCTTTCAGCAGTTTTCTTATGTATTTGCTCTTTTGTCCACTACTTCCTTAACTATATGATTCATGAGGAACCAGTATTGGTTAGTGAAGTATTAAGTCTACATTTAGGGTTGCGATTTAATTGTTAAGAGATTAAAAGATGCAGCCGCGTTAAGTCACCGATGTTGCCGCATCGGGAGTAGATGAGTAATGAACACGGTTGGATCGGATACCAGTAAACTATCTTTAACAGTCTTCAAGTTAACTACTAGACTTACTCCTGAAGGATCGGGCACCACATATAAAGCAAGTGGGCGGCTTGGTGACGTTAGCGTGCGGGAAGCGTCATGAACTAACTGGTTTAAGTAACCAGCCAGTAATCAGTAACTAACTTGTTTAAGTAACCAGCTAGTAGTAACAAATTTGATTGGTGTATATAAAACCTTGGCAAAATTCGTGTTGTATTGAAAACGTATTGGATATGATCACTATCATCCTATTGTAGCCTGAAGGTAGTATAGGTGGGCTACTCTATCAGAATTGAGCTAATTTTATAATGGACGGATTCGGCGGAGAATTGCTCATTGGTTACTTCTAGCTTCTGCCCGTGGACGCAGTCCTCATACGGTGGGATGAATTATGTTTGAGGGATAACACTGAAAAGACGGTAATAAAAGTAAGCACTAAAGATTTAACCGAATTAAAAACTGACAAAATCTCTTTTTATAATGTATAATTTCAGACTAGTGCTACAACTATTATGGGGCAATACAAGTCCAAATTTTTAGTGCTATCCTCAAACATAATTCATACCTGATGTTTGATGCTGCATATGACCGAGCCGTCACAGGTGGCACTGAGGCTGAAATTATCACTAACAGTGAGTGATATTTTGTACGTAAATCCGGACAGACCTACATAGCTAATCTAGCAATCACTACGTATGAGTCATCCCCTAACCCAATACTGCAGTCAGTGTATATGTATATATACATATATAGTGATGGCCGTATACGGCAGTCTGTGCATGCAGGAATCGCTAGTATCAACTCATATTACTCGCCAGTATGCCAAATAGAGAAGAAAAGAGCATCTAGAACAACGGTATTTTACCCACTAATTCACGTGTTAGGCCTGATATGGAATCTATCAGCATCCGACAAAATCGCCACAATTTACCTAATATCAAAAATAGAACACAACTAGGTCTTCATAACCATCTAAGAATCATCTTACATCAAAAGTGAAGAATCGTTGAACCTATATAAAGGTGCCCGGATCACCCTGTTTGTAACAACTTTCCCAATGCAACAGCAAGTGAAGGTGAAAGCAACTCGAGCCTCTCTACTATCTTCACCTAAACCTGATTGTGTTCCTCCAAAACTTGTCTTCAATCTTACCATATCTTATTACTTATCTCTCATAACTTATTTGCATCATGAAGTTGACTAATTTGGCGCCTGTGCTTCCACTCGTTGCATCCATCCTTCATGTATGTGCAATTCCCATAACAAATGAGGATTCTCCAACAGTGTCCCTCTTCGGACACTTTCAAATATCTGCTGGCATAGCACCTGACACGATTGAAATCCAAGAAAATATGACCCAAAGCTCGATTACCAAACGTACCAACCCGACTGAGATGTACAATGGTGCTAATTACGCTGATGATGGTTGGGAGGTCGTCACCCGGTCACTGACCGATTACGTTCTGGGCTCGGACCTGAAACTCAACTCAATCAACAGGAATGACCTTGCCTCAGCTGTAGCCACCAGTGTGATCAATGTAATTGGCAACGGCAGCGCGCGTCAAAAAATCTCCGATGTCTGGAGCTGGTATGGCCAAACCCATGGCTCCTACGATTTCACCGATATTCCAAGGGGCCTGATATATGACATGGCTCTGGGTGCCATGCAGCATGCTACCGACCTATATGCCGACAATTATGACAAGAATAACTACGTCACGTGGGCTGTGTATTCTACTACTGGCCAAATGATTTACCAATTCGCCATTTATCCTCTGACTGCTAAATGGCCTACCGGGGGAACTGCATTTAATCCATAGTTTCTTTGCTCTCTTTGTTTGCGGAAAGAAGATATATTGCTCGGGTCTTTCCCCCTAAAAGTCCAACAATATTTTTTACTACTACCAGGAACCTGTTATTTTAGATTAATTCACCATAGGTGATTGGTCTGGTCAATAGGTGCAGGTCGATACCTTGGAGCTTGCACATGGCTTTGCCAATATATCTACACCGCCGCACACAATTTGCTAGTTTTCTTCCTTCGTTCTTGTCTTGATACTCTGGTGTATTGCTACCTAGATAGTTGAATTCATATTGATTTATAGAATCCTTACTAGATCGGGCAAATCCTCACAATTGTATCATCGTCGGCAAGCTCGGAAAGATCATCCGGGTTGTCGGCGGGTTCCCTCGTCTGCATTATCATGGGTCGATAAGTGCGTTGGCTGCGGTCTTGTGCTTCGCGTTTAGAGTGTTTAAGTGGAAGCACCGGAAGAAGCAGCTTGTTACGATAAACACAACTGGTGTTACGTCTTGAAAACAGGCGAAATACCCGATTCGAAGATACATGTATTCTATACATGGCTACGCACCAGTTGACATGTACTATTAGAATGCTTGTAGTCTCTGCTATTGGTTGAAATATGCTACAGAGCATCGGCTACTATAATACATTCATTTAATAATCATTCGCTGGATAACCTTAAACTTCTGGTCCGGCCTGCACACACCAAACAGAATGGACATGCTATGTATACAACCCATAATTTAAAGGTTACTCAATACGATAAGCTATTAAGTCTTATAACTGTGTTCTGGGCTAACAACCATACACTAATCTCCAATAGTACATACTACATAGGTACCTGAAAGACTTGAAGGAAATTACAGAATGAATCAGGTTTCTACAAATATCGCTATTGGTCGCATCACTCGGCTTCATGGTTATGGTGCCGCCAAAATGTAATCAACAAATCTATGAAAAGTAATCAAACCTTCCAAATTTATCCCGCACATCATTACCAATACATTGGTTTCAGAAGGCATATACTAATAATGAGGCTCCTAATACTAGTTATAATTAGGGTTGTTGGCGTCTCGGTTCGCGCCCTTCCAGGCTGGGCGGCTATTAGTGTCAGTCTACACATGTCATTGAACGATCTTTTAATCTACTATATTGCCTCTAAGCGCCATGTAGCTGCATCGGCCAGTTATTTGGAGAATAATAGGACAATATCGCATGAAAAGTCAAGTATGACTACTCTGTAAGCAACAACATAACACAGGGATGGCTTGGGTGTTTCAGGTCCACTACCGTGCGCATTCAAGCGCCGATAAAATAAAAAACAGACAAAGAAATCAGTGTAATTCGTATCACTGAGGTCGGATACTTCTGTTTGTGAAACAAATTTTGATTCAAACCCACCTGAACAAAACGAACAAGGTGCGAGTGTGCTATCGAAACCACGGCTGGCCACTAACAACGCACGTCTTGACGCCGGTCAAGACAACAGTCGTTCAGACTCTAGACCATGTTCCGCATGTAGAGAATCAAATTGTTTTCAACAGGATATTAACTAGATAGATCGATTGGCTCCTCTGTATCGCCAAAGTCAAATGGTTCGCCTATGCATGGGATTACAATAATCTGACCCTAGGGGCCAGGTCGGTAACTAAGTATAGCTTTCAGCATTCGAACAGGTTCTCCTAGGCGCATACCCAACGAAATTTTATATGTACGAGAAATTTTATTTAAACCGTCTGAGTGCCCGTCAACCTCATACAGAATTCACTGCTCATCAGAAAATCTCATTCTCAAAGTCTCCAGCTATTCGCATTTCGTCTTCCTCCACCCGATATATGCTTTCAGTCAACCCGGTCAGAATCAGACTGTAATATTCTATTTATTTGGACTGCTTACTTGGTCCCTTCACTTCCAGGACCTTGATCTACGAGTTATTTCGTTTTTTCTTTCGTTCTCGGGGTGCATCCATATAAATACAGTCTATAACTCAAGGACCTCTTTCGAATTGTACAAACTGCCCTTGATTATTCTAGTGTTCTAGGCTCATACTAATTTCAAAGCAGATTCAAAATAATGTCACGATACAGCAGGCGGGACAGCGGCAGCAGCAGCAGCAGCAGTGCTAGTAGCAGCAAGCCCGTCGGCAATGGTCGGTATAAAATTGCTGATCCAGATTGTGAGGTGTGCCAGGGGACTGGCTTAGCCCTTGACTATGGAATTTGCGATGATTGCATGGGGACAGGCAATAACATTGCTTATCACGAACTGACGTGCACCGTGTGCAATGGGAGTGGTAAGGTTGTAACTGGTGAAGATCGGTGCGGTTGCCTCAACTGATGCAAGCGAACGTTAAATTTGAAACATCCGTCTCAGGTGTGGTCTTCAAGCTGGACGGTGGTATGATGGGTTATGGATGAATATCTACGTGTGTACACCTGTATTTCGCTCTTGTATCCATTGTTTGAATGTGTTTAGTTTCCTATTAAGTGACCCTGAAATTGAGATTGAGAGTTTTGATTTCCGATTGATATTGAAATAGTGTTATTTATTTGTCGAAACTCGTGCTACAGATGAATAGAATGCTTTGAAGCGGCCTCTTCATTAATCATTATTCAGTCCGTATATATTCCTTATCCGGAAATCTATTCAACAACTAGCTGTGTAGTGTTTATGTAGTAAAATTTAGGAAAAATAAGTTCAAGTCGAAGTGATGCTCAGGAAGTCGGTTTTCTTTTAATGTTAGGTGGAGGGCCGTGTGTAATTCCTAGCCTGCGCTCCTCTTCCTTCTCCTTTGGCCGCGATTCAATCTGGGCGAGAAAGTCAGACCAAAATCTGGGTTTCACTTTTTTCTCTAGCCACTCCATATCCTCCGGGTGCTCTTTCATATATTCAAGCTCTCTGTCCGGGATCCTCTGCATTCTGCGAAGTCTTCTCTTGACAATATGTCGTATATGATGGTCTTGAATCCGCTCATATGACCCTGGTGTGAACGGGAACTCTTTAAGCTCGTCTTGCACCTCTTTAGACTGGAGAAGCTCTGGCATAGGCTCGCTATATACCAAGGTTAACACTTGTAAGTATTTGTTTGTGTGTAGAATGAGGTACTCATACAAGGTCTCTCCTGTCCATTTGTAGCAAAAAATCGGCACGTCATCATCGTTAGGAGAGCTACCGCAATCCACAAGGTAAAAACAAATTCGGTTATTATAGCCTAGTTCATCCCCATATGTGTACCAGCGGTGGAAACCAGGGACAAATTCATGGTTCCATTGATGTTTGGAGATGCGATGAAGCATTGGCATAAGTCTGGCACTATACGGATCACGACGAACCCTAGTCTTTGGTTCCGGATCTGGTTGCACCAGGTGTGTGAATGTTTGAACCAATACACGGGCTGGGCACGGTTGAAGCAGAGGGGGTTCGTTGGCGGTTGGATCCATGATTGTCGATATTCCCAATATCCCTTTGATAGACAGATTATTAATGCATTCACGAGCTACAAGACGAAGATGTGAGAGTCGCAGCACCTTAAGAAGAGGAGAGAGCATAGAGCATAAAGCGGCGGGCGCTTAAGGCCCTAAGCCACCCCTCGTTGCCCCACCCCGTGTCTTCTGTCTTCCAATCAAATCAAGCCTAATGTTTCAGGGTTTCTAAATAAGGAACAAGTTCTATATACACCACGACTGATTGGACACCATCTTTTATCAAAAAGCTGGAGAGTTGTGAAGGGACTGGCTGATTATGAGGTTCTACGGAGCCCATTTGTCCGACTACCCATTCAAGCGTCACCGAGTCTCAATTATATTCTCAACAATGGAAGGGACAGTTGAAGCCATTGGCTTGTAGGCAAAACAGTAATGCACGCTCGAAAGAGGCTAACAGCACTATTACGTGCTTTGATGGATGAAGTTATGTGAGTAGCTTGATCTAATTAACACCGCCAAAAATCACACTTATCAACAATATATTTCATGAATTAGATACATCGACAAGCTTCCTGTCGACTGAAAGCGTGTCCTGAGAGTCTCCAAGCGCCCTGTTTATCGTGTCTGCAAGCTAGCGCATAACCGTGCAATGTGTTAATATTAGTTAGCCACCGACAACAACAATAGCCGGCCAAGTGGGAGAGATCTATGAAGGTGCAGTTAACCAAGAACTATGTTCACTAGAGGCGAGTACTGTGTAATATAGCTATAAACAGGGCCGTAACTCTAAATATCATGCTATAGATTGTGATGAAGACATTACTAGAGATTCAAAAAGGCCATTATAGGTTTAGTTTAGCTTTCTGTATATAAAAGATGCTGATCAACTCAATGAGCATAGACCCCAGCCGAGCGTATATGGATCATTCTAGCCTAATTGTAAAGCGATGATTGGAAGAAGTTTTCAAAATTAGTCCCTCTTTATTATACTTTGAAGAATGGGGTATATGACGTTGTTTGCTGTGGTGGTCATTAGGTGAAACGATATCATCTATAGAGAATAAGAAAGTTATTCTGAGAATTTAATTTAGGGCGTGACAGCTTAAAAAGAATGAAAAAGGGAAGAATATTTAATATAGAATACATTATGATAAATGCATTTATATGAGGATTAGTTATAAATACTACCTATATTTGTGCGGGGTACCATATTAGCTAGTGATTAGGAAACTAATTGGTATAAATGGATGGACTTTTCTCAGAGACTGGAAAAGTTATTTACTTCGAGATAATGTTCAAAAGACATTCTATCACTAGTAATAGTTTCAAGATCAATTTAGCCATTAAAATATCTTTAGTCAAACTTATCTCTTCTAAAATTAGTCACTATCGGTCCTAAGGGGGACATGAAGTCACGGAGGTGGAAGAGTCTGCTCATTGCGTAGCGTAAGCAACCCTATATACAAACTATTGTAACGGCTTACTCGAATATAACAAACTATCAAGTCTCATAATTGCGTTCTAAACTATCAACCATCTACTAACCACATGTACTGGCGAGCACGTAGCAAGCATCGGCTTTCCACTCTCAAACCAGCTAAACTCCGAGTCTAATTCGGAATACTGAGAGACAGATCGCTACAATTAGGGAAGATGATTTAAACCCCGGATGTTGCTGGTATATGCTCGGATTAATTTCAAATCCTCAACAATTACATATTTTTAACAAAATGTAGGGTTGATGCGCTGTATAGATCAAAATATATAAACAATGTTCCCAGATAATATCAATTTGCAGTACTGCTTCACAGTAGAAACAAAAAGAAAAAGAAAACAGAGCAAAAGAATCGAATAAATGGCAGCACAACAAAAATGGAATATGTCAAGTAAATTGACACCCTTATATACTAGACGCCTACTAATGTCCAGTCTCGGCCGCTCCGGGCTGAAAATCTCGAAGGTCATTCTTGGATGCATGTCGTACGGTACGTCGGGCTGGCAGGAATGGGTTCTTGACGAGCACCAAGCATTGCCGTTGCTTGAGTATGCGTACAAGAGGGGTATCAACACATGGAACACAGTGCGCGCTCTCTTACATCTACCCTCATCTCATTACAAGCACCACTGCGGTAAGGCTTACAGTTCCCGTCCAGGCAGACACCTCCTCCAACGGTCAATCCGAAGCCCTCATCAGCAAAGCCCTGGTCAAATACAAAATTCCACGCAGCAGGGTTGTCTGACCGAATGTTTCGCCGGAGTAAACGATGAGGGTCGCCAAACCCAGATCTCGGACTCCATTGTCAACGACGGGCCGTGGGTGAACAGGGTCGGATTATCGCGCAAACACATCTTCGACGCCGTCGATGCGGGTGTCCAGAGACTGGGCTCGTATATCGATGTCTTGCAGATTCATCGTCTGGATCGCGAGACCCCCCCGCGAGGAGATTATGAGGGTGTTGAATGACGTTATTGAGAGTGGAAAGGTGCGGTATATCGGGGCCAGTTCGGTATGTGTCCGTATCTTTCTTTTTCGGTTGATTTAATTCGCTTGTGGATGGATTGTTGACGGTGATGCAGATGGCAGCATGGGAATTCCAAGCACTGCAAAACATTGCGGTCCGCAATAACTGGCACCGATTCATCTCGATGCAGAACTACCACAATCTGCTCGCCCGCGAGGAAGAGCAAGAGATGTTCCCGTACTGTATTGATGCTGGGATTGGGCTTGATTCCCTGGTCGCCGCTCGCACGCGGTGTGCTGGCGCGGCCGTGGCGGCATACGAGTGTACGTGATGTGACGGATCGGGCGGTGAGGTCGTTGGTGCGTGGTGAGTTCGATGGGGATCAGAAAATTGTAGATCATGTCGAGGAGGTAGCTGCGAAGAAAGGGGTGTCGATGGCGCAAGTCGCTACGGCGTGGTCATTGAGCCATCATGGGATGAATCTTATTCTGGGGCTGAACAGTAAAGAGCGGGACCGACGAGGTGGTTACTCGTATCCAGATTAAACTGTCGGAAGCGGAGATCGAGTACCTCGAAGAGGCTTATACCCCTAAAAGGGTTTCTCTTGCTCATGAACGGTGATCTGATGGTTCTATCTGAATGGAAAGAGAAGTGCATTACCGAGATTGGGTAACTCAATGAGTCTTAAACATCTATACATATCAATTGATGTTTCTGGTTCGTAAACACTGTTTGATGCTAGAGATCTAGAATGAACAGTACGATCGGAATGGTTATGGTTTAGTCATTAAAGTGAGATGTATTAGATATATTGAAATAGAATAATGACGAGAGACAATCAGAGCGTGCTTTCCAGCGCAAAGACCTGTATCCATCAGTATAGTAACAATAATAAATGATTGAAGACCTACCAAGGCAGTCCTGGACGGAATATAGATATGTAAGAAATTCTTACGACCATTCCACGGCATATCCGTGGTGAAAAACCTAGTATCCTTCTGATTCCTTGCATGACCACCGAAATCCGCATCATCAGTGTCGAGGACAATACGATACGTGCCCTCATGATCGACGCCAACGCGATAATCTGAGAAGCTGTTCGTAGGATGGAAATTGAAGACCCAGAGGAGTCCCGCACGCTCGAAAACGATTACTTTATCGTCTTCGTTTTTGAGGCTCACATATGCCTGTGGTGAGTGCAGCCAGCCGTATTTTGCTTCGGTGAGTTGCATGGCGCGGTCAAAGTCGTTTAGGAACCGGTAGCGGAGGAGATGGTCCTCGGTTAGGTTCAGCTGGCGACGCGCGTACCAGAACGAGTTGTTGTTTCCGGCGCGAGGAAAGTCGAGCCATTCGGGATGGCCGAATTCGTTGCCCTCGAAGTTCAGCCAGCCTTCGCCGCCGAGGCCGTGGGTGATGAGGCGGATCATTTTGTGGAGTGCCATGCCGCGGTCGATGACTGGGGTTAGTTCAGTGAGGACGGACATGTTGGTGTACATTTCCTTGTCGCATAACCACATCATTAAAGTCTTATCGCCCACGAGACTGTTAAAGTTAGTGACTGTTTCTCGCCGACGGAATATACATACGCTTGATCATGGCTTTCTGCATAAGCAATAGTCTTTTCCCCATGTCGGCGGTTGGTGAGAGTGAATGAGAGCTTGCCCATATCCCATTCCTCGTCTTTCTTTTCCTTAAGCCATTTGATATACATATCCGGAATTGCCATAGCAAGACGATAGTCAAAGCCTACACCACCCATAGATAGCGGCAAGCAGAGGGCTGGCATGCCTGACACATCTTCTGCAACGGTGATACTATCAGGATAAAGCTGGTGGAGCATCTCGTTGGCGAGCTGCAGATACATCACGCTGTCGGTATCCACAGCCGGGCCGAAGTATTCGTGATAGCCACCGGAAAATCCACTGCAAAGTTAGCCTCCTCATCTCATATGCATGGATAGAAACCACATACGTTCCAATACCGTGGTGGGTATACAGCATGCTCGTCACACCATCGAACCTAAATCCGTCAAACTGATACTCCTCCATCCAGAAGCGCAGATTGCTCAGTAGAAATCGAAGGACCTCGTGGTTTCCGTAGTTGAACAAACGGCTATCCCATAGCTCGTGCTGACCTTTGCCTCCGGCATGGAAGTAGAGATGATCGCTTCCATCAAACATGTTCAGACCATCGAGCACGTTCTTTGATGCATGGCTGTGCACGACATCAAGGAGCACCACAATCCCCATGCTATGAGCAGTATCGATCAGTTCTTTCAGGTCTTCTGGGCTCCCATAGCGGCTGCTGGCGGCGTAAAAGTTGTTGACTTGGTAGCCAAAGCTAGCATAGTACGCATGTTCCATGATGGCCATCAACTGGATGGAATTATACCCGAGATATTTTATGCGCGGCAGCATGTTGGTTGTAAAATTCTTATACGTAGCGACTTTCGTCTCCGGTGACGAAATACCGACATGCGCTTCGTAAATGCGTAGACTGGCTGGTTTCTTCGGACGAGAATGCTTGAAAGTGAATCTTTCACTATGCGGCGGATTCCAGAAAACAGCATCGTACACGGGCGAGACACTCAGATCCTGCGTGACGCGCTTGATCCAGGCGGGGATCCTGTCAATCACTTCACCCGTGCCGGTAATCATGGTGATCTAGTTGCTCAGTCAATGGAATACGACGAGCGTGAATCGAAAACGGCACCTTGATTTTGCTATCATGGGGAATGATCGGCTGCCCATTCTTCGCTGGCAGGGTGATCTCCCACACACCAAAGGAGTTCATCTTCATGGGATGCGCTTTTCTATCCCAATTATCTTATGATCATTAGCAGCGGACTTGTCTCGGTGGGAGGGTACGTCTGCGTACTGAAATCGCCAATGAGATGGGCTTCGAGGGCGCTCGGAGCCCATTCCCGGTAGGTGATGTCGCCATTGTCGTCGACCTGGAAGCCGAATTTCTCGTATCCCTAAGATAAATTTCATCAGCATCAATTCACAAGTCAACTCGCAAAGAAGTGGAGAGAACATACCCTACTGAACTTTTCCAGGCCGCCTTCCGCATCGTCGATCTTCTTGATCCAGCTCTGGGCATAGGCGAAGCGAGCCTTCAGGTCCTCTTTATGCGGCTCGAGCCACGGGTCGAGCTGGAGGGCACCTATATATCAATTATATGAGCTGATGAGCTTGGCCATTGCAGACCTTGAGGACCAGCGGGGCAAAACCCACCAGTGCCATCGGGCGGGCCCGTAGAAGCGGCCATCGTGCAGATGGAATGAAAAGACGAGACAACGTAATCAGTAGACTGTTTATTGCGATATTATTATTGATGTATTGTCTTTGTTGTTTGTTTTGAAGACGTGTCTGGAGGAAAAGCAGGGTCAAGAAAGGGGCAGCAGGAGCGGGGTTGGTCGTCAGTGTCCTTGGAAGCGGCAGGTGCCACTGTCCGGGGTTGGAGCTCTAGACCCCCTGTCAGTGACATCATGATATTACTGTTTACAAAATATTATTGTTGGGGAGCCATATCTGTTATGCGAGGCGCTCTTTGCTGTCGCGTTATGAGTCCTCACTTATAATATACATAATACACATATATCATAACATACTGCTACAGGGCATCACTTTTGCGTATTAATTCTGACAGTTCTTAGAAAGAGAGAAAGAGAAAAATAACAGTGGGGCGCAGCTCGCGAGCCCATTGGCTAGAGGATTCCTCCAGCAACTGTTTTGAAGGTTTGAAGCTATCCCGCAACTTGATTCTTCGACTACGCCAAGCTGGCTGCCTTTAGAAGCCGCGCTGCACTCCAGCGGCTTCCTCACCTCTTCTCAACATTCTGCCCTCGAGCATTCCGGCGTGCAGATGTGTTGACAATCAGACGCACAGCCATGCCACCCTTCGACCTCCCCATCCTCTCCTTCCCATCCGCCGAAGCCCTCGAAGCCTATCTTGACCGCGAGCACACTACAGCCCCCGGTTTCCATCTGCAACTCGCCAAAAAGGGCTCTCCCACCCCCTCCGTGTCTGCCGCCGACGCAGTTGAGGTAGCTCTGTGCTTTGGCTGGATCGACGGCCGCGCAAACGCCCTTGACGAGCACTCGTGGCTAGTCCGCTACACTCCTCGCCGCGCCAAGAGCATCTGGTCCCTGAAAAACGTTGGCACGGTGGAACGGCTGTTGCGTGAAGGGCGAATGCGTCCTGCGGGCATTGCTGCTGTTGAGGCAGCCAAGGCAGATGGGAGGTGGGAGCGGGCGTACGCAGGCCCGGCGACGATGACCGTGCCAGATGATTTTGCCGCGGCGCTGGCGGCGGCAGAGGAGACGGGTGCGGCACAGTTTTGGGAGGGGTTAAGTAGGTCGAGGAGGTATGCAGTGTTGATGAAGCTGCACACAGGCTCAGTGCAGACAAGACCCAAAAGGATCGAGGAGTTTGTGAGGGTGTTGGGTGAGGGGAGAGTGCCGGGGGAGAGACTAGTGAAGACGAGTATGATCGTGAAGAAGGTCGAGAGGAGGAAGAATGTGGGAAAGAAGGATTCAAATGCAGAGAAAGAGGCGAGACCGTCTCGGCGTGCTGGGCTACGTCAGCGGAAGTAGTTATCTTGTATCAGGAAATGGCTGTAATAACATACATACAATGAGAAACGATCATTTCATTTTGATACGTAATAAAATAACACAAAGATGAGCTGCTGATTAGTTCGTCGAGACATCAATTGATCTCTCACTGGCAAACAGAACTTTGAGTGTGCATCAATGATATATATTCTTGTGCTTCTATATGTGCTATCAAATATAACTGTCTCACGAATATAAGCTGCACCAGATCCATTGATACCAATGCCGCGACTACTACCCGCACTTTTGATTACCCGAGGCCAACATCTATCAACAAATTTGTGATGAGTATACTGCGCTCTACGATTGGTATTATAATCTGACTGAAACTACTCTAGTGAGAATTATTAATCAGACTATATTCATTAAAAAGCAATAAAGGTACTGTTTATCCTCAATCTCATCCATGCAGCTCGCTCGCTCTATCCGGTACTAGATAGAAGTTACGACATGAACGACATCCCCAAAACGCAAAAAGCAATCTGGGTACAAAACCCCGGGCCCAACGGCACCGTCGCGCTTCGCAGTGACATCCCCACCCCGCAGCCTGGCGACGGGGAGATGCTCGTGAAGATCCAATACTCGGGAATCTGGTACCCTAACATCCTTGCCCTAAGCTGCTGAACTTTACTGATACTTCCAGCGGATCTGACCTGCGCAACCTTCATGGCATGAGCAAATATACATCCATTCCCGGCCACGAAGGCGTCGGGACGGTCGTGCAACTCGGGCCCAACGTATCATCGTGGTACTTGCATCGACGGGTAGGCATAAAATGGGTCTGGAGGTCCTGCGGGTCATGTTCGCTATGTCGCAAGGGCGAGGTGAATCACTGCCCCGCACAGCTCAACACGAGCCGCAGTGTGCATGGCACGCTGCAAGAGTATGCGCTTGCGCGGCCAGAGTTTAGTAATCTAATCCCAGAGGCGTTGAGGTCGGAAGATGCGGCTCCATTGCTATGTGCAGGGCATACTCTAGCGGGTGCGGTGTCAAAGTTGGATAGATTGGGGAGGGGGGATGCAGTGGTTGTGCTTGGGGCTGGCGGTGGATTGGGGCATTTGGGGGTGCAGATGGTGAAGATGGATGAGAGGGGTTTGAAGGTGATTGCGGTGGATGCAGGGGAGGAGAAGGGGATGTTGTGTCGGGAGCTAGGTGCAGAGGAGTATATTAATATCGAGAGTGAGAGTGATATTGAGACGAGGGTGAAGGAGTTGACGGATGGAGAGGGCGCGCAAGGGGTGATTATTGTATCTGGCGCCGAGGAGGCGTTTAGGCTGGCACCACGGCTGGTGAGGAATGGAGGTACGATTGTGGTAGTTGGACTGCCACGCAACGATTTCCAGTTCCCTATGGCGCCGATTGAGATCAGTGCGAGGGGGTTGACGGTTATTGGGACGAGTGTGGGCACCGAAAAGCAGATGGAGGAACTTTTGGAGAGTGCGGCGCGGGGGCTGGTGGTGCCTAGGATTGAGGTTTATGCGCTGGAGGATGCACCAAGGGCGTTTGAGAAGTTGGTCAAGGGGGAGGTGGTTGGACGATGTGTGGTGAGGGTTTCTGAATAGCATACACATATACCAACGGATGGTGGGCGTCATTGATAGCGTTGGGATAATACAAGTCAACTGAGCTATATATGGTAACTATAGCAACATAAATCTCTTGATGTACGCAGCCATTTGATCTTTGCTCTCTGTTCACTTATTACTGGTTCAATATATGTTGTTCATATAGGTGTTGTGGCTGATTATTAGGGTTAGTGTTACATGCCCTAAGAGCATTCTCCTATGTTCTGACTTCTGCTACAATAGCCAGGCGGAACCCCATTCATGAAATGAACGGCAAATAAATTGCCCAATAATATATTCATCATAAAGAGATAAATTTAAAACGTTAAATCCGCAGTGGAGACATAAAGCGTCGTTCATCGGCGGTCAATAATCTGGATCGCCGAGGCCACCAGACGAAAGGCGCCGGATTTTTACTCAACAGGGATTATTTGAGACTAGCCACTGTCACCTTCTCATACATTATTTCGGCACATTATTCAATGCTATCAGTATCCCAGACAAGAAGTGGGAAATTAGTTTAAACCTATTTAAACTGTGCACCAGGCAGCGTTATGTCTTCAGTCGACAGCAATTGATATTTCAATTGATCACAAATATAGATATAAGTCATAATGTCGACAGCGTATCGTTACAAGCTAGATCCTATTGAAACGCCTGGCTACTGTCATGTGGGCAACAAACTCACCCAAGAAAGCGCCGACGTGGCCAGTCTGATCCTGCAGTCTAACAGGACGGCCTACCATGTCTTCACCACTGATTTCGATAAGATGGGAGTGAGCACATACTACATACTACATATTACCAACTTGTAAACTGATCAATGAAAAATTATAGGCCTACCTGCACAATCATATTGTACACCATGTGACAGCTCTGTGGGCCTTGGGAGCCGATGAGGAGACAATGATTTTTCACAAGAAGAACAATGAGAACTATCAGCTTCTACCCCGCAAGTTCCCAGAGGAATCGATTATCGAGGAGATGAAGACTGAGAAGGGATTCCGGAAGTATAGGGGCAGCCAGGACCACTTCCTGGACTATGTCACATTCTTTGAGCGTGAAATTGATGAGCTGGGATACCAAGAGGTCCTGCAGAAGTATGTAGTTGGAGGTGGGGAGATTGCAGACGATATTCTCGCACGCATGTATCATGGTATGCATAAATATTTTCTTTCTATGTTGTCACTTTACTGACGCTGTATTGATATTCCAGGCTACGTCCACTCTTTGATGTATCTTGGCCAAGGCCTCGAATTCAAGCAACTCCCCCTGGTAGCCGAGGCCCTAGCCCAGGCCGTCTCGCACAACGACATGTACTACAACGACTTCCTGAAATATACAGAGCTGCAGGCTCAATATTCCCCCGAGCCCCGACTTTCCCTCCTCGAATGCCTGGAGGCGTGCCGCGAGGATCCAGTCATCTCGACCTGCTCCAGTGTCGATATCCACCACCAGGTCGTTAACGGCTCGTGGAAGGTCGAGAAAGAGATGATCCGGGACTATGTCTGTGGCAAGGCATTCAAGGAGATGGCTACAGTGTGCGCTCGATATCGCGTTGATGAAGACGACGTAGAAAGGGCTACAGCAGAATTGATCAATACAGCTGGTACTTTCTCCTCATTTTCTGCTTTCTAAATCTCTGCTGATTAGATGAAATTCAGTATACATGGCGGCTGCTGCCCAACGTCCTCCGCACCAATGCCGCTACGACTTCTTCCTGATCCACGGAAGTAACTCTTCCATCTGGCAAACAGCACTCACCCAAGAACCCTCCCTGACCCCAGCCCAGAAGGCGCGTCTGATCGAGTACACAGGGCGCGTGATCCTGATGCTGTACGCAGGAATGGGTTCCCCAGCTCTCAACATCGACTGGCTTCTCACGCAGCAATGGCACGAGCCCGGCACCGGTTGGGACCGAGTGATTGAGCGTGTCATACACCACAAGGACGACGGACACATGGCGAAGCTGGTTCGTGTGATTCGTCATGCTGAGGAGGTCTCGCGTCCGTACGAGGATCGGCCTGAGTTCCCGATGAAGTCGCACATGTTTTTGCCGGCTGCGCAGGCTGCCATTGATTCTGGTAGTGACAAGCCGATGTCTGGTGTCCTGCATTTTGATTTTGTCCGTGGTTCGGCATTTCCAGAGGCCTGGGCGAAAGTGCCAAGGAGGGGTGAGGTGGTGGCGTAGAACAGAATATGTACCAACCATACGGCGTGTTTTTACATGCAGGGTGCTACTATAAATTACTGGATCTCCGTCACTAGTACTTCAGAATACTAACGGATTGAGTAGATGCGAGAGCTTGTGGAATAAGTATGACTGGCATAAAGTTAGTTTCAATATTCACGCGATGTGTACATGTAGACTTTGACATTGACATGTCTCCAAATGACCTGATTTCCTACTAACTTATTGCACTAAGTGATTAATGTGCTTTCATCTTCTCACCAAATAATCGATATTTGTGTCTCTCGTAATTATTAGCCCGTAATTCGGGCGCCGAATCTAGAACACCGAAGTATAGATTTAGATGATGCAAATAAGGAATCCTGACGAGGATAAGTCGAAAATGTAATGAGCATATTTATATAGCTCGATATTTAGGAAAATAATACCAAAGTAAACATTGACATTATTATTGTATTCAAATTTCGGTCCTTATTCGCGATAATGACACTTAATATTATCATTGTCGGGGCGGGCATTGCAGGGCTGACGGCTGCGGTCTCTCTGCACCAAGCTGGGCACCATGTCAGGGTAAACACAGCCTAAAGTAAACAGCAAAGTAGCTGCTAAGTTCTAAATAGGTATACGAAAGCTCAGCATTCGCCGCTGAAGTCGGCGCAGCACTCAATCTAGCTCCCAACGGCACAAGAGTTCTTCAGAAATTAGGATTTGACATGCAAAAAGCAAGTGCCGTACCAATAAACAACTGGGATACAGTAGACGGAACCTCTCTGCGCCGAATCGCCTGCCAGGACTTGAAACAAGCTTCTGAACGATTTGGAGCGGCCTACGTCGCTGTGCATCGAGTAGATCTGCACAACGAGCTGATGCGCTTGGCTGGTGTTGATCAACCTGGAGCCCGTGGCGTCGAACTTCACCTTTCGTCGCGCGTTATACAGATTGACCCCGAAGCTGGGCTTGTTGAGTTTGTGGACGGGCGTATTGAAAAGGCAGATCTGATTATCGGAGCAGATGGGCTTCATTCGGTGTCTCGCAACGCTATCACATCCGCATCTGAGGGTCCCTCAACGGCAGCAAAACGCTCAACTGGTCTCAGTGCATTCCGTTTCCTGGTTCCCACTGAAGTGCTGGAGAATCATCCTGCTGGCAAGGAATTGCTTGCCTGGAAGACCCCTGGAGCTACTTTGCTGGGGGATCCTAACTCGAAGACTATGGAGGAGGAGCGCCATATGATGTGGTATCCATGTCGAAGGTATGTCTGGCCAACTCACTACGCTGCGCATATCACAGCTCTGATTCGTATAATTATGGCAGTGGTAAAGTGCAGAATTTCGTCGGGATTCATCCTACAGTGACCGGCGAACAACCGGAGAACTCGGAAGGTGCCATCTCCATGTCGCCAATAACTCCGTTTAGGATTCTGACTGTGAGAAAAGGGATTAAGAGGCAGATGTTGAGCGAATTCTCTCATTTTCATCCTCAAGTTGTTGAGATTCTCTCGTACGTTGAATCCGATCCCCTTATAATTAAACTTAGGTCTGGCTAAGTGGTTTCCTACTTAAAAGGCTGGGCAACGATGTAAACTGCTGGCCCCTCTTTCACACTGAACCCTTAAATTCCTGGACCCGGGGCAAATTGGTAGTCATTGGTGACGCCGCTCACCCGGTAAGCTTGCGTCTCTCCAAAGTGAAAAGAACAAGACTTTTGATTGACCACTTTTTGGCCGAGTAGATGCTCCCATTCGGCGGCCAAGGCTCAAACCAAGCCATCGAAGATGGAGGAGCACTCGGGTTTCTTTTGAAAGATGTCGACGACGTCGCGGAGATTCCAGCTCGTTTGGAGCTTTTCGAAAAGGTGCGTCGGCGACGGGCATCACGAGTGCAGATTCTCTCTACTGTAAGAGCAAATCGCGAGCATCAGGTCGAAACGCAAATCAGGCAGTACATGGAGGAAGACGTGTTATGTGAGACATATTTTCTGTGTTCTAGGGTGTTTAAAAAGCATCCAGTTTTACTAACGATCCAATCTAATGACAGTGCCGAATTCTTTTGCTGCCAGGGTGGCGCATGATGCAGGGTAAGTTTTCGTAGTCAACAATTTTGCCTTCGAGACTGCCGGAACTAACAGAAGATACCTTTACAGGTTTGATGTATTCCGTCGATGCCATGAGGTTTTAGCTATCTGATCTGGACGAATATAAACCTCAAGAGATAGTGAAGGGAAAATGGGAAGTAAAAAGGGATAAACTAATAGTATATTCGTTTATTGTGGTCAGATGAATTTGAAATTTTCGAATATACATATACTCGTCCTTTTAAGCAGAGAAAACCGAACGAAAAAGAGTAAGTTGCACGTAATCCCTTCATATGAAATATTATCATGGCATTTTTTGGGAACATAACGAATGTAGCACTTAAGTGATGAAAAAGATAGGTTAAAGGTAAAATTCTAGGGTAATCATCTCGTACTAGGGAGATGATTGCTCATCTACTGAATGTGAAATCAGGTAGGCCGGCTGAGGTTCAATGAGCGAAAATTATGGAAATAATTTCATATATTCATCCAAGAATAAAAACAACGACCCAAAAAAAAGGTGTGTAACAATCTGTTATTATAGAAAAGCATATGTACGCCGCTAAATCTTGCTGATACTACCATTAATAACCTGGCCTAACTTAGTAACCTGGAAGAAAATATTAGAAGGCTCCAAATTCAAAGTTTTTATAAATGGAAACTCACCTCTGGATATTTGAGGAGTGAAAAGCAGTCCGTCTCTTGCTTGTGAACAGTATCAATGGAGCCAACCAAGCTTTCCCAACCCAAATTCTTCGATGAATCCCAATTGGCGTGTAACCAAGCCGTGAAGGGAGTTTCCGCCGTAGATGCGGCATCTCCAAGGCCCTTTGAAGGAATAATTAAAGTCAAGTGACCTGGTCGACTTTCTTGAGGTAGACTTTTAGGCTCATACTGCAATAGAGCCTGCACGGCAGCTGCAAGATGTTGTTTCTGTCTCCCAGATATAGCCACTTTTGTTCGGCTGTTGGCATAAGCGAATCCGCCTTCTTGCAAAGTTCCATAAGTAATTTCTCTGCCTCTTAATTTCGTAGGAGCTGCAATTGGCGCCGGATTTGCTATGAGAAGAAGCTCGGAAATGGCCTCACTAGCTTCGAGTAAGCGTCTGCTCACTTCAAACGCATAGATTGCGCCTATTGAGTAGCCACCAATACTGTAGGGTCCCGTTGGTTGTATTTTGCGGATAGAAGAAACGAAAACACCTACCAACTGTTCCACACTGACATCTACCAAGGCAGACGGATCGCGTGCAAATGGAGACTCTATGCCGTAGATTCGACGACCACCTGGTAGAGCTGGCAGTTGAATGTAAGAGGAAACAGAACCAGTTCCATCGGCTAGAAGGAAAAGTGGAGCTTCGGTAGAAGACATAGACCCCTGTAGCAACAAGGCTGGTGCTGGTTTGGTGGTGAGTGACACTGGTCTTGCAGGCGCTTCTTCTGGCTTAGCTTTGCTCTCAGAGGCAGGAGGGTTTTGATTTTCAAGAGGCTGTGGTGGAATTGTAGATTCTGCCACGGAATTCTCTACTGGTTCCGTGCCTACTTTAGGCGAAGCATCAGGAGGAGTGAATTGCGGCGTGGCAACGCCGCTGTCACCACCCCCCTTGAGCTCTTTCATGGCCTCTGCAACAGTCTGATGATCGAGGAAGAACGATCCTGGTAACTCAACACCGGTCTCATTGCGGATTGAGGCTATGACAGTGATGGCCATCAGGGAGTCCACTCCCAGGTCTGCAAAAACCGTGTCGGGCTCTAGCTCAGAGACCTCACAACCCACCTCTGTGGCCACTGCTGTGAGAAACTTATCAATAATACCAGTATCCTCGTCGACACTTGTTACAGACGTGGCTACCGATGTAGCCCGAGGTGTCGTAAATGTAGAGGGATCAGCAGATGAAGAGGGTGATTCGAATTCTGCTTCTCCAACGTACTGCTTGACTGCGGGAGATGGCTTGATGCTTGGTTCTGCAGGTTCATACCGCACGCTACCTGTTCCCTTCTGGACAGTAGAGCCAGGAGCTGCTGATTGCAGAATCTTTGTGAGGGCCATCTTTTTCATCTTTTGGAACCTGACACCGATGAGTGCGGTGACGAGAACGTTATCTTCAAATACGAATACATCACCCAGTAAAGAGTTCCCATCAGCCGATTCTTCCATATGTGCATAGCTTGTGTAGGCTTTTTGAGATGATAGAGGTTTCAGGATGTGCCAGGCTTCAAAACTAGAAGCAAGGAATGCGACATCCTCGGGATATCTCAAACCGCAGTTTGCAAGAAAACCAGCAACGTGAACAATTGCATCAAGTAAATAGGGGCTATATAGATAAGTGCCACTTGATTCTCCGGACGGCAGCGTAGGTAGTTTGATCTGGCCTACGACATCCCGTAGTTCAGAATCTAGGAATACTTCTTCTAGCCCTTGATAAAGCTCGCCGTAATCCACGACGTTGGAGAATAGCCGATAGACCACCGGTCGAAGGAGTCTTTGTCCCTTAGTGGTATTTTTTGCCTCTTTTAGTGCATCAATTCGGGAGCGGATGAGGAAGAGAGATCGTGATATATTCTGTTGCCAATTTCCGGCGTCCCGAAGCGAGACTTTGGCAGACCCTACACTGTGAGTCGCATCTCCTGCCTGGCTCGAAAATGTTATTTGCGCTTTTTCAGTATTCGATTCAAGCTTTACATTAACTTCAATAGTTTGAGAAGGTTGTCCATTAGCAATAACAATAGGTCGATGAAGATTCAGGCTGCTGATAGTGAGAAATTCATCCGTCCACTTGCCGGGATGCAGTCGCTCAAACGCATAGCGAACAGCCGATAATGCCATATCGCTAAAAATACTGCTAGAGCAAATGGTGACTCCTGCCACTGCATGGCCCACAATCGCTGAGAGCAGGTGTGGTTCGGATGTGCTGGACTCGAAAGTAACTGAGATTTTGCCTTCATCGATTGCTTCTTGTTTCACCCTCTGCAGAGTTGTAGTCGGGAATCCCGGCACCGCAGGAATTGATGGCAGAGCTAACTGGGTCTTTTCAATGGCATGAGGCTGATCTGGATCCGGATATGGCATCCAGAAATCTTTTTCGTCAAAGGCATATGTAGGTAGGTCAAGTAGGGAAAGGCAACCTGAAAACTCCCGGTGGTATTCAGGCCAGTTTACGTAGAGACCTGTCTCGTATATCGTTGCCAGAGAATTGGACGTAGTCAGCCAATTGTCTTCGTTCCGTCGAAGACTGGACAAAAGACGAGGAACTGAAGCAGCGCCTAGAGTCGAGCGGATCAACGAAATACAGACTGGATCGGGACCAATCTCAAGGAAAAGCGTGTCATTGCCAATGAAACCTCCTGCTTGAGCTGCTCCTATAGCTCCCACAAAGTTTACTGACTCACGAGTCTGGCGTCGAAGATAAACGGGGGAAATTACAAATTCGTCTTGAACAACATCGCCTAGTAAGGTTGATGCAATCGGAATTTGTGGCACAGAAAAGGCAACACCCTTTGCACATGACTCATAACTGTCCAGGATTGGATCCATTTGTTTGGAGTGGAAACCAAATGGCACTTGGAGAAGGGTAGAACGAGTTCCTTGCGCCTCCAGCTCTCCTTTCAGGGCCTTGACTTCGGGCAATGAGCCGCTTACCACTGTTGATTTGGGGGCATTGAGACAGGCAACTTCACACGTGTCGTATGTACCCTTTGAGAGATACTGGCGAGCGGTATCAACGTCGCCATTTATAGCTAGCATAGCATACTCGTTCTGCTTTGCAGACTGCACCAGTGTCAATGCCCTTTGTCCAACCAGATAGACAGTGTCGCTGATTGTTAAGACGCCTGAAATACATAGCGCAGCATATTCACCTAGACTGTGGCCAATGACAAGGCTTGGTTTTACTCCCCATGATATCCACAACTGAGCGAGTGCAATCTCAACTGCAACGATAGCCAGTTGAGTATTAACTGGGCTCGTCTCGGACAGATCTAGGTCGCTTTGAGCAATCAGGTCGACAAAGCTCGGCAGACCTTGAGCAGTGGCCATGGTTTGGATAGACTCAATTAGACCCCGGAAGACGGTGCTGCAATTCCAGAGTTGGTGAGCCATGCCTGCATACTGAGATCCTTGGCCGGTAAAGGCGAACACAACATTGCGTCCAGGAGGGGAACCTTTCCCCTTCTTCACTGAAGGGTCTGGTTTGCTTAAGTCCTCTTCGAGTATTTTGGTAAATTCTTCAATACTCGAAGCCGTGAAGACTGACCGAACAGAAGTATGGTGCATTCGGCGTGCTGTTGTGCTATATGCAAGATCCACCAGTGATGTGCCGGGGTGTTCGTAAAGATATTCAAGGTATCGCTCTTTTATTCCCCGCAAAGAATATGGGCTCCGAGCAGAAAAGGATACCACGTGGTGTTTTCGAGGATCGACGCCTTTGACAGGCTTCAAAGGTGCTTCCTCCAACAGAAGGCAGGAGTTGCCACCCTATCACGGTCTGTATTAGAATCACCAGGATATCAGTAGGTCTACAAAGGAGGGGAGCTCACCGAGGCATCAAAACTATTCAAGAAAACTCTTAATTTGCTGTTTTTGTCGGCACTATAAAGAGGCATCGCACCCGAAGGAATATGCACATTCATCCTACCCAAATCAGGGAAGCGATGGTTCATTTGGAAAGGCATTCCAGGCTGCGGAGGAATCGTACGCTGCTGAAGCATCATCAACACTTTGATAAGAGCACACACACCGGCGGCCTAATAATAGAATATTAGCAATTAACTTTGATATCTAAATTCTCTCGCTGTAGTGCTTTGTCTCGAGTTTTCTGGATTATGAATGTATAAAATGGAAACTTACTGCTTCACCATGACCAATGCTAGCCTTCACAGCCCCTAAAACTAGCGGGTTTTCCTTTGAACGACCATGTCCAAACGCTGATAATACAGATGACATCTCCGTGGAGTCCCCAGCTTGTGTACCAGTGCCATGCATTTCCACATAGGCGACACTGCTGGGATCGACAGCGCTGTTGCTCAAAACCTGTTGGTAAAGCCGCTGCTGATCTTCTGCGGACGGATGAGTAATAGACGACGCGCCCTTGTTATAATTTCTTGCAGAGCCCCGAATGACGCTCAAGATATTGTCGTTGTCTGCTATCGCATCCTCGAGCCGCTTGAGAACAACCACACCAACGCCTTCGCCACGCACGTAACCATCGGCATCCTCATGGAATGTTTCGCAGCCCCTCTCTGGGGAGAGGAATCCTCCCCGGCTTAGACCAGCAAATGGAGCGGGGGAATCGAGAATTGAGCCTCCACCAGCGAGAGCGGTGTCACATTCACGCGCCATAAGTGCTGAGCAGGCCAAGGAAATAGTTGCGACACTGGAGGCACAGGCTGCATCGATACTATACGACGGCCCTCCCCATTTAAAATGGTAATTCAAACGTCCAGGGGCAAAAGCGCGGCAAATTCCCGAAGCATAGTATATGTCAACTCCTTGAGTGAGTAAGATATCACGCCAATCATCCGACGTCTGACCGAAATAAGTCGCTATGCGGTTGCTGTTAGTGGACAGTGTTGCGTCAGGCGAATAACCAGCCATCTCCAGTGCTTCGTAGCTGACAGTGAGAAACAATCGATGAAGGGGGTCAGTCTGGATAGCTTCTCGAGGAGACATATTAAACAGACGGTTGTCGAAGTATCCCGGACGATCCAGGAACGCTCCTGTGCGATTCACTGTCGCATTCTTCTGCTTTCCAGTCGCATCGAACCACTTATCAAGATTGAATCTCTCCGGAGGGATCTGAGGGCGAATTAGTCACTTTCAATGATATAATTTGCAAATTGCAACGACTTACATCCCGAATATATCTTTCCCCATCCAAAAGTGATTTCCAGTAGTCCTGGACGTTCTCGCTACCTGGGAACCGTCCGGACATGCCTACAATGGCAATTAGATCGGAACCACCACGTACCAATGGGCCACTAAGATCTTCTGGAGAATTGCTGTGCTGCATAACTGTGAATGGTATCTTCGCACGTTGCAGGGACTTTTGTAGTGTCGCAAGATGATGAGTGTATCCAACAGAGACAATTTTGACAGGTGAATGATTTAGGCTTTTCACCACTAGGTCTATCGTTTCACTCAGCCTTATTGCGTCTTGAGCAATACCCGAAACGACCTGATGAAGCATATCTCTAAGTGTCGGTGCACTGCGAATCTCACAATTATACGGCGACCAAAATTTCGCATTAGGGTTAATCGGAACCTCCAAAACAGACGACGATCCCACTACCTCGTCTAAGTCTAGCTCAGGGAGGTTGGACATATGTACACCACCGCCAGCGTCGGTCTTGATCCTAGAAGCCTCATCGAGCTCTCGGGACCAACTAAAAAGCTGCTCAACTGTTGTGGGAGGGCCGAAGAGAGTTAACCAGCCCACTGAAATAAAGCCAATACAAATCTGTCGTAAGGGTGCAATTTTCTATCGTATTTGCTGATTAGTATCGATCTATAAGAATAAGGCAAGAATATTGAATAGTTAAAACCTACTTGGCTTTGATGGAAGTCATCCAGAATTGCCTGGACGTGCTCTGTTGGAAGGCCAACAATGGTGGTAGCCCAATTACCATTGGTCCGATCTATGAGCACTGAACGGCGGATAATATTTCGTGCGAAGCGACATATGACACGAAGTACCTCAACAGACAGGTTGTACAGTTCGGGAATACTACGTGCAGTTGCTGCCACGGCCGCTGGCATCTCCCCCGTGCAAAAGCCAAGAATATGTGTAGGCCGATCTGCAGAGCCTAGAATCTGAGGGTCTTCCTCAGCATACCTGGAGGAAAGGTTAGTCAGAGAGATACAATACACAACCTGACAAGTGTTTAACTGCAATGCTCAAGAAACATACAGAATCAATTCTCCGAGTCGAGCGACATTCATGAGAACTGTCGCCACAATCTCGCTGGGCTCTTCAGATCGTGCGTTGTTTTCTGCAAGCTGGAGCAGAGTATCAAACTGCGTGATTTTAGCTCGCTCGATCTGGAGCTGGAATGTCTCTTGTTGAACAATATCGCAGGCATCGCGGAGAAAACGTCGGCCAATTTCAGACCTTTGGGATTGCTGCACAAGGGCCCGGATGGCGGGCAGCTTCTCTACGGTCTGATCTCCGTAAAGCAGAAGACACTGCTCTTGGTTGGAAATTTCTTGCCGCATCTTTACTACTTGATCATGCCGAATTGGGGGAAGGAGAAAACGACAAAGCAATACAGCCAGCAGACCAGGTTCATATGCCAACCTCTCTCCTTTACATCCAATCTTCGGGGTTTAAGTATATCTGGCCTCTATGGCATTGACCATTATCATTAATACATAAAACGTAGTACTCTCTCTTTAGTCATTCGGGGATCCATCAATACAGATGACCCACACTGATGTATGGCTAACAGGGGAAACATGTGGATAACACAATTGTTACTGTCTACTATGGTCTTTCGGACAATTTAATGAAACTGGTAAAATGGATCCAGATGCGGGTCCCTGGATTATCACTCCGGAACATTATTCTAATTGTTCTCTACCACGTGCAGGACAAATGAAAATTCACCGATGACTATCTGTACAATTCTAAAACTCTCCAGAAGTGATCGCCGAGGTGCAATTGTGTCAGCGATGCGAGAGCCTATGATTACAATGGTCGCGGATCGTTAGAGGAAAAAATAGATAGTTTCACGGTTGGACCCTTTGCTAGTCAAAAGATGACGAACAGACTGACACAGGGATTCTGGGATGGGATAATTAATCGTTTGTTCAATTTGTCAGAGTCTAAGCATGTGCGGAAGGATGCCGTCAGAACCAGGCCACTTGTGTCTATGGACTTTGTCATGGCACAATGGGCTAGTTTTTAATTGTTTTTCATCCACTAAGGTGAATCTAAGAAGTCATTCAGTCTACTTGGAGTTTACCAAGACTTAAGCTCAATTTCCACTTAGATAAAATCAGGCCCCAGAAGAAATACAAGGGCTACGGACTGCCGAGAGCACAACTAGTTATAAAGAGTATATTCGAATATTAAGTCATATACTCAGGGCTTTATCTGGTGTGCACATCTCGCTATAGATTGTTGATCGCTCTGGCTTGGTTCCAAGAGACCCGGCTTAGGGTTACTAGAACTAACAACTCGCGTGCCTCCCATTTGGGCGAAAGATCTACGACGCCAAAATTTTCGCCATCTAGAATACTATTCATCAGCCGTCTGGAAAATCTTGATCACCGAACAATAATGTGATCAACCAAAAGAATGAAATGGAGAAACGAAGAACATACCTGTTCTGCCAGGGCGTAGACAGCCGCCTGGTAATGCGCACAAATCGGGAAAGGAATAACGCTTGAGTCAATCACTCGTAGGCCATCAATTCCATTTACTCGGCACTCTGTATCCACAACGGAGCCCATTGCACACGTGCCGCTGCCATGGTTCACAGTACGGACGATTCGGAGCGCTCGACGCATCATGGCTTCATCGCCATAGTCGTTGCGCAGATCATCATCAACGGCGTACTCAGACACTCCGTACTCTGGGGCAATTGTTCGTTCCAACCCTCTGCTTGTCAAACGGGCTGCGGACCAAAGCAACTGTTGATCAAGCTCATTGGACAACATATTGGGATCACAAACTGGAGGATCGAGGGGGTCGGTAGACTTGAGGGATACAGTGCCTCGTGACGACGGCGTCACCAAGATGTTCATCACGCACATGTTGGATCCAGGCGGTGGAGGACCAGCCTTGCCAGAAAAGTCGATATGACCGTATCTGAACGGCGGAGTTAAATGCAAAGTCAACTCTCACAGGGAGGAAGAGCAATCTTACAAAACTACTGATTCCGTGTGCGCTCTGTTCTTGATTTGGAAACGGTCCAGCTCCTTCGAATCTAGTTGACTCTCTGCCAGAGACTTAATCACTCGGTCATTATCGTGACGGTGAAAAGCAACCCAGTCAACCGGCAAGCCGGACGTCCAGTCACATTCCGCAGTGCGAACTGCGACATCCCCGAGGGCGAGGCCGCGTTTTTCAAGATGCCAGTATGTTGCCAGCATGGGATGATCACTGTAATTCTCCCCTACGGGAAGCTGAGTTACTTGCTCGATGTCGTGCTTCTGCAATTCCGCTTTAGGGCCAATTCCACTAAAATCTTGCCGTTAGTAATTGCCCATTATACATCGGAAATAACGCTGGAGATGGGGACTAGCCTAAGCAAGAGAAGTTTTGGTGAGCCCTGTGCACCAGAAGAAACGATCACTTCTCTCTTGGCCGAGACAATGCCACTTGTACCACCAGAGGGTCGCAAGTACTCGACACCCCTCGCGCGAGAGCCCTTCATTACAATCTTCGAAACATGAGTTTCTGTCCACAGTGTCACGTTGGAGCCAAAGGAGTAGTTGCCTCCTGCCCACTGTCGGATACCATCATAGTTGTTAGATGTCACTTCAGTGAATCCTAGAATGTCTCCAGAGTTCAAATCGGCGGTTTGAGAAATGCCAGCAGCTTTGTACATTGATGCAATGGGTTCTTTCAATGGAAAATTACGCGGACGCCCACTAGACGAAGTTTGCGACACCTTTACAATCATAATAATACTGAGCCACAGCAACCGGTGCATAGGTGAATAGAAACGCTTACCTTGATAGGTCCGTTAAAGCCATGTACCGCAGACAAATCTTTGCCTTGGAGAGCAGTTCCTGGGTAGAATGTTTCGGCGTTCTTGAAGAATGGTAACTGTCCATCCCAAGACCAGCGCTCATCACCAACTTCAGCCGCCCACTGATCACTATAACCGTATGTAAATACTTCAAGTATTTGAAAAGCAAGATGGGGATCTCCTACAAATCCCCCGCCGAACCGCGAGACCATAACTGATGATTGATTGCTGATGTGCCTCCGAGTACCTTCCCCTGAACAAGGTCGATAGTCTTGTTACCAACCGCCCGTTGAGGAACGCTTTGAATATTCCATTTTATCTCATTGGCTGCTTGTCCGGTGAGTCCCAGAGCCGGTCTAATGCGAGGGTCATCTTTCACGCCAGCCTCGATCAGTAGGATGGAGGATTCTGGCAGGTACTCAGACAAGCGGCTCGCAAGGACACAGCCTATAATTCAGAGTGTCAGTAATCAAAGCACTACCTGCTCAATATCTGCTATTATTAGGATTATTACCTGCTGTACCCCCGCCCACGATGATGAAATCAAAACTGGCAGCCATAGTTGCGTTTGTCCCTGCGGGAAGATCCAACAGGTCACTGGCTGCCTTTTTACGCAGAGAGAAAAAACGTAACCAATTGAATAAAGGCATTAATTTACGATTTTTACTGCAAGAAGAAGGATGGCAGCAACTAGTGACAAAACACTGGACATAATACTCTTTTCTCGTGATACTGCAGGCGTTCAAGGAGGTTAGTTTCAGAAAAAGCCAGAATTATAAGAAAATTTACATAAAACAGTTTTCAATTCTTTCATGTTGATGTGCGTCAATGAGAGTAAACAGCCCGAACTCGAGCGAGTCTAGAGTCTCACGTCGGCGATCAATTTGCGGAGTACTAAAAACGCCGATTATTCATATTCAAAATCATGCTTCTAAAAGTCCTAAACATGAACTAATTTTACTGGTGGCATGAATTCTACAAATCAAATAATGAAATTGACCGCATTCTGTCGTAGTAGGGGTTGATTGCATCCATCGTGCTCTTTTTGTCAATGTTGACATTCGTAGTAGTGTTGACCTTTCCACCAATGGAAAATCTAGAACTTCGCAATTTTTATCTATGATCCTATATAAGCGCATAATAACGCTCAGAAGACACATTTGATAGTGACTGATGATTAATCCAGCCCATCTAAGAACCATGGATTCTATGGAAGGAAGGTCGATAACCAGGCATATTCGCTTCACTTAACTCAACTCTGGGCTCCTGACGCCGAAAAAATTACCATTAAATCACATTAATAATCCTATATATTACTAAACCAGGTAATTCAAGGCAATAGGTAAGCAATCCCACTCAGAAACCTTTAGATCCTAGCAAGATGGTGGTCAAACCCCGAAACTGCTGAACATCATGCGATCACTCCTTTATGAAATGCATGTAAGGTTAATGAAGGCCTAAAATATATATGCGGTCTGCTTTTAAAAGAAAGGGTTTCCAGTCGCTAGTCTATCTACTGAAATGAATACCAACTCCTTTGTCGTTGACTTGGCTCCGTGACCACATCTCGCAACAGCACGGCGAGCTCATTGATCTAGAAAGAAGGTCAATTATGCGTACCATTTCGCTAACCGCCTTGTTGAAGCTACTTACGTTTGGTTTATTAATCAATGAGAAGTGATTGCCAGGCATTGAGGAAATGCTAAACCGGGATTCAGGGAACAGGCGATCCCATCCGTAAGCCCTGGTAAGATCAGGTTTTCCCTCAAGCAGAAACCGCGAAACGCGGACACTCAGATCCAATCCCGTCTTCTCAAGCTCTTGGATGGGCAGTACTCCGTCCCTACTCCAGATGATGCAGACCTCCTCGGGGCCATCAGTCGAATCCACAGGCTCCGGAATATACTCACGGACCGCGCGAAGAGTAGAGCGGAAATGGGCGAGCACCCACTGTGGCACATTATCAATACGAGAATTGCTCCCCCAATTTCCCATGAGGTTATTTCTTGATAAGTACTCTACCACTTCCATGGGAAGATCCTCAAAGTCCGGACGACAGGGTGAGTCAAGCAGAATCAGTTTGCGAACACGTTCCCCTTGACGAGCAAGCTCACGCACTACTTCTGTAGAGTAATACCCGCCTGCGGACCATCCGCCTATAATGTAGGGGCCATGAGGCTGACGCTGCCGGATTTCCTTCACGTACTGACGGGCAATTTCATTGATCGAGCACCGATATTCGGTTGCACTGTTTAAATAGGGGCTATTCATGGCGATCAGGCAAACACTATATGGGTAGATATGTGGCATTGCCGCGTAGGCCATGCCAGAACCGCTACCGTCAGGGAGGAGGAAGATATTGGTTGTGGATTCATCTGTTGCCGGCTTTCCCTGCAGAACCATGGAGACTGGAATCCGAGATTTTGTCTTATTTGGAGTGTTCTTTGGGTTTTTCCCCACGACTAGAGCTGGAAACTTATCACTGTGCTGAGATTGTGGTCTTGACTTCTCAGACTCGAAGCAAGCCTGAAGATATCCCTCGCGAAATTCTTTGATTGTCGGATACTGGGTAAATACGGCAGAGGGAATGTCTTGTTTCAGTATGACCTTCAAGCATCTAACCATAGACCGTAAGACTATTGGATTGACTCCAAGATCTGTGGTAAAGTCGTCATCATCATCAATGTCGTCAACTCCAAACCCAGTCTCGTTTGCAATGACTCGTAGACACTCGGCCCACATAGAGTCGAAAGTGACAGACATCGTGTGGGAGCCTGGATACAGTAATAAAGCAATGAAACCAGGAAAGACCGCAAACTTGTTCTAGATGCTAACTAAGTGTAATGTCTGACGTATTTTAGATCCTCACTTCAGTCTATGGGAATCATGTATTGTGTATACCAAGAAAAACAGAATGCAAGCCGGGAAGATTGAAAGAGAAACAAATGAGAGTGCCAAAGATAAGAAACAGGGATGTAATCCACCAATTCTGGTCACTTCAAGATTGTGTTTTGCACTTGGTCTTCCATGTCGGCGCTGAACCCGGAACCCTAAAGAACACGCCGAGAATTGCTTAGTCCGGCCATTTCGGCGACTAGATTCGGTGTCCTTATTGCGCAACACGAAATTTCCAGCAGTGGTGCTCAATGGAGGCTTTCCTTCGGTATTCTAGGTAAAAGTTACATCCTCGATATTAGACGTTACTCAATTAGAGTTATTGAGAGTTCAGAGATGGATACTTATTATCACCTGCAGTACGTCGATCTCTATTTGTAGTGCGGATTCGATAACCCTAGTTTCCATACTGCTATAACTGTAGGTTATTGTCTGTCCTAACTCTCATTCTTAAAAATCACGAGTAAAGAGACATCATTGATGACTGTTCAATCGGCGGCCATTTACGTACTGACCAAGCACGACCTGCATCGAAGATGGCAGTAGACGAGGCGCGATGGGCTCAAGACATTGCCGTAGTGGGCATGGCATGTCGATTTGCCGATGATGCTGATTCATTTCCTAAGTTCTGGGACTTCATCTGCAAAGCACGATGTAGGTGACCGAAAGTTTCCCAACTTCTCGTTTACGTGGATGCTAAACAATGGATCTAGCTGCCTACTCAGAAAACCAGGATAGATGGAACCCAGATGCTTTTCATTATCCAGGGAAGAAGATAAATACGAGTTTACCGCGTGGGGCCCACTTTTTCAAACAAGATATTGCTACTTTCGATGCGAATTTCTTCAACATTTCCAAGGTCGAGGCAGAGTCGATTGATCCGCAACAGCGCATGGCGATGGAAACAACTTTCGAAGCTATGGAAAACGCTGGAATCTCTACGGATAAGCTATCCGGGACTTCGACGGGGGTATGGATGGCCAATTTCACGAGCGACTATCGTGAGATGCTGTTTCGCGATTCAGAGACGGCGCCCATGTATACCTTGTCAGGAGCCAGTAATACGTCAACCTCGAACCGTATTTCGTGGTTCTTCGACTTCAAGGGACCTAGCTTCACTCTTAATACTGCCTGCTCATCTAGCCTTGTCGCCACCCACTTAGCCTGTCAAAGTCTCTCTCTAGGGGAGTCTAGCACTGCAATTATCGGAGGAACAAGCCTTCTTCTTAATCCAGACCTATTTCTCTACTTATCAAACCAGAACTTTCTTTCCCCAGATGGCAAGTCCAAAGCATTCGATGCGAGCGGAGATGGCTATGGACGTGGAGAAGGAGTTGCTGTTATTATGCTCAAGCGGGTTGCAGATGCCATTGCGGACGGTGATCCGATCCGCGCGGTCATCAGGGGAACCTCCTCAAACCAGGACGGACGGACAAAAGGCATGACATTGCCTAGCGCAGACGCTCAGGAGCAGCTGATCCAGACTGCTTATCGCAATGCGGGCTTGTCGATGGCGGAAACCCGGTATGTAGAAGCACATGGCACAGGAACGCAGGCTGGAGATAAGAGTACGTACATGTGATGGTTCTTTCTTTACAAGGAATACTGACAGATGATTTCAGCCGAGACTGAAGCGCTGTCTCGTACGTTCAGTCCTCATCGTACCTTCTCTGAGCCACTGATACTTGGATCCGTTAAGGCCAATATCGGGCATCTAGAAGCATGTGCAGGGCTAGCATCCATTATTAAATGTGTGGGTATTCTAGAAACTGGACTAATCCCTGCAAATCCATGCTATAAGAATGGAAATCCAGGCATTAAATGGCGTGAATGGAATCTCCATGTCCCAACCACGTTAATGAGGTGGCCAACTAAGGGTCTACGACGAGTAAGTACTCAGGGCTTCGGTTATGGAGGAACAAACGCGCATGTGATTCTCGACGACGCGTACCACTATTTAGAGTCTCGAGCTTTGACTGGATCACACAACACAAAGCTACTCGCAGGGTTATCTACGAAACCTAGACTGCCTAATGGAGTGCCTAATGGAGTTGGATCTCGAGGAAAAGACAGTCACTCCAGAATTTTTCATTTTAGCGCGCAGGATAATGATGGTCTGGGAAGGACACGACAAGCCGTATCTCAATATCTCAAGACGCGGTCCAAAGAGCTTAAAGAGGCGCATGACAGTGAAGACGAATACCTCCGAAACCTTGCATATACGTTATCTGAAAGACGATCACGGCTTCAGTGGCAAACATCGACAGTGGCTTCGTCTATCGAGGAGCTTATAGAATCATTACAAACTAAACCGTGGCCTAATCCGGAGATACGCGCCACGTCCAAGTTTCCTCGGGTGGGCTTCGTCTTCACAGGTCAGGGAGCCCAGTGGCCACGTATGGGAGTTGAGCTCATGGAATACGACATTTTCCGAGAGAGCGTGGAAAAATCAGACCACTATCTGCTTGCGGAGTTGGATTGCCCCTGGTCCGCTATTGAGGAGATTGCGAAACCGGATTCCTCGTCGAATCTTGGGCTCGCTTCATACAGTCAGGCCCTTTGCTCTGTCCTTCAAATCGCCCTTGTGGACTTGCTCAACAGCTGGAACATCTCACCATGCGCAGTTGTCGGTCACTCCAGCGGAGAGATTGCGGCCGCATACTGTCTTGGAGTACTGTCTCATGAAGATGCCCTGAAGGCAGCATACTTCCGCGGGTCCTTGTCCGCAGAGATGAAAGAGAATGACAGTTCCCTACGTGGTTCAATGATGGCCGTGGGTGCAAAGCCAACGGAAGTTGAGAAATGGCTCGAAAAAGTAACAAAGGGGGATGTAGTGATTGCTTGTGTTAATTCTCCAACTAGCGTTACCCTATCTGGAGACACAGAGGGTATTGAGGAATTGGAGCCTATGTTGAACGAAGCAGGTGTATTTGCTCGCAAGCTGAAAGTTGACACAGCATATCACTCGCCACATATGCAGATAATTGCTGGACAATACTTCGAAGCGATTGCTGACATTACAACAATGCCGGCAAAGAAGGGCTGCAGAATGCACTCCAGTGTACAAGGGGCCTTGATTGATCCGAATGAACTCGGTGCAGCAAATTGGGTGCGCAATCTAGTGTCCACCGTTCAATTCGCAGATGCTGTACATGATCTCCTACGACCTCTAACCAACGGTGAGCGTGCGACAGAAAACGCCGTAGACATCCTAGTCGAAGTCGGACCCCATTCGGCTCTGCAGGGACCAGTGAGCCAGACTATGAAGAATTATGGTATTAGCGGTGTCAATTATTGCTCGGTCCTCTCACGCAAAAAAAATGCTATCAATACGGCACTATCATGCGCTGCCACTCTATACTCAGAAGGCCTCTCTGTTGATATCCGTACCGCTAACAGGGATTCAAATTATACCGCTAAACCACTTGTCGACCTTCCCTCATACCCGTGGAATCACTCAGCTCAATACTGGGCTGAATCGCGTGTGAGCAAGGAATACCGTCTGCGGAAACATTCTCGCATGCCTTTAGTCGGGGCTCCCGCTCCGTCTATGGGGGGTGATAAGATCTGGAGAGGATTGATTCGTCCTGCCGAGGAACCGTGGGTGCGCGACCATGTCATCCAGAGCACAGTTTTATACCCTGCGGCTGGATTCCTAACAATGGCCATCGAGGCGGCCAGGCAAAATGCTGAGCCTGGTAAGCAAGTTAGCGGATTCAGACTGCGCGACGTATCCATTGATGCGGCCCTGGTCATCGACGATGATGTAGAACCGGAGGTTGTCTTGAGATTTCAACCACATAGAATGGGAACATTGGACGCAGGCTCCATTTCCTGGCACGAGTTTACCGTTTCTTCTTCAACTGATGGTAAAGAACTTCGACAGAATTGTTCGGGATTGCTCGCGATCGAATATAAACCTGCGGAGGGGTCCTCCATGCAAATTGAAAGAATCAAAGAAATTGAGAGTATAAAAGAGCGTTCGATTAAGGCCAAAGAACAATGCGAGACATATCTAGATGTCGGCGAATTCTACTCACATCTCGACTCAGTAGGATTGACGTATGGAGCCACATTTGCCAACCTGACTGAGATTCATACCGATGCCATCGCAGGACTGGGCACTGGTCGTTTGCTTATTCCAGATATTGAGTCTGCCATTCCGCCTTACATGAGCGAGCGGCCTCATATCATACATCCAACGGTTTTGGACGCCATCTTTCATCTCGCCTTTGCAGCAATTAGTGACCATCCACGCTCTTTCAAAGGTGCCATGGTCCCAACATCAATTGCGGAAGTCCTAGTGTCGAATGATATCCCTTTTCACAAGGGTGAGAGCCTGCAGGGGTTCGCTCAGTCGACCCGCCATGGTTTCCGCGAGCTGATTACTGATATCAACGTTTTCGATGAGAACTTCAACGATGCGGTTGTCCAGATTCGACGTTTCCGCTGCGCAGATGTGTCTGGGGGAGGCGATGCAGGTGACAGCACCGAAGGCAACTCAGTTAAACCGATAACTTTCCGTACAGTTCAACGTCCATCCCTAGATCTTTTAGCCCCTGAAGAGCTTCGAAAGATTTTAATCTCAAGCTCGTCTGATACTATAGATCAAACTCTCAAACAGTCCACTCTGGATTTAATTAAGGAGACACTGATCAAGGTTCCCCGCCAGACGGTGAATAAAGCGTTTGTCGGTTTTTATGACTGGATGCAGAAGAACGCTTCTTCTACTGTTGCGCAATTGAACAATCACCCGGGTCCTTCTAAGGAGGACAACTTGAATTTAAGTTGGAACGCTCTTGAAAACATCTTGCAAGGGAAATCAGACAGCTCGAGCTCTACTGATGAGCTTCAAGTTCTTGCTCCACTACTTTCTAGCAGTGCAAGCTTTAATCAAATAACGAGTAAATTGAATGAGGTGCGTGCTCGATGCAATCCCATATTCCTTAACTAATGGAAGAACAGTGTTTACTGCTTTTACATCACGTCCAACCTGAATTGTCAATACTTGAAATCGTGGATTCTACTAGCCGATCGATTACAGGGTCACTCCTACCCCAACTAAACTGTGCTGATGATATTTTAGAGACAAGCAACTACACCGTGTCTGTGAAAAATGAGAAGGTCGCGGGGGCAGTTGCAGATCAGTTGGGCGTGTTCAAAGATCGTGTAAATGTGGAAGTCAACGCTCTAGACAAAGACGAGAGGAGCGAAGGTGGCCAACTTGACCTCATTCTCATGTTCAATACGGTGTTGGACAATCCGTCCTTCCAAACACTTCTCGAAAATGCAAAGAAGCAATTAAAAGAGGGTGGTCGAATCTGTATCATCGAGCTTGGTCAACCCAGTTTGCATCTTGGGTTGACGCTTGCCACTTTGCACCAGACTGAGTGAGTATATCAATAATCATTCTATCTGGAGCCGCTAGCCACTGATACATTTAATACTTAGATGGCTACATAATAGTATAGACTCCGCCAAGTCAAGTTTACAGCGTGCTGGCTTTATTCCACTGCTCTTGCTTGGAGAGGATGGAGAACCATGCAGAGACGATCACGAGTTCCAGCTGGTAATTGGAAAGAGTCCCAAGCCGGCTTCATCCAGCATTCCGGAAGAGATTGTTATCGTTGAGGCACCACAGGCCACAAACTCCGCTCAGAAGTTGGCAAGTCATCTCGCCGAAGAACTTGGTCGCCAATCTATACGCGTTAATCGACTTGAGTGGACTTCCAAAAATTACATATCAAGCATTGAAGGCAGATCCTGCATTGTACTGGCTGATCTGGAAAAAGCCCACCTTTTACAAGCGTCTCCCGATGAATTCCGGATCATACAGGAGACCATTCTCAAGGCCGGGAGCATCCTTTGGATCAGTGGCTCCATCGGTCCAGATGCAGCCTTGGTGACTGGACTGGCACGAACCGTTCGAAATGAGGTCCCTGGCAGCGAGATCCGTGTCCTTCAAATAAACAATACGCCATTGGACTCCGTATCAGCATGGTCGAAGCCTATTCTACGATTGTTACAGTCCACTACAGCCGATACCGAATTTACGCTTGAGGGTGGTGTCTTCCACATCACTCGTATAGTTGAAGATCGAACTCGGAACGAGGATTTGGCGATCGCACTTGGCCGACAGGAACCCAAGTTGACCCAGACGAGTCTAAGCGAGATTCCGGGCCCTGTCAAACTGAGCATCAAAAATCCTGGTATGCTTGATTCGTTATATTTTGAGCCAGATTATACACCCGAAACCGATCTCCCTGCAGGGCAAATAGAAGTTGACGTCAAGGCATCTGGAGTAAAGTGAGTTCTCTGCCTTAATAAAAGTCTATAATATTCCATGCTAATATCTCAACAGCTTCCGAGATGTCATGGTTTGCATGGGTCAAATCCCTGACAGCCTGTTAGGCTTTGAAGGAGCGGGAATAGTCCGCCGAGTTGGTGATAATATTACTAACCTCCAAGTGGGCGACCGAGTTTGTTTCCTTGCCCATGGATCTCATCGAACTATACATCGCGTACCAGGTGAATATGCAGTGCGTATTCCCGATGAGATGTCCTTTGAGGAGGCATCCGGTGTGCTTTTCGTGCACGGTACAGCCTGGTACGGGCTGGTAAAAATTGCTCAGATCAAAGCAGGACAAACGATTCTTATTCATGCGGCGGCCGGTGGTGTTGGCCAGGCAGCTGTGATGCTTGCTCAACATTATGGACTAGAAGTTTACGCTACTGTGGGTTCCCAAGACAAAAAGCAACTTATCCAAGACCTTTACAACATTCCAGACGACCACATTTTCAATTCACGCGACCTCAGCTTTGTGAAAGGCGTGCTACGTATGACGGATGGCCTAGGTGTAGATGTGATTCTCAATTCCTTGTCCGGTGAGGCCCTTCGTCAGACCTGGCACTGCATCGCGCCATTTGGAACTTTCATCGAAATTGGCATCAAAGACATCCTCGGAAATACCCGGCTAGACATGCGTCCCTTCTTGCAAGATGCTCGTTTTGCCTTTTTCAACTTCAACCGCGTGGAAAAGGAGCGGCCGAAACTGATGAGCGAAGCGTTGAAGGAAACCATGGCTCTCATCAGCTCTGGTGCCACGAAGCCAGTGTCACCGCTAAAGAAATTTCCTATCTCACAGGTAGAAGAGGCCTTCCGTCTTATGCAGACGGGCAAACATCGCGGGAAATTGTCATTGTCGTATTCACCTACCGATGTGGTTCCTTTCCTAGGCGAGGCTGCTCGACCTGTTCGTCTTAATCCGTCAGCAGCCTATGTTCTCGTAGGAGGGCTTGGAGGACTGGGGCGAAGTCTAGCACAACATTTCGTTCAGCTGGGCTGCAAGAAACTATGCTTCCTCTCTCGATCTGGTGGCGCGGGTGAAAAGGCTCAGGAGCTCCTGAAAAATCTTCAGCAGCAGGGAGTCGAAACTCTGGCTCTACCTTGTGATGTGTCTGACTCTCAGTCCGTAACAAGGGCAATCGAACAATGCACAACTAGCTTAGGCCCCATCCGCGGTGTCGTACAGTGTGCAATGCTCCTGCGAGACGGTTTGTTTGAAAAAATGAGCCATCAACAGTGGATTGAGTCCACTAGGCCCAAAGTACAAGGGTCTTGGAATCTCCACCAGAGCTTGCCACATGTCGACTTCTTCATTATTCTCAGCTCCTTTGCAGGCATCTTTGGGAGCCGAGGCCAGAGTAACTACACGGCAGCCGGAGCTTATGAGGATGCGCTTGCCAGCTATCGGCGGTCATTAGGTCTTAAAGCGATTACGCTCGACTTGGGAATTATGCGCGACGTTGGTGTCTTGGCGGAGCAAGGTATTACCGACTACTTACGAGAATGGGAAGAGCCGTGTGGCATTCGTGAGGTCGAATTCCACGCGCTTATGGATAATGTCTTGGCCGGGGAGCTTTTCGGCGATCAGGGTTCTCTTCCTGCCAATATCCCCACGGGATTGGCTACAGAGAAGACTGTGCAGATATCCGGAATCAGCAAACCATTCTATTTTGATGATGCACGCTTCTCGATTTTAGCTACGGCCGGAGCCTTACAAGACACGACAGGCAGCGGGGATACGTCTGGATCGGGTAAGACGGCCTCCGTTCAGACACAAATAGCACAGGTTACTTCGGTCGCCGAAGCAGCATCGGTCGTTACCGGCGCACTTGTTGCTCGAGTTGCGAAATCGCTGCAAAGCAGTGTGTCCGATATCGACCCGTCTCGGCCTCTCCACGTTTTCGGAGTGGACTCTCTCGTTGCTGTTGAGGTTGTCAACTGGGTCTTCAAGGAGATTAAAGCCAAGGTGACGGTCTTTGACATTTTGGCCTCCGTTCCCATAACATCCCTAGCCGAGAAGGTTGCATTGAAGTCTAGTTTGCTTCCCCAGTTTACATGATTCCCTACAGTCTCCTTTTTGGGAATAACACAGCTCGTATCAGCTCGTATCACCTTGGTCCTAGCCCTAACACTACGGTCGCGTGATCATTTTCACTGGGTGCAATATATGAGTTGAGGACCGAGTTCGGAAGCAGTATTGATATCGCCGGAAACAGACCGGCTAGGAAATACCAAGTGCTCTCTTCGGTGATATTTCGGGTATACGGACTTATAACTCCTTGTACATTTCAAGTATCTGCATGTTTTCGTATACAAGGTCCATCAATATTAGATTGCTTTCCTAAGTTAGTGATAGATCTCTTTACAAATGATATTGCTTCGAATGCTACTGTGTATTCTCGTCTATGTGTCGACATTTGAATGCTCTTTTGCACGGTTTTTCTTCCTCTCAATTAGTAACATATTATCGTATAACAGACTCCTAAACCTCATGATTATGTCCAATCGACCTGGAGGCAGATCCTTCGTCATCTCGCATAACGGCATTCCATTTAGCTCTATCGAGAGAGGGCAGGATATTACGTTTGTATGCCTCCCAAGGTAAGCAAAACATAGTAAGCAAAAGCATAATATATGCATGTACATAGTTATCTTCGTAGTGTCCAGAGGACACTTTTTTCGTCTTGGCCCACAAGCGGAGGGTTTTTTGCATGCCAAGAATGATTTGCAGATAAGCAAACATTTGAAGTATGATCGCCTTACTACCTGCGGACAGTCCGATCCAATTAGCGTTAGTTAGTGTATAGGCCCTAGATAAAGGGAAAACGTCGACTAGCACCGTATACAGGCACCAATAAGGATTTGTTAAGGCAGGCACGTAGTTACCTACATGGTGAAGGAACATCCGAAGTAATCAGACATCTAGTAATTTCTCTCTGAGGCAGCATTCATGTGTTTAGTAATTACAACACAGTTGAGTAAATTTTTTATAGGGAGTAAGATTTCCTTATTCAGCATTCGAAACTGTTGCCAGCACAACCCCGCCTCAATTGGCACACTAGTCAATCCTAATTTTAATACGAGGTGGACCTTACGCCAACATGCGTTGGTGGAATTCTAGGTGTTTCAGTCGACAACGACCAATAATTTAGCCGTTGATTGAGATCGCGCGGAGCTGTCAGTGTACAATTGATGTTATTGAGGGTCCTATTTTTCCTCCTATATCATCCTTCCAGAGTAGTGAGTCATCTTCAATATTTCTAACACTCCCGATCATAATATGATTATCGAAATATGACGAGTATGTCTCAATATAAATTTAATATAAAGAGCCATTTAGCGTAGGTTTTCTTCTTACAAGGCGCATCATTGCACGCTGTGAGTGGTTGGATCGCTATTTCCACTGCTTGGATAGCTCGTCTTGATGGACGCCGTAAATTTGAAGGAAAACCAACGCGATAAGATCTCGGCGGTTTTGCACAACTTGTAATACCAACATGCAGTTCAGTCTCAGTCACTTATGCAACGTCGTTCCTTGGCTTGACCTCACTTGCCTGGATTCTGGCATGGGCTCATTGACGCAGTAACCGTGAGAAACCTTCACGAATGCCGCTTCTTCGTGATGGCCACCGCACGGCCTTTCTAACTGAAGTATGACGCAGATACAAGCAATGAGGCGTCGATTAGTTTCACTCTGCGTAAACTCAGAGGTCTCAGATCGCCTTGAACCAAACTACGACTATCAATGTCAGCCAGCGTGAATATTTAAAGTTAGCTGAAGTTTATCCGTAGATATTCGTAAGAGGCTAAGAGCTAGCAGGCTAGATCCTAAAGGTAACACCACACTTTACCAATACGGGCAAAGACAAGTTCTCATTGTGATCGATTGGTTGGCGCCAGTCCAAGCGGGCGAAGAAGGCTTGGTATTGCTTGATGAGAAGTAGGTAGACGGGCCGTGCTCCTCTTAGGGCGATCATGGGCGCCGCCTCTGCAAATCATCGTTATCTATAGCCGACATGAAACTACTTCAATGCTCGCTAATAATCTAGTCTCGGCGACTTTTCTTCCTTCTCTTTTATTCTTTTATTCGTTTTCGGTCTTCGGTAAATCAGTTTTTGGCGCGGTAACCTAGAATAATTATTCCATGTGAGTCGGGGATTATCTTTTTCTTTTCACCCTAAATCAGCCACATGGCGGTCCTTAGTTGCAGCTGCCAGCATCAATGTGATTAGAGGATTAGAAGATTAGAAGGTTGGTATTGTTCGAGAGCGCTCTCGGATCCGATGATGCCATTCTATGCAGAATCGAGTTAGAGTGGCGCAAGGGATTTGCTCAGGGGCGAAAGCCTCGTGTTAAGGGTGGAGTTCCTGGCAAGTATGAACTAATTATATCACTTGATGAAATGATGAGCTTGGATCTCTGAGCTTGTGCGCAAAGATAGTGTGACAGTAGAATAGAAGCAGTTCCGACTCCAGCACTGAATATTTAGACGAGGATACAAGCCTCTGTTCCAATTACCTCAGTGTGGATGCGTATTGATATACGGATATACCAAGCACTGGAGAATTGACCATAAGGTTAGATATCACCTTACTATTTCATCATCTTTGGGGTAAGACTCATCTGTCGGTTCTAACTTCTAGATTCATCCCAAATCATATATCCTAACGCCGATCTGCCGTCGCGGCCACGGACCATCGGAATTTAAGTAATGAACTATGCCATTCGTCACTGATCGTCACTTCTTTGAATGTTTCCGCTCTAGGGAGTCTAGAGCAAAGCACAAAAGTATCTCCAGCCAGTAGCCACGCTCTTCGAAGCGCGAGTGAGATGAAGCTATACCGAGATCGGTAGCAGGGCATTGTTTTAGCAAGCGGGAAAGGTGGTCTCGGCCAGATTCCACTTCGGGCATAACCATATCGATCTCGCGGAGGCAAGGATGAGGCCAAATTCAGGAATCGCCATCGAAGCTGAGGTAGTATCCAGTAAAATACTCGTGCTGACCACGTTGTCGACCTACCCCTGGACGCACGCGGGCCATGTCGTTGAGGTAGAGGAATATGCATGGCAAATTGGCCGCCTTTCTGCAACCCGTCGATCAGTCAATGAGAGCTAGGAGATAACGTGAACGGGATTGGAACATTTTGTTGGCTTACGTTCTGATGATGACATTTCTGGACATAGATGCAGCTCGTACTGCTTGCCTTGTCTGCAAGTCGGATTCGTAAGCTTGGTTCATAAACATGAGCCAACTTCCCTATCGTATTCTAGAAGCCTCATCGTACATATAAGGGTCACATGGACCCTACTAGCTGGGGTCAAACAAATTTTGCAATTGGTTGAGCATAGTTTTTGCCTGCGATGAATGGTCAAGCTGATCAACAGACCTCAACACCCAAACAGAAGAGCCTCCGCTCGGCATGCGATACTTGCCATCACAGCAAGGTAAAATGCAGCGGGCGGCTGCCATGCGAGGGGTGCGAGAAGCTTCGGGTGCGATGCAAATACAGCATCTCCAACCGAACAGGAAGGCCAAAGGGGGTCAGAAACAAGAAGACCCTCGAACGTATCAAGCACCTGAGCATGAGCTCTGACTCAGCGCCAGAAACGGTACGTAGACAGAAACAAGAGTACTTCTTCCAGTCCCGTTAAAGATAAGGCATTGATAGGAGAATCAGGTGCAGCCTGAATCCGATGAATCTTCCTTCTTTGCTGTACAAAGTAGAATAATGCCCAAGGAAACCCCGAACCCTCCCATACAATCAGCTGTATTCCAGCCATATTCGGATCCGGATCAGCACGCAAATGCCAGTATAGTGAATCCATTCGATTTTTTTTCCATGTCGGATATCCCGGGATATCTGAATGCAGGGGTCGGAGAGGTTGGAACCGGTGAGGTAATCAACGTTGCTGTCGTCGTGAGGTACTTGAAAATCAACGATCTAATTCTTATCCTTGTTCAAAGCAGAAACATGGAACCTGTGGAGACGAGCCCCTGAGTCCTTCTAGCTTCGAAGCCATCACCACGCACGGATTTCTTCACACGATGGAACAAGACATCCCGTGGCCAACAGACCTTAACCTCTCCTCGGCTGATAACACCACAAAACCTGTCGGTCCTACAAAATACGTGAACGACAAAACCACAACAACCAAGCATGACCGCGACTCAACGTACAGTCAACAAGAGAAACCCTCGAAGGAAGCTCCCTCATCTCGCTCCCGGACGCCATCCATCGGGACCTGTGATTGCCTACAGCAATTAGCTGACCAACTCGCGCAGATCAAGGCCTTGAGCAGGGTTGCCGAGCCACTCAAAGCAGACAGTATCCTGTCAGTGACGCGGGAAGCCCTCCATCGCTGGAGACGGCAACTGCAGTGCAATATCTGCCAGCAGAATGACGACAAGGACATATTGGTACTTTCTGTAATGGGGTTTCGGGCCATTATAAGTCTCATACGGAGACTGGGACAGGCTGGGGACAGCTTCTGGAGCTACCAGTACAACACCAACACAACCATAAGTAACATCTCACCAATCGAGCCCATCGACACCGATACGTCCTTTCTTGGCATGTATGAGCTATCCCAGGAGGAAAAACGCCTGATGGCGAATGTACTGCTTACCCGAGCACTGAGGGACCTCAGTCGGACTGTTGAGGACGTGAAAGCACGAAGCTCAAAACAATCGTCTCTAGTGCCGACACCGACGAGCAGCGGCAGCAATGATGATAGAAGCACCGGCTCGTCCCTCGGAATGCAGTTTCCCATAAACTCCACTCACATGATGGATATCGATAAACCCGGGTATGGTCTGGACATCGGCCCTGTGATGGATATTCATAATAACGAGTATTTGCAGCGGTCGCTGCAACGCCTGTCCCGTTCTATTGACTTTCTCTCAGACGCCTTGAAGCATCCCCATTACTCCCCTCAGCGGTCTCCTGTATAATCCACTAGTTCACTGTTCTTTCGCGTTTGCAGTATTTAAACTATACCCATGTTACTGCCAGCCAGAATAGATCATATAGATCACTCGATTTCAGACCCCCTGCACAATTTCAACACTTGCAGCGTACCAATTCCAGATCCCAATCACTGCTACTCTACTTACTTCAATGTTGTTGCTCCCATCTGTACTTAAGCCTTATTCTAGAGCTCTTGTGACATACTGTTACAAGGACCCAAAACCACTCCAAGGTACATACGAGTACTAAACTTGTTTTCCATGTCGCTGTGAATATTTTATGTAAAAAAATGGGGATATAATGAGGTAAGTAAGCATGTAGTTGGATATGCCAGACTGACGATGACGTTGAAAGTAACAACATGAGGGGAGAAGAAAGCCTACAAATGCTAGATTCACGTGACCGATTGCCTCAGGCTGCAGGCATATTGGGGGGAACAACATTTTATCGACACTTATCAATATAATGATAACTATGGAAATATTTTTTCCTGACTGTAATTTTAGATGTGTAAAACCTAATAGTTGTAACGATATAATCTAGCTAACGGTGAATATCTCTATATATTGTGGAAAAAATGAGTTGGACATATAAGACGAAGAACGTTGCACTTCGTGTGACTGGGTGCCCCAAGCAGAGCAATATGTCAACAACATGTATCAATTGATCAATTAGTACCTGTATTTATTCCATATATATCACTTGTTAATTCGATATATCGAGTAAATACTCTACTATCAGAGAATTGCAAAAGGCGAAAGTCATTAACTGAGATTTCCAGGAGAAATTGAACCTCGTGATATCCTTTATAGGTATACGTATCCATATAATTCATATGTGAATATGTAACGACTAGTCAATTATAACCATCAATTTCTTCCACCAGGTATCCCGCACGACTGGCGGCCGTTCCGCAGCAATAATCTCCTCCAAACCCGTCTGCAAATCGACATCTTCCGGCTTCCAGGCCCAGGGATCACTCCAAAAGACGATACGATGCCCAAAATACAATACTAAAAACGCAGGAATACCGATATACGCCGTGAAAAAGCTACTAACAGACCACTTTGACGGGAAAAACACACTGAAACCATTAATCAGGGTCAAAAACACACAGCCCACAATGCCAATATACGCGCCGTACGGTTGCAGCCATGATTTATACGGCCGCTCAACGCCCTGCACGTCGACAGCCTTGCGGAAGCGGAAGTACACGATGCAGCAGCAGATCCAGGATATGAAGCCGGACGAGTTGGTGAAGTTAACGAACCAGTTGAAGACGACGGAGCTAGATGTGCCGACGGATAGGTAGGCGAGGACCGAGAAGAGTGCGGAGCAACTCACAGCGACCCATGGCACCCCCCAGCGGTTGCAGGTTTTGAAGACGCTCGGCGCGTTACCGGACATGGCGAGTCCATATAGAGAGCGCGAGGACATGTACAGGAAGGAGTTTCCAGAGGACCACGCAGAGGTTAGAACAGCGGCGTTGACGATGCTGTCCAAGACAGGGATGCCGGCGTTCTGAATGCCGACGACAAAGGGGGACGATCCGGCGCCGGCTCCGCCGTTGGTGAGGCGCGAGTTGTCGGATGGGCAGATCACGCCGATGGCTAGGACGCTGAGGATATAGAAGAAGACTAGTCGGTAGATATATCGACGAGCAGCGCGCGGCACGTTGCGGCGCGGAGACTCCATTTCACCGCCAGAAATGACAATTAGTTCGGGTGCGAAGATGAAGGCGATGGCGCTCGACATCATGCACTGTAGCAAGCCGACAAACCGGCCGGCGTTGCCCTCTACGATATAGGTGTTCATTGCGCCGGGATGCTTCCAATAGCCGAAGCCCAGGCGCACGCGATTGGGGCCGCCGCCCCAGAAGAGAATGAAGCTTAGGATCAACAAGCCGACTAGCGTCAAGATTTTGATGCTGGCGAACCAGAATTCCGATTCACCGTAGACCTTAACGGGCATGTAATTCAGGAGCACAATCACAACCAACATAATGGTGATCCACACGGCCACATTCACGCCAGGATTCCAGTAGTCAATGACGAGCGACGCAGCAGTGATCTCATACGGCACCAGAATACCAATCGAGTACCAGTACAGATAGCCCATGGCAAAGCCCAGACTGCGCGACACATACCGGAAGCCGTGATAACTCATAGTCCCACCGTGGACGGGCATGTAGGCACCGATTTCCGCAATCGCAGTGACCAGGCAGTAAACCAGCGTGGAGATGAACAGATATCCAAGGAGAAGTGACAATGGGCCGCCGATGGCCAGAGATTGGCCGGCCCCGACGAACAAGCCTGTTCCGATGGTGCCACCCAGCGCCATCATCTGCACATGGCGATTGCGCAGACCACGCTTGGTCTGGGCGTATCGGTCGTCGAGCAAGTCCGCCTCAACAAGAGCGCGCACAGCATTATGCTTTTCGCTGTATCCATGCTCGTATTCATCATTGGAAGCTGGCGCTGGCGACGCGGTCTCAATGCCGTGGGATGCCATGTTTATTATCGTTTGGACTCGGACAGACGTCACAAACGGCGGGCTTGAGAAGGAAAAACACGGGGCACACGCATTATTTATAGTGGAGAGAAAAAATAGGGAAACGTGGTCAGCATTTCATAATAGCGACATCTAGAGTGGAGAAGGGTCTATTGTTCCCCCAGATACGAGCCTTCCCCGTGGTCCACTACGTCTATTTCAGGGCTTGGCAATCGTGACGCTTTTTATTGCTGGACAGGATGCAAATTCTCAACCGGGTGACCGGCCCGGTGTCATTAGCTTTTCATTTTTTTATATTTTTTATGGCTCAGGCCTCAGCCTGTCAAAACTAACTTCATAGCGTATGGAACTCCCGCAAATCCTGGCAAATAAACGTCGCGCTGGAGCGCCTCGCAGGCATTAGCTGGCACTGGCAAAGATTACGCGCTGATCGGGCTTGCATTGCCTTATTCTAGAAAGCAGAACTTTCTTCTCTTATCATCATCAGCTGCGGGGGCCAAGGCTGGGCGTTTCACTTTGAGTCGGCAGTAGCAGCCAATCAAGTACGCATTTGTGGATGAAGATTGTCAGTTATTGTTTGTCGTAGAGATATATCAATGATTTATGTTAATAACAATAACGCTAATCATAAAGTTATTATGGTCATAAAAATCAAATATATAAATAATTAATAATAATAATAAAATTATCTCAACATTTTTTTGAACAAAGAGAATGAGTCTCCCGGATTGGCTGACATAATCAATCATATCAAATCCATTTGATAGTTTGACATGAATTGTTTCCTCTAACATCACTGTCTAAGTACTTCCAACTAGAAGAGGTTCATGGCACGCATGCCCTTAACCAATTAGTCTCTACTTCATGTTCGATAAACTATTCCCAAAAGAACCCGGTTAGGACGCGCTTTCACCCTCCCAGCAATCGCAATCTGCAAACGCCTTCGATCACGATATCCCATGTCATCAATTTTGTTTCTTAACAATCAAATATGCATCAAAGGCACAATTGTTAGAACAGCTACGACGCTACCTGCAGGAGATGCGCTCAGAAACCCCCACTCCTAAAGTTCAGGGTGTGGATGGTTCTAAGCTGTATGATATGCGCATCCTAGGAGTGTCACGTGGATTCGATCCGTTTGGGAGTATTCAGGATTTCCATGCCTTCCTTACTGATGGTTTTGAGATGTCTACGGAACAGTTTCCTGAACTTAATAGATTGGTAATGATGCATCAAAAATCCAACTTTGCAACCTATTTTACGCCTGGGAATTTGAACATTGCAAATATCCTTGTTCGTGGTGATAACGTGGTTGGTATCCAAGGTAATTGGGAATGTAAAAAAGCATGAAATGCCGACCCATATAATGAGTTTTGGAGGGACGAAGTCGACAAGTTCCTTCAGGAGTACCCTGTGGCCCTCGAGATGGAGCCAATACGCCGACGGTTTTTTGCGGGTTTTTAGCAGTCCCTAATGATTCTTGTTTCCTGCCTACTCTTGCTCGGACCAATGTATCTATGAAACACTCTCTCTGTTCTCGAGAAGGTCAAAAGTTGGAACAGTTCCCGATGCCCACCCTCCTGATCCATCATAGCGTCTCTGCTCTCTCTTTCGGTTAATATAGCCATTTGCAATCTGCTCAATTGCAGTCCAGTCTGTGACCCGAGTGCCCAAACTCTTCCGATCTGCCTCCAAAGCTGCGATGGCATTTTTCACCCAGACTTGACAATTCCATGATGGATCGTCCTGCACAAGAGGAACAGCAGCAAGAGTTGTGCGGAGTTGCGTGTCATTGGTAACTTTTGCGATCAGAATGCGACCAAGTAGCATGTTCGTCTGGAAAAGGGTGATTTCGAGAGCTTCGTATACCCATATGAAATGACCCGTTCTGGATGGATCAGGTCGCTGTATTGCATGATATCGATATCCCCGACTTCCTCCTACCCCCTCCTTCTTCGGTCCCACAATGATAGCCCAGTGAAAAGCGTCAGGATCTCGCCCTCCACGTGCGTAGAGGGCGACGTAAACGCGATCTTTGTTTGAGGCTGGCATAGTGACAGCGGTATGAGATGCTCAGAGATCTAGATTTGATAAAACATAGCTTTCTTTTATCTGCTTGCTTGGATTCGCTTCTCCGTCGCGGTATTGACGCTCTTAGGCGACCAAACATTCAATGGTTGGGTTTGGACATTATTGATTGATAGCAATCTGAGAGGCATTGGTTATTGTTTGCAGAGGCAGGACAGTAATTACATGCACAATGGAGTCATTAATGTATATTATTTTTATCCATATGTATCAATTGATATTCATACCCGGTCATAGCTTCATATCTTCACAATAGAACTTCACAATAGACCATAACTTTAGGAAGGTTCACCATTAAGTCGAGAATAATTGAACTGAATACCGAGCACTATGTATTTTGTCAACAGCATTATGGAGTTCCAAAACAAAGAGTGATTATACCACACTCTACTATCATAAGTACAGAAAATTCAACGTTGACCATAACATATTCTATATATCAATCATGGATTGCCAGTATCACGCTTCGCTTTGGGAAAGCCACGCCTTATATACAATAATAGATCTCGAGTAGGGCATCAACAATTACATGTAAAAGAGATGTCTACTCATTCAAACCTAAGCCCTTATAGGTCATCGTGACTACGTCAGGATAATATAATAGTAGTATAATAATACCAACAACAATATTAAATAATGATTGATGTTGAATATACAATCAGTGGCAAGATTAGACGAACCCTCGCGTCGACTTGCACGCAGCGAATTCTGGGGCATCTTAATTCGCTGAGCCGACATCATCGGTCCAGGCATGCAACGATTTCATGATATACCAATACCAAGTACTAGTTATTATAATTTATGCTAATAGTGATAGGCATTAATACTTTAGTACAGATTATTTAGCATTGCCTGTTCTTGTGATTGCGCGGAAGTGCGTTCTTCCAGATCAGCCGAACGCAGTCACGTGGTGTGCGACGAAGGTCGGCCATCATGCTCAATCTTCCCAATCACAACAATCAAAATTATAATAAAAAAAATAACTGCAGCGACTCTCCTTCGAGTATATTTGATTATTCACTAGTATTCCTATATTATGATATTATTATAATATTATATCTATTCCTCTCTTCTACTGTACCTAGACCATTCCAGGCCCGGTTGAGGATAGCGTAGTGGAGTTTGCTCATTCCTCGCCTCGACCACTCACAGGCCCGCACCAGGGCTGCTCCTTCCGCTTTGCTCTTGCCTTGACTTCAGCCAGGAATGATGAACATCGTCCAGTTCAGGAATCTCATTCAGCAGCCGTTTTCACGTTTTCACCATTGTCACCATTCCATGCACTCTTTATCATCATTTCCGCCCTTGTTGACTGCTCGATTCCTCGCACTGTTCTAGTGCAGTGCGTCAATTGGCACGCCGAACATCGCCCGGCCCACTAGCCGCAGATTGCGACCTTGCATTATTGGCGCCTGGCCTCCTCCCTGCAGCGTGCTCGCTGCAAATCCAATTACGCTTCTTACACCACCACCACGACCAACACCTACCAGTAAACCACCGCAAACCACGCTCTGCACGGTCTTCGCTGCATCTTCTCAAGACCGACCCGACTTGGATGCTGTCGAGTCCGAATCCATCCTTCCCACCGACGTCCTCCGCTCAAACCGGCCGCAATCTCTGTCCTGCCGCGGTCGTCGCTGCTTATCGCTTTTCTCGGAACAGCCTTATCCGCCAAGCCTCACCCTCTCAACACCCCCGACCGCTGGGGACGAACCGTCAATAGCCGTCGAGCAGCGGTCATACAGGTCCGACGGCAGCGCATTTGACCCCGACTCGAAGAATATCAATCATGGCGACTGCGCTGGATGCGGCGCCTGTCGCCGACCAGCTGCCTCCTCCTCCCCCAGCCCCGGCCGAAACCACCACCAATTCCATCACTCCACCGAACAGCGCCGACGGCAAGAAACATGCTCCTGAGGGCCTCCCTACTGAGCTGTCCGACCTCGAGCTGGATCACAATGGCGCCGCTCCATCGGTCGAGCCTGTCGAAGAAGACATCGAGCCTGATCACTACTATGAAGGAGGGAAAATCCCCGTTTTTAAGCCGGTAAGTTGGCGGTGAGATAGACTGCAAGATTGCGGAATTGACATTTTTGTTTCTACTACTACAGACTATGGATCAGTTTCGTGATTTTCAGTCTTTCATCCAGAAGGTTAACAAGTATGGAATGAAATCTGGTATTGTCAAGATTATACCCCCGCAAGAATGGTATGCTCTTTATTTCTACTCTGCCTTACCGTCTGTCTACTTGCCAGATCAACGGTCTGATCAGTCTACAGGAGAGATTCACTATCGCCCCTTGATGATCCAGTCAAATCCATCCGTGTTAAGAACCCTATCATGCAAGAGTTTCATGGTGCCCATGGTACTTATACTCAGGCGAACATTGAGAAGCAAAGATCATACAATCTTCCGCAATGGAAAGCGTTATGTGAAGATGGCAGTCATCAACCTCCAGCGAGGCGAGGCGAACGTCGCCGCAATCAAGAGAAGGCGGTCCGTCCGGCCGCACCAAAGCCTCAAGTTTCTCGCTCGGGGTCTCAGAAAAGGGGACCAGGGCGGCCTCCGAAGAAGTCCAAGGAGCCGAAGATCAAGGAAGAATCGCCCGCAGATGACCAGTCTGAAAAATCCCGGTTAGAGGGTCCTCCGACGCCAGTGTCACCGCAATCGAATCCAGTTGAAACCAAGACCGAAGATCTCAGCGACGGAGAGGAACTGCCGGCTGCGAAGCCAAAAGGAAGACAGCCAAAGTCGGTTTCATCGAGGAGAAAGCACAATCGCGGCGAGACCCTGGACCAAGTGGACGAGGAAGCGTTCAAAGACTTCGACTATCGCATCCACGATAACGATCAATACACGGCGGAGCGATGCGATGAATTGGAGACGGCGTATTGGAAATCGCTCATGTTCAATAACCCTATGTACGGAGCAGATATGCCGGGCTCCCTGTTCGACGAGACTACCACTTCCTGGAACGTGGCGAAACTTCCCAATCTGCTTGATGTTCTCGGACAGAAAGTCCCAGGCGTCAACACAGCCTATCTGTACTTGGGTATGTGGAAAGCCACGTTTGCCTGGCATTTGGAGGATGTCGACCTGTATAGCATTAATTATATCCACTTTGGTGCTCCTAAACAGTGGTACAGCATTTCTCAGGAAGATGCCCCTCGATTTGAAGCTGCCATGAAAAGTATCTGGCCCAGTGATGCCAAGAACTGCGACCAATTTCTACGTCACAAGACCTACTTAATCTCACCCAGCATTTTGAAATCACGGTTCAACATCACCGTGAACAAGGTGGTCCACTATGAAGGAGAGTTCATGATAACTTACCCATATGGCTATCATTCCGGATACAATCTAGGCTACAACTGCGCGGAGTCTGTGAATTTTGCCACAGAACAATGGCTGGACTACGGCCGCATTGCCAAGAAATGTAATTGCGAATCCGACAGCGTCTGGATTGACGTTGGAGAGATTGAGCGGAAGCTGCGGGGCGAGCCAACTCCGGAATACTACTATGAAGACGAGATAGACAGTGATTTGGATGAGCTGGATGGCGCGTCCGACCTGCTCACGCCTCCTCGTAGTGTGCCTGAGAAATCAAACCGGGGTAGAAAGCGCAAGCATGAGGGCGAGGACGGCAAAGTCAAGCGCATCCGTATTCGAGGTGACGTGATTCGAAGGATTCCTTGTCTGCTGTGTCCCAACGACATGGACTACGAGGATCTCTTGCCGACCGAAGATGGCAAATCGCATGCCCACCGGCGCTGTGCCACGTACATTGAAGAGACGTCCATTCTGCGCGATGAGTCTGGGCGAGAGGTCGTCTGTGACATTGATAAGATTCCTAAGGCGCGCCTTGGGCTTAAATGCCTGTTCTGCCGCGAAGTGCGGGGGGCCTGCTTCCAATGCAACTATGGCAAATGCACACGGGCGTACCACCCCACCTGCGCGCTGCTCGCTGGCGTGCAAGTCGAGTTTGGCTCGATTGTCGTGATTGCCGACGACAGCCAGCAGTACTCGGTGGCCAGCGTTGATCTGAAGTGTAAATTCCACCGACAACGACGACACGGCGGGCCCTCCGAGCTCGTCGGCGATGATCGCAAGGTCGTCCAGATTGCCAGCCGGCTGTCGATGGGCGACCTGCTGCAGTTCCAGGTGGACAAGGAAATCAACGGCGCGATCGTGCTCGAGAACCGGCCTGTCGAGCGGACGCTGAAGCTCAAGGTGCTGCCTCGCGGCGACATCATCGAGCTGCCCTACCGCTGGATTCTGGTTGTTCGCAAGACCAACTTCGCTCCGCTGCCGCCAGGGACGAAGCCGCTGCCCGCTCACCTGGCGCGCAAAGCAGAGACGCACAAGGAGCTGTCGGCGGCGGTGCCCATGCCAGGGACGCCGTTCGGCGACGCCAACGCACCCTTCCAATGGGCCGAGTTCGAGCATACACAACTGCCGGCCGAGGCGATCAGGACGGCGGTGCCCGTTGCAGGGCACTTCTGGTATTACCTGGGCGCGACGTCGACGGAGTGTAGGGCACAGTACACGCACAGCCCTAGTGTGACGGTCCACAACCCGCGCGCGAATTTCCTGGACAGCGTCAAGGCACCACTGCCACTTGTTGGCTTTGGCGTTAGCGCGCAGCCGGCGGGCCGACTCTGGCCTGCTCAGGCTCACCCCTCGTCGTCGGGCTCTGGTGCCTCTGGCTCTGCCTCTGCTCCCCCCCACCACCTCTATGCCCCTCCAAACACAACGCTGCCTCGTTCTTTTTCGTCATTGCAGCGACGCCCTTCAAACACTGCAATGACTCCTGCCTACCGACACCTGCCTCCGCATACAAATAATGTCAACATCAACTCCCCCTCCGCCGCTCACTTCTATCCTGCCAATGTCGTGCGCCCCAATCCCTATGCTGCCCTGCACAAGCCCCAGCCCGACCCGCCGACCAACACCTTTGCCAGCGTCCGCGAGTTGATCGCTCGCCGCCGTCTGGCGCAAATCACCGACCATGCAAACGTGTTTGCCGGGTACAAGATTGTCAGCCCGGAGCTGGTCGTCGAGACCCTCCTGGGCCCCATGGGCTCTGTGCCGCCTCCGAATGGCATGGAAAAACTCGAATTGGCCATGGCCCAACAACGTGTGCAGCCCAAGGCCCTGGACGGCACCCTTCTGCCGCCGCAGCCTCTCAACATGCGGTCGGAAGAAGTCAGCCGGCTGCTGCAAATGCTTCGCTTCTCCGTCGTCAGCCATCGCGACCGTCTCGATGTCATCCCCAAACGCGAACCCGAATACATTAAACAAGAGCCTTTTGATCGCCCCAACTATGCCGCCGGTCGGGTGGCTGGGAGGTACCCGTACCTGGAACAACAACAAGCCCAAACGCCCACCGTGTACCGATCCCCTTACGAGTCGCCCTTTGGGCTGGCCGAATGGACCAAGAAGGAATATAATCTCATCGAGGAAGAGCCTTCCTCCAAACCATCGTTGGCCAATGACTTTTTCGCGTCGCTGTCGCCGGCCGACCAGGAAAAGGTGGTCAAGGCCTGTGGTAGCTGGGTGCAGGAGCGGATTGTGGACCGGCCCTCAAGCCATAGCCGACAAAGCTCGACGTCCAACTTCAGGTTCTCTGCTGCGCTGGCCCAGCAAAATAATAATCCTACCATCGACATCACCACTGTTGACGATCTGCCGATGACAGAACTGGACCGGCTCGATCGATTCGACTTCCCCTTGCATGCCGACTCGCCGGCGTCTAGCTTCAGTCGGCCGCACCTAGTCGGCTTCCCTTCGCCGCACGACTTCAATGGCCACGCTGACCACGACTCCTCGATCGTCCCTCGACATCTCTCCGACCATCACGACCTCTTTGGCGATCAACAAGCCAACACACGGTTTTGGCAGCACGGTCCATGGGCGCCTGCGGGAGACGGCACGACGCCGATTGAAGAGAACCGGCCTTTCTTTGGACCTCATGAACGACTGAAGCACGACTACGCGTCATCCGAACTGTCGCTCGGACGAGGCGGTCCCGGGTCGCTGCATTCTGTCGACATGGCGGGGTTTGGCATGGACACTACCGAAGATTTTTGTTCGGGGCTCAGTCCATGACCTCTTCCTTTCTGTTGTTTCTGTGACTGTATCTGAATGATGACTGCATGATCTGGGCGTTTACTTATTTTTTTTTTCTTCTTTCTTCACATCCCATCACACACTGTTTATACCTTGCCGATGTGATTGATGATGCCTTATGACCCCCTCGGCCCTGCCGAATATTGTTTGAGCTATTGAATGAGCCTTGTCTGGCCGATCTATTACCGACGGCAGCTGTTAGATAGATACACCGCGCTGGATGGATGGGAGGGATTCTGCTGAAAAGTTTTGATTCATCACCTTGTCTTCACCTCACCTTCACCCTTCACCCTTTCACGTCTCACTCGACCTCGTTTTCCGCCACCTTGTCCACACCACCACCATCCAGCAGACGGTCGGCGCGGCCTACTTTCGCCCGCCATGTTTTACTTACCACTTACCTCACGAGTTGTGCTATTCACAACCAACGTACATTAGAACAAAAACAAACACAATTTCAAAATGCTTCTCCTTCACCTTTACTATCTCGTCAAATATCTCACTACTTCAGTTATCAGCGGTAACAAATACCGCGTTGTTATGATGGAATGATAATGATGTATATATACATAGCCTAATAATAATCCATTTTCGTTATAAATCATTTCTTATTGCATCTATATATCTATATTATATTTATAAATATACTCTTGTCTGTACAGTGCAGCTGTTTGAGACACCTTAGGCTCAGGCTAGTACTAAGAGTCTACTCTTATCGCGTCACGCCGAGTTCGGCGCTGCTATTAATATTAATTGTGCCACTACCCGTTATATCATGCAGTAGTCTATAGGCTCTATTATTATTAATTCTATTATTTAATTCTATTGCATTTTCATTACTTGACAAGCTAACTACACACCACACTACAACACACCGCACTACCGTTACATATGCCTTGGTACTACTTAGTTAGTAGTCTACACGGTGAAGATGAACAAAGTTGTCGCACTCGACATCAACCAAACCACCCCCATAATGCGACGAGGCTCAAGCGCACACTGGAAGCCAAAAACTGCATTCCAGAAAGCGAGCCCTAACTCCTCTCTCCAGTAACCGGAAGTAGTTTCTACAGGTAAGTTCCACGCCAATTGTTGCCCCTCTGGGACAACGGGCTAAGGTTGCCTGTTGCAGTTACGCGCATCCAGAGGAAGGAGTGTGGAGGATCTCCGCTTGGCCACTTCTCCGCATTCTAGTCCTGCTTTGCTTCCTTCGCCTTTCTGCGGAGGAGTGATCGTCTATAACTCTGTTATATTACTGTCGTTCCCGTTGAAATCTGACTGTACACGATCTTTGAATGTCTGCAATCTGAACTTGTCTATCTCTGCTGGCACGCGACCATGGGATCGTCCAGCCAGGCCGACGCCGCGCTCGAGCGCATGGGATACAAAAGCGAACTGCCGCGACACCTGAGCATGCTGAGTGTTCTGGGGCTGTAAGTCTCCTTCCTTTCTTTGCAGGTGTTGCTGACCGACCCAGCTCCTTCGCCATCATCGCCGCCCCCTTCGGCCTCAGCACAACCCTCTACATCACCCTGCAAGACGGCCAGTCCGTTACCGTGCTCTGGGGCTGGGTCTTCGTCACGCTCATCTCCATTGCCATCGCCGCCTCGCTCGCCGAGATATGCGCCGTATACCCAACCGCCGGGGGCGTGTACTACTGGAGCGCCATGCTGTCCACGCGCGAATGGGCCCCGCTCATGTCCTTCATCGACGGCTGGTTGACACTCGTTGGGAACTGGACGGTGACGCTGAGCATCAACTTCTCCGGCGCTCAGCTCGTTCTCAGCGCCATATCGCTCTGGGATGAAAGCTTCGTGCCGAATCAATGGCAGACTATACTCATGTTCTGGGCAGTGATAGGCTTCTGTGCGCTGGTTAATATTTTTGGGTCCAGGCATTTGGATCTGATTAACAAGGTCTGCATTTCCTGGACGGCGGCTAGCGTGGTTATTATTTTGGTTACGCTGCTCACTATGGCTGATCATCGTCGGTCTGGCGAGTTTGTCTTTGCACACTACGATGCGTCGACGAGTGGATGGTAAGTCTAACCTCACATACCGTATTATATAAAAGTATATATTAACTTTTTCAGGCCCGCTGGATGGGCCTTTTTCGTCGGCCTCCTCCAAGCTGCCTACACACTGACCGGCTACGGTATGGTCGCAGCGATGTGCGAAGAAGTGCAAAACCCACACCTAGAAGTCCCTCGTGCTATCGTCCTCTCCGTCGTGGCCGCCGGCATCACAGGCCTCCTGTACCTCATCCCTCTTCTCTTCACCCTCCCCCCCGTCGAGCTCCTCCTCGGCGTCGCCAACGGCCAACCCATCGGCCTACTCTTCAAAACTGTCACTGGCTCTGCCTCCGGCGGGTTTGGTCTGCTCTTCCTCATCCTCGGCATCATGCTCTTCGCCGGCATCGGCTCCCTCACTGCAGCCTCCCGCTGCACCTACGCCTTTGCACGCGACGGCGCAATCCCAGGCTTTAGGGTGTGGTCGCAAGTCAACACTACGCTCAACGTCCCCGTCAACGCCATCCTGCTCTCCACCCTCGTCGATGCTCTCCTTGGCCTCATCTACTTCGGCTCCAGCGCCGCCTTCAACTCCTTCACCGGCGTCGCGACCATCTGCCTCTCCACCTCCTATGGCGTCCCCATCCTAATCTCCGTCCTCCGCGGCCGCACCGCAGTGCAACACTCGCCCTTCTCACTCGGCAGATTCGGCTATGCAATTAACATCGTCACAATCATCTGGATTTGCCTCGCCGTAGTGCTCTTTTGTATGCCCGTCTCGCTCCCCGTCACAGCCGCCGGCATGAATTATGCGAGTGTCGTGTTCGCGGGCTTTGGCATGATTAGTGTGCTGTGGTATTTCGTCTACGCGAGGAAGAAGTTCACTGGTCCTCCGGTTATGGCCGATGAAGTGAGCGCACAGGTGGGCGTGGTGAATGGGAAGGCTGTTGGGGATCAAGGGGAGGAGGGCGAGGGGGTTGAAAAGGTGGAGTTGTAACATACATCATACGATCTTAAAATGTGTTTGTGTAGATATTGTATGTAGTTGTATATACGATGTCAGCTTGATTTTATTAACGTCATGTTAAGACATGTTACATGTACTACATATGTACATCAATTGATGTATCTGTATGCATGGATATAAAACGGTCTAGACCATACTGAGTTGTGTAACATGTACATATGCACCTATCAACATTTGAAAATGACTGACTATATTGACTGCGACATGTAACGCGCCACGTCAAGTACTCTATTGATGCATGTACATATGCACTACTCGCAGTCCAATCTGTACGTGTCTACACCTCATCAATACTGATTTCCACATGTATAATCAAATCACCATTATCAATCCATAGTATTAGTTATCTACATCAAGTGTGCAGAAGCAGAACAATGCAATGCAATGCAAAAGTAAAATTCAATTCATCAGACATGCCACATTATCGTGTCTCGTTAACAACAATCCAATACACCCCACACATACCATACCATACGACTCCTCAATCACGTCCCTCACTCATTCATCATAAGAAAGAAATAAAAGAATGCTGGATAGAGTATCACGGAGAGAGAGGGTAGGAGGTAGGCAGTTAGAAAATGTCCTCCGGCCAGGCAAACTCCTTCGACAGGGCTCTTTTCTTCAACTTCGCGCTGTTTAATAGGTCTTTCGGGACCGGTGGTACGGGCGGAATGTTCTCGTCGCCGTTGTAGCTGGCCCATACCTTGGGCGATGGCGATACGGCTCGGGAGGAGGCGTTGGCGTTGTTGCCTTGTTGTTCCTGCAAGCACATCGAATCATCGTGGGAAGAAGAAGTAGGGGTGGATTGGCGCAGGTTGCGGGATGATTGCTTCGCTTTCAAACGCTGGCTGGCTTTGGTGGTTAGACTTGAAGCGCGTTTGTCGCGGGTTGATAGTTTGGTTTTGGGTTTGTCGAGTTTGCTGGGTTTCGTCTTTTTCGGCGAGATGTCAGCTTCTGCCTCGTTCTGCCTGCTGCTGTCGGGAAAGCTGTCGGCTTTGGGCTTCCGCTTGCGCGAGAGGCTGTCGACAGGCAGCCAGATGGAGGTTGAAGGCTCGTTGTCGGAGTGGTGGCTATCGTCGAGCAGTCTCCCCGATGGGACAGTGGGTAGCGTGCCGATGGCGTATTGCCTCTCGCTATCGTGCACGTCGTCCACGCAGATGGTCGGCACGGGCAGATGTGGCTCAGTGCTAGAAATATCGCGAAGCTCTCGCCGCGCCCGCTCTAGCTTATCTTCTAGATTGCTCACTCTCTTCATCAGCTTTGCCTGCCGATTGAGATCCTTGCGTGACTGTCGGCGTTCGATTGCAGGCGTCTCTGCTAGGTTTGGGTCATGTTCAACCATGGCCAGATTCATCGGCGACACGTCGCGGGCCCGGATTGCCGGGATGCTGAGCGTTGATGTGCGCTTGCGCAGCTCAGAGAATGACTTGAGTTTCGATATCCCTTTCTCCTGACGAGCGGGAGTAAGCGCCTCGGGGACAGCGACCAACGTGTCATCCTGCGAGATGCGTCCTTGGCCGGCGACAATCTTATATTCCATCTTCTCCTGAATCGCCTTCCAGGTCTGATCCGCGATACTAGGATCGACTGTATTTGCAGAACCACCAGTGGTAGATGTAGTAGTAGTCCCGTGATACCCTGATTTCTTCAACTCAGCATACGCCTTCTCAGCGCGCGCCTGTCTCTGCTTCATAATCTCCTTCTGAGCCTTGGAGCCGTCCGAGTCCGACTTATTCCCCCATGCACCAAAGGGGTGGAAGGCCGAAGCTATCGCCTTGCCAAAGCGAAAAATACCTGATGATCTCTTCTCAAGCTTCCCTTCACCATCTTTCTCGTGACCATCTCCCTCCTCGCCGTATTTCTCAGCAGGTTTTTGGACTGCATCCTGGAAGAAGATACTCGGCGGCTTCTCACTAACACGATCGTGCATACTCCCTTCGATAAACCGCGACCGCCGAGCACGCAGCTCAGGAGACCGCATCTTCTTCGCGCGCGGCGACTGCGACTGTGACTGTGCTTTCGTGGGTGTTCGTCGGCTACTGTTCATTTCAATGCGCATGCCATGCTCGTCATACGCGATTTCGTTCTGAAGCGGCCAGCCATTTGACCGACCGCGTTTGGCGGAGTGCACCGAGCGGGTTTCCTGTACGGCGGCTTCTTCATCTGTGTTTTGGTTGATATCCATGGTCATGTTAGACTCGCGCGCATCGTCGAAGCGGCCGGACGTGTCAGATGTGGCGTCGGACGAGTCACCGTCAATATCGACGTCAACGTCGATGATCGAGGAGAGCTTGCGTTTGTGCACGAGTGCGTTAGCGTTTATACTAAAAGGACTGTAATTATCCTCGTTATCGTACTGGTCGCGTGGGTTATCGTCGTCTTTGTTATCGTTGTTGTTATTGTTATTGAACTGCTGAACCAACGGATCCGTCTGCAACGAGTCAAACTCGATTTCGACGTTAATAAACGGCGCCTAAACCACATAAGCATGCATTCGCGTACATTCAAAAGTGTATTGTTATTGTCAGCACAAACCTGCGGCGAGTCAGACGAGGGTATCTGCATGATCATGCTGACGGGTGAAACACGCAAACAAACATAGGATAGAGACTTGTAGTACTAGTACTTACAGAAGAAATAGTCAGAGGAGAGAAAGGAATAAGGGATTTTAAGCAAGGCACTCTAGAATCCAATTAGAGTGGCTGCAAAGCCTGCAATGCTCAGCGTAGGGATGGCATGGGCGAGGCAATGCCAGCGGTGTTGTTTTGTTTACTTGTTATCACTATCGATACGAGAAGGGAAAGGGGAAGCCGTTGGCTGCTTCCCCGCAACGGAACTACTTAGTTACCTGCATTATACATGTGCACATACATACATATACATATTCAATACGAATTTAGGAAGGGTATATTCATATGTTGTAGGTTATATTTCGTACAGGTTGTACTTTTGTTTTGGCTCCGTTGACAGGAAGGCTGGCCTACATACCAGCCGAAATTAAATTGAAACATGCTGTTTATTATGGAATCTCCACACATAACGAAATGAATCATACATGTACTCGCTATTCTTACAAATATTTACTACTACTGTTCACAATAATAGTTAATTGAATGAAACTAGATTCCGCGTATACTACTATATACCGTATCAGTCAAACAAACTCCCTACCATAGTGCAACAATTTCCATGCAAGACAAAAGATAAAACAGTACAGAAACAGAACATTAGGCAATTATCCTCCAGGGATATTCCGCACACTCTTTTAGAATGCAGGCAGACATTTATCTTTATCCCTTCGAGGAGAAACAAAAGTACAGCTGTAACTTGAAGGCCATGCTGAGAACTCGGAGTACAAGGAAATCTTTGAAACGAAAGAAAAGTGAGAGGTTTATCGTAGATGTAAGGAAAGGTGCGGCCGACCTGGCTAATGTGGTATACAGCAGACGCTGAAACAAGAAAAGGTTAAGACATGTACATGAAGTTGACATCGTACGGAAAGCAAAACCACCGATAGAAGAAAGGAAAAGGAAAAACGCCGGATTGGACCCTTCAAACACCTCATGGAATTTTTCGTGGAAATTCTCAAGAATTCGCGTCGAAGACAGTTGTAATGATGATATATTAGATCAAACCTCCAGTCGAACCTTGGTAGACATAGTTCCGTTCGCTCGTCGGTATTCCATGGAAGAGCCTTCCCATCGAGGAGGAACATCTAGAGTGTCGCGTTTCCCAGCAGAGCTAGCAAAGTCGTTGTCAAAACGCACACTCTTATTATGCACAAGATTGTCGTGATGGCCAAACGAGTCTTCATGTGATCGTTTCGCCAAAGATGTCTCGATCGGGTAGAATGGTTTCCTTGGCGGATTCTCATGCATAGGCACAGGAGACGAGAAGTGAGCAAGCGAACTGATAGGTGGAAGCATAACCGACGAGGGACTGCGTGGACGCGGTGCAGACTGTGGTGAATAGCCTCTGCGTTCGGCCTCTCCAAAAGCAGGAGGATCGATGGGTGTTGGGTTCAGGATTGGAGGCAGATGAGACCGAGTAGGGTATGGTTGTGAGATGGATTCGCGTTCAGATGAGCTTGATGGATTGCGGGAATGCGGCAGTGATTGAGACGAGAATGACGGCGTGCGAGGAGCGATCTGAGATGTAGCCGGTAGTTGTGGAGTCTGGTAAGAAGGAGCGGAGCCAAAGGAAAGATATCCAGGTACGTTCGACGAAGATGCTGGGGGAGGTGGTCCGGCAGCAGTTTGGTACGCTGGCGGTGGCGGTGGCAGAGCCTGCGAGTTGTGATATTCGGGAATCGAGTCACGGCGCTGTGGTTGCGGTGCATAGGCATATGGGGTCTCGACTGTGCTGTTGCTTGCCGACCGAGGACGCTCGATAGGACTTGGGGTAGTGTATCGTGGGGATCGAGTATAGCGCTCATCGTCATATTCGTAGTCCTTGCCGCCCTTCTCACCACGACGTCTCATACGCACGTCGCGGCGAATACGCACGCGACAGCCTTGTTCGGCGACCACGCGGCTGAGAGAGGTGCTGGTAGCCAGGCCAGGGAACTTCTTCGCACTATAAACTTGGAACGGAGTCGACTTGACCTCCAATCTGAAATTCAAGAACGTTTTGGGAGCGGTTGGCTTGCTCGATGGAGCAAGGCTCTCCCGAGACGGGATCGGGGCATCTTTATCCACGTCCTTGCCCTCTTTGATCTCTTCGTACAGGTTGAAGTTCAATCGATAAAAACCTTCGTGGCGAACTGAAAGATCGGGGAAGATGAAGTATCCGGCTTGGGAAGGTCGGTCCAAATACGCAATGCCAGCGACAGGCACGCCAGTGAGAACAGGACAGGTAGGAGGCTGGCCAGCGACACGTCCCTGGGCAATCGGTCTGGCGTTGTCGAGGGTGGCGAACAGGAAGAAGTTGGCATTGTAAGCGAAGGTAATATCGGTCTTGTCCATTTCATTCCCGGGGTCGGATTCATACACCCTCAGCTCTACGACGGGTGGAGGGTCGACAGGGCGACGGTCGGCTGAGGCTGTCAAGTGTTAGAGAAACGCATTTTGATAAACGTGGTAATATGAAATCTTACATTTTGCTCCAGCACCACAAGCACGGGCTCGCTCGGGCTGTTGAATAACCTTCAAGTTGTATGTGATTCTCTTGCCATCACGGTTTATGCGGCTGACGGAATGCTCTGTCTCGTTGGTTGGCGTCATGCTTCCTCTCGAGGCTGCCATGGTGTGGAAGGTCGAACAAATGAGCGGATGAGATGGCTATGAGAAGATGGCGGTTGCGGATGGCGGTTACAGATGGATCTGGAAGAACGTTAGTCAGTCTGTCTGCGAATATCATCTTCTACACAAAGAGACAGCGGCAATCGAGTAGGCACAACGTACAGGACTATGAGACCATCCGTCGAGGCAGGGCAGTTGAAGTCGGATGTTAAGAGGTTCCACTTCCCAGCACCATGTGAGGCGACGTTGTCCGTCGATTCTTCAGTCAGGCGAGGCGATTCTTCAGCGCCGGCAAACAATGGGCGTTGTTGACGATGATAGGTTCGATGCCACTCCGAGCGGGATAACAAAGAACAGGAGGCACCACCAGGGAGGGTGGATGCGGTTTGTGTATTGGCAACAACGGGTATACAAAGAGAACAGAAAGGAGAGGAGCGAGAAGCGCGAGAAGGTGTCGCCGTAGCACATTCGCAGCAACAAGGTGAGCACAGACGGAGGGCGAGGAAGGCTGGCGGGAGCGATTGGCCGGCCGGGCGGGAAGGTGGGGCGGCACTACTGAATAGTCCAGAGTCTACTGATTTGTGCTAGCGACGACTAAGTCATACTAAAGACTTTTGGAGGGCGGACTTGGTAAACTTAAAACGGTTCGAGCTGGCTGGGTCCGCTGGGCCCGCTGGGCCCGTACCGCCAGCGACACCCACTGGCTCTCCTGTATCCCGGTATGGGGGAGCCGGGGAGACATGGGATCATGCGAAGCGACGATGGATGGCGCCGTGGCCTGTCACTAGCCGCTGCCATTGGTGGACGTAACGGCGCGACGGGGGCAGTGGGTCCCGACAGCACGGAAAGAGGGGCGTCTGGGACTGCTCCCTGGCAGATAGCCCGCACCTTGCCTCATGCGGACTAGGGCGTCGCCCGCCCGGGAAACTGAGGAATTGGGCTAGCCTGGCTACGATCCTCTTTCGTAGTCGAGCCGTCAGCATCGGACTGGCCGTGTTCAATCTGTGTTGACTGGCGTTTTTAATAACTTGCTTGAGTCCGTGTACGCTGTACATAGTACGTACTGAGTAATCTAAGAGCTACATTGACTGTGTACTTCTGTCGTGAGTTATCGTGTTGGGTCCAGAGTCCGACTCGGGTAGCCAACAATGCGGCGCTGCTTCACGGGAGCGTGCTGATCCGTCAGTCTGGCACGGAAGAGCTGAGCTGAAGAAAATCCTAACATCAATATCACTTCATCACTCGTCCGCCATTCGTAGGGGGTAAGCAACAGCCAAAATTTGAGAAGCACATGCGAGCAATAGAAATTCCACAGGAAGAGGGTAAGACCTAGGCAAAGATCAAGGAGGTGCAAATTCAAAGGACCGTAGCAGGTCGCTCGCTACGAAGCAAGCATCTTCAGAGAGGGAGGGAACCCGTCCATGCGCGGGCTTTCCCAGTCGCTTGGTTTGCTGCACGGTCCAATAGACCCGGCGGCCCCTGCTAGGCCTCGCTCATTGGCCAGGGCCTCCTAGAACCCCTTCCTGATGCGGCAAGCGTGCCCCTTGGACGGTCCTGCGACACAGGCGGGCGGCCTCAGGCCTTAACTCTGTTGGCTCTGACTGCGGCGCTGAGGCCTCTCTCTAATCCCGGGCGTCTGGGTCTGCTGCTCTCCCAGTGACCGTCACCAGTGCTCACCTGCCCGCAGCGCCGCAGTGGCAATTCACTCTACAAGTTGGTACGATTACGTTGGAAGAATACTCTTACCATTCCATAATATTCAATATGATGGCAAACACATCCGATATCATTGCAAAGTAATCATACACCCCTAATCCACGTTCAACCGCTGTGCAGTGTGTGTGCCCCTCACTCTTCAGCCGGGTAATTACCAAATCTACGATCATGAAAACGGCACAGAAGAGTGCTCCGTGTCTTTGGAACAAAAAACGAGCAGCCGTCCTAGCCAGGGTGACACGGGGACGGACCAGATTTGCGGCACAGGCTGGGCCGAAAGAGCGAGTCTGGCAGCACAGGGTCAGAGGGCGTCACAGAAAATCTCCGATACGACCAGGCTATTACAGGGTTGCACCGAACTGTTGACACTGTGCTCATTGCTGGCGAGCGATCCAGCGTTATGACAGGTCGCCCGCAAAGAACCCAAAAATGGGATCTGTCAGCTTCTACCGACGGCGCGTTCTTTGGTCTCCCGTGGCGCGCCGACTAGCACAGTTAGCGTCCGTGCTTTGTCGCCAACTTAAATTTAGTTTTGCCTGGGGTCGTTGATTGGCCTGCGCTTCTGTGTTCTTGGTCCTCAACATCCCTGCCTTTGCTATTCTTGTCAAGTTTCTTGATCGTGATTCTCGGTTATTCTCGATTACGGGTGATGGCTTGAAACAAGTCGCCAGTTGGACCCTGTACGAACTGCCTGCACGGTGATTTGTCGGATCGGGTCATTGGTGATCATGGTTTGCAGGACAGATCGAGTAAGTGCTGATGTGATTGATCATAAGTCTTGTTGTTGGCTGAAAATCAGCCGCCGAGCATTATTCTCTTATCCAAGCATTGCTAAGATATGCCGTGAGTACCCTTTATCCAAATGCTTCCAACCTGACTATTCTGAATGCGTAGGTTACTCAATGTATGTACCTAATACATAGTAGGATCGATCGCCCCAATCCTGCAACGACACTCATTATTTAGTCCTTCGCCCCATTTATTAATTCAGGATTCGAAATGTCGAATAATTATGATCATATCATAAATAATGCTGGAGAGCCAGGAAGGCAATGTTCCAGAAAATGATGTTAGCCAACAGTGGACCCGGGACGATACCAAGCTCTGCGCATGCATGTTCCATAACATGCATGCATCCATCACATTGCCTGGGCCGCATTCTTTGTACATTCCACGGGATCTTATCCACCCCAAATTTTCACTATCGATTACATTTATGTTGTGCAGTGCCACTGTAGAACCGTAGGGACTGATGAGTAAACGGTTATTGGTCCTCCACCGCGTCATCGGCTGATGATGAGGTGAACACTGAACTCAACACTGGGAAAGGCGGAGGAGAACCCATGGCACCTGATTTGCTGACCGACCCGTTATTTTGGGACACTTGCCATAACAGTGCAAGTGGCAGATCGCCTGCATCGTACATCGTACAACAGTGCACAACAGTGATTGTACAAACTTCTGCTCAATCTGCGCAGCATCTTCGCAGCAGATCCCAATTTGGCTGAATATTCATTTCTTTCGCAAACTTCTTAGCACATGTGACTAACTCAGACCTCTTCCAACACGTTTCACGTCACCTTCCAAGCCAGGTTCAACCTTTGCTCCACTATCGCTCGCTAAACACGTAAACATTACATCGCCATTGGGTGTAGCAGTTGGCCCCGCTATTCCTGTTTTCTTGGGCAGTTTCCGTTTTCGGACGACCCGGGATCCGATCGGCACCGATCTTTGCCCAGCTGGGTCGCGCGGCAGGGTTTTCGTCTCCGACTCGGATCTACCCGTACCAGACTAGCTGTAGTGCCATGCGCTAGGCCATAGTAGGTATTAGCCTCCCTTCCACTTTTATCTATTGCACAATAAAATTATCACGATAGCGTTAGCAGCTCCATATTAATTGACAGTATGCCAGAAATGAATGGGTTGAACAACTCCAAACTCGATAATTGCAGAAATAAGCGTTGAACCGAAGAAACAGCTTGATAGCGTGTTTTAGGGACCCGTTGGGTGGACCATCTCCAAACTATCCCACCCTATCACCACACAAGGGCGGCCGTGCGGTCGCCTATGGTTAATCGACTGACTGTAGGCGGTTACATTATTATCCTTGTTATCCAGATCCAATATTTGCCATTACTAAATATTCGGTGTTCCGCCTGATTCTAGGAAGATGATAAGGTTGACCTCGTCATTGACTATACGAAGTGTGGGGCATGATTGAATACAACAGTTACCTACGGAGTCCAGTGGCGACTCTTTTAGGGAAAAATGAACGTGGGAGGAATAACGTCGGAATCAATATTTATACATGATAGTGAATACAATAATGCACTTTTTTATTTATTGGTAGGTTTTATTTGGTGGTTTATTTGGTGGTTTGCACCGCTAGACCAGCTTATGCGAGATTTATGTCCGACGTGCATATATTAATACGTAATATTGGTCGACACTGACTCGACAAGTGCATAATTTTAGCAGGATCTTAACTTTACGAAGAATGGTCGATATGTACAAGGACAAGAACAGTGTAAGCCTGTAAGGTACATCTAGCTGCATCGCCTAGTAGTAACTATTAACTAACCAAAAGCTTAGGTATACACCCACCACCACCACATCACGCTGATACTCTTGATCGCTGTACGGAGTAAGCGAGTCTAATTTTATTCTCGACTGCAAATAATAATTCCAAATCGAATGACAACAAAAAGCTTCGCTTTTTTATATTGATAAAGCCTGGTACTTCAGCTGTGGACGCTGCCGCATTTGCTGTCTCTTACTGACAGTTTGCTCAGGCTGGATATTAGTCTTGGCTCGCACAGACTTCGCTTGCATATGCCACATTTATATAACTATGGAGTCCATATAGCAACCTTCAGGTTTAATTATTGTAACTTTATACTTTATACATTGACGGAACAACGGCCAACGGCCGGTGCCCGGATTGGCCAAGGAGCTCAGCTAGTTAGAAGTATAAGTATATTCGGAGGTCAAAGCTAATAGTCTTTCGTATTGAAAGTACGGAGTAAACGTGAGAAGATTCCGCTAACCCCATGCTTTGCTCTTTCCTACTTCTGAGGAACTGGATGCTGGAAGCGGGGAGAGTGATCTATCACAAAGCCAAAACAATACCCGAGCGGAGACGACCCTCGTGTCTCCCTCACAGTCCGACCTGACTCTTGGTAAGTTGGTCTACAGCCCGTGCCCACAAAGTCTGATCGCAACGGTCAGTGGATCACAATTTATCTACAGACTTTGAGTTTCCAGTGTCTTGGATTTGTAAAGTTAAGCGTGGACGGGACGGCGCCGTTAGAGCTTGGAGCTGGCTAGAGCTCAGCTCAGGAATCGCCGATGGTTATGCTCCGGTTGCTATGTACAGCTATGCGATGTAGCCAGACTGCATCTGACATGTTGGATGTGATGTATGTACGTACTATGTACATCTCACGAACCAACGTCGAGTTTGCATTGAATGTGACGCGCGAATGAGGTTCTAGTTCCAATGCCTGATGCAATTGAGAACTCGAGTATGCGGCTCCTCTCTCGCGTCGAGGTTCGTAGTTACTGGACTTCCTTCCTTTCACTTATTCATAATAACTCCCTAACAGGTGTCTAACCGTCGACTGCTGCAAATTCACTCAAGTCATGTCTTTGTCCGACCGCCATGTATGAATCATGACCGAGATTATTTCGCGGGCAATATCCTTTGTTGGGAACAACACTTCGCCAGGATCTTGTCCAATTCTTAGAATTCATCTTGTCGGGAGATACAGTATTTGTCATGCCAAAATAAGCTCCGTCTTGAACAGGGATCAGCTCAGGAATTGGGGCGTGACCTGGCCAGGGGGCAGTCATGAACTGTTCATAGATTCGTGTCCGTCATTGGCCATTTATTCCCGCAGACTCAAATGTGTCAGCCTTCCCAGTGACACGGCTCTTTGTTCTTCGAACATGGCAATCCTGTCATGTTGTCGCCGGCATGATTGTTATTGCGTGCATCCGCTGCAAATAACGTTCTGATCCTTTGACAAGGGGTACATACCTACTACCTGGGCCGGACAAGCGCTTCTTCATCACGTCGCTGCTGTCGCAGTAACCGCAGCTAGTTTCTATGTCCTTGCCTCGCCACCTAATCACATTCGTTGCTATAGGCCAGAATGCCACGAAGTATATCATCGAGCATTATCATTATAACCTATAGTATACGTCCTAACGGTTTCTACTGAATTATCCACAATTCCACACCCACATACTCCTGCCAGTGCCAGTCTACAGTGGGTCGGCCGTGCTATTCCCAACGTCGCCCACCTGTCATGCCAGCCCCTCGGAAGAAACTAACCAACGATGTTCTAGTTCCTGCTCAGCTGCTGTTTCAGCTGCATGTTAGTCCGGTTCTGGCATATTGGCCGCGCACTACAATAATATCATATGCCAAATAATGCCACGATAACCACTCGGCTGATCCACTTCGGCTGCCGGGTGAATATTAATATTATTAACCACTGCAAAAATCGAAGTGATGGCCGCATGGATAGGGATATGACAGGACTGATCTTCACGAGATCACCCGTCTGTGCCAACCTCCTCTGGACGTATGAAACCGCCTGCCTTGGCGAGCCTCAGTTCAATACATATAAGGACTAGACGCCGCTGGTGACAGCTATATTAATCTCGGTACGTGCTAATAATACGCCTTACATGCACTACAAATTCTTAATCTAGCCAACTTTCAATAACCATATCATTCCAACGAGTTGATCCCTTCGGCCCGGTTTGAAATCCGCTACTGTGTAGTGTCATATAGCCAGGGACAACGACCGGGGAACCGTTTCGCGTTCCAATTGGCTGGTGTTGCGTACTGTTGATGTTGGGTTGGTTATTTGGAGCCCGGAGTATGTATATCACTAGACGTAAGTACTCCAATTATATTATTCATTTGGTAGAGCGATCAGCCGTTTCGCACCAAATCCATGCCATTCATTCAATGTTGTGAGTATGCATGATACATAATTAGAGCCTGCAATAATGCGGTTCTCGGGGAGATAACTATCCCAATCCTGCTTCAATCGATAATCGATGAATGATTGATCATGAATAAATATAAATATACAATAATTATTATTACCGCCTCAAGCGTCAAAATCTCATTTGCAGGTTTCGAAAGTGTAATCCAAAGGGATAAATGGCTGGAATGCCAACTCCTTCAATAACTCCGGCATTGGCTCGCTTACAGCAAAAATTGAAGTTTATATTATGGGGTACTGGGATCATGTCAAAAGAGCTGTCGTTAGCATGCATCCTGCGAGGGACAGCCATGTGCTGCTCGCCTGAAGCTTGACTCCTTCGGTCAATATAACGTTTAAGTCCATGTCATTAGCGGAGAGTACGAATGTCCCTAGTTGACAAATGTGCATATGTAGTATCAAATGTCTATATTTCGGATCCCGGCCTTGATATACCCAAGCCCCTTGCAGCCAACACCTAACCCAACAGCTTATTCGCTGAACAGCAACCGGACAGTATATCATTGAGTTTGACAGGCCGGGCTGATAATTAAGGATAGACTGAAAGCGAAGGGGCATGTCGACACGTGATGCGTTATACCGCCAATTGCAGGGCGAATCATCGGCTCGTCTCATTCCTGTCGCCTCGTGCCATTGTTCACCGCCGCCTCGATCAGTTATGAGATCAGCTATTTCCAGGACCTGCGATTCGTTGCTGCTGCAAGGGTTCATTGGTAACTATCCTCGGCATCAATTTGCTTTATTGGTCACATGGTGATCACTCGTTATAGCCTTAGAGGGGAGTTGGATATATCAGTTCTTGATGTGCAGGTCAGGACAGCGAATGGTATCGTTGCGACGAACTTGGTGACGTATTCTGTAATTCGTTCTGCCATCCTGACGTTTACTCTGGAGAATTGGCGAATAATACAGTCACATGGTATTATTATTATCCAGTCTCCAGCTACATGTCCAGCAGTTCTGTATATGTAGGGTAGATGACATCACGAGATTAGAAGAGCACTGGTGTCGCGGCTGTATACAATCAGCTTTAAACTACTCTTCAATATGGACATGTAACATGATACGTTAATTAATTGATACCATTAATTAAGATATGATGGATGCAATGTAGTCGTACGTAGTAAGAAGCCATCTGATTGGCCGACGCGCAAACGCCGTCTAGACCGCAACACCATTTCTTTACCTACACTGAAATGAATGCATCAATCTTATGGATCTCCTATTCGTGCTCCCAGACTTCTCGACAAAACAATACACACACATCCTCCCACCGCTCGAACGAAAGCACATCACGACAGCCGACCTGATCACGCTCGACACGCTTGAACTCGCCAAACGCGCGCATGTTCCCCCCGCCGATGTGCGTAGACTAAGCGCGGATGTTGTAGCTGCCTTACACGCCTCTGTGGGCATTCACACAGACGAAAAGGACGATCACAGGGCAGAAAGAATAGATCTGTCGCAATGGCGCGCCATCAGCACCCTGGATCCCACGCTCGACGAGCTGCTCGGCGGGGGGATACCGACGGGGTATCTCACTGAGATCACTGGCGAGAGGTGTGTCTCAACGCTTGTAAAGTGAAATATTTACTAATATACTATATTCCAGTGGAAGCGGCAAGACCCAATTCCTCCTCAACCTTCTCCTCACCACACAACTGCCTCCGCCAAACGGCATCGCGAAAAATGCCATATACATATCGACCGAAGCGCCGTTGTCAACACCACGCCTATCCCAGCTTCTCGCAAACCACCCATACCTCGCAAATCTTGAAGATCTGCCCTCCCTCACCAACATCCTCGCCATCACCGCCGTCGACCTGGAAACCCAAGACCATATCCTCAACTACCAACTCCCCGTCGCCATATCGCGCTTCAACGTCGGGCTGGTAGTTATCGACTCCATCACAGCCAACTACCGCGCCGAACACGCCTCGAACAGCATGCACGGTCTATCCGTGCGGTCGGGCGAGCTGGCGAAATTGGGGCATATGCTGCGCAACCTCGCGGCGAGGGAGAATATCGCCGTTGTTGTCGCAAACCAGGTATCGGATAGATTCGACTTCTTTGATGGGCAGCAACAAACACAAGCACAAGCACGATTCCGACAGACCGCGCTGCGGGAGGGCACTGGCACTGGCACCGGCACGCCGAGAAAAAATAATGTACTGGGTGATATCCTACCATCATCATCCCCGGCCCCGTCTAGCTCGCAGTTGATCGAAGACGACTCCTTCGACGGGTCCTATATAATCGGGCATCCCGTGCGCAACGAGACACTGGCCCTCGCGCACCAGGAACGGTTTTTCACAGGATGGGGGGATAATCCAGAGTCCTTGTCGGAGTCGCAAAAGACGCCTGCGTTGGGTCTGGTCTGGTCGACGCAGGTTGCGTGTCGAATCGTGTTGAAAAAGGACGGGGAGGTCATAGACAGAGACTCTACGCATGCGTCTTCTCAACCTGCACAGCACCGGAGTGAAATATCGAGTATACCTAGCACCCCAAACAACGCTGAAAAGGAGACCAAAGCTACCAACGCAGCCCCACCGCAGTCCTCCCAGCCTGGTACTGGTAGTACTGGTACAGAGGGGCGCGGTGCAGAGCGCATCACCAGGCGGCGGATGAAACTGGTGTATGCGCCATGGGCCTCTGGGATAGTTGGGCAGGGTGCTGCTCGCGACGAAATCGAGTTCGAGATTTGGAAAGGCGGGATACGCAGTATCAATACAATACTATCAAATAATGAAATTAAAAACTGAGTAGAATAGATTTGTACATATGCATGAAGGAAAAAAATATAATATATAATCTAGAATACTGTTATATGTTACATGTATTATATATATAATTGATTCCGAGCAACCACTCAGATCTAATATATAACATATCAGGGGATACATGCACATACGTAACTTGACGTAAATAATAAACTAATATAAAGTTATTCATTGATTTGATAGTGTGATACTGTCGGAAGCAGCGGAAGCATATATGACTTGTCATGAAGGTTTACGCAAACAGGTTTTTGCTGATTCAGGTGAGTTTCCCCGCATTTCAATTCTCTACTTAACGTTATATATATGACATATCAATGATATATTCACCATCTGATTAATAATATATTGGTGTCTATTTATTTATCTCGTCCACTCATCACTGACCGATCGGTGATCAATCGATCGATGTCTTAAACAATAATCTAACGAATGTCGGCAACGTTCGCATCACGCCAGGACGCCTTGGTACACACGCATATCTACAGGGTTGTCTGTCCTGCTCCCCGTGCGAGAAAACAAATAATAACAACTTGACTGCGTTCAGGGCTTCTGCAGCTTCGCAGGAGCAAGACCCAGGCCGTTGCGGTTGCGATAGAATAGCACGCCCTTGCTCTCACCCTGGGCGTCGGTGTTGGGCTCGATCCACTGGCACATGCGCGCGTTGGTCCACATGGCCTTGATGAAGCCCCACGAACCGAGCGCGGTGTCGCTGCGGTAGTGCTTGCCCATCACCTTCTTGACAGCCTCGGTGGCTTCGTCGGCGTGGTAGAAGGGGATGGTGCTGACGTAGTGGTGCAGCACGTGCGTTTCGATGATGCCGTGGAGCAGCTGGCGGCCAATGAAGCCGAATTCGCGGTCAATCGTGGCGGCGGCTCCGCGCGTGAAGTTCCATACTTCGTTCTGGTAGTGAGGGAGAGTAGGGTCGGTGTGCTGCAAGTAGGTGATGGCGACTAAACATCCAAGTTAGAGGGTGTTTGGTGAGGATATTTGGTGTGAACTTACCAAGCCAGTGGTTGACCCAGAGATATGGAACGCCGTACCAGACAAGCAGGTTCAACCAACCATAGGTATTTCCTAGGTAGTACAGCCCGGTACCGACCAGGGCGAGTCCCAAGTCACTCAAGAGAATGAGCTTGGCGTCCTTGGCTTCATACAGAGGGCTGTTGGGGTTGAAGTGGTTGACACCGCTGAAGAAGCCGTTCTTCTTGCCCTTACCACGACCCTCGGGCTGACGCTCGTGGTTGTCGTGGCCGGTGACGTTGGTGATGATATACATGGGCCACCCGAACAACTGCTGGGAAAGCAAGTTGATGAAAGTGGCGATGGGGGTCTCCTCCATCAGCTCGGAGACTTCGTGAACAGCCTTGCCGAGCCCAGATGCGAATTGCTCGCGGGTTTTGGGAATCCAGACCATATCACGACTCAAGTTTCCGGTGGCCTTGTGGTGCTTCCCGTGTGAGATCTTCCACGAGAAGTAAGGCACGAGCAACAGAGAGTGGCAGATCCATCCGACAGTGTCGTTGAGAACCTTGGACGTCGAGAACGACTGGTGGCCGCACTCGTGTGCGAGAACCCACAAGCCGGTTCCAAAAAGACCCTGGAGGACGGTGTACAGAGCCCAGAGCCCGCTTCGGAGGTATACGTTGGGCACAGTTTCGGCAGTCACGTAGTTGTGGAAGAGGTAGAAAGTGGTACCAAGCAGGGTCATGTCGCGGAAGACATAGTACAGGCCAGTGGCAGCCGAGCGCTCGTAGCAGTGTGCAGGGATGGCATTACGAATCTCCTTGATGGTGTAATTGGGGAGCTCGAACTGGTTGCCAAGGGTATCGATCATCTCAGAGTTCTTGGCGTCCTGCTCGGAGGCGAGCGACGACAGCGAGGTGCTGGACGGCGACTGACGCGGGCTTTCCATGGGAGAGACGGAGGCAGAGCTGGCCACAGATGACTGGGCAGTTAGGTTTCGCTGCAGCGCCATGCGCTTTGGGACGGCGGTGGAAGACATGCTGTGTCTATATTCGATGCGATTGGGAGTCTGAACGGACACATATCAGCGATTGATAGCACACAACGGAAGGAAACACACTCACAAAGCAAAAGGAAAGGAGTGGCTCTATCACCAGTGACGAGCAAAGTCAGGGTCTGCTGCAGAATGGAGAATTGGTGTTTACAGTGCTTTCCTGAAGCTGGAGCAGAGACCGAGAGCAGTCGTCAGGGGCAGAGGACGGATTGACGGAAGGGCAGAGGACGTTGAGGAGCGGAGTGGGCTGATAAATAAAAGAATAAAATATTTTTTGCCTCGTGCACGCACTCGCCCCTGCTTTGACTGCTGGTCGTCCGCGGTAGCTCATGCTCGAGAAGAAAGAAGCCCGCCCACTCTGGTAATTAATCTTTCAGCATGTGTAAGTAATGAAATCAAACGTGATTAGGGTCATTTTGCGCAATTTAGGTAGGGGGTGTCGCCCGCGATACGCCGCCGATACAGGGCGGTAATTTGCCGGGCGGTGCGTGGCCCGCCTGCCATGTGCCTGCGCCGGCTTACCGCCACGTCCGCACCCCGACTGGCCCTGGACTAGCAGTAGCTGCCCCATAACCTTCTTTCCTCTTTCTCGCAGATAATATTGATGGTTCAACATCTACGGTGCTGCCATTGAAGTACTCAACCCAGCAGCCACGGTTAGACCCTGAGAACACAGGCCACACTCACTAGATTTCTATAGTGATCTGCGTGACTGTGAAGAACACGCCCAAAAGACAAATCTGCACACTCGGCCTCCCCGTGGTTCGTCCATGTCATCAGATGAATGTCCTCATGCAGGCGACAGATCTCGGGCCGCGCCTAGGAACCCCTCATAGGCGGAGGACCAGGACGATCACGGCCAACCACAGCGATTCACTGATTTGAATCGGCACCATCTGCTGCAGTCTGCCGCGGAGGGTCTGAAAATTCAGTCGCTAGACTCGGTACCAGACATAGTTACTACTGCTGGGTAGGTGGCGTGGTTCCTTGCTTACTTCGCAGAGCCAGTTCGCACAGCCAATGACACCGCCTTATGCTGTGAGACCACACTGGCACACACCAGCCGTGCTACGGCAGATGCGGTGACACATTGATGGCTGGCTGATCACGAAGAGAATTGGAGGAGCGAGGGAATCTATTCGCTTCGCTTCATACTTCCCATGCTAAAGGTGAGGTTGGATAATCGGGCTCGTACCGATACTCGGTTTACTTACGGTTATTTACCAGGGACACAATTGACCAATCAGGGTGTCAGTAATAACTAAGTAATAATTGAATAATTTATAAACTGTTGAATGTTGCTTCTGAGAACAATCAACAGCTGTTCACTTTCTGAGTACCCAATAACATTCGCCCAGTTTCAATTATCTCGATCAGCTTCATCGTCATCGCTGCAAGAGAATGCGATCAACAGATAAATGAATATCACATGCAAGCATCCCTTCCGCGAAGCGCCATTGGACGAGACGCAGCATGTGGCAGGACTTATCATATGCAGTATAGTTCAAGCCTCAAGCCTATTGATATCACAGTGAACCATATTATCATCCCTCTTTTAGCAATATTATATAGACGTGACATTCTGTGTTTCCTCGACCTCAATTCACAGAACTCGGTAATCCCACGAGCCCCAGTTCAGGCTCCATAGTCACCCACTCCTTTGGCCCGTACGGGGCATTCTACTAAGCATGTAATTACGGACTAGTCATGCCACTCGGCGTCCCACACTCGGCTCAAGCACATGCAATAGTCTAGTGCTCAGATCAAACCGAGCACCATCACAAATCACTATCGTTTCATGCAATATTACATAACTGATTACCTGGTAGTTACTGTTGGAAAACAAGAAGAGTCACTTGAAAATTCTAGCAACCTCGCATGTGATAATCAACCGAAGATCCAGATATTGGTCTCTGTGATATCAATACATGTAATATATAATGGACGTCCCCACCTCCGGTTTTTTCTCGTCTCGGGGCCTTTGACCGATTCAGCAAGGACTATCATCGGTCTCCAGATGGGGAGAAGGGAGAATAGGCGGTATGTACTTTGAACTACGATCTGCGTACCGCCAATACAGTGCATGTAATGCACGATAACTAATTCCATCATGCCGTCCATCTTACATCAGCTCGATATTAATTAATAATCGAGCCAAATAGATAATTCAGTGATAATAGGAATATAGGACCATCATATGATCATGCTACTATTTTGCACATGTACTACAGACAGTGCTTCTAATTCCTAACTATACAACATTGAAGATTCCGTTGGGGCATGACCCGTTTTGTTGAGGCGTTCGGCCTTACCGATTTTTACGTGGCGGCCGGGATCGGCTTGGCGGGGCCTTGGGCGTGGCAATACTTTCAGAAATCTACTAATGATGCCTCAGGCAGAAGCCGCTAAGATTGGTGCTAGTTAATAGTCTAATCTGAAATTAGTACGTAGAAGATGTACATTCGTGATCTGTAGACTGTATACTTGTATCTATTTACAAACGACAATAGTCATACTGGTAGATATAGGTTATATGGCCACACGAGCCTCCGACTCAATCAGCCCCGGATTCCCTGACTCCAGACTCACCGTCGTCTTCCTAAGGTCCGGCAGGACTAAGAGCGTCTCGCCGTGGTTCTTATAATCGACCTCGCTGGGTACTTGCCGCCGTTGCTGTGCCGGCCACGAGGGGGTGATATTACCGGGGGCTGGCGAGGGTGATTGGACAGCGATTGTAGCAGACGTCGGCGTCGCTGCTCCCCCCGACACCACGGGTTCGTTGATATATGCCTTGATTTCGATAGACGGTAGCAGTAGATTCCCTGCCCTCTGCGGCAGCAACATAATAGCGAATGTGGTGCTTTCGCCCTCTGCAGCTGTAAAATGTCCTCGTCGTCGCCCGCCGATCAGCCATTGCTCTGGGTTGACGTGCATCTCGTATCCGAACTCTAATTGGCTGGAGTCTTGACTCTCGGTGCGCTGAAAACACCATCGTCGGGTATGCCGTAGAACTAGTTCTGCGGCGATCATGTGACCGACGGCGGCGTATGGATGTTGTTGTTGTTGTTGAAGTGGTGGTTGTCCGGCTAGATTCTCGGTATAGAGACGTAGTTCGGCAGTGTGGACCACTTGAACTTCGGGCACGTCGACTGGAATGACGATGTGACGACCGAGTAGGGCTGGATCGGGGTCTGGGAGGGTAAATACGGTATTTGACTGGTTTCATCAGCACACACACAAACACACCACACCAGATAAACTCGGCTATGATAGGAGAGAAGAAGGGTATGATGGAAGGAGGAGAAATACCTTATGCCACTCCACAAGCCAGTCGCGAACCTCTTTCCTGAATGGCTCGCGCAGACTGCTCAGCACCGTATCCCAATGCACCTGATTGTAATTTAAGACTTCGACCTCGCGTAGTAGACCAATCGCCTCCATGTCCGACGTCGACAGCTGTGTGCGGAAGGCATCAACAATATGCGGAGTCAAGAGACGCATGAGCGACTTATGCTTGCTGTGCATAATCGCTGCGACGAATTTTTGCTTGATTAGTAGCAGACACTCCTCGTCGAGACAGGTGAACTGCACGGTAAGCCGCAATGATCGCTTTGACTCATTCGACTGCGGTGTACGGCCGTCCCGTAGCTTGATTTTGTAGATTATAGAGGCTGCTTGTTTGGGGAATACGTCATACGCTACAGGCCCGCGCATGCCGCAGTCGACTTGGTATGAGTCTGATTCGGGGATATCGCAGCCAAGAACTCGAAGCGGAATCAGCATTGCTGGGCTGACCGTAAAGCGGGAGAAGAGGACATCGTCTTTGAAGATGTCCTGTACATTGACGCTAATGGGTAATGTTGATATGATGGAGCTGGCGGATATATATGTGAATTTACCCGTGTCCGTTTCGTAGATAGCTTCTAGCCTTGCGGATAGCATGGTGTGGTTCTCGTCGACGCTGTACGGTATGCGGAATCGCACGGACGATTCGGGAGCAAAGTTTACAAATTCTAAACTCGCTAATTCCGGTTGAGGCGTCATTTTGATATCTCCACCTACAACGATAGTCTCTGCAATTCGCAAGCGAAGACCTGCTGTTGCAGGTCGTACGCGGAGCACGCCTTTCGAGATGTTGTTGCGTCCACTGTCGACTTCAACTTCGACAGTCCTCAATTCCTCTAGGTTAATGTAATGCGGAGTTGTTAGTCTCGCCTCGAGGCCGGTTGTAGGTGGATAGCACCATATATACGGCCTGACTTCTTCTTCTGTGCCTTCTGGTTCCCTGAAACCTGGGGGTAGAGCTGACGAACTACTACCTCCGCCATACGTAAAAACGACATTTTTGATCCGCATTTCGATACGATCAACGAGGTATTTCCCTTGCAAGGTTGTCTAGATTGGTCGGGTTAGCATACCGTAAGATCGAACGCTAAAAAATTACTTACTGCTGAACCGACAGACATTGTTGAAGTCGATGACTTTATTACAATCTCTTCTCCACGTTCAAGCCATACCTCATGGGCTTGCAACCCACCCGCGCTAACGAGCCTCACCTTCACCGACTCAATTTTGATCTCACTACCCAGTAAGAATCGTAACTTGAGCTGCATCTGGAAGCCATCCCTATCTTCGTAATGTTTTATCTCGGGATTGACATCAATATTGCCGAAAAAGCTCGACAACGGGACACTAATCTCTCGAGAAAGTTTCGCAGAAGCAAGAAATAAACTCTCGATGTATGGATCTATAATACTTTGGTCTGTTGAATCCAACGAAGCAAGTAATGATTTCTGTCGTATTGAAAGGCCCGATTGCGTATACGAGGCGTACTGCGATAGCAATCTCAACATTGCACGCACATACTCGTCGTTCTGATCTAGCTTTTGCAAACACTGAGTATATAGCTCCAGTACCGTGCCTTCCAACGTGGCCCATTGGCAGTTTTCGTAAAAAGTAGCAAGTTTTCGAAATAAAATCGCTGCTGTGTCGTAATCCTGCTGATGGAATCTCAATGCGGCTATCTCTGCCATGGAACTTTGTGCGGATCTTGTTCGATTGGCGGTAACATAGTGACGGAACATCTGATCTGTCCATTCTTCGAAGCAAATATAGAACTGGTTCTTGGAAAAGAGGGCCGTGGTTAACACAGGCAAGTCAAGTCCGGCTGATTGAAAGGGTACGGAAATTGTTTTCTGGTCTGGATGGTCACTCTTGTGTTCATTCTCATCAAGCGAGACCTCTTCCAAACCATCCCCTTGGAGAAGAGAACTAGGTCGATCAAAAAGTACTCCAAACTCACTCCACTTCTGGACCCAACCGCGACGTTCCCCAATCTCTTCAAGGATTCCTCTCGCTAGTTGACAGAGTTCGCCTCTTCCGGACGAGAGATCGAGGCTGCCAGTCTTGGCCGGAGCTAACTTTTGAGCCGCGACAGCTTTGTCCTGGTCAGCTGTTATCAGAGAGCTGGACCGCCTGGGGATATTGGTTCCTGGGTCAGCAGCTGGTGGCCGATCTGTCGAGCTTTTGGCATGTTGTAACGACGACTCAGGCAATGCAAGGGAGGGTGTTGCAGTCTGAGACAATATTTGACAGACAGCTGCATATGTCCATGAAGAAACTAGATTATTGATGACATTCGTTTTCTTCGCGATATCGATCTGTTCAGTGATATCTGCCAGAGCGCATTCGATATCATATCGAAGAGTGCGAGCAGCCATGGTTATGAATTCCATTGCTCGATCACATATCTCGGCGAGTAGCCCTAGGTCTTCCTTTCTATTAACTGAGGCTGGGCCAGAGCTTGAATTTCGTTTGTTCTTCAGGGATGGTGCTTTGGCGGCTTTGAGGAGTATGTTCAACTGTCGCGAAAAAACGTAGGCGCGAAAATCAAATATGGAGATATTGTTTGCCAAGATCATATCTCTGTACGGTTTCTTCGCAGAATCCAGAGGAAAATACTCCTCATCAAGACAGACACTGATTTTGGCTGTGCTTTCTTTTTCTTCATTCGTAGCTTCATCTGCCAAATCCTGCTTTCCAGCAGCTTCGATAGCAGCAATCGCCTTCTCCTTCCTGTCAGCACCGTAGTCAAGAAAGCCACCACCGTGCTGATCGCCAGTACCAGATAGATAGCTCGTCACGACACTTTCCAACCCCATTGCAAGCTCATCATACCCAACGAGAGCATCCTCCAACAACCCGACATTCTCAAACCCCCTGGCCAATCCTTCTTTCAAGATGAAGAAAGTACAAAAATTCCACCCAGGCAAGCTCCGCTGCGAATCCTTCTCTCTAATATCTTCCTCATACTGTGCGACGCGCAAATCAAACGAAGTCAAGATCGCATTCTTGATCATATCCACAAAATCATTGAGCTGATCGACCAATTCTGAATGGTCTTGTGGCGACTGGCCTTCCTTGGTGAGTCGAAGCTGGGCAACACGATCCACAGCCGGCTTCGACGACCCGTTGAAATCGGCCTTGACCTTCTCTAATATCGACGTTGAGCCGCGACCAGGCCACTTGGAAGCTACCTTATCAGGATTATCACCGTCCTGCAAAACATGCAGAATCAACCACTCGCACGCGTCATGATTCCCCTGACCTCCTCCCGCTCCGCCGCTTGTCTGCTGCGACGCCGAGTGCGCTTTGATCCAATCCCGCAGCGCTTTCCTCGCCGACGTCTTGTACACCTCGTTATCATCGCAGCGCAACAAGTAGATTTTCAAATACGGAGTCTGGCGTAAGCCTGGAATCTGATGGCGGCGCAGAGGCGCGGGGCTCGAGGTGGTGGTGGTATCATTGGATTGTCTCTTCTCTTCAACGGCCTGGGAAACGACCAGATCAACGTTTAGCGATTCGATGGAGCGCGCGGGTCGCGTGGGTGATTTCCAGTGCAGGTTTTTTAATGGAAGTCTCTTTGCGAGAATGGATTGGACTTCGGGGAATAGGCCAGATGGATCGGTGCATTCAACTAGAAATGGGGTTAGACTCTTGTTGTGATGATACGAGCAGCTAGGAGAGAATACCAGTGACCTTGCTCAAGCCAGTCTCATTTGACGGGTCCATCATGTACCCAACGACTCTTGGGCTATGAGGCGGTCCATTCAAGACACCATTCCGCTTGACCGAAAAGAAAGAGAGGCGCTATTATTTCGTTATCGTGTAATGTTTCCATGATGTGCGGCCTTGCGGTTCTTAGATGTCCGCACGGACCACTTTGATTGATCTTGGCATTCCCGCGCCGCAGATATTATTGTTTATTCTCTTATAGTAAGAAACAGCAATCTAGTTCAGATTTGGATTATAAACATAAGGTAGTGTGTACAATATATACATGAATGCCTTTCTCAGAAGCCCCGAGAGCCATTTGGTTATCTGCGTAGCCGCAAAGAAAAAAAGAAACTAAACGCTGTATAACATTAAATATCCTTCCTCAAGACAAGAAAAGCTCCTCCAAACCAGTAGACAGATATCTAGGGCAAGCAATACATTGAAAACAACGTAGAAAACAAAAGAGACCGGGAAAAAAAAGGGTAACACGTATGAGCTATTGGCGAAAGTTGTTCATGTTGCAGCGTTAACGGTACGATGTAGGTATCGGTTCTTGACAAACTCGTATCCATCCGAAATACCATGCCATAAACCCGGAACAAAGTTTCGTAGCCAGAGACCCAAGAAAAGGAGCAACATTGGAATCTAAATAAAAGTAAGGTTAGTTTGGAAAACAAAAAAGACGATTTATACTTACCCAGAAGAAGTACAGGTTCTTGTCCTTCCTGAGTCCTTTCATCTTCAGAGCCTGCTGGTGTCTTAGTTTTTCTTGCTGTTCGCGGGAAATAACAGTCTTTCGACCGATCCTAATGTCGGTAATCTCGTCATCTGACTCGGGTGAGGCCGACGAGGAAGGTTTCGCCTCAAAGTGTTCGTCAAGCGCTGTTTCTGCAGCTGCCCTAATCAAGGACTGTTTCTTGAGTTCATGGTCACGATCTTCATCCACTTCTTGATGTGGATATAGCTCTTCATAAGCAGGGAGCTCATTAGCAGCTTGAGCAGAATTGCCTTTCAGCAAATCCCACCACCCGTCCCTCGGTGACCAGGAGGAGACTGGCCTATTAGGCACCAAATTGGTAATCCGACGCATCATCGGGTAAGCCTGGTAATCAGGTAAAGCAGGTATTGGGGGAAGAGCGGGCAAATTCGGGAAGGCTCTTCCAACACTTTGCTGGAATTGGTGGATCTGGGTTGCGAGATGATTGCGCCATGCCACCAAAGCTGCTGGTGGAGACGGGTTAGGAGCACCTTCTGCCTGGACGTCTGCTTCCGCTGGAGCATTAACACCATCGACGTGTACGCTTCCCTCCCTAGAGCGGGTATAGTAGAGAGAAGATGCCGGGTCAGGGTGGATACTCGATCTCCGAGAAGAGGAAATGTACTCGATTTCTTCATCATCGGTGGCAGATTCCTCACTTTCTTCTGATTCTTCTTGGGGATAATTGAATGAACCAGATGCCGAAGAAGTTTCCCAGAATGAGCTCAAAGAAACAGAGCTACTATGGCGGCGACGGAGAGAAGGAGAGGAACCGACGCTGCGAGACCGGTAATGGCTGGCAGGAATAAGCGCAGCTTGGTGAGCAGGTAGAGATATCGCAATATCAGCAGGAGTAAAGCCCCGGACGCTTCGAGCCAAGGCATTGGCACCAGCAAGACGGAGACGGTGAATAATGTGGGCATGTCCACTCAAGGCAGCAAAGTGCATTGCGCTGTGTCCGTTCTTATCCTGAACATCGGGGTTTGCTCCTCTGGCAAGAAGCCCGGCAACGAATCTCGTCAGTCCCAAGGACGAAGCGAAATGTAGCAGTGTAAGACCCGTAATGGACCGCAAGTTGTACTTTGGAGCACGGGGACTATCATCAAGGTCAATAAACTCGAGATATGTGAGCATTTTAGAGTCTAAGTCGCTTGTTTGGTTCTGTGCATTGAAATTGGGAACTTGTCTCTGTCCATTGCTGCCCCCTTGAAGATCATTTTGCAAGTTCCACAACGCAGTCTGATCACCTCCCATGATACGCTGAGCTGTTTGGAAGGCATCGGTGGGGCTGCGTAGTTTTTGACCAAGAATGCTGAGAGCCAATCTATACATCTGAAGCTCTCGATCGTCCACATAGCGGAAGAAGTGCTGTTGCTTGGGAAGTATTGGCTGAGTCTGGGGAACCTGACCAAATGTCGGATGCTCATGCTTGAAAACCACAGGAACAATGCCAGGCTGAAGTGCAGGTGGTGTAAGACAATTCAAGCACTTATCACCCCAGAAAGTAGTCGTCGTGGCGAGAGTGTCTCCGAAGACGACTTCCATGCCTGGATAAAACCCACTACCTAGAAGGGTGACCTCTGTTCCACCAGTAGTTGAGCCTTCAGCTGGCACAAGTTTGTGAATGATTGTTGGCAAACGATTTCCAGCATTTGTCATATGAGGCCACGCTTGGTTTACGGGATTAGGTCCAAGCGGCAAGCCATGAGCGGGCTCAGCAAAGGTGTTGCGCGAGGTCAATCCAGGCGATCCTTGGCGACTTGCGTGGGCTGAATTGGGAGCTGATCCAGTTTGGGCGAATCCATCTACGCTCTGAGTTTGTGGTAGATAGCCAAAGTAAGGATTGCTGTCATGGCCGTTTGGCGTTGGTGGACCATTACCGAAACTAATCGGTGTAGCAAATGGTCGCTCAACCGGTGAGACGAGTCCCCGCGTACTGGATGCATATTGCCCATTTGCAGTAGACGAACTTGTTGAAGGTGCGGATTGAAGTCCGTCCAGCTTTGTCATAGTTAAACCCGTGGGCAGCTTTCCGGAATTGCTGTGCTTCCGACGTTTGCTCGATGGCCCTGGGTGTTCTGATGGAGACGCTTGCCTGGACAAGTTGCGTGGGGTCGCCGAAGAAGATGGTGTTCCAGCGGGCTGAGGAATAGCAAAGGCGCCTGGGGTCATTGGATATTGAGAAGCATACTGCTGTTGCAAGCTTTGAAGGTCTGTAGTAGACGATGCACGAAATGTTTTCTGACCGACACTTGTAGACTTTGCGGCATCCTGACTAGAAACAAAGACACCAGCACCAGGAAGGTGTGTCCCATCTGGAAGTGCAGAGCTAGGAGCTGCAGCAACGGTATTAACTGCCGAGGATGCAGAGTGTGTCTTGTGATCGTCCGTAATCATGATGGAATTAGTAGTCGCTTGAGCGACCACATTATCGAGATGATCTTTTATTGTAAGAATAACCCTAACACTACGTTAGTTTGCACAACAATCGATGCGACTGAAAACACTCACTGAAAGCCAAGCTTCTCATTTTGATGTCGACAGTAACACGCTATGCGCATTGGCAACTCAACCTGCATAGCTCCTGGAGGTGTGAAAGACATGGACGAATCTTTGGGCGGTTCCACCCAATTCTTGATTTCATGAGTATTGAATACGATGACTCTCTTGTCCTCGTTTTTCTGAAAGAGCTCATCCTCATCAGGTTTTCTTTGCTTCTTTCTTGATGCCCGCTTTCGTTCTCGCTGGATACAACCTTGACATATTTTTACTTCTCCACCATCCAAAGGTTTGTCATCATCATCTTCTGGTGATTTTCCTTCCTCTGTTGGCGAAACGGGTGAAGCTCTTTTCACTGCTTCCCCGCGAGCCCTTGCAAAAGCCCTTTCCAGCTTGGCTTTATCCTGCATTGCACTAGAACATACAAGAGTAGTGTACAACTCAAGAATTTCAGGTGATCGACCCACTTCCGGTTTCGCAAGGAACTTTGGTTTAGAGATAGTGTGTGTTGGTAGACGCAATTTTTGAACACCACCAGGAAGCGGAAATAGAGTAAGTCGGATGGGAATCTGAGTTTCGACTCGAGATTTGAGTGATGTCGGATGTACATGTAATATGGGACGGTTTCGACCGCGCGAAACTGCATTGGCGTGGGTAGGGGATGGAATAGAATATTCAGGTGTTCCAAAATGCATGCTGATGTGAGAAATGTTCGTATTCGGAGGTGACAAGGTTGGGTTGAGAGGGGAGGCGGTGTTTACGGAGAAGGCGCCAAAATTGTCCTCTAGAGCTGAAGAAGGAGAGCGGCCGCTCCATTGCGAAGATCCAGAGCGTGCATGGGGGTGATGAAGCTTCGATGTCATGGGTGATGCCTCTCTTGACCTAGGAGAATAGAAAGGAGAAGCGGAATGTTGGCTCTTTAAAAGTGATAAATCATTAGCTATGTAATAGGCTCATTAGGAATTAAACGAACTTACCAATCCGGAGGCTTTGTATTGATTCAAGTGATTCATAGTTGTAGCTGGACTGCGGCCTTGCTTTATGGAAGCTCCAGGCGCAGAGACGCCGTCTATTGTTAATGGAGTCGGACTGCTTGCTGCACTTTCAAAATCAAATGCTGAGTCCATCACCCTGTTGCTCGATTCTATATCGGCATAATTGGGATTGAAACCGCCTATATTAGCATCCATACCAAACAGATTGTCATCCTTCTCAGAAAAGGTCTGAGGGTCCAGCCATCCATCCCCATTGAAATTGACCGCATTTTCACTGTGGATGGCCGAGCCGACAGATGAATTTCGACCATGATCGCCGGGGGATTCAGCGGATGAAGAGGGACTTGAGTTATCACCTGGGGATTCTGAAGATGAGTCCAAGGTAAATGTGTGAGGTCTCTTCAAGGCTGCGGTGCCCCGTACTTTCTTCTTCATTTTCACATCTGAGGTGGAGGGGTAGGACTCCATGTCGTTTCCGTTACCGGATTCCGACGGGGTAATGAAAAAGTCGTCCAGGTCTCTTCCGCCCTCATTAGCAATATTTCCATTGTTCAAAAACTCCATGTCGCCGTCGTGATACAGTCCGTTCATGTCGACGTCCAGCACAATGGGGTCCAAGTGAGGAAACGCCGGTGAGGATGCGGACTCCATCGGTCTCATCCTGGCAGTCCACCGATTCCAAGTAGAGAACTACACTGTCTAGCGGCAAAACATGTAATAAGTTGACAGGCTGAGAATGTCGACTATCGGCGGTGATTAACGACGGGTTAAGGTCGTTGAGAGTAATCCCAACCACGCATCAACATAAACGGAATGCTGATCGCAGGAGATTCAAATTATCATGCCGTCTGTCCCGTCGCACAGTTCCTATCACGGTGCAAAACTTAATAGGCTACTCGAATGCGGGGCGTGAGCAATGCTTCAGACGGCCAAGGGCATTGAGTCGGACCGGGAAACTCGGTGGGAGGCGTGTCGGTGAGGGTGATAGCGACAGAGAAGAGGCAGGGGCGTGTCCTCGGGGATCAGACTTCAGCGGTAACAGAGAGACTCGAAAGGGATATTAGGATCGTCAAGTGTTGGCATGGACGAGAGTTCTGAAAGATCAAGAACCGCAGCAAAGATGCAGTTGCCTGGCGAAGTTGGTTGAGAATCGAGATGGGCTAAAGTCTTGTCTTGTCCTAGATTAGCTTAGCGGTGCCCCAAGCGGTCTGTGCGTATGTGGATGCCTGAAGCCTGAGGCCACAACATCGTTACGCCTCACCCCTCTGCCCTGAAACCTGTTCAATCTGAGCGACTACAACTACATTATAGACAGTGAAATGTATAAGAAAAAGGTTAAAAAAAAAAAGTTAAAAAAAAGTAACGCGTCACCTGCAGGATTCGAACCTGCGCTCCCGAAGGAACTGCCTTGGTATATATTTAATCAATATGATAGCAGGGCAGCGCGTTAACCACTCCGCCAAAGTGACATTGGTGAGACTTGCTCCGTTTGCTACCATAACGAATCGTTGTTTGCAATATTTGAAGAAGATATGAAGAACTCGAATTAATGGAGCAGCCCCGACTCTCCTTATCATAGCCGAGCTAAACCATTTTAAGCTAGAGAACATTGAATGCGATTGAAAGGTCCCAGGTTGCAATTTTTCTTTGCATAGATAACAGCATTTATTGGAAATAAGAATTTGGTCTGATTCTAGGCTGCTTTAACCACCCAAATACAACAATAGAAGTGGTGACTTTTCTGCTGGCCTCCCTTATGGAGTTTCATTGGCTCAGTCCGTGATGATAGGTCTCACTGCCAAGGCGCAGTTGCCTGAATCTAGTCGAAATATATATCAATACATGTAATAGGTGGCTCAATTTATTGTCAACTCATCCACAGGCCGGATCCGTCAAACTTGACGAAAGTCAACACACAGGAATGCCATAACCAACGTGTAACTGCTGCCGCCAAGGCGACGGAAATGAAGGTAAATGTATATTATATTTGGATAGATGATGATTAGGATAACTCCTCAGCTCAGAGTTTCGTACGAAGATTGAATATAGAGTACGTGTGACAACGCCAAAACTAGTAGCGTGTGGGGGAACCGACCAATCTAAACCAAGGCATCTCAGTGAGTCATCTCGGTATCAATCTTAAAATCCCGATCAAACTTATCTCTCTGGTGTAGAGTATTGAACCTTCCTAAATTCAGATCAAGATGGCAGACCACATTATTCCTATTTTACTTCTCCCTCAACATGCCAAAGTCACCACCTCAACCCTTCCACTCTTGAAGGCAATCCAAAAAGTTCTGAATGAGTCATACACAGCTAAATATTGTGCGCATCCCGAAATCTTTGGAACGAACCATATTCGTCTAGGCGACCCGGCACAGCTAGCAGAAATTATTGGTGAAGATGGCTTCACCATCGTGTTGCTTCGTGTCTCATTAGTTGGAACGAATCAAAAGCGACAAGTATGCGAGGTTGTGGCAACAGGTAGTGTCAAAGACTTTGGTGACGAAGACGTGGAGACATACGTTCAATGGAGTAAAAATCTGGGTGGTAGAGATTGGATAGAGAAACAGCAACAACAACAACAGCAACAACGAGATGGCAGCGAACAAGTCGCTGAACAGGAACAGAGGAAGGGGAAGGTGCAGAAGTATGAGGTTACCGCTTTTGCTGTATCACCGCATTGTCAAGCTTCTGGGTTAGGTGCTCAGGTATTGAAGGAGATTCGTTGGCTGCTATCAGATGATGGATCTGGACATGGTTCAAGATTACAGCATATCATTGCTAACGGTGTAATCATGACTGATGGTCTGGAGCTGGCAGGCAGCCTTCCAATAGAGGGAATTGATCTCGATCGACATAAGGAGACCGAAGCAAGCACAGACATTGAAAAAGCGGCAGTAGACCTCCAAAATGTACCTAAATTGAAGCTGGTATTAATGGTTATCAGAGAGCTAGGCACTGAGTCATATTACCAACGACGAGGTTTCAAGACTGTCTGGTCTGGGACGGTACCGGTGGGTATGTGGGATTGTAGAAAAGAGTGTACGATGGTATACATGGAAATGGAACTAACGTAATAGGTTTTCCAAAAAATTCTTATTCATAGGGTGAAGTCTGAGATATCGCACTGTCAGGGTCCATACGGAAGAGGAAATCTATTATTTCTATCATTTAAACTGTAGATTGTCGCGCGATAGAAAGATCAAAATTCAAAAGCTTGTAATAAGATATAAATAAAAATAAAACAAAGCACTTCTGAAACACCGAAGATTTTTATATAGATTTACATCTAAACATTACTTTATTCATCGAGCTTATACACTGCATCCTGAAAAATGATCAATATGGTGAGGCAAAGTATCAAATTCACTAGTAACATTGAAAATTATTTGCATATCTGATTCCAAACTAACCCCAAAAAATTAATCAGAAGGCGTAAACTCCCAAAGTTGTTTCGATTTTCTTCATATTATTAATTCTCTGGACCATTCGAAAATTGACCTTGGGCCGCGCGAGCAATCTCTCATTGAGTCCTCTTCCTCCGTTTTAACGATCTGGCAGACTGATCTGAAACCTCATATGTCGTCAGGACATTTATTGACAATGGTTAAGCACAAATAATATGTGTTTCCAAGATATGCGATCAATATACATGTTTCTCTTTTATCTTTTTAATATATGTCAAACTGGCGGTTAGTCTAGTTTGCATCAAGAATATTAATTATGGGAAATAAACAGAGACTGGCATGGGCGTCATAAGTTATGTCTTATCAAGTGTTATACTAAATAGATGAGGTTTATGCAGCAAGAGGCAAGGCGACCCGCACAAATTGTTTCGTATTCTAATTAATTCAGTATAGAATAGCACTCCCGTTAAAATCGCCGGCGCTAAATGACGTTGAATGTGACTGGTGAGACGATGAGATCTTGGCGTCAATAATAATATTAATAGGTGCAGACGAAGCGACAGCTCTTAGTGGTTTCATCTAGCCTATCCGACTATCCCCGCTCATATCACTGCATCAGATCACCCAATCAGACTACATCCACTGACGCCAATTTTCCACGGCCTGAAACGAAATCACAGTTGATAGTCTATCAGAGTCCAAAATTATACTCCGGCGATTATGTATTTTCCACCAGTCATTGATGCCATGGTTAAAAACGAGGCCGCCGGCGTCATGCCAAGGGTAACTCTATTCGAAACACAGTTCCTCAGGACCGGATTCTAACCTCTTCAATGACTCTAATCAATCGTTGAGGGTCTAGATCGCGCTCACGAAGGCGAAATGACAGGACCGATAGTTGTCAGTCCCCGGTGACAACATTAATGGTGGCGGTATATCATCTGGATCTATAACCAAACATTCAAATATAAAATCAGCTCTGTCCGAAGCAGTCTTCATTTTGTCCATCGACTGTCGAAGCATACTCTTTCTTTCGTTCTTTACCTTTCAAAAGCTTTGTTGATCAAGGCAATTCCATTCCTTTCCGTATTGATTACGACACTGAACATTTTCTGTTTCAATTTATCCATTCTTTCTGAACTCCAAACATCGATAACGAGATGCCGTTCACTAAAATTGCTTCACTCTTTGGAGCTTTAGCCCTGGCTTCGACTGTTTCTGCTCATGGCTACGTGCAGGGTATTGTCATTGGCGACGAATAGTACGTGGGAGTCGCATGAGAAGTGTTGTACGTTCTGACTAACATGATGACCTAGCTATTCTGGCTATATCGTGACTCAGTTTCCCTACGAGTCAGACCCTCCAGCGGTCATTGGATGGGCAACTACAGCTAAAAATCTGGGCTTCGTTGATGGCAGCGAGTACAGTGGTCCAGACATCATCTGCCACGAAAATGCAACCCCCGGAGCATTATCTGCCAAAGTTGCTGCTGGAGGCACCGTTGAGCTCCAATGGACTGTTTGGCCTGACAGCCATCACGGGCCTGTTATTGATTACCTCGCCAACTGCAACGGCAACTGCTCTTCTGTGGACAAGACGGCATTAGAATTCTTCAAGATCGACCAACGCGGTCTCATCAACGATGCTGATGTTCCGGGCACGTGGGCTAGCGACCAGCTCATTGCCAATAACAACAGCTGGACTGTAACGATTCCATCTAAGATCACCCCTGGCAACTACGTTTTGCGTCACGAAATCATTGCTCTTCATTCTGCCGGCGAAGAAAATGGGGCTCAGAACTACCCTCAGTGCATCAACTTGGAAATTACTGGCAGCGGTACTGACAGTCCTTCGGGGACACTTGGGGAAAAGCTCTACTCCCCCACCGATCCTGGCATCCTGGTCAATATCTACACTTCTCTTTCCACATATGATATCCCTGGACCGGCACTTTACGGCGCTACAGCCACTGGCTCGGCGACTAGTGCCGCCGCTACCACTGTGCCAGTGTCTACCACTGCGTCAGACCCGGCAACCGTTGCGCCAGTCACTACAGCTGCTTCTACAGCTACATCAATCCCTCAGGGCGTGGTCACCACGCTGGTCACAACAACCAGACCAAGCACTCAAACGTCAACCCCTGGTGCTGGAAGCCAACCTGACCCAAATGAACACCATAGCCATCCCCCTTCACCCTGTCACCTGCAATGATTTGCTAGTAATCACCCAATACTGAGGACATGTGAGGCTGTATGGAAAGTAAAATGCCAGATCGTTCGGAGCACGGTGTATTCAGAATTGATCCAATGACTGTCAGTACCCATAGACCCATTTACCAGTAAGTATTGCCACTGCAATAACTGTCAATCTACGATGTTTCTCCTCCACTATACGACTTCTCTTCGTTCGATTCTTGTTAGATAGTTGCCTGTCATCAACTTGTAAGAAACCTGATTTAAATTTAGAAAATCCCCATCGTTTCGTATTCACAATTATATGCGTATTTATTTATAGTTCATAATATTCAGATATTGGATGACTCATCCAAATCGAACTGTGGTAAAATCGACTCATCTAGAGTCATCTGAGCAAAGACCAATGATGAGCCGCGTGCGGAGTAAATACGGAAGCTGTTAGGTCATCGACACCCGCATTATTATTATTTATATCCTTGCCTTTTCAACATTGACCTTCAGATCTCTCAAACCTGCGCATTTACTGGCGCATCAAGTTATAAATTAAACCAGCCTCTAATATATTGTTGATTTATTGATTCAAGGCCAAATATTTCCAGCATGTTCAAGAAAAAACCAACGGTGAATACCAACTAACCCCGCAATACCCCTCACAACAGCATCCCAATTCTAACAATCGCAAGTCTAATTACTTATGAAGAGAATTTTTCTAATATATTGTACCTATAGATCAAAACACTTTCCCCCCTCCGTTCCTCCGACCGACGCAAAATTGCCGACCAGATCATCAAAGATTACAAAATTCCAATACCCGCAGCTGTTCCAGCAGAAGGAAGCTCGAGCGATGAGAACCCAGCAACAAAAGAGACAGCTAGCAACCTGACAACAATCCGAAACGCCATTCTTCCCGAAAACTCCCTCTCAGCACGCTTCACCACCACCGCAGGCCCGCAACTCCGCGAAGTCCAGGGCACCGTATACGTAGGCTCCCACCCGGAGTTTGCAGGCGAAGAGCGCATTCTGTGGTTCAAGCTGGAGCAAGGACCCGGCGCAGATGGACGGATATATCCTACTGTATACTCTTTATGGCACAACCCACGTATTGTGCCGTTGTTGCATACGCCAGAGTTGGTGATGGGGAAGCTTACCGGGGGAGCGGATTTGATGACCCCGGGGCTGGTGAATGGGCCGCCATTTCCTAGTGGTGCGGTGAAGGGCGCAGCCGTGGCGGTTTCGAGTACGAGGAGTCACACTGTACCGCTTTTTGTGGGTGTGTGTGAAGTTGATGTTGCGGCGTTGGGGGAGGTGCAGGGGAGTAAAGGGCATGCGGTGAGGGGGTTGCATTGGGAGGGCGATGAGTTGTGGGCGTGGAGCGCATCGTCGAGACCAGGGCAACTTGCGCCAGAGGTTCTGGAGGGTTGGGAGGATGAGGTGAAAGATGTTGAGGAGGGTTTGGAGGAGCTGGACTTGAAAGAAAAGGAAGCAGAGGAACAAGGCGGGGTGGCGTTGAAGGATGAGGAGGAAGAGGCTGTTGAAATCGAGCCGGAAAAGGAACCAACAGTTAAAGGTGTGTATGGTCCCGGCTTGGTATTATCAGCGCTCTAACTTTGGTTGTAGAGATTGAGGAGGCTTTTGTCAAAGCTTTTATATACTCGCTCTACCAACTCAAGAAGGACAACCCGAATGCACCAAACCATGGATTGAGTCTTCCAGTCCAACCTTCTGCACTGATCTCCAGTCTCATCACACCATATCTCCCGGTATACTCAACCCAACAAGCTCAATATTACCAAATCAAACGAACGAGCTGGAAAAACGTCAAAAAGTTCATCAAACATCTCGACAAAGAGCAACTAGTCAAATCCAAAGACAGAAATGGCCAGGAAACCGTCATCATTGATGTTGATTTCAACGACTACAGATTAGCCCAATTCACCCCCTACAGACTTCCCAACAGGAACATTGTCGAAAACTCTGGGAAAGCAGTGTCGAAACCGGCACAGGATGGCATCGACCCATCCGTCGGCCAGACAATCACCGTGCAAATTCTGTATAGGCCTACACAAAAACTAACCCCAACATTCTTCCCAGCACTCCCCACCTCTGACCCCAAAAATTATTATAAATATTCCGAAGTCTCCAGCCATTTAGACGAATACCTCTCATCTCAAAACCCGCCACTGATCTCCGCAACGAACCGACGAATTATAAAACTTAACCCATTCCTCGCAAACATAGTCTACAATTCTTCCTCCGCTGACGACCGAGCAGCTCTAGCCCGCGGCGAGGTAACTCGAGATGGCCTGCTCAAGAGACTCATATCTGACGCTTCCCTCCTGAACCCCTACCACGCGATCCTGAAACAGTCGCAGACGGTAGAAGACGTAAAACCAAAGTCGGGGAGTCCGCCCAAGGTGACGGTGGTGGTCGAAAAAAGGGGGTCGAATAAAACCGTGACCAAGGTTTCTGGCATCGAGGTCTTTGGGATTATACCCGCCCTGCTGGCTGAGGAACTGCAGAAGAAGTGTGCCTCCAGCACCAGCGTTGCCCAAGCGACTGGTGCGGTGAAGGGGGTGCTGGAGATTCTGGTTCAGGGGGATCAGCGGAATGCGATTGAGACCGCGCTGGAGAGGAGAGGGGTGAGGGGGCAGTGGGTTGATGTGGTGGATAAGACGAAGAAGAAGAAGAAGTAATGTAACGGATTCTATATAGCAAAATTGAGTCTAGTATAAGCACACTCAATATCGCCGATCAATAAAATACCTGAAGACGTGGTAACTAATTGTATATATGTATTTACTATTTAATAGCAGAATAAGATCTCGGCGAACGCTCCGATTTACCTGCGGGGCATATTGCGGGACCGCCGGGTTACTCCTGGCATAGAATATGGAGAAAAGTAATGTTAACTTTCTCATCATCTCAAATATTCAGACTTTAATTTACCCTTTGACTTATTTTTTTACCATTCGACCGAGTAACAGCTTGATAGTTGATAGTTGACCAAGATGACTGTCTACCACGTTGGTAAGCCTGCGCCTCCATATCAACTAATTGATTCCACTCTATCCAAGCTACAACATATAGAAAATCATCAACACATCATTCCCTCATCCACCCCTCAAAACCCAAACCAAACCCACTACCCACAACTAACTTCATATCTTCATCACAGTCCTCTTCCGCCTCAAACCCGGTGTAACACAATCCCAAATCACAAACTGGGCCCAAATCGCCAAAGACATGGTTGGAAAAATACCAGGTACCGCCTCTCCCCTTCCCTCACAAATAAAAAAAAAATACGCGCAAAATTCCAGATGTCTAATGGTTATGACTAATTTCCCACGTATAGGCCTCGTCTCGCTGCAAGCTAACCAGCCGCTTCCTATCTCCGTGCCCCGAGCAAAAGGGTTTAATATGGGGATTGTGGCGGTGTTGGAGAAACCGGAGGATTTGCAGGTTTATGCGACGCATCCGGCGCATTTGGAGTGAGTTCTTTTTTTATTTGGAAAAAATATATATATCTCCTTTGGGGTGTTTTAGGGTTAATGGTGTATAGGGTGCAGACGTTGAGGGAGGAGTTGTGTGAGGATACGTTGGCGTATGATTTGGAGTTTTAGGGAATAGATTTATGGGGTTTATTTATAGAGGTTAAATGAAGAGGTACGGTTCGGTATGAATTGTATAAGGATCAGGTGTCTGAGAAATAATGAAACCAAAGGTAATCGACATAGGCACATGTATGAAGATAAACATAACCTCGAAACACAAACGCCGGAGAATGAAAACCCTTGCAACCTTGCATATTTAAGCTTTTCCCACAAAAATTCAAGCGTTGATTCACTCTTCCTTGGTGTCGACCTTCTTGGCAGGGTGCTCATTGGAGCCATTGGTATCGGTCTTAGCTTCATCTTCACGGCCTCGTTTCTGCCCGGTTGTTGTCTCATCCGCGGTGCTCTTGATGACAGGAACGCCCCTGATGATACTGTTAGTAAATTTGATTAACATAGAGTGAATAGATGATATACCGAGCGTCTTTCTTGACGGAGCTTTTTGGAGATGAATCACGGCCTCGTCCCCGGCCGCCCCTATTGTTACGGAAGCCTTGCTTCTGGTCCTCGTTACGCCGCTCTCGCCAGTCACGGTTATCTTCTCGGCCCTGGCGACCACCACGACCACGGCCGCGGCCGCTGGCCCTGATTTTGCCCGAATTAATATCACGGACTTTCTCATCGCAGTATTCCTTCTTGCTCTTGATGATCAAGTCTTGACCCTTCCACTTCGGCTTGGGGTCCACAGCCAGAAACTTTTTCTGGGCTTCCTCAGAATCGAATTCGACGAAAACGCTTCCCTTGAAGGTTTTATCAAAGGCACGACGGAGACGAATTGCATTCGTGGGGCCGTAAGGAGCGAAGAACGCCTCAATGTCAAACTGCGTGTTTGGTTCTTCCTCGCCGAAGCCTTTGGCATAGATGCTGCGGGTCATGGCCTCGTTTTCAAACACCTTGACCACAGATGGATCAAGGAAATCGTTGACTGATTCCGGCAATGGGACCTTGCGACGGACCTTGGTTTCGTCGTCGACAAGATCCAGGGTTTCAGAAGTCTTCAAGGCCTCGACAATTGCACTGAAAGGCTGGAAGCGGCGCATTCGTTTGAAGCTGTGCAGGACGGAGAGTTCCACGGCGTGATTGGCGCTTCCACCGACCTTCTTGAGGAGGAAGTTATCCATGGGAAGGTTGGAGTCGGAGAAGTAAAACTCAACCTAGAGAAATTAGCCTTGGGTGCTCTAATCGTTTCGCACCTAGCACCAACCTGCTTCCTGATTTGCTGGGGGTCGTCGGTGACCTCTTGCGCAGTCAGATCTGACTTGATATTGTCACGGTAATTGCGGTTTCTGCGATCGCCATACTGCCGGCCCCGGTCTCGGTCTGCGGGCTTGGTTTCCTGGAGGGCTGATTCTTCACCAAGCTTGTTCGCCTGCGCAATGATGCGAGCTTCCTCTGCTGCTTCAGCGTCCTGATCAGCGGCAGGTTTCTCGGTCTTTTCGCTATCTCCTTTCAATTCAGACAGAAGGTTCTGCACATCCTTCTCAGCCTCTGCGTTGCCGTTGGCAGGCTCGGCGGCTTTCACTTCACCAGACATGGCGTATCGCTAGTTGGAGTCTGTGCGCCAGAGGAGCCAATGGGTCAAAATCGTAGCGGATATAGGGTGTTTTTAACGTGGTCAAAATAGAACCAAAGAAGGACAGGGAAATATGCCAGCCCCAGGTCGAGTCGCGGTGAAAAAAAAGCTGTTGCAGGATCGAGAACGATAAGGGAAAAAGCGGCGGGGAAAAAATTGACTCAGGCAGGTGGAGCTACGAAAACGGTTTAGCGCGTGTCAAGCTCCTTGATGCTGTATTAGATTAGCCTCTATGTTCTCGGTGGCTCAGGCGACTTGATACATCTCGCTATATAACTAGTAACACTCGATTAAAAGCGCCACTTTCCCCTTATAATTTTTTACAGGGTGGTAGATCTTCAATCTACGAGATATGATGTGTAATTTGCTTTGGATGAAGATGGAGACATGCTTGCGAATAGCAACTGCGATGGACGGATGCCTGCATGACGCGACTGCATAGAAAGCCAATCATCAAATAATCTGACCACGAGTCATGCCGCCTACAGCGGCGAGGAACATCTCGAGGAGCTCTGATTCGTCTGCGCACGCGTACTTACAGCCGCTCATCTAGTATCAAAGGATGTCTACTATATGAAGTACATAGTCTGTCTACACTGCTGATTCTACTGCAAATCCATACCTCTTGTTATTTCAATGCCCATTTGCAATTAAGCTAATATATAGATGGCATCGTGCAGTTTTAGTTCCTTAAATTGGACATCTAAACGACATACACATGTCTTCGCAGATCTGACGGCGCCTATGCGAAGCTCCAAGATGTAGAAAAGGAATGACAAAGGAATAAAATTGAGTGAAAGATTATGAACAATGCAAAACTTAATATCTTCTGGCAGGCGGTGTATCTTGCCGCGTGCACTTGACCGGCGCTTTCCTTCCATTTGTTTGCTGCTTCCACCGTCGACTCTTTCTGAGCCCCGACCAAGACTCATATTTAGCTGCGCTTCAACAAGCACTGCCATTCTCATTCTTCCTGATACTCCTAGCACTCTGGCAACCCGGATTATTGCCCATTAGGATCTCGCACGGAAAAGGTCTCGCTGTCCTATGAGATGTAGTCAGACCAGGGCCTCCAAGCTGATAGGTTTACCCAGCTTTTCTTACAGTCAAGTCAACAAACCGATTATCGATAATTCTTACCACAATGGACGACAGTGAAGACGGTGTGGTAGCCATGGCGCCAGGTTGGTCCGTAGCAGATGTGTGTCAATCAGAATGGGTCTCCCAAGTCATCGTGCTGACCAGCTCTGCAGATTGTTTATGTTAGCTTGCTAGCACCGCTTATATTGGCGGCTTTTCTTGAATGGTTTCTGTGGCTCGGCGCGTTTCTTTTTGGTCTCTGCAAGGTATATGCGAAAGCCGAACATTGGAGCTCGCGCGTGATTGCAGTTGTGATGATGATTTTATTCACTCTTCTTCGGTGGGTATCATGAGCATCCGTCTGAGTTGATACTGACTTGTGTTTTGTAGGGGGGTTTTCCTGCCTGTTATGTTATTCACGCTGCCCTTGCCTTCCATCATCACTCAGTATTTTCCTTCGAAGTTGGTAAAGGATTTGCAATGGTTCGCTTTCTACACTTTCGCGGTTCTTCTATTGCTTCCGTGGATCCTTTGCCTTTACAGGCTCGTGACAAATGAAGTCGGACGTTCGAAACGAATTAAAACTGCTTTGAATGCTGCTACTGCCCCAAAGGTCGTGGTGGTGATGCCGGTATATAACGAGGAGCCTGAAGTGTTGATCAAAGCCATCGATTCCGTGGTAAGAAGCGATTATCCTCCATCATGCATCCATGTCTTTGTATCATTCGATGGAGAACCCGCTGGCCATCTATGGGACCCAATAGCAGAACGACTTGGCATCCCTATTGGTGCAAGGAAAAAAGCTCAAAGCATCGATGTGCTCTACGAAGGTGTCCGAATTACGGTCAGTAGATTTTCTCATGGCGGAAAGCGGAATTGCCAGAAAAAGACTTTCAAGCTCATCGACAAGATATACACCGATTACGTGTCGCAACATGATGATTTGTTTATTTTGTTCATTGACTCAGACTGCATTCTCGACGAAGCCTGTATTCAAAATTTCATGTATGACATGGAGCTGAAGCCAGGAAGTCAACACGATATGCTCGCGATGACGGGAATCATCACATCGACCACAAGAACAAATTCTTTGATCACATTATTGCAAGACATGGAGTATATTCATGGTCAGCTATTCGAACGCTCGGTCGAGTCATGCTGTGGTGCGGTGACATGTCTCCCTGGTGCCCTTACTATGTTGCGATTCTCCGCATTCCGAAAAATGGCCAAGTACTACTTTGAGGATCAAATTGACAAGATCGATGACTTTTTCGATTACCTCAAATGCCACTTGGGAGAGGACCGTTGGCTTACCCATTTGTTTATGGTGGGCACGGTGAGACGATATCAGATTCAGCTCTGTACTGGTGCCTTTTGTAAAACTGAGGCAGCCCAAACGATGCGCAGTTTGATCAAGCAGCGTCGTCGCTGGTTCCTGGGCTTCATTTCGAATGAAGTTTGCATGTTAACCGATGTGCGGATTTGGAAACGTTATCCTTTGCTGTGTATTATTCGCTTTATGCAAGATACGATACGGACCACAGCTTTACTATTCTTCATTATGGTTTTGTCTGTGTCCACCACTGCAAACAAGATTTCGAGCTTGCCGGTTGGTTTCATTGCCGTCTCATTGGGGTTGAATTATGCATTGATGCTCTATTTTGGATACATACTCCGGAGGTTCAAAGCGTGGCTTTATCCATTGATGTTTTTGCTCAATCCTTTCTTTAATTGGTTGTATCTTGTATATGGCTGTTGTACAGCAGGCAAACGCACTTGGGGAGGACCCAGAACCGACGCCACCAAAGCAGACGAATATACTTCGCCTCGAGAAGCCGCAGAGCAAGCAGAAGCACAAGGCGACGACTTGAACGTCGACGTTTCCACGTTCCGCGAGTACGGAAATGCGGCTGAAAGTGTACCGCTTCATCCGACGGAGAGCATTGAAAGCCGCCTGGCTGACAGTTATCAGAAGCCATACAATAACGCCAATGACTCCGAGATGGCGCTTATGCGACACAACCGAGGCGTACTTTCAATGCCAGGCATACCTCTACATCCACGGAACTCATTCGACTCCACTATGACGGGTCAATATTCAATCAACCTCCCACGGCGCGTGGAAAGCCTCATGGATGAAGTTGAGCAGCGAAAGCTTCACATACTGCGGGAGTCCAAACGTTATTCTAGTATTTTAGCGAAAGAGGAAACGCAAAGCACAGCAGCATCACAAAACGAGGCTCCGAGTCCACCTCCTGTGGATAGACTTGGCTGGAATCCGCAGGCAACTCCAAGCCTTACTGGAATACCATACATCGATGGCGCCATGGATGCCAAACTACCTGCAGCAGCCAATACCGACCCCTTGAAACAACCGTCGCCACTTCACTTATCCACGAACCAAAATGACCTTAGGAATGAACCCACCGAAGATGGGTCCCAGGGAGATGCGAGCTCCTCTCTAACCAGTAATCCCGACAAGGCTGCGGAAAAGCCACGGCGGAAGCTCCGAGGGTTTATGAGCTTCGGCAGACGACACAGCGGACAGGAGTGATTTCGTATTCGTTACCACAACTTGAATTTTGATTGATTGCAATAGAGGCGTGAGCAGGACAGGCCACTTACCGTTCATGGTCTTGGTCGTTATTGTCTATTTCTTACAAGCGTATATTAGTCATTCCTCATTCTTTCTTTGGCCTATGTTTACCTAGAATTGACTGCCCAACGTGGGTTACAAAATATAAAGCGACAGCATAATGAATTCCGCCGTGCTTTGTGGTAGTCAATAATAAATCCAATCATTGCACATGTGATGCGCAGCAAATGACGAAAGGCGGTGTGGGTTCTGCCGTGGAAAAGGCACGCGGCGAGGCGGTGAGGCGAGCCCGAACAGTCCAGGAGGAGCCAGAAGATTCGATAGCGCTGAGAAAGGAAGCGCTTTTATACAGCCACTCGTAGGAGACCGTACACAGTAGAATTGTTTGTTCTCTCTATTCCCATCGCTAGCATCTTGATTTGATTGAATATATTCATTCCCTCTTATTAATATTGCTGTTAGTGGCACTGAGCAGGACAAGCCACGCCGCCGTACGGGCACAAAAATAATTGAAAAAAAAAGGCCCAACTACTTACCTCACTGGCTCCACCGGGCTGATCCACGCCTGTGCAAATTCCTCGCTCCGCTATCAGTGCCCGCACTCGTCCTCTTCCTCTGTTTCTTCTTCCATCTCCCTTCCGATTAATATTGATCGTGGACATATCATCTAGATTTTCGCCATGAGTGTCGTCGGTATTGATCTCGGTGCCCAAAGCACCAAAATTGGTGTGGCTCGCAACAAGGGTATTGATATTGTATGTTCTGCCCCTCCGCCCCTCATTCTGTCCATACTTTGCGCATACGCCATGCACGCGGCATGTACCGGAATTGTTCTAGCTAACCCTTACTTTTTCTATCGTTATAGATCGCAAATGAAGTCTCAAATAGATCCACGCCGTAAGTCACAATCTACCCCTTCTGTTTTCGGATTATTTCCCCGGCCTTTTCGCAGCAATGGACTGAATGGACTGACGGTGTGATGTAATAGGTCTCTTGTTGGATTCGGCCCGAAAAGTAGATACTTGGGCGAGGCAGCGAAGACGCAGGAGGTGTCCAATCTCAAGAACACCGTCATTGGCCTCAAGCGTCTCATCGGTCGCAGCCTGTCAGACCCGGATGTGCAGGTTGAAAAGGAATACAACTCGGTTGCTTTCTGCGACGTCGAGGGCCAGGTCGGCGTTGAGGTCTCGTACCTTGGTAAGAAGGAGAAGTTTAGCGCAACCCAGCTGGTTGCCATGTACCTGAACAAGATCAAGCAGACCGCCTCGCATGAGATCAAACTGGGTGTTTCGGATGTTGTTATTAGTGTGCCCGCCTGGTTCACAGACGTGCAGCGCAGGGCAATGTTGGATGCTGCTGATATCGCTGGCCTTAAGGCGCTTAGACTCATCAACGACACTACCGCTATCGCTCTCGGTTACGGTATTACCAAATTAGACCTTCCCGGTCCGGAGGAGAAGCCGCGCCGAGTCGTATTCGTTGATATTGGCCACAGCAACTACACTGTCTCTATTGTTGAGTTCCGCAAAGGAGAGCTCAATGTGAAGTCCACCGCATGGGACCGCCACTTTGGTGGCCGAAACTTCGACAAGGCGCTTACCGAGCACTTTGCCGACGAGTTCAAAGACAAATTTAAGATCGACATCCGTAGCAACCCTAAGGCTTGGGCTCGTACATTGACCGCGGCTGAGAAGTTGAAGAAGGTACTTTCGGCAAATGCTCAGGCTCCTTTGAGTATCGAGTCCTTGATGGACGACATCGATGTGCGCGCCATGGTCAAACGTGAGGAGTTGCAGGAGATGGTTAAACCTCTTTTGGAACGAATTCCCGTGCCTCTGGAACAAGCTCTTGCAGAGGCGAAATTGAAACCCGAGGATATCGATAGCATTGAGATGGTTGGTGGATCTACCCGTGTGCCTATCATCAAGGAGACCGTTAGCAATTTCTTCGGAAAGCCCCTATCCTTCACTCTGAACCAAGACGAGGCAATTGCTCGTGGCTGCACATTCAGCTGTGCCATCCTGTCTCCCGTCTTCCGTGTTCGTGACTTTTCCGTTCACGATATCGTCAACTACCCCATTGAGTTCACTTGGGAACAATCCCCAGAAATCCCAGACGAGGATACCAGCTTGACGGTTTTCAACAAAGGCAATGTCCTTCCTTCTACCAAGATCTTGACTTTCTACCGAAGACAACCATTTGACTTGGAGGCTCGCTACGTGAAGCCTGAGGCACTGCCAGGCAAGGTCAACCCTTGGATTGGACGATTCTCTGTCAAGGGAGTCCAGGCCCAGGACAACAACGAATTTATGATCTGCAAGCTCAAGGCCCGTCTCAACTTACACGGTATCCTCAATGTCGAGTCTGGCTACTATGTGGAAGACGTCGAGGTTGAGGAGCCCGTCGAAGAACCCAAAGAGGGCGACAAGAAGGACTCTGATGTATGTTACCAAATATCAGAAGAAATGAGATGTTTGATACTAACTGGATACAGACCATGGATACGGACACCACCAACGGTGAAGGTGAAAAGAAGACTCGCAAGGTCAAGAAACAGGTTCGCAAGGGCGAACTGCCAATCTCCAGCGGAACTGCTGCCCTTGAAGACGTGACCAGGAATGCTTGGACCGAGAAAGAAAACGCCATGACGATGGAAGACAAATTGGTTGCCGACACTGACGAGAAGAAGAACGAGCTTGAATCCTACATTTACGAACTCCGCGACAAGGTCGAAACAACATACGCAGAGTTCTCCAGCGAGGAAGAGAAGGAGAAGCTGCGCGCCAAGCTGACTGAGGCTGAAGTAAGTTACATTGGATATACACAAACTTGATATACACTGCTAACTGCTAACTTTCATAGGACTGGCTTTACGAAGAAGGCGAGGACACCACCAAGGCTATCTATGTTTCAAAGATGGAAGAGATCCGCTTCATCGCCGGACCCATCATCCAGCGATACATGGACAAGATCGAAGCCGAGCGCCAGGCCGTTTTAAAGGCTCAAGAGGAGGCAGCCGCCAAGAAGAAGGCCGAGCAAGACGCGAAAAAGAAGGCTGAAGAGGAAGCCAAGAAGGCGGCCGAAGAACAAAAACCAGAGAGCGCGGACGCGGAGATGAAAGACGTGCCAGCAGAGGGCGAGGGAGCCGAGTAAAAACCAAACAGACCAAGAAGAATTTCCTATTGTGGAGAAAACCTCTTTTTTTTTAATAAATCATGACACACATGATATCGAAGTGTGATATGTATTGTCAGGTCCAGCATTTTCAATCCTGGAATAACGGCAGTCTTTCTACAAAATTCAACGTGAATGAAGTGACGGATGGTAATGAATCGAGCAACATTGATGAACGCCTGCAGAATACAATACAAACATGCTATGCTACTGGCGTGAGGGATGGGGGCTGTTCATTAGTAAGGAATTAGACTAGATCTTATACAAATATTCAATATTTGCATGTGCCTTCAGCTTGTGGCGATTACGGTCAATAAAATACTAGAATATTCTTCACGAGTAATCAGTAAATTAATTATTAAAGTAATCAATAATCATTGTTTTGCATTTATTATTATATTAAGAAGGATACGAGTTTCAAGGTTGCTGTTCTGGATCGCAGCTGATTTACCTCGGCAGATGCCAGGCCGTCGGACATCTCGGCTTAGCAATATTCGGCTCCAACGTCCTCCATAAAACATCGAGTCAGCGTCCTGACTGTCGCAGATCTTGTGAGTCTCTGAACAACTCTGCGGTACAGATTTTACCTTGAAGAATTTCTTTCTCGCTTTTGCATAATATCTTATCAAGTAGGTGTACACGCACAACCGTTCGTTGACGTCGTGCTTCCCCGCATTCTACATCTCTGAGCTCTTTCATCAACGAAATTCACCCCCGATATTACGACATTCACTAACCGCTTTTTCTTTCTTCTATCAGATCTTGCCGGGTTTAAAGTCGATTCATCATGGCCGTCGAACGTTTATCCTCCATCTTCAACCAGTTGAAGCCGTCAGCAGTATCAGCCATGTAAGCCACCGTGCTGCTTCTTCTTATCGCTGGGACGACGAGTATTAACATAGGTATTGTGCAGCACACAAAAAAATCCCGACGATGTCGTTATTACGCTTGCTATCCGGACCCCATTGACCAAGGCTGTCAAGGGCGGTTTCAAAGATACTGGGCTGGATTACATTGTCTATTCATTACTTAAGGAGCTTGTTCAGAAGTCGAATCTGGATCCGGCGCTGATTGAGGATGTGTGCTTGGGAAATGTCAGTTTCTATATCTAAATTTCTTCTGATTATTATTATGAGAACATGCTGATAGTTTTGGATCAGGTCAACGACGGTAAAGCCGCTTACCTCGGCCGCGCCGCCGCCCTCGCCGCCGGAATCCCTCACACCGCAGGCGCATCATCCGCAAACCGCTTCTGCGCCTCCGGCCTGAAGGCCGTCCACGACATCGCAAACCAAATCCGCCTGGGTGCGATCGACGTCGGCGTGGCGGTCGGCGCAGAATCAATGTCGACCAGCGACCGCGGGCCCAACCCGTTCCACGAGGATATCCTCGCAAACCAGGAAGCCGCGGACTGCCTGCAGCCCATGGGCCAGACGTCTGAGAATGTCGGCGATGACTTTGGCATTACTCGTGAGATGCAGGATACCTACGCGGTGGAGTCGTTCCGCCGCGCAGAAGTCGCGCAGAAGGCAGGCTGGTTTGATGATGAGATCGTCCCGATTACCACCAAGGTCAAGGATCCCAAGACAGGTGAGGAGAAGACTGTCACGCTCACCCGCGACGAGGGCCCGCGGTACGGAACTACCCTCGAGGGTTTGAACAAGATCAGGCCTGCATTCCCGCAGTTTGGAAACAAGACGACCGGCGGTAACGCCAGCCAGGTCACTGATGGAGGTATGGTCATATAACTGCATATATATGTATAGAGACAAGCTGACAGTATCTAGCCGCCGCCATTCTCCTGATGCGCCGCTCTAAAGCCGTCGAACTCAACCAGCCCATCCTCGCCAAATTCTGCGGCGCCACCGTGGCCGGCGTGCCTCCGCGCGTGATGGGCATCGGCCCAACCGCCGCCATCCCCAAGTTGCTGAGCCAATTCAATATGAGTATTGCCGACATTGACATTTTTGAAATTAACGAGGCGTTTGCGTCGATGGCGGTGTATTGTGTCAAGAAACTGGGTCTTGATCACGCAAAACTGAACCCCCGTGGTGGCGCCATTGCGCTGGGACACCCGCTCGGAGCGACTGGCGCGAGGCAGATCTGTACGATTTTGAGTGAGGCGAGGAGGACGAAGAAGAAGGTGTTGGTTACGAGTATGTGTATCGGGACGGGCCAGGGTATGGCCGGGTTGTTTGTGAATGAGCAGGTGTAAACTACATGTATATGTATCTGATTGAGGATTATGTGGGATGTTGAAAAGGTACATGTATTAATGCTCGTTTCGTCATTATTGAGAATGCTATATGTAAATACGAGAAATTGATTCACGATTGCTCTTCAGAACTGGGCCCTTTCCCTCGCTGTTGGTCTCTCTTCAACCGATCCTCCGCAGCTCTAGCCAGAATATCCCTTCGACTCAGTGCCGATCCTCGAACGTCGTTCCCACTGCCCCCCAACACAAACTCACCACCCGTCCACCCTCCATGATCCATCGCCCACTCCTCCTCCCCATCCCCTTGCTGCTCCCAATCGCGCGGATTATAAAACTCCTCCTCCGACAACCGATGCCCACCCCTCGTCCAATCCCCGCTCTCGACTTCCTTCTCAATCTGCTTCGTCAAATCCCAAAACAACCTATCATGCTCACTATGCACACAATGCGCCAACTCATGACACAGCGTCTTCCGTATCGTCCGATAATCCCTGTATCCATCATACGCATCCGTTCGCAGCCGCAGCTCAATCACCTCCCCTTTATTCCGATTCAGCCCTAGCGTGCGCGATTCATGCGTGGTGTGCTCAGCCGGGTTCATTTCCGTGAGAAGCGGTACCGAGAAGCGATGTTTCGCCATGGCGAAGCGTATGCCGGGGTCGTCGCGTAGCCGTTCGAGGAATTTCAGGCTTTTGTCTGGGTGTGGCAGGTAGGATAGTGGTTCACAGCGCCCGAATGTGTAGGTGGAAGAAGATGGGGAGGAGATGGTGTGAATACCACCGCCGCCGGCGGGTCGGCGGAGGATTGGAGGATGGGATTGTCGGAGAGCAGTTTCACGGGTCCTGAGGCGTTGTTGGGAGGTGCTTATGCTCTCGTTTAAAGAGTTGATTTCTTGTGGTTTGGACCCTAGCAGCGTGATTTTGAGTTTTGGTGAGGAGAGGGAGAGGAGGGAGGCGAGTGGGGTGGTGTTGTTAAACGGCGCCTTTTGGAGTCCTGGTTTTGGCGCGATGAGGAATTTTTGGTTTTCGGTGGGGATTTCTAAGGAGCTGCTGGTTGAGATGGTGTGGGCGAGGTCGGCGAGGGTCGCGGACGGTGGGAGGTGGAAGGTGTATGGCGAGCCGTGGTGGTGGACTGTGAGGGTCAACATGTCAGGGTCGCTCATGTTGAAAACAGGAGGCGGAGCTGTATGTACAGGGTAGAACGAGAAGATATACACAGACAGTATATAATAATCATATAATCATAATATACAGAGGGATGAGATGGAGTCGTTATCTTAACTTATTATTATCGCTTATCTAATCGCCGATGCGTAATCACGGCTGCCTCGGCCCGCAGCTTCGAGAAGGTACGGCGGTCACGTGAATCTGCCGCAAATGGAAGGATTCTAGTATCATGAAACTCTGCTCTCATTGGCTCATTGCTTATCCAAGTATACAGAACACTCTCATCATTACGATCGCCCCATTCTTTGCTCACTTGTCAGTAGGGACGCCTTAGATGCGTCAATGAGGCCTCCAATCCATTCAGTCCCCTCCGTGCCCTTTTCGAACGATTCTTCCACTTCCAATTCACCCGTCTTTGATATCTCTGGAGTTCGCCGAATTGGAAACACCGATGATCCTGAGAAGTATCGTTATTATTATTATATCGACAAAGAAGATTTCATTCGTCAACTGATAAATGTAAAGGATACTCACCAAAACTAGCAGGCCAATAGTTCAAATAGATATTCTCCCAATTCCCCGCCGGAACTTCATAAAGCTCATGCATCATACTTAGATCCGGATGCTCCTTGACCGTATGGTTCCACCAATCCCACCCTGCGCGGTGCGCCGCGCCGTGAGCAAACTCGTTGAGTCCGCCTATGGATTTGAAGTAGAAAATGTGCATTATTTCTCGAGCGGCAGTGCGGCTTGGATCCGAGAGGGAGATCCATGCGGTACTGCTTAAATCTTCTCCATTAATTAAACACCAATCTTTTTGCATTGGAAGGATAGAGCGCTTACATCCGTATTTCTTGCGATTTTTCTCTAAATCTTCGTGCATCGCATTGAAATATTTAACTATCTTTTGGTATCCTGGGTACAGGATACCAAGTGGGCTGGAAGAAAATTGATTAAAAAGAGTATACAGAAAGAGAAGTAGATTGAGTACACACTGATTACTTCTTGAAGCCAATATAATCACGACAACTTTTTCACTAGACATCGTCTCCCCAAACCTTCCAGTTTCGTCTGGAATCTGTGCCGACGTCTTTCCAGGGAGAATTCCTTGCATGTATCGATTTGGTAAAACTCCAGACATTATCAACAGCATATCTAGCGTTCGATATGCTAGGATGACTAGAGCAGGGAGAAATGTGATAACTGTTGGGAACGTCCATGTCAGGATTCCTTGCAGCAACGCCGCGGCGAGAAGCCAGCTGGAGCCATGGAAATTGTTGGCGATAATCTAAATTAAAACTTAGCAAGGGTGGTTCAATGTTATATGTATTATTGTTTATTGGCAATACGGACTGCATATATCGCTGCTTTATCATTTACACTCGACTCGGGCTGTCGATATATGCGTTTGAAAGCAGGTTCAAGAGGAGCCATGATTGAGAACTTGTCTGGTGTAACGGGGTGATGTTTTATGAATAGTAATTAACATGTAAACAATTATTCTACGTATGTATTATCCGAAAATTTGAGCACCAGGTCGCGAGAGCAACGCTCCCCGGCTGATTAAATATTATTTGAAATAATCGGAGCAGCTTGGACCTTCTGTTATAGCATCTTAACATTTGGAACCAATGAGATTCATGCGGTTAACCATTTTTACTATTTTTAGCTGCTCGACATTAGCGCCGAATGGACTTCCCAATAGGTGGTGGTCGATGTTGATCTCCAACGTCGCGATTTCAACGCTGTTGACAATGGGATCAACAATCCGGTTGAACTGCATTCATCTTCAATCAATTTGAACAATTTAAATAGTATCGAACCTGACAGGATAAAATGCCAAACGTTGGACGGCCGAGCCGGGACTGCCAACCATGTCGACATCGAAGAATCAGGGTATGATCGAAATCAAATCTTGACTGAAATAGTAAATAACATGAAGTTATATTAATTTGATCAAAGTGCGATCTCGCACGTCCAGGATGTACTCAGTGCCTAAGGAGGGGACTGCGCTGCCACGGATATCGAGATGAAATATCTGGGCGCTTTCAAATCGAGACCACACACTCAATTCAACTCAAGATTAAAATTGATGGTCGCAAAAAACGCCATTTGGTCAATACAGCCTCCGAGAAAGATCGGTGCCACTATAAGCAAGAATCAACGCAGTCGCTGATACTCAGCCCTTCCCGAGAATCGCAGCTGAAGAAACAGCTCCTTCTCTGGAAAAATCACCAATTGGCACATGCAGTATCGAAACCACTGCCAGTGATATGGACCGATCATGCGTTGCCGCTTGCCTGTGACAAGTTTGCCTTTTCGTGTCCTGTGTTCTCGACTGTCCATCGATTACTGTCTCGAGCAGAAGAGGGTTCTGCGACGTATCTCGCTGCATACGCAGTCGGATGTGCCTACCTAGCGAGCATGGATCATTCGAATACTGCTCTCTCGCGACATATCAAAGCGTATGCGAAGGCTGTTTCTGCCATGAACCTCGCTCTCCGTGATGCGGAACAAGTGAGAAGCGATAGTACCTTGTTGGGTGTCTGGTTATTGGGGCTATACGAGGTGAGATTGACACCAAAGCTGCTCTTATTAGGCTTTTTTTGATGAAAATGAAATGAAATAGCTAGTGGTTGCGACACCAGAAAAGGCACATAAAACCTACTCCTGGGACATTCACAACCAAGGTCTACTGCAACTCATCCGAGTACGAGGTCTGGAGCAATTTCAAGACCAAGATGGGAGAAATCTATTCTGTATTATTTTCAATAATTTGGTGAGTAAGTCTATAAGTAACTGTGGGCCTTGTAATAATCTCCAGAATAGCATAGTCGAGTCCTTGCGCCTGATAAGCAGTACTTTGTGGAAGCAATTACCTGGTTCGAAGCAATATATCAACATTGTGCAACATGGGAATACCCATTATTGAAGGTTTATCGTTTTTCATACAAGTGTATGCGCCTCTGCAGTTCGATCAGAGATCTTCTCGCTCAGAAACATGACCACAACATGCCGTTTTCAGCCATGCAGTCCATTTTGCAGGAGGTCGATGAGTTGGAGAGTACAGATGATCTCCAATTTTCTTCAGCATTAGCGACTGACTGGCCAATAAATCTTCCGTCGGAACCATATGACTTTCTGAATCTCGGTTACATGGCTTCATACATCTTGCAATCCAACTACAGATTACGGGTTACGTACCACCTGAAAGATCTATTAGACTCCGCATTATATACCTCTGATTATACATCGGAGATGACCGACAGATTGCAGGAATCACGGGATAGGTGTCTGAAAGAGGTGTATTTCCTGAAAGAAAAGATACAATCATTCTTGCCATTGATTCGCGATACACGTTTTCGAAGCATTACAAAATTTGGTGCAGATGTCTTTCTTCATCAGCCCTTACTTCATTAGAATATCAACAAACCATAACAGCCAATCTAAAACACCGAACGATACTACGTCGACAGGGGTCACGCAGGGCTCTTTCACTCCTAGGCCTAAAGATACATTCTGCTCAGTGAGTTCGACCGTTGGGTATTTGACTGATTACTCAAAGCAATGGAGACTATAGTTCAGATTGGATAATACATAGAAAGTCACACGGGAGATCGTCGGTCCCCGTCCAGATCTAGTTCGTGCGGCTCGCCGCTCGTAAGAGTGGCGAGCCTGCGGCCGGGGGAGGCATCCAGGTGGCCAAAGTGCAGTCTGGGAGCGGTGATGTTCGTGTGGCCCTTCGTGATTGGATATCTCTGTGAGCTGTTGGCAAAAGTTTCCTATTAGTTTTTTCCACTCTGCTATGGCTGTGTCGTAGATAGCAAGGGGTAAGTATATATGGAGTAAGTCTGGGTGATGGTGAAAATGCCATGGTTGTGAGTGGCTTTTGGCTTAAAAACTGTGGTGAATCGCCATTATAAGTCTCTAGATTCGCTATCCTAGGCTTGTTATAGTGTATATTAGCTATATATTATGTACCCATTTATTAATATTATGCTTAGCGTGTACATTATGTATATGGGAAAAAGGATAAGAAGATCTATGTCTTTTTAGTATTTCTTTAAGATGCACTAGTTAATAATTTGCTCCAGAGTGCCATTCTATTTATATAGTTCGCATTTCGAGTGTTTTTATGGATTTGAGTATTTCAAATTGTATGTTATGCTTGGTCTGGATATACCAATTTCCTGAGCGCTAGGTTCCTTAGTGTCTTCATCACGCTGTTCCACATCATGATTAGCAATCTACTGGCTGTGATTTATTGATTTTTGCGACATATAGCAATAGTAGTAGTAGTAGTAGAAGAAGAAATATCAATTCATTTACTCTTCTCTAAATTACTAAATATTCTGGACTTTGCTATCACCCAGGAGATCTTTAACTGCTAGTGTTATTTTTACTTTTAATTATTAGGGACATAACACGTAGACGATCATAGTTGTTGCTCGGCTCTTACTGGACAGCTATGAGGATATTCATATTGCAAGCTATTCTTTGGATCTTCGTATCGTGGACTGAAATCTTTTATGGTGTTAAGTCAGTTTTAGAGACTAGCAATTGCCTATTGTTCCACTTTAAGAAGTTCCTTTGATTCTCCTAGGTGACTTATATTCACTTTGATATTATGATTTTAGTCTTTCACTTGAATTACTTTATACTTTCAAAGTCATTTTATCTTTTTCTTTTTGATATCTTTCTTAATTGTTACTATCTTTATATCCTTCTTGGTTTTTACCAATTTTAAAACAATTATCATTTCTTCCATCTTAATTAGCTATAAATCACTTTGGTTTGTTGTGAAGATTGTTTATATCACACTCATCTTTTTGGACCAAAACACTAACTGCGTTGAGCTCAATACTCTTGTATTGTATGTATGTGTATGTATCTAGTGGTATTTTTGCATTCCTTGTTGTCTTACTATAGGGTCACTAATTAGGGCTCGCCTGTGGATAAGCCTTCGGATTGCCGCAATTAGTAGACTTATTGCGGCGTAGATGGAAAAATTTGCTCAGTTTTACTTGATGTTGTGATGCCTACCGCTTGCGAAGTATCGCTTGCATGTGCCTCCAATAAGGATCACTTCAAGTGTGCGAAACAGTATTTTTCATTGGTCCCTGAAAGTTTTTGGCAGTCTCCAAGTGTACTACATGCCATAAAGCCAAGAAAACTCATGCTGTCCACTTGTTGCCGATCCAATCTCACCGTCATGTTTACATACAAGAACAGCCCAAGACGACCTTGCCAGTGAACATAACAGTGCTTCCGGAACTGGTCAAAGCTATTATGGTTCTTCTGGACGTACCCGCCTTTGTCGAGGCCTCGCTGAAGTAGTGCTAGCGTCATTTGTCATGACTCCAATTTCACGATGGGTAACTAGTTGTATGCTAGATCACCGATAATGCGGAGGATCAACCCCGTGAGACCCACTCGTGCCTTATAAATGTCGAGCCTCAGGCAGTAATAATTTTCACTACGAGTTAACTTTATCAGCAATGTGATCCCTTATTATTTGGATTAGAAATTCTACGCAAATTAGAGAACACCCCTGGAATATTCGGTCATTTATAAAGACCCCCATGAATAAAACAGAAAGCAAACTCAAATATTTGTACAAGATTGATCGTCATATATGCTCTTATTATATTAGTATAGGCATGACCAAACTAGTCATATATACACCTACATCAATGTGTAGGAATGATATGTATGTACAAGTGAGATAGGGTATGAATGTTTGCGATGTCCTAGTATAATGACTCCGAAATTTGTATACTCGTCAAATCGTGTGGATGAGGAATAGGTTGGCATCCGTCGATAAAATAAAGTATCTAGTGACAAGTCCTATGATAGGCGTTAATCGTGAGCGATCATGGACTGAAAATCCACTGTCCTTGCTCCGGATACCATGTATGACTAAAACCACATTAGTGCACTATTCTAGCCATATCCAGAAGAAACCTACTTATGATACTTCGTCCGCGTAAGCGACTTGACAGTGTACTCCTCAAGCAACATCTCCTGATACTTGTACGGCACCATGGCCGTCACCCCCTCAAATGTGCTTTCCCGCAGCGGGAATAAATCCTCTGTCTCGTACTTGTGCCAATTCTTGCACTCCCACGTATCCGGTTTACCCACCGGGTCGAATCTGCTCAACGCCGTGATATCAATGTACAACCCGTTGGTAGTGTCTATCCAGCGCGCATCGATAATGTTATGGCCCGGCCCCTGGTCTCGAAAGTATGCCCAGGGATTAATGTCGAGCATATACTCTCGTTTGTACTTTCGATCTGGTGAGACGTATTGCGAAATCGTCCGGTTGAATTCCCGCGCCATACGGGTTAGCGTTGCGTCACGGACTTGGGTATCAACATCCCAGTCCCAGGGAAGAAGCTGCCCGTAATAATTAAGTTAGCCTTTTTCCCTTTTTATCGTCGATCCATTCCATACCTTCCCGTTCCACCACCACCCCAGCAGCGTTCCATGGGATATCCACGTTTCTAGCTGGTTCTCGCGGAAAAAGTCGAGATATGCCCGCACCATGTGGTGCAGCGTTTCGACCCGTTCCTCATCCGACACCATCTCATGGAAGTACCGCGTGTCATAGTGTCCGAGGCGGTCATCGGCGCCGTTCTCATGGCCGACGGGCTCATGGAAGTATTTGTCTTCTAGCGCGCGATCGAGACGGAGATAACTCAGGCCATCGAGCACGGGAGGAGGGATGGATATAGGAATGCTGTGCGCGAGCGACAGCGTCAACGACAACGATAACGACCCTGCGGTCGCGCATAATATTGTCCAGATCTGCATTCTATGTCACTGCGGTATGGCACATCGTTGAGGAATTCTGGGATTCGTCGGGGGTTTGGAGTCCCAATACGATTCGGTCCGCCCAGCGGCGACTAAGTAGCGACGAGTAGGACAGTCACGACACAGCGCAGCCTGAATTTCAGCTTATCGTGGACACTAGGCGTACATAAAATTCCTGGTTTTTGTGCGCCTTGGCACATGTACGCCAAGACCGGTTTCAAGAATGCCCAATACCAGATCCTCGATTGAAGGACCGTTGATGGGCGCGAAAGGTGTTTTCTGAAGTGTAAAAGGCAGCAGGAGCAGGAAGTTCAGCATCGAGAGACAAGACCCAGCTAGCAGAGACTAGCCGCTGTCCATGTGTTCAAACTTCAGCCGCCGACGGGGTTGGCGTTGCATTACATTATTATAAGATAGTAATACGATTCACAAAGCGCGGCAGCATGGAGCAGGCCGATTAGATGGGGCAAGGCTATTGGACAAGACTCTGATTACAGGCCATTCCTCTTCACTCGCTATACTGAAAACAGTGAAAGCGGCAAAAGACCAGCTGGGGAGACGCGTGCTGAGTTGCTTGTTGCGGTTAGCGTGTGTTGGCCAAGCAATCGGATCAGCGCATCTCCCCGGTAGCTTCTTCCTAGTATTATTTGATAATTAATATAGTATTATTATGGAGATTTAATACGAGCGCCGAGACTGCTCAAAGTACAGTTCAAATTATCTCGGCTCTTGAATTATTATCATGCATTATCCTGTATTCAAGGACAAGGGACTATGCGATGACGTTACGGCCGACGCAATCGTCCAGCGTACTGGTATTTGAGATCGCGATAACCATGGTAGTAGTCTCCCCTTTTTGGTGTAGTGTTTTTTCGGCCAACAAAAAGGGTCTGACGCAGGGCTCCAAAAGCTTGTCAATCCTGAAATCTTGTCATGTCAAAAGTGGGTCCTGACAATACCTCTATAAAAAGTATTTATGTATGAAGTAATTCGGAATCTCTCTAATAATTGTTAATTTTCGATGATTAAGTCTGCTTCTAAGATCTTAGTCAGCCTTAGAACATTGATACTGATATCTTATAGAGACGTGTGCTGTACAAACACCCGTGATTTTCTTATTTTTTAACGTGCTAATAACGAGCAGAATTATCCTTTATAATCCTGGCCTTTTTGGTATGATTTTTGGGTATTTTTAGATCACAATATTGTTTCAAAGAAAGAGATAACTTGTAAAAGTTGAGAAAATTAGTGGGGTGTGCTTTCGGCCAAAAGTCATGACGTAATCACTAATCCCTTTGTCGTGGGAAACCTTCCGAGAGCATCTTTCGCTTCGTTCCACAATCAATATGGAATTTATCTGTTCATTTGGCGCGCAATCATGCGACCGCCATTTCTGGGTTCTTGGCTTCGGTCCCATTAGTGAGCCAGATTTACCCCAAGCATATTCGTATGAGACCCCTGCGCAAATCTCGATCAGAAATATCGCAAATATCATCCTAGAGCATTAGTACACTCAGTGCTAATTGATGCTTCACTTCATTCTTCACTTTATTTCCGTCTTAGCGGTCGAATATTAATTATTATTAGTGATGACATCTCTCCGCCACCGTCTAAAAGCCGGCATCATGAGGAGAGATGGCGCTGACTGAGGACCAACTCTTTGCTATCTCAGTCACTGAGCGCGTCTGCTCAGCCATCTCCTTGACCAGTGCCTGCGCTGCCATGTCGACATACCTAATATGTAAAAAGTGTCGGAAACCTATTATCAATCGGTTGATCTTCTACGCTTTATTGGGGAATATCGTGCTCGATGTGGCAACTCTCATTGCACGATCAGCAATACCACAGGGGACACAAAGCTCGCTATGTCAGATTCAAGCATTCTTAATTCAATGGTATGCACATCTCATACAATGAATGAGTAATCCACTATGATACAATTTGTTGACTGAATATGTGTACGCAGGTTTTTTCCAGCGGATGCAATATGGGCCCTTTGCATAGCATGGAACGTTTATCTAATAGTCTTGCGCGGGTATGACTACGACCAGCTGCGGCAGCTAGAGTGGATATATGTTCCGATCTGCTACTTGCTGCCGTTTATTCCAGCCTTTACCTTCCTTTTCATTGAAACAGCGGAAAGGGGGAAGGTTTACGGCCCAGCGGTGGTACGTTTACCTTCAGCATTGGGCTGCTCATATACTGTTGTAACTATTGATTAAACCTTGTTATTAGATTGAGTGTTGGATTTCTACCACGTGGGACATACTTCGGATTGCAGCTCTCTACGGTCCTGTTTGGTTTTTCATCGTCTTAATATTCGTCATATACATTCGCGTGGGTCTACTCATCTATTCGCGTTTTAAGCAGCTTCTACAGGTCTCGAGTAATCACTCTGGCATTGAGGGTCCACATCAGATTGAGAGTTTCTCCACAACCGACAGATACGAGATGACTGTGGCGGTATCCCTTCAATGCGAGGAAAGTAGACTCCAGAGACAAGAGACAGCCGTGGGATCTTTTACCCTCACCACAACGCGTGATAGTATGCACTCAAACCTGGACACTGCTGCTTATGCGTATTTAAGATACGCTTTCCTTTTTTTTATAGCATTGCTCGTCACATGGGTTTGTCTATTTTGCTTTCCCACAGTAATGTCTTCTCTGTCTGGCTAACGACAGCTTCGCAGGTTCCATCTTCGGCAAACCGCCTATCTACACTAATCAATCCCGACTACGTAAGTTTTGGGCTCCAATATACTGCGTCCTTTGTCATTCCGCTGCAAGGATTCTGGAATAGCCTTATCTTTTTCAATATCTCTCGGCGGGAGTGTAAAGCTCTCTTTATCCACACACGTGACGATATTGCATTAAAAGTGAAAAGGTTATTCGATAATAGTGTTGAATAGTGGGAGATCATGATGTCCTAGCCTTTTAGCTTAGATACTTGTTGCCTGAAAGCTTCTTATAATTGTAAACAATATTACTAGAAGTTATAGCCAATCTTTAATTAATAATCATAGTAATGAGTGACAAATATCCCACGATCTCACCTGTAGTTATGTATGTATAAGTAAAGAATACTATAAACTGATTGGAGTTTTACAAAAAGCTAGTTCTCTTTCTTAAGATTTCCTAAGATAAAGATCTAGTGAATGTTACTTAAATGAAGTAGAGTGGTAATTCTATAACCGATGAAATGCTTCAAATGCCAATCTCTAAATCCGCATGTACATTGGTTTAAATACGAGGGCTTATTATTGAGAGTCGTGTGGGTCGATCGTAAGCAAGAGGACATAAAGATTGGTTTCTTGACGTAAATATCCCTGACCTACCTCATATGTTGCTGCGGAGATATCACGGATTTAAACAAGTCCCTATAGAGACCGGCGATAGCTTTGAGTAGATACCTCCTTTCTAAACCTATCCTATGTCGCTTGGCGCCAGCTGGCTTGATGGTTTTCTATATAAATCGACACAATATAAGACGAGTTCAATTCAGCAAACTACAGATTAAACCCCCAGAAATTGAAGCCTCCAGAACAGCGTTATTGATGCATTCACTCATTCACTGCGACTTCACTCAACTGGACAATGTCTGCAAAATAATATCTGTCTAATCACCGGCGCCAACCGCGGCATTGGATACGGTGTGGCGAGGAATCTTGCCAAAGAGCATCCAGACTACCTGGTTATCATAGGCAGTCGCACTGCAACTCATGGTCGTGATGCTGCCTCATCTCTACACGCCGAAGGTTTCCCATCGCTAACTAGTGTTGAGATTGATGTTACTTCAGACAAATCAATCGCTGCAGCCAAAGAACTTATCGAACAGCAATACGGGCGTCTCGACGTCCTCGTCAACAACGCCGGAATCGCGCTAGATGTGAAGGAAAAAGGAAACTATCCAATGCGCGAGATGATGCAACGCACCTTCGATGTCAATGTATTTGGAGCTGCCGCTGCCACGGAGACATTTCTTCCTTTGCTGGAGAAATCACCAAACCCGCGAATCGTCTTCACGTCCTCTTCCGTTGGTTTGTTGACTAGAACTGCGGATTGTTCCGATCCGTGGTCTAGTGCGCCTATCCCGGCTTACCGTGTGAGTAAGGCAGCCTTGAATATGCTTATGCTTTACTACACCAATCAGTTACTACAAAAGGGGTTCAAGGTCAATGCATCCTGTCCCGATTATATAGGCACGAATTTAAATAGTGGTCGGGGGACAGGCACTTTATATCAGGGGGCTGAGAACCTAGTTCGATTAGCAGTGCTTGACAAGGATGGTGTCACAGGGACATTTTCGACTGCTGAAGAGACTAGGCCTTGGTAGAATACCACACCATATATAGATAATAGCGATAAATAACTTCATAGTTACATAGCTACTTGCCCCAAAAATTAGTTGATTTATACGGTAGGTGATTGTGGAATACGTGTGGATAGTTGGAATTCAATACAACATACATATTCGTTTCGATAAAAGACCACAAATACACTTTATATTATTCATTGTTAACCTATATAATAAGTCTTACGAAAACTTAGAGATATTATTACGAAATTATACAGAAACAACTGAAAGCACTTGTCGACACTTCTGCAGCCAACCAATCAGAATGTACCCGCACATGCATCCGCATTCGGGGCTTTTCTCTGTCAGCAAGAGGCTTCAAATGACCAAATTTTGAAAAGAATGCTTGAACTTTCTTTCTTTCTTCTATTTTGAATTTTTAATTCTTTTTAAAAATAAAATGAAACATACAAATTATCACCGAAATTTCCGGTTCGGTTACCCCGGGGATTGCGGCGATAAGAAGTTTACGAAGATGGCGATCTCGTATTACCGGGGTTTAATATCATTGTCTGTTTTAGGGCCATGAATTACGTCTATGGATGGGTCGTATAAATTGATATAAGAAGGACAGATGGAGCCGTAATGACAACGATAATCCTTCTACATCTGCATTGCGCTCTTCGAGGATTTTTCAACATGGCAACCGCAAACGAAAACATGAAAGCTCTAGTCCTCCATCAGCGAGACCAGCCCATGGCACTCGAGACTGTACGTCGACCGGGAGCTAAAGCTGGAGAGGCAGTTGTGCGTATTCTAGCAGCAGATATTGTGCCATACATGCTCGAGGTTCTGAACGGGAGTCGCCCCTATCCTCTCTCGTTGCCAATGACCCCTGGCAATACCGCAATCGGCAGGATATTTGAAGTTGGACCTGATGCCGTTCATCTCACTCCTGGCCAGCTAGTATTCTGCGATATAACCATTCGTGCTCGCGACAATCCATCGGTTACGATTCTGTTTGGTATCCACGGTGGCGGCTATCCAGCAGCCAAGAAACTCATGGATGGCGAATGGCGGAATGCGACGTATGCCGAATATACTCGATTTCCTCTCGAAAATCTATTCCCGCTCAACGAAGACTTACTGCTAAACCAGTTTCACTATACCATTAACGATATATGTATAATGCCCGTCTTCCTAGTGCCGTTTGGAGGATTATCGGAAGTCGATGTCAAGCCAGGCGAGATAGTGATTGTGGCACCAGCGACTGGGAGGTATGGAGGTGCGGCGGTCGGGGTTGCGCTTGCGATGGGCGCTACGGTTATTGCTGCTGGTCGAAACAAAGCTGCACTGGAAGCTCTGGAAAAGATACATGCTTCTAGCTATCGTCTGAAAACTGTTGTACTCACGGACGACCTGGAGAGCAACATAGAGATCTTTCGTCAGGCAGCTGGCAAACCGGACGGGGCAGATGTATTTCTAGACCTTTCACCACCTGCTGCTAAAGGAAGCTCATTGCTATCATCTGCCGTAAAGGCTGTGCGTGCTAAAGGCCGGTGTGTTATCATGGGAGGCATGCCCAGCCCTATCGATGTGCCATATCTAGATGTTATGTTCAAGAGTATACGCTTGCAAGGCCGATTCATGTATGATCGATCTCATATAGAACAGTTGATACAAATGGTGGAATCGGGTTTACTTCCTCTAGGAGAGAAGGCAGGGGTTCATACTACGGAGGAGTTTGACCTGGCATCAGTCAATGAAGCTCTCCACGCAGCAGGAATGTTATCTGGATGGGGAGCGCATGTCGTGTTGAAGCCATAGGAAGTTTTCTTCTAGATTGAAAAATCAATCTATGGTGGATGTTAAATAGTACCCGTGAACTTTTATTTCGATTTAATTTTGGGAAAAAAAATAATACACTTCTTCATTGGTTGTTTCGCTTTGGCAGATGCAGTGACTAATTAGATCACGCGATTATTTGTGTAGTTCCAGAAAATTAGTCATTATCCTCAATCAAATCTCGACCAAACTATCCGTTCACACCCCCGCAGTCTTTTGCTGTTCTCTACAATACCAATCATCCACATGCAGTCACCGGACCAGGCACCGGAAGTCTGCGTGCGATGCAGAAATCAGAAGCGCAAATGCGATAAGCTATTACCTATCTGCTCCCTCTGTAAAAGGTGAATCACTATGACATGGACCCAAGACTAATTCACTCACAAAGTATACAGACTTGGCCATCCTTGTCACTACAAGTCGCTCATGGTATTAGGAAAATCGTCAGCTGAGCCGATTACCACTCGATCAGTCACCTTGTTTGATGCAGACGTCCTCACTCTACAGGATATTTTCGAAGCAATCTATGCTCGTTTCAAAACGGCTATTGGCAGCGAATCAGAGGCGGGCAGAGTTGCTTCAATTTACTTCCGAGACTTTGACTCGTGTTTTCCAATTATTGACTCTGCCCAGTTCTTTGAGCAGCTATCGAGTTTCTGGTACTTGCACCAGGTCGAGTTTCGTCTGCTTGTACTTTCTATTTATCTGATGACAGCTATTCCAGAAGAAGGGGAACTGTCTCGTAAAGCCCAGTCCCTGTACATCTTTATAAAAAGCTTAATTGGAACTTTGGATGGAATTGGAATTAACTCAGTTGAATTGATACAGTGTCGCCTGCTTATGACAATGTTCGAGCTGGGACATGGAATGTGTCGATCTGCATATATCTCAGTCGGAGCGACAGTTAGGGGAGCTGCAGCTCTAAAACTACACGATGAGCAATTAGAAACCTCCCTCGACTCTTCCCATGTCCTAAAAAGCCGAGAGACAATAGCACGGGTAAAGTGGGCAGCACAATTGATGGACCTGTAAGCAGTCTTGAATTTCGCTGGGGAAACTATTCGGAAAAGTCTCGTTTTAATTGAGACTGTTACTGAGTAACTTGCATGCAGACTAGCCTCAGTCCATACAAACAGTCCCAGTGCATTCGCGATGATAGCGAACACGGTGAGCTTTAGCTTGACAAATATGGCTTTGAAAATAACCATTGATTTGGAAATTAGGAAGTAGACGATATGGAGGCACGTCAAATGATGAGCTTTGGTAATCAATTCGCTGCTGTCTTTCGCTCCTTAAAGATCCTTGTACTGGCAATGTCACATGTGCATGACTCCACAGCTCGTCACGCCTATAATAGTGCGCGCGTAATGGAATTACAACAAGTTTTGAATGCCTTGAATGACGTGTTGACGCAAGAAGCAGAAACATCTCAACTAAATAACGTCTCAATGGCTTTGTGTTATAGGTAATTCAGTCTCATTCTCACTCGAATGTTATCCGTCTTTGGACATATCTGTAGACCGTTGCTAACACAATTTGCCTTCTCATTTAGTGCTTCCATGATTCTATTACAAAACTGGCATCATATATGGAACCACGAAGATGAAGCAAGCGAGAAAAACTCTTTATTATTTCTAGAGCGGAGTATGAAAGAATTCATCCACCAGTGTCGTCAGCTAGCCAAGGATGCTCCACTAAACGAGTTGCACGGTGTTCTCATTTTCACTGCATTCCCCATCTACAAGGCCGCTTCAATTTTAAACTATGACTCGAGGAGAATTAAAAATTTAGATCGTCTTCAATCTATAGGAACTATGAAAAGAGCACTTAAGAATATTAGTCGAAAATGGCTAATCGGCAGTACGTCTCTTCGTCATGCTGTCAATACTATTTCTTCCTTCGCTGACAGCTGGATCTAGAGCAATATTTGGAAAAGATTGAAGAAGGAAATACATAGAAATTTATTACAAAGCGCGGATTCTCGTACCTTATCATGAATATTTGCTCATCGATCCTACATACATTGGAAGGCTTTTCTGGCTGTTTATCCTCTATATTTTGAACTACCCTCTAACTTTTAGATTCTTGATCTCTAAAATTGTTTTAGGTAAATTAGAAGATAAACTAACTTTTGAAGATTTGAAAGGTAGTATCTTAACCTCAATGTCGGGACCGTAATCTTTCCTTGTTGGATGTACATGTATGCTGGCCGATGTGTCTCCGTTCAGACAACCCAGCTTGCGCATACGAGAATCTAATCTGCTATGTAGTTGTCTTACTTATTGTGTGTCTTCAGTCTTGATTTCTGCAATAGCCTTTTCAAAGTCCTTTAAGAATCTCCATGCTCCAAGGGACTTATATCCAGCCTTGTCCCAGTCGGTTATAGTCTTTGGGAAAAAGGGCAACACATCCAGCAAACTCGTGTCATGTGCAATGATGGTAAATACATCTGTTGATGCGTCAAAGGCCTGCATCTTCTCGATTGAAGCTTCGGCGTCAGGAAGGGAGACATTCATCAATGAGTTCGACTGGTAGAATGGTGTTGTCCGATAATCCTTACCCTCTTTTTTCCCGGGGTGAATGGTTTCTAAAACGGAGGCGGGACAGACCGATAAGAATGGTGTATTGTCATTCGTTGGTAATGGGACTTCAATGTCGTTAGGTAAAGATAGCAGCTCGGTTGGACGGTATTCGCCTGGGTGGTGAGCCACGTCCCCTCCTAGGAAGATGAATTTGCTATTTGAGGTCCGCGCAAGAGCGCTGATATGGTCATGAGCTGCTCATTACAGATGACATTAAACAATAGAGATCAGAAAACTGAGTGAGTGATAAGTTTGGCAGCATTATGCGACTTACTATGCCCTTTGGATTGCAAGATATAGAAACTTCCATCCCCGAAGTAATCAATAGCCGGATACCCACCGATACTAGCAGCAGTAGAAAAATCCAACTCGATGATTTCACGTCCGTGAAAAGCATCATCTGCCACTAATGAATCGGGATTTTTTGGATAGCCAGGGAATGTGGTGTTGTTTGTTTTGAATCCAGGCCCGACGATAAGGGAAGTCGATGGCGGAAATAGAGACGGGTCGCCGGTATGATCAACATGATGATGTGACCAGATGACTGCATTGATAGACCCCAGTTGTATACCAGCATCGACAAGTTGATCAGTCACGTCTGATTTGATGTCCATTACCGCATTGGCAGCCTCAATTTGATTGAGAACTGGGTTGATGGTGGTCAGAGTGCCTGAAGGCATGCGTCATTCTCGAAAACAAAGACACTCACTTGCAGGAGGCTGCTTCTCCTTCCATGCCTTCATGAGTCCTAAATCGTAAAGAATCCTCTTGTTTTGAGACTTATTTTCAATCAAGAAACTGTAGCATGGAATATCCAATAGATCGTGACCCGGAATTGGAGTTTGGACCACATATTTTGTTGGCACGGTGGTACGACCGCCGTGAATGATGGATACTTCCACAGACTGTTCTTTCGATAAGGGTAAAAAGATGTTTGACATTGTTGTCGATTATAAGCTGGAATCTAAGCTGCTTGAATTGAACGTCTGTAGGCAAAGACTTGACAATGTTACTGGTCTGGGTTAATCAGTCTACCATAATGGTCACAAAGCACTTTTTATAGTCGACTCAATATGAAACTATGTGGAAGATTTCAATTTCAAATATATATGTTAGAAATCCCATATTCCCCGGAGCTCTTCTTCTCGGATTAATAATATACTGATGGTGCCGACGGCTGCGGCCGCACGATGCTGCTTTTGCTAGACTCGCTTAGAAATGACCGATCTCTATGCTACTTCTCATTTTAATACTTTGGTCCGTTTTCTAGGTTTTGGATGTGTTCTTGATCATCAACGTGTAAGGCGAAAATGCCTTTCAAGAAACCCTCCCACCAGACTACCTCATCTGACGGTTTGCAACGAGTCGGCGATACAGCGATCCCACTATAAACAGGTAGGTCTAGTAGATTAGTCGTATTTTATTGTTATTATAATCAATTTTCATGACCTTACCCAGCTTTAAGGCATAAAGGTCTCTTTTTAGTGGGCAGTAGAGTGGTCTTTCGGGGTTTAAGCCCCTAATTTCCTGCGCTGCCTGCCCCGAACTGGTGCCAAAACTCTTAAATACAACTACGCGTTCTTCGCCCCAAGCCACTTATCTGCGCAGGGCGATTTGGGGGCCTTATAGGGGCTGGGGTGCCCCGGCCATCCTCCTGGAAGCCAAACCTGCGGGAGTTGCCTTATGGTTTAGGCCCGGTTTGGATTGGCGTTTCTTAATCAGGAATAGTGGTTTCAAGGCGTCCTTCCGAGCTTCTGATATCTGCGAGGCTTACAAATGAATCCCAATATCTCACCAGCAGTCCGAAGCTAGCGCCAATAGGTAGCTAAACCATGGAGGACAATGAGATATCCCCTAGAGTTTGTTTGAACTGTCGAAGCGGAAAGAGGAAGTGCGATAAAACCTTACCGGCATGTTCTCGCTGTTCGAGGTACCAACAGACCAATTCCTCCCCCCACTACATTGGCACTGGGACTGATTGTGTTCGAGATTACAACTCCATTGTAAATATTCACCACAGTCCTACGAACATGCGTCAAGTCGAATGGTATGGTCTATAGTTGCGGATTATACGCACCGCATGTCGCGTATTCGTACTTCCTATACCATCATGCAACAAGATGATAGCTTTATAACCACCTATTTTTCAACGATCCATACTTGGCTACCTATTATCAATAAATCTCGATTTCAGAGCCACATTGAGATACATCCATGTGACTCTAAGGAACTTCTACTGCTTATGAGCATGCACCTAATTGTACAGCGACCCGACTCTCAGCCCGTGCGGGGCATGATGGACAATGAGCAGTATCGAGCCATCAAGCAGCTCTATTCCAACTTATTTCTTGAGGCAGAAGGTAGCCCATCAACCGAAATTCTACAGAGTGGCGTACTTCTAGCTACATATGAGTATGGCCATGGCATGGTGGATACAGCTTGCCATACGCTTAGTTTGTGCATCTCCGCAGGCATGGCTTCGGGACTACATCGATCTAGAGTACCGTCTGTTTCAGACCTGGAGAATATGGAGAGTACGTGGAGTTCAACTAATGAATTAATCCGCACCTGGTGGGCCATTGTTATTAGTGATAGGTGCGTCCCAGCTAATCATTTCAGGCAGTCATGTCGTGCCATAAGTTTTCTCACACGATCCAGGCTTTTTTGTCTATCTTTCCCACCTGGGCAGCGTATAGCATTGACAAAGGTTCCAGAAGATGACGTAGATGACTTCCTTGATAACTTTGCTAATTCAGTTGATGGGAAAAAATACTCCTCTCCCAATCAGAAAACCTCAATTGCAAGGGCGTTTTATAGTCAAATTCAAACGTCGATATTGATTGAACGAGTTATCCGTTTTATTAACAAAGCAGATTCTTGTTTACAACCTAACAATGCTCAGTTCAAGGTTCTTGATTCCAAAATACGACAGATAATTCATGTCGCCCTCGAGGCGGAGACGACAAAACTCAACTCAATTTCGGAGGCTCTTGCAGCCGGCAGAAAGTGTGAACATCACTAAATTTTCTTTTCAAAGGCTAAATAATACTGATAAGTAAACATCTTAGTGCTCTACTCCTATTACATCAATGGTGTCTTGATTCTTCAATATTTCCGGCCTACACCCAAGAAGCCACAGAATCAAGAATGGCCATCGAGACTATGACCAGGATTATGGTTGAAACCTGCCGCGAATTTCTTCCGAAAATATACGCCGGGTGGTCCAAGTCTCATCACCCTCATGGTACTCAATTAGTGTTTTTGGCTGCCTTGCAGCTAAGACGATCTCACGCCACGACAAGCGGCCAGGGTAACCTGGGGATATTGAAGGAGATGTTACAAATCCAGTCTCGAAGATGGCACATAGCAGGTAGGTTTTCTCTTTGCAGAACTATTGGAATTTTCATTTAAGTCGGAACCAGCGAAGAACCTCGAAGAAATAAAACGATTAGAATCTGTATGACCTAGTCATTTCAGTTCCATGCGATTATATTGGTACATGGCCAAGCATACATATGTAGAAACAAGAAATAGCAAAATCCGTTAGGATCATCGACTATAGTGAGGTAAGACGGGAAACAGATATCTTGGCTATTCTACCTATTCGTCGTTGGCGTTGCAGGCAGTGTGTCAGAGTTTTCTCGACGTGTTGAGATCACGTCAAGTTATCTTACTCATTATCCAATATTAACATTACAACTCACTCGATGATACCAACCAGTTTAAATTATCGGTCAAATGCTACCGCTGAACAAAATCTCCAATGGTATGCGAAATATTGACGCCAATTTCAGGTAGCAGTATAATTCCACCCCCTCATTGGCCCCGTGCAATACGCATAGCCCGAAACCAGCCCCTGCGTACAATTCTCGAAACTCAGCGATGGATTTACATCTAGAAATAGCTTATTCGTAATCTCATCCTGAATGCAGATCTGCGCGCACGATTCGCTCTCACTCGCGACATGCCATTTCCCGCATCGCAACGTGGTGCCAGGCGCAACTGTATAATTCAGGGGCGGATCGATCGGGTACGCGCCGTATCCATCACTTTGACCCACAGCGAACGGGTTGCGAGACGTGTGAACGGGGTCTGTGGTGTTGAAGTATCCGTACTGAGGCGACAGGCATAGCACGCTCCCATACGCCTGCGAGGTTTCATGCAGGTTGGTGCAGTGAGTATCAATCCAGGGATTGAATTGGCGGAGTACGGATTTGATGGCCCGGCTGTTGTTGTAGAGGACGACGGCATTGGCTCTTTCAATGCTGCGGCAGGTGTCTTGGTCCTGGAGGATATAGGTATGTTCACAGGATAACGGTAAACAGAGTTTTGCGCCCTTGGCTACTTTTTGGCAGTCGTGAATGAGGTTTTGGTTGCCCATGTAGAGTGCTGCAGAGGATAGAGAGTAGTCGAGCGCAATTGATGTGCATGTATCCCCGTCTTTGGTTGTGTAGATGTTTTCTGAAATGCAGATGGGTTCTTCAGCTGGTTCGATAATAGTTAGGGATGACGGGATTGTTGTGTTAGCCGCGATACCGCATTTGGATACCACTGTTTCGAGGCTATGTTTGAAGATTTCGTTGTAGTATGAATACTGGCTAGACTGCATAAGTTGCAGTTTTGTCTTGTAGCAATAGGAGCAAAGCTCATCGTGGGACATGTCATCCACTGTGGCTACCCTGGTGAAGTTTTGAATGATGTCTGTAATATGAAAATTCAGCTGACAAATACACCAGAAAATAATCTAGTACTTCTCAAAGTGAAAGATGAATGAAGGAATGAACGAAATATGGCCAAACTAAAACATTGAGAGCTCACCATTGCAGTATAGATTGGTCGTAGGGTCTTTATAGCACGTCTCGTTCCATCCTGCCCACATATTACCTCCAAATCGGTCCGCCGGATTGGAAAACAAGGTGTATCCAGCACAGTTTCTTTGAACGTCATGAACCCAGTTACCTAATGACTCGCCACAACCTTTATCGCATACTGAATCCGTTAGAGTCTCATTACCCAAAGACCCGTGGTAAGCAGTCTCATAAAAGTCAAACACGTAGAGGTCACAGTCGATGGTGGCTGAGAGAGCGGTGATGCACTCAGCAGAGAACGTTGAAGGAAGATCATCAGGACTATATATTGTAAAACCAGGAAATGTCTTCTGTCCCGTCGTTTGCTCTGACCCTTTCAACCACGCCATAATGGAAGACATGAAGCCATTCTTGTTGTTCTTGGCCAGTGTAGCTATCTCGTTGACAGGGCTGATCATCTCTACGATGGCCTTGGTGATTAAGTTGTATATCCAGAGATCATGACTCTCCTGTATGTCAAATCCTTTATCTTGACAGTTCTCGGTTGTTAGACAATCTTGAGAGTAGTCAGAAAACCAACTATAGAGCCCAGCGCCAAGAAGGTATACAGTGGACGAATTAACAATCCTCACAGCCCAAGAAACAGCACACGTCTTAGAGTCAGTTGCGCAGTCAGTGAACATTGGGTCGTTGGGAAATATGCCTGTCACAATTGGCAAAGGTGCCTTCGGATGCGGCTGGAAGTAGGGAGCCTCGGTTTGAATCATACCCATTAGTATATTACTAGCACTGGATATTTGATACTGATAAAGTACGTTGTGTTCTGCGGCTGTACCGTACAGCCAAGTAGGACCATGACTTTCGATTAGGGCACCACGGCCAGAGAAGATATCGATCTGCACCTCGTCCGAAGCATCCAGATCGTGATCGGCAGTCCACATCCATACATTCTCAAGATAGGCCGACGATTTCGGGGTCATGTGAAGAAGTGCAGCTGCAGCGATGCAGTTTTTGTTAACCCCATTGCCTTTGGGGCACTGAGCTGCTTGTAAATTCGATCCAACAGCCCCTCCAACACGGAAGTGCGAGTCTAAGATAATCAAAAAATTAGCAACAAATACTAAATACATAAATTAAGGAACGTAATTGGACTGGGCAAATTGATTTGAGGAGGCTCACCCCAAAGACCAGTTGATCCTTGTGAGATTTCATGAATATTCCACTCGACGAGAACCGCGCCGACTGTATTCCCTGACACCGTGAACAACAGGTCTTGTATTTCAACGACGCCAGATTCTCCTGGCTCTCCAACTTGAATAACAGCACGCTTTTCTAGTGGATTCGAAAACTTCGGCCCTTTACCCATGATTTGCGGCCATGCTTGCCCAATAATGCGAGACCCAATCGGTATTTTCACAGTATCCGTAACCACATAGACTCCATAAGGAATAAAGACTATCGAGGACATATTTGCCGCTGCCGCGAAAATGCTACTCAAAGCACTAGTATCATCAGTCACACCGTCTCCCTTCGCGCCTGCGGTTTTGATGTTGATGATCTGGCTCATTCCGATATCGGTATATTTGGGGCGTCGGCGAGTATAGAAATTAGGTTTCACATAAGCTAGCTGTGACGAGAGCAGCGACTCAGTGCGATTCATGACGGGAATATTTTCACCATTAGCAAAATTGTTTGCCCCGTTGGCACCGGTCACTCTGCCGAAGCCCCAGTTGTCGATCTTCACCTCGTTGCCCCGGCCAGCAGGACCTTGGAGAGGACAGAATCTGTGACAGCGTTCTGGACGTTGAAGAATCCTACGTTTTGCAGGAGGAGCGAAGTGGAGTTTTCGGCATACAGCGATGTGACAATCCCGTTGGGAGTGTTCGCGATAATTGCATCTACCAGCACTAGTGAACCTAGGGATTGTCCTGTGCTGAGAGGTCCTCCAGCCTACTCAAGAGCGCCATCAGAGCTATATTAAGATAAAGCAACAAGTAAGAATTACTTACGCCACCAGTTACGACAAGCCCAGTACCGCATGACTCAATGACTACGTCCTGCATAGTCCATACCCAGTCCCAGTGGATTTGAAGCGCGGTCTTGCAATTCACAAACACCAGATGACTGGTAGTGAACTGCTGGTTTCCGAAGTAGGCACTGTATTTCATTAAGTTAGAACCTTCAGTGAGATAAAATAGGTTACACACCCAAAATTGCCTCCTACGAAGGTCAGATCAGCAAGAAAGCCGCCGCTTCCATTTTCCATATATATTCCCTACGCCAACGTCACAATTTGATCGGACAAGAAATGAGGGAAATAGAGTCAAGCTCACCTGCTGGGTATTCCCCGCCACATTTTGCAACATGTAGAAATCAATGTTCTCTAATGATGTCCCCTGGGCTACTTGCCAATGGATTCCACAGACATATGCAGACTGATCGGTACGGGTAATATCGATCTTGAAGTTTTTGATACTGCGAAGAAAGTTGTTTGTGTTGAGATACCTATGATATAGTCAGAGACAGCTAGGATGAAACGATGGGTGGATTGAAAAATAGAACCTACCATTCCTCGGTCTGGCCTACGTAGACATCCGAGGTGATGACTCCAAGGCCCACGAAACTAGATGCCGCTAAAATAGTGGGTAAATTTGTTGGCTAGAAATATGGATGTTAGCTTTGTTGTGCTTCTAATGTTCGACAAAACTTGCAACATACATCTCCTAAAAATTGCGTGTTATAGTACTGGATAATTGGACTGCTGACGAGATAAGTCCCCGGGGGAAACCATACTACAGCCGGAAACCTAGTGCTTGAATGGCATCCAGGACCGCATCTACTGCCCTCTGATATCGCTCGATTGATAGCAGCAGTGTCGTCAGTAACTCCATCGCCTATGTCCGAGTTAGCACGCGTACCCACTGCGTTGATTACTGACGAATAGACAAATTGGAATCTTACCTTTTGCACCATAATCCATGACATTTCGCCAGACCTAAAATTTCCTAGACTTAGAAAGAGAAAATAAAGTCTTATACGAAAGATTCCATCAAATACTTACCTTGTAATCAGCTGGAGCATACGGACTGGCACCATTTTGCTCTATTTTAGCCATCCAGTAAGAGGAACCAGCCCGTTTAACTCTAGCTTCCTGCATTGGCTGCTGCAGACTAACAGGTTGGTCAACCTCGGTATACCTAGAAAGCCCATTCGTGTGGACAAGACTCTGAGTCATAGCAATGGTATCATTATTCCTAGAGCCATATTTTGCGCGCATACCCTCGGCGACTTCGGCATAATTAAGATCCCAATTCGAAGGAGGCACTGATTCTGCAACCTCCTTGGCTGCTTCGATCAATTCCGGAGAAAGTATGTAGCCATACTTCGGGTTTGCTCCCATGCCCTCAGTTTCGTTGGTAGCCTGGCGTCGATGCAACTTTGACAACGAAGCATTTTTGACAGGGTCTGCATAGTCGAGTAGCGGTATAATCACAGACTGAGTCTGGTTTGCTGTAGAATTTTCAAATTCATACTTGTTGAACTGAACGTTTTGCACCCTAAGCTGATTCGCGATCCGGAGGGCCTTTAGTGCCTTTTCTACTGTGTCCTGTGCGCTTTGAGTCGTATGACCTGCGGTGTCATTACTCCGATGGTGAAGGTATTGGTGGTTGTTATGGAGGTGTTGAGAGGCCAAGGTTGGAAGGAAATAACCAAAGAGGAGAAGATAGAAGAGTGTTGATGCGGCCATATTCTGCATTAACAGTCCCTTCATGAGTAGGACGGAGTACTGAAGATGAGTAAACCACAAGGGAGTCTTCAAGTGTCTATTCTTCTTCGCTCTTGTTTCTGTCTTTTTACTGTGTTATAAATTGGTATTGGTCGCTAATGCCAGCGCAATTTCCCACCGAGGGCCGACCAACCGAAGTGCTTGATAGATATCAAGCAATTAACTACTCCTGTCCTATAAACCCCTTTGCCAAGATGCTTCAGTTCCATCGCGCTCAAAGATAGTGCTGCCTAACTACTTGGCATTTAGAAAGCCTCGTTTTTGCTATGCCGAATAATTCCGTGGTAAAAATATTGAGGCTGAATACCGAGGGATATTGCCTCAAGCTAGACGATATGGTACGATACCTAAACGGGTCCACCAAATAGCCGAAGATACACCATGTAAAAGACCAGGGTCTGGTATCCATAATTTCACTCATTTTAAGTCTTTGAGCGATATATTTGTGCGCTATTTATGGTCTCTATGGAGACGCAGCAAGAGTCTAGGTCCTAGCCATAACACAAGGGACTTTATCCCAATGGGATATCTAGTTTCTGGACAATCGATCATATACGAATCGGCTGTAGAGAATCCAGGGTCATGGTGCCTGGCAGATATCAGTCATTTTATTGGTCGGCCATAGGTCGATTTATGCTTGCCAAGACAGAAGAATTGCAGGAGAGACCTAAGTGATGCGATTTACTGCCAAGGATTTGCGGCCTTGGGCTTCAGCTCGCGGCTATCTCGGATTAAGAAGTTCCATTAGGTTCTTAGACCAACATCGTCCGATGCTGCCTAGTCTGGCTCTAAACACGAAAAACAGAGAAGAGGAAAGTGAGCTGGCAAACCCGCCAAGAGCCAAGAGAGTCGGTAGAATAGCCACCAACCGACCCAAGGCTCTGATTGGCCACAATGGCTCCGGTACCTGATCTAGAAGGTACCTATTTAGGAGATTATGTGGGCATTTCTGCGGCGCTGTCTGCCACAACTCCACGTAATTCGCGACTGTTTCAACTAGGAAAAATGAAAATATTTCTATAACCAATTGCCAAGATTAATCCCTGCTCATCGTTAATATGTTTTTGAGTCCGTCGCCAGCAGGCTTGCAGAACGTTACACCCAGAATGAAGAGGGGAGAGAAAATGAAAAGCCTCGTATTACGAACAAAAACCATGCAGCCGAATAGGGGTAAAAATTAGATCCTGGTGGAGTCAAAATAGCTCCCATTTTATTTTACCGGCTTTAGGGTATCCAACATGTTTAGATCAGGTGGAAGTTGACTCGGCATAAGGTCCTTTTGCTTTATTTAACGTTCATCCCACCGCACGAAGGCTCAGATAGCCAGAGTAGTGTTTCTGAGTGTTTGGTATTCACCATGAGTTCACCTCTGCGAGGACGGACTTGTGTTTTTCTCTACTTCTTGCTTTCTTTTTACATATTACAATGTTTTGCCCAAAATTGCAGCAAAGTCAATCCTTGTTCTACCGGCTGTTGTTCAAAACATGGTTATTGCGGTGTTGGCGATGAATACTGTGGTGCAGATTGTGTAGACACGTGTGACTACAAGCTAGAGTGTGATGCCAACAATCCATGCAAAATAGGTTGCTGCAGCAAGTCTGGAGTGTGTGGTCTAGGACCAAATTGTACGCCCGTCTTGATTCCTCTATTAATGCCATACATAGCTAATTCTAGATAATATAAAACAGATTGTGGGAAAGACTGTGTGGCAAGCTGCGATGCAAAGGCCGAATGTGACCCAGGTTTTGGAGCAGAATGGGCCACTGCCTCATCCTGCCCCTTGAACGTTTGCTGCTCAAAATACGGTTTCTGCGGTACGACGTCGGAGTACTGCGGTTCCAAAAAGGTACAGAGACCTTCATGCTCAGAAACTGGCCATCTTCAGCGAGTAGTCGGATATTACGAAACCTGGATCACCCGTCGACGATGCAACAAATTCTGGCCGGAAATGATCCCATTGGGAATCTATACGCACATCAATGTAGCTTTTGCGGTCATTGACCCGGAGACCTTTGAGATTAGGCCTTCGATGAGGTCTGACATAGATATATATGAACGCGTTACTTATCTCAAGAGTATTGACCCTGACCTCAAAGTGTTCATCGCAATAGGGGGTTGGGCATTCAACGACCCTGGTCCCTCTGCTACCACATTCTCCGATCTCGCATCTTCTGAAGAAAAGCAAAAGACTTTCTTCAGATCCCTGACAAAGTTTATGGCCACCTATAACTTTGATGGAATTGATATCGACTGGGAGTATCCCTCGGCAAGTGATCGTAGTGGCCGTCCTGAGGATTTCAAAAATTTCCCGAAGTTTATGAAGAATTTGAAAGCGGCTCTCAAAGCCACAGGCGGTCGGGATGGGCTGAGTATGACGCTGCCTGCCTCATACTGGTACCTTAAGCACTTTGATATCAAACATCTTGTCCAACACATCGACTTTTTCAATATAATGACATATGACATGCACGGGACTTGGGATAAGGGGAATCAGTGGACAGGCGAGTTTCTCAATGCGCACACAAATCTCACAGAAATAAAAAATTCCATGGATCTTATCTGGCGCAATGAGATTCCACCAGACAAGGTAGTTCTCGGCATGGCTTTCTATGGACGGGCATTCACCATGGTTGATCCATCCTGCAACAAGCCAGGTTGCCTTTTTGCCTCCGGTGCTGACCCTGGAGAATGCAGCAATGAGATTGGTATTTTGATGAATTCCGAAATCTCAAAGATAATAAACGACAAGAAAGTGGAGCCGACTCTGTATAAAGATGAAGCTGTGAAGATTGCAACCTGGGATGACCAGTGGGTAGGATATGATGATGCCGATACATTCGAGTTAAAGACCAATTTTGCCCGAAGTCAATGCTTAGGGGGCATCATGGTGTGGGCTATCAGTCAAGATCTACTGGATGGTACCTATTCCCGAGCTTTGGGCCGCGCAACAAACCGGTCAGTGATTGCGCTGGCTGATCACGCAGAAACAAATGATACTGAAACAGTGCTTCATGAACAATGCAAATGGACGAATTGCGGAGATGGCTGCCCTTCCGGATGGGTCACAGTTCCTCGCAGCGATCCTGACAAACGCGAAGGCGAGATCATGCTCGATGATGGTGGTTGTCTTCTAGACGGACAATTCCATGTCCTCTGTTGCCCACCTAAAAAGGATGTGCCAACGTGTGGTTGGTACACCTTCAACAATGGCGATTGCGATGGGAAGTGCCCAGGTAACATGTACGAGATTGGCGGCACTCAAAGAGGCTGTTCCGGCTATAAAGGTAATTATCAAGCTGCTTGCTGTACTGGAAACTCGGATGCTATGGCCATATATCGAAAATGCGAATGGGGTGCTTCATTCAATTGTGATGATTACACATGTTCCGTAACAAAGCCGGATATTGTTGCCTTGTCTGTTAATGGAAATGGAGGATCTGTTTGCGGCGGAGATTGGAGGACTGATCTCAACGAAGAGCGAAAATACTGTTGTGACTCAAGTGACGACAACATGAAATGGGATGATTGCACCTGGGAAGATCATTACAGTTCAACGGGAATGATAGCCACTCCAAAAGGCAGTGGGAATTCTTTCTGTGCTTCCAATTGTCCCGACAATAAAGTACGTGTTGCTATGGAGCATTATAATACCTGCTCAAGAAAATTAGGGTCAAGAGCGAAGTGCTGCACTCCCAAATACACGACTACCGTCACAACAGTCGACCCAGAATTCGCTGAAATGGAGGCAGATCTAAAAGCGTGGTTGGCAAACGCGACCTGTAGCAATAGCTTCTACAGCGATGGATGGACTTACGGCAGCATGAAAAAACGGTCATTATGGCCTGACCATGCTCTGAAAAACAGCACACTAACATATATGCTTTCAGGTCCTGAATCTGCCATTCATGAGAAACGACAAGATCAGCCTTTCATAATCTATACCAGTAACTCAGCCCTCCTTATCTTGAATGATATCATACGCGCATGGCGCTCTAGCTTGGTAATAGTGAGGGCACAAAAGGAGTTCGAAGCATGGGATCAAATAATTGGAGCACAGTACGCACATTTGACAACAGCGGTGATGCTGCCATTCATCAAGCAATATTTCAATTTATACAATATAGAATCAAGTGAAATAGCCACACAAGTCATTTGTGATTTGCAAGAATGGGACCAGATGATCGAGGCATGCAGTATATCCTCCAATAACATCACTTGTTCTAATATAGATCGGGATAAATGGGATCCTGAATACAGCGTTGATCCAGATACCTATGGAACATCATCGGGCTCAGTATCTCGACGCGGGGTCTCTTTTCCTGACGGAATCTTCACCTTGGACAAACGCGATGGTGCTGGTAGAGACTTTATTGTCGACTGCGGCATTGATCCCGTAACTGGCCAGAGACGTGTCATGATCATCACGTCTCAAACGTACCCAAACGGTAACAACGGAAACTCTCTACAAAATGCAAATCGCTTGACCGCACGATTTGCTCTAGCTAACCCTGAAGAATGTACCGATGTCACGATTGATCCAAATGCTCCTAACAATGTGTGGGACTGGGTTAGTATGTACAACATTCTTCATAATTGCTTTTATGGGCTCATGTTAATTATTATGCATAACAGCGGAACATATTCTTGAACTCCAGTTGATCCCACGATCCATCGAGTTTATGGTCACTGGGAGGTTACCTCCGGTACAAGGACTTCCCGAGTACCGTTCCACCAACGCATTGATGCCATGGGACTCGGCCCTACTGCTGACCAAAGATTATTCAAATACATTGCCTACAGTTCAAGGGACACCAATCGACCGAATTTTCAATGCCTTGGGTTCTAAGAAGAACCCTGGAGTTTTGAGAAATGCGGAAACCCATTTGAATTCAATGAAAGGCAGGGTACTGTCCTACCTCGCTCACTAGCCACTCTTTAAGTAGATACTGAAAGAGCTAACACATTTAATATATAGATTTTCCACAGCCAGCAACCAATTGGTGACACTGTGTGGAACACCATGAATCTCCCAGATGTGAATGCAGCTCGCGCTGCGTTGGATGAGTTACGAGTGGTAAGCTTTTTCAAAGCTAGAATTTAGATACATATCGAACTAATTTATATTCATTTTCAGGTTATATCTGTCTTTGAATATCTCAACAGTGAGGAAATTGGCCGCACGCTGGCTGACGTATATCAAGCCGTTGGCACAGAAATGCGTACTTTTGAGAAGGCCGCCAAAATAGCACAACCCGCTGCAACTTTTAGACCAAATGTTTTGTGGAGAGAGTTCATGGTGAACTTTTTTAGTCGCATGATCCGTTGGGTCCGGACATGGCTTGTCGATCATCTCAACGATTTGACTAACACGTGGCAGACGGTGTACAATCGGGCGTCTGATGACCAGACTCGAATGATTGCACGCCGCTTCATTGGCGAGATCGATCTGCTTCGAGCTCGTCTAGGAAGTGTTCAGTTTGATACCTCAACTTTCATTTTCATGTCTTAATTGGGAAGCGCTTTTGATAGAGCTACTTTGCGGTCTTCATGTACAGTGATGACATTGCCACTTACATGTCTAATTCTAACTTTTATTTTTCTCGATATCGAGAGAACTGCTATGAAGCTTCAATACATTGGGAGATCTCTGGTTCTAATACAATCAAATATCTGGCCAATTTTTTTTAGGTAGCCTAGAAAAAAGCCAACCAGCTAAAGGCCCTTCAGAAAGATCCCTATTTACTTCATGGAAATCTTGCCAGATTTCTTTTAACGTAAACCGCTGAGCAGACATGAAATCATAAAATTTGTTGAAAAGCTGCCCCCAAGTTATCGCCACGCGTCCGTCGTAACCGTCTTCGTCAGCGTTTGGTAAAGTCCACTCAGGATCGATCGCCCAGAGCCATCCAAACTTTTCTCCTGTGGTGTACGAGTCTCTGCATTCATTTGACATCACGAGAAACACGTTTGAAAGAACACCAGGTTTCAGGTTTCCTTTTTCACGGCGATCCCGAAAATCCCTAATCATTATGTTCAGCAAATAATCGCCTTTTAATTGTCTCATGCCTGAGTTAAAGAAGTCACGATACTTACCCTCTTAAACAATTCACTTCGGCCATTTCAGCAGAGTAGTCCACAAAGTCGAAAACCTTTGTGCCAGTGATTTCTTCAGCACCAATGGTGAACACCGGGACTGGCTGGCCACTTTGCAGCTCATTGAAACGTTCCCAGCAAGCATCCCATGCCTGCTTCGTCTCGTCGGACTGTTCTCCCTGGATAAACGGACGATAAATCACGTAACCCCAGGCCTTGTCATCGCTGTCAATTATTTTCTGCACCCAGTCAGGAGGATGGGTCCTCGACCTCTGTTCGGCCTTAATCCTAGGTTCAGTCCACTCCTTTAGCTTGTCCCGGTAGAGATCTGTCCCCTGCACATTTGTAACCGCTTTGAATTCGTCTGCTGAGGAGACTGCTTCGCGCGCCTTTTGCCATTTCTTCCATCTCTCTCCCTCGTCAATGATCCTACCTGCCTGATCGTTGCTGTATTTCACACTCTCAAGCTCGCCGAGAATGTGAAAGTCATCATGTATAAACCGGCATTCTGGATAGGTGAGAGACACAGGATCAGTAGATGCTAGATGAATCAAGTCCTGAAGAGATTTTCCTAGATATTTTCGAGAGTTTTCTTCCATTTCTTCGAGTGGTGGCCAGTCCATTATCGCATGTTTCTCGTCCTGAGCGATCTCATTAGGTGAGTTGATTGCTTTGTCCCAGAGATGCTCAGTGGAGAGCCACTGTTCTAGTGCTTCTGCGCATGTGGAGTTATAGTCTGGGCGATTATTTCTTCTTGGATTATTCATTTTGTATCTTCTTCTTTTTTTGGACTGTTGCTGGAATGATTGTGATGGGTCGAGTTTAGGGCCTGAATATGGAATGTCTCGTATTATAACGGCTAACTAGCCTGCCTCAAAATTGGTCTGGACTGTCTCCACATGGCCAAGCATCCACAGCGCCACGAGGTATTTTACAACCAGAGTTGCTGTTTTTAATTTGTCTTCTAGCTTCAGCCTAATTTGCCAAGAGTTTTTTTTTTCTTTCGTGTTGGTTCACAAAGTCAAAATTCGCCTCAGAACCTCAGGGTCACATTGATCTTAGTTGTCTTAAACTTTGGGATTTTAAGCTTCAAGGTTTGACACGGTGAGGCTCCCAAAATTACCCATAATTTTGTTAATTGTACATGGATCGAGAATTTACCTCAATATTCGACTAGAAAATTATTGCGTCACTTTTTAGCCTCGGGGTAAATTCAAACAATTCTCTTGTGCGTGCAAACGGCGCGGTCACCTGACCGTTGCTTGTCAGTCAGGGACTGACCTAACCCTAACCCTAAGGGAAATTTTAGGAGTTGCTAATTATTATGTTGATTGAGTTGTATAAATTCTCCTACAGGATACTTTAGAATAATATAGCTGTGAATTAGTAATGTGATTACTGGCCCTCTGTGTATGGGAATGATCATCCGTCAATATTAATCACATGCAGAGGAAGAGCCAAGAATATAACGCGGGGTGTATATTAACTGTGGTGATCCAATTAGAAAATGGGTTGGAAATCTGCTTTTTTTGACATGTCTATCTCTATCTCTAGCATCTCGCTTCGGTTATAACAATATGGCTCTGCGGCATGGATGTCTTCAAGTGGTAGGTTACTTTAAGATCTAACACAACATTTATGCTATAGGGACTAGGTATAGGCACAAGGTCACTTTATACAGCTGGCTGATATCTTACTGAAACGCATGACGATCTCTACTATGTATGCTAATACTCTGCACTTTTTGCAGTATTATAAGCTGAATGGCTATAATACAAAATGCTGTTTACCCTGCTCTGCGTATTGGGAATTAACGCCGCACGGTTAACTTATTTATTTAAATAGATAGTTGACGTATTGCAAATAAATAACTTATATAACTTTATATATATTCTTAGACAACTAGCCTTTTTTAGCATTTCCGTTTACTTTTAGTGCCCACCTCCTTACTCAAGGCGTTTTCTGTATAACCAAATACATTTCTAATAGCTATATGATTGTTATCAGGTTTTTTTGCTCCTATTTACGGCGACAGCGAGGGATTCTTTCCGGAATTGAATTTAACATGAGGGCACATTGTACATGTACTCAACGGTTAAAAAAATACAAATACATATTAACATGATAATATTCTGTTATACGATTTAAGTGATCTAAAACGTTTGTTCGAAATCATGTATGCGAGATGGATTGTGGCTCTGGCTGTCTCTAGCGACTGGCTACTTGGTTTCTCCCCTAGGCACGGCTTACCCTGAGACTACCTCCGACTATAGTGACTGGGTTGAGTATACATCCGGCCTAACATATGCAGGTGTTGAAGAGATCTACTCTATCATTGCTACTGAATTTAAAGATTGGGTACGTCATCCTAGAAAGCTCTTTCTTATTTAACATGTTCTGGCTCATTGATCGACTACAACCCTCTCATTACCGCCTTAGGTTCCTGCTCTTTATCATCTGGGGTTTGTTATTGCGCGCAAATCAGTTTTGTTAGCACAGCTCATAGTTCGACTACTCCCACTTCACAGGTAGCAGCGATGTCCACCACCTCTCCTTCTATCACTAGCTCACCCACAACCACCGCTATCACTACGATCACTACAGGGGATTATGGCATCACCACTCCCACTCCACTCCTATCCAGTCAGGGGTGGCCACTAACTGTGCCAGGTTTTACCAGATTAAGTCCGGCGATACATGCCAAAACATCTGCACGCATCGTGCATCTCGTTTCTGGCTTCTATGAATGGAACCCCGCCGTTGGGTGTTGGGGATTACGTTTGCATTAGTATCGTTGGATATACACCTACCAGCTGCGTCCCAACCATCAATAGTACAACTACAGCCGGCAATGGAATCCCCACTCCGACACCGATCCAGAGCGGTATGGTCACCGATTGTGACCAATTCCATTTTGTTATCTCCAGGAATACCTGTGCCGGTATCGCATCTTCTACAGTAATTCCCGTCTCGGATTTTTACACCTGGAATCCTACCGTTAGTAGCAACTGCTCCAGCTTGTGGTTGGGATACTATGTCTGCATTGACATAATCGGCTATACTCCCAGCACAACCGCCGCCACCACATTCATAACGACTACGACGACAAGGAGAATGATATTTCGACCCCAACCCCAACGCAGAAAGACATGGTAAGTGACTGTAATAAGTTTTATAATGTGGGCATGGGAGATACCTGTGCCAGCATTGCATCTGCTGAGGGTGTTACCGCTGCTGATATCGAGGAATGGAACCCTGGGGCAGGTAGTACTTGTACAAGTCTGTGACTTGGCTATTACATCTGCGTCGGCATCTTGTAAGGAGATTGCGGGTTTAATTTAGTTGGTGAGATGTTCTTCGGGAAGAAACTAGTAGTCCGTGTGGCGATGAGCTAGGAGGCCAAAATGAGTCATGATTCTGGAAGTGGAGCAGGTTGCAGAAGCATTTTATAGTGAATAATTAATGAGTCTAATATCGCGGGAAGGAATCATAGTTTAAAGTTATTCAAGAAGCACAACTGGATGAGCTGAAATGTGTGGGTATTGTTAGTTGTTATAACAATTGATTTCCTAGGTTCAAAACCTAATAATAAGAATCAACCAGGCCGTGAAAATCGGCTGCATGATCTAGTAAGCAAATTACGCCTATTTTGAGTATAAATATGCTGGAGTTTATGTATTTGGTTCTCAGATGTTCAATTGATATCTATTCTGTAGTTCAAGGAAAGGAACCAAGGATTAGGGTTAGGGTTCCGGTTAGCGCCATCAAGGATTTCCGCTCGTTGTTCTCCGTACTACGATAGATTAAAATACGTAAGTTGAGACATATCCCGCGCCCTACAGTCACCCCAACCAATCAGGTGTTTGCTCTAGCTTTGGCTCGGTTTATGTCATACCAAGCCGAGTATGGAATACAGGGGAGAGAGAGCGAGCCCTTGTGTATGTACATATTCAACTGCAGTTGCAAGCTGTGCTACCAACGCCCGCGCAACTTCCAGCTCGAAATGGCGAATATATGGTCCATCTTTTGCATCGGAAAGACCCATCTTCGCCGGTCTAGTCACATAGCATACATGGGCATCATTTGGACCATTAACCTTGAAACTGTCCAAGATTAAAGATATCATGTCTCTCCCCGGCCTATTGCCCGGAAGCTGTCGCGAGCTGGAAAGGTCGGAAAGCACGTTATATTCGTGCAGATTTGAATCCGCTGTACAGGGACTTTAATCGCAACAATTTCGTTGCATCTTTCATCTTGAGCCAGCCAAATTGTTGAGTACGAGCCATGGCCAAGCTTTTGAACTATCCGGTAGCTATCGTGGAACTGATCTTCAATCGTTATGGGGTGGTAGCCTCCTACTTTGTACCTTTCCAATTTCTCCACGTCCTCGATGGGAATGTACAGGTGATACAGTATTGAGTCACTCTCTGATGTCTTGGACATGAGCGCAGATGTGGAAACGTGCACTGAAATTAACTGTGGTAGAGCGATTTCCCTGGTGTCTTGCCAACGCTGAGATGAAGAGAAGAAGATAAAGGGCCTCTGAAGGGACAGAAGTGTGTTTCTCATGCTTTCATTGGTTATAAACCTTCATTTTCTCGAAAAGATATAGATTGCTGAACGAACAGGTCTTCGCCTCAAGTTGGCCCGTTAACTCACCAGACTTGGATGACGGAAGTTACGGCGGATCATATATACAACCTTATCAAAATTTATTATATTACTATTCTCCGCAACCTATTCTAAATTCTAATAAAAATACCAATCTTTGTTATTATTGATTATTAAAAAAGGCCTAACCCTAACTCTAACTCCATGCTTTTCGCGGAAAAGTGGTGAGGTCATATGGGTTTCCGCAAACAGCTAGAATGTATTAAACACATGCACATAACCCAACATCACACAGATATCTTTCTGTTACGTCAATCTTCTTTCTCTGATACATAAATGATGGTTAATTAATTAATGCGAACAATCTTCCTTGCCCACAGTCTTCAAGGATCTGCACAATTGCCTAAAATGGGAGGCGGCCAGTGGTTTCCTCACGAGAATTCGACAGAAACACACTTGGAGGATCAGAGTTCTAACAATCTGTACGCCGTAGTCGATATAGGAAGGTGAGCTCAGTTTCTTCATTTTGAATGCTGGCTTTTTGTCTTGCTCTTAAACCCCGAGCAACAGGCTAACGGTGTCTAGTAATGGCATTCGATTCTCTATATCCGATCTCTCACCACCTACTGGGCGTATTATTCCTACAGTGCATTCTCATCGCGTCGGAATATCCCTGTATGATGCTCAATACGACACCAAGACAGGCTCTAAGATCCCCGTTTCTCAGTCTGTAATTCGATCTATAATTGGGGCAATCTTGCGATTCCAGGCAACTTGTGTACAATTCGGAGTACCGTCAAACCGCATTCGTATTGTTGCAACAGAGGCAACACGTACTGCAATCAACTCGGCGGAGATCGTCGCATCGATTGAGAAGACAACTGGTTACAAAGTTGAACTCTTAGAAAAGGCCCGCGAGGGCCTTCTTGGGGCGTGGGGGATTGCCAGTGGTTACTCGGATATTGAAGGGCTGGCGATGGATCTCGGAGGAGGGAGCACCCAAATTACATGGGTGGTCTCTCACGGTGCTGAACTTCATATAAGCCCGCAAGGATCCGTTAGTTTCCCTTATGGTGCTGGGGCTCTTTCAAGGACACTGGCCGAGTTGAAAAAGGGAAAAAGCAAAAAGGAAGCAAACCGTGCCGTCGAGAGACTTCGTCAAGAGATGGATAATAATTTCCGGGACGCATACAATAAGTTGGAAATTCCGGAACGTCTGGCTGAGGAGGCCAAAAAAAACGGTGGCTTTCGCATGTATATTTCCGGCGGGGGTTTCCGTGGATGGGGTTATCTGCTACTCTACCTACATCAGACAAAGGGTCGCCATTACCCAATATCGATTATCAACGGCTACCGTGCCGAAAGCGACGAGTTTGCGAAGACAGAGACCCTGAAGGAGATAGCTCGGACATCGGATCGTATATTCCGCGTTTCGGATCGTCGGCGAAAGCAGGTCCCAGCAGTCGCCTTCCTAGTTAATGTCCTGGCTGAATCGCTTCCGCACGGAATTAAGGAAGTGTACTTTTGTCAGGGAGGCGTCCGAGAAGGAATTCTTTTTCAGCAGCTCCTACCGGTCATCCGTCTACAGGATCCCCTGGAAGTCGCAACAACTCCATTGAGGACGCGGTCCGCCGACTCTATCGGCGATATGCTTCTTGGGGCTATTCCAACATCCTCTGCTGGGAACAGATTGTCTATCCCAAGCACACTGAATGTTCATGTGATTCAAGCCTTTGCCAATTCCATGTATGCGCATGCAGGTATCTCGAAGGAACTTGCTTCGACTGTCGCACTCTATAGCACTAGTACTGGTATACTAGCACAGGCGCATGGGATTTCTCATGGTGACCGAACTCGACTAGCTCTCATGCTCCAAGAAAGATATGGCAGCCACTTACCCCCGCGAGAAGAAAAGGCCAAATCGGCATTTCAAGATCTCTTAAGCGCCCAAGAAGTATGGTGGATACGGTATATCGGAAAGCTTGGTCTAGTACTAGGCATTCTCTTTCCTACCGGAATCATTGATTCTTTTTGGCCGCGTGTCTTACTGTCGGTCCAATGGGCGTCCAATTTAGGAAAGCGTCAGAATAAGTTCGGGATCGAGCTTACATTCACAGTGCATGCTACCTCTGATCATATGGCAATAAAAGAGATCCTAGAGAGAGCCAAAGGAAAAATAGAAAAGGTGGGAAAGAAGAAGAACAGGATTGGAGGCAAAGCTGGGTGGGGGGTAAAAATAAAGGTAATCATCAATATTACTTGATACACTGAAGAGAGTGAGATACATAATGCAAACGATGATATGATAAAAATTATGAAGGTGATTGGGATTAAATCGCTATTGTACTGATATTGGGTGTTAGTTGACCTACTCTACTAAATATGCTATCGCGGAATTCGACCGTTAGACCCACACGGGCACCTAAAAGGGTAAAAGAATGTCAATTGATTTATTTACACTATCTACGGATAGTGCAGACATGAGGTCCAGTTTTGGGTGTGTTGACTCTCTTGTCTGTGGCACTTAAGCTCTTGACTTGACCATTTCAAATGGTTGAGATGTCAACGTTACCTTTTTCTGTCGTCTGATTACCAATTATACATGTACTATATGGTAGATGTACAGTAAACTATACCCATGTATTTACAATACCAGTCGGTTGTTAGAGCGAATGGAATTCCAGGTAGTATAGTATATATATATATATATATATATATATGCCACTCCTAAACAAGCAATAGAACCATCAACGCCATTTATAAATCCAGACATACCATAAAAAAGCAAGCAAACTCCTCTGTCGCCATTCCAATAACCTGCCATTTACCTGAATGTAGTAACTATCCCTGATCATCCTGAGAACTCCGTGCGTAGATCAAAGATTATACTTTGACTAAGAATCAACAACCATCTAGTCGGTTCTACGAGTTGTTTTTTTCTTCTGGTAGAGTGATTCATTGATGGTGACCATCATCGCTGCTAACTACACTGCCAATCTCTGACCAACTGGCAGGAGTAGCGACCCCGTCCGTGGGCTGGCCCCATTCACTCATGGTACCATCAGAGGATGCCTCATCATGGACATGGCTTAGACTTCCGGGTACAGATGACGCAGTGGATAGGTCGTAGTCTCTAAATGGGTTTGTGGTATGAGAGGTTCCAGACGAAGGAACAGTAGGCTCACTTGGATGAGCGTAGTAATACCCAGAGCCCTCAGCTTCCAGATGATTAGGTGACCTGATAGGAGACTCGATTGGGAAATATTCAGACCGCGACGCTTGGTCGTGTGATGAATTGATTGACCCGGTAGAGACCCTTAAATCTGTCTCGGGGAATTCAGAGGTTGGGGTTAGGTCTACTAAAGACTCTGATGGATGGTGAGAGGAGGCTTCGGACACGACAGCTAGACGGAGGCGATCATGTTCCATCACTTCCATCATCTCACGTTGGGCCTGGAGGCGGTCCTCAGTAAGAGGTTCCGACGCAACAAGATCGCCTCGCCTCTGAATCAAACCCATATCACTTGTTTCGAGCGCAGTCGAGAGCGCAGTCGACTGTGCAACGGCAACAGTCCCGGACCTATCCGCAGTCTCTGAGCGAAGCCGGCCTTCATTATCCACCAAACTATCGAAGCTAACAGCTATGCTGCTATCAGAAGATTGAGTTCGTAGACGAGACTCCATGAACGCTCTGCGTTGCGAGAGCTCTTCGCGAGCCTTCTGTCTCCGTTCTGCGGCGGCTGCTCCGGGATCTTCGGTCATAGAGATATCTTGTAGCACCGACTCTCGCGGTTGGATTTCATCGCCTAGATTATGAAGAGCAGCGGCGAGCTTTCGGCGAGAGTTGTTGACCCATTGTCGGAACTGGGGACTTTCGTACACGGCAATCCCGGCAGCAACGATAACGGACACGCCGATGATGATACCTGGTATGAATGTCAGTACAGCTGCATACAATATATATTTGCAGAACAGCCATCGAAACAGATGAATGGAGAGTCAAATATGTGCTACAGGCTCATCAATAATACAGCCTGGCTGCCTAGTATATTTGAAACCGGCAGGAATGGAATGACGTCGACGAACCTTTGGCTATTGGGGCCGGCATAGCGATTGATAAGCCAGGTATGGCCGGCTGCGTATGTGAGAGTATTCAAAACTAGAGTTATGATCGGATACTGGAAGAAGCAGAGGGAGGATATCGCCGAGTCACGACATTTGGAGGCAGCCTTGTCGTTGCCTTCGCACGATCCAATAGACGATGACGACGACGATAAGCAGGAGCTCTTAACGCCGACGGCCGAGCTGCTCCCCGCACTCCGCCACGTGATGCAAGCTAGCCCTTATCCACGAGCCCTAGACGCGTCCTCCTCCGTTCCCTTGCAACAAACGCTCAAGAACCCAGTACACAGCTGATCCAGACACATATATTAATCCTCAACTCTTTGCGTGCTAATACCCACCATGGCCGGCCCAGCGCAGAGGACCCTGACTCTCACAGAGGAGCTGGAGAAGCTAGAGCAGTCCATCACCCTGACGCTACAAGGTAAACAAACCAAACCAGAACAACATCAGAACAAACCCCAAAAACATTGCTAAGCGGCCCATTGCAGAAATCGACAGCAATTTTTCTCGTGCGCACAGAATCGTCACTACCAGCATTTTGCCCGTCGTCGAGCAGTATGCCGAACAATCTAAGGATGTCTGGGAAGGAGCCAAAGTAGGTTCACAACACTGCACTACACTACACTACAACAGGATCGCAACATGAAGAAGAGCCAGCTGATATGATCGGGATCCATAGTTCTGGAAACAATTCTTCGAGTCCAGCGCCAACGTCTCGCTGTCGGGCTACGAAGAACAGCCAAACGAGGATACAGAGCACGAGCAGACAGTGACAGAAGACTCGACGAATATCACCACCACGCACACTGACGACGACGCATCATACGAGACGCCTTCGTCCGAGCATGGCAATGAAGTAGATTTCTCGTCCCTCACCATATCCCCGTCGCACAGCACACCGCGGGCGACAGCTCACAAGACCCGTGCCAGCGAATCGCCTTCATTAATGGCGTACTCGACGCCATTCGATGGCCGCAATACCACCACCAGCCGCGAAGACGACACCTCCACACTCCCCGAAACTACAGCCACCCCCGTCCGATCAAAATACCACCCCTCAGAAACACCCACATCATCTCCCTTCCTCCCACCACCCTCCTCCCACAAACCTGACGTATCAACAGCAAAGCGAACCAAAGACACCACAGACCCGGTCCTCCACCACGTCCTCGACAAAACATACCGCGTCCAAGCCACGCCACTATCAAAAGGGTTCAAATCCACCAAATTCGCCATCTCCACACCCAAAGACAAACCCACCTCGCGTTACGCATTCGACTCCCCACTATCCAGCCCAGAATTAGAAGCACCGAAACTGCATGACGAAATCTTCTCCTCCCCAATGAAAGGTCTTTCAACTCCTGGTAGCGCTACCAACCGCGCGAATCAGCGACGACGTAGGCAGAGTACTGAAAAGAAGACGCCGAAGCCAGGGATCAGCGTACTCACACCAGCAGCCAAGAGGATCCCGCGCTCCGGCAAGAGTGGCTGGGAAAGCGACGAAGTCGATATTAATGAGGGGTTTGACGACGACGATGATGATACAGATGCCTTTGGGATCAGTCCGCCGAAGACAATGCAATTCCATATTCCGCATAGCCGGTTACTGAAAACGCCGGGTAAGCCACCTCTTCCTCTTTAATCAAACCTTCACTGAATTTGTTTTTTTTTTTTTTTTTTTTTTTTGGAAATATTGTGACTAACGACTCGTAAAGCCAAAGAAGCGTCGAAGCGCATTGTTGAGGATCTCCTCGCGACGGCCGGTGGAACTGGGACTACAGCGGACGATCTGACGGGGGGCTACGAGGTTCCGCACAGAACAGGGGAGGACGAAGAATATAGTCCGACGGTTGTTCGAAGTGGTGCTCGTTTGGAAGATGATACATTCTGATCAATTGATATTGTCCATGCCGTACTGTACAACTGAACTTAGGATTAGATCTGGAACATCACACTACATATACATATACAGTCGCTAGGACATGTACGCTTGTAATTATCATATGCATGTGATATTGTTGGATATGTTGTAATGACTGGATGATTGAAAGCTATACATGTGGATTGGATTGGCTTGCCGCTGCCACGAATAGAAGCTCCCTCATTCTCACTCTGGCAATAAAGTACAGTACAGGTAACCGGTTCTTTCTTCGTCTCTTTTGAGACAGGATTTAGAGACAAGTATAACGACAAAGAACAGCATAGACGATGGATCACAAAGCAAGAGGTATTCGAGCTCTCAAAGCAAAGCAGTCGCTGTAGCAGAGAACGACCTGCGTCCATCTTACTTTTCTTCAATTTCAACCCAAGTAATAGCAACAACAAGAACAAACAATAAGGCCAAGCTGTATGGAAATTGGGTATAAATCGTGAATGAACACAAAACCAGTGATGACAAGACAAGACAAGACGAAGAAGACGTGCGCTGAAACGCTCAAGGAAAAAAAAGGGGGGGTTCGGGCAATCAACAAATTCAAGTGTTGAGGGTGTCGTGTTGATTTTGGATCCAAAAGATGAGATAACCTAGCACAAATAGGAAGGGTATTTTGTATAATTGCAGAAAGAAAGAAAAGCAGTGGCATAAGAAATTTTCATCTTTTCATAGGCATATGCAGGAACTTTACATGAATATTTCCTGGCAATTCTCCACGATGAATTTCAGAGCTTCATTCTTCTTTTGCACATCAGTCATCTCACGAGCAATCTCTTTGGGCCGCATGATAGTAGGAGCAAAGACAACAGCGACATTCTGGCTGGTCATGAGATTCTGCTTCTCATGCTCCACGACACGCTTGAGGTGGAAAACAAGGAATTCAAGCACATCACGATGCACACGAGGAAGAGTTTCAAGAGCGGCACGCAACGCCTCAATCCGACCAGAATGTGGAGTAGCCTCGTTTGTCTCAAGGACTATGTCGTAAGAGTCGTAAGTGATGAGAGGCGTGGGAAGTTTGCGGAAATACTGTTTTAGGGCCGAGGTCACTGCATGGATATCCAAATCAGGATCGGATATATCAAAGTCATTGGCATGCTCAAATCCATCTCGGATGTTCTGGGTGACAGTTGAAGCGCCCGATTTACGGTAGATTCCCTCTTCATCCATACCTATTGAAATAATTATTAGCGATAGCCTAAATTTAATAAAGAGTAACCATACCTCGAAGCTCAACCTCCTGAATGCAGCGCGTGACAATAGAAGGGATAATACTTTTCTCCACTTCCATTCGTTGGTCCAAATCGACTCCAAAGAGACCTAAGCGATGGTATTAGCAGAGTCCTGGGATCGTTCAGCAGCAAACTTACTTTCGGAATTAACAGAAGCAGCATCAGCCAGACCTTGGTAGCTGCCATTCTGTTGAGTTTTCCATGCCGCTTGCCGTTTCTGATTGCCGAAAAAGCCAAATCTAGGCTCCTGCGTTTGCGAACGCGGCATAGGTGAATTTCCTTCTACACTTTGTACAATACCATCAGGTGTGAGCTCCCTTTCACTGGAGAAGGCTCCTTTGAGTCCTTTCGTGACCCCCTTGGCAACTGTCTGACCGCCTCTTTTCCAGTTAAACTTGCGCGGCTGACCTTTACGAATGCTGACAACTTGCGGCCCAGGCACAATGGTGGCCGGTTCGGCTTCGTCTTGAATTGTCATGGTAGAAATAGAACTAGCGAGATCGCCCTGCCTGCCAGCATCCACCGAGCCAGTTGATTTTTCCTTGCTATGAGAGTAGATGCCCAGCCCATTGGTGGGACGAGACGCATCGACTGTGGAGTTGGCTTTGTAAATTCCTTGAATCTGGTGAACTAACTGATTGTTCAACTCTGCCAGTTGAGCATTCTTAGATGAGAGTTGTTCAAATTCTTGGAAGCTCTTGTCTTTCATGCGAGAGAGATTTGCAACCTCCTCAAGCAGGGTTGTTCGTTGTTGCATAAGCTCCTCGATTTGTGGAGAGAATGAATCTTTCAGTTGCTGGAGCTTCTCTGCAAAGCCACGAACGACATTATTTGTCAGCTTGGCTAGGTCCATAGGAGCACTACCGTGTCTTTCCTTTTCCAGATGTTCAGTGATTGCTGCCAGTTCACGCAGAACCACTTCCTTTTTAGTATCCAAGGACACCATTGTTGACCGCTTCTCGCGCAACTCGCTGTCAGCTTGTTTCACATCAGCTTGAGCATTCAATGCCTTCTCTAGCTCTGTGATCCTTTGATCTCTTTCTATGATTCTTTGCCGCTCTCTGCGCAGCTCACTCTTAAGCCAACTCACATCCTCCCGATGCTCAGGCGAGCTTGTACTAGGGCTGCTAATGTCTTGGCCAAATGTGCCCCCGTTGACTGGAGATTTCGGCCACTTGTCTTTAGACAGTCGGTGGCCCTTGTCACTGAAACTGCGCCCGTGACGAACGGAATTTGAAACTCGTCTCATAAATGATTCACTTGATTCTTGCTGGTTGAGTGCTTCAGCTCCCAGGATCCTAGCCAAATCTTCATCCATCGAGAAATCACCGCCACCACTATATCGCAGCAATGCAGGCGGTGTATTCGCCTCGATTCGCGTCATATCTGACCGAACCGTCGCAATAGAACCATCACGGAGACGGTCAATGTCTCGCGAGGGCTGATTCGGGCCTACAAATGTATCTTTGGACTGATCTGGAAGCCCTGACGATTGACTTGAAGGTGAAAGCACGTCCTCATCATTTTTCTCCGAGGCTGCAAAAGCTACATTCGGTTTTTGCTCGCCATAAACAGGGGCTTTGCCAGAGCCAACATCTTTGCGTTGAATTTGGCTTGACACATAGTGCTCTAGAGAGTCACCTCTTTTAGGAAGGAATTGCATTGTGTTTGATGTGGGAAGAGACCTTCCCGAATCACCGGAGCTATTCTCATTCAACTGGCGGGGCTCATTTGACGGGCGGCCTGACACTGTCGGTGTTGAAGTAGGAATAATCGAGGCTACCTGGGAGGAAATATGGGGTACTTTCGACGTGTCTGCGGTAGCGGCACTAGGTGAGCTTGTCGACGAAAGAGATGTACCATCCTTGGTCGCATTGAGATCCGACTTGGAGCTTTCAGTCGAAGTGGATTTCCTTCCCTTGGGAGCCTCCTGTAATTTGAAGTTGTCTTTGCTTTCGCTCTTACTGTGAGCAATTTGGGGAGTGGGATCTTGACGCCAGTTACTAGTATCAGATTGCGTCGTCTGACGCCCTTTTTCTTGGAAGGCAATATGGGAAGCTGACTGCTGGAGACTTTCTTGGCGATCGGCAGATACGTGGCGCGACGAACCCGCGGGTCGAACAGGATCAAAGTAATCTCGCGAAGGCACACGCGCTTCATTAGCTACATCATCTCCACGGGATGCAGGGCGTTCATCGAGAGTTGGATCGAACGCAACGGGTATTAAGAACTCATCCCCAACTTCCATCTCTGACTTGGTAGAAATTGCTGAGTAACGCTTGTTAGAAGAGGGACGGTAGGCACTCGACGGGAGGATGAGATTATCTGGAGGGAATGATTATTAGCCATTTGGTCATATACGTTATTGGCACAGCAAAATTACCCTGGTTCTGCGGCTCTGGTTGGTTACCGGGTGAGGCATCCACCCGGCCGTAAGTTGAATTCCGTTGCTCTGAAGAACGGTGGTGGGAGGAAACATCTGGGGAAGCAGAATACTCCCTTGATGGCGGAGGCTCAATCTCCCGGGGTGCGCGCTCTTGCTCCAAGCCGGGTGGCAGTGAAGGTAGACTCTTGTCAAGCTGAAAGTTGAGCTTCTTCGCGGCGGTCTTTTTCTTGCGCCGTCGTTGCATGAGCGACTCATGGCAGTCCATGCAAAATATACCCTGCGATGTCCTAGCATAGCGAAGGTTCTCGATTCTCCTCTTGCAATTGCGGCATTTGAAGCAGTTGGCGCAGAATGCTTGGTCGCCGGTTAGAATGGCTAGGTCTTCGATTTTGTTTCCGCAGGAACTGCAGCTGTATGTGCAGTTGCTGCAGATTAGAGACCCATCACCAAGGAGCAGCAGATGAGCATCAGAATCGAGCAATGTGTTACAAGTGTTACATCGGAAGCAATCAATATGCCATCTGTTGCCCGCTGCAATACGATTAATAAAGCGCTACCAGGAACGATTGATCACACTCACCTAATTCAAAGGCCTTTCCTTCTTCTAGGATCTATTGACACAGCGCGTTAGCGGGGGCAAGGCGACCTGGTGAGTAATCAGAGAAACCATACTTCTCCACAGCCCTTGCAAGGGTAAGGCACATCGTCCTGATCCATTGGGGACTCGGGATTGATTGATGGGGATTCCATCTCAATATCCTGAACAGCTCACTGGCTGTCTTTTATCAAAGCCGTCGCTCAAACACAGGGGTTATCGGTGGTGGTCGCGCATGAGAAGACGAGCGACGACCGGTGGTGCGGACGAGGCAAGGAATCGCAATGCCGCTGACGAATGATGTATAGGGGGCGACTCTGTCATATTCAGCAGCAGTTAGCCGCCATATTTCACGTGTGCCATGACGCATACCGCACGCAGCGGCCGTTGGCTGATGGTCTCATGAAGGCGAAAGCCGAGTGCGCACCATGGAACGAACTCGCTCGAGTATCGGGGAGGAACAAGTAGCAGTCAACAACGTACCAATCTAGTTCGATGGGAAAGAAAAGTAGAGACTCCAACAGCGATAATATTAATATATTTGGACGATGCTCGCACAGAGAAAGCGCAACTTCAGATGCACGCTCTGATGCGTGCGGGATCCTTGTGGTCGCTGGGCGGCGGCGCGGCGAACGGAGGAGAGCTTCGGACAGTCGCCGATGGGAGACAAGCCAAACGAAGACTTGCCTGGCGAAGTAGTCCAGTAGAAGAAGCAGGCGAGGGGAGGGGGGTAGGGGGATGGGGGATGAAGGACACAGGATGGAGAAGCGAGGATTGATTAATGAATCGTGGTGGTTAGTGGTAGTTAGTAATTAAGTGGTGGTGAGTGAATTGGCAGTTTGAACAACGTGCTGGTCGAGGTTCTGGACTCTGGCTGGCTCCTGCGGCCGGGGCGAGAGGGGGCCGCCTTCCACTGCTCCTCCCTCGACAGCTCCTTCCCATTATACAACAAATATATATTATATCTTATATCTTATATCTTATATTTATATGTGTGCATATGATATTATTTATATTCTTCGCAATCGCTTATTTTCTTACCATTAGCATGCACTGCTCTTTTGGATTTACGGTTGGTTGTCTGGCGTCTGCTATATGTACGTGCCCGCGCACGGAGCCATCAGCGCTGTCACTGTCAATCTCAGCTGCAGCAGTCCGTCCATCGCGCCGAACAAAGACATTATCACAGAGAAAGCGCACTGCTTTGTTGACGAGGATACTACGAATGCGACTGCTGGAAACTGAGAAAATAAGGAAAGAGGAAAAGAAACTAGGTCGGTGAGGGGAACGGATAGAACGCGGGTCCTAGGTGAGACGGACGGGTCGTGATGAAAAGGAGACTGCGTACACACTCCGCCGAGTAGAGAGGACCAAGTCCTACAGTGGGAGGAGTATGATATAGTTACAGCTAGCCCGCCGCAGTCCGTCCTAATTCTAAATATGTATTAACAATATGGCCCGAGCGCGATGGCCGTGAGGAGACACGACTTGTCTTTGGATCAAGAATCCCGACAAATTGCCAATCTTGATCCTCGTGCGACGACGGCAGGCAAGCAGCACCTCAGATCGCACAGGAACAGAATTGGCAGAATATCATTCATGGCTGCTGTCATTGGTCCCGAATGTGCCTGGTAAACGCGCGACGCCAGGGGTATACAGGGCAGTAACACCAGGAGGGACCGAACCGGCGAGGGGTTAGTAGTTAGTCTTGCGGATGCCGGCGGTGGGCCAGGAATGCGAGGCATAAATCGAGACCCCTGATTGACTGGCAGGGCTCGCTAGCTGTGCTAGAACGAGAGTCTAGGGTCAACGCTAGTAGAGATAACAGCCACAAGTCAAGAACCGGAATACTACAGCATCTTAGGAGGAGTAGTACTATGAGACTCGATCAGCGAGCGTGATGCACAATAATAATCAAATAGTAACGGACGTAGGGATAACGGCAAGCTGAAACGAGCCTTCCCATGGCTGAGCCGTCTCGTGGGTCTCCTAACCAGCGCATATTCTTCTCGAACGTGGCTGATATCTCATGATCGTTCCGCCACGTATTCAATGAACACAATTATTATTATGCTTTTCCCATCCCTGCCCGGACAGCTGTCAGCTCCACATTCCAGGTCCTAGGCATGAAATAATTACAGTACGTTCTGTCAAATGTCAGAAATTGCATTGGAATGCCATACGCCCCACACGTCACTATCCCACTTTCCCATCGACTCATATGACATCTGTGTGAGCATAGCTGACGGACGTAGCCAGATGTTTCAACTTGCGTCAACACGGCAGGCCACCGCTAGTTTGGCGCGCGAGCCACCTCACCCTAGTCTCTCAGTCTGTCAGACTCAGTATGGCTGCACTATGCCAGAATAGTACCATCGGATCGGGACACGTTACACGGCTAGATTCAAAGACTCAAATTAGCAGCTGGGATTACATATTGCCAGGATGCTTGATCAAAACACCTGCATATGTAATAAACTAATAGTTAATACACCGTCGGCAATCTGTCAAACAGACTCATGTCCAGACCGAAAACGCAATGCATACAAACCGGGTCAGCGTCTCCATCGGGCTTAGCCCAGGAACATGAAACACGCGCCGAATACGTGTTTCAACCTGGAACGCAGCGGTGCGACCAGTTTACTTGTAGCTACGAACATAGTACATATTGCATTACTACTCCTAACAAGGAATGATGGGACGGCGTCCAGATTCTATGAGATGTAGCCTTGGAATACTGAGGGGAAGGTTTATATCCTGGTGATAGGAATTGATAATTAATGTTAGATTAAGTATGGTGCCGAGTCCATGTGTCAAATTGCATGCATGTGCCGCGTTCCCCGCGTTATTCGCGTTATTTAGCCACCAGGCAATTACATCAATTGACTGCACACTGCACTGGGCGATTGTTTGACTTGGAAGTGTAGCGATAAAATTAATTAGATCAAACCAACTCCAATCCTGTCAATTCTGTGAACCGTATCAAAAAAACAAGTAGTAAAGCCAACTCCTGTACATTCCACATCTTAGACAACTCCAGCTAAGACAGGGGTTGGATCAAAGAGCAAAACAGAATTTAAAAAAAAGCAAGCCGGAAGAATGTAATGTAATGCATGTATGTACAGACCTACAAGATCAGTCGCTGCGATGCGATGCAGATGCTTTCTTTGCAATAAAGTATGTCAAAAGATTCCGATGATCGTTGCCAGCAGAATTGATCATACGCCAAAACGCCTCTTCGTCGTGCATCATCTCGTGCAACTCGACGCAATACTCTGTGACGGCGCGTCTAACATCAGGCTGGGGCTGGGAAAGACTCGTGTTTCCGAATTTGCCGAGTCGAGTGATCTCGGGCTCGTTGAGTTTCTTTTGGTGCTTGTTGAGACGATGCAGTAGGCCTGTGAGAACGTAGATGCCCATTGTAATCGCGCGGTAGCCCTCGTCGTCGTGTTTCTCGGCCTCGACCAGGTCGAGCACGGCGGACATGACGCCCTCGGGCTGGCAGGAGGCGACTATGTCTTCTGCGGTCTCTTCGAGACCGCTGACGATGTGGTTGGTGAGGTCGTACTGTTTGCGGGTGTTGAGGAGGGAGGTCATGATGCGCGGGTAGTAAGCTGTGAAGTAGGTCTCGTTGTATGCGAACATCAGGCGGATAGTCACGAGGATTTGCGTCTTCAGATCCATGGAGCGGCTGGCCGGCGACCGTTTATCGTCGCTTGGTGCTTCTAGTGCGTCGAGCAGCGCTAGGAGCATTTCATCGTACTTTGACTCGTCGCTGAATATCGAGCCGTGGTATTTGATGAGCCCTTGCAATTTTCGGTATCCGTGAACATCTAGAGCTTTCGCTTTGACGCGTATGATGCCCTTGTCGATCATTTCTTTGGCCTTTGTAAGATCTTTTGATCTAGGGCTGATGCTTCGACGTCTTTCTACGACTTCAATTTTGCCCCATGTTCGACGAGTGTTCTCTGAGCCATCAGAAGGCAAGGTAGTTTCAGCACGAGTGCTTGAAGGGATAGTTATTTGCTTATTATCGCGCGGTGCCGGTGTGTTAGGTTCGTTCACCGGAATTTCTTCCAGAACAGGTTTCCGATGGTCAACCAAGGCAGTATCTTCGTTGCCAGGGAGTGTCTTGTCAAGGGACTGCTGAGCTTCAGGGTCTTCGTAGACTGTAAGACCTCCAAGTCTGGGCTCATGTCTTGGCTCATGCCTTGATTCGTGTCTTGTATCATTGTGGTACACAATCCGAGGAGCGACCGGACTTGGTATCTTGCTCGCCTTGTCTTCGCTTCCATGCCGGGAATGACGCGCATGAGGCGAACCGATAGCCGAAGCTGTAACCCTTGACTCAGTGCTATTAGTTCGCGAGTGCGCCATTTGTGTGTAAGAAGCGGTTTGCGTTTCGATAACAGGCGCATCGTTTTCAATGATGTGCCGGTCCTCTACTGCCCCAATCTCATCGTTCATAGCCGCAACATGTGTCGATTCTGGCGCATAGTTTTGATTCATTATTATTTGCTCAGCCGCCTGGCTATCTTCATGTAAGCCAGGCTCAGCGATCTCGTTATCTCTTGCTAATTGTACGACATCCTCCGGGTCGCTCTTTGGTCCGGGACGCGAGTCGCTGGATTTCAGACTTGAAATGTCCAGTCGTCTAGTACTACTAACTGGAGGGAGCCCTGTTCTTGATTTTGGTCGTGCAGGTGATTTTGTACTCGGTGTCGTAACCGACTTGGTTCTAGGCTTGGCTGGGCTGACATCTGGGCTGAAAGTCTTCAGATGCGAAGCCGCGCTTGGAGGTCTCCTATCAGCATAAGGATCGGCGGTAGCAGGCCGTGTGATTTCCGGGCGTCGCGGTTTCACGCCCGGTCGCATGGGTGCTGATGACAACGACGAAAGATGGCTTCCTGTGGGAACTCGCACAGTGCTGCTGCTAGTTGTAGTCTTGGATGCTGGAGTTCGAGATGGAGGGCGGGTTGGTTTGCTATCGGCAAACGCAGACTGCGCAGACTCGGGACGCGGTGGGATGTTCTTCGCCGCCGCGGCTCTCTTCTGGGCTGCGATGGTTTCTTTAAGAGCTTGGCGTTGACTCGAGGCAGAGACGCTGCTAGATAGCCCGGCTCGAGGACGACTGTCTGAAGAAACAGTAGCATTCGGGTTGGATGGATCTTTCTCCAGCAGGGATTTAGACTTGGTATCCAGTGTAGACATTATTCTGTAAATAGAGTCAGCTTAATTACTTGGAATTGTGTAAGTGCACATACTCATCAGCCCTATCCGGCCATATCTTATAAAATGTCCAATATGTCCCCCGCATGCTTTCTCTAACCCCAGGGTTGGGATCTGAGAGACATTTCTTGATGCATTTCTCAACCAGATCCAAACCCCCACCGTGTTCAATAGAACTCTTATGCCGGGCTTGTTTGATAAGAAGGGATTTCAGCCAACCAGTCGCATACAAGCGCGGCTGGACGTTTTTATCTTGGCAAGCAAAACAAAGATGCTGAAGGATACGAGGAACGTAAGTGACGTTTTGTATGATTACATCAACAGTGGTATTGCCGTTTTGTGCACTGATTTTTTTCATTCCTGCACAAACCTTGATCATATTTTGTAGTAACATTTCCACCATATGATCAATCGCTGGACCGCAGGTTTTGGCGATTTCCTGGATAAGAAGGCAGCCGCCCGTGGATAGGGTAGTACGCAATGAGTTGACAACCTTTAGGATTCCATCAAGAAGGGATTTGATGCCTGCAAGAAAGTGCTGTGAAAAGGATTGAGGAGCATTTCCCCGGACTAGCCTGCGAAGGGTTTCGATCGACTTCTCCCGATGTATCCAGTTTTGCTCTGATTCCCTGCCCTCGAAATGGTACGACATATCTCGAACCATATCATCAATTTCGCGATTTGAATCCACATAAAGAGGCTCGACATCCTCGTTCTCTATCGCGGCAGAAGCAGAAGCGGCCAGGGAATCTATGCTCGCGCTGTGAGACAGGGCAGATATATGCTTGTCCACTTTGGGATGCGGGTGAAGGCTGATGTCCGAGTCTGTATATGAATGTCAAAAAAGGTTCAATGAGGAAGTGGTAGTAACTGATATTACCTTCTCGAGCAATTCCAACGCGGCTTTGAGGGCGTGCAGAGAGGACCGAGTTCGGTCGAGGAGGGTCATCACGATGACGAGAGACGGCCAAGCTACTTCCCGGACGGCGTGATTCTGAACGACCATTTGGTGCGGCATCATGATCAGAGACACCTAAGCCAGAAAGTATCGCAGAAACAATCGATTTACGGACTCCGTTCTCGGAAAGCTGTTTTTTGAGGTCTGACTTGGCTCGGGAGGGTGCAGTTCTGAGACCAAACTTAGAATTTGATGCTTAACAAGTTTGATATCTATGTTACTACTTACTGGAATATTTCGATGACGGTATTTTTTGCGCATTCTCGCACCCCGCTATCGGCATCTTCTAAAGCGGTGACAAGCGAAGGTACATGGGTACGGAACAGAATATTGTGTTCTCTGGTCATCTATTGCGTTATCTGTTAGAATTCTTCGGTCCCCATCGTTGACAAAGCGAATGATAATGACTTACAGTAGCTAACCAGATCATGCTCATCTCCTTAGCTCGTGGGTTCTTACCTACCAAGGCAACTCCAAGAACATTTTGCTCAACCTCCTGCGGGGCCGCAAGCCAGAGATCGGTGAAGGCTTGAGCAGCTTGACTGCGAAGGCGCTCTTTGTGATCCCCAAGACGTTCGAGACATATGGAATATATTTGACGCGCGTGAAATGCGACTAGGCTGTGGAACTCCTGGATATACAATCGTTTCAGGAGATGCCCCAAGGTGGAGAAGCCGGCAGATGAGAGGGAAGAATGCTGTGCGGATATCGCAACCCGGATGCTTTCGAAGATAGGCAAGACAGCTGCTTCGGGCACATTCTTCTGTTTGATGTCGGATTTGAGATTAGTCAGACCGGCTATTTTGGAGTCAACCGACGTGTTGGGGTTTTTCAACGCAACCAGCAGTTCAGACGCTCTGGACTCCATTTTTCTGAATTATAACTAACTCGGACGGTGATTGTCACGCGGGATAGATCATCGAGGGCAGTTCGGTCGTAAAGTGCGTCGGAAACGCGAGCGCGACAATGAAAGCAAAGGGGTGGCGTCAGTAAGCGAAAAGGAGGCAATGGATCTGAGGTAGTGCAGGATGTAGCGACGCTTGAAATTGCGTTCAATGCAGTTGGAAAGCGCAAGGACAAAGGATTCTCCACTTCAGGTCGGCACGGAGTAATTCAAGGAGATGTTTGATAGGAGTAATGCAGACAGTCGTATTCGAGCCTGGCGCGCTGGTCGAAAGCAGACAATGCTCCAGACAATGCTCTTGAAGGAGTTGATAAAGGCTTTGATAAATGTAGGAGGCAGGTCGATATACGACAGGACGAACCAGCGGGGATGGAGCAAAGCGCGAGGATTCGAGGAATCAGGGACACTGTGCCTGACCCAACTGATACGCGATCCTGGTTCCAAGGATTAGCGCCGATTAACGGTTAGCGCGATGGGCCAAGGCTGTACCGTACCTTATTAGGCGCGATAACCAACAGGAGCCCTTGCTTCTCAGGAAGGAGTTATAACTTAACTTGTCGCACAAGCGAAGCTATGGACAACACGCAAGAATGAGGGGAAATGATTGCTATGATGTGGAGAGATGGTTGTCCAGGTGCACGTTGCGGCGCTGAGCGATTAATAATTTGGTGGTAGCCTATGATAGCACAGCATGACTGCTGTTGTTGACGGGTGGGGTTGCCGCAGTGTTTATTGACGTCCTTCTACATTCAGCTCGCGGCCCAACTCGACCAGTTCCAACATTTGGGCGTTATCTTGGACGTGAGAGATCTAAATATTAATGAGGAAAATCCTGGCGGTATGCCTGTAACTTTCACAGTAAGCATTATTCAGTTCCGAGCTCGTCTGAATAAACACCAACAGCAAATCGAATAGAATCTCTACGACCGCGACGCGGGGCTCGACGTCGATTACTACCTCAATACGCACATGCCACTGGTGCAAAGGCTGCTTGGACCCGAAGTCATGATCTCGTGGAAGATATGGAAACTTCCTGGGGACAGCCCCTTCTCCTACGAAGGCGAGGTGGTCTGGGGCAGCCTTGAAGCACGGGAGGCCGCCTTAAAGTCCAAGGAAGGACTCCAATGCATTGCGGATCTCCAGAACTTTGTGAAGAAGCCCGCGATGGTATTGCTGCGCGAGCCTGTGGGTGAGGGCCCGGGGAAACCTTGAAGGACTGTCCAGCATAGTAGCAAATAGATAGATCGTGTACATAACACTATAAGACTTCAAATGTAGAACATTTGGAGACCTATATTATAGTCGGAATTTATTTCATTATATACATATGTAATTGTAGTTTTGGGTTGGTCAGAAAATATATTGGGATTCTACTATATAAAATAAATTGCATCAATTGATGTAACTCTTGATATAAATCAATTAACTGCAGGTTTGCGCACCTGGATTTTCTAATGCCTATACACATTAATGGGGAAGAAACTCACCATTATCTACGACCAAAATAATACTTGATCAAAGCAGGAACAAATCACGCCGTGAAACTAGTTATTACCGTCCCATCCTTCAGTGTGGTTCGATGACAGGAAGAGATAGACACGACGAGGTATCACCTCCAGTATATATGTATAAATGTTGTAGTTCCACCAAAAATTGCCTCAGGCTGGTCCTTCGGATGTGTACGCAGAACATCCAGTTGTTGTTTCGGATCTCAGCCCGTTATCTTGCACCTTCCATCAACTGAGCTTCTAGATGTTTTGCGCCTGCGCCGATTCTCGTGAATTGAATTAATCCAACGAGAACTGTCCCTAGCACCATGAGGATTGCAGCCATGACCCCTGGCGCACAGTCAAGACCAAGTGTTTTGAACATGGTTGGGTCGTAAAATGGCTCAAGCTATATACCCATTAAATAAGTCCGATGTCAGCGGAATGCGATCTGGAGATATCGAGGGATGTAAAGAAGAAAGCGAAAGACACACCTGCAAAGGCCCATTCTTGTCTTACAAGGTTGAGAACCAAGCCCGCCTAAGCAGAGCGACCTGGATCACAATCCATAATATACGTGACAAGGACAGTTCTATTTAGCTGAAACTCAATAGAGGCCAGGGCAGCATCTATGTCGGGTGATAGTAATAGTATCCAGTGGTCTCGACTAGCCCGTTGAAGGCAAATCCCCCAAATGACCAGCCCCATGGCTGACAGAACAAAACCTAGGTATGCGAACCTCAGTCGGTCTTCGTTCACTCGCTTGTTGTCCCGTTTGACAGTCCTTCATTTCGTCCAACGGTCAGAGCCGAAGCCACTGATAAGATCACCCAAGACGAAGGCGATCAGAACGGTAATATGCTGAAGACCAATTCCCTCAGCAGTAAGATTGAACGGTTACCTGTATAGTTGAGGTGCTTGTTGTGAGGCCCTACATGTTATAAGAGGTCTATAACCCTTCGGCGCCTCTGAGGCACCTTCGGAGGACCTCACAGCGCCGCTGCCAAGGCACTAGCTAGCCGAGACACTATATAATCCGCACCTGCGGCCACATATGCCGCAGGTCAGCAATCAGTCTGTATCTAACCGAGCCCTACGTTCGACCAATAAATCCCAACGTTTGCCTGCTTTCCAGTAACCGTCTCACATTCTGATTGCTCCAAACCTCATGGTGGAAGGTTAGCGATCGTTCGGAAATGGTCACCACCAGAAGCACGCCGGTGGCCGCTGCCCCTGAGCAACTCCCGAGCGAGTCAAAGGGGACAACGCCCCAACGCGAATCCAGAGATACTGATGAGCTCGTGGAAATGCCACAGGGGGAACACCAGGGACATAGTTCCGAACCGGCGGCCACAAGCGAGGCCTACACCCAACTTACCGAGGAGCAGTTGAACTCTATGACTCTCTCCGAGTTGGAAATGGCCAACGAACGCCTAGGGCGGCAAGCCCGAATGGCGGAACTGAGGCAGAAAATACTGCAGAATCAAAACCGAATCCGAGACCCCACCTCCAAAGGTGCGGGTGTGGGGGAAAAGCGTCCCCGAACCGAAACACTGGGGGAGAAACGTCCCCCGAGGTTCAAACTAGACCACCCCTACAGCGGAAGAAGCTATAACGAGTACGAGATGTTCGTCGGGAGAGCCGAATCCTGGTTCGGGAGATATTCGGAGTGGTATAACACATATCCAGAGCATAAGATTGGCGAAGCATCGGACAACCTAGATCAACCCCAGTTCCTGCAGTACTCCCTATTCCAGAAGGAACGCGGGGGTGCGGTTAATGTGAGCTGGGATGACTTCAAGGGCCATCTCCGTCGAATCTTTAATGACCCCGAACTCCTCCGAACCGATGCCCTACGCCGATATACCGACGCGAAGCAACGAGAAGAACAGTCCGTATATGAGTTCGCCCAGTTCCTTCGGACGCTGGAGGAACAGATGGACCTCCAATACACGGAGGAGCAGCGGATGAAACAATTGAGCGTCAAGGTTCTCCGGAGCATACAGGCAGAGGCCCAGAAGTACCCGGAGAAGCCGAAACACTACGAAGGGATGATAGCATTCCTGCAGAAGGTAGAAGATACCATGCCCGAACGTCAGAAGGCTAAGGCCGACAGACGACGAAAGCCCAAAGGCCCTGTAAGGGGATCTAGAGGGGATGACAGCTCAAGGGAGCGGCCAGGGTACAGGGGACGAGGGCCCCGAACGAACCCAGGACCTCCGAGAGGAGGATCCCATAGGTCCGGCATGAGCCGAGACCGAGATAGAAATCACATGAACAGTCGAAACTGTTTCAATTGTGGCCAACCCGGGCACTTTGCCAGCGACTGTCCCAAGCCGAAGGTCGAAGCAGGCCAGAGAGGTACGGACAAGTCAAAAAACTGAAGCCCCGGCTGTTGGGTGCAGCAGCTGCACTGGGGATTGAACCTGATATTGCACCGGAGAAGAACCCGCAGCAGGAACAACTACTAGTTGCAATGGTAGAGCTCCCTGGCATACCAGGGGCTCCCCCACTCCGGGCGCTCATTGATAGTGGCGCTCAGGGCAGTTTTATAGACCAAACCCTTGTAGAGAGGTTCGGGATGTACTCAAATAAGACACCCCGAAGGGTTAAGGCTGCTGACGGGCACCGGATCCGGTCCTATGGCCAGCATAACGTAGACGTCAAGGCTGTAGATACCGAAGGGCTACCCAGGACTACCGGATGTTCGCTGAATGCGGTGAACATAGACGGGTATGACGTTATCCTAGGTATGCCGTGGCTTCGGGCCGCCAACCCAGACGTAGATTGGGAAAACCAAACCTGGGGATACAGGGCCTACACCAGCCTAGGGAAGATAGAGATCCTTACCGCAGCTGCGGCACAGGGAGAGCTCCTAGCTGGATGTCTGGCTTACTGGATATTGCCTGATGCCCTCGAAACCGGAGACCTACGGCTGTGCGCAGCCAGGATCGATGGTGGGGGCCATATAAAAGTACTACTCGATGAACCCTTAGACTGGGAATCAGTAGCGAAATCAGACCAGAAGGTCCCAGAGTACCTTCGGGAGTATGAGGACGTGTTCTCGGAGAAGGCCGCAGGCATGCTGCCTGAACATACGGCGCATGACCACGCTATTGAACTTGAACCGGGCACGACTCCTCCCCATAGACCGATATACGGGCTCACCGAGTCCGAACGAGAGGTACTAAAAGCATACATAAAGGCAGCCCTAGAGAAAGGATGGATAAGACCATCGAAAAGCCCAGCAGGGGCCCCTATCCTATTCGTCCCGAAGAAAGATGGCAGCCTCCGCCTATGTGTAGACTATCGGGGCCTCAATGCTATAACAGTGAAAGACCGATACCCGCTTCCCTTGATATCGGAGACCTTAGACCGACTGTCGGGGGCCAAGTACTTCACTAAACTCGATCTCAAGGATGCGTATCACCGCATAAGAATAAGACGTGGAGACGAGTGGAAGACAGCATTCCGAACCAGATATGGCCACTATGAATACAACGTGATGCCGTTCGGACTAGCCAATGCCCCTGCTACCTTCCAGGCTTATGTTAATAAGGCTATGTCGGACTTGCTTGACACCTGTGTGGTGGTCTACCTCGACGACATAGTCATATATTCGGAGAACCTAGAGGATCATAAGGCCCAGGTTCGAGAGGTCCTGGAAAGACTTCGAACGCACCAGTTGTATTGTAAACTGAGTAAGTGTAGCTTTAGCACCGATACTATAGAGTATCTGGGGTTTGTGGTATCCCCAAAAGGTGTCAGGATGGAGGAGGACAGAGTCCGAACCATCCAGGAATGGCCGGAACCACAAACGGTAAAAGAAATCCAGTCCTTCTTGGGGTTCGCGAACTTCTACCGCAACTTCATACCGAAGTTCTCCAAGGTTACGAAGGCCCTGACCGAACTCACGAAGGGAACGGCGGGCAGAGCGTCAAAGCATCGGAAACAGGAGAAAACCCCTGGACTGCTCACCCCCGAAGCCCTAAAGTCCTTCGGAGAACTCAAGGATCTGTTCTGTCAAGAGCCCTTACTGCGGCACTTTGACCCTATCCGGCCTATACGGTTGGAAACAGACGCCTCTGGGGGCGCCATAGGTGCAGTAATCACTCAGCTGTTTGAGGATGATGCATGGCACCCCATTGCCTACTGGTCCCGAAAGTTGCAGGGACCGGAGGTTAGATATGAGACTCATGATGCCGAACTAATGGCCATAGTCGATGCTTTTAAGCACTGGCGGCAATACCTGGAGGGTAGCCGACACATGATAAGGGTCCTGACAGACCACAATAACCTGCGGTACTTCACTACTACGAAAGTGTTGTCCAGGCGTCAGGCCCGATGGGCAGAATATCTATCGGCATACGATTTCAATATAGAATACCGCCCAGGATCAAAGAATCCCGCAGATGCGCCTAGCCGCCGGCCTGACTATATGGAAGGCATAGAAGAGGAAGAATCCCTTCTCCCTACCTTGAAGGAGAAGCTCCGAAGGGGGGTACTCGCGGCTGAACAAAACGATATAAACCCTCCTCTTAGATATAGAGAATCTGCAAGCGAACCGGCGCATGAAGGAGAAGAACAGGAGGACCTTCTCGCTGCTAGCAAAAGTGATTCCCGCAGGCCCAAGACGGGAAATGCCCCTGCGGATGAGAGTACCGCCGCCGGTGTCACAGGGGATCTAGAGCTCCTGGTACCGCGGTCTCTGGCTACCGAAGCTATGAAGACCGAGACGGCCTATACAGATATGAAGCCGGATATGGAGGCCCTCCTTCGGACCTGCCAGCAAGGGGACGCCTTTGTATGGAAGAAGATGAAGGACCTCCGAGAAGGTGTTCATAAGGCCAAGGACTCGAACTGGAATATTGGAGACAGTGGTCTGCTCCGGTATAAAGATGCGGCCTATGTGCCGCCGGACAAGGCCCTACAGTCGGAAATCATGAGGAACAACCATGATGACGCCCAGGGAGGGCATTTCGGAAAAGAACGAACCCTGGCGGCAGTACGCCGAAAGTACTACTGGCCGGCAATGGAGGCTGACATAGAATATCATGTCCGAACCTGTGCGGTGTGTCAGAAAACGAAGGTGCACCGACATAAGGAATATGGCTTACTGAAGCCCCTACCAGTTCCCAGCGAACCATTTGAGGTCGTGACTATGGACTTCATCACCGAACTACCCCCAGCAGAGTGGCGAGGGGAGACGGTCGATGCTATCCTAGTTATAGTAGACCCTTTCTCGAAGTATTGCATCTACCTCCCTACCCAGAAGGCTCTGACGGCCGAAGGGCTGGCGAAGCTGCTATACGAGCACCTAGTTCAATGGATCACATTGCCGAAACACATAGTATCGGACCGTGATAAGCTTTTCACCAGCGGGTTCTGGCAAAGCATGTGTTTCTATCTCGGAATCACCCGTCGGCTATCCACCACAGCTCACCCTCAGTCAGATGGCCAAACCGAACGACAGAACCAACTCATAGAGCATTATCTGCGTTGCTATACCAATTATGAACAAACAGATTGGCCCCGGTGGATCCCTATGGCGCAGCATGTATATAATAACAGCCGCCATAGCGTCACAGGGAAAACTCCGATGGAGGTGCTGATGGGATTCCAAGGGGACCTTCGCATAGACGTGACGAAAGAATCTCCGAACGAGAATCTTGACGCAAAACAGAGAGTAGAGGGGCTCCAAGCGGTGCGAGCGCAGCTCCGAACAAGATTGGAAGCCGCGAAAGGGTCCCAGGCGAAGTTCTATAACCGCCGAAGGATAGAAAAGACCTACAAAGTAGGGGATCAGGTCATGCTTCGGACGAAGAATATAACGTCATCCCGATATTCGGGGAAGCTAGATGATCGTCAGATAGGCCCTTTCCGAATACTAGAAACATGGGGAACAAACGCCTACCGTCTAGACTTAACCCCAAGATACAGAGGCTTACACCCAGTATTCCATGTGTCCCTATTGGAACCATACTATACTGCCGCGAGGGGCCCTATACCGACGGAACCGATCCTAGTCGACGATGTACCCGAATATATAGTACAGGATATCGTACAAGAACGAATCCGCGGACGGCAGACCCAGTACCTAGTCCGATGGAAGGGCTGGCCCGTCGAAGAAGCAACCTGGGAGCCGGCGGAGGCCCTGCAAGATGTCGAAGCCCTAGATATCTACCTCAAGCGCAAGGCCGAAGGGTCTACCGTAGGAAAGCTACGTACCAGGCGCAGGGGAAGGGGCCGGAGAAAGAACGACTCTTGAAATTAGGCCCGCAGGCCGCACCCACGGTGCAAAAAGCTAAACTAAAAACCTAAACCCCCGAAGGGGAACCCAAACACATTCATAAAAGAAGCCCCGAAGGGCGCACCAAGGATATCATAATGCCCGAAGGCCCAACAAACCCCAATGCCCGAAGGCCAAGCAAAAAGAACTACCCATAAAAAACCCGAACGTAATCGTCCAGGTCGCGCTGTGCCTCGGACACACGACGAACCAGACGCACAAGGCGGTCATCCCGCGCAGGTGCTAACCCCATCAAATCCCCGTAACCGGGGGCGGACAAGCCGCGCGAACCATAGGGACCCGTAAAGGTGTCCGGCCTAGCTGCCTGGTTCGCATTGAACAGGGGCCCTGGGACGCCATAGCGAGCCGGCGGGCGTTCACTCCCCCAACCAAGAGCACCCGACATGAGCGCAGGCTCAGTCTGCTGCACGGGGGTCGCACCAACCGACTCCCCGAGGTGGTCGGCCGACCGAGGAGCCTGTCGACGGCGCATGGCCATGTCGAGACTCACAACGGCCTCCTCCCAACCCTCGGACCGAGAGCGCACCTTCCCAACTACCTCGCGAGCGAGGGACTCTTGTTCAGTTGGCACCTATGATCTGTTAGCAAACATCTGAACGCGTAGAGCGGAACATTCGGACGCGTGAGGAGAAGACATTCGACGCGTAAAATCAAACATCCGAACAGGCTGAGCAGACAACAACACACACAGGGAAGGACACTTACCACCTTACAGTCGGCCGCAGACTTTTTCAAGCGCTTGCAGCGCGCGCAGGGGCCGGCAACCGCACCGCCACAGACGAGATCGGGCTCATCGCCAAGGGCCCGAAGGCACCGTTGGCAGGGCAGAGGGCCCTTATGCCCGCGAGGCCGCAGGGACATGGTGGACTTTGGGCGGGGGGCGGAGCGAGCGCGGCGGGCAGGCGAGCGGCGCACAGGCGAGGGGGTGCGAGGCGCGGGCACAGGCGAGGGGGTGCGAGGCGCAGGGGCAGGCGAGGGACGCGCAGGGGAGGCCGAGCGAGCGCGAGCGGCAGGCGGGCGCAGGAAGCCCTGCTCTCCTATCAGCCAACCTTGGTTCACAAGAGTATTGCGAATGGCGTCAGTTACTTTCTTATCCCGCCTCGCAAGCGGGGAGACAATCTCATCCTCCGAAGAGGACGAGAAAAAATAGGCGGGGGGGGCGGCGCACGGGCGGACGCGCGGGCGCGCAAGCCCCTACGTAGACGGCGAGGCACTATCCCACGTTAGCACTAGACTCCCCGATAGACGCGCGCATAGGCGCGCAAGGAGGTGAATCCATAGACATATGCATATACATGCGTATAGCCTCACTTACTCGCACAGAGACAACACAGGACCAGAGGAAACAGAAAAACCGCGCAGAGAGGCGGCGCACTGGGCAGGATGGTGTTGCGAAAGGAAAGAAAATTTCCAGAGGTGCGACAAACAGACGAATGTTCAAAACAACAACAGCGCGGGTGCGGCACATGGCGACGGACCCACTCATCCGCCTGCCAAGCAACGTGCGCGGCAACCGGCATATAGTGCAGCCGCACCGACGCCAAGCCGTCACCCGTCGGATCATCTCTAATCCGCCACATACCCTAGAATCAGCTCAGGAACGCTGATTCCGTTAAAAGGGGGGATAATGTGAGGCCCTACATGTTATAAGAGGTCTATAACCCTTCGGCGCCTCTGAGGCACCTTCGGAGGACCTCACAGCGCCGCTGCCAAGGCACTAGCTAGCCGAGACACTATATAATCCGCACCTGCGGCCACATATGCCGCAGGTCAGCAATCAGTCTGTATCTAACCGAGCCCTACGTTCGACCAATAAATCCCAACGTTTGCCTGCTTTCCAGTAACCGTCTCACACTTGTGTCAGACTCCATTTTACTAACAAATTTTGTTTAGCACTATACCCTTTTAATAAATAAAAATGTCAAAAATTACACACATAATTTTGGTCTACTTACTTTTAGGTATTAGCGGCCATTAGGTTATCGGTAGGCGACGCCCGCACGCTCGGCTCCCAAGAGAGTGGCTTGGTACCCGCCAGCCCTCCCAAGGCCCCCGAATCGCCCTGCGCAAATAAGCGGCTTGGGCGAGGAATTCATTCGTACATTGTTACGCGAGGCACACAAGTTTAGGATAGGTAGTGAGAGGAATCAGGGGCTTCGGCCCTTAAAACCCTCTAGCGCCTGCTGAAATGAGATCTTCATAGCTTAAAGCTAGGTAAGATCATTAAAAATGATTAGATAAATAAATATATAACACAATGTTCCTGAAATAACCGCTACATATTAGTTCTTCTTTTCAAGCTTAGTTTTTTAGTAGATAGCATAGCCTGTCTGAACGCAACTCACTCAAGGAGGCCCTTGGGCCTTGTAGGTAGTCTAGGTTCGACCCCTAGCCGTGGAAACGTTTCTTTCTCCCTCACCTACTGCCCAGTATTTAGTCCATGGACAAGCAGGGTCCATGATATTTTCTTGTTTCCTTGTCTTTTCATCCCTTGGTGTTTTAGACTTGATATGGAGACACTATAGAGACTACGCCTGTTGTTTTCGAAGCTTACAAACGTCGCTGAACGGTCGCTAGAGCCTTAGGTCCAACTGGTTCATTGGGTCACCATTTTCAATGCCGTGGAGGAAGTGGTTGAGAAACCTTTTTTGAATTCACAAGCCCAAACCTTGTTTTAAGATGTTGAAATCCAGGAAGAAGGCTGAGTTCTCCCTCTTTTCTAAAAATAAACACGTTCTCAAGGTCTACATCCTGCTAAATTAGACCATACTGACTATTAGCCTTGAAGATAAAAAGTTTTGCTTAATTTTAGCAAAATTTGGGCTCGTTTGTATCATGACACGCCTGGCGAATATTGGGATATTGGGATGCTTTTGTCTACTATCCGTCTAGATTATTACCAACACAACGCCATTCCTAACCAGTCAAAGAGCATTAACTAGTTAGTTCATTAGTGCCAGAATATTTGGCACTAACAGTTTTGGGGATAGTTTTGGGAGTAGGTACTGTAGTTGCGAAATGCCCAAAATTAAGATCATCAGCGCCAAAAACGGGACCAAAATGTGGTTTTAAAAAAAATTTACGGCTGACGTCCCTTTCCAAATCCGGGTGTGTGTACCACGCCCCTTTTTAAAGTTAGTACAGATGTAACAGGTCCGATTCCAAAAAGTAAACACACCAGGTTTATGTTGTTCTGTTCTGTGTGAAAGAAAGGTCACGATGTTGTTCAAACCCTGGCAGCTTGCTGCAGTGATCTCGTCCGCAGCAATTGCAACCAGCGCGTCGTCACCAATTGAGCAGGATTTCGCCCCGGAAGACATTATCTCGCGTGACGTCTGCATTCTCGGAGGCGGGGGTTCTGGGACATATGCTGCTATTCGTCTGAAGGACTCGAACCACAGTGTGGTAGTTGTAGAGCGAAATGATTACTTGGGAGGTCACGCTGAAACCTTCTACCTTGACGACGAGAAACAATTTATAAACTATGGCGTCGAAGGCGTTTTTAATGATGACCTTTCCAAGGAATATCTTGAGCGATTGGGAGTGTCTTGGGATTCACTTGCTTTGAGCACGTTGATCGATAAATATGTTGATTTCAACACCGGTAAAGAAGTGTTACCACCTTCAGACCTTTTGACAACGGTAGTAGGTGCAGCTTTATACCGACTTGCAATTCAGAAATATACCACACTGGACCAAGGAGTGTACAATTTGCCGGACCCGGTACCTGAAGAGCTCCTTGAACCGTTCAGCAAGTTTGTTGAAGAACATGCCCTCCAGGGCGTATTGCGCTTGGTCTTGATGTTTGCTCAGAACGTTGGTAACATTCTTGATGCGCCATTGCTGTACATCATTCAGAACTTTGGCGTGCCTCATATCAACGCTCTGCTTGAAGGGGGCTATATAACCCCCAAGAATGGCATAGCCGAGCTATATGACAGTGCTGCCAAAGTTCTCGGCAACGATGTCCTCTTCCAAACCACGGCCATCGAAACGAACCGCTCGGACTCGGGTGTCAGCATTCTCGTCGAAAACCATGCTGACGGCAGTCGAAAGCTGATCAAAGCAAAGAAGCTCCTCATTACATTCCCACCACTTCTAGAAAGCCTGAAGGGATTTGATCTCGACACGAAGGAAACCGGCCTTTTTGAAAAATGGAACTGGATGTCTTACCATGTAGCCATTGTGAACAACACTGGAATCCCATCAGGCATTACTGTTGGCAACGCAGACCCGAACAATGGGCCGGCTAGTCTACCACATACTCCATTCCAGTGGGAACTCGAGTACCTCGGTGTCCCTGGCTATTTGGCCAGCAAGATTATTGCCAACTCCAGCGTCACCGGTGATGACGCGAAGAACCTCGTCATTTCTGACATCAAACGCATGGGTGCTGTAGGCACATTTGACGTCCCAGCTGACGGTCCGAATATCGTGCAGTTTGGCAGCCATTCGCCCGAGACATTGATTGTATCGACGGATAATATTCGAAATGGGTTCTATAAGAACTTGTATAGCTTGCAGGGCAGGCACAGCACCTTTTACACTGGACTGACGTTCTGCACTGACTACTCGTCTGTGCTGTGGGCATACACCAACACCGTCATTGAGAAGATGTTTTCGTAATGGCATTTCGTTCACATGTATATAATGATTTGATAAAAGTTTTGTCAGCTGGTACACATTCTGTTATAGATTTGGAATTTTGTAGAAGAAACTTTAGTGTGCGGGTTGATGGTTTTATAGAAAGACATTGGATAATTCTCAGTTTTTGATGTATCTGTGAGTCTGCTTGGTAGGTTGTGCCCTGGCCATCTATCTCATTATTCCGATTGTGTAGTTTGAAATTAGAAATTAGGTGATTGAAACGAATTCGTAGAGAATTCTACAGACTTGTGATTGGTTGCAGATGGTGTAGTAGGAAAAAGCCCTGAGCCAACCACCATTAATGCTATAATTAGCTTCCCCGCGTACAATCAACATTTTTAAATCTACAACAACAAGAAACATCCAACTCCCATAAAAATCCCATACATCAAGCACATATTTCTAATACTTCCATCACCATGACCAACAAAACCGTCGTCCCTTCCCCCCTCCCTATCCATACCAAGCCGCATTCTCAACCCGCCAAAACTAGTGATGCCGAACCAAGCCTACCAAAACCCAAACTGCGCCTTCATTTACAAGATGCTCGCCATGCAGCTGCAGCCTCATTTTTCCGCTTCATACCAGACCTCGAAGCAGTACTAAACTCCGCACTGGCGGCCATTGTCGACCAACTTTACATTCCTTCATCATCATCTTCTAATAAACACAAAGCACCAGCATCGTTTACTCCCACCATCCCACCTACCCGCTCCGTGACCATCATCCTAGAAGACTTTAACGGCGTAGCATACACCACTGGCACTGACCTAGACAACGATCATAAAGAAATCCATTTCTCACTATCATACATCAACCACGTGATCAACACCAACAGCGACGCGCTCAGCGAGCTAAAAGGCGTACTTACCCACGAACTAGTCCATTGCTACCAACACACTGCGCCTCCTCCCGCCAGCTCAAAGGATAAAGATATCCCGCATCCACCGGGAGGTCTGATCGAAGGCATCGCAGATTTTGTTCGCCTAAAAGCTGGTCTTGTTCCACCGCATTGGAAGAAGCCAACAAATTCGAAGGAGCGGGCGGAAAAGTGGGATGCGGGGTATCAGAATACGGCGTTTTTCTTGGAGTGGTTGGAGGATGAGCGAGGGCGAGGGACGGTGGGGTTGGTTAATGATCGGTTGTTGACGAGGGGGTATGTTGGTGAGGAGGAAGGGGACACGGATGGGAAAGGCTTTTGGAGGGGGTTGTTTGGAGTTGGTGTGAAGGAGTTGTGGGAGGAGTATGGGAGGTATTTGGATAGGTAGATGGAGTAATATAAGATGTGGTATATGTATTGATAAGTTATTGCAGTAACATCCGCTAGCGAAAGCATGTCATTCGGGTTGTATTATTTGCATCGGTGTTTTGTTGTATAGGGTATAGGTTATTGTATTGAGATTCGATAGTATACAGTACATGGCAAGTCCATTCCCAATAGTCCATACCAAATATGCAATTAACACAGAAGAAAAACACCAATCACAGCACCCTCAGATGTCGGTACCATAATAAAAACAATGACGAAGATTAAAAAATTTTGTATGACGCCTCTTACACAAACACTTCTCCCCAGTCCACATATACGGGCTTCCAGGGCTTAGCATTTGGCTCCTCCATGGAACTTGGTACCCGCACTTCCAGCGGGCTATATAGGTACCAGCCCTTGAGCGCTGCAATTGCCGCACGAGTGCGCGCTTCCACAAGACTTGCGCCAGTGCCTTCTCCTAATTTATCCTGGCCTGAAAAGACTCCAACAATGAACACTGGAGATCTGCTGTGTCGACCAGTCTCGCTAATTATTTTGGCGACAGGGGGCTCGAAGTTTTCCCGGGCACAAAGTCTAGCCAAGTCGCGGGTCGGTTGTGTGAACGAGAATAACTTAGAGATATCAAGGTGCCGAGAAAGAATGTGTTCTTCAAAGAACCGTTTAGCTGCTGGGAGACCTGCATGCAAATAAATAGCTCCCATGACTGCTTGCACAAATGTTGATTGGGCTGCTTCAGCCGTTATACCCGGTATGCTTTCGGGGTCTGGCAGTGTCGGATCGAGGTGCTTCGGGTTGGTAGCCTTTATCGATGGCTCACCGAAGGCATCACTGTAGACAATGCTAGCTGTGATTGTCGGTTTTTGTTTTCTGATTGGACGTGTAGTCGTCGAGGGATCTATGGTGACCTCGGTGCCGGGTGCAACTCTCTTGAATTGGAGCAGACCAGGATCAACCTCTTTTCCAGGAGCAGCAGCCAGTTCAAGGCCCCACTCGTGTGATATAGCTGCGAGGGTTTTAGGACCCATATATGCATACACCGCGGCAAATAAGACGGTCGAGGGGAGTCGAGGAAAGGCACAGATCAGGTATTCGGTCGTATATAGTGCTAAGAGGTCATGGCCCAGAACCGATAGGGAATGATTGTTGAATTTAGGATACGGATCTGCGGAGGCATCAATCAAGGCCCGTGCCAGCGTCTCAATGGGTAATTTTTTGGGGAGTGCGAGTCGAGCATGGAGAGCGAAGAGTTTTGGCGATGTCCGCGGCAACGATTTGAGGGAGTATGTTGGATGTGGGTATTTTAATTTGTGTTGGGGTTGAGAATGCGGTATCTCTGATGATGATGTATTATCAATTGATCGATCGTCTTGGGTTTGGACCGCCGCCGACGCCGTGGACTGCCATCGCGTGCTAACGTTGACCTGTCGATATAATCGACCACCCGGCGTGGTCCGCGGCGACAGGACCGAGCGGCTCCATCGCTGGAGCTGCAGTCTTTTCATCGGGTGTCCTGAGCACCTGGCGGAAACCTAGCACGGGAGGAGATACAATTGGAAAGGGAATGGCTGTAGACGTGCGGATTGAGTAGGAGGTGACGGTAATTGCAGCAGCCTCGAAAAGAAAAATGTCCAGCTCGGGGAAAGTCACGGGGACAGCGCGAAAAGGATGGCGGCTCGCTAAACCTTTCTGGAACTAGCTCCCAAGTCACGGGCGCCAGCGAGCCAGCCGTAACCAGCGTCAAATCAACGTCGCTTGATTTCAGCGCACCTGTCTACTCTCTGTATACCACAATTCACAGTACCAATTCCTTTCTTCACGATGGGAGGCGGCGGAAAGATCCCGTAAGTGACATTGGCCATCCCACTTTGCTCCCCTTGTACTGTATTCAAAGAGAACTGTGACTAACAGCTGACCAAACGTTATAGGTATCCGAAGGAAGTCTGGTCTCCAGCTGGAGGCTGGTACGCGCAGCCGGCCAACTGGAAGGCCAACACAGCCATCATGGCTGCGGCAATTTTCGGCATCGCTGCGGCCACCTGGAGTCTCAGTGCAGAGCGTGAGTATCGTGACCGGATGCCCGAGCCCGGCCGATTCTTCCCAAGCCGATAGTTAGTCACCCAACCACATCATTTATTACGACGTTCGCTGACACTAGTAAAATAGCTGGAGCAAGCAAATTATCGAGAACGAAAAAGAGAAAGCGGCAAAGAATGAGTCATCGTGAACAGGAGATATTTTAGAATTGAAGGTGTTATTTCCAGTGTTTTTATTAGAAGTTGCGCACAGGGTGCGCTTGGAAAGGACATATGACCTCAATCTACCACAAGACTGAGATATGAATCAGTCTATCAGCCAATCATGGCTCTGAGAAGACTGTTCAAGCGTTTTACATAATCGCTGTGTATAAATACGGAGTCGTTCTATGAATTCAGTCCCGTTCCAAGTCTCTCTTCCATTTGCCGCCTTTGACACACTAGGCACACCGATCTGCTCAACGACAAACCCTGCGGCTACCGTAGCGCAAATCATAGCTTTTGGCACTTGGCCGTCATTCCCCCAAGTAGTCTTGATTTCATCCCAGTGGCTAGAGGTCGTCAATGTAGTGTCAAGAAGCGTATGACTCTGTCGTCCCTCGCTGATCATACCCTGGACCAATGCCCCAAGAAAGGAATTACCAGCGCCTGTAGGGTCTATTACTTTGGAACTCTCACCCAATTGAGGCTGATAATACGCTGGAAGCCATAGCCCCTTTCGACCTTTTGAATAAGAGTAACTGCCGTCTTTACCTGCTCTAATGACAAGGCACCCTTGCCTGTCTAACCCGATTCCAGATTGTAGAATTTTCCGGACCAGCTCACGGTCCTCCTCATCAGCCGCATTCCAGCCTGGACGGCCGAACATCATTCCCAGTTCGAGTTCGTTGGGACTGACCAAATCGACCATTTGACAGGCCGCTAAGAACTTTTCTTGGTCTTCCGGAGTACATCGATCGGGGACAGGTTCCCAGACGAATATTGGGTTCGAAGCTGATAGTGACGGGGCGTGCTCCTGTAAGGACTTTCTTTTGTGAAGAATTTCTTGAACAATATTAACGCATCGTTCGGATGAACAAACCATGTGGAATGTTTTCGAGAATAGTTGCGAATGGGAAAGCATTGAAGGCTCCAGCCGTAATTTTGGTGTCAAGTATTTGAAATCTGACTCTCAGCTACATAGACTTTCGTTGGTATTGATGGCTTGTATCTCACCTCGTTTCTCGTTTGCGCCATATCCATTCCATGCTCGAGTAGTCAGTCGTTCCTTGTCCTCCCTGATAATACAGCCAGTACCCCAGGATTGAATGATATTCATCATGTCTTCAGGGAAGTCGGATCCGACATCGAGGATCCAGCTCACGGCCTTTCCGTGCTCTTTCCCAGCAACCATGCGAGCCCCAACAACTGCGAAAGACCCGGCGCCTCCTATGATACCATAGACGGGCGGCCTGGAGCCTTCGAACTCGATATCATCTGAAGCCAGTTGACAATCAGATGCTTGTTTCTGTTTGGATATTAATGGAGACAAAGTTGAGCTCATACCTATAATAAACATTCCCAGAGTACAAAAGTCGACCTCATCTTCTCCCCTGGCAGAAGAATCCCCATCTCCCATCGTGTCTTCTTTCGTTGTCGGCCGTTCTGCGTTAGATATTGCAGCCGGGGGCTTCGGATATAACTTCAATATTTAATTGCACTATTCAGTCACATAAATTGATGCAAATCGCTTGTTCAGCGAGCTGCAGCATTCTAATCGCAATGAAATCCCAGGCTGGCCAAAAAGATAAATTGTAGTCGCATCATTGCTTAATATAATCTTTCTCTCTCTTTGCTTATCGGACCCACCCGGCGTTATCGGTGCCTGAGGTATTGTTGCCCTGCCGCCATCCAGAATAACGCAATCAGGCTAAGCTGGCCGCTTGAGCTCTGTTCGGCCACGCATCATCTTATTCCGACATCTATAGCATCTGGACACCAACCTGTGTCGGTGTCAGTCCAGTCAGCCTTCGTCCGCTATACATTATTTCTGGATTGGCTACGTCGATACTTATTGAGAGCATATACCTTTTTCTCGCCTGTGCCACGGTTTACACGGACACCCCTAAACCGAGCTGCCTACAGTAGCTGCCTGTGCTGCTATTACATCTCATCGCTGTCCTCTGTTCAATTCAGCGATCCGACAAAATGGCGACCGGACATCATATGCATAATATGACAACGCTCCTCAAAAGGTACGGTGCCAATTGTAATTTCAATATGCTATGCGTCTTGGGTTTGGCAAGAAATCTAACGTTGGAAACAGGCTTGAGGCAGCAACCTCTCGCCTGGAGGATATGGCCATGTCCTCCGACGGACCGACCTCTGCGACTCATCCGAACGCTCCAGTATCTTCTCAGGCTTCAGTTGCAGAACCGCCTAGGGAAGCAGCTCCACCACCGGCGCCGGCACCTACAGACCCCCCGCAAATCGAGGACTTTGACGATCTCATCAAAAGCGACGTGCAGGCTTTTGTGGACCTTGGCAAACAGATCGGAGGTTTAGTTGGAGAACAAGTATGCCGAATAACCAAGATTGAGTTGCGGTGCAACATAAGACTGATCTTCCTAGGCCGAAGCAGTCCTTCAAGCGTTTAGAGCCGAACGTACCTTTCTTCTCGTCACGACCAAGGCAAAGAAACCGGAACAATTGGCCCCAGAGCTTATCACCGAGCTTCACAAAGCTTCTGATAAAATCAATGCCATCCGTGAATCCAACCGACCTTCCCCCTTCTTCAACCACCTGAGCGCCGTTGCTGAAGGCATATTCGCACTTGGATGGTTTTCGGAGGTCAAACCTGCCGCGTTCGTCGCCGAGATGATAGCAAGTATTGAGTATTACGGAAACAAAGTTTTGAAAGAGTATAAAGAGAAGTATGAATCCCATAGAAATCCTTTTTGGCAAACGCTAAACCGTGGCATAGAGACCCGTTGCAAGTTCAATACATCCAAGCCTATTATAAACTCTTTAAATCACTCTCTACATATCTCAATAAGCACTACCAGAGGGGCTTGACATGGAACAACAAGAGCGACACTACTGCACTGGATGCGTTGAAGGAAATCCAGTCTGGCTCTTCCAAGTCTGCCCCAGCAGGAGCTGCACCACCACCACCACCTCCTCCTCCTCCTCCGCCGCCACCTCCTCCACCTGCCGACTTGGACTCGTCTGCTGGTGCTGGAGACATGTCTGCAGTATTCGCCGATATCAACCAAGGCGACTCCGTCACGTCTGGCCTGCGTAAAGTCGATAAGTCTCAAATGACCCATAAAAACCCCAGTCTACGAGCCAACACCACTGTTCCAGAACGCTCAGACTCAACCAGCAGTTTAAGCTCCCCCGTCAACAGAGGGAAATCCCCTGCCCCCGGCAAGAAGCCCAAACCAGAAAGCATGCGTGTCAAAAAACCGGCGCGTAAGGAGCAAGAGGGCAACAAGTGGTTCATCGAGCATTTTGAAAGTAACCCGGACGTCATCGAGATTTCGGCGCAGCAGAACCAGTCCATCCTCATTTCTCGCTGCAACAAAACAGTCATCAAGATCAGCGGCAAGGCCAACGCCATCTCCATCGACAACTGCAGCGGCCTGTCCATCATCGTCGATTCACTCGTCAGCAGCTTGGAAGTCATCAAATCCTCCAAATTTGCGCTACAAATTGACGGCGTTGTGCCTACGCTACTGCTAGATCAGGTCGATGGCGCCACCGTATATCTTTCACCACAGAGCATCAACTTGGAGGTCTTCAGCAGCAAGTCTTCGGGAATGAACATTTTGCTGCCGCCTGGAGAAGGCACGGATGATGATACCAAGGAATGTCCTCTGCCGGAGCAGATCAAGAGTTATATCAAGAACGGCGTGTTGGTTAACGAGATTGTCGAGCATGCTGGTTAAATCTTTCAATCAAGTTCTAGGGGGCTCTGTACCATTTAGGTCCGCAAATTCAACGTTCTCTTGGTAAATGCTGTATACGTTGGAATAGTTGGTATAGCTGCGGGCTTGGATTTGTATTACTATCATGTGCTAGATCAATATTGTACAATGTGCTAGTAAGACAAAATGTTAGTACTCTCATTTCGTCATGGACGGTATTTCAATGCGTTAAAACAAATCCTCTGCTAATTTATGCATGTCTGTCATATATATATGTATTCGTGAGCGAAGTAGATACCCTAGAGCCGCTCACTGAGCGCCCCAAGACACTCAGTGATCGCGCTGAGCATGCTCTGGGTGGTACTTCTTACAAGGCCAAACGTCACCGCGGGTGACATTGATCAATCTATGAATTATCCTGAGGATATGTTACTTCAGTATTCGAAAATTTGGCACTCGCTCTTCATATATGCCCAATACTAATAGAAAAACTTATGATTCTCCTCTAAAGTACTAGCCTTTTCGGACCGAAGTTGTAGCTTGTTATGTGGAGCCCGAAGTGCAATGCTCGTCGTCCCCCGCAATATCATCACCAACACCACACTAGAAACTGCAAAAGCAAAGTCAAGGACCAACACTGAATGTCATGGACCCCTCTCTTGTGCCTTATGCTTCAGACCATGACCTTTGGTCTCATCCGTCGTTGACACCCTCCGCTTTGCTGGTGGATTCTCTAACCGTCCCATTCGAGTTTACAGACACATATGAGTATGATCTAAGCCAGCAAGTGCAGCCTCCTTTAAAAAGACGCCGCGGCAAGGCTTTTACCGTAGGTTGTGGATGTAGCGTGTAGTCAGAAGATTAGCTAACATAGTCACGGCCCAGGGCTGTCTCACCTGTCGTGAGCGAAAAATAAAGGCATGTTGCTACCCTTCTGTCGCACGCCATGGTCACTGTAATACTAACCGGAGTGGATGCAGTGCGATGAGACCCGGCCTATCTGCAAGAACTGTGAAAGATCGAGGCTCTATGTTTGTCGCGGGTTCATCGACTCATCTGGAGCCATATCCTACGATAATTTCAGTCCGCAGGCTGTGAAAACGCCTTTGGCTACAAATTCGGTTTTACTGAACCGAGGAGGGTGCTCAATGCCCTCGAATATATCACGAACGCTTTCTAAGTTTCACCAGGTGCCTACTGATCAAAGGACAACCACAGCCGAGACTGAGACCGCGAGGTCACTAAATGGAGAGCCCATCAATCCGAGTCCCTCTCAGACGCCTTTTGCTTCGAGCAGAGAATTGGAGGCCTTGGATGAAAGCTGTGAAAAATATGAAGATTTGATCGCGCATTATCGTGATGTTGTCAGCTATATAATGATGCCCACCATTGATAGTGCTCGCAACCCCTGGCTTCAATTATATCTGCCTTGGGCACTTCGCAAACGACCCACGAAAACACAGTTAGCCTTGCGGTATGCACTGCTTTCGGTTGCGGCATATCATCGTGCTCGGACATCCCCACAGGCACTGTCTGATGATATATCAAAAGCATGCGAGTTCGAAGAAAAGGCTGCGTCCACGATAGCCGACCTTCTAGAACAATGTTCCGAGTTGACCGAGACATCAGACAAATGTGCACTCCTGGCAGCAGCCATGACCATGATCACTGTTAGTCTAGTCAGCGGTGATAGGACTAGTTGCCCAACACATATAGCTTTGGCGAATCGAGTATTCCATCAGACTGGAGGGGATGTATTTTGGAAATCCAATCTACAATCTGCAATATTGTATCAAATTTTCCGCTGTTATGGAATGCTTGCCAGCACGAGTCAAATCCAGCCTGAACAAAGCAAGTCGGAATTAGTGGTGGAAGATGCTGAGGACCAGTCTCCCCAAATACCAAATACCGCAGAGCATGGAGACGACGCCCTTATCCAGCGACACTACATTCTCGATATATCCTTCGGGATCAGTCTACAGACCATGAATCTCCTCAACAAGATTGTCTCTATAGCTCCTCGCCTACTAGAGAAAAACAACCAAGGTAATTGGCCAAGTGAATTGTTTAATGATTTGAAATCTTTAGAGGAGAGCCTTCACCGTATTGATGAGACCCAGTCATTTTCTAATTCGATGTGTTATCCATCCTGGACTCTAAATGAGTGTGAATCGTACGACGAATACTCGTCTACTGGACTTCCCTCTCCGATCAGCGAGGAGCTCATGATCAATCACCAACGCGCATTTCACAATGCTGTCATATTATTTTTCTATCGTGTAGTCTACCAAAACACTCGAAATAAGAAAATGCAAGTATTGTCCTCGAAATATCAGAAAAGCGGACAGCATTACGTCGACAAAATTCTAGAAAGTTTGGAGAATATTGATTGTTTAACTCGTGGTGCTAAGGTTCGGCCGGCCAGTACATTGTGGCCTTGTTTTGTTGCTGGCTGCGAGGCTATAGAAACCTCTTTAAGGCATCGTGCTTTCATCTGGCTATCTAAGATGGCTAAGAGGGGATTCGGAAATGTCGAACGAGCAAAACAACTTGTAATGGAGGTTTGGCGCAAGACTGACCGACACCTTGACGATGAAACCAAGATATACCCTTTGGGCCTGGGGCCTGTTGACTGGAGGCTGGTGATTAAAGAATCTGGTGTGTCTATACTTCTCTGCTGAAAATTAGCGTCTGACGCAATCAATCACATTGGAGAAATTTCAGTCTTTTCATTTTTGAAAGCGAGACCAAGGAAGTTCGGAAAGAATTGAATGCCATAAACCGACTACGTAGTCCGGGTACACATACTTATGTTAACAAGGGCAGGGCAATATCAGATAACGGCTGAAGAGAAATTAATTCATTGTGTATCTCTCCCTAACTTCCTCAGGCGCTATGATGAAAGATAACTTTTGCACAAGAAAGCAGGAGCCAATTAAGATCGAGTAGGTGAGAATGCGGGGAAGATGAACCTAAATACCCATGAATTCGCCCCGAGAGTTCGTATCACCTAGTTACATCGTACATTAGTGATACCGAACGGAGTTCTTGTGCCCCACGCCGCGGCGAATTACACGGCGACTCCGGCAGGTTATAGAATATTTTATTTATCTAAATAGTTGAAGGGAATGATTCTCAATAAAAAAAACCATTGGCATTGATTGAGTTGGAATACCCAGCGTCGCAAGCCAATTCACACTATGTCTCATTCCTTCGTCAACTCAGCCATCAAATATTAGATTCTAAAATGTCCTCAGCGAAGGCTAAGGTACTAATTCTCGGCACCGGTGGCGTCGGCACAATGGCGGCCTATGCTCTTGAAATTGGCGGAAAAGCGGAGGTCACTGCTATTATGCGCTCAAATTATGAGGCGGTTGAACGCAATGGGATCAATATCAATTCTATAGACCACGGCCATGATATCAAGGGATGGCGACCAACTACTAGTAAGTGAAAACGGCCAAATTCCAGCTCGACTCGATTAACTGGCCTAATTGAATATATCATGTCAGTCCGTAAGGAAGTTCCCAACGTTGTTGAGGAAGGCCTCCCAAGCTTTGACTACATTCTCATCACTACAAAGAATGTTGCCGATATTCCACCTAGTGTGGCGGCTATCATTGAGCCAGCAGTCACACCTGGAAAGACATCCATTGTGCTATCTCAAAATGGGCTCAATATTGAAAAGCCGCTGATTGCTAAATTTCCTACGAACCCTTTGATTAGCAGTGTCTCTATGATTAGTGTCACAGAAACAGGGCACGGCAATGTGCTTCACGACTTCCCTGATGCTCAAACTATTGGCCCTTTCAATAGTCCCGGTGTTTCAGCAGAGATTTCCGAAGCTGCAGCTCGGCAATACATAAATATTTATAATGCTTGTGACAAGCTTAGTCTTACTTACGAAGCAAATATACTCGAAACACGATGGAGAAAACTTCTATACAATGCCAGTTTCAATTCGGTGGCAGCAATCTTGCGAATGGATACTCTTCGTATGCGAATGAGTGAGCACATCATAGACGACTTAATTCGGCCAATCATGTTGGAAATCAAAGCTGGCGCTCATGCGTACGGGATTCATCTCGCCGATGAAACCCTCGAGTATTTGATTAGGGTGGACCCGATTGGTGCGCCGTTTAAGCCTAGTATGTGCCAGGATATTGAGAAAGGCAACTATATTGAATTGGAAACAATCATTGGCGAGCCACTGAGAGCGGGAGAGGCAAAGGGGGTATCGATGCCTATGCTGCGAACTGTTTACGGTCTTTTGAAAGGTCTGCAATTAAAGACCAAGGAGTCAAAGGGCTTGTGGACCAGTGAGTTTACCGAGAGCAATCCATATCAGTAGTTGTCTATTATAAAACAATAAACTGGGAATAGAATTAGTTAATGGCCATCTGCATCTGGTACATATGTTCATACTACAAGCTTGAATGGCCGCTGAAATTGGCTTTAGAATCAGTCAGAGAGACCTCGAGTGGCGTGTTCATGCTCAACACCAGAGATTCTATAGGTCAATAAGATTGGGGCTGTGTATTTCGCCACAAGAGACATACGTATCGGAACTATTGATATTTGGTTGGTTATCCTTTTTTGCCGAGCATTCGGCCCCTCCCTACTGTATAACCTCGCTCCGAAGCTACGGCACAGTGCCGAGAACAAGATAGAACCAAGATAGACTCGTAACTCGTGGTGTAATTACCAATTGTATGGCACCTGAAGGATCAGGCAACTGTGCCTAGAGTTGCCAAGTTACCATACGAGGAGGGAAGCAAATATGGATGCTCCTGTTGATAAGATTCCAGATCATCCAAGTATACTTACTAATCGGGACTCGTATCGTTGGATAACATAATCTGCGAAAGTTCGCTCCTGTAGCGAGCTGTGAAGAATAGCTGAACCAGGTCCATTACATGCGAAAACTTCCCATATATAGCGGTTTTTGAGTAAACTTGATTCATTTTATTCTCTTGCACCAAGGCAAAAGAAAGTTATTATTGCATCGCAGTATTTGGCTGTCAAAGAAAAATGACCGAGGCAATGGAGTCCCAGGATCTCTCCCATCACTTCTCAAAGGCTGCGCGAAGCAGGGTTCCTAATGTGATGAAGGAGTACTATCGTTTTCTGCGCGTTCCAGAAATGGGCAGCTTTGCCGGAGGTTTGTTTGTACAATCTTATCGGTCATGAACTTGAGTAGGATTTTAATGGCATTCACAGGCTCGCCATGCCCCGATTACTTTCCTTTCGATACGCTTGAATTTTCTGTTGTTCATCCAGAGAGCCTGTCTGTGAAAACCCAAGCCAATGGCTCGACACCACACGCGCAAGTCATTGCCAATAAGGTAAGCATCCAGCGCTCTGTACAGTCTTCGCATGTATCGCAACAAATTGATTTGGATACGGCACTTCAATACGGAATCGCGTCAGGAAATCCGGCCCTGTACGCATGGCTGCATAAATTGTTAAGGACAGTGCGTCACCCTGATGTTCCGTATACACCGGGTCCTAAGATTATTATTTGTGGCGGCTCAGCAGATGGGCTATCTAAGATCTACGACGTATTTTTCGACCCTTGGGAGGAGGGCGTGCACAAACTAGAGGATCGACAAGGCCTTCTTGTCGAGGAATTTGTATACCCTCCCGCGCTGGCACAGCTCAAGCCAAAGGCTGCGAACATAGTGCCTGTGAAGATGGATTCTGAAGGGTTACTGGTAGACGGGCCCGGTGGTCTCCTTGATGTTCTGGAAAACTGGAATTTGAAAAAGGGAAAGAGACCGCACATGTTCTACAGCGTTCCGTGAGTGTTTCTTCTCGTTGCCTTGTATACTAAGCGAAGCACTTCTAATTCAGACGTCATATAGAACCGGGCAGAATCCAACATCCGGCGTTTTGTCATACCAGCGTCGAAAGCAGATATATGAGGTGTGTTCGAAATTCGACGTTCTGATTGTGGAAGACGACCCATATTGGAACCTCTATTATCCCTCTAGTACATCACGATCTGCACAAGATGGTGAACATGCAATCGATAAGATTGTTTCGCAGCGCGAAAAGACCAGCACAGGTTACAAATTCCTTGACGAGCTCATTCCAAGCTTCCTTGAAATCGACACTGACGGGCGCGTGATTCGCATTGACACCTTTTCCAAGACAATTGCACCCGGATGCCGGCTAGGCTATATCACAGCCCAGCCTGGCATCTGCGAACAGCTGTTTAGGGTAACTGATGCAACCACTCAGCAGCCCTCTGGGTTCGTTCAGGCCATTATAGCAAAGATTCTCAGTGGCCTTAACTCATCTGTTGAAAACCCGGAGACAAATGGAGACAAATGTCAACAATCAGCACTCTGGGGATTCGATGGTTGGGTTCACTGGGTTGAAGGCCTTCGGGACAAATACCAGCAACGCATGATTACCATGGCGACGATATTCGAGCAGAATAGGCATATAATTACTGAAAGCGATACAGTCCCGATGTTCCATTTTTCATGGCCACGAGGTGGCATGTTTATCTGGGTAAAGATCAACATTTTCGCGCATTCTCTAGCTTCGTCCATTGATACAAAGCGTTTGATGCTGGCCTTATGGATTTTGTGTACACAAATTCCTTATCGGATTATCATGAATCCTGGAAAAGACTTCGCAGCAAATGCTCAAATTAGAGACGAGAATGCCTATCAGTACCTCCGCTTCTGTTTCGCTGCCGTCGATGAAAAAATACTTGTCTCGAAATCAAAAGCCTTTACTGAGGCTTGTAAGGCCTTTTGGAAATTCAATAGAAAGGAGGATATTGATCGTATTCTCGAAGAAGAAGACAAGTTGTCCCGTGGGTCTAATGGTGAGGTACAAACAGCAGATGACGTTGAACGCATGGTTCTTGAAGATTGGTAATTTTTTTTCTTTTTTAGGTTATCAACGGATTAGTTAGAGAAGCTAGACTGTTCCTACTTTGTACACCAAAAGTGACTTGTATTTGTATTAGTAGACGATGTTTTAGGTCAACGTAGCCACTGGTTGTCACCGTCGGATTCAACCTCTTGGAATGAATCCTCCCTTTGGATGAGCGATTTTTCCTGACATGGACAATACTGTCTCTTTGCCCATGCCGCCTCAAAGCAACGCTGGCTAACTCTAGGCTACGGTCCTAATCTATCCAAGACATTGCTAGAGAGGGTTGGAGGGAGGGCATATCCTCAGAAAGCTTAAAATGAAACTAAGAGATGATACTCACAACTATTACCAAAAAATGGCCCCAATAAATCTATTACATGAAGGACGCTTATAAAATACGTTAATCGCTATTAAGTGTAGAATATGGTTTATAATCTCTGAATACTCGTCTTTCAAGCTTATCTTATGCTGTAAGTATAACAACTATCAGAAATGCTTTTTCTAAAGTATCGAAATCGGTTTGCTGCCATTTTGGCAGTAAGCTCTATCTTTCAGCCTGCACATGGTTTGCCTGCCTATGATAAACGCAATCATACAAATCTTAGGCTTTAACTAGGCCGCAGGCAGTGTTTCCTAGAGCCACCAAACAACAATTCAGAATAGGAATACAGGCCATAAAGAAGCCCTAGACACTGTCAAATATCTTTAATTTTAAAAGGTCGATTTTTGCTTGTCGCCGCGGGGTTTTTTCCATCGACGTAAGGTTTATCTAGAATAGTAGAATCGCGTTACTGTTATACATAGTTTTCATATTTAAAAGCGTGCTCTCACAACATTTGAAACGAAGCCGGATCAACTAATTCAAATGTCCAATTAATGTAAATAGATTGAGTAAAAAAAACCTTTGAGAGGAATAATTAACGTATTTACTCTACATATTCATGAAAATAGTAAAAAAGTATTTAATTCATAATCGCTGGGTATTATTAACAGGCATGATAGACGTCGATACTGATCCTCCGGGGACCAATACTAAATATCTGATAAATATATCCAAAGCACACGATAATACTATCTTCCTGGTGACGATTCCTGACTCTTACACGTCCAGTCTTTCAGCTTCTTCGCCAACAAACTCCCCCCGCATTCGGCTGATTCAGGGTACCCGCCCCCATAACCCGCGTCTCCTTTTTTGAGTTTGCTGTACAGTTCGGTATTATTAATTTCGTTATTTTCAGTCTTGTTGGTGTCTTTATCTATTTGCATTTCTTGAGGCGATTGAGATGTCGAAGAGCCGATGCGGGATGAGGGTGGGCTTTCTGCCATTTTCTGGAATGGTTCTGCTGGAACCGGTTGCCAGAGATTACCGAAGGCGATTGATGAGCTGGAGTCGGGGGCAGGAGTATGCCTGGGCTTCGGTGTGGATAGTTTGAATGGCAGGGTAGAGATTCTGCCAGCTGTTGCTGACAACGATGAGGCGGGAGGGGAATGATGGGGGTAAGGGGAGTGAGCGTGGTGGTGGTCTTGATGGAAATGAGAGGCTGTGAAACCTATTCCCGCGCTGAGTCTTCTGTACGGCTTGTCAATCGCCGAGCGATGCTTAGTATGCGACAAGTCCTTTACCGGCCGGTACGGACTGTAGCGAGGCTCTGGATACTGGATCTCGTTTCGCAGTTTCTCTTTACCGTCCGGAACGCGGTTGGCGAAGACGACGCGGATAGTTGAATAGAGGTAGAAGCGACCCTTAGCCGTGCAGCAGATGTTCAGATGGATGAGGTATCTGAGCATGGGCTTGTCTTTGGGATCATCGGTCGAATTTAAAGATGCTTCGGGTCGGTCTGTGCCAAAGTTTTTGCGGGCGGTTAAGGGCATATCAATGATGGGACCAGCTGAATAGCTTCGTTGCCGAATAAATGTCTTCGACCCGGGTTCCATATCATCGAGGTCATATGGTACAAGGAAGAGTTTGACGGCGGTTTTGTTGGGGTTTTTAATCACGATCTGCAGCTGGCCTCTTTGGGGGATGCGATAGAAGACTCCCGGTGGGGTTTTCAATGCATCAGACCGACTCGATCTTGATCGTTTTTCCCGTTTGCGAGGATTGTCGGAAGCAGTTGATTTTGGTGAATGGGAACGTGTGGATGAGTCCTTGCTTTCGGTAGACGGACTTGTGCGGCGACGGTTGCGTCTCTCTTCACCAGACTTATCTTGCGTGAGGGAGTTTTCGAGGTCAATCAACCCGACATATGGACTTGGGCTGTCATCGGATATGGAACGACCGGTTCCCGAGGTTGGATAACTATAAAAGACTGCGGGAAACGGCACCGTAATGTGCGGCGGACATTTCAGATTTGATTTGCATTTGCCTCTTCCTAGAACACCGATCTGAGCGGTGAAGTCTAATGGCTTCGAAGGACTAGTTGACATTCTTCCACGAAGAATAGACTCTTCATATGACCCAACCATTGAAGCATGAATGCGAGGAGATAAATCCGATGCCAGCGATGGCCGCCTATGCCGAAAGGTCGTCTGTGGCGAAGACGCAAGCTGGAGGCTGTATGTTGATGACCTGCGTGGTTGATGAGCCTGAGAGGGCAGATTTTCTTCCCTTTGCATGGAGGCGAAAGATTTGCTGAATCCAATCCCTTGTGACTGCACCGGTGGGGAGCCACGAATCTGTCTGAAAATTTCCGGTGGTAGCGTTCGACGTCGATTGCTTTTCTCCAAATGAGAGGGCGAGTCTGCGAACTCGGGCTTTAGTGAGAAATCAAGATCGGCGTTATTTGCCTGATATACTAGGGGACTAGTGGGAGCCTTCAGAACATAACTTGAAGACAAGGATCCCAAGGAGGGTGCCCGGGATCTTGAATCCGAATTGTTGATGCGTCCAGCCAGTGGGCTTGTTTCGGGATCTCGGAAATGTGAGTGGATAGAAAAAGAATGAAGATACCATGGCGTAGTAGGAGATGTACTAAAGGGCTGAGTGCTTGTATGCTCGTATGGTAAATTATCCAAGCGTTGATTGCTTGGGCGTTCTGAGCCACGGTCTTGACTACCTTCTCTGAAGTCACCAGAATGCAAGGCCGAACGTGGTCGTTCGATTTCTGGTGATGGAGCTAGTGAGCCTTTCTCATTGGGGCTAGACACATCTCGCGCGGAAGTCAGTGATGGCGAGTATGCTACATCATTTTGAACCCCAAAGGGCTGTGGAAGACTCTGCTGAAAAGGATAGCGTTCCGACTATTAAATAGAATTAGTCTTCTATCTATAAATAGAGCAAGTGTAAAGTAACTCAGGAGAAATAAATGTAGAACTCACTGCAAACTGCGATATCCAAGACGGATTTTGCTCTCGCTTGATAGACTGAATAAGTTCATCTCGCCGGTGAGCTGGTAACTGAGTAGACTCGTAGTCCTTGGCCTGGTAGTACGTGGGTGACGTTCCACTCATTTCAACATCTGCAGATTCACTATCCCTCCATTGCTGGGACCAAGGAGCCTTCTGAACGGAATCCTCATTTTCATTACTAGGCGGCCTACCCGAGGAATTGGTAAAAGATGATATCACTTTATCTGGGTCCTGAAAGATTGGCATTTTACGGGACACGAGACTGGCCAGGCAGTGTGCAAGCGCTTGTAGCTTTGCAGAAAAGGCTCAACCACGGCGAGTTCATCGATTTAAACCGCAGGAAATGCTGATAGCGCAAGATGAAGTCAGAATTTGAAAGACACAGCCTGAGTGGCGGCGAAAACGGACGGAATGGAGGCGGAACTGTAGTCGGCACGTGCGGAGACTTGGAGATGGCAAAGACCGCAAAAATTGAAGACGGGTAGAGTAGACAGTCAGACAAAGCAGCTACGTAATATACCAAGCAAGAATGCCCTGGGCGAGAGAGACGGGAGATATATTCCAGGCGAATGAGTCTGGAGAGAGAGAGAAAGGTAGAGAGAGGTCAAGTCATATGTATGGAGTATGGGCAGTTAGTATGAGCTAATATTGTCCAGCGGCGCACAAGATGACGGATGACTGCGTACAGCAGTGGGGCCTCTCTTTATCGACGATCGCGCTATCCGGCCGTCAAAGCCAATGGAAGTGGCCGGTGCAGCGGAGTCTCCTCTGTGATTGGCCCAGCTGACCATTCTCCGCAGTACCTGGCGAATCAGCGACCAGCAGCAACAAGTCACAATGGCGCTCATCAGGGATCCCCTGCACAGTTTGCTGTTTGCATGCCCAAAGACTCACTGCTCTCCCTCTATTTATGAGGCCACAAGTCACGGCTGAGTTGTTTCTGGTTTACGATCACTATTCTCTCGAGGACGGCCTGAGACAGACACGTCTCAACAGCCATACTGAGACGACTTGCGAGACGACTTGTAAGCCAACCTTGTGGTGAGCGCCGCAAGTGGGGCTTATCTGCGGATCTCCACAGTTTTTTTTTGTTTGACAATCGACTCTAATTTCGATAACTCGACTGCAATAATTGTTTACTTCCAAAAACGTTCCTATCGAACAGAGGATTAATTACACCCTTTTGATTATTACCACTCTGACTGTGTTCAAAATGGCTCCCAAGCGTCTCCGCGACACTGACGAGCCGGGCGACTCCGTGAATACGGATACTCAGGCGCCGAAGAAACAAAGGAAGGGCTTTACAGTTGGACCGGAGAATCTGCCCGACGGCACCTATCGACGAAAAGGTGTGTGATATCATTTCTTTTTTTATTTTACTTTCATCTTTCTCATTTTTCTTTGACTGGGGACTAGCTCACCTGACCGCTCTTTGCTAATGTCGTGATTTCAAATCCTCCTAGCGCAAAAAATCAAAAACGACTTGATCCAAAAAGCCAAAGTGAAAAAAGCATACGCAAAAATCAAAGCGGCAGAGGCGGAATCGGTGCCGGCACGATCGAGTTACTATAATTATGATGACGAAACACGTGCGGAAGAAGACGATCAAGACGCAGCCGAGAAATCGCCGGGTTTGGAACTGCATCCTGATCGACTTGCAATGATCAGTGCGGAGGGGAATGGGAGTAGCAATGGAGAGAAGTGGGATAATAGGCATCAAGGAGAACGCGGCCGTCGAAGGGAGAGACGGCCCAAGCCATCGGCGTTTACTAAAGAGCTTGAGATAGCAGAGAAACGAAGGCAGGAAAAGGAGGCTCGCGAGAAAGAGAGGAACTTAAAGGCCAAGGAAAGGGAAGAGATGGTGAGGGCGAAGAAGCCTGACCAGTTTGGCAAGCGAAGGCTAGGTCGAGAGAGTAAGGTACTTCTGAGCAAGGTTCAACGTCTCGTTGGGCAGTCCTAAGCTAGACCAATGTCGTTGTACCGTTCGACTTGTTTGATTGTATGATACCCAACTCAATCTATTATGGAGTTACATTATAGACACAGAAATTCTATTATCTTGTATGGGATATTCATTCAGAAAGTAATATCTGATATCAGCTAACTTGCCCATCATTACATGCCCCCCTTGGTGCCAGCCGATGGCCTCACTTTTCGGAAACAGGCAAACTCGCCTTTGGTTCGTTCCCGCAATCTCTTCAAGATGCCGCGCATTTCTCCAAGTTCTGCCTGCAGCTTGGTGCGAGCTTCGTTGTTGGTCCGTCGGTCCAGCTCTAGGTAGATCTGGCTCTGAATCGACGATGCCTCCTCAGTCACATACTGTGACATGGTCTGAGCAATGAACTCCGTGTCGAGAGTCGCCTGCATGAGGGCTGGTAGAGTGTATTTAGGCCGTGATTGGAATGCAGTCAGAAGTGATGTGGATATTTTCGTAACGAGATGAGTGAGAACGCTCGTTAACAGGGGATGTGCAACAGGCGACGGCGTAGTCGAGGAGATGGGAATCGTAGTGGAAATTTCAGTATGAACGAGAACTAGTGCGAGCATTGTGCTGTATACGTAAGGCCGAACCTGCTCAGGACGGTTTGTTGAAGGAACCCAGTCAGGTGATTTGATACCATTTTGAATGGTGGCATCCAAAGCTACGCTGGTTGGTTTGGTGTATGACTGGAATAGTCTATCATCGATTTGGCCAAGAACGTCCCGAATAGTCTTCGCTTCGTCCGTCAATTTTACCGAAAAGGCTGTCTCAAAATTAGACACTAGTTGAGGAACAAAGTCTGTTTGGAATGCTTTGAGGTTGGATAGCGTGAGAAGCATGCGGATATTCTGTGGTCGGATTAGTAATATACAATAATATCATGTAGTTAATACGAAGATTTACCCTATTTTTTGCATCAATACCCTCTGATGTTGGCATGATTGATGCAGAGTCGATGCTTTTGGTTGGAACAATGGATTCTGTAAGAACCCATCTATCTTCCTCATTTGACTTGACAGGGCGCTCTGCGTTTTCCACTAGCCCGCTCAAAGCTTTGTAGACGCTGGTGACAAATTGAGACCGTACCATTTGCAAGAGCTTTGCTGGTGGCGGCGTCACAACGTCGACAGAACCTGCCTTGCTCATAGCCTCCGAAATATATAAAATTTTCTGCATTCCTGCGAGTACCGCACTCTCAAAGACAACAAAAAGTCCCGGCATTTTGGTCAATTCTCGTCTTTCAGGATCACGAGTCCAATCTTCAAGTAATTTGCAGTTTTCTGCGTCCTTATTCCAAGTCGCACAGGCCACTCGAACGGATCTTTCGCGGGCAATACTAACAAGGTTTTTGAGATGATCATAGGAACTACTTCCAGCTGTGATTGGTGACAGCGCTGCCATTTCACTCGCAGCGGTGCCGATGAGAATCAAGAACTGACTGAGGTAATGAACTCCGCTTAATGAATTTGAATGTGGCGGCCAGAATGCGAACTCCTCCCACGCTTCTCCACGTTTTGGTGAAGGTGGAGGGATATTTTTGGGGTCAAGCTTAAAACGCGATTCAGTGGGGGTTATATGGCTGACGGGAGTACCGGGGCTTGGAGGAATTGGCGAGAAAAGAAGCGAGATATCTTCGATTGGAGGTTCTGTGAAAAGCGAGAGTACATTTTCTCGAATCAAATCGACAATCCCGATAATGCCTTCTTGTAGCTGTCTCACGCCTTCGCTAGATAGGTGATGATGTTTGCGACTTTCTCCTTCAAACCCGGCAGGCAGCATTTTCTGTTTGCTGCCATTCATGAAAGATTGCGCCGTTTCCCAGAATTCTATAACTTCACCGAGTAACCCAGTTTGGATAGACAAGAGTTTTGTCAAAAATGTTTGGATGCATTCCCAGAGTTCTATGATTTGATCTATGTCAAGTCTTTCTTTCGAGTCGGCTCCATCGCGCGAAGATACACGTAAAAACGCAGTCATAGCTTGAGATGTGGGCTTATCACCGGCGGAGAGTCGTCGCCTAAGAATCTCTATTTCAACTTTAGACCGTTCACAGAAAGCCGTGATTTTGGTTTTGAGCAAGTCGTAGCTGCTTAGAAGCCAGACCCATACAGGGTTGTCCTCTACTCCCAGCTCTAGAAGGGCTCCGATCAATTCCATATGCTCTTCTACAGGTCCTGCTGGCGTTATATGACGTGAGAACGTGTGCACGTTGCTCAATCGATGCCATAGATCGCGTTTGAATGCTTCCACTTGATGCTCCACGTCGCTCCACATACGCCCTGTACCTAAAATGGTCTGGCTCTCAGCATCGGTCAATTGCCTCCGTTCAGTGGCGGCACGGTCAGCGATTGACCGGGCTTCGTTGGTGAGAGTCTTAGCTCGACGATAATCCTCAAAAATTTTGTCAAAGTCTTGTTGCTTGATTGCCTTGGAAATATTTCCTCCAATCTCGAACACAGAACGATTCCTCTCAACGTGGTTCACAACCGTGTATAAGCTTTGTTCACGATCTCTACCACTTAATGCAGGGCCCCATAGCTCTTCAGCCTTGACCGATGCTTCGACTAGAGGATTTCGGATACCTTTCACACCATACTCACTTTCTTTCGTGAGGGCGGTCTTTTTGGCAGAACCAGTTGCTTGTTGTGGTGGTGCAGCGCCAGCGAGCGAGTAACGGTACTGACCACTTGCACGGTGGGATTGAGGTCGAGATTTAGGAGCACCTTGATTGCGCATTTCGGTGTATACACTATCTATGGTCGCCTTGGCCCGGACGAAACGTTCAAAGTTGGCCTCCACCAGCACCTTTAGCGACGCCGACTTTTGATCAATGGAGCGCGAGAGAAATCGAAGTCCCTCGAGAAGGTCCTCCGCCGAAGCATCTTGATGGGCTTGCGATAGGAATAATGCGGGCGAAAAGGATGTCGAAGATAGGAGGAATCGGTTTCGTAAGCGCATGTCATCTTCGACAGGGATTCCCCGTTTTTTAAGGATATACATCACACTGTCCGAAGACCCAAGGGGATCGGCTTCATCCTTCATAGCGACGTTATCTCCTCCCCCTCCTGCTCGATATGAGCCCGCTGCTAAGCCTTTGCTACCACTACGTCCCAAAGCTGAATATCGAGCGGACCTCCTCTTCGGCTTCACGGTGGCGGTTGCCGAGTATTCTTCAATCTCTGTATCGCTTTCGTCCAGCTCCTCGGGCCATGTCTCGGGAAAGGCATTTCGGATGCCATAGTGGTTGGCGACGTCCCTGTCTTCAGTCATGTTGGGTCTGTCGTTGATGCCACGGATTGTTTTTAAAGCTTATGGAGGCTCTGACCAAGGTCACGTAATACAGCAGGCGAGGCTGCCGCGGGCCTCCAGTTGGAGGGAAACTGATGCACAATGAGACGCTAGACAGTCTGCAAGTCCTATACACAGCAGGTACCTGTTGACATCCGCATCACGAGTTTATGTCACTGGATGCCGATTGTAAGCTCCGAAACGCGGAAGTTAAGGCAGGGTGGATCACTTTGGTTGCAACTACAACGGCAATCGGATCTAGCGGCCGATAAACTCTTTCATTCCTACCACCTTTCATATTTTTGCTTTTGGAATCTACGCAACACCCTGATTTTTTTTTCTCTTCACGACGGGGTTTCTGGCAAGAAGCTGCATTTGGCATACATCAAAATGATTTCCGCGCGTGCTTTTGTTGCGCCTTCGCGCCAATGCTTGCGGGGCCTGCGATTCGTGCCCACCCAAGCATCCCCATTTTCACAGGTTTGTCCAGCTCCGCTGCAAAGCGAAAATCTCTCAATCGCATATCTCTAACAATTTTTTTTTACCTCTAGGCTCGTGGATATGCTGCTGCCGCCAAAGGCAAAGTCGGCGCGTTCAAGGGACAGAAAGGCTCTGATGTAAAACACCCGTCGCATTTCCGTTCATCCGCCTCGAACCGCGCAGTCACCGCATACGTAGAAAACTATAAGCTAATCAATCATGTTTTATTTAGGGTAACTACACTGTGACACTGATCGAGGGTGACGGCATTGGCCCTGAGATATCTCAGTCCATCAAGGATATCTTTTCAGCCGCAAAAGTACAAGAACAAAAAATCCCGCATCAAGCGCAACATGAGCTGATTTTCTTCTAGGTCCCTATCAAGTGGGAGCCCGTTGATGTTACGCCAATTCTGAAGGATGGACGCACCACAATCCCAGACGAGGCCATTCAGAGCGTACAGAAGAACTACGTCGCTCTCAAGGGTCCTCTTGCTGTTCGTTAACCCTCTGCTTGATTGCCGTCGAAACGCGATGCTCATTCAATTTCTTGACAGACTCCCGTTGGAAAGGGCCATGTTTCATTGAACCTTACCCTTCGACGTACTTTCAACCTTTTTGCCAACCTCCGACCTTGCCGCTCTGTCGCCGGTTACAAGACACCCTACGACAATGTTGACACTGTCTTGATCCGTGAGAACACCGAAGGTGAATACTCTGGAATTGAGCACGTCGTGGTGGATGGTGTTGTCCAAAGTATTAAGCTCATTACACGCGAGGCTTCCGAGCGTGTTCTCCGCTTCGCCTTCCAACACGCCCAGGCTTCTGGCAAGAAGAAGGTCCGTGTTGTGCACAAGGCTACTATCATGAAGATGTCCGACGGTCTTTTCCTCAACACTGCTCGCGATGTTGCTAAGGAATTCCCTGACATTGAGTTCGATGCCGAACTTCTCGACAACACTTGTTTGAAGATGGTCACCGACCCTACACCATACAACGACAAGGTCCTTGTCATGCCCAACTTGTACGGTGACATTCTCTCTGACATGTGCGCTGGCCTTATCGGTGGTCTTGGTCTCACTCCATCTGGTAACATCGGTGACGAGTGCTCTATCTTCGAAGCGGTGCACGGATCTGCTCCTGATATTGCTGGAAAGGGTCTTGCTAACCCCACTGCTCTCCTGCTGAGCAGTATTATGATGCTGCAACACATGGGTCTTAACGAGCATGCTGCTCGCATCCAGAAGGCCGCTTTTGATACCCTGGCCGAGGGCAAGGTAAGAATTCATTTCGCGATAGTCACTTCGATCCTGTTTGATCCAAATGCTAATATAACACTAGACTCTCACCGGTGATCTGGGCGGAAGTGCTAAGACCCACGAATATGCTGGTGCCATCATCAAGCGCCTATAAGTGTAAGTTAAAAATTTACCTGACCGACCACCCTTTGTATTATTTAGCCAGATATCCGACTTCCTTTTCACGAATCTTTCTTCGACTGCATGTATCAGAGCAGCCATGAAACATTATTCCTCTACCTGTACTTAGATGGCTGGTATCACTGATATAGACCACAATAAGTTTCGCATTTGGTTTAGTTAACTGATTGAATTATTTTGCCATTGTCTTGCCGCCTTCAAACATCTGGAGCTCACTCGACTACATGATACAAGTAATACTAAACACCTAAAACATGAACTCTCAAGGTATATTCAGATTTAGATCCAGCCTATCTGCCAAGATCCTGGAAAGCCCGATTCTTATCACATATATCGTACATGAAAACTTTACCAAAAACAGTCCATTGAACAAATGACTTAGCGGCGCCTTCCCGTTCGCCTTGTTGCGGCGCCGGTGGCTGTACCTGTGCCTTTCTTTTCCTTCTTAGACTTTGTCGCCTGCGTGCGGGTATTTCGAGCCGCAGGAGAACTAGGTGCTTCTTCGTCTTGCTCTTCCTCCTCATTATCTTCCTCTCCTGCATCGGTGTTCTCTTCGTCTTCATCATCGCCTTCGTTTGCATCTACGTCTTCCATTTCTTCGTCCTCGCTGGCTGGGTTGGGAGTTGGCTTTTCTACTTCAACTTGTAATCTTGTTGAACGTGTACCGCGTGTTGATGCCCGAGTGGATTTTCCTCGACGGCCTCGTGAAGGCGCGGGAGATGATCGCGGTTCTAATAAAATATAAATTAAATTAAACCCGTGCAAAAATAGGGCTCGTGTAGGCTTATTCTCACCATCAGTATCAGCAACTGTACTGCCTCTTCTAGATCCTTGATGAGTAGATGTTTCGGGCGACTCTGATCGTTGCGCTGCGAGACGTCTTGCAAACATCATTTCGCCGTACTCATCGTCTGGTAGTTCAAAAGGGCAGTACTCGGACTCTTCTGACTCGTCCACATCAGGTGAAATGATCGAATCCTCCTGAAAAACATAGGACATTGTTAGCTCATTTCCTACATACAGTTATAAAAAAAACTTAGGATATCACACATACCCTTTCGTCCAGCGCAGGGAGATTATAAAGTGAATTCAGCTTTTTCCAAATTCCTGGAATACGTGTGTGCTCATCGTGGACCGGCGCATAACCCTGACTCTTCATATATTCTGATATTGCAATCATTCGGAAATGTTTGTGTATTCCTGTAGAGAAGGCCGGCCATGGATTAGTCTTTGATCGAGGCTGGAGGGGATATTGAAGGGTGACGAACCAACAGGCTTCCACCGGACAAGGCCTTTCAGCAGCGCAGTCTCTTGTTCATCCGTCCAAGGGTCGTTAACCAAGTCGTTTTCAGTGTCGGACTTTTGCGAACTGTCTGTTGCAATGGTTGTAGATGCTGTCTGTTTTGCGCTCTCAGCTTGCGGTGTGCTCGGAGCTGTCCGCGATGAAACTCTTTGTTTCTTCCTGGGAGGCATTGTGGCAAGAATAGAGGTGTTCTATAGAGAAGGGCTAGACGAGAATGATCTTCTCGGGTACCAGCTACGCAATTATCCGAATCAGTATGGTTCTCTGTGTTGTTGAAGGAAGTTGCGCAATGGATATGACTAACTGCGGAATTGGAATATCGGAGAGACTGCGGAATAAGCAATGGTCCGTGCGTCCAGCCACGTCTTTCCCCAATACAGACTAGCTCCTTCGTAGCTGCACTACGGGTTGTTTACGCGCTCGCGGGGCAGTACAAGAACTCTCCAGCTATATCCAAAGCAGAATGTTCGTCTGCGATTATCTTTTTAACAATGGATCTGGGGGATGACTTTGATGACCCATTCAAGGTTAAGGACCTGTGGCAGCCTTCTAGGTTTGCGCTTCAGCCTCTTAAGCCTCTCGAGCCCATCACATGGGAGTCGACCCTTCCTGGTTCGTTACCCTCTTTACCTCACATTGAGCCGTAGTGACTGATGTAACTCGTGCAGAGATTCCGAAGGGCGTTTTTGATACCCATCTCCACGTTTTTGACAATAATGAATCGCTTCTGTATGAAATTAATGTCTTCGGTACCGAAGATACAGACGCTTCTATACCCGAGCCCGAACCCGACCCTGCCGACAATATCCTCGAAACTGACACGAATGAGACGACCGGGTCGGAAGTGAACAGTAATGAAGCAGACAATATCTGGGGCTTAGAGTCACTAGAACTCCCTACAGGCTCTCAGCCTAATCTAAGGTCTTGGGATTCGTTTTTGAACAGTGAATTTCAAGAACCAGTCTCCGCGTACTTGAGCGAATTTGGTAACAAAGGCTTTGACGCGGCGTTGTCACATCAAGCTACCGTGAGTGGTCTCGAGAATGCCGGCCGTTTAATCCGCACCTCCGTTTTTCTGGACTCGTTACTTCGTCTCGGATTAGGATGGAACTCAATGCTCTTTCACTACAATGAGGGGAAGAGAATGTTTGAAAAAAGTATACGTGATATTCGTATCAGTGGAATTGAACTTGCGACATTAGACAGCATGGTAGGGGACATTCTGAAATGCGGAACCCATATGCAAAGAATGCGAAGATTCGTGCGAAACAACCCGTCACTTTCCGATCAACCATCCGCTCTTACTGGCTTGGCCAGCGCGGCGTCTATTATGATATACAGTCTTGAAAAACAGTTATCGAAACAAATTGACCCGAGAATTTCCTTGATCCAGATCCAATCCTTGTTTCGAAATTGTGGTGATCTAGTGAGCACACTGGCTGATATCATCTCTGCGGCTGAGAAAGCTACAAACGAGAATGAGATTATCTCAGTGTTATTGGAGATATGCGAAACCCAGGAGCAAAGGTTTCCCTGGTTGTCCAAAATTTTACATGAGATCGTCCAGAAGTGCATAAAACCATGGTTGGTCTTGGTTGAATCATGGGTTGGGCTACGTAGCGATAAGCCTCTTTTAGCTGAAGGGCAAACTAACAGGCGGAGTTTTGTCGAGTGGCAAAATTCCCACCAGCTGGGCGAGAATAAGCTTGAAACGGCAAGTATCGAATATATTTATCATCCCGAAATGATGCCGTCTTCCTTACCAGATGATCAAGCGCGTTTAATATTCGAAACCGGAAAAGCGCTTCGTTTGCTTAAAGAGAATCAGCCAGACCACCCTATCTCAAGGGAGGATGTAGTTGAGAATTCACGACCCCCCGGCCTCACCTGTGCTTTTTTATGGACGGATATTGAACAGATCCAACAGAAGGCAGCTGATTACGAAAATCAATTGCGGCGAGAAATTCTTAGATATCACAAAGGTGACACCTCTAGGTCTCGCCCTGCAACACGATCTGGTGACACAAACGTCGGGGGGAACGAGTTTGATGGAGCGAGTGGCACTGAGGAATTTGAACTTATTGATCTCGACAGTGGACGGCATATAACTGGAGTTTTAGCAAATAATGACTATGTGGAAGCCGATAATTTGTACCTATACGCCGAAGAGAACGACTTACTGAATCCGAATTCTTCTAGCTCCACCGAAACGGCCTTTGGACCTCCTCTAGGTTCAGTGCTATACCTTTCTTTAGCTCCTACATTAGCAGTGCAAGCCCAACTTGTTGACTTCTCATGTCTTCACCTTCTCTTCAAGCGACATCAGCTACAGCATCATTTAAATTTACAATGGAGATTCCAACTTTTGGGCGATGGCGTATTTGCCTCTCGCTTATCACACTCTTTATTCGATCCTGAATTGAGTAGTGGCGAGCGAAAGTCTGGCGTGGCACGCGGAGGTTTCAACACTGGCTTACGACTTGGTAGTCGAGATACATGGCCCCCGGCGAGTTCCGAATTACGTTTAGTTCTTATGGGACTTTTGACCGAGTGCCATGCTGCCATTGAGAACAAAGATACATTATCAATGCAGCCAGAGGCAAAAGATAATGAACTACCAGGGGGTCTGAGTTTTTCTATTCGCGAACTGAGTGGAGCTGAGTTGATCAAGTGCAAGGACCCAAATGCCATTGAGGCACTGGATTTCCTTCGCCTCCAATATAAACCTCCAGCAGTATTAGAGAGCGTTATTACAACTCGGTCACTGGAAAAGTACGACCGACTCTTCAAGCACTTGCTGCGACTGGTTCGCATGGTGTCTGTTGTCAACGGTCTTGTGCGAGATTCCACTGCCAGGAGCTCTCTATCCGGAGACACGCATAATATCTTCCAAAAATTCCGCGTCGACTCGTATCATGTGATAGGAGCTTTGAACGATTATTTTTTTCAAATCGGAATCGGATCAAACTGGAAACGATTCGAAAGTACCTTGTCCAAAATCAAGTCTTGCCTAGATAGAGGTGATATTGACGAAACCATCGAGATTGCCGGTTCCTTATATCGCTTACGACAATATCACGAAGATATTCTCGATCAAATCCTATTCTCACTGTTTCTAAGCAAGCGTCATGAACAGGTGAATAAACTCTTGGAGGAAATGTTCGGAACCATTCTTGCTTTTGCGCCTCTGTCTAGGCTTGATGGAAGTCATGGAATCCGGCAGCAAAACGAAAAGACAGTGCATCGACTTTATGCCACTTTCAGAAAGCAAATGAGTGTCTTTGTGCGTTTTCTTCGGGGCTTGGATGGTGGAAAGATGGCTTTTAAATCAACCGCTACCCAGCTAGGCGGTAGTAGTAGCATGTCTATAAGGACTACGTCGAGTATCTTTGAGTATCTACTTGCGCGGCTTGACCTGAAGCAGTACTACTAGCGAATCTGCTGCTGTGTATTTGTATAGAATGCTTTGCATAGAGCTAACGACGATCATAACTGTTCATTCGACATTGCCTATTTACCAGATCGCCCGATATACAGACATGTCTCAATACATTACTAATCATTGAAAAAGCTCTATGACCAAACGCCGTAAGAAATGCACTGTCTAAACTAAATCAAAAGAAAACAAGGTCCTTTTCATCCCACCCCTGTGCCAACAAAATCTCCTTTGCTGTGCTTTCCATCGCAGGCGGTCCACATATCAACACCAAGCTATCTTCCCTTGGCACCACATATTTCTTCAACAAGCCCTCTGATATACGGCCTTTTAGACCTTTCCAAGAACTGGAAGGTTTCGTCAAAGTATGCACAATTGTACACCTTGGGTCGCCTCCAGATACAAGCGCATCGAGTTCCTCTCGACACAAAATGTCTTCTTCGAGTCTGTTTCCGTCGAGAACGACGCATTCTGTAGGATCAGTAGTGTCTTGCATTACACCTCTCAGAATCTGGAAGATAGGCGTGATGCCACTTCCGCCACAAATCATGCGAAACGATTTTACATGACGCTCCTTGTCGTTCAGCAGAACCCGGCCGTTCCCAATATAGGTCAATTTTCCGATCGGTCCTTTGATGTCGACTGTATCGCCTATGCTTAGTTTATCGAGCGCCATGGTCATTTTGCCGCCTTTGGAGGTTTCGGTCGCGAAATAGATTTTGATGAGTACATCAAGGGTCCCCATCTGGTTTGTTTCTGACAGCGGTGTGTACGATCGGATAATTGATTCGGAAGAAGAACCGTCTTTCAGTTTCAGCATCAGATGTTGGCCAGTAGGCAGGCCGAGAGTTTGGGATTCGTTTTCGAGTTTGAATGTGAATATGCGAGTATCCCACGAGATGGACTCTTTGGCACAGAGCTCGGCCTTCTTCCATACTTTGGGGTGAAGGAACTTCTCATCTGGGGTTTGTGAAGAGGACTGATTTTGAGAATCATCCTTCAGTATGTCCTGGGCTTCCTTGTCGAGGGTGCCAATATGATAATAGCACATCATTGCCTTGGCAGTTTCGCTGTCTAGATATTTCATTAGCATTCCTTTTTTTCAAAATGTTTCATGAGATTTGCACAACTTACGAATTGCGAGAAATTCTTCCGACGCATCTGTAGCAGCTGCCGAGACAATACTTTGGGCACCACCAGGATGGCCTTCCAGAAAGTTGGTCCCATCGTATACCTCTCCATTCACAACAAACCACGCCCCTGCAGTCGAGCTATGGGCTTTCAATTCCTCAATATTGATACTGCGATTAACACCGTCCTTCTTCATCGAAATCTCCTTCATGGGTTGCCGGTTGCTGGCGGCTGAACCTTCGTCATCTTTTGATTTTTCGCCCCATTGCCCATTTGTTAGGTCTCCGCCAGCCTTCTTGACTCGATCCATCCAGCCACCGGGTTGGAGAGCAGGTAGCGTTGGGTGTTCAAATCTGAGGACGTCATCTTCCTTCAGAATGGCGACTCTGAACCAGGGATTATTCATCATTCCGAGAACCGACCAGTACATATCCCGGGGCTGAATATTGAGAGATTCGTCCGTCGCCCGCACTAGGATTGCACTGCTCTCTTTCAGAATTGATACTGGGATTTCGAGATTCCAGAAGCACCAGCAGAAGCTGGCTTCTCGCCAATACATATCAACTCGACCCTCGAATAGTGTCGACTCAAAATCGCGATATTTGTCCTCGGGGTATTCTATGTTTGCCAATCGCCAAGCTGGGTTAAAATATTAGTATGGCGGGGTTTTTGTGTCAAAACGTTGGCGTGACTTACATCTCCCCGTATCTAATGAAATTTCAACACGATTTATCCGTCTGCCACCTCCTCCATAGGCGTACCCTTTAGCTGTATAGATAGGACCAGCGGTTGATAAATGCAGCTCTTCATTGTGTTGTGGGAAAGCAGCTACTGAGTTCACATTCAAGTCGTATATAGCATACCGATCATCAGTCCACCATTTGGGTTCTTGGGCAGCTTGCTCAGGCGTGACCATCGTTCTACAGACCGATAGTCAGTAAACACCAAGAGGAAAGATGGAAAGTCAAACCCACGGTAGAACTCGGTTATCGTTAATGTGATACCAGTTTTCACTTGGCTTGTCGGTCAGAATCAATTTCTTCAACCACTTTACACTTCGTCCCCCAATCTGTCCGGGTATTACGGCTCTCAATGGCCGGCCATGATCCGGAGGGAGGGGCTCTCCGTTCATTCTATGAGCAAGCATGATACCTCTATTGGGGTCAAATACCCAATTAAGTTTCACCGAAGTTCCATAATATCCATTTGGCTGAAGATCAATTAGCATGTTAATCGGTTTTATTCTTTGGACAATTCAAAATTTACCAATTTATCAGCCCCCTCCATACAGACATACTTTGCCTTTCTGAGAGGCTTCGCCCGTTTAATTATATCAGCCATCATCGGGCCTGTCCATAAAGCTGTTGAGATACCAGCTGCACCCCAGGAAAAACCTTTTGACTTTCGCACTTGGTTTTGTTCCTTACGTCTATTTCCAGCACAAACCATGGTGACAGGAGCAGTGATTTGATCGAATTCTTGGAGCACCTGCTTGAAATTTAAAACAATTGGTTTTTCGACAAGCCTAAATCAAATAAAAAATCCCTATGTGAGTATTTGACTGGCAAAGGTAACAGTGGGATATTGCTTACCCTTCTATGCTAATTTCCCACGATGGAATGTCTTTGTCACGAACTTGCGGTACGGGCCCGTGATTTCGCACGTAGAATAATTCGGGAGGCGTCAAGAAGCCTAATATAAGAGAAAAAGCACACTGTCAATACTTGCTTCTATGCAAATCCGTCTTTTATAGATTGTTCACATGGTGACCTCCCTACCTTCATTGAAGAGAGTTGTTAGTGGTGGCTCGACATTGAATGGATGCACACCCGTCAACCTTATGAGCCGCGGATCACGTGGTACATGGTGATCTGGAGTATCTCTATCGATTTTCAACACTTCGGTAGGAGTCTTGGATGGTGGTGGCAGTGGGATATCAGGCAGCGGTTCCGTCTTCGCAGACACCTCACGCACTTCGACATTTTCCCTGGCTTTTGTGAGGGACGATATGGTGGGGTATAGTTTCTGTTTGTTGCTAATTTTGAGTAGTTTCTCATGGTCAATGAGGCTTGTCTGAGTGATGGTGGCCATTTTCTATTTTTTGGGGCGAGTCCCGTCTATTGTTCGAGAGTTTGCAGTTCAGCACGATCAGAGATGGAGATGAGATACGTGTATAGAAACGAGTCAATAAAAACGTTCATAAAAGATAAAAACTCATATTCCAGAAAATTTCTCTACATTTCGCAATGCAATTAATTGAAAGGGAATGAATGAGTTGGGGTCCGGGACTCATGAAGGTTGTGTAGATTCAAAATCTAACGGTCAGCAACTAGAATACAATTTCGGCCCAGAATAGCATGACATATCCAGCAGACGGATATCTGCGGAGACAGCCGTTACTAAAGGTGCTATTCAATACCTGTGACATAAGAAATTGCTGTCATCCATAACAAATAATCTTCTTTTTCCTCATAAAGGCATTGTTATTCGCCATCGTGGGACGAACACACTCCAAAGCGTCAATTCGTAGGAGAAAGTCTCCACGGAGAAGTGCCATCCAACGGCACCTCTCGCCTATAAGTCATCGCTATTAGTCTTGGTGGTGTCAGAGCCAGAGCTGAGGCGGTTTTCGTGCCTGTGTGGTTTTGTGCTTTTGTATCTACCTTATCTGATTGGGCGGCGGTGCTGGTCCATGATTGGCCGAGCCGAGACACCAAACTTGCCCTTATCTCCTGCAAATGGCCAGGCGCGACCAAGACCACTGCGTGCTCTGTTCCGCGGAGATCTTGGTCTGTGTCACTGCGAATACTCATAGAGCCGTTAGGCGGATGCGCCTCAGATTCAATTCAAGGCCAGAACTCGGCCGGGTGACTGATATGCTTATATCACCATATCGCGGTCCTGGAGGCCGCAGATCGCGCATAATGGGATTATGTCAGGGCATATTGGGCAGCTTGGATTGGCCACCATGATATACAGTTGAACGAGCAATTGGATCTCAATTTTAGGGCCTGGGCAGCTGTCTGGAGTTCTTTACGGTCCTCCAGGCTGCGTGTTTTCTCTTCCCATTTTATTACACGCGCGGCAGAGGTTGCCCACCAGACACCAAGATGATGGAAATAGAAACGCCATTGGAGGCGGATCATGGCCCTCTCGTCAACGATACCGGAAGCTATGAGACTCACACAACCGAGCTTTCATACTCGATGGAAATGACAGTTTCGCAGAATGAAATGCGGGTGAATGGACGAAAAAGGATTGTTATTGTAGGCCTGGGGATGGTGGCCATTTCACTCATGTAAGACGGTCGTCCAAACTGAGTGTAGCACCAAGTTGACCGTTCCAGTGAGAAAATAATGAAGCATGATACTGAGAAACAGCAATACGAAATTGTAGTGATCGGCGAAGAGCCGCACCTTGCATACAATCGTGTTGGGTTATCGACATTTTTTGAGCACCGAAAAGTCGAAGACTTATATCTAAACCCCCAGGAATGGGTGAGTTGACGGTTTAAGAACAATATTAGGAAACATTTATATTGACTTGGACAGTACTCCTCGTTCCAAAACGGCTCATTACGATACCATCTCGACACCCGGATCACCGAAATAGACCCAGTCAAGAAGCAGGTGCTGACATCGACCAACCACTGGGTTTCCTACGATTTGCTCGTTCTGGCAACGGGCTCGGATGCAGTCCTACCAGAGCATACACCTGGCTACAATGCCAAGGGCGTTTTCGTGTACAGGACAATCTCTGACTTGGAGCGGTTGATTGACTTTGCATCTCAACACAAGGGCGCAACAGGCGTTACGGTTGGTGGTGGTCTCCTAGGCCTGGAAGCAGCCAAGGCGATGACCGATCTACAAGACTTTGGTAGTGTCAAACTTATAGACCGGAACAAATATGTTCTTGCGCGACAGCTAGACGCCGATGCAGGGACTTTGGTCACCGAAAAGATTCGCGAGCTTGGATTAGAGGTCTTGCATCAGAAGAGAGTCGCTCGGATTGAAACAGACGACGGCAACAATGTTACTGGTATTACGTTTGAAGATGGAGAGAAATTGGATTGCTCTTGTATCTGCTTTGCGGTATGGAATTGCATCTCTAAGAAAACTGATGCAGCAAACTGACGAAGTTCCAGATTGGAGTAAGACCACGTGACGAGCTCGCAGTCAAAGCCAGAATTGAATGCGCTCCACGCGGAGGTTTTGTCATTAACGAATACCTTCAAACATCAGTCTCAGACATCTATGCCGTCGGAGAATGCGCCAATTGGGAAAATCAAACCTTTGGGATTATCGCTCCGGGTATCGAGATGGCCGACGTTCTAGCATTTAACCTTACGCACCCGGAGAATGAGTTCAAACACTTTAACCGTCCCGATTTGAGCACCAAGCTCAAGCTTCTCGGCGTAGACGTCGCTAGTTTTGGTGACTTTTTTGCAGACAGAGATGGCCCGAAGTTTTTGCCCGGCCGTCGAGCTTCAACTCAAAAGGTCATGGCATTCGAAGCCTTAGGGAAACCTACGAATGATACACGCAAAGTTAAAGCGTTGACATATAAGGACCCATTTGGAGCCGTTTATAAGAAATATCTGTTTACTTTGGATGGAAAGTTCCTACTGGGCGGAATGATGATTGGAGACACGAAAGACTATGCCAAGCTAAACCAGATGGTAAAGAGTCAAAAAGAATTAGATGTTCCGCCCAGTCAATTTATTTTGGGTGCACAGAGCGACGGGGAGGAGAATGCCGATGATCTGTAAGTTCTGGCCTACAACATACTGCACCTGACTATGTTTCTAAATGTATTAGTGATGATGATACTCAAATTTGTTCGTGTCATAATGTCACCAAAGCCGACCTAGTCGACAATATCAAAAATGGCACTTGCTCAACTATCGCAAAGGTTAAGTCTTGCACGAAGGCGGGAACTGGCTGCGGTGGATGTATGCCGTTGGTGCAATCCATCTTCAACAAGACCATGCTCGATATGGGCCAAGAAGTTTCCAACCATCGTAAGTTTTTCATCCTTCCAGTGGCTGTCTTATGCTAATAACTCCTAGTATGTGCTCACATTCCATATTCCCGAGCAGATCTGTATAACGTGATCGCAATTAGACAACTCCAGTCCTTTGACGACGTTATGCAAGCCTGCGGCAAGAACCCCGATTCTCTTGGCTGTGAAATCTGCAAGCCTGCAATCGCTTCTATTCTTTCGAGTCTCTTCAACCCCCATCTCATGGATAAGCCTGTTCACGAGCTCCAAGACACGAACGACAGGTTCCTTGCAAATATTCAACGCAACGGAACCTTTTCCGTCGTTCCCCGTGTTGCTGGTGGTGAGATCACCCCCGATAAACTCATCGCAATCGGACAAGTAGCAAAGAAATACAATCTGTATTGCAAGATCACGGGAGGTCAGCGAATTGATATGTTCGGTGCTAAAAAGCAAGACCTTCTTGCCATCTGGACTGAACTAGTGGAGGCGGGAATGGAAAGCGGCCATGCATATGCCAAATCACTCCGGACAGTCAAGGTACGTATGCTCTAACCATGTTCAAGGAGCATCTGAAGTTGCTAAACATTAAAACAGAGCTGTGTTGGAACTACTTGGTGCAGATTCGGTGTTGGTGACAGCGTCGGTATGGCTATTCGTTTAGAAGAGCGATACAAAAGCATCCGAGCTCCCCATAAATTCAAAGGCGGTGTGTCTGGTTGTGTTAGAGAATGTGCTGAGGCGCAAAGCAAAGAGTGAGACTTTAATTTTATACATTGCTGGCTATTACTTATTCTTGATAGTTTCGGTCTAATCGCGACAGATAAAGGGTTTAACATTTTTGTCGGCGGCAATGGAGGTGCCAAACCGCGACACGCGGAACTTCTAGCAAAGGATGTTCCACCAGAAGAGGTTATCCCTATTCTAGATCGATTCTGTATTTTCTACATCCGCACCGCCGACAGATTGCAACGTACAGCACGTTGGATTGAGAACCTACCTGGCGGACTCAAGTATCTGCAAGAAGTTATTCTTGACGACAAGCTAGGAATTTGTTCAGAAATGGAGCGCCAGATGCAAAGACTCGTCGATAGCTACTTTTGTGAATGGAAGGAAACGATTCAAAACCCAGAAAGGAGGAAATACTTTGAGCAATTCAGCAATACCTCGGAAACAGTTGAGACTGTCGAAGTCATCAAAGAACGTGACCAGATCCGGCCGACGTATTGGCCCGACAGTTCAGCAACTGAGGATTTCAAGGGCCATCCATGGTCAGCAACGACCTGGCAGCCAATTATCAAAGCCAGTCATTTCTCTGATGGGAAGCCGCAAATCTCGTCCGCAAACATCAAACGTGGTGATACACAGCTAAGCCTTTTCAAGATCAAAGGCAAGTATTATGCCACCCAACAAATGTGTCCACACAAACGTGCATTTGTGCTTTCGGATGGCTTAATTGGCGACGACGACGCGGGCAAGTATTGGGTTTCTTGCCCTTATCACAAACGCAACTTTGAGCTCAACGGCGAGCAAGCTGGCCGATGTTCCAATGATGAAGCAATGAACATTGCAACATTCCCTGCGGAGGAGCGCGAGGATGGCTGGGTTTATTTGAAACTCCCTCCAATTGACGAACTAGACTCTATTCTCGGCACTGAGAAATGGAAGATCAAGAAGAGCGAGTCGGTTGATCCGTTTGATCAGGTAGACAAAATCTACAAGGGTGGAAGGGCGCGGAAGATACAGAATCTCAAGAACCGGCTTGAACACGTCCCTGTGGGTGCGAACGGTATCGATTGGTGATATTGATCAAGATGATACGAAGTGACGATTTGGCTATATGTTTTGTATATTCGGGTAGATAATTAAGAAATGGTATTAGTTTGCCGTCCTTTTTCGGAAGCGTATAGCGTTAGAGTATTGAAAGGAAATTAATTATCCTAATAAATATATATACCTTGGAATGTGTTCGTGCACCCCGTTAATATCTAAGTGTTTTTGATAGCTCTGCAGGAAATTTCGGTCTAAGTGCCTCAATATTATGCTATTTTGGCAGCTGATTGAATTTTCTAGAGAGTACATGTACAATGGGAGGAGAAAATATGGTATAAAGCGTTTGCCCTGCATCAATTGATGTCACTGGGTGCTCGCCTTGGGCAAGCATATATGCCGACATATATGTTGGCGTGAAGCGTGGAGAAATTGCATTTAGTATCGAGCTCCACGAAAGGTTCATTAAGTTTTATTGCTCCTTCCAAAAAAATATATAGTAATAATAGCAATAATAAAAGATGAAGAGATATGGAAGAAAAAATATAGTGGTTATACAATGATAGGGCTAAGTGGATCACGTGTCACCAATCATCGCAAGGGATGCCCGATAATGCCTTATCAGTGGGGCACCCCACCACGCTTGGCCAATATCAGGCTTAGCAGATTCGAAAACAATCCACAACAAGGATCCAGAATGGCATGGCTAAATCGCCTTTAGCTGATTTCGAAACCGGAGAAGTTCTCCGTGGAAGGTCCCTGAACATGGGTACGTTTTCTTCAATCGCCAACTGCTAAGTTTAGAGTGATGGTTGTTAACCTCGAGGAATCGGCACAATGACGCTTGGACACAGCATCTGATTCTTAGGGCTAGAAGCCGCGTTGTCCATCCAATAGAATCTTGTATGGTTATCACCCGTAGGAATTTTTCAGGGAGAAGTCGGGGTGGGTGGGAAAACCTGTCTCGAGTCCTGTATCCCTCCCACTCGCCTTAGAACTTTATCAACATTGTCAGCATGGTCAGCATGTTCGAATCCCATTATTTCGATTTAATCCGGAGGGTCCTTGTTAGCTGTTGATCCCAGTGCCGCGGAGATGCTGTCTCCACGATAACAGACGTCAGATCGATCAATAGTACCAACAACTATATGCTCAGTCTCGTAACCCTCAACATATTAACATTATTACTCCATGGAGATGCTTGATAAAACCTCTTTTGCTTTTTTCATCCCACGTCTTTTGGACCTTGCCGCTTCTTTCAACCAGGCTAACACCAAACCAGTTTCTGGGATGGTAATCACTGCTTTTTTCTGATATAAACATTTCAAAAGTCCGGGATACCTACGATTTATACGAATAACAAATAGTATCCTCACCATATATTTTCATTCGGGACCGTTCAGTGGTCAACATTGAATCTTTCCTGTTTTGATATGTCGCTGAAACTTATCATAATGGCTAACAATGCCCTAACCCACCTGGTTGCAACCCCTGAAGTCAATCCCCTGACCAACAAAGCCTTGTCTGTCCCAATTTTGAACCCATTCAACCGCTATGGACGCGTCTTTTTCTTCTCATGGCTTGGTTTCTTCGTGGCGTTTTTGTCTTGGTTTTCATTCCCGCCTCTGGTGAGTTCACTCTATGTTGGTCGTAATACCTGTCCAAATATACTAATTTTGCCACTATAGTTGACCGACACTATCAAGAAAGACCTCAACATGACACAAACCGATGTAGCCAATTCAAATATCGTAGCGCTATTAGCGACGTACGTATACTTATATCCTTATCCGAAAGATTTAATACTCATTTGTCAATACAGCCTGCTCGTGCGTTTCATATCAGGACCCCTTTGTGACCGGTTTGGTCCTCGTTGGGTCTTCATTGGCTTGTTACTGAGTGGCTCCATCCCAACTGCCATGGCTGGTCTGGCCACTACACCGTCCGGACTGATTGCGGTTAGATTTTTTGTCGGTATACTTGGTGCAAGTTTCGTTCCTTGCCAAGTGTGGACAACAGGGTTCTTTGACAAGAGCGTGGTTGGCTCTGCCAATGCCTTGACTGCTGGTCTAGGAAACGCCGGTGGCGGCGTTACATAGTAAGCAATTTCGTCTTCTTTGTGAAGGTAGCTCGTTCCTTACTAATTCTTGCAGCTTCACCATGCCAGCAGTTTACAATTCCCTCGTTTCCCACGGCCTTACCGAGCACAAGGCATGGAGGGTTGCCTACGTTGTTCCGTTCATTATCATTGTCTCGATTGCGTTGGGCATGATATTCACTTGCGAAGACACACCAACCGGAAAGTGGTCTGAACGACACCTAAATGGTATTAATACGCCAGCGAGCACGAACATGCTAGAGCCGAACAACACCGAGAAAATCCCCTCGGGTGTTGTGACTCCAAACTCAATGAGCAAATTCGATCAAAAGATCCAGTACGTTTCAGACCCCGAGCGACAAGCAGATAGCTCGAAAGGTCAAGTTCTTCAAGAGCTTGTTGTGGCACCCACATGGAAGGAGACACTTCAAGTGATCTTCAGTCTCCCCACGCTATCTCTATCCATGGTATATGCCTGCACTTTCGGCGCTGAACTAGCATTGGACGGAGTTCTTGGCAGTTACTATTCCCGCAACTTCCCCACAATGGGCCAGACAAAATCTGGTGACTGGGCAGCGATGTTTGGCTTATTGAATGTCGTCTTCCGTCCTCTTGGTGGGTATGTTGCAGACACTATTTATCGCCACAGCAACTCGCTCTGGGGAAGAAGATCTGGCTAACCTTTCTGTGCGCTATTACTGGCGCGTTTTTACTTGCGATCGGCCTCACTAACCCTAAGAGCGAGTCTACTATGTTTGGATTAGTGGCGGGCATGGCTTTCTTCCTGGAGGCTGCCAACGGAGCTAATTTTGCGCTTGTACCGCATGTCTATCCTTTTGCTAATGGTAACCACCCATTTCTGGCTTCAGAAAGTATGATGACTAACAGGTTTTGATAGGAATTGTGTCTGGTACGGTGGGCGCATCTGGTAACCTTGGCGGAATCATTTTCAATATTGTATTTCGATATAATGGAACCCGTTACGATCGATCGACTTGGATAATGGGCGTTATTTGTGTGGCGGTTGCTATATTGCAATCATGGACTCGACCAGCAGCGAAGAGTATTTAATTTATTAGGCCACATGGATAAGAAGTGATGGGAATATATTAATGTAACACGAAAAAGTTTCTTCTCCATCTACACGAGACTCTATTTCAAATTTGTCAAAGAGCGTGCTCCCGATATTAATATAATAATAGTCAGACCTCCTTATTAATTTAACTCAAAGCACTCTCGGTCAAGGCTGTCGCCAATGGTGCAATCGGACCGTTCATTGACGTGGGATGGTTGGATGTGAGTAGTCTTGATCGACAAAACGATAATTGGATTTGCAGAGAAGACCCCTATTGTAGGGCTCTCCAGGAGGTCCAACCACAGTCAGGAGCTCGTGTTTCGCAGATTGATGTCTCCAGAGGTGTCACAGACTTCAATAGTTGGATGTTTCCGAGCCAATCATTCCACTGCCAGACCCTTACTAATCCCAAACCGGAAGTAGCAAATTCCAAACAGCTTCGAAATTGTTCCAACGGCCTGTGGTTGGCTGAGCGTACCGGTATGGGGCCGTTAACGCCAGCCGCAATATGATGCGGGGAAACATTATTGTTATTGATCACTCCTTACTTTATCTCAGCTTCGTGGCCTCTCTCACGCGACGCTCACTACTGGTTGCCATGAAAATCCCCTGACTTCTCGATTCAATGTCCTTTCACAATCGACAACGTGAAACGGCACTCTGTTGAGAGGCCGTCGTACAAATGAGACGCGATAATGGTGCCGGCGCGGTGGTCAGCTCCAGGTCCAGGGTATTCCGCCCTTGCTTGACGTGTCGTCGTCGAAAGATCAGTGTCTGTTCCCTGCAACTCCTTTGGCCCTAGTCCTCTGGGTTCTTCTTTGTAATATCTAACATTTTATCTAACCGAAATGTGTGAATAGTGCGATAAAGCGAAGCCGAAATGCAAACGATGCCACCAGACCGGATACCAATGCGAAGGCTATGGTGAGGAGCGAAGCTTTGTCTACGTCGTCCCTACCAAGATATCCACGACCCGCACGTCTGATGGGTCAACTGACGAAGGCAATACAAAAAAGATCACCCTGAAGTCATCCCGGCAAGTGCCGCTCCAGTCGCTCACTCCTTCGATCCACTCGGTCTCTGCCAACCGAATACAGGTGTTGTCGTATTTTCTGGATAGTTATCTTCCGGGTCGACCAGCACATCCTCGGGAAGATCAGACTGCTTTGACTTGGATAAGAAGTTGGCCTTTGAGTCTCGGAAAATGGAATTTTTTGGACATGTCTCTATCCGCACTGTCTCTCGCATATATTGGAGATATGCATCAAAATCAAACCTTACTCCATCAGGGAGAGCGTTGTTATGATGAGGCTCTGATGCGGATGCGAGCGAGACTATCTCAGAATTCGATCGATGAAGGGGTCCTAGCCGCTTGCATGAGCATGTCGATATACGAAGTGAGTTTTTATTCCGGGAGTAGGCATTAAGTACTAATTTGAATCGAAGCTCTTCCATACTACAGGTAACAGTCCACAAGGCTGGATGTTTCACGTGAAAGGGGCGTGTCATTTGCTCAGGTTGCGAGGGCCACCATCAGAAAACTCGCCGCTCGATATGAACCTTTATCGACGAATACGAGCTGCCGCGGTAAGAGCCCCATTTACGCTATTACTGGTATTGAAGCTGAGATTTGCAGTTGTGGGACTCCTATGGAAGTGGAAAACCGACATTTCTTGCCGGGCTTGAATGGTGTGGCTTATCTGATATGCCATATGATCGGTTGCTCGACATTTTGATTCGTCTTCCCTCATTACTAGCAAAGGCAGATCAGATCGAATCAACTTCTAAAGACGTAGATGCGATACGAGCAGCTCAGGAGCTCCTTGGGAAATGCCATGCACTACGGGACGAGCTGATTTTCTGGTATGCGGGGTTTCAATCTGAGGAAAGCGGTCCTCTGTTCTACCTGGAATTAGAAGAGCGACACCCGTATCTTGATCCGGACTCTGATTTGCAGGATGTATTCCCAGAGAGTGTTACATTTCAGAATGCTTATATAGCTCAGATTCTTTTGCTGTATTGGTATGGCGAGGTAGTAGTGCACAGCATCATGTCGCATATGCATAGGTTTACCCAGAAAAATACTCAGAATGTCGACAACACGGCGACAGCTACGCCACCAGAACAACAAGTTACCGGTGATGTGATCAGGGACGTCGATACAGTTGGCGAACACTTCGCGTCCAAGATATGTCAAGCCATGGCTGGGTGCGGACGGAATTGTCTCCAGGGTTACGGTTTTCAGATCGCCTTGGTTCCTTTATGGGCTGCCCAGCAGTTCTTTTTTCAACGATCGCCCCGGAAATATAAGTGGTGTCAAACTGTCCTCGTCAATTTCAGTACCAAGGGGTTTGTGCTAGCACAATCCCTAGGTAGGTTAGCACTTCGACAGTATCCTGGAAGGAAGATTGAGGAATCTCTACCTGCTGACGAAGTGGATTGACGAAAGGAAATCATTCATGATGGTTTACGAATATAACCAAATAATATTGTGGAATTTCTGATCTGGCATACTCGCTGCATCTTAATACGGCCTTGATAGCTTGATGCCTAATTGATAACGACAAAGGGGATGACACTGCTACATGACCAGTCTCATTTATCGAAATTTGCATACAGCGAACAGAAATATTACGGCTCAGCAAATGGTTTCTCAGACAAGAACCACAACGGCAACACCATCCACAAGTTACTTTGACTAGCTAATCAAAGTACGCTGGTTTGCACAACAGTATACGCCGAAGCGATCGCGAGATTCTTGCTCTCAAAGTCACTCAAGGACCCAGTATCTGATTCACTAAAGGTACCAGAACTTCCGAAACCATTTATCACGCAATCGCGGCCTAGATATGTTTCGCAAACGGTGTTTTCGCTTGTAGAGGGTGATGTGAACAGCTGTCCATCATTCAATGACTCTAAAAAATAATACCGACATTCTGAAACACCCTCCCTTCGGCAAGAACATAGTCACCAGAACCGATCTCAAAAGCGTGACCACTGGAGTCGTACCGGTAGTTATTAACCTAGAACCGGGTTTCAGGTTAGTTATTCATAATTCCGTTGAATAGTCTCCAAGACTATGAATATGATGAATCCATGCTTACCGCGTGCAGAAGGGTGTTACCCTGGACCTTAGGAGCACGACCGCTGAAATGGTAGATATAACGAGATAGATGGCCCAATAGTGGTAACCATCACACGTCGCGCTATAGCTAGTGACGCCGGCAAAGTAGGGCTTGGAGACTGTCACACGATTGTCCGCCGATGTTCCATGCACCAAATGTTGCCTACCAATGCGGGCAGTCTAAAGCGGACAACAATTTAATCAGCATCAATCACAAACCGCGTGCAATCAAGTCGTACCGTAACATGGTCGATCCACAACAGATCGGCATCATCAATAGAAATTGCATCTCCCCAAACATATCCGGGGTTAATGTCTGTAATGGCGATATTTTTGAACGAGAAAATATCAGCTACTTCACTTTTCTTGAATTGGTTCTACTCACTGGATGATGATATTGGTCGCGCCGCCGACGATTCTCAACCCTTTAACCTTGATTATACCGCTAGAACCTGAGCCAATGAGTGTTTTATCCGGTGCGACCGTGATGTCAAGCGCCCCGGCATTATAACTGACGTAATGTCAGCCGCAAAATCGCTATCTTGGGGAAAGATGAGCCGGGAGAAGTTATCAAGAGACATACTATGTCACGGACACCGATGGAGCATCCGGCTGGTAGCTGGTGCGCCAGTCATTCTGATTAATGGCGTCTGGCAGGCCGAAGCAGTTCCCCAAGGGTGCATCCGGCGGCAGTTGTGGTGCCTTCAATATCAGTGAAATCATATCTGCCATCTGTTAACGAATCAAGACTATACAGTGAAGCCTGGAGTGAAACCGACGTTTGATCCAGCACGATCACACGAGCTTCCGAGTCGCCCAAGTACGAAACCAGCTCATCGGTAGTTGTAGGTACACCGCAGTGGCAGATCCTCCTCCCGTTACGCCCTTTGCAAAGCCCTCTGCAGAGCCAGATAAGGCATACATGTATTTCATAGTGGCAGAATCTGGGACCAGTCAGGACACCACGTTTGTAATTTGAACTATTCTGAAAGCTAACAATGAAGAAATCAACCTCAATTTTATATTCCTTCAAAATTCATTCTCACTTTCCCACAGCTGTATAATCATATCAATCAAAAGAATTACAATTGAAGAATGCTAGCTAGCTCCGCCGAGCTGTTGGCGTTCTGGGGCATCGATCATATTCGTGGAGCCCAGTAAATGTATCAATTGATGGTGTTGGTAAAATTCCATGGAGAAACAAAAAAGGCCAAGCCATAGGTGCGAGAACTATGCGAAGCTAAATAAAACGGCTGCCCTAACCAGATGTATTAGAGTTTCATCAGCAGACTATGACCGGTGGATAATTTGCGTCCGGTTTATGGATATTGAATACTACTGCAAGAAAAATAGCAGTTTTGTCTTGGCTAGGCGGAATATATCAATCAATTCTAGAGGGATATTGCTCACATTTACCCATCCTAAATATCAATTTGTGATTTCGGGCATCGTCACTGGTCTATTTTCTCGTCCTTGTAATCTATATATAAAACACAAGACCACTTGAGAATTCCCACATTCATTGAAACAAAAATTGTCTAGAAGATAACTACAAACAAAGAAAACGAAATATTTATGATGGCCTGGGTTCCGACAATCCGCTGCAGAAAATTACAGGGCAATACTATATCGACCAGCTCTCAAGCTAGTCAAAACGTGAAACAGAAGAAGTTCCACCACCCATCGAGAATAAAGACAGATGCGTGATGTGTAGTGTCAAAAGCGTCATCTATAAGCTATAAATAGACAACCGTGACTCACCTTTTATTTTGAAGTGTTCAAGGCCAAGTATGTGACCTTCAAATGTATTGAATGATATAATATGAAAGGCGCCCGGGTTAATATCCTGGTCAACCTAGTAAGCCACGGCGGGCTTGATTGCGGGGTTTGTTCATGGGCTATCTCACAATAATTATATTTACTAGAAGGAGGCTCTTGATACGATAAATGTATTATTAACTAATAGGTAATGTTAATTTACAACTGCAAACCGCGTGACTTGGCACGTCGCAGTTGTCGCGAATCCCTGTAGAAAATGAGTTAGGGTTTCAACTTGCCTCGGGATCATGAATATCCATGTTTATTACTGCAATTACTAGATCAACCAAGAGAAACTTCGAATGTTATTATTATGGATCATAGCAACTAACTAAGCTAGAATCATAATTATTTATCATCAATGGAAAATTTGGGAATAAGACCCGTGTTCCTTACTAACTCAGCTATCAAATATGTTTCAAACACCATGTTCTAGGGTTCGGTGTTGACATCTGGAAGTTGGTCAACCTAGCATTTCAAATGTTGAGGGTATAAATGGCCTTAGAACAATGATCCACGTGGATAGCAGCTACTTATTGCCGGAATTGAAGTACCATATAGGTATACATGAGGAGTTGCTTATATATGTAATGTGAAATTGGGGTCCTTACACCCATCCAAAAGCTACCTTTTGATTGTCTTTGCTTTCCTTTCCTTCCCCACCCCCCACGTGCTTCATATATCATTTTCATGATTTATCATTAATTTAGTACATAAATTTGAAGAAATTCATGTATCCGCAATCCTATCACAGTTTACTTGATGGCTGCTCCTTAATGAGGTGTGCGTTGACCGGCGTGAGTGCTTTCCCTTCAAGGAAATAGCTGAAGATATTATCCATTGCCAACTTTTCAAACCCGATATGCGTGTCAACTGTGCCACCCGCATTATGCGACATAGCCATCACTCTTGGATGTCTAACAAGGCGTGGATGCACCGAAGGCTCGGCAGCATGGACATCAAGTCCAGCAGCAACAAGATGTCCACTATCCAGGCTATTCAAAAGTGCTTCTTCATCCACCAACGATCCTCGCGCAATATTAATAAACCGTGAATGCTTCTTGAATTTCTGCAACCGCTCTGCTGTAATCAGCTTCTGGCCAGCGAATGGAGTCGCTACTACAACACAATCCGAATTGCCGAGTAGATCGTCTAGCTCGGCAAAGAAAGTAGCTTCGACGCTTGCCTCTTGCTCTTTGCTTTTACGGAAAAGATCGTTGTATTGAATCTTCATGCCGAAACCAGCATATGCCTTTTTCGCAATTGTGTACCCGATTTGTCCCATACCCACGATGCCAAGGGTTCGTCCGCGGGGGTTATAAGCGGTTAATGGGACGTTGGTGTGGGCATCAAGGAATAGCTGCGGATTGAGTGAGTATGCAGCTTGGTGTGACCATGCCAAGTTTCTGAAAACTGCAAGAATCAAGAAGAGTGTCATATCGGCGACGGACTCTGACGACGCGGCGGCTCCATTGCAATATAATATTCCTTAACAGCGCCATATCGATTAGTTTTCTCCAAAAAAAGGTGATGAAAGAAGATGAGAACCTACCTCTCTTTGCAAAAACATCTACATCCACCCAATCATACCCGGCGCCAGCAGATGTCATGATTTTGACTGAATCAGGAAGCAAGGAAATCAACTCTTCGTCCCAACGGCCCATTTCACCACCTGTATTCCAAAAAGGTCGGAATATGGCATGAAAATTCCCCCATCGCTTTTCCTTCAGTGCGCAAATGAATTCTGATCGTTCTCTTTGCTCTGCTGGTGGTTGGATTATTTCGAAAATTGAGGAAAAGCGCTTGTATACATCGTGGTTGTATTTGATGTCATCGCCGATAAAGAGAACGATTGCTTTCTGGAGCATTTTTCACGTACTTTTCGAATATGGCCTCTTTTTGAAAGTGGTCAGGACACCGGTCTCATAGTAATAATTGACTGTGAACAGTCGTAGATATCCGGTAACCCTAGTGCGAGCCTAGGCAGGGGCAGTCTTTTTTTGTTGGCAGAACGGCGTATATATCAATTGATGGATATGTAGTTCTATGGAACGTATGCAATTCAGCAACTTAGTATATTCAAATCAATAATCATAATTCCTGCCTTCGTATATAAATAGTTGATATTTCTTACCCCATCAATAGCCGGCAGCTCCAACTGTGTCAATACCCGATCGGAAATCGAAACCCGGAACAACATTTGAAGTAACGCACGCAGTTGCAGCCGACTCACAAATATAACAAAACTTCACATTAAAATAGTTTGTATCTTTATAAATCCGGGGGAACAAAATCAACATCAATAGTGGATGTAGATCAAGAACTTTTCCCCTGCTCTGCTAGTGTCTTTTGCCCAATCCTGACCAAGTCCTCGTTGAGTAAAGTCTCCTTCTCGATTCCATTGACTGCTTGCTCTATCATTGTTGTAGCTATCTCGCTCACCTCAACTTTGGGCAGGCCGATGATGCTACGGCCGATTGTTGATAGAACGGTCATTCCTATTCCCATGCGACCGGGAGCACTGATTATACCTGGCCGAGTTATACAGGCTTGCACAGCACCCGCAGACTGCTTTGCATAGTTGAGCACATGAGACTCGACTTGGCCCTATACGCAGTTAGAATTTGCTGATAATCTCATAAAGATGAAGCTATTACTGCAAGCGACGCAAGCTACAAACAGTTCGAAAGGAATGGAAAGAACAAGTAAGAAACGACTCACCCGCATTAAGCTGTAGTCACCCAAAATCCATGGTTTCTTGCTCTGATCTCTTTCGGCTTTGGCGCCGCTAGTGTAGATGAACCGAAAGGGCTTGTTACTGGTTGCAGCCATCGCCTCGAGACCCTTGGCAGTGTAGTCGAGGCAGATTTTTCGTGTCTGCTCAAATGGCATAGTCTTGAGTTTGCCCGGGGTTATAGCGATGAGCCTATAGTGCTGGGTCAATATCATAAATACTAAAAATATATCCATGTTGATTTTTGCTCCAAATTACATGGATTCTAAGTCGTTATCTGAAGGTAACGCGGAGAAATGGAATGTTTACCATATGCAAGCGTCAGCACCAGCGATCTCCTTCTTCACGCTCTCCGGGTAGTTCTCAAAGTCCTCGCATACAACAGACTTGATCTTTGAGACATCAGCGCCAGGACCAGCGTTCTCAGGCGCGGGAGTAGGCCGACGCGCGAGAGCGACGATCGTATTCACGGAGGGATGCGAGACGGCTTGCCGGATGACTTCAGTACCGACAAAGCCGGTTGAGCCAGCAACAACGAGCTTCATTGTAAACAGACTGTCAGTTCTGATATTTACTGATGGTTTAAGAATTATTGCGCAGAGAATAATGGGATAGATGAAGCTCTCAACGTGAATTTGATGTGGCAGGCAGCGGCTGTCAGAAATTAAAACAGCCCTCTAAGCTCTAGCGTCAGTCATGCCGCCCCCAATTGGAGAATAGGCCATTTTCAGCCTTTTTAGAACATCCATTCAATACAGAGGATTATATAATAATGATAATTATTAACTTGTATTATACCAAAAAATATCAAGCACTTTCAGGCTATTATAATTTGGCGATATTTTGAGGAAGAAATGGTTATGGGATATAGACGCTAAGACTAGGACATTCAAGGTCTTTGAATATCAATCGATATAATACAGTATGTAATTAATTGAATGACTAACTCCTTGGAAGGCAGTTACATAACATGAAAGCAGAGAATTGACTGCAAGAAAAAAATTGAAAATGGCGCATGCCCCAATTATTATTCAGTCCGCCGTTCACTGCATGTTATAGCTCTCCCTCTCTCACAATTTCCAGCTGCACATGTGCTGGTATGAGCTTGGTCCCTGCAAAGATAACTATTCCTACCTATTTACTCATCAATTAATACTCTCTGCGGTATTGCCGCCAGTAGAATTGTGTGTTGTGAAATATTAGCTACATAACTATTCATATCCATTGATATGTGCATTGGGATATACTATATCTACCTGTGAGTAAATCATGGTACATGTATCAATTGATAATTGATATCGGGCTTGTTAGTCTCCATAGATTACATGTACATCGACTGCAAAAACTATTTTTTTATTCAATCATTTCTCAACGAGATTCTCCACATCTACGCATATTTTAACATCGATAGTTTAAATATTATGATCAGCGCTTGCTCGGTACAAAAGCTACCGAAGTGGAGAAATTCAAGTTTATATTATGTAATTCTTGTCCGTTCAGCAAACAGTTTATCTTTGCAGGTATCGATATCCTTCAATTTCTCTTCGCATTCAGTTAACCTGACTATATCCATTCAGAATATAACAAAATGGTCCGCAGAATAGCACAAATCGTCCATCTCAAATGTTCTGCCGTTGCAGCATACAAAGAATGTCATGCTAATGTATGGCCGGAAGTCTTGCAGCAAATCCACGACTGTAATATTCGAGATTGTATATACTGTTTCTATTATTATTGGCTAGTCTTTATCTCCTTGCTGATGCGTTTATTAGACTCGATCTTCTTTGATAATGACAGGACACTTTTTGCTACGTTCAAATATATTGGTAACGACTTCGAGGCTGATATGAAGAAAATGAGAGCCAACCCTAAAGTCCAGGAGTGGTGGGTCATGACGGATGGGATGCAAGAGAGCCCGAATCAGGGCTCTACGGGGAGCATGGACCAGGAAACGTCGTGGTGGAAGGGATTGGAGGAAGTTTTTCATGCTGAGTGATGTGATCAGTTGGGTACTCTACTCTACTTCTCCTTAGAAATAGACTTGGACTTGAAGAGAGAAAATCCAAGGTCAAAGCGACTCATTTCTGATACATACTATCTGAATTATCCGGTATGAAAGGTACTCTGCCAGGAAAAAAGCATAAATCTGACTCCCTCTCGCTCCATTTCCCCCCTCCTCGGCCTTGATCCTCCCCAACCTAGGGTTCGCGTGCACAACCAACGGAGGCAATTTAATTGTACATTCTTCGTGAGAACGCTACACTCCGTAGACATATCAGTAGTTCATTCACTATCAACCTCAGTGCGCTTCAGAATACCACGAGCCATATGACGCTTTGCCAAGTTAAACTCAACAGCACGTTTCTTGGCCGCATGAGACATAGTAAACGCAGCCGAACCACCGAATGGACCAGCAAGTGCGTTGTTATTGACTCGCACAATGCAAACGTTACTAGCTCCGCCGGCGTTTCCAGAACAGGTCATGCCCTCTGGCATCTGGACCTTGATGGGAAAATCCATTGTTGTGGCGGAAGAGAGTCCAAGACGGTTTCCAGGTACATCTTGGGTGACTTCTGCCTTCTGAAAAGCGCTGGCGTCAGTGCCGCCGGAAGTAGGGTCGATCATGGCTGTAAGAGAGCCGGCACCATCTTGGTTGACCTTGAAGTGGGTCGTTTAGCTTTGGGAGAAAAAAGGTGCGATGGAAGAGATAATACCTGGTGGAAAGTCATGGAGATAGTCCCGTTGTCAGAGCAGGTGGGCAGGCCACTCTTAGAGCCAGTGCCAGCTGCTGTCTTGACGCCGCCTTCAACGGGGCTATCTCTGGTACTGGTGCCATCGGCGCTCGATCCGCCGTTGTTGTTGTTGTCTATTAGTTCGTCAATGTGAGAATCTGTATGAAATTGAGAAAGAGGAACGGACTACCACCGAGAAGACCGTCCAAGAGTCCACGCTTGCCAGACGAAGAGCTGGAAGACGAGCCCGTCATGAACATGGAGATGGCAGAGGCCGCGTCAACAGGACCGCCTCCATTGGTTCGACCTAGGGCTGATGCTTTGTTACTACCCAACTCATTTTCACGGATTATAGATGTATCGGCCTCCGCGCCGCAGCCAGGGGATGCGCAGTCACGAGGAGTTCCATCAATAACTGTCGGATAAATCGTCAGCCTAAAGTTTAGAAATGATGAAAGGAGGGTCGGATAATGTTTACCTGACAAACCAGGCATATTGACACCGTTGGCGCCCTGGATCTGAGTAACCACACCATGCCCATGAATTTCAGCCGCCAAGGCAACGAGAAGACCAATATAGATGATAGACTGCATTTTGAAGATTATGATAGAAGTTGATGTTGAAAAATTGGTATGTGAACAGGTAAATAATAGTAGATATTAGATAGTGCGTCCGGCGCAAATATTGGAAGGAAATCAAGCTGATCGAAGAGTAGATTGATTATCGAAATCAGAGACGAAGGTTGCTGTCCCAAAAAAAATTTATTTGATCAGGATATTCCAATCTTTATATAGCCGTCAGTGACTCTGCCAACAGCTCTGATCGATAAGCCACCGAGGAAGCACTTAGCAACAGGAGGTGTGAATTGATGGCTGGTTAGATCTCATACAGAACCAGCCTCCAGTGTCTCAATTGCTTCAATGACTGCATTTCAAACATACCTCAAAAAGAAGACATCGTCTCCCAACAGGAACCACGACTTACCTGTTACGGAATGCAGCCAGGAGACTATGCTGGGCATCTAACGAGTTTCTGGGACATCGCTTCTGGGCCGTGGACTGTAATTAGTCCATTTTCGTCAAGAAATCCTAGAGAAAGCCTCGAAAATTAGTCATATCGGCCATCATATCAGATCCAACCAAGATCTGCGTTCGGGGATATGTCTACAGAACACTACCCCCAGTGAGGCGCGGTTGTATCAGAAACTGGGCAACGAAAATTAAGCAAGTGCCTCATGTTCAAGTTTCCTACAGCTGTAACCAGTCCCTAGCTATTGAATCATGTCAAGTTTGATCTCGGCTATCACCAGCGAATAGCACAGATAGGGCGCGGGGAGAATGGGTAACGCCGTATAGCCGAGACGAAATGTGTACACGATAAATGATGGTTCGTACTTCAACACCTTCTCAAGCAAGTTATGCGGACTCATTGGCTAATACCGTGGTTCTTTTGCAGATCATTAGCTTTAAATGTGTTTTAATTCTATGCGGAGTCGGGTAAGCGAGAGGCTGGGATGGGTGTTGGAGGAGTAAATTGTCTCAGCGTGAGACGAGATGAATCGTAGCTATCAAGATAGGCCTAGTCTTCAATATTTGTAAGTTTTGCAAGGTCGTATTAAGGCTCGTTGTTAATTTGATGGCTGGGTTGCCCGTATTGTCTCCTATTTCAAAGCTGCCAAGTCCGCCAAGAAGCCGCCGAAATTGCTAGCAAAACGCCTGAAACGCTGCTTGTTAGGAGCGCATAGCCTTTTCCTCTTAAGAATATTACAGAGTCTCAGAATAACTTTGTTATTGTCCAGTTATACACCGATTTGATTCTTGGGTTCCTCGGTAAAAGGATAAAAGCTAAAGAGCGATTACCTTGTTTGAACCCCTAGCTATGCTTGCTAAAATACACCCAATGATCTTGATAGCTTCATATATCGTAGCATTATGGTATCACATTTTTTGCGCAAAGAAAGATGCCTGGCCACAGATCTAAACCACACCGCATAACGCCACCTCGTAAAACCGTAGACGCCTTGCCATGATAGGAGAAATAATATACTTGATAGAGTCGTAAAAAGAAAATAAAAACACAGCCTCGTAAAAACCACCAACTGGCGTCGAAGATGGAAATTGTGCTGTACATCACGCTGGCTGGTGTCAACAGGGTTTGCTTAATCTGCGCTAGGAGTATCCTTGAGAAACTCCCAGCCCATTTCAGCTTCGGGTTTCTCAGGCTCTAGGCCAATTGCGGAGCGAAGTGCGCGCACTTCACTCTGCAGCCCCTGGACGACCCGAGTGGGCGCTTCATCTTCTTCGCACCGAAGGCGATATGCAGTACGTAGCATCTCAGCGAGTCGCATGGTTTGGGAATGCCAGTGATCACGATCTAAGCGGCTGGCTAAATGGGCGTCACGTTCGGCTTGTAAGAGAGAATTGTAGTCCTTCTTCTGAGCAAGGAAGTACAGGTTGTTGTTTTGGCAGTAAGTACGAATTTGCTCAACGATGATGCCCATCGCCGATTCGAATTCACCGATCAACTTTGTGTTCTCGATTTGCTCTCGCTTCAAAATCTCTACGGTATGACGCTCCTTTGCCAGGGCACGTTCTAACTCTGCGATCCTGGCGGCTGTATCTCGGTCGTTAATCAACTAGACAGCGACTATCCACGCAGAAAGAAACTTACCAGAAATTTCACCACTTACTTGCTGGATCTCGGGACTTACTCCTTCAACAGTAGAGCGACGCTATAGTAAGTCAACACCACCATTTTACTTAGGAACAGATCTCAAGCCGGACGCACCATGATTTCCTCGGCACTAGCGACGATGCCGCGAGTCATCTCGCGATTATGTTTGATGATATCGCTGAATTCTACCACCATTTCGTACAGATTGTTCAGATCCATCTGGTGGCCTGCATTCATCGGGAGGCCGGCCATCATGCTGCTACCTACAGCACCGCCGCCGTTGACCTGCGGCACTCCATGCTGAGGAACCGGGGAGGGGGATTGGCGAGCCATGTTGGCCATATTGACATTAGGCGAATTGTCCATGAAACTTCCCATCGCAGTGCCGTTTGTTGTCATGCTCTCGAGAGCGAGGTCGTCTTGCGCGAAGACCGCAAAGCTTCGAGAAACCGGGCGGGATGGGAGGCTCGCAGCTTGGACAGCCTCGGCCTGCTCGTGCTGACTGCGTTGGTCCGACACGGTGTTGAATACGAAGTTGCCGTCTATGTTCGAGAAAACAATACCGGAGCCGGTGAGACAGACGTCAGAGTCTGTATCGTCTGAGGAGCACTATAGGACCATGAGGCATCTCGGATCAACATGACAGGTGCCAGCTTAGCGCGCTTCACCGCCTGCGCGAATAGGAAGGCACGGTGTCACATGATAGCTACATTGTGATTGGCTGTTTGTCCAACTGGAATCTAGAATTATGATGATCATGTATTTCATTATAGTTATATAGAACTGAGTCAACATCAGCCTGGCTCATAATAACCTATCCGTCTGCAGCCGCGGCATGCTTATTTACCGGCTATCTTCTGCCTCCTGGCAATGCGAAGGCCCTTGGCTCGCCGGATTTCTCGTGGTATATGTTCTTGGACTAAAAGATCCCAGCTTCCTCTTGCTCACGTCAAACCTAGCAGCGCTGCGAGTTTCTCATTAGGATCTGTCGAAGATGCTGGATGGTCAGGCTGCGTCACGCGACTGTTATGAACTCTTTCTGACACTCTTGCAATCAGCATTCTCATCTTGTCAATCTCCTGGACGAGCTCGCCATCTCTGGTGACTAAATTTGGTTGAATATTTTGCTGTGGGTTTTTAAACGGCTCGAGAAGCGCTTCTAGTTGCCGGTAATGAGCTAGTCGCTTCTGTTGCTCCTGCCGTTGGCTATCCAAAGCCAGCAATCTCTGGTATATTGCTTTATATCTAAAATATTTGTCAATATCTTTAGCTAGAACTAATAGCTGATACTCAAAGTATAATTACCTTTCCTGGTCCCCAGCGGAAATGTCCTCTCCATGATATTGTGCAGGGAGTTTCTCAATCACCCTACCACAACATCAGCACAAATAGCGTCGACACAGAGTACACACACTTACTGATGATTCGACACGTCAGAGCCAAGTTCCACTCCACTCAGCTCCTTGGTCGGCGCGACAGCTTCCCTCTTAACCGACTCCCAGTACAGATTCTCGATCTGGCGAGCAATATGCTGAATAGCCTGATTCGAGTAAACAACGCGGTTATGCTGTTTCAAAATCGCATTGACTGGGTTTGATTATCAAAAAATATTTCTTCGTAGTGAATATCCCTTCCGAACGTACATTTTAGCAGCGCTTCTTCCACTACTTTCTCGCTCAGATTGTCTTCTGTCTCAGGCGCATAGTCTCTCCATCCTTCCTGCGGCGAAAGCGATGCAGATAGAATGCGGACTTGATTCCGGATGAACGAAGCTTTTAGCTCCGATATTGTTCGTAGATTCTCCATAATTACTGATTCTTGAGCATTGTGAGAATCACTTTACACGCGTGTATGTCCTAGGGTTGTTTGTTTGCGATGCCGCTAACCCGGGAACCGATAAGCGCGTCCCATGTCTAGCCTGCGGGGACTGTGCCAACGAGCCTGAGGCACAACATTTGAGAGCCTTTATCTTATACAGTCATGCCGACCTCGATGCTCTTATCATGGCCAAAGCCCCGCTTAGTAGACTCCAGATATGTTCCTACTTGCTGACTATATTTTGTGGTTGAGGAAACTGGCCCCAAACGTTATTCATGGAATTTACTGAAACTTTCATACGAAAGGGTTAATCTCTTAGAGCTCGACATAAAAAAGCAAATATTTTGTACTCTAAACTCAAGCTACAGCCCTTCACGACATGAAAGTCTCTACCAGATCACCACTTAAAAGGTGAAGCTCGTGGAATGTTCATCCGGAGTTGTGAGGTCCGTGGATCTCCTGGCCTGTGTCGGCCAATTGAGCTTTCAAATCTTCCAAATTTTTTAACACCTGCTTGGGCTTTCCTTGATAATCCACCTTTCTCATCCATGTCTCTAAACTCTTGATTCGACCAGGGAATATCTCATCTAACAATGCAAAGTCCCTCGTCGCACCGATTCCCTCAGACCAGTAGCGCCACCACGCGGTGAAATTCTGTCGCCAGGTCATGTTGGATTCGTCGTCGATCCTGTTCTTACCCCCAATGAAGTTGGCAGGTGCATTTGGGTATGGCTCGACTTTGTCCATATATTCCTCCATCGACAAGGTAATATGGACGGCCTTCTTCCCGGTGACGCGGATAAAGACCTCGAGGATGTCTTGAAACGAGACTTGGTCGGTTGTTACCTCGAGATCCACTCCGGCTGAGCGTTCAACGTTGTCGAATATCCACAAGACATATGACCCGACATCATCTAGTGCAATGAGAGGTATTTTCCCGTTGCCTATACTCTGGCATTAGAAAAACTCCAGAATTCATTAATGGTCGAGTGCATGTCACATACCAGCTGGATTGGCCCACACAATGGTGCCATCCTCACGCTCCTCGGGCTTAAACATCCCATCAAACAGCATCTCCATATACGGGCCCGTAGTAAACAAGGTACTCTTAATCCGCTGCTGGCCTTGCGCCAAGATGAAATCTAGCGATAAGTAAGTCACCTTGGTCTATTAACATTCTTTCTCGACTGAGCACTCTACTTACCACCAACTCTCCCCTTTGCATCATTATGCCCCCAATGGTATCTCTCATTCCAGCCCGCCTTTCGCAGAGCATAATCAGAATTCGCCCATACATAATGCTTTACGCCCTCGTGCAGTGCGATTTCGTAGGCACGAATGGCGTAGAAAAGCTCATTCTTCTCTCCCAACGTGAAGCCGTCTGTGTTTACCCATGCCCCATATACTCCACGGAAAGCAGCATGGAGATCTTCCTGACTGGTAACATTCCCTTGGTGAATCTTCACGTTGGGAAGCATGGCAAGGGTTCGGGCTCGAGTTGATTTGGGGTCTCGCGTAAATAGACGAACTGTGTATCGACCACTCTTGCCGAGGGCTGCCATCAGTGTATTAGCATTGTGTATACCTCATGATATGATCCTCTACCTTCAACCACGGGTATTCCCTGGGCCCCAGTCCCACCAATGACTAGAATTTCAGGTCGGTTGCTGGGGTCTGACATTTTTTGATGTATCAGGTCAAGATTTTAACACTTCCACAGCGATAGCTATCCAAGAACAAGTCGGTTTAAAACGTACCTTTTTATAATAATTCCCCATTCTCAGAAACTCTTGGTTTGTCAAACATTCATCATCTAGGTACAAGATTGGAAATACAGTGTTGAAAATTTGTCAGGATCTATCTCTGGTGTTGATCAGCATTAGTTTGTGCAATATGACGAAGGTTGATGATTAAACACGATTAGTTATCAAATCACAATTTGCTTGCATAATCTCAGAGGGACGTAAGTTATTAAGTGTTTCGTATTTCTATAGTAAGTGGCCTTTTCAAATATAATGAGATCAGTAATCGTTAATATTTCTTCTAAATCTGTAAGTATATCATCCAACCAATCAAACAGCGAATGACCTCGATGATCATTAACGAGTGGAAAATATAAATCTGGCCCTTTAATAAATCAAATATTATGAAACTCTGTACGAAATTATCCTCTAATTTTTCATATTCAGATGAATTTTGTTTACCTAGTCAAATTAGATACTTCAATACGATATAATTAGGCAGTCTAGCCTACCCGCATTTAGACCGACGTTGTGCCTCGGCAAACCCCAGACTTTACCGGGTGTTCAGCACAGCTCTTAGAGATGCATGCATTCATATATTTGATATAGACACTTGTCGATCTCCTTACCATTACTCTACTTGTAATTAAGTTCCACAGCAATGGCCTCGACTACAAGGCCACGTGTGCTGTTATTTGACGTTGGCGGGGTTTGTGTAAGTTCTGCCTATAAAACCGCCTCCAGATCTCACACTTGGCACAAAACCAGACAGCCCAACACAAATATCTTAATTTACTAACTCTATAAATAGGTAGTATCGCCATTCCAAGCAATCCTGGACTACGAAATCGCAAACAACGTCCCGCCAGGATGGGTGAATTTCAGCATCTCACGCACATCCCCCAACGGAAGCTGGCATAAGCTCGAACGCGGCGAGATTGCGATGAATGCAGAGTTCTTCAAATCATTCAACCAAGATCTGCAGCAGCCAACACTCTGGAAGGAATTCCATCAGCGGCTGCGGGCAAAGAAAAGCGCGGCGAATACTACTAGCAGCAGCAGTATATCAGATCCTCTTCCGGCTTTACCCAAAATCGATGCAGAGTATTTATTCTGGGAGATGATGCGCATATCTCGCGAACCAGACCCATTTATGTTCCCTGCGTTGAAAAAGCTGAAAGCTTCGGGGAAATTTATCATGGGCGCACTCTCTAACACAGTCGTGTTTCCGCCTGGTCACCAGTATGAGAAGGATACAATTGGACTGCGCAAGCAATTCGATTTCTTTGTTTCATCCGCGCATTCTGGTCTTCGAAAGCCAGATCCAAAGATATATGCATACGCTTTAGATAGAATGAACGAGCTAGCTTCTCATAGAGGAGAGGCGGAGATTGAGCCGTCTGATGTGATCTTCTTGGATGATATTGGGGAGAATTTGAAGGGGGCGAAGAAGGCGGGCTTTGGAACATTGAAAGTTGTCCTGAGCAGAACCCAGGATGCAGTTAGAGAGTTGGAACATAGAACAGGTCTTGCGCTGTTGGATAATGGAGGGATTTCTAAATTGTAGTTCAGATTTTATATCATTGTCAACATTGAACTTTGTTGGTGATAGCGGCTTCAAAGGGTACATGTATATCAATTGATGCAATAAAGTTGCATTCTATCTCAATAAATGGACTCTTCAAATGTTGATTACAAGAATACCAGCTGACATGTACGTTTTCAAATGTTGCTAATTCAATATTCTTATATATATATATATATATATATTCAATTCAAATGTCCATCTCCGTCTTACTGCAGCACCCAGATTGATAGAAAGCACGAGTAGATTCAATTATAATTTCAGTAAAAGGACCGTCGTTTCAGGAACAGCACCCATCATAATAGTTATGAGAATGATAATTATAATAAGAACATAATCATCTCGTCGCCCACCCGAAAATTGAAATAATTCGTGGCCGACCCTCCTGCCGCGCGACTTGAGATCGCCGCGGCGCTAAGCGAAAAAGTCCCACACAAATCTATCCCGCACACTCGCCTCTATAGAACATTTCTTTCTCGCAGCCATCATCACTCGACAACCGGCCACAGCACCCGACAACCGTCAAGATGGTGAGTTCTTCTTGATTGCCATGCAGCTGCAGCACTGCAGCTGCGCCCACTTCACACCCCACGAAATCCTCCTGAAATCGACCAGGGTCTTTGCAAGATGCTTCGGAGGGGAGGATATCTGAAGCGCAAATTGCTGACTCGTTTGTAGGCTTTCCACAAGCTCGTGAAGAACAGCGCGTACTACAGGTGAGTATTTCTGCTTCATACCTTTGAGTGCCTTTATTAACTGGCCCACAGCCGCTACCAGACCAAGTACAAGCGTCGTCGTGAAGGAAAGACCGACTACTATGCTCGTAAGCGCCTGATCACCCAGGCCAAGAACAAGTATGTATTTTCTACGAGACAATTTTGCCAGAGCTCAGCTGACAATCCCTAGGTACTCGGCCAAGAAGTACCGTCTTGTCGTAAGCATAAGGATACTCGGGATATTGCAGTGGATTATAATAACCGGTTCATAGGTTCGCTTCACCAACCGCGACATCATCACACAGGTCGTCTACTCCGAGATCACCGGTGACAAGGTCATCGCTGCCGCCTACTCCCATGAGTTGAAGCGCTATGGAATCGAGCACGGTTTGACCAACTGGTCTGCCGCCTACGCCACCGGACTGCTCCTCGCCCGCCGTCTCCTCAAGAAGCTCGAGCTCGACGACACCTTCGAGGGTGTCGAGGAGGCCGACGGTGAATTCACCTTGACTGAGGCCGCCGAGACCGACGAGGGTACTCGCCGCCCCTTCAAGGTCTTCCTCGATGTCGGTCTCGTCCGCACCTCTACTGGCGCCCGTGTCTTCGGTGCCCTGAAGGGCGCTTCCGACGGTGGTCTTTTCGTTCCTCACTCTGAGAATCGTTTCCCCGGTTTCGATATCGAGTCCGAGGAGCTCGACGCCGATACTCTCCGCAAGTACATCACCGGCGGCCACGTTGCTGAGTACATGGAGGCTCTTGCCGACGATGACGAGGAGCGCTTCAAGTCCCAGTTCTCCGAGTACATTGACAACGAGGTTGATGCCGGTGACCTCGAGGACATCTACCTCGAGGCCCACAAGGCCATCCGTGAGGACCCCTTGAAGAAGGATGAAAACGAGGGCCCCAAGAAGAGCAAGGAGGAATGGAAGGCCGAGAGCAAGAAGTACCGCACCACCAAGCTCAGCCATGCCGAGAAGGCTGCTCGCGTCCAAGAGAAGATCCGCGAGCTGGCTGCTTAAGTGCGCTCAGTTCGTTGTGGCATATACCAGTGCATTACTTTCTAAATGGCCATGTAAGAAGCTATGCGAACCAGATATTGCACAAAGCCAAAGAAAAAGTGCTTGCAGCTTGCATTTGTCAGGGCTTTATGACATTCCAAAAAATATACCTTATGCCTTCTTCATTTTACCTTTTTTTTATTTCTACTAGCGTCAGGATTCACGGATGATACTCATGTCATGATTATTGGAGCAAATAGGTCGGGTTATTCTAGATTATGCTACTAGTTATGTTCCCGATTGCGTAGTACAGTATGTGCAACCAGTAATGATATGTGCACGGCCGGTTAGAGGATTGGTAGATTGAAATGATTTAATCAGAAGCAAGCGGTTTCGTGACAGTTGACGGGAATTGTAACACGAACATTATTAATCATTATTGTATTAGTCTGATATTATTTTTTCTGTTGAATATTGAAATATCCAGTGTGCGCCGAAATAGGCCCGGTGAGCCGGCCGAATCCGGACCAGAGACACGTGAGCGATCCTGGGGTCGGCGGGTCGCGCACTATCATAGTTGGTTTACGTACCGAGTACAGTATTACTATAATTGCTAGTATGTTGGAAGGGCAGAGAAAGAATCCTCGACTGCAAGGGCCAAAACCGTACCTTAGTGTATTTCGTCCTGATGATCACCAGCTCCTTGCCTGGCTGGGCGAACAATGGAAGATTTTTGTGGCAGTTCAAAGGTGGGGTGGGATTTGCCCAATAAACCAACGAATCATCAAGTTGACAAGTTGGATTATGCCGTGGCTCTGTGTAGTACGACTGCTGCGTAATAAGTGATGATTAATTGTGTGTTCGATTGTTAATCCTTCGCCTGAAGTTTACCTGGCTGCGGCATCCAGGACCATCTAGGACCAGCCAGCCGCCACCACCAATCACGACCTCGACGGTTGACCAGTCCATGGTGGGCTTGCAATAACCTCGAACTTACTGGCGCTGGATCTCCAATCACCGGGCGTGAGTTTGCGAGAGACTGCCACTAAGATTCGAAAAGCCAGGTGAGCTGGCTCGAGCTTCTTAGTGTCAACATTATTTCGCGCAGTTGGCTTCAGGCTGGCTGTCTCGCCACCCACCGCCAGCACCTGCGGCCTTCCTCCCACAAGCAGAAGGATTGTCACTTGGTGACCCTGTTGTTCCCCATCTCTGTGCATGTACTGACTGGTATTTTGCTGGCTGCATAGTATTCGCTGATATTTGGAGAATGAATATTTAATTAATATGACCGGCTGTCCGCGCCTAGCCGGGTGTCCTGGTATTCCAACACATTAGTTATACCATCTATCACGCCTCCTAGCACAAAGACTCTTGAGTCGTAAGGATACATCTCCGATGACGGACTGCTGAGATCGCTGTTGAGAGGAATCAAGATCAAAGACCAAAATTGAACAGCTTCGTCCGGCTGGCCCTAGACGGGCTGGGACCCACCTGCGCTCTCCATATTGGCATATACTGTACACCCCACTGCAAGTACTGGCCCAGCACCACCAGCACTACTCGGATTCATCTTACGGCCACCATCTCGCCTCAGCGCAGTGAGCTTCGTCTTGTGTGACCCCAGCCAGTCCAGCGCTGTTTGTACAAAGAGATAGCATCGCGTTCCTTCCCTCACACCCTTTTCATTCCGGTCGTACGTTGTACCCATGGTTTCGGACGATGTGTGTCGGTGAGGGATAACGTGACATCATTCCATATCCCCGATCTGCATGCAACCCCGGGCCTCGGATACGCACTTCTATTTTCGCCGACTCTGAAAATACACGCACGTATACGTGGCTCGATCCTGGACTGCGTGCTTTCAATCGCCGCGATAGTCTGCTGGATAACGTCGAAAGATGGACGCGGTGGAAACGGTGGATGTGAGCTGGCTCCATCACTCTCATCGAGGTATTTAATGATACTTCCTGTTTGCTATCCGCAGGCAGGAGAACTTGTGGCTAATCATATTTATTTTGTATTTTTACCGTTGATAGATCAAACCTTGCGAACGAAAACTGCGGCTCCTGCTGCGAGTGAGAATACTAATGGAGAAACTGAGACGCAGTCGCCGTCAGACCGCAAGTCGCAACAGCAAGTGCCAGCGAAATCGCCACCGACGGATAAGCCCGCCAAATTTCAACAGCCGCAGACCAACGGACATACGGATCAGTTGGGCGATGTGAATGGACACAGCACAGCTTCTGAAAAGCAGCCGTCTGAGCAATTAAAACCAACCAATTCTCCCGGTATCCCTGCCAAGGGGACCGCTCCAAAGCCCGTTCCTGGAAGGCGCAACTCGTGGATATCATCTATAAGTTCGAAGTTTTCGACAGGGAACACGCCGCCGGCGCAAGGGGCACCCAAGGAAAATGCTGGCACGTCCCCTAAACCGAGTCCTCCCGTTGCGAAACAAGACTATAACGCGTTTGGCGCTTCGTTTTCGCCAAAGGATAAAGACGAGCGAGCTAATGATCCCAATAACCCGTTCACATCGACGTCGCCCAGGAATCCCTCATTCTTACAAAATGCCTTTCGCAAGCTTTCTTCCGGCGCGAGCGGAATGGGGAAGACGACCCAGCAAAGCGCGCCATGCCAGCGTCGTGTGATGAATGTTGATGCCGACCGCGATCGATGCAAAGTACCTGAGCTGAATCAGGCGAAACTGAAACGAGTTGCTTTTTGTGTTGATGTTGAAATAGCTGGTTTTTCTACCCGTGAGGAGGACGACACTGCACAGTCCGAGCCGGGTAATCTGCCACGATCACACGCTGGCAAGACGAAAGGCAAGGAGAAGGGCGAGGCAGCGGCGTTGAAAGACCCGGATGCTGTTGTCAAGGAATGTGAGAAATCAGAAACTGCGAATGGTGACGACAAGCCTGCTTCGCCTCCAAGTGCAGACGGCGAAACGAAGACTGAACCTGCGCCAAAAGAACCGACTAGGAAACAAGAGAAAAAGAAACGGTCTGAAGAAGAGCGCAAGGTGAGGAAAGAGCGTAAAAGAAGACAAGCAGAAGCAAACGGCTCGATACCCATGCAATTAAAGGCAGGCGAAGAAGAAGATAGCTCAAGACCCTCAACTACTGGCTCCTCACGCCCCAGAGCACAGAACCATCCTACCACTGATCCCGTTCGCATTTACCGTCGTTGCTGTCAGCTCCGCGAAACTCCAGTCTTGAAGAGACTTGTTGAACGGATGACTTCTCCATCATCCACACTTGCCGAAGCTCCCGGTACTGTGGCGGTTCTTGACCTCACAGACTTTCCTATGACCCTACCAGATATTGTCACATTCAGCGACTGGCTTGCGATTGTCCCGGTCCGGAAATTGATTATGGAGAATTGCGCGCTCACTGATGAAGCGGTTCGTTCGATTTTAGCGGGTCTTCTATCAACTAAGACTATGCAACAAGCCCGGATCAGCCGGAGGGCTATGAAGCAGTCAACCACGCCCAAAATACGGCCATTCGGCATTGTGGAGAAGCTTTCTTTGAAAAATAACCCGAAAATCGGACCGGAAGGATGGCGTCACATTTGTCTATTTATCCATCTCTCTAGATCTCTCAAAGCGATTGATCTTTCTGGTGTCCCATTTCCCAAAAAGCTGGTCACAGCAAATGATACCATACGAGCTCAGAAGTCCCCAAGTGATATCGGGACAACGCTTTCTGCATCTTTGACGACACGCTTTGGCGGTGATCGGCTTGAAGAGCTACTCCTTAGCGAGAGCCAGCCATCTACAGAAGATGTCGCAAAGATTTGTGATGCGGCAAGTTTCGTTGGGTTACGCCGACTGGGATTGGCCAGCAACGGCTTAACTAGAGAAGGCTTAGAGCATGTTTGTCGATACTTCCAATCTGGCAAATGTGAAGGGCTCGATCTCGGTGGGAACGAGTTGGGGGGCCATCTAGATGTTCTTATACCTGCATTGAACGTATCCAATCCGGCCATGGCACTTAGTTTCGCTGACTGTGCATTAACTCCAAGTTCGATATTCCCTTTGCTTCAAGCATTTCCATCCATGCCTAACTTTCGATTTGTGGACTTCTCACACAACCCAGCACTGTTTGCAAACCAGCCAGACTCGTTATCAATGCTTAGGCGATTTCTTCCTAAGATGTCGCATTTGAAACGGATACATTTGGCAGACGTAGATCTATCGCCAGATCACGCCATTGCTCTTGCCGAAGTGTTGCCTGAATGCCCTAGTTTGTGCCATTTGAATATATTGGAGAACCAAAGAATCGCGAGTCTTACCTCAACCACGGACCCAGCCAGCCAAGAGGAAGCCTGTGCGGTTTATGCTTCTCTTATGGCCGCTGTGCGTGTCTCAAGAACCTTGATTGCGGTGGATATCGAAGTCCCTAGTGCCGAAAGCAGCGAAGTCGTCAAAGCCCTGGCCTCCCAGATTGTCGCATATTCGCTTCGCAACTTAGGAGCTATCGAGGACATTGATGGCTCAGATGCAGCTCATCGCCCCGGCGTGCAAGTACCCGAAGTACTTCAGCATATCGTCGGTCATAACGACGACGGCACGACAGTGAGTACTATTTCAGACGACCCAGCTCCAGATGAAGACTATGTCATTGGAGGAACAGGCGTCGTCAAAGCTCTTGGTGTGTGTCTTGGTAACGTTGACCGCCATCATCCTGAGCTTGGAGCTGCATCCCGACCTGGCAGTGGCCACTCAACTCCCGTACACCGTCTCTCTGCATCGATTAGCAGTACAACCAAGAAACCAAGGGATATGTCTAAGAATTTACTTGGTTCTGCACGCAACATCAAAGCTAGAATTCAGATTGCCCTTATCCGGGAAGACAAGGCGGGCAATGATAACAACTACAGTAAGTCCTTTTTCTTAGTTTGTATCGAGATTATTAACACATTTTAGGACGTTTGCAATTCCTCGATCATACGCTACAGAAAATGATCAACCGTTTTGAAGAAGAATACCCCGAATGCCGCATTGCCACCGCGGAAACATCTTCACTAGAATCCAGTGAAGATCGCCACGAAGAAATTGCGGCCGCCACAAGTCCCCCAGTAGATATTCCCTACAGTGCCGCTGTGGATGATGAAGAAGCAGATCTATTTGCCATCCGACTGTCACGCAAAGGCTCAAACACTTCTCTGCATTCCCGGGCCCTTACCTCCGAAGAAGGCCGCATCCACCGTATTGGTCAGAATCTCAGGCGAGACTTCCTCGAGCCATCTCTCAACCCATCAGAGGAAGGATTGCCTTTATCTGGAGATGAATCTCACGTCCACGCTCTTCGGGAGAAGCTCAAGGGGCTGAAGGGCGACGAAATCCGCTCTCGCGTAGAAAGTGTCGGAGCCGACAAAGCTTTCCAGGAGCTGGGATCTACTGTCGAGGAGCTCTGGATTATTCAACAGCAAGATCAAGACGCTTTTCAGAAATTCAAACAAAGCCAGATTGCTGCCCAGATCAATGCTGGCCTGCGCCCGCCTTCTTCTCAGGGTGAAAAGCCCACTCCATCGACATAGTCCTACATTAGCCGCTGCGCTATTAGCTTATCCCTCGTTTGAAACTAGGTCATTATTTACATCTCATTTGATTTTTTCTTTCTTTTTTCAGGTATCATGTTAGCGGTGCTTCATTTTATATGTTTTTTTGTATCGGATGATATGTGGCATGACTAGCGTACGAGAGTTGGGGCGTTTTGATTCGAAGTTCTGTTTATCACCCGTTGATATAGTTTTCGTTTCATCTTTTTGCAAATCTCGAATCCTAAATATTCGTCCTTGCACATGTTCTCGACTTTGTTGTTGTATACGATACCAGTTCCTACTATTATAGGCCAATTTCCGGCCTTTTACAGAGATTACATTTTCTGTGAATGATCAATTCTCTATTTGTCTGTATATTTGAATAGGTTCTTCAGTCAGCAATCCTACCAGACATTTTTGACGTCATATTAGGCCGTGGCCAGTAACGAATATTTTATTGCCTGCCCACACAATATAGCGTCTGCGTACATTGCAAGCTTCGAAATGAATATTGAAAATTGAATACTGATGAATATTGCCAAATATTTAATATTTACCTTGTACATGAATTTTTTTTCTCTGGATATTTATACACGCAATAATACTATTCCAGAGCTAAGTAGGGTTAGCACATCCTCGGCAGATCCGGGGGAAACGCGTGCTCCTATCACATGCCAGAGCGACTCCGGGGAACCAACTTTTGAACTTGTTACTACTCACCTTTCCAACCTCCAAAGCGTACAGACTACTGTCCTTGAATCGATCCCCTCTCCAAGTACCATCCATCTTTAATTATTTGTTAAGTTCATGACCACAACTCACCCCATCCTCCCCTCTATCTCTCGATGACCTCGGCATTCTCAATCTAGCTCGCCTCGCCTCCCCTCGCCCAAGATGGCAGCGCAATCCAAGGTCCTCCTTCCTGAGCGCTCTATCGGACAAATCATGTCCCGTATAGCTGGTCTATATGTGAAGCATCGCACACGCATCTCCCGCGTCGTCTATCTCGCACTCTTCCTCGCCCTCACCAAACGAATCCATAATGCGATCGGCGAGCAAAAAGCCGCCTCGCGCCGGCAGGCTGAGATGCGCGAACGCCCCGGAACGAGCGGCCTCAACATGAATAACAATAATAACGAAAACAGCGCAAGTAAAAAACCAAAGAGGCCAGAACTTAACCGCGAGTTTTTCAGAACTCTGTTGCGATTACTTCGTATCGTGATACCGGGGTGGCGCAGTAAAGAGTTCCGGCTGTTGGTTAGCCATAGTGTTTTTTTGGTTCTGAGGACTATGCTTAGTATTTATGTGGCTGAGTTGGATGGGAGGTTGGTGAGTAATTTGGTTAGAGGAAAAGGGAAGGATTTCCTGTCTGGTCTCGCGTGGTGGATGACTGTTGCTATTCCGGCGACGTTTACGAATTCGATGGTGAGTTTACGGTGTGTGTTATTATCGGTGGTGTAGGACTGACACGTTTATAGCTTTCATATCACCAATGTCGCCTCGCACTACAATATCGAAAGCGACTCACCGACCACGTCCATGATAAATATTTATCAAATATGACATTCTACGCTCTGTCGGCCCTGGACGACCGGATCAAGAACCCTGACCAGATGGTCACAGTAGACATTTCGCGATTCTCCGACAGCTTGGCTGAGCTGTACTCCAACCTGGCGAAACCAGTCCTTGACATGGTCCTCTACAACTATCAGCTATCCAAGAATGTTGGCATGGAGGGCTTATTCCTAATGAGTCTGCTAGTCCAGTTATCAGCCAATGTGATGCGCATGTTAACACCGCCGTTTGGGAAATACGTCGCCGACGAAGCGCGGCTCGAAGGAGAATTCCGATTTCAGCATACGCGCCTGATTGATTATAGTGAGGAAGTCGCACTTTATCACGGCCACGAGGCCGAGAAGGACAGTCTCGACAAGGGTTATTTCACCCTGATCAAACACGTTAACCGGATTCTTCGACGCCGGTTGTATCACGGATTCATGGAGGATTTTGTCATAAAATACTTCTGGGGTGCCTTGGGGCTTATCCTTTGCAGTGTTCCAGTGTTTTTCAAGATTCCTGGCCAGGTTAGCCAAACAATGGGAGATCGGACAGAAAGTGCGTTGCCATTTATTGAGGCTCCATATATGAGGTTTAGCTACTAATCTCTTCTAGGCTTCGTCACTAATCGACGGTTACTTCTATCCTCATCTGACGCATTCGGCCGTATAATGTTTTCATACAAGGAAGTCTCTGAACTTGCCGGTCACACATCCCGCGTCGCCTCTTTACTCGATGTTATGGAAGACGTTGCAGCTGGCCGGTTCGAGAAGAAGCTAGTATCATCCGCATCCACAGACGAAAACGCAGCTGTTCTTGCGGGCCGTGGAGCCATCACCGAGAGCACTTCCATAGAATTCACCGACGTCCCCATCGTCTCCCCCAACGGTGACGTCCTAGTCAAGAAACTCTCGTTCACAGTCCACCCCGGTGACCATTTGCTTATCGTCGGACCAAACGGATGCGGAAAATCCTCTCTTTTCCGTATCCTCGGCGGTTTATGGCCCGTCTACGGCGGCTCCGTCAAGAAGCCCAACTTCGAAGACATATTCTACATCCCGCAACGACCGTACCTATCGCGCGGCAGCCTGCGCCAACAAATCATCTACCCCGACGGCTTGAAAGAGATGCGCCACAAGGGCATCACAGACGCCGACCTATTCGAAATCATCTCCATCCTCGAAATCTCCAACATCGTCGATCGCGAGGACGGATGGGACGCAGAGGAGGAATGGCGCGATGTATTATCCGGCGGTCTCCAACAGCGTATCGCCATGGCGCGACTGTTCTATCATAAACCAAAATTCGCGATTCTGGACGAATGCACGTCCTCTGTCACCCTCGAGATCGAGAAAGTTATGTATGGGACGGCGAAGCGGTTGGGGATCACATTGATGACTGTCTCGCATCGCAGGAGTTTGTGGCAGTATCATAAAAAGATTCTGCAGTTTGATGGGCAGGGGGTTATATTTTCGCTGATTTGGATTGGGAGAAGAGATTAAAGTTGGAAGAGTAAGTCCTTTTCTTTTCATAATAACAGATGATAAGTTCAGTTGAGGCTAATCTATTCAATAGTGAGAAAGAAGAGCTTGATCTTCAACTTCGCGCTGTGCCCGAGATTCAGAAGCGCATTGCCGAGCTTTCGACATCATAAATAGGGCGCGTTATTAGATGGAACGTTTTTGCTAAGTTCCGCCTAAAAGAGATGATCAATGTGGAGGACGGCAGATGTTGTGCCACTATATGTCTTGATATAAGAGCTCGCCATTTATAAATCAATTACTGGTTACATTACACATTGATGTTATCTGCATGTTATAACTGCTCATCACTCAATCGACCAGTGTACTGCATATGTTCATTATATGAAAGTGCAATGTGCACTGCCTCTCTTGGGTTATCACCACTTCTACCTGCATTCACATTATATTATGCAATATAGGAAAATCATGTTCCTGAACACCGCCCTGTAACCATCAGCAACCACTATACAACGTTGCTGCAACACTTCAACCCTCAACACCAGTTGGCATGCTCCAAAAAGTTATACATATTCAACTGTTACTAACCTCCAAATCATGTACTGTAAAAGAGACGCAAATTATTACCATGTCGTTGAGAACGCAAAGAAAATCCTACCAACATTGAAGCTACAAGACTTTGTCTTATTTAAAATAGGTTTCATGTTATTCTAATTCACTTTTTTTAAAAAATATCTTGCCGATTAGATGTCACGAAATGCTAGTCGGTAACGTGGTCCATTCATACAAGGTCGTACGAACCCCAATCCTGCTAATCATAGTATCTTATTACAGTAGCAATCGGAGTTTGTATGCTGGCAGTGTCGGGACCAGCCCATCTTTTCCTTCTAACCATCTGTCCCTGCTTGAGGTCGTGATAAGTCAATATGTACTACGCACTTGGGATATCGAATAGTGGGTCCGGATCGTGCCGGGCGGCTGGAATTAATAATTAGACTTTGCGAAGGCGGGGAGACACCCGCAGCTCTGTGCCTCAACACTACCGCTCCCTATCCTCATCCTGTCCGCACCCTTCGCACGCTGCCTCGGCCGGCTCCCCACAAGTCACGAATTGTCCCCAAAGACGACAGCTTTACAATATGGGGGGCCATATGTCAGAAAACACGCTTCCAAAACGCGGTCATCGCTCCAGAAAGTTCCTAATGTGAGTATGAGACGAACATTTAGCTGTTACCGCTCCCGAAAAAAAAACACTCATATCTTCTTCACCTATACAACTTTTGCACTCCGTCCTCGCCTGACGATCTATTTTATTTATTTTGAATAATTTTGTCTTATTCACGCAACATTTGATGCATCATGGGGAGGAGGCTGACCGACGGAGCGAAACAGCATTGCCAGAATAAGAAGGCTTTATCGATGACAATTCTGCGATTAGCCATGATTTAGCTATCCAAAATCCACAACATTGACGGAGTGGATTTCACTATTGTAAGATGAGTGAGTGCTGGATGCAAAGACTACATACTCTACATAGGATAGGTATTTAGGATAAGAGCTTTTATAAACTTCAATGAAAACACCAATCATTCACAAGCTCGGCAGGCTGTGAACTGATTTCATAATAGGACTATAGCATATAATTCTGTTAGATCTTAGTGTACCTAAATATGCCACATAAGTATATTTTCTCGATGGATGAGAAGCCCAATAGGAAAAGCCACGGCAACAAAGAGCGCATAGGGGGGGCGGTACCTATCACTTCTTAGCATATAATAGCAAGTCAGAGTGGTATATCTCCATGTATTATCACTTTCGCCTTACCGTCTACCTGAAGAACTCCCTAGCCGCTAGGGAACTATTATTACTGTGATCAAGCAACATTCGAGTCTCATCCAACAGAAACATCAGCAACGCAAGTGCTTTTCCATGCCAACCACTATCTGCATACAATATCAAATTCAAATACGATTTTCCCTAGTGTTTCCACAACTACCTATTTGCCACATCTTGAAAAAGGTAGGTGTAGAAGTTCACATGCATATCTAGTCTCTTAAGCATTTTTATTTCATAATGCTTAATATCAACACCAACATCAAACATTACTCCCTCCTCACCTAAATCACATGACTCTCCTGAAAAGGCATCAAGTTTATTTATAAAATACCTACTAGACATATAACCAACGAATGTACTGTAAATTATGTAGTAGAGTAATTTCAGTCAATATATTATTAAAGAATAGGATTTCTTTTTTCACGGGACCGTATGATTCAATGTTGTTTAGGAGTCTAAATCAAGCGGCCCAAGAATTACATACCAAAGATAAAACTAACAATGTTTAAACAACGCCCGTATCAGTCCCGGATCTCTCCATCTTTCCCCTGGCGGGGGCGAGTGTTGCAACCTCCAGATTCCTTTGCTTTTCAAGCACCCGGCTTAGATTATTAACACTGGTCAATGTGTTCGGGTGCTTAGCGCTTAAAACTTTTTGTCTACCAGCAAGAGCTAGCTGGTACATATCTATAGCCTCATTAAATCTCCCCTGTTTTTCAAACACCAGGCCTAGATTATTAACACTGCATAGTGTGTGAGGGTGTTCGCTCCCCAGCGCATTTTCTCTGCCTCGTAAAGCTCGTTTGTGCATCATTGCGGCCTCCTTATATTTCCCCTGCTTTTCAAGCACCAGGCCCAAATTGTTGACACTAGCCAGTGTGTTAGGATGCTCAGCTCCTAAGTGGTTTTCTCTAACTAACAAGGCATATTGGTGCATACTTTCAGCCTCTTCATACTTTCCTTGCTTTTCAAGAACAAGGCCTAGATTGTTGATGCAGGCAAGTGTGTTTGGATGTTCAACACCTAGCACTTTCTTTCTTCCAGTAAGAGCCTGTTGATGCATCATTACAGCCTCCTCATACCTTCCCAGAGCTCTGAGTACTGAGCCTAGGTGGTTGATGCTTGATAGTGTGTCTGGATGTTCGGCACCTAGTGCTTTCTCTCTGCCAGCCAATGCTTGGCGATGCATAATTGCAGCCTCCTCAAACATTCCCTGTTTTGACATTACTGAGCCTAGAATACTGGCGACGATTAATGTATCAGGGTGTTCAGCGCCTAATACCTTTTCTCTCCCACATAATACTTGCCGCTGCATACTTTCAGCCTCTTTATATTTCCCCTGCCTTGAAAATACAGAGCCTAGAAAACTAATACAGGTTAAGGTGTCAGGGTGTTCAATGCCGAGAATTGTCTTTCTGCCAGCAAGAACGTGTTGGTGTATGATTGCAGCTTCCTTGAGCTTTCCCTGTCTTGATATGACTAAGCCTAGCTGATTGAGACTGGCTAGTGTGTCAATATGTTCAGCGCCTAGCACATTTACCCTAGCACCAAGAGCCTGTCTATGGATGATTTCAGCCTCCTTATATTTACCCCTAAGGTAAAGATACCAACCATATCTATCGGCAATGCTAGATCGGTTCAATTGGTTTTCGTCATCGTCCAGCTCCTCTGTGAGACACATCACCTCTTTCAAATGTGGAAGGAGCATTCGGCAAGATTCCCATGTTTTGTAATCTCCGCTAGGAAACTCTTCTTTCATAATTTGTAGACTTTCTTGTATGAATCTTCGATCTTGGCCTCTTTTTTTCAACCATTGTCGAATTGATAATTGTACAAGCCGATGCATTTCAAAGAATCGCCTTCCAATCTCTACTCGTATTAAAGAAAAGCTCACTAATAGAGCTATTGTGTCCTCAAACTCTAATTCATCCATACCTTGACTAACTATATCCTCTGGAATTCCTTGCCGGTCAAACATGCTCATTAATGCTAGTAGATCTGTGGCTTTCGGACATATGCGTTGGATTTGATTAAATGAGATCTGCCATGTAGTAATAACTGGATGTCGGATACTCTGATCTCGTCGAAGATCATAGGCATCATCATAACTTAGAAGATGCTGCTGATTGGTCTCACTATATTGAAATAGCTCTATATAATTCGATACAGTCATTCGTGGTGACCGATTCGAAATATATGCACCAGCTTGTGTAATTGCTAAGGGTATACATTCAAGTGCCTTTACTAGCAGTCTTAATTCTTCACATGGCTGACTTACATTAATGCGGGTTCGCAATAATGTCATGGCATCGTGTGTGCTCATTGACTCAACGGGTATCACCTGTCCATATGGCCCTACCAGATTCCGTGCCGCCACCTGATATCTTGATGTAATCAAAATCGATCCATGGGAAACATGGGGCAGGTAATCTACCAACATATTTTCATCGGATGTATTAAAAAAGGTGTCAGTATCATCTGCATTGTCTAGAACCATTAACCAGCTGCCATTCTTCTCGTCAGATAGCCATGTTTTGACCAAGTGAAGGGTGTCAGCTTTGGAATCATTGTGTCCGGGGATCTTTGCTACTGTTGCAATATTTCGGTAGCCTTTCTCAAATTTCGTGGTGCTACTGGCGTGAATCCAAAAAACCCATGATTGAGGCGCAGACTCTCGAACTCGATACGTATACTCAATCGCTATCTGGGATTTTCTGAGATAGTATGTTTTCAGTTATTGTACACCATCTTTTCATGATGGCTCACTCACCCTACCCCTCCAAGACCAACGAGTGCGGCACGCTTATAGGATTTTCCAGCCTTTTCTTCAAAAGACACTTTGATAGCCATGATGATATCTTCTCGACCAATAAACATTTCATCCCTGTCAAAGGGGACCGTTGAAGATGGCTTAAGGTTATTTGATGTTTCTACTAGAAGAACACCAATTAATGTCAAGAAAAATGAAGGTATAAATAATTGCAAGTCGCTCTCGATAAGCAGAAATTAACTTACGTTGCGGTTGCTGATGACCGGTTGTCCAGTATTTCAATAAAGCTTTAGTACAGCATGCTGCAGTTGCTGTAGCATAGTTTTGCCATACCTTGTTCTTATGGCTGTCTGCATAATCGCATACGCCCTTAACGATGAGACATGGTAGATTATCCCATACCCCAGCACCCTCCATCTCAAACCCGATGATACCCTCATCTTCGGCTAGTTTGTCGCGATGCTTGCCAGATCTCATTACTGTACTTGCTGAGGCTATTGGGCCAATATGAATACGGGTCTCTGGGTTATCTGTGTCGAGGCGATGTCGCTGAATCGATTGCCCTGCACAACCCAGCCCCTGGCAGTCACTTCTCAATGCTAACTCGCATACCGGGTCTTGGATAGAATGACAGTCAATACAGATGCATTCTACGCCAGGACATTGCTTATAATGCTTATGGCGATAAGAGGCAGCAAACAATATATCCCGTGAGACGCCAGGGTAAGTCCAATCTCTCTCTTCACGTCCTCGAAAATCTTTCAGATGGCAGGCGATTTGCCGTTGTATTTGAGTTCGTCTTCGGGAAGATTGTAAACTATTTAGAAAAGATCTAATATCTTGACTAGGCTGTCCAAGTGTTTCTTTAACACCACTTTTACGCACAAACCTGTCAGGATATTGTCTGCCAAAATCATACTCAATGATGCTATCGCTAATGATCACATCACCTAAGATGATCTCATTGTCTGTTGAATATGGTGTCCCGCCACAGATTCCGACTAGTAAGGTAAGCTTAATCCCTGTAAAACTGACTCTCAGGCTTCGAGCAACGCTGGCAGAACTCCTATTTCCCATCCCTGGCATAAAAGCTAGCACAGCATAGTGGCCGCTAATCCTTCCTGCCGTATAAGCGTTGTCATCCCCTACATGCTTCCCATACTCGTGGCAATGTGCATCATAATGTTCATCGAACAACGTTTCCACCGCATCGGCCTCCAAAGGCAGGGCACAGATTATCGCAATTTCGAATTCCTCGCGGGACTGTGGAGGCATTGCTGCATCGTTTTACGCATTCGAGGTTTGGGGTCACTAGAGAACAAAGTGTATCAACGAATAATCACTTTTCACGTAGCAAAATCCCGCAGAATGATCTTATAACTCAGCAGCTCACGTCCTAAAGGAGGTCAAGACGAGTTAAAGCGGGGTATGAGGCTGATCCTAGGCCGTCGGGATTGATTGGTGTAAGATGCAAACACGTCAACATCCTCTTCCTGGCCTCTAGCCTTGCAACGATGAGCTATGAGCTATTGGAATTAGGTGAGTTTGTTAACATATATATATAACGATCTATGATGAGTCCTTGGCTAAAGGAAATATTTGGAATATCTCTATGATAGATGAATTTTAACAGAATGCCTAGCGGACATATCTTATGAAATTATACCAAAGACAGAAGGACAATTGACGTGGTTTTTTGAAAGGACTTTGGGCATAGAATAATAGTTAACACCAGCACAAGCTTAGGTGGCAGGGTAAAGCTTGTGGACCTGTCCAGTGAAAATAGCACAACCCGTCAACTACGTTTTAGTAGCCGACATCGTGTCAGGTGTCCAGTTATATATGGCTTACGGTCTGAGCCTTGATGTCTCCTGAGTGCGGTAGCTAACTAATATGGATCTTTAAATACCATTACGGCTAATTTTGAGGCAGTGCTGCTAAATAATAACCGATTGTATTTGCAAGAGAGTTCTACGCATGAGAAAAACTAATGCATTCACCACTACAGCTCTGGTTCCCACTAGCAGGTTAATTCAACTATGGCAGCTAGGTGCCCGAGGTGCTTCCTCCGTATGACTTGCGGTGTCTCGGAGCGCTCGGGAGGTACTGTATCAACTAAAATTTAGTGGCCAGGTGCAACGGCCCTAAGGAAATTTAATTACATCTACGGCCACTATGCGGTTCCAGGGCAGTCACAAATACCCAATAGACCTCCCAGAAGCCCAAAATTTCAGAAATGCATTCATCATTGAACAGGGTGATTGTAGAAGCGCCTAGTATCTCGGACCCCTCGGGGTGCTAAGGAAAGCTCGGATGTATCTAATTGATTGCCTGTTATTTAAATGCGGGAATTTCTGCGAGTCGACTCGTTCATGGTCTCTCCAGGCTTTGCTTCTCCTGTGATCTGCCTGCTATCTGACTGCATTAAATCCACCCAAACAAATGCTCAAGACCGGCTGGCATTATGGGCGATGTGATTGAGGTTGACGTTCTTGTCATTGGAGCAGGTGAGGTGACACCATCTCCCATTTAGATGGGGTTCATTTGCTAATGCACATGTCAATCCAGGTATCTCAGGGATTTTTGCAGCCAAATTTTGGCTGGATACCCACCCTGGTTCTCGATTGGTTATTCTCGACAGGGATAATTGTATTGGCGGGACCTGGAACTCGCGTGAGTCGCACCACGTCTCTTCTCGTCTCCTCAGCTTCACTAACTCTCTGCCGACCTTAGGGCGCGGCTACGATACCTTTTGGACTCAATGGACGGTAGGAACGGCTGAATTCTCGGACCAGCCCATGCCACGACCACCAGATGAGGACGTCTATCTCGAGTTCTTCAAAGCCAAGCATACGACAAAGTACCTCAACGACTATGTCGATTCGCATAGCTACTCTGGGCAGACGTTGCGCGATAGAGTTAAACTCTTAGCCGAAGTACAGTCGGTTCAGAAGGTCGATGGAGGATGGACTGTAGTGTCCAAAGAACGAGAGACCCCACTACAGCATACGTTCAAAACCGCCAAATTAATTGTTGCTAGTGGCTTGACGTCAATTCCTAATATACCTTCGCTACCGGGAAGGGATGGTTTTCTCGGTCAAGTTCTACACCAGGACGATTTCGGTTCGTCCAACGTCTTGACCTCACCAGAGGTCAAGAACATCACCGTTCTAGGTGGTGGAAAGTCATCGGCCGATATGGTGTACGAATCCGTCAAAGCTGGCAAAACTGTGTCTTGGGTCCTAAAAGCCACCGATACGGCTGGCCCTGGGTTTTTTCTCTCTCCAAAAGGAGTAGGCCCATACAAAAATGCATTTGAGATAGGCATGACTCGACTAGCTGCAACTTTTACACCTTCTATTATGAATGGGATAAATTGGTGGACAAGACTCCTTCATTGTTCTAAGTATGGCCCCAGACTAATAGCTGGCTTCTGGGAATCTGTCGACACGAAAGCTCGAACAGAGGCCAATTACCAACGAAAAGGCGTACAAAACTTTGACAAGTTATCCCCACACTCACCGTAAGCCCTGATTATCCAGTCCCAAATACTATATTGTCCTCGGTAATTGCTAAACCAAACAGGATATTCTGGCAAAATTGTACAGGTGGACTTCTTAACCACCCAGACTTCTTTGACACTATTGCAGACAACGTTCGCATTTATGTCGGGGATATTGAATGCCTTGACAAAGATGTACTTCGCCTGAAAAGCGGCGACCAGATACCTACCGATGGTCTACTTTGCGGCACGGGCTGGCAGCCTTCACTCCAGTTCTTCTCCGAAGAGCAGTGCAGGCAACTTGGTCTACCGCACCTAGTAGACGACGAGTCTCCAGATGAGAAAAGTCACTGGACGGCTCTCGAAACGGAAGCAGACGCCAAAGTTCTCGCTACCTTTCCGCAGCTTGAAACCCCTCCTCCCGTCTTCCTCAAGCCTATCACAAAGTCTCCCTACCGGCTATACCGGCATGTTGTTCCTTTGTGCGAATCAGGCAATGCAAGTAAAGATCGCTCTATTGTCTTTATTGGTCAAATCGGGGTAGGTAACTACTTCCCCGTTGTGGAGTGCCAATCAATTTGGACGACCGCCTATTTGGACGGAAAACTTGATTTGCCGAGTATAGAAGAGCAGGAAAAGGATGTAGCCCTATTCACAACGTGGTGTCGGCGTCGATACCTTAGTAACGGGATTCGGGGCAATACTATGACCTTTGAGCTTATCGGATACACGGATACCTTGTTAAGAGACCTTGATCTCCGCAGTAACCGCAAAGGCTGGTTCAAAGATATTTTCTTCTCCGTCTGGGCTAGGGACTTTGGGAGCTTGAAAGCAGAGTTCATGGAGAAGTATGGGTACAATGAGATCGATAAATAGATATGTCAACATATCTAGGTGAACGAGAACTGCATAGAGAAACTTGACTTCTTATTAAGGTATCCTACACATACAACATTACTTTTCGAGATAAAGTATTTAGAGTGAAGTCTGTATTTGGCCCTGTTTTAATCATTAGTGTCGTGCGGAGTACGTACTGATACCGCCCCACGGCAGATCATCTTATATATTACGTATAGACTTATCTACTTAGTGTATAAGGGGAATAGTTCAACGCTCACATTTCAAGTAGATAAAGTAAAACACATACGCCGAGAAATCAAAGTATAGAAAAGAATACTGTTAGAGTTCACTAGGATAGAAAACTAGCGTCTACATAGCTGCTCATCGACACAGCTGTCGTAGCCAGATGATGACTGGTGCTGTCTGCATAATATTTAAAATAAACTCCTCCGTACCAGGTTTCAGTGATAACATCAATTGATATTTCGCAACTCAACCGCTGAAAGAGAGTCGACACCGTAAACAGTCGTTGGCTTAAATCGGTTCACGTCTTCCTCTGCGATCGGGAAGATTTCCACTAGTTTCTTGCGGATGATCTCCGTGAGTAATAAGGGTGTGCATGTAGTGTTACACTTTGTTATGACTGAAACAGGTACTTTGGCTCAAGGCTAGGGTTGTCAGATATAGTTCTAGATGATATCTACCAGAAACCACTATTATAACCTCGGTTGAAGGAATAGGAAATTACTGGTTAGGAATAATATTCATTTCCAGGGATGGTAAATTATTATGAAGAGATGTTGAGATATTAAAAATAGAGGTGGCTGCCACTATTCCCAGCAACAAAGACTCAACCTGCAATATTTAGGTACATCCTAATGTATCGCTGTACATGAGCCTAAATAGAGAAACACAAATAAAATATACCCTAGAAAGTAGGATCAAGTTGATACCACCTTGGCAGTTGGGCTAGACTCAGTCGTCTGCCACCTTCCAAATGGCACTCCTATGTTGCCCTGCAGGATGGCTATCTATCAAGTGAACAACCAATAAGTCGCCCTCTTGAAGTCTCCCTTCACACATGCTTTGGATGGAACCCCATTCGTCTATCTCAGCATGCATTGCAAGTAGTAAGTAAGTATCTGACTCATGCTGAGTAGTTCGGACAACGTGAACAGGAACATCCTTTGATATGATGTCCTCAAGAGATAGATCACTTTTCAATATCTGGATATAGGCTGTAAAGATAGACCACTTGCTGGAGTGGCCTATTTTGTATTCGTTTCCCTTGTGTTTTAGTATCAGCCAGAGGGAAGGCTTTGATGACGCGATACCTTGAATTTGACCGTATCGAACTTCAGCAAGTTCAAGGTCTATATTGTTGATCAAGTCGCTCTTTCCTTCGTTTACTCGCCAGCAGAAATCAGCCGGATAATCACCGAAATGTGTATATTTCTCAGTTATGTTTCGTACAAAGTTCAGCTTGCGCAAGTCCGCAGCTACATTGCCCTCCCATTGTTTGTCAAGAACTTGCCAAATTTCAGGAGACACGCCGTGCGGTATAGCAAATTTCTCACGAGCGGTCGGGTTGGTAGTGGGGGGCACTTTGCCAGACATGGTGAATAGATTATTATCTAGGTATATATTGATCGAGAGGTATAGGAGGTAAGAATTATCTGTGGGCGTACATATAAGGATTGTAGCGAGATCAGAAGTGCAGGCATAGGATTTTGGTGACTTTAATACCCATGAAAGAGTCATATTCGAATCACTGGCTGTGGGAGTCATGTTTGCATTAACTGGATTGTGTGACATACCTACATATGTAGTCACTTTGTGATTCATGAATGCTTAAATCATATATACATCGTCGTCTAAGCGTCGGCTCCGTCTGATTGCTGTTATCTAATATTTTGATGGCAATCAGTGAGTGAATGTACTCTTAACAATGGGATACCGAGTACCAAAGTCACGATTAAAAATAATAAAGAGCCAATGTCTTTTTGAATAGACATCCTTATAGCAGGGGAAAGTTGATCAAAGAAACCTTCTACTACCACTACTAATGAATTCCGGGGAGGTTTGCTCTGAGTGGCCATAAGCTCGAGAGCATAGTCTATGCATAATTTAGACGTGCGGTGGTATTATAGTAGCATAGGTTGGTGATATATTATTTTCATGTATTATTCTTATCAACTGCTCTATTTTAGGATGGCTAATCCATATTCAAATATAGTCTAATCTTAGTCCTAAGAATATATCTTAACTATAAAAGGGCTATCTATAATAGTATGTAAATTAAGAAATATAGATAAGGGTACTATATAGAGATTAATAGATTCTAATAATATAATTGTAATCTAATAATCACATCGGCTTCATTCTTTTTCCACTTCAGGTAACCAGTCAACCATGCCGCAATGTATCGAAATACAAAAATTCTCGAAAATCCATATTCTGCAAAGTTTGTATATTGTGTATGTTATCTTTAGCTGTTACTCTCACCTATCTCAACTTGGGTTGACTTTATCTCGACTTGTTATCTTTCTCCTTTCTTCGTTTTGTCTTTAATATCTGCCCTTTTATCAACCCACTTCCTTCTCTCAGCAAGGGTAAAACTAACGTCATTGAAATCCCCTGGTGACTGGAATTTCACCAACTCTGGAGAATTGGTGTATACGACGACAAACCGTCGAGGAACATTAGCGACAGCAATCTGCTCCCACGACATTCCCGATAGCCAATCAAATACTGAAATGTACATTATTGGTTCTCGCCATTCTCTTTCATTCTGGTACAGTTATTGTTCAAATGTCTCCCCGTTATCTAATGTCCCCTTGGCCTTGATGGCTAAGCGTGACGACGGGTCTGTGGCGAAGGCCGTGGTGGTAAAGGCGTTGGATGACGAGTTCCAGGAGGGCTGAGCTCTCAGATTTTGACCAATCCCGCTCTATAAATCAGTTAACATTATAAAGCTTTAAAAACACATATAAATGCCGTCTACGCATATTGATATAAATCGCTCTGCTGCGAACTGCCTATACTGAACGGAGTACTGCGGGGCGTTTGGGGATCCGCCCGACCCACAAGGCCAAAACGGCCAGCATTCATCGATTCATCCCCAGAGCCCGCTTATATCCAACCAATTACGTCACTTTTGGGAGCCTGAGGCCGAAATGACACGTATAGATCGCCTACAGGAAGACTTACCAGCCCGATAGAAATCACTCTGCAGCAAACTGCCTCCATATAACCCCACTTAAACAAGAGGTTGATTATGAAGAAAATTAATGTATCGCGAAATTACTTTGATTTACTAATTCTACCAGTCTCTAGTTAGTAGAGGAAGTGTCTCTATCAAAGTTGGGTGTGTCTTTAGCTAACTTATCAAGGACACAAAAGGCACGAACGGGAGACTCCAGGGAAGAAATGAGTTTCTTTTTCAAAAAAAGAGAGGGTATTATCGTAAGCCTTGATAGTATAGCGGTTAGTACGTCAGTCTCATATCATCTCAACAGTTGGTTATCTGATAACCAGGGTTCGATTCCCTGTCAGGGCATTCTTTTAAAAAATATATAATTTTTTGTCTGATTTTAAAACTTATTGACTTCACTGTTAGAATTGATGTGCCTAATACCCTATTAGAGGCAAATATACAGAGATGAAGTGAAGAATAACCCAGTAATCTACAAACACACACAATTCAAAGTTAATAATGCTTCAGTAAGATTATCAATAAAGATAAATGGATATAACCTATAGTTCATGTAAAAGTACCATCTTTGAATGTGAACACTCATCCTAGCAAGTTGACATTGCATAAACTTGACTTCTAAGCTCCTTTTGATATGAGACTATGACTAACTAGTGGTCCTAGAAGAGCGCAAACCCTAAACAATCCTCCTAATAAATCAGTAAGAAATCAGCCACAACAATAATAGCAACCATAGTAGGAGAAGAAGTGAAGATACGAGCCTCTCCTAGCCTAACTATGGCACGACGGACGACGAAAGGAGTCGAAGTCGTCGCAGCGCTACATATCGCAGACTCAACTATTGAGTAGACTCACAGCAGGAGGTTAGCAGGTAGCTGATCCGTACCAGCCTATATCATCGACCGCAGAGAAAGAGTATCGGTGATATGAGGGATGGCGATAAAGATGAATGCAGAATGTGGCTACCATCAGCAATATCACGATCGCCACCAGGTGAATACCTTCGAGGTATTCGGCATCCTGTGGCTGGGCATTATCACCTATGGGAATTTCATTACACGGGTTTGCTTTCAACAGTAACGATTTCCTGCAAATCCGTTGAACTCATGTCCGTCATGTTGGTGACTTAGTTGGAAGATATTCAGGGCTAGGGAATCCGACGGGGTTGAGCAAGAAGTTTCTTTCGTTACCCATGTGGGTGCCAATCAAAATGAAGGAAAGAAAAATTAATTAAAATCGTCGTAAAGAAAGAAAAGAGAAAGCGCGTCGAGTGCGACAAATAACACTGAATGGTTGGTTGATTGAGGATGCAACTCCATCGGAAAATTTATATATCTGAGTTTTTTGCCCGGCATCAGCTGTCACACATCCACAACCTATTCGCTGCACGACTGCCACATAGAAGAAAGTCAATTGATTGATTAATCTTCCTACTAAGTACCACCTTCACAGTTCTATAAGGGTATCATCCCTCCAGAACAATATTTCTCACCACATTCCCCACATCTCCTCAAACAGCTAAAACCACAACCCCCATACACAAGACTAAAAGGAATGGCTGTGATTCCTACCATCAATATCAGCGCCTAGCTCTCGCCCACCTCTACACTAATTCCTGCGACGCAGTCGTAGCGGAAATGCGCTCCGCCTGCACAACTTATGGATTCTTCCAACTCAAAGGCCACCGACCTCCAAAACGAAGGCTTCGCCTGCGCCGAACGGCTCTTCTCTCTCCCGATAGCGCAGAAAACAGGATGTAACTATCGAAAAACCATCCTAAATGGCGAATAGAGGGTAAGGGACATTTCAGGGGCAGCGATTGGAAACTGATATAAGATATACTGGTCATCAACTACGGTGAAAAGCATCGGTATAGTGCGCCGTTCTTCAATAATGGGAACGGAGACATTGTGTTTGAGCGGATTGGTGGATTAGGGCCGAGGACTACTGTTAGTGAGCATATCAGAGGAAGTTGATGGCCTAGTTGGAAATGGAGGAGGGAAAAAGGTGCGGGCGGCGGTGACAGTTGTAGTTAGGTGGGTAGCTTGGAAGTTAGTTAATGATGTGAGTTTGGCTAGCTGGTTGATAGGTTTGTGTGTGCGGAATCATATAGTTAATTCAGGTAATAAACATAAGGTATCACGTCATCAAGCGTAAAAGCGACACGAGGCTGGTCGCATATGTAATTAATTCTTCCTCCATGTACATTCGTTTCTATGTTCAATGCAGTGCAGTTTGTTTCTAGGATAGGGTCTTGGTGTCTGCTTCTGAGATTGGCGCTGGCTCGCCAGGTGCTTCTCTGTCTTCTTCCGTCGACTCTTTCGATTCTGTCCGTTCAGCAGGGCCGTCAGTAGAGGTCTTTGATTTTTCGTCTTTCGGCGATGACTCGGTTGAATCATTCTCGGCCACTTTTGAATCGTTATTTGTGGATAATTTCTCGGTATTAAGTACCTCTGGCTTCCCATCTGGTTTCACCCCAGTCTTGCCATCGTCCTTATCATCCACGCCATCCTTGAACGGACTCTCTACCTGGCCCAACGGCGACTTCGGCAACGACGAGGGCAAATCATTTTGCACATCGAGACTATCCGCCCTACTAGGCGAAACTGAGTCACTACGATCCTTCTTACGAAGTACCGTACTCCACCTCTTCCTCCGACTCATGCTCCTCCCCAGCGTTGACGAACTGCTATCCTCGCTTTTCCGCTGCAGCGGTAGTGACTCGCGGCGGCCGCGGTCTAGTGCTTCTAATTTCTCGCTTACGCTCGGCAGGGTTTGCGTTGATGGGGATGTGAGAGAAGACGGGTCTGAGGCGGCTGATGTTGACGATGCGCTTCTCTTGTCTTGCCATTCCTTGCGTCGCTCGCTGGCCCATGTGCCCCATGAGCTGAAATACGCACCAGCCTTTTGGCCAGCGGCGTTGACGGTGGTCTGAGCCTGGCTTAAATCGACAGAGGGTCCACGACGGTTTGCGAACCAGGAAGAAGTCGCCGGTGTGGCTGCTAAAGTCGTCGTGGAGGCCGATGAGGTTGATGCCGTGGAAGAAGTTTTCTCCTCCGATGGGCGTTCAACAGCTCGTTCCTCGTTTCTTTTCCTTTGGGCTTCGCGTAGGGCTTCGATATCAGCCCAGAAACTGTTGAAAGCGCTGCTTACCTTCTTTTGGCCTGTTGCGAATGTTTTGTTTAGGGCTTCTCGGCCCTCGCGGACGCGTTCGTCGAGATGAAGCTCGGATACTTGCTGGGCCAGTCTTCGCTGAATATCTTCCACTGTAAGCCCACCAGCACAGGGGTGTCGAGGTTCTACGATAGAGAATAGTAGAGCGTCTGATGTTAATCGATGGAAAAGAGCATAATTAGGCGTCTCCTGCCACTGGGCAATAAATTCTGTATTAAATTCAATTGAGGGATCACCTTCGATATCGGCTGATTGCGCTTTATTTTTCGACTCATTAGTCCTCGAAGGATACGAAGGTCCGACATGTTGCCGATGGTTCATGCATGACAATAGAGCAAGTAAATATTCCTCAAACTGCAGGCGGATGAATTCTTCTGAGCCCACGTATCCGTGTGTTTTTGGCTGTCCTGGGTGCGATTCGTCCCAGGTTTCATTAATGATTTGTACGAGGAAATCGATCCATCGTCTGTCGGCTGCAGTCAATGCTAGAGCTGTCCGTAATGAAGGCGAGGTCACGTTGACCGTTCCTTCGTCGAGCTATTCACATCTCAGCTCGAGCATTCACACAAAATAGCAAGCCAGACGTACATTAATTAATATATCGCTATAGCGATCTTTTTGCTGAAGAAGCAAAGAGTTAGTCGACCCGACCACGTACGATTTAGTCCCATGATCAGCTAGCAGATCCAGTTGCTGCAATGGCGTATAGGGCCCAAAAATGCTCCCCTGGATGGCGTCAGAATATCTTCAACAATCATCAATCTCCAAATTAGAAACTCACTTTACCAAAAATCTGTAGCGGCAAACCCATATATGCAAGCACTATGTCTCATTAGCTACAGCCACAAAAGGTATGAAACGTTCATACATGAACTCCGCTCACTCGTTTTGAGCGAGCTAGGCTTCTCAGCCTTTTCTGAGTATGAATCAAACGCCGGGTCGGCGCAATCTTGTAAATTATTGATCAAACCGGGTAAAAGAGAGAGCAAGGAAAACTGCATCATGCATAAACGCTCGCATCTGGAGCCAAAAAATAGCATCTATACTATTTAGCACGCTCCTTCAGACTGATAAATTCGCATACCTTTGGCTGCAAAAGTAGTCCTTTGAATAAAACCAGTGTTTGGGATTTAAACTGATGGGTCATTTCTCGTAATGACAAGCCTTTTTTTATTAGTTTGGAAGTGTGCAACAAACCCAAGATGTCTCACCGAGATAAGCGTCTTTCTCAGCCTCATCATTCTTCAACCCAGCAATCAAACTCTCGCGAAATTTCTATATTGATCAGAAACCATCCAGCCGAATCCCGCAAACAGTGCTAACATACCTTTAATATATCAATATCCGCAAAATCCCTGTAAACATCAATACCCCGTTCACAATTCCACTACAGTCACGAGATCATGCACATACCGCTGCTCAAACCACGCCAAGGTGACCATAGACAGCTTTTCTCTCAATGTACCGAAATGCTGCGGTCTATCCGTTACCACCACGACGGCCTTTTGGACCGTCGATCTCGTAACGTCCGGCGAGCGGTTAATCAATTCACTCGCAGAAATCTGCCTGGTACACGAGATCCCAAATAGAGATGTTGCGGGCTGCGTTGATGTGGCTTCGCGGCGGAGGGTGAAGTATGAGAAATCTTCGGTTGATCTGTTGTATAAAAACAAGGAGATGAGCATAGGTTGGTCTGGTTGGCAGCGGGAAGGAAGCATACGCATGTGCGCCGTCTGATAAGGCCATGAAGGGGAGAAGGGACCAGTCGTTTTCAACAGCCGGATTCGTACCGTCTTCGGCGAAGCATAGTTCTATCTCGGGACCTCTAGAAAGACGCAAAGAAAGACGAGTGGTTAGCACTAACCCCGCGTTCAACAACAAAGGGGAGTGAGAGACGAGAGGATTGATTGTAGTGAGATGCAGTGTCGACATAGAAAGGGGTAAGCGCGTTGCTTACCTCGCATGATGAAAGTCTATAACCAGGACAATGGGGTCCTGGTGTACAACGGAGTCTGCCATGGCTATATCGCACGATTTCGGGGGTTGCGACGAAAGAGAAAGAGCAGCGAGGTGTTTAAACAAGTCGCGTTTCCACCCAACCCCGACAACGCCCCATAAAGTTTGACAGGAAGAATCTGATATGTAGCCGGCGGCGGGCAAAGGTAATTAGATTGTAACCAAGAGCTAAGTTGAGTCGTGAGGGATTCCTGCCTGCCCTTGTGATTGTTGTTGATTCTTCATCTGATCAAATCAAGGTGTCCGGTGATTGGCTTGTGGGCAAAGGCGGTGTGCAACCAGGACTGATTATGCGGGGTTCGCCCGTGATAGTAATGATTCATCAGCACATAGATTGATTGTCAATTGCTATTCATGGATTATTTACAAGCTTGAGGGTCCTATAAGTCAATTCTAACATTGAATTTTTCATGTAATGCAAATGTTATCCGAATATGATCCTGTTCTAAGACCTGCGAATCCATATGAAGATCCTGGGCGTGATAGCCTGCCAATCGCCCAATCATCGATTGGCGCTGCAAAATACCCGTCTTTTTCTTGTATAAAGTCCCGATGGTTTTATATCACATGTAGACAAAAATTAAAATTGGAGATAACAAGTGACAGTGACAACGGCCATTCATGTACATGCCGCATGTCCGCAACACGGCGAAGGTGAAGAGCGCAGAAGAGCTAGACAAGATTAATATGCTGAACCATCCAGATGTAAATTAACACGGGCTCTAAATCCCTATACGCTCTGCAACACCTTCTCAAAAAACGTAATACGCGGGCTTCTTCCATCTACCAGACTTAGGGAGCAACTCCTTCCGCTTGTTGCAACGTCGCCTGCGCCACTTCGGAGCCTTGGTCAATGTTATGATAGTCTAGTATCTCCGAGTACCTGCAAACACGGGTAAGTAATAGCTATGTGACATGGTGGTATACGAGCCGTACATCATGATTTTCCAGGTGTCCACCGGTAGATCGGCATCGTTGAAAGACCAATCGAATTTCTCTTCGGCAACGGGTTCGTCGGTAGGATCGTGATAAGGTGCTAGATATTCGTGGGCCAGAGCATCACCGGCCCTGATGCGCTTCCTCGGATCAAAAACAAGCATGTTTTCGAGTAAATCCACGGCTGTAAAAGTTAGTATGCAATTCCCAAAAGGAACAATAAGAAATAAAGAGCGTACCCGCCGGGTCGGCAGTCTTAAACTTGCTAGCCAACGGTTGTCGCTCTCGCTTTGGTAATGATTGAACAAATCGCAGTGTCTGGTAATATCCTGTTAGCGTCATATTCAGTTCGTAGAAAAGGCCTCGCACATTTTCACTGCAGATTGTTTGAATCACATCGTCTGGGGGTGTCCCAAGAAGTTCAGTAATTATAGAGAACTGATTGACATGATCTTTGCCAGGGAACAATGGCTTCCCGTCCAGCATTTCTGCAAATATACATCCGGCACTCCAAATATCGACCTCGACGTCGTACTTTTGCCATGTGAGCATAATTTCCGGGGCACGGTAATATCTCGTCGACACATAGCCGGTCATCTGAGGGTCCTGAATTCGAGCCAATCCAAAATCGCAAATCTTCAAGTCGCAATTCTCGTTAATGAGAATATTGCTCGGTTTCAGGTCACGGTGGACGACACCGGCCGAATGGACGTATTTCAGTCCACGCTATGACTTGTGAGCAAACCATGACACCCTCGGAGCAGTGATGCATACCAAAATCTGATAAAGGAAGTACTGAATAAATTGTTTCTCGAGAGGGCGCGAAGTAAGAAGCCGATGCAAATCAGTTCCTAGGAGCTCGGTGACGAAGTAACTATCCAATAATCATTGAGCGGCTAGCCTAGCTGTGGTGACGACGGGTGCACATACATGTCCTCCAGCGGAGAAATAAAAATGTCGCTCAAGCTAATAACCTAGTTTGTGTGAGCTAGATAGCCGACTCATCATATATGAAAGCTACGCACATTTTCATGCCTCAAATGCTTGAGCAGCTTGAGCTCACGGTATGTGCGTTTCGAAAGCACTGGCGTGCTGAAAGGCTTCATGATCTTCTTCACCGCAACGGGTTGGCCGGTCAATTGATCCTTCGCAGAACTTTGCGATCCAGGCGGTCAGTTTCCTGGACTGTTTTGATTGCGCGACAAAAAAAAAAAAAGACATGTGCATACCAGACCAGACCAAAGGCGCCCATTCCCACGGGCTGGAGATCGGAGTATCTAGAGACGCAAAGCAAGCGTTAGCGACTAGCTCCTTCTCTTTCATCCATCTTCTCGACAGAGTCCTGGCTACCTACCTGCTGGTGATCTCAAAGGTCGTGCCAAAGATCTGGGCACGCACGAATTCCGCCATGATGGACGCGCAGACCAATGACTTTGATGTAGCGAGGGACACCACACACGCGCGCGCGAGAAGCGTACACGGATATGCGTTCGATGCGAAGAAATAAATTAATCGCGTTCTCGGCGGGGTGATCTTAGGAGGCAGAAGGCAGAGTGCAGTACAAGAGCAAGAGCAAATTGCAGTGCAACAGAGGTTGTGGGGAACAAGTGGCGTGGGTGCGTGTCCGTTCGGGCGATGGAACAGACAGGTTGTGGTTGGCGGGCCAGGGCCGGAATTGGCAGGTGTACTGAGTAGGACGAGCAACGCAATGGTTGGTGCGGATAAGGATGGCGAATTCAGGAATCAGCCGAATCCCAGGGATTGCAGCCTTCAGCAGAGACGAACAGCAGCAGACAAGCGACAGCAGACAGCAAACAGCCAGCAAAGAGACGACAGAGGGGAGACGAGGGGGAGAACAGGAAGAGACAAGAATGACGTTGTTGATGCGGCTAGACAGGGCCGCTGCTCGCTGACTGGCCGCCGCCGGGTCGAGACTGTTTTCCGGAATGACGCTATCGCTTCCTGCCTTCCCTGTTTCGTCGACTCTGCTACTGTGCAGGTTACATGAGTGGTTAGTCATCACTTACCCAATACCAGCGAGAATAGGTAAGAATATGTAAGAAAATGTAATATATAATAATAAAATACTTGGTCAGATAAGCATTGGCCAAACTACTGTAGATAGCCGACACCTACAGAGAGGGTGGCTTTGGCGACAGTAAATCCAATGTTACTGCAGGTGGCTGTCGGTGTGGTGTTGAGCGGGCCAATATGCATTTTTTATAGCAGCCCCAGATGTTGGTGATGTATGATATCATAACCTGCATCCTCATACTAAACATTAATGCACGTATTATTATTATTGAGCATCGAGCCCAGGCTGTTGCTATTTTAAGAGTAGCTTGTCATGGCCTCAGGCATTCCTCGCGAAGAACCGCGGCTGATGCCGGGATGCTAGATCTCTCGATTGACATCTGGACTATTGAATATTCTACCAATACTGTTCCAAGTTGTACAATCATTGCCGAGATTTGCGATCGAAATTCTTTGTCTACGCTGGATAACACTGGAGCTAGCTACATATCAGCCGTCTTGATGCGCAGGGAGTGAATAAAGACTGCAGACGCATGCCACGAGCCCGGGATATGTGTAAACTCAATTATTATTTTTATATTTATCAGTCCTTTTTTTATACGAGGGTGCGAATAGTGGCTCTGATTGGCACTCCGAAACGAAAACCCCAGCGGCGGTCATGTGACTGCCAACACTGTCCGCAGTCGGAGTTTGCACCATGCGTTTCACCTTTCAGTTATTTTTGGTGTCGTGTTTCAGCTTGCCGTCCAGTCGAAGAACAGAGAATAATAATGTTTAATGTCTACAGTCAGTTCTGACGACGAGGGCTATCCCCTGCTGATATCAGTCTTATAATAGCATCCAGCGGCCACTGAGCTTGCCAGAATGTGCGCCAACGCGGGTGCTGGTTGTTTCATTATTATTATTGGTAGCGGGGGCGGGCACTGGCCACTAGCCCCTGAGGTTCGCTTGTACGTGAAACTCCTAACTTGTTACCTGGTACTAGGTGGTAAGTGCTGAGGAGTAACTGAGGGCCAAGGCTGAAGGATTGTCAAGTCGCCGCCTGGGTCCGCCTCACAGACCAAGCGATCGACATGGGCTGAAGGCTGTCACGACGATGATTGAGCAGGCCATCTGACACGCTGCAGCCGAGCTTGCGTATCAGGGATCTCGCAGATTGAGACTCGTTCAGGCTCGGATGATCTCGTCATCACAGACCAGCAGCCATGGCGGTTGCCATTGCCACGGAGGAATGGCCAAATAGTGATACAGCACGGGGTAAGAGGTAGTTAAGAACGGATAGTAACGACGTACTAGACAGAAGGAGTATGTCGGAGGACGCCATGACCAGGCAGGGCGACGCTGACTGGCTGGGCGCCTCCGTTACCCGCCGCCCACGTGAAGCGGTGACCCCTCCACAGCTGTGCAGTGCGGTAGTACAGTACCACTCGAGTCAGGATGATTGCGATTTTCGTCTGCAAATACCGTGAAGATCACTAAATTATGGTTTATCCTGTTTATCACGGTTATCACGGTAGATACATATGCATATGTGTATATATATCTATCGTCGACTATCCTGTTATGGTCCTTACATGCACATCATAAGCCCTGTTTGGGCCCGCCACTAGCTGCTAGCTGGTAGCTAGCAGCCATATCACACAATAGTGCATGGCAAGAACTCCCCTATTATTGGAATTGGAATTGGAATTGCATGGAATCAACCGAAAGCAAGACGATCGGGGGATATGATATGATCATGTCACTGATATATTATATACATCACGGAGATATACATGATAATAGGCAGTGCTCGGCAAGGCAGATTCGATCTTCGCAGTGTCGATCGACCACTGGCTGCCTTTTGCGGGAAGCGCCCACAGCGCTGCCGTGTTGTTCCTCTGACTTGTGTTGAACATGCTGCGCTGGGGGGTTATTTGCATACGATAATAGACACGATATCATATATCATGTATCATATATAATCAATAGTAAATAGTAATAGTATATAATATTTGGCATGTAGTATTTGGTACAGAGACAAAGATGAGCGAGGCATGACTTGCAGGCTGGCACGCCACGAAACGCGTTAGGCCCCTTTCGGCGGAGGGGCTGCCAGCCTGCCACACTCCGGGCTCCCGTGTCGCTCCTCCCCCCCAAAAAGACGGCCGCTACTACCACCTCTTGTTTCCTGCATCCACTCTGTGCCCTACACTCCCTAGTACCACCTACCACCTCACTACCCCGTCCCGTTGGTCTTTAACTTCGACTGAAACCTCTCTCTCTCTCTCCTCCATGCCTGCTCTTGCTCCGGCAGTGGCATTCCCATTCCGCCTCCCATCCCCATCCAGTCCCTGCAGCACGAGTTAACCGCCGTCGACGCCGACACGCCGACACCTCGACCTATCGGCCCATCGACCCATCCTGTCGAACGGACCTCCCGCCCGCCATAGCCACCTTCGCTCTCAGCTGGGTCAGCTCGACGTGATTCTGACCTCCCCTAACAACCACAACCGCAGAACTCGATCCATCGAATAATCCCAGCCTTTTCTCACCTTTCGAGACGAGAAAATATCCCCTGTCTGTCGCGTTCACCAGCACAATTCGGTACCCTCAGTCGGAGTTTGCTAGGTTGAGACGGTCGGCTATTGCCCATCCACCGTCAACTCCAACGGCTGGCGAGCGAGTGAGCTCCACAGCCAGCCCGCGAACTGTGCCAGCATTATACATACATCTCAGTCGTACATACGTACATACGCCCATATCATCGAAAATTTATTTCCTGCGAGCCTTTGCGGCGGCGTTGGATCAGGCATTCGCCGGTGGATTCCCGCCTTGATAGCGAACACCCCTAGCTCGGGTAGGACAGCTCGCTCCAAGTTGCTCGAATAATTCCCAGTCGGCCGTTTGCGCTGAGATAAAGGTGTTGAACGAGTGTTGAGCGCACATCACACAGGCAACATGGGTGGCTGTGTGAGCTCCGAGACCAATGCGGATCTCGAACAGAAAAAGCGAAGCCAGGCAATCGACAGAAAGCTAGAGGAAGACTCCCGGCGACTAAGGCGAGAATGCAAGATCTTGCTGCTGGGTGCGTGTTAAATATGCAATCCTACTGCTGCAGAAGACTAACTGGCGATGCAGGCTCCGGTGAAAGCGGAAAATCAACCATCGTGAAGCAAATGAAAATTATCCATCAAAATGGATACAGTGTGGAAGAGCTCGCTTTATACCGCTTGACCGTGTATAAGAATCTTCTCGATTGCGCCAAGGCCTTGATCCAAGCATACCATCACTTCGAAGTAGAGCCGACCAGCCAAAGAGTACGAGATTTCCTCACATTTATCACAGAATACAACATAGACCCGGATCCGAATATCCCCCTAGACCCGAAGGTCGGAGATGCAGTGACATATATTTGGAACGACCCATGCACAGCAAGCGTTTTAGAACACCAGAGTGAATTTTATCTCATGGATTCTGCTCCATAGTGAGGCTGCCTCCTAGTTGTGCTGGAGTGAAACTAACCGCTATCATCAGTTTCTTTGAACATGCGAAGCGAATAGCAGCCCCGGATTACATTCCCAACGAAGCAGACGTGCTCCGTGCTCGAACAAAAACGACTGGTATCTATGAAACTCGATTTACCATGGGCCAGCTCAGTATACAGTATGCCATGTCTAGTTTATTCAAAAGGGCTCTTCCTAACCTATTTTAGTATGTTTGATGTTGGCGGCCAACGCAGCGAACGGAAAAAGTGGATTCATTGCTTTGAAAATGTCACATCCATCATCTTCTGTGTCGCTTTAAGTGAATACGACCAAGTTCTGTTGGAAGAAAGCAACCAGGTAGGCTTTTCTAACCAGTGGTACACCAGCCAGTACTGACATCCGATAGAACCGTATGATGGAAAGTTTGGTGCTTTTCGACTCGGTCGTCAATTCTCGATGGTTTATGCGCACGAGTATTATCCTCTTCCTCAACAAGGTCGATCTGTTCCGTCAAAAGCTCGGCCGATCGCCATTGAGCAATTATTTCCCCGACTACTCTGGAGGCAATGACGTTAACCGAGCCGCGAAATATCTTCTCTGGAGGTTCAACCAGGTCAACCGTGCTCATCTCAACCTATATCCTCAGTAAGACACACTTCAAGAGAAAATGGTCGCCATGCTAACACTCTCTAGTCTGACCCAAGCCACCGATACCACCAATATTCGCCTCGTTTTCGCCGCCGTCAAAGAGACCATTTTGCAAAATGCTTTGAAAGATTCAGGAATTCTTTAATTATTCCTCACCTCCCCTAAGTGCGTCTTTGGAAGACCACCACGAAACCATTTACCTCCACGCAATATCTACGACTCAACTGTTCCTATTCCTACATTGCTATATACTTCTTCGAGTTCCACCTACGGGTTTCAGGGCGTTTTGGCGGGGTTTTGTCTATATTTGTCGATTTGGCGCAGTGATATGGCATCTACCCGGTCTTGCAGAAACATGGTCTTTCCGCGACATACAAGTCCTTATGTCTTATTTATTCATCGTTAAGCCTGTTCCTTCCGGCGTTCTCTTCTTGCGGCAAAAGCTACTGCATGGGTCTCCTTTTTGCTGGTTTGACTTGACGCCGCACCCTCTTCGGGCTAGGAGGCTAGTTGTGCCTCGGCTTTTGCGCATATGATACTACTTTAGTTATGATGCTCCTTATCTTCCTTCTTTTCCCCTTTTTCTCTGCTAGTTTACATTAGCGTTTCGTGAGCATGCGACGGACGAATTTTTCTCCAAACATTGACATTTCTTTCCTCATCCCGTCACGGAGAGCCGGCTTGCGGGCCTTGAGCGATATTTCATAATCAAGTTGTTGATATCCATCGATTTCTCTAGATTGTAGAGCTGCATTATATTCTGGATGGCGCATAAGAGAATTTTATCTTCTGTTCCATCTACAGCATTGAAATCTCCAGTCAACTGGTGATGTCAACGGCTTTACAATCTTAAGCATTAAAGAGTAAAGACCGCGAGCTAGTCTCCACCGACCCACCAGATCAGCGCCAGCTACCTGGGAGTACCAGAGCAGACAAGATGCTCAGTTGACTTACTCCAAGCTGAAGCCGCGAACATACAGATGTACAGGTGTGATATTACCAACCCTACTACTAGTAGCCATCGCAATCGCTGAAAACAGCCCAGCCCGGCACGCAGGCAGTCAAGAACGCTGAGACAGTGCCCGCGGCCCCGCACGGCGCTCGAGCGGCACCATCCAACAAGATCTAGACCAGCTCTGCGCCTGCCTTGTATTCTGCCCTGGCCAGTGTGTATAATGCAACACTTAAGACATCAGTTGATGTCCTACTCTTTTCCCCTCATTCAAACCCCACCATGGCCTAACATCCTACTCCATCATCCCAACTACAACCGTGCGTTGACTGACATATACTTACTCCATTACATACGCCTTGATTGCTTCCTGCAGCTTATCCTCCTCATTGCCTTTGTAGCCTGTGGATCATATCCCGAATTGGTCGGCCACGAGATCAATTGGCACTGTCCGCTTTACCTTTTGCTCTCCAGTTGGGAAGACGTGTACGTGTACCACCTGCCCTCGCAACTTTTATATTTAAAGTAGAGCAGCAAGCTTCCATTTCTCATTTCTTGTCTAACAGCGATTGAGACCTAGCCATTGAAAGCGCTAGTATTGAAGGAATAAAGTTATATATTTACGAATCGAAATGTCTGCAAAACCACTCGCCCGTGAACGAAAGCCGTCTATTGGTGTTCCTGTCGCCGAGTTGCTTCCCGTTGGCCCAGGCTTCAGTCGTCCAAAACACAAACGAACTTTCACTGGGTTTGGCCCGTCGGAGATTAAGGCTGTGGAAGCTACTATTCCGGAGAGATTGAGGGAGACGTGAGTGATTCGTTATGTTGAGGGATAGTGATGGGTGTGCTAATAATGTGTGTATAGATGGAGAAAATATGTATAGACTTTCCCATTCTACCGGCGTGTTTGCTTTGGATTTGGTTCAATGAGCTGACTGTATCTTAGTCGGCGAATGGGTTTGAGGACAAGGGGGGATTCGAGGTACATGCATTCAAAGAGTGCTGCTGATGGAGTAGTACTGATAAGTACAGCGTGAATTCATCCGCCATGTCGAGACGACTCTAGCCCGTTCGCTGTACAATTGTGATGAGTTGTAAGTTCATCTTATACTGTTAATGGATTTATTCTCAAATTCAACAGGGCAGCCTACGCGGGTACCGCTCTGGCCTTCCGTGATAAGATGATTATCGAGTGGAACAAAACACAGCAGCGTCAGACGTTTGCGGACCAGAAGCGTGTATATTGTAAGATACATCTGACATTCGGAAGGACCAAGTCTAACAGTGTTTTCAAGATCTATCGCTTGAGTTTCTCATGGGAAGAGCTCTTGACAATGCTATGTTGAATATCGATAAGAAGGATGCTGCGAGAGGTATGCTCTCTTTACCCCCCTTAGAACGGCCAGATTAATGAGTATATAGACGGCCTTGGAGAACTGGGCTTCCGGATCGAAGATGTCATCAGCCAAGAGCATGACGCTGCTCTGGGAAATGGAGGCTTAGGACGTCTGGCTGCTTGTCTTCTCGACAGTATGGCTACATTGGACTATCCAGCATGGGGCTACGGGCTTCGCTACCGCTATGGCATATTCAAGCAGGAGATAATTGACGGATATCAGGTCGAGATTCCCGATTATTGGCTTGACTTCAACCCCTGGGAGTTTCCACGACACGATGTTACCGTTGGCATTCAGTTCTATGGCCATTCTGAGAAACATGAAGATGAAAATGGCAAGGTCAAGCACGTCTGGAGTGGCGGAGAGATTGTTCAAGCGGTGGCATACGATGTGCCCATTCCTGGATATGGGACTAAAACGACGAATAACTTACGTCTTTGGTCTAGTAAAGCCAGCAGCGGCGAATTCGATTTTCAAAAATTCAATGCCGGTGACTATGAAAGTGCAGTGTCGGATCAGCAACGAGCGGAGACTATCTCTGCTGTACTATACCCGAATGATAATTTAGACCGTGGCAAAGAGCTTCGTTTGAAACAGCAATATTTCTGGTGTGCTGCTTCTCTTTGGGACATTGTGCGAAGATTCAAAAAGTCCAAGCGCGCTTGGTCCGAGTTTCCGGACCAAGTTGCGATTCAGTTAAACGATACCCATCCTACCCTCGCCATCGTCGAGCTTCAGCGTATCCTGGTTGATCAGGAAGACTTGGAATGGGATGAGGCTTGGCAGATTGTTGTCAATACATTCGGATATACCAATCACACCGTTCTACCGGAAGCGCTGGAGAAGTGGTCGGTTCCGCTCCTGCAGCATTTGTTGCCACGACACCTGGAAATCATCTATGATATCAACCTGTTCTTCTTACAACATGTGGAAGAGAAATTTCCTGGTGACTGGGAACTCCTTTCTAGGGTTTCTGTGATAGAAGAATCGCAACCCAAGATGGTGCGAATGGCGTACCTAGCCATCATCGGGTCTCACAAGGTCAATGGTGTAGCCGAACTACACTCCGACTTGATCAAAACGACTATCTTCAAGGACTTTGTCAAAATATATGGTTCAGACAAGTTTACCAATGTGACCAATGGAATCACACCCCGACGATGGCTTCATCAGGCGAACCCTCGCCTGTCCAGTTTGATAGCGTCAAAGCTAGGTGGCTATAATTTCTTGATCGACTTGACTCTTCTCGACGGTATTGAAAGCTATGCAAACGACCCTGACTTCCGTAGAGAATGGACAGAGATCAAGACTGCGAACAAAGAACGTCTTGCCAAGTACATCAAGGAAACGACCGGGTACAGCGTTTCGCCAACTTCGCTCTTCGATATCCAAGTCAAACGTATCCACGAATACAAGCGACAGCAGCTGAACATTTTCGGCGTCATTCACCGATATCTGAAGATCAAATCAATGACCCCCCAAGAACGCAAGAAGGTTGTTCCTCGCGTTTCAATATTTGGCGGCAAAGCTGCGCCGGGGTACTGGATGGCCAAGACCATCATCCATCTGATCAATGGCGTGGCTGCAGTCGTCAACAAGGATGCTGAAATCGGTGATCTCCTCAAGGTCATCTTCATTGAAGACTATAACGTGAGCAAGGCGGAAATTCTCGTCCCGGCGTCCGATATCAGCGAACATATATCAACCGCCGGTACTGAAGCCAGTGGAACCAGCAACATGAAATTTGTCCTGAACGGGGGCTTAATCATCGGAACTTGCGACGGCGCCAATGTAAGTCACCCTAACCTATCAAAATTAACATCAAACTAAAACAAAAAACCACCCAGATCGAAATCACCCGAGAAATCTCCGAATCCAACATCTTCCTCTTCGGCAACCTGGCCGAAGACGTCGACAGCCTCCGCCACAAACACCTCTACTCGGGCTTCACACTAGACGAACACCTCCACAAAGTCTTTGAGGCCATCCGCGCATCCGCCTTCGGCCCAGCCTCCGCCTTCGAGCCCCTTGTCGCGTCCATCACCGACCACGGCGACTACTACCTCGTCTCCGACGACTTTAGCTCCTACATCCAGACCCAAGAAGCCATCGACGAGGAGTTCACGAAGCAGGACGAATGGGTCGTCAAATCGATCACGAGTGTCGCCCGTATGGGGTTTTTTTCGACCGATCGTGTGGTTGGTGAGTATGCCGATGAGATTTGGAACGTTGAGTCGTTGGATGTTGAGTAGCCTTCTTATCTATATGGAAGGATACTTGGTTGGTTTCTAGGTAGTTGTCTTTCTTTTGTATGCTCGTTAAATTGTGGATTGGATTTGGATATCCATTGATCTATTTTTATTCTAGACAGTTTAGATGAATATAACCCTGACACTGTCCATCAACTTACTACATATGATGAACCTTGAATGTAAATCTACACCGGACTTGCAATATTTACATGCATTGAGTTATATAACCGTCAATTTACGCTTCAAATGTTATCGATACTTTTTCGTATTTGATTCATTCATGTTCTCAGTGCTTGCTTGCTGGCTTACGTTAAAGAGAGATTGAGGTATGCAATTCAAACCAGTTGACCCATCCATCCATTGATGTCGTCCATACCATGGACACCCCACGACCGTAACCCATACCATCCATCCGAACCTGATCGTATAAAAAGGTGAGGAGTATTTTTCAACAGCTATAGAAAAATCAAAAAAAAGGAGATAGAAGCGAAAGCAACGCTGGATGAAGATGTAGATGAAGAAGGGATGTTTGATGATTATGCTATGTAGGCTAGTTCGTCATTGTCTAATCGTTCAATATAGTCCTTTTCCATCAGCGCCTCGATGTTTTTCTTGATATCAGGCACTTTGGGCGGAAAACGGGCTTTGACTTGTTGGATGACTTCTTGTACAAGTTGGACGTGTTTCATGGTCTTGCGCGATTTCATGATGCGCACGATGGCGGACTGAAAATGTTAGTTTAGAACATAACGGGTTAGGTGGGTATGGATTACCTGAAGGAGAAGTTTTCGGTCCTCTTCAATCGTCTTGTGTGTGTCATCGGCTTCGTTCTTTTGCTCGGATTTGATCTGCAGGTTGAGGTTCACCTTGACCTTCTTGTGTTTGAAGTTGTGGTTTAGTGTGAATGACACGCCCGGGGCAGGTTTCGCGCCATCTGGACTGGCAAGCAGAACCTTTGCTTTCAGTAATAGACCCATGTTCGGCTCTAGAATCTCGGGTAATAATTTGGTCGCTTTTTGGATTTCGTCATATTCAAGAGAGTCGTGCTCGTTGTAGAGGAGTAGAATGCCCATTTGATAGGTCGACACCTGGAATGTATAGGGGACTTTGGTGTTCTTGATGTAATTAGCCTTCATTTCTCCCTTGCACAGTTGCCATAGCCATGTTAATTTACGTCCACTGTGCTTGTCAAAGTAGAAGTGCTGAAATCGCTCCGCAGTCTTGACGATTTCCGTTGGTGGTATGAATTCCGTCGACGGCGGGTTGAGAGGCCAGAAGCCCGTACCCAAGATTTGAAAGTGAGGGTCGACCATCTTTCGCCGATCTTCATCATCGAGAATCTTCTCTTGCCAATCACGGTAGCTGGCGTTGAGATCCTTGGAGATCTGAATATCCTGGAACATGCGTTGCAATTTGTTTGTATATTCGAAACCACAGGCTTCTTTCAATTTGCTAATCATGCTGGTCTCTGCATCATCAGAAACAGAGCTGACGTGAACAAGACGCTTGGCAAGCATTTTGGAGTAGAATTTTTGGAAAACATCTTTGTCTTCGATATATTTGAAAACCGTCATGATCTGTGTAAGCATCTCTTCCAGTTCCGACTCCTCCGTGGCCTTCGACCCCTTCTTGAGTAATGAGTCCGTATATCGTGCCAGCAATTCTGGAGATTTGGAGGAGCTGGTCTTGCAGATGGAGTTTCGATTGACAAATTCACGACAGGCATTGTCCAAGGAACGCACAAACTCGGATTCACCTGCAAATGCAGCATTGACCAACATTTGATATCTCGAGTGGACTTGCAGAAGAGCATCCACGTACAGTTTAGGCTCGAAATTATCACCATCTGCACCAACCTTGAGCACTGCGGCAAGACCTGCATCCCGCACATGTTTCTCAAATTTGGAGCGCAACGGGTCGAGGCCATCTTTGATACGTGATAGCAGTCGGTACATGCGAGCCAAATCCTCTTGTCGATCGTTATCAAGGAGGACTTGAAATTCATCACGCAAGAGGGGAGAGTGGGCAGTGACCAGCACATCCAAACATGTCTCTGTTAGGCGCTTTGTGATATCTGTATGTAGATAAAGTCCGACACGGGCCTTTTCTTCATCCAACCGAGACTCCGCCTTCTTCATGTATTCCACAACACTGTTCTCTGCCACGAACTGTCGAGACTCGTTTTCGTAGTAGACACGAGTAGCGTCGATAAAAGGTTTTTCAAAGAATTGTCGATAGACTTCTAGTGTCGATTTGGTGCTGTCGTTCTCGTCCAGACCCAGCGACACGAACGAATCTACAATGCTCTTAATTTGTGATTGCTCGATTGTGTCGCCGTTTCGCTGTTTCTCCACCAGGTTGAGAACCGCAGACATCACTTTCTCCTGCACATTTTTAAAGAAATCTTCTCGCCACTTCACGAGATGAAGTGTATAGACATCGTAGATATTCTTCTTTCCTTCGTCGATTTCTCGCCTGACCCAGTGACGATTTAGGTAGCGGAAAAGATGGTTGATATATTTGGCGGCGGTGGTGTATCGATCCCATTCCCGGATATAAAATCCTAGCAAGGCTTCTTCGGTATGGGTCTCAGAAGCTTCAAACACGTGGTGCAGGTGTTTAGACAAATATTGCCCCAGCAGGTTGTAGAGCTCTTCGCCGAGAAGGTGTGCTAAAATAGATAGTATTAGCTTGCAGTGGAAGGAGAGTATGGGTGCGCGAAACGAACCTCCTCTGTGAGCCTGAAGACCGCCGGAATGCCCAGCTGCCTTTTGTGATGTGCAGAAATCGTGAACGGCGCTAGAACAGGTTAGCTTATTCGACGGCTCTGTATTCGCTGGGAACTCACGTGTAAAGCGCCATATACTAGTAGACAAGATCAGCTATAAATCCTGCTTGTATCTCTATTTGGAGGTTACTCACTGTTTTCATATCAACTCCTTCCTCCAACTTAAGCATCACACCGTTGATGCCCTGCTCCAAAAACGACCATCTGCAAAACTATAGTCAGTCGTGATTCCGGGCCACCCAGGTTCCTTGTATGAAACTCACGTATCCTGGATGTCATCTTTTTGAGGAGGCATCGTTGGAGGCATGGTTGCCCTGGTTTTTCGAATTCGACGCGAGCGGCGGAGGGGAACGGCAGGAGCTGCTGGGCCTGGGGCAGTTAGATTCATGGTGGTTATTAAGAATGAGTAATCTCAGCGGGAGGTTCAGTATATGAAGAAAAAGAAAGAACAATGAAACCAGAGGCAACAGCAAAGATTTGAAGACGATACTGATAAGCCCACACAACGATCTCGAGACAAAAAAGTAAAAGAACAAAGTAACAGAGGAGAGGTTGTCTTCTGGGTAGTGCCGTAAGCTACCTGGAAGCGCAAACTTTGTCGTTGTCATCCGAACGTTTAGGCGGTGGGTTGGTGGGCAAGTAACCATGGAGAGAGCACAGCTGACGCCATGTTTCGACCATACATTTTGGGGAAAGGGAAATAAATACTGGTAGGATCCGGTAGAGCCGTAGATATAAAAAGCAGTCAAAAGAACAGGGCGATGTTGTGTCGAATAGGACTTACCGTACAATCAAATCAACGCAGCTGTAGCAAAACAGTGGTTCAGAGGATTGAGCAGTTGACACGGCGCACAAAGAGCAGCGCCAAGGGACACAGTCTATGGAAGGAGGAGGGTCAGGAGATGCCGCAGAACAAAAGCGCAGGAACAGGACAAGCGCAGTATTGAGGAGATGAGGCGAGGCAAGATGAGATGTCGACAAGTAATAATGCTGGTAAGTGAGGGAGATGATAGACGCGGGCGGCGGATGGTGTCAGCCTGGGCGCTGGCCAGCTGAGCGGCACTGCACAGCGCTGATTGGAGCATGTTGTGTAAAGTGGGGCGGTCGCGGCGATCCTGCTTGAGACTAAGCTATGTTCATCTCGAATGCGTTTTGATATTATTATTTGCTTGCTTGTATTCGATGTTTATATGTATCCTGGTATTGGCTTCTTCCATTCTACTCTAAGAGCTCGAGTCCAGGCAGACTTAGCATCCAGCTAGGACGATGAGCTCAGTTACCTGGACGAGGAGATAGTATGTGTTGACAAAGACGCTGCTGACTATAGTTGGTTACATGACTGTATGATCGCACGCGAATAGCAGACCTATGCCTCGGGGTAACCCGATCAACATGCAAGAACAAGCCACACAACCGAGTAGGACGTGCGATCTGTCTATATTCAAGTTCGAGATGTCACATGACGTCATCATGTCACTAGCATAGAACCGAAGATGTCAGTCTCTGAGCCGCCACCAGAAGCAACCGTGTTTCTCAGGATTGCTGCGGAATGGTTTGAGGACCACGTTCTTCTCAGCTCGGGCGAGGATATGCGCAGATGTCTTTCCAACCTCCATCCACCATCGATGTCTCCCGACACCATATCCCTGCATGGGGACGAATCCCCAATACCTCGATCCAGAACAAACCTCTGTTGATCTACCATTCCGCCTTCAAAGCCTCCGCGCCCCAGCTCTCAGCGCACTTGAAAGAAGTTGCTGTCGTTGTTCCGCAGTGGCGCTATACCATGTACCGCCAAAGCCACTTTCATTCGACAAGCCACGAAGTCTTGGGTGTTGTGTCTGGACGCGCGCGTCTATGTTTTGGGGGTGAAGAAAATCCTGGTCGCGCTGAACCAGTCGTGGAAGAGGGAGATCTGATAGTTGTCCCTGCTGGGGTGGCCCATCATTTGTTAGAAGACTTGGATGGTAATTTTGCGATGCTAGGTTCCTATCCAACTGGGAAGAACTGGGATATGTGCTATGGAGTCGAGACAGAGGACGAAGACGATATCAAGGAAAACATCCTACAGCAGTCGTGGTTTGACCAGGACCCGCTATATGGTAAGGATGGTCCTGCTATTCACGTGTAGACAACCTATATCTAAAACATCTTGCGTTGAACGGGTTGCACATTATTAGTAAAAAGTTTGAGCCAGTCATAGGTGAACACCAAAGGGTCAAAATCAATAAAGAAGAGAGATTCATAACCACTGTTGCGAAGTATTCCTAGCAATTACTAATGCGTATATTTCTTTGCATCCATACGCCGCCTGAATAGTATGATAAACTTGAAATAAGACTTCGAAGTATCACTTGGTGACCCTCTCGACCAGCCTGAACACACTTATACAGAATGTGAGCAGCCAGGCGATCAGGGCAACAAGCAGAACAGATGCTAGTGCAGTTTGTCGCTGACATATGGCACTGTTCCTCTCGTCGAGTTCATTGTTAATGACCGCGTCGGTACACGGTCCCCGCAAATCGCCCAGTTCCGCGAAAGCAAGGCTGAGATTAGCCGAGTCAAACACAATGAAAAAGATATCCAGCAATATAAGCCTCATTTTAGCCTTTGGAGATCGGAGACCAAGAGGCTTGCCGGTATATTCGTCGTACGTAATGTACACCAGGTACACGAGCGCCACTGCATCAACCACAATAGCCATAACTGCCGACGGGCCTTGAACCTGGCGGTCCCGATGTCCCATATGATTTATAGAGCCACCCAGTGCCAAAGCGCACAGGGAAAAGATCCATACCGTCGCCCGCAATATCAGCGGTACTATAGGACTCTGTAATAGATTCATCTGAAATCGTTTGACACAGCTTCGTTTTCGCGCTTTCCATGATGCCCGGCCAAGCTCCGCGTCAGAGCCATTGCTGCTTACTCCCCAAGGCTGCGAATAGTCACCTAGGTTAGTATTCAGCCATTCGAAGGATACCCGTTTCTCTTCCGCGCCTGAATCCGCGTGCGGGTATGCGACGGAGCGAGCGAAGCGGGTCCATCGAGACTCTCGGAGCCCTGTCTTAGGGTCCGGATGGCCTATATCATATCCTTTCCCGTCTCTGTTGGGCTTGGACTTGTCGTAGGGGGAGTGGTTGTGCTGTGCGACAATAGCATCGTCGATCTCGGTGGGTAGCAGACTGGTAGTGGGGTCGTGCTCGTCGTCGTCAGGAACATCGAATGACCTGACCCATCCTAATATCAAAAGTTAGATGTATATTCAAGGTTCGATTCAGCGCTGATGGGTCACACCTGGTAAGGTTCGCGCAGGCCGAAACAACCAGTGCTGTGCAGGTGACCCCGTCAAAGCCGAGGGTTGAGCAGACTGTGCCAGACTGACGGTTGAAGCGATTGTCGCACTACACGGTCGGCCTGCCTTGCGAGCATCTGGATCGAGAAAAGGGCCGGAAGAAGTGTTGAGCGTTGTTGGTGAAGCTAGACTGCTGGACTCCCGCGCATCGTGAGCCATTGCATAGGACAAATCGCATGACACGCGGGCTTTGCGGTGGAAATGGGAACTGAGGTAGCAGATGATACTGAAACCACGCCTAGACCACGGCTAAAGAGTGTGGGATGGAGAGATGACGAGAATAGAATTAATGGTGGGCAGGAAGAAGTGTAACCGGCAGAGTCGGCATAACCGCGGACGGTAGGTACCTGGCGGGAGCCTTATTACCAGCAGCCATCGTCCTTGTATTTATCTGCAGCCTGGCCGCAAACTCTGTCCTATGTTTTTTTTTTTTTTTTGGTTTTTTTTGCACACACAAATTGCACATGTGAATTAAGCACCAAGGTATGAATACAAAACATTAGCTTATTCAAGGAGAAAAGGTCGCGCAACCAAGTCAAGACGCACGATCGGCTTTGGCCTCGTCTGTGGAGCGTAATTTACGTGTTTCTGATTGGAAAACCGATACGGCCTTGGCCAGTGGAATGACGTCTCCGACACATGTGCAGTTATCTTCTTCTCCGCAACCCGGCCAGCCAGCCGTCTTACTACACCAACGCTGCCACTGCTCATATGCACCTCCTAAAAGCATGAGACCTATACCGGTGTCTTCCATTTGCCTGCGATAGGGGCTTCCTCACCCATCGACCCGCCAATCCCTTAGTTCCGCCACTGCCATGCGTCTCTTCCTCATCCCCATCTCGACGAGACGGGCCTTTGTATACTGCCAGTCACCACAATTTAGAACAATCGGGGTCATCGATCGAATTACGGATAAGGCTGCTGCAACATGGGCGAAGTGGGAGCGTGCAGAGAAAGGCTGGAAGAAGCAGCTCGTGACATATGGCCATGTCATTCTACAGAGAATTCCATATGAGGAATGGGGCTTGAAGAGCATTCCTCCGTTGAACACACGGCAGTTGATCGAGGAGTCTAAAAGGGATCACCCCATTGACGTTATGTTCCCTGGAAATGCAATTAAAAAGGACCAGGTTCTAAGCGTTTTGAGAACGCTAGGTACCGAACGCCAGGAATTAGATCGGAGGAAGATGTGGTGGTGTTTCGGGATTGCCCCTTTAACTGCTCCAATAGCGCTTATTCCAGTGTATGACTCAAATACTCGTCAAAGTAGAAGCTCCGCTGATATGGTGTTTTGTTTAGAGTACCTAATATCCCTTTCTTTTACCTTGTTTACCGGGGTTGGTCGCATTGGCGAGGTAAGCTCGACTGCCTAGAATACGTTCACTACAATGTCCACTAACCAAGTCCCAGCTTTGAATGGCTCTAGACACCTTGTGTATCTACTCGATCATGATATGGCCAAGCCCCATGCATTCACCCGGCTTGAGAAATTCTACTCCACTCGTTTACTGCGTGGCGAAGCGCAAGGTAAGATCGCGTTGAAACCCGGATCAATGCCAGAAGAACCCGATGGTAGAGAACGTTTGCTTCTAGAGAAAGAAGACGGTAGAGAGCTGGGTGAGATTCTTGAGGCACCGGGTATCGCTATCGAAGTTGAGCGCGCTGTCCTACAAATCAGAAAGAAATTGGAAGCCGAACAGCAACCCAAGAAGCAAGCCAGGTCTGAGAACGATGAGAAGAAAAACTTTTAGACTCTCACGTTGATTGGGTTGGAGGATGTAAGATATGGCACAGCCAGTGCCGACAATAACCGCTCCGCTTCGAACTAGGCAGAGGATGTGATTCACGCATACCTTGTTTGATTTTGCATGCTCTCGGGGTAGTGAATTATAGATCAACCGGCGTACTGATAGATTTTGTTGAGATAACGTTTGAAAGCGGGATTTGGTGTATGTACAATAGCGATGAAATGCCAAAACGCTTGAACATTGAATGTTCCGAGTCAATCGTTCTGATCGCTCTTTGGTATTATTTAGTTGACCTGGATATATGACTCATAAAATCAACACCATGGCAAAGACTGGAATACGAAGTCTTGGCACTATGCATTTTCATATATAGCTCTCATGTAACGCCCACGAATAGTTTTCATTTTTAGACTTATTTACAATCACATTTCTTGGTACATTTATAAGACAGAAAAATAGCAGTCAAAATGTCACAGCCAAAGACAATTCAGTCCAGCCTCCCAGGCGATCCAAATGTCAGCTATATTGATACAGTACATGCATACGATCAATGGGCTAATGCAAGTTTAAGACCTATTCAACCCCTCTCCCACATACTATCTAATTGTGGCTTACTGTGTAAACAGGTTTACGATGGCGATGGCAATTTTCTTCAAGCCCTCGACACAATTGAAATGCGGTCGTTGCTGGCCATGTTTCTGGCTCATGTGAAAATGTATCTACAATCAGAGGTATTAGAAAATGTCAAGCTAGTCGACATGGGCTGCGGCACGGGCAGAAACACTTTGCAACTTATATCGACCATCGCGAGCTCAGGGGCCGACAGCGTTTTCCGAAATACGCTGATCGTGGGTTTAGACGCTTCAAATGGCATGCTAGATGTCGCGCGCAAGGCGATACAGAAAACACAACCAAGCACTCGCAGAACTACAGAAGCTGCTGCTAATACACCAACCGTGACGCTCGCACAGTTTGATCTACTCACGCAATCGCCCACGGAAACTTTGGACCGGGCGCGTAATGCGGACGGTATAATATCCACGCTTGTTCTCGAACATATCCCGCTAGATGTCTATTTCGCCAGTGCCGCCTTGCTCCTTCGATCGGGTGCATATCTGCTCGTGACGAATATGCACGCTGATATGGGAAGGATTAGTCAAGCGGGTTTTATTGACCCGGAAACGGGGAAGAAGGTCCGCCCAACACGCAGCTATGCGCATGAAATAACTGATGTGGTAGCGGAGGCGACGAGAGCTGGGTTTGAGATTGTACCGTTGCAGGCTGCGCCGGGAAGGACGATTGATGGTGTGATTGAGCGGACGGTGACGGAAGATTTGGTTGGGAGTCTTGGAGAAAGGTCAGCTAAGTATGTTGGTGTTACCGTTTGGTTTGGCGTTTGTTTTAGGAAGAAATGAAGAGTGAATATGCATCGATTGAAGTGTTGTGCTCTGAGAAGAGACGGGACTTGATTGGCCCATATTTTACAGATATCATACATGTCTATAGTGAAACAAAAAAAAGTTAAAGTAGCACCGTTTCAACGATCCTCTAAAAGTACTTTTCAAATAGTCTTTGTTGATGTTGCACAAGATTTTCGTGTTTCGATAGCAGTCTCGCAAGCCCGTTATATTTCCATTTCATAGAGCCATCGAGTAGGAGATGAGTGTACGCAAAAACACTGGCGTCGAATAATCCAGGGCGGTCTCGGTCGAAGAAGAATTCTGCTGTGCCTAGGAGTGTCGAAAGGGCTTGGAAAGCATCGTCTGCATCAGCCTCGAGATCATTGACATTGATAAAGTTGGAATGCTTGAGCAGTTCATCCCGAGCGGCCTGTTGCAGCTGCACGGCAAGTGTCGCCTGCACTATGGCATTAGATGTTGAGGGATCGATGTATCGTTTCCGCGCCACTTTATCGAAATTCAACTCATTCAGATAAAATTGATATAACTGTTCTCCCCATTAGTGGCCAGTCCCGCAGTTACCTCGGTTATGCAAATCACTTACCCATGCGGTGCGTATCCGCTGATCTAATAACGACATATATACGTCAAACCGCACGTTCAGTTGCTGTTCTTCTTCACAATGGACCTCCTCAATAGCCCATTTTTGTAGTTTATTCGAAGGAATTGGGTCTAAGCTGTCGGCTGGTAGTGCGGGATAGAGAAACGGGAGGGCGCCGGTCGGAGATGCATGGTTATTTGAGGGGACAAGATCAAAGTCGATGCCAACAAATTTCAAATAAGACTGGATTATTGATCAGCATTGTCTATCCACCACGCTTTGTTTCCTAGCTCCATACCTGCCACTTTAAGCATTGCGGGTTAAAGGACGGCGCCCCTTTCCTGGCGTCGTCAGGATCAATGAAGACAAAGAGTCTATTTCTGATGGACTGGCCAGTGTGGCCTTTGGGAGCCTCATCCGCGTTATATGTGACAAGGGGGAAACGATCGAAAATCTGTTTTATCGGAGTTGGGACGCTGAAAAGTGTTCGTTTGGGAAGCTGGGTTGGAGGAGAGGATGGCGGGCGACTTTCGGGTTGAGGCTCATTTTCGGCCGGCGCAGGACCGTCTGCGCCGTTTTTAGACGGCATAGGCAATGGAGCCTGCTCCTCGGTATCGGTTGCCAAGAGAAGTATAATGCGGCTTTATCAGGAACTACCTGCTGTCCCTCGAGAAGCTTGACGGGCAACAATTATTCAATTGTTCAATTGTTTGGAGAGCGGCATTATTTTCGGAGTCGCCAGCCCTCACCGCCTGCGAGCATCACCCAATAGGGAGTTAGCCAGTAATAGAGCTCCCATTGGACACTACGCCTCACAAGCCTGATTTGGGTTTATGGCCCGACAGCCTCAGGCATCAGGGGCTATATGCTTGGGAGTATGGCTCGTGTCCATGGTCGAATAATATTGAAGCATAAAGAGCTAGACGAAGCTAGCTAGTTAAAATTAGTGTGAAGAATGGATGCAAGTGGGATAAACAGTCGCCTAAAGTATTTTAATGCTATCCTTTATAGTTTCAAGAACTATTCAAGAAGCTTTTGACTCTCGTAGAGTGGGTGTGTCGTTATACTAGTAGCATTGAATGCATAACCTTGTAATTCAATCTCCACATGTGCGAGATCCAAACAAAATAAGTTTGGCAATGTACTACAAATCCTCACCATAGCAAGCCCCAATTAGGTACTTCGGAAACGTAAAGGTAGACAAGTCCAGAGACATCTTGCTGCAAAAGCCGCTTGAGGTACGTAGCTACTGCTATTGGAGTCTCACAAACTGTCAATATCTTGTTGAGGACATATGAGAAATTCTACTACTGTAGATGTGCCTTCCTGGCTTCTCTCGTTTGTCGAAACTCTACGGTCGTTTACATCGTCGCCGTTTTAGACTGTTCCTGAATAATCCCTTTTCAGACATTAGCTTAGAGATTGGAAGACCGCGTATAATAAATATCAAAAACAATTTGTTGGTATTCGTGCCAAAATTCAAGGTAGATTGCTGTTTGGCGTCATACTTGGTTATCGATTTTGAATATCGACTCTTAAATATATCAACGCTCGGCGAGGCGATGCAGGATGGATGGATGTGACTGCCGAGTCCGAGCTATGCCCGATCCAGGCCGACTTGCCGACCTTATTGTCTAATGTTCAGCGTGACTGAGTAATCAGCCCTTCCACTGTTCTCCAAACCCCACCAACACTCCAGGGTAATCCTTCTGTGCTGTTGATTTCGATATTTGGCCCCTGGATTCTACTTCTGCCTGCTGTTTTGGTTTTCATTTTCATCGCAACGGACTCTTTATTCAACCCGACTCCTCTCGGAATCTTCGGTAGCGCTTGGGAATTGCCGTTCTTGTCGCATTGTGTGTCCAGCATTGCATGTCGAGCTTTTCATGAATTTCAACAAAAGGTTTATCTTATGAAGACCAACCAATCCCATTGCTACCGGGTTTCCTTCAAATTTGCATCGTCAACTCGTTAATATGCCTCTGGACGAAGAAGGAGCGAAGTGGTCATGGTGAGTTTCCTTGCCATGCAAGTCATATGTTACATCGGTAGTGATAGGGGTTGATTCCATAAGCGAACCATGCATTCGCGGACATCGCTCGTCCAAATGTCAGCATTTCGACCGTCTTATGATGAAGGTCCCTAAAGCAGGTCGTCCCCTAGCAAAATGCCCGCATCCGAAAGGCTCATGCAGTTGTCAGCGGGTGTATGCAGTCATGGTGCGGATACCTAAAGGTTTGTACGATCGGAGATGCAAATATACCATAGTTGTATGCTGACGAACTCTCAAGGATCGACTTGCCTGTGCAGACCTTTGTATGAAGTTCCCGCCAGCTCAGCACAGGCACAATCGACTCCCGGGACACCGTCAGTTACATCGACTGCTTCTACTCCAGGAAGGGTCCAGAAGCAATCGCGGCGACAAAGCAGCATACACACTGTTCCGAATAATATTGTGAAGGCATTGAATAATGAATGGCAGCAACCTGGAAATGGTATATTCGCAACACAAACGACGATTGAACCCAAGTATTCAACTAATACGAGCTCCCTATCGAGTATTAATGTTGGCACTCCCGAAAAGCCCTTGACGCCGGAGCTGAAATCCGAGGATGAGATCAACGCACCTATACTTGCGAATAAAGATGGTGGATGCTGCTCGGGAGAATCAGCACCTGTTGCTGCAGCACCTCCGCCACGTTCCTGTTGCGCGGGGCCATCTAGTACGGAAAACGAACGAGACTTGACCGATAAACCAAAAAATTCGGGTTACATGTCGTCATGGGAGCCATCGCCTCATATGGGGCAGCTGTTGTGGAATAGCTCATTTCAAAATGACCATTACCCCGCCCAGAGCACAAATTATCCGGCAGTCAATCACCCGTCTCCATTCTATGTCAACCAGTTACATCTGGAATCTCCCCTCATATCTCAATCGCACTACCTACCTAACGGAGCTTCCAATAACCCTCTTCTATTCAACTCCGCGAGGAATCCTCCAGATATGCATTCTACCTTCGCTGGAGAAAACAGTCATGCTTGTTCTTGTGGTGAAAACTGTCAATGCCTGGGATGCGCTAGCCACCCATTCAACGAAACGACCAGACAGCATGTACAAAAGATGGGCTATATGATGAGTATCGGCGAAGATGACGAGAGACTGGATAAAGCGACACCATTCAAGGGGCAAGATAGCCCATCATTACGTACCCCTAAGATGTCACCCAATGATGTGCAAAGACCACAGGCGGTCCCGACATTTACCGACAATGCTGTGCTACCATCAAGTTTCGAGCATACCCTGTCTTCTACCGACCCTTTTGGGACAGATGGATATATGCAACCGTCAGAGTATTACACAATCGAGTATCCGGTGGGGCTGAGCCTTTGCTCGAATGTATCAGGTAATTGCCAGTGCGGAAACGACTGCAGCTGTGTAGGATGCCTGACACATAGTGGCCACAACGGAGTGGCTTTAGAGACTCCCGCAAATGAAAGCAGACAAATAGCCCCGGAGATGGTACCTCAACAATCGAGTGGATATATAAACTATGCGCCAGAGCCTCGCGCCCTCGATCAATACTCACCCTCCGCCCTCAGCCCGCCGTTGGTTGAAACACCACTTGTATAAATTTTCAAAACGTGGAAACATCAAGTGTATGATTTGATGAACAGAGATACCCCTAAATACGCCTTCATACAATTGATTTATGATCTCCTCTAAATAACGATGCACTGCAGTTTGCAGTCAAGGGCTCGAACAAGCTATCGGCTACGGCTATGTTAGGCATCGTTAGTATCTAGACGAATATAGCAGAATTAAATGCATGTATTGATGAACAAAAGAAACAAGCTGGTTTCATAATGAGTAACGGGTAGTAAAATATGAGATCTAGATCCAAAGAAGTGCTATCCCTGTTTGTCTTCACCTGGTTCATGTCTCCTGTACAGATATTGTACATGCAAGGGAAACGTCTATCGATTGGCAACATTAAAATAAACCCCTCCATCCTCTAGCATAGATCCGTCCTAATTTATCAGGCGCGTAGAAGGGTTAATACCGAATAATTCAAAGAAGCATCAACGGCGTCTTTCACGACCTAGACTGGCGCAGGGCATCCGTGACTGGACTATCACCTCGTCGGAAAGCGTCTATTTCCAAGAATTCAATTAGCATATTCTCTAACATCATGCCACTGCCAGTCCCGATTTTTCGTCCGTAGGTTACATATATATGGTATGGATCACGTACAGTCGGCTTCCTCATATGCGCGACCAGCACCAAAACCGAGGCCAACCCAGGCAGGCCAAGCTCTGCGCTTGAATAGTAGAACCGAAAGAACAACACCAAATCCGAGGCCAACTGAAGAGCGAACGATTAAGGAGGAGACGGCATGATCCCACTAGCATACAAAAGCATTCCATTAGCCGTCGCCATTGCGCACATAGAAGTTCCAATTGGAAAGGCAAGTTAATCGCTGTCAGCGGAATCAAAGCTCAGCTTACCTTCTCGTTGAGGAGAGCTTCGCTGACGGGCTTGTTGGAGCGCGCAACGGGCTTCGACTCGGTGGATTCGGCCATTGTGGGGGTAACTGCGATGCGAAATACGGAATGAGTATATATCGGAAACCTAGAAAGCGAGTAAACCAGCTCACCTGCACTCTTTGGGTGATTACTCGAAAGGCGAATTGTTCAGCAGGCGAAATGGCGAACGTCCAGTACAATTTGAGGATGTAGGTCAACATCCGCCTTCCTTCCGCCGGTCGGAAAAACTAGGCTCGGATCAGTCGCTCCTGCCTGAGGATGCCTGAGGATCCCGCTGTGCCGTTATTGGCCTGATAGTGCGGAGCTTGTGATAAAGCGTTTTTTTTATCTATCAAAAATGAAAAACAATACCTGAGCTTGCAACTGCGATTTCTCGACGACCTCGACGCGACAAGAGCTTTGGTGGCCATGGCGCCCATCAAGGACGTGAGTTTTGTTTATTCTACACCCAATTACCCCGTATATAATGCACAACAAGAATCTAAGGCTAAACCCATACCTTGAACGCAGGCCGTTGGATCGTCGCAAGAAGCTCTTTTGAGTCTGGAGAAGAGCACTGCGAACAGTGACACGCAACTGAACAATGCGGCGCGGATTATCAAACTGGATTTGTTATCGTCGACAGACTTAGCTCACACGAAACCTGATCTGAACACCAAGCCCGCTCCTAAGGAAGAATGGGTCCTGCGGTGGCTACTCAAGCGATTCAAGAGCAAACCATACCGGCTACAACCCCTCTCTTACGTGCTCTTGCAGAAACTTATCCAAAGGATTCCACCGAAAGCAATTGCTGTAATATTTACAGACTACAAATTCTCGCAGTTGGTCAAGGATATCGTTGAAGATTTGGAGAACGCTGTTTTCGCGTCACTTCGAGACGATACCGTCAAAGTGCCCGTGCCCTCGGGCTCGGAGACCAGTACTACACTCAACCAATCGCCTATTCGATCCAAGAAGCGAAAAAGAGGCGAGAATACGGCAAATCGGGATGAGGATATATTGGGGTTTCAGCAACCCAGAGCCGCAGTTGACGCCTACGTCAATTTCTTGGATTTCCTCTTCGTCCTTACGACATTGGTGAACAGTCATGAAAATAGCGGTAGTGTATCGCAAATACACCTTCGGCAAGCGTTACGGACGGAATCTGCCTTTGTCGCCCCGATCCTGGGAAAACTGTTCAGAGCCTCTGCTTATCTGGTAGCGGAATTTGCCAAAGAGAAGCGTAGCTCGGAGTTACAGCGTTTGATAAAAGCAAGCACAGCTGTTTTTATTCTTTGGGAGTTAAGCAGAAGTAATGTTGATGGTACTGGGAAAAATAATGTTAATGTAAGTCGACCACCGAAGGGTAGTGGTGAGACTACTAATTATCGTCACAGGTTGCTTTCTCAGACCACTGCTTTGTTGAGTCTATGCGGCTTTATCTCCTCGTCCTCTCCATTGGAGGCGTGCCCGATGGTGCAGATTTCATAGTTCATTCTATCGAAAAGTTAATTGCCCTTCATGTCGTTCTTCCAGCACGAAATGCCTTTATGGATGCAGGGGGTTTAGGGATTGATTATTCAAAAGACGATGATCCTGATTGGAGTGCTGTACAGCCAGTTACAGCCACTTTCAGACCACTTCTGGCAGTCAAGTCAAGTGAAAATGTCGATTGCAGTGGAATTGAGACTCCACCGTCCAGCAAAGCTGTCTGTATCTTTGCCCCAACTTGGAAACCAGCCGAACTCGTCCCAACGTTTTATAATATTATTGCTCGATCTGTGCCAAGGGATTCGTTTCGTCGTCAGGCAAACGAAGCTTCGTGGCTTGAAACTGCGTTTGTGGCACTTGCAGAATTGGCTTATTCAATGACTAAGGACAAAAATGGCAACATATCTGGATTTATCCCTCAGTTGGAGCAACTGTTCATCGTTGTCCGTGCATGTAACATAAAACTCTCTCTACACACCTTTCTTACGCATGCTGCATATACAGGTCTTCTTAAGGGAAAGGACAGACCGCAAGAAGTGCACTGGGGACTGACAGCGCTACTCATCGAACTTGGAGTCGATATTTTTCTACCAAATTCTGGATTCAAAGACTCGAAGCGTCTGTTAGATGCCCTTTGCCAAACACTATATCATATCCGCAATGATCAGGTCAGTCGGCAAATATTCCAAACAGTCAAAGCGAATGTGGTTATCCCCCTTCTGCGGGCATTCGCTGGCGCGAGAGACCTTCCTTCTTTTATTACATTATGGCGTGAACAGTTACGCGACATAGAAATTGCACGAGGAGCAGGAGATTCCAAGGACACATACTCTGTTTGGGAAGATGACGATTTGGGCATAGCATTCCGAGAAGTGATGAAGATATCTTTGAGTGAAGCACAATTTAGATCACAGCTCCAAAGCGCTATGGCAGAAGTCACATCAACTACAGGGGCTATATCAAACTCGCCAGAGTTGTATGCTTCCGTTGTCCTACTGGAGATCAGCTCAAATGTGTGGGGTCAGCATGGCGTCCCAGGTTTAGAAACTGAGTCGGTGACCGGTCTGGCCAAGGCAATTAACAAATCACTTCTGCTTCGTGACAATGTGCACTGGAAATGGCGACTATGGAGGCTGGCAAAGAACCTGCTTCCGACTAGTCTGAAGAACCCTCTTAATGGTCCAAATGATCTAGCTCAGAGTCTCGAGAAGAGGGCGTTGAGAGTAATGCAAAGCGCCTATGAACAGCAGAATCCTGTTGATCTACGAGAATGCTTTGAAGCTTGTCGATTCTTACTTCAAATAACACGAGATTTGCAGCACATCTCTCCAAATGAGGAAACGGTACCGCAATCTCTACTTGATAATGTCACAGGGCTATTCAAAACCCTCATTGCGTCTGAAAAAAAGGGGTTGCTTAGCTGGAATGGTCGTATCGAGGATATAAGATCGCCATCCCAACTCGGGATCGCCTATGTCGTGTGTATTATGGAATTTCCCGGTATATGGCACCAGGTTCCTTCCAAGTCTGCGGAGAATTTTATTCATCATCTCCTGCTCTTGGCTGGGCGGACAAAACAACATGTCAAGAACTCGGAGAGTGCAACCTTTTATCAATTATGGGAAGTCATGGTTTCATACGAGTATCTCCTCGATATTCCAAAACTTTGCTCGAGTATTGTCCAAGTACTCTTCCGAGACCTCCAAACCAATTCAGCTCACCGAGCTTTGGTTCTCAGTTTCCTGCCTCGAATTCCGATTCGTTTACATGGAGTCGATGGCGCTAAAGAGGTCATGGCGTCTTTTTTAAATGAACACAAGCTTTCTCCCGAGTCAATCCCTGACGCGATATCATTGATGGCTAAATGGTGTTGGGAATCCGCTCAAATCGATCATACAGCCAGAGAGTGGATTGCGTCGAATCTGCCATTGCAATGTTCCACTAATGACATTTACACGCTGCGATCTTATCGGTCATTAGTTGAAACCGTTTTTGAGGGAGAACTCGAAGCATGCAAGTCGACTGAATTGCACAAATTTCTAAAACGGTACTATAAAATTGCATCCCACGGCGTATCTGATGCTGTCGAGATGGAGGCAGCCGATCAGAATCGCAACCTGTCCTTGAAACTGGTTCTCGTCGGCGTTTTGTTACGACTACTATCGGTACATTGTGACGAGTTGAACGACCCTAAGCTGTTGAAAGACATTACTCGACAGAGACGAAAAATGTTTCAGTCTATGTTGAATAGCCTTGACAGTTGCAAACAACTTTTGGATGAAGATGAATCAAATAACAAGGCTGCAATTGGGCTTGCCACGACACTATACGTTTTGGAAGAGTTCCAGGACCTGCTCCAACAGAAAGAGAAGGCTAGTCGGAAATTGACTGATATTTACAAGAATATTCCGAGGATTTCAGACAAATGGGGGCATTATTTACAGAAAATCATTCAGCAACAGCTATTGCGGGGTGTTCCGAATGAAGACAGACTTACTCTAGATGACCCGAACGTTACAGACGTTGTCAACCTGCGCCGACTATATGCGGAAGACCAACAGCGATACGTGCAAGTCACGACAGCCCAGCTGGAAGCTATGAACAACGAAGGACGCATTAAAACTATTCGCAAGCTAAGAAGTAATGGCTTTTATGGACCCATTGGGTCATGCCGGCTGATGGTTGCGGGTTTGGCCGTGTCTTGTCTAGATGACATTCCCGAGAAAGGCAGTGCCGAAGCGCGAGAGCTTTCTTTCCTCTGTACTGCTCTGACGGATACAATACAGGATAGCCAGGCCATTGAGCAGTTTTCTCTTGCTGCAGAATGTCTCGATATTCTACTCCGACTGCACCCTCGAGGCGTCTCTCAGTACAATATCGATAAGTGCCTCTCGACAGTCTCCAAAACGATGTCCAAACTCTCTTCTCTGGATGTCAACGAAGTCTCTCCAGAATTTGCAAGCACCGTTTACACCCGTTTCTGCCGGCTCATGGGAACATTATTTGGTCTATATCGACAACAACTTGGTGGGAGATTCCATATTCTCACCCCTGCTTTGCAGGCCCTTCTCAAAGCGCTCTTCGCTCCTAGTCGGAAGCGAAAGCGCGATGCAGGATCATCGAGACTGTCGCCAATGCACCGTGCTCTAGGCATTCCCCATGCAGTAATGTTCTCTCGCCTCCTCTCCTCGCTCTGCGATCCTACCGTGTCAGCAGTTTCTCGTCCAACTCGTGGTGGAGCTAGCCGTGACGGGCTGATCGACCAGACAAAGACAGCCAAGCTTAAAGCCGGACAGCATCTCCGTATCATTATCGAGAGTTATGCGCAGCATATGCTAGACTCCCCCATCAGCGCGGAAATGAAGGCGGCCCTGCTCCCTGGGCTGTACGCGGTGCTAGATGCGATGCCGACGGATACCAAGCGCGCCCTGAACGCGAGCATGGACGTGTCCTCGCGGGCGATATTCAAGACTCTTCATGATGACTACATCTCGTTCGGCAAGTGGAATAATAAGGGGTGATCTGTCATCTATGCCTGTGTATAGTAGAATAGTATTACCTTGCCAATACAAAAATATATGCAACATAAAACCACACAGCATCATGCCGCTATGCTTACTATCAATGATAGCTCAGAGATCGCATATTTACCCATACTTCAAATATTTCTAAGTCCGAAGCTGACTATGGATGTTTAGTGAATGGTTACATGTGTGATATACATAAAAAAGAAAATTCGTGTTCCTGAATTGGCAACACTGGCAATTGATTTTTCACCAATACTGGGGAGCCTAGTGGATTTTCTTTTTTTAGAAAGTAGCATGTCCTGGTTTATCTAGGGTCCTTCGGGTCATGAGCTCGACGAGCTTCCAATGCCCTAACATGCTGTGATTGAATTAGAATTTGCAAGTTTTGTCTTTGTAAGGACAGGATCACTAGCAGAACATATGTATCTATCTCAATTCCAATAGTGCCTCCTTTCATCTATTTTAAGTGCAGGGCCTGATCGCACAGCCACCTAATAGCAGCTTTAGTGTTTTAGAGGCTTTACAACGTCGATAATAATCGCCTGTTCGATTTTCTCTGTCAAACACTGCAGCATAAACCACTTACATAGGGGCTTAAAAGCGCGAAGTCCGCGGCTAGCTTCCCCAGTGTTGGTAGGAATGATAAGTTACACTTGCTCGAAATTGACAAAGGGAAGTAAAGCGTCGTGTAGGAAGATTAGTTGGTTCTGCTATTTATTGTATGGCTACATCTGCAAATTGTCCCCACACAAAGTTATGGAGCAGTGACTCTGCTGCTAACATCCAGATATCCGTCACAGCAACTCCGCAGCGTGGCGGTTATAATACGGCCAACTAGCTTCTTATATGCCCAGTAGATCATTGTCTCGCCAATGGGCACCACCTGTGCCGCCATCTTGTGTCAAGACAGGTCTGTTATGACCAGCAACAAGGGCATGTTCAACTACAGTGTGCCAATTGACAGCTACTCTAGCACGTCCTCGACGAGGATCGCCAAAACACGGGCGCATCTAGAAGATCAAGCCAGAGGCGCGCGATGACCACATTGATCAGGGGTGCCAGCACTTTTACGATTTGCCGTGGTGTACACGCTGGGGGCCAGGCTCCATGTTTTCTTTTCGCTACTGGGGTTGTCACCATGCGATTTCTTCTGCTTCTGCTTCCTGGGACCAGGCATGTCTGGCGATGGACGAGCGATTTCAGTCTAATCGAACAACAGCGCCGTAATGTTAGTGGCGGTATGGAAAAATACCGCCTAAATTGTAATGAAACTAATGTGATTTGAGAATAAGTGATATGGGCTAACAAAACCCCGCTAGGTTACCAGACAGCAATCTTTGTGCGAGGATTGGCTGCATTCCCCTGCTTGTGTGTTGTCCCGGTGGCACCCGGATGGATGTAGCATCAATGAATATTGGGGCCTCTCAAAACTCATGAGGCTGAAGTGGGTATCGGGATATCTGACTTGGCCGTCAAAGAAGCATATCAATGTTGCATACCTAACTCCTCCCAATTCATTGGTCATACAATCCAGGAGAAATTGTGATTCTGTTAGTTGATATTCAGATAATCAATGTGGAGTATCATTCAATGTTCCTACATTCCTCTCATCGTTATATATTCAAGATATATTTCTCTTTTAGCCTATTTACGAGATAGGCCAGTAATAACGGAGCATGATTGTTTTTGGAAACAGGCTATCAACTATCTTACTAATTGCTATCGGCGGAAAGAAGAAATTGGATATCCGTAAAAAAAAGTAAAACAAGCAGTGCTAGATCAGCTCGGAGGTCATCTGGAGTTCTCAGTCGATTTCGAACAATTATCCCAAAGATCATATCAATTTAAAAGAAGTCATCGGTTGTATCTGCACTGTCATCAAGGTAATCATCATCATCGTCATAATTGTTCTCATCCTGAATGGGAACAGTGTTAGAGGTGTCGCTGGTGTTGGTATTGCCAGTCGTTTGTCCAGCTCCTACTCGATCTTGTGCAATGCTGCTGGGGTCTCCTTGTGCCGGAGTCTGTATTCTCTGGCCAGAAGCCAGTGTTTGGTCTTGGGTTCCTTGACCGTCTACGCCGACTGCATAGGCTCCCGTTGCATTGTTCCCATAATCAGCCGACTGGGAAGAGGGCCACCCTGTTGTTGCCGAACCGGTCAATGTACCGTAGAACTGCTCCGCCTGAACCTGATAGCCCTGTAGAATTAAATTCTGTGGCTGGCTCCCCCCAGAAGTGTCATAATCAGACTGCCGCTGATCTTGCGACCCGAAAACCGTCGGAACTTGAGAACTATATCCAGAATTATCTGGATATTGGGTATAATTAGACGTCTGTTGCGCTGCTGGGGCCGTAGAGGTATAACCTGACTGCACTGGTGCGGCTACGATATTGTTGTCTGTATAGGTATCGGCTTGGGTTTGCGCAGAAGTGTTCTTGTCTCGCCGAACTAGGTCCTCAACTCCCTTCGTTAGCTGTTTGACGAATCCAACTTCGGTTTTCAATGCATTTGTATTGTCAGACTGCTCATTTCCCTGCGGATTGTCAGCCTGTGGGAACTTTAGCGCCTGCTTCATTTCATTGAACATCTTCAGAGGGCTCCCGAAGAGAGATCGTCTCTTTTTTTCCTTCTTTGAAGCTTCGGACGGTGACTGCGTGGTCAAGGTGGAGCCCACCGAGGCCGGAGGATGTATAGATCCTTCTTGGCTTCCTTGCTTCGCATACGTCTTTTCTGTTGTATTGTTGACCTTGTTCTCATGAGCTTTATGGTCGCCTTGAGTCTCCGCTTGGGGAGTGGATGACGCTGTCTGTGTTTGGGCCCTTACCTGCGCTTCTTCTACCTTTCGCTGAGGACTGACGATGGGTTTCTGTTCCGCTTTCTGTTGTTGAGACTGTAGAGTGGTGGCGGATGCCTGTGCTGTTACGATAGAAAGGCTGACTCCGTGTGAGTTAATGATCTGTGGCTGCTGCGGAGGAACTGATACGTTTACACCAGTTGGTTGAAGAGAAACAGGCTGCAAAGCCGAAATCGGTATCAACTGGCCGTTGTACATGAAAAATTGCGAAGGAGGCTGTCCGGTAACTGGAGCTTGCCCTGGAGCTGCCGGTATTGCGGTGTTGATAGGCTGCTGCAAAGGCTGCTGAAGTAGCACACCTGCTTGGGGGTTGCTATGCGGAGAGACTAGGTAATTATTGGGAATAGCTTGTTTAGGAGATGTCACGAAAATAGCTGGGTTGACTGTGGTTGTTGTCTGAGGCTCAGTCTGAGGCAGTATTCCTTCCCCATTTTGGGGTTTACTGGCATCAGTATTGATACCGGCACCGGACTCTCGCTCTGATGCTGGCATTTCTAGGTAGTTGAGCCTTCAATATTCGATGAAAAGGGTCGTAAAGTGTGGAACTTCAGTTCGATGGTATAAAGAAAAGATTTGATCGTTCAGTTACACATTATCGCTAAGATGTAAATGCATAAGATATAGAGGGAACTTCGATTTTGGTAGACATGAATTTTTTTTAAACACGGACCACCTGTCAACACATTTGCCTAAGTGTATTGTACATGTAAGGATGGTGTGAACACCGTTCTGCTCTCTGCAGCCGTCTTTACACGGCACGGGTTGCATATTTTTACGAGCTGCTAGCCAAAGCTAGACAGGGATTAACTGCACAAAAAGCTTAGAAAGTACGTGACTCGATGCAGACAGGCCGTTAAGAGAGGCATACTGTTGGAATTTCAGAGATAGCATTAGACTCGGATTACCAGTCGTGCTACTCTCATGTCCGTCCAGCGCCGCTGTGTCCTGGCCGTCTTCCGTAGCTTCAGCTGAAGGTGACCAATAGCTAGCTCATTGAAGTTGATCATGATATGACTGGCCAGTAATCATTCTCTAATATGCAACGTGACCATGAATCGTATGTATTTTATAGCCTTGCGTGTTTTTAGCGCTGTGCCGGTCAGCCTGGCCCAGCCTGACAAGATTGCAAGCTCTAATGACCTGTCAACCTCTGGCAATGGAGCTGCAGGTAAGTATGCCCAAAAATACGGCTATTTTATACACTTTCAATTTTTGAGAGATACGGACAATTGGCTAATAGGACCACGGCGTACTAGCTTCAATTTGAGGCTCTTACGAATTGATAAGCCGTCATTCAGGTAGCCATGGTTCGCCCGCTCACCTCTCGACTCCTTGCTCTATGCCATCTATTTTGTTTCCTCTGAATCTTTTTATTTAATCCATTGACATATTACTTCAAATATTTCTGATTGGTGTTCGTGTCTCGGTCAACTCGTAAAAAGTTAAACCAATTTCATTATTATCAGCTGGCAGCTCTCCAAGCTTATAATTAATATCATGACCTTCAAAATTAGCTACATATGTGTTCACCTGTTTCTCAGCAAGGAAAGCACTGGGTTTGCACTGGGTTTTAGACAACTTCGTAGAACAGAATACAAAAAATTCGATTATTCAGCCTGGAGTGTCCATTTATTGCACATCGATCGCGTCCTTCGTGGTTAAAGATTCCTCATCTCTCGGTACTTCTAGCTCCTTTTCGTGTGATTTACTAAATCTAATCAGCTGGTGTATTTCTTCGTTGTCTCCGACTACAAATAATAGTACGAGTATTTTACTTGGTAGAATGTGCATATACATACCTCTCACTGGCTGCATTTTGATGTTTTGCTTTCCTTTTCAACTTCTGTAACTTCACCGCATTCAAATCGTTGGTCAACCGCCAACGACCTGGAAGGTTCGCAAAGATAATAACGAGACACACAACTCCACCTAGAAGAGTAGGTATCAGAATCAGATCACGCACGGAGAGTGTCATAATGTCCGGGCCAGACACCACAAATTCGTCAGCCCCTGGGAGCACGGTTCGTTGGTCTGCTGAGCGAACCAGATTCGTGATGTTATCTCGTCCGAGAGGGCTGATTAAAGTTGAATCACTTAAAATGTTTCGGGTCATTAAGTAGGCTATATTAACTAGACGAGAAATATCATTTTCAATACTGCAAAGCTCGGCATTCAATGCCTGGGAGACGGTCAAAGTTGAAGATGCCAGGGCCGAACGACCCAGCAGTCCACTTAGGGTCAAAACCATTGGCTGAAACAGATACTGTTGGAAAGTCTGAGTAAGAGGACTTGAGAGATCTCCATGTGTCAAACTGTTTAGAGACTCAGTTGCCGACGTGCTTCCTTGGTAAGTCCAGGTAGCATTTTCCCAACAGGATAGCCCAGGACGGCCACGGCTTATTGTATACGCGTAGTCCACAGGGTTAGAACCAGAATGCTCCGTAAGGTACCAGGGGTCGTTACTAGGCGTAAAACTGTATCGACCAAAGGAGGTCACGATCAATCCGAAACTCGTATTTGAAGCACTATCATCAGAGATGGGTGCTATAACCTGTTTGACATATGGCGGCCCTTGAGCCTCTGAGGTGATGGTTTCTATTTGGGATGAATCGTTATATGCCTTATAACCGTCTGTCTGAATATTCCCTGAATCCTGCGGTCCGGTATACCACGAATAGTCTGTGAAACAGGAGCCAGTGACGTTGAATTGCAAATCAGGTGTCCGTTGGAGGCCAAAATCAGTACCAGTTATCCCGTAGCTATATGTAAGGCTGACCATGGATGAATTACCGGTTCCTCGACTAACTGAGTCGAAGAAGACTGTGTCGGCGGGGATTGTGCTCATCAAAGCCACCGCACGTAGAGCTACCGGGACTATCAGGCTGTATATCTGAGCCAGCAACAGTGGAGTCGTATAATTATCTGCCAGAGGTGGCACGAAGATTGCACTGCCATTGACAGGGGCTCGAGTGCCGATCTGTAAAGAATGAGTCTTGAGGATCGGGACGACAAGGGATGCAGCGACTATCATAGCTGCCAGTACCATCCAAAGAAATGGATACCAGCGCTGAGGCGATTTTCTCATTTTACACAGTTGCTGGAGTGTGAGAAGCGCCACGGCTCTAGGAGAGCTCTTAACATTCCAAATGCCGGCGGTTGTGGCTGTTGAGTCTGAATTCAAATCATCAGGGTGGTCATATTTTCGCAGATACATACCCACCCCGATTATGACAATAGCGGCCCAGAACTGAGTGAGAATGGCCTTCATCATCATTGTATACAAAGAAACCAAGATGAGGCCATGAGACTGGGAGAGCGCAACAGCGTCTTTGGTCCCATCACTCCAGGGCATGGGAAATCTCTTCGTGAGGAGATATGCATCTGAAGAGACCTGCTGATCCATGATGGTGAGGTGCTTCGGGGTGAGCGATGAAATAGCTATCACTTGAGATGTTTGAGGTTGCGCGAAGCGGGGTCTTGGATATGGAGAAGTAGAGTTAGGTGGAGCTATAAAGAGAAATATGCTGCTCACCTCTTTCATAACAGCCTGACAGTCTTTGAGCCGCAAGTGTGTCTTGTTGGGTTTAGCGAGGCCTCCGATTCTTCGTGGCTAGCTGGGTGTGACTGACAAACCAATATGCATTAGTTACCCTACCATTTCATACGCCTAAAACTGAAATTATTACCTGACTCGTATTAATGTATTTCATTTACACATGTTCCATTAATTGGCAAAGAGCCCCTGTCCATGGCTATAATAGCAGAGCAAAAGCCTTGAGTGGTAAAGTGCTTCCTCCTAGAGCCAAAGTTGCATTTTCTAGCCCAGCCTGAATTTGCCAGGATCAATGCAGCTTCCTCTTAGCCCCTGTAGGTTGATCCTGTTGTTTCTTCGCCTTCCTGAATAAATAAAGCAGCCTTGTTCTAGTAAAAGTATAAATAGATACTTAGGTACTTCGTCGCCTGGTGAGAAACCTGGTCTTGTCTTCTATCTAGATAGTCTAACTCAGTCAATTGATTCCACTGAAGTTAAACTTCATTTGTATCTCCATCAATTTCTCGATTGAAAGTAACTTTTGAATTTCGGCAACATGACTCGTCGCTCGTTTCTCACTTTCTTCCTGCTGGTCATATCGGCGACCGCTCAGAACATCACTCTCTTTGATGCACTTCGTTCAGTGAACGCATCTTTGTTCGCTGACTGGATCCAAAAAAATCCTGAGCTAGCTTCTTTTTACACATCAAGCAATGTTCAAACAGTGTACGCACCAACTGATGAGGCATTTATCGCGTTCAACCGCACAAACGGCGGCGAGTTACAGCACCGTCTTTGGACCAGACAAGGAGTCGACCCGGCCTTAGCAGCCCGATATCAGGCTATGAAAAATAGTGAAGAAGTTTTCAATGGGGGTTCCTCATCGTCAAGTTCCTCTACGTCGTCAAGTTCCTCTACCTCGTCAAGTTCCTCTACCTCGTCAAGTTCCTCTACCTCGTCAAGCTCTACTACGTCGTCAAGTTCCTCATCAACGTCTGGTTCAGCTTCGTCGTCGAGCCTTTCCTCTACCTCTCTGACTTTTCTCTCTGGAACGTCGAGTTTACCATTCGGGCCTTCCACCACACTTTCGTCTTCTCCATTGTCAACTCCTTCCTCATCCTTGACATTGATTCAATCAAATCTGGACGGGCCCTATGAGGGTTCCCAACCCGTCGTTCAGGAGACCATAATTGTTTACGGTAACTCAGTCTCCAAGCGTGATTCGTCCTCTACTTCCCGAGTTGTACTTCGTTCAGGCCTAGGAAACAATGTGAGCGTTGTCACGCCAAATATCCGTTACAACGGAGGAATCCTCCATACCGTTGATGGGTAAGTATTCGTTCCGTAAGAGTGGCCTCGTCATAATCCACTAACCTACTGAGTAGATTTTTCACACTCCCCCAATCGTTCAGCAGCACATTCAACCAGACCAACACAACCAGCTTTGCTCAAGGGCTTTCCAAGACTGGGCTAGGAACTGCGATTGAGAATTCGACAGCAACAACAGTCTTCACTACTTCCAACGAAGTGTTTCAGGCTGGAGTAGCTAATAGCACCAATACAACACTTTCCAGCACCTTGTCAAACCAAATAATTCCCAATTTTCTCGGATATTCGCCCCTCCTCACCAACGGGACCGTTCTTACTGCACAATCGGGGAAGAATATTACCGTGACCATACAGAACGGGGACTATTATATCAACAATGCTAAGATCATCGCGTTCGACCAGCTTACATCCAATGGAGTCGCGCATGTGGTGGATAGTGTATGTGTCTCCTTGTAGTTCTCTATTTCTTTCTTATTGGACTGCCAGCTACTAACTGGGAACCCCGCAGTTCATTAATCCTTCCAGTGCTCCCCCGGTGCCCGTCTTTACTGGTGCAGCCGTGTCTGATAAGGCGGGCGACGTGTCTACCGGAGTGCTGTCAGGCTTGTCAATGCTCCTCGCCTTTTTACTCTGATTTTTAAGGAAGTTGAGCATCAGCAAATAAAAAAACCTTGCTACTGATTAGCTGCAGATTGACACCGGTAGCCTGCAGCTGCCAACATCGATGATCGCTAAACGCCCGAACGCCCGAACGTGCCAATAATAACGGCGGAACGCCTCGCCAATATCTTCCTTGTCCAGACTTTTGAGTCCCGTCCTTTCAATACGGGCTAGCTATAGTTCTCTGTCTGCATGGTACAGCAGCCACACTATCCCCTTTTCTGACGGACTTGCTTTGCCGCTCATCGGGAAACTGGCAATAATGGTGGTTGAATTATGCTCTAGACTCGGCTCTTTGCATTAGCTTATAATACTTTAATAATAAATTAATTCGCGCCGCCCCTCCCCAATCATGATCCAAGAAAGCTATTTCCTGTCACCTAAAATTGGCTTGTACTACCTTACCGGTGGGATGTCATTTTGTGTGTTGTTTATTAATCCTAACTCTGCAGACTTTCGGACCATACATAATAGTACGTTATAAATCATAAATGACTGATATGATGTGACTGTCTTGTAACTAAAATTTGAGCGGATGAGGTGTTTCATATTCATCAATACCACCAAGAGAAACTATCTAATCAACGATGTGCAAGACTAGGTAAGCCCAATACCTAAGGCATCAAAAGAAACTGTCTTTATCGAACGCTTTTACGAAGTCTGTCGGTTCTAAAATATCAACCCCGCGGTGGAGGTGAAGATATCAAGCAATTCTGCGGGGCTGAGCTTGGCTGGATCTCTTGTTTCAGTATTATTGATGGGAGGAATTGACAGGCGAATCAGGAGTTTGACGCGCGCCCCCTATCCAGGGATTGGCTTACGGTGCAGTGCAAGCCTGTATTTATTGAGATCATACGCATATTCCATTTGTAATTATAGGAAAGTTATTGTTCGCCTGGGAGTTATCCTAGTCATCTGCATCTATCTAAATATAGGAGCGGATAATTCCCTCCATAGTTGTCTCATTAATTGCTGATGATAGCTTTTGTGGCGATTTCTAGATCCTTTCAAAGACACACTAAATTCTTATGATAAAAGGGGTTGAAATTTTTGTAGAATTGAAAGCTTTTTTCCAGTCCCTACCCAAGCACACCTCCCAGGATGCACACAAATACGCGCTGAACAAGCCTAGTAAAGCGTCTTTATAAAACAACATTATTTGATAAAATATCCCTCCACTATTGAACGTTTTAATGCATATGTCGTTAATGTCCTAGTAGTATTTGGGTGGGGATATCTAGAGTTTATGAGTGTCGAGTTTCGTTTAACTGTTCTTAGTCGGTAGACTTGATCATGTTGTAGACTTCTTCTTCTGTTAAGATGGACTCCCAAGTCTACCCTAGATGCATTAAGTTTCTAATACAACCCGCTTAAGGTATTGAGAGAATGTCCCGGAAAGAGAGAGGAAAGTTTCATATAGCCAGTGGTTCGCTGGATTTGACTTTATGGTGACACCTTATAAATAAATAGAAATAGAGTGATGCATGAGGAAAGGAGAGTAAATGTTAGTTTTGATAGAAGATGATTTGGAAGAAGGTGATGAGAACTACTAAGATTACTAGCGTCTAGAATTTCTCAGCTACATGATGTAGTCCCAGAATAGAAAGGGTATATCTAAGGTAGGCTTTATATGTAAAACTCTTCTAGATATTATATTCGCTACTTCAAAGACATTATAAAAACCTAATGCCATAACAAACTGCTCCTCATAACTTCATGAAGACTCATAATCTAGAGGTCTTAAATTTCTCTCTTTGGATAAGTCACTTTCTTTCCAATGCTAAGATCAACTAGAAATTTCTACAGGATTCTGGTGGCAATATCTGGCTGTATAAATTAACGCTTCGCCCCAGACGCCTCTTTTACGTAGAGATTAGAAAACATAAGAGAATGATGTTACATGATCTTTTATCGGAAGTAGAACTTATGGCCAAATATAAGGAGGTTGTGTATATATCTACTATTTTCGGAAAAGCCTGGTTATTATATCACATTTGCGATATTTGGTGATTTTAAGGGTGGTATGGATACTCCCACTCTTCAATGGCGTGCTGGGGGAACAGTGGGCGGATCTCGGAAAAAGGACTCCTGGTCTTGGCTAGATACCTGCCAGTTATTAAGCATAGCCGAAGCAGACATAGTATGAGGGTGGATAGGGCCTAATGTTTCATGTTGAAGCTGAATACAAGATTGGAGGAGTTCTAAAGCCTCCACATCTTGACCTTTCTTCTTCCAAGAATATGAGAGATGCCACATACTCATCAGTGTGTCGGGGTGGTCAGCTCCCAGCACCTTCTTATAAGTAGTGAGCGCCCGCTGATGCATCGCTTCAGCCTCTTCATACTTCCCCTGCTTGTTAAGCACTCCACCAAGATTATTAACACTTGTCAGTGTGTCAGGATGGTCAGCTCCCAGCACCTTCTCACGAGTAGTGAGCGCCCGTCGATGCATCGCTTCGGCCTCTTCATACTTCCCCTGCCTATCAAGCACTCCACCGAGATTATTAATACTCCTCAATGTATTAGGGTGGTCGGCTCCCAGCAATTTTTTACAAGTAGTGAGCGCCCATCGATGCATCGCTTCGGCCTCTTCATACTTCCCCTGGCTGTAAAGTACTAAGCCGAGATTATTGACACTCGTCAGTGTGTGGAGGTGGTCAGCTCCCAGCATCTTCTCACGAGTAGTGAGCGCCCGTTGATGCATCGCTTCGGCCTCTTCATACTTTCCCTGGCTGTTAAGCACTTCACCGAGATTATTGAGAATTATCAGTGTGCCGGGATGGTCGGCTCCCAGTACCTTCTCATAAGTAGTGAGCGTCTGTCGATACATCGCTTCGGCCTCTTCATACTTTCCCTGGCTGCTAAGCACTCCAGCGAGATTATTGGCACTCGTCAGTGTCTTGAGGTGGTCAGTTCCCAGCACCTTCTCACGAGTAGTGAGCGCCCATTGATGCATCACTTTGGCCTCTTCATACTTCCCCTGATTTTCAAGCACTAACCCGAGATTATTGACACTTGTCAATGTATTGGAGTGGTCGGCTCCCAGCACCTTCTCACAAGTAGTGAGCGCCTGTCGATGCATCGCTTCAGCCTCTTCATACTTCCCCCGAAGATAAAGGTACCAACCGCATCGTCCAGAAATCCTCGCACCATTCAACAGATCTTCTTCCTCAGACTCCACCAGGAACTGCATCACTTCTTTTAAATGTGGAAGAAGCATCTGACAAGTGGTCCATGTTTTGTAATCTCCACTAGGAAATACTGCCTCCATCACTTGTCGGGCATGTTTTGCCCATATATTAAACCGATCCTGCTGCCTCAGCCACTCTCGGATTGATAATTGTATAAGCCGGTGCATCTCAAATGATTGTCCTCCAATCTCAGTCCGGATCAAAGAAAAGCTCACTAGCGGAGCCACTGTATCCTCAAAGGTCAATCGATTCTTACCCTGGTTGATAAGATCCTCTGGAATCCCCTGTCGGTCAAACATACTCATAAGTGCCAGCAGATCTGCAGCTGCAGGGAATACACGATGGATCTGGTCAAATGAGATTTGCCATGTGTTGATCACTGGATGCCGGATACTCCCATCTCGCCGGAGATCTTTGGCGTCATCATATTTCAGAAGACGCTCCTGATTCGACTCACTTTCCTGGAAGAGCTCTAAGTAAGTCGACACTTTAATTCGAGGTGTACGATTGGCAATGTATGCACCAGCTTGTGTAATTGCCAGAGGGATGTATTCAAGTGCCTCCACTAGCCCTCGTGCTTCACTTTCAGATGATTGATCTATATCAATACGGGTTTGGAGTAGAGTGAGTGCATCGTCGACACTCATTGGTTCCACTGGAATCACATCGCCATATGTCCCCACCAGATTCCGTGCCGCCATTTTATTCCGTGACGTGATCAGAATTGATCCGTGTGACACCTGAGGCAGATAACTTGCCAAGGACAAGGGTGTATTTCCACCAGAGACATCAAAAAAAATGTTGTGATTATCTGCGTTGTCTAATACCATCACCCAGTGGCCATTCCTCTCATCCCCCAGCCATTTATTAACCAGTTGAAAGATATCAGTTTTTGGATCACTCCTTTCAGGGATCTCCGCTACAGACGCGATTTCTCGGTAACCTTGCTCAAATCGAACAGTATCACTCGCGTGGATCCAAAATGTCCATATGTTTGGTGCAGATTCTCGAATTCGGTATGTGTGCTCGATCGCTATCTGAGACTTCCTAGGACGTGTTAAAATGATTATATCATAGTATACCATCATATTTGACTTACCCCACCCCTCCTAGGCCAACTAGCGCTATTCGTTTATGATATCGTCTTTGCCTTTGTTGACTATTTTTGTTGATGGCCATCAGGATATCTTCTCGACCAACAAACATTTCATCCTTCTCAAAAGGGACGGTTGAAGAGGGCCAAGGCTTATCTGGTATGTGCCCTTAAAGCGAATTTCATCAGCATTACACAAATATACATATATGTTGTGCCGGCATACTCATTGGTAAGATCTGATACAAGACTGCTTTAGCATAAGCTGCTGCCATGGCCGCAGCGTACGGTTGCCATTCCTTGTTTTTATATTCATCTCCATAATCACAAACCCCTCTGATGACGCCAACTGGGATTTGATTCATGGTACCAGCGGCCTCCATCTCCAGACCAATCACATTATATTTGTTTCGCAACTCATTTCTTTGCTCAGCATCCTTCATCAATTTCTCTCCAGATCCAATCGGTCCGTACCATACGCGCACGCGTTTCGAGTCGGGCCGCTGCTCTCGTTTAACAAGGCGCTCAGTCCCATCTTGATCAACCTCATAGAGATAGTCTTGGTCTTGCCCTGGATCAATAAATGTGCCACTTGTATGCTCCTTGTCTTTGATTCTCTCATAAAATGGTAAGAAAATTTCTGTGTCATTGGGCGACTCAATCTTGATATGACCAATTGCCGCTCTAACAATCTTTTCTGTCGTAGCTAATACATGTCCGTAACGCAATGGTTGAAATCCATCCTTTGTTACCTTTCCTAGATCGTATGCGAAAAGGCCCGCACTTTCACCTTCTGGGAGTCCCACAAGAACATCGCCCAGGCGGATATCACGGGGTGGGATTCGTGAGAGATTGGGAAGGCCTGCTGCAATACCAACCAAGAGACCAAACCGTATGTTCGGAAAGAATGTTTTTATCTCGCCTGCGAGCGCGGCTGCTGACCCTGTGCCATATGGTTCTCCTTGTGGTAATGTGGCAATAATCACATTATGCTCGTTGATATCGCCGGCGTGAAATAAATGGTTGTAGCCGTGCCTCCACGGAAATCGCCCTCGATGGCGGTTGTCCAATATGTGCAAGGCTGCTCGTGCCTCAATCTCGAGCGGGGCGATCCATGCTACCGTATAAAGATTTGGGTCGAGCTCCATTGACAAGTCAGTAGGTTATCGTTTACTTATCATTTAATTCTGGTACGGCGTATTTGAAATATCAGAATAAAGGTCTTTGCGGGAGAATTTCGTTGGTTGTTAAGACTGGCGAGGCACACTTCAGCTGCGGGGTCAAACCAGCTCAGCCACTTCTGCATGCCTAGCCTCTGGAGTACATCGCCAGGCATTTGAGAGGGCTGTGTCGCGATGAAGATTCATCACTTTCACGTATCGTAGAATAAGGAATCATAACTATCATGCTATGATGCTGGTTAATACGTTACATTTCCAGAGGAATAAATATATCGGAGAATTCCCAGGCAGATAGATTAAGGACTCCGTCCCAAAGTTTGGAAGTAAATGTATTCTATATTTCATATTTCGTTCTGAAATCCTGATAACACTGCATGAGTTCGCTATCACAGTGACAAAGTCATTCTCAGTCAGCACCATGACCTTGGTGGAGATTTGTATTATTGACATTGTCTTACTTAGGCTTTGTTGCCTTCAGAAATAGACTTACTGGGCGGAAACATCGATGAAGGAATGCTGAATTCGGAAGTTAGGGTTAGATGTTTTGTCACGTGCTATGCTCAACATCCGAGACTCCTTGCCCTGGGCCAGAAATGGACGAATTGAAATGATGTATTTTTTTCTCAGGTATGATTCTTTTTGCGGTTTGATGTCAAAAAACACCCTCCAAAACTTGGTAGATAACGTTTGGCGCACTGACAGTGGACTCTCTATGTAATGATAGGGCCTTATGTATTGACTGGAAGCCTAAATGGACCCAGAAACCTTAAATAAACAATAAGCTTTTCCCGCCCAGAAGGGAAAGAGATAAAGAAAACAACTCCACGCTGAATATGAATAGATACAGATTTTATGCTTACTCGATGTGATCGAGTCAGCGGGCCCTTATCTACTTATCTGCCAGCCTTATCAGCAGTGGTAGATAGGCGGTGGAGACACGCGGGTCTTGGCGTTTGTTTGGAGCTTAGCGGCATTAGCCTCTTTTAGCACTGCGACATCACCAGATCCTATCTACGAAGTCTTCGAGAACATTAGAGAATCCCAGAATAGCAGCTCATGCTGCTCCTGAATACGTCAATATGATTGACTACCTAGCACGCCATCTTAGTGTTCTTGGTTTCTCCATGTGCTAGGGTCCTGTGGAAGTCGATTCGCCCACAGGCCTTCCCTACACCGGCGATCGCCAGGCTAAAACGTCATGATAAGCGACCAAAGAGACCCGCAACCCCCGGATTCAGCTTGCCCGCTTTTTCCACCTTATCACAGGCTAGAAAGCCGCCCAGATAACGTCTCGATGACTGGTTGGCTGCATTGGTGCTTCCTGATTCTTTTCTGGCGCTTGTCTCGCTGCTGTGTCACTGGTCGGCGATCCGGTGCGCTCCCCACGCGGCCGGCCGCCATGGATCTGATCTGCTCTTTCAGACCGTGTGGGAGAGAGATATATCTGGTGCGCGCTCCCACATGACGAGTCTTTCTGTCGTCACTGCTTGGCTGTTGTTTTGGCCGTCCTTGTTATTGTCTGGGGTCGAAAGTGAAGGTCGAAGCCGGCTGTAGAGAGCAATTAGCTGGCAGGCCTAGGATCCCGACTTGTCTCTATTCGCTTTCTTTTTAACCGAACGTGTTGCTTGCCGTGCGGCCCTTCCATTTCGTTCATTGTAAATTTATACACCAGTCGATATGGCAGCCAGTCACTATCTTGACAAGCTGGCCGTCAGCAGCGAGCCGGGTCTCACCAATGCCCAGCTCATGTTAACCAACGATGACTTGCGACCAGGTGAGTTTCGGAAGCTATTTTCATGTCGCTTCATTGCACATTCTAACGCGTCTACCAGTCGAGCCCGAGCGCAGGAAATGGGGGTCGTGGAATTTTGTGGCCTTCTGGGTTGCCGATTCAGCAAACATTGTACGTTTTGGATTGGTCTGAGGCATCCGCGGAATACAGAATACTGATTCCGCCCTATTGCAGAACACTTGGATGATTGCCTCTTCGATGATTACCTCTAGCGCAACCGGTACAATTACGCTGGCATGGTGGCAAGCTTGGATTTGCGTCTGGGTCGGGTATTTTATTGCGGGCTGTTTAATTTGTGCCACCGGTCGCATCGGCGCTCAGTACCATATTTCGTTCCCCGTCGTCTCTCGTGCCTCGTTTGGTATCTGGGGCTCGCTGTGGCCTGTTTTCAATCGAGCGGCTATGGCTGTGGGTCCTAATTTCCATCTTGCAAGGTCGAAGTCACTCAAGCTGACCACAATATACAGTGTATTTGGTATGGTGTGCAGTCATGGATTGGAGGTTGGTGATACCCTCTCACTTGTACCGACAGATCATTAATTTGTAACAGGTGAATGTGTATCCGTCATGATCGAAGCTATCTGGCCCAGCTATGCCAACATTCCCAATCATATCCCCAGCTCGGGAACTACCACTAAAGATTTTGTGAGCTTTTTTATATTCTGGTTCTGCAGTCTTCCAGCAATCTGGTTCCCTGTCCACAAGATCCGCCACCTATTTACAGCAAAATCTATCTTCACGCCAATTGCCATGATCGCATTTTTCGCCTGGTGCATCCGTCGTGCCAATGGAATTGGGCCCATCATCCACCAGCCCTCTACTTTGCACGGCAGCGCCCTTGCGTGGGCAGTCATCAAGGGCATTATGTCGTCGATTGCCAACTTTGCGACACTGATTGTCAACGATCCTGATTTTTCGCGCTTCGCAAAGACTCCCAAGAGTGCATTGTGGTCCCAGCTCATTTCTATCCCTTTCGGATTCGCCATTACCTCTTTCATCGGCATCATCGCGTCATCTTCCTCGACTGTTATCTTTGGCACTACCATCTGGAATCCGCTGGAACTGCTGTCTCAGTTCCTTGTCGGCGCAAGCTCTGGTGAGCGGTTCGGCATTTTCGTTATTGCTAGCGGCTTCACGCTGGCCCAACTGGGAACAAATATTGCTGCAAACTCGGTTTCTGCTGGCACGGACATGACGGCACTGCTACCGCGTTTCCTCAACATCCGTCGTGGAGGGTATATTTGCGCGTTGGTTGGATTGGTCATGTGTCCGTGGAATTTGGTGAACACCAGCAACAACTTCACGACATACCTCTCCGCCTACTCCGTCTTCCTCTCCTCGATTGCCGCCGTCCTCCTGTGCGACTATTACGTCGTCCGAAAAGGGAACCTAGATGTTAAGGAACTCTACAGTGCCCGCAAGCGCTCAACCTACTTTTACACATACGGCATCTCCTGGCGAGGATTCGTTGCCTACATCTCAGGCATCTTGATCAACATCGTTGGATTTGCCGGAGCCGTCGGCCGCACCGTACCAATTGGCGCGCAATACATATACAACGTGAACTATTTCGCCGGCTTCATTGTTTCTGCTGTAATCTACTACGCGCTTTGCCGTCTATTCCCAATCCCCGGAATGAGCAATACATGGAGCGAGGTCGACGTCGATGTCGATAATCTCACTGTCGCTTATGGCCAAGAAGTGTTTGATGAAGAAGGCCGGAGTATTCCTGAGTATGAGGAGGCGTTGAGGGACAACAAAAAGGACAAGAGTAGCGGGTATGCCACTTTTTAGATCTTAGATGATGATATTTTTGTGTATTAGACAATCAATATATTTTCCATTCTTTCATCTTGTTCTTTCGTGTCTGTGTTTATTCTAATTCCTCCTGTCAACTGGTGTTTGGAAGATTTACTCCGTCAACTGTACCGTACGTAATTTGTCTTTGCTCCTGCCATATAACCTCAAGTAAAGCGGTATTGCTCATTGTAGGCTGCCGTCGCTGTAGTTCGGTTGCATGACGACCTATGTGGGGAGTCTTAGTTGTGGCTTAGCGGCAGGCGCCGGGGAGAAAGGTTGTCGGGGAACGACAAGGCCAAAAGGGGTATAGAATTTGGTCAAATATCTAGGGGTTTTATATTTTTCTAAAATATAAAATATAAAATTTAATCAATTTACAAAATCATAAAATTACAATTTTTAAAAAAACTAAGTATTTCTAATTAGCTTTTAATATAAATGATCATTTAGATAAATTAAAAGAAGATGTTGAGGGAACTAGAAGAGCAGGCATTCAACCAGCCAATCGGTGCCTAAAAGAAACAAACAAAAATCGACGAGGCGCTTTGTGACTCATAACTTGAAGGTCTAGGTCGTTGACTATTGGAAAAAAAGCAGTCGGGGAGCCAGAAAGGTAACGGTTGATTCGGTTATTTGACTAGGCAGTCGTTGCCTACAGATCAGAAAAGCAATTAAGAGAATAAACACCCAGGAAACTGTAAAAGAGGCGTTTTATGACTCACAAAGTGTGCCCTGGATCATTCAAATATTGGAGATGAAAGAATCGGAGAGCCAATAAGAGAACAGCTGCTTTGTTAGTATTAACAAGGCAGCCGCTGCCTAAGACAGAGAGCTGATATTCCTGGAATCTCCAATACTTAAGAAGGTCCTGAGATCGCATTTTCTGCAATGCCAGCACTCAGACTGGCGAAAAGGGTCTACTCCACTCATTTTTTTTAATTCAAAAGTATTGTCAAAAGTCAACCATGACCTCCGCCAGCGCCCTTCCTCTGACCCTCAAGTCGATCAGCTCAACCAAAGTCGAGGAACTACACAAACAACGCGCCATTTTTGAGGCTCGCAAAGCAAAGATCCTGCAAGCCGCAAATGTAGCCCCAAGCCTGCGATCCAAGGCTCAGGCGCTACTAGAAGGCGTGACGAGTCTGACGGGTTATCCCAAGGATGCCTTTGACGAAGATGATATCGACAAGGACGTAGACGACAGCTACTCAACCAATATTCCGCATATAACATCTCTATACTCCCATTTAGATTGGCAGAGAAGCGGTAATATTAACATCCGGCGCTTCCTTCTGCAGAGTGGTCATGATGCGTCTGTCTCAGATGATGTTCTCCGTGAATGGATTGCGCGGTTGGAAGATACAATCAACTTCCTAACAGTCAAACACGAACATGCTACATTCTATAATGATCTGGTTGCTGAGTGGCTCGTAACCCTCGAGGATAAGGCCACGGATGGGCTTGACAAATCGGCGTTTGAGACCGTCGGTCGAAAGGAAATGCATGAGCAGCGAGCTACCTGGGAGAGTCTGGTCTTTTCAGCATCGAAGGTAGATTCAGAGACGGTGGAGGCATATCTGAGTCAGCTTTTTAATCGGACAAAGCTTTCTCAACAGGCTCTCAAAGAGCTTCGTGAAAAGATTCGAGATTTTGGAAATAGCTTCAAATCTACGCAGAAGGCATTCGATACCGAACTGCTGAAAACTGTCAGCGAGTCCCTACTCCGTAGCGACCTTCTTTCTTCCGAAAAGACATTGATTTTAAAGGAATTTTTGAAGAATAAAGAAGTCGCTCAAGAGGTCGCGGATGTACTGAATCTACGCTTCGCCTCTCTTGACCGTTGGAACTGGACTTCTAGCGGCGTTCCCGTCGAAATGCGTCGTCAACTGAATGGAAAGTACCGGGTCTTCATGGATGGAGATCTCATCGACGCTATTCTCTTCCATTACATTGGTTTGCGGTGGTCGATTACCTTCCATCAAGCATTTACATCTTTTCTGGACTCTCCTGCATGGAAATCGAATTCAAGACCCGTCTCAAAGTCCATTACCATGCGACGCAAGCTTTTCATCGAAAAGGAAGTCCCAGAAAGCATGACCGTGGATGGGTGCCGGAAAATGGGGTATAAGGACAATTATTTTATGAGTCAACTTCCACGGTCCATGGAGGAAGGGAAAAGGAGCTATGATGATGAGGACGATATAAGAGACTTGCCAGACCAAACCCGGATGTCGCATGTTGAGACAAAACAGTCATTACTGCACCTATTAATCGCAGAGTCGATCATTCACAAGCGTCTCCATGGAGAATTCACAGTTCTACGGTCCGACTTTAAATGGTTCGGACCATCTCTCCCACATGGTACCATTCTTGCTGTCTTACGTTTCTTTGGTGTCGAGGATGACTGGCTCCAATTTATCGAAAAGTTCTTGAAGACACCTCTGAAGTTTGTCAATGATGGACCGGACGCCAAAATACAGATTCGAGAACGTGGCATTCCTATCAGCAATTCCATTTCGGACTTCTTAGGCGAAACTGTTCTTTTCTGTATGGATTACGCTGTGAATCAGCATGCGAATGGGTCATTCCTCTACCGTCTTCATGATGACTTTTGGTTCTGGGGGGAAGAGAAAACCTGCAGAAAAGCATGGAAAGCGATGAGTGATTTCACCGCTGTGGCTGGATTAGAGTTCAACGAGGAGAAGACGGGAACTGTGCAATTCAAGAAGGGGGATTCCATTAATGAAATAGCAAATTTCTCTTCCAGCGGCGAGGAAAGCGATATGGAAGTCGATGAAGATGCTGCTACCTATCCTTTGCCCAAAGGTGATATTCGATGGGGCTTCCTCAGACTCGATCCAGAGCAAGGCCGTTTCGTCATCGACCAGACCCAAGTCGACACGCACATTGAAGAGCTAAAACACCAGCTACGGGCCTGCAAAAGTATATTCGCATGGGTCCAGGCTTGGAATAGCTACTTTTCGCGGTTCTTCAGCAATTTCTTTGCCAAACCCTCCGTGGCTATTGGAAGAGAGCATATTGATATGGTTATCAGGACGTTGAATCGCATCGAACAAGAAGTGTTTTATAGTGTTGCTACCACTGAAAAGGTAGCTGGTCACGGAGGAGTGGCGGATTATTTACGCAAAATCATTGCTGAACGTTTCGACGTGCACAACCTCCCCGATGCTTTCTTCTTCTTCCCCGTCGAACTTGGTGGTCTAGAGGTGCATAATCCATTCATTGATTTTCTTGCAATGAGAGAGAATATCCAACAAACACCAAAGCGAATAATGGAAAAAGTCTATATCCTGGAAGAAGCAAACTATGAAAAGGAGAAGATGAAATGGGAAAAAGACGGTGGCCGCTATTCCAACTACAGCAAGAGTATCTTTGCAAAGGAGTTGCAAGCAGAGTTTTTCTCACTGGAGGAATGGACAGCCGTTCTCGAGTCTACTAGCGTATATCTCTATAACGCTTATAGGGATCTCCTCAGAGTCCCCGATCAGGTCGATATCGGCCAAACAGTGGATTTAAATCGGAGTTCGATGCTACTGGACGAGAAACTGGTACGGACACGGGGAGCCGGACGGACAAGAGGAGCTGGCAGAACAAGGGGGGCTAGCAGCACAAGGGATCGCATTAGCTTGAATTGGGATAGCATGGATCCATACTGGAAATGGGTGGCGGAGCTGTATCATAGTGGGATGGTGAAAAAGTTTGGCAGTTTGTCGGCTGTGGATCGCGCGTTGATGCCGCTTGGAGTCATCAAGGTGCTGCGTCAAGGCAAGGTTAGATGGCAGGGATAGGTTTTCTTTGGGTGATTTGAAGTTATCCGCCTCAGATATTGTATTTCGCGTCCTGTACTATTATATACCCTCTTCTCTGTACTCTGGAATAAACTGGTTGTCATGTAATCTATATAAGTGACAAATATTGTCAGCATATTGGTTTGCCTGAGGCACTCGATCTACAGCAAACCCTCTCTGTCTACAATATGCGTCAATTTTTCTCCTCTCTCAACTCAACCCTGCTGTCAACTTAGCCAGTTATTTAGTTATCCAAAATTGAAGGTTGTGAGGCCATGACTATTTTCAACGTCAAATTACTTAACCGCAACACTATATACATAAATTGACTGATCCCTGGAGCTAAAAATCAAGGTTGCAGAGCAAAATCATGATCATGCGCGCCTTTCAAATAATCATAATCATCTCCCACCCAATCAACACAAACATCGACATCACCCCAATTAATATATTCTTGCAGACTCTTCGGCAAGACAATATTCTGATTGCTCCGATACCACTGCGGAAACAGAATAGACACAAGCATAATCCTCGGATCGTCCGTGCGATTCGGCATCCCCGCATGCCACAATCTCATATCCCGAATAATCAAACTGCCCTTCGGCAACGACGGCTGAATTCCAGGCGACAACTTCCGCCTCTCTTCAAGCAAATCCTCCTTAATCTGTTTGTGTTCCGTATGCATATCCAACACATCCCGGGTCGTCCCCGTATGGCTCCCCAGCCAGACCTCCGTCGCGCCGTTTTCCGGCGTCGTTGAAACCAGGTTTATGTTGATTGCATACCCCCACGGAATCTGCGGGAAATCAAAATCCACGTCAATATGGACTGGCTGTCTAGTGTCGGCTTTGAAAGCCGTATTGGCACTATAAAATCTTAGCGACGGCCGCGGCCCAAACATGCATTCGACAACCTGGACCGCAAATGGATTCGCGAGCACATCTTGAAATATGTATTCTTTATCATTGACAATTGGTTCCTGTTGGATGTTTCCAGTCTTGGCGCCAAAATTGCGATGTGTGCCTGCTTTTGCGTATAGTTGCTTTGCTTCGGGAACCATCCGCCCATTTAGCTTATCCAGGTGGGCGGGGTCGACGGCATTTTCGAGAACGACCATGCCATCGCGGTGTAGTGCTTCAACGGCATGTTGTAGATTATGTGAGCCGACTTGTTGGTTAGAGAGCTCTTGCGGGCTTAGTTTGATGAGGGTGACTTTCGGTTGAGAAGCCATTGTTGTTTACCTTTTTGTAAATATCTGTTCTTATTTGGAGGAGAATGAAAAAGGAAAAAAGAAGAGAACCTCCACCACCAACTAGAAGCCGTTTAGTTAGCCCTTATCGGCAAACCTGTTATACCTGCCGAATAGGGGAGGAGGGGCCAACCCTAAAATTGTATTGGGACGGGTTGACCCCAGACTTTGGCGGCAACAGCCGATACAGCAGTTTCCTTTTACAGTATAACGTCTATACTGTATAAAATCAATAGATTGTTGAAGACTTTAACCTCTATTCATTGAATTTACATCAAATAGAATATTCGAGTTCCAGCTTGGATTTCGCGTCGAGATTCTTCAATGTTTCAATTCACTACCCAGAACATACAAGAAAAACCCCTAGCTATTAGAATCTTGTTGCTCTGCTAGTCCCAAGAAATACTCACGTCCTGAAACAGTGCTCGTAATAGACTATTAGACATATAACCAAAATCTATCTAGATTAGAGCATTAACTTGCTGCTTGTCTTTAATTTCGATAACTGAAGCATAGTACTTTCGGTTTCTATGGAATACATACTAAATCATACAAAAATAGCCACTACAAGGAACACCAAGATTGACAGTATCGACGTGGCAGTTTCTTGGTCGTCGGTGCGGTTGTAAACAGCGCTTCATTGCATACTTCATCCATGTAGTGCATAGCCCGCGGCTATCTGAACCTTATGTACCATTGGTATGTGTCAAGGCGAGTGCTGACCTTGCAAGTTAGATGCGGGATCTAATCGCCACGTTAGGGACACGGAGGTGAGTGACAGAACAGGTAACGAATGGTTGCCAAGGCTTGCTCAATGTCAACTCCATTCACTGCTGCAGGGTCATCATGGCCCGCACTCTCTTTCGTTGCAGAGGCTTGCACGTCAAGAACAAACCTTCACAGTCTCAAGATGAGGGGAGGTTTTTTTAACGAAATTGAGATATTCTTAAGAGTTTACACAGGGCTCTTTAATGTTGTTGAGTGTAATATTGTGTGAATTATGGCATTACACATGACTACAGTTGTTAATGGATTCCAAGTATCTCAACCAATGACGTAAACCGCCAATCCAATAGAAGACCCCCGTTGGCCCCGTAAGGTCTTCTATACTTCTCAATTGCTCCTGAGTTCTCAATTGATTCTGAGACTCTATCCCAGTATCCAAGTTCCTCGCCTGGCGTAAGACATCGCACATGGAGAGGAGAATTATGCGTGTGGACTGACCGGTAGTCAAGTTATACCGGCTGATGGAAGTAAGTGCTTCAGTCCAATAGCCTAAAGCTTCGTTATATTTAGCATTGATATGTGCCAGCTTTGCTAGAATAATGGATAAGCGTAATTTCTCCATTCTCAACAGTTTTGGAAGAGATTTGATTTCATTACAGATAACTTGTGCGTCGAATTGTCGGTCTTGCGCAAAGAGGGATTCCGCTAGAGTTAATCTCAGTAAAGTGACAGAGCCTGTTCTTCGCTGTGCAATCTCATTGCGAAGGCATCTTTCAGCAGCGACTGGATCTTCCAGTTCGAGATATATGTCCGCAAGACTGCAGACCAAATCGCTGGAATCTTCAAGAAAAACGATATCTTTGTAGTCATTGACTAGGTTTATGGATATCATGAGATGCGCCAACGATTCTTTGAAGTTGCCTCGATAACGTTCAATTTTGCCCATTATGATGTGTTTCCGAAAGAGCACAACAATTTCCATTGATGATGGTGGAGAAATTGGTTCCCAAGCAGCCAAAACCTCTGCCGCATTCGTGAGCTCCTCTACTTGAATGTGATCCAGGGCGCGTTGAATAGCCCCATGCCCAGAGCCAGAATGGAGCTTCTTGCTAACATGTCCTGGAACGGTCTCGTGCTGGCTATTCTCAAGAGGTCGGAATAATTGATCAGTAGAGCTTGTTATACGGTGAAGTACGGACTCTCTTTGCGCAATACAAGATTGGACGTAATTATCCTGTACACTGCTCAGGATCTCTTTCGATTGACTGATTGCGAATTGTTTCCACTCCATTCCAGGGAATCTGGAAGCTTCTATAATGCTAAGAGCTATATCCGTCTTGACTGCTGGTGACATGTTCTCGAAAACTTTATGGTTTTGAGCCTCTTGCAGCGTGTACCGAATGTGGAGGAGAAATAGTTCCATATTGAATGGTCTAGTCACAGTCAGCTTCTCAACATTAATGGGCCGGGTAAGCAGGATACGGTACGGAGGCTCCAGATATTTCCATGGAATTGAATGACACGCAATGGTCAATGCTTGTAGCCTCCAAAATGGATGAAACTCGATAGGAATCGTACCAATGACAGCAGCTGGAAGAGAGTTATCTAGCTTGAAGGTCTGCTCAGAAACCTTTGAGATGGCCGAAAATGATTGAAGCCGGGATAATATACTACCCAGCTTTGTAGGAGATGAACAAATCCTAAATAATTCATAGGACACACCATAATGAAGTACATCCATATCCTCAATGCCGCCATGGTCATTCCAGCGTTTGCGAGGTGCTGTTCCACGAGAAAGTAAATCTAGGGGGAGAATAGAGTTGCCTAGAAAACACAGAAGTACTAATAAAAGATTAGTATCTCCTGCGCCCGCTTTTTCTAGTTCTGGAATCACTTTGGACGCTGCTGCCATAGATGCAATTTTCCACTGAGAAGTATATAACTCTGTATGATAACTCCTCGTTGTGGGCAGGATATTCCTCTGAATCGCAAGTTCTCTGGCGACGTCACTGCGATACTTCAAATTGGACATGGCCACGGTCGGAGGGACGAAAGATAATGTAACTTGAAAAGTAAGCCTTGGCTGAGATTGACCTACAATGGCATAATTTTGATTCCTTACGATATAGTGTTAACGGAAGGGGTTTATCTTCTTGTGTCTTCTGTTATATCTGTTTTCTTCGACAGGTTGGTCAGAGCAGTCTGCCAAATAGATGCCCTCGCTCGCTCCTAGCTATATGCTTGGTCAATAAGTCATATCAGCTGTTGAATCAAAGTGGAACAAAGAAGATCATAAGATGGGCCTGTTACCTTTCACAAGAGAAGCTGCGGGGTCGAGATGGATGGACTATTGCCTAATTGGGTTGGTGCTTGTTTATCCTTGTCAACATTGAAGACAGCGAAATGCTCAACCTAATTTCTTTATTATATAATTAATTCGCTGATCCTCAATCACCTTTCTAATATGGAATTTAGATGGATAATCGGATTTTTTTCTCCCTTGATTTGACAGCATTTGATAATTTCGAATTTTGACCATGTCGAATCCTAGATGTTAGTCTTAGCATCAATTGATTCGCTCGGATATAGAATATCAGAGCTATTAATTGGTTCATCAGAAGCATAACCTCCACAACAACATAGTAAAAGCAAAGTCAAGATACTAAGGGTGAATCAAATTCTTTCTCTTCTTGCTTTCTTGCTTTAGGTGACGGGCCTCTGTGTGCCTTGCTTTTTCCAAGGTCAATTGGCGTAGACAAGTTTCTGCCTTGGGAAAGTCCACAAACAGTTCAATTAACAATATTGCATTCACCTAGGCTCGTTATAGATATTGCATGATATGATTCCACATACTGTGGATCACTTTCGGCCACCGTTCTGATTTCTGTTGGGCGAGATCTCCCGCAGTGGCCGAAACCGGGATCGTTTGATTTAAATGGGGCCTTGCTGTAATTCGAGATTAATTTATTGGCCTCTATTCATCAGCCACTCGGCTAAATATGACGCTTCTTACTGCATTGAGAACATAGTTAATGTCCTCGTGTTTTATTCACTGGAGAAGGAACATGATGACAAATTACTGACCGAAACAGGCTTGGCGCAAAGAGCATAATTTGTAATAATGTGTACCCCTCACATTATAAATCAGCCATCCGCCTACCTGAATTCTGCTTCAGTCAGATTTATTTACGCATACGCAAGAGAGCATTCTATTGCCCACTATGTCCCAGCCGGTATTTCACTACCTAGACCTTGGCCGCCTCGGCCGAGGAGAAGTCGTTCGGTAAGAATCAATTGCTCCACGGTTACTTGCGCGGCAATCGCTTGCTGACATTGATACTTTTATTAGTCTCTTTTTGAAAGACGCTGGTGTTGATTTCAAAGATATCCGCTATCCTTATGACGCCACCTGGCCGGCAGCGAGTGAGGACCTTAAGAAGAAGGGAATTACTTTGACAGGCAAGTTGCCTGTTATCGAATATAAGGGTAAAATCTTAGGCCAGGTTTGTTCGCCATCTGACATTACCCTATCTCTTCACTGCAGCTTACCTTGTATTTTCTAGCATATCCCAATTCTGCGCTATTTCTCTCGTGAACTCGGTTCTTACGAGGGGGATTCCAACTTTGAGAAATATGTTGTCGACGCTGTTTCAGATTTGTATATTGACTGGCGAGTGAGTTTATTATTTATATTGATTTTTAAGTATGAAAAACTGGATGCTAATGCAAAGACACAGGTCCAGTGGGTTGCCTCCTTGAAGGGGGTGACCGACGAGTACAAGAACAAGATTGTCCCGGATTATTACAATCTTGTTTCACGGTACTACGCTGAACGTGGTGGCCCATATCTCCTTGGAGATAAAATCACCTATGCCGACTTTGCGATTTATCAATCCATCGATAATGATGAGAGAACTGGAACTCTTCCGGTCAGTCATCCTATCTTCAAAAAACTCATTTCTCTAGCCTTTTCTTTTTCCTGCTCGTGTTTACTAATTATTTCTATAGACGCTGCCTGAAAACTTGGTGAAGCTCAGAAAAGCATTTGAACAAAGACCACGTATTGCCGAATACATTGCAAGTGGTCGTAACTCTAAAGTCTGAGTAGGTAGACTCGAAGTGTGCGTCTAAAATATGCTGTGACGTGACCGACATATGGACGAAGTGGTCTTGTTAGGGCATAGTCTCAAGATATCCGATGCCCATAACCGCCAATCTACTAATTTAAATATTGATTACACAAGTTCAAAAGATTTGTTAAGGTGGTTCTGCTGCTTAGACTAAGCTCGAGTTATTCACTTAATTCTATTCAAGACTTTTGTCAAACCTACCCTGCTCGAAGTATACTTCTATGCGAACGTATATCTCAGGAACCTCTTTTCACCAGGTTTTGTCAATTGGAAAGGCTCTCCACTAAGTTTTATTAATCCATACGATTAGCGACTTATAATAATTTCCAAAACTTGCTGTCAGTTGTTGTTTTGCGTCACAGGGTTGGCCAGCCCTGCCAGCCTTGTTACTCGTTTCTTGAAGCAACCTTTCCTGTCGTCGCCCTTTGAATCGGCATCCCCTACTTTTAAATTGCAGAGTCTAGGCACGTCAACAAAGAATGGTCCTAGCTCATTTTCAAAAACCATCACGTATTTATTGTTTTGAGAATAATTGTCAACGTTGTTCACACTGTATAATAACGACATATGACCGAGAAACGAATGTAATCGTCTGAGTTTTGAATTGGTAACTTGGTTTATTCATAATAATATTATGTCTCGATTGTTGGGCTAGGTAATAACAGCCGCATTTGACGGGGATGCCTCAGGCTCCAAAAGGGATCGTGGACGTGGAGAAGCCCCCGCACGTGAGGTGTGGAGCCAAAGGATTAATGTTATTTATTCTCCTCAACAAACAGAGCACAACCCAACAAACAAAATCAATCTTTGTATATCCCAAAATCCGTCAATCATTTAGCTTTTGTATCATAAAGTAACGAATCAACCCCTTTTCGTCAGAGAAAGGCCAAATAGAGGGAAAAGGGCTCAAAATGCTGGTGGACGCGGAGCTCCAAGGGCTGGATAACCAGCTTGGCACCTACATGCAAACCAGCCGACAAAATTATGCCACACAAGAGAAGCTGCTCCAGGATTTTCAAGAGCTGATTGAAAACTATCGGCAGCTGAAAAGTGACTACGAAGAAGAAAAAGAGTCCCGCGAAAAGTACAAGAAACTGGCACGTGGTCAGGTAAAAACAATCTCCTACTTCCTATCTCATTAAAAACAATCCGCTCACCTAATTACTTTCAGGAAAGGAACCCGTTTGCTTTAGTCTTAATTGATGGAGACAGTTATATTGTGAGTTTTCTTATATTAAATATCGCCCGCTGGCGCTGACTTCTGTGTAGTTCAAAGACCAACATATCAAAGGTGGCGCAGATGGCGGAGTAACTGCCGCTCAAAAACTCAGCAACTCTATCAAAGAGCTGCTCCAGTCGACATTATACAACGATGCTGACCAATGTCGAATTATGGTCCGAGTCTACGCTAACCTGGCAGGCTTATCCAAAACTCTGTCTAGAGCTGGTCTCATCGGCCATGAGTCTCGCTCTTTGGCTCCATTTACGGCCAGCTTTAATCGATCTCAAGATTTGTTTGATTTTGTGGATGCAGGCGACAAAAAGGACGGTGCCGATTTCAAAATACGAGGTAAATGAAATGTTCTTAAAATTGTGGAAGATGCCTAACTAATGTGCCGATTGGTAGAAATGTTTCGCTTATTTGCCGACAATAGTCAATGCAAGCACATTTTCTTCGCTGGCTGCCATGATGTCGGCTACTTGTCTATGCTTACTCCATATCGAGGAAAATCCGACCGTGTCACCTTACTTAAAGCCGCCTCGTTTCATCAAGAATTCGAAAACCTGAATCTACCCATAAGAGAATTGCCATCATGCTTTAGATCTACACCTCTTAACGACGCCCTGAATTCAATATCTTTGCCAACGAAAGGGAAGCTTGATATGAAAACACTACCGTACACTCCAAAGCCCAAGGTCTGCAAGTTTTATCCAAAGGTACAAATAATCAATTACGAATTATCGCTTTTCGAAACAGCAAAATCACTAATATCGACATAGGGAATGTGCAAGTACGGATCAGACTGTGTCAACGAACATATAGACAAAAGCCAACGAACGCTTTTAGTGTTGCAGAGAGAAATTTCGGCAAATCATCACCTTCTACCGATTCCGATGACACTAATAGCATAGGACGTTTTCGACTAACCGAATTACCATCCGTCGTCTTGCCCCTAAAAAGACCATTAGCTGAGGGCTTAATTCCCATAAACAAAGATGGCGATCGCCTTGAGTGCATCTGTGAAAAACCTTCCGGGGATGCATGGAATACCTATAAAAAGCGAATGTCTTTACACAAAGTCTGCAACAAACGTCATCTGGCCGGTCACTGTGATGATATCGATTGCAAATTCGACCACAGTGATCTGGAACCCTCGTCGCTTGCAGTATTACGATTTATTATGAAACAAACCCCTTGTCCTCGAGGCTCGGCTTGTCGCCAGGCAGACTGCTATGCGGGACATGTATGCCAAAAAGATGGCTGTCGAGGCGGTCACGAGTGTCGTTTCAAACCCTGTAAACACATACAATATTTAGACTTCAAAGTCACAGACTGGATAGAACCAGACGATTCTAGCACGACGGAGAAAAGTGATTTAGATATTTTTAGCCTTCACGGTGATGAGGGCTATGAAGATTCGACTCCCCACAGCCCTGTACAAGAGCCGTTAACTGAAGATATTCTCTTACGCTATTGAAAAGGCTTGTCAACACGAGAACAGAATATCGATAGAATATCCAACAGAGAAACTGGAAAAATTAAAAGATTGAAGGAAACTCTTGAGGCTTAAAGATCTCTGGAGTAGATGGAGGTATTGATTACAATATGGCTTCGTAGAAGCTTGTACTGGAAAAGACACATACGCGAGGAAGCGTATATGCCTGTTGAACGAATTTTTTTGGGATTATTGTCATGTTAGAGGGTACTATAGCTTCGGTCTATTCACTTGCACGAGAATGTTATCAAAGAAAAAGTCAAGTAATTCCCTACGTCAAATTATCTTTCGCACTTCAAAGCTCGGTGGTCTTAATGCGTATGTCGAATTTAGTTATCCTTCTAAAGTGAAATCCTCTAGAAGCTGCCGTAGCCTGCTCTTTTCATTCTCGCCGCCAAAGATAGCATCCACACCCCTAACGCAAAGTGCAATCAAGTCTGAACGGTTGAGACCAAAATGCTTCGCGGCCAGAAAATATTCTTGCGAAACAGGACTGCAGAAGAAACCCACATCGTCAGTCTATCACATACGTTAGCTTTACCTGCTGAGGGAAATAAGATGCCATAGACATTGTCGGAAAGGATGTTGAAATTGTTGACATACACATAAAGCCAACGGACATGCCGTCTTCAGCCAATACGCAAAATGATGATCCTCGAAACCACCTTTGATCATCTTTGCATGCACATTACAGGACATGCATAATTCAAGGCCGATGCCTCTGTCGGTTATCTTTTCCTTGATGGCGTCGGGAACATGGATGACATGTCCTAAACGATCTGGTGCGAATGACAGTAGAGTCTCTAGTTCCTTGATCTCCCCCGAGAACAAGGTCTCGGCGAAATGAAGTGTGATTTTGAGCCCTTCTGATCTTGCGAGAGCAAATGCTGAGCGAAAGATTGAAACATCGCCCTTGTTCGGGTTCCCGCAGAGATCGATTCCGATGATTGCGAGGTTTTCGTTATATATGCGGTGTTTTAGAGCAAGATCAACAACTTGCATTGCCGATTCGGGGTTATCTCTCGCTCGATCTATAGATAGGATGAGATATACAACCATTCCATCTACGTTGTTAGCCTTGGTTTGATCTTGGCGGAATGCATCAATTGCACTCAACACTGTGAGAATATAAGTCTCCTTCGAGACAATAATCTCTCCATCATGACCGCGAATCTCTCTGGGTGTGGTTCGTAGCTCCAAATACCGTACACCATCACGCTTGAAATCGTTCAGAACAGCACTCGTAGCGCATAAGATACTATCAACATCATTGCACAACTGATAAATCATTTTTGAGAAGACGTCGAAGAATCTATATTATCGTTCCTCATTAATAATCAAAAATATCTCGGATACGAAGATCTTTCGGAGATTTGAGATCCAGCATACATGTTCACCCTATAGTCAACTTTCCCTGGGGGCATTAGTACCCATGGATCATCTAGATCAAAGTTCGGATCGTGAGATTTCTTTCGCAGCCATATCTCGTGCAGACATTCTCGAGTTATGCTGCCGCTCAGATGGGCATGTAGCTGGTTGTTTTATTAGTAAATAAAATTTTTCAAAATTTTGTTTCTTCAGGCACTTATAGCGTCGTGGAGATAATACCTCTATTTTTGGTAACCGTTTGGTGAATAATTCGGTAACTGGTGATAAATTTTGACTTGTGGCCATCTTTCCAAATCCACATTCAGATGTAGATGTAAATTCGGCTTTATATATGCAGTTGTGATGGTACAAGGCTGGATTGGTTTTTCAAAGCGTACCTTTGCAAGGTTTATTGTTGGAGCAAGTTCTACGTCGATTGTAAAATGCTTGGGAATACTGTTCAACGATGTTGTTGAAAAACCCCCCACTCTCGGCTCGTCGCTGCACGCCCTACTCCTACTTAGGCTGCATGAAGCGCTGCACGTGAATATCCAATTCTATAAATTGCTTTAAATCCATCTGATTTTGATTGTTTCCACTATTTAGTAAGCGAGCATTGTGTAATTATGTTTGTCAAGCATTTCTGAGTTCCTTGGATTTTACTACCCTATGCAAGGAACTGTTGAGTCTCTAGACGTTACGTATCGATGACCCATGTTAACCTTAAGTAGTGCCAGATCTGAGATTCTTCATATTTAAATACGTACATATGTACTTCTTCGTATAATCCTGGTTACATAGAAACGCCAAATCATAAATTTAATTATCATCTTCAAACCACGGCCCATTGGCCTCAAGAAACTCGCGCCAAGTCGTCAACTTCTCATCAACCTGCTCAAGCGTCCACTCGAGATCCTTCTGACCCGTCGGACCATAGTAAGACCACTCGCTGAGCATTGTAGGCGCCTGAGAAACCTTCTGTTTTATCGGATCATCTGTCAGAAGCGGAATCTCAGAAATTGAGGGCAAAACAACTTGTTTGCCTGACACCTCACTCCAAGTCTCAACTTGTTCTTGCGCCGTGTAGAAAGCAGTCGAGGCAGTCAATTGACAGCCATTGTATTTCAATGGATCTCGTAGTGCTGGGGCAAGGTATTTCCCAATATCCGAGATGTCGATCAGAGGGATTCGGGTTTCAGGTGTGAAGGCAAATGGGAAGAGCACTTTTTGGTCACTTATCTAGAATATTTCGTTAGTTTATCCATATCTAGAGAGAAGGTCTCATTAATATAGCGTACTTTCTTTGGCTTCGGCGCAAGATCGTTCCACACATTCTGCATAAACCATCCCGGCAAGAAGAAAACACTGCTAGGAAATGATAAGCCACGGATATACTCCTCGACCTCAGCTTTGCTGTCAAAGTGGTGAACCTCCGTCAGTTTACCATTGGTAATCTTCTTAACATTTGGTAATGATGACCATATGAAAAGAGTAACTCCAGCGGCAACGGCAGCGTCGGCGAGGGCTTTGCCTTGAGCGATTTCAACGGAAGCGCGAGCTTTCTCCCAGTCTAAAACTTATATGTTTAGCCGCTACTAGGAATCAAGATTCTAACCATGGTGCAGAGGAGAAATGGGATCTTACAGTTCGTTACTGAGAAGACGGCGTATGCGCCTGCAACAGCGGCATGGAGAGTTTCGGGGTCATCGAGATTGGCCTTAATATTCATATCAACGAAAATTCTCGCAAAAATATTCTTGCACATACCTCTACAATCTCAACTGACTTTTGTTTAAGTTTCGCCGCCGCAGTAGAACTGGCGTTTCTTGTAATGGCCCGGAGACGAAAAGTTTTAGAGAATTCAGGATGGTCAAGTATATAGTTGACGAGCGCGCCACCTTGTTGGCCTGTGGCTCCAAATATGACAAATAATTTGCTCATTTTAGCAATCAACTAGTGGGGATCAATATCAATTAATGTAGTAGATGAGATTGTGGATTAGAGCGGAGGATGTAGATAATGCCAACTGTTAAAGAATCGAGGCAGAAATACCGAAATTTATAGATTCCTGCTCCTTCAAATAAATTTGACAAAAGGATTCAATTTAGTAATCAATAGCTGACAACAAGTCCGATCAGTATGTTTTCTATATGACTTGACGGACATTGACCCTAGCAAAAGACCACGCAAAAAGGCCGCAACTCCGTAAAGCGGACTTTCGGGCCTTGAAACTTGTGTTAATACTTCCCCTTCCCCCAATTATGTAACAAAAAAGAATGTTATAAAGGAATAATACACTTAGAGTCCAGAACCGTCCACCTTCTGGAAATTCCTGTCTCGGCTACAGAAATCGCAAAATATAAAGCGACGGCGGTCAGCTATGCACCAGGCTCCCACAAATGATGCTTGAAAAGGCCGCCTGTACCACTGCGGCGCCGCTGAATTGAACCGACAAAGGAGATGGAGGATCCCGACCGTCCATGGCCAGCAGAGTCAGCTGCGAAGGATTTTTGGGTGGAGGGTGAAGCCCCTAGGTTATGTATATACGTAGACCGCCATTTGATCTCATCTTCCAAAACGTGTATGGAGCATTAACATTGCACAATCCATTAAGAAGTGATTTCAAAAAGTAGTTACTTGCTCTCGCTATTATATTTCTTTCTCTGCGATCATATAGCTTAAATGGGATAAAGTTGCCTATTCCGTTGACTAACGACGACTACATTTGATAGACTCGATCAGAGGAAAGTGTCGGGGTCTCTCCAGATGTCGGGATGAGAATGTGTGGGTGGAGCATTCATAAACCATGTTTGTTGAATGGTTCTTGATGTGACCATCTACTATGTATCCTAAATGCTCCTTCTTGTCTAACTTGTTGCTCACTGGGGTCTAAGAGATGGCTTCCTTGTATTTACTTGCTTGACTTTTCACTCTTAACATTACTGTAGAGTTTCAGATTAAAAGTGTTTATTGTCGACAAAAGTAGAATGATTACAGCGATTATCTATGTTTGCACACTGGCCGAAACCGAGACATGGAATAGTGGATAAGTAAATCCACAACATTTATCTAATTTAAAGCTTAATTTTTATAGTTCAGTTAGCTATTATCACTATCCAAATAGTATGTATCTCTTGAAGGCTAATGTGCACCGTCAGAGCGGTTACTTCGCCAGAAAGCATGAAGTGAGGAAAGATATTGTCATATGCCGGCATAGCGCCACAAAGTTGTTTCCTTGTGGATGCTGAGGGCTAGTTATCGATGACACTGCAGCTAGTTTCATTAAAAATTCCGATATCAACTAGGACTGTTATTGTTCTGTTTCTGGTGGTTCTTCTACGGGATAATTAATACCAAACTAAGCAACTTACATAGATTATCGAGGACCACGATTGACATGCAGACATGACTTCTGACTCATTCGATGTTCTGAATCAAGTTTGCCTGGAAGCTATCACAGGCTGCCTAACTTAACCCACCAAGCCAGCAACCGGCTCGGTTTTCTGCCTGCTTGGGGCTTGCCATTGGTGCTTGAACAACGGTGCAGTCAGTCCTCGCTCGGTACTACTACGTGGTGAACCGGCCGAGAGCATGATCTTCGTTTTTGATTGTCTAGACGCGATATATCCCTGTACCATGCAATAGCCGGGAGCTGCGATTGGTGTTGCGACACCTGGCAGGCGAATGGCCCGCTGTGGCCCCTTGAAACGACGTGGCCATAGGATGTGTTCGAGCATCGCGGCTAGTGTCTCACAGCGGGCAGTGACCTGACGCTACTCTCTGTACGTGTTAGCATTATTTAATAACAGCAAAAACATTGTTGAGTCGAGAATGTGTTGAATATGCATTGGTTAATAATAGTTACTGACTGGTCTGGCCTCGGCAACCCAAATAGGCAGCCGCGATCCACGTGACCGGCCCGAGTGTGGCGGTGTGGCGTCGGCTTGGGCGGATCGTGCCTAACATCCTCCAACCTCGCGATTATTCATTATTGTTATTACTACTACCGTGCTTATTATTCGGCCTTTCTTGTTCTGACTCACTCGCGCACTAGTGCATTAGGTATCCCAGCAGAAGCTTCACCACGCCGTACCCAACCACCTCCCATCCGCAGCATCTTGCTACACGCGCGGTACCTTCCTTGGTGGAGTCATCCTCGGTCACACGACGTGTGTGGGCTGCTCGCTTCGATCTCCAGTCCCTAAAGAGAGCATTGCCATCCTTCGACTGACAAACTCTGCTTGTCAACTGTTGCAGCCTCCGCCCCCGCCCCGTCGCTTGGCCTGCTGGAGTTCCGGATACGCCTGATTTCTAAGGTGGCAACGTTCTGCGCATCCGCTAGCGGAAAGCTCCTTGGTGGATGCCTTGTACAGTCTGAGCACTATAATAGCCACCGCGTCCCCCCATTCGACCCACGCAACTGCGTCGGCTACAAAATCGCTCTGTCCTATACACCGCTCTTGCATCCTTCACATCGACTATCCTTGCGCGCTGAAACAAGGTTTCCGCCACATAGACCAGCCTCCGTCAGGAACTTAGGAACTTCCTTCCCTCATGTCTGCTGTCATGGGCGACGGCACAGACTATCCAAGTCCAAGAAGTGAAGGGCCCAGCGGACCTAGCGCTATTCTCATTGCTGCTCCAGAGTCTCTTTCACCATCAAAGATGGCAGATTCCGTGCCAAATCTCACTACAGATGGAACTCGCCCACGATTGTCGGTGAGACGGTCTCGCGATCCTCCAAAGAACGAGTTGAATCAGATCTATTGTGATCATACCGAGTGTCAACCCAACCCGCCTACATTCCGTCGACCTTGCGAATGGAAGTAAGTACCCATTTAGATTGGTTTCTTGTAAATCTTTTTTTTTAATCCTTTTACTAACTATTTACTAGTAAACATATGGATAAACACGATCGCCCCTACAAGTGCATGGAGCCCGGCTGTGACAAAATCCAGGGATTCACATACTCCGGTGGACTTTTGCGACACCAACGCGAAGTGCACAAGAAGAATGCCACAGCCAAAAAGTCCTTAATGTGCCCTTATGCCGACTGCAATCGCAGCAAAGGCGATGGCTTTACTCGACAAGAAAACCTCAAGGAACATCTTCGCCGCCGTCACATGCATACAGATAATGGAGCTTCATCGGAACTCTCGGCCCTTGCCGTTGCCGAAGTCGAGGGTCTGAAGTCAACACTTCTGGAACACACCCCAAGTCTCAAGCGCAAGCATGATTCTGTTGACTCCCCGCTTGATATTTTGGACGGAGATGAAGAAAGCTCGGTCGATCTCCATGACGAAGTGAAACGTCTGCGGCTCGAAGTGGAAAAGAAGGACAGGCGTCTAGAAGAACTCGAGCGAATTGTAGCAGGACTGCAACAGTCGATTCCCCAACACGGCGGTATGGCAGTGGTTGCTGGTAGCGAAGTTTGATGCCACATTCTCCTCTCTCCTGTCTGTTTTGATGCATTGGGTGGCGTTGTTCGCAAGTCGTACGATTACACGATTTTCTAATTTCTGTGCATGTCGAAAGGGCCTTTGGTTGGATTCAGTGCGTTTAGTGATGAAGTGTGATTATGCTTTCTCCGATTACGAGATCAGGCGTTCGGTCTGGGATGTGGAGTTGTGGAGAGCGAACCTCTCCTTGCAGTGGCGTTGTTTATTCATATTCGCATATTTTATCAACAAATATACCCTGGTTTATTGTTTCCCACGGTGTCTGTTACGGCATTGTGTAGCTGTCGCCCCTCATGTACGCTCATGCGTTTTTAATAACTTGCTCCCTGCCTTTCTCTACTTTCAATTTCACTAGTTATCAACATGTATTCCTGTTGCTACCCGTACGTGCGATTCCACACTTAGATAGAGCTAAAATGAGACGATATCCAGTAAAACCTAGCCCAGTAATCGCCTGTCGGAAAGAAGCGGTGAAGGTGCCTGAATGCAGCGAACATGTCGACATTCAATCTTCACCGGAATAGCCGGTAGTGTACGTACGTACGTACCAGTTGCCTCTATTGACGCACGTAGTTGTCTACGAAACCCGGTGCACCGCCACGCCCAAGCATAAATAAGCATATGACTAGTGCGCAATCAACATCCATGACGAGTCCCAGAACAAAAATTGAAACTTCGCCTCCATCAGGCACCAGTCATTCCAGCCTGCAAGAATCCCTATAAAAATAATTAATTGTGCGGTGGCTGAGGCTCATGCATTTGCATTATTGCATACATGAGTCTGACCGTCCAATCAGGCGCGTGCGAACCAGCACTGAGTGGCTTAGATAATCCACAATCTAGAAAATTCGCTGCCTGAGGCGAGGACGTGATGTACGTACTCTGTCGATCATGGCTAGTTACTTGCCCCTTCTGGATGCTCGGTAATTGCATACGTGCGTACTCGGTACAGTGGATATCGATCAACCCTCGTATTGGTATGAAATATGATTGACATGCCAGGATTGTTTGGTGAATAATAGTAAGCGAGTAAGCAGCTGCGTGTACCGACTGGGGCTCAGCTGCATACTAGTATAGAATATTGATGCTTGGCAGAACTGTGGGATGTTGTTCCTATTGATTACTTTCTTATGTGTATCATGTATATTGATGTAAAGGGAGTGTGAGGCAGGCTGTGCGGTTTTTTGATGGTGTTTTCGAAGTTTAAAAGCACGAATCAATGTTGATGGCTGGATTTGCCTCCGTATCTCATCCGTTTTCGTGTGCCGTGGATTTATATACCGAGTTCAAATTAATTGCTTTTTAATAAGCATCTACTGAAACATTTTTAGTCATGAATCATCTCTATTCTTAAACTGTAACTCAATTTTCTAAATTCAATACCCGCGAGGTCTTTGATCAACCGGCATTTCATGAGCAGCCCTGTAAACACTAAGCTCCTGGGGATGTTTTATATCCTTTGCTTGATAATGACGTTTGTAGAGTGGAACTGGAGGCGAAATATATTCTGGCTTTTTCGGAATTCTCATCCACAACATGAAGAATCCGGCCAAGGATAGTACCACCACAGCGCCAAGCACAACACCAAGCGCAATCGCAGCCTTAGTCCCGCTGGAGACACCAGAACTACTTGTTTGTACAGGCGAAGATTGAGCAGCCGGTTGAGAAGAAGTTGGATGAGAAGTGACTGTGACTGTAAAGGGACTGGCAGAGGCACTTGTCGTCGACGAGAACCTGTATAGAGTTGGCGATAATGTTATTGGATTACTTTCGCAACAGGATGTGTTGGCGTGGCCGCAGCACCATGTTGTTGAGTTTCCACCTGCTTCTTTATCGCATGGGGTCATTTCACTTGCCTGGAGATGCAATAATCTGTCAGTAATCAGAAATGAAAGGGACATAGAAAGATCGATAGATACATACCCCCTCCTCCATACATTCATTCAGACAATTTCCATCTTCCCAGCTTTCATTTGAACACGAATTCCGCCAATAGAGTGATTCCACCGCCTCGGTTGTTGTGTCGTGGAATACATTCTCACACAGCCCATTTGAAAGACAAATGTCACGGGTGCTGGAGTTGTATATACCAGTCGCATCAGCGCCGGGCGGAGAAGCGCGATTCGTAGCACAGCACATGCTAAAGACTCCCTCCATTTTGATACATGGCTCATAACTTTGCGTGTCTCCACCGGGGAGATAGCAGGCGGGATCCCAATAAGCCTTAGCTAGGATGAAGAAGCTAAAAAAGGTAGAAAAGTGTAAAAGCCACATAGTGAAATCGTAGACAGTAGGAATTTATTGAGTGGAATCATAAATAGTACTAAGGTATTGAGTGCCGATGGTTTGGATATGAAAGCCGAGCAGCGCTGAAGACGAAAACAGGTATAATTGATATCAAGAAAGGAAGAGAAAACGGAGTAATGAGATAGAATATAACGATAAATTTGAAAAAGGATAAGCGCCAGGTTCACCCTTCTCTCTCTTCAGGAACACTCATCAATTCCAGTCAATGCCGAATTGTGCAGGTATTAAGCGCCACTAAATCCCCATAAATGGAACATTCTGCGGAGTTTTATTTTGGGACCCTGTATTAGCATTGGGCTATAAACAATTTGCCGCAGCCTACTGCGTTGCTAATACATGCATGGCTTGACGATATTGATTACACTGAATGTAGTATTAATAATAACCTTGAAGGATGAAGAGTAGAAATATGGCCAATCATGTCAATTGATAGAAGACTGAACAATCCATTGACAAAAGTAAAACCAACCGGTAGAAAGGAGGAGAACAATAATAAGAACGTAGAAATTCTGCGACATTGAATGATAACTCGCCTAACGATATAAATGTATTGCGAACTTCACAAGTGAAGCTTTTATGCACATTTCAATTCAACAGAACGTCGTGATTTCAAACGATGTCCTTGAAATTGAATGAATATCCTTGCCGAATATCCTTGCCACTTCAGGCCTGAAGAATGTCTCGACCAATGGGATATGATTCTAGTTGTTGGTGCTGCAAGCGACGACATTAGTGCGGCGAGGTGGACTTGGCAGGGATCGATTGCATAGCGAACGGCCAGTAAAACAGCGAGTTCGTGACATTTTGAAACATGGTGGCGGTAATTCCCCTGTGAGTCTATCTTTAGTCTCTATACGAGTCAGCAATTATAGAACCATTATGCGAATTAACATTGTCCCTTGTATACTAATTTAAGTGATGAGTATAATATTTTTATATTGACTTAAGATGTTAGATATTTTAGAAGTTATAGTGAGTGCAAATATTCTCCATATATGTGCATATGTGGAACTGGAGGTATTAAATTCTGTATGTCAATTGGTGGTTTAAATGTTCCAATTTTGGCCTCATTCCGTTGGTGTTGAGGAAAGGGCTCTGATGCTGGTTTCTACTATTCTAGACCTTCCTGTTACCAGACTTCATGTAAATTGATTTAGGGCAGGGATAATAATGAAATCTGACTATTAATAGTATATATAATTAATACACGTAGGGCTAATCTAGTTGACCTAAGGTCCATGTGGCGTCAACTGGTGTACTTTTGGTGTATATCTCCACCGCTGTGGAATGTCTCCTGAACTACAAACTAGGACTGGTCAGCATAGACACAAGCTTGAATAACATTCTAATAAAACATGCTCACATGAAATAAAGCCTTTGTTAACCCTTATCAAGACAATTTAACATTGGTTAGCACTAGTCCAGCCATCTATTCAATGAATGGAATGTATACTCTTCAGATATTGATCTTTTAAATATACCCCGCCTTGACTTATTCTTGAGTCATATGTTAAGAATTTTCCCTTCTGTATATTATTATTGTCCGATATTTTTCTTGGGTATTTGATTGATGTATAGATGGTCGGCCCAGATCCACCAATCACAGCCCGTCACGCTAGGCAACCCGTATCGACCAGTCACTTTGACGTCCGTTTGCATTTCCGCTTCAGCCGCAACTTGAACATTGCAATTGCCAGCCCATCATCAATTGTGCATGCTGCTACTGTTGAACAGGAGCCGCGAGAGCTTGTATGCTTTTGCATTGTTTTAGCTCGGAAGTCTCCATTTGAGCGGATTCAGTAGTGCCATGCTCCTCTCTCGACGATACTAACACGGCGATTGTATGCATACGCTAAAATACCAGGCTGTATTGGGGACAAGAAACCACTTTCATCTCACTTTGCAGTTCGAGTGATTTGCCATTATCGATAGACTTCCAAATCACTCTACCGTCACTTTCTTTTCTAAAGATCTGTTGACTGTTCGTCTAAATTTCACACGCCTGTCGCAAACCATAATGGCAGACAAACTCGATGCTAGCCATGGCCGTAGCGCACCAGCGTACTTACCAGCACACGAATATCACGCTGCGATCCCACAGGTCCCTCAAACCTTTTTAGTCCCGCCAATGGCGCTTGGTGACAAAAACCTGAATCGTTTTATCGTCGAGCCGCCAGAAGAACATGGCTTTGACGTGGGTGAATTCGTCGACTCGGGTTTCTTCAATCAAGTTGATCAGTCATGGTTTTCTCACCGTGCAAAGCGTGAGACATGGTTATACGCCATGCGTAGAGAGGCTCAGCAAATCCTACCCTTTCTATACCTCGGCCCATCATCTGTGTCAAAGGACCAAGATTTTCTCAGAAGGGAAGGCATAACTCTACTCCTGTCTATTCGTGACAGGCGATCAGCCAATGTACGTCTGCTATCAGGTGCCAAGGTTGCAGAAGAGCTCGGAATACTGGCCGACTCGGTCGATGTGGAGGGCGAGGCAGAACTTATTGCCTCTTTCCCCAACGCCATTCGTCGAATCAATAAACATATCACCTCTGGCGCCTCGGCTCAACAAGGCCTGCCGCCCAGAGTGCTCGTATTTTGTGAAGCTGGGAATGAGAGATCTGCCAGTGTAGTTATTGCTTACGTGATGGCTATGTTTAATATGACTATGGCGAATGCCATGTGGACCGTGCAACATCGAAGATTCTGCATCAATGTTGACGAGTCAATGCAATCACTACTCCGCTCTTTCGAGACAATCCTAGAAGCAAAAAGACAAGTTGCAGCAGCACGCCGCCAAGAGAGTCTTATGGGGCAGTCACAACCACTGCCTCAGAGTAAATTGTTGAAAAAGCGCAGTTTCATTGAATATGACAATGACCAGCAGCACTCGTCTGGACCAGGTGGTAATCTTGGTAATTACTCCACGGGTATGAGCAACGCCGAAGACAGCCCTGAACATTTGAAGCAAAAACCAGCGCCATTCGTAGATCGCGTTGTATGATGAAAGAAGATGAGCATATGGGAACATTGGAAAGATTATCAAGGCACTTTAGATGAAATGGGATGGAGTTTTGCTGTACAACAGAGTTCACCAGGAGCCAAATAGTTAGGCGTTAGGGAATCAACAATACCCAGATTTAGATGGATTCAAATCCATTTTTCAAACTTGAAGTTTGTACTTATGTAGGATATATCAGTATTATGTAGTTTCTACCCGCTTCTTGGTACAAGATGAGCTGTGGGGATGTTAAGATATATCAATAAAAGAAAGAAAATCCAACAAGGGTAATACGCGTTATAAAACAAGAAGATATAGCAATAGCGTTGTCCCTTGACCGCCATTCCTTGATACAGAATCCAACAAGGAAGGCGCATGGTTCCATGCAAACACCCACAAACAACAGAAGAGCGCCTCGTTCCCTCCGCCAAAAAAAAGGCCTCATCTTATTTTGTTCTGATACATCCAACTATCCCATCCTTCTTGGACTTCTTTTTAGCCAGATTTTGGGTCATGGTAAAACTCACCATTCCTTTTTACTCTCACCTGGTCACTGCTTTCCACATTTCCACCCACCACACCACCTGATCATATCTTTGTACCTGAGACTTGGCCAGCAGCCTTTCCACAAATATTCTGTCTTTCCCTCAATTTTTCCGCTAGTTATTTCTTTCTCAACAGCTTACAGACATACTTGTTCAATTGGGTGACAGCTATTTACAATGAGACTCAGGTCGATCATCAAACCTCCGCAGAGATACGCGTCTGAGATCTTGATGACAGCTGCTGTCCGACGGGGCACACACAATTCTAATGCGCGGAAAAATTATGTCGATTTCAATCCAAACCTCCCTCCTGCAGCCTTCCCAACCTTAGACAACCCGCGCCCCGTTGGCCATAACCGTGTCGCAGAGGAATCTCATCATTCGCAAAATACTGAGGAAGGTGATCAAAAGTCGGTTGGCTATCATGACCAAATTCATCCCCAGATTGTTGACAATTTCATTGCCAGTAACGGGCGGCAGAATCCACAGTACGCGGAGAATATGGCGAAGCTGGATACCGACAGTGGCTCAGAGCTGGCCATAAGCGACGACGACGATGCTGAGCTTAATGGAGATGGAGAAGCTTTCTCTCAGGTAAGATGTATTGTCTTGTGAAAGTTGTCATTTTTATATTAGACAAGTGTGAACATTATACTGAGTCACATTTTTATCGCAGGAGTTATCCGACGACCCAACATGGGGCGATCTCGTTCTTGGCCTACAACTCGAGATTGCCGAAAATATGCTTGCCAAACACGATTTGTTGAAAATTCAGATATTGTTAAGTCTTGATGACGGTGAAGTTACGGAGCTGACAGAAAATCTCAAAAAGCAAAATGAGGACACTGAGCATGAGAACAAGATTCTCGAGGAAATGAGAGCAAAACAGCTGGCGGCTTTAATGTACCTAGACAACTCAGACTTGAAGAGTTACTCAGTACCAGCTAGACTCGTCATGTCGAGAAAGTCATGGGCCCGCTGTCATCGCGCTGTTCAAAAGAACTCCAAGATGGAATATCTCTTATGCAAAGTTGGGGATCTTTTACTAGCTAGAAGGTTTCTTTCGAGGCGTGGTTTACCACTGGCATATGCCGGTGACTGGAACAATGACTATGTCGCAACCCCATCATTAAGTTTTGAGGCTGGTGAACAGAATGCATTAAAGTGGAGACCCAATCTTCCGAGGATATCGGTTGCTGCAATCAATGACACTAGGACAGGAAGTCAAATGAACAACTACCGGAACCCTGGTCCCTATTTTCAAAAATCCAGGTCCGATGGTGACCCAGGACCGTCCACATTAGGTGAGTCATCCCGTACAACCTATTGGCGCAGGTTTTCAAGTGTTTCAAAGTCTAAACATGGTGAACGCGTCGGTTACATATCAACGAAACGACGAGGCTTAGTACGACTCAAAATCGGCTCACAACATGCGGCTCGTTTTCTGGCTATCCACCAGTCGGTCCCGAGTGTTCACAGAAACTTCGTGAAAATAGGGCCCCTATCTCTACGAGAACAAGCCATGTGTATGTCTACTAACGCCGATAACATAATAGAGAAAACTCAACCGAAACCAAAGACTGAAAAAGTTCTACCAGTTGCAGGAGTCTTTGGATTACCATTACCTCGCAAATTCTCTCGATGGCCCATCAGTGAGGATGGAGAAGACCTCAAAGGCAAGCGCCCTGCACATACAGGTGGAAATAGCACATCCGAAAATAAGCCCTCTCTCGCAACATCAAATGATGGAACTTTCGATGTGGATAGTCAACCCGAAGAAAAGACTGGTAGGGATCAAGATGTACCTTCAATTTCTGAAGATTCGGCAGAGGTTGAAGTCGAGACCCAAGAAGTGCCAGACAACCCCTCAGTTGAGAACCCGCATGGTGGATGTATGACGGACATGGATGGGGATACCGGGGAAGAGGTTCAAATGGGATTATCTGAAGTGAGCCCACCGGCAACTAATTCCACCGTGTCTCCAGCTGATCCGTCTCCCGAAGCAAAGGAACCCCTGCTGAGTGAGGATAAGCCCGTAATCAGCGAATCAAATCTGCAACGATCTCTTCTTCAGGGTGTTGAGGAATTTATTTCGGAAGCTTATATTGCTAGCGAGCCACTGGAGGCTTCCGAGACAAATTTGTCCACAATGCATAATCATGAGGAACAACGAATCGAAATCAGCGAACAGGATCGAGCTTCCTCGGCGATATTAATGGAAGACAAATCAGCCGGAGCTATCTCCGATATCGCGAATGAAGACCCATTGAACTCGTCAGATGTTGTAATGGCCGATGTAAATTCAGATCTATCTCTTCAAAACTTAAGTCCTGCTACGGAGATCTCGATAGAACCTGTAAAGGAAACGCGTCGGATAGTGACACGGTCTAGGACAAGCGAAGTCTCGATCAAACCTGAAGATGCTGAAGAGTCTTCCAGGCCGACAAAGATTCGCCGCAAGTCAAGCGTACACATGACGCCTACCGAAATCACCCAAGGGACCACCGATCTGCCTCCTCGGCGCAGTCCTCGGCGCAGTCCTCGCAATAAACAGAAACAGTCCGATCCTAGAACAAACAGTCAACGTGTTCTTCGAGGGAGGAGAACAATTATGAGTGATGACAGCAAGAATGATTGAACGTTTTTGATGAATAAAGAAGATGAACGAGCACTGAACGATGTATGAATGCGTGTAATCTATGTTTTCGACGATTTTTCTAGTCCATCTGTACGATACCACATTGTGAATAGTTTGTTTCTACTTATCTTCATTTGAATTTTGTTTGATTTGGCATTTGTTTGGCCCTCCATTTGTTAGAGTACTGGAGCTGAGACACCCGGAAGTGGTTATAATTTACCATGACACAATGAAACGGAATGCATATACCATTCAGTATTGACCGCCGTAAGCGAGAAAATTCCTATAACATCCTTCAAATAGAAAGAAGGAACTAGAACTAAAGAAAAATTGCTCGGAGTTGCTGTAATTCACGTTTGACGATTGCTTGGATGCAAACTCCGCACGTGAACCCGTCAACGTCTGAAATGAGAAATCTGAACATGATGCGTCCATTTCATACTTTGCGTTTTCTCTCGAAACCTCAATCGAAGAAAGTGATGTAATTACACACCCATATGAAGCCTACAAACTTGATTAATCAGGAAATGATGACAGTCACACACACATTTTGGTTCGCTGAGGAAATCTGTCAGGAACATCATACATATCATGACCGATTATCATCTTCCTAGTTAGCCCTGATAAGGAGGTTGATTCCTAGTTTCATGGAAATAGAGCTTTCCATCATGATGACAGCACAGAAAAGGGGTTATATGGAGATCGGACGAATAGGAAAGGCTGATGTCGGCGCTTGCCCTAAAAAGGAGGTCATTATGTGGCACGTGACCGCGCGGCACAAAATCGCGTCTGCCCGCGTTTGAAGGCAACAAAGGCAGCTGAGATCTAGACCCCTTGTCGAAATTCAGCAGGTTGGTATTATCAGTATCGAAAATCGTGTCAGTTGAAATATCGTTCGGAATTTTGTTTAATTTTGATTTATTCTTCTATTGTGTTCTTTTTCTCTCCCTAACCTTTTATCGCGCTGGATTTGACGGTGCCCGTTTTCGACTGTTTTTGAGACGAGTTAATCTACTCTAGCTCAAGCAAAAACTGCCGTTCTCGCGCACATGGGTTCTCGAATCTTCAATTTCATTGCCAACAAATTGGGCAGTCCGACTAAGAAACAACTGTCTGAAGCGGAGATTTCCGAAGCAACGACTCCTGCTACCTTGACAGATTCAGCCCAGCAGGAATCATCATCTCCGCCCTCTTCGCCTTTAGATGCATCTGGATCAGAGCATGATAAGATGGATATCGATGTTAACAAGGATGATATAAAGAATGAGGTGGTCCCAGAGACTGGCACGGAGATGGCGGATGAAATCGCAGAGGAGGATGATATGGAGGGGATGGATATGAAAGCAAGAGCATTAACAAAACTTCTTCAAACGAGTTCGGTAAGCAATTATTATTTTGTTTTCGGTATATGTGAATAGTTGAGTTGCTGATTGGTCTATTACTAGGTTTTCGTCGCCATTATGGCCGATAAGATGAAAGAGCAGCAAAAGCAACAGCAAGAGGCAGCCAGGAAAGCAGCTACTAAGAAACAAACACCATCAGTGAAAGCCGCTTCAGCTCCTTCATACGGACGCCGCACCACCCGTGCCAAAGCCAACGAAGAAACAAATACAGAAGCAGCGACCGCCCACGAAAATGGGAAAGCCGAGCCTAAGAAAGCAGCTGGAAAGAAAGGTACCAAGAAGGGGGCTCCTAGCAAAAGCATTTCAAGTTATTTTAAGAAGGTTGATGTGGAGGTGACAGAGGACAACCCCACAGTTCAAGAAGCGCTGGCGCAGGCGGCAGACGAACTAGAAGCAAAGCCTACCGCAATTGGTGAGCAGGAAGGCTTGGTTGCAACAAAACAGCCTGAATTGGTCACAGGTGGAAAGATGCGGCAGTATCAATTAGAAGGGCTAGAGTGGATGAAGTCACTTTGGATGAATGGGCTTTGTGGCATTCTCGCCGATGAAATGGGTCTTGGCAAGACTATTCAAGCGATTTCATTAATCGCTTTTTTCAAAGAAAATAATATTTCCGGCCCTTTCTTGATTGCAGCGCCTCTGAGTACAGTCAGTAACTGGGTTGATGAATTTCAGAGATGGACACCTGGTATCAAAACGGTCCTATACCATGGTTCGAAGGACGAACGCGCGGCTCTGCGAAAGCAGATGAAGTTGAAAGATCAAAAGAACATGGAATTTCCTGTGGTCTGCACTTCTTATGAGATTTGCATGAATGATCGCGCTTTCCTCTCTCAGTTTCAATGGAGGTACATTGTTGTGGTAAGTCATGTTGAATCACATCTGAATGTCTTGTCTAGTCTAACATCTAATTTAGGACGAAGGCCACCGCCTGAAGAATATGAACTGCAAGCTCATTAAAGAACTGCTTACGTACAACTCAGCTAATCGACTACTCATTACTGGAACGCCACTGCAGAACAATGTTTCTGAATTATGGTCTCTTCTGCATTTCCTTCTTCCTGAGATTTTCAACGACCTAGAAAGTTTCGAGGGTTGGTTTGATTTCTCATCTGTTCTTGATCGAAACGGCCAGACGAATGTCGTTGAGAAACGAAAACGCAATCTTGTAACCACAATGCATTCTATTCTCAAACCCTTCCTTTTGCGCCGCGTCAAAACTGATGTTGAGACTGATCTTCCAAAGAAGCGGGAGTATATCCTTTATGCGCCTCTCACGCCAGAACAGAAAGAGCTATATAGGGAGATCCTCAATGGCACCGGTCGTCAATATTTAGAGAACAAGGCGATAGAACGAATTGAAGCCAAGAGCGGGATGGTGTCTCGTGCTACAAGCCTGAAAAGAAAGGCAGAAGACAGCGGAATCTCAACGCCATACAAGAGCATCAGGTCGACTCGCTCATCTACTCCTGGTAGTTTAAATGGTCGTGGCCGCAAGGGTCGTCAAAGCTATAGAGAAATCGGAGATCGAGAGTTCAACAATAAGCTCCGTGATTTGGAGAATGGTATTCAAGATGAAGATGAGCGAGAACAAAGTCCTGGTGAAACCGAGCAGGAGGAGATTGAACGTGCGAAGACTATTAAGTTAGCGAAAAAGGAAATTGGTAGCAAGAAACTCCAGAACCCAGTCATGCAAGCCCGACTAGCTTGCAATTCACCACATAATTTCTATTGGCCATGGGGTGACGATTCTTCTACGGTGGATGACACTTTGGTCACTGCTTCCGGGAAAATGCTGCTACTTGATAGGCTGGTTCCGTGTCTTATGAAAAAAGGCCACAAGATCTTGATATTCTCTCAATTCAAGACACAGTTAGATCTTGTTCAAGACTGGGCCACTCAACTCCGCGGTTGGAAATGCTGTCGTATCGATGGTGCTGTTAGTCAAGTTGATCGTCGCGACCAGATCAAAGCTTTCAACACAGATAAGAACTACAAGATATTCTTGTTGAGTACTCGTGCTGGCGGGCAGGGTATTAACCTCACGGCAGCCGACACTGTCATTCTCTACGACTCCGACTGGAATCCTCAACAAGATTTGCAAGCCCAAGATCGAGCTCACCGAATCGGCCAAACCAGACCAGTCATTGTTTATCGTCTTGCTACAAAGGGCACCGTCGAACAAACCCTTCTCGAAAAAGCAGACTCGAAGCGTAGACTGGAACGCCTCGTTATTCAGAAAGGTAAATTCAAAAGTCTCCTTGATAACAGCACAAACAGTGCTCAAAATGAGGTCGAGGAGCTCCGTAAAGCACTCGGTGAAGACGAATTTGAGCAATTTCATATTCAAAATGACAACCCGCAGTCAATCCTCTCTCAGGATGATCTCAACATCTTGACTGATCGGAGCGAGGAGGCTTATGTTCGTGCAGAGAAGGGTCTTGAAAAGGGTGGTCATGCTTTCCAGGCCGTTGAAACAAAAGAAGATCAGGGTATCATGGCAGAGCTCAGTGTCCGGTAATATTTTTTGTCGCTGTATTGGAGTTCGGTTTCATGCGCGAGCGTTTGGTTTCTAGATTTACCCTGTATTATCAATACCTTTTGTAACCGGTACCAAGGCGTCGAGTTCAGAAGTACAACTAGGATAGTCTAGACATCAGATAGACTGCATACCATTTTTTGCACCACACACCTTTTGAGCTACACATTAGTCGGCTCTTACATTGATGTAAAATGTCCTATTGTTTAACTCAAATGAAATGTCGGCAATAAGCGGGGGAAGACTTCTATGCACAGTATTTATTTACAATGGGGTAATGGATTCAAAAAGATATATTTTAAAGCCAATTCATCCAAAGATACATCTATGGATATAACACCTCCTAAAGTTTCAGTGACTTTTCAAAATTTTAATCCCCTAGTTTAACTGTGCTGATTATGATCCTAAAGTCGTCTAGATCAGAATAACTATCCATATATATCGAACATACTACCATAAAGACGGGAAATTATTTATCGCCGTATGATAGCAATCGGGACTTATACCAATAAATGGTTCATCCAGCTGCAATGTGTGTTCGAAGTGCGCGAAATCTAGCGATGTCATTGGGGAATCAAGACTCCGATCTAAAACAATTGTTAGAAATCATGTTTTCAAGGAAGTTATGGCATATGCATCAATTTCTTTTTTCTCTTTTTATTTTCCACTTCAGCGGATCAAGGGTCTGTGACTTACTTGTCAAGTTCAGAGGCTCAAGCTGGTTCTTTCTTAGGGTAAGGTCCAGGTTATTGTCAATTGCCGGATGGTTCCCTTTGAGCTTTGCCAGAAGAACTCCTAGTGCATCAGAGGCCCTTTGTGCTTCTTTAGATGATTCACTAAGCTTAACCCAAATCTCATGGGCATTGTCGAGTACGTCTAGAATTTTTTCCTGACTGATGAGCAACGACGTACTGGATTCCTCAAGACCGTGCCGAGCGAAAAAGCATAACACCATGGTTGCCGTCAAAAACTCGTGGTTGACAAAAGATGAGAACTTCCAACACAATTCATGCAAATATCCATTGGGGCCTGTCTCCTCAAAGAACACTCGCTGGATCTCCAAAGCCTTCAAAGCAGCTTCGAGGCAGGACTTGCGCGAGTACGCGTAATTGTTTTCTTCATCCAAGGATGACCTGCATCGTACATGCAAGTACTTTCGATGTAACATTATTTGACCCTTGTGGAACATAAGCCTTATGAACAGTCGATTCAGTATAATCTGCGGCGAGTCTGTAACAGCCGAGCCTATTGAGTTCATCCGAAAAGGAGACGGAAGCCTACTCTCGGCAGAGTAGAGAAACCTGTCCATCTCCATCACCTCCGCATACGAGTATGGTTGTACTGTGGTGGTAAGATCTGCAATATTCCCTAATGCTGTCAATATTCGCTGACGAGCTATAACCAGCGAACTATCGGTAACTTCAGTTTCTGGTCGAGACGGTGGGAGCTCCAGAGTGCTTTCGTTGAAATCAAAATCATGCAGGTTGCGCGGTTCTATAGTATCCCATTGTCCTTCTTTGATTATTCGAGGCATCCCCGCTTGACTTGTTATCAATATATCACCTTGTAACAATGTTGCCCATATCCTCCGCCGCATTTCTCCGGTAAACGGTGAGATCTCTGGGAAATGCGATGGATCTCGGTGATAGCCCATTTGTATGGCTAGATTGATCAGGATTCCTATCAAAACGCATATATCCTTGTTTGCATCATTTTTGATAGAGTATTCAATCACCATGTAGTTATAAAGAGCCTCAAGTGTATAGCGTCCTGGCTTTGTATACTCACCGAGTGTCAAGCATTGAACAATCTTTTCCCGATACATGTTGACAAGAGAGCCATTTGTCTCGACATAGGGGCTCGACGAGATGACGTTTGATGCTAAAACTGATAAACATATCATAGAAAAGAGTAGAGCGAGCCACATAATCGGGGCTTCCGATGGAGCATTCCAGAATTTTTCATACTAAATCAAAGTGAGTGACCAGACACACGACAACCACAAGCAACTTACTTCACGCTGAAATTGTCCGCTGTGCAGACATACTGCGGTTGAAGGTTCAGTATTTAGTTCATACAGTTGAGTGACTTGCCGTTCCCAGGCAACAACTTACATGGTGCTAAGTCAAGGCGATTAAAATACTGCGACACAAACCGATCCACATTTACTTTTGGAGGAAGAGCTTGCAAAATATCTTCTTTAGATATTGATTCGCAGCCGTATAACAACAGTACATGCGGCATGTAAGGAGGAGCCGTGACATGTTCGCCTTCCTGTTGTTCGAGATGTTCTTTCAAGTCGGTAATACTGTCCAGAATAGCAGCCCAGTGAGTCCCGCTCACATAATGCGGCCCAGATGAGCCAAAAATCATGCTGCCACGACTTGGCGAATTCTCGACATCGGATAGCGGCGTAGTATGAGTAGCCTCTTCCGGATTTTCTCCTTCCGTATCGCCAGTACGAATCACTGATATTGGCCGACTACCTTCGTGAGATGGGTTCTGGATTAGTGATACGACCATTTCCTCTAGTTGAACCACGCGGTCTCGTATACTAGCCCTAGTGCGAGGAGCTTCTGTGTGATGTATCTGTATACCTTCGGGTGAAGATCGGCCATTTTGACTCGGATACTTGCACGACAGAGCCAGACCGCGGGCAGTACACGAAGAACAAGGTTTTTGGCGGTTGCATCGAAGCCTTATATTTTAGCGAAGTAAGCATAGCATTCGGTGTACTCACTGCACTCACTTCCGTCTTCGGCACAGGTGGCATGATAATTGAGGCTTGCTGCGACGGTTCGTTCGTTGTGGGGGACTTGTGTTGCTTGATTCTTCAGGGAGCATTGTCGTTAAATATATGGCTTTTTGAAACGAAAACACAACAAAAGAAAATATACTAGTAGGAAAGTGGCATCAAAGTCTACGGAGTGAGATCAATGCTCACATCATCAATGGATGATGTACTGATTGGTAATAATCTCCACCACCGCAGTGAAATGATCGGCAGTTGCTTTCACTGGCCCACTCGCCGCCTTGGTGACTCGGTATGAGCTTTGTATTAAAAGTAACATCATGCTTCGGCATATGGCGCTTTACCAGGTTTTTTCGTTCATAAAATATGATTGGTTGGATTGGATTGATTTTTTATTTACCCTACAGACTGACCTGTGCCCAGTTTCCCTGTGTGCTTCTCTAGAATAGAGATACATCTGTATTCACCCCTCTAGTAACCCGGCCTAGCCCTGAAATGTCCTCTCTAACCAATCAAACACGTCCGCATTCAAGAGCGACGCAGCACCGACTTGACAATGCATTCCAGCTCCTTCGACAGTTGTGAACAGACGAAGATTAGCCTTGTCTCCCAAGCGTTCAGCCATTATCTCTGGTTGTCCCTGGAAAAAGATATCCTCCTGGGCATCTCCCACGTATACAGGGCAGCGCACATTGTCAATCGAATCCTCTAGGGTGAACGCTTTGAGCTTGTCGAATAATTCAACTGGTGTTGCAACATTGAACGCCCACAGACCTATGAAAGCACAGTCATATCAGCCTTCAATTTCTATCTAAGACCTTTCCCTGTTCAACTTACCATGTTGATATATCCAACGTGACGGGGTTGGAGTAGATGGATCAAACATCCATGTCCCAAATTCTTGGATGAATTTTTCTTCCTCTCCTGAACTGTACAGCTTCAGCAGTTCTTCAGGTGCTTTAAATGCGCTCCCAACATCAAAGACACCATCAATGGCCACAGTTGCAGCGAGTCGGTGCTCATAAGCCGCGGCGCGGACGGCCAGCTGTCCAGACATGCTATAGCCAAATAAAACAATCTTCTCCTTGTCCACCTCTTCTAGTGTCAATGCAAAGTCAACAACGGGTGTCACTACACGCTCCCAATCATGAATAAATCCCTTCTTCTGCTCACGCCGGACTGTGCATTGGCCCGGTCCCTCGAATAATATCACATTGTAACCACGTTCCAGGCCAGCGATACCATTGACATGCAACATCTCCTCCATTGCTCCGTCAAACCCATTTCCAATTAAAATCGTCTTTTTCGGGCCAGTCGGGCCCACACCAACTGGTGCCTTGAAATAGATGATTGGAACCGAGAATGAATCCGCCTTGAGGAGATGCCTCGTCCCATTTCCGAAATGCTTCAGCGCAGTGTCGAAGCAAGCTGCCTGCTTGTCCCACAATGTGTTAATACGCGGGTCATCCGGGTTTCCATGAAGGAAAAAATCTGCCGCACGATAATACGTGGAGGCTGCAAATAGACGATCGGCGTAAGAGACTCGTCTGGAGTATTCATGTGAGCCTTGAGGCTCGGCCCCGGCAGAGGCTTCTGCACGTTGGGCTAACTCGACGAATGCCGTGTGCCAGCTGTCAAAGTCGCCTGGTTTTATCTTGGGGACCAGGCTGAGAACTTCACGGAAATCGCTTCCACGATACCTAGCATGCGCTAGGATGCGGTTGAATTCGAAGTCGAACGTACCATCCGGAAAGATTAGTGACATTGTTTCGGTAGAGCCGGTTGTGAAATAGCTTGATATTGGGTGTGATGAATAACTTGAATAACTATAACAGTTCCTGTCGCCCGAGGATGGCTTATATACCTTAAACATTCTCTGGTAATAACCATATTGTCGATAACGGATGTCCGTTGTTCATGCCCTCGAAGCCGATGCTGGTGTACAAGCTGAGAATCTATTGGCTGGCGAGCATGTGGATTTTGAACATCATATCATATCCTCATTGGCTGTTTCTTTGTACCTCCGTGATTCCTCCGCAAGTTCCTCCGTCGACGCTGTCTCCGCTCCGTTCATAAATACATAAGTAAGCAACATTGAAGCATTCAAGGTATGCAAAGCAAGAAGGAATTGCTCCCAGCTACAAATTTATGTAAAACAAAAAATCAATCGTAAATACTATCTACAGGCCTTCAAGTAATTGTTACTATCTTAATGCCGTGAAGTGAAACCTATCGACTAGCCTTTTCATCTTCAATCTGTCGCCTCAGATCGGCTAATATTTCGTTTCGTTTCCCAAGGTGACTTTTGAGGCCATCCACCTGGTCGGCTACGGTCTGAATATCCTCTCTCAATCGCTCCAGATCTTGTCCATCTTTGGTTCGACCGCTTCCCTCCCTTGTCTCCCGTAGTTCCCGTTCCTTATACTCCAGAAGTTGAAGGGCTTCCTTCTTTATAAGTGCCCAATTAGGCTGGCCGTCATTTCGTGGACGATCCCGGAGTCCCTGTCTTTCTTCCGAGGCACGATTGGCGGCTTCGAGCTTGGACTCTAGCTCGGCTAATTCTCTGCGGAGTCGCACCTTCTCCCATTCTTCGTCTTGGATCGTGGTACTGAAATCCGTGCCTTGTGGGCGGTAGCTAGATTTAACCCCTAATCGGCTGAGGTAGGTATCTCCAAATTTGGATTTGCGGCCTGTTGCCGTCTCGGTATCCCCATCCACTCCCCATTTTTGGGCGGGGCGGACATTGTCCAGTTGATAGTCTATCTTATTCGATTCAAAGGAGGCGCGCAGTGATGGTGGGACGGTGCGAGGGATGCGGTAACCTTCGTGGCGAAAGTTCAGGATGTGGAGAAAGGCAAGAGTGGCGTCTTTGTTGATGGTGAGGGAAGCAGACGGATTGACCAGATTCCATGCTGATCTGACGTCTGTGTCCGGGACATCCAACGAGTCGTAAAGGGGTTGTAGTGAATCAACTAAATCACGCATTGATGTCAGCTAAACCTAAACGAAATTAGAAACGCAGCAATCTACTTACATGTTACTTCACCGCGGTGGTTTTTATTTGCGCTGAAAATTTCTTCATACTTCGCTTTATCATTCGGACTCATGTACCAGTCAAACCCATCCTTTAATCCAGGTGTGTCGTCTTCATCCTCTATCCGCTCAAACTGCTCTTGGCCACCAGTCAATGCTGCACTTGCTTGTACTAAGTGAGCCTTTGATTCAGGAATTAGCCAGTCGGGTAGTACTCGTGGGACTTCTCGGTATTCCTGAATTTGAACATATTAGCCATCGAGCTTCGTAGAATCAAGTAACTGTGGTTCAGGGACGTGGTGGGTTAAACACACTCCATTGACAAGATCAAAAATCAGGCGCATCGCAACGCAGAATTCCTCAAAATCTAGTTCTCCATCGCCGTCTACATCTGCCAAATCCCAGACTTTTTCGAGCTGTTCATCGCGCAGTCGGCTGTTGCGGAGAACGCTAGCTGCTTGGGAGTTGTTGAGTCTTGGTTGTCCGTTGGACAGCGACGAGAAGATCTCCCAATATCGCTCGATTTCCCACTGCTCAATCTTCTTCGCCATTTCCCCGAGTGGAAACTGACACCCAATCTAAGGGGATGAGGGACCGGGGAGCCTGTACAAGACGGTTATGCAGTGGTCGATGAGGAGCACGAGGTTGTTGATAGTCGTCCGCCCAATATCCGCGGATCATGCTAAGCTCGTCTCCACATGCTGCGCCGCTGTGGCCGCGATCGGATCAATATTTTTCCGTTTGTCCTTAGCAACAGTCGAGTTTCTCTTATAGACAGGTGAAAGATGAGGTTTTTTTGGGGGGGTCCGACGCTGATATTGAACGTTAATTCATTCGATTGAATCGTTACTACCTATTTTACATGTTGCCCAAGAGCATGAATATTCATATCAACAAACAAAAATCGTAACAAGGAAAGCAAAGGTGTATCAACGATTCAAAGGTATCCCAATAACATCAATCCTGCGCGTCTCAATCGTGGATGCACACCATAAACATAAAGCATTTCCTTTAAGCGAATTGGGAAAAGTCGAGAAGGAGAAGATCCGGACGAGCAAGAATAGGAAAGAGAAGAGAAGAAGGAGAAAATACTATGACACAAGGGAATATCGGCTCAAAAATTATGAGCGCCGACAGTATCCCAGCGTATGACTGTTAATCATATATTATTGCGATAATGCAGGAGAAACCGAATTCCTTGTAGAGACTCAGTAAACGGTACTCCCAAACGGAGCAGTCTCTTTGAGATCTTCCACCAAGTCCTCAACATTGCTTAGGTAGCGTCCAAGCAACTTTTGCTTCTCTTCTGTCGTGCGAGTCTCACGGGCCGCACGAGTTTCACCTGCTGAATTAACACTTCTAGCAAAAGCTCCTGAAAGTTTACTTGGACTTCGATGCAGGCCCCCAACTGCAGTGTTCGGTGCACTAGCAGCCACTGTGGGGATGTTGGGTGTCTCGGGCATGAGATAAAAGTATAAAAACTCGACTAATTTGAGTTTGACTTCTCGAGATGTTGAGCGCATTTTGAAGAGCGATGTCACCGTGAGAAGACCATCCAAAAGCTCAAAGGTCCGGGTGTTGGCGGGCTGGTCAAGCAGAACCGTGACTAGGGTGAGAAGAGTGGTCGACTGGATGGCTGGGCAATTAACCGGGTCTAGCAAGTCGAGAAGGATGTTCATGTAGATTTCGCGGGCGAATAGGGATCGCGACGCTGGATGAAGAAGAAGAACTCCTTGAATGAGATCTAAGGTCGAGATAATGAGAAGGTCGTTTGTGCCATTGCTTCCCCTTCCAAGGAGATGTTCTAGACATGATACGAGGCGCAGTGCGACTACGGCGAGGTATCAGCTCAGTTGGACAGCCTTTCGACGAGGAGTATATACGTACCGTTCCACTGGAAGCCTTCCTGAAGCTTGAAGAACTCTCTGAAAGCCGGGTCTTCTGCTAATTCACCAAATGCTTTTGGCACAGGCTGTGCTTGGCCGAGGGGAATCATGGATCTCCTCTTCTCGGCTGGTGAGTGTTTCGACCGCGAGAGGCATATTTGAGCGAGCAGTCCCTCAACCTGACGAAGGCCCTTGCGAATCTTGTTGGGCTCGTAGGAGGAGAGGTAATCGAAGGAATGCGCCAGCAGAGCCTCCATTGTGATATTAAGGTCGTAGATGTTCGTGGATCGTCGTGAAGGATAAGGAAAGGAGGAAGCACAAAGGAGAGACACCAAAAAGTAGGTCAGCAAGAGATCATCAAGATACCTCTGGTAGGCCCAGACCGCGAGCTGTGCCAGCCAGAGCTGAAACAAGGCAGAGCGACAAGATTAATATCGCGATCTAGAGGAGCGTATTACATCACTGCAGGGGGGCAGCTATAAACAAAGCGCCCGTTGCTGGGTGACCTGTTCTGCCACCGCCCTCAGCCCCCACATAAGCTCCAACCCTAACTACGCAGTCGTCTGCTGCTCTGATTACCTGCCTCGCTTATCTATGTCCATATCCATATTCCATATTTAGTAAACTTTTAGTGTCGTTTCTATTCATGAACCGGGGGAGTGTCCCACAGGAGCTCCAGCATTGACGCGTGGTGTGTTCAATGTTGTATGGGAGACGGTTAGAAATATAAATCGGGCTTGTGATTCCGAGCACTTGGTTTATTTCGACTAGACAACAGTGTGTGCTACGGATAATTAGAGCAAGAGAATAGGCAAGGGAAGTAAAATCAATAGTAATAAACATGGAGATCCAAAATAAGGCTGACTCCTGCGTTGGATTATTGGAGCCTTGTCGAGGTGTCGCTGCCTGACACAGTCACAGGCAGCCAATCGAGTCAGCTCCGGGTCCACCCATCACATGCCTGGGTCACCCAGTCTTCTCCCCGCTTCTCTATAGACAGCTGCCTGCCTGCCCAGCTACAGGTTCCCTCAGCCTTTGTATTACATATTCTCACTTCATCCTCAGCATAAACTATACCCGGAAACAGTCCTTCATCCTTGCTTCCGGACCCTGCCCGTCTTTGCCGCCTTTGCTCCACAACTCCCAAAAGTTTCAGGCGAGCTTCCTACGACGCGCCATGGCTTCTGAACAACCCCAAACACAGTCGCTACACTCTCCCACTGCGATTCCTCCACGCACAAGCTCAAATGGCGTCGTGAACAGCAATCCAAATAGGAATTCTGGCCTTGGAGCTATCTCCGAAGGAGAATGGATGTCGTCCTCAAAGAAGAAACACTTGAGTACAACGAGCAAGCACGGGCGGAATCGGTCGAGCGTCGATTGGACAGTGGCAAAGGATATTCTCTGGTCTCAGGAGAAGGATCGTATTCTTATGGGCCCATTCGACTATTTAACGCAGCAGCCGGGCAAAGATATCCGAAAACAAATGATCACCGCATTTGATGCATGGCTGAAAGTACCAGAGTCGAGTTTGGCTATCATTACAAAAGTGGTGACTATGCTGCATACTGCTTCATTGCTGTAAGCTTTTTCTTTTGATAATCCGGCCGTTCTCAGCTGTCTAACTTGCCGCCTAATCAAGAATCGACGATGTCGAAGACTCATCCACCCTGCGACGAGGCAGCCCTGTAGCGCATAACATTTTCGGCACCGCCCAAACTATTAATTCCGCCAACTATGTTTACTTCCTAGCATTACAAGAGCTCCAGAAACTCAAAAACCCCACAGCCATCGATATTTATACCGAAGAACTCCTCAACCTACATCGGGGCCAGGGGATGGATCTATTCTGGCGAGACACGTTGACATGCCCAACCGAGGAGGAATATCTAGAAATGGTTGATAACAAAACCGGTGGTTTATTCCGATTAGCGGTCAAGCTGATGCAGGCAGAGAGCGACACCAACAAGTAGGCTGTCCAGCCCTCGAGGTGCATGATATTAAAAAAAATTGACTAAAATTCTGCAATTAGGGACTGCGTTCCATTGGTTAATATTTTGGGATTAATCTTCCAAATTTGTGACGACTACCTCAACCTGTCGGATACAACATATAGCAAAAATAAAGGCCTTTGCGAAGACTTGACGGAGGGCAAATTCTCCTTTCCTATCATTCACAGCATCCGATCAGATCCTTCGAACGTCCAGTTAATCAACATATTGAAACAAAAGACCAAGGATGACGAGGTCAAACTATATGCACTGAAATATATGGAGAGCACGAGTAGCTTTGCCTATACTAGAAAGGTCGTTGGTCAGCTTCGAGACAAAGCTTATCCTATGATCGATGCAATGGACGGCGTTCAGGATGATCCGAATGGGAATCGAGAGGGCCAGCTGGTCCGCGATATTTTGGAAAAGATCATCGAACTTACGCTTAAGGATCGTGGCAAAGGGAAATGACAACTTTGCGTCTTATGAGGTTCTATTTATAGTATAAATTTCGGAATTATACCCTTATGGCATTGTATTTTTATTGTTTGTTCAGCATTTTTAATGAAAGCAAATCGCTCGTGTACATCACTGACTAGCCAAAAATGTACCTTCCCCGTCAGAAAGTCTCAACTCCATGACATCTTTCTCCAACCTCTCCAATGGCTTCCAAGCCGAGTCTTTTGAAAATAAACCATTCCGTATCGTGGCATCCCCAGCACCGCACGTAGCAGTTGACTGGCCTCTCAATTTCAACGGTGCAGGAACCAACTCTGCTGCCCACATCACTTCCTCACTACTAGCCACAAAAAGTCCGTCATTCCTCATCTGTTCCCTAACCATCAACGTACTCATTCTCAGCAGTATACCCTGCAACGCATCTAGCTTCTCCCTAATCTCCACAGCTACTCCCTCTTGTTTCTTTTCCCGTGAAAGAATTTTTTGTCCAGCTTCCACTTCAATTGGGCTGCCAATATCAATACCAATATTCCAATCATTCTGTTTCTTGACTTCAATGAGTGATTTGATAGATGCCTGTCTCTGCCGACGGAAGTGATCTCGTGTGCGACAGAGACGTTGGATTTCACGGATTAGAGACGAAATAGCTTTGTTGAGGGATTGGATATCGTCGTTTGGGAGACCAGTGCTCTGCTGCGCTTGGGGTGAGGATTTTTCCATTTGAGAATGAGGTTAGGGTTTGATAGAGGGCTGCGCGGTTAGCGATGTGAACATCGTGACTCTCACGGTTTTGTATTTGAATTATCATATTGAATTTTGCTGTACTATCTGAATACTTGATTAATTTATTGATATTGATGTCTAGTTTTCTTTCTTTTGCCTTATCTTATACTATTTTACATGATTCCAATATTCAATATGTAGCAAATTTTCGGTAGACTATGCGATAGAGAAGGAGTTGTTGGGTATATTGGGTATATGGCGACTTCCTTGTTCATCAAAAAGGAAACAAAAAGTCCTCCTCAGAAAAGACTTCGTCTTGCTCTGTCAAAATATCACATTTTTCAACAGTATATCGTCCTCTTCTAAATTTCGGTCGGGGGTAAGCTATCAATTAGCCCAAAAATGAATAAATCCAAACAAGATCGCAAATGGCGTTTATATCCACTACATGACAATGCAACAATCCCCGAGCTTGCGCAATACTTTGGGAAGTATCTTCTGGACAATCTGCTCGAGTTCGTCCTGCTGGCCGCCTTGCTGGCCTTGGCCGTACTGTTGCTGTGACTGCTGTTGACCAGGGTAAGTCGACGGTTGTTGGTATCCACCGCCACCGTAGTGAGGTTGTTGTTGGTGCTGGCCGCCGTGATGTGCAGGTGGCATGTCCGCAGGACCACCGGTGAGATTCACGTAGATACGCCCTGCATTGTCTTCCACGGAGTATTGGAGACCAAGTTCGCGACAGACTTGTTCAACGCGCGGCTTGATTTTTTGAACGTGGTTCGTGGAGTGATTGCCTTTGCCGACGATACTAGAAACCCCCATTGTAAGCATCTTCCTTAGGAGAAAAAACTATGAATTGGGTATACCCACACATGCAAATGCGTCTGCCCATGTTGGCGCGCATACTTGATGCGCTCTTCTAATATATCCTCCGCCTCCTCCACAAACTGTCCATGAAGATCGATTGTGTCATCCGCGACTCGGCCCGGCGCATTATTTTCACGGAAAATGAATTCTGAGGCTTGTTTGTTATACTCGTTCATCTTGCGGCCATGCGCTTTGCCTTCTTCGGAGAGCTGTTTGGCACGCGCCCCGTCGCCATTCTCGTACGCTTGTTTGGACTAGAGTTGATTCATTCATTCATTAGTCTAATCCATTCGGATATAGGGTCGCAAAGAGCAGTAAGTGGGAATGAAAGAAGGGGGAAGCTACCGTCTCGAAACAGTGATTCCGTTTATCGGCTTCCTGGCGAGCTAGGCCTCTCAGGCGATCGTATTCCTCTTCAGACTGGCTCGATTGCTCGTGATTAAAAGCTGCGCGCGTTCTCATTAGCTTCAGCAACGATCTCGCGGGCGCGCTGGGACAACTCACCGCGAGCGCCGATGTGACCCATCTCGTAAGACATACTGCAGGTCGGAAGATGGAGGGGTAGTGCTCGATGTAAGTTAAGCTTGATTATTCCGGCGAGGATCAATTGGAGAAAGCCAGGTCCAGAGACAGCGCAGCATGGGTTAGGACGAGATGGCCTGCGCATCAGACCCGCTTCGACGAGCCAGCCATGCTCTGTGGCCAGCACAGCCAATCGCGGTGCCGGAAATGACCACCTAGATCGCGCTATGAAGATCGACAGTACTTGGAGCCGAGATCGGAAACTTGTGCGCGTCTTAGCGAGGAGGCTACATCGGACGGAGGCATTTTAGATGCTGCTCTTGTTGCAGTGTGGTCGGGTAGTTAATTGTTGCCGTGGGGCTTTCATCTGGATGGCAAGTAGTAGAACTTTGGATATTTGGAATTTGGAACCTCCAACCCGCATTTGAAACTCAATTAGGAAACTAACACAATATCTACGCCAATGTCTGCCCGCAGCCGTTGGATATCCATAGCATACTAGCTAGTTAGTCGGTGACTAGGTTTGCCCCTACTCTCAGAAATGAGTCTCTTGCTAGGCTTGGATCAGTATCATCGATCCATATCATAAAATTGATTGGAGCACTGAGATCATCCAGCCCCAATGATATAAGGTCAATTTTGAATAGATGCCCTCCAACTCTCGGTAGGCTGACGTATCTAAGAGCCTATAGGCAGCAAGGACGATCTCTGTCAGCTGCACCCGATAGACCGATTCCTCGCTAAATCTACAATACGCGACACCAGGCTAGAGAGGTAGTGCAAAATAATAGATTATGGCGGGATTATGGATCAGCCACCATACTCTATACTCTCAGCTGAGGTCCACAGTTAGACTAGAGTTGGCGCTATGGGATAGAGGTTTTTGTTATCTTTATTGGAGACGAAAGAGATCGCTTCGGCATGTCTGGTTAGTATCGAATTGTCGACTCACGGCGGAGGTACGAGGCACGATGACTGCACCCAAGATCCAATGACATCCTAGGGTCGGAAAACATTGTGTGCATGCACCCGGTCCATAGTGCCGGCTGACCTGCCTCCAACTTTGCGTACGGGTGTACTGCATTGAATATTAGGTGTGGATGGATCGATTCTGGACTTGCCACCAGACCGGAAGCATGAACCGTTTGATGGCTTCTTGACCAGACCCTTTCGTGAAACCCCCACGCCTTTGGCCACCTCGAGATTCCACTATCGGCCGGTAAGGAGGACACTCGATGAAGAGAGAAGGCCTTTTCCTTCTCAAGGCCCTGTCTATAGTGGAGAGAATGGCATGTTTGTACATCCCCGAGCCAATAGGGCATTGCTCTAGTTTCCGTACCAACTATACAGAATGCTGGCTCAGGCCTGGCCGACCGCAAACAGGGTTCTGCGCTGTGGGCATCCGTTCTGCATGACCCCGAGGGCCAGTTGTGACAAGTGGCACCGACACACCCCATCGTCGAGATCGCTCTCACGAGTCAGAACGTAAAACGCCACCCGAGTGGATTGTGCTATATGGGAAACAGAAGCGAGATTGCGCCAAAATCAAACGCCACTGTCAAGGTGTCAGTAACTTGGTAAACTGAATGTCAAGCGTGAATTTTATGATTCAGTTCTAGCGACAGTAGATCGTAACACCGCTGCCTTAGACTTTCGCCCGTAAAGCCCAGTCCATCCGCAGCAAAAACCGACTGAATGCATATTCACCATATGCATAGTCTAGACCAGAGAGTGCCAGGCCCCAGGCCCCGCAGAGAGATATTTAGCTGTTACGCTGGCGGAGTCGACGGGTGTAAGCAGCAACCCAGGAATGAAGCGAAAGTTGTTAGACTGTGCATGTTGATTGCGTCATGCGAATCCCTCGGTGGGATTAACCCACATTGCAGGTGCCATGACTTCTCTGTGCTCGCAAATGAGTGTGATTTCGCCGCAATGTAGACCAGACATACACTCGCAGAGAAGACAGACCTCGACGGATGGCAAACTCGGCGATCATATCAATGGCAGAAAACGCCGTGATCTCCGAGCGAACGGAGCAGGAAGCCCACTGCAGAGGCAACGTCTATAATTCTGCTGCCTGAGTGCGGTCTAGAAAGAGGGTTTAATATAGTCTTGACCAGCAGGAACAAGACGTGGTGTAGTGTCACTTGTGTGGCGCAGACGGGCACCGCCACAATTCCTATTGAGGCGACCGCGACAGTGGGTAAAACGGAAGGAACGGGGCGTATGCGCAGGGCAAGAGCGAAGAAAGCAAGAAAGCACAGGGAAGGAAGGAACTGACCGCCACGAGCGCGCGCCCCTCCTGGTTTGCACCAGTCACGAGCGCGCCTGCTCCTCCCAGTTCTATGCGACACCGATTTTTGAGCCCCGCAAACATCCTGCATCCATCCTCCCCCCTCCCACTGCTATTATTATCATTTATTATTACTTTTGACATTATGGAGAATCGCCAACAGCCTACACCACCTCTCTTACGCGAGCTCGGGCTCCCCTCCTATTTTTACGACCACAGTATTGCATCAGGGCGCAGCTGAAGCTGGCAGCCCTGGCAGACGCCGGACTTTCTGATTGGCGTCGTTTTTCCCCGGTTTCCGCCCTTCTTTAAACACTAACAGGCTAAACCTTCGATCTGGCCATTCAGCATTGGGCGATCCCCAATAGTGGAGAGATCGTGACTTCGTGCGTGAGTGGTGCAGAATTTGGAATATGGTCTGGCTGAGCTGAAAACGAGCGTCCAAGGCCCTGGCATTGGTGCCTCTCCATCTCATGTCGCCTTGCCGCTTCTAGCCATGGGTACGATACTTTCTTGCAGCGTCAGTCGCTTGCTGGTGCCGCACGTATGCACGCATCCCAATGCCAGTACCAGTCTCAGATAACCCTTCCCCCACCGTGGCCAGTCCTGCCCCATCCATACTCGGAAACCATCTATGGACAGAATCGTGAGTCTTCCCTGGTGAACGACCGAAGTGACTCCCTCGCCTGCGCTAACGTTCCTTCTCATCTTCTCAAAAGTATGGACTTTCCTGTTTAGGTTTCGGAGGATGTCTTTTCATCCTAAGCTCCCCCTGTAGCTACCGCCACCTGCTCACAAAATGCGCACTTTCTTGTCTCCTACCAGCCTTCCCAGGCCTCTGGTTCAACTTATATTTTAGTTCAACTTTAAGATGAGATCTACCGGCATGCAAACCCAACATGTGGACACGGACCCAGAATCCTTCTTCCAATGCGGCTGTGGCGTTCAATATCGTAGCTGAACACCCAGAGGCCACTGGCCTTTTTTATCAGGTGATCGTGTCTTGAAAAAAAGCTTTTAAACTACCGCAGTCTCCCACATGTTGGTGGCCTCCGACAGTGGTGGCTGCATATATTGCGTCCAAGATCGAGTTACTACAGGGTTACAAAGTTGCTTGGGGGCATATATCAACATTGGGAATTACGCTCCGTATCCGTCTAAATCATATCATCGATCACTGTGATTCAACTCGTTCCTTCAATACTCCTCCGGAGCTGTGCTCGCCAACCTCTTATTTTGGGCCGCCTATACTCGGAAATTTTCATGTCGAATGGATCTTTTTCCTTTTGTAGGGATTTTTGGTTCTTGAGAGATTTTGGGTTCAGTAAATGTGTCTCGAGCAAACGGAACAGTCACTTGACCATGCCTATGACGTATCGTTCTCTGGCTTGCTGAAGAAAGCAAATATTGTGTGGGTGGCTCATATGAAACGAGCTCTTAACTTCTTTATCTAAGGGTGTGTGAATTATGCCAATTTCCAGCCCAGAGCCCCAACACCCATTAAGCTTGACAAATCTGTCTTTTTTCTTTCAATGTTAACCTAGCTTGTTCTTTTCTCTTTCTCGTCTAATTTCTTTTGCCAGACTTCTTTTGGCTTCGGGATAAACTCCTTTATTTCGTTCGTTATTGCGTAAAGCAAAATATCAAACCATGAGTGATTCATCGATATCTCCACAACATTCCGGGGTCGAAGATGCGGCCAAAGATGTTGAAGCAACAGAGGCAGAAGATGTTCCAACTCCAAATTCCGCAGTGGGACCACCGACATCAGCTTGTGACATACTACGTCCGTTATCTCAAGTGGCATCGCAGGGTTTATTTCCACTACCGACTAGTGGGTCACTTGCATCATTAGCGAGACAGCAACCCCGGCAAATTGCATCAACTGGCACTTCGACAGTGCATGAGGAGCCTCTCCAATCGGATTCGGGAACTAACGCCACGGCAGACTCATTTGATTCAGAAAGCATACGAAAGTTTACAGCGGCTGCATGGCGACAGCAATCTTTGCCAGGGCAAATCATGCCGATAGTTCAAGTTTCATCGTCGAGAATATCACCGAGTAATTCTGAGGAGGCTCCTACGTCACATTTCTCGCCATCCCCTTATGCCTCGATATTTCCGGAGGGCACGGAATCTTCTCCGCTCTTCATTCATCAGTGTGAAGAGTATGAGCCTACGAATGAAGATTCAATTCGAAAGTATAGTGAATCCTTACAACTCTTTCGTCGAAACAACGAAGGAGATGACGCAAAGATTTGGAAACGACGAGTTCTCGAATATCGCTGATTAACAATATCAATCAGTAATAACTTGTCTACACTAATGATTTACGACATGATGCATAGTGAATTTTTTCCTTTTCCGTTTTATTTTTATTTATGTCTAGAGATGTTGGGTGGCAATTAGTCGTGCATTTTCAGCATTTCATTTCCTTTTTCTTTATTTTTCGACATTTTTTTTGAGCTATACATATATGGTGTGTACTAATGCACTTAATGATATGACTTAAACTCGAATCACACCTGTCAAATTTACGGAGTATTAATATAAGAAATTAGAATTGTTGATCAGACCCTTCTTGTATAACCCACTTGATCTCCGTCTATCTCCGCGAGGTCCCCCACCGTTAACTCTGATTCCGCACAATCAGGCTAGATATATATGTAGATGTAATGTCGATCCAGGAGACGAAAAGAAACAAAATATGACTATAGCAGGAGCTCGGACAATCCACGAGTTTAATTAATTAAATAATTAAATGCAGGATAAACCTGTTAACGGAAATTAGCTTCCCATCTCTTTCTTTCCTTCTTCCCCCCCCCCTCTTTGCTTCTTCCTCTTCATTCTCTTCCTCGCCACTGGTGCGGTTAATTTACCTTAGTTCACCATATAGCCAAATAGATGCAGTAGCTCTACCACTACACATGTGTTAGCAAATCGCCAAAGTTATACATCTCATTCATTCTGTTTCCCCTCAGCCAGGGTTCATGGTTTATGCAGGTGCGCTTTAGAAGACCAATGAAAAGCATCACCATACAAGAACGAACCCACATTTCGCCTATTGCTTATACTTATTGGTGGTAACATCAAATTAAGGCAATCCGAGTAGAAAATAAGAAAGAAAATTATATTTTTTCTAAAAGGTTACTCCGTGGACTGCGCTCCATTCTCCTGGAAAAAAGATGCTTATTTAATTGGCTGGACTGTGTGTGGGTCGGTGCTATGCCGATTAAGCTGGTCCGCGGGAGATGACATCTCAGCAATTAACATTAACTATTATGTGACTGACAAATAGTCGCCGTGAAGCAGCTTCAATTTATTTCTCCTTTTCTTTTTCTCTGCTTTCTTTTTCTTCTTCGACATTTTAAATTTAAGTTCGTGTGACGGTCTAAGAACAAATAAGCTCCGGCGAACAAGAAAGGAGTAATGGCGGTAGCATCAACAACAGCAGCGACAGACAGCACCTCCACCATTGACATCGTCAACCTCAACAACCTCCTCTCCCGCCTGGAACAAAACATCTTCTCATCCTCCTCTGACCTGCGAATCCTTCGACAGTCGCATCTGCATCGTGCTCGCGTGGGCGCTGTAAGCTTCTCCCCCTTGTACCCTCAACAGTAGACTAGTATGCGCATAATAGTGATATGAGTAACCTGCTAACTAACCAACCCCCTCGGTTCTTGACAGAATGTCGACTACGCTCACACGCTCTTTACAAGACTTGAGCGCGGACTACCATCTATCAAATCTGCCGAAACGCGACATGCGCGGACAGCAGATTTAGCGAAGAAAAGGGCGCGCTTGGCGAGGTTGCGGGAGAGGTTTGATGGGCTTAAAGACGATGACACCTCTTTCTATACGGGGGGAGACGAGGATGGGGATGGGTTGGAAGAAGAAGAGGGGGAAGGGGAGGATTTACTCGCTGGCATCGTCGAGCCGGTGGAATCGGTGGTGAAGAAGCAAGAAGAGGATGAGCAGAGGAGAGACAAGGCAGCAGAAAGTTTGGATAAGGGGGCTGGAAAGGCAGAAGCAGCGGTGCTGAGACAGCGGCGTCAGGATTCTACCGCGGTTTCGGCACCGGTGGCCACGGCTGCAACGACAGGTTTCAAACCCACGCCAATATCAAGTACCACGAAACCAGACATGGCTACGGCTACGGCTGAATCGAATCTCTCGAGCCATCGCGCCGAACAAGAGTCTCTAACTGACAGTCTGGTCAATCTGGCGTCTCAATTGAAAGCTTCGTCACAGGCGTTCCAGACCTCGCTCGAGAATGAGAAGTCGGTGCTGGATAGAGCCGTGGAAGGACTGGATCGCAATGTCTCTGGATTAGAGGCTGCAGGGAAGCGGATGGGGGTGCTGAGACGGATGAGCGAGGGACGAGGATGGTTGGGGCGGATGCTCATGTATGCGTGGATCTTTGGGCTGTGGCTGGTGGCTATTGCGATTGTCTACTTGGGGCCGAAGTTGAGGTTTTGAAAATACATGTTCTACTATACGGAATCTGTTACCAATGTATATTGTTATACGGATTGATGAGTGAATGAATGTCAAGAGTAATATGCTGTCATTTCTTATTGATGCGTGTCATGTCACTGCTTGAGCTGAAATATATTCAGCAAGTTGTGAAAAAGACGGGCGATTACATGACGGGTATAGGGTTCACCCCCCGTACTTGATCTGATAAAGAAACATCGCTCATATAGCGAAGGCAAGGAACAAGGAAAACCATAATCACAACAAACAGAAGGAAAGCGAAGCTGGAGACACCAGAAGAGAGACATCCATCGAAATCACGGAATGAAGAAAATTCATGTTGCTATGTAAAAAAATACAGAAGAAGTCGACAAAAAAAATGTAACGGGAAACTTGAGTGTCTCAACGCCAGATTTTGATGACGCAAAACAAAATGTCAAACAGAAGGAAACAACCGATGTGGTATTGAAAATCCAAAAGAAAATGAATATGAAAATTCACGGCAATGATTAAAAAAAATCTCATGCTGACAGTAATCTAAAGCATTCGGCATCAACGCAAGCCACCTATTCATTAAATCAGACCACACAAACGGAGATTTTCTTGGATGATGATATCTGTTACAGGTCAGAACTGCTTTATTGAGGTTTAGGATAAGTATTCAACATACCATTGACCGCAGCCATGACGAATCGGATCTGGGTTGTGTCCGTGGCACATGTGAAGTGTGTGTAAATCTGCTTCTGCTCGGCTTGGTTGAGTGACACGAAGCGGTTGAGAATGTAGTCGCAGGCAGCAGCATAATCGGCGCCTCCCTCGTAATCCGGGAAGTAGTTCTTCATGGGGCTGACAGGAAGCTTCTCCTTGAATCGATCGATCTTGTTAAGGAATAGAATAATAGAGGTCTTGATGAACCAGCGAGAGTTGCAAATGGAGTCAAACAGGGTCAAGGCTTCCTGCATACGGTTGACAGTCTCATCTTCGAAAAGAAGTTGGTCGTATTCGGAAATGGCGACCAAGAAGAGAATTGTGGTCACGTTCTCGAAGCAGTGAATCCACTTCTTACGCTCGGAACGCTGTCCACCCACGTCGAACATACGGTATGTCAAGTCACCAATGATGAATGTAGTCTCGGTGATACCGGTGGTCTTGACACGAGAACGGAGCACATCTTGGTCACTCGGTAGATAGTCGGGTTGTGCGATACGCTCGACGGAGTCAAAGTAGCTGCTCATGTTAGATGTTATAAACTACCAGCCAATATGAAAGAACTTACTATTTAGCAGAGTCATTGAGCTGGTACTCACGCGAGCGGCGGAAACACTCTTGGACACCTGTATCACGCCACAAGGCCTGGATAGCACCGCCGACCTCTGGGGGAAGACTATCACCTTCAATCTGAGCGGGCTGCATGAAGATGGTCTGCACATGATACTCGGCGCGCGGGTCTGCGAGGGGCAATTCCAAGGATTCCATGGCTTCGAGGATGACACGCATCGACTGGACGGTGTTGCTGTAGATGATTTCCTTGAAGGATTCGCGCTCATCGCGGGAGTAGCCACCTTCGTGGATGAGCTTCATCTGCTTGAGAATTGTGGATTTACCAGACTCTCCAGCACCTGTTAAAGCATTAGAATCGATTATTGTAAGGGCGACTGTGTACAGCGGAGTGGTTACGCACCGAGAAGCAACATTTTGATCTCATTGCGCTGCATCATCTTGTCGCGCTTGAGCTGGTTCTCAATCTCTTCATTGCGGGCCTTCCCCTCCTTATCCTCAGTACTCATTCCACAACCCATCTTGGCGGTATTTCGTTTAATTCGTTAATGTACAAGTCAATTCCGCGAGACCGCTGTACGTAAATGAAACTCTTAACAGTTCTAGCAGAAACTGCAATTTGAATTAGCAATTGTATCGGGTTGATCGTTCCAACAAATCAAAAGTGAATGAGAATTTGGGATTCGCAGCGTGTCACGAGTCGAGATCGATGCTTTGTTGACAACTAGTGCGGTGGGGAGCGCAGGACGAGATATGAGGCTTGAAGGGTTTTCCTGGTGGTCGGCTGCGCCGTGCGGAACAACAAAACACATGCAAGTCGAGGGAATGGAAAAAGAAAAAGAGGTAATGGTCAAGCGACAATATGAATATCTCCACTTACAATCCTGTTTCCTGCTGGAGCGCGATACAGATGTATGTGCCGGAGGAGTGGTGGTGGTGGATGATTATTAATAATAATAAAAGATCCCCCTGACAGAACAATTACCCCAGGCGACTGGAACGACCCAAGGGCAGCACAAACGAACAGTAAGTCGAGGGAAATCGAAGAAGCACGGCGCGGCAGAAGTGAAAACGTCCCCCAGAGATGAACGATCGAATTGAGTGGGAGAGTAAAGAGTCGACAGGCGGTGGTGATCGTGGACTAGACGTGGAGGTGTGCAGGAGAGAGGAGAGATGGCAGGAGGAGGAGGGCTGCTTGGCTGAGGGCGAGGGAGGTGCCGGCGCAGCTCATTGGCCGAGGGAAATGAGCGGCTGCGGCATCTGTGGTTGGCGGTAATAATGGCCATCGCTATTGCAGTCGACTACGGATTAATGCGAAGAATAATGCGACCCTGGCTATCGCTACATACATACGTATGACTGGCATACTCCTTCCAACCTGTCATTCTGCCCTCTGAGTATTGTCCCAGTAAGTAGTCAAAATGCAGCCTCTGTCAGCAGCGTAACTGACGTCTTGCGTTTGCGGTCGCCGGTTTGACAACCCGAGCGACCTCCTGACGCTTAGTCCTCACTCCTATAGTCCACAACTCAATATATTATTATTCAAGAACAGCAGCTGGGTGGACACTCAGTATCAACGATCAACTGATGCAGAATAATGTTCAGGATGGAGGAAAGGGGGTGGGTCCGAGGCTTGACGGCGCGACAGCTCTTGTCTCCGGCTCGGCGGGGCAGATCGAGCGGAACTGGTTCTCATTGGGCTGAATCCCTGGGCTAGTCCCCAAACGGCACCACACCCTGGTCCCGCCCGTCGATGTATCGAACTATCAGCATTTTATGGCCCCCAGCGGTGCGGTCCAACCAGCCTTATTCTTCTCATTAATTCTTCTTATTATTTCTTCAATATGTCCGACACTCTGACACTTGGCCCCTGCCGCGTTTCATTCACGCTTGAGATCCGGATTGAATAATGGACTCAATAACTTAGTCTCTGCCACCTGCAAACTGCCCGGCAATATAATAGCAAGCCGTAGCCGATCCACTGGAACCTTTTAAGGTAGGCGCCGTGCAGGGGTCCGCATCCTAGCCAATCACAACTTGTTATCCACGGTATGTCGCTGCTGATTGGCTGCTTGTGTTTGCTTGGAGTGCCCACAGCAAAATTTCTCGGTGATTGTGATCTATTCATCTCATTATGCTTTTCATGTAACCAGTCATCTGTAGTACTATACAGGTACGGGGAGCCTGGACTCGTCCACGCAAAGCCCCAATCTTTAAATAACGGACGAGCCGATTTCTAAGGCCACGAGGTCGACCATCAGTTCAAGTATCAATTATCAATAATGAGCATGTTAATCATCGTCTGATTTGTTCAGGGTTGATCGCCTCGGCTAGAGGTTTGGGGCCACGACGAAAGCCACGAGTTTGTGACTGACTTGAGGGAGATCGCCAATTTAACGTGCAGGTGCGGAGACATCAGAAAACCATTACATCAGAATGTAGACCACCACAGCAGCTATGTGGCTGCACTGTGGTTGGTTATTGTGATTTATGAAATACTACTAAGCACATATGTAGTTGGGTGTGACACATCATTCCTAGTTCATGAGGATACATGTAGCTATTAATTCAATATTATTCCACGTGCGAGTTCGGTAGATTCCTGTAGTATCAAATAATAATATGAATAGTAATATGGATATCCTAGACGCTACTCCAAGAAGTCTTCTAGAATCCTTAATACTGATCTTATTGATTCAGCATTCAGGCATTGTGCTACAATTTAATAAATGCATGCGTCGATCTACTTTATTGTAAACAACCACAAAACCAACCAAAACATAACATATGCAGGGATATCATTTACATAATCATCATGAATCCAAATTACGTGGCACATACTGACTCCTGAGTGAGTGCAGTCGGAATAAAATCCAGTCTACAAAACCCACTAGTCATGTATGCACAGAAAGTCAAAAACATAACTGTATGTGCTGGAGTGGGGACTGCTTCTCATTCTTGGGAAAAAAAGGCTTCTAGCGCACAACACTATTGTTTTCCTGTGCACCCCAGCTCCATCGCGCTTATCCCGATCGTGCAACCCAATTCGATTTTGTCAGGGGTAGTCATTCAATTTGAGTTTTTTCCTTGATTTATTTATTTTCCTTGTGCGGAGTATGTTGGAAGGAGAAAAAGGGGGTTTTAAAGAAAAAAGTAAGTGGTCTCCCGACAAGTAAAGGGAAGTTTCGCAACAGCCCTTGGGAATTGGAACTTATGGTTAGCTTTCTAATGTTAGTTCTATCACATCGTCAATTGATATCTTGTTTATTTTCCTGGTTACACATTCCCGGATATACACATAATAGTTAATATAGGCAGGCATAAGCTATAGCAGTCAACGGTCACAGTGATAACCGTAATGCAAGAAATATCAACCTCGTCACTATAGGACCAAGACGTCGATCCATTCAAGGACAATCTTCGTTGCCTCAGGACTCGAGGTCCTTGGAGTCAATAATGACAGCTACCACATCGGCCAACTCGGTCAAAGAAACCTGTTGATGCCGTATACTTTTTAGCCTCAATCATCCATCTTATGTTCCGCTATAAACATTGCCTTACCTTGACTAATTGATCAGCATCTACGCCTGGTAGGTGTCGATCACCGACTGCATCGCGAACAACATAAATGTTGTAACCGAGTTCTGCTCCTGCTCTGGCGGTTGCCGAGACACAGTTATGTGCCTATAGTTAAGGTATGAGGGTTACTCTATCAAGCATAGTGAAGAAAGAATGAAATACCATATACCCTGTTTGTATGTCAGAGAGTTCAAGTCTCATAATTGGAGCTCGGCAAAGATAGCCTACCTGTAAGGACAAGATTCTTTTTCCCCAGATTCGTCAAAATCGACTGTAGAGTCGTCTCAGTAAAGGCACTAGCATGGAGCTTGTGAACAACCTTTTTCACAGCGACAATAATCAGTATCTTTTCCCCAGCCCCAGATCATAGTATAGCCAACGGACTATTGCTGTTCGTATTCGCTTACCGGCTCATTGTCCAAAGGCTTTAGCTCGTCGAGTATATCTGCCAAAGGAGTGTTTGGGGTAAAAATAGGAGCTCCAGGAGGCGAGTCAGCAACAACATGGACTATGTCACTGCCGACGTTGCGATATTTCTCCAGAAGTCCATAGATCACTTTCCGCGAGGTTTCGGAATCTTCGACTTGTAATAGACCGCTAATGTATCTGCGAATAGCATTGAAAGTGTTAGTATTAGTAGCGATACGTATCCTCCACCTACACCAAAAGAAACCTCTAATTGGAAGATTTACTCATTCTGAGCGTCGATGATCACTAGCACGCTATCGGTCAGGCGTGGGATGGTAACGGGAATTCCGAGAATGGAGCGGATATATGTTGGTTGAGACATGGTGAGGGTTTGATCGAGAATAATCATAACAAAAGGTACAAGAAACTTACAACTCGTTAGTTCATCCCCCATTCACGCCAGTCTCTGTTATTGTTATATACATCCGCTTGGGGAAACAACGTTGCCGATGTGCTCGGGTGGGGATCAATTGATTCGGGTGGGCATCGATGAATCTAGACTTCGAAGTATCCTCTCTCTAACCCCACGCACAACTCAATGGCCCCTGTATGGCGAACGTGGAATGATATGGTAAAGTATTCAGTTATTCTATTATTACAATTGGGTGTGTCGGTTTCAATATTAGGGCTGTCGTCTTTCGCTACAATATTTTATACTGCGTGCCTGATTGCATTTCTTACTCGGTCAGGAATATCAATTGATGTGCACAAGCCTATGAGTAGGACTTTGCACTAATCTGAAGACGTTCTGAAGAAGAGAATGGTATAACCCTGCCACTTTAATATACTAGTGATAGTAGAAATTGTCACCAGGCTTCAGATCCAGTGAGGCATAGAAAACGTGCAGCCTTTGAATAATGCCTACATTTCGCACAACCACTTCCTAAGCCGTGCTTGTTTAGCGTAAAGTATTGCTACTGAGATGCTTCTGACACAAACTCAAGTTATCTATTGTAACAGCCATAATATTTCATCTATTTGTCGATTTTCTATTCAGGATTTCCTTCCAAGTTACATAATTCCCTAAGTTGTTTACTCCTGCTCAGTCCAGTCCTCGTGTATGGTACGTAGATCCACCCATCCTACTGCTTTCAAATATTCTGTAAGAGAATCGCGATTACCATCAACCTCCTTTTGGGTGTGTCCGTTGCAAAAATACTCAAAGTAGTTTCTCAACGAGCCTGGCCGCTGGTGGAATACAAAGTCTTCCCAACGAGGGTCCCGCGAAATATCCCACTTGTGAAGCCCCGAGCCTGGCCATGCCACTGTGAGGGGTGTGCTCCCCTTCCCAAGTTTCCACCAGCTGCTACCAAAATCTGTTGAGACCATGGCGGAGAAGAAACCTCGTACGACTGCGTCGAAGTCATCTGTGGCATCTTGGCTCGACTCGAGTACGAAATAGGACTGAGATTGAATTTTGCAAATGCACTGGGTGATGTACGTCGCAGTCTACTCACATTGCATGGGCACCGTTCCGCCGAGCGCGGTGCCTTGGACTTGAAGCACCATGAAAAAATTTCGGAAATTTCGGTACCATCACTCCGAAGTAGGACTGTGGATGGCCGATTTTGCCGTTTGCACTTCAGAGACTCTCGACGGTATGTTTGACTGACCGGAAATGGGAAATCGAGGAACTGTGAATTCAGGGAAGCCTGTGGCTGCGATACTGACGTCCAATTCATGTTCTTGTTCGTCCATAGTGACAAGGCCTGATTCCGTCGCTCGCACGATGCCGTCTGTCACATACGTGACCTTAGGGTTGGTTAGAGACTCGAAATATCCAGGTGCCGGAGTGAGTAGCTTATAGCCTGGTGCATATTCCGACACTAATTTACTTAGGAGCTCTTGATCATGCTCGACGCGCTCTGACATTAGTTCAGTTAGCTGCCTTCTCAACGCCGCATTTTCCACGCTACCCTTCTTGGAGGCCGCAAAGCCGCCATGAAACTTATGATCGAGATCTTTTCTGTACTCTAAATACACATTGGTATCTGATTCGAAATTTGTTAGGTCTTGTGGGGTGTACTGGTATCCGCCTTGGTTATTTGCGGGAGCCGTCGGAAGCGCGCCTCTGAGATACGGTGATATCCAGGTCCTGGATCGAACAAAGTGAGGAAGATGGGTTACATCTGGTAAGATATTGACAATTATTGCATGCCGCTTGCATCGTTGCCAATAACAGCAACTCTTTTCCCTTTGTAATCCAGGGAAGAATCCACTTGGTGTGCACTACTGGACCTTGAAAATTCTCTAGACCAGCGATGTCTAGTAGCTCCGCGGTGTTCTCAAACGAGAGCTGTTATGAATTTGAAGGCACGTCACAGCGAAACCCAGGATATCGATTCTCCCACCAGATTCCTCCCTTGATTCCGTAAGATTTTCCAGATTGACATAGGGGAAATGAGAAGATAGGACTTACGAACACCGGATTCATCTCCAGAATTATATATGTCAGATTCGGGACTTTGTTTAGGAGGATCGAAGTCGCAATCCCAGCGATACCAGCGCCAACAATGATTACCTTGAGATACTGGTCAGTCTGTTTCTGGGGATGTAATTATCTCGGATTCATTTCCATAGTAGCGATATCGATACATTTTTAGTCGGGTTGTATGTTATATCCTCAGGTATGTACTGCGGTGAGTGTGGTGTTGTCTTGGATGTCATTTTGCAGATTGTTGGAAAGCGAAATTGTCCCTAATTGACCTCGATATAAAGTCCAGGGCTATGGATAACCACGAAGGCTTTTCAACCCATTTTCATGCCTCGACTTGGAAATAATGACTCGATTTGTTTAATCACGATTAAAAATGGTGAATGGCGTACGTTCGCATAAGAAAGTTAGATAGGGTTGGTTAGGTGTGTGTCAAAGATGTCCCACCCGAGTTCGGGTGGGACATATGGCCTGGCTTTTCGACAGCCGGGTGGGAATGAGTTCATGGACACCTCGATTCTCGACCAAAGGTAATAATGAACAGCCTGGGTGGCTTGAACTCAATGGTCTAGGCTAAGGTCATTGTTGTTGGCTGTTGTTAGGTGAACCACTGGGCCTATCAAGATATAGACTGCCGCGCCTTTATACTAAAAACAGAAGTAAGTGGGCAACTGTATACCACGACCAGGAATAATGGTGCAACATCGCTTGAGAATTGCAGCATCTTGATACTTTCGCTAAAGTGGCTTGAGGTTACCGTATATAAAAATGCGAAGTTCTGCAACAGTCGTGGGATAATGACCACTCATCCAGCGTTACAGAAATGTCTTCTCACCTGGCTTTCGAGGATTCCTAGACATATGGCTCCTCAGTGCTTTCTGATAAGGGCAATGAGCCCAATATAATTGACTTCGCCAGCGACAAGGATAAGCTCAGTATTCTTCAATGGTTTCATCCTAATGACGGGCCTATTGAAAGAAGGCTGGTCACTAAGCTAGACATTTTTATTTTAGTTTTTGCTTGCTCTGGATTCTGGGCAAGTCATCGCTAAAGCTAGATTCTGTTGCTGTAAATCTCACCTTTAGCCAAGCAACCTACACACTTTGGATTAAGAGTAACAAAGAATACTCCACCGTCGAGGCGAATAAGTTGACATCAGTTGCCCCTTTTTGTGCCATTGCGTTTATCGTCGTCTTTGCTTGGTTGTGGGATAGATACGGACACAAAGTAACGCTTCCACTCTTTGGATTTGTACAATTGGTTATGGGTCTTGGCCATCTTGCCTTTGTGATTTATGACCACCCATAATTTGGCTACAAATGGTTCGCTGTTGCTGTATCATAGATCTCAAATTCGACGGTACCGATCATGTATTCGTGGGCTAATTTGATTTGCGCCAACGACGCCGAAGAACCAGCGTTTATCTTGAGTGCCATGTTGGCCTTCGCGATGGCTTTCAATGGTTGGGTCCCTATCGTGTTGTTGCCAACCGTCGAGTCACCCCGTTATTTCAAGGGTTATCTGGAAGGACTAATAGCCCAGCCTGTCTCCTTTGCTCTTGCTGTCTTGGTTTACTATCTTGACAAAGAGGGGTCGCAATTTCCACAAGCTGGAATCGACTACTGGAACAGTCGGTGACAACTAGGAGCCTCTAGAGCTGTGGAAGAGTGACGAGTATTTCAATCTGCTGAAAAACAAAGGTTGTAAAATTGAACTTGAAACGGTGCTCAAATTAAATAAATTTTAGCTGCGAATTAGTACACAATACCATCTGTTCTAAAACGCCATATCCGCATCTGATAATCCAAGAAGATAAGCATTTACCATGCCGTGGTTATCATCACTCATATGAAAGTTATTCAAACCGTCGGTCCAAAGTGAGGACCAGGCGTCATCAAGAAGGCCCGGGTCTAAGCCCATGTCAACTTCAGTGGAAAGCTGATCAGAAATCTGCTGGTCTGAAGTCAGACTTGGAGCCTGTATTTCCATGTTTCCAGGTCTGCGTTGTGTGTTCGTTATCTCAATGTGCTTGGAAAGCTGCTGTTTCAGTACTTCTAGTCCTATTATTTAGAAAAGCGTCAATCGACCGAAAATAAAAATGATATCAGGGGCAACATGATACCTTGGACAAACTCCGGGTCCTGTCCAATCTTCGAATATTCCTGCTGGGCTGCTCCTGCAAAGGTAATGACCATCTGAAAACTCAAAAGTCAACGAGCGATTCCCATTAACAGGGACGGCATTCTTCATACTGCTAGATCAGGGTAATTCATTAAACTTGAAGGAATTCTGGTTACATAAATTGAGAGGACAAGAATGGCAAGCATTAATGGATTGAGAGTTATCAAGCGAGACGGTGTGCTGTAGAGCAACAGGTCATTCCACGCCTTAAGAATTGACCGTGCTGATGCCGCACCGATGCAGAGACAATATCTTAATCTGACTTTCCAGGGTGTCCCTCTGCAGAGATGGTTGACGCGGTTTCTCAACCAGCCAGTAGGCGACGTTAGAGCTGGTCTGTGCAGGGCAATGCAACTGTAGGCTGATTAGCATCTAATAGCATATATAACCCGCAATCTAAAAATCTGCATACCTTTGATGATATTGCAAAGTGAAATACGTTGCGAAGTGGAATTCTTCTGGAGGGCATAGGATATCTCGACCGGGTCTAATAGCACGCATAAGAGGCTCTCCATAACCAGGAAAACCATTAAACCTCACCTAATCTCTTCCGGAAACGTAGCCGCTAAATCTAGTAAAGCCCTGTCTAGACGACCCATTTCGTAGAGTATCTCTTTTGTTTTACGGCGCTCCTTTGTATTGTGGTACAGCTGAGTGATCGAGGTTTGGATTTGAGCAAGTCGAATCAACGCACCGAAGTAATCGAAACATGGTCCCGATGAGTGCAGTGGGAGAACAGGTCGCGGTAATATTTGGTCGCATTCTCTATCTCGGATTGCAGATGGCCTGCCTGTATCTAGTTCCATGGCTCTTTCAAGAACGTATGCAGTCCACCAAATTCGTGAATGGAGGTCACCATCCCTGGTGCTATCCGTCACTGATCCATCGATAACGAGAGGAGAAGATCCTGTCGAAGCAAGTTGTCTATGCAAGCCAATGGATTGTGCCATCCGGATTGCCTGTCCCAGGATCTCCCAACTTGCACCGTCTTTATTACGGTTCCTCAACACAACAGCCAGCAGCAGTAATGCTTGCACTGACGAGACGTAGGGCATAGCGACAAGATGAGAGTATAGAAAGTAAGCACCTTGGAGGTAGGATGCACCAACTTCTGTGGTTTGGGTTTCGAGCTCATCGGCTGAGGCACTTAACAGAGCATAGAGACAAGCCAACTGAGGATAATCTTTTGGTTTGAGGGCTGGGGGTTGGGATTCGAGCTTTTTTTTCAAATCCTCAACTGAGGCATAGATTGCCTCGCGGTCGACGATGGGGTAGATTGGATAAATCCTGGAAAAAAAGATTGAGAGATACTCATCGAGTCTCGATGGAGTTGGTAAAGATGGTAATGACGTGGGGAATCCAAGTGGAACTTCAAGCGAATAGGCCAAACCACGCTGGAAGTCTGGGAAGATTGGTTTCCAAAAATCTTTTTTCGCAAAAAAAAGATCAAGCCACTGAACCAGGATGTACATGCTGCTACCGCCGCTGCCAATTATCTGTGACCTTGAGCAACTGCTATCTCTAATAACCATGAGATTAGTGTCACCAGTGTTGTAACCAGAGGTAGTAGATATAGGACTTGGTACAACGTTGTTCGCCCCCGACTCTTCGAAATGAGTAACGGTGTCGGAACTGCGGTCTTGCGTGCGACGGGACGGCCGTTGGTCTTCATCGATAAAAGGAGCAATGAATATAGATGGCAACGGAACATCGTGAGCCACCAGGGGAGCCAGCAGCTTCTCAGTAGGTGAAGGTGGAATAGAGAGGGACAGTGAGGGAGAGGGAGAGGGCTGGCGAAGGACCTGGGCTTCTTGCGGCTTGGCCGAAGAACGCTTCTGCTGTTGAGGGGTTCGTTTGCCTCGACGACCTACAGGCTCCTGCCGACGACCAGCCCAACCTGGTCGGCGGAGATCCATTGTGATGCACTCGATGCCTCGAGTATGGCAATTTCTACAGGAGGGCTGCTCCGTATCACACTTCATTTTATGTGCCCGGCACCAGTTGCATGCGGTGGCCTGCCGAGCCGGCTTCGACACGACGTTGACCATCATTCGTCATGTCACATAAAACAACTTACAAATCGGTACTATGTTGTATTGCCGTGGATGTGCAAGTTGGGGCATGATAATTAGCATGTCTGTTTAACCTTGGTTTCCACCGCGAAACACAAAAAGGCACCGATTGCGTGCAGGATGCAAACAATACAAACCATCGAAAGCCTCGGCTTACCAATCTACCTACAGTATGATCAAGGGCAATGTCTCTTTGCAAGTAATACCTGATAGCATACGAGAACGCGAAGAATCTTCTTGTTATCAAGGTGACTTCCACCTGCTAGCTTTCATACGAGGCATTGACTTGTCGAAACAAATCCCTTTCTGTCGAATAATAATCCTATCCCAAACTCAACCCCATGATAACTTTTAGGGGGGGTTTTTTTTAATTTTCTATTACAGGACGCATTAATTCGAAGTCCTTCTTAGTCATGTCTCAACATTGAAGCCTGTGTTATTCCAGTCCCTATGAAGTTTGTGAGAAAACAGACAGTGGCATAGTGATATATAACTTGACTCCAACTGTTCGCTACAACATCATACGTCACTCAAGAATATTCAACTTCCGCCCCTGGGTCATTTTGATGTATTTTGCTACAAGGAATATAACCCCCATTTGCGAACTGGTTTTGAGGCACCCTGATGATAGTTCCAGCAATAGGATTTCCAAGCAGAATACCAGCAGCTGAAAAGCAAAACGACACCCCCATCCATATACCCACTAATGCCATATTGGGTGTTAATACAACAACGACGGCGGCGGTTAATGATACCAAAGCCTCGGAGATAAAGCCATACAATATAGTGAACACAATTAAGCAGGCCAATTTATGGATAACGATTGCAACATAGCCAAAAACTCCAGCGAGCATAGTGCATATGATTATTAATTCCAATGCCCTAAATCGGTCGGCCAGAAGTCCCGGAATAATTCGCCCGAAAACAGATGCTCCATTGAGTGCCGCCAGGAGATAGAAATACAGGTCTATTTCAATATGTGCATGCGCCTGGGCCCAGCTGATGATGTAAAAAATTGGCATGTACAGCCCAGCGAAGGTAAGGAAGATTCCCACGCTGAACAGAGCATACGGCAAGTACTTGAAGGCTTGTCATCCTCATGCCAAAGACTGATAAGTATGTGCTAACCACCATCAATGCCCGGGAGTAGCCTCTGTCGAACAATGGTCCGACTAGAGGGCCAAGAGCTACAAACAAGAAAAGCTTGGAAGGTTCCTATCCATTATATTTTCGACGCGCTGTGTGATTTTACAAGCGATTTTAGGTAGAATGTCTGAAATACACTGAAAGTATTCACTAAGTCCCTTTTGTGTTCGTCATTAGAAGATATGACATATAAATTGGGGGTAAGGTAAGATACCCACCAGGAATTAAAGACAAGAAAGTTTCAGCCTAGCACTTGAATCTAGGCCTGTAGACCACCATTGGGGGGAGGTGGCTGCATTGTTTTAGATGGTGTCGGTTCTGTCTTGAGACTTTCATTGTCGTTTGCCGTTGCAGGATCTGCAACAATATTCTAGGATGGGAAATTATCTGAGGCGGCCAACTTGCAGTGTGTTTATTGGGGTTAACAACATGTCCATACCTGTGGTATGGTATGTATACATGTATCTTGGATGATAGAGAGGCCTCTGAATATAAGTACCTTTGCTATCAATGAAGAAACTAAGATAACATTGAATCTGTCAGCTCGTAACGAACAGTGGCAAGACTAGGATGCTGTTATACATGATTAATGCAATTGGGATATAGTCAAAGAAGATAGATAATTATAATACATGTGTATTGCCATTTTATGGTTAAAGCAGCATGATTGTATCATATATATTCTGAATGCATTCTTATTTCTGATCATATTCCGAAAAAGTACATTCTTGTTGGAGTCTATGTCTCGTTTCGACTAGATCAAGCAAGCCCTTAACAATGCTTCATATGGAGCTTTAGCCCTCCCAGGCCTCGCTGTTTTAAAGACCAAATTGATGCAGTCCAAGTTCGAAGCCCAACTCTGCAGCTCTTGACTGACGTACACCGAAACGAGGCATCTGTCTGTTGGAGTGGGCATAATCCCATTCCTAACGGGAAGTCGTTGGGAATAGATATCAGCTATTGTTAGTGTTGATTGCTCTTACAATTTTTAATGATGTGGTGAAAAACTATTGCATTGTAAATAAAAGTATAGATACATTCCCTTCCATTTTATTTCTAGAGGCTCTACATCCTCCAAATGTGTCATATCCAACGCCTACCACTCATTAGAAAAGCGAGATACGCAACTCCATCATGTAGTTCATGTCTCCTCCCTACCAGATAAACAAGTCAACGCGGAAGTCAAATCGTTCACGACCTTTTCTTCAAGTCTATTCTGTGCCCCCGACAACGCACCGAGGGGTTTTTGACGCGCGAGCTCCATCTCCTTGTCGCTGGTAGCAACGATGCGGGCCCGTAAGCTTGATCGTCGGCTGAGAAGCTCCTCAATGTCTTCCTTGAGCTGTCCCTTGTCCCATTTGAGCTCTTGGATAGCTTGGCTGTCAACACCAGCACTCGGGCCGGCAGACCGATATTGCTCGAGAATGAACGAGATTAGTGCCAAGGAGTATGCTTCTGAGGCCATTGCTTGAGATATTTTCTTCCCAGACTGCACACTAGCGGATGTAGCATGGACGTTTGAAAATGACTCGGCGGTTAGGGATAAGCGTCCGTCAAATTGATTTAGGAATGCTGCTACTTCCGGAGCCACACGAGTGACATGGAAGAGGAGATTGAGACACAGGGGTAAAATTCCTTCTGTCCAGATGGAGTAAAGGCGTGGCACAGGATCGAAAGGTCCAAAACCTTTTGATTGACATAAGATGCGGGTAAGTCGACTGGTCGAAAGTTTCATGAGTACCCCTTCAACGGCGAGGTATTCAGCCAGCATTGGAATAGCGGAGAGTTCCACCAGAAAGATTATGCTAAGCTCTCCATAGACTGGATCGCCTTCAACGGTTAATTGATCTGCCCAGGAAAATAGGGTTGTCGCATATCGGGCGCTGTCGTTGTCTTCAATATGGAAGACAATCTGTTCGTAAAGTCGTTCAGCATCCTTCACTCTCAAGGCGGTTTGAAGGATGGCGGTGATAATGGCAAAATCTTTGGGCGAGCATCGCTGCGGTTCATCATGTAGATATGTCGTAAGAGATCGGAACCCTTGTGCTATCACAACTTTGATGACTTCTAGGATAATAGATAGGTCTGGCGAGAATTCGAGTTTTTTGTCGGTAGACTGCGACAGGGCTGGTGATGCGATATGAAATTGAAGAGCAAGGAAAAGAACATTTAGGAGGCTGCGGTAGTACTCCGTGTCGTCGTGAATTAACGCGTTCTCGTACGTAGTGCCTCGAGCCCGCATTGTGTCCCAAACGACCGACAGCAATTCCACGACTTCCGGACCATCCGCGCCGGCGTCAACGAGCCTCTGGAGAATCGATAATGCAAAGTCTACTCGCGACTGCTGCAACTTGGCAAATATAGGTTCCTCAGGGAGAGGACGCATGTTTGCAAGCAAACAATTTCGTACCACCAAAGCCATAGATTTTTGAATTTCTTTGTCTGGGGTGAAATCTATAGAATGCTCAATCGCAAAGAACTTCCAGCTATTAAACAGGTTCTATTTCTAACGTTAATAACTTTTCTTGACCACGAGAACTTAATTACCTACCACCTGCGCTTCTACAAGCGACAAGTTGAGATTCGCTCGCTCGAACTCACTAGCAAAGCCTTGACCCTTGCTTCCTTGCCATGAAAAATCGAATGATAAAAGTTTCTCCGATAGATGCAAATCGTAGTAGTAGTCGTTTCCTAGAGGCCGCTTTTCAAGTCCCGTTCGCTTGAATTGTACAAGATGACATCCGTTGTATCGCGTCTCAAAATTCCTTTTTAAGTTGGCGTGCAGAGACGCATTGTAGCCGGATACGTCGACAGCGTTCTCTGCATACCAAAAGACCAATGGTATAAGCATCTTGATAAAAGTTTGATCCCTAGCTTCCTTTGCTGAGTGAAGGTAGATGGCGCACAAGTTGGCAGTAATTGCAGCGATCTGCGTCATGTTTATTAGACTCGTTGTCACTGGTTGATTTTCGAGTTTCAAACGACAAACATAATTGACGATAGAGCCGAAGAAGTTTGAATGGCCACCCAATTGTGTTGTTGCCCAAGGCCAATGTTCTTGTGAACTTGACACAAACTCAAGTAGAGCGAGAGCAATAGATACATCAATATGGTCGATGTTTGCCAGGGAGTCAAGAGCAGTTTTAAGGAAAGGCGTGCTTCTCATTTTCGGAACCTTTTCCCCACTTGAACTCAGCTTGAGAGAATCTCGGGGTGAGCTTCCAGTGAGAAGGTAGATCGCTAGCCATTGCTGCCGTTTACTAACAAAAGCAGACAGAAGGCGCCATATTGATATAAATAGGGCTTTATCAGTCAAATGCTTGTCAAACTGGGCAAGCACATCAAGAAAAAGGCAAGTCGACTCGGATCCTAGATGGCCAAGGAGAGATGGCGGCTCATTTTCAGACTCTGCCGCTGCCCGTGATACCAACAGTTCTAGAAGAATAACAACAGGTAAGCGATATCGATAATGAGAGCTGTATAGTTTCACCAAAATGGAAGACGCTTTGAAAAGTTGATCTTCGAGTAATGAAGCAGGCAGTTTAAGTAGATGTGCTGCTTGTATTAACTTGATAGCTAGATTGAGTGTAGCTGTCACTTGTTGTTCGACACAAAGAATATGGCGGAGATAAATAGACGTCGTTGGAGTTTGAAGCCCGTCAATGATGATGCGCAAGACGGGGTTGAAAGGTAGCTCATCGTTCGACTGCGGCCGCAAAACGTCGAGGATATATTCAGCAGATTCCTGGAGAATGCTCGAAATTTTAGACTGATTGTTCTCGGTACCATCAATGCCGTGTGTATAATAAATAATCTTTTCGAAATTTTTGGCCAACATTGTCTCGACTTGTAGCCTTCTTTCCATTTTGTTGAACCGCCAGTTACCGGTACTGTTGTATATGCCAACCATAGCTCGCACAAAACTTGAAAGAACTCTGCTCATAACATGAGATGGCACACCAGCACTCTTCTCAGACACATCACCTGCTTTGATGATGTCTCGACTCGATAATTTTCGGAAACTGGCATTTGAAATAGCGTCATCTATAACAGCGTCGAAAAGATCGACAAAGCTTATTAGAAACGGGTATTCGCCAGATGTTACCTCCGTGGCTGATACAATTGCACTCCAACGACCTGCCTGGCCTCCAGTGTCCAGCAAGCTGGTTCGAGACAAAAATGGCCAAGTTCGATTAGGCAGTATTGGGACCAGAACTCGAGCAAACCGCAAGCAGGCAACAACTAGGTCTTGGGACCCATGGGCAGTAGATACTCCACTACTTTGTAAATGTCTCTCCAGGATATTGTAGACCACAGTTACAATATCGTTGCTTTCACTCAGCCCTTCGCTTGCTAATTCTAAGATTCTCCTTGGTTCAGAACCATCTTCCTGGGCTTGGGTTCTATGGAAAACAGCTAGAAGGTCGGTAAGTAGGCCGATGATCTCAGCAATGGTTTCTTCATCAGTGCCAGGCAAATCACCGCCACTCTTTGCCCATTCCTCCAACCAACTGCCAAGGAAGCTCAAGCACGAGTAGTTGTGATACCACATAATGACAGCAGGTTTTGATTCTGAAACAACTTGACCGGTCGTTGTTGGCCGAAGCTGGGAAGAGCCAGTGACAACGAGGGCAGTTTCAGAATGAGCAGTTCCCCTGAGTTTCGCTGGTGTCGAAGTCAACATGGGTATTGGTTGAACAAGAGACACAAAATTAGCATTTTCGTCTTCACGTATGGTTTCATAGCCTTGAAAATCGGGAGACACAACTTGAGTAAAAGTTTCCATGGCCTCGAGTTGATTGAAAACGAAAGAAGCTCCAGCCTCATTGGCGCCATCTTTTCCAGCCAACGCCCGGCATAGCCGGATGAATGGCACTGCTTCATATGGAAAGCGAGAGCGAGAGATGTGAAAAACACGGCCCATAAGATTTTCATCATTTAGAAACACGTAACGCGGATCACTAGGATAATCAATGGACGTTTCGTTGAGCCGCAATGATTCGTTAGGACCATTCAAGATAGATAATGTGGCGGAAACAAGATCTGGTGAATATTCTAGTAATTGAGAACCCAGTCGTACAACGCCTAACAATGAGCCACGAATCCACAGGCTGGTTATGGCATCGTCAATAGCGGATAATGTGTCTACAGTAGACGCAATATTGGTGATAACATCGAAAAGTTGTCCTTGTTCGATAGACCCTATGGTTAAGATATCAACGAATCGGTCTCCGTAGGCCGGTACGCGCACGACATCCAACAATTCCTCATAAAAAGTCTGCTCCGACGAACGCAATGGTGATGCAGCAGGAGTATTTGACTGAAAAGAGTCCACTGCACTATGAAATTGTTCCATCTCTCTTCTTTCTTTGGCGTCAAGTCCGATTTCTCGCATTGCGAACAAGATTGCACCCCATGCGAAAGCAGCAGGGCTAGCGCCTAAAATTCCCATGTCAACTGTGCTGAGGAAAATCTCGTTTATTTCAGTTATATGTTTGCGGGAAAGAAAGTATGGCTGGGAGTGGGATAGGGCTTCGGCTTGAGATAGTTTAGAATTCTTCACCACCAACGTCAGCGAATCAGGAAGCTTCAGCAAAGCGAGAGTTGTCGCAGATGTTAGGACTTGTAGGGATAATCTGAGAACCAAAGGATCCTCGCATGGCTGATGAAATGATGTCAGCGACTAGTACTATATGGAAATTTAGATTGTACCCACCGGAATTATTGGTTCCATAAAATTGCACTCTACCATGAGTTGGAGCCATTTCAAAACCACATCTCCGCTTGGAATACACTTCAAAGATTGAGCCTTCAACAGAATTATTTGCATGACATGCACAACCTCGTCAACAAGAGTTGTTCGCCATGCGTTTTCAGTTTCCTCGTCGCTCTCAGATGCTGACAGCCAACCGCCTTCATTTTGGAAACTAGCCAGGCGTTTCTGAATGCCTTTGATCGCCTCTTCTAGGAAACCGCTGCTCTCGGCTTCAGTTTTCTCTTTCCCGAATATCTGCTGTCCCAGATCTGCAAGTGTATCATTTTCTACTGACGCATTCGAAGTCTTCGGGGGTGGTATCAGGCTAGCATCAGACGGAATCGTATCACGCAAGGAAAAAGCAAGTAGTTTTCGAGATGTCTTTAGAATATGGCTTCGTTCGGCGAGGTAAATTTTTCGCAGTCTTTTGCGCCTAGAATCTTCCGAGGAGAAACTGGTATCTGAGCTTCCGTTGATTCGCGTGAGGACTTCTTTTAATTGAGGACCAGCCAACGACACACGAAAATTGTCCACACCAGTCGCATCTTGTAAACTTGTTGCTTCCTCTTCAGAAAACCTGCCCACGAGGCGAGCGCTAGGCCTATCCTGCCATTCTAAAACAGTAATCCTCAGAGCTGATATCTCGTCTATTCCTGCTTTCTGACTTAGCCATAGTGCGTCGGCTTTTATTTCATCGATTTTGTATGAGGCTTGAGGCGATGCATCGACATGAATTGCAGCGGTTTTTGACTCAAACTCGGACTTGGATTTCGCGGATGGTGGGTTGAATGGTGTCAAATAATTCGAAAGTAAACGAACACTTTCTGGTTGTGACAAAAAGGTTGAGACATTTCCAGCTTCCGTTGTCTGGTTACCTAATTCACAAAGAGCTATGAATGCACGTTCCCAAGACCTAAAATGTTAGCTATGCCTAGAATCTGGGCCGTGGACTTTCGTACAGCAGCTGGGCGTCCCCAGAGAAACATTTGTCCAGGGACGCGAAGTAGGCTTCCGGAGCCGGAGCCATTACAGGCACAACTAGATCATTATCCGAGGCGCACGGAGGTTCAAAATTCGGTACGGAAGAACTCGTGCCTGGCGAAGTTCCCCGCTGAGAATGAAGAGAGAAGTTTGGAGCTGGGAGGTTGGAGCTATGAGAGCTTAGAAAGATCCTGAGCTTGCGGGCTGCAAGTTTGAGACGGACCGCGACGATCCTCTCTGGGACTAGCGCATCCACGCACAGACCATTCTCTTTATGCGCCGACAGAAACTGGGAGAGATGCACTGTTCAGTTTGCTGAATTGATCTGGTCATATTCTTTCAAGCGGCCATGTCTTCATGAACTGAATCAAACTCAGCTGCCAGCGGCGTATCTCCAGCAGCGCTCCCTAACACCACCTGCGATCTAACGACCATCCCTAACCTTAACGTTTGTTACCCGACCCTCTTGCCGCAAATCTCATTCTCCGAGATATTTGAGTCACCGACCGCCGCCGCCGTGTTACTCATTCCACCAACCAGCCACCTCGTCACTAATTCTTCCGTTCTTTTCCTTCAAGAACTCTAGATATAGACAACTGGACTTGAATTCTAAAACTCGAATTGTCTTGCGAAGCTGGAAACGAGGCGAAATGGATAACGGCTTGGTCGATTATTCCCCGCACAACCCGACGAAGGTGGAGAAGCTCAATACTGCTTCTAATGTCATTCTAATCGATAATTACGACTCATTTACCTGGAATGTCTACCAGTATCTGGCTCTTGAAGGCGCTACAATCACGGTCTATCGCAATGATCAGGTCACGCTTGACGAATTAATTGCGAAGGCACCAACTCAATTGGTCATTAGCCCTGGCCCAGGCCACCCCGATACCGATGCAGGAATCAGCAAAGCGGCAATAAAGCATTTCAGTGGAAAGATCCCTGTTTTTGGTGTTTGCATGGGACATCAATGCATCATCTCGGTGTTTGGCGGAAAGGTCGATGTGACAGGCGAAATCTTACACGGCAAAACTTCGGTGTTAAAGCACGATTCCAAGGGAGTATATGATGGACTGCCGGCATCTTTGGATGTCACCAGATATCATTCTTTGGCAGGAACCCGGCCAACACTCCCAGACTCCCTCGAGGTTTCTTCTTGGGCCAATCTGGAGGTTGGTGGGAAGCCCATTATCATGGGATGCAGACATAAAGGTAGGTTAATTTCACATTTTCTTGGAAAAAGTATGTGCTAAAAATGTATATAGAATATACAACAGAAGGCGTTCAATTCCACCCGGAAAGTATTCTGACCGAGCATGGACGGACGATGTTCCGCAATTTCCTGAAATTGCAGGGCGGCAGCTGGAAAGAAACCCAGGGTACTTCTACAACCGAAACGAGCGAGAAGAAGACTGAGAAGAAGAAAAATTCTATATTGGAAACAATCTATGCCCATCGAAAGGCTACAGTAGCGGCTCAAAAACTGATACCTTCACAAACACCGGAAGATCTTCAGGCCACTTACGACCTTGGTATAGCACCTCCGCAGATATCTCTCCCCGAACGGTTAAGACGGTCCCCATATAACCTCTCCCTAATGGCTGAAATCAAAAGAGCCTCTCCATCTAAAGGAATTATTGCAGCCTCGGTCTGTGCGCCTGCGCAAGCAAGAAAATATGCCATGGCAGGCGCAAGCGTTATATCTGTCTTGACGGAGCCTGAGTGGTTTAAGGGCAGTCTAGATGACATGCGTGCCGTGCGCCAAAGTCTTGAAGGGCTCCCAAATCGTCCCGCAGTTCTTCGTAAAGAATTCATCTTCGATGAATACCAGATTCTCGAAGCCCGCCTCGCTGGGGCAGATACTGTGTTGCTCATCGTCAAGATGCTCAGCGTTGAGTTGTTGACAAGGCTTTATAACTATTCGAGAAGCTTAGGTATGGAGCCATTGGTCGAAGTAAACACGCCAGAAGAAATGAAGATCGCGGTTGAGCTTGGTTCACAGGTAATCGGAGTTAATAACCGCGATCTGACAAGCTTTGAAGTCGACCTAGGCACGACAAGTCGCCTCATGGACCAGGTTCCAGAAAACACTATTGTTTGCGCATTGAGCGGCATCTCTGGGCCCAAGGACGTTGAAGCTTATAAGAAAGATGGCGTGAAAGCGATCCTAGTTGGTGAGGCACTAATGCGCGCCAAAGACACTGCAGCCTTTATATCTGAGCTACTTGGAGGTGGTATCCAAAACAGTGAAACAGTGAAGCACTCGCCATTGGTTAAGATTTGCGGAACTCGAACCCCTGAAGCTGCTCGTGTGGCTATTGAAGCCGGTGCCGACTTGATCGGTATCATTCAGGTTGACGGCCGTAAACGACGTGTCTCAGACGAAGTTGCTTTGCAAATCTCGGAAGTTGTAAAAAATACGCCTCGTTCATCAACAACCACTCCTGCTACCAGTTCAAATCAATCTCTCGATTATTTCGAACACTCAGCGAACTTGTTGCGACATCCTACTCGTGCTCTCCTTGTTGGTGTTTTCGCTGGGCAGCCCCTCACCTATATAGTCGAACAACAGCGAAAATTAGGACTTGATGTTGTTCAACTGCATGGTGATGAGCCGTTAGAGTGGTCTCGTCTTATTCCTGTTCCCGTGATTCGCAAGTTTAGCCCTGGCGAGCCCGGTCTCGCTCGTCGAGCTTTCCACGCGCTCCCCCTGCTTGACTCTGGTCGTGGTGGATCGGGAGAAATGTTAGATCTGTCATCAGTGGCTAAAGAACTGGATAACAACCCCGGCGTCGGAGTCCTTTTTGCTGGAGGATTGAACCCTGAGAATGTTGTCGAGACACTTAGCAAGCTAGGTAAATCAGCCTCTAAGGTCGTTGGTGTTGATGTCAGCAGCGGTGTGGAAACAGATGGCGTTCAAGATCTCCAGAAGATTCGTGCTTTCGTTTCCGCAGCCAAAAGTACCTAATTTTAGAGTCGAATAGAAATGAATGAAAAGTGACATGTTTGTGATGACTTACTTTATATCCGTGACCTTGACACATCACTTTCTTGCAATCTAATCTTCAGTCTATTGGACATTCTCTTCCAGAGTCAGTTCTCAACTAGCATTGTGACGTAAAGGTTGTTTACAACTTCAAACTACTTACTGAGGCAAGGCAAATTATCCATCAACAACACTACGTGCCTGCTTCACTTCTATCATGTGCTATTAACAGTTGAAGCCATCCTATGACTTGGATGGATATGCTCTGAACACCTGCCTCTTTTTAACCTTGCAATATCACCCCTCAGAATCAAGTCGTTTGAATTGAATATTTGACTCTTATCACCTATCTTCCTCTTTACAATATCCAGATCTCACATGCACAGCCTCTTAAATTTGAACTGCCTTTCCCCCTTACCAAGAGCCTCTCACTCTATCCAAAAAGACTTCGAGGGCTAGACTACAAATATGGGAAAAGGATTCAAGGATGTGAATATTGCCTTTGCAGGCACGCATGAACACAGCGAAAAAATCCCACAATGGGTCAAGGCGAACGGAGGCATTTATTCTCGCGACGTGACTGAGTTGGTAACCCATCTCGTTGCAACTGAAGCTGCATTCACCAAAAACGTTCAAGCGGGTACGTCTTCATGATAGTAACTTATTGGTATATACTAAAACTGTGTTTTAGTCCAAAAAGCGAAGAAACTAAACATCAGAATCGTCACGTATGACTGGCTTGAGGACTCGCTGATGTCAAAAACCCCTGCGCCGAAATGTGTCGGTCCTTATCTCTGGGAGCGGGTTTTGAAAGACAAAAGGAAACGTCAGCCTGCCAAAATGTCGAGTTTAAAGAACGTACGACAGAAAAAACAGAGGGGCGTGGATCCGGGTAACATGTTCTGAGATCAAATTACAGATCGGAAGCAAGCTAATATGGCTCAGAGAAAACCTTGGGAGAATTCCGCAAAGGAGCTCGAGCGATCATTTCCGATATGGAGGACTGTGAGTTGCCTTCAAAAGAGTTGATCTAACTGGGATGTAATAAATATATGCAGTGGGATATCATCTTTACGTTGATAAAGACACTGGAGTGGCATATACTGCCACCCTTGTACGTTCCTCGGTCGTCAACAGTCACTTTCATAAAGAGACGTTTCTCGCCAGGGTAAGTGATCCGATAGTATTTATTATCCCACCTCACCCAAATCCTCACCTGCTACGCGTACCAATATACTACCCGTTTGCTCAAGAAATATAGGTATATGAGACTAATAAATCTCCTCACACTTACTCCGCGTTCGTCAAGTATAGCCGTACTGGAGCATCCGGCAAGGACATCCTAGCACCTGGTGGAAGCACCCTCGATCTCGCCGTATCTACGTTCGAGAAGTTCTTCAAGACGAAAACAGGTTTGGAATGGAAGGATCGTTTTGATGATTCAAGAGTGAGAAGACCGAAAAACAATGAAAATGGGGAGCCTTTTCCTGCTGACGAAGGATGGTTTAGGGATGGTTTACCTTCGAACGACCTACTGGGATTTTGGGAAGTTTGAGAATTGATGCTCAGAGTAAAATCACCGACAGTGTTGCTAGAGGTAAGAGCTTGGAATTCCCTCAACTCGCGATGTTGCTCTGATTTTGAAACGGCAGAACATATGTCGATGGCCAACAACGATTCTGCAGAAGGACCTGGCTTGATGCTGGAGAAGAGGACAGCCGGTAGCGCGAACTCACCACTCAACTAAGTACAGCATCGATGACTGCAAATTTGAACTCGAAAACCTGGCGCAAGAAACGGACTCTGACGTACATAGCAGTAGATCGACTATGATGAGCATATTGAAATTATTTTCTTATGATTACTCTTCATCTACTACATAAGTCATCGTAAAATTCGAATGAACCCCATTGCTTAGACCTAGTTCTTTTGTATTAGCTATGTTTTAGCTATATCAGAAATATCTAATCTCATTTGCCTTTTTCCTTGATTTGAATTTTCCACATGGGTAATTCTGATCAACCTCAAAAAAAAAAATGCATCACTACGAAAATACACTAGGAATCGAGACCCCACAAGACGCCGTATTCACCAACCGCCATATATGCACAGAATAAAAATTCACGACTGAAGTTGAATCACTCAGAGGTAATCCTTTTTCCGACTTGTTCTTGTATACTGGGTCAAGGCCCACTCGACATCCCCTCCAGCGTTCTTCTCAAGCGTTCCTCCTCGGATTTCGAAAAGCCTCAAAGTCATTCGCGGTCCAACTTCGGCGAGTTCCACATCCTGATACCCCGTTCGAACAAAGACATGATGGCGAACCTCAATAGCATCTTCTGAATTCCGGAAAGTCACAACTCGGTTGCCCAATTTGTCACCACCTTCTCGTGGTGGAAAGAGGTGCTTGAGGATTTGAACAACACGTTTTCCTAGTTTGGTGGTGAAACCTTCAAAGATTAGATGCGGATAGCTCTCTGAAACGGTTCCTCTTGACGAATTCGGGATATCAGCTCTCAGCATCACATTATGTAAGGAGAAGCTGGCTGTTGGTCCATGCGGGAGATGCGAGATTGTGATAGCGGTAGGGGTACCACGATGCTCGTGGAGGAGGATCATATCTGTAAGCGCTGCAGAATTGGCGCTAGAGATCAGGTCAGGTAAAATCAGATTACCTCGGTTTAGGCGAATAGAGGTGGGGAGAAGGAGACGGATTTCTTTGGCAAATGTGCTCAGACGTGCGGACGGGGAGCGAGAGGTGGTGACAAGTGGGCGGGGGTCGACTAGACCAGAGGTGAGGGCGTATTCATCATCAACATCGATGGTATCATCATTGACTTGGTCCTTGGAAGACGACTGCAAAGACTCGTCGAATTTGAAATCTTCACGCAGGCGCTTATCGTTGGCGATGGATGAATCGAGCGGCTTTCCAGATGCGAGCGAAGCCTTTAGCTTCGCTCGCTTCTCTGCAATCGCTGCATCCCGAAGCGTCAAGGCTGGAAATGGTTATTGCTAGTTTATACAGCTTGGATACAGTCGTACATACCCTTTCTGTAGAGATAGTCCCGTCGCTCTCGTGCTTGTCGGCGCTATTGCGATTGTTAGCTAGTGTCTCTTAAAGGGTATAAAAATTGTAGCAAAACCTATACATGCATAGTATAGGCGAAATGAGGTATGGCACGACTTACAATCATGATTGTGCGATGGTGGTTGCTGGTACCAATTGGAGCATGATGAATCGCAGATAATCATTTTTTTATTCTGCCGATAAAGACCTGCGCCTTTGGTCTCTGGCGCCCACCACAGCGGGGAATTTCCCCAAAAGCGGAGCTGACAGCCGGCGCTGATTGGCCCCTGCGGTACTGCTGGTTGACCACCGCCTTTGCGGAGAGCTTTTCTTCGGCCGCCACACATCCAGTCTTCACTGTCCCTGTCAATTTCAAGCAGGCTGGGAGCAAAGTCCTCCCTTGTGATGACGCCGGTCCTTTATCTCGTGCTCCTTTCTCCCTCTTCTTGAAAGCATATCACTACCAGGTGTTTTGTGAAGTTCTTTCTCAGGCTGCCGGGTATCCCCCGCTTGATCGCACACAGGCTTCTTGTGCCGCAACAAGGCGCATTCAATCTGCAAAACCCTACAGTAACAATAGAGTCAAGCGGGTTTGATATCTCTCAGACTGTCTTTCACTGCACTTTGCGTTTTTCGTGGCCAACATTACAGCCTTATCGACTGGATGCTGTCGCATCTCACTTAGCATTCATTCGATTCGACATCCCACCTCCTTCCTGCCGTGGCCGCACTCTCCAACTTTGTAACCCCGACCTACGATGGATGCTTTTACAAACATGGGAAACCATTTGGTTTCCGATTCAGCGTCAGCAATCAATGCAGACGATGGATTTTCTACTGTCGACCCGGATGAGAGTATTTTAGGCCTAACTGGTGGTGCCCGACGACGGAGACACGATGATGAGGACGATGTATCTGATGGCCTCGACGATGATGATCTGGAGAGCGTCGCGAGCGTGCCCGTTGGCGGTATTTCACGGAAACAAAGGGTAGAAGAAGAAAAGGAACTTCCTGCCCATGCCTGCGCGTAAGTGAGATGTTGGTTGTTAGGAACCACTGGGGATGCTAACTCTCTCCAGGTACTGCGGTATTCATAATCCAAGCAGCGTAGTAAAGTGCCTTTCCTGCAGCAAATGGTTTTGCAGTGCCCGTGGCAATACCTCGTCCTCGCATATCGTAAACCATCTCGTTCGCGCACGTCACAAGGAAGTACAACTGCATCCGAGCTCATCCCTGGGCGATACGATTTTGGAATGCTACAACTGCGGTACCAAAAATGTCTTTCTGCTCGGTTTCATCCCTGCAAAATCAGACACAGTTGTCGTTCTCTTATGCCGTCAACCATGTGCGGCCCAGCCGTCATCGAAGGATATGAACTGGGATACGTCTCGCTGGCAGCCACTTATCGAAGATCGCTCCTTCTTGTCATGGCTAGTTGCAACGCCATCGGATCAAGAACAATTGCGAGCACGTCACTTAAGCCCCCAGATGATTGCTAAGCTCGAGGAGATGTGGAAAGACAATTCAAGCGCTACAATTGCTGATTTGGAGACCGCTAATAGTGTTGATGATGAACCTGCACCTGTTCTACTACGCTATGATGACGCCTATCAGTATCAAAACGTCTTTGGTCCGCTGGTGAAAATTGAGGCCGACTATGACCGCAAGTTGAAGGAGTCGCAATCTCAAGATGGACTGGTGGTCCGCTGGGATTTAGGTCTCAATAACAAGCATTTGGCTAGCTTCGTTCTTCCTAAGCTTGAATTAGGTGATGTGAAACTAGCCGTAGGCGACGAGATGCGTATCAAATATACCGGAGAGCTTCGCGCAAAATGGGAAGGAGTAGGCTATGTGATCAAAATTCCCAACAACCAGTCTGACGAAGTCACTATCGAGTTGCGTGCCAAGGGCGATCATAAGTCTGTTCCTACAGAATGCACGCATAATTTCACGGCCGATTATGTCTGGAAGGCGACATCATTCGACCGTATGCAGCTCGCCATGAAAACATTTGCTGTCGACGAGATGAGCGTATCTGGCTATCTTTTTCATCGCCTTCTGGGTCACGAAGTTGCAGCTGCGCCAATGAAAACGCAGATGCCCAAAAAGTTCACTGTCCCTGGTCTTCCTGATCTTAATGGCAGCCAAGTCAACGCAGTCAAGAGCGTTCTACAAAAGCCTTTGAGCTTGATTCAAGGTCCTCCGGGAACTGGTAAAACGGTCACATCAGCCACGATTATCTACCATCTTGCAAAAATCAATGGAGGTCAAGTGCTTGTGTGTGCGCCCTCGAATGTTGCTGTAGATCAGCTCTGTGAACGTATTCATCGAACAGGTCTCAAGACTGTCCGTGTCACTGCTAAATCCCGCGAAGATGTTGATTCCCCTGTCCGTTTCCTATCTTTGCACGAACAAGTCCGGATGAATGACAGCAATATCGAACTAGCCAAGCTTAACCAGCTGAAATCGGAGTTGGGAGAATTGTCAAGTCAAGACGAGAAAAAGTTCAAGCAACTTACTCGCGCTGCTGAGCGGGAAATTCTGACCAATGCGGATGTCATCTGCTGTACCTGTGTCGGCGCTGGCGATCCACGACTAGCCAAGTTCAAGTTCCGCACAGTCCTCATTGACGAATCTACCCAATCCGCAGAGCCTGAATGTATGATTCCTCTTGTCCTAGGCTGTAAGCAGGTCGTTCTTGTTGGAGATCACCAACAGTTAGGCCCAGTCATAATGAACAAGAAAGCTGCCAAAGCTGGTCTCAACCAGTCACTTTTTGAACGGCTCGTTATCCTTGGCTGCTCACCAATTCGATTGAATGTCCAATATCGTATGCCGCCTTGCTTGTCGGAATTCCCCTCCAACATGTTCTACGAAGGGTCTTTGCAGAACGGAATATCCGCTGAGTTTCGCTTCCGTCCGGATGTTGACTTTCCCTGGCCAGTCGTAGAGACTCCAATGATGTTTTGGTCTAATCTCGGCAACGAAGAAATATCGGCATCTGGAACTTCCTACCTGAATCGTACGGAAGCTTCCAATGTTGAAAAGATTGTCACCCGTTTTTTCAAGGCAGGAGTTCGACCTCAGGATATTGGTATTATTACCCCCTATGAGGGTCAGCGCAGTTATGTTGTGTCATCCATGCAAGCAAATGGCACTTTCAAGAAAGAGAACTACAAGGAAATTGAAGTTGCGTCTGTGGACGCGTTTCAAGGACGAGAGAAGGATTTCATCGTTCTCTCTTGCGTTCGTTCCAATGATCACCAGGGTATTGGTTTCTTGAGCGACCCTCGCCGCCTGAACGTCGCACTAACCCGTGCTAAATATGGTTTGGTCATCTTGGGCAACCCCAAGGTCTTGTCGAAGCATCCACTTTGGAACTATCTTCTTCTTCATTTCAAGGAAAAGAAATGCCTTGTTGAAGGTCCACTATCCAACCTCCAAGAGTCACTTGTTCAGTTCAGCCGTCCCAAGCAAGCTTATCGCGGCCCACAGCGGTTTCAGATGGCTTATAACCATGCCTCCAGTATGGCTAGTGGCATGTCCAACGGTAGAAACGGTAACCGGCTCGACTACCATGACTCCGGTTCCGTAGTTGGATATATCCCCGACGATGTCTCTTCTGTTCATTCTTCAGCTATTGGGGGCGTCGGTATTCCCTCCGGCTATCCACGAATGTTTCAAAACTTTTCCGACACTTGGCCGACACTCCCTGGTGCTCGTCGGGCTAATGGTGCTCGTGGCAAAGGGACCCCCAGCGTTGCTGGCGAATCCGTTGCTGCTACTGAATCCGATATAACGGGCAGTGTTATCGATGGAAAGGGCGGGGCCGGGCAAGGAGGAGTCAGCCTCGCTGGATTAAGCATCAACGATATTAACAAGCAGTCAAGCCTCAGCCAGTCTGATAGGTTGAAGCGTTACGTCGAGTCTGGTGGTCGTGATACATACAAGGCCGGCGCCAATGACAGCAGTAGCATCTTCGGCGGTAGCACAACTAGCATTCGTGTACCACGTGTACCCGGACACACCCAAGACGACGATGATGCTCGTAGTGTATCCACAGCATTTGCCAGTCAGGTGGGTGGCAACTACGACTGAGCACAATCAGGCATGTTTACCATGGTTGCTTCCTTATTGCCTGCCAACCGGCCAATGCTTCGTATACCGGAGTCATTTAAACCACCCTCACTCTATCCATAAATTATGGCCATATGTGATGTGTGGGATCACATGTATATCGCCGTTCTCTTGGAAGACGATGCTGCAGTCTTGTTGATCTGAGGACGGAATTCATCTCTCAAGACTACCAGTCTAGACCGAAAAGTTGCCAGACTTCCCAGTGATTTTTCGTGTCTCTGGGGTCTTGATTTCTCCTTGTATTGACAGGACTTACACGTTGAGAGAATCGTTGAAGAATTGTGCTTAGTGAAGTGAAGTGATACATGCACTAGACGGCATTCATCTAGGGGCGAGTCTTGCAGTTTTTTGGGCTCATTAGTGCCTGAAATTCCAAGCAAATTGCAAAAGGCTTGCGTCTTTGTATTTGATACTTGTCAATGCGTGCGATAAAGAGAATGTAATATTACCCGACTTTATGGTTGACACAAGACTCCGTGAGTTTAATGGGGCTTTGAAGAAATCCACTTACCAAGTCACAACATCCAAACAATCGTGGCGTGCTTATCATACGGTCATCTGAAGGTGATGAGCAGGACATTTTCTCTTTTAATTTGACAACCAGCCTTTACTAGACGGTACTAGCTGCAATGCTATGGCATTATTCTTATATTGATTTATACTCATTTGCTATTTGTTCACACCAGATAAGAAGACAATTACAAAACCCAGAATAAGAAACATTCCTTGTCGTAAAAGTTATTGTGGACAACCATGATCACTCAACCTAAAACACCTGACACCAATGTAAATGCAATTTATAGTGACTGTATATGAGAGAAATTCAAACACAACTCCGAAGATGGTGGTATTAGAACCGCTTCCACGGGTTTGAAGGAGGTACCGCTGGCGCTGGCGCCATCCGATACTCCAAAATATCATCCACAGAAACCCAACCAGAGCGCTTCGTAACGACAGACCATCGAATCACATCCCTCCACTCTTCCCACCACATTTCCTCACTCTGCACAACACATTTCCGGCCTGCAGCCGCAGCGTCTGCCACAGGTGGGAGGGAGGCATACGGCCAAACGGCGCGAACGACTTCAAATCGCTTCTTCTCCAAAAATGGCGAGACTAGCGTTTTAAAGAAGCTTTGGCTGCTTTTCGGGGGATATACTACCACTTTTGCATACTTGACGGGGAAGGAAATGGTTACACGTTTTTCGTAGCCAGTCGCTGCAATCAGGCTGCGGATCTGGCCTTCGATATAACTAGCGTTCCAATTGGAAAGCTGCCGCGTTAGAGTGAATCTACGCTCTTTGTTAGTCGCCAATGTTTCCTTCTGGAGAAGGGAGTTTATAGGGTAGTACGTACGACTTCAAAGTTGACGTCTCCTTACAGAATCTTGTAGCCCATTCGTCCAGGCCACCTTTAATGTCAGGGATCGTGCTCTGACCATCTTTTCCTCTGTACGCCAATTCCTGATCGCCGACCAGTTTGACGTAGTTCCATTTATTCTGCGAGTTCTGCGCTAGAAATAACGAGAGCATGTTTATTTTGATATCGAAATCACGTCGTTGCCCGTCTTCTTGCTTCTCGCCAAGAATGTGGATGTAAGGTAGTGGGGGAAGAGTAGCCTGCTCCTGCACGAAGCGAACAAGCGCTGACGCATTGGATGTGAAGGAGGGGTGATATGTTGACACTGTCGATCCATCCTTGGAAAGGGATGATTCTGGGATTGAATATTTGGAAAAGTCAATGGGTGGTAGCGTGGAGGTAGCATTCGGCCATGCAGCTGGCGACAAAGTACTCGGCGTGTTCGTTACCAAGCTTGAATATGGCGGCGGTTCCGAGGTGAATGTTTGGTTGAATACATTGGCATTATTACTCTGTGTAGGCTGGTTTTCCTGACCGGCCTCTGAAGAACTGTTATTTGATAGTTGGACAGGTGAAACAATGTTGGAAGATTGCCACGGCTGGTGGGGCTGCGATGATAAAGCTGCCTTTTTCGACATTCTCGCAAAGTTAGGTATGAAGAAGCAATTCGACACTCTTTGGAAGAGTCTGCATCTGTCGTATCCGAGGGCACAGCGAGTATGCGAAATAAATATCAGGTCTAAGCCTCATCTTTGCGCAAGGCAGGCAGCAGAGAAAGCTGAATCGCAAGTTACTTCCAGTTTCGGTTAGGGCTCGGCGATAATAAGCATGGGCCGCTAGCTGTGACGCCTCAAGTGCTTGTAATCTTACAGTACGATCGTATCAATGGATTGAGGAAGGCCTCTTATTTCACTCTCCTGGATAAAAATTGACATTCACCATCGGACATTAATATTCCTATTTGACAAGCAAGATCTATAATGTCCATCAATAGATATCTACATAAATTCCGGAGTTTGCCCCTTCGACATAATCCTTTTTTCTGCCTCTCATTGCAGATATTATCATTGATATATCAATTGATGTATATACCTCGATTTTCTCTTGTGACATGAAACTCAGAAAAGCAAATACAGGTGAGGAAACAGAGTAAAAAGTCAATTCCCTTTGAGAATGTACGGAACATGTTAGTTACACACAGATCTAGGACGACTTCTTCATGCAAATGGTCATTTAGCAAGCCCAATGTTCATTTTTGGAGTTGAGATGATTTTTAATGTTCACAAATTGTTCTCATATTGTATACGAGTAATTACATGTTGTACAATGGGTGGGGCCTAGTAGTAACAATGCCTCTGCAGTCATTCCTTTATCATGAGAGAAATTCGATAGAAAGACCAAAATACTGAATCCTATCTGTCTCAATTAGTTATTTGTACAACTGTATATTGGGAGGCTTCATCAGAGAAGAGTACATACTGTTGATGCATTGAAGCTGGGCCAAGGCTGCCGTTGATTGGCTGATGGCTCTTCTTCCCGTTTGCTTGCGATAAACGATAATCTGGCGACGTCGACACAACCAAACCGATTCACTTTCATATCCCATTGCTTCAGCACTGCACAACTAGGAAACGACCTCGACTGTGACTCTAACCATGGATCCATTCTCGGCAGAAGGAGGTATATTGCATCACCGTCCATCTACGTCCACCCCGCAATGTGGCATTATTCGCCCGTGGCTAATATGTCCCGCACAGAGCTCGTCAACATTCACAACGCCTTCCACCAGGGCCAATACCAGAATGTAATCGACTTCGACACCTCGTCGTTTTCCCCAGAGAATGCACTTCCCGCGCGTGTACTACAGCTTCGAGCAAAAATCGCATTGGGACAGACGGATGAAGTATTGGCAGATGTCGAGGGAGAGGACACACCAGACCTAGCGGCCGTCAAGGCGCTCGCACAGAATACAGCTGGCGACACTGAGTCGGCTCTTACGCTCGCACAGAAACTCGCTGAAGAAAACAGTGACAACAACACTGTTCAAGTACTTGCTGCTACTGTGTTGCACACGCAAGGGAAAACGGATGAGGCCCTGTCCCTTCTCAGCAAGCATCAGGGCAATCTTGATGCGTACGTCTATCCCCGTGATGGCATGATATGGATTTCCACTAATAAGCGACGTTTTATAGCGTCTCACTCTCTGTTCAGATCTACCTCCAAACGAACCGCATCGATCTTGCCCTTAAGGAAGTTTCCGCCGCGAAACGATTCGCACAAGATTCTCTACTTTTCAATATCGCCGAGTCGTGGGTTGGACTGAGGATTGTACGTCGACCTGGATCCCTTGCAAGAAGAGTAGGGCTGATGAAACACAGGGCGGTGAAAAATACCAATCAGCATACTACGTATACGAGGAGCTGGCGTCAAATCCCAATTCTACTGCACCTCTGTCTATTGCTGGCCAGGCTATTGCGGAGTTACACTTGGGCCGCCTTCCGGAAGCTGAGGCAGCTTTGTCCGAAGCAATTCAGAAATACCCAGAAGATGCACAATTGATTGCCAACACAATCGTCTTGAACGTGCTCAGTGGCAAAGACGCTACCGAATTAACCGAGTACGTTATCGGGTTTTGTCTCAATTTCCATGTGTGTCTCGCTAACATAATACCCAACCACAGAAAACTTAAGACTATTCAACCCACTCATGCCCTTCTCACTGACTTGGAGGAAAAGAGCTCTTTCTTCGACACAGCTGCTGCTAAGTATTCTGCTAAGGTTTCTTCATGATCATTAATTAGATGAAATGTTTTAAATTGGTATATGATGGAGTCTATGTATATGTTGAAGACGGTAAAAAATTCAAAATTTCACAAAATAATGTTGACCTTGACGTGGTCCATTTTCCAAGAACGCCTAGCACCATACCTGTGCGACGATGAGACGTCTTTCTTAGGTGAATTTTCCAATTTGAACATATCGGATACACCAAACGGGCCCACCGGTGTGTGAGAGTTCCTTCGACGATTTTATAGAGACGATCGCTATTCAACTAAATAGTAAAAAGTCTTTGGAAGAGTATTGTATCGTCCTCGCTATATCAGATTGTGCCAGTGGTGATATATCTGAAGTGAGATAGTATCTGGAAAATCATCTGACAAATTAATATTCCTTTATGGGTCATAATTGCAATGGAAATACATGTCTTATTATAGCTTTGTAAGAGAAAAACTCGTTCATGATTTCTCTTCTCGATTATGGCGCTGAAATAAATGCTATGGATTTTACTTTGCTATCTTTTTGTCTGACAACAACCATGTATCTTTTTTAATTTGTTTACTCTTTTGTCGGCCTATGTAATTGGCGTTACAGGCCATTCAAAATGTTTTGTCTTTGGCTTGAATGGCCACATACTCTATCTGCCAAGGTATCTAACTTTGGACCATCTAGAAAGTCGCCATACAAAGATACAAAAGGAAACGGAAGGAATGTGCCGCCTCTAAGAGCGGAAATGATGCGCCGGACGCAAAGGGGCGAAGATGCCGAGCCCTACCACGGAAGATGACCAAAAATACCTTCAAAAATATTGTATCCATATCAGAGGAGTTCATGTTTGGACCGCATATGAAGAATATGCCACTTAACCGGCACAGGCCGCAGGAACTAATGCTGTATGACGTTGACTGGTTCATCCATGCCATATTAGACACAAGAAGCCCTGTGACAACATGATCCATCGACGTGACTGGATTATTGCACCAGAAGAAAAAAAGAAGGAAATGGAGAGTCCATGGCAATTTCTGGCGGATCAATGCTATGCAGCTTCTACCCTTGTCCAGTCGAGAGGTCCGGAAAAAGCAGAACGCACTCTCAAGCAGTAATTCGAGGGCGTGGAACATGCAGTTCAAGACTTGTACCCTTCATTTATGGTCAAGTTTTGGAGTATCTGTCTTCAGCTGCGAAGTATTGACCTTCGCTGCCCTCGGCCGAAAACACAGGAAAATTTTCTCACTCTGGTAAAGAATACTTTCTTGAATAAGTTCTCTGAGGGTAATCCCTTATTCCAGATGATTGATGCCTTGATTCGGGTATCAACAGAAGAGGGGTTCTTCAAAGCCATTAAAACCATGATAGCTGTCAATCGATTCCAGGACCACAGCGTCGTCTTTTTACACATGTTATCTGTCTACTACAGATATTGGGACAAACAATATCTCAATAAGTACCAAACCCTAGAGAGTTTTCAACGATTGTGGATAGAAGTCTCTGATCTTCCTGGCTGTAGAACGGACTCCTATAAGTTTATTTATGTGAGATATTGTTTCATATACGCAACATACTATGTTCTTGAGCAAGAAAATGCTGCGATACAAATGGCAGATGATCTCCTTGAAGATCTCAAAGGACTACTATCCCGAATATTGAGTCCCACATGGAATCTGGTGACTCTTGCGTTTACCTTCTGGTCCCAAATTCTCTCCAAATTTTATTATGGACAGAAAAACCTATTTACATGCTACGAAACCCTTGAGCATGCCATATCTAAGCTGCAAAGTGGCGAAGGGGAATGCTACACCAGGGCGGCAATGCTTTCCCGTATCTCCCTGAAATGGTTAGAGGAATGGAAAAAACGTGGACTTGATATCGTATATCCATATATTGGGCAAATTGCACAGACCTCAGAGCTGGGTGATTATGATGATCCAAATAGAATCTCGGCGGCTTTTCGCCACTCAGGAGAAAATCAGTGGAGTAGACAATGGCCCTTGCAAAAAATGTTGGAAATCTGCCACCTAGAGACTTGGCCAAAACGACAAAAGCGTGAAAAGAGGAAGGAAACGGAAACACAGGCCAGTCATACGGGCCTTCGTGACGGCGAGGAACGGCCGCGCAATGAGGAGGCAAGTCCTGCAAATAAAATTGACAAAAGTCAAAATCAAAGAGACAAGGGCAAGAAGGATAAAGGCCACGAGAGAGCACAAGGAAAGGAGCAGTCATCAAATAGCCGAAATAGAATGTGTCAGAAATGCATGCTGGAAGCCAAGAGAAAGCAAGAGTTCATGGAGAAGTGCGGCTGGAGAACTGGTATTGTTCATAATCTATAAAGTACAGACTGGAGGTGTATTCAAACTGACAGAAATGGGCAATTATCTCATATTCGTCGTTTTACTTCTCTACAATCTCTCCTTTAGTGAATGGAGATCATTGGTGTCGTTTGACTGTCGAGGGTCCAGCGCAATTCCCAGAGGTAATCATATTCTAGTTGTCATGAGGCTGCTAATAGCTTCCCCATCCATCAATACCATATCTTATACTTTGTCCATTCCGATTTTCATATCACTGGCCTACTTGTTGAGAATGAACGAAGTAATATTGTTGACTGAGAATGTGCTGATTATCGACCCGAGTACTGGGAGTTCACGAAGGCCATGCACACCTCCAGTTGAAAACCTCCACAACGGGTCATATTTTACCGTATTTTCAGGCGTCAATATGAAACAGAGTTTAAATTTGAACGGCAATAGTGGAGGTAAACACCTTTTTGAGTGTGAATAAATTTGGGTGCTGCCTCCAATTACCGCAAATTTCTTTCTCGGATCTCACAGATTTCTACTGTTGAACCTGGCATCTTGTTAAAATACATCTTTTATCTCCTCACTCCCTTGTATGAAGAAAATCGTGATAGCTGTCATGAAAACCGGATAGAAACCTCGCCAGTTCAACGATATCACCACTGAAGAGCAGAGCTCTGGTGAGCTGGGAATGTTGACTGTAGACTCTCTCCATAAATGTTGTGCTCTAAAGTGGAGAAAGTTTTGGAAAGGTCGCCAAATGTGTGGTAACAACGAACATAAAAGTCAGTTATTACCGTACAACGAAATTGTTTTGATATATAAATTTACTTCTCTAATCTGAATTAGAAGGAAGGTCTCTAGTTAAGTGAGAGTGCTTGTATTGTTTCACTTGGGTTAATTTGGTCATCTTACTCGTCTGGCGCTGTCGCAGCAATTGGCCAATTGGGTTTAGGGTTATCCAGTCGGGTGTTGCAAGTTGTACCACATAGAACCGGGTATATCAAGCAGTCCTAAATATTATCCGATGATATTTGAAGAATGGCAAACCATAAACAAAATGTTTTTCGAGATCCGAATATTTTAAGATCTCAAATATTCGTAACCCTCTAGTGGAGACCAGACGAGTCGCCATGACGCGGCTTCGGAGTCTCGGCCATTAGGGCTTTGGTAGGCCACGCAATACATTTGCGCAAGCTGAGTACACATCACTCCCTGAACCTCGTCCACACAAGCTTTTTAGCAGAAGAAGGCTTCCATTAGTATATGATTTCCAAGTTGTTGGCTTGTCAATACTACCACTAGTAACAGTAGTATCAGCTACTGAGCCTGCTGCAAATAACGTGTCAGGCCCCATAGCTAATCCCCCTGGCCCCATAGCACCAGTTCCGCCAGTTGAGTGATCGGATCGAGGGTTCGTTGTGGCTTCCCAATGCTCTCCACCTGCTAGATATATGTCTGCAAGCTCAGCCATGACGAAGCCCTCCAATGGCTACTCACTGCATGGTTATTGTCTCAAACTTACTATCGGGAAACAAGTAAACCAGGACTGTTGAGAGGCTAGTATACTAATAATAGTCGAAAAATAGTCGGGGGGGGGGGGGGGGGGGAAATGACTAAATATAATATTGTTAATAAGCTATATTATAATTGTCAGTAATTCTTCTTTTTATTTAAATTTGAATCTTAAATATTTAGTCCTGTTCACTCCACACTATCGTTCTGGTTCCCAAGTCGCTCATTTAGTGTTCACACGTATAGCCGCCTCTCGTTAATACGTCAATCTTTGAGAATGTCATCATTCACCAAACTGATTGTAGTGGCACTTGCCGCTGTCTCTGTGCCGTTCGTGTCTGCTCAGACGTACACCAACTGCAATCCTTTGGACGGTTAGTAGCCAACTCGGCTGTGCAATATCAATACCCTAAGTGTGCTGGAGGCTAACAAACAGAAACAGAAACATGCTCTGCCGATTCTGGTTTGTCGAAATGGTCTTTTTACTCTGACTTCACCACCGGAGACTCTGCCTTTGAAGACTGGAACACCACCGCCGGAACAGTTAACAGTACATCTTCCGGCGCTGCTTTCGTAATCAACGAAAAGGGAGATGCGCCTACTATCAAGTCCAACTTCTATTTCTTCTTTGGCTATGTTGAGGTCAAGATGAAGATTGCCAGTGGCACAGGCATTATCAGCAGTATTGTTTTTGAGTCCGATGACCTTGATGAGATCGATTGGGTAAATTCATTCTTCAAACCTTTTTTTAAATAAACCCAAGCGCTCATATCTATGCAGGAAGGAATCGGTACATACAACTACGAGATAGAGACAAACTACTTTGGCAAGGACAACACTACCACCTACGACCGTGCCACCTATCCTAACGTCACCACCCCTGCGGATACCTTCCACACGTACGCCGTTGACTGGACCTCGAGTCAGATTGAGTGGTTCGTTGATGGTGTATCCGTACGCACGCTTGCGTATGAGGATGCTCTCGATGGCAAGAACTTCCCGCAAACTCCAATGACCCTGAGAATCGGAATCTGGGCTGGTGGAGACCCTGACAACGGCGAGGGCACGATCGAATGGGCTGGTGGCGAGACCGATTACAGCGATGCCCCTTTCTCTATGTACGTCGAGTCTGTGAAGATTATCAACTACAATCCGGCCGATACATACACCTACTCGGACAAGACTGGTGACTACACTAGTATCAAACTTGCCAATACTACCAGCTCGGGTACCACCACCAGCAGCGTATCTTCGCTGTCTAGCTCAACCACTAGTTCTAGCAGCGGCAGCAGCACCGGAGCCAGCACCGCAACCAGCACCGCAACCAGCACTGGCACCATCAGCAGTAGCAATAGAACTATCAGCTCGAACTCGACATCTTCCACGCCTTCTCCGTCTTCTTCTACACCAAGTTCCAGCACTTCAACCGCCAGCAGCGCAAGCTTTACTGCGGCGGCGGCGAACGTTCTGGGCTTGACTATGAATCCAGTTGTTGCCTTGCCCATTGCCGCGCTGTTTTTCTTCTTGTAGAAATATGCATAATAGAAACAACAGTACTAAGGTATATGTTTTGGAATACAATTTTTTATATCTAGTCTCTGTTCTGAAATTGCGGGCAGCTCGCATGGTCATGTTTAATGCTAAGTACGGTTATGGACAGCCATCTAGACATCGGCATGCAGGGGGCCTTCAAGCACAGTCTCAAATCTATTTCCTATTATTAATAAAATATTAGCAACTTGTGTACCGTTATTTGTTCAATAAAACTAGATTTGATCTTGCCTTAATCAATTTATCGTCAGGCGTGGATGAGTTTTAAAGCTAGCGGGCATACATTCACGAACGGATGGAAAAAGTTAGACATTCGTTTCAAGGCTTCTTAGCATGTACCACAAATCTATATTGACGTCAGCAAAAAGCCCAATCACCTAGCTCATCTTCAATCTTGGAAATGAATACTTACAGCCGAGTATAAGGACGAAATTGCTGCCTCTCTGAATTTCTCAACTCATTCCTTACTTCCGCAAAAAGGACCAAGGCCTCTATTCTCGACCACTTCAACTCTCTTGTAAATAATCTTATTCCATATGCCTCTATTGAATTCGTTGCACATCGCAGGCTGTCGTGGCCGATTTGGAGCTCACGTGGATCTAAAGACTCTTTATGTAATGGGATGTTGTAGACGGTTTCCTTGATGTCGCGGAAACCGGTTGCTTGGAGATGACATTTTAATTTTGATGCCACATTCAACGTCCTATTTCGCTTCTCGGCTGCTTCATGGATAAGTCGTAGGAACTGGGTCAGGTGGGTGTCATTATCGAGGTTGCGACTCTGTCGCTCGTATCGGACATCGAATTCCACTTCAACACATTCGATAAACCCTCCTGGTCTTAATAGGCTGAATGCTCTTTCTAGGAAAGTATTCCAATTGCTGGCACATCTGTTGCCTTGATTATTTGATAATTCACGAAAGGGGAGGGGGCGGCAAATACCCTGCAAAACATCTAATGTAAATGAAATCAAACTTATTCTCCCCAAACAACGTCAAGTCTTCCGCATCAGCTACCAGGAATTGTAAGTTTGGTGGAACCCATAATGGCTGGATTGGGCTCAGGTCGGCTCCGATCACCTCAGCAGAGGGATATAAACTGTTTCTCAGGTCAGAATAATAAGAAAACCGAATGAAATAAGGTTTTAATTTTACTCAGCCATTTCCATTGCCCAAATTCCTGTTCCTGTCCCTACGTCGAGGATTTTCTGAGGGTTGCTAAGAGGAGCGTGGTGTAGGCTGTCGCGCATTGTAAAACGAAAACTAAAATGATGTCGTTAGAGATAGCGTATGAGACAGGGTGTATATAAATTTGGGGTAATCACATTTCGTGGAACTAGAATGCAATTATTAGAATCACATCTCTGGATACTACGGGCGAAACCAAGGCCAACCTGATTCAGACGATTCTGTTCCTCCTCGTCATTCGGCAAACTGTATAAATTGTAAAAATAAATGGGTGAGACTCATTTGATCAAAAGATATTGGATTGAATACTCACAAATAATGTAATTCCTTACAATTCCTCCTATCAGCATCAGTTTCCAAAGCAACGAAAGGGTATTTCACCTCGCAATATGCATGATACCGCCGATCATTTTCAAAGGGATATTGATATACATTATTGTCCACGGTTGTTGTCGAGAGTGGCCGGTTTCGGTCTTCTGTAAACTGGCAGGTTTATCAGATTACTATGTTATCACGATGAAGTCTCTAGATCTAGATACATCACCCTCAGAGCTCAAGGCTCTCAAATCATTCCCTGCGTCATTCATATCTATCGTTAGTAGGGTTAGTTTCATTATTTATCAAAGGAGCTCTGAAAAGAGTACAAAAACCACGGGTAAATACCTAACAAGTGCAATGTAACACTTAATGGAAATGAAATTAGTAAAGGGATTCCGTAGATAACCCGTTTCTGGGAGTTTATCGAACGTTATAATGTGGACGGCGTTTGGTAAACTTACAGAGACTTGCGCATATCATAGTAAAAGTTGCTGGTTATGGTCACTGAAAAGTAGTATCTGTAGCGATTGATTCTGATGCTTGTCGATTTTTTGTTTCGAGTCCTTATGTTTGGAGTATATTCGAACTTGAGGTATTCGTTCATTTGTCAATGTAGGATGATTATGTGGAAGAAATAGACGGGAATCTCAAGAATTTCGAAGGGGTGGAATTTGTTAGCTAAATTGTGAGCGTCAGCTGTTTGACAGAGTGACAGCAATTACGTTGGATTTCCATCTCGGACGGCCTGCATGCTGCGTTGCAGCAGCATCAGGATCGCCGACAGGGGAAAGCTGATACCCAATGATTGCCTAATCGGGTGAATAGACAAAAAGTGATATACTATTGGCACATCTCAAGCTAACATGTGCGGTGTTTTTATCGATCACACCGTCACACGGACCTGTTTATACACAGACTAAGTCGAAGAAATAACTACTTGAGATTAAAAACCTCATTGAGGACGCTAATACTAAGTTCCTCATTAGGGTCTAGTTCCGTATAGAGGGACATTCATAGTTTTATCAAATCGTCAGTCAAGCCGACCTTCTCGCGCAAGATTAATGTCTAGCATACACAGCCACATCTAACCGCTCCTCCAGTTCATTCTACTAGCGTCGAAATTAATCAGTGATCTATCGAGTTTCTTCACAAACTTTGACCTCCAAAAGCACACCCGCTTAGTGACATATGACACGTCAGCTTTTGCCACCAACACCGAAAAAAGTCGAACAAAAGAAACGAAAGGAAAACAGCTCGATTTTATCGGACCAACGTGAGTCCCACCTGCCGAACGTGGCTTTGTACATCTTCCTTATCTAATTTAGTTTAAAAAAAAAGCCCGGCTCGCATGCATCTACTTTAAAGTAGAATAGATGTAGGTTCTGACTTCTATAAGCCCAATCGGGCCACTTGTGAGGTGATCCATAGTAATATGTGATACGTATCGGTGGTTAGCTCGGCAAATAGTATGCACATTACATCTGCGATGCCTACGGAAGGGATGATATGGATTTACACATGTATCGCGGTTATTGGCGATGGTTTACCTGCAAGGCAGAGCTCGGCCCCCTACTTATGTGCGTGGGATCGAGATCAATCTAACCAGGAGAATATGCCTACGAATATTGTCGTTCAAAATGTTAATAGATTAAAAGATATGTATAAATTCTCTACAGAAGTCGTTAGTGAAGCCCCTGCATCTGTACAAGTTATAGCTAAACAGCGTCTACATCCTATATATCTATCGCCTAGACATTGATTTCTTGATCTATTAATTACATACTACATGTATTTTAAATGATTTTATAAAATTAATCGCTATATAATCACCACCTTGTTTTTTTGGGTTAAAAACTACACCATATCAATGCCCAGAAATACCACTTACCAGTGTCCCAGCTGTTCCCATGTTCCTGCGTCAGCCACGTGCTACTAGTATTTGTCACAGTGGCTACAAATTCAAATGTTCTATCTACATAGGTAGTGGTATATGGTATTCTTCAAAAATAATGGCATCAAAGAGCGAACTAATGATTGTGGAATACTAGCCTCTGTGGATAACTACTGGATTGGTAAAGAATGGAGTGTATGTTGAAGGTCGATCTCATAATTATGTTCGTCTTTTTGCTGCTTGCAATTCACAATCTTGTCGACTTAAAAGATGGCGGGAAGTAAATAATTAATCGAACAATATTATTCGATTTCACAGAATAAATCTGATTCCACACATGAATAATCAAACAATGCTCATTCATATACATGACTAATCCCTAGATAGACGAACTCTCGATCTCAATGCAAGTATGAAGAATAAATTCAAAAACCTTGGGTATCGTATATGAACAAAAAAATAAAGCAATTTCCCGCTCCTTGGAACAAAAAAGGAAAGTAATGCCATAAATGATGAACAAGATGAGAGCAGAATGAAAGATTAACAAGAAAAGTAAGGAAAAGAGAGAAGAGAGAGTGGTGTAAAGTGATACCAATGCAATAACTCGATACCCAATGCATACGTGTATCCATCCGTCCATGCTTTAGATAATGCCTTTGAAAAAAAGATGCCACCTCGAACCATCGCCTGCGACTCGGTTGAATAGTGATTGATGCTAATGATGCTGTTGTTATGTATGCCACAGTCCAGAACAGAAAATAAATAATAACTCCCCTGCCAGAAAGAAATGAAAACGCCCATTCCGTTTAACTAGTAACAATAACATTGCGAATCCGCAAATATAAACGAAAATATCCAGGATTGCTATCCTGGTGTGAGATGAATAATAAAATGCATTTTCGACTCCGGCTTAAGCCATTTTTAGAGGTGGAATTGTGGGAGATGCCGACAATACCGGAACAAGAGACGGTGAATCCCTGCTTCTGAGAGACTCGGAATCCAGCCGGTCGACTTTTTGCCGATCATGGGCTCGCTCTGTAGATAACGCTCGCTTGAACACTGTCTGACCAAGCTGTCGGAAGATACCCGTTCGCTCCGCCTTAAGCTCGTCTAAATCAAGCCGTTGGACTGGAACTGGAGTCTCTTTGGTGATCTTGCAAAACAGAGTAGAAAACAGATACTGATCGCCACTGTTATCGTACAAAGGCAAGTAACGGTATCCCTCCGACATGCTGCTGAGTTTGGCTGTGAAAGAAGCAAGCGGGATATTGGTGGCGTTTGTATTGGCTGAACGGCCATCTGGTGAATTGTACACAACCCAACGAATGAAGATTAGATCGGGATATTTTGTCTCAACTGCCAAGCGGAATTGCTCGTTGAAAATCGGACTGAATCCGTTACTAGCCTCGATTCTCGTTCGTCGCTTAAGAGGCAGACCAAGACCAGACATGGTATTGCGAGTCACGGCTTGGCCGCCTTCTCCAAATGCGACACACTGGCCACGATCATCTGCCGTATACAACTCAATTTCGATATACGGATTAATATTGTCATCGGGGTCCATGCTGCGCGGTCGTGGAAGCTGTTGAGCGGAAATCATATCCATTGACAAGCGGACTAGCACTCTCTCAGTAGTAGCGGGGGTCTTGCTATTCAAAGACTCCAAAGTCGAGGCAGGGCGACGCATGCTCTCTGGCTTCAGTATGTATCCAGTCCGATCGGTTCCGGCGGCAAACATAGCCTGATTCATCTGCATACCGATGTCATATGTCTGCCAGTTCAATGCAGCCATTTGGACGCCGCTCCTCCAGAATGAAGTCGGATCAAAATTCGAAGATCGCAAGCGGTATCCAGAAGGATAGACTCGAGTGAGGAATCGCTTGTTATGAGTCTCAAAAAGCGCCCTGTTTTCTACGTCGCGACTGACACTTTCAAAAGCTCGTTCTGCAAAGGAAAACACATGGTTATACTGCTTGCTTTCAGGAGCAGCGAAGCTGTGCCATTTATAACCACGAGTATAGACGCCAAGGTCTGACAAGGGTTTGGTGATTTTGCTTCGCTGTCGGCGTTTCCTTTCGGCCTTGGCAGAGTTCACCAATGCGCTGTCGCTGTCCTCTGTGGCACTGCTCAAACTGGTAGTCGTTCCCGAACGGCGCCCTGGAGTAATGAAAGGCATTGGCATTGCAGCATCAGGGGAGGGGCCAATAGTTGGAGGGCTAGAAAGAGGAATCTCAAAGTTGGAGCTTTCGTATCCAGTGCTGCGCAAAAACGGTGTGCTTGAACTTCTCTTACGTCCGTGGAAGGGTGGTGTACTCAGTGGAACATCAGGAAAGAAGCTGGTTTGCGGCTCGTCGCATGTTTTGACCTTGATCAGGATGCGGTTCTTCAATTCTTCGGGTGACGGAAGTATAGCGCAGTTTTTAAGCAACGGCTCGAGAACCAGCTGGTCTCCAAAACTCTCTTTCATGATCTTGACCATAGCGAGTTGTTGTTCAGGGTTGCAGTGAACTTCGAGGGAGATAATTAAGGGGAAATCAGTGAAGATGAATGCATAACGATTAATAACAGTGATGCAATCAGCAAACAGGACGCTGGTTGTCATCGTCCTGCCATGTGATACAATTGGGCGTCCATCAGAGCCATCCCAACAGTCAATCTCAATGCAGCGACAGCCCTGTTGCAGCGCAGTGATATAAGCCTCCGTACTAGATGCACCAGCAACCTGGCGGCCTAGCAGGTAGGTGTTGTGCGAGGTTGAGATGTAATATTCATTGAGAGGGCGATCGAACGGAGACTCAGGAGCGTGGGACGAATATATGCCGTTAGCTTCAGATTGCAAAAATGACGAAAGGGCATCAAGATTCATCCGTGGCAGGTAACCCTCAGTAAAATCTGGTTGGCTTTGGGTCCTAGCGCGGGCGCGACGAACCACCCGTTCAAAAATCAACACCCAATACTCTCTGTCACGAACAATGTCCTCCTTCTGAACGTCGTGCAAAAATTGCAGAAATTCGTCGAGACTGAGGCCCTCATCAGGGTCGCTGATAGCTATATCTTTGTAAATTCGTCGAAGATCCTTCCTTTCTTTAAGGCCGGAAATGAATTCTTTAAACTGGGAATAGTCCAGTTTGCCAGTGGCATTGACATCGGCTTTCATGAACTGTGTGCGGAGCATGTCCTTCGAACAGTTTATGTGCAAGCTTTGGCAAACAGACTCAATGGCGGGCAGATCAAGAGCCTCGACCTCTCCTGGCAGAGACCCTTGCGGGAAGAGTCTCGAGAACTCTCGTTGCCAATGTGCCCGCAAGATTGTGTCACTCTGACTCGATCCAGCCAGGCCAGCCATGAGACCGATACGGTACCTCGAGATGTGCTCTAGAGTGGCCGTCCAAAGTTCCAACGTATAATCGTCAGGCGTGATAAGATGCATCGTCTTCACTGGCCGGCCTTTGGACCGATCCGGGTCGGCGAAGACAATGGTGATCCATCGACTTTCGGCTTCGGCGGTTATTTGATATTCTTCGCGATAGTTGCGAGCATCCGCGCCCACACGAATCTCTTTGATGTCGTCAATGTAGAATCTTTTTGAAGGATTTGTCAAATCCCATCGAACCTTGGCAGCATCGAAGTCCAAGAAGAATCGCACTTGCTTGCTTTTCTTTTTGGTTACCTTTGTGAGGAGGGTACCACGCTGCAGTGCTGAATCCACTTTTGGCGCAACAGCACCGAGTTCGCGGGTAATGAACGGGGTAGGGGGTAGATCGCTGTTGATGCTAGTAGCTTCCGAGCCATACCAGGAATTGAACGGCTCGTAAATGTCAATGTCTTCGTCATCAAAACTGGAATCCATGGTGCTTTCGCGACAATTGCGTGGATGAGCCTTGCTATCACTTCGCCGTCGCATGATGAGTGGTCCGGAGCTGTGATCGCGTTTATCACGCTGCGTAGACGACTGGCGTCGCCTAGTCAACTTACTTGCGGCACCGCGAGAGATTCTTCGCATCAATCCGGTTGTGCTGCTCGACGTAGGTGTTGTCGTACCCTTTCCAGGCATAGTCTGGTCTGAAGGGAGACTCGCCGCAACCGCCATGTTGTCTGGGGTCTCATCTAACTCCAGAGGGACAGGAGAAGAAAGAGCATATGGAAGATATCGACCTCGAACACTATCGGCTGCGAGCATAAAAGGGGTTCCGGCCGGGCTTGATGCGTTGGAGAAGCTGCCTCGAGCAGCGAAGGCAGGGCTGGAGGTAGCAGTTGAAGTGGTAATGGAAGTGGTGGCAGGAGCTGAAGGAATTGAGTAAGAGGTGGAGTATGTAGAAGGGTGGCCAGTAGTGGGCGCAGTCGTGCTGACATTCTGCAATTTGGGTAATCGGGCCAGCGACGATGCAAGTAGCTTGGAAGAGGAATTGATTTCGCCATTCAAGGCGGAAGATGAGGAGGTTGCGGAGGTCATTGCGAAGGAGAAGAGCTGAAGACGTGAGTGACACCAGTGCCAGACTCGCGAGTCACCTGGACCTGCCAAGGGACAAATGAGCAGACAAGGCTGCTGAGAATGTAGTCTGTGCGGAGGGAGAAGCAATCGATGCTATAATTAGGCGATAGTACTGCGAAGCCAGGTCCCAGAACGATGCGTGGTCAGCGATTAGCTATCTGCATCTTGGAGTGCTGCAGTAACGCGCAGTAACCGCCGAACGGGGGAAAGGCGGCCGTAATAATCAGGGCACTAAGAAACAAGAGGGAAAAAAACACGACACTCGGTAATGACGTATTACCGTGTGCTAAGATACCTTTCGTTATCTTTTTTTGGTGTGGTGTTCTTTTGTCCCTTCTCCCTTCGTCACTGGTCCGGACTAAACTTCCTCGATAGCAGCCTCGCGATGCGCGTATTTATCTTCTTCTCGGCTACGTATTACGTATAATGCTTCTCAGTTTGTTTCGTTTTTTTGGCTCGTGTCAATCGCCAAAATGTCCTGGAATTCCTTGTTGTCGATCAGCCGGGGCGGGCCAGCACGCTATCTCCTGCAGGCAATGAAACGAAACGACAAGGATAACCCAATTGAAAGCGCAGCTTGTCAAAGGAGGGGATTCGGTGACTCTAGTTGCGGCTTTTATGCACGTAACCAAGTCAACGTGCAGGTCTTGGTTTCGATAGCCCTGCAAGTCACCAGCAACGGACCGCGCCGGGGGTCCAGGATGGACGGGTGGGGGGGTTGCAGAGAGAGGGGTGTGTGGAAGGCGACGATTCGCTCAGTGGGCGAGTTTTGCGTCGAATGCCTGCATCCACGCGCGTGGAGAAGGGCTTATGAGAGCGGAAGGAGTAAAAGGTGTAACAATCGGCAGCGGCGGGTACACTCGACGGATCAAGGCACTCTTGCCAACACAGCAACAAGCTATGCAAGTGAGCCAAAGAGGAAAGACTGAGCTAATCTGCAGCGATCGCTCGGCGGGTAGAGGGTAACGTTTCTTTTCTATTTTCCTTGGCTTGTTTTGCGCAGCACGACTAATGGTCGGGTTGCTGTAGGAGAAAGCATGCGCTTGTTTTAAGCCTAGTATATGTCCTGCCCTGCAAGGTCGACGCAGTTTCCAGCTCGCGCACCAACGATCAAGACGCGGGGAAGCTGGGCACGCCCGACAGCCACTGGTCCCAGGGAGCAAGGTGCAGATTGGAGCTTGGGATTGCCGAGGAGACGACAGAAGTCGTTCGGTTATAGGCCCGAATAGGGGTGGTGGACAGGAGACCGAAGGCGGCAAATTGTCGCATGCGACTCCGGATTGAGACGGTTCGCGCCGTTGGTGGTAACAAAGGGAATGAGGGGGATTTGGAGTCGAACAAAGATGGCGGCGATTGCTTGAATGACTGATTTCTTTGCAGTCGGGAATTGGGATTTCAGCGACGAGGTTGGCGGTGGATCAGGGCGAGGTCGATGGAAAAATAAAAATTGGAGGAGCGCAGCAGTAGTAGTAATAATAGAAGGAAGCGGCGGCGGACTGCAGGGTGGGCTGAGGAACTGCGTTAGGCAGGAAGGAAGAGTGGGCAGGCAGTGGGCAGTGGGCACTGCTGTTCCTGGCGATGCAATCACGTACGGCACCACAGCGAACTCTGAACTATTAGTGGTAGCAGGGTGAGTGTGCCCAGGAAAATTGATGATACTGTCTTGAAGAGCAGGACTAGTCGAGCGCGGCGGGCAAGAAACTTTCACCACTGGCGAGTGGCAGTTGATCCCTGCAAGTCTGCAGCGAGCCAATTTGAACCGTACCCGACACAGCGGTCCTCTGTAATACGCCGGTACCGTATACCGTATAATACGTAACCGTACACTTGGCTGGTACAGCGGTACGTCTGTAATATTTCAGGCGATGTGTGTGCACCCCGGAGACAATGCAATGTCAATGTCAATGTCAATGTCAATGTCGATGTCGATGTCGATGTCGATGTCAATGTAAAATGGAAAAAGTAAAATAAGGCAAAAGTCTCCAACTAGCAACCGATGACAATTACACTGGAGGGAGGCCGTGGCATTTTAATATTGATTAACTAGTGGCGCCGGCCAGGAAAGGGATGCCCGCGATATCCAAGCGTCGATGCCGTGTTCTCCTGGGGCTAACCAAAGTGGACTGTCTCGCAACTCGCCAGAGGTCAAGCCATTAAAGCGGTATTTTGCCCGTTTACCCTTTCTGTTACCCTGTGAAACGGCGCGCTGGGGCAGGCTGATATGGTGGAACAATGAAGGCTAGTTTCATTTTCATTTCTATTTTTATTATTTTGCTCTTGCCATTGGGAGTGAGGCGAACAAAACGAGATCGAGAACACAGGAGGAAGAATACTAGGGCAGCCTGATAGGGCCCGATGCAGGCCCAAGCAATCAATCAATCACCAAAGAATACGTGGTAGTTTTGCCTGCTTAACATTCCATAATCTCATACGCTGCCCCAGTTACTAGCTTGTTCAGAGGCTATGAAGGACGCGCGGTGATCAAGACTCGGAAAAGGAGGCCCTCATAGCAACATTATTAATTAAATGTCGATGCTAAAGCCTAATAATGACCACAGCAAGAGGCTAGCTAGGCGGATTGGAAAACGGCCTGGTGCGGATCCTGGATCAGCGTGGGGATTGGCCGATCCGTGACTCACCGGTCTGCTTGTCCGACTCTGGGGAATGCACAGTAGGTAATAGATACGACAGACTCGGAAAAAAAAAATTAATAAAGGGAAGAAAAAGAAATTATCATAATAACTTATGATCGGATTACTCCGTACTCCGGACCCTGTCTATGCAGTGTAAATCATAACAGTTCTTCATTAAACAGAAGATTCAAGAACCCGATCGTTTGTTTCACCCTGAAGGGCCCGAACATCCTCATCTCCTGCCCGCTTGATCAGCATCTGCTATCCCTGCGCTGTGACTCTACAGAACCTAGGTTGCTTAGTCGGGAGGAGCAGGATGAAAATTGAGTCCTGCTATGAATACTAGTGAATTTAAAATATGGAATACTCCCATTCCGTCTCATGTGAACCATTCGTTGTGATTCATGTGATGTAATACATTATTCAGGACCAACTTCGACTGATAGGCTGGTCGTATTATTATTAGCACAGATTAGGGTTGTTTCATGTGCTTCGATCGGGCTTCTTTTGTGTCAGATCTAACAGCAAGCAACGGGTGAACACCAGGTGGACAAAAATAACTCGGAATAAAAACTGCATGTCTAGTCTATTATTTCTGACATCAAATATATTAAAAATTAACAATTAGGAATACAATTTTATGGAAATAAATATTCACCGACCTTGGCAGCAAGGGATTGGTCAATCGCCCACAACCGCCAGCCAATCGACAGTGACGATAGACAAAGGACCAGGGCGGTCCTACTATTACGAGCTCGGCGATGATGATTAGTGAGTCCTAGTAAAATAACTGTAATGAATACTAACAATTCCCCACAAATTGCCTGCTCAGTTGTCTCTAGCCAAAGAACGGGTTGCCATTCCTGTACTAAATTTTGTTACAAAGGGGAGGACAGGCCGCAATGATCAGGGTCGGGGTAGGCGGCCTAAGCTCGAAGCGGTCGATCATTCGAGCACTCCCCAGTAAGGAGTGCAGCACTTGCGATCAACACCGATAATGCTGCATAGAAGGCACATGAATCCGAATATCGGTCGTAACTCGGGAGAGGATCAATATACGGTACGTTTACGGAGCATATAATAGATGCCCAGTCATACAATCAAAGTCAAAGTCTGGTAGATAATCTTACGGCTGTGTTTCAAATGGCCGGGTCTGCCGGCCGGTTTAGAGTTTCAAGGCATCAACAATAATAATAAAGTCTTGGGAGCTGTTGGATGGCAGTGCTAGGTTGGCGTGGGGAAGTCGTGCCATATGGAATGAGTCACGCAGGGATATCTTCAACTAACAAGGCAGGTTTCGAGAAGACGAAAATAAACAAAGAATAAAAAAAAAAGTAGAGAAACGTGCCCATGCACGATGCATCATCCAACAGCCCTATCATCGCGCCACAGCGCATCGTAATGCGGGGAACTACATACCGCCGCTTCCGAGTGCTCATACTAGCAGTAATATTCAAGATTATTAGTATATTACCTACCATCTTATGTGCGAAAACTCGATACCACACGGTCGTATCGTCGATTATCATGGTATAGTTATGGGGTGCCTCGGAATTAACACCGCTCTGAGCACACCCGGTCCAATCAGCGGGGATGAAGACGCATATCGGTCGATGATTCGATAAGACAGTCCACCGGGTGATCCATGACCGCTCATTCTTGAAGGTGATTCCTTGCCATGAAAAACTGTCGTTATTGGCACCGTTGATATCACTTGCGGGCGGATCTTTCGGTCGCAAATAGCGGTCAGCTAACTTACTGAGCCCTACAATATTGGGACGAAAGATAGCAGTCGAGTAGACGAGCCAGTCAACGATGAGGTCGTGGGCAGCTGGATCTGGTAATCATAATATCATTACGTATAATCATTTTCCTGCACGTCAACCATGCACCAGGGTTAAGCGTGAGGCAGGGTGCATGCATGGCGGACGCTTCCCTGTCGATAACTCGTAGCCTTGTCATTAGTCCTCGCCCAATCGGTTAGCATATCTCGCCATGAGTTGAGCACGTTTAATGAGGTGCGCGCCGGCTGAATCACACCGCCCCAGGGCAATAGCCGGTGTCGCGATGCCGGATAGGCGAATCGTGATGCCCAGCTTGGCAACGAGGGAGATGTGCTGAAACGAAGGGTGTGATGGGAACATTGAAATCGGCAGTCGGCACTTGGGCTTGGCCCAAGTCGTTGGTCAGGTGCTGGGCGCGTGACTCAGAGTTCGCGAAGGAAACTTGATTTGCTGCATAATAATAATATTAATTAAGAGAAAATAGAACAAAAAATTCAGATGAAAACCGGTCACACAGAGTACGCTCGACGATGCATACAGCTAACAATGGTATATGTAAATGTATAGCCACCATCAGGTAATAACATAACACGGCCGTTAATTACGAGGATAATTGAAAATTCTAATAATAACCGAGTTCGAAACATAAAACAATGAAGCATCCACCTGCAGAACAAGGCAAAAGAATAAAGACCAGAAAAAGAAAAAGCACCGCCACCGAGGCTGATCGGAGTAAGCCGACGGCCGCCGTCGAATCAGCTCGTTCTTCAAGCTCGCCTCATTGGCGGTGTCTGTTCCTGGCGGACCGTTTGCGGCACGGGCAAATCTATCTCCGCTCCCATGTACAGTGTCCCCCCACCGTCCGTAGTCGCTGCGCACTCATGCCCGTAATTGATGTAATAGTTGCAGTTGCATTGCATAAGGATCACACACCCACACAAATCCACTATTGATTGTCTTCTTCTTGTTTATCATCGCTATTGTTATTGTTTTATCGTGTTATCGCTATTGATAGTATTGTGTAGTAGCCGATCGAGGGGCAGTTGGAAAGCACGCACATGACATCATGGACTGCTCCCGTTGGCTCTCTGACTAAGGCGCCCCACCTCCTCCGCGTTTGCTGGTAAAGTATGCTGATTTGCTGGCTGTAATTACAGTGCGTAATTCTTGTATCAAATACGCTGTTACCCAAGAATACCAAGTACCAAACACCAAATACCAAATACCAAATACCAACTCTCAACTATCAACTATCCCATCATTACGTACCTCTGCCTTGTCGCCTTATGCCGCTAGAGCGTATGCGGCCACAGCCACAATCACCAGTCTGTCAGTAATCATGACGACAGCACTATTATTAATTATTGATTGTATTATGATTATTGTTGCTTCGATCACGATCGCGACACTCGCTGTCACCATCATGTTGTCTGTCCGCCCGCCCGAGCAACGACGTAAGCAGCTGCAGCAGAGACTGCAGTAAACTACAGCATTAATAATTAATATTGCCCGCAAGCCTCGTGACCACATGCTGGCTGCTAGGCGGGATTAGCTGCTGCGAGCCCCTCCCAGCTGTTTCCATTGTCATCCTTCATCACCAGGTGCAGGTGCAGCACGCAGGTCAATGCAGAGTCTTGGCTCTTGCTATAGCATCGCTATCGCAACTAATAATATTATCATGATAATCGTCGGTTGTCTTACACGCGTCGTGCTCTAACGACTTAGGAGGGGTCAGGGAGCGGTCATCCTCGGAAAGTATCCGCTCTCCTTCAATTTATCGTTGTTAATGCGGGGAAACAGCTGCTGAAGAGAACAATAGTAAGTAACAGTAAGTAATAATCGTATTCAAAGCAATATTTAAACTGGAAATTATAGTAATAGTTCTCATGTCGTTGTTCTTTCATGATCCTATCATTACTTCGGTATATCTCTGATGCTCTTCTACACTATATTAGTCAGAGCTGAGCGCCCTTGCCGTTGCATCAATTGATAGCCTATCTCGGCTACAAAATATTACATATCAATGCTTAATCGCCGGTGCTGACGTTACTCAGACCTTCGTAGCTCGTTTAGTCGACCACGTTGCGAGTAATTAGCCTACAGGCAGAAGCCGATGCGCAGCCAATGGCCAGGACTAACTTGAATCATGCGCCCGTCACAGGCCGCTTCTGTGATGCAGTATTACATGAAGTAGGACGGAATAGATTAAAAGCTGCGTACTAAATTCCTTCCATGACGTTCGCTACTCGGCCCGTTCGCCGAGTCTCCATCTACTCCAAACGTATTCGTATCTGGAAAGCTGGCTGTGCCTCGTAAGCACTAGCCAGCAAAGATCTTTCTCGAAATAGCATTGCAGTGCTGACAGAGACTGAGATGGTTGAGCCTCTAGCTGATCTAAGCTGCCAGCTGTTCTTCTTATTCATCATCTCATTCTTATCACCAAGTATAGAAATTATAAGCATCAAAATCGAACAATGGACCATCAGGCAAAAGGCAAAAGGGCAAAGGGCAAAGGGAATTACTACTAACTTTTTAATGAAACAATGTCAACAATAAGCCGGATGTTGCCGACGGACGGGCCAAGGAGATGTCTTAAAATGTTTCTCGGTACGTACCACCGTCCACGTAGACCCCCCGTTTCGTGCCAATTCTAAGACATTTCCCTTTCATGAGCTCCTTAATGTCGACTATTGATTTTTCCGACGTTACATGCGCTACATCAATGGCATATGCCGTACATTCATCAGTAAAACCAATAATAGACCTGAGTTTCACGTCGTACTAGCGCCCGCCAAATTTGCCCTTTTTGTACAGAATATCCCTATTCCGAAATTTTTGATAGGGATGCGGAATCACTTCCCGGGCATTTTTTTCCTACATCATTTTGCTCCCTAACTACATACCGTCTACACCTACGAATTATCCCTTCCAATTTATTTATTTATTTAATATTATTAGTATTGATGACCACGAAACAAACGCTACTGTAGCATTACATATGTAATCTACAATGCTAGTCCGTATACTGATGGCATGCACGAAATTTTCCGGTGAAGAGAATGGCCCCTGTCCGATTTGGCCGATTTTGCCACCACCGATAGCCCTGAGATTCCTGGCTGATAGGCTACTTATTATTCGACCAACTGGCGACATTTGTTAATTAGTTATTGAGGACATGTACACGGTTTGAGAAAGGATATGGCGCCATTTCCTTGTATCAGTGTGCATCGGAATTCAATTCCAACATCAGTCCCGATTTCAACGGAAGAAGACAGAACACATGTAACAGTGCTGTGGGCCCAATTTCAAAAATGCCCTTCAATCGAAACCTTGACGTTGTATTTCCCCTACTCTTCCTTTCTTCCCATTTCGATATGATATATTCATGCCTGAAGAAATTTTTTCATGCCTCGACTCAATTTTCCCTCCCGCTTTTAACCGTCCCGCCCTGTCTGGACCCTGTAAACAAACTGCTAAACGGCTAACCGGAGCCGCAAAGGATTGGGATGGCGTCACTGTGCAGATTGGGCATCGAAAGTGTAGGTCATATCTCCGTCGTGACTGGTATTTAGCATATTGTGTGGCCAGATGTAGGGCCTAGGGTATGGAAAATGTAATTAACAGTATGGTTATGACCTGTCCAGGTCAGGGGTAACTTTACGGTTTGACGATACGCGCAGTTTTGAGTGTTAACGAGGTGTCTGTATGGTGTTTGGGGTCTGATTGAGCGTGTAGTACAATGGACAGCAATCATCCTATAGGCAGCATGCGTAGTTACAGCTTCGTCCTACCATCTAGTCAATGCCCATTCGGCAAATCTTCCCGCCCAGTTAACTCGCAAAACGCCTTGAATGTTGTAAACACCCCATCATCTTCACTCTCAAGCACGCATTCAGCGTCCGCGCCCACGAAGAAGACGTATCCCTCCTTCACTTCCTCTGTTTTCGCTGGCCCCACGCTGATTTTACCTTTTCCTTGCGTGCAGATTATGATACTGGGGCCGGGGATAGGGTCAAGTGTTGCCTTTGCCCCGACGCGATTGAGGTCGGTCTTGACAACCGCGAATTCCTCAATTGGCGGGTCGTAGAGCAACGCCGATGAGCCGCTGGTGTAGGCAACTGTGTTGAGCGTCGCGTAGGGGTATTCCGTAGCCTCCATCTTTTGCTCTTCGATCGGCGCGTAGGAGTAGGTTAGCATCGATGTTAGTGTTGAGACATCCTTGAATTTCGGTGTGAATCCGGCGCGGACGACGTTGTCGGATGAGGCCATGCATTCGATAATATCACCGGAAATGTACGCGTGGATGTCATCGGCTTTGAGGAACATCGCTTCCCCAGGCGACAGCTTGACGAAATTCAAAAAGAAAAGAACAAACAATCCAATATCATTTGGGAACTGTCCATTGAGACGCACGACGAGTTCAGCAAGTTCAGTCGCTCCACTAGGATTCGTCTCCGAGGCTGGATCGAAGGCAAAGCTGTTAGGTGAGTTCTCTGCTTCTGCGACGAGCTCTTTGGTAGCTTCCTCGATTTTCTCCTGGGACGACTCCATGAGGGAGGTGAAGATTGCTTTCAACGCATCTTTGTTTCGATCTGTGGTGGCGATGTCTTCCGCATCTTCGGAACCTTTCACGATTTGCTCAAACTGTGCGGCGGCTTGCTGGCCGACAAGCGTACGCAATGGTTTGACTCTGTCGAGGAAATGTACGATTTCGGAGAGAGGTCGGAAGCCGCAAAGACCTTCGAAGGGCGTGATGGCAATCGTCATTTCCGGTTTGTGATTGTCATCTGCATGCATATCAATCAGCCCATTCTGCAACTATATCGCGTTTATTTGTCCTACCAGGATAGTTTCTTGGGTCTCGGGCATGCAGTTGTTCCGCAAGCTTCTTGTTCGGGTGTGCTTGGATACTAAGAGCCTTTCTGATCGACAGGACCTTAAACAGAAAAGGAAGTTTGTTGCCATATCGCCGAGTAATCTCTGATCCTATCAATGCCTGGTTGTCTTGTACCAAATCGAGCAACGTGCGCTGCGTCTCGAGGTCCTTCGAAGGCAATGAGGGATGCGTTCCCATCCACAGCTGCAGCGATTTTTATCAGCGATTTTTTTTCATATTCGATATATAATGCTATAGCATACCTCTGCATAAGGCTTCTCTGCTTCAATGGAAAAGTCCGAGCTTGCTGTGGCCGCAGCGTATTTGGCGGCGGCAGACTGCTGGCCGACCTTGCCTGGACGAGTGTTTCAGCATACATCGGCTTGCTATCCGATCACAAGCATACCCCAGTCGTAGCTGTTGACGCCTGGGATTGTAACAAACATGTCAGTAAGCTAAGCAATCGGAAAATTTCTTTTTCTAGACTCACCACATTGTAAACGGAGGAGTGGAATCTGCATCTTTGCTGGTAATGACCACCGAATTGATGGCCGTATTTGAGCGGCAAGTTGCGACTGGCAAACCTGAGCTCGGATGTACGTGTATAAGAGTCTTACAAGTGGTAGTAGTACACAATAATGGCAGTAACAGTCGTCGAGATATATACAGCTTGCGGTGTCTTGTACCCCACCACTGCTAAGCTGCTGCTAGTCCCTACTGAGTGCGGACTTTCGCCGTTCCCGGCTAGACTTTCCTTCAGCTGGCACGCACCCCGCACGAGTAACAAGATCCCGTGACTTCGCAAGCCCTCAGCCCTGCCAAGCAGCAGAAAAGGGAAGACATCCAGCCACCTTATTTGGAAGGCGGCGAAGATATCCCAGCCACCACCGCCACAGCCGCCATCAACATCGGACGTAGCAAGGGTATCGGCATCGAGACCGCTGGGCATCAGCTTGCTCAGGCTTTCATCTCAAACACCCAATTCCCCTCCGTTTTCAAGACTTGCAAAGGCGAGAGTCCTCTGAAAACAAGCTTAGCTGGGGCAAATAAGCAGAAGAGAGGTTATAGAAAAGAAAGCGTTGCGTGGACAGTCGACCTTAAAGCGCCTCAGTCAGATATAGACCGGGCGAAACAGCTCCCCAGCTAGCCCTATAGGCTTCGGAGTAGTAAAGAGAAGCTTAACTGAAACCGCTTCATGACTGGGAGAGTCTTGATATCGCGCGATCCAAGAACAGTCCCCTGATAGATACAAATCAATCTAGTCAGCTCATCAGGAACGACGACAACTTCCAGCATACCAAGGAGAAGCTTCTTCTTGAACCACCCCATGAGCGTGGGGGTTTTGGAATTTTGAGATCTAAAAGCGACTCCCAACTATATACAGTCCAAGCGACAAAGAAAGAGTTCGATATCATGTCGCGTAACCGCCCCAGAGGTCCCCCAACCAACCGGGACAATGGCATTGCAATGAATGAAGAGACCGATATGTGGAACAAGATCATTCAAGATGTGCGCCGCGTCAAAGAGAAGAACGACAAACAGAAAAGTCTCGCGGAGCAGATCTCAGCTCTGAACGAGAAGATCGGGCGCGAGGGGAATAGTAAGTACAAAGGAACTTGCTCTTTGGGGTCTTTTACCAAACTGCAACATTCATAAATAAAAACCATAACGGTTGAAACACACTTTTACTAACGGATGTAGGACCAACGCTCGCAGAGGTCAGCCAGCTTGACGGCTGGTACCGCCAGGTTCTGAAGCTGAGCGAGGAAGAAAGGGCCATTCTACAGGAAGAGCCAAGCGATGTGATCAAGAACCTGGGCCTGTTGACTGCTCTGCGGTCGGCGTCGGAAGCAGAGAATTCGGCCGGTCGAGCCGTCTCTCTTCCCAAGTCAAGTAAGCCAAGCACTGCCAGGGATGGCGCTGCAGCATCTAATTCTGCTCTGTCAGACAAGCTCAACCGAGTCAAAGGCAGCACCCAGCGCAGCTCTAGTGTGTCAAGTGCCGGCCATGCTCGCGACACCCGCGACTCAGTTTCGGTCAAGCTCGAGGAGGGTGCCGAAGGAGCTAAGGGGACTGTCGCGGAACGCAGCGGCCAGTTTGTCATAGGAGCCGAAGTAGTATATAAACACAAGAATAAGCAAGGCGTTGAAGGGGAAGGCATTCAGTGCATTATAAAGAGTATATCCGGGGACGGCACAAAGAAACGGTACCTAGACGCGAGCGCCCAGCCCCTCTATCAGCTGCTAACATACTATTTCAACCAGATATGATGTCCAGGACCCTGAGCCTAATGAGAATGGCGAACCAGGTGCTATATATAAGACATCAGCGAGCTATTTGATACCCATCCCGCAAATCGGCACTGCACTGCCGTCATTTTCTGTTGGGAAGCAAGTTCTTGCGCGATATCCCGACACAACGACCTTCTATCGCGCCGAAGTTATGGGCGCGAAGAAAGATGTTTATCGATTGAAGTTCGAAGGTGAAGAAGACGACAAGGAGATGGAGGTTGATCGACGATTCGTTCTTGACGTTCCGATCAGGTAGCATATTTATGTTTGGATTTTCTTCCTATCTTTTTTCTATTTTATAGGATCATTTCATGGCGTTGGTGATCTCGTGTGGAAGGGCCCTGCTTGGAGAATAGGAGTATTTTCAACGTTTAGCATTCTAAAATTATTTGGACGCTTGATTAAAGCCAGGAAATACAATTTACAAAATTTTCAGGGGATTATTCAGTTGTGGGTATATACCAATAGCACCTCACGTTGATTATTATTCGATTTGATTCAGTTCTAGACATTATCTCACTAGAGAATCGCTGGGCAAGTGCTGCCTGATGCATAACCGGACGCAGCCGTCAAATAAGCATCAATTGATGGGAACGACAAAGGCCGCGAGGCACAAAATTTCATCCGTTCTATCTGATCTTTATTAGTAGAGTAGAATATCCATTCCTTGAAATATGGCCTGGGACTGGATTATAGCATTCTCAGCTTGTATACTTTGTTCTCAAGAATACAACTATATGCACCATTTTAGAACTAGGGCTTTAGGGCAAGTCCGCCATCTTTATTTCAACGTCTATATATCGGGTTTACATTAACTAACCCATGATGTCGGTATGTAGGCTAGGCTTTGTTAGGTTCAATTTAGAACCAGTCACACACTGGCCATCTCCCCAAATCGCCTGAGCTGCTGCCACCCAAGCCTCGGCGGGACGAGCGATGTTTTCTACAGTGTAAAAGAGATGGCAATCAGCCGGCTCATAGATGAATTGCAACGGTGTATACATCTTCATCAGGTCGATATAGCCTTTGATGAGGTTGACACGGATAGAATCCAGTTCCCGCAGAGGCTTCTGTTTATTACAGGCAGGTGCAGAAGTGAGCTCTTCCAAACACTTTCTTTGCTCTTCAGTAACAACAGGATGACCACCCTCACTAGAGTTTCTTGCCACTTCGTTGGCTTCCTGACACGTGAGCCATAGGCGTCCATTTGACCTTTGGTGGAACTTAGAGCTCGCATGGTCCCGGTCTAGGACGACCACCAAACGCCAGGCTCCTCATTCCTGCAGTTACTTCATAAGTTCAAAGAAAATCGTGCAGGTCGAATCACAGTACCTCGCTTTTTAGCACATCGACAGGTAGTCCGCTATTTCATGTACTTTCATAACTCCGAAACAAATTGACACCCCTCCGGATATCAGATGGCATCGATTTGAGACATTCATAAGCTAGTTCTGCGGGAACTGAGATTGTCTTCGTACCTAAGAATGCCAGGTAAGATTAACTCTCCCTTGAAGATTGAAGTTAAAGTATTGTACTTGGATCTGTCCCATTTGTCTTTCTCTCAGAAATTAGAGAAATCTGCTAGCAAGGTGACGTGCCCTTCAGAGCAGTCACAAATATAGTCTCAACAACAGCCAGGAATAGGGGTAACAAGGATAACATGATGAAAGACTCCTACAAATTGATCATGTAAGAGGACCTATATCGATGTCATTTGTGATAATTTCATGAATTCTGGGGAAATAAAAGCTACTTTAAAGATATAGTGATACCCCTACTTTGTTAATGATCATTACATATTTCTTTGCCTGAATTTTTATACTACAACCTCAGGATTTATGACTAGTACTCAATATTGCTCACGATAAACTACTATCATTGTTATAATTTAGAACTACTGCAATTGGTTGCAAAAGAGCGATTTAAAAAGATTAGCATCAACAAGTTCAATCTCGCATATATATGATTATTTAAACCAGTTCCAGAAGTAGTCGCAGATGGCCAATAACAAATATGGTTACCCGTATATATCAATTGATATATAGTTTCTACACGACTCTGGAGATTATTATTTTACTATTCGTCAAGAATATATGACTTGTTTATGTTGCTGACATATTGATACAGGTTCCCAACATACTGCAAAGAACGACTCCCCACTCGAATTAATCTACCACTCTCTATAGATAGAAGCAGTATTACATGCTTCTTCGAGAATAGCAAGTGGTATACTAAAAGGATCCGTCCTTCGAGTTCGGGCAGTAAATTTTCCTACTAATTGTGCACTGCTTGGATGACCAATTATCAAGTGATCATTCAGATTTGAACATTCAATTTTTTAACATGCTATTCTATACATATATGTACATATGTACTGAAGAGTGCACCGGAATTATTAATTGAACATCTGAATTGATGCAAATTGATTATCATATTCTGGGGGGTGCTCCTGACGACTTTTTAGAAAAGTATCACTTCCTAATCTGTCAGTGTTTCTTCGTCATCCACTGCGCCGTGATATCGAAGTAATTCAATAACTTGATCCTTTCGTCGTCTTGTCGCCATGTAAAAATCCGAGTCGATCGAGTCGTCCCACTCGTCCGCCTCTAGATCCACCGGAAGATCTGCCTGTGCAGCACACAGAGCGTCGGCATAAAGTCCAGTCTTCAACCTAAGATTCACATTTGCCCCAGCGTCTATCAAACATTTCACGCAGCTCTTGCTACCCCAGTAAGCGGCAGCAACTAAAGCACTTCCATAATCTCCAGTCTGAAGCACTAGATCAATCTCCGCACCTTGCTCAACAAGGAATTTGACACATTTAATACTTCCCCCATATGCTGCTGCAGCTGCTGCAAGAGCACTGCCATAATCTCCAGTCGAAAGTAATAGGTCAATATGAGCGCCTTTTTCAACGAGAAACTTCACAATTTCAGTATTCCCCATTGCTGCTGCTGCAGCAAGAGCACTGCCATAATCTCCAGTCGAAAGTAATAGATCAATATGAGCGCCTTTTTCAACTAGGAACTTCACACTATCAGTTATCTCTATTCTTGCTGCTGCTGCTGTGAGAGCACTGCCACACCGTCCAGTCGAAAGTAATAGGCCAATATGAGCGCCTTTTTCAATGAGGAACTTCACAATTTCAGTATTCCCCATTGCTGCAGCAGCAGCAAGAGCACTGCCATAAAATCCAGTCGAAAGTAATAGGTCAATATGAGCGCCTTTTTCAACAAGGAACTTCACAATTTCAGTATCTCCCCCTGCTGCTGCTACTGTGAGAGCACTGCCACACCGTCCAGTCGAAAGTAATAGGTCAATATGAGCGCCTTTTTCAACGAGAAACTTCACAATTTCAGTATTCCCCATTGCTGCAGCAGCAGCAAGAGCACTGCCATAATCTCCAGTCGAAAGTAATAGGTCAATACGAGCGCCTTTTCCAACAAGGAACTTCACAATTTCAGTATTCCCTATTTCTGCTGCTGCTGCAAGAGCACTGCCATAATCTCCATGCTGCATGTTGACATCAAACCCCCCCTTTATGAGTATTTCACAGATGGGCAAACTGCCTGATAGAGCAGCAAGTACCAGAAGACTATCACTGTCATGTTTTATTTCCGGCAGCCAAATTTCGGCATCATCCCACCAATCCGACAGAATTGTATAAAACGAGAAACAACACATGGCATAAACGCCGCTATTGTTTGGAGCTCTGGCGCAATCAGACACAGGAGAATCATCATACCGATAAATATGACCCCGGCTTCGAACTCCGTGATGCCAGCCTCGATATTGAGCACTGCTTTCTATCGGAGACCCAAGAAAACTTTTCAAAAGATCCGCTAATACAGAATCTTTTTCTAAATTCTCTTGGGTTTGGACATGTTCCATCCAATATCCCCCGCAGTATTCTTTATGAAGCTGGTGACCTGGATTGAAAACATCCTGGTTTCTTGAGTTGTCTGGTTTCTCGCTAGTTCTCAATTCTTTGTAGGTTTCAATCAGAAGTGCGAGACAAACTTTTGCAGTATGGCAATGAGCTTGCTCAATGGTCCAGTGTTTCTTTTGAAAATATTCTCTTACCGAAAGATGAGAGAATCTCCATATCCCACGTTGAGAGTCGAGAATAAGTAGGTGATTGCAGATATGTAGCAATTGAGATTCATTGATCTCACTAGCCAGACAGGTGATATCGTTAAAATCTAGACGAATCGCAGCCAGAAGTTGTTCACTATTCAGGGGTGCGAAGGCACACATCACCCACATAATTGCGCGGTCTGCCAGAAGTTTATCGTATTCATTTCGAACTTGTATTTTACTGTAAATTTCATCATATGCTTCTTTAAGGGTTTCTGGAAGTTTTCCAAGTCGAGCTCTAATAGCTTCCTCAGATTCGAGGTCAAGAATTTGCTTGACTTGAAGATAGACCCATTGAAACCTACCTCATATTAGCTTCAATCACTATTGACATTAATTAATTCCTCAAACTCCCCCCACTGTATTTTTAGAAGACTTACATTCCGTCACTATTTTCAAGAAGCACTTCAACGATATCTTCCTGTAAGGCGGGGGACATTTCTGCCCAATTCCCGTGCTTCACAATCTCGCCATTAACAAATTTTCGTATATCCTCCGCATTATGCGTGGCTTGTATTTCGATATTCGGTTTATCAACGAATCGATTTTTGATATCCCGGTCAGGTCGACTGGAGATGAAGACCCTAATTAAACTTTTCGAATTGGTCGTTAGAAATTCAATTGTCTCGATCAGTTGACTCCGTGAGTCTAGTTCACACTCATCCAGGGCATCTAGTACCAGCGTGGTGCTTTCGTAGATGTTTGTCAACTCAAGTAGTTCATCCTTGCAGCTCTTGAAGCCAAGGTCCGACCCCTTCTGTTTCATATTCCAGTAAAGGCTGTAAAGACGTTTTGGTACGCCGTTAAGATTACCAGAAGGAGTTGACAACTGACGTGCATAGCTTTGAAGAACTGAGAGCGGCTCCCGGCGTTCGGTTTCGTTCCTGTTGCAGTAGAAGAAAGCAAATCCTTCATTTTTTTTTGGCGAGTTATCAAGCAGACCCTGAACATGATCGATTACTTTCGATGCAAGAAAAGTTTTGCCAGCACCAGCTATGATTGTTAGTCATGCTTACAAGAAATAAACATTAGACAAGAATGAACTAGAAAAGACTCACGGGACCCCTGAAGCCACAATACAACCGAGACGTTACTGTTCTCCCATTCATGAAATCTCTCATGATCCAGTAACCAATCGCATGTGCTAGCAGTTCGTGCCTCTTTAACGACATTATGGTGTTTTCCATATGGTACTCTTGAAATCCATTCGAGAATCTCAAGCTGTTCCTTAGCTTCAACTCGTTCAAGATTATCGAGAAGAAGAGTCCTGTGAAAATAACATCAGGGGGTATAATCTTGGGCTGATGGGCATAGAACATACGTCTGGTCAATATTGAGGGCCGAGACGAACGTGTGTTTAGATTTACGAATTATCTCAATGATATTTTGCACGTCTTTGCTCTCTAGGGGCCATTTCAAGCTGCGAATTTTGAAAGAGCGTATGATCTGGACGGCTTCGAGCTTTCCTTTCAGCTTCGCTTCTAAGTCTTTGAGTTGCAAAGAACAGTCATTGAGTGCGCCACGAAACCCCTGCGATGTCTCGAGTTTTGAGGCCCTTGGGCTGTCAAGAAGTTTCTGGGCGCCTTGGAGAGTGGTGCTGAGGTCAATGAGTTCACCCTGCAAGCGCTCGATGTCGTGCTTCGCATTTTTGACAGCTTTGAGATAATCTGAGCAGAGAGATACAACCGTCCCGGTGATTTGGATTACGGCTATTACACTTGCGGCTGCCGATAACCCATCCATTTTCCCAGGACGGAATTGTAGGTTAGACAAGAAATGTACGTGATGACCGTAAGAGATATATAATGTGATAAAGTAAGGTTCAGTGAAAAGGAAACAGGAGCGTCCCCGGATATACTATTGCAAATAAAATAAGCAGAGGGTGGCCACATTTGTGCACCTAGCAGGGTGCTTCGCCGCCATTATAAGGAGGAGAAATGTGTTGTTGACCTGCAAGGCTGAACCAGTTCGGCTGTGCAGTGCCAGCCAATCCTACCAAATTGGGCTGTAGTACGGCGCGTACGGCGAAAAGTCTGACCAATTAATTACATTAAATTAATTAATTATTATAATTGCGACTGTAGTATGAAAATTGGCTAACTCTTACACCTGTGACCCTGAATTAGCACATAATTTGCAAAAAACAAGTACGTGTCTGTGCCGTGCTCTTAAGTGGCCATTGAAAGAAGCCATCTCCATGGCTATATCGATTGTTATATAGTCTTCTAAATCCGCATTTTATAGATGTATAGGGAACATATTGTGTCAAAATGGAATGTAAATACCTCGACAACTCGATATTGTGTCAATATATGTATAGAGTCAAGGAATGCGTAGAAGTAGGAAGATAAGTTGAGGAAAACATATACAGAAATCTCGCTGCCTCAGGCATCAATAATGACGGCCTCGGCCGGCGGCTGATTCAGCATGCCAAATCACTTCCTTCCCCGCATAACTCGCCGCCTTGAAACAATATCGTTCATTCACTTCGAGAACTCACATACTCACATATTCCGCCAAATCGTGTGCATATCTCGTCTACCCCCATCGCACTCTTCTCACCCTCTCCAATTGCTCTCAACGCTGCGAAATCGGCCATCATGGCGGAGAAATCGTCTCCGTTCATCGCGCCGCAACCCATTCGACCCAGCGCTCCGATCGAGGGTTTCGCTCTGGACTCTACAAACACGCCTCCCTCATCTACAACCTCCGATTCACACCAAACATTCAGCCATCGGGATATTCTACGCAGAGCACTCAACAACGATGCCAGCAACATCACCCCGGCACTCCCGGAATCCATCATCTCGCCCGCGATCACACCCCCATCCACGCCTGGTGGGACAGTCGTATCGCAGCCACGGGTTCATCCCAATGAAACAACGCAGACAGGAACACATACAAAGGGGCCAAAATTACTTGAGAAATTACCGAATGTAGAGTGTATTGTTCGTGCACGCATTCCGACTACTACCGGCGCCGAGATGTTCCTTCATCTATACCAGAACGATTCTGATAATAAAGAGCACTTGGCTATTGTTTTCGGGAATCATATCCGATCAAGAAGTTTGGATCGTGTGCAGGAAGGAGAAACTGAGATGGATCGTATGATTCGTGGTGCTTATGTGGGAAGATTACACCCGGGGCGGGTGAGCAGTAGACTCGAGGATGGGGAAGAGGTTCCAAATGAAGCGGGAGCGTTACAGAAAGGGCATACTGAGTCACCCCTTGTTCGAATTCATTCTGAATGCTACACGGGTGAAACGGCTTGGTCGGCACGATGTGACTGTGGCGAGCAGTTGGATGAGGCTGCTAGGTTGATGTCAATGGCGTCAGAACCAACGTCGTCATCCACAGAGCCTCCAGTTGACGGGGGAGCCGTCTCAGATGCTGCTGACGGACCTGGTGGAGTGATCATTTACCTACGCCAAGAAGGTCGGGGTATAGGACTGGGAGAGAAGCTCAAGGCATATAATTTACAGGATCTAGGGTCTGACACAGTGGAGGCTAACCTAATCCTACGACACCCTGCTGATGCGCGCAGCTATGGTCTAGCAACTGCTATGTTAGTTGATCTGGGCCTGGGTGCCGATGCGTCTCCAGAGGGAATCCGGCTGCTCACGAACAATCCGGACAAGATCCGGGCTGTGGAAGGTCCCAACCGGGAGGTTCGGGTGAAAGACCGGGTTGCCATGATACCGATCGCCTGGAGAACCGGCGGACAGAAAGGCATTCGCAGTGCGGAGATTGAGGGATACTTACAGACCAAGGTTAGTACTATCTCCCTGTTGGGGTTTTGTCATTCGCTTAATCTGACCATTCGGAAATAGATCGGTAAAATGGGCCATATGATTCGATAGTGCATTTCCGGCCGTCGTCGATTGGATAAAATGTATAGCACACTAGTCATTGTAGCGGCGTTTTGTACTGGGGAATGTAGTGCCTAGCTTGTTGGTAAAAACGGCACTCAGCATTTGAATAATGTGATACGATTTATTGTTATTGTAAAGATCATGATGTTTATTGATTAATCCCCTTTATTAAGACAACAGAATGGGCTGAAGAACTAGACAGGCCCGACTCAAATCTCAGTATCAAATAGGAGGTTAGTTGAAGTGCATATCGGAAATATCCCAAACAGCCAATGTCAGGAAGAGGAAGTGCTAAGCTTCGATGCATGAACCGTAGATTATGCGTGCAGATCATCTTCTCCTAATATCATTTTCCATGGGACATGAAGAATTTTGCTGAATACGAGACTGCACTGACCCCGTCAGCACCGCCACCAAAGCCTGGACAATGCACCAAATAGCAACACGAGCTAGAATGATTTAATAATATCAAATAAAAAAGCGAATTGCTGCTGCCTGGGTCGAGTCAGTCGTCTCACCTAGTAAGGAGACTGACGAGTGGATATGATTCACGATGCGCCCAAGCCTCTACAACGTAGAACCGATATCCTATCTAGGAGTTATGTACCCATCAGTTGATGCTTGTTGTCCACAGGGGCTTGATTGGAGTCCCTCACGCCTAGACGACGCCATTTTCTGCCGTCAGCAGCTAGGAATCGTATTGATAACCAATCCATTGCAGTATTAATATCTCCAATCAGCTCCTTGGTCAGCCTCGCATCTGGCTCGAGGTTATTACCACAGTTATTTTCTTATCGTGGGGTTTTCGCCCTCAACAACCGCCGTTGGGATAATAGTATTGCTGATTATTGGGAGCAAACACGGTTGAGCTGGCCCGGGAAGGCAGGGATCTCCACCAAAGTCTAATCAAAGCCCGACCGAAAACAGAAAAGCATCGACATCTTTCTTGTTCGCAGTCTGGTCGAAAAGTAAGAGTCAGAGTAAGAATTGAGCCGGCCCCCTGGAATTTTCTTCATCTTTCTGAGATACACCCACGTCACGCATGCACTCTCGCAGACTCAAGGCGATAAATGGAAGGCGCGTGCTAAAGGGATGAGATTGAGGTGGGATGGACGCGCCAGGCGATGATGACTCTGGCCTTCACGGCGGCGACTTCTCCTCCAGATCCTCCGCGTCGGCCTTTTCGTTCGTCGTGCCGCTGGCAGCAGGCAACTCTAGTGTCAACCCCGACCCCAATATCGCATCGTCTCCCGCGGCGTCGATGCCCGGTGGAGCAGACGCCGGAGATGGTGGAGGATTCGACGATGCCGCCACTTCGCATGCCGGGAGAAAGCGCAAGGCTGCTAGCAATTCGACACTGCGAGGCGTCGCCAATCTGACACCAGAGCAGCTGGCGAGAAAACGCGCGAATGACAGGCAGGCACAGCGAGCAATTCGCGAGCGCACAAAGGCGCAGATCGAAGCACTGGAACAGCGGGTTCGCGATCTCTCGTCGCAGCAGCCATATCAAGACCTGCAGAAATTGGTGGCAGAAAAGGACACGATTCTAGCTGAGAATGAAGATATCAGGCGGCGACTGTCGACTGTGATGGGCATACTGCATCCGCTACTAGACAGAGCTGGTAAGGCGAAAATAATTGCTCCTAGAAATTGGCATTTGCTAAAAGACAGGCTCAGGGAACAAATCAGCCAATGTCTCGCCCGCGCAGGTCGAAGCCACACATCCGTCGCCCTTCACCGATAGAAGCCACGACACCCCTATAAGCGTCGAATCTGTCCCCCTAGATCCTTCAGATTCCACCCCCGAGAGTGCCTATGCGAACCATGGCGTTGTTCGGGGGTGGCAGAGACTGGATCCCACGAGCTTCGTCAATCCAGCCCCGGCTCCGCGTCAACCCAATAAAATGCTAGGCGAAAAGTTGATTTTGAACTTCCTCGTTGACAATCCGAACCAAATACCTAAGATTGACGATATCCACAAATTTTCCGAAGCGTTACAAGTCTCCGACCAACCCCCATCCATTGATCTTTCCACCTCGTCCGACCAGCCTCTGGCATATATGATTCCAGTTCGTAACGTACCACCAACCTGCGCGCTCGACACCATTTTTCTCGACTTTCTTCATGACCGTCGTCGCGACCTATCAGACGGCTCTCGCCAACGTCTGGCGTATCCAAGCGTGTCGTCCCTTCTGAATCCCGCCGAAGACAGTCCATACTCATACTCCATATCAAAAGTCTTCAGCGACATCCTGCGCGCGTTCCCCGACATATCCTCCCTACCCGAGCAAGTAGGCACGCTATATATCATGTTCCAGCTTATGCGCTGGCAGATGGATCCAACGCAGCAGAACTACGACCGCATGCCGGACTGGCTCACACCACGGCCCGCGCAACTATTCACACCCCATCCCGCCTGGGTCGATTACCTCTTGTGGCCGCAGGTCCGAGACCGGCTTGTATACAACTACCGCAACTACCCCTTCGAGAACTGGTTCGGGCCTTACACACGAACAATATCGTGCAATTGGCCGTACGAAGCCACGGACTGTCTACTGCACAACACCGACTCGGACGAATTGCTGATCAACCCTGTGTTCGAGCGGCATGTACGCAATCTGAGGAACTGGACTCTCGGTACCGAGTTTGCAGAGGCGTATCCTGGACTAGTTGACGTTATAAACATCAAGCCTGAAAGAAGAAATTGATCTTAATCTTGATCTTTGGAGGAAATGTCAGTTTTATAGCGATAAATAGCCACTGGCGTTGGGATTTGTTTAATTTTCTTTTATGGGGTTATATAAAAATGGGAGTCTAGGTGTACGACATTAGTTCTTGTTGGGTAAAATGTCGTCGAGTGAAGAGTTGTTTCACTGACCTATTTACTCTGCATGTTATGTTTGTACGAACCGAACTTGGTGGATAAATTCTTGTAAATAGATTTCGACGCTAGACAGTTGATGTGTTTAGAAATTCTCAGGCTGATATTTGGTATACCCATAAACATAGCCATAGATCAAGGACTCGATAATTGGTTTAATCATTTTATCGGCATTTTCGCATCATTGATGTTGCTGGAATATTTGATAGCGCGCTTATCTGTATCGGCCGATATCGCGGTTCGGCAAGAGCTGTATACAGCCGTAACTTATCCACCAAATACCTATCACCACAACATTCAATTGCGCTGATAAAACATCTGCAAATAATATAAAACCTGACTTTCTCGCTATTCTCAGTCTTTAACATATATATACCCGTATACATTCATTGATTACCGGATCATTGCTGTCATCTACCCATTGCATGGTCTGAACTCTTAACCATGGCAACAACACAAATCGGTTGGGTAAGTCTATACACTCACGTGTAAAACAAACAATATCTAATATATTCTTAGTATGGCCTCGGTTCAATGGGCCTTGCCATGGCAAGCAATCTCCAGCGTCATCTGGCTGCAAAGAAAGCTCTTGGACTAGTCTACTCCAACCGCACGCTGTCTCGAGGCGACTCATTACAGAAACTCGGTGGAATGCCCGAGAAGTCGTTTAGCGATGTTGTCAAGAAATCCGGAATCATCTTCACAATGGTATTCTCCTCCCATTTCCCAGCTTTCTACAAAGTTACCAATATCAATGGATATTGACGGCGAATAGGTATCCAACGACTCGGTGCTGGAATCTCTAATCACAAACACAATCAACTCAGGCACGCCTCTCGCCTCGAAGATATTCATAGACTGCTCCACCGTCCACCCCAACACTATCACATCCCTCTCAGCCCAGCTCTCGGCACACCAAGCCACGTTCCTCTGCGCGCCCGTCTTTGGCGGAAACCCCGTTGCGACGGCGGGCAAGCTCGTCTTCGCGCTGGCCGGCAGCACAGAGGATGTACGCGAGAATATCGTAAAACCACTAATCCTAGACATCATGGGCCGCAAGGTGATCGACTGCGGCGGAGACCCATCGCGGTCGTCGCTGCTGAAAATTGCGGGGAATATTGTCACCGTCTCGCTGATGGAGACAGTGGGCGAGGCGCAGGTGTTTGCGGAGAAGACGGGGTTGGGCACGGATACGATGGAGGAGTTGATTACGGAGGCGTTTGGGCCGATTGCAGGGGGGTATTCGAAACGGTTTGTTTGTCCCTTTTTGTTTTGTTTTGTATGGTTGTGAGAGAAGGTTAAGTGGTGCTGATTCGGATTATAGGTTGACGACGGGTGCGTATGCGCCTCCGCTTGACACGCGTCCTGGCTTTGGTGTCTCGCTTTCTATTAAAGATGCTGCTCATGCGTTGAACATTGCCAAGGAAAAGGGCGTCGATCTGCCCTCTGTCGAACTTGCAAAGGAGAATATGTCTGCAGCGAGGGAGTTTGGTGGAGAGTGTTTGGATAGTTCATCTATGTACGGAATCCTCAGGCAAAAAGCCGGGTTGGCATTTTGGAATGAGAAGAGTCGACAGGGTGGGAAATAAACCCAGCGTCCAAAAATGATCATAAATACTGTTCTAGATATAGAATGATTTTCGCGTCTATGTATGTATGTACTTATCAAGTCATCGATTTAATGGTTTGTTGTTGTTTGCACTACTTCATCTATACGAACTTTCCGATAAATGAGTATCAGAGTATCAGTATCTTCTTGCACTAGTTATCCATTGAACCTACGCTATAAACAGGAAAATGGAAAGAATAAATGAACCGTTTTATGATCGTGGACCTAATTTGTCCAGAGCCCGGATACCTTGCTCTTCCCATTCGGCTTTGCTTACCCACATATCTTCCTTGTCGGCGATCTAGCAGGTTGTCAGAAAAGGGCAGCAATAAATATATTGAAAGGAGGTGAAACTCACCAAGTTGGCCAGCACAGCACCACCGAGGAAAACCATGTGCCTTCGTCGTGGTGGATCCTCGATACGGACCTTGAATTTCTGTAGACATACACTTAGTAGATATTTCATGGGCTCGGTGCAAATGGGAACTCACGTTCAGTCGTTCCGGGTTTCCTTGCAGCACCTTGGTCAACCACAGTTGTTTAATTTCCTTCTCTAGACGAGATGGCAAGCCGGGATACATGGAGCTTCCACCGCTGAGAACAATAGCTTTGTAAAGACTGCCACGAACGTCGAGATCTGTTCCCTGGATCGTGTTGAAGACAAGCTCCGCAAGACCGTCCTGGTCGACGTCGACTAGATGAGGCTGGAAGAGACATTCTGGGGCCTCGAAACGTTCGCTGCCGACTCGAATAACACGTCCGTCTGGCAAGGTGTAGGACTCAACGAGTACTGTCGTGTCTTCTGACAGTCGTTGGTCGAGTTCCAAGTCGTATGAAACATAGCACAGCTTCTCCTTTATTTGACGCACGGTTTCAAAATCTGCCGTACGGTTCAAGGCATATCCACGTCGGAGCAGAAGCGCAATCAGGTTTCTTGTGACGTCGCGACCGGCGACATCCAAGCGACGGATATGATGGTTGAGAACAGTCGATTCGAAGACGGGAACAACGTGAGTGACACCATCGCCAGAGTCGACCACAACACCGCTGCTAAGTCCTGGAATAACAAAGTCAATAAACAAACAAATCCGCTGCTTCAATTGCGATTGACAGCCTTACCCTGCGCATATAAAGCCAGCACCGCCTGGATCGCGACGTAGACGCCACCGAAGTTATAGTCCTCCAGCATGACCTCGGCCATTTTCTGTCTGTTCCTGAGGGGGTCTGGCGATTATCAGCAAACAAGAAATCCCCCAACATTCTCTATTACGTACTCATCGGGGGCTCTGTCAAAAGAATCTTTCGTCCTGTAGGGTCGATGTTCATCTTATCGAAAAATGTGTAATTCCAAAGGTGTTGCATGTCATCCCACTTCTTGACGATACCATTCTCCATCTGCAAGACAATTAGCACCAAGGAACCTCGTGCCCTGAGTCCCCGCACGTACCGGATAGCTAATCTGAAGCATTGATCTCGCAGCGGCGGCTTCATCTCCGCACATAATATCCTTGAGGACGATATCGCTCTCGCCTTGTTCCTCTGATCGAAGGATGGGTCGTCCCACTATGCTTGGAAACTGGTGCTCGGGGAAATTCTAACAGCGGCTCAGCAAGCCTAATCAATGGGGATGTCTGCATAATGAATGATAATACCTGCGCCGCATATCCAACCTTGAGGAAACCGGTACCTCCATCGAGAACTGCATGGTGGGTGTCGGTTAGCTGTGTTGTTTGGCGGGTGCGGGATGCTCAGAAGACCAACTTACCAATGGGGGCGTCGGCCATGGTGGGTGAATTGGGGGGTGTGAGTGAAGTAGAGCTCGCGGTGAGGGTCCCTCCAGGGAGAATGGCTGAACGAGGCGGCGAGTTGATGCTTGCTTCAATGTTCCCCTGGGGTTTTGTCGTTGGCGGGGGCTGAGCTGTTTGGCTGTCAACCTGGCTGTCCGCCGCAGTGACGACGATGCGCCCGCCTAATCGGGCTTAGGGCTACTCCACAGTCCAGGCATCCTCATACATCTGCCTCATATATATCAGTTGATATATGTATATATATACTGGTGTAAAAGAATCTGATGGTAGTTGTGATAGATTTGATTGCAAATAGTGAGTGCCTACTGGCATAAATAGATACTGCTATATACAATCGAATAAAAATACTCCGCCCAGCTTCAAATCTCTTGAGCTGAAAGACCCAATAGCCCGGAATGCAATATGCTGAAATACATATACACAGCCGCCGCATTGTTTGTAAACAGGTAACAAAAACACAGAAAACTCCAGACCATGCATTTGCAACTGATGACGCAGCCAATGCTTTATTCGTCACTGTCCGAATCTGGCCCTTCGTCGGCCAGCCGTCGCTTTCGTTCTTCGTCGAGCTCCCGGTATGTGCTGAAGCTCAGGAGCAAAAAGGCAGCGATGATGAGAATGCCACCCCAGATGGCCGCGGCCGACAAGGGCTTACCGGTTACCATCCAGTCAACAATGGCCACGAGGAAAATAGTCAATAGCGCGGCGACAGACGACAGAACAGGCGACGTCAGCGAGATAAGCACCAGGAACGAGCCAGAAAAGGCTAGGCAATGGTCAGCTTATTGTCCAAGAAACAACAAAGGAGAACAACTTACTGGCATTGGCAAGTACAGAAATGCAAAGCATCCATGCTGCCTCACCTCGAGGCCATTCGAATGTCTCTAGACCCAGCCAGTGCAGGATTGGCAACGGAAACCATAGAACAAGTAAAGTAAATGATCCAATCATACTCCCCACAAGATTTGCGAATATCGTACTTCGTCCTGGACTCGTGCCTTCTGGAGGACACGCCAACTTTTTATACAAAACTTCGTACAATCCATACAGGACACTACCAATGCCAATGATGATGTTTCCGAGCATACGATTGTTGGCACTTCCCTTGCTCTCACCCTCCCCCGGGCCGGAGTCACCATAAGCAACCACGAGCACGCCGACAATGGCTACAACGACCGAAAATATTTTATCAAAACGTAGTTTATCGTTTAAGAGAGGAACCGAAAAGGCGTAGGCAAAGAAAGCAGAGCAGTTGTATATGGCGGTTAAATCGCTTGCTGTAGTCAAATTGACTGCAACATACCAGGAGCCACCGGCGATAGTTAGGGCACTTGTAATGAAAGCAATCGTCTTCAGCATGTAGGGCACAGGTGAGCGGTGGTCATCCCGGCTACTCAAATGGAGATCCTGTCTCTCGACCATTTGAGCGGTTGTTCGTAGGAGGAAGACATGTCGTCGCCAGAATGCGTCCCAGGATAATTTGCGTTTCTGTATGCGGAGAATAAGGAGCTGTATGGGCCACAGCAGAGACCAGGAACCGTGGGTCAAATACCTGGACGATGTTTAAAAGAAATGTCGCAAGAAATATACCAGAAGAAATAATGAGAAAAGGCTGCACTCACAACATGCAATATGGCTTGTTCCAGTGCAGTTCATGTTGAATGTACACGGCGGTCTCTGTCTGGACGACAAAACTGATCAAACTGAGAAGCAAGAAACCAGATGCCAATAAATATTTCCTGCGAGTCAAGTTCTTTTCGTCTATATCTGGTGTTCGACTACGAAAGGTCGACCGGCGAGAATTAGGCGGCCGGCTTGGATGGCCATTGAGCGCCTCCGAGAAGGTATTCGATTCGCGGCCCCGACCATCCTCCTTCAATAACGGCTGGTTTGACTGCCCCTCTGCCGCATGAAATGGTGATCGAAAAGGCATGTCTTCGGTATCCTCGTCCTCGGATTCAGGGTCGTGGTGATCTTGGGGGTCGAATTGCTTATCGTAATCGTCGGCCGCGTCATTGGGCCTGGACGGGCGTGGGTCTTCTACAGACGAAGCCACAACGGCGGTTGGAAAGGAATGTCGAGAAATCTAAGAGATAGTCGAAAGGAGCGAGATAAGGCCACGACGATAGTTGGCCGGTTTTTTTATTTGGTGCTATGTCGAGTCCGAATCCGAAGGAATGGGGCTAACGGATGACGATAACAGCCTCACTGCTGACAGGGCTAGGTTGAGAGAAAGAAACCGACGACTGATTAGCGATATCATCCGTACACAGCACGAGCAATGCCAATGAGAAAGCGAAGGTGTGTCTAGCAACAAACTTAGTGTGGGGTGGGTGTTTCTGGGCGCCAAAGTAGTACGATAATAATCCGTGATTTGGCCACGAGTACACTGCACGCTCACGTATTGTACCTCCGGGGTGACCAGTGGAGCAAGGGCCGATTGTCCCAGTACCAGGAAACAGAAGAAGGACAACACACCGCTTCCACGGAGTCGGAACAGCTTTATTCAGAGAAAGGTGCCGGAGTAAATATTGATTGCAACGAAGTATAAATCTTGAACAGCAAAGGGATCATGCCTTTCCCCAATGTCCTCTGGCCGCTTTTGGATTTGACTAGTGTTCGGTATTGTCAGGACCCACTTCCAACATGACACAAATTTTTGGGGGCCTGCGTCAGACCCCATGTTACTAACAATATTTGGATGACACTATACCCTTTATAGTAGGTAAAAACGTGAAAAAATACGCACGTGATTTGGATCTAGCTATTTTCAGTTAATGGATGTCATTCAGAACATATATTCAACCTTGATTGGCCATTGTAAAATCCTAGCCAATTAAAGCTCATATAAGGCACCCACTTCAAAATTACGTAGATTTATCAGGCTTTAAAATGACATGCTTGGTCTCTACGAAGCATTGCTAAAGAGATAGACTACTAATAAGATCGGTCTTCGCTAGCCCCAGAAGCTATTTATTCCATCAACAACATAATGTTATAGTAGTAGGAGGGTTGAAGAAGAATGTGGTCAATTAATTTGTAAGCTCTGATATTCTAGGAGATATCCTTCTTCATGCGTATGTATAGTGTATCATTTTGGTGCAAGCAGCCTGTTAAGATATCGATACCTGATAAATAAGGCCTACGCAATTAACCTTCCCCTCACATGGTAATGAGATAGATAGCCTGATCGGAAAATGCCGATGGAGATTTGGGGATGATGTGCTGATTAGCGCTGCCAAGCACACAGCCAATAACTTTTTTCGGAGAAAAGCGATGTAGTCCTAGACTTGCAACTCTAGAATTCGAGCCTAGCTCAACTGACGGGCAGGAGTAGCTGATATACTTAAGTAATTAAGAGAAATGAGACTTTGAACATGAATTTGAGATTCTGCTTTACAAGAAAATAAGCCATGGCTACTATGGCGTCAATTAAACTTTATACCAATCGAAACTGCCCATGTATGTTCTCCAAATCAAGCTTGAACTTGAGCATATGGCCATGGTTCTGCTGCAAAATGCTAACAAAGACTCTCAGGGGCACACCGTGCTCATATTGCGCTGGCGGAGCTGGGTCTACCATTCGAAGAAGTGATCATTGACTACAGCAAGCCGAGGACGCCTGAGTATCTCAAGATCAATCCTCGTGGAATGGTTCCCACTATGACATATGGCGACCACATCGTTTTCGAGTCGGCTATCATCGCGCAGTTTCTCGCCGACTCAGTCGCATCGACACACTTAATTCCGCGCACTGGGGAAGTGCCAGGAGCCCTAATGCGCCAGAGAATCGCTTACTTTGTCGAAACGTACTTTTCAAAGGCCAACGTCTACTACTACCGGGCCATTGAAGCCAAAACAGATGAAGATGCCGAGGAGCTCGGCAAGCGCTATGTTGATGCCGTTGTCAAAGAGGTCGAGCCACTCCTGCAAGACGCGGATCCGTTCTTTGGTGGCAGCGACAAGCTGACCATGGCCGAGGTAATTACTCTAAACCCCTTTTGAAGCTTCTTGCTTGAGTTTTTTTCCCCCCCAAGGCACCCGAGATTCGGAATGGTTGAGATGGCTTGCAGGTTCTGACCGCTTCTTTTATCCTCCGTATTTTCACGCTGCCTGACACCGAAAATGCACCACTGCCAAAAACCATGGTAGCTGGCCTGGACGAAAAGGCGCCAAAATTCTATGCGTGGGCTCAGGTCACCATGAAGCATCCGTCTGTAAATGGTATCTATAACAGAGATGGTTGTGCGGCCGAGATGCGTGATCGACGAGCCAAGGCTCGTGCTTTGGCATGATTCAAGGATCGGATCCTTCTTGTTTGCCTTGACAGAGGCAATTCTGCGGAGTCAGTGCGATGGTCAAGGCATGACCAGCGTTTACCGGCTTGTGATTTCTCTAGAACTGTGGTAGCAAGCTGGAGGAAGGTAGCCAGCAGCAGGTAGTCCGCGCAAGGTATATATGTAGTTAACCTAATAAATGGTTCTCATACAGCGTTGGATGCGCAGTACTACTTACGGAGTGTCCAGTAGCGGCTAGTCTGGCCTTTTACTATAGAAATGAAAACAATTTTGGAGGGCTTAACAACAAGTCTACCATAAAAGGGGCATCAGTGATCGACGATGAACCTCCAGCAGTGATTTAACTACCTAATTCACCCCATCTCTATTTTGTATATCTCACGACTATTCTTAATAGTCTTATTCCCGTTAAGATTTTCGTGGGCGTAGTAAATCAGCTTGAGCAAAGCTAGGCCAGAATTGAGCAAACCAAGGCTGGTCAAAATGAGCAAAAACGGAAGAGAGGTCTAATTCGGCAAAGGTTGTAGATTACTTCGAGAGAAAATGTCGTTAGAGCCACAACTATTCATTGGCTCGGTTTTCTAGCCTAGAAAAGTATTACAAGAATATACGAGACGCTCCTCTTATCATAGGGTCAAAGCCTATGTCACCAAACCCGCTGCCCTCGTGATCAGGCCATTGAGCAGCACTGCTGAGCATCTCGCTAAAAAAAAAGGTATCGGCCGACAGCATGCCTGGCATGTCCATTCCATTATTGTCATTTGCTCCGCGAGATGGCTGAAGCTGCTGCAAGAGGTCCTCCGCTTGTTTCTCGAACTCTTGACGGCCATAATGTAGTTCTACAGTGTTATCATCAACTAGCCAGCCGACTGTTGCTGATGATAGAGTATCGAAGGCATCACGGCAACCTGCAACTCCTGGGAAGCTCTCAGCCATTGCAGAGAGTGTCGAGGCGCAGGATTGTAATGTGGAAATACTACTCCCGATAGGATTCCGGTCTCGTACTTCTTTCGACTGCCAAAGGCTATATATAACTCCCAGGCCGGCCATGAAGAGATGATAGGCCGATTTCCATAGTATATCAACCTTCCCTTCTCGCTGTAGGGTTTTGATACTTCCAATCAGCTGACAAGAGGCATTAAAAGAGAGGACTGTTGCTTCCGGGGATGTTTGTGATCCTGTATAATTAGGCCGGTACAACAGGAGAATTGCATTATTATAGACATAATCCCAGTACGCCTGATATGCGAATATGGATGATGGATAAGCCTTGCTCGTCTGCGGAATAGTAGCGTACCATTCTTCAAGGCGGGGTTGGATATCCTCAACCCAGGCTCCATAGTTTGCCCTGGGGTAGGCTATTTTTGGAGCCCAGGTTTGGCTGTGCTGCACATGTTTGATCTCAGACTCAAGCTTTGATAAGATAAACAGGTGGTTATGAGCTCGTTGGCTATGTATATCGAATTTGGCGGATTCGCTGCTAGAGGTTCCTCGATAAACAGCCCATGGGTTTGGAAGTGGCACACGTATGCTTTCGTCAATGATACCAAAGGGGCGACCGAGCGTGATGCATAAGATACGGTCAAATTGGTATGTAGAGTACCATAGACGTCGGCGATCGTATAATATGGCTGGATCCGTATACATAGCATGATCTTCGCTTTCCCAATGCAAACCTATGTCGATGCATAAGCGTAAAGCGATACCTGTCAAATGCCATAGACTTCCCCGAGAAGGGCACAATGCAATGAATTGAGCCAATAGAAGGATAGTGCGGAGTGTCTCGATATCACTTTTCGAGCTCACGACGACCTTTTCGTACCAACCGATGGCCGATCTAAAGCATCCCTCACTCTGGCTTGGTCGACCTCCGGATGGGTTTGAGACGTCGCAGAGGGCGATGGCGAGGATCATAAAACACATGAAAACGTCCCTTTCTACAGCCCGGTCCGGGAGCTCCCGGCCACTCATGGCCTGGTATGCGCTCTCAACAGCCTTCTCGACCCTTGAACGTTCCACAATAGGTAAATGGGGTGTGTGGTACTGGAAGTAGACATCAACCAGGTGGTCTGCGGCATGGCGCGGTGGAAGAGAAGCCTCGACTGCCATTGAAGACGAAGAAGGGTTATACGAGTGTGGCTCAGTAAGCAAGGGAGAGGGCAAGGCGTCGACGCGGATTGCTGATATGACCAATCTGGCAAGGGTGATGCCGCCGCTCTGTCCTAAGAATTGTGGCTGTCTTGACGGCTCAACAACAACATCCCTGACGCTCCTCACCAAGTCTTGCACGTGGTTCGGTCTTGTATCAGACGTGGCTGGACTTCCTGTTGGATGGGCGCCGGGACCAACGCTTCCTGGGGAGGATTGTTCACGTGGAATAGTAATTTCACCATTGATGGAAGCGGACTGGGCTCGTGCTCTCAGTTCTAGGTTCTCCCGCGTCAACTTCTCAACCTCTGCCTCTAGCTCCGACATGTAGTTACGAGGAACCTCCCAACATGTCAGTTACGTGCGGTAAGATTGCAGTTAGTATTCGATACACTTACCTCGGCGTGATTCCTTGAGTGATATGTCAGGCACGGGGAGCCTGCGCCTTCGCAGTTGGAGCAACTCGGATGCCGCAGATCACACTGCGTGTTCACCACATTGTCAGCAACAACATTGTAGGCCGAGGGCAAACACCATGGCTACCTTCTGCTTTCTCCGACGACATCTACGAGTCTAGTTAACCTCGAATTATCCTTGCACCCTACGAACAATATTCCGTCACCTCTATGGGACCTACCTTAGACATGCGGTCGCTCCTTTCGCAAGCCTTCGGCCCGGAGGCAGTGACGAATGCATTTGCGACTACATGACTTTGACGTGACTTTCACTGTAGGTTATAAAGGTAAGCCACATCGTGGATTCAGTACAATGCCTAGTGGATAGCTGTGGTCTACCAATGGGATGGTTGCGATAAGATCGATTATCTCTTCGGCTTTGTCCGATGATATCTCATCTTATCAGTTGTTATCAAAGAGACATCGGGTTAGGTATCAGATAGAGTATATTAGGTTTTTTCCAAAAACACCAGTGGCCATTGCTGAGGCCTTATCTTAGCAACTGCAGGCTGTTCAGCAAATGCCCTTGTGTTCTGCGCGTATAGGCAATATGAGTATTCGGCCATGAAGTATATAGTGACGCGACTCGACGACGTTGATGGTCGGGTTCTCTCTTGACCACAGCCGGCTTCCGTACGCCAAAGACATATATTTCTGCAGAGCTATTCCTAGCACAAGCCGCCGCGATGGAGTTTGACTTGAAAGGAGAAGACACAAAGACCGCAGTCGTTGACACCGAGGTCGGCATTGACGTTCGATCTGATCAGGCCAGCTCAGTCATCTACATTGATCCTGAGAAGGAAGCAGCCGCTCGAAGAAAATTCGACAAATACCTTGTACCAGTTTCTCTAATCTTCATTGTTCTGTCCGCCCTGGACCGAAACAATGTAAGTGTAGTCTTGGCGTCAACAGAAACGTTTCATCTCTAACCACTGACTAGATCGGCAATGCTGTAGTCTTCGGCTTCGACAAAGACTTGGGCCTTGTGGGCAACCAGTTTAATAACATCCAAACTCTATCCAGCTTTTGCAGTTTTGCCGGCGAGCTCCCTTGGACCCTGGTTGTTAGACGCTTTGGTGCTCGGAAGGCACTCGGCACTGCATTCCTCTTGTGGAGTATCTGCACTCTTGGAACCGCCTTTATCCACACCTATGGTCAAGCCATCGCCGTCCGTATGATTCTCTGCGCCTGTGAAGGCGGTCTGTCTCCCGGATTCGCCTTTGTCTACTCGACCATCTACCCCCAAGAACAAGCAGGAAAGCGTATTATGACGACCAACCTCGCCCAGTGCATTTCTGGCGCTTTCGGTGGTCTTTTTGCCTATGCAATTCAAACCATGGGAACCAAAAGAGGCCTTGCGGCTTGGAGATGGCTATTCATCGTCGAGTTCTGCGTTACTATCTTCATCGGTGGAATTGGCTGGATCTTTATCCCCGATTCGGCCGAAACGGCATGGTATCTTAGCGAAGAAGAGAAGGAGACCATGCGTCTGAAGAGGAAGCGAGACTACCATCTCCGAGGAGATCAAAAGTTTGACTGGAAGTGGGCTAGGGAATCACTGAAGGATCCCTTTGTCTACCTCCTGGGCATAGCTTTCTTCACTTCATCGGTCGCAATCAACGGCTTCGGTGTTTTCCTGCCTTCTATCATCAATGGCCTCGGGTAAGTTACTGGGTTTGACGAGACCTTTGAGCACCGTGCTGACTGAATTAGATATACTTCCCTTCAGGCTAACTACCTCACTATCCCGGTCTATGTTCTTGGTGCCATCTCTCTTTTGACTCAGGTCTACTTTTCCGATAAACTCAGGCGACGAAGCATATTTATCATCGGCTGCTGTGTTCCGGTTGCAGTCGGCTACCTGATTTGTGTGGGAACATCAGCCCCCGGTGCTGGTTACGCGGGAATGTTTATCCTCGTCGTCGGTAAGAAAGCACAAATCACATCTGTTTGTTGATATGCCCGTATCTAACCCCTGACGTAGGCCTCTATCCGATTTCCACGCTCGCTGTCACCTGGGCGACTAATACCTTTGCGCCGGATTCCAAACGTGCGATTGCCATGCCGATGGTATATACGATGGCCGATATTTCTTCGATGGTATCATCACAACTATACCCTAGCACACAAAAACCTCGATATATCCAGGGTAATGCGGTCTCTGCTGGTTTAACGTGTGTCGCTGGGCTCCTCTACACCGCCAGCTGGTATCTTCTTAGGCGCAGAAACATGAAGAAGGAGAAACTTCTTGCTGAAGGTGCAACTTCAAATCATATGGAGGGAGATAGGAGTCTCGATACCATGTACATTCTTTAAGCGGCGGCATTCTGCTGCATTCTGCCAGAGAGAGACGAGAAGTAGTTTAGAGCGTTAAAGTGATTTCCATCAATTCAGAATTGACCGTGACGTAAACAGATGGCTGCCTTTTAGCTAAACATAATGATTAAGACCTCATTAAACGTAGCAGCGCGTACGCGAGCGAAGCTAGATAAGCGCTATTATCTTAATATGTGACTAAAGTTGAAAGTAATTTGATCAGAGACAACTCATCATCCATAAGGCAATGATATAGATCCTGCGTCCCGCGCTTAAAGGAGACAAGCGGTATGTGGAATCAGGCCCACTCAAGCAGTGCCCAGGCCAGTTACGGTGGATGTCACCCAGAAGTTGTTATGAAGAGTGTTAGTAGGGCTTGAGAGACTGTATATTGACGACACAATAGAACTGTATAGTCAGGTTATATAGAATGTTGTTCGCTGGCCTTCCCTAAGGAGGCCAGCTATCCTATCATACCGCCCCCTACTACCCCTAACCACCTACTTGGTTCTACCTCTCCCTTCCTGTCTAGAGTAGTCGGCCGCTGGTTAACAAGATAGCAAACCCCCGCAGAGCACCTGTATGTAAAGGAAGCTAGATAGGATTAATAGATTTGGATTGATTGATTGACATGGACACGGAATTTAACCGAGAAATAGATAGAATGGCAAGATAGCGTTTCTCTATCGGAATAAAGTGCAGTAATCATCATCCTTTATGAACTAGTAATATATGGGAATATTTTCTAGGATGTCATATGTAGAACATCAAGAACTCAGCTATGTCCTTGAGCTATTAGCCTGACTACGGATGTAAGCCTGGGGTATGTGTTGGACATTTTCCTCCTTGTTCGTGCGCCCTCATTCTCGTGGATCGTTAGTGCTGAAACTACAGGGTCCATTCTTCCTTTTCTGAACAAGTCTTTCATCTCGATTTAAATCCGGTATGAAAAATATTGGCATCGTAGGCCTTTCGAGGTCTTATTGTCCCGGAACAGCCCTCTGGTACTACCATGTAAGATTTTCGGGGTATAGGCCAAGTCATGAGTATTGTGCAGCGTTCCTTCCTGTTCAGATTTTGTTTAGTGGATAAACCTACAGAACATGGTTAGGCAAGAGCAGATAGGGCTAATGGCATGATGATTGTATCGTAACTTCCTGAATTATCACGAACCACACAGTATTGTTGTTGTCCCCTTCGAATAACTTCCTCCGTTCTGCACTTGTCCTGATCATCTTGCCTCGTCGCCTTGCGTTTTCAAACAGTCGAAAGGAGAAGTGCAGAGGCATTTGGCATGTTTCGATTGGAGATTCAGGTCAGTATCGACGATTTAGTGCCTAACACTTAGCCTTGCCTGTTTTCCTGCTTGGGACAGGGTCACAGTGCCCCCCAGAGTATATTGCATACAGTTCATCATCGGGGTAAGTGATTCCCTTGTAACGACCTGAGGTGCAGGCCAATGAAGAAGAAACTCTCGGATAATGCTCAGCCTTTGGCTGACTTCTCGCTGGGATTAAATAGGGTCGCAATGCTTCTCAGAGTACATTGTACGCAGCTCATCATCGAGGCAAGTGATTCTTTTGTTACGATCTGAGGTCGAAGCCTATGGAGAAGGAGATAATGGATGATGCTCAGCCTTTGGCTGACTTCTCGCTGGGATTGAATAGGATCACAGTGCCTCTCAGAGTGTATTATATGCAGTTCATCATCAAGGCAAGTGATTCTTTTGTTACGATCTGAGGCCCAGGCCAATGAAGAAGGACATATTGAATGATGTTCAGCCTTTGGCTGACTTCTCGCTGGGATTAAATAGGGTTGCAGTGCCCCTCAGAGTATGTTGTAGTTCATCATTGAGGCGAGTGATTCAACCTTCTACCTGGTGACGCAGGATCTTGGTGAGACGGGAAGGCCGACTATAGGGCGAGGGCGAGTATGGTTGGTTCGGTCGCGCGTTCAATCGGGGGACGTTCAGAGGCAGGAAGGCAGGGGTTTGCAAGTCTTTTGTGTTGTTCAACGGCCTGGGTTTACCGTCTGCGTGTGTTCGAAGCGACCGCTGGGGGTTGGCGGCGTTGTGTGGTTGTTCAGGTCGATTGGAGATGCAATCGAGGGGACATGGAGACTGGGGGCGGTAGCTATTCCCCTCCCTTAACTTGGTCTTTTTCCTTTGCATTTGTTCTGTTTGGCTCTGCGTGTTACGTTTGCGTCACTTTCCCTCTTATACATGGTGTGTGAACGGGCAGAAACCTAGCAGCCCTGGACCGCGACGGGCCATCGTTTGCACACGCAACGGTGGTAGGATACACTGTTTCTTTGGGTCTGCTGCTAGCTAAGCAAGATAGTAAACCCCCATATAGCACGAGTATGTAAAGGAAGCTAGATCGAGGCAATGAATTTTGATTAATTGATTGATTCAACCTTCCCATTGTCTGAGGCTGCTTGCGTTAGCACAGTCTATGAAGAAAAGCAAAGGTCTGATGAAGCTTAGCTTTTGATGAATTCTTGCTTGTAGGTAACAGGATTATATGTATGCAATGGTGTATCACTTTCAAATAGGGAACCTAAAATACATTATGCTCAGATTAAACGTCAGAATATCTGGGTTCAGACATAGCGAAGAGGGTGAAGGGCCGTTTGGCAAATCGAGCAATATTGCAAAGGTTCAAAGAATCTATGTGAGGCAGCTTATTCTTTGGAGCAAACATTGGAATCAAGGTCGCGGGCGAACACTCCATGGAGATGGCTCGAAGGGAGGCAGAGACTGCTTTCTCAGGTCACCGTTGCTGGAAACCATGAACAGCTAGTTGACGTGTACCATGTTCTTCGGAAGGTCCTGCCATCGTCAAATTTCGAGGTTAGCTCGCAGGCACGGTATTGGAGTGGAGGAGGTGAAACAAGGAGCGAGAAAGAGGCTTGAGGAGAGGAAGAAGAGTTTCTCTAGTGATGAGAACCGCTTGATTGATGCCTTGAGCTTGGAAGGGTTATAGCTTCTTAGGCAGCAAGCGGGAACCAATTTCGCTTTTTCGAGGAGTCGATTACAAAAGGGGAAGCGTCGATGTCATTATTTTGTGGATATTTCTGACTAGTGATTACATCTTTGCTTAATTCTATTATTGCTCTCCAATCAAGGACATAAAAGCAAGAGAAAAGCATTGGAAGATTGCCTATTTGGAAGCAAGATGATGGTGATGCAAAGTACGGAGAGGAAGGAAAAAAATTGAAGAAGTGTAGAAGTCGTAGTCAGATCAGTCGCTTAAATGTAGTCATTTTCAGCTTTGTCAAGCAAAATATAGAGCTTAGACACTTGTCATACGAGTGTCCGCGAATATGCATACAATGGAGAATATTCGACGTGAAGGTGCACAAGATGTTTGCTCTACTCGTGACCAAATGTAATGCCTTAGGCAATCTACCTGACACTTTCTTTGTCTGACCTTGCAGACTGTATCTCCGCATTTATGATCAAATTTCCCCAGAATTTGATATTCCATCTAATCATCCAAGAATTAACAGTTAGAGAAGAACTACAGTCAATAGCGTCTAAGATTTCTCCAATTTCATAGCAAAATTGGTAGGAGAAAACCTATAATTATAGATTTGGTGCTCATTGCTAAGCAGAGCTTACCTTTTGATATAGAGTTATCCTATTGTAACAGTATTTATTATCTTTTGTAGAGTTGTCGTTTATATAACGCCTGGAGAGGCTAGTATAAACCCTGAAAAATAAGGCATCCAATCGGAACCAAAATATTTACGACCAATCATGAACAAGAACTAACAACTCCAACATCTCAACTTTCTCGCCGTTGAAGTGTCCAGGACGCCTCACACCTAACCAAATGATCACCATTCCTTAATATAATTATCCCCGATACATCATCAAAAAGGGGGGGAAAGGATTAAAACAGCCCGCCATGGCTGGCCACGAATATTCGGCTGTCGGCGGAAGTGGCAAGCTCAAGCTCAAAGGCTCCGCTTCCAAAGTCAAAGACGGGCGAGTCGACAAGAAGAAAAAGAAGGACAAGGAGAGAAAAGAGCGAAAGGGCGACAAACAGGATCTTGCCCCAGACGCTGATGCAGCACCGAAAGGTCCTGGCGATGAGGACATAGAGAGGGGCGAAGCAGAGGAGGAAACAGACGAAAAGCGACCCGTCTACAAGACCGAGGCGGAGAGGAAGTATGAAGAGCAACGAAAGAAAAAGGTATTTCAAAGTCCCTGAATTATATTACCTTGTATTGGATTGTTTGTGGATGGTTCTAACTGGCCTAGCTTAATGACCGTCTTCTTCGCGAAGGCGTGAAGACGCATAAAGAACGAGTCCAGGAGCTGAATCGGTACTTGAGCACGCTGAGCGAGCACCATGATATGTATGTTTTCCTCTTTTTATCTGATTTGGAGTAATTTACTGATATCCTATATAGGCCTAAAATCGGCCCAGGGTAACATCTCGTTATCTTGTTTTGGCGGGAGGATAAGATATGGATTTTACAGACTGGGTATACAGTTATGCAAACGAATAGCAACATTGAAATCTGAAATCTATGACTGGATTATTTGTTATCTAAAAGTTAACTGACGTAGCCGGGCATTTTAATCATTACTTGGCGACGACGACGCCGTTGACCAACACCTCGAGACGCTTTCCTTCACTATCCGCTAGTTCACTGTGTGTTTGAACAGTTCCGATTAGATGGTAGGGAAAAGGTCTTCGTATAAGAATCAGTATATGTGAAAGCAACAGGTGGACTCTCCCATATCTAATATTTAGGAACGCAGGTAATGCGAATCAAATAAATTTCTAGGGATTTATCTGTACCAAGCCACCATCATTCTAACGGTGTTCTGAGTAGTATGCAAATCTTGGCACTCTTTGAACCACGGTTGAATTAACCTGTAATTAACCAGAGACATATCCTCACATGAGTCACTATTTTGCTTTTCAACATTGCCTCTTTCTCTGACCCTCCTTTCCCTTCCACACTCCCGAGTACCGCCGCTGACGACAAAAAGGTTAAAGCACAGGCGCTGATTGGCCGGGGACGGCACAGATCCCGTGACTCCAGATGCGCCTCAGGCAGGTATTAATAGAAAGTAAACTAGGCGATTTCGGGCTAGTATGAAGATTAATAATTGGACATTATTAATGATTCTGCAAGGCGGTGAGATCTGGTTCCAGCCAAGGCTGGCCGATATCGTCTTGATTAGAGATCAGATGAACAGTTCCACACTAAAATATGTGCATGATATGTAGGTATGTAGGTATGTAGGTATGTTAAGTTGATGGTATTCCAAATCTATATTATACTTCAATCCAGACACAATATCCAGCACACTGAGTCGACTCGAGAGAAGATGATATCGATATCGGAACCGATCACGCAAGAGGGTCTTTACGACCATGTAATAGACTAGCAGCCGCTAGAACCGTAGATGTAGACAGAACGAGAACGACAATTAACATAAATGGTATCAACGCCGTACAACGCCATGCAAAAACGCAGCATAGTGCACCGCTAGGCAGCTATCAGCTGAGCTGTCCTCGCGGGAGAAGGAGAATCCAAGTGTCGAGACCATGCAAAAATATATATATATATATATTTATATATTTATGTGCAGGAGCATGTAGGCTGTTATACGCCCTTGATGACGGTCGTTCGCTCGCTGTTGAGTTTGTCTGCGTTCCGGGCGTGCGATTCTTTCCGGCAGTCTTCCAGCCCGCTGCAGGCGTGTGACTCTAGCATGCGGTGCTTATCACAGAAATGGCCATTGCAAAAGGTGCAGTCGCCGATTATGCGCTGTGCGGCATTCTTGCACTCGTTGAAGTTGCAACGGGGCTTGCGGGCAGGCATGGTGATGATTGAGAGGTAAAGTCAGTCAGTGGCGGCGAGCGACAAGAGGATAAGATGGCGGCGATAACGAGGTGCGACGAGAGGACGAGAGGACAAGGGAGGAACGACGGCCGGGTCTGAGTAGGTGGTGACTGAAGCAGATGAGCTCGAGAGAGATGTGAGTCAGGGAGAGAGGCAGAGAGGCAGAGAGACAGGCACGGGAAGGGGCGAGGTTTATAAAGGGAGCGTGACCAGGGCAGAGCTTAGTCGGGCCACGGAGCAGGCTAGACAGTGCGTGGTACGTATCCGTAGTTAGGTGGTCGATAGTGGTAGTGGTAGACCGCAGTGGAGAGATGGCCTGTGACCAGTGGACACGAGCGCCTACACGGACTGGACGCAGTGTGCCACTGGATAAGCGGATGAGGCGACGACGATCCAAAGCCCAAAGGGAGCAGAGAAAGGAGACGCCGCGCCAAGCGGGCTTATCGCCGAATTATGCGATAGTCGACTGCAAGGTAATTCACTGCTCTTGGTTTGTCTTCACGAACCTTCCTAAATCCAAGTTTTGCCTGCGCGAGCGGCAAATTGCTTGACTAATGCTCGGCCGGATCCGGGCTTGCTTACTTGCACTTTCACTGGTTCTGCTTCCTGTTTAACTTCTCTACGGAACACTTCCAGTTCCAGCATTCGGCTGCGTTGCATTTTTGCCGCCTTTGCCTGCCCCAAGGCTGGCGGCGACAGTCAAGGAAGAGATCTATCGCCGAGAATGCCGACTATACTCCGTTGCCGCCTAGACTGTCGCAAACATGCTGGAAACGTTTCACCATCACAAAGAACAAACTCGCTATAGGGCGAATTCTTGCCATCACCTGTTGCCCTATTAATACGGTCCTCCTAATCTTCCGAATAGGGGCGGCAAGCCGATATTCTCTTACAAGGTACTAAATCCTATTAATATTGGATTCCATGGTGTCGACAAACTCAATTACCCCTATAACGCCAACGCATTCGCAACCCTTGCAATTGCGCTCACTATTTAAAACCGAGCGTCCGAGCGCTTGCTTTGCTTTCTTTATGTCAATTGCTTTAGAGCTTCTTCCTCTATTGAATTATGAGCTAAATGAGTATGGAATGAGAATAATATTTGTGTAACTATGGCGTCTTAGATGACTCATTACCATATACTTGGTACTATTAGTATATTATATGTAGATCCAAGACTTTAGCGATAGCAAGGCATCGCTCTGGTCAAGTGATCACGTTGACACGATTACCCAACCGAGCAAAACAATTGCGCCAGCGATCTGGCTTGAGTCATTGACTTGACCTGCACCAGAAGGACTAAAGTAGTACGAGACACTAATCCGATGATCATTGAGATATGCTACCTACTCCACTCCCGTCCCACGGATGCCACGCATGGACGCCGCAAGTCGGCTTGGACCTAGGACATCACCTTGGGTACATCCATGTATGGCATTGCGCGGAACATGTTGCTAATTGATATGTATGTTAGATATTGCTAACTGTTCGTATCAGATATTTATATTATTAATGTCGACTGAGCCTGTGCCGCGTGGCTAGCTTGAAATATACCCGAGCTAGGCTCAGCTAGCAGCTAGACGTGCATATATCAAGAAATAGGTGTCTAGTGCAGGCAGCTAGTGCGGGCTGCTAGGTGAGCTGTCACGTTTATAAGTACGACGGATGTTTTACGCAGTAAAGTTCGTCAGTCATTATTGTTTTACAGCCTGCTGGCTTGCTTCTAGTCAAATGGTATTGGCCGCAGACCCCCGCCGCCCATACGTTTGCGCATCTCCTCGCCCGCAGCAATAGTGCTAGGCACTTTGATGCCGCAGCAGTCTCCCCAGAAATCATCGCTGTGGGTGTGGTCGTGCCGATGCGGTGTTCCATCAGCGTGTGCCGCTTCCTCTGCCTCTTCCGGCCGTGTTTGGCCCATCTCGGGCGTAGCAGGGATCAGGCTGCCGAATAGAAAGTGCTGCATAATAGGCAATTTGCCGAGCACCTCTCTAACAAACATCTTCTTCATCCCGCTCTCAATCTTGGTCCAGTTCTTGGCGCCAGAAATGTCGTCTAGCATAGGACTGTGCCACCGGAGACCCTTGACCGTCTTGACACTGTCCACCCAACGCACTTGATCCAGATACAAATATTTATCGCCCTCCTCGTCGAGAACCGCGCTATTGTGGACGGCGAGGGGTGTGATGTAAGGATGTTCCACGAGCTGGGAAGCTCCGAAGAGAAAGGGGAGGAAGTGGTAGTCGTCGAGACCCCAGACACCGTGGGAGCCCGCCGGTTCGAGGTAATATGTCGTCTGGATGTGGCGCATGAGATGCATATAGCTGTAGTACACCTTGAACACAAGCATTGGGAAATCCGTCACCGAGATGAGCTGCAGTTCATACAAGCACAGCAGCCACATCATAAAATTGAGTTCGTGTCCGGATCCATAGTCTAATCGGTCGCGAGATCCGAGCGAGTGGATAAGATAAGTCGATACTTCCTCGACGGCGGCTGAGTCCTGGATCCCGAGAATTTCGCGGTGCCATGCTGGGCTTTGTGCCGCAGTATCGTCGAAGAGCGAGCGGAAGGCCGGATTGCCGAAGCGCGAGCCACCTTGGTCGATTGCAGGATTCTTTTCAACCAAGGTTTCGAGTAGCGTAACTATTTGCAATATCTTCTGCACATTGTCCGGCACTGGCGCGTCTTTCAAGTCCGTGACAGCCCGCCCGCGGACTCTGTCAGATAACCCGAAAACAAAGGCAAGGATAAGTTTGTAGGCGGGCGAGGTGGCGAATAATTCCAGGTCTTTTGGCGAGAGGATGCGGCGAGTGGGTTGAGTATATGTATGCGAGGAGAGATCGATAGGAGGAGGTAGGATCGGTGTTGCAGGTGGCGGGTCCTGCTGGTTCGCTGCACGTCTTTTGCTGCCGGCACGCAGCTCGGCCAGCTTTTTCGACAGGTCAGGCTTCAAGCCTGGAGGCTTCTGGACGTCAGTCATGGTGAAAGCAGCGCGGTGTTGGCATCACAGGCAGCATATCGAGAGTTGGCGAGGTTGACCAAAGATGGGAGGTAGTTATTAATGTGTATGCACGGCAGAATCCTCTGACCGCCCGCGCCCGGGCCACTCGGCTCTCTCCGTGCGTGATGCGGACCCGCGGCTGTGATTGGCTACAGCGGCAACCCCAGCTTTCTTCATTCTCTCAATTTTGGGACACGTGAGACGCAGTAGCTGCGATGCACAGTTCCTGGAAGCGATGAAGAAGAGAGACTGAGATCCTCACCGACCGATTCCGGAGCTTTAGACTCTCTATGCCGGCGCCTCAACGCCATCGGCTTATCTCTATCCCTGTTTTCTATCCCTGTTGCTCATCCCGCCGAGGAGCACGCCATCATGTCCCCCGCTCCACAGGATAGCAGTCTGGATGCTAATGCCCAGGAAGACGCCCCTCGCCAGCCATCCGATAACGTCTCGTTGACCCGGACGGTTTCCTGGCTAGATAACCCCGCCCATCCAGCTGAGCAGAGGAGCCTGAAGGACACCAACACCAACAACACTTCTACCATGACACCGAATGAGGCTACGCCGATTGTAAGGAATAACTCAGACTCGCGCCGGAGTTACCAATCAACAGATAGCCCGCCAAGAGCTTCGAATCAGGCCGAGGGGCCACGGAGCGACGAGGAGGGCAGCGAGCAGCCGAGCCAGCACCAGCTGCGGCAACGACGGTCGAAAAGCAGCTCTCGGAACGAGCACGAGCAGGGGGATGACAACGACGAGGAGCCACGACAGCCGTGGCTCCGTAGGGTAGTCGACAAGTACGGGGCGCTTGAACTAGATAATAAAGGCAGTGTCGCACGAGACCATCTCGCATTGGGTAGGGCTGCATTCCATTCCTGTTGCACTTGTACTACGTACGTATCTGAGAGACATATGTGGCTGACTCGTCGCAGAGCGGACGTTCCTTGCATGGCTTCGTACTTCACTCGCCTTTGCATCGATTGGGATTGCCGTTACACAGTTATTCCGCCTCAATAGTTCAATAACCTCTGGAACGACGGGCAGCACGACTAGTTCAGTAAACAGCCCTAATGTGCTCACGCCGCCCATTGATCAGTCTTCATCATCGTTGCTTGAAATCCTCCTCGCGCCGCCGAGTAGTAGTGGCGCCGGCGGTGCGCGTCTTCGTAATGTCGGCAAGCCCTTGGGTGCGACGTTTATCGCTATTGCTATCTTGATCCTGTTGATCGGGTTCCACCGTTACTTTGAAGCACAGTACTGGATTGTGCGCGGCAAGTTCCCTGCTAGCCGTGGCAGTGTTGCCGTGGTCACGTTTCTGGCTGCAGGCTTGATTGTGTCGAGTTTGGTGGTTATCCTAGCCATTGCGCCGACTGCTTTGGAGCGATGATGAGACTAATCTTCGAGAATTATGTCTTATAAGGCATTATATATAATATACCCAAAAAAACCTTTTTCGTTTATCGTTTGATGATATATTTGTTTCTTGCAAAGCATCTGCGGCAGGCGTTGGTGATTTTACATGTATTCGATTTTGGTTCTCTTCTGTCTTATTACCTGGAAATCATCACAAATTCAATGAATAATCCACCTATACACCTACCTATAGCATCCATGTAATCGTTCGCAATAAAAAGCTACAACATAACGCCCATTGTGCCCACTCGTTCCGAATAATGGAAAGCGTGGAAGGTATCAACCTGACATAACAACAAAAAGGAAACGGATCATAGCTTTATTCTTCACGCAGCTGCGTCCTTTTGTGGAACGGCATCCGGATCCAAATAATTCTCCTTCTCAGCTGCCTCGTACTCCTTAATCAAATCCACCACGACGGATTTGGCTTCATCAAACTCGCCCAACCCGTCAGCAAACGGCGCTTCCTTTTTGTACTGATCCAGAAAGGCGTTCCGCTTTCGCAGTCGGTCGTATTGCTGCACAATTCGTTTGAACAGCGTTGCGACAGATGTGTGGTTCGCAAGCATCAGCCCACTGACGCGATGGGTGTGTTGTATATACGGCGATTTCTTAGTCAATGCCACCTGGATACTCGCCGGACCCCAGGGAATAAACGACGCAAGACGGCGTTCACGGATTCGCAAGAGTGATTTGTGCACATCTGTTGGATCGGCTTCGCCCTGGATGATGTTTAGGATGCTGATGTAGCAGCTGGACTTGCTCGGCGTGACGGATACCATGCGGTTCTTGGGTTGGAGGAGTCGGCGCATGACGTCGAGCACGGTGGTCTTGCGCACCGATTTGGCTTGCTCGATGTTGTCGCTGGTGAATGGGGTGTAGGAGGTAACTAGGAAATGCGAACGGGGAGTAGGAATTAAGGAGGCGATGATGCCGACGAGGTCGTTGTGCATGTAACCGGGATATCGGAGGGTGGTGGTAGATGCTGACATGACCGTCGACACCTGATGTTATTAGCACGAAAGACAAGAAGTAGAGAAAGGGATAGAGAAACTTACCAATTGATTCGTTTGCTGGAACGAGGGCTCTGCAACGTGCATCCTGTCGGCAATGATTCTCGACAGCGCGCCATTGTCAAGCACAACCACCGAGTCGGCATTCTGTGTCAGGCGGCGCATAGTCAAAAGACTGTTGTATGGGTTCACGACAACGTCCCCTACATCCGGGAATACAGAGTAGGTGTGTATAAGCTTCTTCGGGAATCGATCATTCATGCGTTCGAGCATGTAGCTTCCGAGACCCGAGCCGGTACCTCCAGCTATGGAGTGAAGAAGCATAAATCCCTGTGCCGATTACTCAATATATATACCTTCTTCATCAAGGGAGGGATGGATGCACCCACCTCGAGAGAGTCACTCCCATCAGCCTCGCGATCAATCATATCAAAAATTTCTTCCTGTACTTGATCACCCTGCGCATATCCAGACGCCCAGTTATTTCCCGCTCCACTTCCTCGCGGATCAATGAAGAAGTTTTCAGGGTTGTAGATGTTTCTGTAGGGTCCGGCTTGGATGCCATTAATGACCTGCGACAATGTCAGTGAACACTCTGCACGACTCATAGCATTCGTTCGGCTCACCCTCGGTTCGAGGTCGAGAAGAATGGCTCGAGGGATATATCGTGTATCGTCACTCTGTTATCCCAAATACCATTAGCACTCGCTCCTTCCTCATCCTGTTGGGCAAGCAGTCACCGACCTGGTAGAAAAAGACATCCTTGCGGTCGCCGCCCTCGGTCGCAAACTCCTCTAGATTACCGTCCTGGTTGATTCCATGCTCGAGGCAAAGCTGCTGCCAGAATTGGCTGCCGACTGCAGTCCCGGCTGGGGTTAGTTGATGTTTTGTTGACTGCGGGGGTTGTGCGCGCACCGTTGTTGCCGCATTGGCCTGCTTGGATTGTTATTATTTCTCTGCAGATAGTTAGTTGTGAATAGGACAGTGAAGAATGGTTTTATAAAGAAGCACTCACCTTGGCATCTTATTGCGTGGTCATCGTCGGGCGATTCGAGAATATGTTACGCGGTTAAAATAACGCGTTGGGCCGCGGAGTGATTTGATATTGATAGTGGTGCCCTTCCTTATCGGCCATCGTCCCCCTTCCCACTAAAAGTGACATCAGTTAACGACCGCCAGAATAATCGCACATGAACAATTTGGGGATAGGTTCAATATCCCTAGATTATATAAGAGGTAGTATCGTCCCGCCCTTATGCCGGAGAATATTAATTTATTGCGAAGAATACTAATTTATTGCCGAAGAATTATTACTATTACCATTATCAGGATCAATATCATACTCAATAGGATCAAATCATATTGAATACCAGATTACATGCACTCACAAACCCATAAACTCATAGACCCAATGTGTCATGTTGTTGAACATGCAAAAGGGGTTTATAACAGATGATGTGTAAAACGGAATATCCATAATAACCGCTTCGGTATGGAAACATCAAGGATTATCTGATATCGGCTATCAAAAGCGCGCCTTGCAGGCGTTCACCAACCATCCAACACCAGCCACTACCCCATCGACGATATGCACGCTCTCACCATCCTTCTCGCCGTATGCCTTGACACAACCCGCGCGCACCGCCTCTTCCATCCCCGCCATCCCCGCACAGCCCAGACAGACAGCCCGCACCGGTCGCGACGTGCTTTTCAGCAGCTTCTCCGTGGCATCGACCATGCGCCTGCGGACTTCTTCTGCCGGCGTATCGTGTAATTCAATCGCCGTAAGACCCGTAGTTTCTACGCCCGCAAAGCGCGGCGCCGAAGAGGACGAAGAGGAAGACGGTAAAGAAAACAGCTTGGATACGTTTTCGCCATTAAGCATACTTGTAACAGCCTTTGTAAGCTCTGTTTTCCAGACTGCCCCCGTCGTAACAATCCCAAACGTATCTTGCGCTTGAAACTTGCGCCCACTCTCATATCCCTCCAGCTGAAACGCGCTTATCAGCGTCAACGAGGCTGATATACTCGACTCGAAAATGCCGGTAACATATTTCCGTGTTTTGGACGAGATCTCGCCGCCCGAGACCGATAAAGCCCCTGTCTCCGACTGGCGGGCTTGGGTTTCTAATTCTGCTATCCTCGCCTTTAACATGCCCACTAGCGGATGTGCTGAGTAGCAGGCGACGAGGAAGGCGTCGTATTTGGGGATCAGTGGTGTGACAAATGGCCGGCAGTGGAGGGCTGATTTGACTGAGTCCTCGCCGGAGTTGATGCTCGGGACTCCATCGATGACTTTTCCATCTGGGAGAGTGACTGGTTCTGAGGGGGCAGTGAAGTAGTCGAAATGGATGTCGTTGTAGTTCAGTCTGGCGACGATAGGTTTTAATGCATCCGTCATGTGGGTGGAGGTGTTGGGGTTGATGATGAGGACCTTGAAGGAGGGGGTTTCCACCATTATGGTAATTTATTTTCGATGCGGATTTATAAAATCGATTTTGGGGGAGAATTGGCGTTTGCTTTAAAGAACGACGACCTTGACGGCTGTGCGGAGACGAACATTTGAAGACGGCCGCCGCGTATCAAAACTATATCTCTGCACGTTATCTATGATAAGGTCTTAACTCAAATCCAGACAGCTATGCACTTTTTTTGTTCAAAACATATTTCGTATTTGACATCTATCTCTAATATCTAGAGTCTATTGATCTATTTCTTGAAGAGGGCCGCCTGAGTATTATACGTATACTTGAGATCTAAATGCCAATAGTTCGCTGTAGTAGCCTTGCTCACCAGCCACGCCTCGTCCAGCGCATCCACCACATCCTGAGGCAAAGGTCCCTTTTCCAAATCCGCCAGGTTGCTCTTCAGCTGATCAAAGCTGCTGACGCCAATAATCACGCCGTCATTGCCATCTTTGATTTTGAGTGCCGAGTGGTGTACAGTCCATCGCAGGGCAATCTCGAGGAGGGTTAGATTGTTCTTTACAGCCGCCTTCTCGACGATTTGCAGCGCCTTGAAGGTCTCGTCTTTGAAGTATCGGTCTCGGTACCGCTGGCCGCCATTGTGACTGTCGCTAAACCGGCCCTCCTCGGGTGCGATGTCCTTGCTCTTGATCTTGCCGGAGAACAGACCGCCAGCGAGTGGGTTGTAAACGACGATGTCGATACCATATCGGCGGCATGCGTGGATGAGTTCTGTTTCGATTGACCGTGCTGCAGCCACAGTCAGAAAAAGACCTCCCAAATAAAAGCTGGATATGGGAGAGTAAACTTACTGATCGCATTGTACATGGCCTGGTAGATAGTCGGCCTCACCCATCCACGCTCAGCACACAAAGTCACAATCTCGGCAACCTCAAAGGCCGTGTAATTGCTCAACCCTAGTTCAATGAACTTGCCCTCCTTGTGCAACTTGTTCACCTCCTCGAGGGTCTCCGCAAACGGCACCGAGCGATCCGGGGCATGCAGGTAGAAGATATCGACCTGGTCGGTGCCCAGCTCCTTGAGCGAAGTTTCGAGGTTCACGCGCACATTCTCAGGCTTGTGAGTGCCAGGAACCTGTGGATACGACTTGGTGGCCAGCTTCAGGCCGCGCTCCTTCCAGCCCGTTTGGCGAGTCCACCCTTCCTGCTCGCCGCCAATGTAGATGCGCGCCGTGTCAACTTCGTTGTAGCCCTGCGATTGGAGGTAGTCGAGCTGCTGGTTGAATTCGTCCAGGCTGGTGATGCGGGCTCCCTTGGATCGGTCTGGCCCAAAGGTCATCAACCCAAGGATAATGCGGGGTTTGCCCGTGGAAGCTACAAGAGGCATGTTGAAGGAGTAAATCTAATAATTCGCCAACCTTTCGGTATGTGCTATGGACAAGAAAAGAGAAAAACGAAGGAAAAGGAAATTGCTGCGCAAGTTTCCTTCGCGCAAGAGGGAAGATTACTAATGAATGCCTCGTATCGATAACGAAGTGAGGGGATTCCGTCATTTATCTGGCTACACCCAACAGAGACATATACACATAGCTGACTGGACAGCCAAATCCAGTCATTCGAGGGAATTTATAAATACAATTTCTGAGGAAATATACACACACTAACTATGTCGAAGAAGGACTATCCCCTGGACTCATGTCCGCAATATTGAAGGTCGACGACCATCCCATCGATGAATGAGTCATATTTGGCAACGCCGTTTGGAATACCTCATCCGAGTTCGGCAGCATATCGCCCGTTTCCACGCCGATATCCGCAGCCCAAAAGATGTCGTGCTCGTTCGTTGGATAGTGCGAATCTTGATCCTCCACTATATCTCGAATAGACAGAGCAGACCGCTGCTGCGAAGACGAGGACGAGGACTCTTTTTTGATCTCAGGGCATATCGTCTCGTTGGGAGCAATGCGATGTAAAAGTCTTTCACAAATAAGAAAAGCTCGTCTAGCAGATTCGTCGCACTCGCTAAGTGAATGCAACCAAGACAGTGCTTTTTTCGCCGCGGAGATAACGGCGTTAGGTGACTCTGCATCATGTTCGTCAAACTCAGTGGCACTCTTGGCTGGTGTCCTCGCGATGGTCTCACCGTCTTGTCGCGAGACGATCGTCATGTAGATCAGCAAGACAGTCGCTGCCTGCATAATGAAATGCAGAATAGACCACCACGGGGATGCCTTGGATAGCCAGACCATGTCTGGATGGTCTGGCAGAATGGAAATCAGGTCCTCAGCTGATTGAAGACAGACCCGGCCATATTTATTGCTCAGGCGAAAGGATTTCTCGTGTTCTTTCGAATTGCCCCCAATGTCCTTGGATCCGGTTAGGCACGGCCGAGTAAGAATCATCCGAGTGCCAAAGTAATTCAGTGCAAGAGAGACCTGCTGGGAATTGCTTGTGTTGATCAACAGTTTATCCTGGTCTATGAACTTTAACGGCGGCGTTAAGCAGCGTAGCCATGCATCCATCTTTTCCATGTACAGACTTATTCGTCTTTCGATTTGCACCCATTGATCCCCGGGGATTTCAGGACTATAAACCCGATTCGTTATTGCATGGGTGGTTACCGCTAAATCGGTCAGATGATAGAAATACAGAGCAGAAGAATGCTCAATCCCGCCTAATAGTTTTTGTTTCTCGCTTATCTGCTCTTTGTCTTGATACAAAGTCCAATTGATGCAAGACTCGCGGTACTGAGGATCCTTAAGTAGGCGCCAAACCTCAGGTAACCCATACATCTCTTCTTCGAACGGGAGTGGCGGATACGCCGCCGAGGAACCGTCACCCAGACATGAAGTTCGGCTTGTCATAACTGTTAGGAGGTTTTCAAGATAAAATATCGATGACCAGGTACGGATTCGCGCCTCCATTGAAACCGGATGGATGCTGCTCGGAGAGACGCGTAAGTCCAGCCCTAATGCAATTGCGGACCGGGTTGCAATGCCCACCATCTTCCATGCTCTGCAGTATAGAGATTAGCTTCTAGTATGAAATTTATCAAGAAGAAAGCAGATAATTAGGAGAGGACAAGATACCTATTGATTTGAGCCGAGCATAAGAAGTAAAAAGCAAGAAGCGATTCTACCTGCACTTGTTGCAAATCAGCATGCTCATAGAGAATATTCTCACCACCACTCAGGGCCTTTGCCCGAGAGAAAAATATCTTAGGAGAGAGCTTCGACTGTGCTTGTTGAGTATATTGACAAGCGATTCCGCCAATAGCAAAGATTATATTGAGGATAGCTAGCCAACGATTCCCCGGACGAGTCGTAGAAGGCTGAGAATATAGATTGTTCATTTGCTGCGAGAAGAGCGTCTTGCGAATAATAGGGAATGAATCACCCACTGAATCCAAAAAGGCGCCAAAGAGCTTGTCTGCCAGGTCCTTGGGAGGTAATTCATACGGGTTTCCGTAATCGTCGGACTCGGAGAGACGGATCTCATCCAAGTGATAGCTAACTGATGATAGGGTAGCGTCATTCAGTGTCCGCACCTTTGGTGGCGCATCTCTCAATTCCTTCAACCCTTCCAACCATGAAATTTCGGAGTTTTTGCCAATGAATCCTGTCGATTGGCTTCTCTCATCTCGATTCATGTCTTCATCTACCGCATCCAGAGCACCAAGGGAGCTGGCCAAGGAAGATGTAGATGATATGTTAGAGTGTGGCGATTCATCCCAGGATGATTCCAGATCAGGCGAGTCCTAGTGATCTCTCCGATGGCTTTATTAGACTCTGTTACAAGAGAATAGTGACAGGGGCATATCAAGAAAAGAAGGGATATAACGGACCCTTAACGCTTTCTTTATCCGCCGTTTACTCCATTTATCAATGTTGCCAGCAAGATCTCCCAATAACCTTTCATAGCGTGCCGCTCTTGTAAGAAGCGCCTTGTCACGCACGCGCTTGGAATCACTGTACTGACAGGCTAGTTTCGATTGACCACACTGTCGACAATTCGGTCTTTCTCCGTTGCATTTTCTTTTCCGTTCTCTACACGGTTCGCAAGCCCTAGAAACACGCTTTTTCTCGTAGGAGGTTTGGCTTCCATATCTTTGTGTAAACCGAGGTATAGGTACTTTTTCTGTCATTGAAGACATGATAATGATCTCCCAGATACGGAGGTGGAAGTGGAACGGAAATGTCGATTTCTAAATTAGTGTTCAGGTCGTAAATCCATTGGGCATTCTTGAGGTTATGGATTGCCTGCGCATAATAGTCATGCTAGTGTGAAGAAGCAATATCCTGCGTTGAACCTATATCAAATGAAAACAAATGACAAATGATTTCGTATTTTGCGGGGTGGAGCAGTGGCGAAGTGATGCTCTCAATGTTGGAACCAACTACCCGGTTTCTTGTATAAAGCGGGTTCTCGGCGCCAGTCTGCATCGACGATATGACGTCAACTGGTACATGCACTCATGCAGCTATACTACGGACGACAGGGCGTAGGAGAAAACAGGACATAAATATGGGAATGTTACTGTACAAGGATTACTCTGTGCTGATCCTTAACTTTTCATTTGCGAATAACAAGCGCCACATGTAGCGCCAAGCCAAAATCTAGACCCCGGATTAGACAAGGTTAGGTTGGGTTCATATGGAATAAACTGGTTCCTTGACAACAATTGTTCGGATTAGATAGGCGAGAATTGAAAGACATCGTTGATTCGTTGTGCGCTCTCATTTTGTCAATTTGGCATGACAACCCTAAGATCCGGCTGAGCCGATGACATTGAATATTGCCCACGGAGAATCTTGATTCTAGACTTTTATTTATATTTATTTATACAAGTACAGATCTTCTTTTCGTTAGGGATTTTTTAAAGAAACCTCACCGTCTTGAGAAAGCTTTCTTACCGCATCATCTTACACTTTAACCCTAACCCCAACACTAGGGTAGGTCATTAACCCTAGCGGTAATACGTTATACATGTAAGAGAATAGAAAAGGAATTTTACGAATCAATTAGTTTCAATTCCAGTAATTCACATTTTCACGGTATCACAGTCATCACAGTCATCAATTGATATTCTACGTAACAGAATCAACTTGGCCTGCTCGAAATACGTTGAATAAACCGGTGTAAAAAAGACAAGGAAAAAATAACAGACCAAATAAGAGAATGAAATTAACTTCACCACGCGGTCTGTCCTCCATCAATTATTAATGATGCGCCAGTCATGAAGCTACTCGCATCGCTCAACAAATACAGCGCAGCTCCCCTAAATTCCTCCGGTCGACCCAACCTACCCAGCATATTCTCTCCTTCCCACACCTTCTGGGCCTCAGGATCTTTCTCCAGGATTTGCTCGACCATCTTGGTAACGACATGTCCAGGGCAAATGCAATTGACACGGATACCTGGCTTTCCTGACTTTTCTCGCGGTCCCCATTCCATGGCCAGACTGCGCGTGAGCTGGATGACTGCAGCCTTGGAGGAGTTATAGACAGGTGCACACATGCCCTTATTCGCAATGATACCGCTGATACTCGCCACCAATAAAACCGTGCCCCGACAATTATATTTCATCATCTGCTTGGCGGCTTCAGTGGCGCAAATGAACAGGCCGGTATAGTTGATGCTCATGATCTCGTTGACGTCGTTCTGCGAATGTCCGATTGCGCTATCTATATGGTTGATTCCCGCCGCGGCGAGTAATCCGTCAAGTCGCTGTTTCTGATCGGCAATGCGACTCATGGTCTCTTTCACGTTTTCAGCGTCTCGTACGTCCATGCATCGATAATGCAAGGAGCCGCCGTATGCTGGGTTCGCGTGTTTCTGGGCGTAGATGAACTCGTCATCGGGTTCAGAGAGACGGTCGAGGCAGTGAACTAGTATCAGTAGTTAGATATTATATTTAATCCGGGGATAGAGCTGGTAGCCATGTTCAGCAGCATCTTGGTAGCTTACCTTGAGCGCCTGCTTCAACCAATGCTTCCGCCATGGCCAGGCCTAACCCTCGCCCACCCCCAGTTACTGCAAAGACCTTGCCTTGAAGATCAAATTCGCGAAAACGATTTTGCGTTCTTACGTCCTCTGGCGTGGGTAGAGGCTCCTGAATGGGAGCACTGGCATTGGTGGCACCGTTTGTCATGTTTGTGCTGCTAGGAGACATCTTCTTTCTGTTATGATGAATAGAACCAAGTCTGTTAATCCGTTGCCTGTTAAAATTTTAAACATTTCCCGATAAGATGTCACAGATTAATAAAATATTGTTGAAAATGGACTGGTTGGTTTTGCGGGCTCCAGCTTCTTACATCACCCCCAACAAGTTTCGGGGACATGTTGACAGTCCCATGACAATAAACGTCACTATTAAACCCCATTATATGCATATGTTGGATAATAACCTACTAGAGATAATATCCTATGAATCTAAACCAAAGCTTTTACTGAAACCAACTATCTTATCTAGAGTGGCGCGCCCCATTACAATGACGCATCTCCACAGCCTAGTCCTGGTAAACGAGACATATGCACTAGCTAAAGCTAATCCCCATGCGAAACTTGTTGATATAAAGAGAGAGCTATTGGTATTGGTATTTGGTAGTGGTATTGTGTTAAATAGAGTTTAGACGTCATCCGCAAACGTCAGTTTGACGTTTATCGCGCGTCCCAGAAAATGCGGGTAGATTATATCCATTCAATCATGATCCATCGAAGAAATGGCTGCTAGCTACGTCACATCACTGTAGATCGATAACAATCGGGGTTAGGGTTTCGCAGCCCATTTTGGGGACCCTAACCATCGCAGCATTAATAAAAGTTGTTGTCTTGTTCTCACTATTCCCCGTGAAAATATGCTTCACTCTTGTGAGTGCTATCATGATAGTCATCCATACGACAGAGCCCCATCCCGCCATCACTTTTCATACGCCATCTGTACGCTATCTAGCCGCACATCTTCGCGCCCATGTAAGGCATGAATATGGCCGAATACACTTAGACGAGGTTGAATATGGTAGATTTCCTCTGCGAGGTATGGATATCCAGCACGGTGGAAGTCGCGCCTGTCCAGGTGAAAGTGCGGCGGGGCCATGCGTGACAATGACTTGTAGCTTTCTATCCAGAGAGGTAAGATGTCCTTCCAATTCTGAGAATTATTTGGGTGGTACTGGAGAGCTGAGATTCCGTACACGGACTGCCGAAACTCGTAAGACTTCCGATGGCTTCTAGATGTATTGTCAAAGCGAGTGTATATTTGGATGGGACTCGTCCAAGATACTGCAGAATCTGCGGGTGTTGGACGAGATATGCGTATATGGTTGCTTCCCTAGAAAGAATACCCTCACAGGGCTCTTACGCCATACGAAATACCGATCTCTTAATCTTGATTCTTGAAGACTATAACCCAACCTACTTAAATTCACTAAGCACAAATTCGGGCAGAGAATTATCTAACGTTATAATATTAATCATAAAATTCATATGGGCTACCAACTAATATCTGGTTATTAATAAAAACTTTTGATCAATAATCTTGAACTGTATCCCTAAAAGCCGTGGTCCTGATCCCAAATATCCTAAAGTACATATGTAGATCTATAAATATAGCCTTAATCCACGATATTAGAGCTCATAGAACCTACATAAATTGAATACCATACATATTTAGATTCGTCAGACTCGTGTAATTTTACAGTCCCAAGAATGACTGTCTCAGGTTCTCAGCTCTGGGAATACCCTGGTAGAATAGACCAAGTCTTTGCGGTAAAAAGCAGCTCAGCCCTCTCCCTCATTGTCTCGGGATCAACGTAAACCTTCATTTCCATTGAATCTTTACCCACATCGAAGACCCGAAATATCACATATATCGAATCTGTTTGTCCTGAGCCCATATGACCATTAGAATTTGCTTGCATCTGATATCATCACTCGTTAGTTTTGTAAAGAAGTTTGAGGGCGACTTTTTACCAGTTCATATTGAGATCTGCTCATATAGAAGGCATTTTCACAAGGCCCAGTCGTGGATTTTACTTCCAAAAAGTACCGTGGTCGTTTGCCGGACCAATCTGAAGTATTTAAATAACCCTTATCTACAAGGAAATTTGTGAGAATACTCTCAGTGTCGTCATACGTGATATCTGCCGTTTCTACCCCGCGCCAAGGGCTGAGGGTTGCATAATCGTCGTGAATTGTCACATATTTACGGAGATTGCTTTTCCAGTTGCTGCGAGAGAAACCTGGTAAAGTCGGAGTCAAACGTGACAAGACCTCAAACACCTGCAATTTGCTATTAGCTTCCACTTAAATATTAACGGGATATCCTGAAGCTACTAACGTAGAGCTCCCCTGCTGCGCCAATCTTCTTGTCTCGTTCAATCTTTTCTGACGAACGAAGGCCAAAATATTCGCCGTTATTTTCAGGTAAGACGGTAGGCAGACTGCGGGCGAGAGCCGCCATATCAAATGTGCCCCTACTAGGAAAAGCAGCTCTTCTTGCCGAGTTAACAGCACTACGCAGAATTCTGAGGTACTCCAGGTCAACTTGATTTGACTGAGCAACCCTGGGCGATGATGGAATGTGAGAACTTGTGGTTCCCCGCCCTGGAGTGATTGTTAACGGGTTTAGGACTCGCGAAGAATTGTATCCTGATCTTGCACTTACTCTCTCCATTTGAGATGTCGACTAGGTTGCCATGCGAGCTTGTATTCCGAACGTTCTGAACCGAAGTATCTCTCTCCAAGTCACTACCACCCTGCGATCCTGTCGAAATATATTCTTCTTCAACTGGTTGTGGAAGGACAGGTGAAATAAGATTTGGCCCATCATTCACTGAGTCATCGGGTGTTTCGACAGACATAATTCCAGCGCGATTCATAGTCTCTGATATATATTTGTTTTGAGCTTGTATAACAGTACATATTGCATTTATAGCTTTGTCGTTGAACTTTTCGCAGATCCCCGTTTTTGGATCTGTCATGATCCATTCTAAAAGGGCTTTGGGCATTCTGTCAAGAAAACATTGGTACTGCATATCTTCATCACGCGGAATATAGATTTTGAGCCCATCTTGGTGGTCTTGGAGATGTAATTCGCTTCTATTCATTTCAACTTTGATGACCCTTCCATCTTGACTAAGGTGAAGTTGGGAACTTATGCCATCGGTTTCACGGACTTCGATCTTTTTGAGTTCATCATAAAAAGGCTGTTCGCCACTCTGAACACGAGGACTTCCAAAATGGACTGCAATGCTAGGATATCCAGGTCAGCTTGATTTTTTTGAGGATCATCAAGGTTAGCGAGCTCACCGAAGTAGACCATGTGCTTTTAAGGCTATGTCTCGATCATGTGCGACTAATCTTTGGCTATCACCACTGCATAAACCAGATATTTCTTTGACAGACCGTGACAAATAGCGACTTTCCAAGCCTGTCCATCGCAAAAATGGCTCAAGTCGTAGTATATCGTTGACCTCAAAGTCCAAAATATTGGACTTACCAGAGAACAAATATAAGAGTTGTTCACGATCCGCTATAGCAAAGTCTGTTTCCGAAGAACGCAAATCAACACCTTCGCCAGAGCATTTGATCGGAAACACCTTTCTTTTCAGGATTTGGTTTGGGCTGGGATGATTTTCCTCTTTTTTAAGAAGAGCGTTTAGTTGCCAAATTGAGGTTTTAATGTCTTGGATGGAAGTCTCTTCTGCCCCTTGGTCTGCCAGTTTATCAACTACCATCTCTAGTGTCAAGGTAGGGACACCCAAAAATTCGACAAAAAAGTCAAACATGTCCTCATATTGTTCACGGATAGTTGTCATCCCCTTAATCCCAGTCGTTGTGGACCACAGGCATTCAGAAACAGAATACCATTCATATGTAGTACCGTCATCACCTGCAACATATACGAGCAGCCCAGTCTCGAATTTCTCCCTTAGAATTGTAAGTCGTAGTGTCCCATAGAAAAAATATAAACAGTACACTGGACATACCGAATTCTAATTCTTTCAGAATTGTCAATATGCAATGTTAGATCATGTATATGCTTGTAGATATCGCAGATCTGATCGAAATCAGGGTCTTCAATATCTTGCATGCTCGTCAACTCTTCTATTAGGTCATCTACATTCGCATTCCGAATTTTGAGAATGCCACAAAATAGAAAATTGAAATATGCATTATTCTCAACGTTCTCATAGCGTGACTTTAGAGAAAACTTTGTAAGCATATGAGTAGGCGCCTCCCACAGACATTCGTCAGGTTCCGCCCAACAAGCCGCTTGAGAACCAATTTCGGGAACATATATAAGTGATGAAATAAATGCGTTTCTATGCTCTAGATTAGAAACCTTGGATTTATGAATAGATATTGTTGTAAGGGGCATACTCAATTTCCTGACGACATATATCTCGATCTACAGACTCACGATACCGAGCCTCAATTCGACTATACAAATCATAGATTCTTGTCTCCTTTTTTAGCTCGGAGGCATCAAGGTTTGAAAGGTGAATATAAAGAAGTATTCTGAGATAAAATTCGACGTCTGACTTGAAGTATCCAAAACCAAGCCTTGTTGTTAGCACCTGTAGTTTGGACAAGGTTGCAACATTGCTCAAAGTAGCTTCTATACGAAGCCATGGGAAGAATTCGGTATCTTCGAAGAATCTGTTCGCATTTTTGTGCTCATCTATTTGTAAATATGTCCTGCCAAGTGGGTGCATGGTGCCGTTTGCACAAAGAACTTTGAGCTGCAACAAGTCTTTCGTCAGTCTTGGAGTTGTGTTAATTTTCTCACTGTCACTTTCTTTCCAGTTCTCGAGAAGAAATCCTAGGAATTTTTCGGGACGATGTTTAGCCACATAGAGGCACTCATCGCTTAGATGATAATCAGGGGTGAGAAGCGCTCTATTAGAGAAGAGTGGTATGGCATCGCTGATGTGCAACATGTCTCTTAACCACGTTCTCCAACTTCGATGTTCACCTTCTGGCTGGCTCGGAGGGCTTTCCATGTATTCATGATGCATGAATGATACATCTAAACCAGGAACTATTTTTTGAGACCTTGTGTCATGATTAATGGCCTGAAAAAGTTCCTTGGCACCATATGGCTTATCATCAGAAAAGTAGACTATATCGTTTTGTGGCCATTTACATCGGCATTTCTGATCTAGTATGTTCAGGCGGAGGTAGGATATAGAATCCATCTTGTCATTCACCATATTAAGATGCGTAGTGAGGTAGAGAAAAACCAAGTGATTTCGAGAGGTGGCGAAGTCTCGAACAGTGATTGAATTATACTCATATTTGTCGAAGATCAGTTTTCGGGTGTTGGAGATTTTAGGATTTTTAACACCAAGAGAATCGAAGAGTCGTTTCCTTTCAGGGTTCCTCACTGCTTGAGGATCTACCAAGTTCAGGCCTAAATCAGTTGGTATTGGGTGCTGCTTGGCGTGGGAGTAATAAATCGTGGTATTTCGGGATGCCGTCCATCTCCCCCCTATCAACGGAATTATACCAAAACTCCTAATTTTATCCGGATAATTTCGCAGAGCAGAAATTAAAAACTTCGCTAAGCGAGAATGCCAATCCTCATCTGTTGCCGAAGCTTTGACTACTGATTGACTATTCTTGTCAAGATCTAAGCGAACTTTATCAAGAAATTCTTCCGTTTGCATACTTTCAAGTCCGCAATTGTTCAATTTTTCTAAATCTGTGGCTGAATATTCGGATGCCAAATAGCGCTCTGGGTTCGAATCAGAAAACAAGGGATTGCCTTTTCCATCAAGCATGTCGTATTTCAGGCGTCGCATGCCCTGGATCGGGCGCAAGTTATTGTGACTTCGGGTCCACAGAACTGGCAATTTTTGCAGTTTGTAGTAGATTGTTTTGAGTAACTTCCCCCAAAAGTCGTCCCAAGGATAGTCAGATTGTTGGGGAAGATACCGCATCCACAGGTAGCGAAGGGTTGAATGTTCGCAGAAATGCGAAGTAGCTTTGATAAAGGCTTCAGCGATGCCATCGAGAAGACGAATATTTCGAGCTGAGGAACTCTCAATGTCTTGCCTGCTGGCGTTTGTAACAAAATCTGTGTGTATCAGGAACTAACAGGAAGATATATTAGCACTATATAGAAAGCGGAGTTGGTAACTCAACCGAAAATCCCAATTTTCTTATTGGTAAAAACGCGAATACGTGCTGCGGTTGTATGATTGGAATAGATTTGTCATCCAAGGGAAATGCTAGAACAACTTTGGCCGTTTTGTATGCTCCTCGAGAGATCTCGTTTTCTGTATATTTCCGGTTTTCACTCATTGGAAGGCCTTGCGCGATATCCTTTGTCAGATAATAGTGCTTTGAATACACCTCAGCTTCCCCGTTCTTCCGTATCTCGGTCTTTAGGTCAACTAGATTCCCTAACTGGTGATTTATTGAATAGATGGCAAAACTATGTTGTTTGTCATTCTCGTCATACATGGTGACATGGATTCTTTTGAGGTTTTTCATGAAAAGAAGGAAGGTTGACTCTATTTCTTGAAACTGCTGCAGAGTTGTCTGCATGTTGTCGTCCATAATAGAGTCATGGAGGAAAAGAGTGATGCGAGTCATATGGCTAGCTACGGCGTCCTCGGCGTCTTGCCAGATTGGGGATATCATTCCCATTCCGGAGTCACCTTTCTTATGTTGAAAACAAAAAGAAAGGTCTCCGGATTGGATAAGTACCTTCCATGCCACCATAAAGACCGATTTGAACCCGATTCCTTTTTCTCCAGCATATCCTTGGGCGCCGGACTTTGAGCTTTTTCCAATATTGCAAATAGCAACTAGGTTCTCGTACGTGAAGCCATCTTCGTTACATTCTACCACTATTCGACGGTTGTAGACGTGAAAAGAGACATAAGGATCCGTAGACGAAGTTTTAGCCCTGGAATATGAATTATCGTCCGCGTTCTGCAGCAGCTCGAAAACAAATCTTGCACTGCTGTTGTAAAGATTTTTGGCAAGGCTACGATTTATAGCATCATTTTGTCAGACCCGAGTAAGATCCGTGAAGGTGGAGGGATCAAACATACGTTATAACATTGGATCCAATCAATTCATCTTTTATCAACATTGCTACCTCCACCCGGCGACGCACTTCAGTTGTCATTTGATTATAAACATCTTCCCCAAGAAACCCGTGAGATTCAGCGATACTCTCGACTAGCTGACGGGCACCTAGGCGGCCTGAAGACTCTGAGAGAGGCAGCATCCTTTTACAGATGCAGAAAATGGTTCTAGAAGCAGCTTCAATTCAAACCATCTAAAAAAAAAGTCACTTTCGGTGTGTTTGGAGTAAATCGCAAGGTATGTGTTTGCAGGTCAGAAGAATTTTGAAGAAAACTTTTCCATAAAACTAGGGGTCGTTTTAGTATTACCGAGATGCACACTGTACTGAAATGTAGGACAGGCAATTCAAGGACTTTCACTAGGTTTTACAGGGATCATTATCCAGCGATGTTACGTAGGATACCTAGCTACGTCCAAACCGAACTAACATCCGAACAACAGCGTTTGGTTTCTACGATCGTCCTTCCTAACACTGCCTATCTAGCTTCGCGGCAATATTAAGACGATGAACTTAGTGGAGTAAGTACGTGCCTAGTCATCTACATTGCATCCACTTTCTACGCATGGTTCTGAGCTAGCCAATAGGATGCGTTGCATCCAAGTGATTTATGCAGCCAATTCCGGATGTCACATCTCTCACTCGGGTCTAGCAATTCGCAGCCAATAGACGATATTGAGACTTTCTAGCACTGATGCAAAACCATGACTAGATGTATATGTAGTAGTAGTAATCTAGTGTTTGGCGCAGCAGCCCTCCTTACAAGGATCCTGAACCTTCAATGTTGTGACTAAGGCATAGACAAACCAGTCCACCTTCACACTTGAGCTGTCAGAGTGAATGAACAAATAGAAAAAATTTACAATATGTGTTCTTCTGTTGCTATCATGAATCACTTATATTTCTAACGTCAGAATTTCTTTATAGCATAGCAATATTTGACTCGACTTCGATGTTTGTAATTGGACAAGATTTTCGTAAGGGAAATACCTAGAGTTTACTATTAATACTAAGTTAATATTAGAAATTGAGCTATGGCTTGGGGAAAAATCGTAACCTGGTTTACACCACACACCTCTATTCTTGGCACGTATGGTTCTACGTAAATTTCAAATGGTCTATTCAAATGAGATAAGCAAAATTCATTAGTCTGAAAACCCCCAAAATTCTATCAATACTTTATCTAAATTAGTAGAAGCAGCACCGTGATTATGAGTTTATATATGCCCTAAGAATTTCTGTTTAGCCCTTTGGCCCTTGTGGCATAGCTGAAGAAGTTCGTTTAAACCCAACTAAAGTATGCCGCAATGCATTTATAAAAAGTATAACTAACATGCAAATTTCATTTCGAGAGCACATCTGTAGAGCCGTAGACGTTCCTTATTGCTCTTACCTCATATTTTGTCCATGCCACCTTGCAAGACGAGTAGGACAGATGATCGTGACAGGCTTCACATCGCAAAGTCAATATTCGATATATGTGAAAGATACCTCATCAATCTGAGTTGGCACGATCTGTTGGTCCATGTTTGATTATGCTTAGATTGAAAGGGGGAAATTTACGTTCCATGGATTTAACGCAACCTCCGGGATAGCCGAGGCTGAGAGATACCCCCACACAGAGAGGTATACATTTATTAGCTTAAATAGTGCAATAATCTTGAATAAAAGTATATTAAAATGAAGAAATGTTTGAGGAACTTCTTCCGCGGTTTTAAATTAAACTACGTACTTATTGGTTAGAGGCCTGTTTCATTTCTGTTTGAGGCTTCTTCGGGTTCAGCCTTGCGGCTGAGTCGCGGTGTGAAGATGGCGATGAACCCTTTTAAATGTTTAGCACACCCAAAGTCTGAGGTTTCTGGCTTATTGGAATCTCACTTCAGTTATGTTCTCCATTTAGCTTCCATCAATGACAGTATCCTCTCTTTTAGCGCAGCTTTGCGCTTCTTTTGGGTAAGCTAATCACGTTATCATATATGGCACTGTGCGCTAATGATTAATACCAGCTACGCTCAACAGCTAAATATCACCAACATTGACCCCAAACATTGTTTCGGTAACTCCACTCTCAACATCAACTGCGACGACTCTCAGTGGTATGCCGCTCTCAACATCTCTAGCGTCGTACAACCCGGCAGCACAGCACCAGGAGATGGGTGATCATAGGTCGCAACCGACATGTTGTCTGGACTGCTCCCCTTGTCCGACAAGCCCTCTGAGCATCGAATGCCCTATCTTTATTTGCGTTTACGGCATCACCGGCTTCTACTCCTCCTGGCAACGCTATCTCTTCATCGCTAACATCGCCCTTGCCGTGATCGCCATTCCCCTGACCGTGCTGCGCGGCATCGCACAGATCTACGTAACTATCATGGGCTTCATCTCCTCCATCGTCATATATACCGTACTCACCCATCGGAAAAACTTCTCTGATCCGTCGCAGGCGGCGCCGCAGACTGTGTTTGACGCGGAATACTTCCCTGCCTGCCAGTTTTTCTCGGGGTGCTGGATACTATCCATCTGGTGGCTACTCCTGCGCAGTGGTATCAAAGGAACTGCTATCCTACCGGCTGGAAACCGCAGCACCGGGCCGCACGAGTTTGCCTTCGATCCAGCCGCGGCGCGGGGTTCCTTTCAGCAGCGCCTGCAGACGGCGATGCTGTCCGCGGCCATCCTCGTCCTGGCGATCATGGGGTTGACAACCGTGGCGGTCGTCGCAATGGATCTCAGCGAGTAACTTGATATCTCCGCTGTCGTGGTTGCGTCGGCATCGGAGTACCGTATCACGAGCCCGTGTTACGCGGGCGCCGGGGGATGATAAACAAGTGGGATGGTTCGCCTGGCAACATCTTCCGCCAAAAAAACGAGCTTCAGCTCGTGGCATCGCCGACACCTGTAGAGATGACGGAAAGCATAACGGCTGAGAGCCTGGCGTCGCGGAGTTTATCGATTGCGCGGCCGTTGAGATGGTGGGAATTCGCGACGCCGCTTCTTATAGTTACCGGGGCAGACTTCATTTGCAGTGTTGGGTATGTGGTCCTCGACGGTATAGACTCGGAGCTCGCTGTCTTCCCACCTAACCTGTTAAGAGTGACCCTTCTTGGCTCAGGCATTGCTTCGTTTGGCATAATAGAAAAGCGGATACTAGACAGCGGGATACCGCAGGCCGAGATATTTAGACAGATAGGCCAGTGGGCACCGTGGGCAGCATCCATACTTGTTGGTATTGGAACTGTGGTGTACAGGTTGTCCGGGCTCGATAATGACAAGGACCAGTCTAGGAGGACTTTATTTGAGCTTGACCACAGCCCGACCTGAGTTACCTACGAGAGCAATTTCACGGGTTGGATGCGATGCTACGAGGTCGAGATTCCGTGACAATCTCGCCTTTTATCGTGGAAAGCCGCGGAAGGGAGCACAAATGGGGACATCGTCTAGTACAGTGAGTCTTAGATGCGATTACTTCCCACGAAATAGTTTAATATCAGTAATTACTAGGTCCAACCCTACCAATGTATTTTAACACATTATAACTAGTAATTTAACTTTCCCCTCCATTACTTATTCAGATATTAAGATTAAGATATTGTCCTTTGCTGGGAGAACTTTTACATACAAAAACTCTACGATTAAGAAGTATGGCGATAATGCAGGCCTCCTTTCCCGGTTTCCTTATGTGATATTTTAGTATAGAAGCTGACACTATATATGCTCTTGATGAAACGTCGGGACAAGAAACTACATCTCGCTCTGGACTTCTATTGCAGGGGTTGCAAATTAGACCTTCTTTTTTACAACCAAAACGGCACCGTAGACAACCCCTTTTGTCTTTTCCCGGCCTTTTTCAACTCCCGCCTCTTGCAACAGCCGTTCGATTTCTTTACGAAGAATCCTGATCCCATCTTTATCTGTCCCAGCAATATCCGGATTCGCTTGAGCCCATCGCGTATAGGCGCTGTGGGTTGCCATCATTTTCTCAAACGTATCCATATCGGCTTCTGGAAGTCCAACAAAAAAGGGCTCCTCCTCAGGCACCCAGTCCTTACGGAAAAAGGTGTGTTCATCAAACTCGCTGACTGGTTCTGTTATATTCCATGGCATTGGAAGATCGGTATACCGGGTACGAGTCATCCAGTTACCACGTTCATAGTAAGGCTGCAAATAACGGAGAAGATAGTCGTCCATGGCAGCCTGGATAGCTTCTGAATTGGGCAAAGATGGATCCGTGCGGATATCACCGCTACACCAGATGGCGACACTGCCGCCAGGCTTAAGTACTTTTGCTGCTCGGAGCCAGAATCTAGGCATGTCAAACCAGTGAGCTGCATTGGCGATTGTAATCAGGTCAATGCTTGAGTCCTGAAGCTGGCCAAGGTCTTCGGCGGTCGAAACCTCATAACGGATAGGTTCAGAAGTGGCCGAGCTGCCACCTAGGGAGCGAGCAGTCTTGATCATACCATCAGAAGGATCCAGACCAATGACGTGAGCAAAATTCACGCCGAGAGAGCGAGCAACATTGCCTGGACCACAGCCAACGTCCAAAAGAGTGTGTAGCTTGCCGTCTGTAGAGAGGTGCTGGTCAAGAACGGTTTGATATACTTTGGGGTGATAATCGCGTCGGATCTCAGCATAAGCCTTGCCTTGCTCCTGATTGTAGGAGCTGAATGTCTTTTCAGCAGGAAAAGGCTTAGTATCAGAGTTGGACATTTTGGGTCAGAGATGCTTCGTGCGTATGCGGTGATGAAAAGAAGACAAGGGTATACAGTCACGGTTCACTTTAAGCTGCGTAATGGTCAGTTCTGGAAGAAAGCTTCTAGATGATGAGGATTGCTAGAGTAATGGCAAAGAATAAGGAGAAATAAAACAACACACTGGCGATGGGGAGGCATTTATAGGCGACAATATATGGATTGGCCAATAGGCGTTCGGCTTCGATCATGGATGCGCTAGTCTCGATTCAGGCCACGACTGCGAGCTCCGGCACTAAGACCGAAGCAGAACAAGAGCAGAAACGTAGAAAGAACAAATATACGATGAAGATTGGATTATCTGCAATTTCTACATCCGAGCCCTTCCTTGCTGAAGTCAGAAATCTGAGAGGACTAATGAAGGATAACACTTTGAACATCATCATCGGCTGGTCCAATCCTGGCCCAAAATTAGCTTCGACATGGTGTACTATGGCGCCGTAAGCAAAGGATGCCATCGCTGTCGCCAGCGAAAGATCAAGGCACGTTCCAAATACACACCATACTTTATGCAATATCCTTTGGAGGTAAAACCTAGAGTTATAAGCCCCGCAGGTCTAACTCGTCAGCTTGCTCTAGTGCGATCAGCGCAAACCCGGCTGCCAGAGGTGTGAGAAATCTGACATCGAATGCCCCGGTTACAGAGATCTGAATCAGGTCCTTTTTCGTCTTGAAAATAGCCGCATTATCCGAAGAGCCTGTAAGACTGAGCAGCCTAACTCAGGCTTGGTACCGGCCAAAACGACTTTGAGCCAAGACAACCCGCTACCTAATAGTTATCTTGAGGAGATTCTTAAGTGGTTTCATTCCGGCATAACATATCCTCTTCTACAACCGGTTGATGAACTGGGTGCCAATTTTTTCTTTACCAAATACACGTATAACTCACCCCCTTATGATACAGACTACCATGACTGGCTCATGCAGTCGTACCTCGACGAAGGACCCAGCCGGGCTTTAAGAGCGGGAATTGAAGCTGTAGGATTGGCAGGAATATCGAATACTTCTTCCCATGCGCCCTACATAACACGCAAGTCTAAAGAAAAGTACGGTGAGGCCATGGCGGTCGTGAAGGAAGCTTTAAATGACCCCGTTCGAGCAATGGAGGATTCCACTCTGATGACTGTATTGCTTCTTGGAGTGTTTGAGGTAATTTCCCAACCCCCACTGTGTTAGAGAACTGTTTGATTCTGATTTGATTTTATATCATTAACTTTGAAACTTGGGATCGATTTCAATACTGGACTGCCCATGTCAATGCGGCTACAGCATTACTAGAGCTTCGAGGTCGACAGCAATTTGCTCAACAGCGCGGGGCACAACTTTATATCCAGAGTCGATCTCAAATTGTAAGTCTCACCTATATAATCAATCGTAACTGCGGCCTAAACCAGTATAGCTTCTAGCCTGCATGCAGGAGGAAATCGCAATACCCCCAGGTTTAGTACGAGCAACTTATGATTTTGAAAACAGCGGGATTAGACAACGCTGGCGCGATCGCAAATATGCCAGTCCTGCTTCCATTTCTGAAATTTCCTTTCGAACGGCCAATCTCCGCGCTGCCCTACGAACTGGCGAAATCACCAATCCTGAGGTCATCCGCAAGTTGGCGCTTGAAATTGACTCCGACCTCGAGTCCTGGGGAGCAGTGGTTCCACCTAGTTGGCACTACAAAATTATTGACGATCCAAACGCAGCTGTCGGAACTTGTTTTGTGGGAACGAGGCACATGTATCCTGAGCACTGGATTATCGAAATTTGGAACAATTGGCGTGTCTTACGCATCCTGGTGAACCATATAGTAGTGCAAAACGAGGCTCGGTTAATGCAAGGCAGTGAGTCCAAGAAGCTAGCCGCGCTCTCTGTGATTAGGCAGCTTTCCACGGATATTTGCATTTCGGTTTATAGCTTTACCGGATCTCCACGTATGATTGCTTAACCCCCTTTTGAAAGACTAGAAATTGCAAAGAATAACCTAACTCTTTAGGTATGATATCCCTCGTTCAGCCACTATATGTGGCGTGTCTCGAAGAGCACAACTCCTACAACGTTCGTTCTTTTGCGGTGGAGCAGTTGAGTAAAATTGCTGCCTCACTGGGTATTCGACAAGCCGGATTACTGGCCAGCATGGTTTCAAAAAGCCTCGGCAGCAAGGATTTCTCACCCGATGTTGCTGTTGGGGAGTCTGTTGATCTTACTATTGCGTGTCCTCTGTCAGATTCAAGTCTTTGGGAAAGATCCAGATGATTTTTCAGGCGTAATTCTGTGCCCCTTAAGGAAGTAATTGAGAACCGTTAAGACTTTCAGTAATAAGCGACGTATATGCCTGTGATTTGCTCGTCTATCTAAGCGACGCACTCTGTCAGGTTGATGGTTCAATAGTCTGTAATACATTTGTTAATATAATATCTGCCTCTGCTGTATGGCTGTAAGCCAAAAAAAATAAAGGGAGGCGTGGGCAGCCCGCAATGTAGGTGTGGTTATCGTTCAAAGCACTTTCCAAATGACAGATGAGATATACAACATTCCGTTATTTAAATAAGAATTACGTGTAATATTTCCATTTGAGTACTTTTGGGTGACATGAAGCTTCGGGCTGCTCTATGTGACTGCAACTCTGCCACGTCGAACGATGACCGCTCCTCCCGCTGATGACAATTTCTACCATTGATACAGGGTTTCCAAAACCAGCATCACTATCATACTCTTTGGTGTTATCTCCCAAACCCGAATTTTAAGAGGATCCATTTGCTATTTTTTCACACATATATATGTTCTACTCACGACTGGCGTAATAACATCATGAGAGAGGTGAAAAAGGTGGAATACGGAACAATGGTTTCTCTCCACGCTTCACGCGCCAATAGTTCGTAGATTGAAACAGATCCCAACAACCCTTGATTGTCAAGCCCCATGCAGATGCAAAGGAACTTGTTACCTCCCAGCCAGTAGGATCCCAAGAATCTTTCCAAACTAGAATGCCTGCAGTTCCTTCTATCGATCTGCACAAGTCTTCGCAGAGCCCGTATTCATCCACAAAGGACTCAAGGGTAATCAAATTATCGCGCATTTGTGGAATAGGGAATAGATCAAGCCATGGGTGATGTGGAGTGGAACGCTGGAGTGCAGTCGGCTGTAGGCTAGGAGGGGAGGAAACTATTTCATCGCCAACCTGTGAAGGGCCAGCAATGCAGAAAGGAGACAAAGCGTCATTGTGCATCTGGGTCTGTGTATACCCCAGGATATCAATATTGAACATTAGAGCCCGGATCAAGTTTAGTTGAGTCAGGCCTAGAAGAAGCTCCGTGCTAGGGGAACCGGTTGCGTAGTGATCATAAGTTATGCGTTCTAGTAGACGAAGGATCCATTTTGCCGGTTCTGAATAAATTCCAAGCATGTATAGATCCTTCATACATGCGAAGTCGGTAATACAGTTGCCGACACTCGTTGTAGGTGCTCTTGTCAGTTGGTCTTGACTCCCTAGGATTTTCAAGGCGGATCGTTGGCGCTGACCTAGAACTAGGAGTAAGTCACTCATACTGACAAAGAAAGGGTGGAATTTACGGCGCTCTCTCTGGTTCAAGCGATTCTGCACTCTCTTCCTTCTCTTCGGATCGGTGACACCGGTCCAATCATCCAACAGTTGGAAAGCAACATGTGGTGGGATGCGTTCTGAAAAGGAAGCTTGCGCAGGGATCCAGGCTGATAAATTGCGGTGAAGATCCATCTCCATGTATAGCAACGGTGTGCATGCACAGAGGCGACAATCATCACACGTTATAGTGGCTGTGGCGGAGAACTAGATAGCTCGGGAAGTCGTGTAGCTGCTCAACGGCGGAAGTCGGCGGGCGATCTAACTTTACGGATCCATGGATCAAAAGGCATATGCAACTGTCACCCAGCTGCATTAGCGTAACTGTAAATTAGGGATATTAAACCAATGGAGACCTATAATCTATTATTAAAGTATAGGGTCCGCTCCACAGCGCTTACGAATATGCATCATGATTCCCAAGAATGCACACAACACACATATCTGGAGTTCGCCTCCATACAACACGGTTCAGTGCCAGGCCCAGGTTAAATATGCAATTGAATTTTCCACGGAGATAAACGGGGTGTGGATTGTATCAGGAAGCTTCCCCGTAAAACCGAGCGTCTCTGTCATGCTTATCTAGATATATAAGGAGAGTCAGGTCCCGCCTGTTCTCTGTAAGGCACCAAAATACTTCTTTACTTCGTCAGTACTTCCACATACGTTCTCGTACCTACACTCCTATCATGTCTTCTCGATACGCTGCAGCTTATGAGCACCCGAATGGCCCAGGAGATGCGCGCCCGACGGCCGAACAAATTGTCCAACACGAAGGTCTCGTGGGAAAGTGGACAGACAAGGTGATCTTGATCACGGGCTGCTCTTCGGGCATCGGAGTCGAGACAGCTAAGGCGTTATCGAAGACCGGGGCAAAACTATATCTGACAGCACGAAGTCTCGAAAAGGCACAAAAGGCCCTCGGAGAGCTCGCAGAGTCTCCGAATGTCCATCTCTTACAGCTTGACCAGGAGTCTCTGGACAGCGTTCGGGTTTGTGCTTCTGCGTTCCTAGCTCATAATGACCGATTGCACCTCTTGATTGCAAATGCGGGTGTCATGATGACTCGCAAAGAACGCACGAAGGACGGGTTCGAGCTTCAATTTGGAGTTAATCACCTGGCGCATTTTCTCTTGATCAATCTCCTTATGCCAGCTCTCCTTGCAGCATCTACACCATCATTTCAATCAAGGGTAGTGATTCTGTCCTCGACTGGTCACAAATTCTCCTCTGTCAATTTCGAGAACATCAATTTCGACGGTGAATTTGACGCCATGAAGGCATACGGGCAGAGCAAAACAGCAAATCTGTGGACTGCAAACGAGATCGAGAGGCGATATGGATCTAATGGACTCCATGCCTTCAGCGTTCACCCGGGAGCAGTTACAACGAACCTGGGCCAGCATATGTCAGAGGAGGAGATCCAGGCCATAACCCAGGACCCAGATCTCATGGCCAGCTACATGAACCCAGCACAGGGTGCTGCTACTAGTGTGTGGGCGGCTGTGTCGAAGGATCTCGAAGGCCAAGGGGGGAAGTACCTTGAAAACTGCCAGATTTCAACTCCACACGACGCAGCAGGTGGATTCTGGGCTCCAGGCTATGGCCCGCATGCTTTTGATGCGGCCGGTGCCACACATCTGTGGAATGCTTCATTGAAATATGTTTCACTCGAATGATCAATGCTTGCATGTGTTTTAGTTGTTCGGAGTTACTCCACTCGATCACGTAGTGAATACAGGCTAGTGTTTGACTAGTATGTATTGAAAATCAATACTTTTGATTCAAAAGTTCTAGCGGCATAGATTTCCGTTGTATTTACAGTAAAGGTGGTACGTAGACTTTCAATTATACTACTGTATGAATGACATAACGGGAATGTCGCTATTCTGGATGTATTCTGATTACCTCTTAGTGGACCTTGGCATTCAGGTTCTACAAATAATTGAAGTGTAGGGCTAGCACCAGTTTCCAAGAGTCCTGTAATGATAATGATTATGCCTACATCAAAAGAGTAGATAAGAGAGATCGTATGTCAACAACAAGAAGTACACCGGGGCGCAAAAGTATTTGCTTCAAAAAATAGCCTCCAGGAAAGGCATTACTGTATCACCTTAAATAAGGGTTTGCCTCTGCAAACTTCGCTAGATTGGTTATGCGATTTCGCGAAATTACTGAAATTCATTGAGAGATTCCTTTCTCAACAATTTGTTAGTGTTAAAAAGGAAATAATTTTTAAAGTACATTAGCTGGCTCAGTCACAGAATTTCGGTTGCCATAGACTGAACCAAGCTTCTGGTCTTATGCCCTTTGCATGAAATGATGAGTGATCAGGGGGAGCATAGAATTTGATGACCTTGGTCATTGACGAGGGTGACGACGGTTTGAAGATGTCATCATCCTGTTTGGATATAACCAATACGCACTTGAGAAAGAGGCGTCATTCATTCGACTATAAGAGGAAGCGATAGATCGTTGTATTTTTTCAATCTTAACTTTATTACAATACCAGTTCCAAAGAAGATCAAATGGCTACTCAATGTAAAACTCCTGACGACTATTATTCTTGGCGCTGAAAACTTCGAGAAAAATTTCGACACCGAAAGGTCTTTTCGAAAAAGCTATAGCCTTCCATGTTTGAAACAGAGAGGCCCTTTAAATGTTGAACTTTTCACGCGTTATTTGAGATTACTTAGCAAAAAATCGAGCTTAGTGGCAAATTTGATTAGATTGAGATACAGCACTGAGTTGTAAAGAACTCAACTATCTACGCGTATTTATTTACGAATCTTTTACTAATATTTGTCACCAGGGGTAAGGGGCTAGTGACTAATTTTTATTACTTTTAGTGTAAAGCGAGGACCTGTGAATTCCTGGGTCCAGCTAGCGTTCTCTTCTTGTACACATCCCATCGCCGCGTTCAGCAATATAAAGACGAGACATCTCACTATTCTAACCCTCGCCCATCGCTTCATGTTCTTTGCGGACAGAGAGACGTGTCATCGCCCGAAGGGTTTCTCGCCGACATATAGCCACTTTTCTGCTGGGACGAGAGTGGTTTTCTGTAAGAGCAAGATACATTTACCCCTGACAATTCAAATAACTACAACACGGGCTCAAAAAGAGACAGAAGACAGAAGATATCTGCAGACACACGACTTAAGACTCATGCAAAATTAGTAGGCTTCAGCCTTTCTATGACAGAGCTTGAGTTTGAGCCCTAGTTTAATCTCACTGGCTCGACTTCGGTGTGCACGACCACCTTCTCCTCGACCACTTGATCTAATGATGTTGGATCTGAAGAGTAGATCTCCGTCTTCTTTGCTTGCCTTTTGTCCCACCAAAGACCAGCCTGGATTGCAGCAGTCACCAAGACTAAGGGTTCAAGTTAGCATATCTCCGGTTTGCTGTAAATCGTAGACTTGGCCGTACTGGAAAGGATTTGCAAAACAATACACCAGAGATACCCTTTTCGTGCAGCAGGGAAATCTGTAGTTTTCCAAACAAAATTCGGGGCCTGCCTCACATTTAGTTAAAACAATCAACTGCTAGGTTTCAAGACCTACCACAGCCTGCACAACATATGCAAGGTCGTTGGCCATGGCAACAACCAAAGCTCTCTTCTCTGTATCGGCCGAGCATATCTCATTGGTCCAACTGAGAATGAGGGGACCAGCTCCCAACTAAATGAAAATAAGTAAGGCAATCCATCTTGCCAATAGATAGATATGATAGCTCACTCCAATGTTACTGAGCCAATACACTGCCTTGCGACCGTCTATATTACTGTATAATGGCATTTGCAGCAAAAGAACACAAAATATAATCTGAGACAGATAGTCAGTGATTCAACTCAATATGGAAGGGTTGTCAAATATTACGGTAATGATGGCGCCTGCATAGACGAAGGGCCAACGTGCCCCCCGACAAGGGCCATCTGAGAGCCAGCCCCAGATGAAAGCGACAATAATGAAAATCCCAGTCGTGAGCAGAGGTACTAGTTGCAAGCATTAGCCAGAATTTTCATGACTGAAAATCGTGGCTAGACTTACAATTGTTGATCTGTGGGATCGAAAATGAGGTGCCTGGCAGCGGCGCGGGTTTCGAGTCGAAGCTCTTCAGCCAGTAGCCCATGCCAGGCTGTGGATAGCCATTGTTCCAGACAATGTACAGCAGGGCTATTGCGGTCTGTTAGATAAGGAATGGATCGCAGCTGGATGGTGACGGGAAGGGAAATATACGTAGAAGATATGTGTGCCAGCTGAAGAATATTCTTTTGGCCTTGGCCACTGTCCAAGACTCCGTCCCCGCCCGGCCAATTTCTTGCATTCGTTTGACGGAAAGCTTATGCTCTTTTTCAGTTATCCACCATGTTCTCTTGCCACTCTGCGGCAGGTCAGGGAAGAACAGATAGCCAGCCAATGCGAGCGGCAGTGTGATGATTCCGTCGATGATAAAGAGCCATCGCCAGCCCGCGCGGCCTTGCACACCATTCAGATTTGTGTAAGCCGCTGCCTGGAGGAAGCCACTGAAAAGTGTACCAATCGAGCCAGCAAGCCAGAAGATCATCGCCCGTTTGCCGATCTCTTGTGGTGTGTACCACGATCCAAGTAGGTAGTGGATGCCAGGATAAAAGCCAGATCTGAAACGACAAAATTCAGTTCTGCATATGATGACACAGGCTCTGAGCGTAAAAGCTTACTCGAAAAGCCCAACAAGGAAGCGAAGGGCATAAAGAGCCTGGTATGACTTGACACTCGACATGCACATGACAGCAATGCCCCAACCGACCTCGAGCTACATAGTTTGTCGGTATCAATCAGGATTAAAAGAAGATTGAAAATGGAGGCACTTACCGAGGGAATCACCCATCGAGGCGACAGCCGAGTCAACAGCAGATTTGAAGGGATCTGGCCAATAACATAACCGACCGTAAAGATGGAGGTGCTAGTTACCAGCTGATTGCCATACATCTCCAGGTCCTCCTCCATACCGCTTAGATAGGCATTGGTAATATTATAGAGGTCGAGGTTCTTGAGGAAGTAACCAATCTATATAGTCAGGTTTGCAGAGTCAGAATTTGCTTTAGCTTCGAGGATGATGATAAGATTTGACTTACCGACGCAAAAGTGAGCACAAAGGCATCCAACTTGAACAGCAACCAACGCTGATCTCTCGGCAATTCCCATGTGTCCCAAAGGTAGCCTTTCCATGTCTTAATAGGCTTTACGACGCCCTCTTCTCGAGAGCGACTAGTCTCTACGTCCTGACCCATGATAAATGCCTGTTTTGACGGTTGACAGCCAGATTTCAGAAAGTATTTCAATTATATTGGGGTGGTACGTAACGCATCACTCCATTGCTCTTAAGAATCACGTCACTCCTAGTCGACGTGCCTAACTCTAAGCAGGTGCATAGATAAGCTGTTTTTGAGGTCTCCGTCGGCGCATGGTCGTAAGCCACAGCTTGGTCATGAAGTCTAAAAAGAAATTTTTAGGAAATGCTACGCAGGCTACGTCGGATCTAAACTCCTGTTTATTCGTTTTACCTTTTCTTTCTTCTTTTCCTGCAATCCCCTAAAAATCGCACGACTTTCATCGGGAGGATGGTGTGTTGATGCAATGACGCAATAGTCTCCATGGATTACACCTCATGCAGAATACATCACTTGCTGCCGAAAGACACTGGTCCAGGCACTATATCTGAATCTAGTAAGCCTTAGGGCGCTCCATATAGGTGGTTCTTATGCATATGTAAAAATCAACCCTTTATACTACTTGGCTGATTGGCTATGCGGAGAATATATTGATGGGCGTCATGTATTTTTGGTACATATTTACACGTTCTTCCTAGCTTTGATTTAGTGGAAAGGCAGCCGGCTGCTCTTGGCTCCGATAGCCGTCGATTTCACGGGTCCTCACATTCCATATGTAAGTTTCGATATAAAGAGGCCGATATTCTGATGAGGCGGCAAAAACTTAGCACATTTTTCTCAGGCGCCAAAAGATCCAAATTTGAGACTAGGGATACAAGTTGCGAAATTATCTGAACTCTGTTGCACCATAATTTCCGACTTGTATCTCCTTATTTCCTCCCTAAACCTACACAGTATGCTGGATAAATAGTGCTTAGTGGACTTAATGTACGTGTGTGTGAAACCTCGAGGCCAGCTAGTAGGACCACCACACAACCATCATATGCGGACTGTGAGACTTAGTCTTCAGTACCAATTTTGACCAATTTTCTCTCACAATTTTGTTACATCTTTCCCTCAGTAATTATATCCATGACTTCTCCAAGAAATATCTGCTAATTTTACTGTCATTTAAACTACCTAAAAGGGCATATCACTAGACATGGTGGCTTGTAGTGTCCCCCATAATGAGTTTACAGACGAAAATATTCAAAGGATCAAGGGGTACCTGGGAAAACAAGAAGAGGGATAGCATGAAGCGGATGGATGTCATTATGCTATGGCGGAAATAAAAACTTCAAGCTAGCGTGGGAGAACATACCAAATCCAGACTCTGCCGCTTTTTGATGAGCACAGATAATGAGATCGATGATTGCATTCGATGGAGGATACTCCATACTACCATCACGGAGGTGTGCGAAGTCATGTCCGTGAAAAAGGTTGGCGATTCGAGCTTGCTATCGGAGGAAGAGCCATTAATAGCTCTAGGATACGAGATTGTGGAAGTACTTATAAAAGCTCTGCCATCTCTTTGTTTTGAAAACTTTGCTTCAGAGAGAATCAGGTCCAGGGTTCAATATGGGGCATTTTCTCGAGCTGCTCCAAAAGAGTACGGTTTCAGAATACATAGAATGAATATATCCCCAGGGGTGGTCCCATTTTTGAAGTCTGGCGATAAGATATCGGGCAGTTCAGTAACATCTGCTATTGCTTCCGGAGTCTCTTCATTGATTCACTCCTGCAAAGAGTTTGCGAACAAAGGCAAAGGTTTCAAGCCCGATACGCGGAAACGAGTAATTAAGGAACATTTTTTTAGAATGATGGGGCAGGACGAGAAGTACATCATGCTTGAGAAATTTGTTGGTCTAGATGTCCAAGCTAGGGACGGGGAGCCTGTTAATGCTAAAAGGATTATTCTAGAAGCATTTCGGGATCCGGAGCCACCTGAATGGATATGAGGTAGAAATGGGTAAAGAAACTACCGTCTGTATACTTTCGGGGCATCTCAATTGATATTCTGTTACCGTTGACTATAGCCGTATCGGTGTATAACGTATAAATATCTAGTCACAGCTTAGTCCATATACGAATCCACCTTTACTAATGCTCCCGCTCGAACAAAAGGCGTAGGACCGGTGATGCTAAGTTAGATCTTTGCTAGTCCTATGGAGCACAGTGCCCTTATGCATGCTTCACATAGATGATAACCTGTTTATGGCGGAACCCTAAGGAGAGATTGATTTTTCGAATTGATTGGATAATATAAACATCCCACCTCCAAACATGTATCTGGTCCGTGACAGATACTGATGCGTCCGAAAGAGCGCGTGCATCGGAAACGATATGAGTCTTCCGACTAACCCTTTTGTGTTACAGCCACATACATTTATCGCTCCTCTTCAAAGAGCCACTTGCTCTCTGTTGCAGATTTGCAAAAATCCCCTTTGTTTACTGCGGGGTTTTAGCGTTTGCCTTGCGTAAAGTGGAGTGCGCACCGCATAGTCGGTGACTAAACAGGTTGTTTCCATTGAGTTGGTATTATAATCATGTGGCTTGAAGAAAAATATTATATTTGCCCCATTAAATTCACCGGGATGAGTTAGACATACTTATATAAGAATGATTGAGCCACTTCTCATCAGTCTTGCCACCCACTCTCCTATTCTTTGGCCAGTCGACTCTTTTTTCGTCCCGTTTTCTGGGCAGGGAGCCATGAATGATATTTCAATTAAAATACTTCGTTGCATATACCTATTGAAAAGGGAGCTATAGCTCTTCAATACCCGCAGTCATGTAATAAATTATAAGGCAGTTCCCATTTTCAATGTGCCTGCTGATATCATCCTGATATCGTGGTTTCTTTCAAGAACCTCTAGTAGCGTCCTCCCATTTCCCCTTTCAATTTCTTTAGCTAATAATTATAGCACTTGATGAGAGAATTTTCGATTACTGGCTCCCCACATCAAACTTCCTGAGCAAAGCCAAGCAATTTCGAGAAAATAGAGGACGTCTTACCTTTCTTTTCCGATACTTATTTCCTCTCGAGTCAGATTTCACTCAATCTCCGTGAACTCCCTTCTATGACTGTCAAGAATCCTTCGATCTGATGACATGGGAAATTTCAGCTAGTAGCAAAAGGATAGTGGGGAGGTATGTGTATGTTCACGCCAACTATATGTATGCTTTGAAAGTCTAATAGATTATCATAGGAGGGGCGTGATCAAGGTCGATTTCAATATCAAAGTCAACGATCCTGTGAGCCAGTGGCATGGTGTGGTGATGCCGCATCTGCCAATCACGCCTGCCTTTCATGTCAACATCCTGATCACGCGCCCATGGATGAAAGAGGGCCAGCTATGGGCCGCTCTTGATAACGAGATTTCGCCCGTTCAGACTTCCGCCACCGATACGCTGGCCACTGTCCGTGATCATTTGCGAGATGCACCATCTCTGCCAGTTGCGGTCAAGAAGGTTCGATTAGATAAAAGTTTCCGTTAAGACCTCGCGGCCCTGTAAATCATGCAGGGTCGCAGTCCTCAGGATCCCAGTTAGTCTAGTATCTGACTTTGGCCCATCCTCTTCGAACACCCCTACGATCAGCTCGAACGGGTCGATTTATTTGGATTTCTTCCCGTCAACTATAACTGTGGTAGTCTATGGAATCGGCTTGGTCTGAATGCCGACCAGACTGCAGCTGTAAACGCACTGGCAGAGACAATATGAATTATGCTGATTCAGGGACCTGCTGATACTGAAAAGATGACACTTGCCTCCTTACTTTGCGTCTTTTTTGTCAATGACATAACCCATCGGTAGACATACTGCTTTAGGTCCTGTTTACCACCACTGCCAATGACAATATTGATACGATCACCCAGTCGGTTGACCGGGTTATTCGTGCTAAAGTAGTGACTGGGCAATTGGTGCAGAGAGAATTCGTTGTGGTGTGGGTTGACTCTCTTCCAATCGAATACGGCTATCTCCAGGAGCGTTGTCTTCAATAGCGTCTACGCTCTGGTAATGCGTGCCCACTGATGCTGGACGGACCCATTGACTCGCTGGTTGCCACCATGGTGGGAGTGCAGCAAGCCATCCTTATACAGTACTAAAAGCATACCCATCTTCGTATCAGGATAGGGATCAGTCTTTCTTCAAGATAGTCGAGGACGAGGTGGCAGGAAGTCCAACAACCGTCTCTCCGCCCGTTCATCTGAGTGGCGATCAAGCTGCCGACCTGGAAGCAGGGACAAACATTTGCTAACATGGATGCTGTCATGAATCACATCCAGCACCTACGACCAGTGGAGCGTCATATACAGCGAGCGACGACAAGACGATCAAAAAATACATGCGTACCGGAAACAAGGATACGAAAGATACTCCTGAGTTCGTCCGCATCATGATGTCAATCGAAAGCCCGACCCCCAAAGGCTTGACGGCATACAGAAAGAATAGACATATGATTCTAGCGATGTATGGCTGACGAAAAGCAGCGACGACTATGGTGGATGAAGACGCACCTGAGAATATGCAAGAAGTCGAGTAAAACTGCGATCGTCACAGACAAGCATTACAAATATTACAGCATCAACTAAAGGCAACCACCGACGAACTATTACGAGCGATACGACAGCTGATGTACGATTCAGAACCCGATGGATCTGAATAGTCGCATTCTAAAAGAGGATGAAAAGCTTGGGGGATCTTGTCGCTCCCGTGCCCAAGAGACGACAATTTTATCAATTTGTTTGAAGGCCACTCGTTTGGCTTCGCGGATTTCTCGGTGGCTCACCACCGCCCTCACCAGAGTCGACGTGATTATCTGGCCAAAGAGATCATGACTGTGGTCGGATCAATAAAGTAAGTTTTTCAGAGGGAAAACATTGGATTCCATAGCTAAATTCGAGGGCTAAAACCAGTTTAATACTGTTGTTACAAATGGGTAGGTAATACCTAGAAGCAATGCAGGCGTGCCGGATTGCAAGGAGCAAAAATGAAGATATGGTCAATACTATTCTTCTCTTTTTCCAGAGCCTATCAAAGTCTCCGTTGATAGAGGGTGTAACTACATCCCGCATCCTTCGTTTCACAATTGTTTCCCAAGGTAGAGTCTTCATTTTTCTTTAAGAAAGATCAACCCAGGGCACGCAAAAATTCCTTTTGGGTGAAAAGGCTTTTCAGACTTTCATACATTTGAATACAACGCTACTAGTCAGCGTAAATGCCTTCTCATTACACGATGCAAACCACATTCCTCCGAATCCGATAAAAAGGAAATGTCATCTAAGCTAAAGCGTCAAAAGGCTACGTCAGCAGCCTGGTAATGAGTTTGGCTTGAAGGTTATTTCGATTGTGGAAACCCCTTGTCCAGGAAACATTGACAAAACTCCTCACGGCTCTTGAGAAACACGTTTTGAAGATCATGCCGATAAATGCTGCGCTTAGTACACTGTTAAAGTCTCTGGCTGAGGTGGTCTCACATTTGAATACCGTCTGTGTGGTATTCGCCAGCGCGAAGAGATTTAGAAATTAGATGTCGTGATTGGGGTAATGTTAATCTTGATCGCTGGTGATATTAACATCTTGAAACCTAGTAGTAATAGCGCTGAAGAAGTCCCCCAAAACGCCACCCCACCAGTCGAAAATGTGTCCACTCTACTAGGTTGACGAGAGTTACCAAGAAATAGACAACATGGAATAAGCAATCATATATCTTTTGCAAGGCAAAGTCGCGGCATAGACTTTGAGATAGGTTGTGCCCAGAACAACTTGCCATATGCCAATTGTGAGGCTAACTTCGCGGGCGTTGAAAACCGGGCAACTGTACCGCTCCTATCTCAATCTGTTTCTAGCAAAGGCATTGAGCTTTGTGTGTCGGATAATATTCCAGGTTCAGATAAGGACCTTGTTGCATTCCAAAATGCGTGTGTTGTTGCGGCCAGGTCTCGTGTTCTGTGAAGTGGAATTCCTGGTTTTGAAGACGAGGATGAGCCATTATGCCATAAGTGATCGGTATAGAAAGTCTTATAATTAATATGCCGACTCCCGCAACATCCCACACTTGTTGTGCTCCCCCTTGACTCCTCGATGAGACATAGATTTTGAGATTGGTACTGTCCTATCTATACTCTTCGAACTTTTGAATGAGTTAAACCAATTCCGAATCACTACACATATTCCTACTGCACAACTTATCACAAAGTAAATCCAAGACCGTATCACTATCTGAGGAATTGATGCCAGAGATGCATTAGAGGAAGCTGAGATAGAATGGAGATCAGGGTCCAAGCAACGCAGACTTTGGGAAGCAGATTTCAATGGAAAAAAAATTAATTCAAAAGGGCCTTGGCTTGATAAGCTAAGAATAGAGGTCTATAACTCTGTTTCCTTCCTGGCTTTCAATTTGTTTGTCTCCTTGTTTAGAGCCAAAGAGGATTGTGACAATGCGCATCAGTTTGTCTAGTATTGCGCCTCTCGGTTCATGAAGGCGTATAACGAGTACGTTTCAACTGCCAGAGGTAAGCCAGATACATTTCTATCTATCATACTAGTTCCAGAAGGGGACCCATATAACATCAATGTGAGTCCACTGTATACATATATCAGCGAGGTTATGCGGGTTAGTGCCCTCAACTTACTAGTCAGTTCAATGAGTATCGCAAATATGCCACCAAGATCAATACTTCAGAGTTGAATTGCCCAAATGCCAATGAGATCTTATGAAATAAGATCTTACGGGCTGTTTGACATCTTCTTAACCATTTAGGTAAGGAACACAGACACTTAAACTCCAACAGCAACACAGAACCATTCGATATACATGCGTTCTTCACCAGTATTCATCAAGCACAAAAGCATACCGCATTTCTCCCATTGATTGTGAATGCCGACCAGACAATTTCATTCATACAACCACCTTTTACAGCCTTGCCCGTGACCGACTAGTTGCCTTTTATAACCTATGTCGTTGGGTTAGCGACCATCACAATATCAAAAATAGCCTTCGCCCAGGGGAAGAGTCGCCCGCCATTGTTGCTAGGTGTTGAATGGACAACCCGAGCACACTGACGCCGTCCCATGCATATACCACCAGCGATAAGAGGTTGCTTCAGATAGTGAGTTCCATGGATGGCTTTCTACCACTAAGAAATGTTCAAAAATCAGAGGATGAAAGGCGCCAAGGGCGTTCAATCTCCGTGGTAATAAGCTTTAGATTAGATTCATATTGGAGCACTGTATTCTATGTATAATAGAGTCATGACATTCTCTTAGCCTACTTCCACTTCAAAGTAAAACCCGGGTTGGCAGGATACTGATCCAAGTCTCTGTAAATGCATTCTTCCAGAGGGTCGAACTTTTCGTATAATTCATACGCAACTCTGTCCTCGCCATGCACAATTTCTACGAACGGCTCGGTGTCGATGCCAGCATTCAAACATTCGTTCAGTTTTCCTACGAGTCTCAACTTAATTCTGTTGTAATTTTTGACCTTCAGCTTGATGATAGCGTTCTATAAGCGCCGTGGTGAAGCAACAAAACATTCATTTTGAGAAGGATCAGGAAATAACTAATCTAATTGTTATTTCCGCTTAGACAGCATTTCGCCATGCAGCCTCAATCCAGATAAAAGCACGCTGACTCATTCACCGGAAGCTTTTATATTTCAGCCCATGAAGCAGATTGGGGAGACCCGATAACGACTGGAAAATTGAGCACCAACCAAAATTGGCAAGCCCAAATCACGAGAGAAACAGACAGGTACATTTACTAAGAGGGGCAAAAAACAGTTTGCGGAGGAGTTAGAGTAAGAACGCTAGCTTGGAACGGAGGAGTCGTCTGACTCTTTCTATATTGAGGGCAACGAGGAGGCAGGTCGTACAACCAACACCATCGAAAAAATGGGACCTGGAAGTAAACCGTTTAAAAGCAGTTCCTTATGCTCAAAACCCTATGGCAAAAGCCCATCAATGGTGTGAAATTTCAACCACCTAGCCAGGCTAAGAGGACATTGACCCGACATTTGGTATTATTCAAAAACCAAGGAGAGTCCTTCACATGTATAACTAGTTATATGATGTCCATTGGATCACAGCTGCGTTAGATAATCTTCAATATTGACCGAAGGCATATTCATAATAATTCATTTGATAGAACTGATCTGCAACACAAATGATAGTCAATACGGCAAATACGGCAAGTAATAGTACTAAACTATAATAAAATCAAGCCAATATTGAAACAGCCATTTTCATAACGATCGACAGCGGACGGGCCAAGAGTCTCACGACAGGCGCCACTTCGGCTGCCCGATCACACGGCAGTCGCTAGCCATTATCTACCAAGGGTCAATGTCATTATTCAAATTGGAGAAAGGGATGCTATGTTGTACAGAGAATCAGTATTATGTTGGCTGATGAGCCATCGGATAGTGGCTGCGCGGTGGCTGTGCAAGCGGCCTTATTGGCTGCGACCATTGGCGCTCCACCCTAGCCGCTCGGCCTCATCAGCTCCCCATAATTTCTCCATATTACACACTCCTCCTCTCTCTGTCTGTCTCTATGGAGATGAGTATCAGCAAAACACGCCAATATCAATGTTCATGCATCCATTCTGAGCGCATCAAATTGCGTGAGACAAGACCCCGATTAGCAATTAATCGGGTTCGCACAAACTCCGGGAAAAGGCCAGAGGTGGCAAATAAGTCCCCGCTTGTGAGACGTGAATGATGTCGTTGACTACTTGTACACGTCGTCTCTGGGCCTCCACCAACGGCAGTGCGAGACGGGAGTCTGAATTTCGGCAACGATGTGTCAGGGCTGACTGCGTGTTCTAGACGACGCCATCCATCCGTGACCATATTGCTGGTTTCAGAATTTCAGTCGTATGTCGTGTCGTATTAATATTGCGGTTTCAGCCAAACAGCCTCGCACAGCGGCGACGTGAATGCATATTGATTGTTATCACAATCACTAGTGAGGCTGCAAGGTCGGTCGGTGTCTTGTCAATCTGTCCATTATTCGGAGCTGGGCGACTCTTTCGTGCCCTGCGATGCGATAGTTGTCATTTTTGCTCAGTACGGGCGATGGGCTGAAAAAGGGCCGGAAGATTGACTTGCATGCTAGTGTGTTGGATGACCTGCTTCGTTGACAACAAGACATGCAGGCATCATGACTAGAAGTCTGGTAGAAGTCGCGATAGGCGACGTGAGTGGTTGTCCTGGGGACGCCGGCAGGGCTGCTAGTTGCGACTAAGTGGAAGGGGCTGCCTGCGGATGAATGAATGCATCGAGTAAGGAGATAAGCCTGTGCGCCCGTGATTGGCTGCTGGCCCCCCGGACTCTCGGGCCATCTTGGCGTCTGCTGGACTGCAGTAGTATTTATTTCGTTATTTAGTATGTGCAGTGACCTACTTATACGAGTGGCACACACGTAGTCGACTGCTAATGTCTTGAACAGTAACAGGACGAATTTTCTTTTTCTCGAGTGTAGAACGTTTAGCCGACAGGGCGTCGCAACAATTGTCTGGGCAGCCAATCGGCCAGCCCTGCTGATTCTTTCTATGGTTCATGACGCGCACTCTGCCGTAAGCATCTATTACTCTGGTCATCGACCAGGTCCATTCACTCAGTGTACGAATATGAAAAATGTGGGCAGCACCATGGATATTAATTAGCGATCATCATCGATTACGATTCAACGAAGTGTAAAGTGTAAAGTGGTTGAGAGCCAATGTGGCAGATTGTCAAGGTGTCATTGACAATATGAATTGAACACGCACGGTACCTCCAGCTGTGCGTACCGTAGTATCGCACAATATGTATCCTGTATGCGACGGTCTCACCGGGCTGGCCCGGGCGCGAGTGGCTGATAACTCTAATATGGCAAACGAACTGCCCATTGCCAGCTCCTACAATAATTAAGTACACACCCGGCAATAAGTGAATGTCCCCGTCGCCCAGGCTCCAATGACTAGGCTGTCCCTGGTTCTTCAATGCGCTCCCGCCATGCCACCACAAGGATAATCCATTGTCTATAATAATATAACAGTATAATATCAACAGCTGTAGTAAGACACGCCTTACCCGGAATGTATTGGCGGATGCGCCGGCGGGTCCGTAGGGTCCCACTTCTGCGGCACCCTAAGCCAACCAGCGGCCGCATGTCCCTGGTCCCCCACTGGCCACGCCCTGATTGGCCCAGCTGGGCGACGCTGCCTGGTTCCTGCCCCAAAACAATCTCGCTCCGGACTCCCTTCATTTTTCCGCCTTCCGCTCCCTGCGATCGATCCCTTCACACCTCTCTCCACCCTCGCTGGCTCTTCTTCCCTTGCCCATCTCCAACCTATCCTGTGAAAGGGTTGTTCCTCCGTTTTGCTTCCTCGTCTTGCTTTCCTTTTCTTTTATTTCTATTCCTATTGCATTTCTATTGCCTACTCCTTGACGGAAGAAATTACCTCCCCCTAATCGGCACTCCACTCCGTTTGGCCCAGTCCTTGTGGCCGTCCGTTCCTTACAGACCAGAGAAAGACCCTTCCATTTTTCACGACTACCCATTGAAAAGCGCCATCTTCGCCTATTGCTGCTCTTTGCGAACTGATCCGTCTTCGCACGCTTTCTTCTCATTGCATTCGACACTCGTGACTGGCTCCGTGTCCCGTGCGACCTCCCGATCTTATGCTGTCTTCGCGGCCATAACGGCCTCCAGCTCAGGTTAGACTTTCGCCCACGGCAATCTAGAAAGTCTCTCGGCAGCCTGGAGGCCTATACTACGACGGTGGCAGGTGAGGTTGTGCAAAGGAAAAACGAGAAGAACAGAAGATTGCGATAGACGGGTTTGAAGCCTTTTCATCATGATGGCGTCAACAGCGACAACTCTACAACAATCCCAGTCGGGTTATTCACAAGATCCACCTCTAGGGACTATGGATTTCCATCCAGACGACTCCCACGAGTCTGTAAGCCATATTCGGCCACCAAATCCCCCCTTCGTATTCCCACGAAGGCCCTCCGACGCCAGTAGCGACTATATGCCGCCGCCCTTACCAACCTTCTCCTTTAACCCGGGAAATCTTCATGCCCCAACGCCATCTACATCTGCAATCACGGTTCCACGACCGGGCGGCCATCGTCGACGACCGAGTGAACTAATTGGAGGTGATGGACCCCCAAGCCCTCGGATGTTGAGTTCCAGTCCCGGAAAACAAGATTTAGATATAACTGGCGTACCACTTCCTGCTCCAGGACCCCCAGCTCATGGCCCAAGTCGTCGCGGACATGCTCATCGTCGTTCTCAGGCCATGTCAAGCATGGATCTGACGGCAATGACCAAGGCTGTGCCTCCTACACTAACCGTCGGCAGCGCTCCTACGACTCCGGCTGATGCAAAGCACGAATTTCAAGACAAGATTATTCAACCGATGTCTCGCTCCGCTATTAGTTTACTTCACCACCCCACACCTCCAGATTCACCCGCCGGACAACCGATCGAAAACACTCACCCTGACTTTGGAAATACTCTTCACCCAGAGCCGCGACCACGGCCTGTTTCAATGATTTCCAATGAGACTTCCAGCAGTCTTTCGACTGTCCGCCCTGGCCATTCTCGTGCTAATAGTGTGAACCCTCCTGGTCCTAAAGTTGAAAGTTCGTCTCAGCCTCCAAAGATTCGTCCGAAAACCGCCGATGCAGCCTCATTAATGGTGCTGCGACCGACCGATCACATTCCGCTTCCGGATTTGCCTCTGTTTAGGAGGTCATCTGTGGGAAATAGACTTACAGAGCCCTTCCGCCTCTCGTCAGAGGCTGACGAGGCCCCGCAAAAGAAACGCAGCAAGAAGCAAGCCAAGAAAAAGAAACCTTCCGAGCAATATAGTAAACACGAATCTACCAATAAGATGTCTCTCGAAGGAGCTGTGGACATGGCGCGAGATTTATCCAGTGACAAGTGGGAGTCAGCGTCCAGCACTCGGTCAGGCGGCGAAGACTGCGGTCGCAAAGTGCGCAAGACTGCCAAGCGGGATAAAAAAGTGCGTTCGTGGGCCGGTGCGATATTTCCATTAAAGAGCAGGCGCCACCATGTAAAGAAGGTTTCAAGACGGACCCCAACACCACCGCCGATTCTTACTCGTACAAATTCCGTTCAGGGGTCTATTGAGGTTGACTTCGATACCGACAACACGGTTATCATTCGCACGCCTACCAACCCCAATGCGCCAACTTCTACTATCAAGGAGCCGCCGCCACCAGCCGATGTCGCTTTTGAGAGTTCTTGGAAACCGCGCAGCTTTTACGAACAGAATATAGATAACGACGTCTTCAGCCCAGTCATCGATCTCGATGCCGCCCTGGGTCCTTTCAATACGCCAGAAATGAGCTCTGGTCGAGTCGCTGGTAGCGCTTTCTCGCAGGCCACGAAGCGAATGTACAGCGGCGGTCGACGAGGTGAATTTGTCGGTCCTGAGATGCGATATCATCGCCGTGCCGAAAGCGCCCCGGAAATGCCTCCTATTGACCGCAGCTCCCTTGGGTTTCCCAGGTTAGGCAGTAACTCGACAATGGCTCACGCGGACGTCTTTTACGAAGAAGAGGAAGATGCTTTCCTAGCAGAAAACCATTTGGCAAGCGACGAGTCTAATTCAGTATCAGACGATGACTCAATATCGAGCGTGATTGAATCTGAAGTAGAACCTTCAAGCAGCGACACATTACGTGGTATTCAAGAGAATACAATCCCTCCGGCGGACGATGGACTCGGAATTCATGTAGCTCAACATACTATGGCCGAGGAAAATGTGGAGGATGGACCAGGGGATGCCATTGATTCCGACGAGTGCATCGGTACATCCTCGTATCACCGTGAAATGACAAGTCAGAAGTCAGTCGAGATTTTTGAACCAGAGCAGTGGGCGGCTCCTCGAGTTCCATATGCTACCAGTCCAGATGTATCTCCACATATGTTGCCCATGGAGAAAAGACCATACTCTTCGCCACTTGACTTCAGCAGCAGTCTTCCGCAATTATCCTTGCCTTCTCGACAACCGTCTAGTTCTGCCTTCCCTTCGCCCGATCCGTCGAACATGTCATTTGATGGCCCTCATTCTGCGACCGCATCGTCAATGACAGATCAGACTACATTCAACCACCCTTTTCAGGACCAAATGCAGTATTCGGCTGAAGATATTCCATCTTTGACTAGCAGTGCTTCTACCAAGACCAATTCTCGGGGACGATTTTCTGCCAATTTCTACACACGAACTTCCGGCGAACGACCGGTCTCATTCTCTAGCCAATTACCTCCTCGGACAAGTAACTCTACATCGGCGAAGCGAGCCAGTCTTGTTAGCCTTTCCAGGCTCATGAGTGGAACGTATGGCGAAAAGAGTAAACTATGTCATGAAGAGAAGCCACCCGCGGACGAGGCTGAGAATAGCCGCAAGAAAAACCACCGCATGAGTCGTCGTTTAATGTTCTGGAAGTCAAAAGACAAGCAAAAAGCGGGTGATTAATTTTGCTGCTGCTTGACTTGTGACTTGTCTGGTTGATTAAATGTTTTGGGATTATGGTTTGTACAGGCGCATTGAGGCTACGACATGTCCACGCTAATGGCCCGGGTAATAACGGCGTACCTTTTATCTTTCTTGTCAATACTTATGTGTTTATGCCGGTGCTGAGTTCAGGTGTACAGAAGTCCTGAACGTTTTCTATCAAATTTTGCGCATCTTTGAGTCATTTTTTACTAGCATATCATCCTATCATCCTCCATTATTATCGACCAATCTTTAACTTTCTTTCATTTGGGCTATTTGTTCAGTCATGTGCCAATGAGCCATTTTCGCCATACATTTCGGCATTTCAATCTCTTCTTTCTCCTTGTCTGTCCTGGGTTGGAGACTTATGATATCATTTTCACGAACAGCAATCATCATTGCCTTCATTCTTTTCCTTCACTACGGGGCATCTCCTTGCTTTTCATTTTGGAGGCGATACTTTTTTTCTTCTTCAGAGGGCGATATACCCTGATGTTACATACCGCGTGTATGAATTAGTGTCGGCGACAAAACCGATTTCAATTCATAGTATTTAGTATTCAATGTATTGAACGACTACTCATTTCTCTATGAATATTCATTTATGTAACACTTAGCTGGCATTGTAACCGAACAACAAAATTATCCTAATCATAGTAAAGTATTAATCGATGGTTGGGCGCCGCCCTTAGAACTCACTTCTTCAGGCTCACTTCTCCCTAATTGATTCCATCGCCTCACGAACCTCAGGGAAATCCAACTCGTTCACCGTCTCATTCCATAGGCGATCCATGAATTGCTTGCCCTGTTCAGTATACATGAAAGCATGAAATCTGTCCGCGTCAGCATGAATAGCCATTAAACTCTCCGAATCCATAATAAATGAAAATATACAAACATACGGATTAATTTCCCAATCACTCAAAAAGCTCCCATGGCTTTCCTTCCCCCTAGCCACCGCCGCATCTACATATCTCCACCCAGCCGAGTTCGTCGACGTTCCCAGCAGCATTGCAAGCGGGTATGCAAATATTTTGATCAGCAAAGGAAGATTGTGAAAGAAACTCGTGCCTGGAGTGAACGACGGATCAACGATATTAATCACTGTCTCGTCGGGCTTTATCATCTTGCTTAGTGTATACCCAAGCATCAACACCATTGATTTGGAAAGGTCGTATCGCTTCTTTGCTGCTGACATGTTCCATCTCTCACCTTGTTTGTCAAAGGGAGGGTGTAAGGGCGTTCCGTTGCCTTCGGAGAATTCAGCTATTAGAGCTGCACCAGAAGCAACTAGTGTCAGTCGCCCTGGTGTATTGGCGCCAGATGGCTTTTCCCTCTTCAATGTCGGAAGGAGGAGTATGGCCAGTAGTGCTGTGGACAAGTAATTAACCTGCAGCATCTCCTCACGTCCCGTAACCGGACTAGTTTTGTATCCCACATTCATAATGCCCGCGCTCAGTATAGCGATATCTAGACGCGGCAGCGCGGCGCATTTGCGCGCAAATTCTCGGATTGAATCATAAGAATTGAGGTCAAGCTGCCATACATCAATCTTGGCCTTTGGGTATTGCTTTTGCAGTGCTGCCGCTGCTTCTTGGCCCTTTGATGGCGATCGGGCGGCGAGGATTAGCTGAGACAGGCCGAGAGAGAGCAGGAGTCGGCCGGATTCCAGCCCAATCCCAGCGTTTCCGCCGGTTATCACGCCAGTTTGGTGCGCTACCGAGATGGAGCCGGGTTTTAGATACGCTGGTTTGGGGTTTGGGTGGAGTTGGTGTTTAGTGAAAATTTTGAGAAAGGTGTCGTGGCGGGGGGGTAGGGAGATGGAGCTTTGGGGAGATGACATTGTAACTGAGGGGAGTTATTGCGGTTGTGGTTGAATTCTGTAAATTTTGATCAAGGGTATGCTCCTTTTTATATATTCTATATACCATAATATATTAGACATATTGCTGTTGTTGAGGTTTGTAATAAAGGGATTATGTCTGCTGTCCCGATTAGGAAAACAATCTGGTCGTGCTATCCGTTTAGGGCTGGCGCCGGTCAGTAGTGATCTTTTAGCGCCGTCCTATTGCTCAGCCGCGTATATATCAATCCGTCGTCGCATACTCTCGATTCTAATCTTCACACTTGGCCACATTGACTTCCTAAAAGAGCAGCCATGATGCCACAGCAGCAGCTTGCCTTTGTACTGACCGACAGCTCCGCTAAGGTCCTGTCCTCCGAGCGGCAGCTGATACGGCGTCACTGCATGCGACTGAAAAACAAGCAGCCGGGTTCCCGTCGTTCGAAGCGTGAAGCTGCTAGAGCAACGGATAGATATTATTCACCGAAAGCCGAGAGGCAGGATCAAGTGTTGTCCCGGGGAGAAAAGAGAAGACAAGCCTCCAATGAACATAACGCTCTGCCACCGCCGTCGCCATCAGACTGGGCGCTTTTTCAGTTTCAAGAGGAACTTGATGCTTCCTCTCAGAAGATGATGCATCAATGTAGGTGACTTTCTAGAAAAACATATGACAAGGCCACTAATAAAAGGAGTAGACTTCATCTGTAATCCGATCAGAGACCCTTTATGTCCCTTCAAGCTCTTCGGCATCCAGATTGACTTTGACCAAGACCCATTCTGGTGTTTCCAAATGCTAGTTTCTGAAAAGCTGTGTTTCCATGCCCTCTTACTATTAGCCTCTGCATCGAACGACTTGATCCTCCGGCGGTCATTATCAAAAACCACATATCGACATCTCCAAAACACTTTGCCCATTCTCAACAATCGACTGTCTGATACGAATGCGCATCAATATGACATGATCCTCTACGTTGTTGGCATTCTAGCCTCTATCGCCATTGTCTTCGGCGACCACAATGCCGCCCAGATGCATGCTGCGGGTATATCAGAGATTCTGCGTCTTCGTGGTGGTGTCGCTGCCGGTACGCGTAATTCCATGATACATCTTTCGATAGATCGGTATGAATTACTTTCTCAATTGCTTGGCATTTACTGATCTAGTAAAAGTCTTAATTTCTCAAGTATGCTTGTCACCAAACTCTGGACTCCCATCTACAACGGCTCCGTGTGGAAAGACCCAGTTATGCCCGTTGGGGTTACGAAGCTATATTATTCACGAAACATGGTATGCGTCGACGGGCTGGTCGACTCAAATTTGGCGGTTGTATTCCACACTCTTCAACATACCGCGATACTGCTCAACAAGCATTATCATAACCAGACTGCGGTTAACGGGGTCTTTTTGCAGGAGTCTCTCAGCTTTGTGCATTCAAGTCTCATAGAACTCGACGGCCAGCTGACAGATGTTCTATCTGAGTGTATCCGTCTTGGTATGATGGCTCTTTTTGCAGCAACGTTTCGGCTTCCTGGGTTGTACGAGCATCCTTGCTGCAAAGCTCTAGCCAATGAGCTCCACCTTTCATACGCTGCGGCCCGCGGGTCGACTTCAGATGTTCCGGAAACTATAGATATCTGGTTGATGTTAGTGTCTCTAATTTCTGTTGATAATATGGATAGTCTGTATGTATGGGAAAGTTGGAAAGTATTAGCGACGCGTGGACTGTCGTGGGATGGGATACGCGGGCATTTGCAGCGAGTTATGTGGATTGACGCTTTTCATGATGACCTTGGTAGAAGAGCAGTTGACAGATTTAGAAAGTACTTAGAGATTTCTAATGTATCTGATAACTGCTGCCTGCTATGAGTCTATGAGTTCATGAGTTAGTTGACATTTGTAGTCGCAGTATCACCATGACGCGCGTAGACAGGAAGATTTTACAGCACTTCAGTCCCCTCAAAATTGTTCATTAATATTAACTATTTTCAATAAAACAATTTTTTTCAAAGCTATTCAGATATTTTCGAAATGTCAACAATGTCCCCCACAATCTCCAAATGCAATCGAAAGGTCCGTAACTCTATCAAAAAGGCACTATTGATATAACTAATGGTATCAATTATAGATTTCAAAACTCACGAGGCTTCCAGATGTCTCTGACTTGACTATCATTTGCGAAAACGTTAAATTCGACGTACATAGCGCCCTTGTGTATTCTCAATGCGCGGTTCTTAAAACCGCCTGCACCGGAAATTTCAAAGTAGCTTAATACGAAACTTATGCGTGGTACCAGTTGAAACGAATGCTAACATGTTTATAGGAAGCGCAGTCACGAATTTATGAAATGAAAGATGAATCCGAAATTATTGTTGGGAAAATGATCGATTTCTTTTATAAGGCAGACTATGACGAAACCTCGGGTGATTCTAAAAACGATATGTCTGCCCTGCAGCTCCATGCAAGGGTATTTGCTCTTGCTGATAAATATCGTGTGAACGATCTAAAAACTCTTTCTGCGTCCAAGTATGAGGCGAATCTGCGAGATTTTAAACCGGCGGAGTTTCTGGGTTCTATTCCAGATGTGTATAACTTGACGCCGGAGGCAGTTCGGACTCTCAGAGATATCGCGAAGAGAACTGCTCGAGAGAAGCTTCTAGAGTGTATTATCTCTGATAGAGAAGCTCGGAAAACTTATGACAAAATGAAGGAATACATTTTGGGCTTTATTCTGGATATTGTTGACTCCTATATCGAGCAGCCACCCGTCAGATGCAGAAATCGTTTTTTAGGAGCATAGAACATAAGCTGTCCTTACTGTGGATCCGTGACGTGCTTCCAACCTTAGGGGTCTAATTTTGAGAAAGAAACCTTACACGGCCTCGTGGATTGACTTCTTTGGTCGTCACAATGTTACATGAAACTAGTTTTGATGACCTATCGTTCCATAAGTAATTTGATCGCGTCTAGTTTTTGAACGAAAGTTTAAGTCATTTAAACTCGCTTTTTCTGGAATTTTGTATGCAAATATGGTTTTTCAATACGCTATAAACGTCAAACAATGAAGTAATTCGGTGATGGATTAGGGTTGAAAAATTGTCGGGCAGGCTGCATGTGACCATGGCTGCCTAGACCACATTTTCTCCTACTCTTCATTCCTTCCTCTTCTTTCATCCAGCTCCTACTGCAGCTGCTCATTTGATTCAACCCTTGACTTCATAGTGTTGTTTAGCCAAAGGAGAATTCCATAACCATTCTGCCAAGACTGAATAGCTTGTCAGTTCCTCAAGAAAATGGGGTAAGGCTGTCGAAAAAAGACCCCCTCCATCTCCACGCTATGAATTATTCCAATAAATTTCATTCATAAAATCATCTTTTCTATGAGATCATTTTTGCAGTGCCTTAAGCACACGCCGATGAGAAGTCAGGGGTATCCTCTCAGACAGATGCTAACAAAACCGGCTCTCTAGTTACACACACTACTACTCTGTTCGTGACAGGGGCTCGACTGAGTGGCAACAGGCCTGGCCTGCACTCATCGCAGACGCCTTGACAGTTGTCGAAGCCACCAGGGGATATGTGGACCTTTCCGGCCCCGCAGAGGATCTTGAGGACTATTCGCAACCACCTTCCATCAATGTGCGAACGGGGATTCACCTTAACGGTGTCGGATCCAATTCACACGAGGATTTTATCCTTCAAAAAAACGGCCAGTGGCGGTTTTGCAAAACGCGCCGGAAATCATATGACGTGGTGGTGACATGCATCTTGCTACGGGCGTTCATGCTTGCTCCTGGCCAGTTTCACGTCAGGTAGGTCTGACTACACAAATTTAATGAGTGAAGAGGAATAAGAAAGAAAATAGACTAATACCATTCAGTTCTGATGGCTCTTGGGCTGAGTGGATGGAAGCACGCGATTTGTACGATGAACTCTGGCCGGATGAAGATGTTCGGTGCCCATGGGGAGAAGGGGAAGAGGAGTCAGACTCCGAAGAGACGGGGAGTATTAATGGCGGTTCGTAAGGATCCTGGTGGTCTGGCGGTTGTCTTTAAAATCGCTGGAGAGCAAGCTCATTCTCTACGAGCAAGGGTAATGAAGGGAATGCGTGGGAAATATAAAAATTATTTTAATTTGACTAGGTCTGAGGTCTTGCTCGCTGAGACGAATATTCATAAAATTCAACCAAATAACCGAAATGTTTGTTATCACATAGAGTAGGAAATCCTTCTAGGGTTCACTATGATGTACGAAACGAATGGATAAACGGATTAATCATACGACTATTTTACTCAGTCGTCGTCTTCAGTTTCCCATGAATCATCATTTGCAGCATTCGGACCACCACGTACGAAGCCGTGTGGAAAGTTAGGGTCCTGCAAAGCCGCCCGCATTATCAATTCCTCCAAGGCCGGTGGAATTTCTCCCGAAAACCCTTCATCCTCCAAATCTTCATCGTCGATGCCGTAATCGTCATTGTCAGGCATGTTGTACGGCACGATTTGGAAATCTACCGTGGTATCTTTGAACAGATCTCTAAGGCCAAGGAAGCATTCTTCGGGGGTTTTTCCCGGTGGGATTCGTTGCCCAGGAAGTTTAATGGGCCGGGTGATATCTAGTGCGAGTACCTTGAAGCTGATAAAATTCGGGTAAAGGCCATTTTTACAGTCTGCAGCAATATTTTGGATCATTCCCAGAATAGACGAGTTGCAATCGGTTATATGGAGTGTTTTGAGCGAGCGTGGAAATTGAGGGTGCGGTGGAAGGTCTGCATGTGGGATGTAGATGGTTTCGAGCACGGAGAAGTCGCGGAGCGAGCCGATCTTAGTACGGCTCGAAAGGTATCCTTGGTATCCTTCAATATCCTCAATTATCCATGGATCCCGTGCAAATCCGAGGTAGAAAAGCTTGAGAGTATCTTTATGCAGGAGGGCGCCTTGGCGGGCATTTTCAGCGTTGAGCTCGCGACCAACTTTAAGGGGTCTCAGCTGTTGGTCTTCTAGGTCCAGGCTAAAGCTTTCATAGGTAAAATGAGTCAGTTTTTTACAAGCCTTCATGAATTTTTGAATAGCTCCACTATCAATATGACATTGATAAAAGGACACTTGCTCCGCTGTCAATTTTCTAGTCTTCCACGTAGATGGATACGATGGAAGATCGAGATCGCCGTACGTAAAAGTCAGAGTTGAAAGGTTTGGACAGGTAACGAAATTCTGATAAGACGCAATGTTGAAGCCGACAAGGTCAGGGTCACCATTGATCCAAAGATGCTCTAGGTTGGACAGAAATGAGGGATATCGATTGAAGAGTTGAGCGAAGGGAATTGTGGAGATTTGGCCTCCTGGCAGAAACAGCCAACGAAGCTTTGGTGTCTTAATAATCAGCAATGCTAGAAAAACGCTGAGATCGGATTTCTCCATGGCCGCAATCCACGTTTTCTTAAGAGGTTCGGTAAATCGAAGGTCCTTGATTTCACCTTTGAAAAGCACGGAGTCCTCTACGCCGAGATCGCTATGAGCCCCTAGGGTAAATGGGACTGTGATGTCGATAGACATCACATGCTGTCCAAGGTCTGGACGACGTTAGATAGATCTAGTAAAAGAGATGGTCTTGCTTATATCTTCAGTCCAGCCATCTTCCTCGAAATCGTGGAAGAGAACAGGTTGGGCTAGATCGCGGAACAACCGCGAAACTAGGCAGAGGTTGAGTAGAGTAACATTAACATCGTCATTTTCATCGTCGTGCCTGTCGCCTCTCTTCAATTCCTCCGCAGTGACTCCTTTGGGTTTCTCACCTTCATCCGCACCCTCTGGTAACTTTTCGAAGGATTCATATTTAGGGTAGAAAATAAAAGACAAAATATGGTTCAGTATCTCAATTGGGAGGTCCTGGATATGCACCATGATCAAGAATGCCAAATACCCAAGGCGTAGGGTTGATGTTTGCTATTAGATGATGCCAGCAAATGAGCCCCCTGAACGGCCCGTCGGACGCGTAAATGAGTAGAGCGGACGGTGCCCTGAAAAGGAGGTTAGGGCTAATAGAGTAGGGCTTTGATTCTCGTGACGCCGTGGCTTTACATGCAATTAGGAAAGACTCGACCTCTGAACCGTAATAGATTTACAGATTTACATATCCATGGGTATGGGTATTGTTGACTGCAAATCAAGCACTAAATCAATTAAACCTCTACTTCACACATAATAGCCATCTTTCTAAAAATTGTAACATGGTTTAGTCCGCGACCACTCATTGGCCGACTGGCGCCCCACTACGCATCTATCACCGGTGCAGATACCAGATGCGATAGCTTGTCACCTCATCAACACCTACTGCCTATATATTTAAGCGACTTATACATCCCTCACAGAGAAAAGGAGAATGGGCCCTAAAAAGAACCCTCCAGGCAAACCCAGCCACTCCAAAGGGAAAAACTCCGAATCAAAAAAACTCCCCAAAACCGGCCCGTCTACATCTCGCCGAGCAGAGAACAGCGAAGATAGAGAAATCAATTTATCGGCAGCGGTATCCTCAATACCGCTCTCACTACAGCAATTACTATTAAACATATTCAAACCCGCGCTTCTATCGCCATCTTCATCGCCATTGTTGCATGCACACGATGATCAAAAGACAGATCCGGAAACGAAAGACGATCTGCACACCCAGATTCAGACCCTGAAAGCGCATCTTTATAATAGGGATTTTGTCTCTGCATTTGCAGATGCAAGTCCAGAGCTTCTTCGAGCTTATGCGTTGCGATGGTCCGCGTCTAGATGTTTGGCATATGTCGGTGTGTTTAAAGCTGTGGTGGAGACTCTTTTGAACGGCCCGAAATTCAAGGGAAAGGATGACGGTGGTGGTACTTTGCAGGCCCTGTGTATAGGTGGCGGTGCCGGTGCTGAAATCATTGCGCTGGCTGGTGTCTGGCGGGCTTTGCTAGATGAATACCAGACCCTTGAAATTAAAGAAAAGGAGGAATCCGGTGATGTCGATATTGGGAAATTATCTCTGGAAGATAATAACACAACAGCCAACAAACCATCACGCTCCTTGCCCCAGCTTTCCATCACTGCAGTCGACATTGCTGAATGGTCGAATGTGGTTGACCGCCTCAGCAAGAATATACACTCTACAGCTGTCCCGGGGTCAAAATCATGTCACTCGCCGCTTCTTCGAGACGAGTCGTCCATCAAAATCGCATTCCATCAGCTCGATGTGCTTTCTCTTTCCGAGACTGAACTCTCATATCTAATATCGCCTCAGAACAGTACCCACAGCACGAAACTGATTTCACTAATGTTCACACTCAATGAACTCTTCTCTACGTCCATGCCAAAGACAACACAATTATTGCTGCGTCTCACAGATATGACTGAGCCAGGAACGATATTATTGATTGTCGACAGTCCTGGGAGTTACTCTACGCTGTCTTTAGGCGGAACCACGGATAGCCCGTCTGAGACCAAACAGAGACAATATCCCATGAAATTCTTACTTGAGCATACTCTCCTCGCGGTTACAGAAGGAAAGTGGGAGAAGATTCTCTCGCAAGATTCTAGATGGTTCCGCAGAGATGCGAGCAAACTAGCGTATAGCGTGAATCTCGAAGGCGGCGAGGGTTTGGTCAAGCTAGAGGATATGAGGTATCAAATCCATGTTTATCGACGGATATAAAAGTTGCTGCGGAAAAGTGAAGATGTCCTATTGCTACATAATGGTGATGAAATGATATGACGAGTGAAGACTAGTACAGACAAGTTCATTATACGATAAGCCCCGTATGTTGTTTTTTATTAACTCCTCAAGCCCAAGAGCAAACTTGTGCTTTTACCACCCTCCTTTCCTTCACCACCTGGAAGATAAGTGACGTTGGGGTTACTGGCCAAGGTCGCGGCAATGTCCTTGGTAGCGTCAATACGACGGATTTCAATCAAACCAGTACCAGCCTTCTGGACCGCTTTGCTGATGATTTCGGCACTCTCGGCTTCACCCTCGGCGCGGATAACGCTGGCCTGACGCTCTTGTTCAGCGCGTTCAACGATGAACCGGGCTCGCTCGGCGTCTTGTTGAGCAATCTGTTTCTGTTCGACAGCTCGCGTGAATTCTTTTCCAAAAGTCATGTGTGTGATGGATACGTCTTCAAGGGCAATATTGAACTGCTCGGCGCGGCGCATCAAATCAGTGCGGATTCGGTTGGAAACAGCTTCTCTTTGGGTAATCAGCTCGGCGGCGTCGAATTGGGCGACGATGGCTTTGAGGACTTCGTTGCCGATGGAGGGGAGAACACGCTCGTCGTAATCGGTACCATATGACTAGATTTACTCGTCAGAAAATTATCGCCAGACGCCACGGGTCCATGACTTGACATACCTGGTAGATCTTCGGGAGGTTTGGCACCTCCGGACGATGCAGCACACGCAGGGTCAAGCTGACCATCTGCAGATCCTTGGAGCCCGTTGTCGTCGAGATGTTCCGCGGCTTTGTGCGTACATCGTAGATGATACTCTTCTGCAGCCAGGGGACGAGGAAATGCGTCCCTTCACCGACCACTTTTTCCTGCACACCGGTCAGACGGTCGAAGATGACGGCGCGCGTGCCGCCCTTGACGTCGTAGATGGAGGCGTCGATGGCGAGGGCGCCTGCAATGGGTATGGCGAACCAGCGTAAGAGAGCGTTTGGAGACGCCATGGTTGCGGGGTGATGTTGATGTCTTGTATCAAGCTGATGGGTCGAGAGCTCTGCGGACTTTCCTGGAGGTCAGCTTTCTGCTGGTAGCCACCGCCTAGCCATATTTGGCTAGTCCGAAATCACAATTGGTTAGCGCGTTTCCATTAGTGCGCTGGATGTGATCCAATCATGATCTCACCTTGCCCGAAGTAGATCGACGGCTTCGATTTGCTACTCTTCTTTTACTATTATTTATTATTCCAATGCGGAATCAGTTTTGTCGATGTTCTTCGCAATATGGTTGGGAAAGCAAACCCTAAGATCGGAGTGTAAGTTATGCAGCACGTCACTTCTCCCTGATGGGTGTACACTGTGCAGAATCATATTAATGCACATCTAATAGATGGGCTGGCCCACTCGGCAATCCCGGTACTCATCTGAATGTGAACAATTGATGAACTGCCAGCATGCTGATTACAACTAGGAACTCCCATTCCGCAGAAAGGCATCATTGCCTTTTCCCTCTCCCCCAATCGTCAGCGCATCTTGGCCGGCACTGCTGGGGCTGCAGTATTCAACACCTTTCGACGCTCCCGCCAGCAGCTGCTCTACGTTGCGCCTCCGTTTGTCATTGCGTATACTGCCATGAACTGGGCCATTGAGAGGTACACCGGCACTAGAATACAGCATAGAAGGGGTATGGAGCTAACAGCATGTGGTAGAAACGAGTATTTGAACTCGAAGCCTGGTCGTGAGGCCGAGGGCGAGGAATAAAAGTTTGTGTAGCTGACGAAGGCAGTACCTTGGTGTTGAAGTAGAGTCAATTTGTTATAATTTCCAAATTTTATATTTTCTAGTAAAGTATTACAGTCCCATAATGAGCGATGTCATAGTTTCCCAACTGGGAGCGAGTCGCGCCGGGGAGCTCAACTGTGTTAGGGCGTCCCCCCACTATGTCGGCGCTGCGGGCGATAACAGCGGCGGCCAACCCCGCTGTCGTTGCCGCTGCCCAACTAATGAGCAAGAAAGAGGAAGGAAAGGCAAGGGAAAATTTTAGTTTACTTTTTTCCCTCTCTCCCTTCCCTCTCATATTGTATGATATACAATCGTTTATACCCTTCCATTCTCCCCTTTCACAGCAGCCTTGGTCTGGCCTGTACGAAACGAGCGTTGAACAATTCTCTTCCTCGTGTCACTGCCCCTCCTCCTACAAGTTTCGTTTTTCGCCGTCCGATATCTCTATCCACCATGAGCGAGATCACTCACCCCACCATCAAGGGTACGCTTTAACATCCCTGATTATGCAATTTCTTTTTTTCGAAGCATATTTGTCTAATTCTCACCAGATGGCTGGTTCAGCGAGACTTCCGAAATGTGGCCAGGCCAGGCCATGACCCTCAAGGTCAAGGAAGTCCTGCACCACGAGAAATCAAAATTCCAGGATGTGCTCGTCTTCGAGAGTACCGACCACGGCACCGTCCTGGTTCTCGACAACGTCATTCAATGCACCGAGCGCGACGAATTCTCGTATGCCTCCAATACCACTACCAATAACGAACCTACTAACGTAGAATTCTAGGTACCAGGAAATGATCACCCACCTCGCCATGAACTCGCACCCAAACCCGAAGAAGGTCCTCGTCATTGGTGGCGGTGACGGCGGCGTGTTGCGCGAGGTCGTCAAGCACGAGACCGTCGAGAAGGCTATTCTCTGCGACATTGACGAGGTACAACCCATTCTCCTATCACACGAAGAAAAAAGAAAAAGACAAACTCATGATTTCAGGCCGTCATCCGCGTCTCCAAGAAATACCTGCCCGGCATGAGCATCGGCTTCGAGCACCCCAACGTCAAGACGCACATTGGCGACGGCTTCAAATTCCTGGCTGATTACAAGAACGAGTTCGATGTGATCATCACCGACAGCTCGGACCCAGAAGGGCCTGCCGAGTCTCTGTTCCAGAAGCCCTATTTCGAGCTACTCAACGGGGCGCTGCGAGAAGGAGGCGTGATCACTACCCAAGGTTGTTCGTGACCTTTCTTTTCTCCTCTTTTTTCATTTATCTTCCACTCACCATCTCTCTCTCCCTCCTTCCCATTCAATTCCACTCCATTCCCACCATCTCACCCCATCCTCCGCCCACAATCAAATAATTATATATAGAATAAACTGACGAAGTACAGCCGAAAACCAATGGCTCCACCTCTCGCTGATCACCGACCTTAAAAAAGCCTGCAAAGAAGTCTTCCCCGTCGCCGAATACGCCTACACCACCATCCCAACCTACCCATCAGGCCAAATCGGGTTTATGGTGTGCTGCAAGGACGCCAACCGCAACGTGCGCGTACCCGTGCGTGAATGGTCGCGCGAGGAGGAAGAGAAACTGTGCCGGTATTACAACGCCGATATTCATCGGGCGAGCTTCGTTTTGCCAAATTTTGCGCGAAAGGCGCTTGATGTGTAAAGATTTCTCTTTATTTCTTTTTTGTGGCATGGTGAAAAAGAACGCATTGGTGAATGGGAAGAAAAGTTTGGGCTGGGGTGGGTAAATTGGGGGTTTGTGCCTTGATGTGTAATGTTCGATGGCAGTATTATCAGTCTTTTTCTCTGCAAATAATATTAATTGAGAGAATTTCGTCATCAGTATACTAACCTAAATATTGGTAACCCTTTTTTTAGTTATTTACACCTACGGCGTATCACGGATGATCTAATTAACGTATCTTCATTCCATACATAAAATTTTCAGGGCTAACTAAGTCTAACGTAAAACGCACATCCAAAGGAAGACATAGTCTTATCAACTTATATGAGTTGCTGGAAAGCACGGTTGATGGGCGAGCGAGGGTTGACGCCCTTCCAGAAGTCGATAGTGGCGATTGCGCGCTTGCTGATGCCTTCGGGAGTGAATTCGAATTTCTATAGAGTATTAATTAGACAGAGAGCTCAACATGAAACTGAATAATGGTAAGTAACTTACAGCGTAAACCTCCTTGTATGGACCAGAGGCACCGAAACGGTTCAGACCGAACTGCTCGTGAGAGTACCGCTCCCAACCCATGGTCGAAAGAGCCTCGACGGACAGCACGGGAATGCCGTCGGGGAGAACCGACAGACGGTACTCCTTAGACTGGGAGTCGAATACCTCAAAGCAAGGAATAGAGACAACGCGGGCAGCGATGTTGTGCTTCTCCTTAAGGTACTGGGCAGCATCAATAGCAATGCTAACCTCGGAACCGGTGGAGACGATGGTGATAGCAGCGTTCTCGGCGTCGACGGCAACGTAACCACCCTTCAAGGCAGACTCGATGGTGGAATTCTGGAGTTGAGGAAGGTTCTGACGGGTGAGGGCGAGTATACTAGGAGTGTGGGTGGAGGTGAGGGCCGAGTAATAGGCAGCGCTGGTCTCATTACCGTCGGCGGGACGCCAGACCATCAAGTTGGGGAGAGCACGGAAGTGTGCAAGGGTCTCAATAGGTTGATGAGTAGGACCGTCCTCACCCAGACCAATGGAGTCGTGAGTGGCGACCCAGATAGTGCGGACCTGAGACAGGGCCGACAGACGGACGGCACCGGCAGCGTAGGAGACGAAGTTGAGGAAAGTACCGGCAGCTGGGATAACGGTGCCATATGCGGCGAGACCGTTCATTATGGCACCCATGGCGTGTTCACGCACACCGTAGCGGAGATAACGACCGCTCCATTCACCAATGCCGTACTCTGGGGGCTGGAAGTCAACTGCCTTCTTCCAGCGAGTGTTGTTGGAGCCAGTCAGATCGGCAGAACCGGAGAGGAGCTCGGGGATAGCCTCGTAGATCTTCTCCAAGACAGTTTCGCCCAACTTACGAGATGCAATGGCGGCATCAGTGGGCTTGTAGGTAGGAAGGTTCTTCTCCCAGCCCTCGGGAAGCTTGCCGGCAAGACGGCGGACCAAATCAGCATGCTCGGTCTTGTACTCAGAGCCGTACTTCTGGAACAGGGTGTTCCATTCCTGCTCTTTGGCAGCGCCTTCAGCGGCTCTCTTGCTGTACAGGTCGTACACGGCCTGAGGAACGACGAAGCTCTGATTGGGGTCAAAGCCGAAAGACTGCTTGACATGCTGGGCGTCGTCAGCCTTCAGGGCGTTTCCGTGGACGCCACCAGTACCCTGGAGCTTAGAACCGAAACCAATGGTAGTAGTGATCTTGATGACGGAGGGCTTATCCTTGACCTGCTGGGCCTTGCGGATGGCCTCTTCGATGCCCTGGAGATCATGGTTACCATCCTTGACCTCGAGAGTGTGCCAGCCGTAGGCTTCGAAACGCTTCAACACGTCTTCAGTGAAGGCACACTTGGTGTCACCATCTGCAGGAAATTACTACAAATTCACTCTACTCATATAGCGGCTGCTTCACTCACCAATGGAAATATGGTTGTCATCGTATAGAGCAATCAGGTTACCAAGCTTCAAGTGACCAGCTGTGCTAGCGGCCTCGCTGGCAACACCTTCCATAGCGCAACCATCACCGAAGATGGTATATGTGTAATTGTCAAAAAGATTGTAGCCTGGCTTGTTGAAAACAGCGCCGGTGTGAGCCTGAGCAATGGCGAGACCGACGGCATTGGCGAAACCCTGACCCAGAGGGCCGGTGGTGACCTCAATACCAGGGGTTTCGTGGGCCTCGGGGTGACCGGGGGTGATACTGCCGAGTTGCTATCATAAATTAGCTGGATTTCATATAATACATATTACCAGCTACTCACACGAAAGGCCTTCAAGTCATCAATACTGAGGGCGTATCCGAAAAGGTGGAGCAAAGAATATTGAAGCAAGCAGCCGTGGCCGTTTCTAGTCGCCGTTAGCTCTGTTCATTCCCAGCCAGGTGGTGTACTCACGAAAGAACGAATCGATCCCGGTTAGCCCACTTGGGGTTCTTGGGGTTGAAGTTCAGGAATTTGTTAAAAAGAACGTGGGCAGCAGGAGCCAAGCCCATAGGAGCACCGGGGTGACCTGCGCAAATCAGTGCCAATACATACAAATATTCATATCGACCAAAAATTACCCGAGTTGGCTTTGGAAGTGGCATCAACCTGGGCACCGAATAATCATTAATACCAGAACGACCATTTGCGGCATTCATTCAATGCTGCGTCAGGCTCATCTCCTCCGTGTCTAGTTCTAAAGACAGACACGGCTTTTGTGTCCAGCCGGGTAGCCAAGCTTTGCAGCGGGCGGCACTGCTCCGGGGGGGTTCCAGACATCAAACCCAGGCCGGAAGAGCTTGGAAAACGACAGCCAGCATGAAGGAAAGAAGTGAAAAACGTACCGCAATCACACGGATTGTGTTGATGGCCAACTGATCGGTTTCAGTGTAACCCATGATTGCCGATTCTGTTTGTCACGATTAGCTGTGGTCCTGCAAAAACCAAAAAAGCTATTGGGGAAGCTATGGAGGGGTAGCCCAGCCAAAACGGGAATAAATGTTGGGACTCACGTACAATTGAGGTATATGACTCTTCAATCCAGGACAAAGTACGATGGATAGGATGAAGAAGAGAGATACAGACAGGAGACAGGAGAGAGAAAGAGGGAGAGAGAGAAATAAAGAGAGCAATTGACCTTTTCTGCACAGCGTCACCGGGGGGCAGGCGCGCGTGGAGGGGCAGCGCCGGTTGGGCAATAGCGGTGGGGCTGCGCGGTGGGGGTGCTCTCACAGCCAGAGTGCAGAGCCGTTACTAAGTGATGCTGTAATACCCGGCTTTCTTCTTTTCCTTTCTTTTTCTTGTCTACTGCTTTCTGTTCTTGGTGACAGTGCCGGATGTATCATGAATCCTTATATATTATATATTGACTACCATCCACTACAGCCATATCCGAACGCAACGCAATGGCTGTCAACAACGGACAAAACCGCGGATATACTGTTCGTTACGTCATGGTGAACAGGAACGCATACAACACGCAGCGCTCGTCTTCCTATGTCTCCCGCACGACATGGGTGGTTGCTGTAGTGGTCTCCTAACAACTCCGCGACGCCCAGCCAGCATCTAGATCAGGGTGCTTACACATGTGTGCCCCTCAATACAGATCCGAGACGACTAAGCTAGGTCAGCACATGACTAAACAGCATCCAGACTAAGTTGTGGAATTATCCGAGCTGCCATTGACGGATGCCCCGGCGAGGCTGTCTTAGCAAAAAGACTACTGGGAGCACGGGATCAGACGGCTTTGCTCCGCTAAAGTTGTGACCCAGAGAACAATGCAGAGCGGATATACAGCGTCTACGGGCTTCGTGTTGAGCTGGATGAAGTTGGAATTTAGCCGTAACTAATACCCGCCTCGCTCCCACGAGGGATGAGCGACGGAGAAGAAAATAGAAGAAAAATCAAAGGAAAAAATAAAATAACCATCCATCACTTGACCTTGGCCATATGGCACAATGGCAAACGACACTCCTAATCTAATCCAGGAACCTAAATCGCTGCCGATCTCGGATTGCCTTAACAGATCATCCCGGCTGATCAGGTGACTTGGCCGGGCCCTGCGATTTCTTAACCATACCCAGCATCAGGGGACACTGATGATTCGGAAGTAGCGGTGCAGGCATGTGTAAATCAGAAAGTCATGACATTGACAATACAGGTTGAATGCAACTCCGAGGACATGTGAAGAACTATATACAACTGAATCTGCGTAAATTACACCCCAAATCCAAACCCGCCCAAACACAACACAGCACAGCGCAACGCAGGCAGGTATCATTGAAACAGACGGTCCAATCTCCAGTCATATGTACCAACTCCAAGAAACCATCATAAACAACTAGAATACTAGAATAAATAGGCATAGTCTTACGAGGTCATAAGCTGTTGCTCCCATCCATCGAAAAACCCGAGATCGATAAAGTCATCATCAACGCTGGGGATCATGATCCCTTTCAGTGGATTAGCAATGCTGATGCCGCCGGCCACTGGCATGCCCATGCTGTCCGTGGTAGGGAGGTCCTCTGTGCTTCCGAAACTAGCTTCGGAGCGGCTCTGCACGCTCCGCGGTGCGTCATAAATATGCGGTAAATCACCGCTGCTGGGAGACCACGTCTTTGGCGATAGATCTTGAGAAGCAGGAACAGACTCGCCATTAGAGACGGGATAAGCCGCGTTATAGCCAAGATACCCCGATGCCGCCGAGTCAAACGGGCTTGTGTCGCTACCGCACTCTTGGCCGCCGTAGATGCTATTAAAAATGTTGGACTGGCCACGGTCCAAGTCACTGAGGATAAATTCCCAGTCGGCTGCAGACAGTGGCGCCGCAGATAAATCTGTACATGACATCGCCCTGATGCTTTCGTTTTGCACAGGATAGTAATCAAGGTTAGTATCAGTCGATAAGTCTGCAGTTCGACGTTTCGCTAGGAGATTTTGAAAGCCAGCCTGGTGAGAAACATTGCGAACGTGATGGCTGGTGTCAGATAGTTGAGAATCAGTCAATGCGCCGTTTCCAGTGACTGTATTCCTTCTAGATGCCGTTTGGGGTTTGGTGTTTTTCGAATTGGGGCCCAAGGAGATACGAGACTGTAGAGACTGCAAGGCCCTCTTTGGAGACAGAGCCTCGGGCTTCGGCGCTGGGGATAGCTGTTTGTTACTGTTGGACCCAGTAATGATGCTGGTAAGGGCGCGGAATTCGGACCCAGCCGCCGCAGATGCAGCCTCTAATTGTTTTCGCACAGTTAAGAGGATCTTTTGAGTCTCTTTTGCCAGCTTGCTATCTTGCTTGAGGCCGAGACTTTGCCACAAAAGGCCGAGCCCTGATAGATACGCGACTTCCAAACGATTAATAGACAACGAAAACGAGAGGCACCTTTCATCTAGCAATTCCAGAATCTGAATGATGTGTTTACTGGAATCAGCAATGGATAGTATGGACGGGTTGGCGATAGTAGAGCTGCCGAAGCAGGCTGCAGGTCGATGAATCAATGTCCGAATGTAGTAATACACCAAAGACTAGCAAAGGTCAGTATATTAATATGCAACTAAAGAGGAAGTATACGAACCAAAAGTGGCGAACGACTACCCGTGACATTGGTGCTTGGCTTGTCTTGGGAGAATACCAATTTCAGGTGAGGTGGCAGACTCCTTTGCCATGCATCCAAATCCTCTGATACACCGCGCAGTTTCGACACTGGAATTTCGTGGCTGACCGGAGACGGATATAGGATATCGAGAGCCTTCCCCAGGATTTTAGAGGCCTCTAATAAAGCTAGGGCAGTAGAAAGTCGAGTCGATTCTCCGGGAACTGCCGGAACGAAGCCGTTTTCATTGACATTCTCGTCATCGACATCCACAGGAAGCTCCGTGGAAATATCATTCTCGCGGAGCATCACAGGCAGACCAGTTGCGGCAGCGGTAAATCTAGTGTATTTTAGCGCAAGGTAATGAATACAAGGTTCAATCATCTTACCGATCCAGAACATATTGGCACCAAAAAACCTTCTTACGGGTCTCGGTAGCCAATGGATCGAGTGCAAACCGCGCCTGGCTTTGATGTAGCCCAAGCATGTGCGCCATGCCCACGGCAAGGCCACGATAACGTGACAAAGACTGGTAGTCTCCTTTGGCCAAACAATACATCTGGGCCAAGACTAGGCACTGCATAGTTGAGATAGACACATCACTAGCAAGCGACTCGAGTGCAGGATACCAGTTTCGCTCGAAGAGAACTGGATTCTGTGTGGGTCTCGACTAGTAAATGGTGAGTTTTTCTCGATGATTCAAATGATGAGGATAGCAAACCTTTGAGGAAACTGCAGCAATGGCAAATATAAGATTAAGCTGGGTGACTACGTGCGGCTGGCTTTGCAGTGACTTTGGTTTGGTCACGTAAATATCGTAAGCTTTGAGAATGGCAGGCCGGTGCACTACTGGGTACAGCGGCGCCCATTCTTGAAAGTAGATCCCGATTAATTGATCCGATTCCAAGCGCGGTGGTAGTCCGGAGGTCTGATTTGGAGAATGATATATTTTGGCAGGGAACGCCGTCAAGGCTTTCGTTGAAACGGATGATCCATTTTCTGACAGCTTTGCTTTAAACGAATTTGAAAAAGCGCGCACGCTCGACGGTCCAGAGAACGGGGTAGCGGCAGATGAGCTTTTTGTCGACAGCGATGAACTAAGCTGAACATGAATCACACCTTTGTTGTCGGAAACCTCTGACTTTTTTCTTTCTGCAGATGCGGCTGCTCCAGCGGGATGGCCGGGAGAGCGCGGCTTCTGCGATGGCGACGCAAATGAGTGTATGCGAGACAGCAATTCAATCTTCTCATCTTTCTCGTCCAGCAGATCCTTCAACTCCCGCACTTCAGACTCCAGCGATCGAACCCGTTCTTCCAGCGACTCTGTATATCCTCGAGGGAAAGCGCGACGGCTGAGCTTGTCGCTCGTCTTGCACTCGAATCCCACGCTGGAACACTGACTGCAGCACGGGCGGATGCCATCGCAGCGAATTTTCTTGCTTCGACAGCGATCACAGGCTTGGGCGATGCGGCTCTGGGTGCTGTTACCCACCTTGATCACCTTCATAGGCAGGATTCCGGGCATGGCGGCGATGCGGTACTTCTCGGTGTCCAGCACAAAGGGCAAAGTCAAGCATTTGCGAGGCCAGAGGGGCCAGGGCGGATCAGGTTGTGACACTGCTTTGCTGAGGGAAAATTTCAGGCGTTGAATATGCACAAGTCACGAATGGTTGCGGGGGACAGGTAGCCAAGTAGTGTGGACAGGCAGTGCATGCGTAGGTGTAGTAAAAGACTAGTATCGAAATGTGGAGGGAAGGGACCATCGTTGTTCCGATCGGCGGCGCAGCGTGGGAGTCCGCGCGGGGTGCCCCAAGCGCTAATTCCAGTAAGCCCCAAGTTTCCGCAGGGCTAGCCTCTTAGGGCCTAGCACAGCGGACAAAGGGAAGGCGGATGCCCAATCAGTGGCGTAGCTGACTGCGCCCGGCACATGATTGGCTGGTGCTTCCGCAATCTCTGTCGCTCTCCGTAGTATTTACTTGTCAGTTATTGCTACTCCCTGTCATGAGTCCTCTTGTTATTACTCCTATTGTGGAGTGATTCTTATTATCACCATTATCATTATCATTATCATTTCTGGGGTATTTCCCATGCTGGCTGTGCTGCGAACTCCTGATGGGAGTTACTGATATGAGCATGTCGTCACCATGATTATCACATAACAACTTCAACACTGGGGGAGATATCTGCCGATCACAACACACTCTCACCAACGCCATAAACTGTTCCACCTGCCCGTGAAACGAGTAACATACCTAGATTAGGATCTATGGACACGGTATGACTATGAGGCTTGAGTATGGGTAGGAGGAACAAAGCATGCAGCGAACTAGAGGCACAAATACACATTATTTGGCCAGAAGAAAAAGAACCGGGGTATCTTCAACTAGTACGCCGACTTTCCCCGCTCTCTACTCAGAATCGAACTCTGGGGACATAATATGGCGTCGGCGTCAGTCGGTTGGGGAACAGCTCGATTGGCCGGCCCCACTGTAAGGCCAATGTGGAGATTGCCTGGCCAGCGATGTGTTGTATACGAGAGAGGAGCGAGTTCTATCCGAGAATTAGTTCCCATTTCCCCCCTATTATAACCCATAACGATGGAAATATACTTTCACTACCGACCACTATTCTTGTTTGGATTTTGTATGTTCCACGGCTGCTTGTATTCGAATACACATACATGACTGGCCAGTGTTTTTTACAAAATACGGATTCTGGGGAAAGGTTTCGCAATGAATCATTAATCCTGAGTCCTTGGGTCAAATCCTTGATGCGCTGACATATCTTGCGGTGATGTTACAGAATGTCCCGGGTATACATGATATCACCGCAGCATCTCGAGCCTAATTTCTACTAAGGAAATGTCGATCATGGCACGCCTAAAGATGAGAAGCATGAGAAGCATGAAATCCTAGAAATATTAAATCTCACGAAAAATCCTCAGGCTCGTTGTTCTGCTGGCTAAGATATTGCGCAACGCTCTCTGAAGCCAGTAAGGTCTCTATCTGTTCCAGGTATCAGTATAATCCCGAGACAAGAAACTATATGCCTACCGTTTTCCCCAAATCCTCTAGACTTCTCCTCAACAAATCAATCTCCAACACCCTCAACTGCCGAATTGTTGCATATACCTCACTCCGTACCCCAGTTTGTGTCCCGTCAATATCATGTTCCACGTTCTCAAACGCCTCCTCCATCTCACCCGTCAACATTTCCAACTGCGACTGAACACGTTGCTGTACAAGTACAACTGCACGAAGCTGGAACACCTCCCAACGGGATTCATCCGTAGAGAGAATGTTGCGAAAGGATTTTAGTTCCTTTGATATCCCCGGCACAGTGTGTCCGATTTCTTGGCCATCTTTCCACGTTGCTTTAATTCCTGGCGGCCCGTCGTCTCCCTGGGTCTGGAGTATCTCAAAACCTAAACCATCCTCCTCATTCACACAAGCCCAGTATACAAACTCACTCTCCCATCTAGTCTGGCCATCTTCTATATACAGACGTAGACCCGGGGCCATGTTGTCAGCGCATATTTGTTTCTTGGCGTATCTCAATGGGTCAGTATCCGGGATATCGAGCGACAGAAACATCTGCCGGGCGCTCGCAACCGAGCTCTCGAGAAAGCCATATGAGAAGATCATTTCAGACGCGCCTTTTTCGTCGCCATAGCTGTACAATATCAGCCACAACACAACACAACACTATCACAGCAAACAGAAAAGCGCAACACACGTAATAGTAACCTCCTCCCCTTCACGAAGCTTCTTGCCCCACCGTAGCTGTAACACGGCATTTCCATCTCTATCCGTCTCGTACAACGCCCCTGTTTCTTCACCCGAAGCATGATTAGCCATATCCACACAGGGCACCATAGCATGTCCAGTGCCGGGTAAATCCAGGGCTCTGGAGCGGTACAACGCATCAATCAATTTCCAGTCGTCTAAGCTCAGCCGTCCGGTATCCTCATCCCACCATTCTCGGTTGCACCAGGGGATAGAGTCTGTTGCTGTGAAGAGCCGCTCGTATTCTGCCTCTAGCGCCGCGTGTTTATACTCCACGGCTTCTCGGAGAGATGTCCCATACAGTAGTTCCTTTTCATCTTCCGTCCATAATGTCGGTAGTGGGACCTTTCTTGGCAGGAACTGGATATACTCTGTCCAGGGATTTATCACCCCGACTTTTTCTTGCGTGTTACTTTGGTAGGTGATATGGCAGAGCAGGAAGATAAGAATAGCGCCTCTGGCAGTCTACACAACGGAGTCAACAGGAATCCAGAACCTTTAGATTCATGTCCGTACTCGCCCAAAGTCGCCAGTGGCTTCTAGAACCTCTCTCAGGTACCGATCCGACTTGGCGTAATCATGCACAACTGCAAGCGACAGAACCATGTCTGGTGGAACAGTCATTAAGATCCGCGCTTCTTCATCGTCGAGGGAACTCTGCTGGTCTTCTGTTGCGACAATTCCAGATCCATTGTCAAGTTTCGCAAACTTGATGCCGTGCAATTTGATCCCATTCAGGCTGGCCCATGCGGGCAACACTTCGAGGGGGAGATGGGATCTGCTTGGCATATCTTGTGGCAGCGCGACACATTGGTCTATGACTAAATGTTAGGATTGATTCATGGATGTACTGGATGAAGCAAAATGATCACCAAAACAACATGATGTTTTCAATAAGGTTTAGTGCGTGCACAACTGCCAGTGATTAGTGGGGCACGGCTCACAGCGTATCATTGCGGCCACAGCAGATCCTCAATACAACTGCACATCGAGGTTGTTCTTTTGATGCTATGCTTGGTGTGAAGGTAGCATCGTTTCTCTGACAATATCTGATATATCTATAATAGCCATTGCTTCTCAAAAGCATATGTAGAGTCTAGATATCATAATAAAGCTACCCCGCAGATATCATTATTGATAAGCCCAATAAACTCTTCTTCCGTTCATTACAGCATTGCGACGTCATGATGGCATATCTTCGTCTAAAGCACATCTCGAAGTTCAAAATTTAAACAATTGATGCCTCTCGAATTTCTTGGAAAGAGATGCAGAGAAGAACCAATCATGCCTAGCAATCAACGACTTTACCATATATCCCCAGCATCAATGCTACGTCTCCCAACCCCAAACCTGCCTCGTCCCTACATCCTCCCGGTCCGATCCATACTCCAACCAGCCTCCACCCCAACCCTCAGCAACGTACGCGCACGATTTAGAACCGACGACAGCCATTCGGGGGTCAAAGGCCATCCGTTCCAGGAGTGGAAAGGCTCGTCGACACAACACCACGCAGTCAACCGAGCCAGGAACAATGATGTCACAGATCCGGAAGTTGAGGCAGCGCAGCAAGGCAGGGAAGAGCACATTCAGAATCAAGGCATTGCGGATGCGACCAAGAGCGGAGCGACCACCCAACGAGACCTGAGGCACAGCACGAAAAGGGCAAAGGAGGAGCATCCGCATGCACCACAGCCGATCATTGGGATGACTGATGAGAAGGGCGAGGTAAGTGGTTTTCTTTCAATTGGCGGGAAATATGAGGTGTGCTGATGGGTATTAGAAAGGTGGTTAGGTCTGACAGCGGGGTATTGGCTTGGTCTGGCATGATTATGACTGTATAGCATGACTGCTTCACATGGCATCGGTGTAACTCATACATGGATAATATATAATAGTATTCGGCTAACGGCCAACTCTAAAAGACAAAACCTGCACTCGAATTAGCAATGCTTGTCGACAAGACTGGTATACTCACGTCATGTTTCCCGACGGCAACAATCTCGTCTTCGGATACACGTATCCCGCCAGCTCCTTCAACATATGCAATAGGGACATCGCCCATGACCTTCCGCGCTACATCGCCAACTGTGCTATTTCTATAGAATAATATATTAAAATCGGCTCGAATAAACAGCTCAGTAACTTACTTCTTAACAAGAACGCAATCCCGAAAAACAGCATTGGAGCCTGTGCCAGTCCCTGATGAAAATGTATGGATATTCCGCACTGGAAATACCGGAACGAGTCCAAGAACTTCTGCTGCTCGTGACAAGCATTGCACGACTCCTGTTGACCCGAATCTGTAAAGCACCATGTCTTTCAAATTTTCCACACGTCTATTCTTCGTTAGAGGAGCGCTTTGAAGTGGGGAGAAACACTTACGTTTTTAATTTCTCGTCCATCTCCTTCAGCCCCCCGCCATCAGGCTCGCCCATTTCTAATAAATCTTCTCGCGTGTCTACAAACTCGCTTCCTTCTATATATTTAACATACCCTTGCTTTGCCAGTCTTCGTAGGAAGACTTCTGAGATTGCCGAGCACAGGATAATAGTATTGGGGTCTTGCATTCGGGCGATTTTGCTGATATTCTACAACACATTAGCTGTATTTCTCCTCGCAGGAAAGTATCTCACTTTGTCGGCATCAGGGTGGTCGATTTTGTTCAATGCGTAGACAGTTGGGAATTTCTCATCTACAAAGGCATTGACAACTTTCTCTATCGTTTCGTTTGACCATTCCTCTAGAGGCTCTTTCAAATTCAGTCGGTCCAGACACCGTGCCACGGTTTGTGAAGTACTTCCGTATCCAGAAAACTGGGTTTGCAGTGTCTCGACCGGCGATGCTTCTATATTGAATTAGTAAGATGTCGAGGCGTAAATATTGGATTTCATACTTGTAGCGACGTGACGTCGTCTAATCGAGCCCCTGGTTCGAGTCAACACGAACCTGACTGCTGGACGAACGAACTTACCATTTCTCTATCAAATTCCCTTCTACCCATCGAACAATTTCCGATCTGAGCCAGACAATATCTTGTGAGGGATCATAGCCTCTAGTTTCCTTCCCTATAACGAGTAAAATCAACCCATGCCGCTAAGCTCAAGTCTTTTGCTCATACCTTCAGCATCCGTCGTGCCACTCACATCAACAACATGAATCAGAGCGTCCGCATGTCGCAAGTCATCCAAGAATTTATTACCGAGGCCTTTTCCCTCGTGTGCCCCTGGAACCAGCCCTGCAACGTCAAGCAGCTCTATTGGAACTGATCTCCGCCCATCGATGCAGCCACCGTAATTAGGCTTACACTTATCCGACACATTGTAACGTTTGCAGGCGCACTCTATTTGTAGGTATCCAATAGCTCGTTGGGGGTCGATGGTTGTGAATCTGATTCACTCCATTAACGTCGCTTGACAAGTAAAACTAAATGTTGATACAACATCGTATTCGGGAGGAGGTTAAGTCATAAAATATACATACGGGAAATTTCCTATTTCAAGTCTAGTCAGCGATATGTATACAAATGAGAATATCTCTACTCACCAACTTTTGAAGACGCGTCCGTCAGGCTATTCAACGTCGTCGACTTTCCACTCGAGGGCTTGAACCCGGTCAGCGCGGAGACAATGCGGGGAGTGCAGATATTTCAGCGCACCTTTCCAACCAGTCCAATCAGAGGATCGCGAGGCATTTTAGTATTGAAATGTGCAGAATCTCACGGGGATGGAGGAATGGTAATTGTTATCTGCAGATTGCACTGCAAAGACATGCAGAAACGTGCTGGCGCATTTAAATAAGGCGGTGCTGGATTTTTGATAACACATTCTGCCGATATGTCTGAAGGCGGTGAAGAGCTCATCTGGACAATTTTCAACTTTCTATCGAATCTATTAGACTCCTTCATCTCCATCTACAATTATTCAAGAAACGTCAGTCTCCTATTAACTGATTACTCTTTGGTCACTTAACAACACCCACCCTACTATCGATTGGTTTACAACCAACAATTAGCTGATGATCAAACATCTTATATGGAAAGGTGGACAAAAAATTATTCTCCAATTCCTTAATATTTGATATTGAGTTTTTAATAATTCTTCCAATGGCAATATCAATGCTACAGCTCTAGAGTATATCAACACATCAACCAATACTGTCAATAACTAGACGTGTTCAACCATCCATGAGCTGCGATAAAATACGACTACAGGCACCCTGAAACAACAACCTAACCCAACCTAACGCTGTTCATTTTGTCAAGCTGCATCTACCCAGAAACTACCCGGCGTAAACCTCTCATTGACCCCGTAACTGACGTAGAAGAGTGTCGTGTGGATACGGACACCCAGCAAAGGGGAGGCAGGGTGGAGCCCCGGAAGAGCGTTCTAGGAAGGACTGATGTAATCTGATCCAGGTCGTCGATTGGAACGAGTGAACAGGGCAGATCGACATATTCCAGACCGACAAATGAGCTGGAGGAAGGAAAATCGTAAATTGCGAATGGTGAATGTGTCGTGGGGCGAGCCAAGCTGTCGACGTCATATTGAGCACAAACGTCACAACCAGATTCACTGCATATAAGAATCAACCTCCCCACACGCCAGACTTCGACAACCACACTTAGATTTCTATCACTACGTCGCCCAACATTCATATTAATACATACCATGTCTTCTCCTACTTTCCACACCACCGCAGACGACCTCCGCAAGCCGGAATCCCGAACAGCTCGAGCCCATGGCGGCCAAGTACCTGCAAACTCTAACGTTTCTGCTATGAAGGTAAATCCATTCCTTATCCACGATTGATATTTCCAATTTTAATACCATCTGCAGTCCATCATCAGCACCAACACCAACAAAGCTGAGGAGGTCGAACAAGTTAAATCCAACCTCCCACTTCCAGACCAACCACCTGTGGCCAGCGATTGGAATTCCGCCGACCAGCGCACCGTCAACGTGGGCTCAGGTCGTTTCGAAAGCGCCCAGTCTGGCGATTCAGACTCTGCTCTGCGCGCACCAGCGACTGCTGAAAGCAGCGTGCGCACTGATGGCGATGAATATCACACTCTGACTGAGCCTAGTTCCAAGGTCGGACGACAGGGCAAGGATAACTTGGACGGACTCCCCAAAGACGCGCGTATACCCAGGAACTCGCGTACTACTCGCGAGGTAAATTAGAAATTAAAGATGATGATTGGGCTTGATTATACTATGTATCTGTTTTAGCAATAGCCAGCTTTATAGCAATCTAATCAATATTTGAAACCTAAAACACCCTCTATAAATAATAAATAAAATTGTATGCGCTATAACTACTTAACTTCGTATTTGAATAAATAATACAATGATAGCCACTCACTCCGCTGTGATAATGTCAATATCAGGAGATCGCGTGTCCGTAGAGTTTCGCTGCCATGATGTCATAGCCCTAACTGCATGCGATCGCAACAACCACAGATAACACAGACTTACAGAGTGGGAAAAAGGCAGACAGATCGACCAGAACAGAAAAGAAGAGATAATATCATATCTCCACAGGATCCGTCGACATGAATGCCAGCAAATGCATCGCCTTGACGTTATCGGACCCATGCCGTAAGTCTGACATCATTTTCCGTATCCTCACCAACTCGAGAGAAGTACCAGAGTGTTTATATTAGGTCTCGCCGCTGAACAGTCGGACTGTTCTGTCGATACATTCTTCACCTACATATTCCGAGTCTTATAGTCAGCACTACTGCATTATCCTCTTAGTTACACTCGACATAATGGATCTCCAAGGTACTCCCATCGGAAACACTGGCACCGGCACCAAGGTCTGTACCTTCCAAATCTCAGCCTTTCCAGATCCCCTAACTAACGCTACATAGGTCACTACTGACCCCGCCAGCTACAAGCCCGTGCAAGAAAACCCAGGGCCCATTACCAACGACTCTCTCGCCGCCGACTCGGTCCGTCAACATGGCGCTTTTGCCCAGAACTCAGATAGCCAGCCTCTCGGTGTGTCGGGCTCAAAATCCACCTTCAACAACACCGACACCTCTGGCGCCACTCAGCTCTCTTCAGCGCCTCAAGCCAGTGCTCGTGAAAACCCCAGCCGCCAGGAAAGATACCCCGACGCCCTCGGTGGCCAGGGCGACTACCCTGGCAAGCACCTACCTGAGTCCGGATACGCTGGCGGTTCCACCAGGGCCAAGAAGGAATTGGGTATTGGTACCAAGCAGTACAATACTCAGGAGCGTCAAGCCGCTACTGCTGGCGGCAGCAATAACGGATACCGCAGCGCCTACAACGGCGGCACTGCCGCATCATATATCGCCCCCGTAACCGAGACCCTAGGCAGCACCAAGCCACATGGCAAGAATCTCCAAGAAGGCGGGTTTGAGAGCAACGACAGCGCAAACGCCAGCTTCAACACTGATATCGGATCCCGCAAAGACCCCGGCCGTCTTGCTGAGAATAAAATCCAGCGCAAAGCCGCCGAGAGCGGCGCCGCCTATACTAACACCACCGTTGATGCCACCCAACCATACGGCAATCTGCAGCATGACCAGCGTGCTTAGAACGATGTCATGATATTTTCCTCTGCTATAAATTCGCTGGACTTATTTAGGAGTACACGGCTTTTGCACCATATATAGATTTAGATAAGAAAGCATGCGAACATCTCTATTTTTCTCTACAAGTTATACAAACGTAGGTAATTCATCTACTGAAAAATGATACTACCAGCATCTTCTTCTGGGGCATCATCTGACTTATTTTGAGTGTCAAACCAACCGATATGGAATTTGTAATCCTAACGACGATGTTTATCTGCAAAATTCTCGTTCGTGTGGTGGGTTACTGCCCGAAGTCGATTGCTGCACCGCTTCGACAAGGGCAGCTTCTCTAGACTCAAGGAATTTTCGCGGTGGCATCGAGATCACCAGCGTCGCACACGTTTCTCAGCCGCTGCGTATTCTTGTCCGACATCATAGAAGACGTGGTGAAAAGATTCGATGATAATGCTGTCTGTGATGGCAAAAAAAGGAGTCTAGAACGGAAGTATACCTTAATATTAGATTAACTTGATATAAAATTATTAATAAATTTACGGTTTATATCTTAAAGTCTAAGGATAAAGTTTACAAGTAATACAAGGGCATGGAGAAATTGACAGTCATGTCCATATACGTGCTAAGGAAAATCATGATAAACACTAAAACACGAGTAGAATTAGGATAGATATATGAGTTTTAGAAAACATTCAGATAATATCAGATTATAACTGTTGCATAATTAGCTCAAAATTCAGGCATAAAAATGCTCTTCTGCAAAATACTCATAGACCAAGGATATTGTTTCCACCTCACACCATCAGCCACGTCACTTCAAACCACCCTTGTTTGGGGTGCATACTTAGCCCGCCCGTTTCAGTTCTACTCCAATTAGCCCTCATCGTGCTATTTTGTTATTTTCCGCGGGTGCGGTGCCAGCCTCATTCATTTGCAGGAAGTGGATAAGAAATTAAAGCGCCTATTAATCATGGAGCTAGCTAGTCTACACCTGGGTCGCAAAAGGAGTGTTTTGTATGAGGCTCAACCCCGTGGCCATTTAATGCGTGTGTGTGTGAGGCTGCTGAAATCGGAACTGTGAACTTCTCAGCCTTGACCCAAGTTCTCGTTTTCAGCTTGCATCCCACAGCCGTCACAATCATGGCATCGGCTGCGATAACTACGTCTTCTTCAGAACCAAGAACGCTGTATTGGCCCCTTGGTTTACGAGAGACTCTCGGCTTGGGCGATATCAACAAAACATTGTCTAATTTTCCTCAGACTGCCACTCATATCAAATTTCATCCAGACTCAGCTGACTATGAGACCCGTCGTACAACTCGCATATGTCAAGGCGGACTCAAACAAGATGTTCCCGCCGGATGGCCAACAACTGTTAGTGGTCCTCTCGTTTGGGAGGGTAGCAACTTCCACAGTGATGCTGAATTTGTCTATCATTTGTCGAAATCCGACAAGAATGAGATCAGGTGTGCTCTCAAGCAAGTCAAAGGTAGGCTCTTCCTTACCCTAAACGTAGTTTCTGAGTGGTTAAACTGCCGCTAACCGTGAAAGAACACGATTTGTCTTTCGACAATATCAAAGAAGATACATTCCCCCTTCCCGGTCTTCGATGTCGCCTAGAGGAGGCCCGAGAGAAGATTTACAACGGCCTTGGATTCATAGTATTGCGAGGTCTCGACGTGGATGAATACTCCTCCAGGGAGTCTCTCATTATATTTCTAGGCGTTTCAAGCTATCTTGCTGCTCACAAGGGTGCTCAAGACCAGGCTGGAAACTTACTACGTCAGTTCATCACTTTCCAAACACTCAAAAAACACGCATCGCTGAATTCAAAAATCACAGACCATATAGTCGATTATGATCGTGTTGATTCAGATGTCGATCTAGTAAGGCTGTAGTTGTATCGATGTGTTCTTGGGCTAATTGGATGAAATTCTGGTCTCAGCCAATTCACACCGACATTACTGCGGATATTGTAGCAACACTCCCCCTCAAGTCCTCCAAGTCAGGAGGAGAGGCCATCGTCGCATCAGCGTGGACAGTTTACAACGAACTTGCAACAACTCGTCCAGATCTCATCCACGTCCTTGCAGAACCGGACTGGCCATTTGATACGTGAGTCTTTACTCTTACTCTTACTCTATATCTACATCCATCCAATTTGAATCATTAAATTCTGTCATGCAGATATGGACGAGATCCAGAATACTATAACCGTGCTTTACTATTCTATCACAATGAACAGATTTTGATCAATTTCTCCCGCCGCGTGCTTACTGGTCACCCAATCTCTCCGCGAACCCAGGGAATTCCAGGTCTCACAGAAGCGCAAGCCGAGGCGCTCGACGCCGTACATTTCATTGCACAGAAACACAAGCTCACTTTTTCTACTGAGAAGGGCGATATGCGCTTTATCAACAATTATGCGATTCTTCACGGCCGCGAGGCCTACAGTGATGATGATATACGCATCAACCTCGACAAAGCTGAGCGCAGAAGCCAACGCCATCTTCTTCGCCTTTGGCTTCATAACGAGAAGATGGCTTGGAAACTCCCGCCCTCCCTGAGACTTGTTTGGGCCCGTACCTTTGATGAAAAACGTCACCGTACCTGGGACGCAGCGCAGTACATGTCACAGGAGAGGGTGTCTTCTCGAGGCAGATCTCCATCTCCGTCTCCGCCCCCGCCTCCGCGTCCCGGCCCTCGTTCTCCTATCCCGTATCCGTGCGACTAAGTTTGGAGTCTCGCATCTCATCTTACTGCAATATCGATTATAAGATGAAACATTTCGCTTATGAATTATTATAATTCAGCTTTTTAAACTGCAAGACGTGGTCTCACTACTGACGAATTTTCTTCCATTTCTTATTCTAATGATGCCTCCTTGGAATTACACACTACATGTACGTACAAAGGACATTATCATAAGAGCTATTAGCCTTACGCTACTGCATAGCAACAGGGGCATTCCATTCCGGGTCATACAGCTGAGAAACAAAGTAGTAGTCGTTAGTTGATTGCCGGTGTCGTTTTATATCTTGGAATATAACCTCTGTGTCTCGAAACAGGTGATCCCAATGTTAGCTTATATTCTTTACAGAATGTATCAAGACCAATCCCAATGGCTTATTTACCTCTTTGTGACACCCAAAATGAGGTTTCCGCAAGGAATTGAATCTGATCTGCTTCCAATTTAGCAGCAGCCGCTAACTCGCTATGTTTTGATGGATCCCCAGCCATGTTGAAGGGAACTCCACCTTTATTCTTGAGGTGGAATTCCTTGATGAGTTCGGTCACACCAGTCTGGTTGTAATATATGGCTTCTGGATTTACAAATTGAGTTCCGAGTTTCTGCGGACCACATTAGTAAATTTGTAAACCCAGTATTCATCCAAAAATTGTTATAGATCCTGAAAGAAGTATAGGACGTGAATAATATTGTTTTTCGTAGATGTCCACCTACCATCTGCACCGCAAACTCTTCATCACGCCTCGAGGTAAGAGAACAACTGTGAAGAAGGATGAATAGCGTGAGATAGATTGTGAACCAATTCTCTCTCTTATTAGCTTTCATCAAAGCATCCAAGTCGGTAATCACTCGCTGCTGCAGAGGTCTCTGGATCTTAGTGAGTAGTACAGTTTCTTCCTGGGCGTATATCACTGGAGCTAAGGGATAAGTTCCATTGTACGGGCTGGATTCATCGTCAATCATTTTTGTAATCTTTTCATCGCCGCAAATGTCTTCTGGCATGCTGGAAATGCGTGAGGTTACCCATAGTCGAAGTGCGTTATGGATCAATCTCCTTTCTCTGTCGCGCTGTGCACTAATCAGCAACTGTCACTCGGGGATATCGGGCGAGGGATCGTGCTGAGAGGAACTTGCCACGCGGTTGTCCGAACAACGCTTCAATGCCATCTCATAGGTCTTCCACAGTAACTCATCTGATAGACCCACAATTCCAATAATGAATTGTCTGATATTCTCATTAACATATCGTTGCATTTCCCGCTCCAAACCCTCCATTTCGACCACCGCATATGGTTCTATATCATGTTTCTTGAACTCGCCAACAGTCTCATCAAACCAAGTTTCACAAAGCATGTCACCTGCGATGGGGACGAACTTCCTGACATACAGAGTGTAGTTAGAGTCCTTTATCTTGTGAGAACACTGGAGAATCCTAATCTCGTCGTTAGCCCAGTTAGTTATGTTCTTCGCTTCCATGCTGTTGTATCTCTTGGTCCAATCAGGCCAGGGAGCCGACTGGTCTCGACACAATGACAGCTTTGCAACTCTCCAGCGAACACACCGGTGTCCAGAGAAGGACGACGCTAGCTTGATACATCCCATACACGGGCCTTCAGGATCGTGAGGGTTTATGCGGCACTTTGAGAACTCAGTATATAGACATTTAGAACATGGGTAGAATCATACTCTCTCCTTGTTAGTGCGACACTTGACACAAACTCCCCTGTTTCGAGTCTGAGCTGTCTCTTTGCGCAATGCCTCGTTTGAGAACGATTGTTTCTTTTTACGGTGCAGTTTCAGCTGTAGAGAAGAAATCAGCAATGGACTTTTCTTCTCTTAGACATCTGCAACAGATCACACAGTATGTCAAAACTCTGGCAATGAGGGTAGTAGGGTTATTGACCTGTTTTGTTACTTTGGACCTGTTGTTAGAAAGATCCCATGCGGCTCTAGACATGGGAATCCCCAAACTTGGTTTCGGCTTGAGAGTACGCAATTGAGTAGCCGACTCAGCTTCACTGTTGACTTGTCTTATTTCGAGTGAATTGGTAGCATGTGGAATGATACCGTGCGAGATATCATCCCATAATGAAGCAATAGTTGAGCCATCTAGTGGATTGTAGGTGGCTCTAGTCTTGATATCTTGCTCGGAGTTTCCAAAGCCTATTTCGTCGACCTTCTCTGCCATCTGCACAGAAAACGAGCCAAGGTCCGACAGAAACTCAGAAGGGTTAATCTGGACGGAGTTTGATTCTCCATTTACGTTCAAGATCGAAGTGTAATGCCTGTCCAAATATTGGTCAGCAGTGACGCTAGCATTATCGACAGCTGCAAAGGCTACTAACCCATGGTGGTCCGAAGTCTCATTTTGCGTGGCATCAGGGTCCCAGAATGTAGACTCGTTGGATGTGTTTGACTTATGGTGCACTCTGGATGTATGTTTCAGCGATGCTGAAGGCCTCTCAGCTGTTTTGGGCCCATCATACGATCCAAGGCGATTGAGACCCCACACAAATGATTCATCTGGGAAATGAACAAGAGATTCATTCCAGCCGATTTCAGGCATGTCTGCTTGAAGAAATACGGGCTCATTTACGACCAGGTTAGAGAAATCGCCTCTCTGCGACTGAGCAGTAGTTACATCAGGATATGGGTCGAAATACTGTGGTATATGACGATCACTAATTGTAGCTGTTGTTTGACTCTTGGAACTCGCGTGTCCTGCCCAGTTACCGTCTTCAGGAGGAATAAAATTGCTGTTCGCTGTTTTCTGGGGTTCATCGGCTGAAACTGTCGATTCCGACATTTCAATGTCTTTTTCCAATAGCTCTTGAATGCGCACCTTCATATCGTTTTCTTCAATAAGTAATTCCAGGGCTTCGGCATCCTCATGAAATTGCTCTTCCGTCAGATTTCTCTTCACTTGCAGTAACCTCAGCCGCAGCTGAATCCCTCGAAGCCTGCTTCGACAAATATCAATATTGTTGGTCATGGATTGATTTGAAGTTTGGCTTAGGAGAGCCATTTTCAGGCTTGAATAGGAGATGTTGATTCTTTCCGAGAAACCAAAGGTTAGTCTAGCAATTCCAGTGTTCGCCAATTCCGCCTGTCAGTATTCAAGTTGACTAAATACTAATTTAGTGAAAGACAACGCAGTGCCCGATCCCGCTATTTGCTTGCAACACATGCCATGCGGTGATAGGCCCATTGACACCCAATCAACGGACACTTTCCAATCCAACCGGTGAGGGCTTTCTTCGGCGTGTTTTTTAATTCTCTATGAACTTGAACCGGAAGCTATTAACGTACTTTGCAGAAAGCTTAATGCAATACCTTAGTCATATCAATCTGAAAAAACCAACTGACCGAGTAAGCCGAACGCATTGCAATGTATTTCAAGTTGTCATTCTGTAAACATAGTATATACATGTATTCAAAATGTTTCATTTCTAAGAAGCTTAAGCTGCTAACATCTGTAGATTCCTTACAATCCCAGCTTGTAATCATTTAGAGCATCGACGACTGCTTGTGCCAAACGTAGCAGTTTCTCTTCTCCAAGATTTGTTCCTAAAATCTGAACTGACGCTGGAGCTCCAGCATATTTCTCGGCATCATCTGTTTCCTCCAGACATTAGTTTTAGCTCGAACCATAAGAATCATATCACGAGATATATACTTACACGAGAGCCAATTATTCCGGTCTGTCTCATTAATAGGTTTGTATTCAAGGTCAAAAAGGTCTATATGACTATCAGCAGTCGTCACCGGAATCACAACTGTAGGGCGATCCAGTGTATTGGCGAGGTTTCCGTACGCTGTAATAGTGGTCAGCAATGCCCAGCTTCATTGTGAGACACAATTGGCTTACTATAGTGATACCACTTGCCAGGAATCACTGCTGCATGTGGAGCTACGGGTAGAATCACTGCATCCACAGGATTTTCTGTTGAGAAAAATTAAAACTTCAGTCCAGTATTCAACGCAATGTAATATACCGTCATCATCGCCCTCTGAGGTTGACATCCAATAATTGTGATAGTCCTCTCGGTAATGTTTGAGCCGCCGCATCCACTCGTAAAGCTGCGGTAATGAAATAGGAGGCTGGGGCTCATCTCCAAGTTCAGTTTCGAGTTCAGGTATCACTGGCTCCCCGGATAATTTGAGACGTTTTATAACATCGGGACAACCATCTGCGTTCGTAATTCCACTCTACCATGATCAGTAATTGGCGTGTTGCTATCTATCTAGAGATTACCACTGGTAACATACGTGGATACTTTCAGACTCGCTGTGAGAAGGTGGATGCCAGGCAAGGGTCTGCTCTCGCCCAATTAAAGACCATAATTGGAGGTGGTGTAGAAATACCAACTTTGTATCCTTTCGCCCTAAGCGCTTCTTTCACCATACGCACCGCTCTAAGAATCGGTGGATGGGGTTTCACAATCCCATCATCTTCCATGATTCCGAAATACAGCTTTTGCTTCTTTGACCTATCTTCTATTTGGGACGTCGCATCCTCGTTCCAAGGCATTTCTAACACATGAGGGTCGCTGAGCCATGGCTTGGCCGCCATCAGGCTTCGAAAACCAAACTGTAAGCAGGATATATCGGTGCCGAAAATCCCTACCACAGTTGGTATGATGTGTTGACCAGGAGACTAAAAGAATGAATATTCGTACCATATAAAGATGGAAGGTTTGGAACAAAAAGGCGGTATTGAAGACATGACTGGGAAATAACTATACATACGCTATTCGGCACACCCTTAAAGGGAAGTCTCCCATGAGACGGTTTCAGACTATACAATCCATTGAACGCAGCTGGAATAGATACCGAACCCCCTAAGAGAATCGTCATCAATCGCTAATCAGTATAAGCGAATAGTGTCATGAAACCTACCGACGTCAGTCCCAAATCCTAATGTCGTGCCTCTCAAAGCTTGCAAAGCTCCTTGCCCTGTTAGTTTCTTTAGCAAGATTCATCACAAGACGTCCACGATTTTACCTCCCGAAGAGCCTCCAGAGGACAATTCTTGATTATGGGGCAACCAATTGTAACCCAGAATATTATTGTTCGTTTCAGCGCACTGTTCGGGTAGAAGAGTTCCTTATCAGCCTTAAAGAATCAGTATAGCCATAACGCAAGACCAAACTTACCCAAAGAGTCTGTGTTAAGCTTGTCTTATGTAATGGATCAGCCTCATATGAAGCCAGAAACTCGTCAAACGGTAGCCTACTTTCGCTATTGGAATAGCCCCAAGGGCCACTAACTCTCTAACAAGCTCACTTTCAAAGTTTCCTTCTTTACCCGTGCCCTTTTCACCCTCAAATGATCCTATCCAACCAACATAAGCCATGGTAGTCTCCCCTCCTTTGACGTGAAACTGATCTTTTAGGCTGATTGGTAGCCCGTGTAAGGGACCGATTGGTTTGTTTGTCTTGGAGAAATGGCAATCGAGTTCTCGGGCACGCTCAAGAGCCGGTTCGAACAAGATCTCGAGCAAATTACAGTTCTGGTAGTGATCAATTCAGAGTCTGACCAGCTTCGTGAATTCCACATACCAATTGATGCGCAAACGCCGTCCTCTTGCAAAAAGCAGTTGCGACTTGTACTGCTGTGAAGGAGCCATTGCTAACGGCATCTACAAGCTCCACGCTATCAAGACTTGTGATCCTGCGAGTGTGCGAGTCGAGGAGCTCTTCAAGAAAGCTCCCCGTTAAATTCAGCCGATCCTTTGCTCTATCCAGGATCTCCTTGGGAAGCACCCATTCTGTTGGGATCTTGTGAAAAAGTTGGTCTCTCTTCTTGGCCGCTGTTTCTTCCCATGAAGACATTTCAGCCTCCCCCGTCCGTTCCTTGAGAACTCGCTCGCACGTCACAATCATTGGCTGTCTGGTGTCCCCGCTGCTTGTTGATACAATATCAAATTTCGTTCAATTGCTTGGGCGTCTTCCCCGGGTAGTCTCGTTTTCAATTATACCATTAACCATATTGGCTCAACTTAAGACAGAGGAGAAGCCAATCGCAAATCTGCATTTTGAGGGCCGGTCAGAAAGCTGCATCTGTCTAACCAATGAACAATACCGACCGGTGACCGGCGAGCCTGCATCTGTCCGTTCCTAATCCGTTCTAGCGCGTCATACTGCTCATATCAATTGATAATTCGTCTTGATGATTCTCGCGCTCGCCTCACTTTCTGTATCCTTTCTGCTTCGGGCAAATAGCTTCTAATAAGTCAATGGAATGCTAGATGAAGTACCGGCGAGCTCCTCCGGCTCTCTGCAACCCACAAGGGGCAGAGAAGCTGTCCGACATGGCGTTAGTAGTGACGGTCAGATTAGTGACAGTCTATTACTCCAGTGAGAATCTTCTCGGCGATGGGAGGTCATTATACTTTTGCTACTGAGGGACTGACGATATTTTCTGGGAAATGCTCAGTACTAGGTCGTTGAACCCCAGGCTCTGAAGGTCAAATTTCTATATGCCTGTTCCAGCAGCTGTAACATGATAATTTGACAGGTCTTCTTTCAAAACATTCGGTGAAGTCTCTCTCATCGAGTTGTCCAGGTCAAAACGGACAATCCTAAAGTCAATACCTTTCAAACAAGGGCCTCCAGCTCATGATGCCTCTTTCACCCAATTCCAATGGGCCAAACGACCCCGACGCAAGTCATCCAATTAAGAAGCCTATGGTATCATCTTACATTAAATTGATTGCCTGCAATGGTAAACATCAAGATTCCTTCATTGCAAACACCCCAATGAGCGCTAAAAAACTTGCATTAGGAAGTTTCGGGCTCTTGAACGAAAAAACAGCCATCAAGAGCACATCCAATATCACAAACTTCTCTGAGAGCGCTATGGTTCAACATAACGCAACTGCAGAATCCGATGGAGTCCGCAGACGTGAAAAATCGCAAAGTGTGGGGGACTTTTTATATATTGGCAGCTGGATCACGGAGGAAGTCGTCCCATAGCATCATGTGCCTTAAGTGTTAGATTGTTGATGTTAATATTATTACTAGTTTTGCGGGATCTGGAATATATTGTTGGCAAACTCCAATATTTCTTCATTTTCAAGGTTTTTAAGAGCTTCGAGTATCCCATCGATAGTAGTCTGGGAAAGCCCGTCTTTGTTTCGGGAGTAAATGTCAATGCCAGCAGGAGTGAAGAGGGTTTTGGTGAAATAGGTGACAATCCACTGGTTACCATCATCTGTATGACCAAAACCAAGGCACTCCCAATGTGAGCTGGCGAACATCAGTAAGCCTTTGCCTCGCCAATCCCAGGCACCTTGATTCTGTGGGGTTGGTCTGTCCACACCATGGACAGTCTTGATTTTCGTAGAGCCGATAGCTTGGTACTTAACAATATCATCTATCCTAGTCACCCCGGAAGAGTCGGCGGGGAGGATTTCGTAAGTGATGTTGACATTGCACTTCCCCTTCCAGAGCGGTAGGCTCGAGTGAGTTACGTGCCAGGTCCCTATGATAAAGTCGTTGGTTGGTGGAACACACTTATTCCCCTTGCTAGAATATTTTTTCGGGAGCCCGATTATGAAGTGGGGAGCCATTTGATTATGATTATGTTGGGAGTTGTAGGATCAGGTTTCTTTTTCTTGGCCCGAAAATAGACCGTGATATCACGTGCAGAATATCTCCCTTCCCAAATTCCTTCCTACATCGTTTTATCTGGCCATTGCCAATTATGTCTTCTTTGATCCTGTCCATCACAATATACGTCCTTCCAGGATGAGTTAACGCACAATGAACTTTTAGCAATGGAATAGATATTTGTTGCGGTATAAGGCATGGTTGATGCTTCAGATAAATGTATGCGGTGGCTATACTTGACACATAGTCCGCATGAGAACGCACCCTTCTCGAGGCTGAATACGCTTAAGGATTTTGATCGCTAGAAGTGTCGAACATCGATACACAACATAATTATTGGCTGGTTGGGATGGTCTTTAATACTTACTCATAACTTAATATTCTTATTTATAAGAATAATATTAATTCTAGTATTACCTATCAATTAGGAAACTGCTGACTAGTATTCATTTTACGAGGAATATAATATTACGCACTGAGTTAATCTACCAAACTCTTTTCAGATTAATGAGATTGACAAATTCCTAGAGCCAATGCCTGAAGGGCAGGCAATGGAACAGGTTCGTCAAAATACTTTGGAGATATTTGATTGATCCTGGCTTGTAACCTACACAATGTCCCGAGGCCCTTCCGCTCTATCAAGCCATATGTTAGAGTCTTTCTCATTTTAAAGTTACCGTAGATGTCAAACGAGCCTTAATATCGATGTTGAGCATTTCCAGAACTTGATTATCAAGAAGAAACAACTCCAATCTAGCTAGTCTTATCGAGTCAAGGTTCTTAAGCAACGCGAACGATATTGGAAACCGTCTAGAAGGAAACTCCATGTGCCAGATCAGAATTTATGTCAGGTTACTATTTTCATTTTCCCTCACGAGCCTCGGTGTTTTAAGTTACACATTCGCTGAAGAAAGCGAATGGTATGGCAAATAACCAATTTACTTCCGCACAGCCACTCATCTCTGCCAGCTGGATTCTCAAATTCCGTCCGGCGACAGTTACAGGGGGAGGACCGAATATGACCCTTGAAACATAAAAAGAAGTTCGTAGGAACTTTAGGGTTGGTGTATCAAATATATCGTAAGTCAATGTAAAATTACTGTAAATTGGGCTGGTCAATGTAACGGGATCTTTGAAATTTCACAAAAATTCATAATCAGCTTTTAAAAATATTTATTATTGGCTAAATTAGTCCCATATTGTCCAATGATTAAGGCTTAGCAAAGGTGTATGTAAATTGTAACGCTCAAAATGGGGCGTAATTAGGTATTACTGTAAATTGGTAAAAATCACGTAAATTTGCTGTGGTAAATTAAGGGAGCTTTGCATGTGTTGGCAAAGGACGCCTATTTTGCGGTCGATGCCAGTTTCCCAAGGCATCCAATTAGTCGCGTGACCAGCATTACTCTTAACCCCTAGTTATTATTCTATGTGCCGTTCCATTAATCAGGCCGGGATATTATATAATTGTTTTGCTCTATCTTACTTGTTTACAGCATGGTGTCAATGCTAATCACACTCTCTATGATATCAGAATGGTTGAATATGAATGGTGAACGCCAGGACGATCGGCCGGCAGCCGTCTATCTGTTATCATCCCCGCACCTAGACACTCGGTCAGAGGCTCGTTCGAGAGCAAGTGTGTCGATCATCCCATCTCAGACCCCGCTTGACGTATGAGGGCCTGACAGTGACAGATCTCTTGTACTATTATGCTATAGCATATGTTATAAAGTATATATTAAATAGCCTAGCGCCGACAAGATTGCGCTATCCCTCCGCTTTCTAAGGTGATGTGTCGGAGAGTCATGGCGTCATGCCATCTTCAACATGTTTTGGTACGAATACGTTCGGTTAGTGTTGTCCTGGTGCAAATGCTGAAGAGAGCCAGAGCCAATTAGCCGAGTGGCGACGAGTCCAGGGTGACTCAAAGCAAGGGCAGGTAATACTTTGTAATCAATTAATATTAAAAATGCGCCGCACAGAGGAATGCCCCCTTCATTTCGCACTCTTTCGCCGCATGGAATTGGGAGCACGTGGTTGCTGAACCAACCCAATATCCCGCCAAGAAAGAAGAGCGCTGCGGTCGTCCAATCACACGCGAGAGATTGTTGTTGACTGAAATCGTGTTGGAAGAAAAAGCACATTCAGTGTAGTTTAAAATTATTAAATACGAATTAGCAAATCAGATCTGAATCATAAAAGGTCAACCTCCCAGACAGAGCCAGGCCGCCTAACCGTAAGCGGCCCCCGCTGCCCCCACGGCACTATGCTGCAAGCGGCACAGTATCGCCGGTCAAGCTTTGCAGGCATCTAAAAGCGGCCTAACGTGGTACCGGTGGTCGATTCCAGTACGGCTAGCGGCATTTGTACAGGCGGTCCAGCACGTTTGAGGCTGAAATATTACCTGACAATACACAGAGTTCACAGAGCTGCTAGCCAATGGCAGCCTAGCACGGTGGCATTGATTGGCTCAGGAAAATCGCTCAGCTGTGTCCTCTAGCCTTTTTCTTCCCTCGTAGGCAGCCGAATTCACGGTAAGACATTGTTTTGCCCTCTCAGTTCGAGCCTCCAGGGCAATACTACAGTGCTTGAGAAGTCTCCTTGCCTATTAATTTGTATTCGAGAGAATAGTCCGTCAATAGTTGTCTCATCATATATGACAAATCATATATTCTATACTACTCTCTATTATTCTATAGTTATTTATTAACTAACTGTGCTGTTGTCCTTGAGACCATGTTGGTGGGGCCAAGCTTTTGTTCACTCTTGCATGTCTTGGCTCTCTCCAACAGTGGAGATCGCTAAAAATACGCACCGCGTTGAAGTATACGGAGCTTAAACCCGAGCTGCAGGGCGAGTCTCCTGCACTGTGATTGTATGGCCCGGCGATCAGCTTAGCCATAAAAATCCGCGCTGCACCTAGAGGCCCGCTGCGCTTTGTAGTCGCCGTTATTATTAGTAGTCACGCCTTCCTCCATTTCAGTCACTCTTCTTCCTCCTTCACCCTGCAGCATCAACATCATCAACATCGCACCTGCGCCTGCGCCTGCACCTGCATCTACTGCATCACATAACATTCCCTTGGCCTTCGTCTTTCTTTCCTTTTCACTTCTTCTTCTCAATCCATCCAGATCGACGTTCTTCCTGGCATGACTCGTCCAGTTTGATCATCATTATTGTTCTCGAAAAGGTCTACTGCTGCAACTGATCGATTCATACACAATGGCGCCCGTGCCTGCCAATATCCCATCTCCGCCACGGCCTTTTAGTGAGGACCCAAATCGGTCGTACGGAGAGGTATGTGCTGGCCTAGTACCCATTTCGAACAGCAGAAGCTGATTGTGAGCAGTCCACTCTGAAAAAGTTATTTACAGCACAGGACAGCGAAAGGGAAGTTACCCGCCCTCGCTCACGTCCTCAACCCGATCAACGACGGGCGGGTACCCTCTCCTGTGATGTGGCCCTGGGCTGTGGCTGGCAGCCCTCACATCCCACCTTTCAGCGAAAGCCAAAGTTACCGATCATGGAATCGTTTTCAAGAGACCAACGCATCCATGCATCCAAGAAGAAACCCTCCACTAAACAGAAAGAGCTAGAATATTCTCATTACGACAGTTCTACTACGACAAATAATGAAGTTGAAGACCAAACCGTCTACAAAGTATGCCAGTACAGCACAGGAAGTCGCTACGGCTATCTCATCGACCACTGTCCTGAAATTACACATCCAAACTCTCAATTGGCCTCACGATCTCGCCAATTTTACCACGACTCATATAATATCCCCGGCAAAGCCCAAGGGGTTCGTGTTGATCTCACTTTCGGGACGATAACCATGGTTTTGATTCTGCTGCTACTTGTGGCTATCATGATCGTTGAGGTTATTGACGTCATTTATAATGCCCGAGAATCATCGACTGACGACGAGGGTCGAGGAAGAAGTCGGACCAGACGTGCACTCTCCCGGGCCTTTATTTCTCGAAAGAAAGCAGCTTTCAAGATTAAGGATGATCAAGAAAAGGCTTCCATGGAATATCTACTGGGAGAGAACCACGACCAATGAAGGAGAACGCTCTATAACATTAAACCTATATATTACGCTGCATTCACGTGTACCATATTATTTTCTTGATTGTTTTGGAGTATGGAGCCTCTGGCATGTGGGTGCATGAATCTTCGCATTTTCGAATATAGTCTGTGTCGTGTTGACACAGACTAACACCGTGCCAACCATCTACTTCCAGGTAGCAAGGCGTGACGTTTTTAACTAGCATTTCTCAGCGACTATCCCTGGATTTCATATCTTATCTGCTCATTTGTGTTCTTCTGTTTCGCGTCCTTCAACTACACTTCATCAATAATATATGTTCAGACTGGGATGTTTAGGGCATCTTCTCTCGTTTTTTTTGTCACATAGTCGTCTCTGCCGGGCGGCGTGTTGTCATTATCGTGAGCAACATGGAAACTTGTCAAATCAACGTGGTGGTTCCTCGAATTGCATCATATTCTCTACGTCTAGTCAACATTCGCTTCCAATGACGCGCTTATGCAGCATGAGTCGGCGTTCGCTCTCGCATGCTCTCAGGATCTTTACAAGACGAGTCTCAGTTACGAAGTCTTCAAAGGCAGGGAACGAGATTTAGAACAATGAATCCTGCCCAGCCACACCGAATTTACCTGCGGTCTTCGAATATGGAATCAAGGAGCCGGTGTATGTTGCAATCAGTTCCTCTGTAGGCAGGAGAATGCTCTACAGCCATAATTGGCTAATTAAACTATGATATATTTAATAGAATCAACAAGTCCAGTTAATAATTTACTTATTTCTAAGAGTTTATCTACGCTTAAAACTTAAAACCATACCGATTGAGTATTGATCTAGACGTGTTGAATTGAGACCTAGCATCATACGACAAACCAGTCTCTCTCAGTGGGGTAACTGAATCATGCAACAGTCCGCCACAGCATTGGTCATCCATGCTCGATCAATAGAAAAAGGCTATATCCGAAAACGTCAAGTGCTGCTTTGTTCGTTCGACTTTTACAAATCGATGACTAACTTTAGGGCTTCCTTAGCTACGTCATGGCTTGATTACTGTACATACCAATAAATTCCCATGGTAGGCAAATTGAAATGAAATCCTCACCTGATTGCCTGCTCTGTTCGTTCGATTTCTACAAATTGCTTACTAATTCTATGGATAACTCAGTTATAAAGCAGTGGAATGCCCTTCAGCTTCAATTGATATATATCTATTGCGACTGCTGTCTCCTTAAATAACTCACCACTGCCCCTCAATCCGGCAGATCTCAAGCACGTCTTTTACTTGCAACTCCCCACAATAATTCCACCACAATGGGATCCACGCTCCCACCAGCTCAAGTCACACCAGCACCAGGGCTCTCATACTTCACTACAGCCAACAACGCCGGCGTCGCGGTCGTCGACAATAATTCGACCTCCATCCCAACCCTCTTCCAACCCCTCACCATCCGCAATGTAACCCTCAAAAACCGCATCGTGGTGTCACCCATGTGCATGTACTCTGCCGAAAATAACCCGTCGTCGCCTAACATCGGCGCTCTGACAGACTACCACATCGCCCACCTGGGCCATCTCGCCCTGAAAGGCGCCGCGTTGGTCTTTGTCGAGGCTACCGCCGTCCAGCCCAACGGCAGAATCTCGCCTAATGATATTGGCCTCTGGCAGCACAGTACCGATTCTGCGCAGTTCAAGGGTCTCAAGCGCGTCGTTGATTTCGCGCATTCGCAAGGCGCCAAGGTTGGCGTGCAGTTGGCGCATGCGGGCCGGAAGGCGAGTATGGCGGCGCCGTGGTTAAGGCCTGCCGATGCGGCGACAACGAGTCTGCGGGCGGATGCGGATGCGTATGGCTGGCCTGGTGATATTGTGGCGCCGTCCGGAGGCGTGGACATGATATGGGGTTCGGGATATCACACCCCGCGGTCATTGAGTGTTGCCGAGATCAAGGAATTGATCGCTGCGTTTGTGGCGTCGGCGATAACGGCTGTGAAGGCCGGCGTGGACGTTCTCGAGATCCATGGCGCACATGGGTATCTGCTCACCCAGTTCCTGAGTCCGGTCACGAATAGACGGACGGATGAATATGGCGGCTCGTACGAGAACCGCACACGCTTCGCGCGGGAGATCATCACGGCCGTTCGCAGTGCTATTCCCGCTGATATGCCACTGTTCCTGCGTGTCAGTAGTACGGAGTGGCTGGAGGATTCGCCAGTGGCGAGGGAGACGGGCAGCTGGGATGTGCCATCGACGCTTCGGTTTGTGAAGGAATTACAAGAGCTTGGAGTGGACTTGGTGGATGTGAGCTCCGGCGGGAACAATGAGCAACAGAAAATCAAGCGTGTAAAGTCATATCAAGTCGATATTGCGGCGCAGGTTCGCAAGGAGCTGCGTGCTGCGGGCCATAAGACGCTTGTTGGCGCGGTAGGGTATATCACAGATGCCGACCAGGCGAAAGACATTGTGCAAGGAGCCGATCAGGAGGATGAGCATGGTGATGTGAAAGAAGAGGCCAAGGCGGCTGAGAAGCTCCTAAGCGGGCCTGAGCCTCAGGCAGATGTGGTGTTTGTCGCACGTCAATTCCTGCGGGATCCAGCGTGGGTATTGCATGTAGCTAATGAGCTGGGTGTGAACGTTACAGTTCCAAAACAGTTTGGTCGGGCTTATTAGAGGTCCATACCATAGCTCGATATATACACATACTGTTTTCTAGATTCTAAATTGATGTTAATTAATGGATACTTACGACCTCATATTCTTGTGGGCTGCGTAGGCAGTCATCTGCAATGTTGAACAGGATTATCAAGCTTACATATCTAACTCCCTCTCAAGAAATAAAAAGCTAGACAATTTTCCTTGTGTAATGTGGAAAACTGCGTGTAGTAATTGGTGACAGTTCTAAAGCAGCGCTAACCGCATTTGTGCACACGCAGCCTTAGTCAGCAACCCTCGCCTAACTTATCGCGCACATCATTTTCTGCGCTTCCCGCAGACGATTTGCGATTTCGATTTCGACATCCGACCACTCCAATCGCCAATCCTCCGTCCAAAAAAAAAAAAGAAGCTCAATATTCGCAATGGCCAAGGTACTAAATCTCTATCAAAATGCAAAAATACATGTCTGAATAAATCCTAATTTTCTCTCGATGTCCAGGCTAAGAAGACCGGTGACACCATCGCCAGCCGTTTGGCTCTGGTTATGAAGAGTGGAAAGGTCACCATGGGCCAAAAGTCCACCCTCAAGTCTCTCCGCTCTGGCAAGGCTAAGCTGGTTAGTTTGGATCGAATTGAATATCTTGAAGGCGAATTTTAACAGCGTTTCATCAGATCTTGATCGCTGGCAACTGCCCTCCTCTCCGCAAGTCTGAGCTGGAGTGTAAGTCTCAACTTAACTACCCCCGACTGAACAATCAAAACTGACAATCAAATAACAGACTACGCCATGCTCGCCAAGACTCCCGTTCACCACTTCAGCGGCAACAACGTGAGTCTACGAAATTTTCCCACATGAACCCGAGATAATCTCCACACTACCCTGTGGTTTTTTATCGCCTTCGGAGGCAATCTCCGTTGCTCAGAGAAGAGGTCGATTCCCAGATCTGTTCTTTCCGATACGGGAAGAGGCTTCGGAGAGCGGATTTTGCTCGGAGAAGGGATCACCTTTGTTGTTTTGCAACGAAGGGATTCTGGAGAGCTTCTGACTGACATGATTCTTCTTTGCTTGCAGATTGAGCTCGGAACTGCTTGCGGTAAACTCTTCCGGTATGTTAACAAGTCAATTTTGATTGCTGGTGTATATGCTAATGATCTACCTAGCTGCTCCACCATGGCTGTCCTCGACCAGGGTGACTCCGACATCCTCTCCCAGGAGGCTTAAATTCTCGTTTTAAGAATTGCTTAATACGTTCTCATGAAGGCCATTCATTCTTTGAAGGGAAGTCAGCAAGGGTACTCTGGGTCTTGTATGATCGTGAATCATATCCAGACCTAGGTGCATTATACATAAGACCACATGCTGTGTTTTACAAAACACAGTCGTGTTGGGCAATTTTGCCAGGCGTCCCGGGAGGAAAAAAGTTTTCTCTAGCTTACCATGATACCACGATCAAAAATTCGAGATTATTGAGCTTCATTTTTCTTCCATTCCCTCTTCGAGTTATGTAGAGGTAGAAATTAGGCTTGTTGGGACGGCTTCAAACTTCTGAGTTGAGGCGTTATTATCAAATGATATTTTGGCGTTGTGGGTTAGCGTTTTACTTCAATTCATACTTTCAAAATGAAGCCCACAAGGTGTAGATGATTGCAAACTTGTAGTAATGCTGCTCTACACTTTCCAGATAAATTTAGCCCATGGTAGGTAGTGAAATAGAAATAAATGGCTGATGAAATTATTCGTCAATCCTAAATTCCCGCCTCTATACACCAGTAAGAAATAAAGAACGCCGTATGCCTAGAACGAGAGAAGTCAAGCCATATCCCCGTGAACAGTGCCGACAAGAACAAGGAGCTTTTCTGCCGTGATAAAGTATGAAGAAAGCAAATGAAGAACGAAAAGAAAATATACACCAAATCTAGGCAAATCGAGAAAAGTTTTCCCTCAGATCTTGACCTTTTCTTGCTCCTTTTGAGCCAATTTCACTATATCCGCGAATGTCTTGCCAAAGTCTTCATCGTCTCCTGCCTCACCGTCCTTCTTCTTGTTCTTTCCGGCGGATTTGGGGGTCACCATGACTACGCTGGTAGGGCGCTTCGTGGCACCAGCAGCACCGAGTTCGGCTCTCGACTTTACGAACAGGTAGGGAACGCCGTGCTCTTCGCACAGCACGGGAATATGACTGATGACATCCGGTGGAGAGATGTCTGCGGCGAGAATAACAACTCCAATAGGCTCTGTGACAGCAACGTTGGCGGCTGGGATGGGGCTTTTGCGAAGAGCCTTGACGACTTCCTTGACGCCTCGCTTGAGGGATTTGTTGACAGCGGCTAAACAAAAACAATCAGTACCATAATCATAATCATATAAAATGCAAACCCGGTACAACATACACTTCTTCACAGTCTTAAACACCTTCTTGGCAGTCTTTTCTTCTTCGACAAGAGGGTTCGCAAATGGCACCAGGGCACCAATTGGTTTGTCGGCAAGCTCAGTGACTTCGACGGCGCCATTGACCTCCACAGTCTCAGGCTTCTGCAATTCCTCCAGTATTTCCTTCTCGGCGACTTCGGACAGCTTCTTTTCCTTCTTTTTCTCTTTCTTCTGCTTCTGCACGCCGTCGGTTTCAGAGCGCTTCTTCTCCTTCTTCTCCTTCTTGTCTTTTTTCTCGGATTTGTCCTTGCCCATTTTCAATGGCTCTTGAGAGCAATGTTAAATTCTTTTGAAAATCGGCGGCGAATGAGATGGTGTTAGAGTCAAGAAGAAATCGGCTGAAACTCGATGGTTTAAAAAAAATCAGTCCCAAGGTTTAGTACTCCGCACACCTTGAGAAATTTTGGCGCTAGGCCTGATTTGGTTCCAAGCTCGATTTCCGCGTCGCCGACTAGCTCAGACAAGTTATGATCAAGCAAAACAATGCAACATCTGGAGAATGAATTGATCGGTCGCGCCTTATTCCCACAACAACTCGTAGGGCATCGCGTCCCTCGCACATTTATGCGGATGGTTCGCCTTTTAATGCACTCTAATCCTGACTGTCATTCCCTCCGGTCTCAGTAGTCAATCTGATTTGGGCGACCTCGTTTACAGCAATGGCTTCCAGCGAAGTATCGTTCCGGCAGTCGATCCGGCCGTCACAACCGGTCAAGAGAGGTACGTCTTGCTGTGGCGATTTCTTTACTCAGAAGAAAACGTGCTGACATGGGGGTTTTCTCAGATGCCGACAACGAAGAGTTACGTGTTCAGGTGAACACGCTACGTTACGAGCTGGACAATCTCAAGCAGGAGCGAGATTTGACGGAACTACGAAACGAGAAAGAGCTCCGAGAGCTTCAGCTCAAAGCGGACTCTGATTTCAGGAAGGCGCAGGTGAGTTTGCACGGCGAGTATCAGTGATACGTGCTGTCTGCTCTGTTCTAATGGGATTTCTACGCATTATATAGGCAGCTGAAGCATCCAGCAACCGCGCGAATAGCAAAAGCGAAGCTCTGGCCAAAGAGCTGAAAGAAGTCCAAGAATCTGCGCTGAACGAAAAAGCGAACTTTGAGCGGCGGATCAGGACATTACAAGACCAAAACCAGTCCATCCAGGAAGAAATGACCGATGTACAGGCGCAATTGTCGAATCAGGAACGGCAATACAAATACCAGATCAACGAACTCGAGACAATCCGTGTATCCCTAGCAAAGACGGTGGAAGATGTTCAGAAGGACTTACAAACTGCAAAAGACCATGCAGATTCAGTACAAGAACGGCTTTCGCAGCGTGAAATAGATGTCACAAATTTAGAAACAGAGAACTTACGCTTAAAGGCCGATGGTGGCGGGGCTGAAGAGCTGGTTGTTCTCAAAAGGGAGCTTTCCGAGCAAGTTGCACATATCAAGAGTCTCGAATCGACGAATCGCGATCAAATAACAGAATTGCGCCATCTACGCAAAGTTCAGAAGAATGTTGAAGTTGTGGAGGAGCAGAAGAAGTCCCTTGAAAATCAACTACAACTGATGAAAAACATTGAGACCGAGCTCGGGAACGTACAAATCCAGAAGCAAGTTTTGGAAGATGAGCGCAGGTCATGGACTAGTCTCCTCCAATCTACCGACGATCTTGCAAATCTCGACTCTCCGGAGGCTGTCGTAAAGGCACTTGTTCAGGAACAAGTCGAGAAACTCACTTTCCTTGATAAATTAGGCAATGTCGAGCCTCAACTTCTAGAAAAGGACGAGATTATTCAGAGTCTAGAGGTTGAAAAGCGTCAACTTAAACAGGACCTTGAAAAATTTCGAAATGCTGCGTCCGCATCTGGTGGGCCTGGCGATACCCGTGCTAAGCTGAGGCTAGAACGCCAGCGAGCGCTGGCAGTCAAAGAAGTTGAATATCTCCGCGCACAGCTGAAGACATTTGATATGGAGGAATTGACCATGCATGAAGAAGAGAACCGCTATGATGAGCACAAAAACCAACAGATCGCGCAACTTGAACAGATGGTTGACGAATATCGCGTGGAGCTACATAAAATCCACGAAGAACTATCAGCTCGTGAAGCATCGCCAGAGGAGGCACCATCTCGAGGCCTGAAAAGACCTCTATCACCCGCAGACAGCGATGTCGAATCGGAACGTCTTTCTGTACTATCCCGCAAGAACCGTACATTGCAAGAAGCGCTTTCCAAAGCTGAACAAAACTCCAAGGTCCTACGTCACGAATTAGACGCAACCAAATCACATCTTACCACTTTACAAGAACGGTCACGAACTCGGATACTCGAGCTGCGTGCAAATCCCACATCAGAAGCCGAGAACTTAAAGATGTCGACACTGCGAACCCTGCAAGCCGAAAACCGAGATCTTCTCTCACAACTACGAGGCGACCACTCAAAGGTCCGAGTAGTTCCCATCAGCACCATTGAGAGCCTTAAGCTCGAAATGCAAGATATGGAACGCACGGTTGCAGAGAAGGAGAAGCGCATGCGCCGTCTGAAGGAAATATGGACCGCCAAATCATCTGAATTCCGTGAAGCAGTTGCCTCTGTGCTTGGCTACAAGCTTGATTTCCTTCCGAATGGTCGTGTTCGGGTTACCTCCATGTTTCATTTATCGCCGGCTTATCGACATGGTGATCGCAATGCAGGACCAGATGCTCGTGGCCCAGGAAGCATGGGGAACGACGAGGAGAATTCAATTATATTCGATGGTGAAAACGGCACAATGAAAATTTCAGGTGGCCCGAATAGTCTGTTTGCGTTGGAAATCAAGCATCTGATTAAGTTTTGGGTTGAAGAAAGGAAAGATATACCGTGTTTCCTTGCTGCCATGACCCTTGAGTTTTATGATAAGACAACTCGCGCAGCTCGGGTGTAAAGAGCAAGCACAAGAAATATATGACAACAATTACAAAAGAGTCCATATTTCGTTAGGTGGTGGCTTCTAGATACCCGGTGAAGATATCCAACATTTAACGTTGATATCAGCTCGTCAATTTTGCGTAATGTTTTATTACCAAGATATTTATATATATGAGTATGTTGGTTGCATGTGATATATCAGTTCCAAATTAGTATTGTTGTAGAAAGATGGATAAGAATGGGCAGCTATATCTATTTGGCTATGGTAAGGACGACAAACAACGAGCAGAAAAATGACAACATGCATCCGGGAATCAGCACCGACTCAGCTTTTTCATCCACTCCGTATTCCTCAACCTCATCTTCTGATAAAATAACAATATCGACTGAAGAACAACCAAGAAATACAACACGTCCTGGACAGTCTACAATTTTTCCGCTTCTCAGTAGACAGGCTGTGTCCAGTTGGTCACCCGGTATGCGCGGCCTTATCTATCCATACATACCGAGCTACCAGCTATTCAGGTTATATTGGAACTGGGTTACAAGTAGATCACCATTTGAATTTTACACTTTTCTTACCAAGAGTATACAATCTCCATTCACTATTCATATTACTCGAAAACATTGATCCATGATCACAAAGTTGATATCTATTGCAAGTGCCAACTTGAAACATTTTGTGATGGGCGGGGCTATGAAATAAGCGCTGGGATGGGTTTATTTAACAAGCAAGATGTTCATATAGATGGGGAAGGAAACACTGTTGGGGTAATAAAAAGTGAGAAGAAAATGCTGTTAAGCCAGAATACTAAACAAGAGAAGCGAAAGATAGGCTGTCCAAAACAGTCGACACAACAAGATAAGTTGAGTAAATTTTTATGAAAAATTAAAACCTTTGGCAATCTCACGTAGAGACATATTTGCCAGCTGTCAGTTTCCGCAAAGTGTGAATTTCCTTCCATGCTATCGAGGCTTGAGTAGATGGGTTGATAGCAGTTCCTTCGTCGGCGAACGGGTCTTTTTCGTTTTGTCCTGCAGTCTCAGCGACGCTGACGCCTAATCGTGGGGATGTTTCCGCTGTGTCGTATTCGAATTTAGTTTCAACCTTCCCTTTACGAGGCCAGCTCACAGCAGTGGTAAACCGAACAAGCAGTTTACTGTCTGAGTCAGCTCTAACCTCTAATTCGGGCAGTTTCCATACAACTGCAGACTGTTTGCGGCGGAAAACGGCGCCGGTGTTCGGGTACATAGCGACGTTTGTTGCTCGTGCCACTTCGCGAGGCTGCTTAGTTATCTCGTCTTCGGGAGAGAGGTCCAAGTTGACAGTGATGATGACATTTTTCAAAATGATCGACTCTAATGGTGTGCTGGCCACAAAGGCTGGGTTAAGTTTGTAAGGAATAATAGTACTTGCTTGGAATTCTTCAATATTCCAAGCTGGAGTAAAGATGACGGGAGAATATGATGATAGGTTGGAGGGCGTAAGATGGATTTGATATTTGAAAGCAACGGTGGGAATAGGCCGTGCAATCTTTGCCAGAGACACGTTATATTCGCCACGTTTTTCGTCATCAGTGTTGGATACCTCAGCCACAAAATAAGGATTTGCCGCAACCTTTTCAAGCAATGCAAAATTATCCAGACGTACTGTGTTGGTTTGTGTGGTGGAACCTGCGGCGGCATTGTATGCTAATGCAAGCTCACCAACGACGAAAGACTTCGTAATATTGCCTCCTTCAAACCAACTGTTGACTGTTTCGACTACAGACGCATTCAATCCAGGTTCATGTAGCTCTGGATGAGAAACAGGACCCGCAATACTATGCAGCGTGTGCGATGAGTGAATCGACGTTGTGTCTGACATTGCTTTATCTTCCTGGCTTGGGACAGGTGCAGCTGGCGCCGCCGGGGTAGGAGACACAGCCAATGTATTTGGAGAGGTTAATGTATTCGGAAATGCCGCTGGTGCTGCACCAAGTCCAGAACTAGGTCCTTGTTCTGAGCCTGCTGATGGCGCTATAAAAACAGTGTTTCGAACATCGCGTCGACCACGAATGGTTCCTGCGTTTCGCCTGACACCAGACTGCAACCCTTGCTGTTACATGTTAGTTCCTTTTTCAGAAATAGCTGTTCATGCGTAATTACCATGCGTAGCGTATTCGCCATGTCATCCATAGCCTGCTTGGCTCGCCCTTCGTCTTCGTGAATCGGTTCATCTCGGATTTTGAGGTTTAAGCCTGATTCCTCCAGTCTACCAATTCAATTTAGATTAGTCAACTTTTTCATGTAGTGGACGTAAACGAACCCTGCGGCTTCTCTCTGTGCTCTTGTTATCTCATCGATAATCTGTGGCCGCTCAGAATACCCTTCCGAGTCTATCTGTGGCTACAGGGAGAAACAGCGTTAACATGTGAGGTCTAGATTTAGATAAGGCACATACCTGGGCGACTGCTGATTGGCTCTGTCCCGTGGCTTCGTGTTTGGTAGTTCCATTTGTAGTAACAGTTGTTTCTGTCACCTCCTGAATTGGCGCAATGGTGCTGGATTCTTCGCGTACGGGAGGCTCACGCAATGAGACAGACGTAGTAGGGCTAGCTGTGAAGTCGCCTGTAATGCTGGGGGTATCTCGACCTGGAGGGGTCGACGGAAGTTGCTGTGCCTCCCGAGATGAATCTCCTCTACGAAATGTAAAGGCTGGCCGGATCTTCTTCTCCTGACCGGAAATCGAAGAACCAGAGCCCAATACAACACTTTTACGACGATTCATCACGGTTCCCAACCTGCGTAAACCTCCCAACTTTGGCGTATGTCTGGGTTCAGGTACTACGACCATGTTAGCTTTGTATCGCAGGCGTATGAAGACTTCTTACCGGGAGGAGGCTCGCGAGCGAAACGGCCAGACCGATTAGAGTGCTGGCTAGCCGCATCATCAGGAATACGAGGTGGCGGAGGAAGATCAGCAATTTCTGTTGACACAGGAGGTGACGACACGGGAGCTAGAGGCGTGGGAGCTGCATTAACTGAGCTGCTTCTTCTCAAAGGCGCCGATTCTCTTCCTCCATTGATCTTGGCAGCAAATGTTTTGATCTCATCAGCCGTCTGGACATTAAGCAAGGCATTCAAACAACTTTCGGCGGTTTGTCGACTTCGTTCTATTTGGTCGACTTCATGGGTTTGAAGTTGGGTAAGAACGTCGCGGAGATGGTTAAGTCTGCTCTCATCAACTGATTGAAGCTGTTCGAATACGAATGGCGCGCGGGATTCCCATTGTTGAGTAGCTTCGGCCAAGGAAGTTGAGGCTGCGGTTGCTTTTTCTGAGCCCTTGGACCGTTTCTCTTTTGCTTTTTCCAACTTTTTCTGCGCAGCTTCCAAGCCTTTCGACAAGTGCACCAGGTCATTACAAATTGAAGGCATCGAGGCCAACTCGCGGTGCCTTGATCCATAGTCCCTCAGCGGTTTCTCCACATCTTCTTCGATTTTCGATGCAAGAGTTTCGTGTGAGGCTGCAAGCGATTCGGTGGCATTGATAATCCGTTTCCATGGCATCTGAAAGACACTTTTATTGTTTTAGCAAGCCTCACCACCTTTTTACAAGACATGCTCTTACCCCAACGAAACGTTCTCCTCTGGCTGCGGTCTCCGCGCAAGTTTGCGAAGACCTTGCACATAGAGCTCCTCAACGCGCCTCCGCTCCTATTCAAGCCGTACGAGTCAATACATAGCCTTATAAGCCCATACACTCGCCTATTTGGGACGTACCTGCAACCAATCGGCGATGTCAGTGTTGACTTTGTTAATCACACGAATGCGATCGTTCAAAACCGTGGTAGCCTGATTCGGCTGCAGCGATGTCTGATGATCATAGACGGTTAGCGACATGTAAAACCAGCGGGGGAATGCTGCAATTCCCGTCAACGCACCAACAATGCCGGGTACTCTTGTCTTGTTAGATCCATGGCAGCGGCTCCTATTGTCGTGTGGAGTACATAATATAGCGGCGATTAGCGAGAGAGCAAGGCGGGAACTAGAGATTAATGATTAATGCGAGCCTTCAGATAGGAGGAGCTAATGATAACGGGGCTCGAGCCGAGTCGGGTCTGTACAGCGCAGCTATGCAGCAACAACGATCACAGAGAAGCCATCTTGAGTCTTGACGAACGTCGGGCGAGGTTGCTTGCTAGGGCGGAGAAAGGCCCGCAGTTTGCCGCTCTCCACCGGGCTGATTCGCCAATCGTGACTGCCGATTCCGTCACTGTTGGGAGCCGCCTCTTTTGCTCCCTCACAGTCTCCCCGCGTCAGCAATGATCACCACGACGACCGTCTGCTAGCAATTACTTCCTGTTTCGCTCCAGGCTCACGGTCTGAGAAAGAAGCGATACAGTCCTTTGCTGCACCAGGGCTCAGAAATGAGTGTTGAGCGTTCCGACTCTGCCGTCCACTCGTAGACTAACGAACCAATTCGGCTAGTAGCGCTCAATTCTACACCAACAGCAGTTCAAACCAATAACTATTATTATGTCGGATGCAACATGGCTGACGATTGGAGGCCCGCGCTTGGTTTCACAGATCGGCTAACAGTAATTCAATCCATGTAAGCCGATGCTCTGTTGAGCTCTGTCTATTTGTATTGCGCGGTCTCATGCTTGTCTAGCACATCTGCCTATCGCAATGCCTCGCCTTCTGCAAGCTTCACAGAAGCTCAATCGCACGCCAAGCGGTACGAGAGTGAAGCATACAGCAAGGCAGCTTCCAAGGTCTGTATCTACAACGATTATTGTCTGCTGGTTTAGGTTGTGTATGCTAAGGTAACTTAAAGGGCGAATACGATCAACTATGGCAGCAAGCAATTGACGAAGTTGAGGCGCAACATTCAGTTGCTCCTGTGATCGATAGCCCACATTATAGTCCCGATCAAGGAGAAGAGCAATACCCAGAGGGTACTACTACGGTTGGTAAATATCAACACTGCCGACACCATGCCGACGGGCTACTTTCTACCATCTACCGCACCAAAAACGATGATGGCCTATTACTTGCGTTAAAAGTCACCACCCCGCATCTCATGGGTCCCCCTCATGATTCTAAGCGCGAGCTGCGGTTGCTGAAGGAGGCGGCGAGCTCGCATGTTATCCCATTGCTCGAAGCATTTGACTTGCCGGGCGGACAATTGATATTGGTCTTCCCATACATGCAATCAAATTTTGACGAGCTCCTTCATCAAGATGTGTTAACACCCTTGCAAGTCAGGTCCCATCTCCGAGATCTGTTCACTTCCCTAGCACATGTGCATAGCCTGGGTATCATACATCGTGATGTCAAACCCTCTAACATACTGTTGAAAAGCCCTGCGGGGCCAGCGTACTTAGCTGACTTCGGAATCGCATGGAAAGACGGTGATGCAGGCTCTGAACCGAAGACGCGGAAAATTACCGATGTTGGAACAACCTGTTATCGGCCGCCAGAGCTTCTCTTCGGTTCAAAGGATTACAACACGACATTGGATATGTGGGCAGCTGGTTGCGTGGTAGCAGAAGCTGTGGATATAAATCATCGCCAGGTGTTTGACGCAGGACCTCTCGGCAGTGAGCTTGCACTGATACAGTCGATATTTAAGACTTTGGGAACACCAGACAGCTCCGTGTGGCCAGTACGTAATCTGAATAGTGACATCATTATGCTTGATATGCCTGCTGACAGCTGCATAGGAATCTGCGAGGTTGCCAGATTGGGGGAAATTTGAATTTCATAAATACCCTGCCAAGCCATGGGAAGAGATACTCAAGGGAGCTTCTTCTCATAGCCGTGACCTGGTCAGCCAGTTAATCTGTTATGAGAGCTCTTCAAGGTTGACAGCGCTACAGGTATGGTTCGGTTTATTTGTTATTAATTAGCGACCGTTAACAGTTTGTAGGCTCTACAGCACCCATTTCTCTCTGTGTAAAGCAAATCTCGTTTATATACGCTCCAGTAGCCTTACCTACGATCTTCGGTGTGACAGGTTTCCTAGATTTTAGACTTGGAGCGGGCATCAACAAGAATATGCTTGAGTATTTTGTGGTTACTGGTTTTGAGTCCCGCGTATTTCGTTTCTGTTTCTCTGCGCTATGGGTATATTCAGTCTCTTGGTTTGGCACTAGTTACAGAGTATTCATTCTTATAGTATGGTCATTTAGAAAAGGTATCGTAGGCAAATAGCTGAGATGCTTCTATTCAATTTCCATCTATGAACCATACATGAAAAAAACCAATCGCAATGGTTTTTTTTCCCTGGTCATTTCTATGTGTCAACTAAACAAGCATGGTTGATTCAGAAACCTCAAATGCAGTAGCTACTAGTTGACATATGCATCCCGATTGACGAGATCCCATTGGAGAAGCAGCCGGTTGACATTTTAATATATCAACTTCAATTTACTCTTGAATTTGCTCTTCTATTACTTTGTGTCGATTACTGCGAGGAATATTGGAAAACATTAGTCCGGAAAGACGAGTTCACTGTCAGTAATCGCCTGATATATAGCTGTATAAAACATCTACAGTTGTATTTACCTCAGCAAAAAATTGATGACTATGAAAGTTAACCATAGGCACACCACCTCCCAAAAAGGTCGAGAAGCTAAAAAAAACCGACATTAATCAGAAAATACCCCAAAGACGTGTGTTTAATATAAAATTTAAAAGCTAATATAAGAAATGATAGTTATGTATCAAGCTTCAGCGGGCCTCGAGATGATCCTAGCAAGCATTCATAAAAGAGTTTTGGAAAATTTATTGCTAGCGGCCTGCTGGCCTAATGGTAAGGCGTCTGTTTCCGGTGCGGATATACAGGCGATTGCAGGTTCGAGTCCTGCGTAGGTCGATTTTTTTTTTTACCACAGTTCAAGATACCCTTTTCCCTTTCTAGGGATTTATAGCTAGACAAGGCTTGGTTTACTCAAAGATTTTTACTAACGTGGTAATCTCCCCGTTTTTTTACGGCACGAGCTCGTAGCCAAAACTACAAAAATAGATCAACCAACGCGAGTACTAGAATCACTTATTAATTATTAATAATTGTAGCATCTCCTTTCAATCTAAATTCAGAGCCATCATGAACGTATGATAGGACAGCGCCATATCTATATTCAAGAATATCAGATAACCACTATTCGTATTTTGCAATGATAATCCAAACCTCTGAAGTCATCCGGTTTCTTCCCTTGTTTCAAGTTAAAAAAAGATCGCCTCACGCCTTTAATGATGCACTGAGGCCACTCATAACGCGAGAGCGACTCATTTCCGCTTCGCAGGCCAATGTGAGGCTGGCAGGAAATGAGGTTGGCTGCGCTAGGCTGGGCCTGGCTTAACCTCGGGTCATTCTCAAGAGTGGCTGACTGTGGCTAGCCTGATCCGGGCAAGCGAGGCTCCGACACATCCGGTGCTCCCGCTGTGATTGGCGCGAACCCTTCCTGTCCCTGGATTTTTCATTGTTAAGGGCGTGTGTCGCGCGGGTTCTGTTACCGTATTGTTACCAGGAACGCTTCCATTGTGTCCAATAGAAGCATATAATTACATCAGCCGCCCGCTAGTGCAGGAATACGGTAATCACATTTCCCTTAGAGCCTTGGAACAAACACCGCTGCGACCTAAACTGGCCCTCGCAGCCTAGGACTACCGATATCATTAATGTTACCACGGGCCCCTAAGGCCAAGGCCAAGGCCAAGCAAAGTCGCAATATAATGCCTGCTCTGTGTGGCTTGCCAACCTATGCTTCCAGGTAATAATACCGAGTGCGCTGAATCTTTCCCTCTTCCCCCTCGTGGCTTCTGCATAATCAACATTCCATTCTTTCAGGTGATAACAGCCTCCACTCTTGCATCCTGCTGCAGTCCCGATGCTCGTCGCAGATCAGCCTCATATCGATTGTCATAGGCTGTAGGCTGTAGTCTATCTACGTTCTTTATCTCACGCTCTTTTTCTGACGCTGGACACCTACCCGCGCATCAACGGGCCACATTCTTTTCGGAAACGTCACAACATCACTCCCTCTTCACTCGCGTTCACCATCGGGGAATGGTCGCGACTTGACTTTCTTCGATTTCGAGGATTTGTTTTCATCTGTGGCTTCTTCGCCCGGTAGTCACCAGTTCTTGGCCTCATTGACTTTGCTGTTATTCGGGCTCTTTTATATGGTCGACGATAATATCAACCAAAATGCCACACGACCATCATCATCATCACGTTAAGCGTGATTTCATTTCCGATGTCGAAAGTTGGTTTGGATTTGGTAGCGACCCTACTTCGACTCAAGACCCAAATGCTGGGCAGACGACTGCTATTGTGTACGTGACAATGCAGCCAACCTTCACGGGGCCTGTTGGTGGACTTGTCACGGAAACTTCGAAAAGTGACGACCAAACTACTGCCCCAGCAGGGAAGGGACCACCTGTTCAACAAACGCATGCTGAAACGACGAAGACAAAGGAAATTGAATCCACAAGTACGAGCACAAGCACTACTAAAAAGGACCCGAAAACTACACATACAACCACACATACAGATACGTCGACGAGTTCCACGTCAACCACGACAAGCGAACCCTCTACAACCACCACCTTTTCGACAGCCGCTGCGACTACCAGTCTGGTTACTACGTCCTTGAGCGCCGCATTAGATCAAGCCACCTCCTCCTCTACTCCTTCTGCTACTCCTTCCGCATCTAGCTCTGGCGGTCTTTCTGGAGGGGCGAAAGCAGGCATTGCTATTGGAGTTCTGCTCGGAGTAGCTGCAATTGCCGGTTTGATACTTTTCTGGCTGCACAAACAGAAGCAAAATAGGAAAGAGGCTGAGGCAGCAGAAGCAGCAGTAGAGGCAGCGGCTGCAGCCAGAGAGAAGCCCTTTACTCCAAGCCCGCGGCCACCAGTGGCAGGCGCTCAGCCACCGATGTCAAATGCCCCCAATTCATCAGGCCCAAATTCTCAATTTGGTTTGCGCCCAGGTGCTAACGGGAACGCATATGCTGCTGGTGGTATGAGTGTGGCAGCTGTCGGCGCAGCTGTAAGTGCTGCCGCTTCATACCGAGGCTCGGCGCATTCGCCACCAGGCCAGGACCCATTCAACGACCCAGCAAATCCATTTGACACTAGCTCCCAGTCCTCGTCTCCGCCATTGCCTGTCCCTAAAGATGACCCTGTAGGAGGAAGCCAAGTTAGAGATCTAACGTCCTCGCCAACTGGAAGTGGTACTGGAATTCCGAGCTCTCTTTCTGTAGGCACTCCCGCCGATCATGCAGGTGAAACTGCTGCCGCTGGAGCAGTTGCTGGAGCGGCTGTAGCAGCAGCAGCCGTGGCCAAAAAATCCGATGAACATCCTCAACAACGCACGCCCTCCCCCGAGTACCGGGAAGGAAGCCCCGACGGTGGTCCAGGCTCTCGTCCCCAATCGCCCTCTGTGGGTGGTGCACCATTTTCAAGCAATGTTCATCGTGTCCAAATGGATTTCACGCCTACCCTGGCAGACGAAATGGAATTGCGCGCCGGTCAACTGGTTAGAATATTGAAAGCATATGACGACGGATGGGTAAGTCCTCTCAAGTCGTCTGTTCCAGATTCACTATACTAATTTGACAAATAGGCTCAATGTTCTTCGATGGATGGATCAATTAGAGGTATCGCGCCACGCAGCTGTCTTTCTGCACGCCCATTACAACCCCGAAGACCTCCCGGCCCCGGCCAAGGTCCCCGTGGCCCTCAATACATGGGACCGAATGGTAGACCAATGTCTCCGGCGGGTGGTCGAGGTCCCCCGTCTGGAGGACCACCCCGTTTCTACCAGGATGGTCGTCCTATGACACCCACGGGACAAGGCTCGCAATTCCCTATTCCTCCCCCAGTTTCACGCTCAATGTCACCGGATATGCCCCGTCCATTGACACCCGGAGGATCGTCTCGTCCATCAAGTCCAAACGGCGGGCGAGTTCGTAGCAACAGTTCCACACAAAACTCACGGCCACCGATCGTTCAAGCCGGTCCAAGTCCCCTTGCTCCACCAACAGGACCTTTACCCGGTCCTCCAACGCAAGCCCCCGAGCGCTCTGAATCACATATTGGAAGGAAGCCTGTTCCTGGCTCGCAATAGCATTAGGAACTTGATCTGACTTGTCCATAATTTCATGAGCGATACCCCCCTCTTTTGTTGATTCACCTTCAGCTAGTGCACAATTGTTTTATATTCTGTGGAGCTAGGCTTTTGCCTTTCCACATTAAAATTCTTAGCCACTATTTTTATCGCCTTGGTCATGTGTTTATCAGAATGGGCACTGTTCTGATACTGACTTTGATCTATTATTTTTGGGCCAACTTGCTTTCTTCACATATTGTATATGAATGTATGTATTTAACTTCACGTCATGTAACTTTTTTCCACAGTGAAGTGTCGGTTTCTGTAGATGTATCGAATAATACTCCTATAAAAGAGAAGCCAATTTAGAGTTGATATCAATCAGTAACTAGTATTTTGTCTACATATGGCGTCTGTATAATATCTAAATGCTAAAGGTAGTATTCCGAACATCGAGTGCAAAATATCTCAAAGGTAATGTGAGTTCATGCAAAAATGAAAAGAAAGAACATCATTATTATAAATGGGGAACGCCCATGCTAGCTAGAATTAGATTGAGAATGCTAAGTACTCCTTCACCGAGGATAAGTCCAGATGCCAGAACAACCACAGTAGACGATGACTCGTCTTCAACTGCTGGTGGTGGTGTGTGCTGTTTTTGACGTTGGATTAGCGGATGGTGGTCTTCCGCCCCTTCTCCTTCTTCCTCCCCGTCATGTTGTTCTTCGGTGGCCGAACCAGCAGCAAGGATGGATGTCGGGTTTGGGTCAATTGGATTAGTAGATAAGCTGGTATCTTCATGGACCTCCTTTCGATTCCGCCGAGCCCACCACCAAGCAATCGCTCCTCCAATCGCGCGTGCGAGCGTGAAAGAAGGAACATTGAACATGCCCACTGCGACTGCGATGCCACCGGGTACGAATGAAAGCCATGGAGGGGATTGGTTGAATGGTTTCTTGTAAGTGCTTATAATCCTCAAGACTGTCGTGACCACGAATATGATACCAAAGATAATTGCCGCTTGCCACGCCATTGGTGGAAGACCTTGGCCCGTGACTAATCTAGCAGTGAAAATCCACACAAACGCAGTGGGGATCTGGAATTGGTCGCTGGGTATAGGGTATACGTTGACATACATCTTGTATACTGCTGTTGAAACAACGGCGCCAAAGAGACTACCGATGACTTGGCCGTAGAATTGAGCTTTGGGGCTTGCACCGAGGAGATGGCCTGTTTTGAGGTCTTGCATCATGTCTCCGGCTTGGAGAGCGCCGGCCTCGGATACTGCGCCGGCGAGCAGATTTGTGACGACGGCGGAACGACGGGTGTGCATTGATGCAGGAGTGGCAAGGGAGAATATGAGTTGAGTGAGTTTGCTGATACCAGATACCGGGTTCAAGTCTGTTTCACCGAGAGCTCGAACGCCCATTATGGAGAGGAGAACAGCTAGGATGGTGGCAAGCGTTGAAAGAAAGGGCGATATGATGTCCCCAAAAGCTATGTGCATGCAAAGAACATTTAATACCAGTGTGACTGGAAGAAGAATCGCAACAGTTCGAGACGATATCAACTCAGATGCCGGGGCGTCGTCTTTTTCGTCCTCATCCTCATTCTCATGCATGGGTGCCGGTTCGGAGGACGAGTGAAGTGTGGAATATCTGATGTGAGAATGGAAATTTGAGTTACGTCTCTTGATCCCATTTTGCCGTAGTGATTGTAGTTTCGTTGCGAGTCGGGGAAAGGATTCGTACAGAGTCCGAGCAATGAGCCAACCTAGGTTGATTATGGAATCAGCAAGCATAATAGCCAGTGATACCCAGATAATCCATCCTTTGCTTCCATTCTCCCAGTCTCCTACGGGACCAGGTGCCCAGCCTTTGTTCTTGGCAATAGGGGACAAGATGGCCCACCCTAAGACAGCGCCAAACAACATATGCATGGAGGTCGAAGGTCCCATTATGATTCCCTGGCCGACATAGGCAGGAGAAGGATTCAAAGTCCATAACCAATTTTGAGCAAGTGACAATCCAAATATGGGAAGGTCCCGGATTTGAGGAATGAAGTATGAAAAAAGGGTCTGTAATTATTAGAAAATTTATTTCATCCATGGCGTCGCACTGACACTCACATAAATAGCAGAGACAGCGAAGGCGCCAATAAGCAAGCGGATCTTTGACTTCCAATCCTTCCTTCTGTCATTCTTGGTAGGCTCTATTGATCCCAGGTTGGATGTTGCTGATCGCTCTTGTGGTAGAGATCCACGACTCAACAGTCTGTCTTCGCCTGTTAGAGTCTGCTCAGTAGTTTCTCCAGTCTTTTCATCTCTAGAGCCTCCATGTAGCATTCGGATCATTAATGCTGTGGCAGTCCCGCTAGGAAATCGTAATTTTTCACGGATGATTACCTCTTTCCGCAAGGGCACAGCGAAGATTGCACCGAACAAGCAGACTCCAAGACTCCATATTACCAGCTTCCAAAAGCCAACATTTAGTGGGCCACCTTCGCCTATTCCGCCATCTCCAGACGGCCCGTCTGCACCGTCTCTTAACAAATATTCTAATGCTGGTATAACACCCACAAACCCACACCCTAATGGCATTGTTCCAACTGCGCCGGCAACAGTCTGAATGAGAACGTTTTCGACTGGCGTGAAGGGGAACGAGAGATGCTTCGAGAGGCTTTTGAAGACAGCGAAGCCGATTAGCGATGACGGCATAGTCATAAGACTCATCCAGCCAGTTTGGAGGCCGAAATATGTATTTGAGAAGATAATCAATGTTCCGATAATGAGGCCGACGGCGAGCGAGCGTGGCGTAAAGCTCTGCGCCGAGGTAACCGGAGCTTTCGTCGCAGTGAAAGCTGTACTATGTTCATATTCCGTATTTGGATTTTCATTTCCACGATCATGAGTATCTGCAGTTGCGCTGTCTCTACCGACGTCAGTATGAGTGTTCGACGAATTGCTCGTGGAGGCCATCGTCTGGTAGTTCATTGAGCCTCTGGACAGGTCTCTGTCCAATAGGTGCCGCGCGTAAATCTATTATTATAAAGTATGTATCAAAATCATGGCTATATATGAATATGCAAATATTGGAAGACAAGAGTTCATTGACATAAAATGAGAGTAAAGACGAGAGCGCAAGGCGGCGAGTGCGGAGAAGCAAAGCTCCATTACTAAGAAATCCCCGTGATGTCACTGGGCCGCCTTTATCGGTGGGGCATCAGCCTCAATCATTGCTCACTCCAACCTTATAAAATTATCAAAACTGCCAATCCAACTTATTTCTCAATTTTGTGTTCTTCAGAGAAAAGGAGCTGCATATACAGTTATTTGATCATTAACAATATAACAGAAACAATATCCTGAAATCAGCTCGTCTTTCTAGAACTTGCGCTCACTAACATATCGATTGACGGATATTGAGACGTCGGAGTCAAGAACTGTATAAACATTGAATTATTGTATATAATAATTGGCGAATTTTTTTATGACGCCTCTGGTTCACTGTGTGCGACATGCCCAGGTATTATGAACATTCAACTGTTTCTGTTCTTTGATATGGCTTACATAGATACAGGGAGAGCATAACCTCGGGGGCGATGCGTATCTAATACCTGACCCAAAGCTTACAGAGGTTGGAATAGAAGAATGCCGAGCCCTCGAGACTCGGTTTCCTAATCATTCTTCGGTCGAGTTGATAGTTTCATCCCCTCTGCGCAGAACTCTCCAAACTGCACTATGCTCATTTCAGCCAGCAATCCAGCGCGGGGTCAAGATAATTGCTCTTCCTGAACTCCAAGAAACTAGCGATGTTGCTTGCGATACTGGTCGTAGTATTGCAGAAGTGCAGCGAGAATTTTCCCAGGAAAATGCTGGTCAGCAGGCCGCAATTATTGATTTCAGTCTAGTAGAAGAAGGGTGGAATTCAAAGGTATCAAAATCTCACTTTTTACAAAGCAATTATTAATAAAACTATTAGATTGGTAAATGGGCACCATCATCAAATGCCCTGATTGCTCGTGCCCGTGTGGCTCGACAGTGGTTGAGAAAGAGACCGGAGAAAGAATTGATCGTTGTGTGTCATGGGGGATTTTTGCACTACCTCACACAAGATTGGACGGGAATAAAGGCTGATGAGCATGGTAGGCACCAAAAATTTTAATCTGACCCCGCTTCTAATATTTTAAGATAGCAAGCGCATGGCAGAACTGTGATTTTCGTAGCTACCAATTTGCTAGTTCAAAAGATGATGATGACGCGGCAATGATAGAGACAGATCAGTCTCGACAAGCTAGGGGTGTGGCAGATGAGAAAGTACCTACAAAGGAAGGGCAAGATGCTCTGTATTTGGCGACAGTACAGAATTGGGAGGACCGAGGGTTTCAAAATCCTTTGAAACTTAACGAACAATTCAAATGATGCATGGAATTCCTTTATAAATGTAGGAATTCCGATTCGGCGTCTAGAGCTGCAAACTGGTGATATAACGACTTTTAGATCTTTGAAATGTATCACATATCTATATCTATATATATCGGGGAGACGCTTGTACATTATACCAAGAAAACGCCTACCAACCGCTAGGCCGCTAGCGACCTTGGAGGAGTCCCAGTTAGGGGGCTATATTAGGGTATAATGCGTGAATCAATCAATCAATCTATATCTGTATATGTAAGCATGGAACTAGTTGGATCACAGGGCTAGTAACACGCATTTACAGGCATTGTTGAGCACATTCATATACATACATCAGGCCTAAACAACCAAGTTCGTCGGGCTGCCTAAAAAGAAATTTCGGATATTTGTGGGTGTGGTGGTTAGATAATTCTCCATGGTCTTATCTGCATACCAAGCCAAATGAGGACTTGTAGTCAGATTCAAGTCTGTCGTGCCATCCGCAAGTAATGGTGAATTCTCGGCTGAAGCCGGTTCAGTACCGAAAACATCTGTCGCCGCACCAAATATGCTCCTGTCTTTAAGCGCTTGCACAAGTGCGTTTTCGTCGACTATGCCTCCACGGGAAATGTTGATAAGGACTGCTTTGCACGACATTTTTTGGAATTCGGTAGTCGATATCAGATTCATGGTCTCCGGACACCGGGGCACAGCAACCACCAAGACTGTACTCTGTTTGAGGACTTCTTCAAATGGAGTTCGTTCTATATTGGTGCCGGTTCTTTCTCCATTCGCCCCCTTTCGACCGGCTATTAATACTTTCATTCCCAGAGCCTTTGAGAGCTGTGCTACTTTCTTCCCTATCAATGATAGATTAGTTAAGACATCAAAAAGCGAAAAAGGATATAATGATTGTAGAAATAAGACTTACCTACAGATCCGTACCCTAAGATTCCTACGGTTTCTTCGTCGCAAGTCAAGCACAATTCTTGATTCTTGTCCTTCATTTTGCCCGATACTAGAGGTCCATGTCCATTCTTAAACCAATTGCCGTCTTTGACGACACGATCCATACGAATCACGTTTCTTCTCGCCGCAAAATACATGCCCATAACATGATTCGATACTGACTCGACGTTCGCCGCGGGGCAGTTACTAACTATGATTCCACGCTTACGGCATGCCTCTAAATCCACACTGTCTGTGCCGACGGCGGCGATTGCAATGAATTTGAGGTTTGGCGTTATGGCTTCGGACAAGGCTATTGCATCGAGACGCAGGTAGCTGAGTACAATGATAGTGGCATTGCGGCACCTCTCGTGGACTTGATCGGGGGTTGTGTTGGGATAGAGCTCTTGGGTGATATTTATTCCAGGCGGTGCAGAAAATTGAAGGGGGGAAGTGAAGACTTCCGCCTGAGCGACGACTATATGGTGGTTTGTGGCTGTTGACATTGTCCCGCAGACTTGTGTAAGAGAAAATTGCCAAATATCTAAAGTGGTATTAAATAGAAAGACGTTCTTTTGTATTCTACTCCTCTCAACGCCCTTATCGAAAATCTCAAAGAGCTGCCCCGCATATGTGTTATCGTTGCGCCCTAAGACATGTCTATACCCCAAAAATACCAACAGTGGGCCTTGACAATCTACCATATAAGTAGTAATTAATTACCACCAACCATCAGGAAATTGTTTTCCTTAGTTTTAAGCCAAAGTGGTTTTTTGAAAAGTATTTTCATCTCTAGACGGACATGGTCATTTCTCCGAATGTCTCTAACAATTGATTAATTCGTGATTTGGCATTTTATGCATCGATTGGCCAATAAAGAGTGTTACTATGTGACCCACTAGCCGCGACTTCTGCCTGTGATTGGTCGATGTTTATTGTATTGTAAAGGAGAACATCCCATCCTTGCTTTATCGATTATTTAAATTGTCTAAACAGACTATGTGTTTATTATTGCTATAAAAGTATGTAAATGTTTATTGTTGATGCCTCCTTAATCGGAATGGTTGTTTTATATGCAGAATGTGAGCTATAATTCGTTCCATACCAACGCCGTCGAACGTCTTTATAAACACAATATCGATAAGCAATAAACCCTGCAGTAGCTTGGACTAGAAATTTCTGGATAAATTCTTGAGCAGAGATGCTTGGGCATGGCGAGTCCACTGAAGGTTTTTGTGACGTGGCGGAATGTTGTCATGCACCTCAAGAATGCGGCAAGCAAACTCTCCGGACGCGTGCTTGCATTCTGGTTGCCCCAAAAGATTACTAAATTCTATTCTGGTGTGTAAAATACATTCCTGATGTCTTCTCATGAACTTGTGACGAAGGTTAAAGTGTGTGGCAGGCTGATATACTAGCCATGAACAGGCACGTATTGCACCAATTATGCGTGTTTTTGTAGTATTTAATGTCCTAGACTGATTGTCCTTGTATTTTATATTCTTAATCATTCGAAAATATCCAACTCATTACCACAAGAAAATTTACTATTGAATTACACTTATACTGTTTCACCAAACAGATTTGTAAAATCAATTAGGTATCTACACAGATCAAGCTGATGATAAAAATGCTATCATCAATGGTAAGCTGTATGTAGCTCTCCAAGTTCGGCTACTATCTAACACATTACTCGATAGCTTCTTTCTACAATTTCCCTCGCTCTTCTTTGCTCACTACCCACTCACGCCATAACTAGCGGCAAAGCTTGGGTCGATTTCTATCGAGCATGCCCAGACGACGTATTTACCACGAGCGACCTTGCTGATTTTCTAGATTCACCGAGACAATCAGCTGCATCTGCTTCCGCTCGATCATCTCCTAGCTCCTCTGCCCACCATACTGCACCAACCATGTCATCGAAAAAGTCACTCTTCCGAGCACTCCTCGCAGCTAGCAGTGATGAACCAGCCAAAGAATTCAAATCCGCACCAGTCAATGTGACGCAGGGTGAATGCCAATCAGTGCCTATCCTTACACCCACTCACATGGACTCCAACTCCGTCGCTGTTGAAGTGGAATTGCTCGCCGTGTCACTATTTCAAGAATGCAATATAACGCTGCACGAAGTGGCCGCGTGTATTGACAAGCCCCTTCTGACAGCTCCGGTAAAGAACCGTGTTGCTAAGAGTGGATGCACACCTAGGAACTTCGGGGCATGGACTGATGTATGGGTCAGCTTGGACTGTGAAGAAGTTGGTACAGGAAGATTAGGGCCTTATCGCAATACTACGTCGAGGGTACGGCCTACTCGTGGCTAAATCCCAATAAGAGATGCCGGAAAGTCGTGAGATTTGTTTATTCTTGTTCAGTTGGTTATTGGGTATATATGGAACATTTGATGATATAACTGTACGGTAGTTACGAGACCACGCATTAATTGAAATGACAATTCCCTTGTTCTTTGCTCCGTGCCCAGGAGTGGGGAGATGCGTAAGCCGGAATCAGCCTTGAAAAGAAGCTGTGCGAATAAGTTAGTGGTCAGTCTCTTTCATAAACAGGGGAATCGAAGAGCCGATATCGACCTTGAAAGATGAGGTAGAACAAGTCAGATCAAGTAAAGAAACGGAGGACTCTAAAAAGTCGTAAGAAAATAGAGTAGAATGGAGGATGACCGTATTAAGTCCATGGCGAGCTCACGCGGATGGGGATGGAAGTGAAGCTGAGCAGTGGAGGTGAAGCGAGAGAGGACGGCGCAGCCGTAATTTCTGATGGAGAAAAAGAAGTGGTGGACGGCATCTGTAAGAATGAGGCGACGGGCGCGACCGAGTGAGAGAAATTAATATTGGAGGGAAAATGAAGACGGCGAAGAGTTGAAGGCTAGAACAGCGAGGGGACAGGCCTTTTATGCATGGGAGGTGATAACGATAGTAGATGGCAGATACGGCGTACGGGTGACTAGATGGATGAATTCACATGTTATCACTTTACAAACACAATTCATTAATATCGATAAGCAATAGACCCTACAACAGCTTGGATAAGAAATTTCGGGACGACATCTGGAATTCCTGAGTAGACCTGAGGCATGCGGGTGCATCAAAGATCTCCGTGACACGGTGGAACACCATAACTAGAAGCCAAAACTGTCTAACAACGAATTGGAATCCGGTTCCTCGAACATAGTAGGTTTAGGCTTTGGTTGTGGCCTTTTTGGTGTTGTCGGGCTCTTAATAGCCTCTTGGGCTGCTTCACGTGGAAGTCGCAGCGGCAGGTCCGCAATGACTAGACTGCTGCGTCTACGGAGAAATTTGCGATAATCTGTCTCGGTATCGGCGAACGGAGTTAGAGTCTGAGGTAGAGGCGCCCGAAGGAATTCCCAGCGGGCTACAAGATCAAGAGCTAGCAAGTCACAGCCCATACGATCGTAGAGACGGGCATTGCGCAGTACAAAAGCCCATTCAGCAGCTGGTGGAATTTGGGTTGCACCCTTGAGAGTTTGCAATGTCTTTTCGCGCAGGTGTTTGTATAGAACCACCAACGCAGGATCATTCGAAAGATAAGATCTTGCTTGGAGAGAGATCATACCTGGACTTCCAGGAGATGCAGGCGTTGGTGGTATGAGAGTGTCGACTGGGGACTGCTTACCGTTAGCCATGTCACTTGTTATGTTCCCAGTGATACTTACAATTAAGGATCGTACCGCTGAACTTCTTCGATTCAACATCCAAAAAGCCCAGGATGCCATCCACCGGTTGCCTTCTGATGCAGCCTCTACAAGAACCTTACCCTCTAGGATCTCTTTCAGAATAGGGCCATCATCACCCTCGTACGCTCTTGTGATGGTGATTGCCAGTTGAATATCCCCAATCTGGTTTATGCATACATTTGCAGCTTCACGTAAATGATCTGCCAACAAAAAGAAAGCGGCCGAATATTCTTTTAAAGTTAGATATCCACATGAATTCACTATCCAGATGACCCACGTACCAAATCGACGCTTGCCGAGCAGCGCATATGCGTTTTTTAATGCTGCTGTTTTCCATCTTGGTTCTTCGAAATTGTTTGCTAGCAGGCGTTGTGTGACAGCCTGTTCGCGATTCCACGTTGCCATACGCCACAAGCCTTGGAGGACATTCTTCTTTCGTAAAGCTAGATAATAAAGTGAACAGTCAATCGGGTTTTTCTCCTCCGTTTTGGTATATTCATTCCGAGCGATGATTTCGAGTTGGGCTCTCTTCCTGCCGTTAGTGCTTTGAACAATACCCCGGAACGGGTATCAACTTACGAAGGCAGTAGGATCTGACAGCCACATGAAAATCCCACTTTCTCTCGCCGACTTCCATAGCATTTTACCACTGAACTGTCTCGAAACCAAATCGGCGATAATGTCTTGGCTGTCGCTATGAAGAGCCCACACAATCTCTCGCCACGAGACGGTGTCTTTGTTGGCAACTCCCTGACTTCTTCGGAGCATATGATGACGAAAAAAGAGTAAGTATCGGGCGGCATTAGCATCCATGGACCTACGATGCTTTTCAACTGTAGCAACGCATTCAATTAGGTCAACGAGGCGGAATTGTTCGTGGCTAGAAAGCTGTGGAAGTGTGACACGAGTAAGGTTCTCATTCAGAATTGCTGCTACGTTTTCATTCAGAACTTGCGGTTCATGGTCATCAAGATCAGTGGATGATCGTAATCCTTTCCAAGATGTCCTCTGTAAATCCTACTTAATGTTAGCGTTGACGTAAAATGTTATATGCAGCAAGGTCTCACATCATTATCCCTATAGAATTCTTCAATGGGTATTTCAAGAAAAGTATCGATTTCGTCACCTTCCGTGTAGAACTTCAACTTTTTATTCAGGCCTAGAAGGATGAGGTGCACCAGACTCGTTTTCCCTGACAAAATACATTGAGCAAGAAATTGGGGATGGTAGACTGGCAAAGGCCCGTTTAGTCTGCTAACAACATCGAAAAGATCCACGAATGTGCTTCTACGAGCTTGTATGCGAAGTTTAGAGACCAATCGGCTGTGCGCTTCGACCCCTTTATCGTATACAAAGAGTTGATTCCCCGTACCCACGACAAGATTACCGCTGCCCAGCCAGCACGAGTCCCCAATGGGATGTGGAGTTAAGTCACGGATGCGAATTTCTCGAACTGGGGTCCATGAAGGACCGGCATCCAGGTAATCATATCTGAGTTGGGAGAGCAGAATGACTTTATGAGAAAATCCGACAGCTAAAATTGATTGTTGGTCTGGAGTAGACGTCCAATCGAGGTCTCGAATCATGTCGTGGTCTGGAAATTGCTCTTCGAACTCTAGTTGAGCCCCACTAGTATCCCAAATAGTGAGATGTGTGCGTTCTTGGTCAACGAGAGCAGCCTTCCTGATTGAACTACCACTCGCGAGAGATGGATTTGCCACGCCCGTCTCAACCGTCGACGTAAGCAGCCAGTCTAGTTTTTGATTTGTTTTGTCAACCTTGGCTGCCCATGAATGAATAGTTCCTTTTGTAGTATAAGATAGCGCAATATCCGCAGCAAAAAGATCCAGCGACCCTGAGCTGCGAACAGTCTGACCCGCGGGGTCCACTGCTAAGACGTAGGCAACATCTTCGTCCAATCCCATATCAAATGTACAGAACTGTCTCAAAACTGTGGCGGATTCACTGGTAGTCACAGTCTTGTCGTTATTTGCACCCAACAAGTCGACTTCCCAAGCTATGCCCTTCATATCTGCACTTATTGTAGCAATATAGACCATACTGTCGGATGAATCAGGGTTCGGAACTGTTAGAGCACAAAGTGGCTTGCTAGAAATAGAGAAGCCACGAGAATCCAACATGACAGCCGGAGAAGACTGAATATCCCATAGAGATAGGCTGTTATGGTGAAGATTGATAAGGAAGTGTCCATCCCCAATGACACACGTTCGGTGAATATGTTCTTGCGACGAAAGCGAGCTTTGCCTAGTTAATATGGAGCCTGAGCCTCTGACTTTCTGACGCCAGATCATCGCATTGTTATCATCTGTTCGTGACACAAGGACATGGCCCTTTGCATTGCGAACAATCTTCTTAATTGGCTCTGTGTGGCCAGACCAGATGCCTCGGGATGTTAATCGATTTTTTCGCGGCGTTGGATCGAAGAGTACGTCGACCTTGGAATCGATCCATTCTATCCTCCCATCGAAGTAATGAGCTAGTATTGACAACGACTCTTCTTCCGTGGAAGTACCAAAGGAATAAAATTGTGCATAGTCTTCTTGCGGAGAGGCGTTCTTAGGTAGAGAGAACTGTAAACCCTCTATGTGTAAAATATTGAAAATGTCGGCTGCAGACTTGGCTTTTCCACCAATATTATCCACGGCCCATGCACACATATGGCCATAGTCATCGATAATAATGCAAACATCAGGGCTTTTGTTCGCTACCTCAACAAGGTGTTCCAGGGCCAAGTTATCCTGTTGCGTATTTCTTTGGACGGCACGCTCAGTTGCAGCTCGGAAGTCCCGGCCATCAACAATAAACCCATATCGACGATTGGAAGTATGGAGGCTGTCTCTAGGTTGAATGGAAGCGTTCATATCAATCTCAGTCCAAAGATGCATCACCGACAGAGCTTGGTGATCGGAAACAGCCCAAATTCTGATTTTACCATCTGCACACATTGTATACAATACATTTTCTATTGATTGTTCCCTATGAAATGGTTTTCGCCAGTGTATTTTGGTGACAGTCGCTAGATGAGGAAGATAAGACACCTCAAATCGAACATCATCAGCACCAAAAGATAGTCTTTTCCATATTTTGACAAGCTGATCATATTTCCCTGTTGTCGCCACAAATTCCGCATCGGGGGAGAACTCGGCGAATTTTGCGAGACCTGCCAATTTCTTTTTCCACACGAGACGGGGATTGTCGTTGAGGAACCACACAGAAAGAATAGAGTTGGCAACGAGGAGTTCATTGGATGTACCCCACGACAGGGTATTCACATCTTCATCGTCGTCTTCCGAGCAAAACGCAAAGGCTAGAGACCACTAATGGACAAAGCAATTAGCTCGATTACACGCGTGACAGTTCTGCAACGAGGGGCTCGGACCTTCAATGATTCCCCCTTGAAGCCATTGGGACGGTAGATGAAGATATCCGATCCTCCACTGACTGCAATTTGACCAGTTGCCTCATCGATAGAGATTGCCTCGAGACAATCCGTGTCGTCAACGTAGATGGTCTGCAGGAGCGTTTGCGCTCCGGTCAGGATAACAAGCGCATGTCCAGAAATGTATGCCTGTAAAAGCCCCGACGATTAGAGATTGGGCGACCCGAAATTCAAGGAAGCAAATATATATCGCAGCAAAGAGACTTACAACAATCCGAATACCATCCCACAGCGCAGTGCTGAGAGCCTGGAGCTTCGTTTGAGGCCGCCCTGGCAGAACCGCCCGCATGGGGAGGGCGATCGTGTTTCTGGTCCACTGTGAGTACTGTGTTGCGTCGTGTTAAACCATCGCCAGGCCCCGAGAATTGTAGAGGGATTATTGGTCGTAGGACAAATCACGATATGAATGGAGGCGCTGTTGCATTGATATCGAGAAGCTGACAGTCATCGGACGTTGACTTATGTAACTAACTGGCTTCCCCGGCGCGCGGAACTGCGTACGCTATCGACGTCAGCGATGGCCTATTATCCGTCGTGTGACACTCACCACCTGATGCACCAGCACTGTTTCCGGCAAGATCAATACAACAAACACGCTATATTTTGGCAAAAAATCCACGGACTCGATAGTTTTGTACGTGCAGTTCTTCTGTCGACTGAGACCCGAGTCCCTTACGAATCCTCCGATTCGCCCTATCTAATTACATTAAAGTAGCACGTGCGGAATCTACAAGGCACGTCCGAGTAGATTGAACGTCTATCGATTAATTGAATCTATACAATGAGTAATTGCTACATGCAGTAGAATATACAATAGGCTAGCGAGCATCAAAATCCACTCAACTCTGCTTACTCCTTTAGTGGATTCTCGTTAATCATCTCACTCGTAATTCATATCCAAGAAAGCAAGTAAGGGAAGTGAGATACATCCAACCCAACATAATAAATCAAACCAGAGCCAACGCAGTAGCTATTCAAAGTAACACTGCAAATGCAATCGCCGGGGTATCACAAACGCCACAAGTTACAAACCACTGAAATGCACGGTAAGTAAAGAAAATATTCTGTGTCGACTAGATTATGTTCAAACGATCAAGTGAGAGGTGATGGGTGTCTATAATGTGGAAGAGAGTGGTCAGAGGCCTCACCCCTCTCGTCTAGTAGATCTCCGTCCTTCACTTGGGGATTCAGGCTCTTGTATGGCAAAACGAACCGTCGTGCCCACCGAGTTATGTCGGCCCTCGAGTTTGCTAGCGGTGCTTTCTTGGTCACCGCCCATAGCGGCTCGGAGACGGCTAGCGAAAGGTGTGTAGAGTGGCGTTGCAGGTGTTGTAGACATTTGAGCGAGCATCCGAGCCCTCGCAGCTCGTCTTGAAGGGGAAGCTAGGTATCCAGGCGTAGCAATAGGGGTTGTTGAAGCTAATTGATGTTCTGGCAGAGACATGAGGTCGGTGAAATTGAGTGTATGCTCTGATTCGGGAAGAATTGTGGAAATAAATGTCGCAGCAGGAGTAGTAGGCTCTAGATATGTAATTTCGGGTATCGTGGATACCGTTGACTCGCCAGTTTCGCGAGTCTCTCGAGCTTCACGCTGGGCTTTGGTTCTGTTGTTCCAATGCCGGAGCATGCTTCTATGATGCTTCCTCAGAATGCGATCATGCATGGAATCTGCCGTTTCGATTGTGCTTTGAATCTGAAATATACGTAGACTGAGTTTGCGTAGCTGTGCAGAGGCTAGCCCGGAGACATGGACCAAGTTCAACCCATCAGCCTGTTCACTCAACCCCTGAACCCTTTCATGAACATCAATCCACCTGTTGAGCATGTTATAAGCGAGTTGTCGGTGTGAATACACTTCAGCGTCCTGGGCATCCTGCGTAATCCTGGCAGTCCGTTCGCGCCAGCGTTGAATAAGTTCGGATTTTTGGGAATGCAAGGCCTCCTGGTTCACTTGATCGGCTTCGCGGTCTAGGTTTATTACATGTTGCGACTTATGATACCATGTGGTCATGACGCTTGATGCAAGATTCATCTTAACCTTTCTTCGAATGATCATATAGGCTTCCTGACGACGTTTCTTGGATGCCTCAGCAGTAGCACTCTGCCATTGCTTTAAAGTCTTTGTAGCAGAAAAATAGAAACGAGCCCCATGTGCCCATTTTTCCAGTTTTTGTATGTCTTTGTACTTGGATGACCAAATAACAAACGCTTCTTGTTCGACCCGAGGCGCATAGAATTCTGCTGCCACATATTCTCTCTGTCGTTGGACTGCGAGTTTATTTTTCCAAGATTGGAAACGATACCGTAGAGCATTACAGTTCCGTTTCTTAACGTAATCATCCTCTCGCTGAATCAATTCTCTTGACATGTTTCGCGCAGTGATTATGAATTCGGAGAAATTCTCCCTCTGGATACGTTGGTTTCTGATTCGCTCTGCGAGACGGCATCTCTCAATAAGAACCCATTTATACAGAGTCTCCATCTTCAAACGTTCCTCAATGCGTGCATTCAACGCGTAACAGCGTAATCGGTCATTCCAATTTGTCCAAGCGCTCCGCATAATTCGCAAACGATTAAAATCATCCGCTTGCTGGACGGATTTTCCGCGTGATCTCCATTGCGCAAGAGCCGATTTCATGAATCGTGTGTCTACCCTTGAAGCAACATGCGTAGCCGCTGCCTGTAGCCGGGTGTGGGCATGCCAAACCTCAATGTCATTTACAAGAAGTTTATTGTTATATCTTGCATCAGCTTCACATTCAGCAGTCAACACTGCTTGTGATTTTTGTGACCAGGCTTGGAATACAGACTGAAGGAGTTCATGCCTGTTAGCATAGTCTATCTCGGCTTCGCGCTCTCGCTGTGTCCTGAAAGCACGAATCCATGAAAGAAGGGACCGCCTGGTTAACCGATGGTCGCTCCATTCAGGAGCTCGCTGCTGATAATATACAGTCCATCGTAGAATTCTCAGATATTTCAGCTTAATATTGGTAGCATGTGTAGTTTCGGCAGTATGTTCATTCTCCTTGATTTGCTGGACTTTCTTCTTCCAAAATTGTAGTGGCTTTCTGTGAGCAAAACGTTGAGCCTTGAGCTCGTTGACTGCTGTTATCTCGCGCCAGGCATTGAAATATTTGAGTCGCAAAATATGCTCGCGAGCAACGGATGTTTTGGATATTTCGTCTGCAGTCAGTTGTGCCCAATGTGTGAAAGCCTTTGTCATTAGGTATAGATCTCTTGCCTTAGCAGCACGTCTTTCTAAGTGTCGAAAGAACCTTTCGGTGTGAGCAGTTTCGCGTTTCTTTTGAAGCTCTGCTCGCCAAAGATCAAGCGCTTGGCGAAGTAGAGTTCCCCGATCCCTGTTAAGAGCCGCTATCTCCATGTCTCGATGAGATTGTTGCACACGAACAGCCTTTTCCAGCCATTGTATGAGTACTCTTCGCGCAGTCGCTCTTTTACGATACATTGCAAAAGTTGATGCATCTCGCAGTAAGTCGGATAGACTAGGCTTAGGCCCAATCTCATCAACCATATTCATATCGTTGGCATTCAGGTCTTCGTCAATATCCAAAGAGAAATTACCATTTGAAGACGAGATACCTGAACCATTCCGGACATGAGATGAAGAAGAGGAGGAGGTTAAATGGCCGTTTGTTTGTTTCTGCTGTGTATGAGTTTTAGTTACTTGAGAGGTTTCTCTCAATGGATCTAAGCCTCCCATCAGCCGACGGCCCATTTCCAGGAATTGTGCCAGCAATTGAGTCCTATCAGATGGTTTAGCCGAGTCGCCATGGGCATCTTGTTGGACCGCATCCTCATCAATTTCTGAGAAATCTGACTTTCCAAGTTCCAGACGCGACATGGAAGATCGTGAGCTCGGACGGTATGTATGTCTCTGCGTTCCATCATCACCAATATCGTACATTGAATTGAAAGAAGCTCTCCTTCGAATAGATCTTTGAGTTATGTCTTCAGCGAATCCCTCTATATGTTCTTCGACATTAGCTGGTCCTGGGAAAGAGGCATTCTGCGCGTGTATTCGATCTCGATCAGGCTCAGTGTCGTCAAATGATAGCACAATCCCCATTCGCTGTAAATGATCTTCGAATCTATCAAACAATGGTTGGGCTCCAAAGCTTTTTGAGCCCATTTTGAACAAGAAGCGCATGCAAGCTTGTTCCGGGTCAGCGTCCGGGCCATGTTCGGCGAGAACTTCATCGTAGGCAGCAAAGAGCGCTCGAAAAGGCAAGTGTTCTACATCGGGATTCTGCTCGGCGCGGGTGATGATTTGAAATAGAAGTCCGACATCTGTTGATTTTGCGCTTGTTAGATCTTGAAACGACGTCTAAATTTCAATTTCCCCATTTTTCGAGGCTAACCTTGATCAGACAGTGACCGATTCTCATCTAATAGAGTCGGACGCTGGGCCGGTATTGGAGGCATCGGAAGAGGAGCAAGCTATGGAGCGTTTCTTTGAAGCTACATTGACGCAAGAGCCGCCTAAGATCATCGCGGCGATCAAGACTGTCATGAGAACGACGCCGGGTATTGATCAGGGAATCAAGGCCGTGGATTATTCAGAGAGTCGCCAAAAGCCAAAATTTGTGCAAGCTCACTCCAAATCGTGGCTCTCCATCGTACACGGCAGCCGGGCCTGTTGTTATTATTCACTGGCTGCGAGTCGCGAGTCGCGACGAACATTCTTGCGAGCCGCCGAGAGATGGGTGCTGCCTTGTGGGCCCGTCAAATTAGAGTGCGCCAATCGACAGATGAAAGTCACGTGGCGCGTCCTTTCTCGAGGCAAGATTTGCTGACCCCGATTGAAACCTGCCTGACAACCACACAACCAACAATAATAATTAATCAGGGGCTTTCGTCCAAGCATTAGAGCTCCCCACAAGATGTCCGGTAGAGTCCGGCCCATCGAGAAGTTCGCCCAAGCTGCGGCTCAATGTTCGACTGAAGTGCGAATCTTGTGAAAATGTACCATTGAATTTCTACTTACATCAAGGACAGGCCACAGCATATGGCAAATGCGTCGTTGCCGACTACAATTCTGTTCAAAAGGACATGTGTGCTACAGAATTCATAAGGTTGAAAGATTGCTTTTTGGTAGGAGCGCGTGCTCACCCGTTGTGACTCAAACTAATGGAAACCTCAGGCGGCGTCGAAAAAGAAGTGAAATCGGTATAGATATAAATAAAACGAATTTTGATCATAGTGTAGCTAGCTAATGTCAAACCATAAAGTACAGAATGTTTTTGTGTGCTAACCCTAGAAGCAAACTCTATGGCTTTTTCCCTTTTTTTCCCAGCGCAAGATAAATCGTTCAGAGCTTCAATAGTCTAAGCAGAAAGGTTGCTTTCTGGACCTCTTGCTCCTCTTCTATAATAACTCCTTCTTCTTCTTGCTTGGGGATTTCTCCCTCTACATGCGTCACAACATGATGATCAAGCGGTCGACGTAAGACCTTCTCCATGATTGCAGCCTGAGTGCGGAATGCCTTATCCAGCCCAATATTATCGGGGTCTGAAAGCACCTTGTATTCCATCTTCACATCATCGGTCGCAAGCAAGCAAGCCTTCTTACGCAGTTTCTGAACACGGCTTACGATTTCTCTTCCTATACCTTCATCTGCTAGCTCAGGGTAGATGGCAGTGTCCAAAATAGTTAGGACGTCATTGTCGGTGTTCGACTCCATGTTCTGTGAGGCCGAATCGTCCTTGAGACCTCGTTTAACTACAAGATCCTCTTCGCAAAGTTCAATTCCATCCACAAGAATCTTTTTATCGGCCACAAATTTCTTGACATCGTTACTTGTCAGAGACGGCAGTGCTTTCTTGACTTTTTGCGCATCTTTCTTCAGTTTCTTACCAAGGACAGGCCAGTCTGCAGTGACGCTGTATTGGACATTGTATTTCTCTTCATCTGAAGACAAAACCAAATCTCTCACATTCAGCTCCTCGGTGACATACGTCTCAAGAGATTTGACATCATCCAGATATTGCGGATCCTGATGAATGACGACCAATGTTTTAAGAGGCGTCCTGAGAGCCAAGGTCCGCCGCTCGCGAGAAATTCTGGCAAGTTCAATGACTTTCTGCATTCTCGCCACACGTCTTTCAACAACCTCGTCAAACAGTTCTTCGCGGACCTGAGGGTATGGTTGGAAGTGAACACTGCGATCATCCTCCCCACGCAGAGACTGGGGAATATGAGGGAGAAGACGCAAGTAAATGTTATCCGTCAAAAACGGCGTAAATGGAGCAAGACCACGGACGAGTGTGTACAAGACCTCAAATAGAGTGTTAAGTGCGTGCTGAGTATCATCAATTCCATTTTCACCCTTCAACCGCTTTCTGTTGAACCTAATATACCAGTTGGTGGTGTTATCAATGAGTTCAAGCAGTCTAGGAACAACCGTATAGAGACGGTAACTTTCCATTTCTTGATTCACAAACTTGAGTAGACTCTGGCAACTGGCCAAAATCCATCGATCCATGACGTTCGTATTAGTCACTTCGGCCTTGGGGTCGAACACATAATCAACGTTTTCAACCTTCTTCAACAAAGCTACTTGTCCCTCAAAAAACTTGTAGCTGTTCCATAAAGGTAGGAGAACCTTAGAGATGATCTCCTTCACGCCAGACTCTTTGAATCTTAAGGTCTCAGCTCGAACAACAGGGGAGTTGATCAAATAAAGCCGTAGTGCATCCGATCCATAGCGGTCCATAACCAAACTCGGGTCAGGGTAGTTCTTCAATCGCTTGGACATCTTCTTGCCGTCTTCAGCCAAGACAATACCATTGACAATAACATTTTGGTAAGGTGGCTTTCCATACAAGAGGCAACCTAGAACGGTTAAGGTGTAAAACCAGCCACGTGTTTGATCTAAGGCAAGTCAGTATTGGAGACAGAAGTGTAGACAGCATACTAACCAAGACCCTCTGCAATAAACTGGGCTGGGAAAGCACCATGGAACTCTTCTTCTCGTTCAAACGGGTAGTGTTTTGATGCATAAGGCATAGCACCACTCTCGAACCAGCAATCAAAAACTTCTTTGATACGACGAAGCTGCCCTTTCCCTTGTTTGCTAGGGATGGTGATGTGATCGATAGAATCTCGATGCAAATCCTTCAATTCACCTTCATACCCACTTAATTCCTTCAACTCCGCGACACTGCCCACAGCGACCACTTCTTTGAAATCGTCGCTGACCCAAAGAGGGATCGGATTTCCCCAGTAACGGTTTCTATCAATATTCCAGTCTCTAGCATTTTGAATCCAATTGGCAAAGCGCCTTTCTTTAACAAATGAGGGCACCCAATGAGAGCCTTCAATGCCCTTCAGCATGGTTGGAATAATCGGTCCGATCTTCACAAACCACGCTGGCACAGCTCTATAAATTAGTGGAGTGTCTGACCTCCAACAAAATGGATAACTGTGAGTAATCTGTCCATCCACAATCAATCGACCAGCTGCTTTCAGATGCTTGATAATAGCTCTATCTGCAGCTTTCACATGTTGCCCCGAGAAGTCACGAACTTCAGATGTGAAGTTTCCTCTCTCATCCACCGGGTTAGGGGGAAGTCGAGCATCGGTGACCACTCCATTATCAACCGCAACTCGATAATCATCTTCACCGAATGCGGGAGCCTGGTGCACAATACCTGTACCAGCATCAGAGGACACGTATCCGTCTAACAAGACACGGAACCCAGCTTCTTTGAATTCGTCAGTAAAATAATCAAAGAGTGGTTCATACTTCCAGCCCTTCATGCTAGACCCCTTGAAGCGATCAATAATTTTGAATTTAGCTTTTTTAGGGTCCTTATATAGTGTTCGGAGAAGAGGCTCCATCAGGATGTAGTATTTCCCTAAGGCCTCATCGTGAATCTTCACATACTCAAAATCTGGGTTCACGCAAAGACCAGTGTTGGATGGAAGTGTCCAAGGTGTCGTAGTCCATGCTAATAGTGACACGTTCGAGTCTTGTGCTAGGGGGAATGAGACCACGACTGCCGGGTCTGTCACATCGCGATAGTTCTGAGTGGCCTCCAAGTTGCTCAGAGGAGTGTTGAGTGCGGTAGAATATGGCATGACTCTGTAGCCACGATACACCAGGTCTTTATCGACTAGTTGCTTGAAAACCCACCACACTGATTCCATGAAGTCGCGGTCTAATGTACGATACGGTCGGTCGAAATCGATCCAACGACCCAGCCTCTCAATAGTTTGTCGCCATTCTTCAGCAAATCTCATGACAATTGCACGGCATTCTTCATTGTACTTAGCAATGCCGATCTTCTCAACAGCTTCAGAACCAGACATCCCTAGCTTCTTGTCGATCTCGTGTTCGATCGGAACGCCATGTGTATCTTATCTTCGTTAGTGAAGGCATCAACGCAATGGTGGTTTAGTAATATACCCCAGCCAAACCTTCGCTCGCAATAATGGCCCGTCATGGAGAAGTATCGAGGAATGATGTCCTAAACAGCGCGCTAGTGTAAGCATCAAATCCACTGCCAGTAGTCGCGAAAAATCAAATCGAAGCAGAGCTAACAGGGTGATCTACCTTGATAGTGCTTGCGAGTAAATGGCCATAATGAGGAAGTCCGGTCGCAAAAGGTGGGCCATCATAAAAAGCTGTTGTTAAAGAAATTCATGAGCCATTGCTTTGCTTTTTCGACACGCAGATGCGAGGGGACTCACTGTAAGGTTTCTTGCCCTTGGTTAGTTCGACCTGTCGCTGAAATGCATCGATTTCCCTCCACCGCTTGAGGATGACCTCCTCTTCAGCGGGAAAATCAACAGACATGGCTGACACGATTCTCTAACACTATATCGCTGTGTTGTGTTGTATAAAGAAAGTGACGGAGGAAAGATTCTACAAAAAGTAGCGGGGTGAGTCACCCCCGCCGCCGCTATTTTTGTCGAACTTGGTCCGAGCGTCTACTGTAACAATCTAAGGAATGTATTCAATATGGAGAGAGTTGTTCTCTAGGTACCATGAGCGACCTGGGGCTCTAATATATAGCCAATGGTATACAAAGAAAATCTATCTATAGCACTGAATGGTTTCCCTATGGTCAAAGTCCTTAGATCATGATATCTACGCCGTCTTGTGCGATAAGCATTATTAGGTAACTGACCATGATAGCGATTTTGAGTAATCAGAGTGTCATTTTCACTAATTACATCGGCAGTATACACGTAACGCTCTATTTACTCAATGGGTATCCTCGGAGCTTCCTGGTCCTGCTCTGATCTTCAGTCCACATCATCATTTTCGTCCTCTTCGTCTTCGCCTTCTTCATGATCCTCGTCCTCGTCTTCCGACACTTCTTCTCCAAGTTCTTTAAGGCGATTCTGAGACTTGTTAGATATTTTGTTATTAGATTGGTTTTGGAAGTCGGGAAACATACTTTATCTCCTTTCCTCTTGGCTTCTAAATCACCAAACACTATCAGCAGGTCCTCCAGCTCGCTCTGTGCTTCCTTCCTGGCTTTTTCTGCTCCGATCAGATCACTCTGGGCTTTCTGACTCTTTGATTTAATTTCTTGAAGCTCTTTTTCTGCTTTTCCAGCGTCCTTCTCTGCTTTCTCTGCTCGTTGCTCAGCTGTCTTGATCCGAGCTTCCAGGTTTGAGTACTTGGTCGAATATTCATCCTGCGCAACTTCCTGAGCTTGGACATGATCGTTGTTCGCCTTGTCAAGGTCCGCTTGCAAAAAAGCTATAGAAGTTCTCAGATCGGCTAGCTCGCTTTCATGCTCTTTATTAGTCTTATCGAGGTCTGCTTCCAAAGTTGCTATGGATTTCCTAAGCTCAGTCACCTCATCTTCATGACGCTGTCGCAGTTTTGTGCTCTTCTTCTCGTAGTCTGCAGTTGTTTCTTTCAGCTGACTATCAATGGCTCGCAACTGCTCGCCATGCTGCTTAAGCAAATCATTCCGATTCTGCTTATGTTGTTCTTCCAACCTTGACAGTTCTAACTCATGGTCCTTGCGTAGATTATGCAGCATTTGCTTATTCTGTTCCTCGATCTTCAACCCTTCTAATTCGTGGTTCCTTTGTAAGCTCTCGTTGACTTGCTTTATTCGAGATATTTCATGGCTTGTTGATTCTCTCGTACGTCGGTGATCTAATTGCTCCTGCTCAAGCTTCTGTTGTAGGTTCAACAGATCTGCTTCTAACTTCTGGATCGTCTGGCTGCGGTCTTCCACTTGAGTTCGGAGAGAGTCAACCAGCTCCCTTGAGATTCCTTTCTGAATTCCGTTTGTGATAACTGGGATTTCCAATCCTGGCTCACGATCGATTGCCCGTATAAGACGGTGGAAATTGTCTTTGATGAATTCTATAAATGTTACATCAAAGAATATCTCAGGTAATCCACCATCGTGATCGCCTCGACTTGTTCGAGGTAAGACTTCGAAGTCTCTGACAAGTGGATCTTCCCGGAGCTTGGTGATTTTATCGATGTACTGTTCTCTGCCAAGTCTAGTAATCAACAGGCTATGAAGTGTTTCTCGTGGAATCGGAGAATCCTTCGTTGAAAACTCGTAGATTATACCTAAAAGAACAGAGCACAGACCCGGGACTAGGACATTGCTAACGCCACTCTGCTTGATTTCTTGGACAAGGCTTTGGATAATGCTGCCTTCGCCCAAAAAGTCATTTACAACATCTGGATCCTCAAATAGCCAACCACATAACAGCATGAGATATGCAACGGATATTCGCTCATCATCACCACGTTGTATACCTGTTGCTAGGTTCCCCGCTATCGATTGTATGCATGTAACGACTTCTTCACCTTTTTCAGCGTTTCCTTCCGTAACTTTCATAGCAAGAGCCTTAGCCTCTGGATCTTCAAATACCAAGTGAAACATCAAAACCGATGCAATCCAGTTACGATATGGGTCGGCATTTGCTCGAGACTCTGGAGCCTCTAATAAGACGGACAATATATTTGGAATTTGATCATTCCCGCTCATGTGCCCATCGATGGCTCTCCGTAGCACATGTAAGCGAATCCCAGTATGTTTAGCAAAAAATGCTTTAATACATTCACACGCCGCAAGGCGCGCGTCCAATGCGAAAGTTGGAGCGGATTCGAGGGCCAACTTAAGTAGAGCTTCGATGACGTTGATTTTGACGGACGTTTTGGCCTTTATATTCCCATTGCCCATGTCAGTTTTATTAGGCTCAGTTTTCCAAGAAACTTCGATATCTGCGAACTTCTCTTGTAGCGCCGAATTACCACGAATCAAACCGCCACATGTTTCCAAGGCCTTCAGCGAATCAGTACGCAGCACATCTACAGCAAAAGCTGGGACTTACCATTGCTATGACATGTATCCCAAAGTCTTTACTGAAGGCTATAAGAAGCACCTGCTCCATAATTCCAGCCTGCCAGAACGCTGTTTGATTGGTTTTTTGGATTCCGCCTCTAACAAGGAAAAGTTGGATGATAGCTAGCAGTCCCCAGATATTCTTGTCTCGTCGAGCGATAGACCATGGTGGCATTTCTTCTTGATCTTCTTTAGGCGCTGTAATCTCACCTAGGAGTGCCGCAATTTTCTTCACACATCCTGTCTCTCTAAAGTATGATTGATTGGAAGCATTTAATCGAAGCAGGTTTGCCAACAAAGACAAGCAATCCTCAACGATCTCAGATCCATGAGACAACGATCCCTCAGCTTCTATAAGTTCAAATGTGCGGTCAAATGCGTTTTCGAAAGCAACGAGTTTCTGTAATTCGGCCGAAGAGGGAGTGAGAGCGACGAGAAGGATGAGTGCCTCTAATGAGTAAGACATTAGTAGATTTCCATGAACAATAATAGATTCCGCAAATACCATTTCGTACTGGCTCTCTAGCATCAGACAGTACGTTGACTAGCCTCGATATACCCAAAGGTGCAGTGAAGATACACTCTTGTGTACGGTCAGGCCGTGCTGCAGATATGGAAGAAATCAATTGCAATGAATATAGGCGTGAGTAGAAGTCTCGCGTTTCTAGGAGATCAAGCAATGCTGTGATATTGTCTTGGCGCTAGACATACAGTCAAAACTGCGTCAGTCAATGGATTGTGGATTGCGTTACCTGAGTGAATTCGTCCGCCAGCCATAGAACAATCTCATCTGAAGCTTCGGGCTTTGAACACAGTCAATAATCTCTCTCCTTCCCAAAGTGCATTCAAAACTATTCTTCCAAAAGGGAGACTGACGCTTTTTTCATCCGGGGAAAACAGCATCAACAAGGTCTCTAGGACCACTTTGATTGTATCCACATCCTCAGCATCTTTCCGAATGCTAGCAATCAAATCTCGAAGTGAACCAGATGCGACACTTGCTGGATATGTTTTTGCAAAGCTCCTAAGTCCGAGTATTGCAGCTCTTCGATCCTCTAGTAACGTTGCGCTTTGCAGTCTACCGGACAGAGTCGTGATCGCATCCGTAGCTGTCTGTTTGGCCGGTGCCTGGGATTCGAGTATGCGGAACATATTGAATGATGATCATGGTCACAAAAGACCACGATCCTGGACTAATGCATCACGACCAAAAGGATAAGCTGGTGTTCTCGATATAATTGTCTGTTATTCTGGAGGCCAGATAGCCAATTATTTAACACAGGTCGGCCCTATGTAAATGACTATTTGAGCTTTCCCTATTTGGGGTAGTGTCTCGGCACTTCGGCCATCCATAATATCGGAAAAACTTTACGCCGTAAACTCGTCGCTTTACTGCGAGAAGAGCAACCGACTCTTCGAGGTTCCTAGATTCAGCATATACGCTGGATCCCTATGTATTTCGCTCGGTTACAAGATATATACTTGCGCAATATCTATTTGGTTTGGCTGTCTCTTTCAGATTCGCTATTTGTGACATTTCAGCCCGGCCTTTCGAGCACCGATTGATAGGCACGCGCGCGGTGAAAATTCAAGGCATCAAGAATAGTTTGGGATTCGTTTTTGATCAGTCATCATGGGTGTTCCGGCGCTTTTCCGATGGCTTTCCAACAAATATCCGAAGATCATTTCTTCCGTGATTGAGGAACTGCCATATGAAGTCGACGGTGAAGAAATTCCTGTCGATACGACCAAGCCAAACCCGAACGGAGAAGAGATAGACAACCTCTATCTAGACATGAATGGTATTGTCCATCCATGTACGCACCCAGAGGGTCGACCACCCCCGGAAAATGAGCAGGAAATGATGTTAGAAATTTTCAAATACACTGATCGGGTTATGAATATGGTCCGTCCGAGGAAGCTGTTGATGATTGCAGTCGGTATGTTGAACTCGTCATGATTTTAAGATTAATTTGATTAACATTGATACTCCTCTATTAGATGGCGTTGCGCCTCGTGCAAAGATGAACCAGCAGCGTGCTCGGCGATTCCGTTCGGCCCAGGAAGCCAGGGAAAATGATCAAAAGAAAGAGGAATTTCAAAAGTTGCTGGATCGACAAAATGCCGCAAAGGGTATCAAAAAGGATGAGGATATAGAAGAGCAGGTGATCAAAAAGACATGGGACAGGTAAGCTTGTTATCGAATCCGTCTCATTAGCAGTTCACTAAGGCCTCCCAGCAACGTCATCACACCCGGCACACCATTCATGGATATCCTTGCTGCTTCCCTCAGATATTGGATAGCTTATAAATTAAATACTGATCCGGCATGGGAAAAGGTTAGTTGAATGCATAGTAGACTTACTTATGAAAGGGTTTGCTGACAAATTTCAAGCTCAAAATCATTATCAGTGATGCTACGGTACCCGGAGAGGGCGAGCACAAAATCATGAACTTCATTCGTTCTCAGCGCCAAGATCCAAACCACGATCCCAATACAAGACATGTCCTTTACGGGCTGGTATGTAACAATAACAAACCTGCTTTCATCATCAGAATACTGACTCCAGCAACAGGATGCAGATTTGATCATGTTGGGCCTAGCAACCCACGAGCCGCATTTTCGAGTATTGCGAGAGGACGTGTTTTTTCAAGAATCGAAGCCAAGAACTTGCCGTCTCTGTGGTCAAACAGGTCATAAAGCCGAGGAATGTCGAGGCGAGGCCAAAGAAAAGAGTGGCGAATTTGATGAAAAACATAAAGCAGTAACAAGGAAACCATTCATCTGGTTAAGTGTCTCTATTCTTCGAGAATACCTCGCTGCAGAGCTCCATGTTCCACAACAACGATTCCCTTTTGATCTCGAACGTGCTCTTGACGACTGGGTTTTTATGTGCTTTTTTGTTGGCAATGATTTCTTACCCCACCTTCCTTCTTTAGATATAAGAGAGAATGCAATCGATACATTGATATCTCTCTGGCGCGAGAATATCCCACTCATGGATGGATATGTGACCCGGGATGGAATAGTCAATTTCAAGCACGCACAGCTGATTTTGACCGGCTTAGGGAAGCAAGAAAAATCGATATTTCAGAGAAGGAGACAAGCGGAAGAGAGAAAAGCTGCCAACGAAAAGCGCAGAAGGGAAGAAGACGAAATGCGCAAAGATCAATCTCGAAAACGCCGCCGGGATTCACCAACCTATGACAATTCTGAGACCCAATCCACTCCACCCAGCAAGTCTCGTAAACAAGGGGATGGTTTTATCGCCTCAACAAATATTGATTTGATTACCCCGAGCCGGGGGCATTTATCCAAAGAGGCAAGAGAATTGACGCATAGTCTGGTTGCCAGCCGAGGTGCCGTGTACAAAGCTAATATTGCAAACAAAAGTGCTGCTGCTGCCCTTAAAAGCCAACTTATGAAAGGTAAAATAGAAAATTCTGATGCACTTGAACCCTCAAATGGCACTTCAGCTGAAGAAGAAACTGCTGCTGAGGATTCAGAACGAATATCACCGTCAGTCTTGGGCAAAGGAAAGGCAGAGGAACCAAAGGAAGATGATGCAGACACTGGAACTCCGGGTAGAGATTCACCGGTCGCAGCAACTTCAACAAAAGAGACCCCAGCGAAAGATCCCAACGAACCTCCCCCTGATACAGTCCGGCTTTGGGAAGATGGCTATACTGAGCGGTACTATGAGCAGAAATTTCATGTCGATCCCAGTGATACCACCTTTCGGCATAAGGTTGCAAGAGCCTATGCCGAAGGGCTCCAGTGGGTTCTGTTGTACTACATGCAAGGATGTCCATCCTGGACTTGGTATTATCCATATCACTATGCTCCCTTTGCAGCTGATTTTACTGAGCTCGACGGAATGAATGTACATTTCGAAAAAGGGAAACCATTTCGACCTTTTGAGCAATTGATGGGGGTTCTACCGGCTGCCTCTAACCATGCTATCCCTGAGGTTTTTCATGACCTGATGTCAGATCCGAACAGTGAAATCATTGACTTCTACCCAGAAGATTTCCCTGTCGATCTGAACGGCAAAAAATTCGCCTGGCAAGGTGTAATTCTATTACCATTCATAGATGAAACTCGCCTTCTAGCAGCAATGGAGAAGAAGTACCCGCTTTTAAGTGTCGATGAAAACGCACGTAACACGATAGGAAGAGATGTGCTTCTCATTGCTGATCAACACCCCCTATATCAAGAGCTAGTTGGAAATTTCTTTTCTAAAAAACAAGGTGCCTCGAAATACAAACTAAACATGCGCAGCAGTGGAGGTTTAGCTGGGGAAGTTGAGCGCGACGACAATTACATTCCTCATAGTTCCCTCTATGCTCCATATGACGTTAATATGCCTCCTATCGACGAGGATAGATCTGTAATGTTCGTAAACCCCATTCATCGATTTTTGACACATCTTACTAACTCACATTAGGGTCCACTATGAAATTCCAAAGTCGGCTCACCTTCACAAGTCCATGATTCTTCGAGGAGTTCAATTCCCTTCACCTGCTTTAGATCAAGGGGATATAAACGCTGTGAAATCAAAATCTCGATTTGGTGGCCGTGGAGGAGGCTATCCGAGAAATGGCAGCAGAGGAGGACATATGAATCATCATAATAATGGTGGAAGACTTAACACCAATGAACGACCCAATCCATTCGCTGCCCACTTAGATCCGTCGTTCGTTCCACCTCCACTTGTTGGTGGTGCTGGAGGGTGGGCACCTCCTATAGGAGGTCCTGCTAGCTACTCTCGCGGCCCTCCACCTCCTCCTCGCGGTGGCGGTGCGGACTTTTATACTCCTCCTCATGGTTACAACAATCCGCACTCCTATAATCAAAGGGGGGGTTATGCTTACCCGCCTCGAGATCAGCCAGGTCACTATAATCAGCCTGGGCAGTACAGTCAACGTGACCACTATGAGGGTCCACAAGGTGGATACAGAGGTAATGACCGTTCACGTGGAGGTTATTCAGAGCAGAACCGCAACACCTATCCTCGCGGTCGTTACTAGGTATATTAGTACATTTTACATTTCACTTCATATGGGCCTCGAGATATAGGAGCAGGTGGTGTTTGGGCTAAAGGTTTCATTCCCTTCTAGGGTTGAAGCATCTATGGTTCATTGTGGTTCTTAAATGTGTTATTTACCACTGTACAAAAGCTGCATCTTTGATACCGCGAAGTACGATATCCTCCAGTGTTCCTCGTCATTGTAGCTCTTATACCCCGGTAATTAAGATTTAGTTTCTATTTCTCAGGTTTGAAGCATACCAAGAATAACTAGCACAGTAGTTGATAGTATGCTTTCATGCTACGCACGGGTGATATGATTGGCCAATCCAACCAACCCCACAACCCCTCGGTCAGCGGTGGCAGACCCGTCGGCGGTCGGCGACATCGGCGACAAAATTTAGTTACACAAGGTAAGCTCTTCTGAGTCATCGTGCTTACCCTCTCGGTCATGAATGATGATGCTCAATTGTTAATTGAACACTAAGCTCTTCTTTGACAAACGGTGTAAGAGCCTACCCTTTTCCTTGATGATTCGAATTATTCGAATACGAACCCCTGAATAGCCCCAGTCCATTCAACACCTTCTGAGACCAAAACCGCAAGTTGACTTTTGACATATAGATCATCTACGTCATGAATTGAAAAGTCCTTGTTCGCTCAATACGCATCAGCTATAACAATCTCGTTTTACCAGGGGGCCTTGGGCGCAATGGAGGAACCAACGAAGATTCCCATCCTGGGCCGTGAAAGCATTATCGCTGATTACGGGATCTGGGGTAACTATATCGTTCAAGATCTCTTTTCGAATATAGCTTCGACTACCTACGTTTTGGTAACGGATACCAACCTGGGATCGATCTACAATGAGTCCTTTGGAAAAGCCTTCAATACCGCTGCCAGCGCCGTGTCGCCAGCTCCGCGCCTCCTCATCAAAGAGATCCCTCCCGGCGAAAACTCCAAGTCTCGGCAAGGCAAAGCTGACATTGAGGACTGGATGCTCCAAAATCTTTGTGGGAGAGACACTGTAATAATTGCTCTTGGTGGGGGTGTCATTGGTGATCTCTTGGGTTTTGTCGCCGCCACTTATATGCGGGGCATCAGATTTGTGCAAGTCCCAACAACATTATTGGCAATGGTTGACTCGTCTATTGGAGGTAAGACCGCCATCGATACGCCGTTGGGAAAGAATCTGGTCGGAGCAATCTGGCAACCCACCCGGATCTACATTGACCTCGAATTTTTGAATTCCCTTCCGGAGAGAGAATTCATCAATGGAATGGCAGAGGTCATTAAAACTGCGGCCATCTCTGATGAAAAGGAGTTTGCCGCCCTAGAAAATGACGCCGAGGCGATTTTGGCAGCTGCGCGTAGCAAACCTGGGACCGGCCGATTTGATCAAGTTAAAACTGTTTTGAAACAGCACATTGTCGCATCTGCGCGGCATAAAGCATATGTCGTGACAGTAGATGAACGTGAAGGTGGCTTGAGAAACCTGCTTAACTTGGGACACTCAATTGGTCATGCGATTGAAGCGATCTTGACACCACAGATCCTTCATGGTGAATGCGTCGCCATTGGTATGGTCAAAGAATTGGAGCTTGCGAGGTACCTAGGTGTTCTCAAGGGCGTGGCCGTATCCCGAATGGTTAAATGTCTCTCCAGCTACGGCTTGCCAACTTCGTTGAAAGATCAACGAGTGAGAAAGCTCACAGCCGGTAAATATTGCACTCTCGACCAGATCATGGCGAATATGGCCTTAGATAAAAAAAATGATGGTCCGAAGAAGAAGATTGTTCTTCTCTCAGCTATTGGGCAAACCTACGAACCAAAGGCTAGCGTCGTCGCGAATGAAGACATCAGAGCCATACTAGCACCTAGTATTGAGATAGAACCTGGGGTTCCCTCGTCGCTCAATGTTGTGTGTGCTCCTCCGGGGTCTAAGAGCATTTCAAACAGAGCCCTTGTCCTAGCCGCTCTTGGGTCAGGAACAGTTCGGATCAAAAACTTGCTGCATTCCGACGACACAGAAGTTATGCTTAATGCCTTGGAACGACTTGGCGCCGCGACGTTTACCTGGGAAGAGGAAGGCGAAGTTCTTGTTGTAAATGGTAATGGAGGAAAACTAAAAGCAACTCCTACGGAGCTTTACTTAGGTAATGCTGGCACTGCGTCAAGATTCCTTACCACTGTTGCAACCCTTGCGACTGAGGGATCTGTGGATTACAATGTTCTTACTGGAAACAATCGCATGAAGCAACGGCCCATTGGTGATCTTGTTGATGCCCTCACGGTGAATGGAGCCGAAATCGAATATGTTGAAAAGACCGGCAGTCTACCTTTGAAAATTGCTGCTTCTGGTGGCTTCAAAGGCGGCCGAATCAACCTTGCTGCAAAAGTTTCTTCACAATACGTGTCTTCGCTTTTGATGTGCGCTCCTTATGCAAAAGAACCCGTCACCCTGAAGCTGGTAGGAGGCAAACCAATTTCTCAGCCATATATTGATATGACCACGGCCATGATGCGCTCCTTCGGTATCAACGTGGAAAAATCTACAACGGAAGAATATACATATCATATTCCTCAAGCATCTTATGTCAATCCTGCTGAATATGTTGTGGAGAGCGACGCTAGCTCTGCTACTTATCCTCTCGCTATTGCCGCAATCACCGGCACTACCTGCACAGTACCGAACATAGGATCTTCAAGCTTGCAGGGTGATGCCCGCTTCGCCGTCGAAGTTTTGAGACCTATGGGCTGCAAAGTGGAGCAATCTGCCACTTCCACGACAGTTACCGGCCCTGCAGGTGGTGTCCTACGTCCCCTTCCTAACATCGATATGGAACCAATGACAGATGCCTTCTTGGGTGCCTCGGTTCTTGCTGCAGTCGCACAAGGAGAAGGGTCCAATCACACTACTCGAATTTATGGAATTGCCAATCAGAGGGTTAAAGAATGCAACCGTATTGAAGCAATGAGAGTAGAACTAGCAAAATTCGGTGTGGTATGCCGTGAACACGAAGATGGTCTTGAGATTGACGGTATCGATCGATCTACTCTGCGACATCCTTCTGGAGGTGTATTCTGCTACGATGATCATCGTGTTGCATTCAGCTTCAGTGTTTTATCGCTCGTGACTCCGGTGCCAACGCTGATCCTTGAAAAGGAATGCGTTGGAAAAACGTGGCCAACATACTGGGATGCATTGAAGCAAAAATTCGGAGTTCAGCTTGAGGGCAAAGAACTAGAGGAAACCGAGCTCGTAGAACAGGCTCGCGCAGATCGGTCTTCCGCATCAATCGTCATCATTGGTATGCGAGGTGCCGGTAAGACTACAAGTGGCCGCTGGGTTGCAAAAGCACTTAAGCGTCCGTTCGTGGACCTTGATATAGAATTGGAGAAAAATGAAGGCAAGAAAATACCTGAGATTATCAAGGAGCGTGGCTGGCAAGGGTTCCGTGAAGCAGAGTTGACTCTGTTCAAGCGCGCGCTTACCGAGCGTCCTAAAGGATATGTGTTTGCTTGTGGTGGCGGAATCGTCGAGTCCGCAGAAGCAAGAAAACTTCTCGTCGATTACCACAAGGTGAAAGGACACGTGCTTCTCGTCATGCGAGACATAAAAAAGGTCATGGAGTTCCTCAATATCGACAAATCGAGACCAGCCTACATTGAAGATATGATGAGCGTCTGGCTACGTCGAAAGCCTTGGTTCCAGGAATGCAGCAACATAGAATACTACAGTCAGCATAGTACCTCATCAGAGCTTACTCTCGCCTCGGAAGACTTCAGTCGATTCTTACACTTTGTGACTGGGAAGGTGAATCCTTTGGCGACAATTAGCAAAAAGAGTCTTTCTTCCTTTTTGTCCCTCACACTGCCTGATCTACGCAACACTGGTGACCTCTTACGCAAAGTTTCTTCAGGGTCAGATGCTGTTGAAATGCGCATCGATTTACTAGAGGATCCTTCATCAAGCAATGAGATCCCTTCTCTTGAGTATGTGTCGGAGCAACTGTCCTTCTATCGCAGCCAGGTCTCTCTCCCTATTGTTTTTACAGTTCGCACAAAGAGTCAGGGTGGAAGATTCCCTAACGATGCCCACGACGCTGCGTTTGACCTGATCAGACTTGCCATCCGCAGTGGATGCGAATTCGTAGATCTCGAAATCACATTCCCCGACGAATTGCTACGCAACATAACTGAGATGAAAGGTCACACGAAAATAATTGCATCACACCACGATCCGCAGGGTAAACTCAACTGGTCTAATGGGTCTTGGATTCAACATTACAATAAAGCTTTACAATACGGCGATATTATTAAACTGGTTGGCGTTGCAAAGAGTTTGAATGATAATACTGCGTTGAAAGAGTTCAAGGATTGGGCAGAACAGGCCCACGATGTTCCTATGATTGCTATCAACATGGGTGACAAAGGACAACTAAGCCGCATGCTCAATCGCTTCATGACTCCCGTGTCTCATCCGCAACTTCCATTCAAAGCAGCCCCAGGACAGTTGTCAGCTACTGAGATTCGCCGTGGCTTGGCGCTTATGGGTGAAATCCAGCCTAAGAAGTTTGCGATCTTTGGGAAACCAATCGCCGCCTCTCGTTCCCCCATTCTACACAATACCCTTTTTGAGATGAACGGGCTACCACACAACTACACGCGTCTCGAAACCGACCAGGCCCAGGACGTCAAGGAGTTCATACGCTCGCCCGATTTCGGAGGCGCCTCCGTAACAATCCCTCTCAAGCTGGATATCATTCCACTTATTGATGAGGTGCTAAACGAGGCTGAAATTATTGGTGCAGTCAACACAATTGTTCCAGTCAAAGGAAACAATGGCGCCACCCGTCTTGTCGGGCGCAATACAGACTGGCAAGGAATGGTCCACTGTTTACGTGAAGCTGGTGCCTATGGCGGAGAGAGTGGTGGCAGCGCTCTTGTCGTTGGCGGAGGAGGCACAGCACGGGCGGCAATTTACGCACTGCACAAAATGGGCTATTCGCCAGTCTACTTGCTTGGACGGTCACCTGAAAAGATTCAAAATATGGCTTCTACCTTCCCCACCGGGTTTGACATTCGCGTTGTAGCTGACGCAGCTGATGTCAAGAATATTCCACGCGTCATCATTGGCACCATTCCCGGAGACAAACCGGTTGATCCCAGCATGCGCGAGGTCCTCTGCTCGATTTTCGAACGTGGCCAGGAACTCGACGGGGTGGCGAAGGGAGTACAGGAGGATCCGCGTCGGAGGGTGTTGCTAGAGATGGCCTACAAGCCATCGGTGACTCCGTTGATGCAGCTGGCCTCTGATTCGGGATGGGTGACGATTCCAGGGTTGGAAGCGCTTGTTGGACAGGGAGTCTACCAGTTTGAGTACTGGACTGGGATTTCGCCTGTCTACGAAGATGCTCGGGTAAGTTGTCCAGCCTCTCGCCTCTCACTACCATGCTCAGTACCGAACTAACGTGGCGATAGAATGCTGTTTTGGGTACGAAGGAAACCCCGTAGTTATTCGCTATCTAGTAGTTATTGAATAAAAGTATGTTATACCCTACTCTTCTATTACATATCCCCCGAGTAAAAATACGCGTAATTTGGCAACGGTATTTCCAATAACCACAACGCCGGTAACTTACAGCCACGTTCTTCATGCAATAAAAATATTTACCAAGCATATCAACCTTTAATAGACTACATTATTTTCAGTTTGCTGAATATCAATTGATGGATACACATAGTCAATTTACATGTGGACTGCATGAAAGTGGATGTGCACAGCCACAGGCGGACTCTTCTAAATATGCCCCACCTGTGTAATTCCTCCAATCATCATCTACCAACTCCCATCAAAGATTCCAAACAAACCCAGTCAAAAAAGAAGCTCGAATTTTTTCTAGTTTCAACATTTTCTCTTTCTGTGTGACTCATTTTTCAACAGCCCTGTTCAAAGAGGCAAAAAGAAATATTTTTGCCTAGTTTCGGTGGAACTGGCCACTCAACTTCGCCGAATGTAGGTAGCCTCGTGGCAATGTATACACAATCGTAGCCATACAGACACATGATTTCAGGGGCTATGATATGTTTTCACATGCACTATTCTTATCTCCTTTTTATCTGCATGTTTTAGTTTATGTTTCAGCTGGTCATGGACTGAAGTGATAGAGAAAGGGCGCCTTGCCATCTAGCTGAATGGAATGTTGAATAGCACTCGCCACGCGGGCAGCAGTCGAGAACTTATCAATATCAACGATTTCCGCCGGATAGTTCAGGTGTTGACTCTATGCTATATACCGAGGCAGAAAATTTTAATCCTTTTCCAGATTTGGGGAAGCTTGCTGCTGATTCGATGATAACATGCACCCATTCACCGATAGAGAAAAATAGCATTGAAGGGAGAAGAGAATAAAACAACAAGATAACCTCCCACCAAAGTAATCGCCTCTAGCATCTACTCAACAATTCATACCATTCTATTTGGGTATGTAGAATGCAGCAGCAGTACGCAGTATGTAATTAGCAGTGTAATGTTAAGCGGCCCCACTCGCTAAAATGGATTAAAGACAGACCAGCGGGCCCAGCTTCCTGGGGGGTTACCCGTTGTGCCGATCAGGTCCACCCTGTGGTGTCTGTCTCCACTATAAAATATAATACACATATTTATAATTTCCAATTACTACCAGCACAATCAATCACAAGGACAGCCATTTCTAATATTAGATCTGCGGAATAGTATCGAGTATGCAAAAATTGTGGCTGATGTTACCCACTAGTTGGCATAAGTGGCTTTTTCGAAGCGAGAGTTAACATTTATTCAGGCAATGATCATTGTGCAGCTAATGCAGACTTAATGCGGTGAAGACCATCGAGATATAGGATATCCGCACACACTCCCACTAAGCTCTAGCATATTCCACATACCAGCCACAATTTCGATTTTTTTCTCTCTGTTACGAATACATTTTTAATAATGATTCTTTCGCGGACGAATCGATAGCCTTCTTCTGAACGTCGTCAAGTATGTATCCTACTCTTCACGAAGCTCCTTATTTTTAGCAATCAGTAATAAATAATACTATTATAATATACTATTATGCAGCAGAACGTGCATCCATCCAAGTGGGGCTCAGCACATCCACTTGCAAGCACTAGGGACTGATAACATTAGTCCGCGGCGGAGGGAGAAATTGAAAAAAACGAAGTTAACATCCATGTGTCCCAGATAAGCAGTAATAATACCTTCATATATGGGCCCTACGCAAAGAACTACTTAAGCCACCGTTTATTCGAAACAGATCAACTACGTGTATGTATACACGCGATGCGCGATGCTCTGGCCAATACGAGATCGCAAATCTTCCTAAAGGAACCCAATCGTAGAAAAATTAAATACCAATGGAACCAATCTACCACATAATCAGTGATGAACTTCTCAAAGTCAGAGGACTGGCCGCCGCGGCATTGTTGCAGTCACAAATGAACGCCAGAACAACGCATACATAGACAACTGCAAGCCTCGTCATAACGCGCCTATGGCCTCAAAGAGCCGTCAGGCGTGTATACGGAAGCCCGCATGTGATCGACCAAGCCATGAGGCGGTATTAAATAAGTACGCCGTGTTTTACGCAAGATTCGTTAATTATTTTTATTCGTTTATTTTTGAAGATTGAATAGTGATAATAATAGCAATGCTTTTCGAGTGTACAGTCTTGGTCTATAGAGCTAATATACAAATATCATCAAATATAGTACAAGGATGACAAGGATACAATGTTTTCCGCTTCCGTCACCAACAAACCCATTATGTACCCGTACTCAATATCCAGTACCTCCGTGCATATCAACCGAAAACAAACACCCCTCCCAAATGCAGTTTTGCCGGCAAGAACAGAACAAGAACATGTCGTGACATAGAACGTAACCATCGTAAACATAAACATAAACATCCAGCATAATAAACACGAGACTGGAATCCAGCTCGGCAGATCACCCCACGCGCCGATCATGCCCGTGTGTGAAATTAAAAAGCGCTTGTAACAAAAAGAATACATAACATTATGGAAGCCAGGAGCCGTCATGGCAAAACCGTCTAGTAACAATAAAAAAGATGATCATGAAACATTACGCAGAGAGAGAAGTCTGTATGGTGGAGACGGCACGGTGATTCGTGCAAGGGGGAGGGCTGACGGAACCCGAAACGAGAGATTGACCACTTTGAAGTCATTCCAGCGAAATTGATGCGTTGAAGGGGAAATGACTAGAGGCCGATGACGTCAAGGGCTTGAGTCGAGGGTGTCCATAGCAGGACTAGGCCGCTTCTGGAAGTCGGCCCGCCGATCCGGCTTAGACAATTGAAGTGTCCTTGCCCCATTGGGCGTAGTATGACGTCAGACGAAGGGCCCCTCCGTCATGGTGATTCCACAATGGTCGATTGCGATCCCCAACAGTGGGAAGTGAGAAAGTGAGCTGTGAGCACTGACCAAACAGAGACGTGAGAAATTGTTTCGTGCCAGATCGATCAAATTCAATCCCGGCCCTTGCGTCGCTGCTTGCCCGGCCAGTCGACCTCAGGATGCACCACGCGCATGTGACGGGTGAGCGCGTCGTTGCGCGAGAAGGTCTTTTCTTCCGTGCAAAGATGGCAGCGCACCTTCTGCTTGCGCGCATTGTGTATCGTGTCCTCATGCCGAGTCAAGTCGTATGGCCGTGAGAAAATAGAGTTGCATGGCTTGCCCGTCGAAGGATTGATCTGCTTGCACCTGTGGGGGCCAGCCTGTGAATTGCGTAGCGCCAACGAGGTGCTATGCTCACGAGCCACTGCCCCGGGTTGGCCGGCAACAGCTTGGCGATGAGCTTCGCGCTTGTGTTTCTGTAGCTTAGCTGGCGACTCAAACCGTAGAGTGCAGCCGTGATAGGTGCAGGAATAGGTACCCGAGTCGGAAGAGGTGTCCTCAGGGCGCTTCGTATCAAGTGAAACCGATTCGCTCTTGGTAGATTCCATCGTAGTCAAGGACACCGGAAATTCAGGTGTCTGCTGGATCAGACTGTCGTTGGTGTGACGAGTCTGTGGCTGTTGCAAGTAGTTCAACTGCTGTTGAAGATTGGCAGCTTGCGTAACGTATTGGTTCGAGAATGATTCCATCTGCGTGTATGGTAGTGTAGGCTGGAAAGTGCTAGAACTCGATCGACGAGATGCCAGGTTGCCTGCGCTGACGAAGTCGTTGGATGGGAACAGCGAAGGCAGCCCGTTGGCGGACTCGTCAGGTCCCTCGTGATACTCCAGAAGAGCATCCTTGGGAGAGATGGTCTTGACTTCACCAGCATTGTCCGCCTGTAGATTCATCCCATTGGCGTTAGGCAATTGCAGAGCTGACCCTAGCCCGGATGAGGTCTGGAGACGGGAACCACGGAATTCGGAAGCGAGTGGCGACCCGTGACGGAAAGGTGATCGTTCCCGGTTTATCGCGTTATTGACAGGTGATTGCGATCGAGCAGAGAGGTGGCCCTGGTTGGCAGCGTTGAGGCGGTCGGCAAAGAGATTCCGATACGGCGCAGTAAGAAGCTGCTGATGAGGGTTCTTTCGCACTTGGGGTGTAGGCATCACGGTAGTATTGTAGAGTTCGTCTTGGTAGACATCGGAGATGGTCCGGTTCAGCTTAGGCACCCCAACGGGTATCGCAGCCACTCCTTGACCGTTAAAGTCTGGAAGCGCATCGAATTGTAAGTAATCATCCATCCAGCGGTCAAAGTCAAGAAATCGGTCCTCACCATGGACAATCGCCTTCGATCCGTCATCGAACTCGTCATATGTAGTTTGAGGAGTCACAGGGGAATTTTGATGACTCAGACTCGACACTGACGGCGCCATAGAGTAATGGAATGAGCCTTCGTCATCCGCTGCTGCCTGCTGTGGCTTGGGATGCTGTTGCTCCATGACTGCCTGTCGCATTGCCTGTTCGACTACCACATTATCGCCGTTCTGGCCAGAGGGGTCGTAGTTTTGGAAGGCTGGGGCCAGGAAAGAATTGTGAACTGGCGTCTGGACAGGAGTAGGCAGCGACTTGTTCGAGTTCTGGAAGTTTTCAGCTACACTACCCAGGCTACCGGATGGAGAGAAGGACGAAGAGCTGTGCTGATTTCTCAGGGCAGGTGCATGTGGCGAATTCGATCCCGTCTTGCCGGAGGATCCGGAAGCAGCTCTCTTATGTACACTTTGGAAGCCAGTCCGTCGGGCGAGGCCGTTTTGTGCATGCGCTGGGCTAAGCAGCTGGATGTTGGCGGCGTCGCTGTCCCAGGAGTGTGTGTTGGCAACCATTCCCTGCTGTGCTAGCATGGGGGCGTCTGTTGGAAACGACGATGTCGAGTACTGCGTCGCAGGATACGGCGCAGGGGCAATCTGTGAGCTGCTGTGGAAGGAAGGGTCGTATGATGAGACGACGCTCATGGGCTGTGCTTCGAGCAGACTTCCCTCAAAAGTTGTTGGGAAGTCGCCCGAAACGGTGGTCACTGGCGAGCGCGTCGTCGAGAAGACCGGCGACGAAAAGGTAGGCGAGGTGGAGCCCGACGAGGGCGAGAAGTGTACTCGCGATGGAGAGTGGAAAGGCGACTCCAGAGAGGGTTGGTGTTGGTCGTCGGTAATGAACGACTGCTGAGAGTCGTAGAGGAAGTTTGGAGGAAGCTGTTGATCTTGTAGCTGTTGTTGAGGAAAGATGTCGAGGTCAGAGGAGGAGTGGTGGTTGTTGTTGTAGGAGTCGGTCCAAGGAGTGATAAAATCCTTACGTACAGTAGGATGAAGGAGCATAGTTTGGGTGTGAGACGCCAAAGATGTGGAGACCTCTTGATGTGATGTGGGCAGGCAAAGGCTTGCCACCCGGGGGGTATCGCTGAATATATAGGCAGTGGGCGGGAAGGTTTTCCTACGGTGTCTGAGCCACGGGTCAGTTAAGATTCTCGACCATTCAAAAACAAGGGCTCGCTTCTGTTTGGCCCGGGTTAGTGAGGATCGACTTACTTGTGGCCGTGCACAACCGTCGCGGAACTTAACTTGAGATCGGATGTGAGTCTGTCTACTTGGTAAGCAATCGAAATGAGTGGAAGCTTTCCGTTGAGGATCGCGAGCGAACCTGGTTGCTGGGACTTATCAAGATTAAATCCGACAAAGCCGAGTTCTAGTCGGCAGCGTTGTTTGTAGGCGTTGGGGATGAGTCAAAGGCGATGAGATAGAATAATCGATGCCTGACGACGGTTATATAGAGCGAGCGCTTAGTCGGGTAGGCGCGGACCAGCGACAGACGTAAGCAGACAAGATATCGTAAGGTGGGCAGAGAGTAATAGATAATTGATAAGAGTGCTGGAGAGGAGACGGTAGTATTAATTGATTATGTAGGGTGGGTTGCTTTGGAGGAAGGGAAAACAAAGATCGCATGCTTCGCGGCTGGGGGGAATAGTATTATAATGTCGCTACAATGACGTTTTACTAACTGTTTGGGGCAGCCAAATGCAGACTATCCATTATCCCTGTGGCATGTATGGCGCCAAGTGGGGACTCTGAATCAATCGGTAACGCCGGTTACGCGAACCCGGCGACCTGCGTTCGATACGCTGGCGGTACACGCCGTACCATACACGTCAGCAGTGGTCTGTGATTGGTGGAGGCCCATGGCCGGCGACCCGCGAACTCGAGAGGGCAGCAGAGCCAATCAGCGCCGCCCACGCTCCAGCGCGACGCTTCTGGCAGCTTCGAGAGCCCACGCGCTGTGGCTGGTGAGTTGTCCTTCCCCACCAGCCACAGCCTGCTTTCTAAGCATACCAGCTCCCTTGGCCAGCAGCGCTGATTGGCCGTCGATGGTCGGGCATCCCCGAGAACAGTTTTCTGCAGCGCCAGTGTGGCTAGTGCCTCCGAATTTGCTCGCAGTCCCAAGAGACTGGGAGCCAATCAGCCGCCGCACATTAACACAGCCACCGTCGATCTGCATCAGATCTTTATCGCCGATCTGGCATGGGCACTTCGTTTTGCTGCCAGAGTCCTGCTGAAAATATGCACGTTACGTGGAAGCGACTCTAAGCGTAATATTCGTCGAGATGGTACGTACCGCCAGGCAACTGCGTTTCGCTATTGTGGCTGCTGCGTTGCTGGGCATCGCTGTCAACAAGCTGCCCACCGTGTCAGCTGACCCTGTCCACGAATGTACCCATATCCGTCACGCTAGATCACGTAGTCTAAGGGTAATGTCTTTCCTGTGGTGAGTCACCACTTGTACAGCCTCCTAGTAACTACAGAGACGCATACATGTTCCAAGGTACCGCCGATGCTGGCCGGGAAAATTCCTGGGGTCGGCTGACAGGTCAGCTGACTCGGACATACTACCGCCTATGTCCCTGTCTTCGTACATGCTCGCTTAGAAGTATCTATTATCGACTTGTCCCAACAAAATCAATATTCGGTCACATGAACGAGTATCAAAGACATTGTACCAGACATCGTATCAATCCGTAGATCATGGTCGGGATCGGAAAGTCTATCATCCCTTAGTCCGGGAACCAAAGTTACCAGTCGGGGAATGCTCGGCTGGGTTCACTCGGTCGTAAGCCTCGGCAAGTGTGACTGGTGTACTATCATCCGCGGAAATATGTCGGGAATGGTTTGCGGCAGCTCACTGGTGAATAGGAGTTACTAAACTAGGTAGCCACATGGCCGAAGCCACCCCCAGTTCCCATCAAAGCCTATTTGTTGTTTGAACATACCAGCAAGAAGTAAATTTTCATGTGAATATCGATTGCAGTACCCTAGTGTCTACGACTTCCTGGCCATCAGCGCTTCTAATTTCTGATTGGCCATGGGGGAGGCGATAGTAATGTCCACGCGTATTCGCCCAGCTGAAGGAACCCTTGTGCGGACACTCATCGAGGCGTTCACCGAGCGAGATCGCGTGCCGGTCGACAACAATCCGCATCCACCAACTACAGCGTACATAAATATAATTTTATGAAACAGAGGCTCTAAGCAGTTCTCCCAAGAAATCTAGACCTCGAGGCTGAACAGATCCAGACTGGGCGAAAAATTCTGCCGGTGGGGCCTTGTTGTGTAACAACAGCTTGGCCCTACCGTAGGGCCCGGCCCAGAACCCTTTGGGACACGATGCCAGCTCTGCAGTTGACAGAGCGGGTCATCTGATCCGTGCTGCCGTTATTCCACCTCGTGAGTGGTGAGAAACCTGGGGAATAAACTACCTGCACTCTTACAAGACACACGAACCAATAAACATACATTTAGCTGAGCTAGCTTAGCTGCCAGTCTTGGTGGCCGCGCGTTCTGCTGGTAGAATTTTGGGCAAAAAAGAGAACCGCCTTTGGAGGATCAGGAGAAAAGGTGCGAACCGCGCATCTTCCCGTGTGTCTCAACATCTCAACGCCTATTGCCATGCCACGTATCTCTCAGCTACGAAATAGAGGCAAAAAAAACTAATAATGATGTCTCTTCAGCTGAGAAAGAATGCTATAGCCTAGGATAATCACACACATAATCATCATCAGGATTGTACGAACTGCTTGGACGGTGGTGATTTGATGAAGCGCACCGCCACATGGTGTATACAGCTTTTCCGCGGTACGTCGATTCGTCGAAAGTGCCGACATGATAACTTAGCCATAGGTGGACAAGCGAATGTGCCAGGGGGGCTACAAATTTTTCCCGTTCATGCATTAGAGCGCAGTCATAGCGCTTAAAATTTCAACTTTCCATAAAACTTCATACACGAGTCTGCATGGTTGTTCTTTTTTGCTTTTTTAACTTTCGTTTATTACATTACGACTGTATTCCTGTTACGGACATATTGCGCCAATAATTACGGCCGTGTGGACGACTCAGGCGTGGTGGGGAGCCCAAATGGGTCCGTGATCGGCACTAGTCGCACGCTAGAATGAAAATTTTGCTTCCACCCACACACACAGCCCCTTCCACCGCTTCCAGAAGCCTTCCGCATTCTGTTGCACCGACCTCAACTGTCTGCATACCACCATTGATTATTATTAGTACATATGCAGGGGTTACGCTAAAAGAAAATTTTTACCCTTCATCGGGAATTCACGCGTGGTTATTTGCGATTCGTACTACACATTGTGCATGCTTCTATCGATTCGATAGGTCAAGCACTCACCGGCAGCCTCTACTTCAACACTCTATCTGATTCCTCCGATTATCGGGATGAGTTTTTGACTATGGTAATAATTATGATTATGATATGATTATCGTTGTGCCGAATTAATGATTAGTTTCCTCAAAACTCGGTCTACATTAGTCATGCTTAGTTGAGAGACTCTCATCCGGCTCTTCCTTGCAATGCTTACAAATAAGGCCATTTACAACAGTATCATCGCCAGTCCGGATATATATGGTAATCCAGCCTATGTCAGAAAGCCGGAAAAAGCAGTTTTATCCGAGGCCTTCATCTACATGATTATTATTATTCCAGTTGTTGAATATTATCCCAAATAGGACGGAGTACAGAGTTATGCGGATTTACGTGAACCGGGTCCACCCGAGGTGTGGGAGCAGACGGGAATACGGGACACTAGAGAAAACTTTGATGGCGTTAAGGTTGTCACAAACAGTGAATACTCGTAATCGGAAAAGAAGTTGGCTTGTACGATAAGATAAGACTTACGAGTTGCGACTGTTACACTGTGTTGTGTTGATTAAAGCAATGATGGTAACAAGAAACACAGGTAGCATCAATCATGCAACTATTACATTGCAAGATAAAATAGCAAACGCAAAATTTTCTCCGCGTAATGCCATGCACGTTGACAACTCGCATCACGAAGTAATAATAGAAGCACCGCTTATCGATAAAGAGTGCGGCGGCGGAGCCCACCGGGCGGATCGCAACGGGGACTTAGTGTACAATAATACGTATTGGTATTAATCATTGTGGCTTAGTCCGGGCTTGGGAAGCCGGCACAATACCCTTTCTCAAGCCCGACCGGCAGCTTTCTGCCGCTCGCTTTTATTTCGGTAGAAAAACGGCTTTAGGATTTAATAATATCAAAACTTTGCATGATGAGAAATGCTGGTATTATTAATAGTAGTGCCAATAAGAAATCAATGGAATTTCAGACTGCAACGCGGAAAATCGCATTGTTCGAGCGATTGGGATTCCGGTGAATCACACATAGATCATGACTAGGGCTGAAACTTACAGCCTGATAAGACACTGCTAACAGAGAAAAATACGTTAGCGAAATCTGAATTCCCTTTTTCAGTAATTCATAAACGGCCCATCCGTCAGTAGCTGAATTCAGGCAGGTAAGACTCAAAACTCCTGCCTATTCTTGACTAGTGTCTCTATTGATTTGACTCTGTCGGCTATTGATGACGGATACAGAGTAAATACTACCGCTGACCCTGGACACGCACTAGCAAGTATAAACAAATACGAGGCTTTAAGAATTAGGCGGCTGATTGCAACCAATTCCGGATATCCTAAACCTTCTAGGTTTGGTATACTGACTATGTGCTCATGCTTTCAAACAACTTCCGAGGAGGGTATTCAGCAGCCTAGATACAGCCCAGTCGACGCATTTCAGCCGCGTGTGCTACGAGTGGTTTCTGATTTGACGCCCGACAAAAGGCTGAGTCTGAGACATTCTTCTGCAGTTCAGTTCTTGTCGGTTGAGTGGGGGTGTGTACTATTGTTGGGTTGTCGACACTATCTTTGATGTTGCTTGTACTCGGGTCCTGGTTGCTGTTGGCATATCATAAAAATCGTGGTAACGTCTAGGGTGTATCCGGTCGTAGATAATCAATCTACCTTGTTGGCAAGTTGTCTTCGGCAAGTTGCCTTCTAGCGCCCAGTCTACAACCATCACATGGGTAACCACAGCACAATGCTTTGTCTCCGAACGATGCCCATACGGCTTCGCGCGAGTATGTGAATAATGACTTGGGTGTTCGTGTCCTGGGAAGCCCCTTGGTTGCAATTCTTCTTGCAAAGACGACTAAATAAATGCATGTTTTCACTTGCTATAATTCCCGAAATATGGATCTGTCTATATGTTTGTTAGCGGTATTCGTGTGCTTTGTTTCACAAGCTTCATCCGCATTGATATTCTCGTCCTCGTTGTTCGCACCATTGTTGCCTTCTCGACAAGGACTAAGTATATCATTTATAACCACCACATGATTCTGGCTCTCATACACAAAGGTTATTCAACGTATTGGTATTAGTTCGGCACGAAGCTTTATCATTATTCAAGACCGGGTCGAAGCATTCGTGGTCGCGCATCCCAAGACTCGCGTCTGAGATAGCTCGCGTTTCAGCAGTGTCGCAGAACTTCACCAAAATAAATGAGACATGCACTCTGTAGCGTGAACTATTCATGTCCTATGCAATCCTTTGTGCTGGGTTTTTGATGGCTTACGACCTTGGGATATGTAGAAGGGGGTGTGCTAATGGAATGGAACACAGATCAGTGTTGATGTCTCAATGCGGCTAGCTTCTATTACAATCCACGAGTCATGGTAGATTGATACTTCCGACTTTTTCCATTAATATACTCCCATAAAATTTATCGATTATGGTGTTTTAGTTTTATGCGCGAGTTGATCTATCACTTGCCCTGAATTTTGTCATGTGGTGCTAGTTTGATGTAGTTGGTTGCACCGATAACTCGGGCACGGGTTTTTGATTTTAATCGTGAGTAGAAGGGTCTCTCGTCAGGGATAAGAGCATTTCTGGTGTTTTGTAGTGTATTTTTGGTTCCCTTCTAGTTCTTATGCTACCTAGGTTTCATGCTTTTCAAGTTTGTGGTGTGCTCGATTGATATGTTATATATCGTCATAAACAAGTATGTTTTAGAAGTATATATCACACCACCGGTTGTCCAGTTTAATCATTAAAACTACCCCAGCATCAATCGGCCATGAATAAACCATACAATACATCAATAAGTACGTGTAATCACCACCCCTACGTAAATTACAACCATATCCCCAACAAAACCAGGCAACTCCCAGACCACTAGAGCCAAGGATCGGTGCAGTCAGCCACTCTGCCTGTGCCTATCAGTTCCAATCTCTACATACTTTCTTAGGAATCCTTGGCCTAAGTACGCGTGACCATGATGACCATGGTACTAGTACCATCATTGGCACCAGCACAGTCAGCAACATATGTTGTCGTCATGTCGACTTCCGTGGCAGAATGTGATGATCATGATGCACACCATGTTGCACACCATGTGACTTCCGATGACTCACCATTAATGTTGTTGACGCCTTGTTGCCTGACGGAATCGCCGAGATCACAGGGTAGCTTGGCTAGACCGGTATCGGCTAGCGTTTCTGCCTGGGGCATTCCACTGTCGAACTGTGAGTCAATTTTCTCGCAATATCAGTGGAAATTTATACATTTTTTGATGTATGGTAGTCTCCTAGTCCCTTAACATATAATATACGGTACTATTTATTCCTTTTTAACGTTTTAGACCATGTTATCTTGTTACCTGTCCTTCAAATCCTGAAATAGAGTATACTTCGGCAATTCCGTCTCTCACCGCCTTTGGTATGCAAGTCTCGACTTGATGCGATCGATCAATTCATGACGTTCAATTATAATTCTAGTCTTTAAATTTTGAACTAGCATGAAATATAGGTATTTATCTGTTTGTTTCCGTGGCTTTTGGTATCTATATGAGTGTTGTGGTACTAAGATCACAGTATGATTATTTTCATTTCACCGTCATCGATGGAAATATATATTTTGAAGTGGAGAGAGTAATACGTACCATGATAGAATGCATAGTATTTCTTAAGTGACAACTACGAATAAAAACCAAATCACTATCAACTGTCAAAATCGCCCCCATAGAAAGTAGAATCAAATATTATACTTGACATCACTACTTCCCAAGCAAGAATCTCGAATAGTATCATACGTGGTTGGTAGAGTACGTACCCCTCGCGGAATCAGCTACACGTATACCCAGAACACGAACCTACCAGTGCGAACATCAAAGAAAATACGCGTACACAGGAACTACAATGATAGGGAACAATGCAATTTCAACGACCAGAGGTAAAACTATTCAGCGGATGATCTAGGCTATCATATTGAAGTTGAGTAATGGTAAACTAACAGCTCGTCACGCAAGCGCCGTCAACAACACCAATGGCACTACGCGCTACAAAATACTTGGCGAGACGTACATCACAGGTGGTAGAGCATATACAATGGATTACAATGGGGAGCACTCTGCAGTAAGCGCCAACTAGACAGACCGGCCCCACTAGACATTGTCACGGACACGCGTAGCAAAGTAAACAAAACGTTCCCGATGCACCAACAAAAGGAGAAATACAATACGAAGTAGAAGTAGAAGTTAAATCATCTCATTTCATCGCATATCGATTTCGACAGCATATCAACTCCAGTCCACCTGCAGACGCGGCCGCTATGATACAGAGAAGTGAGCCCGTAGGCCACAAGCCGACCAGTGTAGACAAGTATAGCTTTATAACAAGAGTAGTAGTAGTAGTAAAATGCAAACAATCCCAGACCCATAAAGACGTGAAAAGACTTCGAAGAACACCCTGACGACCCAGTCATACCATAAACCGACCCGAAAAAGCAAACCGGCGCGTCACCACAGCGGCGAGCAAACGCGTCGACCGCGCAGGGAAGGCCATGCGGAAAATAAAGAAGAGAAAATGTTTAACCACCGAAACCGTAGAGGGTACCTGGGAAATGTTAGACGCGTTGGAAGCAAACAAAACAAGACGGGTGAACTTACGGCCCTGTCGCTTGAGAGCGTAGACAACGTCGAGGGATGTGACAGTCTTTCGCTTGGCGTGCTCAGTGTATGTGACGGCATCACGGATGACACCCTCGAGGAAGGTCTTGAGAACACCGCGGGTCTCTTCGTAGATCATGGCAGAGATACGCTTGACACCACCACGGCGGGCAAGACGACGGATAGCGGGCTTGGTGATACCCTGGATGTTGTCACGCAAGATCTTGCGGTGACGCTTGGCACCACCCTTTCCAAGACCCTTTCCACCCTTGCCACGGCCAGTCATTTTGATGGATGAGAAGGTAGTTGTTGTTTAAGATTAAAGTTGGAGTAAGAGGTGGATAAAGCTGAAGCGTAGATGTGACAGCTGGATGAGGTTGCTTGGAAGATGGAGGAGGGAAGAGGGCGAGCACAGAGAGATATTTCTAGCGGGCAGGCGCGACGCGGGGAGCTCCTGGGATCACGCGCTAGCCAGGGGCCCGGCCAATCAGCGGCCGCACCCTCAGATGTGATCTGCCGCTGGGCGGTGAGCCCTGCCGCCTCGCTGATCTGCCCAGCGAGTCTGTGATCCTGGCCGCAGCGCGCAATGCAGTCTGTTTGGCGGGATCAGAGCCCGGAAATTCCGGTGTCCAGTCTGCGCAGAATGAGTCATTCTGCGCGCTCGATCAGAAAGGCCCGTTGTGGTTGGGATCAAGGAGCCCTGGCGTGGCATCTGCATTCTCTGATCCTGCACGTCCATTGGCCGGCGGCAACGGGCTCGCTTAGTGGACGGGCGCAGGGGCCACTTCGCAGCATATCTGATTTCCCTCTGATTTTCGGGTGCCAGAATCACGCTTACGGCAGGCAGCTTTCGGGTCGCTCTAAGTGCACGCAAGAATCCTGGCCAGATCACCCGCCCGCCCCTCGTCCACTACAAATACTCTCCCCCACCCGCCTCCTCCGTCTGACTTTCTCCTCTCTCATCCATCCACTCATCGACAACCCAGGTGATTTATCATCAACCCTCATCACTTTTCATCACCAAATAACCTCTATCCATCAACCAAACATCATTCACAATGGCTCGCACCAAGCAGACTGCCCGTAAGTTATCTTTCCCTCATTGCGACCTCACTGTCGCGGTGCTACTGTCCTGTGAATAGCATCACTAACACACATCTCAGGTAAATCCACTGGTGGCAAGGCCCCTCGTAAGCAGCTCGCTTCCAAGGCCGCCCGCAAGGCCGCCCCCTCTACCGGAGGTGTCAAGAAGCCTCATCGTTACAAGCCTGGTAAGTTTCTACGCGTCCTTGTGTCATACACGCGTCACTAACGACAACAAGGTACTGTCGCTCTCCGTGAAATCCGTCGCTACCAGAAGTCCACTGAGCTCCTGATCCGCAAGCTTCCTTTCCAGCGTCTGGTTCGTGAAATTGCCCAGGACTTCAAGTCGGACCTTCGCTTCCAGTCCTCTGCCATCGGTGCTCTCCAGGAGTCCGTTGAGGCCTACCTCGTCTCTCTCTTCGAGGACACCAACTTGTGCGCCATCCACGCCAAGCGTGTCACCATCCAATCCAAGGACATCCAGCTTGCCCGCCGTCTCCGTGGCGAGCGCTCTTAATTTTTTCTGTTCTTGACAACATCATGGGTCAGCACCGAGCTTAGTCTATCGCGTTGACTCGTGGGTAATTGGGTTGGCGATATGGGAATTTTGCGTTTCATTTTATTTTATCATGACTACTGGCGAGAAATGATGGGTTCTACTTTTATGGGTCAATAACTGGGTTTCATTTTTTCTTTCGAGCTCTGAATAGCAATGGTCACGGCCGACCTCACGGTCGCGCCATCGGAATGTATATTATCAAGACCACTTCATGACAATAGACGTTCATGTCTGCAACACGGCGCGATAGTATTTGACCTGCTAGGTAGCTTAGATAGTAATCATAATCTTAAGATTCTGATTGCTGCTGTAACTGTAGATGTCCTCTAAAGTCCTAATATCCTGAAGCCACTGGGTATATGGTCACTCAGTCGCATGGACAGGTGTTTGGCAATCGATGCATGTAGTTCTATGTTTATTTATCCGGATCCTCGATCCCGATGCGTTAGTTGATTCGATCTAAATGTATTTCTAATTTAATCATGAGTCTATAGAAGGTAGAGTAGATGAATGTCTCAATCGTTACATGTGTATGCGACCGTGTCGCTTAATCCAACCGTACCAGGTATCCATCTTCAGCGAGGAGTTTTCGATCGATAAAGCGATAATTCTTTCTTTCTGATTAGTATATAGTTCCCTAGCAAAGTCTATAATATTTTCACCCTCGCGTCGATGTTGGTAATGCTACGTGTTGATGACGCGTCCTGAGATAGTGCTTCGTCGCTGTATCTTGTGGCGATATGGTGGTGTGTACTGTGTATGATTATGATCGGTGGGTATACGGGATCGTTATTTGCGGGTTATTAACTACTAGAAAATCAAATGATAAACCTGCTTCGACTTAGAACCGCTAATTAGTTACGCGTCTTGCTGTTAATGATCTAATTGATGTATTTGTCGTAGATGACGGGACGAAACTTGAATCGAGGCAAACCATGACTATCCTGTGTCCATGACAATTATCCAAATTCCAGGCTACTAGTATGTCGCAAGATTTTCAGTTTTAAGAGACGCATAATGGGATTCTATTTCGCTTGCTTACTCGTTGCGACAGGCTACTCATTTTACTGTGACTTAAAAGTTCTGCTGGTGGTGCTAAGTGTTGATAGGCTGTACTGAATCTTGCTTTCAAGCTCGATACCGCTCGATACCGCTCGAGATTTCTACAACGACGAAATATCGGACGAGGAGAGAGAGAAAAGAAGTATGGAAGAAATTCACATTAGTAACCGTATACCGACCTATTCGATATCTTGGCCGGAGGAAGGCTTCGATGATCCGAGTATAGAAGGAAACAGAAGCTCTCGTAACAACTTCAAGCACTGTTCGGCGTCCGGAGGTATCTTATCCAAAATAAACTTCCCCTCAGAATCCCTGGCCAGGATATTGGCTCCATATTGGATAAGGAGGCGTATCGAACTCGCCAATCTCTTATCCAAAACATGTCTAAAATGTGTCTTCTGCGTAGAATAGTCCAAAAGGTATTCGCACGCAGCCAGCAATGCTGTATTTCCAGTTATATCACGTTTTTCTATATCTATGTCTTTTTGCTGAAGTAATATCTGCATTGTAGTAGGGTCTCCACACCCTGCTGCGAAATGTAACGGAGTCACTCCTTCATTGGTGGCTGCGTTCACATCAGCACCATGTGAAAGTAGTATTTGCACCATTCTTGCTCTGGAGATGTCAGTAGGGTTATTTTCGCAAATTGCAAGCGATAGTGTTGTCCATCCCTCAGTGGTGGCTGCGTTCACATCAGCACCATGTGAAAGTAGTATTTGCACCATTTTTGCTCTGGAGATGTCACTAAGGTTATTTTTGCAAACTGCGAGTGATAGTGCAGTCCATCCCTCAGTGGTGGCTGCGTTCACGTCAGCACCATATGAAAGTAGTATTTTCACCATTCTTGCTCTAGAGATGTAAGTAATGTTTTTGTTGCGCATTGCACTTAATAGTGCCGTCTCCCCCCCATTGTCGACAGCATTGACACAAGCACCTTCGAAAAGGAGAAATCGAATAAGTTCTAAATTACCATAGCGTGCTGCCATCATCAAATGTGTCTGGCCAGAACTATTAGATGCATTGATATCTGCCCCATTTTTAATGATGGCGCGGAGAATTTCCAAATTCTTGTCCAAATTCTTGTCTCTATTGAGCGCGCCATTCCATATTTCGAAGTGTGCCGGGTGTCGTCTCCAGTCTTCATACAGACTGGCATTCACGTCAGCCCCGTTATCGATTAAAAACCGGACCATGTCTATATGACCTGCCTGAAATGCACATGAAATTGGAAAACCAATAATTGTTGAGGGGGAAGAGCTGCCATTGACCTGGGCTCCATGTTTGATCCAAAAAAGTGACATTTGCATATCTGCGTATAACACTGCCACTGACAGAGCTTCACTGCAGTACGAGGTGTTGAATTTAGGAACTGCCCCGCTTGTAAGGAAGAATTTCATCAATTCGTAGTAGGCTTTATAGCCGCCGGCAGTATTAACGTGTGCAGAGGTGGGGGTCACTGCTTTACGAAGTGATAATAACCCTAATATATCAACACCAAAGTTGATTTCCGCTCCCCTTTCAATCAATAACTTTGATATTTCCAAATCATTATTCTCAGCAGCAAACGTCAATGGCCTCCTTCCGGTCAGGGTCTCAAGGTCGGGATCCGCCCCTGCGTCAAGTGCCATACTAGTCATATCTTGACGCTTGTGTTTGATCGCGTAATGTAAAAGAGAGTATCCGTCGTCATCTATGGCATTCGGCTGCAGCCTGCCAGTGAATAACAGAACGTCAACAGCTGACAGATGGCCATTTTCTGCCAAATATGATAAAAAAGTCTGGTTCTTTTTGAACTGGGACTTCATCAACCATTTCCAATCGTCATCGAGTCTAGGATGGCCGCCCGAGAGAGAAAATGCCTTGCAAGCCCGGATGTTGCCCTTTAAAATAGCCGCAAGGATAGGGGATCCGTATCGCTCCTCCATATTAACCAAGCTGGTTCCATTCATAGGTTCTCCCTCGTGTAGTTTGATTTTGATTAGGCTTGGTAGATCGTTATCTGAAAATATGTACAAAAAACTTGCATGGAAAGTGTATTGGCGAATCCCATGTTTTTCAAGAATATTATGCGCAAAGATCCAGTGTTTTCGGGGGAAATCACTGAGGAAAGTATCTTGTGCTACGCCTTCCGCCTCAGCTTCGTCAGAATGGTGGAGGACAAACCCGGCTGCGTATTCAATAAAGGGTATGTTGATCAACATCTCAGATCTCAACGCTTTCCCTTCTTCCGTCTTCGGGGGGGGGAGCTCACCACCTCCGAGCACAAAGCCTTGGCCGATACCCATCTTGATGTAGTTGTAGCAGCAGTATTTGAGAAGATCATGACCGACACGTAACGAGTTTAATTGAAATTCAGCCAGAAGATGATGAAGACCACCTTCTTTCATGAGAAAGTCTTTCACAGATTCATGGATAAATTGGACAGTTGGGTTGTTTCGGGACTTTGTTATCTCTGCAAATCCCTTCGATGACGTGAGAATAAACCGTTTAACGAGAGCAGGATCCTCAGGCGTTTCGACAGCTGATTTTATCATATCTTCGGTTTGTGATAGAATGGCAAAGTACAGCTCAAGGGGCTTAAGCTGCCTTTTCGCGAATAATATCCATTGGAGGCATACGAAGAGGTCTTCGAGATTATCCCGATCCCTAGTCAATATATCCTTGAAAAGGTTGGATAACCCGGGTGGGATATCTTTGAGCCGCTGGCGCAAGGCTCCCATATGACCTCGATCAAACGCCTTCCTCAAAATGTCCACAACAAGCGCAACCCACAAAAAAATGTTGGATGATTTTTCTAAAATCTCTTGTTTGACACTGTCCACTGTTTGGTGCTTAATCCAGGAAAGTTTGCTGTCTAGATATTTACTTAAGTCTTGAGAGTGGCCTTCTTGATCTTCGAGGACAAGCTCCAAGCCCTTGCCGAAGGTAATATGGGGATAGTGTCGACTAGCAAAACATATATATAGGGCTCTAGAGCCTAATGGCTCGGTCGTTTCTCCCAGTTCAGCCAGAAAATCAAACATTTCTCGTATCTCATCTTCGATACCCTCGTCGAGAGCATCGATGAAAACAATTAGGGTCTTGTCTTGTAGAAGGTTGATAGTTTCGACTAACAACTCTTGAAGCATAACGATATTCCAGTCAAAGTCCTCATCTTCCGCTCGGTGACCCGTTTCTACTGTATCGAGAACGACTTGCACTCTGGGTTCAGCTAGAAAAATTTGTAGCAGCAATGAGCGGTACATGCCAATTGTTGATTTCTCGAGTTTACTCCCACGTGCGTTGAAAAAGAACGAAATCGTCAAGGAACCGCTTTTTTTGGGGAATTTCTGTGATTTTTCAAAGGCATACTTCATGATTGTCGATTTGCCGGTCCCTGGCTTGCCTTTGACCCATAAGAAGCCTTGATGCTCTGTATATTTGCTCGAATCGAGCCAGTGTTGGTACACTGGGTGCTCTAGAAGCCACTGGCATGTTCTTGTATGTGCAGGCTTGATCATTTGTTTTCTCTCATGTATTTGATTGAATCCCAGACAGTCTAACCAACATTTTCTTTTCTCATTGAGTTCCTTTTGTTTTGCGGGTGAGATCTCGGCTTCGTGGGCCGGAATGACGAGTAAAAGCTCTTTTGCATATGCAGCAGCAGCAGCGGCTGCGTAGTCCTGCCACTGCTTGTTTTTGTGCGAGTCTGAATAATCACAAATGCCCCGGATTGCTAAGGAAGGAAACTCATTCATGAGCCCGGAAGCTTCCATTTCAAAGCACAGGGCTTTCAGTTCTTTGGAAAATCTTTTCCGTGTCTTTGCATGTTTAATCACCTGATTTCCAGATGCGATTGTGCCATAGTGGATGAAGGGATAAAGAGCATCTCGAGGGAGCCTCATTACGACTCGATTTTTGTCGCATTTTCCACAAGTCGTATTTCCATCGGGGTGTTCAAATTCTGCATCAAATAAGATATCTTGATCTTGGCCTGGATAAGAATATCTGTCTTCTACACCTGGGTGATTTTTCACCATGTCGCGAATGAGCCTAGATATACCTGTATTAACGTTAAGCCGATGGTTTGCTTGAACCTTGGAAACGGCAGTCAACAAGATGGATGGAGGGTTGTTCTGCCTTCCTGTGAGTTCTAATTTACCATTTGCTATTGTTTTCCCATAGTCATATTGTACAACCGCCGGAGCGTTAGGAGAGGGAACGCTGACAACGACATCACCTAGTCGAATGTCGGCTTGTGGAGTGGGCGCACCGCCAGCAATACCGACCATCAGCCAGAATTTTATGGATGGAAAGCTGGCGCGCATATCGCTTGCAACTCTGGTGGCAGATGTCGTCCCGTAAATTCCAGCCGGTAAACATGCAATGACACAATTATGTCCCAAAATGTTTCCCATTGTGTATGTGTTACTGTCACCCGCCCGAACACTCTGTCCGCATTCTTCATGGATTTCATCTAGCATAGCCTTTGCGGCTGCTAATTCAAGTGACAGTGCTGCGATCCAGCCGACTGTATATTTTTCGCGAGAGAGTTGCTTTCTAGATGGCTTTCCTCCATGATATGGAATGGAAGCATAATCGCCGTGGGAGGTTTTGATTCGCTTCGAGCCTGGGGTCGGTATCGGGTCCATGAAGATGTAGTGTTGTTATATCCTCCCTTTTTTCATAATTTGTAGGGGAATATTGTTATCTTTCAGAAGTTGAAGGACGGAAGTAGGACTTTGGACGATGGAAAGTTGGTTGGGACAAGGCAGACGCAGCAGACCATAGCAGCAGACCGCCTTGCGGCTGGAGCGACGAGGCTGTGCTAAATTAGAATAATGTTCGGGATGCTCCTCTTGAAGCACTCTCCAAACTGGACAAGCTCACTTTTCATTTTCTTAACATGTTGAGATGTTTATCAATATACAATAAAAACCCCAACCGAATCTTCGGATGATGCCGCATACACCGCAAGCTGTCCTGCCTAATACATTACAGCGGGCCGTTCCGTTAGGTCCCCCGCAATCACATCCACGATCCTTATAGGATCAATACACTCAAGGGTTAGGTATACGATATGTTAAGTTGGTATACATATAGTATGATGACAAAAGTTTCAAAATACTACCACAAAGTGGATTTAGTAAAGGAATCTTCCCCATGCCAATACTAATAATACATCAATTGATGTATTTGAACTTATTGCTTTGTCCACATCCTCCTCGGTGGAAATATAACTACCAACACAACAACAATGGGGCCAAGAAGCGCTCCATTGACGGACATTGATTCCTCCAAATTAATTTTTATTAGGGAGGTTATGCGCTCTGATGCGTCTTCAATATTTGAGGTAGACTGGATGGACAAAAGTATGCATTGAAGCTTTTCCACGACAACGGCGAGCCTGGATATACCGAGTAAGGTCGTGATCTGAAACGATTTCGCTGAGAATCCAATGCATATAAGAAATTACTCACTTCTGGTGTCTGTGAGCGTGGCTTCGTTCCAAAATTCCGGCTACATCAATCGAGCGGATCCGGCTGCATTCTATCTGCTCTCTAACATTTCGCCCGAGACAATTCAAAGCCGAGAGCAATATTGCTAGAACACCTCCCCAATACAGAAAGTTTAAACTGCGTGAACTACTCGGATGCGCTCTATCCCCACGCAATTGAGGCATGAAGGAGATGCACAGAGCGGGTGTTCACACCACCAAAACACCTACCCCAGGAGCCTTCTCCTTGTTCGTGGAAACTCTGATAGGTTGGTCTGGATTGACTTTGATGTTGCAACGACTTTCACCGACTTTGGACCAGGTCTGCTGCGACTACGAAACTGCGCTTGTGAAGGGATTTGGGGAAGCAATGGTAAAGGCTTCGCTGCTGCCTATGTTGGAAGCATCCAGCGTGCTGACTGACGAATACAGATAGATGACCAGGCTGAGGGACTCCCCCTGAATACAAAAATTTACTGAGGGTTTCATAGACTTTAAATGATTCTGACAATATGTGATGGCGGTTATGCGGTCTTGTGGCAGGGGTAAGTTAGGCGGGGTTTCGAGCAAGGGCTCTTTCACTTCACGCAGCAGATAAGACCTTTTACTTGAGCTAAACACAGCAACTTTAGGAGAAATGTTTCCTTCGCTCCTAGGAGGGACGTGACTGTAAACTTTTCACTGGTTTTTCAATGATGAGCGGGCATCTGATGTTGTTGCGTAACAGGAAGCCGTCGTGCTGCAGCTTTTGGAAGACGCACTCAGGGTCATACTTGGCCGCAGCGTCCAGCATCTTCTTGACATTTTCGACGGTGTAGCTGCGCAGGATCTTTTGGGAGGCTGTGGCGGAGCTCATACGCAAAAAGTCAAGCATGAGTCCTTTCTTTAGCCAGTGACTGCACGCTCTCGGTCATACTGTCCACTGCTCTTTGCACAGCTGCGTCGTCACTATCGTCCTTGAGCCACTCGCATGTATACACCCACCTATGGTTTTGCATCAAGTCAGCTTTTCCATCGATCAAGGCTCTGTGTGGTTTGTTATGATGGGTGTCATTGTGAGGAGCATGCGAGACCGAGTTACAGCAGTGCGTAACCCTCTCAAGTCCCATAATGCTCCCCCCGGCGATCCTTTCCTGCCTGTACACTAGCTGTGCCCATCGGCTGGATCGTATAATGCAGAACAGCGCCAACTGGCAGGCTCTTGCAGATCTCCACCCAGGAATGTAGACCTCTTCGTAGAGTTCTTGCGAAACCTTAGTCGTTACTGTGCAGATAGCACGTCTGTTGGACCGTGTCAGTGACTGGCCAAACAAAAGTATGTATATTTCTCTTGCACTCTTGCACAGGACCTATACCTTGAGCAAGTGACAATAGAGCCATTTGTGGAAGGAATAGATGTCGTCATGAGGCTCTTGAGGTTATAGGAAAGTGCGAAAGCTGGAGGCTGCTCGGCAGGGGTGTCTCTATAGAGCAAGCCCACAGCGACAAAACCCTGGTTGAAGTTGGTGAAGAGACCGATCTTTGGGTTTTTCTCCATGGCTTGAACGGCCCTTGTTGCCTTGATGAGTCCGACATAGTCCTCCGAGTCGTAGAGGTTGGTTGTGTATTGGACGTTGATGAGAGGGTGGGTTTCAAGATCAAACTTCGTCATGATGCCTGATGATTTATTAGGAACCGGGTCAGCCCTTTCTTGCAAGACAAGGAAAGCCATAGATGGTGGCACGTACTGAAAGTTGGATCCACCGCCTTTCAGAAGGCGGTAGAGATCGGCATCTCGTTCGCATTCGCATTAACAAGCTTGCCGTCCGCCAATAAAACCTGGAGACATAGTCCATCACCACCATGACAAAAATTGTCTGCCCCAGAAAGCAAGCTTATTTACCCCAAAGTTTTTGATACCATCTGCTCTGAGTCAATACAGATTGGGTAATACCTCCATACCATCTTTGGCTATAGTTTAGCTCCCAAGCCTCAGAAGTATGTCATTTGAAATGATAGACAGATACCTCCAATTAGGAAAACCTCCTAGCCCAACTTGCTAGTCTCGGCCTCCAATGGCTGACAGTGTGTGCTCCTCGAGACAGGAATACACCTCGCCCAGGTATTTCCTGATCCAACTTGGGGAACTCTATCTGACGTCAGCACCTTAGACTGGAATTGACGCATGTCGAGCACGATGGCCGACTGAAACCAACGTTGGGATTGTGACCGATAGTGCGAATGGCAAATCTGGATTTTCTACTCTTGATAATAGCAACAGCCTCACTGAGCTCCTGCGCGTTGCTCAGATAGACGTCCAGCGGCAGGGTTCCAACACGTCGGAGACCAGGGACGGTTCACGGCTGCCTCATACTCAGATGTAGCATCTGGAGTTACTACCTTAGAGGGAAGGCAGGGTTGAGTTGAAAAAGTACTGTTGCGGTGCTGGAAACCATGATAAGCTGTCTAAGCATTCTCCAGCTTGTTTTTCAGAAATCGATTATAAGAAGTTGATGTGCGTCACAACTGCTTGTAAGTTAATCTGTTGCGATAAAGAGTATTCAAGAAAGACTTTAGTAGTTAGGCCAGCTTATATCGATGTGATATTTTGGGAAGAGCCATCCGACGAAAGGCGTGAATGCCTCCTAAGACCTTGTGGGCCGAGCGGCCTTCAATGTTGGCCAGCCAACGCACTGCGCAATTCATGCTCTTGGTCATGTGAAAGTCCAAGGGTATGGATATCACAAACCAACAGAGGACGTCAGCCAATGGACTGGCGGTATGTAAAGTTGTAAACGACTGGTTCCTTGTCTTCGAACAGTATATTCTCGGTAAATATCCTGCGCTCGCGCCTATATTTTGAAAATTAAAGGATTCAGTCCACAGGTGACAGAAGACCTGTTCAACCCTAGCTCTAGAGAGTACTAAACATGAGTGAAGAGGGAAAAGATAATGTGTGTTAAGGGCAAATAAGTGCCTTCACCCGGAAGAGTCTCAAAGGGTACCGCCGTCTACAAGCCTCACATATAAAGCATATACGGCATAGCCGTCACACCTGTAATGATAATAGCATAATATACCTGCTAATTTCTTGTTTTATAACCTGGGATCGGACATATCTTGTTGACGGGCTTCTTATTTTATAAATAGATAACACTATAGCCCTATATACATGACTGATTATTTTTCTCAACATGCGAGTTATTCTCGAATTATTCCCCTCGCCGGATACTTTCATCCACAGGTTCGTCTCCTTGGGGTTCCTCGGGTATTTCTGGTTTTTCATAAAATGGTGCAAACGTGCTCTTCATCCTCAACCTTCTACCGAAGAAATAGAAACCGACAGGGATCGGGATGAGAGCCACCGCCAGACATCCAAGTAAAGTTGAGGCCCATTGAATGCCCATGTTGTTGAACATCTGACGCGAGAATAATGGGAAGCTGGCTGCGACAAGTGAACGACAGAATGTGTTGGCGGCTATAGCTGAGGCGGCGCTGGAAAATAAGTCAGTTAAATTCTGCTATTGTCACAAAGAGAGAAAATACTCACAACATAAGGTATGTATCAATCAGATAATTGAACAGTTGAATGAAGATTATCAAAAGACCAAAACCGGTGAATAACCCACTCAACGTTGGTACTATCCAAGGAATACTACCTTTGAAACCGGTCCAACCGAACCAGAAAAGTCCCGCAGCAAAAAGAACTCCGCCGATAATAACAGGCGGGAGCCGCCATTCAGGGACCGGGATCCCGCCATTCGCAGCCAGTTTGGCGTTATATGCTCGACTTGAATAGATAATGTATGATGCAGCGCCGAATATGCCTACGACGAGGCCAAACAAGGGAAGCCCGCCGACTCCGGCATTCATGCCGTGCACACCCTGAAAAACTAAGGTGTATGCTGTCAGAAAGCAGTACAACAGGCCGTAAATGAAGCTCAAATAGATTGTGACAGCCAGAATTAAGGGTTCCTTAAACAACAATCGGAGCGGACGGGAGAAGTTGTTGATGACCAGCTCCCTAAAATCAACTTCGATTTCTTCTTGTTTTGCATGAATACCCCAATTCTTTGTGCGCCGGCGCAGTTCCGAGGCTTTGTCAACGAGAACAACTGGCGGATAAGATTCTTTCAAGAAAAACACGTTCAATACGAAAGCAGCGTATCCCATAATTGCAGGAATATAAGCTGTCCAACGCCAGCCCAAATAGGACAAGTTGATGAAACCGCCGATAAAAGGTGCTATGAGAGGCCCTAGGAACACAGTGCTAGAGAACATGGCAATTGCAACACCACGAGTGCGATTATTGTATATATCCGAGAAAATTGCAGCCACGACAGTCAGCGGACAACTACCGAATACACCGGAGAAGAAGCGACAAATCATGAGTGTTTGTAAGTCCTTCGAAACGGCGACACCAGTGTTGAAAATTCCAAATCCCAGCATGGCGATAAGGACCGGTGGGCGTCGGCCACTGAGCTCCGACAATGGCGCCCATACCAAGGGACCAAAGGCATAGCCCATGATGTAAAGCGAGCTAGAAAGGACTGATACTTCTAAACTGACGCCAAAATATGCTGCGACATGCACACTCGAAGCACTGAATATAGCCGAATCGAAGGTCGAACAGATACTCGTGTAGGCGAGGATAACAGTGGTGTAGATTCTGCGCAGAAACGGAGGGTCAGCAATTCAGAGAACGAAACTGATATAGCGCAACGAGTCCAAAAATGAGCCCCAGGGGAAACAACCGACTTACTTCCTACTCAAAGGCCAGTTTTGCGGATACATAGGATCGTCATCGCCAGTGAACTCTACAACATAATCTTCCTGGGCAGGCAGCGGCGGGGGATACGGTTTCCCAGCTCCAAACGCCGGTAGCGAGACTTTCGATGGTCGCGACTTGATGCTTTGGCCGACAGTGAGCGCATGCTGTAGTCGTTGAGTTTCGCTCCTGCTCAGCGCCTGAGACCCTGCTGTTCGAAGGCGCTCCAAATCAACCTCGGTATTGCGCGACTGTAGCGTCTGCAATCGCGTGGGATAATTGACGGAAGTACTCGAGCTTGATGATATGGACGATCCGATGCTGCTGTTAACTGACGACGGTCGTCTTTCAGCCCTATCTTGCGCGGTCTCGGCAGCTTGCGACTCGGCCCCCGCAATTTCGAGATCGAGGTCTTTGTCGTTTACCTCAGCATTGTTGGCGCTCATTGTGTCCGACGCGTATACTCAAATGATTGGCAAAGAGAAAAAGGCTATAGAAAAAAAATAGAAAAAAAAGGAGGCAACTTGTTTTAATTATAGTACTATGTTAATGGCGTAACAATCACAGTAGCGCGCAACCAAGAATGTGACGAGATCCGATTTATCCGCCTGCGAAGAAAATTTGCTGTCTCTCCCATATGATTAATGTTTATTAGTTAATAACACCCCAACACAGGATTCCCACCAATAAGAGCGGTTTGAATAGGAGAATCCTCCTCCACGCTCTAAGGCATAACAAGAGCTGCGGGGCTTCGTTTATCTGCTGTAGCCTTGTTTGTAAGCTGCTTAATAACGCAACTAACTCATTATCAGTTAGTTATTAATATTTCTGTTCAGAAAGCGTGGTCGAGCCGTGATAGTTACTGCTCCCGGTATAGCTTTGTAACGCCTTTGCTCTATTGTCCAACCAGAATTGCCAATTCCCTGAGAAATGCGTCAGCGTGCATGAGCAACGAAATCTACTGACTAATCTCAGCGCCGAGACGGCTATTATCAGCGAAATACGAGATGGCGCACATTAAGCTTCAATCGGGTCAAGTGCTGAGGATGTTAGAAACTATCCTATATTAAGTTATTTCCATTGACGTAAAAATCCTTTTACTCGGAATACTAGACTATATCCACAATTTTTTTCGAGGATAGAAAAACAACCATATTCTCCACGTCAAAATTCTCGAGCTCACAAAAGTGCTAATCGCTATTGTATTTTTGTACAAAGCGTAAAACAAAGTCATGTTAGCTAATGGCTCATTTATAAGGGCAAAAACACATCTATCAGGAAGAGTATTTTGGCCAGAGAAGGCAGTGCTTTCACTTTTAACAGAATTGAGTTTCAGGTTTCCAGGTGAATCGTCATGTGCATATATTGTTTCTGCCTTTGGATCTTTACTCTAGTTGTAACCTAACTTATTGGAGATCATGAGGATTAAAAAGAAACTAATCTCTCTCGTGATTTATTAAGGTTACGAGGCCGTGTTAGGGTAATGTTTACCCACGCGATTTGATTGCCTCAAGTATATGCGTTATATCGACATAGGTCTATTTGTGGTCCGCGAGTGTATGTATTCCACGGCGAAAACCCTTTCAAAAGTTCATTTCAGATATTCACTTGTCACTCAAGTGAGATTTGTGAGTTTCAAATTGAAAACTCAGATTGTAATTTCCAAGATTTTTTTAGTTGCCTCTTTAACATTGTACTGATATCATAAATTAATATTTTAGATCGTTGTAGAGTACTCAACTTAGCCCCAATGAATTTCCTGTAGCCAGTTGAAGACTTCGTTATCCCAAGTTACATTAAATTGAAAAAACTGATATGAAAGCCAATAAATTAATACATTTTAACAAGTTCAGATGCTACTGAAGGCATTACAGTCCCCACTAGATTAACTAAACTACTTTGTAAGATCGTACTCCTCATCAGCTACAGGATCCTCCCCCCTTCCTCAAAGAGAATAGTTTCAAAACAAGTAGTGGTAGCATCTTCCGAATCCAAATAGGCAAAATGGCATTTTCCCTCCCAACTGCCTGACTGTGCAACCTGAAACCCACGCTCTTTGAAACCGGCCACTCGTTCTTCCCATGGGATTCCATTGCAGTCAAATGCTATATGGTGCACGCCCTCCCCATGCTTATCAAGGAATTCATCAAATATATTTGGGCCTGAGATAGGCTGTATTATTTCGTAGGCAATATTCTGTGTCTGCGCAAAGCATACCTTCATGGTGAATGGAGATGGTTTGCCACGATATGTCTGGTTCGTGGTGTTTTCGGGGTTGAAGGTATAGGTCTTCCACGGCCCAATACCAAAGCGCAGTATACCTTCAATGGTATGTTTGTGGTCACGAGTAGCAATGCATATCTCAATCGTATTTCCTACGAAACTCTTCATGCTCTGGCTTATGGTGCTTTTGTCACCGTTGTTTTTCGAGGAAGTCGTGGTGTGTGTAGTGCACAGGATGGGCAGGAACGGTACAACAGAGAGATTTAAGAGATACTATATTTAATATAGAAATGAGAGTTTCGTTTCAAGATTTTTCTTTAGAGAATGCCAATTAAAAAGGAAGAGAAGGTTGCAGAAGCAGCGGGATTTATGTATAGCGATGAGCTTAATAATACCTGGAAAACTACATATCGCCATTGATGTCACTAAAGATCCATTTCAGAACAATATTAGGAAACAATAGCCACGACCAAAAGCCTTCGATATAGTCTTCCCGCGGTCTTTTGGCTTCCTGGTAGGGCTATGTCACAGGAGGCTATACTTTCCTAATACGGATTAGTAGACAGAACGTCACACCACCTACCAACATGTAATCATGTCAACTAGTATAGATGTCCCTTTAGCATGTGTGAGGGTTCATCAGTTGTGCTTTGCGACTGTATGTTGTTCAAAGGTCTATTATTTGCACAATATACATATAGATATACGTATACATGTATCGAAGTTATAGTGCAGTTAGTATAAAGATAATTCCCATCCTTTCGATTCTTGTTGCAAATCAGTATCTAGTTGATAAAGACTATTTTTTTGGGTAAAGCTTACTGATGTAGGTATCCCAATGAAGATCGATCTTCTTATAGAGTTGCTGATCGAATTCCACCCAATACTCTTGCAGAAAAGCCCGAGCACGGCTGACATTTCCCATACCATAATGCGCCTCCAATTTATCTATTAGTTTCATTACGCTACTACGATGATTCGTATCATAGGATTCACATCCAGCGTCAAAAAGCGGTTGTAGCATGGCTACCCCTGGACATGCTTCATCTCGAAGATATAAGCTTGATAAAAGCGTATTATCGCTTGGACAGAAGCTTCGATGTTTGGATGAGTATACGGCAGATATTGTACCCGGCGGTAAAGATGTAAAAGAATGCCATAATGGAAAGCATGATTAAGGGATATAAAATCGGACCGCGATCTGGTGCTGATGTGAGACTCAATAGAAGGATGGAATGTGTAAGACATCCGGGCTAGAGATGATTTCACCTGGCTTATCGCGGCTCGACATCTTTCTTGGACTGTATATGACATTTTCTCCGCAATTTTATGGCCTTGACTACCGATTTCTAATGCTTCTTGCAGTGATTCTCGTTCCATGAGAAGCAGGTTCGCCTCTTGAAAGAGCGGGATCAACGTTCGAGAAAAGCCGTGGAACTCGTCAACATAGTCCGAGCTGCTATTATCAACGGCTTGACCGGTCAATTTGGAATTGGGACCAAGAAGCGAGAGTACCTCTAGTGATTCACACCATGGTCTCAAGAACTTTCTGGTATGCGATTCTTGGAGATTTCTTCGGTTATGTTCTCTTCCTGAAATTTGTTTCATGATAGCTACTGCTCCTTGGAGATGAAGCTGCCATGAGTTCGCCTTTTCTCCCCCAGCAAGGATATCACATAAGCATAACATCAGAGGCGTTGCTATAGCATTATCATCGGCGACAGGATTTTGTCCAATGGCCGGTAATTTGAAATGGCGAAGACTTGAGTGTCGTAAAGCCATGATTTCATGTTCACTGTGGTATAGGCCCAGATATTTTGGGTGGAGTGCTGCAGATTCAAGAGTTGCTGGTAGAATGCTATTCCCTGTAGATGGGTCTAGAGCCATTGGCAAGTATGTATGACAGAACCCATGATGGGTTGCTAGGTGTAAGGAAAACGATCGGGAGACAGTGTAAAGGAAATGGTCCAATAATACGCGATGAGAAGGTGAAAATCATGACAGATGGCAGGGGTTTCGAGAGATAGTATTTAAATATAGCGACAATACCTGATTCTCTTGTATCTGCTGCTCTTGGATAGAAGAAGCGATGGTGGAGAAGCGGGTGTGATTTTCATTCATTGCCCGATAGTCCATAAATAAACGATGAGGCCAATTCATTGCTAGTTCTCATTTGATGTGACGTCCCGGGCTGTGATGGACTGAAATTCGAAGTTTCACAACTGGATTCTGACAAAAGTGGAACTATAGCTACACCCTTATTCACAATTTGACCGAAGGATGATTTTGCAAATGGACGACCACCCCAGGATATTCGTAGGCCATAGATACACTTCTTCTGCGAGGCAAGGCATCCTGAACAGGAAGGTTTAGCTTCGTCACATTTGCGATGGATTCTTCGGCAATTCAGACAACCATTCCGAGACCGGCGTGGGTTTCCTGTAGACTGAAGAGGCATTATTTTCGTAATCGGCGTATTGAGTGGGGAGGTCGATCTCTCTGTGGAACTAGAGTGCTTGACCCTTAGCTCAGACATGCCAGATGTACCGGTCCGGCCTTGTTTAACTTATAAGCTCGGGCGGTGTGTCAGCCACCACTACCCACAAGGGTAAACCCCTTTGGTGTAGTGGAGTTCAAGACCAACATAAAATAATGACACTGCGCTTGCTATTGGATGGATGCGGGTCTATGAAATGTCAACGCAGCCATTATGGTAGTAGTCTTCTACACACCGTCTATGTTCTTTCCTCCAGAATGCTTAGGAATTGCGGAGCCCTCGGAGGCAGACTTTGTCAATGGGACATGGAAACATAGGACTGGGAGCTTGATAGAGTTGGAGAAGAAAGAAACATACTGTTTATGAAGTTGAGTGTGTGCCATCTGCAGTTTAGACTAAGCCACACAACGGAGTCAGAGGATACACCCACTTAGAGAGGGTCCAATTGTTCTAGCTGCAGGTTATACATCGGAAGGGGCGCATCGAGCTATAGAGACTAGTTTACAGGGGAGAAGGCGCATTGGCCTTTGGAAGACGTTTCATATCTAGTCCCGATTTAACTTTCAGGCTTACCAACAACCTGCCTCTGACGCACTATCAACGAGACACACTCTATAAAGTTAGAAGCCCTAATGGCTACATCAATTATGCATTGAGTAAGCCTTGGGTAGATTAGTTGAATGCAAGCCGAGAAGCAAAGTATTAGCTAGTCAACGGCAGAAGGAATCAGTATTATCCAGATAGAAATTCAATTAATTAGTATACGTTGGGTCGCTTTCTAACCTTCCGACATGGTGACTATTAGCTTATAGCACTTCATTGAAGCCAAAAAATATTTTTAAAAAATGGGGATTCATATATGTACCTTTAACCTGACTGCAAATGAGTAGAGAAAAGTAGTGTCGGTATTAGCGGCACTTCTGATTGGAGATTTATCACCATCGTTGTGACCTCTCTTCATCGACAAGGAAAGATAAAACGGCGCAAGATCAGCATGGATTAAGTATCGGATGAGGCAAATGGAAGATACCTGTGCGAACTCTGCGTATCCTAAATCTATCTGGTATGCGCCTGAGGTTAAGTCCCTGGGCGCTGTCAGGATGCTGCCTGGAGGCGTTGACCCAACATCAAGTATCTTGTTGGATATGCTGAATACGAATAAGAAAGCTTCTCATCGCGGTCAAAATGCATATATCCCTGCTGGAGTTTGAGTCGGTGTTAAGATGTTATAAATCTGTGAAATCCGTCTTTGAAATGTCAGTGCCAACTGACCTAATGCTTAATAATCTCGCCAGTTACATGTACGACGGTTAGTGTAGGAGCGTCGGCGATATTATTCTGCATATTTGGAATATTGCTCTAGCCCGATAAAAGTTTTATATCTTAGTGGTGGTGATCCTTGGCGGCAATCTTAGTGGTGATCTTCATTGAATTTTCCTGTTAATTCGAGAATGGATCATGTCCCCATTCGGAATTAAAGCTATGGAGTTACATAAAGCCGACGAGCCCCTAGCACTTCAAGATGTAACATGCGAAGGCCAATAAGTTAAAAGTATATTGATTTCGTTCGTATAAGGACTTTGAGATGTTTTTAAAGAAAGATATATAGCAAAGTGTGCACATCAGTGTATCGGTACTCTCCACGAACTGATCGAGGACGTTATCGAAACAGCAACGATACCAACGACCTTACAAAGAGAGAAATATTTTTGTCAAACTCAAGATAAGATATATCCATCTCTTAAGAAGAAAATACAAAAATGCCAGAGGTTTTAGGCAAACAAGTAGGCCCTATTGGCTTTGGTCTTATGGGATTGACCTGGCGAGATACGCCATGCCCTCAAGAACAAGCCTTTGAGACTATGCGTACTGCTCTCAAAAATGGGGGTACGTGGAAAGACACATATCTTTTTGTTCCCTTTTAATGAGCATTTAGTCACTGGGTTAAATATCAGAAGCTAATCCTTGTTCACTTTAGACAACTACTGGAATGGCGGCGAGTTCTATGGCCCAGTTGAATACAACAGTTTGGTTCTTCTGGAAAGATACTTTGAAAAATATCCCGAAGATGCCGACAAAGTAGTTCTCAACATCAAGGGAGGATCGGATATGAAAACCGGTCTCCCAGACGGCTCACCCCAGAACACTCGTAGGACTCTCGACGACTGCATTGCCCAGCTTAAGGGTCGCAAGAAGATCGACATGTTTGAGTTCGCCCGCCGGGACCAGAAGGTGCCTATGGAGATTACTTTTGATGTCATGCAGAAGGAGTATATCCAGACAGGTAAGCTTGGTGGTATCGCTCTATCAGAGGTGCGGGCCGAGACCATCCATGAAGCTGTCAAGCACATCAAAGTGCTTGCTGTGGAAGTCGAACTATCACTGTAAGTTACTTCGTCAGTGGCCGCCCCAATCAGAAATTCCTTAGTTAATAGCTTGCGATAGATTTTCTACAGACCCCTTGGAAAATGGCGTTGCAGCTGCGTGCGCTCAGTATGGAATACCACTGATCGCATACTCCCCGATTGGAAGAGGCATGTTGACAGGCCAGTTCAAGAAGTTTGAAGATATTCCAAAAAATTCTAATATCCGAAGATTTCCTCGATTTCAGCCAGGGAACTTCGAGATCAACGTGCAGCTGGTCGAGCAGGTAGAGAAGTTGGCCGAGAAGAAAGGATGTACGCCGGCTCAGTTCGCGATCAACTGGACACTGGCGCTATCGAGGCGTCCTGGAATGCCTACTATAATTCCAATCCCCGGTGCTACAACGGCGGCGAGGGTAAATGAAAACAGCAAGTTAGTTAATATTACTGATGAGGAGATGGCTGAGATTGACGCTACTTTGGCCAAGTTTACAACTGCTGGCGAGCGCTATCCCGACTATGTTCCAATGAACACCTAAGGTTAGACAAACGATCGTTGTGGAAGGTATGACCTGTTAGACTGCTGAAAAGAAAGAAGAAGAAGAAAAAATGGCTATATAGTATCAAAAAGTATAGAGAAATAAGAAATTATTTTCTAAATCATGATAGGCTGATATACGGTCATGAAAAATAAACACAATATCCTCACCATAAAACGCATAATTGGTTTCGTAAATAACCGGTTTTAATTCAAATTAAAAAGATGGAGTATTTCTAGCCCACTTTTCATTCATGATTAGTCCTGGTTTGCTATAACAGGCCGATAACGCCCACGAGGAAGATGGTGCAGCACAAGCACTTTATCAAAAGAATGTCAGCAATGGATCTATAAGAAGGAGAAACGAGATGTACATACAAGCAAGCAAGATTAGCATCAGTACCGGCAGGGTCCAAGAAGACTCTCCCAAAGTCTCGGCATTAGAAGTCAAGGTAATGGTGCTGAGCAGAACGATACCAAGGCCAATAAGCAGGTTGACAGCAGTGCTCAAATATTGTAGCCAGTGATGGACATTCTTATGGTTAAAGGATAAGATAGATAAGATACTGATGAATATCAGGATCAAACCAGTACATACGGCAAAGTAGCCTGATAAAAGTTAGCTATAGAATCCAGGGAAAAGACACTATATATCGATTGATGTAAAAGTGAGATAAAATGAATATAGTGACTTACCAAACGTAAGATTGAAGACAGATAAAATTGCGTCATAGGACTCTAAGAATCCCTCAGCTCCTTCGTTTGACGTTTCTTCTGGGGTTTCCCAGCCAAAGTCTTCGATCACAGTTTTATATGAGTCCGTTATCAGCGTGAAGCCGACGCTTATAACCTCAGTAAAATTGGCATCGGCGGGAAGACTTAGGGTTTCATTGAGAGACATCTGAGCCTCATTGAATACTTCTTCGGTGGTCTCAAAACGGGAAAAAACAGTGGTGAATATCTCACTCATTGACGCCCTCAATCCTGTCGGAGACTCATTATCAATAGCGGTGGACAAGGAATTAAATATTGAATCTAGATCAGTCGTAATATGATACCATAATAATGTCTGGTTCGTGCCTTCCATCATAAGACAGAGGGCCAGATGAAAGGGAAAATGAAGAATAGCCCAAATATGTTGACGACGTGAACCAAGCGCCTGGCCGTTAGAGAGGTTATCGAAGTATAGTTGATAGACAATGTACTGTAAGTGCCATGGATTAGCACTGACCGTTTTCATCCTGCTATATGATTTTCTTCAATAGTCGCTTACAATGATGAGTACTGCTGATATTATCATACCGATATCACCTGAAGTAAATTTCTTGTCCATTCCGTCAATCTTGACAATCGTTTTTGTGAGACCAATGATACCTTCGCCGAGCTATATCAAAGTCAGTATTCCATTTGTCGCTTTGCTGGACTGTGGGAAAAGAACAAACAATAATCAAAGTCAAACAGGTCATTCTTTCCGCGAGATGTGTCTTTAAAAGAGACACGGCAGGCCAGATGGCTGCAACAGAAACATTCACAACGACTTCAGATACCGCCACAAAGTACCAAGCAATATAAGCATCGTAAGAAGTCTGATTGTAGAACGCAAATGAAACACCCAGGTAAATGATGATCGCAATAGCTAGAGAAGCTATCACCAGAAGCAATGGTACGCGGGTTTGCTTAAAGCGCCATGTGAAGAAGAGAGTTGTGCTATACTGACATAGCAGAACAATACGACTGCCCATTAGTATAAGCGAAAGTTGTTGTAGAGGGTCCCATCCGTTGGGATCCTGTAAGAAAAGAGGCCCAATGACTGCTAGCCCGACCATAACTCCAAAATGACATGCGTGGGCGATACGTTCAAACAAGCTATCTGTAGCGAAACGGACATCGTATAAGGTGACTTGGCACCAGGTAAACCATAGGATGCAGATGAAACCGACATACGAGGCGAGACCTATGGGCGGAGAATGAGTTAGCTGCTAGTTAAGATCGAGTAGCTAGTTTTTTGTATCAGAAGAAAATTGGGGATATACTTTCTTTACTGTTGACCTCGTGAGAATTGGTGAATGAGGTCAGGTTGGCTACGAAGAAGAGATCGAAGAATAGCTGGAGGTTCGAAGTTGCTTCGTAATGCTCGAATTGCGGGTTCTCAAAAAGTGTGTCGTCTCTGGTAGTCAAGTCTGCATTTTCATTGACAGATTCGCCATGGCGAGTGTTTTTGCTTGACTATAGACCGTTTAGTTATCAGGGAATTGTGTATTCTAGGCCCGACACGTTTGTATACCTACCAGAGGACTTTTGACAAAAGGTAGTCGATCCATTGTAGGGGCTAGCGATAGCAAAAGAACGCTTAATCAAAACCGGAGATCGAAAGATTGTAAGGATTCGGTCAGACTAATGTTATTATCACTCCATCAGCATTATCTTCAAGGATGAAAAACATTTGGAGATTACCAGGGCGAACACTTCACGAAAAGAAGACTTAAATCAGTGGATCTAGACATCAGCTATGTGGTTATTTAAGGCAATTTCCTCGACACGGCATGAAGTGGGAAAATGATTATTAACTAAAGCTACACATCAAATAACGAACCCCTACAGAGATTCAGCTGAAGACGTACCGAATCGATATCTCTATGTGGCTAAGCTCTGAAAGGTGTTTATTGGTCTAGACAGGTCTGTAAGGTTTAAAGTGATCAGCCGTGCGTAAAAAACCTCGAGTTAGCCAATCGCTGGGCGAGCTGGGAAATTGGCCCTTAACTTTAATGTCCAGAGATTTAACGTAAAGTGGGTAATTGTACGTATATAGCCTATAGGGTTGCTGTTGGGATGAGAGCTGAGCCGTGTGGGCATCTAAAAAAAGAGAGGCGCTTAACTGGTGTGTATTTATGGTGTCCTCGTTATCGTATTCATTTCCTCGTTTATAAGCATACCAATTTCTAAAATGTTTGATAAACTAATGTCCTATTCGATGTGGTAAAAGGAACATTTAATTCTTTTCTATACCTTTAGCGGCAGTTTTATTTCCTGGGAACATTTGAAATAGAGGGCGGGGATCGTTTGATTATTTGAGTGAACTAATATATAGTAGATGACCATCTAATTGATTTCAAATGATATTATTCTAGATGTCATTTAACTATTTAAATAGTAATAATAAGCCCAGAATTTCTATGAAACCCACTTCGAAAACAACTTCGTCCAGAGAACACCATCCGCATTACTAACTTGTCATTGCAGAAGATTCTGCGAGTAAAAGCGATGAATTTGCAAAACCAAAAAATAAATGACAATAAGTGTGATAAGTCATTTCAATGAGAAAATTTAGTAACGTCTGATTCCTTTCTTAATAATACAGGGCAAAATGATCATCGCGCGTGCTTTGGCAGACGGAAGCCGAGATACGGTAGATATTTGGCGGGATGCCACCAGATAAACAGAACAAAGCACGGAAGAATCACGAGCGCGTCGAAAACGTACGTGCACCACTCGTTCGTGCTAAGATAGCCCGAAGGACCTTCGTTGAATTCGATCATACGATAAATAGTACGAATCTGATAATGCATCAGGATACAAACTCCCATCGTTGAGCAGGGGAGAAAAGATTCAGGTAATGACTCACCAAAATCAAGCCAGATACTAAGTTCACAACTCGCAGAATCGCTGGCCAGTGTTTCTGTTTAGGCGCAGTGTCCATTTGGAGTGTACGGTCATTTTCTTCGTCAGGGAATTGCTCGTGGGCTGATTTTTTAAATCTTTTGGACGTGAAATTAAAGCGAACGGCGATTATTGAAAACAGACCAAATGCTGCCAATTGTACCACCACACCAGCCTGGGCGATTCCTTTACCATTATTAATCTTCTTTTGTGCATCTTTATCTGTAGCCTGGGTTCCCGAGATGATAACCGCACCCGCCAATTGCAATAGCAGGGCAATGATATCGAAGAAGACAAAGATTGGAGTCACAAATCGAGGAGGCACCCAAATGAGTTTTAGAGTTCTAGACCCTCTCGGCACAGCAAGGAAGACAATCCGCCCGAAAATGATATAGCAGAACGCTGCGACCAGGACAGGCGCAAGCACGGTAAGAGCAAATTGAAGGACGTAGATTGACTGATTGGTAACATTTTGAGTCGAGATAGACCTGCCAATGTATCCAACCGTTTCCACTAGAGAGACGCCAATTGTCAGGGTCGATATTACACACCAAGACGATGGAATGGGCAGTTAAAAGATAAGGGAACGCCTATGCATACTTGCTACAGCCACGACCATGATAACACACACCCAAGCTCTGTGTTTCACCCACAAGGCCGTCGTCAAGATAAAACAGATGCCATAGAGCGCGGCGAAAAGCACGGCGGCGGCCAACGACGGATTGAAGTCGTAGAAAGAGAGTTTCTGTTGCATGGTGATTTAAGTTGCTGACAAGCTAGCCTGCGAATTAACGAGAGAAGGATTCGACGTGTTAAGCACGGGTATAGGTCTCTGATTTATATTGATGCGTGAAGCATGGCGTTCATCCTCAATCCCGAGGGTCAACCTTCCCAGAGGTCCTTTATGCGCAGACAAGTACGATGGAACTGCCAAATGCGGGCTCCAAATCGCCTCGGAAGGGGCGTCGACCCCATACATAAGAAAACATTGGCATCCCCTGGACAGATTACCGGTCAGCGTAGATCAGTTGCGTTGTTACTGGACTGAGGAAAGAGCAGAATCACATGGAGTCGCGGTGGCCCCGCTTATAATCAGAATTCAGCCAATTAGAATCAAAATACGAGTTGGATGCCCCATTGGGTTTAGTGTAATCTGCAACAGGATGCTCCGCCTCAACGGCTGCAGCCAATCAGCTACGTTCCCTGTTCGTCGAATTTGTGGCCTGAGGCTGGGCTTTGTGCCAACGTCTCTCCAAATATCTAGTCTTCATCACCAGGTGAGAGCATGTAAGATAAGTTGCATTATTCTCTCGATTGTATGCACGCCAATAAGATGCTAAATTGAGGCAATGGTTTATTGCGCGCGTCCGAGCAAAAACTGCCTGGGTTGCCGGCAGCGGCGAATCAAAGTACGTCCTCGTACATCTCCAGACAGGAGAAAAGAGAGGAGTCGCTAGGCTCTGATTAACTAGCTAATTAAGAGTTAGTGTGATCTTCGAGTGCCAGCATGTACGCAATGTAAGCGGGCAAGCATGAAATGTGCCGGCTACCGCGACCAGTTGGCGCTTTTGTTCCGTGACGAAAATGCCAGGACACAGCATCGCTCCGTAACGGCCAAAGACAGGTCTAGACAAGCGGAGACGTGCTGGAATAAGATACAAGTCGATCGATTGAGTCTCGCCGCTACTCCGTCCAAGTCACTTGATGAAGGAGGTTTGAGCTTCTTTCTCGACCGCTTTACCACAGCGCCCCAATGGTCATCCATTGACCAATCGTCGATGAGTGTCACAGTCCACCCATTTATTAAAAGTATAGTTGCTAAAGAGCAGACTCGAGATGCTCTGATATCTGTTGGCCTGGCCGCATTATCGAATGTTACTGGAGATAAGGCGTGTCTCAAGGTTGCGTTGCAAAAATACGTCAATGGCATCAAACATGTCCGAGAAGCTCTAGAAGAGCCGACCAAGACGGATTTAGATGACACATTGAAACTTGCTGTGATTCTCGCATTGTTCGAGGTATGTATTCTGCTTCGGCGACTCGAATTTGCTTTGATCCTTTCATGCTCCCAAAGCTAATAGCACTTAACAGCTTGTTAGCACTAGCCCAGGCCACCTCAACTCTTGGAACATTCATACCAACGGCGCTCTTGCTCTCTTTCGGCACTTACACCACGGCCGTATGCCCGTGAAACCACGTAATATGGCAGATTTACAATCTTATACATTCTTCATCCTGAAGTATTTCACCTCAGGCGGGGATATCCCTTCCGAGATTCTCGACTGGTCTCCTCCAAATTATTCCTCACAGATTCTTAACACGGCGGCTGCTCTCATCAGCATTCTCGTGCGTTTCGTTCGCTATTCTGCTGTCTTGCAAGACCCCACTTTCAATATGAATACCGAAGAAGCTGTCCGAGCAGCGTTCCTTATCGACACGGCTCTGAATGATTGGGAAGCCAGCTTATTCAGTGATGACAGTTGGTCATATGTGACACAGGAATCAAGCGAGCTTTTTGGCGTGTACCAAGGAAAGTGTCATGTCTATAAGAATATATGGGCGTCTCGAATATTGAATCACTACCGCTGGGCTCGCATCCGTGTCAACGAATTATTATACCTATACACATCGAAGCTGACGAATCCAACGGCTTCTCAGCTCGTGCATCAGCAGACAGCGCTAAGCACGATTTCTCGCATGGCAACTGACATTTGTATCTCGGTGCCTAATCACTGTCGCTTAATGGGGTTCGGATTTGGCTCGCTGGCTAGTCGTGAGGCCGATGTCCCACCCCTCAATGGGGTCTTCATACTCGTCTTTCCTTTGATCATTGCTGGAAGCGCTATTGGCGTATCTGACGAGCTGCATGAATGGATTGTCAAGACACTCGGCATGATCGGGTCGACAATGGGGATTGGACATGCAGCGGAATCGATTTCAGTTGTGAAAACGATACGGGAGGTAAAGAAGCGCCAGGATGTTGTGTCTTGGAATGCAGCGCTTATTTTTCCGATGCATGGGTAGTCGGAGATTATGTAGATACCATGTAGATACGACTGTTGATGACCGGTTGCAATTGAGAATGCATGATCGTCGTGTATATTAATATCAAGTCACATGATCTTAGTTATATACATAATGGCGCTAGCCACTTCTCCATCATTAGTATAAATAATTAAATATAATCAGCACAAATAACCGTCGAAGGTGTACTTGGACATCTGGAGCCGAACCATCGGGGATGCCGAGCGGGTTGGGTTTCGGCAGTGTCCGTGATCATGCCGAGTCCAGACGTGATTATGCGCACAAAACGATACAAGTTCGGACGAAAAGGTCCAGAATGACAGGCCGAATTTAGCTCTGTCAGACTAGTCAATATGTTGATGATAAACATTGGCACGTTTGAGCTTGGTTCGGCTACGCACGTAAGATCTGAGAATGACTGCTCTGAAGTTCTCAGCATTGAGCGTAGTGTGAAGAAAATTTTGTTTTTAGGCGGCTTATTAGCCACGACCAGTCCATAGTCCGATTTGGTTCCATGGATGGTTCACGGGCCGAGCTGTGTATGTGCGAACGAACCACGAAGTGTCTGATCTGATATTGAGAGTGATCCAGCATGCTCATTGATGTATTGTAAATAACAAAACCATTGACCACTATCCATTATTATTCTTGATGTAACAATCATATTGATAATTGAATAATTTAAATCACAAACAAAACATAAATCTGATACGTCGCGTGGCAACAGATCTACAGTCGCGAGGGAGGGCTGTGATTCGCCACAGATGCAGACGGCGGGGCCACCTTACCACATCAAGAAGAGCCGCTGGAGGGCGACGCAATTATGCATCAGCAAGAATAGTGCAGCCGACTTGTGCCCAACACCGACGGCCAAAGACGGCACTCGGCACGTCTGACTGTGCTTGAGGGATTCATTTGCGATTCTCATTCTTATACCCGGCCATCTTGTGCCAGTTCTGCTATTTTAACTTGTTATGTCCGCCCGGGCAGTCTATTAATCAAATGCTAGCTAAAGTTGGCTTTCATTACTGCGTAGTTCATGCCAGGTTAGAGAGGCGACGATTATTCAGCATGCACAAATCTCGGGTTCATAATTATGCACACCAGGAGTGACGCCATCCCGCGGGCCAGGCCACTAAACAGGCTATCTTCATATGGATTCTGGGCCTGCCTGCCAGATTTTGCGCGTGGCTTATGTCCGAAGCCATAGAACTAAAATGACATTACAGTGGAGATAGCAGCTCTAGTTTGAAAATTGTTAATTTGTCACTATGGGCCGTGATGGAAAAATGACTTAAAAGAGATGCTCCGCCCTGTCCAGCTGTTTGCGGCCATATTTAATTACACTCTACACCTCCACTCAAGCGTCAAGATCCTGTCTGCTATTTTTGAAATACTAATACCTTCATCTCTTCACCTCACTTGACCTTCTCTCTTTGCGCAACCGCTGAGATGGCGGACAACAATCTCGAGAAGGCGAAACAGGCTGAAGAAGCAGTCAAGCCCACGCGCATCCCATATTGGCGGAAGGTTATCGATCAAGCCGGCGTCACTCCAGAGGTCCAAAACTACCAGTATCCCGGCTCGGGAACAGAGGAGGACCCTTATATCATATCATGGATTCCGAATGACCCCCGCAACCCGATGCTTTTCTCCACGTTCAGCAAATGGTTCATCACCACCGTTATGGCCTTTGCCACGCTGGCTGTCGCTCTCGTCTCGTCCGCATACAGTGGTGGTATCGTGCAGATTATAGAGCAGTTCAGCGTGGGCGAGGAAGTCGCAACTCTGGGCATCTCTCTTTTCGTGCTTGGCTTCGCCATTGGGCCGCTGATGTGGGCTCCGCTCAGTGAGCTGTTTGGTCGACAGGTCCTCTTTTTCGGCACTTATGCGATGCTCACGACCTTCAACGCCGGCTGTGCGGGGGCCCAGAATATCTGGACCTTGATCATCCTGCGTTTCTTTGCCGGTGCTTTTGGATCGTCTCCCCTTACTAATGCCGGAGGTGTCATTGCAGACATGTTTTCTGCTGCCGAGCGAGGCCCGGCAATGAGTTTCTTCGCTGCTGCGCCTTTCCTGGGCCCTGTTCTTGGTCCTATCGTTGGTGGTTTTCTCGGTGAAAGCGCTGGTTGGCGGTGGGTTATGGGTTTGTTGGCTGCTTTCGCTGGTCTTCTCTGGATTGTGGGCACTCTCCTGATTCCGGAGACGTACGCGCCAGTACTGCTACGCCAACGCGCTTCCAAGTTGTCAAAAATGACCGGCAAGGTCTATATTACCCGAATGGATGCAGACCGTGGCAAGGTGTCAATTGGCAACGCATTTAAGACTTCGCTCTCGCGCCCGTGGATTTTGCTCCTCAAGGAACCGATCGTGTTCCTTCTGTCTATTTACATGGCTATCATCTACGGAACCCTGTATATGCTTTTCGGCGCCTTTCCTATTGTCTATGAAATAGGCCGTGGCTGGAGTCAAGGAATCTCGGGTTTGGCCTTCTTGGGTATCATGGTTGGCATGCTAATAGCTGTCGTTTATAACTTCTGGGACAATGGACGATACCTCAGAGTCGCGGAGAAACATGATGGGTTTGCACCCCCCGAGGCTCGACTCCCCCCGACTCTTATTGGCAGTATAGCCCTCCCGATTGGCCTCTTTTGGTTTGCGTGGACCAACTATCCTTCTATCCACTGGCTTGCTAGTATTGCCGCCGGTGTTCCTTTCGGGTTCGGAATGGTTCTTGTTTTCCTCAGTGTCATGAGCTATCTGATCGACGCTTATACCATTTTTGCCGCCTCCGTCCTGGCCGCCAACTCGGTTCTTCGTTCCTTATTTGGTGCCGCATTCCCTCTCTTCACTACCTATATGTATAATAACTTGGGTATTCACTGGGCGTCTTCTATCCCAGCCTTCTTGGCACTCGCATGCGTACCATTCCCATTCTTTTTCTACAAGTATGGCCATGCAATCCGCGACCGGTGCAAGTATGCCGGGGAGTCGGCGGCATTCATGCGCAAACTACAGGAATCAAACGAGCCCGAGCCAACTATAGACGGCGAGGAAGAGGCTTTTGATCGTACCGAGGAGCCGCCACCTCACGACATAAGCTCTGACTCGGAGGATGGAGCAGACGAAGAACTGCATCAAACTCGTCGTACACAGTCTCTCGCTTCCACTAGGACCGGAGGCAGCATTCACCGTGTGCACAGCGAATACGAAGGCAACCCCTACGACATTGACCGTGTCAACACGCAGAATTCCGACTTCAGTTTTGTCAACCGCAAGAAATAATCACCTTTTCAGGTCATTAATATTAACCGTTTTTTTCCTTTTTTTTCATCCTGTATATAAATCTCATCTTTGCATACGGCTTTGTCATGAATGAGCCGGGGAGTTTGGTGAGGCAATGTTGTTGCATTTCACGGTAAATATACTAATAGAGCTGTCATTTAATCGACGGTATAATTTGAATCAAATAATCTGATTGCACGCTCCTGACAAATCAAAGTAATGATACGCGGAAGATAGAAATATGAAGGCGGCGTAATAGGTCATGTGACCTTCCAAGCCCTCAGGCTGATTGTATATATATACTGCAAGGGCTGGGGAATCTCTGTATCGCTCAGTATTTTATACGAAAATATATTTCTCGTAGCCATTTCAACTTGAACCAGTCCTTTACGATTTGTATACTCATGGCTAATGGCCTTTTTGCATTGTCCTAATTTCTCACGACACTGTGTCATTTACGAACGGAAGTGATGGTTTGGGTTATCTAATGTCAGATGAACTAGTAAAGTAAAAATACCCAATTAAGTCTTTAGGGGAAATCCTTTGCTGTTACTTTGGTTACCTGCTCGTTACTCTATTAGGTGGCTTGCTCTAATTTCCGCAGCCAACCGATCATCTGCGAAGCCTTCGGAGGTAGGATGCGAGTCTTTGGCCCCATACCAATTACTCGCTTTTCTATGGTCATTCCCAGAAATCTATGCTCTATATCGATGTTTTATCAACTTCGATTATGCTCCGTAGGCTCTTCACGTAAGTAGTATTAAGTGTTGGTAATTTAAACAGAAATATGTAAAGAAGCAGCAGATTTCTTTACAGCCCATATCTTTGATCCTTCAAACGGCATTGAAAAGTCTAGTATCAAAGACACAGGTCTCCGCAATATGTATATCTTCAAGTTCTATTTTTTCTATTACGTACCCCTTCATGACTCTCGCCGTTGCTTCTCCAGTTGACACCAGCCGGCTTCTTGTCGTCCTAATTCTGAAGGTTGTTCCTATTAACGATTGAGATAACGACATTTACTGAAGGGAAAGATCGCTTTTAAAGAGTAAATTAGTTAGTTAAGGTACAATATCTTAATTATTAATTATTTTGTAGGTCCTCATTATTAATCACTTTGAACTTGGTTGCAACGCTGACAATTTGTCCAACTGAGAAGCCCTAACTACACGAAAAGATTTTCGGAGTTAGCCAATAGAAGTGTATCAATCTGACTAACTTTTCTGCTTGATGTTCATTTCCAATTCCCTTTTAGGTAACTAGCTGCTGCTTACAAATTAGAGTATGAATTATATCTCCCGGCTATAAAAGAGTAAAGGGACCCCTGGTATTCCCCTTTACCAAAAAGCCAATGGTTTTGGCGATAAATCAAACTATTAGGAAGCACAGCGAATTACTGGTAGTTGGTAGCCATGACGAGAATTCTCATTATTGGCGGGATACGTTGGATAAGCATTGGCAGCATCCCTTCGTGGGAGTGGCCACCAAGTTTACAGTTTCACTCGCCGCAAGAATGTGGTGCAGACCCTGGCGACACGAGAGATTATTCTGGTGATTGGGAGTGCCTCAGAAAGCGGTACATATCTTGGGGTTGTCCAAATCAATCGTTTTGAAGTGGTGTTCGATGCTTCCAGCGCCAAGCAAGACAGCAGGAAGGTCTTCTCCGATGTCTGGTCTCTTTCAGAAAAGAGAGTACAACAAGATGGGACAGCTCCGAAGGTGGGATATATTTATGTCAGTGGTATGTGGGTACACGGTCACGCCCCACGGCGGATGGTTTCAGATACCGACCCCGTAGGCACAGAAGATGCTGCAGTGGCTCCAGTAGACCTAGTTGGCATGGAGGACAGGCTTGGAACATGATATTTTGAAGGCGAGATCGGTGTTAAATGGAGTGGTTGTGCGGTCGTCGCTGACATATCGCCGTCAGTCGAGCATCTAGTCCATCTTTCTACAGCCAGGATTGACCGCTGCACGACAAAGGAGTTCATCTGTGGCGGTTTCCATTGATCTCAAGTCACACTTCGGACCGATTCATGTTGATGACCTCGCCCGAGGTATCCATCTTACCGTGGACAAACTGCCTTTCTTGCACTCATCGGAGATCTATCCAGTCTTCAATTTTTGCACCAGTATTGAAGAAAAACTCATCGATATTGTCGAGGCCACAGCAATAGCCTACGCATACGATGGAGAGATACAATCTACAGCTCCATACAATGCGTTCACTCCGACAATGAATACCAGTATCGAAGATGCCGACTGTTCGAGGGCGAAGCAGAGCTTGGGATGGTATCCGCAAAGACTGGAAGGGTTTGTTCGTGGCATGGATGTATACGCCACAGCGTTGGAAGTAAGTAAGTCTACGTGATTGTAGAATTACCGTTTGATTGTACTTCAAAGCGCGCTGTCATCAGTATCTAGTGAAGACATGTAGCACTGGCTTGAAGACAAATGCCAATGTAAACAGCTCAAAGTTTGTGGAAGCCGGTTGTTTTTTGCCTGGACGTTGGCTCTTCAGGGGAGAATAGAATATATCTTTAAAGCGGAGATCTCAGAGTCAGGACTAAGTTCTGTTAAAAAAAGAAAAAAGTAGATATTTCTAACACAGGGTAATGGTAAGCGTTGGAAGAAGTTATTGATTGGCCGCTTAAGCGTGATTGGCCAACTCGGACTCGGCGATAACCGGATATCGGATGAGGGCTGAAAAATAGCGATCCCGATTACGCCAGCGACTGCGCCTTTAATGTGTCTTTACCTCTCTCTTTTCCCCCTCATTTTCGTGATGATTTGTCGCATGATATCCGTCCATCGCTGAAGAGGTATTCATTGTTGGCTTTTGCATTTTTCCTTGGGCCGTTCTCGGGGCTTATTGGACTTGCTCTCGTGGTTGTTATCGGTCTTGTTGATTGGTAATACGATATTTTGCAACAGGGCGACTACCTATTTTGTTCAGTAAACCTTCAGCGTGCCTTGGTTCTTGGTTTCTAGATGATACAACACGAGTTGACCAAACTCCATATCGACCATAATGCGCCGATCATTAGTCGACTTGGTCGCACTGGGAGGCCGACGCAACACCTCGTCCTTGCGATATCGAGCCCAGCGGAATTTCCAGCAGCGGCGAGCACAGTCGACCGAATCCAACTTGAAATCAGATAGTTCATTCGTTAAATCAGAAAAGCCTTCCGCCGATACAAAAACAACAACAACAACACCGCCCGCTAGTTCTGCAGCTTCGTCAGCTAGAGCCGCAAGCCCGCCGTTGACGGCTCCTCAAAGTCGCACTGTGTGGGAGGTAGTGAAAGCAAGCCCGGTGGGACGTTTTGGGGGTTGGTATAGTCGAGTACAAGACAAACGACCATATGTCACCCAGATGGTAAGCTCACTAATTGTCTACTTGTGCGGAGACCTCAGTGCGCAGTTGCTGTTCCCTAGCGAGGTGCAGCCGGCACCACAGGAATCGACAAATAATACAACAGTGTCTACGAATGATGCGAGTGAGGAACAAAGCAAACCTGTATTGGCGGGGTATGATCCATTGCGGACGCTGCGCCATCTCACGATTGGCCTCATTTCGAGTATTCCATCGTTCAAATGGTGAGAAGAGAGATCAGGGCAACGTTAATGAGTTTTTGGCTAATCTGTACACCCCTCAGGTTTATGTTCCTCCATCACAATTTTAACTATTCGTCGAAATTCCTATCGATCCTGACCAAAGTCTCTGTGCAGCAAGCTGTGTTTACACCGATTTTCAGTACCTACTTCTTTCTCATGCAGTCGCTCATGGTCGGTGCTACTTTTGAAGAGACTTGTGAGCGACTGAAGAGAGCTGTTCCTGACAGTATACGGAACAGTGTCAAGCTTTGGCCTGCAGTCACGGCTTTCAGTTTTATGTATGTGCCGCCACAGTTTCGCGCAATCTTTGGCGGGACTATCGCAGTCGGTTGGCAAACCTACCTCAGCTGGCTCAATCAAATGGCCGCTCGCGAAGTTGCAGCAGCTGAGACGGCGTCCGTGGTAGCAGCATCACAGCCTGCTGGCCATATTTCTAAGAATTCTGTTGCCTCACAGGCGGCGTGATCTGACTCTCTTTTTTCAACTTTCATTTTTCAATATTTCAACGACACGTTTGGAGGATAAAATTCTGAGCATAGATCATAGATTATAGATTAGATATCAACTGTACACGGGGTGTGCAGGATTCAGCAGGTTACCTGTATACATATATATCAATACATTAAGACATTTTGATGAAGCAAGACCATGAGGAAATACACAAAATCCAGTTTAAAGAGAGAGCAAGCGAATTTATAAATTGTTGAAAAAGACCTTGTTGAGGCGCTCACAAAATTGTCGAACAGTATTAGAGACTCTAAACGCGGGACGTCACGCGTCAATCGGAGCATCAATTTGTTCCTCCACCATCACAACAGGCGTGCCCTGCAATGACACGCAAACAAACAAATCGAGATGCAACTGGTGTCAGGGCAGGATGACCAGGAGAAGGAGAGCAACAGCAGCGATTACGGATCCGACTTCACCCCCGACGAGGAAGAGCTGCTGAACAAATTACTGGTGCGCGTTGTCGCCACAGACCAGCATCGGCTGCCGCCATCTACAACGACCATTTCTGATCCATCGACGCCTCCTCAACAACCTGTTTTAGCAGTCGAGGCTTTGAGTGACCTCAAGCCCCTGCGGGAACCGTTGGTGGTTACAGATATTGAAGACTATGAAATACCCCATTCCGCGCGTATCCCCAAGGTCCTGGGTCGGGAGGCATGGAGTCCTGCGTCTAAGCGTGTCTGGCAGCAGCAACAACAGCAGCAGCAGCGAGTTCTCTCGCAGAAATTATCATCGAGTCCTTCAACGACACCAAAACACGTCCGCGTTTCGATCAGTGGTAAGACAATATGCTTCATGTTTTATAGTTAATTGAAGAGCTGACCGTCTGACCACCCAGCGTTTAGTTGAAAGTACCACTTCCACCGAAGGCAAAAAACGTGATTTACAGAAGCAGCAAGAGCGCGAAAAGAAGTGGACTGATACAGAAGCGAAAAACGATACGCAAACCCAGGATGCATCTGATGACGATGTGGTGGTGGTGGAACAACCATCACCTTTGCAGCGGTTTCGCAAACCGCCGAATAAGGCACTCTCGGTTTCGGACTTGATTGCCCCGGCTTGGTGCGAGCTACAATACTGGTATACCTTAACAAAACATGGGCGAAAGCGAAGAACGCCGGCGATGAAGCAAGGTACTGCAGTGCACAAGGTTCTTGAGGAAGAAGTGCATACTACGGTGCCAGTAGAGATCACGACCAAAGAGGATGGGTGGGCGCTGAGAATTTGGAATATGATTCAAGGACTTCGCACATTGCGCCAATACGGTATGACTAGGGAGTTGGAAATATGGGGCTCCGTTGATGGAGAGATTGTTACGGGCATTATTGACCAGCTCTCTTATATCTGTCCGGACCCTGGTTTGGAGACATCGGCTTCTGCATTTTATGCAGACGCTGATGCCGCGAGGGCGGCTTTGCCGGAATACCAGATGTCTATCACGGACTATTTGTTATCGCCGTCTCAGGGTGGGAAGACATTAGGTGAACTAGGATGGAGCCATGCTATTGAGCCCGCCGTAGAGACGGATCACAACGAATCAAGTGATTTTGAACGGTCATATCTTGAGGTCCCGAGAATTTACATAACAGATATCAAGACACGAGGGAGTCGCTCCATTCCTACAGTTTTCAGTACCTCGTTTCGCCCAACCCACTTACAGCTGCAGTTTTATTACCACATGCTCAACCAATTGGTAACCACAGATGATGTGACGATTGAAAAGATAGCCCAACGATATAACTTGGATTCAGAGCGCGTATTTACCGATGCATTCATCGCCGAAGTTGGCGGTTTGAACGACCAATTTTTTGACGCTCTGTCTTCTCAAGATTCAGACCCAGATTATATTCCAGGCGCGAGTCAGGATTCTATGAGCATTTTGCTGTCCCATAATAATTTAGATAGCCTTTGGAAGTTGATGAAAAAGCAACTTCTTTACACATTTCTTCCTACCGAAGGTATTCGAAACGTCGCCCCATCAGTACCTGCAAAATCACAACCGACACTCCTCGAGCCATACCCCACCGTGCTCTCTCCAGTTCTGACAGCGAAGTATCTCTCCTCGACGGATTCAGAAGACGGTGTCCCGACCGACTTGGGCAGTCGTTCTTTTCTTTTTGACCCATTGGACCTGACATCTTATACCTCCGACCAACTGAATTGGTGGCGTGGCGAACGTGCGCCGCGAGGTGTCGAAGTGATGGATGCTTGGAAATGTCGGATCTGTGATTTCCGTGAGGAATGTGAATGGAGGAAGAGTAAAGAGCGCGAACTGGCTACGCGGCGAAAGCGAATGCAACGGACCAGCATGGATATGTCGGACGCTGCATGATTTTCAAAGTATTATTAGCTGACACGGTATCCTAGTTGCAGATCTATGCATAAATATAGATATATTTATAGTAAAAGGATAAGAGATGAAAATTAATTATGATGCAGAACAGCATCCTAGCAGCATTGACCCCTTCGAAAGTTTGCGTGAACATATTGATTTGAATAATGCTTCATTAATACATAGCGAGTGAATGTGCAAGCCTAGGAAATGCTTTAAGGAAAAGTATTAGGGAAAAGCGCTAAGGAAGAAGACTTAGGAAGAAAACTCAATAAAAAGAGAGGAAGCCAATTCTCCACCATGAAAGTCAGTTGCTTAACTGAACGTAGGCTGTCAGTTTGGGTATCGTATTGTGGGTGGTGTATTGCGCAGTACACTTCCTCTGATGCATTCCAGCCTTGCCACGCATAGCCTGTATACAATCTGCCATATGATGTATGGATATAATGCTGGAAATTTAAAAATGATTAATTGATGGCTGTGTGGTCGGTCTGACAGAAAAGAAGTTCTGCAAAACCCCATTGTGAATTCCTTAGTTCAGATTCTCTCCACAAGGAAGAATATTTGCCTTTCCTCCTCCCCAGAAAAGAAGCGGTTCTTTTTCTCCCAATTCTGGTCTTGTGCCGCGCGGGCTTGCCTCTCCCTCATCTCGTCTAGATCATAGTCGGCCCACACATTCAGCTCTATCCCGAGTTTCTCGCCAACACCTTTCCACATGTCAATCACATACATGTTATGATCCATGATTCACTGCTATGGAAATCAGCGAGTTTTTGAGGTTCTCACTAACGAGGAGACTTACTTGGGAAGTGCCGATAATGTGACTCTGGAGATTATAGAGGGATCCGGCATCTCTTTACCACCCGTTGCTGAGAAAATGAATGCAGCCATTATAGCAGAACTATCCGACTATGCCCAAACGATGCCGCTGAGTGGTTAGCCGGAATTGCCACTACGAGATTTCATCTCCCCAGAATAAACAGCTTATGTATGCATCCGAATTCCGGATGATGTGAAAAGACAGCACTTGAAACCTGGAGCTCCCAGACGTACATCAAGCGATACTACCTCCATGATGTAATTATATATAGTAAATACATGTATTCAACGTTTGATAAACTGAAATTAAATGTATTGTATTTGGTAATATCAAAAAAAAGGTATCATTTCCGACTAATAGGGATATGCACGTACTTCGTCCTCCTTCTCAAGCTCCAGCCCACTGGCCACTTGCTCCTGATGCTTCTGATCGAGATACTCGAGCAACACCTCTTCGTACTTCTCCTTACCTTTATATCTTGACACATCATCACCCCATGAGCGAACCGCCGACGCCAATCTACCCGGCACATAGGGCTCCTTGACGATTTCCGTAACTGGCTCGAAATACGTCCTAATAGTGAACACCACAGCCCCAGACCGCGGCAAGCGTCGCAGCGACTGTCTCTCCGATCTGAAGTAATGATACTCAATCGCCCGATTTTTCTCTGCCGTATTCCACGAAATCCCATCCGAATCCTCCGAGCCAATACTATGCGACCAGGCCAATTCGTCGTCAACCTGCAAGAAGTAATTATTCCGTAGCACGGGATCTTCGGGCTTGATACGTCGGAAGAAATTCACCATTCCCTTTTCGAGTTTCTCCTGAAATTGCGGCACGTCACCGGATGTGTGGATTTCGCTGAGTGGCATGCCGAATTTGTCCTGCAGACGCCAGAATCCTGCGAGTAGGATTGCGCCGGCTAGCAGGTAGTACTGTCCGTCGGGCCTTTCGAACATTAGTGCTAGGTCGTCTTGAATTAAGCGTGAGCATGTGATCATGGGATCTTCGGGGAGTGGTCGTTGGATGATGTTGAATGATTCGCCGGTAAAGAGGTTGTCGATGCCAACGTGGGTTTTGCGGAACATGCTTGGATAGCGGGCGGGGAGGTAAGATGCCCTGTTTACTTATTAGGACGAAGGATTTTATTGTTGGGTAAGGTAGATATGTTTCAGATGTAAAGGTGTGTTTAATAGAGACATACAGTTCTTCTAATAGTTCAATCGCACCGTCCATGGCCTCCGGAGCCGTTTTGCAGCATTTCGACCCGCGTTCGATTATGCGTCGAGACTTGTCTGCGTGAAAACGGGGGTAATGATTGTCCAGTTCTAATATCTTGTTAGGTATAAACATTTTCATCATGTATGGAAAGTGAAAAGGAAGATAACGAACCGATCCAATCGTCCCATTTCATACTTCTCAATCCCATGGTTATAAAATACTTCCTAATAAACATTCACCAAACGGGTCAACAACCTCCATGACTACATGTATCGATTGAAATAACTTACGGTCCATATCGAAACGGCCGATAGGGTATAGGTTTGGACGTTTCTACGTTCCAGTCGGGGTAAGGGACGGGTTCTGGTCTTTTGAAGGATGAGGGAGACCACTCTGTCATTTGCAATAATGAGTGATGTTGATAATAATAGTTGTAATATATGCAATGGGAGAAACACGTACCGCCATATTTCCTAGCGACTTTCCCAAGCTTGTCTTCCTCAAGATCTGGAGACGAAGGCCGCTTGCTGTTTCGTTTTTGGGTACCACTCAATGTTTGGAATAAGGTGAAGATGGCCCAGATTAAAACGGTAATAATAGAAAGACTGATAACGATATGATGAATATGTAATTGGTCCTGGAAGACTAACAGGGAGTCGAGCGGTTCTGGAAGCTTGATTGTCGACATGGCTCGTTTTATTAACAGCAGTCATCAAATGCAAACCGTGAATGAAACAAAGGAAGAAAATTAATGACAATTTTTCTTTTTCAAGGTGACATGTATGTACATAATTAGCGATTGCTGTAGTATCGCCAAAAACAAATACAGATATAATCTACCTGCCCAAAAGGGCTGTTCATAGCGAGGTATCTAAAAGGTGCAGGACTATCCTCTACCAAAGTATGCGCTGCGATAGAGTGAGGGGAAGATTCCAATCTTATCAGTGCTCAATGCCGATAATCCCCTCCTAAAACGGACGACTCTCAAAGCAGGACCGGATTCTGTTTCCTGTTTCGGAAAGATCATACGGTGGACCAACCAATCAAATATTGTAATCAGTTGTAGTCGCACAACATTTGTCCTGCTGTGATCGAACGAAAACGCCTCCGGTCTCATATATTAATACAATATGTGGGAAGAAAAACTGGACGAGCAGGCTATGCTTTTTGTCTTCGTCGGAGTAGGCAATACTCTCCCCATTGCCGCCGATAACGCTCGGGGACAAATGGTAGATCAGGAATCCAAGCAACCCGGCCCAAGATAGACGTTCTGGGAACATCTAAGAATTTTTTGCACGATACCTTTTCCCAGTTCTCTGTATCATTGATATAGTCTGGTTCAAGATCTGTTAATGGGGCGCTGGGGAAGTAAGAGTCGACAAGAAATGCGCATTGGGAGATATCAACCTACGGAATGTTTGTAAGTACGATAAAATTACTAGACAAATGAAGAACTTGGCAACATACGTATTTCAATGGATCCTCCTCGTTAAGATCATTCATTCCCGCTGGGATCGCAGCTGTACCAGCGAGCAAGGCGTCCATGCTATTGGCATCGGGAAATTCGCCTGGTAAAAGACCGGAAAATTCGCTTCTGATGAATTTGGCTCGCATCGAGTCTGGAAGGAAGAAGGAAGATGGGAAGCGATACCATTCTTTTCCTAAGCAGACAGTATCGCCTTCTTTTGCGACACCAGGGGTTTCAAGTGCATTGTACACGCGAAGAGGTGCACCATAAGCCGTTGCCATACCTAGAGACCTAAGAAGTCCAGCATTGACGGACAACAGAATCAATGCTGCTACAGCAAATAGTTTGATTTTTCCAGGAATAAACCCCATCAGCGTGCCAGGCTTGTTGGTTCCGACGAATTCGAGAACTAAATGAAGAGCAAATGCCGCATTCAAGGCCAGAAAGGGGTACGCGGGATACATGAATCTCTCCTCCTTGTGTGGCTGGACGGTGAATATTGCCAGCCAGACGTAAAATGGTGAGACATAGGCAAGTAATCGTACCATCGCTTGATTCGAGGTCAATGCTCGAGACCCAAACAAGGCTCGGAGAACGAGTAGCGGTGCAACAGAAACAGCTAGAAAAAACCAAATGTTGAAGTTCAAGAGCAAGTTTCGAATGTAGAACGTCCAAGGCTCTGTACCAAAAATGTTTGGCCCCCTTCCTTCACCGCCGAATACATTGTATGCGACTATATTCCAAGGTACCACCGCCGGCTTTTGAAAGAAAAGAGAGTCTATCCCAATTTCCAGTCCCTATTTGAGTTAGCTTTGTGATGCGATAATTTGTCAGAAGGCATACTAGAATCACAAAACACCTAATCCCCCCCTTGATCACTCCCCAAATAGCGCTTTGAAAAGTACCAGAAAATATGGAGGTAAGAATTTCGCCTCCAAGTAAAGGTAAAAGCAGCGCTCCAGCAAAAGGCCAGCCGATGATCGCACCTGCACCAAACCACATGACACCTTCGGCGATCTTGTTCCTGCCACGATTGAGGAAGGCTGTGAGCCCAAGCATTGAAGTATACATTGCAAAGCTAGATGGCAGAAATGCCGTTGAAGCATGAAAAAACCCAGGACTAAAAGCGACGACTATCAAGAATAGAAGCCCGATTGCTGGATTGAGAGTTCGACATACCGCCGAGTAGAGACGGGTCTCACAGGCCGCCGAAAAGGTAGCGAGGGCAACTCGGATCACGTAGAAATGCACCGACTTTCTCGGAGTCCAGATAGAGCTCGCCTTCCCAATAATAGCATGCAATGTAACGTACAACCAGCTTCTAATGGAGTATTCCGGCGAATATTCCCACGTCTGCAACCCGTAGCCATGGTCAAGGTAATGGGTTGGCTCCCAGTAGTTGAATATCTCATCGCAATCTTGAATTGGCGCATAAGCGGCCGAGAGGCAGTTAGAGATGACAAATATGTAGAGCGCTGCGTTCAATGGCAGGTAGAATCGAGAAGGGCCGCCTCTACGAGCAAGCCTCATTGATTAGTCTTGCGGTTTCGGTGATTGAAATGCATGACGTACTTTGGATTTCCGCGAGACGCGGCGTGTGGTCTGTCAGAATGCTCATCTTCAGACGAGGACATTGTTACGGCAATAATCCCATAGCCCGCACGTGGCGACTACTGTAATGGGCGGATTTGATGGTATTGTTGACTGACGATGATGATGGATCGATCGTACGTGTCGACAAGGCTTATCGATAAGCAAGTACGGTAGCCCATGCGGCCAACCAGACAGCTTCCGCAAAAAAAAAATACCCGCCACTTCCTTCTCACTCGATGAAATCTTCATAAATTCACAATCCGTTTGGTCTATTTTTTTCTTGAATAGATTTACGGACTATTTACCATGGAGGACCGCCCAGGTACTAGTAAAGTGCCAGATGAGCAACAGCAGTCTCCAACAGAGCCTTCGAGTACACTTGCCATTCCTACACCAGCAGCTGTCGATACCGGCAGTGATTTTTACAATACACCCTTGACCGGCCAAACGCCAGTGTATCCTGCCGGATCCAATTCAAATGATAACAGCGTTGCACCTTCCCCTTCGAAACCGGTGTCTGCAATTCCTGGATTATCCATTCTGAATAATAGCGATCAGGCTCAACAGCATGAAACCAATACCGAGACCGAGGCTGCACCTCCAAATGGCGATCAGGTTATGGAGAATGTACCCGATGTGAATGATATGCTGGAACCTATTAGTTCCGCAGCAGAGCCTAGTCATTTGGAAGGTCAAAATGGAAATAATGAAACGGGGAACATGATGGAGATTGAAGGAACGGAAAATCGCCAAACTGAGACAATAGAAAAGGAGCATCCAGAGTGGGAAGTTGACTCATCACCCTACGAATCATCAACAGATAGCTCTACCGACTCTTCGGACGACAGCGACGATGAAGACGACGAGGATTATCCAATCTTATCGGCAGAAGAAACGGCCCGCATTCTGATGCAGGCAGAGGGTGGTTCGGACGACGAAGGAGAAGGAAAGCCTGGCGCTGGAAACCAAATCCGATCAGCGCATGAAGAACGGGAAGAGGTCGCCCCTATTCCTGATATTACTGTTAGCCCAGACATGAAAATCGTGATGCTTGGTCATGTCGAGACCATCGTTGAGAACATTGTCCTTATTAAGGCCAGTCTATTTAACGAGATCCAAGTCCTTGAACCCAACTCACTTCTATGTCTTCATGATCGTACTGTTATTGGTGTGGTGGCGGACACATTTGGACGAGTCGAAGAGCCTCTATACACAATTCGTTTTGCGGACCCGGAGAAGATCAAGGAATTTGACCTGACCCCAGCAACACCTGTTTATTACGTCGAGGGCCATTCTACATATGTTTTTACACAAACTCTCAAGAATATGAAGGGCAGCGACGCTTCTAACTTCCATGACGAGGAGGTTGGCGAAGATGAAATTGAATTTTCAGATGACGAAGCGGAGGCTGAATATAAGCGAAGATTGAAACAGAAAAAGAGGGAAAGGAGAGAAGGTCAAGCCGATCGTGGTGGTTTTGGTGGAAAAGGTAGGAAAGATCTTCCTGGTCCGTCACGTCTACGCCAAAGCGAGTTGAACTACGACGATGAAGATAGAGCAACAGAGGACGGATACACGCCGCTTGCTCGACCAAAGGACTACCACGAAATGATGGGACATCAAGAAGCACCCGTTGAAGGACCTCAAAGTTTCCGCGGCCGAGGAAACTTCCGTGGCAGAGGACGCGGCGCGCGAGGCTTCGATCGAGGATCTGGTCGCGGGGGCCGTGGACGTGGTGGCTGGGATTCATCCGGTCGAGGCTATCGACTAGATTCTTCTCGCGAGAGCTCTTCTACACTCCAACCTAATTTTTCTCCACAACCTTCTGGCTCCTCAGCATTTCAGTATCCGCAACATCCTTATGCTCAACAGTTCCAGCAAGCACCTCAGAACCCGGCATTCGGGCAAATATTGCCGCAAGCTATGCCTCAGTATCCATTCCAAATGCCTTCTCTACAGCAAAATCCATTTCCACAATTTGGGCTTGGAGCACACATCAACCCGACTTTCTTTGCAAACCTACAACAACAACTGCAGCAGGGAGCTTCAACGACCGCGACGCAAGCCCAATCAGCAGATAATCAGGCTGCCTTTAGCCAGATACAAGCCAGTTTGGACATACTGCAGCAGCTATCTCGTAACGGGAACGGTAATGGGAACGACGATGGTTCAGGGGGGAATCCATCCAGATAAGAAAAATGCATGTATGCACGTGGTATTCGGGTAAAAGCATTTGCATGGAGTTACAAAATTGGAGTTTTCTAAGGACGTGGGATTGGGTCTGTTCTTACATGAAAAAGTTTGTGTTACTTGTTATACCTAAGTGGTCTGGACCGAATCGAGTGAACTATATATTCTAATGTTATTTCCTTTAATCGCTATATCATGATATTATTATACAACTGTGTTAATAAGTACGTAAGAACCATTAGAGTTCGTGAGTTGCTACAAATAGCATGAAATGATAGTGACTCCATCGGTAGTCGCAATATCTCAAGTCATTGACATCACTTAATAAACAGCCTGCTTGGAGCTTTTCGCCAAAGTCCAAAAGTTTTCCATCTTCGCCCGAGACAAAGTATCCTTAGCAGCTGCGTCCGTTTCACAAACTCGAGCTCCCAACCATTTGCGGAACGCTCTCGCTTTCTGTTGACCCTCCCAAAGTAAAATACATGTATTGGAACTGAGATCCTGTAATTCACCCTTTTCGTCTTCGGGGTTCAGCCACGATGCCAATGACTCGCGACTTCCCTCTCTTTGTGGTGTGGGACCCGAGTTTTCAGTCCAATCAATACGATTAAGCATCAACTTCTTGTATGCGTTGATAGAGTGAGCCCCCCCTTCAACGATAACCAAATTGAGCCTCGGGTGCATCACACAAAGTCCTGTTAATGCCATTTGTTCTGCATTTTTCGCGATCTTGAATCGATGGCGGCCATTCGCGAGATTATCGATTCTGTACACGCACACATAGATGCCTTTCTCGGCATCCTTTTCTTGCTGAGCGGCTAGTTTTTCTCGCCGTTGTTCCTTAGTCAACTTGCGATCTTGGTTTGCCTCTTCATGCTGTTCACGTCGCTCTGCAATTTCACGATTCACACGCGCTTCTACGGCAGTAGGATCTTTCACAGCTTCTTCACCAAGAACACGCATGAGATTGGACTTCTTGACCTTTGGTGGCGGTGCGGGTACTAAGCCCATTCTTATTTTCTCTTGTTGTTCCTTCAAATCTGCCATGCGGCGCTGTCGACGAAGTTTTGCTTGTTCCTTGGAGGTGAGATACATGGGTTTTTGTGCTGGAGTCAATTTCTCCTGAGGTGGCGCTAACAAGACAGGATGTTGAATATAAAGCGTGACAAGCGAGTCGTCCGTACCGACTTTGATATTCTTAGGATCATCAATTGCAGCGTAACTTTCTCCATTAACCAGCCCCTCATCCCACCATTCAATTGCAGGTGGCTCTGGAACCTCGAAGGCTCTCTCAATTCCCATGTCCTCATCTACACCAGCCTGACGCGCCATATTGGCGATTCGTTTCTTCATCTCTTCCATCTGCGCTTGACGACGCAGAGCGGCCGCCTGCGCGATATATTTGCCTTTCTGATTAAAAACGAGTTGTTTAGATAAACGAGGCTTCGACGTGGCGTGGAGACTGTTATCATAATATGGGTTCTGTCGAATTTCCTCTAGAGATGGCCCAGAAAGATCGAGTCCTGGCTTCTCCCTCCCACCTTTGGAGCCTGGAACGGGCGACTCTGTTCGGCGGTTCGCCGTGGATCCAAATCTAGGCTGTGGCGCATTGCGTCCTTTTACTCCTCGTTGATCTTGAGTAGAGTCTGCTAAAAGTGCCGGGTGAAGACCTACTCCCAACCCACCGCGTGCCTTTGACAGATCATCTTCGTAACGAGCGGGTGGTTGAGGAATCGGCGTGGGGGTTGGTCTCTGTTGGTTTGTAGCGTTGACTTTCCCAGTTGCAGCTGCAACTCTTGCTCTCATCTGTTCGATACGCGACCTTGCACTGTCAGTGCTAGTGGCAGCAGCAGCAGGAGGAGGTGCTGGGCTGGGGGAAGCTGATCCAGTGCCGCCTTTCGCAGCTTGCAGCCTGGCTCTGACTTCCTCAGCCTTAGCCCTGGCCTGAGCGACCATGCTCTCGATGTCAACCTTTCCCCCGGTGGCGCCATTGGCCCCTGGCATAGGAGAGCCATTGTTGGACCGTGATCTCTTCTGTGTGTTTGATTCTTCATCCTCCGGGTGAGGCCTTTTCAGCGACACATCGGCCATGACGGAGGCTCAAGATTTCCACTCACCCACGAGAACAGATGTCGGATCTTAGATTTTCGAAGACAGAAAGGTATTGAAAAGTAGAGAAGTGGAGGAGAAAAAGGATGCTAACGGAAAAAAATTGTTGCAGGTAATAGCTTGATGTATTGAGAGAGCGACGCGCAGAGTTGAGTCCCGATTTTAGCGGCTGGAAGCACAACCAGGCTTTTATTGGCTGGCTGCAGAGGCGGTGGCAGGTTGCAGAAAAAGTCTCCAAAAAAAGTTTCTCAATGAAGCTTCCTTCCCGGCTGTGAGAATTACTCCGCTCGGCGATTTGAAGAAGACAATTGTAAAATCTAACGCAGGTTCCTTCTTACGCGGACAAGTATGAGTTTTCGGTCGCTGTAAGAAGATCTCACCATGTCTTCTTTTGCACGACCTGTCGCAAGCTCGCTTGCGTCAGTCGATTTCTCGGTTTATTCGTCAGATGATATCAAGAAGATATCGGTGAAGCGCATTTTCAATACCCCATCCCTAGACACGCTTCACAATCCCGTTCCGTCCTCGTTATACGATCCAGCGTTAGGAGCATGGGGAGATCACATGTAAGAAAATTTACACAAACCCTACAAGTCTTATAGAGCTATTTGGACAGCTTCAGGCTAAGATTTGACGACTGATTTTGATTTACTTGCAGTTGCACCACCTGCCGCGCGAGCTCGTGGTCATGCCCTGGTCACCCTGGTCACATAGAGTTACCGGTAAATGTTTATAATGTGACATTTTTCGACCAGATGCTCCGTTTGCTTCGGGCAAAGTGTGACTTCTGTCACCGGCTCCGAATGTCCCGAGTGGAAGTTAATACTTACGTTTGCAAATTGCGATTACTGCAGTACGGATTGGTTGATAAAGCGGCGGAGATTGATTCTATTGGAGAGGAAGGAGACGAAGCAGTTGATGCTGATGAAAGTGGAAGAGTCGATCCGCAGACTAAGATGGAAAGCAGGAACAAGTTCGTGAAGAGGTGCATTCGTGAAGCTCAGAAACAAAACCAGAAGGATGGTTTTGTTCCAGATGAGAAAAATGTTGTTGCCACCGATCGTCGGCGCCAGTTGATCCGAGACTTTCTGAAAGACATCGTGGCCGTGAAGAAGTGTAACAGCTGTCATTAGTAAGCGCCTCTTTACTGCGTATTGATTACCGGCTAATTCTAACCCAAATTTAGCATTTCTCCCGGATACCGTAAAGATCGTTATTCGAAGATCTTTCGCAAGGCGTTGCCTGAAAAGTCAAGGGTGGCCATGAAAATGGCTGGCATGACTGCCCCCAATCCGCTCATTGTCTGGCAAGAAGAAAACAAAATCTACTCAAAATCCAAGGAATTACAGAAATCAACGACCAACGGTGTCGGTGAGGACACTGAACTCCATGGAGCCGAGGAAGAAGTAGTTCGTGCCAATGCTGCAGCTGAACTTGCTCAGAACAACAATACTACCGGTAAAGGAGGACTTGAAGCGATCCAGCAGTTTGTTCCATCACCCGAAGTCTATGCTGCTATCTGTCTTTTGTTTGAAAAGGAGCGTGAAATCCTGAATCTGGTGTATAGTTCTCGCCCGGGAACCAAGATCTCACCTGACATGCTTTTCATTAAAAACCTCCTCGTCCCACCGAACCGATTTCGACCACCTGCAATGCAAAACGGAGAAATTATGGAGGCCCAGCAGAATACGCCATTTACACAAATACTCAAGACTTGTGATTTGATCAACTTCATTAGTCACCAGCGGCAAACGGCTGAGTCCTCAGATGCTGCAAAACGTGACTATCGCGACCTTCTTCAGGCAATGGTCACCCTTCAAGAACAAGTTAACGGACTAATTGATACTGATCGGGGCCCTCAAAATTATGCAGCTGCCCGGTCCGCAGCCGGTGTCAAGCAACTTTTGGAAAAGAAGGAAGGCCTTTTCAGAAAGAACATGATGGGAAAGCGTGTGAATTACGCTGCTCGCAGTGTCATTTCTCCAGATCCTAGTCTTGAAACCCACGAAGTTGGCGTGCCCATGGTTTTCGCAAAGAAATTAACTTTTCCAGAACCAGTTACATCGTTCAACTTTCATGAACTAAGGGAGGCAGTTATCAATGGTCCTGATAAATATCCCGGAGCTTCAGCAATTGAAAATGAATGGGGTCAGGTTGTCAATCTTAAGTTTAAAAAGCTTGATGAGCGTACTGCCCTTGCGAATCAGCTGCTCGCTCCTTCAAATGCGAAAATGAAGGGTAATCGCAATAAAAAAGTATATCGCCATCTTACCACTGGTGATTACGTTGTCATGAACCGTCAACCAACCCTTCATAAGCCTTCCATGATGGGCCACCGTGCACGTGTATTGCCGAATGAACGAGTTCTTCGACTGCCTTATCCCAATACCAATTCGTAAGTTCATGAAACAACAATGCAATATATGTTGTGAAAGCTAACCTCAATCTAGGTACAATGCAGATTATGACGCAAGTGACTCTTTGATGTGGTAAAATAATAATATGCTGACTTTCATTATAGGGCGACGAAATGAATATGCATTTCCCACAAAATACATTAGCCCGTGCGGAGCTTTCTATGATAGCAGATGCGGATCGACAATATATATCCTCTACGGACGGAAAACCCCTTAGAGGTCTTATTCAAGATCATATTACAGTCTCTACATTTTTGACAAGCCGAGACGCATTCTTTGAAGAGGAGGAATATCAGCAACTTCTGTACAGCTGTTTGCGCCCCGAAAATTCCAACACCGTTACGGACAGGATACAGCTTGTTGAACCAGCTGTGCTACGTCCTCGGCGTCTTTGGACAGGAAAGCAAGTTATATCAACTGTTTTGAAAAACATCACTCCACCAAATAGGAGAGGCCTTAATCTTCAAGGAAAGTCATCTACCCCTGGTGACAGATGGGGAGATGACAATGAAGAAGGCAAAGTTATTTTCAAAGACGGCGAGTTACTTTGTGGTATTCTGGACAAGAAACAAATTGGTGCATCTGGCGGTGGTTTTATCGATGCTATCCACGAAATCTACGGCAATACGATTGCGGGTAGTTTGCTGAGTATTCTAGGTCGACTGCTCACTAGATATCTTAACATGCGAGCATTTAGTTGTGGTATAGAAGATCTTCGGTTGACAGCTGAAGGAGACCGCCAACGTCGTGATATTCTTGAAAAAGCTACTGCACTCGGACGTGAAGTAGCATTGAAATACGTCACTCTTGACCAAACCCCTACGCATAATCAGGACGCGGAGCTGCAACGTCGTTTGGAAGATATTCTGCGTGATGATGAGAAGCAGTCTGGCTTAGATAGCGTTTTCAACAGCCGTACGCGGGCACTCACATCTGAAATTACGTCGAAATGTCTTCCACATGGTCTAATAAAGCAATTTCCTTGGAATCAAATGCAACTTATGACAACGACTGGTGCAAAAGGGTCGGGAGTTAATGCCAACCTTATTTCCTGCAACCTTGGCCAACAAGTTTTGGAAGGTCGCCGTGTACCACTCATGGTTAGCGGAAAGACTTTGCCATCTTATCAAGCATTTGATACCCACCCACAAGCTGGAGGGTATGTCTGTGGCCGCTTCTTGACTGGAATCAAGCCCCAAGAATATTACTTCCACACGATGGCAGGTCGTGAGGGTTTGATTGATACTGCTGTCAAGACGGCTAAATCGGGTTACTTGCAGCGTTGCTTGATCAAGGGCATGGAAGCAGTCAAGGTTGAGTATGATTCTTCGGTTCGAGATACCGCCAATGGGGGGTCGATGGTTCAATTCATTTACGGTGAAGACGGTCTTGATATCGCAAAGCAAGTTCATCTACAAAACTTCAGTTTCCTGGCGCAGAATTACGTTTCTGCGATGGCCCAATTAAATATGACTCAGGACTTCCATACGCTCGAAAAGCCGGAGGTTTCACAATGGCACAAGGAAGCCTTGAAGCAAGTTAAGAAGACTAGCAAGACCGCAGCCAAAGACCCCGTCTTATCTGTGTATCATCCTGGTGGACATTACGGCAGTGTGTCAGAGTCCTTCTCACAGGCGTTGAAAGAGGTAAGTCTATTACGTGATTTTGCGTTTTCCTTTCCCAGACTAATATGGCATACTAGTATGGGGAAGATAACCCGGATAAACTTCTCAAGGACAAAAAGAGGGGGGTGGAAGGCATGCTAAGCAAGAAATCCTTTGAAAGTGTCATGCATATGAAATACTTGAATAGTGTCATCGATCCAGGTGATGCCGTTGGAATTGTTGCTGGCCAGTCTATCGGTTCGCAAACAACACAAATGACTCTCAACACGTAAGACTTTTGGATCGAATTGTGAGTTAGTATGTTCTAATTTTTTCCCCTAGGTTCCACTTGGCGGGTCACAGTGCCCATAACGTCACGCTTGGTGTCCCTCGATTGCGCGAGATCGTGATGACTGCTAGCCAGAAGCCTACGACGCCTACTATGACAGTTGAAGTTATCGAAGAACTGAGCGAAGAAGCCGGAGAGTCTTTCGCGAAGGGTATCAGTAGACTAAGCATTGCTGAAGTCATTGATACACTCCAGGTTAGAGAAAGTACAACTTCTGGGGAGGGTGCTGCAAAGGCGAAGATCTACGACATTGATCTAAAGTTCTTTGATGCGAAAGAATACGGTAAAGAATATGCAATCACAAAACGCGATCTTCTTCGCTCGCTTCAAGACGAGTTTATCCCGAAATTCATCAAGCTCATCAAGAACGAGCTGAAGAGGCGTGAAGACGAGAAAGATCTCAAGGTCTATTCTGCTGCCCAACCTGATATTGGCGTGTCTATTGGCACGTCTGAGGGGTTTGATGGTGCTGCTCGCCAGACGGAGGCTTCGACAAGGAATGATGATGCAGGGGATGATGACGACGAAGACGACGAAGAAGATGCGAAACGTGGGCGCAGTAATAATAACCGCAACAATCAAGTTAGCTACGAGGAACCTGACGACGATGAGGATGTAATCAGAAGAGATCAAAGTGATTCAGAATCGGAATCAGACGACGACGATGATTCTGCTCGGAAAAATCGACGCGAGAAAACCCGCAGCGACAGTACGGACACCTCTGACGATGAAGACGAGCTGACCGAAGAAATCAAGGCCGAAAGACATGACGCCAAAATGCGCGAAGAAGAGGTGTTGGGTAAATATGGAGAAATCAGTTCTTTCAAGTTTGATACAAAGCATGGAGACTCGTGCTTCATCCGACTGGAATACTCTATCGATACACCGAAGCTTCTGGTTCTGCCACTTGTTGAAGATGCTGCACGACGTGCAGTTATTCAGGCAGTTCGCGGCCTCGGCGGATGCATTTACAGCAAAGCTGACTCAGAGAAGAAGGAACCCGCAAAAATTGATATCGAAGGTGTGAATTTACTCGCCATGCGTGACTATCAAGGTTACATTAATCCACACACCATCCGCACCAACTCGATTTACGATATGCTACTCTACTATGGTGTTGAAGCGGCTCGCTCTACGATCATTCGAGAAATGTCAGACGTTTTCACTGGTCACAGCATTACTGTAGATAACCGTCATCTAAACTTGATTGGTGATGTGATGACACACAGTGGTGGCTTCAAGGCTTACAGTCGTAACGGGCTTATCAAAGAAAGCAACTCGCCGTTTTCCAAGAGTTCGTTTGAGACTAGTTTGGGTTTTATGAGGGAAGCTGTTCTCGAGCGCGATTTCGACGACTTCAAGAGTCCTAGTAGCCGGATTGTCGTTGGTCGACTCAACGTTATTGGTACTGGTGCATTCGACGTCCTCGCACCTGTGGCATAAATTTGTAAATCCATGTTTTACCTGAACTACATTTCGATATGCATTTTGTTCTTGCGTTTTATGTCCTTATGATTGTATCCATTTACTGTGACTTGGAGTTAGTGAGAGTGCATGATAAGCGATCGTTGACTGTCAATTTAAATAAAAATTTAGAGATCAGTTGATATCCTATAAAAATTTCAATGGTATACATGAATCGAGAAATGGTAGCATGTTTTATACCTTAAGTGTTCAAAAAATTGATGACGGCAGCTTTAACGTCCATCGGATGGCCAAGGACATTTGTAAATCAACATTGATATCTGTCGATACTAGTTGACACTACGGCTAGCTGCTATCTTAACATTTAAATGTTATACATGTTCCATAAGACAAAAAATAGTGGTTAGAACAATATCTTTATGTCTCAAACTCGTTAATGAAACATTTCATTGCCTCAAAACATTGAAAAGGACCAAACTCCGCCCGCAGCCATGCATGTATGCTAAAAAGTCTACCGAGTATTTTCTTAAATTTTCAACGGTCGCTGAAATGAGAAAGGGGTATCAGTCTGCATCTAGGTTCATCAGTTCCTCATCAATATCATCATCGAATTCATCTACAACAACCCCTGCATCGTTAGTTATCCGGCCATTAGTCGCTCCAGCATGACCCTGGCCATCTAAGTCGTGCATATGTCTATCCTCCTCAATCTTGCGTTTCGCAATTTGCTCTTGCAGCTGCGCAGGAGTCCAGCTGGAGATGCCTTCATGATCCTTGGCTTTGAATGGTTGGGCCATCGTTCGCAGGAAATTTTTGGCTGTGGCTACAGCCATGTCTGTACTTAGATTCACCTCGCTCTCCAGAATCGTTTGATTGATCCATTTCGGAAGTTGGGTTCTCTTTCGTGCAAAACGTTTATCTGCGAGAACCATGATACCGTAATCATCCTTACCACGGATGACACGGCCGAGACATTGGGAGGCGTGTCTCATGGCTGTTCCATTTCTATTAGAAACTTTGTACAAAATTATCCTCCAAGGGATTAACGTACCATCAAAAGATAAGAAATCGTTTTCTCGAATACTGTAGTTTTCTCGAAGAAATTCGAGACGCGCCCTCAATATACGCGACTCAGTGTACTGAAATGGCACACCAATACAGATGACTGCTCGTCCGTACTGATGGTCAAAATCGACTCCTTCTGCCACTTTGCCTCTAAAATGCAAAGTTAGTACACTTGCTCCGGATTGATTCTTGAAAGGATTTAACAAACCTCGCAACAGACATGAGAATACTAGTGACACATAGTTAGTACACTCCTTATAAAGATGACCATTAATGGATGAAGACTTACGCTCCGCGACCGTTACAGCAGGCTGTTCGATATGTTTCTAGAGCAAGTGATGACTCTTGCGCGTCCGGCGTTTCGACTAGAATGAGCTTGTAATTCCAGATCATATCTAGAATACCCATGCCTGACCAGACGTGCAGTGTCGACTCCATGTATAAGTATGATGGGAAGAAAACCACAATCCCATCAGGAACAATCCTAGCAAAGTCGACTAAAAGAGTACCGAAATTACGCAGGTTGCTTGGATCGTTTCTTGTTTGGAATGAAGATGAGATTTGTGCCTGGTCAGATCCTCGAGTAACTATCATAGGTAAAAAGGAGCGTCGAGCAAGAGTCATTGTGTATGATTCTTGCAACACTGGTGTGAAGTTGAGCATTTTGGGAAACATATCCAGAGGAGTCAGGGTACCTGTGATGGGAATAAGCATCGTTGGAAGAAGAAAAAGGGCGGATGAGCCTACCAGAAGTAACTACGATCGATGAGAATCGATCGACAACTGGTTTGAATGCAATTGCCGCATCCAAACAGGCAAGATGCAAGACAGGATTGGGAACCGTGGCAGCCTCGGACTCAAAAGGCTCTAATATCAGGAGAAACCCACGATCATAAGTGCTGACGAGAGTTGCAAACATAGCAACTTCTTGAAGGGGCTGGTAGTCTTCGATATTCATAAGCTCAAGCGTACGAACAAGTGAAGTTAATCGTTCGGAGCAGAATTTCAAAGGCTTAGCCTCAATAAAGACCAATTCACGAAGATGTTGTAAGAAACTTGGCGTTGTTTCACTAATAGTATGTGTGACTTTCATTCTCGTCATTAGATACTGTATGAACCTTTGTAAGAAGGCTATGAAGTGTTCTGCTCGTCGAATGTTACCCGGTACAGCTTCTGCATTTTGTGTTAGCTTGAGCATAACGAGATGCAGCAATATGTGTACCAGTTAATAAATCTGCGGGTAAGACCGGATTGGACATGATTAAGTCTTCGTCTCTCGCCTCTTCGGTGGCCTTTAAGCCTTCGACGAGCTTGGTATATTCTGATTGTAACTTTTCGGCATCTGATGATTTAAGTTCTTCAATCTTGCGCTCAAGGTTCTTTGCCCCCCTCGAAGCTTTTCGTAAAGAATCTTCGGTTAAATCAATACTGAAATAAATGTCAGAGTGAGATACTGATTCGATAAGCCTTGATTGAACTAACCTGAGCGATTCAATGGCGACGTTATCAATATTGTGAGCCTATTATTGTTCTTAGACGGAGTCTTTCAACATTGCTAGCAGTTACAAACCTCGTCAAAAACAACAATGCAATCTTTTGATAGTTCCCTGGATACTCGCTCTGCGATCTTAGGGTCTAGAAGATAGTGATAACTGTAGATTATGACGTTGCAATAAGGCAGCTAGGAAGGAATTTTCAGTTTCGAAATCAAGGTGATGAAAATGATGGTAACTTTACGTACCATGCGTCGCACAGTGAAGTAGGGACATGTGACCTTTTCTTGACAGTATTTGAGAAGATCGCCGAATGTGAAGACACCCGGCTCGATTAAATTGTGTGGTTCAAGTAAATCCAAATTCTAGAAACTAAAAGTTAGCCTGCTTGTCTTCCGTTGATATTGGGATTCTCACATCATGGTACGTGCAAGTATCCACCTCTTCACCACGCTCTTTCTTTTGGGCCACAAAGGAAGCAGTGAGGCTCCTGCATCTAGCATCGACAACAGTACCGCTCTTTTCGCGTTTGACGGATGGATGCAAACATAGATTCTTCCTGCTGGAAAGTCCTAGGCCGCGAAAGTCTTCTGCATAGCCCAACTGAGATTCACGATATTTCATCAAAGCCTTTAATTCATGAAGTGCCTTGTCTGGATTCGGTCAGCTCTGAAATTATAAGCGCTCAGAATAAATAACTGACCAATTTCACTCATAGTTCGTGAGCAATAAATCAATTTCCTGGAATCTCCATGGTGTCGCTGGTAGGCGACGATCAATGATAATAGTGTGACAGTCTTGCCTGCGCATAATGTCAACTATAAAATCATTCCACCAGCCTTGAGTCCATACCAGTGCCCGAAGGCATCTCAAGTAAGCAATGCCCCCCCGCGTCTAGAGCCTTTTTCAGGTCACACATGTATTGCCTGATAAAATGTCAGATATTATTGAATTAGGTTACAAACGATTCTAAAAGACACACCATTGCTCAGGATAGATCTTGGGGTACGGAAAGAGCACCTCAAGCTCGCTATAGAAGTTTTAATTAGTATTTTTGTCTCGCAAAATTCATTATAAGCTTGAGAATCTAACTCTATCATAAACCTCATTTTGAAAGGTTTGGGGGCAAAGCCCGTGGGAGACTGCCAGCTGTTCAAACCAATACACGAGATCAAGCGGTGATTTCAAATAGAAAGTAAGGCTTGTAGCTAAGAACATGCGGTCTGCTGCAATCATTAGCTGAAAGTCCACTCGTGGTTTGGCGATGGCAGAGGATGAAGTGAAGATTGAAGCTTGAAGCTGGAAGCTTCAAAGTTCGGCTGACTTATCGATAACGCCAAGTCACTGTCGGGGTGCCAGCCTAACTGGATTGGGATAGCCTGGCGCGTCTGCCTACGCCAGATCACGTGCCTTATGCATGACTCAACATCCCAAAGTGGGAGCCCGGCGCGGGGAATTTTAGAGGAAGTGGCGATTGTGTATGTGCGAGAGGAAGTTCATGATATGTCGTGATTACCGGCTTGCTTCTTCTACCGTTTCTCCCTATTTTAAGGTCTCGAAATTTCATATATGGTCTCTTAACTTCACTGTGAATGCTTGTATGGTAATTGCATGGCAGACTTTCCTTCGTCATTCCGTTACCCCACACCATGAGCAAAAAGTTCAAGTCCCAGGCCTCCAGCAGTCGAGCTGCTGCAGGTGGCTTTGGAGGGTTCCCTAGCCCTTTTGGCGGGTTCTCGAATGCTTCTCAATCGGACACGCGTGCTCCCTCATCGCTGTCATACGTGGCAGAACCTCCGGATCTGACTCGCATATCGGAGCCGAATCTGGTAGTGGCATTCAAAAACCTTTCAAAGAAAGATGACATCACTAAGACCAAGGCCTTGGAAGATATCAAAGATACGATAGGGAAACTTAAAAATCGTAGCGATGATCTTGAAGAAGGGGTGTTGGAGGCTTGGGTATGAAGCACCCTCCAAGCTCGTATCTTAATTGATAGTAACATGTTTTTCTTGCAGACAAAAGTATATCCACGCACTTCAATAGAAAATTCTAGGAGAGTTCGACAGCTTGCACATCAGATTCAGGGTCTGATTGCGTCCCTTGCCGGTAAGCGGGTTGCACGCTATCTTCCTAAAGTCATTGGGGCCTGGCTGGCAGGGCTCTATGACAACGACAAACTTGTTTCTCGAAGCGTCTTCGAGTCAATTACAGACGTATTCTCTACAGATGAAAAGAGAAATAGTCTTTGGAAAGTATTCCAAACTCCCATACTCGAATTTGTCGATGATGTTATTCTCCATCAAACAGTCTTAACCCTCAGCGACGAGCGAATTGTCAAGCCCGATGACGCTGAATCTAAATTTGCAAGGGTTTCAGCTACAGCTATCTTACTTTTCAATCGTATTTTGAGTATGTTGATGATTAGTTGCGTATGTGATTATCTGTTAATCCCTTCTCAGGCACCGCGTCGCAACAACAATTAGACAAGGACCTTTCTACATTTCACACACTTTTGGAGAGCAAAATTCTTTGGTCTTTTGCCCATCATGAGGATCCGTTTGTTCGACGTTGCATTTACGCTCTTCTTCGTTCGTCTTTGACACAGGGACTGGAAGGCAATGATTGGAAAGTTATAAGTCAACATGTCATTTCTCAGGCCCTCTCGATATCCCAGCTTGGGTCCGCAACAGATTTTTCGGAAACCATTCTGCAGCTGTCGCAGGTCAGGCCCCAAATATGGACTACAGATTTCAAAGGGAAATCTTCAGCGAGCAAGAGACTACATCAATATATCAAAAGGGGATCTCAGGGTGCCTCAGAATCGTATTGGTCAAACCTCGCAAATCTACTGCAGATTATCCCAAAAGATATTATTGCTGGGTATGGTTCAAAGACAGATGATATATCTGAGATTGAAAGTTTACAAGCAACGGCTCTTATGGAAGACTTTATAGAAGGTCTATCGTCTAGAGAAGAGCCCCGACATAACCTAAAGACAGGATGGGCGGCATACGTCGATACAGGAGTCTGGTTGTCAACACTGCTAGATGGAACCGCCAAAGGAATATTCGTTTCAAAACAGTTGACGCAACTCTTTGATCCATATGTGAACGGTGAAGTCGACGGCCAGTGGGTGCTACCTAAAGAGAATGCCCAGGAAATATGCGTTACTACTTTCCTAAGGTTGGCCAATCATGGATATACCGGCGAGTTGGAACTCGCGTGGACCACAACTATTCAGAAAATATTGCAGGCAGTCAAATTGTCGCTTCCAGAACAGTCAAAGGATTTTCGAACTTCGCAGGATGAGATATGTGCCCGAGCCGCTCGATTCTTCAAGCTTGAAGCGGCTATTATATCAAAAATATCCTCTACATCAAATGCAGTCTCAGATATGTTTCAAGATCAGACTTTGCAGTTGGTGGAAGGATCGATACAGGTACTACAGGCACGAAATGGTAAACCTTATGGTGCTGCTGCAATTCTAGAAGAGGCAATTCGCCACGTCCCGAACCTGATTCAAACTTCACAACAATTAGCTGAAGCTCTCAAGAATAACATACCTCAATTATTATCGACTCCGTCAGCAGACAGAATCATGTCGACACTTCTCCTGTGTCGCGATTGGCCTGGTTTTGAATCCGTGCTGGACACCTCTCTTCAACAAATAACAGAGACAGATATAGGGGATTCTGGTATAGCCGCTCTTGAAAAATTGTTATCAACAGTGGATTTTGAGCACGTGCAAGACCTCTCTCACTTTGCTTTTATTGTGACGGAGAGTACTAGGAGTGCTACCCTTGGAAAACGATCGGATTGGGTCTTAGTTTTTGCGTTAACACGAAATCCAACCTTGCCGAATGAACTGATCGATAAACTGATTCTGGCATTGCTGCAAGGTTTATCGTCAGATGAAGAAATTATCTTAGAGACACTCTTTGGACTATCATCACTCGCAGCCCAGAATCCACAGGCGATGCAGCGCTTTAGGAAAGGCAGCCACGGCTCCAAATTCGTGTCAAAATTGTTGTATCTCGCCGAATCATCAATTGACGAGATCGCTCAAAAGGCAGCATTGATAGAGAAGAAATTGAAGGAGACGGTGTCTGCTGAAGTTACTTCAGAGTCTAGCTTGGAAATACTAAAGCAGGGAATCAAAGATGTGGGATCCGAATCACTGTCGTAAGTGGCATATGGTATCAATAACCTTCTGTACTCCCAAATTAACTCTTCCTAGGATTGAGTCCTTGGCTAGTATTGCGGAGGATCTCCTTCAGCGTTCGGATTTACAAGATTATCAAAATATATTGGCTGAAATATTTCCATCCGAGGAATTATGGAAGAAATCTTTAGAACCATTCTTGGGCTTACCGCCTAGACCATCAGCATCTATCACAAGCCCTTTAGGTGGAGCTGTCCACCTTGTAAGTCATGATCTGTCAACTTCGTTCTGGACCAAGCTAGAGAATGTGTCTCGGGATTCCAATGGGGAATCATCGGCTTTTCGTCTGACCACCTACGCGACGAGGCTTCTTGCTTGGAATAATGTGTTTGAGTCTCTAAATGTCAAGCAACGCGAAAGCCTGTTCTATTATTTTCCATTGGCTCTTCAGTTGATCGATGATGATACTAGCATTGAGAATTCGATAGGAATAATTGGATTGCAGCTACCAGAAGACCGCGATGAAGCCCTGGAGATCTTGAGCAATGGCCGATCCATTATCAGCAAATGGATTCGTTCAGATGCCCGTTTAATTGATAATGACCTTTGTATCTCAGAGGAACTACGTTTCTTTTGGAGACAAAAGACTGAACACATTACAGATACCTCTCCTGAGAGCTATCGGATTTGTGAAGTCTTTGTGAAGGTTATGTCTGAAATAGACGTGGCTAAAACTTCGGATGAATTGGTTGCTCTCGCGAGAGAGATTCGGAAATCCAACCCTCTTCGAGCTGCGGCTGTACTCGCCGTATGGGGCCCTTCTATTTCTTCTGGCCCAGCTGGTACGCGACTTTGCAATGAGCTTGTTGCAGAGGCTACAGGGTTTAATCTACAGAAGAACCGTGAGGGTGAGTAGTTCTAGTTCTTTCCCCTCAACAACTATTGACTTTACTTAGGTTTAAAAAACATCATATTTGTCAACATCCTTACGCAGGGTATGAAGGCGATCATCGATTCGATACCTACACAACGGTTGGTATTTCTTGTTAAGAATCTTATTCAAGTTGTACAAGCAAATACGGATTCTATGGATGTTAGAAGTGAAGCTTTCAAAGCCCTCGCAGCTGTTTTACGACCCCTGAGTGAGATATATGGATCGCATTGGGCTGAAGCGATAGAGCTTCTACATACTACTTGGACCGAAACTGGCGGAGGAGATTCTGCGCTTCCTGTACTGCACTCTTCGTTTAGGCTTTTTTCGGCGTTGAATGGCCTTGTACAGTCTGAAAGCAATGATGACCTAGTAGATGCTTGGGCTGAAGCAAAGAACGATTTATTCGAGAGTCTCATCTCTAGCTTATATAGGATAGGTAAGTTTTATGACCTGTGGTGAGACAGAAATGCCTAATAGATGATAGATTCTTCGAGTTCTACCTATCAGCCTCGAGATATAACAGCCGATCTTTTACGACGTGAACTCCTGAGTGTCCCAGTTGATTCTCTTGCAGGTCGTACTGATATATTTTCTCTGTTAGCTGTTCAATGCAAAGACATTCAGCAGGCTGCCTATGAAATCTTACATCGATATATTCCTCGAGCTCAAGAGCAGGTTTCTTTTGATGTTGCATTGTCCAAGACAAATGTTAATCTTCCAGATGAACTGCTTTCGTTGTTATTAGAAGCACCGAAAGCAGATATGATCACATTTATGAATGACGAGAAAGCATGGCTCGGCCTTCGATCTTACATGTTGAGTTGGAAAGTAGTCTTTGATCATTTCTTGAATTCGGTAAGCGCATATTCGTATTTCCAATTTTCCTCGTGCTAAAACATTCTGCGCTAGTCGCTGCCAGTCCAGGAGAATTACTCTGCAAATATTAAAGAGAATGAATTGTTAGGCCCTCTACTAGACTTTACTTTTGATTTCCTACAGAAGCCTCGTGGGAAGCTTTTGAACGCTTCGAATTTTGATATTCGTTCGTGGGATCCGAGCATTGAACCCAGTGAAAAAGACACACAATGGCTCGTCATTCACTTGTACTACTTGGCCCTTAAGCACCTAGGAGTCCTCGCCAAAAATTGGTGGATCGATAGCAAAAAGAGAATCAAAGGCCCGGTTGAGACTTGGACAGAAAAATATGTGAGTTTTCGAAAGGTACCCTTGCCATCTTTATGGATGCTTATGAGGCTATAGATATCCCCGTTTATCACTGAAGACGCCTTGAATGGCGTTTCGGAATGGACTGAGACACAGAACCAAGATGATGAACGACCACTTTCCGTCAAGGTATCTCACCGGACGGGTGAACTTGTTGCTAGCATCCCAGTGGACGAAGATTCCCCTCCTGTGGCAATAGCCATCTCCCTTCCACCTTCCTACCCACTGCAACCTGCAATAGTAACTGGGAGAAGCCGTGTTCTTGTCGATGAAAAGAAATGGCGCAGTTGGTTGTTGGCTGTTCAAGGTGTGATCATGTTTTCGAATGGTAGCCTTGTGGACGGTTTACTGGCATTCCGAAGGAATGTCCAGGGCGCCTTGAAAGGGCAAAGTGAGTGTGCTATCTGCTATTCAGTTATATCGACCGACATGCAGACACCCAACAAACGTTGCGCTACATGCAAGAATACTTTCCATTCTGTGTGCCTCTTCCGATGGTTCAAGAGCAGCAACCAGAGCACATGCCCCCTCTGCCGGAACAATTTTGTCTATGTTTGAAGCAAAACTTTCGGTTTTTTGCATAGGTCTTATGAAAGAGAAGCGCATATAACATGTATAGTACATATTTATTATAGATAGATGAATTTCTAGAATGATGATTCAAATCAGCAACATGAGCAATCTATGTGTAGCTCGCCTTATCGGTGCCTTTATCGCGCTTCTTATCTTATCCGGCCTTGGAGTCTACCCCACCCAAGCTCTCACACGTTCATCGAAATAGATGTTGACCTTGTCGACGGTGGCATCCCCCTCCCCAAGGCAGGAGAGACTCTCACCCCTCATTCATAGCGGCTGAGGATGTCAGCCCCTCAGATCCCAAATCTAAATACCCTTCGCAGAGGTGGGGGAGGGCTCCGAGGACGTCTTCCAGGGCGCGGTCGGGGATCCAACGCTGCTCCTGACGCAACTCCTAATGCCGGAAACACAGCGGGGAAGGATCAAATTGTGCAGAGCACCGACGGCGATGCTAGTTTATCTAGACTAAGCGCTGTTGAATTGGGATACTTAGATGACCCATTTGCGAGAAGTTTGACACCGGGTGGAGGGACGGCGTCAAGGAGATTTCCCATCATTAATCGAGGTACAGCTTTTCATTCCAAGATCCCTTCACACGATCTAATGAGTCTGGCATGAATAGGAACATATGTCCGAACAACTGCTATTGACGAATTGGTGGATCGATTTTTGGGCCACGCTGACGATCAACACGCTACGAAGAAACAAATTATTTCCCTCGGCGCAGGGTCAGATACACGCATCTTTCGTATTTGTGCGAAACAGCCAGCCTCAACAATTGTATACCATGAGATAGACTTTTCTGTGAATACGGCCGCCAAAATAAAGACTATACGTTCCACACCGTCTTTACAAAAAACAATACATATTAATGAAGCTGCTTTGGAGGGGGGAGAAAGCGGGGGGGTTACAATATCTCTCGCTGGGGACACTCTGCACTCACCTTCTTATCACATACACCCGATCGATCTAAGGACTCTTGTAGCCGAAACAAAAAAACAAACCTCACAAGAATCAACAATCTCTCCAACTGCTTCAGTAGCACATCTTCCTGGAATAGATACTTCTCTACCGACGCTTCTAATATCAGAATGCTGCCTGATCTATCTATCTCCGCATGATGCAGATTCTGTGGTGGATTATTTTGCCAAAAAAGTTTTTCCAAACACAACCCCTTTAGGGTTAGTTATTTATGAGCCAATTCGCCCAGACGATCCATTCGGAAGAACAATGGTGTCTAATCTAGCAGCAAGAGGAATTCAATTGCAAACTCTACACAAATACTCATCATTGAAAGCGCAGAAACAACGGCTACGAGATCATGGGTTTGATACTGGACAGGAGGTAGCTGATATTGACTTTATTTGGAACCGTTGGATTAGTGAGGGGGAGAAGGAACGGGTTGCGATGTTGGAAATGCTGGATGAGATCGAAGAATGGAGATTACTAGCGCAGCATTATTGTATTGCGTGGGGTTGGCGCGATTCAGAGGAGGGGCATTTCATTGATTGGAATGTCATAGAAAAGCAAAACTCCGACATCTGAGATGAGTTGAGAGTCTTGGAAAAGGATTCAAATGACCTGGGCGTGGTACTCATAATGAAAATATGTGTCGGGTCAAGAAATTGCACCCCTACCCAGATTTGAAGGAAACCTGGTCAGGATAACTTGTCTTAGGCACCCTAAGTAGGCCCCATTACTGTTGGTACTTTCCCTCTTTAAAGACGATGACCAACCTTTCAAGTATTTCATCGTTTCACCGTTCTTAAGCTTTTCGGGCTCTTAAAGATACTAATGTCTTTAGGAGGCCCACGTTAAACTAGATGTTGCCTCGACGAACTCGTAATTGTTTTGTGTAAATTGGTAGCCGTGTCGTTCAAATCAATCGATTCGAGCGCTCTTTATGAAGTTATTTAGAGTTGTAAAAGAATATAAGAGAGAAAAGACCGACAACCACCCATTTTCACTTGGGATTAGGTAGCGCCTTTGACTAGGGGTTATACTATTTCTACTCTGTAGTTTGTTTAAATCTATACATGTAGAAATATTCGTCAATGATAATTAGTGATGTTATAATAAGTCCATAGTTGTAGCTGAAAATCTAAGCTGTGTGTATATTTCTCAATATGAGTAAGAAGCATTGATATCTCCAGATTCTGAAACCATCTCCTAATATCCCAATGATTTGTCTACTTGATTAATCAAGTCCTTTCCTTCGTGAAGACGGCTTAGGTTATATGCCAAGATCTTCATGACTCGCTCACTATAGTGATCTGAAATACCACTAGTGTGAGGAGTAATAATAGCGTTTGGTGTTTTCCACAACTTGTGGTCTGCAGGGAGCGGTTCAGGATCAGTTACATCTAATGAGGCCCCTCTAATTTTACCGTTCTCTAGGGCTGAAACAAGATCGTCCGTGTTGATAATGGTGCCTCGTCCTACATTGCTGACGAACGCCTTCTTCTTGCTGAGAATTTCAAACTGAGTTTTAGTTATCAAGCCTTTAGTTTTGGTCGTCCCTGGCAGGGTAATGATTAAAAGATCTAGGCCAGAGCCCAAGAAGTCATTCAGCTGTTTGTCGCCAAAGAACCACCTAGAAGGAAAAATCCCTTCTGGATCCCCCAGACCAGGTTCAGTGAACGACTCATCTTTCCGTGATTCGGGGGTGGCTCGCTCGTGTAGCGTATAGGCATAGACATCCATTCCAAAAGCTTTTGCGACTCGAGCGCATTGCCGTCCAATACAGCCGTATCCGAGGATACCTCTGTGCAGATGTTAGTTTTATTCAAAAATAAACATGGGCGGACGATGTAAATTGGAAAACCTACACCCGCAGACCAACCGCATCCTCAACACCCTCATCAGATGGAGGGTCGATCCATTTTCCAAGCTTCTGGTTTTCCAAGTGCTCGGGGACTGGAAATATTTGCTATGTTAGCTCTCAATTTTGTTCTTCTTCGCTTGGTATCTACAATAACCGGAGAAGAGTACTTACTATGATGTTGGAACAATAAGAAAGTAGAAAAAACCCATTCTGTTATCTGGGGTCTAAATATCCAAGCCCAAGTTAGAGAGAAGTCTTAGATATTCAGCGGCCATCTTACGGATGAACTCCATTGGCTGTACAATAAGCAATATCTGTCTCCTTGAAAACTGGGAGTTCCGACAAATGATTACAACCGGCACTAATAAGTTGCACGTATCGGAGGTTAGGAACTTGCTCCTTTTTAGGAAGGGCCTTCCATGTAAGAAGTGCTGTAACCGATTTCCAAGTCTCAGGCGATATGTCTGAAGGAACTTCAGTGGCATACATAGGAATTTGTCGCGAAATCACACGAATCCCAGGACTAACCCTTTCCAGGCTAGCAATGTATTGCAGTGGAGGGGAATATGGTGTTAGAAAGAGCAGCACTTGTCCTCCACTGGAAGAATCTGCTGCCCCTCCTGATGCCATGTTGAATGATATACTGGAAATGCAAGTACCGGCACTCTCACTGAAGGCGCTGTTGGGCTTCAACCCTTCGAGAGCGAAGTGTGCCAGGGCTTGCGCCCTTTTCTAGACTCACACTAAGGATACAAGACTCACCCCACCGTCGAAATAGCTCATAAAGCGAAAAATAACGACCGGGCGGTTACAGAAAGCGGGGGAGTTTCGGCCAGGTTAGTGCCACCCACATGCGCCGAGTTGGGAATTCAACATTGGAATATTGTTCGCTGAGCCGTGCGTATACAAATAGCCTACGGATTACCAGACGAGCACCATACTTTCATATCAATTGAGATATGAATCTGGGTACTTTATGTTAATACTATCTGGTTTTGAAATTCCAGATGTGGAGACATCATATGTAGTTGGACTCTAAGCATTTATATATCTAGCAATCATGGTTTAGCTTTCTTCTACAAATAAGCTACAATAAATTTATCCCCAATATATATAGAACGAATTGTATACCACGTTTCCTTTATCACTAATTATAGAGATAGATATGTACACTACATCCACACCTATGGCTTCAGTTACACCCCTCCAAATATATTCAGTATATCATATGAACTAACATATTACTAGAATAGTACAGAATTTAATGATTTAAGTGAATAGATTAGAGGAAAGAGTATAGAGGCGCCTAGAAGAGACTTAAGGGCCTGAGGCGGTATCTGCATTATATTTTGAAGCCTACGATGACATCTTAAATATCGCCTACTGCAGTGCTCAAGGGCCCGAGGCACCATTCAGAAGAAAGATTAATTTGAAGAAAATTCTTGTATTTGTAAAAACTAGTAAAACACTGAAATTTATCTTTAAAATAGAGGTTTGGACATATTTTTATATCTTCAATGCATTATATCTATACTTTATATCAGAAAGGGCATAGATGTAGCCTCAGAGGGTGTCGATGCAACCTCTGGAGATACGGATGTAAGTGTATCCCTAATTATATCAATCCCAGCAAAACATGTAACGTTGCAGGCGTGGGGTATCCCCGCTGTGTTATCTACCCTAAGCATCAATATATAAATGAGGCTTGGATCATATATCTGCGTGGTTTACAATATTGCCATAGGGAGCACTCCAGAACAATATTTACAGCCAGCCATCCAGCCCTATCTACACCTAAAAGTTTAGAAACCACCAGGTGACATCAAACCATCTTAGAGGATCAAGGTCATCCATCCAACACAAAAAGAAATCTTGGTGGTTTATCGTCCCATCAAAATGCAAGCAACAACCAACAGATCTGAAGGCTCTAGCTCGATTGCGTCTGCTTTTGCTTCTTTATCTTCTGCAAAGGTTGACCTACCACCTAGGTTTATAGACCTCAAACGTAGTATTATTCACAGCCACGAAGAAGCTGTATTGGCTGGATGGACGCGTCTTCTCCAGCAACGGTTGACGCTTGACAAGCTCAAAAAACTGGAATCGAATGTGATTCCAGAAGTTGAATTCGCGGACATCGTTGGAAACAAAGGAAGATTACCCAACGATATCGAAAGCAGACTACGGGAATGCGGCACAATTATCGTGAGAGGCTTGGTTAGCACAGATCAAGCTCTGAATTGGAAACAACAAGTTCGAGATTACGTGAAATTGAATCCCCAGACAGAAGGGTTTCCCGCTGGAAATATCCAGGTTTATGAGCTGTACTGGTCCAAAGCACAGCTGGAGGCGAGATCGCATGCAAATATGCTCCTGGTCCAAACTGCGTTGAATCGAGTTTGGAGGGCGAAACCTCAAGACCCTGTTGATCTTGATATCCCTGTCACATATTGTGATAGATTGCGGATGAGAACAGTATGCTCAATTTCTCTTCATATCTCAGAAATTTGAAGATCTATAACTAAAGAAGTTAGCCTGGCGATCAATCGTTTAATTTAGGTCCCCATTTAGACGGGGGGTCTCTCGAGCGGTGGGAGGATCCTGAGTACCGGCAGTGTTATTCCAGCATTCTTCGCGGAGACTGGGAAAAACACGACCCATTCGATGCGACTCATCGATTGAAAGCGACTGTTGATATGTACAAAGGTCCGGGTGGATGTTCAGCATTTCGCTCCTATCAAGTATGCATTAGTATATCGATTAGATTTTAGGTTTTCGATTTTGATTATCTGCCGCTGATCTCTTTCCGCTTTTATAGGGATGGCTTTCTCTTTCGGACTGCAAACCGGGGTCTGGGACTCTCCGTGTAATGCCTGACTTGACTGCCTCCACGGCTTATACTCTCCTTCGTCCGTTTGTGAAACAGGATGCCAATGGGATCAACTGGACGATTGACGTGGATAGCCCAACGTTCCATGGTGCAGACATGGGAAAGGGTCAGGAGCTCACAGAAACAGATCACTCGCTTCTCAATCCTCATGGCTTCGTATCAATCCCGCCCGTTCGTCCTGGAGATGCAGTGTTCTGGCATTGTGACGTTGCACATATGGTCGAGGCAGAGCATTGCGGGAAGAGTGATTCTAGTGTTTTTTACATTCCTGCTCTGCCTTTGTGCGAGATAAACAGCAAGTATGTCAAGGATCAAAGAGAAAACTTTCTGCGTGGAATTCCTCCGCCCGACTTTCCTGGAGGCGTGGGCGAGAGTGAGCACACGGGTAGAGGCAAAAGTGAGGATATACAGCTAGCCGAAGGTAGAAGAGCAATGGGATTAGGTAAGTTTGAGGTTCAACTTCAGAAAACGATGGGGCAGAAGAATGCCATTGAGACAGCAAATAAAATCTTGGGATTTGCTTAAGGGAAAGAAAAGGTGCTCGTCCCAGCCTTAAGAGTGTTGTTGCTAAATCTCTCGTCGTCTAATGTAATCAAGAATTACATATATCTTTATGATAGTAAGAAATTTTGAAGCTTTAATAGATTGAAGGATAGCTTGTGAAAGTACGATATTTAGTTAGAATTATCACGTTAAAATACATTGACCTAACCTTTCCCCCATAAATCAAGGTTCCTAGTTGCATGCAACATTGTCGATGCACACCGTAAAAAGGTAACAAATTCCACAAGTAGGTTGATATTTCCGCTCAATTTCTCCCACCCATTTTAAATTGTTTCGTAATTTCAAGTTTAATGTTCAGTAAAATCATCTAAACTCGCTCCGACCATATCCTGGTCCTTATCAAAATGCACAGGATCCGGCACTAAATTGCCCGATTTGTCATAGTCTGTCTCGAATTGCTGTTCTAGCGGCAGATCAGAGATATCGCTGGGCTTTCGGGCTTCAGGCATTTGCGCTGCCTGTCCCTGCGTTTGAGAGGGCATTTTCTTGTTGTCGCCTGAACTGTCTTTTAGATTCTCAGGCTTTAGGGAGCGAAGAGTTCGTTTAATTTTGTCGGCCATAGTTCTTTTGTGTTTGTTTATCTTGGTTCTTGAAAAGTAAGTTCTTTGGGGTTTGTCTTTTGCTTTTCATAAATTGATATTGACCAAAAAGGTAGCCACAAAAGGGCATCCCCCTTCTTCATATATATGTAAACAGTGACCAAAGACTGAAAAATAGCACCTGACGCAAATCAGCATCATAGTTGAGGACCTACGTGTCATAGACCTTAAGGGCCCTCAAATCACCGGCCTTGACTACACCCGGAAGCTTTTCAACAGAAGGGAATAGATTGAGTTATGCCCATGCATTCCCCATGGAAAGACCGTCAGATGATGATATGTTGCCACCAAAAAACACTACTGTGGATAGATTCTGTCCGTCTTTGGATTGATGTCTAGACTGAAAGCTATGAATTTTAGAAGATTCATTACAAGGCGGTACATGTTATGTATGAAATGACATGAGATAGGACTTAATTCTCAGCTTTCTACACTGGTTGATGCCAATATTTCTCTATTTAATTCGATGTGAGGGTACGATCCTGCTTCATAGTTTAATCCTAGGCCCAGCATTGGATCATACTCTTCACCGGAGTCAGGTCTTTGGCTTTTTTAATTCATCCACACAGGTTTATAAAATAATGATTGAAATATAACAGTATTATATCCGTTTTTATTTAGGTGGTGACTAGATGACATCAAGGTGGCGAAAGTCGATGTCTGTTACCACGAAAAGCCAATCCCCACATCATGCCATCTATTGGTGGTTCATAATATACAAAATGTATAAATTAATTACCCAATGCATTTCATGGACTAGGTCGGAATATTTGAGGTGTTTTGACACACTTCCATATATCGCGTACTGCGCGTTCTTGAAACGGTCGACCTATTTCTATCACCGGTGGCCCTACTATTATTTATATAATTAGAAGACTCCAACAGGATAAAGATGGGAAAGACTTACCTAACAGCTAAATACAGCCTGCTACCTAACCTCACTTCCTCAATCGGAGCTGTCTCTCGGTCGTTTGGCGGATTCACTGTTGTTCCTAGCCCTCCAGTTTCCAGCAGAACACAATTCCGGCGGCAACATCCTTATCGATGGTAAGTACGGACTGATAATATAAATAGAGCAGAAGAAAGTCCACAGAGTAAAACGCACCATTTCCAACAACCGTCTTCCCGCCAAATATCCAATGGTCGAACCCGTGTACGCCAAATCGAGCGTCGCACTTCACAAACTTCTTACTCCATGCACCATATCCCCTAACCCGCAATACCGCCTCGATCAGGTGCCATATTGGCAAAGCTGTCCATCTTTCTTTACATATTCCGCTCGATGGAGTCCTTACGACTCTCCCCATTCTCACGAGAATTAACACTTGCTTGGCGCATTGGTCGGCGTAGGCGGAATGCTAGGTTTTTGTGTCAAAGTAGGAGGAATCTTCTCATTATACCAGGCACCACGGCCAATGCATGACTAAAAAAGCTGGTTGAGCATGGGTGCGTTGATGACTCCGATGACAGAGCGGCCTTTGACTAGAATGGCGATGCTGACACAGAACTTGGGGAAGAGGTGTATGTAGTTCACGGTGCCGTCAAGAGGGTCGACACACCATGTTGGATGGACTGGCTGTTTTAATGATCTCAGATAATCGCGTGCAGATGACTTTGCGTATGTGACTTCGCCAATGAACCTCAGCAATTATTAACAAACAGAAGGGATATTATGTTACAATACCTCAACTTACTCGTGGCTTGGGCATTTCGTGGCAATAACTGTACTCTATGTCTGTTTGAATGAGAATAAACATCAATGTACATAACTATCAAGTCTTTCTGCGAGGAATAACAGATGAACTAAACATAACCAGCCTGTGGCACGGCATCAACTGCGTTGTCCTTCTCTGTAAAAGCCAGATTGCTGCTTGTATTGGCATCGATTCCGTTCACTACATCATTTCCACTCATTGGAGGAGAATATATTCCATCTATCGACTTATACCCAGCCCTTTTTCCTAGATCAATCGTGAATTGGTAAATGTCGTCAGGTTGCTCGGCGGTCATGCTGCCATATCCAGGGATTGGCATAGCTGACCTGAGATTTATTTGGGGTTGTACTTCTATCCTGATATAGCCGTGAGTTGCGTGCTTGTCAGGAATACCCGATCTATACACCGCAGGCTTTATCAATCACAGTCAGAAAAATATGTATACAATAGAAAGGTATATTAATTAGGCTCCTTTATCCAATTCAGTTTTATAATGGCATATTCAGCCTTTGACATCTTGCTGTTGAATCTCAACCCTGTCTCTGAAGGGCCTCATCCTCCTCTTCGTTTCTTCCATTCTCCCGCTCTTTCCCACTTTCTCTTGGTTTTGGATAACATATCTCGCATCTCAACACAACTTTGATTAAAACATTCTGTCCCATACTTTCTCTCCACTATCAAGGTTATCTGCTTCACGTCGCAGCATGTCGGCACGGTATTTGCGAAAGGCACTCTCGATCCGCTTTCTCGTCTCCGGATCTTTCGTGATACTGCGACTTGCTCTGGCTGAGCCGCCCAGAAGACCTAAAAAGCGGTCCCATTAGTTCATACATTACACGTTATTAATACAGGCAGATTTTTTTTAGCAATGTTTCATACCGAGCTCTCCGCCCAAAAACAATCCTCCAGCAGAAGCGAAAAAATACGTCGCAAAGTCTCCCAGCGAGGATGGCTTGAGTAATGGTGTAATATCGGGGATGGATTCTGGAAATATTTTTAGAATTGGGTGAAAGGTGGTGCCTGAACAGAATCCGAGCTTACCAGTCCTCCCATCCGCGAAGAGAACACTGACAGGCTTCTCCTGCGCTTTGAATGCTTCGAAAACCTGCTTGCGCACCCCCCTCAGGCGAAACGCCACATAAAAACCGAGGCCAATTCCTATAGCTGAACCGACGACCGTCCAGGTCGAAACCGTTAAGGCTGCGGCCTTCAGAGCATCGCGATCGGCGGGCTGGAGATCATGCTGCAGGTGTTCGTCTGCGAGCTTTGCTAGCTCATCACGACGCTGTCTGCGGAGTGCGGCAATTGACTCAGACATGATTTGGATGATTTATATATTCTTTAGATGAGCTGTTGTATATTTCTGTTTTTTTCCTGATGAATTGAAATATCAGTGAATGGAGAAAATTGTCAGGTGGTGGAAGCTCCAGAAGCTGGCGAGGACATGACGTCATTGAGAGCCGTTTTCGGTTCTAGGCCCGGTCTTGCCAATCGTCGCATATCCAAAAGGTTCACTTCTGAGCGTCTGCCACAAGAAAATGCAATTGAAGCAGTCAAATTCTCTGACTGCCTATTGTGTATCTTGAATTCGTAGGTAATTAGAAAAATTTCGGTCCCAAGTTTAGTAATTGCGAGGTGGTTGGAGGAATAAATGGCGTTAGTGCATAAGCCGTATATTGATATTTCTCTCCGTTGCCTACCGAGATATGAATATTCTAATGTTGTGTTTAATAAATATCTCCTAGATTACTTATCATGCCAAGATACAGTATACGGTTACTATGTCCTCTAAGCTTTTAGTATACAGATAATGAGCCTAACTACTCCTACTTAATACTAGCTCAAATGTGCTAAATTGGATACAAGGCAATAATGATATTACGTTATGATTTTACTTTGATGGGAATTATGAATTAAGGTGATATAGTTATCAAATAATCTTACATAGCGATTTCATCTGCTACTGAATGTAGATCGGGTATCAGCTGCCTTTAAAGAAATGCGAACCATTAATACAAATAATGTACTATAGCAAATAGCTTACATTCTAACTCCCTGGCATATATTTTGTCTATCAATAATTAATCATTGAGCACTTGCATAACTTAGCTAATTAACGGTTGATAAGTTCCCCGCATTGAGACTTGCCTAAGAAGACCAGATGGGGCAACATGACCAATCATATAGTGTCCTCGCTCCCGCTGCCCAAATGAGACTAGCGTTTAAAACGATGGAAACCAAGATTCGCCTGGACCCATATCTGTGTCCCACTCTCTCGGCAGGACAGTCTCTTTTGGGTCTATGTCGATGTTCTCGCTACGAGACATGCTCTAGATACTCGTTTTAGACGAATATGTGTTGGGGGTTGGCTGGAGCCTGTTGATTGTCACCGTAGTATGAAAGCGCTAGGTCTGGTTTTTCGTTTTAGGGATGCGATAAGTTGTTTTGCTGTATGGATCTTTAATCCCAGATATTGTTAACTCATACGGTGCATTGTATTCATTCTTGGAATTGAGTCAGTCACAATGTTATCTTCGGATAAAACTGCAGAGTATACGACTGCCACTAATGGCGAGAAGGGGGTGCCAAAACCCTCCCCATTGAACGAGGACTTTAAAAACCTGGTAACCAAGACACTTGAAAAATGGCATATCCAAGGTGTCTCCGTTGCAGTTGTTGATGGCGATGAGACTTGGGCTGAGGTATATACACACATATTAATTGATCTCGAACAATAAATAACGAAACAGTAGGGATATGGAATTGCGGCAATGCCTGATATTCCAGTTCGGCCTTCAACACTTTTCTACACTGGCAGCACGACGAAAGCCTTTACTGCCGCTGCAGCTTCTTTTCTGGTTGATGATGACGAAAAATATCCAAACATAAAATGGAATACACCTCTTAGTGAGGTGATCCGTGAGGATTTCGTTCTTCCAGATGAGTATGCAACATCGCATGTCACACTAGAGGACGCACTCTCACATCGATCCGGCTTGGCTGGACATGAGCTAACGTTGGGTCGTCTCGGCACCGTACGAGATGTCGTTCGAAGTCTGCGTCATTTCAAGATGAGCCAGGAAATTAGAACCACCTGGCAATACCACAATGCTTTGTATATTACAGTAGCACATATGATTGAGGTTGCAACTGGAGAGTGGTTAGGTGACTTTCTCCGAAAGCGTCTCTGGGAACCCTTGGATATGAAATCTACATTCTTTTCACTCGAAGACGCACGGCAGTATGCTGCATCTGCTGATAACGACGCCACTCTTGCTGTTCCTTATGGCTGGGATGAGACCAAATCTGAAATGGAGGAGATTCCTTATTGTGAGGGCGTGTTAAGCGGTGCCGGAGCAGTAATCTCTAATGTTGTTGACTATACAAAGTACCTACGCTCTGTGATGAGACAGTCAGGTCCGCTCTCTAAAGAGGGATATGCTGCGATGCGCCAACCTCGGTCTTTCTGCCCTCAAATGTTGCCGCAAATGAAGAATCAGATTCTATATACCCTAGGGTGGATGACAACTACATATCATGGAGAATTTGTAATGTTTCATCCGGGTGGCCTGGAAGGCATGACTGCCACAATGATCCTATTCCCTGAACGCGAATGGGGTGTACTTGTCTTTTGCAATAGCGATGGCCCAGGGCGCGAAACGCTAGCATGGCATTTGGTAGACGAAATGTTGAAGGTTCCACAAGAAGATCGTTTGGACCTGTATGATTTGTATGTCTTTCCCTAGCTTTCTCAGAAATCGGTCTTTATCTCGGACTCATGCTAATTTGACTTTCTCTATATAAGTGTCCAAAAGAAGCTTGTTGAGAAGAGGAAGTACAACTCTACAGCCCAGGAACGCCTCTACCCGTCTATTCCCTCACCACCTCGACCTCTCACACTCCCACTAGAAGAATATGCTGGTACATACACTCACCCAGCGCATCCGGATATTGTTATTACTATAGCATCCGAAGCGGAGCCTCAATTCCTTGTCGAAGTCACAGGATCGCTCCGTAGCACAATAGCCCTGAAGCATGTTTCTGCTGATTACTTCCTTGCCGAAGTATCTCTCTACATGTTGCGCCGGGATCCTTCTGCAATCGTCAAGGCAGAATTCCAACTCAATGCGGAAGGAAAGGTGGCTAGATTTGGTGCTGCTATCGATTTCGATTACATGCCGGATACCTTGATTTGGTTTGAGCGTTCTCCATGAACATAAAATATTAGTATTTTTTACTAGATTCTACCTGTAGCTGAAAAGAGTAAATCAATATTTACATTTAACCCTCTCTGGACGCTAAAATGACTTTTAAAAATATTCTAGCAATTGAATTCAATGATTTGGCTCGTAAGTCTGGGGGAAATAGAGCATTCTGAAGTAGCAAATCCAATTTTTAAAGAAGGTTATCAATCCAGAATCGAGTCTGTGATTCCGTTGAAGCTTTTATCGTTTTCTCCATATGGAATCCGTGCCCTTCCCCAGGATAAATTTCAATTTCAACCGTCTTCCCAAGTTCACGCATTTTTTCCACCATATGCGTTGCTTGCCATGCCGGGACAATTGTATCGACGTCGCCTTGTTGAAGCAATAGTGGCCCCTTGATTTTCTCTGCATGATATACCGCACTTCGACTCTTATAAATAGTTTCTATTTCTTCCTTCGTTTTCCCCCCCTTTCCTAACACAAGAGAGTCAATATAATGACTTTCAAATTTATGTGTTGTCTCTGCAAACTCCGAAAGGCTGCTAATCCCATAAATACTTATTCCGGCAGCCCAGATATCGGGATACGTATAAAGAGCTTGCATGACTGAATAACCACCAGCGCTCTCGCCAACAATGCCGACTCTAGAAGAATCAATAACACCTTCAGAAGCGAGATACTTGACACAGCTGGCCGCATCTGCAATTTCAGCGGCGCCCCATTCGCCATCGAGAAGCTCACGATACGCCCGCCCGTATCCGGTAGAGCCGACATGATTCACAAGAACGTAAGCATAGCCTCGGGATGTCCAGTATTGCGTCGTTAGAGCGAGCCCAGGTGGGACATGGTATGTCGGGCCACCGTGCATCCACACGAGCAAAGGTGGTTTAGTGCCCTCTGGGGCTTTAAAAGCAGCATTTTTGGGTTCAACAAGCCAAGCGTACGCATTGGCAGACTTAGAATCGTCTTTTTTACCGTACAATCGTGGAAAGGTTATATGTCGGGCTTCCGAGATGAGCGTGTCTGGTATATCGAGTTCAGTGGTTGGCTTTAGTAACTTGATAGAAACACCGTCGCTCAAGTCCACACGGTAAAGCGCTTGCGGGACAGTACGAGTGCTTCCTATTACAGCAAATGCTGTGGGCGATATACTAGCCATAGCATTCTTTTGAATATCAACAATAGGTAAAGATAGGTCTTTCCATGAGCTTGTTTCTAGGTCAATCAAGACCAGATTGGATGTCGCATTTTGGTTAACGGATGCAACGATGGTCTTGTTATCTAATTGCACATATGTGCAGCTGGAAAAAAGGGTCAGATAAAGCATGTTTTTAAAATTAGAGACCTCAACATACTTTCCAAGAGCGGGCTCTCGACTTCCAAATTCAGCCGATTCTAGACCATTTAAATGTATCAGTTTCGGTGTCTCACCATCGAAGCGATATAACTGCCAGTATCCCGTCTTGTCGCTAACAAAAAATAAAGTACCGTCTAAACCCCATCTTGGCTGGCAGATACTCTCAACACCAGCTTCACCAGAAACCAGAATTTGCCCTGAAAGTTTTCCAGTTTCCCACTGAGCAACGTATAGTCTCGTCCCTGACCAAGGCATATCAGGGTGGTTCCATTCTGTCCAACAGACCCGTTTCCCATCTGGGCTAAATTGAGGATGTTGATAAAAATCAGCGCCTTCAGCAATAACAGACACCTCGGCTGTGTTTACACGGATAGCTACAATCGCGTTCTTTACAACTGCACCTCCGTCAGAATTTTTTGAATGGCTTTCCTGGATAGCAAGAATCCATTCTGCAGTTGTTGGATGAACATGGAAATTTCCAAAACGAACAGAAACATTAGGGGCTACAATGGTCTCCACATCTCCAGATGCAGGATCTAGCAGAAATATGCCGTTATCCGGGTGACTGGTGAAGAGTAAACGGCCATTAGGATGCATCGCGAAAGAGCCACCACCGTATTCATGTATTGTACCTTCGGCATTGTATTCCGCAGGCAAGACATCTCTGGTTGTGGTGTCGGCCAGTTCCACGATGGCATATCTTCCACCTTCGGAAGGGCGTGATTCAAGAACAAAAAGCTGTCCAGTAGACGGCTTCTCTCATAAGCATGGGTTATCATAAATAGTCCGGTTCTGGCTTAAAAACGTACGTTGGCTTGTATACCTTCAAGGTGGACACTGCCGCTGGAGAGATGTTCTGCAGTAATGGGGCTATCCCATTTTCCATATGGTGCGACCGTTATTGAATCTGACATTGTGTGGCTGGGTGATTAGATTCGTAAGTTTATTGACAAAAAAATGACTTCTGATAGACTGCTAGGAGACTCTCGATCATGATTATCAAAATATATTAAGTTTATTTTGAACGCAGATTTGTCAGCTCAGGGTTGAAGCGACGCGTCGCTCTCGGGCTCCCGATGCGGAATAGAAGCTGGGGGGCCATCGTTAGGGCTGGACCCGGGACTACGGGTCGAGATAGTGCCCCTTGGATTGCCTGGGAGAGGACAAGAAGAGCGGGACTTTCACTCTGAGAATGACTGAGTCGCAAGCATGTATTGTTCTCGGCTAGATATGCTTTAATATACAAAGAGCCGGGTACGCTATCAATTCCTAATGGTGTCTTTGGTTACGTAACAAGATCGTTGTAAATTATGACCACATCCATATTTTTAGGCGACAGATTTCATAGCATATAGCGGTTATCTTCGGATGCGATTTACACACTTCAATTGCCTTCAGGGAGATTGTGACTCTGGACAGCCCAGCCTGGATGTTCCACAGTGGAAAAATCACCTAAAGGATATTTTGGGGAATTTTTCTACAGGACATTTGAGAAAATACCAAGTGAACAAAGTTCAAGAATTCCGCGACAAGAAAAAACAAAATGGCCTCACAGTCTTTTAAGATAACGGTAATTGGGTAAGACTATGAAAGGAAGACAGTAAATAAAACTCTAAGACCTTTTCACCTGACAATTAACTTAGAGCTGGAGTATCCGGTCTCACAACGGCGTTAGTTCTCTCTCAGAATCCCAAATATAGAATCACCGTTGTCGCGAAATTCATGCCTGGAGATTACGATGCCGAATATGCGTCACCATGGGCTGGGGCCAACTTTTGGCCGTACGTTTATATATCTAAATTCTTTTACGTTTTACTTTCTGACATCTATAGGCAGTATGGGAGCAGCTGGAAGTACACAGGCTGAATTGGAAAAATCTACATGGTCGGAATTATCTAAATTGGCTAAAGAGTATCCCGAATCTGGGATTTCATTCCAAAGTATGTTATGAGTTTATCTTGTATATTCGACTCTAATTTTCGACTAATATTTATTAGAGGCCTTTATTCACACCCGTGTCGAAGATGTAGGAAGGGTGGGATCATTATTTTGCCAAAGTGATAAAAATCTGCCATGGTGGAGTGATCTTTTCCACGATGTATGTTCTATATGAACACCGTCCTATCCCTAAGATATAAATTTTATACTCTATGCTAATACCGGTTTAGTTTAAAAGTCTAGATCAGTCAGAACTCACTTCAGGGATACACTCAACCTACGAATTTACAACGGTCTGCATAAATACAGCAATATATCTGCCATGGCTTCTTTCTCAGTGCATAAAGAATGGAGTCATCTTCAAGAGAGCAGTAGTAAAGCATATCGCTGATGCTGCATCTCTACACGCAAGCCAGAAACCGGCGGATCTGGTGGTAAATTGCACCGGGCTTATGGCGCGAAATTTAGGGGGTGTAGAGGACAAGACCGTAGTGCCTGCACGAGGACAAGTTGTTGTAGTTCGAAACGACCCAGGAATCATGGCTACCATATCGAATACGAGTTCAAAGAATGACGAGATGGCATATATGATGTCCCGCCCAGGTGGTAAGTAATCTGAAATTAACATGAATAAACCTTTCTTGTCCCTGCTTACGTAGTTTTCAGGTGGTGGAACGATTCTTGGGGGCTGTTATCAGGTGGGAAATTGGAATGCATTTCCGGACCCCGATCTTGCAGAGAGCATAAAGAAAGGATGTCTTGCCCTATATCCAGAATTGACTCAAGGAAAAGGCGTGGAGGAGCTGAGTGTTATTCGCCACGGTGTTGGGTTTCGCCCCTTGCGCCCTCAGGGTGTGCGTATCGAAACTGAGCGCGTAAAGGGGACCCTAGTTGTTCATAATTACGGCCATGGTGGTTGGGGGTATCAATCTTCGTATGGAAGTGCTGCTGCTGTAGATTTGCTTGTTGAGCGAGAGGTAAAGTTGAATGCTAAGCTCTAGGCACCAGACTATCGTGTAAGGATTAACATCCCTTCTTAAAGTTTACCTTGTGTTATAGACTTTTTCCATTATCTATTAAGTAGAGTGTTGGCTAAATTGAATCATTAACTATATTAGGAATAAACTACATAATCTTCAATGTTGTTGTTCTTGTGAGTCTTCAATGAAGATTTCAGCACATTGGCTATTGAAACTACTAAGAAAAACGAACATATTGGTTATATGATAAATAAAATTATATCTTAATTGTCTGCGTGCCTAGATAAAGCACCAATATACCAGCTTCTTCTGATACTAATCAAACTTAAGCGTCTTCCTTAGTCGTAGGATGCTTCTCAGCATGCCCCATGTTGACCTTATCCTTCAAGGCATCCACAGCACCGGTCTTGCCAATAACGATACCCTTATATTCTCTGTTGGAGTCCACCTCACTGATATTGAAGTTTTGCAGCAAGAGAGAACACAAAAAAGCCACAGCGACAAGAATCAGCCCTACCAATATCATATCCCGAAAAGTGCTTGTAAAGGAATTGTTGATAGCATCACGAGTTGGCGTTCCCCATTCAAATGACAATGCTGATGTAATGGAGGCTGCAATTTCTTCCATGTAGCTAGCATCCTGGGCAGGCAAATTGGCACTAAGTTTTCGGGGAAGTAGGGCTAAGGAAAAGGACGTTTCGTCAGTGATATAAATTCTTTTATAAGAGATCAAAGCATATCTTACTTGTCCACATGCCTCCGGCTATTGCTGCACCAACGGCATTCCCAACCGCAACGGATGTTGTAAACAACGCTGTACCTGCCGCCATTTCTATGTAATAGTCAGTATAGTCAATTGATGTAAAGTGCGAAAAGACGGTACCTACCAGATTGGTCAATAGAAGCTTGTATGCCAAATTGTGTTGTCATGACAAATCCTTCGCCAATTCCCAGGATCAATTGCGAAACGACTAACTGGGGCATCTGACCATTCCCGTTGACATACTTATAGGTCAGACCCATCCCAAGCACTATGAGTCCGTATCCAGAAACCACAACCCATTTATATCTTTTCAAATATTTGACCAGTAGGCCGGACATGAGTTGGCCCAATGATCCTGCAAATGGGATGAGAATATAAATGTTTGTAGCCGCATTGACTGATAAATTGGCTGCAATCAGTTCATACATGAGGAGATAGCTTTGGAGTATGTAAAGGCCGCTATAGTTGATGAACATAGCTGATGTCTTGTTAGCGGACGGTCCTTCGTATAAAGATATAGAAGAGCCTACCTATTAAACCGAAGATTACTGTACGATTTTTTAAGACCTTCATGGACAAAATTGGCCAGCGAGCCCACTTAGTTTCCCATATCACGAGGGCAATCAAACAAACACTGCCAATGACCAATTCAACGATTGTATGGGTGGTTTTCCAGTTATTTTCATTGGAAGGCGCGAGCGATATCGGTATTAGCACAAGAGCGAGTCCAGCACCGAACAGAATTAACCCGAGGGGATCAAGTTGGAGGAAATTTTGAACGTGATTTCGGGGTTTATAAGTGCCTTCCTCTTTTCTTAACATTGTACCCTTTCTCTTGTTGTGGTAAAGGGACGCCAGTATAGGCAATGAAATTACAGGGATCTATATACCTCGTCAGCTATCGACGTTAACTCACGGAAGACTGAAGTACCGACAATAATAGCAAATATCCCAAAACCCCACCGCCATGTGATCTTGATTATTCCGGTCGCAACCGAACCGGCAATCTAGTAAAATATTAGTTTAATTATCAATTCTTTAATATGTTGATTAAGTACTCACCCAGCATGTAACAAGTGAGGGGGCAATGGGTATTGCATTTATGAGGGCACGATTATGGAGATCACTGGTGTCTAGTTGTTGACGTTATCAGCAAAGTTTAGATCAAGGCTTGCAAGGTTACATACCACCTGCCAGAATCTGAAGCATCAACGAAATTCCTAAAATAATCAGCTGTCTGAGACTATTGTCTTAAGGATATAGCTAAAGAAACATGGAGCGTACCTATGTAGCCAAAAGCCCAGAATACCTGTGCTCCAGCGTAAACACCAACGCTTTTTGATGACGCTATCATAATCTCTCCGATGGTTAAGAGTATCACGGAAATCGAAAGCATCTCGAATCGACTTAATGTCACGATTGCATCAGAAAGGAGTGGTCAATGATACTGTAAATAGGGCAGCCCCCGTCGGTACTAACCCATAAACATCAGCAAGCCTAGCGAGAGGTTGCAAGGCAACTGTTTTTGTCTTAGTATAAGCAAAGGATCATAAAATAGATAGTACGAACCCGCTGATGCCACAGCCTGAACCACAGTGACCGTTCCCAAGAGTGGAGCAGAAGCAAAGTCACTCGTCGCATACGAGGCAAAGGAGCTTGATGTTTGATTGTTCAGATTTGTGGCGAAGCTCATAAGCAGAGCAGATATCCAGATAACGATCAGGTTTTGAAGGTTCCAGCTGCGTTGAATACCGTCCAGGTCCGCAAGTCCAGGGAGTTGCTTCTTGTCCTCGGACAGACTTTTACCATCAGCTATAGCAACGCTTTCCACATCGGCGGCATCTTGAGAAATGGCTTTCATGTCGAAAGCTTTTGGGTCCTCTGGGAGGCCTGGGGAAGTCATGGTTTGAGGACTTGGGCTAAGTGATCCATTAAGAAACCTTCATAAACGTAATCAAAGAGTCAAAGGCAAGTCCACGGAGGCATGGGTGTTCAATATTGCGGGCGTCAGCCTGCCTCTATATTCATTCCCAGAGGCGTTGTTATCGGTCGCTGGTGATACATCCGTGCAGTGATTAAATCGAGCTTTCTCCAATCCAATGGATGCGAAATTGACATGCGACAGTAGTAGCCCTATTCATGCCTGTGTGGCTTGTCGCACTCCCTTACCGCATTCAGCCAGAAAATGCGACACTAACGACGCCGAGGCGAAGCTAAAATACGCAAAGATAGGGCGGAGGCGGAAACCCCAGGCTCGCTCGCTTCCATTCGTCTGGCTCCCTCCCTTATCTGATAAGCCTTCGACGCTGCCGGGTGCCGGATACGCCCCCGCCGACTGGCGGTTACTGGCGGTTACCCCATATTCCGCCATGTCCAGACTCCCAAAGTGAAATCCACTTCTGCTCACCATCCATCGCCTTCCGGCCTGATCTGTCCAAGTCTCTCCCTCATGAGTCTACAGGAAGAACCGCAGAAAAAGCGATTGAAGACTGGCATTACCCGTGTTCGCACTGGTTGCTATACATGTCGGCGGCGGAAGGTCAAGGTACGAATCTGTCAGATACAGAGTCGTGTGTCCCAATGTTGATTATCTCGTAGTGTGATGAAGCCAAACCGGCATGTCGAGCCTGTGGCCAGCTTGGTCTTCGTTGCGAGGGCTATGCACCACGTTACAAGTTCTGCGATCCCCAAACCTTTGAAACCATCCAGTGGGCTACAACAGTGGTGCCGGGGACAGGCTCTCCATCCCAACAATTATTATCGCCTAAATCATTAAGAGATTCTGAAACCTCACTATATCCTGCCAGTTCCGCATCGGTTGCGGGCTCAGACACTGCGAGCGATTTCCCTTCATCGGTAGTTGGGACCTTGAACCACAGCAAGCCATCTCTGGTCGAGTCGTCTGCCGCAGGCTCCCGAGCTCAATTAGACGCCAGCTTTCATGATCAGTTCTCCCCTTTTAGCGATAATATTATCGACACGGTTTATAACTTAGGCCTCACACACTATTCCGAGTCGGACTTCTATGTTGAACGGATGGATCGCTCGTCTGGCATAACGGACATGTTTCTAGGCGACATAGCTAGTCCCACCGAATGCGCCGGTACTATTCATATTTCAGCCATATCAGAGAATTCGCCGTCCAGTTTTAGCAATGACGTCTATCAGCCTTTACACTTAACTAATATGAACAATAATCAATCTCTTGGCGAGCTTTACCTAACGCAATGGCACAACGTCGTGGCACCTCTACTACCGTCGGTGTTTCATGACATCACTACAGATATGCCGGAATTTCCGCCTCTGAAAAATGCAGCTCTAGCTATTACAGCGGCCTACGTGGCCCACCTCGAGTCTTTGACGATCCGAAGGGCCCATAGAAGCAAAGAGTCATGTTATATACCACAAAAAGACCACCAATACCAAAGCTTGCAATACTATAATAAAAGCATTCAAGGCATTGGAAGATCTTTCGAAATAGCACAGGCGAATCCTGTCCACGTCCTAGCAGCATTACTTCTATCTTACTACTTCGAGCTAGATTCCGGGTCCTTCGCGGGTGGTATTGGGCACATGACCGTCATTGACAAATTTCTTGCCTCCAACCACGAGGAAATTAAGATAAATCCTACAGGGCAAAAGTTGCTTTGCACGTGGATGAATCTCCGCTCCCAGTTCGTGAATCGGTACCTTGGAGGATACAGGTCATCAGAGCCTCCTCATACAATCGACACATTCCCACTAAATCGCATGATAGATAATGGAGGGTCGCATCACGATTCCATAATTATCATGTTGTGTGATTGTAAATTATTGAGCCGAAAGATTATTCTCGACTGGTGTGTGACACGAGGGGAGTCTCGCAACGCTGGTAACAAGACTCCAATAGAAAATATACTTACCAAGACGTCACTTCCAAAATCACGGTATGATTCAATGTCCCAGTTGGCCATAATCGACGAGCGGTACCAGGATTCCTTAGAAAAGCAACGTGCAAGGTTAGATAAGTGGCACTCTGATCTCGATCTATCCGAGCTCCCAATAGACAGCTACACATCACAACGCAAGGACTTGCTCACCGAGCAATCGTCTAAACTTGACATATTTCCTTTGAAATTCCACAGCTTTGAGGCCGCGATGAACTATGCCTATTACGCACACGCTCAGATGTTATGCTCTGAGGAAACGATAGATCGGCTGGAAGATCCGGCATTTGTCGAGCCGGCCTTTACGAGAAAAGATTCCCCATGGGTGGAGCTTATACTACGCATTACTCAAGGACTTAATATCGCTGAGTGCATCTATAAGAACACTTTCAACGCCGGCATTCTACCGATTATTACTTCCTGCATGGTTGCTTGTCCTCGGGCGGACGTGGCATCATGGATTGAGGATTGGCTACGGAAAGTGGAAGACTTCGGTATTCCACTTGAAAGCGGACTGCCATTCGGGATAATTAAACGAACTATCCGTTTTATATTAAACCAGAGGCAGAATAGGCGTCATGTACTGCTTATCTTACCCCTAGACATTGAAGATGCGGAAAAGTCGGATCTTTACCACAGTGATTTCAAGATGCAAGTTGTAGTCTGCGGAAAGAACACACGAACAGGGAAGTTATATAATGAGATTGCTGAAATACCCGAAATATGAACAAAAATGAAAGCGATCCAGCCCTATCTCAGGCTTCTGCTGGCCAGTGACATTTGTTATACGCCAGATAACTGCTATTGGCTATCTTGCTGCGATGAGGCCTAAAGCCGATCCTCCTAGATTTGATTGAAAATTCATCTAAATTTAATAGTCTTGAGAAACTTACAATAAGAAACCTAAGCGTTTGCTCGAATTAGCTTATTTTAATCAGGTTTTATGGCAGCTAGGTAGGAATCAGAGACAGCCATACAGGATCTCGAGGCTTGGGTCTGTTGTTGCTGGTAGCCAAGGTGACTACGTCAAAGGGGTGTATTGCTGGATTGAAGTAGTCGAAGGGCAAAAGGCCATGGTTCCCCCCATAACAAGCAGCGACTAACGTGTAAGAACAGCTTTACTGCCTGCGTATTGTTACAAGAGGAATAATGGAGGCTGAAATATCTCGAGGCAGAATACCATGGTCACCTTGCATACGCACGATGAATTTTTCGCTTCAGAGGCAATAGAGGCAATTCAGAGTCAAATTTCCTCACAATCCCCTAATCCCTCACCCCCCATCCCCCATAGTCCCCCACCCAATAGGGATCAGGTTCTCCTACATCGCGTTGGGCGCGCGGCGGTAATTCATAGTTCACCATTGACATGTATGGTACGGCGTTTACCGCCAGCGTATCGAACGCAGGGGCCGGCCACTGGCCAGAGCTGGATTTCCGGCCCGCCCGGACACGCCAAGCCGGCTGGTGGTTGGCACTGCAGGTGAACTCGCTTTGATTGGCCAGCATACGCAGACAAACCGTGATCAGTATTGATAAACTCAGCATTCTCACATTTTATCCTCTCCTCCTCAATACTCACCTACGTCAAGGTAGGAAATCTATACAAACCGACATTACTTTCATAAGAACCTTTCACCAACCGATGGCTCTTTCAGCTGAAGCAATTATTGGTTTGGTAACCCTATTGGTCATGTGTCTTTGCGTTCCTGGCCTCTGGTCTTTCATCCGCCGCAATCAACTATTTCGACAAACTAGTATGAATTCTAATTTTCTTCTATTTTCTGTATCGTATGATATCAGCTGCTAATATTCTATAATTAGGAAATGCTGCTCTCACGCTGGTACAACATAATCAAATTCCTCAAAACATGGTAATTACATCGCGCAACCAACCGCTTCTTCCGCTTTGGAGAGAACCGGCCACTTTTGGGATGACATACTATAGATACACAGTCAGTAATTAATACATAGGTCTTTTTACCTTAAACCTTGCTATTAATCAACATTGAACGCATTAACTAATGGCATGGTTCTCTATAAAGACAGAAATCCGAAGTTACGAGATGTACTCGACGCAACCCTGGCCCGACGACCCTACCAGCTCTTGATATTCACATATTTGTCGACGATTGAACATAACTTCGTGTATGTTAGGAATGTTAGGGCGCTATATCTACATTGATTTATAGATATTCACATGTATACCTTGTTGCTTGCGATCAGTCTGCTCCTTCCCCGCCACATCAGGGATGCTCAAAAGGAAATAGACCGCTTTACTTTGCCCATATGAGGATCAGTGAAACGAAGGTAGAGTGTGGTTAAAGCACTTATTATACAGTTCAAGGACGATTTACCGTTATTTTCAAAATTTATGAAAAATTATGGCACGTTAAGAGCAAAGATACATTAGAGGCATTTGGTGGTACAGGTACAACCCCAAGGAGCTCCACATGGCACGGCGGCAACGAGGCGGCTCTCCCGAGATGCGCTAATCCGCATTAAGCGGTCGACGGCCGCAAGGTTTGCGAATAGCTTCGTCTTTAATTCATCTAGTTGACTTGATTTCCATACCTTTCTCGTTGGTGTTTTCCACTCTTCATCTAGTAAAATGTATTCTGGCATTATCAACTTATTTACTCGTCAACATTTATATTGTATATTCATAAGCAATGAAAAATTGAATCCAAAATCTAAATCCTCGCTTAATTTCACGAAAGTCGACCAAAATATAAACACGTTTCTGCCAAATCATCCAGACTCTGAAGTATTTCACATCTCTAGGACAAAGAGATATAGACCTTTTAAGAGTTGACGATGGCCATGTCGGCCAGGAGCCGTGGGTATCCCGATAGAAAAAGGAAAATTCAAAAACCAACCATGAGTTTTCTTTCTCTTTATAAAGAGAAAAGACGATCAAATTAATTTATTGATGGACCGGAGCATAATGAGTTGGAGGATATGGCGCTGTCGCATATTGAACGAATTCTGTGGAAGACAGTTCCATATTGCGTTTAGTTTTTGTCAAGACCCCGTTCTTTCGCTCTTTGCGACTAGGAAAGTTGCCATCTCTACCAGCCATAATAGATCCTGGATGGACAAAGTTGAATACAATGTTGGCAAGGAACATTGGAAGTGTATCAAGCAGATATTGGTAAATCTCGTGAGTCATGGTGGGGCCCTTCGTGCCTCCACCGAATTCAGCAAGACGGAAGATAACACGAACCTAGAAAAAAGTCAGAAGGGTTAAACAAATAAACAGATTGTTGTAATCATTAGAGGCCAAATTAAACATACGGTGATCATTAGCAGAGCGAAGTACAAAGCGTACAATAGCATATAAGCCATCCTGGGATTGCCTCCTTCTCGATTCATGGTTCGGTGGAAGTTGAATGCAAAGAAGAAGAAAACCAGAATAAAGAATTGCTGGATACCAATCCCACCCATGTAAATGTGGATTCCTTGTTCAATTATTAGTTTTCAGATAAGAGAAATCGACTTCGAGGGAACGGAAAATCATACCGGTCATCACTGCATTATAGTCGTTGCGTGGATTTGCTGTTTTAATTCCTCCAATAATCTGCACGAAGAAAGAGCTTGTAAAGTTGTTAATCCAAAGCCAGATCGGTGTTAGTGAAGAATGAGACATACAGAATATCCAAAAGAACAAAGATCAAGCCAAACCTCCACGGTTTGATTCCGCCAATTTTGGCATTGTTGGTGAAGTTCCAAACCATCCGTCCAAACACCATGTATACAAATGCGTTCGTGAATATCGGTGCGATCTATTAGAAATTTGTTATTAGATGGTGACTCCAGAAAAGTAGCAGTAATTCATGCTTTCAAGAAAAGGTAGCCGTACCAGAACTCCAACAAATTGAACAGCATAAGGCCCAAGGTCTGTCGGGTGATCAATACTGATGTAGCGGAAGATGTAAGATACGGTCTGCAGCGCTGCCGCTATTACAACAACCAGGCAGTAGGGTTTCCTGTGGAAGAACATTTGGAAAAAGTGAGCGACCGTCACTAAGGCGAACACCACGGCCATGATAGCGGCGCCTGTTTTCGAAGGACAAAAACTCCATAGCCGGTCTTGGTCGGAAACATCGACCGCTGTGGTGATCATCCATTAGCATTCAAAAGGTAAATTAATCAAAGATATGACCAATGGTACGAACCTGGACAGCTTTGTGCCATAGTTCCTTGTGCTATGTTTTTTGTATTCTTCTCGAACCCAACAGAAATCCCAGCCAAATACCGTGTGAAGCGAAAGGAATAAAGGTCAAAGATGCACTCGTAGCGCTTACTACCAACAAGTTTTGAATATCAAAAAGGGGATTGAAGCCAATTTATAGAAGGACTTCTGTGATCTTTACTGCCATTAAGATGGAAATGGTCCGTTCATACAAAATCATCCTACCAGGCTATGATATCTTTAGTTAGAGCACTATAAAAACGTTTGGCCGTACTAGGCGCCCGTGCCAGCAGATTATGCCGTTCTGGATTACGACTAAATAATGCGGAAGGGTCTTCGTATTCGGCTGGCGCCAGGAGTAAGGGCTGGGGCCAACCTTATTCTCGCCGCCTGTGAGCCAATCGCTATCGGAAATATAGTGCACTAGACCTAATATGGGTATTTTCCTGGTCCCCACCATCAGCTTAAAGCATACAGCCCAACATTTCTCTAAAAATAGTCGAATCAGCCCCCTAAGGTTTCTAGCGCGTTACAAAAGCCTTATGTTGACACTTAATTCTCTATGCTTTGACTAGGGATCTACCACGTTCCCTGGCCAGCGGACCTAGCCAGCGCTATCTCGGGCCCTCGACCTCCTTAAATTTACAGAGTAGCCATTAAGCAAGCATCTACTTGTAAATTAGCGAATCGATTTCCCAAAAGATGTTTTCAGCCGCAGCCGAAGTGGAAACAAAAATTGCCAGCAAATCAGGTCTATTGGCCAGAAGCATGCATTGACGTGTCCCATCTAGATAATAATCCTAAATATAACATCAAGAATTCGTCTATCTTTTGCAAATATAGTAACCGAAGATTGATCGTTATTGAGTGCTAGCATAGTATTATGCCTTTCATCGTGATTATATCGAGCCTGCACCATACGTTAGCAAGGCATGTTCAGCAATAAAATTGTTGTGCTAGACCTAATCTCTACTTTGCTAGGCGCCTCTTAGTCAGTGAGAAAAGTTTCTAGGCGTGGCTGTCAGAGCCTGCAAAATTGCAAGGGGTGTTCGTACACTACTTGGTAGTAATTAAATTATCGCCATAGCCCCAACGATTAAACGCACTAGTCCCTGATCTAGACCTATTTTGGGATAAAACATACCAAGAAGTAAGTGGCTTAGTAAGATTTGAATTACCCATCGCAAAAGTATTAACTGTAGAGAACGGAAGGAACTGGCAACATCATTTGGGGCCAGAAAACCTTATGAATGGAAAGGCAAAATGGCTTCAAGATCTGTGTTGAGCAACAACAATGATAACAACACCGACAAGGTTTCATTATATGAACAATTGGGTCAGAAATTCACGAATTGAAACCGAAGCTTTGCTTATAAACATATGAGATTACTATGGTTTTGGGAAAGGCGATCAAAACTTTAGTCAAAAAGCCGTGTTCTTTAGATCAAATTAGGAAAATATTGTAATACTCAAAATTGAAATGTAGCATAAAAGTAACCTGGTCAAAATTCAACTTCATATCAAATACTTAATTGTATGGCAAATCAATAGAACTCTTGGTCAATAATTCTGTGCTACACTATCTATTTTTACTATTACATTGATTCCACCTCAGAATCTTGTGCCTATGCATCTAGAATATTTCTCTGTTAAGGTATGCCGCTCGTTCGTCAATGAGATACCCATGTACCCAGAGCCAAATGAACAAGCTTTGCTTCAGGAGGGGCAGTCTGATATAAGACTTAGTAATACTTTAATTCGTTCCATGCCATAGCTATAGGCTCAGATAGGGTGTATCTCTTTCAATTAAACTTTTTTTGCTTCTAAATCGGATACCCTTTCGATTCACTACATACACCAGACATTGTTAATTGATGCATCTCACCTAGTCACAACATTAAAGTTTATATATATCGATTGATACGACTAATAGCTTCCTTTTTATCTTTCATCATTATTCAAGATTATATCCATAAATAGAGGATGGTTTAATATTTTCAAAACATAACATTTTTCATATAATGCAATAAATAACATGTTAACTCTTCTACGATGATATTCATAGAGCAGTCACTTTAATGTCGACATTGTAAAAACCAACATCAAATTCAGGATACTTCCGGGTCAGTCAATTCCCGTCTTTTGAGCGGATGCCCTTCGCATTAAGACAGCATTTAATTAGATAGTGTTACATCCCAACTACGTTATCCGAAAAAGTAAAGCGAAAACAATTCCCCGTAAACAATACCATCATTAGGAGCCGTCATAAGTGTGGGGTTTCCTTATTTCACCCCACGGAATACCTCTAAAGACTTATTGGTTGACAGTTTTGTACAACACTACCCCGCCGACTACTGCGAGACAATCAAAGAACGGCCAACAAGTGCCTTCGTGAGGGGAACGTTCAAAGCTTCATGGAATCATGCAGCCTTTCATGCTCAAACTTGATGACGGGGAGTCACCTCTGGGCGGCTCTCTATTCCTGTAAAGCGTTCGTCGGATAAATTTAGACCTCTCATTATTTGCCTTCACGGCGGTGGATATGACGCTGAATATTTTGACAGCGATTCTGAGCACTCAATTGCCAGCGTCTCTGACGCCTTAGGTATTCCAGTAATATCAGTCACTCGCCCGGGGTATGGTGACAGTACCATGCCTTTTGCGAAGGAAGATACAGACGATTGTTGTGAAACATATTCTGAGAAGCAAGGAAAAAATGAGTGAACATACGGCTCGCCTAAACAAACCAATTCCTTTTGGCGAAGTCTAGGATATTAATGGAATTTGGATCTAATCCTGGCAGAAGTACTGCAGAGCTGTCAAAGTTCCGGTTATGCATGGGTTAAGTGAGTTTGATAGTCTTTGGCTCTCAACCCCAGCAGCCATGCAGAGCTACCAAATGGCGTTCATTTCGTCCCGAAAGACTGAGGTGGTATTTGTGTCTATGGCCCCTCATTGCATTGAGTTAAGTCTCCAAAATAGAGCGTGGTTCACTAGATGTTGTGGTTTTGCTATTGAGTCTGTGGTCCTAGAAGGGCTGAGCAAAGGTTCCTGATTCGATGAGATAGTCCATATTTTGTCGAACTTTTAACCATTAGACCGAAAGGGCGCAACCCTTACGTAGTAAGGATTCTAGTGGTATTATAGTCGTATATTTAGTCTGACATATTTTGAGATCACGTGGTCATGATATTTTACAAGCTTTTCATTCGGTAAACAATATTATTTTACCTCAACTCTATGTCAGAACAGTTACTCAAAGCTGCTGGGCAGTAGCTACTGAGATAATGGTTCTCTTTAGCTCACTGCGTTATAATATGTTTTCTGAAATTTTGGATAAATATACTCCATCTCACAATGATAAGGTTAAAAATTGGCTAACAGAAATCAGAATAAAGAGCATTTATAATAGTTCACAGCTTGCATCATCTTGGTGCCCCTAGTCTTAACCTCCTATTGGGGTCATCTGATACAATCATTGCCAAGACTTTAGTCACCATCAAACCCATGTTTTTATGATATTTTTATTATTTGTTTCTTGAAAGTTAATACAGACTTAGTATGTGTTGTCTGTGTAATAAAAGCAAGAAAAATTGTCATGTGTGAAAGGTTTGGATTACCTTTGTAATTTGTCATACGTTAAGATATTTTGTTGTTAAACAATGTCTTACCTGCGCTGTGTTCGCAATCCTTTCTATTGTACCTGCATGCAGCGTTGCGTATCCGCACACCTACTTGTTCAGTGGGACGAATCCGCTTTAGGGCTTTCTTGCTCCTTGTGCCCAATGCACTTTGACTTTCAGCTGGTAAATTCTATTGATTTTTTTCACTTAACTTAGTCTACTACTGGCCTTAGTTAGTGATATAGCATTGACAATTTGATATAAAATATAGGAGCACTAAAGTTACTATAGCTAAGTCATTTCGCCCGCCCAATATCGCAACCCTGTGGTTGCGATATTTTTATCATTCATTCTTTTTACCAAATACATGCTGGTTTTAATGGATAAATTTAGATTATGTCTTATTCAAATTACTTATTACCGTAAGATACGTCAGATAACAGGAAGTTTCTTTGTTCTCGTTGTAAACCGATTGGGCCTAAAGCCTGGGGTTTCCAATATCGATCAGGCTACACCTCGGTTATTTGCATAGCCAGGCTTTCATTTCGTGGTCTGTACAGCGCATTCGGATGTCTGAATACGTGGGCCGGCTAGTTACAGCTACACAGACATCTGGAGCATCGATGTTTCACTGCGACCCCAGAGTTGTAGCATACAACTGTTACTTTTCGGTCGTTTAAGTTTTCTATCTCTATCTTGGTAATTGACATGTTTGTGAAATTTATTTTCAATCTTTCGAGACTATGACCGTTTATTTAGGCAGGGGTCGAGATCGCTGCCCAAACCTATATAAGGGCCAGTCTCGTCCTTCAAATGTAGATCAATTCAACCTAACTTCTACAGCAAATTACTTTGCATAGTTGCTGTTCTATCTACTTTATTTCAATAAACCATGGGGTTCTTCGCTAAGTCCTTGATATACTTCCTCTTCGTAGGGGCTGCGACTGCACGCGTCATCAATGAGCAGGAGGAGGGAATCATTGAACCAGGGCATGTTATCAGAAACGACAAGGGCTTTGATATTGTGGCTGCCAAAAATCCAATTATTGCCCCAACTTCCACAACCTCTATCATTAAAGTTGGCCGTGCGGACACCGTCACCGCGGGAGCGCCTTCTCCTACACAATCAGGTCTAACTTCTAACTGTGACGCCTTCTACTTTGTCGAGTCTGGCGATTACTGTGCCGCTATTGTTTCAAAGTTTGGGAACTTTACACTTGATCAGTTCTACATTTGGAACCCGTATGTTTGATTTTTAATTTAATTCCTTTTATGGATACATGAGACCTTCTTTCATTCTTACTACTAACACATTCATAGAGCCGTGAAGTCTGACTGTTCCAACTTGCTAGCTGGGTACTATGTCTGTGTTGGGATTTCAGGTACTCTTATCATTTCTACATGCAGTAGTATTTTCCCTACTAAATCAAGTACTTCAGCTTCGACTCCATCTCCAATTCCATCTCCAACGCAAACCGGCATTGCTAGCAACTGTATGTATAAATACTCTAAAGTACCAAAAATATCAACATATTCTAATTCAACATTGGAAAACAGGTAACGATTACTACAAGGTTCAGTCAGGAGATACATGTGTGGGAATTGCCAACGACAATAAGATCAGCCTTTCCGAGTTCTACAGTTGGAATCCAGCTGTAGGGTCTAGTTGCCAGGTTCTCCTGACTGGCTATTATGTCTGCGTGGGAGTCAGTGGTGGGAAAAAGCTCTCCAAACGGAAATTCAATGGATTCGGTCTACTGGAACGAGAAGGCATCCCTACAGCCATGGTGACAGTCACACCAACTTGGGCTGCGGCTCCCTCACCTACTCAACCTGGCATCGTCTCTGGATGCACGGAATACTACAAGGCAGAGTCTGGAGATACCTGCATCTCCATCGTATCGGACCACTACCCTATAATTACTGTCTCTCAATTTGAAGGCTGGAATCCAGCCGTTGGGAAAGACTGCAAAACTCTCCTCGTAGGATACTATTACTGTGTGGCGGCGTGAAGTTGGCAAGTTGCATTGATCGCTTGGATTGACTATCGACCTATTACAATTGAGGATTTGTGGCGATGTTTTTATCGAAATCATTTGCTCGGTAATATGCCTAGACCGTTCCAATGTCCAAGTAGAGAAGTATCAATTGATCGTGACTAAAGACATTACAGCAACTTCCATAAAAGTACTTGAGTCTTTGTCCGCTAGCCAGATCTGGTCTATTTCTATATATAAACAATAATCACTATATACATATTTATGTTCTATCCACCAAAGAATAAAGGGCACGGCTATGCAAATCCCATAATCTGATCCTGGGGTATTTAAAAGAGTAAAAACGAAATAACAAGAAAAGAAAATCAGCCCTGCACCAGTGTATCGACCTGAGATTTCACTATTTCACTCTCGGCGACAGCAGGCGATAATGATGATACCTGAACTGGTGCAGGCCCCTTACTTTCTTTCTTCAACTGTTCGGCCTTACGTTGGTCCTTCTTGCTAACAGTCATAGCCCCAATGGCGAACGCCTCATCTGGAAGCGGTCTAATGTGCGGTTGACAGATCCACCAAGGTCGACTATACTCCGCGATTGTAGCCTTTGACCCCTCAAGCTTTTCGCGATTGTGTTGACTGTCGAATTGCTCAGGATTTTTCTCATATTCTTGAAGGCCTTCCTTCACCGCTTGTTCCACCATGCTGAGAATATTTTCAAAAGCAGCGATATCACCGTTGGCAGATTTGGCTAGAGCATCACGAATATGCGTTTTAGTTGAAACCATGGGCCGAAGAAGTTGGAATAGATGGCCTTGCATGGCACACAGGCTGGGATCATTAACTTTCACTTTATTCTTTCCTTTCTGGCGCTTTTGTTTCTTTTTCGGTGGTCCTTCTTCTTCTTCTCCTTCTACCTCAACAGGCTTCGTTTCATTTTCTTTTTGAGTAGAGTCGACCGGATCGGATGGAAGGAACAATGGCTTCCTCACAGGGACCGCATCACGTAAGACATATCGATGAATGATATCAAGATAACGACGGAAAACTGCATCTACACGATATCCTCCTTTCCCGTTGCGACCGCGCCAATACTCCCGGCCTTCACATCCCACAGGAGGCACTTCACTGAAAATTGTAGGATCCGAGAGATTGCCTTCAGCGCTCATGACACCATCTGCACCTGTGGCTTCTAAACATTTTTCAATATCCCCATTATTCAAAACATTTCCGTTTGCGAAGATAACAGTGTCGGGAGGTAAATTTTCTCTCAAGTAGCGGATGTAAGTCAAATCAGCAACACCGGTATTGTGACCTTTCTGCTCTCTCCTTCTACCGTGAACGGTGATGATACTAGCACCCGCCGACAAAATCATTTTCGCGTATTCCAGCGTCTTTTCCTTTGTTTCTTGAATGCGAAATTTGGCTGTTACCGGAATGGGAAGCTCTGTGTGTAGCTTATTGATCAACTTGTATATTAAATCCCAGTTCTCCTGTAAAAATGCGCCGTAGTTTCCCTTGCGCGCAATTCCCTGCGGACATCCAAGATTGAGATCGACGGCATCGCAGTAAGGAGCTACATGGTGAGCGGCTTGTATAAAGTCTTCTGGGTCGTTTGAGCAAAACTGCACAAAGAGTGGGCGATCGATGGCGGGGTTGCCGTCAAGAAAAGGTGTCACTGTTTCCCCATCAACCGCGCGTGTAGGCTGGAAGAATTGAGCACGGAATCCCGCAGTTTCTTTAAACAATCGAGCGTGGAACATTGGGGAATACGCAAGAAGAGGGTTTGGCGCGTGTTTTTTCATGTAGGAGCGGGTGAGCATTCTCCATGCCTGAGAAGCATTAGCTTATCAAATGTGAAGGTAGAGACAGGGCATAGTAATAGCCTACAAATTCAGATCTGTCTACCATAGGCGCAACAATGAATTTTGGGCTTCCAATACTCTTGTAAAATTCCCTCCCCGTCAACTTCGGCCTTGCGGGCTGTGCGGGCTCTGTCGTTGGGGACGGCGTCTTGACAGGTTCTTGCGCCATTTTCAGGACTGCAGGTAGTCGCGATCTGAAGTATTTCAGGCCCCAAACTGGGGGTTTGATGTGGAAAATCCCTATTTTGAAAGATTGGCGTCTTCCCTTTCTTTTTGTATGATATGAACAGTGTGGTGTAAAAAACAGCATGGAATAAATTTGGGCCAAATTCAATTTCCGCCATCACCGCAGCGGAATAATGTTATCCCGAAGCCTTATCTTATCGGGCTGTGGGGGTGTAGGTACAGTAAATATTGAGCCCTGGATACCGCGCCACGGTAGAATAGTTGCTAAAAATGATCGGTTTGGTTGTTACAATAGTTCGAGCTTGACCATGGTAGCTCCTCTATATATCCCGGGTCCATATTTTAATCAGTTATACAATAATGGCGTCTCAAAGCAATACAGGTATATCTCCTCCCCTGTCTAGTCCCTCGCGCTGCTAACCTCCAACCTAGGTCCTTCATTGATATCAATCTCACATGGCGGTGAATATACTGTACAGATAAAAAAGAAGGAAATATGGATACATTCTGCAGTGCCGATTGAAGGGACACGATTTCTTCAGTCCAGCAAACTTAAGGAACCCCTCAGTACACAATTAAAATTTCTCAAGATATCAGGGTCTGGTGCAACCAGTGACGGTGAAAACAAGCCCAACACCACCCAACACGAAGAACCATTGGATCTTGCTTCCCATTACCGTATCATATGTGGCAGCGAAAGTCGAATTTCCGTCTGGCAAGTGGATTCGCTTGAATGGCACGCAGACATCGAGAATATCGAGCCAAGCTTAACTTCTGTTGACTTTGGAGCGAGTGATGACGAAGCCATTCTTTTTCACGCGTGGAGCTCAAAAGCGACTATCTTCAATCTTGATTCTGCAAAAAGTCTTGTTATCAAGTCACCCAAATTCTGCAATCCAAGCAGCCAAGGGTACGGCTATCGGCCGAGGACAAGGCAACTTGCTATTCTGCTAAAACCAGAAACTAGTGACTTGCTGACAATCCATGAAGCTTGCTCCTATGAAACTATTTCAAAGGTCATCCTGCCAACAATTGATGCTCAGGGATTGAAATGGAGCCCGGATGGAAGATGGATCGCTATCTGGGATGCCGCCAACAACGGTACAAAGATACTCATTTACACAGCTGATGGTCAGCTATTCCGAACATACTCCGGACGACCAGATACAGAAACGACGCATGATCTCGGTATTAGATGTATAGAATGGGCACCTCTGAAACGTCGGCAGCAAAGCTCTGAACTGTTAGCTGTTGGTAAGTTTGATGGGACAGTAGACCTACTTAATACTCGAACAGTATGTGGTTTTCAGATTTTTGAAATGACAAGCTTTCACTAATTCAGTTAGTTCTCATGCTCTACAACACTCTTACATACCTTTCAAATCGATACCCAATCACCCGCAGTCTGGCGGGAGCGTATGTCCTTTGAGGGAAAACTCGAATACGCCGAAGCCTCTTCTTCATCGGCTTTTACTACAGCTAGTGCTGACTCTGCGGGATTTCCTCGTGGAGTTTCAATGCTACGGTTCTCATATAACAGCGACTTCCTAGCTACAGTAGACCAAACTCAACCAAACATCGTCTGGATTTGGTCTTTAAGTGCCTCTATTAATCTTAAATCAGCCTTGGTACATGAGCACAATGTCAGAAATATTGCTTGGCATCCACGAGAGCAAGAGCTACTTATTACAACGGCCAATAGCACTTTCGCTGCAGTACACGTTTGGTCACAGGACCGCAACCCGAATATTGCGGGGGTTCCGATTTCGCGTAGTGAGGCAGGAAGATATGATGTCACTTGGGTAACAGCGACTGCTCGCGGTGAGCCAGATGTATTCTGGTTCAACACGGCTGATGATGCTGTTCTTGGTCATCTTTCAGTAGGTGACGATGGGCATGGGTATTTCAACATGCTCCATTCTGTTAGTGGAGACGGTTACCCTCAAACATAGAGAGAATACTGTTCCAAACTGATATCAAAAATTTTATTTTCTTAAACACTTATATGGTCATAGCAGAGACAAATGATAGACCACTAATTGACATCGCCTCATATACTTCGATATAATGGTTGCCATTAAAACTCTGACGCCGCATTTTGGATATTTCTCACTGTATCTAAACCAGCCAAGATCAAATCCAGATTATTCGATACCTCTGTAGGATCATCCAACGCCGACGGGCATGCAATTCGCGTGAGCTGCATAAGAAACCATTTACGGAAGGAATCCGGTGAGCTATTTCTTGCACCAACAGCCAAGCACCAAATCAGAGCACCTGGTAATGGCCCATGATAGTTGTCCACCTTGAATTTCCAGAGAATATTTCGCAATTCATTAACGGATTTTTGCTGTGAATAGTCATCATGTACCTCCGAAGCAAATAGGAAGATAGCGTTCAGTAATATATGGTCTAATTCCATTTCCACGCAGTAAGGGGTTGACTTCAACATGACTAGGTTATCATGAAGGAAATGCCAATGGATCAGGGTACGCTGACGCCTGACTGGGTCATCGGACGAGCGGTGATAGCATATAGATAGAGTAACCAGCTGATAAAAATCACTGAGCAGGCGGAGAGTAGATATATTGATTTGCCGTGACCATAAATCCTTTTGACCTTGTTCGAACGTAAACACTTTAAAATCATTAGGTAGAGACAATGGATGACTATGTTGATCATATCGCCCAAGAGATATTGTGTCGAGTGGAGAAGGCGATTCCGAAAAGCCTTTGATCACTTTTTCAAGTTGCTCGATTCTAAACATGAATGAGTGTCTGTTGAAGGTGACATATTAGATCAAAGGCGATTTGAACACTTACGCTAACAAACTAATCTTCAGGTTACCGTCAAACCCTAATTTATCTAACCCTCCTCTTGATTCAACTAGGCGGTAAATAATGCCTTTGTATCGATTATAAACCAATTTATCGCCATTGACAATCTATCACAATCAGCGTTAATAACAGTTAAACTAATTGCACCAAACTATATTTACCTCAAATGCCAGTAGTGTCATAAGTGCCGTGATATTAATATCGCTGCCTGACGATTTCGAATCCGCTATAGAGTCTGATATTATCCCCTGAGTTATTCCTCTCTGAAAAAGTGTCAATTCACTAATTTCACAATCCGGGCCATTGAGGTCGTCCCAAGCAGTGGCATTAACGAGCTTGGCGCTCATCAGCGGTACATGCACAACCATAGCTGGGATCATAGAGCGCAAAAACGGATGTACATATGCGCTCGACTCGATGTATTGGCGGAAAACTTTACAACTACTTGTCAAACTAAAGTAATTTGACATTTAATTGCCGATCCCTTATGGCATAATCAGACTTACAAGCTTTCATCCTTTCGCATATAGCTTCAGAAACAGGCAGCCACGATAAATCCACCGTCTTTGCCAGCTGTCTTTCTGGCGATCCCAGTGCCGGTGGATAAGACACTAGCAGTGAGCTTGTTGTCGCCTTTGCTGGTCTCCGTCTCTGTTGGTGGACCTCATGTCGAAGGCGGGAGTTTCTGATATGCGATCGCACATGACTAATTCTTTTGTGCTTATTCTCTTGCGGTGATCCCGTAATGATCACAAATGACGAGTCTCCAATTTTCATATCCATGACAGGGCCAGGCTCGGATAATTAAATTTGGCGCTTCCAGACGTTGTTTTGCCCAATTCTGTCAGCCTATTGTACGTACGTCATTGAAAATGCAGCTGAAAAATAGTCTGCGTGATGTCCATATAGATTAGCGAGTTTATTTCTAAGTAAAATTTGAAGGAAAAGTGTCGCTATGCGAAAATAACGAAAGATGAAGTTAGAAGGCTGACCAGATGTGGCGAAAAAGGAATAGCGAGAAGTTCTGATTGGAGGAGGAACTAGTACAAATTCCTAATTCGGTCTAGCTTGAACCACTAGACTATTTACAACAATTGCCGTATTAAGACACATACGAGAAATCCGATTTCGAAGCATATTGAATCCAGCAAGAATAAAACAGTGTCATAAACGCTGTTCAGAAAAACTATATATATGGTCAATTGAATCTGTCACAATGATACATCTGCATTCTACGCTTTAATTCAATTTCACCCACTGAGAGTAAACACGAAGTGAAAATTACTAAAAAATGACCGCCCCTTCAACAAAACTAGCCTCGACAGCTGTCTGGTTTGGTAAGTAGTCTCATGCCTCAATATAGTCTCATACCTGACTGGAATTACATAGTCACCGGATGTTCCTCTGGATTGGGAAAAGCCATAGTGCAGACTGCGCTCAATGCTGGTCAGCATGTTGTAGCAACGGCTCGCAACGTGGACTCCTTATCTTACCTCCCTGACAGCAAGAAAGTTCTCAAACTAAGGTTAGACGTCACCTCCAAAGAATCCATTGTCAAAGCCATCAGAGAAACGGTTGAAAAACATGGGCGACTGGACGTGGTAGTCAATAATGCCGGATATTCCCTCACGGGCGATACTGAAGCGATACCAGAGGAAGATGCGCGGCAACTAATCGAGACTCTCTACTGGGGACCTGTATTCATTATGCAGGAAGCAGTTCGAGTCTTTCGAGAGGTTAACCCTCCAAATACTGGTGGAACAGTCATCAATATCAGCTCGATGGGAGGATCAATAACAGTGGCGGGTAACTCCTTCTATCATGCCGGGTAAGATTTAATGGAATGCACCGCTGCAATGTCAAAGAGATCTAACATAATGTGAAACAGGAAATTCGCTCTTGAAGGATTCACCAAATCAATTGCGCAAGAGATGAAGCCAGAATGGAATATTCGATTCATGCTTGTCGCTCCAGGAGGGGTACGGACAAATTTTGCCGGGTCCAAAACGAGCAGCATGAAGGTCCTACCTCGGCATCCAGCCTATGACAGCCCATCTCATCCGTTGACACAGCTGCTGAACTATCTCGAAATGCCAGGAGTTGGCGATACTTGGGGAGACCCGGAGATCTGTGCTAAGCTGATGTACGACACGGTTGTGGGAAAATATGACCGGCCTTTGCCGACACGGTTGTTAATGGGGGGTGATGCTGTCCGACTAGTGAAGCAGGACATTGAAAAGACATTGCAGGAGATAGAGATATGGGAAGCTGAGAGTAAAATTTGCTCGCCCAATGGTGGAGCAGACTTATCAGGAGCTGGCAAATAGTTAGATAGGAAAATTGTGTCACGTGAAAAAGAATTGTGTAGTATCTATTATATCAAGATAAATTAATAAATCATCATGAACACTGATTGCTTGATGTTGTATTCTTGATGTTGTGTTGAGTTGCACGTCTAGCCGCATATGATTGGCCTCCGAAGCCCATAAAAACAGTTTCACGTGACACGTCGCTTAGGGCAGGCAAGCTTAGTCATCCCCCACTCAAATTTCGCACTGGCGATAAGTCCCGGCTCGATGCTTCTTCTCTCTTCCCGTTGAAGAATCACGACAACCGACAAAATGGTGCGTTACCTACACCCTCCCTCCTGAGAGCGAGTTACCAATCCAATCCGAACTTTACCAACTAACGAAAATCCTCTCCTCTACAGGCCCCAGCAGCATCTACCGGTGGCAAGAAGCAAAAGAAGAAGTGGTCCAAGGGCAAGGGTACGTGAATTGCCAAAGCATCAACCTTTTCCTGGGTATTTCATCGGCAATCGTCGTTTTCGGACCGAAGTGGAATCATTATTTTGTCGGATTTGTCTGCGATGATGATGGTTAGCCGGGAATGGGAACGACGACCGCCGATGAATTGGGGAACGGATGGTGTATGATTGAGAAAAATAGGGACAGACGCTGACTGTTTCGTATAGTCAAGGACAAGGCCAACCACGCCGTTGTCCTCGACAAGACCACCTCCGAGAAGCTCTACAAGGATGTCCAGTCCTACCGCCTGATCACCGTCGCCACCCTGGTTGATCGTCTCAAGATCAACGGCAGCTTGGCCCGTTCGGCTCTTGCTGACTTGGAGGAAAAGGGATTGATCAAGAAAGTCGTTGGCCACTCGAAGATGAACATCTACAGTATGTTTTGCTCTCCAAAGTAACCTATATTAGGAATGCTAATGCCTATTCTAGCCCGTGCCGTCACCGCCGAGTAAACGGTTTCCTTTTCGGTTCGGTTGTGCTTGCAAATTCAATTAATGGTGTTTTTGTTTTATCTATGACGAATTAAATACCTTTTCTCTCCCATAATGTGCGAGAACCACATGGTCAGTGGTTGAAAACGACTACGACAGTTCGGACGGATACAGTTATGGACATGTCAAATAAAAACGAGACGAGATTTTCAATTAATCGAACTCGGAAATTCTTCCAATAAAGTCATCTTGCCGTATAATATTTATCGTTAAAACCGTTAACGCCAGTAATGCATATATATATCCCATGTTGGACCCTACAGTCTCCTGGGCGAGTGTCCCTATACAATCGTGATGACCTCAGAGCTGTTTATTCAGCTCACTCCTTCGGGGTCTGTTATGCTGTGCCCCTTCACACAACACCAGCTTCTCTGTCTCCCTATCTTCGTCATCCTCTAGAATCACATGACCGACGGCGAAATACTTTTTATGATTCGAGTAAAACCCTACCCAGTGACTGACCTGTGCGCGCACCTTCTCTCGTGCCTCGTTTACCTCTGCTTCATGACGACGCTGTTTCTCTCCCTTTGTCAAAGCCCGTTCATGCTGCGAGTCATCATCGTCTTCGATGGGAATATACATTTCCTCAACACCCGTCATGTCATTGGTAAGATCTTCTTGGAAGCAGCCGGTCACGAAAGCTCGTGAGGCGTCCCTGCCGACGAAGAAGTGATAGCCACCGCCGGGTCCATAGATACTAGGGTTTGCGGAGACGTCAATGATAGTGCCATTGAGAGCGAGGTAGATCGGTAGCGAAGGATCAGACCCATTGTAGAGAGCAAGTTCGGAGGGGGTCAGGTTGACTGGTCCTTTCTATGTTTGGCAAGTGATTAGTGCCAATCCTTTTCCTTCGCGAAAATCGAGGGGCGCAAAGGCTTACGAGAAATTGCTTGATGCCATTATATCGCATCCACCAAGGCCGCTGGCTTTCGAATCCCCAGACGTAGCTCTCGCCAGCAGTTACATAGTAGCTCAACCCAACAACCAAAACCACCAGGGTCACGATAACACGGATGACATCGAGTAGCGAAATGCCAGCTTCCTCATCGTCATCATCCGCGTCTGTCTTGTAAACTTTTCCCTTGCTGTGTTTTCCTTTGCTGTGTTTTCCTTGTCCTGCCTTTTCATTCTGGTTCCGCTCTTGTTGCTGTGCTGTCGCTCGTGTGATTTCGGCTTCTTCGTCGGTGTCCACTTCGACGACTCGAGGCTGTGCAGAGTCCGGGGGATTGTTTCGGCGGTTGCGAAGGTTTGGTGGCATTTTGATCTTGTTTCTTTTTCTATCTGTTTCGCGTCTGGGTCGAAATATATCTAAGTCTGCAATGGCAACAACGCTGGCAATCTGGTCTGTTTTGAATGGAAGAACACTACAGGGGTGGAGCCGAGCCTTGGACTGTAAGACGGCCCGGCGCCTTCCATCCCGGACATCAAATGATTAATTACACGCTTAGAGATGAACTACTTAGTAATAAAATACTTCATTTCTTTATTCGTCGACATCAATCATGATTTTTATTTAATACATTAAGCGGTCGTTGCAAACTCTTTCAGATACGCAGCCAGTTTCTCAACGCCTGCTTCAGGAATGGCATTGTAATTGGATGCGCGAATGCCTATTTATTCAATTAGCAACTCTCTCCCTTCATAGAGGAAAGCAACGACAACTCACCACCAACACTACGGTGTCCCTTTAGACCCAGTAGCGCTCTATCATTGGCCCCTTTCAGGAAAGCCTTTTCAGCCTCGTCGACATTGCCGCCCTATTGCTTCCAGTTAGTCACGCGAGTAGTATAATGTGGTAGGTACTTTATGCGATACCTTGATCACTCGGAAGCAAATATTCATTCTTGAGCGCACAGCCTTGTCGGGGACCACTCTGTACACCTCGGGGTATGCATCGAGGGTGTTATAGAGAAGAGCCGATTTCCTGCCCGCCACAACCTCCTGGCCTTGCACTTTATCTGGGAAAGATGCGAGGAGCTTCTTGAGAACTTGGCCGGCCACGAAGACACTAATGAAGAGTAAACAAATGAAGATAATCTAACGTTAGAACAGAAGAACTTACTCGAAGATGCTCAGGGTGTTGTAGAGACTGTTATTCTTTGCAATGACAGAATAGTCGAGGATAGTAGGCGGCACAGGTAGCCCAAGCTTACGAATTAACTCGGCAGTGTTTTTTCCAGTCAAAAGCGAAACCAGATCTTTCCTGACAATCACGGGCGTGATTCCTGTCGAGCCAAGGTTTTTCTGTGCGCCAAAGAACACAATGGAGAAATATTCAAATGGAATTCTACGTGAAAGAATGGTCGAAGAGAAGTCTCCAACAATCACAGTTTCATCATCTGCCGCCTTTGATTGCAAAACCTTGGGGAAATGAGGCCACTCGACGCCGTCGACCGTCTCATTCTCGCAGAGGTAGATCATGGCAGGTCGATCGCTCAATTTCCAAGCTGACTCTTCGGCGATTTTGCCAAATTTTCCATCATTGATCTTGCGTGAGTCCGAAGCGACATTGACGTAGTCTGGGCCTAGTAAACGGACGGCTTCTTGGCTGGCTTTCAACGACCAGGAGCCAGTGACTAGATAGTCCAAGTGCAGGTCTGCTTTGACTTTTTGCTGGAGCTGCTCAAGTACCTCGGCGTCGCTGGCATTTGCCTTGCTTTGGATAATATTTTGCCTCTGCTTCTCGACCCAGATCGAGATAGTGTTGTAGATAGTTGCATCGAATTGACCCGAGCCACCGCCTATTTAATAAAGGTCAGTACTCCACGTTCTTTTCATGGATGGAGTTGGTGTCGAGTACCATGCATAATCAAGACCTCATGCGATGCGGGTACATTAAGAAAATCCACCAAATCAGCCTTCATATTGTTCACGATATCTGCAGCCAGTTGACTACGATGACTGTGCTCTGCAACACCCCTAGAGACATAATTAGCTCCAGTCTCTCGCCTTTCAGATTAAATAGCCAGCAAGCAGCTTACAATCCAGTCTCTTGATAGTTCTGCAATGCCTCCGCCGCGGTCGCCAGAACATCAGTAGGCAAAGCCGCCGGGCCAGCGCCGAAATATACCACGTCCTCTCTCTTCATTTTGTGAACTTATTCTTTCCTCAATTGACCGAAGGAATGAGAAAGAAGTTGGCTGTATTTATGACTGGAAACCCAGGCAATTGAATTCCTGTCCAGCATGAGTCAGATCAAGCAGACAAATACTAAAACAATTAACTTCTCTGCAAACCCCACGGCCAAGCTGCAGCTCGCGTCCCATTGGCCATTCGGCCACCGCCCGGCCGGCCTGATTGGTCGCAGATGCTTTTCTATGCCTTTTGCCCCCGCCGTAATGCGAAAAAAAGAAGCTCCGGTTGTTGCCCCACCATTCAGGCAGGAATCGTGACTGTAGCGATGTTGTAATGGAATTGCAATTATTTCTATGTTGAAGAAAGATGATTTTTTAATTGGCTGAGGTATATCGGGTCATTACTACTTGTACATCCATACTTGCATACCGTAGATCATTAAAAACCTCACTGCCAAGCTCGGGAATTACTCGGCGATCGCTTCATGGGCTTCCTCGACTGCAGGCTGCTCTTCAGCTGGCCGATCCCACGGACGAGAGAAGATCTCGTTCAGCGCGTCTTGAAAAACACGGCAGTTCATATCAATGAGTCCCTTCTTCTCGTTGGCGTCAGGGTTGTGGATGACAGAAACAAGACAGAGGTATCTGGTGCAGTCAGCACTTGTCCTAGAATTGTATTGTAAAAAATGATAAGATCAGGAAGCATATACTTGTTCATTTCCATCAAATGGATCATGCAATCATTCTGCAGCACGACATGAGACTCAGCCTCGCGCATCTGGTCGCCCTTGGGCTTGCGGTTCGGGTGCTCCCACGAGTAGAGCTCGGAAATATCAACAATCACGTCGATATAATCAGAACACATCTCATAACAGGACATATCGACTGGACGAGTATCGGACGCAATGTATATCTTGCTGAGTACGTCAAAGAGATAGCACTTGTCGAATCCGCAATTGCTGGCAAGGATGTTGATCAAGTTCTCAAGGGTCGACAGCCGCGGTATCAGTTTCTGGATCACTTTGCTGAAGGCCTCAAAAACAGAATAGTCATAGATTGACGTAAGGTAGTAATGAACTGGCGCATTTTCGTAGCCATTATCACTAAGGTCGTCTGAAATGCGCTGCACAATGTCCTGGAAGACTTCTGTCCGGTATTCATCGGCCAGTGCGTCAACTTTGTGAATGAAAACTTCGATGTTGATGTTTGGAAAGTTGTGCATAATCATTAGAATGGTACGGTTAAGGCGCACCACGGATTCCACATAGTCATCTTGGGCATCGATCACCCATACTACCGCACCCAAGGAGCCAAAGACCTCTTCCAAATCAACAATTGAAGGGTCGAGATGCTCCAGCTGCCCCGGAAAATCCCACACTTGAAAATCCATAAAAGAACTACAAGATTAGCTATCTAATGCGTGTAGGGGGGGAGTTCCTCACTGTATCGAATCTATCTGAATGCGAGTAGTAGACTCTAGGAACAATGTCTCATTCGGTGGCATTTTGTTAAAGACAACATTTGATATTGAAGACTTGCCGCTTCTACTTTTAAATTAGCATTTTCAGCCACCAACCAGGAAGCGGAAACAACTAACCGCCTAAGTCCCATCAACAAAAGGCGAGGTTTAGTGTCACGGAATTTATTGTCGTTTGGGTTAGCAGCTGTGACTGGTCCAGCCGTTTCAGCCGGCTTCGCTCGAGGGTCCTGTAAAATAGATTCCAAGTTTAGCTGGGCTGGCGTCTTGATTTTCGCACGCCGTCCTTGCAATATAGACGTGTCTGAAAAGATAAGCCTGTCTTGTTCTGGAGGTACATTCGGCCAGTTGCCTGGCCTAGGGATCACCGAGTATCGATCTCCCATATTGATAGTATGAGGGGAAGTAATATTAAGGTTTTAAGCACGATGAGAAAAGGTCATTGCGACGAAGAATGATTCTCCCCGAGAGTATTCATCTTTGAAGAGGCAAAAAGGGTTCCAGAATAATGAATAACAAGTGACTCATGGTAAGGGCCACCAACATGCCACGTCAAGTAAATTCCAATCACTCAAAGTTCAATTGGGGGCTGTGTTGGAATATCAAGGCATATTCTTCAACATCAACGTATTTTTTGCAAGGTTGGTGTTGCAATAGCCTCAGTCAAGAATTCGCCCATCACCGTCGCATATATCAACAAATACAGAGAAACGGATGAGCACATGAGCGGATGAAATATTATGCAGAAAACAACAATAAAGCATACATAATAATCAACCGTGTACGTAAAGGGGTCAGAAATAACGGGGGTAATCGGACTCATGGTGGCGAGGAGGAAAAAGCGGTCACTTACAGCCATAATGATTTGCTACAGCTATCTCGATATCCCTCCTAGTCGAGCCCACAAAAAAAATTGACAGGGAGCCGGGGTCAAGACATCTAAGCGAATGATATCAGCAGAATCCGTAGTATCAAAATTAACTCACTAACCAATCGGGCAAATTGTTAGACGAAGGAAGCAGGAGCTGAAGACACCGACAAATACGGTGAACCATACAGATGTAACGATAGCGAAATGATGGAGACTCGCGCTGCTTTGATGGTCCACAAAAGAAAGTCAAAACCGAGAGGGAGAATGCGGGTTTAAAGCCCCTAAGAGCCGGATGAGCGTGTCAAGAAGCAAGTTCAGTGCGGAGGTGAAGATTGGAACAATGTTATTTGAGACTTGTACTGCGGTTAAGCGTAATGCGGACGTCCGCTTCTTGCTCCCGTTGCCCGCAGCTAAATTGGGCTAATCAATTGATGTTGTGTGAGAGATCTTACCGCCACTCGGTATCTTTAATTATCCTGTCGTCAGCTGGAACACTAATTACGTCTTTTAGGCCAGACCTATGAGTTCATATATTAGTTACACAAATTGAATCTTTATGCAGGCTGATGCTGCCCTGTACGACAAGTACAAGTGCGTGTGGCTTAGTAATCCGTTCATATCAGGATTAGTGGCCTCGCATGTTGAAATTCAGGGTCGAGCAGCCTCTTCCTCCTTGCAATTCGAGAGATTTGTGAGATCAGTTGGACTGAAGCCCAGGAGATCGAGGCAGTATTGCTGTGACCCCACGCCCGAGATTACCGCAAGATAAACGAAATTGTTCATGACAATCGGCATTGATGCTTGTTGCCAGATGAAATCATGGCCAGGAATGTGGGGTGAGCCAATTAGGACGACACAGACTGAAGTTGCTGCTCTGAGACTCATCAACCATGGAGCTGCGAAACTTCTTTGCCTCGATTGGAATCGCAGTCTCTGGACTTGCTCTGATCCATCTTGCTCGGGAAATATTTGTCTACGTGCGACCGTCATCTCTGCCGCGCTATCTGAAGAAGGACGAGAAGGGCACATCATGGGCATTCATCAGTGGCGCGAGCGATGGCATCGGCCTTGGATTTGCCCATGAACTTTGCAGGCGCGGGTTTAATGTCTTTATACATGGACGCAATTACGAGAAATTGCGCCGACTACAGGACGATCTATGCGCGCTCTATCCAGAACGACAAACCAAAATTGTCATCTACGACGCGTCGGAGCTCGCCGAGGACGTTGATGAGAGAATTATGGACGAGGTTGGGGATGCGCGTTTGACCCTGCTGGTAAACAATGTTGGCGGCATGGCCATGATGAAGCCTTCGCCATACGTCAAGCTGCACGACTTCTCCTACAACGAAATGAAGACAGTGCTCGATGTCAATGCCAACTTTACCGCGCAGCTGACTCGCATATTGCTCCCACGGCTCATGCAATCACAACCGAGTCTGGTCATCAACATCTCCTCGATTGCCAAACTCGGGTTTCCATGGCTGGTCCCGTACTCGGCAACGAAGGCCTTTGTGTCTGCCTTGGGCGAAGGACTCAGTGCAGAGATGCGTGCCGACAAGCAAGATGTCGAAATCCTCGGTGTCATTGTAGGCAGTGTCTCAACGGCCGGACACAATGTCAGTGAGGGCCTCTTTGTGCCGAGTGCCGGAGCTCTAGCCAGCGCAACGTTGGATCGGGTCGGCTGCAATAGACTTTCTGTATGGGGTTATTGGTCACATCGCCTGCGTGGGTTTCCATTGGAATTGATTTCGCAAAAAACGTTTCAGGCTGCGGCCACCAAAGAAATCCGCAGGCTGCGGCAGGATATTCTTGACAAAGCAGCAGACAAGGACAAAGACAAATAATCTTAAAACCGATCTACTCACATCAATATTTTTGTTCAAAATACAATGTAATTCCCTATAATACTTGTTTGCCGTAAAAACCTGCATTTCAATTGAGCTCAAAATGTTCTTCATGTACATACAGCAGTTGTGCTATTGTAGCCCTGTGGCCCGCCGTATACCACGTCATCTCGGGTTTATCGCCGAGTCACAGTCACCCCTCACGAAAGTATGACTCTCGCCCTTTCACACTCGTTTCTTAGAGTCTCAAACCCAGCATGACAAGCATTAATTTCAGGGAGCCCTACTCCAAGCAGGAGCTCGACCAGCTTTATCCGCCACACTTGAAACTTCAGTTAGTACAAGTGGTATGTTGATTCGAAGACAACGGCTTTTTGGTCGTCCATCGATCGTCTTTGGGATAGTGATATGCTGACAATTGATTTAATACCTAGTTTTTGCGTCATGGTACTGCATAGCGACAAATTCTACTTCAAATCACACCGATAAACTAACCGCTTCATTTCTACCAGGCGAACGAACCCCGGTTTCGGCCCGGTTTCAAAATGTATGTGCCTTTCTTTCACTATACAGCAATCTGTTTTGACTAACGCACGATCATCATAGACTGGCCTGGCGACATGTAACTACTCCTGCAAATATATTTGATTACACGGACACTGATATCTTTGCCACAAGACTGGCCGTATTGCGCTGTCGCTCGCCGCATGACCTCGATGGTAGCTACGAGCAATGACCTCTCGAAATGGGACACCCTACAATGGCGGCGAAAGATTGAGACATTTGGACATGATGATGAAGCAGTGGCTACCCATGGCCCAGGGGGGGAGACTGAGGCAATTTGGCAAGTGTCCACACAAATTCGAGAGATCTAGCTAGCTAACAGCAACAACCTTGTAACAGCCAAGCTGGCGAGCTCACAGACAAAGGGCGCCAGACTACACTTCAACTCGGCCAGCGTTTGCGACATCTCTACGTTGATCAGCTAGGTTTCATGCCTAAAATTAAGTCTGACGCCGAGGACATGTATCTCCGCGCCAGTCCCATCCCCCGTGCCCTGGAGTCAATGCAACAAGCTTTCATGGGCATGTACCCAGCCAGTGCTCGAACGGCCGATTTTGCGACCCCTGCTGTAGTAACTCGATCACTGGCAGATGAGACTGTGTATCCGAACGATGCCAACTGTCGACGGTTCAGACAACTTTCCAGGCTGTTTGCCGACCGAGCGGCGGATAGATGTCAGTATTTCTTTACTACTAATGAAATTCTGCCTTCTTGCTTTGTGTCACCCAACATTGTCTGATATTGCTTTCAACAATCAGGGAATAACACCGATGATATGGAGTATCTGAACAAGCTGTACTCGAAATGGATGCCATCCACCTCGCCCAAAGTTGCCGTTGATTCCCACCCTCGTCTTTCCGGTATCATGGACACCATCAATGCCACTTTGGCTCATGGACCGGCTACGCGTCTTCCCCCACAATTCTACGACCAGAAGGGCCGAGAGATTATCGACAAGATCGCCGTGGAGGAGTGGTTCGCTGGTTATAGAGAGAATGTAGAGTACCGCAGACTCGGTATCGGTGGCCTGATGGGGGATGTTGTAGATCGTATGGTGAGTGCCGCATTAGAGGGCGGCTGGTGCAGTCAAGTGGCTTCATCAAGCGCGACCGGCTGCAAAGTGCCCATCAAATTCGCGATGACCGGCTGCCATGATACTACCCTTGCCTCAGTTCTGGCCAGTCTAGGTGCATACAACAACGAGAACTGGCCTCCTTTTACATCTTCCATTGCCATTGAGCTATTTTCAACTGGTGAGCAGCAATCCAGCGACCCTGGCAGCGTGCTCGAGGAACTTGCGCAACCAGTAGATAAAAACGCTTCTTCAGGGATTTTCTCCTTCCTTTCTGGATCTTCCCGGAAACAAGATGCATCTTCCTCTGCAGCGTTTTCGGAAGTCGCGCGCGTGCCACTCACAGAGCTGGATGAATCGCAGCGAAAAGCCCTGCGCCAGTACTATGTCCGTCTCCGATATAACGATCGTGTCATGAGAATTCCCGGCTGCGTTTCAAAGACTGCTAACCATCTCCCCGGCGATGACTCCTTCTGTACTCTGGAAGCATTCAAAGAGATTGTCGACAAGTTCACGCCTAAGCAGTGGACGTCGGAGTGTCACGAGAATCTCAACCAGGGTATCTTCGGAAAGGACAACAAGGACAAATCTATTTCTGGGTATTAGGGGATGTCAGTAGGTCTCCATATTTGTATTTTGTAGATTTCCTTGCGCCGTCGACAAATCTGGTGGACACGGCGAAAAGTACCTTGGCATAATTAGACAAATTATCAACTAATACTAAGTACAAATTAAATACTAATATGGTCAGAATTCTCTGTCAATTTAACGTTGCATCACTCAAGGTTACATATTGTATCATGTTGCCTCCATTAGAATTATGTTGCCTCGAGAGTCAACTTTTGTTATCCCGCCGCTTACTACATATCAATATCGTAGTTTAAACCATTGAAAAATAACGTTGAATTCACCTTTCATCCCGCCCAACCTGAAAGAAAAACATTCTCAATTAATACCATTAGCCTCACATCAATTCATGTAATTGATCAGAACAACACCACCATGGCCATCATCACCATCGATATAATCTCCGACATAGTCTGCGCGGCAAGTCCTCTCCCAAGATCCCAACATCACAAACAAACACCCAAACATCAACTAATACTAATTATATGCGTAGTGGTGCTACATCGGCACCAAATCCCTCGAAAAGGCCATATCTATATACCAAAAAACCTACCCTGGCGGTCGCAACGACATTTTCGTGCTCACCTGGCGACCCTACTACCTCAACTACCACGCCAGCCTGACCAGCATCGACAAACACGTCCTCGCGCAGACAAAATTGCGCCATATGACCGCCGAACAACGCACCGCGCTTGAGCAGCGCATGGATCGCATCGGGCGCGCGGCGGGCATCGTGTTTAGGAACGGTGGGAAGATCGGGAGTACGCGGCCTGCGCATCATTTGATTGCGCTGTGTCAACGACAGATAGCACCGGGATCTGCAGAAGGGCTAGCGGGAGGGAAAGGGATGTATCCTGTGGAGGTGCGTGATGCACTGGTAGCTAGATTGTTCGAGGCGTATCATGAGCTCGAGCGGGATATTGCGTCGCGGGAGGTGTTGCGGGAGATTGCGGTGGATGTTGGGATGGATGAGGCGGAGGTTGATGGGTGTTTGGACGCTTGCTTTTCGAATGGAACGGGGGTGGAAGAGAGTAGTGTGGATAGGGAGGCGAGGGAGAATAAAGAGGCTGGTACGGGGGTGCCGCTGTTTATTATTCAAGGCGTCCATAGGGTGGAGGGCGCGCAGGACGTGATGGAGTTGGTTGAAATTTTTGGGAAAACCAGAGAGAATGATGAACTGTAGCTTCGATTGGATCTTAGTAAATGTTGGATCTTCAATACATGTATTGAGAGTTAGAATTAGACCAAGGCAGTATGTAATAATATAGTACATGTAGTTAATAAAAGTCTCCCAACAACCCATGAGAATGCAAATATATTGTACAAGTGGAGGTATATAAATAAACGCCTTAATATCTATGCACCGACTAGATCATGGGTTCTCTTTCTCATTCTCGCCCTCGCTGTCAGCGTCAGACCACCCACTCTCCGACTCACTGGCACTCCAAGCCGACGGTTTAGCAGGCTGGTCCTCAGCTTGCGCAGCGGCAGCCTCAGCAGGTATGCTCCATTTCTGCTTCGCTTTCATCTTCGCTATATACTTAGGGTTCTTTGTAAGTGCGCCTTCACGCTTCTGCTTTTCCTTTTCTGCTTCCTCGACCGAAGCCTGGTCGAGACGTTGGACCAGCCTCTCGAATGCTGGCGCAAACATCTGAGCAATGGGGATGTCCCTGATCTTGACACGCATGTAGTCGAAGCCAGCGCATGTTGGGATCGGTCTGGCTTGGGCAGGCGGCTCGGCGGTTGCTTCGGCCATGTCAAGAGTAATGTCGTCTTCTCCTTGCTCAAAGTCTTCTCCTAGCTCGTCAGCGTCATTTGGCGCGACGTCGGGCTGCCATGCCTGTTGTGGAATGAATCCCTCGGGTGGCGCAGTTGGCCTGGATGTAGGGTCGACTCTCGAAAGCTTGGCATATCTCTGACTAAAGTGAGTCAGGAGCAGCATACGAGCATTCATTCTTCGGCCAATTTCAATCGCTTCCGCAGCGGTACTGTGTTTCTTGGCAATAGCAGATCCTACCATGTCGTTTTCGAACGTGGCTTCGTGAATAAGCAACGTGGAGTTCTTCCCTAATTGCGCGAATTTCACGGACGGCCGGCAGTCGCCAGAGTAGGAAACCTTGAAACCTTGCTCCCATTCAAAAGTGACTGCCATTGCACCCTTGCAGTGAATCACATGTACCGCGCCGAAATTTTTCAAGCCAGTAGCTTTCTGCAGTAGCTCAGTGAGATGAGATTTCTGGTCAAAATATATTGTTGTGGCCGAAGGGCCTCCATCGGGGTATGTTCCATCCGGTCGACAGTGCCGATAAACAAGACTTGTCCTGTGACCGCGTCCACTCTGTAAGTATGGACTGGCTGAAAGAGGTAGAAGCATATCGAATCCAAATTCCTCCACCCCTGCATACTCCTCTAACCATTGTATGAACATGCCGTCGCTAATCACGCACAGTCGCTTTTGCCGCAAGATATCTTCGATGCTGTCCGCTTTTGGCATAGAACCAGATTGATGTTTTTGGTAGTTCACCTTGTACCACTCTTTGATAACGGACACCGTGCCAAGGTGGTGGTCAGCGTGCAAATGGCTAATCCAGATTACGCGAAGATTTTCCATTACCTCGCGTAACTCATCTGGCGCAAAACTCCTTTTCAACTGTCCGAGAGTGTTCTCGCCACAGTCAAACAGATAGTAACCCTTTCCGGGAACGTGCAGCAGCGTAGCTGAGACGTTACGATGTTTGGAAGGGGTAGACGACCCCGTACCCAGTGTGAAGACTTCGGCCTCTTCTGCCAAGGGAGGAAGCCCGTCACGCATCTCCATGACCTTGTGGATGACATGGGGTTTACGGAGTCTTTGCTGGATGATTTTGAGCCGCTGCTCCGCTGCACGTGGAATTCGGCTGATGAACTGAAGTGGGTTCAGAGTATTGACTACCTCCGTCTCATTGATTGAGAACTTCGGTTCCATATCTACAATCAGACCCAGCTCGGAAGTTCTCCAAGCCTTCTTCTCTATAGAGATGGATTCATTCTCACGCCTCGTTCCTGTCTGAGGAAGGGTGTGGTTATCGTGGACCGGTACCTGGAAATTATCGGAGTTGATTCGAGCTAGGCGAAGAGAAGACATTGCAGCAGTCTTCATAGCCAGATAATTAGGGCAGTGGTCAGTACTAGAAACAATATGCTCGCAGCCTTTCATTCGAGCAACAAAATCGAGAATTCGGCGATCTTCTCCAACACCGGGACCTAAAATCCAGAAGAAAACGCTTAGGCCAGATGTGACGGCCTTTGACTGCCACTCAGCACGTGAGATGAAATCATCAATATATTCTCTCGAAGGTATGTCAATGAACGCAACGCCTTTCCCAGGGCGGTGAGGTCCAAGAACCATTTCGGGGGTAACGACTCGGCCATCTTCTGTAGTGTAACTGATACCATTTGTGAGATCGCCAAAGGCACGACCCTTTGGGACCCCAGCTTCGATTGCTTTCTTGGGGTCAAACTTCCCTCTTTGGTCATGACCGCGGACAATATAGCACATGGACTCAGTCGCAGGGGTTGTTGGTGGCAGCCTATCAACAGTCGCAGCAGGCCAGGGTTTTCGAACAAAAACTTTAATATCGGGGACGGCTTCATCGCCTCCCGGAAGTGGCCCATTGTATCGCTCCAAGTCCTTGGTGACGGGGTTGCGGACGAAAATGGTGGCTGGCATAGTGACATTTGCCAATTTATGTTCCGTTAACGAGTCAAGCGTCCATTGACTGTCAAACATGTCCTTGACAATACTCTCGCGAAGCATATCATCTTTAGCTTTGGGGTCAAGACCCTCTACTTGCTCACCCTCACGTTCCTCGAATTCATTCAAGCTTCTCTTTCGGGGGCTTCCGAATCCAGAGACAGAATTCTTAAAGCTCTTCTCATAGCTAGGTCTCAAGGGCATGGCCCACACTTTAATATTCTCATCAGACCACGTGGGAAATTCAAAAGCATCGGACTGTGCTGATTGATCTCGCGCGCTTGCGAGAGAAGCCGCGTCATATTCTTGGACTTTGACAGGAAAACTTTTCCTGAAGATAAACCTGCGCGCCGTCGATAACGTGTGATTTAAGTTTTTACTGCCGTGGATGGTGAGTCTTTCAGGTTCCGTCGATTCAATTTCGGGCTCAGGCTCAGGAGGTAAACCTCTGGCTACTCGGTCTCGCAAACGACGGTTTCGCTTTTCTTCGTTCTCCAGGGCCATCGATGCAGCCGACGCGGCCCGCGCATCAGCCATAGTCAACACCATGCCGAGAACACCCCCATTAGTATTCCACGCCGTCTTGCCGGTAATGAAAAATTCGGTCAAATAAGAATGCGACTGGGTGCGCTCTGAAAACAGTCTCTGCGTGCCTTCGGCGACATGGCCAAACAGATATTTTCGATTCGGATAGTTGAGGATAAAAGTCGAGCCGGGAGAGTCGGCAGTTGGGGTGCTGAGCACCTGGTAGTAGTACTTCATCGCCTTGGCGAATGCCGGCTCAGGCGGAAGTTCAATCTTGCTCTTAGGTTCGACAAGGTAGTAATCAGGCAATCGAGTGCCGGAGCGGCGCGGTGGAGGAGGCGGAATGAGATGTACTCCTGGGAGAGCTGGTTGCGAGTCTGCCAGGTAATTACCACCGCGATTCCACGTTCGAACTGAGGCACGGAAAACTAGGGAAATGCTGGGTGATGAAGCGTCAAGTCGAGCTGACGAAATCAAGGGCGTACGACACTGCGTTCGGAGAGGTGATCCGTGGAAGGCGAGCCTTCCCAATCCTCGCAAGGACGCCAACGTGACAGACTCGGGGTAACCACCGAACTAGCAAAGAAATTGAGCGCCTATTTCAAAAGCCCAAGCATAGTAGCTAGTAGGACCTTAACAGGAGCGTTGAAGCGTGATGAAGGGTAACATCGAAGTTTGTTTGGAGATATTTTTATGTTCCTAATAATTACCCGCAGCTGGTAAATTTTCGGCGCTAACCCAATCTGCCGAGTTAGCCATCATTGGTCCTGAGCCATGCGACAGCAACAGGATTTTAAGGATAGACATTAGATGTAGATTATTAGATTGTCGCTGAAACTGGTCATAAAGTAAAGTGATTTTACAAGGAAGACATTCAGAAAATTATATGCTTGAATGGGAATATAATTCCCAGTTGAAGACAATGATAAGACAACTAGATACATCGTTGTAATGACACTTATAGACAAAAAAAAACACCAGATAGCCAATGAAGAATGAAGAGATAGTAGTCTTCCGCTTGCCAATATATTTACCTCACAACACCGGAAATACAACAAGTCCTGCAAAACCTGACCCCTCGAAATGAGCGACGAAATGAGCGACGAAATGGGCCCCTTTACTTCCCAACCAGAGACTCCCTGTGTGGAGAGAACGATCTATCGCATGAATCAAAACCAAAATATAATAGGGAAAATGTCATCAAAAGAAGGTAATTTTTCTACAGCAGATGCGCTGTGAGCAATGATACTCGTTCGAACGCATCGTCCATGCTTGCACACAACCGTTCAAATGCGCGCACAGAAGCTGCCGAGGCCTCGGTAGATTCCTCGCTGTCAACAACAAGTGTGTAGCGCGGAATCTTTTCAGGCTGAATACTGACGAAGCGTGATTCAGACGAAGGAATCGAGATATCATCTAAGAAGAGAGCAAGGGACGGGTCTGACTCATCCATCTCTGCAGTCGAAGCAGCGGTGTCTTCCTTGACAACTTCGGGGCCTGGAGTGTTGAAAACAGGGGGCCGGTCAAGTTGCGGGACCTCTACCTTGGACGAAGACAAGTCTGACGTGATTGGAATCGTGCTTGAGGATTTTCCAGAGAGAATCTCTGTGTCGACAGCAGGGCCTTCCGGAACCTCCAACACGGCAAAGATGGATGGGTTGTAGTTCAAGTCAATCCCTGAATTCCAGCCAGAAGCGTACATGTCCATACGTTGGTCGGGAACCATCACCATTCCAACTTGGAAATTTTGCTGTTGCTGAGCAGGAAAGTCTTGTCCGCCCATATGAGTATTACCTTCATTGCGTACATTAGAAGGTACCGGGGCTTGAGGTGCAGGCTGTTGAGGTTGTTGTTGGGGTGTCTGCTGGGGTGTTTGGAATTGCTGGGGCATTCCATTTACTGTCAAGTCGTTCAAGAAGTCGGAGAAGCTGGGAGATGAGAGAAGCAGACGCGTCAGGTCGGTGAGACGATTGTTTTCCTCCATGAGAGCATGGTTCTGCAAGCGTAGTTCATTGGCTTCATTGGTTTTGGCGGCTACCTCTCCTTCAAGCTGGCCAATGTATTCTAGACAATCTGTTAGATACATATCTCTATTTATTAAATGGTAGTTAGATAGATACCTTTGCGGCGAGATCGGAACGCACGAGCAGAGACTTTGTTCCGTAATTGACGGCGCTCCTTACTGCTGAGTTTCTTGCCTTCTTCACTGGCAAGTAGTCGCTCGTCGTCATCCATGTCATCATCATCCTTCTTGGGCTTGGACATATGTGGCAGCGAGGACGGAGTCGCGGTGGAATTGCTGCCATCTTGATTGGAGTTCTCTCTCATTTGTTGCAAAAGGCGAGAGATCCGCTCTTCAACAACAGGGTCGACGTTGCGAGCGGGGCGATTTTGTGTTGGCTGAGATGCAGGCGTGGCGATTTGATGAGTAGTTTGACGCATTGGTTGCTGTTGACGAATGATCTCGGTTTGTTGTCTTTGCTGTTGTTGAGCAGCGCGGGCCATGGCAGCTTGTTGTTGGTGCATACCAGGATACATCCGACCGGCCTGCGGCGCAGGAGCGACTGTTGGATGTCCGCCCAAGACGTGAGGGTCAACAAACTGTTGAGCCCGAGCGGCAGCATTGGTGGTGGGAACAAAGTAGGGCATGTTACTCGTGGTATCGCTTTCAACGTCCATTTCCGAATGGCTGCGGGAAGGAGCTGTGCCAAAATCGAAACTTGTCTCTTCCCTCTTCATGCGAACCAGCGCATCATCATTCATGGAGAATCCTTGGTGTCCAGCACCAAAAACCCCCATCGCGGTATCATTGTATGTCATAGCATGGGCAACAGCGCCTGGCGGCAGGCCAGTCTGCTGTTGGTGGTCTCCATACTGATGACTAGGGGCCGAAAACGCCTGGCCTAAGTCACTTGTGCTGGCTTCCGAAACGGCCATGGACGGTTGAGAGATGAGAGAGGGGTTCGTTTTCATTGATTCGGAGGGATAGGCGGTTTGGTCGAGATTCAAGAACGAGTCAAATTCTGGATCGTAGGTGGTGAGATTGGCAAGCGGCGACGCAATAGTGGTCGGTAATTCTCCTAGAGCGGCCATCCTTCTGCCTCCTTGAGAATGCTTTCTGTATGATCCCCAAAATAGCTGGCCTGTCCAACAACAGCTGATCGAGAGCCTCAGTGAGCGTGTCGAGGCGATAGACAGCCCAGTGACGAGGATGACGAGGGAATCGATGAATTGGGCGATGAGATAGCGGTGGTGGTGGTGGTGGTGGTGGTGGTGAATAGCGAAGAGATAACAGTCAAGGTCGTAGAGGACAGCGACTCGGGGGGCAGTCGCAGGAAGGCTGTGGCTTAGCCTAACGCAGAGAGGAGCGACAACGCGAATAACCAACCGCGGCTGGCTCGGCCGCTAGCCCTCCCTGTTTGGGCCTAGCTCCGGCGTAGGCTCCAAGAATAGCAGGCGAACGCGCGTCGCCTGTCGGCTCAAGCTTTATCCGCCCTGCAAAGTAGGGCTCGGCAATATTCCCGGAAGAACATACTTAAGAATAGTTTATTCGACACTCTTCTGTCCTGCGGTTTCACCCAAGCCACACTCGTCTGACCTATCCTATGGCAGATTTTTCTTTTAAGCTTTTGAAACCATCTCTCTTGGCTTCTTCTCCCTGGTGTACGTCAACTGTCGGGTCTAGAACTTGGGCAATGCCGATTGGTCTCGTTATTGCTCTGAAAACAGACCAAGGCTGCTTCGGGTTTCCTCTATTGGTACTTGCTTGCTAGATTCATACTCAATAATCAAGGTCAAAATTCTAGAGCACCCCTATCCAGACTATCCCTATTCGTCACGATTTGGTATAAGCGCCCTCGGTTCGTAGACCCCTGGACACCGCAGGCCGGATTAGCCATACAGAATTGACTCAGACACAGGCATACGTAGCCCCCCTCGGCACCCCTCGGCACCCCTGAGGAGTTCATGTTGAGACATTGTATGTCTCAAGCAATGCTTTCGCCGACTACGTATGCTCCTGTTACGGCTACATAACATTGAATAACATTGAAGTTTGCGATATTCTGCATATCAATCATCTCATGGTTTGATAGTAGTAAATGTCCCGTAATACCGTTCGTCGATAAGAGCCCAGTAGATTTCATTAAACAGAGAACTACATCTCGAAGCAAGACAATCCCAAAATAAACCAGTTTCCATTGACATCTTCATGACGTCTGATAGAGCTATGAGTCTGACAAGCAGCCTTCAGCAACTTGTCTCGTCTTATACTCTCGAAACGTTTCCAGGAATACGTGAAACTGGGGCATGAAACGCGCTAGAAAGTGTATAAGATCTGGCTCCCATTCTTCCGGACGGCCCAGCAACACCCACCAGAGCGCAGTGTAGCTGAATTCCGCTTGGGCAGCGTATGCAAACTCTCAATCGATAGCCCCGCTAACAGTAAGCGTTGAGGCATCAATAAGAACATTGCCCGCCCCCCAAAGTCGTCACAAATGAGCCGGAAGGTACCATCACAATGCTCTTTAAGTGATATTTCTCACGATATCTTACGGAAGAGACATCGAGCGATATATCTTTTCCGACAGTCTGCTTCGTCCTTGACTGCATCATTACGTTGAAATTCTAGATGGTATAGATGTTGCTTGGCGAGCTCTTCAAAATAGTCGGGTGCATTAGTGAATCGTTGCGTTGCAAATATATCAAAAGGGATGCTGGAAAATTAAGCTAGCCGGTTCATGTTAAACGCAACTGGTCTTTTACGTTCCATCCTCCAGCTTCATCATTTCTCAGAGCTCCGATGAACGGAAAAATAGGCTTTGATAGTTCTAGCATGATTTTAGCCATGATATAGTATGCTCTCCTCAATACAGAAATGGGTATTTGGGAATTCAACGTGATTATCTCTTAAAGAGGGCTCTTGAGATAACCGGATAACATATTCCCTCCCATGATGATCATGACAATATATGGGCCCACAGCGCACTTGCCGGAACATATGACCTGTGGAACGTGTAGAACTTACACTATTGATATTGAAATCAAGAAACCCGCAAATAAGGCCCATAAACTTGTTGATCGCTTGAAATATCCATTCTTGACCCAGCTATTTCTCTCTAGCAAGTGCAGCCGCGCCAAAACTTTCCCATGCCTCTTTCAAGCCAAAAATACTAAATTGACTACTGTTAGATTCATCTAGACTTGAGACTTGAGACTTGAGACGGATCGAAACTTCAAAATCGAAACATTATTAGTTTGGCCTGACTCAATGTTGCAATATACTTGCCTTAACTAGGCCAATCAGAGGCCATGTTGATTCGGCGATGCAGGCGTGCTGTGATTGGACAGAATCCCCGCGACCGTATAATTCTCGACTTTGGCGGCCAATATTTAATGTTTCGTAATGTTAAAAAGTAATATAGGTGTATGTTGCAGGTCATGTTTAATTGTGTTAGGAATTGTCTACTTGTGATTGATTTACAACTCGAAGTTGATCAATATTATTATATATGTTATATAGTGTTTAATGTCAAAGATGGTTATATATCCACCTACATGTACACCTTATTTTTGTCAACATTGAAATCGAAATAAGATTCGACTTGGATACTGTCACCTCGAATTAAATATTGAATTATAAATTTGCAAATTCTAGCGTTGGACGATTGCTATTACTAGTGGCCCTGACATTGACGTCGAAAGCGGGCTGAATGACTCATTCCGAAAGTCGGCCTTTTTACTACAACTATTAAATGAACATGGAACATCCCAACATTTATGTTTCAAATGTTAGTACACCAGCAATAACTTATAACATCAATTGATATGAATCGACCGCTCGGGCCTCCCGTCGACGCAACGCCGGCACCGTGGCCATCACGCGTCACGCTCGAGGGCCAAACGGTTATCCTTGAGCCTCTAGAGGAATCCCACGCCGACGCCCTCTTCCCTCACATCGGCGGGGCCGCGAATGCATGGCTCTGGGACTACATGTTCACCGATGTACCCAGCTCCCTCGCTGAAATACGCTCTCGCATCGCGAGACAGGCCCAGTCCAAGGACCCCTTCTTCTGGGCCATCAAAGTCAAGAAACACGCCGCACAAGGCACTGCAGAAGCAGAGGTAGTCGGATACATCGCGTTCCTGGCCATCGTCCCGGCGCACCGGTCCATTGAAATCGGGCATGTCATGTACTCAGCAGCCCTGCAACGCACGACGGCGGCGACCGAGGCGATCTACCTCCTGGGTCACTACGCCATCCGCGACCTGGGCTACCGACGTCTCGAGTGGAAGTGCAACGACCTCAACGCGGCGTCGAGGAAGGCGGCAGCGCGCTATGGGTTTACCTTTGAAGGCGTCTTTCGGCAGCATTACATCTCCAAGGGCCGCAACAGGGATACCGCGTGGTTCTCGATCCTGGACTCGGAGTGGGAGCGTGGCGTCGAGGCGGCGTTTGAGCAGTGGCTAGACCCAGGCAATTTCGACGAGGAGGGGAAGCAGAAGAGGCGGCTGGAGAGCTTTCGTTAATCTACAAGGTTGGAGCGATGCAATTCCTATTCTTGATGGCTCTATAGTTAAGTTAGACTGCGCTAGATCGGATTGGGGTGATAGGGTTAGGGTTAGATTGACCCTGGAGCTATTATGCAGTAGGCTATAATATTAACTAAGTAACTAGTCATATATTAACGTATTTCATTCGCGAATGGCCACTCCAGGTGTACTCTGGATAATCGAGCATGATACAGTTGCATTCTGAGTGATATTTGCTGTCCGTCCAATCCATGGGACTTTTCTCGGATTGTTTTGATGTCGCGATAATAGTGGGCGAGATTCTTGCCTTCTTTTACAACCACCTCGATGTTTCCCGCGTTTGGGCTTTCATAGTTACTCTGGGTTATAGATCCAGGACCTTGAATTGACTGGTTTCGCTGTTTAGATACGCACTCAAAATTGCCGGGATTGTTGGGCGAGAATCTACAATTGCTCTGGGTGAGTTGTTCAACCATTTTTGGTAAAGCGTTTTCGAAAAAGAGCTTTTCTCGATTTGAAGTAATAATTTCTGGAGTGACTTGATTTGAAACAAAACTGTCAAAAAATCCGATGATTCAAGCCCGGTATAAGTACTTCATGGCCCGATGTTCTAGCCCAGTTCCATCCTGAGGCTTTTCTCAACATTACTCAATAATCACGTCAGGATGATACTGTAGATATGGCTCACAAACATAATTATGCAAAAGTGTGGCCAAATGGCTCAAGGCTTCTTACAACCATCACCAAAAAGTAAGTCCGCCTGTACCCCGCTTCTACTAATTTAACGGGAACCAATGAAACTGGGGCGCACGATGGTTTCGGCAGCCCACCGTCCAAAGTTAGAATCAGCAGATGGCAGATCCATTTATGAATGGGAAAGAAAGAGTCACGGAGAACAGGGAATTAGGTCTTAAGCCTTCAACTTTTTAATTCCGGCTATCCGCAACATCTTTGTGTCAACCGAATAACTATATCAGACACTTGACAATGACACAAAAGAACGTTGTGGTGATAGGGTAAGCTTAAGCAACACCGCTGATAAGCTGATCCTGACTGATACCCAGGGCTGGCGTGGCTGGTTTGACAACGGCCTTTCTCTTGTCCAAGAGACCCGGCTACAAGATTGTGGTAGCGGCCAAGCATATGCCAGGTGACTACGATATTGAATATGCTTCTCCATGGGCCGGCGCCAATTATATGCCGTAAGTAATTGTGAACCTTGCAACTGCGATGATTGACATCGGCTGATGCATCCAGCGTGGGAGTGCGTGGAACTCAGGCAGCAGAGTGGGAAAAGGCCACTTGGGGCCCATTGGAAAACCTCGCGAGGAATCACCCTGATGCCGGTGTTCATTTCCAAGGTAAGATTTTTATACTGTTTTGGTTGTATTCTAGTGAGCCTTCCTGCTGACGGAAAAATGGAAGACTGCGAGATACGCACTCGTTCAAAGGACCTTGGATCAGCAACAGCAAACTGGTTTTCTGAGTTATTGTCTCCTAATCCGTGGTTCAAGGATGTTGTTCCAAATGTGAGTGTTTTCTAATTAGAAAATAAACAAGCAACTCTAACACAATCAAGTTCCGTGTTATCCCTAGAGAGGAGCTAGGGCCAGGGGTTGACTCTGCCACTTCTTTTACTTCTGTTTGTATCAACACTGCAATTTATCTACCGTGGCTGGTCTCTCAGTGTCTGAAAAATGGTGTCATTTTCAAACGCAAGGTTTTCCAGCATATTTTAGAAACCACTAAACCCAATGTCCACCCATCTGGCTACGTTGATCTGGTAATCAATTGTACAGGCCTGATGGCATCGCAACTCGGCGGCGTTGAAGATAAGTCCGTCGTTCCAGCTCGCGGACAGATTGTAGTCGTTCGCAACGATACTGGGGGGAAAATGTTCGATGTTTCCGGTACAGATGATGCGGATGATGAAGCATGTTATATTATGATGAGAGCGGCCGGTGGCGGAACAATTTTGGGTGGCTCATATCAGATGAGGAATTGGGAATCACAACCAGACCCAAATTTGGCAGTCAGAATCATGAAGAGGGCTATCGAGATGTGCCCTGAACTTACCGGTGGAAGAAAGGGAATCGAGAATTTGGATATTGTTAGGCATGCAGTGGGGTTACGACCGGTACGCGAAGGTGGAACACGAGTTGAGAAAGAGCGTATTGGAAATGTATGGGTGGTGCACAATTATGGAGCTGGAGGCGCTGGATATCAATCGTCTTACGGCTGCGCACAAACTGCAGTCAACTTAGCCGAGGAGGTTTTTCAAAAACGAGCACAATTATAACTTAGAAATCGCCTGGTCTTTCAATGATTTATTGCCTTATTGAGAAGATGAGCTAGAACTAAATCGAGTCTTGATCTATTATATTTTCCACATCTTCCTAAAGGAGTGGTAGAGTGATGGAGGTTACGGTCTGGGTGTGAACCCATGGTTTTATTGCTACTCCTCCACTCCTTATCAAGTTGGCTTTTCTTGATCACGGTTTCACGCGCAAAATTTCTTGATGAGGAATATCACTTGCTAGATAACTAGTGCGGAATAATATAGCAAATGATATTAGAAGGGGCGTCGTTGTAATAGAAAAATAAAAAGTATTCTTACATCCACAATTTTCCATATATGTATTGTACAGTCTATTCGGTAGCATCTTCTATAATTTCCTCCGCCTCGGTCAGCGAGTTGACTTTACATACCTATCCCATTCACAGATATCACGATGAAACGATGGGCTGTTCCTTTAGGGTTAGGGTTAGGGTTAAGGCTCTCTCCTGGTATCACTTGCAGGCTCCTGGTCGCTAGCTTCATTCAGGGTTGGGTATCTCAGTAGCGGCAACCACTGTGAACCTCTTCGTTGCAGTGTGTGTTGCAGTGTGTGGGCCAGTGCAAAAGAGTTAAACGCGACTTAACGTTGCGAGGGCTACCCGAGCTACCTGGACAACTTGTACAATTCTCTGCGTTAGTCATCTTCAAAGATGCAGACATTAGATGGGTTCCTATACTTCTGACAATTGCTTGCTATTTCTTGAAACTTCCCGAGCTGTCTAGCAAAAGAGCTACGAGCCTGTTTACCGCGGTCGAGAAACTGTGAGGCCGTTTGGCTGTGACATTAGCTGCTTTTAAAAGCAACCTTCTTCTCTTCTGTGTGTTGGTTTCGTCACAGGATCTTGGGCCTTGTCGGCCTTGCCAGATTGGGCCTAGAAGAGCTTCCTAGGCTAGCCCTCTTACAGGTGGAACAGGGTGGCGTTCGCCAATGAAATACGTTAGATATACGGAGTATATTAACTAGTTATTATTATTTTAATATATTAATGAGGGGAAAGCTGCAGCCTACAGCCAACTTGTTCCTATCAGGAGGGGTAATTAGTTAGTACACAGACTAGGCCGTGTTACTAGCCACACTTACGAAGTACTCGCAACAATAGTACATCGACCGTCCGTTATTGGGACTTGGACCTATCTCTTGGCACAAGGCAAGCAAGAAATGCGCCGTCCGAGTCTGCCAATCGTACTAAGAGTGTCTCTACCCCCAAGTCATGAGTGATTTGAGCTATCAAATTATCACCTTCTTGTGGCAGACTAGAGCCTTTTTGTCTGGCTTGGCACCAGGCTCTCCGCTCAGCCAAGAGTCCAGGACGAGCTGCCATTTGTCTCGGAGCCCCGCGCGGTGGTGCACCGCCCCCTCTTCTGTTGTCATTATCAATTGTTGCTATTATTTGCGCCTTACTATGTAGTAGTCGACGCTCGACTTGCGCCTGGATCGCTATGCCATGCCACACTTATAACCCGAGCCACATTTATAATCCCTGATAGCCCGTTCTCTCTCAACACAAGTCTTCACAAGTCTTCGCAAGTCTTCGCAAGTCTTCTTGCCAGGCTGCCATACCGAGCTGTACCAACGATAGACTTGCGCTGGGTGTGCGGCATTTCCCCGCACGTGTGATTGGCAGTCCTTCTCCCTGCTCCGCTCTCCTGCTGGCCGACCACTCATCCAGTGCTTTCCGTAAGTTCATCCCATGCGTACACCAGATCCAATACATCCACCAGCCACCCAATAACACAAACATGCCTCTGACAGACAGCTATCTAGAGCGGCCTCGAGGCATCGCGGAGATGTGGGGGCGCTATCTGGAGAGCGGCGAGTACTCAGACTTCCTCGTCACTTGCGGCAGCCGAGACTTCCACGTGCACCGCCTGGTGATCTGTCACAAGTCCAGCTATTTCCGTATGCTGTGCAAGGACAATTTCAAGGAGGGCATCACGCAGAAGCTGGAGCTGGTGGACGAGGACCCGGATGTGTTTCAGGCCGTGTTGACCTTTTTGTACACGGGCATCTACGAGACGGATAAGATTGCGGGGTCGGCAGAGCTTGGTTGGCCTATCTCTTTTTAACAGCGTGTATCCAATCTAACCTCAACAGAAATCCCCCCGGAAGGAAGCTGTGGCTCCTCAGTCGACTCGGAAAATGACGAGGAGAACCACCGCAAGGGTCGGCCCGCCACGACCGAAGACCTTGTCGCGCACATCCAGCTCTACGCGAGCGGGGACAAGTTCGACATCCGCGATCTCAAAGACGTATCCTCGAAGATGTTCCGCAACCAACTGATGCGCACACCCGTCGAGAACCTCGACGTGCCTCAAATCATCCAGGCCGTGTACACCTGCACGCCGCTCAACGACGCGTCCCTGCGCCCCGTGCTCATCGACTACTGCGTGCAAAACCTCAGCACCCTGCTAACCCAGCCCGAAATGGCCTCTGTGCTCGCCGACATGGGCCAGTGCGCGTTCGAGCTGCTGCGCGCGTACAAGGACGAAGCCGACCTGCGTTCGCGCAAGGCAGTGGAAGACCAGCGCACGGCCGTGCTCGAGATAAAAAAGGCCGAGTCGCAGCAGCTGCGCGAGTCGCTGGCCAAGCTGCAGAAACGCGATACCCATTTGATGGAGATCCTCGCGTCGCATCATAACTGCCGCAATTGCGGAAAGGTGTTTGGCGGCGCGCCGCAGGTGTATGGGCCGATGAGTGATAGGGTCATGTTGCGGTGTAAGGCCTGTTATACAAAACATTCCTAGCCTTCCGTCCAACTTAACATCCCTCTCGATCTGACATGCTTATGACTTATGACTGGCGGTGTTTTCTATCTTCTGGGGATTTATGCATTGCCGGCGTGTCCATTTCAATTTCGTCTAGTCTCTAGTCTTGCTCGTTTAGCAGTACATACCAATTCATTTACTATAGTATACGAACTCTCAATTATCACTACATGTACCATCCCTCCTCCACACCCCGCTCTTCCCCCCCTCTTCTCAAGCAACCTGACATCCCCAATAACCATCCCCTTATCATTCGCCTTGCACATATCATACAGCGTCAACGCGGCGCCCATCACCGCTGTCATAGCCTCCATCTCAACGCCCGTACGGCCCTCGCTCGTCACCGTCGCCACAATCTCCACAGCACCATACTCCCTACCACTGGATGTGGATGGGGGCACCAGCTTGACATCAACACTCACGCTATCAATGCCAATACTTGGATGACACAGCGGCACAATATCCGGCGTTTTTTTCGCGGCCATGATACCTGCTACCCGCGCCGCAGCGAAAACGTCGCCTTTGGCTAGTCCTGCTTCTGAAGAGGGTGAATTTGGAGCTGGGTTGATTAGTGGGTAGGTTTTTGGGTTCGTGAAGTAAACGAGGCATGTCGCGCGCGCGTATCGCTGCGAAGACGGCTTGGAGCTGACGTCCGTCATGTGCATTTGGCCCGAGGTGTTCAGGTGAGGGAGATTAGGGTGGTTTTGGCTTGTTTTGTATGTGCGGAGTTGTGTGAAAGAGTCGAGTTCTGGTGTGTAAGAGGGGAGGCGGTGTAGTGGGATTCTAGATGATGCTAGGTTGAGGGGGTTATCTACGGATATCATTGTCAGTCAGTTACGCTAGATAGAATGAGAGTATTATAATGATATTCAACAATCCTGCCAGGTATCATAATCATCATTCATACATATTTGCAACGCCGAAATGCAATGCCAATGCCAATGCCAATGTAGATAGTTGATATATAACGAAAAAGAATCACCCACCAATCAAAATCATAGGCCGATTCTTCATCTTTTCTAACCGGCCGATGCCGGCATGTTTTGCCTTTTTCCGCTTGACAGCCATGCCGATGACGTCGAGGAGTTCGCGTTCGCTGGATTCGAGATCAAGCGCCTCCATGGCCTGCTCGTCGATGGGCAAGCCGTTGTTTCCCCTGCGTATTAAATCCCGCAGCGACACCTCTGCGTTCCCATGCAAGCACACTTTTAGATTCCCATCCGACGTGATGCGCAGCCGATTACAAGTTCCACAGAAATTATGCGTCATGCTGGTAATAAACCCAACCTTCCCCGTAAACCCCGGTACCCGATACGTCTTGCTCGTGTCATTCTTGTGGTCTGTCACTTTCTCCAAGGCGGGGTATTGTTCACGGATGAGTGAGAGCATTTCTTGATACGGCACCATTTTTCCTTCACTCCACTTATTGCCGCCAAAGGGCATGTACTCGATGAAGCGCACCTCGATGTCCCTGTCCCGGCCCATTTCCACAAATGGGACTATCTCGCGCTCGTTCAGGCCGCGCATCACCACGCAGTTGATTTTCAGTTTTATCCCCGCGCCGGCTTTGTTCATCTCCTCGATCCGCGCAATGCTCTTCATCACCGCTTCGAACCCGTTCCGGCGGGTCATGATTTGGAATTGGAAGGGGTCGAGGGTATCAAGACTGAGGTTCACGCCGGTCAAGCCCGCTTCGGCCATTGCGTCGAGTTTGCGGTGTAGGGATATGCCGTTCGTCGTCAGACACAGCTCCCGCAGCCCGTCGCGGCGGAGGTTGCCGAGCGCCTGCATCATCGGGACGATGTCCTTGCGGACTGTGGGCTCGCCGCCGGTTAATCGGATCTTTGTGACGCCCTGGGAAACGAACAGCGACGAGAGATAGACAATTTCTGGCGTTGTTAAGAGATGTGCTGGCGGCGACAGCGGCACCCCTTCCTCCGGCATGCAGTATAGACAGCGCAGGTTGCATTTTTCCGTGATGCTGATCCGGAGATAGTCATGTTGGCGGTTGAAGGAGTCGGTCAGGAAGGCGGAGAATGGCTTGTATTTTGGAGCTTCTGCTGTTGTGCTGTGTCGTCTGAATGGGAATGAGACTGGTACCCCGCGTGGGCAGCGAAGGGGAAGGAGGCTGACTGCTCGGCTCTGAAGTGGTGCCTTCATGGTCGATGAATACAGTTGACTGCGATCATATCGCCATCTATCGAGAGTGGCGGTTGTGAGGGGAAGTCATTCAGAAATACATTCTCGCAGGTTACTCCACACCACTCAGCCAATCACTAGCAGGCGATAGTAACTAACCTCAAGACGAACCTTGTGACTGTTACACGTTAGTAGAGATTACTCAGCAAGAAGTTAGATGAGTTAATCATACATTCCACCGTTTTAGACAACATGGACTGTGCATAGCTGTAGTTAGCTCTAAATGGCTCTCAATGGATCTAACAATACTGCCCTAAGCTTGAAGGGATTAATTAGACCGCTCGATAGCGCCGAGATTGGCAGAATGTTGCCGCATCATTGGCTAGAGGATGACACCTAGTTACCGCCCAGCTGAACCTTCTCAGTATCCCAGCCCTACCTAGATTACCTAGATTACCTAGATTACCTACAGTAGATGCTGATAACTGAGAGTGAAATGCTCCTTGCAGAGCTGGCTACAAAAGTTCTGTATGGCGCTAACTCCACTAATACAATAGCGCAGCCACCAGAGCGTTTTATTCGGTGCTCACATTACCTAGTAAACCACTAACCAAATCAAGTATCAGTAGAAACGCGCTAAGTTCTTCACCTCCCCGTATCTGCGTGGCTATCTCAATATTGCTTTGATACATTAAAGTTGTCTTTACCGTTACAAGGATTCGTCCCACACCGCTATTTGGACTTTTGTTTTCGCTTATTAGTGTCTATTCCTGTTTAATATTCCTGACTAACCAAAGCCTGTTTGAACAGAGACCTGAATCCCCCAAATAACCGCGTCTTGACGCGTACGAAGATGACCAAAAGAGAGAGCTATTCGGTGGAAATCCGCGCGCAGATTGTATCCTTGGTTCTTATAGCAAATATGAAACCTACAGAGGTTGCAACTCTGTTGAATATACCACAACCAACGGTATCCAGAATTGTGCAGCGTGCAAGGCAGCGTGGATTTGATCCCAGTGATGATGCCCGACTGGATGTACGTTATCTCGCAGATTCACCTCGCTCAGGCCGTCCAAAAGTTAGCACTCCGGACACCGAAGCTACTTCAACGCAAAGACCAGAGATGGCAGACACGGCATAGAATATGTCGCGTATATTCCAATGCAAAGAGACGATCCTGAGATATTCTGCAGGCCAGAGGCATCATGGCGCCGAATGCTCTTTCAACAGTCAGTTCCAGCAGCGCAAGAAACCTTGATTTGTTTCAAGAAAAGTGCTGGTCTCCACCCGTACGGCTTGCTATCTTTTCGGGGTGACTACACTATGGGCAAGGTTCACGATCACGTCCAAAAATTAACGCATATACCACGTGGTGATGATTTGCAATAGCTCTTTGTCTTGCAACCCGGGTCAAGCCAAAAACCCCGTTTCGGACCTAGGGCTGAATCTTTGGTTCAACAGGGGTGGATCGACCGACAGCTTTGGTGTAAAAAGCATTTTGGCATGGCGGACAATATGAAACTAAGTGGCGATGAGCAACAGATCCGGAAGTCTTGGTGTGAAAGAAATCCTAGGCTGACTAGAAGGAAGATTGAAAGGGTGCACAGGGATCTGTGGTGGTATGCCCCAGGTTTTTCGCTGGTATCCTGAGTTGTAAATTCTCTTTCCACCCAGACATCCTGCACCTCCAGGATGCTGTCACAGCTGTAACAAGGCCGAAACTCCCAGCCCCCTAGGGTTTACTAGTGACTAGTCTGAAGGACCAAGAGTACCTGTGCCCCGAGTTGGCTTAGTCCTCTCACCAGTGGTAAATCCTATACACTTCCCAACGGACTCTGTCTTGAGACATGGCCTCTGCAATCAGTGTCCCGGCCACCTTGTCTTGAACCAGAGTTGAGCCGCGCCATCATCTGGCTTCGGGGATCACTTAGAGATCTCCCTAATGACGCTTGACAACTGCATCATGCTAAAACCCACACCCATGCAGTTTAGTTGCCCTCGATGAATCATCTGCCAGCCCAAAACACGCTAGACTTGGCCACAGTCCTACTTCCTATAATTAATTATCAAAAGATTACGTAGTATAATTCTTAAAAGTTGACTATATTCTATTCAATAGATTTAGTACCTCTAATCACTATTTTGGGTGCTTCAAACCTATCCCCAAAACTGTTAGTGACAAATATTCTGTCATCTCTTTCTCTCACTAGAGTGTTCAGAGTGTTCAGAGTGTTCAGAATTTTTGGAATATTTCATCTGCTGCTGAATTGCACTATTTGCATATTTGCGATTCCATTGACACCTCCGGTCTTTGTCTCACCCACTCAGCATTTTCTTAACCCTCTTTTCCAGGCTTTTCTCGAATTGCTCTACCCCAGTCTGCTCGACCAGTTTCCCCGCTTTCAAGATAAAAACCGTTCTTCGTCTTGGAATCTGAGTATCATCATCGGATTGTTCATCATCTTCGGCTTCGAAATCCTCATTCAGTCGCGCATCCCCGTCTCGCTTGCCTTCAACGACAGACCTTACTAGAAAACGGTCGTGCGAAACTACCAAGATCGCTCCGTTGAACGTCGACAACGCCGATGCCAGAGCCGTGACTGTGTGGAAGTCCAGATGCGTAGTGATTTCATCGAGCACTAACAGATGCGGCGGATTCCAAAGCACCTTTGCCATGGCGAGCCGAACCTGTGAACATTAGCAGAGTCACTACATTAAACTCCATAGACAGATTATGTGCCTACCAATTGCCCACCGGATAGACGAAACACGGGAACATCGGATGCAATACGACCAGGCAGGCCCAAAGCCCCCAGGAGCGCTCTAGCATCGCCCTCATTTAGTTGGCCATCCGCTTCACGCATTATGGTTGACAGTGCCGTTTGTTCTTGATTCGCACGACCTTCCTTTTGCAGCCCCCCAACCGAGTTCTGAGCATAGTACCCAATCTTCAGTCGTGGATGGCGAGTGACCTTCCCAACACCAGCCTTTTCCATCTCCCCCGTTAGCAGCTGCAGGAGCGTCGATTTCCCGCTCCCATTAAGCCCCATGATGCCCACGCGGTCACCAAGGTGGATCGTCAAGTTGATATCACTGAGTACCACCGGCGCAGTGCGCTTGTACCGAAAAGTGATATTCTCCAGCGATATCAACGGTCCGGGAAACCTCAAATCCGGCGCGTTTGGTATGAACATTGATGCGCCCTTCTCGTCCTTGGGCACTTCGATCTCTGCCCTGCTGTTCTCGTGCCACCCTACCATGTCTCGGTTTAACTTGAACCGACCGCCATTCGCACTAACCTGCACGCCCATCCGATCATCGATCTTCTTTTGGCGAGACTTGGCCATGCGCAGTTTATTCTCATCGCCGGTTTTCTTGCCCATCTTCGTGGTTTCGCGAATCGTCGCCTCCATGTGTGCGATTTGCTTTTCTTGCGCCTCCCTCATACGGCCCCAGTATAGCTTCTGATACTCGAAATTTTCTTCGTACGCGGCAAGGTTGCCTTTGAAGTAGGAGAGTGTTTGGTCGCGGAGGATCACTAGCTCTTCGCAAATGGCGTTGATGAAAGCGCGGTCATGAGAGACTAGGACTAATGTCGTGTCCGACGTTTCGCGCATCTGTTTGAGGTAGTTCTCAAGCCAGATGACTCCGAGGAGGTCGAGGAAATTGGTCGGTTCGTCGAGGATCATGATGTCGGGGTTTTGAATCAGAATGCCGGCGAGCATACATCGCATTCGCCAGCCCCCTGACAACGTGACGAACGGCTTCGAGAGACCTTCCTCTTTGAAGCCCAGGCCAAGCAATACTTTTCGTGCTTGTTGCTCTATATCGACAACTTTCATCTAATCAGTTTAGCAGTAGAAATTTCAATATCTAAGTCTACATGGTAACTGACCGTTTCGTATTGCGACTGAAGCTCTTCGAGAAGATCAACTGCTGCCTGAGTGTCGGCTGTAATGCTTTCTGCATTGATTGAATCTTTGTCTTCATTTAGCAAGCCCCGCGAGACGGCGACCTTGGTCTCGACAGATTTGAGTTCTTTCCTCGCTTGAAGCCCTCTGGCACCACTTCTCAAACTCGCGTTTTTCTGTGCTAGAAATAATTGCTTCTCTAGCTCCTCATGGCGGAGCTTTCTGATGGTTAACACTGGGGCTAAAGAGTCATCCTCGTTTTCCAAACTTCTCGATAGAACTATCGATAGTTAATGAACGATTCAATCTTATGACTCTTGTAGAAGGGAGTTACCTTCGATTTTTCTTTTGATGTCATTTCTGAGATCATCACTCGCCATGACCTGCTCCAAAACACTTCTCCCCTTTCCCCCTGACACGGAAGCAGCTTCTCTCAACGACTCGGCGAGACTATTATCATCTTCATCTTCTATCTCGGCATCTGTCTGCTGAAGAATCGCTATCCTAGTCGTATACGAAATACCCGGAATAAGCTTCTCCGCCATTGCCTTGAGGATGGCTTACAATCATTGTCAGTTATTAAAAAAAAAAAAAAAATTAAAACCGTCTGATTAAAAATTTTACATACTGGACTTGCCCGTCCCATTCCTTCCAATAAGACCATAATGCACACCAGCTTTGAGCCGCAAGTCAGCGTTGGAAACTAATTCAAGGCCGTCGGATTTGGATTTGGATTTCGCTGCTTTTGGCTTCTCGCTGGTAGAAGGCTGGGATGATCGGACTGCGATGGTGAGGCCTTGGATGTCAACCTGTATATATTTATTTATTATTAAAAACGAGAATAATATTTAAGGCTTCGGATCATACCTCGCGAGAAGGTCTGTCGTCGAGGAGATGGAACCGTGTTTGCTTGCACGTGGCGAGGATGGAGGGTCCGGATTCAGTCATATTTGCACGTCTTACTTCTATCAACAGCGTCTTTCACATCGATGTCTTTCACAGCGATGATCTGGTAGGTCAGATTGAAGAGATGGAATTTTTGAATTCTTTGATTTGGTTAGTGCTAAGATTGAATTCTGAATTTGATCTTGATTTCTTTTTATTCCTTTCTATGTGAATGGCGAATCTCGTATGCCGGAGTGCATTGGCCAATCAAAGAGGCTCAAAGTGACTCATTTTTGGTCAACTTAATGAGCAAGAAAATTAATCTTGGTAATTTCTAAATAAGTAAGTAAGAAATAAAAATCCGTTGATTGATATTAATTTAAATCGTCTGGTTGGGAATAAATGGAAATTTTATAGGCTCGACTGAGTACGTATACTGTAAGGCTCCTTGGCACTGCCAACCTCTAAATGCCAAAAAGTAATACTGAGGTAATTGGGCCATTGCCCAATTCCAGGGTTGGCACGCTTATAAGCCTCTGTGAGCCTGCAGCGCTCTTGCTGCTGCCAGGCCTCACATATACCTCAATTGTTGCATACTGCCCATCTCTACGTATGTATGAATGCAATGCTCTATGACCTTTATATAGAAAAGCTGTATTCTTTTTGTCATATAATTACAAAGATATATTATAAATCTATAGGAATAATCAGCTATTATACTCTTATTATTAAGAAATATATATATTATTTTTTATATAAGCTGTATCATTTTAAAAAGCAAGATACCCACCTAGCTATAAAACGGTTAGTTTGAAATAGAGACTCCCTGACTAATAGGGCAAAATAAAGGAGAGTGTACAAAAACTTGAAGGAGGTTTCGAATTTGACTGTATAAATCAGCTATCAAACGATAAATTAGAATTCCATGAATGTAAAAATAATTTACAGCATCCTTCAAAGAATATATATTACTATATTACTAGGGACTATTTCCAGAACCTTCCAATCTTTTATTTTTCGCCGCAGTTCTCCGATATCATTCACCTTGAGAATCGCGGATTGAATAATGATGTCTTGAGCTTCCATCGCGGTTTCCATTTCAGTATACACTGGATGTTTAGAATGAACAAAGAAAAGAAACGACGAGCGGGTTAGGTATTTGATTCTCCCACTTTGGTGCCGTGCTCCCGGGGCTATTCTCTTACGGCTTCAACGAAGTGCTTAGTTGATAAAAAAAGCTACTTGGTCTCGTGGCACAGCGTACTCTGTCCAAAGTTGCCAGTTCCCGGTCGAGTTAATGCAACGCATAAACCTAGCGCATCATACGATTTAATAAGAGCAACAACGGAAATGGATAGCATTATTGTATAACAAAGCTCCCCTCCCTTCCCCGCAGTTTCATTCTTGCATGTCTATATCTTTCAACAACATTTAGGATGGGTTATCATTGTTCAGCCTTCAAAATCACTGTATCTAATAGGTTTGCACTGTTGCTTCTGAGGAATGGACCTGAAATCCACCTCATGATTTTCAATCCCAATGACCCCATTTGTATTCCTGCAGAATCTCATACTCTTGTCCTAGAGTCAAAAAGCCTTCCGTAACCTAAGATTGTACTTTCACTCTCCATCTCCCAATTTTATTTCTTGAGGTTTACGCTCCTAGGCAAGTTCTAAATTGATCAAAGACATCATCCATCTCCACTAAGGATCTACAGAGTCAGTTCTGTTCTTCCGCTGGGCTACTTAAAACTCTTATCATTCTATATAGCCACACTACAAAGAGTGAGCACTAGCTTACATCGACATTGGGATAACTTAAATATCACTTCACATCAAATCCCGAAGAAACACCCCGAAGCAGACTAAGGTCAGAAGAATGAATAAGGTAAGTATTTATCACGTTCATTCATGGCTGTATAAGTGGACCAGAGAGAAGAATAAAATCTTAACCAATATGCCGTATTATATAAAATAATAGCTCACCATGAAAGTTTCAATAAACATATTCTCATCCTATAACGATATTCTGCTCTACTAGCTAATTCCTCCTTACTAGATAGTTATACAGAATAAATAGGCATACTAAGTTATGCTTAACGATATACTAAATCACCTAAATAAAGACTCTATTATCAATACAAGATGGGCCACATAGTGCTGGGCAGACTCTCATTTGTCAGAGGTGTCCGGAAAGTGCAAAGCTTAGTACTGAAAACTATCCTAACCAATCAATCTTCACGATTAGATTGAACAGTGCTCTTCAACAGATTATTACCCATGCCAACAGCGCCACACACTCTTTTAGATGGTGGTGCGTTCACCTCAATACAATTACCACCTCAGCACAAGAAGTTACGTTTCGCTAGTGATTACGGGCTTTGTATATTCATTTGCTAGCCTTTCGCGAAGCTATAAACCTGAACTGAGGTATAAGTGATGATGATATTCTACACAATCTAGTATACAGGCATATCTATTTATAGTCATAGTAGCTACCTGTTGTCTGCTAGATTACCACTGGTAGCCTAGCAGTATAGGTATCACATGATCTGGGATCCAACTGCCGAAGCGACATGCAGGATGTCACTCCAGACAGCTATCTCTATTCATCTAGTTACAGCTAGTTTCGCTCTAAAAACCCTGTTTTTATTTTTGGACCCTAACGCTAGAGCTATTACGGACCAGCTGAATTTTGAACCCTGCCTTTAGTTCTCCCGGGGTTTCAGCTTGGCTGACACTTGCGAAAAGCCAGCGCGTAGATTTCATGGCAAGTTTGGTATCAGACCATGAATTCGACATTCCAATCTCTACTAATCTCGAAAACTTGGTTCCAGGTTGTAAGTCTCCCTTCCCCTTTGGCTTTGGGTAGACGGATCAAACACAACCACCAGACACAGGACCGTTGCCAAATGATAAGGTTGCAGCTCTTTAGTACTAGTGTCGCACGCGGTCCGTTGGACGGCGGGAGGGACGGACGGACGGGAGGGCGGACGGTAGCCTTTGGCCAGGAGCGCGGCCCTGGAAATTGGGCTCTTGAACATACTTAATCATAAGCCAAACTTTTTACCATAGCAAGGCTGAAACGCGCCACCAGCGGGCTCTGCCTATAATTGCCCAGTCTGAGGAGCCACATGTTCGCTCTTAAAGTGACAGCCCCGTTCCAAAATTTGCGTGTTCCCATCAAAGGACTAATTACCGAGTTACACCCTACCTAGCTGTGTACTCTGTTATCCTTCAAAGTCCAAGTGTAGAACCGCACAATGGATTGCAGATATCTTGTTATCCAAGACGAAGCCTCCAGCCCTGCACTTGATGATCTTGTGACGTCCGCCTTAATCACAAAAGGAACAGTAAGTGACAAGTAATGTTGGGCTATCTGAACTTATATTCATTCACTCGCGTTAGAGTGATGACCACCCTACTCCTAGAAAGTCCCCTCAACCGTTATCGTCGAGACAAAACGAAAAGGATGGTGTTACATACGCTTCAGTTCCTACTGTACCATTCGATGAGCTCGACGACACAGACGAAGGTGGACGACCTTTGCAATCAACCAAAGCCTTAACAGGAGCCGAATCACGAGATCTACTGCCTGCCGTCGACATTGGGTCTGGCACCAAATTGCAGTGTCTTCTCACAATAGCCCTAGGCGTAGCGTGCTTTTTGGCCTGTATTATCTGCAGCATTGGCTTCTGGACCAAGTCCACTGGACCTCCATTAGTGTACCTGCCCAAAGGCTTACCCGGCGAGGCGCTCTCCTTCATCGTCAACATCATCCTTACGCAATGTCTGGAAGGCTTAGCGTATGTCCATTCAGTATCACTTCGCTGGGCACTTCTAAAGGAGAATCGACTCGTATTCAACACCAACATTCGCTTAGCCGCCAACTCGAGGCTCTCTCGGCCTAATAGCTGGTACATCAATTCCATCTCAGCGACACTTCTAATTCTTTGCTATGCGGCCACTTCAATGCTTGTTATGCCTCGGGTCGACTCGGACGAAGGCATACACCACGAATCACACATTAACTTGATCGCCTTGTTGGCACTTGGACTCGCTCTGTTCGGCCAAACATTGCTCGCCTTCTGGTGCTACTATAACAATCTTCGTGACATTCCCTCCTGGAGCTCAAACCCACTGAATACTACACTAACTATTCTAAATCAGCAGCTCGTGCAACATAGAGAAGGCCGCTGTATAGACCCGGTTCAAATTCGAGACACACCAGACGAAAGACCAATGCTCCCGCGTAAACAGCAGCCGAGTCAATGGCAAGTCAGCACTTCCGCAAGGAACGCTATTATATTCATCTGGATCCTGACTGGGTTGTCTTTCGTCTGGTTCTTGACCATAGTCCTTGTCGCACGAGCCAACATGATAGGTGCAATCAATAAAGTCAACCATCTGCCCAATGCGAAATGGCATTTCTCATTGGCTTGGGATCCTTCAGGAAATCCCATTGTTGGGGAAACAGGAGCAACGACCTATTTCAATGCGGTTTTCTTCAGTCTTGATTATGTCGAGCAAATCCAATCAATGTCTTTCGTTGCTGCTCTTATCGTCGGTCTTCTGTTTGTCTGCATAATACAAGGATTGCAAACTCTTGGGCTCCACTGTGCAGAGCTCATTGTCAATTTATCTCGAGATGAAGATGTATGGAGAGCTCTCGATGCTCAAGACGGGTCTGGCGCCAAAAACCATGTTCTCAAGAACCCGCCCATCCTAGCTGCCCTGATGAGCTGGAAGTACCTCACGCTCCTAATCTTCAAATCCCTTCTGCATTGGCTGCTCGGCCAATCATCCCAGCCTTCCTTCGATTATATTGTCGACAGCCGAGTTTGGTTCACCATGAACTACGCTCGTTTATTCGTTTACGTCATCTGCGCCGCTGCCTTTGCTTCAGCTCTTACCTTTCTTACGTTCATGAAGCCGAAGGGCCCCCAGCCGGCAACGTACGGCCATATACAAACTATTGCAGACTTAATTGACGACTGGACTTTGAATGAAAATGGACGATTTTGGTGGGGAGATAAAGGTTGCACAGAAGGAGTTCGGCACGCGGGGATGAGTTCTAAGAAAACAGGTCTCGGACAGATACAGATGAATACTCCTTACGCTGGTGAACTTAGTAGGAGATTTATTGGCAGCACGAAGTTCATTAACAAGAAATATTCTTAGCACAACTGTATCATGGTTCACACTTACTGGTGTGGTACCAGAGAGTGAGAGAGGATCATAATCCTCGGGAAATTCCTGGACACAAGGAGTGCGACGTCGCCGACAAGCGACAAATGTTGTGACATGACCCTTTGCTGTAGATAACGAGCATCGGACCTTTCTGCGTTTGCATTCCCAGCAACTACGAGTTCCTTTGCGGACTTTTTGTCGCTTGATAGAAGACTTCAGACTAAACGATATGGTGTCTAATTCATCCGTTGCATCCGTTGCTTCCACCATAGGTCTTCCCCACCAACATGGGTTCCGACAATACCCTTTCAGAGCAATCCGATCTCAGTATACACGACTAGTATATTTTTGTTCTCTGTTCACTTCGATGTAGAGCTAGCTGGGTGCAGATTTAGTTGGTTATTGGACCGAGGTTTGTGATCCGACGAAGGTCACTTCGGCGGAAACGACATCTGGCCGAAGTTTGAATTATTTTATTTGTCACAAGAATCGATAAGTCACGACCAATGAATTAAGTTCGACATTTTTGAGTGGCGATCATGTCTCCCACCTGTTATCATAACCAAGAAAAAGTAACGTCCCATTGTCTATTTTTCTGTATGGGAAACCCTTATCTTTCGATGAAAAAACGGACTACAATTTAGAAGATGTTAGGCTGTCTTAGTATCTTAGTATAACTTTTTAATATAAATCATTTTAATTATATTAAAAAGATTAAAAAAATAATTGTACTTGAATCTGGGCGGTCTGTCATCGGCAGGCGACGCCCGCACGTTTGGCTCCTAGGAGGTGTGAGGCCTGGCGGCAGCGGAGCGCGCGCTCATAGAGGCTTATAAGCGTGCCAACCCTGGAATTGGGCATTAGCCCAATTACCTCAGTATTACTTTTTGTCACTTGGAGGTCGGCATTGGCAGAAAGCGTTACATTAGTTTAGATTTATAATATATTTCATTTATTAATATATAAGTATTCTATTAATCTATTAATATTTTAATAATATAAGAACTTATGTAGAGTTTTTAGTATAATACCGCATTATAAGTGTTCTGTAGCTAAGGTTTTAGACTGGAGGCCCCACACTTTCTCTTCTTTTCACTGGCAGAGATGCCTACTGCTCTTTAGCCTTGCAGCTGGCGGCCCTACTAAGGTTTAGGTGTGTGTGGATGAATTCTATCTATCTATCTTAGGGAATGCTTATTGAGTGTTTTGAATTTATAGATGCCGCTTAGCGAGCGATCTCTAAGTTAGGTTGAGCATAAAGCGGCACTGTGCTGAGCGCGTTAGGGCCGCATATTGCATTTATGTAGGTACAGCATTAAAGCCAAGATCTACCCTTATTCTGAAGAGGTTTCAGTGATTCAGTTGTATTGATTGAGAACAAAAAGTCTGAGTACTATAAGCATAAAAATACGTTTAATGAAGGAAATAAATTTTAAATGCTAGTCAGCGTCTTGAAGTCGGAAGCAATGACTGGATATGAAAAGCTTCCTGTAGAGACTATAAAAATCTATTTAATGTACGAAACTAAAATCTAGCCTTTTGTTCCCCTGGTCCGTTGTGGATTTTATGTAGTCGATTTTCTCCTATTTCACTTGTCAGTCTGAATTGCACATATCGAAAGTAACAAGAGAACCAACAACAGACCTCTTCCGTTAGGGCAGCCCACTTCCTAGCCTTCCATTTATTTCTAGTGATATAGTAAAACTTGGTGAAGAAAAATAACCCAATCACGAGACAGTTGATGATGATGAGGTTTCTATTGCCTTGATGGTAGAGCGGAGCGTCTTCTGAACGATAGATATTCGCAGAGATCACGCTGCCTACTTGAACCATCACTGTAAATCCAAGTTAGTCATTTTTCCCACACTAAAGTTTCGGTTCATATAGAATCGACGAGACATACTATTATAAACAGCCGCAGAGATGGAGCGTGTTCGCACTGATCCCGAGTTTGTAGAGCACCATGCCCTTAATATTCACTGTTAGTTGATCACTTATAATTTCGAATCGAAAAAGCAAGAGGCAAGAAACATACACTAGAATTGCATGACAGTATGGATAACTTAATAAAACCGTCATCAACGCAAAGGTCCCCCATGACTGTTGAAGTTCTCCGGGCCAGAAACGCAGGGCAATAACGCAGGGTAGAGTCCAAATGGGCTGGAGCATGCTGACGAAGGTTCGCTCGCGCACGCGTCTACTAAGCCAAGTTAATCCGAGAAGGGTAAATATTGAAATAACGGTGGAAGGGATAGTAAGAAGATTTGTTTGAAACTAATTCTGCGGGTCAGTCTTAATACTTCAAATGAAAGGGCTGTGGAGAGGAATACTGTTGTAAACCCGAGTTTTCGTAGTGATAGCGACATATAATAGGCCGTTGGCTGTAGAGGGACATATGCGATAAGACCAAGGGCGTATATCTGTACTTAGATAAGTTCGCTGCTTCGGTAAAATGGCCGAAACGAGGACTCACAGGCCACATATCAAAATCTTTCAGTGACAGCCATAATCTTTTGGGAGTAATGGCCATTCGATTATGCATGTCACCTAAACATTTGAATGTATTAGCTCGAATCTTGAAATTTGAATGGACTTATAAAATACCCTTGGTTGGGTCATCCCGTAGAACGCGATTGACAACAATGCTCAGCTCTCGGTCGTTGAACCATCCATTGGGTCGAAACCATGTCTTGGTTTGGACAGCTGAAGCGGGCATCAGAAAGAAGGATGCAATACCAACTGACAATGTAATTATTCCTTCGATGAGGAAGAGGTATCTGCAAGATAACGTATGAGTATGACGAAAATCAGTGATGAGTACTAATTCCTTACCTCCACCCAGCTACACCGTGAGCACCATCTAAATGAAGAATACCAAACGCTAATAATGAATTGATGATTCCAGTTACACTCAACGTTGCCCAGAAGAAACTGCTTTCATTAGCTATCCTTCACCATGTTTGCATTTGGTGAGAAATACCTGAGTCGAATTGGAAGCTCGCTGCTAGTGTAGAAATACGAGAGCCACAAAACGAGATCCGGAATAAAACCTCCCTATGGTTCGCCATCAGCATATAAATTCAATATGTTTGCATGTGTATTAAATAAACAGATCTTACCTCGAGAATTCCGAGCAATGACCGCGTAGCATAAAATGAGCTTTTTCCTTTCAGCGCATACTGACTCATTGCGACGATGGACCAGAGTGTCATTTGAGTTGGAATCCATCTATCTGGGCCCAGTTTCTTGGAAACCAACTGAGAGGGGACCTCTGCACATAGGAAGGAAACTAGGAATATAGTGTTTCCTTTAAATAGTGAGTATGTTTCTTCTTTCCTCGGCATGATTAGGATATTTACCATAATTGTAATCTGGCGAATAGAATGGTTAGCTGCAGTGTTCGGCATCAAATTATTGGGCTGTTTTCTAACCATTAGTCGTCAGATGAAGCTCCTCCAACAAGTTGCCCGACACTGCCTGGATGAGGTTTCCTCTATCGATCTGAAGCGCGAAGAACATAATACACTGTAACCCCAATTAGTTTTATTTACATACATATGTATGTATGACCAATCCCTACCGCCCATAAGCAAACATGCCAATCAAGCTTCAGCACAACTTTCCGTTCTTCCTCCTCCGACCACCGGAGATTCGGGTCCAGTAGGTGACGGCACTCATATTTTGCTTCCTCGTATATCGAGGTGTAATGAGCGAGGATCTCAGGGTCAGAGAAAATGTTGTGAGATGTAGTCGAGCCAGTTTCCTCATCGCTGGATGAACTGAGCTCGAGAGGACTTACAGTTGCCTCTTTGTTGGGGAGATTGCCAACTTCATGCGGATTATTTTCGGGGTTTGTTTCAATCGCCATGTCTAGTTACTATAGAATTTCACGGCAAAAATTGAGACAATTCTGTATTTTGGTTATTGCAGAAGGAATCTGGCTACAGCTATTAGTTTATATTCGAGCGCGTCTGGGCCGGCTTCGTGTAGGATATGGTATGGATCTACTCTACTACATAGTAACATCGAATGCTGTCAATTGCAAGACAAGGTGATATTTCCAAGGCCAATTGCGTGATATCCATGTGTCCAAGATCGATGTTTTATTTATCTAACGCTGCAAGAGCGATTAAGTCTCTACTAGTGAGTATGATTGTTATCGATGGTGCCGGCGAGCACGTCAACTGCGCCGTCATGTGGAACAGCGCAATTATACGTTCATTATTACTCTGTACAAAATGAGACGATAATACATTTCCGTTCATTTTTCTTGTTTTTCACGTGTATATTCAGTATATAGATGGAATTGAGTTTGGATAAGTTAAGCTTTCATACGCCATAATAAAGTTCTTCGTGCCTCGTAGTCCGAGGCCGCAAACCCGTCTTCAAATTCAAATATAGTTCCAGTGGATGTAATTTGCTAGTTTCTGACCCTGGGACAAAATAAAAACCAAACCGACACCGGATTCTCCGTTTCATGATACAAACATCAATTGATTGAGTTTTAGATGCTTACCTTCCTAATAAGGAAATTTCAATTCGGAGGTCCGCGACGTGTTTCAAAGTGACAAGTACAATTCTACTCTTAGTTTCCCAATGCTTATTAAGATTAGTGCTCAGGGTCTTTAAGCATTACAAGGGTTGTGATCAGACCTGGTGTTGTGCGGGGCTGGACGATGACATCGAAGCGCGGATGGTTGACGTGATTCGGGGCAGTTAGTTAGCATACATATCAACGTACATAGTGTCCCATTGTAATGAGAGAATAAAAACAAGCCAATAGCGAAGGTCCGATAAGGCACTTCTAAGGCCATACATATTACTCAGTCTCGAATCTCTAATCTCCTCAAATCCAATGATGATATGCCACTCTACAAGCACCTCATCGCGCGCTAACAGCGCATGCTCCGAGTGCTGGCCTAAGGCACCATACCTGCAGACGATGATGCCTTATATTTGTCTATGTGATTCTGGCTTTTATGCACATAATACCATTGCGTAACCAACTTTAATTCAGGTCAGGAGACTTTAGCCAGCGTATATACAACGCTTTGGTTGGTGCGCACCATCTCGTCGCGCAAGCATGCCATTATGTTACTTGCTAATTCAGAGACGCCTCTACATGTGGAAGACGGAGCATTTTTTGTAACGCGGAGCATTTTTGGCGGGGTCGCTTGAAATACGTCAGACTGGATTGTATAAATACTAATGAAGGCCACCCGACATCGTTAAATGCATGTAAGCAAGGGAAAGACTTTTCCTGTCTCGCCAAAAATACCATTAAAAAACACCTTTTAATCAGTACTAAATCACTATTCAAAGTTAGAGAAAATGGCTCCTTCAGTTGCAGAAATTTCGGAGAGTCAGGGAACTGCTCCAGTGACTGTTCCATTGAAGAATGTGTCCGAGACCACTGAATCCAAGCCCAAGGTCAGAAGAATAATCGATGAGGAGAAGGATTCAACTGCTAGTGTTAGTATCCCCACCTCATTCAATTTTGAAACTCTGTATTAAGAATATCTATGTTTTATAGTATCCGAACTACCTTCCAACCTGGGACCACGGGGAAAAGTATCCCGCTTGGGAACCTTTCACCCACGTCGAACACGGCAAAGGTGCCGACCCAACCTTCAAGGACCTGCTGCCCGAAGGATCTACTATTCAGAGACTCACTCCATCCATCGGGTCTGAAGTCCGAGGAGTCCAGCTAAGCAAGTTGTCCGACGCCGGAAAGGATCAATTAGCCCTACTCGTGGCCCAGCGTAAAGTAGTCGCATTCCGTGACCAAGACTTCGCGGATCTTCCAATTCCTGACGCCCTTAATTTTGGTGGCTACTTTGGCCGTCATCACATTCACCCGACCAGCGGTGCTCCTGAGGGACATCCCGAAGTCCACATCGTCTATCGAAATGGGTCAGATGGCGAAGTTGAGGCTTTCTTTGCCAATCGCAATAGCAGTGTCCAGTGGCACTCGGATGTTTCGTACGAGCAACAGCCCCCGGGAACCACCTTTTTGTACATCCTTGACTCGCCAGAGGTAGGCGGTGACACTGCTTTTGTAAATCAGGTTGAGGCATACAACCGTCTGTCGCCGGCAATTCAAGAGCGTTTGCATGGGCTGAGGGCTATTCATTCTGGTTTTGAACAAGCAGAGTTTAGCAAAGGTCGCGGAGGTGTTGTAAGGCGAGAGCCAGTTTCGAACGAGCACCCAATTGTGCGAACTCATCCGGCAACTGGGGAAAAAGCTTTATACGTGAACGGCGGATGTAAGTGCATAGTTCTGCTCCTTCTTATTGTTCATTAACTTACGGTTTTGAAGTCACTCGCAGCATCGTTGGCCTTAAGAAAGAGGAAAGCGAGTCCTTGTTGTCTTTCTTGTTGAATCATATCGGCCGTGGAATTGATTATCAGGCCCGTGTTCGATGGGGCCCTAAGACAGTTGTTGTTTGGGATGTGAGTTCCATAGAGAAACTATGCGGATGAATATTTATACTGATAAACTATAGAACCGTGTTACTGCGCACTCTGCCATCTTCGATTGGACTACAGGCGAACGCCGTCACCTGGCACGAATCACTCCCCAGGCTGAACGGCCGTATGAAACACCATATGCGGCTTGAATGACATGACCGCAATAAAACAGTATATGGAACTTTCAGAAATCATATTTTTGTTTGAAACACAAATTGGCTCGTCCATTTACACAAAGTTGATATAATATACCATTTTAGTAGTATTATTTATTGTGTGCATTTGTAGATAAAGTTGTTCGTGACAAAGGATTTATCATATGAGAGAGTAACCACCAGTTTCACACGGAAATGGTCCGAAAAGGAGAAATTAAGCATGGGATATTTTTAATCTAGTTACATAAAGGCATGACTCATAGTATATTCCAGCCACACCCTCAACTATTTGCCTCTCATAATATATGACCAACCGCTAGAAAGTTGTCCACAGTTATCAAGCATTGAAAAGGGGACTTTATGCTAAATATATTTCTAATCACTTCTGTATTTGAACTTTTCGGGGATTTTATCTCTATTTTATGCTTCATAACATGCACCTAAATAGAGGCACGGATAGCGGAAGAATTAATTAATTTAGAGATCAATAGTTGGATGTGTCCTATTCGAGGCTATTCTCTTGAGGATCTAGCCCTTGCTTGTACTTGACTTCGGTACGAGGTTGTCCATCATCGGGTTCGGGTTTTTGATATACTGTGGCAAAATTCTCCCAATCTTTGGGGAGTGTGATGATTAATGTAGTACCCTGACATTTGTATCGAAACTAACCAACCTTGTCCATGCCAAATATCGCTTCAGTGATAAAACTAGTTCATTATGTTGTGCGGTATACTTGTCGTCGGTGCTCAAGTTACTTTGCTGCACAGACAATCTCGGAATCCCATTTCCATATTGGAGCTATACTGGTATCTACCGAGTCTGGGAAGTTATGTAGATATTCTAGCTGGGCTAACATATTTCGATTGACGATTTTCTGGCGCCCGTATATAGATTCCGCTAGCGATAAGTTATGGATAAGCTTATGTGGTAAATGTACATCTCTCATGTCCTAACAACGAATAGGCTAGCAGAAACAGACGACTATGAGTTGCGTTCTACTTTCAAAGCAGAAATGACTCGTATTAGTGCATATTCAACTAGAAATCTAACAATGAGAGAACATAATACGGGTATTTTTGCGTGCCATCTATGTGGCGAGCAGACATGTGACTCCGCTGGCACTGTTTCCAACCAAGCATAGCCTCTTGCCGGTCTCCATCCACAGGAATAACAAATCTCTCTATTCACCCAACTTAACTACGTTGAATTAGGAAGGAGACAGTGGCTTCTTCATGCTTTTCAGAACATTATTGGGCCCATATATCGAGAGGTTAATATCACTTTGTCGATATGAGCCCAGGAATTAGTGGGCAGGTTAAGCCAACCAGTATCAAGTCTTAAGGTCATATGGCCAAATTGATCTTAGGACTCCTTCATCTTTCACTGGTTCATCATGATCAGGGTTCTTGTTTGTTAGAACAGCAGTCAACATGCCATCAAATACTTCCTCGTGGGCCAACTCAGTTGCTTCCCAGTTATCTAAAGGAACCCATCCATCTGTCGCAGTATTGAGCAGGCTTGATAGGTCATGCTTCAAGTCCTGTGCTGCTACAAACAGCTTGTACTCTCTTTCATGCTTCGCTAGTTCATTTGGCGAAGGGAGAGAATATGGACTCGAGCCTGCGAAACCGAGTTCGTTCCACCTTCGGGTAGTCTCAATCAGTTCATGGCGTAGGGCAACAACTCCATCTTTCCACGTTCTGTAACCATAGAGAAACGGTCTGAATAGATCCTCATCCATTAACCTAGGACCGGAAAGCTTGGGAGTCAAAAACCGAGAGCAAGTATCAAAAGCTTTCGCGCAAACATTGTTTTCAGAATCATCAGGAATAGCAAAATCCGGCACTTCATCCGCATACCAGAACGCCGGTTCAATGCTAACTGACTGCCAATCAATAATGTCTGTTATTTTTGAAGGGTCATCTTCCGAAACAAATATATTTCTTTTGTGTAGATCGGGATGGAACAATGTCGGTGTTGAAACTGCTTGAATCTGAGGGTGTGTACACATTTCCTTCAGCACAGACCGAGTACATTCAAGGAGGCTCAAGTGTTCTTGAACAGAGCCATGATACAATGCCCGTTTCTCAGCTGCACAATCGTTAGGTGGGATCCTGGAAATACCAGCATCAACAAGGCCATCGCAATATTCATTTAGAGTAGTCCCTGGGTAACCTGTAAGCAAATTGACCGAAGCAATCCTTGAGCAACCTACATGGTCCTTGATTTGGTTGAGTGTTATAATAATACCTTGGCTCACTAGTATTGCAATTCCAATACCTGGGTGCGCAGTGGGGTCCAACACAAAAACCTCCACCCAGAGGTTGTTTTTTGCAATCAGGTGGAAGACTGGCTTCGAAATTCACACTCCCAAAAGCAGGGAATTTCAAGCCCACCATCTCTCGCAGCTTTCGGTAGATTCCGTCAATACATCTTACTCGTTCATTACCAGCCATTTCTGGCCATTTTTTGTGTAGTTGAACACCCTCAGCATGTTCCATTATGATATACTCGCTTCCAATAGCATTTGAGCACTCATTACTCCAGTCCAGGATTGTTGGGATTGGAATAGTCGTCTTAGCTTGTACTGTCAATATATCAGTCGTCATTCAGAGTATCTGGTGAATTCTCAATCCCTCCTTACAGTATTGAATTGTAGCAACTTCAGAGGAAGTTGCTAATTGAGATGGTCCAGCCAGAGTAAATGGTAGCCTTGCAACGATGAGTTTAGAATCATTCAAGGTGAAGATAAAGACCCGATTAAATCCTCCTTCTATTTTTTTGCAATTCGAGATCGAATCAGCACCTGGACATAGCTCAAGAATCCTCCTACAAAGCGCATCGAAATTGAATCCGACGTAGCGCATGTCTCTCTCTTTTTGTCGTGGTGAAGCCACCGACCGCTTGTATAATTATGTGGGTCGAGTTCTATACTTTTGTGAGCAGTCTTGAAAAACCGCTTAAGTTATAGAAGCGAACCTATCATATGTTCATGTAACAGCGCTTTGTTATGGCCATATAACGTGAGAGAACGTGCCATACATAGAGGCGGAGGATGCATAGATGACTGAGCAAATTTAAGAGAAAAATGGTGTGTCAAAGGAAATAGACCTGGATGGCGCTTTTTCCACAAGCACTGGCGTATCATTATACGCATGTCAGAATGCCCAGGTAAAAGAAGGAGTACGAGGGAAATATGAGATGCTAGGGGTTTAGTCCTACTAACACAGGTTTAAGCTCCAACTTTATCAGTTGACTAATCCAATAAAACTAACTATGTTAGGTTAATCAAATTCAATAAGATAAGTGATTGGTGGGGTATAGGGTTTTGCTGCTGTCTAAGAAACATAATTTGTTTCATACCTTTATTCAATCACTCATTTGACTTGTCCAGTATCTAATTATATACATCATATAAATGATGTAGTTCATTAGTACTTGCCATTGCTGATATAGATTAGTTGTTCACTTATCATGAGCAGCAACAATAAAGCATCACAATTAAGATCATTAATTAGGACATAAACTTTATTTGCCATTTATCTCTTATATTCACTCAGCGCTAAACATAGACAATTTCAGCCGTATTTGTTTTATGCTAAATGATCGTCTTTAGGCAATATGCGCAATACTAAAACATTAAATATAGGCAGGTTTTGATATATTCCAAATTCACAATATTCTGTTAAGCATCTATCTATAGTACAGGTAAAGCCAAAGAGAAATGGAGTGAGACCTCTCCTTGAAATCTGTCCCAATTTGACACACCCACAGCCACCATGCTTGAAGACTCTATTAAGCCGACTAATAGAGATATTGGAACCGTCAGGAAAGTGAAGTTGCTAAGTATAAACCCATGGTTTGAAGGGAAAGGCCCAACGACCAGTTAAGGCGGGGATACTAGATTTATCTAGCCCTTTTACTCGCCAACTGGTCTATGTTTGCTGTCTTCACCGCAGATGTAGATAGGAGGTCCCTCAAAGTCTACCCATTCGTCGATTCCTTTGAATTTGATTGTACCTGCGATAAAGAAACGTCCATCACGAATCTGCATTCCATTGCTCGATTCGTTGACAGACTCGCAGATTTTGACGCTAGCGACTTTCCGTTTAAATGCCCACCTAGAATCCCAAGCGGAGTCCTGATAGCCGTCAACGTAGACTTCCCAGATAGGAGAGTTTCCAGGCCCAGGAGGCTGACTTTTGTATAGTCGCTCAGGCATGGGAGCAGTTCCCCAGGAGATCTTATTGCGCATCAAAGACTCCTCACTAGGATCATCGAACCTGGCCAGATGGTCGTTTCGCTTGTAGAATTGAGTTTGATAAGTTCTGCCACCAGAGAGCCCAATTTAAGGGTGGTGCTATCGTTGTATTCTAAGGTCGGATGAAGTTCAAATTTCAACTCCTTAGGTGGGCATGGCTTCAAAATGTTGTTTTCGTCGATCCACCATACCCCCAGAGCTCCTGTGTTATACTCCAAAATTTTACCTTTCAGTTCTTTACTGGACTGGGGCATTTCGACGAGTTGGAGGGATGACTTTATATGAGTGATATCGCAAAGTATAAGGAATGACAGGTAGAAGAAAACGATGCATGAAATGAGCATTACCAGCTATTAAATATATGAGACTCCCAGTGAGTCAATCAGGTGTCAATCACAATTCTGACGCAAGAAGAGCTTGTAATAATGAACTTACGGCTATTCATCTGATATCACAAGCGTGTGATTACATATTTAGTGAGTCAAAATCCTTTTACTCAGTGAGAGTTATATAGACAATTTGTAATGATTAAATTGTAGTCATGTAAGAAGAATGATCTACTTTATAAGTCAGTTCATGACTTCGTAACCACACAACGAAGATGTTGATAGTAGAATTTGTAAGCTTGAGAGATGCGAGTCATGATGAAATTGAATCATAGAAATACCTGTGAATCAAGAGTCATTATCGGATAAAATAATGAGTTTAAAGGGGAGAATCTAACATTAGATAATCTATGGTTATAAGGATCAACTAGTACACTTCAGCGTTGGGTTTGATATTCAATGTTGTCAAACAAAATTGACATCTTCAATGTTATATGAATCAAACCCTCCAATGTTTGCTTTTCTATATAATATAAAGTTTTCAATGTTAATGTTATCACAATACAGATAGGAATTCAGTCATCAGTGTTTATTTGCAAGAGATAAGACTTCCCCTAATATGTTGAAATTGGTTATGTGTTAGGTGTGAAAACACCTAAAATCTATTCAAATTCAAAATCATACCACATGTGCATCATTAAACATACTATAAGGGCTAATATAAAGAACATTCTAAAGTATTGAAATTAATGCTCTATTTAGTGTTTATATAATTTAAAATCTGAAAAAAATTTGATATATATTACCTGCTCAAACAACTCTACCACAATCTATGAAACCAGAATTCTATCAAGGTAGAGAAATTTGAAAGACAAAGTAACAAAATCTTCAATGTTATTATGATCGAAAAGCGATTTTATATTATTCTCTGTTGGCATGAACCTGGTTTAGTGCGCTGACAATAAAAAGCCGTTTGTTGTTGTATGAACTAGGAAATAAACGCTGCACAATCGCAAACACACAGTCTCTTCGCACCTTACCTCTGTACTTCAGGCTTGTGGATGGCAGTCATTACAGCAGTTATTACTGCTCTATTATCTTTTGACGATTAGTTCTTGATCTTTCTCAGCATCATATTTGCGATATCGTAATGACAGGGAGTCGTGGTGTGAAATGAGCCTCCTTCGCGACTGGAGTCCGCAACTGTGAGTCAGCAGCTGTTATCCTCCATTTCTCTTCTTTTGGAACTTTAACCCATCACACTAAGATCAAGGGTAATTGTATATTACAACTTTTTTGATGCTTCTGTAATACTGATGGTGTTTTGTTCTAGGGATATGGTCGTGCTGCCAAGAAAAAGCGCACTGTAAAGATCCCCTCTCATCTTTATGTATGCGTGGCGCGTGCTTACTTCACAGAACAAGGCCAGTGATGTAGGATCTCCACCTGAGGATAACGTGCCCACTGTTGAAATGAAACCTGAAACAGGTTCTAAAGACCTGGAAATGCGACCAAAGCCAGAATAGGACACTAAGATGTTGCATGAAACTCACACAGAAAATACTCCAGACAAGTCTGTGCTGATAGCGAGAATGTACTTCAAGATTTTGACCAAGGACGAAAAGGATAAGATGGGATCAATTCCTTATGAGTATATGGTGTAATGGCCTCCCCGCAATGACATGCATGTTGTTTGGCACAACGACCCAACCCATGTATGCATTGTGCCTACTTTGTCTGCTTCAAAGGCGCCAATTGCGTACAAGAAAAACCATCTTTCAAGTGTTTTCATCGTCAAAACACAAATCAAGAGTGTTTCAAAATTCCAATGACATGTCGAGATACCTTTTGCAAAATACAGGAGCTGACACAGGATGGAAGGTTGAGAGATGCTTTCGCACAGCGATGGATGTGGATAGGAGAAGTTAATACTAGGCGTACCCTAAAACAATTGGGAGGACCTCCGTCTTCAACGAAGGGGTTGCCCACAAATGACCCGGGCAAGATGCTAGATCTTGTGACCCACAAGCTTGACGTTTTGATCAAGTCTGTTGATCGGAACACCAATTCTCAGCTGGCAATAGTAAGTCTTTTGGTCCGTATTGTATTTCGTATTTAATCTGACTTCGACATACAGTTCAACAAGGACCCTGTCGCTGCGTTGGAATAAGGAGGAAATGGGTGCTGAATATCAGAGGATAAACTGTTGATTGTTTAGCGAAACCGAACATATTAGAATTCTGTTAGCAGTTGCCTTGATGTCAGATTGGGTCCATCTTTCGATCGCTGTTCGACCCACAATGGAGATGAATGCAATATGATGGCGCTTGTGATATCAATGGGTAAAACGATAAGGTCGATGACAAGGAAATTGGTCTTGTGTAAATTAAGAAATTGTCAGACTCTAGGAATTCTGATCTCAATTCGTAAAAGTTGACCAGATTTCATACTCTGAATAGTGACTAGTTTGATTATTTGTTGATTTCTTTCCAGAATCTTTGTACAACAGAAGAAGCGTCAGCCGGCCCCCGAAGGAGATATTATTAAAACGGGTGGGAATAAAGAATTGGAATTTCGACAATCTATAATAATAATAATTATTGTTTTTCAAGCACGCAATATTTGATGATGACATCTAAAAATAGGGAGCGAGGAGGCTAAGGAATTAGCCGTGCACTAAACATTGGGGCTGTTGGGGGGATTGCGGCTGGAAGAAAAAACAAGCTGCGCACAATACTCATATTGGGATAGAACAAAATAGGGCGAAGTTGGAATGTTCGGGGAGAGGATTGGTGTGCGGTTTCGCTGAACTGCGAATATGCAGTGTCAACACCTGACTGCAGTAACAATCCTGCCCAGGTCAGTGGAATTAATTAGCAATGCTAGCAGTTGCGCGGCTTATCAATCTTATGTCATACGCATAAACTCTGCTAGGAACGAAAATTTGCCTAGTGCTTAAACTGTTTGAGGATGGAAATATAGGTAGGTGATTCTTTGAGCCTCCAGCTGCGATGCAAAAGTGTTTCGCGCATATACGTAATGTTCTGGACGTACAAATCAGATCAGATGTGCTGGGCACACCTACGTACTTTCTCATCATGCTGTCGGTCTCGATTGCCGATCTTTGGGGTTTTTGATACGGATGCATGATGGCTGCAACGTTGTGAAACGAGAGCAATCCCCACTTCACGATCCTATTTGAGTTTGTCCTGCCGTCCTTCGATTCGACGGTGGAGACCGGCGGAATTGTATTGTGATTGGCCTGCATCTAGACTTCGATGTGTTTTTCGCTGAGACCTTTTGCTTCATATTCTTGGTCTGCGAGTAAGCTGCCAGGAACGCGCTTCACGTGACTTGGCTCTGTGACAACCAGGCCGATCTCTCCTACCCTCCTACAGCGTGCCCGGAGCTTCTGCTCAAGCGTTTCAGATATCGGTAGATAGCCGGAGACGGTTGCGCTGGTGTGTCGACCACCGGATGACCCTCCCCATAATTGATCAACCTTCACGAGATGCTACTGCGCACATGCTGCCATTTGGTCTCCACAAATGATAAAGAACGAGCTAGGGATCAACAAGACTGCACGAGGCGCTGTGGCTGCCTGCGAGGCGTTCGTTGACAGACAGTCGAGGGATCCTGCAGCAGCCTCATCTAAGTTTAGAGCTGGCCAAGCAGGAATATAATTTATTGTACGTGCTACTACCACTAAGTACAGTACAAACTACATGCTGCGCTTGTAGATATAGATAAAGGCTAGCTGGATGGGGGCAGGGCCAGCCACTGTGACATCGTCCGACTGGCCTTGTCCCGATTAGGAAAATCCTGGCCCTCACCCTAACGCGACGGCGCTGTGGTTCTTGTCATCTGAGAAAGCTTCTTCTTGCTGGTAGGAGAGTTATGCTTACGTATTATTTTCGGCGTTTGGACTGCGGTAGCACGATTGCTGGAATGAAACAGGAGAATGGGAGACGTCAAACACGCAGGTGATGTGTATAATTGCGAGAAAACATGCATCCCGACTGGGTCATACTCAACTTCCCCGCATATCGAAACATTAATGGTGTGAGCGCCCTTTTGGACCGGGATCTAGTTAGTCCAGCTGACATTGACCCTCTCATGGCTAGATCCCAAGACAGTGTCGCGAGGTCAGCCAAGAAGCACCGTGACCGCCGGCCTCAAGCTGGTGTGGCTTTATGTCAAACCGGGGGGCCGGGAGGACTAGTCAGGAACGTTGCAATTGCTAGAGGGCAGAGCTACTGGTCAATCGCTGCAACCCTTGTTATCGTCGCTTACTAGGTTTGGTGGCTGCCATGCGAAGCCGCCACCTTCCCCACCGCATCGCGGCCCTTGATGCTCCAGTCTCCATGTCACTCTACCATGAGCAGCTCTCAGTGTGGAAATTTGTTGGTGTGCACCCCTGGGGCTAGTGATGATACCTACTGACCCCATCAATGGAACTGTCATCATGGGTGCTCTAGTCGGCTTGGTTGCAATGATCTGCAGAGCCGGCATTCCAGACAAGCTTCCCATACAACGGACCCAACCAGGCAAAATGGGAGATGAAGGGCATAAATAGACCTGCTACCACCTCTCAATCCTCTCTTTCTTCTCTTTCATAATCAACAATTCACCTTTTCGACTCGACAGTTCAATCTTTAAGGTCCTAGACGGATCTGTCCATTCCCTTTTCAGTCTCTCCTTGACACTCAGCCTTACCGATCGATCTCGGTTTAAACACTCCTTTCAGCCATTTCACGAAGTTTGAATCTAAAGATACCCAAAATGCATTACTCCACACTTGCTGGTCTGGGCCTCATGGCCACCACTGCCCTGGCCTACCCTACCATCCCCAGACACTCTTTCCGTCGCGACAACAGCACTTCGGGCGCTGAGACCGTTGTCTACTGGGGTCAAAATGGTGGAAATGCCGTTGAGAACAACGACCTCTCCACCTACTGTACCGCTGACTCTGGCATTGACATCCTTGTCCTCTCTTTCCTTTATGAATTTGGCAATGGTGTCGATACTCCCTCTGGTACCATCGGCCAGTCTTGCTCCATCGACACCTCCGGCAAAGGCAGCAACTGCGATGACCTCGCCGCCGCCATCAAGACATGCCAAGGCAACGGCAAGAAGATCATCCTCTCTCTCGGTGGTGCTTCTGGCTCTTACTCTCTCTCCTCTCAGCAGGAGGCCGAGACCATTGGCCAGAACCTCTGGGACTCCTACGGAAACAGCGGCAGCAGCAGCGCTCCTCGCCCATTCGGTAGCACCTTCGTCAACGGCTTCGACTTTGATCTTGAGGCCAACCCCGCTGGCACCAACACCAACTACCAATACTTGATCGCCAAGCTCCGTAGCAACTTCGCCAGCGACTCCGCCAACACCTACTACATCACCGGTGCTCCTCAGTGCCCTATCCCCGAGCCCAACATGCAGGACGTCATCACCACCAGCCAGTTCGACTACCTCTTCGTTCAGTTCTACAACAACCAGGGCTGCTCTACCAACACTGGTACCAACTACGCTGACTGGGTAAAGAACGTCCAGAACACTCCATCTGCCAACGCTAAGATCGTCATCGGTGTCCCTGCCTCTGAGCTCGCCTCCAACGGTGCTCAGACCGGTGCCGTCTACTACCTTGCTCCTTCCGACCTGTCCACTCTCGTTGGAAAGTACAAGTCTGACTCTGCTTTCGGTGGTGTGATGATGTGGGATGCTGGTTTCTCTGACGACAACACCAACAGCGGCTGCACTTACGCCCAGGAGGTTCACAGCATCCTCACCACCGGCAGCCCTTGCTCTTAAGTGCTCTCGTTAAAACACTTCTTTGTATATAACTCTTTCCCTCCACTTTCATAGAGTGATTGTGGTGGGCATGGAATATTTCTCACTTGATGAAATACCATGTTTGCATTGCATTTGAATATCTGTCAGTCGTTACGAAGGTGAACTTATAGAATTGAATTCTCTTCAAACCTTACAAATTCTTTATTTCATAATAAATAAACTAAATAAACTAAACAAACTAAAAAGAATGAGTAAAGTGGACGGGTCCCGTACTAGAAGTTCATGTCTTGTAAGCCACACTTTATTTTGACAGAACCTTATAACTGAATTTATACTTGGTCTATAGTCTTAATACCTTATGGAGTTTGTCAACTATATTTTGAACTTCAAAAAGTGGATAATACAGCTCTGATCATTCTCTCTGACTGCACGCCCGACCGGACGCTTCCTGCTCCGTGACGGAAAAAATCCCTAAGCAACATTTGAAGAAGTACGAGTAAATAAACATGACCGCCACATATTTCATCCTGCCCGTGCCCGTCTCCTCGGCATGACTGGAATGCGTTCCTGGACGAGGTCCTCCCCCTTGCATTTTGACAATCTCACGTGTGCGCTACTCATGGATACCCGCATTTCGGTAAGATCTTTTGATATGTGCTTTGATATACGTACATACCAACGAAATATGCCGGCACTAATGATATCATCTCGCAGCTATTCATAGCGCAGAAAAGCTTATTGCCATGCTTCCCTGTTTAGGAGCATACCTAACCGTCGAGCGTAATAAAGCTTATGAGGATCTTTGTAGGGAAGCGTTCGGTATCAGTTCACTCTGGCTCGAGTGTGACCTGTGGGAGTAGGTCGCCTGAGCAATATCTGCAGGCTCCCTTACTTGGTAACTTAGAGCCATTGTTTAGAGCTCTGTATAGTTTCACGCATTTAGAACCTCGGGGATAATTGTTGCGCTAGTCCCATTCAGGTGAAACCCACGAGCAACAGTGAAATAGCGCTAAGGCGAGACCGATCCTGGGTTCCACATCAGGTTCGACCTGCACTTCATCTCAGCGATTAATACACGTTTCATAGTCTCTTCGATGCCATAGATGTCCGGGAATGCAAACTGTGGGAGCTGAAAACGCTCACCATAGGGCCAGACAGGAACAGATCAACGTGACTACATTAAGCGGCTGACTCCTGCCATCCACGTAATCGGCACCACATCATGCCATTTCCAAGTTCGGGGTGCGAAACGTGCAAGATCCGGCGAATAAAGGCAAGCTGATCATCTAGCACTATACCTATATCTGGAATTAGATGTATTATAGATGTTATATCTGACCAACCAATCGCAGTGTGACGAGACCCAGCCGGTATGCCGAAAATGCATCAGGGCACACCGAGTCTGCCGGGGAATGGGTAGTGGGCCAAGCTCGTATGTTGTACATAGTGAAAACTCGTACGCTAGCGGGCAGCATAAGCGTCCTCGAGGCCCGCGCTCGATACGGAAAACTGATGGTGCTTCTTCGCTCGCCACGTCATCGCAGCCCCCGCCAGCAGGCGTAGATCTCAAGGCCCTGGCAATTGCTGAATATTTGAAGAATCACCTGGTTATACCAAAGGAAACACCAAGCATTTTAAGATCGACTGATGGTGATCTGCTCCCTATATGGACAGCCAAGGGAGAACACCCGATCCTCGACCATGCTGTGTCTGCGATTGCTCTCGCTTTGTTTTCGCGGCTGCATAATTACCCACCAGCGGTTACCGAGGCTTCTTTGGAATATGATCGGTTGTTACCGATAGTTCGAGAGTCGATGCCTACACTTGATGGCGGAAATATTGATTCTTACCTGCTTGCTGTCTTCTTCATGAGCCGGTATGAGGATGCAGTCCACATCCCCGAGCTGAGCCCAGCAAATGGTTCAGTAGAATCGAAATGTAATAAATACACCAGCTTTTCGCATCACGACGGGGCACTTGCGGTGTTGAAAATGTGGAAGGAGCATCTCAGTCACCATCAGCCAGTATCAAATGTAATAAAGCACACGAGGCGAGGATTGATCAGATCTGCCCTGCTTCGGAAAACCGCGTTGCCGGAGTGCCTCATAAATGGCGCAGCGTTTGGCGAGCGTGGTATAGATCTTGAATATGATAATATCGTTGTGCGGCTAGTGCATGTCCGAGAACGATTGGCGGTGCTGCTCAAGCATGCAGGAGCAGGAGAAATCAACTGTCACGCGCGAACTACGGCATTGGAGGCACTGGACAGCGAGACGCAATCAATTGACAAAGCGCTACAAGACATGACGACTCATTTCCCCAGTACATGGTCCTATAAACGACATACCCGGCCAGTATCTACCCATTCTTACCCCACGCAAGACTTTTTTCAATCCGTGGTTTATAGCTATTCGAATGTGATGTATGCTGGAGTTTGGAACCTATATTTTGCTACAAGGATGCTTATCAACAACACCCGTTTAGACATTCTCGAAACAACCAAATTTACACCCTACGATCAGACTCTAGGATGCTCCTCAGTTTTGAACAGCATCGCCAACGATTTAGCGTCCAGCTTGCCGTATTGTTTTGGGAAATTCAGGGTTATCCAGACACAAAACTCGCTAGAGGATGTTGTTGCGGAAGTAGAGGGTGCAAATTTTGAGTTCAATGTAGTTCGTACCGCCGCATGGCCATTGACCATTGCTTCCGGCCTAGGCTATTTGGACCAGGAGCAAAAGTCGTGGTTTCAGGCTTTGCTTCTCCGTATTGGGAAACTTTCGGGGTTTGGATCTCTCGAGTCTGTTGGGTCCCGAGGCGGCTTGAATCTTTGATTTGATCAGTTAGCATTTTATACCTTAGGATGAAGTATTGATTGAAAAAAAACATTGCACGGTTGCTTGTATAAATGTAGCTAAAAGACAATTTTGATTTGCATATAAATATCTAAGAAAGAACCATAATATAGATAAACTGTTAAAGAGCAATTTCGACAAACGGTGAAATATAAAGTTGAAGCAGTGTTTTTTTTTGGGTATATTGTAGTCTTACCACCACACCGCTACTGACTAAACCATATCCACATTCTTCTTACTATCATGTACCAAATTGAAAGTCCTTGATCGCTCCAATCGCGTCGCCGCATCTTCCTCCTCAGCCCAAGCCAGAGACTCATCCGGCAGCATAACGGCCTTGTCAATAGCAACCGGCAACCCGCGATGCCGTCCACGCAGCATAACTGCCACGAGGATGAGCTTGCTAATGACATGCCAGGCACCCGAAAACGAGTAGTTCTGGTCCGGCAAGCCAACTGTAATACCCACGCATCCGTAAGCCGAAACGACCTCGAAAATAATATTGAACGTAGAGAAAGTGACTGGGTCCTGGCTATACGACGGTCCTTCTGCAATCGTGATAAAGAGCACTGCAAGGCATATCCACCAGATGTCGTGACTGAGTTGGGATCGTAGCTGCTGGCGAATAAAATAGCTACGCGAGGTATCATTTTCGTCAGCATAGTTATCTCTCTGTCCTTCATATCTTTCGCGTGTATTGAATGATGAGATGAAGCTCTTTATATGGCTGTACACATTGCCCAAGGAAGCATGGTGTCGTTGGTCTTCGGCGAGGTTATCGGTTGCATAAATACCCAAGGAGCGTTCTTCGTAGACATTTGTATTTCGTATAGTGAGAAGCACAGGAAATGCTGAGACGTACATCATTAGTACGTAGAGGACGAGCAGGCCTTGGTGCAAATCGGCGATAGTTACGACATAAAATCCTCCTGAGCGCACGGCAAAGGCCTGGAAGAGACCATCTATAATGCGATAGGGGCCCAAGCTTTGAATGTCGTTGTTTCCGATTGATAGCAACTCAAAACCCGCCCAGTCGATTCCATTTAGGAGGATGACTGTACATAACAGGTACCAAGTGTGACGTCTGGGAAACAGATGTGTATATACCCTTCTAGGGTGGTCAAGAATAAAGTCGAGCACGTTTCTCCAGTCATCAAACCACCTTGTTCGAGGAAGTATACGTCTAATTGCCCAAATATTTAGACGCAGGAAACAAGGGTACAGCGTATTGCCTGCGAGGATCAGGAATGCCATTGTGAGAAGCACGTAGACGCTATATTTGATTAGTTTAGTTCTTATGAAATTGGTTTTCACTCTTACCTAGTCTGCAAAGCAGTCATATTAACATCTAACAGAGACATTCCATTGTTTCCAAAGGCGGAAACGGCGAAAAAAGCTCCAGTCCAGAAAGGGTCCAACCCATTTACACGGGCAACATCGGGCTTGTTGACAGCAATCCAAGCGCCGATTCCCACGAGACCAAAGATGTTGAATAGCACAAAATACAGAGGAACAACGATGGACAGAAATGATATGGCTTTATATTCCACACCACCTAACCTGTCACGTTCAGCCGGGGTGAGACCGTAGAATTGCGAATTGCGAGATATGAATCCCCGGGACAAAAAGTATTTTCGAGTACCCCTTATAGCATCCCCGATGATTGATGGGCGTCGCACATCATCAAGTACCAGGTTTAGGACAGCATCTCTAGGATACTTTGCGTCAGGTCGTGCGCCTACTCCTGCCATAGGAAAGATCCGATGCCTATTTCTTTCCCGAACAGATGGACTGATGGTGATTTGATCATCGTCAACCCACCGGATGGCATCGATATCTTGGGATGCGATTTCGGAGGCCACACTCCTATTTTCTGCACTGATTTGAGGATCTGCTGTCTCCTCTGGATTACGGACGCCTTGATGTACTTGTACATTTTGTCTATCGGGGTGAACATCGACACCAGCCGCTTTGTGTTTCTTCTTCCCAATAAGAGGCAGGTGAATGGCTTTTTGAATGGAGGAAATCCTCCGCGCATGTTCTTCGGCGATGCCACGGAACTTCGTTTCAAAGGCTCGCTTGCGCACGAAAAGAACGGTGCTTGATATCAAAATAGGGTGACCAAGCAATATTAAGCCAAACAGAACAGATTGCTGGAACGTGTTCAGTACAGATATATTGACCTGAAAATGTAAGTGGTGAGACGATGACTACTTCTGGCTGTTTGACATACAGTATTTAAACCAGCCCCCGTCATCGCACTGACACACAAAAATAGCGAGTCTGTGTAAGTGACACTGCGAGCTGGTTCAGACGAGGCCCAGAATATGACACTCCATAACAAAGCTATGAGAATAAAGTATGCGTAATGGAGAGTAAGAAAGTTGAGCGGGGGTAGCAGACCACCCACCCGGCGAATGACGGTCTTTTGCGAGGCTGGCCATATTGAATCAAATATCAATGTTAGCCATGCATTGCAAAGGCAGACCGGAATTTTTGAGAGAACTCACCCATCATCCTGAGACCAATCCAGAAATCGGCGGAGACTCAATAGAATATCTGAAAGAACAACCAATGGCCCACCTTTGACAAAATGTATCGGAGAGCCAAGAAAACAAACTATATATGTACGCCTGAGTATTTTGAACAATATCTCGTCACAGGATTACCCGTAAGACCCTATTTTTTCTGAATCCCAGATTGTTTCTGCTAAAGACATTGCCGACAAAAAGTAAAGCTGATGCAAAGGAATTATGGTGTGCAATTGGATGCAAGCCTATGTTAGAGAATCGACAGGACAGAGAAGATCATTGGGAGCTAAGAACTGGAAGCTGGTAGCTGGTGGCTGGTGGCTGGTGGCTGAATTGATGCTGCTGGAAAGCGTGAGATTCTAGTCTGGAAGGGATTATTGATTGATGCAGGAGATAATAAATAAGCGGTGAAGATCGCGGAGGAAATCCCTGTGGATTGACAAAAAGTGGGCCGGGCCAACGGTCGAGCTCTCACGCACGGAGTATATTAATATTTATCAATTGATTACTTGCATTAATATATCTATTGATTAGTGTGTTATCCAAGACTGCATATGCGCTCTGATACCTGTGGATCAGCTCTCAACTTTCCAGCTTACACGTAGACCTGATATTTCCCCGTGATTTACTCGCAAATGACACCTCCGGTAGAAATTTCTTTTAAATACGTAAACTAATGTATACACAGCACCCGGCGCCAAAGAAATACATGCATAAAAGCTGTCCTGGTGGTAGATGTGGCGATTACTCGTCCTCTTCTTCGTCGTCGCCACTATCAACCTCGACATCATCATCGTCACTGCCATTTTCGCGCTCCTTTTGTCGCTGCTTTTCCTCGTCTTGCCTGCCCTGCTCAAGAACGGCAGCTTTCTCTTCTCGTAATTTGCGTTGGGTCTTCACAAAAGCACCGAGGGGAGTGGATTCCCAATCGGTCTCTTTGAGGAAGCTTTCAACCTCGGCGCGGTTTTTGGGAGCAAAGGTGACTTTGGCGCGACGTTCCTCAATCCAGCGGGAATTGAGCTCGAGCTTTTGAACAAGTAGCAGAATCATCTGGTTAATCTTCGAGTTTTTATTGCCTGTAGCGCGCGATCCAACTTCCTTGAGCCATCGCTTCAACATCACAACAATGGGCAAGGAGAGTTCTGGAAATGCGATGCTCTTTGTCCATAGAACAAAGAATTCAGATAGCAGTTCGGCAACCTGCTCGCCAACTCCGTCTTGGTAGACACGTGTGCGAAGGTAAGATTTGGCTGCTCGAATAGATGTGTTGAAATCCGGGGCCCTCAAAGTGCTAGATTTGGGAGGCTTTCGCAATTCGTTCGAGTTTAGAACTTCCAATAGCACTGGAGCCAAAGGAATATAAGTGCCTGTAGCACGGGACATACGTAAAAGAGCTCGAATAAGCTGGAAACGGAGTGGGAAGTATTGAGGGGTAGGAATCAAACGAATGGCACCCAGTGTGATTTGAACGACTGGATATATAAGAGGACGGAGTGCCGACTGTTTTCCAGCTTCTGCTTCAACAAGGCCATTGCAGTGCTGAGAGAGTACTCGTGACCAAAAGTCAAGGGAGTGCACGTATTGCCAGTTGTAAACTGTTTTGTATGATTCCTTGCTTTTGTTTGTAATACTGCCTCGGAGATGGATAGCGAGCTGGCGGATAAAACTAAAGCCTGTAGTGTAGGACACATTTTGGTCAACGCCCCAAATTTCTGCGGCAGAATTCTTCGTTAGGTTGACACCTGCCAGTGTGTGAACGGTGGTATTCCGGCTGCCTTTGACGACACCTTCGTATGTTGCCTTTAAGACCGCCTCGCGGATTCCAGCGTCGCCGATTTTCATCAAACGGCGCATGATGAGGAAACCAGTGACGCGGACGGCTTCAGCATTAGAGTTGTCTGACCAAATTCCCACGACAGTTTTCACGAGAACCTTCAGGAGCTTTCTGAATTGGAGAAGGTACGGCATCATGGGTTCGACGGAAGAAAGTGTGAGCTTCAAAGTGGACGGGTCCGTGAGATTAACCAGAAGTTGGTGAACCGAAGATGTGTGCGACTTGATGAGAGGCGTAAGCGTTTTGAATTTTTTGGACTCCGTGTTCAGTTTGAGCTTGCCTCCCGCGGTCTCTTTGACTGGTAGGTGGTACGCAAGAACCTTGGGCACAGATTCTAACGCGGTAACAAGAACTTGATGATAAACAGCGGAGTCAGAGATCGAATACTTCGTATTGTCTGCCTCATCCTCGTTCATATACGCGGCTGATCTGAAGGCAAGCACTATTTGTCGCAGAGCTCTCATTGAGTGTTCCTCCTGCATAGCCTTCTTCCATTTTTTGACCATCGACGTTGTAAGCTTGGTGTCATCCGGCCCGTCGGCTTCTATTTCGTTCTTTGACTTTTTCTTCTTCTTCGCGGGTCCTTCTTCAGCCTCGCTCAGTTCGTCAACTTCAGCCAGGTCACCTTGGTCACCGAAATCCAAGAGCTCGGCATCGTTCTCTTTGAGGAACTTGTAGAATTCCGGATCTTTGTCTTTTAAAGCCTCCAATTGTCCCATGTGCGCTTCGAAGTCGCCGACGTTGCTCGCATCGTCAGAATCTTGCTCATCGCCGTCAGATTCTACGTCCACGTCGGCATCACTCTCCGCGCTGTCTGATGCAGAAGTACCGCCTTCTGCAACATCTTCAGCACGCTTTCTCTTGCCGATTTTGGGTGTCACATCCTTCTTTTGCGCTTTCTTTCCCTTGCCTTTTGTTTGTTCTGGGATATCAAATCCGCCAGCGAAGAAGTCGTCGACGTTCATTTCAGCGAATGCATTATCCTTAGCTTGCTCTTTCGGATCGACGACCTTCTCTGCTTCTTCCTTCTCCCGGCGTCCGGCATTTTTGGCCTTTCTTTTCTCGGCTATCTGATGTCGCTGCTTGATCTTGGAAAATTCTTTGCGTCTCTCGAGGGTGTCTCCCAGCCGCCGCTGTTGGAACTTTTTTGTGGATTTCTTCAGCTTGGCGGTCATTTTTGCAAATCACACACAGCCTAGCAAAATACCGGGGCGCAACAAAAAACCAGTGATAGATGGGAATTAATATTCTCTCTAGCGCAGATTTATTCGGCGGATAAAAAAAAATCGATTTGGCTGGCAGAAAAAGCCCGCACGGGCCACACCGCACTCCCCGCCCTGCGATTCCGCGGCAGCTTCAATGTTGCCTCGCATCTTCTCTAAATGAATACTTCGCAATTCAAACATGAAGCATGGATTACCAACGCCCCCTGTCTTATGCGCCGACTCCCTACAGTTACACGCCAAATCCGGCATTGTCGTCGTCAATCAACCTTGACGAAGTATGTTCTACGCCTGCCTCTCGCCGACTAGACTAACCTCCCAAGGAAGTGAAACTTGCAACTACCTCTGCCGAACGGGATCTCTACGAATCGCTTGCTGAGATTTACAGCATCATCATCACGCTAGATGGCTTGGAAAAGGCGTATATCAGGGATGCTATTTCGGAATCAGAGTACACGGAAACATGCACTCGTTTACTAAAGCAATACAAGTCGACGCTGGGTGACGAAACGGTTGCGAGAGAGTTTGTGGATTTGGAGACTTTCAAACGCACCTGGGATGTATGTTGAAGCTGTCGGATTATCATTTTACAATACTTACAAATTTAATAGCTCGAATGCCCCCGAGCGACCGAACGTCTACGGATTGGTCTCCCAGCAACAGTCGAGCAAGCTCCTCACGGCGCCCACACACCAAGCAATGGTGCACCTAGCAATGCCCCTGCTGGCGGTGCTTCTGGCACTCTAATCCTCACCGCGACAGAAAATTTTATAACCTTTCTGGATGCCTTGAAGCTGAATATGGTTTCGAAGGATGCGTTGCATCCGTTGCTATCTGAAGTCATTCAGTCGGTGAACAAGGTTACGGACCGCGACTTCGAATCCCGTGGGAAGATAATCCAGTGGCTTATCACGCTCAATCAGATGCGAGCAACAGAAGAGTTGAATGAAGACCAGGCTCGCGAGCTGTCATTTGATATCGAGCAAGCGTACCAGGGCTTCAAGGCAACTCTAACTTGATGGGTGTTGTTGAGGAATAAGTCTTTTTCACAAGGACCACTAGAATGCATTATGGCGTTTGTAGGTTTTGGAAAGTTTTGATTATACATATACCCCGTCGCATGTTTCTGTACATATTTTCTTGTCTTTGTTGATCGCTCTTGACAGCCATATCTTTGCTACTAACCATAATGCGAAGGACGCAAAGGAGCTATTTCCTTTGTTCACCTTCTTGAAATCTCGTTTCTTGAGCCTTTCAGCCATTCCTGCCACTATCCTTTGAAAAAGTTTCACCCAAGCACAAAGTGACGTATCTCCAGACAGAAATTGCGAGGGGAGGTGGAGGGAAGAGAGAATGAAAAACACATCCTTCTCTCTAGTCTACCATGGTTCTCACTTAGTCAAAGACAAGTAAAGGAAAAGGGAAACGAACGAAGATAGTATAAAAATGCAAGTGGACGTACTGGAGATCGAATCCAGCACCTTCTCGAACCTGAGAAAGAAACGGTATAAGGAGCAGCATGGTGTACCCAGTATATATATTTTTCTGCAAACGAGACGTCATGCCAACTAGACCATAAGCCCTGACTGAAACAATATCGAAAATTTTCTTCCGGAATATTTTTCCTACCTGTATCATCATCACTGCACTTTGTAACGCTTAGAGTGGAGTCATAATCAATCGGATTTTGATAAAAGCTTAGGTGAGCATTTGAACCTTCAGATGGATATTGAGTTAAAGATTTGAATGAATGTACCTCAATCATGCTGATTCACGCGGTGTTTAATCATGACACATGAGTGCACGCATGTGTGCTTTTGTAGCCTATTAATTTCATGTAAATATAAAAAGAAACCATACGGTATATAGAGATATACCAGTTATATTGCTACTGCATATCAACTATAGAGTTTTCTTTTTGCAGGAATAACCATTTAAGCTGGGTCTAATGTAACAATCTAGAACTTACATGTAAAGGATCTGATGTATTTTAAATACACAACGACACATGAGCTAGATACATAGTCGTCATAGAGTCCCACTAAGCACATGGCACACAGAGAACAGTCAACATCAACTGGTGTAAGGCGAAGGTGGCGACCAGATTATGGCACCATCCGTCATTGGGAATGATCATGTCTCGTTGCCGCCGAGTCCTATACCTTTCTCCTGTACATCAGAGCCAATTAATATATTGTGTATATCTTAAAATTGCATATTCCTTTTTTAGTCTAATATAACTTTCATATGTAGTTTTGATTTTATTCTATTTTTAGGGATAAGGGAGGTAGGCGGGTTAGTACCTTTTTTTTTTTTCGGGCCGAAGCCTAAGATAAGAACTTTTTTCTCCTCGACGATAACCGCTTTTCCTGGCCTCCCTAGAGTTCACCAATCTTTTGGCAGTAAAGGCGTGCGCCCAGTCACCTGGGCTGCCCTTGGAGGAGTCGTTTTTCCTTTTTTTTCACCATGATCACCGCAGACAATGGCGAGCCTCTCCACGGTATACCCCCCCCTAGTCGATTTTCTTGACTTCTCCACCGTATGCAAGGCCTGATAAGCTGATAAAGGTGTACATGACCAGTGCTCGATCTGCCCCAGCTTTATATGAAACCATCTAGCCAAGACCTACTCAAAGTGTTAGAAATACTCACAGTCCAGCCGAAAACATTCGGAAGCGTTGCTCGCGATGTAGTCAAACCGAGCTTTCAATCAGCCGAGGTTTCGAGATACCTCACTTCTATCATATCGAGCTCTCTAGCTTGGTTTGATTCCGATGAATTGAGGGAGGTAGTGTGGGATGCGGCGGCAGCGAGATTGAGTGAACGTGCGGGTCGCACTGGTAAATATTTTCTCGGCCCATTATTCGGTTTCTGTCGGTACTTACAATATATAGCCATGCCGGCGCTCTCTCGCGTATTCAACATTCCTACGTCCTCGGGCGAAGAGTTCGCGCTTACCTTGCACGAACCGTCGCTGACGGCAGATAATCTGGGAATGAAGACATGGGTGTCTTCGTACCTGTTATCCCGTCGGCTGCATTCTCTCTTCGATTCTGTCCCGGAGCTGGTTCTCTCTGATCACACCAGCAACAATACAGTTATGGAAAAACCTTCAATAAGAGCATTGGAGCTGGGTTCTGGGACAGGACTCGTCGGCCTCTCCTTCGCGATACTCGGTGGCGCCGCAGCTTCGATATATCTAACTGATCTGCCCGCCATTGTTCCCAACCTGGCCCATAATGTGACATTGAATTCCGATATATTGCTAAAGTCTAATGCAGAGGTCAACACTGGCGTGCTCGACTGGTCTGTGGTTCCTCAGCCGGCTCCAACCAAGGAAGAGCGGTACACAGTTATCCTGGCTGCGGATCCGCTCTACTCGCCCGACCATCCCAAGTGGCTCGTCCAGACTGTCGAAACGTGGTTGAGCCGGGGATTGGATGCACGTGTTGTTGTTGAGTTGCCTCTCCGGGACGCTTATCTTCCACAAGTTCGGGAATTTCGCCAGAGGATGGAAGATATTGGCTTGGCCATTGTTGAAGAGGGCAAGGAAAGCGGGTATGATGATTGGGAGGGGGCGGATGGTGGCTCGGTTGAAGTGCATTGTTGGTGGTCGGTGTGGGGGTGGAGTGAGCAGCTGTAGAGTTTTTCCTTTTGTTGATATTTGCATGATAAACGCGCCATGAGCATATGAATAGACTATAGAATAGATGTCTAGACAGATGATAGACCAAGACATAGAAATTTGCACATATCAATTCTATATCAACTGATCTTCGGCTTCGTGTACCCAGTGAAATAAAGGATCCTAGAGTGTCACTGCCACACCGAAATCCAATGCCTAGACCCCTTCACATAGTTCTCATCCCACTCTTTTCTCATCGCCGTCTCAACTTTAGCCTGTTCTTCCAATTTCTCGCGTCTTGACTTCCAGGTGGCTTTATTCCAATACAGGTCCGCGAATTCATTATCCCATGCATCGCGCCGAGAAAGCTCTGCCATTAACCCATAGCCGGTTTTTGAACATGAAGCTAGATTTTATTCCCTAGTCAGCGACTCTGGACTAATTTAACTTCGAATTGTTCTCTTGTTTGTACTCGAACAATATGAGATAGTAGCTTACAGGTTTTAACGCCTTCGAAATCATCCGGGGGTGTAGAACCGAAACAATAACACATCATCTGAGGTTCCATATGATGACGATTCATGAATCGAACAAGCGAAGGGTTCAGAAGTGTACACGTTTTACGCACATCTTCAAGGGAGACTAGTCATATCAGCTGAGGGGAAATAAATAGTCGACTTGGGTAAAACAAACGGGTGGTTTCTCGTAAGTTGCAAAGATCATCAGGACTTAACACAAAGTGGCAGGATGATGCCAATTGTCTTCTGCGAGTATCGGGCATTTTAATATCTTTTGACAGCTCAAACTTCGCCTGTACAACATAAACCTGCAGACCGCCCCAACTCTTGGCTAGGTTGAAGTCGGTCCATGTGCCGTATATGTATCCAAGGACAGGAATAGGCGTCCCATCTGCTGCCATGAGTTTTGGTTGACGTTCTGGTGGACAGTTGTGCAACACAAAGCGGCGCCAGTCAATCCATTCGGCGGACACAAGGTTGAAACCGTTTGCAATCTGATGATCGATCACGGCGAGGTCGCCAGGGGTATCGTTAAATAGGCCGAGGACTGCTTCCCCATGAGAGAGATTTAGAGATTTGAGTATTCCCGGGTTCTGTACAACGTTAGTAACTGGCACAAAATGCTTCTTCTGGGGGTTATGTACCTCGAGTTGCCCCGGAGGAGTACTCTTCTGTTCGTTATCGACTGAACTACTTTTCTCACTAGGGCCATTTCGAGCAACAATTGAGCCAGTCTCTTTATCATATACGTATTCTTCGATCCCCCCTCTTCCAGAGTCAACTAGCAGAAAAGCAGGAATAGGATCGTTCGGGAAATGAACGAAGAAAACATCGTTCAGCATGTAAACATCAAACAGCCCGCTTTTGCCAAGAGCGTTATCAAGTGTTCTCCATTTACTAAGGGTAGGGTGACTCAATGATCCCTTGCAGTAGAAAGCATATGAACTCCCGAATCGATAGCATTGCGAGGTTTTGAAATTACGGTATGTGATATACGGCAATTCAAGAACCATGCAGTTGTCCTCTGACCGTCGAAACGGCCTTGGTTGATAACCAGCAGGTAGACCTGGAATCCATTCAGAAGGCATATCCACATGCCCAAGGTTTTCTGCAATAGGCAGACGTTCAACCAATGGATGCCATTTCATCATCTTCTCTTCATCGGATGGCTCGACGGATAATAGCACGACCTTGTCAAACGCGAAAATAGCGGTTTCTAGACTATTATAGTTGAAATTTGAGAATACACCGCAGCCGTCTAGACGGGAAATGGCGCTGAAAAGCTGATTCCTGCCTCGTATTTTTATATACGGTGGGGAAAACGGGTTGAAGAATTCTGCATATAGTTCACTGCTGATCGACTCGGTGAATTTCCAGAGCAACACTCGTGCTTTGTTGTCTTGATCATGGTTCTTGTAGAAGTCTACAAGTGTAGGGGCGATACTCTCTCGGAAAAGCTCAACATTGACAGATTGATGGTTTGTTCCTTCGAGTGCCCCATTCAAGAAGTCTTCGTATAATTTTTGAACGCCGCGTACTTTATCACCTTTCACGTCGGAAAAGTAGTACTGAAGAGTGTAACTGCATGCATCGTTGAGATAGAATCTTCCTAGCTTTTCCGTCAGATCCCATGTGATAGGATGATATTTTCCGTGGATCTTTCTTGCTAGCCTCAATGCATGGTTCAGTAATTGACCTGCGTCCAAGCTGCTAGTATGACGCGCCAACCCTCTGCGTAGATTGATTGTATAACCGCTTTCTTCAACGCCTTTGCCATCGTCGCTACCCTCACATTTGAGCAATTTTAATACTCTTTGTGACAGCCCATAGAGTCTTCCATCATCCCACTGACTAAGCTCGCTATTGCGACTTCTCAAATTCGGCACAAGTGCGCCGACCTCAGGGATTAAAGTCACCAGTTTCGAGTCCGAAAACGAGTGGATGCATTCCAGGGCATGCTCAAGAGGATCCTTTTTACCCGTATTCATCGGGATGTGCTTAGGGTATCTTTCGTAAAAATTCCAAAGAATCTGCCCGATAAAATATAGCACATCAAACTCTTGGTTATAGATAGATCCCGTGTAGTTCAGAAGATAGTCTCCAGCCACGTCACAAATCTGCTTATATAAGCCTTTATTGATCTTTTTTTTATCTTGCTTCTTCCTCAATGCAAGGATCTTTTCAGCAGGGACTAGGAATCGCTCAAATGTCTCTGAGTCGACTCTGTTTACGCGGTGGAGTGCGATATATTCCCAACTCCATAACCACTCAAGCATTCGTGATCGTTTGAAAGAGAAACAGTTTGCAAACTCCCGTGCTGAGTAGACAAGGCGCTCATAGCGGTCGTATTGATCCTTGGTCAGATCAAGTTCCCCAAATTTAGGGTGTTGGTATTTCTCCTTCTTGGCAAGTGAGCCCAAGTCTGTGCTTGACTCTCTTGTCGTCGTGACAGCTGTGAGTTTTTCCGTTTTTGCAGTCATATTGACCTATCAATTTATACTGTGTTGCATAGATCTCACCAGGTCCTGAGAAAGAAGCTCATGAATCGACGTCCATTGTCTCATGCAGGGTTGTCGCCAAGCAAGCCATGGCCTCCGGCTAAACCTATTTATAACGAGAGTCAGCCTTGGGCTAATTCAAGCAAGATCAGCCTTCTAGCATCCGCGAAAAAGAGAAATTAATTATTTAATTCAAGCTCGCCGTTGAGTATAAATAACACCAGATGGCAGGAACGCCCTGTCAGCGAGCGGTGTGCTGTGATTGGCCAGGCCGGCTCCCATACAAAGGGCCAATTCTGTGCAACTGCAAATCGCCTAATCAACAGCAAAATGCCCGCCTGAAGTGTATGGGTCATGTGATATTTCCGATATTGGTCTAGCGCATATCTCACCGCCTACAAATGAGAGAATGACCTGGCTTCCGCCTTGGAATAGACCGGCAGAAAAGGGTTTCTGTTATGACGTCGGTGGTTGGGCTGTTTTGCTGTTTTACCAGACAATCATCGAATTGTTACATTCACGATTTGCATTCCCCAGCCATATGTTACCTAACGCTATCAAAGCATCAGTGAAGTAAAACAAAATGGTCATTGGCCTCCTCGCCGTCACGGCCATTCCCACCGTCACAGGCGTCTCGCTGGGCGTCGTCGAACAACGCAAGCAAAATACTCGCATGGAAGATGAGAAACGCATGGCCAAGTTCCACATAGATGTTTTCTGTGAGGGAAATTCAGAGAAAGCAATGAGATTAAATAGAAGGCGAGGTGTATTGAGGGATAATAAGGTAGGAAAGCTATTGACAATATCAACTCGGCTCGATTTATAATTACATGGCTGATACTATTGTTGGGTTTGTAAATTATTAGGTCTATATTGATCACGCAGATCCTAGCCTTCGCAAACAGACTGCACATACTGCTGCTGCATTCTATATTGGATATCCCGATGACAATCAAAAGCGAGGGGATGGACTTGTCAGTACCATATCCGACAACCCGCCAATGCTGAATTGGATATATGTCGATAAGAATACCATGGAATTGAAATATGGGAATCGCACACAGAGCATAGAGCATATTGTCGGTCACTGGGATTGGACTGAAGATGAGGCCGGTGTCATTTTAGACAAGAAAGAATTATGGGTCGCGGTCGAGGAGGAAGATGATGTCTGGGCGTTGTATTATGATCAAAACAGCGATGGATTGACAGGCTTTGTTGATCCGGAAAAGACGGTCGTTGAGATTAGTATCTGCAGAAATCTCATAGACAAGCCGGAAGGTGGGAACAATAGTGACCAGAATCAAACGTGAACAAATTGTTTACTCATCAATTCCCTCCCATTCATCTCCACTCTCTGCTGGAACTGTAGACGCCTTGGACTTTTGACGATTAGCGGTAATCGTGCCCTTTCTTTTGTTCTCCATTTTTCGATCGTATCCACTCTTTGTACTAATGCGTGATGTGCGTATCTCTTTGCCGTCGGGTCTCAGTTTGGCTGACGCTGCCCGTGCCTTGACACCATGTCTTTTCAACTCTTGCTTGTCTTTTTTACTCAAATCCGGAAGAGCGTCCAGTAGCCACTTTTGAACGGACTTTTCTCCCGTAGTACCCTGCAGTTTCTCGCTGGTGTGGATGAGGTTGGCTATGCTTTTGACATATGGTATGTCTTCTTTAGTATAGAATGTAACTGCGACACCTCCTTCACGGCCAGCCCTGCCTGTTCGACCGACGCGATGAACGTATGCTGCACTCGATGTCGGGATATCATAGTTCACCACACCATTGATCCCACGAAAGTCGACTCCTCGTGCTAGCAAATCTGTGGTGATAATGATCCAGATTTCGCCTTTGCGAAACCCTTTCATAATGTCCGAACGACGGGTCTCTGATAAGTCTGAATGCAGAACAGCAATTCGAGAAGATCCTCCAGCTTCAGGGGGGATGTCATAAAGCAACTCCGAATGTAGCGCAACTGCTCGTGGAATTGTTTGTGTGAAGATGAGAAATGGCGGTCGTAAGCGGGCTTCGTTGGGAGCGACGGCTGCACTGGGACGAAGAAGTTGACGTAAACCAAGCAACTTGCCCTGTTCAGTGGCTGCGTATACAAGTTTGTGTTTGATGTTCGGGACAGCGGAGTCTTTGAGGCCAATAACAACTCGTAGGAGGGGAGTTGAGGTATTTTGACTATTTTCAATGGCAAGAGATTCCCGACGTTTCTTGATCGTCTCCTTAGTCAGCTCTTCAATATTAGAACCCATCGTGGCCGACCATAGCGATATGCGGAGCCGAGGGTTGGTGCACGCATTCCAGATGGCTGAGGTCTGTTCACGAAACAAAGGGTCTAGAAGTACATCTGCCTCGTCCAGGACAAGATGCTCTACTGACGGTAATGGGGAGACACTTTTCGTCTTATTCGCAGATAATGCATTGACTAGAGCGAGTGGCGTGGTGACGAGGATGTCGCTCTTGGTGACAGTTGTGTTGGTTTTCTTCCCTTTGGATTTTGACTTTGCGTCTTCCGTTTCGTTGTCACTGCTAGACCCTGGGTCTGATTCGGAGCTGCTCTTCTCTTCCAATAAGTTTTCCTCGTCATGAATTAGATCCATGACCTGCATGCCCTTTCTCATCGCCGTAATTGTTACCCCAGTCCCAACAGCTAGTTTCCGTCCTTCATTGACGATCTGGCCCACAAGTTCTTTCGTGGGAGCAACAATGACTGAACATATCTCACGCTGTCCAGGATTCTGTCGATGATGTTGAACCATGTTATTGATCAATGGGATCAAAAATGCCAGTGTTTTCCCGCTTCCTGTCGGAGCAACTACAAGTAAGTCAAGCTCTTGACTCTCCTTCGGCGATGAAGGCGTCTTATCAATGGCACTATTCCACAAAAGAAGAGGCAAACTACCCATCTGCACTTCAGTCGGCACTGAGAAGCCTTGCTCACCAATATTTGCTGTTAAACGCCTAGAGACGCGATACTTGTTCCGCAGCTCTTGGAATGAAACCAGAGGCTCGGGGTATAGTTGTCGAGCTTCTTTTTGCTTCTTTTTACTGAGGGTAGGTTCTTTCTTCTTCTTCCTCTTCTTTTTCTTCTCCACGTCGTCGCCGGTCTTGGCAGCTTGGATCTCTTCCAAATCGCGCAAGTCGGAGACTTTAATCCTATGCGCTTTCAAAATTGACCGTCGCTCGGACTCTTCCATCACGGCGGTTGATACTTCATGATCTGAATCAGGCTCATTTTGAGCATTGTCTTCTTCCACAGACTGATTCTTATTAGACTTCCGTAACTTTTTAGATTCCTTTAACGATGCATTTTTGACTGGTGCAGACTTAGCACCAAAAAGCGCTAGCTGCGTCGCATCAAACTCATTGTCCGATCCCTCATTTCCATCAGAATCTTCATGCTCGTCAGATCCTCTCTTTCTTTTCTTGGTTTCAAGGTCTTGTGCAGACCGAAAGAGCTGCGGGTTCTCTGCTTTTCCTGCGGAAGGCAGGCGGTGGCTATTAGAAGATGCAGCTGTGGGCTTCAGCTTTGTTGATCGAGTCAACAGTTTGAAGGCGTCCATATTGGATATTCAGTTCCCAGAAAGAGCCACAGTGGCAAGATTTCAAAGCATCCTGGTGGTTACTCTGGCAAAGCGCTGAACGTTGAAGAGTAGCGAGCCTGATGGAACATGAAAAAAGTTCGGTCTCAAGCAGGCCGTCTCCGAGCCAATCAGAGGCCAGCATTCGCCGCACTAAACAAGTATCCAAGGACAACCACAGCATTGTTTCCCGATTCCTACGAATGATACTCGCTGTATTTTGCAGTTCTGATATGTATGAGAAGTAGAATTTGATTAGTATTTAGCCACTATCATCGTCCTTTTACAGAGTTCTGACTGAATATATTTTGCCAGCACAATTGCAAAATATTTCTATTTCTTTGCCTCACCCTGCAGCGTTCGAACACGGCTTTTGCCAGTGTCTTTCGCAAATGTCTCAGGAAATGCAGCTAATATTCCATCGTCTATCATACAATAGTACAAATCGCTGCCATAAGGGACGCGGGAAACAAAGGAAATCGGTGGCTACAGGTTAGAAGAAAATGCTGAATATAAATGGAAAATAAAAAAATAACAAAAGAAGTCTATTTAGTGATGCTCATGTTGGGGCTCTCCCTGGTATCCAACAATTTGACGGCGGCCAAGGATCTCGCCAACGGCGAAGAAGCCGATAACTTCGGCGGTGGTGACACCGACGAAGGCCCATTCCTTAACACTGAAGCTTCGTACCCGCGTGACGAGATTCTGGGGGTTGAAGCTGATGTTCTTAATAGTCGCGGGGTTGCGGACGGCGTTGATCAAAGGTTGGAAATAGGACTGGATGGTGGCGACACTTCTGGAATTGCTTGTGAGAAAAAGCGGTCAGGAACTGAATGTTGACTGATTTGCACTTACGGAGGGTACATGTTTTGGCCGCGGAAGACAAGCTGGGCTAGCTCAAAGCCAACGCGAGTGTAGTAGACGGTGGGAGGTATTAAGCCTGTTGAGCAAAGAATGCATTAGCCACCCATCTCCAATTTTGAGAAACAATGCCTCTTCTCCAGCAGTTTTCTCCACAATGACCCCATATGAGAGACACTATGTCAACACGATATCGATTGTCATCAAAATAAAGGTTCCTTACGCTCAACGAAACCGACAGCCTTGGCAGTAGGACCGCCGACCTTGCGAAGGGCATTGCCAACGTTTTGGGCAGCACCGGCAATTGCTGGTCCAGCGCTCGAAGAGACCTTGGACAGGCCTTCTGAGGCCTTGGAAGTGGCCTGGCTGACTGTTTCCTTGGCCTTGTTTGCTGCATTGCTCGAGTTGTGTCTGACGGCGGTTCTGCGGATCAGAAACTGCGACTGCCGGAGCACGGCGCGGGTTGCCGTAGGAGACATAGCGAGATGTCTTGCTTGAATCAGCCGACGAGAAATAGGGCAAGGAGAATGGCTGTCGACAAGACAAGGTCCAATGGAGCTGGTTCGAGGGGTGGCTGGCAGCTCGTTGTCGTCTTGTCAGGGCCGGGATCGAAGGGCAACAACGGCCTCGGAAAATCTAGGAGAAAACTTTGGCCGTTCAGATCACGTGACCATATATACTGTGTCCGCACTCCTTATCAACACTGCTCCCTGGCTCATGAACATTCAACGCCGAAATTGCAATCATACAATTCATAAACGAAACTTACCACTTCAAGTCACTATGACGCCTACTGGAATTTACCATCTCTTTATTTTTGGTTCTAATGAACAAGAGAAAACTGACTCGTATTGCATGCCAAATAAAGTCGACCTATGTACGTACGTTACATGTATATCCCAGTATTGGAAGCTGTTCAAATGTTCTTCTTCGGTCCGTCCACGCAATTTTTCTGCTAGGGTCCGTAGATAATTTGAAGATGAAGCTCGCCGTGGCCGCCTCCATCCTCAGCTTGGTCACCAAGTCCTGGGAATGACAGTTTAAACAATTCGATATTTTCACTGTCTGCAACCCCACCACTCGACAATTGTCTTTCCCTTTTAACATGCAAAAGGTCTTGAAGGTCCTCTTTATTGAAAGTTATAGCAACCTTTGTCTCCCCTCTCTTTTGATCACGACGTAGCCAATGTGTCAGTCCATTTCGTAGTTTGTATTGGTCGATCAAAACAGTCTCCTGACGGTCGTAGCCGTAGTGGTTTGCTCCTCGAGGAAGGAAATCATTAAAGGATTCTTGGTCCAACTTCGGCATTGTGATTAGCATTTTATATATGCGTGTTTCCTTCATTGGAGGAAAATCGTTCAAACCTACAGACTTGACGGTGACTATCAGGTCACGCTTTCCCAAGTTGACATCTTCATCGCCGCAAGCAGGGAAAACATATTCGACATCAACCTGGATTCTTGCACCAAAGTTTAACTCATGTACAACAAATTTTTCCTGGCCAGCTTGGTAAATGCGTTGTTCGACATAAATGATCGGCTCCGAGTGGTCTTCATCTTTCTTTGGCATGACCACGGTCATTCGGACATCTTGCAGGCTATCATAAGTGCCCTTGGTGTTAAGGACTTCGGTGTCGTCTAATCAAATTTTAAAAGTCAGCCCTCTGCATACGAACTGATTTTGTTACTATTTTGAGATATTCTCTCACCCATGAAAAATATTTTCCTATACCGGTATCCTTGAATCTCATTCCGCTCGCGACTCCGGTCCTGGATTTTGGAAAATATCGTGAGGGGGCAGTTTGATTAAACCTATGCGCCTTCATCATTTCTTCGATAGGGCCAAGGCATCTTGATTGGCCTAAAATAGACCCCTGCGACCATGCCATTCTAGTATTCTTCTTGGGTTGTGGAGGAGACCGAGTTGTGGATGCTCCTTTGGTCACCCGAGAAGCTGATCGCTTGCTATGCAGGACAGGAGTGTCGTTATCCTCTATAACCTCAACCGTCGCTGGCCTGGGTGATTGCTTCATCTGTGCTGTAGTGTTGAAATCGACTTTGCGCGATATCTTCATCTTCAGGCTTGTCGTGCGCCGTGGTGCCCTTTTTATAGACAAATCCTCGAGAAACAACACACCAAGTTATCTAAATAAAACACACCAGCGTTTTATTTTCGTTTTGGATCCGTCTCGGGGTCGGATTGCGCAGGGTTCTGCGCCGCAAAATGTTATACCAAGAATGGTTAACCAGCCACTCATTTAGCGCTTCTCTGGTGACACCAGTAACCACTGTCACATATATGCAGCTTGAACGCTTAGCGTATGTAGATGACCGGAATTAATCCTTGTCAGTCCCAACCAGCTTTCGTGATTATGCGGTTCAAGGCTTTAATAACTACAAATTGTTCTCTACCGCATTTGGAAATCCGGCGCTTTTGCTAATTTGATTGGCCTGTATGGAAAGATACGTGAACTATCAATTGATTAGCCGAATTTATTTTTATATACCGTCAGCGTTTTAGTTTCGTTTATTCTTTTCTTTTCTTTTTCCCCGCCCCTTTTCAAGTTTCACTATACATTTTCATTGCTTATTTCGCGCTACGAAGACCAGAGAGGTTCCAAATATTATATATATAGGTACAACATTTGAAACAAGTGCAATTATAATAAATGGTCGAAAATTTTGTAACAGCTGGGCATCAATTGATAGGTGATAACATTACATACTAAGAAAATAAAATGTCTCTCCGGTTTCACACATCCGAAGTCCTGACTGCTTCACTGGCCTGCACCTGCGCTTTCCCTCCATCAACAGTATTCTCATAAGGGTATTTCTTGGTGAGAACCATTAAGAGAAAAGCCGTAATCACAGCACCAAACATTAGCGATGTAGTAACCGAGAATCCGGCAATATACCTGGGAGCAGCGTTTGACGGCCAAATATACGATCCACTGCAAGACGAAAACAAGCATATAAGCATCAAATAAATTTTCGACATGAAATGTGGTGAACTTACTATACAGAAGAGAGATTGGCCAAAGCACTATAAACGTGTCAGTCTTTGTATATAGATATAGAGATAAACCACTGCATATGTATACGTACTTTACTACCCCGATCGCCACGGCTCGCTTTTCGGCTGGTCGAGAGATTGTATTGGACAAGTAGCTCAGCGTCAAGGGGCTGCAGCACCAGATTCCAGCAGCGCCTGTTGTGGGATATTAGCAGATGCAGTTGGATTTCAGTGACTATCTATTACCGAATGTTAAAAAGGCATATCGAGCTTTTGAGTTGTTCACAGCGGCAGTAATGATCAATGATATGGTTGAAATAGCTGCCATGACCATAATGTGCTTCGGGCGTTCATTCTGAAGATCTGACGAAAAGCAACAGATGAGGACGATAACTAGTGAAGCAATATCTATAGGTTATGTGAGTAGAGTAGTAAGTATATTTATTTTGCCTACTTACATAATGGGATTGTCATCTGCAAATCACGATTAGCGATGAACCAAATCGGTTGCCGAGTTACTCACGTATTGAACGGATTTTCCAGTATATCCCAGTGCAGCCATTAGTGTCGGGACGAAATAAGTGATCGTACCGGCGCAAGTACATAAACTCTGAGCAAGCATGAAGAGCCACGTTCTATTTCTGTTAACCTCGTATCTCAAAATTCATATTGTGGTATGAATCATACCTCCAGTCCTTGACTGCATGGATAAAGCTCTGGGTATGACTGAGATCTCCTGCCAACGTGGAGTTGTTGTCATGTTCGAGACGACGCATCGCATATTCTCTTTCTTCTATCGTGAGCCACTTGGTTGTCGCTGGGAAGTCTGGCAGGATGAAACTGGGATGAATATTAGCAACCGAATGATTTTTTTCTGGATCCAAGGAGAGTTTACATAGAAAGAATAGCAAAGCCAATGGTAATGCATCCCTCGACTATAGACTATCAGCGAATGTTCGAGGAATCTCTAAGATAGCGTACTTAGAAAAAGCCACTTCCAAGCAGGAAGATTTCCTCTATTTTGCATATTGTCTACAATAAGACCGGCTGCCATTAAATTAGGGACTTATTCAGCTAATTCGGAAAGGAATTTTCATACCGATAAGTCCTCCCACAGCACCCGAAAGTAGGGATGCGCAGTAGAATATCGAAAAGCGTCGAGCGAGTTCGCTCTTTTTGTACCAATTGCTCATGAATAGCAAAACTCCGGGCTGCAACTATTAGGAGAGTCTAGAATAATGAGTCTGGGCAACACACAAAATAGCCTGCTTCAACAAGCCCTAGGCAAAAGCGGAGGGCAATCAAATGTTTCTTGGTGCTGATACCGATATATGCAATACTTCCGCCAAATGTGTTATTCTTGAACATAGTCGTGTTTTGAAGTCTAAAAGAGTCACTTACACCATTCCGCCCCAAACGATCTATGAATGATTAGACAAGCAATGGCCCTATGGATAATAAAGGATCCTCTCACCATTAATCCAGGCAGATATAAGCTCGGCCTTGTCCGACTCAAGATCATGTTGCTTGGCACTTCAAGAAGGAGATAGCCAATGAAAAAGATAGACACCGCCAAAGAATAGTCGGAGGAGCTGAGGTGAAGGGACTCAGCCATGCCCGCCTCCTTAGCATTTCCAATACTACGAAAGTAAGTCTAAGTCCGCGAATTCCAGTTCAGATGGCTTAGACGATACATACTTATTTCGATCAAGGTCTATGGCGAAAAATGGTCATATGATTAGTAACTGCTTCTTGACCAAAGGTTTTGACCTTACAATTGAGAATGTACTGTAGAAACCTTTAGTAGAATCCCTAGAATTGATATTCCAAAACTTACCATCACAAATAACGGTGGAATTAAGCGGATGTCGACCTTCCGTAAAATCCTGATCCATCATTAATCCCTGCATCCTGCATATCGGAGGATGTCCGACGCACCGTTGCTCCAAGGCCGGGTCCTCCACGAACACTCCTGCAACATTCTCGGAAACATATTCCTTGTGAGTCAAATCGTCTTTATTGGACATGGTAGGCTATTATAATGGCATATAGTAGATAAACATCGTAGTCCGCGGCCACGCCATGTTCCTTTAATATATAGACGCGATCTTGCGTTGAGATCTGGGGATAACAACTGTGGGGAAGTGGAGATTCCGACTCTTCAATAATGTTGCCACTTCAACTGCTTTCAATGTTCCTCAGGACTTCGCACATGTCAAGTGGAGAAATCACCGAAGCTAATCCCCAGAGGATAGACTCCTGAAGTGCAGAGCTCGGCCCGGTTTCTCCGTGAAGTGTGGAATTTTCCAAAAAGCAGACACCGAGATTTAAATGTTATCTCCACTTCTCATCCGCATCCCACTTTGAAGCCGACCATTGTTCAAGTTTGCAAAATGCAGCCAGCGTCCTTCGACGTATTATCGGATGATGCATATCAGGAACGGGTCTGGGATACCCCGCAAATCGGACAATCACGCCAGAAACCAACTTTTGCCTGTAGTTGGCCAGGATGTGGGCGCGTATACGGAAAACGAGAGCATCTCCAGCGCCATGAGCGCGGCCGTACGTGTTTTCACATTATTGAAATGATTTCTCATAGTCTAACTTGGGAAAATAGATGCCGGCGATGTGAAATACGAGTGTCCAGTATGTAAAAAGCGATTTGTTCGAAGGTGAATTTCTCTTTTCGATGTTAGTTGTTATCAACACGTTGCTTACGGAATACTGGTATCCATAGAGATGTAATGACTCGACATCTTTCTCTACACGGGTCTAGAGTGAAAGTTCCACGCAAAGTGTCATGGTGAGTACGAAATCTTGAATTATTAAAGCAGGATGATTTACTTGAGAAGTATATCTTGCGTTAGCTTGAAGGTACGATGTGATGGACAACGAGGGCAAACTTGTAGCAAGTGCAGAACCTCAGGGCGGACATGTGTATATCGGAACACAAAGGAAGATTCAATCCCTGACCAGCGAGTCCAAGATCCCGAAGAATCCTTCGTTGCTCAAGACTTGGTTATTCGACGTGAGGCAACTGCCATACTACCTGAGCCACTTGATGTTCTGGCTGCAGCGTCTGAGTCCCATCTTCTAGCTTCGGTTGAGCCGGGATATCATAATATCAACACCAATATCCAAAATCCGATTTCATTATCAATAACTGGTTTGCTTCCCTATATCTGCATGTGAATGATCTCAACTAACAAATATGTAGCCGATACTTTCCCATCAGTTCCAGTCGGATCCCTTTTTGAATTCCCCATGGACCCCTCTGAAAGCTTCTTTGGGTGGGATATGGACGAATCTGAGCTAGACACTCTCAACATACCGCCTCTTGGTTTTATTCCGACCGGTGACGTCCAACCTGGTACTTATACAGCATCCGGGGCACCAGAAATCCGTGAATTAAGTTCCATGGAGCCATCAGAATTAATTCGAGATGCTCAGCCACCTGATACGCCATGGGTAAGTTGTGGAGGAAGAGCCCCCGACTTTCGCAGTATCTAATACCAAATTACCTAGCCTCATGTATTTCGACCCAGCCAGCAAGACAATCAACTCGACCTGCCTCCTCCTGTCAATCAAAAAGCTCGATTAGGTCTTCAAGGCCCAGTTATTGATGGAATTGAGTACTCCACTCGCCAGGAAATCATTTCACTTATTCACACCGCTCATCGACCACAATGGCCTTTAGTCGATCTTTCCTTCTTTCCTTCAAACGAAACGCTGACCTCCTGTGTGAATCTTTATTTCCGCCATTTCCACGAAACCCTCCCCATAATCCGCCGCTCTACCTTCCGCAAAACCGACGCACCACCAATCCTCCTCCTCACAATGGCAGCTATCGGCGCAGTGTACTCACACGATGGTTTAAGCGGGCTTGCAATTGCCTTAAACGAGCTAGCACGTCGAGTGATTTCACATGTCCGCGAGAGCGACCAACGGGCAATGTTTGATAGGGTTTTCATTCAAGCACTGCTCCTCCAATCTGTCTTTGGGCTGTTTTGTGGCTCTAGAATGCTTTATCAACATGCAGAGATAAGTCGGGCTAGTCTTGTTACTGCAGCTAGGAGGATGCACCTTCTGCGACCGAGTTTGTCGTATGTTAAAGAACTCGAGAAACGGAATACGTCGCCGAGTGCAGACGAGCTTCAGCGGGCGTACGCGGATGATGATCGGCGGCGGAATTTAGGTTGGGGGATATACGTAAGAAAGTATCACTATTGCCGAGAAAAATTTAATTGACTTGATAACTAGCTCTATGATATGCAGATATCCTCCCTTCTGAATATCGCACCTCTTCTCTCTATCAGCGAGATCAATGTTCCTCTCCCAATCGACGAGGAGACGTGGAATGGATCTAATCCGGGCGAGAGAGTGAGTCCAGAGCACGTTCTGCAACAATCGCCGAGCTTTCGAACAGTGCTGGATTCATTGCTCTCTACGGAGAAGTTGCCAGGGCCCTTGAGCTCGTTCGGGCATTGTATCGTGGCACATACTCTATATAGGCATGTTATACCATCACCCGGTGTATGTACAGCGCGTTACTAGCGGCTAATGAATGACAGGCTTTGTACCGATGCCTCTGCATTTGATACCATATTTTCGAGACCAGCAATGCCATCGGATACGTTGTACCGACTAGCATTCCCATCTACATTTAAACAGTCAGTCCTCATCAGCAGTTTTGAAACATGGATTTTGGTTGGTGACATCGATTAAATATTATAGTAACCCCCAACAACTCCTCGACCAGTTATCAGTCTACTGCCACGGGCTATCTCACATGCCAAACTCATTGATCGTCAGCGTCTCTGCTCTATCACACCTCGGTCATATGCAATTCACCTGGCCCGCATTCTTGAACAATATCAAAGTCGCTGCCGGAAAGTCTGGGACTGAGGAGAGCAAAGCGGACGCTAGAAGCTGGCTACGAGCTCGTATTGCGGAGGATCCTTTGGGTGCAAGGTCAATCCTTGTACATGCCGGACAGCTTAGTGCGTTGTTGTTGAGATTTACATTCGAGTAAGCATACTAAAGCATCAAAAACTACGGAGATTAGATACTAACAACATCGTTTCCGTTCCAGTGCGCCCTCCGAGACTGTCCTTGTCTTCGACGCCGCATTAACATTTTGGGCTATTATCAAATTCTCAGATGAATCAATCCTAGGTCCGTCTTCATCTACAAGAAGAACGGTAATTACCTGTAAGTCTTCCTACTAGTTCAAACACCACTACATCAAGTCTAAATATCTCTCTACAGGGTCTGATTTTGACGACATTCACGAGTGGGTGAAAAGCGGAGGGCCGGTGTGTTTCCAAGGACTAGGGGATTTATCTGATCTTACAAGCTCTAAGATACTATCAATTTTTAGTGAACGACTGGAGAATATGCCGTGGGGTTTGTCGCGGCGGTTTAAACATGTCCTAATGATGTTGGAGCGGGAGTAAGCATGCTTGTTAATACAAATGACAAAAGAAAGTACTACATATAGTAAGTATTCCTAGTTTGCACATCAATTGATGTCATTGATAAAGAGAATCAACGCTCGGCTTTCGAAGTTACCTGAGCTGGGGTAGAGTGGAGATGTATCATCTCCACATCATCTCCGGCCATCCCCCCATTTAACCCCTCACTGAACATGGTAGAATTTGATGAATTGAAATTTTTATTTCAATTACGATTTCTACAAACTACATTCTACATACACTGCTATCCATCCGCAAACATGTCTCTCCCAACGCACTTCAAACTCAACACCGGGACCTCTATCCCCGCTATCGGGCTCGGTGAGCTGCTCAACAATCTATATTCCTTGAAAACGGCCGATTAATTTTCTTCGCAGGAACCTGGCGTGCTGAACCAGGTCAAGTCGGCGAGGCAGTAAAGCATGCATTGAAAAGCGGGTATCGCCATATCGACTGCGCGTTAATTTATCAGAATGGTTCGTTGCGAATTCCAGCCCTTGATCAAATTCTCATTCCCCGCAGAAAAAGAAGTTGGAGAAGCGATCAAGACTTCGGGGGTACCCCGAGAAGAGATTTTTATTACCAGCAAAGTGTTCGTTTATCAAGTCAAGAAGCCGTGTTTGTTACTGACTGGCTATACAGCTGGAATACATATCAAACGGACGTCGCCGCTGGACTGGAGCAAACACTCAAGGACCTACAGACTGATTACGTAGATCTATATCTGATCCACTGGCCTGTGTAAGCCCTCCATCCCACTACTCACATCACACCCATCTAAACACCACCAGCCGCCTCGTCCCCAATGAAACGTCCGCGCTCTTCCCCACCAACCCCGACGGAACGCGCGCCGTCGACCGCTCGTGGAACCAGCAGGAGACATGGCGGCAGATGGAGGCAGTGTACCGATCGGGAAAAGCCAAGGCCATTGGCGTATCCAACTGGAGTATCCCGTACCTCGAGCATCTCGAGAAAACATGGACGGTTGTCCCCGCCGTGAACCAAGTTGAACTGCACCCGTATTGTCCACAGCATGCATTGAAGAAATGGTGCGCGGATCGGGGAATACTACTCGAAGCGTATTGTCCGTTGGGATCAAATGGTTTGTCCGCTGCTTCGTAGTATACTTTTCGGTGTTGGTGATGACTGAGTTGTATGGTTCTAGACTCCCCGCTCCTCCGTGATGACGAAGTAACGGCTATCGCCGATAAACATAATGTATCCGCCGCCACAGTTTTGATTTCCTATCAAGTGAATCGGGGCTGCATCGTTCTCCCGAAATCAATCACGCCAGCACGCATTGAGCAGAATCTCAAGGTGATTGCATTGCCGCAAGAGGATATGGAGATTCTGGATGGTATGGCTGCGAAGGGGAAGCAGCAGCGTGTTAACACACCTTTGTTTGGGCATGATTTGGTTAGTATTCACTTTCTTTCTATCTTCGGGATTGTTCCGATATACTAATGTGTTAATCAGGGCTTTGATGATTGGTATGGACCAGGGAATAAGAATGCTCCCAAATAGACGTTTTGACAGGAATATTTAGAGGAATATACTAGATTGTATTTATCAAAAGACTGTTAAGAGATGAATATTCGCGTTTGCCTAGGGCTATGGTTTAGGGTTATTAGGGTTAAGCTGAGTGCGCTATACTGTAAATGACAAGGCCCATAAAATATGAATTTGAGCGATCCTATTGGATGTCGAGGAATTATGAATACGAGCTCTTGGCAAGACTTCCGCATCTGGATTAGCCGCATCGTATTCCACGAGGGCGATGACGATGATCACCTAACTCCGCCACCTTCACGATAAGGAGGATTATGATTTAAAGATCTACGTCTGGAGGAAATTGAAAAGTCGTTTTGTAAACACATTTCTTGCAAATACTACCCGCGAGTTCGTACTGAGCATCCACAATGCCGTCCCTTGTCGATACCAATGATAGCACGATAACTGTCAGACCCAAGAAACAGCCACAGCCCTCAGCGCAATTCCAGAGCGTCTTCCGGCTCAAGCAACCGCTCAAACATAACACAGTAGCACGCACGCAAAATAGCAGTTTCCAGCTTGCGCAGTCATCTTTGTCGTCCTTTCAAGATGGGCAGGCGCAGCAGTATGGTTTCCATTCGCGACGAAGCCACCGGAAATCACGACTCGGATGCGGGAATTGTAAGAAAAGGAGGGTTAAGGTATGATTACATTCTATACGTATATCTTTTGTTGCGAGTTTAGGGTTAATGGTTGGTATGTGTAGTGTGACGAGACAAAACCAGAGTGTACGCGCTGTTTTAAATACGGGGTTACGTGCGACTTCTCGTCGGATAGCTCCAGTCACAATTCCAACTCGAGTTCCGACTCCGATGGCAACTCGCCTTCTGATTTTGAGTTGGTGCTGGGGTTGACTGAGAGCTCACCAGATATGGCAGCGAGCAGTATGTCGTTAGCTGTGGTTGAGCGGAATATCGCGCATATTGTTGGGTTGGATCATGATCGATGGAGCTGTAGTGAGAGAATGGTTCGGTTAGGTTTGGGCGATGGGTCGTCGCAGCTGGTTAATTTAAGTGTGCTGTATAATTTCATTATGAGTACTGAGACGATTCCGGATGAGAAGATGAAAAAGGTTATAAAGACGGGGTTAATCCAGACTGCTTTTGGGGTGAGTATCTTCTGCTTTGATTTCGGTGTGACCTCCAGACCAACATGTTTATGGTAATAGAGCGCGCACTTGATGCATACGATATTGGCAGCCTCGTATCTGCACATGAACCACGCACGACGTCGCAACTCATACCGCCGAGTGCAGGAAGCTTATCATTGGCAACGCGCTATCCAGCTGTATCAAGTCGAGATGCAGAACCCCATCGGAGCGCATAATACGAACGCGCTGATGGGCAGTTGCATTTTCATGGGTATAAACACACTAATGCCTGTCGGATTCCAGCCACAGGATTCGTGGGTGTTCACCTCAGACCCGGCAGACCTCAACTGGTTGGCGCTGCAAGGGGGTCTACGCTGTATGATCGAACTGACGCAGCCGTTCATCGCAGACAGCATCTGGGGGGAGTCATTCCAAGCATCGGCGGAGCGCCTCAAGCCGTTTCAGGACGAAGTGCCAGGACGCGAGGGCATGCACTCAGCGCTGGCGGATTTGTGTGAAATTGATGATGCGACCACGCCCGCGACGAACCCGTACCACTGGCATGTCCAGCTTCTGAGCCGCATGCTGATGCTTAAGCCATTTGACCGGCCCGACAACTACAACGTTTTTGTGACATGGATGGGTCAGATTCTGCCCGAGTTCATCACGCTGCTGCGCGGCAAGGACGAGCGCGCGATGCTGATTCTGAGCTGGTGGATGGCGCTGATGTGTGCCATGGCGTCGTTCCAGGTGTGGATTCATGCGCGTATCGTGCCCGAGTGCCGGGCCATTTGCATGTATTTGGAGCAGAATAGCACGGACGCGGAAATATTGAGGCTGATGCGCTGGCCAGCACAGGCTTGCGGGTATCACGAGTGGATGCCAGAGACCTTTGAGGATGTGATAATTTAATTAGAGAGGCCCTGAGCAGTCATACTTTGACCGGCCATTATTCGCGATTTAGATTGGGCGCATGACTCCGACCTGGCTGGGCACTTCATTGTCTATTGGTAGAAGGTCGCGATGCCCAGCAACGTGCAAAATTAGATGGCTTGGAGTGAGACAATTGATTTGTGACAGCGTCGCCTGCTAGCGATGCGGCTGTAACCGAGACACTGCGAAGAAAGCTAAGATACGACAATAGTACAAGAACGGTTAGTACAACTCCTCCAGTTCGGCGGCGTCACGGGCGCTAATTGGCCAGTGTCAAGACATGTCTTGCGCGCACGGCCCCTGATTGGTTCGGTGCCGACTTCGTCGCAAACTATACGCCTTTCAGCCTCCGCGCGGTCACCTGCCGGCCTAAGAAAACCACGGCGCTATCGCTGCTAGCGGCGAAGGCTAAGTATATGCTAGAAGCTTTGGCTGAGCTATCGACGTTAGCAACGGCGCTTGTTTCTCCTACAGCCGGACTCCGTTGTATTATCGTGGGCGCAAAGAATTACAGAACCGAGTAATTATTTTGTTGGTTGTTTGGTGGCAGTGACCACAGGCGGTGGAGAGAGGTGCCGATCCGAATGTGCTTTACTGGGTCTGTGACTTCATGATCTCCAACGATGACTGGCCCCCTCTTGGCGACACATGAAACCGTTCTAAGCTCTGGATGTTTGCTGTGAGTAGGGAGAGGCGTTCAGAGATGTTTTAAATTTTACCACTACCGGTTGGGAAGGCAGAGTAACATGGCTGGCAAGGTGTCATATGCCATTGCGCCTTACCCAGCCGGGCCCTGGCCTAGCCGGCTGTCATACAGTGGCCCGAGGAAAGCGCACTGATTGGCCTGAAGCCCGAGGGGGCGCGTATTGAGCGCCCGGTGATTGGCGCTACGGAGTGGACCCCATGGTGCATATTGCATGCTGATTGCTACCATGCATACCACGGTACCTACATGTGGCATTATTGTATCCGTATTTTGTATTGTTCCATAGTGCAGCACGGCACTTCTAAAGCACAGCCTCCGTCAGCAGGCCTGAAAGCTTTTTCTTTTTTCTTCTCATACAATAAGAAAACAAATAATGAAATTTCTGCCGAGTGTCGGTGTAGCCGCCACCTGCTAAGTAAGGGACAACTAGGCATAGTGGCTGGCCAGCAACAAGCACAGGGACAGGTCTATCTCGTACCATACAAGGCACCGAGCAAGGATGAGTGCTGCGAGCCCCCTGAAAATCTTGGGTCAGCGTCTCAAAAATAGCACGGGCTTTTCCTGATTGAGTGGCCGCTGGCCTCCTAGGCGGTATCCGGGCTAGCGGCGTTGACTCGGATGCGAATGTTATTTCTAATTCGCAGAGACTGTTTGGGAGCGCAGCTGGCCCCACCGCGGGCGGCTCCACCAAGGCAAATAGAAGCTCCTTCTGGTATTAGGAAACTGCTAAACTGTCGCAAAACTAACCTGACTCATCCAACACAAATAATGGATAATGAGATGGATAATGGTGGAGAGCAGATCCGCCGCATGACGGTGGGGCCCTGGGGACGATAGGCACTCTGACTGGGTCCCGGAGTCATTGCATGGGCAACCGCCAGCTGTGATTGTCTCAGTCCACAGCGCCTGCCTCCGATATAAAGCCTCTGCCGCCCTCTCGCCTGTTCTTATAGTCTCTCGCTATCACTGCCTGTCGTTTCCACACACCTGTGCTTGCTTGTTTACTTGCTTGGTGTTGATACAGCTTCGTCGCTTTCAGTATCACGGTGACGCCATCCGACTTCTCACTCGCTACTAAGAACTCGGACTTGCACTCGCTTGGGGTTGACAAGAGATAATCGCTGTCGCTAACTGCAATACCTAAACCAACAACTAATATAATCCTCAACATGCGTTCTACTATCGCCCAGTCGGCAGCTATGCTGCTTGCTGCTGCCTCGATGGCATCTGCGCAGACCTGGACCGCCTGCAACCCGATGAAGAATAGTAAGCCTGACAATCGTATCAAATTATGACTCGACGAGAGATTGACTGGTGTCTAGCTTGCCCTGCCGATCCTGCTCTGGGCGCTACGCTCTCCACCGACTTTACCGCCGGTGCCTCCAAGGACTGGAAGGTCACTAATGGTGAGATCAGCTACAACGGCCAGGGTGCTGTATTCACCGTCGCCAAGAAGGGTGATTCTCCTACCATCCAGACCAACGACTACTTTTTCTTCGGTACTGCTGAGGTCAAGATGCAGGCTGCTCCCGGTACTGGTATCGTCAGCAGCATTGTGTTGGAGTCTGATGACTTAGACGAGATCGACTGGGTATGTGGTGCCAATCCTAGATGCTCAAGATTCAATCAACTAACTGTTCTTTAGGAGGCTCTTGGTGGTGACAACACGCAGATCGAGACCAACTACTTCGGCAAGGACAATACTGGCACTTACAACCGTGCCACCTATGTCAACCTAAACTCGCCTCAGACCACCAGCTACACCTACACTGTTGACTGGCAGAAGGATCAAATCCAATGGTTAATCAACGGCAACGTGGTCCGCACTTTGCTCGCTTCCGATGCTGGCGAATACTTCCCTCAAACCCCAATGACCTTGAGAATCGGCATCTGGGCCGGTGGCGACTCAGGCAACGCTCCGGGAACCATCCAGTGGGCTGGCGGTGTCACCGACTACAGCAAGGGTCCTTTCACCATGTACGTCGAGTCCGTGACCATCAAGAACGCCAACCCTGGCAAGTCCTACACCTACTCCGACAACAGCGGTTCTGCCGACAGCATCAAGATTGACGGTTCTTCCTCCCCTGATCCCACTACTTCTGCCGCCACTACCACGTCTGTCCACTCTACCACCTCCGCCCACCCTACTACCAGCGCCGAGCCTACCACCAGTGCCGGCCATGGCACCACCACCAGCGTTCCTCCTTCCCATACTTCCACTGCTGGCGACGGCACCACCACTGCCCCATCTGGCACCGCCACTGGCAAGACTGGAACCCTCACCACCGTTACCTCCGCTACCCCCAGCACTGGTGTTGTTCCCGGCTCTGGCAACTCAACCACTACCCCTGGCAGCTCCCACGCTTCCTCCACCTCCACCACTGCTCCTGTCCACACTGGTGGCGCCATCTCCAGCGTCAGCACCTCTGGCTCCCTGGTTGCTCTCTATGGCTTCCTCGCCGCCATGGTCGCCTACGTTCTGTAGATTACTCGAAAATCTTTTTCAGCCGTGTACATAAACAAGCTAGACTCATACAACTCTACACCACTTAGCGGGTAGATGCATTTTGGGTTGCGTTGGGCTATTTTTCTCACTTTACCTTATCGTTGGCGGGCTGTTTATAAACAAATAAATTACACGAATCACACCAGATGTATTTTGACCATTATGATTACATGTATTGGAGGATGCAGTTTGTTCGGGAATTGACATTTGACTAGCGTTGCAGGTTTCCTTTTGCAGTGTTGTTTTTTGACACACTTCATATCTGGCAGGTTACACAATGCCGGGGCCTAATAAATAATAACATTGATTATCACATAAACATTAAAAAAGTAATTAGATGATAATAACTTGCCATTTTTGATTACTGTATGACAATGACCTGCATGAATGCTGACTATATCAATGCTACTATACCGCCCCCATCTATAGGGCGCGTTCTAGATTGCGAGACCCTAACATTGAAATAATCCATCAGGCTGGCAGGGATTCTTGATGACAACACGTCAGCACTATTTACAAAGTATCACAATAAATTGGAGAATATTGATTTTACTCGAATGAATAAACAAATCATAATGAATTCAAAGTCTTTGTTTACTTTGTAGCTCAACGGCGGTTGTTGGATTGATCGGTAGCTAAATATTAATATGTCGGTTGCAGATCCTCTACGGTAACAATACGTAGCAGGCAATTTGGATTCGTAAGAAGTCCCTGAAAACGCCTTACATATATCTGTACCTTCGAATATAATACTAACATTCGTGTTCTTTCCTGATTGGGGACGTGGTGAAGCAATATATTGGCATGCGACATTATATATATATATATATATATATATATATGTGAATCAATTGATATTTGATTCATATTCTTACTTACTCTCTACTTTGCTCCCTGCCTCACTTGTTGAACGCGTTGATGAGTCCTTAAATTGATGTGTTTTAGAGCGCTGCTCATATGACTGTCTATCTAGGTGTGCGTGCAAGGCTTGTACACGCAGGTAGGGCTTGTATACACGTCGGGGTGGACACGTTGTTTTGTAAATAATACTCTTTTTTAATATAATTTTAAATATTACATATTTTGATTGCCGCTGGGGTTATTCCAGTATTATTTTGTACAGAACATGTCTTTTCAATCGGTATGTCTTGGCATACGAGATGTATATAAATTAATATATATATCCTGTACCAAGTCGTTGAAAATTAAAGTCTAGTATGAAAGCCGTATTGAAAATAAATATTTATGAAATTTATAGATAATATTAAAACATTGCCACAACCCTAAAACGATAGAAATAATAAATTAGGGCAGTATTCGAGTTGTGTCCGAGAACTCCTATATTCCGCTATTGACATAGGCAAGATCAATGGATCATATGATTAGAAATATAATATAATTTCTTCCTGATATTATAGAACTCATGCTCTATGTGGAGTGGGCTGCTAGAAAAGTCTTGGGTGGCCATTACTCTATGAAGGAGGAGGTTACCTTGACATGCCGCTTCATATATTACCCGTCTGCCCTACCGATGCAGCCATACTTTGAAACTCAATCGCGCTAAATCTTAAAATAATAAAAAATAGAGGTCATAAATGTTGAAGAGACAGACAGAGATATATTCCACCAATTAGCTCCCATCAACGCCATGCCGAAATATCCACCGGGAAATTACCCGAGCGAGCTCTTCTGATCTACTATGGCGCTTCTATTGGCCTAGATCCTCCCCATTTTTCTCTCTTAAAGAACGCTCTCCTGCGGTACGTACTCCGTTGCAGTGCGGGCCATGTTTTATTTTACCGACAAGCGCCTGGCCGCTCGAGCCCAGTTCCCAGAGGTAAACTGACAGGAATTGTGCTGAAACGGGCCACGATGCGTTGGCAAATGAGTCAAGTGATACGTTTCATTCCGCCGGTGCAGCAGCCCCGCGATCAGCATGCGCGTTATCTCATACTGATAGTGCCGAGTGCTGTGTGAGGTGCGCTGCATAAACCGGATATGCTGGTTTCAAGGAATTATAATGAGCTCTTGATTATTACCACTTATCCGCAGCCAGGAACGAGAGGCCATATGCATTCGGGGAGGAATTGAGAAAAGAAGGAAATGAGGGGCAGTCTCCAATGGCATTTGATTCGATCTTCTCGAATTTTTTGTTCCCCGCGCGCTGGGAACGGGTAAAAGCATCCTACCCGCCTTGTATTACATTTCTAATTAAGAGCGACGGGGTAACGCCAATCAAGAGCTGTTCGCAATGCTGCGGATGGTTGTGCAGATGATGGCTCCACCTGCTTCCATCCTACCTCTTTTCTTTCTTATTTATGTATTCTCCTGCTCGCTCCCCTTTTTTGTATCTTCTTCACATTCGTTTTTCTCAGTCGCTTTCTCTCTTTGCGGTTCGCAGTATACCCCAATAAGAGAAGATGGCTACAGAGACTGTCTTGGACAAGCCTAACATTGGCGTCTTCACCAACCCGCAGCATGCGCTGTGGATCGCGGACGCAAAGCCGACGCTAGAAGAGGTGCAGAAAGGTGACGGGCTCAAGCCGGGCGAGGTGACGGTTGAGATTAGAAGTACTGGGATTTGCGGGTAGGCATACATCTTTGTCTGTTTTCGCTGCTATTTCTTTTTGCTGCAGGTGCTGATGTGCGGATTCGCCGTAGTTCCGATGTCCATTTCTGGCATGCTGGTTGTATTGGTCCTATGATTGTCACGGGAGACCATATCCTAGGCCATGAATCTGCCGGTGTCGTCCTCGCAGTTGCGCCAGATGTCAAGACACTCAAGGTTGGTGATCGTGTCGCCGTGGAACCCAACATTATCTGCAACAAGTGCGAGGCCTGCCTAACCGGTCGCTACAATGGTTGTGAGGCGGTCGAATTCCTGTCAACACCCCCTGTCGACGGTCTTCTCCGTCGGTACGTCAACCACCCTGCCATTTGGTGCCATAAGATCGGCGACATGAGCTTCGAGAACGGCGCATTGCTAGAACCCCTCAGTGTCGCACTCGCCGGCCTTGACCGCGCGGGGGTTCGTCTGGGTGATCCGGTGCTCATCACTGGAGCCGGCCCTATCGGTCTGGTCACATTGGCCTGTGTCCGGGCTGCCGGTGCCTCGCCCATCGTCATCACTGACATTGACGAGGGCCGACTACGCTTCGCCAAAGAGCTAGCTCCAGACGCACGCACGTACAAGGTGCAAATCAATAAGACGCCAGAAGAGAACGCAGCGGGAATATTGGACGCCCTGAACGATGGCAACGCGGACGCAACAGACGCCATACGCCCGCGCGTCGCTATGGAATGCACTGGAGTCGAGAGCAGCGTCGCTTCCGCCATCTGGAGTGTCAAATTCGGCGGCAAGGTATTCGTGATTGGCGTGGGCAAGAACGAGATGAAGGTCCCTTTCATGCGCCTCAGCACCTGGGAAATCGATCTGCAATATCAATACCGATACTCAAACACATGGCCCAAGGCGATCCGGTTGGTGAAGAACGGCGTGATTGATCTACGGAAACTCGTCACTCATCGCTTCTCTATCGACAACGCGCTAGAGGCATTTAAGACTGCGGCGAACCCGAAGACCGGCGCTATCAAAGTGCAGATTATGAGCTCGGATGAAGAAGTTAGATTGGCTACGGCAGCTGTCACTGCGAATGGCGTCCATTAATTTTGGTATTTTCTTCTGCTCTGAGCTGATGGCGACCGGTGGCATTCCCTGGTGTGGTCGCTATGGCTGGATATAGCTGGGTTGCGCTTGGTCATCTTGTGTGTATAGACGCTTGCATATATTATTCAACTGATGATGATTATGATAATAAAATCTTTTATTTGTAGAAGAAGATCCGCCTGCTCTTCAGATATCAGGTAGAGTTTATTGGTCAATGTTGTGGACAACCGAGCAAGTCGATTCTCGCATATAGCTTTATTTTGTAGAAGGGAAAAGCACGCCTTGGTGACTAAGGTAGTTGGAAAGCCAAATGCCGTGACTGTGTACTGTGGTTGTAATGGGTGACTCAGATAGCTGGCTCGTTAGTCAGCGGGATAGCAGGTGTTCCTGGCGTGTGGAACCAGGAGATGGGGCCGAGACTTGCTGTTTTTAGAGGTATATTGTGATACCTAGTCAAGAGAGTAGTTCAAGTCACAAAAAAGCAAAGAGATGACACTGTAGAGACAGGTTGGCACCAGGCAGCTCTATTAACAATCTCAGGCAACCCTATTAAGAGCGTGTTGATCGTGAGGGTATAAAAGTGATCTTATCGCCGGACAAGACTCCCCACCTGCACGGCAGCCCCTGATTGGCTGATAGCTGCCGCTCCGAGTTAAGCTATGGAGGGGTGGAGCAGGTGCCGTCATCGCCTCTTGTTTCCTGTTGTTTCCTCTTGTCTTGCTGGCGTATGTATCTGCCGCAGCGCTCGTGACACGATTGAAGGTATATATTTCAGTCGTCAGTCCTCGGCCATGTCACTGTCAGAAACTACAAATTGAGCCTCGACTCTCGCAAAGTTGGCCACGGCACATGTGAGGGGCAACCTTGGAGCAATTACGCATTTGGGTCACTTGGATTTGTGATATAACTACCATTACCCGAACGACGATAAAGCCCCGATATGTTTGGCTAGACTTCTGATAATCGCATAGTTTATCTCGCCATGTCTACACAAGAGAAGGCAGGCCTGCTTCCCGAGGACGACTCCGAAAACAGGCTGTCGAGACTCCCCACTCAGGAAGATGTCACGGTTGGAGAGGAAGTCCCAAAACCGGTCTACAGCAATGTCTATGGACATATGGACTTGACTGGTGGCGGATTGAGCACACAAGCAACAATAACAGGTGAATACAAGTGTCCGCCCTCTCTACATAGCTCTAACGTATGCGCCTGCTACAGCCGACGGACGAGTCGATATCGACATCAAAGGGCGTACTTCGTGGCTGCAGTCTGCTTTTAAACTGCCTGCATTTAAGCCTTCATCTACCACCGAACCGCCGCCTCCCTACGTCCCCCCGTCACTCCAAAAAGGCGCGGGTAAAGAAATACCCCGCTTGAATATCGTCATACACGTGGTTGGATCTCGAGGTGATGTGCAGCCATTTATTGCACTGGGTCAGGTTTTAAAGCGCGACCACGGACATCGAGTTCGGTTGGCCACTCATCCAACCTTTCAACTGTTTGTGGAAGAGAATGGGCTTGAGTTCTTCAGCATCGGAGGCGATCCGGCGGAACTCATGGCTTTCATGGTCAAGAACCCTGGTCTCATGCCCGGAATTGATGCACTGAAGAATGGCGATATTAGCAGACGGCGGTTTGAAATTGCAGAGATCGTTTCAGGTTGCTGGAGGTCGTGCTTTGAGGCTGGTGATGGCACAGGCGTGCCAGTCTCAGATCAAAATGCTGATTTGCGAAACTTCCAAGGCACATCACCGCCGTTTGTTGCAGATGCGATTATTGCAAACCCGCCTAGTTTCGCGCATGTTCATTGTGCTGAGAAATTGGGAATACCATTACATATGATGTTCACGTATGTTTAGGTCGAATTTTTGATGAGTATAAGGAACTGACTTGAATGCAGTATGCCATGGTCACCCACACAAGCCTTCCCACATCCTCTCGCCAGCATCGGCCATTCGAATGCAGACCCTGGTATTTCTAATTATGTGACTTACGCTTTGGTAGAAATGTTGACCTGGCAAGGACTGGGTGATATCATCAATCGGTTCCGTGAGAAGAGCTTAGGATTGGAGCCAATTAGTATCGTGTGGGCACCATCGATGATTCCCCGGATGCGGATTCCATATACATACTGCTGGTATGTCGTCCACAATTTACTCCGATGATAAAATTCTTTAGTGCTAACGTGCCAGGTCTCCTGCATTGATCCCTAAGCCCAATGATTGGGCCGGTCATATTGATATCTCTGGCTTCTACTTTCTGTCTCTTGCTTCGGATTACACCCCACCGGAAGACCTGGCGGCCTTTCTTGCCGCCGGCCCCCCTCCGATATACATAGGGTTTGGATCTATTGTAGTTGATGATCCGAACGAAATGACAAGATTGATTTTCGACGCTGTTCGCATTACCGGCCAGAGGACTCTGGTGTCAAAAGGATGGGGTGGTCTCGGTGCTGAGGAACTTGGCATGCCGGATAATGTGTACATGATTGGAAATTGTCCTCATGACTGGCTGTTCCAACGTGTCTCGTGTGTTGTTCACCATGGAGGGGCTGGTACTACTGCCGCTGGAATAGCATTAGGCCGCCCCACGGTGGTCATCCCTTTTTTCGGTGACCAGCCGTTTTGGGGTGCGATGATAGGCAAAGCCGGGGCAGGACCCAACCCAATTCCATACAAGCAGCTGACCGCTGAGAAGCTGGCAGCCGCTATCAAACATGCTTTGGAGCCAACCACTTTGGAAAAGGCAGCAGAACTTGGTGCCAGAATTAGAGGCGAACAAGGCACTGAAGAGGGAGCACTCTCCTTCCAGCGACAACTGAATGTGGACAAAATGCGATGCTCGTTGGCACCCGAACGAGTTGCAGTCTTCCGCCTCAAACGGACCAGAATTAGACTCAGTGCTCTAGCATTCACCATTCTTAATACCGAGGGTTTGGTTGAGTTGGAAGATGTCAAGCTGTACGTACATCCCTTTTTCCTTTTAGCATATCCCGACTGACTCGTGTAGGTACCGGTCAAAGGAATACATGACCGAAGCTGATCCCACGGACCCGGTCATTGGAGGCGGTGTGGCCCTGCTTGGTAATATTGAAGGGTTTATTATGGGGTTTGCCGATCTATCACACGACCTCAAGCGCGGCTTCAATACAAAAGCACCAGGAACACGGTCTCCACGGAGCGGTAGTAAACCCAGCAGTCGGGCCTCCTCGCCGGCTTCAAACAAAACGGAAGGAGTAGAGGATGGACAGTCTAGAAAATCAATATCTGATTCGTCTACCTTAGTCTCGCCACGGCCAGACACTGACGGCGCCTCTGAAACTGGTTTAAGACATAGGTCAGCGACTGTGACAACGGCACGGACAGACTTCACTTCTAGTAGCGGTATTAGTAATACCGGCTCTGAGACTCGACTGAATCCAAAAATTGATCTAGATGCAGTCGTCTCTGCCGGAAAGTCTGCAGCAAAGATATTCAATCTTGGATTTCGAGCCCCTGCTGATTTTACTATGGCCGTGGCGAAAGGCTTCCATAATGCACCATTATTGTATCACGATGAGACTGTGCGCGAATCGCCTAAAGTGACGGGTATCAAGAGCGGGTTGAAAGCAGCTGGCATGGTTAGTTGATGGTTCTGGTTTAACATTTGTGTTAGCTTACTAATAGCTCTCAGCAATTCGGATACGGGTTCTACGATGGAATTTCAGGCCTTGCCACCCAACCGGTCCAGGGTGCGAAGAAAGAAGGCGCGGCGGGGGCTATCAAGGGCTTTACTAAGGGTATAGGTGGGTTGATACTGAAGCCAGCTGCAGGTTAGTAATCATTTGTATACTTCAAACCCACTCTTACTGACATTTTCAAGGTGTTTGGGCATTGACGGGCTACACGCTGAGCGGCGTGTACAAGGAGATTCAAAAGCGGTTTGGTGAAAGTGTTGAAAATTACATTATGGCATCACGATTCGCTCAGGGAATATCTGAGGCTGCCTCTTGTACTGTGGCGGAGAAGGATAGTATCTTGCGACACTGGAAGCTCTTTGAACCGGAATTTCTCAAGAAGAAAGCAGCGAGACTGGGTCTACCCAAGCCTCAAGACCAAGCTGCAAGCCCAACAGTTGCAACGATAAGGAAAGCGGCAACAATGAAAGATGTGGAGAGAGAAGACATGATGTCGGACAGAAGTTCACTGGAATCAGGGCAAGCGGCAGATAGAGCGCGACGCAGACAAGCGCTTCGTGACGTTTTCCGTGGCCGCTCCAATTCCTCGCCATCTCGCTTTTCAAGACGGAGTCTGGAACTTCCAGTTGAGTACGAGGAGGCAATCCAAAACTCTGTTCACGAGACGTCTCAGGGAGATGCGACCGAGGACGAGATGATAGAACGAGCTCTAAGAGCGAGCATGGTTGAACTGCAAGCCGCCGAAGCGGCCGGGGAGGAAGAACAGCAGGCGTACAATCGTGCATTAGAAGCCAGTATTCGAGAAGCGGAGCGTATGTTGGCCGAGCAGAAGAGGAGGAGGGAAGATCTGTCTCCAAATAGTAGATTGCGTTTCAGTTCTAGAACTGTAGACGTTCTACAACAGCATGGACGCCAACCCCCGGAATTACCAGGGCGCAAACCAGAGATGGAACCATTGGACAGCGATGAGGATCCGGATTTGCGGGCTGCACTAGTGGAGTCACGAGAAAGTTATGAAGAAAGTATTCGACGCGAGCAACGCGAAAAGTCGGAATTGGATATGGTTATAGAATACGTGAAGCGGCAAAGCTTGGCCGAGTCAGAGTATTCACAGCAGAAGCAAGAGACGTCTAGGGTGGAGGGTAAAAATGACGCCGATACGACATGAATGATGATTTACGATTAGACTAGATTATGAGTTGAGATACCTCGTTAATATCATTTAGTATTATTGTGATGATTTCATGCTGGGTATTCAGCTTATATGTCTTTGAGGGATTAATGAGTGTAGACAGGGTGATCAACCCTTGACCTGAAAAAGTCCACATCACAACAACATCAATTATGACGTGTCAACGCGAACAAGGGATAAGATAGAGGCTTATATGAGACACGATTGGCCTGTAATTAATTAATAAAGATATCCATCCATTCGGCGAATTCTTGCTTGCTGTTCAAACTGCACCACATAACAAAATGTAGCTGTCAACAAGCCTCCTCGCCGGCTTATTACCACGTACGCCGATACCAAACCACCCTCCAAAATTGGTTCCTGGAAATGTGCACTCGCAGCAGATGGACATAGAATGTCTAGATAACCGTTCTGCTGTGACAAGAACGAGATAGATCGGTCGTATGACGCCGCAAAGATTCTCGTCGCAATGAATTGTCTTCTCTCTCTTTCTTTCCACACCTGAATAAATATCCTTTAGGTTCAAACTGGGATTCTATATAGCTAATAGAGCAGTTGAATAGTATAGGTACGGTAGTTCCTGCTGACCAGAATGTATAGTGTGCGCAGGTGGCAGGTGGCGAATGTCTAGTTTTTCTATAGAGGGGTATGCGTCTATCTCTCCTATTTACAACAGCCTTGGAGTGACTAATTCCCGGTTTTCGTACGTTTATAAGACAGATGACCCAACTGTCAAAGATGGCTGGGCTTTGAACGAGCGTGGCAAACCGGAAACCTTCCTAGATGATTGTATCATACCTTTTCAATTACATTTGGGTTCTGATCAGTCTTGGTGGCACTCCAGGGCACTTTAATGGGGATAATAAGCCTCTGGGGCACTACATTAGTATAGTAATCTTTTACTCTGGCAGTATATAATATATTAGATTATATAGATTTGACGCATTTTTCTATTACTTGGTTCCAAATTTTCTCATCCCAGCCCGCGCAAGGCGACATCGGCCCCAAAGCTTGTTTATACCAACTGATATAGCTTGGAAAGAATGATGTTAAGAAGCCTTATAGAGGATATTATGGATTCTAAGTGGTTTCTCTAGAGTAAACCGTAATTAAACGTATTCTATTCAAAATCCAATATGATGTAAGCTTAGCCTTAGTAATGGTGCAGATCGCCAAAACTGCCGATCCGAACACCACCCTTCGGCCCCTCCCCGACAAGATTCGCCCACTGAACGTCGTCCCAAGAGATCACGAAATTTGTCTCTCAGCTGGATATTACCTCACATCACTGATTTCCGTACACATTCTGCCGCCCTTCATCGTTTTCGGGTCGTTACGTACGCAGCTTGCATAATAAATATACAAGATTACTCCTAGAAGAGTGGATTATCGTGAATATCAATCAACAAAATCAGTACTTGGGGGTCTTTCTATACTTGTGCAAAGTACTTCTGTACCACACTCGCACTATTGATTGTGGACAGTGTGTCGATGCAAGCAAACTGATCCTGTATAGATTTCTTTTTCTGGGAGCATTATAGATTAAACATAAAGTAGATTAACGATAATTCTTCATGTAGATATATAATATATATCAATTATATTGCGTACCTATATTTTTTCGTGACAGTAATTGACAAAATTTCAAAATGTTGAAGGCTCAAGTCATCTGAAAGACGAATATTTATAAAAGAACTAGTTTATATGGAACGCCACTAATATAATGCTCGTAAGGATCGACGGTTATTCTTAAAAAGGCAAATCGTGTAACTTGTGGTTGTTTGGTGTCGGGCATACTCCGATCCTAAAAGTTGTTCTCTGGGGTGCTTGGCTCTATTCTAGTGTCAACTAAACCGCTTACCATAATTGAATTACTCCTTGCCGTGAGAAATTCGATTGGGTCGAAATTTCACAGGGACTAAGAAACACTCACGTAAATTTGTCTTAGGAATTACCATGTAGTTGCGGCTAAGCCCCTTGCCGATGGAGAAGTTTTCCATGTATATATTAATCTGGTACTTCCCATCCACTTCATTGACAAGAGAATACATTTCTCAAGTTAATAGAGTGAAGTAAACAAAATGAAAACCACGAGCTTTACGCAGGTCGTTGCTAGCGTTCTGCTGATGGCGCTTGCTACAAATTGCCAGGTACTGCATGCTTCAAGTTGCCAGGCAGAAGGTGTCACGCGAACGGTGTTACAACAACACGACATTGACGTTCCTGGCAAAGATACCGTTCAAGACATTGTCGATTTCGGTCCTGGAACCACCTTTCCAAGGCATACTCACCCTGGGGAAGAAGTCATATATATCCTTGATGGGTTGCTCGAATATCAGATCGATGGCAAGCCGGCGGTGACATTAAAAGCTGGAGACGTTTTCTTTGTCCCGGCTGGGGTTGTTCATTCGGTGAGGAATCTCGGTAACAGCAGCGGGAGCGAGCTTGCGACCTATATCCTCGAAAAGGGGCAACCGCCAGTTACATGTGTTCAGTGAGACGAAGTCATGTAAGTTACTATTCCTTTTCAAATGATTGGCATTCTGAAGCATACCGACATATCTTCCTACTTGTTTCCCTTCTAAAGAGCCCAATTGCTGATATGCTTCTAGCTTGCATCTAATCGATATATCTGTTTTATCTTTCCTCGACTGGTATTTGTAACAATCGGGAATTATTGGATTGTCAAAGCCAGCATTCGATACTATTCAATATTCAGTTACTGCTATATTCACTCATTCTATCCGATTCATTAGCCCATTGTCCACGATGGCACCAATATATTTATGGACAGATACTTCACAATGTCGATATTATCAATCTCGTCTAGTTTCTGGGCAGTAGATACGGTAACAACGAATTTAACATGAGCTGAATGAGGTTCTAGTTTAATTTTCAAGATTGAGAAATTTAAGAAGATGCGAATCAAGGCTAAACAGAAAATATGAAGATCTTTAACGATGGTGCGGTGAGTCCTTTGAGAAGGGACCACCACAGAACACGTAAACATGTAAAGGTCTACTTCCATGGTCGGTAAGTAATGCCCTCCCTTTGCGGAGTCTTGTAAAGAACTACCCTACAGGTTATGTTGATTTTGCTCGCTCAGATAATCATTGCGAAAGCAAGCAAATCAGGTGTATAGTTCATTATGTTGATCTCGTACGACATCTGGTGCATTGCCTGGAGTGGAAAAGCTAAGTTAGTGTATTGTACTCCGGTTAATTAAATTGCAAGATTAACAACTATTCGCTGAATTAGAAGTTCCTCTACGAAATAATTAGTGAGTCCAGCGTTGTCTAGACTTTTAGTGGCTACCGTGGCACAAACTTCCAAGTAAAATATTCAGATTTTAGAAATAGTGACTATATCTATGAAAGAACGGTACTGAATATACTAGTGTATTTTTTCCTCCCAATACCTGCCATTATGGCAAGATTAAAGAACCCGACAGAAGAAATAATATTTGGCGGGTTTAGCAGTAGCAGCCTCGTGAACACTGCCTTCCTTAGCTCACATATCTGGCTGATGTCAGGCCGAACATGATGTCCCCACCCAACACCAACAAAAAAAGTTGCATTCGAACTCTTCTGCCATCCTCGCTCGCCTCGAACGGATCAACGAGGTACTTATTCGAGTTTAATAGCAAAGCGTTATTTCATCCATTCTCCTTTTTGGATTATTATTGTGGAAAGGACTTCGTTCTTATAGATGTTGCATATGACCTCTAGGTAACCTACAATATGCATCTCTGGCTACAAGTCGTTGGTGTCGTACTCACTTTCCGCCTGGCGCTCTCAATCTATCACCACTTGACGTCAACCTTGCGTCACGTTCCAGGGCCTTTCTGGGCTCGTTTCTCGAGACTATGGTATTTCCATCGTGTCTGGCGCGGTCATTTTGAACAAGACAACGTCAGTTTGCACAATAAGTATCATAGCGCGGTCGTCCAGGTGGCGCCGAATTGGTATAGCTGTACCGGGCCTGAAGCGTTAAAGGAGATTTACGCACCGGGGTCCAAGTTTACAAAGTCGGATTGGTATGATGGATGGAAACACCCGGACCCGGATCAGTGGACTTTATTTCCTGATAAGAATATGAAACGACATGGTATATATTTCTTATCTTAGGTATTGCTGTTGAAAAAAGGAGATTTTGCTGATAACTAATGGTAGGGGAGACAAAAAAGCGGTTTGCGGCGATGTATTCGTTAAGTTCACTGGTTAGTTACGAACCATTCGTTGAGCGATGCGTGACACTTTTTGCCAATCGACTCAGTGAATTTTCGGAGAGCAAGAATGGCATTGATATGGGCTACTGGCTTCAGTGCTATGCCTTTGATGTCATTGGATGTATAACATACGGCGAACGATTTGGTCCGTTGCTGGTCTCTACTAGTTTCGATATATGCTGATTTATTTCTGCAGGCTTTCTGGATGCGGGCGAAGATATCGAAAATGCCATCAATGCAGTCGGTTCCATCCCTGAGTATTCAACTCTGGCGGGTATATATCCAGAATGGCATCCGCTGCTTTATAAAATTACCAGTCGATTGGGCGGCTCCGGCTCCGGTGGACGCAACTTCGTTCGCCAATTCGCACAGACACGAATTGCAAAACACAAGCAGCAAAAAGTTGATCTTGAATTGTCGCAAGAGCCATTCATGACCAAGATGATCCGTGCCCACCGAGAGGATCCCGAAAAAGTAACAGATTATCACATGTTCATGATGGCCCAGAGTAACGTGATTGCTGGATTTGATACCACAGCGATCAGCTTGTCGGCCATTATCTACTTCCTTATGAAGAATCCACGGGTGATGCAGAAGCTGCGTTGTGAGATTGACGCTGCTGTACAGAATGGCAGTTTGGGTGGAGGTCGTGACAATGCGGTTACATTTCAACAAAGTCAGAGCCTACCGTACTTACAAGTAGTCCTGAAAGAAGCTTTGCGTATGCATCCAGCAACAGGTCTCCCTCTGTGGCGCGTTGTTCCGAAGGGAGGCTTTGATCTCGACGGGTTGCATTTTCCAGCAGGAACTGTAGTAGGCGCAAATAGCTGGGTTACACACTACGATCCTGAGGTTTTTGAAAACCCGAATGAGTTCATGCCAGAGAGGTGGCTTGATCAAGATGAGGATAAAGTGAAGGCTATGAATGAGATGTATATGCCGGTGGGTACTTCGCACATAATTCCGTCGGGCTCGTATTAGAAATAAACTAATGGAATTAAATAGTTCGGACTCGGTTCTCGTACTTGTATCGGGAGACATATTTCGACCCTAGAAATGGCCAAGTTGATCCCAGTTCTTGTCCGGGATTTTGATTTCAGCTTTGCAACTGCAGACCAGGATTGGGAGACTGAGAATTATTGGTTTGTGAAACCCAAGAATTTCCGGGTTCATGTATCCAGAAGGAATACCAATGTTTACGAAGAAAAGAGGATGTAATTTGTTTGAAGCTTGTATTCCTATTTTCACTGAACCCAAGAGGGATTTGCAAATGGTTTGCTCTTATTCAAAATGTTTACTGGGAGAGTTCAATGAGTAGGCTAATTTATTTAACCTGATAGTTTTGGGCGAATATAAAACAATTCTCCATTATGATGTAATATGTAAGTCAAGATCAACAAGTCATTGTAGTAAGTTAATCAGTCAACAGCATGAAGAAAGCCAGCAACGTATTAATTAATTTTATTGGCTAGACTTTTTCGGCACTAGCAGCATCATTTTATTCACTGTTTTTGTTGGTCCGTCCGACCTCATCTCCTTCAACGCGACAAATTTCAATTGAAAAGAAAACTCCGACAAATTATGGCGGGTTCTTCCTAAGTAAGAGAATCAACAGAATTAATCTCCAGCACTTTACACGATACTAAATTGATGAGAGTGAACAGCGACTATAGACATAACAATCATGTCATCCTCAGACTGCAGCAAGTCCAATGGTCAACTCTTACAACCTCAAACCACAAGAGAAGACAATAAAATTGAATCCCAAGAACTATCACAATTTTTAGAAAACACCGGAGAGACTGTGCCGACTACATTTTCGCAGCGATTCCGGGCTCGTGTTTCTCGCTACTGGCCACAATACATCATCGGAATCATATCTTACAATATCGCAATTTATGCCGCAGAGGAAATTTCTCCCCGCATTACAGAGAAACTGGGCATCGAAGGGTACTGGGGTCGGTGGATATGCTTTGTAGCTGTGGGAATCACTGTTTTTTTCATTGGCCCAATAACCCTCAACACGCTTTTTCCTGCACTAAGGAATCGGTGACGATATGGCTCTAGAAATATCATCGAGCTCGACATGCAGCGACAATAATGGGCAAATTAATATATCAGCTAGTATTCAAGAAAAGAAGGGGTAATAATCATAATTTATCGGTTATTGTATTCTAGAAAGAATTAGCCAAGAAGTAACTACGCACTATGGAGTAAATGTGGAGTGAAATGCAATTGAATTGGCAAAATTTAAACCTATTTATAAATTGAAATACTTTCCTGGGCATACAGCTAATGGCCCACAAGACTCTGAATCGTCCAATTATCTGTGCAGTACTTCGCACTACGCCGCAAAATGTTAGTATGAAGCTATGCCTTGTAGATACTCCGACGCTTGGCAGCACCAACTGGCAAGGTTTTGGTAGATGATTCTAGTCAGCACTTGCTCTTGAAGGAGTCAGAATAACTCTATATGACTGCCGCCAAGGCTCTAAGTATCCAGGACTGAATCCTGTACCCAATCACTAAATCTTCTCGCAGTAATAATGTAAGATCATCGAAATTATAATTTGTAGTTCGGAACAGGCAGCATTTATGAGGCTGAATTTTCTGCTACGGCTAACGGCGCCAAATGTTCCCTAACAAGGCTAGCTGCGTTAGCAGATCCCAACCGACTTGCACTCATGATTCGCGGATGGCCAACTATCTGTGATACGGCCGAAAATGATAATCGGCAGATTGATGATGGTGGCAATGTTAGGTTGATTAACATCTATAGGAAAGTTTTCTAATCTAGGCACGCGTAGAATTGACCTTAGGTTCTGAAGAGAGCATACCAAAAGTATATAAACAGAGACATAGACCAACCTTGAATAATTAGAGAGCAATAAAAATCTGATCCATACATCCAAACATAACAACCCAACCCTATAACATTTGAAGATGCATCCGATCAAGTTTCTCCAATTCTATTTAATGTTTCTGTCAACACAATTAGTGATTGCCTGCAATCCCTCCAAAGGCAATTCATCTGACCCTAGCAATCCTTTCGTCATTGGTACAGATGGCCCAGCACCGGTCGCAACGCTCGGCTACGCAATCAATCACATCGGCCTCGTCACAACCAACCTGTCCGCCATGAAAGACTTTTACGTCAATATTCTCGGTATGAGAACGCTATTCGACGCCTATGTCACACCCGAATACACAGTCACCTACCTCGGTTTTGCGCAAGGAGGTCGCAACGGGACAGGATTTCAAAGCGGTGCCGATATGACAGCCGAGAAGAACAATTTATACGGACTGATTGAGCTGCAACAATTCAATGTTTCGGATGATACCTTGCTTGCTTCCACAAAAAGGAGCAATACATTCGGCCATGTTGGTCTTATCGTGCCTGACGTCGTCAAGGCCCAAGAGTACTTTGAGAGCAAAGATATTCCGATTTTGAAGAAGGTCAACGTACCTCTTTCGGAGTTTACTGGTGTCATTCCCAATGCTTACGGGCTCGGAGAGTATGCGGGTGCGCATATTGAGGCCAAAAAACGCCTCCTGAAAGCTCAAGGTCTTATTGGACTTGAGATGTTTCTGATGATTGCTGATCCAGATGGAAACCTGATCGAGATACAGCAACAAGACTTGTAACGGTGTCTGATTATACCAGAATTATTGGCCGCTATCGATTTTGAGCATAGATTTGAATATTTAAAAAATTTATTATCTCAACTTTAATAGATCGTCGAGAAGCCCACGAACTTGAAGGGAATCATGGGAGCTCTGTTCAAGGTGTTTAATCTACTTCTAGCAAATTCGATTTAAATCAAGTAATAGATAATACAAACGGATGCATGTAAGCGCAATGAGCTGACAACCGTAAGCAATAACCTCTTGGTGCATCTCATATATCCATAGAGTGACTGCGTGAAAACCTAGAGTTTTTTTAGTGCAGTGGTCGATAATCTAAAACATTATCTTAACCACTCCATACCTGTTTCGATGTCTCCCCACCGTGCGACTGCGAGGTCCTTCCAAAAGTATGACCGAGGCCGCCACGGATCCGTAGATGCAGTCTTGGGAAACGCGTCTCCACCTATTTTCACATATGTTGCTGACAAGGCTAAAAATGGACGCTCCTTCAAAGTCTCTCTGTCTTCTGGGGTCATTCGTGGCACTATAACTAAGAAACCTTCTTTCTTCATCCGCGTAAGCAAGCGGCATGCTAGTTGCGCCGTCGAGTCCGCTCCAAGCGTCCAGCTTGCGTTAGAGTAACCCCATGAGAGTACTACATTCGGCAGGCCCTCCACCATGGCCGCCCTCCAAGCGAAGTGATGAGATATGTCATACTCCTCGCCGTCAACAGAAATAGCGATATTACCTGCCGTGCACAGCTTCAACCCTGTCGCTGTTACGATAATGTCTGGGTTCAACTCTTCACCGGAAGTTAGCTTTATGCTGTGCGGTGTAATGGCTTCGATTTTGCTGGTCTTGACGCTTGCTTTCCCACTCCGGATAGAAGAGTAAAAGTCTCCATCAGGACATAGGCACAAACGCTGCTCCCAGGGGTTATACGACGGCACAAAGTCTGGCTCCAGGTTCGTTCCTGGTGGCAGGAGCTTTGCTGTCCTTTGGAGCAAAAGCCTTTTGGCGGTGCGAGGGAAGTGCCGGCAGATTGATACCATGAAGAGGGAGAAGAGTATCCATTTGAGTCGTATTATTCGACTGGACGCAAACATAGGGAGTGCCCTTGAGATAATAGCTTCGAACTTTCCCTCCCTAGGCAGGGAAGCGATATAGGTTGGCGAGCGTTGGAGCATGGTTACATGGGCAGAGTTCGTGGCGAGAGAAGGAAGCAATGTGATGGCAGTCGCGCCAGAGCCGATTATGACGATGCGCTTGTTGGCGTAGTCGAGATCAGAGGGCCAGAACTGGGGGTGGATGACCTTGCCTTTAAAACTGTCTATTCCGGGAATGCTGGCCTGTAACGGCTTCTGGTAGTCGTAATAGCCGGTGCCGAGGAACACGAAACGGGATCTTAGGAATATGTTCGTCGTGGTGTTGGAAGTGATGCTGAGTGTCCAGGTATTGGACAAGGATGACCAGCTCATGCTGCTTACCTGATGGAGGAAGCGTATTTTCTTATCAATGCCTTCTTGCGTCGCCGAGTCTTCTACATATTGGCGGATGATAGAGCCATGAACAATGGACATATTTCCAACCCAGGGCCGCCATGCAAAGCCAAAGGTGAAGAGGTCCGAGTCTGACCTTATCCCTGCATCTCCAATTGTCAGTTGACGCATTAAAATCAGTTACGGATGGAGCGTCAGTGCTCACCCGGGTATTGAAAGAGACTCCAAGTGCCTCCAATTTCATGACGTCCCTCTAGAATGCAGTACTTGAGTTCCGGATTGCGTTCTTGTAGCCGGTAAGCAAAATTAATACCAGATATACCGGCGCCAACAATAATGACATCAAAGTCTAGTTTCTCTTTGTCTGCAGCCATAGTAACGAGACTGGGCAGTTTTTTTGTTTGAATGCTATGCAGCTGTAGTCAATGGGCTTACATTAATAGGGACCTCGAAAAGGCCATATGAATTTCATCATGATCTATGTCATTCTAGTGATTTTCCTACCCCGTTCGCTCCCGATTCTATACTCTCGGAACCGCGGAACCGCTAAACAATAACATTTAACTATGAATATCTTACAGCATGGTGAAATGAGATACGAGTAACGAATTACATATTGAAGATAGGAATATTTATTTACTTAGTCAAATTTAACGACCTTATCCAGCTATAAGCTATGAAGGTCTCGTTTCAGTTGGCGCTAGGGGCCTTATAGGGGACTAGACCTCTAATTCCCCCTCCTGCCTGCCCCAGACTGGTGCTTAGCAATTTAATATACTAAAAAATTCCTCGCCCCAAGCCGCTTATATGCGCAGTGCCGAGTTGGGAGACTTAAAGGGGCTGGCGGAGCCCCTGCGGACCTCCGGCATCCCTCCTCCTCTATTGCTTCCGACCCCATAAATTGGTCCTCCGGGCCTCTAGCTGCCTCCTGCCGCTGCTCCAGGGCCTTAATGGCCCTAGGGTCCGCCAATATGCGCGCTGCAGGGGCCTCTTCGGCCGCTGAAGGCCTACTAACGTTGGCCTCCGAGAGGCCCCTGAAGATAGGAATATACAGAGATAAATTTCGTTTCGGAGACGTATTTTCATATTGGAGAACAGTCACTCTATATACAAGGGCAGGCAAGTGTGCTGGTCGACCCTGAGACATATTTTTGATACATCAAGGTGGTCTTGGCATGACTCCCCGTGGTTTAGAGATAGCTATCAGCTATCGGTCTTTTCCTGCAAACTTTCACAGATTAATCGCTCTTGCAAATCCTTTCTTGACTCGTGTCTGAGTGCTGGACCAAGGCTACAGTAAAGATCTGACCAACTTGCCAAGGATGGCTGCCTCAGTGAATAAGACAACCAAGAATCTCAACGGAACATGGATCTTGGTATGATTTCGATTTTTTGTGATATAGACACGGCTTCTGCATTTTACCCACCAGTACCTAATTCTACTCGAGGCTGCTGCACACTATGTTTATTGACGTATAGCCTCGCAACCAGAACAAGGAGCTCTCCGACTCGGCCGACCCTGGATTGCAGATTCAGGATATCGGATACTTTATTCGCAGTATTATTTGTGTCGTACCCATCACCATCGAAGTTAAGCAATATGAAGGGCTGCCCAAGTTGTCTTCGACTGTTTCGGGCCTCGTTATCCACATTGACATTGACCAAAGAGCAACTAGTGTCAGCCCCAGTGAAGAGCTTCGTTGCTTGGGTAACCTACCTCGAAATCACTCAGACTGGCTATTTGGAAACGTTAAGGAACAAACGTGCCGGATCTCTTTCGAAGAAATAAACGACGAATTCCTTAAGTCGAGCTGGCTAGTCGAAGAATATGGGAAAAGCCTGATACGTAGCTATACTATCAGTGAGGACAAAGGCTGGCAGGTATATTTAACCGCGGGGACTTGGTGAGAAGGCACACTCTCAACTGACTGAGGATGCCGACTCTGGTAATATTTTTACATCAATAAGGGCAACACATGTACATCCTTGTATTGAGACAGATGAGTTGCGGCATCTATGCGTACTGAAAATTCTACCATTTCGTAGTTGGTGGTACAATAAAGCTCTATTTGTAGAAGCGCGTTCTATTCTAGAGCTGAATATTGAACTATTGTCCTTTCTACTGCTCTCTATCATTTGTTATTTTGGCGAAGAAAATAAGGTTATGTTGGATTCGCAAAGTCGATTCAGGCTTGACTCCGGGCTCCAGGCGGGGGTAATAAGAAGCAAACTTAACTACTATGTCAGGTGCTTTGCTTTACAGCGGAGAGAACACGCATTGGAAACACCCATCCGCTATTGAAAACTTGGAAGTTATTCTGCATGACAAACCTTCCCAACCTTATCAATAGCTGTCTGCTTCCTGCTGGGCTATGATAGCTAGTTGACAACGGCTCCGTCGTCGGCTCCGTAATTTAAATGGGTACCAACACTATTCTAACACACCCCGCGTGGTTTCTTCGGAGTGGATACGATTGCAAAGTATCAGTAAGGCTCTGCAGAATATTAGGGCATGTGTTTGGCCTAAATATAATTTGACTGCCTCGAGCGCGTGACTACTCAATCAATCGTTGATTTTGAGATATCACCCAAATCTTCCACGTCAACTGTGGCATCTACAACAACTAATCATGAGTGAGAAGTGTGAACTGGCAAAGTCTAATTCCTCCGAGCAGCGATTATCAATAGCAGAGAAGCTGGATTTACTTCCAGCACTAGTCTCGATCCTATGGGTAGGTTTTATCTCAGTATTTACCGGGATCAAACGAGGCAAGAATGGTACACCTAGCTTTCATCTCCATGTCGCGTATTCAATATTGCGCAAGGCTACAAGGCGATTGTCCCCACTTCAGTTCCAGTGAGTCTGAACCTTGGCCAATCTATCATCTGGAAAATATATTTATTGGTAATAGGTGGATGTCACCACCGACAGACAAAATGTATGAGATATACATGAAGAGGAGGCGACTGACGCCGGAAACAATCATGTTGGACCATGGGGCAAAAGGTCATTGGATCGGGAGCCAAAATGCACCTTACGTGTTGATCTGGTACCATGGTGCGGTCGATGATTAGAACAAGGTCCTTCCTCTTGTGTTAAATGCTCACTTCTTACAGGCGGCGGGTTCTGTTTACCAGCGAATATTGGCTATTTCAAGTTCTGGGCGGATCTCTGCTCGAGCTCGCGGGATTCTGGCAAGGACGTCGCGATCTTCGCCGTGACCTATACTCTGGCCCCGCACGCACAATACCCAGTGCAGCTTATTCAGGCCGTCGAAGCACTGCGATACGTACTGACCATACCACACTACCGCCCAGGGAATATATTGTTAGGTGGTGACTCTGCAGGGGGCAACCTAGCCCTTGGCGTGCTTTCGCACCTCACTCATTCACATCCTGCCATCACAAACCTGAATGTCTCCGAATCTCTCGCTGGCACTGTTGTTATTGCGCCCTGGACTTCCCTTGAGGAGACCGTTGCGGGGAAATACGATTGTACTGGAGACATCATCACGCCAGATGCTGCTAAGCCGTGGGCTTCAGCGTACCTGGGTAAGACAGAGAGAGACTATTACACAGATCCTGTAACGGCGCCCTCGAGTTGGTTCAGTAACTTCCCAGTGCAAGAAATCTTGGTTTTAGGCGGCCAAAATGAAATTTTGCTGCCTTTCATCAAGCAGTTCGTTGTCAAAGTCAAGGTAATATAATCCACCAAGATATAGTGCATTGGAATATTCAAATGTATACTAACTGTATAGACCGGGTTTCCTTCAATTGAATTCTTCATTGGCGAGGGGGAAGGCCATGTAGCTCCGATATACAATCTGTACGTTGGAGATAAGAAAGAAACCAAACAGGGGCATAAGGTGAAGGCATGGCTGAAAAGATTCTTGACTAATTAGAAAAGGTTCTACCACTACGAGAACTAAATATTGGATACTGTAACGATCATCTTCATATGTATATGAAGTGAAAGGTGAATCAAAGAAAGGGAAAGACATGATTTTCAGGATTATCTTCTAAGTTACTGTTTTTTGTAAGTAATTATGAACCTAGCAGAGGTGTCTCCTGTTGGAATTTTCTTCTCCTGGCCGTTGTGTCATCCAAAATGGATTTTACAGGCAATTTTGGACTAAAAATATTATACGTATTGCTCTGGAGGGAAATGAGTGCTACTGGAATTGATAACATTAGGCCATGACTGGCGACGCACATGTAATGTTCTCTTATACTGCTTGTTCACAAACTAACCTTAGGTTGATGATTCCAACCGTAAGACAGTTCTGCAATTTGATATTGAACATATTGAAATGGCAGCTATATATTTAATTCTTGGAAGTTTTATTGTGAGCACGGCGGGAAAAGTCAAGGTCAACTAGATACTACCACACAAGGCTCCACACATAATAATACCTGGATATGGATTGATGGGAAAATCAAGCCCAGTTTAACCAACTATCGCCAAGGATGAAACTCTCGGCAAACAAAGCGTAGTGCCTAGATATATCACACTGGCCACGATGAGACAGACCGCTGTAAATATCTGCATCGGAACATAGTTGATATCGCCCGTGTTGTCCAGCATCCTGCCCGCGATAGGTCCCGTCCCGAGAACAGCGAAAGAAACAACAGTAATGCAAAGCCCTTTCGGTAATCACGTTAGAAATATACATCAAAATGAATAGATAATGTTAGTAGCGAGTAATGCTCACCGTTCCATGTGCCGATAAGTGACGGCTTTGGTGACAAGTGTGATATACAGGGCGAGAACAGTGCTTGTATTGCGCCAGAGAGGAATCCATAGATCACACACCATGCGGTTATACCCGCATTGTTGCGAGTACCAATCCAACCAAAGGCAGTAATAGCACAACCAAATGCAACAAAAGTGAGACTGTTGAAACAGCCCATCTTGGACTTTGCAACGACGGGAAATGCGTAGCATCCGACGAATGCGCCAGCGTTCAGAATTGCTGAGAGATAGAATGAACTACTCGCTGACATACCCCACTGCGTACCATACAGGGAGATGTAGAACTATATGTTATGGATTTGTGTTAATAAACTTGAAATGCAGAGGATACTGACATCAATTCTTTACTTACATACGGAATGTAGATGCCGAAGAAGGTGATTAGGGTTGCAACGGTAAACATTATAGTTCTCCTGTCCGTGAAGAACTGCCTTATTGGAATAGGCTGTGTTGGCAGACTAGGAAAACGAGGCTGGATTAACAGTGTAGCAGCAACCATGCAAGCCAACTGCATGAATCCAATGATTCGCATAGTCCAGCCCCAGGAGAGCCCATTGTAATTGATGAGCTGGTTTACTAAGATCGGCCAAATGACTCCTATAGCATTAAAAAAATAGATGGCGAAAAGTTAGTAACTAGATCCCAATCTCATTAGAGTGTAGGAAAGATGCAAACTAACCGCCGACATTCTGGCCAGACATGACCAACCCACCAACAAATGCACGCCGTCTAAGGAACCATTGAGATTGAACAGCAATAGCTGGAGTAAAAGAAAAACCAAGACCAATTGCAGAGCAAATCCCCTGAGAGAGGATAAATTGGTAGTATTTCTTAGAGATGGATGCCATCATTGTGCCGAGCACCGTGAAAACTGTCCCCGCAGCGAGTGGAAACCTGGGTCCACGGCTATCCGAAAGCCTGCCAGACCATAATCCAAAGCCAAAACAACCCCAGATTTGCAGACTTCCAATCCATGAGATCTCACTCGGCGTGTATGTAGACAGTTCTGTGGTGCTATAGTAGCTCTCGAACACCGAAAAGCCACTGATGACTCCGATAGTTGAGAAGAGCGTCAACCAGCCAGCAAGCACAGTGAGCCATGCCTTGTGCCCGCCGTCAGGGAAATAGAGTTCGGCAGATGCAACATCATTACCAATTGAAGTGTTTGCTAGAGAGCTCTCCAGTGGAAGCTCAGCCGGTTCTAAGGTGTTCTTACCTGCGGGACATTTCTCAGGGTCTACAGACATATTGGGCACTGACGGAAGGAAAATACGCTCTCGTGTGATCCAACAGGGATTCCTATATCACAGGTAGCATTTAAATACCAAGTGCTTGGCAGCATATCTATCATGTTTATCATATCTATCTCCTGCGTTAATTTCCCAGCTGGAGGGATGATAAGCTTTTTGGTCCCACTGCGCGCGTCGGAGCCGCTGCCGGGGCCGCTTTAGCATCACATAACCTTGAAGGCAATGTCTGGTCAGAGCGGCAAGCCATTTTCCCATTTCCCATTTCCCTCCTTCTTCAAATTCCTTCCAGCAGTGGGATAGTTAGTGTGAGTAATTTATAGGTAGATCTTGGTTTATCCAAAGGTCGAGGGGGATAGACTGTGACTTCGTGTATTAAAAGATTATATCAATGGCCAATCATATCCTCTTTTGTGACAAGCTGCGAAAGTCATTATTATATTATTTTCAATCTTAATTTTTTTTTTGTTTATAAACTAGCTCCTCAGGACCTACATAGAGTAGTGAAATTAATGAGCCTGCTGTAGTGTCTATATCCTGTTCCGGATTAGTTCTATATAAGTCTTGACTCTTCATCCCATCTCCCTGCCATGGTATCCTTCCATGCTGACATGATTTCCACTGTAAGCTTTTCAATTTCTTAATAATAATTGACCTTGTTTATTGTTGTTATATATGCATATCAAAGTTAGCAAAAAACAAGCCTTTTTCCCGTCGCTAGTTCGGTAAATAGGCCTATCCACCGGCCACCTTACCACATTATCATGTCAGTAGGAAGGTACGAACGGAACGTGTCGGAGATAATGATAACTACATGGGGCAGTTTGTCCCTTTCTTTGTATCTTTAGTCTCCTAGTAGGGCTACTTTTACTAAACCCAGAATAAGCCCCAAAATACAAACGCCACCGCTACTGCTCTACGAGAGACTCTAGAAGAAAGATTATATAATTAAATCATTTCAATAGCGGACTGGAAGTTACATATATCTGCCAATTTATTGGTTTTCTAAAGGAGAATGATAGCGAAAAATAAGAATTCAAACCATTTGGCCTAACGTAGTGCATTTCCAGAGAAAATACTTGCGTTAAGCTATGAGAGACTCGACTATTTCTTCTCGCGGAGTACCGAACTTCTCGAGGGCGCTGTAAAAGACATTAGGCGCCGCCCAATCTTCAGGTGCAAAAACGCCAGCCCGTTTCTGGCCGTCCTCAAGTGCCATTATTATGAAGGCAGCACATGCATTGCCAGTAATAGCTGCCATGTCCTTCATTAGGAAGGAGTCTTTGCCACATTTTGCTGTCCGCTTGATCACCATCGCGGGGTGGCCATTGCGAGTACCCACGGCTCGAACGAGAAGACTGCCACGGTATTGCGCTGTCTGGCCGCGGACGGAGGAGATAACAAAGCTCAGAATCTCCCCAGTTGTGCATTCACCGCTCCTAATTTGATCAATCATGCCCATGAGAGCGTAGCGCCATGGCCCTAAAGCATGGGCACCGTATGATACTAGCTGCCACAGCTCCTTGACGCTGATATCCCCACCGCGCATGTGTGCGCTAAGTCCACTGAACATTTCAGTCCATCCACTGGTGGAGGGAGGATTATTAATCAAATTAGATACGAAGTCGACGGCCTCACTCAGAGATAGTGCTTCACGACGGACTGCAACACCAAGCCCACGAGCAATGCCGTTGAAGGGCGCGGGATCTAGGCCACCTAGGCAACGAATTCGACTAGCACTAGGAAAGATCCGCGGGAGAGTAACAGGCTCTGGATGTGCTGTCTCATGCAAGAGTGTCTCTCCAACATGACCAACCATAGGAGCATACGCTGTCTCGACCCAACTTTCATTAAGAGTCGGTTTATTATTAGCCCAGGTTAAGCAAGGACCGGCAGCAATGTGCATGAGATGCTCAAGTACTGCTTTCCCTATACCTGGACGCTCATCACCAACTAGCCAGCAAATGTCAATGGTGTCAACAGTGTCAAGGTTCTGAGTTGCATCAACAACTAGAACGTTGCTCATCCCTGGCGAGGCGCCGCAGCCAATATAGAACGGAACGTTCGCCTTCTTGGCTAGATCGTGTAAACTCAAAGCAGCCGTGGTACTCTCTACATCATCGTCAAAGTCAAGGTAAGGCACCTTCCGCTTTAGACAGGCCTCCAAAACCGGTTTGGATGTTCGTGAATAGGGCCCTGCTCCAAGAACAACAAGAGAAGCACCCTGAACTATCTCATCCAAAGCGGCTTCATTAAATAGATCTAGCTTTTGGGTGATGACACGCTCGCTGGGCAGCTTGGCGACGAGTGGCTCTAGAGCCTTTGTATTGATGTCCGCGAGAACAAGTGAGGCATTGCTTGCCATAGCAAAACGTTCGATTGCCACACGGCACATTTCACCGGCAGCGCCGATAAAAACAACTTGCACTCGATCGGCAGTCATATTGTTATGATGTGTTTTTTTTTTTTGGTATGGAGCTGAAAAACCTTGCGCAAATCGTTGTGAGGAAGTGTAGGTGAAACGTAAGTTGAGAACTGGAAACTTCTCTTATGTACTTGCCTTTTTATGTCCATAACCAGTCTTATAATTTTATGGGAGCTTATATAGTCGTATTCTAGGGACGGTCTAGCGGGTAAACTCGGCCGTAATTAGAAGATACACAGGTGGAGAAGGCTCGGAGGATCCGGCGGCACCGACTCTAGGCCGGAGATAGTACTGAATAGTGCTCATGATTTTGCAGAATTTTGGCCTTGATGTAGCGTTGATTCTGGCCGTAGCTTTTATTGTGGAGGGAAAATAGAAAAAGACGTGGAAAATGGAAAAGAAAATCGCCAGAAGGTTGACGTTGATCTCTCAGCGTAGTCTCTGTATAGTGTAGCCAAGTTTGAACCCCCTCCGGAATATTCCCTAATTTATGAACGATACATATATACTTAGCAGTAGATAGGACTAGATTCATGAAATAGCACAACTTTCACGATGGAACAAAAAGAAGTCGCTTACGTTTCATCATTGCTGGTACTGTAATCTTTGGAATTGACTTTGTGAAGCGATTACAATGTTACCCAAATTTGACTTATTGTATACTAGAAGATCATTATTAAAATGGAGGAACATGTTTTAATGCCTCAGTAATCTGAGTTTTAAGGCAGAGGGTTCTATTGGGGAGACCCCCTATTAATGTAGTAATCACAGAGTACCTTAGCAGGAGGGGATTGACAAGAGAATAAGTTCTACCATCGGTAAGGAGATGCAATGGATCGTTGAAATATCATATAATGGCGAATACGCGCAACTACCAAAAAGAGTGTAGTCTTCCTTTATTACGCTTCGGATTTCTCTTATGCATAATCGAGCCACCTAGTAAAAAGCAATACTCATCCTTATCTGCTTTGGTAAATGTAGTTAAGGTACATATTGCGTGTATCAAATATATGTATGGCAGCATTGCCATATCTTCATCCATACTACTATAAACCAATAACTTGTTGGTAGTAACCATTAAACCAGATTCTGCAAGTTAAAGTTTCTCTATTTTCTTTGTGGTTTCCTGTACATCCATACTGTTCCATGCATCGCGTTCTAGATAAGATTCATATATACCTCTAAGTTAGAACGGTTATTACCTCCTCTCAGAAACACAAAACAGTGTAAGTGGATAAATTATATAATCCGAATTAATATTACAGCTAAGAAGTAGACAAAGCAGCATACACGTCACGAGCTGCAGCTACACCGGTCTCCAAGGCGCCCTCAATGGCACCAACATCCATAGCCGCGATGTCACTACCAGCAAAGTGTACGAGTCCATGGGGTTGTCGCATTAACGGTGCTGCCTCGGTCAAACTTCCTGGCCGATGAAACATCCAACCGCCCTTGGAGAATTCATCCACTGCCCAGTTATGGCTGGCTGTATCTACAACCTCTATATCAGGCACAAACAGCCGCAATGCTTCCTGCACTGCATGTTTATCATCCCCTTGAATGGCAGCCGCGTCCGAGAGAATACACATGATCAAGGTGTCACCATTATGATACTGTTCAGTTCGAACTGCATTGATGGGATGTTTACCCACAGGAGCAAAACCCGTGAACGGTTCAATATGGCCCTTGACCCTAACCCAGAGCTTGCCACCCATCACGGGGTTTTTTTGGTCAATGAAGGCACGCGCTCGTGGAGACACATCTGGTGTGAACTGAAGGTCTTGGAGTGTATTGAGTGGGAGGGCAACAATAGCTCGCCGAGCGTATACTTCCAGGCCAGCACGTGTTGTAACTTTCACTCTGGTGCCGTCATCGAAGATGGAGCGGACTGGACTAGACAAGTGTAGCTCAGCCTTTGTCTCGCCCATGATGGCATTAACCAGGGCTCTAGTACCGCCTTCAATGCTCCAGAAACTTGCTGTTTCAAAGAACGCCTTATAGTCGCCAAAGTATGCAGCCACACACAAAAGGAGCTGAGCGACTCCCTGCTCTTCATATGAATGAACAATCCCAGATAGGACACCATCTAGCACATCACGCTCATAAGGAGAAAGATTCAGCGACGAAATTCGGTCCTCCAGCGACTGCTTCTCAATATCACTGTTGTCCACAATGGAGATGTCAAAGGGCATGGGAAACCGAGCGCGAGCGTCGGCGACTAGCCGTGCTATTAACGGGTCAACAAGTGAAAAATAATCGGCCTCAGTACCCGAATGCACTTTGTCTTGAGCGAGCCAGTAAACCTTGTTCGCGGTAGGAGGGGGAAATATCGAAATGCCATATCGGTGCAGCTCGCGCCACACATTGGCCTGGGTCCAGTGAACGTATCCGCCGCCTAGGTCAATGTGGCTACCCAAGGCTTGCTCCGTGTAAGTTCGTCCACCGAGCCGATCGCGGGCTTCAATGAGGACAACCGAGAAACCTTTATTGCTGAGATCGCGGGCGGCGATAATGCCTGCCATCCCAGCTCCAATGACTGCAACGTCGAATTGGTCGAGCATGATGAGACTGGTTTGAGAGAATGATACCTAGATCAGGCTGCTCTAGCTTTCCTTAGCTGCGTCCCTTAGATGCACTGTCCTGTGTTTTAAAATGCTGCTCTTCTACACAGTACTCTAACATCCTGGCATTTCTAGTGTTTTAGTATGCCTATTTTTCCTAATACGGGAATAAACCCGAAACAGCCTCCATATGTCTTGACCGCGGCTCCGCGGCTCCGCTGGCGGCTCCGAAGCACACTAACCCTGGTTGGTAACCGTAACTGTGGCCATCGCTGCCAGAGCCTACAAGCTTAGTGATATGATGAAGGACGAGCAGAACAAAAATGCTCCTTCTCGGCCTGGTCTATTATTTGAATAATGAGTGGCAGAACATAGGTTGGCACCTCTAAACAAAGATATGGTAATCCTATAACTACAAAAAATACTCTCTCTGCGGGTACATCTTTTCAATTTTCAAAATTGCTATATATATATTCCTACTCTTATCATTGTAGACTGTAACAGTAAGAGCTAATTCTATGTAATAAAATTATTGTACTAACATTTAATATTCAATATATGACATGTCTGGACAAGTAACTAGAGTCTCTTGAAGCCCACGTAATGCCTGCAGACAAATATTCATCTCCGCTGTCATATCAGCTGCGTGATTCATATCAAGCTTGGCAATCGAACCTTGAACCTCCTCTGAGAATGCTTTAGCAGCTAGCATATGAGCTTGCAGTGGCATTATAGGATACTGTTCGGGGATTAGTATTCTTTCAGTGAGGATTAAAGAAGGATAGAAGCTCGCAGCTTACTGGGTGAGAAGCAATATCTTGCACGTAAGCCTTCAGACCATCCTTACCCTGGAACCCTGGACTACAGACTCCGTGGAATATCGAGGCTAACGTGGAAATATCTCTAGCACTTAGAAGTCGCTGCATCTTGTGGTAACTTCTGTCGTTTCGGAGCACCTCCAATAGGTTATTTTGATTTACAGTGGATGGTTGCCCTTGGAGATGCGTCTCAAGCCTATGTATGATGTCATAGAATATCATGACAGCTAAGTTGCCATCATTTGAGCAAAAGGAGAGAATGTTCTGGAATGTCGAAGATGAATTTTGGATATGCGCCGTTGTTATTCCGTCAAAAGTGCCGAAATTTGATCGCCACAGGTCAATGGTCGTGGTAACCATAGAGTATAATCGGTGAATAGCCGCATACTCGAGGTTTTTCTTCGGACTCTTTTCAGCCGCCTGGGCCAGATTTGCTAGCGACTTCCACAGGACAATGGTAAGTGCTCCTAACTCTCGGAGTTTCTGCAGAAGTGTGTCCTCACAGACGCCATCGCGCCATTGTGTTACGAAGATGTCATCCTTTGTCTTCTCTCGCACCAGAATCGAGTCAAACATCTCCTGTGAACACGGTGATTTATCATTATTGGGGGTTGAAACGGCTTCTCCGATGTTAGAAACGCTTTCTGTGTTGGTAGGAAGCGCATCGGCAGGGTAGAGATCATGAAGTACTCCACTTCTTAGAACGGTTGTCACCACTTTTGATATCTCGACAAGCCACTCAACAGACCCGATCAATTCCCTGATATTCTCTTTTACATGCGGTGGTAGAGCTCGGAGATCATCCTCTGTCCGTAGACGCTTCCGTGCCAGTATACAGAGGATCTGGAGACGTCGAATACCTTCATTCCGACTGTAAAAAGCGTCTTGCTCCATAGTAGAATCATCTTCACCTGACTTAGGGGGTTGGGTAAAGCCAAATATGAGCGAGGAGACGCCATACCGAAATGAAGACACCGCTGCAATATTACCAAATACCATCTGTCTTGCCATTCGCCATGTTGCATATGCAAAGTCTCGACTCTTTGACCTAGTCTCCCTAGAACTGTTTGGGGAAAGACCATGGCTGTCCCTACAAACTGCAAACTGTGCCGATGTAGCAATAGCGACCCATTTGTAAGTTTCGGTGATTGCGGCATCGCGTGAACTTGATATCGCTTTATCCTGAAATAGAGCGTCTAAGATTCTTACCGTACGGAAAGTCTGTGATCTCACAGTCATCGATACTGGGTGGCTCAAGTTTGCGTCCGAACAGCACTGGATCCATCGGTCGGCACGGTTAAGGTATGTGGCCATGTGGGAGCTATTACCCAGAGGAACAGAGGCGGCGATTCCAGAACTATAGCAAGGAGGCATGCTCCCTTGCAAGAGACACTGCGAAACGGGCATGTCAAATATGTCAACGTAAAGATTGAACCTTTGTAAACACGCATCCTTCGCCTCTAGGTGTCTGGCTAGGTCTGATTCAGGCCCCGACAGAGACGGTGAGAGAAGCTGGTGAGGCGGAATATATTCATTCAGAGATTGCTTGTCTGCTCTCGTGCTGGTGCTGGTGCTACTGCCAGGATCGGTCGCGGGAACCGCCGATATTGGTTGCATTCGCTTTCTAGTACTTAGCGCAGACTGTCGTTTCGCGAGCCACGTCGTCGTACAATCCAAGCCTCGCACCTTGCATGTGGAACATGCTCCTAGTTGTTTTTGCTTCTGCGTTACCATGTTTATGGACAAGTCACAGGCCTTTTTCGACGAGCGACATTGGTCGCAGGAGTGGTTTTGCCGGCGAGGGGGCCGTCTTTGGGTGTAGTATGCCTCCCGTGATATGTCCAGGCTATCTTGGAAAGTATCTGCAGATGTGTGACATGACGACGGGTCCAAGGGAGCAGTGTCCAGATCATAATGTCCGGCACTCTGGGGTAATCCATCCAGATCTGCTTCATTGACACTCCCTGGAAGAGCCGGCAGGATTGGATATGACCATTGCCATGCAGTAACATCGAACTCCTGTTCCTCGTTATTTTGCCAATTAACAAAGTTCCAGGGAAAGCCCATTTCTGGGGTCCCTGTTGTGGTCATATCCTCGTCTCCTGTGGTCCCCAGTGGTGTTGGCATTTCCAATTGGAATAATCGGCCCTCTAAGCTAATTATTTAGCGGATTCGCTGTGACGAGAGTTGAAAGGGTCTATATCCGCGTGAGATTGTTGGTGGGACTCGTGTGGCATTATTCCTTGTTCTTGAGGCACAGTTCGTGTTGGGGGAGTGAAGTTACGACTTTATTCCTGGTGGCAATTGCTGCTAGAATTAATAGTGGCTCTGGCTACGCGGGGTATGCAGGCTACCGCCAATTATCTGGCAAAGCAACCAGTATTTTAGCTTTGTTCCCAAAGTTAGTATTGAACTTACCACATAACTAAAAAGTACTTATCTGGTTTATCTTCCCCTCCCTGACTGCTATCTTAGACGGCTCCGGTCAATAACTTTGGTCTGCTCTTTTCGACTAAGTAATAATAGATAAGGCATTGGGTTAACAGGATTCAAGTTTTAGCACCCCCGTCACTAGTTCAGAGGATCTTAGGAATAATATCAAAAATAGATGTAAAATATCTAAACTATAATTAAAGAATGACTATAATAAAAATATAATTTTTACAGTTGGAAAGTAGCTGTAGAAATGACGCCGAAAATGACGGCTAGTGGGAACCAGTTTTAGCGTTATTTCTACATTCCGACCAACGATTATGATAAGAAGCGAAAATGAATTTAATTAGAACCAGCATGATTTCCTGCCAAGTCTTGCCCTTCCATCAAATATTTATTCTCTAAATTAATGTTTATAAGATCATCAATAGCCCTGATAGGTGTTTCTATCTGTTTTTTCTGCTGCTATAAGGGATATCTGAAATTCTGGATTCATGTCACTCTCTTGGATCACATTCTCATTTCTTAAAAATTTCAGATCAGCTTCAATAAAGGCGGACTGTTTGTCCACTGTGTCCTTTGTTTCCCGCTGTAGTGCATCAGAGATGGTGCATTCTAAAATGTCGGCGAGCGGTACCCGGACGAAACTATTGCTTTCCAGCGACATTCGCTGCCTACCCCTAAAGGTGCGTGAGAACGAAGTTCAGATGAAAGAGAAAGATAGAAAAGGGAGAGAAATACGTGAAAAATGCCATGTTCCATGTTCGCCGCGTTGTAGGTTCCATGATTTATCCCGCAATTGAAGTATGAGTAGGTGTAGGAAATCAGTGTGGATATTGAGCATTTTTGCTTCAAAATCCCCATTACTATCTTCGATGCAATACAGCGACAGGTTTTGACGATGACGTAGTGTTGAAGTGAGAAAATTCAGCACAGCTTGCAAGTTTTGATCCGAATTCGTTATTATCATTTGTCAAAACACCCTCTAGCCATAGAAAGGGACTGTAGTCGACCTACCCCTACCACGTGTAACCCTGAGGGCATTCCGGAATACTTCAATGACCAAATAATAGATTTAATCGAGGTATAACTGAATATAGCTTTCAAATGCACCCCATAATCCAGGCCCATCATTCTCCATTGAGCGCATTTCTTCCTCATTCCAACACCGATATTCTTAGCACCCGTTGAATTCGTTCCGTAGTACCGGCAGAAAGTTACATATGAGCTGTGATTGAACTGAAGACAGTGAGAAGAGTGGAATTATTCAGTGGAAGTAACAAATACCGACTGCCAGAGCATGCGTGTTTTTGTCACGCGCTGGCTCTCCACTGCTATGCTAATCGTTTTGAATCTCATAATAAATTGAAATTTATGTCCAGGCTATTTATAACCTACTCATGTACAGGTTAAACTAGTAATTGGATTTCGCTACTAATTCGCGTGAGATATCATTGATTCACGACACTAGAGATATAAAATATTCCCATGGCATCCTAAGCTTCTTACTTCGTCCAATTCCCGCTGAATAGCAGACAAAGTGTTTAGAATCTCTTTCTTTCTTTCTACATTGGCATCCCCAAAACCTGCTTGAACCTAGGATTGCTGGAATTTCATCATTAATGCATTTAATTGTTGCTTGAAGATGACTTTCGGGGACTATGCCGATACAATAGCGGCGCAATTTACTAATTCCAATGAGGTTAAAAAGGGGAAGAGCTTGTTGAGCTGGCGTATTAGGCTCCTGCGAGTATATGGTATTGCTAATGCACAATGTCTTGAGTTTTTGTCTCCCCTTCCACCAGATAATTGCTGTACCGCCTTTGAATTTGCTCAAAACTTCTCGATTTCGAACACTGATGATATGGTTACTCAAACTACCCAGACTAACCTCTAAATATGAGGGGAGTTTCTCATGATGGGGTAATCTCACCGAAATAACCATTCATTCAGCAGCTTCCTGCAAAGATAGTAAGAACGTAAGACCCGAAATTTAAATACAGATGTTGTGTTGCTGGTGAAGCTCGACTAGTTCTTGCATAAGGAGGACGTGGTGTCGGTGATCCTAAGTGAGAAGTGAAGTCCTCAAAACGGACAAGGCATCTGCCCATCGTAGGGAGCGAAGAAAATGTGAAGAATGCACTAAAAAGGATAAATCTGGGTCTATTCATGTTGTAAGGGTGCCATCTACTCTATGTAATTCATGCGTCCGTCATACCTGAGAAGCTGGGTACGGATGTAACTCATAATACATTTATCATGATAAGATACCACCAAGCAAGGATGTATCAATTGACTTAATCATTTGTTTTAGGAAGAGTATCAGAAGTAAACAATGGTAGTGTCCGAGGGCTGTTCAAGTCAATGGCCATGGTGCAGCCTCCTAGATGGCTAGAACGGTTGTGAATTCATGACAGGTTCCGTGCGGCGGGTAACTAATAGGCGCAGCTGACCTGACCTTCTTGCACTATCCAATATGCGGCTGAAACTTACTATGATAAACCTAAAGGATATCCTCATCCACACAATCCAAAAGCAACATATGTCCAGGCAGGTGAGCCATCACAACTCCCTTCAGCCCAGCCCTCATGACAGCCTCCTGAGGAGTGACACCACAGCCCCAGAACACTGGGATGACCGTCTCAGACCCTACCAGACTGGCCAACGGCCTTCCATCTTGTGAAACCGGACTATCACCCCAATCTGGTATGTCGATACTCTTAATCCCAAGCTTTTTTAAGGCATCCCACCCCCAAGCAATAGGCTCACCATGTGTAGCATGATACTTTGATGTGATTTCACGAACAGTCGATAGATCAGCTCTATTATATGCCCTCATCGAGACTACATATGTCGATCCTGTGAAAACGCCAGCCGGACACAAAGGAATTGTAGTGCGGTACATGGCGACATTTCTTTTTGCAAGGACATGCGGTGGCGGTAGCCCCGCATTGATCAGAGCAGTTTCAAAACTGTATGAACAACCGATTAGAAAAGCAACATGATCGGACGTCCATTCTTCAACTATATCCAGACAGCCAGTCTTGACAGGCTCTGCGTCTTGATAAACCATGTATCGACCAACATCTCGGCGAAGGTCAAGATCATTGGTCTGGATCACGGATTCGGATTTGTTTTTCGTCGGGGAAGAAGGAGATGATAAAGAGGATATATAGGATTTGACAGCGTCAAACCGTCCGACGGCAGAGGACTCGCCGATAAGAGGACAGGGAACGGGATTTCGTGCGCAGAGGCTGCGAAAGTCATTGGCATAGCGGGATGGTAGGATGATCATGTTAGCTTGTAGATAGCCTGGAGCGAGACCGGCGGTTGGACTGGTGCAATCGTTTCTGCGTGCCGAGAGGCGGACTTCACTGCCCGTGGAGGCTGGAAAAGTAGTGGATGGGCTCATGTTGTATGTACAAGTTTGATTTTGGTGATAAAAATGGACTTGAACAAGGACACTAAATACTGTACAGTTGAATGAATATTCTTTGGGTAGTTAGGAGTTATCGATCATTTATATCGTAGTGATCGGCATTGTGAGCGACAAGCCGGTTTGTCGTCGGCCGTGTCGGATATCAGCCGATGAGAATGACATCCATCCATCCTGAGCAATTGCAGGAGTCAAATGTATAACGAGAGATTGGGAAGGCGTTGAGCAGGGTTCTCAATACACTTCTCCCTTATTTTGCTCTATGCTAACACTACGTGGTTATTGTTAAGGGTTTTCAGGGCTTTTTCCTTAATGATTGCTTACCTAATACTGATATATCCTGTGCGGGGAGTGGGATCGAATGATGTTGCAACTAGGCATATAGTGCGAAGATGGCACATTTTTGTATTTAGCTTGAGAGAGTATTGGCATAGCGACAGGTAAAAGGATGTTGCTAAAACTGGACTATAAATCTTGGTCCGACGAACGAACGAACGATGAATAATGATGTTTGAATTTTACATTTTCAAACCATCAGATGGAAGGATAGAAACCCTTTTGACATTAATGTAGATAACCTTATCGGTCCCCGTCTGGCGTTGGCCGCTTTCCAACAGGGCTCTACGAAACTTGAGATGATAAACAATATTCATAAGAATTGATGGCACTTGAGCAATTTCTTTCTACTTAGATACAAGCTGAGAAGTGGATCTTTTTACTATGTCAACATCGAAAATCCTAGACTTTTTTAAGTGCCGCTTTCACCTAAGCGTGCCGATATCACGACTCGGGTACAACAAGCATGTTGATATCTGGGCCATACGTTCCATCTGATGTGGTAATGACTATCTCATTGTTTCCTTTGTCGTCAAGTTTGCAAAAGAGAACGCTTGTCCCAGGTGTCTGCCCAGAGGCTGTAGGCAGAAACTCCAAGAGCTCTGTGGCACCATTCACAGAAATATTTGCGTACCTTGCTGATGAATCACCATTTTCATATTGAATTTGGACTGTGGTTAAGTCAGAAGCTCGAGAATATACATTTGAAAATGTTACAGTCCCTTCAGATGGCCCGCCAATATAGCCTGCCGCCTCGTCATCGTAGCAACCACTGCATGATACAAGCTTGGCACCGTTGGACAGAGTTGCGTTGACTCCGTAGTTCTTTGTCTCAGCTGGTGACGATGACCATGTGTCGCCATTCACGTCTGGAACCCAGCTGATTTGGTTCTGCATTGTGACATTGGTGCCATCGATGGTAAGTGGTAACCATACGTAGGTGCTAGCAAAGAGATTCGATGATACCCAACGATCTCCCATGTACATGACTGTTTTCCCGCCAGGAAAAGGAAGTATATAATTGGTCTGTGAATTGTAGGTATCGGTACCCACAGTTGCAAAAGTTGTCCAGTTCGACCACGGGCCAGACATTGAAGTTGCATAGCTGTATCCGTTATCGTTTGCACTCCACCCAGTTAAATGAGAGGCAAACATAAAGTAGTAATTATTTTTTTGAGAATAGCGGGTGCTTCCATATCGGAAAATAGATAGATAGGTTCAGACACGTTCAAATAATCATCAGTCAATGAGTCAATACGGAGGCCGTTTGCTCTCTATCGTCAGGAAACCATTTTTAGTACCCAATTCTTACAATTCTCTCAAAAAAGAAGAAAGAAAGAGAGAAAGGAAACCAGAACAAAATTGGAACAAAAATGGAGCAAGACCTACATCTTCAGTGAGTAAATAGGCCGTTCCGTCATCATCTTGAAACAGGCCGATATCCCTAGACTGGTGGCCCAACGGCTGCCAGCTCCCAAGATAGTCGTACGATCCACACACAGAGCTTCCAGTTGCAACCCCGACTTTTGCTTCACTATAATTAGAATTGTCGATATGCATCCAGAGAACATACTTTCCCGTTTTTTTGTTGTAAATTACCTTAGGCCGTTCAACTACACGGTCCGGGCCCAAGTCGCCACCCGACTGACGACTCAGGAGCGGACCGACATATGTCCATTCAACAAGGTTCGTGGAAGAATAACAGTTGACATGTTGAAACGAGGAGCCGTTGGTCTTGTCCTCACCGATAAGATAGTAAGTACCTTCAACTTCGATGACACCAGCCCCGTGGGCTTGGACATGGGCATGTGTGTTAACCTTACACGCAGATAGATCTTCATTAGCAACCATTGAACGTAAAGGAGAAGTATCCTTTGCAAATGAGACTACAAGTACTTACGGCTCTCCAAGTTGCACCTGGAACGATCTGTAGAGAAGCGCTCGCTATTCCAGCCAACAGAAAGGCCCAAGTAATTGCATTGGAAAGCCAGGATACTTGTGCCATTGCTGTAGAATAATTTCGTGGCTGAATGTTGTTTTGACTTTTGTATGGTTCGAAGGATACCTAAAATGCTTCTAGATTCTCATAATCGATCCGTGAATTGAGTGGGAATTTAACGCTTTATATAATTATGTCAAGTTCGGTAAATCGGACCGAAACCCAGAAGCAGGACATATAGCTAACATGATAATAGTCATATATTCGAATATTCTGAATTAGCCTATTCGGTAAATAATGAGAAGAGTCATCCCTAATAAAATTAATTGCCGGGATAATGACATCGGGTGTGAAGAGCGAAGTCCACATGAACCTGTATATCCATTTCCATATCGAGAATTGCGGGGTAGTGTGAAACTTTTCGACCTCAGTCCGGGACATCTCCGGGCCCGGACCGCAAGAATCTGGAGAAATCTTAAATTTTTACAATAAGCATATAGATATTAGCGAGTTCTGTATATGGTGCATTATCAGACGTGCTCTCAAGTCCTAGGTCCCTCCAGCGCATGGTAATTCCATCTAAGAACTGTACCTAGTATGCTAATTACAAATCGGTCAAAGTTTAAAAACTAATGGATTTACTATCTCGCTTTGTCTGGAATAATATTTGATACTACGTAGTAGAATAATCCAACATCTGAGAGTACGGAGAATTGGCGGGGGTCGTCCGAAAATAGGGGAAATTAATATCACCCACACAAGAGGTCGCTACTTCCACAATCACGAATTCATAGAATCAAGTGTCTAGCCAATTTCCTAGACACAAGTAAACAAACAGGCAAAGAATAAATTTGCATATATGAGAAGATTTAGTTTTTTTCCACCTATCGGAGGTTGCACTATTAGTTTTTTTTTTTTTTTAATAGTAAACCTAAATATTGATGAGGTTCTGTGATGCGACGAGTACATTTAAAATTTTCTCTTTTCTAGTCGAAGGAATTGGCAACGTACGAAGAACAATCTACTAGCAAACTTTCTAGGGGAAACCGGAGCCGAGGATCACGGTGCAATTGAGATCATATAGTATTATCAGGTTTTGGATTCTTTACCCCACTTGCCTTAGTTTCCCTACATCTATTGATCTATATGTTTTAGCTTGAATGGCGAATCACCAGCAACATTTAAACTGCTTCATGACATCATATTTTGAGAATTCTTTCCGGAATCGCGGAATATTTATTTCGTCTCGTTCTAATGTGATAACACATGATTAATCAGTATTATTGAGTAATTAATGTTGTATTGTTGCGTTGTATTGTGGCGACCGTTGGCTGGCTACTACTGCTTACTGTCCATCTTAGAAGTGCGGGGTTCCAACCAATGATCACGACAAGCAGTTCCTGATTATTGTGGTCCAAGTAGATTATTTCTCTCTTGACGCGATTACGGAACTCGCGGAGTTGACTCCGTAAATAACACGACACGACACGACCAGTCGGGACGCGGTACAACGAAAGAGGCCGCTGACGTCTGATTCAAGGCATGATCTGCGTTAGGCACGCCACAGCCGACAGCCATCCGACTGACTAGGGGAAAATCAAGAGAGTGTTGCTGGTACAGTATCAAATTATCAATGACCAGGTACATCCACTCCTGCGACTAAATATTAAGCGTGACTGGAATCTGCAAAATTGTGGCTGTGGAGCAAATAATCCTGAAAATATGTGCAAATTTGGGCAGAGTCTTGTGGAAAGACAAATGATTTAAAGAAACGAAAACGACGCACTCGAAGAAAGGGAATAGAATTCCAAAAGCTTGGAAGACGCCCACTTGATGCGAAGCTCAGGAACAAAAGCTTATCAATTCTTAGCGTGTCTAGCGTTATTTGTGGTTGGCTCTAGAATGTAACTATACCACCACGAAATTAAATAATTAACCGATCTGTGGGGTACAATCCTTCAGTTCAGGGGAAGCTCTACCCATTTAATTATAGCAATGCATTGTTACGCGTCTTTCACAGTTGCGACTGACGGGTCAATTGGTAGCACGCGAGTACCAATTACTAGACTTATATAGACTGATTCCCAATTGCTATTTATCTGGACCGCTTATCCGAGTTCACAATATTCCCAATCGTCTAACATTGATCAAATTTTATGCTATTGGAGCTTACCTTAGACCATGGGACGTTATCTCAGTACCGCTGGCCTGGCCATTTTGGCCATCTCCGGTGTCGCTGCAGCGACTGGTAACACCGCAAGTGTTACGAGGTCAGGTTCAGCAGCAACAGTGATGGCAAAGCCTCTCTACCCTGGTCCTAAGAACACTGTCCCTTCTGGAACCCATTCCTCATATAGCTGGCCTCCAGCGGAGACCAAGATTAGCGATCCAACCTGCACCAAAGTGCAGTATGACTTCCCATCGGGTACCAATTTGAATACATCGCGTGCCGATGCGGTTCGAGACCTTTATAAACGATCTTGGAATGAGTACGCAGAATATTGTTTTGGCTGGGATCAGTTGCTTACCCTCAACAATTCCTGTGAAAATGACATCTTCGGATGGGGAGCATCCATTGTTGATGGTATTGATACAGCAATCCTGATGAACCTGACTGAAATTGTTGCCACTCAGTTGGAGTTTATCGCCAAGACTGATTACACGTATGTCCTGGTATTCTGGGTAATATGCATTTAGTTGCTGACATCGGAGAAATAGCACGGCTAACTCACTTGTTGATGGATTTGATGCCATCATCCGTTACTTGGGAGGGTACGGCACCAATAACTCTAAATGCTGACTCCCACAAAGATATGCTAATATGTTATTAACAATTAGATTACTTTCAGCCTACGATTTGCTCACCAGTGGATATGTTCCCGAAGGAACTTACAATAGTGATAATGTCAAGGCTCTTCTGTCGCAAGCAAAGGTTTTGGGTGATAAGCTGAAACCGCAATTTGACACTCCCAGCGGTTTGCCAACTGCCAATATCAACTTTACTACCAATACGCCCATTAATTCTCAGTTTACGAACCCGCTTAACAACGTCACATATAATGCTACCAATGTTGCGGTTGCTGGGACCCTCATCCTGGAGTTTACGAGGCTTTCTGACCTCACTGGTGATCAATCATTCCGCGAGTTGGTAAGTTTGACTTTTACCTAGGACCTCGCTGAAGAATTTGGGAATTGAAGGTTACGGTTCTAATTCTTTTAGGCTCTTCGGACTGAGGGGAATCTAATTTATCCCGACCCAGGTCCTGTTTGGCCAGGACTGGTTGGTAGCAATCTGGATACTGAGACTGGAAAGTTTCTTACCTACGATTTTGGATGGCAAGCTGGTATTGATAGCTTCATTGAGGTAGGTGTATATTTATCGATAATGGTACTCATTTTGCTAATGATTTTTAGTATCTGATCAAAACGTACTACTACAACCCAAGCAACGCAGCAAATGCTGTCATGAAAGATTTTTGGCTCACCACTGTCGAGTCCTCAATTGAACACATTGCTTTACATCCATACGACCATCCAGAATTGACCTACCTTAGCCAGGGTGATGCCGCTGGTAATATCGAATGGCAGATGGATGACTATGTGAGTAGGCCTCGAGATTCTTAATAACATATTGAAAGATATTATACTAACATAATCTATTAGGCTTGCTTCGCTGGTGGAAACCTGTTGCTAGGGGGTGCTTTCCTTAACAGGCCCGATATCACCGACCTCGGTCTTGCTGTTACAGACTCATGTCATTATTTCTATAACACAACTGAGACCGGGCTTGGACCTTTGAGTACGTCTATCTATAAAGCCCAGTTCTCTTGTTTTTCTTTTTGATGTGATTTAACCCGATTTTCTTCACTTCCACAGGCTGGGGTTGGTATAATGCATCAAATGAAGCCTACGATCCTTCTTGGAACACCAACAGAACCTACCGACAGCAAGGTGCTGAGTTCGGCTATTTTATCACGAGTCCCGAATATGATTCTTTCCCCGAGTCAATTGAGAGTTTCTTCTACGCATACCGCATAACTGGTGACTCCAAATGGCAAGAATACAATTGGGAGATATTCCGCAATCTTGAACGGCAAAGCACACCAAAGATTCCATCTGCGCCAATTTCCGATGTCAATAAGCCAAAGAGCTTTATTTCTGAGTTGCCCAGGTATATAGTCCCCATCTTGTGACCCATCATGGCGGTCTGGCTGATATAATATGCATCTAGCTACTACTTCGCCGAAGTCCTCAAATATTTGTATCTTTCTTTCGTTGATCCAGAAATTGTTAATCTTGACTATTGGGTGTTCAATACCGAATGCCACCCGATGCGCCGCAATGCTCAAGGCTGCTCTGCCAATTAATTTTGAAGACAGGAATGGGAATGCCTTTGGGCGATCTTCGCTTTTGAGAACATGGAAAACAGAATATCACAACATGTGAATAATCAATTATCAAATATTTGGATCTATTGTTATAAGTTTAGTGGTTTCCTCATTTCTGAGGTATAAATATTTTTATTTATCAATTGACGGAACAATATTAATACAATCGATCTTACACATATTTATATAGAACCAAAAAAACATATAACTACGTGCACTCGAGTCTACATATAGGTAATATCGATTCGCTAGTTGACAAGGTGGTCTACTCAAATAAAGCCACACCATGTTTGAAAATAAGTTGATAGTACGTTAAACATTGGATCGTGTCTCGCAGATTAATCGATATACCTTTTAGTTGATTCCAGATGTCCACTCGATGAGCACTGTTAGATGTTACGTACCTCCACCCGCTGGCCTATATTGGTATACAAAACCATTATGTCAAGGGCAATAATATGTAATTAGACGTAATCCTCCGCTTTCAGCACTTTCTTTCCAATTTCGGCCAGTTTGCTACTCCACAGGGGATCATTCGTTATTCCATTTTGACATTGGTCGATCATTGCGGCAGCAAGTTCAGATACATGAACACGCGGTGTATGGCCAAACATATTGAAAAGGGCCTTGACCATGGCGTCGGACGTCTCTCTTATACTTGGAGCATCGATGGCTCCAGGTTTGGTCACAGTTACTTGCACATCTGGTGCGTTTTTGTGAGCAAAGTCAACAAGAAAGTTCTCGGTACGTCCCTATAGCAGAGTAAATAAAATTGTATATAGAAATAAAATACATGGTAATTGGTGGAAATGATGATCACTGACTCGCATCAGACGGTATTCTCCCATATGGGGTAGGACTTTGCTTTGGTCGCGTTCGATCAATACACCAGAAACATAGACAAACCGGAATGGTTTGTTTGCCACAGCGGCCATAATTTGCATACCATTGACGGTATAATCATGACATATGGTGGTTACGTCCGCAAAGTCCATCGACCTGGACTTGGTCGGGGTGACTGCAAGGCTCCTGACAAACTGTCAGTCTAAAGATCGACCGAAGTATACAGAGGTTGAGGCTACCATATGCATGCATCAGCTCCCTTTATGCCGTCCATCAAATATTTAGGATAGGGTCCTGTCCAGTCGTCCAAGGCAAATGATTGGAACTTGGACGCATCCTCGTTTGGTGGGGGTTGCACAACCCGACGAGCGATGGCAATGACAAAACTGACAGCAGGATTGCGCAGCGCTTGCCGAACAACTTCCGAACCGACGAATCCGGTAGCCCCGGTGACTATGAGTTTCATTCTGGATAATTGTTCATGTATGCATGCTCCTATAATAGCAACAATGTTGAAGTGTGAGTGAGTGGCGGGGAGAAAATACTGGCGGGAGAATTTTGTACGTACATCGTTGTTTGGCCATCTTCTCCGTTCGTATGGGTCTTTGTTAGCAGTAATTTGATTCGCACAACTTTCTAAACAGCAAAAGGTCAATTTCCTTCGCGTCGGATAATGTCGCATCTTCAAGCATTATTGTTCCCTAATTGGCCAACGCCTGGACGGAGAGTGCTAGGGATAACATTGAAGGCACTAAGGAAACCATAAGCATTGATATTTGTGAATAAAAGATTGGGGTTGTTTTAGCTCGAATATAATCGGAACTAAAGACCGGAATACACTGTCACGCATTTGAAGTCAATTAAATCATGTGTTGCTTAAATCGACTCCATCTAAAGTAAGATACTAGCCCTTTCTACCAGATTAATTAACTAAGGCAGTTTTTAGAACCTCTATGCAGGTCGATGGCGTCTATTAATATTGTTTAGGCAGCCTCATCGATATATTCGGAGGACTAGTGGTTGTTCTTTTCCTGGTTTTCGACCGGGGAGGAATACAGGGAATTGTCTACAATTCTTCTCAACTCCGCGTACATGCTGTGGGATGACCATCACTGGGGAATAATGTCGCTGCCAACTCGAAAATCGACGCAAGACGACCAAGTTCACAGAATGCATGGTAATAAAAGCGAAGGTTGATAATGGAATGGACCAACAGCAACATTTCTGTAGGTAATGTGCCTACCTTTCACTATCCTGTAGGAACGGTTATCGAATGCTGAGGCACACGCATGGGCCTTAGGCATATTAATAGCACGTATCCAAATCTCTATGATATTAGAATATTCATGCGATTCGCCGCTAAATGTTCCTCGGGTGGGTAATATCCGCACACGATCTGTGATCCAGCAAATCTGACGTTCACTCAGATGACATTGAAAATGTGCGGAAATATGTCTTTCATATGCAATTGATGAAAGAATGTTATTTTGAGTTTTGTTCCCCATTGTAATGGATTTAGTCAAACATCCACCATTAGTAATTAGTTATTAAACTTGAAATCTGCCAAGCAGAGCGTCGATTTTGTCATCGTTGAGGATACTTAAATGCTCCTCTTTGAGCTTTTTAGCATCATTTGCCTCGAACCAAAATGCCCACGTGCTCTGTGTATCAGCCTCTGCCATTTTTCGACTTGAGCGAAGGCCAACATGCTGGACCTGAGGTGGAGCTAGGGCGAATCGTCTTAATCCAGTCTTTTGTGCAAAATCATCGATCATCAAGTCTGTTTGACCACTCCTCTCCTGTTCAAGATAGTCGATGAGAGAGGGAACATGTTGGCGAGGATAGATAAGGGCTTGCGAGCAACATCCGTGAGCATCCATGGGGACAACGTCCCGAAGTGGATGAACGGAATATTTTCCGATCATGAAGTATAACCCAGTAAAAGCAGGAATTGTCACTAAACAAATGACTATTATTGTGCTATATGTCAAGATTGACCGTGCTCGCGGAAAGAGCCTTCGAGTCATCATACAGATGAGAAGGCCTGTACTCATTGCAACTAGAAATATCATGTGAATATTTCGGTATGCAAAATCGGTTTCTTCCCACTGTAACTGCGTTTCGGTGTAAAATAGGCGCATATATAACCACGAAGCTGTCGGAGCAAGGGTCTCATCAACGTTTTCGATAGGTTCAGATTCCATAGTGTGGTTCAGCTTCATCAGTCCCTTCATGGTTTTTGCCATCCACCCGTCTGCGAAAAGTATATCATCTTCGAAAATCCCGATGTATGGTGCGTCGGTCTCCATGCAGCGGTTTAAGGTATATACGTAGTCACTGTACCGTCATGATTGCATTAATTCAATGATTGGGGACAGCGAGAAAAGAAACCTTACAAGACACCTTTGGTCCGAAAATCCTCTTCAGCTTCTAATCTCTGAAGTTCTCGGAATGTTGACTGCGGTACTTCATAGGACTCTACCGAGTCGATTACTCGATTCAACCACGGCTGTCCCCAGCTGGGGTGTCTCTGCGGATCAGTATTGGCAAATACTACCTTCAAATGCAAGGCGTGCCGCTCTCGATCGTCCAGCCCCTCTAACATGGAGCCGATAGAGTCCTCAAAATAGTCGTCCAGATCTCTTTTCACGGTTACGAATGCAGCGCACACCAATGGCTCATCGTTGCTTTTCAAGATCTCGTCGGATTGTTGATGGTCATTGTCCACCAAGAGTGTTTTATGGAACGCGATAAAGTGATGTGCTTCATGCTCTCTAGTAAGACTGTATTGCCAGTCGTAAACCTTGGAAATATCAAAGAATGCTGAATGCGGATCACGCCAAAACCGGATGCGACAATATTGGAAGATAAAAAAGTAAAAGATACCAGTCGCTAGCAGTGCTTTAAAAGCAGGCGATCGAAGAATTTGTGTGAGATTTCCAGAGGATAAGAAAATTTGACCAACAGCCATGCTGGAATTTGGGTGAAAAGGGCGGCACAGAGGGTTCTTTTCAACTTAACTAGTAACTAGCATGGAGAGCAAAATGATAGATGAAAAGATAGTCTTGCTCCTGATAGTGGGCATCTAGGTCGATGAGGATTGGGAAGCGTAGTGATTATTACCTTGGCAGAGCCTTTTTAGTAATTTTATTGAAGATCAGTGTCAATACTAGTCATAAGCACTACGGTTCAGCCCCCTAAGCTGAGCGAACCTTAGCTCTGATTATTCAGTGGCACGTTCCAATCAGCTAAAAAGTTCCCTCGATGCGATTCATTTTGCATATCGTAGGTGGAGTGGCATTTGACAACAGTGAATCCAATAAATTTGTCTATACGCAACTTGCTATGCTTTCTCCAGGTCACGATTGAGCCGCAACTAAAAGAAAAACAAGACTAAAGTCGCTTCACAAAACGTCTGGTATTCAATCAAGTGGGGCTCGAATTTCGACCAATCTGAGCCTCGGCGCAGCTGCAGAGCCCTTGTGAGTTGTTACTTAAAATAGGGTCTTCCCCATCGTCATTGGCGCGGACAGTATTCGGCAGACTAAATCGATCTTAAGGACAATGCAAGTTTTTTTCATTAAATTCTTCCACCGCCTACGACAACTAGTATTATTTTTAACCAATTAAATCATCGGATTTTGAAATTAATGAAATATTTACGAATTTAGTGGCCTTGTCTCTTACTTAGTGGGCGTCCTCAGGGGCACTTTCAGTGAGAGAAGTATATTATATATATCCGAATATTATAATACCATAGTCTAGTATAAACTTATTTAATTATCATTGCTAGCTGTATTGTATAAACTAATTATAAACTAACAGCCCCTCTTACATAGTAATAAAATAAAAATGCGTGAAATGAAGCATGATTTTTGGGAGAAAATCAAAATTTTTTGGAAAAAACCTGTGCTGTCCTTAAGATCGATTTAGGCCACCGTATGTGAAACTAACGTACCTGGAGTCATGCCGATGTTTTTTAACTCTCCATGAATTCCGTACTTCTCAGTGAAAGCCTGGGGTGAATCGTGCAACATTTCAGTCTCTATGAAAATACTGGATAGAGACCAGCGCGGATTTGTGTGATGTACGTATCGATAGATTAAGAAACTTGGCAAGGTTGAGTGCTAAACTTATCATGCTAACCTACTTCGTAATAAATTACCACATGGAGTATTTGTAACATACATATAGACAAAATAATGTCAATTCAAAGGCGATTCTCCAGATTGCGACACCAAATTAGAACCTTTGGAAATTTTGTGTATATCAGTAAATATTAATTGACTCTGGGTTTTTGAATATAAAAAGTATCGATGTAATGTCACGGCAGGTGTCTATGGAAATCATAATCTATCAATTCAAAGAAGCTTCATATGTTTGTGGATATGTACCACTCTGCTCCATATATCAAGTCAAATCTTCGAATCCGCGTTTGATGTTTTCACAGACATTCTCAACAAACTCTTCTTCACTCATATTGAATTTTACTATATCCAAAGCTCCTAACTGTCAAGATACAGCAATAGACAATAGCCCGTCATTGGAGCTCCAGTGATGTCAGCTGTCTGAGTGAAAACCATTTGATCAACTGAACATTTCAGATGACCAGAGTTCGATATAGGCTGACGATGAAAGCCGAGCGAATTGCTTACTTTGTACGAAGAATCCCGTTCTTCGCCAATCTTGCCTTCCATCCATGCGTGCATATTATTTAAGTATCGTAGAAGCCCAACTGTGTGATCATGACGCCTATTGGTGGTGGCTCCTAGTTTCCGTGATATAAGTCTAGGAGTATCCCAGAGCACTCAACACACCGAGACCGATGTTATGAAGATGGTCCATGAAGTTGACAAGAAATGACGATTCTTTTTGAAATGATTGGGGCAGAGAAAAGCCGTCTTTGCCCTTGATAGGATTACAGACACCATCACTGGGGAACTAAAGGTACACATATTCGTCTACCAGGATCTGCTCGGACATATGATGCATCTTACTGCGTACCCTTCCAGGCCAGGCATCTTCCCATCACTGGTGAGACCTACATTTCTCCCGACCGGGGTCTAACTGCATTCAGAGAAAAGTAAGAGGGGAAAGTGTAATAATGATGAGCACATGCAAAGGCATCTAGGCACATACCCGTTCAGCTTCCAAGGGCCAACGCATCCGCATCGTATTTCATTTTCTTTCACTTTCCAACTCGAAAAAGGAATTTACGACCTTAAACAGAGAGCAAACATCCTGAATAGTTGGAATTTGCTCCTTGTTCTCTTCTCGAAGATCAAGATAAAAGAACCCCTCCTATTCGCATACTTTGCGAAGAGAAGCCAATTCGCCTGCATCTCCTTGGACATTTTTCAACTCGTCACTGGTGTGATACGTGTTAACCTTCTCCACCAGAGTGACAATGCGTGTGACATGCATTGCCTGCAATGTCATACATAGAACCCGCACATGTCAATTTACGGTCCTAGCAATAAATGACACCATATCCAAGAATACTGGGCAGCATCAAGGGTTACCATGACTTGAATTCCATCCCACAATGGCCTTGCGTATTCCCGTTCTCTAGTTGACGTTGATTCGTACTGTTCGGGACGAGGGGCATCGCAAGTCTTCTAGTAGATGGAAATCGATCTTACCCGGAGAGCGAAGGAAGCAAAACGAGGTAGACGAAATGTTTCGAACCGGTGTTCCTCAACTCCTAGCATTCTGTGATGGGCGGTTCTGGGCGGCGTTACGTTTCCATCACGGCATGCCGTTAATCAAAGCAAATTCCTTCGCCACCCAGGGTGATCTTCCTGGGGACAAAGAATCCGTATTCAGGAGCCACCGGCGGCAATTCACCTCGACATACGGGTGTTTGCGAGGAACACATGCAACTCTGAACCGCCTTAGCATTCCTGCATATCAATTAACAACAATAGCCTACAATGTATGGTCGTTACTTGATTCCTCTGATGACGTATTCAATGCTGTGCTCACCTTATATAATTCAAGAAGAGTAATCTATGCTACCAAAATGGTTGATCCAAGTTTTTATGTAATGGACACATCACGAAAGCCTCCATACATGCAGCCGACAGCTGAGCGACTTGGGATATATATGTACTGTTAGGGCTCAGAAGTCACCCGTTAAGATTCATGTTTTGTGAGGATTTTATAAAATATATTTGATTAACTATGTAGAGCTATATCATATAATTTAACCGAGGCAATAAAATTAAAACCATACCGTCTACTGACCGCGCGTCGATGCTACCATCAACGGCTGAACATGTCTTGTGTGATTCCATTGCTGTCACACATAGCTCTGAATGTGCTACCTTGCTTCCACAAATCCAATGGATGACCCAGCTCCACAACTTCGCCCTTATCCATGACGCAGACGCGGTCATACAGTATGACGGTCCGGAGTCGATGTGCAATAGCCACTAATGTTTTTTCTCTCAATCCTGTCGCCAGTGTTTCTTGGACACGCGCGTCTGTTTCGGGATCAACGCTGCTTGTGCCTTCGTCAACTAGAACGATACGAGTGGATCGAAGGAGAGCTCGAGCTAAGGCAATCAACTGTCGCTGACCGAGCGAAAAGTTGAGCCCTTCCGCTTCAACCGGTACATCAAGCGTTACGTTGGTCTCGCGAGTCTCACCAGCGTCGCCACAAGTTTCACTTATTTTCACTTTGGCGCTACTTACCTGAGTGCCCTCTTAAGTGTTTGCAAGAGACTTCCCGGGAATTAGATGTACCTCACGTAGGGCGTTCCATAATCTTATGTCGGTATACTTGTTGAAAGGGTCAAGGTTCGAGCGGATTGTAGTTGGAAGAGCGTAGGGTCTTGAGGAATGATTGCCAAAGAAGATTGAAGACGATGAAGACCAATCTGGCTAATATTAACCCCATCAATTGTGATACATCCCCCCGAGAATTCCGTTAACCTAAAGAGCGCAGATAATATTGTGCTCTTTCCAGCACCAGTACGACCAACAATGCCTACTCTTTCGTCGCTGGCAATCTACAGAGAGGAGTCATCAATAACAAATACCTGAAGGGAGTAATAAGGGTGATTTAGAAACTACCTCGCAATTCTTTGTCTGCAGATAGGTCCGCAGTAGCCGCCTTGAACCAATCAGCTCCTCCAAATACAGTAAATCGAAATTATTATTATCTCTGGCCTATGATATGCAGCGTCAAACTAATGCAATGTCACAATTAAGCGATTGGGTGGCATCTGGCTCCGCCGCCTTCCGAGCGCTTTGTTGTCGCAAATTTGTGTATTAATAAACACTTCAGCGAATACATTTGCAATCATATAGTGTGGGGCTTGTAAACAAAATCAGTCACTTATATCCTATCCTTCATTATCATTCATCAAGCGCTAAATCTTTTGCACAGATTCTATAGCATTCTATCTAGGACATCAGGGCTCCATAGCCGAAACATGGTGATATATAGATTGTACCTTCTCAGTTCTTATGCTGAACACAACGACTGAAACCAAAGCAAAAAGCGCAGCAGCAATTACAAAGGGAAACCCGAGCCATGTGTGTCCCCAGGCCATACCCAATCTAAAGGCCCATGCCATCCCCGGTCCTGCCATAAGACTGCCTATGCCTTCCACGACAGAGATCAGTGCATAGAGGCGCCCGATATCGCTTGCCTTGTTTGCATGATGAGACTCGACAAGAAATGTTACCAGACTGCGTATGACGGGTGCAAAGCCCGCGCCAAGAGTAGAAATGATGACCCCTTTAAAAAATTAGTTATTAGGATTACGATTTCATCGGCCATGCTTGTTTACCAGTGATCATGAAGGCCGCAATTTCTGATGAGGCTATAATAACAGTCCCTAGGAATAACAGAATAATGCTTGCTTTCCCTATCCAGAGGTCCTTGGAAGCTGAACTTGTGCCCGAAAGTGCACAGGCCGTAATGGACGGTAGTATGATAGTGAACAAGGCAATATTGACGCTGGCACGCAATGATACGAGTAGCCCAGCCTGTATGTTGGATCATGTTAGCTATAAATCCATAGTTGAGTAAAGCAATACATTCCTGTGATAATGTCCATCCATATCTCTTCGACACGTATTGAAAGAGAACGTTGTTGGCCTGACGTCCGATTTTTGAAACTAAGAACGTGAACACTAAAGCTGAAACAACTCCATCTCGTGTGACAAAGTCAAATGACATTTTCATCTGCCGGAACCAATTTACTCTCCTGCTCTCACGTATGCATCGTTCCTCCGTTTCCTGACTGGTCGTGCCTACCGGAGAGGTATTATGGATATAATTGGAAAGGTCAAAGCCAGCCACGGGTAACGTCTCTGGCAACCCCAGTGCTATTATGAAGCCGAATCCTTGAAACACAACGGCAAGCAAGAGTGGGATCCATACGTTTCTGGACATCAAGATAGAGGTAATTGGGGGAACGATTAGGTCTGCGACTAGATCGGTACAAAACCGATAAAAGAATACGGTACTCCTACCGGGGTAACGACCTTGTCAAAAATTTAAATCACGACGGGGATTGAAAGACGTGCACAAACCTGAACTCTGGTGGCACGACATCAGCAACAATGGTCGTGATCAAGGTTGTTCCCATAGTTGGACCACCGCCGACCAAGAAGAAGAGTGGTGACAGCCAGACATATTTTAAAGGTAAATACAGTACTCCAACCTATCAAAGGAGCATTAGAAAAGAAGACTCATGGAAAGGACTACTTCCGGCGACACCTACAAAACATAGAGTCGCCGCCGTGGACATTGCGTAACCAGCCAATGCTAGAACTAAAATCCATTTTCGTCCACATAAATCAGCGATATACCCGTACGGGATAGGAAGTAGAATCGCTGGTATGCTTTCGAAAAAGGATAGCCAACCCAGTGTCAAGGCCACCTTGCTCTGCACCGAGTCGATCTTGCAGAAATGCTCCGGGACGGAACCATCTCGATCAACCAACGAAGGGTCATTTTGCAAGTAGTAGTGGGTGCACGCGACCGACTCGAAGATTCGGACCCTCGGGGCACCGTAGAGGGATTCGCCAATGTCTGAAACTATGGCAACCCCAATACAAGCCAGTACAACATAAATCCACGGCCACAAGCAACGTGTGCGGCTTGCTGGTGCGATCGGCTCACGTATTTCGGTGGCTGGTGGTAAAAGAAGTGGTCTTGTTTCAGAGGCAGCGGCCGCGTCATGGCCGCTGCTCTCGATATGTTGAACCATATTCAGTGAGCATAGAAGCGAAGTTAAGAAGGAGAATTCAACAGTTGAATGCATAGGAAGCGAGATGTTGGGAAAGGGTAAAATGTTGGCCGGGGCTCAAAACATTTAATAGTCGACCGATGTCGAGTCGTGCCTGCCGCCAGCGCCGCGCCCAACACTAGCCACTTAACTTTTCTAATAAATTATTATATTACAAGAAACAAAAAATATTATTAGTTTACATAAAACTTAAATGCTAATTATATTTTTTATCAGATATCTAGTTAAAAAATCAAGTATAAGAAAAAATATGATAATCATTCTTTATCTTCCAATGGGCCCTTATTCAGACCGCTTATTCAGAACGCTTATTCAAACTGATGCTTCGAGGCTCATGGAAGGGAACCCATCTAGTGTTTTTATAACAACGTCTCGAATATAAGAATCGGACACTAAAATCCCAAGAGATGTGCTGATATCATATACAGATATAGCCTTTTCGATCAGCTGCTCTGCTTGGTCGCATAGCTATGTTCTTTGATATCGGACAATTTGATGAGTTTGATCTAACCCACCAGTGTACCCCTAAATAACCATCATTGGCTGCGAAATAGATTAGGGCATGAGACGCTTATACACATTCAAGAAACCCTTCATTGTCGTTCTTCTGTGTCTCTTGTTCTGGTATGGTTGGTATATTGCAAAGATATGGAGGAGAGGTCTCTAGATAATTCCCAACCTTCAAATCTGCCTTCTTGGTCTCTCGTGATTGATATTTTATGATCCACAATAAAGGGTCAACCTGGCTGTCTTGAATTTTATCGTTATCGAAGAGGCTTCCTTGGGTGTTTGAGGAAGTAGATTGATTTTGAGCTCTTGTTTTTTCACTTACTCGAAGTCACAAAAAGTTGGTAATAATTCTGAAAAGTTACGGACTCATCAACATACGCCATTTCCGTTGAGCGACACAGTTTTGAATCTTTCGCCGTTCCGAATAATCCAATTTTCTTTCCATTCCAGTCATATTTGCATTGGAGAAGGAATTCGTAATGGTATTATGTTGAGAAGAGGAGGATGAATCGACATATATGTTATTATTCAGCACTTGGGCGATGTAGGAGACGATGCATCATTCTCATTCTTGCGATAGTCACGCTTGTTCGGTATATCTTACACAGAAATCACAAGCATTATTGGAGGATATTGCGGCGTAGTTGTCCTAACAAGGTTCCCCTCATGGCTGTGCCAACGTACATCATGATCATGCCACCATGCTGAACCCTTATAGGCCTGTTTCGTGCTAAAGAACACCGGGAAGTCATTGAAAGGCTTTCTCTATTTTTTAGTGAAAAACACTAGACCAAGAAATCTCGAACAGCTAAACATTTTTACTGGACTAGAGTAAGTTGACACAATCTGCATTAAACCATTTTTGTAAAAAAAATGATGCTGGTCGGTCTTTGTTGGTAACGCCATTTGAAAGAAGTAAGCCTACAATGCGACTAAATTAGAAGAGGGATATAATATCCAATGATACAGATATGTATACATGTATGTTCAGGGTCCCCCAGTTGATGAGACAGACCAGCAGGGAAACTAAACTAATTATGGCCCATTTAATTTCCGTTTTATATTCCTGAGGGGAGTGACATGGGCCGCATCGGTGCGAAGTAAAACTATTGATTCGTGGGGATGTTATACGCAGAGCAAATCAATGAAGCATTGAACTTCTTATCGCGAGGCTAAGTCCCTCAAATTATCAGCTTTCCAAACACTGTACTTTAATGCAGGTAGAACTGCACAGTCAACCTCACCCCTGCTTTGCGAACCCCACTACCGGCCCTAAAACGAGAGGGGTGACTGTGCCTCATTTCAACATTACCAAACAGAATGGAAGGTTATGGCATAGTTGTGATACCCTTCCTGCACGAGTAATCACATTTTGCGGCGCTGCCCCCAACACCGTAACCGGCGTTACAGCAAATGAATGTCTCGATCGATCCCTGATTTTTTAGTGGGTTCTGGCTCATATCCGGAGAACCCGCTCATTACACACGAAGGGTACACACAAAGGATAGACTTTGATATTGGTAGGAGTGAACTAAGTAGGAAGAAATGGATTGCGTGGGCTCAAATACGACTTATTAATATTTATTTTACGGAAACAAGACGTAGATGCATACGAGTCATAACTAGGAAAGCTCCTTACTATTAAGATCAGTTACATACCCCGAAGGTATCCACGAATATAGGATATATTCATTTATTTATTTATTTGAAGCTCTAATTTTGACTCTGGACTTCAAAAAGAGATGAAAGATTGAATGCTAGTTAATACAGTCATGCTGCTTCCTTGTTGTTCCGCAGCATGGGAGAGCCTTTGCTTGACGTCGAGCTAATGTTGTATCGTGCTTAAAATACTGTAGAATATTGTAGAATACTGTAGCTTACGGTTTCTTACGGTCTCTTACAGTTGCTTACAGTCGCTTTTAGTACTTTTCAGCGTGGTGAAATATCACGTGAGTTTTATTCTTATCTAAAGATCTCTACAAAATCCTGTCATCATTCTATACTATATAAACCGAGATACATCTTGTCTTCATTACAAAATGCCATCAGATACAGACGGAACAGAGTTCCCTCCGGCACAAGCTCTTCTCGAGGTGGGTAATCCTAATATTAGTCAGAAACGAAGCTAACAAATCCACGGACATTGGCTAGACAAAAGAGAACGAGGTCCTTGTGGAAGCACCTATGACATTGGAAGTGTTTAACACCTTCAAGCCTCTTCTTCTTCAATTGATGCGAAACTATGTTGTTCGGAGCTATTCTTACGACGCAGTTGCTGGCTATATCAGTCTGGTCTGCGCCACTCAACGCAACTGATAGAGGACCTTTGGCCGATGTGGGTCCGTAGGATATTTCGTTTTACGGTGATAACATCTGTCGGACTTATGTTGGCGGAAGTGGTTCTAGATCCGCGACAGGATGCTTGTCAGTAGGCTCTAGCGGGACAGAAAGCTTTGAATTTGATTGCAGTAGAAACTTCGGTGTAAGACTTTATCCATAAACTAGTTGTGCTGGAAGCGTTTATGCTGTAGGTGGGTTTGTCAATTGCAACTTAGCTAGGTTCAAGATACAATCATATCAAGGCATTAGTGTTCATTGAAAGTGCCCAATGTGTTTGGGCATTGCTTATTGGATATTGAGTCATTTATTTCGCATCATCATTCACCTACGGACTATCTCAGTACTCAGACATCTATATAATTTAAACAGTCACGTTTAAAACATTAGTGTAGTTGGCTAAGCAATCGACAACCAATAAGTTACAATCATATTCCCCTGCATCATACAATCCTTATACCTGAGTTGCTCAGGTTGAGGCTTGAACTAAAAATTTATCAAATTCAAAGGACTGTTTGTTTACAAATCCAGCTACTATGATTCTCATCTGTGATTATCGTATTATTTCGGCCACAATATGCTAAGCTACAGATTCTCCAAGCCACTCCATGGGAAGGGGCATGGGATCAAGAGGTTAGTCATCCTTTTCTCACAAGCTTTTTCTCTCTAACTGAGTCTTTGGTTCCTTTATCTCTTGTTGTTTTGTAACCCACTCTTGAACACCAGTTGCAGCATTCGCAGGTGAGTTCTTCTGTTCCAAGAGGAATGACAGGATTTAGGCTGGACTGAACTCTAACTCTGGCACGTGGGTGGCAAACTCCTCAGCCAAATTTTCAACTGTACTATCGTTGATATCCCTTTCTGGCTGAAGAAGTCCACTAGGTGTCTTTTTGAAGATGGTGCGAAAAAGGCGAGTGACAATATCTTTGTTGGTGTGTTTAAATGAAACGGTTTTGTCAAACACGACCTGACCAGATGAGGGCTTCATCTAGATAGTTAATATAGTAAGTATATAATTTTCCTGAGAATCAATGTCATCAATAACATTTAAGAAACTGGATAATGATACTCTAAACTAGGATATATCCTTTTGACTTTGGTTTGTATTGATATATTTTTATTTCAAGCCAAACGCATTTAGATCTTCTAGGAAGATGATATAATAAGAAGGCAACTGAAAAAGAATTTACTTAGCCCATCCTTACTCAGGCTTAACAAGTTGAGAATATAAATGTCTAGATCATATAGGTCTATAATAGGAAGACAGAAGCTAAACTTCCCCATTCTAGGAGGCCTATTAATTTAAAAGATATCCTTATTTATAGGAAATTCTGTGGTAGGTATACTACACTTGAACCTGTTCATTAAGGAATTCTTCAATATTAGTTAGAACGCTGCTTTTAACTTCTTTCTCCATTATTACTGTGGAAATATCTCTTATAGGTTTCAGACTAGTTCTTTTTCATTTATCACCCTCCTTGACTGGTACGCTCAGGCCTATGGTGGCAGCTCTGGTGACATACAAGGCTGCGGCTATTGGTGGATATCGGTGTCTAAGATTCCCTCGTCAACTTCTCGGATCGGTGAAAATCGACCGTCGATCTGACAATGATAGAATCGGCCAATAGCAGCTTGCGTATTTTTAATATTAGCCAGATCCTGCCTCCAGGCAACAAGTTATTTCCCTGAGATCCTGGCAAAAATATGATGTGCCTCTTTTTGTGTTTTTGGAAAACCGACCGACGTCTTCAGAGATGGCCGTGCGCGGGATCAGACCTCTATGGCGAAAAGCAATGTTATGGTAAAAGCCAAAGAGTGACTTCTATCTACTTGAAAGTGTATTTGACCTATTACATGCATGTTCATGGCCTTAATTTGTTGGATTGTAAAGTCTTTTACTGCTTGTCATTTTATTGCACTTAATTTTACAACATACAAGTCTCAATTTTTCGGGTTTCTGCTGGCAGAATGACTTTCAAACTTCGATTAATTCATTTATTCGTATTCTTCGCACTTGCGCTGGCGCAGAAAGATCAAACGGCAGACGATACCCTACCAACTTCGGTTTTCGTTCTTCCCCTTGAAAATGATTCAAGAAACTACACATTTGCTCTAAATCTACCGTCTAATTCCGAAGATATTTACTTTCGTCTTTCTGGTCCTGCCGATTACTCTTGGGTTGCCGTCGGAACCGGATCTGAAATGAAAGATTCTCTGATGTTTCTCCTTTATGCGGATGCTGAAGGAACGGGTTCGTGACTTACTTCATATCACCCGAGCCTCCCTCTTCAATACTCAATATTTTGATTGATGTTACTTCTCTAGGTACTACACTCAGTCCTAGGCTGTGTACCGACGAAACCGAGCCCGTCTACTCGTCGTCTCTCGAAGTGGAAACATTGCCTGGAACTGGATTGTCAGGTAACAACATGGTCGTCAACGCTCGCTGCTCAAACTGTCGTACATGGAAAACCGGATCTTTAGACGTGAATAACACCGCGCTCCCATGGATTTATGCTCTTGGGCCAACCGTTGGAGCGACGGCAAAACTTCGGAGTGATTCACTATCCGCTAATCTTGAACGGCATTCATTTTATGGTATGACTCACTGACCTATGAAAACGAAGCTTTTTGGACCGATTATTGATTACGAAACCTGCAGGGCAATTTTTCATGAATATGATCCAGGCAACTGGTGGCGAGAATGGCAGTATCATCTCGACACTAGCTCTCACAGCATCGACCGGCACTGGGAAAGACGGAAGTCCCACAAATGATAGCAATTGGCCGACAATAATCCATGCTATTGCCTTATGCACAACATTCGTCCTTTTAATGCCCGCTGGAGTTGTACAATTGCGTGTTCTACCGGCGAGCGTACGTTGGCACTGGGTGAATCAATCTTTAGCGACAATTTTAGCAGGCATTGGCGGCGTCATTGGTCTGTGGCTTAGCACTATGTTCAACAAATCAAAGCACTACAACTCAGCCCATCAGGTGCTAGGGCTAATTTGCATTATTGCAGTGCTTTTCCAATGGGGGTTTGGATTCTGGCATCATTTTCAATACAAACGTACTGGAAAATCTACTCGATATGGTGTTATTCATCGATACTTAGGTCGCGTTGTTATGGTTCTGGCAATAGTTGTTGGGGGTATAGGCTTGACATGGTGTTATGCGTCTATAGGTGTGGTGGTTTCCTATGCGGTTATCGTTGTGGTCATATCTGGCATTGTCGTCGGATCTGTCATGTGGAAGAAATATGCTTCTTCGCAACATGGTCGAAAGAATAGATCGGGTGAAGAAGCAGCATTCACACCCGACAGACGGATGTACTCTCGTCAAGTCGACTCCGAAACCCCCTTGTACAACTATCCTACACAACATGGTATCGGAGGATAAGGGCCTTCATATTTATTCCTTTATCTCTGTTCAAATATGAAGATAGACGAGTTCTACGATGTGCAAATCAAATCGATATATTTGTTATCGATCAGTCAAAAATCACATGAGCTTCATAAAATTATCGATAACGAAAGATACATTTAAAATCAAACACATCACGCGTAAATTCTCACTCATAACTGGGTAGGAAAGGCTTTCAACGTGTAGTATGTTGCAAATCCCCGACACTTACCACTAAACTCGACAACTTTCTTGCAAACATCCGGAGATAACCCCCAAGGAGCGCAAACTCCCACTACACACTCACCCTCGGCTCCCTTCAATTGATTACATATATGTTTACTCTCTACCTTACTTAAAATGCTGTTGACTACTCAAAAATACACTCAGGAATACTCCTAGGTAGGTTATACCAGCGTACACAAGGATATATTAGGTGTGTTTCTATTCACTGCCTTACTAAAAACCCTGCCGACGCCTACGAATGCTCCTAGATTGATGAGGCAAGCAAGGCAAACTTATAAAGGGATATACTAGATGAATTTGTGCTCAATGCCCTACCTTCTAGCAAGCGCCACGCTTTTGTCGACACCAAGGAAGAAGCCTAGATTGGTTTTAGTTCTTACCAGTCGAGTAAGAAATCAAGAGTCTGGAAATTGCGCTTAAATTAAATATGTAGCTTCTGATTTAGTGGTAATACTTTACAACATTTGAAGGTTAATTGTGCCATCTGGACTTGATATCATGCATACTACGGGCTTGACTGAGACACGAAATTACAAACCAAGTGGTAGTCCTACCCAAGCCTTACCCTATAAATCTCTATCACACCACGCCCATAACTTTTACCATGAGGAAAAACATGAAATGTAGCTATGAGAATATCAGTCATTGTAGTTGTCGGTGCTCTTGGATTCAAGGAGCCAGCGTCGTGTCAGTCTACTTATCATCACAAAACGCAACACAGCACCATATCCGAGCTCTGACTTCCAATCCATTAAGTGATGCTGCTGTGAAGCTAGCAAGCAATCGAAATGTAACCGTCATGAGAGTTGATCTTAATTCTTTTGATAGCATTGTCTCTGCTTTCCAAGACGCTACCTTCATCTTCGCCAATACTGTGGTTCACACTGAAACGTTTCTGAACGAAGGGGCCAAGGAGACACAATTACTCGAAGAAAGACAAGGTCTCAATATTGCCGAAGCAGCATCTAAAATACCATCACTGCAGCATTTGGTCTGGTCTACTCTTCCAGATGCGCTGAGCGTCATGGAAGGAAAATACGTGATCCCGCACATCCAATCCAGAATTCCAGCAGAAAATTCTTGCTCGACGTTAAGAACGGTCTTGCTCAAAAGACGACTTATCTCTATGTTGGCTTGTACGGATCAAATATTGGGAGAGACCCTTACCGCCCGATTTATGTGGTGAGTTGCATCCGATTACACAGATTGTTGATGAATGCGGCGAACATCCCACTTCGGACAAGAATATTTAGAAAGGAGATAAGAGGTATATCATCACTTGGCCATGCTCTTCAAATGCCAATGTCCCATATGGAGACGATAAGGCGGTGAACATTGGCTTGATAGTCAAGGCTATTAAGAACTCTAGAAAGTCCGTTTTGGGGATATCAGAGTACTTGACTAGTACAAGTCTCACATCAAAAATTTCGAGGATATTGAAGGAGAAGGATTATTCTGCGGATGTAGCATTCGTTGAAACAACGTTCGATTCTTATAGAGATCAAGTTTGATACTTTCTTTTGTTTGTCATTATTCAACAAGGGATCCAGGATGATTAGGCTTTACAAATCAGTGACCCTAATTAAATTACCTAGTTAGTGACCTTTGGGCACCACCTATATGCGGTATTACTTGGTGGTAAATATCGCCGACAACATGGAAGTCCCTAAAGGAAGCATTTCTGCTCAACGAAATCAGACTTAACAGGGTAGGCCGTTGAAAATTCATTCATCGAGACAGTTTATGATAAAATGGCATTCAGCATTACAAGTAGATCGAGTATAAAAAATGGATTATAATTTAGGATTGATATACTATCGGACTTCATCAAACAGAAGTTAACTTGAATATATACTGGTCTATAATATGTGCATGCCATGGCAATATGCCATAGGTCGTATGTCCTTTATATTTCTCACTGTACCACCTTCCAAGAATTTCTGGATTCATTGTGGGACTGGAGAAATGCTAAAATGAGTGTCTGCAGGAAGTGGATATCGTCAGGTCGTTTATTAAATCACGTCTGCTCAAGGGACGCTCGCGTTTGTACCTGTCGTCCAGGTAGTCGAATCATATGGCGCTGGTGCCATATTGGCGTTCATGGGCTCAACGTATGAGAATGCATCGTAGACATCAGAGTGGAGTTCGTATCTCATTGAAGAACCATCTTGGTTCAACACCACCCCGGGTGGCATTGGGCCCGTGGGCTGTCGCGGTGTAGCAAGGTCAGGCATGAAAGCGATTTGAGAACCTGGGTCGTATATGGGTAGTTGATGTTGGAACTGTTGATAGTGTAGCAGAGGTGGCGTTGTGGTTGAAGTAGTAGATGGGGCCATAGTAGCCGCCACGATGGGACTAGGCGTCGAAATGGAAGGTTGTTGATGAGGCGATACATTACGACTGGAGGGATCCTGGGATGGGGGTGACTGATTTTGGGAGTGGATATGTGATGGGGATAGATTCTGGCTTGGAGGTATTGGAATCGGTATGTCTACCTGCAGCTTCTGGAGTTCTTGGTAGATTAGAGTAAGGCCAGTCGTAATTACTACATGAATTAGCAAATATTTCCAGTATATTAGACAGAAAACATACCGTGGTTTGCTCTCTTTACTCTCTCTAGGGCAAAAACGCAAAATTTGACCTTTTCTACAGTACCTGCAGCAGCATACTTGAGTGCTTTGATCTCCAGCAAAAAGATCGACACTGCGGTATACAAGCTGTATGCTAGAGAAAGAACAACATGGCTGTCTCCAAAAGTGCGTCGATACAAATCAAACAAAGCGCAGATGCTTGTGGCTGAACACATACATTGCACAAGGTGATTCATGTCCGGACGGGTACCGTTTGTAGCCAATTTGCCGCATAAAATCGGGCGATGTAAAAGAATATTTACAGTGTGGTATAAACAACTACAGACGTACATTAGCAAAATGAAGACTCTTATAATGAGAACAAACATACTTCAATGTCACAATATGACTTGGCGGGCTATAAGGGGGAAGTTCATTTGCGACCAACCGCAGAAAGTCGGGCAATTCATCCCACCACTGACTTAGATGCCTTTCCTGCTGTGCGATGCAATTTCTGACTTCAATCTCCGTTGTTTGTCGAAGAGGATCGTAGATATGAATGAGAATCTGGTTAAGTATCTCTGACAATGCACACATCTTTACAAAACACGACGTCGAATGGGCCGGCATTGGTGGATACTGAGCGCCCTGAGGAAATGTGACTCCATGCGGATACCAAATTTCGCTCTCCGCAGTATCGTCAACTATCACATGTCAGGATTTGTGAACTTGATACAAAAGTTTGGGGTGGATATCCACTCACGTAACACTCGTGGCGGGCTCACTCGGGAGTTTTGAATGGCAGGCGATCGACCGAAATACAAACATATGAGTTTGTCCCAGAAATAACAACTCCAGAACAGTCGATTGCGGATTTCAATATCTTCGTCAGTGAAAGGAACAGACCGAGAATATTTCCGGCTATCGATCGATATACCCAAATCTTCCACCAGTCGAAATGCCATGCCACTGTAAAGCCAGGCTTGAGCCCGATTTCCTCGGCCACATTCTTGTGCACTTAACAGGAGCAGAGTTTGTACAGTTGGAATCTTTGGATAGCCGCTCCTCAGAGTTTCGAAGGTACCTGTAACAGCGGCTTGAAAGAACTTTGCGCCGCCGTCGAACGATTCAAGCAAAGGTTGGACTTTAGTGTCTCGCATACACCAGCGCACTGAGTGCGATAAAAGCGCGTTTAGTAGAATATCTGAATAGTAAGGACCTGACGCTTTCATGTCACCTAGTGAGACGTGTAAGCTACATTCCAATTATACATATATATGGACCAAAAATGATGCCACAACTCACGAGTAAAAGCAGGTCGGTAGACGAAGTTGAAAAGAGGTTGAATCCAGCACCAATGAAAGTCAAGCAGATACTGAAATGGCTCCTACGGCGATCGTAAGTGATTCTGCAACAGGGCATAACTCAATCAGGCCGCGCTTACTGGGATCCCAGAGAGTTGTTCGATTGCTCGCTCGTGCCAGGCATTATTCATGAGCCGCTCCTTCCGAGCCTCGAGTTCTGAAGTAAGATGTGATGATGACGCTGTCTCGTTGACTGTGTCGCTGGGCAGCAGATGGAAAAGACTGGTTGGTCCATGGAACGAGACGCGCCCGTCTTGCTCTATCGTCAGTCCTTCAAATTCGCTGGAGAGCTCTAACGCCAAGGCTCCCTCGTCTTGTTCTGGAGTCTGTTCAGTGCTGCTTGAATATTCGGCCGGAGATCCACGGGGACTAGGCTTTGATGTCTTGTCGCTGTCGCTTGCTCGCTCTTCTTGTGTCTTTGCCAATTTTTCCTCCAACTCAGCAATCCGGGTCTCCAGGGTCTTGGTATACGATAAAGTCGGCGCTCTACACGGTACAGTATCAACAGGACCGTTCAAAGGAGATGACGTTCATACGACGACGACGGGAACTCACAGGCTGTAGACGCAGACATCCCCCCGAGCAGCGCATCGGGAACATGTTGGACTGGCACCATTACATTTTACCTAACGAAACACGCGGTCAATGCGACAGCACAGCTATGCATACACCGAACAGACACTAACCTTGCGCTTGCGACAAGCCTCGCAGGAGAATGCGCTCTTCCGTAGAACAGTCGACGGTTTGGAGGAGGATTCGGGCATATCGGCGCCGAAGAGCTGCGAAACTGCGGCAAGTGGGCGCCCGCAGACCTCAACTGCGATCAATTGTTTCAATTGTCGACAAGCCGGCCTGCCATGTGGCAGCCCGTCCAAGTTGTTGCGTCAATTCGCTCTACCGTACGTTTAGGGAATCTCAAGGATCGTGCTATATAATATTGTGGTCGCTGGGCTTTCAGCTGTTGAGAAAATTGCCTCCCAGCCGTGGGGCTCTCCGTGACTCACTCTGTGCGGGGATAGCGACAAGAATACCACGCACCAGATCAATCGCTCTCTCTCCGTTGTCGCTGCCACTTGCTTAATATATAAGAGAACGGAAGGCGGGCAGAAAGTTCACCACGGTCCAGGGTATAGATTATAGCCATGTGACGAAAGGCAGGAGGGTTTCAGATTGAGATACAATTCTGCTCAGGTATCCGCATCCCTATTTCCGATAGACCGGTGTTAAATAATCTCGTGCTTGCGATGCAACAAACGCGCCACATACGCTAGCCTGCCGGGCCGGAGAGACGATACAAGACGATGATGGTCGAAGTTTAAATTCCGCAATTGGGCTGAGAACTGCGCTTGACCTGGTTGGATACGCTTTTGGGAGTCGATTTTTCGGACGATCGGCAGGCAATCTTCTTGGACGTACCGTTGCCTGATGTCGCAACGAGAATTCGTTCGCTAGCGGCTTCTTATCGACATGGTTCTTATCCCAGTTTCTGGACAATCTTAAAGATGAGACAGGACTTATTCGAGCATTCGAGACTGCAACAGGCTGCCACGGCTTGGTACTACACGCGTATTCTGCTTCAACCTTGAACAATCGAATACATACTGACGAACATGAACCTAAGCCCCCCTTTTTCCAGGACCCTGGGCCTGACGTGGATCTTCAGCTGAAGGTTGTGAGCTTTGAGGGAATCTTCCGACCCACTTAGGATAGCGAGTCTGAAACCTCAGCCTTTTCCTGCGCCGGAGGGGGGAATGCTACCATGGGCTAGGGACGCCGAGACGTGACGCACTTGAACCTTATCACGACCAGGTCCAATTGAATAGTCCGTAGTGTGTGGAACTTGACTTGGCTCGGCCGACAGTCAAAACTCGGTAGTCGATGACGCATTTCTACGGACGTCGCGGACCCGTATCAAGGGCGCCAAAGTCTTAGGGTGCAAACTGCAAAGCGTATGAGTGACATTCGGCAATTGATGGTCGCGCAAACGGCCGACCCTGGCGGACGTTGCCTTTCTGGAAGATTGCCTACTTTCGACTAGTGTCCGCCAAACATGAAAAAATGGCTCGAAGACCGATTCGTTCGTGCGCCTTGCCAAGTTGCATGCTACGAGGCCCACTGCTCAATCGTTGGTTCATGCAAACTGATCAGTATCAGGTCGGAATCCCAAAAGAAGTACCCAAGGATAAGTTCTCAACCGAACCCTGTGAAAAGGCAGGCAGGCCACATATCTATTAATTCCTGGTGCGGAACAAGTTGTTACATTGTCCACGCCACATGGTTCCGTTGCGTTAAACCTTCCCCTGGGCGCTAACCTGTCTTTATTCGCCGACAGGGAAAGACTATGGAGCCCTGGCGTGAGCTAATTTGATTGAGCTAATTTGATTCTTGGGAGATCTCTAAAATTACCATTATACCCTGCGTAGTAGGTATGTGTCTGCATTATGACTATAATCTATTAATACATTGAAGTATATACACTAGTTCTACAAGGCGCAGCGATAGAGGGTCCCGCAGTTATTGGCCAGACCGATCTCGGAGCATTTCGCTAATCACAGGAAATTCTTTTCCAGCTGTACCAACATTGGATAGACGTCTTCGATTTGCATCTTCACGGAGCGTTTGTTTGTCACAGATAAATCTGCGCCAACGCCAGTGAGAAGGCTGTGGAGTTTTGCTACTCCCTCGTCATCGCTACTTTTCAGTTGACCATCGATGTCGAGTTCGATGCTGTTATCAGCTAGGTTCTTTTGGCCCAGCACAAAAATGAAATTGTATTTCAATTTTTTGGCGCGCGCGACCTTCTTGCCCAACGAGTCAGTGCTGTTGTCGATATCAACGAGAAATGTTGGATCGGTAGAAGCTAGAGGTGCGGGCGGTTGGACGGAATCTCCCAAACCCAATGTTGGTAGTAGTGCGCGGAAGCCAGCTAACTTTGCTGCTGCCCGTTCAGCCAGTTGAGACACATCATCGCTCTGGTGCACGGTAAGTATTATGCATTGTCGAGGTGAAAGCCAAAACGGCCAGCGCCCGGCGTAACGTTCGATTAGGATAGCAAGGAAGCGCTCCAACGATCCGAATACTGCCCGGTGGATCATGACAGGCGTAGCCTTTCCGGGGCTCTGCGCATCAAATTCCTCCTCCCCTTCTCCTACTTGATACTCAAGCCCAAAGCGCTGTGGAAGATTGAGATCTAGTTGGATTGTTGATAATTGGTAATATTTGCCGTTCGAGTCTTGCAGTTGGATATCAATCTTCGGCCCGTAAAATGCACCGTCACCCTCATTGAGTTCCCACACACGGCCACTTTTTTCGAGAGCATCGCGCAGCTGCGCCTCCGCGCTATCCCATAGTTCCAGACTCCCGATGTAGTCTTTCTCGGGGCGAGTAGATAGAAGGAGACGATACGTGCCCAGCCTAAACGTTTTCATAACCATATCAACAAACCCCAGTGCCAGAGAGATTTCTTGTTTTATTTGTTGAGGCCGGCAGAATATATGCCCATCGTCCTGATGAAACCGTCGGACTCGTGTCAATCCACTGAGAGATCCGGAAATCTCATTGCGATGCAGAGGGCTGAAATCCGCATAGCGGACGGGGAGTTGACGGTATGAGTGTTTTTGTGATTTGAAAAGCAGGCAATGTCCAGGACAATTCATTGGTTTTAGGCCATACGATTCATCCTCGCCTATCTCTCCTTCAGTCTCGCCGGTAGCGCCACGACCGCGTACCTCGTACATGTCCTCCTTGTAATTTTGCCAGTGACCAGATACCTCCCAGAGCGACTTTTTGTATATATTTGGCGTGAGAACTTCTTTAAATCCATATTGTCGATATTGCGCGCGGAGGAAGTCGATCAGTTTGTTCACGAGATGCGTGCCATTCGGCAGGAACAACGGCGATCCGGGGCTGTATGTCGACGCGGTGAAGAGCTCTTGCTCAGTGCCTAGCACTCTATGGTCTGCAACGACGGTGCTCGGGTTCCCAGTCACCGAGGAATTGCTGGCGTTCCGCCGGGATAAGGATGAATTCACGGAGACATCAGAGACTTCCGGTCGTCTCACGGGGCCTGCGTGGCAGGAACAGTATCGAACAGAGCATCTACCCAGGACTCGCCGTGGCAGAACGCCCGTGAAGAGCTGTTGCCTGTAGCCGAAGAAGCCTGGTGAGCGCATTGCGCGTGTCGGGAGGTGGTTTTGCTGCAGTCACGATGGCCTGCGCTTTTTGGGCATAGGCTCCCCGCACAGCGGCCCACAGCCAATCATAGTCCAGGCCGTGCCAGGCTGCCAGGCGACGGCGGGCATGTGACCGTGATCGTCTCATGTTGATTTTCTGTTTCTTGTGATATGATATGATTGTCTCTCAGTCCAGAATTTACGTTTGAATGCTGACTATGTGTGTTTCTCATTCTGCGTAAGAACATATTTCGTACGATAACCGAAATCAACAGACACCAGTTGACATTGTTCTCTTCTCATTTTGATCATATATATATTGTTTATATCCCCGCCAATATGACCACTGCAGACTCCACTGCTTCCTTAGGAGGCTCCTGGGTCGTACCTAAACAAGATGAAACGTCAAACACCCTGCGCGTGATGCAACGCACCAACTCGCTACTTACCGACAACAACTCCCAGGAGGCCGTTTCCACATCGGTCTCGCAGGAAGCACCGCTTACTCCGCTCTCTTCATTCTCAGAAAGTGAATTTTTGGCCGATTACGAGGACTCAGAGCCTCCTGCACCAGCCAACCCTCAACCTGAAGTTTCTGATCCCGCTGCACCTGTCCTATCGTCAGCATCGTCTTCACCTGGACTTGAGTTGGTGATGCCGTCAATCATGTTTGAAAGTACCTCGACCAGTAACCGCTCCTGGGTAATCCCCAAGAAACGCAGTCAGAACCCGTTATATGAGAGTAGAAAGACACCTAAAATGCCTAAAAAACGCGGCAACTCGCCATCGCAAGAAACGCAGCAATCAGATACCGCTGGTTCATCGGCTGCAACACCTGTCAGCGCAGTGAAGCGTCGTCTGCTGGAAGTCAAGAATTATGTCTTTGAAAAAATTGATCAAAACCATCTCCTCAGAGCGATTCTGAATTCTTTCTTCCTGCTGATGACGTTGCATCTGCTAATTATCCCTGAGCTGTTTTACCAGATCCCTTCTCTCTGTCAGCTCTCTGGTGCCTCGAAGATATTCCCAAGCAGTTGCATCACATCCAACCAGACTCTCTCAAACACCCCTACTGTATCTGCAAAGTTCCAGTCGGCTATGCGTACGCAGAGTCAATTACAGGAGTATCTAAACCTTACTATCCAGTCAATCACGCCTTTGGAGCACTCGTTGAAAGGCACTGACATGGCGCTTCGCGATGTGTATAACCACCTTCGCACAGAATACTCTGCAGCGAACAACGAAATAGATCTCGAGTTTCAAGGTGCTTGGACTGCCTCCCGGTCGATTTCGCGGGCGTTTATGGCACTGAAGGTGGACTTGGAAGCCGTTGTCGGCAATCTAGAATCTTACAAATCCTCATCAGATCAAGTGCGCCTAGAGACAGCTATTAAAATGGGCAAAAACAATATTTTCGGTCGATTCAGATCTCGTGATATATCCGAGACTGAGAAGCAAGAAGCGAGCGGTCTTGCAATTACAAACCAATTTAATCGTCTTGATCAAGAGCAAGAATCGGTCATCTCTCGCCTCAGCCAGAAAACCGAGGCCTTTCTTTCACGGCTCGCAAAGCTAGATGATCATCTGGAGTCAATGAAAGAGGTGGCTACCCGCGAGCAACAGCGTCTAGGTCGCGACTCAAATAAGCTTAGTCAAACGAACATCGTCTGGGATTCAATTGCGGGACTTTGGTCTGGGGTCGGTGATACCACAGAGAAGAACCGCCTGGATGTTGACAATAAAATCTTAAGCGAGTTGGAACGCATCTCATCATATCACAGATTGTTAGCCGACGTTGTTGGTAAACTTGATAAGGAGCTCTATGCGCTACAAAAGATTAGGGCGCTTCGAGCTTGATGGATGATTATTATGTGCCCTTCTCGAACCAATTGTGCTACGAAGATGATGAAACTTATGAATTTATTGACGTCCCTTAGTATTCCACGAAGTAATGCGGCGTTGTATTTCCGTGTTTTCCCTCCATACCCTGTACTTTAGTTAATGAACAGCTCAGCCTAGTGTTTTACAATAGACCAGAATGACTAGAATACATAATGCTTTCTCTTCTTACTCTGAGCCTTTCTATCTCGATGTCCCTGGTTTACTGGAAGAACGATTCCACCAGATCAATCAATGGCTGGCACTCATCAGGATGCAGGCCTGACGCACGTCCAACACATTTACCGATGACAGATATATGGTCACGAGAAACCCCACGTTGTGACAGGTTCTCTCCCAAACCGAGCTTATTCACAAGAGCAATAATGCGGTGGCCGACTTGACAGGCGTCGACTACATCGTTCCCTGCAAGGCGATCACCCGTTGCAGGCAACAGTCGCGCGATCTGCTTAGCTGCCCCAGCACTGCGCTTGGCTTTGTATATGATGACTTTCCCCAGTGTTATGCAGCAGGTTTCAGCATCTGCATGGCATCTATTTAGTATCCACACAATGGTCTTCTGTTTTCGGATAGAAGCTTACTTACGAGGAATATTGAACGGGCTACCCAGCGCATACGCGAATAAGTGACAGATGCCCTCTTGCCCGCCCACATTGTTACCTTTCAACGAGTTGCTGGCGTACGTAGCAAGGAACAGACGCGTCATGGCGTCACGACTGCCAGGGTAACTTTCGTGGACTTCCTGCAATCCGTCGAACAGAACCTTCATAGCCCAGGAAGCCAAGGCCTTTCGTGGAAATTCTGTAGAAAATGGATGATACATAGTCTCGACAGCATGGCTAAGAGCGCAAATCCCCGATGAAAGCCAAAGCCGCTTGGGCGTGTATTGTGAGTACTCAGGGTCGTAGAGAATCGAATCCACCACGGTGTAAGAGTTCGACATGGTTAACTTCGTGCCATTTTTAGAGTAGGAACCAACTGGAGAAGCCTCACAGGCGCTCAGTGTGGTGGGAATTGCAATAATGGCAATACGACCCATGTCGAAATCCTTTGTCAGATGAGATGCAAGCATTTTCGCAAAATCGATGGTCGAGCCACCCCCGACCGCAAGCACGACGTCGAATGGATTACTGATATGTCTGATTTTTTCAGCCGCTTCGAGAATGCCTTCGAGTGGAACATGTTGCTTGACGCCTGCAAAAGTCCCGACGATGCGGTGGCCAAGCAAGGCTTTGAGATCCTCGAGGAGCGGCGTATTGCGTACTATGGAGTTGGAAGTCGCTATGAATACGCCTGATTTCGGGGAGGGTAGGCATGAGATCAAATGGTTCCCTACGCAACCTGCTCCATAGTGGAGGTTACGCAGAGTGTCGTCAGGCTGCCACAAGCCAGCAAGAGGCTTGTCACTTGCTGGTGTTGGCATCATGCAACAGCACAATAGCTGTTTATAGGCGTGTGGCGCTGCTCAAAGCTAAAAATGGACACAGTGAGCCTCAGGGATGTTTTGGGATATGATATAAGAGATGAGATGAGATGTCGTGCGTTTTTTGTTATTGATAAGTCACCTGACCTCTATCCATCCAATTGGGAAGGCAACGGCAACCATCCTCTAAGCAGTCTTTAAGTTTTACACTGGCTTAGAATTGTTTCATATCAGTTTGGTAGGACCAATCAATCATTATCCTATACCATCACTTACAGCACCTAAGTTTTCAGCTAGCAGAGGACCAGAGCTCTTTGTTACACCGTGATTTAATGGATAGGTGCGGCTGTTTTGCTTAGAAATGTCTACACAATCACGATCAAGAGATGCAAAAACATTTAATACATTCATTTTTCCTTTGATCTCTTTTGTTTTTGTATTTCTGCAGTAAAAACTAAGAATCCAAAACTTGTCTTGATTGACGGTTTGGTCATGTCTCCAGGCCTATTGTGTGAGATATAGATTAGATAAAAGAGTGATACAGGGTTTATGTTCTTCACTTTGCTGTCTATCTCCACCATAGTGCCGCAACCTTCATGTCCCAAAGTGAGGATAATATCACCAGTCCAGCTGCGCTGTCAGTAGGTATATCACTTCTACATATACCAGTCTGTTCTATATGTACTCGTACGTCGTACTCGTCATGAAGCTTAGAACTTCTCGATGTTTGAAAGAAACATTTTTTACTGATTGTAGGACAGACGCGGGGTTCTAGAATTGCCTTCAACCAATAACTAGGATCATCGGCCCATAACATTCAGCCACAACGACAGCTATATTTTCACATGCTATGAAACTCTGACTATTGCGAATACGTGCAGATATCTCAGCTACATTAACGTATGCAAGTACAATCGAGCATGGCCAAGAGTATCAATTGATACAAGAAGAGAAATCATTGAAGAAAAAGGCTGATTGATATACGACCTTGATATTGAGTTGATATCTTGCTTTACCATCAAAAATGGAGTGTACATAGCAAAATATAGCGGGCTGAATGTTTCAAAATCTTGAATACCAACTATTTATATTAAAATCTAACTAATCCACGACACTTAGTCAAAGCTAGGGCGTTAAATCTTGAACACAAATGACGAATGCCGATTTTGGTAAAATTGTTTCGTGCTATGCCCCAAACACGCCCCACAGTAATCATCTGCGGGAGAGTAATGCGACCAACCACATAGAGCGAACATATTTTATAGACTGGTAGCTTACGATAGAGTAGAATTTGTATGTAGACTAGGCCTAAATAACATACAAATCTAGAGGTTGCTAGCGTGTTGCTGCCACGAGGCTGACGAAGTTGCCCCACCAATAATCGGGTGGCGGTTCTGCCTAGCTTTTTCAACAACGCCATCACTCACAAGGACAACATGCATAATCGAACATCAGCCAATCAATAATGCGGCATGTAGACTATTAGCGGGTCATTTCGCTTTGTAGAAGTCAACAGGCAGCTATTTCTGGGCTGAACGCAGCATGTCAAAAGTGCCAGCCACCATTTCGGACGCAGAGGCCGAGATTTTCGCGAGCACCGAGGCCGGTGCGGAGACGCTGCGATCCACAACCATGTCGACAGCAAGGCTTCGTAGTTGCGTCACTTGCAGAAGCCGAAAAGTTCGCTGTGACAAGCAGTCCCCCTGCTCCAATTGCCGCCGAGCTAATATCGCCTGCGTCGTTCCTTCGACAGATCGTCCACCAAGATGGGCTCGTCGTCTCGATCGCATTACCAATAATGCGGCATCGGCCTCAGACCCGCGAGTTAATCAAGTGATGGAGAGACTGCACACTCTTGAGGGCCTCGTCAAGGAGCTGAGTGGCCAGCTCGAACAAGCCAACGCAACCGCCAATTCAACTGTCGCTAGCTCGTCTGGAGACACTGAACCCCCCCAGGAGAATTCGTCTAATACAAGTCCTGCAAATGTTCAGAATAAGTTCGGTAGGCTCGTTCTTCAGGACGCGAGCAGTAGTCGCTATATTAGCAGTGGTTTTTGGTCTCGTGTGGGCTATGAAGTGAGTTAATCTTCTATTGACAGCCTCTCTCCAGTTGCTTGAACTATGAACTTACTTGAGCTCCAGCTTGATGAACTTAAGATGGACACCAATGGTCTTCCAGACGATGATTCTGACTCTTCGGACGACGACTTGTCAGCTGAGAAGACTACACCAGCTACATCTACCCAGGAAGCTACACGCACACCCTCTGAACGACACGCCTTCATGTTCGGGCATAATTTAAACCATTCAGTCCCAAATCTTGATGACTTTCGTCCATTTCCTTCACAAATTCCTTTCTTATTGGATATTTTCTCCGAAAATGTTAATGTCATACTGCAAATCGTCCACATGCCGACTGTTAAAAAGCTAGTTCGGGACTTGCGCACAAGTGACAAAGCTACTCTTACTCCGGCTAATGAAGCTTTATTATTCTCTATATACTATGCAGCAGTAACCTCTATGGATGATCAAGATGTAAGTTATTTTTTTGTGAAGTTAACCTGAGTGAGAATCGGCATAACGCTCATACTTTCCAGGTCATCACCAACTTCGGCTTCACCAAAACAGATCTCAATCTCAGATATCGTATGGGTTTAGAGTATGCTTTAGCAAAGGCTGATTTCCTTAACACTCCGAGTGTAGCTTTAACACAGGCACTTACGATATTTCTGTTTCTGCTTCGTCTACATGAAAGCCCCGCTTTTGTCTGGATGATGACTGGACTCGCAATTAGGATGGCCCAAGCCATTGGGCTGCACCGCGATGGAGCTAACTTAAAGCATCTGAAACCATATAAAGTTGAAATGCGAAGAAGAGTGTGGTGGGCACTGTGTATGCTAGATATTCGAGCATCCGAGAACCAGGGTACAGATCTCACCATTTCAAACGATAGCTTCGACACCAAGCTCCCCCTCAACATTAACGATGCGGATATAGACCCCGACTCGGATCAGCCTCCCACAGAGCGCGAAGGCATCACGGATACATTCTTTGCTCGTATTAGCTACGAAAGCTGTTATATTATGAGGCAAATGACCGGTTTGATCGTCAAGGATGGCCCGTCCGATCTGGAAAGACAAAGCCATATGCTCAACGAGCTCTACCAGATTGTTGAGCGAAATCGATTGAAATACTGGACAGAGTCAACCAGCGTCGTGTTCTGGGTCATGATTACATGCACTCGCCTTGTAATAGCCAAAATGACCCTTCTAACCTACCTTCCTTCTTTATTCTTTTCTCCAAACGAGCACTTCTCGGATGAGGTCAGAGCTAAACTTTTCACTTCTGCTATTGAGGTGGCGGAGTACAACCACACTTTAAATTCGGAACCGAAGTGTCGCCAATGGCGTTGGATTTTCCTGACTTATACCCATTGGTACGCCATTGTTTATCTTGCGATGGAGATCTCGCGGCGACCGTGGTCACCCATGGTTGAAAGAGCCTGGGTCGCGCTTCACAGTAGCTGGCTTATCCCATCTCGGTTTTACACAGACAAGAATATGCGGATATGGGTTCCCCTGCGCAAGCTAATGTCTAAAGCGAAACAACATCGAGATTCAGAGTTGGAACGTCTGAGAGCCAACGCAACAGCTGCTAAAGAGCTGGCTGAAAGCAGCGGAATCCCAGTACCAACAAGCTCTGGCCCTTTTTCCGCTGAAAGTGATGCTGTTGGTATCTTTCGAAATCGTTGGTGGCAGCTCCTCAATACTCCAGATTACCAGAATATTCCAATATCAGCGGTTTATCATGGGCTCGAACCCTCAGGATCATCAATTTACAACTCCAACCCACCTCAACTGAATATACGCTCAATGGCTGGGCAACCTCCAAGTCACGCGGCTTCTACCATGAACTTAGATCCTACATATTTGGGTTCAAACACGGCTCAACCACGTCAAGAACCAGGGACTTTTGGTATAACCACATCTGAAATAACTCTTGATCAACCCGAGCTCTTACTAGGGCAACTTACCGGGAAATCAAACAATCAACTTTCAAACGTGACTGAAGATTTGCCGTACAGTCAAAATATTGAGACTGGCTTCATGCCTTGGTCATGGGCAGATGCTGAGCCGTCATTTGACTCAGACGCTCAATTTAATTGGCTTAATTGGATCGAATCTGCTAAAAGCATGGATTGGGAACGAGATGGCACTAATTAGCGACATGCCTAGCCCGCGACTGAAAGAGAATAGAGAAAGATGGCTTATTATTATACTATATTCTAAATATATTTACTCTAATATATGATTCATTACTTTATCAATTGATATTGAAGATTATAAATAACAAGAAATTTATTAAGACTTTGACATATATTCACAGATGCTACCCCCAGGCTAGTCATCACATAGTGAACGGCAATCTTAGGCAAATTCCCGTTAATTTCTCCGTGATTGGCCAAAATTGTATAAACTCATCACTCAGAGGCTCTTTTCCGTAAATAAACCTTCGTCTCACCATATACCTGACTCATGTGGTGAGTTGCACTAATATGCCCCCTTTCAAACAAAAAAGTCTTGGCGGGCTCGCGTTTTTCTCGCGTGCCGCAGCCGAAGTAATAGCGAGACCTTTTTGTATGATGACGAGCTAAAATCTTGAATAAGCGAACGAGCCAACAAAATATATATTGGCAAATAAGCTCTAATCACCGACTGCGCTAGTCCAAGCTCTAACTTTGTGAAATCGATAAGCGGTTTCAGCTTTCGCTCTCTTCTCAGCGACAATTCGGCCCAAAGTTATTGCGCGCGAGAAAGCACCGAGCTACACGGAAATGCAGTCGCAAGATTCATGTTCTATATAAACAGGCATCGTTCCCATCCTCTGGACGCTACCATGCATATCAACCGCGTTTACGTTTATCTTTGGCTCCTCGATTATCCATCAAACTTTGCGCCCTGCATCTGCTAGAGAGTCTCTAGTGGTTCGTATATCCCTCCGGTCTACTGCTACCTGGGAAGAGAGAAATACCATACGTTGACCGATTTTGTCTCTGTGAATCAACATTTGAGATTTGGCTACTGCGTCATTTCGATCTATACAACTCGCCGAAGGAGTGTCTTTAGTTCTCACTCCCAATTCTGCAATGGCGCCATCGTGTGAAGAGTGCATCAAAGTACGAACTCTACTAATACTAGTATAACAGTATTACTTACAATTTTATGCAGGGTAGCATCCATGCTGGCCTGCCCAAGGGCAAGGAAGAAGTCATCCACGGTCTCAATACTTATGTGATCGGCAACCGCACCAACCCTCGGGGCATCATTGTGGTTTATTCAGATATTTTCGGTCTAGCACTACCAAACAACAAGCTGATCGCGGATGCCTACGCTGAAAGTGGCGAGTGGCTAGTTTACCTTCCCGACTTTTTTGAAGGTGATCCTGCACCGCTCAAGTTTGCTGATGTCGCCATTCCAGTCGATGCGGCCAAGCAATCAACATTCGCAAAGTATACCGGTCTTCTCGCCAATGTCCCATCCGTGCTCATATGGATGATGAGGCACAAGGAGCCACAGACAAATAAAGTTTGCATGGACTTTTTGCAGGCTTTGAGACGGGCGACTCCAAAGAACCAAAAGATCGGGATGGCTGGATTCTGCTGGGGCGGAAGATATGCTCTTCGAGCTGGCCTAGAAAGCAACATGATTGAAATGAACGGGGAAAAGATACCGCTTATTGATGCAGCGGTGGCTCTGCACCCAAGTAATCTGTCATTTCCCGGCGACGTTGAGGCTCTAGTTGTTCCCGTTACTATCGGCTGGGGCTTGGAGGACATTGGAGTGAAGATTGAGCAAAAAGGCAAGGTCGAGCAAATCCATGACAGCGCTAAGAAAGGGGGAAGGAAGTATCCAGAAATTGTTCATAAGGTGTATAAGCCTGGCCGTCATGGATTTGCCGTAAGAGGCAACCCGGATGATCCTCAGGAGAGAGCCTGTCTGGAGGACTCCATGGCACAGGCTTTAGACTGGTTCAAGCGGTGGCTTTGAGTGATTGATTGATTCCCAAATTACTTTTCCTTCTTCCTGCAAGCTTAAAGTCGGAAATATTTGAACTTAGAACAATTAGCGATTTGCGTACTAATCAATTGGTTTTGCTGTGAATTTAGTCATATTCATAATACTAGAAGGATGACTTTATTAAGTTGCCGCTGAGCTTACTCTAAATAGTCCCTAACACGGGGCCGAACTTCAGGCATACACATGCCTATTTTTTTTGTAACCTCAGCCCCCCCTCTTAGACCTACCTTATTTCATCACCCTCAACTTGACTACTTCTTGCATGGCCAAACACCATCACGGGTGTGATTGATCAATCAGTGAGAATGTCATGTGAGCCTAAGAGTAGATGATTCACTTCGAATCTAAGGGAATATTATTAGTGCCATGGGTCTCTCCAACGCATAAGCAATAAACCTCAATCCACTAGTCTGTATTTATTTAAATGAGGTTACTTTATTTTTTGCTTTTTGCTAAAGAGACACGATAATTCCAATGAAAAGTGCACTTAACACTATATAGAATAATGACGTCGTTGGGGTCGCTGGATGGTTACCGAAAGGAGTTAGTTGGGGTGGGTTAGTTTAACAAGCTGGTTGCCGTAAAGGGAAACATTTCAGGGCTTGATCTGGGTATATAATGAACTGTATTCCAGCACTTGGTATTCTTATCACATTTCATGGCATTTCTATTATATTTCAACATTCATAGCTTTCACTACAGGCATATTGTGTCATGGGTTTGATTAGAGATGTCCTTGGCTCGGCTCTTGGTGCTGGTCAAGTGAACAACGGCTTCAGCTCAAACCGCTTTTCGTCATCGTCTAGCCAATACTCGGTCTCTCCTTCTAGTCAACGATATTCTGATGGTACCGATTACAACACAAGAGACGTACGAATGCAAAATCGACCCCCGGGTTACCCTCCACCGCGATATAGTTACGATGGCCGTCATCAACAGCCGCGTAGGCAGGACGACCCAGTGGATATGAGACATAATAATAACAATTACTATGATTCCGGACCATACTACAATTCCGACTACCAATCCCCTCAAGTGAACGCTCAACCTCCTTTGCCGCCGCGACAACGGTACACTGAGAACAACGATTATCAGGATTCTGGTTATTCGCAAAGTCCTGACTTTCGTCCGCTGGCTTTACCGCAAATCACATACGGAGACGGACAACCTTTCCTTCGCGGATACAGTAATGAACTGAGACAGTACGGTGTATCCTTCAGAGATTTTATTCAAGCTTTGGATAATATCAACATCGCTATCATCCCGAATCCGGAGGCGCAGGTTTTCCAGAAGGGGGCTAATATCGCTGGATGGTTCTTGTGAGTTTCTTTTCCAGTTTAATATCATTTTCCAGCTCAAAACTGATTTGCGATTCGTTCTCTGCAGGCCTGGAGCTGCCTCGATTGGTCTCACAGTCGGCCAGATTGGTGTTGGCCTCGGCACAGCAATGGGCCACTCGTCTGCTGTCGCTCGGGCCCTATCAAAAGCCAACCTAGATCTGTTTGTACCAAATGGTCTCGAGATATGGTAGGTTTACTTTTGTCCCGCTAAGAGCCGCTGGTTAACCTCGGCCCAGTATTGGTAAATCGAAGGATGTCGATGCTGAAGTCGGGATTTCTTCCTCTGCATCAAGATCGGCGCCTGGCACATTACCAGAAGATCGAGTAGCACGGTATGGTAACCTTATTGCCCCTCTCTCTGATGTATTGCCACCACTGGCGAATAGTGGCCGACAAGACCCTCTTGCCGCCTTTGGTCAAAGAATTGGCAATAAAGCCGACGACAAAAAGGTGCGCAAAGCAAGGGAGAAAATGGAGAAGGGGAAGACCGATAAATTCGATGCTCTGGAGGGAGGCCTCCAATGGGTAAGATTTGGAGCCAATCTATCAACTGTGACAACAGTGGCTCATTATTGCTTTAGATTATAGTTCGGCGAGCCTCGCCTGTCGCTTTGGACACTTGGCAGAGAACGTTGCGGCAGAGTGACGCCGCTTTGAAACAGAGACCAGCGTCGGGGAACAGAATAGGGAGATGATGGGGTGACGTGGTAATATTTCAATCTTACTGGCGCGTAGAGCTGTGACATCGATATGTTCTAGGTTCCGTCCTGTTTTATGGCATGTTGTACGAGCACTTCTTTTTAACTTGTATAAAGGGATAGACTAGACCTAGAGTTGGCTGGATGAAGGGCTTATCTATTGGCGCCATGATATTTCCAAGTGTATTCTGAACAAGTCATAATGTTTATCTAGTTATAGACTTTGTTTAAGGCACTATTTTCTTTTTCTATATATATGTCAAATAATTAATAGTATAGAAATTAGTGAACAAAAATTGTAGTTATACTCGTTAATAAGATTCAAAACAGTAAAATATTTCTTTTGAATCCTCTATATAGTCATTGAGAAAGATCAGGCAATAACTAACCGTATTCGTATCGATAATCGAGAAACCTAAGCGTCAGGAGGAAATCTAAACTACATGGATGTTCTTGGTTTTTACTTGTGCGTGCAAATGGCACAGTCATGCTTAGGCAGTGACTGGTCGTCACACGTCGCACTGGTAGAAAAAATATGCAACTAAGAAACCAAAATAATCGTTACCAAACAAGCGTTGCGCTGCCCTTTTTGGTATGGTGGTTAAAAGTTCGACAAGTACTAAGTCGTGCTCGGATTTCTATTTGAAAGTCAGTCTCTGTGCCTGCAGAATTGCGAAATATTGGTCAACACCGAGAGGTGCACCGTAAAGGATGCGTAACTTGTCTCAGACATTTGAAAAAGGTAACATTCCACAGCAATGCACGGAGTACTACAATTTGTCGCATCTATATTGGGCTCGGCGACTCGCCCTCAATAACCTGCGACTAAATTTCCAAGCCCCAACAGTGCCTTGGTCGATCCTCGTTGTGATTGGAGCACTTACGTGGCCTCTCCACCAACTACTGACTCGGCATCGACTTAATGCTCTCCATTCTGAGTTAGTGCATCTGTACTAAGATCAATAATATGTGGCTGAACGATTGCTTGTTCGGTCCTAAGCCAGTCACTGCGTTGCACAGGATTCCGGCAGTCTCCGGGAAGCCGGTAGCTACGTGGCTGAGATTTCCTACGTTGATAGCGGGGACCGGAGATGGAATAAAAATGTTACTTCATATAGAAGCGGCTCCTCAGGCACCTGTGTTTATTTTCTTGATTTTCAGTCTTAGAGCCAGTTTAGTTTCGCGTAGCAATTCGTGTAGGAATTGGTGTCACGCAAGCCATGGCTTGGCCATCCTGCAATTCTACTGAGGAGAATGCGACGAGTAAGTTTTGGGATAGTGCTGGATTAATTTGATTTTGCTGATTTTTTTTTCTAATTAGTCCACGAGATCCATCTCTGGAATGGAGGGGTCACGTTTCATAATTTAAGCGTGATTCTTTGCGCTATATTTACAGTGATATCTTTTATTCTAGTCAGTATTTTGATCATTGGCCACACCACACACTATAGCAGACCGGCCGAGCAGAGACAGTACGTACCCGTATTTGGATAGCCGTGAAAAGAAGTCCATAAACCTAACCTCTGCTGATAATTCCAGTATACTTCGAATTCTGTTCATGATTCCGATATACTCGATTACGTCCTTCCTCTGCGTGTACTTTTATAAGAAAACAGTTTATTTCGAACTCATTGGCAATTGCTACGAGCCTTTTGCCATTGCATCTTTCTTCACTTTGCTCTGTAACTATATCGTTCCAGACCTTCACAGCCAAAAGGAATACTTCCGACACATTCAGCCGAAAAACTGGGTTTGGCCAATTCCTTGGATGCAGAAATGCACTGGTGGACAAAATGGGATTTGGCGTAAGCCTCGTAGCGGTTTGACCTGGTTCAACGTATGTGGCAGCCTTTTCATATATAGAAGCTGCAAATTGGGTTTGGTTGTTTTGCTGACTGTGTTGAACTTTTCAGGTTGTATGGATCGGCGTGTTTCAATATTGCTTCATTCGTGTGGTGATGACAGTTATTGCTGTTGCCGCAGAGTCTGTCAATCTCTATTGTGAAAATTCGGATAATCCAGCATTTGCCCACATTTGGGTCAGTTTCAACCTTTGCTGGACAGCGAACGTTTCTGACAGCCGAACAGGTTCTCATTATCGAGTCAGTCGCGGTGACAATCGCTATGTATTGTTTGATCCAATTCTATATCCAGATCAAAGAAGATATTGCGCAGCATCGGCCGTTTTTGAAGATTCTGTGCATCAAGCTAGTGATTTTCTTGTCGTTCTGGCAGTCTGTTCGTCCCACCCTTTTATTCCTTGGGTTTGAAGCGCTGTGAACTAACAAATATAGACGATAATTGACTTTCTAACCTCTTCCGGCGCTATCAAGTCATCTGAAAAAGTTTCTCTGCAAGACTGGAACAATGCACTGCCAAACCTGCTCATCTGCATCGAGATGTCCTTGTTCGCAATTCTCCATTTCTGGGGCTTTCCGTGGCAGCCGTACGTCATCAACAAGCAGAACATTGGGGCTCAAGGGAGCCAAACGTATCACGGAGGATGGCTAGGAGCGGCAGCCATAATTGATGCCATCAACCCATGGGATCTTTGCAAAGCGGTTGCACGTGGCCTGCGGTGGTTGTTTGTCGGTCGCAAGCGACGCACTTTCGACCCCAGCTATCATCTCGCGGCAGATAGGGAGTCGCAGGAACAGCAAGAGTATCAACAACTGACAGAGAGAGTTTAACTTGCGATTTTTCGGTTAATGCCGAGAGAGGTGAGATCGAGCTGTTGCTTCTTCTGGGACACCTAATAATAATGTGATGACCTAACATGAATGAATATCGACCATGATTAGCTATATTTACAACGTTTAGACGAGAGAATCTCGAGATTTTGCAGTTTTCCGTAAAGTTAGCAGACCCCGTATGGAAAGTCGTTTGATTTGTAGGCATACACTGGGAGTAATTGATTGTCCGAATCTCGTTGTAATGACGGATGGTGACGTCAGCAACATTGTGCTCAGGCGATCTCCCGCAGTGGGACTCCCCATAGTCCGCCGTACCCATCCCTTTATTAAGTCCTAGCAACGAAGCTTAGTTCACAGTGACAACATCAGCTCATGTAATCGCATCCAATGCAGTCATATCACATCAACACGTACTCTGAGCCCAAGGGCTACCAGCTGGGCGAGCTGCCCAAACCTGTCATTGAGAATGATCGTGACATAATCATCAAAGTGCATGCTGGGTCTGTCAATCCGGTCGACGTCAAGCTAGCAAGTGGCGTTATGAAGATGGTGTCTCCCCTACAGTATGGCCTTTGGGAGCTCTGAGAGAGATCATGATACCGCTTGACCCTCGCTAACGATGGAAGATTTCCGTATAAAATCGGTTATGACTGCGCCGGAACTGTCAGCGAAGTTGGATCGGCGGTGACGCGATTCAAGGTTGGCGATGAGGTCTATGTCCGGCTGAAGAGTCCTGATCGGGGTATGAATTTCTGAAGCACGAATTCTTAATGTATTTATCAGAGATGCTAAATTAGAAAGGGTCATGGAGTGAGTACGCCAAGTCGACGGAGGATCTTGCGTCGCTAAAGCCAACCAATACGTCCTTTACCGAAGCGGCATCTATTCCCCTGGCAGCCATGACTGCACTTCAAGCGCTCAGGTTGGCGGGTACTCTAGAGGGAAAGACCGTCTTTGTTCCAGCAGGATGTGAGTCATACATTCTTTTCGACCAACGTACAGGTTTGTTAATTGTAAATTGGCTAGTGAGTGGAACTGGCGTATATTGCTGCCAGTTGGCAAAAATGTCTTCAAAGCTGGAAAGGTTATTACCACAGTGTCAACTGCGAAGGTACCAAAGGTGAACGAGCTACTGGGTGAGGGTGTCGTGGATCGGAGTAAGACTCCTGTTAAAATTAATAATGACTGATTACACTGACGGGACTTGGAAGTTATTGATTACACTAAATCGGACCCTAAAACTACGATTCCACCTGGCTCTGTTGACTTCATCTTCGATACCATTGGCATGGCCATGCCCTACCTCTCTCTGTTGCGCCCTAAGACTGGTTTAGTTGTATCAATTTCGTTGCTTCCGTCGGGAGATCAACTTGCTGCATCCGGGGAAATAAGTGTTCCTTATATACTTCGACAAATTCTCAATTTTGTCGATGCGATCAATCGATGGCGTGCGTCGTGGAGTGGTGTGAACTATCAATACCTGTGGCTGGAACCGAGTGGAAAGGATTTGGAAGAGTTAAAAGCGATTATTGAACAGGGAAAGCTAAGACCAGTGGTCGGTACTGAAGTGCATTACAAAGACATTGATGCTGTCCGCGCAGCATGTTCTGTGGTTTTCAATGGTAAAGGTGGGATTGGAAAGACGGTCATCTCATTTGAATGAGTTGAGATATCGGCATTCGTTGACTGGTCCTTGGAGCTTAGGGTTAATATTCGATGATTTGCTAGCCTAATTTCAATGGCGCAATGTTCCATGTTATACTTTTAATATGATTCAATGCTGATCACTTTTAGTTAACTGCAGAAATATAATTCCTCTAAATACAGGCTGGTTCCTCCATTGAATCGCTGCGATAACTAATTTAACTTTCTATAAGCACCTCATTCATATTGACGGAATCGAAAACTAGGGCTTTTATTTCACGTGCAAGAGAAACCTTGCTCTTTCTCTTGGACTGAAAGGACCAACAATAGAGCCGATTGCCGTTTTCGCACTAGCGTGCCTAGAACTCCGGAATTTCGCATTGCATTCTCGATCTCTTTCTTGTCTCTCCGTCATTTCATAGATGCTGTTGAGTAAACCATGGAGTCTTAATGGATCTGACAATTTTCTCCATACGGTCAATTCCAATCACGTCAATTGTTCTCATTTCACCTTGACGGACTCACCAGGCTTACTCGCCGCGCGCGCAGTGACGTCAACAACTCCACTACGCGTCCCTTTTTTTTTTGTCGCGATGAGTTTGCACTCGTACAATCGCGACGAAGTCGCCCTTTCGGTGACAGAATTCTATAATGCACTCACCAAATTACCCTATGTTGACGCGAAAGCTCTTATTTGCCCTGCCACGGAAGAAAACGATCGCGCGAGATCTGGGATCAACGAGGCTGAGCTCCGCTGGCGCGGAAAGACAGATGAAGCCATCGAGCTGCTACGTCATCTACCATACTTACGACAGCCCGTTGATAACAGCAAAGCAGAGACAAGCTCTATAAAGGGACTCGGAAATTGTGGCAAAAAATGGATGCTAGGTCCTGATACCATCTCTATTGCCTATGGCGATGGGGAGGTATATAATAGAAAGTTGGACGAAATACAACCTACGCCAGGCCATTGTGTCTGGTTAACTGATCTGATGGAAGATGGCCATGGGACGGCTTTGCTGATAGATACCAATACTGGTTAGTATTTCTATAAGGCATGGCGGAAATAGAAAATGACGATAAATTAATCCATGGGGGGTAATAGGCACAATAACTGAATATTCTACGGAAAGGCGCAAAATCGTGATTGACATTGTGGACTATGACAAACTCGCCCCAGAAGAACGTTGGATGGCGTATCCCACATGGCCGGTAAAGGATTTCTTTCGAATGTGGTCTAGGAGGTATGAGACACTGACGTGGATGGCGGTATATCATGACATGGGTAGGGCTGGCACAGCACTATGGTATATCGGCTCACAGACTGATGATGATAATGATGAGGACGAGTCATGGGACTCGGATGACGAGAGTTATGTACCGGACTCGGAGGAAAATTCCTCTGAGGATGATGATGAATATGAATGGGACAGCGAGTATGGCAGTGATGATGACTATGAGGTTTCAGATGATGAAGACTTGGACCAACCCGGAGATTACAAACAAGCAATAGATTGGTTAAAGGATCATGGCACGGATGAAAAACAAAACCTAGACAGAGTCGACACTTCACGGGGAAATGAGTTCAGCTTGGAAAGCAAAACAGCAGTAAGTAGGAGTATTTCACCCTTGTCTGGTCGTAACTAAGATCGACCATCAATAGGAAGTATATGCAATCCATATAAAAAACGGCTGGCCGTTTAATTTTGATAGGGAAAACTGTAGGTGGGAATTGACGGAGTTCGTTGATCGAACAGAAAATTTAATCACATGATGAAATTAAATTCTACACAATGTATCTCCGCTGATAGCGAAACTCGTCACGTCTACTTTCCACGTGCGCGTGATCCAGATCCCGTCCTGCTTTTGCGGTGTCCCCGGCAGTCTGGATTGATCGATTGCGGGGATCCAGAGGCCGGAATATAGTAAATCATGGACATTATAGAATTAGGTGGGTGAAAGCCCACAAGAATCTAGAAGGTTATAGCCCGGGAGAGGATCCTGGTAATAGTATCTAGCCCTAGAATAATTATATAAACCATATAATTGCTATAAAGCCCTGGTAACTACATGTGCAACCTCTTATCTATCATGCAATACCCGCCTAGATATCTACTGAAATGTCTGGTAACCCAATCCCAATCAACCAGGAGGATGGCACATAAAAAGCCCATAAGTGAACACAGGCGGTATTGACTAGTCTCCACATTCGCAGCATTTTATCATTGGCTTGTATATAACCAAAGTCCGGAATAACCACGGACTTTTTACCACTATTTAATGGGTAGGTCTCTAATTGGGTCGATCTTCTACTACCTAAGACTGGAGGCAAGTATAAGTCATTGTGACTGTGGCTGATACACTTTAAGCGTGGAAAATAAGGTAGGTGACTCCAAAGTATTATTGAGAGCTGCTTTATTTGCCATAGCTCTAGACCTAAAGCTGAATTCGAGTATTTTTCGTTTTTAAGAGGAATGACAGAGGTCACTGAATCATCATAATCCAAATAGGACTGTACAAATGGAGATAAATTATACATATTGGGTAAGACACTGAAATCAAATACCATGGGTGTATTTTCAGGTAGAAGCGCCACCAACAGTGATAGTTAACGTCTGTGGGTTACTCGCTGAGACCACTCCAGACTCGTTCTCACCGGCTGGATTGACGTCGTCATATGCAAAGGCATAACCTTTGCCATCGACCTCGTTTTCATGGACAAACTTGCTGTAGTAATTGGAGGGCGATGTAGTGTAGTATGAAGTAGCAGGGGGGCCAGGCTGGAAGTTGCCACCGGGAATCAAGAATGTACCTCGATTAAAAGCAGCACAAAGGCGAGGCACCACGGCGTCATGAGTTGGATTATCGCTCGTTTGAATAGCAAAAGGACCAGTATTGCAACCAAAGATATCTCCTGCTGATGGTTTAGGATAGTCACGGTTATCACCATCACAGGTCAGAGAATCGCCACTGGATGAACAGGAGACATTGCCTGGTGAGCTCTGCGTGTCGATAATGATTGAACCATTGCCTCCACTGGAGCCTGTGTTACTTCCACTGTAAGTGGAATAAACCGTGTCTATATAGCTGGTGAAGTAGTCTGAGAAGGCATCAGAGTTGCCGTTCTGGATGTATTGGTATGGAGACATCACGCGAAGATAGTTGGAGCTGTTATCACCCATACACAGATTACCCCAAGGATATGCATCGGCTGAGCTTTGCGATACAAGCTTGGTACAGATGGTGGACACAGCATCCGGCTGGAGACCCAGGGCGGCTTGTACGGATCCGTTAGTAGTGACCAGTGACATGCCTAGGATCAACCCAACAAAATCGACGTAGCTGATATTGGCGTAGAGACCTCCATCTGCTGTGTAAGTCAGTTCGACGAAGCCCCAGTTCACTCCCGAGTTAGGATCAACAGCATTGACGGCCGACGGTTCAACTAGCACCGTGCCGCTATTAGGATCGTTCATAACGAAAAATTGAAGATTGCCAACGGCCAAATATATGCGTCCAGAAGAAATGTAATCCGGTAGAGTCAGATTGGTGGTGCTTCCTTGTGCCCCAAGAGGAATGGCAACATTAGCTGAAATGGGGGATGGTTCATTCGATGTCCCAGGAGGAGGATAGTAGAATGAACCATCAGATGCGAGCATGACAACATTGTTGCTGCTGTCGCGGCCAGTGACATATACATTTATCTGATTGTCACTAGCACCGGCGAGATTGTTCACGATGGCTAGAGGAAGCTGAGCACCAGATGTAGGTTTTGAAGCTGTGCCATTCCCATCACTGCTGCCAATAAATGTGCCGTTAAGACCATTTAACTCATCAACGACGATATCTTGGGCACCTCCAGGATGAACCTTCATTGGGCCTGCCAACCCTTGACCGAATATCATGGCGGCCAGCGTCCATGTCCATGTAGAGAATGGCAACATGGTTGATCTAACTTATCAGCAAGGACTGTACAAGCGATCGTTGTAATAGAAAGACGATGATGGAAGAATAAGTGACTTCAAACGAAAGAAGACGACAAAAGAATGACTGGAGTTCTAGAGAAAAGAAATCAAGAACAAAAGGAATGCAAACGAGGGTCACTTGGTTATATATCCCATCTACATCTGCTTTCCGTTAGTCATAGCTCATTTGACTTTGCCTATCGGAGGGAGAATAAATAGCTGTGCTCATTCAACCCCGTAGCCGAGAAATATATGGTAGATATACCCACTATCCATGTTACCTGAGTTACAAAAGACATGGCTATTGCCATGTGAATGGGTACCGGTGCTACGGACGTCCTAAAAGCTTCTAGAACTATCTTCTAGAGCTCATATTAGTGGTTGAGAGAATATTAATTTGGGGTTAAACATCGGAACTACGTCCGGAAATCTCTGATTCCATGCTGCCAGTAATATCTTACATAGAAGGGATGTAGTTGGGAATCGGTTTTTTCCAGAATAAGATCCATGTTCAGACAAATTATATGGGTCGTCAGCGAGGTTTAGCAAATCAATGCAAAGTAAAAAGGGCGCCACCCTTAACTTTCTGAGGGAAAACTGTGACGCTTTGATAAGAAGCAATTAACCGAAGAAATCCCTTGCCTATTGTTTTCTGTGGGCATAAGTAAATGGCGCTCGGTTCTACCTAGTCATGAGCCACGAAGGTAAGCATGGATTAGTGTTTGTATGGCTCTAGTTCTAAATAATCTAATTTGGTTACCCTATCATTGCCACATATCACTATGGAGGCGGAGCTGCAAGACGCCACAAGCATGGGCTCGCGAGGTTAAGCCGATTTGTGGCTATCTTCCAGCACCCTGGCAAGCTCAACGCCACGCGGTAATTACTCTAATGTAGAAAGGGAGAATTTGAATCAAAAAGAAGGAAATAGAACATATAAAGAATAGGACAGCCACAGATGTAGTTTGCAGCGACCAAAACGCCGACCAAAACGGCGAGTCTGTAAGATGGCAACGACCCCGGATTTTCCTACGGAAATCCACTCGAAGCGTTTAGGCCATCTCTGTTGGCGAACTACTTGAACTCTATAACTAAAATTAATTACCTGGCAAAAAGTGATGGCAATAGCAACAGCCTGATGAGTGAGAAACAAGACACCCGAAAATTATCTCTCGGACTACCTAGCTCAGTAAAGCTGCTGGTCCATCTTGGTTAGTTCATCCTAATCACCAATTTGACTATATACCAGCTTTTTAAGCAATTTAGACCTTATTTATATGGAACTGCTCAATCCAATTCGTAGAAACAATAACAAGAGTCCTGGTATGATTGCTATCGCTTGTTTATGTGAAAAGTAAAAGTAGGACGCCAACTTACCTCACGATATTAACTTTACGAGAGATTTCGCTTGGGTTTTCTTTTCTCTCTTTTTGGAAACTTTACAAATTAGTGGATACAGTTATATGCAGCCTATAATATCTTCTAGCTAAAAATTAGATTGTTCGCTCCGTAGCTTGTGCTACAGCTTGCGCCCGGGTAAACCACAAGCTAACTATGATTGAATGGTCGCAAAATAACTTCACAGCCAGCCTAATGAACTAATGCGCTAAATACCGGTCGAAACCTAGCTGCCTAGGAGATGCATAAGTAGCGCCGGGGGCTGTGTCAGGCTGTGATGAGTTGGCGCCGATTCTCATAGCCCCAACCACCGCGCGATTTTCGATGAGGCTCATCCACGAGTCCGCCTAACGAGATTTAAAGTACAGTAGGTCCTCGTCTCTTCGACCCGTAGTTATTTGTATGCGTAGCTTCGAGTCTACCTATATATATATATACATATATATACGAAAACCCTATCAAATTGAATGTAGAAGAAAATGAACCATATTATTCGCGCTCAGACAGTTCCCAGCAGCGGCTTCGTTGGAAGTAGAGCCACCACACCCACCCAGGACGCTGAGCTGGATGTGCAATCTTATGAAGAAGATGGTACGGCTTTGTCTATTAACTTAATTCAAATGGCACTTTTTTACTATGCAGTGGATGGCATCTTACTACTTTACAGGCCACAGGCAATTCCATGCACGTACAGGCACCTTGACCGAAGCAATTAGAATCTACGTTCGTCATTTTTCCGATTCCTGGCTGGGTAACTAACTAATAATATACAAAAGCGCAAAAACAAGCCGCGACGAATGATCGTGTTTGTCACATTTCTTTCCGAGTCTTTTTCCACATTCAAGCTAATATGTATTTACTAGATTCGCCAAAAGTGGTACCGAAAATTGTGCCGAAAATGGTGCCTTTCAGCACCAACACTATCCATTCTTTCCTCCGCGATTCAAGTCGGTTATAAATGATGACCTCAATGGTACATTTGGTATTTATCGTTATGAAGATACCATTACTGGTACTAACGAGACTAGCTACGGTGGGTTGTAAACGAAAAGTCCGTTATAAAAAAAAACAAAGTTTAATTAAGTTCACTAGATTCGTGGAGCACATTCAAGATCAAACACACTTATCAGGGTAAAGATAGCCTCTTCCCTGACTACCACTGGTCGCAAATATCTGTGTTGGTTAGGCAATTCCAAGGTCAGCAGTTTGTGTTGTTTGTAAACTGCCCACCGTCGGTCTCGGAACAGATAATGGAGAGTGTTTACTATGGAGCTCATGGGTTCAAAAATCTTGAGAACCCATATTTGTGGCATGTATCCTTGGCAGAAGAACTAGAAGATGTTTACGACAAAGCTGTCTGGAAGGTGCGAGATCTTGTTCGTGGTCGGGAAAAGGTCGGTTATATTATTCGTCTAACCCTTCACTATATTATTTTGCTGTTAGTTTAATTTTCAAAAATACTAATCAAACCAGGAACGAGATAAACCCGTGACCAAAGCAGGAACGGCCATTAGCGTTTCGGAGAGCGATAATAGAAAGAACGGCATATCATTCTATACGCCAGATTTTCCTCGTCTCAGGGAGATTGCTCGTCATTTGATTCACATAAATGAGACATTCGAAGTTGCCATTGACACGCTAGAAAGTATGAGATATCACCATGCTCAATTTTTCACCGAGAGCCAGAATACCAGGAAGCTTAGCACTGGCTCTGCCACTGACAATTCTCCTGCCCAACAGCCTGCAGCAGAATGGCATAAGATATACTCCCTTATTCAAGAGCGGATGTACCTCGCAACAAAAAGAATCAAAGCTATCAAAGCAAGGGCATCGACTCTAAGCGAAAGACTGTCTAACGAAGCAGACCTCGTATGTTTATTGTATTCTTCTATAATCATGAACTGGAAGACAAGCTACTAACAAACTGTAGTACAATCACCAAATAACAATGGTAATTGCTGATACAACCCGTCGTGATAATGCGACGGTGAAAGCACTGACTTTAGTGGGTGTTTTTTATCTACCGGGCACATTTATTTCCGGGATTTTTGGATCCAATTTCTTCAATTATACTCCTGGAAGTAGCACCGGCCGCGACTGGAATATGTCAGACAAGTTTTGGGTATACTGGGTAGTAACAATCCCACTTACACTGATGACACTATATGGATGGGCAAAGTTAGATGATCTTGTCAGAATATGCAGTGACATGCTAGATTGGGCAAGCCAGCTAACTCCTTTTCACCGGCCTCATTTACCTCATTTCTCGTTTCCGTCTAGAGGAAAGAACCCCGAAATTGAAATTCATGAGTCTAAGGTTTGACTTACTTCCAGATCAATTGGTGTTTTATTATTCTCTATATACAGGTTAAGTGAAGATTGCTCTAAATATTTCATTTATAGGACATCTGGATTATCATATTTTTATGAACTTTGTAAACTCATATATTTTATCTATTTTGATCTAAATTGTGGAATGTCACTATAGAATGTTTTCATTTTCACTTTTCTCTGTTTTCCATCTTTTCTAGCTCGGCCTCCAGCTCAAACAGTTCACGAAGCGTTTCCATAAACGTATCTCCATCCGTTTCATTAAAAGGAAGCAACGGTCTTCGTGGTGCTACTCCATATCCATGTATTTTATTTAAAGCGTATTCTATGTGAAATCAGAAATGGTTTAAATAAAAACGAGGGATTAGAAATAAAGAAAGTGGGCGAGGCGACTAACTCATTGCACGAATTCCACCAGGTACTGCGGCGACATCTGCCTTGGACAGAATCGCCTGTAATTTCGAAGCCTCTTCTGACTTTTCTTTAGTCAATGATGACGTATTGAGCAAATTCCATAGCCTCATTGATGCTAGCGGTGCAAAATTGGGAATACCGCTAACTGTCCCATGTCCACCACACTGCATCCAAGGTGTCAAATCGGCGATAAGGCCATCTAAAAGCAAGAAAGGGAAAGGTCGGCTGCTATTTACTGATAGACTTTCCTTTATTCTAGCGTTAAGACGGAGGAGTTTCCCGATGCTTCCGCCACATCTAAAGACAAGTCGTCAGCACTGGTTATCTACAATGTTGAGATACCAACGTTAGTTTGACACCGCATAAATTTGGTGCCCGGTCCATTATTTCACTTATCACAGCAGAAGGCATATCTTGTCCTCCAGCGTTGGCTGGGAAATTGTAAAGCAAGAGTGGTATCTAATTTCCGTCAGTCGTCACTTTTCTTTTGGTAAAGAATAGCCTGAAATTGTATCATGAAACTTACTGGTGATGCTTCACAGATATCGACGTAATATTGAACAACTTGATTGGCATCGGTGTTGAGGCTGGCGGCGTAATATGCTGGTAGGATAACCATCCCAGCGTCCCTGCTGGCCCGTGAGCGAACATAATGACAAGAAGAATATAGGAAATATTTACGCCCCGGCATCCGATGCTGCTTTTGCTAAGGCAATTGTTTCTCGGGTGCTTAAGCCTCCTACACCAGCCACAATAGGGGTTAATTTGAGACCTGCTTCATCTAGAGTTGCCCTGATGAATCGGATTAAGGCTGTTCTTTCGTCAAAGCTCTTTGATAATTTAGTCCGATATACAATATATAAGGTAGTGGAATATAATTACTCACCAAATGAACTGCCTCTCCCAGAGACCCCGCGCATACAGGTACTGCATGGAGGTTAGTATTGAAATTAGATTGCGTTTTTAACCACCCACTCATTCCCTTGGTCGCTAGCTCTATGCAAAATGTCAATAAATCTTCAAAAATGGTCCGTTAACATAGATAAATAGGGAAACTCACTGAGAAGGTGTTTCTTGTAGCTGACATAGTCAAGTTCTTGATGGTCATCGAAGAACGTAGGCAAAGGCGCGTAGACCCCTGGTTTCAGTGCTCGTTTCATGCTGCAAGACGCAATTGCAACTTTCTATTTTATCTTAGAATGAGATCAATCATCGATACCCAGATTTGATATGTTTTGAAACAAATTTATTTTATCTCAAAAAATGGCTATGCTGTGTAACTACGTAGTCGGCAGCGTCGGTGTGCCATCCGCAGTTTTTAGGGCATTGATAAGAACAGCGGTAACTTGCCGATGGACCCGCATAGTTATCATGGGCCAGCAACGCCAAACTGCTGTTATCACGAAGGCAGACCCGCAGTCCATATCTGAGTTTATCGCGACTGTATTAGTTTAGTTGTCGCGCTTGGACAGTCTCTCATATACTACTAATGAAGTTACAAGATTAAATAGAAACTCACCACCCCCATCGGCGGAGTTGCTTACACGAGGGAATCAGCCTGTTGGTATAATATTGGGAACCAATCATGTTTCACGAAGAGGTAAGCAAGATGGAACTCATCATAAGACAATTTTTCGTAGATTTTCAGTGTCTAATTATACGAAATCTCTTAGAAAAAGGTAGTGGATGGCATTAATACCGACGAAACGCCAGTTTCTACCGGTAGTGTTGAGGAAAGCCGTGAGATCCTACTACAGAATGGCGATGGTCTGAAACGACAACTGAAGGTATATATCATCCCATCTTTTATCATAATAATGTTTGTTGATAGTGATTGTGTAGCCTCGGCATATGTGAGTCTATAAAAGATGCAATTCGATATTACTTACCCTCATGCACGGTCTAATCAATATTCCAGACAAATGATTGCAATTGGAGGTGTTATTGTTAGTTACTCTGTTCCGGTGTATCCAAAATTATCCTCTAATCATAAACTATAGGGTACTGGTCTGTTCTTAGGCACCGCAAGCGATTTGGAAAATGGTGGCCCAGCAGGTCTGCTTATCAGCTACTGTGTTATGGCATCCTTGTTATACTCGGTCATGGTACGCTTTGCTTTCTACCTTTGGGTCATACAGAACGTCGAATAGCTGATATTTAATGTAGATTGCATTGGGTGAGATGGTATCCCAGTTTCCGATGCCCGGTGGGCAATTCGCTCTCGCCGGTCGATTTGTTTCTCCTGAGCTTGGTTTTGCAATGGGTGTCTTGTATTGGTATAAGTCAGTTTTCTCCGACACCCACAGGCTTACTTTTTATTAACCTCATTATTAGTTATATTAGTAAGTTTTTTATTTTATCGACAGTGAACGTGAAAGTTGACATGTACAGTCGTTCTTCCCGCCGAGATCTCAGCTGCGGCTGTACTTATCACATATTGGACGCCCGCTGGGCAGGCTGACTCAACTTGTACTACGGGAATCTGCAATAATGCAATGTGGGTCGGCTTGATGCTCATTGTAGTGGTAAGTTTTGTCTCTGCATACTTTCAGCAGATCTCAACTAATTCAGCTTCTAGTGGGCAATCAATTTTGCGGGCACGCGTGTTTTTGGTGAGATGGAATTTTGGTTCTGTTCTATCAAAGTATTATGCCCTCACTCAATTAAAATCATTCCTTAGTTACAGTCTCTAACGATACATTACCTGTAGGTTATCACCATCATTGGCCTCATTATCACTGGCGTTATTATCAGTGCAGGAGGTGGTCCTAATCACACTGCGATCGGGTTCAAATACTGGAGTGAAACTGGAGGATTTGTTCAATATTCAGGGATTGGTAAGCCTACGGTTCTATATATACCCGATAGTGTTAAGATCTGACCAAAAGTTACTTCTCTAGCTGGTGCCAAGGGCCGCTTTCTTGGATTCTTCAGCGGTATGGCAGCTCATTGACTACATTCTATCATGTTCGTGTGCTGATAGCAGAACACTTCAGTTCTTATTGACGCCGCATTTGCATTCATTGGTACCGAAATCACTGCCATTGCAGCTGCCGAAACTGCCAGTGTATGAATCCATTTCTCCAAAAACGTTATTGATCTAGATATTGACTTGTAAATTCGGTAGCCACGAAAGAATGTACCCCGTGCCATTAAGAGTGTCTGGATCAGGCTTGTCTTGTGTGAGTATTCATTTTGCCGCGAGGGTTGCAATTTGAGCTAATTTCTGCTCTGTATAGTCTACGTTTGCAGTGCTTTCCTTGTAAGACTTGGCCTTCAGTACCTAGGCCACAAAATAAGGATTATTAACTCACAATTTTTACAGATCGGTCTTCTTGTCTCTCCATCGGATCCCTCTCTCAACATTAGTTCCACTGCAGCCAAGAGTCCTTTTGTTATTGCAATCAAGGTTCGTGATGTTGAAATGTTCTCTTTCCTCAGATGTATTAATGCGGGAACGTAGAATGCGGGAATACCTGTTTTACCATCAATAATCAACGCCGCCCTTCTAACTAGTGCGTGGTCAGCCGGATGTGCTGATCTCTTCGTTTCATCACGGACTCTTTACGGGCTTGCTGCTCGAGGGCATGCACCAAAGATCTTCTTGAAAACCAGGAAGTCTGATGGCATGCCATGGCTAAGCGTTATTTTCTGTGGAGCCTTCTCGCTACTCTCGTTCATGGCCGCCTCCAAAGGCGAGGCAGGGACGGTTTTCGGTTACTGTATGAATATTATCACCTTCAATATCACTGTTGTGATGTGCTCTTTTTTCTTTTACTAAATACATCTAGTTTCGAACATGACGGCTATGTGCGGAATGATCTCTTGGACCGGAATTTTGTGGACAAGTATCCGATGGCACAAGGGCCTTAAAGCTAACGGCATCGATCGAAAGACGCTATCCTACCAAGCCCCATTCCAGCCGTATCTCTCATACTGTAAGTCGCAGAACATTATCCAATAGCAACACCTTACTGATTATTTCTGTAGATGGCATGTTTGTCTGTATTATGGTGATTATTTTTGGTGGATTCGGCACCTTCAGTAAGTTTGCATGAGAAAAGAGACTTATCAGTTCGGACAAGAACTGACAGCTAATTTCATTACTTTTCTATTAGTCCACAAGTTTAATGCCTCTGCTTTTGTCACAACCTATTTCCCTATTCCTCTCTTTGCGGTCCTTTTCTTCGGATACAAGACCTGGAACAAATCGAAGATAGTCAACTATGCAGACATGGACTTTGTCACTGGGTCATCAGAGGATATTCCCGAGGAGGTAAGTGCTCTCTGTGATTTGCTTCTACTCTCAGTATCTGTCAGAAATACCAGACTGACTGTTGTGGTGCAGCCGACCTCACAGAGTAAATGGAAAAAAATCATGGCAAGGGTTTAATTATTTGCAAGACTACATGTAGATCTAGAACATGTTCAATCTTGTACTGGATTTAGTTGAGTGCTTTTGTAACTTCAATGTTTGTATATATTAGATTATCTACGACGGTAATTGTGTTAATGAATATTGAATGATAGCATGTAATATCAATGGTCTACTACACCAGAAATAAGTCAACGTACCGGCCTATTCCAAGTATCAACGGTGTTGCATAATTCGCACGTGGCAACGATCAGGACTGAGCATTTCCTTATCGTTGCGCTTTGTCCGCAGTAATTTCATCGTTGGGTGAGAAGGCACGGTTGGTGGGTCGGCATCTCACCGAACATCGGCGCACTAGCCGTCTTAGCCGCGTCTACAACGGTTGGAAGCAACAACCAATGAATTAATTGATCGTGAATATTCTTTAATCATTTAATAATAAGGGATATGGAGCATTTTAACATTGCATGTAGGGACTCATGTAAAATTATGCAGTTCATTCTAGATGAGATAGAATATCTACTTCGATGTTATAAATATTGATATATGTTCATTACGAGTCTACGAGGGACAATAGGTATAACATTGAATAATTAGACGCCAATCTCTGATTATATTATATTGAAGATAATTTTGCACTTCAACTCTTCGCGAATTACTGGAAATGACTATGTCTTCGATTGTATAAACTTACCAGCATACTCGATTGAATCTATATGCACAAAGTGTTATTGATTAAGGTGGATTACTCATGCTATTGGGTTGACAAGCCTCTCGATAATTCATATTATAGCCTAGTTAGGGCTTGCCACGATCCACCCGTCTCAAACCAATCAGCGCCCATTATGTTATCATTGCCTGATAAAGCTGTTCCCCAAATACCTTCCAATGTTGTTCGTCGACGCATGTTTGGAGCAGTCCAAATTCTCTCTAGGATGACTATGTCGGAAAAAAGAGCATCGCCAACACTGTATTAACCATTTCGTTCAAATTACAAGGACGCAAACTAACGAATGACTATAGCTGTGACGAGGATCAACCTCCCTCCAAAGCTCGCCGTATTGCGCGGGCCTGCTTGCAAGTCTGTCTAACCATGACTCTGGAAATTATAAGATCCAAACCATAACTGATCGCATATTAATAGTGTCGTGCGAGAAAACAGCGTTGCACAACGTCCTCAGAGGCAGTCAGTCTGCAGGCACCGTGTAAACGATGCCGTAAGCATGGCCTCACTTGCTCGTTTCAGACGGATAGAATCATCGGGCCAGAAGAGAGCCCTGGGCCATCACGTATGGCACAATTGGTTGTGGAGTTAAATCAACGGTGAGGGCATAAAATCATACTAGTCCTTAGCTCAACTACTGATAGCCATCTAGCGTTAACCAACATGAGGCGCGCATATTGGAACTGGAGAAACAGTCGCGAGGAATTCATCATCAAGAGTCAAGGTATCAATTACACTAAACATGCTAGCTGCATAGATTTAATACTAAAATTTTCTGCAAGCATGGCGCTTAGTTATGAAACAGCTTCGCCAAATGAGGTGCAAAACATACACAAAGAGAAAGGCCATCGCAATGGGGTCTCGCCAGGCCAAACTATTGTATCGCATTCCCCCGGCTTCAGCATGGATGGAATTGACTTGGGGCCTCCAATTGCTACATTGAGGTCTCTAGGCGCATTGTCAAAGGATGAACCAAATTCCAACTCAAATTTACAGACGGCGCGAACAAAACAAGCACCGTATAACAGTATTTATGATCCGGTGTCTCGGGGAGTGCTGACAATTCACGAGGCGCAACGCGCAATTTCAATGTATGTATCTTGCTCTACAAGTCTTATTAAAAATTCCAAGTTTCAAACTAGGACTTACAAGCCTTCAGCTTTTTCGATAATTGTCATTTAATGGCCCCTGTACTGAACGAAAGTCTGCGTGCTTCCTGGCATGGTCTTCGTCTCTCCGCCCCAATGCTATTTCTAGCAATAATTTCAGTTGGGACGAGGTTTTGGAATGCTGGCTATGAAGAGTAAGTCAATAAATGTTGTTTTAGCAAGCTAGCGCTTATGATGGTTACTTTGAACGAAGATACAGAGCTGGTCATAGTGTCCATCCCCGATTTTCTGAACTCACCTCTCTGCTCGACCAAGCCGTTTCACGTCTTCTTCTCCGCCCCAACCCGTCCGATGTCACCCTTAATTCTATACGAATGCTTCTTTTATATGCACAATGGATGCCCTGCAATTCGGACGACGAAGACGATCCATCGCCTAAAACCACAGCCGCAATGCCTAAAGGGCTCAAGAGCCGATACAACGAGATAAGCGCCTGGGCCGTTCTCGGACTAGCCCTTCGATACGCATTATTTCTTGGTCTTGATAAATCGGCTGTAGCCCCTTTTCAAGGCCCTGTCAAGCCTGTCTCTGACGAAGACATTTCTTGTCTTCGTGTTTGGTACAACTTATTGACTTGTGACTTTAACCTCATGCTTACATCCGGTCTACCTGCGTCACTTGATCCGTCATTATCTGCACAGGTAGCTAGGAGATTTAGCTCTAGTCGGCATACACAGCAACCAGGAGATCTTCGCGTCGCAGGTCTCGTTGAGCTGGTAGCAGTCGTCCATCGTGCCATGCGAAGTTGTGGTGATGTATCGGGGCGGCAGCTAGACTCATATTGTTTGCGAAAGTTGAATACTGAGCTAGAGGATTGGGAAAGGTGGGTAACGTATAATATTCTTTAAAACAATGATGTGCTAAGGAATAAACTGTAGAACTTGGCTTGTCCGCCTACGTAGGTCAATATACAATTACCACAGAATGAGTTGAATTAACATGGAATGCAGGGCATACCGAATCGCAACACAATCAACTTCCATTCAACTCTGTAAGGGTATGATATGATACCTGTATATGTGGCAGCTTAATATGAAAGGCTGTATTAGACATGCTAATATCTTCACAGTGGTACCGTCTGTCCCTCAACAGTGCTAGATTAGGCCCATTGCTATCCTCAATCTGTCAATCTTCTCAGCAGCCACTGCAGGTCTCATTACTCCACTCCTTTGAGATCAGCCTAACATCTGCAGCACAAATCCTAATTTCTTTATCAATTGACGGAGCAGAATCTGTATGGAGGATTGAATCTCAAAACAGAGCAACCTTTCCTGAAGGGCCATTCCAAGTAGACCGCGCTGCTGTGGGCCGTTTACACTACGCCGTTGATTCAGCGTGGATATCGCATACATTTGCCGTTACATTTCTAGTACTTTGCTACATTAGAGGGGCAGTAGATGGTAAGTGGGAAGTCTCCATGCACTACCTGATTATGTTCTTTCTTTTTGATCATTTATTCTTGTTCGCTCATAAATCAACTAACTCGAATTCTGAAAGAAAATCTCCAAATTCGCAGTCTCAACCCAAATTCACCTATCAATTCGACATTAATCCCACCCCACTCAAGCTCTATAATTGCTCGTCTTCTTCGCCTTGCGCTAGAAATTTTTGATGGTGTTTGTCCAACAGCAACATTCCATCCGGCACGCGACTTCCAAGCCATTGTCCACGACGCCACATCTCTTGTACTCGCTCCAGCCAATTTCGATATCCTAGAGGGACAGGAGCCAGATGAGCTGGCTCTGCAGTCTTTACTTGATTTGATGAATGATGCTGGCTTGGAATGGCCGGGGAATATACTGGAGACATCTGGAGACTTTACCAGTGGGTTCGAACCTGGAGCGATGTTCTAAACGCGAAAATTGGCCATATAGTGAAACTCAATGAGGAGAAATACGACAACCCTAATAGTCAAAGCTAATCGTTGTAAAAAGAATTCTGAGTTATAGCCGCGAAGCTTATTGACAAGGCGAGGTATGGATGTAATCATATAACTTAGAGCTTAGCTGAACGCCTCGCTTTGAATCGACGTACCCTATTTCGACAACCTGTGAGCAAGTTGTTACACATATCACAGGACTTTGTTAAAGAAGCTCACATTTCCTCACCAGCAATTTCGAACAACACATCTTGGGCGCCGTTCCACAAGACCAACTCCCCCAGCGACCTCAAATTCTCTTTTCCGTCTGTTATCGTCAAGAAATGATTTGCTGCCAACGGTCCCATCTTGCTAGCAAATGCGACACCGCCATAACAAAACAAGATCTCTGTCTCCGAAATACCCCCTGGATATAACAGTATATCGCCTGATCCTGGATGTGCAGTGTGGTTCTCGAATGAGACACCGAAATCCGTCTCGCCGAGTGGAATCCATAACCCTTCACCACTCCATCGCACATGGATGAGTTTTTGTCGATACGGAAGTAAGGTACGGAACAACGATACAGTTTTTGGAGCGGCGGAGGACTCGAGGGTTGCGAGGAATTGATATGGTCCAGCAGTGATGAGGATGGTATTGTTTTCGGTCATGGTGAAAATATTTAGTATAGGGAAGATGCGCCGAAGTTGTAGAACTGGCTTGGCTTTCAAAGAAGTTCTTCTATCGTGGAGGTTGTGCAACTCTCCACTTACGACTCCTCCCAGCACCTTTTGTCCAGATAGCTTTGAATGTAATATGTCAACGCCGGATAAAGATGGCGGTCAAGAGAATGGATCGAATTTTATTTGCTACCTTGAAGTTTCTGTAAGAGAACTAACAGAACCACTTAACCCTCGAAGGTTTAACTACCTTTTTGTGCGAATTGTAATGCACGTATCAAATGCTATCATTTGATCAAGTTCACGAGTATTCGTTTTGGTTTTAGAAAGCTGAAAAATTCCCCCTACGTTTATTATTGATCAATGTTGTGTTTTAATTAATAATCGCGCAGCAGAATTAGAACTGGCCGTTATCTCCATTGACGGCGTGTCGGGTATATCGGCCTCGGGCCGCACGGCGACTATGCCGCCACGAAACCGTTGACCAACATCATATTAGATATGTTATGTTAGATATTAGATATTAGATATGAAAGGGCTTGGTGGCACCTCTTATTTGATTTAACGCCACCGTTATCTAGAAAAATCACAGTTGGAATGATCTCGCCATGTCCCTTTCTCATATCCACATTCGTACATATGAAAACACATGTCCTTCACAAACGGACAAACATAGTGTTATCCAAGACGGCAATCTATCTGTCACTCCTGTTCTTCAAAGTGAAGACTCGGCATTTGGTGCAGAGGTAACAGGGGTCGATTGGAGCAGGCCAATCCCAGAAGAAACTGTGGCGCAGGTAGGAAGCAGCCACCCAGGTACAAACTTTATATATAGGGGACAAGGCCTTTGACGATTACTTTCTACAGTTAGTTGCATTACAGAACAAATATGCCGTGTTGATATTTCGTAATACTGGACTGGATAATTCCCGTCACATTGCTTTCTCGCAACAGCTGGGCGAGAAGCTTGAGATCAATCCATTCTTTTATGGGCGGGAGAATGATCGGTTGAAAGAGGCGCTGCTATTTGATGTCGGAAAGTATGACAATGAGCTAGATGGGATCGTTTTCATTGAGAGGCTGATCATGATATCAACAGTATCCAGTTGGACGGATCATTAGTGGAACGAGATAGTCGGAGATGGCATCACAGTTTGGGAAATGCATTGTGGCATACAGTAAGAATACTAAGCTGAATATCTCATGCCATGAATTATTAGATTGACGTTTCAAACAGGATTCATCTTACCACCAACAACGATCCAAATACTCCATTCTTCTATCTCATGGGAACCCCGTGAAAGGGGGATCGTGGACACATTTCGCCGATATGCGACGAGCCTACGCTGATCTACCCCAGGAAAAAAAGAGTGAACTGGAGAATCTTATCGTCGAGCATGAGTAAGAGGGTTTAAGGTCTTTGGAAGTGAAGGTTGACTAATGAAATTTATTGCTAAGTCTATGGCACTCGAGAAAACTAGCCTCACCAATTGTGTATGGAAACCCCTTGCCACACGAATTAGCGGCAAAGCCACCCGCATATCACCGCCTTGTACAGACCGCACCTGATGGGCGTAAAACGCTGTATCTTGCCGCTCATGCAAAGGTGATTCTCGGTTACTCGTTTGAGGAGAGCCAGAAACTCATTTGGGAGTTGATTGATCATTGTACTCAGCCAAAGGTAAATTACGGAATTTCTCCAATGACGGTATTGAGAATAGCTACTTACTTCTTCGCTCTAAAATATAGTATGTTTTCAGTATGGAGTGGTTATTTGGTGGAGATATGGTATGGTGGGATAATAGGTAATACCCCTCTGCCAAATTGTTCGATTCACATCCATGACTAAGAGACCGCCTTTTAACGATCCTTTCTTGATAGACAATCTATGCACCGTGCAAACCCGTATACTGAAAGCATGACGGCAAGAGATGTGCGTCGATCGACCATTATCGATGACGGCCCATTGGCTTATGGGGTTACACTGGAAGAGAAGCCGGCAGTTGGATGGAAGCCACAAACCATGGCGGCGACATAGAGCCGGAAACCAGTTTGTGTCATCTAGAGAGACTTGTATAAAAGTCGCCGGATCAGAATCATGCATTGATAACGACTTAGCGTAGTTAGGGGACTAATGTAACGCCAGCCAATGGATCGAATACGTAAATTATGTGTACGTTACTCGAGACCCGTAGCTGCCCGACTTCCAATTAAAAAATGGTTCAGTTGCTCTCCATGTTAGGTGCTAGTCCGGATAGAGACTTAATCCGAAGCGATATCATGAAGACCATCGGGGTGGGGCAGCCCGGATATAGACTAGAAAAAGAAAAGAATGAGGGGGATTCTAGACCACACAACTGGGCGAGAATTAAAAGGCGGAGATTTGCCCTGCAAGCTTGTCGCTTTGACTTTGGCGGGATGACACTATGGCTGGCGTTGGCTGCGGCATTAGTCCATTTCCGGATGGAATCATTTGGTGATCCCCACATTATCACATGTCGGACGAAGCATCTATGACAAGGTTTCTTATCAATATGCCGAAATCTGGATAACCCTTGCGAGTGGCCACTGGTGGCAGGATTTACAAATTTACGCTCTGATATCTTAGTTACAAGAGGCATTTGACATGTGTTGGCCCGTCAATGCCGCGGTGGTCAGTAAAATTAGTAAATGTACAACCGAAGCATGTCATTGAAGAAAAGTTTATAGCTATCAATCACCAAACCCAACAATGCACCATCATATTGAGCGCCATAAGATCAAATCAAAGGGGAAAAGTAACTCCATGGCCAGTCTGGCTTTAACACAGAGAAAAGGCCGCAAACCGTGTAATATGTAAAATGCACTTAGATAGCCAACCAAGATAATTCTAGGACCTCTAAAACAAAAGAAAAGGGAATTGATGAGGGCGAATTAACTCATTGTTGAGCTACTGGAGCGACTGCGGCCAACTGCAGTGCATCCTTAACCTTTTGCTGCTTGTCCTCATTCTCTTTTGCTATGATATCCTTGTAGGCGGCTTCGCGTGCTTCTTTCATCGCAATTTGGCGGATTTGCTCGTCTTTGGGTAACTCGTCAAAGTTCTTCACATTCTCATCCCACACTCGTATGCAGTCAGTGTTCCAGTTGCATCCCTCTACCTCACCATACATTGGGTGGCTGTATCGTGGGTGGGCGGTAGGCCACATGGAAGCGTGATAGTGGTGTTTGACCAACGCAGTGCGTGCGTCGTGATTTCCCGAATCTGAGTGACCCTGCCCGGCAGCAAAAGCTTCGACAGTCAAAACAAGAATGCCACCGACGACTTTGGATTCAGCTAAGTTGTGGAAAGACTCCCAGGTCACAGTCCGGCCGCTGCGCGCGCTCATCTCGGCCAACACAGCCTCAGTAAAAGCAGATGGACCTGTACCACTGATAACCTCGTCAAAGTCTAGTTGAATGTTGGCAATTGACACCCCCTGTTTGCGGGATATGTCATCGAGCCATTGAAGGATTCCGTTTATCAGCCTCATCATGACTGGTAATCCTGGTTTTGCCATGAATGTCCATTGGCAGAACGAGCGTGATTTCGGCCCAAGAATCGGATGATCGTACCATTCGGGCTCGTCAATCTCAACACCGATCACCAGGTCAATGTCTTTTGCTTCGTAACGATCAGGGATAAAGCGGTCAATGGGGCGCAAGGCTTCCACATCAATGTCTGTGTAGACGCCCCCTTCAACGTACATAACCAGATAGCGCAATAGATCAGCCTTAATAATTCTCGCCGTGAGCGATCGATACACATTGACAATGTCAGGTCGATTCAGACCCGTTGGTCCAAAGTGTGTCTCGACGTAGTATAGATCGTTACCATCGGTTAGCACCTCATACCGGTGACCTGGATTCTTCTGGATCCATGTTCGTGCAACCGAAAGATCGCGCTCCTCAAATGCCAATGGATCAACTTTCCAAGTTTGCCAAACTTTGTGTGGGAATTCCCCTGTTGCTGCGGTTGTCTTATAAGAAAGGTTGTTCTCAATCCCATTCAACGATCCCGAGCCGGACAGATAGAAGATGAACAGAATACACGCGATGCACAAGGGGTACATCTTGCGTATCTGTTTCATCTTGGTGTCACCGCCGAGGACAACAGACATAGTTGCGGCGTCGACACTGAGACAATAGGGTGAGCAGAAGAGAAGAGTGATCAATTGTCTCACTGGGTATCATCGCAATCAAGAATTCAGACAAAAAAAAAGAAAGACTATAGCTACGTGACGAAGGATTGGGCGGGGTACACAGCCTAATGAGAAAACGCTAGCCAGGACCTTGCTAGATTAGACAAGAATTACCACCGATGTTATCATGGAGGGTCTTCCATTTGCGCGGTAAATAGGTGATAGTCAAGTGGAAAGGGATCGGCCGGTTACTTGCCTCCTAGCAGCAAGCCCTGGTGGTCAGTGACGGTACCAATCGCTGCTGTAGCGTCGAAAACCGAGGCCAATGCTTGCCAATGGCGGAGAAAGTTTGTGCAACCAATACAGCCATTTCTGATTTTACCCACTAGTTTGGAAAAAAAGTAATCTACGCTCCCTTTCCGAGTAGACTCTGGAGCTGTTGCTAAAACATAGTATCCACAGCTTCACGGCAGCATCGGGATTCGTCCCCAATTTTCCATCCCCACAGATTGGACCGGGTTGTCAGGGATGTCTGTCTCGTGCCCGGTGGAGACAGCATCGGAAATGAGATGCAGGATATTCCTGCATGCAGTGTGACGACGTCGACAGCCACGATGACACCGCTATTGACGTTTGCTCGAAGAGTTTATTCGCACCCGGCCCCATTGGGCTGGTTTCTTATAAAATTCCCTTCGCAATTCTATATTCGACGCGGGCGTTTCAAGTGAAATGACCGGCAGAATAGCGCTCGTCAACTTCGTCAATTAGGGAGCCTCCGCAATCGATTTGGCGAGAGTCGAGAGTGGTTGACTAGTGAGTGGTCCGGGGAAAAGCAGTGGAGAGTACTCCGTATGGAGAGCGTAATTTAGGTAATTAGTGGCCGAGAACGGCGGGCACCCCCGCCCGAACGGCTTCCATTTTGACCTTTTGGCTTCCTTACGACGGGTTTATTATTACACGGGGTGCATTTCGCCTCCAGCCAACACAGCCCATTGGCAATCTTACCGAGCCTCTGTCCCGAACATTGTCCTCGCTTGCATGTGACGGACAAGGCACCGCCGAATCACTCACTGTACCGCAACCGGCCGGATCCTGGACCACGACTCGGCCCAGCCGACTCAACGACTCAACGACTCAATGTAGAAAGCGACTTCACCTTGCCTGGCCTGCCATATTGTCTGGATGCGGCAGAGCCTAGTCGACCGTTGATCGGCAGTTGATAGTCGCTGTGTTGATCTCTTCTACTCTTCGGCCCCGAAATTTCCGAGTCTAGCACTGCCGAGCTACGCGTCTCGTCGACCTGTCACCCCGCCGATGTTGATGCCGATCGCTCGCTCCACTGCTGAGTTCCAATTGATCTAGTACTTACTTTACCCCAGCTGAGGTGTCCGAGACCCTCCTGATATCCGTCTTCATATTGTGCATGAGAAGAATTCTCACCACTACTTCTCCTTCGCCATCTGACATGGTTTTCAATCGCAATGCCGACTGGATTCAAAGGTATACTAGACAGTGAAAAGCTGTGGAAAGGCACTTCCCACACTGGTCCTGACCTGAAAGCCGCACTGTCGGCTCGTGCCCTTCGTGGTGTCACTACCTTCGTTCGACCGACTTACTGGGCTAGCAGTAGCACCAATGGCAAACAGCTCAGGCGGACGGCCTATCTAGACGGCTTGCGGGGATTTGCAGCTTTCATGGTCTACTGGCTGCATCATCAACTATGGGCTCATGAAGATCTTCAGATGAACCGCGCCTTTGAGAACGCCTTTGGCTGGGATGGTCATTACTATTTTGTTGCGCTACCAGGCGTCCGTACTTTCTTCTCCGGAGGCCATTTCGCCGTGACTGTTTTTTACGTTATTTCGGGATACGTGCTCTCTGCAAAGCCGCTGGCATTGATTCAGGCGGGCGAATACGTCAAACTGTCAGACAGCGTCGGATCGTCCCTCTTTCGTCGATGGTTGCGACTATTTTTGCCGGTAATCGGGACGACCTTTGTATTCATGAGCCTGCTACACATTTTCAACCTTCCCACCTCGGTGCTGGACAAGGCACCCACATACAGTGAAGAAGTGTCGAAATGGTATAAAGAGTTCAACGACTTCGCCTTTATATTTCGAAGCGGCGGCGAGCCATGGTTTACCTATCACTTCCATGCCTGGTCTATTCCAGTTGAATTTAGAGGCTCAATTATGATCTACGCATCTATCATCGCATTTTCACGGTGCACACGAGATGCACGACTTTTGTGCCAGCTCGGCTTGATAATATACTTTGTCTGGATTACAGACGGGTGGTTCTGCGGGTTGTTTTCATCAGGGATGCTTTTGTGCGATTTGGATTTGCTCGCAGCCAACGATAACCTACCGCGCTTCTTATCTAAGTTGCGTCCCTACAAACAGACTATATTCCACACCTTATTTATAGCGTCTATCTACCTCGGTGGTGTGCCCAGTAGCAACGCAGACGTCAATAACCTACGAGACTCCTACGGTTGGCAGTATTTATCGTACCTCAAACCGAAGGCTATGTGGGACTATAAGTGGTTTTACCTGACCTGGGCATCCACTTTTCTTGTGTCTTCCGTGCCACACATTTCTTGGCTCAAAGCCTTCTTCGAAACTCATTTCTGTCAATATCTTGGCCGCATATCCTTCGCCTTTTATCTTGTTCATGGGCCAGTGCTATGGCTTGTAGCTGACAGGTTGTATGCCAGTGTCGGCTGGACGAAGGAGTGGCACGGTAGCAACATACCTGGTTGGATCAATAAATTCCCATTGCCAAAGGGGGGTCCATTGGGCCTAGAGCCGAGCTTTCTCGCCATACATCTAATTGTGTTACCACTCACACTTTGGCTTGCTGAGGTTTTGACAAAGGTGTTTGACGACCCAAGCATAAGGATATCACAGTGGTTGTACAATAAAACACTCGCCGGGAGCGAGAAGTAGGCTTTCAATGTTACACTGGAGTTTTCAAATTTCCCATTTAATCGTACGGTATATCGATAGCTAGATAATATGGTGAAACATTCAGTAATTAACGTCATCAAGTTCCGGAAACAGTGACGAAGCCTCTAAAGTAGCATCATCTATTGTAACCCCGCAGCGGAAATAATGAGGCATGGGGTTGGCCACTGAGAGCCTGAGCAATTATTGGCTTTCGCGCGTCCCAATTCCGGCGCCCGGGAAATATTGTGGGGGCACCTATTGGGGGTTCATAATGGAGGGTGGTGCGGCCGATTCGATTATTACTAGTATCACCAATAAAATTCCTGTGTCGCACCTTCCACTCTCCAACTCTCACATGCAAATTTTTTGTGTATGCAGACTGCCAGCTCAAATTTCCGCGGAGTAGATGAACACTAAAGACACAAGAATTGGATAAAATACTTTTCATCGAATGTTGTCAAAACAACATCACTGCACACACTCACGAGTATGTTAATCAGAGGAGTCACCCGTGTATTCCCTCTGATTGCACTGGTAACGCTCGTTACCTTCTTCGCTTTTGCGAAGTTCAAGCGTAACTCACTTCTCAACTCGTGGACGTTTGGATATGGGGGTTTAGCCAAAGATGTGGTGACTCCCTTTATACATTCACCGGACCCATTAGAATCAGACCCAGACCGAGTTTGGGATAATGGCAACATCCATGATGGTTCTCGTTTAGATCTTGAGAAAATACCCTTGCCAGATTTGAGTTCGGTGCAGCCATCACCACAGTCCCAGCACCAGCCAGAATTATTGGGGTCAGAGTGGCAATCAACGCCAGATAACACTCACAATGAAATTTTCTCGGTCTCAACGCCTTCTAGGAAATATTTCGATATATTGTTCGGTGAACACGAAACACTCAACCCGAACATAATCCCTCACCCGTCATCGAACAATAAATGGATCATCGTTGCACAGCAGAAGAACCGGGATCTCCAAAATGGCAAAAAGTCACTCGTGAGCATACAACTTGTCTGTGACGCCGCCTTCGATACGTCCGATAAGAATGATGGTCAAAGTGCTTCCTCTTCCGCTTCCTTCACCGATAACAGCGGCGAGACTCTGGCATGTGTCACTCAGCCTACCATCCTGCCAATCTCCGCCACAAGCTCGGAAGACAGATGCCAGGGCCGCTGGTCGATGCTGGCTGCCAATATTGGCCCGCATGATGCCCGTGTATTCTACGGACCTGATATTCCATATACTATTTACGGGTCCAATTCGCAATATACGTGTTTTGGACAATGGATGCACGATTTCCGCATGTTAGTTGACTGGAAATCACCTTCGAATGAAATTGCCACATCCTTCGATGTAGAGAAAAGTCCCAATGTCTTTCATACAGCGACCGAGTTGTATCGCCCCATTCCACTTGGTGAAGTCGAGAAGAATTGGTTCATTTTCTGGGATGCAGCAGGAGAAGCGTACGTGCATTATGACGTGTGGCCGAAACGATCATTCGCCAAGATAGAAAAGAACGACTACAGCATTCTCGATGAATCATCTCCAGTCAGCATTACTGTTGGTCCAGATCTTTCAATTCTACCGAGCACGTCAGACACGAGATGCATGGACAAGTATATGCCAGTAGTGCCTGACAATTCAAAGGAATTTATTCATCAAGCTACGAACTCCCTATCAATAACCCTATGCAAGCGCTCGGAGGCTGGTTGCCTGGCTACCGACCAAAACACGTTTATTTTTACTATTTTCCAAAAGAAGACTGATGTCGGTTTTGGAGCCAGTTCTTATGAGCCGTATGTGATGCTTTTTCGCCGCACTTTGCCATTTGACCTACATAGTATCTCGACAAAACCATTCTGGATTCACGGTCGGAAGGCAGCCCAAAAGAATGAAATGAAGCCGGAGATGATGTATGTTACGTCAATGAGCTGGAAGAACCATGGTCAGACATATCATGGGTATAGTGATGATGTGCTTTTTCTGGCTTTCGGCATTGACGATTCTAGGACGGCAGGGATTGATATTGTGGCCGGGGATTTGTTGAGAGATATGGGTATTTGTATGAACGTGTAAAATAAGTTTCTTGCTTCTATATACACTCTTAGATACATTTCATTAGTAATTGTTAGATAAACAGATTCAATTCCCTAAGAAATTCTTTCAGTCCAATATTTTCCATGGCTTGGGCACTCAATCCTTCGAACACACTTCTCAACTGTGATGTCTGTTCTGCTGACAAGTTGTCAACATCATACCCTCCTTGTCGCAATTCCCACTTAACAATGCACGTAATGACATATTTTTGATCTCTGGCGATTGCCCCCTGCAGTGCTGTCTTTCTATCTCGATCAACGATTTGATAATCAGCACCGGCTTGCAGAAGCAACTCAACGCATTTCAGTTGACCCATATAAGCAGCCCATATCAAGGCTGTTTTACCCCACTGGTCTTGCACGTTCAGGTCAATACCCTCTTCCGCGAGAAGCATGGACATGACTTCCGGTTGTCCTCGTTCGGCAGCGCAAGCCAAAGAAGTAAATCCAACGCGATTGGATGAGTTGATGTCGATCTGGTGACGGTGTCGTTTGCAACTGAGGAGCAACTTGACAATATCTGGATGCCCGCCGCTAGCTGCTACGAGAGGGGTTTCACCATTGTTATCCTTATGGTTCAATATAATGTTATCCCGTTCCAGGAGCATCGATATGATTTCTGGTGTCCCTCCTCGCGAGTTTATTGCCCAATGTATTGGCATTGCATTATAACTGTCAATTGAATTTATTTCAACATTGGGCTCAGCAAGCAGTAGTCGTGCTATGTTGGGTCGTCCTTCTTTACAGGCTGTAGCGAAGGGCGTGAAGCCGTCACTGTCTTTGCTGTGCAGCAGTTTGGGATCCCGTTTTAGTAGTGCTTTGAATATGGCTTCACGCCCTTCGCTAATAGCTGCATACATAGCTGCCTGAATATTAAAACCGCCTATGGATGCTTCCGCATTTCGCGCAAGACGATCAAATATCCGAGTATGCCCGAGCTTCGCAGCCAGAGTAATAGGAGACTCAGTAGGATGATTATAGTTAATTTCCAGTGGTGGATCTTTGAGATTCAGTAATATCTCAACAATCTCTAATGAACCACTTCCAACAGCAAAGTTCATCGCATTCCCTTCGTGTACATTCTTCCTGTTGATATCGATTCCAGGTCTTGAGAGAAGAAGGCGTACAATATCCACATTGCCACTTCCACAAGCCCATGAGAGACAGCTTTGACAACGATCGTCACAAGCGTTGATATCGACGTCACGTCGAGCGAGAAAAAGTTTGACGATGTCCAGATTTCCTACTTCACAAGCCCGTAAAAATGGTGTTTTGCGCATTTTGTCTCTGTGATTAACATCGATACCTGGCTGTTTTAAAAGCAATTTTACAACGTCTAGATGGCCATGTCGACTTGCTTCTGTAAGCGCTGACATCTGCTCATTGTCTGTTTGGTTTATAAGCATTTCATCCGGTTTAGCAAATAGGCCTTTCAAGAAAGACATGCGGGATGAACCCTTTTTGATCATATTTCGAACAACTGCTGTGTGCCCAAAATATGATGCGACAACTATTGGCATCGTCTGTACGGTACCGAAGCTATATTCGTATACCTGGACCCAAAACATGGTATACCAAGTTTTGAATCGATTTGAATTTATATCGTACAGCCAGAGGAATGCCTCGAGATTTGCTGCATCCTCCGAAATCGACGTTTTCCGGAAGTGGTCTGCCCAGTATCTGGTTGCGTAATAAAGGAAACTGAACTTGTTCGCGTAGTCGTCGGCAGCTTTCTTTTTGAAAGCGTCACCAATGTTATGATCTCCAATAAAGGGTGTCTTTTCAAATTCATCAAAGTGCAGGTAGTAGTTACACACTTTAGCTAGATGGTAGTGCACCTCATCCGGTTCAAATGAATGCTTCCAGATTCCAGGAATTTGCTGTTCCGGGGAAGAGGCCCTTGACGGGCGCAAGAGGAACTCACGAGCGGTTTGGTGAGCTAGATAGAGTGTGAAATCATTTATTCTTAAGAAAACGCCACACAGAACCTGAATCGTCGCCTCAATACGAGGTTCTAAATCCATATCTGATTCAGTCGTGTTGCGTGGGTCGATGCACAGTGCAGTGTTGACTTCAGTCAAACTTAGAGGTCGGAAGGCTCCCACCACGATTTTCAGAAGTTTTCGCGTGTATTGATCATTAGTAGACTCTCGCAAAATTTTCTCATACACACCATCCAAGTCCGGTGGTGATGTCTCAACCAGTTCCTTCAGAGCTTGGCGAGTGAAACGACCACTGGTCTCAATACGCTGTAAAACTAGATTTACCCAAAGAAAAGTCCGATCAGATTTGGCTAATATCTGCTTCATCAACTCCTCTTGCTGTGCTTGTGGTATACTTCTTCGGCGACCGATTTGTAAAATGGTCTCGCGGACTACCAACTCAACATCTCGAGATATTGCCAGAGTTTCGTCTTCAGCCCGCAGTCGGATATTTGGAAGATCGAAAAGAATATCTTCCAGTTTCATTCCTGGACGGCTAGTAATCAGGAATTTGAGCGAGTATTTAGATTCGGTAGGCTCATTGGGCCAAGTAGTATACGGCTTGCTCAATTCTTTGATGAGCTGAATACGATCCTGTTCTTCACATTCATCCAGACCGTCGAGTATACATACTACACTCCTTCCTCGTGTGGAGTCTGACGTTATTACATTGAGCACACTCCACAAACTCATGAACTCTCGAGAAAACTGTTGGGCCTTTAATTGATACTGAGGAAGCACATGTGTAAGTAAGCCCAGATCATCCGCTATTATCTGGTGTAGCAATGCTGAAAATGCCGCAGCCGAAGTGCGCTGTTCGGAATTGTCGTCTTTGAAGAAGAAGTAACACAGCGTCGTGTCTTCCTTTTTGATTCCACTGCTGAGGTGATCGATAAGAAAACTAGCGAGTACGGATTTACCGCAACCAGCATCTGCGGAAACCCAGAGCAGATCCGAGTTCTTATTTTCTACCCAATGCGTATATTTTGGGTGCTCTAAGAACCACTCGCAAGTGCCAGTAACTCGCTTAGGATTTCGGGCCTTGTGTTGGGTGTAATCTGACTGATACAAGCTGCGGATGCATGCCAGTTCGGATTCACTTAGACTATCCAAATCTAGAATTTTGAAACAGTTTAACAAATGATTGATAGGTATTCTGCTTCGACTCACCCCTATCTCTTGCTTTAGGTTTTTTGGGATCTATTCCAGTGTAATCTATGGCAATCAGCATGAAGCAATATTTTTTACCACACTCCAGTCGAGACAACTTACAATTATTTGTTGTGTACTGGTGGCCTGCTTGCACCCTCGCCTGCCCTGACACTGTAATGTCCTTCCATTGGTGCTGTGGGAGGTCAGGAGCCTAGCGATTTAGGGTCAAAGCTAGTTCTCGATCACTTCAATCAGATAAATTATTTGGCACTTACCATGCTTTTTGGGAGCCGGGGTAGCGTTTAGTTGAATAACTGTCGAGTGGGAGCGCATATGGCTCCTTTGTAGTACAGTCTCCATTGTCACTGGGAGTTGGTGTTTTTGTGTTATGTACGCTGCTGTCGAAAGATCGGAGTACCAATACGACCGGCAATTGCAACCGAGGGGAGTTAATTGGGTGGCAATACTAGAGGTTCAAGAACAGGTTTAGCAAATCCTAGGGATTATTTGCTACTTAAAAAGTGATTTCTGCAGTTCGAATCGGATACAAGATAAACAGGCTTTAATGAAAGCAGTATCAATAGTAAATGCTTAATATTAGAACATGATTCAAAACAAATCTACATGGAAAGTTAGTCGCAATTCGTACCCAAACAAATTCGGTTAATTCAAATGATTCTTCCTAATCGTTTCAAATTACCATTTGAATTGACGGTGACATGAATAGCGGCTCCGACCTTTGTAGTTAATGTAAATCATTCAAACATCTACAGAATTGTGGGTTTTAGTGGGCTAAAACCTCTCGATTCAATATTATTTCGGGTCGATTGACTGAAAACCCCCACACCACTATCATACGTGGAGAATAGCATAAAATCTAGGAGATAACTGTTTGAATTCGGCTTTAAAAAAGAAGGTACTTGTTAGTGCGATGTTTATGACCGCTTCCGATTGATTTGATATCTCGGCCCTTCTTAAAAAGAAGAGACCGTCCGAGTCCTGACAGTGGTTAGACTCGGAGTAAAAGCGCTTTAACATCTAGCCTCGGATTTGGCGTATTCCGATTTTTAGCGCCATTCAAACATTTGTCCCCACTTAGGTTATCGCTGTTGGTTACCATTTACGGTTAGAGTTGCGCACTATATCGGGTTTACTATTCTAGGAGAATTATATAGCTTTGTGAGAATGAGAAAGAAAGCAAGGATTGTCCAAAACCAATATATAAAGGCTGTATTCAGACACTTTGTTCGTCTCTCCATCATCACCATTGATATTGATTCTTTATATTCTCGCCTAATCCTCTGAAGAGCATAATTCAAGCTTCTCGCTTCTCTGAATTTTCTTCCTGCTTGGTAGCTGTATGATCCGTTCCTCTGTTGCCGGCCTCTTTGCTCTCTCTTCCAAGAAATTACAAGTTTCTCTGAAGTCTTATTCCCCTGTTCGAAAGCTCGTAATGGCCTCCAACTCCGCTGCCTGGCTCTCCGCGGCCAAAGCCTATCCCTTCGAAGTCAAGGAGGCCCCTACATGGAGCCCCGAAGAGAACGAAATCCTCGTTAAAAACCGCGCTGTCGCCGTCAACCCTGTCGATGTTGGCCTCCAGACAAAGGCCTGGTGGCCCATGAACTACCCTACCATTCTGGGCCAGGATGTTGCTGGCGAGGTGGTCGCCGTTGGCCCCAATGTCGTCCGCTTCAAGCCAGGTGACCGGGTGGTTGGCCACGCGGTCGGAATGGTTACCAAACGAGGCCAGCACAATGCGTTCCAAGCTTATACTGTCCTCCAGACCAATATGGTCAGCGAAATTCCCAGCGCTATCTCTTACGAAAGCGCGTCAGTGCTGCCCCTAGCATTATCCACAGCCGCCTGTGGCTTGTTCCAGGACGAGTTCCTCAAGCTGCAACTCCCCACGGAGCCCCGTCAAACACCCACCGGCCAAGCCCTGCTGATTTGGGGTGGCGCTGGAAGCGTTGGCAGCAACGCCATCCAGCTTGGTGTCGCTGCCGGATACGAAGTCTTCACCACAGCCTCTCCCAAGAACTTCGACTATGTCAAGAATCTTGGCGCCAGCCAGGTCTTTGACTACAACAGCTCCACCGTTGCGGCCGACCTTATCAAGGCCCTCAAGGGCAAGACCTTGGCTGGTGCCATGGACTGCATTGGCTTTGCTGCGACCCCTCTAACCGTCGAGGTTGTCATCGGCTCGGAGGGTACCAAGTTTGTCTCCACCGTTAAGGGAGGTTTTCAACCTCCTGAGGGAGCCACTGTCAAGAACGTATTCGGTACCACTCTCAAAGACAACCATGTCGGCAAGGCCATATACGAGGACTTCCTGCCCAATGCTCTCAGGGCTGGAAATTTCATTCCCGCCCCAAACGCTCTGGTTGCCGGCAAGGGTTTAGAAGCTATTCAGGCTGCGTTAGATCTGCAAGCCAAAGGCACCTCTGCCCAGAAGGTTGTTGTCTCCCTGTAGAAAGAAGGAGCATTCAATATTATGTTTGGCGGGGGGGTTCTAAGGCGTCTCTTGAACATTTCAAATATTGCTTGTTTTCATTGTTTTTGTATATTCTTTACGATTTTCCTAGATATGTCTTCAACTCACCTCATTTTCTGAAGTTCTTCTCTGTGAAAGTCAAATAAAATATTCGTGAAGTGGAAATCGAAAATCTTACATGTAAAACGACATCAAAGAATTTATATGGAGAGCAGTTACGGCGTTTTTTCTTCATCTAGTTCATATAGTTGATTTGGTATCATCTTGATTGTTGACCGTCCACTAAGAGCCCTAGACTCAAAGGAAACGACTATCAACCTAAGTATGTGGTATATCAGTCATATGTAAGTCCATTTGAAATGTGTAAATCAATCGAATCTCTCATAATAACCGATGTGTATCGTTTATTACCTTCGACACGTTCAGATATTTGATCGTCACGCAGCCATTTGGTCAGGTTGACAGTCCCAAGAATCGCCCCTGAATAATGCCATGCGGGAGATTCTAGCCGAAAGCAGCTTCACGCGTGCCAGCAGGCTTTACCCGGCTTTCAAGCCTCCCGAGAACTTCCAAGGGTATATCAACTTTACACAAAAAGGCGGCTTTCCACCAGTGACATATGCATGGGTTTTATGAGGCTTGTCGCAGCTCCCTGTAGTGATTTGTCTGAGGGCTTCGTAGATAGTGCAGATATAGTCCTACTTGGTGGTACTAAAACCTAGAATACGATTGTCAAGGCTGTATGAAACTCCTAGGAACAATTAATTACCTGGCGAGTAATTTCTTCGTTGCGAATCATTGTCTAAACAGTCCACGTGACCATCTGACCCGTCACCCAATCAGGCGTGTTTCCCCGCGTTTTGTCGGTTCCCGCCAGCATGCTCCAGCCGACTACGTCCCTCGGTCCGTGGCTACATTCTGCAAACCCCCAACTAATCTTCTCTTAGAGGAGAAGATGGATCTTTTATACCTCTATGTTCCACTTGGCATCTGTCTGGTGTCGTTTGCTGTCATGGTCTATCTGAACTAGCCCAGTTGAGTCACAGGGCAAGTTGTTCTTTGGCGGTGATACGTGTCACGTACTGCCAGTATGCTCCTCTAACCCTTCTGCGCTCGGTTGAAAATCAAACTGACTTCCTGTTTAAACAGTTACTTGTCGCAATGTCCTCCTCACCAGATATCCCGTCTTCTTACGCGACCCTTCCGACCAAGTACATCAGGCTTTCCCACGTACCGGCAGACTCGCCAACCCCAACCAAGGTCATCCTCGTCACGCTCAACCGCCCAGAAAAGCACAATGCGTGGATTAAGGACATGGCGCGCGAACTGGAGGCCGTATATAAGCAGTTTGATGTTGACGACCGTGTTCGCGCCATCGTCTTAACGGGTGCGGGGAAAATGTTTTGCGCTGGTGCAGACCTTGAAGTCGGGTTTCTCGGTGGACAAGGCGAGAAAGACCTTGCTGGGCCTAGCGGAGCTAAGGATCATCGTGACAGTGCCGGCTGGGTGACTTTGGCGATGCATAATTGCCGTAAACCCACGGTCGTTGCAATTAATGGTTCGGCTGTCGGTGTCGGCATTACCTGCACGTTACCTGCGGCCATCAGAGTCGCATACCAAGATGCAAAGATTGGATTTGTGTTTGCTCGACGTGGGGTGATTATGGAGGGTGCATCAGCATTCTTCTTACCAAAGCTGATTGGGCATTCGCGTGCCTTGCATCTCGCGACAACGGGTGGCGTATATCCCGCTTCACATCCGTTACTGTCAAATCTGTTTTCCGAGCTACTTCCTACACCCGAGGCTACTATTGCGCGTGCCTTGGAGCTCGCGAATGATATTGCTGAGAATACCTCGGTGGTGGCGACCGCAATAATGCGAGACCTTATGTGGCGAACGCCCAGCAGTGCTGAAGAAACCCATCTGCTGAACTCGCGGTTGATATACGATCTTTTTGGAAGTACTGATAATACGGAGGGTGTCGCGAGTTTCTTTGAGAAGCGCAAACCTCAGTTCAATGGCTCTTTCAACGAGGCGCGTGATATCCCGTCAGCATGGCCTTGGTGGACGCCGTTTAGTTTGGAAAAATGGCCGCGAAAGTCTCGTCTTTGATTTTGACGGGTGTTCTTCATTCTTTACATATATATTTCAGACAATATAAAGACGCATTGATATTATTCTCCCACTCCATAGCTAATTACAATGACCAAGGTAACATTCTGACACTGCAACGCTACTCTTATCATTTGCAGGCTTTGAACGCTCCATTACGTCCACTCGTACCCTTCCGCAAACTCCACTATTCGGAATAGATGCGGAATTGTACCGCATGGTCGCCTCTAATATCTGGTCAAGGGTCTCTTTATCTTTATTGCGTTTGGCTGACAGATGCATTCTATTACCGGAAATTCGGAGGGGGTCTCTGTTTATGATGGTCACTGCATCAGCTTGCTTTGATATAAGTATCTTATCATATATCTTTTTATTATGTTTATGTAATTATACGACGTCAATGCTCTTCTCAATGAAGTCATTGCAATCATGTCTGATGCTTCTACCTCAGATATATGTACCAAAAGGCTAAAAAAATAATGCCTCTCATAGCGAGCTAGATCAGGTCACCGTTCGGGGTCGCCATATGCGTGAGCAGTTCTCCGGGTGGCCTTTAGGAGCGCTTTGACTATACCTAATAGCCATATAGGAAGGCGTGCTTAGCGAATAGGGATCCTCAAACCCCAACTCGTCGCATCCATATGCAGTAGCTTCATTGCCATTATTCAAAAGTGATTCGTTGTTTTCGGAAGCTCAAAATGCGGGGGAATCCCTTGCGGAATGAATTCCGTAAGGGCGGTTAGGTCCGGGAATTTTTAGGGCTATTCAAGGTGTTCAGTTGACGTATACTAAAATGTTAGAACCGGCAGAATAAAAATGGCCAATCCCGCCGAGATACCCATTTGAACGGTAACCCGGAAATAATATCATAAATTTTGATCAGCTGGACATCATTTCTTGCAACTTCTTTTGAACGGTGCGCTATCGACGACTCAAATCAGGAAACAATATACAAATAAAACCTCATATTCATTGGTTCTGTTTTAAACCCGAAACAATTGAGCAAAATGGCTTCCGATAAACCTATCACTCGTGTGACCTTTTTCAAAATTCCAGACCCTGCGGATCAACAGAAGCTTATCAACATGTACAAGGAGATGCCCAAGAAAGCCACAAAGGTATCCCAAATAATTATTTGAAGATTCCCGTGCAGAGTGGTTGCTAATTATTCAAAAATTACAGAATGGAAAGCCTTACATCCTTTCGGTTACCGCCGGCTCTACTTTTGACGACCAACGCAACCAGGGCTTCACCGTAGCGGTGATTTCATCATTTGCATCGCTCGAAGATTTCGAGTATTATGATAAGGAATGCGAAGCTCATGCGGCTTTAAAGCCGGTGGCTAACTCTATGCACCAAGGGATTATGATGGCTTATTTCAACAATGCCGTGGCATAGGTCACGCTCATCTCCCTTCCGGTTCTGGTGGATACCCTAAAAAGGGGTATTTTGTGTTATTTCTTCGTTCAATTAGTGATATAGCCTTTATAAACCATCGAAAATCTCTATTTTAATATGTTTAAATCCATGTTTTGATCTATTTATACCCGTTTTTCCCAGAGGGAAAGCTAACCAGAACCGCAAAGATTTCACGTAATCTATTACTCAATGCTATATCAACATTTGATACTGCTTTGTTATAACACTCGCAAGTACGCTTTCATTTCTGCTGCTTTCTTTGCGACTGGGAAGCCTTGGAAATGAGGTAAGAATATTTATTCCAATGGATCATCTCTCAAATAGCTGAGGGAGATGAGATCACTTGATAACAGAACGTAACGGAATTGGTTCCGTCACACCGACGAAGCAAACAATAGATCGGATATTCCCAATTGGCCAATAAACTGAAAAGGCTATCATGATATATGTAATTATATAGATTATTATAGGCTTATTAAAGGTATGCGAACTTAGAAAATTAAAGGGTGTCGTAAATAATCTATTGATTGACGGTAAAATAGATCCAAGATATATAGTTTACGTCATCCAGAAGGTGTTAATGCATACCGATTTTCACTTTTACCACAAGTACGAAATATTCCGAACGTTTCTGTATCCATTTCCGACTAAGGAAACAGACGTAATCGTTATGACAAGATTTTCATGATCGCCTAGTGCATGGCAACCTATGTGGAAGCGGGATTACTCCGCACTCCCCCAGACCCCAGGAAGCATTCCCGTTCCATGTCGGTGTCTTTTCAACTAAACCGCCTATTGAAGACACCAGCGCTTTAGCCCTCATTGTTCCGTCTCATCTTACATTAACTCGCGAAAGTTCATCGGCCATATCATGCTACACCATCATGGCAATCCAACAACTCTTAACCACACTCCAGGACAAGTTTAAGCCAGAATCAAGTCTTCAGCAGCTTGCTACGGGACTTTTATTGCTTCCAGTTCTCTATGTGCTCATCAATGAGTTTATCCGCAGCAACGCCCGCATCCCTAATTTAAAAGGTCCTCGTGGTCTGCCTCTTATCGGGAATCTGCATCAAATACGTATCAACGCAGCGGAACAGTATCGAATATGGTCCAGAAAATACGGTGGAGCGTATCAGATTCAACTGGGAAATATCCCGATTGTTGTCGTGAATACAGCGGAGACGGCAAAGGCTATCTTTGGAAACAATGCGCTGAGCTCGAGGCCTGAGTTTTATACTTTTCACAAGGTCAATACTTCCGTCTATGCATGCCGAGAAATACAGGCTGATATTTTCAGGTGCTATCAAACACCGCTGGTACCACGATTGGTACTTCGCCTTATAGTGATTCGCTTAAACGCCGCAGAAAAGGTGCTGCATCCGCCCTCAATAGACCTTCCGTGCAAACCTATGTTTCCCACCTTGATATCGAGACCAAGGACTTCATTAAAGAATTACTAGAGTACGGTAAGGCCGGGAAGGCGGGAGTTGACCCGATGCCCATGATTCAACGTCTATCACTTAGTCTTGCTCTCACACTTAACTGGGGCATTCGAATGGATTCTCAAAAATCGGATCTCTTCCATGAAATCACTCACGTCGAGGAAGAAATCAGTCGGTTCCGCAGCACTACTGGTAATCTACAAGACTATATCCCACTATTGCGTCTTAACCCTTTCAATTTCGAATCACGCAAGGCGCAAGATATGCGTGACCGACGTGATGTTTATCTCACTGCGCTCAACAACGGCCTGGATGAACGGATCGCCAACGGAACACACAAGCCATGCATCCAGGCCAATGTCATCATGGATAAAGAGGCCAAACTGAACAAAGAAGAGCTTACCTCGATTAGTTTGACAATGTTGTCTGGAGGCCTTGATACTATCACCACCCTTGTCGCATGGAGTCTTGCCTTGCTAGCTCAACGGCCAGATATCCAGGATACTGCACTAGAGGCAATCAAGGCGACTTATGGGACCAATAAACCACTATGCGATGCACTAGATGATCAGCAATGCCAGTATGTTGTCGCTCTGGTGCGTGAATGTCTTCGGTACTATACAGTTCTCCGCTTGGCCCTGCCTCGCGCGTCAATTAAGGATATCACTTTTCAAGGAGTCCGCATCCCAAAGGGAACAGTTATCTTCCTCAATGCGTGGGCCTGTAACATGGGTATGTTAATGCCTTCAGTTTTCCCTTATTTCGTTTTGAATTTTCTAACCGATGTCAATGTTAGATCCCAATGTATGGGAAGACCCAGAAATCTTCCGGCCCGAGCGCTGGCTCGACCATGATGATGCTCCTCTATTCACATATGGCATGGGTTATCGTATGTGCGCTGGTTCATTGCTAGCAAATCGCGAGCTCTATCTCGCTTTCATCCGACTACTTAATTCGTTCCGTATCGAAAAGGTCGATGATGTTGACGTTCATCCAGTTCGGGGTAACATGGATCCGACAAGTCTTGTGTCAATGCCGAGGCGCTATCGTGCTCGGTTTGTGCCCCGAAATGAGACTGCTCTACGACGCGCTTTGAACGAGTTCGTTGCCGTGGAATAATTTCCGACCCTGTCTCCACCACCCCTTTTTTATTTGCCTTTCCATCTTCAAATAATCATGGCGAACAGGGCAACAGATAGGAGAGAAAAATCTTTCGCATGTATCGTTCTTCTCAAAATGGGTTTCTTTTGTTTCCATTACTGTTTGAGTGTGGTAAGGCATTAAAAATCCGTTCTGACGTTATGATACTAAGAGTAAACCTTCGCATGAGCTTGATTTGTTTTGTTAGGCGTTCATTGACGTAACTTTAAAAAACGCCGACCAAAGTTACTTACAAGAGATCAGCAACTTCAGCTGGTCGGTGACTCGTGTCGACGCCTGCTTTCCCACGTTTTGACGATCTTACCTACATAAGGTAAGAGGTAAATTCTTCAGAGACTCGCTTGGACAATGCCCAGTCCTTAGTAGTGAAGGCAGAATTTTAACAACTAAGACGTAGTTGATTAGAAAAGCCGAGAAGAAAAGTACGTATGCCCGTCGCCCAATGGCTCACAGGACGATCGGAAGTAGTCGATGTAACGCCATATGATCAGCGAGATTAATTAATAATAACAATCTAAGATGTACCAATATTATCAATTTCATTTCGCAGCTTAGCCTATTGCCACTGTAAATAATAGTCAGGTATCAGAGTTAAAAATAACCTCGTGGTTTCCAAGTATACGCATTTGGGGTTTGACATTTTGGATTTTTTTTTTCTTAGCTTTATTCTCATTTTTACTCCGTAGTCAACCTTGTGCAAGACAACTGGGATTTGGGAGTACAACTTGTTTAGCACTAGCGGGCATTCTCGATTTTATTGGCCCTAAAGATTGGCGACGAACTATATCGCGGCCGCGGTGGTCATACCGTCCTTGTCGCACAGGAGAATTAGAAGAAAGCCCACGGCGGCCCGCTAGCTCGAACCTAGAAGGGTTTGTTCCTTCGTGACCCGACCAGGGTCTTCGCTCTCGTCCTGGAATATAACCCCTTACTCCGTTGTTATACAAAGTCTTGCCTGTGAAGATACTCAACTTCCTGCGTTTAGCAAAAGGTCTACAGCCCCCCCCAAGAAGTGTTAATAAACATCTATTCTCCCCGAGCCTCGGCGGTCAATTGAGCACTAGCCAGGTGATCTGCCATCTCTAGCGTCCTCCAAGAACACCCTTTGCCGTCTGCACGGTCACCGGCAGCGCTTGAGGCTGGCTGAAGGGGCGAATCAGGCTAGACGACCAAGGAGCAATACCCAATACCCCACTCAATCCGAGCCATTCTTGTGGACAAGCCGGTTTCAAGACTCCCTCTAATTAAGGCTTCTGAACCGCCCGGTTAGCGACTGACAGGCTCTCCCGTCCCGCAAGCAGGACTAGGTTACAGCTTTAAGTGTGGGACCAGCGACGCTCTCTTATGTCTTCCGAGCAATGATATTGAGGGGTGAAGGAAGAAAAAACAGGGATTGAAACCGCAAGCTTGCCCCCTTTCAAGCTGAGCTGCTCTTCCACACAGGCCAACCGGATTGGAACTCCGACCTTATCCTGATACCCGACGAACATGAGATCGTCCATTGGCCCGAGTCCTTTGGTCAGCAACAATCAGGTGGCGCTTGGACTGGGAAAGATGCAACCAAAGTACATATAGGGATTAGTAGCTCTGGGCGAAAAGGACAGCTTGAGTTGAGGCGCTAGGACTGAGCTCTAGACCCGGTCACGTAGTTGATCCATCAATAATCAGTCATGCATGCATGTAGTAGTACCGTCATGCAGTGGAAGGTGCAGCACTGTTGACAAGAGAAGCTAGCATTAGCGTTGTCGGAGAAGCAGGTCGCGTCCTGCTCTCTTATTTTTTCCTTATTTTTCAACCCCCTCTCTTGCCTATCCAAGAAGACGCAAGGAGTCAATTCTACTTTCACGTCCGGTGCACACGAACTATGAAACGCTTCTTCTCGTTTGACCGAGAAGAAAAGGGCTTGCCTCCTGTCGAAGGCAATGCGCCTAAACAGCCTTCTTACTACCCCAATTCTGATTCTTCACAAATCAACCCGCAATTGACAGAAGAACAAGAACGAGAGCGCACAAGTCAACTATACCATAACCGCGCAAAATTAATACCTGCAGACAACAAACTACTCATTTTTCGCTCCCTGACGGGTATTGACCACGTCCCTGTCTTGTCCAAAGACGGCTTTTTCCAACCGCGTCATGCACCCAATGTCGGTATATACACACGCGTCGTGCAGGCAGAAAAAACTGCTGCTTTGCGTTATCGTGCATTTAGCATCTTGATCAACACTTGCCTAAGTGTGCAAATCGTGGTTGCCGCCGCGTTGACCGCGATTGGAGCTGCCAAAGGTCCTCATGGAGTTATTACCGCTTTTGGCGCCATCAATACCATCATGGCTGGTATTCTTACATACCTCCGTGGATCAGGACTACCAAACCGCGAGAAAAACGTCGAAAAAGCTTGGGGCCAGATCCGTGAATACATTGAACAGCGTGAACGTGAATTCTGCCTGGAAAGTTGCGCATTGAACGTCGAAGAGGAAATACGTATCATTGAACAGATGTATGAAGAGGTCAGATTACAGATGGAGTCTGGAAATTCCAACGACGGTAGCTCGAGGGGTAGTGCCAAAAGCATCGACGCAATCCGTGAGGCAAGGAAGAGTGCTATTATCGGCCAGAATAGCGGAGCCGTGAAAGAAGCTCTCTCCGGACATACAGGTATAGAAGAAGCTAGAACTGCTGTTGCAGCTGAATCGGGTCGAGCTGAGAACAATCTCCGTGATCGGTTGGGACAATACGGCGATCAATTGCGAAATACTAGCGACAATGTTCGTCACACTGGCGAGGGCCGATTCGATCAACTCAAAGAGGGTTTCCAACAGGTTCGTGAACATTTCCAGCACTCCGGCGATCAGGCTCGCAGTGCTGGTGAGGGTCGGGTTGGGAATATTCGCGACGAGTTACGGCACGTTGGGGACTATTTCAGACAAGCGGGTGAAAATATCCAACATAGAGGTGAAGATATTCGTCAGACGGGAGAGAGCATGCGACAGACTGGCGAAGAACAGCTCCGACACACGGGCGAGCAGGTTCAGCAGGCGGGCGAGAATTTACGAAACCCTGAACTTAGGGTCTCTATTCAAACAACACAATCAAACTCGAAACAGACTCAGACGGATAAAGATTTTCAATAACCCCTCTTTTGGTTTGACTAGCGAGAGACGTCAACGCAAAAAGGGCATATGCAAAGAAATGAAAGCGTACATACATTTGTTTTGCGTGTTGATCTTTGTGATGCTTTTATGATACCATATTAATACTACATAATTAATTTATTTAATTGTTATATGTAATATCACGTATACTACTCTGTTTCACGGTTCATTTTAAGTCACTACGAATCCGAACCAAAGAGCTGGTTGTCTAGTACAAATGTACTCAAATGGCCCTAAAACTTCATGGGATGGAAATATATAAAGAGAACATTTCCATAGGGATAAAACATCCTTACTATTATCGACATCATTAAATGTATTGTCTCATGTCATTTGGAGAACGGCAGTCAAGACTCTCTTTGACATCTGGGCACCAGTGCATTCTTCCACCAAGCTGGACAGAAAATGTCATGATAAGTTGAAAGTTTCTTATCTATGTCTGGAAGAAAACACTTTTTTCAGTCTATACTTTCGATGATATCATCGAGACTCTGCTTGTCTTCGGCGGTCAAGTGAACATATTTCAAGCAAGTAGAGCCACAAGGTTGGGGGGTGCCTTCCTCCGTCCATAGACCAGCCAAGTCCATGCATTCTGCTGGAACATTTTCTATACGAACAGCCGAATGGGTGAATTAGTATGTAGCAAGCAGGGAGGGGGACACCTTTTCTAACAAGTTGCAGATTCCTGAAAAATAGTCACATTTCTCCATGATTAGCTTGTCTACATAGCTCGACATCGTGATCAGACATCCCAGGTGGTAAATTCATGAGCTTAGCGGTTTCGTTCAAACCAGGGTCGATATATCTTCTGGCCTTAAAACCACGGCTCATTCTGTGATGTTTAGTTTTTGACCTTGGTGCTCCTTCCTTGATTCCAGCAAAGACAACATCCCCTATAACTGCTAACGCGAGGTTCAATATTGAAACAATAGGAGCAGTGCAGAGCGGAACGATGTAAGTAGCTGATAGGGCAATCCCTATTACAGTTTTAGCTCTTATGTGCATTTGAAGTTTTATAGGTAATATCTGTGAAAAGATGCAGCAAAGTTAGACGGTTTACCATGTCTTCAAGCACAAACGGGAGAAATGAGCAATTCTTATATTATATTCCTTTTAAGTGGTAATACCTTCTAAGAATTCTTAAAACCTGAGACTTGGGGCTGACTTGAGTTAGAAATGAAATTGATTATATTAACTATAATCTACAATTGATCTAAAATTAGTATTGCCACGCAGTGTCCATTTATTTCGACTCGGCGATCGGGCCCGGGACAACTTAGATCCGTCACCTACGTCACCCGTCACCCGAAAAATTTGACATGTTCCGCTGGTTTCTCGAGCCGACAACACCTCTAATTTTTGGGGATCATACAAAATGTCTGTACGCAAGTATAATGAATTCCTAGACATTGCACCCAGTGACGATGATGATTCTATCGACGGCGCCTATAACTCTGAAGAGCGAGAGCAGGTTACGGAGAGCAAGGGCCGCGCCGTAAAACGACAGCGGACCGCAAATATCCAGGACATTTTCGGTCTACAGTCGGACGAAGAGGAATTTAGCAGTGAGGATGAGGATCAGGAGTCTCGGGCAAAAATCCAGAGCAAAGGCCGCAACTTTGTACAGACAAAACCCAAGCCTGCCTCGGAGGAGGAAGACCGTCACGACGAAAACGAAGACGACGAAGGGGACAACACACTTCTTGTCAATACAACAACTGAGAAATCTGCACAAAATACGAAAGCGTTGGTGAAAAACTACCCAACAAAAGTGTCCAAGAAAAAAAAACAGGCGTAATCTACTTTTCTTCACTTCCGCCTTACCTTAAACCGCGCGCTTTGAAATCTCTTCTGGAAGGCTGCGGCTTCGAGCCTATAACAAAAATATTCCTCACTCCTCTAGTTCAGTCGCGCAAGCAAAACAACAAACGCAAGAGGTACACCGACGGATGGGTTGAGTTTGCATCGAAAAAGACAGCCAAGATCTGCGCCGAGACGCTTAATGCGACTATCATTGGCAAGAGAGGCTATTATCATGATGATATATGGAATATGAAATACTTACGGGGGTTTAAGTGGGAAGACTTAATGGAGCAATCACAAAGAGAGCGGTCTGAGCGTGACGCGAAGAAACGGATTGAAGATTTACGTGCGCGGAAGGAGGACAAGGTGTTTTTAGCTGGTGTTGAGGCAGGACGTGCTGCGGATGGGATGGCTAGGAAGCGTAAGGAGAAGACCAAGCGGTCGGCTCAGGGTAAAGAGGGAAATATGCCAGAGAAGGCGCCGCAGGCTATAAGGAGGACGTTCGTGCAGAATGATGTTGTTAGGATGCAGGAGGATCAGAAAGTTGTGGGGGAAGATGTGAAGCGTGTTCTAGGGAAGATTTTCTAGCGCATTTGTTACGAGTTAGTTTAGAGTTGGTATCCTAGTGTCCCAAGAATTCAGTTAAGTACTCAATTAAGATCATAGAGAAGAGCGAGAGAGAGATAGGGATGCAAGTTTGATTAGAGGTGCTAAGATTGCCTCCCTTCATGAGAGGAGGATAAGGTAAGCAAGCAAGATAGCACATGAAGGTATGATCTTACTGCGGGTACCACGACTCAGGTAGGCAAAAGTCGATCAAGATAAGCGGGGTGAAAGTAAGAACTGGAGAGTTAGGGTTATACGAAAACACCGCTGGTGATAATCAAGACCATCAAAACAACGTCAAATACAGCTATTCCCGGCCACCTACCCACCATCTCCTTAATTACTCTAGTATGGATTCTGTTTTTAAAGAGCTTTTTAATTATAATATTTAGCTTAGTAATATAACATGAAATTATAAATACCTTGATTACCGACTAACACGCTCTCCATATTATCATTTTTAAACCCGCAAAATTGCTGGCGTCGAGAGGCTGCAATATATGTGAAAAGGTAATGATATAGGCACTGAGATAACATTATTCTTAATGTATGTAGGATATAATTTAGCACTGAAATGGCTTCCACGGCTAACAGGCATAAGCAATCAATATCTCCCTTTGTACTACGATTAGTATGAGGCATTAAGCCAATCTATTCTAATTTCATCAGTGGTCTATCCATCATTCCTGATATTTATTTTCTAATTATGTGGAAGAGTCTCAAAACAGTCTTCTTGCGGATAGTGCGTTGAGGTTGGTTGTGCTTCAAAACAGCAACATTAATGGGGGGAAGCACAGCCCCTTCTCCTAAGCATAGCCCCCCTCATAACCCCTCAGTTTTTAAACTGACATTCCTTTTGTTTTGTTCAATTACTTACACAACTTTATCATTATTCTCATTATGTCTCCCCCACTTGGTTTTGATAATATTCTCTTCATCCTAAGGAGTTGTCGTTCCGGATTTCGATTTCTAACGTCCTCATTTAGACGAAACCGACGAAACAAACCGGAGTAAAACTAAGGATGTGACTGGGCTTTCTTAATTGATCGTTGTATGTTCTTCATTTCCCGTTACCATATCAGTTTCCTAAATGCCATTCCAACGATACCAGGGGATTACCGCCAGTCTATGATGAGACAGCGCAGAAATCTGCTAGTTTTCATAATTCGTGAGACTCATGGCACCTAAATCCTCAACAAATCTCTCAAACGAGGATTTTTATAAAGTGCTTATCCAGTCATCAACTGACAACAATGTTATACTGTGGAGAACATAACGAAATGTATATTGGAAGACTACTTGTTATAATAGTTATATTTATCAACCAGCTGAAACATTTATGGGGCAACTGTCTTTTCGTCTAGGGGCTCCATTACGAGTGCTGCTGTATGGGCTGAAGGAAAGGGTTATCTCCATATTAATGATGTAATTGGAGGGGCTTCTGCGTAAAAACACATACCCCACGTAGAATGTACAAATAAAGGCGACAGGGGAAGTTACATTTGATCTTTTTTAGAGGGCTATTTCAAGTAAAAATGATAGATTATCAATAGATGGTTCTTTGAACACGTCAGTTGATTGGGGACGAACACCAACCAACTCGATACTTTGTTATCTCATGATTGGCAAGATTTTCTGCTTAGGAAACTATTGCCCTCGCTATGAAAATCGCTGTTCCAAGTTAAAGTCAGGTTCTTGGCTAGCCAGTAGTCTTGCTGGTGCGCTCGAAACTATCGTTATTGAGAGTGAAGGGGCTACAAATGTGTTGGTCATGGCTGAATGAGTAGAGGAATTTACGCGCAATGGATAGATTCTCGAAGCTCCTTCAATGTAACAACGCGGCCTTTTTGACCTTTCATGATTCCAAGCTTCAAGCGTCCACACATGTCAATCCTCCGTGCATATACCCAAATTGGTCTCTTCAATAACTGCCAAATCGAGAAAGTATAGCTAGGAACAACAACACCGATACCAATAATAGAACAATTAACTGGGTAATATTGGAATATCTTGGAATCCCAACAGGTACCGATAATAATTGACTAATAATAGAGGTTAACCGATCACTTTCTCCATAGCTGTACCAAAGAATATATGACTCCACAAGTCAGCAGATCTTGACCTAGTAAATTCATAATTTGGCATTACTGAGACACCGATCAAGAAGATCTACAAGAATTTGACAAAAATATCAACATAGTGGAAAACCACGAATAACCCCACTTGGACCTAGGGCATGGTTCAGTAATTGGGCTGCTGTGGAGAAGCAACATATAGCGATCTACAGGGGCTAACTGGTTGTTTGCGATATCATTCGATGTTTCGTGTTAAGTAAACAGGGTGGAAGACCCACGAGCGCTGCCAAGACACTTTTGGACCCTACCTCTAGGAGCAAAATGCCTGGCCGGCCCAACATGAAATACCTTAATTCAACGCAATAGGCAGCCTGGATGGAGCCCAGTTGGGATCTTCGGCTTTCTTTCAAGGTCTATGATGTCAGTTTGTTGGTTCGTGAAGTATTTTCGACCCCAGAGTCCCCAGACGGATTAGCCCGACATCCGCCTTGGCTTTGATTCCTGCGCATGTTGGTTCCTTCAACTGTGTAGAATACCTTGAAGACTTGGGCTTCAACTACCGTGCATCGTTTCTCTTAGCTTCATGCTATGTTATTAATAGTAGCAAGACGTGAGTGCAATACGCGCGGAAATTGCCTTTGAGCGCGGAACAAGTGTTCAGCTCTTGATTTTTCGAGAACGAATACGGAAGAGCTGGATGATTATGAGGGGGTCAAAAAGTATAAGAAGGAGGACGATGCCAGTGTTAGAATGAGATTCATCAACACAACAATCATCACAATCAATCCTTGAATACCAAAGCCAAATTACCAAAGCAAAGCAACAAACTCATCTTTTTTGTTAAACACATTAAAAATGCATTTCTCAAACATTATCCTTTTCGCTGCTGCTGCCACTGCTTGGACTGTTCCAGAGGGCACAACCAACGGTGTCTACTCTGTGAGCGTCAATCATCTGGGCGAGGAAGTCCACGAAAAGATTGCCGAGCTCAAGCACCCAGACGACATCAAAACTCCGGTTCGAAGCGCCAAATTCCGCCGCCAGGGCCTTTCTGGTAAGTACAAGCTTTCACATAAGCAGAAACACATCCTAATAAAAGCAGGTGCAAACCATATCTCATGCTTCAATGACAATCTCGATCCCCAGGACACTGATGCCGCCAACAAGAACATCGATGACCAATGCGGCGCCGGTGGCGATCTCGCCAGCGGAAAAACTCAGAATGGACGCGATTTTTACGGCGTCTCCGGCGATGTTGTGGCCTATGTTTGCAACCTCTCAGCCAGCCCTGGCACCTGCTACTCCAGTGAGCGAGTAGACTCCAGCTCCAAGATCACCGACCAGTGCGGCAAGTACCAGTCCGGTGAAGACGTCGTGCCAGATCGCCAACTTACCTACGGCTATCGTACCAAGGATGCCAAGTTCTGCACCCGTGGAACTAATGGAAAGTAGATTCATACCATATATATTAGCTTTGGAACTTGTGCCAGAGTAATGTTTTATTACATGCTGTCAAACTTTTCCACTAGGCTCAAAAGGCTTCGGCCTTGGTACATGTATTTTAGCATATTTATTTTAGTACGTGCTTTCACTTTTACCTCAAATGTCACATCCGTTGTGAGGCACATAGATACCTATATATACTTGTCTAAATCTATTTCTTTAGTCTACTGATGTCTTGTCTGAATAAAGCCACCATAATTCCAGGTGTACAGAATCAATTATAAGAGCCGCAGACGCCAATCTCCCACAGCTTGGAAAAGGACCTCGTGGTGTAACAGCCACATTGTGCGAGAAGGAACGCACGGGTCAAAACATCCTGTGGTTCTTCAGAGTCTGGGAACCATGGCATCCAACTGACTGGGCACCGAGATCGACTCGGTTCTATCCCGACTTCTCATCCTTTTTTATACTTTGATCAATAGGGTTACAGTATTTTAAACTGGTATTTAGATGAATAGTTAAAAACATCGCTTTGTGCAGTTCTTGGACCCTGAGATATATGGAGGATGACATCATCGGTTATAAGTAATATAGAAGATGTGATAATAGCTTCTGGGCTCGCCGCCAGTGTTTGAGTGTTAGAAGTAATGTAGTATTTGACTGAGGAAATTAGGTACTACAAAGTTACAAGTGGTTGAAGTTATCAGTTGATATCTATGTAAAGTCAGGTGCTTAGAACACTTGTAAAAAAAAATATGCAACTATAATAACATCACCAAAATAGTCACCAAGGTTTGCGCTATTTTTAGTATGGTGGTTAGACTGTGACTCCATTTAATCTGCTCATTGGACGGAATCGAATGTGGCGTGGGGAGGTTTTGCGAGAGTTATGCGAAATCCGGGAATATACGTGCATATTGCGAATGACAAGTAAATCTACTATGTTAACTATCAGATGCGCTGTATAAAGTTCAAATTTAACTTAACCGGTTCTAGACACCGGAAATTCGAATTTCTTAATAAAGTTGTGGGTTGTATAAAATCCTCGTGATTCCCGTGAATTTCTCGCATATCTACATAGTATAGAAAGAAGAAAGACATGTTACACATGAACAGGCTTTACAAAACTCTCTCAAAGCCCATACTACGTTTACCTACTCAGTTGAGAATGTTTTCTACTACAATGACCAGTCATCCCGTCACAATCCAGCTGTCTAGAGCCGAAATAGACGGCTCGAAACTATCCGCGAGGAACTTGGAGATCGCGATTCGCAGTCTTCACCACGATGGCCTGGTAGTTATCCAGGACGTGGTGCCGCATGAGCCACTAGACCATTTAAATAGAAAGATGGTTGCTGATGGGTTCGCTCTTCAAGCCCGGAAGAACGACGGCCCCTATAATTACAACAGAGGTAATATTCAGCAGGACCCTCCTCCAGTAAAGGAATATTTCGACAAGCGTATCTTCCTGAGTATATCTTCCTATTTTTTTACAGGAGTATGGACTAACAAGCTTTTAGATCCCATCGTCAGCCAGGTGACATCAACTATGCTCGGCCCCAAGCCCCAGTGGACTTTCTGCTCTGGAAACGCAGCCATGCCCCCAACACCCGAGACGCCGCCGACTTCCCAGCCTGTACACTCTGACGCCGATTTTGATCATCCAAAACATCCGTTTGCGCTCGTAGTCAATGTGCCTCTAGTCACTATGACACCTGAGAACGGATCGACTGAGATTTGGCTTGGGACACATATGGATAGCGGCCTACATGTTCAAGAAGGCATGCATGGAGACCGAGCTAGCGGGAGAATCAAACCCCGATTGTTAGAAAAACAACGCCTTGTTCGTCCACCCTGTCAACCTGTAGTGCCAAAAGGGTCTGTTGTCATTCGAGACTTGAGATTGTGGCACTGCGGCGTTGGCAATCAAACCGACGATGTGAGAGTCATGTTGGCGATGAGTGAGTTCGTGAATCCAAGCTACTTAGAAGAGATTACTGATATTTTGCTTTTTGTTAGTTCATTTTGCTCCCTGGTATCGCAATCCAATGAGACTGGAGCTATCGGATGACTTGAAAGAACTTATTGAGGCCGAAGATTCTCTTATTATCCCTGTGGATTGGGTGACAGAGAAACAAGCATTGGAACGGTACCTGAATCGGGGATTTGGCAATTCTTACGACTTTGGGCAAAGTTGGTAATTTCGGTCCCTTAAATTGACTACGTTGCCGTTCTAGGTGCCCTTAGTATAATATAAGCAATCAAATAATAAATAGGTTTTATTGCTCTGGTAGTTTTATACAACCAGATGAAGAATGAGAGTTTGTTCCACCCTGGGATAAATTCAAAGTAGATTGCCAATCGTTCCTAGATGGTAAAATATACTCCGTAATTAAACCCCCCAAAGGGTTCTGGAAATGGGAGGTTATTGTGAGCTGAATTCCAAATATTTAGTCAAGTTTAACGACGTAACTCAGCTTTAAGCTATGAAGGTCTCGTTTTAGTGGGCACTAGGAGGTCTTAAGGGGCCTAAACCCCCAATTCCCGGCCATCCGTTCCGAAATGGTGTCGGGATATTCGAAGGTGCTTAGGCATTCCCCGCTCTAAGCTACTTATCTGCGCAGTGCGATTCGGGGACCTCGTGGGGACTGGCGGCGCCTTGTCCACCCTCCTTGAAGCTAAACGTGCAGGAGTTCTCGTCGATGACAGACTGCTTAGAGCTATCACCCTTAATATAGAATTGATAAAGACTCTCTAGTTATACTGATAAAAGAAATCTTATTTCTACTCATAATAACCCCGCAATCACCCATGCTTGAAATGATGCAGAACGCCAGACCGAACAGACAGCAATAGCAACTAATTAGGAGATCGACGCGGCCAAACGCTCCTTCAAAAGGTGTTCGACTTATCTTAATAATGCTAATGTCGTTAGTAGAATTAAGTCGTAAGAGATATAATACATTCCTAGTTTTCATATATTTTATATTTTATGAAGAACATTGTTTTTTTGGTACGATTAATTAAGGTAGTATATATGGTTTTTTTTAAATTAAAGACTATCTAGTGGTTATCAAAAAAAATATTGGAGTTCCAAGGAGAAGCAAGGCTGAGATAGAAGCACAGGTATACACACATACATACTGGTTGCCGTCCAGGAACATTACTAAACTAGTAGGAAGGGTTTTATGGCCCCATTGGTGATCACGTGATCTCAGGTTTTTATGTCAGAAAAAATATGCGACTAGAAATCCTTACTCAAGTAAGGGTTGCGCCATTTTTGGTATAGTGATTAAAAGTTCAACACTTTATCAAACAAATTTCATCCTTCCGTCCGTTTGTAGTTATATCATCCACCCACAAACCTCAGTTTTGTGATTTTTGATTCAACTCGGCTCCTCTCTTCGGAAAGTAACGCGGCCTATTTAACCGGCGGAAATCGACCTTTCAACGCCATCATGTCGAGAAAGAAAAATAACGAGAAAAATTTGCGGGCCAGTTTGAAAAAAACCATTCGTAAAGAAATGCGTGCTATTTATATGAAGAAAAATAGCATTGACAAGAAGGAAGTTATTTCTAAATTTGTTTCTTTGCATCCTGAATTGGAGGATACGATTCAAGGTGTAGTGCATCGGTAAGCGGTGATGTATTTTTGTGTGTTGGTCCTTGTTTGCGTCAACGTCTGACTGTTTTAGCTATGCCAAAACGATAAATGATAAGGCAGCTAGCGGAACGGCTCAATGGGGGAAAAATGGAGGATCGACCAGCACTACGGTACGAGGAGAAACCTAGGTTATGGGATCTAGCCATACTCACAAAAGCAGCTACAGTCAGTGGAGGCCGGGGTGCCTAAAGCTCGTCCTCCGCGGCAGGCGAAGGAAAAGGCGATGTCTGCTATCAAGGTCGAAGTTATGGCTTTTGAAAGCGAGCAGGATGAAGGCAGCTCGCATTCAGAGCAGTCCAACACTAACTTTGCTGAAAAACTACTTCTAGACAAAACACCGCCCAAGCAGCCAGGTGTAAAACAACAGTTGTCAAAAAGAGTCGTTAAAAATGCGAAAGATGAAGCAGCTGTAGGAATGGAAGAGCCAGACTTGGTACATAAGACCAACGCGCTTTTGGAGAGTAAGATATCTACATTTACTACCGCCAGGCTCGATATCTAACCAAAATACAGGCTTCAAGGAAGACCTAGCCAGTCAAAATAGGAAATCTTCTCTTGGTGTGGGATCTTCTATAAATAGGGAAAGGGCACCTGACCTGGAAACACAGTTGCAATTCCTGAGCCTAGATGGCCAGAACACAAGCGGCTTCAACGGCAGCTCACCTCATAGTGTTGAACATGCTGTTTTGGTATCACCTAGTCTTGAGGAAGTTGGGCAGAAATTACCAGCTCAATTTGGTCTTCTGGGCCACCTAGATACGAGGCAATCAGAAGACCTCGTGGACCCTCGAGTGATGCTTAATACAAACATCCCGTTCTCTGCTTTTATTTGCGGACTGCAAGGGAGCGGAAAATCTCATACCACTTCTTGCATGATTGGTGAGTATCAACGAACTTTTATAATTTATTCATTGTCCTGATAAAATTAGAGAACTGCTCATTGCCTTTTAAAGCCCTGGGGACATTGCAGAAACCGCTGTCCACCCTTGTGTTGCATTACAATGAATATAGCTCCAACGTCAGCAACCAGCCAAGCGAAGCAGCATTTTTGGCGTCTATCATGCCGGAGTACAGGAAACACTTCAACAAATCAATCCCTGTGAGAGTTCTTACCTCACCATCCAATTTCTACAATCTTGAGAAGATGTACTCGCAAATTCCCAATGTTCGTGTGCGCCCATTTCGTTTGAAGCCGTACCACCTGAACATCGCGACGATGCTTTCGCTGATGTCCATGGGCAAGAAAGACTCTATGCCTTTGTACATGGCTCAGATAACACGAGTATTGCGCGAGATGGCTCTTTCTAACAAAGGGTCTTTCAATTACTTTGATTTCCGCAACCGAGTGAGAGACCTCCGTTTAGATCGGACACAGACACCCTTCTTAGACCAACGCTTTGATTTGCTGGATTCGTTTCTTGAGCTGAAGAAGGATGATCACACTACGGGTGGAGACTACTTCATGGACGGCGGAGTGACGATTTTGGATTTGTCTTGTCCGTTCATGGACCAGGGCACAGCGTGTATTCTTTTCCGAATTGCGATTGATTTGTTTCTTCACGCGCATCCATCGCGGGGTAAAATGATTGTTGCTGATGAGGCACACAAGGTAAGAAGACCGATCTTTCATTCTTAAGTTTTTCAAATATGCTTAACCGTCTACATAGTATATGGACAGTACTGAGGCTGCAAACGCCTTGACTGAAACTTTCCTGAACATCATCCGTCAGCAACGCCACCTTGGAACTCGAATTATCATATCGACTCAGGAGCCAACTATTTCTCCTCGTCTTATTGACCTTTGCTCTATCACTATCGTCCATCGGTTTTCAAGCCCCGAATGGTTTCAGAGTATCAAGAAACATATCGCCATTGCTGATAAGGAAGATACTAATTCGAATGAGGAAAATGTGAATGGGCTGTACCAGATTTCTAGCCTGCGTACGGGTGAAGCTCTTGTGTTTGCCCCATCTGCATATCTCCTTGATGGACACCAAGAGGTGATGGATGTGAAGCACAAGAGCTTCAAAATGGTGATTCGGAAACGCATTACTTGGGATGGGGGTCAAACGATTACCTCTGTTCGCTGAGCTATTTTTCGGCATCATCGTCGTCTAACAGAAAACGAGTTTTAAAAGATACAGCGCGGGAAATAGAAATCGCATCTCGGACTATTCCAGGGTATAAATATATTTTACATTTTGGCGATGCTAGTAGTTAATGAAGACTTTTACGACCCCGTAAATCACTTTCAACAAATGACTAGAGGAGATTTGAGATTCCGTCTCTTGTACTAGTACTTAGTGATGATGCCAATTGATTCACGAACTCGAATCCCTTTTCACGATCACGTTTACAGCCAGAAGCCAATTTTACAAGGAGGCAAACAGAAAGCCAAGGCTATATGCCATGGAATAGGCTGAGCTGATTATTCATTCATGAATCATGATTCGGCCCTAATGCTTGGTTATTTTTGATTGGAGGATAGAGTTATAAGAATAGAACATATATATATAGCTAGTCCTCAACAGGAAAACCGCCCCATGGTTGACTCCCCGGCAGCCCCACAAGCCTAATTCGCATTGTGGCTGTCGTTTAGAGCTCAGTCAGCCCCCTTCACTTCTCAGGTCTGCAAGCTCTTTCTCACTAGGCTAGCTGCCAAGCTGTGATTCGGCAGTGATCTAGAGTGGATTCCTGAATTTGAAGATTACTAGCCGCAGATTTGCCGCCCCATTAGGGTCCCGCTCACGGGACTTACTAGTTGAGTGATGTCGTGGGTAATAGTAGCCATGCGAGAGTTCTTTTCAAGATCGACGTCCGCAACGTCAAGAAGATGATTGCTGGCACACAGTAATGTACATTTGACGACGGAATTACCGACATAGCGGGCGCAAAAATTGGACAATAACAACTCGAGCTTGATTTCTCTCAAGCAGGTGAAATCCCGACTTGTTCTTGATACACTCAGCAATATCATGATCACAAGCGATGGCAAAGAATATCACCGTTCCCTATGTCCCTATCGATGAATTTAGTTGGTCTTTGAACTACGCTGGTAGCTTGCCATGGAATCAAACCATTTGGTATGCGTTTATATCGATGTTTTTTTTGGAAGTGTTTTCTTCCATCTTACCGTGATTTTCATTCTAATTTCGCTCTTTACCTAGGTCTCTAATAGCAGTCTTCACTGCAGTCCCTCTATGGATGACTGTCGAAATAACTATATGGATATTCTACCTTTTCCGCCGCTGGTCTGGCCTATATTTTTGGTCCGTCTTGATCACTACGTGGGGTGTCACTCTTCATGCCATCGGCTTTGTCTTGACAGTATGCGTGCCGAGCTGCAATTCTATACTTAGTATGGTAATAGCCGACATTGGGTGGATCGGAATGGTTACCGGGTTCGCATTTGTGATGTATTCCCGGCTGAACCTCATCAGCTTCGTCATGCGCAATCGGTATATCTTGCGGCTTTCTCTAGCTATGATCATTGTTGACGCTATCATATTTCACTTTTCGACAATAATCATATTTGCTATTGGCGTATTTCATCCATCTAGCGGGAAATTCCTACCCTACATGAATATTATAGAGCGCGTGCAGATCATGGTGTTTACCATCCAGGAAGTCATCCTCAGTACGCTTTACGTATACGGCACCGTCAAAATGGCCCAGGAATCTTTCAACACGCATGTCCGCAAGACTATCGTTTTCCTCATTGTGATACAGGCAGTTGCGATTCTGCTAGATGTATTGATTATCACACTCGATTACGCGGACTATTACATTCTCAAGTCGTTTATTCATTCGTTCGTTTACGCTGTGAAATTACAGCTGGAGTTTGTGATTCTCAATGAATTCAGAGAGGTTATTTCCAAGCTTGCGCCGAGAATGGAGATATTGGATATGGATGAAGAGCACTTTCGAGTTGTGAATACCAATAAACCGTCGAATGGGACAAAAACCAACCGGCTTGGTGAATGACAATGGTTGGGAGACGAGTTTTGGTTGGGATATGTTTTCATGTATATATGATTCGCCAGGACGTAAGTAAATATATTATTTGACATTCGAAAAGGATTCAGATTGTATTGATCAATCATTTGTATCATTCGGACTTCCTATTTTGATGAAATATACATGCCGTGCATGCGCCGCACTTATCGATTAGTTGTCCATGAATGTGGATGGACTTATATGAAGTCAAGCAGTCCTAATCCCATTAGAGAGAATATTTAAGGTAGACGAAAGTTGCCACATTCTCAAAATACAAACCAGCAAGATTCGTTCTGGGTTGTGAAATTGTGAGAGTTGCGGTCATTGAATGAGGAGTAAGGGTCACCGCAGCCCCACCTCAGTTACCTCAGCCACGCGGCTTTACCCTGTGTTTACACGACAGACAAACAAATCACTAATATCATCCTCACCGCACTTTTGGGAAGCTGCCATCCTTGTCTAAAACAGATTGACTATGATCGAACCAATCGACTGTAATTGAATTCTCCGATTTTACTATATTTCTATGTTTGAAATTGCACGGCTTGACATTATGAGGTTGTGCCGATAAAAGAACTCTCTCGCAACTAGTCTACCGAGGACTTTCACAAATCGTCTTAGCTGCGATCGCAGCTCTCAATAAATATTATAAACATAATAAAACAATGGCGCCGACCACCCTTTTCGTCGAACCCCTCATGCGAGTCGTGCGCGACCTGAAATCGGCCTTCATCGCACTCTCCTCGACAACCATAACAACAAACCCAAATACCTCCTCACCTTCCTCTACATCTTCAAATGGTCTGATAAGCAAACGAGCTGGTCAAATTCTTTCTATTCCTGCTACATACGCTTTACTCGATTCGTCACCAGAACCAGGTATTGTGGTGGGCATTGTCCTCGGTGTTGTCGCTGGGGTGGTGCTTACCTTGATCGCAATATACCAAGCTCTCGGACTAGGAGGCCGTGGGGAAAGCTCTGTTAGTGGTGGAGGTAGTGTTGTCGTTGTGGAAGAAGAAGAATCATCCGTGGGTGGACGTGCACGGCGACGAGGACCGGCGCGATCGAGGTCTGCGCGAGGCGGTAGAGGGGGCCGGGTGGTGGAAGAGATTGTCGAAGTTCGCGAGCGCTCGCATTCTGGCATTAGGACCGTTGATGAATACTCGGATGATGTGGTTGAAGTGATCGAAGAGAGCTCGGCGACGCCGTACGACGATGTTGTGGAGGTAGAAGAAGAGGAAAGCAGCGTGGCTACTAGCCCGCCTCGGCGGAAGAGAACCAGCGGAGGCGGAAGTTATCGAAGGGTTGACCCATTGGCATACGGAGGGGATGATGAGCCCTATCGACGGCCTCCCCGGCGGTGAATATATCAGATCTTTTTTGTTGTTGGGGTACTGAAACTGGGACAGGAGTATGTAAAAGGAATTTTGGGAATTGGATTCATATGCCTTCAGTAAAGGGCGGTTTGTATGTTGATGCGAAACATGCATATAACTGTATGATTATGACAGCGTTTTGCTTTTGCTGATTGTCATTTCTATTCTGGAGTTAATATTGCAAAGGCTTGGATTGGAAATAATAAATTCATGTACAAATCAAATTGACAAGAATGTGCCAATACGTAAAGATAATTAACTGCACAAAGTGAATAGCAGCTATTGATAAGGATCGAGAGCCCTCTCTAACAAGGTAAATCATAAACGAAAAAAGCCGCCCTTCAATTACGAAAATAGAAACCGGCACAACTTGGCTGGTGGCCAAAGAGCATCATCGAAAGAATGGAAACCAACGAAACGCCTTAAAACACCAATCAACCAACATGATATATGTTCATCCCTACCGAAACCATTGGAAATCCCAAAGTCGTGACTCTTATTCTGCCGCATTACAGCGGACAACATAACCCTTAAATCAAAAAACAACACATGTCTGCACAGCAGCAGAGCGTTAAAGCAGCCGCGAGGCCTGCACAGATACCGCCCGCTGAGCCTCCATATCCACCTCTGTCTGGGTTTTGCGCATAGTACCCTTGAGGAGGGTAGTGATAGCCTTGTTGAGGAGGATAACCTTGCTGTGGAGGATATCCTTGTTGATAATATCCCCCACCGGGCTGAGGAGGTCCATATTGCGGTTGCATTGGAGGATAATATCCATTCTGAGGTGGCGCCGGGCTGGAGTAACCGCCGTATCCGTTGTCATTACGGTATTCACTTTGTGGTGGGGGAGATTGGACGTATGGCGCGGGAGAAGGTGTGTGGTTGTATGGGCCGGCGTCCTGATGAACTGCGGCTGGGTAAGCGGGGGGATTGTCCTGTGTTTCCTGTCAATATATTGTATGAAGATATGGTGCTTAGAAAACATACGTATTTGCCTGCCATTGAGATGGCTCTTGTTTAGTGGATGTCTTGGCTGTTTGGAGAGTTGAAGGCCGGGTTAATGTTTGCTCTGTCCTGTTATCGGATTTATGAGAACCGAGCAGAATCAAATCTTCTACTCTGAGACCTCTGATCGGTGAAGGAACGGTTTCGTGTTGTGTCGCAGGGTTAGGCAGACGCGATACGCCGGCGGTATCACAGGCGACAGCGAGGGGCTGGGATGCTATTCTCTCTTGACCAGGAAGACAGTGGTTCAGAATGGTTCGCAATCGCGATCAAAAATTGCCAAGCAACAGATAGGTAGGACAGATGTAAGAATTCAATGTTATTGAAAGAAAAATGAAGAGTTGAAGAGTTGAAGAGTTGGAGAAAGTCAGAGTCAATGGATGAAGGCCAAGAGTGACGCCACTTCAACCCGCCAATCACAGCTCCACTAACGATCCGGCTTCCCGGCTCACGGTGGCTGCACCGCCACGTTCTTCACGTAAGCTCACCCGGCCAATCAGAGGACATACTACCAGGAACCTTGTTTTTTCAACATCCACTCACCCAAAAGAGCGATTATTAACAACTTAACGTTTCCAAGCTGCTGGTTACTTTGATATAAAATAGTCTGTGAAAAGAAGGCTATACTTTATATGAGAAAGTATGGCAAGTGAAGCATGTATATGGTCAGATAGATGTATCCTATGTAAGTTGTTACACATAGAATACATATGTAGCTTCAGTAGGACTCTTCGATTGTCCTAAATCACCCGATATTATTCTTTTTAGCAACCGGAACACATTATCGGGAGTAACCCAGCAAGTAATGAATGATTCTCAGAATACTGCATCGGCCATCAAAGACCGATCTGGCTTTGTAAGAAAGCCCTTCGTTTCTAGCGCCGAATGAACCTCCCAATATGGGAAGGACGATGATCCCTTCTAACCAAATGAGCCAATCAAGCATTCTCTTTTCACACTTGATGCCATTTCGAAATCGAAATGTTCTTACCTACCTCTTGTAAATTTAATTTATTCTCCTAGCTGCAGATGAAAGCCTGACGTGGCCCTCTCACGATGAAAATACTATTTTCTACCACCATAAAGACTCGATGATCATGGCCTGACTTAATAACATGAAATCTACACCAGATATAAACTGGAAAGAGCCGAAAGCCTTGACAGCTATTGCCTTTTTTTCCTGCCTGGGGAATCATAACCATCGCCATGCCTAATACTGGTCGTCCGAGCCGTGATTGTCATGCTTGTAGAAAGCGACGCATTAAGGTACGGAATACACCGCCTGCCCGGCCATTACAAAACAAAAAGTATTATTGAGAGATTTCTAATTTAACAGTGCGATCTTCAACGTCCACAATGCAGCCAGTGTATCAGAAAAGGGCAACCTTGCCCAGGGTATCGAAATGAGTTGGATATGCGTTTCCGCACCGAGAACATGTCAACATTCCCCGTGAATATGCATAGAGATCGTCGAAGAAGACCAGACAAAAAGGTCCATCCTATGCCGCAAACTCGGAATGCAAAGCCAGAAAGACGGGAGAAGAAAGTCACTGAACATACAGCTAGCTCCCTTCCATCGAACGACCTGTTTGCTCTTCAGCGCCCTATACACTTCCAATCTACCATCGCAGAATCGTGGGAGTTTCACGTCAGACCAATGATTATGGAAAAGTTCTTGATGGAAACTACCCCTGGCAAAAATGATAGCATGTTCGGTTTCGTTCCAATATTGATTTCGGAGGCGGGCGAAGGGACTCCTCTTGTTCTAGCTTGTAATGCGGTTGCATATGCATACATGACAAACATAATTTGGTTCCCCGATGGAATTCAATACAGATCATCGGCATATGGCTCTGCACTAGCTGCTACAAACTCGGCTCTCCGGGATCCTCACAATTTCAAAAGTGACAATACTTTGTTGTGTATTTATCTACTCGGACTATACGAGGTGAGGATACTGTAGAATAACTAATAGGCTGTGAATATCTAACGCTTTGATGAAGGTTCTCTCAATCACCAAAAGAAATGCCGATACAGGCTTCATGTCCGCTGAATGGGCTATCCACAGCAAGGGCTTGATAGAGTTACTCCGCCAGCGTGGGCCTGAACAATTCAACACTTTACATGGAAGACAAATATTCTGGGCTGTGATAAACATTGTTGTAAGTCGATCTTATACATTGCTCATCATGCAAATGAAGTCTTGGTGTCCAATGCTCACCTTACCAGCAATTACATTCGGTAACATCCGGCCTTGATTGCCCTCATGAAACTTTTGTGTGGCTGAACGAAATCGACAAACATTGCGCTCTCCCGGAGGACTACGTACTTTTTCGGCCAATAATCTTTGCTCATCACTGTACGAATCTTTGCAGTCGTGTCCAAAGACTAGTACAATACAGCCCATTTGATGAAATCCTGGCTAGTGTACCAAGTATTATACAAGATATGGACGAGGTTGAAAAGATAACCAGCCTCAATATTTTTTCACATAACCCTCACATTTCAAGTCATGAAATCGAGCACCCCTTGGCGCTACCGGATGTACCAGATTACCCAAGTCAATGTTATTTTGGAATTCTCATCTACCAGTATTACTTCCGAATGCAGCTCTCTCACCGTGTTCGAGAACTATTGCAACACGCATCCAAAGCACCGAGTTGCACACCTCAACAACGTGCTACCATCACCTGGTATGAGAAACGCTGTGCTACTGAATTCCATGCCCTTGTTGATAAAGTATTCTCCCTTTGTTACACTTTAATTCACAAAGATACTACTGCCACCCGTTATCACCGGGATCAAGTCAAACCCCGAAAAATGGGTTGGCCAAACGCCATGCGGTATTTATGGCCACTGAATTTGATTCTCACGTGCTCGGTATCATCGGATTGGCAGAGGGATGCTGCCAAAGAGGCGCTAGAGTCAATAAGAAGGACATTTGGTATGACTTAGAGGTTAAATCTACTATTTCTATAGTAGCGATATCAATGTGGAAAAGCGCAATTATCATATCTTTAGCTACGAGTTTCTGTGGCACCTGATCGAAGGAAAAACGCGCATAGGTATGGATCCACAGTGGTTGAAGATGGAGATTGAAGCAACCCATCATAGGGTAACGGATGCTAACAATAAAATATAAAAGTTAGTGAGATACATATATTTGATGAGTAATAAGAATTTATATAATTATCTAGCTATGATTGATATTTACTAGCGGAAAAGGTAATTTCTGGGATAATCTCAACTCAATCTTTTCTGCAGAGGGGAGATGTGTCTGTGTAAAGATTTAATAATAGCACCGTGTGCTACCTCCATCATCTAGCATCATTTAGTTAATCTGATGAATTTAGACATTTCATTTGCATATACTGGAGAGTATGGGACTATGCTTTTACCTCAATGAGGTGTAATGAGAAATCAAACCAAAAAACCTATATTAGTATGCCCCGGGCCTTTTCTAGTATGCCGGCTGTTCCGACGAAGTCACTCCATTAAGTGCAGTTAACACGGGGGTGCGGTTCACAAGTTCAAAACTATTCAACTTGGCATCCTTACTCCCATGAGCCCACAACGTCACGGTTACCGAGTTTTCACCCTGATAGTTCAAAATACCTTGTGGTACAGGGAACTCCGTTTGAGGTCTAGTGTGCGGTACAAATTTGCCGTACTGATATCCGTTCACATATAATTGGACTCTATAAGATTGCGTGCTGTCCCTATTGTTGCCAAAAACGAAGTACAACGGAACGTCGTAGCCCTTAGGGAGGCTAAGACTGAATGAATTCGTCCAGAATCCAACACCAGGCTCAGTGATCCCGGCCAATGGACTAGAATCGTCCCAATTCTGACTTGGTGGTGAGGGTTGATGCCAGCCTTGTCGTTCCGCATAGAGCCCTCCTTCATTGAGCGGACCACGTGCGATGTCAAGGTAGTCTTCTCCGCCGATGTTTCCCGTGAGTTTCCAAGTAACATCGCTTTGGCTGTGTCCTGATAGGTTGAAACCAAGGGAAAAATAGATAACACATTCGTCATTTGTTTTGCATTCAACTTCCACAATGAATACCACTATATTAACCGGACACGTTTCTGGAGACTATGATGTTTTGGAAATTTGGCTAAATTGTCGAGATGCGGGCATGTCGATCATTGGATGAAGACGGTGTGCTACATATTAGACATCCTTCACTGATCAGTGCTGAGCATCCACTGAGCGTACCACGAGCAATGATGAGTGCTCACTGAGTAGATCTCACTGAGTAGATGTTGAGAGTTGCTGAAACTTCACCAGGTACAATGAAATCGGCCAGTTTCCCCTGAGGAATTTTGTTCAGGACCCCGTTTGCTCAACCCCCAGAGGCCTCTGAAATGATATTCAGACCACCTAAGTGCTCAGAAAACACATATCAGAGATATGTAATAGCCACTTTGTATTTATTTAGTGGACGTTCTTTGTTTTTCCATCCCGCCCACAGTTATCACAATCTCGACCATGATGAGGTCTATATAAAAGGAAAGTCACTCCAGATTATCATAAAAAGTTAATTACAGCTGTGCCTCGACGTACTAGAGGTCCTAGGCCCGTATGATCTTGGTAGCTAGCTAAAATGAAGCTTTCTGGAGAAGTCCACATGATGTGAAAATGCTTTGCAATTTCCGTGAGAATAGATAGCCTATAGATGGGTTAACTATAGACCATCCCTAGACTGATATTTTCCCTAATTCCGTAAAACCGGATGCCGGGGATTGGGATACGCTTGAGCCTTCGCCTAGGCCCCGTCCTCACTAGGAAATGAAACAAAGCTGTATGTGTACAGTAGTTTACCAGTACATGTGTATGTTGGAGCGGCTGTTTTGGTGATCTGCCCAGTTATTTTGAATCCACACTGAAATTCTACAGAAATCCAGGCATTGCAGGAGACCAGTATCCCCCTATCATTACTATCTAGTAATATAACAATAGATAGGATAACAAGTGTCAGCCCCTAGCATTCCTTGGGAGGGCTAGATTGATCATCCAGTTCCCCTTCATGCTAGTGGACTAAACAGTTACGGCAATAGTGAAGCAAATTTCTGTAGGTGTGCAAAAGGTACGAACAGCCGGATTAATTCTGTTCTCAGTCCGTAATACCGGAAACTGAAGTATGGTTCATTACGCAGCTCCAAGGGGTGTGGTTCTCGCTGCTATACTGGGAATGGGGATTATTTGTCTAAGAAATTACGCCTTTCTATTTTGTAGCTTCATCCTTCAGCTGGGTGAATCAAAGGCTCTAAAGCATGCGTAAATTTCTGCGCGATTCCCCAGCAACCCAGTTGTCGTAACAGATCAACCAAAATGCAGAGGGTGTTGGCCTTGACAAAGGCGAGATTTCCGGTACGCGACCCGAAGGTTTGCAAACAATCTAGGTCCACATCACTGGCCAGAAGTTGTATCTCCGGCCAGGAAATTAGTGGCTCGACTGACGACCATAATGGGCCCTGGATGGCATTGCTGCTGGAACAGGCCAGGTAGCCGGCCCAAGCGACCGCGGCGGCAAAGAGACACCGAGGAACATGGATAGCCTTAGCGCGCCCCATGGGCACCGACTCAAGGCGCTTCTGCAGGAGGAGAGCATGAAGCAAGCAACGTTGAGCATCCGTAGCGACGGACCACCGCGGTATCACAACGGCCACGGGCATACTCAATGCTGCCGCGCTGGGTCCTTCCTGCCCAATCGCTAATTCTAAGCCATGGAATTCTGCTAGCAAGGACATCCAGATAGTATGCCATAGGATCAGAAGGCACAGGGGGTCAGACCGCTCCATGATCGGTCTGCGGTAGCGGGAATACCACGACATCAGATCGCGCTGATACCGTTGAGTAGTCCCGTGATCGAGTTGGTCGAGGACGCGGTCTTCGCAGATGGAAGCGCCGATGCCTTCTAGTAGCATATAGGCGGTAAACATGCTGTGCGAACATCGCTCATCCGACACCTGTATAGAGTCGGCGGTCGTAGTGTTACCACCCCCCGTATGCGAGCATAAAGGGTATGTGGAAGCAGCACTCGGGTCCTGCTTGATTAGTTGAGCCCACGTATTGGCGGCGCGAGCGGAGAATGGGTCGGTGCAGGATGCTAAGGGGATCGTCTTCACCCGGTGTCGCAGAATCGGTTCGTCGTGAAGAAGAGTGGACATTTCGGCGTCATGTACAAAAAGGCCCAACGCGGTTCTAGGGCCAAGTCAGCTCGGCAGTTCCTCGTTCAATGACTCGGGCGCACACAGAATGCTTTGACCTTTTGATTTCCTCTTGCCGGGCCCATGCGTGCCATGCCTCCGCGAGCTTCGCCCCTTCTAAGCCTTCCGTGGAGAACGGCTTGTTCTCCATCCCAAAAATCTTCGCTCTCCGAGCCATCTACAAAAAAAAAAAAAATTAGTTCCAAACGGAATCCAAGTAAAGCGTCGGAGACACTTTGCTCTGAGCATACCGCAATGCCTGTGCCATGGAAGGCGGACACTGTAGCCAAGTGGTGGGGGTCCTAAAATACAAGATACTGAGTCAGAGCCAAAACAGTAAGATGCGTATGCTTTGAAGGTAGGACTTGCCCCAGAAAGCATTCCAAATGCCTGTCCAATGAGTGCCGCCTGGACCATAGAGATGATCTGGTTGGTACTCGAATGTATGATGCTATTCCACTGGAGATGATCTAATGAGTAAACTGTAATAAAACAGAGAGTGGAGGGTTGCAAAACTATTACTCACCGACCCATGAATGGCCTGGTTCAACCGTTCAAAGATCATGGCGCCTTTCTGAGCGGCCGCGATGGTCCCAATGAACATACTACCAACGGCACAGACGGACAGAAGAAGCAGACGCTTCTCCGGCGATGGTTGAAATGTCGGTCCATGTAGAACTGGGAACGCCGGATTGAAGTAGGTGAAATACCTTTGGATACATAGATTCTATGGGGCCAGTCAATAAGAAGCCGTTCACGCTAAGGAAAGGAAACAATCCTATACAGATTCTCTATTTTAGAACATTTGTAGTCGACTCACCAGAAACTCTGTTGAGGGCAATGGTTCTTGCGACCGCAGCCAGCCTAACTGATGACCGAGATCAAGTCGATATGTGTCACTTATTTCTAGGAGCTCATTCAGCTCCGTCGCACATCTGGTCGCACATCTGGCGTCAATCTCGATTGAACCCTCTTCAGCGAGCTCGAGACCCAATTGTGAAAACCAGCACGTTGTAGTTGCGGCCGACGGAAAATCTCCGGTCGATTCCACGAAATATTTGACCGAAGAGGACGATAGATCGCAGGAAGCGAGAACCTCAGAGTTGGTGCGGTCATGACTGCAGTCGGACGAGGCCGTCGATTTGTGGAGATCGGTGGTTTCATCGACATGAAGATCGTCCAGCACATAGTCTGATGAAAACGCCGCCAGAAACACATCCTGCGGCAGGGCGTTGGAGGGAAGGCACAAGTCGACTGAAGTCCCGAAATCCACAACCCTTAAAAGTTCATCTGGTAGCTCAATGTCATATGATAGGGTCGGCGCAACTATGGTGTTGGACAAGGAAGAGTCCGCAGGTGTTGCTATGGAGGCATGATGATCGCTGCTGTTGTCTGAGGCGCATAAGGGGTCGGCTGAATTTCCTTCGTCCGGCCGTAGGCTAGGCGGAGCCCCAGGGACCCGACGATGGGTCCGTTGATGCCGAAGCAGGGAGTCTCTGTCACATCCTGTCAGCGCAGATTACCTGCGGAGTAGTGGCAGGTTGAAAGATTTCATACTGTCTACTATATTGCCGGCCACAGTTATCACATCGGAAGGGTTTTTCCTTGGTATGCGATCTTAGGTGGCGCTCGAGATGGTTGGTTTTTGTAAACAGTCGGCCGCAGTAGTCACACGTCTTGCCAGTGCTAACCAGGCCTGTCCGAGGTCGATCCATGGCTGTGATCCGAAAATCCCAGACCCTGAGGTGTATCGAACATTGCGGTGCTGGACCCCGAGGGCTTGCTTTATACCTCCTACGTATGTAGTTGTGGCCGTTCTCGCTTCGTTATTGTTCCAACGGGCCGATCGGGGGCTCTAAGTGCCGATTGCCTAGATTGGGTAATTGGGGTACACACTCGATGTACCCTTACCCCGCGCTTTCTAGCCAGTAAATCTTGCTTGGAGTCATAAATATGGATGAGTGGTGACATGATGGATGGCTAAGCAGCAAATGAAATGGGATGATATGGCCTACAAAATGCGTCACTCTTGTTATGAACACTTGCAATGAAGGAAGATGCCGCATCGGTAATTTCTGATGAGCACGCGAGGCGTGGTGTGTCCTGGATTCCAGTGACACTTTCCAGGGAATAATCACACGGGCTAGAATGCGTGTTGCCACACCCACCCACTACATATTGTCTAGCTTCTGGGAGCAAATTGATCTTTCCTCGACTTGGACTGGCATTGCGTCCAGCTTGACTTAATATCTATCGGCTCTACATGCAACGGTTAAGATCGACCATGCTTAATTATATAGGAAGACATGTGACTGGCGCACCGGTTAGAAGAGTTGCTGGCGATTTTTCCCCATATTCCTTCCATTCTTAGTATTCTATCGCTTAGTCCTTGGACCTCATTATATTAAAATCCCGTATATTTGACAATACAAAACTCACCTATCCAAAAAGACTAGACGCACGGACACGACGGAATAATGGATATATACCTATGAATGTGGGGAAAGAGCTTTCGTATAAGCCACCATGATGTCCAATAATACCTAGATATCCCTAAGGGTATCATGTGCGTCGCTTCTCATGAATGGGCGTATGGGCGTAATACCAGACGAATTGGTTGAATAAGCTCATCGCAATACATCCTTCTCCACATTCACTATTTCCGTTATTCCGCGTGTCCCGGTTTTTTGGTTGCGGAGAAGGTTCAACAAGGCGCATTACACATGGTGGGCACGCAAGTTATTGGTTAAGGATTTACTCAGGTGTAAGAAATGAAAGACATTGGAGGTCGTATGTTTTCCACAATTGAACTTTTAAAAGTGAATTGCAACTTTTATGCCAGTTCATATCAATCCGGTAGAAACTAATATTACCTTGGCAAGCGAAGATCCGTGAACTAGTGAGAAAGGTTAGTAGTCTATCTGGTTTTGTCTTCTTTTCGCCAGCTTGAACTATACCTCAATACCGAGGCCCAGGTAACCTTCCAGTCCGATATCTTTTTCCTTGCAGGTCGTCATCGCCATTTAGCTTCAACTTTCATGTTGTTATGGATCTAGATGCATGCATCCCCTCTTGGAATCTTAGAACCGGATCGCACAATTCCGTAGCTATCACAAGTAGTCAAGATAATCCAGCTCTCCTAGCCATGTTGCGACATAGAGCCTGCGAGGAATGCAAAAGGTAAGTTAGTCGCACTGCTTTAGAGCGATCTGACAAATTGTGCAGAAAGACAAGATGTGAGGGTAACAAATCACTTTTTGGTCCGCCATGGGCTGATCTGATTATTTTCAAGGTGATATGAAGCAGCCGTGCTGCTCATTGTGTGGTCGAGTTGGAAGTACGTGTGTCTATCCGTCACCAATATCTTCTCGGCACCGTGGATGGAGATCCAAGCTCGCCTTCCAAACCACCTCCTCCACTGCCGCCGTTGGTGAGGCACCACTTTTCACCCGTTCTCGAGCCTCTATGGTACTAAACCTCGTATGAGCCGCTAACCTAGAGTATTTGACCGATGGCCAACCACTTTCATCCCATCTGCTGGATGATCAGCACGAACTAGATGGCCATATACTGGACCTAATGGATTATATGGACGGCGTTGCCGACGACATGCCATGGGATGCTGACTTTCAGACGCTGAACTCGAATGTCAGTTACGACTTAGATGCCCGACATGCTGGACTTGGTTGGATTCCCTCTGGACGAGTTTTGCAGGATTTCAATTTGAATGGCAAGTCTCCTCTGGTAGACATGTCGAGATAGCAATTTCAAGTAATCTGCCTGACGGCCTAATCTCCAAGAAGAATTGTGTTGCACCGCTTGCCAGTCAACCGCCAATTACTCAAATTTCCAAGCCAAAACTCAATGGCGTATACTATTCACTATCAGTCCCTGATGTGGTTGCTAATACCCTGTACGCGCGCACCTCAATCGTCATTCATTCGCTATCATCTATTGACAAAAAAAAAACCAGAATCGAGACATTCTTTGAACGGGCTCATCACTCAGTTCCAATCCTCCATCACCCTACTTTTTAAACAAAGTATCTAAACAGCACAGATCGCCCAGTCAATCGATACATGCGACCGGATCTAGGCTAGGCCTTAACACTGAATGCCATATTTTCCCTTTAGTCACGATTCTCCTCAGCCTCTTTCTTCCGCGGTATCCCTGCGAAAAACCGAGGAACCCCTTTAGCCGATAAGGCATCTAGTCTCTACCATAAATTTTTCCAGATCATTGGCGAAAATACGCCGACTTTGGTACAACTACAGAGCTTAATTTTACTTGCAATTTACTACGTAACGGATGGTCCTGACACAAGCACTTGGCTCTTGATTTGTTTGTACAGGCGCGTACTACACCAATTAGACTTACACCTCATTGATGTTGATATTATGTCCAATATCCTTCAAGGCTGGCTCCTCTATTAGCAGCTGAGTGGGTTGAACGGGAGGGCCGTCGATTGACATACTGGTCACTCTGGGAAATCGACAGGTTCACATCCGGCCTGTCGTGGCATCCACCCTCCCTATCCCAGAGCCAAGTACTTCTCCCTGTCTCGGACCACTATTGATTTTCTGAGCAGCCAATTTCTTCTGCACCACTATTGTCACGCCACGAAATCACCTGGAGGAGTCTCTACGATTCTCCCAACAAATATGAGCGAGCGTGGTTCCGCATTGGCCACAGCTTCCTGACGCTGTCTATGCATTTGAGATAGTCAAACTTGCTATCAGTGCAAGCGAAATTGAACTTGGAATCGGGCCTGAATAGTTTTGAATGTAGCTTGCCGGAACATTTTCGACGTGAAAGTTTTCAACGTTTTACCTTTGATGATGAAAACTTTGTCAGAGAAAACTGGATTACTGCAACACACCTCATGATTCAAGGGGAATTGGATTGTATCCTTCCATTCATCACTAGACGAAGACCGCTGATAAACATATTTGTAGGGTTCGAGGATGTATTTTAACAGCACCAAGTTCTGATTCTAGCGAGCCTGTTGATGCAATGGGATTAGGTATGCATGAGGCGGACGACCCAATTTCTGATATATACTCCGTGACAGAGAACAACCTTTATAAACGTAGATCCTCTCACAACGATCTTCTCAGAATCTATAAAGCTTGGTCTCCAAATTATATCCCATTTGCTACGCAATTTGTTGCTCCGACTCTTCTAGGTCTGCACGGAGTAAATGTCCTCCATCTTCTCAAGGACAGTACCTCATTGAGTAAGACGGAGAGCGGCCTAGAGTTCCTCAAATATATCTTGCAGCATATGACCAGATACTAGAACCTCTCTACGTTGATGCTCGATAAGTTCCCATATAGATGGGTTGGCCTTAGAAAAAATCCAATGGAGCTTCTTCTGATGACTAGGGATTGACACTGATCTCGCCTTTCAGACCTTAGGTTTATTCTCTATTCAACGCCAAGTATTCCAAGCGACTAGCATTTTCTAACACGGAAATACCTGATTAGTCATCATCCCTTTCTACTTCCGTCAAGTAATTAGTAGCACCCACGTAATGTGGTATGAAAAGAGCTTGAATAGCAATATTACGCTGCCAATAGTCACCAGACCAGCGAATCTGTAAGGGTCTGGAACTACAAAAAGATTAACGTATTATCTTTTGCTACAGAAGAAATATACATGCCGTTGTGCAGAAGGTTGGCAACCCCGCCAGTTGCCATAGTAAAGGTAAAAAAGACCAAGTGAAGTACCGAAGGCGATGTTTCCAGAGAATTGATCCTGGAACTTGCCTCCCTTCCTCTATGTCTCTGTTACTGTTAAAATCAACCGAGACAAAAAAAATCAATGGATGATGACATCTTTAGATTGCGATATAAATCCTGGTCCATTATCGCTAAATTTAATTACTAATTGAGGCTATCATAATCATTCTGAATCTTCGGAGTCTTGTATAGTGTCAAAAATTCTTGTGGAGCACCGACAATAGTGAAGGCTCGGTACCTTCAAGGAATGCTGGGTTCAGGTTCCCGCCTTGCACTGTGGGAACAAATCACAGCCCGAGCGGCACTCATGTAGTTTATCTAGGTACAACCTATTCACAATTATCAAGGCCAATGCTTCCTCCGGCCCAAAGCATCGCTGATGGGATTGGGACGCATCCACCTGCGTGACAAGGTCAATATGAGTAAGCCTAATGCCTATGAATGAATGAGGAGTAATAGTTCGAAGCATACAAGCACAAGGGGTGATATAAAGCACCAATAGCATATTCTATTGGCTATCCTGTCAGTAACAGTCATTGATCGGCTAATTCTATTCTCTCTCCTGCTGTGACCTGCAGTTGTCAGGTTGGGCCCAACGTTATCGACTGTCCTAAAATGCCTTTCCCACAAGCCCCGCAAAATGCCTTCACTATTTTAGAGGGATTGTCGTATCTGCAAACATATAAGGAATTTCGTAACCACTATTATATCACCCTTTTTCTTATTATTTTTATTTGCCTTGTTTTCTGTGTGAAATTAATTGATCTCACTATGACCGTCACCAACAATATGTATATTGCGGAGACTCCCCGAGAGGTTAAAGAGGCCGAGGGATTACTTCTCCTTACCCAAAATACCCCCAATGGCCAAGCCATTCAAATTATGTTGGAGGAACTTGCCGCGACTTATGGCACCGCATGGACTACATTTCTAATCGACATTTCAATTAATGAGCAGAAGAAGGAATGGTTCCTCAGACTCAACCCCAACGGTCGCATCCCAGTCATTATAGACAACTATACTTCACCGGGATTTCCTATCATAGAAACGTCGGCACAGTTAGCCTACTTAACCGAACAGCTGGACCTAGAACATCAATTTGGGTTCGTGGACGCGTTCGAACGTAGCCAAGCCTTGCAGTGGATGGTCTTTTGGCATGGAGGCGGAGCACCCTATCAGGGCCAGGTGAATCATTTTCGTCGGGTAGCGCCAGAGAAGATACCCTGTGAGAACTGAAAACTTATTTTATCCTGATTATGCCAGCTAACTTGAGATATCGACAGACGCGATTTCCAGATACACAGCTGAGACCCTCCGGGCGTTTGGTGTCCTTGAGCTTCATCTCTCTGGCAAGTTCACCGGATTGGCACGCGAATATCTGGCCGGGAATGGGAAAGGCAAATATAGTATCGCTGACATCAAAGCTTGGCCTTGGATTAAAAATTGGGAACGCAGTGGATTTACTATGGAGGAAATGTCACAGTTTCCACACCTCCTCCAATGGATTGACCGAATTGCTGTGCGGCCAGCCGTTCAAAGGGGCATTGGAAAGAAATATTTAAAATAGTCTCCTGGCTTGGAAATAATGGCAGAAACATTACCAAATACTCACAATATAATGGTCATTCTAAGTTACCAAGGTCTACATCTGCTAGATCTGTGCAAGCCTCTCCAAATCCTGATGGCCACCCAGTGGCAATTTCAAAGGTTCTAGAATTTAAATCCAACAGTATAATTGTACCTACCACTTCGTCTATCTCCCTCCTCTCCCTCTCTCTTGTTTTTTCTTTTCTTTTGGGCTAAGGTAGACCTTGGCACGGCTCTGGGCAAGCAGGGAGAATGGGAAGATGAGAAATTATTGACCGGATGCCAGATTACGGAAAGGGAAATACGAAATAGTAGTGAATGAGAGCCGCTTGGGCAACGTTTCTAGGCTACATGCCTTAAACGAGTCAATCACAATACAGACTACTATGCCTTAACGACATTACCGAGAATTAGCAGAAAAATCCAATCCGCAGAATAGCATAGGCATTCCACGGCTTTAGTTTCTGATAGCTTCCAATGCAGACCAGATTGACAGTAAATTCATTGTAAGGTCGCGTAACATCCGTACGGACTCGGACCAAGCCTCAAAATGGGACCGCAAGGGACCGCAAACCAAACCGGGATGGACCGCCGTCCAGTCTTTGGGATGGGAACTCGGCACCGCGGTGCGCACCACTGTACCCAAACAATGAAAGAATCAGACGAAGGCAGAAATCACTCTAATGCGCGCTCTTAAAATTGGCGCAAGGTCTTCTGTTGCCTGTAATTCGCACCACCGTGTGGCGGGATGTACTGGCCGGAGAGGCTCGGCAGTCCCTCCGTTATGGAACTTTACGCAACGACCTTGTGTGGGACACGGAATTAAGACCCCAGCTTGACTTCTTTTTAGGCTGATATATCTGTTGCTGAAGTCATTCAAGGCATTTACATCTTCCGGCGCTGAAACAGACATCTTCATTCATATCTTTGTTTCTTTGCTTAAATCCTCGTATATCGTATATTTGTCTGTCATGGATCCGTCATTGGTGTTGGATAAGCTCCCTAAGTTACTGGATCTCAACACAGAAAACATTACAGAAAATGTCCATCAAATCAACTCCAACAACCCTGATAGGCGACTTAAATTTGTTGTGGAGCGACTTGTTCATCATTTGCACGAGTTTGCACGAGAGGCGAGGTTGAGCACGGACGAGTGGATGGCTGGAATAGAATTTCTTACGGAGATTGGAAAGATCTGTGACAATGAGCGTCAAGTATTTCAATTCGCATTTGAGAACTCCTATTAGTATCCATATAGTGTACTGATGCTGTCCACGCAGGAAATGGTTCTCTTGTCTGACACCCTTGGTCTTTCCCTCCTTGTGGACTCTATTGACCATCCGAAGCCAGCCGGTAGCACGGAGGGCACTGTACTTGGCCCCTTTCACACACACAACCTGCCAGAGAAGGGTAATGGCGACGAGATCATGCTGAATGACCCTAATGGGATGCCTATGCTAGTGGTTTGTACTGTCAAGGACGTTAATAGACGCCCAATCGAGGGGGTTAAGATTGAGATCTGGGAGACGGATTCCACGGGCAACTATGACGTTCAGCGGTCCGACCACACCATTCCCGATGGCAGATGCTCCATGAAAAGCGATCATGACGGTGTGTTTTGGTTCAAGGGCGTCCTGCCCGTATCTTACCCCATTCCACATGACGGACCGGTGGGGAAAATGCTCAAGGTATTAGGTCGCCACCCAATGAGACCAGCACATATACACTTCATTTTGGATCATCCAAGATACGATCGCTTGGTTACGTATGCAATCTTTACTCTCCCTCCTTTGTTAATTTTGTCCTGACAAGCTGGAATAGTGCTCTCTATCTCAGAGGCGACCCCTACGAAACATCCGATGCAGTCTTCGGGGTGAAATCTAGTTTGTTGATTGATGTAGATCATACAGACCAGGTGCTCTCTGAGAGATATGGCGTAGCTATTGGCACGAAGGTCATCAAATATGACTTCACTCTCGTCTCTGAGCAGGAGTCTCTCGAGCTGCGAGCTAAAAATAGTCGACAGGAGCTGGAAAAATTGGGTCACAGGGTGGAAATTGTAAATGGCTTGCCTTGCCGGATGTAGATCAATGATTCTGTGAAATTGAGTGAACGATGTGATTTACAGATAGATTTGTGAACTCGTCTAGTCCTGCTTCCCTGGAGGATAGATTATCGGTGCCGATCAGAGTAAAAATTACCATGAATCTTCTCGAAATCTACTACATATCATATTCAATGTAGCAAAGTTGCTCATGTTTACTGGCTGAAAAAATCTGGACCATATAAATATATATGTATATATATGAAGTTGAAAAAAAATACCATTCTATGCATACGATTCTAGAGACCGATCTCAAGTAGATACTCCGATCCTTCCAAAGAGGCATTTTGACTCGCTTATGTCAACGTTTGGAGATCCAGCTGTAACACTGTAGGAAGTCAATGAGTTGAGCAGCCCTTTTGAGACTTGAACGCTCTCCCAAGGATACCCCAAGGGAGAATAGAAACAAGGAAGAATGGGACGTGCAAATCTTCTTAAATCAACCGTTGGCGTAATTATGACTAGTCAGCTCTCTGATTTTCAATTTATGTACATGTACATCCCAACATCTGAGTTTGATAGATCTTCCATGTCGATAACATCAGGTGCTTCTCGCAATCTTAGCAAAAGTCGGTTTATCCTCTCGATCTATCAGAGGATATTGGAGAGCCACGTCAATCATTTCCGAGAAAGGCACCACTGCCTTCCAGCTACGATGACTTGTGATGTTTTTGTACCACCGAGTGGTGTTTGGGTTCTCAAAGCTCCAAGCTTTGTCGAGCACGTACATGAATCCCCGGGATACCAAAGAAGCAGTAAAGAAGTCTGCCAGGGTAAGACTATCTCCTACAAGAAACGAACGGTGCTGGAGATGCTGCTCAAGGGCTCGAAGGGCTGTCAAAGCCGCCTTCTTGGACTCTTCGACGCGAGCTTTGTTGAAAGTGTCTTTACCAATAAATGGTCGGAACCACCCACCGAGCTTAGGTAGGATTTCACTATTAGCGAATGACATCCATCGGATGATAGATGCAAGGTCCTGTTTGCCGCTGCCCAGAAGGGTTGTATTCTCAACCTGTGATGTAACTTTAACCCAGTCAACCTATTTCCCAGACAACATCGTAAATCTTTCTCCTCCTCACAAGGATATATAAATATAAAGATAGGTGGTACCTACGATAAATTGCTATAGCCATGACCTCAGTTAGTACGAAGCCATCACTGCCAACGAAAGTAGGCACTCGCCCGAGTGGGTTCAATTTGAGGTACTCGGGGCTAACTTGCGGAGGTTCAATTTCTACAAACTTAATGTCAAGATTGTTCTCTTTGGCAATGGTCAAGAGAACAGTGGAACGGGAATTGCCCTATAAAGCAGCGTCAATGCGAAGAAGGCATAGAAAATCCGCTGCGGATAACTGACATGAAAACCATATAGTCTGCCAAAAGACATCTTCAATTATTCAAGTTCCCGGCGGTCTGAAAGTTGTAGGATGATGGACGTCCAAGTCAAGTGAAATATTCTCGTTCTTTAAGGTTCATGAAGGATGGTGAACCCCTAGGCTGATATGTGCCGCATCGGAATGATTATTGGTGGGACCCGATTGTTACCCACAAAAGGATTCTATTTGTAGGTGAGAGAGCAAGACTCTTATTAAACTTTTGTTCTTCAAGCGTTAGGATTGGGAATTTCGTACAGTTGCAGGCTGTCACCGCTACCAATCTTCACAGGACAAATCCTGCGGTCCCAGTCCCACATCAAATGTCGTCTCGCCGAATATATCCCACATAACCTGGTGGAGCAGTACAACACTGTTTTGCTTTCTCAGAGTAGCAGTCACTTAGATAGCTATCAAGCAGGATGTTACTCTCCCTTGGTCTCTATCGTCTAGCATCTTCCGAAATATTGTATGAATAATTATCTGCCCTGTGGGATATACCCGCGGGACATGCCTGCGGGATAACGGCTTGTTGAAGCTGACTGAAAATATCCCCCACGTGGCTGTTAAGGTGTAAGGTGCATATATATATAAGCTTTTTGTCTACGGATAAGCACCCACATCAGTTAACAATTTGTGTCTTTTCTTTCTCAGACAATTAAGAAAGCCGCATTTCAGTTATGGGTGGAGCAATTAACCAGACTCTGGAGCAACTTGCTCTGAATGACAAACTTCTGCCTTCGAAGCCCTCTAAGGGACCAAAAGCAGTCTTCCCCACTTTTGATCCTTCCTACCGTGAGTTCAATGAAGAGGGTATGTCCATCATCTATAATGAAGACATTCCAGTCCGTGATGGCACTAAGTTACGGGGTGATATTTTCCGGCCCTTGAACACGACACTCGATGGCAATGAAAAATGGCCCATTGTCCTGGCTATTACTCCCTTCGGCAAACAGGTCCCTTCTGAACGTGATCAGAGTAAAACACCACCGAGCAAAGAGTTCGATGCAGGCTATGATGGTGTTTACATGTCTAAATTCAGCACATTTGAGGGCTCAGATCCTGCTTTCTGGACGAAGCATGGATTTATCTACGTTATCGTTGATTCTCGTGGAAGTTTTGCATCCGAAGGGACCAGGACAACCTTAGTGACACCAGTTGATGCATTAGATGCATACGACGTTATCGAGCACTTGGGTGCGCTGCGATGGTCGAACGGGCATATTGGAATGATTGGCTCCAGTGCACTCGGCACTATCCAGTGGTATGACTCTACGAAAGCGAAACGTTCAATGCACTAACTCAAACCAGGTTCGCGGCTTCGTTAAATCCACCACATCTGTCGTCCATCATTATGCAGGACGGGTGGACTGATACGTATCGTGATATCTACTACAAGGGCGGCATTCCCCACTTGAGCTTTGTGAGGGTATTGCAAGATGTTTATCTGAGTCACGGAAATGCGGAAAAATCCCCAGTTAGCGATTTAGTCTCAGCTGCCCTTCAACACCCGACCTTTGATGAATTCTGGGAGCGATTGGATCCCGATGTTACAAAAATAACATGTCCGATCTATGTGATTTCAAGCTTTGGTGACAGGGGCATTCATTGCCCTGGATCTATTCGGGGTTACCTCAAGGCGAGCGCGAAGACGAAATTTCTCGAGCTTCACCCGTGCGTATAGCCTCATCATGGCATTAGTATTCACTCTAACTTGGTTCCTCCTTTTCATAGGTATCGCAAATGGGAATGGCAGCTTACTCCCGAATCTTTGGAGCGACAGCTGGCTTTTTTTCACAGAACTCTCCAAGGTCCAGATCAACATGCCGCCAAGTCCATTGACTATTGGCCAGCTGTACGCCTTCACACAACCGAGAAACACTACGCTGGCAGCTGGCGCAGTGAGAATGAGTTCCCACTGGCCCGAACAATCCGAAGCCGGTATTACCTAGGGAACGACCAACAGCTGGTCACAAACAGCGGTCCACGGTTTAGTAATGGATTAGTGACATATGAAGCCAAGACTGGTTCCGTCTTTTGGCAGTATACATTTGGTCAACCAACCGAGATTACGGGAACTTCGCGTCTACACCTCATTATTTCAATCTCTGAAGGAAGTGACGCTGATCTTTTTGTGACGCTGCAGAAGTTAGACCGCCACGGGAACATTGTCTTCTTCCCTTATCATACGTATATCAACGATGGCCACGTGTCATGGGGTTGGTTGAGGGCTTCATTGCGGAAATTGGATCCTAATCCTACCGGCGACGAAGTAGCGCCTACTTTCCGCAAAGAAGATCAGCAGCCACTTGTTCCGGGTCGTTCGGTGGAAGTCGATATAGGGCTTCAACCTACTTCTACGCTTTTCCGAACAGGCGAGACTTTGAAGGTTATGGTACAAGGGCACGACTTCGGGGAATATTCTCCGGTGAATATTGTGTTTCCAGACCATGACTATGAGAAGTACGGCCCCGTATACCGGATACCTCGCGGTGGAACTGGTTGCAATCAGGGCCAGCATTCTATTTCCTTCGAAGGGAGCTACTTAGAAGTTCCCATTATTCCGCCAAAATAAATCGGGATTATAACACCATTGTCCATCTTTTCGCTTAATTTCCTTGCGTACCAAAACGTGACTGATAATCGCTTTGAAAAGGCCAGATAACTCACAATTTTTGGGTTTGGAATTTACTTCTTTCAGTCAGAAGAGAGAAAATATTGGTATTCTCCAACATAGAAGGCCTCAATGCATCAGTCATAGTACCGATTATTTTTGGTATATCGTTATTATTTCGGTTTGGAAATTGATATTTAAAATCAAATAGAGTGTAACTAACCTTCCGCTCGCCGGTTCATAGTTTTGTTCTGTAGCGAATTCACTCCGTTCGTAGCTCGCAGTTGCTTTGCCTGTGATAGATGAGTACTATGACCTAGCTCGTTTCCTGTATTGAGGATTTGCGTCAGGCGAATGACGCATTCGTGCAAGAATGGTATCCATAGATGACTTATCTATAACATGTTGTTTGTTTGTCAGAATACGTCTCTGGATTTCAATATATTACAAGCGTCACTTGCTACAGGGGAGAGTCAACCTTGCTTTTTTGTGCGAGTATTATGGCGGGTGTAGTCAGTGGCGCATATACAGTTCATTCGCCATCGTGATTTGAGTTTAGTTTCTTCCGAGGAAACTGGAATATACGTTGGTGCGAATTTCCTGGCCTCAATAGTGGTTTCATAACTCAATGCAAAAGATGGTTACTACGAGTATCATTAGCAAGAATAATCAAACTGAAGTTTTTAAATAAATTTCTCCATAATCTAATTCCCGGCCTTAGGAAACTAATGTTCAAGATATTAGACTAACATGTAAATGAAAGACCTAATAATACAGACAAAATCTGTTGGATTATATGGCTGCGAACTACATGACACTTGCACCGTCTACCATCCTGGAAAGCCCAATTGGCGGCCCACGCGTGAGTTTAGGTTTTGTGGGTTGTGGTGAAGCCTACAATAAGGACGACACCGGGAAAAGCAAGGCGTAGGATGATAAGCACCACGGCGTCACTACAATCCCCTGATCTCCTATCCTTTCAATAGGATGACTTGCGGTGGCGATTGATCTCCTCCACGATATGCCCCAAGCTACATACAATAGCCGTGGGCCGCAGATTCGGCATAGCAGCGTCCTGCCATCCTCTGTTGGCTCGATCAATCCAGATCGCGTGCATGCCCACACTACGTGCACCAACGATGTCGAATGGGTTACCACTTATAAGCCATACCTCGCCCATCTGCGATGGCTGCTTGCCGACCTTCTGGGCGAGGTGCTGATAACTCGTACGGGATGGCTTATACTGTCGAACCTCGTCAACTGTGATGAAGTCCTGGAAGGCGTTGGCTTGCGGGGCTAGGTCTCTGGAGCAGAGCACGGAGTTGGAGACCATAGTCCTAGACCCATTGGAGAACACCACGGCCTGGATGGTGGGATCTGTTGCGATTCGGCTCAGGGCTAGGTTCACATCGGGGAATATTGATAGGTTGTCATAGGCTTCCATCAGAATAGCGATCTCGCTATCACTCAGCTCCTCGCCTTGTTCTGCCAGGGCATGGAGCAGCGAGTTTCGAGTAATGCTCGAGAAGTCCTCGTAGCACCCTAGGCAAACGTTAAATATGCTCTCAGCGCAAGTATACAGGTTTGGCTTACCCATGCTGTTGAGTCTCCATGTATATTCCAGCTGGTACCGTCTCCAGAGCGTAGAGATGGACTTCGCCTTAGCCGCGTCGAAATGCTTCTCTAACTGCTTGGCAATGGAGTCTGTTGACAGTAGCGTGCCATATAGGTCAAAGGCCACGACAGTCTTGGTCGTCATGGTCATGAATGATGATCGTTGTCGAATTGTTGGGCAGAAATTGCCGTGGAGTCTGAATATGTTTAAGTGAATGCGAAGAAAATGTCAGTAGGATGGAATGAGGGTCCATGAGAACGTGGGTGGTGACAACGAGGGCTGCGGGAACCAGAGTGGCAACCATGGCGGCGGGAACTAGGCCGAGGGCGAGGTCGTGAATGCAGGTGGGAGGTGGGTAGTTGCTACGGTACCGCTGATAGAGTGTCTATATCAGTTTTAACCACGAACCAGACCGTTTAGAGCTGACTAGTCGAGAAAACAGAGACCGAGTCAATTTGAGTGCGTTTTCTGGCGTGTCGAAGTCATCGTTGTTAAGAAGATAGGTCGTATTTTACCGCGCTTGTTATTTCTTCCTCAAGCTTTTCACGACCTGAGGTCGTACGCATCCTCCTAACTAGTGTGCAGTTGAGTTGTATGCTATGACCGGTATCTAACCAAGCCTTGTTTGTTTAGGAAGAAACATGTAGGTGCCTTCTACATGTAGGTACCTTCTCCGGGTAGATCCATCTGTTATGAGCATGCGCCGTTCGTCAGAATAAACCATTACTACGCGGATGGATAAGACGGCACGACTAAGATACACAGCTATATGTCAAGAAGAGGAAGCCCTCAGTACCACCCTATCTAGGTAATAGCAGTGCCAATACTAAGGGCCAGTTCGCTATCAAAGGGGGCACCAAATAAAATCATTTACTGAAAGGAGGTAGCATGGCTTCGATTTTCTTTATGGGCCAAATTATTTTCTAAGCGTGTGATCAACCCAGGCCCTATTCCAAAGCTATGTAACAGAATATTAAATTAAAATGTTAAACATGGACTAATGGCGATGAGTGCACACATGGTGAAAAAAGGCAATCCCAGACGGGAGTAAGTACTATTTAAAATTTACAACTTTATCCGTACAGTGAGATTGGAATGCTCGTTGTAGGTCAGAGGAACATTGCTTAATTTCTGCAGAGCAGATAGCGTAACTTCTGACTTTATATACACCATTCAGCAACCAGGTTGATCGGAAACCTGTCTTGATCATTTCGTGGAGTAGAAATTTCTTCCGAGACAGGGTTTCGTATCACAACAGCAGTCTCGGCAATGCAACCGGTAAGTATTTACAGCCATGCCTTTCTATCCTCCTGGTATTTTCTGCAAAAATCAATGATTGCTTTCTCAACAGGTGGAAAGGTCAGACCTAAGTCTCTCCGGGACTTAGAATTGTCCAACCTGAAACAGTTCAATTTCCTCTCTCCGGTCTTTCCTTTCGGCACATTCTTGATCCACTCTGCTTGAGGGAAATGTGTGTGCATGGTTTCAACCACCTGCTGAAAGTCCATTGACTCAGTAGCGACTATATAGCGGCCATTGGCCTCCGGACGCAACAGCGCAGCAATGTGGGCATCTGCAACCGAGCCAATATCTGTCATCCAGGGGAAAGTCACTGCAGGAACATCCTCTTGCTTCCCATCTATTAGTTTTGATAGGTCAGAGTTTGTCTTGTTCATTGACTCTGGCGACGGCACATATTGAGAGTATTCACCCCAGGTATGGGCTGGATTAATACAGACGAGGTCGAAAGACCGAGGCTCCTTCTCCATGAAGTCCCATGCCGCTCTTTCGGCTAAGGCCTTCGATGCTGTGTACACAACGGAGAAAGCTGAAGATTTGGAAGCGGTCTCATAGGTCAATGGATTCCAGTCGTTTTCCGTATACGTATATCCAGGTCGGAAAAAGCCCAACTCGTTCTGCGGATCAATCATGGCTGATGCGGAAGATGTCATAACCACTCGTTTAACGGATGGTGTTTTTGCAGCTGATTGTAACGCAGACAAAGCACCTTTGATGGCTGGATCCAAGAAGTCTTTAGCGTCATTCATTTTGGAGGTGAAAGGAGAAGCGATATGAAGGACAGCGTCGCAACCCTTGATGGATTCTACGAAGGCAGACTCATTGCAAATATCGGGAACAATAAATATCGTGATAGAGTCACCGTAACGTTGTTTCAACGGAGCAACGGATTTTCCACTCCTGACAGTACCATGAAAGTCAATTCCCAGTTGAACCAGACGGTCCATCACCGCCCCGGCATAGAAACCATTAGCACCAGTAACAAGGACCTTCATTGCTACGGTATTCGACACATAAACTAAGACACGAACACGATGTGATTGTGGATGTGGTGTAAAGAGCTTTGCAATCGCATAAGTACTTAACCTCTACTTTCCATATCATCGACCTCCGCAAATGAGGAAGCCCCGCAAGAGAGAAGTCCCACAAGTGAGAAGTTCCACGGGGGAAGTCTCCGCATATTTGTTCAGCACCACAATACCCCAACTCCCTTGGTGGTTCCTTTTTATTCCTGGAAGCTTTCAATCCTGTATTCTTGCCATGGAAAGGTTATAGAGACATCCCACAGCGACTTCAGGCACTGATACAAATACCCACCACATTTATAAACACGGTTATCATGGAAGGTCGGAAATCTCGGATCCATGGCTCATAGTAGGGCCTCGTCCTAGCAAGTCTACTTCAACCCACCTCGCAACGTTTGTGATTTATAGACATATAATTTCAATGTTAACTTAAGTGCCATGTGGCAAGAGAGAGTTCTTTGGTGTTGTGACTGTTGACTCGCATTGCAGACATGTGGCAAGGTTAATGTTGCTGGTTGTGTATGGCAGGCTTATGCAGTAGAAACTAAACAGATGTACTAGATAAGTTGTTACCCAGAATTCTTTCCGGCCACTATATATCTAAAGTCCAAGTTGATATTGGAAATAAGACAATAAAAACATCTATCCTCTATATTCTATGTAAGTAGAACCAATATCATGGAAATGCTCTTCCGCGTTCCTTCTGTACCTAGGCATTGAAAACGAACAGCTGAACTCTACAAGCTCTAAACAGACAAATGATTCTTCCAAAATACAGTATTTAATTTTGGTGCCGAACAGAAGGGGGCTCATTTGAGGGGTGTTTAATATTTGTGGTCTGGGATAAAAACAGAGACAGAGCCTACCGAGGGGGGAGTTATCGATTTTCGAATATCATATCAGTACTATCGGAGGTTGATATCTATCCTATAAGGATTAGTGGCTTGCAAGGGTGTAACTATAGAATGATGATATTGAGCATAAGACTTTCTGACAGGTAAATGTAAAGGTATATACAGGATCACTCAACAGCCAATCGCTGGATTCAAGGACTAATACTGACTTAAGAGATCAATACTTATGTATGTCAAGGCTCAATCCATCCGTAAAATGTGGCCTTACGCATCGGTGGGGGGCCAAATTTGCTCCATGTCAAATTTATTCCAAATTTTGTCCATTTCGAATTCATTCCAGCGAACGGTTGGTCTAAGGCCAGCAAATTTCCACTGCCCATCAATTTTCTTGTAAAAGTGGACCATGATCGCATGCCCATGGCCCTTTGCGTAAACACTCTTTTTGTCAGGCTCAATATACTTCTGGTGGGCAGCTCGAATTTGGTGAGTACCGTGAATTTCAGTCTCAGAAATTTTTTCGTACTTCGAGGCTCCAAGAAAATGCTGAGTTTGTACCAAGGGGTTGCCCAACAACTTGGGGTTGCTTATCATCTTCACAAAATCGGCTGCTGGCAATGATCTCCAGGACTTGCCAAAAACCATTGTATAGTCGATCTAATAGGCAAGTGGTAAGTAAGATTGGAATCAGGTAGCATGGCTCCACGACACGTGCGTACTTTCAAAGTCGGGGCAAGAATTCTTGCTAAACGTTCAAAGTTCTATCGTGCGCAGTCAGCTCCTCGCATGGCTTAACAAAAATGCTTTCAGTTCTCACTTTTTCGTCGTAACAGTCAGCCCATTCAAAGGAGAGCTGGCTGACATCTCTCCAATCTAGTTACCTCGGTTTAGTACCAGACATCTCTACCACCGTAAGGGTATACAAGTAGCGAAAACTAACCCTCAAATGGAATCTCATTAGACATCAAGACAGAAATCGTGTGTTGTAAATATTTGGATGGCAAACTCTCCTCTTTGGCTCTTTTGTTCGCTATTGGGTATTCCTCTCTTCCCATTTTATATAATTTGTAGTGAACTGGCCCTGGTCATGATATTGCTCATCCTGCCTTCTCCCCAAGTTCCCGCAATGTTGTACATACTAGAACCCACCGCAATTGGCCCGCAATTTCCCCAGGTGCCGCTTTCTTTTTGTGGCACCCCAAGAATTAGAATTAGGGTTGCCTCCGCCCTAGCATAACGATCCGCGGCTGGCGGGAAATGCGGCTGACATAATCCTTTCCGCGGCAGAAGGTGTCATGGTTTGACATCACGTTCTTTACCTGGAACGCGTTGTTTTGTTTGCTTTGTTTTGCTTTATTTATTCTACCCTGCCTCTTGGGCCTTTAGGAGAGTTCTGAAGCTTTGAAGCTTTGTATACTCATTGCTATTTTTATAATCGCATCCTTGTCAGCAAGACCAAAACTCGTAAATTATATTCTAGTGTGAGCACACGCTTGCATCGCAAAGGGTCCATATTGGACATCAAGAATGGAGATGGCAGACAGCTAAAGAGTCGTGTGAGGATATCATCAAACAGACAGCAGACAGCATCAAGGCGTTTTTGAGGAATTGCCGATTCTTAGTCAAGATGCTAGAGTACTTCAAGCAGCCCCCAAAATCTGCATATGATAAGGCACAGGATCCTTTATAAATTAGATATGGCTGGTAGGCTACAATCCTGCAGAAAAGCCAAGGCGTGATGTTCCCAATTTCTGACCATCGAAACAGAACAAAACAGACATTTTCCGTTGTGTTCTGCTGAAACTGAGAGCCATTTCAGTTTTCAGCGGTTATATGCATCACAGTATAAGGTATCCAGGCAAATGTTGGTGAATACGGTTAGTCCATACAAATGGGACTAAACAAGGAATAATAAAAACAGATGATTTATCGGCTGAATCATCGAGTTTTAGTTCCGTTTGGGATAATTGGGTACCAAATGTATCAAAACTGGCCGCACAGGGCGGGCCCTAGGGCACCCCCTGGACGGAAACACACCGGTGGATCAAGGACTATGTCTGGCAAAAGGTTAACTTGTCATATCATTAATAATGGACCGCATCTAGTAGCTGAGAAGGAGTCTGAGCCTGAAGGATTTGCTTAAAAACTGACTGCTTAATCAATTTTCTCCCCCTCTTCCCACTCCTTGCTCGTCACAAGTGACCTACAAATAAAATTCCCCTCATCATAGATTTGCATCGGTATTCTCTCTCCTCTCCTACTCTTACTACCACCATAACTCGAGCAACTGTTGTTTCCCCATGGAGATAGTTTTACATCCGCCGCTGCAGGAGCCATCTATGCCGACACCGGCGCAACCCTGGATCCTAACAAATTATCACACCAATTTGCTAACTTCCCCGGCCTAACCTCTCTATCTAGCCAACTCCGTCACTCTCATCCGCCATTCGCCAGCACAAGGAGTACCAGACGATGGCGCCAATCGATACCAAAACGTATGATTAATTGTCATCGGGTGGTAGTGGTGGTAGCGGTAGTGCGCGACGGGCAGCAGGCTGATATGGTGCGAAAACGCTGATTGTTGAAAGCGGCCGTTCGGACAGGACATGCCTGAATGTTGAGTAAGCAGACGATGACCTGGAACTTCACTTCAATTAATGAGAAAATACAACCCGGCCGCCATTACGGTTACAACCTCCCTACGGACGTTGACATGGATTACGGTCATTTTAAACAATTACGCGATGCTACTATCAAGCGCTTAAACGACATCTACGAGAATAACTAGGCCAAGGAGGGAATCGATCTAAACCATGACCATTCCCGCTTCATCAAAGTCCAAGATTATAGAGATCACCTCCATAGACAACTCATGGAAATCGAGATAAACAGCAAAGCATATCTTACAGCCAGAGATCGCCCGATTATCCCAAATGTGAAGGGTGCCGAGCACGGCATTATCAGTGACAGATTCTTTGAGATGGAGAAGCTGCCGAAGAAATGGACTATCGTTGAAGCTGGCTATATCGCGGTTGAATGAGCCAGCGTATTAGCAGCTGTTAGCGTTAAAACCCATATATTCATCGGTGGAGAGACATTCATACGCAAATTTAAACCCATGATTCAGCAGACCATAACGGAGCGATATGAAGCCCATGGGTGTGAAGATTCACATGCTACACATAAGTTTGATGAAGTGCAGCTGTTGAAATATAGAATAAGTACGGATAAGCTACTTAAGTAAATTGATACCAACAGTAAAGAGCATGAAGTCAACAAGGTTCTATAGGCTATCGGGCGGGCACCTGAGATTAAGAAATTGGATTCAAGCATCCCAGATATCAAGCAGACGCACAGCAGACATGTTATTGTGGACGAGTTCCAGAACACCAACGTTTCGGGGGGATCTACGCGCGCTAGTCGACATGACGGGCCAGACGGAATTGACGCCTGGTACGTGGGAAATTTTCTACTCCATACGAAGGGTTGTTAATACTATGAGTGAAGGTAGCTGACACAATAGGATATAATAGTCGCTATTGCTGCCAGACAGCAACTCGTAGAACGTCTTTTTGGCCCGCCTGGACTCAAATCATCCAGTCTATCGTACGAGAATATCCCAACAGTGATCTTCGCGCACCCTGAAATCGGCATAGTCGGGTTGACCAAGCTTCAGGCACGTCAACAATTTGGCGACAACAAGATCAAAGTGTACGAGACGCGATTCACAGCGATGTTCTACGACGTCTTCCCGCCGGAGATGAAACACAATCCAACGCAGATGAAAATTATCTGCGCGAGACCAGAAGAGAAGGCTGTTGGATTTGCACATCCTAGGACTCGATACAAGCGAGATGCTCCAAGGATATGGTGTCGCAATAAAAGTTGGCGCGACTAAGAAGGGTTTCGACAGTTGTGTTACTATTTACCTGACGAGTGCCGAAGAATTGGTACGACTATGTGATGGAAATGCTTATCTTGCATTTGCTAACATTTGTGTAACAGGTGACGATGCGGCGAATATTATATCAGCTGATGTGTAGCTTTTAGTCTCGTTTTGGAACAATCAACTGATGCTGGGGCCATGTCATGTTCACCAATATCTAAATAAACACAGTCAGTTGCAAAGGGTCAAATAAATCAAAATCAAGTCTAAGATTAATCCCTCGTAAACATCGACAACAAGTCGGTACAGGTATACCTGTACTCTGCTCGACTGGAAAATTGCTCAACTTCTAGGTAAGATTTCTCGGCCAGCAAATGTCGGTGGGTTGGATGAATATCGCTCCTCCAGGTCTCCATATGAGAACGAGTCCTCTAGCATGGTGGTGCCAAGATCAACACCAAAACGCTGGACAAGGTTTTGAGATATGGCAATTCATATCCTATCGATTCTAGCAATGAGTGATGAATCTAAACGAGTCTTATAGGAAAGGACACATTGATCAGCTGGAGTTACTGAATTGACCGAATACCTAAAACACTGGAAAAAAAGCGAGCTTTTAGAAAAAAATGCGTCAAAAAAAAAGCTTTTACATTTCAAAATCTATGCACAGGCCCTGATGCCAAGAAATTTTCGATAATTATGGATTATCGACCTTTTTTCATCCATTACAATTCAGTTACTTGTTTATTAATGGTTGACAACCCTGTCACCGCCTATCAAGCTTACCGCAACCACCAGCGTCAATAAAAACCCCGACCTTGCTTGTCATAGTTTCTGAAAATCTATGTTAAGAAGTTCAAATGAGCATATTCATCGGCCATCAACATGGATCATGGCACGAAGTACGGAAGCAAAGAGGGACGTGAAGGAGATGATTGCAAATTTCTCTGTAGCGGCTATTTAATCAATTCTCATGGCAAGAAGCTGGCGAATAGCTTCAGTCGTCTCAGCTGGGCTCTCCATAGACCAAAAATGACCGCCTGGAAGATACACCACGTCGACGCTTTTCGCATTCGGAATATGTTCCCTGCAGTTCTCGTAGAATTCCCGAGGCTGAGTCTTACTATTATAACCTTCCATCACCAGAACAGGGGACATGATGGCTTCAAGTAATCGGTTCCGCCGATCAAGCCATTCGGCACGGAAAGTGGACGAGTTGAAGTATCGAGGCACTGCCCGCACGGTGCCTGGATACGAGAATTCCTGAATAATGCGAACAAATTCGTTTCTCGGGATGGGTCGCTCGGCGATCCAGGTATAGATCCAAACCACAAAGTGCTTGGGATCTTGCATCATCTCTGGATCCATGAAAAGGTCGCCTTGTGGCGCGAGTGACGGATGAAAGTGATACAGGTGTTGCTCACCTCGCCCGTAACGCAGCACCTTTTCAGGGTGCTTTGCGACAATATAGTCCGCCTGGACGGTGCCGCGATCATGGGCCACAATGTTAAATTTGGATGCCGCCAGTCCTATCTTCTCAAAAGCTTTGTACATCTGTTCCGCGACGCCTTCATGGCGGTAATCACCACCCTTCTTCTCTGACTGGCCGTAGCCCTTCAGGTCAAACGCCACACAGCGGTTTCCCTTGGCTAAGGCGGCCATTTGGTGGTGCCATTGGAACCAGCTGTCTGGAATCCCATGTAGAAAAACGATTGCCTCTCCCGATCCAGCTTCCACGTAGTGAAAGAGCACAGTCTCGTAATCGCCTGGCACCTCCACAAAGTGATGGGTGAATGTGACACCATCCAGCACTTCAGTGTCACCTTCTTTATCCTCACTGCGTGGCTCGACGGATGCATAATTTTGAGATTTCTCCTTAATTAAGTCTTGTGGTGGAATGAAGGTTTCGATGATTTTCTTGGCCCTGGCAGGGACCTCAGTGTATTGAGGAGTAGACATAGTGACCGAAACTTGCCAATAAAAGAAGTAGAATTTGATTTTTTTTACCTCCCTTCCTTTTGTTGTTCTTTGCGCTTTTTTGGGTGGGAAAGCTTGACAGAAATTGTATATTAGTCACTCAATCGTCTGGCATATCCCGTACAGACCCGCAGATCCCACAGGACTGTCCCACAGAGTCCCACCTACTCTAACCCTTGTGAAAATCAAGGTTTCGGGTTTAAGACCCAACAGCATGCGTACAGCGACCACCGCAGGGGGATTCTTATTTCCTGGCCAAACGATGAGAACGCATACCAGACACCACCGTAAAGGTAGGAATCCCACCACCCTGAGAGTTTTTCAATCGTGCTGCGCGGCTAGGACTTCTATCGAGCTGAGACTATGCTCAAGTCTAAGTCTACGCTACCTTGGTATATCATTTCAATAAGAAGTATACCTGCATACAATACTAGCTACAAGCACCGTGACAGAAATGTACCTGAGTTTTCTATATCCCTAGCTCCTCTTATCACGGCGTAAGTTCGAGTTCTAGACCATTGCCAACATACGACTTTACTTTTCAATTCACCCATTAGCGAGGAGATATTGCTTAAGATTATGCGTATGTCATTGCCACAACACGGCTCATTGCTGTTAAAATATTCGCTCTATATCTGAATCGCTTCTTGAATTTGTCGATTCTTGTCCACAACCAATCTGAGTTGCTTTCCCTGCCACTCCATGACTCGGAGCTTTTGTTTGTTTCCGGCACAAACACACCTCTTCGCAGGGTTTCCGTAAACAGTTCCTATGAAGGGTAGTCTGTATTAAACTTCAATGTTAGTGCCACATCAAGAGTATACATGGCTCTCATACGTACACCCGTCGACAAAGCTTTAACTTGTTCCTCGGTCATGCTCGTTCCTTTGACCGTACGCAGTATACTTTCTTATTCCTGTCGCCAGTCGTATACAAATCGTGTGTTTTGGGTATCACCGGATAAGTCAGTCAACTGATGATAAAGTTTAGACATGGGGAAAGTTCCACATTCTTATGAATCAGAGCATCGAGGTGGCTGAATAGCAGAAATCAATATAACGTCATGGCTTTATAAAGCATATCGATAAAACTCATTGGCTCAGTCCATCATATCCCTTCAAAGCGTCATGGATTACTTGAACATCTTCGAATTTCATGTAGCCCAATCGATCATAATAGCCACTACCACTCTTCTCTTTATATTCTACTGCAGTCTCCCATTTCCGTCTCAAAACCTCATCATCCAGTGGCTGAAAACCAGACGATCAACATGATTAACGTTTCTTGATAAGATTTCATTTCGTGGTGTCATTTCGTGGGGCGCCAATGGTGGATGCTGACGGATACGTTTGTTAGGGAACCATTGAGCAGATAAATCCCAATCGGGAAAAGAGCTGCAAGGCGTAGTTGTTTGTACGGGGAAGACTCTCGGCTTCGGTTTCAAAAGCGACGATAGCATACGTCGGTCGTTTCATCATCCCACACAAAAATCACCATAAAAGGTAATGATCCTCACACGATTATCTGTATTTTGGTCTATCAACTCTCAATTCTCTTCCTTTTCATTGACCGGTGACCCAAAGATTTACTGTTGACGGATGTCCAAGCTTTGAACGCAAAATGGCCTCCCATCATCCAGCACAATGTTGCACTGTCGGTGTGACGCATGGGTAAGTAAATTTCCGATCGAGATGCCACATCTGGTGCTCCTCCTGGTTAAAGCTATGACAAGTGAACAAAGAAGCTAAAGGAATTCCATCTCTGTAGGGGAGTAGCGAACGGACAGTCGGTAAAAGTGGAAGGCAAGCATGACGCGTACTTGGCCACCCCCTCTGCTGGTGTGGCACGTAAAAACGCTGCGATTTTGTATATTCCAGATATCCTGGGAATCTGGATTAACAGCAAACTTATGGCGGATCAATTCGCAGCCAATGGCTATACTACCCTTGTTATTGACATTTTCAACGGCGACGCCCTTGAGCTTAACCGTCCGGCCGACTTCAATCTTATGGGCTGGATGACTCAGGGACGTAATGGCAAAGGTCCTCATACACCGAAAGAAGTCGATTCTATCATTGAAGATGCTCTGGAATACATCAAAAGAAATCTCGGCTTCAGTAATATTGGCGCTGTTGGGTACTGTTTTGGAGCAAAGGTAGAGTTTCCCATTTTTAGAGGGTCGCCCTTCAGGCACACACCCAGCCTTCACCACCTTCCCTCCACTAACATCGGGCAGTATGTTGTTCGCCACTATAAAAACGGTATCAAGGTTGGCTATGTTGCCCACCCTTCTTTTGTCGAGAAAGATGAGCTGGCGGCGATTACGGGGCCACTGTCCATTTCCGCTGCGCAGACCGACCCCATCTTCCCCACCGAGAAACGCCATGAGTCCGAGAAGATTCTAAACGAGAATGGGAATCCATACCAAATTCACCTCTATTCGGGCGTGAGTCATGGCTTCGCAGTCCGCTGCGATCCATCTATCAAGACGGAAAAGTTCGCAAGGGAGCAGGCCTTCTTGCAGTCTATAGCTTGGTTTGACAATTGGCTGATCTGACTTCTGACCTAGCTCTTTACAGTACTATTTAATGTGCCGTACGTCATATGTCAAGTATATTAATATAACGAATTTCTGTTGATATAGGTTTTAAGAAATCAATTTATGTAGACCCAGAACTTACGGGTATACATCCACTTATAGAACTGAGAAAGTTAATCGCGGGTACAAGAGTAATATCAGTTCCCTGCAGATGCTGGTAAATCTTACATCTCAAACCAGTCAGCTTCGGTCACGTTTCTCACTATAATTGGACGTTCATTTAATCGGGTGACATGCGACTGCCTTACATATGTAAATTCTTAGAATATAGTAATCTTTCAAGTATGTGGCATTCTAGTTACACAGCTCTCTACTTACAGATGGTAATCGCGCACCTCCTGTTTTATAAAATCGTCCAAGCTTTCCGGATCGACGCCAAGTCTCTTGTAATTGACAACCGACTGAAAATCATTAAGTCCATCCTTAAAGGCGACCAGAAGAATCATTTTTTCTATGATGGGAAGGTTGCCTCGGTCGAATTCCGCCCGTTTCTCCGCGAGAAAATCATCTAGCTTCACATTTTCTATTGTCCAGTCCTTCTCCTTGGTTCCGGTCGCTCGAATGACGCTAGCTAGTATATCACGCTGACTAACGTAGAATGAACTGATATAGACATGCTGATTCTTGTTCGTGGCAAGTTCCTCTTCTGGGAGACTCAAGAGGCCAGCAACGCTTTTTCCAAGCATCTCAAGCGTGGTGAGCGGCCGTTTTCGGGTTCCATTATCCCATATTGTGGCCGTGCGGTTCTTGACGTCAATTCCCAGCCTGAGGTTGCGGACATGGAAGCTAATTAAGGGATTGGAAGCAACAGCAATCCAGGAGCTCACTCCCAGTTCTTCAATTAGCTCTCGGGCCTCCACTTTTCTCTTTATTACAGGAAGATGTTTGATAACTTCTTTGCTGGAGCTATCCACCCCATATTCCGATGGCAGAACATACGGCACCCCTGCCTTGGCAGCTGCACGGATGAGAAGCAACTGAAAGTCCAGCGTTGCCTTGGCCAGGCAGACGATGAGAACGTCTTGCTTTTGCAGCACTGTATTCAGAAATGTCTCATCGGTATATAATCCCCGATGAATCGTCACTCCAGAAGGGAACTGCGCCGTTGAGCCGACACGGCTAATGGCACTGATATTGTGGATGCCCTTTGCGAGAAGGCCTGAGACAATATAGCTACCCAGCCTCCCACTGCCTCCCGCAACGATGATGTTGCGGCTTGTTCCTTTTAGAGACATATTTTTTTTCAAAAAAAAAAAAAAACTTAAATTAAATTAAAAGGACCTTAGCGGACAACAAATTTCATCCAAACTCTGACATGGGCTCACTCAATATATGTAGTAACGTATTTCACAAGCGAGCGGCACAAGACCAATTTCAGATTATATACCTGTATGGACGAGTATTTGGGATGGACTTCCCAACGGAACGATATAAATGGCCCTCTTTTTGCTATTGGGCTCTCCCTAGCAGATAATCTGGCCTCCCTCCACATTGTGTTGGCGCCATTTGAATTCAACAGATATCTTGAATGTAGAATTTAACCGCAGGACGACTTAGTATGTAAATTCCCCGTCGCGCGTCCAATGAGACTAGCTCCCCACCTTGACACGCCCACGCCCACAAAGTCATATACAAAGCCAATCAACGGTCGACGTAATGCCGTTTTCTATTTTCTATGTCTAATTTCGTAGTGCCAGTAATCTCTTTCTTACTATCAATTTTGTACAAAGTTTTAAGCAGGCACTAAAGGATCTATTACAACAACAACTACAACAACAATAACTACTCTGCTAATGAGAAAAAATGTCCACCGATCAGGATTCCCGTACCACGTATGTCCAGTTCTGCTCTAATCTTTAAGCATGTGCACATGTGTTTTAATACATTCTACTGATTATTTCAGGAATGGGGAGCTAACCGATCCATGCCTTTTCCATCATCCGAAAGTTAATACAGATGTTCTCATTGTCGGAGCCGGGGTGGCAGGGTTGAGCATGGCGGTGCTTTTGGCTTCGCTCGGCGTGCGAGCAATCACCATATCCAAACATACCGGAACGGCACCAACACCACGCGCCCACATCACCAATCAGCGCACTATGGAAATTTTTCGAGACCTTGGTATCGAGGAACAGGTGCTGGCCGTTTCCACCCCATTGAAACAGCTGGGAAGCGGCGTGCTTGCTACCAACCTGGCGGGGACGGAGATCGCACGGTACAGCTGCTATGGCACGGGCTCACATCAGGTCTCGAATTTCGCCACGGCCAGCCCATGCGAGATGCAAAATGTGTCCCAACATGAACTAGAACCGATTTTGCTGTCTGCGGCACGGGAGAAAGGAGCTGATGTTCGTTGGGCAACCGAACTCGTCCACGTCGAAAATTTACCTGATGGAATCAAGGGTCGGGTGCGAGAACGATTTAGTGGAGCAGAATACGAGATCTCTGCGCGGTATGCGGTAGGTGCCGATGGGGCCCGCTCGTTCGTTGCTCAGGAGTTAGGGTTCACGTTTGAAGGCGAACATGGGCTGAAATCCATGGTGAGCGCATGGGTGGAAGCTGATCTCACGCGGTATACAGCCTATCGTCCCGCCGCAATCTACTGGACCATGCAGCCGGGAAATGACTCTTGGGTGGGCTCAGGCACATGGATCTGCGTACATCCATACAAAGAGTGGGTGCTCAATTGGCAGTACGATCCGGCTGATGGGGAGCCTGACCTCTCGGATTCGAAGGTGATCGGCCATGCCCATTACACGATTGGCGACAAGGCCGTCCCCGTTCGAGTAAAAGCAGTGAACAAGTGGCAGGTCAATAACGTTGTCGCAACCACATATCGCGAAAAGAATATGTTCCTGGCTGGGGACGCGGCTCACCGGCATCCACCCAGCAGCGGACTTGGCAGCAACACCTGCGTCCAAGATGCATACAACTTGGCCTGGAAGCTCGCTCTAGTGTTGTCCGGACGCGCGGGCCAGCGCCTTCTCGATAGTTACCACGAGGAACGGCAACCCATTGGCCGACAGGTAGTGGATCATGCCATCAAGACCCTCCATTACATGTCGCGTGTGCCCAGTGTGCTGGGCTTTTGGCGTGGGCAGACGGCGGAAGAGGGTCGCAAGGTGATGCAGGAGTTGTTCTCTGATAGTCCCGAGGGTTCACAGCGCCGATCTGCTCTCACTGAAGCGGTCTATCTACAAAATTACCGATCCAATGCGCTCGGAATCCAGCTTGGACAGCGGTACAAGTCGCAGGCTATCATTGACGACGGAACCGCCTACCCTGAGTCCACGCGAGACCCCATTCTCAATTACGAGCCAACAACGCATCCCGGCGCGTACCTCCCACACGCCTGGCTAGAGCACCAGGGTCGGCGCATCTCCATTCTGGATGTTGTTGGCCACGGTCGTTTCAGTCTCATCGTGGGAATTAGTGGCGCAGCATGGAAGGCGGCCGCAGAGGGACTAGGGTTGGGTATTGATCTGTCAATCTACGCTGTTGGAATCCGCTGCGAGTACGATGATGTGCTGGGTGAGTGGACGGCTCGACGCGAGCTCTCTGAACATGGGGCCTTGATCGTTCGCCCCGATTGCCATGTTGCCTGGCGAAGCTATGATCTACCCCAGGACCCCTCCACCGCCCTGAAATCTGCTTTTAGCCATATCCTTGCTCTTGATGAAACTTCATCCTCGTGAGCGCTTGCCAGCATCCACTACCGTGAAACAAAGACCATCTTCTCTATATATAGTAGCTCGTAGAATGTGTTAATATTTTTTTTGGATTACTCAATTGTGTATATATTTAATATAATGGCCACTCAGATGAGAATGTTATTGGAGGTCAATGTCCCATTATCCAGTATTGTAACTTGGTATATTAATAAAGATTTATTTTTAACAAATGGACATTCACTTTATAAATATTGTAATCTCCTTTCGTTCTCACAAATAGCCATGAACCCTTCAGCAATTCCCGGAGGAAAATACCTATAACATCCATCCCTATTTTCTGTGAGGATCTCCCATAAGATGGATACCGAGATACCTATCAGAATAACGACCTACCTTAGGGAATATGACACTTGTTTGTACATAGAAATCTCTAGATTTCCGATATTCTAGTTTCTTTAAGCCGAAAGATCCAAGTTTCTGATTCGATTGTCCAAGCAAGAAGTTTTATATGTTCTATAAAATTAGATACGTATTCATTAGTTGTAGAGGGTAGAACCTTTATCGGATCGTTTTCAGGAAATTAGATCATGTCAGACCATTCTATGAGGAGTTCGGGATTCGTCTTTTCTGAATCCCAGCATATATGGAGATATAAATGTACCTCATGGAACCAAAGTAGTGTAGATCAAGGGGAAATAATTCTGTTCTCAATACTTCCAACTCCGCTTATAGACACGCGGACCACGTCCTTGTTTTGCAGCCACGGTTGACCTGGCATTCGACCAGCGATGCCGTCGGGCGTTCCGGTCATAATTACAGTTCCCTTGCTCAATGTGTATCCTCGAGATAAATGAGAGACGATCTGCCGCGGGTTGAAGAGCACATCACTAGTGATAGTGCTCTGTCTCTGTTCCCCATTCACCGTGGTTTCCAGTCTCAGGTTGGACATGTCTGTTTTCTGGGTGGCTCTTATCGTTGGGCCGATCGGAGCAAATCCATCAAAGCCTTTGGCATAGCAGTACTGGCCGCCGGAATGTGGAGGACGTTGCCAGTATCGTGATGAAACATCGTTTCCTGCCGTGCAACCGAGGATATAATCATCTGCCTCCGCTTCCGAGATATCTTTGCCATCCTTTTTGATAATCAAGCAGAGTTCTCCCTATTTTGCAATCAGTCCTTGTGTTCATTAAACTTCCCCGTGCGCGTCTAGGTTAATACCTCGTAGTCTAAATGCAGTGCATGTGGAGGAACTTTAATATCGTCAAAAGGACCTGCAAGCGCGGCTGTGAAGTTGATAATAGGTTAGGAACATTGTTTCCTCTCAGAAAGGCAATCTTTCGGAGCTGACCTGGGGGCTTGATGAAAAGGACCGGGCTTGGAGGGATTGGAAGCTGCATGCCTAGAGTTAGTCCCCAACCCTTTGCCAATTAAAATGGGATTCACCACCATTTACATACATTCGCCTCTTGGGCATGCCGTGCATAGTTCAGCCCGATACATAAAATTAAAGGCACCTTTTCCAGGGGACATAAAACCTATATTACTCTGAACATTACTCTCGGCTACCGCAAAACAATGATATCTTGTGAGGTTCCGATACAATACCTGTTGGACAACTGCAGTTTGGCCATTTGAGACTAAAGTGTCTTCGAATAGATCGCCTTCCAAAATCGGGACTTGGGACCCTACGATCCTGTCCAGGAATTCTTCTGGAATATCTCCATACCAGATCGAGCCAGCCTCGTCCCGGAACCGGATTAAGTTTGTAAATGCCATTCAATCGTTCCCTTGCGAATGTGAATGTGTGGATTGAACTTCCAGAGTGTGAGAAACTCTCCGATTGAATAACGTTATATGTCAGATTACCTTCTGCCCACAATTCAGGAGGAAATTGTCAAGTTATGTATGCATGTATGTACCCATTGGAAGGCCCCACCAAATTTCCGCTGCGTCTGGTCTACAGATCGGAGAAAGTACCAACGATCCTTGTCTAAAGAGCATTAGTTGTCAACGTACGATATAATTGGACTCTGGAATTTTCAAGAATATAAAACTAGATTTTCTATCAATGGGTGTCGTGATCTGTCTTGGTGTACGATATGGGGAAAACAGAGTATAGTTCTAGTATCAATGCCGTTGGAACTGTTGAGCACAATTGTCTACATCTGGTAGAATCAAATCTTTACCAGCCCACTGCCCAATCTTGTTCACAACGGCCACAACCCGCTTAACATCATTAACCGAATTGCCGATCCCTAGGGTTGCTTTAACATGGCTTTTTGACTGTCGAGCGGCACCCAGTGCGATAATTGCGGATGCCACGATCAAGTGTGATTCGGTCACCTCAAACACTTCTTGATTTGCATTAGAAATGAGATAGCCCCATGTGACCATGGTCGAGCAAGAAACTGTGCACAAAAAGAAATTACTTTTTTCGATCTAGATCAAAATACGGGGAATGGGGAGGGAAGGGAAAAGAAAGTCTCACATAGTTCCGTGAAATATACATCCATCAATTTAAAGATTTCCGAATTACCAACCCCGGAGTATATGCGTTGTCGGAGTTCTTGTCCGCGTTGAACATCCTCTTCAGTTACCCTGGGAGAACGCAATTTCTTCTGAGAGGCATATTCCTGTCCCTTCCTTTGCACAACCCCAATCATCCCATAGCAGGCGGGAATACATTGAGGTATTCCGACATAGGGGAAAATGATTGAGATCGCTTCTCGAATGCGAAGAAAAAGAGCCTCAGATTTTTCTGGCGTGTATTCGGTCGTAACATCATCAAAAAATTTCCCCACGATATCTGCACGGCCGACCGCAATGCTAGCTGCGGCCTGGCAGACGACTCTGGTTAGCAGCAGATGTCCTCTAATCCATATTCACTGGAGAAACCTTACAATGATGCATGCAGAGATCTTTTCCAGTTCACCTCCAGCCGCCGCCAATTCTTGGTGGATATCTAAGAAAAAGTTCTTGGTATATGGAGCAGCCCCAGGTTGTACATTCGTCGACACGTAAGTGGTGTCCCAATTCGACATAAACTGATCTTGAGACCAATCCGCCATGATGGTTTCGGGGTTATGACTAGCAATTTTCCTTCATCCTTCCGTGAAGTCCCATAGATTCTTGAGCCGAAAGGTTTTAATCTAAATACTCTAGTCTAGTGAGATTAACTAAACCCTTATCCACTCCCCACAATGTGCGAGTATGCACCCATTCCGACAAACTCTCGCGGCACGTCAAAATGTGGAATTTTAAAGAAGTGTTTATCGATATGTTCACTCTAAATATATCAGTCGGCATTTGCTCGCCTACGAGAACAATTTGATCCACTTCACGAAAGGTCGAATATTTGACACATTTTAAACAAGTCAACATGTTAAGCAGTCTGGACGTCAGAGCGTTTCGACAATACATACCACCAAGAGATACTCAACGAAGCAGGGAGCTGGCTAACTCCGATGCTTATCAATGGGCGAATATTCGCTGTGCGGAACCGTTCATGGAGAAGTGGATGAGTACTTGGAAGGAACTGTACATGGAGCCGTACCGGGGGATTACGACGGACGGGAAAGTTCAACCTGATTTATTCCCTCTGGCTATCCCTGGTCAAGATCGAGGGGCTCCCACGGCGGCCATGGTGGATGCAGCACGGAGACTACTCAGTGCGGTGTCTCCGGTACAGAAAGCAATTCTCGTTCACCCGATCGGCGCTCCTGAATGGCGCTCCTGGGCGAACCCTGAAATCTATATCTTCAAGCACGGGCTGCGACTCGAAGAGGTGAATGAAAACATCATTATGAGAGTTTATGACCTCATGAAAGCTAGCCTTTCTCGCTCGGGATACGCCAAAGCCCGTGGCTGCATGAAAGTGAACGCATTCCTGGGAGAAGTTGTCGATGGCACCAAAGTCCTCAATGAACATTCATATAATCTCCTTCTGTTCGGGACGCCTTCGTTGACTCTACCATGGGGCTGGCAACTTTATGGCCATCATCTCTGCATAAATTGCTTTGTATTGGCTTCCCAAGTGGTGATCTCTCCGGTTTTTATGGGAGCAGAGCCAAATATCATTGACGAGGGACCCGACCAAGGCACAGTTCTGTTTGCGGAGCAGGAAGCGCTCGGTGTTTCGTTGGTGCGCTCCTTTGATAAACAGTTGTACGAACGGGTTCAAATCTATCAGGAATTATCCAGTCCACCGATTCCGAGCTCCCGGTTCCACAGAGCTGACCAACGACATCTGGGTGGTGCATTCCACGACAACCGAGTGATCCCGTACGAAGGGGTGCGGTGTAGTCTATTCTCTCCATCCCAACAAGAACATCTTCGGGGGATAATCAGACTCACCCTCGATTATCTTCCGCCCAAGGCATTATCGGCACGTATGGAAGATATTTCCACGCATTGGGATCAGACGTATTTCTGCTGGATTGGAGGCACTGACCCAGGCCGTCCCTTTTATTATAAGGTGCATTCCCCCGTGGTGATGATCGAATTTGACCATCATACGGGAGTCTTCCTGAACAACACAGAACCTCAGCCCTTCCACATTCATACCTTGGTTAGAACCCCCAATGGAAATGATTATGGAAAGGAGCTGCTTAGACAATTTGAAAGGCTGCACAAGCCATGATATTAGATGTAGATCCATTGGCCTCAGAATTTATATGCTTAATTTAGATAACGCTGTACTCCTTGAAATTCATCCTTTTTACTTCGTTCTGTAATGATATTTTCTGTTTCTTATTCCGGCCCCGTTTACTGTATTTTTAACTACAAAATAAGACGTTCTACCAGCACTCTGATAAGTGATAATAGGTTTTAGTTCTGGGAGAACCCAATGGAAAGGAACAACCCAGAGAGACCCATGATCCTTGAAGACCCTCCAGGCTAGATGGTGTACATTGTCGTGTTACTAAGCGGAAATTCACCCCACCAATGTCCACCTAGATGGATACAAGACAAAGTGGATTGAGTTTGTACATTGTTCAACGAGCAACGGCGAATCAATCCGGATTCTGGTTTATAAATTAGTTTTATCCCCTGATTGTGGAAAACCATCAAGATAAATCCCCCCAAGTCATAACCAGAATGGCGCAATCAGGTCAGTCAGAGGAACCTTATGTTCTGTATCGGAATACCTGGTCAATCCGATCGCTCATGATTCGTCTTACTTTGATTTCGACTGAGGAACACCCGCAACAACCTAACATCACGATCAAGCAAAAAGAAGTTGATATCATACATGGAGAGCAACTTGACGAATGGTTCCTATGCCATATCAATCGAAAAGGCCAGGTAAGAACAGTCATCCATCATTTATCAGACATGAAAGCTGAAGTTCGGCCAGGTTCCCGTTCTTACTCATCCAATAATGTTCTCCGAACCGGTGCGAGAATCCGTCGACATTTCTTATTACCTCTGTCAATTCTATCCGGAGCTATTGCCAATCGATTATCGTGACCAAATAAAAAGTCTCCTTCATGCCCTTCATCGTCTCAACTTCCATGTTATTACATTTGCAAAGCGTCCAGAGCGAGCCGCCGGTTTAATTAAAACGACGCAGGAGAGGCTTAGCCGTTCCTATAACTCGGAAGACTACCATCGTGCTCTGGAATATAAACTATCCATGTTAGTTCATCCTGGTGCAAGCATCCTTCCAGACAAGACTAACCCTCTCTTTTTTTTTGTTGATAGAATAACCGACCCAGAAGAGCACAATTTTTCGCCGGAATATATTCAAGGACAAGAAGACCAAGTACGCGAAATACTAGACAAAGCAACCGTAATTCGCAATAAGCACGCCTCTGAAAGTCCTTGGATTTTTGGTACCAGGTATGCTACCATACTGGACACGCACTTAATTCCTGTCATTGTTCGTTTACGAGACATTGGGAGCACGCACTTGGTCGGAGAAACCATGACTCTCTATGCTCAATGTATCGTGGGAACAGAGATGTGGACTAAGCTGATTGGAAATCAACCCACCACATATGTGCCCGGGAAATCAGAACCACTCGCGGGAGATCTTTGAATGTCTCCTATATCCTAATAAGACCTTCGCTCGTGTCTGTCGTTGCCGGAAAGACTAATTATGGACTGACTTTTAACAATAATAATAAAACTTCTATTAGGTACTACATAACCTCCCGTTAAGTAACATGCCCACCTCAGAGTGTCGGTCGTCACTAGTATATACAATGTTCTATCCTATTTGAGGAGTTAAGCTATTATAATAACAATCCTACCTTACTTTCACTGCAACTAGGACGGGATGACGGCAAGCTCCGTTTAATTTATATCGACCTTTCCAACGATTTCAGCGATTGCGTGCTTCCTCCAAATAGTCGACCTATTCATGTCATGAGGGCTTCCCATTTGGTGGCCAAGTCTTCTAATTTTCTTCAAACTCCGCAGGTGAACCTCGATGTTGGGACTTCACGGACCGCTTCAATGAAGACAGATAACACCCGTACGGGACAATTTAAGCTCACGGGCGCGTACAATCTTGCATGGTCAGAATGGGCATTCCCACTGCATATCGGCGAAACAGCAGAATTTTCCGGTTCTCTGGAGCCCATGAGTCGATCAGAACAGTTGAGTACCGACCAGTAATAAAATGGCCAACCCCTTTTGAATCCCCTGGTCGGAAATGAGCAGAAATAGCGTAAGCCCACATCACCAGCGCGACTCGGTACACCGCAGCAGACCACCATGCAGGTCGTAAGAATTTTGGTATCATTCGTATTAATCGAAGAGTCTGACCACAGTGAAAATAAGCCTCCCTCGGGGAGGAGGGGCCAGAGGGCCACCCGCTGAGGTATGGAACCTCCGAAGACTCCTCTAGCTAGCTTTTCTAATTTTGTCACTCTTATCAAGAGGTTAAGGCAAATTAAGTGGTAAATGGTCCGGCTGTTGTTTAACATAATTCGTTGCCTGAGGCCCCTTTCGGGAAAGCTTTCCGCCAAGGCCCACCACCTATCGAGAAGCGAATTAACCTCTTGAACCCGTAGAAGCGAGCTTGCGCTGGTCATAGTGTCTTGGAGACTTGTGGGTGATCGATGATTGTTGAATTGAAGAAGGAACTGGCTTTCCTGGTGCACCATTGCTTGCAGTGGATACAGCAGGAGGCGCAAGTGAATAGCCTGAAGGGAACAACCAGCGCTGTCCATGTTATTTTCCAGGAATAAACGGTATAATTCGCAGAGGGATCTTTGCTGCGGTGCAATGAGCGTGTCTCGACTGCTCCAGTTATTGAGTAAGATGACTTTCTTCCACTCGAGCGCATCTGCTGCAAACCATAATCGATCATCCTCCGGCAGCGGTTTGTGAAACTCGAAGGTATGAAAGCTTAAAGACTCATCATAGAGCAGGCTAATTTCTTGATCTACCATTGCCCATGCATAGACCAGCCTAGAAGACAATGGGTCCCAATTATCAACTACTTGTTCAGGTGTGATCGCTATTCGTGTTGTATCACTTACCGATTAAGATTTTCATTCCCTAACCAGAATGCCTATATTCTTTCCAATTCCACTTTAGGACAATGAAAAGAATCCTAACTGTAATCTAATGCACATTCCTTCCTTTTGGTTATAGTCTGTGGCGCTATATTAATTCTAAAAATCACCCATCACAGAAAGAAAAGACACCTTACCGAGATATATGTCTATCGCTGATGAAGAGCGGTTCGCATTATCTCATTCACCCCACACCATGCAGCTTGGAAGGTGAAGAGCAAACTAGAGTATATATCGATGGGAGATGACATCCCAAGGATGACATTCTCCGTCATCATAGTAATGTATATTCGATATAGTTCTAATAAACTAAGGAAGAGGGACTGCGACTGCAATGTTTTATATGTCATGACACTAAAGGAAAGCATTAGCAGTATGTGTGTCCCTACACTAGCTAAGTGGTTGTTTTTCATCAGCTTATTGGAGTCTAGAGATCGTGACGCTATTAGAGGATACAAGGACTCAAAGCGTCCCAGAAACCTCTCTACTAATTGGTGGATTATGGATGTGATCAAGACTCGAATCGTGAGTGCATCCCCCTGGTCTAGTTTCCTTGGACTGTTTCGCGACATCTATCGTAAGGAGGGTCTTACCTGGGTTTTCTGTGGATGGGTGCCAGCTTTATCCGTCTTGGTCCTCAAACCATTGCGACTTTGCTTCTCTCTGAAGAACATAAGCTGTATCGGTGGTACCTTTCATCTCAAAGACGATCGTCAAGTTGATTTTCATTCCATTATATTTTGTTATATGGAGTTTGTACATTCATATCTATCTATACATTAAATGTATTACTGCTCTGAGGCATATATCTCAACGACTCTTGAACAATGTCCGTAGGAACTCGAACGGTGTGTAAAGTCTTGGTTTCAGGAGTAAATACCACAGAGTTGGTGTCATAGAGTACGCGTTTATGAGGGGCCAGGGCTGGATAAACTGGAAAAAGACATATATGCTGATAATAGCCAATATTCCTTCGTTATGTTGGGTCTACGCCATGGGACCTCATTTTGTGGTGTAAACTGGGCTTCAATAGGTTCGCTAGTGCTTCAGTTGGTTTGATTTTTCCTTACAGCTGAATTTCATAGGCTAGTACAGTATCGCTATTTCACTAATCACAAATTTGGATTGCCATTGATGATATAACTTCTTATATTCAAGTTTCGAGCTCTCTGGGCTTACCCATAAAGAGACGGAAAATAACATGCCCTGTGGTTTGCAAGTGATATCGAATCTCTTTTTGATATGTCGTGGCACCTCTCCACTAATTTTACAGTTTTCGACTATGAATCAGATACTTCTTCCAGACCATGTTGGCGTAAACGCCATAAGAGCAATTCAAGGCGGTCTTGGCCGAAAAAGGGTTCCCCATTAAACACGCAGGTCGGAACACCCCAATGGCCCGCAGCGTCCAGGGCTTTGACATGTTCCTTCTCCAACGCTTCCAATCTTGACCAATCCTGTTCCAGTTTCTGGTCCAATTCTGCTAAATTCAGCCCCGCACGTTGAACAGCTTCCGCTAAGTGGGATCCCTGATCCCAGTTATCTAATGTCCAGATATTGTGGGCAACTTGCGCAGCAAACTCCAAACCATGCCCTTGCTCCTCTGCGAGAATGCCGAGATAGGTCAAACGATATATGTAGGGCTGGTGCTCATTCATTCTGTGAATGCCGTTTTCATCAAAGTGCAAAGGGACCGGATCAGGGTTGAACCATTTAAATGGTACCCCCAATTGGTCGGCAACCCGCCGCGTATCAATCTTCATATAGAGATGGGTCTTGGGATTGACCTTTTCAAAAAAATCCGGCTTTCGTACCAACAATGGTAAAATAGGTTGCATGCGCAACTGCAGGTTCTTATATTTGGATTTCCACGATACCAGCTGTGGAAGTGCTAAGTAGGAGTATGGACTCCGAAATGAAAAGTACACATCAACAACAAGCGGTTCGGAAGACATGGTGACTCGGGAAAAAGACTTCAGGATGCTTGCTGGTAACAAAAGTGGAAAACAAAATCTAGTCCAGTGCTACTTCCTGACCGACACCTTTGCGGGCTTATATACAGGAAAATTTGACTTCCCTCTTTGGCGTCGTCATTCATGACGTCGCTGTCCACCTGTCAGCCAGAATAAGTGCCAATATTAATACCCACCCCTTTTTGTGGTGGTTTTTCGGCTGATACTATCCCACCACCGAATGTCCTGCCCTACCTCCGCGTGCATCCAGCATAGGGAGAGAAAATGGGGAACCTAGTAAGCTATGGCCACGGACCATTCCGCCTTACGATGATTATTTCCATAAACCATGCAATGCAGCTCAGGCACCCAAATTAATCAGACTATGAATTTGGGGCTAAACGAAAACTCAAAAACCTCGCCGTGTCGATATCTGCACAATGTGGGGGCGTTTTCTCATTGGATGCCCGCATTTCTTTTTAAAGATCGTTTTGATCTGACTCGTAAAACACCGGGTTAACTTTCATATATTATTTTATTTTATACTAATTCGGGAGCCGCTTAAAATTTTGGAAACGACGGGAATCCGAAGGGTCCACGTACGGAGGCTTCACCGATTGCCATCGACAGATGTCATTGACAATAACCGCTGTGGTCTCTCTTGCATTCACCATATGGCAGCAATGGAGAAAGAATCAAGTCGCTGGAAAGATCGCCTGAAATACTTCACATGGTCATTTTTCACCTTAACGATGGCCACCGGAGGGATCTCAAATCTCCTGTATAATGGCGTGTATTATTGACTTCTTAAATTCAATAAAAACTTACATTAACGTTTTGTAGTCCCGGATTCGTACAGATTCACTAGCTTGACTACGATCGGCGTCGTGATAATGCTATTCAACATATTTTCATACGTCCTGACATGGTCGCTTCTCATAACTCGTTTCTGCTACTATCCGCGATTGTTTAAGGAATCTTTCCTCCATCCTACCGAATCCCTGTTCGTGCCCTCCGCAATGGTTGCTTTTGAAACGATCCTGATCAACATCTCCCAGTATGGTCTGGACAGAACAGGACAATGGCTCACCAATCTCATGTTTGTTGTATTCTGGGTTGATATTTTTCTTGCGATTGCGACATCGGTAGGAATATATGTCATGCTGTGAGTGGTTTTTTTTATAGATCATCTCTCCATCCCAGAGCTGAACTGTGGATATTAGATGGACCACGCAGACATTTGCTATCGCAGAGATGACCCCAATTTGGATCTTCCCTGCCTATCCAATGTTGCTTGTTGGACCATACGTAGGAAATTTATATCCATACCTCGATCCGCTCCGCTCAGCTTTAGTGGTCGTTGCTGGGTTTACTGTTCAGGGGATTGGATATCTCGTATCATTGACGGTATATTCTGCATTTATTTACCGGTTGATGACACATAAACTTCCGAGCTATAATATTCGTCCTGGGATGTTTATCTCAATTGGACCAAGTGCTTTTACGGCCGAGGCGCTGGTGAGTATGGCCGCTGATGCACAACAATACATATATACCGGATATATGGGCGTGGATTCATCCGCCGTTGCTATTGTGAGACTATTAGCAAATTTCGTGTCCCTCTGGTTTTGGGGGTATGATCTTCTCTATTTTCACCGCAAACTCTCACAAAGTCTGATTTATGGCTAAATCTTCCCTTTTTCTTTTATCAAACAGGGCGGCGATCTTTTTCTTTTTCATTGCAACATGTTCCCACGCAGCAGCTATCGTCGGCCGAAATCGAATGACATTTTCCATGACCTGGTTTTCGTTCATCTTCCCGAATACTGCGCTTATTAGTGCGACATTTGCGATTGGCAAAGCCTTCTCGTGCAAACCAATACAAATAATTGGCTTGGTATGGACCATCAGCTTGGTTCTACTGTATATCTTTGTCTGTTTCATGATGGTTCGCGCAGTGAAGCTACGTCATATCTTGTGGGAGATCAAATCATAATTACGAAGATCGTAGAGAGATTTAATGTGTGATAAAGTGGGCAAGGGATCTATTTCCAGACATGAGAATGAGAGCCCAGGCATCAAGAATATATAATGATAGATTTCATCCTGATCTTTCCGTAAATTTTGTCTCTCTGTGCTAATATTTCTAATAACAACGTGATCCAACCTGATTCCGAGGACAAGTTCTGATAGCTCTCCAATATTTGGCAGCATTGACAGCATTGACGGTCTTTGAAAGGATGACATGGCGATTAACCCAGTTTTGGCGGTATTTTAACTTTCTTGTTTTTCACAGTTTCAATAGCAGTTTACCTATAGTACCTCGACGTTCGAGGTCCTGTTTTAGGATTTTTAGATTTTCTCTTTCCTCAAAAAAAATCATTTTTTGGCAGTCGAGGGGGAGGGGATTCACCTTATGGGCTTGTTGTATTTCTTCCAGTTGATATAATTTGTGGATCTTGACTTTTAGCTTGTCGGACACGAGAAGCTCAAACAAATTATTCATGTAAGCTTGGTATTCCTCATGTGTTTCGGTATATAAACCTGAATTGGGACGACAAATTGCAATACACTTCGGAGTGATGCGCCTAAATCAACAACCATGAGAATATCTTCTTTGCACAAAAGATATATCCTAGTCTCAAAACTTACGGGAGTGGAATTGGTGGAATTGGACCACTGGAACTTCCAAACCAGACAATAAACCCCTTCTTTTTGACCGCGTCAATACTGCCCTCCCACGTATCTTTGCCGACTGAATCATAGACCGCATCAACCCCACGGCCATTCGTAATTTTCTTGACCGCCTTCACCCAGTCTTTGTCTTCCTCGCTTCGATAGTCAATGACGTGGTCCGCACCTAGGCTCTTCACCAAGTCGACTTTTTCTCGTCCCCCCGCCGTACCGATGACAACCGCTCCGAGCAGCTTCAGAAGCTGGACCATCAGAAAACCAACGCTCCCCGCGGCCGCATGAACTAGAATTATATCACCTTTCTTAACAGGGTACGTCTCCATAATGAGAGCCAGTGCGGTCAAGCCACTAATCGAAGTGGCAACCGCATCTTCGTCAGAGACATTATCGGGAATCTTTACGGCCTTAATTGCAGGAACCGCAGAGTACTCTGCATAGGAAGTAGAATTCTTCCAGATAACGCGGTCCCCAACTTTGAAACCGTGGTGCTCCGTGCCAGGACCCAAGGCAACAATGACACTTGCTGCTTCACGGCCCAAAACTTCCGGCTTAGGGGACGGGTACAATCCAGAACGGAAATTAGTATCAATGTAGTTGATCCCGGAAATATTGTTCTTCACCAGGATCTGACCCTCGGATATCCGAGGCACCGGATAGTCAGTCTTGAGCTGCAGAACCTCGGGTCCCCCAGAGTCTCGACGACAACGGCTCTTTGTGTAGACGGGATGCTCATTTTGCCCAATGATTTTATACTTTTGAACTGCGGCAGAGGAATTTTATAATAATCCCCGCGCAAGCAGTATTTGGGGATCTTGATGAGCGGGGAACACATTCTGCCGCCCATACGGGTATTCGTGGGGCGAACCTCCACAGTCTACGACATAGGCTGGCTGGTCTCATGTTTCTTAGGCCATGCAGCAAAATGGATCTGGCTTTTAAATCAAAGATATGGATTGGCTTTCTATATAGAGTAAATAGACCTCAAGGAAGTGTCAAACGCAAGCAAGGTAGCCACTGCTCAGCGATGGAATACAGATCGAGTCGATTGAAATCAGGCGTGCTTGGGCAGGACTCCGGTTTGCTCCAACACGGTAAAAGTTGCCACAAACGAGGCATAATTCCCATCAAATCGGGTCCAACCAAACTCCCGAGCCTTCTCCAAAGAAACATGCGTTGTCCACTCCCGTCCCACCGTCCAATTCAAATAACGCCAATCCGTCCATTCGAAAGCCTCTTTCTTGCCGCCGTATTTGTCGACCACCCTATCCCATACTTCCTTTTTATCCTTTGCCCACTCTACCAGATCAAATTCTAGGAGAAGACCATGCGGATCTCGTTTGACATTTTCAAACTTCGGTTCCGGGCACTACAAGATGATACCACTGATTAACCCGTGCGCTGACCATCAATCAGCGAGTATATTATACTAACCTCCATTCCCCAGTATCCCGCTAACTTAGGCCAAAAAGTCTTCCAAACTATGACTTCTCCATTAGCATGGTTGAAAGCCTCATTGGCGCAGTGATCGTTGGTGGAAACATAAACTGCAAGATCAGCAATACTAGGGGAGTATGACTTTTGGCTCACTCCGCTCCACATAAAAGGGTTTCCAGGAAAGAAAGGTGGCTGGTCCAATTCTCGACAGAGTAAAAAGTAGACCGCAAGGTTGAAAGCTTCGGACATCCCATTTGCTAAGCCGTGGCTCGCTGTTAGTAGGTATACATATCACCCGCTTCGAGAGACGGAAAGAAAGCTTACGGAGAGGAGTGAATCCAATGATGCCTGTGGGACGGATTACATTCCATGTCCAGGTATTTCGCTTGGCCTGAACGTCCCGTAAATAGTCCTCTTGGTTATAATAGAAATTGTCACCGTTATCCTCATAGCGAAGATGGCTTTCTTCAGCGGGTGCTTTCAAGAATCCGAGATGGGGACCATAGTACTAAAATCGCACTGTTAGAAAAGCCCCTTTGTCATTACGTGATTCAGATTGGAGTGAGTGTTATACCTTTCCACCCGTATAAATACACACACGTTGTAATCTAGGAGCTACAGTATCGATAACATCCAGAAAGTTTTGGAACAATGGAACATTCTTGGCTGGCAAGCTCTTGAGGTCATTAGAGTGAACATATGATGTGTAAAATGTATGTGTCACATCTGCGCAGACTGGCGTGAGCTTTTGGATGTTGTCCATGATCGGTTCCAGGAAATCAACCGCCACGAATTCGATCCGCGCGTCAGCCCAGTAATTGGGTAATGGACGACGAGAGGTGACTATGATCTTTGACCTAGGGGGGGAGGGAGGGTTATCATCAGTCCTGAAGCATAGATGAAGAGAGATGCGTCCAACCATTCTGATGCTGGCTGCCGAATCAAGTGTTCCACGATAGCAGATCCACTGATGCCGTTGGCACCACTCACAAAGGCCACTTTGGGCTGTTTGTATTTTTCTACAGAAGAGATTGCAGCCATGATTGTAGTCAAACAGTATATTGCGGACAAAATTTGGATGTGAGAAGATACGCAATGGAAAGAAACTCTTATTTATAGTTGGGCCATACTATTTGGCCTTCCCCAGCTTTTCGCTAATTAGTGGGGCGGATATCTTACTGGTTCGCCTGCTTCTCATAAAACTCCCAGACACTATTATTATGTAAATAGTTATGGCATAATAGAATGGCTACTTTTGGTGTTGTTTTCACAATAGCTGATTCTCCTTAAAAACTCTTATATCTGGAACATACATCCATAGAATACTTTAGCTACTCAATCCTTTAAGTAATAAACCTAAAGAGAATATCCTTCTCTTTCTCAAAGATATTATCACTAATAGCCCATTTCCTATCTGATATAAAGCTACCTTTATTTAATAAATCAAACTTTGGCGTCTCTGCAATGAGTGTTGCGGCTAATAATAGTAGAGATGATAATAAAAGATGTATTGGCTATAGCAAATGTTTGTTCGCTAGACTCACTACAAGAGCCTATCATTGGTAGCAGATGAATACGGGACCATATAGCAAATAGCACTATTTCGCATGTAATTAAACGAGCAATGATATTATGGAATAGATTTGAATACTTGAAACCTCTGATTTTCTTTATCCCTTGCTACCTGCTACATGTGTTGTTAAGCCTTCGGTTTGAAATACTTGATAAAGGTTATGCTATCCGGCGGAACTGATTGCTGCTATTACTGATCAATTCTAAATTTACAGGTTGTAGCTACTATATACAGTAAATAATATATATGGCAGGCTGATCAGTGACCCGCCACAACAGTTCTAGTTACAATTACAGAACATCGCTAATTATTCGAGCCAAATTGGCGTACTCCGAACCCACCTCTCCCTGTCCGTCAAGCTGATCTAAAAGATACGCATACTCTAAGAGTACTTTTCGAGCCATATTCTCTCCTTGCAATTGGACCTTGCCATTAAAAGATAGGAGCTGCTTTCCTTGTTGAAGAAACCGGATGGCTTGCGCTTCCGGACTGTTGTTCACTGGATGGTGGGGGATGTTGCATCGTTATTCAGAGGAGCAGTCACTGCAGGTACAAGGCCGGTTCCTTTAATAACCTTCCAGTCCAGTTCTTGTAAGAGTTCGAATGCATTGGACAATTGGCCGTCCATGTTCGACGATGCTGGTGACAATGATGACGTTCCACTCACAGATGAAACATATAATCCGAGAACCAGTCCAGCACTGAAAATGGCATGTTCGATGCGGAGCAACGTCCTTTCTGCCAGGGAGAATGCTCCAGACGCATTCGACGAGAAAATCCAATAGATCTGCGCTGCATGGAGAACCGCCCGGCGGGCAGCGGGGGAATTCGACCATGTCCGAATAGCAGTGTAAGCTTTCGGGGCATCGGCAGAACCCTTTCGGCCTACTGACAGCTCCAACTGCTCTATTGGGGCGGTGATGACCATACAATTGAAATTCCATGATAAAGCGGCAACCGGGTCTCCCATCGGTCGAAGCATGTTAGAATAACTGTCCGATATCGCAATGAGGTGGTTGCTAATATCCATCGCATCAAGCGCCTGATTATATACATTGACGGGCGCAAAACTACAATTTTCAAGCGTGTTTTCATCAGCGGTAGGAAGGATTTTCAACTGAGCGGTTCCGATTGGGAGATACAGGTGATCTAAAATCGTTTGTAGCAGGAAGCCATTCATCATCGATGACGGTGGTAGTGATTCAGAGATATATCGTATGTGAATAAGAGGCGTATCTATGGCCATCGTCTTCTGCATATCGTCAGAGAAGCTGGAGGCGGTTGGCGAATCGAAGAGAATATTGCTGAAATGAAGCATGACGTTGACTTGGTTCGGGTCGATGACTCCCCCGGTTCCTAGTAAGCGGGCATACGCCGCATCTATTCGCACGAGACATAATATTAAGCTGCAAGATTGGACAAGCCGTCAATTTTTGTACTGGGATAGAACCAAAAAAAGGAATCATCCGTCTTACCGTTTCACTGATTCGACCCTTGCCCAGATCTTCCAAAATTCTTCATTGTTCGAAGTTTTGGAAAGTATTGAAGCAATTTGATCCCTGCTACTCTGGTTCTCATATAATCCCTGTCTCTCGGCGATCTACATGAAATTGTCAGTCGGGTTTTTTCAAGTCGATTTTCTCCCTCAAGGCTTGATTCGTATACATACATGTAAGGTTTGCGAACAGAGCATCAAAGCGGCGCCTTCGTCATTGTTCTGAACTCCATGTTAACCAACTCATAGAAACTATGCTCCCTATGGCTAGGTAGAACGTTACTTCTTTATCAAGGTTAAGATACAAAACTAGCATGGAAGAAGCAACCGAACGAACAAATCCGGCTGGCGTAAACCCTCCCCGAGCTTTGGTAGCTAAATCTTGTCGACATTTCTCAAGAAGGGCCTGCTACTGGTTAGTTCCGCTGAAGGGTTGGCTGTTCCATCTCACGGAAAAAACTTACGATACGACAGTGTAAAACTAACACCCGGGAACCCCGAGGATCGAGGATTGAGTATCCAATCAAGATCATCGGTAGAAGTAAACTCGGCGACGTTTGTGACACATCAAAGGTAGGCCTATGTATGAACGGAAGTGAAGGGTAGACATGTCGGAAGAAGAACTCCAGGCTGAGTTCGAGGATTTCTACGGGAGGGAGCGGTAAATGACCAGCACACGACGGTGATAACGAGGCATCCGGTCCAGAAAACAGAGGAGCCCCTAATGTGGCGTGCGTTTGATTATAAAATGCCACTAATTTCTCCTGACATTCGGGGTGAATTTTCCATTTGGTGTGACTTGCACTGGGACCCCGCATAGAGGTAGTGACCGGGAAGAAGGGATGTACCGCCACTTCTGAGAAGATATTGTCGGCCTGGTGCTCCGCGACCACATCCCATAGGCTATGGGCGAGTCGCTGCGTCACTGTGGTTGCTTTGCCGAACCACATCTTCTCGATGCGCTTTAATGACTCGGACTCGGCTATGAGCGGTCGAGAACGGCAGTCCGAATCTCCCCGCAGATAGTTCTCTGAATACTGGAGAGAAGAAGAATTCAGCAGATCGAAAGAGATGTTTCCGTTGGATTCGGATTCAAAATTGCCCTCGCTCAAGTGAGGTTGGCTATAAGTTGGGGTCGGCAGCAGCCACGAGTCTAATACCCATGGGCCACTCAGGGTCGGTTGGAACGAGGATGAAGAATTGTGAGCAGAAAGTTGATCCGTACTGGGGCTATCAGTTACCTGCACGAGTGGAGGGGGGACGCTGGGCTGAGTCGTCGTGGAACTCCCATTCCAGGCCGAGATATCGAGTGGGATCGCCTGGATGGGTGAATCCCTTGGGTGTTCGAGATGACTATTCGAGATGGCGGATTGGTTATTTTGACGCGTTGAACGACTTCTAATTGTCGGATCGGGGGACTCCATGGGGACGTCGTTTGCAGTAGTTGACGGCATCATTATGATTTGGTGCGAATCCGACTCCTCCGATCGGAGCAAACCAGCTGATGTTGATGTTGTTGATTCTTGCGTTGCGCGATTCTTGGGGATTGTTTCATCCGTCCGGACACGAGGGGTACCTTTGGTTCCTTTTCTCCTGTATATTCTTTTTGGATGATTCTGCATATGTCTAGCTAAAACATCACTGTGCATCAAACTATGTCAGACGGGGTGAGTCCTCCCGTGGAGATGACTCTCTTTCTCCTTACCTTCGGGCATACTGTTGATTGCAGTTTGGGCATTTAAAGGGCTTTTCACCAGTGTCTGCAGATATATGATCAGCTCACAGACAGACATTGGGATGAATACGTCATACGGGATCGTTGATGCCGTTTGAGATGTTCTAATTTATCGAAGCGCCTCTCACAGAAAGCGCATTTGCGACAATTTTCTTGCGTATCAGCCATAGCTGTTGGTACTTTCATTGCAAGATTTTCATTATTCCAAGATGAACGACGACGGTTAAGTGGGCTCTTGACTCGGCGAAGCAGGCTTGGGTTCGCCGACCCGGGGCGTAATTACGGCTTCCCTCCCTCCGCCTTCCCCGCAGTGCTTGGTTTTGAGGGGTAGAACTCCAGATGGATCTTGAGCATTACGCGCAAGCCAGAAGAGACTAGATTGCCACAAATGTAGCGTAATGTCTAATGAAAATGAATTTGACCCAGAAACTGTTAGACCAATCAGAAACCCCCATTTAGCTCGCCCCTTGGTTCAAAAGTTGGAGAACCAGCTTGCTCGGTAGTTACCTCCCCTAACCTAACATCACGAGGACGAGCCTCGAGTGGAGACAACGTACGATTTGTTCCATTTCATCTAGTAAGTTAGACATATACATATAAATCTGGGTACAGCCCACCCGGAGTAGCCGGTTGGGACTCAAGTAGAATATGATTCTCAATCTCGTATTTCCCTTTGCTTTCATTCGCGCCTTCTAGTCCAACGTCCCACAACGCCGTAGATCTGGCGAAAATATAAAATTCATGGCGACACTGCTTCCGCTGGATTCTCAGATGTCTTCTGTTTGCAGTGCTATGTAGCGTATGTAACTAGCCTATATGTAATATAAGGGTTTGAAATGTATGTTGTGTTAGGATTGGGGTGCATAATGTCGACAAAGCAACACCTCATCAAAAGAACGCTGACATTGAACTAGTAAAGAGAGAATATTGGACTTGGAACAAGAGGGGAATCCGTCTGCATTTTATGCGAGGAGATGTTACTGTGTGGGTGGGAGTGAAGAGTCTGAGGGACGATATGTAGAGAGTCCGAACGTAACTGTGCTCGCGGGAAAGTCCAAAGTTCCAAAGGGTATCGATATATCCCTCTCCCCCACATTTTGGAGCCCAAAGTAGCCAAGCATATTCGATCCACATATTTAAATAGAAGCTGACCTGCCGGTCTCGTAGGCTCAAAATAATATAATATATTATATGTTTTAATAAGCTAAAAGTGAATCTTGAAGTGAATACCTCGCAAAGACGACAAACAATAATGTCGGCTGCTCCTCCCTATTCGGAAGTTCCTGAACGGGTCAGGTCTATCCTGGAAAACTACTCGCAGCCACAAGAGTTGAAGGCAGAACGTCTTTTGCAATTCGCTTCCGTGCAACCTCGCAATGAGGACAAGGAAGGAGACACGGAGACCATCAATAGGGTCACTATTACACATCACTTCGTAGAAGTTCCCGGGGATCATGAAACAGTTCGATTTCATTATGTCGAAGCCGGCAGCGGGGAGGTGGTGGTGTTTTTGCATGGAATCCCCGACAGCTGGTATTTATGGCATCATTCTGTGGCAGCTCTGTCCAGCAATTATCGATGTATAGCCTTTGACCTCAAAGGCTATGGTCAATCGGAGAAGAAACCAGGTGATTACCGCCACGAGGGTGTTGCGGACCAAATGTATGCTGCATTCGACAAGATTGGGATTACGGCATCTCGGTTCAACATCGTTGCCCATGACAGAGGAACCGTTCAGGCAGACTATATCGCGGCGAAGCATCCAGAGGCCGTGCTCCGGTATGGCCGAGGGGAACAGCATTTGTATCACTTCAATCCTCTCCTGGCTCCTCAGGAAAAGATTTTCCGAGACGCACCGTGGACTGGAGTAATGGAAGACCCCAAGCGATTTGTCGTCTGGCTCTATACTAACGCGGCAAAACGGCCGGTTTCCCACGAGGATCTGGTCCGGGCCATTCAGGAATACTCCTATCCAGGGGTGACGCGCGCAGTGCCGCGTTATTTTAACTCGTCCTCATTCCGTGCGGAGTGGCTGGATCGACGGAATCGGTTACTTACGGCTATTAAATGCCCTGTATTGATCATGCAGGGGTATGACAGCCGCACCACGCCGCGAGAACTATACGAAAATTCTCGGGACTACCTTCCAAATTCTCAACATGTCGAGGTCGCTTTCCTTCCAGGGGGACATTTCTGGCCTGCGGAGTCCCCTGCGGAAACCGTGGATGCACTACATTCATTGCTAGCCTTGCCCATCTCTTGATTAAATCCATGTACTGTCGTGATAGATTCAACATTCCCATTTGATAATACGATTAGGCAGTTGTATTGCTGGTTATTTCATCCGAGTCTGACATCATTTTGCATAGGAGTAGCGCCTCTCCCTTCGTGTGGGGAGCCAATAATAATGCCAATAGATATTTTACTCTCAACGCGGCAACCTTATAACGTATTTGACAAGCGAGCGGCACACCCCCAATATAAAACTAGCATTGTTAACATCTTAATAATTAAATTGTTTATTTAGAAAGCTATCTTAAAAATAATATATAATATAAAGCGTACTTTTAATATTAAATCTTAGTTTTACTTAATAACTATTTATCATTATTTAGGTAATAAAAATGTATACAAAATATATAGAATTATAGTGTAATTTTTTAAAATGTTAATTATTTTTATATTGATCTTATTAATATTGAGATATGAGCTATGTATTAATAAACGTGGCGAAATATCGAGGGCCCAAAAAATGACGGTTTTATATGGGATTGGGGGGTGGGCCGTTCGCTTTGGGTGCGCCGCTTGCTTGTGAAATACGATAATCGCTAACTTCCGACCGCCGGAACGGAAGATTGCTCCATAACGGAGGTGCAAAAGGCCGAGGGCCGCTGTGGTCACTCCTTGACGGTTTTGACACACACGATCTTCTTCCATGCTAATCCCTGCTGGACTTACCACGAATCCTCGGTCGAATTGCAAACTTACTTAGCTTCGCATACAGCTTATACTGCCATTATCTTAAAGCTTTCTAAAGGGTCAATATCAAGGTAGCCTGTAAGTCTGTATGCTAGTAGGGACACTATATTGGACTTGATTTAAGGATTGAGATTAACTTAGGTCCTATCTTTTAGAGGCTGTTTCCTGGGTTGGGTATACAGATTTTTTTTTTTTTGAAAGGTGATTGGGAGTATGTTAGCGGCTGGGTGCCCCTATGGCAGCCCCAAGATTTGGGCGGCGTAGCGCCGCTGCTTGGTGTCTAATAGGACCCCGTACGTCCTTGTTGTTGAACTTCAATGTTCTCGAATGTATGACCAGAGAATACTTCGGGGAATCATCTCACAATACCGTCACCTAGGTCCTCGTTTTTTGCTAGGTGACCCACTAGTTCCTTCTGAATCATCAGCGAAGCCTCGGCCTTCTAAACCGATTACGAGACTAGTTTCTACTTGATAAGTCTCGATATGAGATGCGGCACTTGAGCTTCCCATTGATCAATTCGAAGTGCCGTGCGTCGGAGCACTTATGGTATGTTGCCAGCGTTGTTAGCTTGTCTCTTGGTGTAAATGGGGCATTGGCGTGTAGGAGGCTGCATTCTTTGGTGCCAAGGTCAAAGAATTACCGGATCCGGCAGGTCGACGCTCATAATGGGAACCAACAAACGTGGGGAAAACTTAGCCCGTCTACTTATCAACAAAACACGATTGGGATGTATTACGATTTAGTACTTAAGTTAGGATGTTTCAGCTTGTGGAAAGTTGATAATAGCAGCAAGTCACTCCACTCTCCCAACATTAGTGAACCTACCTGAATTTATCCCCAAAGGAGATTTTTCCGAACTTCACCAGCCCGCTGTACTATCTTCAATTCAAGTAGCGCATATACATTTATTACCAGCGCCCATCATGACCGTTGAATGGGTCGCACCTGCTTCCTCTCCTGCGGTAAATGGACAACGGCAGAAAAACTGGGAGAGCTTGGTAGCAGCGAAGCGGGAAGAGCTCCAGAAAAGCATTCCCAACGCATGGCGCCTGACTGGAAAACAACTTAAACTATTCTCTCAGAAAGGCATCAATCTCGTTGCAGCAGATGTCTGCAGAAAAAGTGGGATATTGTCGGAATCAGAGCTCGACATTACGGAAAATTATACAGCGCAAGAATTGCTACAGAAATTAGCTGCTGGTGAAGTGAGCGCTCTAGAGACGACTACAGGATTTTGTAAGAGGGCCTCTATTGCGCAACAACTGGTAAGTGAAGATCCACCTACCTTAAGTTTCTTTCAGCGCTGTAGGGAGAGCAATAGGTAGGAGATTAACAATGATGTTACATAGTTATCATGTCTCACGGAGACCTTCTTCCCTAAAGCCCTCGAACGAGCTAACTTTCTGGACGACTACTTGCGTCGTGAAGGCCGAGTCTACGGACCACTTCACGGCCTGCCAGTGAGCGTCAAGGACAGCTTCGATATTGAAGGTGTTCTATCAACCGTAGGCTACGTGTCTTTTCTTGAACACTCTCCAGCGACATCAAATTCGGCCATGATCAATATGCTATTAGACCTCGGAGCGGTCTTGTACGTGAAGACCAATATCCCGCAGACAATGATGGTTTGTAACTCAAATGCTTGATAACCGAAAATGGAAACGTACTGAATGTATCCGCGGCAGACAGGCGATTCGGAGAACAACATCTTTGGCCGGACTTTGAATCCCCGGGATACCAACCTTACGGCAGGCGGTTCGAGTGGCGGTGAAGGCGCATTAGTTGCTTTTCGGGGTTCTATTCTGGGAGTGGGTACCGACATCGCTGGATCAATTCGTATCCCGGCGCTTTGCTGCGGTGTATATGGTTTTAAGCCCACCACCAACCGCATACCATTCGGAGGCCAGACATCAGGAGTTACGACTGGATTTCCTGGTCTTATTCCATCTGCTGGGCCATTGTCACACAATCTCAAGGATATTCAAATGTTCATGAGTACAATATTGGATGCACATCCTTGGAAATATGACGAAACTGCAATCGGCGCCCCATGGCACCGCCTTGAAATTCAGAAAGAAACGCACAAGTTGATCATTGGTATCCTTCCAGAGGATCCTGCTTTCCCACTCCATCCGCCCATTAGGAGGACTCTGGAGAATGCTATTACTTCTCTCCGAAATCACGGCCATACAATCGTTCATCTGCTATCGGATGAAAACCGCAGTGTCGCTTACGGAAATCGTCTTGCGTTCCAGTACTTGACCTACGGTCCTCATGTTGATCATATTGCAACCAGTGGTGAACCCCTTGTTACTTCTGTCGCCAAGTTTTCTAACCCAATGTTCACCGGTCCGTTTCCTGTTGCTCAGGATCTATCCCTCGAGAAAAAAATTGTTGCGCTACATGAAGCGAGACAAAATTATGCCAAGACGTGGAGGAAAACCTGGTTGGAAAATAAACTCCATGTCATACTCGCTCCTGGCTCGCAGAACACCGCAGTTCCCCATGACACGTATGGCTGGCCACCTTATACTGTAATGTGGAATTTACTGGATGTAAGTACTGGAAATTTCACAGTAACAGCAATTCGCAAAGTAATAAATTAACAAAGATACTAGTTTCCGGCATGCATTATTCCATTTGGGATTGCATCAAAACATCTGGATCCCGAGCCAATGAAAGTCCAAGATAACGTGCAACCATCTTGTATGTGGCGTTCCTTCATAGTAAACCATTTGAATTCATAGTGGTGGTTAACTTGCTTCCAGATGATCCCCACGCTGTCCATGGCTTACCGTGCGCACTTCAGGTCATCGCACCGAAGTTTCAGGACGAGCAGTGCTTACTTGCGGCTGAAATAATTGATAAAGATATTCGAAACAATTGAAAGAAATTGAAAACATTCTAAAGCTTTCTATTCATGTATTTAAAGATGCTAGAATCTTGTTTGACATACGAGAAAAGGCTTCTTTGATGCAATGTGCTGTGATTTCATGTGTTTCCTAAGATCTATCGTTCAACCAAACTGAAACTTTATTTTGGGAAAGTTTTTGTCAATTATATTCCAGCCAGTCTTGACTGCCAGGGTTGATTGTATGCTCTCAAGATTTTACTCTCGTCACTTTACTACATGTATGTCAGGCCGTAGTCCTTCTTCCCATCCGCATGCGTTTATTAACCAATGCGTCCACACCATTGAGCCATTTCTTCCATACCTGACCATTTCCCATCTCGAGAATTCGGGCCATTCGCGAATATAGCCGCACATTTTCATCCTCAGTCTCATTTAGAACCTTTTGCTGGCTGTTGGGGCCCCAAACTTTCCATTGGCGGCACTTAAAATCAGTCTTCCAAGGAATTTCACCATTAATAAAGCGGATCCATGACGCTGCAAAGTCTCGGGCCATGGTGATTTCATCAGGACTAAACTCATTCTCCAGATTTCTAAACAGGTACAACAATTCGTAAGCATGATATGCCGTTCCCTCAAAGCTGTTTGGGATCATTGACCGCTGGTCAAAGTGATAGAAGTAATGTAAGTCAGGCCTATCACGGGATATAGCCATAGCAGCAGCGTAGTTTGGAATCTTGAAGATAGCATCTCCGTACATATGCTCTACTCGCTGGACTAAAACATCTTGTGCGATGTCTGGTTCGATATTGTATGCGCTTAGAATCCGGTCTACCGTTCGCTCATCGTTCAAATACTCTAATAGCGTCTGCCGGATAAAGTCATAAGAGTCGTCTGCTATATTGAGGTGAAAGATGACTCCTTCGTGATAGGTATCCCCAAGCATGAATGCTTCCACCCACGATGGTGGATTATTAATTTCTTGGGGATTTCTTGCATAGAACCAGCCATCGATGCATGCGTTCCCCGTACCTGATATCACCCCCTGGATTAGTGGGGTTGCGTTAGCCAGCTCTTGCTGAGGTATATTGCGTAAAAGCTCCAATACGCTCGCTTCAGCCGGGTCGATATCAAAGTGGCGACATGTAGCCTCAAATAGTTTTTCGTGTTGCTCTATTCTCCATGCTGGAATTGCCATGCTCAATCCAGACATGCACACTGCTCGGTGAAAGACTGGCGGGCGAGCAGCGCACATTTGATGACTGATGGAAATGCCTCCAGCAGACTCTCCCACTGCCGTCACCCGAGCAGGATCGCCGCCTAGATCCGAGATATATCGCTGTACCCATTCGAAGGCTACTTGTTGATCAGTGAAGCCAAAATTGCCACATCCTGCAAAGCCCTCCTGCTCCAACTCTCGCTGGATAGCCAGGCAGGCCAGGAAGCCTCCCAGGCCAACACGGTAATTAAAATTAACGCATACGATCGGCAGGCCCATTTTTTCACTCTGAGATACCAAGTTGACAGCATCGAAAATAGGAAGATTGGCACCGCCGTATAACAATGACCCGCCGTGGACGTATACCATGACTGGAAACTTCTTCGCAGAGGTAGCAGCAGCAGCCGGCAAGACAATATTCATTACTAGGCCTGACAGTTCATCCACTGTAGGTTTACCCGGGAAGTGAGGTGCCGGAGGTACAGGTACAAGTTCGTCACTATCATTCTCTCCACTGGATTCAGGTCGGGGACAGTCGTTCCTGAGGATAAATTTTGTTGGTATTGTATCTCTTCACTTTCGAATTCAAGGACGTCGCGAGAGTGAGGAAAATTGAAATTGGTGAAGGATATAACCTACCCAAGCTTGGTTCCATCATGAAAACCATCTGCCCATGAAGTTTTGAGGAGTGAACGAGTCCATCGTTTGGCCAGGACAGCGTAAGGAATACCGCAATATTGCTGGACTCCATTCGGAAATTGGTATCCCTTCAAATCTCCTAGACCCCTGATGTAAGCAGAGCATGTCGATTGCGGACACTGGAATGACATTGCTTTGCAAAGAATTGGTGGCTCTGGCTTTTGTCAAGCGAAATGCGTATTAGATATATCAAGTGAGGGGATCGGGGAGATGCCTCTCGAAATCATGACAACTTCAGAAGTCCACCGGCATGAAAGACAAGGCGGGGTATTAAATAGTACCTGAAGACTGGATCCATTCTGAGAGTATCAGCATGTTTGCTTTGAGAGATTCAGAATGTGCTTCTCATTTCCATACCGGAATACTTAGATAAAACCAGAGCGCTGACTGGCGGAGTGGATTGACGAGCGGGCAGACTAAGCCGAGGACGGCAGCCGGACCCGTGCTCCTTGGCAAGTCGCGCAGTCTCTCTTAACTTACGATTGCAATCTTCAACTGGGTACAACCCACATCTTGTTCTTCTGTACATCAAATCGGGTATGTCGGCGTCGCATCACCGTTCCTATGCCGGTTGTTGGACATGCAAGAAAGCGAAACGCAAATGTGACAGCCGCCGCCCTGCCTGTCAGAGCTGCCAGAAACGCGGCGTCGAGTGCGAAGGATACGACCTGCGCCTGCGCTGGGGCTCGGGCATAGCGTCACGCGGTCGCTTTACCGGCGCTGACAAGCCGCTCTTGGGGTCAGGGCCTCCACGACCCAAGGGGCGTCGCCGCGATCTTAGTCGGGAGAGGAAGAGAGCAGCCCAACTGCGCGAACCTGAGGATGGCCGGAATATCTCAGAAACAAGTATGTTGGGAGCTTCCTGTTGGGCCGCGTTAGCAGCTCAACCTACACATAGGTTCTGATGTGATTCAGATGCTGGTGCGACGGTAGATCGTTTGTCGCCTTCGGCACAGATGACAGGGTACTGGGATTTTCCGTGGCTCGCGCCTCATGAATGCCATATGACAGCACCATCAAAGCTTCGCTGGGAAGGCTCTCGCAAAGATCAGTTACTTTTCAAAGAGTGTAATATACACCCCCTCTTCCCAATCTTCGTTGGATGATATATTATTTTCCTGAGTTCCCTCCAAAGAGTGAAAGATTGTACGGACAATGGAAGACGACGCCAGAAGCTGATAGGACTAGTCCTTACTACAGGAATCAATTTATTACACGCAGCAACAATTGATGACATTCCATTGGTCCCAGCTATTCCACAGCTCTGTATGGAGTCCGAAGCTCTATATCCGATTTGTCTCGCGATTCAATGTCATGTATCGCCTAATCTAGAATCCGAGTTCTTGGAATATTTCAACGTTGCGCTCTCGAAGTTTCGATCCGAGCTGGCTCGATCTTCAATGATATTAGGCGACGCAAATCTCGCAGCTGGGCTGCTTTTGTGTACGATAGGGGTAAGTAATACTTGGATGGATTAGTTATCTCCTTGCTGCGCCTATATTTCTAACTACTGATCTCAGTTGATGCGTGGTACACCTTGGACCGTGCATCTTGAAGGAATGTATCACATACTCCAGTATCAAGACTTCCAGCTGACCGAAAGCTGTAACATAAAGCTACGCATGCACCTTATTGAAGTTATGGGGGTAATGGACCTGCGAATCTTGGTTGTTGGTCGCCAGACACCATGCTTCGGAGTCTGGCGTCGCCATCGTCAGAGCCTTGTCAGCCATGATAGTGGTGGTGGAAACGAAGTGGAACCCGTGAGCGGACTACCGCGTTCTTTACTCGATCTCTATGCTGGAATTGGAGAAGACACAACCGAGATTGACCTATGGAACTGGCCCGGTGAAAAAGGTAGTCTATCTCAGTGTCATCTTTGGGAAGCACACCGGCTCGCTGGTATGCTCAATGTACGGCGCTTCGGAAGGCGATCTGAAATCCCTATCAAATTTCCGCCTGGGTATCAACCTCCTGATAACGAAATTCTGGTCAGGCGTATACTCAGCTGCATCGAAGCCATAACAAAGACATATGCCGCACCAGACAGAAATGGCTCGCTCGTGGTGAATGCGCTGACCTACCCCATTTTTACAGCAGCACTCGAGTTGGAAGTCTTAAGGAATAATTCAGAATTGAAAAATCTAATCCGTCATTTTTTAAGAATTCAGAAAAAGTATGACGTTGGTGTGGTTACCACGGTCCTCCAGGGATTATTGGAAGATTTGTGGAATATTGACGAAGTTGATATCGATGTAGATGACCTGGCGCGGTCCCGGGGTATTGAAACCGGCCTTTTTTGATAATAATAACCCTAATATTACGACCTTTGTTACAGGTGATTCATCGCATATCGCCAAACAAGAACTTGCCATTTTGCTGCTATCAATCTTTGATCATAAGCCAGTACTTCACCGTATCACTCTCCTCGGATGTTGCTTGACTGCTACAAGTCAATTTCACCTCATCAACAACCTGAAACCCAAGCTTCTCGTAGAATGGTATGTTGCTTTCTCTTGTACACTCAAGGGCAATACATGAATTTTCCGTATACTTGAAAACCTGCTGCATCACCCGTTTTCCCAATCCACATGATTGGAGAAAGGGATGTATTCCGATCACCTCCAAATACCACAAATTAGAACTCTTGTGTTGCGATCGTAATTTCAGGAACCCGGTCTCGTGAGCGGCAAGTAGCTTTTCCAAGCGCTATTGAGCCAAACAATTTAGCCGTCTCAAAAAACCACCTAGAAGGCATAACAAAAAGCAGAATAGGAGGAAAAGTAAATGTCAAAAGCGAGTTCAAGAAAGTCTAAAACTTTGAGATTCACAAGCTCAAAGTTCAACTTACCAACTCATCAGTCTCCGGATCACGAGCAGGGTCCCACAAATCCAGAAACCAAATTTTGAAAGCCCAAAAAATTCGTCTCAGATTCCAACGAAGTAGATTCTTCGGTGGGAATAGGATAACAACAGCACCGGAGTCCTCTGATTCTGTGAAAGATATATTGCCGTGATTGACACTATACCCGCCTTGTATGGTATTAGCTACACCGGAGGGAGATATTTGGACGTCTTTCTTTAGTGGTGTAGCTGCACTTTTTAACAGCTGCGATACCGATGCAGATTGCAAAACTATTCCTTCATATAACGCTCGTTGAACACGTCGATACTGCCATTTGTTGGACGGATTGTGAAGGCATTCCCATGCTTGACTGTTAGGACGCAGCCATTGGATCAGAGGATCGCGCGAGAATGATAGACTGATGGTGTTCGCAGCCGCCGTGATAGACCTTCGATCTAGTAAATTTTTATAATAATGTTATCATGCTTATATAATAAGAATAATGCAAGGGTCACAAACTGTTGGCAACCGGAAACAGCTCAATGCTTGCTGGACGAAAAGACATTCTCTTTCTTAGCGGTTAACTGCAGATACCATCACTAAATCTAATGGAAAGTAATTTGAGCCCAAATTTTGGCACAAAAAAGTGAATCAATAATGTTACACAGAGTGCATAGAAATTTAGTTACTCGAGCAGCCAGGTCGATTGGAGCACACGAATTCAACTGTCACTCCAGTATCTCGGTGAAATTGACCTATCCCGGGTCTATTTGCTATCGAGCTCGTCTTCAAAATGAGCAACCACGATTAGAATCTATAAGGGCACAGAGACGTTTCAGCGTCAACCTGCCGGATTGGGCCTAGTCAGGCTAGCTAGGACAAAAATATAAGAGGGCGTGGGGAGGCGTTAGGGTTATCCAGATTAACGACCTCGGCACCAAGTGCGTCCAATCACAGGAGAATGCACGTTTCAACTGCTCCTATCGGCAATGAAATCGGTTCCCTTTATGGCAGGTGGACGCGTTACATTGTGGCGTTCAACTCTCTACAGTGGAGCCAAAACGCATTAAAAGCCTAAAAACCTATGCATGATAGTGACGAGCTTCTCACAGGCCTTATCAGCGCTGTCGAAATACGTGATCAGCGACCAAAGCAAAGAAAGCACCCCATGTTCACTCGTATAGGCAGGCGGACGCAATACAATAACCGGCATCGCGAATCCTAAGCAATGCCGATATGGCGTAACGACAGTGTCGCAGCATCAATTCCAGATTAAAAAGGATGATCCTCGACATAGTATGATAGAACCCACTTCCCCGCGTTTTCTTATCGTGTCTAGAAAACTACCGATGTACGGAGTACATTGATTCATCGAAAGGCTCTTTTAGTGCGCCACGATAACAGGATATCCCATGCGCATACCACTTATAAAGATATATGAATTGGCTTGTTTTCTATACAGACGGAGACTATCTCTTCAGAAACTCTTGCAATTATAACACCACTCGAAATAGTACACTTGTTCTCAAGCGTTTGAGCAGAAGGTATAATGCCAAATCCCACTCATAGCACGTCGTTTGGAGACCAGGATGACATGCCCCCCGGCACTTTTCTTCTTGTTCGAGGTATATTGGACTTTATGCTCCCTTGGAGTCAGTATATTTGTTTCTCACAGCCACCATAGAAGACGAAGCTTCTCGAGATCATGGCGGACGCACGATTATCCTTGATCCTGTGCCATCGGATGATCCAAATGAACCGCTAGTATTACTTCTACCATGACATTGCTTACTCCAAGTAGCCGCTAATTGTGATATAGAACTGGAGTACAACTCGCAAAGCGGTGAACTTCACGCTGGTGCTGGTTGTTAGTTGTCTTATATTCACCGCGTATGTACCACCCACAAATATCTCTACATAACTGATATATTATCATATACCGTTCAGCTTGTCTATTCAGCCAATTTTCTGGCAATTAATGGTTGTCGATTTGAATGTGACCTATACACAACTTAACAACGCCGCGTCGGTCAATTTTGTCGGTCTTTCCACCGGTTGTGTGCTTTTCATTCCGTTGGCCATAAAATATGGCAGACGCCCTGTTTATCTAGTCTCGACAGCACTCATGTTGGCAACATCAATGTGGCTAGGGCAGATAAAGAGTTTAAGCGAATTATACGCTGCGAACCTACTCCAGGGATTGGCGGGAGCAACAAACGAGTCTATCGTCCAAATCACGGTGAGCCTATAAAGCATTCAGAACTCTCTTGTTCAGTATGGCTAGACTGACGATGTAATGCCTCTAGATTGCGGATCTTTTCTTTGTACATCATCGTGGCGGAATGAATGGATTGTATATGACTATGGTAATGATTGGAGTAAGCCTCTTTGGAATAAACTTATCTATCAGGCTTTGATTTCTGACTTTGTGCTCCAGAGCTTTTTGACCCCCATGGCTGCTGGAGCACAAGCAACCAACCAGGGCTGGCGGTGGTCTTATTATACCATGTCAATATTTACCGGTGTCATTTTTCTACTTTTCGTTCTTTTCTACGAGGAGACAAAATACTCTCGAGTAATTGACGGCATTCCTGCTCCGAACGACACTATTTATGACGCTCAGCTCAGCAACTCGCCGCATCCGGAGAGCGCAAAATTTGATAAAACAGGACGAGATCCACAAGTAGTTGACACGGCAACAGTTCCTATTAGACAATCATCTCGAGATCACGAAGTGGATCAATCCATCCCAATCAAACCATGGAGAACGAGGCTAGCACTTATTACTCCAACGTCTGAGCCTATTTGGTCATACTTTTACAGACCTTTCCTTATACTTCTTCGGTTCCCAACTGTTCTTTTTACAGGCTTACAATATGCTAGTGGAATTGTCTGGCTTACCATCATGTCCAGTGTCCTAGCATTAGTATTCCCACTTCCACCATACAACTTCAGTCCGGCACAGGTCGGATACATGAGCAGCGGGCCGTTTATTGGAAATCTGCTTGGAGCTATCTATGGTGGTTTTCTAGGCGACTGGTCGATCTTGTTCTTCTCTCGTCGGAACAAAGGCTACTTTGAGCCCGAGATGCGGCTTTACATTTTGCACATCCCAGCGGTATTCTTGTGCGGTGGAATAATTATGTTCGGAGTGACGATTTCTCGGGTGCGCCTTAATCCTTTTTATTCTTCTTTAGTCGCCCATTTCCTTTTGTGGAAGACATCTTTCAGCTGAGACTGACGGTTTACAGGGTATGCACTGGATCCTCCCTGTCATCGCGGGTGGTTTCTTCGGCTTCGGCCTCGGAAGCATTGGCGACGCATGCTTAACCTTGGTCATCGACAGCTACCACGACGTGAGACTTCATGAATTTTTCTTGTCTATACGTAAAGTCCTTGAAGAATCATATTTGACTAATATCATCTCCATAGGTCGTGGGCGACGCATTCACTGGAATCGCCTTCCTGCGAAATGCCATCACCATCGGCATCCCGTTTGCTATCACCCCGTGGATGGAAACCAATGGACTACAGAATATGTTCATCACTTGTGGGTTTATCAGTCTGGGTATTACAAGTTTGTGCATTCCAATGGTTATATTTGGCAAGAGATCTCGACGAAAATTGGCGCCGTACTACAGGGAGATGGCCAGCAAGCAGGGGTAGCGGTCCTAGGTTTAAGGATGGTAGTAGTCGAATCATGAAGAGCAGTATATCTTCGATTACTGTGCATTCATTCAATATTTACTGCATTGGCATGTCTTTTCACTTTCTTGCTTGACGATGGTATTTCGAGTTTTCTTACAACTCGCATGAATAGCCCTAATTATCCGATGATACTCCTACTGTACTGAATGAAATTTCAAGTGTGTTCTTTATTCTATCAAAGAGGAACGAGATAGGTTACAGGGAAACGAAACTCAATAAACTAGCATGTTTAGTTTTATTATCATTCAATTTGACCGAGCGGACACAGTTTGACTGCTATCTACAGCCGAATTAGGAGGTTGCTCGCCTCGACCTCATCAACCTTGATACATGCTCTGAGCCATTACATCTTCCGGCTTCACCCCTTCGAAATTGGTCAGATAATAAGCATCGATCAAAATCCTCGTCCCGACGCAGGTCATAACTCCTATGCACACCAATCCATTCAACCAATTGTACTTTCCCGGTCCTGTCTCAATACGCAAATGTGAGAAAAACTCCACGTCGTCTTGAGTGACGGTGTGCTTTGGTCGTATGGTGGGATCCTGCGCCACTTGCTTCGCATACTCAGTTCCTGGCCCGGGTCGATACAAGCCGTGAGCGCGAATGTAGAGGTAGTGGCCATCGTTTGTCTTTGCAGTGTAACGAGCATCGAGCATCATAGACTGATGAATTTGTCACGTAAGCACATGGCTAGCTATGAGATAGGAGGGGAACAGCCATGCTATGTAGCAGCAATGGGGGATTAATTACATGCGTTCCCTGAATCACCGTCGCCCAGTCCGCACCGCCAAGAGGCAACACTGAAGCCTCAATTTCAGGTCCTTTAAGTGTGCCACTCTCAATGTTTGCGATGCTTCGAATTATCCCAGTACCATGCGGCGCGCCGATGTCGATCTCCTCTTCGACAATGTCGCATTCGAGACGATATAGAAATGAAAGTGCGGGTTTACGCATGGGAGGGCTTTGTGGGAAGAAGACATTTCCCGGTGATTCAGCGATATTTGATGAGGCCATTTGGAGACATGTGCTCTAGAGCTGGTGCGACCAATAATTTACTTCAACTTTGTTCGCTTCGAGCTTGAGCCATAGAATAATAGATACATAAGTAGGCAACAGCTGAAAATAGCCAGCCTCGGCAGTTCCGTAATCTACGAGGTAAAACATCGTGATGTGAACATGGTATTATCCGACTACGACGACTACACATCTCCATTGCTGGAACTAAGTATGTCATACTCGGCAGTGCGCGATATGGATAAGCCAAAGTATCGAGGGGGAAGTGGAGAGCTTAGTACCAATTCAGCAGGTCGACCCTAACACAGTGATTGGCTCGACATGCCGACTGTGCAGCAATTGGGGCTCTACTTCATCAAGAAACTATATGAGAGGCACCTGATCTTGCTCTGACTTTACGGCAGCTTAATAAGAATAAAACAGCAAAGGAGGATCGAAAGCTACAACGAGTTTGAGCATCACTGAGAAAAATCTTTCCAAACAAATTTCAATTAATCAATCGTGAGAACGCAGCAGGAGTTTAGTCACAATGGCTTTTGTGCAGCATGTACTGTTTGATTCGGCCCTTCCAGGGTCCATCAGGCAGAGGGCCTTGGACCGGATCTATGCTGATCCTGGCATTCCGGTTAATGAAGGCACCACCTCTTCTTTCTGGCTGCAGACACCTCATCCAACACTGTCGAAGATACAATTGTCCAATTTACCATCATCGGCTGACACGGTGATCATTGGCTCCGGTATTACAGGTGCATCTGTTGCGCGGACCCTATTACAATGTCGGGAACGAAATTCCTCAATCCCGTCTTCCGAGAACGAGCCGTCGGTGGTCATGCTCGAAGCACGAGATATATGCAGTGGCGCGACAGGACGCAACGGTGGGCACATTCTCGAAACGGCAGATGACTATGTACATCTTGCAAACGATTTCGGAGAAGATGCGGCAAAGAAGATAATGAAATTCCGTCTTGCCCATTTGCAAACCATCCTGGACGTCGCTGATGAACTCATGATCCGCGAAGAATGCCAAGCTCGAAAGGTGCAATTTCTTAGTGTTTATTTTGATGAGGAGACGTGGGAGATGGCCAAAGAGCGGCTAAGCAGGTTCAAAGAAGCAATGCCAGAGGAGTCTGCCGACTGGCTGCTATATGAAGACATAATCCCTGAAGAATTCCATCTGCCAGCTGCACGAGGGGTAATTGCAGGTCCAGCAGGCGCTATATGGCCGTACAAATTTGTCACTGGCGTTTTGGACAGTTTGCGACGGCAGTTTCCCCATGATTTGCACATCGAGACAAACACACCCGTGCAAGACATCATAACCTCTTCAGAAGAGTCCCGTTGGCCGTTTTCGGTCGTCACAACCCGTGGAATTATTAAGTGCAGACATCTCGTGCACTGCACAAATGGTCACATCAGTCATCTTGTTCCAGGATTCCGCGGCCGTATTTACCCAGTGCGTGGTCAGATGTCAGCCCAGAGTCCCGGAGACAAGTTTCCTGCGTACGGTATGAAACACTCGTGGCTGTTGAATTACGACCGTGGGTTTGATTACTTGACCCAGCTTCCGCACGACCACGCTGAATCCAACGCAGAGATGATGCTCGGAGGAGGCTTTGCTCAGGGTAAAAACGGTGGTGTTGATGACTTAGGTATTTCGCATGACTCCGAGCTCTGTCTATATATCGACATCCATCTTAGTGGAGCGTTAGCTGCTGTATTCGGCCATCAGAACTGGGGCAAGACCAGCGGACAGTCGGTGAAGAACATGTGGACTGGAATTATGGGGTTCAGTGCAGATGGCATGCCGTGGGTTGGTAAGCTACCATCCTCATTGACTGATCGGTCCCATGATCGCAACGAAGGCAATGCCGCTCACGGCGCAGAATGGGTTTCAGCAGCCTTCTCAGGTGAGGGCATGGTGCAGGCCTGGCTTTGCGGGAAGGCTCTTGGGTTGATGATTCTGGATCACGATGGCAAACAAAGTACAGGTGAATCTGCCGATGTTCGGTCCTGGTTCCCTGAGCAGATGGTTGTGACCGAGGAGAGGATACGAAAATCATTTCTACCCCGGCAAATACAACATCCAACTAAAGAGGACAACCCGCATTTATAAACGGTACCTGATTCTGCCAACTGCTGAGATGAGGTGGGCAATCCGTAATCCGGTTCTATATGATAGCGGTTTCGTCTAGGCGCTCCCTAGTATATTGTGCCAAATGAGATAAACCATATAATGCTTTGTCGTTCAGTGTTGCTATACTCCTTCAGATATTACGTATAAGTATTTAATGGCATGATGGATCGTACTTGTAGAGTTGACGCAAGGGGTGTCCCCATCTATGCTGTAGTAACGAAATTGACGTATAGAAGCCTTTGTCACTGATTAAAAATCATCAGCGCTAGAGAATTAATACGCCAGAAATTCCCGCATATTTGATGTAAGTGATTTCAATGATTTATAAGGCATTCTGACGATTCCATCCCCGGATATAGATGTAATTCGCTGCCAGTGCGGAGATCGAATCGATAAATTTTGGTAGACGCAAGTAATCGCTTTTACGTAGGTATCCCAGATAATGTCACCTTTTGAGAAAGAGAGTTTCAGAATATAGACAGTAAATATCAAACAAAAATCAAAACTGGCCGAAAATCACTTCACTAAGCCAGTTCAACAAACCGCCGCTTGATCAAGATCGATAAGCCTTACATGAAACCAACGAGGAAGCTGACTCTTCGCATAAAAAGTATCTTTCCTCCATTTTTACTTTTGACTACCTCCTTGCATCGCTCGCCTCAATTAAATCAAGTTCCGGGATATGGCCAATAAAGGAATGTCACCAGTAGGGTGTGCAGCGAACTAATGTCCCTAATATGTCCGTTTTTATCTTCTGATCATCGAATTCAACAGTAACTCAAAAGCGGTGTGAGAATTATGGACTCATCATAAAAGGCAGCCTGAAAGCCCCACGGTTGCCTTATCAAGGCTATAATCCATTCAAAAACTGCATTGGGTGTAACGAGGCTGAGCAGCTTATACATGCAGGAAGTCCCCGTCCAGTTCAACAATAAAATAGGGGAGGAGAAAAAAATTAACAATTCAGCAATTCAGCTACTCTACAAGAAACCGTCTATTTCAATAGTTCTGAAATAAACTCGTTGAGGAACATCCTTGCTCAACGTAGAAGCACTGGAAATAAACTACCTTGCCACATTCCACTACAAACGAGAAAATGAACGGCTTTTATTGGGTCTGGCCAGAAACACCGCCGTGAGTACACTTTGGTTTTCGAATACAAATAAGCCGGGCTATCAATCATCTAACAAGTTCTCCTAAGCAGTCAAACAAGCCCGTACACCTCACGCTTCATAACGTTACGTATTGGAAAGTCATCAAACGAGTACAAGGTTCCAGAGGACTTCATACAAAAATATCCCAATCTTTCAGCCAAAATTCGCAATTTTTCCAGCGCCGACGAAATTCCCTGCTTAGATGATATCGACAGTGAAATTGGGCATACATTTGTCCATTTCCTATATTCTGGTGCATGTGAAACACTTGGTGAAAAACGCAACGTTTGGCCAGAGGAAAGGAATGCGGAAAAATACAGACATAGTATTCTCATCTACTCTGCTGCAGTAAAGTATGATATCTGGGGCTTGGTGAAGCTTGCAAAGGCTCAGATAAGACAGATGTCAGCAAATCTGCCGCTTTCCAGCTTGATCAGTAATGCGAGAGAACTCGTTGATGTCTTACCAAACGGGGACACGTGGTTCTTGAAGTTTTTAAGGAACAAAGTCTTACAGGCTCATGAAGACAATGAAGATATCTTCACACGAAGAGGCTTCTTTAAGGGATTCGGTAAGCATGAGACCCTCGACCCATTTTTGTGCCAGTGTATTGTGGAGGCCTACCAAAATAAGGTTGCAAAATTGAAGGAGCAAGCTCAAAAAGCCATTGGCGAGTCTATACAAGAAGACTCTATGAGTAAAGAAATTCTTCTGGTGGAAGAAGAGGTCAATGAAGATATTCCGGAGCCACACAATGATGACATCGGACAAGCTGAAGAAACATCTTCTCCCACAGAAGCCATGAAGGAGCCACTAGGTGTCAAGCATGGAATGTCACAAATAATTCCTAGTGAGAATTATGCCACTACACTGTGCCCTAAAGAGATACAACGGCCAGAAGAACACATGGCCGAGGAGTTTGCTCAAGAAGACGGCGTTTGGGATACCATGGACGCTTCTTCTCTGAGAAAGAAAGATAAAAAGAAAGGCAGAAAGAAGAGCGCACTTTTGAATGTAAAGGAAAATCATGCTTCAAATGGTTCTGATGAGTGGTGAAAAACATCATGTATCGAGATGATTATTTAGTGATGCGATTTTTTCGATCTGCAAGTATTAATTGATTCATTTCATCCACTTTTCTTATAAAAAAGCGAATTAAATGGTAGTAATTGTAGCTTCGATATATTGACTGCTTGAATAATGTCTTCGCTTTTATGGGCTCTTTCTTGCACGGCCATGTTTATATCAAGCGCATGTCAAACCCCTCTAATTTCCATTGCAAAGTCATGTAGTCTAGGCATCGAATAAAAGCATTGATGATGCAAAAGGCCTGATCCGTGAAGCAGCGATGAGCCTGTCAGGTATCGGCGCCATGTAGGCCTGATTGGTCAGCCGAGCTACCGAGCACACAAAGACCCGGGTAAACAACACTTCAACGACGAAGCCCGGTGTAATCTTACTGCCGGATTTTCCAGTTTCGATGATCTCTTGTGGCTTCAGATGACCCGCGTATAGCATGCTGTTTCCCGGTGAGTCATTTATGATTGGCTAGCCTTTGCAATTCCACTGGCAAACAAGGCTGAGCTGAGATTGACAGCCTTGCGCGGGGCGATTGCTATCAAACACAGAGAGAGTGCGATCGACTCATATAAGAGATAGCACGCAGCTTCTTGTTCTTGCTCCTACACCGCCATTGCCTACCTCAATTGATGTCTTCGTTTTCAGGGCCACCAAGTTTGGCGTAGTTAGCCCCCTCCTGTTCTATAGACGGTTTGTTTTACTTCCATCTTGCATTACAAAAACATTCACCAAGTCCAGTTTGAGATGCACTTTTGGGACTATATGACTCCTTCAATATCAATATTTTATTTCCCGTTATTGAACCTCACGGTATCACTTATTCTGTCTTGGCAACCCAAGTCACGAGCGCTGGTGAGTATAAATATATAAATGTGTCACGAAATTGGATCAGTGACTCCCAAATGACTCGGAGAATAACGGACTGACAGTGGCCATAGTACACATCTGCAATCCTTTGGAACTTGATCAATTCGGTGTCTAGCTGGCGAAACTAGTTTCTCATACCACTTTACACAATAAATTTGCCCACCATGTCTGACACCTTGTTTCCGCCTCGACATATATTTTACCCATCAAAAACACAAGAAAATACTATGATCTTCCTTCACGAACGTGGCATTGGCATGACTGGGGAAGATATTGCCAGTTGCTTTAATTCCGCAAATCTAGGTGGGAAGGCCATTTTTGATCACTTCCCTGCAACAAGATGGGTCTTTCCATGCGCCAAGGAGAGGAAATTCTTCATATCGAAAACTCAGGGAAATATCAGGTCCAGCAGAAAGGCTTCTATTTTTGAATGGTTCGAAGTGGCGTCTTTCGAGGACGTGCGACAAGGTTCAAACAAACAGCTCACTGACCTGAGGGACAGTGCCACTTATATTATGGGACTGATCGAAGATGAGCTCAAACACGTGAATAACGATCCCAGAAGGATTTTCTTGGGTGGTATTGGTCAAGGAATGGCCCTTGGGCTTGTTGTGCTACTATGTACGCCTTATCGATTAGGCGGGTTTGCGGGCATCAATGGATGGATGCCTTTTGCCGACACCTTAAAAGCGTCTATTGAACAAGGCGACATTGACGGAGCGTATCAATTCTTCAAATCACATTGCATTGTTCCTATACGACCGCCAAATATGCCACGACAGGATGCTACAAAGGCCATTCAAATGCCCTCTTTTATAAAACCCATCTCGAGTCAACGAGATTATTCACAGCCTGCCGGATCATCTACTGCTCCAGAGCCATCCATCGTTGAAGATATCAAGCGGACTCCGATCCTTGTGACCCATGCCAGTGGGGATAAGTTCTATGTTAAGACACAATATAGCTGTACGGCTTACTCGCTAATGGAAAGCATGGGCTTCTATAACTTAACATGGAAACAATTCACATACGGACGAGTCGAAGGTCAAATGTCCGAGTCGGATGCCTCCAACTTTTTATATTCTCTGATGTTCCCAGAGCAGCTGTTATACCTAGTTGGGTTCCTTGAGAGTTTCGGTATGAAATTAGAAAGCTATACAAACTAGCAAGGTGCTGAGAATATGGGCTTTTAATGATCAGCTCTGATTGCTGCTTAATTGGGCTGTCACCTTTGTAGCACTTTTCCCGGTGAGATGGAGTAACCAAATTAACATCGAAATAAGTTTTCTGTCTCCTATCGTAGCACAAAGTATAATTAGAATTATCAATAAAGAATATTAACACAAGAAATCTCATACAATTCAAGGGAAGTATATTCACCCAATGAGAGACGCGCAAAATTAGGCCCGGCTCCACCAATGATAACGGGGCCCGCCTTTCCCCTTATGCTATGCGCCAGACCTGATGGGGTTAGCGGCTAAGATGGCCTCTATTCCCCGATATTTTTTTTTCCTCTTGCCTCCCATTCACATTATAACTGCAGCGCATCTCGCTTTGTTTTTTTCTTTCTTCACTAGACATCCTGAAGGGCTTGGTTTATTCGGCTGGGATTTCCGAAATTGATTGATAGATTCCACAGTTATCAGCCTTTCCTCTTCAGAATGTTGAGCGCCGTTCGTCGCGGGCCGGTCCTCGCGAGGGCTCTACGAGCATGTGCTCCTCGAACATTGCAGTCTCCTGTTGTCAGATCGACGCATATTGTCACAAATTTTCAATCGCCATCGGCGATCCCGTCTGTCTTTCGTCCACAGGTCCGATTGCTTCAGTCGAAGTCCTCCTTAAACCAGACAGCTGCCGCCCAGACCGTTCAGGAGAACGAACCCCCTGCAAAATCTCTGACCGAATTCAGCGAACTCGGCAGCGAAGGCCTGGTCGAGCCGAATATTATCTACTCAATCACCCAGAAAATGGGAATTTCGACAATGAGTGATGTGCAAAGATTGACCATTCCTCAAACACTCAATGGTGTAGACACGTTAGTCTTCCTACCTTATATGCCCACAACGAATCATCCATTTGGATATCAGCTCAACTAACACTTTTAACTCTAAAGTCTCGCTCAAGCAAAAACCGGAACCGGAAAAACCATCGCTTTCCTTATACCTGTACTCCAGAAGATCATCACCAACGATCCCACCCTCGCGCGTAGAGGCCCCGGCTCATTCAAGTTTCGATCTAACTCCCCAGATATACGCGCTATTATCATTTCGCCCACCCGTGAGCTTGCTGAACAGATTGCTGTGGAGGCTAGAAAGGTTGCTGCAAGCACTGGCATTATCGTGCAGACAGCTGTTGGTGGTACAAGAAAAATGGAAGGTCTTGATCGCATCAGGCGTCAAGGCTGCCATCTTCTCGTCGCTACCCCTGGCCGTCTTAAGGACATTTTGTCTGACCCCCGGAGCGGGGTCTCTGCGCCTAACTTGGATGTTTTCGTTCTTGATGAAGCGGATCGTCTGTTGGATGACGGTTTTGGGCCAGAGATCGAGGAAATCGGACACTATCTTCCGGATCCAGTCGAGGTAGATCGCCAAACTCTCATGTTTTCTGCTACAGTCCCACGTGAAGTTCAAGGCATTGTGCGCAAGTTTATGAAGCCAGATTTCCAGTTCATCAAAGCCGTCAAAGAAAACGAATCCCCGACACATCTTAGAGTACCTCAGTGGTCAGTGGTCGTCCGAGGTTATGAGAATTTGCTTCCCAGCGTTCTTGAAATTGCAAACAAGTACAACCAACGTCGAGAGCAAGACTCCAATTTAAGACCTTTCAAAGCAATCGTGTACTTCAATTGCACTGCTAGTGTCCAATTGTATTATGAAGTGCTTGCTTCGTTGTTGAATGATCCCATGGATCCACGCAGCAGAAACCCATTTGGGCGAAACGTCTATGGCATGCACTCCAAGCTTAGCCAACAGCAACGTACGGCAGCTTCTGACAACTTCCGCCGTGCGGATGGTGGTATCCTCATTTCATCCGACGTCACAGCACGAGGGATGGATTTCCCCGATGTCACTCATGTCATTCAAATTGGTCTGCCTCGTGATCGAGAATCTTATATTCACCGCTTAGGGCGAACTGCTCGTGCAGACAAAGAGGGTGAAGGTTGGATTATCCTGCACGAAGAGGAACTAGGCAGCGCAGGCAAGAGACTACGCGATCTCTCCATTAAAGAAGATGCCTCTCTAGAGACAGCCGGCCTCGACCTATCTCGGGAAGGCCAAGAAGTTGCTACTAGCACCGCAAACATTCTGAACCAAGTCAGTGCTGCAATGAAACTAGTAGACCACAGAACTAAGTCGGATGCTTATCGCGCCGAATTGAGCTACTTGTCCAGTGTTTTCAGTCGCAAGCGGGCGCTGGTCCACGCGCTGAACGAATTGGCCGTACATGGGTGGAAGCTCCCAGAACCACCAGCCATTTCCAGGACGGCGGCTCAGAAACTCGGCCTCGCTGGGATCCCGGCCCTCAAAGTCAGTGACGACGACGCTCGATCATCGCGCGGTTTTCGTGGCGATGCGTTTGGAGATGCCTTTGCGACACAAGGCAGACAACGGATTCAACGCTCAAGCTACGGTGGCCGACACAATGCGCCTCGCTTCTCAGATCGACAACCGGACCAATTGGAGGAATTTGGATTTGGCAAGAGAACGGAGAATCGCCCATATAGACCATCTCGCGGGCGCTTTTAGGCCAGTTGAATAATAAATCATGTTAAAGCCAAGTCGCCATTCGAAAGAGCGCAATAAATTCAATGAAAAGAAAAAGCCTTTCGACAACAGTCCAAACCCAGAGACTGGGATTGAGGAAAAGAGGAAAACAAACGGACGACAATTCGGAAATAAATCAGCATTTGACAATCGGCGTTCAATCGATGCTTTCGTTGAGGAATTTGAAATAACGGGTGGGCTCTTGGTATCAATTTGGTTACATTTTCGGTTCTTTACTTTTTTTTTTTCTATTCCTTTCAACCCTTGTCATTATACTCGTCTTCTATTATTCAAAATGCGAGGTTCAGGCTTTGTTTCTCCTTCTACGTCTGGCTGTGAAGGACTGACTACATTGGCTCCTTGCTTTCTACTTTCTCTAGTGTACTGTATCATTTGAGACCGACTGGTGGGTATCAGGCGTGGCATGTTTGTTTTATTTCTTCCTCTTATATGTGTGTATTACCTTTGATTTTCTTTTCATTTGTCAGTGGGCCTAGGAAACGAATTACCATGTTGGTGTCCCGTTGAGACATCTATCAGAGTACATAGAAATTTTAATCTCCTCTTCTTATAATAAAAATTTATTTCTAATGAACCATTTTCTCTTTAACCGATCTAATAAAAATAGCCAACACATTACATACATACATTCAATGAATCAAATCATCGCAAACACAGACAAAGAGGTATAAATCAAGTTGATTCGTGAATCAACAGAAAGAGAAGTATCGAAAGCGGAAGGGGAAAAAAGAAAGCATTTTCACATTCCCAACAGACCTGCACTCATGATACGATACTACAATGCTTACCCCTTTTTTTTTCGAACCCTTTTCTGCGATTGCTTCGGAAAGGTGTACGGGGTTTACTTATCGGATAATCATATGTTCTCTGGCAGGGCCTGTTCCAATCCACTTCACTGGAACTCCGTCCAGACCTTTCTCGATGTATTCGACATATTTGCGCGCGTTTTCTGGGAGGTCCTCGTACTTTGTCGCGCCCATGGTGTTACTCTTCCATCCTGGTAGGGTGATATATTCGACTTCAACCTTTTGCAAAACGTCAGGATCGGCAGGGTATGAGTCTTCAACGCGAGTCCCGTCGGGGAGTTTGTATGCAATAGCGACCTTGATCTCGTCGAAGTCGTCTAGAATGTCGAGTTTTGTCAAGTTGAGGGCAGTGTAGTGGTTAACGGCGAGCGAGTATCGGCAGAGCACGAGATCGAACCATCCGCAACGACGCTTGCGACCGGTCGTCACGCCGAATTCGCGGCCAGCGGATTGCAGCTTCTCGCCGTACTCGTTAAGTTGCTCTGATGGAAAGGGGCCAGAGCCGACGCGGGTTGTGTAGGCTTTAACGACGCCAATAACATCTTTTATCTTGAACGGGTTGAGAGCGAGACCTTGAATAGCACCTCCAAGGCCGGTAGATGACGACGTGACGAATGGGTATGTACCGTGGTCGAGATCGAGCATGAGGGCATTCGCGCCCTCGACAAGTATCCCCTCATCGTTCTTGTATTTTTGGAGGAAGGGAAGTTGGTCGATAATGTAGGGTTTGAGCGTTTTCCGGTATTCCTACAAGAAGATCCATCATTTCAGCAACACGAAAGGGAAGAAATAAAAGAGACGAGAAGTACTACTCACTTTGAATCTTGAAATTTCTTCCTCAACGTCATACACCAAGTCGCCGAACCGATTCTTGTAACCAGTGGCAAGATTGCGCAGTTTCCGCTCAAACACTTCCTCATCAAAAATCTCTCCAACACGCACGCCGCGTCGGGCAGCTTTGTCACTGTAGCAAGGCCCAATGCCTTTACCCGTAGTACCGACCTTGCGACCGCCGAGCTTCGCCTCTTCCAGCCCGTCGACAACGGAGTGTAAATCAAAGCAAACGTGGGCGCGATCAGAGATGAAAACGCGCTTGCTGGCTCCTATCAATCCCTTCTTTTCCAAAGCGTCGAGTTCCTTGAAAAAACTGGGGACGTGGAAGACGGTTCCGGCACCGATCAGATTGAGACATTTCGGCGAGATGAGGCCAGACGGCAGGATGTGGAAATCGTAGGTCACGGAGTTATGAACAATGGTATGGCCAGCATCTGAGACGCGACTGTATCAGTTGGAGAAAACATCAAATCGAACGGAGTGAGTGAGTGGTTGATTGACTTACTATGCCCGCCGGCAGAGCGACAGCAGAGCGTCGCATTCTGGGACAAGAGATCTGTGATCTTTCCTTTACCTACAGTAGAAGTCAGGTTAATAACGAATTGGGCCTACAATTGCGCCATCATCTGGGATCCGTCATACCTTCATCCCCCCATTGACTACCCAACACGATTGTCGCCATCTCCGCGGGGTAACAAAAAGCCGTATGCCACAAAGGTTTTTTTTTCCCTCTACAATTGGCACGAACAGATAGAACAATGGATTTATTTTTCGGCGAGAAAGGTTGAGGGGTGTAGAAAAAGCAAAGTAGCCTCCGATATTTGACGTGAGTCACTGGACAGCGTCGTAAAAATAGAGCACCGGGCACCTCCGATCCTGGAGGTTTTTACGCCGGCGCAGCGGGGATTTTCTGGTGGTTTTGACTTGTCGCCGGCAACGGACGTGGGGTTCCGGCTGCCTCGCTGCCTCAGGCAGCGAAAGCCCGTCTGCACTCAGTTTACTCATCATGTGGCATAATAGGAGTAGTATGGAATTGATTTTCATATGCATGTACTTCTAAAATGTCGCCATGTGCTTGTAAGAAATCTGAGGTGGGTATATGTACCTGTAATCCAAATCGATATCATCCTACATCCCCCTAGAATGCTCCAAAAAACGCCTTGCTTGCGTTGGCCTAAGAAATCAAAAGGACATCCAAGTAATCCAATTCTTCCAATCCATGCCACCATTCCTATATATGCGTATGGCTGTTGTCCAACAAGTTTATAAACTCTGTCGCCTTGAACCGTAGATAGATCGATCTTCATACGATTTTCCCCCGAGTACGAATCCATTCCCTAAGCTCGCCCAGTTGCAAAATGCACTCCCGATGTCGTTCGTTCGCCACATCCCAGTACTCGCGTATTTTAGCGTGCTCGTCGATAGAGTTAAGGTATGCCTTGTAACCGCCATGGGGGTGATCTGGGATCAGAATTTCCGGCTCACCCCCGGCCTCGCTCCCATCTGCCTCATTGCCTGCGGGTCCACTGTTTTCAGACGCCACGTTCAGCTGGATTGAGTCCCCGATTGCATCGATCCATCTTGGTGCAAGTCCAGTTTCAAAAGCCGCTTCCCTTATGATCAAGATTTCAAGCATTTGTTTCTGAAAATTGTTCCACTCTGTCAGATATACGCATATCTGTTTCACATACGCCTCCCAGCTCTGTCGTGGAAGAACCATATTGCGAGGATCATTGCCTAGAGGGACGACTGCCGGTTTTTGAGGGCGTTTGGGTGGTGATGGAAGATCGAATTTACGCCCCTGGGTCATATTCTGCTTTGTCGCCGAATCATTCGCGCGAGATTCAAATGGCAAGGTCGTAAACATGTCCTTCAAATCGTCTATGCCACCACTGTTGGTACTTGTAAATGGCGCCACATTATGAAGATGGCCCAGGTTGAAAAGATCATTTGGCTGTTCAGGTATTTTGCTGGCGTTTCCTGTGGATACATTGGCTTTCGACGCAGGTGACTGCGGTTGCTTGATACCATTAGTCGCTGTCTTCGTGGGTTCAGGCAGTTCGTCATCAATATCCATCGCATCGAGAACGTGAGTGGACTGTCCTTGAGCGGATTGATCGGGTTGAGGAATCGTCGTGCTCTCTTCTTCTGCCTCCGTTGATACAGCCGGCTGTTGTGGTTTTGTGGTCCGTGATGTAGGTCGTGAAATCTTCCGCCCCGGCTTTGTGATGCCTGCTCGTGACTGCGACAGTGACTGTGAAGGAGCATTTTCTGAGTTTGGGTTCCGAGCGGCCCAGTTTGTATTCTGCAAATGCTGGGCCCAAGCCTCTGCAGAGAATTGCGATGGGGGTCGTAAGGTCGAGGCTTGTTGTCTCATCGCTTCGTCACTTGGAGGTACAGCATTAGGCTGCGTCTCCAGATCAGTTCTACTTGCCGGTCTCCCACGCATTGGGGAAGTCCGCGATCGACTGCGCTGGTGTCCATTGATCTTATTTGGTGCAAATATTTCTGGTCTGATTGCATCACCCCAGTCGCTTGCTGAAAACCTTTGATTGAGGTTATCGTGGCTCCTACTCTTGGTGCCATTATTTGGCGAGGAATTAACACTATCAAAATGATTGAGTTAGTCCGTTTCCTCGGGGTTTCAATTGCAAAGCATATACGGAAACTTACTTCTGATTACCAAACCCGGGAACTCCTAGATTCGCTTGAGGTGTAGCATTAGCGGCTTGTGCAGCTTGTTGAGCTCTAAACACAAACGAAGCGCTATCCGAGTCATGTCCTTGATGGTGATCACTGTCAGTACTGTGGTCCTGAAACTCATGGTAACTGTGGCGCCGATCTTCTCCGAGGTAGTTTCGTAATCGTCGATGAATCCGAAATGCGTGGGCCTGGGGGTTGGAGTGTTCTAAGATTTCCTCACCTAATCCGGAACTTTGAAAATGGAACTTTTGGCTAGGTCGTAGTCGGCCCCTTGGGGTTGCCTTTTGTCGCGGTACGAAGGTTGGGTAATCCGAGTCACTATCAGATTCGCCCTCACTGCTCGAACTTGTTGACGATTCTTCGGCGTATTTCTTCCGCTGTCTCAGTTTCGGGCTCGCGCTGCGGTGTCTGCTGGACACTGGCGAAGTAGGGCTGGGCGGGTTCGTGCGTGATCGAACCCTAGAGCTAGAAGATTCGCGCATGGTATGGGAACGGCCCAGGCCTGCACTTGAGAAGTAGGTTCGTTCACCGCCAGTCCTGGCGTATGGATGACTGGTGCGTTCGAATTCTGGAGCTGGGTCCTCTATTGGGGTTTCAGGCCGTGACGAAGTCGGGGTTCTTTTGGCTGTTGGAGACGGAACGCTGTCAAAAAACGCAGATGAACGATCAGTCCGCGGAGCATAAGACGAGAAATTTCGTGCCATTGGCTCATCACCTCCCGGAGTCCCTGGAGCAAAGCCCTGTTTTTTCTTAACTGTCGAGGCACGTCCAAACGCAGCAGGATGCTGCCGATTGTTCATATATTCGTATGCTGATCTGCGAGATTGCGAAGATGTTGTTCCTGCCGCCGTATTACTTCGTGTGGGTGGCGAAGGACCGGGTTTTCCATTCATAGGATCGAACTTGGACCAGCCAGGCACGTGAGACTTCATGCCCGAAAATGCTCGGAATGCATCCGCCCGGGTCTGTTGCTCGTAGACCGGCCGTTGAGGTGCAGCTTTGGCATAGCTCGCGTATGTCTCAGCGCTACGTGAAGGCGGGGGTTGGTAAGGGGTCGGTCGAGACGGTTTTGGCGTTGCAGCCTTCGCAGTAGCATATGCAGATGTGTTCGCTCGACGTGTGTTATTCGAGGGCGGTGGTGCATAGAGTCTCCCATAGCCAGCGCGCAACCTTTCTGTATCATACTTAAGCCTCTGTTGTGGATCACCCAGAATCTCATTTGCAGCTTGAATCGCCTGGAACTTTGTAATGAATTCTGTCTCTTTGCCTGGATTTCGATCTGGATGGTACTTTAATGCTATATATTAAAAATATTCCCATTAGTATATCATCATAGGATACCTAGGTAAATACAGAAGCAGACAAACCTAGCTTCCTAAACTGCTTCTTGATCTCATCTGTGTCAGCGGTAGGACCGAGCCCCAGATCCGCATAGTAATCCCTGCGCACGTCTGCTTTAACCATCCTTGCAGCAGCGAAGGACTGCTATTGCAGTGCCCTTAGCAAAGCTACAGGGAGCCGTTAAAGAGTTGTCAAAGATATAGCTGATCTTCCAGTCATGGCACGCGGGCCGAGAAAGTGAGGTGTGTATACTCGATTTCGCAAGGCAGGAGACGTCGGTATCACAGCGACGAGAAGGTTCGGGGACGCTGGGACCTCCCAGATGGAATAAACAGCGGTCGTATATTTCAGAGAATAGAAGAATGGGTTCTCTAGAGAATGGATCTAACGCATGGTTGATTGCGAGTCTCAAGAGTGTCACATGAAGCGGGTCGCGGGGAGAGCGGCAGGTCAAAGCAAATGGCAGCCTTGAAGGAAGCAGGAGCCAATGCACAGAAGACCGGGAGTATCACTGGGTATCAAAAAAGACGTGCCGCCGGAGAGCATACCAGGCCATGGGGGCAATCAAAGTGAGGCGTACCTGCGAGGATCCTGGCGGTGATGAACAACAACAGCCCAACACAGGCAGGCGCCGAGAGAAATTCCGCCTTGGACAGAAACAGAAAGCGGCGGCGCGGCCCACCGTCAACAAACACTAATCGTGCCCAAGCAACACCCTGCCTACGCTCTAGCCCTGGCTCGACGCAACTATCATTAACGCTGCTTGCACGCACTGCCCTCTATGGTTCAAATTCTACAAACCGAAATGTATAGTCTCCGCAAAATACCCGCCGGAGGTTGCTTTGGTGGGCGGCGTGCTTTCTTTCTCTGCATTGCGACAGCGTCAGCTCACCAATAAAGGCTAACGAATGATCAGACAATACAGCCAACTAGGTCAAGAACACTCCTAGTCTGCTACTAACCAGAGCAGCACCGAGCACCATGCGTTTGCAACGCCTTCCGCAATAGGCATAGAACATAGGGCATCAGAAAAGGAACCTGATCCAAGCTCCAAGCCTGCCCCTGTAAGGACGCGCAGCCGCCAGCAGCGGTGTGGGCGCCATGCGTTGTTCGCATGCCGATGATTTGGTCGATTGACAAGAACGCCCCCCCTCTCCTTCAAGAAGAGTCATCGTGAATCTGGTTCTTGATTATCATCGGGCTACTAACTGATACGTCGGGGGAAGGAATAGAATATTCCAATTTGAAGCGCTGCTGTGGTTGAATCATATTGAAATTGGATCTTTGAAATCTAGATGTTGTCTCGACAGCTTATATATTCCCTTGATGCCCAACGTTTCCTCATTGGCACGCAAATAAAATACAGCTCTAGTCGCATTATTGAGAGTAACGACTATTGGCTTTAAACCTGGAGGTATCGCCACGAATGCAACTAATTCATCATGCAGGTCATCGATATTTTAACGCTATCAATATACGTTATGCGTGGTTCTGCCAACATTGAATACAGCCGAAGCTCTCGCTGACATAGCGAACCCTAGAAATAAAAGGAATATAGCTCGTAAATACGACACAAATACAAGATCTTGAAGTGGGTATCATCATCTAAATTCCAGAACCACCACCAGACATGCCGAACCAGTACCCGTCCATCAAATCGTAACCCGAGCCATCAGTCGTCAAGTCACGCATATAATCAGCCTCCATGCCAAATCCCATGTTAACCCCATTTCCTTGGTTGTCCTGGCTTAAAGGTTGTACCCCCATTGGATTGAATGCTGCCTGGTCAGCGTGGGCCCCTGATCCTTGATTCATATTTACAAAGTCAAGAAAGTCCAAACTGATGTCTTGCAAATTCTGTTGATCTGATTGAGTTGGTGGCGTGAAGGATTGAGAAACACCAGCAACTGATGTTACACTCTGAGGAGATTGTGCAAAATAATATTGCTGTTGTTGAGACGGTGATCGGTCGTAGTTTGCATATGTCTGGGGAAATTGTGGGCTAGCTTGGTACGGCTCTCGTGAATCATTGGTCTGTGCTGCTGGTGCGGCCTGTGATGGTGGATAACTTTGTTGTTTATTGGGTGACTGGTTTTGTAGGTTAGGAGGGCTATTGTAGAGGTCATTGAGGTTCATGTCAAATTGCGGAGGCGGCCGCGCCTGTCGTTGAGGTCGCTGACCAGATGCTGGGTGCGATTGCCGGCCTTCAGCACGACTGGCTGAACCGTGCTTCGTATGGGAGGATGACGCCAATGGCCTGGTGGACGAAGTAAGAGAGCCACCGCCTACTGCTTGCGAGGCGAACCCTTTTGACCCCATACGAACTGTCGCTCTGCTCATGCGTTCAAACGCATCCCGGCAAGTTTCCGCTGGAGGGCATACTTCCATCAAGTCTGACAATATCGAGGTTGCCGCAAGGACAGTGAAATCGACATCGTCTAGGGTCTAATAGTTGTCAGGAGATATCCTTTTCTTTTCAGACTTGTCTGTTTACTCACCAAGCGACTTCGCACGGCAGGTGAGTGCCAGATTGCGTATAAAAACGATATGCCTAGATTTATCAGTTTATCAACGACTGCCTCTAATTGTCCGAGCCAAAAAAGCCATTGGTACTTACCAGCCATGAAAAGATGATGGGTTGTTAGATATGTATAATTAACAAGCCTAACACGATGCAGTTGCCGGTAGATTTTGATAACTTTCTGTCCTGCCTCGGCTAGTTGAAGATAAATATCATCTTCATCCTCTCTATCGTCAATATCAAACGACGGCGGGCTTGAGACATCCTCTGTGGAGTTTAGTTCGCTAGCTAAAGCAGCAGGAACCGTGAGACTTTGTCGATATAACATTATCAAAGCTTGGTAGAAATTTAGCTCGAATAATTCAATAGAGAATTGCACTCCCGTTTCTTTCTTCGTTGGAGCTCCATCCTTCCATTCCAACAATCGGCGATGAACATCTCGGCGCCATGAACGAAATGAGTCAAACCGGTCTAAGAAAGGAGAAGGAAGCGTAGTGTGCATAAACTGGTTTCTGCTATTCTTTCCAGATCGTCGCACAAAACGCGCTTGTTGAAACTGGAGGACCTCTTGTATCTCCGACTGCAAAAGCCGCAGCTTGAAATAATGGTATGAGACATGTTTGTAACTAGTCGTCTCGGTTTGGGGCGGGAAGAAACCCGTCTTTGTAATAAAAGCATCACTCAAAATAGATGGGAATTCTGTGGTGATTACTTGGTCTGTAATACCGAAAGGACGCCCGACGCAAGCGCTGACCAATCGATCAAAACTATAAACACACCACCAAAGTCTCCTTCGATGATCACGAGCCCATTGAAATCGGCCCCGTTCTGGAGATATTTGCTGGTTTTGGTTCGGAGTATCATCTTCTCCAATTGCATCTATGCCAGTGCCATCTTCGTGGTGGAGACCGAGATCAATAGCAAGTCGAACCGCCACACCGACAATGTACCAAAGACCCGGTGCAACAGGTCGAAGGAGTGCAAAGCTGGCTAAAAGAAGAACAGCTTGTAGTTCATCTAGACCGCCTCCATAAGCATCACTTAGGTGAGATGAGCTTAGAAAGTGTTCCAAGTGTACCACCGCGGATGCATGGTACTCCTCCGGCTGGAATTGGAAGCCTGACAGCTTTTGTTTCTTGGATGATCGAATTGGTGATCCCGTGTTCTGGTTTTTCATATCATTCTCTTCCTCGGTAGATCTTCTTCCTTCGAAGATGATACCGGCACCGATGGCAAAGACAATGCTCACAAGGTACATATCACGAGGGATTCTTGCCGACTCCTCGGCGGCATATACACGATCCAGAAGCTCCATAAAATCTCCGCGGTGCAATATGGGCATTTGAGGATTCGCATGCTCAAAGTACAGACTGACCAGTTTGTCTGCCAAATCTCGTTCTGGAAATGCAGCTTGTTTCATTGAGGGGCGCGATTGTAGACCAAAAAAGGAATCCCGCATCGTACTTCCCGTAGAACCAGATGGTCTTCGCTCACTAGAGCGAGCAGAGCTATTTTCAGAGCCATTTGTATTTACCGAGCTTTTCACAGCAGCAAAGACTAGCCGAGCAAAGGATATCCCAGACGTTGACCCCAAGTAACGTGAATCCGACATTCCCTGAACCGATACCATGCCAATATTTGACACCAATTGATCCAGATGTTCCTTTGTTCCATCCCCGCTCGAGCCCATATCATACCGATTGTCGACTTTGTCTCCCTTTTCACTCTTTGATTCCGTTTTCACCATCGCGGAACTACCAGCTCCATCGTTTTCTGCGTCTTGTTCTGACTCCACGTTTGCTCCTGCTTCCTCCATTTCCCCATCAAAAGCCGCAGATGGCTTAAATTCAACCCCATTCTTCAACAACAGCCTTTCTAGGTATGTCACACGCGCTTCGAGGAAATACACATAGCTCCTTGGGATTTCTCGCTTTGTTATCGGGTCATAGCCAACACATTTCACGTCCGCTTTCTCACATGCTTGGCACCGAGGGAGACGCTGATCACAGCGATTCTTGCGGAGACGGCAGCGATTACAAGCGGAAACGTTACGAAACGAAGATGCAGCCAAGCTGCCGGGGGCTTGACCCCCGGCGCTTGCTGCGGTCGATGAGAAGGAAGTCATTCTGGGTGCGTGCGTATTATTATTGTGGCTTCTAGCAGCGGTAGGCGGCTGCGACGACGAAAGGGAGAGTTTAGAAGTATTAGGTGCGGAATCATCGGCGGGATGTGATCTTTTGACTCCTATCGAGCCAGGCGAATTGACAGATTGAGGCGGATTCAGCATAACTGTACTTCAGCGATGAACCACGACGTCGCGAGCATGCGCTTTCACGAGCCAAGTACGCTGCATTCATAACAAAACCGCGTGATTCATATTCATTTCAAGCAATTCGTATCGGTCGTATAATCGTCGAGATACATCAATAGCGCATCACGCGGACAAATATCGCCTTATAGGTCTAGCCAAAGGGCAAGCACACGGTCAGGTAGATGAGGAGCAAGAATAGCGCAATATTCAAACCAGCGCGACGTCGGTAGGACGATCAGCAATCGACGGAGGGAATGGAGTTCCTAGGCAAGAGAAGAACCAAATGCGGAGCGGATATAGGAACAGAACAATAATCACGGTGGGGTTGATTCCGACGCGGCCGAAACGGGGATAGGCTGCGCGCTTCCGATGATAAGCAAGAGAAGCTTCACAACCAACAGGCGGTTGACGAGAATGCGACGGGCTGAATAGATGAAAATGAGCAGTCTATCACGAGAATGATAATATTCTTATAATCAAGATGCAGCCAGCAGCAGTCAGGAATCTCAAATATGAAATATAAATATCATGGGAAAAGAAGCCCTTCCATGAGGCACGGGGTAGGCGGCGCTGTGATTGGCGGGAGATAAACTTATGACGGGGGACGTGTCTCCACTATTCCCACTTAGGGCTAGCGCTTCATGGTCCGACGATACTGCTTGTGTATTATTCAGCACTACTTGTCATCGTATATCGTCTTTTATATACTTCAGATGCTATGAATAATAAAACGTATACACTCTCTATTCTACCAGCATAAGCTATTGGACGTCAGAACAATGATCCTTAGTCTCAGCCCTGCTGTGTTTGTCGGGGAAAAAAATAACCGCCGTAAGCGCCAAGCAAAATATAGAAATCAACAACCAATTCATTTTCTTTGGGTGAGCGTTGTTAATTAATCCAACGCTTCGATATAATACATGTACCGTTTCGTACATATGCAAAAATGCTAAAAAGCGTTGAGGTGTTGAAAGAAATAAACGCATCTAGTAGATCTGTCGCTGGCAAAAGCAAACAGATATATATCTATACCAATACTTGTAGAGCTATGTATAGAGTCAAAACTCGAAAACAAATATTTGAAGACAAGCTAGGTCCATGCATACACGATAACCGCTTGTAAGGAATCACATTGAGATACTAAGTGCTGCTAATCGACGCTATCATAAAACCACGTATATGGTAGACCTCTCCTGGTGCTGCTTATGTTGCATAACTTCACATTTTGTTTTAAGCACTCAACAGCTAACCTGTCTAATCCGCGGCATTGGGAAACACACACGCTACTAGGACCAGCCCTGTAACAGAGCACCTTTAATTAACTGCATCCGGTGTATATACTTTATGGTCAGCACTGGTGGCGAGTGTATCGCCTTTCGGCATGTCATTACTAAGTCCGTCGAACAGCGAATCTGCTTACGCGAATCATAGTTCGGTACGTATGAATGGTTATTTCACAAATCAGAGTTGCTGGAAAATTTTGCCATTTCAAAAAAGTAAAAATATAAAATTTGAACCGTAACTGGTCTAGTGGATTGGGACGATCGTCACGGTTATGTAACTCGGGAATGAATAGTTTCCGAGATGTGGGAATTACTAATGGTTCCAATACTGCAATGACAAGTACATTTGCCGTAGCATAATAATTTTTTTCTTATATCTGAAATGATTTCCAGCAATTCAATGTCGATTTTAATTGTCAACAAGTACCTACTCATGTTTCCCCTCTTTATTTTGTAGCAAAATGTCCAAGGCCCTACTTATCACCGGCGCCACTGGTAGACAGGGCGGAAGCCTCATTAATGCCCTTCTGAGCCGACACGCCGACTTTGAAATATTGGCCGTGACTCGGTATACTTCATCTGCAGGTGCTCAGAAGCTGCTGAAAAAGTCCAATAAAATTCTCCTTGTTGAAGGGAATTTGGACCAGCCAGAAACCATCTTTAACAATGCGCGAGAAGTCACTTCGCGGCCTATCTGGGGAGTGTATAGTGTACAGGTGAGGATATGACTTAGATACAATTTCCACGGCTGCGACATGTGTTAACCGAATATACAGGCCCTTGTTCCCGGAGCATCAAGCCAGGATGCCGCGGAAGAACGCCAGGGCAAGGCGCTTATCGATGTAGCCCTAAAGAACAATGTCCGCTTCTTCGTCTACTCTTCAGTCGATCGCGGTGGCGACGCATCATCATATGACAACCCAACCCCAATCCCACACTTTATCAGTAAGTACAACATCGAGCATCATCTCGTCGAAGCTACCAAGGGCACCGAAATGGCCTGGACCATCCTCCGTCCCGTGGCCTTCTTCGACAACTTCACGCCTGATTTCACCGGCAAAGTCTTCACTACGAGCTGGAAAGTTGCGGTCAAGGGGAAGAAGCTACAGATGGTTGCAACGAGCGACATTGGGGTCTTTGGTGCACTGGCATTCCTAAACCCGAACGAATACCAGGGTAAATCTATATCGCTGGCTGGTGATGAACTCACGCTTGATGAGATGGCGAAGATTTTCAAACAGCAAATGGGATACGATGTACCCATGACTTTCGGGTTTGTTGCACGTATTCTCTTGTGGTTTATGAAGGATTTAGGGCTTATGTTCAAATGGTTCCATGATGTCGGGTATGGAGCTGATATTGGGAAGTTGAAGAAAATGCATCCTGAACTGAAGGATTTTGCTACCTGGCTCAAGAGTGAAAGCCGCTTTTCGTCGTGATTCTTTTTCATCCTCTATGCTTGTACTACATCATACTCGTATCTAATATCCTTAGTATAATTTCCTCATAACCATAACGCGATGCACGTGATTATATTCTACGTCATGTCTCCTGAATATGTCGGCCCAACATGAAAATCCTCTCCAAAATCTTTCGTCCTGTATTTTGAAGAATCACGCATGCATCAATTACATAGTATTAGAAATCAAAATTAAAACGTGGCACCACTGACCCTCTCCATAAATCCATAACATTCCAACTTTTCAAAATGTAGCCTTGCAAGATACATGTATACCAACACACACACACACACACACACACACACACACGCACATATATATATGTACATATAGCAGCAGACAAACCACCAAACACTATTGACCACGTCACATGATATAGAATAAAGGGTCCTATTCCGAGCCTCCGATGACCGTCAGCGAAGATAATAGGACGAGCTATATCACCTACATACAGACCGTCAACTGTCAACCTTGCAGGAAACGCTACACCATGCAGATTTGAATGATTGCATGCATGATACAGTAATGATATGCTACCTAACTGATACCAATTAGCGGTGTGGAATGAAAACCGCGTCGACGAGATCAAATTCGAATTTTCAGAGTAAAGATCGAAGGGTTTGGGGGACAGAGTTATTACGTACTGCCCAAACGGTCACTATTGAAATTGGGTTTCAAATGCTCCGATATCAAACCCTAGTTAGCAGTGTTGCCTTGAGATGCGCGTAGTAGCAGCCGGACATTATTAATGTTTATTCAGTGAGGCTATGTTAAGTACGGACGTACACATGGGGGTGTTAATTAGGCGGATTGCAAATCGGACTGGACGGCCAGCGGAATATCAGCCATATGATATCATCATATTATATGATATGTTCCAGTCCTTTTGGCTATTACCGTTGCTGCACCTAATTACTTGATCCTGATCGTCACAGTTCTTAAGGCTGGCGCGAATCAATTTGCTTGTATATTCGTTCTGTAACGCAGTATATATTCTAGCAAATTATTTGAAAAAGAACTGGCCCGCCCAAAGTCATAAATGGCTATCCCGGAAATGCATGACCGACGCAATCAAATAGAAATAAAGGAAATAAAGAAAAAATAATGAGTATGACCCAACGGCGCAGCAACCATTCGACGATTAAATGGCGCTCACCAGTTGGATACTATCAAGCCTAATTCGATCTTTCGAATGAAGAAGGCATACAAAATGACTTGCTAAAATTCAAATAACCTCCCAACTAGTACGTGAATGCAAATGTCGTGAATAATGTCGAATGAAAATCAAAAGAAATTTATGCCCAATGTCCCACCAAAATAGGGTTCTTGATATCACCCTTTGTACCCAAAAATGTTGCCGGCCTTCCCTAGTATAATCCCACAAGTCAAATACCTGGTCTATAAATTGCATCACAAATCAAAAAACAGTGATCAAAAAGTATTAATAATTTCATGTTATCAGGCAATTTCATCGAGAAGTGCCCGTATCTCTGTTTCCAGAACAGTCTGTCTGAAATGAAATAAATCTTGCTAGCCACAAGTGGTATGTAATCGTATGTTCAGTGTTCATGGCAGTGTTAAACTCCAATTTTGCTCTTGACCGCCTCGTAGACTTCGGAGACTTCGGAATTAAAATGTGCGGAAAGTAGCCCAACTTCTTCGTCAGGCACACGTGGCTCAGGATCAAGGGGAAGCGGGGATTCTTGAGGCTGGCACAGCCCCCCAAGCTTCCCGTCACTTTCATCATCCGACTCATTGACAGACTCGTCGAACGTCTCAGGCGTATTCTGACTTGGCAAGCTAGGCGCCTGCATAAAGAGGCTCTCAATCGCACCCATGATAGTGACGAATCCCAGAACCCACCAGGCAATGACAGATATGCCACTGTTAAGCCCTTTTGTATGCACATAGCCGGTTATAAGCGGACCAAGAGCTCGGCCAAGGCTGGCCACCGATGATGCTACGCCATTGACTGATCCCATGACGTCTCGTGATGGGATAGCATTGGCCAGCAACACAGTAGTCGCTGGGAAAGCTGTAATCTGAAGAGTGATCTTGCCGAGGAGGGCCACGTAAAAGGCAGGAATTTGCAAGCCCGACGGGAGCAAAACGAAATACGGAACCACGAAATTGAGGGGCGTCCAGATAAACAAGACAAGCCGTAAAGTTCTCAGAGCTCCGAGATGTTGTAATGCGAACGGAACAAATAAAATCTGCGCAAACAGGGAGTAGATGCCTTGCACAGAGAGCATAAAGCCCATATAATTAGTGGACACCCCTAAGCCGCCGGTAAAATGGAAAGGAAGCGTAACAATATCTTCTGACTTAGGTGTGCTGAGAACGATAGGCGTTAGCTGGTCAAAGGAGACGCTATGGCTGTTGTAATAATTAGTTTAGTCTGAAGGATGCAATGCGTGGGGGACGAGGGCACGACGTACAATGCCAGGATTCCATATCCTATAATATTCAGAATGACTGGTTTGGTAAATGCTTGGCTAAACCCGATGCGAGGGGGGGCAGTAGGTTGTTCCACGTCAGAGCCCGCGTTGCGCGGGCGAACTTCACCAATCGATGAAGTCCGAGGAGATGCTTCTCTGCTCCTATAGACTGGGGGAGGGTCATCATCGGGTAGGTCGTCTTCTCCTCCAATGAGGCCAGCTTTTTCACCAATTGGCTCGAAACCGTCGGAACTCGAAAATCGCTTCAGCAACCAACGACCCAACTCCAATCCACGATCACGGCGGTACTTTTTCTCAGCATGTGTCTCTTCCAAGAACAGAATGCCAATGGTAATGCCGATCATGAGAACGAAAATGCACACCAGATTGGGCAGGAGAAAGGGAAAACGGTCGAAAATCGTGCCTGGTTTGAAATAATTTGGATAACTTAACACCGGTCTCGCTAATGCACCACCTAAAGCTGGGCCTACGATTGAACCTAGACACCAGATAAAAGGCATGATCGAGTATGCCCGCGGCTGCTGTTTCTGGTCCGTCACTAGTTCGGCCACAGTAGTCTGCAGAACCCCGATATTCCCATTGAGCAAGCCACCAAGGGCACGGGCAATCAGAGCGGTGGGAAAGTTGGGCGCAAAGCCGAAACACAGCATACTGATAGCAGTTCCGACTAATCCCATAATGAGGACTGGTTTCCGACCAACCCGGTCACTCAGACGACCCCAGAAGAGGCCGCTGCTAAACTCAGCAAAAGTGAAGGCAGAGGTGATCATACCGGCGAAAACGGCGATTTGTTCGTTGCTGTCCGTGACATGGAATGACTCAACCATGAAGTAGACATAAGGGAACACAGACATGAACGCAATTGGTTCACAAATGCGCACCAAAGCTAACATCAAGTCAGTCTTTATCTCCAGCAATGCATAATCGACGCAAGGATATTCTGTCTCGGCAATGTGCAAAAGTTGGGACGGGACGCATGATGCATGCCCAAAAGAAGAATCGTGGCTGTGACAAAGAGAAATTGACAAAGGAATCAATACGTACCCAGAATGAAGAACTGGCGGTATGGAAGTGGAGGAGCATCGTTGTCAGGATTCTTGGAGCCAGCAAACTTCTGCCAGCAGCGGGTTGCCCAAGACATGGAGGGAAATCGATGCCGCGGCATGGCGGGAGAAGACTGGGATAGAAGATATGTGGGGATGATGTTACGGGAGACACACGCGCACACACTGCTAAGGGAAAGTTCTCAGATCCGCATACATAGAGTCGGGGTGGTGTGGTGTCAAGAGTAGAGCAGTATCGATGTTTGGCAGTTGTTGTGGCAGTGGCAGTGGCAGTAGTAGCAGCAGTATTAGTAGGAAGGAGTAGATGTTTCACGATGTGCAGAGGAATGAGCAGGGCGGATTAAGCAATTTAAAGAAGGAACCCGGGGGGAGGGTAGGCAGACGATGCCCGATTTAAAGTTAAATAATAACCGGGGCGGTCGTACGTATCCATTATTACAATTTCCTAGTCCTATTTGTGATTGTTGTGGCCCATTGGGATCGAATGGAGGATGACGGAGATCTACGCTAGAGTCGGCTTCACAATCGTGACATGACAGGTAACAGACTACCCTGCTCATGTACGAGTGGATTGGGACACAACAAGACCGGCGCCAGGGAGTTCCACAATGCCGTCAATTAGGTTAGTGTTATGTGGGGAGACATAGGTAGCCCATTTTTGACTGTATACTCCGTCATCAACGGACTAGAAAGGGGGATTTGCCGCAAACGGTGCCGCCACAGCTAGCCACGCTCACCGGATTGCGCAAACGAGGGAAAAAGAAACAAGAAGGCATTGCCGGGCGCTAAAAAGAAGGAAAATGGCGTATCTCTTTGCTTATTCTAAGTACCGTTCCACAAACAGGGAAAACTGGAAAAGTCTGATGCCAAGCGGAAGCTGGCCCGATTACCTAGTACCATACATACACGTTTCACACGAAAGGGGACAAAAAAAATCAGTACTAGAAAAAAACGGGATACAGGCTAGCGGGCAGAATCAGGCCGAGGGAGAATATTGACTAATCAGACTGGCTGGAATTGTCGGGACTACGTATCATCCAAGATCTAAGGAAAGGGGACGGACGGCTCAGCGCAAGACTAAGAAGCAAGTAGACCCATGTTTACCTGACCCCCGGCACCGGGGAGCAGGATAGTCCTTCGGCTAAGAGTGTTAGGGAGTAATCTAGAAAGACACTAGGGGCGACGTGGGGCGATCCTCTTTTAATTTTCCAGTTGATGCTGATGCCCAGTGTATTTTTCTGTCTTCCTGTCAGAGTCTGCATTTTCCAATTCCCAAAGTTCCGGGTGCAGGGCACCCTAGGCCAGATTAGGAATGATGCGGGACCAGATAAGTGGTTAAAGGACACGCTAGCCGGAACAGGCAGGCCTAAGGGGCACTGCTCCACCCGGGCTGGCATGGTGGAATTTTGAGCAAGCAGCAGCCACCACTAATTACTGCGTTGTGTCGACTGACGAATTGACGTATCCAGCGTGAAAGCTGCGGTAGGGCGATAACGAGGCGAGCTGGCAGTGGTGGAGCTGACAGAAGCGGAAAACAAGACCTCGCAGGCCCAAAGTGGGCAATTGTATGCCAGGGCTCGAGGCGACGGAGAATATGCGGTGTAGAGCTCTGGGTTACCAGCCTTTTGGATCTTCGATAGGAAGTACTTAGTCTGTTGCCAACGGTCACAAGTCAGTGACAAGGGGTAATAATAGTCAAGGGCAAAAAAAAAAAAAAACTGGAGCCAACGTTGACCCACAACCCTAAAGCCCCAGTAGTGCATTCACGTGACGGGCAACCCCGGCGATTTCAATAGTTGGCCGCTGGTGCCGACAGGGTGAAGAGAGAAAAAAAGGAAAAAATAATCTCCTTAGCGGCTTAGCCTAGCGAGGAATGAACGCTATTCGCTGGCTGCAGCTTCGAACAACACGAGCTGTTGGACATTAAGTGATGATAACCAGTAACAATTTCTGTCCATTTATTCCCCTATCGCCGTTGACACCATCGAGGTCAGCTGGACATTGCCTACAATTGATGCCTTACTCCCCTGGTCTAAGCCTCACGCAGTTGCTTTTCCAACTGGCCACAAGTATGGTAATTTATCAGTGTCAGGCAACACATCAATAATTCGGTGCTTCGGAGTTGCCTATCTGAGGTATACTATCGGACAATGAGACAATGTTTAGCCTCGTGTGATATGCCAACACAACTGATAATCTTGTTGTTTTGTGAGTTTGTTTCAGCAAAGTTTTTCATGCTCCTATTACTCCAGTGCCACTCGACGACTTGATATCCATACTGTTGTTTCCACACGGGATCGCGCTCCGGTCTTCCGTACCAAGGTTGTTTGTTTCACAGTGGACGCCGAGATTCGCGCTGATTGGCCAGCCGCTGTGAAACCGGCTCCCCGACTGGCCACTAATACTACAAGGTCAAGCGGAATCAAGTTTTGGGTGTAAGACTTGAATCTAATTAATTAATTGATAGCGGGTGCAATAAATGAGTTGGGATTCACAACCAGTGCGATGGGTCATGATTCATGGTCTTTGTTGGGGTCGAGCATCTGTTGCTGATCTCGCACGATCAATTGGCCCTTGCAAACTCCCCGGACTAAGGATGCAATATGGTAAGAAAAATTTCAAAAAAGCAAGGAAAGGTGGAGACTCCAAGCTCTGCTTGGGTGTTCGCATTCGCGTCCTGGTAGTAGACTAGGAGGAGTAATGCAGCCCCCAGCCAAGAAGCGGTCGGCGTTTACGAGGCAAGCAGATCTTGGAAACCACGCGGTAGAGCAGTAGTCCCAGTGATGCGGACAGGAACGATGATAGGGTGCGCACTCCGGTAGCCCGCCAGTCTGTGGCCCGTTCGGCCTGCTTACTCGGCAGTTTTCTATTACTATTATTGTCGGCAGTCACTAACTACTTGCTGGGCCGCCGGCAATAACACGGAGAATTGCCTGCTCGGCCTTGGAATGTCCGGTAGACTATGAGCAGATGATTGATCAAGAACATACGCGAAATCCTTGCTGATCGAAGAGCAATAATAATAAATCAAGCCTAATGTGGATGGGCCGTGGCTGGCTTCATCTGGACTATCAACAAATCCTTGTCAGAGTTCTGCCCGATACGGCTAGCGTGAGGACATGGACTAATAGCTGGCCTGGGCGGATCATGCAGCCCCATGCCTCAGCCAGGGGCATGCAATATAATCAGATCATTATTATAATATTATTCTTATGCCTCCTCATCCTCTTCCTTAGATCGCAATCAGGCAGTATCCAGTCCTTCATACGCTGGTATTTACTGTACTACGTACTGTCTCATCCTGGACGCGGACTAGATGCACACTCGGCAATGATTCAGCCACACAAAGGCGTCAGTCAGCTGACATGCCAAAAAAAGGATATGATTCAGTGTATCTGGCGGTGTAGATAGGCGCCCCACCATAGTCAAGACAAGCAAGCGAGCGACGATAATTCTTCCCGCTGCCCGCCTGGAATTCAATTGCAAATTCAAAAGTGCACCTTGGGTTTTTGGGGGCGCTACATTACGTCATGGCAGTCACAGTGAAATGGCATTACAACCCCGTACTAGCAGCGGCTTAGCGTCTTATCATTACTACTATTTTCTGAATCCGGATCCCGAGTGCTAATAATAAACGTATTAAGGACTATCCTGAAGGAAAATTGATACCAGATGTGGTTTTGGATTGGTCCCGACACTGTGGATGGACAGGGATGATGCATTGGCTCGGCGTCATGCACAACACTGTCTCGTGTGTGGTTCTGGATATCTGCACAGAAACTGCGATCCCTGCAGGAATCTCGTTACAATACAGCGCACTTTACGCCCTACAAACATGGCGTGTATCGTAGATGAAGAATCATCGGGTGTTATTATTATTGCTAATACAGGTATGAATCACTTCAGATGTCCGACTCTCGATTTCAATCTCGACTGGTCTGCGCATGACCGGTGATGCTATCAAGTCACGCGGCTCACCAACACCGGCCATTGGAATATTTTACCTTGTTGTTGTTGGGTTGCTTTTTCCCGCCCAGTCAGTCGTAGACTCGCCGTTAAATGTCGTAAGTGTTTGTGTAACGTTTCCGGAAATGGAAATAACAATCAATGTTTCAACCAGCTGTTGAAAACCTGGCTTCACCGCTGAAAACCGGCAGAGTGGCGGGGAGGGGGACTGACCATGCATTGTTACACCTCTCCGGGATATTCTCGAGGCAATTAGAACGGCAACTGAGTGAGGCGCAGTCAGCTTTCCAATATATGGACAAGGATGTGATCCTCCACCAACAAGTTTCATCACCACCTTGCACTGCCTACGAACAAAGCTAGAGGATACCGCCGATTTTCGGAGCTTTGTTCTGCAAGATATATGGGCCATAATACTAGATGAATTACACCAAGTCGTTCGTTGCCTTTGTTCCGACTGGGCAGTGGAGGGAGCTCGTCACACGAACCATTTACTAACTATATAGCAACAACAGTAGTATAGTAGGTAGTCAAAGAAATCAAGTTTGCTTATTCCCAATGCATGCGAGCTTGATTGAGGCCAATCACAATAAATCCGTTCGGCGCATCCTATAGTATATACTAGCATATCACCAATAGCCTAGTAGCATCCATATGCTGTCTTCATATAGAAGAAATTACAACACATGACTTGCGGCATGTATTTTAACCTCGCAGATCGGGAATTATCGAGATTCGTTGCAGAGATGACGGATAATATTTCCGCGTGGACGGGGATTAGCTTGTCACATTATATCCAAGCCATATGTATACCCTACATACCACTAGAAGTGTGTGTTTACGTGTTTGCTTATGAATTGATCAGAGTCTATAGCGACTGCATCTAGACTGGGCAATTACTAGAGACACTAAAATGCCACGGTGGACATGCATATATGACAGGTCCTAGGCACTATCGGCATGCGGTCGTCTTTTAACCCCCATTGGCTCGATCGCCAGAGCCAAGCGTGATCATAACATCTTAGCATTATAATCATCATATGATGATTATTCTTTTATATTGACAATACCAACATAATACTGAGCACTACAAGTCACCTTCATAATCATTGCTCTCCTCGGTGCATGATTGGCTTTAGTTTCTGTGGCTGGTGTAACCGGGGCACTGGGTATCGCTCCCCCGGACAAATAGGCATGTCGAACGCTGGGACCAGGCTATCCTGGCGGGGCCCGGAATAACTTCCGGAGTGGGTATCTAATAATACCAAATACTAAAATAGTACTAATGGTACGTCGTATTTGAGCAGACGGATAATCCTTTAGCACTCAGAGTCAGTAGTTGACCAGTAGTAAATGCTAACACTATTGCTGTCTCCGTCAAAATCCGTTGAACTCAGAACTATTGACAGGAAAGTCAAAAGCCCATCTTTTTTGTCGCAATTTGTTTCAAACTGGCCTGGTCTCAGCCTTGTCGACCGGGGCTATTGTCAGCTAGCGTGTTGCCCAATGTTGGTTTCTTTGTTGCCTGCTACACGTCAACAAATTGGGACACCTGGAATTAGAAAGTCATCGTCCGGCCATAGAACGGGACTAGCGACACGGGATAGCAAAGATGCTTTGTAACACTAGTATCGGTACATTTCTGACGTACCGGGCTACTAGCCTTGGAAGTATCAAAATTGGGGCTTTTTCCCATTGGCTGTGCGGTGCCGATCCCCCCATGGCTAGCGTTCCCGTCATTCTGGTTTGGTGACGTTAGCCCATCTGCCGGCGCGCCCAATGGGAGCCCCGTCGCTGATTATTTGCCCCTGTCAGACTCGCCGCAGTGCCGTCGCAATTATATTGCTATTAGTATCATTTATTGTTAGCGCGGATTACGATTATTTATTGTTGTGATTGTGATTGTGCCTCGGAAGGTTAGGCCCTTCCCTATTAGGCAGATAGCGTCAAGGTATTCATGACAGGTATGGATTTTCGACATTGGGTAGTACGTACTCCGTGTTATTCAATCTAGGTAGCCACCAAGAATGCTAGGCCCCGCCATATGCCCTTTCGCCGTGCAAAATATATTTTTTTCATATCATTTAATATTATTCTTGACGCGAATTATCTCTTCGAACTTTATCCCAAGACGTGACTGACCGGGCGGCTCGCAGCCCACGACAATTGGCTCGATGTTACCATACCTTTCTCTAGAAATGTACCGACAGCGTTTGATCGATGACAAGGAATTTTTGATCATCGATGCATGAGCTCATCATTATTTAGCAATTAATTAAACCATCGGGAATGTTATGTAGTCTATTAACAGTTGCTCGCTTAAGACTAACAAAAGTCCACTGCTGTTTGTGATCTATCACAACTCCTTGATTAGCAAGTGGGGACATGTTTACGGAGTTAGAAAATGTTGGCATTCGACAAACACCCCCCTTTTCAAGATCTGAGTGCATTTTGGTATCTCCGGACGAAACTCAATGGTTCAGAGCCCTTACTATTACTCTGGATCCGTACGCCATTATTGGCGCTAGCCTCCGTGTATATCGGTTTTTGGTGTAGCTGGCTGGTTTCCGTGTGGCCTGCAAAAAAAGGGTTTTGTTGATATGCACAAACTCTGATGAAGTTCTAGATGGCCATGAACAAAGGATCTCGATCGTTGAGCTTCTAGCCGTGCCCATTGTCTGGTCTCGGACCCCTTTTTTGGGTTTTTTGGTTTTCGGTGTCGTTGTCGCATGTCGACGTCTCGAAGTTTGTCGAAGAGGAAAATACGAGTCACGTGTAGATAGCGATGTAGTCACGAGATGATAACAGATCTAGCCAGACGAATCTTGGAAAACACGCTTCATTGCAATTCTCAATATTCCATCACTAACGCCTTGCGCGTCTGATTTTATCTGGTTTTCGCATAATATTTGATATTTCCAATGCACTATGATATGATATATCCTCAAACAAAACTTCAATTCCGCAATACGTCGCAGTCATGTCTCGAGCTCCTTCCGCCATGCTTCCCTTCCTCTACCCTTTCCTGAATTCGACTGTCTGTACGAGACCACTGGCACTCCGTGCTGCTCAGAAATCCTTGCGATGTCGTCGATTGCAGAGTTCGGTTACCCGCTCCCAATCCCCGCCTGATCTCTCCCACCTCGACCCTGAGCCGTCCGATTACTCGCGATTCATTTTTCAGGATAAATGCACAGTCACACTCGTCGCGGGTTCTGGAGGTCATGGATGCGTTTCCTTCCTGAGAGAAAAATACATAGAAGAAGGACCTCCCAATGGAGGCGACGGCGGTAGCGGAGGAAGCATCTACATCCAAGCTGTCGACGGTCTTTCCAGCCTGCATAAACTAGCCCGACAAGGTGTGATTCGCGCCGGCCGAGGGAAAAGCGGACAGGGAAAGAGTCGAGGCGGAAAACGAGGTCATGATGTTCTCATTCAGGTGCCAGTGGGAACAGTCATTCGTGAAATCGGCCGATTCGACCCAGTGGAGGAAGGAGAGCTGAAATTCCGAACTTGGAGGGCGTCAATGTCAGAGGAAGAGGCCATGGAAATGACAGCGAATCAACGAGATCGCTTCGTGCTCTACCCCGGCTCACAGCCCTCGGATTTCCTGACAACTGCATTCCCTTCTCTCGGTCCGCCACGAAGACCGCATATTGCTGCATCAGAGCCCGCGGCGCCGATTCACTTGGACCTGTCAAAGAACATGGCTGAGCCGATGCTTCTAACTGCAGGCGCTGTGGGAGGATTCGGTAACCCTCACTTTGTGTCTCGCGCCAATCCGCGACCACGGTTTGCCACGAAAGGTGAAGGGGGTATGACACTACACCTGGACTTTGAGCTCAAATTATTAGCCGATGTCGGTCTTGTTGGCTTCCCCAATGCTGGAAAGAGCACGTTACTTCGCTCACTTACCAACAGCCGAACACGAATTGGAAACTGGGAGTTTACGACCCTGTCACCGAATATCGGCACGGTAGTTCTTGATAACGGGAAGGGCAGGCCGCTGGTGGAATCCTCTAATAAGGAGAATCCTCGCACTGGCTTTACTATTGCCGATATTCCTGGTCTAGTCGAGGACGCTCACCTTGATCGTGGACTTGGACTAGGCTTCCTACGACATATTGAGCGCGCCGGCATTCTTGGGTTCGTCGTCGACCTCAGCTCCGGCAATCCTATCGAGACGCTGCAAAAGCTGTGGCATGAGCTAGGCGAGTACGACAAGATGCGTGACACGCAGCCTGATGCTCCTGATTCAGACCGGCGAGTCAAGTGGAGCCCTTCAGGGTTTGAGCCGACACCTATGCTCGTTCATGACGCCAGCAAACCCCAAAACAGCCTTCCACCGATAGCGCTCCCGCCGATATATCGAAAGCCGTGGTTTGTCATTGCTACAAAGGCTGATTTGCCGGGTACGCAGGAGAACTTCGTAGCTCTGCGTGAATATCTTGCGCAAGTGCAGCAAGGCGCCGTCGAGCACCCGAGTGGTAATAAAGATGCTTTTCGAGGGCGTCTGGCGGCAGTTCCGGTCAGCGCTATCAAGGCAGAGGGTGTAAAAGGAATCCCGAATTTGATCATGAGCTTTCTTGAACATCATTGACCTATTCACTGGCTGTAGATACAAGATGCATGCCATCGGATGACGTTGGTGTGACAGGATGTCTGGTGATATCAATATATATATAGGTGGATGTAAAATAGATTTGTATATTACTTGCTCGCTCTAAATTTCAGTGCTACATATGTACATGTATATATGTATTGTGGGTAAATATGTAAAATAGCCTGTGTCAATCAACTACCCTCATATTTCAATATTGCCGTCCCGCCGGTTTGAGCGTTCGCCAATCAACTTGACGGTCCCACCCAGTCAACATTTGGACCGTTTGCTTAACCTATTTGTTGCCTTGAATGTTGACGTCCAACTTACATATACGTAGACCTCCCCAAGTTTCCAATGCAACATCTGGAGACTATGCATACGCAAATATAACTCTCACTTATCCCACCTTTGATCGCCATGGAAAGTCTCACTAGCACCATCCTGGATGCTATCAACAACCCTCAGCCAACCGACTCAATCCTGGAATGCTTTGAGCACGACACCGCACAGCTTCTCTCTTGTCTTCGAGATGATGCCACTGCAACCCTTGCTCTGGCAGATTCTAAACTACGTGTTTTCCCGTTCAAAGATGTAAAGGAATCTTGGCGACGGCTGTACACCGACGCATGCATCGTGCTCGCTATACGTTTGATTCAACATAATATCCTTGGGGAAGAGGATCGATCCAATCCTCAAAATACGCGACATGAGAATCCAATATACGAAGCCAGCCAGCAACAGCATGTTCAAGACAACGCCTCGTGGCTTGATGCAGCCGTGCACTATCTGGACATGGCGCTAATCATGACTGGGGCGCCTTCACGCGAAGGGGTGATAGAATCTCTCTTCTCTGCTCTGAAAGACTGGCGGAAAAGCCAGATGAAAGAAGATTCTCCACAACCTGACACTGTGTCTCGCGAAGGCTCTGATTCTGAAGCACGTCCCCTGAAGCGCAGGAAGTTGTCGCCGCCGCTCTTCCCGCCAGACTCGGCACCTGTCCCTAGTATATTGGAGCACCCTATTCCCCGCGTCTCTGCGCCGTCATTTGATAAGATAGAATCACATATACAGGACGTGCGTACCCCGCTTATCATCACGGGTGCCGTAGATCATTGGCCGGCTATCTCTGAGCGACCGTGGGCGTCGAGAGACTATTGGTATGAGCAGACGTTGGACGGAAGACGGCTTGTTCCCGTTGAGATCGGACGATCGTACACAGATGAAGGATGGGGCCAACAGATCATACCCTTTGCAGAATTTGTCGATAATTACATTTGGAGATCGCACAGAGACACCGCAGCATCAGCCGCAAACGATAGCAAGAATGGGGAGCAGATGAAAAAGGAAGATGAGACTGGGTACATGGCGCAACATGATCTTTTAGCACAGATCCCAGCATTGCGAAAAGATATCAGTATACCTGACTTTTGCTACATCGACCCTCCTGGTCCAGAGGCCGGCACACCGGTGTACGAGAAGAAGAAGCGTGATCAAGAAACTGCTACTAAGCAAATTGAAGAACTAGGGGATGGAGAAAACAGCGTCGCTGATACAGGCAGCAAGCTGAGAAATCTCTCGAGCAAGGGAAACCGCGCTGCCAGCTACTCTGACAACGACACCGACATCGGTATTCCTAGCGACCCGATCATCAATACCTGGATCGGTCCATCTTGGACAATATCTCCGCTACACCACGACCCTTACCATAATATTCTCGTTCAAGTCGTCGGCGCAAAGTACATTCGGCTATACTCGCCACATACACCAGCATCGCAAATCCATCCTCGAGGAATGGAGGCTGTCGACTCTGATAACCAGCCGAGTGCAGACGAAACTGCTGAGAATCTCGGACATGCCAATGCTGCTGCTACTGGCCAGTTGATTGACATGTCAAATACCTCCAAAGTCGATATCGCCGCCATTGAGCTGTCGCCCGCCGAGTCCGACCTGTGGGAATCAATGTGGCCAGGCTTTACAGAAGCAGAGTATGTCGAGACCGTTTTGAAGGAAGGGGAATGTCTTTATATTCCAGTCGGTTGGTGGCATTATGTGCGTGGGTTGAGAGCAGGTATCAGCGTTAGCTTTTGGTGGGGATGATTACGGTTTTTGATACATATTTTTGTTTGCCAAAAATATACCTATTCCCTAGATTCATACTTAATTTTGGCATCCTCTACTCAATATTTGAATACAGATAAAATCGTGCCTGGCATTCAACGTTCCGAGTCATATGACTCACACACGCATGCAATAACAGCTGGATCCACGTCGGTGGCGGCAACTCTATCAATCTCCAAATCTTAAACTTCTTACCCATCTACATACCTTCACAAACCATATCTTCCTTTGCCAGTTGTTTTTATCTATTACTTTATTATCAAATAATGCCCAAAAAAGCAGCTGGCGAAAATTCTAAGAAGGCGGCTGGCAACGCCAAGGTGCGCAACACCCCGCTCTTTTCTGCTTTCTTTTCCCCGCATCAGGCACCTAGCCAACTCGAGACACGATGAGAAACAAACAAGAGGGATATTTAGAAAAGCTAATAACTGATTTTTCTTTTTTTCCTTTTAGAAAGCCGAAGCCGCTGCCAAAAAACAAGCTGTTGTAGACGCCAAACACGCCTCTGAAGAAGATTCTTATTGGAATCAAGGCTCCAAATCCTCTTCCAAGAAGTGCGTTGGTCCCAGGTCGATTTTCGCACACTATAATTCGGTTTAAACTAATAATAAAAACAGAGATTCCTCAGAAGCCAAGAAAGCCGAAGCCGCTCGCAAAAAGGCCGAACGCGATGCGCTGCTAGCCGACGAAGAAGCCTCGCAACCGTCCAAGGCCAAGGGCGCAGGCGCCAAATCCGCGCAGAAAAAGACGCGAGGTCTTGACTTGTCGCAATTAGACGACTCTACGTCGACCAGCCGAAAGGTCTCGGCCCTGAATGCCTCTGGTATTGAGAACGCGCTCGACGCGCTGGAGTTGACGGGCTCGGGCGATAGTATGAAGATTGATAGACACCCCGAACGCCGATTCAAGGCTGCCTATGCCGCCTTCGAGGCTCGCCGTTTACCGGAGATTGAAGCCGAGCATCCTGGTCTGAGAAAGCAGCAGCGCATTGAGATTGTTAAGAAGGAGTTTGAGAAGAGTGATGAGAATCCGTTCAATAGGGTGAATGTTGCGTTTGATGCGTCACGCGACGAGATTGCTGCTGTGAGGGAGGCCGAGAGGAAGAAGGTGGAGAATCGGTTGGGGAAGTAATCCAGATGCTCACGATATGGGGTTCGTCTATATGAGGGATTTATACACTCTCTTACGTTTCAAATGTTGGTGATTTTGACATGTGTTTTCTTGTATAGAGATAAAACATTGACGACCTCATGACTTATCAGAATGGATCAATCGATCATTTTCGCACAAACTATGTACACATGAAAAATACAGCAACCATCAATTGATATATAAGAATCTAACCCCAAACGCCGGGTACTTTGTAAATATACTTGTAAACATCATTTTTTTTATTGCGTCATTGCATAAAGGCCCTCACGTCCCACACACATAGCCTCTCATCCCAAGCAACACTAGCACACCAGCCCTCAGCTCCAAATAAACACCAGTCGACACCAGTCACAAATTCCGTATGGTGATTCATACGGGCGACTTCCTGGCCTAGAACAGGCCCCGCTGGCCCCATGCGCATTGCGTCCATGTCCCCTTGATTCTCCGACCGGTCGTCCCAGGCTCGGCATGTCATATCGTAACTAGCTGTGAGAAGCAGACTAGATAGGTGCGGTGACCATGCGAGCTTGCGAACTGCATACTCATGACCAGGCATGATAGTCGCTGGACCTTGCTGCGGCGCCCGGATATCAAATGTGCGTACGATACGGTCAACGCCTGCAGTAGCAAGCACCGACGAGCGGTATTTGTTCCAGTCGTGCGTTAAACATTCCGACGGAGGCGCCGAGCCAGTCTCGGGCGACATCCCGGCTTTCATGGGCACCATCATCGACGAAGCGCCATGGATCGGAATCTGAAGAGTGAGATGGTTCGATGCAGATGCGGGTGTGCGAAGGTCGAATATTCGGACATGCGAATCGGACGTCACGCAAGACAAGATATCTGGGGAATGCGGGGAGAACGCGGCGGAGTAGGTGCAACTATGCGTTGGCAGAGTCAAAAGCGATTGTGGTCGTTGTGGCGACCACACTTTGACTGTGCCATCCCAGCTGCTGGAGCAAAAACGATCTTTGGCGACTAGATTCCAGTGTACTGAAAACACCTCCCGGTTATGCTCCTTCCATACCTGTACAGGGAAATCGTTGACCGAATTGTCGAATAATTTAATACTGCCATCTCCGGACGCCGTGAGAAGTTGGTTTTCGTGAATCTCAGACCACGCTAGATCGTAAAGCGCATCCTGTGTCGTAAATCTACGGTGGTAGGTCAGTAAGAACATAATTTTGTTTTGCGAGATAGTAATGAATTTGCGGGGTAGGGTAGCGGGGCTCCAACTCACATTTTCGAAGGTACAATCCCATTCGGAGTCAGCTCTAGTATATACAAACGCCCATTTCCAACGAGACCAAAATTTGCAGACGCGGACACAGCGAGTCGATTGTCAAAGAAGGGGGAGTATTTGACGGCCGATCCGTTGTAGCCTTCGGTGCGGAACTGCAGCATGATGCCGGTTCCGGTAGGGAGAGTATACAAGGTTGATTGTCTTGAGAAGCAAGGTCCTCAAATGACAGCACTCAGGAAGATCGCGTCATAGCTGAGGGAGTTTTCTATAACATGTTTATACAACAAACGAGAATGAATCGAGAATGAATATGCCAGCCGATGAATGTGACGGCCGGTCCGGTGCCCACGCCGAGGTAATCCCCAGGCGGTGACGTTCTGCCGGGCAGGGCAGCATTCGGCCAATGAGAGCCGTGGGTGGAGAGCAGCTATGTCAAGATGTGGTGATGCTGTTTTGTGAATGTGAGAAGAATTATCAAAAAAATTAAAGAAGAGTTATACCCTGGCTGTGCTGTAGGAGTATGAGCCTCCTCCGATGTTTCTTCATGACAGCGTTCTTAGGTAATTACGATTTGTCAGCAGCACCTAATTGGCCACATCGACCGCATAGATCAGCCTGCCCCTCAGCTCTCTCACGCGCGTTATTTTCGCCTTAAACTAATATGACAAGCAATTAATTAATATACAAGAAAATGGGCGCAGAGGCTCCTCGGAAACGACGAAGACTATTTTTTGAGTCGTATGCGGAGATCGATGCCCAGAAAAATGGTCTTAAAGAGCAAAATCAAAATCTCGAAGTGGACCAAAGCGCAATACACCAAGTGCAACAGGAAGAGCATCACGAGAACGAGTCCACAGACATGAAACTGGCGAGGCTACTATCCCTATTTCCAAACTCCGACGAAGCCGCACTACTAGATGTGCTGATCTCGTATGAAGGGTGTGTTGAGGCTGCATCAGCTGCGATAGACGCCGGACAAGAAGATGCAGAACAAACCGAAGACTCACCAGCCTCACCTATTGAGCAGGCGTCCAAATCCACCCCTATTCCAGGAATACAAACATCCCTATTATCCTCCTTTTCCATCCCCCCATCGTCACTAGGCTGGTCGAAACCGCTCACGAAACGTGGAAAGACGCTTTACCTCTACTCACCCGAAGACGTCGCCCGCAATACTCCCTGCTCCATAATCCACAACTTTCTGCCCCCGACACAAGCAAATGCGCTTCTGGAGGAGCTTCTTGAAGATGCCAAATCATACGAATGCGAAAAGTTCCAGTTATTTGATACCGAAGTCCAGAGCCATCATACATCTAAACTATATGTCTCCGAAGCGCAGGGAATGATGGAACGCAGCTCGGAGTTCGTATACAACGGCTCGTTCCGGAATAACGTGCGCAAGCTCTCGCCGCTGATGAATACTGTTTCTGAGAAGGTGCAGAAAGCCGTGAATCGTGAAATTCAGGCACGTATAAAGTCTCATTATCCGGGAGGCAAAAAGCTTAAATACCAATCCCCGGATGAATGGCTTCCAAATGCAGCGGTCGTGAACTGTTACACCGGGCCGCAGGAGAATCTGGGATGGCATTCGGATCAGTTGACGTATCTTGGGCCACGGGCAGTGATCGGGAGCTTGAGTCTGGGCGTTGCTAGGGAGTTTCGCGTTCGAAGGGTCGTGCCTCGAGACAATGATCAAGAGAATAAACAAGACGTAACCAAATCCCACTCATCTGACAGAGTATCCGATACCCAGGGCCAAATCTCAATCCATCTCCCGCACAACTCACTTTTAGTTATGCATGCAGAGATGCAGGAGGAGTGGAAACACTCCGTTCCAACCGCTCTGACAATCTCTCCGCATCCTATAGCGGGGAATAGGCGTATTAATGTCACTTACCGATGCTGGCGCAAGTCTTTCGACCCACAGAACATCCCACGCTGTCGATGTGGCTTGCCGACAATTCTGCGATGTGTGCAACGGAAACATGAGAATTACGGCCGGTATATGTGGATGTGCTATGCTGGATATTCGCCTGGGAAGAAAGGGTGTTCGTTTTTTCAATGGGCGCGATTCGATGATGATGGGGAACCGCTGTGGGAGGAAATGGGTATCAGGCCTGTGGCTAAAGGAAAGATGGGATAATACTTGAAGATGCTGCAAGGAATTAATATGAGAGTGGCATATACATATGCAAGGTTGGACCAGGTTGTATTAATATAATGATTGATTGACTAAACGAGGATTGTTTGTGCTAACTATTACTTGCTATGCAATGGACCATAACTTCCTGGCAATTCGATAAAATAATAAATGATAATCCAGGGTTACCAATATGAACCACTTCTTCCTTCTAGTCTGCTATGCCAACCAATTTTCATACTTCATGTCAAAACAATTGCTCGGAGGCGTGACAGGATTTAGCAATCATGTGTGAACAAAAAGGCAAGAGGGAGTGTTTGAAAGCCAACTTCGCCGAGAGAATGGCGCCATCTCCGTCTTCCTCGGCATCATTGCAGCGAAGCAGTGATTTGATACCCTGCTCGAGACGATTGATTTGATGTTCCTTACAAGCTTTCACCTTGACTATCAGTTTCCAGCATTCTCCTGGACGAAGTGAATCCAATGACCTTTTTGGTTGACTCTGTAGAAAGCACCCTAGTCCAGGAAATAGCTCGAGTTGAAGGCTAGTGATATTACCGGGAGCAATAGCAGAGCGAACATGGTGAACGACTTTGTTAAGTTTGTGCTGGAGGGACGAAATGGCAACACCATTAGCATCCATTTCGCAATGAACATGCCAGCCAAGGCGTGGATTTATTCCGAGGTAATGACGGTCATTAGTTGTAACAGTAGAGAATCCCACCGAGGAATGATCAGCAATATCGAGCATGCCATCGCAAATGACGGAAACCAAGAAAACGTGTCTCAATCGATGTTCATACATCAATATCTCTGAAGCCTTGTTAATGGCATCCCCTAGAAGATTACCATCGTAACCACCCTTCCACAACCCTCTACCAAGTGAGATATACCCTGACATCAAGCGCCTGAGATCAACGTTGGAACCTTGAGAAAGCGGCATCAGAACTTCAATGAAATCATTCTTCTCCGAGTTGACGCAGACAACTGCCAGAGAATCTTCTGCCCTCAAGGTATCGATTACAACCTGGGCCATTGAGATGACTTTGTCGACGTCTTGTACAGTCCTAAATCCAGCCAGCATTAAGTCATTTCCTGGAACGAAGAATCAAAGAGGAATTTTATACACTTACATAATATTAAGGAGGACCACTGCTTCGATGTAATTATTGTATTGAGTAAAAGGCCCAGTGATCAATTTCACATCCGCTGTGATGGCGATACGGATGTAAAGCTCGGTGTCTTGAGCAGTTTGAATGGAATTCTCTGTCTGCATTTCCATCCTCACTGTGGAGATTGGAGCTGGACAGTTTTGCATCTTGAAGTCAAGCTTTGCATATTGGCTGTCTCTGCTATTGGAACGAAGAGATATTGTATGGCTCAAAGAGCGCTTTGATGTAGCATGAGTTGACAGGCTAGAGAGTCTTTTGTCTAGTGTGTGGAAGAAGTGAGATATTCTGTGTTGTGCTTTGTGATCATGTTTGTTTTGGCCATGGTTGTGAATTGCAGCCTTCGTGCGCGGGTCTAGGAGACATGGTTCCCTCACGTCACCTGCCAGCGCTACCCTAGAATCATCGTCCAACTGTGAATGCAATTGACCCATCTTTCTTGGTTGCAAACATGACTTTCCACTACTTCGTCGGACTTTGGGCACTTCCAAGCAGGCTTGTCGACCTTCCAGGGGTGGAGTGATAGAGGCAGATAGTGTAGAGCCTATGTGATTGAACTGGGAGTCTGAGTTGATAGAGGAACTTCTACTAGGCGTGACAGGCTCTTTTCGATACGGCTTTTTTGGCTCTGTGGCCGGCGAACGAGACCTTTTGACGATACACAGAGGAGCCCAATGCATGTCCATACTGAATGATACAACCAATATTTGATGGCACTCGTCGAGATAATCGCGCAGGCTAGACGTGTTCTTGGCCCAGAACTGGAGTCTGAAACTCGATATCAGTCTCGATGGCACTCGCTGCCTGCGTAGATGTCGATATCCTTGGAGGATCAGTATTCCTTGGTTGACTGCTCTCGTCAGTATTTGCCCGTCTCCAGATCTTCCACCGGTGACGACGATGGTTGCGGTTCTGGCCACTCCAAAAGGCAGAGCAAGAGACGGCAATAGCGACAATGAAGAAGAGGAGGACGATTGGGACGATGACTAAAGACAGGGTCAGAGCGGTCTTCTTCCACTTGACCGGTTTCATGGATATATCGACAGCGAGGATGCTGTGGTGAACCAGCTGCAAGGCATGGAATAATACTCCTAAGGACTACGGTCACGAAATATTTCTCGAGCAGGGAATTAAAGGCAGATGGACTAAAGGGAAGCCAACTGCTGACCCAAAGGAACTTGGGAGAAGGAGCTATCTAGTGGCCCGTTTATGGCACTACAACATTTGAAGGGGAAGGTGCGAGCCCGTGGCTGGATGAATAAGCCAAGTCTTTAACATTGAGAACAGTTCAGGGTATACGCTTGTATCTAGGACAGATTGAATGTGGACAGCCTCACTCGTTGCTGGCTGGGAGGATCTTTTCCTTGATGCTAGCTAGGGTAGCGTCGTCGATGTTCAGAAAACGCATCTGAGGACTATGTTAATAACAATGACCTACATGGCAGATGAACGTAGCGCTTACTGTGTCATCCCCAGCACGAGGAACGTTGCCAAACAGCACAGAATCAGATTGACTCGCTTCCACGCCGCTATACACTCTTTTCGCCCAGACACCTTCCCAATTCCACTCGCCGGGTAGACGTGCTTGGGGTACACCTCTTCTATCGGGTGTTGCAGTGCCAGACCCATATGATTGATTCTTGGTTCCTTTTGCATTTCGACGATGTGCTTTCCAGGCATGCCATGCCCCGGGATTTCCAGCAGCCTCAAGGGGAAGCGAATCGAGTACCGTCTCGTCATCGAACGTCGACCGGATATAATCCAGTAGTGTCACGACAGGGACAGCCCTTTCTTTATCGGTATAGGGCGTGTTCGCAGGGAGCGGAGATATTCGAGAAACATTTTCTTTCGGGGAGGCAACGAGAGATCCCTCTCCAGTTTGCTTTTTTGGTGTGCTTGGCGCGACAGACTCACTGGGAGCATCACGGTTATCTGCCTCGTTTGCATTGGATTGTTCATTGTCTGCACTCTCGCTGGTATTGTTATTACTCTCAATGCTTCCTCCACTGATGTTTCGCGACGGCGTCACGGAGTTGCTTGCAGTCCTTTGCGCCCTGCCAAACCAGTGAGGGAACCCATGTCGCAGGCTGAACGCGCCGGGTGATAGTCGCTCTTCGTCGGTTGCACTGACAGGCGCTTCGTTCGAAGAACCCGTCGTGAATGTGTATGTTGTCAATGGGACCACGAGCGGGTGGAATATGTCGGTGTTGAATGTGACTAGTGGAGGAAGCTCAGGATAGGAGGCGGGGAACCGGATTGCGAAACGAAGGATTGCCGACGCATAGGGGCCTGGAGTCTGGTTATGAATAGAGGTTACGAGGGAAATGAAATGGTCGTGATCGTACCACTTCGAACGAAGAACACGCCGGACCACAAGGTCGGATCGGCGGGATTGTTGATGCTCACGTAGACTCCAGGAGGGGCGGCATGCTTCAAGCTCGCACTAGTTCAGGGATCACGTCGATTAGTCTGGAGGTCTCTTTAAAGAAAAGTGCTTTCGACGTACAATTCCAATGAGAGCTGTTGCTTTCGCAGGGACGGTATGTTGGGGAATTTGTGCGACGACATTGTGATGGGAAATAGAATCAATGGTCAATGTCACTGATCAATGGAGCGTCGCAGCGGAGCCTCCAGATTCCGGCAGCCAGCACAGAACAGTAAGCCGACCGGCTAGCACACTCTGGTGTGTTTGACATATAGGGCTGATGAAATATTGAATGAGAATTAATCATGTGAAACCACAAGAAGAAGAGCTAATTGCAGCCTCATCGGAGGGAGGCATGAGACGAAAAGCGTCTGCAAACTCGCTGTGATTGGCCAGATGACAACGCGGCGAGGTCGTAAGGCGGTAAGGGTCTCCCCGGCCCGGCAGAATCCGCCGACGCCGAGACGCCGATTCTATATAAAGTATGCCTTTTGCAGCGAAAAAATCAACATTTTGCATTGAATTCGGATAGCTGATTATATGTCACATGAAGCCGTTCCCCACAGCACACGCATTGATGGTGTAATGGCAACATTGCTGTCTTCCACGCGTTTTGATTGAACAGTTTCTGATGGAAATAGTTTAAAGAAACACCTTCATGGAGACATAATTAACAGCAGCCCCGGGTTCGATTCCCGGTCAATGCATTTTTGCCTCGTTGGAGAGCTTACGAAGTGTCTTTTTGCTCAACAAAGTTAAATCATGGGCCAGAGGCAGTCTGGGGTCGATATAAGACTTTCCGGAGGTGCGAAAACTACACTATATATGGTAACAATATCTGTCTATCAATGCCGGTCTGGTTTTGGCCGGGCCTGTAAATCGGAGCTAGGCCGAATAGCTCCCAGAACAATAAGCCCTTCACCAACCCCATCATACACCCCGCCAGCAACAGCTTCAAGGAACCAAGCTATAAGATTGACCACCGCGGCGACGAGTCTACCCTCGCTCAAGGTGATGAGGGTTGAGCTGGCATTATTTGCACTTTTGCCGATGCCGTCAGCAGTTTCGAGTGCCGTAGTCAGAAATCGTGTTGCAATCCGATGGTTTTTCTCATACCTGTATACGGACTGCAACAGTGTCTTTGCATACGGAATGATGAAATGTATGAGGACAAAGCCGTAAACAATCAGAGCAGCAATTATACGGTGTAAATAGGACGGTGGGCTCTGCCGTGCTGCTTTCTCTTGCATCGTCAATCTATTATAAGTCTCATCTGACTCGGGTTTGATGGCTTCTGGAAGGCGGTCTTGGATTGCACGAGCCTCTTCACTAGATAAATCCGAGGGCAACGCTTCTAGTAAATAGCCCAGGCCATTGATATAGAGTCTTCTTATCAGGCGCGTATCGGAATTTGGTTGCTGAGCCTCAAACCCAGCATTCCGGAGAAGATTAAAAGCTATACATATACATCAACTCATTAGCGACTGCATCTTTGCATTCGATTAGGCTTTAAAAGCTTAATACCAGGAACGACCCTATTCCATTTCAACCCCGAGTCGCCTTCATACACCGATACGGCTGTCGAGCGATCTACTTCTGGCGTTGAGGTCCCCGAGCCGTGTGTGGATACGGAAGGGCTCGATTCCTTGCTATCTGCGGTAGCCGGGCGCGATGACGGGTTAGGGAATTCTTCATAGTGACTTAGACGAGGCTCTGATGCCGAAATGAGGCTGAATCCAAGGTATGGAGTCGGGTTAAGAGACTCCTGGGAAACCGGCAGAGGCGAATTGGAAGAGTTTAGCAGACATAGCCGTTGCCGGATAGAAGCTGGAAGCATGATAGGCAAGACCGACGATTTTAGGCGATAATTAATAGATTGACACGCTGAAATGAAAATATTGGTAATTCTAGCTCTGATAATCGGATTTTAAATGATAGAAATAAAACAAAATTGCTTTTAAATTGGAAAATGTCGAAATGTCAAGTTTCACATGTCAATCGATTCAAGTTTTTAGCGGCGTCCCGGTTGACCCCGCCTGACATGCGATAACAGTTATTAATAGATAACCATCTCTGATATCTTTTCATGCAGGCATCTTACGTTTCAACGCACGATCTGCATTAGAAGAATCGAATCCTCGGATACCTGAATGACTAGTAAATACGTTACATGTATTGTTTGGCGAAGTGAAATTAATAAAGATAGGCTATTTACATACTCACCTTTTTTGTGGGTAATGATCACAATTCGAAGTTTTCAATGGTTTCTCGGGATATCGATTGTTATCAATTAATAAGGGTACTAGTATTTCCGTAGGAAAAGTCAATCAAATTTATACTTGTTTCCTAGAGTCACATGCCCCAGCTATGTCAATCAATATCTCAACAACTGATATTCTTAGGGTTAAATGAGTTCCCAATATCAGTTAATATCGACTCGTATCCAACGTCGTCGCGGTCTCAGAACTGTTCCAAGCCTGACATGTCAGGATCAGGCCTTATGGACGACCTCGGCTTTCTCCTTGTCATCCTCATCACCTGTCAAATGCACAGCAATCTCGTCTCCGAAGAAGGCTCCCAGCTCCTCGAGCGGAATATTCTTTGTTTCCGGAATGAAGAAATAGGTGATTATCGTCGAAACAATACACAGCCCCATCCACAAAAGGTACATTCCCCATTTACTATATATATCGATCCCCAAGTCAGCAATAGTAAACAGATGGAACGAAATAACTCTCACATGTTCTTAAACGCAAGGGCCGATGGAGTGGTGTATGTGATTGCACCGAGGAAATAACCCGCCATCGTAATACCCAGACCTTTTGCACGGATTGTGGTTGGGAAGACTTCGGCGGGCCAGATATAGGATGCTACGTCAACAAACTCGTAAACGGAAATGTAAGCGAAAAGGAGCACGAGGCAACCGGCGTTTCCTGCCTTGTTGTCGGTACCGAGATACTGTGACTGCAAAACCGCTTCGATCAGGAGGCAAATCGCGCATAATGGGAAGCCGATCACTTTCAGGGTCAGCAGTCTGCATCATTGGGATAACAGATCTCATCGTCAGACTTACAGAAGCTTGTCCGTCTGCCCACCCTGTCCACGGTAAGTCCAACTATCCAGTTTGCGCCGGTTCCAACGATAGCGTACAGCCCTAAAAGAATCATCAGAGTGAAAAGGGAAAGAAAATGACAGAATGATAATGGCTTTGCTTACCGTACATGATTAGGGACATCCTTCCACCCATCCCGAGACTTTGATAGATCAAGATAGAAAAGTTATTGATGCCGAGGACCTAGAGAATTGTTAGATGTAAGCACCTCCACGTAACTCATATTTGGGATCTCACTCCGGTCGATTGGGATGCGAACCTGAAAACTTCATTCAGTTTATAAGTCATGCGAGAAATTCTTAAAGTGACTACTTACTGGATAAAAAACACCAATATTGCTCGATGTCGCCATGACGGCTTAGACAAGATTTGGCGGTATCCCGGTTTCTCCAACTTATCCATCTCCACCTGCGCTTTGATCTGGAACAGTTCTGCGCGAGCAGCAGCGTCTGTTGGATCGTTTGGATCGTGATGGAGCCTTGAAATGACCTTCCAGGCTTCATCATCTTGTCCGGTCCAGCTCAGCCATCGTGGTGATTCTGTTTCCATCATTTAGACATTTACTGGTGGGACGAGGAGGAGATATACCTGGGACAAATGGGAGGCAGATTAGAAGGCCAAGTGGCCCTACACAGGCTAGAGACAGTGGTAGCCGCCATTGAAGTGTCAGGTTCGTTGACGAATATGTCCCCACTGATATCCAAGCACAACTACATGTATCGAACCGTAGTTAGTCTCGCCCCTATTTGGCTGTCTTCGAGTGATCACGTACACCACGTAGCCAAATGCCAGGCTCATTGCAGTCAATCCCGAAAGCAAACCGCGTCGGTGTGCGGGTGCCACCTCGGTCAGGTACAGCTGAACCAAGCAAATCAACATGCCTAGGCCCAGACCCTGGAAAATGCGGACGACGATCAACATGGAGATGGTCACAGACCCTGCTGTCAGGGCACCGCCGACCAGTGCCCAGACAGCGCCAACTGCCAGTGCCTTCCTTCGCCCAAACCGATCGGCTATCGATGCCTGGATGATTGCACCAACCAAACTCCCAAAGGCAAAGAGAGAGTTCACAGCTCCGATGATACTGCTCCATAGGAAAATCAAAAAAAGGTCAACATTTGTCTAAGACTTTTGGTCTGGGGAGTGCCGATTTACTTTGCCGTGTAACTGCTGTTCGCTGGCCATGGGAATCAGTCTTGGCCCTTAATAGTTCTTCTTGTTTGTTGGTACTTACGATCCAAGTCAAAATACTGATAAAACCCTGGCTGGCCAATGCTGGTACCGAAAACGGCAAAACCGAAGCCATAGGCGTAGGCTGCAAGGGCCACGCCTAGGCAGACGAACACGTTGTAAAGAGTTAGTCTCGCCATTGCAACGATGTCTATAATAGCAAAATGAAATTCTGGGGTTCAAAATCCGGGGTCGACTGAAGCTCTATACTTAAGTCTGGGGAATTCTAACCGTAATGGTAACCTATATTAAACCAAATTAGGAAATCGTACCGACCAAAGCCGACGAGGCCCGAGTACGGGCCGCCAGAGGGACCGACAAGCACCATATCCTACTCTCACTTTAGGCACCCAAAACTTAGGTATCATGGCAATAAAGTACATGTATGAATTGTATCAATGTCTTATCCCAACGTTGAATCATAACTACCTAGGTACCGCTGTAACCGAAGAAAGGCTGTAACCTCTTCGTATAAAATTCAACGAGAAAAAGTTATTTTTTCTCTAATATTGGAAGTACTAGTAATTTATATCTTAGAGCATCTAAACAGAAAAATAGTCCATTTATTGAAGCGGTAGATTCTCTTTATCTCTTAATTATCTCCTAACTATCAACTAGAGCTTTTTGAATGGTTTTTGCAAGATCTATGGGCCTGCTGACATTAGGGCAATGGCCAGCAACGAGAGACAGGGTGGCCAGAGAATGACCGCTACAGCGCTCAATGGTTTGAACTCTTCTTCGCTGAAAATCCAGAGGCAAAATTTGGTCCTGCTCGCAGAAGATAAACGTTGACGGGATGTCCATGTAGCCTGCGTAGGTGAGAGGTTCTGCAAAGCTACGGACAGAATGCAAGGACATCTTTTTCACCCATTCTACACCTTCATCTAATGGGATATCAGAAAAAGTGATGGCTGCACTTGGCTCAATAACGTGAGACATATACTCGCCCTAGACGTATTTAGAAACAAAATATACATTGGCCTTGGCAATCCCTTAGAAAAAATGGGTTAGGTTTAGCTTACCTCAACTATGAGATGGCTGGGAAGTAAATCGCCCATGACATCCTTTAGAGACTGCCCAATCTCTGGTACCACTGCGGTGACATAGATGAGTTTTGTAATGCCCCCCTTTTTGCCTGCTGCTTCCCGTCCCTTTTTGGACAGACCCTTGGATGCCTCGCTGCCCACGACACCGCCATAAGAATGCATGACTAGCACCACATCCTTGTTTTCGTCACATAGCGTGGCAATCCTGCTTGATAGAATACTCGCGTCTTCATACATAGTCGCTGCAGGGTCTGGCGGCGCACGATTCGCCGATAGCAGAGGCTCGATCACAGTTTCATACCCATCTCGCTCGAGCGCATCTGACACCGAAGTGTAAAAGAAGGGAGGACAGAAAGATCCTGGGACAAAGAGAATGGTAGGTTTCTTGCCTTGTGGGGAGGACATGGTGTAAGATGTCGGTAACCAAAGTCTGAAATTGGTCTTCGTACACTGACCGTAGATATCAGAACATAACTACGTAGATATAGTGGGGGATTCCTCAATTCGAGAAACCTGTGCCTCGGTATGATGTATACTTTTAACGTTCGAACCTTGTCCCAAATAGTTCGTTGTACCGAGAGATGGGAATCTCGCCGAGACAAACTCGGCGACTAGTACAGTATTGCAGTAACGAGACAGAGCGATGTATTTTATGAAATCTTATCGTGAAAGTGTTAGAAACTACTTCTTGAACAGGCTCTAAGAACCGTCTTTAAATCTGTAATAAAAGTACTATTCCTACAGACTAATTATACACGCTAGGAAGATAATTCTACTACTAAAATGGACGGAATGTGATAAATTTCGCTTTCGGATCTTTGTGGTGACCTTATTGTTCAATAATTTATTGTTTGTTATTTATGCCTCCACCGCCGTGAGACTTGCACTTATGTATGTGCACCTGAAGCGCCTAGAAACCATTCGAGGTCCATCTGGGACATATAACCCGAATTCGTATTCCGAACAGAATTGTCTACAGCCTGATTACAGTCGAGATTACCTGAATCATGAAGGGGAGTATAAGTCCACAAGTCGAAAAGATCGGTGAATGAGTCTATGTCCATTCCCGCTGTTAGTGAGAAACTTGGGGATTTCATCCCTACTGTTGACGAGTGTCCATTCAAGTTCCCGAGATCTTCTCTGGACCACAGGCCACCGCCACTGTCAGAGAAGGCGGCCTGCGGCATTTGTGCATACAGGTTCGCATCCGAGTTAGTGTTCAGGACGGAATCGACGTTCATCAGACCTGACGGAAAGCCCCCCTGGCCGCCGTTGAGGCCGTGCCTCTGCAGGGCTGTGAGAAGAAACTGACTGACAAAATCTGCAGCGATGCTCGTTTCGCGCAGGCGCTGGAGTACTCGCATGCATTTCGCGAAGCTTCGGATGCTGGCCTGCTGGACTTCCTTGGTTCCAGTCAAGATGCCGGCCAAATAGAATGTGAGTGCGGGTAGCAGGAAGCCGCATCCGGCTGTGGTGAAGAAACGTAGTAAGTCGAGCTCGAAGAGATCATTGCTGATTTCTGTGATGCGACCGGCAGCTTCCTGGAGTACCTCTAGTCGAGCGCGATGCGATTCTGAATGACTCCAACTCGCAGCTCGCAGAACCTGCGGCCGATACAGCGCACTCATGGTTGCGTGATATTGCAGGTGCAGCAGACCACGATGGACTGTGAGAGTCTCTTCTAGTCCGATCAAGGGTAGGTCAGAGGGTCGTGAGTATATGGCTTCCTCGGGGAGCATGGTGTACCACGTGCGGAGTTCCAGATAACATTGGTGAATTGGCGATGATTCTAGATCGACGTTGTTTGGCTGTAACGTATTCGTCGACGAGACAACTCCAACTCCAGCTGGGCCTTCTTGTCCCTGTTTGAAATGCTGTACCGAGTATCGCAAGCTCAAGACGTCGGCCACGCAAAGAGACAACTTCATTTGTTGGATGCACATGGCGGCCAACTTCTGGAGAATGGTGGAGCTCCGGGCCAGGTGGCAATCGACCGGCACGCAGGAGACGTCGATACTGACCGGATCAATGTCAAAATCATCTAAGGTAATCATGGGCACGTTGAAATTCTCCTTTTTCACTTCTGCCGGCCGGCTCATCCCCAAATGGAGCACCTGGTCTCTCACAAAGCATACCCACGCTAATCGTTTCCACAGTCGTTGTTTGCTGCTGGCCATCCTGGACTGGGTCGGGTCTTTGTACAAGCCAATCGTGCTTCCTAGATACGACGCAAGCGACATCCAATAGCAGTTATCCTTTGGGCTATCTGGAGATTCGTACCACAACGTCATAAGAAGCAGTGACTGAATGATGGTGATGCGATCGGTCTCGTAGCCCGCATCGTAGAGTACCTATGCAAGGCGGAAATTGGAATTAGAAAGCATATTCTTCTTCTCATCACTGATACTAACTTTAACCTTGTTGAAGAAATATCGTTGTGCGACTTTTCGGTCCTCGAAGCCAATTTCTCGAAGAAATGCCATATCTACGAATGCGACTCCGGCGAACATCACTGCTTGGAATAATAGCAGGCTCAAAGTGCCACTGCTACCTTCTATCATGCTCGTGAACTCATTCAGATCTATCACCGGCATGAATCCATGTATATGCTCAATGTAGGACTGCAAGAGCCGATTCCGAAGTCGTGATGCAGGAACGGTTAAAGCGCCTTTCTGGGATAGGTACTCGTGCTCCTCGTCTGCAATATTCTTTGGTAGCGGTGTCAAAAAGGATGGCAGTATCGGACAATCTGGCTTGGACCTTGGGATATGGTGAGAAATCTCACCCCAAAAAGGCGCGAAAACAGGCAAATCAATTGAAACATCCATATCGGGGCTTGCGTTAGGACTTTGTGGTCCTTCTACATATGTAGTCTTGTCAATAGATGGTTATACTGGACACTATCAGCATTGCGGCTTACCCATGATATGTGTGACATCAAACACGTGTGCGTTGATATCGGTATTTGATGCCTGCTGCGTACAACTCCCGTTTGAAACTCGCATTTCACAATTGAAGGTCTCGTCCTGGACGAGATTGGTAGAATTGTATTTATAGGCCCAGTTTTTCCTAAAAAACAGCTTTTAAAATTCCAACTCTTTATGACTCTCATATTCAATCTCTTACCTTCTTCGCTTGTTGTCTGGCAGGGTACATGCAATCTCGTCGTGCTGACAATTCGAGCACGGCGGCCCTCGATTCCAGACATCACATCGTACCTTTCGACGGCGACAAGACTGACAAGCCTTTGGGCCGCGCTTTTTCGCACCTGTATCTGTGTGGACTTGCAACTGTGTCCCTAGCGATGACAAGGACATTTCGGAAAGGATGGACTGGACCCCTGTCTGGACGAATAAAAATACCTCGTCAAAGAGAAAGAAATCATCGCAGGAATGCGCATTCAATGCGGGGATCACCTATCCCCGCAAGCTGGTAAACCTAAAGAGGCAAAAGAGCCGGACATTGCCGAGCTGGTCTGACCATATGGTCGGGAACCAATCGGCGTAATCGGAGATGGATGGTATGTGGGTATACTGAACTATAAGACGTGAATGAGCAACCACTATTATGCAGCAGTTAACCTACATACCCGCGGATGTTTGATCGGGCGCACCCTCTGATGGCCTCGGTAATACTTCTAAAGAATGTTCACTAATAACTTATCATCTCAGGAAGTGGTTAAATTCCATGCACTTGGGTGTTTGAGGGGAATTGAAACAGGTAAAAACCATTGAAAGAAAGATTCTCGCGATGGAATCAACTGCAAAACCCCAGGTGCTCATCATCACCAAGGTAACGCCTCGCTACTGGCGGGCTACCTTCAACGACCCTCCCATGAACCTCATGACTCCAGAAATATACGAGGGCTTGTGGACGCTGCTCAACGAGCTAGAGCGGGATCAAGAAGTTCAAGTGATAGTGTTTGACAGCAGTGCCACGGACTACTTCATCATGCATGTCGATCTGGTCAATGGCTCTAAAGCGCTGCGGGTGCCGGAGAAAAGTTGGGCTCTGTTTGTGCAACGACTGGCTCAGATGCCGGTCGTCAGTATCTGTATGATTCGAGGACGTGTGCGGGGTATCGGTAGCGAATTTGCCCTGTCCTGCGACATGAGATTTGCAAGCGTCGAAAAGGCCATCTGGGGCCAACCCGAAGTCGGGTCTGGTGTTGTGCCGGGAGGAGGTTGTCTTGAGTGGCTGCCTCGACTTGTGGGCCGGTCAAGAGCACTGGAAATCTGCCTGGGCAGTGATGATTTCGACGCCAAAACGGCGGAGCTCTACAACTGGATTAACCGTGCGCTTCCAGACTCAGAACTAGATGGGTTTGTTGACGCTCTAGCTCGTCGGATTGCTTCATTCCCCAAATTCCCCGTAGCCCAAACGAAGGCAATCATCAATAACCGTGCCGGAATCCCTAGTCCGGCTGGTATTCGACAAACACAAGACGCCTTTATGCAGTGTCGTTCCATTCCGGAGGTCCAGCAGCGAATTCAGAAATTGTTCGAGGCTGGGTTGCAGGAACATGGAGACTTTGAGTTCAACCTTGGCAGGAATTTAGCACTGGTGGACACTTATAAGAAGAATACTGGACAAGAAGGTTAAGGCCTCACAGGTTCAAATGGTATGTCGCTGTGAGTAATTGGCTATGATGATGAATGTAAATTCAGAATTTGCTCGGTTGTAGAGGCATATATAGTCAAATCTGACAAATTTAAGACTGCGAACTTTATCGAAAAAAACTTGAGATACAAAAATATCAAAAATACAAAGAATTTAGCGTTGACGTGTCAGTTGCGTTGAATTGTTGCGGCCACTTGCACAGGCTTTTACTGGCCCCAGCTTGGCAAAAGCAGCATCATGCGTCCAAAAAGCACGCGCAGCAAACCCAATTATGAAACAATCTTGTATTTGCCATTGAGCTGGATTGCACCCTCGATCTGTTTGATCCATGGCGGCCGGCGCTCTACATATACCTCCACCTTAGGAGGAATGTCCAGAATGCTCTGGTCATCAAGCACGCCAGCTCGCAGGCCCACGTTATCCTTCATTCGCGGCTCGCCGCCGGTACGGAACAGCGTGGTTCCGCAGGCGCCACAGAAGTGGTTATGGATATCCTGAAGAGCTTGTCAGCTAGCTAGAAGACAACAGGCATATTGAGTGGCGCCGACTGACATTGCCATGGTCGGATTTTTTGGTGTAAACCTTTGGCTCGCCCTGTGACACAGCAAAGTTGGCCTTGGGAATTTGGAAGACTTGGAAATTGTTGATTTTGCGGTCGTCATGGCAGTAGCATACGGCCTGGAGTGCAATATTAGAACCTTGTGACACACTCGGACTTGGAATGCAAAGAGAACGTACTGTATACTGTGGATTGCCTGTGTAAACGATCTTAATATCTCCGCATAGACAGCTTCCTGTAGGCATTTTCAAGTAATACCCTTGTTTCGGGAACGGATCCTGCTGGTGAGTCGATAAAATTGAAAGTTTCAGTGCTATCGGCGACTGAGTCCAACAAAAAATTTACAAGTAGGAATTAAATATGTCTCTCAGCCTTCAGGGACAAAAAGAAGGGGTGACCAAGGATGAGGAGACTAAGGATAAGGAAAAGTGCCAGGTCTGGGGAGACCCAAACGGTCGGTCCCATAAGCACTAGGCCTTAAGCACACGCCGGCTGTAGCGCGAAATGTCAGCTGCGCATATTATTTATAACATTGTCCGCGTAGAGAATCTGGAGATTGATATCTCAATGTCGATATCCAGCACCAGGTGTAACTAGGACCAACACGGCATCCTCTGGCCGATTTAACTGCTTTTTCTGGAAGCGGGCTAGTGACGCGCCTAGATGCGAGAATTCCCTTGATGTCGGCACGAGATTCCCAATCGGGGCGCTCGCACGAGAAAACGGCGGGTTATCGCGACTAATCGCGGCGTGCAGCTCCAATGGCATGCCATTGCCATTACCATCACCCAGCTGTATCGGGAGGAGTAGTGGGCGAGAACAAGAAGAGATAAGAAGTGCAGGAAAAAGAACAGCACGCAGCGATGCTCGCCGTGCGGGGTACTCTACGTCGCTGCGTGCAGCCGCTGCTTGCTGGGGCGGGGAAGGCAGCCACGACCGGCGCAGCTTTTCGCTCCTGCTGTTTATCTTCGCTGCACTCCCTCTCCTCCTCGCACTCTTCATTTTCGTCTGCATTTCCCTCTTCATTCTCCTCTTCATTTTCGTCATCCTCTAGCCCCCAGCTGGCCCTGCCCTCAGACTCCATCATGGCTGACCTCGCTGTCGACCTCACTGCGCCCAACGGCCAGAAATACAAGCTGCCCACCGGACTCTTCATCAACAACGAGTTCGTCAAGGGCAATGGCGGCACCATCGTGTCCATTGATCCTGCGTAAGTCGTACGGGTTGCATGAAACCATTCTGTGCTAACCAGCGCCTAGCACCGAGAAAGAGATTGTCACGATCCATGCCGCCAGTGCTGACGATGTCGACCGAGCTGTGAAAGCTGCCCACGCTGCCCTCAAGCACTCGTCCTGGAAGCTGCTCCCCCCTACCGACCGCGGTCGTTTGATGGCCCGCCTCGCCGACTTGGTGGAGGAGAAAAGAGAAATTCTGGCTACAATTGAAGCATGGGACAACGGCAAGCCATACTCGGTTGCATTGAACGACGATCTGGGAGAAGTGGCCTTGACCCTCCGGTACTACAGCGGATGGGCCGACAAGACGTTCGGACAGACCATTAGCACAACCCCTGAGAAGTTCGCCTATACTCTGCGCCAACCTATTGGTGTGGTGGGCCAGATCATCCCATGGAACTTTCCCCTCTCAATGGCTGCTTGGAAACTCGGTCCAGCCCTGGCCTGCGGTAACACCGTTGTGTTGAAGCCTGCCGAACAGACCCCCCTGAGCGTGTTGATTCTTGCAGAGCTGATCAAGGAAGCCGGCTTCCCTCCTGGTGTGGTCAACATCGTTAATGGCTACGGCCGGGAAGCTGGTTCTGCCTTGGTGGAGCATCCTCTGGTCGATAAAGTCGCATTCACTGGTTCGACTGCTACTGCCCGCCAAATAATGAAAATGGCATCCGCTACTTTGAAGAACATTACTCTCGAGACTGGAGGAAAATCACCCCTTTTGGTTTTCAGTGATGCCGATCTTGAACAGGCAGTTAAGTGGTCTCATTCTGGAATTATGTATAACCAAGGCCAGATTTGCACCGCTACATCTCGTATCTTCGTCCAAAAGGAGATTTACAACACCTTTATTGAGAAGTACAAGGAGGCCGTCAAGAGCACCTCTAAAGTTGGAAATCAATGGGACGAGTCTACCTTCCAGGGCCCACAAGTCACCCGTGCACAGTACGAGCGTATTCTTGATTACATTGAGATTGGAAAATCCGAAGGCGCTACTGTCCTCACAGGCGGAGAGCCTTACAGGGAAGAAGGCAGCAGTACAGATTTCAGCAAGGGATTTTTCATCGCTCCTACCGTCTTCACCGATGTCAACGACTCGATGCGTATCTGTCAGGAAGAGATATTTGGCCCTGTTGTGGCCATAGCTTCTTTCGAAACAGAAGAGGAAGCCATCAGTCGTGCAAATAACACAACCTACGGTCTCGGTGCAGCTGTCTTCACTACAAACCTCCAGCGTGGCCACCGTGTCGCAGCTGAGATTGAGTCCGGCATGGTCTGGATCAACAGTTCTCAAGACAGCGACCCGCGCGTTCCATTTGGTGGTGTCAAACAGTCTGGAATTGGCCGTGAGCTTGGAGAGGCTGGTCTCGAGGCTTACAGCCAGATCAAGGCTGTTCACGTGAACATGGGAACAGTGCTCTAAAATGTTTAGCTTGTCGAGGGGAGAGAGGTGCTTGTACTCTATGACTTGCTGATATGCCGTCTTCCAGATTGACGAAGCAGGAATATTTCTGATCCCAGTTACGGCGATAATCTTTGTTCATAATTATTTATCATAATGAGTTAAAATTCACGATTTCCTCAAAATTGGCCTCGCAGGTATTATCTAGAAAGAAAGCACCTGGCGAATACGTTCGGGAACCAACATGCAAAGTTGTACAGTGTACTAGTAATACAGCCCCGCATGAATTCCCTCTCATAGCTTCGTCGGGGTAACACTACTATTCCGGGGGGCCCAACTCGGGCGGTGTATCTAATCGTTAGTACAGTGCCCTAATGCTCCATATTGATCCATAGGAAATACCCCTGTTGAAAGCTAAACAACGGAGTTTCTAGGCAGTAGAATAGCTGGGGGAAAAGCAGCTATGTCAAGTATCTCCACTGCCCCGATGTTAATACCCCTCGCCAAACAGATGCTTTTTCGGTTCTAAGGTATGGCTTGCTTTTCTAGGCCCCTATTTTTCAATTTTCGTCATAAGACGTAAATATTACAATCAAAGCTTGTCATAAGATATCCCAATACTGGCCTTTCATGCCTTCGGTTTTGACCATGGTGGAAATTGTAGGAGACTATAGACGTTTTACCTTGTTTCAAGTGTTTACATTTACTGGAATGATAATGTTCAAAATACTCATCAAATTTCATAATATTCTCACATACATCATTTTTTCACTTTTCAGCCGCTTCCAATTTTCACATCCTTTCAGCAGTCCCGATCAAAGATGTAATTTAAGCCTGGGCGGCAAAGCCAAGCTGAACATTCGCGCCATCAAAAACGACATACTGGCTCTTGAGGAAGACATCACCGAAGATATTGAAACCGATGCTACCGGCAGACTGAATACCACCGAAGCATTGGCCATTCTGTTGGGCATAGTTGATGTAAGAGCCAGGAACAGTGGCGGTGTAACCGTTAATGGTAACGGAGAAGTCAGGGAGAGTGGTAGAGCAGTCGAAAACCCAGCCACCTTGAGAAGAGGAGTTCTCAGCACCACTGACCTGGGCGTAGTAGTTGGAAACAGTGGTGTCATCGAGAAGCAGGAGGGTGGTGCCAGTGTCGGCGATACCGGTGAGGGAAGTGCTGCTGGAAGAACCGCCAATGGCATAGGAGTCGGCAGTGAAGGACCAGAAACCCTGGCTGTTGTCAACGGGGGTATAAGCAAGGGTACCGGTGTATTTGGAGCTGTCGATGAATCCGAAGTCATAGGTACCAGGAGCGTTGTGCTTCAAGGTAACAGCGAAAACGGGGGTGGCAAGAGAGCTCTGGACGTTGGCATAAAAGGTGTTTTGCGGGGTGGGCTGGACAGTGTTGATGCTGCTCCAGGCAAGACCGAGCAAGCCGTCGTTGCTGGTATCGGAAGAGAATTCACTGCTGACAGTCTGAGCGGCCTCAATTGCTTGAGACGTGGCAGTCACACCACCGACGACAACGGTGTCCTGGTAGACATCACCGCTGGCAGAGCTGCCATCGCCGTAGCTAATTTGCCAGGTAGCGCCAGAGATCTGGTTGGCGTTGGCGCTGGGCGTGTAGAAGTTGTGGCCAGCACCTCCAGAGGTGCTGGAGGTGTAGACCCAGCTAGGAAGAACGATCAGTATGTAATTCTAGGTTAATCGCCTTTGGCGATGGATTCAACATACAGATCAGCAGAACCAGTGTCGAAGTCTAGGTTCACAGTGCTGTCACCAACGGTGACAGGAGTAACATACTCCTCATCGCCGTTTACAGGGGTATTTGTTGCAGAGCCGGACTGGGCGGACGCAGCAGCGGCAGCAACATGGGCAGGGATCTCAGCCCCGTACTTGGCCAGAGCGCGAGCATAGTGAACGGCTGGGGCGACATAGTGCATTTTGGGCACGGCGACCTGGTCGATGGAGAACTTTGTTGTCTTGGTGGGTGCAGCACCCACAAGGGCCGACAGGGCCAGGCCAGTCACGACAGACTTGGATGAAACCATCTTGTAATGGAGTATGGAAAAGAGAAAGGATAGACAAATGGGGAATGCTGATCACTGACGAGCAACAGAGAAGTTCTCCATCTAGGAGGCCTAAGCTGCTTTATATGTCTTTTCCTCTCGTCCAGCACCAACACTCAGTCCCCCTCCCCTCAGAGCCATAGCCTGACGAGCTGTTAGGCCGAAGGGTGCCATATACTGGATGGTATCTATTCAGAAGATGATTAGCCATAGTGTCGAGGCGCGATACAACGTGGCGCTGTGAGATCTGCAATCAGAAGCCGGAGTAGCCAGCACAGAAAGGAAGGTCCAGATTCCGATTCAGGAGAGATCGACGCGAGGCATCAACAGATGGAAGGCACAGGGGCCGGCTAGCTTGGATAAGGTTAAGCTCGCTAGATAGAGCTCGCCGCTAGTCCGCATCCTGCTTCAGCCAGGTCACTGTACCGTGGACGTCCAATTGTCCATGCCACTCAATGAATTTGCTTGTTACTTGTGAGATCACTGATTGGCTCACACATGAGACTTTCATTTCCACCTGCCGCCCCCGAAATGGAAGGTTGTATTCACACTGGCCAATGGAGCCGCCACGCTATCGCTTGTTGTACAGTCTGTCAGCCAACCACGTTGTGCGCGGTGATGAAGGCTCAAAAACAAGCCTTTGGTTGCCACGCTAAGTTCGCAGCTGCCAACAACAGATAGGCTTCATACATCGACACCCCACTACTGACAGGCCGGAAGGTTGTATCTTTTATCATTCATGCATCAACAATGATGTCGTTGGCTTGCTCGAGGCTGAGAAAGTTGCAGTGGCTTTCCGGCTAGCTGCGGCTTCTTTCTATCTAGGTCGATCACCAAACCCAAAATCAATAATCGCCCTGATCCTCTGGCCATACTCGCTTACAACTGAATGACTGATTAATCGACGATCAATCCCGCATCAAAAATGAAGCAGAAGCATTGACCTCATACTCTAGTACTACTACATAGGCTCCTCCGGATCAAATGCCGAAAGGAGCCATACGGATATTGCCGTATGGTCTGTGTGCCTTTCCTCAAGATACGAAGGTAACGCTGTCTAGCCAATAGAAGCCCTCACCCATGACAACATCAACAGGATTTTCGCAGTCATTGGGAGCTTTAGGCGTCGGTTAATATTTGTTTACTCCAGCTGCTTGCGGTTTTTTTCAGTCTTGATTAATTTGTTTAATATTGTAGTCCCATGACTCCTAGACGTACATGTATTGGTGCCAGGCGGAGTCATGAGGCTTGATCGGGATCCGCGATGGGTTTAACCCGCCCCGGCGACCCAGGAACGCGCCGTTAAAACTTACTATATAGCCAAGTCTGCAATGCTACCGTGTAACTCTGCATCATTGATGAGGAGGATGCCTCGGAATCCTAACCAACAGCTCGAAGCTGGTGTGGGAGTCATCGATCCCCCGCCAAAAGTGACATTTTGGAAGCTCTCTTGTTGCACAAGCAATGGGCTACATGTACTTGATTCTGACACTGGCGTGGAGTTTCACGCCTTATGCTTGACTCGGCGTGTTAGTGGTTGAATAGGTTCCATGTGGGTAAGAAACGACGCCCTACAGTCAACATCGTCGGTTTACGGCCCGTATGAGGTCATTTGATTGGTGCACATGCCATGTAAATCATAGGGCGTGTTGATTAGATATGGTACCCAACACATTTGTGAACCTAAACTTCTTTATTTAACTCGCTGATCGCTTTCATTCTCGTAGTATAAAATATCTTATTTTGGATTCTTTTTACAAATCCATCTATTATCAAAATCTAGCATATCGTTATTAAATACCGAGAGAGCTGCGTGGAATTCTACTGATAATTCGATCCCTCCATGTACGATAAATCCGCATATTGCTGCAGATTTTGATCAAGACTGGTCCCAGTGGGAATAGAGATGGGCTGCGTTTCGGATGTGCTCAGCGGATAAACTTGTCCGTTTTTGGCTGGCTGCCCATATTGGGGAGCTTCTTCAGAAGGAAACTCTTGTAGGTTGAAATCAGTTGCCCCGAAATTTTCTATACCTGCAGGAAGAGTAGCTAAATTTTTGTCGAATTGCTCGAGGAAGTCAGAGTCCAAACCCACTCCCGCATAAGGATCGGCCATAGCGCTTACTGGCGCTGAAGATGACTGATCAGCTGCAGAGAAACCACTGCTCCAGCCACTCGACAAGCCTGGTACATGAACTCCAGAGGAAACCCCGGTGCTACCCACGAAACTGCCTGCCAGACTACCCGGCATACTTGGAGCCGCGGAATGAAAGCCGCTGGAAGGGAAACCTGGGCTATGTAGTCCAGATCCTGAGGCGGCAGGGCTATCCAACGAGACCTTGCTAAGCCAGGTCTTGCGCAAATGTCCAGCCATAGGATTCGTTTCCAATGGTGGTCGTTGTATTCCGCCCGCATAGGGAGGTTGCATACCCAAATCGTCAAGTTGTAAGTGTTCCGAATCAGGAACTGCCGCGATTCCGCAATCTCGTTTCAGAATACTTAACCAAACTGGGTTGTCGGCGCAGGTCTGGTTCCAGGTGTCGTCGGATCCGTAAATAGTGATCCGGCCTTGATCCTGAATAGATTGATCACTAGGAATGATGCCCGCTTCTAATTTGCCCTCGATAAATGACTTCAGTTCTCGTTCTAGGCGCACGAAGCAATTTGCATCTTGTGAGACCCGCAACTGTGACGACGAGCGGTTTGAGGCATTGCTTGGCCAAGCTGCCTTATACGGGTTAGGCGACACTCGGTCTTCTGCGATGAGATATGGGGGAACTGCATTCTCAACTAGACGCCGAACGTACGGTTCGAAGCCCCAATCGCCTTTCCACTGTGACATATCAGCACCATTCTTAAAGTGTTGTGCCAAGTGATCGGCTCGATCCTTCCATGTGGTGAACTGGGCATCGCAAAACCCGCACCGGGACTTGATCTCGCTTGTTGTGCTCCGCCACTGATTCATCCAAGAGTCAAATTTAACATTATGCATCAATCGCAGATGTTGGTTTAGGTGATCTTTGCGGTAAAACGTGCGTTCCTGCATTGTCTTTTCTTGGCATGACGAATAATTGTGTGTCTCTAAGTGATCTTCGGTCGGATTGGGTTCTCTACAGAAAGCGCAAGCCTTTTGCCCATCAGATGTCAACATCACTCCTCCTTGTGGAGCACAACCCCATTTTTCGAGGGCAAGGTGAAGAGACTTTTCGTGACGTTGCCAGTCATACTTAGCTGGGAACGAATCAGTACAGAATGTGCATTGGAAAATCCGAGCTCCTCGGGTCTTCTGTCGCTCGAAAGGAGGCACAGGTGGGATTTGTTTACGTCGCCTACGACGCTCCTTCCGGTCAGACGAGTTCAACGAGTGCTGAGAAGACCGGTGGGAAAATGCAGAGGCAAATGAAAAATCCGAAATTGATGATTTGTTCTCGGTTTCAAAACTGCTGACAGACGGGGCTTGGAACATAGAGCTAGAGTCGTTGCTCGAGCCAGTCTTTCTCGAGACAGATTTACCATGTCCAGAAAGCGAAGGACGTGGTTGGAATTGCTGTTGCTGGTGGTGTGAGGGCGAGTTTGATCGGAAAGGTGTACTAGCCATGGCTCGAATAATAGCGCTGGTGGACGCCGGTTCGTTTTCAGGAGGAGAGTGCTTCCATCGTTCAAGAGGTGTCATCAGGGACATGTCAATGCTGGGAGACGATGACGAGGAGGAGGTAGAAGACTGTCCAGGAATATTGACGGCCCCCGGAATGGGGGAAATACTGCGTGCTGGTGGTCGCACTTTTCCACGACGACGAGCATTAGCCAGCCAATTTGCAATCTGACTACGTTTCAAGCCGGTTCGTTCTTTGAGCTCAATTTTCTCTTCTTCAGTCGGATACGGGTGCTGATAGTGCTCGGAAAGCCAGGTTTTCAGAATACGAACAGGGTCGCGCCCGAAACGAGCGCCACTTTTTCTCCCGCGGGATTCTAGGTCATCAAATTTATTAGAACCAACAGACTTTAAAGCTCGTCTTCCAGTCAGGCCACCAGTCGAGGTAACTGCGTCTTCACCCACGGTATGGAGCGTATGCAAGAATTTCCCAGGAGCTTTAGCATGAGTGAAACTACACTCTCGATAAAGTGATACACAGCAAGTACAGCCATTGTTCAGCACACCTCTCTGGATAAGAAAACAGTCAAATCCCATACGTCGACAGAAATCACATGGCTCCGTCGACCGGAACATCGGATACTCGCTGCCAGCAACGGGTTCAGGGATGTCAGACGAAGAGACCACTGGCAGGGCCTCCAGTTCAGGATGGGAAAGATGCTCCGTCTCAGCCGCAGCTGCCGAACTAGAGTGCAGCTGAAAGCTCTTGTCGAAGAAGAGCGAGTCAAAGTTCTCAACGGCATCTGCCTCATCCATCTCCAGACAGTCCGATGCGACGTCGTCCTGCATAATGTTGGAGGAGAAGCTGGCCTCTTCAAAATTGAAGTACTCCATTATCGGTATGCGTTTCCAATGGTGGGGATTTTCTTTCAGCTGCTGACTGTCTAAGACAACGCTCGAATCAAATGCGTCGGGACGGGTAAAGTCCGCGCACGAAGCAGACTTCCGCAGACTAATTAATGAGACAATCAGGCAGAAATGATAAGCTAGGGGAGAGGATTCGTAAGACGGGTAATATGGCGTGGGTTGTAAGGATTACGGGGCGAGAAAGGGGAACGAGAAGAGAGGGAAGGATGGGGGGGAAAGATATGTGAGAGATGGAGACCGTGTCGGTCCGCCTCTTTATGGCGATTTTGTACGTGCTCAAAGCTGGAGCTATGATGACAAGAGCGGTGTGCGAGCGATGCGAGACGATGCGAGAGAGCAGGGGAAAAATGGCATCAATCGAGTCATACTAGAGACTTCCACGAGCGCGCCCTGCGGATGACAGCGCCTTTCCTGTCTGGGAAGGATGGCCCCGCCTTTCCCCGCCAGAAGACGCCGGAAAGAACTGCGACCTGTGGCACTAGGCTGAAAGGGGAATAGCCTCGTCAATATGTTATCTTCGCTGCAGATCGATCATTGGCAATTGCAGCAAATACAGTACATACGGTAGATAGTTATAGGGGAGATCGTGGGTGCCTTTCCCGATCTAGTTCGTGCCGCTCGCTGCTTATAAGAGCGGAGAGTCTGCGGCCAGAGAGGCATCCAGGCGGCAGACGGCCATGTTCACGTGACTCTTCGTGATTGGACGCCCCTATGAGGTGTCGGTAAAAGTTGCCCATTAGCATTTTCTCATCTTCCTTGGGCTGGGACCAGCAGAGATCATTAAAGATGACTCAACACCCCAGGAAATAGAGTAAATTGGAGGTCTGCATCATCAGCTTCGAACCAGGCAATCTCAGGCGTCAGTCCGGTTTCAGTGACTTTGTACATTCCCCAGCATGTCTTCTTAAGCTCTTGCGCAAGTTTCATCTGCTTCTCTTTCCTTTCACTCCAACCATGGATCTTTCGTGCTTCTGCTATCGCAAGTCCACCTGTTACACCTAGTGCGATGGACCCAGGCAGGAAGCAGACCAGATGGTCCATCTTGGGGGATAATTTGCTACCAATTCCGGTTGGTAGCTCGGCAACAAACTGCAATTTCGAATGCTTCGTTGAGGTAATCAGATGTTTTTGGATTCCAGCGAGTGCCTCATCCCACATTTCAAGATATATAGGCCCAGTTATGTTGCTGATTTACGCGCTCTCCAATTCTACGATGTTTCAACTCTCTCTTTTCATCACGTCCATCCCTTTCGCTGTATCATCATTCTATCACTTGTTGCTCTCAAACCCACAAATTCTCTAAAAGATTCGCATTATGGCAGAAGCAGTTGGTTTTGCCTTGGCAGTGCTTTCTCTTCTTATTATGGCTGCTGAATACTATTGTGAAGGAGCTGATTCTTTGCATATGCTTAGGCCTAAGGCTAGAGATGATTGTATCCTTACGTTTTATAAAAGGTGATCTTTGAACTATATATGCTTCGTATTTGCATTAATAAACTCGGCTAAGACCTTCCTTCTGAGAAATACAAAAGAGAGCTACTAATACAATAATATATTCGAGGATGGTACGGAAAAAACCTCAATAGACAATTCCCAGGGGATCCTCTCGGTACTGCAAGTGAAAAACTTGCTCACTGGCTATCAAGCGTCTTTCCGGGTCGTGATACCTACATAGATCTGCATTGCGGTGATCTCAATGAAGGGCTAAAAGCCCTTTACAATATTTATCGAGGGTAGCGAGGCATCGAAAAAGATGGCTGTTGCTTTCGGCCTGGATACCGTCGTCGTGGCACCTGAAAAGCGCCCTGTCTCGTCTAGCTATGCTTCTCGTCTGGGAATCCTAGCTATCACTGCTGAAGTGGGATGTAACGGCACTGTGTCTGAAGATAAAGTCTTCCTCCATTATAACAGTGTGATACGTATCATGGGCTATCTTGGAATATTGCAGTCACCGCCACTACCTGGGGCATCGGTTCCCAAGTTTGTAAAACTTTCGGTCCCAATTGCATCTACCGATGGGCTCTGTTATCCACGAAAACATGTAGGTGCACACGTCGTCAAAAATGATGTTCTGGGCGAAGTACGAGATGTTTTTGGAAAGTTCTTGATACTGTTATAGCTGAAAAGTCTGGTGAGGTTCTTTATCAGCCGACAAGTCTTTGCGTAAAAGAAGGTGAACAATTAATGGGTGTTGCTTTCAGTCTTGATTCTCTATGAACTGTATTTTCTTTTAAAACGAAATATATCGGCGCATATACCAGCAAATACCCACTTCAACAGTGATCCCTAGCAATACATGCAATGTTGCGTCATTCTAAATTTTTCAATGATGTAGCTATATTTTAGCGCTGACCTACACAAACACTCAGTATAAGTGTCGTATCTGATTTTCGATTTACACGACACCAAAGTTGATTTATGTGTGACCTGTCGAATGGTTTTCATTTTCCAAGCCCGTAATTTACCTGTCCGAAAACATCGAATCTCCGTTCATTTATCTATTCGCAATTGGTCGCAGGTCACAAAGTTTACGCGGGTGGCGACAACCGGGAAAAAGCAACTGGCTCATTCTAACCTATTTCGACTAGTATTCTGCATATTGTCTGACGGATGAGGGCCAGACATAGCAGCCATTGGGGTGAATGATGTGGTACGTAGAGAAGAGATACGAGATGAGGGGTTGAATCAACCTTATTTAACAGCAGGTGTTCCCCCAAACAATCATAGTGCTTTTCAATCTCTTCACCCTTCATAGTTTCAAATATCCTGAAACGCTCTCATTTGTGATATCTCATAGCAACCCATACTTCTTTACTAGAACTGCCTTCGCTATGAGTAAAGTCCTCGTTGTCTTCGGTGCCACGGGGCAGCAGGGCGGCTCTGTCGTCAGGCACGTTCTGAGTGATCCTCAACTTTCTAAGGAATATCATGTCCGTGCAGTAACACGCGACCCATCAAGGAGCGCCGCAAAAGCCCTACAGCAACTAGGCGCTGAGGTTGTTCAAGGTGATGCCGACGATCCATCGTCGCTCACTACAGCCTTAAAGGGAGCCCATACCGTCTTCGCCGTCACCCTCATGGTCTCTGCTGAAAACGTGCCGAAATCCCAGGAGTATATCCAGGGCAAGGCCATGGCCGATGCAGCGGTTGCAGTCGGCGCAGAGTACTTCATCTTAAGTACGCTATCGAATGTCTCTCAAATTACGAATGGCAAAATCACCAACGTCGAGCACTTCGATCAAAAGGCTCAACTTGAGGAATACGTGCGCACCTTACCTATCAAGAGTGCCTTCTATGCTCCTGGCTTTTTCATGCAAAATTTTATAAATATCTTAGTACCGCAGCCTGTCGGTGATGGGTCGTTCGTTCTGGTCAACGTTACCACACCCCAGACTCAGTTTCCTTTAATTGATATCGTTGAGGATACAGGAAAGTTCATTGGCAGTATCCTGATGGAACCAGCCAGGTTCGAGGGGAAGACGGTCAGGGCCGCTGAGAGACTAGTCTCTTTAGAAGAGATTGCGGAGACAATGAGCCATGTGTTAGGGAAAACGGTTAGGTATAACCAAATACCCAAGAGCACGATGCAACAGTATCTCCCACCTAGTATTGCTGACGAAATCATTTGGATGTACATATATTACCAGGATTTTGGGTACTTTGGACCACAGACTAAGGATGTTGTAAAGGAGGCTGCTCAGGTTGTCCGTGGGAAGTTAACGACGTTTGAAGAGTTTCTTACTAAGAATGTCCCTCCAACTTTAAAGTGATCAAAAATTGTGATAGTTCATAAGCTACTAGTTTCACGAAAATTGTTACAGCTCTGTCTCTTGATATTCTGGAAATAGATTCAATGGTGCTATCAATAGCTGTGATATTTAACTCTTCATATGTTTTCAAGAGTGTGTTTTAATAGTCAGTGGTGGTGATTTGATTTCCCTGATCTTTCGTCTCTGCAAGTGAAGGGATATTAATAGTGTGTACTCCAGAGTCGCTAAATGATAGCATTTCATCAAAACTATCGGAAGTACCTGGAGTATTAACCAACTCATTGAATACTATGATAGGGTGGTCGATAGGAGTGCTGGATTATATCTCAGGTTGTGGTTTCTGATACTCTCTGATCGCTCGATAAGGATCAAAAGGATAGAGGCCACTTCTAGACCAAGTGGATTTGATAGTTTCGGTGGACGAATGCCACTTGACGGATGTGATCATGAAGATAGAGGAATAGTCGTCTGCTGGCAAAAATTTCCGCAGCCGGGACTCCATTCTCAGGGGAGGAGGATCCGTTAATAGTTGAACTGAAGGCAAAAGGGTTGGGTTAGAGGTGATCGAGATAAATTTGCTGAACAGTTTCCGTACCGTAGTAAATCGTCGTTACGATTACATTATATTAGTAGGCTGGGATGATCGCAGACATTATGAGGGCAAGATGGATTGGCTGTGTGGCAGTTGACCTGTTAAGTCCTCTCAATTTGCCAGTCAAGTAATACGTCTGCAGTGTTCCTATTATCCTTGTTGGAAAAAATCTTAATCCGATTAGATTATTTTAATTTTTAATGCCACATCTGATTTGATAGACAGTAAAAGATGTCTTATTCTAGATCTCAGACGAGATTTGTCGCGGCCCACTCTGCTGCCGTGGTCAGCGGGATATTCTTTTGGATGTTCCATGTCTCAGTAAGATTCCATGCCACACCACGACCCTGGCCAAAGACAATCTGGTATTTAAGCAAGTGGTTTGTAGGATCTTTTGCAAGGGCTTCCTGAGCCGCCTCCACTGTGAGAACTGATCTCTTCACAGATTTCCCAGTAACCTTCTCAACCAATTCCGCTAAATCTCCATACGAAATCGTATCTCCACCGATAAATATTGGCTTGTTTGAAAAAGTGTTCTCCTTGGCTTCAGTCAGGACAAGTTCCGCAGTAATCCTGCCAATATCTTCAGGTGTCGTAAGAGTAACCCTATTTTCCCAGCTTCCGAGGGCACATACCGTGCCTTCTTTGGTATCTACTACACCAAAGAACGGCTCAAACAGAAAGCTAGTAAACATGCCAGTGGAAATAATCGCCCAGCTAGTTTTTTTTTGTGCACGAAGCAAATCACGAACGTCAAGTTGCTCATCAAACAAGTCCTGCGCGGACCCGCGCCCGATAATATCGTAATCGACACCGAATTGCCAGGGGATAAATCGTGATGTCCTAGCAGATAGCACAGCCTGTGTAAGTTTCACTTGAGTACCTTTTCCAGATACAAAGCCCATACAGCTGATCACGGTATCATATCGGCTGAATATAGCAGCTAAATCTTGTTCTGAATCTTGGACAACATCGGCAGGAACTACCTGAATTCCTAGTTTATGAAAACCGTCCAGTTTGTTCTTTTTCTCGGCGCTTGTAGAATCTATACTAGCTGGTCGCAGTAAGACTGATACATTTGCTTCTTGACGCCGTGGGTCTTTGGCCAGGAAGCGGAGAACTTGATCGCCCAGCTCTCCTGCGCCGATGACAAGAATATCTTTAACAGGTGCCATTAGAGATACGAAAGTGAGGTTTTTGCTGCTGTCTTCCTAAGGAATAAACACGTCAGCTTTATATTCCTGCGTGGTACTACTAATTATTTGTTCGATATTTTCACCTGAATTAGTCATGAGATTAACAGATGATGCTGACAAATGCATGTGTTGGAACATTGAATCATTGGATGAGATCAGCATTCTTCAATCCATAAAAAGTGTCAAAAATTCCCGTTCTAAGCAGCATCTCCACTTTTTAGGCTTGGCCTTTGTCAACCTTTTCCACTATGCTAAAGAGACTTCACCTCTGGTACATAATAGTTTGGTGCATATTCAGTTGAACATAATGTAAGATACGGACTTGAAAACATCTTTCAGAGTGTTGACTCAACTCAGCTAAGAAAAATCAGAACTCCAACATTTTCTTCTCTTCTATTTTACCCTTGACACTGTTGAATCAACAACTTCAGCCTCCCTGTCGATTCGTGGATGAGACTAGCACATTAGGAACTATTGTCCGTTGACGAAAGTAAATGATTATAGTCCAAGGGCTACTGCAAACCTGGATAAAAACTTAGTCGTAACACAGCGTCGTTTGTAAGGATATCGAGACTCTTCTGGCTGCACAATTCATGAGAGATTTCACCTCTTAGAGATTCCACATCTACAACACACGTTGAATGGCATCGATCTAGCCTCTTCTCTGGACTTTCGGCCATTAGCCATTCGATATTGTATGAATAAAGGCTTGCGTTTTTTTTAGCCTTCTCTACTAAGCTTTTCGGAGCCTCGATCTCGATCTGAACTTCTAATTGACCCGCGGTATATAGCTGCGATGTCTTGCGTAACATTGTCGACTTCTTCAAAATCTCACCTTGAGAAAGATAGTAGTAGGAGGTAACTGACTGAGAGGTCAAAGTCGAGCTATTTGACTCGAAGGTACTATCGATTTGTACCAGTGATCCTCCGACAGCAGTATCCGGCCGTCGTCTAGCGGGCGACGAGCGATCATTTCCGTCTACTAATAAAGAATTGTCTAGCGCAGGTATCGTGTGGTGTATTCCTAGTTGAGAACCTGTCTGTTTCTCTCCGGGGCAATTCATACTACGAGAAGTTCTAACTGACGATAGCGTAAGGAGCGTGCTCTCGTTGGGCTGAGGGTAATTAGTCCTTTTCTGTCTCAGTTGAAGAGCGCCCAGGCTCTCTTTGATATTTCTTTCGAAGGTCGTAGTAAAGTTCTGCTGGGTGGTAACTAACTGGGGGAGGGGTGGTATTCTCCAATTAGGCCACAATCTCCCGTGACATCGAGGTATATGCATATTTTTCTGATATACTGCAATGCAGATATTACAGAGATAACAGGCGTCTTTGCTAGAGCAGATGACCCGTGGTGGAAAATTTGGAATCAGAAGCTCGCAGTATGCAATAAGTTGGATTTCGGCGTGCACTTTTGCATATTCCAATATTTTCAGCGTTTTTTTCGAGAATTCATCATCGACATTTGTCTCTTTGACATTTGTCTCTTTAGTATTCAAAAGGCGACGGAGCTGATCAATATTTTCTTTCTTGGAATACTTTGGATCAATTCGTGAAATGGTTGACGCAAGATTAGGTTGGTATTGATCAATTGGTGGTGATTCAAAGGCTTCTTGAGGAAGGTTGACAGGAACGAACTTCATCCGCCTCACAATAGGGTATTCTTTTGCCATCCGATAAAGTGATTTACTAGCTTGCCGATACCTCGCAACCTTATCAATCATGTTAATAAGACTCGCCTTTAGCGATGGGTCCATATCTTTATGAGTCATAGCATTAAGCATGCTACGAGTTGCATGCGTCTTGTATAACGCATAGACACCTTCAACAAGGTCCTCTAAGCGACTCGTAGTTTGATGCTTCAACCACAAGTCAACTAATTTGACCACTCTCTTGGCTGCTGTCACAAATGAAGTCCTAACTTTAGTCGTGATTTTGATTTTCCGGTTATTTTTTCCTAAGCGAGCTTCAAAGTTTATGATCTCCACCAGGACCTGCTTGATATTTTTCTTTGAGGAATTTCTGAGATGTAGTCGATTTAGTATGCGAGCAGAGCACATAGAAACAATCTCCGTAAAAGGATCACTTTTAATATTAGAATGATCATGTTGATGCTCGTTGTCCTGAGAGAGAATGAAGGCACCCGCAAGAGTTTGAAAGATTTGTTCAAAACCTCCTTTCAAGTCTTGGAGAAGACTATTGCCATCACTCTCTCGACGTTTATTGACCGCGACAATGACATTCAGGCCACCTCCATCAGGGTCTTCTCTGACGCATACCGCTGGGATGTGGTCCGGGTCATCTCTTAAGCTCGAGAGAAATGCTATGATCCCGGTCAGACTGCGCTCTTTATCGAATGGTAGCGAGTATTTCTTCTGCAGATTATGTGATACATTGTTAGGCCATTTATTATCTGTGGGTGGCGAAGGAACTGTATGCAGTATTAAGGCAAGTGCGATGTTCTCTGCACACCTTATCTGAAGGTTATTTCGAGCTTGAGACATTGCATGTAGATGCTGCTACATATTATTGACACCTTCAGTCACAACACTACATGAGATGCGCCACATGTTCGATGACGGTGCAGAGGTTAGAGATTGTGTTGAGAATTCCTCCCGGTTAGTGAGATTTCCTTATCGGAACATTGAAGTGTGGCTGCAGCAGATGATATTGATTGGATGTTGCGATGTTACACGACATCTCCTATGTGGCCTTTGATATCGTGTTCGAGAACCATTTGTTACACTAAGTGAAAATCGTCCAGCCATCTCCTTGAGAAGTAAATAATGAACTAAAAAGTTCAATGTAATACATTTGCATAAATAATATAGGAATATGTGCAATACTATAGCACTCAGTATGATTATCAGCACGGTGCAGATGCAAATCTGTCAACTGGTAGATCACTTAATAGCGAAAGTAAATTGCTCATCAATTAACAGAGCATTCAAACCTTCAAAAGAAGACATTGAAGCGAAATACATTAATAGACAGCTTTCTACAAAGATTGCTCCCAAAACCTCGATCACCAAATATCGTACCCTATTCGGTAGCTTAGGGCAAGTGAGCCGGCTTCCTTCATCCGGCGGCACGCCCTAACCCCGTTCTTCCACTGGACAGAAAAGACCCCGGACGATCATTATCTCAATCCAAATAAGCACTAGACCTCTGCTAGGATTTCGCCTTTTGGCTGACATATGCTTCTCCACTTGTAGCGTATGAGGCACTTTCTAATCAAGATATGCCTCCACATCTGGATAGGGTGTCAATGAGCTAACTCAAATCGTCTTTCTTTGTTTGCTTCACACTTGATCATGAGTACTTAAGAGGAGACGATCAAGAATCTTGACGCAGACATGAAACTCTCTAGCTATCTGGGGTTCTTCTTATAGGTGCGACCTTTTGTATTGAGATTTTTGAGGTTTCTCGCCGGCCGCGAAACATCATACATTGAAAGCTTCAGCAGAACAATGATCGACTTAATCAAAAAGGAAAAGCTAACCATTCCCGAAGACAGTCCCATGTGCATGGTCAAAAAAATAATAATCGTTGCACAGCAAAAATCTGAGAGCGGAAAGATCATCACAGACTGGGATATTCATATTACAGCTCACGCAAACATCGGCGCAGGAAGTGATACTACGTCTTTGGGCTTGAGCACCGTTCTATACTATCTTTACAGAAATCCTCTCAGCCTTGAAAAATTGCGGAAAGATATCAAATGGCAGGTCTGCTATCTGCGAACAAGATTACTTTCCGCGATGTCCAGAATTTATCCTATCTACAGGCTGCGATCAAGGAAGCACCGCGTATGCCTCCTGGCACGGGATTGCCTCTATGGCGAAAAGTTCCTGAGGGCAAGATGACCATATGTGACCTCTTTTCCAAAAGGAGTATGTTGTTTCAACCAATCGTACAAATATGTCCCAAGAGCTAGTCCTATACCTTTTTTAAATTAGACACACGTTGGATGTAATAGTTAGGTCATCCATCAAAACTGAGCAGTATATGGAGAAGATGCCGATCAGTATCGACCTGACCGCTGGCTCAAAACTACTTCCGATAGTAACGAAGCCGCACCCAAACTGATGGAGCAATGCTTTATGCTATTTGGGCTTGGCGCAAGCGTGTGTCGGGAAGAACATCTCTCTTCTAGGAACCCGCAAACTCATCCCAATACTGGTACGGGATTTCGATATTGAATTTGTAACCAAAGATGGGAGCGCACAAAAGAGCAAATTTCTTCCAGAGGACAGAACAGGTGGTTCGGGAAGCCACACAATTTATGTGCTCGGCTTACACGGCCAAGGTAAAAGGCTTGCCCGTAGACTTTGTAAGCGCAAGAGAGGCGCGTTTTCTGGAGTTTTGGAGTGATTTGTTTGAATAAGGCTTTGAGTGGCGCATCTCTATTTATAAGCTTATTAATGGAGAAACCCTAGTTCATCCTCTCCCAGTCTCCGACTTTCCGAGTGTGACTTTTGCTACAAGCCCTTCGAATCAGATAATCAGTGACGAAATGGGGTTGTTTTGGTTTCGAATAGCTTATATTAAGTATGGTTGTTAGGCAGTGAATTAGCCGCATAAATTAGCCTAGTAGTAGTCGGTGTCAATCGAATGATAACGTGGGAATTGGAAACTTGGCAGTAAATTGTACGAGAGAATGAATAATAACAAATGCTTTGGTATTCATGTCTTGCTTCGGGTATCTTGGAATGCCACAAGGAGCTAGAGTATGTCTCTCGGGTTAGATACATCTCTCAATCATTTCATCAATCGTTCAATCATAGAATAAAAAAAAATGAAGCGAAACATCTCGAATGACATCACATAAGAAGCTAATGAAAAGGCTTTCTTGCAGCATTTCCTTGCAATTGTCCCTAATGCTATTGTTCAAAATGTCTCACAAATGCAACACGAGGTATCATCGCTCCAGTGTCATAACTTCATGCCCCATGTATCTCGCTGCCACATCTTGACTCCTTGAACCAGAGATCGTTTCACATCTTTCTTCAAAATACGAGAGGGTTCCTCGGCCTCGTCATCGGTGGTACTATCGTAGAGAGAATCCGTATCCCATTCGTCAAATATTTCCTTTTCCTTAGGACCAAGGCCATTCACTTTAGTCATTTTGCGATCATTCAATGACGAATGATGATTTGATGACGCTTTTGACTGATTCCATCTCAGCATTGTAACATAGGCCGTGCCGACCTGAGAAGTCACGTTGGAGATGCCAATGTATTCTAACGGAATAGATGGACAATGGCAAATTGTGTCCGCAAGGTTGTAACGTATTTCCCGAAGCATGGCTGAGTGAGCATCGCGAAAGTGGAAAAGAATATGTAGAGCCGACAGAGAACGAAACTTTGTAATCTGCTGCATGAGACGATGCTGCGGAGAATATTAGCACCCGATCACATAAATAATACCACCGCAAAATAATCCCTTACCAAGCCTTCCGAGTTCACCTCGATCATCAACTCCTTCAGGTGGACCCCACGGTTCGACAAACTTAAGATGGACTTGACGTCAAATTTCCATGTAGAATTGTTCTCATTGCGAATTACCAATCGACGAAGACTGCTCAAATGTTTGCGCAACACTTTCTGCCGGATATCCTCAATTCCAACGGTCGACGGCGGAGTAAGAGGGGCAACTTTGCAGGTTTTCCGGTTTCGTTCAAACAGAAACAATTCGGTCACCTGCTCTAAGCGTCCCAATGCGTGAAGAAATTCCGGTGTAACGTGATCTGTATGGATTGATGTCAATTTGATTGGGTCTGGCAGCTTGCTAACCATGGACCAGAATGTTGCCTGGGAGCCAACGTTCAAAAGGGCCAAATGTCTCAAATTGGAGATATCAACTCCTCTGAAAAGGACAGACGCTTTGACAGGCATCAAAGAAATCGACAAGCTCTCCAGACTGACGCCATGGCCCGCTGTAAGGTATTCCAGAATTGCCTCATTCTTATCTTTCTTAACCGGAGGTTCACTAACTCTGAGTGGCATCTTTCCCTTATCATTGTCAATGGGTAAAGTTTCGTTGCTAGCCCAACCTTCATCCTCATCGGCTGAATTTTGATCCTCGTCACTTTCATCAACTATGTCAGGATGCTCCATATCGACGATTTCTGACAGATTATCCTTGTCGTTTACATGAGGGGTAGCATCTGTAGAAAATGACTGGACTGCTTGGGGCTCGCTGCTTCCCTCCAGGTCTAGATGAACTGATAGATTCTGAAAAGGTTTGGTATATGGTGCAGCGTTATTTAATTTAGCTTTGTGAGATGAGCTCAATTGCCCTACGCCAACCGAAGGATTCTTATCATCGTACCAGTCAAAGGGGTAAACAGGTGGATTAGATGAATCCTCGCATAGTTTCTCCAGATAACATTTCAGCTTGTTATTATGGGAATTTGAAGTTTTGGATGAAGAGCAGCCCTCTGCCTCGTCACCGTTTTCAACTACGTTCTCTGTAACTGGTGATTGCGTAGAATTCGACAGGTATTTAGACTTCTTGAGCCTCTCCTCTTGAATGTAGAATTCGGCAGCCTTGCTGATGCTCTCCAACGCGTTCTTTTCCTTGGATGACTTTTTGTGCTTGGAAAATATCAAATTATCAGCAATTTCTCTCACAGCCTGGGAGAAAGCGACATTTCTAGCGGCAGGTTTTTGGCAAATATCCTGAACATCTTTATGTGCTGCCCTGATAGCCTGTTCAAACAAATGTTCAATGGAAGGATCATGGTCGGCTTTAATAAGACCTAAAATCTCAGGTAGCACCTTCTCCTGAATATTTCTCTCCTTGCGAACTTCGGCTACATTGCTTGGTGGTTGACTCTGCGATCCAACCGAGTCGCCTGGAAGCATCATGCTGGGAAGTGCCGGGGGAGGCGGAAGAGCAGGAACAAAGTCATCGACATCGTCAATAGGAGATGCTGCAGCATCATAATTATCGCCGCCTGGTTTGTTACGTGACTTGAGTGCTAATTTCTCGGAAAAGGATAGCTTTAGAGACCGGAGCCCAGGTACAGAATTGGCGACGCATTCCGCAACTTCTGAAATATACTCATAGCTATCGATATCCAAAATGGCCAAACTTCTCAGGTGCGAGAAGCGAGAAATATTTTTTGGCGCATCGGTAAGCTTGCCTGTTCCCAGTTTGCGACCCAGCCGGGCATTTTTGTGAAGCTGAGTGTTGTGGTTCACTACATAAGGGGCAGTTGGATTTGGGTGGCCAAATATATTATTCGGAGGCGGAATGTACTCAGACGGAGGGTGCACATTGGGTACCGGGCTGTGAGATGGTGTGGTAGACTGGAAGGTGTCTACAATTGAACGTGAATGCAGAGACGGGCCGGGCTGGAGACGCAAATGCAAATGCTGAAGAGTGGTCTTCTGGCTCAAAGCTGTCAGAATCGATTGACCCAGCTCTACGCGTATGTCCCACCTGCAAGACAAGTCATTAGTCTAAGAACCCCCGACAACTATGTTGGCGGACCTACTTGAAAGATTCCAAAGTCGAAGCCTTCTTCAGTGCTGCCTGGACGAGGGCGTTCAGTAACTTTCCAGATGAGCAGTCGTACTTTAGTTCGTGAGCAATCTTGTCGGCACAAGAATCAGAGCCGGCAGCAATCGAGAAGGATTTGACATATGCAGCATAATTATGATCACCTCCCGCGAGCGTCTCGAGAATAGCAGCCAAGACCTCTACAGGCATGTGGCCATTCTCGGCATCGCCTTCTGCAAAGGTATGATGGATATGTCGATACAGTAGTGCGCACACAATGTCGTGAAATTCTCGAGACACTAGAGCCAGATTTTTCATCTGCTTTGGGTCTGCCTAGATAGGGTGAGTACATACATAGGGTCAGTAGGGGGAGAGCAACACGTACGTAGAAAATAACATTTCTCAGAATTTCGATGGGGAGTTTGACTGGAGATGCATGACTAGTGTGTCTTGGAGAAGGAGAGCAGGGAGCTCCTTCCATGGTCACACACCTTTCCACCCTCTAATCAGGTAGCAATGCAAGTATGAAGGAAGGTCACTGAGAAGTGAACTTGCTTCGTAGAGAAAGGCTAGGATATGCGAGCTGTAGGCTAGGAAGCTGCTGCTGCAGCAAAAGGAGAAGAGAAAGAGAAAATCTATTAAAGAAAAAGAAAGGAAGCAGACGGGGACAAAAGTATCATCCAGCGGGTAGCGACAGCCACGCAGCGATCCGCAGTGTTTAGCAGACGGAGGGCTGGCCCTTGCAGGCAGTCAACAGTGACAACGCGCACTTCAGCCACGGGGCAGACAGCCTTGGAGGTGAGGCGTGGCTGCAGGACGGGATCGACGGGGCAATGGGCCGAGGATCGATTGATGAATGATGATTGATGGTTGGTGGTTGGTGGTTGATGGGAGACCGAGAGAAAAGCAAAGAGAGCCAGGGTGACAAGCGGAAGGCGCTAACCGCGAGGGAGCGACCGGGCAGGCCGTTTGCTGGCGGTGCTGGAACAAGACGATGGGCGATGGGCGATGGATGATGCTCATGCGGTGCGGCGTCCAACATAATGAACCGTCCAGAGTCGTCGACGCGCTGGGCTGGGGACAGCACTCCTGCGTGGCTTGCGGCCGGCGATTGGTCAGGAGAGCTTGCAGATGCCATGTCGTGCAGATGACTAAAGCAGCGAGATTGTTGGCCTATTATTGATTCTTATTGATTGTTGCTTTGCGTGGGGGATCAGAGCAGACAGCCACTGCTAGCGACTATCAACTCGGCAACGATGTGGTCTGCAGCACGGAGTATTTACTATTTACTCTATACTGCATACAATGTTGAAATGTTGAATTGATGCCCCGCTCCAGCCTGAATTCTCAGGCTCCCGCTTTCCACCATTCCCCCACGCGGCTAGCGCTGCCAAGACTCTCCTTCCTCTCGGACATCCGCCTCCAACATTAATAATATCGACATCCAGTTCCATGAGTGTATGATTATATTAACCATAATGCAGCTCCCATCCGCGATCGCCGTGTTTGCGTCGTTGCTACTGCTGCTGCTGCCAGCAGTGCTCGGCGAGCACACGTCAAACTGGGCGGTGCTCGTATCCACGTCGCGCTTCTGGTTCAACTACCGCCATCTGGCCAATGTGCTCTCCCTGTACCGCACCGTCAAGCGGCTGGGCATCCCCGATTCACAGATCATCCTGATGCTCCCGGACGACATGGCCTGCAACCCGCGCAACGCCTTCCCAGGCACCGTGTACAGCAACGCCGACCGCGCCGTCGACCTCTACGGCGAGAATATCGAGGTTGACTACCGCGGCTACGAGGTCACCGTCGAGAACTTCATCCGCCTGCTGACCGACCGGCTCGACGAGGCCGTGCCGCACAGCAAGCGGCTCGGCTCCGACGCCGGCAGCAATGTGCTCGTCTACATGACCGGCCACGGCGGCGACCGGTTCCTGAAATTCCAGGACTCCGAGGAAATCGGCGCCTGGGATCTCGCCGACGTCTTTAGCCAGATGTGGGAGAAGAAGCGCTACCATGAGCTCTTGTTCATGATCGATACCTGCCAGGCGAACACCATGTTCACGCATTTCTACTCCCCCAACATCATCGCCACGGGCTCGAGCGCGCTGGACCAGTCGTCGTACTCGCACCATGCCGATAACGATGTGGGCGTGGCTGTCATCGATCGATGGACATACTACGTGCTAGAGTTCCTAGAGACGCAGGTGACATCGCCGAACTCGAAGCTGACGCTGGGTGATTTGTTTGATTCGTACGACAAGAGCAAGATTCATTCGGAACCGGGGCTGCGTTGGGATTTGTTCCCTGGTGGCGAGCAGGAGGGCCGGTTACGAACCGTTGTTGATTTCTTTGGGAATATTCAGAACGTGCAGGTCGAGACCAATACGACGGGGCCTGGGTCGCTCAAGGAGGATCTCGCTGAGATTGCGCGGTTGGTGGAGAAATGGCAACGTCGGGATCAGGAGTATGCGGATATTCTGCAGAATAATTCTGCTGCTGCGAGCACGGGACAGTCCTCCCAGCAGTCCCCCTCGGTCAAGGCGGACCAGCATGTCGGCGGTCGTGGTGCGAGTATGATGACGGATGATGACGGCTGGACAAAGCGACTGGTTGGTCTGGCTGTTGTTGGCGCGGGGACAGGGCTATGGCTCGCGGGTTCGGTGCTTGGGAAGAGGATTTGATTGATGCATTGCATGTACTTTTGACTGTTGTTTCTTTCCTGTATATATATACCCACTTAGCATTCAGCCAGCCATGAGCAATATAATACTGATACAGGCCTACACTGAATGCCAGACAGTGAACTGTGAGAAGAAAATGGTCCTACATTTCAATATTGCTATCCTCCCAATCCAGATCCCAGCCCCGACTAATCTCCATGACCCATCCACCCATCATACCTCCATGCTAACAGCAGAAAAACATCATCGCCACAACTAAGCAACTATATAAATAGGCAATAATAATGCCTCCAAAATGCAATGTGCAATAATCATAACCAAAAGAGAGGGACAACAGCGACCCTGATCATAAGAAGCTATACTCCAGAACAATGTGTTCTAAACATAACAAGGATACATGAAGTGTCATGATAATGTCAAGCACGGGATAATGATAGTAACAATGATAACGATAACGATCATGCAAAGATAATGTAGATGAAGAAAAGCACAAAACAACACATATATCGTTGTATGGTACTCGCTCGCGTCATGCAAATCATTCCATGCTTATATGTAGTTAAATGCATACCCACACCGACGAACAAGGAGAGAAACGATTATCCTACATCATCAAGATGTAGACCTTATCCAACAACACTCCTGAAGCTCAATGCTTCAAGAAACCCACCTAAATCCTCTTTTTGCACCTCAACAACACAATGCTCGAAGCTATCGATCCGCACTCGCGCACTGGTCTCCTGGACGACTTCCTGGAACGCAATACCGAAGCGGTTGCGGACGAGATTTTTATTACCAAACAACCCCTTTTCATCATCTGTCGCACCGTCATCTGAGTCAGAGCCAGATGAGGAGTCGTCTTCGGTATCTTCTTCCTCGTCTTCGTCTTCGTCGTCGTTATCCTGGCCGGCGCGCTCTGCTGCACGTTTCTTGCGGCGGTCTTCGCGCTCTTTTCTTTTCTTATCTTTGGCTTCCTTCTTGGTACGCCGCGCTTCTTGTTTCTTTGCAATGGCTGCAAAGTCGACCACGCCGCCTCCGCCTCCAGTGCCGACCACAACGTACACCCCACGGTCCTCATCCAGTCCAGCCAAGACAAGGGGTGTGCCTAGGATCTTTTTCTTGCCCATTTTAGTATCGCTTCGGTCTCTTTCTTGGACTTGGATAGCTTCTGCGACCCACAGTGCCAGTTTGGTCAATGCTCCAGGGTTAGTGAAAAGCTTCACATCAGGGCCCTCTTTTACAACAGCAATACGGAATGCACGTAGATGACGAATTTGATGTTTTGAAAGCAGCGAAGTGCCTGTGCGGAGAATGGCGCGATGAAGGTGCTTTGCCAGAGGAAGCGATTCAACGAGTAATGTAGGTGAATCAGATCCAGTGGGCGACAGGGCATCATAGGCGCTCCAGAATCGAGGGTGTAGATTAGCCGGGTCTGTTTCAGACGGTACTTCGGACTGGCCCGCACCATTGGTGTGCGGTCGAAAGGAAGAGCCTGCTTCCCAGGTTGCGGCTGCACCTGGACCAACTTCGAGTATAGAACCTAAAACGACAGCAACGTCGGTTGCCGATAGACATGCTTTCCAGCCCCAGCTACGCACAAAGCCCCATCCCTCTCGGTTACTGCTGTAACCAGTTGCTTGAGGAGGGACGAGTCCTTCCAGCCCATACATTGGAGCGTACTTCAGTAATCGAGAGCGCAAGACACGCTTCAATTCCATGTCCATATGGGTGTAGTTTTGGTGACACTGGGTTAAACTAATACCCATTTTCGCCAGTAGTTTGTGAAGTCTCTTGCGGCCATTCTCTGTCCACACATGTAGTCGTGAGGCGAGGTACGGGCTGTGCAGCATACTCTCGTACAGTGACCAGTGTCGTACGAGAAGGAAGCGTGGCTCTGGGGACAGCCGGATTGAGGTGTCTGTTGGAGACCGGGCTGTGGTGGGAATAAGATCTGAGCTCGAGCCAAGGATATCGCGTGCACTCTCTGCATTATCGGGGGGTTGAGTCGATGCACCTCATCTCGGAGAATCTGTCGAAGATGTTCACCTCGAGACCCACCCCAACCTGCCGACCCTCCAGATTCAGATGAACTCGAGATACCAACGCCAGCCATAGAGCGACCAGAAAGCTCCATGCTCGACGTGCCAACAATAGCCAGCCACAGCAGATCGTTATCCTCACGTCCTAGCTCAGAGGCTAACGAGTACATCATGGACGATATCGGCTCCGAATACGCTGTGCCGGTGTTGTAGTATGCTTGCAGCACGTTTTCATGCTTTCTCTTCAGCCTCAAAAGCCGTCTTTTCAACGTCCGCGCCGAAGGCTGTCTCGCAACCGGCGGGGACACAATATTCGGCTCTGGCGAAGGCGTGCGCGAGGAGTTTGAAGAATCATGTCCAATCGTTCGTCTTCGGTTACTCGGCGATGAAGGAATGGGGGAGCTCTGAAAATCACATAAGCAAATAAGCTCACCATCCACAATGTCTATATACATACCGAATTACTTCGTCTACGCTGTCGTGGACGCTCGTCGTCCTCCTCTTCACTTTCCTCATCTTCGCGTCCAGACCATGATTTGCGTTTCTTCGAGCTCGTCCCATGATCGCTATCATCCCCACTCTCCGACCCCGACAGGTCGTCTTCATCGTCATCGACTTCGGGCATCTCTTCCAGCGCGTAGTAAGCGTCGCGTTCTTTGGATAGCTCCTCCTGGATATCGCCATCATCAAACACAATAACGCCCCCCTGGCCACTCGTATACGTCCGAGTAATGCCGCCATTTTCTACCCCGCGTGTTTTCCTCCGCGCATTGGCGTCGATCTCATCTAGGGCTTCACGCGCCTGCCACTGGCCGCCAAAGACATTGACCAGATTCCACGGCCGTCGTGCGTCAATCACCCACGCCTCGACCCCGCTGGTCTCGTCACTGTCGTCCTCGGCGTTCGTCAGGCGTAGGATCTCACTCAAGTCCACCAACCCGCCGACCCCAAGACAGACGACGACTCCTCCACTCCCGCCTTCTGTGGTCCGCATCGGACGCACCAATTCCTCCCCAGCACGCGCCAGATCGCCATAACCGGCGACAGGCTGGATTTTATGGGCGATATAGTCGCGCTTCAGCAGCGTGGTCAGGATTCGGCAGGCGCACAGAGCATCGGGCTCGAGGGCGACGAGGATCAGGACAGGCGGCGAAAGGGGGTGGTGGGAGCGGAGGAGCTGGAGGTATAGGTGGGATATGAGGTTCCGAGGGAGATACATGGTGCTATATTAATGCTCGAGCTGGCTGTCGTAGACGCGGGCTTGTGGTGGTATTCCGCCAGAGTCATGGCACACTATACTTGCAGTGTGACGTGACCTGGAAAGAGGACATCCGCTGGTCGAGGGGATTAATTGTGAAATTCAAAACAGACGATTAGGTAACGTAGCTAGCAGAGCGTAATTAGTTGTATTAATTGTATAAGAGACTCGGATGTGGCGAGGAGTGGTGTGCATGTCAGAGCTGTTTTGAAAGATCGATCAATCAATCTAGTCTCGGCGCGGTAGTCGCGTCCAGCTTGGACGTACGTGCCTTCCGTGCCTGACGTGCTGCGGCGGGTCGACCAGTCCACCACATTCCGCTCCTCCTTTCGGCAACATTCATTGCTCACGCTACCGTCCATTGCCTGTTCTTAAACTACATCAACTATTCTCAAACTGTATCAATTGACATTAATATTAACCAACTAACACTAACCACAAGCTACAAGCTACAATCACAGCTTCGGACGCCCCTCTTCAACATCAAACTCCGTCGTACACAGCAAAAACGTATCCCTCAGTGCCTTCACCAGTCAGTTTCACCCATTCAACCAATGCCTAGAAAGTAAGACACACCTTGAGCCGATGCTTCTCATTGATCTGCTGGTAATCCGCTCCCGCCAGCATATCGCAAAAGTGGCGGATAGACGGGTAATGCACAATGGAGATCTCATTCCACCACTCCTGCTCAGGCTGATCATAGCGCGCACGAGAATCGTTCTGCGCAGCGGACGGCGGCTTGACGACGTTGCCGACGAGTTTGGCGTTTCCGCCGCGTTTGCCGGCAACGGGGATGAATGCCTATGAATAGCACGATGTGTGGTCAGTACATCTGTTATCTCTGGGCGGCGGGAATGGTAAGTGGAAGGTCACCTGGCCGTATTGGAAGTAGTTCTTTTTGCCGTCGGGGTGATGGAAATGAAGTAGATTCAGCATCGTCACGGGTTTGTTATGTTCGACGGTCAGTTTGTCCATGAAAGCGAGGAGCTCGGGAGACACTTCGAGGTTCTGCGAGGATTCTTTGCTGCTGCGACGGATCTCGTCTAGAGAGCCTGTTAATGGCGGCGGGGCTTGGTGTTTGAGGTTCGCATCGCGCTCGGGGAAGCTGGTGAGTAGCTTGGACGGGATACCGGCGAGGATGCGGTACTCGGCGCTGATGGCGGATTGGAGGGAGGACGGGATGATGGATGGCTGTTGTTGTTGCTGGGTTGGCTGTAGAAGGAGCATTAGATCCCATCGTTGGGTGAGGAGGGGATTGGTGTCGAGGGTTGTAGGTTGGACTACGACATGGCGGGGACGAGAAGCTACTACGACGTGCACGCCGGGTGAGACTTTGAGCTGGTTGACGAAGACTTTTGCGTCCAAGGTAGGATCGTTGAAAGCGAGGAGGTGGAGTGTCAAGGCAGGCATGATCTATCAATTGGGCTTGTGTATGAGTATAGTCAACGTTGACCAGTTTACAGTTCAATCTGGGAGGTTCCATGGTCTAGGGCTAGGTATGCCGAGGCTATGGTGCGGGGAAGTAAGATCCAACCATAACCGATGCGCTACGATGCGAAGTCCGATTGCAATAATATTAATCCATTAATAGTGTATAATGAATAAGTACAATAGACGTAAAGTCAAGTCTAGCTGGCTAAGCTTTAACACGGATCGGGTGGGCCTCCGTATTGAAGACAAACTTGTTGGAGCCATCGGCCTGGACTTGCCAATCGGCATCTAGTCGTACGTTAGCAGAGAAATGGATATCACGCTTATCGAGAAACTGACCTTCTGCCTGGATCAAGTACGAGTACTTCAGCACCTCGGCAAACAGGAAACTCTCCTGCTCGTTGTCGAAGCCACCACCTCCAGCAATGTTGACATTGTTCAGCCCAGCGTATCCAGAGCCAGTATGGCAGGTAGAATTAATAGCTAGGTAAGCATCCCAAGCCCACTCGCGATACTATCCCAAGTCAGTAAATACTAAATAATCTGAATGGATCAGACCTAACACACCTTCTGGTCACCCGTAATACGATAGGCATAGTAGTAGCTTTCAATGACCTCGGGTCGGAGAACGTAGTCTGCAGCGGTGATGTAGAATCCATATTTATCGTAGAAAGCCTTCTGGTCGGCTGGAACACCGGCCTTGTCCCAAGCAAATACCTCAGGCCCGATCTTGGTAGCAGTCGAGTTGTAAGTCTCGTGCCACGACGCGGTCAAGGCCAGACCATAATCGATGAGATCCTGGCGTTGCAAAGTAGATCCCGCCAACAAGAAGTTGCCGCCAATGAAGCCCGTCAAGTGTTCACTGGTTGAGATAAGGGTGCCGTTGTTCCAGATGTTAACGAAAGTCAAGTCTGGGCGAGGATCCGGGTGCGCAGTCAAGTGGGTGATGGTGGAACTGGCTGCTTCCAGCCAACTGTCACGGTACTGGGTGTACTGGGAGTCATAGACCCAGAATTTGATCAGATACTCGTAGTATGAGTCGTCGCCACCGTTCCAGCTGACATAGTCGTCGGTGAAGTTGCCAGAAGCGATGTCGATGTAACTGCCTACCAAGCCCGGGAAGGGCTGGGTCCATGAGGGCTGCGGGTTCAGAAGATGAGACTCGGCCTTTTGAGCGAGTTGGCCGTATGTCTTGTTGCCCGTCAGGTCAGATAAGCGAGTCCACTCCAGGATCAGCGAACCGGTTGTGGCGAGGCCGTTGGAGGTAGACCCATCATTGCTTCTCGTGTTCAAAAGCAAGTTGTTGTACGGAACGCCAGACGGGGTATCAAAGGCGTAACTCAGCGTGTCAGCCAGACTCGTGGCCTGGGCCAAGATGGTGTCCACCAATTCCTTGTCATCGACCAGATCAGCTGCCGGGCCAGTCAGCAGATCGTAGCCGGATACAAGGCCGCCCAAGTAACGAATCGTAGTCTCGAAAAGACTGATGCTGGTCTCGTTCGTGCGCGTAAAGTCGATCTTGGGAATGTAGTTCAGGATCTGGCTGACAACTTCCTTGTTGCCCATCACAATCGCGGTCGAAAGGGCATCGACCGCAGAAGCACCCCAACCACCACTGGTCATTGTTAGCTGTCACACGCGACACGGGGGTCTAATTGATACCTACAAGTTGTCATCATTGCCGTTGTCCTCCGGGTGCAGCTCGTCGTGCGGAAACGCGTGGTTATAGTAGCCATCCCAAGCAATTTGGAAGGTTTGCTTGACAGCGGCGGCGCGTTCTTCTTGACTGAGAGCAGACGCGACGACGGCTTGGCTGGCAACAGCCAAGGCCGTCATGGACATGGACGAGACACGCATATTGAAAGAACAAAACTATTTACAATAGAGAATAGATTGGGCCCTCAATTCGGGGAGGGGAATAAACATGTAGTTATAGAGGCTAGAACGAGCGAGATCTGCGCAGCAAGTCAAATGACCGACACTAGTTGGATGAGCAGCAGGATCAAAAGAGCAAGAAGAGAATGGCGTGCAGTCCGTCTGTCACTAAGAAGTTAGGAAAACATCGTCGTCGCTCTGGCATGCACTGTTATAGCAGCATGCCTCCTTCCGCGCCCCTGGTTTCCCCCAGCAATGCAACCTTGAACGTGCCAAGGCACTCGCCAAGACGCAGCGCAGGTCCATCGCGTTGACAAGTCGACGCCTCCGTAAGCCACGGCTGTGCTAGCTGAAACCCCGATGTTCCTAATGGCTGGCGGAGAGCTCGAAAGCTGGAGTTTCGGGGAGGAGAGCGCGAGTGATTTGCTGCGCGGATGGAGCTATTCGGGCTGCCGATCACTCCACCGGCTAGCAATAAAAAAGTAATTACTAAAAGCTAAACAAGGAGCCCTAGCCATTCCTAGCTTAACAACAACCAATATTATTAATGGCTGGTCAGGGATCACCGTGGCACTAAGTAATGTCAAGTAATTCTTGATTCGCCTCGATCGCTTGACTGCTGTGTCCCGATCCGCTTCTGAACAATACCACCAATAGTTCAATAGAATATTTCAGTATGTACAGCAGCACCCAAAAAGAGAAACAAGTTGTCGTGCAAACGGCTAATAGAGTGTCTCTGCAGCGATCGACAGGCACGCTGCTCCACCGCACTGCCAATATTATTGTTTGTGTGTGTCAGCGAGGATTCGAGCCTCTTAGTGTCCACAAGCCCTAATCGCTGCATCCCTCACGTTGACGCAAACTGAGCTAGTCCTGTGCCTCTGTCAGCCGAGCAGGCGCCTGACTCGTTCCAACAGTATTCTCCTCTTATTTATTATCGTATTAATAATTAAACATATTTTCTATTCCCTTTTACTATTACTATTTAGTGATGGTGGAATGCTTAATTCTAATTGTCCATGTCGCGTGCTGTGATCAGCAGTGATACGGAAATTAAATATCTAATCCAAGTTATACTTGAGCCCGATTATCATTGGATTTGTTGCGTATCTCTGCGGCTATTTTCTAAACATAACAACGTCAAGTGTTGATATCAACTGATGTTTACGTAGTAGCCCTGATAGCGGCTGGCTACTGATGATACTGTAGCATTGTGCTTCAAAGTGGCTTGATCAGATGAAGCCGCGCGGGGTATATACTATAAACTATATACGCGTACTAACTAGTACCTCAAGAATGATCCATTTAGTCGACATTTAGCGGTGTCTCCGTGCCATCCCCGCACCAATATTTCGGCATATTAAGCAGTAGAATTCCGCTTTGCCTTCTAGATATAGCGATTCCCTGCCTCTACAATGTACATGTATAGTTGTATATATGTCTTACATGTACATTTCTAATTAACTTGTACACTCTGACCAAATTGCACCTGCAAATCCAGATCCTGCCACTCTGTATTCGTAGGAATTTCGAACAACACCTCCCCAACAACACCCCTCCCGGGGACCGCTTGAATCTCGTCTCTCTCCGGAATCTTCAAACTAGCCATGAGCGCGCGCATCGGCTCATTGGACTTCATAGTCCCCGCTTGCAGCCTCTCCAACCCGATTCGACGACTCAACTGAATCAACATTTTCATTGTCAACTTCCCGAGCCCTTGGCCCCGCGCACCAACATTGAACTGCATCCCGATATTCACTCCGCCATTCGGCAGTAAAGAGAGATTCCCACCGCCTACTAGTTCGTCGTCAATCTCGACGCCGATATCGATCCGGTTGAATTGCGTGATTGCGTCAGCATATTTTTGGATTGTGCTGGCTTTGTATTCGTCTATTGCTGCTGGGTCTCGTGCTCTGTCGCGCAGGGTCGCGTCGTGTGGCCGGTTGAGGGGGTCAAAGACCATGGCGAACCATGTATCGAGATCAGAGGCAGGTGTGTTGTGTGTGAATTTCAGGTTACGGCGTTCGGGCATTGTGATGGTCCAGTGGTGGGTGAAGTATTTGGTATGCTCATTGGCTTCGGTGGTGGAAATCATGGTGGTGTGTAGATTAGTGTACGAAATGGTAAGTCGTTCGTTGTAATGCTATTCTGTGGTACATGTGTAGATGTAATTTCAAATGCAGTATCTGATCACTCGCCTTGACCGTACCAGCATAGATACTAGTGATATTGATTATAGACAAGTAGCTGTCATGGCTCATCCCAACAATTTTGCGAATCTCAGACCCACATAGCACAGCTTGGCTACTCAATGTTGGCTCTAAAAGAACCGGATCAAATATAGAAAAAATGAGTGTTTGTATATATCCTGATTTTTTTTTTTTTTTTTTTTTTTTCCTATTCCCTTATCCTATCTAACTAGTAAATTTATAGTATATCTGATTACTATTTTTCAAGTATACCTTATACTATATGGTCGTACCTGTCGGTTCCTAAACAACACCAACTGCTTTGTGTGTTATGACGTTAATTAATATTTCAACCATTACATGCCAATAGCCTTATCATATATATATTAATTATCTACAGAAATACACATTCAGGGATCTCTTATGCATACATATTCTATATACCTTTAAGCATAATTGTAGCTAGACAGTTATTATTAATTGTATCATTCACTATATACGCCACATCAAGTGTGTCTGTATGGTATCGAGAATTGACCCATAGCATAATTTTGAGTAATGAACTCACCACCTCCTAGGTGGCGAGTAATCAAATACCTATGTGATCATGAGCCTTTTGCCGATTTTACTTGGCAAACTGCATCATAGTGTATATTTCTTTCTGACTTTACGAATCATCAATTACGATAGCAGTCAGTTTAGCCATTGGCAATGTATATTTTGGATATTTTTGTCCTGGAAAAGAACAGCTAATTCCATGAAACTCGGCTCAAAGCTTTCTCCGGTATTCTGACACCTAAACCTAGCTAATTAGAATATTATGCAAATCACAACATATATTTTTATGGATACTACTAGTCAGATTGACATAACAGAGCTGAACAGACGACGGCTATAAATAAGAATTCTTCATAGACGTTTGAGGTGTCGAGATGACAGAATGTGAGGTTACTATCCTAGCAAGTGCTTCCGGATCATCATTTGGGCTTTCATTGCTGTATTGTTGAGACCGGTTCAGGATCGGATCGGAGGCGATGTGCACCTGGGAGATGTAGTGACAACTGACGGTGACAGTATGCAATTCTCATCCTTTTCAGTAGGTCCAATCGTGAGTAGCTTTAAATAGCTGTGGGTTATTAAAGCTCAATATAAGTGTGATATCTCATTATAATATAACCAATCTCGTCAGATTAACAATCTCTCTGTTTTTTTATAGGATATCATTTGTAAAAATAAAAATTAGCAGACTACAGGAGAATATCCTCTCAAATCAATCCTTATCGTTTCTAGTTCCCGTTTCTACTTCGTGGGCCTGTAGTAACCCTAGCTGCTTGAATGCCGTTTCTCAATTTGTTGCGCGCTCCCAAAACAGGCAGGCACGGGAACCCAGAAACTGTTATGCAATCATTGCCTTATAGATATTATTATATAATATCATGCAATAGCTGCAAGCAAAGATCAATTGTTATAATACTCGGATATTAAAAATGACTTTCATAGCAATATTTTAATGCATTTAACTAAAATCGTTTGATATATAGCAGTAAAAGAAATGTTTTTAAATCTTATCATATTTCTTAACTATATAGATATACACCTTCCTAATTAAGTGTTAATAGGGTAGAGCGTTGTCTAGCATCAATTGATCAAATATCAACCAAGTGCGGTTTTTACTTCAAATGTTGTTTTTTCATACGCTTGTGTAGCTTCCGTGGACTTCCTCCTATGCCCTTTTTGCAGAAGTATATAATAGATATATTTCTACCTATTACTCCACTTAACACACTGCTGACCCCTAGAAATTCTTAAGAATAGCTCAAGAAGAGATTTAAGCAGATAAAACAGGCCTATATAAGCATATATTAGATATGTTTCTATTTAATACTCTACTCAACCTTAAAACATTATTAGAAATCCGGTATACCCTCAGAAATATACTCGGATAAACAAGACATAAGGGTAGTAAAATAGATTAATATATGTTATAAATAACTTCTATTACTGAATACCCAAAGGGAGCTATTTATCTACTATACATGATGATAGGCCAGTAGTGAGGGGTGGCTCATGCCACCCCAGGTCAGTAGAAGCATTAACACAGTAATATTAATAGATTATATAACCGATTACTGATGATTGCAATCGGTATCCGGGATCCACAGTTTTCCCATTGCAGCGCGGGCCGGCCAACCACACCGTATATCCGGGAACCCTGATCAAGTAATAGTAATTAGTGGCAAACCCTCAGGTGATAAATCTATAACTATAAATGCCGAGTATTCTCTCTTCTTGACGATGAGCACCTTGGCTTTAGCAGACTACTCGCAGTATCAGAGGATCGTTCACGAACATTATTTTAAACTGCAAACGCCCCCTCCTTACAGATTAATCATGTTTTCTGCAGCGACAACTATGAAAGCTCTCCGTCTGACGCGAGAGCCAGAGGGACTTACTCCAGCAATCTCTTTAACAACTCTCCCAATCCCTAAAGCTATTCCAGGATACGCGGTCGTCCGGATCCACTATTCCGCAATTAACCCTTCGGACCGACTGAACTCCAAGGGGCTTTTTCCGCACACAACGTTCCCCATAATCCCTGGTCGCGATTTTTCGGGGGTCGTTGTAGCTGGCTCCCCTAATAAAATCGGAATGGAAGTGTACGGGACGAGCGGAGGGACGCTGGGGTTCTCAGTTGATGGCCCTCATGCTGAGTACTGTCTCTTACCCGAAAACGGTTTGGTCAGGAAACCAAAACAGCTCTCATTTCTCCAGGCCGCAACTGTCGGTGTTCCATATACTGCGGCATTTCTATGCTTAAGAAGAGCACGCATGACTGAAAATGATGTCGTGCTAGTACTTGGAGCCACAGGAGCCGTGGGATCAGCTGCAGTTCAGCTATCGAAGGCTCTGAAATGCAAACAAGTCATCAGCGCTTTCAGGGGCGTGGACGCAGACATAGATCTGACCGCTGATCCCAATCTGACAACCGTCCAAAAATTGACAAACGGAAAAGGTGTCGACGTTGTAGTTGACACCGTCGGAAATCTTGATTTAATGAAGTCGGCTGTCAATCAACTTGCTCACCGCGGCCGATATACGTGGATCTCTGCCCCGCGCAATGGTGCCAGCACTGAACTCAATTTTGACGTGTTTCAAGGCTATCGCCAAGAAATTGAGCTAATTGGTTGCAATACTGCTAGCTATACATTTGAAGACGTGGCAACAGATCTCACCAAATTGGGAGAGTTGTTTGACAAAGGTGAGATGACAGCTAAGGCTGACGGTGATTTTGACACAATCTCCCTGGAAGAAGCCGTGGAGAAAGGATATAAGAGCAATAATTCCCAGAAACACCAGAAACAAATTGTCATCCATATAGGGCCGGAACATTGAAATGTGCTCGGATGAATGTATTTTACCTTCCTCGTCTTATTTTGGTCAGCTAGAATGCAGACAAATACACACTATGGAACTGATTCCTCTTTAGGTTTAGAACTGTATTAAGTGTAAATAATTTTTATTATAATAATGATAAAAAGTATAAGTAATTATTTGCATAGGCTTTACACAAGTCATGCTAGAGTCTTACCGAAGCCCCTCTACCCCACTAACTCTCCCTCCTAAGATCCTCATAGACCACCGTAAAAAATCATTCAAAAGAACCCTGATCCTCTCTAACCTTATTATTAAGGCTTATGCATTACTTTAGTAAGACATAACTAAAATTAAATTACGGTATTTAAATGTATTAGTTATCTAAAAATTACTAAATTTGCTTATTTAATTCTGGCGCCCACTAAATTTTAGTTTCTCCCAACCAACATTAACACCAGTAATTAACAGTCGTTTTTCAAACCCAAAAGCGAATTCTCCAATCATCAATCACCACTTGAACATTGAACTCATCAACTTACTCAAGATTTCATCAGGCTAAGACCCGGTAAAATATGGAAAACAATGTTTTCAGAGCAACTCAATCTTGTCGTCATGTCGAGGTTGAGATACAGGTCACCATTGGCAATGAATTCCGGAGAGAGATCGAAATCAAGAACCAACAGGCCGACTCGGCCGCCGTTGGCTAGGTTGTTAGGAGCTATGGATAAAGACGGACTTCCCCTGCCTTCTTGTGTTGCTTCCCCTTCTCACTTGCCGTGAACGGTCATCTTTTATCATGCCGAACCTCCCGCCTCGTTCTAGGCTGGGCCCTGTCCTCTTGACTGGGGGCAACGGCTTTGTAGCCTACCATATTATCGCAAAAATCCTTGCTGAGGAGCCCGACTGCAGCATCCACTCCCTGGACGTGAATATTAACCGTAACCGCCATCCCAATGCGAATGTCCACTACCACCGCGCCGATCTCGCCTCTGCGGCGGACGTGGAGCGGGTGATGCAGATTGCACGTCCCGTCACCATCTTCCACACTGCGTCGCCGGAATTCTCCAACGCACCAGTGTCCGCTTACCATCATATCATCGTTGATGGCACCCAGCACCTCCTCAATGCCGCTGTCAAAGTTGGCACCGTGCGAGCCTTAGTCAATACATCAACCCCTGGAGTCATCAACGATAATCACTCAGATCTGATCGACGCCACGGAGGAGATGCCAATCTTACGGCCCCCGCAGCAGCAGCGGATTTACTGTCTTGCCAAGGCTGATGCTGAGGAGGCCATCCAAGCTGCCAATCGTAACAGCGGTCACGACGACCAGGGCGTGCTGACCTGCTCGATACGCCCTGGCCTTGTATTCGGCGAGCACGATGTTGGCGCCTTGGGCAAGATGGTCGCGGTCGCCCGTCAAGGCCGGTCACGGTTCCAGATGGGCAATGGGCAGAACCCATACGACTTCGTATATGTCGGCAATCTTGCAGATGCGCACTTGCTGGCTGCCCACGCCCTGCTCGACGCCTGGGGCCAGCCTCGTCCCACGGACCCGACCGTCCGTGTGGACGGCGAATGCTTCAACGTCAGCAATGATGACCCCTGGTTCTTCTGGGACTTCCAACGCGCAGTTGCCTCTGAGACGGGCAATCCCGTGCGCCCCGAGGATATCGTGGTCATTCCAAAGTGGCTGGGACTGACAATGGGGTTTGTGAGTGAGTGGGTGGTGTGGGCGATATCGGGTGGCACTCGGACTCCTAGTATGACTCGTGAGGGCATTCGCTTTAGTACCCTCATCCGCACGCTCAATATCAACAAGGCCAAACGGGTGCTCGGGTATCGTCCGAAGGTGAGCATGCAGGAAGGCATCCAGCGCAGTGTGCGTTGGTTCATGGAACAGCCCCAGGAAAGTACATAGGAGAATGTTCGATCTGCTCTCTATCGAGCTCTGCATTATCTGCCCTCAGTCCCCCCCCACACAGGAGGCTGAAAGTGGGAGACTGCAAGGCCATATTTCGTGAAACTCTTTGATATTATTTACAATTTGGGCGATATGGGATGAGTTAATTTCTATGAAACCTGCTTGGTTAAATCTCTTCTGCCATGCAGTTTCTCATGTTAATCTTGTTTCCTATAGAATCCTAGCATCTTCGGAGCTACGAAAGAATGAAAGATATTAGCTTTATAACTGTAAGCTGGCTGAGTGGGCCATTCAGATTACTTTAAGGGTTGGACTTTGTAAATAGACCAAAAAGATCTCAATTCAACTACCGTGATTGAGTCCAAGAACAATACTAGACTTCCAGGTTCATATGCTCCCACCTTCTTATCACTGTAGGGGAAAGGAGTTGTAGAGGCATCTAGCTTTCATCATACAATCAGTATCATCAAATATCAGAATACTAATATACAACGTTGACTAAGTATTAAACCTTGATGGTAAAGTACTCAGTTGATGTGATCGCCAAAATTTTGAAGCTTCCAGGCCAGGGAGACTTGAAGTAGCATGCTTTTCACTAGTCCTGACAGATATGATCATAGTTTAAATTAGAATTACAGACCAACATAATAAACGATCCTAGTGTCAATTCTAGTGTTAATATTATACATACTTTCATGACTCATCAAATCATATACGGACAGCATGGACGATTTCTATGGTTTACCAAATTTCCTTCCTTGTGCCTTGTTATGCAAAGCCCTGAGATATCTCGGACTAAGCGGTAGATCCTTTACGATACTCGCCGCAAGTTCCTCGGCGAGTTCTTTATACCCCCTATCAACAGGTTTCCGGAATGCCAGTGCTGGCCAAATAAACCGAGACTCTCCTTCCTGAGGAGCACCACGATGCACCATGTCGACCTCGGTGGCTCCTGCATGATCGACGAATGTAACAAAGCGCCTTGACCTGAGTCTTCGCATGCCAAGAATGTAGCCCTTCTTCGATAGGAATTCTGCGTCGAGCTCAAGTTCAACTAGGCCATCGCAAGCACGGAGCAACCCCCACAGTGGCTCTACGTCTTTCCAGTTTAGCATCTTCTCAACAACCTCTGATGGGGGAGGGTCATAGTCGTGATGTGCCATGAGCGAGATACGAGTAAGCAAATCCCGTGCCTCTGGCCTGATATTAAGCAAAAACCCCTTCAGAAGCGATGGGTTTTCAAACGCAAAATGATTCTCTGTCCAAAAGATATACGAGGCTTCTTTATAAACCCGTCGATTGATCAGCATAACCTGCAAATTCAGTCGCCGGGTACACAGACACGGCAGAGTCTCCATAGATGGTCGATCGATATTCCCGAATTTGCGATGCCAGCAAAGATCACAGAGGAATTCGTTCGGCAGCGTTTGCGAGCCCCATTTACTACGTATTGGCGAGACGTAGACCGGCTTGACCGAGTGCCGCCAATCAGTGTAGTAGAAGTAAGTACATTCGGCACATCGGTATGAGTTTTGTGTCATTTCGTCTTCGAAACGCGGTCCAGGCCCGTCTCCCACTACCAGTTTTCGGCATCCCTCGCCGTGGAACATGTCGAATTTGCAGGGCTGTACTAGGAGCATTCGGTATACCCGATTGCGGATTTCGCCTGGTAGGCAGAGGAATCTGATAATGCGGTTAAAATTGGTGTAATACGTCGAAATATTTTCAAGCCTACCTGTCGAAAAGCGTCGCTTCTTTTTCTGTATTTTGTGGTTGGTCTTCGGGTTGCACTGCTCGGTTCTGATGCTTTAACCTAGCTTTTTTGACACCCTTTGGCCTTGTGCGTGCGGGATGGGGAGAGAAGGGGGATAGTGTTGATGCCCCCGACATTGTGTTAGAAGAATATGATGCTTGTTTATACGTGTAAGGCATGAAGAGAAGAATATCAAAAATAGCTGTAATCAAATGAATTGACAATTGAGAAATCCAAGTCAACGCCTTAACACCGGCATATAAATGCAAATAATGCTGGTTTATCCAAATCGATACCTCAAAACATAAACATCATAATGCTCTCTGGAAGCATGCCGGTTTATAAGTGCTCATCCCCAATCTGGCGACGAATATTCCTCGCCTTCATACGGGAACCTAAACAGGCAAAAATGGATGGTCATTTTGACTCATAGCTAAGCCCTCACTGAGCGAGCTGTTAGCAGAGCAAGAACAGCAGGAACATGGTGGCTGAGCAAGATTTGGAGAGAGGAGAGTAATAGATGCAGGGGCGCTGATTGGCCCGGGGCGATGACTCATTCTTCTTAATTTGTTCATACTCCTCTAGCGCTCAACTGTGCCAGTCTCACTTATGACAGCCCTCCCTAGATCACAGCGATAGTAGATTATCCTACATCCGAAGATAAACAAATTCCCAACAGGTCCTCACTTCGTGGTAGAATATGTGGTATAGCCAGATTTGGATCCAGAACCAGTTACGAATTATTAAATAATAATTCTCAATATTATGTGGAGAGTAAGCGGTAGTCTCCGCTGCGCCACAAGGATTGTGACCCACCCTATAGTGATGTTTGTGGGATATTAAAAAAGTTCAATAAACTTCAAGCAATGCTTGATTTATCACAACTTATGAATAAAGTAATTTATATGAAAAATTAAAGAGGAGACGAGCCATGCCCCCGGGAGTCACTCGGGGCCCACTAGGTTAAAAGCCAGCGCCGAAGAGGAGGCTCAGGGGAGCTTCGGTGATAGCTCTAGGCGGTCTCTCATCGACTGGCAAGGCCCGCACGTTGGTTTTCAGGAGGTTGGACTGGGGTGGCGCTAACCCCATGAGACCCCCGAAGAGCCCTGCCCAGATAAAGAGGCACTTGAACGTTTTGGGACCGGCACGGGAAATTAGGGGCTTCTACCCCTAAAGGCGCCGCTACTCCACTAGAATGAGACCTTTTGGGCTTAAAGCTTGGTAAGGTCTCTAAATTGTTTTAAGAAAGATAGGTAAATAAAAGTCCGGCGCTCTCCGCTAAGCTTTGGGGGCTGTTGGAAAGTTCAGAATAAGTAGTAGATATTCTAGCATCTGAATTTATGTTTTCCCTAGTACACACCTAGTTGCGAGAGCAAGCAATCAGCCTCATCTTTCACATCATTCATACTCGGGTATTCGCCATGCCAACACTTCTTGATTATTTTCCCTATAGAAAATCATCAACGTCTGAAAATGAGCCCTGTTCAGGCCAACAGAGGCCGGGATTCTCGAGGCTAAAGAAATAGTATTTCTAGACATACTATAATGTAATAGAATAAAGAAGCTAACTAAGATGAAGTATCTCAATCCAAACATTCAAGTCATTTTCATTTGCAGAAGTGATGTCGATATCAGATAGTAATAAAATAGATTGTCTGAAATCTGTAAGTTTAAGTTACTTATCTAGAATTAAGATATTGCATAGAGTAATATCATCTATAAATACCTTATCAGAGTGGACATGTGCTTTTGAAAAGTATTAATAAAGCTCGACATCTAGCTGGTTTTTAAAGAATCCTCGGGCTCTGAATAAACATCTAGATATGACTCAAGATCTCCTTATGCAAGGGCTAGCTCAATGCCATACTGGGATGTTCAAAAGAAAGGAATAATCCCTTCAAAGCTGCCCAGGCGTTCAAAGATTTGAATCTCATTCTCCAGGGTTTGCTGGTTTATTTTGTTTATATATCGACATCACTCTCTTGGAGGTGCCCAGGTTCATATTGTTTAGCTTTCTTGACAGCACGGCCTTCCCCCATTTTCAGAATAACCCCAAATCATACCATTCCCAATTACTGGGAGACCAAGATAAGGATCATGGGGAAACGGAAAAGGTTAAGAACTGTAAGATTGTCTAAGCACATCCGCCGGCTCTATGTTGTCCATTTGAGATTGAATAAGTGATTCTGTCCGTCTGTTCGAGAAGGCTGAGCATTAAGAGATAATTCGGATCCTGTTATATTTGTCTGAAGGGGGCGAGTGTTTATGAGCTGTAATCTTGCAATATTCCAAACGAATTTCTTAGCAAGAGAAACAGAAAACACAACCAAGCTTACCTTTGACTGGTGCGACTCATTGGTTGCAAAAGGCCAATTATATCGTACAGCCAGGAGAATATCATGTTCGTTACTGGCGAGAGGAAGAATGTACAGGGAGATGGTAGGAGAAACGGTGGAAGAACTTCGAGGCAGAATGAATATAGTAACATCAGTTTGCTGCCAAAATATTTATCACTGAAACGCTGTTGGCGGCAAGTCGTCTGCACCAATGGTATTTCGGTTTGAGAACTAACCATGCCGCACTAGTGATCTGCCCGAAAGGTCAATCTATTTTTGAGGCGCCACTGCCTGGCCATGCTTACTCTTACGCCGACAAAGCAATGCAATAGAGCGTTACTGGGTGGAACCGAAGCAGGGTTATAAACGCCAATATTTGATAGGTTGTAACTCAACCAACGCATTGCCAATGCCTTTGCACAGGCACAATATTGCTCGAACCACTATTTTCAGGACTTGATTACTGGTGCATGGAAGCAAATTTATTCGCTAACTTCGCGCCAATCCAATGAGACCTTTGGCCAGGACGAAACACTGCGACAACGCGCGCGCGAATAGGCATCAACCTATCATCGCGCTGACATCCCATTTCCTGTGATGATCGAGCAAATAGTCCAATAACCCTAGTCTTATTACACTAAGCATGAAGAGAGAAACTAGAAAACAGCAAGCTGCCTTGGTGTTTGTGCTCCATTCCCGCATATAATCTTCTGAGGAGTAAGGCTTCGTAAGTTCTATCTGTGCTGTGTGTAGCGATGAACCAAAAATAGTCATATAATGATTAAGCGCTGGCTGCGGGCAAGGTTGCTAATGAGCTCTCTTCCCGATTTTACTCAGGAGTGGGTGATTAACGTCGAGATAGCACAACTTGAGTCCATTTCACTGTAGCTTCCTACTGTTACGGAACAGTGAAAGGGTCTATGGAAGAAGATGCGGGACCTGCACTGGGGATGTGAATATTTAGTTTTGAATGCGTTGCAATTCTCTTTTATTTATTTTATCTTCAAACAAATACCTATGGAACTTAATTTCTCTGCTTAGGGACTTTCAATCATCTTTTTTGCTCCCCTAATATCATAGGGATTATCTCGGTCTCCAATTATTTTCTTTTTGTTGTCCTACGGTTGTAGTTTTCATTCACATGAACATTACCAAGCCTCCTCCCGCCGCACTTCGCCAGCGCTTTTTGTCACTCAATCGTTCCTGTCTATCGACCGGTCAACTTGTCGCCAAGTTCTCATACCAATGGCCAAGTAGTTAGAGTAATCAAACCGAGGTCGATCTATGTCACGACCATACTCGTGTTTCTTTATCCTCGGTCATATTTGTATAGTGGCATCACAACGCGTGGAAACTCCGCTCACTTCAATTTGGGTAAGCGTCCGTTGAGGATGAGTCTAATATTCAAGAATGTACTAGTTCGTGTGGGTGAATAATAAAAATTTGTAATTATATAACGTAGGGTTTAGATGGAAGAAGGACCTAGCCGCGGGAATACACATGGACCAATATCACTGCTGAAGGATACATAGAGCTATTGTTAAGTGAGATATGTGTCATGCAGATCTTTCTGGCTTCCCCACTCCCCGCTAAAGCTAAAATCCGCCTCAAAATTGGGGTAAACCACCACTAGTTCACAGCTCTCGCGCCTCTCAAGGGTCTCTTGGCGCAGAATGACTGTAATAAAACGAAAACGTCATGCATGTAGGCATATTCTGACTAGAATTCATTATGTGCCAACTGCAGCCACCGAGGTAGCGATGCTTCTGATAACCTTTTCATCACCCATGTGAAATCTATATCAAACTTATCCCATTTGATTCTTTCTTGAATACACGCCCTGAAGAAACTATAAAACCTGCTCTAGGTCAAGTATAGGAAAGAAGAGGTTATCAAGGTTTACTTCCTAACAGCGTCAGATTCGTTGCATTATTCGTTCTTGTTTTACTTGCTGATATCTCCTGTCAAAATACGCTTTCCATTTGATTACTCGGTTGTCCAGTATGAAGTGGCTCACTCAGTTGTTTGTTGGCCTTACCTTGGGATGTGTTATCCATACATCGGCTCACCCTTCCCCCAATGCCAAGCGTGATCTCGCCTCCATCCAGGGCGTCCTTACCGACATCGGCACTCAAGTGACCAGCCTAGATACTTCCATCACCGCTAGCAACCCCGACCCATCTGCCATCGTCGCAGGCTCCACTAAACTGGTATCAACTATCAACTCTGGAGTCACTACTGTCCAAGCATCTGCGGTCCTAAGTGACGCTGACGCTCTGGGCCTTGTTGGACCAGTCCAGACCCTCTCTGGTAACGTCAACCATACTATTACGGATCTTATTTCAATCAAGAGCAAGGTTGTATCGCTAGGTTACGGATGCACCACTCTCAGCCAACTCCAAGATCAATTGAAAGCGTCCAACTCTCTGTCCGATGCAATTGTGTCAAAAGTCCCAGCAGAACTGCAATCTATTGCGAAGTCCCTCGCTGCCGGTATTTCAAGTGCCATACAGAATGGTGTTAATTCCTACAGCGATACATGTACATCTTCCAGTTCAGCCTCCTTGCCAGGACCCACTGGCTCGCGTCGCCAGGTTCGAAAGGATACAAGAGCATTGGCTGTCGAGAAGGTATTCTAATCGATACTGCCGCTTCAACGGCCTGTTAGTGCGCTCGTGTGGGTCACCTTACGTGTACACTACGTCCACTCGTTTGTCCATATCATGATAGTGAAAGTTTAGTTGATAGGATATTCCTGGCTCTATTTCTATGTTGCTCTACCGTGTGAACGGGGCGGGCAAACTATTGCAGATACATATTATTCGTCTCTCTATATTAGCTACCTAACCCCATTACATTGTTTTTGCCGTTTACTTCTAAAATTATGTCTGCATATTCGTAGCTGAACTTGAGAGAAAGTTTCAACCTATTATAGGAGGCGCAAAAGTTGTTATATGCTAAACTTTTAGTTATATTATGTTTCATTTTTCACCGATTTCCGTAAGTGGTGATAGAATTACATGTTGTATACAATGAACAGAGGATATATAGCGGTATTGTAATGTATCAATGTATTTGAGATTGATGGAATGTATTCATTTGGTGAAAGAAAAGAAAAGGTTTATTGATGTCTATTGATGTCTATTAGAATGATGATGCTGACCGCGGTATTCTTTTATGTTGCAGCTTTTATGGGTTCAGACCTGCGCTTGTTCTGCTTCGTTGTACCTGTTGGAGTGCTTAGTACCCCTGTTCAGGTGGTTCTTGCTGCGTTACTGTGGTATATCCATTATCATTTCGATCCGTTGCTAGCGGCTGTCGCAATGGGATTTAGTGTTCCTTACTATCTCTTAGGTATTCCTCGGCTTTGTCAGCTTAGAGTTGAGACTAATATCTCGGTCTCAGAATAATTAAATAAGAGCCGGTGTCTCTGATGTGCTGTTAGAAACCTTAGCTGAACTGCGGGGTCATGCCGAGTATCCCAGGTGCGCCATACATATGGCCCTGCTGTGGTATAGATCCTGGAGAATTAAACTCTCTTGCTATAAGAAGAAGATCATATATATAGTGGCAATTGCCTTAGGAGGCAATTGTGGGGAAAATCTCCCTCTGGGGCGCATAGCCCCTATTCCTTATTGGTGACTAGCTTGGTTCTACGATATTGGAGTGGTCCATGTGAAAGGAGGATTCACCGAGATGAGAGCATCAGATTGAAGTGGCACAGTCACGTCAATTGCTGGAGATTGTTCCTCATCAATCAATAGGACAATGGCAGAGAAAATTAAATCATAGACGTAACGGTAGATCTGTCTCCATGTAGCGAAGGTCCCAATCAACTAAGAAATTTTGGTTTGTTCCCGATGGTTAAAGTTATCCTTAGGGTGAGAACAAATGATACTTGGAACTGACGCTAGTTAAGTCTTTAATTGGTATAAATTATTGCCCAATCTCCTGAGGGGTATCGTTGTTCTTGATGGTTTATAATTAGGTCGTAGTCGTAGACACACTGGGATGGATGCGACCAGATCGCCGCAATGGCAATAGCGACACAAAACCAATCATGTCTCCTTCCTCCTATATGGCCCACCTTCACAGGGTAGTATAGCGCTATACCAAACACCAATACTGTCGATTTATGTGTAGACCTCTTCGTCAATCCAGTAGGTTTGTGACCAAGTAAGAGTGGTTCAAGTAGTTGCTATGATAATGTTTGTGGAATGCTGATATGAAGCTGTCAATGATAATTTTCTCGTTACAGTAGGCAAGACTTGCTATCAAATTTCACCGTTGAGGGAAATACAGAAACAGTGCAAATGAATTGCGAGCAGGGGGTACATAGCTAGCCAAAAATCGGCCTCGCTCAGTTGGGTAGCCCTGGTTGAACATCAACAATTAAATAAAATGATAGGGTACAACCGGCTGTTTGCAAATCTCCTACTGAACTTCTTCCGAGGCTTGCCCCCTAGCATAGACTAATATTGGGCATGTGTTCTCTGATCCGCGGGCGTAGCATCCAGTCAGCCTCGAGATCAACGCCATAGCCTGCCCCTGCATAATTCCATGACCCAAAAAATACCTCGGCTGCAGTGAAAGCGCACGGAAAGGAGGCGAATGAAGATCCTAGGAAAGTCGTTATTAAGGTGGCTCTCTTCCTGGACAGACCTCCATCAAAGTTAAGTTTCTTCATCGTCTTGTACTTTAGGAAAGAATTGCAACCTGCCACTTGCTATTTGCCTCTAACCTCACGCTCGTTAAAGCAAGGAACAAACTTTTGTTCTGACTCTGTGACAATGAAGTTCACAGCTGCTGTTATCACGCTTGGCCTTGCCACCCCGATCCTAGCCACCCCAACTCTTGTGGAACGAACCCCCTCGCTGGTGCGACGCGACCTGACCGCATTCACCTCGGTTCTCGCCTCCATTGACACCGCTGTCAAGAAATTCGGCTCGGATGTCACGTCCTACTCGGGCGGTGTCCCAACCAATTTGCTCACAGACTCCAACGACATCGTTAGTGTTACAAACAATGGCGTGACAACTCTTAAAAGCCAGTCCCAGCTCTCTGAAACCGATGCCCTGGGGCTCACTGAGCCTGTACAGGGCCTGACTAGCGACATTCAATCCGCGATCAATACCCTGATTTCCAAGAAATCCACCCTTGTCTCTGCCGGTGTCGGTGGTATCGTTGAGCAATCTCTTCAGACTCAACTGAGCGGCGCGAAGCAGCTTTCTTCTGTTATTACGAGCAAGGTTCCCGCCTCCCTCCAAAGTATCGCGTCCCAGCTATCTAGTGGTATCACCGCTGCCATCCAGAAAGGTGTCGATGCTTTCCAGGGAACTGGAACTGGTACCGCTACTTCCACTGGCGGTGGGAACACCTCTCCTGCCACTTCCGTTCCTGCTACTTCCGTTGCTGGTACTTCCACTTCCGTCAGTGGTGGCTCTGCTCCATCTGGCTCCAGCTCTACAGCTCCTACTCCTACCAGCTCATCTGGTTCCAGCTCTCCTAGTGGCGTTGTTCCTGGCGGTGGCAGTGGCTCTTCCACAAGTACCATCCCTGCCTTCACTGGGGCAGCCTCCTCTCACAGAGTCGGCAGCGTCGCCAGCTTGGCCGCTACCCTTTTTGCCCTTCTTCCCTTGCTCTGAAGCTCAACTGGGAGATCGGCTCCTGAGGAGCAAACTATAATCTTCATCTCTTTCCGTCCACCTCAGGGTTGAGAGCTTTGGGGAGCTGTACAGCAAGAGTCGGAATTTATGGGTACGAACAAGGGGTAGCTATACATTCATTCTTTACTTCATATTCGACTTATATAAAAATTAAATACGACGCTAAATCGGTTAGCATTATGTCGCTTTATACTTCTTTGATTAGCGGATGTGTACGTCCCTAAGATATTAAAAATCACTTTTAATAATTATTACATGGAGATTGAATTCAGTACTATTTGACTGGCTGAGGTGTGTTATATGAAGCTGCAGTACCACCTAATTGTAGATTCTAAGTAGCTTAAATTCTGTCATGTATATTCAGATAGGCTCATAGTCCTTATATGCGTCATTTTTCTATAACATCCCTCTGCGGGGTACTCTTGTTATAATCTAAGGGATGTATGCATTCTGGTTATATGTGGAAGATTGTTCTATCGTACATGAGAGGGACCTAGGGCTCATATATATAGCCAAAGGTATACATAGCACATCTATCTATAGCTTAAATGGTTTCACTATGGTGAAAGCCCTTAGATCATGACAACTCTAGCTCCACAAAACACCCTCAATTGTAAGCTTGCCAGAGCATGGGTCGCAGACAGGTTGTATTTCATGCAGTTGTACGTCGCATCGGGATAGCATCAAAATAGAGAATGCTTACTTTAGATAAGATAAAAATTACGATTAAAACTTCCGAGAATTCGAGTCAGTCATTAATTACCAGAGCGGTCTGCTTTTATCATTCTGTCGGGATATACGGGGAAGAAGAAATGTCGAGGAAATTCGAAGTACGGTTAACCTATCAAGCAATTTTCCCGAGGATTTCTATAACGATTGTCATGGTAAACACTGAAGTTTAGAAATGACATTTCAATTTACGCTAAGCTTGAAAATTCCCATCTCTAACATACATCATCGCACACAATTATTTTCTAGTTTTTTCTCCCTCCCCTATCTGTCTTAGTATTCTCGTGTCAAGCTTCCTAGATAGGGGAATCCATATTGATTTATTGAATCCTGACTTCTAAATTGGGCCATCTTCACACTATTTAACTCGTGCAGTAGATGGGTTTTTCTAGAACAAGTTAGATTATATGCATAACGCATTGCGCATCAATATGCCTGGAAGGAGTCTGTTTCCTTTGAGATATACAAATGCCAGATCCTCTGTCCTTCTCTTCGAAAAGGCAAAGTAGTGTGACTCTGGTGACTGTGGTAAGCCCGGACGGAAAATGTCTCCTGACTGAACTGGCGCGAGTGTGCTGTTCGATTGGAATACTTCATTTAAACCATTGATATGTTCGTGATATCATGTGGATGCGAGGCCAAACTTTTCAAGATTCTGACTACCAGCCCACTCAGAACAATGATCTACTCCTTTCATCAGAACCATCATCATCATTCCTAAGTCCTCGATATCTGACGGCTTCGCGTCGGTAATATCCGAATCCCAGTTGCAAAAATGAACGGGAAGCGGGGACTTCTCCTCCAAGGCAGATTTCCAGTAATACATTGATGGTGCCTCCCAGAGCGCCTTCTGCGCATAGAACGATAGATCCTGGAACTCGTGGTGAGAATCATCCCACCCGTTCTTGAGAAAACAGTAAAGCCCTTGCAATGCATAACTACATATGACAGTCCTCCGCAGGCTTTCTGCAAATATCCAAGTCTCCCATGAATCGACTGTTACGGCCACTGTGGAGCTCACGATATACCTTGACACGGTGTCAATGCGCTGAGTACGGTGTTTTAGCTGTTTAGTCCAATCTCTGAGTGTCAAGTCATCTCTTTCTGCATCGGCCCGTTGGCGAATGTCGCCGTCAAAAAGTCGAATTATCTGGTAGAGAATCAAAGCTTGAATGGAAGCAAGATGTTGTATCGCAGACATTCCGACTGGCGTGTAATTATCAATCAGGTTTTTCACCTTGTAGCTAATCGTTCGAAATATGAGATTCTGGTTACTCTCATTCTTCTGATTGTAGAGGGAACAGATACCAAGTACATCCTGTATGGCATCTGGAAGATTTTCTGTATACAATCGTTTGTTTATGAAGGGCGTCTGACACTGACGAACAAAAAGACCTGGGTATGACTTCATCCTCTTGATTGAGAATACAATCCGCTCCTGGTATATCTCGCCTGCAAGCACACTTCTTGTTGGTGAATCATTGATTGTTATATGGTCAGGAACTGAGAAACTCTCTAAATGCCCCATCACATCTGACCAATCGAGGTCTGGATCGGGAAATGGTGGGAGTGAGAGTTCTACCTGAGGGTTATCGAGGCTGGTATTAACATCATTCATCATCTGGTCCAGATTGCTACTGTCCGCAAATAACTCATTTACATCAACAGTGACTGGAGTATATCCTTGAAGATCTTCGGACATCAGATCCGTCCTTTGTTTTGATTGCGAAGAGAGAGGTGCATTTTGATAATGGCATTCCAAAGATCGAACTTTGCAGCGGTAACAGGGAGTAGCCTGATCACACCGCCTTTTAGACTTGACGCAATGAACGCATGCCTTTCGATATGGCGCCGGCATAATTTTCACAGGATGCCCAGCAGGGAAATACTGCAGCTAAGACGACTCGATAGCTGATGATGGCTTGGATAAGTCCTAGGTGATCGCGAATCTCATACAAGTTAGCGTACGCGTGATCACGCTAAAGCCAATGGAGTCGTGGGCGGGGCTAACCGAGCAGTAACTGATAGGGATGGGCTTATCATTATTTATTATTTAATCAATTTATACGACCTTGCCTAGCTTTACGTTATGAAGGTCTTGTTTTAGTGGGCGCTAGGGAGTCTTATAGGGGCCTAACCCCCTATTTCCCTCGCAGCCTGCCTCAAATAAGCCTTTCGTGATTTTTACAACTGAAGCGCAGGTCACCGACAAAGAATCGGAATTAAGTTTTGAAGATAAAAGGAAGGATATCTTGGAGTCGACGCAGGACTAATGGATTGAATGTTCCTTCTCTAGTTATAATTTTTCTTCTCTTTCCATGCTTTCATATTTTATCATGATTTGGGGCTGGGATATATTTCGTAGGATACGATGCCATTGATTAATGTTTTCGTGGATGGAAGCTAGGAATTGCAAGCTTTTGGCTTTATGCTCTTTACGATTGCACAATCTACTTTTTGACGCATAACCTACGCATAGCATTTATCGGTAGGACGACAAGCAACTTTTTGCTTAATCAACCTCAATGTTTTCATCTCAGCCTATATATATCGATTGATGTTTGCGTAGGGAGTACTGATACGTGTTAAAAGGGTACATGTGTCGCAAAAGATTAGAAAGGCCTGCTATTAGCCCTAGCGTATAAGTCATAAATAGATTCAGACTAAAGCCCCGATGAGGCCAACTACACTGCCCGCCAATGGCAACAAACCCCGGATTCCGTTCAACGTCACCCACCTTTCCAACAGACTTGCACTCTGGACGTCGGCATTCCTCGAAGACTCCTCTGATGATGCAGCAAGTTTCCTAAGAGCGGTGTTCGTACTGTTCATTAAAATGAGCGTGAAGGGTACAATGCTCAAAGTCAGGAGCGCTGCTGCGAAGTAAAATCTTGCGCAACTAGATCTGGCTTGTCGGAAAAATGGTCCCCCTGAACGAGTAGCCCATGCCAGGTATAAGAAGGAGGAGGTTATCAGAATGGCGATCGGTGGGTTCTGAGCTTTCCCTGTGTCATAAATACTGTTCCACTGTTTGGCGACTAGGTTGAGGGTAGCGCCGTGCTCTCGACCAGAATGAGCAAGTCTCGGAATAGCATTCATGCTCAGAACAGAAATATTACCTGTATATATATAGACGGACTTTGTTATTCAATGTATTTGACAACAAACTGGAGGGACCGCATACCCGATAGCCAAGCTGCACCGGTGATGCCGAGGACTTGTACGGCTCGGAAGGCCAAAGAATAGGAGGACATGGCGACCGTTCACGTCAAGAGGTGGAAAAATAACAGCAGTAATGTGTCGAGAGAGACGCGATCTAATAAAACGAAACACGGTGGAAGTGCGAAGACACGGGGATGGGGAGCTGCATGAAACGAAAGATTGATCTGTGTGACCTGGTGCAAATTCTAATTCAAATATAAATCAAATTATAGATGGCACAGAAGCCTTGAAGCTGACACTAGCTAATGGATGGTATGGTATCTACTGGGATGTGGGCAAATCGGAGTAGATTATTTGCTAGAGTATTCATAGCCATGGCATTCATCCTCCGACACATGCAGGCATACATTCTAACATATCATAGCCTAGGCTTCTCATCCCTGCGTAATATCTGTTTCTTTCTCCCTTTTTTCATTTTTATAGATTAAATTAATTCTTATTGTACTTTCTTTATAGATTATCTTTTTGATGAATCAGTGGAATATTTTCCTGGTTCCTGACTGCAGATCTTATCATCTTAGCCCTAGCCGCCCTAGGCTTCCAGGTCCTGCGCGGACAGTCCGTCGTAAGGCCGAGGGAGAGGGATGTCGCGTCGGATGCCACACCCAGCAACTGTTCGGTAGGCATGCCCCCCAGAGCCTTTGGAGGTGGCGCGGTAATCGCATTGCCGAAGCCCGTACAGGTAGCTCGGAATCCGAGCACTCACGTAACCCATTGTTGGGTAGCCTAGGGGCCGATGTCGTTGTAAGTCGGGATTCACTGCAAATTTTCTCCACGCCGTGTAAAGGGCTCCTAGAAGGAAGCACTTATCTTGGTCTTCTGGCGCCATCTGGGCTCTAAGAATGCCTGCTAAAACTTGTATTTGCCATTTTCGGTACCTCGATCAAGATTGCTTCATCGATTCTTAGGTCCGCTGCTTGTCAGGTTTAGCCTTGGTCTTTGATACTCCTCAGAACAAGTCATGCGGTCCCAACATCTCAGTATAGCACAGTTCGCTCGTTCCGACACTCGAGTGGTGGTGGATGGGAATAGTCTGTCAATCGCCGGAGTTGTGGCAGTCTCGCTGTAAATTTTGGTCCCTTCTTGTGCTGCTTTACAAAGTACTGACGTGCTTATGCCAGACATGGAAAGCATGCCTTGTTGACAGATGACTCAGAAATTCTCGACTGTGTTCAACAGAGCGTGGATTTTTTAAATCAGGAATTGAGCAACGGCCGCACCGTCTACGGCGTAACGACTGGATTTGGTGGTAGTGCTGATACACGCACAAGTAAACTTGAGAGTCTCCAGGATGCTCTGCAACAGCACTTGAATGTAGGAGTTTTACTTCCCTCTGACAAGGGACTACTCACAGCCACTGCGACAGAGCCGGATGGGCTCTTACGTAGTCATGCTCTCCCAGCTTCCATTGTGAAGGCGATGATGTTGGTTCGATGCAATTCATTGATTCGTGGCCACTCCGGCGTTCGACTCTCCATTGTAGAAAACATTCTGACTATGCTGAACAAGAAGATGACTCCAGTTGTTCCACTTCGTGGAAGCATCTCGGCATCAGGAGATCTTTCTCCTCTCTCCTACATTGCCGGCATGCTCGAAGGTAATCCGGATGTTTTTATTCGTGTAGGTGATACTCATCCACCAACATACCTTCCCGCCGATAAAGCTCTCGCGAAGGCTGGTATCCAGGCAGTTCGCCTTCAAGCAAAAGAAGGTCTCGGCATCATGAATGGTACCGCCACCAGCTGCGCAGCAGGTTGTATTGCAATCTACCAGGCCGGACAACTGGCTGTGGTTATTCAACTACTCACGGCAATGGGCACGGAAGCGCTGCTAGGAACGATTCATAATTATCATCCATTTATTTCGGAAGCGCGTCCGCACGTTGGACAAGCTGAAGCCGCTGCCAACATCACCGCGTTCCTTTCGGGGTCAAAGCTTGCACGGGATAAAAATGTCGAGAATATTGGGCTTGCACAAGATCGCTATTCTCTTCGTACTGCTTCTCAGTGGATTGGACCTTCCATGGAAGATCTTGATCTAGCACATCGACAAGTCCAGGTGGAAGTCAATTCGACGACGGATAATCCCTTGATCGACATTACAAATGCCGCCATCCATCATGGTGGCAATTTCCAGGCCACTTCTATTACTTCTGCAATGGAGAAGACCACCAGCGCGATGCAGATGTTTGGGAAACTGATCTTTGCCCAGAGCTCGGAGGTTATTGACAATAAGCTCAACAAGGGACTGCCACCAAATTTGTCGGCGGATGATCCCAGTTTGTCCTTCACCTGTAAGGGAGTGGATGTGAACATGGCGGCCTACATGTCGGAACTCGCATACGTTAACCACCCAGTAAGCTCCCATGTACAATCAACGGAGATGCACAACCAGTCTGTCAATTCTCTCGCCCTGGTTGCCGCACGGTACGCGCTAGAGTCTGTCGAAATTTTGTCCTTGATGGTGTCCACATACATTTATGTTCTTTGCCAAGCTCTCGATCTTCGGTGTCTGCACCTCGAATTTGTCAAGGCTGCTCAGCCCGCCCTCCGCAAACTGCTGCTTGAAAATTTCAGCGGTTTCGTGGGAGAAGGATCTTTCGACTCCTTTGAAGAACAAACTTGGGTCACGCTACAAGACAATTGGTCATCATTATCACACCTAGATCTAGCAGATCGCGGTACAACCGCCGTCAAGTCTTCTATTGGCCATGTGCTCCAAGACCTAATGCTTAATCACAAGAAGACAGATATAGCTTCACACTTGGATTTGCTATCCGCCATTGATACCTATCAGAACACAGCGGGAAGATTACTGAGTTCGATCTATAATTCGACTCGCGAGGATTTTTTCAAAACCCAAACCACGACGTCCTATCTGAGTCCAGCATCTGCGAAATTGTACAGTTTTGTCCGACACCAGCTGAAAGTCCCTTTTCACCGCGGCTTGCAAGATCACCCTCTTCTATTTGGCACGGATGAGGAACTTGGACGGCGCAGAGAAATCCTGGGTACTATGGTCAGTCACATTTATCTGGCCGTAAGGAAAGGAGATGTGTACGATATCGCCATGGAAGCTTTGCGTGAAGCTATTAAAAGGGACAAACCTTACTGCAATGGAAGTGCGTAATGTGAGGGCCCTGGTCTAACCAGACACAGAGCCTACATACACTAAGGCTATGAGACCATTACTAAAGGAGTAATGAAGAACCTACGCCCACAAATACAAGTATGGGAGGGAACTGAAGGAAAAGACTTTTGTGAATTAACGAATGATTTATATAACTGATGTATTCATGATATATAGAGTCGATGATTATCTACTAGCTGCAAGAAATATAAATCTCTCTTATATAACCCATATTTATTCTTAATCTTGAACCGACTGGCCCGTTTCAAAATGTGATGAGATCGTGCACTGGTCCGCCTCCAAGATGAAACCCAAGCAGAGCAAGAAATCCTCTAATACGTCAATAAAATCTGCCAGTCGATACTCGTTAGATATCTAATATATATGTTAAATATTCCTGAAGTTCAAACACCCAGTGTATACTCGGATCTCTCTAATCATTAACCTTTCAATTTTTGTTCTGTCCTGATGTCCTTTTCGATATACGAGCATGCAGATATTGCGGTCTGACGAAAAATATATTCTTACCAGCCAATACTTTGTCCTCGTTTAGCGCCCCATCAGGCGCAACAAACTGGATGTCGTAGTCGCGTACTAATAACGGGATGAGCTTGTTGATCTCCAGCAGCGAGACGTTCTTCCCAATGCATGTTCTGGTCCCTAGCCCAAACGTCAGGTGAGTATCTTCTTTGAACTTCTTATTTCTGCCCCCTTCAGCATCGAGCCAGCGCTCAGGCCGGAACTCGTCGGCATCAGGGCCGTAGATATCCTTGTTCATATTGGCCACCCAGCCATTCACGCCTACGTTTGTCTACAAGAATACAGACGAGTCAGTGCAAACGACCAGAAAAAAATAAAACAAAACAAAAAGAAACAGATGATAAAGAATTTAACATACCCCTTCCGGAAAAAACTGTCCACTGAGAACAGCTCCTCCTTTGGGAACCTCCCTCCACAGTGGAAGTCCGCTCGCAGGGTACACACGTGTGGCCTCCTTGATTACAGCCTGCAGATACGGCAGCTGCTGCACCGAGTTAAAAGAAGGCGTGCGAGCCAAACCTGCACCGTCAATCTCGTCGCGCAATTTCTGTAGCACCTGTGGGTTCTGATATATATAGAATGTGATACAGCTGAGTGTAATGGCAGTGGTGTCACTGCCGGCACCGACATTTGCGCCGGCAGTGACTCTGATATCAAAATCGGTGATCTTGCTGTCATCGGTGCGCTGAGCATCGATCAGCTTCTTCACCATGCAAATCGGGCCTTTTTTCTCGGCAACGTCCGGCTCCAGTCGCTTGAGCGCGATCTTCTCACTAGCAAATTTCTGTTGATAGACCTGCTTGTTACCGGCTAAGAGGCCGCGTAGAAAATGCACGGCCGGCATTACCCACGGAAACACACTCAGAAAGGTATGCAATCGCCGGATGAAGTCGACATTTTTTATCAAATTGGCGATATCTTGGCCCTTGTTGAGAAAGCCTAGACGATCACTGAACTGCCAGCCAAGTCAGTAAACGTATCGAGCCTAGAAGATGGCATTATATAGCATGGAATAAAGAAGAAAAAAATGATTACCGTAATCATTGACACCACGTCAAACGCATAGCAGCGGAACCAGTAGGCTAGGTCAACGACGGAGTTTGACTCCTCGATACCGGTCAGATGACTCTCAAACAGGTCGATGCAATGGTCGACGTAGGGCTCGTACGAAACCAGGGACGTCATGGAATACATTGACGCCACCTTGCGACGCATCGTACTGTGTATCACGGGACTGCGCTCGCTGAATAGGTTGTGCAGGTTTGGTCCGACATGCCATGCGGCGTATGACTCACCCTTGACCCACGGTGAGCTGAGGCTGTAGATGGCTTTGTGTGTGTTAGGGTCGTCGATGGTGAAGTAGCCCGGCATAACCTGTACTATATTTCCTGTTGAGATGGTTAGGAGTAGAAACACCAGAGAGGTTTTCCTGAAAAGGCTAGATCAGAACCTCACCATGTTTTTCATGCAATCTTTTGTTGGTCAAGTGAAAGTCGCACTTGTACAACTGCCAGAAATACCACCATCTTGTGTACTTGGCGAGTACTGGTCCGGGGATGCTACGGTTCCACGAGAACAGAGGATGCAGCAGATACCAGGATGCAAGTAGCAAGCTACCGTAGACAGCCAGCTCTAGTGGGGAGGTTGTGATGATGGCCATTTCAAAATCCTAGGCTCGGTGTGACGCCGCGGAGAAATTGCATTTGTGTTCTTTTTCAGTGCAGAGAGATCCCAGGACCAAGCACCATCAATCTGATAGCTACCAGGGCAATTAATCTTTATTTCTGCTTTAAATACAGAGTCGTCTACAGGCCAGCAAGTAACGCTCCTACTATGCTGGATAAGTTGCATATAGTTATCATGCACGTAGCTGAATTAGGGTTAGTGCCATGTCAGCCCTAAGTCGTGCAGATCTCGGTACTCCGACGCCCGTCGCAGCTAGATATCGGGGCTCGGTCATAGCTCTCTAGCCACGCGGTAACCGTTTGACAAATTTCGGACTGGTGGAGAAGAGATACGCAAAATCAGCTACTGTCAGCTTATGCATTTGAGCTGTTGTGATATTTTCTAATTTAAAATCTCAGACGTTTGGCTTAAATTTACTACTCCCTGCCCCAACTGTGTGGGAGATCAATATGCCTAGTAATTCCGAGTAGAGAGCAAGCGTGTAGAGTTTATCATGTAGAATTGATATACTCTGTACTAACCCAGAGAATCCGAGAATGAAAACAGGAAAAGAGAAAGAGAAGAAAAGAAGAAGTTAACTAGAGCCACTACTAGCCAGCTGCTCTTGCAGATATTTCTGGAACTTGGGGTAAAAGTCCTTCATAAATGCCGTGTCAATCATCTCCTCCACTTTCGCGATTTCACGACCACTTTCGTCAAATGTGACGAATACAGCATACTCGTTCGTCCAGTCGCCGAATGGAGTCTTGCCCTTGGACAGAGCATACACTACTGCTTTGCTCTTGGGTGCGTCGTGCACGATTTCATGAATGGTTAGCTATTTCGGTGTCAGTCTTGCTTCTCACTCCTCCTCCTCCTCCTCCTCCTTTCAACCATTTCCCTGGTAATGAAATTCAAATTGACAGATAGCAGTAGGCAAAGCCTATACTCACCTCATAATCGGTGACCACACGCTGTAGCAGCGGCAATGTCGCCTCGATCTGCTCGCGGGTTCTCGCTGGGTGGCCCAGCGAAAATGGCAGGGACTTTTGCGTGACGTCGGAAGACATTGGTGCAAGCATGTCCGTAGCCTTCCAATTTCTCCAACCATCGATGAATCGATTGAGGGTAGCTAGCTGGATTTCTGCCGGTGCCGCCATTTTTTTAATATTCTTTTTTGCTTCCTGCTAGTTTTTATATATGGTTACTTGCAGTAGAGAATGAGATTAGTTGGAAATATTGGTCAGGAAGGAGGACCGGAGCAATGACCTGTGATTCTTTATTCAACCTTTTCGGCGACAAGCTTGCAGCAAACAATTGCAATAATACCATGATGCTAGTAATATAACTAGTCGTTTCCGCTTGGCTATTGTTAGACCGAGACCCGGTCGCGGTCTCGGGGCTTGGACTATTTATTACCAATTCGGGCAGCCATCCCGAGTGCCCATCGGGGAGGGCAGTTATGCCAAATCCGACAGGACAAATAGACAACGTGAACTCATTATAGACGAAATGAAGCTGTATAGCAAAGCTCGACCGTGTAAATGTATACCAGGGAAACGTACTCTTCAATAAAAGAAAAGAAAAAACAAAAATCATGGGCTCTACACCAGAAGAATCGAATATCTAGAATAATAGCTATATTTACTCAGCTAGCCTAATTGTAAATGAAACGTGCTGAGTTCTCGCTCGTTGGGTATTGTTATTTGTAGAGCTAAATATATCATTGCCGCAAAGCACCTTCTAGAAGTGCAAAGCCTATTCAAATTCTATGTTCTAGGCATATGTTACGACCGTATAAGTTTCAGGCTAGGTCTGGAATGCGCTGCCAGAGAGGATCAAAACCCACGCCCCAAACCCATTTATCGTCAACCTCATCCTTGACCGTAGTGTCGTACGCCATCTGCGCCAGCTTGAACCACGAGTCGCCTTTGACGGGAAAGTCATCGGCTCCATCGCCGCTCTCGAACGGCCGTGACACCTCCTCGCCATTTTTTACCGCACGGACGAACTTGGCGACGTGGCCGTCGTCGTGCGCCGTATTCACCGCCGCGTAGAGTCCGCTCCAGTCCAGACCAGCGCTGTACGTTGGCTGGTAGCCAACAATGTCATCGAGATGCAACTCAGCCGCAGCGCTGGCAGCATACCAGATGAGATCCATCCGTGCCTTGCGCTCGACCAAGAGTACCTTATCAGCTGGGCTGATCCAGTCCTGACGAATCAACGCAGTGAAGAAGATGCTGGCGTTGACGTTGTGCATGTAGAAGAAGTCAATCTTGCGCGCTTTCCCAGGCCGCTGTGCACCGCCGGCCGAGTATGCGCAGAGATTGATCATCTCGGCCGTGGCGCGCTCAATGTCGTCCTGCTTGATGCGGTACTGCGACGCCAGCGAAGCGATCTCTGCACCAGCACGCCCGATCACACCTTCGCGCACACGCACAGGGCCGTCCTGTAGGCGTGCTGCATGGCGGATCTTGTCGGTGGCGCGTACTTCGTTGTACAGTGCCAGGAGGGACTTACCAGTGCCGATTGCCGCTGCAGCCTCCGTCTCACTCTGCAGGAAGAAACCTTCTAGTCCGGCTGAATCATGTACGGCCGCCTGTGCAAGGCCCTCGGCGATAATGCTGGGTAGGCCAAATTCGATGCCGAAGCCTAGGTGTATGATAGGGTGGAACGCGCCCTCGTACAACTGGGCGAATATTGTCTTCGCTTCAGGTGTACCGCTGAAGACGTACTCCTGAAGCACCTGCTGCCAACCTTTGGCTGCGATTTGCTTCTTGAAAAACATCATGAAGTTGGTATACTGGCTGACATCACCGATGTGCTTGCGGAACACGGCCGGGTTGCCCAGTTCTTCCACCGTCGCTTCGTCTACCGGCGGGATGGCACGTTGGATTGCGACACCATCATCATAGGCGCGCTGTATATCGGCGGGTCCACCACCTAATGCGAGGACGCTGAGCAATGAATGTGGGATGTGGTTGTGACCGCCAACGTCGCGCCAGAAGATATGGTGCTTATCGTGGTTCTGCTGCAGCAGTTTGTTCGCCAATTCCAACGCCCCAGTTGGGTTGTCTGAGAGGCGGCCGAGGCCGAGATGGTCCGAGGAAAGACAGATTGTAGAAGTAGTGTTGGTCGCCATTGCTGGTGTTTAAGGGTTAGGATTAAGCTAACCAAGCAAGTCTCTGAATGACAGCCGTTTTGGAGAGAGATATGCTTCAAGGTTGTCTGGCTGGAAGCTTCATTTCACTGCGGAGGGGACGGAGATGGCTAATGGCGTAATATATTAACCGTTTCACAAAGCGTTTACCCCAGACTTCGACGGACGGACCTCAATATGTATGGCTGTGACATCTATAGTGTGTGGTCGGGAATCTCTGGCCCTAATTCCGTGACGACTCCCGTCCTTATCGGGAATGTCGTTCTGGAGGTCACCGGTGTCTAGCATGGAATAAAAACTAGGCTATATATATACCTAGCCAGCTGACCTGTCAGAGAGAACGTAGGTTGCATCGTTATTTCTCGGTTGTGTTTGCCAAATATGTCTTTGACGACTACCAACACCCCGGCCACGGTCGAGACCCCCTTCACCACCGGCGCGCTCTCTAGCGATGCGGACTTCTGGGCTAAGTATATCGCGTCTCGCCCGACACCCTCGGAGGAGTTTTTCCGCGTGATCCAGGACTACCACAGCTCGCACGGTGACAGCACGACGGCGCTCGCGCATGATGTCGGTACCGGGCCTGGCAACATCGCCGAGCGGCTGCTGCGTTACTATGATCACGTCGTGGGGTCTGACGTGAACAAGCGGGCGCTGGTTGCCGCGCCATCATTAATCCCACAAGATAAGGTCCAACGGATGACATTTGTTCACTCACCGGCCGAGAATTTGCTGGCCGGCGGCGTGGTACCTGCAGACGTGGGCGCAGGCAAGACCGATCTTGTTGTTGTGAGTGAGTGTATGCCGCTGTTGGATGCCCCGAAAGCGCTGGATGCATTCCACGGATTGCTGCGCGTCGGTGGCACGCTTGCTATTTACTTCTACGGCCGGCCCATCTTTACCAGCGGGCAGGATCCAGCCCATCTGGATAGCTTGTACGACCGCATCGCCACGAAAATCTGCTCGTTTCTTCTTCCCTTTAAGGGCACGCCGGGCTTCCCCTTCCACAAGCGCGGCGCCGAGGCCCTAGTAAGCTGCTTGGACAACATCCCCCTTCCGTCCGGTGCGTGGGCAGATGTTGTGCGGTACAAGTGGAATACAAATGTGACATTGCTCTTTAATAGCAAGGCCGGTTTTGACTTTGACTTTGAGCCAGTCGATCGCCGCGAGGACGGAGAGGTCACCAAGGAGATCCGTGACCGCACGTGGTGGCAAGACGAGTGGGATGCGGATCGTGTAAAGTCCTATCTCGACTCTGTGTATCCGAGCTACATTGAGAAAGCAGGTGACAGATATGTCGAGATTGAGCAAGGAATTGAAGAGCTGAGAGAGGCAATGGGAGGCGGCAAGGTCAAAGTTTCCTTTCCGGTGGCCCTGATTTTGGCGACGAAGAAATGAGACTGTAACACGTTCCTCGCGTATTATTCCCATCGGCAATTAATCTTTTGAAACTCCGCGATCCATCCAAGACTTATCCTGACTAGTAACCATGGTGGTTTGCCAACAGACATCTAACCACTGTCGTATGATAAAAGAGACGGGAAATCACGTAGCGATCGCGTCTTTGTATCCGCAAACCTCGCAATGCCCTTGACTAGGTGTTACTTGTACCGCCGATATTGCTAGCTGACAAGAAAAGGTACAAAAAATTTAAAAAAAATTTGGCGCAATCATTTTATAATGTGCTAAGGAGACCAAGAAGAGATAACAGTACTGCTAGTAGATGATGACTATCTAGATCATCTACTTAGCTCTTATGACCGAGTTTTGTAAAACATTCATCCATTTGTCAATGTCAGAATAATAGACCATAAATTCGTAAAAATTGAGTTGTTCCTGTTTGGATATGTGTACAGAACTGTTGACATGGACAGTTTACACCATCTAGTTCAACTCTTATTTCTGTGGAATCCCATACCACTTCTTCTCCCCACCCCTGAGCTCAAACGCAACTTTCCCATCCTCGGCCAATTTCCGCAATACTTCCTCTATTAATGGTTCCACCGCCGTCTCCCTAACCTGTTCGTCCAGCTCATCCCCATGCATCGCCGTGACAAGCTGCTTGATAGTGGTGCTCCCCTTACCGCGCCCAGCGGTACTCATTTTTATCTTCGCCAGCGCCTCTAGCACTTGAGTCTCGCGCCGTATTTTGGACGCCAGCTCGCTGGCAATCTTGCCTGGCAAATCACGGATGACCACACCATGCGCCGGGTAACCGATTACGCACCCGTGCAACTGCATGATATTCAGTGAACCCATCCATGTACTAAGCTGCTCGACGGCCGCGGTGCCGTGACCGAGCACGTTGTCGCCTGTGAACTATATGTAGAGTGATGAAATTAGTATCAGCCTATACTAGAAAAAGGAGTTCTTGTGATGGTACGAATATTTACACACCATCGCATTCTCCTCCTCCAGGATGAAGCACATGTGGTCGTGTGAATGACCAGGGGCGTGCACGGCGCGGACAGTAGCGCCATCAACCTTAAATAATTCCCCATCAACGATAGGCTGCTGGGTTCGGTTCGGCGTGTGTTTGTAAATACAATTTGAAAGCTCGGGATACAAGCGCAGGAGGTCTGGGACGCCGCCGGTGTGATCTCCATGCCAGTGTGTGAGCAGGACGTGCGAGAGGGCCACGTCAGAGTCGGACAGCGTTGAGGAGATCAGTTTGGCCCATTCTGGGATTCCTTGACCGGTGTCAATTATAAGCCTTCTTGAACCCGTTCCCACGATGTATGTGTTGGTGCCCTGGAGTGTGAACTTTCCGGCATTCTGCCCCAATACGCGAAGCACGCGTGGGCTAATTTGTTCTACATCAGCTATCTCCGGCAAGCGCGACACTTGAGCTTCCAGATAGTCCTCGAAAGCGCTAATGTTGAGTGCATCGTTGATCTGGCGGTACCCTCCCTTGTATTGCTTCCCCGGAGGCTGGTCTGGGGCTTGATCTACCATTCTTCAATGCTGAAGATGTTGAAATCGCATGTTTGTTCCTTGCATGAAAAGAGAAAAGGATAAAGAAAAAATAAAACGAAAAACCCTCCGCACAAAGTTCGTATGACCTATATGACATACTTATCGTAATTTTCCAGTGTGATGCTTAGCTTGGGAACGTAACCCGATAGAGTCTCCTGTGATCGGACCGAAGGTACTATAGCTCTGACGGTATCACCGAAGAGGCTAGGCAGCGTGTCGAGGTGTGAACTCCGAAGCCTACCCCCTTCGTGGTGTTATGCTCCTCATTCCAAGGCACGATGTTTTTATAGTAACGCTCAATTTTGGGTCCTCTCATACGGCTGTCGGTCATGTGTATCTGGTGAATATCATTTGTAGGGCGATCAAAGGAAATAACAAGTAATTTTTCTACATACTCTACTTCTCCGCAAGCATCTCGATGTAAATATCTTTTATCTCTTATAATATTAAAAGTGTTTCGTACATAGAACAAGACAAGTAGTTAACGGTATATATAGGTATGAAAATACGTATTGCTTTGTGGCTATTCCTTGAGCCGACTATAATAATACATTAAACCATGCACAATCAAGTATTTTTGCTTTGGTGATTGAATATTTTGCCAATCACGCAATCTTCTGATACCCAACTTGATTCTAGTTATAGTAATCCTCTAGCCAGTTTTTCAAGTCTCCAATGGTGGGATATTCTAAGAACAAACTGCCTGAGACAACGACATTCAATTGCTCGCGGAACTTCTCCGCAATCACTAAGCTCATGAGCGAGTCAATCCCTAGGCTGGCAAAACCGGCGTCAGGAACTAAGTCCGCTAACTCGAGGCCTGCCTCGGCCGCGATAATTCGGATTGCCTTCGCTGTTGTGGTGTCTGCGTCGGCATCTGCGGTATTGATATGGGGTTCTGCCGTAGATGGAACCGGAGCTGGTGCTGGCGCTTGCACAGGAACTGTGATAGGAGAAGCAAAAGGAGCTTGTGGTGGAGCTGCTGGTTTCGGCTCTCCTTGCGAGCCCTTGATAACTGCTGAAGCAGGCTGTTTCATACCATTTGCCGCTGCCACTGCCACTGGCGGTGCATGGGCGTTATCTGGCGCCGAGAAGAAGCGGCTGAGCAGAATGCGTGGATAGCGGCGGAACTGTATGCCTCCCACCATGCCGATGATCATCTCACCCTGGAGGATGTATACATCGCCCAGGTAGACGGTTGGGTCATCCACGGTTGGGATCATCTTGACATAAGAGCGGTATTGAGCTCCTGCCACCAAGGGTTTCGCGAAGCGCATGGAGCGCCATCCGGGCGTGACGCAGAAGTTTTCTTTGGTATCCATCGCATCCGATACATTCATGACGAAGCCTGCAAGGTGTGCGACGCTGTCGATGAAATACGGAGGTATTGTCCAGGAGCCACCTTTCTCAATAGATAGCTCTACATCGGCGAAGGCCTCGAGGCCGTGCAGTACTACTGTACGCATACCACGATACTTGGGTGCGTAGTCAACTAGGCTGTTGGCGAATAGCAGATAAGCCATGTTGTGAGTGAAGCAGTTGGCCACTCCCTTCTTAGCAAGCCGTTCAAGGTCGTTAATGCGCCCCTGCACGAGGTGCGTCATTGGCATCCATGATTCTAGCCAGTCGGCTGGGTTGGCGTAGATGAGGGTTGCGCTGGCGAACGGCTCATCAGCGTGTGCGTTGTACCACTTCAGTTCGGCTGTGTTGGAGTTGATATCGGCTGTGCACACAGAAACTTGGATCAGTTGGGGTGTGTCTGGATTTTTGTTTGCAACTAGCCCTTTCAAAACCTGTAGGTTGGAGATATTCATGTGTACATCTTTGGTGTCGGGCTTGAGTCCTTTGTAAAAATATTCACCAAGCGTGTATGCAATGTCTGCATGGATAGACTTGAGGGAAACATGTTAGTAGATTCATCATAGCAGTATATGTACATGTAAGCATAAAGATCAAGACTCACCGAGGTAACCACACCACAATTGTTCATCTTATGTCCCCAAGCTGCAGCGCGCAAGTCGGTCTGCGCTAGATCAGACTGCATGACCACAGTACCGGCCGCTCCATCAAACTTCTGCTCGATGATATGCTGCACCGTAGATGTGCTCAGACTCGACTTCACCACCACTTGCGGTTGGTTCAGCCCCTTCTCTGCATCGTAGAAATTATTACCTTTGGAGAGCGCCCAGTCCCCGTTGTACTGGATCCAGTACTTTTTGTCATTCCACGAGTACGTCGGTAGGTCTAGCAGCCGAAGTGCCTTTTCGAACGGTCGGTGAAACTCGTTCCAGTCGACGTGAACGCCCGCACAGTGCAGAGATGCCAGACTCTGCGCCATGGTTTGCCAATTGCTCTCTCCGCGGCGCAAAGATGGTACAGCCATATGCACATCTGACAGAGTCCCCTTGACAAAGTTAATGCATACCGGATGCGGCCCGATCTCGATCCACGCCATCTCGTCGTCGATGGCTCCAATGTCACGAGCTGTCTCTAGCGCTGACACAAAGTCGACAGAGTTACGCGTTGCACGCTGCATATATGTGGCATTCACTGTCTTATCATCGAAGATGACCTTGTTGAGTATCGGTGAGATGACCGGAATTTGGGGAGCGTGGAAAAGCACGCAACTGGCGATCTCCTCGAAATCGTTGAGAATGGGGTCGGTCTGTGCAGAGTGGAAGGCGAAGGCGACATCAAGACTAAAACACTTGTAGCTGTCCTTCTCCAGAATGGGGATGATTGTATCCATGTCTACCACCGAGCCGCTAAGTACGACGTCTCTAGGGCCATTGATGCAGGCGATCTCGTACGGCTTACCACCCACAGTCTCTTCGATTTGCCCCAAGGTAGCTCGTACAGCCACCATTTTATGGCTGCCGATCTTGCACTTCTGTTCTAGCAATTGTGCCCGGCGACCAACGAGGAAGATAGTGTCACTCGCAGAAAGCACACCAGCAACATGGAGCGCTGCATACTCGCCCAGACTATGTCCAACGACTACATTAGGTTTCAACCCCAAGGTGCCCCAGTACCTGGCGAGAGCGATCTGAGAACAAGTCTGTGCAAGCTGTGTGATGACCGCCGAATGTTGATGATCTTGTGGATAACTGCCATCAAGGACAGGAATGAAGGAGTTAAATCCCTGACTCTGTGCAATTGCATCCAGGTGCAAGATCTGGGAGCGGAAATACGGCGAATCATGGAACAGTTCTAGATTATATGATTTGAACGACGCTCCCTGGCCGGTGAATGCAAAAGCGATGGGAGGCGGTCCCGTTGTGGCAATGGGCTTGTGCGAGTCAACGTTACTAAGTGTAGACATAAGCTGTTTCTTCAATTGCGCGACGGATGAAGCTGCAACGGCAACGCGATGATTATGGTGGTAGCGTCGAGCTGTGGTGGTATAGGAGAGATCGCATAGAGAGACATCTTGCTTGCTGTCTAGATACGCAAGCAGTCTCGAGATGTTACCTCGGAGTGAGACCTTGCTCTTGGCGCTAACAGTAACGACGTATGTCGAACGACTATCTATCCCGATCCTTTCGCGTAACGGTCCGTCCTCAAGAGCAATCGTTGTATTGCCTCCAGCAGCGCTGAAATTGTTTACGACAGCAATGCGCTTCTTTCCCGGTGGGCGCGGCCACTCTGTCTTCTTGTACGGGATATGGAGATTCCGCTTGTCCAAATCCTTGGGAAACTTGGGATTGAGGCTGTTTTTGATCCCGACGTGTGGTGGTATTGCGTTCTTCTCCATCATCAGCAGGACCTTCAGCAACGCTGTCACACCAGCTGCCGCTTCACTGTGGCCGACATTGGACTTCACAGCACCAATGTAGAGCGGATTTTTGGCGCTTCGTCGTTTTGTGAGCGGCGCGAAAACATTCATCACTGACTGAATCTCCTCCATATCGCCCGCCTGGGTACCTGTTCCATGCATCTCGACGAAGCTAACGTCAAGAGGGTCAACACCAGCACGGTTCAACACCTGCCGACCCAGATATGCCTGGTGGCCTGCGTGCGGATGGGTTATGGAGACGGCCTCAGCTGAATGGTTCGTGCCCGCGCTTAGGATGACACCCAGAATATTGTCGTTGTCAGCTTCTGCGTCTTCGAGACGTTTCAGGACGATGGACGCCACCGCATCGGCACGGCAGTAACCATCTGCCTGAGAGTCCCACGTCTTGCAGGCATTGGGAGTCTTGGACAGGAAATGACCATTACTCAGACCGGCAAAAGCATCCGAGTTGGTCAGGACGTTCATGCCGCCGGCTACCACCATATCGGTATCACCGTTCCACAGCGATGAACAAGCAGCCTAAGAATCAAGTGAGAATTTGTGTGTCAAAACGAATAGAGTTGGGGGTGTCACACACCTGAATAGCCGCCAAACTTGAAGAACAAGCAGTGTCAATACTATAACTTGGGCCCGAGAACTTAAAGAAGTAGTTTATCCGGCCGGGGCCGAAGGCACGGCATCCACCTGGAATGAAATAGGTGCTCACTTCCTGTCCTGTGTTAACTTCGCGGTAGTCGTCGCTGGCTTGGCCATAGAAAGTTCCGATGCGATGCAAGTTGGTCGATGCTGTACGATTCCCGACGTAGCCCGCCCTCTCAAGCGCCTCATACGCAGTCACAATGGCGAGGCGTTGCATCGGATCGGTCTGCTCTGCCTCTCGAGGAGACATGTTGAAGAACGGCGCATCGAACAAGCCAGGATCGTCGATGAAGCATCCGTATGGCGTCCAGCTGGCATTGACTCTCTTCCCAGCGGGATCGTAGTGAGTATCGACATCGAACCGGTCCGCAGGGATCTTCCGGTGCACATCTAGGCCGTTTTCCAGGAGCTCCCAGAATTGCTCCGTATCCACGGCACCGCCAGGCATCCGACAGGACATACCCACGATTGCAATTTTGGATTGCAATGACCCTCTTGGGCCAGTTTCTTCGGTTGAATTCTTGTTGTGAATCCACGGAATTATTTCGTCTGTGGACACCTCCAATTCTGTGCGCGTCTTTTTCATGGCCGCCATGAGGTCGTGGATGGGAAGCGAGTTACGGAAAACAAGCACTTGGAATTCCAAGGCTCCTATGCCGCACGCTTTTTGAATCACGCCCTCAATCACCTCATCCCATTGGATCTTCTGCATAAGGATTTCCCGAATGATATGCTCGAACAGACCACTCGCATCCATTGCCTCGAATGGCCGCCCGGTATTGGTAGAATATACGGGAATGCGCGGCACAAACTTGGAGTTCAACATCTTCATTGACGGTGTCCTTACTATTTGATGCACATTTTCCTCACAGTAGATGTGTTCTGCGTGGCACAAACCTCCGTACACTGGCAAACTAACAAATTTCCGAGTGTTGAAGAAGTCGGCTGTGCGGAGAAGGCTCTTCAGCCGTGTGGGAGGACCGCTGATTGTGACTGCAGTTGAGCTCACTGCGCTGATAAAAATTTTACTAGTTTCTGGCGTTTTTTCCTTTTGGATCGCGTCTAGCTGTCCCTGGACCTCATCGGCAGACACTTCTGGCAGCACATAAGCCCAGGTATCCAGCATCCTAGTGTCCGTCGTGTTGCATGATTGTAAATCTTGAGAAACCTCGTTTACCAAAACCCCAAGGCGAAAGGCTTGTCTCACAACCTCTGCTCCGGCCAAGGCGAGGTCTGCCACGGAGGGAGCCAGTGAGACGGCCGCCGTGGCTAAGAGACCGATGCCCAAGCCGGCCAGAACTGTCACCGTGTTATCATTGTCAAATGATTCTGGAAACCTCTCGTAATGTCTAGAAAGAGATAGAAAATCGTCAGCAGATCAGGTCATAATCACATTTCAGGTATATCCAGTAAAACATACCCAATGAGCGCTCCTAACTCAACGGTACAGAGTAAGATACCATCTATTGACCCACACAGGGGGCCTTTACGAAGATTTTCAAAGTCTGCAAAGTTCAGAATAGATTCAAAGGGCGGAATTAAGCTCTTTAAGTCTGCAGGCAGCCCTTTCACCTCAACACGAAGCGCGAGAGTTGCTTCTTCTAAGAAGTGCGCGAGAACTGGATGGCTTCTGTCCTTGCTCTGCTGGTTGAGTTCCCGAAACAAAGTGGTCAAGTCATCGTAAGGGAACTCATTGCTGAAGTAAATAAGTTTGAGCTTGACAGGATCTATGTCGCCTTCTGGATCGGAGCGAGAAGGCGTGTAAATTTCCATGATGGTGTTCTAATTACTGACCAACGGGGACATCAAAAGAGCAATGCCCTGGCTGTCATAATCTCGAATACTTTGGCAGCGGTGGCATACGATGAAGAGTAGAATACATCATCTATGGAACCGGGGAAAGTGGGCACTCTTGGGAAAAGGGCGGAAATCTTCTGAATGGTGGCCGATAGCTTAGTTACTATCCGATCTCCGAGACGTTGGAACGTCGGGAAGCAATTCCGCTTATCCACAGAGTCGGTACGTGTTATTATTATCACTATTATTATTTCCCTGAAGTCCATTCCAGAATGTGATCCCGACACGGGCCAATTGAAGTGTAAGAAATAAGGGCGCATATGCCGCCGGCATTCGGGAAAGTAATGTGGCTAGGCGATAGCTGTGTCAACACTCCATCCATCATGTCTATATTTAGTATGTTTGAGATTCAACCCTCACAGGGCAAAGTAATCGAGCGTAATAACTCGGGCGGATCAAAAAGCTGGAGAAGTTTAATTGTGAATTGGGAATTTCCAGCCGGATTTCGGACACTGACCTTGCCAAAGTGCCCATCCTATTTTAAGCTTCATTTGACAGATACGTGCAGGGCCTCCGATTAATTTAAGTGGCTTTCTTCTAAGATTCACCGGATTCCGATGGAGGACTCTATCTCAAAACGCCTTAGGGGAAGAAAGAGAGAAGAAAGAGTGTCTTGGTAGGCGGACCGGCGGCATAATAGACCGCTTGAAAGAAATGGGTAGACAGTGTAACAGTACATTAATTCCATTGAGACTTGAAATAATACTAATTGTTGATATATTATTATATAGCAAATACGATACGGTCTAATTTATATGTAACCTAATACCAATGTGCCATTATATAAACAGCTTGAAAGCAGCCCGCTATTAAGACGGTTTCTTTATGTTCCAGAAACCTTGAAATATTTCTGTAGTGGTTTCATAGCAAAGTCCAGGGCCCAAAATTGAAGTCTTAGTCATCATTTTCCTTCGTAGGCGGTCCTTCCTTACCCTTAACGCTCTTCCACTCCAAGGCAAAGGACCCAAGTGCAGAGAGGCAAGCCATGATAACACTAACGATGAATACCCATCTCAGGGCCTCGTTGTACTGGACAAGTACGTCGTGCAAGTCTCCCGCTGGGACAAAGTCGCGAAGTTCTGTCACACCAGCGTTGAGGATATCATGTGGGTTTAGATTCTTGACAACCTCTGTCAGACCAGCAATAAGCTTAGTGTTAAAAACATTTTGACCAACAGACACAAAGATTGCGCCTCCAAGCTGTTGGCAGAAAAACACGAGGGCGACCCCCATTGGTATGTCCCTAGGCTCGAGGACTGTCTGAACGGCGATGGGACCATGTTGCAAACCAAGGCCAATTGCGAATCCCAGAATGATTTGGTATCCGATCCACATGCCAGTGCTAGTATCAACTTTAAAAGTTGAGATGAGACCGGCGCCAACGGGCAGAAGGCAAGATGAGGCCATGGCAAAGGGTGTGTAATATCCAAGACGACCGACCAGTTGGCCTGACATGGTACTGCCCACCGTGAGGGATATGACCAACGGAAGAGTATCGATTCCTGATGTAACGGCGCTCTTGCCCTTGATGGCCTGAAGCCAGATGGGCAAGTAGTAAATGAGCATGAGCATTGTCGCGGCAAGACTGAATGTGAACCACATCGCCGCAACGACACTGCGATTCTTAATAACTCTGAGCTGTATGGTTGCCGTTTCTTGTGTGAACATCTCCATCACGACCCATCCAATCAGCAAGACGCCGAACAGCACAAACAGAAGGACGATGCGCCAGTTACTCCAAGGATACTCGCTGCCTCCCCACTGCAGAGCAAGGAGCAAGCAAATAAGGCACGGGAAGAGAAGGAGTTCACCCAGTAAGTCTAATTTGGCCAGTTTCTGTCGTATTGTCAGGCCAGGTGCCGCCGGTGGTGTGGGTTCCAACGTGAGGAGAATGACGAGCATCGCAGCTCCACCAATGGGGAGATTGATATAAAAGCACCATCGCCAGGTGACATTACTTGTGAAAGCACCTCCGATAAGCGGACCAACCACAGAGGATATACCGAGTACAGCACTGAAGAAACCATTGTAAAGAGGCCGCTTTGCTAAAGGTACCGCTGAAACCATGAGCACAATCGCGCCAGATATGATACCAGCACTGCCCATACCCGCAATAGCACGTCCAAAAATAAAGGCAATTGAGTTGGGCGCCGCGCCGCAAATGGCAGAGCCGATTTCAAAGAGACCGACCACCGCTAGGAAGACATACTTGGCTGGATAGAAGGTATAAACTTTTCCCCACAGAAGCTGGAAACAACTGGTTGTAAGACTGAAAGCACTTCCATACCATCCGACGTCGCTCAGACTGTGGAACTCGTCGGTAATCCTGGGAATAGCTGTTGCAATGATGGTACGGTCCTACATAAAAGTTGGTCGCCTATCAAAACCATTGAGTCTGCAATGGAAAGACTTACCAGGGACATCAGGAATATTGCGGACAGGATGCAACTCATGATGATGGCAACCTGTACAGGTCCAGGGTATTCCTGCTCTGAAGGGGGAGCCGATTTCTGCGATGCCAACTCATTGTCCTGGGCTCCATCTTTCTGATTGTCGACCGACTGACTAGGACTCTGGGCCTTCTCAATCTCGTCACTGGACGCTGGGGTCGCAGCCGTATGGTCGTGTGCTTTGGGCTCATCCGTCGCATTTGCATCCTGAGGTGCAGACATTGCTAGTTGTTGCAGAGTGGAAAGTCTGTCTCTGTAGCTATTAGAGGGCCGATTTGAATACCTATCTGTCTTACCGTGCTTTTAAATTCTCTGTGCTCAAGGTCTCAAAAAAAGATAAGTCAAATTTGGTTCTTCGTTGTATTAGATGGAGATAGAACCATGCGAAATTGGTGGACGCTCGGCTAGAAAGGCAAAATATCGCCTAGGAGTAAATGTCAGGGACACGGTGTCTCCGTTCTCCGTAGCCCGACACCGGTGTTATTCCGCGCCAAGTACGAAAATTGGGATTTGGAAAATGACCAAGCCCTCATAATTAGTCCAACCGCCGCTATTCTGCAGATCGCGAAGCCAGCCCCTGGAGGCTTCGGAATTATCGTCAGGCTGAGCAAGGATGAAATGGACATCCTCTTTGGTTCCTCTCCTACTTACGAGGAGCGCCCTCTTTGAGCTGGCGGTAGAATCCAAGACTAAAAATCTCTAATTGGTTGCCCAATGCGTCTACAGCCTTAAAGATGGAGGATATCGATGTAAATGGATCCCAGAAAGTTAGTTAGCAAACATATTAATACGGTCATTTGGCTGTATGGGAGATGACGTATATGAGCATTCACATCGTCATGTGTATAGAATAAATTTGACAGTCATAGCAAAGTGCCCCCAAGTATTCTAAAAGATGATAATAATGAGTCAAGAGAAGGTGATTCTGTACTACAGTAAAAAATATTCGGGACGTACGATAGTAACATGGTTTTCAATATCTGTTGATGTAAATTTATAGTTTCTGAGGCTGAATGTACTTTTTAGCTGGCCACTGATTCAAAAAGCTAATAAGCATCAAAAGAAAGAACTAGAAGCAGTACGGTCATTTATTACCGATGGTGACATATTGACAGGAGCCCAAGGTCAGCAACTTACTACTCAAGAAGCTGAGCAGCTACAAAGTATATAGTCAAGAAAAGGAGCCCTCCCCCCCCGATGCCCTTTTAAAGATATTCTTTCTTCTAAATAGATTTTTTTTATAATTGTATATATATTTTTTAATAGAGGTATTAATAATAAGCAACATCAAGCATTTCCATGGAATAGCGTGGCGGCTCGGTGTCCGATTACATTATCGTAGGTAATTGGCCTTGAAATATTTGTCACAGTTTATACTCCCCTGTTGTAATATAAAAATCGCTGGCGCATTCGTTCACGTAGTCAAGCTCAAAACTTTCACCCCCCCACCATCTCCTCTCTCTCCTATTAACGCTCCGGTATTCAATGCCCCAAACCCAAATTACTATGGCTGAAGCACTGGAAATTCCAGCTCGCCCTGCCGGCGATTCGCAAAGCCAGTTTCTCTGCCTAACTATCTGTGGTTATCGTCGGCCGGGTATGAGTGAAACGGACTACAAACACCATATGACTCAAGTTTCGGCGCCAATGACGAAGGACCTCATGGTTAAGTATGGGGTAAAACGATGGACGATGGTTTGTCACTTTCCCTGTCCACTTCTGCCTTGGGTGTCCTGGCAATAGCTGGCTAATGGAGGTCGATAAAGATCCACAATACAACCGAGACCCGCGCTCTGATGAGCCGGCTTTTTGACGCTCAGATGACAAAGCTAGCTGACTTCGACTGCTTCAGCCAGGTGGTGTTCAAAAGTGTAGACGACTACAAGAGAATGAAGGAGGACCCATGGTACAAGGAGCACCTGGCTGGAGATCATGAAAAATTCGCCGATACCAAGAAGAGCATGATGACGATTGGGTGGATCACCGAGTTCATACGCGACGGCCAGGTGGTAGACGGAATGAAGGACTGTTAAGACAGCACATGATAGGCAATCACCATCTCATATTATTATCACTATTTCAAATCTCCCAAAATTAATATATCAACGTACATTACCATCAGTACATGTATATTTCTGAGGAATTGGAAGCGGGGAGGAAAAACCCCTGACATTCATATTATTAGACATCGTAGTAAGGCAGGAGAATAGATCTAGGCCCGTGACACACTTAGCCCTAAAAAATAAACTATGACTGTTTTTTGTTTCGTGGTCAAAATTTCGGTCAATATTCTCTCATAATAAAGCTCCTGCCTGTTCCTAGCTCGAGCGACCCTATGTAAGAACATCCGACTGAAGTAATGTGTAAAGTATCCGAGGAGCACGCCCATGCGGCGGAAGCGGCTTCATTCTGAGGTGTCGGGATTCCTGGCGCGTACGCCAATAAGAAGTTGACAATAGCGTCGGGACTCGGAGATGTTTTCGAAGCTCCTGCATTGCCGATGGATTTATACTTTTTGGGGTTAGGGTACGGGGTGGGTAATTTTAGAGCAGGGTTCTTCCGAAACCTTAACACGGGCCGAAATTTCTTTCCGAGCCCTAACTCGCGATTCAGCCAGCGCTATTCACGAAACACTGCAATGACACTGAGAAGAATAACGCTATTGACGGTATACGGGTATTCACCCTACACAAGTTTCCTTCCGATTCGTGGCACAAGGAATAGACTATTCTCCTGATGTTTCCTTGTTCATGCTTCCATGCAGACGATGAGAAGATAGCCCAGCCCAAGGAGATACATACCTAACTCGGGCCTTCTTGAGCCAATTCGCCCTATAGTTCTGAGTAGTCCTGGAATTTGCGATAATAAGTAATTAGTGAATCTTCATAATAGGGTTGAGTCCTAGTATATGCAGACAACAAGGATCGTCGTATTTCTGGACGATCATAATGTGACTATCATCACGTATAATTTCTCCTCATTCCTATCTCTTAAGTCAAAGGAAGAAAATGCAGGACAAGATTTAACTACGAGAATGTTTGAGTTTACGTAGCAACATTCAATGTTGATCAAGAGCCTGTCTGTACTCACTGTAGTCCGGAAGGGGTTCTACGAACTAGCGGGATGATCGTTCAGTTGGTACGTTGAGACTCGGCATATATAAGCTTTGGACTGGAAGCAAGTCACGTTCAGCATTAACATCACTTGAAAGCGGTTGACTTTGCCACACCTGTTTATGAGCTATTATCTAAAACACGAACCGATGAATAAAGACGGCATTATTAAAGATTATTATATCGAGCCGGCTAAGGTGCCAGTGGTCAATTTCCAATTGCTCAACTCCTCCAACAAAGCAGAAAGACATGCTGCCATCGAGCTACTGGACGCGGCATTTAGAGAATGGGGGTTTGTCTATATTTCCAACCATAGTATCTCTTCGGAGAAGGTCGATCTAGCCTTTGAATGGGTACGACTGAAGTGCAACGCAAATACTTCATCCTAGAGTTAGGTGCTGACGAGATTAACAGTCCCGACGTTTCTTTGCTCAGTCCTCTGAGACTAAGGAATTGATCGCTCACCCTCCTAGCGGTGAGATTGACGACAATCGTGGCTGGGCGAAGACTGGATTGGGGCATACTGTCCAAATGGTTTTCGATGCCGATGAGGCAGAAGAGTTTCGACAGAAGAATCCTGACTATAAGGAAACCCTAGAGTTAGGAAACCCTTTTTCCGATGAAGTTCCTCCAAATAGATGGCTTCCAGACCACCTCTTACCTGGGTTTAAAAATTTTGTCGAGTCCTGGTGGACAGATTGTGCTACACTTGCTCATAGCCTTTACGGGTCTGTTGGGGAGGCACTGAAGCTGCGCAACGAGGACTATTTCTGTCGAATTCACTCGAAGGATGACTGCCATATGACCTGGAACTTCTATCCATCCATGCGCCTGCAAGCGTTGCACTCTGCCGACGCCAAGCGCCTCAACGCGCATACCGATTTCGGGACATTAACCATCGTGTTTCAAGATGCGGTCGGTGGCCTCGAGGTTCATGACGGCCATATGTTCCGTCCCATCGTGCCGATCCCGGGCGCTGTAGTCGTCAACGTGGGAGATATGCTCGAGCAACAGTCGAATGGGCAATGGAAGAGTGCGTTGCATCGAGTGGTCGGTCCGGCGAATTTGATGAAGCCGGGAAGCGTTCAAGATGGAGACCAGGATAATGCTATTGATAGGTATTCTTTAGTTTACTTTGGCGTCCCTAACCCGAGTGAGAAGATTGAGATAGCCCCGGGATGCGAAGAGCCCGGGAAATGGAAACCGAACATGAGTGGGGACTGGGGCAAGCTCTCGGCGAGGCAGTGGATTGAAAAGCGGCTTGCGGTTGAGTACTAAATGCAACACAAGCCCGGCTGATGTAGCCACACTCACATCCTGTACGAGTTATAGTTGAATTACGTGTATAGCTTATTCAATAATACGACGGCCGCTACACGAATGACGGAGCTGGACTTTTGTGGTTTTCTCGTAGCATTGCATTTTGGTCTTTCACCCGTACTTCCAAGGTAGCCCGAGCCCATATCTTGATTTAGTTCTCCACTTCAAGAACGAAGGAGACAGCTGCGGCCGTGGCAATAATGACTGCTCATCAGAGCACAGTGTTCGTCACCTTCCCATTACACTGAGTCCGATACATTGGTTGACGTGGAACAACAGCACCAAGTCTCTCGGTTTGACCGGCAAAAATGCTATTGTGACAGGGGCTTCGCGGGGGATCGGCTCGCAGGTTGCCCGCGAGCTGGCAGCTTGTGGCGCGAACATAGCCATTTGCTTCGTCTCTGATCAAAGCAAGATAGCGGCCACGGCATTAGCATCCGAGCTGCGAACTATGGGAGTCTCTGCAACCTGCGTGCAGGAAGATCTCGAAATGGCCGGCGCTGGCGCACGCGTTGTCGAGAAAGCCCTGGCAGGCCTTAACACCGATACCATCCACATTTTGGTGAACAACGCTGCATTTGATCCGTCGGAGCCAGTGCCGGTTCATGAGACGCCGGCGGATCTGTTTGACAGGTGTGTTTAAACCCCCTCAGGACAAGTATCTAATGGCGTGAAACACAACACCCTCTTTCCTTAAAGAGCCTTTATCAAACGCTATATTCACACGATATATACTACTGAAAGCTAATATTATTCCTCCTCGCCGTAGATGCATGCAGGTTAACACCAAGGCTCCCCTCGAACTGGTCTCTGCATTGGTCCCACGACTACCGTCGAGTGGTGGCCGCATCATCAGCATGTAGGTCACAACACCTGGCATCTATGATATATCACTAACAGCAGACGGGCGGTCATAGCTCTTCGGTGCTGGCACGGCGGCCAGATGTACCTTTCGCTGCATGGGCCTCCTCCAAGGCAGCATTGGAGTGTCTTTCGCGGTACTGGGCCATGGAGCTGGCCCAGCCATACGGCCTGACAAGCAACGTTGTTGCTATTGGCCCAACTCTAACCAATTACCATGCTCATGATCCACCGGAAATTCTGGAGGAGCTCTCACGTCTACCGAGCGCCGCAAACCGCCTTGCCACGCCGGATGATATCGCACAGATCGTAGGTTTTTTGGCGAGCAACGCCGGGCGCTGGATCAACGGAGATGTCATACAAGGCAATGGAGGGATACTTTTCGGCTAGTGGAGCTAATGTCACACTCTTTTGCCCTATGAAACTTCTCTCTATGGTCCTTGCGATACTGCGACTTGTCAACTTACAATATCAATTTTGTTTATTGTTAGAAAGCGGCTAATTTCAACAATATATACATAACAAACTATGAAACATGCCAAATTAATTCATATTGTAATAAAAGTGAAGGCTTGTATAAGTTAGAAGCAATAAATCTAAAATTATAGATGGTGGATTTAGAAAAAATGTACACGTGTATAATTCTTTCCTTTTTGGGGAAAACCACGGGTGGGTTTAGTATTAGCTCAAATACAGGAAGAGAGAACAAGGAGTATCAACTCCCCAAATCTAAGCAGGTCCAGGAGACGGAAGATAAGGGTGCAAGAATGGGAAGTAGTAGCGCAAGAGCCCTGTAAGAATGCACAGTGGTGTTCCGGAAGGGAATCTTGCGCCGCCGTTTGTGTTGACGACGCCCACATTCTTCATATCGTATCGGTCATCCACGTTATCTGCCGCCTCAATCATTGCAGCCGCAAGGTCCAGGTACGAGACGAACGTCTCCTCGTGGTCGAGGTCAAGCTTGTGGCCTCTCTGCTTGTCGACCGACAGACCACCAGGCTTGATAAATATAGTCGTGGCGATATCTTCCTGTGCGCGCAGGAATTTTTCCGTCCTTTTGAGATCATCATATACGTAATAAGCAGATGTGAGTAAGATTGATCGAAAAATCCAAGGTAGATTGCGTGAAAGATGATCGTCGATCGTCGCAGATGATAAGAGCACGATCTTGGGCGGCTTAAAACCTGGGGAGCGTTGAGCTTTGAGTTTCTTCAAGGCCTCTATAATACTTCCTGCAGTGTCTAGACCGACATTGCAGTTTGGTATATTGGTATTTGTGGACACGACGTGGAAGATAGCTTTCGCATCCTTGATACATTGGGAAATGAGATCGACATCGTGGATACTGCCTTCAAAAATCTCCACTCGTTCTTTTTCAAGCAGGTGAGGAATTGTATTAACCAATTTATTCTTGTTCCGGCAATAGGCACGGATATTTACAGTGGGATTGCGAGAAAGGTTGTCAAGAAGCGCTGTGCCACAGTTTCCCGTAGCCCCTATAATCGCGTAGGTTGCCATGATTCTGTAATAGACAGGGGCAGTTGAAGAGCCAAACGCACCTGATGTAACTAACAAATGAATTAGAGAAGCAGATCTACTGGTGAAGAGAAAAAGAACTAACAGTAGGTCTAGAAGTATTGCCGAAGCCCGACCGTTCTTTCTATACCAAGTTGCATATATTCCCGAAGACCGTCCATTAGTACCACACTCCTGCGAGAGCCTGCACCTCCAAGCTAATTTTGAATGGTAATTGGGGTCTTTGGCAGCTAGCGCGGCCAATTTCATTTAGACTCTCACAATAAGCAGGGGAAAAAAAGCCAGTATCCATTGTCATCAGCTCGGGTGTTCCATCTAAACGGTTACTATAGTTTAGTGAGCGTGTAGGCCGACGCTAGACACATTCTCCGATAGCATAGTACGGTAAACCTCGGACATAGGATACTATAAGTCACTGTAGACACTAACGTGAGACTCCAAGGTCCAATAAAATCAATATAATTGATCCTAACCCTCCGATTTTAGCTTGGTTTAAGGAATTAATTGCCTTTTTGACTTCATAGCTTGTGTCCTGGTTTCATTATAACACAGAAGGTCTTTTCAGCAGTCGTAATTCGACTAGCAGGAAAACCAGCATGAAATCTAGGATCGGACAGCTCCACCAACGATGTATTAGATAAAAATCTATTCAAAACATGTTCGAGTAGAATCAGTCACGTAATTTATGATCATTTGCAGTTCTATGATAACTGTTGTACTATCTCCATAGCGCTCATCCTACTATTTGTTTCAATCACTGCTCGGAGAACATCAACGAATATATGTATAAAATCCTCAGTGCTCTGCTGTTCAAGCGTAGACAATACGCACAACTGGAGACTATCCGCTGATTTTGGGTTCGTCTCTACAACTGTCAGCTCTAAAGCTGCAAATGGCCAAACCATGGCAAAGCCACATTTGTCTTCGGCAACTCCCCGAAAAGATGGAACGGAGTCTTCTTTGTCTGGGTTGTGATAAATGTGGTTAAGCAGCACATTGCCCCAACGGCGCTGTCTTGCCGTCGGCTCTGGTCCTGTATGTATCAGTTGTCCGTCTAAATAGTATGGATCTGATTCATAAGTTGCAATCCAATTCTTGAGAGCGGCCTGTGCGATAGCGACTGGGTCGGCACTAGCAGCCACCGGAACCCGCATTGGACTTATAGAAATCAAGGCGCCCTCCATGTCCGATGCACCCGAGATGGTGTTTCTGTTGGAACTAATCCGATAATAGGTTACTTCCTCAGTCGTTTGGTGCGGTCCACCTGGCCTCCACCAGTTTAACAGCCGAGCGATTGTCAGGGACGCCGCGGCATGAAACAGCGCGGCAGCCGTGACATGATGCTGTCGGCACCACTCACCGTAGGGAAGAGATTCTAGATTCTTGATGAACGGAGGCGCTGGTAGGGCACTGTAGGGCAGCTTGAGATCATCGGGTATCGGAGTGGGACTAGCGTTTGCCATGAAGTTTTCCCAAATTTTCGTGTGCTTTTCAACGACTGGTGTTGACGAACCTGTGAGTCCGTGGGTTCCGTAATGGGTAATTGGCCATTTTTCAATCGACGGCTTTCTAGCATTCTCACACGCGTCGGTCAAAGCCTGTGTTTGACCTTTCTGAGTATTGTCCCGGTCAAGTATTGCTGTCAAAACAGCATAAAGATCTCGTGATATATTACGCGCCACCCATTCGTCGACAATCGCGTGGTTAAATGTCCATGCTAGCAGTCGCGGTTTCGACAGGAATGTCACTCTCCAGAGTAGTTTTTCGAATGACCACTTTGTATTGACATCTTGTCTCCAAAAAGCCTCAGGCTCCTCAATGTGATCCTCTTGCGAAACCCTAATGGAAATGGCATCCGATTTCAAGATCGCATGCACGAATTGGCCACTCTTAATCAGGTCAAAGGCACTATCAGGGTTCTCTACTGTCGCTGGATTACTTTGCACGTTTACAAGCGAAAAGACAGTGCGTAGATTTGGCTTTGCCGACACCAATAGAATGATTGCTTCATGAAGCTGAGAAGTCGTGCAGCTGACTTGAGACAGGTCCATGAACTGATAGAATATCCATAACTTCGGATCTAGCATGCTCAACACGAATATCTCTCGTTGAAGCATGGTTGTGGGGAATATTGTTTCATATTCCGTGAGTTCTGGTCGTATATCGGTTGGCATCCTTGAACGCAGAAATTCTGTTACCGTTAGAGCAGGCCCTGATTCCTGTGCCTGAACCATGGCCTTTCCTCCCTCTGCCGTACTAAAGTCTGATGCTATCTCTACTAGACTCTGCGGGCTGTATAGTTGCGAGATTGTAATATCAAGCCCTCGACTCCTTAACTGCGACCTGAGTTGCAGAGATAGCAAAGAGGTCCCTCCATTAGCAAGGAACGATTGGGCCTGCATCTTTTCACGCATGTCGGCTGACAATTCATTTGGATGATTGCCAGTCAGGGTTTCTAGAACCAGGTCTAGGAAAACTTTTCCTTCCATGGAAATATGTTCTTCAAACTTCTTCTTTTGGTCGTTGCCGCCCATTGCGATCGTAGTTTCATTGTCGATGATCTTCTTCGCCTCTATGGCTAAGGCTTTAGTATCTGTTTTTGCCGAAAGAGTCTCCGGGAATTTCTCAAATTTCAACCATCTGTGAGGCATCATGTACTTGGGTAAATGGTTGGAGCAAGCTTTTTCTGCCCCAGAAACAAAATCCTTCCAATGGCTGTCTATGTGAAGACCGTTTGTGCTGGAAGACTCTAATATCACACAGCACGTTGAAACTGGGGGTCCTACTGTAGGCTTAACCAGAATAACCCTGCTTTCGATTACTTTTGGTACTTGATTGACTACGGACTCAATCTCCTCCGGTTGAATACGATTGCCGTCCAGCTTAAATTGAAAGTCAACCCGGCCAAGTATAACGAAACAGCGGGGTGCAATGAACATTCCCAAGTCTCCAGTTCTGTAAATGTAGCTATGTCCGGCGTCCCCCGGAAACGGATGGGGCACAAAGACTTTAGAAGTAGCCTCCGGCATATTGATGTATCCTGAGCTCATATAAGTGGAGCTAAGGCAGATCTCTCCTGGAACATAAAGGGGACAGAGTTGCATCGTGGCCGGCTGAAGGATGTAGAGCGAGTAGTCAGAATTCGGAAGTGGATGGGCGGGGGCAAGAATTCCAGTACTAGAAAACGTACGTGAGCGAGGTTGATTCAATGTGTCGAGAACTTATATCATCCTAAAATATATGTACTTACGGCTCATCGTGGAACGGCAAAGCGTGGGAATTCATTTCCGTTGCACCATAACCTATCAGAATAGACACATGATGACTCCATTTTTGTGCAAGAGAACGTGGCGTCGCTTCACCAACCAGCGCGACAGTTTTCAAACTAGGGACTTGTTCTGGGCTTGTGAGGGCAAGAGCTGAGGGGGTGATACAAACATCATCTATGCCGTAGCGGTTGATACAACCAGCCAGGTCAGAGACCATCTCCTCCTGAGGAGGTATGCATACGCATGCACCGTTAGTAAGAAAGCTCCAGATAGCATTACCTGATGCAGAGGAGATGGGGTTGAAGAAAAGTAGGCTCTTGGAGGCACGTACTCTGCCCCTGTAACTAGAAATCGAGGAACCAAAAGTTGCGTGACTGTGCAAAGCACATTTGGGCGTTCCAGTAGAGCCTGATGTAACCCGAAACCAAGCTGGTCTGAAGAAGTCTTTCGAGATCTCGATTTCTGATTGGCGGTACGCGGTGTCTGAATCATCGCATGTCTTTAGTCTATCCCTCAGTGACTCAAAGTCAAAGTTCCACGCAATGTCTTTCCCAACACTGCCTGTCCACGATTTATCCACTAGCAAGAGAGCGCAATGGCAATTTTCTACAATCTGACCATTCCTCGAGGCAGGTTGGCTGGGATCAACAAGGACTATCGCATACCCAGCCTTCCAACAAGACAATATCGCGATCACAACGGCCGGTGATCTTTGCATCATAATACCAACCACTGCAGCACTTTCCACTGTTAGACCGGTATTAAGATGACTTGGGCTTACGTTCGACAGTCGACGACGTAAATCTGCTTCCATCAAGTCTGATATGAGATCTAACTCCAGGTAAGATATCACATCACCACTAGGACCCTCAAGCGCGGGGCGGGAGGGTGTCCTGCGAGCCTGACGGCGAAAAAGTTGGTGAACCGACCCGAGTTCCATGTCGGCAAGGCTACGACTAGGAAGACCGTCGTGACGGAGCTGCATGTCCTCCTGGAGAGATGACATCGATATGTCTCTAATATAGAGCGACGCCCAAGACTTGTGGTTTATGATATATCTCAACAAATGCAAGAAATGGTGCACTACCTTCTCAACATAACAGCTTGGAAGTCCACTGCGATAGCGGCATGTTGCTTGGATCACCTTCGATCGTGTGGATAGTAGTTGAATTGTAACATCTGACTTTGTCTGTGGAGGTAAAGGCAACTCTGTAGGTCCAGCAGAAAATGTGGTAGGGCAAATGACGACGATGGATGATGCTGTATCAAAGGCTAATTTATCGTTGTGAATAGAGAAGTCTGAAGCCTTATGTAGCAATTCAGCGAACGTGGTATCCTCGTCAATGGAGGCGTGAACGCTTAAAAAAGAACCCACATCGCATCCGTTCGGAGTATTTTGACGCGGTACATAAGTCGCTAGGCAATCCAAGGAACTTTCAAGTGTGTGACGGCTCAATACAATGGACCACGCAGCGCTGCAGACATGCCAAGCTGCAAGATTCTCGACGGTTGCTCGACGTTCGACATCGCTAATATCGAAACCCGTGATGTTGTCATGAAGGATGTGAGATTCTTCTTTGTCAATGTTTAATGTGTTGAAATTGGACACAAATAAGTCTGGGATACTTCGAAGAAGCATATTGTGTAGAGGATATGGCAGGCGTCGTGATCCGTCCACGAATATACGATTCGGCTCACTGGTAATATCCGAGATTAGGGACGTGGAGGAGGACTGCCTGTGATATCGAATACAGCCTTTGGCAATAGTGCAATAAAATATGAATGATTGCTCCGTTCAGCTGATCTACCAGAGAAATAATCCGTCGGACACAGTACTCGCCAAACCCTGATTGAATGAGAGACAAGAGGATTCGGGAATTCCCCGTCTTCCTCCACTGTATGGAGCCAAAAAGACCTAGCTAACAAGCTTCGGCTGAATTCTGGAAGACTGTAAGACGGTAGTACAACAAATTACTCTCATGGGCTTCGCCGAAGTACAGATGACAACTCAAGCTGCAATCCCGTCCTCAAACTAAACCCGAAGCCCGAACTCGGCACGCTGGTCCGTGGGCAATCTCGATAATCCTGCGGTGCTAATCATCGGCCCCAGCTTATTCCACACGTGTGTAAACCCAAAAAGGTGTACTTTGTGGCTTAATAATGACCACGGAGGTCGGAGACATGAATAGTACGCTGCGGTGTGTCGCCCGTACTAATGAAAACATGAATAGATTTGAGACATCGGGAAGATGTCCACCGTTCTAGTTGCCATTCTGGGGGATCGTCACATTCTCCATCCGAATACTCAGCATGTAAATAATTGTATGCCCAATTATCATCGTGTCTTCAAGTACCTACCTTTCTCTGATGCGACATCATGGGTAACTCAACTTATGGACCGCATCGTGGTTGCGAGAACGAGCAACCAGAAGATACGCCTGTGAATGGCAATTCTGTGAACGGCGATTTATTCCATCGAGACACACTCCTCCTATCTCTCATAGAAGCTCATTCTCGCTTGCGGCCGTCACATGTCTGCCTCATTTCCAGCTCAGTAGCATACGATTTCACGAGTCTCTGGAGTTTAGTGGCAGCGAACGTCAGGCGGTTTTCCAAGCAAGGCGTCAAACAAACATCAAGGGTGGCTATAGTGTCGGAGTCATCTCCTGCTGCAATAGTGGCATTACTTGCTGTTCTCAAGATCGGAGCTATTGCTATACCTCTAAGCTCTTCATTTCCCGACTCTCGTATTCAATCTGTCGCACGGACGAGCGGGCTAACACACTTGATTGCTTTGACGGCCCTTTCGCAGCAGATCAGCCTGCCAAATGTTGACAAACTCAGTCTTGATCTAGATCTACAGACAGCAATTTCAGATAGCCTGCTTGGATTCAATTCATTTCCAGAAGTAGATCCTCATGCACCTGCCATCGCCGTGTTTACCTCGGGGAGTACTGGCGAGCCTAAAGGGGTCGTTCACTCCCACGCAAGTCTGAGTACAATGGCTCTTTGTGTTGGCAAAGCCTTGCACTTGTCTTCAGACGAGCGCAATTTCCTTTTCCCGTCTTTCGGCTGGGCCGTCAACATTATTGATACTTTTGCAACGCTCGTCGCTGGTGCTTGTCTTTGCATCCCGACAGAGGCTGAGAAGTCTCAGGGGTTGGAGGATGCGATATGTCAATTCGATGCTACTCGCACTACTCTGCCATCCTCCGTGCTGAGAATCATGGAGCCGGACGCCGTCCCGTCTTTAACCAGCATCGTCCTTGCCGGGGAGCCAATGGAGCCAGATCTGGTCCTTACTTGGGATTCCCATGTAGCTCTGTACTGGAATTATGGCTCTTCTGAGACCCTTATGGTACTAGCGGGAAGCGCTGTCGAGCGTGATCGCGACAGGTTGAACGCCGGTCATGCTCTTCCATCTTGCCATTGCTATCTTGTTGCTGATGATGGCGAGAAGCTTCCACCCGGTCGCCCTGGTCAGCTCGTCGTAGAAGGCTATACTAACTTCATGGGCTACTTGCGAGATGGTAAAGTCTGTAGTCCTGAGCATGGACTGAGTGGACGGTCAGTTGTACGTTCTGGAGACCTCTTTGAGCAGGATAGTCAGACTGCGATATTTGTTCACCGTGGACGGATCGACTCTCAACTGAAGATTTCTGGCCAACGGTTCGAGCCACAGGAAGTAGAAATCAAGCTGTGGTCGGCTCTTACAGGCGTCAAGGAGCTAGCTGTCACAGTAGCCACGCTGCAAGGAAATGCCGGACGTCCTGCTCTGGTGGCTGTCGTAGTCCTTGAAAACAGAAACTCCACCAAGGACTCTTCAAACGCGCGTCTTATATGTGCATTCGAAAGCCTTGTGCACACTCTCCCACCATACATGATTCCAATCGGAGGCTTAGAAGTCGACAAACTCCCAAGGCTTCACAACGGCAAACTCGACCGGAAAGGCATCGTCAACTTGGCAGAGCAGCGATTTATTGCCGATTTAATTGATTTAAGACCTCCAAGGGAGAATCGAACTAATGGCCATGACATTGGTTTGACAAATAAAGTAACACTGGTATGGGCTAAAATCCTGGGCTTGAACATTGAAGATATTACGCCTTCCTCGAGCTTCTTTCTCATGGGTGGCAACTCTCTTTATGCCATGAGAGCATGCAAAGATTTGAGGCAAGTTGGGATTCTGATGTCTATTTCCGACTTCTTCCTCCATCCAACATTAGGCGAGATGGTCCATTTCATTGCTACGCGAGATGTATCACAAATTGACAGAGCTGAAACCCCGCCGCAGAGCCAATTTGATATTCCTGAGAGTACCGCAAGTGAGCTCCGCAAGATGGCGGCCAAGCAATGCGGAGTAGATGACGGACTAATTGAGAACGTCTATCCTTGCACACCGATACAAGTAGGACTAATGACACTCAGTGAAATACAGGATGGTGCATACGTTGCAGAGCACATTTTCCAGCTTCCCGCATCTTGGTCAAAAACAACATTCATCAATGCATGGCTACAAGTCGTTAGTGCAATACCAATATTACGGAGCCGAATTGTGCGACATCGGAATGGAAAACTATATAATGTCACAATGCGATTTGACAAAATCAAGGCCCTCCCTTCGGAAGTATTTCCGCACTCTGTTTCCATGGCTTGTGGATCTGAATTATTCCTACATTGTATCAGTACCAATGAGGAAAACAGCAGCATGACATGGCGTTGGCGAGTGCATCATTCCGTGTATGATCGATGGTCCACTGGCCTTATTCTTGGAATGGTTCAGAAAGAATATAATCAACAGGAGGCGACAACCTCGACACCGTTTTCGCTATTTGCCAGGGCTGTGGCCCAGCAAGAAATATCCGAGAAAGCGAAAGACTTCTGGCACTCCAAGTTAGAGTCCTTTTCCGGCACGGTTTTTCCACAGCTACCTCTCGAACATCGTGTTTGTCGAGCTTCAAGTTCAATTAACATCGAATTGCCAATCCCAGAACGACGGTCTTCTACAACACAAGCAACATCAATCCAGGCCACTCTTGCTCTCCTAATCTCAAAAATACATGGCGAGTCAGATGTGGTCTTTGGAATCACTGTTCATGGAAGATCATTGTCCAATTGTCCTGATGCTGAAACGATCGTCGGTCCAACAATCGCAACTATGCCTATGAGGATCCAGGTCGATGGCCATATGCAAGTCCACAAATTTCTCGAACATGTGCAGACCCAGGCGGCGCTTATGTCTGACTACGAACATTATGGTCTACAGAATATGAAGTCGGCTGGGCCAGGCTCGGCCTCTGCTGCCTCATTTACAACACTCTTGATTGTACAGTCGGATTTGGAATCTAGTGTTAATTGCGGCCCTCTACAAATTGTTGAGATCAACACTGATGGGTCTGATTATTACCTGGACTATCCATTCGTCATCGAATGCATTCCATCGTCTGGTGGAATGACGATTAAAATGCTGTATGATCCTGCTGTGTTTTCCATGTGGGATATACAGATGATGGCTAGGCAATTCGAACAAATATTAAAAGAAATACACTGTAACGCAGAGTTATCGACAGCTATAAGGGACCTGAATCTAATAAGCCCTGAAAGTACTGGAGATGTCCTTCGCATGAGCGGTGGTGACCTGCTCGAACATTACGAATGCCTCCATGAGCGCATATTTGCCAAAGCAAGAGCATGGGAAGCCGAAGATGCTCTCCACGGATGGGATGGCAAATATACCTATGCGGAGCTTCATGATCTTGTTCAAGTGCTTGCCGCACGCCTATCACAACAGTTAGGCAGTTCTCGAGGAAAAATTGTCCCGATTTGTTACGAAAAATCAACAGCCGCCGTTGTTGCAATGTTGACTGTCCTGTCAATGGGCCGCGCTTTTCTACTGCTCGATCCAGTTCTGCCTGTTCAAAGGGTTAAGTATATGGTCGATGTAGTGGAGGCCGACATAATAGTGTGCTCCCCTGATACCAAACGCCACGTCCAACACACTGGGGCTCATCTGGTTAATTTCGAAGAAATTATGGACACTCCCTCTCTTGCCTCGGAGCCCTTGGAACACGCTCAGATCTCGCCAGAAATGCCGGCATATTGCATTTTTACGTCCGGTTCTACTGGATTGCCCAAAGGCGTTCTTCTACTACATAAACAAGTTACGAGTGGTCTTGAAGCACAATGTGCCGTCGGACTCTATCCTCCAAAGAGCCGCCTACTTCAATTCTCTAGCTATAGTTTTGACACATGCATCGCTGACATTTTTGCCACATTATTAAGCGGGGGCTGTGTATGTGTCTCGAAGAACGAGGAAAGGCTGATGCGAATCTCCGAGAATATCAACGACTTCTCTGCTAGTGTAATCGATCTGACGCCTTCAGTCGCACGGATGATTGAACCCGATGATGTGCCGAACTTGGAAGTCCTTCGTCTTGGAGGAGAGCCAATGCACAAACATCACATTGACAAATGGGCGAATCGCTGCAATCTTCAGAATACTTACGGTCCAACCGAATGTTGCGTGCAATGCACATTCGTAGATCACGTAGAAGATACAATGTCTCCATCAGTGATTGGAAAAGGTATTGGCTGTAATACTTGGGTTGTAGATCCACAAAATCACAAGTATCTTATGCCATTGGGAGCCATGGGCGAATTGGCAATTCAAGGCCCTGCTGTTGCCAGTGGCTACATCAACAACATAGAAAAAACAAAGGCCTCCTTTCTCTCAAAGGCACCTTGGTTAGATACTTACAACATTGCATGCAACTTCCCGACATATCTTACGGGAGATCTAGTGAAGTTCGATGAAAATGGAAATCTTGTCTTCATTGGGAGGAGAGATAATCAGATTAAAATCCGAGGCCAACGTATCGAACCTGAGGAAATCGAGCATATTCTCCAGCAAGATCAGTTTACTAAACAAGCAGTTGTATGTTACCCATTAAAGGGTGTTCTCGCATCGCAGCTCGTCGCTATCCTCGAGCCATCTCACTGCAACCCCTGTTCATCACCATCATCATCATCATCGGTAGTTGTCAAAGGGGTGCCATCACCTGGATGCACTGCTGAATGGATGGAAAAAAGTGCCCAAAGGGCAACAGAGTTCCTCCCGCATTACATGGTTCCCACGGTGTACTTGTTGGCTGATAAAACATTACTCATGTCCTCTGGCAAGCTTGACCGTCGAAGCATGCAGCAATGGCTTGAACGGATCTCCGTGGACGAGCTCGACTCTTTGAATGCATACCAGAGAACTGAGATGTCAAACTCAACCACATCGTCGCCTGACCTACCAGAATCGCTAATACTACCAATCGTTGAAAAAATCAAACATCTACTCTCATGGAGATTAGGTACCTCACAAGGAAATGTCAAAACTCGACACTCGTTCTCCCGTATTGGCCTTGACTCCATAACCATAATCTCTCTTTTGCAATGGGTGAACAAGACTTATCAAGCGCAGATGGACATGCAGACATTACTGAGACTCGAAACGGTCCACAGGCTCGCGTGTCACCTCCATGGGAGAGAAGCGCAAGCAGTAAATCAAAATGGATTTGGCGGGGAGCACAACTATTTTGAAGATATCATTGATAAGGGAGTACAGCAACTGTGCTCCGGCTACCAATTCGATCCTCCTCGGAGGATTCTCCTGACGGGAGGTAGTAGCCCGGTCGGTCTCAGTATCCTAACTGGGCTTCTGCATCGGTTTTCATCAACTCGTGTTGTAGTGTTGATGCGGTGCGTCAATTCAGCAATTGGCAAGGAGCGTCTACTCGCAAAACTTGGCCTTTTAAGCTCATGGAGTAATACCTTTGCAGACAGAATCGAGGTCTGGCCAGGGGACTTGAGCTGTGATGATTTAGGCCTTTCTCCTTTACATTGGTCACAGCTCAGCGGCCGCGGAGATTCGTCTGCCCATCTGGATGCGGTCATACATAACGGCGCTACTGTCGATTGGTTCGAAGGGTTTCAGGCGCTTAAAAAGGTCAATGTGGATGCAGCGCTCAAACTCGTCGAATGCGTGAGGGATTCCCCAAGTACAACCCGTCTTGTCTACATATCAGGGGGTCCTCAGTGGGATCCTGATGAGCCAAAGGGAGTAGACCTCAAGGGATATGGACTGGGAAATGCCTTTGCACGATCGAACGCATATGGCCAGACCAAATTGATCACCAGTGCTATCCTCCAGGAAGCAGCAAGCCGTAACCCCTATTTAGCGGCCAAAGTTGCCGTCATCCGGCCGGCGTTGATAATTGGATCCTTGAAGGATGGTGTGCCAAACATCGACGATTTCATCTGGCGGGTAGTAATGGGCTGTTATTCAATCGGTGCTTTTCCTCAAGAACCCAAAGATGATTGGGTTTACCTATGTGGTGCTGATACCTTCGCGGGCATGGTGATTGAGAGCCTTTCCGCTCCTCCCGAAATCTTCGAGAGAAGGGTTGACAACGGTCTTCCCGTTGTCAAGTTCTGGCAAGTAGTTAATGAAGAATTGCAAGGGCAGCTGGACTGCATGGACTATGACACATGGCTGCAACGCCTGAGAAAGGATATATCGACACATGAACTTGGGGGCACTGGGAACCATCCATGTCAACCTATCTTCCATATGTTGGAGTCATCTCCCAATGTCCTAGGCTCGTCAGCTCCCCGGTCCGTTGATCTAAAATGGCGCCAACAAACGGAAGAAGAGTGTGCACTGGTTGTAAAAAGAAATGTAAGGTATATGGCGGAGATAGGTTGCTTTTCAAAAGAAGAGTCGGTATGGTTGACAAGAGTATTCAATCGTAGCAAGTTACGGTAGGATTATTGAATAGACATGTTTTGAAGCTTAAAAAGAGCCGTCGAATAGAGCACGTCTGTAGGAAGCAGCCGGTTTAATATTGAAAATGAGTCTAATAAAGTATATTAACATGATGAATCCAATCACTTTTGATAAACGGATGATGAATAGGATACCTAAAGTATTAAAAAAAAGGAAAGGAAAGAAAAAAGGAAAAAACTCATAAATTCATATATCACGTTAATTCTATATCTTCTAACATACTATAGCCTCACAGCCTCAGGTATGTTAATGGGTATTAATTGGTTCGATTCCAGATGTCCTATTGCATAGACCAACCACAATTAGACGAGAATATGCAACATAAATCTTTCTACGTCTAATTCTGCTGAGACTATGGACAGCCTTTGCAAGAAATAAGGCGATAGAAAGATATGCCGGTGGTACCTTGAGCCGTTGAAACTGACTCCTACTCCTACCGATCCGCATATACCTGATACTTGACCTCCAAAGCGATTGCGCCACTATTTGATACAGGCCTCACTATGTTAACTAATACTATTCTCCCCTCGCTATCGCTCACACCATTCAGCAAATTCAATACTTCTGACATCTCAAGTTCCCGTTCATTACCTAATTGCGATAATGATAAGTCTCTCACCCGCGCGAGGGTTGCCGCCTCAGTGCTCCCTAAACCAGGCTCCAAAGATACAGGTGCGGTAAGAACCATAATGGCTGAATGATTCACCCGAATCGCATTCAAATGCGCATTCAGTTCGGCTTTGATTTGCGTCGCAAGGGAAGTGGACGACACCCCTAGCATCGGAAGGGGGAAATTGAGTATGTAAACCGCGGCGTCTTGGATGTGCTGCGGGGTTCCTGGGACTCGGTGCTGCACAGTGATGCGTGGATCCGGGTACGGATATCGCGTATTATCGAATTTCGAAGCTGTATGCCCATGTCTACTAGAGGAGACTATGGCCATTGGGCTTAATTGGACTGTGAATCGAAGTCTCGGATATTGATTTGCGAGTGCTGAGGCTCGCTCCGTTGATCGCGCTCCGACCTACATATACGCGACGAAGAAATGCCGTTAAAAAAGGATCATCATCTAGTTAGTGATTGAAAGGGATGGAGTTACCTCGACGACGGACGCATTTCCATTCCGGAGAGGTTCGAGGCAGGTGAGAATATCCGTTGCTGTGTCACAAATATACCCCGTTCCGTAGCGGAGATACGAATGCCATTGACGCTGGAGCCGTGGGGATTGGGTCTCACCTGCACTTGAAAAGATGGTGTTATTGAAGCTAGTATTATGCATGGTGTTGGATGACTTTTCGGAAGACCCAGAAGGTTGCTTGATGGCTGCTGTCATTTCCAAAGCAGCTGGAGCTGCTGTCCCAGCTAGGAACATTGCTGCGTCTAAGTAGGATGGTTTCGCCACAAATGATATCGACAACGGGGTATGAGTTATATAGCCCTGCTGGGACAGCTGTAGAAATCCGGCAGTAGTCACCATTCGTATGACGCGACAGAGTTGGGTCTCCGGGACGCCTATAAGATCCGCCACGTCTTTGACCGAGGCGCCGCCTTCTAAAGGGATATAAGCTGGGACTTGAAATTCTCCGAGCCACTGCAGGCAGGCTAGTAGTTGAGTCTATTATATTGCAATCAGCTAACTGCGTCACGGTATTCTGAGGATTCCATTTGGAAGGGCGGGGAGGGAAAGAGCCATGTTACCTGGCTGACCAGCTGCTGCAGAAAATCCGTCGGCCCGGCTAACATGGTCTGGAGTTTGTTGATGCTTGCAAGAGCAGATTCTCGTACGTGGTTGATCTCCCTCGCTTCTCCTAGAGGCATCATTTGTGGTAGTTTCCAACTTGTATCCTTGATAGGAACTTCAATATCATTATTCTGGCAGCATAATACAAGCTTCTTGATCGCTGTTGAGAGCTCTTCAGTGTAGGCCTCAAGCTGGGCCAAGTGAGTACTTGTCATGGCGCAGGGGGTAGAGAGGCTCAAAGCACTTTATCGCGGGGATCCGATCATTCAATATCGATATAGATTGAATCTAACGCACAAAACTATTTTGCCGGCCACCTACCCAATTGGGAAAGTATACTGTAGTTTTGGTCGGCCGAGCTCTTACCCGAAGGCAAACGGCCCCCAAGGCTATCCTTTCCCTTATCATGGTCGGTGGGGTTGGTATGAGAGCTACTTACTGATTTCGGCCTCAGTTGTAACTCTCGTAAGTAAACTGTGCACCAACATGTATTACATCATTCGATACGCGTAGCTCGGGGCAAAATAAGGTTTTACTCGGCGCGGAAGTCACTAGCACGATAGTGCCTCCGGTATACTGTATTTCGTATTACAATTACTTCGTGAAGCCAAATATCCAACTAACGGTGCTAGCCACACTAGCATTCCCGGTTCCAATCCAAATTTTCAGCTCAATCGAAATGTAACTTTGCTATGGGCTTCCCATATAACGAAAAGATACAAATCAATTTTTATTAATAATTCTACAACCACAATGTATTCTTCAATTAAAATGAAGAATTAACTTTATTTATATCAATTTAAGTCCGTATTTAGTAAATTATTTTCCTTTTTATTTAAAAAAAGAATTTATAACGCCCCTATCCGAATGTGAAGAGGTATTGCTTCTATATAGCGCACGTGACACAGCGCTAGTGTCGAACTTTTAACCACTAGACCAAAAAGGGCGCAACCCTTACGTAGTAAGGATTCTAGTGGTATTATAGTCGTATATTTAGTCTGACAGCTAGTAGGTCACGTACTTCAGCACACCGCTCATAAATACTGGGCCAAATCCTTATAGTGAAAAGGGGTAGCGAATAGAGCTACCCTTACGCACGGCACGTACTAGTAAAACCTTATTCGATATAGGAATCAAGATATTCACTCTACCAACCCTATCCCTTACAGAATATTTTTCTAATTATAGCTAACATAGATATATAAATTTCTTTAAATTTCTTATTACTTAGCTTGGATTAAGCGAGTTGTTAAGAAAAATTGATTTGTACCTTTCATATGGAAAGCCCATAGCAAAGTGACATTTTGATTGAGCTGAAAATCTGGATCCGAACCGGCGTGCACCAAAAGCGGGAGTGTTACTGAGGCTAGCACAGCAATATAATCTATGTAACGGGGATATTTGGCAAATCCCCTCAAGTCGGGATTAGCGCATACACAATTTGATTGGTCCACTCTGTAAAATTGACAGCATTCTAGGCTTAAATTTATTTTGGTTCGGCACAAAGAATTGCTCTTTATCTGAATTGAGTATGGCGAAATAAACCAGGTTGATTGTTCAAGTCGCGGTTTCACCGTCATGACCGATCATGTCAACTACTTCTGGCTCCACTGGTGGGTTAAGCGAGAATATCGAGCTGAACTAGCACTACAGGCGGCTCCGTGACCGCAAAAACTTCTCCAGCCAATATCTTGACTAGTACTAGAATAGGTTTCATATTATGCTTTGTTTAACACTGAGTAAATCATATAGTAGCTTTATAAGCTACAGACAGAACGTTAAGAGAAATATAAAGATGATAATATCGCCTTTGTTCTAGACTTATGCATGAAGGTCTGCTCTAGTTCAACGGGAATTCTATGCATTCATAAAATCTATGAGCGGTTTAACCATGGTATATCGCTCTAATTAGACGACTTCTATGAGCACTAGCGTATTGAGAGACATGTAAATAATGCGCCTCTTGATCCACATTTATTCATCAAAGAACCACAAGAATGCATGCGGAAGGGCCGTGCGAGTAAATGAAAGAGATAGTGTATGAATGGTAATTCTACTGGCAGGGAGCTATTAAAAGTTTGAGATTGTTGTATAAACTAAGTAATAGATTGTTTCCATAACATCTTACTATTAAGCATAAGTTACTAATTAGATTGAAATTATATAAGAATCTATATAGTAACTTATTAAGAAACATTTAATAAATAGATCGATTTCTATAAATTGATTTTTCGGAGACTTTAATGTAGCAGAAAATAGGCGGTAAGTGTCAGGAAACCGGAGTCGTGACGAAGGCCCGAGCATGTATCCGTTATACACGGCGGATATAGCTTCTGTAGGAAGATCTGTAACGGCCGTTAAGAGACACGTGGCTACAGTAACCTCGGCCAAAGTAAAGGCGCTACGGTAGGGTACGGAAATCACCTGACTCACCTCGTATCTACTATTCCATGACCCCTACGAGTCCTAGTACGGCAGTCGGTCACCTTCGATCCAACACTATATCGTGATAGTAGGACTAAATTTAACCTAATAAGATGGCAGAGACTTCAAAAAGCCGATAAGCCAATGGAAACTGTTTTCTGTTGGTAATGAACATCACCTGCCTGTTTCGGAGGCCAATGGCGCCAGAGGCCGTCCGCCCCAAGCCATCCGCCCCCAAGGAGAGACACTGTCCCGCCTACGAGACACCCTGCCTGGTTAGGCTCCAAAGTAAGCTTATATAGCGTGTTACCCAATCGAAGTAGTGGCAGCCCCACTACTCTCTATGTCTCACCTTTTGGCGGGGAGGTAACCGCCGACTGTGTTGTGTGGAGCGGATTGCAAAAAGTGTCTAATAGTGATGAGGAAACAATCACCAGGACGGCAAAGGAGCAGCGACCGGACAGTACTATTATTCTTCCTGGTGGATATCTAGAATATACGCCTGGTGACACCATAATTTTAATTATTATCTAGCTCATGAAACCTTGTTTGATAAGGAACTTCTTTTAGTCAATATAGTCAAGACTCTACATATCTGTATATATAAGAATTACAGCTTGTCAATCTTGTGAGGCGAAACGCTGGTGAAGCATATTAATTTTTAATTGACATGAAGAAAGGAGAAATATTGACCTAGACTATAATTGAATACTCCCAAAAAAAAGAACACAGAAATATCAAATGCGATGTTAATTTATACGTGAATTCGATGCGATAAGCCTTGTCCAATGACAGTCTTTGTTAGGGTTATGACCAAGCACTCGGAGAACGGGTTGTTGTCATCACCGCGATTGCCGATGGGGCGATTCAAGAGTCCGACGACGATCACAATAGAATTGCTAACATCTCGAAATCGACGGGATTAGCAACTCTATTTCCTCCACGCCTCCACTTACGTGCATGGAAGCGTGAGAGCTATTTTCCTTCTTGTTAGGATTTCCCTTGACTAGTTAGTTGGCGGCCCCCAAATGAATCAGCGGTATTCCTGATGTCTCATTCCTTATAAGGTACTCTATGAAGGCTCCAAACTTTCTCTTCCCTCGTGGTACCGATATGAGGCAATCAATCAGGATTTGAGTAAGATTCGTATCAGGGTCCACATAACTGCATTCATTACTCTCAGGTACTCCACACGGAGTAACCGACTCATTTAGCGAACAATTATGGCGAATAATCCACGGATTACTAGGCTTCCATTTTAAAATCGTACTCTGTGTTTCAACTTTCGAATATCAGTCTGTCACGCTTCAAGTTGAAACAAGGTCTGAAAAAATGGACGAAGTTGAAACAATGTCTGAAAAAAAGGACAAAGTAGATATAACACACAATGCATATTTCAACAACCAGCCCCTGTCGGGACAGTAGGTCAGAGACTAAGGTCTTGTTGTTATAGCTGGGTTACCCATGCTGGCGCTAAATTTGGACAAGGTTTGCAAGGCTACATACTTTGCATGACGACTAAGACGTGTTTTTGCAAATTACCAGTTCCCGAGTCCACGGATTTAAAAACGTGCTTGAATTATGTAACACTGTATAAAGTAAAAATTACAAAAGATTGGCACTCCAAGTAGCATCTTCAACCCCCCTGTTCCTCCGCCTCGAAAGCTTTTAGACAAATCGTCGATAAATATCTTTAATTATATGCAGGCTTATCAGTCACATTCATCATCCATGACCTCCTTACAATCTTTTCTTGCGCCTTTAGCTCGTCGAGGTCTGGTGCAAGAGGGTCCCAAACTGCGCGATAGCTGCAACGCTTGCGCCGTGTCCAAGATCAAATGCAGCAAGGAGAAACCAGGATGCGCTCGCTGTGTAAAGCGAGGCATGGTTTGCGAGTACTTTGAGACCAAACGCACGCGCCGGAAGCAGGGAAACCGGTCAAACAATCGCTACTATCAAATGCCTCCAGCTTCGCTGATGACGGCGTCCACCACTTCTGATCCTGAGATGTTGGCTTCGCCAATTGGCATGCAGTTGTCTCCCAGCTCACCACCTATGGGCTATTCAGATATATTCTCGGGGGTTTCTTCGTCAACGGATCCAACAACAGGGACACCCGCCTCGAATTGCCACTTCGACGACTTTCTAGCCTCCCCCATCTCGTTTTCCTTGTTGGACATGCCCGCTACGAATGATATGATCGCTCCTTGCCCATCGAGTCTCCCGGAAAACGATAGCAATACAACAGATCTCAGAAGAACAGCCTCTCTTCTTCCCCCCAGCAATGGTCCTCCAATAGAAACCACCACAGTTCCTGATTGTCGGCCGCCTAACTCCGTACCGGAGCAAGAACCACCAGACAGCCAGTCGTTGGTGATGAACGAACTCGACTCCGGGCTGACATCCTCTTGCCTCGCCAATGCGCTTCGCCTTCTCAAACAACTTCCCTCACCAGCGTCTACATCCTGCCAGTCGTCCAGAGTCCAGGGCTTCGAGAAAAACCAAGGGCTCGGCCAAACCCCATCTCTCCAATCAGTAATCGCCATTAACGAAAAGATTGTCCAGGCTATTAGCGATATCCTGCAATGTCAGTGCTCCCAGGATGGACATCTTCTAGCTATTCTATCTATAATTATTTTCAAGGTCTTAGGCTGGTATGCCGCTATGGTGCGGCAAATGCCTGGTTTTGATGGTGACGGCCAGTGTTGGGATGCCCTTGATTCTAGTCATCTGGCACAGCAACAGCTCAGACAGGCACAAAGGACTCCCTTCAGGGTGGTTGATAACTACTGTGTGGATGGCGAGGATAAAGTTCGCATAGCCGCGCAGCAGATTCTCAGCCAACTCCACCGTGTTCAACGTTTGGTCAATATCTTTTCGCAGCGCTTCAAAATCCATAAGGGGCACACAGAAGCCTCGAGTTCCTCCTCCTCATCACCCTCCGGCCCTGTCGGGGTTTCATCCGTAGAGAGTTTATTTTATGTTCCGGGTTCTCTGTTGGAGCAGATTGAGGGTGACCTACGCAAGCGCCTCCGCAACTTGTCGGCAGAGATTGTAGACACCATTCGCTAAGAATGGCAATAGGCAAAACAGAAAAACAATAAAAGGACGCATTTTATGATAACCTCTATGAGTCTATCAATCTAGATCAAAACTAAAATTACCCAGATTTATCCTCGTGTCCCGCTCCGAAATGATAACCCTAAAAATCCATATAACCATTAATCAATTGATAAGAAACCCTCTCCCACCAATGAATATCTTGGACGAATTATTCTATTACTCTGAACTTCATCTGTTATTTTGTTCAAAAAACGATGAACCTCAATTCAGCATGTATTTTTCAAAGGTATTCTAACGACGACCTTAAATTACACAGTCAAAGTCTAATCCATAATAACCGTGCTTTCTTAACATGCACCTTTTTCTATAAAATGTTACGTAGATCCATAACCCAAGCGATAAAAACTTAGTAAGGGTTAAAAGGCTAATTAATTGGCTCGACACTAAGACTAGGCTATTTTTTTTCCTTCTCTGAATGACCAAGATAGCGCTAAAAGAAAGTCTAACTATACAGTAGCTAGTAATCTCGAATCCTGAAGAATCCTTCTAGCGTTCTATTCAAACTCTTCTCTCTCCACTGTATGTAATCAAAAGTGTCCCATCTCTACACTTCAAATACATCATATCTTCGTTTTGCTTGAGCTAGAAACTTGTAATAATATCAGAAATTGGGGTATACGAACAACCATCATATTCCAATTCACCACCTACCTCCAATCAGTGTCCAACTTATGCCTACGTTCTGAAAAATCCCCACCAATACTTGCCGCCAACAGACCCAAAATCGTGTACCAGCGACTCGCCCCCGCCCCCCCCTTCTTCTCGTACGACGCGTCACCTTTCGAACTGGCTGGTAGCGACCCGATGCAATGTACCGTAATCATCTTGGCACATTAGCTACCGAAGCGTTATCAAGTTTTGTGCTCTCAGCACTCCCGGCATTCGCGAAAAATATTCCGGACTTTCATAAAGGATCATACACGTACCACTGTATCCACCCTACATGAACACTAAAGGACGCCGTCAAAAACACACCCCTGTCTACTAGGGTCAAGAGACGGGTAGGAATCGGTAATTAGGGAACAGGAACCAAGAATAGTCAGCCACTAGCCCCGGCGAGGCTTTAAATTCGTCGTTAGGAAGTGGACCACTGTATTATAGTGATATCCTAGATAAGTAGTTCTAGTTGTATACATGCATATCCCCTCTGGAGATGTCAGCGTATGAATACACTAGCACCTCTGTACGGGTCGATTAATACCCAACTTCAATGATCCACCATAATAGCAAGGGCGGCCTATAATGTTGATTATGAACAAAGAACTCTCGGGAAAGAACCTTATTGTCTTGTCAGACCAGGTATTATTGTTACTTAGATGTTAGTATATATTGTAATATGAAAATTGCTTTATATCTAGAATTTTTTAATATCAATTATAATATATTATGGTTGGTTCCTAAGATAGCTTCGGGATCCCTGGCCCTACCGGTCTTACCAGATTTGGCCTGGAAAGGCTTTCTAGTCTGGCCATGTTAAAAAAGGATCCCATTTACCATGGTTGCTTTGCTTTAGATAGCTACTTATATTAGGATATAAAAGTACTGCTGACACCTTTGGTAAACTAACCCTTTATTTACCACCACTGTTCTCTTCCGTCTCTTCCAAAGGTGAATTATGCCCTTGCGAAACTGAAACAGATGAGGAGTGGAGAATATATTCGAGGAAAACACTAACTCTACATGGTCACCACAGCCTTCCCTGATGTTCGTCCTCCATAAACAGCCTCGAATGCTTTGTAGGCGTCTGATATCGGAACAACCTTGCCGATCATAGGTTGAATATTCTTAGCGATCACAAACTGAATGAGATCCTTGAACTCTTGCATCGTTCCCGCATATACACCGTGGATACTGATTTGGTCATTGAATATCCGCCGAAGACTCATCGATACCTGGAATCCGCCATGAGCCCCGCAGGTGACAATCGTTCCACCTGGCTTCACGGCCTCCAATGTATGTGCCCATGTAGCTTCACCAGACGTATCAAACACGGCATCAACAAGGGAAGGAAGTGACTCGCCAGGCGCAAAGGATCGCTCCGCTCCTAGCTTCTTAGCGAGATCTCGCTTCTCCTCTGACCGACCAGTACACCATACACGCATCCCAGCAGCTGCACCCAGCTGAATCAGAGCTGTAGAAACCCCTCCTGAAGAGCCTTGTACGAGCATGGTCTGTCCTGCACGGATACCGCTCTTTGTAAAAATCATCCGATACGCGGTAAGCCATGAGATTCCCAGCACCGCGCCCCGTGTAGCATCAAGTTCAGGAGGTCTCGGAAGAACATTTCTGGCGGGGGCAACAACATATTCTGCTAGCGTGCCACCGGTAATTTCATGAAAGACATGTCGGCGAGGATCCAAGGTCTCGTCACCAAGATAGTCCGGATCGCCCATGACGGGATACAGGATGACCGGAGTACCATCTTCAAGAGAACCGCAGCCCTCGCATCCAAGAATCATGGGGTAGTTGAGAGGATGGACTGCAACTCCCTGAAGCGTAAAGATATCATGGTAGTTTATAGCGGCAGCTTGTATCTTCACTCGAACCCATCCGGCTGGAACTTTGGGTAGGGGGACGTGGTCGACTTTTAACATAGCCAGCGGGTTACCAGCATCGGCTGCAGTGGCAAGCACGGCGACCATAGTCTTCTGGCTGGCAGAGTCACTGGGGATTGTGACTTGAGGCATAGTGTGATGGGGGAAGATCCGCCGTGCTAAGTTGAGGAAATGGAAAGATGACAAGTTGCTTTGGAAGACAGCAGGATCAACTGCACATTATACTTCCTTCCGTTTACCATCCTCTTACCTTTATATTGCTTCGTGTTGCTTTTTCCAGTCCCATGTAGCTAACAAGGAGTTCCGCTACTGAAGCCCTCATTCCCCCTAATCCACTATAAGTGAATTGGTAGCTGCATAAATTGAGTCAGAGGACAAAAGTGGAAATTCCACATGCTCAACCAGGTTATGATGCAATATTAGTGATGGGCGGAACTTGCTGCGGAACTTCACTAACATTCACACATTTAGCCTCGCATTGCAAGAACCGAGAGAATCGTCGTACTCGCTCTTTCTTTCTTCGTTGTTTATCCCTTTTGTAGGAAACGTAATCCCCATTCACATTTAGCTTCCATGGTTCTACGGCCGCATAGGACTTTCTGTTGTAAGATGCGGAAGACGCTAGTCTTCCGCATCTTCCACGCCTTCCGCCACATGAGTGTTCTCTGGGTTTTAATAAATTATTAATCACTACACAGACTGTAGTTGGGGCTGAATACGATGAGAGAATTATGCGGAACAAGTTCCACTCCTCCGCTCCGTTCTGGACTTGATATTCGATGGGGCTTCCACGATGAAATGAAGTCGCATATAACTATCGCCGTCCGCCCGAGCAATTCACTGACTGCGATCATTTCTCCTGCATACCGCACTGCCTATACTGCGAGTATCTCACCAGCTAATATCACCACCAGCGACTCCAATAAATCGAGAATTTCATCAGTCACTGCTCACCATGCTGTTAGGCGAGTGGGTTGATCAGCTCTTCACCAAGGTGTTTTTCCAACCTGATGATGACCTCTCCACTAAAACGATGGAAAGTCATTTCAGTCGTGATCTCAAAGTCCGGTATGTTTTCACATCCCTCATACCCATGTCCGGTATATTCGACATGCTGACTATACCGGTAGTGTCAATGGCGTACCCCTTGACTATGACAAGTACAAATCTGCCATTCTGAATGGCCGTGCGCAAAATTTGTACTCGATCCAGAGCAATCAAGAGCTGCTATCCAGTCACGACGGAATTGAAACCGTCGGTAGTGGCGGCTCGGTTGCCCATATTTCTACATACACGGAGATGGATAAGAAAACTAGATTGGAAAAGCAGCAATCGACGGTTACGTTGGCAACAGTAGCAGTTCTTGATGGGAAGAAGGTGTTGATAGAGTTAGTCGAGGTCCAGCGTGATGCTTGAGATTGGAGATATAAGGGCAGTGGATCATTTTTGTTATCAGGACAAAGATTTAATACTGATCTCTAACACACTGGAATACTTAAATATTATTAAACTCAACAACACTACACATCTAGTTATATCTTTTCGTAGCCATCAAAGCTCGCATCGGCCAGAGTGGTTTCATCATGTTGTATCAGGTCAATCCCAATGGGAAAGAAGTCCGAATTTCGAATAACTGACGATTAGATCTAATTTATACCAATTTAATAGTGGATCTGATCGCATGCAACTTCCAAAATAAGTTAAAATTTAGCATGAAGTTGATTCACATGAACTTGAGGCGTAAAATAAGTCTTTAACAGCACAATTCTGACAACCATATAATTTGTGTTCTGATTGTAATTAAAAGGCTCGAGTCCAGCGTTTATATAGTATACTAGAAGCTTATATCCAATCAATATTGCCCTGAACGACTTCTTAAGAACACCATGTGACGAGTCTGGCATATCTCTGTGCTAACATCCAAACCCGCCTCTATTCTTCAAAAAGTTGCAGAAGAAACTTATATCCAGCGGTGTGTATGAAGACTCTGCCATAACCTAGGAAAATAATGCGCCAGCAACCCTTTGAGCTGAAGCGGAAGCAGGACTTTCAGATCCGGCTTTAAACCTTTTTTCGACAAGCTTGTTACCGCAACCCAGTCATAATTCTCGTCAGGACCACGATCGGCGACCTCAATCATCGCGGCGGCCAGATCTAGATAGGACAAGAATGCAGGTGTTTCAGAACTTTCGCAATGGTGTATATGGTGGCCCTGGATCGGACCGGGTGTAAGACCCGGAGGTTGCACGAAGGTCGCGGGAAGCCATCCTTTCTCATTCCGATACATCTGTTCAGTGACGCGGAGATCAGCGTAGACATTTGAGAATGCCCTTATCACTAGCCATCTTACTATTACTGGCATCTTTGCGGTCTGCACAGGATTCACTGGAGCGGCAGATAGTACTACGACATGAGGTGCTCGGAATGGGCTCGGATTCTGGAATCCATTGGCCTGTTGTTTCAAGACAGTGATTATCGCCATGCAGGTGTCTCTTGCAGTTCGCATGCCGGGTATATTCTCGTTTTCTGCGACGCAGGAGAACACAGCATCAGCCCCTGTGAGACAGGCAGCCATAAGGTCATTGTCATTGATGCTGCCCTCGAAGATCTGGACATCTGGTCGTGATGAAATCGAGGGAAACTGGCGCAAGAGTTTCGCCCGGGAACGGCAATAGACGTGCAAGATTATGGAGTTTGTAGAGGCTTGATTTTCGAGGAGTATTTGGAGGATGCTGCTTCCCGTTGCTCCAGTGGCTCCTAGGATGGCGTACGTCCGCATCTTGGGGATTTGAAGAGTCTTTTCAACGAGCTAGCATACGAAATAGATATATATAACTCATCAGCATGGTATAGATGGTGACATTAGGCGAGGGTTTTGACGGGTCTAGTAGACACATATGTATCACCTCGAGCAGTTACTTGTGTCAGCAGCTCCGGGAGTTATCAGCTCCGACACGACAAAGAGGCTTTCGCGTAATGGGTTTAAAGGAGGTTTCGTAGATCGTATTTATCGCTGGCCAAGAAACGCTGAACAGTGGGTGGTAGCTTGGATGTCGGCGTCATCGGCAGTTATCAGCGCCGACACGACAAGCGCGCTTTGATCACGTACCGAGATTCAACTTAGACCAAATAAGCAAATACAGTTTCTGCCATTTGGAAAATGCCGACAGTGAAAATTGATGCTTGTCTCGTTTACATCCTGAGCTGATAGTCCAGTATACATATATCCTCGAACAACAAAGTCAAGCATGTGAGTCCCAGCGGGTTGCTGCTCGAGAATTTGGATAATATACGACGCGAAGTGCGCGATATGAGATGGTGCAGATTGTGGATTGGTGAGCTGGCAAGAAGACATGCACTCAGTTTCAAAAGTATAATTCGGATCGTCTGTAATAGATAGCTTGATGAAGTTGCTCACCACATAGACTACAGATAACCCGCTAAAAGTGTTAGTGGGGAAAGAGATATTATCAGAATGAGCTTCGATATTTGTGACTTCGTTAACCTTGAAAGCTAAGGCACAGTTGCTCTTAGAGTTGTAGATGATAATGCGAATAGCATATTTGTTGTTCTTTAATAGACCATAGAGTGGTAATAATGTCGACAAGTATAATAATCTTAGACATTTCAGCATCAATGCTGAGAATAATTAATTGTATGTTAGAACACGACGGTACTCTAATTTGTTACGCTTTCCTATAGTCACCATCACCCCTTTCTAATATTCAGTGGGACTAGGAGTACTCTTCAAGCTTCATTCGAAACAAGTATTCTTTCAAGCTGGTAGCGCTTATAGTCTTCGATCGTAGTATCCAATGGCTGAGATCTCAATCGGAGGATTATTCAACCGAACACGAGGGAAATCATTTGACAAGTTCTGGCCTGAACCATGCCTTCTCTGTTAGCATTGGTTTCCGTCTTATGTCGTAATTAGCCCATAGGGCATGTCAGAATTATCTGACCATATGCTCGGAATCGGCAGAATATGAGGCGGGCATCGGGTTAAATATTGGAAATATTGGAAAGGTCTGGCCGCATCCGAGGGAATTACAACTTCATTAATAAACTGAGAATGCCCTGAAACAAATGCTTAAATACTATTCCTTCTGACAGAGCCGAAAATTATTGTAATATAAACTCCAGATTGTATCCAATAATAATCATCGCGAGAAACAAGATGGTACTATTAATTCATGGCTCCTCCCTCTCTCCCTGTACCAAGCGTGTTCAGGTTGTTTTCCATGAGAAAGGCATTCCATTCGAATTTAATCCTGTGGATCTAAGCAAGGGAGAACAAAAGAGCGAGTTGCATGTTCAGAAACAGCCTTTTGGTAAGGTTCCTGTTCTAGAAGAGGACGGGTTTATGCTTTATGGTGCGTTTACCACTCCCCCTGTCCACCAAGTTTGGCAATGAGGTATTTAATGTTTTGGGTACAGAAAGCCGAGCAATTTGCCAGTACATTGCAGCGAAATATCGAGATCAAGGTACCGATTTATTCCCAGATAACGACAATGTAGAGGAATTTGCATTGCTGCAGCAGGTACACAAATTTCTAAGCTCAACACATGTACGCTATGCGAACAAAGATTGACGTTTGAACGCCTGTAGGGAATTTGCGCCGAACTTTCTAATTTCGATCCCGTAGCTTTTGGAATTTGCAATGAAAAGATGTTCAAGGCCGAGCCAGCCGATGAAATCAAAGTCGCTGAACTGTCAGCCAAACTCAAATCAGTACTGGCTGGTTATGAACGCATTCTGGTGAAACAGAAATACTTCACGGGGCACAAGCTGAGCCTCGCCGATCTATTTCATCTTCCATATGCCAGTCTGCTCGAGACCTTAGGTTATGGCGGCTTGTTCGCTGAGTTCCCTGCCTTCAACTCGTGGCTCAAGGGATTACAGGCGCGAGACAGTTGGAAAACAGTCTCCTATTAGAACAGACTTAATATACGATTATGTTTATTGAACTTTGAACTATTGGTATTCTTCATTCAGTCATATAGTATTCAAGAAGCTACATTAGATGCCCAGAGGTAGGGTGGCCACTGAAACTGAAATCCCTCGGTGGGAAGGCCCAATTTTTAATCTGTATCATAATTAAAACTTTCTTTTTTTCTACATAATCTAATACTTTATTAAAATTATGTTTTTATTTATTCGGCTGGCACCAGAACAGACATCGGGAAAACTAGCTAAAATAGTTATGCGTGCATCCGATTGATATACTTACTATACCTTCCCCTGACCAGTGACTTGCAACAGGTCTCTGTAAGAATTCCACGTATTGGGCGTGTAATGTTGTTTGGGTAGTCAAAATGCCTAGCTTGCGACATCTTTTGCGAAATTCGGCGCCAAAGAGTGCCGAATCCTTTGCGACCGATAAGCGACGGCGAACTCCGCAAGTCGAGAACCTTACTCAAATTCCATTCATTTGATATAAAGTTGCATATTCAATGTCAATCCTGTACTTAATTTCATATGCAAGATAAATGAGCGAATCCCATCCACAATGCCTAACAAGCGGCGTCCTATGTCTTGTCAAACCTGTCGACGGTTGAAAACCAGATGTGAGGCGTCTCCGGGATCGCAAAGATGTAACCGATGTACAACACTGAGGTAAAGCCTGGCGTAGTGCGGTTTTGATTCTCATCATATGAATATTGTTGATGCCATGTCATAGACTCGATTGTTCTCTCCCATTTGCTCCGAATGAAAGCTCTTCGACTCCATCCCTAAGGAGTCAGGTAGAGGCCGGGTCCAGTCATAATAATTCCCAGAATGACCAAAGAGTCATATGCGAGTGTGGCGACCGGTAGGTGATATTTCTCTCTCTGAACACATTTAGAAGATACGGAAGTAACTGCTGGTAGCCTTGATGCTATTGAGACCAGTCTCTCGGAAATAAAGCAGCTTCTGCTCAATTCTCAGAATGTGACATCACAAATGCTGAACGGGGGGTGTCTTCCAGACTCAACGAGCAATAATATTCAAGCAGACAGTAGTGATGCAGGATCCTATGAGCAAGATATTGAACCAGAGGAAGAGGCTTCTGTTATGGACAGATTTTCTGATTCCAAGGTTCTTGAGGAAACTGGACAGGATGTACAGGCTGCACCAATCAAGGTTGTCCGTCACCTTCACACATTGATAAATGGATCTCCTTCTCGTGACCACAGCGAAAACATCATTGATGAGCTCTCAAAAATGGACTTAGCTTCTGGCGGGTTGGTGAATGTTCTGCTTGAAGGGTACGCTTATCACTTATCGCTAGATGAGCGCTCTCAAGAGGAGATGGCATCCCCTCCTATTTGGCCAGAAACATGAACTAACGCATCTGTAGCTTCAAACAAATTTCTCATTTGCGTCCCTTTATAATACATGATTCTCCTGAAGAGCTGTTAAAACAGAATCATCACCTTCTCTTCGCCACTTGCCTTCTCGCCGGAATACAAACAGTGGGGTTATGCCACGGCTCGGCCTTGCATAGATCACTATACGGTTGCGTGAAAAGTCACTTAGGGATAGAGATGCTAAATACGCCTGTTCCTCTCTCAACGATTCAAGCCCTGCTAATTTTCAGCACATGGAACCTCTGCCCTAGCTTGACGACGCGGTATATTGATAGCTGGTTTCTCAGTGGCTCGGCAGTATCGCATTCTATGGTTACCCTCGACTTGTCCAAGTTAGCTGCCAAGTCCCATTTTCGTGATAAAGGTGCTCGGGATAAGTATCGGACGTGGATGCTAATTTTGTTGGTTCATTTGAAGTATTTTCTTGATTGCCATTTTCTTATTCTTAAACCCGATCTTTCTTGCATGGGATATTTCACATTGAGACTAATTTTTGTGTTAGATTTGCTGTCGGCACAGGGCAACCATCAGTTATCGACATCGAGTCCTTGAAAAGATGGACTGTATCAGTAAACCCACTTCCAAAGAATTGTGAGCCATGTGATAAAGCAACAGCCGCCGAGCTGGAACTGTACATCTTGCTATATGAGGTTGTCCACAAAAATGAGAAACCTATATCTACAGCATGGAGTCAGGTGGAGAATTGGGCCGAGAGGTATTTAAATGGTAAGTATACATAGGTCCCAAATATCCAGATGGCAATAAATGGACTGAAAAAAGGAACAGAGGGAAAAGAAACATTTCTCGGAAATTATTTAAGCCTGTGTTTCGCCTATTCATCCGTTAGTCTCATCCTAGCTCGATGGGAACTTGCAAAAGCGCAAAAACGCAGCAATAACTTGTCCCATCAACACCATCATCGTCGTAATCGTAGCCAGGAAGAGGTGGCAAACAACGATCAAAATGATTCCTCTACAACTCACGTCCGATTCTCAAGTCAAATTAACCTAATCCTCCGTCACTCCCACCTCCTACTAGACCAGGTAATGGACCTCTGTTCCCAAACAGCCCTAGTCAATCCATCCTATGATTTCCTCCTAACTGCCTACGCGGGAGTCACACTGGTCGAGTACGCCACGTTCATCACAAATCCACAATATACGTATGAACTAATGGAAAAGGTTCAATTTCAACAAGCACGGTGTCGTGGTTCGAAGTATTTGGAGTCAGTGTTTAATTGGGCGACGAACGTAATGAGGAAAAGAGTGTATGATTTTGTTCAGCAGCAGCAGGCTAAAGTGAATGAAGTGAAGGAATCAAATTTAAGCGATACGCAGTACATAGAAGATCAGGATCTGTGGACTGTGCCAACGGATTGGGTTCCAAATGTTCTTGTTTGTTCGAATTATGATTTGGATCAGGATGAGTTCATGAATGTTATATAATTATAATGCTATACACACAGGTATCAAAACTATATCTATTCACCTTATATAACGGTAATAAACAGATCCCTAAAAGTATGAACAGCAAAAAAGAAGTTCCCTCAGAAAATCCGTTTCTCAGAAGCATCTTGTCCCTTTTCAACATTAGCTTCCTGCGTCACCACATCTACACCATCGCTCACAATCCCTTCTTCAGTAATTCTCCCTAAATGATTTTCATCCGAATAATCTTGCGGCTCTTTCCACCCTAGAGCCTTATCAACCATACCCGAAAAAGGAAACCAAATACAAAAAAGATAATACAGTCCGAACGCAATCAGAAGCCCAGTAGGGTATGCCACGTAATAAAACCTTTGAATCCCCATAGGCGCACTCACCCCCAACTGGTTTAAAAATCCATAGAAATGAATAGCGACAGGGACCAGGTAAGCTACAAAAGCGCGAATGTTGAAGCCGTAGGTATAGTAATAATAATTTTCCTTCTGACTTCCGATATAAAGTAGTGGGATATCCAAGTAACCTCTACGTATGAGGTAGTAGTCGCAGATTAAGATACCAGCTATGGCGGAGAGGAAGATTTGATAGGAGGAAAGGAAGTTGATGAAGACGGCGGCAGATGAAAGAAGGTACCATGGGCAGATGGCATAGGAAAGAACTGTTGGGTTATCAACTCTTGTGTGAATATCCAAATCACGGGTCGAACGTACCTGCGCAGATAAAAAACCCGCGTTTTATTGTAATGTACTTAGGTAACAATGAAGCAATATCATTACCAGCTCTTCGTAATAATTAGTTATGATAGTAGTGAGGAGAAAACGGGAAAGAACGTACGGAATAGAATTCTCAAATATCGCTGAAGAAATCGAGGCGTAGACGAATGCAAGCGAAATTAAAGCGCAACCAGCGCGGTTAGCGTGAGTATATCTCTCGCCTTCCATGAGTTTGTCGAGAAGAGTCAATGGGTTCCAGATCAGCTACAGTCAAGGTTTTGTCAGTACAGAAGAACCATCAACACAACGAAAAAAGAATCACGTACCTCTCCAAAAATGCCCTTCCCAGCAGCCGCAATCACATTCCCACAAACAGCAACGATGAAATTTGAGAGTGGGAAGCCAATGACCTGACCTAAGATTACGTTGTTGGGCCTCTTGGCGTACCGCTGGAAATCAGCTGCATTTGAAATAAACGTGCCACAGCTAGCGAGGCCGAGAAATAAGAATTTACAGATCACCCAGCTCTTCGTAGATCCACTGACAGTCGATGGTTGATTGAGAGCGCTTGTAGGATTGCCAGCGAGGCAGACTGTCCAGCCTATCATACCGAAGACTGCGGAAAAAAAGATGGCTACTTTAGCGTATACAAGACCTTTCATCTTGGGAACGGGGATGACGAGGAAGGCGCAATTAAGAATCCTATCATAATCATAAGCCTTTCCGTTACTCTAGAAATAGATTAGACGTACCAGTATATGAAGAAACACATCATTTGTGCCGATGTCAATGCAGATTTTGTGCCCATTTTATCCGGGATGTTCTCAATCGAAGGGAAAATGGCATGCAAACAGACGCTGTCAATCCATCAATCGTGAAATGTAAAAAGAGCCATCAATTTACATGAAACTTACTACAGACATTGAGCTCCCTGAACGGAATTTACACCATTCCAAACAATCGACATACAGGCACGATTAAAAGTAGGCCATATCGCACCCCAAGTGCCAAAAGACGAACGACAGAGAACAGGAAAGGGGATACGATAGATCGCGCCGGCACGGCCGTTCACAGCTATCAGAAATCCAGCTAAAAACTGGCCACTGAGAGAACACACGATAGCTTCCCACATGGTGAGGCCCTCCGTCATGCCAGTCGACGCGGCGTATAAGTTGCTAACATTGCTTGTGGCCGAAAACCAGAACAGGGCGTAAGTCAGTTGAGTCCATGTTCGGTCTCTGACCGGAACTGGCCTGATTGAGTTATTTTCGAGAGCAGAGACTGGTTGCAGGTTGCCATATTGGTCAACTTGCTTGACTAGTATTCGGTTATGGAGACTGGTGAGGGTCGATGTCATCTTGCGGTTTGAGGTGCGGAATATACTATTTTCATAATACTATTTGCGTAGAGACTCATGAACAACGTGAAGGCGTCTCGTTCTTTTAATGGCTTGAAGTCGCCGGATGTCCAAAGGAAGTAGTAAGTAGCAGCACAATCACTGCACGTAGATAACGGATTCGTCATGGGTGCCCATTCGAACGAGATCAATGCCATGGCTCCTCGCTGATACCGACAATTCTTTATCGCGATATAAACAAAAACCTGAATCTTATTTGCTGACTATTTTTTTTGGAATTCGTAGTTATACCTCTGATAAGGTGAGGGGTTAGGCGACGGTTACCGTCGCGCTTTCGGCCCTATTCCGACGGTAATCGTTGGGAGTCAGAGATCATCGATCTCGAGTTGCTTGCTGCTCGGGGTGGGAAATAACACAAAGTAATACAACAGAATAACAATTACTAAATGGGAAAGAGACCTTTTAAAATAACAGCCAAGCCACCAACTCTTCGATCCTAGACCGTACAGACATCAAACGGAGATACTTAAATCTCAAAAACGTCAAAATGGTCACAGAAACAACCACTGGATACACCCAAATCGAACTTCTCACGTTGTCCGGCCCAGAATACCGGCGAGTGTCAACTAATCCTCCTCGGCCTCCCACAGAAGACGAAATTCCTATCATTGATTTGACACCTATCGACGGTGACCTCGAGAGTCGCAAGGAATTAGCTATGAAGATCAGAAAGGCGGCTCAGAATACTGGGTTCTTCTACATCAAAAACCATGGCATTTCCGATAATCTGATTGAAAGGGCTTTATCCCAGGCCAAGGCCTTTTTCGCGCAGTCGGATGCGGAAAAGGATAAAGTGTCCTTTCGCAAGTCGCAAATAGCAGAGGGATATCATCAGGTGGGAAGCACGCAAATAAATCATAAGGAGTCAAGAGGTTAGCCTGTCTTACGTTGAACTTTGGAAAAGGGAGGGAAAAAGAAAGAAAAGCTCATTGACAAACTTAATCAGATAATAAAGAAACGTTTTCCATTCGATATAATCCAGAATACGATCCCACTGTTGCCAACCCAGATCATCTACTCGCGAATAAAGCCTACTCTTACGGAGGCGACGGCTTCCTATGGGATGGTACAAGTCATCTTCCAAAGTTTCGTGAGACAACGATCGAATTCTGGGAACGTCGTCTCACGCTTGCACGTAAAATGGTGTCCATCTTTGCTCTTGCACTGAATTTACCCGAGGATTACTTCAACGAAATGATCACCCATCCTGGAGCAGATGGACTGTATATACACTATCCTGGAACTGGTGATACAGAAACTAATGTGGAGCTGACAAAACAAGTCGACGCTGGTATCGGGTCTCACACGGATATACAGTGCTTAACTCTGCTGTGGCAAGATATGTCCGGCGGCTTGCAGGTTCTGTCCGCTAGTGATGAGTGGCTGGATGCTCAGCCTATTCCGGGGACACTGGTGGTGAATATTGGTGACTTCTTGCAGAGGTTGTCTAACAATACTTTCAAGTCTACCGTTCACAGGGTGCACAATCGACAAACTACCTCACGCTACTCAATGCCGTTCTTTCTAGGGTTCAATCCGGATGCAATTTGTGAGGTTGTCCCATCTTGCATTGACGAGGAGCATCCAGCTTTGTATGATCCTATTTCCTGCGGTGAGGTAAGTTTAACCTATTATCAGTTAAATTAATGATGCTGAACACTTGTAATGTAGTGGCACCGTTCTCGACTTGCCCTGGCTCAAAGGCAGATCATAGTAAAATGAAAATAGCCCAACCAATTTTCATACTCAACATTATATCACATTAAGCCGCATACAAACCTTCGAAAGTGATAAGGTAGTATTTTTATTACACAGTTCTCACGGCTTTATGCCGGCCTGGAAGGTTTTCGTGTTAGTAGCTTCGGGTTTTCGCTTCAGCCCTGGACGACCAATGTAGTGGTAGCCACCAATTAATTAGTACTGTATGATTGATATCACAATCGAAATGTTGTTGCTTGACACCCAGTGATTTGCTGTAAAAATCTTTTCTTCGATGTCTAGTTTGGAGATTTGCTCTGCCTTCAATATAACAAGAAAATATTATATATCGCTATAGAGCTATATAAAATATAAAAAGTCTACAAAATCATTATTAATATACTAAACGGTTATTGATAAAAGTAAGAAATAATTTTATATTATATTTCAATTTTTTGATATTCTCATACAGCCTCTTCATTACCATAAGTAAGTTTTTGTTTCTCCTCCACGCTGTCTCTGATAACCTTGATCGTAGGGTATTCTGAGGTATCTTATCGTCCTGACTCTCCTCAACGGCAAGATTGGGTTCATTTAGATGGTCTGGGAACTGGGAAGATGCATCTACATTAAACAAAGAGACAAGGAACGAAATTGGCAGCTAGGTACAATTAACTTAGTAGTGGCTTAAAGCGGAGAATTTCTTGATTGATACTAACGATGATGGTTGCTATAGTGAATGCCATTAGCCTTTTCCCCTGTTGCACAGCCTCCTCTGATTGCTTCGTGGAAGTTTGACTAAGGCCCTTGGAAATTTTACTCTGCTCCAAAAGAATAGTATTTTGCTCGAGAATGAGAGTTGCATTCACCTAAATGAGGCCATTATTGACTTTTGCAATTGTATTCGAAGCATAAATCATATGACACTCACTGCTTCGTATATCTGATCTGTGAACTTGTCCATTGTTTCAATTTATGTTGAAAATTTGAGATACAAGGCCGTTTTTATTGACTCCACGTAGGTTTTGCTGAACACTTTGCTGGGCGTTGAGAATGGCCTTTCACATGTTGAGTTCATCACATATATCCTTAACACCACACAAAAGCGTTGCTGCTTCTTTGGTAAAGTTTTGACCATGAATGCATTCTGTCTCATCAGTGAATTACATCTATGTAGTTACACAACTGATATATAATAAGAAATATTGCGAGATTTGGAAACGTTTCTTTTACTGCTATGTATTAAAAGAAGTTTACGTTAGACGCGTCGAAGTGTTGCCATGAAAGTCATGTTTCTAAAATCTGAACATTTAGGCAACTGATTGCTACTTGCCAACTGTTATGCAATGCTAAGCAAACAATTTCCAAACTGTTCCACAACAGTTTCCCAGCAGTTTCTGTGTTCCCATATCTGCCCATACTGTGAAATGTGCTCTAGATATTCGTGTAGAAGTGGCATAAATTCAAGTGAAATTTCACTTAGCTGAATAGCCAAATACCGCGATAACATTCAATTGTCTTCCATCTTTTTTGCCTGCTTTCTTCTGTTTTTAATCCCAATATAGTGGGATATTTTCGCAGGAATTCTCGCAGGAATTCAGAAGGATCGTCCAAGGCTTGCATCCTGTGCCTTGAAATCCAGTGACAGCTATCCATTCACACATGCCACAAGCCTAGCCAGGTTCTCCAACAAAGTGTCTGGGACCTGATAGGCTGGGTTGATAGGCTGGGCTTTCAGACATAGGCCTTCTATCTTCCATTCAATGAGGGTCGTCGAGCTGCGAACATGATATGAGAAAGACAGAAAAAGTCAAGATAAGAGAAAGAAAGAAAAAGATTAGGAATTAGAATTGTTTAGTAACAGCCGCTTTTTCGACGTTTGTTAAGATGGATGGAGGAACTGTAGAGACTACACCCATGACTCATGTGGCAGTTAAAGCGGCGGGAGAAAAGGTGGGGGGAAAGAGAGTGGAAAATAGCTTAACTGGCCGTCATTTTCTCTTTCGTCTTCTTTTTCAGCGTCAAATCCGCAGGTTCTCACATTCTATTTGTTAAAGAGGACTTATCCTGGCTTTCCATTAATAGAGAAATTCTGCGTCTTCTCTCAATTGTCCTTTCTTCCCAATCTCTGTGTAGCTGCCCGGGTGTCTAATCATGGCGTCACCGCTCATTGTTGCTGTGTCGAACCTGTCAAGCCCCAGTGAAGGCGGAATAACCATTGCTGAGATCGCTCGCGTAGGAATTACACTCATCAAAGTTTCCGAGCCATCACAGGCCACGAGCTTCATCAATCAATACGCACGCCTCCTTGATATCTTCGTGGACGTGAGCGATATCGGCCTCTCCGAAGCCGCAGACATTCTCAACGCCGGTGCTACCAAAATTTTCGTCAGTCCCCAGCAATTGGCGCAATTATCTGCAGAACACGATATTCCAGCGGCTAGATTAGCCGTTCACCTGGTTTCACAGGAAGATACAAAGGCGGTTCAGAATTGGGTTTCCAATGTCCCAGACGGCAAGGATATCAGCGTCGCTACGGCTGGTAATGCCGTCGAGTATTTCGAGACTTTCGGTTTCCCACGGGACGGAACGCAGGTGTATAAATACTTTGGAGATGGTGTCACAGAACAGATTGTGATTGATAATGTGTCGCAAGGCGTCGTTGCCATTGTACCATCTACTCGACTCACCCTCACCCCACAACCCAATGACAAGGTTTCAGCGGCAAACATCCTGACCAGCAAGGCTGTAGCGGATGAACATACGGGGCTATATGCCACTTTAGTCACTGATGAACGAGGGATCGCTCTTGGCTTCGTATGGAGCAGCAAAGAAAGTCTCGTGGAAGCGCTGAAGACAGGCACCGGCGTCTATCAATCGAGGAAGCGGGGTCTCTGGTACAAAGGTCAGACTAGCGGTGATACCCAGGAGCTCTTGAGTGTCGGGTTTGACTGCGATGGCGACTGCATGATTTTCAGAGTCAAGCAGCAAGGTCGAGGTTTCTGTCATCTGGGTACAAACACATGCTTTGGTAGATACGGCGGTTTGTCTCGGCTGCAAAAGACCCTCCAGTCTCGCAAAGAAAGCGCTCCTACAGGCTCATACACAGCACGTCTCTTCAATGACTCTAAACTCGTCGAGGCCAAAATCATGGAAGAAGCCGAAGAGCTATGCCAAGCAAGGACCAAAGATGAAATTGCGTCCGAGGCTGCTGATCTGATCTATTTCGCTTTAACGCGCTGCATTGCCGCGGATGTCAACCTTGAAGATGTTGAGAAAAATCTAGATATGAAAGACCTCAAAGTTAAACGTCGCACAGGCGATGCCAAAGCTCGTTGGGCTGAAAAGGTCGGTTTAACACAGGCAACGCCAAAACAGGCCCCTGTGCCTCAGGCCCCTGTGCCTCAGGAACCGGCTGCGGCCAAGTCTGATCGTATTGAGATGAAACGTCTCAACGCGACATCAACTCCTATGACAGTCATCAAGGAAGCCCTACAACGCCCATCTCAGAAATCGAACGATGCTATTGTCGAACTAGTAAAGCCCATCATCAGCGACGTACGCGCCAACGGAGACGCTGGTGTTCTCAAATACACTCATAAATTTGAGAAGGCCACCTCATTAACATCACCCGTCATCAAAGCACCGTTCCCAGATCACTTGATGCAACTATGCGCTGACACCATTAAAGCTATTGACGTGAGCTTCGAAAACATCAGAAAATTCCATTCAGCACAAAAAGATGACAAACCGCTCGTTGTTGAAACTATGCCCGGTGTGGTGTGTTCCCGGTTTTCACGTCCTATTGAACGTGTTGGTCTGTACATCCCTGGAGGAACAGCAGTTCTCCCATCTACTGCTCTCATGCTTGGTGTCCCCGCAATGGTTGCTGGTTGTAAGAAGATCGTCCTTGCCTCGCCACCACGTTCAGACGGCAGTATTTCCCCTGAGATCGTCTATGCTGCACACAAGTGTGGCGCGGAAAGCATCGTCTTGGCTGGTGGTGCCCAGGCCGTTGCAGCTATGGCTTATGGCACTGAGAGTATCAGCAAGGTCGACAAGATCCTTGGTCCAGGAAATCAATTCGTCACTGCCGCGAAGATGATGGTATCCAATGACACATCTGCTGGCGTCAGCATCGACATGCCTGCTGGTCCTAGCGAAGTCCTCGTTATCGCCGACAAGCATGCCAATCCAGCCTTTGTTGCATCGGATCTTCTGAGTCAAGCTGAGCACGGCGTCGACTCGCAAGTCATTCTCATCGCTGTCGATCTCAACGATAAAGAATTGACCGCTATTGAAGAGGAGTTGCATCAGCAAGCCAACGCACTTCCTCGGGTGGATATTGTACGTGGCGCAATTGAGCACTCGGTTACTTTTGTTGTCAAGACCGTCGAAGAGGCGATGAACCTGAGCAATGAATACGCGCCAGAGCATTTGATTCTGCAGCTCCAGGATGCAGAGAGCGTTGTTCCTCTAGTTCAAAACGCTGGTAGTGTTTTCATCGGCCAGTGGACGCCAGAGAGTGTTGGCGATTACTCTGCAGGTGTCAACCATTCGCTACGTAAGTGTATACATCTCTTCCTAATTCAACCCAACTAACTATCATTAGCAACATACGGATACGCCAAGCAATATTCTGGCGTTAACCTCGGATCTTTCGTGAAACACATCACCTCTTCGAACTTGACTGCCGAGGGTCTTCGCAATGTGTCAGGGGCAGTCATGCAATTGGCTGCTGTTGAAGGTCTTGACGCGCACAAGCGCGCCGTGAGCATCCGCATGGATGCGATGGATAAAGCTGCATGATGTATACGTTAGATGGTTGTTACTAAAAGTTGGTTTTTGTTTAAAGCGATTATGACGTGTTAAAATAGTATGAAATCATGTAAATTAAATCAGATTCACTCATCCTAAGCCCATGTATCTACCAAGTACCTAAAATTCCGAGTTAAACCATACGCCAGGCTCCAGTCATGCTATTATATTCTGTAGTCATAATAAACAAGAATTGAAATGTTATCAAATCACCTCTTGCGCTCTTTAACCTTCCACTTGAGCCCATTCTTGTTCACGCCGCCTATCGAATTCGTCATTCGAGCACGCTGCAAATCCAGCTCTCGCTCCGCCGTCGTGATCTCTGCATGCTGCTTCCTCAACGCCTCAAGCTTCCTCACACGACTCGCAGCAGCGCGACGTTTCAGACGGTCCGCCGCACGTTTCTGCTTGTAAGCCAGTTGCTCAGCCTCTAGTTGCTTTTTCGTGGGCTGCTTCTGCTTTTGCTGTGATTGATTGCCGAATGAATCATCTCCCTCGTCGTCCACCATATCCTCATCCTCCCCATCACCATCAACAGGCCTCGCCCCGAGCTTTTTCTGATCCTCACGGCTCTCCGCAAAAACCACCTTTCTCTTTTTCGCTTTGGCACGCAAATCCTCATCAAAATCATCCTCTTCCTCTTCCTCCTCCTCATCATCAGCCCCGCCTTTCTTCCCCTCCCCCAACACCTCCATCATACTTTTCTGCAGCTTAACCTCCTGCTCCAACTTCTCCATCTCCCGCCTGGCCTTCTCCCCCACCGTCCTTAGATACCCAGCATCCTGTGTCTTAAGCAACTTGACCGTATCATGGCTCAGCGACGAGGCCTCGCGCGTGCCGTGTTTCCCTTGCCGCGCATTCTTGTCTGATAACATGCCATATGCGAATTCATCGACATTGCGATCGCGCGCTTTTTCGCGGAGGCGGCCGAGTTTTTGTTTTTTGAGGTTGTAGTCTTGCGCACGGAGGGAGTAGTCCTATTTTTTTTAATAAGTAAATAGATTCGAACTGTGATTTTTGGCTATCGGTTGGTAAAAGCTTACTTTGTGTTTCTCGAGGATACCCCATTTCCCTCGTCCCTCGAGCTGGCCTCGCTCACGATGCTGCCGTCGGTGCACGGCGTTTCGCATAGAAGACATTTTAAGTTATGTTACTTGTCCGGATGACGAGATATTTTTGCAGTAAATAAATTTCTATGAGGGCTTCAATTTAAACCTCGAGCAGCTAGAAAGCCAATCCTCGATGCTGCTGGTCGAATGTTCAATATTTCAATGTTGTCAAATTTTTTGTTTCGATTCTTTTACTGCCGGCGGAGAAAACGGAGCATCCAAGGCGGTGTGCTGCGACTTTATGCGGGACGAAAGCTTCAAGCTGACCGACGCATTACCACAGCTCCGTTCAGTTAGGGCAGGCCAATTCAGCTATTCATTATCAACAACCCTGCAATTTACAGGTTCCTGTCTATGAAGATCGATAAGAGAGAGAATTGATCCTCGTCGTCTACGTACGGCTTTCATCATGCACGTGTTATGAACATCAACAAGACAAGGAACCCTCAACATCTCCATTATTGTTGAAACAATTACATTCGAATCTACACATTCCCAATTCTCATAACGAATCCAATACAATGTCAGCACCATCTACATCCACCGAGCCCTCCACCGCGCAGCCCAACTTCAACCTCCGCAATCCGCTCCCCTTATCCGCAACTCAAGAGCAACAAGTCAAAGACATATACTACAAAAGAGTTCGAGGATACTGCGCGCCAGAAATCAAAGGTACACCACACCCATTCTTTCTCTTCCGTCTACTAACACTTGCTAGCATTCGCTGACTGCGCCCGCAACCGCACCTTCACAACAACATGGGTCTGTCGCGAGCAACGACTCGCCATGAACTCCTGCATGCTCGCACACGCTGGACCCGAGGAAGAAGACCGCGCGCGCGAGGAATGGTTTGCTAGTCGAGATGCTCGTCGGCGGGAGCGCGAGGAGAAAGAAGCGGCTGTTGAGAAGCGGCGGACGGAGGTTATCCAGCTGATGAGAGCGGAGGATGAGAGACCGAAGGGAGAGAAATAAATTCTACTATCAGTAGCACACCTCTGTTTGAAGGGTGTTGTATTTGTGATTATTGCATGGAATCGCGGCGTTCAGGGTGAAATTGGACTGAATCTCCCCATACATATTTATACTGCAGTTGGTTGATGGAAGTTGTATTCAGGTATCATGTATATTATATTATATTATATTGAATTCATACGCATGTGGATACGATGGTCGAAAGTGATATTTATTTAACCAGATTTTTGATATTCCCATCCATATGCAATGCACCCAGAACGCCGCCCTACACCATTGATTGATAAACCATGCGATAAGTTTACGCATCCGCCATATGTTCATCATCCTCATCGCCCTCCTTCATCACTGCATCCTCTCCAAAAACATCCTCCATCCTGCCATCCCCTTCATCTTCCAAATCTTCCTCATCATTCTGCCCGGCAGCCCCGAGCGCGACAGTCGGCTCAGCGGCATCCTCAACATCGTCTTCTCCTTCACTTTCCCACTCCTCCTTCAAATTCCACCCCGTTCCCGTCTGACAAAACTTCTCAGGTGGCAGTCTCATCCCGCCCATCGATATATTCGAAAACCCGCTCTTTGCAGCCGTCTCCCCACCACGGGCAACACCAGGAAGCGCATAGCGGTTCCGTTCCGAAGCGACGTCGACGAGGAATTCCTTGGAAAGGCCGGGTTGGAATTGGTAGTGGAGGCGCGATGCGATGCTCAAACGGAGGGATTGTAGTGTGACGGTGTTCAGTTCCACGCCCCCTCGTCCACCGCCCGTGGACACGTTTGTCTCGCCAGGCCCTGATGTGCTGCCTGCGTAGCCCTCCATGGCGAGATAGGCAGCGTCTTGGAGGGTCGAAGAGGTATAGCGGTATGCGAAGTCGAGGAGTTGCAGTGGAACGCGCTCTTGATATCCTGTGACGCCGAGTGAGGCGAGGAGCATGTGGACGAGCCGGGAGTCGCGGGGACGGCGCGATTTGCCGGTGTCGGTGAGGGATGTGGAGGGCATCGCGGGGGCGCTGGGAATGGAGGAGTTTGGCGCGCTCGCCGCGGCGGCTTGTGAGGAGGTGTTGTTCGTCGTTGTTGGGTCATCTGGGGGTGTTAATGGCTGCGTAGACCCGGCTGCCTGAGTTGGCCGTGGAGTCGCCATTGCTTGATGGTTTTAAGGTCTGAGGGTGAAGAGAAGACCAGGTGAAGCTTTAGGCCGAGGCCGTCATTGATCGCGAGCCAAGGTTGGCGCTTGAGGGAGTTCGCACAGAGACAGTTCTGTAGTCAAGGAATAAGAGATTCTCGCTGCTGGAAGTGGAGGTCTATATTATACTCCAGATCAAGATCTGGGAAGTTGAATACGGTTAATTCACATGCAGCCGCTATTCTATTTTGGGACTGGCGTCAGCTGCCTAAATATCAGACATCAATACTACAGAGTACAGACAACTTGATAGGCGAGGTAAATCGAAAGATTGAAATATCGTATATAAAAACAATTGTGTTTGGTATAGCTACATTTTCATAAAACAATCAAAACCCCGAAATGCTCCCTCAAGACAAAACACGCAAACTATGCCAAACGCCCCAGTGGGTGACACCATTTCTCGCAAACCCGACTGGCCATGCATCTATTTACAGATCGGAACACAACGATATCTTCAGCGTAGACGCAGAGAAACCAATGGCGCTTCATAGTGAGCTAAAGGTATATGCAGTAACCAATATTATCAAGTCCCTCAAAGTACTGATCACAGTGTACTGATCAGTCAACAAACTTTTGTCTTCTGGCAATAATCATATAATCAAGCTATGGACAAGGTCAAAGTGTGGCTTTCTCCTCGCGCAACGAGACTCCACCAATGTCAGGTAGGTCCTCGTCCTCATCCTCGGACAGCTCCTCGTCGGAAAAAGGCCTTTCGGCAACCGATTCAACCGAGTCGGCCAGGTCAGGGTTTTCAAAGGAGTCGCGCGAGATATAACTGTCGGCCATTTCCTCGGCTTGTTCATCATCGTCAACATCGCTACCTTCGTCGCTATAAACCTGCTCGCTTTCCAGGTCTTCCACGATTTCGTCTTCGTTTTCTACTTCGCTGTCGGTGACTGAAAAGTCTTCTAGGTTGGCTTGGTCGCGCCAGTATGTGAAGTCAGTGAATTCCTCGCCTCCGCCCTGGACCAGAAGACTGATAGGAGGGAAGAAGTGATCAACCAATTCTCTCATAGTGACATAACTGCTTTTGTACTTGTTCAGGCTCAGCAAGTCCAAAGATACTTCGGCATTGGAGTTGATGGTGAATATACGTGATGATGGAATGTTGACAGAGCGATAGCTAAGCGCATCCGTCAATCGATTGCCGAATCCAGCATAGAATGGATTATCTTGGGGAGGGAAAAGGTTTAGGATATCCCGCAAGCAAGCCATTTTGAATACTTCCGGCTTTCGTAAATAAATCTCCCGCCGCAACGCAGCTATAGTGCGGTCTGGACTCATAATAACTGGGCCTTTGGGCAATCTATACCCATCTTGCAAGACCCCATTTAAATAGGTTCGGGTGAGGTCAGCTTGGCCGGTTGAGCGACTAGTGAGATACATGATATTGTATCCATTGCTGACAATATCCGTAAACAATTTGGCGACGCCTTGATGGGTCCAGTCGCGCCCAATCATATTCAAGACATGACCCAAAACATCAGATCTGCCGCTTGATTAGTTTTGTTTGACACAATAGCCTGAGTGACTTACTTTGTGATGGTTCCATCGATATCCGAAATGACAATAGGTGTCTTGTAGCTCCAAAGATACATGGTAGCAGGGCATGTTGCCTTATTCACTGTGAATGACACATTGTTAGCTCCAGACTTGAGGTCGAGTGTCTTGAGCTGATCACTGGTCAATCGCAAGGTTTTGGCAAAGTTGCGGTTGGAGTCGCTGACAGCTGCATCCTGTGGTGGCGTTTGAGGAGGAGTAGGAAATCCGGGTTGTACATCGGATTGGGCACGATGATGGCGGGTTTGAATTGGGGATCCTAGGGTCGCTTGATCGCCATCACTATGATAACCGGGATCTGAGACTGCATCCTCGCTGAAGGAGGGCCGATGAGGCTTCATTGTATTCAAAGTTGCCTGACGGTTGGCGGACAGCTTGGCCTCTTCGCTGCTATATATCCACAAATTGCCATGGTCGTCAGCACCGATCAATGCCCCAATATCGTAGTTTCCTTCGAGTTCCTCGGAAAGAATCTTGCGTGCAACAACTTCTGCCCGGAGAGCGTCTTCCTCGCTACTTTTATATCCAGTCATGTCAAGCATGAGATCCCCGGTGTCGGTAACCTGGGAAGGAATGTTTGACCCGGAAAGTTTCTTCGATAGTGCGATCGCACGTGAAATCGCCTCGCTTGGGGATATGGGAGGAGGGCTGATCGATCGTCGGTCCCGGCGAGCATGGAGCAGGTCGGCACCTCGAGGGGAGTTTTCGAGGCTGGAGGGCTCGCTGCCCAATGTTGAGCCGGCTTGAAGAATGCCATCTGAAATTGAACGGTCTAATTTCACGGGTGAATTGTTCTCATCATATACATCCAGGCCCATCCGGTGTATGGAAGAATCATTTGGTGACTGCGATAGTGGTGTTATTGTGCCTGTCATCGGTTAGAACATGAACCCTAGCCCAACAATATCGAACTTCCATACCAAGGTCTTGAGACAGGGAACGATTTTCACGGGATATCGAAACCCCTTCCAGATCTTTTGTGTCACCCTTTAAGCTACCGATGTTGTCCAGATCCAAATCAGGCGGCTCCTGTAGCGAGGGCAGTTCGGCGACCGAAGTCGACGCTGGGCTGCTTGCCGGGGAGACCAAAGGCGACGTTTGGAGAGCAGCAGGCACATCCTCTGTTGTTTCGAAGACAAAAAATGCCTCTCCCCCGTCGCCTAGCTTCATAGAAAAATCCTGTTTGATCCCATTGACGCGAAACTCGACCTTCTTTTCTGAAGGGCGCAGCAGGGAAAATTTCCCGAAGCGAACGTGGAACGGCGAGCAAGCCAGGCTGCCTATAAGCAAGTTAGATATAGACAGCTTCTTAGCAGATCAGCCATAGACCAACCGTCTTCGTGTTCAATGACAATCACATCAATGGCACCACTGAGTGTTGCAGGATTGATCGAGTTCCATGTCTTGGAGACGGGGCCGCTCAGGCTGCGGACGTACTGCATCCCGACGGCAGTGGTTCTTCAGCCGATTCTAATCGCAATTGGCCGGGCGCAACGATACCGTATGTAGAGCGTAGATGGAGTTCTGACGAGGGTGTGAAGGTGCGATAACTCGGGCGAAAAACGAGAGGAGCCGGTTACCATGTGAAAGTCCCCGCAGCCATAGATAGACGGCTAGCGGACTGGCATGGTCTACAGTCTACAGTCTGCAGTCTGGCAGGGTAGAGCGAGCAGAAATCAAGGGGAAGAAGAGTAACGAACGAACCTGTCAGCGAGTGCAGGGCATAGTTAGCAATTAGAGAGTAGAGAAGACGGATAGATGCTGGTCGCTGGGGAAAGCAGAGAGTTGTTGGATTCTCAACGCTTCCCGGGGCTGCTTGGCGGCGTCATCGGCCCGCCTCGGACCACCCTAATACATAGTACGAAGTAGCATTACCTAGGCTAGACTGGCTAGTACATACCAATAATTACCTTGGCCAGAGAGGCTCCGTTTTCTAGCGTCCCCATGGAAAGGCCAGGTGACTGGGGGATTACTTGCTGAACTGCCTAGTTGGCTCATAGAAGCAAGGCAGGTGATACTATTAGCATTACTTGTACATAATAGTTGGGATCAGGGTCATCTGATCAGGCGCCAGCCAATGCAAGTACTACTGCATACAGGGTGAATGCAGAGCAAACGAGTACATATAGTATTTAATTTTACTGCGAGTAATTAATTTTATAAATTAGTATTGTAGGGCTGTAGAGACTAAAATAGTAAGGGTAAGAGCATCCTAGTGTGTTGCACGTGACTGCCGATTCTGGCTAGCGCTGCCTGCTTTGGGCATGCTTTATTTCTGTGCTTCAGTGTTTCCTTTCGTCCTTACTTATGTTCAATCGCTCTCGCTGACGGCCCTGCATCCGGCTGCCGTCCGTATATAAATGGATGGAGTTCAACGCGGGCATGTATGAGCCGCTGTACTGGTCTTTTGATGCCTACCCCAACGTGGTCCCCCGAGTGAGGGTGAGAGGCGTCATGACGCTCTTCCTTGCCGGCTCCATCCTGTGGGCGCTGGTCTGGTGAGTCCCAATCCAACCACTAATGCTACGTTTCGTCCGATGCTGATCGCATCACTGCAGGCTTCTCTACCGCGCCTGGCAGGTGTGTCAAACTCCAAATGACGTTCTAGTCGACAAACTCGGTCTGGACATTCCGCCCTCGCCCGAGGTCACTCTCGAGGAAATCTCACCACGAGAAATCCGCATCGCATGGAAACTGGCCGAATTCCACAATTCCATACAAAAACATATCATCCAGGTCAACAGCGCAAAAGGTGAGAAAAACCCTCGCACATTTTATCCAGCGCGGCCCATATTAATAGCGTCTAGTGGGGGAGACCAAACGGGCAGAGACTGCTGTCACTATTGGGAATCTAATTCCAGGACATATCTATCACATATGTGTTTTTGCTGTCAGCGCTGCGAATTTCCAAACCGCAAGCGCCGTTCTTCACATCCGTACAAAACCCCTTCCGTTATCGCAAACTCAACAAGATGGCACTGTCGAGGGCCCCACTATTCAGGCATCAGTCCCTAGGTCGACTGTTGTGCTCGCTGCTCCGTCTGCTCCAGTGATGGCAAGAGAACATAGTGGCGGTCATCCACAAAGCAAGCGCACTGGTGCGGGACGAAAACTGTCGCCAGCCGCCACAGGATCCGACACCCAGCTAGATGATTCGCGCCGGGCCTCGGTGTCTGACGATCGCAATGGAACCTTGGAACAATTAGCAGAACGTCTCAAGAACCTTCAGCAGGAAAATGAGTCTATGGACAAACAGGTTGCCGAAGAGGACGAGGAACACAACGCAACTCTCAAAGAGCTAGCTAAACAGCGTGACGAACTTAAACAGCGCGTAAAGGAAAAGGACGAGGTTAGCGGTGATTTGAAGAAGCATGTGAATAAACTCGAAAGCGTCAATCGAACTGTACAAAGTGAGAAGACCAAGAGGGAAAGATTGCTCCAGCAAAAAGAGGCCGAGCGCAAGAAGCGAAAGGATGACATCGTTCGATGGCAGGATCAGATTACGCAGTTCAATAAAGAAGTTGCAAAGGCCAGTGAAGAAAAGACAAAAGTTGAGCAAGATACTGCGAACCAAGCCAACGAGATCCGCGAAAAGATTGCAGAAGAGCAGACCAAAATGAAGGACATCGACGACGAAATTCAAGAAAAGGGAGGCCGTATCAAGAAGCTCGAAGAGGAAAGGCAAAGGCTTGAAGGTGGTGATAATGAGGATGGTACAGAGCTCGATCGGATTGATATTGAAAAGGCACGCCAGTGGGAAACTCGCCTCAACAATCTCCATGCGAGATATGCCACCCTTGTCAATTTGCACAGTCAAGCTCAGCAACAGTATCAAGAAGCACAAGAACGCCTCAAGTGGTTGAACAATCAAAGGACCAATGGCACTGGCCCATTTGCCCCCCTGCAACCACTTGATCTAGACCTTGCCCAACCCCCGATACGTCGCCCTCGTCACCGAAGTTCATTGACAAGTAATCTTTCCTCGCCGGTTGCATTCCCGCACATGGATACTTCGTTTCCTCGCAATTTGAACTACAATCAGTCGAATAATTCGCCTACGTTTGCCCCCAGTACTACGGCTTTCTTTAACATCACCAACGGCATGACATTCCCAGGTCCTGTGGACAGATCAGACCCTGCTCCTACTGAATCTGATGCTTCATTGCCGCCGATGAGTCCTCGTGCAGATGCATTGCTACCATCGGATCTTCTTGGGGATGAGGAGTCCACCGATCTCCCGGGACCCATCACCGAACCTGATATTCCTGACACTATTACTGGCGATGATCCAAGATCCCCCTCTCCCGGTTCATCAGAGACTAAATCTACTCGGTTGTTTGCCAGTCCTCACGAGAGTCTACGAGATGTTGATCTTCCACTTCCGAATGAAGGAATATCGGAAAATGATACTGCTAATGTTCAAAGCGCGTCTCGCCGACTTTCAGGCCTCTTTAATTTTCACCGGCAGCGTGGAAAGACGATGGCTGATGTACCACCGATTCTTGGGTCTTTAAAACCGGGGCAGAGTCGTTCGTTTCCAAGGAATTACGATGATATTGATCCGATTGGAGCACGACGACGTCGTCTAAGCCACGCCGCCAACTGGGCGAATCCGATGTCTTTGTTTCCGCGCAATAACCCTACGAGTGCCACAGCTGACAGTTCATCCGACCATGCCCCTTCCAGAAAGAGCGCCTTCGCCAATATCTTCTCGTCTAACAAATTTGGCGCTGATGATATCATCAAAGCCGAACAAGGATATAATCAATTTAGCCCTAGGCACGATCCTCTCGATCCATCATCACTCCTCGGACCTATCCGCCGGAGCTCTCTATCCCCGCGGCCGTCGTCCACATTCTCATTCGACAAACATCTTCCTCATCCTTCTACTGAACCATTCGGTTGGCCATCCACCGACTTAGTAGGTCAAAGGAGTTCATTGGGCTTTGACTGGGCTTCGCCATCAACGTGGTCACGGGCTCCTTCTCGTCGACCCTCGACTCAGTATGGTTCATCGAGCCACCTACCTCTCGGAATGTCTGGGGAACCAGATTTCCTTCAAACACCTCATGAGAAGCATCGACCATTGCAGGCACCAATCGGGACTCGTCCTTCCTCTTCTCATCGACCTGTGACTCCGAAATTGAATCCAGCTGCACCTACTTTCAAGACTATATTCAAGAAATCCGAAAAGGACAAAGCGGCATCTAAGGATATTGCGTCGAAGTCTCAGGATTTCGAATTTTATACTGACGATATCTCCCCACCGGCGTCAAGGCGTTCGAAGGATTCTCGAGCTCTGTCTGGTGCTGCAGAATCCTTTGACTCTCTAGACCTCGTTCCATCGAGCAGTCCTTCTGACAACATCAGTACAAAGGAGTCTTTCATCCAGAAGATCACGCGCAAGAGCAGTTCAAGCAAGTTCAATCTTTCCTGGAAAGATCGCGCGGGCATATTCTCGAAAAAGAACGAGCCGTTTCAAGGAGACATAGATGCAGAAGGTGCCCATGACGAAGCTCAGCTTGGAAAAAGCGTCGATAGCACCCTTTCAAGCACCCCATCCGCAGAAAAGTCGGCTCGCAGCAGCCGGAACTTTTTCAGCAGGAAGTCGAAGAAGGATAAAGCGCCCAGTGAGGCGAGTGAAAAGGCTAGTGAGACTGGGGACGAGGAACTCGTCGAAGAAGAGTAAATCTTGTATGCAAAAGCATAGATTACATATTACGAACGAATGCATAGTGGATACCATAACAATTAGTCTAGTTAATTCATATTCATATAAACAAATGGTTAAATTACAAGTAGTACACAAAATTTGGACAATGCATAAATTATATTACATAGACCGGCTATAATATCTGCGGTTTTTGGGTGACTCAATCTTCCTACCGTATACTGGCAGTGCTGGCCGCAAATTTGTTCCCGCATTCCAAATATTCAAGATCGGTGACGCAGAACACTTTTTGCTCTAACATTTCCACCGATCCACTAATTCATGAACACGCAATACCGCTTGAGTTAAATTTTCTTTGTGTTTTTTCTACAGACAACACAGCGCATATTCCGCATTAAAAACCAAGAGCTATTTTTCAGCGCGAATTGTGGTGCGGGGATATGGCTAATTCAAAGTAAGTAGAGAAAAGTTATATACATCCGATAACTCACCAGACATCAACCAAGACACTCTGTTGAGAATATTTAAATGGCTAATATGGTATAGATATGAATACGTTCGGTCTTTCGAACAATCAGACAGTCTCCTTCCCGAGACTTGGATTGTTGTCCGAATCGATGGTCGCGGATTCCACAAGTATATACATCTTTGCTTCTACCCATCGAAAAACGTGGGTGGAGAAAGGCTGACAGCAGACCAGGCTTTCAGACCAATATGAATTCGAAAAACCCAATGATCGACGAGCTCTAGACCTCATGAATGCCGCGGCAGTGGCGGTAATGAAGGATCTTCCTGATCTGAGTATTGCGTACGGCGTCAGCGACGAATATAGGTGCGTACTCAGCAACATATCCGAATTTCAGGCATTTCGCTGATAGTTCCATAGCTTTGTATTTCATCCTAGTTGTCAGTTATTCGAAAGAAGGAGCGCGTAAGTAGTAGTAGCTTGCTTGCTTGTTTGTTTCAGGGTATACAAGTTGATGATATTGCGGTAGGAAACTTGTGACTACGGTTGTGTCCAGCTTTACAGCAGCTTATATTATGCAATGGTCATCTTTCTTCCCGGGTAAGGCACTGGATCTAGCGCATTTACCGACTTTCGATGGACGCGCCGTTGTATATCCTAGTGCGAGGATATTGCGTGATTATATGAGTTGGAGACAGGTGGATTGTAAGTTTTGAGCTTGTTCTTTAATTAAATTGTCGCTTATGTCTTTGTATGTAGGTCATATCAACAATTTATTCAACACGACCTTCTGGGCTCTGGTTTTGAAAGGAGGATTGACCAATATCGAGGCTGAAAAAGAGTTAAGCGTATGTCAACGTGCCTATCTAAATCTACAATATACCAGAAATAAGAGAAAGGAAAGAAGCTCACATTCCTATAGGGTACCGTATCATCCGACAAAAATGAAATCCTCTTTCGTCGCTTTGGCATAAACTACAACAACGAAGCGGAGATCTTCAAAAAGGGCAGCGTGGCATACCGACAATATCAACTTGAGGATCCGTCTTCAACAGCAGAGAAGGAACTCGAAATTCAGACGAATGTAAAAGAGCTCTCGCGAACGCAGCAGGAAAAACTGCGCAAACTACGTCGCAAGGCGGCGGTTGTTGTCGAGCATGTGGATATTATCAAAGATGAGTTCTGGCAGAGGAGGCCGTGGATATTGTCTGGGAAGCCAGGGAAGCTTGTAACTGAAGAGGAGAATAATTAAATACATATATCGCTAAAAACGCAATAAAAGTATATGGCATCAATTGATTATATACACGTTGTATCCAGTATTCTATATGGGTATCATATGCTTGCACTAAATTCTTCACTTTGTTGATTCCTTCGTCTTCTTTTCATTATTCTTTCTTTTCTCTTTCTTCTCTTTTTTCGAATCGGGATTTTCAGTCTTTACTTTTTTTGACCTTTTCTCCTTGACAACTTTTGTCATTATGAGCCCATCCTGAACGGAGGAATCTGGAGTTGGATATTTTTCTTCTGATAGCAGGTCTTTGGTCTTTTTCGTTTTCTTCTTCTCCTTAGAACTCTTCTTCTCTTTCTTTTCCTTCTTGCTCTTCTTTACAGATAAACGCACATCTGCCCAATCGTTGTTGGAAACCTCAGCTGAAGGTAACGATGCGGAGTCGATATCGTTTGTTTCTCGCTCCTTCGATTTCTTGCTGTTCTTCAACTTTTTCTTGTCAACTTCCAGCCCCGCCTCTTCAAGATCCTTTAGCTTGCGCTTCTTCCTTTTCTCTTCCTTTCGTTTCCGATCGCCATCATCGTCATTATTATCCTCGCTTTGACCGTCGCCTCTCTTCCGCTTCTTCTCGCTCTTTGATTTCTTCTTCTTCTCCGGCTCCTCCGCAGCCACTTCCGTAGCTAGCCTCTCACCAACCCCTTCCAAAGTCCCCGGAATAACCTCCCCCCTTACAAAAAATTTATACAACTCGCTACCATTCCTCGTCAACGAATTGCCCTCACTCCCGGCCGATGTCGCAACCCCATCTTGCCCTACGCCTCTCAGTGCTTCCTCAAAACCCCGCAGCCACCATTGATTCGTCGGGTCCTTGTTGGATTTCTTCCCAATGCCGACCTTGTTTTCACGCCGCGATATCAGGAGCGGTCGCGTCAGACCGAGACCGCCGTGTGTGCCGGGTCGTCGGTTGGGGTTGAGCGGGTTGCCGGGGCCTGTCCATCCGTGACGGATGAGGTAGGCTTGGGCGTCCATGCGATGTGAGTGTGGGACGTTGAGAGATGCGGTTTAGGTTGTTTGGTGGTTGGGTATTGGTAGATATTTTACACTGGTTGATGGGTATATATATGAAGAGCTCAGAATTGTATACACGGGTGTATCATGACGATCTGTATATTTCGGATTAGGCAATTGCGAAATTGTATAAGATTCAATATTGGTATTGGCGTGTGGCATTTGTTGTTGCATACTATTGGGAAGAAATTATTTTTGCTGATATTGCTTGGCGGCGACCGATAAGATAGCGATTTATGGGGCTAGGCGGGCATTTCAAGGTCACGTGATTTATACTACAAAGTAACATTTGTATGTTTATGACAAGCTATATGGTGAGATAGAAAGATGAAAGAAGTCCTATTAATAGAGTGTGCTACTTTACCAACTGGAAAGTTATTCATAGAGTTGATTCCCCTGATTTTGTGGTTTAGTCAGCCTGTAATGATCTCATGAGTTTCGATGATTAGAAGATCTAAGAATAGTTTCAAAAAAGAGAATCCTTTTCAAGTCAATAAGGTTTAAATCTCTTCTCGTCCCTTTGTCTCCGTTTATCCTTAGATCGAGGCGTGTGATCATGCTCTTCCATGGAGACCTCATTTTCACCCCCGGCAGATGCATTCGGCCGCCAAGCTCGGATAAATCCATCCTCGCCGCCAGAAAACACTGTTTGAGACTGAAATAGTATTAATATAGGCGATATTGTGATAATAGTAGCAGGGGGAGGGGGGGGGGGGGGTGGTTATAGGTCATACCTGTTCGTCAAGATGTACAGCTCGCACAATTTCTTCCCCATGAGCACCTGGTAAGCGCCAAAAGTCGTTGTAATCAAAGTCCCATTTTGGGTTTGATACTATGGGGAGGATATCAAGACGTTGCTCGCTGTTTGATAATATCAGAGGAATGACTTAAAATCAAAATTTTAGTCACGGAAAAGTGGTAACGGGTACTTACGCTGTATTCCCAGCAGCCAGATACGTGCCGTTACTATTATTCAACGTCTGAACCACATACTCGCAACCAAGCGGGTTTCTTAAATCTCCGAATTGAATTGGAGTGGGATCATCATTGCTGCCCTCACCATCGGGATTAGTGACTGGGTGGATAGAAAACACTTCGTCGTGGCTCAGAGCGAAGATGACATCTTCGGATAGAAAGCCGGCGTGGTGGATTGAGCCATGATTGATTACTTGTAGAAGAGTGTCGTCTTCATCTGCTATGTTGATGTCGTACAGATTGACCAAGCCGTCTGTGCTGCCAGACAGCAGAACGTTGTGGCGTGTAGGATGGAATTGAAGCTATGTCTACAATGAGCAATGATTCAAATTTATCTTTCAGAAATGAAGAAAGATGATACCTCGGTCACATCATCGTTGTGGCTTTCGACGTATTGTTGTTTCTTTTCCCCAGGTGAGCGGATATCCCTGGCTACCGTCAGTCATGCAGGCTTCAACCAAGAACAAGTAAATCACCAACCATAAAGCAACTGTCGCCTGGGAAGATACAATCTCAGTTCCTGCAACAATCGTATGCGTCTCTGGATTGCACGCCAATGACAAAATAGGCACATCCCTTTCTAGTACCACGACCTAGTTAAACCCACGATCCAGATACGTCATGAAGGTTCAGTCCTAAGACATACCAACTCTCATCTCCACATCCGCTTTGCCAGACACATGACCAGATCGGATATCCCACAGTCTCACGGCCCCATCTCGGCCTGCGGTGGCCAGAAACGCAGGCGCATTTCCGACGCTCCGAACACTCTTTAGCGCCGTCACGCCTTCGTGCGCCTTTGCAGATGCAACCGTCAGCGGTTGCAGGGACTGGCCATCGAATAAACGCAGCGAGTCATCCGACGAGATGGCCCCAAACTGGCGGGCTGCAGATGTTGGTGCCTCAGCAATGGCATAGATGTACGTGCTCGAAGGAAGCGATAACGAGGAGGCCGCAGTAGCCTGGAGCGCATGCATGTATGTGTTTGATTCGAGTCGAGTCTTTCGCTTATTCTCGTGGGATAGAAACGAAATAGAACTAGTCCACGTCAACAATAGACGAAGTTGACGGGTTGGTTGAGACAATAGTTTCGGCTTCTATTGATGCATGCAAATGTTTTTTTTTGTTTAGGCGGTGTCAGCGCCGCAAAAAAATATAACGAAATAGGCCCAAGCCGTGAGCCGCGATTCCCGTCCTATGCAGCTAGTGAATCTTGCCCAAAAATGATTCTAGTCGTAGGATCCTTATTGTCTGTGCTTTGATGGCTCCAAAACACTGCTGTTCAATCAGATCGATGTGTTATTTTGGTTCGTGAAGCGCAACTCCAAGAAAGAGTGTGGACGCCCTCGTGTGGGGCTCGCGCCATCCAATTATTGCATGCTGCTTGCCTGACGTCGATGGTTGAATCCGTGTGGTCAGTGTATTCTACCGAAACTTAAATAAGGGCAGAAAATTATAATTGATTCCTTTTATGAAAACGGCGCTTAAATTCCCTATCTTATGCATCACAGCATGGCTAATCGGTTGCTTTTCGCAGGTTGCATCGACAGATCTATACGGATGATTCAATTGAGGGATTTGGCTGCCGCTTGAAACTGCATCCACTATTCCGCGGCATCAACCATTTACAGTATGGCTCTAAAGTCTAGTCTCTATATCGGATGCTGGATGTTCAGTGTTGCATGGTCTAAAAACCTTCTTTCCTTGGTGTGATACATCTTTATGGGCAGCAAGCTGGGCATCAAATTCGATTAATCCAGGAAGGTTTTATTTGTTGGGTAGCCCTGGATTATATTTCCTAAACCCTCAAGACTTAAAGCTCGCAAGTTAGTTCATTGGCGGGACCCTCAAGAATAATATTGTTGGAGACTCATAATCAATCGTTCTCCAATGCATCCTGCATGTGTCTGTGCGGATTTGCGGCGCAGACAGTGACAACGGATCCAAGCCCGACTGTCGTGTCCCACGTCAGACCTAGCTAATTACTACTATTTCGATGATAACTATTCAATGGACATGATGACTGCCTAAAGTACCATTTTCAGTCAGCCACTGTCACAACTTTTTCGAATCTAGAAAGCACGCGTGCCGGACCAAACCAGTCACTGTTAATGATATATTTAAGGCGTGGGATCTTTAGAACCTCTCCGGTTAACATTGTCGTGCGGAAGGTCCCTGCCGGTCCAACTTGAATATTGCCATTTAAATTCCAGAGGCTGAAATTGTGTAGCCTCGTTGTCAATGTTTCGGTTTAGCTTTTCTTCTCTCAGTCTGAGTAGGGTCGTTCAGTTGGCAAATGCAGCCATACCAGTGTCAAATTCGACCTAACTCAATTCAGCTAATCCCATGATAAGTATTCAAGTAGCTCGTCTGCGCCGCAAAATTATGGGTTTCATTTCGTAACAAGTTAGAACATCTTCCGCGTAATGTTTTTTGAAGGATCGGCATAATACTAGGGAAGGTCCAACTAGTGATCGTAGTATCATGAAGTGTAAAGCACACACGTTGCAGAGCCACATTTACAAGTGGCATTTCATCCTGGTCTTTGCAACTATGAAGATTCATCCCCTTTTCGATAATGGAATCCGGCCTAGTTCGTAAATTTCTGTTCGATGGAGCAAGGAAGTTCTTTGATTCCTTGATTTTACAAGCATCGCGCAAAAGGAAAAAAGTAGATACATTGTGAGTGGGGTCTTCGGATGCTGTGTATACTTTATTGTAGCGCCGGGATGGAGTCACCGATCGATAACTGATCAACCAAGGGAAGTTTTTGATTGAAGTGCCTGAAATTAGGAAGAGGACAAACTCTAGACTCCGAGTCTAGAGACAGGATCATGTCGGGCGATGGCAAATTATGACAAGTGCAGGAGATGCGGTTGGTTTAGGGTGTGTGGAAAACTCCCTTTGGTCAGATGTACGATTTCCATCTTCGTCCCTGCATCTTACAATCATATAATAACGACAGGGCGGCACTAAGCAGGAGCTGACTAGTAAATGGAGCAGACAGTTGCCAAATACTCAAATTATTTAACTTGGAACTCTGGCCTGTTCGTTGTCCTCGTAAGACTCAATAGCGAACAAGTCACGGCAATTGCAGGTGGGTCAACGGTGACCAGCGGATTTTCTGTTTTTCTTTTTTTCAATTTCTATCTAGCAGTATTTTGCTATCTGAGCGGTTGATGAGCTGGCCATTCCCGGGATTCCTGTATACATCGCTTTGTTCACTATTGTTCGGAGATAACAGGAGGGTCAACGTAAGCCAAAGCAAAAGCTCGAAGCTTTTCGAATGGAAAAGCGCCAGCCAGTCCAGCCAGGCCAATTCGATTCGGCGTTTTCTGGCGGCGCAATGGCACAAGTCAGCACGGGGATGTACGGATGCAGGGAACTGCGCCGCATGCAAATGAGCCTTATTGAGATGCGGCTATGGCACCAACATAGACTTCGATGGGGTCCAGCTTCACGCCGTCAGGGTTCAGGGGCGCCTCGATAACACTAAACGTTCTTTACTGGTAGGATTGGTCTCCACCGGGTGCTGCATAACATCTAGAATGATGCAATGGGGAAGGGGTGGATCGACGAAGCGATGATGAGAGCAGCACAGAAGGTTAGCACGCGTGTTCGATGATGACACCTTGGACGATCGGTTAGGAGAGAAGCAAAGCTAAAAGAAAAGGGAAATGTCGGCTAGACCCCAAAGCTTGTTGGTGTCATTGATCAACCCGTCCATTTTCGGAGAGCAGGCGCTTGGGGTGGTCCTTAGCGCGGTGGATGGCGGACTGATGAGCTGCCAACACCGTTGTCAGCGTGCGAGAGGCTAGGAGAGTTTCTGATGGACTAAAGACGAAAGCAACCAAAGCATTGACTGGGCGAGGCGGCACGGGAGGAGATGGCCTGAGCGGCGGCCGGAGACTTGCTGGAGCGACTTGCCGGGCTCCCACAGGCTGAACCAAACTCCCGGGTCTGCGCTGCCTTGAAATTCGGGCTTCTCTGGCTGGTGGTTGCACACCGTCTTTCGCATACGACTCGTACGATGCGTTGCTAGTCAGGAATCAATTACTTGCCAGACCGTCCCGGCGATCGTACGGCGGATTCAGATCAGCTGCCAGGATGCCAACAGTCGTAGCCTGCGCCCATTGTGGCCTCTTGTCTTGCCGCAGCAGCCGTGCAATGTGGCGGCGTCGCCTTGCATGATAGCTGATCAGGACTAGAAAATGAGAAGCAGCAGCAGTAGGAGCAGCAATTGATGGTGGTGAGATGGAGCGCTGGTGCAAGTAGACAAGGAAATGAAAGCAGTGTAGCAAGGTGGTAGAGACTAGGAGTAGTGTTGTCGCAGTGGCACGCAGGGATCAGCTAGTGATGAGCAGTTGGAGAAGGAGTACACCGGTGGTCCCGACAGGCAGGAGGCAGGAGCAGCAACAACTTAGAAGGCAGGAGCAATCCCAAGGGCTTGGGAGGCGGCGGATACGCTGATGGGGCAGGCCCCTCGGCACCTGCCGCAGCCCCGGGCAGCTGTCATTGGTCTACGGGTTGGAGCACGCAGTTACCTCTTGCCAGAATTCTAAACGTTAACCATGTACCAACACTACTAGTAGTAAACACTACGCAGGCCACCTCTACCTTGTCCTCTTCTGCCCGAGTCCGTCAACCAGACTCCCTGCATTGCACAAGCGCCGGGTCGCTGTGTGCAGACACGTCAACTGTCTATCTCTATCTGTACGATGATCCTCCATCGTGGGGTGACAGAGTGGAGAGGGCGCGGCGGTTCCGTAGCGAGGCAGCTAGGGAAGGAGAAGTTAGCATTATTGTGGCAGACTGGCCAGTGAGTCGCAGGCAGGACTAGGTACATGCCGGCAGGTCATATTCGCGTGCTAGCGAGTCGAATGATTACTGGTCTTGTCCAATGGTGCGTCGAGCGTCAGAACTAGCTCGCGCACCCAGCAGCAGCAGCAGCAACATCATCGTTGTCATCATCACCATCATCCACGCCAGGTCACTGCCGCCGTGCTGGAGCGATATAGCGGCTGAGGAGCCCGGCGAGGCTGGGTGCCCAGACAGCGCCGGGCAGCCTGCGTCACTGCCATTGGTGGCCCCCATAAGCAGGCACCACTTGCACGGTTGCACCTTACTGCGGGCCGGGCCTGGCATGGTATGCGCAGTGCTTCTTTAGCGGGCGAATCACCGCTGCCAGCCGCGGCCCTGCTGCTAACTAACATTGTCTAACAGCGACATGGCCTGAATTATGGAGCTTCTGCGGCCACCCCTACCGACCAGACCACACCAGACATAGGACATGCGAGATGCCAATTTTTTTTAAACGACATCGCCCCGGCTCGTCGTTCTTTTCCCACGGACGTCTCCCGGCGGCCTGCTCGCCTACTTATATCTCGTCTATCGACCCGTCGCCCTGCAGATCTCCAAATCTCCATATCCCGCCGCACTCATCTTGGCCATGCGATCTACCACCGCTCGCTTACCCTCGAGCTGAGAATCCCTGTCCCCCCCGGCTCGCGCAAGTGACCTCGATAAATGCCTCTGCGGCTAGAGTCAACTTTGCCCCTTGTGGTTTGCCTGCAACATCGCCTTTTCCGATCTTCTCGCTTCGAAAACGTCTGGCGACCACCAGCTCTCTCTGCTGGTTGACTCCCGCCCCCGTCCCCGCCGTCGACTGATCAATTGCTCGTGAGAGAAGCAACCGCCGGGGAACACAATGTTCCCCAACAGCCAGCACGGCCCGAGTCTGCCTCAGCCAACGCCCGTGCAAATCACCACCACCGCCACTGTTCCGCCGTCGCCGCCTACGGCCTACTCTTCCTCGACGGAGCCCGCTGGGCCCCGCCAGAACTTGGACGCGACAAGTCTGCCTGGGCCGGATTCGACCACAATTGTGCTGTCTAGCTACAAGTAGGTGACTCCCCGTGGCTTCGTGCGCGCATGGTAGCTCATTCAAATGTCAATCAGCTGCTAATCTCATCTTTCTTGTGAGAAGACTCCCAGAGCATCATCCTCGTCACGTGGAGAATGGGCGAACCTATCATGGCTACCGACGGGGAATATACATGCTACCGTGCGACGAGGAAGAGCAAGATCGCCTGGATCTGTTCCACAAAGTAATCACTGAGGCTCGAGTCGGCGACGGCTTGATATACGCCCCTCATCCTCCCAATGCGCGTGTCTTGGATCTCGGCTGTGGGACTGGAATCTGGGCCATTGATGTCGCTAACAAATACCCCGAGGCTTTTGTAGTCGGCCTGGATCTGGTGGATATCCAGCCTTTGAACGGTCCCAAGAACTGTGACTTTTATTCTCCGCGCGACTTCGAATACCCATGGGCTCTCGGAGAGGACCATTGGGACCTCATTCACATGCAAATGGGCAGTGGCTGCGTGGCCAGTTGGCCTTCTCTGTACCGCAAGATCTTCTCTCATTTGCGCCCAGGGGGGTGGTTTGAGCAGGTTGAGATCGATTTTGAACCCCGCTGCGAGGAGCGATCCCTGGAGAATACCTCGATGAGCAATTGGTATCAATATCTCAAGCAAGCCACTGAGATGGCGGCCCGACCAATTGCGCATAGCGTCAGCGAAACAATGGCTTCTTTGGAGCGGCAAGGCTTTGTTCAGATTGACCATCAAATTGTCGGATTACCATTGAATCCATGGCATCATGACGAGCATGAAAAAAAGGTGGGCCGGTGGTACAATTTGGCTATTTCGGAGAGCCTTGAGACCCTTAGTTTGGCTCCTATGCACCGCATTTTCGGGTTTTCGCACGAGCAGATAAAACATCTCGCGATCGAGGTAAAAAAAGAAGCATACAACAAGGAGATACATGCCTACAATATCCTGCACATCTACCAGGCGAGGAAACCAGAAAACCCGCCTGGGATCTGAATGGCGATACATCAATGTTCCAAAGATCGAGAGGAGAATTCCTCTTGTGTCATCACCGAGTTCACTACCAATACCTTTGTCTTTTGTTACCGCTGAGCATCGCCCAAAGCAGACATGTCCTTGGTTTAACCTTCGAGACACTGCTTTTCTGAGTTGTGGGCGAGCTTTACTGCTCCATCGAGTGTTTCTGGGCCTCAACGATAGAGCACAGCACAACACCCACGTCCTGAATGTCAGACAATTGGAAGATACCATATCAATCCCATAACAAAATACCTACCGATATATTACGTCGCAGGCCCCTCACGGGCTCATGTGGCTACTCATTGTTCCACTTATCCGCCAAAGTATATTGACAGGGTCAGTGCCACCATCTAATTAATAAGTTTTTCAACAGATGAAAGAACCGCGGTTCCAGGGAAACAGAAACAAACATCGAAAAAATCCAATTGTCTGCTTTACACGGAGATGTTTTCACAAAAAATTTCATCTGCTTTTTGCATTTGCCTGTGATGAGCATGTAGCGGTGACCTGGGGGTCTGGCGTCGGGTGGCAAAAAGCATTTATCTTGAATACCTGTATTGAGCGATCTTGATTTGCATATGGGGGAGAAACATTCAATGGGATTGTGGAGTTCAAACAACAATATCATTAATTCTTGCCTAATATATTATGTGTTTATTCGTTCACACCCATTCTAGTAAATTTCATGATGTACACCAGACCGTATTCCTATAATTCCTTTCATTACTGTTAATGCGGATTAACAACGCCAACACATTCCCATAACGCCAGCCTCAAACTCCTCTACCTATTTCAGATGCAAACCGGTATACTAGTAATCTAGCCTCATTTAAAGGCTATTCGATCACGACTGCTTCTTTCTACCCTTCCTTCCTGTCCCATTTGTGGCAGCCCGACTGGATGATGCATTCCCCTGGCCGTCATTGGTATTCATCCACTCACGCCCAGCGCCAGGGCTCCGTCTTCGCATAGTTCCAGGACCAACGGCGATAATCTCCTCTTCGCTCTCGCTATCCGACACATCCAACAAAACGGGCATGCGGAAAGTATCCGTTTCGCCATCGGCGTCAACATCCATCGCGCTATTTGCGTGATCTAGTGTCAAGACGTCCGGTGTTTCGTCTTCCTGGTCTAGTCGCTGTTGATGGATTTCCTCGGCAGGATGGATATCGTACTCGTCTTCTCTTTCCACGTAGAGGACGTTCTCTTCAACCTCGGCGAAATCGGGGGCGAGAGCGGACCACTTTTGGGGTGTGACGATTGACCACATGTACACGGAGCCGGATTCGAGGCCGCAGGATAGGATCATGGGTCGCGAGGGATGCCATTCGACAACGCCCATTTCCTCGCGAGGCCCTTCGAGGATTTTCACTAGGGAGCCATGGCTCCGTTCCCAGATGTATATATCAGAGTTCATGTATGTGGACGCCATGACGAATTCGCCCGTGGATGAGAACGAGACGTGATTCCAGCTCAGCTTGTTCACGACATCCTGGAATTTGTGCTCGACGTCTAGTTGGATGTTTGATTGGTGGAGGCCCATGCCTAGCTGGGACAAATCGGACATCATGACGGTGCGGATCACTCGATCGGAGCTGTTGATGAGCAGATCGCGCCCGTTACTGGCAAGACGGATGAGGATGATGACCCCATTGCAGAGTCGTGTCGAGTATATAGTTTTGCATGACTGCGTTTCAATTATGTTGATCCACCCCTTCGATGTCCCCGCGATGATATGGTTTCCAAGTGCTGTGAAGATTGTAACGCATGTGGACTGCTTTGCGTCTTGTGCGGCTTGTTTGGCTGCGGCCGCCGGGTCGACGCCGTCTTGTGACCGGAGGGGAATGGATGGGAGTATACGTTTGATGGGTTTCGGATTTGAGATGTCGACAAGGATCGGTTGTTCTTCGAATAATGAAACGACAAAGAGGAGACTAGCAAATTAAGAGAAAGAGTTAGACTTGAAACAACCTGTGTTGTATATGCGAAAACATACTGGTTGAAAGGGTGTAATTCGGCGATGTAGACTGGCGCTGCAAATCGCACCATTCGTACGCGTGACCCGTCTTTGAGATCCCAGAGGATACACTTCCAATCTTGCGAGGAACTCAGCAGGTATCGGCCGTCTCTCGACCAGCTTCATGATTCCGTCAGTGCATACGTTATATGATTTTCAGTGTGTACAAATATATCGTGTCCATACCTAAGTGATTGTATCTGTCGAGTGTGGCCTCGCAATTTCCGTGCCACCCCGTTTGTTTCGAGATCGAACACCACGATGGTGCCGTCAACCTTTGATGCATCAGCTGTGCACTAGGTCATAAATAGTAAGGGGTTATCACCCACCCGACCGGCCGCAATGTAATCGCCTTTGCGACTGAACCGTAGACACGATGCATGGCCGCTCCCTATTTGCGCAATCAACATTCATCCCTCGTAGCAAGTCAGCCAGACGAAGCATACTCAATTTCCCAGTCAAAGTATCGGGGTAGTCCTGCGCGAGGGCAAAAGGGTCAACAAGGGACAGATTCATCGTTATATTATGCAGCGTTGATGGCGGCGTGAGGCAGACACAAGGTTATCGCAGTTCCTGCCTGAGAGCTGCTCCAGGCGGGCAGAACAAACGAGCAGGCATATGAGGCTGGAGTCGGTGTCGATAGAAGCAATGAAATATGGTGACACTGAAGAATAGCTAAGTCAGGCCCGGCGGGTAAACAAAGAAGGAGAAGAAGAAGCGGTCTCTGTGTTACCTCGCTTTGTGTGCGGGTGTGACTTTTGAAGAAGTGAGGTGGTGATAATGATAATATGATAAATAATGAGGGCAGCGGGTGCCAAGACAAGGCGCGCGTTGATTGGGCAGCGCTAGCGTGCCTGCGGCTCCCAGAAAACTCGAGCTAGACCTCCCTGCCAGATCGCTGCGAGGCCACCGCAAACTTTCTATCCTTCATCAACGCGACAGCGCATCCCCCTGCCTCCTGTCATCGCAGAATATCGTGTTTTGCACCGCGATATCATCCCTGAGAGTCAGGACGGTCGCATCTCCGGCTTTTTCGTCGCCTTTCATCGCCTGACAGCACCGTGTTTCGTGACGTCCTGTTGTCTGGGTGAACGGCGCCCTCGTGGCAAGGGCTGCCTGCCAAAGGCCTTACCGGCTCGCCGGGTCTTCATTCCTTTCTGTTAAGTGACGTTAAGTACGCAGTCCGTTCCTTTTCGAGTCGACTCGATTTTTGCTCGCTCTTCGGTCGAAGCGCTCCTCGCCGTGCGCAGTCGGACGGAATCCTGCCCGACCGGTAACATCGACGACTTTTCTCCCACCTATCTATTCTCGCGGTTTTCATCGAAAAGACATCCACCATGTCGAACGTTTACTTTCCCTTCTCCAAGGCGCCTTTGCGCACCATCAAGGAGATTCAGTTCGGACTTTTTTCCCCTGAAGAAATAAAACGTATGAGTGTTGTCCATGTCGAGTATCCCGAGACTATGGTAAGGTGGCCCTGTTTTTCTTCTCCTTGGCTACCAGCAAAGAAAGAGACATTAAACCATTTACTCTCAATAGGATGAGCAGAGAATTCGCCCACGAACAAAAGGTCCAAATGATCCCAGGCTCGGAACCCTCGACCGTCAGTATGTTTGTGAGACCTGTGAGGAGGGTCAAAAGGAGTGTCCTGGTCATTACGGTCATATTGAACTCGCCACACCAGTTTTTCATATTGGTAAGATGCGATGAAATCAGTGAGAATGGACTGGTGCTAAACACTAGAAGGTTTCCTTACAAAGACCAAGAAATTACTGGAGACCGTTTGCCACAACTGTGGAAAAATAAAGGCCGATATGGTTAGTTGCATTAGGCCCGTGTGATCCTTTTAGTATCCATTTTGTTAACACTCATGCCTTCTGGCTTGTTAGTCCGATTCCAAGTTTCAAGATGCGTTACGAGTCCGCGACCCAAAGCGACGGTTCGACATGATCTGGCGTCTGTCAAAGGATGTGGCTGTCTGTGAGGCAGATGCCCCTCCAGATGATGACCCTTTTTCGAAAGAGGCATCAAAGCCAGCAAAGGGACACGGAGGATGCGGCAATGCTCAGCCAACCATTCGCAGGGAAGGTCTCACCCTCGTCGGTACATGGAAACCAAACAAATCAATGATGGAAGATGATGTCGACATGCCGCAGCCTGAAAAGCGGACCATCACTCCTTCAGTAGCCCACAACATCTTCCGCAGCATCTCTCACCAAGATGTTAGGATCATGGGTCTGAGCAATGACTACGCTCGTCCTGAGTGGATGATTCTCACTGTTCTTCTCGTCCCTCCACCTGTTGTTCGTCCTAGCGTTGTCAGCGGCAAGAGCACTAGCGGTCTACGTGCTGAAGATGACTTGACTTTCAAGCTTGCTGAAATTATTCGAGCAAATCAGAATCTTCAACGGTGTGAACAAGAAGGCGCGCCAGAGCATGTCGTTCGAGAATTCGAAGCCCTGCTCCAGTATCATGTCGCCACTTATATGGATAACGATATTGCTGGTCAACCAAAAGCTATGACGAAGTCTAATAGGCCTGTCAAGGCTATTCGTGGTCGACTCAAGGGAAAGGAAGGTCGCTTGCGTCAAAATTTGATGGGAAAACGTGTCGACTTTTCGGCTCGTACTGTCATCACTGGTGACCCTAACTTGTCATTAGATGAAGTTGGTGTGCCGCGAAGCACAGCCATGATTCTCACTTACCCTGAGGTTGTTACGCCTTACAATATCGAATTCCTGCAAAAGCTTGTCAATAATGGTCCTACGATCTACCCAGGCGCTAGATACATTGTTCGCGACAATGGGGAACGCATTGACTTGCGTATGGCGCGAAAGACAAACGCTAACCTTCTTTACGGCTGGAAAGTCGAGCGACACATCATGGATGGCGATGTAATTCTTTTCAATCGTCAGCCTTCTCTGCACAAGGAGTCTATGATGGGTCATCACGTGCGGGTCATGCCTTATTCAACCTTCCGTCTCAATCTGTCTGTCACTACTCCTTACAACGCTGATTTTGACGGTGACGAAATGAATTTACACGTCCCTCAAGGCGAGGAGTCTCGTGCGGAACTCCATCAACTTGCAATGGTCCCGTTCAATATCGTTTCTCCTCAGCGAAATGGCCCACTTATGGGTATCGTACAGGACTCTCTCTGTGGTATTTACAAGATCTGTCGCCGTGATGTTTTCTTAACGAAGGATCAAGTCATGAACATCATGCTTTGGGTTCCTGACTGGGATGGTGTAATCCCTCCTCCCGCTATTCTAAAGCCGCGACCTCGTTGGACTGGAAAACAGATCATTAGCATGATTCTTCCGTCTGGATTGAATCTTTTGCGTATTGACAAGGACAAAGCTCCGCTTTCTGAAAAGTTCTCCCCATTAGCAGATGGCGGACTGCTCGTGCATGGTGGTCAGCTGATGTACGGGATGTTTTCTAAGAAGACAGTCGGTGCTTCCGGAGGTGGTGTTGTCCATACCATTTTCAATGAATATGGTCCCGAAGTCGCTGTATCTTTCTTTAACGGTGCTCAGCGAGTTGTCAATTATTGGCTTCTACACAATGGTTTCTCCATTGGTATTGGTGACACCATTCCTGATCAGAAAACCATTGAACGAATTGAGGTCGCTGTCCGAGCAGGCAAGGAAGAGGTTGAACAGATTGTCGCCAGCGCAACTGAAAACACGCTGGAACCTTTACCTGGTATGAACATCCGTGAGACCTTTGAAAGCAAGGTATCGCGTGCTTTGAACAATGCTCGTGAAGAGGCAGGTAGTGAGACAGAAAAGAGCTTGAAGGATCTTAACAACGCCATTCAAATGGCTCGGTCTGGTTCCAAGGGCTCAACCATCAACATTTCTCAAATGACTGCTATTGTTGGTCAACAATCTGTTGAAGGTAAACGTATTCCCTTCGGATTCGGGTACCGAACTCTTCCCCATTTCACCAAGGACGACTATTCGCCAGAATCTAGAGGCTTTGTTGAAAATTCCTACCTACGTGGCTTGACTCCGACTGAGTTCTTCTTCCATGCTATGGCTGGTCGAGAAGGTCTTATTGATACTGCAGTTAAAACTGCTGAGACTGGTTACATCCAACGTAAGCTTGTCAAAGCTCTCGAGGAACTTATGGTCAAATATGATGGAACTGTGCGAAACTCCCTGGGTGACATTATTCAGTTCTTGTACGGTGAAGATGGGTTGGACGGTGCACACATTGAAAACCAGCGGGTCGACACTATCAAGTGCTCTGATGAGCAATTCCGTGACCGTTTCCGAGTTGATCTTATGGACCCGGAGCGAACGCTTGGTCCTGAAGTTCTAGAGCAAGCAACTGAGATTGCGGGTGACGTTGAAGTTCAGAGGCTCCTTGATGAAGAGTGGGAAGCACTTCTAAAAGATCGCGAATTCCTTCGTTCCGTTGCCAAAGGGGATGAGGAAATGATGCAGTTGCCAATTAATGTACAGCGTATCCTTGAATCCGCTAAGACTACTTTCCGTATCAAGGAGGGCACCATCAGCGATCTTCACCCGTCTGATGTAGTTCCTCACGTTCAGGCATTGTTGGACCGTCTGGTTGTCGTTCGAGGCGATGACATGATCTCTCGGGAGGCACAGACAAGCGCTACCCTTCTCTTCAAGGCTCAACTGCGTTCGAGATTAGCATTCAAACGGCTTGTTACTCAGTATTCTATGAACAAGCTCGCTTTCAAGCACGTGGTAGGAGCCATCGAAATGCGTTTCGCTCAAGCACAGGCCAATCCTGGAGAAATGGTCGGTGTTTTGGCTGCTCAATCCATTGGAGAACCCGCTACCCAGATGACATTAAACACTTTCCACTTTGCTGGTGTCAGTTCCAAGAACGTTACCCTTGGTGTTCCTCGTTTGAAAGAAATTTTGAATGTTGCCACGAACATTAAAACTCCTTCTATGACGGTTTACCAAGAACCACACAAAAAACATAACAAAGAATCTGCCAAGCAGTTGCGAAGCGTTGTTGAACATACTAGCCTTCGGTCAGTTACTGAAGCCACTGAAATTTACTATGATCCAGAGATTCAGTCCACTGTGATCGATAACGATAGGGATATGGTTGAGTCTTACTTCATCATTCCTGAGGACGTTGCAGATGACTCATCCCGTCAATCTAAATGGCTCCTACGTATCGTTCTCAGCCGACCTAAACTTCTTGACAAAGGTCTTACTGTTCAAGATGTCGCGACGAGGATCAAGGAACAGTATCCGAAGGATATCGCAGTTATTTTCAGCGATAACAACGCTGATGAGCAGGTTATTCGTATCCGACAACTGCATGATATTAAAGAAGATGAAGATGATGAGGATATGGAGTACGATGTTACCTTGAAGAAACTAGAACAGCACCTTCTCGACACCCTTACCCTGCGTGGTGTCGCTGGTGTCGAACGTGCCTTCATTAACGAGAAAGACAATGTGCGTGTCCTTGAGGATGGCGCTCTATTCCAAAGCAAGTCAGATCCCCTTTGCAAAGAATGGGTCTTGGAAACCAGCGGTTCAGCGCTGGCCGATGTCCTCACAATTCCTGGAGTCGATACCACCCGCACATACTCTAATCAGTTCATTGAGGTCTTCGAAGTATTTGGCATTGAAGCCGCTCGTTCTGCTGTTTTACGAGAACTTACTCAAGTGTTGGCTTTCGACGGTTCCTATGTCAACCATCGCCATCTTGCCCTCCTAGTCGATATGATGACCGTTCGTGGTTATCTTACACCTGTAACACGTCACGGTATCAACCGTGCCGATAATGGTGCTTTGATGAGATGTTCGTTCGAAGAGACAGTTGAAATTCTACTTGATGCAGCTGCTTTTGGTGAACTTGACGATTGCCGAGGCGTTTCCGAAAACTTGATTCTTGGTCAAATGGCACCGGCTGGTACCGGAGAGTTTGATGTGATTCTGGACCAACCTATGATGGATACAGTGGTTTCACGTAATACCGGCATTGGCTTGATGGGCGGTCTTGGAGCTAAGGACGCAATGATCAACGATGGCGCGGCTACTCAATATGACACCGGTTCGCCAATGATGGAGAATGGATATATTGGAACACCAGATCCCGATGCGAAGTTCTCTCCCATTCGGCAGGGTGATGCGGAGCCAGGTGCTGGTGGCTTCTCAGCCTACCAACCTTCTGGTGGCTTGGGCGGTTTTAGTCCGGCACCTCAGAGCCCTGGTGGTTATTCTCCAACCAGTCCTTTCAATACAAGCCCAGTATCTCCAGGCTATTCTCCTTCCTCCAGCTATTCTCCTGCTTCGCCTGGCATGGCCATCACGAGTCCTCGATATGTCACATCGCCTGGCTTCTCTCCACAGAGTCCCAACTTCCAGCCGACGTCTCCTGCATATTCTCCTACTTCGCCGGCTTATGGTCAAGCATCACCTACTTCACCATCATACTCTCCTACTTCACCACGGTTCTCGCCGTCGTCGCCAAACTACAGCCCGTCTTCACCTAATTTCAGTCCTGCGTCTCCAGCTTTCAGCCCAAGCTCTCCGACGTACAGCCCCACAAGTCCGGCAATTGGTGGCAGCAGACAATTTTCTCCATCCTCACCAACCTCGCCCAAATACTCTCCTGCATCTCCAGGATGGTCACCGACAAGCCCGGAGATATATTCCCCTACATCTCCAAACATTCATGGCTCACCGACGTCCCCTCGCGGCGCAACTTCGCCAAGCTACAGCCCGACCTCGCCGCAGTACAACCCGACGTAAGTTTGTGCAGGTCTAAATTATGAACCCTCACTAACCATTATATCAGATCTCCACGCCAGTAAATGGAAAGTACTCAGTCCTACTGAGCTAGCTTCCAAAAATTTCATTATTGTATCACCACTTTCAATTCTCTACATAGCATTGAAAATTTATCATGTCGCATCCTACTGGTATGAAATTGTTTGGTCATATCTCTCACATGGATATCCCCTTTTTTTCACATTTCCTTTTATCGTTCGTCTCATTGGTAACGTCTTTTCTAAGACGGAATGGCAGCTCCCGAGATAGCCTTATTTCTTTTGCTGCACCTTGAAAAGAGACAGATTGAACGTTCATTCATCATCATTTTTTCCCCGTCTGTTTCTTTTTGGGAAGATGGGGGCGCATGTTAGCATGGAGTTCAGAGATTTCTTTCCCACTTTTTTGCCTAATCACAACCATGGATCACCAACAAATTTGAAAGTCGCACAGACATGTATTTTTTGTCTCTATTTTCATTTTGATGTACACAGCTGCACCTGACGAGCAAAGAAATAGAAAATGAAAACATTTAATTCAGCTATACCTTACAGGAGCATGAAATGTAGAAATCCAAGATCAGCAGAATAATCACTGTAAACAATACAGAATGGGAATGAATAATATTAGCGATGAATCATGAAGATGATGAAACTTATCGATATTGAAGTGTTTACCAGACTGGTCTGTGATTGGGTGGCTTCAAGGTCGCGCTCCACCTAACCGTCATATGTGGCCCGTACTTTAAAGCAGCTCAATCCAGACAGCTCGCCCTCTCTCTTACATCTTGGTGTTTACTGTCACGACTACACGTGGGATGAACGATTCCTGATTCGTTGCGCAATGTACTATTATACAAGGAGCTCTTAAGCAAGAAAGATGAAGTCCTGGGAGCGGTTTATTTTTCCACTGGTGCTGGGTAAGCTCGGGAGCCCTCCACTTCCTCATGAGAGAATTGTCAAATTGTCGATGTACTGACCCCGGTGATAAACGCTAGTTTGGTTGTCGTTAGGTATTGTGGTCGAATGCTGGGACCGCTCATCATCGGTGTCCACGGCGACAGATGCGTCTGAGCAACCACGACAGTACGCTGAAGGCAATACATTCACTGGGAAAGGGGGTCAGCAAGATGTACCGGATGGTAGAGGTAAGTACTGGAGATCCATCGGGATGGTTATATATTCTTTTACGAGATGCTAACATCTTAACCTGATACTGAAGATCTTGTGGAATCAGCCCTACAGAAGCTCCGAGACGTTAAGATATCTCTAGTCGCACGCGAGAAACCTTCCGGCTTAGCGGGCTATGCGTTTTATTATGCCAAACATGCCTTCTATCTTTTATTTATGAACGGGCCCCCGTTGGACGAAAATTCGGATTCGAAACAGCGTCCACGTAAATTGGATCCAGGTCTGACGCAAGCGGTTGACGAGTTGGAGCTTGCCGCGAGGGAAAGACACAACCCGGATGCGATGTTTTTGCTGGCTGAGATGAACTTTTACGGCAATTTCTCACACCCACGTAACTTTAAGGAGGCTTATCGGTGGTATAATGACCTTGCATTGTTGACAGGTAATAGCACGGCTCAATATATCGTTGGATTTATGCACGCCACGGGCATTGGTGATGCTGTGGACCGCGACCAGGGCAATGCGTTACTATATCATAAATTTGCTGCTGAGCAAGGGAACACCAGATCAGAAATGACTCTCGCCTATCGGCACCATGTTGGTATCGGAACACACCGAAACTGCGATCAAGCCGCACACTACTACAAACGAGTTGCGGACAAGGCCATTTCGTACCTGCGTTCTGGCCCTCCTGGCGGCCACCATATTTCTCGAGAGTCTTATCGATGGGCTGATATTCAAGGAGGAGTATATGGAGAAGGCGCAAGCGTCTCGAGTTCCGGGCAAAACGCGAACAATGGCGCACAGCAAAATGCACGCGCCAACTTGGAAGACCTCCTGGAGTACTTGGACCTACTGTCTAAGAAAGGGATGTTGCAAGCGACATTAAGTCTCGGCAAGATGCATTACGACGGCGAAAGAGGTTTGCCTCGAAACTATAATAAGGCCATGAAATACTTTAAGGCGGTCACAAAGCGCTATTGGTCCAGCGAAGGCGCCATTCTTGCGAGCCACCCTGTGGGCATTGAGATATATGCCGCGACGGCTGCTGCACACATTGGTATGATGCATCTACGAGGGGAAGGCGTCAAGCAGAATTTCAACCTTGCCATGACGTGGTTTAAGCGCGGTCTCGCGAACGGAGATGCCTTGTGTCAGTACCAACTTGGCCTGATGTACTTACATGGATATGGTGTCAAGGAAGATGCCTTCAAAGCTTCCGATTACTTCAAAGCAGCCGCTGATCAGGACTATGCTGCTGCTCAAACTAGACTGGGCGCTCTTTTCCTCGACCAGGGAGACGTGTCAACAGCTACGAAATATTTTGAACTTGCTGCTCGATGGGGTTGGATGGAGGCATTTTACTACCTAGCTGAAATCGCCAATTTCGGAATTGGTGGAGAAAGACATTGCGGTATTGCATCTGCATACTACAAGATAGTTGCAGAAAAGGCTGAACGAGTCCATTCATCTTTTACAGAGGCAAATGATGCATACCAGAACGGCGATTATGATACAGCTTTGATCGCTACTATGATGGCTGCTGAGCAGGGATACGAACATGCCCAGGCCAATGTTGCTTATCTTTTGGATGAGCAGCAGTCCGTTCTATCATTAAACAAGATAATTCCATGGACGAAGAAACCTCGATCGCCACTTCTCCAGAATACTGATTTGGCTTTGATTTACTGGACTCGGTCGGCACGGCAATCGAATATTGATTCCTTAGTGAAAATGGGAGATTACTATCTCAAGGGCCTGGGCTCGTCAGCTGATGCCGAAAAAGCTTCTACATGCTACCACACAGCGGCCGAGGCTCATCGTAGTGCACAAGCCTATTGGAACTTAGGCTGGATGCATGAAAATGGCGTCGCGGTGGAGCAGGATTTCCACATGGCCAAGCGTTACTATGACCTCGCTCTTGCAAATAGCCAAGAGGCATATTTCCCGGTAAAGCTTAGTTTGATCAAACTACGCCTACGCCATTTCTGGAACCGTATAACTAATGGGAAAGTTAATCCCATTCAAGACGAGACAGGTTATTACCTCTCACCATACAAGCATGAAAATTTGGACATTGACGACTGACATATATTTAACGCAGAAAATAAAGCCCCAAGGAGCTTCAAAGAGTGGGTCATTGCATTCTTGGAGAATGATGAAGAAGACACCCAATACCACGCGCAGCTGTTCAGAGACCGCGAAGAGGACGAACTTCTCGGCACACACCATCATCACGACGATAATGATGATGGGTATTACGACGAGCTGGAACTCGAAATAGACGAGAGTGTTCTTGAAGCACTCATCATCGTTGCCCTTGCGGCAACATTGTTGATTCTAGTATATGTCAGACAACAACGGAATCGGCAGAGGGATAACAATGAGAACGCTGGCAATAATGGCGGACAACTAGCTGGTGGAGGCCAGAATGCAGCCAATGGACAACAACAGCAGCAACAACAAGGCAACAATGACAGAGGTTTCTTTCCTCAACGAGACCAACCTGAATTTGCACAGTGGGTGGCAGGAGGAATTGGGCATTGATGATGGTGCTTGGGAGTAAATAGACCGATAATTGTTTTGAATCATGAGCTTGTACTTTTTCTGTACAATACAACATTGATACATGTAGTGAATATACGTACGTTTGTCAGCTCCACGTGGCGCTTGTAGATTTAAGCTTATCGATAGCACAATCAACAGCTCGAGGCATATGACAACCCTCCATCAATTTCTAACTGACCTTCTACCAAATTCGTCTGTTAATCCAAGTCAGAAACCTCCTTGTCTTTTTCGAAGTCAATGGAATATTTGACCTTGGCAGATAATTAAGCATGGATGATAAACACCCCAGCATCAAACGACGTCGTCTAAACGAGGCCGCATCCGCACTGTCGCGTCCATTCAAGTCACCATTGCGCAGGGACAATCAACAACAAAGTGGCTCGCCTGCAAACAAAACTGAAGAGAACAATACAGTCACTGAAGGTCAAGGAAAACGTGCTCCCACCACCACCAACCCCGCCCGCTCCAGTCTTCCTAAACCTTTCCTACCTTCGACTACTGACAAACCAAGTCATGACTCTCACCTAGCCTCTTCAATCCCTCGTCACCAACGCCCAACCACAAACCCCGACCCTGAAACTTCCGCACTTCAGAAGGAGCAGAAATCCCTTCTGTCCCGTCTTTCTTCCCTCCGATCACAGCTCGACACCGCACAGCAAGCGCTGAGAATCGAAAGCTCATCTAGAGACGCAGAGCTACATGTTTTAATACAGAAATGGAAGAAAGTCAGCCAGAATGTTGCAGATGAGTTGTTCGTCTCTGCAAGAGATAGGATTGAGAGGATGGGAGGGATGCAGGCTTGGAGGGAGAGGGAGAGGGAGAAGAAGATGCAGATGCGGTGGGATGATGAAGAGGCAGCGGAGTTTAAAGATCAAGATGGTATGAAGGGGGCTATTACTCCTTCTACAGATAAGGATGAGCAGGAGGTTAGTATCTCGCATTGCTGATTGGTTACATGAGCTGATTCTTTTTGGGTTGGATTAGGTGTTTACAATGGATAAGATGCTTGCGAGTCTGAATATTGACTTGAATATCATCGGCTTTGATAAAGATGGCCAGAGATGGGTGGACTAGCTGGGTTCAATACCGATTGATCAATATTTACGGATAGATAGTCGTACAGTGATCGATATTGAATTGGCTGGCGGGGGTGGATTCTAATACAATCATGTTCATCTCGACTAATGCTTATGTGAAATATACGTGTTCTTACTTAAATCAACTGGTGTAGAAACGTCAGTATTGAAGAATAAATGTTTTGTTATATGATTTAATTGGCCTCAATCTGTTCATACATCATCCATCATCCGTTGATCTGTTGTCAAAGAAATGGTCGTAAATGAAGATTAAGTGATTAGCTAGTCGAGCCGAGAACTCGCTACACATCTAAGCTATAGAATCCGTAATCATGAGTGTGAATAGGATATGCCAGCGACACTCAAAATATAATGAAGATCATTTTTTCGAAATGTAATCGTCGAAAATTTTGCCAATAGTGAGAGCACTCTTCTTTGGAATTCTCTTCTGACCATTCTCATAGTCGACGAAAGTCACGCCGAATCGTGTTTGGTAGCCTTCGGACCACTCAAAGTTGCTGAAACGATACATTAGTCTTGCGTTGATGTGTTAATTCAGAATCAAACTTACTCCATCAAACTCCAGGCCAGGTACATCTTGACATTGACACCATCGACGGCCGCAGCATCGGTCATTGCTCCGATATAGTCTCGGTAATATTGAACTCTGAATTCGTCATTGACAAGCTCCTCCAGAGGCAGGTCGTTTTCGCCTTTAATACTGGTGCCGTTTTCCGTGACGTATATCTTTGGGTACCCGTAGCGATCTGACAGCCATTTCAACAGCTTTCTAAAGCCTAGAGCATTCGGACGAAGCCAGTCGCAATTTGTCTCGGGCCCGATCGGATTGCCGAACTTGTCTTCAAATAGATGGTCGAGATTTCCAGCGGAATCATCTGGTTCTGGCTCCCCTTCTCGATGACGGATGTAGTTTGCGCAGTAGTGGTTCATTCCATAAAAGTCGTTGCTACCCTTAACAAGAGCGATTTCTTCGGCTGTGAAGGCTGGAAGACGCTCGCCTAGCTGTTTGATCATACTGTCGGGGTATTTTCCTAGGTAGATTGGATCTGCGAACCAAGAAATGGCAAACTCAAGCTTTCGGACACAAGCTTCAATATCGGCGGGGTCTTCTGCATCCCATGGTTCGGGCCAGTCACCTAGAAACAAAAAATAAAATAAATCAATCTTCCAACGAAGCTAAAATGAGTATGTATAATTAGGCTCGTACCGTTCAGAGTGATACCGATTTCTCCGCCGTGCGTAGGTTTGAATTCTTTACGATAGATATCCACCACTGTGCCATGAGCCACCAGAAGAGTCTTGCCTACAATCCAGGGCTCTCGCACACCGTCGCCAACGGGGTTTGTCTTGCGATCACTTGTTCGTCCAGGAGCATGCTTGCCAATGTTGTAACCAAGCACGGAACTGCACCAGGGCTCGTTGAAGGTGATCCAACGCTTGACTCTGTCCGAAAATGCATTGAAGACTACACGCGCATAGTTTGCATAATCGGCGACATATTCATCCTGGTTGAGAGGGCCACCGTAGCGCTTTAGAAGCTCGTCTGGCAGATCCCAGTGATACAGCGTGATGATCGGCTCGATTTCGGCGGCATGGAGGTCGTCAATGAATTTGGAATAGAATTCGAGGCCCTTTTGGTTGACTGGGTCGTTTCGGCCACCCAAGGGAATAATTCGTGACCTGGGAGAGTTTGTTAATAACCAATGATAAATCATTAGGGTTGATAGATGCAAAAACACACCAGGAAAGTGAGAAGCGGTATATTTTGGCGCCGTATTGTTTCAAGATCGCAATGTCTTCATGTGTCCGGTGGTACGAATCACAGGCTACATCGCCATTGGTGCCATCCTCGACTTTGCCAGGAGTCTTGCTGAAAGTATCCCAGATGGACGGGAGCCTGCCGTCCTCGTCGTAGGCTCCTTCGATTTGGTAGCTATAATTGCGATATCAGTGATTCTCTTCTTTCATGTATTGAAGAACAAAGGATACCCACCTCGCTGTGGCGAACCCCCAAGCAAAGTCCGCCGGCAGCTTAGACTGTGTAGTGTAACCATTCGCTGAGCCCATTTTTGCAAAGCTGGTCTGTTAGGATGCGCGGGATCGAGTAACACAGATTTTACATAAAAAATCTATCAAGCGGAAGGCGAGGTGATGCAAACATTCGATATGAGGGAAAAAGCAGAAGCGGGTGCGAACGCTTTTATATGTGATACCTCACTCCGGCCTTCGTCCGATTGATCAATTCAAGGCGCAGGCATATTCCTTGCAGTCAGTCCCCACGGCTGCACTGCTGGCGGACGAGAGGATGCCGTGAGACTCATCACAGGCGCTATGAGAGTAGTACACAGCTGTCTGGGATCTCCACACGGTGTTAAGGCCGCAGGAAGCGCTGGGAGTGGATGCATAGCGATCGATTGGAGGAGGAGCGCAATAAGCGATACTCCGCGGACTTTTTTCCCAATCGTCTGGGGCGAGTCCCCGCCTAGCCTCGACAATGTGGATTGCTTCACACATGCCTTCTTATCGCCCAACCGATCTTTCGCGCATCGTGCCTTGGCGTGCATTCTGCTACATATATCAATTGCAGGCAGATGGCTAGTGCCAGTGAAACGGCACATCCTAGATCTGAAACATTACACCATGCCTACCTTACTTTATCGGCTACGGAATGTCACCGTTTAAATCACTCGCCTACATTGATGGACAGGTGGATTTGCCATTTATAGTCGTGGCAGCTAATTAACTTATGCAGTTTATCGCGCCAATTACGCGCAAAGTAGTCTACTTCATAAAAAGTAATAACAGATCCGATTGAATATTTAGATACGCCTATTCATGCAACCACCGCTACCCATACTCCGTTAATCGAAATAACCTTAGAAACGAGGCCCTCCAAGCCCAGGATAGGCGGTCATGAGGACACGGGAATGAAATTGACGCCTTACGACAGTTCCATACCGTCTTCTTCGTCTCCTTCAAGCTCATCCATCTCATCCACGAGCGAGTTCCCAGTGAGCCGCGGTCGCTTGGATCCCAACGTACCAGAGCCAAGAGCCCCGACGAATTCTAGCTCAGGACCTGCTACGATTCTGCCTTCCGTATCGACAACCTCACAGAGCTCAATGAGGCTTTGTCGATTTAGCGATTTGAATCCTGCCGTTCGTACGATTCGACCCCAATGCGTCAGGCAAAACTGTGCGGCACGACGACGAAGCCAATCTTCGTTGGTTCGACCGGCTCTCTCCCAAATGATGGCTGCGTTTTCGACGTCGAGCTCACGACTCAATCGATTAACGCAGAGCAAACGTAGCTTCGGCATATCGTAGAGGTTGGCCATGACTAACATGCCGGCAACATCAAGGATGCTGGTGCAAAACTGAGGATGGTCTGAAATACTGTCACTATATAGGTAGTATAGAAATGCCCGGACGACAGAGTAAGGCTCTGGTATGTGCATCCTTTTCGTATGATACTCTGCCATCTGCGCAGAATATAGTCGTTTAAAGTGAGGCCATCTAGCTTGTAAGATAATGCGATGAACGTGAATAGGCACGGAGGTTGAGGCAGTAGGGGAGATAAATGCGGGTTCGGATTGGACCTGCAATGGCGAAGGTGGTTGGGATATCTCCTCCTCTGCATCCTGATCATCACGATCAGCAGTAATGATAAAGTCAGTACCACTGCCGGTCTCTGGGTCTTGGTCGAAAACCGCTAGCAGGTCAGCGCCGAGACCACCATTCTGCGAAGGCCCTTGACGCTCAGAAGCAAGGATGCGGTTTTGTTCTGATGACTCTGAAACAAGATCATTGCCAAGAAGTCCGTATTTTTCCAAGTCCAGGCAAAGAATCTCGTTCAGCTGATTGTCGTCACCTGCACCAGTAGGATTTTCAATGTTGCACCCAAGTAACCACGCTTTAGTGCCATCCTCATTAATTGTGCAATAATGCCACCTATAACCTGGACGAAAAACCTCTTGGCCATCGGCAAGTCTTTGCCATCGTAGGGAATCCAGCTCGAGCGATGACAAATTACATTCGTAAGGCCGTACAGTTTCAGAAGGCGTGATTAAATCCAAAAGCAGACCAGAAGAGTAGACATGGAAATGAGTGCCTGAGAGCAAGGATGGAACATGCGGGCCCGAGCGAAATCGAAGGGATGATATCGCACCCGGTGCCGTTGGTTTTCTTCGCACGAAAGAACGAATTTGCACACTGGCCGAGTTTGCTGCATATCCGTTGGACCGGCTAGACAGTTGCCTCGGCGGACTAAGAGAGGCGCCAGGACTTGGAGTCGGGTGACTTAGTGTCCCTTGTGATTCCTCGTGAGTCATGCCCAAAGTCGGACTACCTTTGAGGTCTAGCCACCACAGATCAGTAGTGCGTTCCATGTCTCGACCGAGACCTCCAAATATCCATAATCGACCTCCCCAGACCCACGCAGTGTGGTCAAAACGGGGTGTGAAGCTCCATGTCCTCGACCATGTCCATGTTTTTAGATCCAGATAACACAGGTCATCGAGAATTAGATTGCTTTCCCCAGTTACCCCACCGACTACGAATAGTTTGTCTTCGTAGATAACGGAGGCATGGCGAGCCCGACCTCGGGGAACAGGACCTCTGATGTCAGGTTGTGTCCACGTGGACGACGGAATGTCCAGGATCACAATGTCGGAAAGGTATTCACGGTGCTCATTTTCACCACCGAACACAAGTAATTTATTTCCCTCGTATAGAGAAGCGGTGTGTCCTAGATACGCCAATGGCATCAGCAAGCTACTCTTCAATGCCGGATCATCAGGCAAACATACCCATGCGAACACCCGGGATATCGCCATAGTTATCGACCAAGTCCCATGACAGCGTGTTCAGGTTAAGCCGAAGAACGTGATTGTACACTATGTAGCATATTTCAGTCAAAGGGTGCTAAAGATGACAAGTCTTGAGGCTGAGATACCTTCGTCAGTGAATTGGTCGAAACCCCCAAAGGCGTAGATCTGATCATTGCCACAATAGGTAACAGAAGCATTCACGAGACATGCGGGGATATTGCCGACGGCCTTTTTTATACTGGGACGGTAATCAGCACTGCCCCGACGGCTTTTGGCTGGGCTTGTCGGCATTAGATACGCGTTCTGCTCCCGGACGGCCAGCAACGGGGAGGACATGGGCTGGGTTGGACGTCGAATGGAGGTTGTAGCACCAAGAGCATCCCAGGAGGAAGCCGACCCACCGTCGTGGAGGTGCGCAACTGAAAGGGCTGATGCGGTGACCGGGGCGTTGCTAGGTGTGGAGGGCGGTTGCCGCGCCATCAGAGCGGGTCTAGTGGGTAATTATCGACTGTCACTGAAAGGACGAGACCAACGGGTCAAAGAGACGAGGGCAGAAAGAACAATGGACGAGTTCGACCACTTCTATATCTGACTGAGTGCTAGTCTGCTGCAGCAGGCCCGGGTTGTGTAGGCACAAGAGGAGGCAAAAAGGAAGAAGAGATTTTCGGATCGCGGCGTGGATTGGTCCAGATCAGGTCAGAGTGGCAGGTGCCAGAGTGGGAAGGAGCAAGCCTGCATCGGGGTTAGCGCCGACGGAGTCGGAAGAGCCGCCGCAGAATCTAGGCTAGGCTGTATCTAGGCTAGCGCATGGCCAGCTCGTTGCTATGGGACACGCAGCGACGTCATTATTTATTCTTTCATTCATGCCTCGTCTTCACTTCTTCGCTTCACTCCTCACCCTCTGCCTTTACCTCTACACACATATCTCCTATCCGTGCATGGAATACTCTTGTATTCGCGATTCTGCATAATATAGTTTGTTCAGGACAGGCCTGCATATTCTACTATTACGTCCCACGGCTAAGGCTCGCTGTCGTTCAGCTATCCATTGTATCTGCTTGTTTCTTGCTGTTTAACTCACAATGGCTTCTGCTTCGGTGACGACTACGCCTCTAAAGAAGCATCGTGGCCTCTTCTCGACTAAAACTGCGGGCGGTCGTCTACCTCTGACGCCGTCTCCCCGTACAAGAGCGACGAGCAATGCCTCGATCAGCTCTTCGCCCTTTACTCCATCTCATGAAGTCGATGACAACATTCGGACCAGCCATCAGTCTTTTTATGGAGGAAACTTGAGTGCGCACTTCGGCAAGCCTGTATCCAAACCTCGTAATTATCGGGAATCACCAAAATCAAATATTGCAAAATTGCGCAAGTCACCAAAGCACTTGGAGCTTGGGATCTCTGACTGGACGTTGACTGGTACTGGTCCATCCGGTGCTACACCATCAAAAGAGCGCGCCCGCAAAGAAGCGGCACGATCACGATCCTCCAAACTAGCAGCTTCTAAGACTTCGGTTACTAAAACAACCATACGTATCCCTCATAATGCGGGGGATCGGTTCATACCCAACCGCATGGCAAGCGAAGGACTGGCGACTGCTGGTGCTGCTAAGCCTGAAGACGGTCAGCGCCCGAAGACCAGTGGTGGTGATGGATCTGCTGTCCTCGCCAGTGCTGCTAGTGCATTTGATATTGGAGGACGTGGTTCCGACGATGACCTTACCGCTGCCCTTGAGAATCTCGGGTTAGATGATAACGAGTCTTCAACCACATACTCGCGACCTGCCCCTGATGCTGTTGCCTATGAGTCATCACTGGCCGATGCTTGTGGCGTAAAATTCAATACCCGTATTCTGGCCTACAAACCCCCGCCACCAGAGTCTTCCAAGCCCATTGACCTCAGAGCCCAGTACAACAGACCCCTCAAACCAAGTGCTGCTCAGTCTGCCCAGTCACGTCGTCGAGTCCAAACTGCGCCTGAACGCGTTTTGGATGCTCCTGGTCTTCTTGACGACTACTATCTCAATCTGCTGGATTGGAGCTCTGGTAACCAAGTCGCCATTGGCTTGGAGCGCAACGTTTACATCTGGTCTGCGGACACCGGATCCGTCAACCCACTCCTGGAAACATCGTCAGATACATACGTCAGCAGTGTCAAATGGAGCGGTGATGGAGCCTATGTTGGTATTGGACTGGGAACTGGTGAGGTTCAAATTTGGGATGTTGAAGAAGGTACCAAATTGCGCAGCATGTATGGCCACGACACCCGTGTTGGAGTGATGGGATGGTCCAAGCACACTCTATCCACTGGCGCCCGAAGTGGACTTGTATTTAACCACGATGTGCGTGTCGCCCAGCACAAGGTTGCTGAGCTCGTCTCTCACACATCCGAAGTGTGTGGTCTGGAATGGCGCTCAGATGGAGCTCAGCTTGCCACCGGTGGTAATGATAACCTCGTCAATATCTGGGATGCCCGCTCCTTGAGTGCACCCAAGTTCACCAAAACCAACCATCGCGCAGCTGTCAAGGCACTGAGCTGGTGCCCTTGGCAACTGAATTTGCTGGCTACCGGCGGCGGTTCCTATGACCGTCACATCCATTTCTGGAACACCACAACTGGCGCGCGTACCAACAGCATCGACACTGGCTCGCAGGTCACAAGTCTTCGCTGGAGCAATCATTACCGCGAGATTGTCAGTTCTAGCGGCTTCCCTGATAACTCCCTTAGTATCTGGAGCTACCCAACCTTGGTGCGCCATGTTGAGATTCCCGCACATGAAACTCGTGTTCTCCACAGCTGCTTGAGTCCGGATGGCCAGATGCTTGCCACTGCGGCCGCAGATGAGAGTTTGAAGTTCTGGAAGCTCTTTGAACGCAAGCCTGGTGTTGCTGCCTCTGCATCCCGCGAGGGTGGCGTTGGCAGCAAGGCCCAGATGTCGAAGTCCATGACCATTCGTTAATCATATCGATCTGTTGTTGTGGTTGTTTAGCTCTGCCTTTGCATGGAAGGCCAGAGGCTGGCTTCCGGGAGTTCATTTTGTTGGTGGTTCATGGCGCTTGTATGGCAATACTGGATTTGTTTTCTCTTCCTCCCTAGTACAAAATTATTTTTGACTTCAACTCATGCGCTTTAATAATTAAAACTCTGCTCAGTTCATACATGGCCGTAATGACGATGATAGGTAGAAAATGAGTTGAGTCTTACGAATCAGACAAGGGAGTGTCGTCAACTAATTACCTTGCCTGTGTATATACAAAGCAAGCATTCTTGTATTCAGTAGACTGAGCGCCAAGGCTGGATGACTAATGCGACGGGTATGATAGATTTCGCCCAGGCAAACGGAACCTGCCTCACCAACCTACCAGCACAACTGCAGCGACGTCTTGTGGTCGCGCCATTCTACGCTTCAAACAGGCCTGTCTACAGTCTTACTAGCAGATAAAACGATAATAGCAGTACGGATACGTTGACTGTCGCGATTACTGGCGTCTAGCAGGTGCGCGGCTGAGGTTTGTCGGGTCAGGCTTCCGTGGAGCCTCACCGTCTCACACTACCAGCGTCTCACCACCTCTCATCTAGGGCTCACAAAGGTCCTATATACCACACCATACCACTTACCTTGCTGAGAGGGACACCCTGTCGCGGGAGCTTTAGACGGCCATGTCGAATCAGCAGGTGGTGAGTGCTATCCACGATCCCTGCCAACTGTCTGGTCTGTGACGGCCAGGCAGCTTGTTTCTTCCCTTGTGAACGTTCCATCATGCTCAATAGTTTATTTCATACACACGCTCATTTTCGCACAGGGCACGGTTTACGACCGTGTCATCCAAGAGGTATGCGAGGCCTCGCAAGTCGACTTTGAAGAAGGCGGCGTGGACCAGACGACGCTGGAAGAGATGCGAACGGTCAGTATCATTCCTCATTCCTCATTCATCATTTCATCTTCGTCCCATCCTTCGTCTCTCTATTACTCCGTCGCTCTCAGTCGATTCAAAGGATTTCCTTCCCCAATACCAGCAACCATAATGCATATGCCTTGATGCATTTGTCTGTGGTGAGGGCGAAGTGAAGCCGGGTGGCAAAAGCGGGCGGGGGGCCGGAGGGTTGGGGGACGCAGGCTCCTTATGGGGAGAGCGCCGCTTCTTGAGTCAATTTATACCCACCGCCATCCCTGCGCCTCCAAGCCCGCGCCTACCCACCGCAACACCACGCCGGGCCAATCACACTGCCTGCGCTGCGCACTCCCGCGTCGCCCTGTCATATCGTTGTATACAATGCGCCATCCACAATACATATACACATGCACATACACATACATAGACATATACATATCATTATGATCTATCTGCTAACCGTCGCAGAGCTGGCAGCAAAAACTCACCCACCTTGGTGTTGCGCATTTCCCCTGGGACCCTCCTCCGCAGCCTACTCCTCCTCCCTCCCAGCCTGCGAATCCAGTCCTCCCCCCTACCGTCCCTTCAAATGCACCTCGTCCAGCCCCTCAGCAGCAACCGCCGCCGGCCAGTCTTCCCCCGCAAGCTGCGATCCCAGCCTCTGTCGCCAACAATGGTCCACCCAGCGTCAATGCCGGACCTACCATCAAAACAGAGCCTGGTCTTAATGGACAGCATACGCTTCCGCCAGTCAGCACCGCACCACAGGGACTGACAAATGCACAAGCACTTGCTCGAGAACGTGCGATGAATAACCTGCATTCCAAGTACGGAGCCGCCGCTGCTGGATCTGTCAGTCAACTTCAGGCTCAAGGCCAAGTAGCTTTGTCCCTCCCCGGCCAGCAGAGACCCCTAAATGGACAGGTCCCTCAAGATATCAAACCGCCTCAACCATTGCAAGGCATTGCACCGTCTCAACAAGCAGCCTATAATCCCACACAAACGGATGGTTCCGGCGACGCCCTCGACGACTGGAAAGCAGAAGTAGCCCGTCGACGTGAAGCTGCCAAACGAAACAACGGCGAGGCCGACAGGCTATTATTCGAGCAATTAAAGTTTGACGCTTTACGTCTCGAGGGCGGTGGCCTCATGCTTCCTCTCAACGAGCGCGCAGCTGGTCTCTCGTCCAGGGTCCCATCGCAGCGCGTACCAGCCCCGCCTGCGCCGTATGACGGAGCGGATGACGAGGAAGACGAGGATGCGATTAATTCTGATCTCGATGATCCTGACGATCTCGCAGCCGAAGATCCCGAGGGTGATGATGCCGTCGGACAGGTCATGCTGTGCACGTACGACAAAGTCCAGAGGGTCAAGAATAAATGGAAATGCACTCTCAAGGACGGCATTCTCTCGACAGGTGGTAAAGAGTAAGCTTGTCGCTAAATCTTTTATCTGAGCTTTACTGACACGCTACAAGATATGTCTTCCATAAGGGACAGGGTGAATTCGAGTGGTAGTTCGTCCGACTTGCTAAAATTGTCTCTCGATTTTCGGTCCCCTTCACCAATCAAAATATCTAGATCCTTTCACTCGTAGTTGTATACTTATTCTTGGGGAACGGCGTTGGTTTTGAATATTCTTCCGCTGCAACGAAGCAGCCAATCCATCTCAGTTATTATCCCTCTCTGCACGTTCATGTCGTCACGTCTTGATTTCAGAATGTTACTATCTAACATAAAGCGCACCAAAATGGAACCATCTGCGCAAACCACACTAGACAGAACATTAACAAATATATCCTTGTTTATCTGAACCATACATATGTAATACATTATCCCCACTGTAAACTCGGATCCCCAAACGGCGGCGGCGTCACCAATGTCACCATAGGCGGCTCGAAAAAAGCATCCCAATTCCACAGCGGATCTGTAAAATCTACCATCCCATTCCACTGCTGAATAACAGCAGCATCGGTGGCTAGGTCTGCATTCGCAACGGGCAGGGACAAACCCGATTCACTTCCCGCTGTATTAATTGTAGTACTAACATCAGGAGCAGCAATATCTGCAATCCTCTCTGACGACGACGCCGCCGCCATATTCTCCAAGGCCCCAACCTCCCTCCTCTTCTTCTCTGTCATCGCTCGCACCAACATCCGCGCCGTACTCAGCGCTTCTTCTGCAAGGTGTGTCTGGAGATGCTTCGCAATCGTCTCCAGGGTCTCCATCGCCTCTGTCATCGCAGCAAGACCATCAGAATTATCAATAGCCAGTAAAACGCATATAAACTGAAACACCGTGCCGACAGTATTCCACCAAGGATGATTCCGCAACACCAAGATCCGTGCGGCCGCCAGCGCCGCTTTGCCGGCCTGCAGTACCTGCTCGAGTTGCTCGTGCTTAATGCCGAGATCGAGCAGGCGGAGACGCCGGTAGATGGCGAGACAGAGGTCTGTCCGGAGCAGAGTGAAGAATTCGTGCGAGGTCGGCGTGGCGAGGAGTTTGGTTAGGGCAATGCACAGTTCTTGTCGGCGTGAGAAGGCATCGTGGCTGCCGCTATCTGGTGGGAGAGCGTTGATCAGGGCGTTGAATTGCAGCGTTAGATCCCCCTGTCGTGTAATCACGTTGTGTTCGGGGATCGGTCCCATTTCGACGGTCGAGCGCCCGTGTTCGTAGGATATGAAGACGTGCAGACAGCGCGCGACGATGGCGATACGTGCACGGGTGTCGCGGGCTTGGGCGAGGGTTTGTTGCTGCTGCTTCCCAGCGTTCTCGACGCTTGTCTCGGGCTCTGTGTATGCGCCGATACTTTCGCAGAGATGCATGGTGGTGCAGCTGTACAGCCACGTGACACCAGGCCTGCTGGTGGAGCGGGTGTAGATGGTGCGCAGGATCCATGCTGAGATGGTGTCGAGGGTTGGAAAGCGGCCTGTGTCGGGGTCATCGAGAAGCTCGCGCGCGTGTTGTATGATGCGCAATTCTCGATTCTCGCACAGTAGCTTCGAGAACAGCGATGCCAGCCCGATGACCCCGCAGATCAGGGCCTCGAAGTACGAGCCCTGGTGCTTGCTGTGCCAGTGCCCATGGCATCGGCGGAGGAGGTTGTCGATATCGAGAAAGCCGAAGATGGGGTGGATAACAGAGCCGTAGATTTTAATTGCGTCTTGCACTTCGGCCCAGGTAATATAACCGGGCAAGTCGAAGATGACTGAGTAGGACAGTTCACGCCTTACGCCGGTGTTGTAGGCGAAGGAGTGAACTCTAGGCGGCGTCGCTGACTGCAGGGCCATTCCCACCCATTGCGGAAATGCGACTAAAGAATGGCGGCCGATGAATCGGCCTTTGAGAGGTAACAGGAAGCCATTCGCAGCCGGACGGTCCTCTTTCAGCGAGGACACTTCATCGCCAAAGCCACGTTTGCTTGAGGATGATCTGTTGGTTTTCAGAGATGCAGGCGAAGGCGTCGACAAGTCGTCGAGACCAGCCGCCGAGGGTTTCCTTTTCTGCGATAGACTTTTTGGCAAGACCGTGGCGCTAGGCTCTTGGGTGCCGCGAGTGTTGTTGCTGTTTCCACCGCTATATTGACATTCATAGCCATAGCCCGTGCATGTCGAGCATGGAAATTGTCCGTCGCATTTGCGCTTGCGTTGACGACATGGAACACATGCATATCGGGCGCGTTGGCGCATATGGCCCGCGAGCGATGCATCGCCTGGGGCGTGGTTCGACATGATCGATATGCGTAAGTTTATCGCGGCAGATCTGCGACGGTGACATTGATATACTCATTACTCGGGTGGATCAAGAGGGGATTGCAGAATTGTAGTTTGTACATGTACTGGCATCAAGTTGAGCTGATTCATTCATCTACGTCTATGTCCCTAACCGCTTTCTGACAGTATCACCGCCGCTTTAGCATCACCTAGCCCCTCCAATAATACGTATGTCGTAATTACATGACCTTGCCCTTCCCTGCTCACATCCTCACTCCTTCCAAAATATCCTTTCAAATCAGCATGAATCATAGAGGAAATCCTGTCGGTCGACATAGGCGTTAATGTCTCCCTCCCATTCCGCAATCACATAAAAACCTCGCATCCCATCAGCATGCGCAGCGCCGTCAAAGAACGACTCCCGGTAGATGTTTGCGATCCAGGCGTTGTAGATGGTCTCGTCTAACCATGACCAAATCCAATCGCTGTAGACAGCTCTTCCTCTTCCTCCTTTGAATGGGTCAGGCTGCTCAGGAAAGTAGCACCAGTTGACTTCGCTATCGGCAGCTTGCGGATATGGAACTGGGTCATACTCCCCGTCGAGATAGAGATGTCCCTCGCGAGCAAGCCGTTTAAGCATCTGCTCAGTGGTCGGTGCAGTGGGGATTTTTTCAAAGGCTGGGATACCTTGTTTCACGGAGGGTATTCCTGATGTAGAGCAATAATCACTAGTCCGGGGATAGGCTTGAATGCTGTATTGATACAGGTGATAGCCCCTCTTGACTTTCTCCCATTCAGGCATATTGGGAGGAAAGTTTTTGTGGTTCGGCTCTTCATCGTCAGAGCCCTCGACAACGTAGTAGGTATCACGGGGCTTCTTCTGCTTCTTCTTCTGCTGCTTATGATTGGGACGTTTAAACACATATCCCTTGCGGAATGCGTCTTGCATGGCTCTTAACTCTGCTTTGAGCTCTTCGCTTGGCTCTTCGGTTCTAGTCAATTTTTCCTTTGGTATAGGCTCGAAGTCTATTTCGTGGGGCTTCAAGGGAGAGGGTTGGCTATATGTTGTACTAGGCAGTATGTCGCCGTTAACAGGTACGTTGGATGCGATCGAATCGGTTTCATCGTCTACTTCATTCAGATGTGTTGGCTGAAGAGGTAGGGACAACAACTTACCCTCTTGGATATTTTTTATGCTGCTTGGCATCCAACGTACTGTTCTGAGCACATGGAGGTGGCTGTTCTGATTTGAAGGCTCCCCATGAGCTTCATTTGAGAACATCGGGGCAGGTTCAGGAATATTCCACTTCGATCTTGATAGCGGATGCAGGATGATTGTTGTAGATGATCTGACTTCATGACAATCCAGTGTAGGATCTTCCGTGCCGTTTATGCCTCTAGTGATTGCAGTTGAAATATTGCTGGCCGTACCTGACCCTTGCGAGGGTGATGGGGCGTCGACGCTTTCTGGTGAGAGATTGTCTTGGATTCCTTTTTGCACGATCGCGACTTCTTTGACGTTTGCGGTTGATGCAGATGCATCGGATGGGGTCCAACGAGCGAAAGCAACTCGGAATGAATCTACAAGGACGGTGCTCTCGTTGGCATATTCATCGCTGGCAGACGTATCAGTGGCGGTTTTATGGACAGACTCGTTTATAAACTTTTCTGTATCAGGTTCGAGAAGAGGCTTGTGAACAATAGGTTCACCATTGACAGAATCGTCGTAGAGAGAGTCATAAGCGTCAGCCTCGCGGTCCAGAGACTTTATAGTAGGCTCACCACAGGCAAGCTTGTTGTCGGCAGGCCCAGCGGCAGGCTCTTCATGGGCAGTGCCTTCATGGATAGTAACTCCATGGGCAGTCTCTTCGTTGATAGAATCCTCGTTTGCAAGCTCAATATATGCAGGCTCATGCTTTACATTGCCAGACTGAGTGGTCGGGGCAAATTTACTCGAGCTGGTCCAACGTTGGAACGCAACTCTGAAGGTCCCTGCAAGATTGATGTTTTCATCCCCATCGTACTCCCCAGTTGGATCTGTGGCCTGGTCAGATTTACTGTCTTAAGGATCTTGGTGGGATACTACCTTTCAAAACATGTGACATGACCAATTATTACCACTTCACTGCAGCAGTGAAACAGTTTGTGATGTTTGTAGGATATTGGTAGGGAAAAGAGTATATATGTGTGTAATGTTTGACTCTTCAGATGCTGTATGAGAAGGGTGAGAGGTAGAGGATAGAATGAGACCAAGGCTTCAGATCGATACAGAAACTAAAATTAAAAAGAGAAAGAAAACAAAAGGCTGGGTAAATTGTAAAGGTGAAAAGACACAGTTGGTATGCATTCCCAAAATGGCAATGGCGGGACCTAATAAGGAGCGGTGGCGGTGGCTGCTCATTGGGCACATCTAAATATTATGGGGTGAGGCAACTTCACATCTGCACTCAGCACAGCTGACCTGGTCTGGTGCATACAGTCAAAATGCTTTCTATATTACGAAAAGCAAGGTTAAAGGATAAAGAGATGAGGATATTGATGCTGTCTGTGACTGTCTGAACAACGGTTGATGTGATGTTAACTGGAATAGGGGCTTGGACAATGCAGGCAAAACAACGATTGTGAAGCAGGTCATGAATGAGGATGTGACCACAGTCAGTCCGACATTGGGATTTATCATCAAGACAATTGATTTTCAAGGGTGAGATCGAGCAGAGACCCGAATTTGACGAACCTTTTTACTAACCTAGGTAGATACAAGTTGAATATATGTGAGCAAAACGTCATCAGCAACTGAGTTGAGTTTGCATTGACACGCCACAGGGGATGTGGGCGGGCAGAAAACACTGCGGTCATACTGGCGAAACTACTTTGAAAAGACCGACGCGCTGATCTGGGTTGTGGACGCAACTGATCGGTTTCGCATCGATGACTGTCGCGACGAGCTGGCTGGGCTGCTGCTTGAAGAGGCGAGTTCTGCCCCTACCGTGGACGATCTCAACACGAACTGACAGAACCAGCGTCTGACGGGAGCCAGCCTTCTTGTGTTCCTGAACAAAACGGACGTCGAGGGCTGCATGACGGAGGATGACATTCGCACGGTATGTTCATTTTCTGGACGTATCGAGCGAGGGCTGACTGTTAGCAGGGCCTCCAGCTGGACCTGATCAAGACGCACAGGTGGACGATCGTCCCGTGCAGCGCGATGACGGGCAGGAACCTGTACGAGGGCCTCGACTGGGTGGTGCAGGACGCCAAAGACCGGCTGTTTCTGTATTGAGGCAGTGATAGATGTATATCTGTATACTACTCGCCTGGTATTAACCTAATAACTATATACGACTGCTTGGGCCTGACTAAGCAGGTATTCTACGGAAGGCACCTCGAGTGGTCCACGCAGGAAGGAGCCATGGGCGGGCAGGCTCCTTCCCCGAGAGAGACACATCATGTGACGTGTGAGGCGATACGTCAATTATAGTATCAATTGTCAATAATATCTACACGGTGAAAATAATATTGACTGCGGTTCTTCGGAGCACATCCACGCGTAGCCCTCCGTGATGATTGGTCTATTGCTGAGTAACCCGAATATCGTTCTTGGTCTGACGCGAACCACAAAACCAGCCCTCCACAGCCGCAGACAGCAATCCGACAACAAACAGCATTGCACGTAAAATTGAGGAGTTGTACACGTAAACCATTTTTTTTTCTTCTTTCCGGTAAGCAGCTAGCCTGGCAGCATGAGCGAAAGAAACGTGGTACAAGAGCATCGTAATCAAGCAGAGGTGAAGCACGTCTGATTGTGATGTGGAGCTGGGCTGAAGTCTGAACCACAACGCGTGCAGGGCAGGCATATGATTGGGAAGGCGCAACTCGGAAAGATCTGCCTGCCAACTCAACTCCCTACCCTCTCCTACCTCTTGTCCTATGCTGTCATTTTCTTGCTCCTCTTCAATCCTGTCTATCCTGTCTGCCCGATAGATGGATAGCTGGTACTCCGAATTCAACCTCCGGTAGATAGCGTCCTTTTTCGTGCCACCCGCCTTCCGTCGACCCAGATACCACTTGTTGACCTACTGTGTGTCGTCGTGTCGAGCACCATGAATGACAGCTCGGAGGATGTCAACGACTTCCTGCTGCGCATCCGGGAGCTGGGTGACAAGCGGGACAGAGAAGATGAAGAGCGGACGAGGAAGCTAGAGGAGGAGATCTTGCAGGGTCGCAAAGAACGACAGGCCCGCCGCGCTGGTAAGTGACCGGCCACCACCCTAGTTCTAATTTCAACCTCCGCCGTGAAAACAACCATTGATAACCTGCTGCTTGCCTGCTTGCAGAGCGAGCCCGGTCGATTTCACCCACCAAAGACTCGCCTCTATCGTCCGTCGTGAATGTGCAGCAATCGAGCCACAGTTCCGTCCTCAACCCGCCGCTCAATCTGAAGCCGTCCGGGGACACCGACACCGCCAAGCCAGCAAGCATCGAAGAGCCCGCCAGCAGCGTCACCGTCCCACAGAAAACAACACCGCCTTCGACAAGCAGGGAGCTAGCGTCGCACACCTCTGTTGAAGAAGTGCCCTCCACACAACCCGAAACCAACAGTCCCAGCAATGCCAATATGGACGACGACGTGACCCCTTCGCGTGCTCAGATCTCGCGTGCCCTGGGATCCAAGGACCCTTCGTGGTTCCGCCAAACATCCGATCGCGAAAAAAGCTCGGGCGCGCTGCGTAAAAGCCCAGAAGATGGTCTTTCTGAGATTCCGTCTGTGGGAGGAGGTTTCAGATTGCCGGGGTTGAGTCGTAACTCGACGCCAGAAGCTGACAAGCCTCAAGACCTTGTTGGGGACCGATCGCGCTCGCCATCACGAGCAAGCTCGACTATTGCAAATAGCAGTGTTGGCTATCGCTATTCAAGCGTGTCATCTGTCTCGACCAGCGGCTTGGGCTCTCCTATGCCATTGTCTTCTCAACGACTCGACGCCCGCAAACCCGATGTTCAGCCCACGACAGACGAGCTTACACCTCTGTCGCCAGGTCGCGCGTCACCAGAACGCTCCGTCTCGCCTACGAAAGGTCTAGGCGGGTTTGTGCAGAGTGCCATGATGAAAAGGTCGGATAGCATATCGAAGCGATGGAGTGTCCAGGCCCCTGGGAGCCTCAGTCGGAGCAACTCGGTGATCAGCAATCGCAGCAGTGTCAGCCGCTCTGCATTTGGTGATATGCTTCCAAATCCAATTGATACAAGGCCGGCTCGCGGTACTTCGCCTTTGTCTCACTCCAGACCAGGGTCTAGCCATAGTGAAGCCACAGTAGTTCACAATCTTCAAGGCGCCGAGGAGAAGAATACTAGTGGAGAAACAGGTCGAACTGACGGTACTTTTGTCAAACCATCGCTGCCATCTCATGCCCGTTCAAATACTATATCATCTGTGGGGACCGCAGATGATAACAAAGGAAGTGAACCGACAACGCCGAGAAGCCCGTCGAAAACAATGGATCCAAAGCGTTGGAGTCCAACGAAGGCGTCTTGGCTGGAGAGTGCCTTGAATCGACCAGAATCCCCGAGAGCGAAGAACCCGCCAGTCGCACAACAACAACCTCCGTGGTTAAGAGACCTATCCAAGGCACGACAGTCCAGAGCTAGTGTTGACCTTGGCAAACCTACTGCGTTGAAAGAGACTACCTCTTCCATTGATCACGATAACAAGCCTGGCCTTGCTAGTGTTTCCGAGACAGCCAGGCTGAAAAAGTCGGGACAAGACGCTAAGACAGAAATTGACAAATTCTTATCTGAAGACAAATCACCTGAGAAGAGTAAACCGGACCTTCAGCCCACGACGGAAGTTGAAAAAGAGAGGATGGCATCCAAACCCAACCCGAGGTTCCCCTCGTCTACACCCAAAATTTCGCCGCCTGTTACGTCCAATAAACCAAAGCTGACGACCTCCAATGAGCCCGCTTCACAGAGTGCAAGTCCAAAACCTGGTGTCATAGACTTCAGATCTAACTTGCGTCGACGTGAGACTACGGAAGATAATTCGGCAAAGGAGGAACCGGAATTTAAGAATGTCTTTGGAAAGCTGAGAAAAACGGAGAGATCCAATTACAAAGCACCCGACGTTTTCAAAGATAACATCATGAGGGGAAAGGCTACACTCAATGCGACTGGTGGTCCGAAGAAAAGCGACAGGGTGGATGAATTCAAAGAGAGTATACTCAAGCAAAAGGAGGCCATGAAAGCCGGTGGAGGCTCTATACGCCAATCGAGCAACGATGAACGAGTGAATACCAAACTGCCAGACCCTGTCCCAGAGGCAATTTCCAGACGGAGGAACATTTCTCGCGGAGATAGCATCAGAAGCAATGCCTCGTCCCTGTCATCTCCTTCTCTAGCAAAGGGCACCGAACCTGAAAGTCCACAAAAGGTCACTGTAGAGCCAGTCAAGGCCGAAATAGCAGAGCTCTCTAAGTCATCACCACCTCCTTCCATCTCTCCCTTGACCGATCCGAAGCCTACAACATTAGATCAGCAAACACAAGAGGAACCGCCTCACCAAGAACCCGCGACCCCGTCACCAGAAAACAATGAAAAGAAGGACATAATTCAACCGGTTCGTCTCTCGCAGTCAAATGTCTTTGTAGGAGCTCCGATGTCATCTCCTGCTCTCAAGGGTCAAATTGCTAAGGGAAAACTTGCAGACAGATTAAACCCTGCTCTGGCCAACATCCTGTCGCGTGGTCCGGCTCGTGCCGGAGGAGATCCTGAAAAGTCGCCATCCTCAGAACACTCACCGGTGCGATCGTCGCAGAAGGAGCAGGAGGCATCGTCAGGGGCTTCTCTTACACATATGACGAAAGGGCGGGCGAGGGGACCGAAGCGAAGGCTGCCAGCTTCTAACAAACCAGAAACTCTGGCCACTGCAAAGGAAGAGGCTCCGATCTCGAAAAGTTACTCTTCTGACAAGTTGAATCGAGCTCAGATAGTTACCAAGAAAGAAGAAGGTCCAATTCCGAAAGACTATACTCCAAATTTGGCCCAAACCCAGGCACCTACTGCATCTACTGAGGAGGTGACTCCAGTCTCAAAAAATAGATATTCTTCCCGGTTCGACCAAATCCAAATCGCTACGAAAGACGAATCTCCTATCTCGAAAATCTACTCTTCTAGGCTAAACCAAACCCAGACTACTGCAAATGAAAAGGCTCCTATGGTGAATGAAAGCCTTTCAAATAAGATAATCAAGCCGAAGGTTGAAAAAAATGAGCAGAACATTTTGCAAGAACGTACGTCTCCAGTCATTATCAAGAATAAAGTCGCTCCATTGCCCCAAACTCCTGACAAGCCCGCTGCTCAGCGTCAGAAACCCCGGGTGGCTTCCAAGTCCCCAGAACTACATAGATCCCTACTTTCTTCCACAGTCGAACCCAAGCCTCCACCAAAGACACAAGAAAAAAGCGAGGAGAAACCAGAGGTTCTTCTAGCAAAGACTTACAGCAGCCCGGAAGTACCTGCCAAGAGTAGCATCATACGCCAGAAAGCTACGAGTCTTGAGAATTCCCGTTCTCCAAACGACCGACCAACACCTCCTCCAAAGTCACAGACCTTGCCTCTAGCCCCTTCAGCTGGCAACTCGTCTCCGTCTCCCTCATTCACTTCCAGGCTGAAAGAAACGATCGTGAATACTGCAGCTGCGTCACCGCTACAAACAAAATTCGGGCTAGGATTAGGAAGCTCTCTTTTCCCATCCAGACCAGAGTCCACGTTGGAGAAGAAGTCTCAACAACTTGACAAAGTTTCTGCATCACCGCCTGTGCCTCCGAAACGAGATTTGAAAATTTCCCCAGCAATTATTGATGGCGCGAGAAGGCCATCACTCGCATCGCCGGTTCCGCAAACTACGGAATCTACAAATGTTATCTCTGAATTTTTCGGAACACTTCCAAACTCAAGTGACCGAGTGGACATTGACCCGCAGTTGATTCTCACTGCGGAGATAGATTACCCAAAGACGAGGACTATTCGTAAGCAGATATGGGAAATCACTGGAGATGGGAAGAAACAAGATCTGCCTGTCAATCAAGAGTATATTTTGTTTGAGGGTAGTATGTATGTTTGTGTGCATACATTTGAATATGAAAGTGGAAACAGGACCGAAGCGTACCTCTGGTTAGGTGACGAGGTATCCGAGGCCGCCATGGAGGATGCACAGCTCTTCGCTCGCCGAGTTGCACGAGAAAATGGTGCGCGACTGGAGTTGGTGAGGCAAGGCAAGGAGCCAGCCAAGTTTATCGAGGCTCTTGGCGGTATCATCATCACTCGACGTGGCTCTAGCTCTCGATCCAGTTCTTCTGCTCTCTACATGCTCTGTGGCAGACGCCATCTTGGTCAAATTGCATTCGACGAAGTCGACCTCTCCCGCCGAAACCTGTGCTCGGGCTTCTCGTTCGTCATATCGGCCAAGTTTGGCAAGCTCTATCTCTGGAAAGGCAAGGGCAGTGGCGCGGATGAGATTGGCGGCGCGCGGCTGATTGGAATGGATCTCGGTCTGACGGGCGAGATTGAAGAAGTGATTGAAGGAGAGGAGCCAGAGAGTTTCTTTGACGTGTTCTCTGACGCAAAAGCAGTGCAGCCACCCACGACTGTGAATCATTGGCACTCGAAGCCCAAATCTGAAAAATATCGCTGTCGACTGCTCCGCGTCGATCATCTTTTGGGACAAAAGGGTGGATTCTGGAACCGACGAGGGTCTTCTTCGCCGGTGACTCGGCCAAATGACACGGTCGAGGAGATTGAACCGTTCTGTCAGAAGGACTTGCGAACCCGCGATATCTACATACTTGATGCCTTCTTCGAGATATATGTGTAAGTTATGACAGACAATGCAAACGGTGGATAGTACTGACCAGCGTACAGAGTCGTGGGAATCGACGCTCATTCCAGACCAGCGGAGTTTGCTTCTGCTCTTGTTTTCGCGCACGAATATGGAATCCTGGCTGCCTCGCTACAAGATCGGCCGTTTATTCCGAAGAGCTTCGTTGCTATCGGTGGTGTGCCAGAATGCTGCAAGGTCACGTTCAGGAAATGGGACTCGAAGATATGGGCGTCGACGCCGCGCATTCTGCCTTTGAACGCGGCGATTGAAGCCATCCGTTCATGACCGCTTACAGCGTTATTGATGCATATACTGGTGTTTTTAAAATAGCATCTGCGATTTGTTTTATATCTGCTACCAAGCGTTCATAGGCATCCTAGGTGGTGTATTTGTATATGTATCAGACATTCTGAATTGTATTTCCACTTGAATACACTACTACATATATCTTAGATATAAGAAATCACCGACGTGTGTAAATAATACAGTACTGATGTATTAATCACGCCATGGCTTGTGTGTAATCCCGGTGGCCTGACAGCCCCACTGGTACATAATACATAACATTAATATTGATGGCAGTCTGGTACCTTACCTTATCTACGCTTTTAACTTACTCACGGATTCTTTTTTGGCTCGACCATTTTGCTCCAGTCTTCTCTCTATCAATCCTTCAAATCTAGGCACCCTGCTAGCGCTATTATTACTATTAATATATTATTCGCAATCTCCACCATGCCTCGGTGACCACGTTGCTTCCTTTTCCCTCTTTGCTTTTTCCTCATCACGATCGATCTCACCGATGGACCCCGCCATCGTCCGCGAGCTCTCCCGGCTCGACCCGGACGTCCCCTTTCGTGCGACCTCGAAACATGTGCATCACACATGGGCAAAGACGTTTTACTCGCGCCCTGAACTGTACATTCAGCCGCGCTCGCTCGAAGAAATCCAGAAAGTCGTGATCCTCGCGCGACGTTGTCGCCGCAGACTGGTGACTGTCGGCAGCGGCCACTCACCCTCCGACCTGACCTGCACCTCCGCCTGGCTGATCAACCTGGACGCATTCAATCGTATCACAAGTCTGTCACAGGAAACAGGGCTGGTCACTGTACAGGCCGGCATCCGTCTCAGAGATCTCGGCCGCGAGCTCGACAAGCATGGCCTGGCGCTCCCGAACCTGGGCAGCATCGACAGCCAGTCTATCGCAGGCGTGGTCGCAACCGGCACGCATGGCAGCTCGTCTCGCCATGGCCTGCTCTCTGAATGTATCCGCGGTCTATCAGTGACTCTCGCCAACGGACAGACCGTCCGCTGCAGTGCAACCAACAACCCATCGCTGTTCCGCGCCGCGCTCGTCTCTCTTGGCGCACTGGGCATCGTTACCGAAATCACCCTCCAAACCACACCTGCCTTCCGAATCGCGTGGCAGCAGTCGCTGCATCCTCTGGCGGAAGTGCTTGATCAATGGTACAAGGACTTGTGGACGTCGCACGAATTCGTCCGCGCATGGTGGCTTCCATATACGGACCGCGCCATCCTCTGGCGCGCCGACAAGACCGACCTCCCCTTAAGTCCTCCTCCGCAGACCTTCTACGGCGCCTGGCTGGGCTACCACGTCTACCATAACCTCCTCGCACTATGCAACTGGTTCCCCCGGGCGTTGCCGTGGGTAGAGTGGTTTGTGTTTGGGATGCAGTATGGGTTCAAACCAGGGAATCTGGTGACCGAAGCTGTCGAAGATGGACGCGAGGGTCTGTTGATGAACTGCCTCTATTCACAGTTCGTCAACGAGTGGGCACTGCCATTGGAGAAAGGCCCCGAGGCGATCACTCGCCTGTCGGCGTGGATTCACGGCGACGAGAAAGCCGCACGTATCCCATTCAGTCCCAGGGGCGTGTGGGTGCATTGTCCAATTGAGGTGCGTGTTTCAGACACCACTTTATCCTCCACTCCGCGCCCTTATCTCGACCCGACATGCCACCATGGCCCGACTCTCTACCTCAACGCGACGCTTTATCGGCCGTACCTGCGGGATCCTCCGTGCAGGGAGCGTTATTACGAAGCGTTCGAGTGGCTCATGCGCGACCTGGGCGGTCGTCCTCACTGGGCGAAGAATTTTACTAATATAACCTCCTCTCATGAACTGCACGACATGTACGGCGATGACATGGACGAATGGCTGAAGGTGCGGCACACGACAGATCCCGACGGCATGTTTATCGGTGAATGGCATCGACGGAACCTGCTTCTGACAACAAACGACCCAGCCGTTGTGGACGAGCAGATCGACGCAGAACTATCTCTCGGGGAGCGCGAGCAAAGTCGACGCAAGTTCGGGGGTAAGGGGACAGGAGACGGCGTGGAGTGGATTGGCGATCGTCGATGGAAGGTCTCCGGGCTCAATTTTACCGACGAGGAGAGGCAGGAGAAAGCGTTGCCGAAAACTCCTCTCGCGGATCTTATTCCCAGCCCGCCTATGACTTCTACCAGCGAGGAAAGCTTTGATCTGTTAGCCCATGGCGAGGCGAGCATTGTCATTCAGGATGATGAGAAACACTGAGCAGGATACTCTACTATACTTCAACCCCTGGCCATTTATTATCTCTTTCTAAGAACATATCATTGTCATGACGTCGATTGGTCGCAACCACGCGCACCTACGTCAAATTCAACTATTATCTACTGGGTTTCTGGTTTATCCTAGTCACGAAAAACCACATCATATTGACATGGGTTAGGCGTTCACAGACGGAGTTATGGCTTTTTATTATTTTACCTGCTCCTTTCTCTAAACATGTAATGGTCCACGGAGAAGTAGAATAGACGTGAGTATGAAGAAAATCACTCGTCCATCAGTTCAAATGTTGATTAGGGCAAATACCCCATCCACAGTGCCTACATATTCACTACCATTCAATCCCCCATCTTCCATTCAACATCAATTGATTTGAGTATATATGTAATTGAGAATAGAAATTGGTGCGGAAATAACCCAAAAAACTACCGACCCCGCTTTCTCAATCTATGGGTTTTACTGTACTATCAGTTTTAATTACATAGCCAAAACAAACCATCACCTACATCAGTGCCATACGAACTTAATAATCTGTCTTATCAACTTGGAACCCCGAGAAACACCGTCGTCGAATATTATCCAGCTTCTCTTTATCACGCTCTGCCCCAATCAATCATCGTGGTGAGCGCGAGCGCGTGCATGACACATCGCACTACGCAGTAACTATGGCGAGCGTGTCTGCAGCTACCCGGCCAGAACCTATGTCGAGTGGGACAGGGAACAGGAAAAAAAAATAACCAGCAAAAAAGAAAAACTTCCAATGATGTCTACCGGAGATTTGTATCCTCTTACCACTGATTGGACCGTTTTTGACAGCCGTGAGAAAACCTGCATGCTGCAGCTACGAAGTAGGTATGTTTAGCGCGATTAGCACTCGACTCAGTATCGGCTTAACACTGGCCATTGAGATTGAGAGGACGCGGTGATAATATTATTCCTGTATCAACCCTGCTATGTTGCTCCAGTCCAGACCTGTCACGCGTTTGACAGCTTACCTGATCGAGGTAGACATTAATCCCAGCACACACCCTTCCACAGCCTTGCTGAAACAGGGTAGTGAGTGGTCTGATATCCATTGACATGCGAAATGGAAAATGCCTCCTAGCTAATACTATCAGACAAATAAATTTGAGTTGCTCCTTTTTACGCTCCTTTCTTTGCGTGCTGGTTTCTTTTCTTTTTTCGTTCCCTTCGATTATTTTCTCTTGTTAACATTTTTTGCTTTTTGGCTTCGTGGTTACTAAAATAGTAAATATGCATGCAAGAAAATATCCACTCTTAAAACAAAAGAAAAAAAAACCAATTTTTGATGAATGGAAGGAAAGGAAACTAATTAATCCTAGGGAATTTATTGGCTTTAGCGAATTAGGTCAAGTGCGCCATATCCCAAAATTATGCCCCATTGCCACAACGACATTGATATAGCTTGAATGGTAGATCAATTACAAGGCAAACTACGAAATGCAGATATATGCTATACCACGACTGCTGTTGACTCTACTAGCCGTCGTCTTGAATTTACATTCGTACGTTCCCGATCTCGGCCGTAGCACCCTCCTCTCTACCCCACGATTTCCATCTAGTGATGATTGGAGAAGACGGAGTATCTCGAATACTGTTCCCCATTTCTGTATCTGGTAATAGCGTTTCGATCCCTCTTCCGCCTGCATGCTAGTCTGTAATATCACACCCGAGCCAAATTTGAGGCTAGCTGCGAACTAGGCAGCCTAGGAAGAGCGTACTCTGTGTCGCTGTACGACATAATCCCAATAACTAACATTGCAGAAAACAGATGGGATGCGTGTAGCTAATGCACTGGAGACGGTGTACAAAGTACAACGCATCGCTGGCCCTAAGCTCCATGGGCCTGGCTTATGAATGTTGCGATGTGGGATTATATTGGACAAGTCGGCCTGACGATCGACATGCAAGGAAGATTTCCTATTAGGCTGGCCATGTAAAGCTACATCGAACTATTTCGATGGCCTAGCTACCTAGCTTGCTGCGAGCTAGCTGTGTGACAGCATCGAGTAGCGTGTTATCGTACTCCTGCACCCTTTACCCGCCCCGGCAACCAATCCAACTGGAAGTGGAATGGCACCGGACATGGTTCACCAAGTCACGGCTTACCGGTCGTTCTCGAATCGACCGAGGCTTCTCCAATGACCGGTCGGGGATGTAGGAGGAGCAGAAACGGGGTAAGAGGGGTTGTCTTGGAGGATTGATCTAGAAATAACTTTCCATTTTGAAAATTACACCTGAAACGGGTAAATGTCGAAGCTAATAAAGCATTGCCACTTCTCGAAGCGCGATTGTACTACAAATTGGAATCAGGCGGATGTGATAGACATGATAGACATGATAGACATGGTTGTCTATTCGGAACGGCCCGCCGATGGCCCAGGGATTAAATCGAAACTAGTGAATGGTATCAATAGCAGGACAACTCAACCATCTCGGTTATGCATGCTATGGCGCTTCCCAGGAAATATTCGGCGGCTCGTTTGGGGTCATATTGACCCCAGCGTCTGGACATGCAAAGCCTCCTGTCAAAAGTGCGGGGCAAGTCCATAGCTGCTCTCCGAGCGAGTAATATCAAATCGAATTGTCTTGGGGTTGACCTTCCCAATGCAAAGTCTTGGTTGGTGAAGAAGATGACGCATGCAGGCAGGTAGCTGCTTGCCTCGTTGACCTCAGACAATGCTTGCCTTCTCTTCTCTGAGCATTATATGCTCAAGTAAATTCCCTTGACATGGATCATATGACAGCAGCATGTAAGCTCCTAGGAAGCGACCTATATGTCCGATCATTTCTTTGTTTGCGCTGCCCAACTAACATCTGACAGCACGATCTTGCGGTCATTTTCTCCTCTTCTTCTCCTTCCTCAACCGGTTGATATTTCCCAGCCTGCCATTCTGCATTCCGATTGGAGTACACCAATTGGTATATCAAACTGTCCCGCGGTACACCGATGATCCGTGTAAGTCTGACGTATGCCTAGTCTGGTAACTTTCTGAAGTTTTCTCAGCAAGTATCAGTCAATCGGACATGCCCACCCAGCACTTCTAGTCAAGCACTACTCTGACAGAGCAGCATCTCTCGTTTGGGCACACCCACTTCTACTGGAACATCCCCAGCAAGTGTGTCTAGACGAACACCGAGTAGGTGGACGTCACCAACTGACGGTCATCTGAATGGCCCTTTCAATATGATGCTCCGTAGCCGACCAACTCCGCTATTCCTGCCTGGGGTTCTCCTTCGTGTAGACGTATAAACAACAACTGCAGGCCATCTGCTGCGGAGTTTGTAAAGATTTTTGAGATCAACCTGCCATACTAATATTCCCGGAGAAATTCCGTAGACTTGCACAGGACTGAGGTCTACTACTTAAGATTAATCAAGTCTAGAAAGTAAACCTGTCAAAATCCTGATTGGTGTGAATGATAAGCTCTAGATTTAACCTATATACAATAATAGGTCAGCAGGTTCCATTTTCGCACATGCAAATCATGAAAAAGTAGGTGTGATAATACCGGACTTGCATAAATATAATGATTATCCACTTCTGCAACGCCACATTGAATATAACCACTTAGATCGGTATTTCACTGATGTCAGACACAGCAGGGATTTTCTCATAGGATAATAAACTAAATAGGGACTGCAGGAGCGATTTCTTTTCGAAAATATCCCTACCACGTCACAGAAATCGATTTATGTGGCAGATCTCTGTTGGGCATCTGAGACCGCCATTCTTGTTCCATCTCCTTGATCTGTGGTAGCCCCCGCCTCGAATGTAATTTAACCCAAGGTTCCTTCTCCCTGCATTTCCTATTTAGAACAACATATCGCTTGTCTGAGAGCCTCGATTGCCGTCAGATCAGTTTACCCAAAATCGATCCGTGCATATAACCCGGCTTGTCTTCTATCTCACGAGAGGTCGTTTGGATCTCGTAGCCTAGGCAGATGTTCCGACAACAGAAAGTTCTCTTTCCTAAAATTAGCCCTGATTGTCCCAACAGCGCTGCAGTGCTCCAACTTCCAAATTCTAGAGCGCCACATTACCACGATCATGACAAGCCATCCCTCCAGATCTATCGAACGAAGCGAAAGCATGTCCTGAAAGCCTGTGAGCGGTGCCGAGTAAAGAAATCCAAGGTACCACCCGTACTCCGATTCTGTTAGAATAATAGTTCTTATGAGTGACTCAATTTCTCTTTCAGTGCGATGGTATGCAACCGTGTGGTAGGTGCTTAGCATACAACCATGCTTGTATATTTCGAGACAGAAAGGCGACCCAAGAGAAGGTCTATTCCAGAGGGTGAATACCCGAAACAACCCTGCCAGACAGACAAAAGTACTCACCGGTACCTAGATTTGTAGAGATGCTCATCTCGCAGCATGCGGTTCACCTTCAAGCGCTTCAGGATTTATACAGGCGCTGCGTAAGTCGGGAAGGGCTCCCTGGGTCGCCATTGGAGGAGTCAACGCAAGGTCGCCCCGGCACACATGCCATTCTAGACCGTCTAGGGCTGATCAAGCACGCGGAAGAAATGATCGAAGACCCCCGGACAGTTCTCGCGGATATTGTCGAATATGTGAAAGCACTAGAGACCACTTCTGACGGCATTGGTTCTGCGGAGTATAGAGAACCAAGCGAGACCACCCCGTCTGATGATCCATCCCCGGAACCCAGTACCCCAAGAGAGGTCGCAGAATTCACCGAGCCATCTATCGCTGGTACCATGGGTACCTCACACGACCACTTTCGATCGTACCAAATGAAGAGCAATATCAAGTCTGTCCAGCAGGAGCAACATCATCATCATCATCACCACGATATAAACCTTGCCCAGCCAATGGGTCCTTTCCCCTATCAAGAGAACGTCAATCACTCGCAGCTGCTTGGTAATGCCAATGTCCACCATTCAAAATACGCCCCCATGGACGGTTGTTGTGAGACTCCCGTCGACATGATGTGGTCCTCGCCGGGTCACCACAGTTCGTCTGGCTTGCTTCCATTCAGCTCCGCGGCAGAGAGAGGTCATTTCCTCGCAATGGAGCAGGAATCCTACCCTATTTTGCCGCAGTATGGCAACCCCATCAATAGCACTTTTCTGCAGCGATGACAATCAATTCCCTGGGGCGATCCCTGGGGCGATGCCGGCAAGCACCACTGCGTCTCAGCCAATCAGCCCGGTTCTGAGGATATATTCCTGCCTCATGCCCCGGCAGTCTAAGGTATAGGCTTGATGCTCTTCTTAGCCTGCGGCCAGAAGGATTTGCATTGGTTGAGAATTGGCTGCATTCACTGCACGTGCATTTGTTCATTCTCGTTGAGGCTGAGTGAGAGTGAAGAATGCGGTATGACTTGGCAATATGAGGATGGATCACCAACAATAGGACGTTCATTCAGCCGTCTTATTTTTGGATAAGAGAAATAAGAAAGAAAAAAAAAAGGGGGGGGTGGGAGGAACAATCTAGCATATATATGTAGCATTACACGTCGTTATTTGGAAAGGTAGTTGAAGTTGAGTCTGTCGATTGACACACAAGTCAATTTCTAAAGTTAAGCGAGGGCATGTCTGCATTCAACATCGACATAGGGCAGCAAGCACAATTATATATGTTCGCACTCACAGTCAATGTGGAATTTTGGAACGGTCGAATTATACATTTCCTAACCAGCCAGCAATGGCGTCTAGTTCGACAAGGAAATAACGAACGCTATTTATTCATTGTGCAATTCATACAAGGTTGAAATAATACATGTTAAGATAAGATGACGATCAATGAATTTAATTTTCCTCGGAAACTCGCTATCCCTTCATGAACCCCCGATTGAAAAATGAAAAAAAGAGATCAAAAGAAATGCAATGCAAACGATGAATGATACTGGTCTTTCTATTCCCCGTCAGTATCAGTCTCTGTGTCTGTCTCGCTTGTATCATCCGCATCACCATCTGTATCACTTTCCTCATCGGAATCGTCGTCTGCGGATTTCGTCTTTCGCTTGGGTGGTGGAACTCCAGTTTTCAGAGCCTGCATCTGACCGGCAATGGAATCTATTGTGAAAATTAGTAATCATGTGCAGACGGACAGGAGAATAAACCTTACCTTCATCCGGTTCGCTAATGTCATCTTCCTCCTCGAGGGCAGCCGCCTTGGCCGGATCATCAATATGCAATGTGATTTCTTGCTTCGTGTCAAAGCCCATGTAGCTGTCAGAAATAAGGTGGAGTACGAATGAGAAATCGCCCGCCTGAGGCGGCGCTTGGAACTGCATCTTCAAAGTTTGTATGTTAAATGTGGGCTTGCCGTTTTCGTCATAGATGGGCTTGTCAAATGTTGTGAAAGTGAAGGGGGGAACAGCTATCTTTCCTTGTTTTGGATCGGCAAGGAAGACATGCCATCTTGGAGAATGATCGCGTGCCAGATATGGGGCATAAGCAAGAGGAGGCTGAACAGTCTCAAGTTTCTCTTCGACAATCGAACCATCTGCTTGTTTAACCCTTCTAACCTTGCCTGCCTTCCGGTTCAGGAGAGCGTCGAGGTCACCCTCATCGGGATCGATATCTTCCAGCTCGACCTCATTCACATCAGGAACATTCACTGATCCAGGTGGAATGATGCGTCCTTTGACCACAAGCTGAACCAGACTGCTTGGCGTAATGACACGTTCTCCGATAACCTTGAAGAATGCTTTCGCAATCTCGAGATGTGGTAATTGATTAGCAACCGCAGTTGCAGCTTTGTATTCTTTCTCTGTCAACAAACCAGGACCGACTGTCAGGCTACGCCTCTTTTCCTCCGGCAAACTCATGTATTTTTGAACACTCAAATGCGTCTTCGCATCACTGCCCTCCACGGATTTGGCGATCTCTGCAGTAAAATGCGGTAATTGAAGAAGCGGTGAAGAACCAGGTGAAACAGCTTGGATAAGGTTCTGGGACATGCGATATGCGCCGATGACAGGCAAGAGATTGCCAAAAGCAAGCGTAATAGCTGTGAAAGACTCGTTCAACGAGAGGGCAACAGATCCTGCTTCGAATTTTTCTAGACAAATGTCAGTATTCACATGATGTAAACGTCAGACTGCTACACACCTTCGTTTAGAACAGTGTCCTCCAGATCGATGCGGTTAAGATATGCCCAGAGCAAAGCCAATGTCTTTCTCCTCGTGGAATCGTCCAGTTTTTGGAGAGTTTTCCGGTCACCAGACGTCAGAACCCTTTCGTCAATGGCCAACACTTTCTTCTCGATCGTTGCAAGCCCGGCTTCTGTTCTGGGGCCTTTCAACAGGTCTTTATACTCCTCACCAGTGGAAAGGGCGCTGACAACACGACCACCAATCATATCTTCTTTATACTCTCTGAAAATGTTGCCAGCGCTAGCAATAAGGACCTTCTCGCGGGTGAAGCGTTGAGAGCCATACCACCATTTTCCGACAATGTAGGGCAGAAGAATACCAAGCAACGCTCCGTAAACCAAGAGGACGTATTTCCCACTTCCCTCCATAATAATCAACTTCGGTAGCGCGATACCAATGCTATAGCTCTGTTTGCCATCCGGGTGTCCGTATTGTAAGTAGTTATTGCGGATTTCCTCATCAGTGAGAGCTTTGTACGCCTTGGTGAGCTCGACAAAGCGTTCATTGAGGTCTTCAATTGTCTCGTTTTTGGCAGGGTCGGGCTTGATCTTGTCAGGGTGGTATATGAGTGACAGGCGCTTGTAGTGGCGTGAAATAGCTTTTTCATCGGCACTCTATAAGCGAAGACGAGGTCAGCAATAGCTTCGCGGGGAGCAGATTCCAGAAAGTGGACTCACTCGTGATACTCCAAGAATGTCGTATGGGTCGTAAATTTTGGGTACCGTTTTGGCAGTGACGATCATCAGGTAGACCATCCACGCCATGATTGCCCAGCCGACAACCACGGCGATAGCGCGCTTGACCCGTCGTTCTTTGCGTAACCGTTTCCGCTTCTGGCCTTGAATGAGGTCTTCATGTTGTGGTTTGAAGTCCGATTTTATTCTGGGAGCAGTATTCTCGAGATCTAAACCGAAAGAATAGGTTAGATGTTTAACAAGAGGTGTCTAGGGTAGAGGACACTTACTCTTTGGCGGTTTGAGGAGACTGTATGTTAGAGGGAGAGTAACCAGGCCGGTCAAAGTCAGGATAAAGTAAGGAAAGAATTGACCCTACTCTTCAAGTTAGCCAGCGAAGCCAATATCGAGAGAACGCTTCCAACCTGTTCATCGTAGTTGTAATCCGTGGAAGACATCTTGCGGAATGGCTGCTGCTATCAGCGCAGCGCCAGGAAGGAGTGAATTTTATAGATAGAACGGAAAGTAGCACTCAGGGCGACTATGCATCCCTAATCAGACGACGACTGTGTCGGGCGAAGGCGTGGAGAGTGCAGGAATAGAGGCGTCGTTGAGGATTATTTGTCGCGGTATACCAATGGTGTGGCGCTCCTTCCTATTTGATCGAAAGGACACGGTTAACTGACCAGCCCGCAGACCGCCTTCTGTTTACAGACTAGCGCTAGTTTCGGCCGCCGCTTTCTCGTGCCTTATGGAAGCCACTACGTCCTTGACTATGAAGATGTGAAGATGTGAAGATTTTTACGCTTCTTGATTATACATGGTATTTCTAGCTTGTCTATACTAATATGCGTTGATTATGTACACCGGGTATAGTAGCCCAGGCATCATATTTTCGAGCAAAAAAGACACATTTGCATATGCCTACAGCAGCCAAGACGACACGACAACCATCCCTACACTCCATCCGTCCAGATCTATCAGCGATCCTGAGCAATCAACCCTCCAAACCGGGAGCTCAAGCACTAATGCAGATGCGAGCACCACCGACATGGCGGGGACACGTCTCGAGGTAGCCACAACAGTTCAGCGAGGTTCTTTGTGTCGGCGAAGAGATTGATTGGCGGGGTGAGATGTACCCGGAACACAACAGGGGAGCTATACCATGGACCAATCCAACTATTGTCACACGATAGTCTTCATTGCTGCAAGTCGTGAAGCTCTTATCCCCGTTTATCCGGTATCGAATCGAATCGAATGCGGCGCGGAGAACCGAACACCGACAACATCACGAAAGAGCTGTCGGTTTATTATCCATATTTCTGGACGCGACCGGAATTTTGTTTGGTGAGAGTGAAAAAGCCTTACAAAATGAGAACACATTATTCTCCTTTGTGGCCGTTCTCACGTGTCGATGTAATCAAGGTGATCGAAATATTCCAGCATATTATTGCACAGGCTTGGGTCATCGCCAGGGACGCCACCGAAAAGGCGATATTGCTCAGCGTCAATCCCAGTAGGGTCGGATCCCATACCGCCCCGCCATTCATCGAATCCTATATGCCAGGGATGGGCGGCGGGTTCGATGACGACGGATAGCGGTACAGGGTAGACCGAAGCGAGAGAAGGGGATGTTGCGGGGGATGATTCGTCGCCAGACAGGTGATGCAAGTCATCGGTGAGAGATCTGTTGCGGGACCGAGGCCTTGTGCGGCGTCGGTTGTGTCTCTGGCCCATAATGTTTTGGTGTTTGTTTTTTATAAACTTTTGTCCTCTCTTAAAAAAAATAGATATATACGACGTGTAGGAATGTAAAATGGAGAGAGGAGAGAGGAAGGTGGCAGACCGACCGCTCCGTTTTAAGGGAGGCGATGGAGAGAAGAGAAGAGAAAGGAGCGCAAGCAGAGATGACTGGGCTTTAAGTATGACTCTTTGTCTCCTATGGCATCAGGTGGTCGGACAGGATATCGGCGGCTGCAGTGAGTCATCGGCGCTAGGCCTCACTATTCGCACATCATCGGTCCCACTCAACCTTAACAAAATCGCAATACAGCCGTTACTGCAATAGAGGCAGAAGCATGACTACTATCATCTATGACTACGATCACGTTAGGCACGCATATTCTGACGGGACGCTGCAGCTTGTAACCCTAGCCCAGCAAATCACGAGCGCCTTGTAATACGTGCTCATTCGTCATCTTCAGATCTTAACCCTAGTGGGAGTAAAGTATGTATGTACGTACGACCACGCAAATTTTTGCGATGAGCGAAAAACGGGGTTCGGCTCGTCATATTGCGTGACCCGAAACAGTAGTCAAGAATAAGGTGTGGTGTGGTGGTGTGACTCAGTTCTGCTATCTGCTATCGCGGCCGATGCAATGCCGATGCCGCAGTCGGCCCTGGGTAATCTTATGGTGTGATGATCTGCACAACTACGTATGTACGACGACTACTGCCTGCATATACTAGTATAGTGTTAATATTGTTGATAAGTCGTCGGTACACGTCGCGTGTTAGACTATAGATATGGTCTCATTTTTAGATTGAAATTCACTATGCTCATTTCGCTATGGGTGGCTGGATAGATGCAGTTATTAAAAATTCGAAGAAACGTTCACGTAGATTTGTTCTGCTTATTGCTCTTCCGGATGATCTCCAACGCTTTCTCGCCTTTCGGAGCCGTGGTGAGATTCTCATACCCCCCAGCCGTGACAAGAATATCGTCTTCGATCCTCACCCCACCGATGGGGATATATTTTTCCACCAGATCAAAGTCAATCAACCGGGCAAACGGCAGCTGTCGCGCATTCGTAATGGCGTCTCGGTTAAAGTAAATCCCTGGCTCGACCGTCACAATCATATTCTCCTCCAATGGCACTGCCGACAGAGCACAAGGCGAGCGCGCGGAAACTGGGACCATGGTAGGCTCACTGTCCTCGGCACGCGCCATGACAGACTTCTCTGAGACATCATGCACTTCCAACCCGACATGATGACCGAGGCCGTGCGGGAAAAACACCGTCGAGGCCCCGGACTGTCTGATCTCCTCGACGCTTCCGGAATGGAAAATGCCGAGTTTTAATAGCTCCTCGATGGCAACGATGTGAGCGTGGATATGGACGTCGCGGAAATGCACGCCAGGTCGGATCATCGCGATGCACTCTTCCTGCATTCTTTCCACGGCATGGTAGATCTCGCGACACTCGACGCTTGGCCACTCCCCTGTGGAGCCAATGGGGAAAGTACGGGTCACGTCCGAGGCGTAGCAAGAGAACTCGGCGCCGGCATCCAGACACACCAAAGGTCTGGACCCAAACGGCTCGTTGTTTTTCATATAATGGAGGACGGCGGCATTCTCGCCTGCAGCGGCAATGATTCCATATGCCTGCTCCGGCGCGTCATGCGTTATACAGACTTTGAGGAAGAGAGCAGTGATTTCTGATTCGTTCGTCATGGTGCCTATATTCTCTAATATAGCTGTATGCGCCAAAGCCGAGACCTTGTTTGCGCGTCGTATCAATTCGATTTCGCTGGCATCTTTGACGCCCCGGCTTGTATTCATGGCAGGTTGGAGGCTTTGGGTATCCAGAGCACCCTCCTCATATATGGACGGCGGCCGTTGGTCAGGGTGGAGGATGAAAACTCGAGAGTTGTGTTTCTGGTGTCGGAGCCAAGAATCTATATCGCTCTCGAGGGAGCTCACGTATCTTGCTTCATCGATATCATAGCTGTATCTCACATGAATCCTATATTTTCGGCAGCATTGAAATGGCCATACCTCTCTAGTGCCTCCTCAACTGTAAGTGTCGGTCCCATCCATACCGCTCGTCGCAGGTCGAAATCGGGCACGTATAGGGTTAGGAGATCTGTGTGTATGTCGTAGGTAAGGTGGCAGTCCGGGCTGTTGACCCCGCTCAAGTAATAAAAATAGCGACGCTGACGAAAAGCCTCAGCTTGGTCTGAGTCATCGAACAGGACGGTTGGTTTGCCAATGAGATAGATGAGACCGCGCGAGATTCCGAGTTTCGAGGCGACTTTGCGAGCATGCTGTTTTGCTGTTGATCCGGCATTAGTCAATTCCACAAAACACACGGTACACGGCAGGCGCAATTAGGAGGTATCCTGGATGCAGTGGTGTTTCAATTATTGCCCCTGGCACACTTACCAGGATACTTGTCGACGCTGGGTGCTGAGACGGTCAGGCTGATATGGTAACGCCGAACGTTTCGCATCTCGGCCGACGTATTCAAAACAGGGCGAAGGGGGGCGTCCATGGCCGAGGATCGGTCGCTGGAGAATAACGTAAAAGAGATCTACTCAGCAGTGTAGACTTACTGAGAGCTGGAAGGGATGCTCATTAATGTAATTAATTTGACGACAAGGTAGTAGTGTAGTCTTAAGGGAGTAAGTTGTTAGTAGAGAAGGAGAATCGGGCTAAACCGCCTTGGCTGATAAGCGCCTGGACAGGCACAATCCCTGCACTCGCCTTGCATTGCGACTTTGCATTCCAGCATGGAATACATTGAAATCGGGATAGAATATGGAATCGGGGTAGACAGTCAGAAATACATGTACAGGCGAGAACAATGGCTTCAGCGATAGTTGTGTGGCCCCTGTGTACATGATGTCCTCACATAATAACAATCATCACCGCCTTACGTCATACTCTCCATGCATAACTTAAGTTACTACTTACTATATAGTTACCATATACTAAATACCGTATACTATAAACTATACAGCATTTTCCAAGTCTACAGTCGGTTTATCGCAGAGCCTCATGTGTCAGCGGATACATAGAACTACGCACCAGCAAGTCACGAAGTCATCACGCGCGCAATCATTCGGTGTAGCCCAATCCGGCGACAGCAACAGTAACACATGTCTCGCATGCAACGCCTGTCAGTCGCAACGGGGCAGGAAAGGCACGAACCTAGGCACAGTGTCAATCAAGGGCGGTACCTTGTCTGTAATATTAAACAACAATACCAGTGCACACTGTACCGTAGCATATAGGACCTATAGGCGTAGGCTGCAGCTAATTATATATAGCCCCCGCCAATCACGACGGGCCAGGCTCTTCTAAGCGCTCTGCAGCCCATCCGCTCCCAGCAGCCCATTCGCCTCCAGTCTCCAGCCAACGCCTCTCTCTCACTCACTCTCTCTCTCTCCTCTTTCTCTACCACCCATCCATCCATCCTGATATCGCCCAACTGTTCAACCCGCCTGCCTCCATCGCCGCCGCATCCTAATCTGTCCTTGCTTTCATCGTCCGCCTTCTGTCCTGTCCCGCCTCTCGATAACCAGCCGTCCGCTCTTGATGCAACCGTAATGCCCCCGCCCGACCCGGCCCTTCAGATACCGGCCATGGCGTCACCGATAGGCTTCACAACGTCTCTTCGACGATCGAATCCTCAGTTCACCAGCAGCCCTGATCTGGACGTTGGTGCAGACGTGCGCTCACAGCTGGTAGCGACCGCTGGGAATCCAACCCCCGATGCGATGGCTGAGATCACCGCTGCCACGGGCTCCGCCGGCAAAGGCATCCTCATCGGCATCCTCTCAGCCTTTGGCTCCGCCGGCGTCGCTATCCTGGTGCTTGCCATCTTTTTGTTTTTCAAATATACCCGTCGCGGTCGAATTTTGCTGGATCGTATAGGACGGCCTGGTGAATTTGATGATGAACAAGCCTTTGCCCGGGAGGAGGCGGAAGCCTTGGAGATTATGGACGATCTAACTCGGGCGGAGTATCTGCGAGCCAAAGGTGCGTTTCCTCTGCTTTGCGATCGCTTATCGTCTGGCGATTATGGACTGACTGACTGGGGTAATAGCGTTCATTCAAGCAAACCCACCGGAAACAATGCAGACCGATATCTCGTTATCGCAGTTTCTCGCCATTCAGGAGAAGGGTGTCTCGGCTTGGGAATTCGAGCCCGAGTTGGAAATCGCAAATTGCTTTGTCGAAGGCCGTACAGAAATTGAGTTCTTCGACTCTGAGTGCAGCGTTCAAACCAATCTACCCGTTCCAAAACAAAACGATGTATATTACTGGGAAGCAAAGATCTACGATAAACCGGAATCTACTCTGCTGAGCATTGGAATGACGACGAAACCTTATCCTCTATTTCGGCTACCAGGTACGTTCATATCACTTGAAATGCAAGATTTCAGTACTGACAACGACAAACAAGGATTCCACAAAATGTCTGTTGCATATCTCTCAACTGGCCAGCGAAGATACAACCAACCCTTCAGGGCGCCTAACTACGGCCCGGAGTACACCCAAGGTGACGTTATTGGTGTTGGATACCGACCTCGTTCTGGGACTCTATTTTTCACTCGTAACGGGAAAAAGCTAGATGACGTGGTGCATGGACTGAAAACGCCGAATTTCTTTCCCACTGTTGGCGCCAATGGACCATGCACGGTGCACGTTAATTTTGGGCAGATGGGCTTCGTTTTCATCGAAGCCAACGTTAAGAAATGGGGGTTGGCTCCCATGACCGGGAGTCTCGCGCCTCCGCCGCCGTATGGCAGTGAACAAGGAAGCATACTGCTCGAGTCTGGCCGTGAAAGTGCGGCTCCGGCTGCTCGCGGTTATTTAGATGCCGGATATCGAGGGACTCGTATGCACGCGCCCACCAGCCCAGGTCCGATCCGATCACCCACAGACATATCTCTCGCCCAGCTGGCGCACATACCATCACACGAAGATATCGGTGAGGGGTCTAGTCGAGTGAACGTCGCGAGCCCGCCTCCCGAATATTCCAGTCCGAACTCGAGCCGGCGCAACAGCGAAGATTCAGATGGCGATAGGAGTTCTCTCCACCCACCTGGGTACCACGCTGTCGTGACGGACGAAGAGGACTTATGAGATCACGAAGAGCATTGATGAGTTTTTGGCATGTTACATTCTTTTTGTCCTGTTTCTCTCTCTATATACCAGACTCTGCGTCTTCATCGGTCATTCTGTTTCCTTTTGCAATCTTGATTTAGCGGTCATGGGTGGCGTTTGCTGTTTCTTCTGAGTTGGGTTTGGGGCCGGGCGGGTGTTCAGTGTACTTATGGCTTGTCGTTGGGATTGGATGGGGAGTTGTATGAGAGTCGCTCAAGCGGCATTGCGCTGGAATGAACATAGCATAGCAACAATGATCATTATTATATCATTATAACACACTATCATTATAACCATTAACCACGATGGGATACTATGGAGCAGACGGGCTCCCCGGGTCCACTCGGGCTGCTAGCAAAGCGCCCGGCTTTAGCGTGCAGCAATGACATACTGTGCCGCACTACCCTCGATCAAGTAATTTGCAACTTGCAACCCACAACCACGCCTGCACTGTGCGCATTTCGCGCTGCAAGGGACCTCACTCTCGCGTAACTACGAACAAGCCGCCTTCACATAAGGCATCAATACTGGTAGGCAACGACGGTGCGCAGTATACGACGCCGGCCTAGAACTTAAGCCTCAAAGGTTCACCAGCGCTAGCGCTGTGGGGGCGCTTGCCCCATTATTATTTAATATTACTCTTCCTACGTCGTCCTGTGCGCCTGTTCCCACGCCGATTCCTATTAATACTACGTGCGGTCTGCGACTGTTCGCGCTGTGATACTACTTCAGTGTTTAGTCCACTCGCCGCCATTGGACAGCCTGTTCACTTCGATTCCTGCGACATCTCCGGGCGCGCCTATCGTCCAGCTCCGTATTATCTTTGGGAGACCTCGAGCCCATCCAAGCTTTCTCGTGTTGCTGTCACGCGACGGGATCACCGTGCGGGCAAGACACGAAAATAAAATATTAAAAAAAAATAAAAACTTCGCCATTGCCTATCGCCAATTCATCCTCCATCCGCCTTTAATTCTCATCTGAGCTGACTAATCGGGATTTATCGTCTTGACTGCATTGCTTGCTCAACCGCATTGATCTATACCAAGGCCTGTGCGCGGATCCTGTACTTCTCTCCAAGTGCTGGTGCTGCATAGATCCCAGTGCCCCGGGTGTATTGTAGGCTGCTGTTTGAGGCAAACAGGTAGATGATACTACCTGCAAGAAGCCGTCTTGTTTGTTGATTCGAGGCTGTTCTAGACTCTGATCGCTGGTGGATATGTCACACTCGCGTCTATAAAGAAACGAGCGGCGCCATTCGAGACCCTAGACTTGTCGGGCGTTTCAGCAGGATTCGTGTTTCTTTACATACCTTCTGTATCGACAGTCATTATATAACAAACATCAGCGGTCAGGTTACTGAGGGCAGATGGATAAAGCGGCTTTCCAGGTCATCGTCCTGGTAAGTAACACCTTCTGATATAAAAACAAATACTTATCTCTACAGGGCCCGACTGGAGGACCCAAGGAAGATGCCGTAACCGGTCTCCTGGTTCGGTCTACATCCACCAAGTGGTCCAAAGGGTCAATCGTCGCAGTCGACGCCGGTACTCTTCTGTCAGGGATAGTCCGGATTCTAGAACAGGACATCTCTGTCGATAGTAATGATAATTGCGAACCCAAAGCACTGGTGAAACAGGGGCCGTTCACCGGCATGGGTCTTCCACACATGACTGCGCACGCAAATGCCGCCTACGTTTTCCGTGAAATCATTGCCTCTGTGCTGATCACGCACCCGCATCTCGACCACATGTCCGGCCTGGCCATTAACACGCCTCTCGTCGAGGCAAGCAATGGCCCCAAAACCGTAGCGGCACTTCCATCTGCCATATCGGCGATGAAGAACCACATGTTTAACGACGTCATCTGGCCAAACCTATCCGATGAAGACGGCGGCGCGGGTCTTATTACCTATCAACGACTAGTAGAAGGCGGGAACCCCCGGTTCGGGCGTGGCGAGAGCAGAGGCTATGTGCGCGCATGCGAGGGTCTTGTCACGAAATGTCTCAGCATCAGCCACGGCCGTTGCAAGCAGCAATATCACGATGAAACAGGCCGCCATCACCGCGTAGGCAGCGCCGTTTTTGCTACCGACTCGATGGTTATGCCTGCTCGGGCACTGTCTATTGACCATGGTGATGGGAGGTGCGTATTTCTTGATCTAGCGCTGAATGGCCAGAAACCCTAACTCCTCCCTGCAGCATCTACTCCCCCGCTCGCTCTCCACACATCGGTCCCAACAACTCAGCAACCCCAGCGAAGGACAGCAACTGGGCGGTCGTCGAGAGCTCAGCATTTTTCCTCCGCGACGACACCACGGGCAACGAAATCATCATCTTCGGCGACATTGAGCCCGACTCAGTCTCCCTAGAGCCACGCAACAAGCGAGTCTGGGAAATCGCCGCGCCAAAAATCGCCTCGGGTTCGCTCCAAGCCATCTTCATCGAGTGTTCGTACAACGATGCCATCGACGACGAGACTCTCTACGGCCACCTGTGCCCGCGCCATCTGATCGCCGAACTAAAAGTCCTCGCGGCCAAAGTCACCGACGCTCAGAACTCGCACACGCGTGGCCGCTCCTCGAAACGCAAGCGAAAGGACTCTGAATCCACCGGCGCTATGCAAGACCAAGTCAGCCCTCGCTCTGTCCGCCCGCTGTCCCATCTCGCTAAATCAAACACCTCCTCCCCTGCGCCTGGGCGACGAAGCGCGACGCAATCACGCATGAATTCCGGAGACGTGAATATGGCCGACTCGTCTGCGGACGAGCAACAGGCTACCGGAAATAACAACGAAAACAACGTCGAAGCTGCTACCGACGATGACAACCCAGGCGTCAAACAGCCCCTATTGACGGGTCTGTCAGTGTACATCATTCACATCAAAGATACGCTGACTGACGGGCCGCATCCGAGCGAACGCATCCTCGGAGAGCTGCGAACGCACAGTGAAGCGGCGGGTCTCGGCTGTGAGTTTTTTGTGCCGAAGCAGGGAGAGGGGATATGGATATGATGAAGTCACTCACTCCATTTTCTATTCATGTTTTGTTTTGAAGGGCGTTTGGGTGGCGGGTTGAGATAGACTTTACTGCTATGGTTTACATGTCTGTTATCGTGTGGGTTGATATAGGAGTTAGATAAAGAGTTGTTGGTGGCCGGACGACCATGTTATTGTATTTTAGGACAGACAAAGAGAGTATTTACTGCATTCTGAATACGTTACGTTACCGAGTAATTGATATATACATGTACCTATGCGCCATGTGCAAGTAATCACAGCTTACTCGCACTCGACCCATTCAACTTCCCCTCCGCTTCTTTGATAACATCTACCCAGCCCTCCTCCTCCAGAGGAGCCCTCACCTCCACACTCCCTGCTTCTACTGCCCTCGCAAATCCCAATAACATCTCTTCACTCCCCCACTCCCCCATCGCCATCACGCCCACCGGCATCTTGGTCTCCGCCACATACCCCGCCGGCACACTAATCGCCGGACACCCTGTGAAATTCGCCAGCCAGACATACTCCATATTCCTAGTCGACGTCCTCGCGTCCGAGACTCCATACGCCAAATCCGCTTCTCCGCCCGCAATCTTCCATCCGGGCAGTGGCGTAGTGGGGGTTAGGATGACTAGGTCAGGGTAGGTAGTGAAGAGGTGGGCCAGGTGCGACATTAGGAGACTACGGAGTCGCTGCGCGGCGATGTAATCCGTGGTGGTGGATTTGTTGCCGCTGACGGCGATGAGTAGTTTTGTATGGGGGAGGAGCTTGCGGACGTCAGAGGGATGCACGCCAGAGGCTAATTCGCCAAGGATTGTGAGTGCGTGGGCGTGTTGGCCTTCTGGGAGGTAGGGGATGTCGATGTCGATGGTGGTGTATTGGGATTGGAGAGAGGCGAGGGTTTTGTCGAAAATGGCGCGAACGGCGGGCTCGGCGCGGTCGAGCCAAGGGCGGACAATGCCGATTGTCTTGCCAGCAGATGGCGCAAAGAGGGTTGTCAAGGGAGATGGGAAGCCAGATGCCAGCGCGTCGAGGGAAGCAGGAGGCGGTGCGGCCATAAGGCGGTAGGCGAGCGCGAGATCGTCGATACTCGCGGCCATAGGTCCATATACACCTACACTGGGAGCCAGACTGGGCGTAGGTGCGGCAGAGACTCGGCCATGTGTAGGCTTGAGGCCATATACGCCGCAAAACGAAGACGGGATACGAATCGAGCCGCCACCATCTGCCCCGAGAGCAATAGGGATGAGGCCGGCTGCGAGGGCGTAGCCGGAGCCGCCAGACGAGCCGCCGCAGTAATAATTTGAATTATGTGGGTTACGAGGGGTGCCCGTGTTGGGGTTATTATTCGTGGTGTCTATTTATGTCAGCGTGTTCGCTATTCCTCATCTCACGATAGGGATCGGAGACCAACCTATGCCAATCTCATGCATCGTCGTTTTCCCGATAATAATAGCCCCTGCCTCCTCCCATTTCTCAACACACCATGAGGTCGCCTCAATTCCATGTTTGAAGTCAAGTTTGCTGCCAAGCGTACGCTTGTAGCCTTTCAAATGGACTTCATCTTTCACAGCCACAGGGACCCCATCCAGCGGACCGAGCGGTGTCCCAGCCCTGTACCGCTTCGTAGACGCAGCAGCAGCAGCTCTGATAATTTCAACATTTGACTCGACAAATCCAATCGAGTACTTCCCGCGCTGCTTCCCATCTCTCTGGATCAAAGGCAACAGGGTTTCAACAACTACTGTCGGCGTCAATTCACCCGCCAAATACCGCTGATGGTAATCCGCCGACGTCCAGAAGCTAGAATCACCACGCCGTTGTGATGGGGCAGGGAGGGATTCTGATGACAATACATTTTCATTACTATCATTGCTGCTGCTGTTAGGCACAACAGCAGGGTCAAAGCGCGGCAGATACTGGTCGAGAGCGGTTAGTTTGCGATACCCAAGCAGTCCAGCATTGCGCCAGAGTATATTCTGAAGGAATTCCCACGAGTGGATTCTGCAATCAGTCAGATCAATGGTGCAATATCAACGGCATGCAACGTACAAACTGGCCCCAATTGCTAGCGACGGACCGCGAAGGACAGGCACGGAGACGTCTTCATGTTTGTATGGCGCGTCAGGACCTTTGCGAGGCTCAGGGTAGTTGTGGAAGCGGGTTGTCATTTCTGGTTGTCAGGGGTTCAGCTTGGATAATTGGAAAGTGATGTCGAACTGGAGAGAGAGAGGGATGTTTCAAGAAGGAAAGAGGAGTTATCACATGTTTCCCCGGACTCTTCTGTTTATCTTATCTGCACGTGTAGGAGACTGAGCTGACGTCACCACTATCTAACTACATCATTAAGTTATACATATACTGAGTTAGAATATAATCATTCTTTCTTCCTAAATATTTGAAGTATTACATGTCTAGGTGTTACAATCTCAATCTCACCCCAGAAGCATCTAGCGCTAATGTAATCCCCGTTATAACCGCGACATAACCCGTCAAGATCGCCATAGCCTGCCATGTATTCGCATCCAACGTATTAAACGTCAAATTCACTGCGCCAGTCAGAAGATTCGCCAGCAGGAAAATAGGCAACCCGTTCTTATTAAACGCAACCATGATCCGACTCGTCGCGAATCCGCTCCTCTCCCTCGCCGTTTCCTTGTCAGTCGCCTTGTGAGCGGACGGGAAAAAGATGGTCTCTGTGAGACAGAAAAGGAAGATTTGCGCATTATTAAAGGCAGAAATCCACAGCACATATGGCATGTTTGCGAGACGTCGGGATACGTTGATTTTGGCCCCGTAGCCAAAGGCTGCAGTGGAGTTGAAGAGGAAGAGCACCGACCAGCCCAATGCTAGTATAGCTAGTGAGCGTAATACTCCCCATCTGGCTTGTTGCGGCGTGACGGTTTTGGATGTTCCACGAGGGATTATGCGTAGACCAGTTCCGCGCCCGGCGAGGAAGATCGCCAAGTACCCGATGAATGAGAAGACGCCCTCGCGGTTCTTAGACAGCAGATCGGGTCCGCGCGGCGAGACTAGAATATAGGCTTTCAGATCTGTAGACTCTAGGGCAACTTGGTATGCGGTAGCAGCCAGAAGGGCGAGAAGCTCGTAGGGGCGGATGATAGAGTACAATGAATGAAATATTTCCACAAAGGGTGGTAAGAGACCCAGAGTGAAGAAGAAATTCCAATGCACGCCGTATTCGGTGACATGTTCGGCATAATCGAGACCCTTGACGCTGTACAAACGGACCAGCCCGAGGACTAGTAACGGGATCGAGTGTCGAATCGACGCCGTCAGTCTCTGGATCAAACTCGACTTGTGGTCTTTTACCAACTGGCCCTTGAGGACGGAGCGAGCAGAGACCAGTCCCGCTGAAAAGACAAACGAGCCCACGCCAAGATCCATCAGCGAAGTGCCCCAGTTCTCGACTTTCGCGAATCGGCGCGGGAAGACGGGGAAATCGACGGCGAGGATGGCGCTGCAGGTGGCTACCATCATGGCGGCTCGGTATGTGGTGAGGAACGGGTGTACTGGGAAGGGATCTAGGTTGCCTTGAGTGGCATTTTTTTCGGCCTGTCGTGGAGGTTTGGCTTTCTGGGGACCGCGAGACTTTGAGCTGAGGACAAGAAGGATTGCGGGGGAGACGAGGAGGATATTCAATAATAGGGGCGAGGGAGAGTATAGGGTTGTCGCGAATAAGATGGCGCAGACGTTCAGTAGGAAATCCACGAGGAGCGCGGCAGGACCGTACGGGGTGAAGAAGGACAGACGCGACTGCAGGGCCGCCCACAATATAGTGGCCGTCTAAAAGTTAGGGGCAGTATCAGCAGTTCGTTGTTTGTAGTTGTGTAGTTGCGTAATTGTCGCGAACGTACCGATGCGACGAGTGTGACCAAGTTGATTTCGCCAATGCTTCCACCAAGATGGTCAGACACAAAAGCCTCCTTGCGTGCCTTGTAGGCTTGGTCCATTTTTGCTCTGAGACGCGATCAATAAGTTGTCTAGAAACTATACATGGATGAACAGGGCAACAACAGGTGCTGTATTCTGATATCGGATGAAGGAGGTGCAAGTTTGTAAGTTATGAGTGAGCTGTCATTAGTGGAGCTCCGCATCTCCGCAAATTCTGCTTTCCAATTGGTCATTTCATCTCTATCATAATGGTTTTTATATTTCTGTAAAAAATGATTATTTTGCTATTTTTGGACTCTATATTTCAATTAGTTAGTATTATTAGTACTACGGTTGACATGCAGCGAACAATAATGCTATGTCTCGGCCATTCGCTGTCGAGCAACGTCCAACAGCTTGAGATACTCCCCTAAAAAGCCAGAAATCAGCATGTCAATAATCAACAATAGTAGTATAAATCATACATGCCAAGTTCCACCGAGCACTCCATTCCTGGAGAATATCAGTAAGTGTTATCAATCCCATAGTGGCTTGGGGATCCCCATTCTCCTGCTGCAACCACAGAAACGTCGTGGCAGCCTGGTAAATACTATCGCAAAGCAAGGGACTAGCTCGCGTCAAGTCGGGTTTTACGTAACTGTGCAGATGTTGTAAATACTGTAACACATCCGAGGCGGTATTCTTCAAGCCATCGAGGGAGATGGACTGCATCTGGATCTCTTCCACAGTCGCCCGGCCATGGTTCGACCCGGTGCATGAGTATGGATCGTACAAAGTGAACCTGGCACTCGCGAGAAGTCCAAATGCCGTGCTCAGTTGTTCGGGTGTAGCTCTCGTCCCAATTGCCATTGTACCTGTCAGCGACTCCAACGTGCTGTGAATCTGCATTGCAGAGCTAAAGCGGAAGGCGCCTTGCATCTCCTCGTCGTCGCGATGCTCCAACACTCGGCCAAGTAAATGGGCGGCCTGGCAGGACCGAGAAAATCCTCCAACCTTGATTGGGGTGGATGAGGTGATGAACATTGGCTGGGTTGCCTCCACATCACCACGGTCCCAGGCCTGATCATCGGCGGGGAGAGATCCGTTGCTATCAAAGTCTCCCGAAGCCAATGGGTGTTTTCGGCTGCCAATGTTGACATATCTGTCTAAGATCATGACTGCGTACCACGCGCGCCTCAGTTCCTCGTTGCCTCCCCAGGTCGTCAACTTTGGGAATACTCGTGGCGCTCGCCGATCGTGGAGGCCAACGGAATAGCCTAGTCTTGCACAATGACCCGTTGAGAGATATGCGGCAGGGTACATGGCATGGCAAATCTCGTACAAGGCAATCAGGATCGCAGCTTGCATCATGTTCAAAGTCAGAAGCCCATTGCTCTCGACCACGACGAGAAGTTGCTTGACAGTAGCGTACAGAGACACGCCACCTATATGTACATCGTCACGTGGGTTGTGACAAAGCAGGTGCATGGCAAGAAACAACAGGATGGTGTCTGCCGGGAGACTGGCCGGGTCGGCTGTCTGTTTGCATAATCGAGATTTGGATATAAATGGAAACCAGACATGGATGGTCGAAAAGAACACATCGAGCAGAGTCTGGATGCCCGCCACACCACCAAGGATCAATCGCGCTTCCGCCGGGATGAGGATTGTTGGCTTTGGAAAGGCTGGGCGAGCATTTTCAAAGGCTTCCGCGTCCAGGAAAAATTGCGATATGAAGGGAGCGGCAGGGGAAGGGGCTGGGAGCACCCAGGCGATGTTGTGTTGATAATGATGATTGTGTAGTTGCTGGGGGGGCGTGGCACCGGGCGAACTCAACGCAGGATCGATATTGTTACTGTGAATGTTACTGATGGATGACGACGACGCAGAACTAGTCGCAGGCGTCTGAGACGCTAGCGCGGCGCCTAGCTGCTCCTCGAGTTCCTGGACCCTTTGCCTGAGGAACAATACACTCTCACTAGAGGCGCCATCCGGATATGCGCAGGATCGCTTGAGGCGGCTGCAGAGGGTGCAGCTCGGCAACGCCTTGTCGCATCTGCGCTTTTTGTGGCGGCAGGGCAGACAGGCTTGCGTCGCGCGGGCCCCAGGCATGTCGCTGTCATGGTGGGCGTCGAGATAAGGATTGTCCATAGTGAGTGACCGTGAGTCAGTCGGACCACACTGTCGGGAACGGGGTGGGATTTTCGTCAATACCGACGCGTTTTTACGAGTCTGGGGGTGGGTTCTGCATGGCCAGCCTACCATGTTTTGTTTTGACTACTAGTCAACTGGGCAATAATGAGCGCGTGGTGCGTGCAGCATCATAATCCTGGTCATATTTCCTTTCATATATGGAATGGCGTCGATATTGCTGAGATGCTTGGGCTTTAAGCCTTGTCAGGTGGGGTCACTACATCAATACATCGTATATCCTTCCAGTTGCCATACATGAATGATACTTACATATATACTACATCATTTGTTTTGTTATACCACCGCAGCATTCTCGTGGTTGACAATAAATATATAAATGCCCACAGACCAGACATTGTGGATATGTAGACAATAGGTCCACATCTAATCAGGAATACATGTGTAGTCCGAGTGTGCTAACCTGGAAGTATTATTTGCGCAGATAGCTGAACTTGAAGAACACAAAACAGTATCAAGCCGCGCCGCTCATACCGGTGGATCGCAGCTAACCGTTACTTATAGTTACTATGCTCTACGGAAGTCGGGATTTGGTGTTCTCAGGTTGAGAGGAACTAGTTGTATTTGGAATTGCGATCCACAGTGGGGCTCAGCTCCTGTGCATTTGCCGGATTGATCAATATCGACCTGTTTTTCGCAACAATAATACGCAGAGATAATCCTTCATACTACTAGTTCACTCGGACCGCCCGTCGCGTCCGTGCAGGCTCCCACAGGTAAAGCTTCTTGAGAACAAACTTCGCCGGTAGCTGCTGGGAATACGAGTCGAATGGCAGAGTGTGAGCTGAAGCCGTGCTAAGGGTCAACTTAATCTCCTGCACCTCCACCGTATTGAGTAGTCTAGTAGCATTCTTGCGAACGCCGTTGAGATGTCAAGACTTTACTCTACTAGAGGTGATTCGCACTATTTGACCGCATTCGTGCTAGCGAATGTGAACTACGCCAACAGTGGCCACAGAATTATAACTAATAATGAATTACTCCGTGGTTGGTTAATTAGTATGCAACCCTCAAGTTCAAATTTCACAGCGCATCCTGATTCCTGATTTCCTGGGAGATGGGACTACTGCAGGCTTGGCTGGACTTGGTCTTTCCGGGGTGGAGCAACTTTATACACAGGAATCAATGATATTCTTCATATATACGAAGTAATAAATGTAGTAATGTGCTGGTGAGCGTACAACGTATTAGTTTACTAGTTACTGGTAGTTAGCAGACGCCAAGGGGATCGGCTCAAACATTATTATTAATCGATTTATAGAATGCTCTTTAACTTCTTGAGGCAACAATGCCGATATCTGATATGTATAGATTAAATAATAGTATATAGAGATATAAATAATATGTTAATAAATTATATATTATAATCGGCCATGTGATGTCTCGATTGGACCCCAAGTTCTGGCGGCCAACCAAAACGGCGCTCGGGGACGTGTGGACGCGTGGCCAGTCAGCCTAGTATGCGGCTCTCGCCTCTGTACCTCGTATATGGTGTAACACCCGGTATAATTACACTTTCGCCATGCCTGTTACAACTGTTCATTATTCTGCTTCTGATTCGCTCGCCCGGAAACAAATCCCATAACATGTTCCTGGATGGCATCTTCCGGTATTATTACATATATGTACTCGGTACATCTCACCGAGTACAGACATAGTAAGCACTGATACGATTATGAAAGCAATAAGCGAATAGATAGTGCAAAGTCAAAGTGTAGGAGCGGTCAGGTGCCAATCACGCGTGCTTCCGAACTGTCAGCAGCACAGACTCATCTTATTCTCAACTAATCGATGGATTTAATTAATTCCATGTACGAACATGTGTATATATATATATATATATAAATATAGGTCATTCATATACTATGTATATGTATATATGTATATAGATAGAATCTTAACATGGACTGCAGGTGGCAATATTAATAGAATTGGATCGAATAACGAAGGGCATGCTAGCTGCGTAATGCCAAGACATATGCGAACCGATTGGGACGCGTGCAGGAGTAGCGACGATTAGACCTCTGTCATATGAATAATAGACACTAGAATAAAGGCTATTATTATTTGCTAGGCGGCAGCCCCGAGATAATAATAGCCTCGCCTGGACGCCAACAAAGTTTCTATTCTTGTAAACACAAACACATACCAATATACCCTGTACACATGTACATACACATGTACATACACATATATAGGCATCATATGTATATGCATATATGTTACACATATATGTATGTAAGAGAATCGGCCTACCTTCCAAGACGGGCAGGTTAGACTCCGGGCTAACATCCGGACCAATCAGCCGTGGAGCTCAGCCAACACAACACTAGCGCGGGCCGGATGTGGTTCGCGGCTTGGCGGCACATGGAAACGATCGGGCGGCGTCGGGCGGGGCGGAGGTTACGCGCTGTTGGTACCACATCCATCTATCTATCTATATATATATGTCTGGGGTGTGTGTGTATATGTATATATAGTTGATACATATGAGAGGGCTCGTATACACTAATGTACTATTGTTAGATGCTTACAGTACCTGTATAAGGCTGTTGAGTCTAGTATTGATATGAGGGGCCCGAACGCCCCCCGCCATTGGCGGCGAACCTGACGATTCCGGCAGTAATCCTTTTGGTCCTTCGTCCCTGTCTGACAGCCGTGGACACACAAAGTACGTTCTAGTATCTACGCGGCATGTACCACGTCGCCCTCGACACATCTAATAATGAGAGTGTCAGTTCAGAGATGTCTGGACCGTGTCGCGGACGAGAGAGCAGCACATATAAATTCCTCAATCCGGAAAGCGCGCCGGCCCGCCTGGCAAGATCCGAGGCTGTGGTTGACGGGTGAAACGGCGAAATTGACAGTCTAACGCTGGGTGTCGGCTTAACTCCGGCTAATGACTGGCCCTAAGGAAGCCGTATGGACAATGGCATGGACAATGGCAGTACTAGGCTCGCGTATCTCCTAACTAATAGCCACGCAGCAGCAGCCAGTGTCAACAGCAAATCGCATAACACTCCCTAGCCAGCCAAACCTAATCGCTAGCGGTCCCAGACACATGGTGCATTGGGCCGCCCCCCTTCGGTACCAATCGCAGCAGCCGGTCCAAGCCCACAGCGGCTAACTGCGACGCTACCAGGCTGAGCTCTGGAGGCCACACGATTGCCTTTTGCAGCCGTCAATTGCGAGGACGCCAACCCAACCGGTTCAGCACTGCAGCGCCCGCTAGTTAGCGCTCAGCGGCCTGCGATGCCGTTCTATTATTTCTCTTTTCCTTCCTTTCTCTTCTTGACCTCGTTTCCTCCTTAAAGCACTGTCTCGCCAGATCCGACCGGCACCAGCATGTCCACCACCATTTCCGGCCACTGATCTGATCGAGCGGGGTAATCATCCTTCTTCTTCCTTCTCTCGTCCTATATCAAGCATACAGGAAAGAAAGAAGCAGAAAGAAACAAACGAAAGAGAAACAAAAAAAAAGAGAGAGTAGAGAAACACCATGGATATGATGAAATCTCCCGCCCGCCGCACCTCCAACACTTCCAGCCGCGATGCCGCCGGCAAGAAACGAGAATCGCGCGCTGGAACTCGCAAAGTGACCTCGCTGACCGCCGAGCAACTGGAGCGCAAGCGCGCCAACGACCGTGAGGCCCAGCGCACCATCCGAGCCCGTACCAAGGAGCATATCGAGAACCTCGAGCACCAGGTCGCCGAGCTCAGCGCCAAGGGTGAGCAGGTCGACCGCGTGCTGCAGCGCAATGCTGCCCTGGAAGCTGAGATTGCGCATCTGCGACAGCAGCTGGCCATGATGACAGGTACCCCTCACTTTTATTCGGCCCTGTATCCGCCTCTTCCCGCTTGTCTCGTGCTATCCACTGATATTGATGTCGATGACTAACCCAAACCCAGGCGATGATGAACGAAGATCCTCAACCAGCTCCAACCCGCCCAGTGTCATTTCGTCACCGTTCAACAGCCCGCCGGGGGCCGACTCGCTTTCCTCCGCCTCCTCCATCCCATCTGTTTCCAACCGCATGTCTCTGCCTCACAGCGGCTGGCATTCGTACGGCCAACCGCCGGCTGCCGCCTCCATGAGCGCCTCCGACCAGACTGGCCATGTCACAGCGTACGCGATGGGCTACACCTTACCCCATTCCTCGGCCTACTCCAACTCAGATTCATACCCCAGCCAAATATACCAGTCGCGAACCGTGGGCCCACCGCAGGGACAGCCGCACATGGCTATGGGCTACGAACCCGGCAATGTGGCGCCTCCACCTGCACAGTATCCGATGCCGTCGCAACACCACCATCACCACCCGTCCCATCCCTACGCGCATCCTCCCGCAAGCTCGCAGATCCATTTCCAGTGGGACTCGCGGGGCTGATTCCATGCTGCCAGTCAACCTCTATTCATCCCACCAGCGAGTAAGTGAGTTGAGTGTGTGGGCCATCGCCGTCGATCATGCTGCTAGCCTGACTCGCGATGCCCCCTGAAGAAGCCTCATCCAACGAGTCATCCGATCTCGTCTCCACTGAACCGCAATCATCATCATTGCGTTATCGCATAACGCCGGGCTGTGCCCAACACCTTTTAATAATGTGTCGAGACTGTTACAACGGTCTGTGGAGCTAAAAATGGTATTTGGAATGGAATACACATGTATATATGATGAATTTGATGAATGTTATTTACTCTATAGATATGAAACCCCGAACATAATATAGATTCGTTCATGTCATGGACAAAGCAGAATAAAAATAATGAAATAAAGGCATAACCTATTTAGTGTACTGTCCCTGCAACTGCTTCGCAATCGTCTGCAATTGTATGTTACTGGTCCCCTCGTAGATGGCGCCGATCTTGCTGTCACGGAACATCTTCTCAGCAATGCCCTCGCGCACAAATCCCATTCCTCCCATCCATTCTACGGCAGACCCTGCAACTCGTCCGGCAACCTGCGAAGCATAGAGTTTGGCCATGGCTGCGTCCATGACAAAGTCCTGCCCGGCTTCCTTCTTGCGAGCGGCGTTGTAGACTAGTGCACGCGCCGCGCAAATTTCCGTGTATGATTGCGCGATTTGGTGTTGCATGCCTTGGAAGGTTCCAATAAGTTGGCCGAATTGTTTGCGGTCATTCCAGACATAACTTTATTTGTTTAGTCAAACCTCACCCCAAAAAAGAAGGAAGGAAACTTACCCTGCAGCATTCTCCCATGCTCCCAGAGCCAGACCCGTCATCTGAGCAGCAATACCGATCCGTCCTTCGTTCAAAATGCCAATGGCAATCTTGTACCCCTTTCCTTCCTCTCCCAAGAGGTTCGCCTTGGGGATCTCCACGTCATCAAAGTTGAGCACGCAGGTGCTGCTCGCCCGGATACCAAGCTTCTTTTCCTTCTTCGCAATGCTGAACCCGGGCCTATCCTTCTCAACAATGAACGCAGTGATTCCCTTATATCCCTTGCTGGGGTCCAGATTGGCAAACACAATGAAAAACCCAGCCTCCATCGAGTTCGTAATCCACATCTTCGATCCGTTAATCTTGTACCCATCCGCAGTCTTCTCGGCTTTCGTCTGCAGCGCAAACGCATCCGAGCCCGACGCTGGTTCCGACAGACAGAAAGCACCGACTGTGTCCGAGGCCAACTTGGGCAGCCATTGCCGGTGAGATTCCGCATTGCCATATTTCAGCACCGCCGTGTTGACCAGTGTGTTGTGCACGTCGACCATGACGCTCACACTCGGGTCCACTCGCGCCAATTCCTCAATCGCGATGATCGCAGAAGTAAAGTTCATGCCTGACCCGCCGTATTCTTCGGGAATCTCGATGCCCATCAATCCCTGCTCGAACAGTTGTTCAACCACCGTACCGTCCATAGTCTCGGCCTCATCCATGTCCCGGACCTTTGGTCCGATTTGCTCCTGCGCGAATTTGGAGACCGTATCGGCCATCATGCTCTCAGTTTCAGTGAGGTGCGTGATCGGAGTGGGCTCGACGTCGGTTAGATCGACGTCTCGTCGGCGAGGGGTGGTAGAAAAGGCACGAGCGCTGCCGCATTGTTCATGTTATTACAGTGTACTATAGGCCGGGGTTTGATTTATATGAGCACTTACGACCGAAGAGTCTGCGCCGACACGGGTTTCGTCGTAGAGACCACCAGGCGGGACGGAGCCGCACGACACAGAGGTCGCAGAGCGCGGGACAGGGAAGCAGCCATGGTGAGAATCTCGGATCTGTTAGAGCCCTAGGGATGTGGAATAGGAATCGAGGGTATGGAGGAGAAAGGTGAAGGAGAAGAGAAGAGAAAAGAAGAATAGCCAATGATCGCTATGATGCTGAGTTGCTATGCGGCTAACCAGCTGCCGAGGCTAACCGCGGTTTTTCTCGGGTAGTAGACAACGCTAGTCCGATTCGCTGTAGCTACTGTGCCTTGCTCTCGACAGCCTTAGTACTGTCAAGGCGTTGGTAAGAGATGAAATGTTTTGTATGTTTTCTGTATAGCAATATGGTGTTTCAAGTGTTGTGGTGTGTTGTCAATTATTATTCACTGAACCGAAACTTCTAAAATCACATGATACAAGTTCACGTGTAGCTACCAGCATGTGATTGTGCACTAACTTGTTTGATGCTAGAATTTGGGACGACTGATAAGGCAGTTCAACACCACCGCCACAACCTGTGTCAAATTGAGCGGGCGCGGATAGAATGACTTCTACTTTGAAAACGAGGTTTTGTCCGCTGGAATTACGCATGCTTGATGTTGTAGCCCCCTCGGTAAAAATTTGAAGCGTTGGCCTGTGCATGTTGCTACTGGGTATTTTGCTGTTGATGCGTTACAGTTCCCATAAATGAGGAAGCCATTCTCCTTTGTATAAAATTTCAGCATCCTAACTTAGGATTACCGTGATCATCTGTTCTCAAATAGCGAGGGATTAGGAATTGCGGTACTAGCTCTGCAGCCTGGAAAATCATTAGACTGTGCTTGACCAATTGCACCATAAAAAACAATCCTTTCTCTCCTAGATCTTCTCTTGAGCAAAGAGCGTGTTATATTTTCCTAAGTAGGCCTGCCAATTCATTACATGCTGATGTGATACGCTATGAATTGGGTTCTACGATAGAAACAGCCTCATCGGCAGTCAACACTGCGCCATCTACAATTCTACATACTCGGTACGGCGTCCAATGAAACGAACCTGATCGTCTGGAGGAAACAATCAATACACCAACCTGCATGTAGCTGGAGGACCTATCTCGATTAGAAAAGTACTCGGCCGAAAGAATGTACTGCATTGTCATTGGATAAACGGAACCAACTTTACAGAAAGCGGGGCAAATCTCGCATACAACAATTGATGATTGGCTACGGCTCCCCGATCTTGATTTCTCATTGGCTGTTACACCCCCCTAGTCCTGAATAGGAACTGCTCTCATCGAAAGCGTTGAAATGATACGTTGGTGCCGGGGACTTTGGGAGTGCGGAATTGGCTTTCCAATCATGAAAGACAAAATTGACTTCGTAGCTGAAAACCACTTCTCCCACTCCAGTTTATCTCAAATTAATCGGCCTTGCAGGCTTGATGCTTCTACATGGCCGATAAAGTTGTCTCCGCTACCTCTCGAAAATACCACCACAAAACAAGAAGAGGGTGTCTTGTTTGCAAGCAGCGTCGAATCAAGGTGAGTAGATACAGACTCGGCCCAAAAAGAAGTCGTCTGTGACGAACTTAACTGACATTTCGACTCGAGTGTGACGAAAGAAAACCCATATGTCTGAATTGCGGCAAGAAGTCCATCGAATGTAGCTTCCTACGTCTCGTTCCCGCCTCCGTGTTAAAGAGATACGAGTTTCAAGTTTCCAGCCAACACAGCTTATCACCACCCAGCGATCCAGGGTTTGCCCTGTTTTGTCGACCAAATACAATAGATCGTGAATTTTTCACACGCTACATATCCCACACCGCACCCACGATAACCAACCGTGAAAACTCAAAAGCTATATACACATCCGTCATCCCCAGGCTTTCCTCTACAAATTCATTCCTAGGACATGGGATACTGGCGATTGCATACGGGCATGCGGCTCGTACCACCACCCAGCCTGATCTTATCGCTAAATACCTCACTGATAGCGCCTTTCACATGAACACGACTCTGTCGAGTTATTCCCAGGCCATTACACATCTCTCGCAGGATAACACACCGGCAGTTTTTGGGGCTTCGGTGCTTATCTGCTTATACACTTTTCTCAGCTCAGCTCATGAATATGAAGAGCTATTATCACCAGATACAATCAATCTGGAGAACCGGGACTCAAATTTTTTAGACCAATTGATCCTCATACCAGTCCGCCTCGCTCACGGAATACGTGGCATTGTGTATGTGTTCTGGCAATCTCGAGAGTGGATTGCTACCAGCTCCTTATCACCCCTCATCCAACGACCCAGCCCGTTGCACGGTCCCGAACGGCTATTGTTCTGGGCACACATCGAAGATCAGGAACTAGCAAAGCTAGGAAATCTATGGACCGGAAACAGCGTCTCGAAACAGGAGGCGAGCATTCTCAGCCAAGCATTAGAACACCTCCGTCGCACATTCATCATATCCACACGCCTGCACGCTTTCGCTCGCGACGCAGAAGAGTCCGATACTTCTCCTTCGATTGAGGGGACTAGTTTAAAAGACATCCATCACAGACTATCAGCTGCTCGTTTGGATGATCTCGCCAGCATTTTTACCTGGTACGTCAGCATCCCAGGCGAGTTCCTCGGCATGCTACAGCGGCGGAACCTGTTTGCAGTGGTGCTTCTGGCACATCACGCCATTCTGCTCGACAGGGCATGTGCCAAGAAATGGTGGTTCTGCAACCTGTCGTCCAACTTTGTCTCTGCGTCTTCGTTGATCTTGGGCAAGGAAAGAAGAGCTTGGATCGAATGGCCGTTGAAAGTAGTAGGGTCTTAGTATTTTGGTTTATGCGTTATGTTTATATACGCACGTTAATGATAGTCTAATTTGAGTCACTGGACTCACCATCAATCGTCAACAATAATCTATACAATCCACATCAAGACCTGTGGCTGTAACTGTGGCGCACTGTGGTTTGTCGCGATCCCGCAGTGGCGGTGCACGGGCTTGGCGTTTTGTGGCGCAGCATATGGCACGCGACGATTGGCTGTCGATGCAAGTTTTTGGTCCAGCGAGACGCTGGTGGCGGTTCATGCGCGGCGCTTAAGGGACTGGTATATCTGCTGGGGGGATGGTAGACGGAGAACCTGCTTCTTGTCACTTAATCCTTGCTATTTATTTCGCGCATTACACAATTCCCAGAAGTTCCTCTTTTCAACCACACAGTACCCCCCGGGCAGACGACAACAGAGTGCGGCAACGTCATTGTATAGAGGCCCCACTTCCAAACAACAGAACCAGAGGCTCAAGATTCAAGACGTTACGGTCTCTTCATAGAGAAATATTCAGCATGTCTTCGATCCAGCATGACCCTCATATTTTATACAGCATCAACAATATTCGAGCATTCCACATCCAAAATGGCGAGGAGTCCGAACTCACCTCTTCGGGCCCGCAAACCCTATCTCTGTTGATGGTTCCTACCTCATCGCCTTACCAGGATACGTCGGCCGATGGAGCTGATGCCGGAGAATCATCACCAGAAGAAGACTTCTATCTACATCTACACCTCCCCCCAGAACTGGATATGGCGCTTCCTGCCACCACGCAAATCTATCACCAACCGCCTTCTAGCTATCTCATTCCTCGGTGGGATCTCGGTCCGGACGCTGGCGCCTTCATTCGCCTAGATTTTCCTGGAATCGGTTCTGGAAGTGGAAAAGTGTCTCAAGAGGATGTCGACACCTTCGAGACCATTCTCGCGCAGTGCACGGCGTTTCTCGAACGTGCCACTCCGCCAAAAAACCACGCTACGTACAATCCTGCTGATTATGCACCTGGAGAGGGTTATATATCATCAGGGAAAGGAGGTAGTGAGAAGAATTCTGGTCAGATTGTCCTAGTCGATGAGGAGGATGGGAGCGTTGTTGGTGAGCTTTCAGAGGGCTATCAGGTCGAGGAGAAGCCAGGCGTTAAGCCGGGTTCGAAAAGTATGTCAACCCCATCTCTTATGATTCTTTATTTCTCCATGTGTTACTTTTTCCTAACGAATTAGACCCCGTCGAAATTCAATTGCCAGAAGAAGGAGAGGGTAACAAAATCAGCATCACCAATGTCTCCGAAGAATACCTACGCATGGCTCGACACCCAGCGTTTCAAAAGTCCACCATTGTGCAGACTTCCGCCACAGCGTCTCGCCTAATTGTCACAGGCTCTAGCTACCTAGCCAATGCTCTCGCCAGCGGAGCTGACAATTTCACGCAAAGAACGAAACCAAACCCCAAGCCAGTGGTATTCACTCCTGCTGCACAGGCACGGATCCGCAAAGTGCACAACCTATCTCAATCTGCCGCTGGATTATCGTCTCGCACCGCAGGCCAAATTGGTCGCGTGGCGCAGAATCTAGGCGCAACACTGGCTCGGCGCAAGGAGACGGCCAAAAGCTCTTCGCAGGGTTTCGATAAGGATGGCAACCCCGTAGACTTCAAAGCAGGCGTACTGAATAAATCGCTGATCGCCTTTTCGACCCTGATGGACGGGATCGAGCAGGGAGCCCGGACAGTGCTGACATCAGGCGGCGCTGCTGCCACGACGATGATCGGACATAAATACGGAGCGGATGCTGGCGTTGTGGCGTCGGATCTCACAGGCGGGTTCAAGAATGTCGGGTTGGTGTATATTGATGCTGCTGGGGTGAGTCGAAAGGCTGTTTTGAAGTCTGTCGCTCGAGGTATGATTGTGGGCCGCATGCACAATGGCCAGCAGGTGGTTGTTGGCGGAGGCGACGGCGGACAAGTCCCCGACGAATCCGGAAAGACTCAGTATAGCTACTACGGGAGTGCTGCCCAGGGCCCTTCCTCTGCGCGTCCTCCTCGTCGCCCATCGCCAAGTCGTACGCCTCCGCCTGCATATGGTGCGCCTGGGACATACTCTTTGGGAGGGACTCCTGCAGCTGGGAAGCAGTAAGACGGGCATTATGACGGTATGAAATTTATCTATTCGGGAATTGATTATGTGGCACGAAAGGTCTTATATACCTAATTGTTTGGTTCTTGATTCAGCAGTTAGATTTGGATGCTCCGTATGTAGTTGGAAAGAGATTAGGGGTCGATATTTCCGGATTAGCATGTGTGGCTCGCTTCTTTGATATCTTACCACTATTATTTACTATCCTCACCTATTTTTTACTCTCTTTTCACTATTCATATACTACCTAGACCTACTTTGCTGATTATTAATTTCTTAAAGTAATTATCTATATTAAATATGGTGAGTAGGGCTGTGCTTGGGGGTATCTAGATAGACCAGTTATAAATGAGTTGAAGCTTAATTATTCGAGATTAAAATTGTAGAATAATATTACCAAGAAAACAACTATTAATTTAAATAATATAAAAATTTTCAAATCATAAATTATTTGCAAGTTCCCAGTCCGCTCATAGTAGCTAGAGAGATAATGGGAATGGACATTCAGAATGGCAGCGCCATTAGGATCAGCTTCTAGGGTTGCACTCAGCTCCCAGTCCGGCATCTGTCTTGTTAGAGTAATAGTCCTAGATTGCGAGCCATACCATGGGCTTCTGGTGAATGGATTTTTTGACAGTCTTGACTACGATTTCTGCTCGGAAAAAGGATTCGCTGCTCATCACATATTTCGGGTAATCTCTTGACCATCGATCTAGGCCACCAGAACAGTATACACTCGGCATCACTCTCGGCATCACTCTTGGTGGCTATCTTGGGTGTTCATAAATGGCATCACATTCTTTTTTCGGCTTATTTTGAAACCGGGTCAGCTTTGCGCTCAGTCTGACAACTTCTCTTCTACACATCCTCCGCAACAATTAACCCAGCTTCTCTGCTTATTATTGCCTGGAAAACTACTATGCAAGAATGGCACCTCTGACAAACTCTCATAAAGACTATTTAGTCACGTGGATCTGTGCCTTGCCATTGGAAATGGCAGCTGTGAAGGCTATGCTGGCTGAGATTCACTCTCCCCTATCGTAGCTGCCGACCGACCACAATGCGTATTCCATCTGTAGAGTGGGTGGTTATACAGTGGTGATTGCTTGTTAAGTTATAGTCAGGTGAACATGATTCAACACTGGAAAAATAAAAGAAATTGAAGTGCATTTGGTCCAATAACTTGTCTCTTACTGATATAACCCCCAACCTTGAAGCCTTCATATTCTGCAAATATAAAATATTGTAGTGTAGCACCTTACAGTTTATTGCAAAACCAGTGCACTCTTTTACTTTTTATCTGTTTTTAAAAGGCAAGTTGAGAGCTGTGAGGCAATTTTTAACATATTTAGTATTGTATGTTGCAATGCTTGACGCCGCAAATAATAGTGAGGCACCACAGCCAGAAACAACACCGTAATGCTTATTGGTCCACGTCAAATGATGCTGTTTACCCCGCTCTAGAGCGCAGTCTGCTATTGGCTGGCACTGATTCTCATGATCCAACCGAATTTACACTGATGCATCTTGACGTAGAATCATTGCGGTACCGAGTTGATTTACATATAACTCATCCCATGTACTGTACCAGCAGCAATTCTAGAGCCAATAAATTCATTAATTGAGGCCGAATGTATGTATCGTACTTCAGATATGCCCAGTTACTGAGACAAACCTGCATGTCCATCTTCATAGCCCCGCAACCTGTGTTACATTGTTTGTCTGGTTTAAATTCGACAACTGTCCTATACTCTAGGATGCGATTTTGCATCAGGATTGTTTTTCTGAAATTTCAAAGATCGCAAACCTAATCTACACACTATTGATTGAGCACTCAAACCCATTTTATCATCACTGCTTTGTTGCAGCTGGCCTTCGTAACTATCGTTCAGCATGGCTGAAAAAGAGATTTCGGATTTAATAAGCAGGCTAAATCTACATTCAACAGAGCGGCGGTATACATATACCGTGGCTTCGGATGAGAACAAAACCGATAATTCAAAGTCTCACAAAAGGCGGTTTCGACATCGGCCGAAGTCACAAAAAAGTGACAACCACAAAGACCTCCCGCAGCAGAACCACGTACCAACGCAAAAGAACGATCAGAGCTCAAGAGGTACAAAAAAAGCGGAGAGACCAGAGAAACCTCCATTAATCAAAGCCGATTCAAGCTCGCAGTTGAACCGCAGAGACCAACAAATTTCAAAAGAGGAATTCGTTGGAAATGATAGCTCGTTACTAATAACACCGCCCTACCATGCCTACGTAGTTCAGATCATGCACCCCTCTGAAGTGATTGAGAGTGTATGTTCGTCATTAGTAGACGCAAACAACCGAGCCTTGAAATACCTAGAAATACAGCATGGCATCAAGGCAAACGAAATATCGGACAAGAGAGGCCTCTTTGGCCAAGCTGTCTCGACAGCCAAAGCTACGAAAAGGACGTGGAATCCTACGGGGACTCTTGAGATTCTCACCCGTGGAGGATCTCCATGGATCAAGGTTTTGGAGAAACCCTTATACTCCGACCAGGCAAAAGCTGGAGCAAAACTAGTGTACCTATCCATAGATCGATGCGATGGAATATTCGTTATTGGGGCATATAAATCCCAAAAGGAGGCGTGGCAGAACTGTAAGAAATACTGGTCCGATCTAGCAGTATGTTCTTCAATGTCAGACCTGAAAGATTGGCATGATGAAGGCTTTCATCACGCACAGGTCAGGATCGCAAGTAAATGGCATAAGTGGTCTTTGAAGGAATACAGAATGATGTAATCAGCTGGAACCTAGGGAGAAATTGAGTTAAGATGCCCCAATAAGTATTCCTCGATAGTATCGACCTAGGAATCCAATCGTAGAGCAATCCACTTGAAAACAATTAATCATTCTGATCTAGTTGATCCTTGATCTTTTGGCCTTGAACCATGGTATGAACTCAAAGCGGTTCAACGATAATGACTCTATGTGACAATACGGAATAAATGGGGGTTTCAAGAAGGAGATTGCGAAGAGCCTTGACTGGTGTAAGACTCTGTGAACGTCCATGTTTGCCGTCACATTTCAAATAGCCGTAGGTTCGAGTGATGTTTTCTAATTGTACTTGAATGGCACTCAGTAGCTCTCGCCATCTGAAGGTAGTGACTTCACTACTCATAATCACACCATGGATAATCTCCCAAGTTGATGACGATAGATTTGGAACCATCTGAGTAATAATAACTAAAGAGAGACAATATAGTTCATGCTGTTCCAGGAGGGGCCAACGTGACGCACTACATATAGGACTTGTATTATGAATACAAAAAATAAACCGCATTTAGTCGTGAAACATTTCGTACCACCCCGTTACAGATTATATTTAAATAAACCTTTATAAAGTATTAATAAAAATTTGTAAAATCTAAACATTTTTATACTAAGCAATTCCCCCACTAATCTGTTTATAGACTAGGCTGCCCGCTTGGCCATGTTTTAACCCCAACCTAACAAATAGGACTAGCTCTGAGGGGAAATCAGTTCTACTTTCTGTCCGATCGTATCTCTGATCGTCCATCATTGGAGTTTGTCCGTAACGCCCCTTGTCCAGATCATGACGGCTGAGCATCCGACGTTAGAATATAGTACAGAGCAAGGCTCAAGCCCAAGCAGAGATGTAAACCACGTCCGCTCACCCCTGCCGACCCGAGTCAGAAGCGCATGCGAGAGGTGTCGTCGCCAGAAAACGCGGGTAATAACCCCCTTGTCACCCCTCATTGGCTTCGTGCTCATCAGTAATTCTCACGAGTTCTTCTTTTCTGTTTGTAGTGTGATCCCTTCCGGCCTTGCTCTCTTTGTGCACGAGCTAAAGTTGATTGCCGACCTCTCGCCGTAAGCCAGACGCGGCAAGGTAGCTTGCGAAAGTAAGTCTAGCGGTCGGGCTGCATATTTCGGTCGCTTGCTGCCTTTGATGATTGATCTAGCTAATGCCTACCAGTCGCAAAAGAAATCTGGGGAACCGCCAACGAAAGCCAAATTACCTGACGGCAACTTCTGCCAAAAAGCCGGAAGGTATCAGTCACCTTGGGAGCCGGCTTTCAGAGGCATTGGCGGGTAGCAACAGTGATCACGTATCTGCTGACTTTCATTGTTCACAACCATCAATCGACTATGGCGAAGAAGAGTCTGCTGTGGGAATTGCTCAGAAGATATTTGACCTCGGTAGGCAGCACATGGACGAACAGGCCACATCCGCCATCCCCGGTTACAGAGCCAGGTCCAGTGCTATCGCTCAGTCCACAGCAGCTGTCGGCGAACGGCTACCCATCTCTTCGGTACTCGGTCAGCAACTGCCCTCAATGGAGCTGGTTTATGTTTTGCTGGAGGAGTACTTTGATACGGTTCATTGGTTCTCTCTCGTGGTCTATGAACCGAACTTTCGAAATAAACTCCACTCTATCGCGGATGGCTTCGTTTATCCTTCCCAGAAACCATTTCTTTTGCTGTTGGCAGTCATGCTCGGGATGGGGGCATGGTACCGATCGCATCGGAATCTCACTGGCCCGCCTGACGATGGTAATGAGTGGCTTACCTGGAGTGCAGACCTGTTCAAATTGGTCGAGTCGCACATCTTGGAGTTGATGGACCAGCCTTCAGTCACGGCAGCCCAGATCTGTATTCTCCTTGGGTCACACCACGTCTATCATGGCCGTCCTAATCTCTCCTTTTCGCTATTGGGCGCAACCATCAAGATCTCCCAAGCTGCAGGATTGCACCGAGAACCCTCGAAGGGGGATTTTGAGGTTATTGAGGAGAGGAAACGCGTGTGGTGGACGATCTACACATGGGATCGATTTGCGTCAATCACATATGGAAGACCGCTAGGGATTAACGACAAGGATTGCAACCTCTCCATGCCAGCTGACGTGTTAGAAAATCCGTACTTTATCGCTCCCAGATCAGAACTAGGACATACTGTCTGCTATTCTACATATCAGAGGGAATTGAACCGTCTTTATCTAATGGCATCCAGAGCCCTGGAAGCTGTCTTCGGTTCGCGAACGTCCGGGTCATCAAAGGAGTTGGCCGGAGATACGTATTTGGCGTTGGTGAAAGAAGCCACTGAAAACATCCAGAGGTGGCGAAGCCAGCTCCCTGACAGCTTGATTTTAGACCTCGAGCGAGATTTTTCGCCCCATAGCGTGCTAAGCGTGAGAGCACATACCTTACAGTCTCTATCGCTACAGTTGACCTACGACAGCATTCTAATTGTGCTCCACAGGCCTTTGCTAGCAAGGCAGGTTGACTATTTGTCGACAAGCGATCGTCACTCGCCAGTGAGGAGTAATGTAGATTTCCCCCTCGGCCATTCAACTGCCGCTGCATCCAGTTCACCAAACTTGCTTCTCGAAGCTGTATCGCCAAGCGTGCCCATTGAAAGCCCAGTACACTGGTGGAATGCAGCCTTGAGAACATCGCGAGTGACAGAACTACCCCTCCTTGCTCAACTTGCTACGGACAGCCACGGAGTTGCTTTTCTCGCCATCAACCTATTCAATGCGGCGATTGTGTTAGCTATCATGGCTCTATCAGATCCTCTTTCGGATACAGCGCAGGTTGTGAAGCGTACGATTACCCGCATTTTACGTCTGCAGGACCTTCTTGGAAGGCGTTCTGCATTGTCAAAGCAAAGCACTACCGTATTGAAGAACGTTGTAGTACTACTCCTCCGGCGGGAATCAGAGGCGATACTGGCTCCGATCACTAAAAGGACCCAACAACAGAGTCACCAAACCCTGGCAGGCCCTTCTTTCATGTCGGTGGAAGATACCCTCCGACTACCCCTCGATGCGACGTTGAACGTATCTGACCTCCCGGAAGGAGGACAAGCATGCCCGGACCTCAGCATGGCTCATCGCTTGAATGAGAGCCTGGCATCAGTACAATATGGTAAGCGAGCCCCTTTCCAATTTTCCAATTTTTTTTTGGGTGGATATCGAATTTGCTAATTCCTTATATTTTTTTTTCTAGCATTACCTCCAGGAGATAATCGAATTTTCGATATGCCCGTCCGTAGCGACAGCCACCAACCTCATGATCTCCTTCAGGAAAACATGCGGCCAGATGACCGATGGCAGCTGTCAGCTCTGCATGACTGGAGTGACCCTAATGTTGCTTCAGGATCGATAGAAAATACTACTAACGGGGATAGTGAATATGGATTGTATTGGCTATGGGATATGTCGTGGAATGGAGCGGATATGTAGCTTTCTAAATTCAAGTTGAACCTGCAAGGTTTTTCCTCAACTGTAATTGGGAAGACCTTCTAACACTATTTACAGCAACAAGCAATTTGTTCTTAAGTCAGCGATGCTCTGGCTAAATTCTCATCCACGCTTGGCCCAAAAATGACGCTTTTGATGCCGGTTCGACCAGCGACATTTTCAAACGCCTCCTTCGCCTGGGAGAAAGAGAATTCATGAGTAATTAGGCCATCCAGGATGATTCGACGGGAGTTCAGCAGTCCTATGGCCAGTTGGAAGTCTCCCGGCCCATATCGGAAGCTGCCCTTGAATACAACTTCTTTGTCACAGATTTGGCCCACCGGAATTGAGAGATTCGGTTTCCCCAATCCAACTTGAATGAACGTGCCTCCTGGCGCGAGGGCGAGGATACCACAATTTAGGCAGGGCTCTGCACCTGTTGCATCCAGAATAATATCAGCTCCTGTCTCCAATCTAGCCGTGGCCAACAAGTCTGCCGCATTCTTGTCCGTGGAATTGGTGCTCATTTGGTACGTGTGTGTGGCGCCATATTTCTGCGCGGAACTGAGTCGAGCCTGGACAACATCCACAGCAACCACTGTTGATGCGCCGAAGGCGCGGGCAACGGCACAGCAGAGCAAGCCGACTGGCCCTGCTCCGAATATTACCACAGATTTCTCCTGCATCGCGCCTGCTAGCTGACAACTATGCACGGCTACACTGAGAGGCTCGATCAGGGTGCCGTCTCGCAAGGAGACATGTGGTGGTAACTTATAACAGCACTCTGCAGGTACACGGTAGTAGGTGGACAGTGTTCCGTCGTAGGGGGGTGTGGCGGCGAAGCGCATATCCTGACAGAGATTATAGCGGCCTCCACGACAACGACTACATGTGTTGCAAGCGATCCCAGGCTCTAGGGCGACACGGTCGCCTATGGTAAGACCCTCGACACTACTTCCGCACTCTACCACGACCCCGGTTGACTCGTGGCCCAGAATGATAGGGTCTTGGACGATATGTGGCCCTATTCGGCCGTGTTGCCAGTAATGCACCTATACGCAGTCGTGCTTTTATTGGTCTCCCATGTATCAAAGAAAAATGAAAAATAAAACAATAAAAATGGGAAAATGGGAAAATGGGGAAAAGATGGAGCTGTCTCACTCACATCTGAACCACAGAGGCCGGTTGCGATAACTTGAACTATAACATCTCGATCTGATTGGAGGATGGGTATACTGCGTTCTTCGAAGGCAAATAAGCCACTGGGGTTCAGTACAAAGGCCTGATTGATAGCCTACACGGTTCTGGGAGTCAGCAGGCGCAATACAAGAGCATTCATTTGGACTGGGACTAACTTGGGCAGTTTTAGCGATAGTCATGCCTGCAGTTGGATTTTCTGAAGAAGCAAAACGAGATTTCCCAGGTTTTATAATATTATGACTGCTCAACCCAGCAAGTATACTCGGCTCGCTAAACTGTGAGTCAGTGGGACATGGAACCGTCAATGTCTACCACTCATCCTCTTCAGCCCGAGTCCGATCACCACCGGATGATTCTTGGAATCGGCCCGTTTTCCCAATGACCTACCCCGTGTATGCCGTCGACCTAAACATCCTTGAAATTCCAGCATCAAGTTTTGTTTCTTTGGTCGTTTTCCGCCTCGCCATTCCACTCCTTACCGAGACCTAGAACCGCCGGGTGGAGGTGATTTTCGCCACCGGAACCGATGCCTCGCGACTCGGAACCTTGAAGGGTTTAAACGCGACCCTCCCGGTTCCGTAACACAAACTCTCCCCAAAAAGGCAAATAGACTCGGAGCGCCAGATGTTAGGGTTGGGTCCCGACATGACACAAATTTTTCTCAGATTTGACAAAATTTTCAAGGCCTTAGGTCAAACCCCCTTTTGCTAACAAGCTATAAAAGGGGCTATACCATTTTAGTCAGTAAAATTCCTTAAATTTACGCGGTGAAGCCCACTGATATAAGATCGAGAGCCACTGTCAGGCATAGACTCGATTGTTAGCCGCCGCTGAGAAAATCTCTCAGAGTTTTATTGGTATAATCTTGTGTCTGGCCCACTCTTAAATTACGCAAATTGACGAATTTGACGCTGACAGCCTTTGTCAGGGATTTGACCAAATACTATCAGTGGGAGGCGTGGTATACCTCCGAACCACGGACCCTGGTCTTCGTGGAGAAAAAGTCTACGGTTCCCCATAGGATGAATATCTGGGGTAGAAATAAAGCTATTGTCCCCCAGCCTTGGTTTTCAATCCAACAATATTCCCAAAAATTAAGGTCAAAAACATAGTCAATTTCGTCCTCGTTGATTGATTCCTCTTCAGCACCATGAGTGGTAGAGAAACTTCCGCCGCAGCGCACAATGCGGCCATCAGCAACCGTTCTCGAGCCGTCGCCACGCAGGTCGCAGCACAACAAAGCTGGCTGGAGAAGAAAATCAAACCTAAGAAAGTTACTGCTCGGTATCCGTTTAAAGGCACGGCGCTGCTCTATGCAACCTGTGCTTTTGGTAGCTTGGGAGATGCTCTTTTTGGGTATAACTCTGGTATAGCAATCGTTGACATGCCATAAGAATACCGGCTGACCTGATAGGTATCATGTCCGGCTTGTTGGTCAATCCTGTTTTCGTATCTCGCTTCTTCAAAGACTACGGAGGAGCCGACGGGACGACTGCTTCGGTCGATCCCTCGATCACAGGGATCTCTGTTGCTTGCTTACAAGCGTCGGCAGCTGTGGGAGCGCTCATAGCAGGCCGACTCGGGGACATGATCGGTCGAAAGAAGTGTGTTCGCATTGGAGGATTCATCTACTTCTTCAGTGCATTCATTCAAATCTTTGCACCGGGGTTCGCAACGTTCGTCGCAGGTCGCACCCTCCAAGGGTTGGGCGTAGGATTCCTCTCCATGACCGTGCCTATCATCCAAACAGAGATTGCTGCGCCACATCGCCGAGGTTTGATGGTGGGGATCGAGTACACCTTTTTGATCGCAGGATATATGCTGTCTTGCTGGGTGGACTTCGGATTTAACTTCTTGTTGCCAAGTGCAATGTCATGGCAGGGTCCGTTTATCATACAAATTGCTCTCTCTTTCGTGTTGTTAAGCATGTCCTTCTTCCTCCCGGAGACCCCGCGGTGGCTGGCGAAAAATGGATTTATGCAAGAAAGCCTACAGACGGTTGCAGACTTGCATTCCGGCGGTGACACAGAAGCAGAACATGTTCAGCAGGTTTTCCTCGAGATCCAAGAGGCAGTCATTTATGAAACCAACCTGGGCAAGTCCACTTGGAAGGTAGCGCCTCCTCGCCAAATATTATGTCATTTGACAATTTTTTTTTCAAAAGGCTGACACCGGATTACTAGGAAATGTTTACCCGATATCGCAAACGGACGATTGTTGGAATTACGGTGCAAATGTTCGCACAGCTGAACGGAATCAATATCATCTCCTTTTATCTTCCTAGCACCCTCGCATCTGCTGGATTTGACAATCGTAAATCCCTCCTGTTCACTGCTGCAAATGCTCTTCCCTATACGGCTGCCACAATCGTCACCTGGTGGTTAGCGGACAGATGGGGCCGGAAGCCTTTGCTCATCCTTGGAGGTGAGTTCTTATATGGGGTTTCTCCGGGAAGGGAAAAATGGGTTTGTATTGCAGCTAACTAGCGAGAATCAACCAGGTCTCGCCATGGCTATACTGCTAGGAATTGTCTGCGCCCTCACCCAAGCTAATTTGGGTGTACATGTCAAAAGTAACAGCCAATACGCCTTTGTCATGCTGTACAATATTGTCTACGGATTTACCTGGGGCCCGATGCCGTGGCTGCTACCAGCCGAAATCTTCCCGCTCCGGGGCCGGAGCAAAGGAATGGCCCTGGCTACCACAAGCAATTGGATCTTCAACTTCATCATTGGTATGGTCTCTCCAGACGCTTTCTCCGCCATCCATGGGTACTTCTACCTGGTGATTGCGGGTTTCTGCCTCGTCTCGGCCGGCCTGGTACACTTTTACTACATCGAGACAGCAAACCATACCCTTGAGGAGATTGCGGTTGCGTTCGGCGACACGGCGTTCGCGGATACTGATACGGATATCATGGAAGTTGCTGACGTGAAGAGTGAAAATGGGAAATATTTAGTGTGAAGGTAGGCAGGCTGTATACATTGTCGCAATACATATCAAGCAAGCTACTGATGTCGGATTTATTGACACTTATTTAGTATTCTTCTAATCCTCTCAGCCAGCAGGTAATTTTTTAAGAATGGTGAGAAATAAAAAGGATATCTGCGGGCTTTTAGCTCTCTCTATATAGAGAATAGCATACACGCAATATTGCAAATGTTGCTGGGCGTTAATATCCGAAAGATTCCTTTTAAACTTTTGGAGTAGAGAGGGAGATGGCAGCAAATATAATCTTGCGTTTCTTGTCCCCCAGTGTTCCTGATTAGAACCTGATTTAAGCGTATGTCAGGAGGTATCGAAGAGAAAGTAGTATGGGTCTCGAACGGACCGAATCGGTCGAATAATTAATTGGTGCCCGTTGGAAACCCTGCGAAAGCAGAAGTCCCCTCAGATGTCTACACTGTCGACATTTCTAAATCGCAAAACATTCTGGGTCCGAAGTATCATCCCTTGGTGGAAACCATTGTTGATGCTCGGGCTTTTCTGAAGAGAGGCTGAGTGCTTAAATGGATGAAGCCATGTGTTGTAGAATAGGAACAACTAAATACAGATTACCAAGGAGAAATGATTTGTTGTATTATGTTTCTCATTTTATCTTTTATTTTCCTTTCCATCTTGTAAAATTCAAAATAAGATAAAACAAAATCGAAGAAAAAGATAATTCTCAAGACCTAAATAGGATTAGTGACAGCTCTCAGGGGCGTAGAAAATAACCGTGAAAGTAAAATATTTCTATGTGCCTTCAACATCTATCCAGACGTTCTGTCTCTGAGGCGAGCTCACGAGAATAAACAAACAAGAACTTTTCAAGCATTTCGAAAATCACTGCGGGGGCTGCATACGAGCTCAATTTGGTAGACCGACCTCTCGTGAAGGAGATCGATCACCACGAGGCGGATAAGCTGAGCTCCCTTGCTTGCGGGAATCAACAAATTTTATTGTAGGCACTGGCTAAGCTAAATGATAGATTTAGTATTCTACGGTTGTTTAGTATTCAGGGTATTCTATAAGGGAACGATGATGACAACCGACAACCAACCGCGAACCTGCTAGACTGAAATGAGTTATAAACCAAGGGCACATAACCAATTAGTTGTATTCCCAGAAATTCAACTGTTATCAAGTTCAAATAATCGATATAGTTGACAGTGTGTGGATTAATGATTGACCCACGCAGTCGATTATCAAAGTGAATAATAATAATCATAGCAGCGTTTGACTTACCTAGTTCTATATACCAAATCGCCGACCAACATCAACGCCTCGACGGTATATAAAGTTGGAGAAGTGCCGGGCATATCCATAACTTGAAACAAGCAATGGGGTTGTCTTATTTTGATAGCGTGGTATATAAGGCTGACGTAAGCCACTGAACAAAGAACAACTCGCAATTCACTATCAGTCCATGCTTGACATTCCATTGTCAACAAACAACTATGCCATCATGAAAGCGATCAGTCCATCTCTATAGCATAAACGAGTTGGAGGTGTGGGTATTCAATGGCTGGCTAGTGGAGCGCCAACGCATCGGACGATTCCAAGCCTGTTTTGGACGCATGTCCTGTACAATGACGGTTGTCGAATCATAATTTGCGTCAAGATGATGAGCATTGTGCAGCGCATGCATCGCTGGGCTGAGGCTCTCTGCTTGCTATCTTCGAGCCAATGGGCTGGTTGTTATTTCCGGTGGCGCGAGATATTGATGATCGCAATGCCGAGGTTGATTGTCAACATCATAACATGTACATCATAACATAATCATTGAATAATGGGATAATCTATGTTGTATGTTGCGACGGATTGTAATTAGGACTCTGAGTATATACGAGATGGCGTCCTCCACAGGTAGTCAGAGTACTCTGTCGCAATAATAACAACAAGAGAGCAATCAACGACGGCTGATTACGATAGCCAACTTACATAATGTGGCGTGCCCTGAACCGGTTAGGCCGGGCAAGATGGTTTGCATAAGCTCAGCTTGTTAATCCGTGTCCTAATCAGTAGTAGGACGCGGCAAGTACTGTTATTTGATAATATTATTTGTTACCCAAACATGTCACATGCGTCGGCATCGAGGCTGTACCTGCTTTACGACTGATTGATCGTTGTTATTATCACGACTATTATGGTTGTACTGCTGTGGCTGGGGTACAGAAGTGAATGACACGGGTTGTACAAGACAGCGTGCCTGGATGTGTACGACATAGACTGACCAGGGTCATCCCCACACGGCTAGCCTTGAATGTGACACCCTGGCGACTGTTGTGATGGTTAATTTGAGACTACGTACTGTTAAACGGACCCCCACCGTTGCTGTAGTGCAATCAATCTGCCTATATCTCCAGTCAGTCTGGACGTCAATTAATATTTATTATTTATTATTTAATAATGAAACAGATAGGAATGTGGGTTACGTATTATTGGTCATTACGTATAACCAGCTCCTCACAAGTCGTTCTCCAGATCTAGGGACTGCTACTAATCTTGTTAGTCAGGGGGAATCCCCACCAGGTTAAGCCGTTGTTGTCGGTCATGGTTTCAGGTTCAAGGCGGTGATTATTACAGAGTACTACTGTATAATTGTATAAGCGAGGCGGATCTTCTCTATTCCAGTATTCTACGCTGTATAAGAAGCTACTAAAAAGTAAGAATTCATCGATCTATCCTAGCGGCATGGTTCCATGGACCGTCGTGGCCGGATTCACAGATTTGAGCAGGTACGGACGGCGAACCGTGGTTGAGCAGCCCCACCGGTCAGACCGTTTCGTTATATGCTAACTTATTGTATTAATGCGACTAGACGAATATTACTGTCAGGAGAACTCGGAGAAATAAACTCGATAGTGTCAGTACTCGATATGATGAACATTCAGTGTTGGATAGATAGGGAATATTGCATCATCAGAGCCAGCCCGCCCTTGGCTCGCAAAGGTAGGCTAATGGACTAACAAGGGGCGTCGTCCTGGCTGCTGATCACCGAATAGCCTGGTGGCAGAGCAGATGTGATCAGGGCCTTGGAAGACAGGAACAGGCTGGCCGGCATAATATAGATGTGATATATGATATGCGATGTTTGGCCGTAGTACAGGAGGACTGTGGTGGTGGTACTGGTACATGCCGCGGCGGGCAGCCCGCTAGCCACGGAAGGTACTAGTACGAGGACTGCACTAAGGAGTAACCACCGCTCGCCGACCCATTATGGAGCCCCGAGCCAAGCCCAACGCAGCAAGCGTCTCCGGCCAGATCAGCGCCTGCGCCTGCACCTGCCTCGCCCTCTCTCTCGCTCCCTTTTCCTGCAATTGTTTCTGTTCTGTAACTCCTGTGCCGTGCCGTGCTGCACTGCGCTGTTCCTGTTCTGCTGTTCTTCTGTTCTCATCGCTTCTTTCGCATCGTCGTCCTGCTGCGTCGTCGACTCTAGCGCAGCCCGCTTGCCGGCTTGTCCAGCTCTTGTTCCCCAGACCAGGCACTCCCTGCGACTCCTCCCGTGGGCGTTGCGCGACAACCATCCCCATCCAAACCCCCCCCGTTTGTCGTGTTGGTCGCTCCGGACAACAATGCTCGTCGCCTCGCTCATTGTCCAGCAGTCCCCTCCCCATCGATTTTAATTTGTGCGTCGACCGTCAGCATCGTCCATAATTGCTTTTCTTTGGTCGCTTTTCTTTTTCGCCCAGCTCCGTCTTTTGGTGCTCTTCGCTGCCGGCTTGTTTCTTTCGCGTCCACCCGAGCCGACAAAACCTCGTCCCAAGTCTTCACCCAGTCGCTTTATTGCCGGCCGTCGCCGAAAGAAAAGACAAACCAACCCTCAATTAATTTGGTAATCGGCAGTGCGGGCGTCAGGCAATTGCATTGTGTTTGCCTCGTTTCCTCATCCTCATCCAAACACCCGCCGCGTTCTACGTGTGGGTCGCTTGCGCTGGCTCTTGCTGCACCCGTAGTTGATTTCACCAGCTCCCAGCTTTGTGTGCAATCTATCCCAAAACCTGGAATCTGCCCATCCATTGCCGTATGTCGTTCCTACTCGAATCGTTATCTTGATTCCTGCTCGAACCCCCACATTCCTCACAGCCACGTGCGAATCTACCACTGACATTCTACCGTCTTCCCGTTTTGATAGAAAATCATTGTCGCTTGCTTTTCCTGATACGCCGATAAGCGATTCGTCTGTTTTTTCCGTCATCCTCAACCATCCTTTGGAAGGCGTGGACGTGTGGACGCTCATCTCGATTCTCCTTTCGCATGTCTCGTTCACATCGTAGGAACATTCCATCAACTGCATAGTGCCCAGTAGGACGAGGTCATTCCACGTCTCTATACCGTGGTGCTCGTTTGCACTCGACCAAAGGCATGTCGTCTGCTGCCATGCAAGCAGCTCCTCATACTTCGGCGGCGAATTCAACCTCGTACACCACGTCTTCCCACGCCCAGGATGCGTATCCTTCCCGCGCCGCAGCAACCTACCAACAACAATCCCGTTCCTCGCAGCCCGTTGATACGACATCTCGCAATTCACCCTCAGCCAGGTCTTCAAGTCGGCAGCCAAACTCCAATGGTGTAAACCTCAGTCCACAGCAGCCTTTGTACGGATCGACGTCGCCAAATATGAGCGCTCCTGTGCGGAATTCCCCACAACCGGGAAGCTCGCACTCACCCGCGTCGCCATTGCCCACAGACCACAGTCGCAATCGATCTACTGTGCCCGAAGGGTTGGCCATTCCACCGCGAACATCCTCTAATCAGCGGTCCCGAAATCACGCGTCGGGCCGCACGAGAAGCAGAGGCGATGAAACCAACGAGGGCAGGTCCCGTCGTAGAGCACAACAATCTTCTGACAGTCCACAGCAATCTACCAATGCAACCGATGATCAAGGTAAGTTACACAGCTATGCTCTAAGTTAAAATCCCTTCTCACACTTTAACAGGTTCATCTTCGGAGCCAGGTGTCCTAGGTCAAGACTCGAGTACCATACTCAATCAACTGGTCATCACAGACCCTTCCGAGGATATCGAACGTGAGCATGAGCGCGAATTAGAGTCTCAAAATTCACCCGCGATCGGATCATCTTCAACTCCTGGACACGGTGCGGTAGAGGATGAGGGTGTAGATGATAATAATCGTACTGGCACGAAGAGCCGGCATGATTATTCGAACACATCTAACAGACGAAAAGAAACCACTTTTGGCAAGTACATCTTGGGCCAGACATTGGGTGAAGGAGAATTTGGCAAGGTGAAGCTCGGCTGGAGAAGAGAGGGAAGTGTACAGGTTGCCATTAAACTCCTACGCCGTGAAAGCTTGGGTGCCAACCCTAGCCGACTGCCCAAAATATACCGGGAAATCTCCATCCTTAGGGATCTGTCACATCCTAACATCGTACGGCTACACGAGATGGTGGAAACCGATCGCTACATTGGAATAATTATGGAGTACGCATCAGGGGGAGAGCTTTTTGATTACATCCTGAACAATCGCTATTTGAAGGATAATTCAGCGCGACGCCTTTTTGCACAACTTGTATCAGGAGTGGGCTATCTACATAAAAAGGGAATTGTGCACCGTGATTTGAAACTGGAGAATCTGCTACTGGACCGAAATCGCAACATCATCATTACTGATTTTGGATTTGCCAACACTTTCAACCCGGGCGATGAACTGAGCGATGAGATTGAGTACAACCTGACTAATCGCGAATTTGTCAAAAGAATGCGCTTGGACAAACTTGATGCGAATGGACTGCGGCGCGGTGACTTGATGCAGACAAGCTGTGGTAGTCCGTGCTATGCGGCACCAGAGCTAGTTGTAAGCGACTCGCTCTACACAGGTCGTAAGGTTGACGTGTGGAGCTGTGGTGTCATTCTGGTACGTATAAAATCAGTCAGGGGCCAATTCTATTTCTAACTTATTGCAGTATGCTATGCTTGCTGGATACTTACCCTTTGACGACGACCCTGCCAATCCCGAAGGCGATAATATAAATCTTCTGTACAAATATATCGTTTCAACGCCTTTGACTTTTCCCGAATACGTGACACCACATGCTCGAGACCTATTAAGACGCATCCTTGTTCCAGACCCACGCAAGCGAGCTGATCTTTTCGAGGTCGCTCGCCATAGCTGGCTTAGTGAGTATTCACACGTTGTGTCTCATATCACAAGCAGCACTACCAATGTCGCCGACATTGCCACCACCACAGTTCCTGCCGGTAAGTGGTTTTCCTATACTTTTCGTTCCCCTCAAGGTTCGACTTTGCATCTAACTTTGGGATTGTAGAAGGTACACAAGAAGGACCGTCCCTTGCCCGTAGCGCTTCCGTTCGCGAACCACAGAAGACCTTCCAATCCAGTGCTTCGACACTTGGAGGCCTTACCCACCAACAAGGAAAAGTTACTCAGGATGAATCAGCTGAAAAGACGAAGACCTCGAGAGAAGCGAAGCGGAGGACAGTCCAGGTGGAATATGTCGCACCTCAGTCACAAACTGCACGCGGCGAGTCTAGCACGCATAGCACAGAAAACTCGCCGGCCGGTAAATCATCGACGCCTAGAGCAAGCGGCCGAGCAGCTCCTGACCAGAATAAACCGCTCCCTAGTGAACCGTCTGGAGAGCAACGGCCTGGTGTCCCTCGTTCAACTTCAGAAACAACCGGCGTGGTCTATACTACTCGTCCAAATACCGGACATTCTCTCAATGCTGGGCGACTTCCTTCTCGTGGCTCTTACGGACAGCCCGTAGCACCGACTGTGGCACCAACGAATGCGCAGGGTCGACTTGCACAGCCTAAGAATGGCAAGCAGTATAACATTTCGGCGCCTATACCTCAAGATCCAAATGTCTCTATTGGACGGCCTAGTGCCCAACAGCTACCAGCCAAGTTCAACCAAGGCCCTTCACAGGAAGTTGGAAGAGGTCACAAACGATCAAGCACTGTCAGTAGTATTGGGGAGAAGATCTTTGGACGTTCGGGCTCTATTTTCGGTAATCGCTCCAGCCAGGCTGCTCCTCGCCCCAAACCAGTCAGACGCTATCCTCCTACCAGTATGAAAGAGCCTTATTTCAACGATGACTCTAGAGCCTCGATAGATTCTCGACGCCCCGGCTCTTATAGGAGCAACCACGGAAGCGAAGGGCGACCGCGTCGATTTTCCCTCATCAATTCGCTCAAGGGGCTCTCGTCATCAGGACGTAGTGAGCAACACAGTGATGCTGATAGTCAAGAACACAACCTGTCTCGGCCAGCTACTGGCCCTGGTGGACTAATGGGACGTGACGATACATATGATTCCTTCGCAGCTCCTCGTTCAGAACAACACCCTGCAGAGACGAGTTACGAAGATCACATCGACCGGCAATTTGCAGAATTACAAGACTACCAGACAGACGCATACGGCAACCAGCCCAACGAGTATGGATCGTCAACCAACGAATTTTATGGTTATCCTCATCGCGGACAATACAATGGTGGCTATGAGAACAGGCCACGGCCGTCTATGCAAGCGTCTAGGCCCAAACAGGGTGTGCTTCAGAAGAGCACACGCAAATTTGCAGATGCATACGAGTACGAGAGAGACCCGTCTCACCACTCTGGAAGCTCCGGAGCAGCGAGGAAGGTGATGGACTTTTTCCGTCGTCGAGGCAAGGCTAGAGCTGGAGACGATCGGTGAAAGTTGACTTCCAGCGGAATAAAGAAGTTAAACAACGTTCTTGATTATCAACAAACATTAGGAATACTACTTGTTCGGCTGCAAACATTTAGCCCTTCATTTCTCAGTAGGCGACGCGCCTAGAGAATGGCCGTTGCAGGACTCGGTCGAGTGAGTGTTTCGTTAGCATGTTACAAAGATGAGCAGAAGGAGGCGAGTTGATCAGCCATCGTGATACCCCATAGCTAGTACTGTACAGTACTCCTGTTCTATACCTCTGTTCTGTGTGATTGTGACTACTCTGGCTTGTCTACAAGTTCTGTGGATATCGATCTTGTGCATAATTTTGCATGCATGCATACCTAATGTTTAGCATTGTTATAATTTCCTATGTGAACATAAATTTCATTGTGTCTGCATTTCTCCTTCTCCTTTCTTCGCTTTCACTTCTTGTAGTTGTGTTGAAGATTCCACTTCGAGTTTGTCTTTGTATTTGTTTTGTTTACGGTGGCTTTATCCCTCGTATATTTCTATGGCAGTTCCATTCGGAGCTAGCTGCAAGTTTTCAACCTCCAGTACATCCACCATGAAGTACATCAATTGATGTGATAATTAAAAACATTACATGGTGTTTTGAATATATTAGTGATACGGAAACGGTTTTATTTGCTGAGATTTAACTAAAAATAAGGTAGTCTAAATACAGGTTCTTGTTCGGATCCTCTAGTTATGATCGTTGCAAGTTATCAGATGTATTTCACGTAAATGAGGCAATAGGATCTATCTGGACCAACTCATTAAACTTGAATTCCTTTCAAAAAGAACCACTTGCTCGTGAGGGTATCGGCATAAGACCAACCTCCTCTCTGCTGCGATAGTGTTTGGTTATGACGCCGTCTTTTCGCTCCTTACGACTAGGCATATCTCCACCCTTTCCAGGCATGATGCGTCCGGGATGAATGATATTAACTGTAACAAGAGCAATAAGCATGGGAAGGGAGTCGAGAAGATACTGGTATGCCTCGTGGTTGGGAATAGTACTGTGAAGGCCGGACGAGAATTCACACAGACGGAAGATAATTCGAGTCTATTCTCAAAAAAAAAAAAGTATCAGAACAGGAAGCCATTTCAGTTATTTTGGAATTGCACACATACGGTGATGAGGATTAACTCTGCGTATACTGTATATAACAACAGATATGCTTTTCGAGGCTTATTACCCTCATGGTTCATTGTTCGATGGAACGAATATGCAAAGACGCAGAAGATGAGGATGAAAAATTGTTGGATGCCAAGTCCAGCCATGTAGATATGCAGCCCTATTCAAACACACGTTAAAGAAGGGCTTTCAATAAAAGGGGTTTTGGAGCATACCATCCAGGACTGTCGATGTAGGCACATTACTCTGACTCGCACGAGCGCCTCCATAAATTTGGACTAGAAATGAACTGTTTGATACGCGTTAGCAAAGTGAACACCAACTTACCATGAACATGATAATTCTATACATAATATCCAAAATAACGAAATACATTCCAAACCTCCACGGTTTTATTCCCAGAATATTAGCCTTGTCAGTGAAATTCCACACCATCCGTCCGAAGGCCATGTACACGAAAGCGTTAGTCCAGATTGGTGCAACCTGCACGGATAATAGTATCAGCTCAACAATTCTCCAAACCCCCGTAAAAGACAGGGAATATTTCAGGGGACACATTCATACCAACAACAAGATGAACCAAAGGGAATATAACCCCTCACTGGCGGGATTGTGAATACTTAGAATGCGAAAGATGTAGCTGCCAGTTTGCCAAATAGCTGCCATAATAACTACAAAGCAATACCATTTTCTGTGGTAGAAGGCTTGGAAAATATGAGCAGCAAGTGTTAATGCAAAGGCGACCATCATTATATATGCGCCTGCGATAGAGGGGCAGAATGACCACACCGTATCTGGAGTTGTCAAGGCTATTTGATACATCAGCTATAGATCTAAAGGACAATAAAAATAATACCAACCTGTGCATTTTTCGGCCATAGTTTCTTTTGCTCTGAGGGCAAACCTTCTAGCAATGGTCCTTATAGCTGTTTGGGCGGGACTTGAATGCAGCCAACTGAGAGGACAAATCTGAGAATTGATATCAGAACGTTCGCGATGGATCAATAATTCTGGTAGTTGGGATGGAAAGAGCTGGGCACATCAGCTTTCATTTACCTACATATGCTAATTTCCAATCCATTCGTGTTTGGCTGACACCGGCATCCATCTGAATCGTCTGACATCGATCTCGCGTATCCCGTTTCTAAATATATCTCTTCAGCTGCTCATAAAGTAATATACTACGGCCAGAAAATCCCTGTCTCTCGGCAAAGGAGTTAGCAATTTGCTATTTATTTTGAAAGTCTTAAATGCAATTAGCGTGTGATTAGAAAGGTGTCGGCAGAGATAACATAATCGTATTCGTCGCATCAACTCTGACTTAAAAGCAAGCAGCTAACTCGCAGAGGCTAATTTCAGCCCTCCAAACATGGATTCAGCTGTGGCTTTGGATTGTTGGTAAAAAGGCACTAGGGGTCTTGCTGATTGACTGCCACAAAGTCATTTTTCATATTCTTCATGTTATCTATACCCACAAGGGCAAGAGTTAAGTGACTAAGCCTCAACATACCCTGGTTAGAAGCAAATCCACATTCTCCGCAGTGGGTCCTTGTCATTAGATGGATGCAGGCTTGCGTCTTTCAACAGATCATCAAGGTAGTTAAAGCGACTTAGTTGAGATTATACCGTTCTCAGCTACGTGCTTATATATTTAGAAATCGATGAGGTTCAAAAATTTCGGGAGTGGTTTGTTTAAAACACTAGTGCATGATATATGCTATAAGGTTGACCCTCCGTAAATGTTACCCAAAAAGGCAAGTGTTGAGACTTGCATATTAGAGTTAAGCTTACTTAACTCGCTCCGAATGTGGAAAGATATTCATTTTATAAGGTAAGGAGCATTAAGAGAGAAGCGCGACTATTTTAAGTCAGGGTGTATTTTGGTTACATAGGACTATATCTTCGTATTTGGAGGTAATAGAAGCAAGAATCCGGGGTTTGTATATAGGCTGCGGATATTCTCGTCTTGCAAAATTCGACAGCAGCACCGCACATCACTCTTCGACTAAAAGATAAAAGTTGGTCGCTTCCAGTGAAAGGGAAATGTTCGCCAGTCTGATTTCTATCGTATTGCTTGCGAGCTGCATAGGCAGTTCCTTGGTAAGCTCTTATCTGTCCTTTCTTTAAAGTATGATATAGCTAACAAATTTTTGTCCAAGGCCTCATATTTACCACCCAGAACTCTACATCATGGAAAGAGGGATAATGGCACCACCATTGATCCAATGTACCAATTGTCCTCAGATCCCGACTTTCATTTCGAAATTCTCCGCGTCCTTGCGCTCGCACCCTACGAAGGCTCTGACATTGGCGAAGTCCTTATCGCAGCCAATCAAATTCTACCAAAGAATATGGAGAGTTACTCCGGCGCCTTCAATGCGCTTGCCGATAGGGTACAAAATGTGTCAAACGCTATTGACGTGACGAAACACCCTATATCAGCCAGGAATGCTTTTTTCAGAGCTTCAAGCTACTACCGCTCCGCAGACTTTTTTTTGCATGGCAACTGGAGCGACCCACGTATATACTCGCTGTGGGATCAGCAACTCGCAGCTTTCAATTCTGCTATTGCTCTACTTCCCACTCCTGGAGAGAGAGTTGTTTTGAAGGGGAATGGATTTGATATTCCAATCGTATTTTATGGCAGCGGACTTCCCGGGCCGCGACCTACCCTCATTTTATGCAACGGTTACGACGGCTCGCAGGAGGAGATGTATCATTTTGTGGGCCAGGCAGTAGTCCAACGTGGCTGGAATGCTATCACGTACGAAGGTCCTGGCCAACCAACGGTGAGACGCGAACAAAATCTCGGATTCATTCCACAATGGGAACAGGTCGTCACTCCAGTTGTTGACTATGCTCTAACAAGGCCAGAAGTCGACCCGGTTGCCATTGGTTCGGTAGGTTTGTCATTTGGAGGGTGGCTAGCTCCTCGTGCGGCTGTATATGAGCACCGACTTGCAGCCACTCTCGCTGTCGATGGTTTATATGATTTTGGTCCATTTATGCTTAACAAGTTCGGGCCTGAGATGACAGCTCTTTTCAACTCTGGAAATGCGACGGCCTTCAACGACATCATGTATCATATTCTTGAGGACCCTAGCACTTCCACCTCCACTCGCTGGGGTATCCAGCAAGGTCTCTGGGCCTTCGATGCGGCAACGCCATTTGAGTGGGTTTCTAAGATGCAAAATTTCAATCTTGAGGGTTTAACTCAAAATATCACTATGCCAGTTTTTGTCGCTAGTGCTCAAAATGACCTCTTCTTCCCTGGTCAGGCCCAGGCCCTGGCAGCTCATCTCATAGATGTTACCTACCATGCTTTCACTAATGAGGAGGGCGCAGGCGAGCACTGTAGCACTGGGGCGGATGTGTTGCAGAACCAGGTCATGCTTGACTGGTTCCAACACATTATCGAAACCATAGAGGGTTAGATCCAGTCAATTTTTTTCCTTCCAGCATGTTGATACACTTGGGATGTCCTGGAATCAGGATTCAACGTTACATAATCAACTTGGTATTGTCATCAATGAACGCTCATTCTTGTCCCTGTTTAGTCCTCTTACTATGTGTATTTAGTATTTATTTCGTTTTATTTCTTGAAAAACCAGACTTGTACGAACTACCTTATCGCCTGGAAATAAACAATATATAAATGGTAGTTCTTATCTATCTAGTTAACCCACGTAATGGCTTTTGTAAATGGACGTAAAGTATAGAATCATTGAATTAGGAACTGTTAGATTAGTAAAGCCTTGTTAGAGAGCGACTCGGAGCCGACTTGGGGGCCTCAATGTATGGCCCTGTTGAAATATTTAAACACTTGAGGAGAATTAAGCCATGTAGGGCTGAACAGCAAGCTTCTGTTCAGCTGGTTGCCAAGAAGGCTGAGTGTGGCAATCTGATTGGTCCACTAGTCGTCTGCACGAGATGCTTGCCCAATCTGGTATGCTCCTTGTCGTTCGCCTGTCAGGGGCTGACCCGTCCGCCTGGAGTAACTTTAATACTTTTATTCGGCCCAGTTTCGAAGTGATAGCCATGTTCACATTGAAGTGAAAAAGCATTCAAGAATTCACCCAAGTTTAAACCCAATAATTAGATTAGATTTCCGGGCTTTGTACATCAGAGTAATGGTGTATCGTGGGACGCCCAGTGCGGCTTGCAGCAGATGCAGGAACCGTCGACTTAAGGTGTGCAAAATACCTTCCGCATGTTCTGGCCATTCGCGGAGATTCTGCAAGGGCCGAATTTAGCAAGTGTTGAGATCTAACTCAGATCTATCAGTGCGACCTGGCAACTCCATCATGTTCCGCATGCGTCCGAGCCAACCAGCCATGCACCGGTTATCGTGATACCCAGGCACTGAGATTCTGTGTTCAAAATGAGATCATTATCAAGACTCAGCGAAGCCTGACGAAACCTGCTACTGAAAACCGAAAGAAGCCTAGCCTAAAGAAGGGCCGTATTAGTAAGGAGCGAACGTGGCATCAAGATATTCCAAGTTCTCAGCTTCCACTTGACACACAACGACCCCCTCCACAACAGGATGAAACATCAAGTCATCAAAGCCTTCAAACACAATGCCTACAGAGTTCAATACACGACGAAGCGATATGCTTTGTATATTCAAATTATGTGTGCCAGGGAAGCACAGCGCTACATTACAGCTATCTTCCGGAGTTGATGTCTAAAGACGAGAGTTCGCCAGTACGCTCTGCGATGACAGCCCTAGGGCTGTCGGCTTTAGCTAACATCAAAATGGCTTCTAAATTGACAAAGATTGCACGGGAGGAATATACTACGGCCTTGGGCTGCACGAATCGTGCTCTGACCGATCCAGTCACTTCCGCGAACGATTCGACTCTGGCAGCGGTGATACTGCTTGGAATGTTTGAAGTAGGTTATCAGAACTCAGGTTTCTTGTTTTTTTTTATCATCAACATATGTTTGAATTCTATATTGACACGATGCCAGGTCATCTCATTTAATAGTACTGGCTCCCTTCAAAGATGGAAAAAGCACATCGACGGCGCATCAAAATTACTTGAATGGCGAGGTGAGGCGGGACTGCGTACTGTGCACGGGCTGCACATGTTCAGACAGCTTCGACCTCAAATAGTATGATTGGAACTTCTCATCGCAAATTACAAAGAAGGCTAACTGATGACAGTTGGCCAACAACATCCATAGAGAAATGGAACCCGCTCCTAGTCTCGTCCATTTGTCCGATGTTGCATCCGAAATCGCATCTACAGGGAGTCAAGACGAGAGCAGGCACGTGGATGCCATGGGCCATCTCTCTATCCGATTGTGTAAGTTGTGCGCAACCGTAAAAAAAGGCGGTTTGACAGACCCTACATCGATTCTGCATGATGCACTTGCCCTAGACGAAGAATATGCCTCATGGCTTGATGGGCTTTCTTCACCTTACTGGTCACGCTCCACGGTTATGACAGATAGCGCAGAGGACGAATTGATCTATGGACCGTTCGGTAATCATTATGACGTCTATAATAACCTATTTGCGTGTCATTCGTTGAACAACTATCGCTGCTCACGGCTTATCATCCGTGAAGTTGTTTCAGCATGTGTGAAGAAGATTCAATTTCAATGCCAAATGAACGACACTAGTGTAGACTCCAATATCTTAATTGCAGCTCATCAAAGTATTGCAGTTGCCAAACGGCTTGCAGAGGAGATCTATGCTAGTGTGCCCTATCACCTGGGTACCGAGGAGACCTTTGCTGAATTCGATATGATTGGAAGGCCGAATTTGATCCAGGGAGCTATTGGAGGTTTCCTTCTCATCTGGCCGTTGTACTTGGCTGCCAACTTGGATCTGTACGATGTAGACCAGACTCCTTCAGCCATGAGGGCATGGGGCATTACATGTTTGGAGAAGATCGGGCATGGTATGGGTATTAATCAGTCGCTTGCCATGGCGTTCCTGTTACGCCGAAAGCTGGCTGTGCGGTCGTGGGTTACAAACACAGAATCGCATACGGGAGCAAGAGTTGTTCCATTACCCCCAGATTCATTTCAGGATTAGGCTCCAATAACGTGAATATGGATTCTTTGCTCACTATATGCACCATTACTTGCTGTGTAGATGATGTAAAGTCCCTAAATATTTTCATAATTGGAATATCTCTTGATGCTTGACATAGTTATTGTGCTGCCCCCTAGGATATTCCATACGAGTGTTCAAATGTTGCGTGTTGGTTGTTATGAGTGTAAATGTCCATCTCTTGTCCTAGATTCTATGTCTTAAGTTGGAGACGAAGAGCATACAAGGAACACACAACATGGAATCACTGAAATTGTGATGAATAACTTTAAAATCTAAGAGTGAGGCTTTATTCAAACCAACATATGTAGAAGTATACTAAGTATAGGAACAGAGTAACGAGGTAAAAATAAGCACCACAAGCACCTGAATCAAGTTAGAACCAGTGGACCCCCTCTCGTCGCGCACAAGGCATTCCACAATGCTCGATTACACCTGCCGCGCCCGACAAGAATATAACCCGGGATCGAGCATGCATTCAGGCGGGTGAAACTGAAGCAATTGGCTCGCCCCTGGCCGCGACAAGACGGATTCTCCCGAAAATGCGGGGGGTGAGCCGGTCCGTTTTCTTCGGATCCGCACTATGATCTAATTGATATCAGATTTCCTATCATACAAGAGCAGCCTTGTCCGTAGAGGGCATTTTTGCACGTGTCAGACGTTCCCAGTGTCGATGATCATGCTTTGGCGACGGCTGTTTTGAGTCTCGGGTAGGAATAACTGATAGGCTGTATAGCATGTCGCCTCGGCCTCTGCCACTGTCAGTGCCGAGGACAACCGAGGGGCCTTATTAACCTTATTCTAGACCCGGGCCTCTGGCTTATCACTGCTTGGGGTTAACCAGGTTCTGTCCATCCCCCCCTTCCGTAGAACGTACATACTAATTAAATTATTCAGATTATTAGCATGAGCATGCATAAAAGTCTACGGAATAATGGCTGTTGCAGGTGGATGGGTTTTGTGGAGCTGAAATGGCACGATGATCATCGGAGGGGTTTCTGATTTGTTCTGTTGCTACTCGCTAACGCTACTAACACATGCGCGAGCCCCCAAGGTAGGCAGGCAGGAAGGTAAGAGATAAGAAGCATGCATCGCCCGTTGGTCCGAAAAAGCAAAAACAAGATGCGTAAATTTAAATCAAATCAAATCAAGAAGAAGCCGCGTAGTCTACATGTGATGGATGACGTGACGTCACGTCGAATCGCGATCACATTCATTGTAGGATGGTAGTGCTGGCTGGCTGGTCATGTAGATGTATCTAATTGATGATCAGGCAATACGGCAGGCATGGTGTTTCGAACGCTCAATAGTGATCAAAGCGAGAAAGGATGTCGACATTGCCGGGGCTGAGGCTGGAATAGCGCTGGGGATGCTGGTTGTGGATGTGCCAGCTGGTAGTCGAGTTGAGAGATAGTGATTATTTTTTTGAAGGTTTGATAAGTTCAAGACCGGTCAAATCCAAGCTTGAGGAATCCTCCGGATGACTCGGTGCTCGAGGTGGAAGACGAGCGGTGGATGGTCACCTCGGGAGTGGATGGGGTGGTGTTGTTGGCAATGGTTGTCTTGGTCCCCACAGTGGGCGACAGGACGAGGAAGCCGTTCAGCTTGGGGAGTTTGGGGAACATGTTGACGGTTGAGGGTGGAAGTTGAGGACTTGTAGTTGGAAGTAGGAGATAGTCAAGTTGGTCTGGGTTGAGAAGGGAAGAAGATCTGGAGAGGAGGAGGGGCACTCTTATAGCCGGTCGGCTGGCAAAGGCTGATCCAGAGTAAGACAATCCCCGTTAGTTGTTCAATAATAGTGCGTATAGTATTATTAAAGCGACGCGGGTGATCGACCGACTTATCTCTACCCAGACTTTGTGTATGCTTGGCCAGGAATGATGTGCGACACCAAGCGCTTGGCCCTTCCAGATTGCGCGGCACCAGGAGGAGTGAAAGGCTAGGCAAATGCCAAACAGAACAGACCCAAACGCACGCCTAGGTGCGAGTGGAGATTGTCCATGTCTCATCTGGCAACGTGGGCTGGCCTGGTTACTGTGACTGGACTGCCTGCCGCTTTGGGAGTCACCGACGCCGGTTGTGTGTTAGAGTGTTACTATCATCATTCTGTCCTATCCCATCCCATACTCCGGTCTAACAAAGACGTTTGCTGCAAACAGTAGACTACACCCCCACTATGAGTATTAATAACAGTTCTTCCATTGGACTGTGAGTATTATTATGTTATTTTGATTCTGGTCATATTTATTCTTACTACCTGTATCGGACTGTGGCTGTCCCAACGGGGCTAAACCAGCCGCTGCGCAGCAAGGCACGGGGTTTTATCTGGCGAGAATCGGAGATATGAATTAGTCCTGCCATTATTAATTCGGTCAATGAATGATGCATTGCATTCCCATTATCCCCTTTCTGTTATTCCTTTTTCTGGCCGCGATCCTCATGCGAGGCTGATGCGCCAAGCACGCCTGCTGGCCTTGATTAGGCTGAGTCGCTTGTGGCCTCTACAAATCCAGATATTTATAGTGTTCCCAATATTATGGAAACCCCATATTACTTCTTGCTACAATTATTATTATGCTATCTTATTATTCTTCTTGATAATTGCCAAGACAAGAACTCAATTCCAGGTCATATGACCACCGTAGCCCGCAAAACTATTGATGAGGCTTGGCGACTTGGCAGGAATGGTACGAACCTCCTTTCTTGGCGGTGCAGCCATAATTGAATAACAACGATTCTAATTTATGAATATGGGGGAATTGGGGTGAGGAGATACTAGTGATAGCCCCCAAGATCATTGCATCGTGTCATTGGGCGAGAAAGTCGCATCACCGCGAAGATCTGCTTGATCTTGTTTGCCAAGAATGACTAAGCTGTACAACAGCCAATCATATCCGAGTCATTCATTATTCTTATGCTTGTATTTGCTTTTCCTCGATGATACGTAGTACGTACATCGTCCGTCGGTTTGGTGGGATTTACTTGGCATGTTCTGGTATCTTGGATTTCTTTCGAGTTAGTTTCATGCTGAGACTTGGGGTAGTACATAGTCTCCTTGGCACCGGTCAGCGGCATAAGAATAGTAATACGTAGGAAAAAGAAAGGAAAGAAAGAGATAAAGAGAATGCGAAAGAATTCTTGGCTGTGGCGATCTGGATTTCATGTTGGCCAGTAGTGGTGCTTGGATTAGATGGACGCGAATTTGGGCGCAGTATACGTCTTGGAACAGAGAAATCACTATTTACGGCGTATTGGAATGACAATCCACAGCTTATGTAGATGCAGCAAGTACAGACACAGGTCATTGCGCCAATGAGATCAAATCATTATTCCTGTCTCGCTGATAAGAGCGTTGATGTTCGTAATTTCCTAGAAGTCCTTAAAAGAATCGCATCCATTTGGCTCAATAACACTTTATCCCGTTGAAATGAAGGGCTTTGCTCCAGAGGATTATATCAGAGATTTCGATCCCTATTCGCTACCTTTGATAATATGATCGGAGAATATACAAAGAATTTTTGGCTTGCGCAAGCTTCATATATACTAGAGCTGAATCCCGAGATTCTCTGTGATGCATGCGACGAAATCGTAGCGACATCTTCCAGTCTTGGGTTCGTAAAAGAGCAAAAAGGTCTCAACCCGGTCCTATTTCTAGAGTCTCTCAATGTTCTTCAACGACCATATGAGGCGATGTATACGATAAATTCAATCTAGACCCTCGGGGTGAGCCTTGGTTAAGGCTTAGAGTTAGAGCACCCGGTTTATTGAATGTCTTGGGTGTGTCGTGCCTTCATATTACTTCCGCCTATAAATGACTCTTACAAATAAAGATAAACAAAAATAGGATATTATCCTCTTGCATGACGTATAGTAACAATGTATTTATCTGCTCACATATGAGAAATGGGAACTAGGCTAGGTGTCTAAATTTTGCTGAATTTCTGAAAGGAATACAGGGATTGGTAAGAAACACGCAGAAATCATTGCTGGTCTACTCCGCCTTCAAAATTTGCTGACCCCGCTGCTTCATCGATCTCGACAGACTCGTCAAGACCACACACTCGGAACAGCTGCTGTGGCGAGAATTCCGTATTCGGCACCCCTGTCTTTTTCAGCACTTGCAAGGAATCCTTTATAGCTCTATAAACTGGCGACATTGTAGCCAAAGGAACTATCATGATTTGGAATCCCAAATCCTTTGCTTCACTAGCCGACATTGATGGTGTTACGCTATGCTCCACCATATTTAGCAAAACTGGCCAAGGGGCTAGATCTGCGATAAGTTGCTGGGCTTCAGTTATAGAGCGTATGCCTTCTGGAAAACCAACATCGGCGCCGGCATCACGCGCAGCTCGTAAACGAGCTACTGATTCTGCATAGCCGTGCTTTTGTAACGCATCCGTTCGAGCAATGATCACAATGTCGCTCCTAATCTTCTTTCGTTGCTGTACAGCAGCTCGAATTCGACTCACATAAGTTTCGGTGTCGACTAGAACCTTGCCCGCCAGGTGACCACACCGCTTGGTCTGAACCTGATCCTCAATATGCAATCCGGCAACACCAGACCGTGCGTATTGTTCGATCGTGCGTGCTACCATGATCGGACCACCATAGCCTGTGTCTGCGTCCGCTATTAATGGTGTATTCGTGGATAGATTGGCGATCATCTCAGCGTTCTGACGCATGTCGTTCAATGTGGCGATACCGAGGTCTGCATGCCCAAGCCTCGACGCTGTAGTACCGGCTCCCGTCTAGTATATTTCGTTAGGAATCACTGACTGGCGGAGCTAGTAAACTAAGAAGAAACTATAGGAATAAAGGAAATTTTGAAATACCATGTAAATCACGTCGAAGCCGACTTCTAGGGCAATTCGCGCAGAGAACCCATCGTAAACACCTGGGGCGAGAATGAATTCTCCGGATTCAAGTTTGCGACGCAGCTTAGTCGCAGGGGTAATAACCCCATTGGTGTCATCTCGTGTCATTGCAGAAAAGATTTTGGACAAAACGAGAAGAATGAGTGAATTATGATGGAATAGGCAAGAACTTAAATTGCTTTTCTTGTCAGATCAGCAAAGTATTAAAAAAAATCCAACGTAATGTCCAACCTAATTCTGTTTCAAAGAATTATTATGTCACATTAAGATTTTCTCGTCACTTAAAGGTCATGACTTTGGGTGTGTTCTGTGGCAAGTTTAGGGTTTGGTTAATTCGGATTTCCGAATACCGGTGTTCCGATACAAAACCTCCGGTTCACTGCGATGGTAAATTAGCGTGATTAAGATGTATTGTTCGTTCGTAATATATTGAACAGACCTTAGAAGATCGATTAAGATCGTTCATGGAAAACATAGACACTGGCCTATTCCTACCAAGGCACCCAGAGATTCTGACCATGGTAGGCGCAACTACGCCAAGATCGTTACTCTCGGCAACGATGAAGGATCATACTCAGTGTGGTGATTTCCAGGGTGACTTAAGGGGGAAAATACAGAGCGTTATCGAAAACTCAGCACTGGTAAAGTCCCTTCGTCGGCGCGCCAACTGTCTGGAATCCCGTCCTCTTTCTCTACCGGACGATGTGCGTCGGGAACATCTTGTTGCTGGCCTGATGTCCGGCTCAGAAAGCATTCCGGTAACGCCATATAGCTTTTTAGAACAAACACAAGAGGGATATAAGCTCACTATGATCTTATACGTGGGTCCAAACCTGTCTGGACACCCCGGCTGGGCACACGGTGGTTTTATTGCCACTCTGCTAGATGAATCCATCGCACGCTGTGCCTTTCAGGCTATGCCCACCAAAGTCGGAGTCACGGCGAATCTCTCAATCAATTACCGCAAACCAATCCAGTTGAGACAATACCTGGTGGTTACTGCGAGAACAGTTCGCACAGAAGGACGCAAGGTCTTTGCAGAGGGTTGGATAGAAAAATTTCAAGCCGATGATGATAATTACGAGCAAGAAATCCTTGCCGAAGCATCTGCTGTGGTGGTCAGTCTTCAGCAAGTTAGTTCTGAAGTAAGTTTAATAACCAAATGTGACACACCAAATATAGCATTCTTTCACTAAGCGTTCCCTGAAGCTATCTCAATCTCCGTATAATACTTCTTAGCCAATTTCAAACACTACGAAACCTCACTTTATACGGACAACATTGAATGCAAGCACATGCGATAGAATGTCAGAATGTCAATAATACAGGATAGAGGGTACTATTATGAAGTTTATAAGCTAGCTGACTGACCATTCTTTCTAGTTTAGGAAGTTCTTGGAGACAGAAGTAATTAGATATCAGTATGCACTTTAAAGCCAGAGGCATCAAACGTATGAAATTGAGACCAGATATATGTCGAGTTATTTGAATCAAAATTATTAGTTCGCGAAAAGAGCATTTATCAATTACTTTAATTGCGAAAGTACAACACCCAACCGGCTCTAAAAAGCCGATAGAATGGACAGGACTAATCTAGCCTGTAGTGAGACGACAGAAACCTAATACGCAAATGAAATTACCTGATGGAGATGGAATGTAGAGGCATTCGGCGTTTGATCACTGGTGCACTTATAGAGTTCGGAATTCCGAATATACGTGAAGTCGGCTTTCTGTCCGGCAAACACTAAGACAAAAGAACAGATTTCTAGACCACTGCAAATAATAAGAACAATCTGTCAGCGCCTAGAGAATCGCACTCCATCAACCATATTTACAGATTCAATATGGCTCAAAAAGATCAAATCCGCATCCCTGCCGTGTACATGCGCGGCGGGTCCAGCAAGGCCGTCTTTTTAAGAGCAGACAATATCCCTCCTCCTGGGCCGATACGTGATAGCGTATTAAAACGGGTCATGGGAACACCAGACCCAATTCAAGTCGATGGAATGGGAGGGGCTAAAGCCGTGACATCGAAGATTGCAATCATCTCCCCATCGACGCGGGACAACGTCGACATCGATTACACGTTTGCGCAGGTAGGCGTACGAGATGACACCATTGATTATAAACTCAACTGTGGCAATATCTCGGCTGCAGTTGGTCCATATGCAATTGATGAAGGCCTCATCCCCCTATTCCGGCCTGGTCGAATGCTGGGCGATGCAAACATCAAAACGCAAGAGGTTCGTATCTACAATACGGGAACGGAAAAGCTCCTGATCGCACACGTACCTGTCGATGACGACAGACGTTCTATCACGCAAGGGACTTGTGGAATTGCTGGAGTTCCTGGAACTGCAGCTCCCATACTGTTGGACTATCGAGAGACTACTGGAGCCGGGTTGAATCGGGGCATTCTTCCAACGGGGAATTCTATCGATTTCGTTGACATTGGGCAAAAGAAGATTTCTTTTACTATCTGCGATGTTGCGAATGTTTATATTTTCGCATCTGCCTCCGACTTTAATGTGAGCGGCCACGAATCGACAGCGGCTTTGACAGCTAATACCAGATTGCTGGGAGAAGTGAACGAATTGCGTGGAAAGGCAGCTCAGATGGTAGGCATGTGTAAAGATTGGGAAAAGGTAGATGAACAGTCCCCTTTCATCCCCATGGTCATACTGGTAGCTCCACCACCGCCATCATCGTCTCTCACTCCAGAAAGCCATGTCTCTGGCCGCCTCTTTCTCGATAACATGTGTCACGAAAGTATGGCCGGAACTGGGTCTATGGCATTCGGCGCATGCAGTAGAGTGAAGGGATCTGTAGTTTTCAATCAGGTTAGGGAAGAGGCAACTCACGATCATGTTTTCAATATCGCTCACCCGCTCGGGGTCATGCACATCTCCGTCGAGACGAATAATCCGACACCATCGGTGACCCCATCCTTCAAAACACTTTCGTTCGTGAGAACGGCAAGAAGGGTCATGGACGGTCATGTATATCTACCGAGACTCCTTAAAGGGGTTGATCTCAGTGAGAAATATCCAGAAGGGTTAAACCATATCAAAAGCAGTACCACCCCCGAATCAAAGGAAGATATACCCGTCACCAAAATATTCGCAGAATTTATAGCTAGTGTTAAACCGGACGTCCTTTCCGACGCTCTAATCACTCAATTAAAGGATTACATTATCGACTACGTGGGTGTCACGGTAGCTGCAGCACATGACTGGGAGTCCACAGAATCAATCTACCGGGGTATTCTCGCACTTGGGGCGACTGGAGGTTCAAACACGGTGATACTCAAAGGACAAAATTTCCAGCCACAATTTGCCGGCTTACTCAATGCAACATTAGGCCATTCGATGGACTTTGATGATACCTATGCGCAGGGAACCCTGCACGCCGGGGTCTCCGCCATTTCTGCCGGTCTAACACAGGCAGAATTATTGGGAAGTCACAGCCAACAGTTGCTTCTTGCTGTTGCAGTAGGATATGAGGTCATATGTCGCCTCGGGAGAGAGCTGGCAAATGATGCATATGCCCGGGGATTCCATAATACAGGCACCGCAGGCATCTTTGGTGCTGTGGCTACGATATCCGTGCTCAAGCGACTGTCAGCTAAGACAATAGAAAATGCTTTTGGTCTTGCCGTCTCAAAAGCAGCAGGATCCATGCAGTATCTTGAGAATGGAAGTTGGAACAAGCGTCTCCATCCTGGATTTGCAGTTCACGACGCCTTCGTCTGCGTCTCTTTGGCCGAGGCTGGTGTAATCGGAGCAGCCAAAAGCTTAGAAGGGAAATTCGGGTTTTTACAGGGATACAGCCCCAAACCGGACAAGGATCTAGACTACCTGACTGCGGATCTGGGGGCTAGATGGACGTTCCTCGAAACCGCTTTGAAGCCATTCCCAGCCTGCCGCATGACGCATGGCTTGATAGAAATAGGTGGGAAATACGGAAGTTTGTCCCGAGATCGGAACGTCGAGAAGATAACTATTTCGTTAAGTCCAGCTAATCTCAGCGTTGTCGGGCACCGAACTTCCAACAAGCTACATCCTGAGAACGTGGTTGACGCACAGTTCTCAGCATACTTTCAACTAGCTCATGCGTGGCTGTACGGGTCTAACACGGGTGTTAGATGTTATGAGCGGCTCAAGGACTCGGCAATCTACGACTTGTCAGAGAAGATTGCGTGTGTTGAAGATGTTACAGTAAAGGCGATGGGTGCTAAGATGCATATCCAGTATGTCGACGGAGGTCAGGAACAGATAAACATACCATTCCCATTAGGCGAACCTGAACACCCATTCACGAAGGAGCAGATTGAGGACAAATATTTCGGCTTAGTGGTTCCAGTACTTGGTAAGGTAAGGGCAGAAGAGATAAGAGACCTGGTCCGTGATTTGGAGATGCACTCCGTTGTAGAATTTTTCAAACTGGTTTGCTAGGATTTCCTTGACGAACCATTTACTAGAGAAAGAAACATCAATGAAAATGTATGACTTTTGGGCACATCTGTATGTATATATTAATTGATATACCTATTTCTTTCTATGATGCAAAATTTCTTTCACCCTTTCAATTCTTACAATGAACAAGTAAATCATGAATTAACGTTGACGAAGGGAAACGGCAAGTTGGATGGCCAATTCCAATCAATCAGGCCGTCGGACGGCACCCCTAGGTATTCTAGGTTCTCGGACAGAGGCAGGCTGGGATCGCACCACGGGCCATCTGAAGCAGGTATTTCTAGGAGGGAATTCTGATTCTGTGCAGTTCCCCCGGACTCGTAGGGATTGCTTTGACCATTACTCTCCATCCGCCACCACCACAAAGAATCAAAGACAATACTCATGAACTATAATAAACGGGTCAGGTTGGTCATTCCTCGATTTGGTTGACATGTCTCTTACCGAACGACTGCGAATTCGAAGATTGAGACCATCGACGAAGTCTGCCTTTCGATTTACAGCGCCACTATTTGTCCACAGTTGGGTTAGGATTATCGCATACCGCTCGTCCAAATCTCCCGGTTGGATCGATCGCTTCTTGACAAAGGCTATTGCTTTGAATAATGACTGTTCCGCATCACGCAAATTGATATGTTCTCTTAGACCACTGCGAATAACTCGAATAATGCAAAAGGCCGCTAGAAGCGTCATGCGTAAGTAGAAGTGCGTTGCATAGTAGGCGAAGTCCCGGGTAATGTCTAGTCTAGAAACTATGTCAAGCGTTTCGGTGGCAATTGAGAAAACTGTAATGATCCCAGGCGATTTGAGTTCTTTTATTTGAATGAAAAAGAAATGGCTCATTATTGCCAGCCGTGCACAGCATTGTGTGAGAAAACCTGACCATCAGCCTCTTCGGTTAGAAACCACCAGTATCTGAAGCGTGAATAAAATATTGAGGAAAGAACTCACAAAGCTCATCATTCTCAGGGAGCGGTACGCTTTCGATTTCCTGATTAAACACCTTAACAAGTGACGAAAGCCCATTATCATCCTGGTTTTCCATATCAATGCTTTCTGATATTGCCACAATCGCATTACAAAGCATCTTGTGGCATCGATATCGATAGAGAAGTGCCGGATCGTCTATCAAATTGAGAAACCTATCCCGTTGAGAAAGCCTGGGTTGGGGAATCGAGAAGAATGGTAGTCCATCGCACAAACTCGTACTGCTAGTTGCTTAGTAGAGCGAAATGGATGAATATGTATGCAATCCATACCTTTGAAAGTTCAAACAGCAATGTAGCCACAAGTGGGCCCAGAACTTTCGTTCTTTCTCGTTACTCTGTATCTGCGTTCTCCGAAAGTCTTGCTCGTGTCCAGCAGCATATAAGCCATGTTGGACAGCGAGGGAGTATGCAGCGCCTGCAAATGCATGGGAGGGGTCTTTCCACATCGTCTCCATAGGGATAGGCCAGAGACACAAAATCAAGGCCGCTTGTATTGCGGGGATTGGATTTGTGATGTTGAACAAGGTAGAAAATTCCAAATTCCTGATCTCCTTAGCCGCATGGCGAAATGTATGTGACTCATTTCGCAGGTTACGTGCTCCCGTAGCCACAATAGACCAGAACAGGAATGGCGATTGGTTGATATACGCTTCTTGGTTTAAGTTCTGATCAAAAATGCCGGGCAAGAACCCACTGTAATGAGCGGAGAATCTAGTAACTGGGTGTCAGCCCTTCCGTCATGACGATTCTTTTCTCAAGACCCTGTTTTTACCGGGAGAAACATCGTGCTATGTCATGGTGGGTAAATTCAAATTGCTCTCGACTCCGTAGCAACGGGGCAGCATCATTTGTTGCTGGGGCCGGAGCCGATAGTGGGATATCTTCCAGCACATGGTGTCGTGGAATATGTAGTGATCCATTGGTGGTTTGACCTAATGAAGGCAATGAGTGATGTGGCATGGAGGGGGACCCTGATACACCATCTCCCTCCGTGGCCCGGTTTGCGAGACTGAGTTGCTTATTCAGTCGGTGGATTTCCTGGGTCAGTTCAGCTCTCCTAAGCAACGTGAGAAGTTGTAGATATCAAATCATCTCCAAACCGCCAACATACGTCTGTGTTGGACCTGTATCGTATGCACCGACGATCACACAATCCATGCGCATGCGCTTACAACGGGAACATGGTCGGCCACTACGTTGGTAAGCGTCGCATCGCAGCTATAAGCCATATCAGTATGATGACTACTAATATGGTACGGAAGCACGCTTCAGACAGACCTTCTGCTGTCGACAACGAACGCAAGATTTTATTCTACTAGGCATGGCGTTATGCTCCCGCGAAGGGAAACGAACAGTAGTTAAGATGGTCACGGTGGTTCTGCTAGCTGGATTAGGAAGACTGATGCACTGGGGAGCCAAGAGAAGAAGCGAATTGGGGAAAGATCCAAAGTCCGCCTAAACATTTCAGTTTATCTGGGTTGACGATGCAAACGGTGCAAATGCTTCCCCGCATTTTTGGTTTTGCCTTTACAAACTATCGGATTTCCGGTCCTCCCAATACATCCACTTCGGAATTCCGATATCCAACATCATGTCCACGTCCATTGGAGTCTGGGGAAGCTGCCCAAGCTTAGCCTTCCCCACAGAGCTTCTGGGCTTCTGGGGTTTTAAATGATCTCCTGGGGTAATCCAAGAGCAGGAAATTTTAGTTATCATGTCCTTCAAAGATACCACTATAGTTACCTCCGCTTCCGTACATCTCTGTCTCATTTACAATGGCCACCCACAAGAAATCCGAAATTATGCATCTTGAAAACCAGCCAGTTGAGCGGCAGCCATCCAATCTTCGTGTTCGTTCCGAGGGGACAGGGGGTGTAATTCGGCAAAAGTCGAAACAAGAGAAACTGGTGCTCCTTAAGCAGGATATTGCCATCGCCTTCATTCTCTCGGGTTGCTTCTTCTTTTCCTATCTGGTGAGCAGTTTACTTAATTTCCTGACCTTTCTTAAGCTGAAACATCGTCAGGATCGCAGCTCTCTGGGAAATGCACGGATCATGGGTCTTCAGGCGGACCTGGGCCTCACGGACGCTCAATTTATGAACTGTTTGATGATGTTTTGTATGTTCGTTCCATATACCGAGAATTCCTACCTACCTGTTGGCATGGAATCTAACCGATTTAAAGTTGTTGGGTACATGGTGTTTGAACTGCCTGCTGCGCTAAGCCTGCGCATTTTTCAACCACCCCATGTATATGGGATTGCCATTGCTCTTTTTGGAGTCTTTGCGTGCTGTCTTTCCGTTTCGCGAACGTATGCTGCTGTTATGGTGCTGCGTTTGCTAATTGGTATTGGAGAGGCTGTTGTCCAAACAGGGTTTGTCTATCTATCCCTCTGGTACCTCAAAGACGAATTGGCTACTAGATACGGTATGTACAGTCCTTCTACACATATTAGACTCAAGAAAACAAACCCTGACGACGGGAACAGCGGTGTTTTACTTCTCAGCACCTCTTGCAGGTGGCATCAATGGTATTCTAGCCTACGGTATCGATAAAAATCTAAATAACGTTAGTGGTAAGGCTGCTTGGGAATGGTTATTTCTCATAGAGGGAGTCTGTTCTGTATTTTGGGGTGTCATTGTCTTCTTCATTCTTCCTCGTCTTCCGGAAAGAGTCGCTGAGAAGGGAAGTTTGTTATTTCGTCGCGAAGAGGAGCAGGCCATCATTCTCCAAAGGACAATCGAAGGTATGTTGTCACCACTCTAGTTCGCACAGAAGCTTACCCTTTACGCACAGCACGCAATGACCCGGACGCCAAATTCCAAGCATTTCAAATCTGGTGGGCTCTCAAAGATCCAAAGACCTGGTTGGACGCCGTGGTGGTCGCGGCTCCTTGTCTAGATGTAGCTGCATTTGGAAATTTCCTGCCTACTTTCGTTAATCAATTTGGCTTCTCCAAATGTGGGTGAACGTTTCTGCAATGGGGTTGGTATAAAACATCTAACGACTGAATCTAGTAAATGCACAACTATTCACACTGATTCCGTATTCAGTGGCAATGTTGACTCTACCCCTCTTCTCGCTGGCATCAGACCGAGCGCGAAAGAAGGCAATCCCGACTCTTCTCTGCCTCACCGTCTCGGTTATCGGATTTGTCATTTTGCTATGCGATGTGCAGCGCAGCGTTCTCATAGTCGGATGTTGTCTTGTTGCTGCCGGCAGCTATCCTGCTATTGTCCTCGCTGCCAGCTGGCTGCTGGTCAACCACGCTGGCTATACCAAGAGATCCACCGCGTGGGCAGTAGCGCAAATCTTTATTCAGTGCTACAGCATCATCAGCACCCAAGTCTATATCCATCCGCCGCGGTTTATCATGGGCCACGCCGTTCTTTTGGCCCTCAATGCCCTCGGAGTGGTGGCAGGACTGCTCAAATACTACATAATGAAGCGGGAGAATGCGAGACGTGACCGTCTGGCACAGCAGGTTATAGGAGAGGCGCTGGAGAGCAAAGAAGAGGAAAAGAGTATAGAGCAATTATGCGACTATCACCCTGATTTCCGATACTCCTTTTAAAAAGATTATCTTGGAAGCGTGTGACCTAGATGGTTTTCCATGAATCACTCCATGTTCTTTCAATGAACTAAATGGGCCAGCTATAATAGACATTTCAGCGCTAACAATCTTAATTGCACATCCTTTAAATCAGCCAACTTTGAATTATTCATCACACTCTGTCACGGTGTAGCATACTCGCAGACGACCAATTCAACTACCACGTCAACTGCTCGAAGCAATACCTCGAACTGGTTTAACCACTCTTACGGTTGATATCCTTGTTGACGTGGCACCCCATCACGTACTAGCTATACCGCGCGGTCGTAATAGTCCCAATTTCCAGCGCCAAATGTGAGGGATAGAGGAGCAGCCTGAGGGAATATGATGTGTCGAGGATAGTTCTCATGGCAATTATAGCTTGAGCCTAGTGCATGCACCGAGCCAGCGGTTCTGGAACTGGTGGCGTTCTTGCGAGCAGGGGATCACCGAGGAGAGTAGCTGGAGAGATAGAGTAGGCAGCCCCCAAGTTGGGACAGACCCTCCTGGTATCCGTGCTGTCGATCTCGCTCGCTGCGTGCGCCGATCAGCGCATCGCAAGCACGGATAGGAGATGTGTTGGTGTTAAGGACAGAAATATGGAGAGGACCATCGAGGGCTTAGCAAAATAACTAATGAGTTAGCTTCGTTGGTAGAATTACTGCGCGGCAGGCAGTCTCGGTCACGTGACGGGGATGGGGCTGTAGGGAAGGCGCGAGGAGAGCGCGGCGCCTTGGGAGTGCTGCACTGTACAAGCGGCGATTCTGCCTCGCGATGTTTTCTCCTTGCTCTCCTCGAGAAATCGCCCGAGCTGGAGTGCAGCTGGACCATAGCTGGGACGGGCACGCATCGATTGGCCCTGAGGCTCCTAAAATCTTTCTTTGACATTTTTTGGCGGCACAAACTATGGCCACGCTAGGTACCTTGCCGCCCAGCCGCAGCGGCTAGGGGGTTTTGTACGGTTTGTGCTTTGCTGCTGACGGCCTCATGCGGCCTCCACGGCCACGCAGCCGTGGCGCAGAGCTCTAGGGCCCTTAGTCCACTCGGCTTCCCCGCCGAATCGCCTGTGCTTCTCTGATCTGCTCCATCCTGGTGAGCCCTAAGTGCTCGAACGTCGTGTTTTCCGTGCTCCCCAATAATCTATAGGCAGCCAGCTGCTGATTCCTGTCTTCCGGCTCCCAGTCCGGCTCGCTCAGCAGAATGACCAAGATGGGCGCGCACCACTCACGCTCTCTAATATCCGCGCCGACAAGGAGGCTAAATCGGCTTTCGCTAATGCCCCTTCGATATACCCCTCGAAAATTTGAGCTTCACGATGTGGCCCCTTTAGCTATGCAATCTGAACATCGAGATTGGCTCTCCTGTTTAGCCTGGCGCAGTCCTCCTCGACGACTGCCTTCGTTTGCATATGTCACCAACATCGTCCAGCAGGACCCGTCTTATTCGTCTGACCCCATTATGGCACGTACCTAGCAAATAGAACATACCGATTCTAGATGTGACGCTGGCAGATAGTCGACGAATCTTCGTTAAGGCAGACTTGGAAAATCCACTTCTAGTTTACCTAGTTCCTAAGCTTGAACGACGAACGCCAATTGCATTCATGCTTTTCTTTCAAGTCATCAAAGTTGGCGCACTTCTAGGCGATCCGCTTTTGCCCGGAGTGCTGTTATTTGTCACCGACAAAGAGGCTATGGAGAAGTTGTGACTACCCCAAAAAGTCCAGAGCATATCTTGCTGTACCATTGGCAGCTTGAGCCCGTTAGTGGTGCATCTCAATTAACCTTATAGGATACAACTCGACCTCTAGGAATGCTCCTATCACCAACACTGCTCTCGTATTGAGTGATGAGCTGCCGAATCAGCAGGCTGCTACTGAAGAATACCGGCCCCTTATACGGCGCCGTTTTACGAAAGAAATACCTCGGATTATGACGGCACAGGTCTACATCACCTTTATTGACGGGGTTCTTTCTCTAAGCTCCAGTCCAAGTCCCTATCGCCGTCGTTTATGCCTTGATGCCGTGGACGCCACAACCCTGCTCATGTGCTCTCCTTGTCACTGACACACCACCTGCCTGCTTGGGTAACCATATATCCTGTGATGACGGTGATAGGTATTGCATGTAGCCGCCGATTAGCGCGTAGAAGTTTCCTGTTGGTTCAGCAGATCTTGCTCTAGTTGCCTTGCAGATCATTTTGACATCTACCTAACGCCGCCAACAATATCTACTGCTTAAACCCTTGCTCCTGTGAAAATGCGGCCCTGAGGTCATTTCCCCCTTTGAGTCACATTTCCCCATCTCCTTATGGTGTGCCTAAAGGGACCTACAAACTAAAGACATATAAAGAGGCTGGAAAATCACTCCTGGAATCGATCTTCTATCATTACACTCAAGCACAAATCTCCATTACTTCTACAAAGCCTTCACAACAGCCAACCAACAAAAACTTTATCTATATAAACCGTTCAAAATCTTATCCGACCCTATCAGTCAAAATGTGTTCCATTTGGTACGTCGAGTTCGACTGTGGGTGCCAAATCATGGAGATCGATCTTGTCACCTGTCCCAAAGCCGGTCAGCCGGGACACTATGTCGAGAAAAAAGTATCGCGGAGGGATGGCTTCATGTGTCCTAACCACGGTGGTTAGATACATTAAGGCAAGTAACGCCCGGGTGAAAAATACCGAAGAAACTTTAAATAGCTAACGTTGAACTTATAGAACACAAAGATTCGTTGTCTACGCCTGCATGTTTAAAATCGGAACTCGACTCATCTTTCGGCATCAGCACTCTAAGCACTCTTCATTGTTTGATTCAACCCGTGTTTCGAATATTTCGGCCTTTCACCATTTGAACAGTCACTTACGTCTTCAAAGTGTCTCCGTATATTTGTCTGATTTCTGTGTCTTCTTTCTCGACTTCACTTCGTTCTGAATACCAGCACTTTGTCAAGCTTTTCTGGTCACTTTAAGATGTGGGAGTAACCACTTCTGTATTTATTTTGTCTTCATTTTCGTCTTTGACTGCAACTTTTGGTCATATACACTCTTTCAATTCATCATGTTACAATATCATTGTACCATTGATATTTTGCTGCTTTTTATAATACAACATGTGACGTCAATATTATCCAGAAACTATCTTTTCTACACTACATATGTAGCTCCACGTGTAAATGTACAGTATTTGTAATTCATATATGGATTTGGAATTTGAGAGCATGGCAGAAAACAGGCATCACAGACTAGAGTGTCTAAAGACCATTTTTCAACGTCACCATGCATCAATTCCATTGAAAGCAACCTCATTCGCAACTCCTGCCTAAAAAATGTATATTGTTCTCAGCCACCGCAGCTTCCATGCAACGAATCAGCGATCCTTCTAGAATCAGCTGTTGGTCGTCTGATATGAACAACTGTATTTCATCCCCCGGCGGACTCCGCAATGGACGGCCACGGACAGTTCTGGACGAGCCCTGTTGGCAGAAACGTCCACCTCCTTTTCCTGTCGGCACTTAGGCACAAAGAAAAAATAGCAATGGGCGGGAGTGCGGGCGGCGCTGACCCTACTTCTCGATAGCTGAAGTTTCGGATGACGATACCAGGCCCTGATTGCACGCCGCGTGACTCTGCTTTGCTCCAAACAGTCAAGTGCCCGAGAAGCCCTTGATGGCGTGTAGAATCGTCTCTTCGGCTATCAGAGCCTGTAAACAGCCGCGTAGGACCCAGGGTATCGCACACCATTGCGTGTAAGTTTGTGATAGACATGCAGTGGTGTGCAGACCCTAGTGGAAATATGACCTATAATCACCAGGTGGCAATCGACCAAGCCCTGCTATTTCCCATCCAGAAGCAGTCCATACAGCTCAGCCCCGCCCTCCCGGCCTAGAGTGAGGCCTATCAAGCGCTTGTGATCGTGTATTGCAGGTCTTGCAATTCCCATAGTCGTTCTGATTGGATCGAAGCCTGTCTGTCGGGCTGGTGGTTGTGATTCCAGTGATTTGAGATAGAGAAGCACACCGACCAACCAGACTCGCGTATGCCACTAGTCCTACAACTCTTTTTCAATCGAAATGCCTCTGATCTCGAATATTTCATACAATTGGCGAGTCCAAATAGCACTGGTGAGGCTGAAATATACCGCGATGACTCTGGAATCCAACAAACGGTTTGGGGCTACTGAGCGGCGCTGTCTTTCTCCCCAGGACACCGGGTATCATAGGGTATCAATCCAGCGCTATCAGTCCCTAATTCCAACGAGTCTGCAACGGCGTGGCTTGCACTCGCGTCAATCGCTACGCATGCTGAGATGGTCATCTGAGCGTCTTTTTCAGACTTCGGTTGAGGAGTGCCCCTAACTTTAGCAAGTCTGCAGCAAGGCGCAGGGCGACCTTCGAGTGTGAATGGATAGACTCAGAGGATATGTCGACTAATAATAATCCAGGATTCTTCGTCTCCTTTTGGTGAGTCATCTTGTCCTCCTGAAGGTATGTGCCGCAAGAAACGCCGTGAAGCTAAGAAACCCTCCCTGGCCAGGTAAAAAGCGGGCCATTCTTAGCTGTAAGGCAGTGTTATTATTTTAAACCGATTTATAGGTCTATTAGCATGCCGCTTTCTGCCTTGATTCTATTATTTCTGGCTGATCTCATATGCGAAACAATAAGCACTCCGAAAGCACTATTCGGAATCCGAAATGACGGCTAGAACTTGAGGAAGTGTTGCAAATGGCGTTCGACATCTTTCTTCTCCTATGTCTCTTCGTTAATATGCAGTTTGACAATGATTACGTAGAGTTGTTGTGTCATGGGGTGGTTTGTACTGGGAAAACAACGACGCTGAATGAGGCTAGTCGTAAATGGCCGGCCGACTGGTGAGGCAGCAAGGCAACAACCAGAGCTGGGTAGAGGTCACGTGGCATCCTTGCTTGGCACTGTTCCCAGACTGGGTGCCAGGTAATGACGTATCTGTTTCCCAGGCTGCACAAAAACAGCTCAACCGACCACATCTCACTTTGTCTTGCACCTACACCCTTGATCCAGACCAAACTCGTTTCCGTTACCGATACTCAAACTCTCGTTCAGAGCTTAAAAAGAGATTAATGTAAGATATGTATTTTGCTTTCAATCCACATATCTCGAAAATTCCTGCCCGACAGATTATTGACGCCTGCTCTAGATTCCTCGAGATCTTGGCCTAGCTCAAAGCCAATCGACAAAATGACGCTCTACTACAGCCTCGTGGGTATTCATCTTGGTTTCTATTTGTATATTATTAACGATTCCCCTCGCAGGTTTTCCTTCTCCTCGTCTTCGAAATGGCGGTCTTTCTCGGCCTCATTATCCCTCTTCCTTATACGGTGAAGAGAAAGCTCTTCGCTTTCATTTCAGAAAGCCCGATAATAGCGAAACTACAATACGGACTAAAGGTCAGCTTGCCTTCTATGAATGTCTCGATCGAATGGCTGTTAATCACAAGTAGATCACGTTCATATTCATTCTCATCCTCTTTATTGACAGCGTCAATCGCGTCTACCGAGTTCAGCTTGAAACAGCGGCCTTTTCCAAGGATACTACTTCTGTTGGGTCAGCTTCCATCTAACAATCCCTGTCGGATCTTGATTTATCATTCGAGCACTAACAGTGAATAGCAGAGCTGCCGCCCTTGGTGCTGAACGTATGGAAGTCCAGGCCCGCAAATTCTACTCTCAGCGAAACATGTACCTCTGTGGCTTCACCCTGTTCCTATCCCTCATCCTCAACCGCACCTACATTATGATCTTGGAAGTTCTCCGTCTCGAGGATCGCGTTAAGCTACTTGAAGGTGACAAGAAGGCCGGCGGCAAGGACTCCGCCCGTATCGCCGAAGCTGGAGGCGTTGGTGAGATCGGTCGCTTGAAGAAGGAGCTCGAAGCCAAGGACCGAGATATCGAAACCTTGAAGAAGCAGACCGAGGGACTCCAGCGCGAATATCACAACCTCGGTGACAAAGTTTCTCAGTCGGACAGTGCCCCCAAGAAAGATCGATGAATTGCCCAGATTCTGAATGCTGTGTTTGTCACCGTGAGCGGTCTTTTGGCGCTCACTAAGAACAGATATTGCATCAAGAGATCAAGCTGGTTGATTACTAACGCTGTAGCCTTGGTTTTAGTAGTATAAAGCTTAATTGTCTTCTCGGCGATTTCTCAAAATGATAAGCTATGCATTCATTATCCTCATTTCGGCATTGTACACAAGTCAAGGTTAGGTTCATCCCTATTCGTCAGAGGAATGAGGTGATAGAGTCAGGAGTGTGGGAGTGGTCTGTGGATTAACTTCATGTTATCTTGCATGTTTTCTATCACTATATTTACAACTAAGTGTGAATAACGAAAGAGCCTTTTTCCATGTTTATTCTTTTATCACATAATTTCGTAATATCTTTGGGGAGTGTTATATTATCATAGAAATACAGAGCCTGGCCGAAAGTCGCTCGCTTTGCTTATTATAAAAGGAAGGTCCAAAAGCTGGGAAAGACAAACTCGTCCTCAAAAATGCGGCGAACTTGATCAAGCACAAATCGCTCTACTTTGCCCACGTTTTTCAAGACTTGTTTCCCGCTCTCGTTACGGCCAATTTCACTCTCCACGTGTATCTGTTGGAGTAAGCTGCCAAAACGTCTCCTGGCGGGGATTTGATTCTCGGCGTCGTCACTCGCAGTGGCATTTGGACGGCCTGTTTGATCTTCTTCGCCGCAGAAAGCATCTGCATCTTCCGGAGATAGAAAACATAAATGAGCTCGCTTTCGAATATAGGCTACAACAGCGACGCCATCAAAAGTGACCCCTGCGATATTCAGCTTAAGTGGAAGGCCGACGAAGCTCGGCATGGGATAGTCGAGCAATATTTCTGCTGTAAGGGAGAGCTTCACGTCTCCAGCATATTTGACACGGCAAATCACTTGGAAATCTTCAGGACGTCGTTCGCGTAGGTGCCGTGGTGTTTCATGTCGATCTGCTATTATCGATGACGCGTCATCTTGAATATGTGTGTGAGCCACTGAAGATGTGTGGTCGTTGTAAATAACGGTAGGATCGTTGCTTGTATTATTTGATGAACTGCCCGCTGCGCTTCTTCCTTGCGATAGAAGTGTTGGATTGGTGTTTGCTGTTGACGGCCGCGATGGCGAGCCATTATCAACCTCAATCTCAGACCCCCGGCGTACACTACCCCCAGCATTTGCCATTGAAGAGCCTCCAATCCCCCGAGTTTCATGCACTACATCTGGCCAGCCAGAAGAAAACGTCGAACCACTTGCGACAGCAGCGAGGGGAGTTTGGGATCCCGACAAGCTCCCAAGCATCAAGTGGTACCCCAAATTAGACGTACCTCCTGGCAGAATACTGGGCGAGCCCGACCTAAACTGCGAGTTCAAATGATCGCCCAGGCCGATCGGGGAGCGGAGGGAGGGCTGATGTCGAAAATCCAGGGTTGGCGGTCGCATCCTAGAGTCCGCAAATAGCCCATTGTTATTGCTATAATCATCATACATATCCGTGCTCGCGCGACTCGTGGTCCGCTGATCCGTCGTCGGTTCGTTGGAGGGATTCGACGGTTCCGACACACTATATCCACTATATCCATCTGCACTGTCGTCATCTTCTTCGTAGAAATCGGGGAATGGATCGCATAGGTCCTTGATTTCGAGCTCGGGAGGAATTTTGCCGAATTCGAAGGAGTGGACTTGCACTGAACGTATGAAGCGGGGCAGAGGAACTTGCTGGAACTTGTCGTGGATGAATGACCGGATTCGCTCTGCAAGTTCCTCGCCGTCGGGCCCCGAGGTCGCTGCCTCCCAGTCGAGGTCTATGGACATTACATATGCGGGTGTATCTGTAATATTGTTGGTGACTCTGGGCTGTGCTGGTAAGGCTGGGTTGGTGAGAATAAAGTTAAGGGAACATTGAAGCTTTGAACGAGTTCGGGTTAACACTAGGCCCACTCTTAATATACACGAGTCACGTCACATGTAGATTGCATGGATTTTGACTCAAATATTATTTTTCACATATGAAAAGAATAATGATAATGAATCATTCTTAGACACTACTGCTCTCGATTGCAATGGTATTTTTTCTAAGACATGTTTGGACAAAGGGATTCTTCAAGCAGAATATTCGCAAATGGCTGTCCGTTCTCCCAACTTTCTAGCAGCGCTGACATAGTCTCATGCGCATCAGCTTCTGTGGAAGGCACACCCATACCCCAAGATTCTTCCATTGATTCAAGGTGAAATATGGGAGTATGCTGGGGGTCATGCGAAATTTCCAATGTGGCTCCTCGCTCAGCATGTACTGCTGAGGATGAACTTCTACCACTAACTAGATCTCGAGAAACTGTAGCAAAACTATTGCAGATTTTATACAGGCGATCGCATGCTGGTGACATATTTCGGGTATGTTTTAGAGTTGCCAAAATGTTATCGAGTAAGTGGACATCTTCCAGATTTGTCTTCGCAATCGCGTGCAGGAAAACTACTATGAAAGGGGTAAAGGAAGAGTACAAAAGAACACTGAATTTGTGAGTACTGAAAACGGCCAACTTAGACCCTAAATAGAAAGGCAGACGAACCAGTTTGCATAGTCGGCTGTTGAATACCCAGACGCCTGGTAATCCGGAAGGCCAGATGGCAGGATCTGAAGAGGGAGCAGGATGTAGTACATCAATGTCGAAGTCTTGTAGATATGAGGCACGGCCTAGAAGAAGTGACATAGTTTTCTCAATATGGTAAATGGTCCAGAATAATCGGCGCATTCTCTGCAGGTTCGGGGATTGGATGTTTCGGTAAGTTACCTCACATATAAAGAAGCATTACTAACACCCATAGTAAGTGCTAAGATATTTTCGAAGCTTGCCACAGCAAGCACATCACAGCTTTGAATCTCGGAATCAAAAACATCCTTGCATCTTTTAAGATGCGTTGTAAGATCGTACTCTCCGCATAGAGCGTCTTTTCTAGAGATAAATTCCCTTATTAGGAAATAAAGAACGCCATGCATGGCTGCGGAATTTCTCCTCGCCAAGGACCGAGTCGGGAAATAGGTTTCCTGGCAGAGACGTTCAACCAAGCATAAATCGTTGAGTGGAGATGACCACAAAAACATGGTTTTTTGGACTAATAAACTTAGCCGCCTCCAATTTTCTGGACAGGGAATTGCTCTTTAAAGAAAATCGTCAAGTACAGTCGGGTCAAGTTATACATACCATGGATTCTATGTAAGATAGCAAGCACTAATCCAGCTGGCAAAGGCAAGGAAGTGCTTTGAAGATTACATGTCGTATTCCCGGATATTACTTGGTCTTTATGACTGACAGTATCTCCACACCGTAGAAACCTGTCTAGATCTTTCAATGTCGTACTTATACTAAGTCCAGTTTCTGCTCTATTGGCGTTGGTAACGGTTTCAGCAACTTCTTTGGCTTGGATAGATTGGCTGGTAAACGAGGAGCTACCCTCGTATAGGTCTCTCAGCTGGTCTGTTGAGCGTTCAGCTTCACGCTCAATCTGAATTGGGGTTTCACTAGACGTAAGAGGAGCCGCCGGGGATATCGATGAATTTTGATTGGCAAGCTGATCCTCAACAATCTCAAGGCGATTTTTAAGATTTTCAATCTGCTCTTCCTTATGATATAGTAAATTTTTATCAAGAGACAGTTCAGGGGACACCTACATACAAGTAAGAAACCTTTTCAGCCTTCGGTCGACTATGCGACTTTGGGTGAACGGATCGACAGGCGATGCTTGCCGTTCTACAACTTGAACATGGGATGGATATGTCGCAGCGAGTCTAATGTTGAGTTAAACATTGGTAGGAAACTTTGTAAGTAAGCCGCCTACCTTGCGTATCTTATATCCTTCACACTGATGGCCAAAAGAAACGTTAGTTACGAACCATAATGTCTCCTTGGGCAACGCATACAGCTCGAGGGATCGACGACAGATGTTGTCGCCGAGTTTCAATCGTCTCCTGCTGATGAGACCCAACCGTCATGACAAATTGGTCAAATTTATCTAGAACGAAATATATGCCTGAACAGAAAAGAAGAAGACACCACAGTATGCAAGGCATTCCGCGGGGGCCCACGGAAGCCGTGAACCTGGATTCCCGACCAATATGAGAGCGTACATATATATGCTGAACAGTATAGCCCTAACAGATTTAAAACTCTTCGATCCCATTATTTCAATAAGTGTATACATACTAGAGTTTTGCTTTTTTTTTTTTATTTCTTTCCTTACATACCTAAACACGCTAGATTATTTTCCGTGCAGTCTCTTGAAACGAACTTGGCAAAATATATTATTGGCCAAAGATGGTGCGTGCCTCAGGACATCAGGGGAACTCGGTGCTTTCCGACAGTGAAAATCTACCCAGCACAAATTCAGGTACTGTGGCTAAGCAGGAAAAGACTAGCGGGGAAAATACAGTAGACGATGATTCGACCCATGACGAGCAACTCTCTTTATGGAAGTTAATCTTAGTAATCGTCGCTTTGTGCTCTGCGGTTTTTTGCGTATCTCTAGTGAGTGTCCCATTTGTGACCATTTCTGCTTTCATATAAATGCCAACTGGTGAATTCCTCAATCTTAAACAGGATGGAACCAAACTTGCTCCCGCAATTCCTGTCATAACCACCGACTTTGAATCCCTCGATGAAGTTGCCTGGTACGGCAGCTTCTACCTTTTTTGCACATGTAGTGTGCAATTGATGTTTGGAAAGCTCTATTCATTCCATTTAACCAAATGGATATTTTTCAGTAGTGTCCTCATTTTTGAACTGGGTTCTCTGATGTGTGGTGTCGCTCCCACCTCAACTGCCTTTATTATCGGGCGAAGTATCTCCGGGTTAGGAGCAGGTGGTATTTCTTAGGGGCAATTATGATCATTGCTGGAGCTGTGCCACTTCGTATTCGGTCAATTTATACCAGTCTTATATCTAGCATGCACAGCGTCGCAAGTGTAGCTGGTCCTATGTAAGTCTGGATCCTTTTCACATTATCAGGAACCGTAACATATGGGCTGCTGTTTGGTACGGAGTCTTTACTGGAGCTTCACTGTTATTTTTCACGTACTACGTATGCCAAGCTCCCTCCACCTGACTTCCTCTTCATGAAGAATAGCTGCTCATCGTTGAAAAATTTTCATCCCCCACAGCTTCCAATATGGTTTCAAGCCATATAAGGCGTTTCCGCTACTCAATCCGGTATTGATAATCTCCCCAGCCTCGTGGGACTGGTCATATTTTCTATAATTGGGGGTATCATCGCTTCTGCAATTGGGTATTACACGCCTCTATTACTAATATCCTCTATCATCACCTCAGTGGGGGCAGGAATGCTAACTACCTTGAAAGTCAATTCAATCATTGGTTATTGGTTTGGCTACCAAGTTTTGCTAAGTGCAGGAGCCGGATTTGGTGTTCAAAATGTAATGCTTGTGCCGCAGGTGGCCGTTCCTGCAAAGGATATGTCTATGGCAGTATCGATCCTTACTTTTACCCAAACCCTATCAAGTGCAATCTTTCTTCCAGTTGGGCAAAGCGTTTTTCAGAATCGATTGGTATCAAATCTGGAATCAATTGCCCCAGATGTCAACGGTTCATTAGTGCTGCAAACCGGTGCCACGTCGATTCGGGACCATTTCTCATCAAATCAGCTTCTCCAGGAAGGCATATAACCAAGCGATGATTCAAACTTTCTATGTAGCAACAGCATCCAGCGCGATATCCATTCTTGACCCAATAGTGACGGAATGGCTGTCGCTTAAATCCCAGGCAAAACCAGATGATCACAAGAAGGTATGCAACCTACATTACTGGAATGACAAGATATACGTAGGGTATATTAATAGACTGACATTTCGTAGGATAATCCGGATGTAAATCCGTAAATATATGAAGCGCCTTCAATCGAGTTGTCAACCTTTTATAGACTCTAGAGTCATTATTTATTTTGTGTATATTTTTTTAAATCAATAGATATATAATATGGATTCATTATTATTAATGAAAGATTGGTTCAATCTTTAAAATTATACATAAGAGTAGATAGCACGTGCTGTTAGGGGTAGCCTGCTCCCGATAGACGTCGCCCCCAAAGACCCCCAAAACCGCCCGGAAATATGGGCGGCTCGGGGAGCGGGTGTTATCGAATATTAATTTGTTTACAATTTCCGTGCGTTGATGGTAGGTGGCGAGGGGATCGTTAGGAACCAGAGTCCCTAATCCCTATAGCCTCATCACCAAGAACGTAGATCAGGTCGTATCTAACGCCTGGTGTCTATTATTGGATATAAGTCGTTAACCAGTTCCAGTATCCTGTCAGTCAATTTCATTTTGTTTTACGTGAACATAAGACTCATCGCAATCAACACAGGCCACAATCTATAACAGATCTAATTAGCAACAAGCCATATATCTGCTAAACGGCACTGAAACAGAACATGAACCGCCTCGTCTAGAGATGGCCCCCGCAGCCTCGGCTAAGACATGATCCATTATCCTCACAGCCCCCACCGTGCAAGCATCACGAGGCCCCAATAATATATTCTGATCATAACCCCGGGGGTCCATCAGGAGGCCCATGGGCCACGGTAGTCAGCCAGCTAATTACAAGATAGGATTATGGGCAGGTGCTAAGCTTTCCAAGTCCGTTCTTCTAGAATGAATTTCCGGGCCGGCGTCCCCGGGTCTCACAGGGGGAGAATAACTAGCGGCCCCCAAGATCGACTAACAATTGCTTGTTCTAAGAACTAGAGTTGTTTATAGTCCAATAAAAATACAAAGTTGGTCGGCTACTTGAAGGCTAATAAGCAGCCAATGTAACCCACCGGAAGTCATTCAAAACCCGATAAGGTGCAGTCATTATTGTACACGGAGATCTGTGAAAGCTTTCCCGTAGAATACCGGTGTCGATATGCCCGTAGATAATGCAATATTGTCGCGACTCGTTATTTGATGGGTTTCTGTAGGATTATAGTTAGTAGCTACCCTATATGCTAGGTTGACTCCATAACAGTCAAATAGAGCCTAGGTTTCAGAATACGAGAATCAACAGTGGAGCCCAGATTCACAGATCTTTGGAGCAATGACGCGGAATTATATGGTCTACTGGATCTTGGTACATCGAATTACCTGTGGGCTTACTGTCGTTCTTTGCATGATACTGAACTCTAAATAATACATGTAGAAGCAAGGCTGGTTTGTATAGACATATACGTAATCAACATTGAATTGATAATGTCGGGTTGACTGCAGGCTCCACTTAAGTCAATGACATTGCAGATCCTCCTAAAGCTTAATCGAGATACTAGATGGAACAACAAGGTAGTAAAGTAAGCCCCAAACTGTGGGTTACTCCGGCCATTCAATCTCCGAAAAGACCGGTTCTCCAATCCAATAAACGACATGTCTACGATCATTTGCATAAACTATCAGAATATATAAACTTCAACCTAAAGCTCACTTTGTCTGGAGCTATCCTCTCAATCATTGACTCTCTCAACCAGTTACAAAAACAAAAGGAATCAACTCTAAACTTCCCAAACTACAAAATGTCTCTACGCACAGCAATTCTAGCTGCATCATGCTTGAGCAGTATCGCGTTTGGTCAAACTGTTGATGGCTCTTCTTACAACAAGCCATCTGGTGGTCCTCCAGCGAGTTTCTTTGCTGCCGCTTCTACCATTAATGTGGGAGCTGTCAAGACTGCCGTTGCCCATGCAACAGGCGTACCCAAGAAGGCAGTGTATGATGTGAATGGAGCGTCTACCAAGGTTACTATTCATGATGATTACATGACCAAGCCCACGGTAAGATTCGAGTTTGTTCTTGAATTTATAAAAATTGCAAGCAGGTGCTGAGTGATAAATTTGTACAGGGCGCAGCCATTGTTTATGTCTCAAACATGAATGTGGACTGTGACGGGATTGACTACAAATGCAAGGTATGGCGGCTTTCCAAATAAAGGTAGCAATGTACATGAATATAAATTGATTGAATCAGGGCAATCCCGATGGCCAGTCTGATACAGACAACGGCGAGCTTGCTGCCTATGAAGTTCCTTGGGTCGTGATCCCCGAGAATTTCCAGAAGGCTTATCCAGACATACTTCCCGGAAACAACGTCGCTGCCGTTATCTGGTAAGCTGCTTGATACATGCGTATCTTTTGGAAGAACTTAAAAAGAACCATACTAATGGCAACAGCAACGACAAGATGTTCTACGGTATCTACGGCGACTCCGATGGCGACACCCCTGAAGACATTGGCGAAGCATCATGGCTTATGGCACGTACCTGCTTCCCAGACGAGGACCTCAATGGAAACAGCGGACATGATGCTCTCGACGTTACCTGTGAGTTCTACAATACCACTTTATATTTGATTCGAAATACTAAGTGACAACGCAGACATCGTTTTTGTCGGCAAGGACTCTATTCTTCCGGACAGCGCTGTGAATTCCAAATACATCACCGACTTTACCAAACTGCGCTCCATGGGTAATAAGCTGATGACCGCGTTTGAGTCTAATATCGACAACAAGACTTCCAAGTCAAACGTTTTCGACCCCAAAAAGCGAGGAACCTTGCCTGTGCCTTTCCAAGGCTAAGAGATCTTTTTAGCAAAAGAAAGGTTTGTATTGGTATCGACTGGTACAGCTTTGCCCTAAATTACAGAAAGCTTCATGTAAATCGCGTCTTTACTGTGGTCGAATATTGATTGTACTTATAAATTAATTTGAGACAGCTGCATTTATGCATTTATTCATAGTATGTTAGAATGGTAGATAAAGCACAGTCTGGAGATAATGTACATCTATCATCACATAAGTTGATCAGAATATAATCATCAGCAGAAAATTATTTTCGGGTTCTCACAGATAAGTCAGTAACTCCTGCCTGGAGTTATCCGACTGACGTATTTAGCCCTAACCCTAGTAACCCTCACGGATCAAGCTTCACTTAACATTGAACGTTGTCTTCGCGATTCCTATTGTCGACACGACTTTGCGAATTGGAGACAATAAGAACGAGTATATGACTTTTTATATCATGGCATTAGAATATAAACTTTCTTTACTGTCAATAATCCCCATTTCTGCATCAACTAAATAAAGATAGTGAGTAGCAAATACTAGAACAGCGTCTACAGACTATACAGCGTCGCAACCTGAGCCAACTGCACACCTAGTATGATGAGCATCAATAGCAAAATGCAAGAACCAAAGATCCAAGCCCCCCAAAATGTACACCATGACCGATAATCCCTACGATCACTCCATAGCTCACGGATCGTACTTGGCTGACGAGAATCAAGATACATTTTAAGCCGACGAAGACGAGGCGCAAAATAAGCAAACCGTATATATGCTTCTGTATCCTCCAAATTATTCTCCATTAAAGAAGTTATCATAAACACAAGATCTTCAGGGCAATTTGGCACCAATTCGGATATTTGTCGCATTGAGGTTGTTGTTTCCCTGTGCTGATTCCATGCACCAGCGATTCCCCTGACTGCGGAAGATGGCTTTGCAATGTTAAATGCAACTTGTATGTTTGGTGGAAGCGTACAACGGTAAAAGCTTTCCGAGAGGATATTTTTGGTTGGATGTTGCACAGGGTTGATGTCCAGTATTTTTGGTATGCCATCAGTCTTTTCTTTGGCCCAAGGGCTCATATGACGATGGATAGGACGACTGTTAAACGTCACGCATTTGTGCCAAGCTATTTCCTGATCCTTCCCAGCAGTAATGTATCGTTTCAGATGCTTGAGGTTGCTACGTGATGTTGGACGAAACAAGAGGGCGTAAGTCAGAGAGAGTTCGTAAAATGTAGGTTCGACATAGTCGCGCTCCTCCCTGATAACATTGAATTAGCGGATACCAGTTTTACTATATGTTCATTTTCAAGATTGGATACTTACCCATGCAAATCCAGGTTATTATAGAAAAACGTAGGATGAGCAAAAATCCGGATAGCATTCCGGCCGGCATAGATTTTAAGATGCTCATCCAGACAGTCCGTCCACTCTATATTGAGACCTCCGAAGTCCTGTAAATATTTAATACTGAAAACCTCCGGTTGAAATGTTGGCTCTATATTCTCCTCTAAGGGCAACTCGGGAAATATGTCGATTCCGACTGTCGCCTCTGAATGGGCCTTGACATGCTCAAAGATCGTATGTATTGGTTCAGATTTGTACCGGAAGTAGAAGAGTAAACATAGACCTTCTCTGATTTCTCGGAACTTTCTTGTAAAATCGAGGGCCGTCAGACAATCATAGAGTAGCTCAAAATGTTTGTCGTAAGTGTCGACATCGTCGGCAGCTGGTTGGTTTAGCATTCGACGTGCATAACATTGATGAAGAAGCTCTTCCATTGTCATTTTGTTGACACCCCCGCTAATATCGATTGATCGCAGAGAGCGCGCTACATGCGCCAGAACATTTATGACTGTGCCAGCACTGAATGGTCTCTCTTGGACAGGTTCGCCTTCTCCACAGGCACCGACAAAGTATATCTGCCTACATGCGATTCGGACAAGAATTGTGAGCAAACGAGGAAGGCGAGAAATCTCGAAAAGCGAACGAGACTTTTCTGGGGAAATTCTGAAATAAGCCATTCGATAAGCTTCGATCCCGAAGATCGACTCGATGAGAAGATCACGATTTTCCGTGAGAATGGAGTTGTCAAACATGACATCTTTGCTCCTACCCCATCCGATGAGCTCGTATATCTCTTGAAAGCGACTAAAAGCCGACGTATACGCCTGCAGGGCAGCATTCTTTTCTGACTGTGTTGATTCATCGAGGTCTTTCCAGAAATCTGTCAAATGCACACAATCAACTTTCCTGACGGGTTCGATCGCGTGAAAGAAAGGCTCAAACCTTCATATTTCTGAGCGTTGCCTTTTCGCTTAGTCTCGATTTCTTCTACAGGCATGAGCTCTATTTCTTTCCAGTCTGGGACCCTCTCCGGGGGACCATTTTCACATTGTTCGTTTATTGCTTTAACCACCTCATCCCTCTCCTTCGCGTCTTTTCGAGATTTGACGGGAGAAGAGTTTTGACGATCCAGTATGATGGTGTTTAAGAGGCCTTGGACCGACGCTGTCAGCTCACGCACAGATTGGACTGTGTCTTGGTCGCATATTTTGGAGGCCTCGTCGGACATGGTGTTGACTGGGCCGTCGGTTGCGTATGCCTAGATAGGATATGACGCTTTATTTTCTATTGACAATACTAGAATGTTCGTTTTTTTCACTCGCTTTTGGGCTGATTTTCCCGCGGGGCGTAATTCTAGGCTGCAGCTTAAAGCCATGAAATCCTTCCCTGTATTAATGTTGGTTACTAACGCGCGCGGGGGTCTTCCTTCCCCTATTCCATTTGGAGTCTTGGGCTCTGTTTCACATCGTAAATTCTGCTCAGTTTAAAAAAAACTCAGAGCTACGCAGCGCGTCTTTCCATTTCCCCATGATTTAGTAACATGCCTTATTAAATTTCTTAATCGACCTAGAAATGACTGCTTGTACCGGTAGTAAGTGATGAATGAAGTCGTTCAGACAGATCTAATTTTGACTATATATCGCATCTTGATAAGCTATATATGGTGTTTAACCTTGAGTTTCTGTATCATAAGCATTGCTCTTATGCTTAGGCTCAAACTTGAAATTTTGATGAGCTGGTCCAAGAAACATGTCCCTATGTACTGTTAGTTTGTCATCTCCAACACGTTTCAAAGCATATGACTTACGTGACCTTGATCCAATCCTTGTAATTGTCACTTGCAAGTAGCGTCTCGAGCTCATTTCTGCCCCTCCATGCTGGAGGCCTATCCTGAATATTAGGTGGCAGATATTCGAGTATACCAACTGGAATATAACGGCAAGCAAAGCTAAGCCATTCCAGTAGAAAGCGGCGTGTGGTGCCCAGGCCATGTTCATCAGAGCCCCATGTGTCCATCCCATACCGCGCGAATTTTTCAACTAATGCCAGTCGCTCCGTCGCGGATTTGTCGAGATATTGGCCGGCCTGGATCTCTTCAAAGATCCACGGTTTGATTAATGCGCCGCGAGCAACCATGACCGTATCGACATTTGCATTCTGAACGTGGTCGTTGTAGTCTTCGTACGAGAAGCAGTCCCCGTTTCCTAGAAAGTAGACTTTGCCCCCATTGGCTTGTAGTCTCTCTTCGGGCTCCCGAATAGTATCTGAGAGATCGTCAGATTGCTTACGAAGTCTCTTGACAAGGGCGGCGCATTCGGAAATATACCCCCAGTCGGCACTTCTGGTATAGCGTTGTTGTCTGCTACGGCCATGGAGGGTAAGAGCAGCAATTCCTGGTGGACCTATGCCCATTATTTGTGAGTCAACGCCGCCGAGAGTCAGCCGTTCTGCGAGTTTGAGTGCAGTCGGTTGATGGTCTCTAGTGCCCATGCGAATTTTAACTGTGATAGGAATCTCTCCAGATACAGCGTTCATACCACGTAGGATCTTCTCTAGCTTACCGGGCGAGTCAAGAAGAGCAGATCCGGCTCCTTCGCGGTATACCAGGTCAATTGGACAGCCACAGTTGAGATCGATAACCCGAAGACTTGGAGTGAGTGCGGTCAAAATTTCTGTGGTTTTCACGGCTATATGTGGTTTATTCGCCGCAATTTGTGCCCCGAATTTGAAGTCTCGGGAATGGTCGTAGTTCTGGACCACATTTGCTTTGGAAGAGATTGTTGGTGGTAGCATTTCCGTTTCATGGGCTTTCATAAGCGCCCATTCGCTCTTTTGTCCTTGCATCAGTGGTAGGCCCATAGCCATTTCCGAGTACGTAAACTGTGCACCTAGGTCCGTACAAAGTCTGCGGAAAGGCAGGTTCCCTTGGGTAGTCAATGGAGCGAGGGCGGGAGTCTCTGGCCCAAAGTATAGTCTTCTCTTTTCTGAGGGGAGAAAAGGAGGTTCGGTGTAGCGAGCCCGGTTTTCCTCTTTTACTTCTTCGGCTTCGTTTTTATCTTGTCCTTCCTCGCTAGTAGCAGTGTCCTTATCTTCGCGGTTGTGTCCACCATGAACGTATTTATTCAATTCCTTTCCAGTTTGATCCAACCAGGCTATAAATGCGTCTGATTTGGGTGTTAAACATTTTCTCCTTCTCAACGAATCCTTAGCGTCTCCAGACACGATGTTGACAATTCCATCGTCATTTGCAACCGCAACAGATGGCCGGGATCTTTGCTGTTTGCGCTGTTCATCTTCGACCAGCACCAGCTCGCGCCTACCATCCGGTACGTCTCTTTCGGTCATATGGGACGAAACAAAGCGACACTTCCACCCAGATGGGCATTGCCCACGAGCCTGCCATATAGGACAAACGTCACCAAAGGTATGCAGATCTTCTCGTTTATGTTCCTTCAAGTACTTCCGCAGATCGTGTTCAAATCGGCATTTGTCACCGAACACGCACTCAGCTGGGGAGAATTCCGGATGGTTGCTCCTCGACGCGCACAAGCCTCTCTCATCGGTTGATTTGCCGAATGTTCGCGATTTGTTTTGACCACGTCGTTTTGATTTTTCCTGGCCTTGTCCCCGCGCTCGTGGTGAGCGGCACCCTCGGCCGTGTCATCATCCCGAACGGAGTTTGCAGATCGGGTGTCAAAGGAGATTACGTACCTAAGAAACGAATTTTTATCAGCTGCCTACTTGGCTAAAGATGAACTCGCTCGCAATCTTACTCTGCTTTGATAGGAGCTATACCCCGCTTTCGCTCAGGTGCATCGCTGGTTGCTGGATTCGCATCAGGTTTAGGCAATTCATCGAGCTTCGCTTTTTTAGTAGGCGGACCATCGGCGTGCCCTTGTACAGACCCATTAGTAATGCTCTGTGCATGCCTTGGTTAGTATTTACGTTAGAAAAGGCAGGGAGTGAAGATATTTACCAGATCGGTCTCCATTCCTGCGAGGCTCTACCAACGGCAGCCAAGAAAAAGGAATGTACAAGAAAAAGAAAACAGATTTTGATATTAGGGCTAAGATTATGTGCGCTTTAGGAATGGACAAGGTGATTGTGAAGCATGCAATGACAACAAGTTGCGGATCACAAAAATCATCAAAATCTAAACTTAAAACGCCAATTGCGTTGAGCGGTCATAATCTAGTTTGCACTGTTTGTTTTAGCCCATAGGCCCCACATTGGGAAATAAAATTCCGGCTCTGATATTGTAAATTTCGTAAAAGGCAATGAAATCGGAAAATTGTAACTTTACCAATTCCGCTCTTCGGCAACGATCGGCACATGGAGACCCAGTTAGGAAAGTTATCAATTCGTGATCAAATTCCCGAACTAGCTTCCAGTCGCACTAGAAGCACGTACAGCTCTTCTCGAAGCTCATCTGGAGCTGTGGTTCAGGTTTCAGGTATCAGTTCCATCTGTGTGTTTGTTTCAGGATAACAGCCAATTATCATTTTTTAAAGAATTATTTTTTTAAAATTTATTGACTGAAAAATGGCCATGTGTCCTCAGCCTCTAACTCACCGCTATGTAGTGACTGATCCTGCGTTGCTAGTCTGCTACCCCGTATTGATCATCGAATTGGAGATTTGCGATGATATTCTCCAACAGCCAATAAAGTCGCTTCTTGAATTTATGCCCTGTTAGACGGATATATCGTAATATTGCTAGTTCTATCGGGTGCTCCGAAGATCAACGCCCATCCCACTCATAGCACACGTCGCTAAAGCTATGCTTAGGAAACTATTGGGCTTCTCGGTTAGGAATTCCATCCCAAAACTAGAGCGGGAGCCATCAGCTGACCATCTCCTATTCAAAGTCTCCTGCATCTGCGACCTGAAAAGGGTTAATGTAGATCTTGTCATCTAGCTAAATCAGCCTAAATGCAGTCGATGAAGGTCAGGGGGCGGTCACATGTGCACTTCAGATGTCGCTAAGAAATATGGTCCGGATACCAATAATACATGTAAGCACGTAGTAGCTCTCGCTACGAAATAGCGGCACACGTGTGAATTACATGCTATTTATATTCCATACTTGGTAGAGTATAAGTGTACACTATGAGCCCGGAAGTAGGGTTCATGGAGCCCCTTAACTATTACTGCGATCGCTTAATTACCGAAGTTTATAGATCAGGGCTCGAGTTACACCGGTTTCACATCACAATACTGTAAACGTGGCATGTATACTCTATCCATCGAAGTTCGTATGAGATTGACATTTTGTTGGTTTGATGCGTCTCCACATAATGGAGCCGGTGGGTTGGCAGATAGCTATGTCGCAGCATCGCCATGATCAGCAACTGAACAAGTGATTCGAAAGGAGGTATTGGACCACAGATGCGCCGTCCCTAACCGTCCATCTGGCATGAGCCTATCAGATAGCTTATGCCCTTGCATGGCGGGATGCGGAGACAATAATGCCGCCACCTGGCTGTAAATTGTAAGCCGTGCCTTCTTCATCGTTAAGTGATACATATCAAGACGGTCTGAGACTATACGTAGCGACGACGACGCAGCCTAACGGGAAAGCTGCGGCTAAGCTCCTCACAGCACGACAATGTGCAGCAGACCCATTTACGCGCGCTGAATCTGAGTTAAAGGGTTCAACTTCGCATTTGACTCAATCCTAAATCCTTATTATTGGGCTGCGACCCACTTGGATAACGCCAATGTTCATGAATGATATTAATATACTTATCAATATTATTACTGCACATCAATAAAGGCATTGTGGACTTGTCAGTGGCGGACGGCACTATGGGATGTTAGCGCGGATCATCCTGTTGCGCCAAGATTGATACTTATGCATCTGCATTTGCGGCACCAACGGTCAGGGTCACACTAGTACTGTATACTGTGTGGCCTTTCCACACACACATTATCTCAGACACTACGGCGCAACATCTCAGGTTAATAGTAGAATAATAATACCAGGTTCCAAGGCGCTGGGAGCAGATGGAGTCGCACGCAGCCAATCAGGGACTAGTCTTCGCCTGAGCTTCCTTTGTCGGTTCGATGCCCGGCTGTCGGCGCCAGAGCAGGTCGCCCGATTGGCTCCTGCGCACGGCGAGGGCCCACTGGTGACTCACTATGCCGCAGACAGTAATTCTACGGCACGCCTTTTGCTCTCCTTTGCGCCGACCTGTCACTTCGACGTATCGCTGTATCAGTCTGGAGTACGTCCACCCCAGAATGCTCACGGCAACTGGGACAAGAAGGATGTCGGCAGTAGCACTTGCTCAAAAGCTACATAACTACATGCTGTGACTGCTGTAGACTCCAGCCGAGCCCCACCATCCGCATCGGCTGCGAGGTCGGGGTTTGCCTGAAGCAGGCCAGCACCAATCACAACCGCCAACGCAGGCCGCTTCACGATGACTTGACGACCGATGACGCTTACAAAAGCGTGCGTTCTTGCATGGAGTCGAGACCCTGTCACCGTCATCGTCAGCGTCATCTCTGCTCTCTGCGTGCGGGTAGGTACATGCTTTCACAGGATGAACCGCACCCCCATGTTACTATTCTCATAATTTATGGCATGATCGTGTATGCATTGATGCACGTAATATCAGCGGCTGAGCAGCTCGCTTCGTCTTGGCACTCTTCCGATGCGGCCAACCCCTGGCATTCTCGCTGAACCGCAAGAATGAATATTAATGTTGATCGTAATGGTACTGTAGTAGGAATTATCATACAAAATAGAGAACATCGAGGATATTATTGCACGGACGTCTCAATGACTGCAAGACTCGCGTGCTAGGCTTCATCGGTGCCGCCGGCCCTGATGCGGCCTAGCGCGGGACCGTCACGTAACGAACCACCGAACCATCAAGTTACCAACAGCGCAGCAAATGGTAACGGCCGTAAATTACCCGTATCAGACCTCGACCAACGCAGTAATTCCTCCCGCGGCTGCCGTACCAGCCGCACTCGAGCCATGCCAATTTACACACCCGGAACGCGATCCCCGTATTAATCCATCCATCCCATCCGCTGCTCCCCTCCTCCTCGTCCGCTCTTTTTTTCTGAACGCTGCCAATTAATCGATTGCGCCTGCCTCAGATCCCCAACTCCACGACTGTCTCTGACCCGGCGCTGCAGTGTCGCCCGTCGCTTTCTGTTCTCGATTGTGGACGGCCTCGTCCCGATACAGCGTCCCCTCACCTCCTCGCCACCCCGTAAGGCGGTTCTTAAAGCGGAAACTTCTCGAGCGAAACGCCTGCCGTTTACCCAGTCCCGCCGAGGCATACCATAACACGTATCCGACTATCTCACAACAGATCACTCGCTCACTCTCATTCACTCGTATATCTAGATATCATTCATTCTCATGAGCGACGCTTCAGACACAACCACCCCTCCATCTCTTCACTACTCGCCCTCCATCAGTGACCTCGACCCTCCGTCCACGGGAGCATCAACCCCCATCCGCACACCTGTCGGATTCGGCGTAACCTCTTTCGCCCGCAAGCCATCGAGTCGTGGAAAAGATTCCTTTTCGTGGACCCAGAAGCCAGCAGACCCGGGCAATCAGACAGTATACCTGGATTCGGCCGTGATCGACGACGACGCTCTGTCGACCTTTCCCCTCTTCCCCTCTTCACCAGCACAGTTTCACACAATGAGCGGCCCCTTCGACCTGTCCGCTCGCCAAACCTCGGTTTCGCCGCCAGGCCAACAAGCTTCGAACCTGACCTCTGCCCTCCAGAAGGCAGCGAATAATGACCGACCTGGTAGCATTTCTAATCCCACTGCATCCAACGCGAGCGCTGTCTACAAGGCAGCCGCCGCTCGAAAGGATTCTTTGGGTGCAAGTATGGCACAATGGGGAAATGGCACAAAACCAATCTCCGTGATGGGATCGAATCGTGAGAAACCACGTCGCGAGTCCCTAGCTGGCAGTCTCGTTGGGGGAATGAGTTGGGGCGGTATTTCCGTTGGTAGCTGGATACGAGATGAGTTTGTTCTCCCTTTCTTTTGCTTTCCTTTGATACTGTCCTTGCCTGTTACCTGCGACCTTGCGATCAGCACCTTTTTTTTTGGTCTCGGACCCTTGAAAGAATTATTACGCTGACAAATTTTAGTATTATCATGACTGGTACCTCTCCGTTTACGTCTTTCCAATCGCCGTCGTTTCACTCCTCGTCATATTTGCCAAAACTAGAAGCCAATTTCATGCGTGATTTCTCCTGCTGTGGAATTACCCTCCCTACGCTGCATGATTTGTTACAGCATTACGAAGAAGCTCACGCACAAAAGTCTCCTCAACAGGGACAACGCCCAAGTCAAGGCGATAATCGAGCTGCTATGGCTACTGCTGCCGCTGCCGTCGCCCAAACCCAGAGCCATGGACAATCTGTACAAGCTAACCAATCCAACAACGGGCAGCCCAAGTTCAATCCGAATCAAACCATAGACACAAGCAACTTTACGTCACAGCAGAATCTAGATTTGGATACAATCGATGACATGGAAATGGATGATGCAATGGGCGACACTGATTCGTCTCACTTGTTCTCATCACAAATTCCAACTACGCAAGGGGGATTTGCCTCCCCAAATCAACGAGTTCCACAGCTCAACCTCAGTATGCTCCAGGGCCAAGGATTACGAGGATCTCAGCCAGGCACACCAGTCGCGCCGGCCCACACCGTTCTCCAGAACAATCCGACCGTCTCTTCAGTCAATACCCCAACCCTGTCGTCAAACCCTCTTCAAAATGCCCAGTTCCGCAATACTCCCGACTCCTCGGGACCAGGTACCCCAGCAGAATTGGATGAAAGTGTCCTTGGTGGCTTTAATGATCTTTCAATGCAAGCTGGCCTAGCTGCCAACGGTCAATTCCCAGGCTTCGGGTCCAATGATATGGTCGATCTCTGCATTGACGAGCCTGCGAAACGATTGTTTAGCCCCAATGGTGGGTTTGGAAATGGCGGCTCGCAAGTGCATATGAAACTGGGCAATTCCCAGTACGGACCGAACAGCGACATCGCGCGGCGCATTCGGGAACAACAAATGCTCGCCGGCGTTCCAGATACCTCGTTGGGCATGCTTCCAACTGACGAACCCAAACCGTTCAGGTGCCCAGTCATTGGTTGCGAAAAGGCTTACAAAAATCAGAATGGTTTGAAATATCATAAAGCGGTAAGTTTCGGCCTTTATGCTTGTTAAGAATTCTTGCTAATCCTTCACAGCATGGTCACAATAATCAACAGCTGCACGAAAATGGAGATGGCACTTTTTCGATTGTGAACCCCGAAACTGCTGCTCCATATCCTGGTACGATGGGAATGGAGAAAGAGAAGCCGTACCGATGTGAAGTGTGTGGTAAACGGTACAAGAACCTGAATGGCCTGAAATACCACAAGTCACACTCTCCACCCTGCAATCCTGACCTCCAACTGGCTGGTCGCAATTTGAACCTCGGTGGTGTCATGCAAGGTCAAAATATCAATGTCGCCGGCGCCGGGCTACCTGGAATCGGTGAGGAAGGCTTGCTTTAATTGGTTTTAACAGTGCCATAATGGCATACCGGGTAGCTTTCTTCTGAACATTTAATATTGACCATTCATCGGATCATGAGCAACATCGTCAGATGAGAATCGGACTTGTCACCTTGATGCATTTTCCAATGCACATGTTTAGCTCATCTTTGTCCATGATTACATACGGGCGCCGTCTCCTACATTGGTACGCCTTACATTTGCTCAATCGATGCCAAGCATTTTTGCTACCAGCACATCTAAATTCTGGCTTGTGCGGGATGTTGTCAGTGGGCAACTCATCCCACTCGCTCTGGTCTTCTGAACCCGCCATTTCCTGGCTAGAATCCTTCTCTCACGAAATCTCGAATACCATGGTGTCGAAATTATTGTACAGGTTGCTTACTCATTTAATCGCACATTGAGGGAATAGAAACCAGGGTTTTTACCGTTTTGATTGGGCTAGCCGGTTTAGTCTTGATTTTCCCTCGGGTTCTTGTTATCTTCTTTTCTTTTAATTCTTTACAAACATATGGGCTCGGTGTTAAATGCTTTCATATTTCGGCTTCGGCTCGTGGCTTTGGAATTGGAAAAGAAAAGAACTGGGTTATCTGACTGGCGTGATTTGTGATTTTTCCTTTTTCTTAAATAGACCCCGCACTGGCTTTTGCTTTTATTTCCTGTTTCATAGTCAATTATATGTCTGGATGGCTGGGTTATGTGTTGGTCTGTCATGCTATTGCTGCATATTGCGATATTTCTCTGTTTTTTTCGTTGTCGACCGGCTTTTTACTAGACGTGGGGATTTACCACCGCCAATGGCTTGTTCAACAATTAAAAAAATTCTCTGAATTGCTAATCAGTAGCTCTAGATCTTCCTACATAACAATTTAAAATTAAGCTCAAGCCACGTGAAGCTAACGGATTGGTATCGAATCTGACTTTGAAGCCCAAAAGGTAAGGCGGTGGGTTGGGACACTTTTCTGCCCGTCAAAATCCACCGCTTTTGCGTTATCTCAAAACTATTTTTTTCTGTTAGCACTAGTGAAGGTTAGACTCACGACGAAGAGATTTTGGAAGGGTGACTTGCGCCCTCAGATTCTCTACCTTTTGTTTCAGTTGTCTTAATTATTTTTTCTGTTCTATTTTCATTTTCATGTTTATGGTTTATTTTCCGGATTTCAATCCCACACACCATGGCGCCGACTAGAAGCAAAGCCGACGATGACTTTGTTCTTACACTGTCTGACGATGAAAGGCTGATTGAAGAGAATGAAGAAACAGCAGACGCCGCCCAATCCACAAACTCGACGAGCAAAAAACGTAAACGGGAGCAAACCGACGCTGCGATTAAGCAAGAAAGGCAGAAAAAATCTAAAAAGACTGCGGCCAACATAACTGAGCTGTTAGATGGCGATAATGATGAGGATGATGACGACGGTGCACTAGATGATACGAAAGATGATGGCGCACTAGATCCAGCCTTTGAGTTTGACATTGGCGGAAATGCAGCGCAGAATATATTAGAAGATTTCGACGGCTGGGGGTTGGATGAGACGAAGAGAAACGCGAATGGGAATAAAAAGGCGGTTGATATTGATGATATCATTGCTAGGCGGAAGCTTCGAAAGGATGATGAGGATCAGAGAAGGAAGAAGAAAGAGGCAAAGAGGCAGGAGAATGATTTTGAGGGGTTTGAGAGTGATGGTGATGTTGAAGAGGACGCAGGAGACGAGGATGACGAGGATATGGCTAAGATCCCGGATTTTGAGGATGATGAGTTGTTGGCTGCTGATGGGTTTGGTATGGGGGTTAATGGCGAAGAGGTGGAAGAGGATGACGAGGCTGAGGATGCTGAAGACGACGAGGCAGACGGAGACGAAGATGGAGGTGCAAACTCCGATTCAGAAGGATCCGTCGCAGCTCCTGTCGCTCATCCGGACGATATGGTATTAGACCAAGAATCCGAGTCTGAAAGCGAGAACGACGAAGAGCTAGAGAAAAGAAAGGCCTTCTTTGCACCTGAAGAATCCAGTTCAAACAATGCAGCAGACGATTCTGCGAACGGCTCCTTTCAAAACTACAATCTTTCTCGTCCCATTCTTCGTGGTCTGGCCGCCGTTGGCTTCACGATTCCGACACCAATCCAGCGCAAAACCATCCCTGTAGCTCTTTTGGGCAAGGACGTTGTTGGTGGTGCTGTGACTGGATCAGGTAAAACCGGCGCTTTTCTTATACCTATTCTGGAACGTCTACTCTACCGGCCACGCAAAGTTCCTACAAGCCGCGTTGTCATTCTAATGCCCACCCGTGAACTTGCGGTTCAGTGTTATAATGTCGCTACCAAACTTGCTACCTATACTGATATCACATTCTGTCAACTCATTGGTGGCTTCAGTCTTCGAGAACAAGAGAACATCTTGAAAAAACGACCTGATATTATCATTGCCACCCCCGGTCGTTTCATTGACCATATGAGAAACTCTGCTAGCTTTACCGTCGATACACTCGAAATCCTTGTTCTTGACGAAGCTGATCGGATGCTAGAAGATGGATTCGCGGATGAATTAAACGAGATCTTGACCACGATTCCTAAATCTCGTCAAACTATGCTCTTTTCTGCGACCATGACGAGCTCAGTTGACAAGCTGATTCGAGTGGGCCTGAACCGGCCCGTGCGGCTGATGGTTGACTCGAAGAAGCAAACTGTAGGAACTCTTGTTCAGGAGTTTGTCCGTCTGCGACCAGGTCGTGAGGATAAGAGGCTTGCCTCGCTCGTCCATCTCTGCCAGGAGGCATACACATCGCGGGTCATTATCTTCTTCCGTCAGAAAAAAGAGGCCCACCGAGTTCGGGTTATATTTGGTCTATTTGGACTGAAGGCAGCCGAGTTGCATGGTAGCATGAGCCAAGAGCAGGTACGTATAGCTTCAAAACAAAGCATTTATAGATCTCTTTTACTAACTAAATTTACAGCGTATCAAAAGCGTAGAGGATTTCCGTGACGGGCGCGTGGCCTTCTTACTAGCAACCGATGTTGCTTCTCGTGGTCTTGACATCAAAGGAGTCGAAACCGTCATCAACTACGAAGCCCCGCAAACGCACGAAATCTACCTGCATCGTGTCGGTCGTACTGCGCGTGCAGGTCGATCCGGTCGAGCATGCACATTAGCAGCCGAGCCGGATCGCAAAGTCGTCCGAGCGGCCGTGAAGACGGGCAAAACTCAAGGTGCCAAGATTATCAGCCGCGTCATAGAGTCTAACATTGTGGATCAATTGGCCGAGCAAATCGAGGGTTTCGCAGACGAAATCCAGGAGATTCTCCGCGAGGAGAAAGAGGAGAAACAGCTCGCGCAAGTCGAAATGCAGACCGCCAAGGGAGAAAATATGCTCAAACATGAGTCCGAGATCATGTCGCGACCGAAACGGACGTGGTTTGAGACTGAGAAGCAAAAGCAGGATGCTCGGAAGAGGGGGCTGTTGGAGCTCAACGGGTCTGACTCGGCAAAGAAGGAGAAGCGGAAGCTGAGTGGGAAAGAGAAGAAGCGGTTGGATGATACCCGTGATCGAAAGGAGGGCAAAGTATGGAAGAAGGGAAAGAAGGAGCGAGAGGACCAGAACAAGAGAAGACCCAAGTCTGATAAGAAAAAGCAGGGCAAAAGTAAACCAAAGGGTCGGAAGTGATGTTGGACGATAAAAGTGTTGATAATTGTTCATACATCATTCTAAAAATGTACATTTCAAAAAAGTAATTCAATCGGACAAAAAAAAGAAGAATTCTAATTTTCTAAACATATATTCGCTCGTGATAATCACGCAAATGCAATTAGTCTAAGAACAGTACATCTATTTATATAACATCAACGGCTTCGGCCCTATTCAGAGCCGAGCTGGGAAGTGAGGGGATATATGATAAGTCCATCGAGAGCTGTGCAGTTCTTGCCAGCGGTTGATCCGATGTGGATTGCTCCCTGGGTGGAATTCTTGGAATTGCAAACGCTGAAAGCCTTGCTTGAGCCATTGACTGTCAAATTGCCAGCCGAATTGATATCGAAGGCGGGCCAGTAGTAGGGGGTCGGTCTGGAGGTGTCGTTATAAAAGGTAAATTTCAACTCGCCACCGTTTGGACTGTCTGTGTAGGCGTTGGACGGGTTGAGGAAATTGTACCCATCGAGGACGATGAGTCGGTTGTTATCTTTGTTGATGTAGAAGACGGCTGTTTGCTGGTTCTGGTCGTCACTCAACCGGGCGATTGAGTTACCTAGGTCTCCCCATTGGCTGATCTGGATTTGATCTGCGGTGGGAACTGCAGGCGTGAACACCTCCAGGTTGAACAGATTTCCTTCGACATTGCAACCGCTTCCAGCTTCTGTTGAGATTCAAATGTATGTCAGCAATCGAACATGTTTTGATTCCAGAAAGATGTCAGGGGTTTCAAACGTACTGGCTGCAAGAGCTGTCGCGGAGTTTAGACCGACAATCGAGAGAAGCGATAAAACCTTCATGATGGGCTTATGTTTGTGAAAGAATATTTATTCGCTGACACTGTTTGTAGCGAAACTGGGATGGTCGTCGTGATTGTTATGATGAGATAGGGAAAATCTCGCCATCTTATATAATTGACCAAACTACACTCGAAGTCATAGATCGCTTGGCAAGTACAACTTCACTCCTGAAGTGCCGTTCTCATTCGCCCCCGATGGCCAAATTAGTCTTAAGCCCAGACGATCCATCTAAACATAGCCCCTAAGCGGCTCATATTGCTCAAAATCACCTAGTCGCGAGGCTCACGGAAGCCAGAAGAAGACCCGCAGCTTCAGCCTCGTATTAACTAGCGTTGCTATGATCATCAAGCCTCAGGCTAACTAACTAGCTATGGGGTCTATCATAACAATACTCCTTGGCAGCAATTGCCCCGGCTCCTTCTCGAGTCTCGACGCGCTAAGTTAAATTGAAGATCGACACGGGGGCTGATCATCCTCAGCTTCGAAGATGGTTGCTGGCTCCTTTGGCAGTTTCACTGGTGGATCGGTTATTATTAGAAAATCTGGAGTGCTCAGAGCTTCAGCATTCAGCAGGCATCAAAGTTAATAAGAAGTTTATACAGAACTAATTAGTTGTTCTAGCGTGATCCGTCAGAACCCTAAACGTTTGTGGCTTTTCCAGCCAGCAAGCCAGTCAGGGCAGCTTACTGCGTACACTGTATACACCTATGTCCTTCGTCAGGGCGATCGCGAATTGTCCTTGTCGATAAAAATAAGTGATGTGTGTAGAATCGCTGCCAAAGGTAAGAAGTTTCGAGGAGGAGCTTCTCCCTGCTGATGCCCTGTCACGTGAAACCACAACCATGCCGCATGCTTCCAGCCCTTACTGCTCATTACTGTTCCTCCTAGTGTTGTTATAAGTCAAATTTAACGACCGAAAATCACCAGAAATGATAACGAACCAGAAGGGAGGTGGTTGTTACAACCCTGGTCTGCTTATGTAACCCTCCAACAAAGAGACTGTTCATTTTCCCGCACATTATTCGATGCAAAAGAAACGTCAAGAATTAGTTGATGTCTTAATATACGTATTAGCCACCTTGGTCGTGACTGGGAACTAGCAATGAATGCATCAGACGTCTGTCGCCGGGAGCTGACGACCGTTTCGGGCCCAATGTCGTTTGGTGTCGGGACAACTTCGATTTCACCTTACTGTTTGAGCAGAGCATTCTTTCACTTGGCCCATCAGCTTTAGTAATAGTTGCTTCTGTGGCTCGGATCTTTCAGCTATACCGGTCCAGCATCAGGACTGCCTCAACCTCGCTGCGTATTGGCAAATCCGTTCAGTTGGTGGTAGAACAGGTGCCAATCTCTGATAGCCTCGATCTGGCTGAAAAAAAATACAGGCTACAATACTCGGTGCTTTTTGCATCAGACTCGCGCTGCTAGTGCTCTGGATCACTAAGCCGAGTCGTCAAAGCAGGGTGTCGATCGCCGCAGCAGCTCTATCACTCATCGCTGCACTAGCCTTGTCAGTGCTTTCCCACGTAGAGAATTCTCGTTTCAGTCAGGCCATCGTTCATCATCAACGTCTATCTCTTCTTTTCTACCCTCCTAGATTTTGCCCAAGCCCGGACGCTATAGCTTTTGCCTGGAGACAGAAGGCTGGCTGCAGTCTTCACTACATGTCTTGCGGTCAACGTTCTTTTTCTATTCCTAGAAAGTATCGAGAAGAGAAAATTCCTGAAGAGTCCCTACTGCGACTATCCACCTGAATCTCTAGGGGGAATATTCAACTACAAATCAAACTGTCTACGTTGACAATGATCATCGGCCCTGTCGGGTGTGGAAAGTCCACGTTCCTTAAAGCGCTACTCGGAGAAACCCCAGTGGCTCGTGGTATGGTGTACACATGTGAAATGGAGATGGCATATTGCAGCTAGGAGCCATAGTTGCCAAATGTCACGGTCAGGCAGTCGATCATTGGTGTCTGCAAATTCGACGAGTCATGGTACCATACTGTCATACATGCTTGTGCTTTGAATGTGGACATTCAGCAATTTCCACAGAGACGGGACTAGAATCGGAAGTAAGGGTATATCACTCAGTGGAAGGCCAAAGCAGAGGCTTGCCCTCGCTCGCGCCATCTACTCTCGCAAACGTATCTTGCTTCTCGACCGATCTCAACGGCCTGTGTATCTGCTCTACTGCATTTAGCAACGCTAGAATGCATGGTAGCTGTATTCGCTATTTCGATCATCATTTGGCAATCCCGTGGTGGTACATCGAGGGAGACCAGCCCTAATAGCATAGTAAAGTGTTGATCTGATGGATGACTCAGAGGCCCGGCTAATAACGGCAGAAGAGTGACGGTAGTCGGAACTCGAAAACTCTTTGGCGAATCAGCGATGACTCAAAAACACATGACTGCAGTCACTACCTTGTACCCCATGCGAACGCATATTCTCCTATTTATTATTTATTGATTGACATGAGTCATACCTTCATATATTAATACAATCTACACCCATCCGCATTCTCGCAACCCTGCTGAACATAAATTCGCTCTTGCATCCCGCCGACGCCCTACACTCTCCCCGCTTTCTGGGACTTCACCCCGCCTCTGACCGTGACTACAGCCATGCCTATGTATGACTCCAGCTCTTGAAGGAGTACGACTAGCACCTGAACTGACTTGAATGTGCAACCAGGCTTAAAGATCCCTCCAAAAAATACAAGCGATTCAAACCGCTAAACCTGCCTGACCGACAATGGCCGAACAAAACCATCGACAAGCCTCCCCGCTGGCTTGCCACCGATCTGAGAGATGGGAACCAGAGCTTGGTAGATCCCATGGTGGGTAGATGCATTGACTACAGACACTGTCGCAGCGCTGATCGACCAAACAGGATGGAGACCAAAAATTTAAATATTTTAATATGCTAGTTGAACTTGGTTACAAAGAGATTGAGGTATCGTTCCCGTCCGCATCGCAAACCGATTTCGATTTCACTCGCAGACTCGTCGAGACGCCCGGCGTGGTACCTGATGATGTCTGGCTCCAAGTCCTTTCCCCATGCCGAGAGGATCTTATTCGACGCACCGTCGATTCCCTGAAAGGTTCCAAGAAAGCTATCCTACATCTCTACCTTGCCACGAGCGATTGTTTTCGCCGCATTGTTTTCGGAATGACCAAAGAACAAAGTCTGGCATTGGCTGTCAAGTGCACAAAATACGCTCGCTCGATTACCAAGGACGACCCCTCTACCGCTGGAACAGAGTGGCAATACGAGTTTTCCCCCGAAACGTTTTCTGACACAGATCCCGAGTATATTGTACAGGTATGCGAGGCAGTCAAGGCCGCCTGGGGACCTACAGAGGAACACCCCATGATTTTCAATCTCCCCGCAACAGTGGAAATGTCGACCCCCAATGTCTATGCTGATCAAATCGAATTCTTCTGTCGCAACATGACTGAACGCAAGACATTCGCTGTCTCCCTGCACCCCCACAACGACCGTGGTTGCGCAGTTGCTGCCGCTGAACTTGCACAAATGGCTGGCGCCGATCGTGTTGAGGGCACCCTGTTCGGCAACGGAGAGAGAACCGGCAATGTCGATTTGGTCACCCTGGCACTCAATCTTTATACCCAAGGAATTCACCCTAATATTGACTTCTCTGATTTGAATTCGGTCATCAAGGTCGTTGAAGAGAGTAATAAAATCCCTGTCAATGAACGATGGCCTTATGGTGGCCAGCTAGTGGTCTGTGCATTCAGTGGTAGCCATCAAGACGCAATTAAGAAGGGCTTTGTTGCTCGCGATGCCGCTGGTGCTGACGTTAATGACCAATGGGAGATACCATATCTGCCCTTGGATCCTCAGGATATTGGACGCACATACGAGGCTGTTATTCGAGTCAATTCCCAAAGTGGTAAAGGCGGTGCTGCATGGATTATTCTTAAATCTCTGGAGCTTGACCTTCCTCGCGGACTGCAAGTTGAGTTCGCCCGAATCGTCCAAAGCGAAACGGAAAGAGTCAGTCGTGAACTTCGTCCGAGCGAGATTGTCGACTTGTTTGAAAACGCATATCATCTCAAGACGAACCCTCGGTTCACTTTGATTGATTACAACATCACGACCGATCGATCACAGTCTCCCGCAGTACCAGAGCCTGGCAAAGCACCGAACACACGAAACTTGAAACGTCGGTTTACGGGTATCATTGAAATCGACGGGATTCAGCACCCCATCACCGGTGTCGGTTCCGGTGCTATTTCGTCCTTGGCGAATGCACTGTCTAGTCTGGGTATTGATCTTGATGTCCAGGATTACAAGGAGCACTCGGTCGGTATTGGCAGGGAGACGCGCGCCGCTACTTACATCCAGTGCACAAATGCTGGGTCGCGAGACGTCGTCTGGGGTGTTGGTATTCACCAAGATGTCGTCCAAGCCAGCCTGATCGCCCTTTTGAGCGCTGCTAGCTCGGTAAGTCATTATTTACTTCATTCAAACTTGCTATTCTGGTATTTGAATGATTGCGTATATCTGACTATTCGTTATAGTTCCTTACATCTCGCGCCGGATCGCCAGCACCTTTCCGTCCTGTGCGTTCCAACACCATGACTGACGATGATCTGCAAGCCATCGAACAGCTTTCAGCCACGATTCCACGTCCCGATGCCAAAGAAAAAGCAGACACCGCCGGAGTTCTCAACAAGCAAAAGGTTGACGTCGAGGAACTCGAAAAGCGGGTTGAGGCCTTGTAAATTTTCTGTCCTTCGGTCGTCGTTCTGAAACTGATCACTCCTTCGAACCGTGAGACCCTTATCTTGGGTTCATTAAAAAATACAAACCGTTCACTTTGAAATTTAATGATATGACTTGGAAAAGTTCCCACCATGTTGAACATACGAAAATAGGGACGGACATGCGAATTAAAATCAATTTGCGTGGAAAAGTTAATACCTGTCATTATCGGCATTAAGTAGCAATGAAACTACTCGTCATTTTTCATGTTGATAATGAATGCATTATCTAGACTTATCAGTAGTATTTAAGGGAAAACTGAAAATCTTGTTGTAGATTACATGAAACAGATTGCTTTTAACTTTGGGATATAGATGCATTACAGTAATGGAAATATACTTGTCAAGGAAAAGGAAGGCTACATGATTTTATGAAAAGCATACAAGAAAACAAAAGAGAAAAGGAAAAATCGAAGCCAGAAGCTATGAGTTGAACATGATTCGTAAGCCATATCGCATTTAGCATCGAGGGGGGCTTTTGCCATTTTGTACTGATATAGGCAAGAATGCCAGTTATTGTCGAGAAACGAAGGGTACGGTTTATAAACCCTTAGAAGAACTCGTTTTCTTCGTGCGCTTTTCGGCCGTGTCTCGAGCTTTCGCCACCATTCTCATGAGAGTGGGGGTTATCAAAATGAGTTTGATAAAGGAGGGCTTCCTGCGTCCAGTCTTCGGTGGAGTTGGGTCTGCTTGATTGGTTATTGAACCAAGAAGATTGGGAGTCATTAACGTTGACAGGTGGGAGGCTGAATTGTGGTTGGCGGCTAGGTAAGGAATCGCGATCAGCATTGCGGACTTGCAGCGGCGCAAAGGAGTTTCGTGACTCTTGGGAGCCCGCAGTTGACGGTGGTGCTATGGCAACTGAAGGAACGACCCTTGTTGGAGGTTCATCTATCTGAGGGTTGTTGACGTGATCCGATGACTTGCCGAATTCAGCACCAAAGTCAAACCCATGATCGGGCGTCAATACCGGAGTAAGGTTATTTGCGCTTGCGACATCGTGAAAATCGGTATTCACGAGAGGAAGAGAGCTTTGCTCGTTGGAGAAGGTTTCTTGTTCGGGAGCTTCACTGGCAGCGCCATCAGTCAATTCGTGACTAGAGTTGTTGAGTATCTCCTGATAATGTCTCTCTTCCTCATCTTCTTGGATTTGATACGGATCATCTGAAAGTTCACGGCCTTCGTGGAAAGGTGCGGGAGCTCGAGTGCTGGAATCACTATCGGGGACAAGGGTTGATTTGCGTAAACTATTACCCATGATACTTCCAGTCTTGGAACCTCTGCTCATGCGAGCCTGGTCTGCCAGTTGAAGATCGGGTCCATCTGCATCACGGATGCTGAATTGAGCAATTGTCCGCATCTTTCTCGTTACCCAAGAACCGAGAATCTTGCCACGTTGTTTCTCACCAAGCCTAGATCGGGGGAAGTCTCCATGGGAGACAAATGCCACAATATCAGCCACAATTTGATGATCATTGAGGACAGCATTGACGATGACGGGGACTAGAGAGGCGAGGTATGACTTCCTTGTCACTTCAACAAGAATGACAACAAGACCGCCGGCTTGGAAGACAGCGCTGTTAACATGGTCTGTTAGCTGAAGGCACATAAATAAGGCGAATTATGTATCGATAACTTACCATCCACCAGCTACAATATTCCTATGACACCTTTCCACAGAAGCTTCGATATCGACAGGGAAGTGGTTCAACCCATTGATTTCAAAGGTCTCTCCAACGCCTCCTAGAACAAACAAAACTTGCATCTCCACTGGCTGCCCACCATGGCCGATTGGTCGGGTAACAGTATGAAGAAATCCGACATCACCAGTGCGAACGTATTGTACGGAAGGATCACCATCAAGAAGCCTGCCATTGAATCGCTCGGTGTCGAATTCTTGTTTGCTGCCATAGAATGCCTTCGCGCACGCATCAGATTGCACCCAAATCTCACCATACTCACCAACGTGACATAAAGTGCACGTCTCAGGATTGACAATCGCAATCTGCGTGTTGACTGGTACCATACCCGAATCCTGTAGACGAAGAGCAGTCGGGTCGATGTCCGGATCTACAGGGTAGATCAGACCTCGACGGAGAGCGCGTAGATCCAGCCACACCTCAATAGGCTCAATACACATGTATGACCGAGAAGTAACCATCGGGTTGAGAACATGGGAATAGATCGTATTGATTGATGTTCTGTCGAGAGCAGCCGCTGCAAAGTGGAGGCGTACTTTCTGGTCTAGAAGAGTGTGAGGAATGAAGGACTGTCATGGTGAAGCAAAACTTACACATGTCAACTGTGGGTCTATTGTCCGTAGCAATCATCAGATTCTTCAGCTCTTGAAGACTAAAGCCCTTTCCTGCTATAGAGCTCATTGCATACCCCAACATTTGGCCTGTAGCATAGGTATCCTTGATCTTGTATCTTGACAAAGTAACGAAGAGTGACATGGGGTTTTGCGCAAAGTCCACTGGCGAGACTAAATATGTTGGGGCTCCTGAGACAGTATTAGAAAGACATTAACAGATTCCTTAAAAGAGTAACTTACCGACAAAACATCCTATCAAGCAAGTATGTAAGAAACCCAGTCCAATAGTGCTACGTACGCTTCCCAGAACCGGCCTCGAGCTAGTCATTTGACATGTTTCTTTCTGTACTTTGCACATTGCCATGAGGGTGTCATGATTCAATTGTACTGAAATTCTTCGTTGATCAGCGGTCCAGTATGACCAGATCACAGCAGGATGAGAAGGCAATAGCCACGCATTGTTCATGGTGAAGCCAAGATCACGGCAGCTGTGTGATTGTTTAGGGGGCTTCGTAGTATTATAAATTGCCGGTACTCCAATACGGAGAACTTGAGCGGACTGCTTGATATGCTGAGAAACGACTTTCTGTTTCATCAAATGGTCAACATCGCTGTTCACAATGATGGCTTTGACTTTGAAGTCAGAAATGACGTGTAGGAAAGCAGGGGCATCTTCTGACAACCGATTCTGATCGATTGGGGCCATGGGAATAGCGATGGCACCGAGACAGAGACAAGCGTGTACCGCAAAAACATACTCTTCTGAATGAGTATACATAAGGACCAAGTGATCACCTGGTCGAACTTTGACTTTGTTTTTGAGATACGCGGCAACCGCTGCAACTTTTGTATCAAACTTCTTCCACGTTATACCCTTGCTTTCTTTGCCACGGCCGTCGATAGAGCAGTAGCATAACTCTTCTGACTGTCTTGTGACACGCCATTGAAGCAAATCGACGATGTTTGTGAATTTATTGAGAGGTGTCGAGGTCCTGTCGTCCATGACAATATCACGGTAATCCGCTCCAGAGTACTGTTTTTCTTCCAAGGCAAGAATCTCTTGCCTGGTTGCAGACGAAAGTGGCGACCACACACCTCCTACCGGGTCCACTCCAAGTGGCAGGTTCATCACAGATCGTTCAGCTCCAAATTTGACGTGAACGCACGGCAATGTCCCATTGTCGAATTCTTTACGACACAACATGTTGCCGATTTCTTGCCTACCATTTTTGGTTACTCGAGGCAAAGTGTTTGGGGCAGTAATCATAACACAGTAAACCCGTAGGTGATGTTCATGATATAAAATCTCAATGCACCTTTCTGCCAACGATTCCAGGAGGGCGGTGTCCAATTGACGCGGGGGGCCACCAGAGGTTGTTGGGGCTGTAGAAGCAGTGTAAGATTCCAAGACCACGATTGGAAGATGCTCTTCGTTAACGAAAACGTCAAAAGCGGAGCAATCGTTCACTTTGGGAACGTTTCTCATGATACTGATGATGAGATGCTGCACAAAGAAGTAGCGATGTTCGACTATCTCCTGGCCATGTTCCACCCATTCAACCTTTTGTCGGAGACGATCTTCGTATAATCCAAGTACAAAAATCTTTCCTTCGACGACACAGCCCAAAAGGCCAGTACGGAGGAACTCTGGCTCCACCAATACTGGGGTAGGATTTCCTGGCTCGAATTTATATGGCCGAGCGTGGAAAATCGTCTCTGTATGTTTCGGTAATGCCCAAAATCCTCCAGAAAGAGAAGGGGAATCAACCCAAATTTCGCCGACAACATTTGGGGTGCAAAGAAGATTGGTTTCAGGATCAACAATAGCAAGAGTGGCATCCGGAATGGGGTATCCGAAAGCGCCAATTCGAACACTATTGGGGCGGGATTCGGCAAGCTTTCTCGCCTCTTCGCCCATAGCTAAAACCACAACCTCGTTTGACTTCAAAGCTTCCTTGTCAAGAAGGACTTCTGCTAACTCATTCTTGGCAATCTTCTCTTTCTCTGCGGTCACAGGCTTTCCACCAATCAAACTACTTCCGAAGCCGTCGTTGTCTGTTTTTTTCTTTGTAGCCTCATCCTCCTTCGGCTTCTCTGGTTCCAGTGCATGTGTCAAAGGACATCCCATACGTTCCTCTCCTCCCAGCCAATCTCTGACGCTAATGACCATGCCTCCATGCTCTGGCAGACAGAGCATCGGTGCAACGATCTCGCGGGCACGTGGATTTCTCATAGGCCTAAGCCATCTATCTGCGAGAATCTCGTGGAATTCCGAATCAACGGTAAGCGTGTCAATCAGACATAGCTTGACGGAAGAAAAATTAGGCTCTGTATTCTTCTTAAAATGCCGCGTAGTTAATGGATCTTGTTGATAATTATAGGCGACGCGTTTCAATCCTGGATAATCGGCTGCCATGATAGTAGCTCTATATTTAGTGATAAGATGAGCATAAAGACCTGGCGTTTCTACGGCCTGAGCCTCTAGCCAAACCGTTGTATGCCCACCATAAACAGTTAGTAAAACACTTAAGATCATACCAATACTCTGCCTTGGGTCAAGATAACTGAACATCGTTTCACCAGTCAAACCCCGAGACTGTAGGTGTGACGAGCCTCGAGTGCTTCCAGGAACAGTAGATATTATTGCGCTGAGGCAGGCCATTTGGTGCATAATTGTGCGGTGACTCATCACAACTCCACGCAAATCACCGGTTGGCGCTCGAGAAAATTCAATATACGCAAGATCGGGCACCACAAGGGGCGGAACATCGTCTTTCTTTTTCGGGTGATAGCTACCGAATTCGTTCGTTTTCCACCATTCCACGCCTCTTGGCCACTGCAACCTTTGAGTAGTAATATCTCTCTGAAAACTCTTGAGATTGTTCTCAGTTGTCAGGGCAAGATGGGCCTGGGTTGATGTGAGAATGACATTGAGACTCGTGTAGTCGTCAAGATTGTTGATTGGAACAGCAACGACACCAGCAATAAAGCAGCCCATGAGAGCCACAGTGAACTCAATCACTTCTGTGTCGCGATAGATCAGAGCCACCCGGTCTCCTCGGTAAAGACTGCTTTTATCACGAATTATTTGAGCAACTTTTTCGGCACGACTCGCAAGTTTGTCCCAGGTAATGGAGGCAATCTCTTTCCCTTTCTGGTCCAAGACCCAATAAGCAGGCTGTTTTGCATGTGTTTTAGCGCGATGTCGCAAAACTGCAGGTAAATTGTCAAAGTTAGACATGAGTGTATTAGGGTCATGCGGATCGTGTACGGCAAAGGGTACATCTCGTGGCTCAAGAGGTAGGAGGTGAGAGAGCATGTTTCCTGGCGATATCTCCGACGTTGGCATCAATGGTGGAGCCATATTAGCCGTTGGTGAAAAGGCATCAGACTGTGAATAACGGTGGTAGCCACCACCATAACTGTCCCTATAGTCATCATTTTGATGACCGGCGAAATCGGAAAAGTACGCTTGCGAATCAAGAAGGGTTGAATGTCGAGTGAGATCCCCTTCGGGATCATAAATACCAGCTTCGTAGCCACCCGCCTCCGGTCGCGCTTGCTCATACTGATCGTGGGGATTGAATGCATAGTTTTGACTAGCCAAAGTTGCCGACCTAGAGTCTTCTAAAGTTACGCCAACTGGAGGACGCTGCTGAGGCTGTTTCGGGAGGAAGAGGGAATCGACGGAGGCTCTCGACGCTGCTCGGTCTGGTAATTGAAGCGCCGGTGTTTCCTTGTTCCTCAATTAGATAATTTTTTTGTCAAGCCACCAGTTCTTTGCGCAACTCACTCCTCTTGGTACACCTGACGAGCCGTCACTTCCCACACTTGCGTATCTCCCCGATGAGACCTCTCCTTGTGGGCCTTGGATATTGACTGTTGGTCCCTGGGGCGCATCGAGGCTAAATCCGCCGAATTGTGAGAGTAAAAGAGTTCGTCTTTTCTGGTATCTATAGCACTGTGAGCCAGGAAGTCCGACGATAATTCCCCAGACACTACCCCGCGACGGAAGCTTTGGAATGGCCCATGGAAGAGGGAGGCTTGATCTTACCCCTTCTCTGTGATATCACCATCCTAAAAGAAAGCAAAATAGTTAGCGACGGCCAGTAATATGCTTGTAGTACATGGTAGCCATTGACGCACCTCAAATTCTCGGTCGAGGTCTTGCAAGGCAAGTTGTAGTTCCGGGTTGTACTCCGCCATGATTAGCCGGGGCTGTACTCTCTGGGACAGTGCGAAAAAAAAATCATCCGAAAGAAGGAAAGAAGCAGCAATGCTTCCAATGGTTTGCAACCTCAGTCCAAGGCTTCTGCAGTGAGCCTGTGAAGGCGGATGTTGGCAATCCAGATGGTACGTGGTTCTGAGTACTCCGCTGCGTCCGCTCTTCAGGGTGGGAGCGGCAACGTCAGCTGCACCCATGCAGTGCTACTGTTGCCGCCGCCATGGCCGCCCTTGTACGGCAGTCTGCAAGCGCCTTAGCGCCGCCTATTGGGAATCACTTCAGCAAGTTACACTGAGAGGCTACAGAGAAGAGGAATAAAACGAGATACAGAGTTTCTACGCGACTAGAATTACGATACGACCGGGCCTCGTGTGCGTCAGGAACGGGCTTGTAGCACGCATGACGTTTTCATGCGTGCCAGGGCAGCCATCGTACGTAGAAAAGGAAACATGTGGTATATCAACCAGGGTACTGATCATCGATGGTGTCTCAACCTCCAGGAACTAGCCCGTAATCATTGAGAGACGTCAACCCAGAGACTGAAACGCTTCTATGAATCTTATTATTGCAGAACAGGTGCAGGTTTGTATTGTTGCGGTTCCAAAGATTGTGCGTTGTTGATGAGAACCCATACACGTAATCCTTCCAAGAGAGTAAGGCAAGAGCTGAATAAGACGCTGTCTCACTGTGTCTGTCATCATGGTTGATATTGGACTTCTTGTTGTCCGGGATCAAGGAAAGGCACATCAGGCTAACCCAGCCAAGGAACGGCAGAGTCACATGATATCTACTTTCCCATTGGCCACACTGCCCCACCCCACGGCTTCGCTAAGCGAGGCAAGACACACGATTTTCCTCGCGGGCGAACATTGAACTTTTCGTGGACCGACGACAGCAACGCTCGACGCTCAGCATACACACCCGACAACAGCGTCCATCATGTCCGACAACGGTGAAGTCGAGGTCGAAAACACCTCCAGCTACTACCCAGCCCTCCCCAAGGATGTCCAGACCGACTCCGTGAAGCTGTTTGGCAAGTGGAGCTACGTGAGTATTGTGCACAAACATTCGACTCGAGCGAAATCTGACTGTCCCAGGATGATGTCGAAATCAGAGATATCTCTTTGACGTACGTTTCCCTCTCGTGACTACCTGACGATTCCGCCCCGACTCGTTGCAATGGACATGGAGAAACAACTCAAAAATTGAAACCGGCGCCAGAACATTGGAGGTGAAAATTGCTAACCTGGTTTCTGAACACAGCGACTACATCCAAATCCGCTCTCCTGTCTACCTTCCTCACTCCGCTGGTAGATATGCTGCCAAGCGCTTCCGCAAGGCGCAATGCCCGATCATTGAGAGGTAATTTTTGCAATACAGGGTTTCGCGGAGTGACATTCGTTAACAAAATGGGGATATGCAGATTAACCAACTCCATCATGATGAACGGTCGCAACAACGGAAAGAAGATCATGGCTGTCCGCATCATTGCCCACACCTTCGAGATCGTACGTACATACCATTGTCTTCTGTCTCCCATACGGTGTTCATGCCAGACTACGCGTGTTTCACGGTCTAACTAGTGATATCAGATCCACATCATGACCGACCAAAACCCCATCCAGGTTGCCGTCGATGCTATTGTCAACTGTGGTCCTCGTGAAGACTCGACCCGTATTGGTTCCGCTGGTACCGTCCGACGACAGGCCGTCGATGTCTCCCCTCTGCGCCGTGTCAACCAGGCTATCGCTCTTCTCACCATCGGTGCTCGTGAGGCTGCCTTCCGCAATGTCAAGTCTATTGCCGAAGTTTTGGCGTAAGTGATCTTCCAGTCATTCCGCTCCTGCCATATGACACTAATCCTCCAATAGTGAAGAGCTCATCAACGCTGCCAAGGGTAGCTCCAACTCGTACGCCATTAAGAAGAAGGACGAACTCGAGCGTGTTGCCAAGAGCAACCGGTAAATGATTTATTTTTTCTTCATGTTTTCGTTTCCTCGTTCAAGGTGTGGACGGAGTGTCATCGATTAGGGTTTGGTTAACTCGCATGCATCTGGATGACTGTATTTAGGGAGCAGTCATAAAGAGGAAGCGAGGTCTTGAAAATGCATGGTTAGCTTTCTTTTATGTAGTCAAGATGCTATCATGAAAATTTTATATTCCCTCGATCAGCTATTGATACCGCAAGGACACGTAGAACACGATATGCTCTTAATTCTCTATTTGTAAAGCACAATATTTTATCAGTCTCTCGTTCGATTATTAAGAGGCTCGCATTAGCGATTTATTTTGATGGAATAAATCACCACATGTAAGGCTGTAGCCTGTAAGCTTGATTCGATTCATGAGTGGGACTGTCCGCTATCGATACAGTGCGGCAGGCGGGTAAAAAAAATCATTATCAGTCCACAGCGCCGCAACAACATTCAACCCATTAAACCCTCGCCATTTTCTTTGCCTTTCCGAAACCTTTGCAACGGGAAAAATGGCAAAGCGTAAATTGGCCGCTTTGGAGAAGGTCGAGGCAGATTTGTAAGTTCTATCGACTGTCCTCTGACCAGCTAGTACTGATTTATTTTTCGTAGGCCCAACCTTCAGCAAAAGATTCGCCGAGATTCCAAGTAAGCGAAACTAATATCGATATCTCCAGTCTTTTCGCGAACTAACAGACTGTGACAAACACCAGATCATATATAGAAGATTTTCGGGCGCAATACTATCAATATGAGAGTCATCGGGAAATTTTCATGGCAGCGCCGACATCCACAGAAGCCGGGATTATATCTTTGCATGACCTTATAGACTTTATTGCGCATGTCGCAGACTGCTATCCGGACATTACAAAAGATTTCCCACAGCAATTGATGGATATGCTCATGCAGTATCATGTCGATCTTACTCCAGACCTTCGCGAAAAAATCGTGGGAAGCTTGGTGCTTTTGAGGAAAAAGGAAATCATAGACTCCGTTGCGTATGTTTACTACATGTCTGTCTGGAATGTTCTTGAGTGCTAACTACATTTGCTTCTAGACTTCTTCATACTTTGTTCCCGATTCTCGTGTCTACTCCGAGCAAAACGCTACGCGAACTGTTATTCCAAAAAATCCTGTCAGATTTGCGGACCTCGAATGCGAAATTGACGAACCACAAGTTGAACAAGGCCATGCAAACCGTCTTATTCAATTTGGTAACGTCGGACCGTGAATCTTCAAAGGCCTTGTGGGCCATCAAAATCACTAGGGAACTATGGAAACGACAGATCTGGACCGACGCAAAGACAGTGGAAATCATGAAAGAGGCATGCCTAGCCAATAACGAAAAGGTCACAGTCGGAGGTGTGAGGTTCTTTCTTGGTGGTGATAAAGAGAGAGAAGAGATGGAAGACGAGAGCAGTGATGATGACGGTATTGATGTTGCCAAAATCAAACATCAAGCAGGAATCAACAAAAAGACGAAAAAGAAATCACGTCAGGTTGAGAAGGCCGTTGCGACGGTCAAAAGGAAAGAAAGGAAGAAGAAGCAGCCTCACCCACTGAACTTTTCAGCTTTGCATCTACTACACGACTCCCAGGGATTCGCTGAAAACTTATTCTCAAAACACTTGCAGAATACCAGATCGAAATTGAATCTGGAGCAAAAGCTTCTAGTGCTACAGCTTGTTTCTCGTCTGATTGGCTTGCACAAGCTTACACTGGTTCACTTTTACTCCTACTTTCAGAAATATCTCACTCCCCGACAACCTTCAGTCACATCTTTTCTAGCATCCCTTGCGCAAGCGACGCATAACCTTGTGCCTCCAGATGTGCTTGAGCCGTTAGTTCAAAAGATTGCAAACGAGTTTGTCTCTGAGGCTTCCGCAGCCGAGGTGGCTTCAGCTGGTCTAAATGCAATTCGAGAGATTTGTGTCAGGCAACCTTTAGCTATGGACGAGACTTTGTTGCAAGACCTAGTTTTATACAGGAAGAGCAAAGACAAAGGTGTCATGATGGCTGCGAAGGGTCTCTTGGGACTTTATCGTGATGTTGGTGCTGATATGTTGAAACGACGTGACCGAGGCAAAGACGCATCCATGGCATTGAGGTCTGGAGAGAGGAAAGAGATTCGTTTCGGCGAGGAAGCTTTGGGTGAGATTGAGGGCCTAGAACTGTTGGAAAAATGGAAAGAAGAAGAACGCAAAAGAAAAAGAGCCGAACAAGGCCTTCCATCTGACGGTGATGATGATGACGATGTGGAAGAAGACGAGGCAGCTGGCTGGGCTAACTGGGATGTGGAGGATGACGACAGCGATGATTCAGGGGGATGGATCGATGTTGAAAGCGACGCAGAAATTGAACTGAGTGATTCGGATGAGGATAAACCGCGTACTAAGAAAGCAAAGCAGGCCTCTAGCGAAAACGCCGAAGAGACGGCGGAGCAAGAAGAGACCAAGAAACCCAGTAATTACGCAACGACTCGAATTCTGACACCAGCCGATTTGGCCAAGTTGGCTGAGCTACGCTCCAATGCTGCGGTGAATTCGCTGCTCCCCAGCTCCAAATCAAAACGCATGCAAGCTGCGCAGAAGAGTGCTGATCGGCATGCCGATGACCCTCTAACAGCTGCAGAGATTGAAGGTCTTGCTTTACTCTCTAAAGGGAAGCTTACCCGAGAAGAGAAGATTGCACACGCAAAGGAATCTAAGACTGATCGCGATGAGTTCAAGAGTAAAACCGCACGCAAGAAGGAAAGGAAAGTCGAAGATAGAAAGAGTACGACAAACAAGGAGAAGGCTAGGAAGAAGAATTTCCTCATGACGCTGGGAAAAGCAAGGAGCAAGAATAAGCGCAGTCTTGTTGAGACTAGAGCAGTGTTGAAAGCTCATCATGATAGACAGAAGAGGGGCGGCCGGCGTGGAAACAGAGGATAGAATTAAATTCATGTACATAGGACAGACTTGTGGTTCATATTCATAGAATGAATTCTGGGACTGATATCTACATTAAAGATTATTTAACGTATATCAATTGATTGATTGATTGGTTGTTGGCCGTTCTGTAGCATTATGTACCTACAATCCTGGCGTCCCAACTATGATATTTGAGGGTTCTACCAAGAATACTTCACCGTTTGAGTAGCAGTAAAGATTCCACCGCAGCATGTCAAATGCTCCCCTTATATAACCGAGATGTTTTGATTACAGGCCTACTGCGAGCTCGAATTCAGAGGCCTGAGGTAGTATCCTTAGGTTTCTTCGATGCAAATCATATTTATGTAGCTGTAAACAGTGCAAACTGCTCAGGTCACATGACACACTGAAGCAGTTATATTGGGACGCGCCCCACCAGCCCGGCGCGTCATATGCGCGCGACCCAGCCACACGCTTTGTCCACCCTCGACAATTTCTTATCCAAACACCCATCCATTCCTCTATCGCTTCGCATTGACCCAGGATCCGTTGCCAGGGCATTCGACATTGCTTGTCCACCGCCCGTACCATCAATCTGATATCGTCATGGCTACCGTCCCACAGAGCTCTACATCTAAGAAGCGCCGCTTCCAACCTCCGATAACCAACTTTTTCGTGCCCGCCAGCACTGACGAGACCCCCGGCGTGTCATACAACAGCTACGCAGCACCAACTCATACACCCACCCCGACGCTTCCAAACGATATTCTGTCCTCTCTACTTGGAGTAGGGGCGCGTGTTCGCAAATCGGTTCCCGAGGGTTACAAAACGGAGCAAAAGAAAATGACACAGTATACAATCCCGGCGCCTCGTCGAGAACCAACAGAAAGCTCTGCGCCTTTGCAACAAACCCGGGTCTATGCTGGACTAGAGCCTTTCTGCGGTCTGCACAAGGTCGGCAATTATGCTGTCCAGACCTTTCCTCGACCTATTGAAGACTATCAAACTGCCGTGGATACGGATGAATCAGAGAGTATCTCGATACCCAACAGCAGCCAAGAATCGAATGCCTCATCATATTCTGGCAAGCTGAATAAACGCCCGCTTGATTCGGAGCTCGACGATATGGACGACTTGGATTTCCCGACATCCTTTCAGAAACACCCTTAATACGGCGATTGGCAGCGCCCACTAAATGTGAGTACTGTTTCACGATCAACATCCACATTCGATATGAGGTCTCAACGAACCATTCTGTCACCAAGGCTCGGACAACAGCGCCGACAGAGAACAGCGCCAGTTAACTCCTGGAAAGGAAACCTCGAGCAAGAAAACACAGACCCGCTCGCCACCTTGCCAACTCATCAAATGGACTTTGATGACTTTGGCGAAGCGGCTTTCTTGCGACGCAGAGAAGAAGTTGACGTAGACTTGACGTGGGCTAACTCGGATGTTGAGATGGACGTTGCGTGAAAAATACCGTTGACTGATTTTGTATCTCACTTGTCATTTTCCCGCCTTTTAATGATGTATATTTCCTTCATTCAAACTGTATAGCAAGTTGAACTTAGTTTTATTCATGTATTTGAACATATGGTGTATGTTGGGTTTAGGTTATTAGCACTCGATCGTGCTGTTCTGTTCTCAAGCGTCTGTCTGCGTTGTTTGGGTTTGGCAATGTACGGCCTCAATCGGGCCGAGGCGTTTATTTGTACAGTATGACTTTCCTGTATTTTGTAGGATTTCAGATTACTTGTCGATACATGGATAACAATTTATCAAGCAAACACTCAGTAATAGTACATAAAAAATTGGCTCTATTAGGATTGATTGTACCACCAATATTTGAAATGCTATCTAGCAAAAATTTAATCTTGTACTTGCATCAACAAAACTATCAGTTGATATCAATTAATGATAATAGATTGCTAATCATTCAAAATATTCATTGATATACATACATGTATCGTTAAATGACTTCAAACACCTTCTTAGTGTAATAGAAAATTACACTTCACATCTATTATTGACAGTGATACTACATACCTAGAAAACGCCTTTACAATTCGTCCTTTACTGTAGGTTTAGCTTTCGAAGATGTCTTCTTCTCAGTCTTTGTTTTGCTCTTCCCATTGTCTTTCTTTTTGCCATCGCTCTTCTTGGACCAAGAGCCGGAGGACGAGCCGCCAGCACTCTTAGCGCCCATTTTGGTGTAAATGCGTTGTAATACGCGTTCGACCTCTTGAAGTCGCGAGTCCATCTCGGCCACAGTCAAGACGGGATCATCGGACTCGGTGAGCTTTGCTTGAAGCTCACTTTGGGTATCGAACCATTCGGTTGTTGTCTCATAAACCCGTTTTAGAGAGGTTAGGTCTTGAGGAGTGTAGATGGAGTATGTCGGTACTGTAGGCACAGCGGTAATAGAGGTGGTGCTTGAGGAGGAGCCGGATGATGAGTAAGGATCGTCTTCAAGGTCAATTTCTCCATCGGAGGTAGAAGCAGTTGTGGTGCTAGAGCTAGCTTCAGTTGTTGTGGTAGCGCTCTCACTGGATAGTGAAGAAAATGCTTCTTCGTCGTGTTTGATTTGGAGCTCGACAAGATCAACCACCGATTTTGCACCAGCGAGCACTTCTTTGAGAACCTTCGCTTTGATATCACGCTCCGAGTTCTCCTTTTTCCTCCTGAGTGCTGGGTTGACAATTTCGTTCAAAGAAGCCAGCTTCTCCTTGAAATCTTTCGTATTGGCGTCCACGCCATCACCATAAAGCCATTCGCTTGCGGCCTCAACACGCTCTTTCAGAGAAGAAAGCTGATCGGCTTTGAGCGCCTTGGCGAACCCCTCGTCATCCACCAGGTCACGACCTCTATAGATAAAAGCCTCTAGCTCGTTAAGCGCCTCTTCTCTCAAAGCGCGTTCTCGGTCAGATGCATCAAACGCAGCCAAACGCTCCTTGACGCGACTAAGTTCTGATGGCGGCAAAGGTGGGCGCCCGAGAGAGGAAGACTTTAGGCCAATTGGAATCGTTTCCACTCTTACTTTCGCTTCCGCTTGTTTTGTCTCTTGAGTAGGAGAAACGTCCGATATCTGGGTAGTAGAGGCAGTCTCTGTTGATGTTGAAGCTTCCCCTTCAAGGGTCACAGACTCAACTGATTCGTCTTCATCTTCCCGCAATGGTTTCTGCTCGTCTCTTTTTCCCAAGCCAAAGAAGCCTTTTACATCGTCCACAATTCCCTTTTTAGAATCGACCTCACAGCTCACAGAACCACTGAAAATTTCAGGAAGTCCATCCGCAGCGCTTAGACGAACGGAAAATTTGGTGGTAATGTTGGAGGGTGCACATGCAAAACTATCGGTCAATTTCTTCACCGATGCTGTCAAATTCTGCGTAGCGACGTTCAAAACAGGAGCATCGATCTGCTCATTGGCGCCAGGTATTTGCTGGTAGAAGCTGAACTCAAAATCATCCAAATTCTTAACTGTCAGGTGTTTCTCAACGCCAACGTGAGACGTTGGTGTAAACAGCTTCTGTTGTCTTTCCTTGCCATCCGAAGTCCACTTGACTTTGATAGCATAATTTGCGGAATCCACTGCGCGAATTTCCTTGACTCTGAAACTAGGACTCAGAGCGGCTCCTTTGAAAGCCGCCCCGAAAACAGCAGCCTCATCAGCATTAACGCTTGTCCTTAATAAGCTGGCGTCTCCACAGCTCTTTTCCAGTTCCTTTTGAACAAATGGCGTTCTGATAGTTCCACCGTGGAGAATAACCGAATCAAGGTCACTTAGTTTCAAATCAGCTGCGGCCAGGGCATCGTCAATTGGTGTTCCTACTCTGGCTGCATGTTCTTTTGCCAGAGACTCAAACTCGGAGCGCGTGATTTTATATTTGAAGATGACATCTTCCTGATACAATCCTTCGAATGTAGAACCTGTTTCCGTATTGGCACTCAGGATTTGACGGACGCGCTCAGAGTCCTTCCAAAATTTCGCCATCGTCTTCCCGTGAGACCTGACGTCAGAAGCCGTAATTCCTTCACCAAGCTTCTTGCTTTGAATGAGTTTGTCAATCATATCATTCACAATGAGTTCGTTGAGCGCATCGCCACCAAGTGTCCTATCCCACCCAGCTCCAAGGGAATGGACTTCCTGAACAGTCTTATTGTAGCGTCCAACATCTTTCACGGTCCTGCTCTGGAATCTGAGAACAGTAGCGGTAGTAGAGCCCGCACCCATATCATATACCAAATGATATTCCGGTTTTTGGCCATCAGAGACGCTTGGGAAAGTGCGACTTGTTGCGTAATTCAATCCGACAGCCAGGCCATCACTAATCAATGCCTCCACATTTAAACCTGCCAATTCTGCTGCCAATTCAAGACTTCGCTTCTCCTCGGCGGTATAGTAAGCAGGATAGGTGATGACAGCGTCTCGGATATTCGTCCCTTTGCCAGCCAATGCTTCAGCGTTTGCTTTCACCTGCTTCAGTTGCATAGAGAGAATTTCTTCTACTAAGAAAGCATGCTTTCCCTCATTACCGGCTAGTTTTTGACTGCGTAATGCCACGGTGTCTCTATCACCTGAGGCCTGTTCGAGTTGTAGCGCCGGATAGCGGTCGCCGTACTGTTTCACGATTTCACTATTTTCGAATGGAATGCCGAGAAGCGACTTGAGGTTCGCGTAGACATCGTCAGGGAAACGAGCGGTGAGGGCGAGGGCGTCTCCACCGTAAAACCGTTCAGGAAATTGAGAGTTGCTTTCTCGGGAAGGCTTGAAAGCGACAGCTGCCGATTCCTTGCGCTTCGAGTCCTTGGTGAGGACGATCTCGAGTGGGATACCTGGCTTCACAAGGGCGGCTTTGAGATACTCCGTTCCCAGATCGATACCCAGGACAGCTGAACCGGCAGCCGAGGCTGGCGCAGGAAGACAAAGGACGAAGAGAAGTAGAGGAGCGAGTATTAAAGTGAAAAAGGGAGAAAAGGTTAGGAACGACATATTCCTTCGTCGACTTGTGGCAGCCATGATCTCCGTAACTATGTGGCGAATATTACATTAGAACACAACAACCAGAACTCAAGGCCACTAGAATCGTACTTTGTTTATTACCAAAGGTAATAATCAAGGGAAAGAAAAGTCTAGCCCCTAGCGGGCTCTCCGGGTTGTTCAACCACACCGTTCGCGTTCCGAGCGTAGGCACAGAATCAAGTTGAAGGGACTCGGAAACGAATCAAGCTCAAGAAGAGAATGCGTTCATGAGTCTAAAACTGTTGAAATCGCAATCAACAACGCCGATGCTAGGTTTTTAGAAGGGGCCACGTGGAGCTGCAATAATAATGGTGTGAGCCGCCCTAATTTTCCTCAAACTGGCCTTATCGCAGAGGACACTTTGGCATCAGGATCGCCGGCCGGCAACTGGTACCTGGTACTTCCTATTCCTGATTAGGCATGTTTGCACCGCCCGTCGAACCTTAAAAGTGGTTGCGGCTAACCCTAATACGGGCGATCTTTTTCTATTTTTACATACAACGAATTGATGTTATTACTTGTAATTCGTACAAGAATTGAGAGTATAAAATCCATCGCACAGATAGCCTATCAATCGTCGTCCGAGTCTGTCTCGCTCATCCAGCCTTTTTCGTAAGCTTCCCGCAACTCCCCTAGGCCATTTGTCAGTGTCTCCCTTTCCTCCACCCCTACCATTCTACTTGCAATCGTCTGTAGGTCTTTCAGTTTGTCGCCAATTCTTGATGTACTTGACAACGCTGTGTAAAGTTCTACCCCTGTCTCTGCATCGTAGTCCGAGAATAAATTGCGAGGATAGCTATCAGGGAGTGGAAACCGCAATGTCGTTGAGAACCTATATATAGTCCATTCAGTTAACTTTTGTGGTTAGCGAAACAGTGGATATAGCGGCCTCACCTTTTCAGCGCTGGCTTGGATGTATAAAAACGCATTTTACGCGCCAGTCCAATATCCTCAACAGCCGATGTGGCATCATGTGCAAACTCTTCTTTCCGGCCCCTGAAGACTTGTGCTTGAGTAAAAACAGTTGTGCCATCTGTCATAGCCTTAGGAATAGTGAAGTTGAGATCAAAATCCAATTTCACATCCTCATCTAGTCCACTCAGGTCATCCTCGTATGTAACCCAGCGAGGTCTCTTATTGCTATCACGTCTTATCATTGACGATTGCAGTTCAAAAATGGTCTGTGTTCCTCCGCTATGTCCCATCAGCGAAGACTCGAAATCGTGATGAGGTCTGAGTCTGGCTGGAAGCGTTACTGTTTCCACTGCCGATGCAATCAATGCAGCTTTTGACCATTCTGATTTAAAGTCGACCGTGAGGTAGCTTGGAAGGGTTGGTGGAGAATCGATAATAGGGCAGTATAACGTGGACAGAGGCGATATAGAGTTGAGAGTCTTGGCTGTATTGACCATTTTAGACATTTGCTTTTGCTAAATGATATTAGCACAGGATGCATAACGAACATAAGCGACTGCTACCTACTCTTGGCACCTTGGCGCCATCTTCGATTGCCCATACCCAAATACCAGTCTTACCGTATTCGTCTCTCAGTCTGTCAGCGTACCTAGCGGCAAACCCTCCCCAGGCATCGTCAGACCCAGTAAATATTTGAAGGGCACGAATTTGATCACATTCCTCCATGAAAGGACGGATATCTCGGTCTAGTAAATCGTGCTCTTTATCTAAATCACCAAACAAGTCTTCCCCAGCTGACCAATGCTCGAATGGCATCAAAGACGAGTTAAGCTCATACTCGTTCAGTTGAACGATTGATCGAGGGTGATAAAATATGCGGTTGAAGTCTGACCAGTAACGTACAGAATCTGACGTCAAATCTGGCGGCTGAACCCCAGTATCCAAGTTTTTTTGATACTCGCTTTGGGGGATGTTGGGCTGCGTCTGCACAACTTGATTTCCATCCCTAACATGCAATTCAGTCACTAGATCGGAAATACATGTTCTTGGCTCACCATAACCCCCTAAGCACACCCGAGGAATCTTCTACTTCATAAAGCGCATTATATTTACGAAGAGCCCCGAACCCCCCTTTCAGGTCATATATGACAGTTCTTGGTGTGAATGTTTCTGTTCCATCAGCACCCAGCCCAGGTCGAAAATGAACATCATGGTCTATTAAATGGTCTGAGTCTTCGTTATATGTGAAGTAAGATTCCTACGTCGACGTTAGAATTGAAATCTTCTCAGTAGTAAATTCGTTGATTGACCTGGAGGTTCCAAAAGTGAGTCGCAATGTAATTACTCCGCTCACCCAGTTGCAAAGTGACGATCTCGTGCATTATGGATGAAGTTTCATGGCACACTATTTATTAATATTACAGCCGTAGATTCCAGATATTGCACGATGCGACTAAATAGGTCGACACAAGCGCAGTAATGATTTCTTTCGTCCCGGAATTATCACGTGATGACGATACGTCAGATCGTGGTCTATACCTATTTTGGCACCCTGAGGGGCGGTTGCTCTGAGCAACCGGATACGCCGCGCTAGACGATAAACATAGCAAAAGCACTCCACCAATGCCTTCCCTGCATCAGGTCAATCTGATCTGACCAGCAAACGTCACACCATCCTCTCTGTTCGCCAAAAAGGTAGGCGCAGTCAAAAGTACGACAAGATCTTCAAAATCTTTTATTTTGCTGCAGTCACCACCTTGACGATCCGCCTGGTTGCGCGGTTCGTACGACAATTCGCAATCGCCACAATAACAACGCATAATCGATCACAATGGACTCACCATCGTTCAAACCGCATTCGCCATCGAAAACACCTTTGTATCCCGCTTCGCCTGAACGGATTAACCAACAGAAGCTCGTGAGCTCACCGTCTATGCCTTCTGATATTTATCAAAAAGCATCGGATGTGCAGTCGAGGATTGCTTTTATCAACAATCTATCTAGAGCGGGCAGCCCGGCACCAAACAGCCAACAAACTTCCTCCACCTCAGTATCTGCTGCCCTTCAAAGGGCAATCCTTGGGCGTGAGGAGGCAGAATCAGCTCTAGCTAGAGTAAACGCTCAAATATCCGAGGCTCAATCTCGTGAGCGCAAAATAAGCGAGAGACTTGAGTCATTGCTCGAAGAGCTGCAAAATACAAGAGAACGCCAAGCGCATGAGCGTGCACTTTATGAGAAGGAGGTTCGCAAGGCGCGAAAAGAAGCGTTTCGTGCTGGATCTACACTAGTTAAGCTACAGGAAGAATTAAAGCTCTCAAAAAGCGAAAATAAGACACTCAAGGATGAGATTCGCATAGAAAGGGAAGCGACAGAGAAGGCAAAGCAGGAGGCTTTTGAACGCGCATATGCCTTAGCTGGAATGACAGAAGAGTTTCAGGGACTCAAGGATCAACTTCGAGCCCTAGAGGCTGCGAACCAGACAGGCTCTTTAGAGATGGAAGTTGTCGGCTTCGAAGACAGCAGCAATAGGCCGGCAATCGACTACGCCGACCAGGGTACATGTACCACCCCTACTTCTAGACGGCCAAAGCGGAGCGCAGATGCATCTGAAATTCTTCAATCGAGTGAGTCACAGAGTATTCACGAGGAAGAAACACCCACAAAGAAAATCAGACTATCGCGGCGTGTCTCGAACAAGGAGAATGAAGATCCCGAGGAGCTGGAGCATCAATCAGACCTCATTGATGGATTGAAAGCAGAAATAAAAATTGAAAAACGACAAAGGGAGAGAGCAGAAGACATGGTTCACTTCTTGAAGATGGAATGCCAGTTTAAGCGCTGCTCTTGCAGAATTGCGGAAAGCCAAGGTTTCGACTATGTTTACGATAAAGACTGGGAAAACATATGCAATAATAGCCACCATAGAATTGTGGAAGAACAACAATCTCACTTCCGCGATGAAACACCGGCGGTATCCGCTCATTCACCGTTCGAAAGCCCAGTGACTGCAATGACGCCTCCTACCCCTGAGTACAGAGAACCGACTGTTATAGAAAAGGAAATCCAGCCTACCGATGATCAAGACATTACTTTCTGCCCAACAACTGGAACATTTGTATCCGTTCCCTCGCCGCCGCCGCTGCATGTGGAGATGCCTGATCGACCCCGCGAAGAACCTCTAGTCCTTCCAAATGCCGACGAAGCAGACGTGATGCCAAGCTGTCCTGACTTTTTCTCAGTTTCTACCAAGACAGCTGAGACTTTGCAAACGGCTACCGATGGCCAACCTTTTGAAGCTTATGCTGAAGTCACCGAAGCGTCTAATATCCAAACCATGATGCCCTTCACTGTTGATTTCACCGAACACACCAATACCGAGAATGACTATATTCAAGAACAACAACAACATTCAGAACCTCTGCCCATAACCCCAACCGAGCAAGTTACAGTAGCAAGAGAGGAATCGGTGACCAGAACAGTTCCACTTCAGACTGAACCAAGGCGATCAGGTAACCCGTCTTCCATCATACCTGGCACCCCAGTCACCCGTGAAGAGGCATTAGCCCAAATCCGAGCACGCAGAGGAAGGGCCAAGAGTACTACAAAGAGATCTGCAAGTGCCAGCGAGGCCACTATGGGCAAGGCTCTAAACAACCGGATACCAGGCGTGTCACACTCAGATACGAGAAGCGAGCCGGACGTCAGTGACCGAAGGAGAAACTATGCAAGTGCGCCTGTACGACGATACTAAATACGCTCACATCACCCTACTTTCAGTATTTTCAAATCTTGACTTGAACATTCTGGCACACATCTTACTCGGCGCCTTTGGCCTCAAACCGTTATCCCATTGTTTTCTTTGTACAATTCAATTTAGCACGGCGTTGGTGACTTGATACATCGTTGCAGCCTCCACCATAATATCTCGACTCGTTGAACATCACATTTTCTACCTACTTTCGGAATGTCCACTGGCTACTCAGCATTGTGAAAACTCTCTTTAGCGTCTTCATTTTGAATTGTATATAGTTCAACTTGTTATTGCATTTGCTTACTTCAAAGGCGTTGGTGTTGAAGTGTTATTGTATCTACATTGTTTCGAATTTCCAATTTATCGGACTATGATCACTGTTTGCGTCTACGTAAATGAGAAAAGATAGAAACTATACATACCAAGAATATACCGCCCAGATACAAATAACGGACAATAGGCCATCATGAGTACGTTATCTCAAAGAAGAAATAGATTTTTCAAAAAATTGGAATCCCGCAACATCGTATTCGCGTACTATCCACATACGCCTTGCGACCCCACCACGATTGAAGCAGGTTTTCTAGAAATATCCTATCTGCGCCACTCCATACATCCAAGCCCATCTCGGCCATGTCGGCTGATGTGACCAGCACCGGGCCGACTGTCTGACCGTCCTTTCGGTTTCCTGTGGAAGAAAGGAGTAATGGTTCCTCGTCGCTTTCGTTGGTAAAGGGTTGATTTGGTCTAGTTTCATCCTCGCCTTCACCGGCTTCGTCTGTGGGCTCGTCGTAGTAGTATGCCGGAAGCTCGCCATTGCCGTCGACTTCTTCCTGTCGTGCGACGGCATCAGCAAGAACGGTGAAGGTGAGCGTTGTTAAACGTCGGAAGTAGGCTATCAGGGCTATTTCCTGCGGTTGGTTGCTTTCTTCTACTTGAAGGCCTGGATGAGATAGTTGGCCTAGGTGAGTGCTTGCTAGAAAGTTGGTGTCCTGCTCGTCCTGTTCGGTCTCGTCGTCAGATAGCACAGCACGTTTCTCACCGGCAGAGGCCCACCAGAGGAAGGAAGTATAAGCGAGTCGAGGCCAAGACAAGGGTTCAATGATAGGGGAGGATGAGAATGTCGAGGCCGTATCTAAATCATCATGAGCATTTTCCAAATCCTCGGTTTCAACATTTGACAGTCGACGAAGGCCGTCGGAGAGGATAGCGAAACGACGAGCGTCGCGTTGTGTCGCCTTCAAAGGCACCAATTTTGCTGGCTTCCCCTTTGCAGCCAACTGATGCACGACGGAGATTGCGGGGTAGACCTTTTGGGCTGCCGACTTGGAATATTTTGGAGGCAGTTGTACTAGAACATCAAATAGTTCAGGTTTCGTTGCTAGGACATTGTCTGTTGTGCAGGCTATCCAGCCTGAGGGGGTATTTGAAGCTGCCGAAAGGAACGGAATATCGTGTATTCCAACGTTAAAGAGAGGTCGCGGGCGGAGAGGCGGTGTTCCATCTGGATTTAAAAGGGGCGACAGTGATTGCGGTAGGGAAGAAAGTAATGAGAGCCCGTAGACTGGATACCTATCAGCTGCTTTGTCATTTGTTTGGAAGAGAACAAAACGTACCGTAGTCACATGCAGTTTGGACCGGAGCCTCAGTGATAATCAAAATTCTCTTGCGTAATAAGGATGCTCTGAACAGAGGAAAAATGAGGGGTCCAAATTCTGCTATAAAGTCTGGAAGTGACAGTGCAGGGTGGAACGGCGCCAGGACCGGCCTGGCAGCTTCTGATCCCGTTGCGTCGCTGATAGACCCCCTCCCCCGCAATGTATCTGGGCGGTCTGCTCTTGATCGCATGCGAAATACGGCAGGAGAATCAGGTGGAGAATCGCCTGACCTGACATCATCCTCACAGACATGATGCTTGTCCCAGTATTCAACCAACGCTTGTGTATTTGTGATATCCTCCGCGCATTTTCTACAAGACTAGTCAGCCTAGGCAAAATGGTCAGGCCCTTTATAACTAACTTCGCAAGGTCCCTTAGCCCTAAGGCATGTCTCCAACTCTTGCCCAGTCTCCCAAAGCTCAAAGGAACCAAAGCACCAACAGCCAACATGAGAGCATTTCGTTGTGCTTCAGCGGCGGGTTGGTTGACGAAGGCACTTATACCAGCGTATTGATCGTGGATGAAATAACTATTAAAGCAAAATTAGAGACCATTTTCACTGTTTATTCTTGTGATCCACATACACGAGATCCTCTTCGACATTGTGTAGTCCTGACGGAAGCGATTTGTACTCGACGGCGCCTTCGAGGTTCACTGCGCATTCACCGATTAGCAAGACTGGAAAGTAGTTGATAAGGAATGTGACATACCGCCAGGTATCGATTCTTTCCAGGATACGACATATCTGCGCATGAAGCGTTAGCCACAGGGAAGAAGTGAATGCGACACGACGGTTTCGTACCCTTTCTTGATGTCGAAGCGAATCAAGAACAACGCTGCGATGCTCGGAGGCGATTCCAAGGGAGAGCTTTGAGACAAGTCGAGCCTCAGAGACGTCCTACGGCGCTGTTCCAAAGCCATCGCCTATATGTAATTGCGACTGGAAGCGCATGTGCTCCATGAAATACAAACAACGTAGTTAGCAACCGACGGAGGTCATGATACCAGTAACCCTGAAGGTTAGAGGGAGGAACGGCGAGCGGCGAGTCGGCATGGGCCCCGGCTGGGGCTGCCGAAATGAAAATGCCAAGCCACATGTGCAAGCTTATGGCAGCTAATTATTGAGCTTTGGTTGCCTTGTGCATGTTGTTCTGTTAATTGGATTGAGCTAATATTCGACTTGAGCAGCTTAAAAGTGAATCTCTCATACAGGAGACTGAGATGCTACTTAACAACCTGTTGCCAAAAAAAATCAAATGATATCTGATCGCTCAAACTATCAATCAATTGAAAACAACAACAGGGCGTGACATTTAAAGTCGGTAAAATATATATATCAGTGAGGCGCGATAAATTTCCACTGATGTCAATAATTTTGGGACGTTGATTTCAATCCCACTTCTATTATTGACTTCCAGAACTCATCTCGTTGGAACTGTTCAAATTTGATGTACAAAAAATATGTCAAGGCCGGTAATGACTTCTCATCCATATTACCCACTCGGTGTGGAAATCAAAGACTACCAACCCAACGACAGACCTCTGTTGGAACTGGTGGGATATTTTTCTCTTGGGTTAGCAGGTATTATTGGGATCATTTTTGCCACGGCATTATATACGCGTCCATCCATGCCTCGTGGCGATAGACTGAGCATATTGTGGTTTGCGCTGTGTATGATAGCGACCGAAAAAGAACATCAGTGATTACAAATGCTAATGAACAGCACAGCTGGTATTCTCCATTGTTTCTTTGAGGGCTACTTCGTTGTCAACCATCAGCGTATGGGACCGTCTCAGGATCTTCTCGGGCAGCTTTGGAAAGAATATGCAAAATCCGATTCACGATACTTGATCGCCGATCCGTTTGTCGTTAGTATCGAGGCAATTACTGTGGTAAGCTCTGATATTTTATACTCTGTTTAACAGCCAGCTGACCGGGGTATGGAGAAACAAGGTCGTTTGGGGTCCGTTGTCTCTTCTGGTTGCATTTCTTACAACCATCCAACATCCTTTAAAGCACCCATTGCGAATTATCGTGTGCGTGGCACATCTGTACGGTGATAGTTTGTATTACGCCACTAGTCTTTTCGATCATTACGTCAATGGTATCCCATATAGCCGACCGGAGGCTCTTTACTTCTGGGTGTACTATGTATTTATGAATTTTATCTGGATTGTGGTTCCGGCTGGTGAGTTGCTCCATGCAGTAGGAGAAAAGTACTCATCTAACTCTCATCTGGCTACAGGACTTCTTTACAGTAGTGTTCGCACCGTATCGAGAGCTCTTCAGACCTTTGATCAGGTATCAGAACAGAAAAAGGCCGATTAGCAGAGCTAAAACCGGTCTGCGAGGTGGACAGTTTGTAGGCGAGACTTTGAATTGGGCGATCTCATATATACCTAACCTATGACCTCGGTTGATGATGGCGAGGTTCTTCCGTCGATAGAGATTTCCGAGACAAATAGGATTCGCAAGGCTAAATTTTCGTCTGTTATATAATTATTATTCGTCGCGACAGCTGGCGATGCTCCATTTCGCTCCACTATGTGATCTGGGAATCTACCGCTAGGACGTTGGGCTCCACAGCAGCTGCAGTTGCAGTTGATATTGAGTCGCACGTATGCACCGGGTGGTTGTGTAAGAACGTCATGTGAGTAGACAGTAAGCTTAGAGCCTGTAAGACCTCGCATATATTAATAGAAGTCCAAGCTAATGCACTACTGAAGCTGGGAACTTGGGAGAGCAGATAAGATGACTGGGTCAGCTGCGATCGGTTACCGGGGCAGCCGGCGGGAAGGCCCAGACTGGGCCTGCGCCTGCCCAGCGCCCCCAGCGCCCCAGCAGCAGCCTGCCATTGGAGGCAGATCGATCTATTCTATGCTGTGCAGGGACAGCTGACACAAACAAGATCATTCATTCCATTCATCCCTCGCTCTCTCGCTCTATCGCTCGTCGATTTTGCGCACGCCGATTCTGACAGCAACAGCTGCATCCTACCAGTTCGCCACCGTCTTCGTCAACATGAACCATATCGATCCCTGTGCTTGCTGAGCTCAAACGGTGAGTAAGTGATTTGTGCGCAATGACGAAACCGCGAAGCTTCCGCCCCAAACATAAACATCCAGCTCAGCTTGGATACCTACCCCCACTGTGATTTCGCCGCAACATTCCAGTCGCTGAAGTTGTGTCGCTGGTTTTGCACCCCCTAGTATATCGGAGGAATGAATGTTTTTAACAAATTGCTCGATAGATTCCAATGCCCTCTCCTGCGACCCCGCGTCGAACCCCTGCTCGTGGTAGCGCCAAGTCTACCCCGACCAAGTCAAAGGCGCTCGACATTGGGAAGCCGTTAGGTGTGCATGATACGAATTCCGTTCGCGAAAAGGTTCGGCTGTGGCAGCAGAAGGGTGGAGGTGTTGTGACGCCTAAGGACCCTCTAGCTGACAAAGACGATGACAAGGGCGAGGAGAACAAGCCAACGGAAGTGAAACCTGAGGAAGTGAAACCTGAGGAAGAACCGGAGCCTCTACGAGTCGCCCCGCGAGTTGCCGCACGTGTGAAATCTAGCCAAAATATAAAGACAGAGGGAAGCAATGGGACCAGGAAAAGAAGTCAGAGTACCCCCAGGAAGCGCGTCATCAGCGATCAGCACTGGCGAAAGCAGCGCAGTCCGCCCACCAGCGCGAAGCAAGCAACCAAAGGGCTGTCTCCTAAACGATTGACAACCTACAAAACGAATGAAAAGTATAATGCCTCATCATCGTCTCTGCCTGAAAGGAGCATACCCAAGAAAGACCATGCGCCCGGTGGACTGAAAAGCTCCAATACTACCGGCGACGGCATTAGGGTTTACCCGTCCAATCAAACACCTCGAAGCAAATCTCGGGTCGTCAAAACTACAAAATATGTTTATAAGGATGGCGACTCAATTATCGAAAAGGAAACCGCAAAGACCAGCGAGCCTTCAGTGGCATCGTCATCATTGTCAAAAGAACCACCCAATGACGAGAAAAACGAGTCATCGGTGAGAGAACGATTTAGAAGAACCACACCACCTCCAGAAGATGATGACGATGGCTGGGCTCGAAGCGAGGCAAATTTCTCTGAGTTATCTCGAAGGAGACGGCGAGGGCCAGCCGAAACACGCAATCCCCGCAAGGCAAAGGGAGGAATTTTGAACCAAGTTTTTGATGAGTCTAGGAAAATGTTTGCGAAACCAGCTCCCCCCCCTCAGGCACCTGTCAGCAACCGCGGCGATAAGATTGCAGATTGGCTATCTGGCCAGCCTGACCCGTTCGTAAATGATGGCGACAATGGGATTTCAGTAGACATGCCTGCTCCTCTGAAAACAAGATCTGAAGCGATAAGACGACCAACTCGGGGATCGGAATCTAGTATAACTGACGAAACGAGTCAGTTTACCGAATTCAGCCATAGTCGCCGATCAGAGAATCAGACACCTGGTGAGAAAGGTCGGCGGCGATCTTTGACGGCCGCTGAAGATACAGACACTCTTCGGAAGTCCTCGTCCTCGATAACTAGTAATTCTGAGTCGAGAAAAGCAAGGCCAACCTCCATATCTACACACTCGGCCAATGAATCTTATGCTCGCGAACCAAAGACGCCTACAAGATCATCCCCTCTTAAGCATACGATATCGACTCGAGATTCTGTTGTCTCCGACGAGAGTTCCGAAGTTTCTGCCAGTGATATTATACTTCCTTTGAGGCTGAGGAAGCCTTTTCCCAGCACTGGACTGCACCGACTGTCCACAATAGCCTCCGAGGAAACGCTGAGTACAAGAGATGATAGATCCTTTATTGGGAGTGAGAGCAAGCTTTCAGAAATCGATTCCACAGAACAGAAAAACGACTCTCTTCGCGAGGAAGAACGAGATTATGTGGATCCAAATTCACTTTCAAAGACCGGAGCTGGTCTCCGAAGGAAGTTGACAAAACATGAAGATTTGATGTCCGTCCTGTCTAATCCCAAGTCAGGTAGACGCAGTATACGGTCAACACGCAGTATCAGAAGCAATCGGACACGATTGGAAAATGCAACGATAGAAGACTTAATGAAGGAGCTTACTTCCGACGAAACCAAATACTTGCGCGAGCTTCGTACGCTTGTCGGGGGTGTTATCCCTGTCTTGTTGAGTTGTGTTCTTTCTAGATCTGATTCAGCTGTTGCTGCCGGTCTTTTTCGCCCTTCAGCAGATCCCAAAGATGAGGCCACTTTTACAAGGCCAATCGTTGACATGGGCGTTGCCCTCGAACGTCTTAAGAATTTGCATAAACGCATTCCCTTAGAGGACTGTGAAGCGCTGCTCGGATGGGCACAGGGTGCCCAAAGAGTTTATCGAGACTACCTTAAAGCCTGGCGGATGGGCTTCCAAGATGTCGTGGTTAATTTGGCTCCTCTTGATGAAGAAGAATCTGCCAAGCTAGAGACACAAAGTTTAGACCAAGGCATGGAACGAGACGAAAACGGCGATGTTATTGACAGCAATGGGGAAAAAGTAGATGTTGCATACTTGCTCAAGAGACCTTTAGTGCGGTTGAAGTACCTTTCAAAGACCTTCAAAGGAATCGACTTCATAGCTCATTCGCCCAAGGCCGAACAAATGGCAGAAGCTTATAAGGACCTTGTTGATCTAGCCCGTCGCCGCTCCAACGAAGAACGGGCCCGACTTGAAGATGAATCCGCTGCTTGCGTCGATGATACCCGCGCACGAGACCCTGAAACTCTTAAAGTTCTTACTGATCTGAATGTCAACAAGTCTCGCCGGGTGCTTGCTCGAGATTTTTTCAACCTTTCCCTACTGCACTCAAGTGGCCAAACGATTGACTGCCATGCTGAATTATTACTTAGAGACAATGCCCCTGGGACAGAAGAAGGGGGTGACCTTCTTATATGTGAAATTGACGATAGCGATCGTTGGCTTCTCTTTCCTCCAATCGAAACGAGGTGTGTCTCCGCTCGCAGCGGAAGTGCTAAAGGCGAAATAGTCCTGATGATTCGAGGATATTCGGCTTCACAGGACCGAGAGTGGCGAGAGTTGCTATCGTTGACTATCGATGACGAAGATATTAGACTTGAATGGGTTCGTATGCTAGGCTTAGATCCTGTGCCACCTACGATATCTAGATCGCAGAGCTTCCTTGAGCGGTCGAGACGGCGAAGAAAGTCTATTGATGAAAAGAACGAGAAGTTAACCTCAATGAAATTGCGCTTGCCCAGTCCCAGTGAGGTGGATGTGCCGATCGGTGAGCAAGGAAGTGTCATCAGTCGTGCGGGAAATAGCTCTGTCACAAACACGTCTGGACCAAGTACTTTAAGTAACTCTTCAGAGGCAATTTCAGGCACATCCCTGGTTTCTGCAATCACAAGGGCATCCGATTACTCACGTGGTAGCCATCCTACAACACCCACTTCACCCAATGCTCGCGAATTACTGCCATCGGCCAAGGAACTAAGTGATAAGAAGAAAACTGATGGGAAAGCCTCCCCTGGTTTGAAGAGGACTAAAGCGAACAGACGCTCTCGACACGCTGGGGAGATGTCGCCAATAGAAACCCCCACAAAGGTTTCGCCTGCACCAGAACAAAAAGAGGATTCCACGACTCCGAATTCCAAAGGTCCTACTCGCTTCTACGAAAACAACCAGGCAGTGCACAATCAACAAACAAGTATTTCTTCCAAGAAAAAGAGGGAGCCAACTCCAGAAGATGACCATGGAAGCCCGACTCAACACCGTTTGTCCTCTGTACCGTCTATGAAAATGCCCTCCATTCCAAAAATAAGGCAAGGCAGCGGTAGCAGCCATAGCAATACGTCAATTGATACGACATCTGATGATGACCAAGAGTGGCCGGAATTGCAATTGACTTCGAACTCGAAAGACAATGGTGCTAGCGATCCAGATGAACCACCCCCTCCGCCTCTCCATAGATCTCCGAGCCAGGCGCAGTTAAAAAATGTCCCAATACTCAGCCCGTCCACTCCGCGTCAAAAGCGAAGGTCATCATCGCCGTTGAAACATGAGTATGAGCCTTCAAGTGCTTCTGATACTTCCTCCGAGTCGGATAGTTCCACTGTTCGTCATTACGATATGGGTTACTCTTGTTCAGATACCTCAGACACATCAGACGAAGAACTGGAAGACGATGACGATATACCAACGCCTCTCCCTCCAGTGACGTCGGGACAATTTTCAGATCCAGACCCGCCAGCTTCGCTTCCAGCTCTTGATGGAGATACACTGTCTCCTTCTAATTCGGCTTCTCAAGGGCCGTATCGGTCTGTACCTTCACAGCCGTCTAAATCATCCAAAGCTATTGCTTCAATATTCCATTGGGCCGAGCAAGGAAAGTGGGAGGGTCTCGTGCCCGGAGAATGCAGTATAATTGTGACCCCGGGTCTGATCGAAGCTTATGAACTCTCGCGAAGTCATCCCCATTCGCCTGAAAACCATGACCGTACCATTCGTCCTCTGATCGCGCTCGAGTTGACACCATTGGTTCCAATTCGACGTGGAACGGCCATTGACATTAGCATACGGTCACCACCTACTGAAAGATCGAAGATCAGAAAAAGTAATAACATCATGTTTCGTTCACGCAACCTTGAAGAATGCGAAGTACTGTATTCTTTGATCAACCAAGCGCGTATTAACAATCCCACCTATATCGCTCTCCAGAACGCACGAGGGCCTTACGCTGGGCAACCGGTTTCCTTTTCAAGATACGATTTGACCGACCAGAACAAATCAGCCAGCTGGTTTGGATTCCCAAGAAGAAAGAATAGTTACCGAGCGTCGAAGCGAGCTCCGTCTATTGGAATGGCTTCCGAAAGTAGCGTGGGCACAATGAGCAGTGCATTTTCGGCTCTAAAACGATTCGGCACCGGCAACAAGATCTTCAGCATTGCTAGATCAACTATCACATCTCGAACAGGAAGTCGTGATGGAAGCACATATTCTCGGCCTAGTGGCTCTGGCCTCGCAGCACTCGCCGAGGCTATCAAAGGAGCTGATGGAATTGGTTTGTCGAATGCGAAAATCAGACTCTATCATCGTGAAAGCACAACAAAATGGCGCGACCTGGGTGCAGCTCGACTGACGATCATGCCTGTGACCCCGAAACCATCGCGCCCCAATACAGCAGGCAGTTTGTCTCCAGCGGCAAACCCAAATTCAAACTCTCGTGATATTTCTCCGCTAGAAGCCTCCAGTGAATCAATGGATGAATCTTCACCCGACGGTATATCAACTCCTCCGGCCGCATCACCCCGGCGAGTGGCTATGAGTCAAGAAAAAAGAATTCTTATTCATGGGAAGACAGCAAAGGAAATTTTGCTGGATGTCTGCTTGGGCGAGACCTCATTTGAGAGAGTCGCCCGCACTGGTATTGCTGTTTCGGTTTGGGAAGATCGTTCAGGTGGTACCGTTCAGCACAAGGGCGGTGTCACCGGTGGTGCTTTCCGCATTTATATGATTCAGATGAAGAGCGAAGCCGAGGCTGCATATACTTTTGGCCTGGTTGGAAAACTGCGATACTAAGCAGTCTAAACCAAGGGTCTAATCTCTCTCTCTCTTCCTGTTTCTTTTCATTATACGCTACCTATAGATCTGATCACTTTTTTCATTTCTTATTTCATGTTTCATGTTATTCTCATGTTATCGTATCCACAAAGCATTAGGACTGAGAATGGCTTTGAGGTGCGGCATGTTTCTTATATAAAGTGCTGGTTTCCTTTGTGGTTAGAACTAGCCACGGTTTTCCTGTCTCTATAAATATTTCCTTGTCTTGTCATACCCACAGTGCAGTACGGTGAAACAAACGCCGAGCTGTCTTTGCATCCGGATTGCAAACAATGTTGTTACATAATCACGATCCTATTTTCGAGCTTCCTTTTCTTTCGTCTTTATATTTGTTCTTTCCCCCTTTGACTTCTGATTTGTCACCGGGTATCATTGTGTTTAGACATTGTTGTTTATCTGCTTCAATTCTCAGTGTAAATAGTCCCTCATATCTATCCCAATCAACCCAATGCATACATCGAACGATGTGAAACCATGGGTGGTTCTAGCTTGTAGGATAATGCGCCAAATTTGCTACGTAGTGGTCTGGTATATCTCTTAAGCCTAACAATTCCAGTTACATTTCGAATATTTCCTTCCTATTCTAACATTCCTCAGCACCCATTGCTATAAATCAAACTTATGTAGAAATTTTCAATGTTAATACTCAATCATATCACATTACTGTTCATGTTTCTCCATTATTGATCAAGTTATATTCGTGTTCGGGGCCCGTTTTGTAAGAATTGTAACAATTTAGTGTTTATGTCACCGGCCACTAAAGACTGCTGATAATAGTGATATGGGGCATCTTTTTAAAACAGAACATCAATTGATGCCCTATGTACATACAGAACTGGTTAGTATATAGTGAACCCATATTCAAATGCGTGAATACCTCACCGTCATTGATAATACCGCATCTTTAATTTTTCGTCGAGTCGCGATAGTAATAATCTTTGAGTCTGATTTCCTATAGAAACAATAACGAAAATCGGCATCATTCTTCTTGCGCTTATAGGGAATGTCTGGAAAGACTAAAAACCTACCTCAGGTTGGAATTGATGATAATCATCGGCCCGACTTATATGGACCCAATTGTTTGTGCCGCCTGACGTGAAGTCTTTATCTTGTTTCACGAGCTTATCAGATGAAACATCAAAAGAGTTTGGGATAGAGTTGAAATAGGAGAAATTTATTCCTATAGATTAAGAAAGTTTCGTTAGACCAAAAAAAATCTAATTTCTTTTCGAACAAAATCCAAAGGGATGATAGAATGTATATGGATGTGTATACATTCTCACCAACGATCATTCTTTACCTTTCTTTGAAGACTCTTCCGGGTCCTGTGAGTTGGAAAACAATGAAGGAGTAGTCTTTGCTGGAGTTGTTGTAGCAGCGGGCGTTTTCGGAGGGTTACCAAAGAGTCCTCCTGGTCTGCTTCCAACCCCTCCACCAAACTCTCCTCCAACAGACTCTCCTCCAACAAATATCCCTCCAGCTGATAACGTTCCAGACGTTCCTGTGGACTGGACTTGTTCCGAGAAAATGTTGCTGTTTCCTAAACCCTGAGAAGCTGGAGATAATTTACTTCCAAATAGACCGGTGGCGGTTGGGGGAGAGACAGGATTTGCAAATGGACTCTTTGGAATACTACCACTGCTATCATGACTCAATGCAGCTGTTCCTTCAAAAAGTGATGTTACAGTAACGTCTCGTGTAATCTGAGGTTTTCCAAGATGTGCAGCACTGGAACTAGTTTTGTCTGGAGAACTTTGAACTGTCGTTCCTGATGTGAGAAAATCTGGCTTTTTGTCTTGTAATACAGATCTCGACGTTGTCTTGTAGGCACCTGTACCGTTTGATGGATTAGGCACCGGCGATTCCTTGCTAACTGGTGCGTTAGTGCTCACAACAGAAACTTCTTCTTTGACAGGTTCTATTGTGGAACCGGTGCTTTCTGAATCTGCATTTAGACGGTTTGAAGCGAGTTTTCTAGCTTGTCGTCGGCATAGTTCGTAGCTTTTTTGCAGAGAGAATTGCTTGTCCAATGTTTGGCTGCGCAATTCGCGCACATCTTCTGACTCGAATGCAATTGCCTCCAGCATTCCATCGTCCATTCCAGAAACTGTAAGCGGCGATAGCAAGCCCTCGAGCTCGGCCATGAGGCAGTTTTCAATGGCGAGAATGGCAATGTTGTCTATAAAAACTTCTATAGCGACTGCATAATAAGCCTGCATTAGATAAAGCAGTTCCCGGCATGCATAAATGCTGGAGTGCTCATTGTTGTCTTCCCTCGTTGGTGCAGACGAGGATCCCAACAACTTTTGAGATCGCTTTTTCTCAAGCTCCTGAACGAATCGAGGGTTGAGGGTTGCCGGATAACTCTTGGAATAAGGAGAATGCAGCTCAGTCACCTTTTCTTTGAGTTTCAAGAGTACTCCGTCCATAGCTGGGTCAATTATTTCGTCAAGAATAGCGTGTCTCACATTTTCATCGGCAACCTCAGTTAAGACGTTATCTAGGAATTTCTTGACAATATTCCACATGTCCTCGGCAAACTCCATAGCGATTGACTTCCAATTCATTGATTGACGTAGGAACAAATCGCCGACTAATAGTGGTGTGAACGTCCCTGGGAGTTCTTTTCCTTTGCTTTGATCAAGAAGGACACGAATTTCATTCAAAAAATACGTTTCCGATATGTATTTTGGGCCCTCGAGATTGGATTGGAATCTTTCATTAACAATTTGATAGGTGTGACCCGACTCATGCATCTTGTCCGAGAAGCTTTGTTCCTTTTGTCTTAAGATTGCACGTAGTCGGTTGTTGAATTGCTCGAGCTCATCCTGCCCCGACTTCGAAGGCCTTAAAGAGGCTAAATCTTCGATTTTGAAGAATAAATCTTGATACGTGCCCTCATTTCCAGCTTTAACTAGATCATGAAACCGTGTTGCCATGCCGGTCAGATACTGACGGCGACTACTCTGAGTATCACGAGATGCTCCGAGCCGGTCCAAGACTGTCTTGCAGGCTGTCAATTCAAGCTCAATCTCCTTTAGCAGACTAGGAAGTTCTTTTTGAATTTGCTGATAAAGAACATGGCTGAGTCTTTTCCGAAGAGAATTCACGCCACGCTTCGAGGATGGTAGATTCTTCCATATTCCACTAGCAAGGAATTCATGCTCTGCTTTATCACGATTGAATTCGGAATCTTTCCGCTCGTTGAAATCGCCATTTCGGAGAATGTGCCAGTCCAGCTTGAAATAAGTCTCCTTATTGTTAGCTAGCGTAAAGAATGCTGACTCGTTTGGACTATCTTTGATGAGGCAATCGGGCTTTGTGATAATACCCATCGTTCTGACCCCTTGGGGATCATACTGCTTTGCCATTCTAAGAACTATTTGGTTCGAAGTATCATTCTTTGCAGTTACAATAGCCAGTACAATACTCCGGGGCTGAGACATGTATTTTCGCACCAAATCAATAGGAATCTGGACATCCTCTTGAGTTTGTTCCTTGTTGTGATGATGAATTAAACCGGGAAGATCGACCAGAGTCAAATGAGGCAGCCTAGGGCCCGAGACTTCCAACTGTAATATATCTCGCGAAAAGGTGCTGCTACCTGTCAAGCCCATGATTGCCTTGGCCTCGGATATCAATGTTGGGATTTCCTCATGGCTGATCGAGCTCCTTTGAAATTGCGACAGTTTATTTCTGTGTTCTGCGCTCGCTCCTTTAGCTGGAATCAGTTTCACAGAGGCAAGATCTTCGGACGCCCGACGCAGAATAACTTCTGTTGTGAACCGTGTACAGAGACCATCGTTGACGGGGAAGTGCACGCCTGAGATGGCTTCTAGAACGGAGCTCTTGCCAGAGCTTTGGTCTCCACAGACAATAAGTTGAGGGAGCGAAATGTAACGATTCACTCCATGTCGTCGTATCTCATCAACAGTGTCGAGAAGCGCGGCTTGATCTTTTGATTGGAGTGATTCTAATTGTGGGGTGTTTAATCTGTCCATTATTATCAAGTAGTGTGAGATGCAAAGCCAGGCAGAATGATTTTAGTAAGTTTGAAAAAAGAGGAAGATTGTGTTCAGTTAATTGTTAAATAGCACAATCGACTTTGACGAGGCTGAAACAAACCCCTCAACGAGGGGCGATAACGACTTGTTTGAGGGTATCTCTAATTTGCGACGCTATATCTTTAGACACTAGCTAAATTTGAATTATTAATGTAATATTTAAGATGAGACAACGCTCACATGACAATATTAATCAACAGCAATAATGGGAGACAGAAAGCTAGACATGAGTTGAGAGTTGCCGTTTTCTCAACGCAGACGGAGGGACTGGCCAATGACCATTGGGCAGACTATTCTCTAAACACATTAGCAATTACTGACCCATGCATAGATTTGTCTAAATCACAAAAAGTCATTGATCTATGAACCAAAGTCATATGCAATGCACACTGGTTTCTTTTTCCAAATTTTATCATACAGCTGCAATGTTTCATTACGTAGGTCCCTCGAGCTATTTCTAGATTCATATATAATCAACTGATCTCATGCTTATAGGGTATTGAATTATAGACTCTATATTTGTTCCTTCGTTATATGAGGAACTGGTTTACGTATCACTATCGTCGATATTGTATCGTAGGATTTCGTCATCAAGGTGAATCGCGTGTTTTATCCGAAACGGTTGTGGGAAACGCCGTCTTTTCGAATATAAACCCCACCCCATGTTCTTCATCACTAACTAAAGACTGCAAAATGGAATCTCCAATTTGATCTTTCAAGCGCAGCTCCTCATTCTTGAAAGCAGCTGGATCTATATGCAGGTACTGCGAAAGAAACTTTTGGATCTTTGTCTTTGCGGATGTCTCAGGTACATCTTCTTTCTTGTCAGACCTGTCTCTAGTTTGTTGACCTGATCCCTTCCGGTTTCTTTGCCGAACAGAATAGGTGCCGCGGCGGATCTGTTTCTCTTGTTCTTCAATGTCGAGTTCGGAGGCTTTTAGAAGAGTTGGAAGATCCGGAAGATCAATTTCACCGTCGCTGTCCAGTGGATATCCCATGGAAAGAGATGGACTTCTAGATATATCCTCGTCGTCTGAAGAGATAACAATAGCCTCATCGGATTCTGGAAGTGTAGGCATCCCTTTTCCTCCACAGGTACAGCCCAGGAGATCATGGGTCTGACATCCATCTCCTTCATACAGTCGAAATAAATCCTTGAGCTCTTCGCGTGAGAATTGAGCCATGCCACCTTTTGATTCTATGACGCTATCTGCCAAGCCAATTTTTGTCACTTGGCGCTGCCAGATCTTTTCCTCCAGTCCTCCTTTTAGCATGATGCGATATATGTAGCAATGCCGTTTTTGGCCATCGCGGTGAATCCGAGCCATGGCTTGCATATCGGTGGCAGGATTCCAATCAATATCGAAGAGAACCAAGCGGCTGGCTCCGATAAGGTTAAGTCCGGTGCCACCGGCCTTAGCAGATAGAAGGAATGCGAAACAATTGCTCGCCGAGGCACGGTTGAAGTCATCAACTAGAGATTGTCGCTTGGCTGTTGGAGTCGAGCCATCTAGGCGGAGAAAAGGCAAGGATAGGGATGTTAGCAGCGTGGCAAGAAGGTCCAATGTTGACGTATAATTGGAGACGAGAACGATCTTCTCGGTTGATGTTGTTCGTATATTGTAGAGAAGTTGGTCGAGAACTCTGATTTTACCACTGGAGGAAGGTGAAAACTGCCGAAGAAGATTTTGAGGCAGGCTGGATAGCAATGCTGCGACTGTATTGTTTTGTGGTTCGTCATTCGTTCTTGGATTTAGAAGCGAAGGACTGTTACAAAGCTTCTTCAAGATTGTGAGAAGACTGAATGCCCCCTCTATGCTTCCCATTGCTGTCTGGAAAATAGGAGACGCAAGTACATGACGATAGATTTTTGCCTGAGTGGATGTAGGCTCACATAAAAGGACATATTCCGTTTTTGGTGGTAGGTACTTTGATAATATTTCAGCATTTCTCCGCAGCATGAACATTGACGTCAGTTCTCTTAGTTCCTCGCTTCTTGACTCTCCCTTTTCTATATCCTTTTTGGTCGCTTCCGGCTGTCTGCTGCGGACGATTGGGCCTTCAAATTCTCTCATGAAGTTTTTGTATGTGCCAAGGACGCTAGGATTCACGAGATCAACCGCAGCAAAGAACTCTCTCAGATCGTTTTGTATAGGGGTACCTGAGAGTATAATTCTTTTTGTGGCATTAAGAGATTGAATTGCTTGACCGCTTTTATTCTGAACGGTCTTAAGTCTATGGCCCTCATCTGCAATGACAATGTCGATGCCTTGACCTTTCGTCAGTCCTTCTTGGACACTGCGAAGTTTTTCGTACCCAACAATCATGATACTGTAAGCTTTGCCCATTGTGAAATCGGTTAGTCGTTTCCGCTTATTATCAAAAACAAACACTCCAATGCGCTCGTTACCAAGCCACTTGCGAAACTCTTTTCTCCAATTATTGATAAGGGTGACGGGGCACACAATCAAAGCCTTCTTAATCACAGGGGAAGCTTCGTAGATAGGGTTTTGTTTGAGCAGAGTCCAGAGGAGTGCTATTGTTTGAAGAGTTTTTCCAAGGCCCATCTCATCAGCTAAGATGGCTCCTTCGCCGTTAAACCCTCGAAGGCCCATAACGCATTCGTACAAAAATTTGACACCCTCTCGTTGGTGATCGCGTAGATGCCTTGAGAGTAGAGGATCGACTACAACATCCACGATCGCCTTACCTTTGGGAGCCGCATTGGGTCGCTTCATCACCAAAGCCCCAGGAGCTTTAGGATCATGACGTGCAATAGGCTGGCTAGTTGATTGAGAAGTTGAAATCGCTTTGTCCTTCATTGGATTCTTGAAGATATTCCCAAGGCCTGCGCTTCTCGAAGGTGCAGTATTGAGATGCTTTACAGATAACTTTTTTTTTCCAGGTTGTGAATCATCCATTTCGCCAGGAAGCTCTCTCTTGGACACATTTTTACGCATAGAGGATTCATGAGTCTTGGAGGTCTGCCTAGTAATTGAGGGGGTCGACGTAGCTGGATTTGGTCGAGTTGCAGGTGAAGATGAGGATTTCTTTGCTCCGCCTAGAAATTCCCGCCCTGACAAGTAATCCTCCTTGGGGATAAAAGACTCAACTTCAACATCCTTCCCAGCAATCGATAGGCTAGAGCCAGGTTCCAGAGCAGTATTGATCACAATTCGGCCCATATCCCGTCCCGACACGTCACGGAGATAGCCATATCCTCCACGAATTGACAGAATCCCGTCTCCATCCCATGTCTTATTTTTCTTTGTAGTAAATTTCCTCCTATCAAAAGCGATCAATTGAGGCTTCCCGATGAGGGAAGATAGGTTAGACGAACCAAAGAACATTGTAGTAGGCTTCCACGTCAGCATTATTGTTGTGGTTATCAGATGACAGGTCTCCACCACTGAAGGTATTCCGAATGGAGTTCAATGGCTTCCACGATACGAGTTTTGTCGCGACATTGTTATTTAGAAGCGGAGAAGGAGCGGTAGTATCTGCTTCATTTTTGTCCTTTTCTTCTAGACACAGTCGTTTTGCGGGAGGAGGATTGTTGTTATCGTTCGTTTTGGAGTCTGTTGAGATGGCTGATAATAGATCCTTTCGTATGAGAGGAGGTCGAAATGGCTTGAAAGGCATGGTCGGCCATCACATACAAAGTTGTTCAGCTTGTTATTGATGAATGGCTTTAAGACGCGCCCGCGTTCATAACGCGAGATCACGTGGAGATAAGGTTTATCGAGGTCTATCATTCAACTTTTACGTAGAGCGCAAGTATTGCCGATTAGTTTCATATTTCTGACAGTTCAAAATCCATTTTTGGACAGGCCATTATAGTAAGGCCATTATAGTAATTATATAAATTCACATCATGCATTATGATTACAATAAAATTCCAGTCTGTTAACTGCAAGAGAGGTATCTAAATAAGAGCGCCAACGGGCAAAACAGGCCACTCAAAGCGATTTCAGGAAAATATAAACATCCAAATGAAGTATACAGTAGTTGATAGTCCTATTATATAGTTGAATCGTATTTTGCGTTTTTGAATTGTGAATTTGTACGTCTGAATCCGTCATTTGGCATCCTCTGCAACATGGCGGTCCGTCAGGGGGATGGCCTGAGGTCCCACGTAGTCGCGTTGATGGATGAACCACCAGGCGGCAATGAAAATTGTGAGTCCACCGGTAATTAAACTAGCGTAATTCATAGACTGAGCATCAGTTGGAAGTGCGTAAGGGAAGCAGAAGATCACGATGAAGGCGAGAATGTAGATGCAGCTCAAAATGTTGACGATGTAGCCAACCGGACCGCTCATATAGAAGTATCCTCGGGTAATCGAAGAGCGTTTGGATAAGACATGGGGGAAAATTGCTGTGAAATAGGAAAGCGTAGAGAGCTGAACGTAGGATCCGACGAAAGCGTTGAAAGCAGTGGAAGAGCCGACATAGATACAGGCAAGGATTGTAATTAAGCAGCCGCAAATAAATGTGGCATTGAACGGGTTATGCATCTTGCCATTGATACGGCCGATGAAACCTGAGAAGGGGGTTGCGTTGTCTCGGGCGAGTGTCCAAAGTGTTCGACCGGCGGTGATGTAGCATCCAATGCAAGTAATAAGGGTAGGAAGAAACGCGACAATCAGTAAACCCAGCGCACCCCCTCTGGTTCCAGTAGCTTGTCGATAGATTTCGGCCAATGGGAAGCCAAAGACACTATTTATGACATCGTCCAAAGACTGGATAGAATAGAACATAGCGATCATATAAAGAAAGCCGGTTATAAAACCAACTGTCATTTGCGCTAGGATGGCTTTAGGGATGTTTCTGCTGGGGCTATAAAAGGATTAGCATCAAAGTTGGTGTTTATATGGCTGCATTTCTTACTGTGGAATCTCTTCCGCCAAATGCGATGTTACATCTGGTGTACCGACACTGTATGCCCCATTCAGCATACCAGCCACGAAAACGAAGCCCTGGCTGGAATATCCGATATCGCTACTCCAACTTCTCCAGACAAACTCATCGGAGGCGTATCCTACTCCATTCACATGTGGCATGACAGCGCACACAATTATGGTGATAAAAACGCCTCCCAGGATAAGAATCATCCCCAAGTTTCCAATTTGAGGAAGAATTCGATTGGCGAAAAGCACAGTCAGGCAGCAGATCCACGTGCAGATAATCATGCTAACGAAGACATTCCATGCCTTCGGCGTGAAGTCAGGGTGGAAGAGCGCATACATGGAAACAGTTTGGTTGGCTAGAATTAAGGACATGGAAGCAGCGCCGAATATCCAGGCCAACGCATTCCAGTAGCCAGCAAACCATCCACATACGCGGCCATATTTTCCAGCAGTAACGGAAGCCCAGTGGTAGACTATATGGATAATGAGTTAACAGATAAAAGAGCTACAGCCATGGGCACATACCTCCACTAGCTGATGGCATGGCAGAGGCTAATTCAGCGATGGATGCGGCGACGAGCCAATAGCAAATAGAGACGGCAATGCTGCAGAAAGTGTTAATCAAGCCTCAAGTTTGCTATGCAGTCCAGACGAAAACGTACAATTCATAGATAACACCGGCAGGGCCCCCATTGGCAATGTTGACAGTCTAGACATGATTCTTAGTAAAGAGTTTCTTTGCAAAAAGAGAGCTTTCCTTACCACACTTCCACCTTGAGCAATCCAAGTGTTTCCGGTAGTGACGGCAATAGCACAGATACTCAAGAGACCAAAGTTTCGTTGGAGTTCCTGCTTGTGGCCTGAAGCATTGACTACCTCTTCCGACGCCTTGTCGGACATAGGGGCCTCAACCGCGTTGATCTTCTCGGTAGGGATATCTACAGCCATGGTGCGCAACTAACACAGAGAAATGGCTACAGAAAAATAATGGAGTCCGCAAAGAGCGAGAAGTGAGCGAAAGGATGGCCCTCGAGGTATTATTATTAAAAGGGGTAGTGGTGGTTGTGGCTGGGAGGGAGTTCACCCTAGTACAGCAAGAAAATAGGTATATCAATATCAAGAATAGACTGTGGAATCCAAAGACCCGTCGAATGAAACCTCGAATATTCAGGGTAAGAGCCGGATCCACTTCTCGCGAGGCATAGCCCCAGTTTGCAGAATCACTTGCGCTAGGTTGAGCCTTGAGCACTTCAGCCAGGTGTATGGAGAGACATGACAAGAATCTTAGAGGTAACAACAGACGGTTCGCCTGAGAAGTGGATTGACGATTGAGAAAAGGTATGGTTGATTCGATGAATCAAGAACTCTCGTCTTATCGTCGAGCGGGACCAGCCACGAGCTAGAAACAATTCGCTGGATATCTGGGTGATCTGAAGAGCATTGGAGCAGGACTGGGCGGCCCAAGGCGAGAATTGTCTGCATTCAGAGTGCAACTCGATGTTGGTTGGCTGGTGGTGGTGGGGTAGGCTTAACCCGAAAGAGTAACTGTAGCAGACAGCCTTTTACTTTTTTCCAGCTGCGATGCCTGGTTGTACCCTGGTTGTACGCATTTAGTATTATCAGCATTATTATTGATATCATTGTATTACAAAGCTGTATTATGCTTCTTACGCTATGTTTTTCCTGTTGGTCTATGTATTGAGGTTCGAAGGCGTTTCGAAAAATATTAAGAGTTGTTGAAAGAGTGAAGACGGAAGAGGATCGATTGTCAAAGTCTAAAACGCCACATCGGAACACATACTGCGCTAGTCTTGATTAGAGATGCTGCTGGCGGCTAATTATCATGCTCTCAAGTTTTCAACAGGATAGTACGGGGTACTCATTGAGTGATTTCAATTTGAGTTCGTGAACACTAGAACGGTGGTAGAACCATAATATTGTACTGAAATTACACACATTCCCCAATGTCCCGCGGGCTTTCCTAGATCGTCCTTCAGCTGTATTGTTGTTCCCCACGAGACATGCAAATAAAAGGCCTGAGGTGAAAATTCTCCGATAAAACCACGATTCCTTGCTACTGACTACATGTGTGAACCCCCCACAAGGATCTGATGGCTTGGCCTTCGGTTTTGAAGGGGAAATAGGGATGAACGTAGGCCAGACCATTTTGGCGTCGTTTTAGATACCAGTCTTACATATGTAATATCATTATTAATCACGCGTCTCTCTGCCGTGGCTACATTTAGAGTTTTCATGGTTGACATAAAAAAAATCTCAGCAACAGCTGTTCAATTGGTCTAAGACTTTATTGTCTTTACAGAGGTGTAAGCCACAAAAGAGTAGCGCGCTTGCACTGTAGTATTCATGGCCTCAGTACGTGTCCATGATTTTGCCATTGTGGCTATATCAACTGGTATAGTGTACTCCACAAAAGCCAAGCTGATGTAGGTGTATCGAGCCCTGAAATTACCCCATCGACCCACTGCTTTAGGGAGTAGTTACTAACTAACTTACTAAGTATGTCCTCGACAATAATAACAAATCTTTTGGGCAAGTGGACCTCGTTTACCCTTCTATATTAAGATCCACCAGGAGAGGCCAAAGCTATTGGCCATGCGCTCATTTTCTTGAATGAGAACATAGGAAATAGATCCTTCCCGACGACCGGGATTTGCTGAGCGAATCCTTGTCATAATAATATTTTATTAGTATTATTATTATATTACTCCGTATACTGGTTTAAGTTAGAACCATTGATCGAAAAAGCTACGTCACAATCTAGTAACCACCAAAGGGATAATGGCGCTTAACCTAAACGATGTCCTGCCACTTGCTAGAGAAAAACGAAATGTTGAAAATGACTTTGCTCTTCCTGATAAATATCACAGAAGTAACCGCATTTTTTCTAGTTATGAGGCTGGTTCATTGAAAGGTGCCATGAGGAGGTGGGTACGGATGCCTGCCTTTCTTAGCAAAGCGACTCCGAGAATAAAAAAGGAAAAACGCCTCCGCAGGATACAGAAGAAGCCGGATGCGGCGGTATTGTAATTTGAAAAATGCGAAATGTGTAATTGACTTTAGTCTATTTTCTGTAGTGTGCACATACCAAGTTACCAATCACCATTTCTACCTAGTAGTGACATTTAGCGTTTTCGGCAACTTTTTTTTCTGGATAAGCGTTCCAAGCCACACACTTACCAAATTCCATGTCTTAGATATGCTCGGACTTCTCTGATGTGTAGTATTGCCTAGTCTAGAAAGATGCAAGGTACCGATTATGTTAAAACCGCTTCGTCGCCGGCCAAGAATGTAACTTTGACCCTCTGCTCAAGACCGATCTAGGGAACCAAGGGATCGCTGCCCACTTCTGCTGGCGATCGTCCAAGATCCATCAATCCCACTCACTTGGCTTGAAGCAAGTCTATTATATGTCCAGATACTGCCTTCGATTGTCATTCTGAACCAAGCTTTCATCTTTTCGACCACAGTGGCACAGATAATATACACAGCACCTGAAGTTAGTCGTTTTGGGAAATAGGACAAGATCTATTTGTTTTGACATTCTGTCCTTTCCTTTTATACTCTATACCTTTTTTAAACCTTCAGCAAAGCCTTGATTGTTTACTCAAAGTCGATGTGGTCTTTAGAAATATTGATTATACATTGAATACATACGAGGTTACCCCGCCGTCAAAAATATTTTGCCATGTCGTTCCCGGCAGGATTTGGAGAGAGCTTCAAAAGAGAAACATGGACATTATATAGCGTGGGAATGTTTGGGGCAGTATTACGATTGTGAGACCGTGAGAAATGTGGCCCCTGGAAGTTGTTATTGCTAACGGTAGCAGCGTCGCTCGTGTTCGACGTCTCGGTATCCACCATTTGCAAGTTGACGACTACCTGATGATGTTCGGTATTATATGGTACACAATATTATGCGTCGCTTTGAATGAAGTCGCTTCGGGAGGAGGGTCAAATCTGATGACAGATCAAGACAAAGCCAACATGACACCGAGTATACATGCAGAAAGAGTGCGAGGAAGCAAGTGGGTGTTTGTGTCTGAGCATGCCTTTATTCTGGCCATCTGGAGTTTTAAAGCATGTATGCTTGTTATATATGCTCGTATCACGTATGTGTTGGCTTCCCCTGCTTTGATACCCTCCAGATTCTTCAAGTCGCTAACTCGGAACAGAGACGGTCTCGCCCAAAAAAGACTCATCAACTACTGTGCTATCTATGTAGCTCTCGGATTTGTTGGCACAGAACTCGGTTTATTTCTGACCTGCACACCTCTGAGTAACTATTGGGCCGTTCCTACACCAAAGCGTGAGTTAGCTAGAGATAAAGAATTGCATACTAATGATAACTGACTGACAATCCACCAGTTCAATGTTCAACGTATCAGCATTACGAAATCATTCAAGGTTGCTTTTCCATTACCGCCGATATTTTCATGTTGATGGTGGCTATTCCACTTCTGCTGAAGATCCGACTTCCTATGAAACAAAAAATAATCCTTGTTGTTTTGTTCGGAATGGGTGTTTTCGTTATCGTTTCTGCTGTTCTGACCAAGGTCTACTGCCTGGTGCCTAGCCTTATATCCTACGTGTACATGAACTGGTACTTCCGTGAAGCAACAGTGGCGATTTTAGTAACTAACTTGCCGCTCGTGTGGTCGCTTCTTCGCGATATTTTCCCTGGACTATTGAATAGCTGGACAGGTGGATCCAACAAGACCTCCAAAGGGTACCACCCATCGGCGCCATGGTCGAACATGAACAAGTCGAGAGCTGGCCGTGGCTTTGGCGTGGCCAGTCAGGTCCAGTCGACGCGTTCTCACTACGATGCCACAGAGTTAAACACGATGCCACAGAAGAAGACCAGCTCCATCAACATCAGCCAGCATGACGGCGACACCTCGGATTTTGTCAGCGACGATGGCTCTGCTCGTGCCCTCCGCATCCGCCAGGACATCACCGTTACAGTTGAAGAGGAGGAAGTACGAAATTCAGTCATCGTTCGACATGCTCCTGGGTGGGACCAGACGCATAAAGAAGAGGCTCAGAAGAGAACATCATCTTAAAGTGGCGGCCTCATCATATTCCTCAGGCAATCCTGAAATTACGATAAGATTCTTTTTTCGGTTTTATATTTAGGGTACAGGCGTTTTTACGAGCTCGATGACATTGGCCTACAGCGTTTGATGAGGCTTCTAACAAAATCTGTTCTTTCTCTGTACATGTTCTTGTCCTGTATTCACATCGTGAGTTGATAGCACGTAATCACACTAATTTTTCAGCCACGGCCGCAGCCTACAAGACATCAAAGCGATGTTCAAAAATCTCTGGATCGGCTAATATAGGATTTGTTTTCATTGGTGGGGGGGCCAATTTTTCAGCTCGCTGTCCCTGTTCCATGGACGCCGAACAGCTTATTCTGTGGCTTGTTCATCGCTATCCCAGAAACGATGGCTGGCAGCTGTCATTGGCCTACGCCGTCGCTAGTTTCGATCAGGGTTCACGCCCAGCCAATGAAAGAGAGCTGACTCGGTACCGGTAACGGACAGTGGATATCGCACGGTCCTGCGCGGGCCACCTTAATCAAACCTTAACAGCCTCAGTAAAGACTGGCTTCGGGATTTACCAGCACCGAAAGCCTACGCACATCCGCCCATCCGGATTAGCTAGAACCAAAGAAAAAGTCCAGAACTTGCCTTCTCGATCTGCTCGGATTACGTCTCCCTTGCCGATCCCTATATCATTCGGTCTCTTGCTCTCTTCTCGAATGGGGTTTCTTAGCCGAATCCTGGTAGTAGACTCTCAAACCGGCGTCTGAATAGGATTAGTACCAAGCACTGCCTCTGATACAAGAGGGGTATTAAGCACGCATTGGGAAGTGGTCTCGGAATGACTGCCGAAACCAGTTTGTAGTTTTCCGACTTTCAGCGGCCCCTCCGGACTACACAGCAGTAGCGCATAGGAGTAGTCGCCGGCGTTCTTAGTAGTGAACTTAGACTACTTGATTCTCCTAAGATTTTCTTTTGGCCTGTTGAAACCTCCCAACGAGAGGTCCGAGGCTGAGGTCGTCTAGATCGGGTATACAGATCGAGTGTCCCTCCGTAATTACTCCGCGTGGTAGACAAATCAGAGTACAAGCCATTCTAAATGTGTCCAACACGCGTGTAGTAGAAATGGTGACGGATTGTGTATTTTATACATGCCTTCGACCTCCAGCCAGCCCGAAAGCAGCCAGCTGCCGTCCTTATCTTATCGGCTTGTCTTCCCCTGCCAATCCACACAACGCGATCAACAATCCTTCCCTTTTCTGTTCTTTGCACCTTGCTTAAAGTATAACGAAATTTTATTGGAGGATATAATGCCCTCCTCTTTTTTGCATCTAGATGGCCTGCACGTCTTCATCACCGGCGCTGCTGGAAATATCGGAAGTCGCGCGGTACAAGAATTTTTAGGTGGGTAAGCTCAATGACTGACATGTGCATGTCATCGTATATCAATTGGTAATCATAGAACTGCTCGCGAGACCAAGTAGTCTGCAGTTGTACATATATAAAATAGCTTTATAATCACTTGAACTGAACCCTCACTAATGGAACACAGACCAGGGATGCAGAGTTACCGCACATGATGTCAAGCCAGCCGAATTAGATATCTCAAATTCAGATCGCCTCCATGCCGTGGTACGAGAGACGTCATTTGAGAAAGACTTTCGCTCGAGCATGGAAGAAGCCCAGAATCGCTTTGGACCAATCAATATTCTGGTAGCAAATGTTAGTGTATCAGAAGAGAACTCGGGATATCCCATCTGGAGTCTACCTGTGGATGTCTGGGATAGGACTTACCGGGTAAATGCTCGTGATACTTATATAGCTATCAAACAGTTCCTCCTTGCTGCAAAGTTCGCGCAAGAGAATCTGGAGAATAAAGAATTAGAGAATCTGTCAATCGTGATAGCCGCCAATGGTCGTGGAAGTTTCAGTCAGACTGGGCTGCAGTATGGACTGCTCAAAGAATTGAAAAGCGAAATTCTGCAGGTGAATCGCAAGGCACGTATAAACTCCGTGGTACCAGGATGGCTAGACAATACCTCATCGAATGAAGGAGATAGTATTTCTCGTCGCAAGGCAGTTGGGCCGAATGATTTTGCGCGTGCAATAGCTTTCTTATCATCGCACCATGCAGCTGGTCATATAACTGGCGAATGCCTGGCGGTGGATACTCAGATGGAGGGTCGACTAATATGGAAGGCGAACGAGGTTGTCAAAATCTCTGAGCCTTCGTCCTCTGTCATGCAATCAATCTCTCGACCAATATCACAACCAACAAGAAACAAGATTCGAGTGGCTGTCTCAATAGATTTAGATGCTGTGTCTGGCTGGCTCGGGACCGGTAAGGATTAATGCCTTGAACATGCAGTGTTATATAGCCAGGTATGCTCACATTTAAATGGCAGGCTACTCCCCCGAAAATGTTTTGGCCGACTATTCAGCTGGGTTCTTCGCCGCTCGAGTTGGCGTTCCTCGATTGTTAAACATGTTAAAAAGAGTTGGTATCGCAGACAAAGTAACTTGGTTTATTCCCGGTCATTCGGCGGAGAGCTTTCCTCAAGAAGTCCAGCAAGTTGTTGCCTCTGGATGCGAGATTGGACTACATGGGTATGCACACGAAGGGGCATACTCTCTAACGGTCCAGCAAGAAAGAGATATTCTCGAAAGATGCATCCAGATAGCAACCAAACTCACAGGAAAGAGACCAATCGGATATCGTGCACCATTATATCAGGTACGGGAATCAACACTGGATCTTTTGGAAGAATATGGCTTTGAATATGGTAAAAATATTTCTCCTTCTCAATATCTTTGATGTTTTCTAACACCATACGAAGACGCTTCTCTTACCGACCACGACTCCCACCCCTTCTTCGCTCCTCGTCGACCTCCTCTCCAACCCATCGATTACACCAAGCCAGCCTCTAGCTGGATGCACCCCATCCCACCCCCCTCCAAAGACCAACCTCAAGACCGTCGTCCACTAGTCGAAGTACCCTGTAACTACTATATGGAAGACATGACACCGATGCAATTCCTGCCACACGTACATAATTCGCACGGCTACGTAGACGTGCGAACCATCGAGCAGATGTGGCGCGATCGCTTCCTGTGGATACGTGAACACGAGGAAAACCCGATTTTTGCAATGCTCATGCATCCGGATACGTCTGGTATGGCCCATGTGATTGGCATGGTGGAGAGAATGATTAGGTGGGTGCAGAGTTGGGGTGGGGAGGTCGAGTTTATGCAGACGGGGGATATTGCCAGGTGGTGGAGGGAGGACAATTGGACCGAGTGAAGGTTAAATGTATATCAATTGATATGTACGTCGACATGGTTGAATTTTATGTGCTTGGTTTAGATAAATGCCTACAAACTTACGGGTTTAGTTGGGCTTTCAACTTCATCAAAGTTCAATATTCTTTCGTAATATTCATCAATTGGTGTAATCATTTATCTCAACATTATAGACAAAATTAAAAGAAAACTCGCCCCCAATCTCATTAAATGAAATATATGCAAGTCCATGAAAAACGCCAAGCCATGCCCATTTGAAAATATAGAAACTGAAACCATCACATAAGACTGTCATAGCTTCGTGAAAGTCTCAGATGATTTGGTACCAACCAATGGATTCTTTTACTCGTAAAGATCCATATCACCACTGTTTTCTTCAATCTCCGCAAGTGCCTCATCGGAATCGACCATGTCTTCGTCGGCAATATCGCTGTCCGTATGATTAGGTAGCACTTCAATGCGGCCATCTTTCATAACCACCTCGGCAACCTCGCCGTCCTTGATACTGCCACGCAAGAGCAAGACGGCGAGACGGTTGAGGACTTCGCGTTCAATCAGGCGTGATAGTGGACGAGCACCGTATGCAGGAGAATAGCCGGCGTCACCCAGGTAGTCCTTGACTTCTTCTGTGCATTCAATTTTGATATCCTTGTCGTTGAGTTCGAGACGACGCTGGATTTCCTTGAGGCGAATATCCACGATAGACCGGATTTCACGCTTCGTGAGACGGTTGAAGATGACAATGCTGGAGATACGGTTGAGAAATTCGGGGAGAAAATAGTCACGCAAAGCACCCATGACCAACTCGCGAGTCTGGGGCTCAATTCGGCCATCCTTAGCTGTTGGACGAGAGAGATATTCGGCACCGAGATTAGAGGTCATAACGACGATGCAGTTACTCGCGTCAACGATACGTCCTTGGCCATCCGTGATTCGGCCATCGTCCATAAGCTGCAGTAAAACTGTCAAGACTTCCTTTGCAGCCTTCTCCACTTCGTCAAATAGGAGGATGGAGAATGGACGACGGCGGAGATTTTCAGTCAGCTGTCCACCGGCATCGTGCCCAACATAACCAGGAGGAGCTCCAATCATCCGGCTGAGAGAGTGACGTTCTTGGTATTCGGACATATCGAACCGGATCATGGCCTTGGGGTCGTCGAAGAGGAACTCGGCAAGTGCCTTGGTCAATAGCGTTTTACCTGTACCAGACGGACCGCAGAAAAGGAAACTTGGAGGCTGGTTTGGATTAGATAGACCAGATCGCTGCAAACGAATCGCGTTTGATACGGACTGCACTGCCTCTCTTTGGCCGACAACGATCTTGGCGAGATGTTTCTCCATTTGTAGCAGCTTATCCTTTTCTGTAGTCTTGAGCCGAGTAACTGGAATTCCAGTCCAGCGAGCTACAATTTCGTTAATCTGATCAGGGCCGACGGCATCTGGCACCAGAGTTTCTCCTTGGTTTCCTACTCGAGCGCGATCTTCAGCGTCTGCCCTAGCACGTTCAGACTCGAGGCGTTGAATAAGTTGCTGAGTCTCTGGAATCGCGTAATATTCAAGATCGGCCGCAGTTGCAGTGTCTCCCGAGCGCATCGATTCGTCACGCTTGACTTTAAGGGAGTCTAATTTCATCTTCGCGTCCTGGATGTCCTTGCTGCGTCTCTTTTCTTGCTCGTATTTCTCACGGAGAGGTCGTAACTCTTCCGCGACATTTGCAGCTTCCTGTTTGGCAGTCTCGAGACGGGCTTTAGATGCAGCGTCTTGTTCACGTTCTAAAGCGTGGATTTCGATTTGCAACTGTCGCAATCTGCGTTCGAGATTGTCGAGGGCCTCTGGTTCTGATTCTCGGGTGACTCTGACGGCGGCAGCAGCTTCATCGATGAGATCGACGGCAGAATCAGGTAGTCGTCGTGCGGTAAGATAGCGAGAGGCAAGAGTAGCGGCAGCCACGATTGCGCCGTCAAGAATGTTGACACCATGGTGAACTTCGTATCGTTCTTTGAGACCACGAAGAATGGAAATAGTCTCTGGGACAGATGGCTCTTTTACCAGAACTTGCTGGAAACGACGTTCGAAAGCTTGATCCTTTTCGATATACTTGCGGTATTCTCCTAGTGTGGTGGCACCGATACAGTGTAGCTGGCCACGAGCCAACATTGGTTTCAGTAAGTTGGCCGCGTCCATGCCACCTTCACCACTAGATCCGGCACCCATCAAAAGATGGATTTCATCAACAAAGAGGACGATAGTTTCACGCGCTTCTTCGATTTCTTTAAGGACGCCTTTCATCCGTTCTTCAAATTCACCGCGGTACTTGCTCCCAGCAACAAGTGAACCAACGTCGAGAGATAGGAGTTTACAATGGGCGAGATTGGCTGGTACATCGGCGTTGACGATGCGGCGCGCAAGACCCTCCACAACAGTAGTCTTACCAACACCGGGTTCGCCAATTAAGACAGGGTTGTTCTTCGTCCGACGAGTAAGAATTCGGATGACTCGTCTGATTTCCTCTTCACGACCGATGACAGGGTCGATTTTTCCTTCACGCGCGAGAGCTGTCATATCAATGGTGAACTTTTTGAGGTTTTCGTGTTCCTCTTCAGCATCGGCTGTCTTTGAGTCGACTCGCTTGGTGCCACGAATTTGCGAAACTGCGTTGTCGACGAGCTTCACATTGGGAATGTTGGCGTCTGCCAGAGCCTTCTGAACTTGTCCATCTTGTGCAAGAGCTGAAATTAAATGATCAATAGCAACATAGCTGTCTTTCTGTGTCTTGGACAAATCAGAGGCGGCGCGAATAACTTTGGATAGAGCAGGCGATACGGCGACACGCTCCGGCGGCGGGTCTTGACTGGGTTGTCTAACGAGCAGTTTCATGAGAGATCTTTCCAAGAGCTGAGGATCACCATGTGCTCTCTCAACAACCTGCCTGAAGAGGGGAATAGCATCGCCAGCTGGTTGGCCTTCTTCATCTCCATTACCAGCAGGCGGATTCAACAACGATACGGCAAGGTGAAGTGGGAGGATCTGGCTGTGGGCATATTGTTCGGCGAGATCGTTTGAGTCGAGCAGGGCTTTGTTGGCCCTGTCCGTAAATTGAGCACTATTCATGGTGGGTTGGTTGGATCGACGTCACTGGATCGAGTAAAGTTTGAATAGTGTTGGCCCGAGAAGGGTCGAGGCTCACTAGACCTCAGTATGGGTTGGAACGCAGAGTTCAGCAGGTCAATAGAATAGTGAAAGTCAGTGGTAAGAAAAGAGAAAAGCAGTTGCTAGTGCTAGTTGGGAGCAAGATATAGTCGCCGTTTGGGCATCATACGAGCGACGACAAGCTTGGAGAAGAGTCCCGCCAGACCCCGCGGCTGCGCGCTGATTCGCCCAGCTTCCACTATGTTCTGGAATGGTCGACGTCACATCACGTGACTGTTCCGCATCAGGCCGAGACGTGTGTGGTATCACGTGATATGATGTCTTGGACAAGGCCTACAAGTAACAATGATGTAACTGATTACACGCACAGTCAGCCTCAGTACAAAGAGTGAAACAGACACTAGTAGGGAAACAGTCAGAAGCAAAGAAAAGGCAGCCTTGCACTGTTGTATATATATAACCCGCCTTTCACTGATGATAAATCATACAATCAATCCTCGACAATCTTCTAACATTGCCAAGGTATAAGGAGTAACTAGCAACTAATTAAACTCCCTGTAATAATAATAATTATAATATTCATATTGGACGCCGAGAAACTCATGCAAGCCATAGGTATACATCACGTGACCAAGCGCTCCTGCCTCTGATGTGATTGGCAGCCCTGCTGCACGTGCATTTATTCTGCTTGAAGAAACACAGATTCCAGTCGCAGCAACGAGGCAGAACATGAATGACTCCCACAACGCGAGTTTCTCCCGGGATTTATCGGGACTCTAAACTATTGACAGGACAGTCGAGAACCGAGCAGGCAAGTGAAATGCATGACGTCAAGGAGACCCTATGACTCGAAGGGTACCAATCACATGTTTCAATGGACTTTGACCAGGCCGTCTGGAGATGCGTGAACTTCTGAGAGAGCAACGCAGTCTACAGCCTCATTATTGAAGACCCCCGCGGGCCGAGATCTGGAATCCAGCATCCGGTGACACCAAGTAACCAGGAGCTGTCACTCTAACTGTCGGCCTGCAGTGCAGCCTCTGCCCCGTATTACTATTCTTGCCTGGGACCATTGGTGGTTCATGAAATCAACGAGGAATCCGTGCGTGACGGTTACAGCGCTTGTGCAAAAAAAAGGACAAGAACAAAGGCACTTAGACACACAGCTTGGCTCCTCGAGCTCATTTGTAGTCGAGCTCTACTACGCTGCTAGTTAGTCGCTTATAAGCTGGAGCTGCAGCTGGATCTGGGCCTGGAAGACCTATTACCATTGGAGACCCTCTTTTTCCTTGTTCTGGGACTGGGCTCCGTAAAACAACTCGTCCTATCAACCCTCCTTGCCCCCTCACCTGCCCTGGTCTGGTGCTGGAACCTTGCATATTCTAGCAGAACAACTACAAACTTTGCCCCTCCGCCGCCCGTGTCTGCTTGAATCCCTCAGTCTGTTCGAGTGGGCTTGCCCTTCTGGGTTAAGAAAGAGTGGAAAAGACTGCCACGCCGGCTCATTATTTAATAATTTTTTCACGGACAAACGACCTTTTTCTCTTTTCTTTTTTTTCCAAGTCTGGAGACCACGAGCATTTAATAGCAGGGGCTACCCCCAGAACTATACGCACGAAAACGTGAGAATTTGTTGTAGATCGACCGTTTTAAGACCCCTCTTGCGTGATTTGACGCGTGTCTTGTGTGCTCTATCCTACAGCCGACAGGCTCAGCAGCCACCCCAAGATCGGACTGATCGCGCCTACGATTGCAATCGATTGCGTGCAATTGGGCGTCTCGCCTGAACCACAATGCCAAACAAGCCTATTTTTGTCGCTACCCATCCCCGGGCATGCTCGACTGCGTTTGAAAGGGTATGGAGCGATTCGCATCCCTTGCTAGTGAACATCTCCCCGCTGATTCTGTCCTAGGTCTTCATGACTCGCAGGGAATCCCTGCAGTGCATCCACGAGCCCTTCGGAGATGCTTTTTACTACGGCCCTGAGCGGCTGAGCGTGCGGTACGAAGCAGATGAAGAGGCGAGAAAGGCTAGCGGCTTCAACCAGTCTACCTTCAAGACGGTCTTCGACCGGATCGAGAGGGAATCCACCGATGTTTGAAAATATTTTCCTTCACCTCCTCATTCTGCCTGCTATTCGGCCGTTCCATTCCCCGTCCCTTTTTGTTATTTTCTTTTTCTCCCCTCCCCTTCGCTCACAGGCTCCCAGCTAGCTCCCCTATTTCGAGCTACAGTCGGCCGGTGCTTGCCGGTTCTGCCCAAGCTCGCGTATCCTTGCCATCTAGATCTAGGTCATACCCCTTGACTGGTCAGTGGTTGGTTTCCTGCAGCTGTGGTCACAGTGGCCCACTGGGTGAGGAATATCATTACTAATGAATACTCAATTCCGCCTTTTTTTTTGCACTCTCCCACACTAGGATTAGTTAGGAATCCTAACTAACTAGAGCAATGAATAGGGCAAGCGAGTTTTCATCAAGGACATCATCCACTATCTCGTTCCTCCAGACGGAAAACCAGCAAGTATCGCTCCGTCATTGCTGAAGGTGAAGCGTGGAATTGGCACCAATGGTGAAACGAATGGGCACCAGCCCAACGGCCACACCAACGGAGTCAATGGAACTGCTCACGATGTGGCCGTCAACGGGGACGCTTCTCAGAAAGCTCCCTACCCATATGGGACTGAAGCCGAGCCTGGAAATCCCACCGTAGTGCCGACAGAGCTTCTCTCCCAGTTCCACTTTACGTTCCTCATCCGCGATCCACACTACAGCATCCCGTCGTACTACCGTTGCACCATTCCTCCGCTGGACGAGGTCACCGGGTTCTACGACTTTTACCCGTCTGAGGCTGGATATGATGAGGTCCGTCGTGTTTTCGACTATCTTCGCCAGATCAACCTAGTTGGGCCGCGTATGGCGGCTGCTGGTGTAGCTGCCAATGTGGTTTCCAACGGGGTAGCCAATGGCACAAATGGTCATCACGGCAAGAAAGGCAACGCTGAGATCTGCGTCGTAGATGCAGACGACCTACTCGACAGTCCTGCCGCGATGATCGAGGCCTACTGCAAAAGCGTTGGCATACCTTATCAGCCCGAGATGCTAACCTGGGATACCGAGGAAGATCACGCGTTTGCCCGGGCTGCATTTGAAAAATGGAAAGGATTCCACAATGACGCTATTGAATCCAAGGAGTTGAAGGCTCGCTGCCACGTACGTATCCATATACCAAACAGCACAAGGTGAAACACTGACGGTGAAATCTACAGACAAAGGCCTTCAAATCCGAGGAAGAGTTCGACGCCGAATGGCGCGCCAAATACGGCGAAAAGGGCGCCAGAATCATTAGGGAGACTGTCGACCGGAACATGGCTGACTACCATTACATGAAACAGTTTGCCTTGAAGGTTTAACATGTATCGCATAGCCAGTCTACAAGAATTATGCAACGAGAAACGATACGCTTACGGTCTCCCCATGACCTTTATTATTTCGGGTTTTTAATATTGCAAGTTTATGACTATTACCAAATTGATATTGCTTTTTTTCATATTTTATCTGACGATGATATCTTTGATGTTTGCCGAAATGATTGGCTTTGTCTTTTCTTCCTCCTATCTATAAATAAAGGGGAAGGAATTCTTTGTTATGGTGATGTTGCCATTCGTTTGAATTGACTGACTACTAGCTGGCTGACTGGTTGACCTTTTGGTTGACTTGTATTCGACGAACCCTGATTGATATTGATACTCATGAATTACCAAATTGATTGAAAAAAATTGTTGAAAGTTTTATTCGACAGACAGACTAGGTAAGACTAGATACATCGCCTATCCCTCAGAGACTTGATTTCCAAGCCATCGTCTAGAGTAATGAACTAATGATGAAGTTCAAAATAATACAATTGTAAGATAAAAATGAAAAAGGATATAATAATCTCTATACATAACCTGCACTCCACGAAAAAAAGAGCAGATCATTCGTGAATTCAATAGAATAATGAGTCAATACCAAAATCAAAAGATAAATAACAATAAAAATGGTGTGATCCTGACATGGACAACCGCCGCTCGCTGATGCGTTTGAAGAGAAGAAGGATATTTAGTTGCCGGATAGATCGGGTTGTAACATGCAGAAAGACGATTTGACCATCTAGTAATAATAATAATGTCGTTATTATACAGCGGCGTAGCCTCCCCTCGCCCCGGGCCCCTGCAGCGTGTTGACGACTCGACGCACCCAGTCTTGGAAAATGTAGGGAATGTCGCGGATGGTGTCGCCGTGTGGGAGCAGGTCCCAGCCCCGGGCACCGTAGCGGTTGTAGTTAAGCCAGGAGCCGAAGATGAGGTATGTGGCAGCGAGCAGAAATAGGCTGTAGAAGAGATTCGTTAGTATGTCATAATTTCCCAAGTTAACTTAGAAATTGGTGACTCACATAATAATGAACCAAGTGAAGAATCCCCAGTGACCGCTGCTCGACTCCGAAGGGTTGTCGCTGAGATAGTTCTCGCACGCATACTTGGTCTTCCAGTCCAATCGCAAGATATAGGCTTTGTCGTCGACCAGGCCGAAGCTCTTGAACACAAGACTTTTGTCGGTGTTTGTTGGAGCGTCTTCTTCACCTTTCTTATCATCGTCATTCTTCTCATCGTCATCACGACGAATACGTCGCTTCTCTTCCGCATTGTCATCACCATCATCCCCATCTTCCGTCGTTGTAAGACCCTCCAATCCTGTTCGATTGGGATCGCATTGAAACTCAATCACAGCCGACGCCGGCTTTCCTTTCCCCTTAGGCTTATTTATCTCGTGAATCTCCCCGCCGGCGAGTTTTATGCGGACACCTTCTGTGTCCGGGTCTTGTTTCTTCAACCGTGTGATTTCGGGGTCTTCGCTGCCGCCGCCGACGGGGTCGAGTCCGGCAATAGGGAGGGCTCGCTCGTCAACTTCACCGCTCTCGTATATAGTTTTCTCAAAGCCGCAAACTATAGGGGTAAGTATAAGGAGTGCAAAAGGCTGAATCAACCCGAACTCACTTTTCTTTGACGTTCCACACGACATCCCATCGTGCCTCGAAGCACCTTTTAGGATATTGCAGATGTCGAGTACGTACGTTGTGTTGACCGTGTAATCGTCAAAGGTCGAAACGGTCTGAATCTCGTGGACGCCGCCCAGCGGCTTCAAGTCGAATTGGACACCGTCCACACGCACATTAGCGCAATTAAACCCCAGAGCAGATGTGACTGTTGGAAGGACTATAGTGAGCAGTCCGACCGAGGCCTGCTTCTGCACGCGCATACTGGAGATGAGTGGAGTGTTGATGAAAGCAGTAGATGTGTAGTTATGTGTAGTTGTTGAGCTCGTTTAGATATCCTGCTTGCTCACAGTACAGTTAATCACAAAGCTGGTCAAAGGAATGGCACACGATGGGTGGCTCGGTCGCAGGTGGAGGTCGCCGTGACTGGAGCGGCAGTGTGGATATAGAGTAGTAAAAGAAAAGGTTGAAATGGCAAATGGAAATTAACCGGCTCACATCGAATATAGGAACCCGTCACTGATCTATCTGATCGGCCGGGGTGATGAAGTGATGAATGAAGAATGAGTCTGGTGCAAAAAGGGTCGGATTGGCGCCAAGACATGCCTAGCACTCCTCTGCTACTCGACTCTTCCGCGCAGAGCAGGGCATGATGTCACACGACAGCCCTGGCAGTCTACAAGATGAACTCAGCACATGATCTGCGAAATCTCTACGGGTTCTTTGGGGAAGGTTGAGTGAAATGGGTTTGCCTAGAAATTAAGTCTGAAAATAAGTCACAGGATAGCTTTCGAGAGACGAGGTGCGTTTTGACAATGGCTAAAAGCATGCAGACGCGAATGACCATGAGAATATCAGATGCTGTAGTCAGCTAGCTACTATATTTCAATGCTTTAAACAGTAACTATTTCAGCCTATTTGCATGTATTTAATGTAATATGTCGAGGCATACTCGTAACTTGAAGTATATGGAGTGCACAGACCACGTGCGGGATGGCATGCCTGAGATCATGAGTGCTTTTGATTCCTAGTCGCATCTCGCTCAACCAGAACACACCAATTAGCAACCAACCAAGCAGCTCCTGTAAATCCAGAAAACACAAGGATTCTCTTGGGAGGATTCATTAATTATTTAACATACATCACAAACCAATATGCTGCAGACTCGAATGGTACGCTCCACCCTGAAATGGCGGGGCATATGTAATTGATATTGAAAAAAAAAATCACAGCTATCAAAAGATGACGAAGCCGCGACAGGCGGCGAGGACACTGAAGTGCGTCGCGAAGACCAAGACAAAATCAATCGCTTCAGCAGACTGCATCAGCGCGAGACTGTTTTGGAAGAGCGATTGAAAGCGAAGCAAGTCAGTTTTCAACAAGGACGCGACAAGATAGACCATATCGTTAATCTCACTACAGAAAGACAAAGAAGATCTCGACGAAGTTTCCACGGAGTTGGAATTAGCAGACGAAGATGAACTCGTGCCGTACGTCACCATTTTGGCCTTTTTTTCGACTTTTTCATGTGACTGACTCCTAAATAGCTACAAAATCGGCGACTCTTTCGTCAATCTCCCACTGGAAGAAGCTCAGTCAATGCTGTCTTCCTCATCAGAAGAGATCGACGTAGAAGTCTCACGGCTAGAGGATGCACTGAGCGAAGTGCGCGAGGAGTTGGCTTCATTGAAGGCGGCGTTGTATGCACGGTTTGGGAAGGCTATTAATCTCGATGTATAAACCGACGGGACTTGCTTATTTTTTCATATTCGGGCTTGATTCATGATAGAATGACCTGATAAAACCTGATGCATAATTAAATCCAGAATAACGTCTCAAAAGGTTACGGTCTGTGCAGGCTTGTAGGGTAATTACTTGGGTGCTTTTGAAAGAAATTGACCATCCAAATTGTTATTACTTATAAGACACAAAATGGTAAATAAAAGTCTAAGTACAGCCCCTTGACAAGTAATTGAAAATGTTCGATCATAAAAGTCATCATAATCAATATAAGCACGAAGAGAAAAGCCCCTAGTTAAACATAATACAAACAGTCAGCAACAGCGGACACAACGCCTTGAAATGAGTTGGCTAAGCGAGTCCCCTGGTCCTATCTATCTGTGATAGATAGACATGAAATGCGTTAAGAGTTCGTAATCTATGCAAATATGTCATCTCTTGTCATATCCATATCCAAGAATCCGTCTTGATTGACTATATGATATTTGCAATAGTCATGCGTGAATGGGATGGAGTCGATCGAGGAGCAGTATTGCTAGTGTTAGGAATCGAGTCTGGACTTAATTTGTGTGACTCAATAGGTCGAGGAACCACTGATGGCACGTCTCTTCGTTCCTGGCTCCGTCGACGAGCCTCGCCGGCAAGATACTCGACTGTCCGGTCAATCCACTCCCATCCCTCCCAATCGAGACCTTGTTCAGATGCGGCGGCTGCACGTCCATTTTGAAGGGTCGGGGATACCTGTGATGGCATCGTTTCCAGCTTCGTTCCCGTCTCGCTACCTTGCCATATCCAGCTGCTATCAGTGGTGCCTTGCATATCTCCCGATACATATGCAATTATTTCCTCGTCTCTATCCAGGGGTCGACTGTCGTTGCGCTGCAATCGTTCCAAAAGATATTTCAGGAAAAATGCAACATATCGGCCGCACGGATTCATGAGGACGTGGGAGTTTCCAATGGCTTTGCAAGCCTGAACACAGACCAAAGCTGCCGCAAAATCCTCTCGAAAGATGAGGATCAGTAAGCAGCGCCAAATATGTGTACAAAGTAAAGTTGTTGCGGAAGATGCCAGGAGTGTCTGCCACTCGCCTCGAACACCACCATACGTAGGAGATGTCGGCGGTGAGTGCATGCATCGCTGAAGCACTCGCGTTGTGTCGGCAGCAATTGACAAGCAGTGGTCAAACGCCGGATATCGGACTTCTGTGGGACAATGAGGAGAGATATTGTGACGATGCAAAATTAAACGTGCGTTCTGGAGATAGATTATTGGCGCGAGGGAGCTGGGGTCAAGGTAAAGATCTGATTTAGGATGGTAGTTGATAGGAAACGTTGCGAGACAAGCGTTGAAATGGCGATCGAAGATTTCGAGGGTGGCTGGGCTGATGACTGGTGATCTCAGTGTCTTAGTTAATTGCCCAATTGAACGAACTACATGGATAATGGCGAGCAAAGGATTCGTCTGCGATCCTTCTGGCACGTGGCCTGCTTCTGAAATAAATTGCTCGTCGATCGGACATGGAAGATCTACATCACAGTCTTGGTCGTGAATCGAGATGGGTTTTCCTAGCTCAAGAGACAGCAGCCTGTAAATTAAAAAGGTCAGTATTGGGCTCTAGACGAAGCACTGAAAAGAAAAGACGTAAAAAATTAAGGAAAGAACAGAGTCATACCTATCCCAGGCGTAGATCCCCCACCAAAGCCTTTTCCTCATTTCAGCTTCCACAGCTGGCCATGGACCAGATTCCATGTGAAGACCAATATCCTGCGCAATCCTAACTGCGGTTCCCAACCACACCCAACTGGCAGATCTGGAATTCATTTCATATAGAGCAATACTGATAAGAAGGGTCACTCGAGCTTGGTCCAAGGTAAAATCGTCCACCCAAGTATCCACTATGCCCGTAGACGACAAGAGAAAAGCTTGAGCCTCATGCTCTTTGTTGGGTTCCAGTGTATGCATGATACCGCATGCGAAAACACTAAATAATACTGCCGTCCACTCCCGGTGTGCTCCTCGTAAAGTTCCCGCCTGGTAGACTTGTTCATACTCGGCCATGAAACTGGGCCAGTGGATGATAGGCAGGACCGAGTGAACGTAGGTGTGATATTGGCTCAGTAAACGATCAGCAACCGCCTTGGAAGGAAGCGCCGTCACATTGCTGTCGGCAATTACTGTTGGGGAGATAGATTGCCGGTATGGCGGCGGCACTTTGATTACGCCGCGACCGTAGTTGCGCATATGGGAGCGAGCTACTGAAAGGCCCTGTGGCACTGACGGCCGATTCCGCCGGGGTGGGCGATACCCGACGTCTGGTAGCTTTAACACTGGCTGACCGCTGACGTCGAAATCGATGTCCATCGCATTGTCACTCCTTATCACACCGGAGCGAAGCTGTTGCAATTGCTGTTTCGTGGAACTTAACTGCTTTTCTAGGTCTTGAACTTGCCTGCAAAATGTTAGTCAGAATATGGACGCGCGAACCAACCATAGGAGCAAATCACACGAACTTGATAGAAGACATGCGCCTGTTCGTTTCTTTGGTGAATTGGCATCGTACTTTGCGATTCGAGCACTCCGTACAGCTAGAGGACTCGGAGGCATCGCACTGGTTTAAAAGGGATTAGACGGGCGATCAGACACAGGTCACAGCTACGGAAAGCTCACCTTCACTTTGCGCTCGCGGCAAGCATCGCAACTGGGGTCCTTTCTTCTCTGGCGATAAGCTCTTTTCTGCTGCGGCTGTCCCGCTGCGCCGACCATAGACGGCATCAGGGCGGGAGCATCAGGCAGCGATCCGGTAGCATCAGTCAAGATAGATGAGCGGTCGGCTGGGGAGCCGGAGGCCGAGTCGTAGGAGTGGGCATATGGCGAGGAAGTCGGCATGGGCATGACAGGGCCCTGTTGCGTTGGAGGATGGAGCAGATGCGCCATCTGCAGCCCGCTGCCAGGCCGGCTTGGGGGAGGAGCAGCAGCAAGGGCGGACGGGGGGGGGAAAGGACCTTGAGGTGGCAGGGACGAAGCCATTGATCCTGCTGGTTCGTAGATCGAGGTCGGCAGGCCTTGGCTAGAAGGGGGGGAGGGTATGTATTCATGATTCCTGTCGCAAACAAAACCAACGGCCGAGGTCAACATGTGCACCGAATGGAGACGCATGCACACGGGAAATGCAGTATACCGCGCAATACAGAGACAGCAGAGAAAGCCAGGCAGAGAATACGAGTTCAGGCAGAAGCAGGCAGCACGCGGGGGTGAAGGTTTGTTGTGGTAGAAGGTTAAGGATAGGGCAGATCTAGAAGAGGAAGGAAGGGTTCAGGGAAAACGGCCGAATGGGGAGTTCCACCCGCACCAGCAGAGGCCGCTGCTGGGCCGGTGGCAAGCAATGAAGGGCAGGTCAGCCCGGCTTGCAATACCGACGCAACTCGACAAAAGAGAGGAGATGGCGTTGGCAGAGGCTTCGGCAAAGACCCCTTAGTCTGGCCGCTGGTTGGTGTGATCTGGCGAACAGACACCCAGAATTTAGAAGTGGGATCCCGAGCGGCGAGAGGAAGTGGCCGGATGGGGGGACGCGGCTTTGGGGCCTAAAGGTAATAAACGAGCTGGTACTGGTAGCAATATTTATGTAGTAATCTGGCACGATTGTGTGTGGACGCGACGATCCAGGAGGAGTCGTCGATAGGCTCCAGGGTCAAGCCTGCACCAAACGGGCTGATCCAGTAGCGTGGATTCTGCAGCGCGGGAAGTCCAAGCCAAAGGTTTAGATCGATGCGAGTCAGCGCACGCGGCAGCCGTTGTCATAGGGCAAGTATTATTGAGCATCAACAAACAGAATCGCAGTAGTGGTGGTGGTGGTGGTGGTGGTGGTGGGAGTAGTAGTATCCCTTGTCTATTTATCGGTCATGGACTCGAGATGACGTCTCCAGCCAGCGTGAGCCGCTCGGGGGTCGACTGGTACGGTATGTTACATTACGGCACAGTACAGCCAGTTCGTCCAGGCTAAAGCTTGGGCGCTTCCGGAATCTACGGGATGGTAATCTATGAAATCTCCACGTAACTGAGAAATTATCAAGTGATGCGTTTTTAAAAATCAAAAATTAAAAGAAAAAGGAAAAGGAAAACAGAAAAAAGGAAACTCGGTAGAACAAGAAAAAAGAAACGAGCTAGCGTGAAGAATAGAATCTACTTGGCAGTACTACTTAGTCTCCTCCAAGGACTAATAGCAGATCGTTGGACCGAATTGCCCCTTCTCGGCTGGGCCCGGCAGGTGAAACAGCAATAAGCGGAGAAAGCACGCGCGGGGCGTCTTGACAGTTATTTAGCCCCCGCCACTAGCTGTGTCTACGCCATCCAAGAGCAGAGCAGCCTCGACATGCCAGACAGGACGCGTGAGTATGCGGCATGTGCGAGTACCAGGTGTGATACGACAGATACAGGAGAAGAAAGGGGACAGAGAACAGAGTAGTAATCAAAGAATACCTGAAGAGCTGCAGCACGCCAAGCCACGCATATCATGCGCCAAAAGGAGCCCCCCCGCCGGGCAGTCTATGCGGGCCAATGGGGGCGCGTTCTCGACACAGCCACAACGCAGTGGAGCGCACCAGGGAATATCCCGACTTGACTTGCGATGCGTCGGTTCCGAGCCGCTGTCCTTGCTTTTTCTTCTGATCCTGATCCATCGGGCCACGGCAGGGGTGGCCTGCCCTCTAGCCAATGCTACGGCTGCAACCCTGTACCCCTGCAAGGATGTTTGTAGCATGCGACTAGTGTTCTGCGTGTTCTACGTGTTCCACGCAGATTCAGAGCCATGAAGATGGCCATGTGGAGCCCCCACGGACAGGCACCTCGGAACTCGCCAGGCACTCACATAGTGCAGGGTCATCTCTGCCGGCTTCTTCGATACACATACTGTGACCAGGGCTTTAAATGCACACAGATGTCCATACATTCGCCGTATACGCCGCATACACGCAGCATGCCCATGTATACAGATGTACATTTCTATAGATGTATATGTAATACATCCCGCCGTGCAGATCGGCGGCCAACCAGCCGTCGGCAAGAGCGAGCGAAGGATTCGGCGCAACTCTAAATAAGCACACGGCCGGCCAATCACGGGTGCAGAGCAGCGTAACAAGCAAGCGAGGGGAGCAGCTGAAACGGGCGGTCGGCGGACTGCGGTCTAGGAGCCACGAGGCGCCGCCTAGCGCCAAACTTTAGCCACTATCCCGAGCATCCGAGGACGGGCGGAGCCTCCGTGCCAATCAGCGCTGCACACGGGCACTGTTTCATATATTAATGTATTGATGGATGGATGAAATCATCAATTTCCATCCATGTGATTCGCCAGCACCTCGGCGGCAACAATATAATCGCCCTTTCGGGCCATTCCACTTCAGGGTCCGTGGTATCGCCGGCCAATCAGCGTCGCCGGGTGGCATTCTGCACGGCTCGTTGCCGAACACTAGCACTAGCGTGGTGTAACGGTACGTACAGGTTTCCGTCTTTCGCGCCTTTTTAATTTCTGCCCGGTATGAAGCGTATGACGTGTATAACACCATGCCGACAGCCTTATCCAGGTATTAAACAATAATAAACTATGCTTTACCACTGCTGCCTCATCGTCCTGATATCTCCTGCTGACGGCCCCATTCCTGTAAGCTGTGGAAACAAGCACATGTAAATGGCCCGCCAGCTTCCATAGTTCGGCTGCGCGGCCGCTCCACTCGCGTGCCAGTTTCTGGCCTTACCAGATTCCTGGGGCTCGAGTAAATAGCTGTGCCTCTCATAATATTAATTTATCCGTCGGTATCTTCCACAAACTCTATTGGATTTAGCCTTGACCATCTCGTGCTCCTTCTTCATTCTGTCCCATCTCCGCTCGCTATGGTCGTTTGCCTGTGGCGATCTCTGGATGCATTCCACTGATTGACATGTCGGCTGCACTAGAACACGAACTGGAAATTGGAAAATTATTATGAGATGAATAGGCTCAGACATTCGCCGTGTTCATACATATGTCATGCTGTTGATATGCTTATTGTCTGCTATAGTTTCTTGCTAACTTGTACAAGCATTCTTTTCCGTAGTATTTTCTAGTTCAGCCAGCGCGAGTAAGTATGTCCAATTCAAGCAATAATATGCTCTTGCCAAGACTATTATCGTCACTTCCCTAGTCCGTATGGGGCAATACCCCCTACTCGATCATTCTATCAGTCGATTAATTATGACCATTCAAGTTGATTCAATGACAGTGGCCCGGGCCAGGAAGCCAATCAGACAGATCACCGATGCGCCGCTTGTGCTAATCTTGTTAATCTCCGCCCCTCAATATGCTTAACCGAAGGCTCCATGCGGTTGGGTTCGTGGAATCCTGTCTTTTCTGGGCATTTACCGAGGTCCGTCTATCTTACTAAGATCGCCATTCCAATCTGCCCTTGAATGTTAATATAATCTGAATTTATCAAGCGTATTTGTACATGTCTATTCAGAATGTGCAATACGATATTACGATATGACTAGTCCAGCCCAACAGCCCCCAACAATATATTACCATAGAAGAACTAAACGATGATTTGCCTCGGAGGAATCTGGTTGCACTGCCTCAATGGGTCCTCTCCATCGAGGAACCAAGTTTCGTATCTGAAACGACCCAACCATCGTCGCTGCTACTAGCTTCCGAGCCTTAAAAGACTCGTAAACGACGGGACGGTAAAGCACGACAAGATTGAAAATATTGTATGTAAAAAATAAATATTGAAGAAAAAATACTATTCTCTTGTATACATGTAAATATTTTAGTCAGTCTGCTTATTAGTATTAAACTTAGATAGACGACTCCGTACATCAAATAATATTAACAATGATACACTTCCGCACGAACCGGCTGCTAGCACATACGAAACATGACGGGCCAACCATTCTCTGTGGTGGCATAATCTCTCCGCCGTCAGCTGACAGCAATTAAATTTCGCTTGCTTGCAACGCTGACTAGTTATCGTACTAGACTTTAAACTCTATGCACGTACTCCGAACAATCCATGTCCAGGGCAAACTAGCCGAAATTTCCGAGAACCTTGAAGGTCCCTAACCGCCAACTTAGAGTCTTAGGCTGCCAACAAGAACTGCTAGTCGTATGTGCTAGTATTGTTATTAAGTAATAATACTAGTGGGCCGCAAGTTCCCCGTAATGGTTATTTTTGAGGTGCGCATCGTTTTCGCAGGGACTGGGAAAACTCGCTCGAGAACATTCGAATGCATTGGGTAAGCTGTCTCCACTAAGTATCAATTACCAATTGGTAATTCAGTCAGATCTGCAATATCTGATGACTTGTCACCCTAGTTAGAGTCAATGAATGACAATTCGAAAACAGTTTCGAAGCATGCATGAAACCAATAATAACATTAAATTCGTGAAACGTGTTAACAAATGACTTGAACCATGGCTGACGGTTAGGTATATGTAACTAAAATGACTTATGAAGTACCGTTCGCATTACACGCGGCGATACAGCCACCGCATTCCCAGCGCTGTCAAGATCAAACAAAAACTCATCCAACCCGACATTCCCATATACTGTTGAGTCTACCACAAACCAATCAGTGCAAGGCACGCCATTCGGCTGACTACCGAGTTGCTGGATGATCGCAACAAACGATAATTGGTCCGCATTTTCCAACCCTGTAGGATACAAACGAATCGAAGGTGCAGCAGTATAGCCCTCCAACAATCCGATACTCTGAATTATATCCACCGAGTCATTCACCCAGGCCTCGACATTCAGACCCGGCCCCTCGTCAGTCGTGATCACAATTGACGAGTTTGTACTATTATGTGTATAAATACCTGTGAATCGAAGTGCAGCTTCCTCTTTCGCCGCCGCGTCTAAGGCAGGAACTAGCGTTTCCATCATGGACAGCAAGACCGCTTGCACAACCGCTGACGTACTGTTTCCTGCAGCTAAAATAGTGAAGCCAAAGCTGTGATCAGGCAACAACCCAAGCATACTTGAATAACTCCCGAGATCGCCGGACTTGGTGTACACATCTACCACTCGGGAGGTAGGGAATGACAAAATCTCCCAGGGAGCCCCGACGGAGAAGTCTAGGGAGCCAGTGTGTGTGGCTGGTTTCATCCACCGTCGAGTATGGGCTGGGGAGAGGAGATGGTTGTTGAGAATGGCTCGGCCGAGGGTCGTCACGTCTTTGGTTGATGCATAAAGACCACCAGCACTACAGTAAAATTGATGATTGGCTTCTCTTCTCGTTTACAAAGCATGTCACACTTACGGTGTTTCAGCCCCCGTATTGACGGCCCAGTAACTGGTCGCGGCATCCCATGGGATGATCCCGTACTTATCTGCTGGAGCCGAGTATGTGAGGTGTTTTAGGCCGAGTGGCTCGACAAGGTCTCTGTGAAGCAGAGTTTCATATGTCGTGTTGGTCATCGCCTCCAAAACAAACCCGAGAATCTCAAAATTAGCATTCGAGTAGCTGGGTGTGTATGAGATAGGAAAGGAAGGGTGTTCTTGCAACAGGCCTCGGAAAAATTCTATTCAAAGTCAGTAACTCCCAGACGATTCCTCTCCGCCGAAAACATACGAGCTCTGTCACAAACACCAGTCAGTATACCTCCGCATGGCGGGGCTTCAGAGGGTTGAGGAAACCCATATGCCGTAAGATCAACTCCAGATGCGGCTAGATCACCGAATCCATCTACAGCAAAACCCAGCAGGTAAGTCTACTGGCAATAAAACTGGGGAAATAGGATGACATACAATCTCGACTGATACCTGAAAGCTGAGTTGCCAGATCACGAAGCGTTAATTCTTCCCACTGCACATGGTCGATTCTATCCCATCGATCAGTAGCATTACAGCGCAGCTGTTTCGCCGCATCTGCGAGTTCCGGGACCCATTTCACGACGTGGTCAGACAAGACTACATCGCCCTTCTCGATGAGTAGCAGTAATACAGTCAACAACTTTGATGCGCTACCGATGCGAAATACAGTATCCTCATCAACGTCGGTGACACCGATGCTTGAACTCCTGGTCAATGGAGATGTATAATAATACTCGAAAAGGGGCGTCGAATCATTTGTAGACCAGAGCTGCACTGAGAGCGAGGTTGTGTTGGTGTTGTAGGTTGAGCCTAGAAGGGATGAATTTCCAGCGACCACAGCATCTAAAGTACTGGATATGTTTTGCTTGGCTGCATGAAAGGCTGAATCGGTGCCTAGGCTCTTGGGAGTAGGGTAAACTGGGCCTAGCAGCGGACAATAATTCTTAGAGACCGCGCTGGCAAGTGAGAAAAAAGAGAAAATATGAATATAATTCATCTTCATTCTAGTAAGATCACTTTTCAATGATATTGTTTACATATGTGGTAAGAAAAGACCAAATAGAACCCCGAAATGTTGACACCACCGTACCTTTATAGTTTTTGAATCCTTGATTACGTCGATCAACTACAGCCCCTTTTCAAATATTAACATATAAAAGCAAGCGCTGTCCTAATTACACTAAATATCATGAATATTTCTAAATTTATCCAAAAGTACTGCCTATCTTCCACATCTGAACATTTGATGGCGGAGTCGTGCGGTGTGATTGGCTGCGTCGGGATAATTGAAGATTTGAGCTTTTCCAATTGGGGCTATGACATACGTTCTTGGGTTTTTCTCGTTTAGTTTAACAGACTGCCCGCTTCATCATTGGCTAGGTCGCGTTTTTCTTTACTTACTATTATTTACTACCTACATAAAGCGATGTGCGCCTCTAACAGCTTAATTACTCACCCCTGCACCATGACGGGTCTGATTGATGAATCGATTAATTCATTCAAGATCTTCATTCAAATTAAATATTCAGCTTTCTAGTATTCGTCTTTTTACATTCATAATAAAAAGCACATAGTTATCATAGTCATTTCAAGATAGCAATCGGAAATTGGAGAAGTAGGGATTATATGATAATTGTTGTTTATTTTTACTCTATTAGACAATGAAAACCAAGCTAAATCTTAGGTGCAGAAAGATCCTTCTTTAAAGGAAACAGATCTACTGTTTAATTCAGATCCAATAGGATAATGGCCATCTGTTTGTTAAAGTCTCGTATATTTTACAGGAAACATTTTTATCTATGAAGATACTAATAGAACTAGAATAAACATTGTGTACTCTATTTGCCTCTCTAATATCTCCTCTTTCCTACGAATATTGGGCTTCGAGATATGGCGTTACATTTTCGCTGCACTATTTGTCTGGATAAAGCCCCCTTCAATAAAACCTTCAAGCCCAAGAGTATTATAAAATTGATAAATAAATTTACTGGAATCTCTATTTAGACCTCTCTTTCTACCACGATGCTAATATGTCATCTATCTGCATACTTCACTCGTTGAGAAAGGTGTACAGCCTCTCTATCTTTCCTCCCATTACTGTTACCACATATTCTCCGGTTATCTCTGAGTCTTTTCCAGGATGACCATATCCCCACGGCAGCCTTGCGACGCGGAAGTCCTCATCTTCATTCTGATACAAGATTTGAACAAGGCCTTTTCACAGCGTTATTCAAGGAAGAGAAAAGTTGACCAAAAACCTCAGGGGTCATCGACAAGAGAGTATTTGGACCCTGTCGAGGAGTATGGGTAACCTTACCTAGCTCTGTGAAAACTATTCCCAGGTATTATGCATGGAGAGAGCTGATGAGATTGGAGATCGCCTCACGGCCGCGGAACAGACCAAGGGGATCAATAAAGAGACCTATTGAGGAAGGAACTCACAGTCGAGAGAGCTCTGTGAGACGCTTCTCTGTATGTTGCTCTCCAAACACGAGGTGCAAGTTCTCTTGCACTATGATGGTCACTTCTTTTGTAGAAGGTTCGAGAAATCTTGTATACAGCTGTTGGATTGGCCGTTTTGTCAACATTCGAGCTATTTTGTACTGTAGTAAATTTGTACATAACGAATAAGTTTTAAGATATAGATTAGAAAATATCCAAAATAATACTGAGTCTATATTAATAAATTATTCTCTTAAGAAAGAAAGAGAGAGATATATAAGCTTGATAGAAATAAATAATACTAAAAGAGTGTTAATAACTGTAATAGAGATGATATTTTGGGGCCTTGGGACTGTCAATAAGCCATCTATATGATTGGGAAGAGTTTAATGTTATTAGTTTTGCTGTCCTAATTCAGAATGTGTGTCATGTGTATAAAAAGTGATTCAGTGTCAATTTCTGAATATTCCACATAAATAAGATCATGTTGAGCAACGCACAAGTGAGAGGGTTGATAGTTCACTCTTATGCGTACTAATTCAACCAATCTATGAGTTTCCCCTACTCATGACAAATGTGAAGGATAAAGAGGAGTGCCCTCGAATTTCTGGAAGCAGTCGTCAGTGACGAACACGTGAGTCACCAGAGGGCATTTACTAGCTAATTTAAGCTTTTTTTCACTGCAAGCCGTATACATTGATAACCATTTCTGTTTCAGATAAGAAGAATCCTGGCCATGTGCCATAATGCGTGACCATTCTATATGGAAGATCACGCGAGAGAGCTCCTCCGCTATCTTACTACCCAATTACAGTACCAAATTAAAAAGCTCATTTCACAAGGTAATTCCTTGTCTTCGGGGAAACATCGCGTTCTTCGGGGATTATATCGGACTCAATAATCTGATAGAGACATAAAAAACAAACGTATTGAGATCAGGGTAGGGGCTAGACCACCGGAAGATGACGAAAGCACTTTCAACCCTGTGTCTGATTGTATATTTCCCTTTAGAGTACTGCTTAAAGCCGCAAGCACTCGTTCTATAGACTTTTATCGGGACCTAACATTTCAAATCTTAGCCCTTGGCTTAAAAACCATGAGAGGCCGTCGAAACCACAAAATCTTAGCTTGAAATAAGGAATGGCATCATGCGCCTACAGCACATAATCGGGGAGACTGCAACCTCTTGCTATCATTGGACTAAACCCACGAGACCGTGGATTACTCGGCTCGCTCACCATTTTACCTATAGAATTAGTCAAGGATATAAAATGCTGTCACTTAGGCATCCCCTCTTCATTCAGCTTGTCTCGGATCTTGAAACCCCAATGCAATCTCTAAATCCAATCATTCCCGGTTCTCCCATTGCCTTATGATCGTATCGATAATTTTTGAAAACCCTTCCATCTCTTCTTCAATAGTTGACTCTGTAAGCACTGGATCAATATTGCATCCGACATACACCGGAATATTCATTCTACGAGCAAGGATTTTGGCAGTCCTTGTTGCATAGTCAATGCTTCCCGGAGATGTGAAAAGTGCTGTGGAGATTGTTGAGCGGATATTTGTGCGCTATTTTATTATCAGCAATATTCCAGTACGGGATATGAAGTTCAGATGATTAAGAATGTTCTGCTTCCAGCAAGTTGGGCTGGCAAATTGCACAGCAAGATGGAGATATATTGATCATCTTGAAAAGAAAGAAAATCAACTTACATCAGGCATAGCGTATACAAAGCTTCCCATCGGCTTCAATGTCGAGCTTGAATCGCCAGTGTTTGTTGTAGAGAGGAAAACCATTGTCGATTTAGCCATAAGAGTGAGATGGATGTGCACATTTGTGTGCGGCGTTCTTGGCAGCGGGAACGAAATCTCGACTGGCTTCATTGACGGGGTGGCTGATTCAAGGAGAGGAGCGACATGGTTTACTGTTTCTGTCGCCATTGCTTTCAATGTGTAGATAGCTGAACCTTGGAGAACGAGCAGATGAAAGACGAGGAAGAGCAGGACGAGGAACAACATGCAAAGATCCCCGCAGCAGGCCGCAATCGCTGGCGGGCCTACTGGGCGGAGCTGGAAGGCTGCCGATTGGCCACAGACATCCTCTGCCCGTTCTTTCTCGTCAACACCCACACGTGCCTTTGCAAACCCGCAGTGAACATGAACAAAAAATAGACGGGCCTGCAAGCGATAGTCGATACGCTGTATTGAAGATGGCAGACCATCAGATCCAGGGACACAAAGCACTGCCCGAGGAGACTCAGAGCTGGCAAGGAGATTTTGACCCTTTCGCAGACCGCGAAGAACGTAGGGTATTATTTGCGGCCTTGGACTCGTTTAGGTATGCCCGATGTATAACGTACAGTGCTATATATACTCGTATATATGCAGCTATTAAAAAGTATTGTACCAGATGGCTAAATTGCACGCAGACAATATCGACGGAGCGCTCATTTAAACAACACGCATCGCCGCCGTCAATCATTCTATGCCCTGCCACAAAGGCATTGGCAGATGCTAGCAGAACCCCCATTTTCTATCCTGGAGAACTTTGACAAAGTCGACGATGCCATAGATACTAATTCCGACATAGCTGACGCCATTCTTGAGACTGGTCTACAGTCATTTGGACTGTCAGCTACTCCAGACAAGACCGACCCACAGCAAAACTGGCACGATACTGCCACTGGCGGCGACATGGGGAAGGCGCATTCGACAATTCGGCAGTTCTATCGCGATTGGAGCGAAGAAGGAAAACGAGAACGAGAAGTATGCTACAATCCTGTGCTGGCTGTTCTGAATCTAAAGTTTGGGGATCTCCCAAACCGGCCTAGATCGGACATTCGTGTGCTAGTCCCTGGAGCGGGTCTTGGGCGCTTGGTGTTTGATATCTGTGCTGCTGGATATACAGCAGAAGGCAACGAAATCTCTTATCACCAACTTCTGGCTAGTAGTTGGATTTTGAACCACTCTCGAGGCACTCGCCAGCACGCCTTATATCCTTTCGCGTTACAATTTTCAAATATATTATCAAGAAAACAACAGCTTCAAAAAGTCATGATACCAGATGTCCATCCCGCTTCCGCAATGCATCTTTCTCAGATTGATGACAATAATATTCCTTCATTTGGCAATATGAGTATGTCAGCTGCCGATTTCATTCCTTTGTATAGCCAGGAAGCACAAAAAGAAGCATTCGATGCCATTGCGACAGTTTTCTTCATAGATACCAGTCCAAATCTGATTCGGTATATTGAGACAATCAAAAATTGCCTGAAGCCAGGGGGGCGTTGGATCAATGTTGGTCCCCTGTTATGGCATTTTGGGACCAGTGACCCCGATTCTACCCGACACTCCTCTAGCAACGAAACAGCAGACGCTGAAAACTCACTAATCATGCAAAATGATGGAAGCACTGGAATTGGAGAACCCGGAAACGTGGAATTAAGTGAAGAAGAAGTATTTCATCTTGTGCAGCGGATGGGATTTACATTTGAAGTCCAGCAACCTCCAGAAGATCGGCCTTATTGTGGGTATATTCAGGACCCAGAAAGTATGCTCCAAAATTTATATCGACCTTCTTTATGGGTAGCACGGAAGTTATAGATGCATAAGTTACATGATGCTGGAAATTGAATTGTATCGTGATAGGCTTATAGTAAATAGAAAATATGCATACGCAATATATCGAAGACATATTTAGAGGACTCACTCATGTCTGAAAATCTGTCATTACATTTTTTTGAAGACTTGATGATTCCCAAACATTGAATACGTGTACCATTTGGGAGATCAAAATAGTCTACTTATTGTAGAAATATAAGTACATAGGAGGTAAAATTCCCAAAAATCTATGTGATGTAAAACTCTGTGATGTTGGCGCCTCGATATATACTAAAACATCTATTGACTACTGCCGTAATGGTTGATGGTCGGTTGGTGGAGTGGTAAATACCTGACGTGATGGATTTGCTTCCTCAGTTCAGTTATGTACTTTACGTTATCTTGCCTCCCCATTATAATACTTCCATCATCAAGTCCTTATGTCGAAAGGACTCTACTTGCGACTCTGTATTTATTGGCGCGAAGAAAGTAATTACCGATAGCGTAACTTCTTTTGTACCGAGATCAAGATTTCAAGGGCGCATTCAACACTTGTACCAGGCAGGGCCCAAGGTTTCAGACGCTCTATAGCAAAATTCTGTAGTTCACTAATATTTGGAACAAAACTCTGGAGTCGCGGGGATATAGCAGCGAGAGAGAGGACCAAGCTGGATCCGAAAACACTACCCTCCCATCTGATCAGCACAAATTGTCTAGTAGAAGACGAGAATTTGTTTCAACTCACGTGCTCAGTGCGCTATAAGCCCAGGATGTGTGCTGTGAAAGCAGCTTCTTAGTCGACAGTAACCAGTATCGGCAGCTCGAGAGACAAATTTGACACTTGTCGAGTATTATGTCGGAAACATATGTGTCTGCAGGCAGTGAAGTGACGTAGAAAACAAATGGTCGGAAAATGATATCTTTAGCCGACCAGTAGCGGAGTCGAAGTATATAACTCTGAAAATTCGCGTCTTCCGGCGATGAAAGATCAGGCCGGACTGTGTTGGGTAATGCGTCATACCAGTTATTCAATTGCCGATCAAGCTCGGTACAGATGCTAATCAGAGAGCCGCCTGGCACCTCCGTTAATGAGTCTGCAGAATAGATAGAATAATGAACTCGATTTAGGAGAAGCCGTATGGATATTTCCGCTAAAAATGCTAGGTTTGCCGGCATGGGAGCTTGGCCCAAACTCGGAAACCGCATTTCGTCCATAATATGCAAGATACCACTACGAGGCTGGTGAAATTCTGAAAGGAGATCGCTGTATTTATTTTAGCATATCAACATTTGTTTTCATCTTGAGTTCTGATATAATTCAACATCAAACCCACCTTTCAATACAAAAGCACGACCAGGCAACCCGAAAGATTTCATCATTATCGGCTGGATTCAATGTGTCATCGGAACTTCAAGCACTTGAATGAGTTTTGATTACAAGAAGGTTTAGAACATAGCATACCGAAGCAATATCTGTTGCACAGTCGTTGATGCCAGATGGATAAGTTTCCACGCTCGCAATGGCTGCGCTATATTACAGAGATAAAGGGCGCATAAAACTAAACCCTGTGACAGATTTATTTCACCGGAGAAACTTGTGGTCCAGGAGGTTGTGAGAATATGCAAAGCCGGCTTGAAGTATTCCATTCCGGGAGTATCCTTGTCCAACACATCCTTCGAATCTATTGTTTTACCGGCTACCGAACCGAGTGCGAATACTGCGTGGAGAATCGCTCGGTCATTCAAACTTGCGTCGGCTGGAGTTAAACCATATACATAGCGAGCAAGAAAGGTGTCTTGATCAAGGAAAAAGTTGACAAGGTGGGCTGATTGGAAGAAATTGCTTATCAATGCTAGTGCTGTGTCCTGGTCAACTTGAGGAAGCTCTAAGTAATCGCTAATAGGATTGAACCACTGTGTTGATGGTAGTGATCGTTGTGACTCGACTCGGTAGAAAAAGTCTTCCGGATACTGGCCAATAAGTGACTGGACTTGCGGTAGTACTAGGAGGCTATTATTGGTACAGCGATGGCCCAGAGGAATCGTGAGAGGTGGGAGAGCACTGCCATCTTCGACATCAACCTGAAGAGGCTTCTGTCGACTGTTATAGAGAGAAGGGCCTGACGATGTTGGCGCTTTGGAACGCGGTTGTGACGATGTGCGGCGTGCAACAGTTAAACTGCCCGCGTCGTTGCTCTGGCGAACTTGAGAATTAAGTCTTAGCGAAGTCGCTGCAAGCCTAGCCTGGGATCTAGAATTTGTAAGTGTTATGTTCTGATTAATGTTTTTATTCCTTACGAACCCTTTTCCAATTGCAGAATACGCGCACTCGACCTGTCTACGGATGCATCCGGCACATGGAGCTCCACCATTACACTTGCGCTTGCTGGTGGGTGTCAGCGAGATAACAGCACATTGAACTCCACTCAGAGGGTCTGCTCACTGGGATCTACAAGAGTCGCAAGCAACATTGGACCTCTTAGGCATAGACGCCATTCTTGGTAGATATAATTGTGGCGGGTAATTGCGGCCGTGCGGGTTGAATGGCTGCCATCCCGCACGCTAAACCCAGAATAGTATTCGTACCGCGTTATTGCGGGAAGCTGTTTAGCATCAGCCAATGAAGACCGCTTGTATAGTATCGACTGTGGACAGGTGCTACTGCCTTACTCTGAACAAGAAAAGTGGCGAAAAGGGAAGTAGGATGTATTAAAGCGTCTCAAGTATAAGTATTCGTGGTCTCCAAGGATATCTGAAGTCATGTCAATAATGAGTACAGCACACACTCCAGCGTCGACGCATACACCAAGTCGAAAGATGCTCAGGCGCGAAAACCTGATCCTAACTGCTGCTCTCCTCTGTTTGTATTATTATCAAGTCCGTTCAAATGTCTATTCTGCAACATAAAACATAGTAAGATTTTTTATTCTTACCATAACTGACAGGGATTCATTCTCGGAGCGGCATTCATATCGAGCTTTTACATTGACCCGGATTGCGATGTTGGGCTTTGCCCAATGTCATACTTATCCGCACTTTTTTTCCCGTAAGCTCAAGCAACATGGTGAAGATATCCCAAAATGAGTTCTTAATTTATAAGATACATTAGGCTAGTTGGCTTAATATCATTACTGGCGGGTGACAGGCTGGGTAGTATTTACGGCACAAAAAGAGCATTTGAGGTAGGATGTCTATGGTGGATAATATGGACACTGGTGGGAGCCATTTATAGAAGACTCAAAATAGTCAACATCTGTCTCAGAATGTCTTCGATTGTGGGGTTAGAGGTTCTCATAAATGCACCGAATGTGTCGGAATTTTCTGCGGCGACAGTATTTGAAGCCGTCTTTACTGGTGGCATTTCTATGCTCGGAGCTTACAGTGGAGGCCAATCCTTACGGAAAATATCCTCAATTGCCTCGATACCTTTTGTTCACAGGTAATATATAGGGGTTTTCAGAGTTATACTTCAAAGTGATCTGAATATGGTAGTGCTAACTTTTTATCTAGTGCGGTGTTATCAGCGGTAGCATTATATGTTGTTCATAATTATGTTCCCGATACTAGGCCAAAATGTCAAAATTCCAAGGTAGACTGGTTTGGAATTATCTTTGGGGCCCTGGGACTCAGTTTTATGAACTTAACCCCAGAGTAGCGTTTCCGTTCTATGTTGAAAGAAGAAGTCTAACGTGAAGTAGATTCTTATGTCGGCATTCACTTTTCGATCAACGAAATGTCGCTATTTACCTATTATTATCTATTTACTGGAGCATATATGCGCTGGTGGAAATGAAGTATGTTGGCAAGCATGCTCTATTCCCAGCTACCCTCTGGCCAGACATCATATTGTACAGTGTGCTGATACTGGCCTGTACACACACCATTCTAAAGAGTGTTTTTGGTGGATATGTAAGTTATGTATAGCTATATCTCTCTAGATTTTCTATTTTTTTTTCCTTTGCATTGAACCTTCTAAAGAAATCACTCTTTGCCTATGTATTTCTGAAGGCCAATTATCCACAGATAATCTTATGTCCTCTTCATATGGGAAGTCAGATGAGAGTACAGCGTGTAGAGGGAGAAGGTCATCCATCTAGTGATGTATTCCGAGAAAGGGGTGGTAGCTACAATTCTCCAGCGCTAGATAAATATCAATACGAATACAGTTATATAAGCAAAAAAAACCACACCAAAGCCCCAGTACTAAAAAGCATAGTACCAATATCGCCAAGCCAATTAACCATCTGACAAATCTTCAAAGCCTTCCCCATCCGTGTACTTGGTTTTCTGCTGAAGCATCCATCTCATTCACCCCTTCAACACAGACCCCGAAGTAACAACTTCTGAAACTCCTCAACCAATTTATTAAGTAGAAGCATTGGTTACCAGCGCCTTCCCACCTTTTTTATGACTCGACTGAACCAAAATTGCCGAACGGACTCAAGAACGGCAGGAGTTTGCTGACGCCTGGCATGATGTTGTTTCGTCGTTTAACGACGTAGCCATGTTTTCTGTTCATTGTGTTTGCGAATTATAGTTGACTATGTGTATTAATTCATTAGAAGGATGCTTGGTTTTCTAGGACGTGGAAAACTTACATCTCTATTACTCGTTGGGGTGAAAGGAGCTCAGCTGCGAGGGGTTAGAGAAAGAGGAGAGTGAGGACGAGGGCGAAAGTAAAGGACTTCATTTCAGTTTATATCTGGATAATGAACTTGATGATAAAGTGCGTCCTCGAAGTTCTTGATCCAAGAAGATGGTATAAGGTATTGGAATGCAGTTGGGGAAATTTTAGTTCCTGCTCCCTAGCACAAATCGATATTTAGGTATATTTTAAAGCCGCACCAAAGTTACAGGCGCGCAAGTGTTTATACGCACATAAACTCTTTTGGATCTACGCTCTAGTGGTTTATTGGTCATGGTTAGGGCTCTGGTATGCGCATAATACCACGCCGCGCCTTGGACGGCAGGCATATTTCAGTGATATCCTGATTTATTCATCTGGTCGACGTACAACGTCTTTTCGGTTGAGCACCTGGAGCAATCAAATTAATTAAATAGGCTACGCAGCTGTTCAATCGAGAATAGAGGAAAATGCATGAGCCATCCAAAAAGAAGTTAGAAAAGTTGATATGAAATTCCGAGGTATAAATCAGCAGGAATAAAGTCCTCACGCCTAGACAGAATATTGCAAAAACTACAACCAACGATGTTCTCGGGTTTGATTTTCCATTGATCAGGCTGATCTGTGACATGCCTTATATCTACTGGACAAAATGTCTCGGCTAACACCCCTTCATCTATGAAACAGGAATAAAAACATAATTGGGCAAGGGGGAATAATGCAGATGAATAAAAGGTAGAAGATTCTTGGTTCGGAGACGCGGGATATTTTCGATTCGTAAGTCGTCAATATGCATATAGTCAAGTTAGATCTCAACAACTAGATGTCGCTGGCTGACTACTTGAAGCGTGCAGTGCAGCGGCCCATAACCTCGCCTTGGCACACTAGTTCCGCATTGAATTCGGATCCGTCGAGGGTCAGGTAGATGTCAAAGTAGACGCGATAAAAGGTACCATTTGGTGTGTCCATGCGCTCAAAGTCTTTCTCGAGATTCTTGCGTGACAGATCCGATGTGAGAGTTACCACCTCTTTGATGCCTGTTGCCATATTAGCATATCATTCAGTCAACGAGGGAAATAAGTGGACTTACGGGGATCTTTGACGTATTCAGGACAGACATCCTCGTCACATGCGTAGAGGATATCCTCGTACATCAACGTAGCTCCCGGTGCGACTTGTCGGAAAAAGCTGACCTTGACAGGTTCGCCAATCTTGACTCGTTCTCCCTTTTGCACAAAGATCTGACGAGTATATTTACATCGGTCCTTGCCGTCTAAGCTAGGAACACGGTACTGTTCTGGGTGATAACCCTCTTTGAATGGCTGCAGGGTCGCCATGAGGTAGTGTCGACGGGCGATACGGTGTGTAACCACTCGTTCTGTAATACCAGCTGTAACAGCTCCCTTTACGATCGCAGCGACTGAGTCCATAGGGCGAACCACCTTAGACTGGAACTGTGGCGGAACGTGCAATTTGATTTGTTGGAACAGATACTCGGACGCACCAAAACCACCGACGACAAGGACATTCTACCGAATAATTAGCTTTCTACCAGAGTATTTAAAATGAACGAGTATATACCTGTAGTTGCCTGTTTTGTGCCTGGATGGCAATAATCTGGTTGCGCACCAGCTCCAAAATACGGTTGACAACGGGTTCAAAGCATTGCAGAATCTCTTCGTTCGTGAAACTCATATAGCCATCCTCAATGCCTGCTTCCGGATAATCGGCCTCAATACCAACATCTACAGCCCATTTCTGACCGTTGTTGCGGAAATCTGCTTTGATTCGGTTCTCGAAATCCATAATACACTTGGCATACACTCTTCCGGCAGTTCGCGATGCGTCGGGCAGTTTCATCTTGCGAATTTTGGCACGTAAAATATTGCTAAAGTTACGATTCAACGCCGTTGAACCGCACGAGTCACCAGATCCGGCTGTGCACTCGGCGACGGTGAATGGATTTTCTTCTTCGACTTCGTAGGCAATTAAATCAACCGTACCACCACCACAATCGACAATCAGGATGGCGTCGCCGACCTTGAGGTTGAGCAGACCGGTCTTCGCACAGAACATGGCAGCTGCCTCGGGCTCAGTAATCAAGGTCAGCCGATTATCATTTTCATCGCGTAAGAATCCAGCCTGAATGGCAGCGGCGCGAGTGGCAGCCTTTGCAGCATCGTTCCAAATAGCTGGCACGGTTAAATAATAACGAATGTTGCGCTCTTCCCGATTGAAGACTTCTCCGAGAGTTTTCTGCAGCTGGGCACGCATGGCTTGGCGCACTTTGAATAGGTAATCTGCAGCGACGTCGATCTCAGACTTGCCAGGTGGCAGGGGCGGTAAGTTAATTGGATCAATATAGGTATTTCCAGACAACATTAGCTGCAGCTTGAACCATTCTACCTTTTGCACGCCAGGTTTAGGATAGCCAGTATGCGCCAGCGCGTCAGCAATATCGGGGCCCCATCCGACGACATTCTGGTTCGCATCGTAGTAGAGCACGGTAGGGATCTTCTGCTTTGTGTGGGTTCCAGCGCCAGGCCACTCCGTGATGATATCTTCTCGCGCCTCGTTGTTGGTCGCAAATGCAAAGGCGACGCCCGAGAAGGTGGTACCAAAATCAATACCCACAATCAGTTGTGCCTTGTTGCGGTTGGTCCCGTCCACCTCGGCAGCTGGATTGCGGAGGCCTTGGGCAGGGCCTAGGCTGGATGGGATGCCATGCTGGTGCAAGGGCTGTTGCTGTGCAGGGGGTTGTTGATAGCCATAGCCGGGAGGAGGAGGCCCTCCGACACCGAGTTGCTGGCTATACTGGCCGGGTTGCTGCTGGACGGCGGTGTTGATGGGAGGTGGGTGGTGGGCGAGCTGCTGCTGCGGCTGATGAGCGAGCGGCGGCGGCATGGGACTCGTCGGACGGCCGGCGTGCGAATAACTGGGAGGACGTCCCTGGGGATTCTGGCCGTTCATGGGGAGGCTGGTGGTGGACGAGGTCGAGGGCGGCGGGGGACTGGCGGAGGCGTTACTTAAGGGCGGGGGAACGAACGTGGTGTTGCTGCTAGCGGCCGGGCTCGACTGTTGTGACGGGAGAGAACTGCTGCTGTCCTTGTTGCGCTTGAACGGGAATTTGAGCCGCGAAGTCATTGAGACTGAAGACATAGGGGGAGGGAGGGGACGAGGAGGCGGGCGAAGGCGTGGGAGAGGGAAAAGGGGAGCGAGGAAGAAAGAAAGAACGAAGCGTAAGACGCCAGATCCGCCTTGAGGCTTGGGGGGGGAGCAGCGGGTGGAGCGAGCGAGTGACTAGGCAGACAGACAAGGCTGACAGCGGGCGAGTAAGCGGAAGATCGCAGCAGGCGCGGTAGATATATGTAATATCAATCAATATGCTCGATATTTAATATTTAATATGAATTGACAAGCGAAGGCTAGGCTGAAGCGAGCGCGGGCCAGCAGGGCTAGGAGGCTGAGGTGGTATCTGAGAGCGGTGGATGTGGATGATGTGCAGCGGTGGTTGTGGTAGTGTTTGTGGTTGTTGTGGGAGCGGATTAGTAACGCTATTCGATGTTGGGCCGGAATAATATTAAATACATGTGTATTAAATATTATTACGAATCACAGCAAACACTGTCAGCCGCGCCAAGAAATGGTTGCTCTTCATCTGCGGGGTCGGCGAGGGTGTCGCGCGTGCAAGACAGCGGTGTTATTGTTGTCATGATGCGAAAAAGAATAGAGCATCTACTGCGTGGGTGGTGGGAATATTAATACTTGTGGTACATGTGTAATTACGAGCGCTCACTGGGAAGTGGAGTGCGCGAGGCTGAGCGACCGGGCCAAAATAGCATTGCTAGCAGTGCCCAGCAAGTGTTTAGCGACGGGCGAGTATAATATGGATACTCGCGTCGCAGTGATGGTCATCTCATCATAGCGGATATAATTACATGTCATAACGTCAATCTTCTACCCGCCATCAATTAATCAATTGATATTGATGCTTCAATGTGGTTGCGTTCATCCAATCCCCTCCCAACACCGATAGGTTGATGACTGCTTCTTAGTATGTTAAGTTAGATACTCTACATAGAGTATTCATATTATTGTAATAGTACAATCTCATTTAATTTCTCTCTCTGAAACGTGGAAAGAGTGAAATGAACGGGTTTATTTATAGAAGCCGGCAGCCACGGCCGGACCCGCTGCTGGCCCCTGATTGGCCGAACCCCGTTTAAAAATAACTGCAACCACTAATCTTATTTATAAATCGAGGAGGATGTAACTCATATAATAATAATTATTATTATAATTATAATAGATAATATCGTTGGATGATAAACGAAAAAGCCGAATTAGGTCAAATGCTTCGCTGCTCCAGATGTCGACGTAGCAGGCGTATACACTACTATGTACAGTATCAGGTGTGTTGATATAGTTTTGACTGCACGGATTCATCGATATCAATTGATATCAATTGCATATGATATAGTTGGATTTGCCGACTCCTCTATAACAATGTGGCATGTCAGATATGCTGTAGACTATCTAGCGTCGAATCTTACTTCCTATTCACCGGTCAAATTAGATGACGACTGATATACTATTATGCCTGCGAGATTTCCTTTTCTCATGCTTGGATATGAGTCGTCTCCGTGGTAAGACTAGTGCATATGTAAAAATTAGAAGGGGCATAAATAGTATTTTCATTTTGATTTCGCTAATAAGTAACCATAGTTTCCTGAGGTCCGTTGACTTTTGAAGACGTCATCTTTCATGACCGCTGGCAAATTTTGTCAGACATAAAACGTCTTTACAATAAGCCAGATCACGAACCAAGACCCTATGGTTAATTCCATAATATCAAAGTTCGTGTAATTGAGATGTTACCCAAGAAGACAATCCGCAAATCCCTCATCGGCAACTTTTGGTCGACCGTCCGTCAGATTATGCCGTTTGGCCAGATGTAGTCTGGTATGAATACTTTCCCTTCCATTATTCGCCGCGACGTGCGCACAAACGCAAGTACTTTAAATTCAGGTGCATTGAGCGATATTGTGGCTGACCACCTTCCTTCAACAGCTGCTTCAACTTTGACTGGCATCACGCCTAATGGATGACAGATGTTGAATTCATCGGACTCCAACCCCCCTGGCCCAGCTACCTGGCGAACTATAGACCCATCGATCCGGCTACACGCCGCAGTGCAGGTCGCAATTGTCCCGGCCATGCTGTCGTGGCACATATTATTCAAAATGAATCTGGACGTGATATGCCCCTCCGAATGACCGACCGGAGGAGCAGCAACCATGACAACAGAAGGTATACCTAGGGATTGCTCATCAACCTGCTCCCAATCATCACACATACCTAGAAGCTGTGCAGCCTTACCGCGGACTTCTCTGCACCGCTGAAGGAGCTCCTTGTCGCTCGTGATGTCGTCCGCCTGACGAGACTCCAAGTCCCACACTCCCAAGTCAGATGCTCGTACAAACGTGGTAAGAGTAGCCACGTCCATGATTGTGACTGAAACAATAGCTCCACTAATTTGGATGACATCTGTAACATGACCGGTCGGTAATGGACCTTTGTCATGGAAGCCGCCAATAGTCTAAGCCTTGTCAGCGAAGAGCGTATAAAAACGACTGGTATTTCATCATTCATACGTTGCGAAAGTCCATTAGTATTGGAGCCCCAGTTCCAGGCACGGCGGCAATTGCAAAGTTCCCTTTTGACAGTGACTTTCCACTCTTTGGGTCAATTGGCACATGTGCGATGAGGATTTTCTTAATCGCCGTTTGGTAAATGCGGACTTCTCTAGTGAGCAAGCCCGGCGCTGTGGTTTGTCCTACCCGAAAGGGTTTCCTAATTAGACCCTCATCAATGGCGAATGGACCAACACCGGCACTTATATTCCCACAGTTCCCTCTGAGTCGAATGCTGTCTTCTGTAATGCTCACTTGGCCAAAAGAATAATCCACATCCGCGTCGTCACGGTCCGATGTCTTGATGATCGCCACTTTGGAGGTCACGATTCTTGTTCCTCCCATTCCATCGATTTGAATGGGATCAGGTGTGCCCATTATACGTTTAAGGACTCGATCTCTCAGGAGCCCAGGTGGAGGCACGTCTTCCTCTTTGAAAAACATGGCCTTGCTAGAACCGCCTCGCATAAGGACGGCAGGAATGCCGATTTGATCTGCAGACATATTTTCAGTTGATTGCAGACGAATTCTATTTTATAGCGAAGAGGACTAATGCTGTAGAATATTGCGTGTAAACATATCTACCGCTGAGTTGATATTCATTTGTAGCCACGATTGGCCTGAAGCTTTCCGAATAGTCAATGCTCGATGGTAGGGTTAGTATTTGGTTTTGCGGGGACAAGCCGATTTCAAGCTTCGCATCCGAACAGCCTTGGAACCATTAATCCGATTTACACCATTTCACCGGTTCCACCGTATTAGTATATCTTTATGAAGAGTAGGCACTAATATTGAAGTTGAATGGAACGCGACAATGAACTCGTCCAAGTGCGCACACACCTATCTATATCAATTTCTCCAACCGAGTCCCAAATATAAACCTAAATTAACATTCGCTTCTCACGCCCAGGCAATACAAGCAGATATTTCAGCACGGAGTTAGTTCTAAAAATGGAGAACAATATTATTCAACCCTCACCAGTGGAAATCCTGCGCAAACAAATTGCTGATGAAAATGGCATTGTGGTTTGTCCTGGTGTATACGATGGTCTTAGTGCACGGGTAGCATTGCACGCCGGCTTCAAGACATTATATATGGTAAGATATCAGTCACTATATATTTGGCTTCAGGTATTCGCAGTAACTTATTGATCTTTTAGACAGGCTCTGGAACTGCTGTGTCGAGATTGGGAATGCCTGATATTGGCCTAACCTCGTTAAATGATATGAAACAAAACGCAGAGCTAATCGCCAACCTCGATACCTCCGTACCTCTGATCGCTGATGCTGATACCGGATTTGGAGGTATAGAAGACACCAATACTTCTCTTCTTAGAAAAATTAGGACGATTACTAACTCTCGAGTGCAGGAGCTTTGATGGTTGGTCGCACTGTAGCACAGTACATGAGAGCCGGCGTCGCAGCCCTCCACTTAGAAGATCAAGTTATGAACAAACGTTGCGGCCATCTCCGCAATAAGGAGCTCGTCTCCGAAGATGAATTCCTCTCCCGGATCCGAGCAGCAGTCAATATGCGCAGCCAGCTATCCGGCGACATCGTAATAATCGCGCGCACCGACACCCTACAATCACTAGGTTTCGAAGTCGCGCTAGACCGACTAAAGAAGTCCATAGCAATTGGCGCTGACGTCGCATTTTTAGAAGGTATCCGAACCATTGAACAAGCTCGAACCGCATGTCGCGAACTCCATCCAACGCCGGTACTGTACAACATGGTGCAAGGGGGTGTGTCGCCGCATTTGACAGTCGCTCAGGCGAAAGAATTGGGATTTCGAGTGATTATTTACCCAGCGATTGCCTCCAGAGCTGCGTACATGGCAATTACAAAGGCGATGAATGTTGTACGGGAGAAGGGGGATTTCCCGGAAGATACTGGCCATATTCCGCCGTCAGAAATGTATCGTGTGTGTGGGTTGGATGATGCAATAAAGTTCGATCTGGCTGCCGGTAGTAATACGTATAATGGAGGAATATAGTGCTTAGCATATCTGATTTACGTTTCGATTAAATGCTTGCTTAAGACAATGGGGACATGTTAGAGAACATAAACGTTTTTAATGTTGGAAATTAATATTGATATACTCCAGGCAATCTACCGGGTATCGTACATTGTAATAAGTAGCAAACCTACGACACAGGGGTTGGCGCTAAAAATGTAGCTCCTGCAATGGATCTATCTAATAACCTGCTATCGAAAGCGGGTGACAAGCTGAATTCAGCGAAGTCATCGAATGTCGTTCCAAAGAAGGAGAGGTCTTGGCCAGAATGTTCTAAATCTGGCAAGCATTAGCGAAGGTTAACATATTAGTAATATCTGAGCTTTATGAAACGCATAAAATGAAAAGCCACTCACCCTTGTCATAGTTCTCATTAAATGGGCTTGAAAGGCCCGCAAATTCCTCGCGCCACCACCAGTAACAGTCATAAACCGCACTCATTGTTAAACGGCTTCGAATCCGTAACAGCAAACTATCCCGCGTTCCATCTGACCGTCTAAAAATTGCATCACTAGCCCACAATTGTGCAAGAATATCTGCCCCTCGCGCGCTTAAATCATCGTGCGCAATCGACATTTGCCGGAGGAACCTAATCGTATTGAAATACGCATTCTCGCCTGCTTTCGCATCAACGACCGATCGATATAGATCACTGCGCAAGATCCTGAGGATACTAAGTGCCGCTAACATGAGCATACGATGAACATAAAATGTGCAGATAGTGGCAAGATTATCCGCTGCGGTGACTGCGTTGATTGTTTCCAATGCGGCCGCGTAGACACTAAGGATTGGTGTGAAGTTCTCGGGGCCCTGGTCGCAAAAGAAGCAAAATGCTCGGACGTGTAGCCGTGCGCAAGAATAATAGATGTTTCCTATGACTTATTTAGCTTTGTTTGTAGGCAAACTTTGCACTAAATCTTTCCAATTGTTGAACTGACCCATATTATTGGGGCTGGTGAGAGGAGATAGACGGGATAACTCGCGGTCGGATAGCTCGATTAACGAATGCAAATGTCCAGAGTTACAATTATTTGGCTGTGTAATACCTGCCCTTTGTATCAAATGGGTGGCATTCAGGGCTACCTGATGTATTTGCTTGCAATACTTTAGTTCGGGCGAGAGGAGCTGGTCAGTCTGATGGGATCCGTTGTTCTCTACAATAGGAAGGACGCTTGGAATGAAGCCGTCCGCATAACTCGAACTAAATTCTCAAATACCGAGACATTAGGACATAACCCATGAGATTTCCTGCGGGTACTTACCTCTGGTTGATCATTAAACAGTACTCCCATAGCTGGGCCCGGTATGCTTTTTCGGCCTCATTTGGAATCAGCTTCACACGAGCGAAATCCTGCCCGACCCCGCAGACATGTAAACCAATCTGTTGCGCTAGATTTACAGCTGCGCCACTGAATATGTGAACCATGGCTTTGTTGGCTGAGTTAAAGGGGAATGGCCAAATGGATAGTAGCAATAGACTTTGAATCAGTTCAATAACTGTCTCGCGCATTGAGAGGGAGAGCAAGGCTATGTTCTGAATTGACGGAGCTAGTCTAGTTAATAAAGTGGGATCCTTCTCATACCGACGTGACCCTATAGCGACGATAGTCCAAAAGAGTAGTGGTGACCGAGAGAAGTACATGTTCGGCGATAGCCGGGGGTCTAGAATTGGCAATAAAGGTGCATATTTGGTGAAATATCTGGAGGATGGACTTTTTAGTAGCTAAACTGATTTTTAGGATCAATGGTAGCCTTACAGAGCGAAACAATCGTCAATCTTTTGAGCGTCTACTTCATAGGAATTTAGTGCCTGAGGGGTCGTTGTAGAGCCGGTGTCACTAAGATCATCCAGTTGGAAGTCGCATGTACTCCCATCCAGTGTTGAGCCGATCATATTATGGCCATATCGTTCACTCTGGCCAGAAGTGCTCTGACTGGGGCTTCTTTCAACAATCTCAGTCACAGGAGGCAGCGAGCCCGAAAGAAGAGAAACGGAGGTGGGGACCGTCTCTTCTACACTTGTCTGCATTTGAGGGTCTTCAATTACTGGCTCTATGTGAGATCCCATTGCCATCTGTTGTCGCAAGAGATCCACTTCTCGTTGCAGTTCAGCTTTTCTGATGACTGGTTAGAAGTAATTGTGCAGAGTCTCAGGGTCATATCTCACGTTTTCTTTTTCACTCTTTTGAACGACGACAAGACAATGCATTCCAGATGCATTTTTCTACACCGGGAGCATGACTGCGTTAAATTCTCGCTTGCATCACATCGCAGCTAGGAATTTATGTTGGCAGTTAAAATGAGCAAATATCCGGAGCTTCTGACTCACCTTTTGTTGCCTACAATTTGTGCACGCTTTGACTGCCCTTCCAGGTCTCCTTGCACGATTCATATCTGCTACAGGCGCGTACTCCAATATACCAACGACAAGGCTACTTGAGGAAGATTTGTTAATTCACCTCGTCCATTAATTAAGTCCTTTCAAGTCTGGGCGTCGGCGTCATCTCCACATCTTACCCCGCATAAATTCCCCCATTACAACCAATCAGGGGAATGTTATTCACATTAACTTCAACACCGCAGCGTGGCAAAGTGATTAAAAATATTGTTTTTTAAAAATACAGAGTCTCAGGTTCACGTTTTTTCATGCTAGCATCAATGGTGTTGCATGCTTTTCACAATCCCTCACTTTTAACCCAAGGACGACGGAGGGAATCAACCGATGTAGGGCTTTATCCGTCACATGACTATATATACATATTTCTGCTGTTGTCGGTTTATTTTAAGATTCTCAACTAGGTACAGTTCGAGGACTGGTTTCTCTACTATTTTGATTGTTTCGCCACTATTAATATTGTTCTATACTGCCATTGGCATCCTTGAACCGTTTACATGTGTATCGGCCACGGAACCGATGGCTGTAGTGGAGTCGGGAAATTGAATAAAATCGGCTTTTACGAGAGCCAATCAAATTTGATTGGTATCGCCGGTGTTGGATATCTATTCATATTAGAAAATTGTATATTTGATAAACGATGACATTTATATAAAAATTTCTTAATCGTATTGAATTCAGACAAATTCGCAAACATGGCAAACATTCTTGAAAACCTCTCCGAAAGAATATCGGCTACGTTAATGGCTAGCCGCGGAATAACAGTCATTGAACAGAAAGCTGAGCATGGTTTGTAGTTCATTTTGAATGTTCAACTATCAATGAGTTGAGCTAATTAAAAGCAGGAGAGAATGCCGAGAATGGCAACTTTGTCACTGTCCTCGATAAATTCATCAATATTTTGTTCAATCAAGGAAAGATACGTGAAGCCGATGCAATAACACGCGCTAAAGACATTGCATTGGAGTCCAAGAACCTTGGAGGTTTAGATCTTGATGTATGGAAGCCGCTGGATCCTTCATCATGCGACGCAATTGTGTTCTGGGTGGAAGCATGGCTCCAGTCGCTTTCATCGGCTGAAAGAAGTCGAAAGCTGCCACACCCAGTCATCGAGAGGCAGGCAACACGGCGAGGAATGACTCTGACGGAAAAGATTCTAGCGCATCATACAATTGGGCCGATTGCGCCAGCTGGGCTAAAGCCAGGTGATTTTGTTCACGTGGCTGTTGATTGGATTGCAGCGTCTGAAATATCGTACTTCGTAGGTATATCTCCACCTCGATATATCGTACAAGGGGTCTAAGTACTGCCTAGAGTATGTCAAAAACATTATCAGAGTTAAAGTCATTCAAAGTCTGGCGGAATGATCGGTTTTGGTTGGCTGGTGATCATGTCGTCGACCCCAGAACTTATACAACGCCATTGAATCGTCAACTTATCAAAGCTATGCATGAAGCCGCCCAAGAATTTCGATTGACGGATTATAAAGGGCCCAATGTAAAAACATTTGTTGCCATCAACACTTTCCAATCTAATATATCAATAGTACACCATCATGCACACCGAATTCGTGCGTGAGCGGGCAGAACCTGGAATGATTACCATTGGGGCCGATTCTCGTATGTCACTGTTTGTTTTCTTCTAAAATGCAATATTTAATGATGCTTTTAGATACATGTTCTTCTGGGGCTGTTGGTTGTCTGGCTATTGGCCTTGGTGCCGCAGATGTAGCCATGGGACTAATAACCGGCGAAACCTGGTTCAAAGTCCCAGAGTGCATCAGCATTCGATTTATCGGCCAGCCTAATTTGGGAATTGGAGGAAAAGACGTAATTCTATATATATTAGGCGAACTGAAGCGGAACACAGTGGCAGCCGAAAGGATTGTTGAATTCTCTGGCCCTGGCTGTCGACATCTTTCCGTGGACGCGCGATTTGCCATTGCGAATATGTGTACGGTAAGAAGCTGCGCCGTCAAACAACTAGTCTCCTTATAAAGCTAATGGGACTGTTTATTACAAGGAATTCGGAGCTGTCACTGGGATCTTCGTCCCTGATTCCCTAGTAAAATCTTATATTGAGGGTCGCAAACAGAAGCATAGGCGCTCTTCCTCAATATATTTCCGGCCTGATGCAGATGCTCAATACGCAGAAATGTTTGAAATAGATCTTTCTAAAGTTAAACCGCTTTTCGCTCTCTATCCTTCTCCCGATAATGTTGTGCCGGTCACCAGCCAGGTGGGTATGCATCTAGATGGCTGTTTCATCGGAGCGTGCACGACAACCGAGGAAGATTTGATTCTTGCGGCACTAGTTCTTGATGTTGGGCTTTCTAAGAATTTCACCCTCGCACCAGGTAGAAGAAACGTGACTCCAGGTTCAATACCCATCCGTTCTCGACTCGAAGCTTTGGGCTTATTAGACATTTATCGAGCCGCGGGATTCTCGATCGGGGTACCTGGCTGTAGTTACTGTGTTGGAATGGGCGCCGATCAAGCAAAAGCCGGTGAAGTTTGGCTCTCTTCTCAGAACCGAAATTTTCAACACCGAATGGGCAAGGACTCAATCGGCAATCTTTCCTCAGCCGCCACGGTAGCTGCGTCGTCCTTCAGTATGACTGTAACTGATCCGTCCAGCTTTTTGGTTGAAATAGATGAAAACTATTTTCAGGCACTTCTAAGGCGTCCTTGCATGGCAAAGGAGTTGCGTAAGGAGGCTCAACTAGCCGATGTGCCTTACGTTGAGCCAAATTTTGATATCTTATCAGGAAAAAATGGAGATGAGACTATTAAGGCAAATTATAGCAAGTCTGCCACGGAGGAGCTACAAGAAGGTTCCAAAAGAGGATGTATTAGAAGCAAAGTCATCACGCTTGGAGACTTTGTGGATACAGACGCGGTAAGTTAAGTCGTGATATCATACATGAAATACGGAGCTGATTAGGATAGATTGCTCCAGCAGACTGTTTAGTAACCGCCGCAACGGACGAGGAATTGGGAAGTCATTGTATGAAATATGTCATGCCAGCATTTCGAGACAAAGTACGCAACGGACAACGAGTTGTCGTGGCCGGCAAAGCCTTAGGGGTTGGATCATCGCGAGAAGCTGCGGTGCGAGCTCTCAAAGGTGCGACACTGAATTTCCATTTTTCCATTCCTTTATATTCTGAGACACTGAAATACAACTTTACTAATATGAAATTTGCCAGGCCTTGGTATTGAATGTATTATTGCCCGGTCATTCGCCTTCATTTTCAACCGAAACCTTCCAAACGTTGGCATCCTACGTTTCACTCTTGATGACGACTCATTTTACGAGATCGCGCAGGATGGAGTTGATATTGAAATTGATCAGGACGAGCGAAAGGTCAGAGTTGGTGATCTAGAGTTCTCATTCCAGCTTTCTGAAATGGAGCTGGCCCTTATCGTGAATGAAGGTATGACTAAAGCGTATCAAAGGTTCGGTGGCGAGATCTTTCAGCAGCTTGCTGGCGAAAAACCAAGTATGGAAAAGAGTGGTCTAGGAACTAAAATAGTTGATCTTAATGTTAATAACATTGAACCGTGGGAGGATTTGCAATGGTGATATTTTTTAAGTTTCGGGGGCGCTCATTTTAAACGCCAATGGCAAAACAGTCCAGATACAATTTATCATTGAATATTTCTATTTTACGAATTACGGAAATGGTACGGAGATTAAACGGAAGTAAGAAAATTTCCTAGTAATGATTATGCAACATGATTTTGTACAAGCGAAGCATAGTAAAATATAATGGTATTATATTCCCCGTTAATCAGGCTAGGATAAGAAATTTAACTCCAGGAGAGGACTCGGAAAGACTATCTGCCAAGATGGTGAAAGTCATATCCAATATCTGACGGGCCAGACAACACAATCACCATTCACAAGGTATACCTGAAGTCCGGATGCTTATCACAAAGATCCTCATAACTCCTATGGGTATCTGGATTGATCTCCCCGCGAGAGGCAAAATCGGCAGCGATTGCATCTCGTCGCTTATTCTCCCGGTTAAACATCCACATGGTGATTAAAACCGCAACAACTCCAAGTGCATTCAGACCTAGCAACGTTCCGTGCCCCTTAAAGAAGCGGGGTGCATCAGTATAAACCTGCGTGCTAATTATACTATAACACTGGATAAAAATCTGAGCAATAGCCCACGCGGTGGCTCGCTTAGTATACCCGGCATTGGAAATGAGAACCCAGGCGCTTGAGAGAATTACGGCTGGGTAGGCTCCAGCAGATACGAAACAGCATCCGGCCATCAATACCACCTTGTTAGTACTAGATAAGAGTAAAATGTACCCAATAAGACATACCCCCAAACATATTAGGGTTGGAATACCCTTTCTATCGTATCGATCCGCAAGGACATTGCCAATTGGGAGAGTGATGATGCCGAATGCATACGGGATAATTGTATATAACTGGGTCATTACTGTAGGAGCTAATTAGTAGGAAGATAATTTTTTATCGAAAGACAGGAGCATACAGGGCGAAAACCCAAAAAGGCTGATGAACGTTGGCAAAAATGTGCCAAAGGCCGCGACATTCAGACATACCGCCCCAACTGCCATGGCCTGTAACCAGCATTTGGGATCTTTCAACGCAAGCCAAAGCTGACTAGATTTTGCCTTTGACTCTGGTTCGTTTCGTGCTATATAGATATGTTAGGATTTCCCTTTGAACCGAATGGAATGATTTGGGTAAGAACAGAGCCGTACCTGTTTTGGATCGTTGCAGAATCATCTCCCGCTCATCCTCTTGTCGAAATAGCCAGTGTCCCCTTTTTGCGACGACCTCGGGAAATTTAGGGAGAATGGCAAGAACTAATAAACCCCAAAGGATTGTAGGGACGCCTTCAACAATAAACAGCCATCGCCATGCTCGAATTCCATGACTATTTTCTAAATGGCCTTGGACTCCGTAGGCGATAAGACCTCCGATAGCGCCAGCGATAGGAGCGGGAAGGTAAAAGAATGCTGAAAAACATATATTCATCACTTATGTAAGAACTGAACAAGGCTATAAGCTTACCGGCTCTTGTTCCCACCTCATTGGGATAATACCAATGGGCTAGATATAGGTTACCCGTTTGAACGACTGCTTCAAATAGACCAATCAAGACTCGAAGAACCATGAGGACCGCGTAAGAGCTCATGGCGGCTACACAGCAAGCAACAACACCAAATAGGGTCACTGAAAATCCAAAAACGACCGGGGCAGGAAGATATCGCAGGGTCAAAGCGGCAGGTAGCTCAAATACCATATAACCGACAACTTATCCAGCCCAAGGGTTAGCTAGGAAAAATACCACTATCATCGCACCTTTGGAAGCACTAACAAAACATCATTAGGCAATTGTAATACTGGCTACTTGAAAGCCCGAGGTCTGTTTCAAGACCCATAATCCTCGCGTTGCCGATTTGCGTACGGTCCTGGTGAAATTTGTAGTTAGCAACTTTCCCTTCAGAATCTTCAGTAGTAAACTTTGGGGTACCAAATAAGCAAAAAAGAAACATCCAGCAAGAAGAGGCACGATTGCAAGATCTTGCTTCCAAATCAACCTCTGTTCCCGAGGTGATCTTGCGTACTTGAAGTTTGGGACTCGAATAACCTCCTTGGGGTCAGTATTTTCGATGTGCTCGTCCATGTTTTTTTCTCTATCAAATTCCATTTTGGTTAATGTTCAGGTGGGAAATTTTCTTCGATAGGTCCTGCGAAGCAATTGATATCAATTGATCGATTTGAGCTCTGTCAAAGGGAGAGAGAGATTGTCAAACCCAGCAATGGTAATTCAACCCCGAGGATTGGCTGGTAACCATGTTTATACCCCATGGGGTCAACAAGCTAGGAGCTGTAGTGCAAATACTGCGAGTCACGTCGAATTTGCGATTCTGGACTAATTGCCGATGTCAACCTGTCGGCCGATGACTGTTAGTGCTGGCCGCACCGCGAGCGGCCCGGCCATGATTCAACTGATGAGTTCTTTGTGAATGAAACTTATTTACGAAAAACAAAATTAGTAGTTTAGAAGGATTTATCAATAAAATATTATTATCTCCTTTCAAGTATTTCTCAATGGCAACGTTGAAATATTAGTCCTCGAAGGGAGAAAAAAATCTAGCAATGAATGTCAAGTAACACAAATAGATGCAGAAATAAGGGGGGGGGGGGGGGGGGGGGGAGGTACTCGGCTAGATGTCCATGCAAATATAATGGCGGCAAAAGAGAAATTGAATTGATCAAATTGCTTGCTATAGCCTGGTTGTTGTCGTCACAAGAAAAAATAGGGGGGAAGGGGGTCATATTAGGTAAAGAGAATACTACTAGGATCACATCAATATAGACTCTGTTCCATACAAGAAGTATGGTGATTGACCTCAAATCACCGTGAAACTAGTTATGTTGGACTTATAATGGTAGTGAGACTTGTATAATCTTGAATGAAACGATTTTGACATCTTTGGCATTAATTCACGATTGAAGACGTATAGGAAGACACAAAGTGGAGAGAAACAATCGGTATGTATATGAGTAGGTTTTGTGTGAAATGAGTATATAGATACGAATTGAGCGCACAGTTCTATTTCATACAGAGCCTTGCGTACCCGAAATCTGACATTATCATGCCATCGCGACGCATCCAACACATTTGGAACCTAGTTCGTGGCTCTTTGCTGAATAGTAGTATGTTAATCGGAGTATGGATACAGAATACGTATTCTGTCGCGTATCTTCCAATCAGCGGCATTCACTCTAGCTCCGACGGTAAACAACCTGATGAATGTCTTGTTGACCCCCCAGTCTATACCCGCTCGCTGACATGTTTACTGGCTAGTGAAGCTCGACTCCGGCATATCGAGGTACGGTGAGAAAGTCGCTTTCGAGATCCTGGTCGATAATGATGACACAGCCTCGTAGCCGAAGATATATTTCTCTTGCGATGTGAAAGAATGCAACTAAATGACACGGTTCTAGCACCGAGTGTACCTCGCAACATGTGATGGAAGACAGTAATCTGGTTATCGTTGGGAGCCCGAGAATATCCTGTTCCAGCCTCAAGGTATCCCGTCTAAATACTCTGACGCGGAAAACGCGGTTATATGACTGAGCGATCCACTTATTTTTCGTCGAGTACGCGATTCTTTGCGTTATTATGAGGTAGCCAGCGGATCATGAGTATAACAACAAGGGCCACCGATAAGAAAAATTTCAGCCGAACACGGTCTAAGACGACGCATCGAGGAAGGCTAGGGCGATCTCACTGGCTAAAGTGTAACTTTCGAGTTCTAACTCAATATTAGTAACAAAGATCGAATCAAAAGTTCACATTTTCTAGTGAAGAGAGGTTTGACTGAGGGTAAATTCAGCTGTGTTACGTTCAAGTGGAAGGTAGTGTAGCATAACTTGTCTTCATTGTATGAGGCATTTTCAAACACTGTCAAAAATTTAGTAATAGTTTAGATGATTGGCCAGGATCTAGATCAGTCGAAAATTTACTGCTTGATTGGCCTGATGTGTTGGGTGGCCAATAGCATGATAATGCCGAGCCCTTTAAATTCATCGAGTAGGGATGAACGCTGGGATCGAATTGCCTGACAATCGATGTCGACCAGCTCCAGTCAAGAGGAGGGGAGAAGGGCTGATATTCTCAGACGTCAAGCTAGGCATCTTGCGCAGCCGAACAACTCATTCATGCCCTTTGTATTTTGCATTCTCCGCACGGTAATGCAAGATGCGTAGTAGGTCACTACTAACTATCGATCTTCATCCCGCCCAAAGTGGCGGTGATGGGCCGTGCGCCGACGAGGCTTGATTACGCTGAGTCATTAAAAAGGCGGAAGTATGGCACGAGACCAGTTAACGTGGTTGACATTGAAATCCTGGAATAGGATTGCAAGCCGTTGCGAGACATTGACCTGATTAGTGCTAGCCCGGCAGGACCACGCAAAGGCCTGGGATTTGGCGTCTGCTAAAACGGTCCCCAACTGTCCGGGATCATGCAATAGTGTGGGAAAAAGCGCTGGAGAAAGGAGAAGCGCATCAAATAGAACGGTCAATTTTATTCCGTAGTCTGGCCTTGTGCGCACATGATGCCTGCAAAGAGAACCCAAAGCAACGACACTCACCTGACATGGCACAGAACAAATCTGTAAAGTGGCCTCTAGAACCGGCGGGCCAAGACGTGACTATTAGCTGGACTATGGGTTTTGGTCAATGATAGTGATACGGAGGGTTGGTCCCTTGTGGCTATGCTTCATGTGCTGAAAGTTAGACCGAAGACTGATCATTGGCCAAGCATTTCCCTCTCTTCCTGAAACGGTGAGCGCAAGGCTGTGGCACTGAAAAAGAAAACATGATCTACGTCATCTACAGCGCTGGCGGGCGTGTGCTATTGGTTAATTAGTCCCTAGATGTTACTGAGCACCGGGTAAAAAGGATGTTCCTTGCTTGAGATACGGGTGCAATTCACCTGGGTTCGGAGTGTGGGTGATGCGTGGGACAATTCTAGTTCGCAGCGGCAAGCGCGCTTTGCGCGGGAAGCCCAAAAATAAGGTGCCCGGGACGACAAAGATGAGATATTTGCCTTGGTCCAGTCGTCAGACGCCGGCTCGGAGCGGCAGAACAGAATGGAGCTGAAAAGCCTGCCACGGGCGGAGAATAAAATAACCTGTCGAGTGCCAAAAGGCCATGCCGGGCTTCTGACTGGGCGATGCTGTGAGGGGCTATCCTGGGCCGCCTGTAGCATTCCGTGAGTCTGTGGGCTGTTGTGAACGTAGCAAGGCCTAAGTGTGGGGAGTTGCATAGACCCGCTCTGCTGGGATGGAAAAAAGGCGGAGATGGCTCTAAAACGATTAATGGCGAAGACCATCCAGGCGATCCGCAGCCCGGGCCACGGAGCAGCCCGACAGCCAGAACAGTAGTAAGATGACGGCAGCATAACCCGCGCACAGCACATAATGCTTGCAAGGATGCAGCAAGTCTCGTGCTTCTTGTCGCAGCAATAGCTGACTGGTAGATTAGGGCTAATTGCAGACAGAGCGGCTCGCCAAACAGTTCGCCCAGGGCTGGAATTTGCTGGATCGACGCAAAAGACGGCTGCCGATGCGATGCACGGACATCATCACGCGCAAGCACAGAAAAATGAAGTGCCCCGTTCCTTCATACTAACGTTGTCTCCAGTGTCCAGACTACGTATGAACCCACTTTCATGGGCCTGACCTAAGAAAGGCAAGATATGGTAATCGACTGCTACGTTGATAGCGCTGGCCCGATAATGGAAGCCTATGATCGTCGTTTCCATGAGCTCCACTTGTCCTCGGAGAAAGGCCAGTGCCAAGTGTGAACTCACTCAGCTCAGTGTCCATTCCAGTCCTGCCGCCTAAAAAGAAAAAGATGATTATTGTGATGACTGAAGCGAGGCTAGCGCGCCCTGCCAAACCGGACACAGATCGATCATGTGGCGGCTGATGCATTTTGTGGGGAAGCTGGCCAGGCACAGCGATGACTGTGAGATACTAGAATTCTAGTAGGACGAGGGCACGTGTGACGCCAGAATTGCTTTAAAAACACGAGCTCAGGAACCTGCACACAGGCACCTCAATCTGACGTTTTTTGTTGTCAATTTAGAGTTTCCTTCTGTCTATCCTTTGCCATCATTTTTCCTTTTTCTTGTTTCTTTTTCCCCTTAAAAAAAAATCTAATTGCTTCTGTTGAAAAGGCTCGAGCGTACTCTTTTTCAACTATCAAGACACCCTTGGCGGTTTCCCTCAAGCATGGTGGTCTCTTTATCACTGACGCTGTTCACAATAATCGGCGTGTTTATGCAATGGCTGCTGAAGTTTTTGTATCAGTCGCCCAAAGCCGCAGAACCAACAGAAAATGAGGGGCCGGATGTGACACTCATGGCGCCATATCCATGTAATGCTATCAAGGGCAGCCGTAAATTCCGCATCACCATGGGATTGCGGAAGCTGGACATGCAGAATTGGCTGACCGTGGATAAAAATTACATGAAAGAGCACGACATTCGGCATTCGCTCCTTCGAGACGAGAGGAAGAGCGTTTATGAGTGTCTACCTGAGTCGCGAGATGCTTGTGATGAAGTCCTGGAGCTTGTTTCCGACTTCCTATGTGAACGATACCCCAGCATGTTTCAAATGAAAAGAGATGGATTGAAGACTGAGATCCACAACTCCAAGACTGGCGAGACTTTTGTGTTTGGCGGCCAAGAGAGTGGAATGGAGTCCCTTGAGATTGCAGTGAGGATGGCTATGGAAGATCTGAATGTCCTGATGCAGAACGCTGATGGAGAATACTATCTGTGCGTGTTCCCATTGCAACCCTAATCACGACTATCACTGACAGCAAGTGTAGCGCTGCAAGTGCAACATTATTTCCAGTCGGATGGGCGGTCAAACAACGTATTGGATGGACTATTGCTCAGATACACGGGCCCGTGCCGCAATGGAAAGAGAAAATCGGTCAATCGGTCAACAAGTGAGTGGCTGTGGGCACCAGAGATGGATATGTAGCATACTAATTGAGAAAGATTCTTCTGCCGACTAACGCCAGAATCGCCAATGGAGCGGTCCAATTACTTCATGGAAACCAAAAATTTGAATGAAGGTCTAGGAAATACTCTTTTTCGTCCCGATGGATTGACAGAGCAAGAACCTGGCCCTTTCATGGACAACATTCTCCTCCGCCGTGAACGACAGACCTTCCGCCGATTGCCTCGCACAGGGGCGCTTGTCTTCAGTGTCAAAACGACCCTGAACACGCTTGATGAATTGCCACCGGACCAGCTGGGGGCGCTGGCCACTGAGATCCAAAGCTGGCCTGAGGACATGGCCAGGTACAAAGGGCGCGATATCTGGGGGCAAGCGGTGTTGGATTACTGTGTGCAGCAGGGGATCACAAGCTAACATGCACCCCTTTTTCTCATTCTGTGTTTTCGCTGTTTCTTTTCCCCCCTAATCCTCTTCTCGTTGCTGTTCGTTCAAGTTGTAATGCCGGTATGACGACAAAAGTTTGGGAGGCTGTCTGAACAAATTTACGAGTGATGCATAGTTTTGCCAACCTTTTCTGCCTGCTCGTTTTCGTTTCTTTTTCGTTCTATTTTCTTGTCGATTGTAACTGTACCAAAGCATGATTTCCATGGGCGAACGTTGGCGTGGGGGCAGGTGCGGCAGGGCATCCGTTTGGCAGGCGCAACCATGGATGGCTGCAGGCTACGACCAAAGCGGTTAGCGTCGTACCTGCCCCCGACGTCATTTCGCGCTCTCCCAGCGCTAACCTCAAACACTTCGTCTGGCATCCTCGTCCAGTCGTTTGTTAGTTTCGTGTGTACCTGCGCGTGGTGATGCATTCGGTGGCGGACACGAGACAGGATGGCTGCGAAATTTCGAGGGTTCTCTTTATCATCGTTCATCTTCTTTGTTCGTCTTTTAGTACCTTGAAATGAACAAAACCTTATACCATATGACCAGTCTTTCGTGCTTGCTAGCTGAGAGTAGTCCATCATAAGCATCCATCTACGACAGTCTGTCATGTCTAAGCTACCCAAGATGATAGCCGCCTGTCTGTGGCTGCTCTCGCGTGTCATTCTTCCGCAGCAGGCTCTTGGGATCCACCATATGAGCTTCAAACCGGTGATCCTCGCCACTGCCGAAGCATCTGACACACCTATGAGAATCACCAACCTCTGCTCGAATGACATTTACCCGGCGATCCAAACACAGGCGGGAACAGGTCCTGCCTTTGGAGGCTTCCATGCCGCACCTGGTAACACGACCAGCTTCAAAGTCAGTGCTAACTGGCAGGGGCGGATATGGGCGCGCACGAATTGCACATTCAACTCCAATGGAACATCTATGAATAACTCGGGCCCGGCCTGTCTTACAGGGGATTGTGGCGGGTTGCTCGAATGCAAGGGAACTGTATGCTATCTTTGATCAGAGAAATGGTGACCGACTAATTGGATTCGTTTCTTCACAACAGGGAGAGCCCGCTACTCTAGCAGAATTTACCCTTGCGACCAACATGAATTTATCATTTTATGACATTTCCCTTGTGGACGGCTACAATCTACCCATAGGGATAGTTTCCTTGCACAACGAGTCAAATAATTCCGATCTAAGGAGCCTTCCTTCGAATACCACCAATCCAGTTTGCATCGGCAGTCCGGAATATCTCACGTCTGTCGATGATTTGAATACCACGACTGTGGCAACCAACACAACTCTAGGAAGCATCACATACATAACCCCGTTAGAGGAAGCACTAGGGACCCATTCAGTGTCACGGTGGTGTCCCTGGCCTCTCCAGATTCAACCGCCGTGGAAACCTGGAGATGGGGTGTTTCCTTATCCAGATGATGGAATCAAACGCCCCGACTTTGATCCGTGTTTATCCATGTGCTCCAAGTACGGTCGCGACAGTGATTGCTGCAGCGGTAGCCACGATACCCCCGAGAAGTGCAGTCCAAATATGTATAGCACCGCGGCTAAAAGAGTGTGTCCCGATGCATATAGCTATGGTAGGTTTCCTCCTCAGATACGATTTTATTGCTGCTAACAATGCATAGCCTATGACGATGCTACGTCAACATTCACAATCCAGCAAGGTGCGGGCTTTGAAGTGGTTTTCTGCCCATCAGGCCGTTCCACGAACATACAGAAGAATATAAACAAATCTTGAATTTGGTCCGCGTGGGTTTTGTGCAAAGAAGAGGGGAAAGATACTTTAAATTTGATACCCAAACTGCTTCCAAATACAGAAAATAGATCAAGTTCAATTTTCTAATGATGTTCATTCGTTTCATTCTAAGAGTTATACAATCTATGTACATTTCACATGTTAACAGATTCACGCCACGTCCCTCTTTTACCTAACCAAAGCTCCTGGCTGAGGTCCGGTGCCGAAGAGACCAGCATTGGCGTTAACCGCCCAAAGGGAGTCATCTCAATTGGTTCGTCTAGCTCTGCTATTTTCTGCCGAATCCAGCGTGCTTTTTGTAGCACCGAATCGCTGATTTTATGTGCAGGTAGTGTAACAAGCTGCATTCCTTCAATTCCCTGAAATACTAGGGCATCACGATACAACTTCTGCCTCCAATTTTCAGCCGACAAGTTCGGCATATCTGACCGGTTCTCGTCGCCCACATAACTAAAATGATCAGCCCAATGGTGTGCTTTCGGTTCGACGGGACTGTTTATTGTTGGTGATGGTGGTTCCATGACACTGCTAGTCAGTATCTCAATGATGCTTGTTCTTCTTCTTTTCCGAGACGCTGGTAGTGGCGGAGAGAAATCATCCTTGTTGACCTTGGCCATACCATCCCGCCACATACGTCTCCACCGACGGCAGGTGAGGACATGTCGTAGAGCTTGTTGATCGGCGGGGATGCTGGATGTTCCAGGCTGCCGCCGTCTCAGTCGGTACGGGCCTACTGGCTCCACCAGAAAGTCACCCCAAGAGTGACAAAGCCAGTCTGGAATGCAATACTTGACGAATTCAAGCCTGTCGGCTATTTTGAACACAGGGGGGGTTCGGTTTATCTCGCCATCGGATGGCATAAAATCAGAAGTAGACAAGGGTAAAGTCGAAGTAAATGAGCGAGAGGAAAAAGTCGGCGAAAGTCCAGAATCCCAAGCCGATTTATCCAGGAAATAATCAAAGGAGGGACCAAATAGCTCGCCATATATTAGAATCTGCATTGCCGACCTACTTGGTTCCGTATATAGTGTAGATGGCTCGGACACGCCCCCTGCCCAGAAGTCCTCTGTCTGATACCATTGCGGACCAGCCATGCGATCGATGGCATCGGTAAGCGGGTTCATCACGGCGAAGCGCAGTTCATAGAATCTACGAATCTCATCTAGCGACAGCCCTCGTGGCGCATGGTCCAGACAAAACTCAAACAGCGAGTCAATGCCGCCGCGAAAGGCGGCTTGGAGGAGCGGGACCCGAACATCATAATCAGCTAGAGTCCACTCCGAGATTTGGCGAGCGAGCGCAGCAACGAGAAAATGCGGATGCGGCGAGCAAAAGGTGGGTGCTGAAACGGCGAGAAGGTCGAGGGTGATACGCGGGGTCGTGTTCTGGGTCAGGACCCGGTACAGGCGGCGTGATGTTGACCGCAGGGCTAGGAAGTCCTCGATATTATGTAGTTGCGTCACAATGCCGGCAATTAGCTCCGTTGGGAGATGTGGCAAGGGCCCCATGCTCGCAGTGAGAGGATGGAAGAACAAGTCGCAGCATTTTATTCTGGGTTGGGGGTTGTGATGAATGAGGGGATATACCAATCGCGTGGCAAAGATACTGCAGGCAACCAGATATCCGGTGGGCTGTTTTCTGGTCGAGGGCTAAGCTTGCCTGGGGTCTAGCGCAATTGCCAACCGATTCATGTGTTTTGTGGCCAATCGCAACGCTGGAAATGCATAACTAAAGCGCTATAATTAGACTGCCGTATACGATAATATAATGATAACAATATTCTTATATATTATAATAGTGTCTATGCGCATGATATAATTCATAGGAGGACCCAGGCCCCCAGCATTTGGTCTATACAATAATTCACCAAACGAGATCTACGAAAAGCTAGAGTTTTGCGTCTCTAGCCTCCTCGTCCTGCCGCAATCTGACGACGCCCTGTAGTGCGGAAAGCATTAGTAAACAAAACCAAATAAACAATGAACCAGAAAAGTACACGAAAGAAGACTAACCTCCTGCACGCACGTCGCAATATGCACCCCATCTTTGGACCAAATCTTCTGCATGACTAGTCCTCTGCCTTCACCAGCCCACGGACTCTCCATCCTGCATAGCATCCAATCATCGGCTCGGAAGGCTAGCGGATCATGGAAATAGATCGTGTGATCTAGACTGACCATCATGCCAATCTCGCGGTTATCCCTACGCTTGATAATCGATGAAAGCTTATTCGCCGTCAGCGTGCCGTTAATCGTGCTCGCTCGAATCTCTGCCGCCTCCTCTTCAGCGAGTTCCTTGAAATACCGTGAGATCCCGTCGCCGTCGAGATCAGACGGGTTCTTGAGCGCTTTCATTACGCGTTGCAGGGCAGCGGGAGAAGAAAATCGTGGAATGCCGTGCACTCGCGCTACTGTACCGATGAAATAGCTGTCGGACATGTATGCGAGTGCAGAAAGATGCGCTTGGTGGCCACCAGACTCGGAGATTTCACCGCGAAACCGTACCCATTGATACAGACGCCTTTCGTCGATAGGGGTGTCTTTCACTATGTCCACCACCCAGCTTAGCTCGCTCATCTATAGCCAGTAGAAGCCAAAAACACGTACATGAATTATCTCCATCTAACCTCTGTGTCTCAAATGGACTCCTTGCGTCCGGCGGCGTCGGCGTGTTCTTTGGCGGGGATACTACCGGCATTGTAGACCCATGCTCGACCTTTTTATCCCCACCGCTCTGGATTTTATTGAAGCTGAGCGTGGTTGTGAAGATCGGCCGTCCGCGTTGTCTTGCTTGCACAGTTCTGGTCGCATAGCTTTTGCCGGTTCGCACGCGTTCGACGTGATAGATAATGGGGATTTCGGAGTCGCCAGCAAGAACGAAATAGCAGTGCATGCTGTGCACATAGAAATGTTCGGGGACGGTGCGCTGGGCAGCGCAAAGGGATTGTGCGATCACGGCGCCTCCGAAGATGCCCCGCGCGCCGGGAGGATGCCAGAGGGGACGAGTATTCGTGAAAACATCCTATTCATAGCATTAAGTTCATTGTTCGAGAGACTCTTGATGGGAAAGGGGTTGATCATACAGGCCCAATGTCAAGAATTGGCGTTAACTCAAGGACATTCTCGATCGAAGCTTTGCTGTCGTCCAGTGGCGGAGATTCGAAAACTGTCACTCTTTTCGAAGCCATCCTGTCGAAATGTATCTACCATGGAAGCAGAGCATGAAAAATAGATGCTGAAGAGCGTTCAACACAATTACTAACTTTGCCAAAGGCAGCCATGATAGTTAATTTACCGACGTGACGGATCCAGCGGCACCCGCAAATAGTCGACCTTCTAGCCGAGGTTCGTTGTCGGTCTTGGCTCAACCTTAAATCAACCGGAATGGCTGAAACACCGTGCATGGTTGGGTTCATAATATTAATTAGTTAATAGTCGTATCTGAGGAGTAATCCTTATATCTCTATATGTATATGCTATCTACCAAGAACATTTCTTGGAGGCTCTGTTGATAACAAGGGGAGAGTTGGCTGGGACATCTGTCCTTATCAAAGGCACTGTATCTATAATGAATGCTGAAACACATTGAACTTCGGTTGAATCAATTAATATTAGTAGTAATAACGTAAGTCCTAAAGTCATTAAATTATAAAGCGCAGATAAGCCATGGACTGGTCATAAATAGCGCCTAGATGCAAAAATATCATCGCTATGCAGGTGGGTATCCAAATGCGGTGATGCAAACCAATCCTTCCTCTTTCTTTCTGTACTTTTTGCTCGTTTCTCTGAATATTAGACCCTATACAGTCTCCTTATCGACGTTGTTTCGAGTAACGGCATCTTCAGAAACGGATGGACCCTTCTCAACATCCGCCGTCGGATGAACAGTCGATTGATATGCAGCAGCCTCCTCCCAGGCTCTCCTTTCCTCTTCTTTCAAAATCTGCAAGTGTTGGCACATCTTACTATTCTGCCGAATCTGCTTTCCGAAATAGATAAATGCAAACGGAATAATAGACACGCCCAGGCTGATGAATGCGATAATGCTGCAACCCCAATCAATTCCAACGCGGTTAAACATTGGCTTCGCAGCAAGCGGCAGTACAGCACCAAATAGACTTCGACAGCAGCTAGACGCTGATTGCGCACTATTTGCGAAGGTTTCATATGCATCCGAGAGATAATTAAGCATAGCCATGAAAATCAATTCGTAGGCCAGTCCGAAGATGACGCCAGAAGTCATCGGTACAGCCCAGTGGATATTAGGTGAGGCTGTCCAGCCGAGCCAGAATAATGAGACCACATAAAGAGGCCCTCCAATGCAGGCCAGTGGTAGGCGCCTATAGTCTTCGTTCTGCGCCCAAGCAGCGCCGCGAGCCTTGGCACGTGCGAGATAACCGTCATACCAAATGAAGATTCCGCAGGCTAAGAAACATCCGACAGCAACTAGAAACATGTAAGTCTTTAGGTATATCAGGCGAAACCGGCAATTGACTTACTAGGAAGATACGTCAGACCGGCGATACCGGGACTCATTCCATAAATTCCTAATGAAAACATTTTAGGTTTAATTGACCAATTTTCAACACGAACTGGTCTTACCTTCAAATATCAATGGATAGGCTTGGAAATACAAGTAGAAAATTGCATATGCAAGAGCGAGGTAGAAACAAGTCAAAGACACCATGTACTCCTTGATAATCATGCGAAGTGGCCTTGTCAGAGTAACAGTCACTGTCGCTCGAAGATCATGGGGTATAAGATCCAAGGGAGCAACAATCCCTTTATTGCCGGTTTCCTTGCGCAACTTACGTGCGCGGCGCTGCAGCAAAACTGGGGCATATGTCTCTGGGAAAAAGACTACGCATGGAAAAGAAGCACCAGCGATAATAAGGCTCAACCAAAAGGCCCAGCGCCAACTGACTTTTGAGATGAAGCCGGACATGAATGGGGAAATGATAGGACCGACGGCAGTGCACTAGTTTTCTTAGCACATGTTTCAAATTATGACAGGCAAATATACACATCAAACTTACAGCCATATACCAAGCCATAGTTCTTCCTCGCTTTGTTGGGTCGTTGTTAATATCAGCATAGACGCCAGACACGACGGCGATTGGTGCGGCTGCCGCCATGCCATTCAGCAGTCTGAACACAAGTAGGGCTGGCATGGACGGGGCCAATGCGCAAGCCATGGAAAATATGCAGAACAAGACATATCCGATAACCACCGGCGGACGACGACCGAACTGCTCAGAAAGAGGCCCATATAGAAGGGGCCCCAGGACGTAGCCAACGAGGAAAAGGGAGATAGGAAGTACTAGTTTTTCCTGGTCGGTGACATTGAAGTCTTTGGCAATATACTCGATGGCACCGCTAGGTATTGAGGATCCGATGGTGCTGTTCAAGACTTGCATCATACCGGAAGCAAGAATGAAAAATTTCTTTCCCTGTTAACTCATAATATTAGCATAAATATCCAACGATACGGTTTCAGGCTGGCTTCATCAACCTTTCCCCAATTTACTGGGTTTTCCGGGTCATCAGGGCCAAATGATACCACGGTCTTGGAAGCTATTCGACGAAATTGATATGAAGAAGGGTTGTGGTATCTTTCTTGTACAGCCTCATGGATCATCTCATCCTCCTGCTCGGCAATCCCTTGAAGCGTGGACTCCGAATCATTAAGCCCGTGAGCAGGCATTGGGCCCCCAGTCGCCAAAGTCGACGGTGAAGCCGTCTGGATCTCCTCAGCGTCTGGCATTATCGAAATTCACTATGTTCGACAAGCCTTGTAGAAGAATATGGTAGTCTATGGTTACTCGACCAGCTGCATCAGCTGGGGGTGTCAATAGTATTTAACATACATGTCATTTTTTTCAGTCACGGAGTAAAGTCCTGACCTGCTCCAAAACCACACAGCCGGAAATTCCACAGTGGAGAAAGTTGCCATGAAGTCAAAGCACAACAGGAAAAGCGGAAGAGAAGATCCGCAGAGTGATTTGCTCATATCCAACCAGTTGGGAATTCAGCCATAGATATGGGCCTATCACGATTAGAGATTTTGCCAGAGCGCCAGACTTTTCGTTGCCATTCACACGGGTCCGGTCTGGACTGGAAGATCTGCGCCCTTTGACAGTAGACTGTCGGGCAGGAGTGCGATATCCACTGCTCTCGGCTAGGACGGCCCGTTACCAGGCGGCAATTTGCCATGTCTATACAGGACATTATCCTCACAAGCAATAAGCGAGTAAACACCTTTCCTAGTTTGTATGGTTTTTGCCATTGGCTTATGAAACAGGCACGCCACAGGGTTTGATTATGTGACAACTCCGTTGAGAATGGCAACCTCGATCGCATAATTAGAAACAATATCCACGCAATTAGAGAAATCTGTTCTCCACTCTATCAATCGCCATTCCACTGCATAGGATGACGTCTTGAAGCTTCCTGCTTTGTGGACCTCCTTTGTTATTTTGCATCTTGTCAGAATATAATGCTAGACCAAGCCTACAAGGACAACATCAATTGATCAAAGGCTTGTGATATCTCGACATATTTGGGCCAAATTTCAAGTCTTCTCACGAAGAGGATTGGCAGAAATCCAAGCTAATGCACCTGCAAGCTGCTGAAGAGCACTCCGAGGTAATAGCGGAGGCGGAGCCCAGAATGATTCTTCATTCTGATGACTCATGTACCTTGAAAGCCACATCGCAAAGAAGTCCGGGTGGAACAAGAAAAAACTGGTGGGAAAAAAAAAGAGCCGAAAAAGTGGAGCAGTTGGGCCGCCGTTGTGAGGGCGGTTTATTTATTGGCCCGATGACGGCGGGGTTTGCTGGAGCTCGCGCCAGGGTTGAGCCCTCTCCCAGTGCCGGACTGGATTGGTTGATCTATAGCGCTGTATGCTGTCGGTCTGCTGCATTACAAATGTCATTGCAGGACGAGATGGTGCGTTGTAAATTCTGCGTAGATCACTGGTAGATCCCTGACTTGTGATCAAAGGAATGGCGGGCCGAGCACTCAAATGACCAGACATAGATAGAATAGCCCGTGGATTGGTGTTTAGGTTTATTATTATTCTTTATTCAATTTCTACGACCTTACCTAGCTTTTAGGTATGAAAGTCCTCAGTGTTTAGTTTTGGCTTTAACACTGAAATCTACTCCAAAAAAGTAGCAGGTTTCACTTTACTTGTTGAGTGCAGTTTCAAATGTTGTTCAACCTTAGCTCACATATCTATTATCAGTCTAATGGCTTTTCCCGTAACCCCCTCCTCGCAGTAGGGGCCCGTTCATGACTGCATCCCAATCTCCATATGCATGCATCTGATCAACAGACAGATTAATGTCCAGTTTTCCACGCGAGTAACTCGACTTGTCATAGTCATCAATGCAAGATTTCAGATCCTTGCCGTCATATACGAAAGTCTTGATGGCGTCCACATAGAGTTTGGCATCCTCCATTGCGTTATTGAGACCTTGAGCACGGACTAGTAATCCTTTCAATTCTATTGTTCGCGATTATTAATTGCAGGATATGAAGAACTTACATGGAAGCATTGGATGGGCTGCATCCCCTGCAATGCTTATCTTTCCACCATGGTTGTTCCAAGGCGTTATATTTCCCCAATAATGGAACTAGACGAAAAATCAGCATTTACAAAACAAAATTCATCCCTCACTCATACCTTGTCCCCGCTAACTTTTATATCATCCACTAGCCATTGGGACACGGACCTATATGGCTCACAGTAAGTGGAAAGATAAGCTTTAAAAAGATGTCTTCTTTCTTTCTCATCGGTGGGTGGAACCTCATCGGTGTAAATAGACAGTGAGAACTGAAAAACCCAAGTCTCTGGCTTTTCTGGGTCTACAACATCGACCACTAGAGAAGTCAAAAAGGTCCATCAAAGAATTAAAGAAACTCAGCCTTTTATTCAACGTACTTGTTGCAAATAGTAATGTCTTTTGGTAGGGATGTGGGCTGAGCTAAAAATTACTAAGTATGTGTCCTCGTTATGACATTTCCCAACATTATGTTAGAAAGTGACTATACCAGTGCAATAGGATGGCTTTTTTGACGGATAAAGAGCGCTTGTTCTCTGGTAAACTTAGGAAATGCATTCTGAAATGTACGTATAAGCATAAAAGATGGGAAAAATATATATCTGTTTGCTCACCAATATCATAACCTTAGCAGTGTCTAGCTTTCCGGTATCTTGGTCGACGAGGAAACTCCGGGTTGGACTTCTCGCTGGAGGCAAAATCGGCAAAATTAGCACTTCGAATATAGACTTCGTTAAAAGCGGTCCTAAAACCAACCTCCATCTGCTCCAATAAGCATGTTTCCCTTGGCAACTACATCTCCTCCATTAAATAGGGCAGTAACACTGTTCTTGGTTTCGGGATGATCAATTTGAATATCCGTCAATGTCGAGCCATACTGAATATCGATTTCTGTCTTGAGTAGATCTCGGAGTTTGCCTCTCACAACCCGCCTTGCGCTGGGCATAGGCATTTTGGCCATAATCTCGCCCGTGCGCCCATTGACAAGAGGGATGTTATTCGCCACATGCGGATCATGCTCTTCCCAGCGATTTGTCTCGGCGGATTTAAGCTTTGCGAAAAGCTCTGGTGGAAGACAAGCTTCTATATATGGGATCGACCAGTGCAGGGCCACAGTCCAATCTCCAGATCGCTCTTCATATTCCTCACGCGTGTACCGCTCGTACACAGTAGCTCGAATTCCTGCCTTGTATGGTGTTCATTAAGTGATAGAAATGTCTTTATCATATCAACTGAGGATACCTTTTTCAATCCCTGTGCAATCAAAAGGCCGGTAGCCCCTAATACCAGGGCCAGAATTAGCTGCCAACAATACCACATTCCGGGGTACATTCGACGAACCAGCTCCTACGATAATAACGTGATTGTCGGTGTTCGCCATTATGCACCAATGGTTTATAGGAATAGGTTATTTAGAGTAATCCACTATTCGCGTCAAGACAATATGTTTTGGGCATTTAAAGTAGGTGTAAGTGCGGGTTTGCCTGAGTCACACAACGACATGCAGGATATTAACCGGTTTTATCGGTCGTTCGGTAGCCGAGAGTGGCCCGAACAGCGATATCGTGCAAGCAGACAAGATAGGCAGTTGATACACGTCGTTCCGGAGTCAAACAATAAACTGGTTACTTCGAATGATACATATGTAACGCTTTTAGGGCTATACAATCATAGATGAAGAGCAAAGGTTTATTCAGTGACGTGAACTTAGGGGTAGGCTTCTGCAGTGTAATGTTCCGGGTTAAATGCGCTGACAATGACAATTGGCAGAGTAAATCACCATATTCCATTTTATAAAAAAACAAGTTCGAATTTTTAACATATCCAACTCGCCACGAAATGTGCTCGCTGAAAACAATGGGCTAAATTAGGGTGAGCTTGCCTGATTAGGATAGTCGCTGCGCGCTGGCTTTGGCTGCGTCCCTTCGTCATAACGCTATGACTATGAATAGGCTATATTTGTCATTAAAACTTATTTTAAAATAAGTTTCAAAACTTCCTTATATCTAACACGTTCTAAATTTTGGTCTCGTGGTTCGGCGTTGAGATCTATCACAATCCCCAAAAGATGTGGGAAGCAGCTATATGAGGTTGATACCACTATACTTTACAGTAGTTGAAGGATTGGAAGACCCGGAGCATAGGCATGGTAGTCAAGCTGAAGCAATTTTGAATTTGGAAATATATACATGAACAGTCACATTGTAATTTAGCGATAGACGCTGGAAGACAAGTTATACAAAAGCATCATAGCAGGGGTTCGACAACAGAGTTTATACTAGAAACAGGTCATCCGCTTATTGACTAGGCACAGTAAGGGTTGGAGCCTCCCTTGCAAGAGGTTCCGGACGAGCAAGTCTCAACAGTTGTCCAGCTGCTGTTAACACATTGCTCGAGAGCACTTGCGTCACTGTTGCATTGCCAGGAGTTGCTGGTGCAAGATGAGCCAGTAGTTGGTGTTGCAGAGGCACTGGCTGGTTTGGTTGTTGTTATAAGGGTACTTGTGGGCTTAGAGGATCCCGATGGAGACGGAGTAGCAGTAGCAGTAGCAGTAGTGCTGGTAGCAGTGCCAGTGGCACCACCACTAGCTGGACCCTGAGGGGTTCCTGAACCGTTGTAGTCGAAAGTGTAGAGGGTCTCGTCAACGACTTCCCAAGTAATATCGATATGACCGTCATTGCATGCGAGGTTTGATAATTTGTCTGCCACGGTGTAACTGAAGTCTAAGCCAGGGGCGCCAGTCGGGTTCCATGTCCCATCGGATGGGCCAGTGGCACAACGCTCGCATCCATCACCGATGAAAAGAGGCAAGTCTGATGCAACGCCATTGACAGAGACGATAACCTTTTTGCCGCAATACTTGCCCATATCACTGATAAGTTCGGTATGGTTCATGGCCACGAGGTACTCGGAGTTGACATTTTCTAAAGTGTAGACTTGAGTAAGACTGCACTCGACCTGGCCGGTGTTTGCGACTGAGAAATCTGTGCTGCAAGCATCGGTCTGCTCGAGGTCGTAGTAGTATGTACCAAATCCAGTTCCACTGTAGATGGAGCTCTGTGCTTTGGCGGCAGTGAAGAGCAGACCAGCTGCTGCGGCAATTTGACCCTTCATTTTCGGTTCTGGGTAAAGAGTGTGTAGTTTCGTACTTAAAATGAAGGACGCGACTTTTTGAGTCGTTGAAAATGAATGTATGAATGAATTTACAAAAAAGGAATGACTTATGCCAATCGAAAATGAAAGTTTCTATGCTTGACTAGGAGTAGAAAACAAGCATCGTAGGCCCCCTGGGTCGAAGGAGGATATTATACTGCTGATCATGAAACGCCTGCTCCGGATTACTACTAGATCTTACCTGGGCATGTTCCTATTGCTGACCCAGTCTATGATACCCACTAGTCTTGCGAATCCCAAATTATACCTCAAAGGGAAAAGTATGCATGTAACATCGACTGTCAGTCGCGCTACAATTAGTACTATAGCCCACAACTTCCAGAGATAAAGTATAGCCCAATGCCTTCCTTGCTACTTTTATGCTCTATGACCTGGACGAGTTTCCCTAAAGGGAATATGGGAAGCAGCAGGCTAAAAACCAATCTTCATTGATTGCTGATTCATTGAGTCGTCAGCATCAGACTCTGAGTACGTAATTCAATTTTAATACATCTAGCGAGTAACAAATAATTTTTACTTATAGCTTTATTACGTACTTGGGTCCTTCTAACTTCACGTCAAATAATGGAAATTGAGCGAAGTCGAGACAGTTTTCGCCAGTGGGTGACTGCGTCAACTATTTCTTTTGACGTTTCAGCCATGCGGGATTGGTGGCCCCATGCGACGCCCCCATGTAGCATCATGACGGTGATTTCATTTTTATTGGCCCACATGCGTCCGTGAGACTTTACTGGTGGAGGCGTGGATTTTAGTAAGCGAAGTAGTCAGGGCATTCTGGAAAATCATGCGCAATCCCACAAGCTTGGTGTTGGATTATCTGTTTACCCAAGAGATTTTGGTATATTGATAATCGAACGCTTAAGATTTAAACAATCAAATAATTACCAATATATACATTCTGAGCTTTTCAAAAGGTCAAAAAACAATCGCTTTTATCGCAGTATCATGAGATCACAGAAGTTTTGTAAGATGTCCGCTAATTGAATAATTAAAGAGAAGTTGAAATACATAATCCCGAAATATCTCCATCACTGGTATCCATTTGAGTCTAACGAGTTGCAAATTCGATAGATAGAAACAGAAAAACCAACACCTAGGGTAGCATATCGATAAGTTGACGATTTCATGTAATGTAGATCAAGTTGAGATAATGGTATTTCTAGTATAAAAATGATTTTTAACTAACTATCGCTTATGTGAATAGATGTCCCATTGCTTGATTTATTAGGAGGATCGGACATCCAGCATATTGAGTTTAACACTTTCCATCCGAAAGAAATAAAAACCGGATTCACCCGTTGCATCTTCTAAGGATGGCTACGAAGGTACGCCGAAACCATATAGTCTGAAAATCATAATGTCGTTTGAGTCAACAATAGTGAATTATGCCTAGAACCACTATATATATCTAAATTTCTTCAAATAAAATCATCAATAAGCATTCAACGATAAGGACATAGAGCGCCATGAGGGAAATTAGGGGAAAATCGCAAGAATTCTGCTTTTAACAGCAGACTACTACTACTTTTGCTTACCTGGTGGTTGCGTTGCGCAAAAAAACCGATAGATTGTCAGGTCGACTAGTCGGTTCCCCATCTAGTAATATTTTGAGCCCTGGTCAATTCTTTACTACAACTGATGCAAGCTGTTTAATAGCATGCAAACAAACCCTCTATATCAGGTTCACTCAATAATCAAACCGAGCAAAAGTTGAGTGAAGCCGAGGGTATAATTAGCTGTGGGACTTATTGTTGGAAGATTTTCCTTTAAAAAAAGATTGTAAGTTTGGCTCACAAATTTCGGCAAGGTGTCTAGGAAGCAAGCAAAGATAAACATATTTCCTGAATGGGCGGAATTTGAAGTTATACATGCCCCACATGAGACCAAGGGATACACACCGGAGCATGTTTAACCTTAGTTCGACGGCAACACCACAAATCTATTTTTATTTGTTTACTATTACGATGCCCCTGACATGTTTGCTAAAAGAAAATTGAATAAAACAACCAATAATTGAACAAGGGGTGCACGGGGAGCCAGGAAACGACGCTGTATGGCGCGTTCGATAGCTAGCGGCTGCCCTGTTCGATATTCGGCAAGGGGAGAGCTACGGTGACGACACACCCCTAGCCAGCGGCGACAAATAAATACTCTGCCTCGCTGTTTAATTATCGAATTGAATTTACGAAAAAATTCATCGACGCCCTGTCGAGGCATTAGGCCCGAAATGCAATTTGATATGAATTTCCTTTTCTCGTGCTTCTCGAGACAGAGAGAACAAGAGCCGTGGAAGGAGATAGAAGGTTTGCATAAGACTCGTCCGTTCGTTTCATTTTCCGCACCAAAGCTCACCGCAAACATAGATGAAGCCAGAAATATCGAAGAACTACCGTCATGGCATTCCTCAGAAGAGAATTTCCTCATGATGGAGGCCTTTGAATGGTATGTACCACACGACGGCCGACATTGGCAACGCCTCCAATTAGCACTACGTGATCTCAAAGAAATCGGCATCGACAATCTTCTATTACCACCAGGATGTAAAGCTATGAATCCATCGGGTAATGGTTATGATATCTACGATCTCTTCGACCTCGGTGAATTTGATCAGAAGGGAAGCGTGGCCACCAAATGGGGTACCAAAGAAGACTTGATAGGTCTAGCAAAGATGGCGCAAGTACTTGATATGGGAATACTTTGGGATGCGGTTTTGAATCACAAGGCCGGTGCAGATCATTCTGAGAAGTGTCTGGCGGTGACGGTGGAGCCTGAAGGTTTGAGTCCAATCTGTTTAGTCGGCGAACCACAGAAAGAATTAATAAACCTGACATTTCGGTATCAGATCGCAACATTGACCTGACAAAGCCCCAAGAAATCAATGCCTGGGTAGGATTTGACTTCCCCGGCCGAGGTGAAAAATATAGTCGTATGAAATACCACTGGCAGCACTTCAATGCTATCGACTACAATTCTCTTGACAAGAAGAAAGCCATCTATAAAATATTTGCCCCAGGAAAAGATTGGGCAAAGGATGTCAGCACGGAAAATGGAAACTACGACTACCTTATGTTCGCCAACCTGGATCATTCGAACCCAGAAGTGAGACAAGATATCTTGGACTGGGTAGAATGGATTGGTAACCAACTACCACTCAGTGGTATGAGATTGGATGCGGTAAAGCATTATTCGTCCGGATTCCAAAAGACCCTCGTCGATCGTATACGGCAGACAGTCGGGAAAGATTGGTTTATCGTTAGCGAATTTTGGTCAGGAAAGATCCAGGAGTTGAAGAAGTACATGGAACAAGTAGATTATAAAGTCCATTTGTTTGATGCACCACTATGCAATCGATTATCTGATATATCACAAACGCGGGGTGCAGATCTGCGTCTGATTTTTGACAAAACTTTGGTTGACTACAAGCCTGAGCACGCAGTTGTAAGTTTACATCAACATCCAAACTTCTATGATGAATATTTTGTTTACTCGAGCTTAATAGACATTTGTAATGAATCACGATACTGTAAGTGACAAAATATTTTCGTCAGCATCCAGTCGCTAATACCGATATCCAGCAACCATCTCAAGCTCTAGAGGTAAGACTGGACCCTATCTTCAATTTTTCGCAGGCTGAAATATAGAAACCAGGCCCCAGTAGCCCCATTCTTCAAACCTATTGCCTACGCTCTAATCCTTCTCCGGAAACAAGGCCAGCCCTGTATTTTTTACGGGGATCTGTATGGTATCACCGCTGGCGGCAAAAGGAGTCCACCTGAGCCTCCTTCCTGCAACGGCCGCCTCCCCGCCCTGACACTGGCGAGGAAATTATACGCCTATGGTGAGCAACGCGACTATTTCTCACGCAAGAACTGTATTGGGTTTGTACGATATGGCAACGCACGCCATCCCTGGGGTATGGCCTGTGTTTTGAGCAATGGACCGCGGACAAAGAAGAAGATGTTTGTCGGGAAAAAACATGCAAAAGAAAAATGGACGGATGTGCTGGAGTTGTACCCTACGGCAAGTCATGTTATCCAGACCCACGTTACTATTGACTCCAAAGGCTACGGTGTTTTTCCGGTGTCGGGGATGAGCGTAAGTGTCTGGGTTAATGCCAAAGCCGCCGGGCGAGATAGGTTTGAGAAGCATTTGTGAGTTTCCCTTGATTTAATTATCCATTGGTGGATTATTTTACTAATTTGGATCTCAATACAGTAATAGTGACATTTACTCCTACTGAGTGCTTTCGCTATTAATTGAGTAGCGAGCGGAGATGAGTGCGGTTAATTTCCTATGCAGTCATGGATCCTGGTTTTTCTTTTCCGTAAATGTGTAAGATGATATCAAAGAGAAAGCAAGGGATAATTGATGCTGGGATTATAATATTCAAATAATGTAAATTTCAATGTTGCATTGCTCATATTCCTAACTACGTAACGCTAACACTAACGCTAATGCTTCGATATCGATGATGCTCAGTCCTCCAATATATGAAAACAGCAAATATCAACAAGTTCATTGGGTTTTAGATAAATAAAACCCAGGTCAAGATATCATATCAGTCATTAAAAAACCTCTATAGAGTGAAGGCAGAAAGTCAGGCTACTTCCTCCAGGTTAATTTCATGCCTACTAAAGACGGCAGGGTCGTTGTTGAGCTCGCTATGGAAGTCAGATTCGATATAATCATTGACTTCAGTTCGACCAGACGGGGCATGCTTTAGGCTTTGAAAATCTGTGGCAGGTGATTCTGTATCTGGTTCAGCCTTATCGACCACATCCGGCTGTATCGGTGTAGAGCGGTCGATTGATTTGGCTTCGCCCACCGCCTCAATTGGCCCTTGAACATGTACAATATACTCTTCCGTATTATACGCACTAGAGGCCGTAAAGGTCGCCGCTCTATCGAGGATCTGTTCAGTATTCACGTCTTGAGCCACTCGTTGAATCGCACTAGGCCCTTCCATACGCTCTTCAGTTTCGACAACAGCGATTTCTGTTGGTACTTCAGTCAGGATGCAAGCAGAACTCGTATGATACACCTGAGTACTAACTGCTGGAAAATCACCGAATCTGACTGTGTCGGATGTGAATGGGTTATTTTTGGGTTGGATGCTGTAAATAAGTACCCAAAAAGTGAGAAGAACACTTGTGACGGTAACAATATTTCTGCGATCGCTTGCTAAAATGCGAATATAGTTAATCAGAAGGGTGTGGAGATCTGGTTCTCGCCCCTTTGCTCTCTGTGTCTTGGAAATGATCGGCTCAGAACGCTGCTTTTCTGAATGATCGTAAGGCACTGTGTGCGGTTCTGGCACCTCTCTATCTTGCTGAGTAGCATAATCCAAACCATCAATCTCCTCCTGTGAGAGACAGCTTTTATCGCTTAGGATAGATTGCGTCTCCTTCTTAATATGGTCATCTACCGTAAGAGCCGCTGCTTCTTCTAAAATCTGCCTCTCGAACTCTATCTTCACCTCATAAGGTAGCCAAAGGCTGACTTGCACGTCAACGCGCTCAATTTCCTTCCAGGCAGCTGTCCATGCACCTTCTTTCATTAGACCATTAGCCGCATAAAATCTGACCTCCCATTTTTTCTCGTTGTTATGTCTTCCGGCAAAGCATCCGCAATCAGGGCATGATGGCTCGCGAGATTTGGCAGACGAGTGACGGCTCTCATCATCTTCGTTATTGCTCTCATTGCCCGACTCTCCGCTGCCGTTATTGCTGATAAAATGACCATTTTCGAGTCTGGGACGCTGGAGCTCCAAACTTTCCAAAAGCCTTTCTTCCAGAAGCCCGTAATCCTCCTGTGGATGCTGAAGGAGAACTCCACGGTCACGCAGTAGACCTGATGCACCGATTTTCTCCTCCAGCGTTTTCCATCGTCGCCAGAACTGTGGAGGAAGTACTCTTTCGAGGATTCTTCGATTCGGAAGACCTAACCCCGGAGCAAGGACGACCGTAGGAGGCAGGATCGTGCAGTGTAACAAAACGAGTGGGTTTTCCGTTCTGATGGACGCTTTCTTGGGCGTTGCGCCGGCTGAATGGTAGCCATGTCGTCTTGCAAGTGGGGATCCAGGAGACCGTAGCATTGATGCCGATGATCCCCGGTAGCCCGCTCCTCGTCGCCTTGATGGAGACATATACTCCTCATCCTCATCTTCCGTATACATCTGCATTGCTCGAACGGAGCTTGCGTGTCTGAAAGGGGAATTGCGGTCGCGAATCTTTTGGTGTAAAGAGCTATCGAACGCGTTGTATTCGTAGTCGCTGTTACGGGCCCCGTGTGGGCTATGAGTGTTATCGATAGGTTTATGTTTGGTGTGAACTACAACTGAGTCAGGAATGGAGGAGAGCGATGACCGGCTAGACGCAGACTTTGTGCCCTCTAGCCGGTCATCCTCGAGGTCATCATCAAGCATCTGTTCGTTTACAGAATGGCGGCGTGATGAGGATGAGGACTCCGAACCTTCGTCGTGAGTAAGTGGGTGATTCAACGAGGGATCGTAGCTTGTGTTCTCCGCAGTGTCCTGTACATCTAGGGGTATTATAGAAGTCGCAAATGTTGTTGAAAGCTCCGCATTGTAGACAAGATGTTGACTTCGTTCCTCCATTGCTGAAGCTTCCGCCATCTTCTCAACCAGCTGTCTTTCCCCACCCGCCAAAACAATGTGAGCTCGGCGTGGAATGCGCCTCGCAATGGAGTTGTCGGTAATTCGAAAGCGGACCAGAGCTACCTTTTGAGAGCCGGGGTGCTCTATTCAAGTCAGGAACGATCTTAAATTGAATTTCTTGTAGAAGAAAGCATACACACAACGCAACGGTGTACAAAAGGGTGTGTGATGACGTTGAGGTGTTTGCTGGCACTGTTTACGTCTTACCGTTGAGCCGGCAACGCTGACCGCCAATAGCAAACTGCCGCTATGTGTCTTGGGCGCCAACATGGTTTCATAGGCTTTCAGTATTCAACAGATCGATAGGGATTATAATTTCTCTATTAAAATATGAAGAAGCAAGGCTACCTACACTACAAACATTTTTTCTCCAGAGTCAACGTTCAGGTAGATAATCACGTGACCACTATACGCACCGACACATTATCATTAATCTTGTTGAAGACAAAAAAAATTAATTCTGAATCATGCTGTCATGTATACATCCTAGTTGGACAGCCACTACTATAGATGAAACCTATCGTTTGTATTCGTCTCCCAGAATTGACCCTTCCACAACCAAGAGCGGTATCCCATTCAGTCCTCCCATTTCACGCGTCCACTACGAAACAGACTCACCATCCCAATAGGCAACAGCCCGGCGTCCACGATTCGGAAGCCTCCGAAATTGTCAATCATCTCTGGCCCATACAATTGAGCAACCCATTTCCAGTAAGGCTCCATACTGGTCCAATTTTGCAAAATCAATTTGGAATCAGCGTCCAACATGCTCAAAGCTGTCCGGACTTCGCCAGAACTGGCGCTTTCAACCGCTTCCTGCGCAGGTTCTTTTAGCAACGTCATATATACGTTCCCCAGACGCATCTTTTCGTTATAGTGAGGCAACGTCTCTCTGTGTTTGATGTATTCATCGAAGGAGAAGAACTTATCCCCATCTTCGGGACGAAACCCCGGGTGGGACACAGACATTCGAGCTCGGCCATTTTCAAACGCGGATTTGGCTGCTTTGTAGGATTCACGCTCCATATATTCGAACTCCTCGAGGACTTTGTGCGGATCACTAGAAAACGAGTCCCTGATCTGCATTAAGCCAATGAATGGATTGCGCACTTCGAGTCCTCCAAGCTCGGTTGGAAAGTAGAAATAGCCGTCTGGGATATTCTCAACACCGAAGCGTTCGGCGATAGTAGATTTGAGATACTCGATCACGCTACCATGCGAGGAGGCTTGCCCTGTTGTACCTCCATCAGTGGATGACGAGAAAAGTTTGCGTTGAATCCGCTCGTGGGTCGAGAGCATATTATCGACATGAAGACGACCAAAGCAGTTAGCGGGCTTTCCAAAGTTAGAAGTAAAAAAGGTTGCTGCGAAGCTGTTCCAGGCTTGGATCCAAGCAAAGACACTGCTTTGTTTTCCTTTTAGCTGCCGGCTAAGCTCGGATATGTGGTCGTCGACCATTTCTTGGTCTATCTCAAATCGCCCAGTACTTGAATTCAAGTGCAGCATACCCCATCGTATTTCTCCGTTTGGCAGATCATTTGGAGGTACGGAGATGATGCCAGATTTATTTCCGGGATCTTGACGCATGCGTGCCGATCCTGTTCGGGGCACGTCGAGGTCAAGACCCATTAACTTGGTAAAGTTCACCACCGTTGACCATGACTTGACACACATAGCGTGATCTTCAGCCCAGAACCAGAGATCATCTCCGAGCCTCCATAAGATATGGCCACCGGTAGATTGATTGATTTGAAAATCAAGGCAAAACAGAACAAGCTCGGAAAATACCTCACTTAGCACATGCGATCCAGGTGTTCCGGTTTGTCGCTTCCGAGGTGCCAATGATTCGGGGTCATCCTTGAACTTCAGAGGGGCAGCAAGAAAGCGACTGAAGAATCCAATCCACCTTTGTGAAACCCCAAAGTAGGATAAAATGGTTTGAATTGTTGCATGCGGAAGGGATGCAAAAAGGTTATCAACCTGGGTGCGAAAGCACGAGAGACCTCCTTGAAGACGAGTTTTGACAAGTATGTCTGTAGATAGGAGATGCAGTAGCTTCTGCTTTGTAGCCATTGGTGACTTCTTTTGTTTAGTGGGGTGGTCGTCGTCATCACTTTCACCATCATAATCAAGGAGGTTCCGGGATCGTTTAGCCTTTCGCGCGGTCTGTTTGGTACGGTGGTACGTTGGCGCTTGTTGTTGCCGCATCTGTTGTTGCCGCATCAGCGGCATTTGCATCGCTGGCGCAGTTTGAAAATTCTGCGCACTCGCCCGAGGTAGCTCTGCTTCTTCTTCTCCTTCCTCACCTGATATTTCTTGGCTCAGGGAGTCAAGAAGATTATACAGGAAATAACCTTCCTCATAAGTCCCTTCTTTCATGTTGACCACACTGTTATGACTTTGCACATGGTCTAGAAAGTATTCGCGTCGATTCCTGTCTATTGTTTCTACCGTAGTGATAGGCGATTTCCAAACACCCTCCGACTCCTTGAATTTCCTCAGCGAGTCTTTCCAAAATACTGACCATCTGAGGCCAATATGCTGAAGGAAGATTGCCTGTAACAAGTCCTCCTGCATGAACATTCTAAATGAGCCATTTACCTGGCGGCGCTCTTCGATGATAACCTCATTGCCCCATGTCCAATCTTGCATTAACTTAAGACGCCGGTCAAGGACATCAGAGATTTCCTTCAAAGTAATAGGATTATTCAGGAAATCTTTAAGAACACCTTTCTTGTCGTCATCGAGTAAGTCAGATGATAGAAGGCTTTCGATGGTCGGTTTTAGATTGGCCGAGTCAAAGACACCTGGTGACAGCAGCTTGGTTTCAAAGTCTCTTACTCGTACACGCAGGGCTTCCAAGGCATTTGGCAAGTTTTTCGTACCATGAGGGGTTTCTTCGAATAAGTCTTTTAGCAGTTGCTGAATAGCGTCCACATCAACATGGGTGGTCTCAAACACCGATTTTTCCCACGCCTCACGTGCTCCCAGTCTGTTGCTACTGGAAACCTGCTCAAACTCGGCCATTTCAACATCATCATCAGCTTTGCCAGAGACATTCTCTTGCTTTGCAGACAGCCATTCGGTTGTCAGCCGTGCATACAGCGAGGCGTACTGGTATTTTTGCGACTGGCTTTCTAAGTGGCGGAGCAGGACATCTTGCCATTTTTGTAAGATATTCTGCGAGACGCTAGGGTCGTACTTTGCTTGTGCAAGAAACCGATCGAGGTTTCTAAGAGTGATCTCTAGATGTTCATTGCCGGTACCACCACGCACGATTCGACCGTCGGAGATGGCGATCCCGAAACATGCCTTGAGACCCGCAACGATCGAAGCCAGTCTATCAATAGGGTTCTGATTGGGGTCTTTGAGGAGACCTAGGATCTTATTTCGATGAGCTTCGAAGGAGGTGCGGCCCTTGGCAAGCTCTTCTAGCTTCGTGTTGGTGATGTCTAGGAGGGTTTGCGAGAAGAGGCTGCCTCGAGACTCCATGATGTAAGTGAAGTTGGGAGCTTAGTGATGTGAATCTTTTTTTTTTTGTTTTTACTTCTCCTTTTTGTTTCTTCTTTTGTTCTGTTTACTATTCTGTTGATTTTGGAAGAATCAGCAAGTGGGAAGATGAAAGGACAAACACCAGCTTTGGTCTTCACGAGGCTGGGCTCTGTTTAAATACTTGCCTTGTTCCGAGTAGGGTTCAGAGCGGGGCTGTTGCCTGGAGCCGCATCGCTGGGCAGTGCTGATTGGCCCCGCCAACACAGCCTAGAATCACTCGCCACGGAGGAACTTAAGAAGTGATTCTAGATATACTGATATATTCTGCAGGTGATTGCCATAAGAAGCCGGTCCTACATCAATAACAGTCTGTTGGAAATCCATCGACTCTGGATAGCATGATGTCTCAGATATGAGGGCGACCGATCTATTTTTAGAAAATGTGACGTACAAAGGCGTCCATATGTAATTTTGGGAGATCCAATGGGAAACCCTAGAGTCGAAGATAGTTCTTTCTATGCAGCGGTATTCAGTACTATTTCATAGCTCATATTATGGATACTCATACAGGCCAGCCTCATCCATGGGTGATTGAAGCAAGGTTTCCGGGATGGGAGCAATCGATATCTCATCGTTATCTGCTAAGATATTTGCAGGTCCGTGATGGCTTTAATTGGCATATGTAAGTTACAACCAAGGCTCGGGCACCAAGCAGTATTAGATAGAGCTGTTTGACAATACCTGTGCCATTCGGAAATAAGCATAAAATCGCGATGGCGAATGTTCACGAGGCTACATCGGTATCTTGCATGACTTATCACCCAAACGCAACACAGATTGCAAATTACTTGTTTGCCAGACTTTAATTTACTCCGGAAACTTGCTTCGCATACATTATTATCAACGATTGCTACGCATATGCAGCTATTCGTCCGGAAAGGTCAATCAAACTAACATTAAATAATTGGTATGAGTGGTCGATCCGCGCCATGCCATTGTTTGGGTATCAAACTTGAATTATTGTTCTAAATTAGCTTTCGGCGGATTTTCTGCACGACTCATGGGGATGTGTTGCTGCTGGTAGTACATTCATCTCACTCGGCACGAGGGAAATTTTAGAAACAGTGTTATCTTGTGAGAACGGTACAGTAGCAATGGAACTTTTCATGCTCTCAACCTACCTGATTCATCTTTCAAAACCAGTGAGTTTGCCAGACGAGAAATTAATTGATCTTTCCGTTGTGTTCCTCAAGTATACCTACGTCTTCCATACTTGGGTCTAACATTACAATGCGCTTTGAATGACGTGGTCCAGTTACTCAGTCAATAGATAGAAAACTACCTCGTAAAAAAAGGCATTACAATATACCGAAGAAGTATGTGATTTCCAGTACATACATTCCACAAAACATATTGGGGAATTTATTCTCTCTATTCTCGCTGATAATGGTCGCAACAATATGCTGGGTTTGGCATATTAACTTAGCAAATATCTTCATTCTCGAACTGAGATTAATATTCTCTATAAAACAAATTGATCCTACCCTCGACCTCAAACTTAAGGTTATTTATATAATTGTGGGTGGCTGAACCTGTGTCGCAGCTTCGCTCTCTATCAAATGATCTCGTGCAAGATGGGGCCAAAAATCCAGCTGCAATTTCGCAGCGATTATGAGTATGAGTAGTATAAACTAATTACTTTTTTTAGACTTACTGGAAAGGCTCCACACCTTCACCTCCTGCAAAGTGATGTAGCAAATATTGATATGTGCAACCGTCCCTTCAGCGGCTATTCATTGCGGTAGTTATTATACAACATGCCATAGTTGTCAAGGCAAGTGTGACATACAAACTTGTATTAGGGCATAATTGAGAGTGTTTCTTATTTTAATTGCACTACAGCGTGTTTTTGCTCAGTGAAATCCTAAGGATTTCCTTAAGTAAAGTAAGTTATTCTTCAGAAAGTTTTCACTTTATCAGTCTACGGCAAGCAGAATCAATTAAAAACTTACCACTTCACAAAGCACACTTGATTACCAGAATTCCACTTCCTCTAAATCCTGATTACTCACGAAAATAACTCCAGTTTCAGTGTGTCAGACTCCAGTCAACAGTTTGAACATGGTTGTTTTCCAACGTGCACTAGCTCCGAGAGTGATGGTAATTTGGTCCCTCTAAGGCGTGCAAGAAATCGCCAACGCGAAAATGCAAGCTCGGTGAATTTTCCGGTAACTATCTGGGCTATTCATAAGATTCTAATAAATGTTTTGGAATGCATGCGCCGTCAGATGAATATCTGCTGTTAAACTGCCATTGAATCGATTATTTGGCGTCAATAGAACTGAGAAACCGGGTTCGCACAGACTTGCGGGGATAATTGGAGCTCTTGGTGCGGGATTTGTGAACTCCTGGCAACTTCGTGCGAGAATACTTTTAGAAACTTCAGAGGTTAGATTTGGGCACGATTACAGCTCGGTATCCGATTATGTCGGGCTAATTGAGATGTTGGCTTTGTCGATCTCGGAACAAATATATTTAATGACCCTCACTTCGCAGTATATTGACCCTGGAATATTTCTCATGTAACACAAACGTAAACCGTATTGGTAGATATGCATTGGGTGACCGCTCCTTCATACGTATCACTCCCATGTCGTTCATCAACATCATGTGAGAGAATCGGTTGTTTGTCTCTTAAAATTTCCGAACAAAGGATATGCAAAAAAGAAACAGAAACAAAATGAAATGAAAGGGGTAATGAAAAATGATAAATGAACGAATTACGGTCTTAAGCGCTAGTGTCATAACAGTGGTATGCTGGCCATTCTTGCTCTTGGGTTATAATCACAGGAAGTGCTGATTGGCAAATAATTTCATGGGGTTGGAATAATCTGTGACACTAGATACATATAGGCGCCTTGGAGTGCTTCACCCCTGATGGTCTAGGCCGGCGGTTATCGGGTCGTTACATAAATGGGAATAACCATGTCGACGCTCGGCGAGGGGTATGTCTCAAGTTGCCTTTTTATCCCTCTCTGCTTCCAACTTACTCGGGATTCCGTCTCAATAACCGACATTTCAGTCATGAAACAAAGTAATGAGAGAATAAATATTTTGTGTTGGCTTTTGCGCGATAAACGTTGAGAAATACTATCTCTTTCAATACAAATACGGTCACCAAAAATAGGACTGTGACGAGGCTGCCGCCAAACCCGCACCGGCGGCAATGCTGACTTTGTTGTTGGCTGAAAGCGACGTGGCGTTTCTTTGTTTCGATGCGTCCAGAGCCATTTAGTTCTAAGTGTTAAGATGAGATCCTGACTGGATGCTCCAGGATACTCTAGGATGATTCATTATATACAAATGAAAATTCCTATTTCTTGTCCTCTGCCCTCGATACTTTGTCATATACTTCACTGTTATATTTGTCTATTTACTTTACTTTTCCACGATCCCTACGAACAACGGTTTATCTATTTTTTTTAATTCTCCTCTCTTTGATCAAATTTTCACCTAGGTGAATAAACATCGAAGCAATAATGTTGCTCAAAGCCTGTTTCGCAGCCTTGATTGCCAGCACTGCCTCTGCTCATACCCACGGCCACGGTCATGAGCGTCGCCATCAAGATATTCAACCAAGCAGTAGCAGCACTGTTGGCCCTGCGCCCCTTCCTACAGACAAACCTCAATTTGGCGGCGTGACTCCTCCAACGGGCTCTGACATTTCATACTGCGGCAACCACGGTAACCCATACGGCAGCAACATTCTTGTCATCGATGAGAAGTGGGTTCCCGACTTCGACTATGTCACACGGATGACTTTGCCTGCTAGCACTACCGAATCATGGAACGTTGTGGTTTGGAATAAATGTGGTACCGATGGCGGCCTCAACGGCGACTTCGGAGAGTGGGTTCAAAACTTTACGATTCAACCAGGCGAAACCAAGTACATTGCTTTCGACGTCGATACAGCGGGTGGATGGTGTGCTTCTCCTGGTGACAAAGTCATCCTTAACGAATGGGGCAGTTGCTCCAGCACATGGGGTGAATTTGAATTTGCCCATGCGTCCACTAAAGCCTCTGGATTTGACGTCTCTGTTATCCAGGCTCAAAATGCCCACTTCACTGTACAAGGTATGAATATATGTGCTACGGGTACAGACACATGTTCATCCATCACAAATTCGGGAGTTGTGAACAATGCCTACACTGCTGCCGAAGCCTATAATCCTAGCCTTGGTGGGCACTTGAATCCCGGGAAAGTAACCCTGGACTGCACGCTCAATTACTCGGGCTAAAGAATTTCTTTCAAAAGTTCGTTCGGGCTATAACTTTCTCATTTTCAATTCAATTCATTCCTCTTCCTTTTCCATTCTTTTCTCTTCTTATACACATCTAAGTTCCAATCTTAGAATTTATATTCTTAAATCAAACTTGAACCGAGGATCGTCGTAAAGGCTTCACTTCACGGCTGTGCTAGAGAGCGCCGATTAAGTTGTAAAAATACATGTAGGATATGGAAGGAAAGAAATGGCGTTATTCTAAACTTCGTTCATCGTACATCTGAACTTGTTTTTCTGGCCACTTAATCCACCATTGAAATCTCGCTGGAAGGTTAGCACGAATACCTTCGAGTACATGCCTATCCCAACCTCTCATAAACCATACTGATCTCATATGGCTCAGCAGCATTGCCCAATAAGACAAAATAACGAGTGAAAGGGGGTCTTTCTGCTCCAGTAGAGCCACAATTTCCGTTGGAAGCCGATAAAGCCAACCCATTAAAACTTGTGTTAGTCCTGCCCTAGGTATCTGGGCAGAACGCTTTTGGTATACTTCTGTCAAAATTGACAGCAAGTCCTTGATCACCGACGCATACAAAGCACGGTAGGTCGTATCTGAAACATTGTCATTTACAAGTTTTTCGACTACTTGTATATGCGTAATGTGTTCATGCAATTCCGCAAGCAACGGTTGGTGAATATCCCTTTCAATACTTTTCTCTTTGGGCATCAAAATTCCGCAGAAGATTTTGTCGCGATAATTTTGAACAAGCAATCTCACTCCATGCATCAAGACTAGCCATTCAGCAGGGCCATTTTGACTAAAAATGAGGTATTCTCCCGGCCGAGGTCCTCTGCCAAAATACACAAAGCAAATCATTACCGCCGAAATATAGACTTTTTGACAATTATCAGGAGTTATTTGTGAGAGCACGGAGGTAACAGACCGCACACCGAAAGTGAAATGGTTGTCGGCTTGTTGAATATACTTTTCTCGAAGATCAGGCCGCTCATAACTGAGATGAAGAGCAGATAGGGCTAGCATTAGATGAAATATTGAGGGAAAACTAAGGCCCCATTGAACAATGTGCGTTTGCCAAACGTCGTAGGCCTCCAGGTTGTCTCCAAAAGTTCGGTATGTGGCAACGGTGAAGTTATGGAAGAGTTCAAGATCAACAAATGAAATCACGTCGGAGGCCTGCTTGGAGAGATCACATTGCGTCCCATTAGAAGTAGTATACTTCTGTCTCTCATTGTCTTTTCTGGGTGAAGCTACTTGTTTTACCCCCGAAGGCGAAAATTCATAGTTTCTAAATCGATATGATTCCGAAGGTGGTCGTGGTACAGAAAAACCCAACCTGCCTTCAGCCGACGAATAATGATCTCTCAAATGCGACGGAAATTCGCAATGTATCCCATGATTTGCACAATTTGAGCACAACGGCTGCTTTTCGTCGCACTATGAGAGTTAGATCCAGTCAGATAGGAGCCGTACGACGGAAATTATTTTCGTGACAAGTTTAACGGAGGAGGAGAATCCCAAAACTCCTATGTTCAAAGGGAGAAACAGGAATACATGAACAAATAGCATCCAATACAGTCAGAAGGAGCCACAGAAACCAATAGATACAAGCCTGAATAACATAACGGAAGACAATAGTAGGCACTAAGTCTACTAGTAGGCTCATTAATATATCTTACCTTAATGCGGCGTCTCTTGCAATTTAAACAGCCTAGGCGTGACTTTTGGTGCGTCCTGCGTGCTCTATGTGGGTTCGCTGCAGCTTTGTCCCGCATTGTCAAGTATTGAGCTCTAGCAAATAATCATAGCAGAGACAGCTATGTATCGTATTCGTTCTTGGTTTTCTCGAATTCCGTTTTGGGAATGCTGACTGATTTTTGGAGTAAATCTTTTGCCGGGGCCAGGACGTCAACCACTGGCCACAATGAATTTTGACATTGCACTAAGATTTCAAGGGTGGCGGTCCGGATTCATGCATAGGAGCACGAGAACAGAGTATGGTTCTGACAGGCAAAGCTAGGCTTGCACTGCTGTAATTCTTATCGAGTTAACAAACTGGAAATAGACCCAGGCTGCAAGATTTTGGAGATCAAAAGTGTAATCGAAAACTGGCCGAGACGCCGTGGCCACGCCATGTGGGACTTTCACCACCACATTAGCGCTCGCAAACACCCTACCATTGGCGGAATCGGCGCCAGGGGCAGAGCTTATCTCCCAAATTAGATTGCGTCGTGGAGATTCCTGAGCGTATTCGTTTTCTGATTACCCGATACGGAAACGCTGGTCTATATGCTCGACGACTGATTGAACTACACTATATTTTCCATCGGAAGAAGCAAAGCAAGGCAACAAATTTTTCCTTTATAAAAATCGAGCTTTCAGCCTTTCAAATTATAGTCATTCTCGTTGGAACAATCTCATTCTATCTCCTCTCCTTCTTACCTCTTTAATAGCCTAGCAGATTTCGACATCAGCATCATTAAAATGGATTTTGTATTTCATAATGGCACCAATGGATCCTCTCCATACGTGGAATTTTACCCATACAATCCTTCAGCGCCCGCAGGATATGCATTCATGGCAATTTTTGGTGTCCTTACTATTGTTCACTTTGTCTTGATGTTCCCTTTCCGAGCCGCATACTTCATCCCGCTAGTTTTAGGCGGAATATGTATGTCGTCAACTTACTCTAATAGACAAAGATATGTTGGCAAAGTCATGTTGCTAATAAATCCATCAATTGATGCAGGCGAAACCTTCGGCTACTACGGAAGGGCATGGTCCCATAATAATAGAACGAAGATCGGGTCGTGGGCACTCCAAGAAATGCTCATTCTCTGTGCACCGGCCCTGGTGGCTGCAACGATATATATGACCCTTGCACGGGTTATTCGAGCCTGCGATGCGGAACACATGTCGAGTATTCGCACCAAATGGCTTACATTTATTTTCGTACTCAACGACATCATCTGTTTCTGTACTCAGATTGGCGGTGCAGGTGTACAAATCACTGGGGACGCAAAAGTGATGTCCATTGGACGGCATGTTGTGTTAGGTGGTCTTATATTCTCTTTGGTGATTTTCGGTCTGTTTGTTTTAGTGGCGCTGAAGTTTCATCGACGGCTTGCGGCGTCCCCAACGAACATCGTTATCCAGACTCCGGAGGTGAGCTGGAAGCGTTATATGTGGGTGATGTATGCAGCTTGCCTGGCTCTGTCTATTCGAAATCTCTTCCGGACCATTCAATTCGGGACCGCAAAAGGGATATCATCAGGCCAAAAGAAGGATCCTCTAGGTCAGTATGAGGTGTTCATTTATGTCTTTGATGCATTCCTCATGGTTATTGTGATCCTCACTCTGTCTATATACCATCCTGGCCTTTTGATCAAGAAATGGAGATGGTCATCGCGCTCAGGGGACTTCATGAAGTATGGCCGCATGGAAAGCAATGAGATTTCTGAAACACTCGCCCTCACGAGTCGTTAAAATGGATTTCCTATAGCTTAAGGTGGACTCTGTGCCGTGGTATACATTTATTTGATCCCTTTTTTTGCTTTTCGGGGGTTGCTCTATATTTTCCCCCATGTTTTGCATGGGTTCCTTACTGGGACGTCGACGGATACATATATACATGGAGTCATATAACACATATCTAGAATAGATTTTGTGAATTCTGAATAATAACTTTTGTGTCATTCAATGTCTCCAGTTGCTAGATCCTCACATATCTCCTGTAAAATATTTTCGACCTTTGCGAATGAAAACTCGGCCATTGTCTCTTTCCAAAGGCGTTTTGAAATACTTTTTCCCTCTTCTGTATATAAAATCGGTGCCATCCTATTTATCCATATTATTAGCAATACATTCGAATTGAATTTGAGGCCAGTTGCAAAAATCAGAACTTACGGTACCACCTTCTGAAAAGACAGAAACTGGCCATGCGTCTCCTCGCCATGCTGAACTGCAGCATCTGTGATCATACAGGCACCAACTGCGGATGTCGAACCTATGCGGCGCATTATTTTTTTAGCAATGGCGCCTGAGAATGTCTTGTCGTGTTCACGGTTGAAATCCGAGTCGTGGACGGTGCCAGGTGATGCTGCATTGATGACCGCCACCGAGACAGGTACAATCCTTGCGAGCTCGGTCAGAAAGAATTGACCGAGGAGTTTAGATACAAACATTCGGTCTAGCATGTCTATGTTCCCAGGCTGGTCAAGCGCAGGAAGGGGTCATTTTTCTTTTCTTTAAAATTCGTCCAACCAGATACTTCAGATGACACCAGTGTAATGCGACTGGGATGTTCCTGATTAGCCCTTTTCTCCTTAATAATAGGAAGTATTAAAATAGCTAGAAGGGCTGTCGATAGATAATTAACCTGGATCATCTCATCGTGGCCGGTTTGTATGTTGAACACTCGTTTTGCAGGTGCTATACCGCCGTTGAGAACGACAATGTCTAGACGATCAAGACTCTTGGTACGCTTGGCAAATGCAACCACTGAGGCGTATATGGCAAGATCCAAGTTCCATACCTCGATGGTATCTTCGCTCAGGTCTTTGCGAGCGGTCGAGGAGATCAGCTTAGCCATGGCGGCTTTTCCTTTGTCTTCATTGCGCACAGCGAGAATGAGCTTGCTAACACCTAGGTCTAGCAGCTGGCGACTTGTCTCAAACCCTACTCCCGTATTTGACCCAGTCACAATAGCTGTCTTTCCTTGAAGACTTACATCTCGTACTTCGGCAGGTGTAAAGGTAAGTTGTTGGTAGAAGAAACGAGGCACACTTGCCTGCTTTTCAGGAGATATGTCAAATTTCGTCGTCATTATATATAATATTACACCAACAGCAGCAGCCAGTCCATCCACCAAAACTTGGGAGAGGTAGCGAAGATATACTTTTTCGTGGCCAGTCGACGTATCGGAGTTCTCGGTGGAGTTAAATCCGGAGATAGCCAGGAACAATCGGATTGCATCAATTGCCGTGTTCGCGTTCGCGTTCGGGCGCAGGGAACTGACTGGCTTGCCACCATCAATTGACGGCGAGTCTCTGTGATGTTGGCACTACATGGGCGAGACTATTCACAGCATGCGAGATCTCGGCAGAAGGCGCAAGCTATGAGGATAAAAGAATAAAGGAATAAAAGAATTAAAGAATAAAAAGGAACAAGAATAACATATGCAATCACGTGATGGCAGTCGCCCAGTCAGCGGTCCCGGGCGGTCCCCGTGCGCCGCGCGGCGATTGGCCGGCGAAAAGTTTTCGGATCAAAACTTGTCGTTCTCTTCTTTCTTCTTTCCGCCGGTGCGACTCTGCTGCCACCTCCATCCCTTCGATTTCTATCCTGCAATTCTCTTCTCTCCTCCTCCAGATCCTGAATCTGTGTACTTCTGAACTGCCAACTCCACTCTTGTTTGTTTGAGCAATTTATACTTCCCCCTTTTCACAATGGCCTCATCTTCAGCCCCTGCCCCCGTTGCCGTCGAGGCTCAACCCCAGAAGCTCAGCGGCCTCGCCCTCTACTCCAGAATCGCCTTCGCTGGCGCTGTCTGCTGTTCCGTCACGCACGGTGCCTTGACCCCTGTCGATGTGTAAGTTGTACCCAGTCCATGCTTGGGAGCCCGTTCTTCGCGACTCAGTTGCGCGCCTCCCGAGAAACAACACGTATTGCCTCGGGAGCGAGATACGTTTTCGCCTCATCAAAAAGAACAAACACCGCATCAGATACCGCAAATGCAGCTGGAAAGCAGTCGCTGACTTTTCTTTTACAGCGTCAAGACCCGTATCCAGCTTGACCCCGTTACCTACAACAAAGGCCTTGTCGGTGGATTCCGCCAGGTCATCCAGAATGAGGGCGCCGGCGCCCTTTTGACCGGTTTCGGTCCTACTGCTGCTGGCTACTTCCTCCAGGGCGCTTTCAAGTTCGGTGGTTACGAATTCTTCAAGCAACAGGCCATCAACCAGTTCGGTCTTGAGGCCGCTACCAACAACCGCACAGCTGTCTACCTTGCCTCTTCCGCCGCCGCCGAGTTTTTCGCCGACATTGCCCTCTGCCCTCTTGAGGCTACCCGTATTCGTCTCGTCTCTGAGCCCACCTTTGCCAACGGTCTTCTCGGCGGTTTCACCAAGATCGCCAAGAACGAAGGTATCGGTGCCTTCTACTCTGGATTCGGTCCCATCTTGTTCAAGCAGTACGTCTCCTATCTTGTCGAGTCATGGTGAATCTAAACTAATGGGTGAAGGGTGCCATATACCATGGCCAAGTTCGTCGTCTACGAAAAGGTTGTTGAGGCCGTCTTTGGTGTTGTTGACAAGAACACTCTCTCCGACGGCGGCAAAACCGTTGTCAACTTGGGCTCCGGTTTGATTGCTGGTTTCGCCGCTGCCATCATCTCTCAACCTGCCGATACCATGCTTTCCAAGATCAACAAGACCAAAGGTCTCCCTGGTGAGGGTACCGTTAGCCGTCTTGTCAAGATCGGTAAGGAGCTCGGTTTCCGTGGTTCTTACTCTGGTATTGGCGCTCGTTTGTTCATGGTTGGTACTTTGACTGCTGGCCAATTTGCCATCTTCGGAGGTATGTCATTCTCTTTCGGGGGATAAGTTTTCCTATTTTTGCTGATCTTTTCTTTTTGCAGACATCAAGCGTGTCCTCGGTGCCACCACCCTTGAGATCGGCAAGTAAGCGCGTCAAATTTCCCCCCAAGAACGAACCGAAAATACGATAGATTTCTTATACACAATATACCTCAGCAACAAGGAGCAAAAAATACATTCGCGTCGTGATCTTAGGGTTACTCGAGTGATCACGATGCAGGGCGGCATGTACGATTTGAATTGCTGCAGTTGGGATTTCATTTCACCTTTCCATTAGATTGGATAGGTGAAGATGAATCTGTAGATTTCACACCACCTACAAACATTATTTGATTTTCTTAGGTTTTTTCCTATGTCATGTGTTATTTTCTCCTATTGTAGATCATGATTTAATTGAATAGTTAATAGAGCATTAACCACATTTGTTCTCATATTTATATGATGAAATGGAATGTATTTCTAGGTCTTGCAGATTCAAATATTCTTTCGAAGTACTGACATCTCCTTGCTAGACTTTTCTAGTGTGGTTTTGAGCATTCGACAGCCGACGAGGCATCTTCGAGGATAGAGTATTCATTCGAATATCATATGACCGATATGGATTAGTTGTCCGGATGTCCTAGGTGCACTTTTCCTTCAATTCGTTGAAGCCATGAAGCAAAATTGAAACCAATGAGAAAATTGTGCAATGGGTGTTTTATGTGAGCCTTTCGCTAGCATCATCTTTTCCGAATCTATTCTTCCAGGCGAAATATCCTATGGGTTCATCTAGTTGTTTTGCAAACCTCATCTCGTTCTTACCAAAGTCGAACACGGCGACTACGTTCTTCAGAAACGAATCGCCAAGAATATTAAGCTGTACCCCGTCGAGCGAGACACTCTCCGAACTAATTAGACTCGAAACACAGACACCGTCAGCGGTTTGATAGATCAAATCCGCGCCGCGGTGGAAAAAGGTCTGGTTTCCTATTTGAATTCCAAATGTCGGGGCTTGAGCTGAGCAATCGACGATGTATGCGCCTTGTGACTCGCTATAGATTGCGGGAGGGAAAAATAAAGCATTGATAGGATCAACTATAGCGGCAGGTAACATAGTGAAGAAATTCCCGCTATCAACAAAGGCTTGTAATGATGTTGAATTGATCGTTAATAAACTCTTATGTCGGTCATTACCACCTTCACGAGACGGACCATATATGACACCGGAAACAGTCATGCTCCAGTATGATCGAACACGTTTGCCAGACGTGAAGCTCAACGGTATATTCTTTGTAATCTCAACTGGAACGGCAGCGAAGTTTGGGCTATGGGGAACAGGCGGAAGCTCACCGAGCGAGAGATAGCCCCCGAAACCGTTAGAAGAATTCTGAGGGGTACGAGCTAATGCTAGGCTGAAGAACGGTTCCACCAAACCTTGTTGATACATGTTCGTGAACAATGGGTTATAGACAAGCCTATTGAAGAAGTATGTGGTATTGTCTACACTTCTTCCCGGATGCGCCGAAGTGAGGGACGGATAACCCAAGCCAAGCAGACCACTATTCAGGCCGTCACCCATGGGATTTGAGCGGTTTGCGATGCCAACCTTCTGGCCTTTGACAGTGATTCCACCAAGAGAAACATCTTCATATGCCATCACACCGCTTGCAATTCCTGCCCCATACTGCACACCAAACGTCACATTCGGAATTTCGCGATACGTATCGGAGATATTGTATGTCTTGGAGGAATAGAGACAATCGGCCTGGAGCAATTCGGAATTATTCAGGCTGATACATTGATAGCCCGTCTTCATCACATATGTGTCGCTGCTACCCGTATCAACAAGAAGCTTGAAGGTCTGGTTGGATAATGACACATCTACATCGAAGACACTGCCGAATTCAGTAGCGATAAGGGAAGATGATGTGTTTTTGTAGGATTGAACCAGGGCATTGCGACGGTTCAAAGGTAAAGTTGTGGCTGCTACTGATACGTAGACTACGTTGACCAGAAATTGGAAAATAAGCATTTTGTAAATGATCGACTTATTTTGCAATGATGTTGTGAGTCTCGCAAAATTGAACGTCCAATCGATTATGCTTCGCAGTTGTGTCGAGATGGCCAAGTTGGTAACGATGATTATAGTGAAGCTGATACCAAAATATAATACATTCCAACACAACACTTGCAGGCTACGGCATTTGTAAGAGCTTCAATTTTTGACCTCAGTGTTATATTTCCAGCTGTTCATCTCTTGATAGATATTCCAAAATATTTTGAAGCCGGACCAATCGGCACCTTCGGAGCCCTCGTATATTTTAGCGCGGCCATTTTTGGCCCCTCATTTGATAATCTCCGCGCCTCCAAGCCACGAACGGAAATAGTAACGGCTCTGCCTGCATTTCTCTTGAATACTTTACATAAATCCTGGCATGCTTCTAAGAAATATACGACAAGACGGGAAATAATTGAATTACTAGTAACCCAAATTTACTAGTAACCGAAATAACCACAGTCATGAGTAAACCACGCCGGAGTATGCCGAAGGTCCGAACGGGGTGCGTTACATGCAAGTATGGACACAGCAAAATACGGTATACCCTGCTAGAAAGCAGTACAGCTAATAATAGCTTCAAGGATACGACGCATCAAGTGTGACGAGCAAAAACCTCACTGTGCAAAATGTTTGCAGACTGGCCGTGAATGCAAAGGCTACCTGCCAGCTAAGAAAGGTGGCCAAGTACAAGATACAGGCCCCCCTGTCTCCATCCCGATAACTACTTACAGCATCCCATTCAAAGTGCCCGGCAGCCAAGCAGATCGCCAGCTGCTTCATTATTATTGCTCTGTTGCTGCGGGTAAACTGGCTGGCTTTTCGGATCATGAACTGTGGACCAGACTGATCCTACAAAGATGCTATCACCAGCCAATTATTCGCAGCGTTGTGGTGACGCTTAGCTCACTATACCAGGATCATATGCGTGGAGAATATGATGGAACAAAATTAGGCCGGTCTCCACCTGCGAAAAGCATTGAACAGATTGCAAAATGTCACCGAAGGCTGACAATGCACCTTGGTTCTTCAGAAGCTTCCCCTGATATCGCATTGATTTGCAGCGTCTTCTTTTACATGTTTGAGTCCTTGCTTGGAAACATTCACCAAGCGATATGGCATTTGAACCAGGGATTGAATCTTCTGCAGCAATATCAAAGGGACAGTGCTTATTTAGCTAGCAGCGAGTCTGATGTAATGTTATTCCATCTGACTTCCCTTCTTTCGCGGCTTGATGTTCAAGCTAGCTTTTTCGATTACGACCGTACACCGGTATTATCCCTTGTATCTTTGGCTGAGAGATCTGGAAATGTTCCTGTCGTACCCGATATCTTTCTTAGCACTGTGCAAGCCGAGGGTATCCTTACAAAGCTTCAAAATTGGATGATGCGCCATCTAATTACGTGCGGCAAACACAAGAAGACTACTTTCGAAGATATACCCCCTCAAATTATTTACGATAGGCAGGTTCTTGATCAGCAGTTCAGGAAATTTGGTACGGTAATCGAAAAGCTGGCTGGTACATATGGAGATGATGATCTCGAATGGGAAAATCATTCACTGCTTCTACGAATTCACGCACGTGCATGCCACTCCATACTGTTGGAAAGAATCTCTACTTTTGGCCCTACACCTCGCGGCCCCGATGACTACAGACGTGAGGTTGACGAAAACTTGCGTGCCATGCTTTCTGATATATCCTTATTTCTCTCCACTTCCCAAAAGTCAACTCAGTCTGAAGGTAGTGGACACTTTACACTCTCGTCCCACCTAACCCCGGCATTATTTTATGCGGGCCTCAAAACTACAAATTGCGAGACCCTCGATATTTCCTTGGAACTACTGAAGCATTCCCAGATTCCAAGCCGTGAGGGAGTTTGGGATGCAAGTACCGCTGAGTCTATGCTTCAGAAGATTAAGGCATGTGTCATCCAAGAGCGTGATGACCAGTACGAGGCAAAACATGCGGTGTTGTTGGACGATACTTTAGAGAAACTTGGTATGAAATTCTTTGAAGGGGCTGGCGGCTTAAATGAGGCTTTCAAGGCTTTGTATCTTGAAGATTGGCAAGGTCATTAGATTAACAACTCCTTACATATAATGGTCTAACTTGCCAATTATCCGTAGCACTGTAGGGAAACTGAAAGCGCAACTATAGAATGACATATCATCAATTGATGTTCAAGAAATAGACATATCAATAACGGTTCGGCAGTTAATCAACTGCCACGAAAATTTTATGAACATTGAGGTGACGGAGACTATTGACAACTGGAAAATATACGATTCCACGACAAATATTGTATAAGCACCATAAAAGCTGATACAAACTACCTCGACTTATATCATCGAATGTAACAATTAAGATGCTCCAGACGTTCCTGCTTTCTTGCCATGTGATTTTAAATGTGGTCTATTTTCATTCAAGATGCAACGGATGGGCGTCCAAATACTCTTCAAAAGTTGACAGTTTGCCTCGAGCATTTTCAACAGCCCAAGCAACTAATTCCTTAGAACTTGGACCATAGTAACCGAACTCCTCTGAAAAACTAAATACTTGAGCAAAGATGTCAGCCGCGAATGGTAAGCTCTTCTTGAAGTCTTCAAGGGAAATCTGTTTGTAAACTATCGTTTTCTGTGTAGCTTTGGACATGATTTGGGCTATTTCTTCCAAGCTGTATAGTGCTGTAGCAGCAGAGAAGGTCTTGCCTTCGTACTTGTCAGGTTCAGCTAAAATCGCACCAACAAACTTCCCTGAATCCCCAACAGCATCAACCAAAGGGACTAGGGATTCTGGGGAGTTGTGACGAGACATCACCCAAGTACCGTCTTCGGATTTCTTTGGTGCCATGAAAGGTTGGGCAGCGAAGTTTTCCATAAAGCTACCGGGACAGTAAAAAGCACTTTTGATGGGAAGTCTGCGTATGTACTGCTCGACTTTTGCTTTCGCATCAAAGGTGGAGACCTTGGTGTACTTGCCGCCGGATATGTCTCGAACCGATGGTAAAGTGCTGAAGATTATGTACTTGGCCCCCTTTTCGACAGTAACATCGGCAATTGTTTTGCCATTGTTGTACTCTGTCTCAGCGCCGTGCTTGCCGAGTGAAGGCGCCGTCATAGCGAAGACGGTGTGTACTCCAGCTAAAGCCTTCTCCAAAGAAGACCGATCGTACACGTCGCCCTGGACTACTTCGACCTTCTCCTTGAGCTTCTTGGCCTTTTCTGAGTCCACATCACGGGTGATGGCGCGAATCTTATATTTCTGGGACAGCTCTGGATCATTCAGCACATAGTTAATGACCGAGCCGCCCTGTTGGCCAGTAGCGCCAAAGATAGCAAGAACGTTAGACATATTTATCAATTTGCTGAGTGTAAAAATTTGGTTCTGGATTTCTCTTGATGGTGCTTTTTAATAAGGTCATGTGGAAATAAAGCTGTTCAGGTCTGCCCTTGCATATATATTTTATCGGTCCATTCTTCTGACAACTAAAGTATTATAACTAATTATATAATCTCCTGCTGACATATTGGGCCGCGGAATGATTAGTTTCGAAAAAATCAATTGATTTGAAATCAATTAGGATTTATTATGTGAAATTCATTATAATTGAGAGGTCGGTTTAATATCGTGGTCAGAAAATGTCAGAAAGTCCCCACCACAGGGATTCGCCTAACTGGACACCGCAAAAATTACTAGATACAAGCTAGCTCACTACTACTTTTAGCTTCTAACACCTACCACAGAACGCCCTTTCCGATTTAAATCATAATATGTCTTAGCATGTCGGCAAGTGTTGTAAAGGATGACGCACTGACATGTAACTACCCAACTGGTGTTGATTGCTGTCTTCCAAATGCTCCAAGACTAAAAGGATCTATGGGCTTATATATGTATATAATGAATCGGCAATTAACTAACATAATCCACCCCCGAACCGCCACTTCCAATACACTGTCAGATTAGCCGAAGTCTAGTAGAGGACTACTCGGGGTCGACTCGGGGTCGACTCGGTGCTGATGCCCAATACCCAATAAAGGTCACATGCATATAAGCATAAAAGCACTGAACTGAGCGGGGTAATTAGGATATAAATAGTGTGTAGTCTAACCCAATCGGGCAAGATTGCCATCATTGCCAATCCAACATACACATACAAAGTGACATTTTTTCGGTCTTATTAATTCAACATTTTTAAAGGAAAGTATAGACTAAAAAGGAACTATTTATAATAATAACTTCTAGATAAAAATATACTCTACAAAAAATAAAATCTAATATAAAATAATATATGTAACAAAAGTTACAGTCTAATTTTTTATATTTTTATGAAAAGTATGTAATTTTGATAACTACAGCTAATTATTTTAAATAGTAATTTCCAGCATGGAGATAACAATAATCACAATATATTATTAGTGCTATTTTAACGCTTTCTTGTTGATAAGCCAATCTTAGAGCATAGCTTTGGTGTTGCTTTGATAATGTCTTTTGAGAGTGGAATCAATAACAGACATTACTTGACATAATTCATGATCGTGAAGTCTTGGGGTGACAACTTGCACGCTCAGAGGGGATCCTAGGTATATCTTCCGGTCTTCCTTCCCTATATTTTGATATTTGTCAGATAAAACATCGATGAGAGGCAAAGAGTAAGAAGTGTAACATACAGAATTGTCTATTTCCTTCATCAAATTTAGATAGTGGTTTGTCTCCGGCATTAAATTCAAGGTTCAAATCTGTCTCAGTCATGTTACGGACCGGTATAGTGCCGGTCGGATAGTCAAGTAGGACAAAGGTGGTGGTATACGATAGGCTGCCGTATGAGTCGTGCTTTGGGACTGGATGCGCAGCTACCGGGCATATGACAGCATCTAATGTTTGCGCGAAGACCTTGGATGTTGTAGCTGTAGATGGCGGCCAGGACCACATTTGCTGTCGCATATCGACTTCAATCTGATCGCGTTCGGCACATAGCGCATAAAGTTTCTCAATAGACATCGGAGGACGCCGTTTCGTGCGCCCACGTAGGTAAGGCATTAAAGGCTCGCCGGTTTGGTCAAGTAGATCTAACAGGGGCCCGGAGCCGTCGACGTCCATGAGTCTTCCTCCGGTAAACATGCACTTCTTCATGACTGCAGGAGCAGATATGTCGACAACCTCGATATCCGCGACTTGGCTGCGCGCAATAATATTGGAAACCTCCTTTAGTATATTAGTGATCGGAGGGACCGGATTAACTAGCCCGTCATTGAGCAATAATCCAATCCTAAGTTTTTTCTTCAGTGGAGTAAGCGATGGCCAGAGTCCGGGAATGCAATCGTGCCCAAAAAGCTCCGACCTAGGGACAAGTTCCTTCATGATGGCATCGATATCTTCGATAGATCGCGCAATGGGCCCCGCAACTGGTTTCAAGGCAACGCGAAGCTTACCATTGGGCTGACCACTTGTTGTTCCCCCGTAAGGGATTCTACCAACACTTGGTTTGAAACCGTATATGCCGTTGCACATCGCTGGAATGCGAATGCTGCCACCAATGTCAGTCCCAAATCCTACCATCGATGCGCGCATTGCTACTGCCACTCCTTCTCCGCCCGAACTTCCACCGGCCGTAAGCGATCGATTCAGTGGATTCAGCGTTCGGCCAAATATGTTGTTTACACTATCTAGGAAAGACATTGTCTGGGGTACATTTGTCTTTGCGATAATGATAGCACCTAGCGAGCGAAGAAGCTCAACCAGCGCAGCATCTTGAATTGCAGGTTTGAAAGCAAGGGCAGTAATTCCGACTGTTGAGTCCACCCCTTTAACATCGAATGTGTCTTTGACAGTAACAGGAAGGCCATGGAGCGGGCCGAACAATTTGCCTGTACGTTTGAGATGGTGGTCTAATCGTCGAGCCTGTTCTAAAGCCTCTGTAAAAAGAGGCTCGGTCAAGCATCGCGTAAGTTGCTGTGCAACAGCTGCTCTCTATTATCACTTTAGATTCGATTTCTCAAATCGATTGATACCATATAGAGATCAATTCACTTGTTTGGGTGGAAAGAGATGTCAAACATACCTTGCAAAATGCCAACGCAACCTCCTCTGAGGTAAGTCTTTTCTCTGCAATCTCATATAATAATCCTTGGACATCCCAATTCTCAGTGATTGCAATTTCCCTGGAATTCAAAATACCGCATTTCCTTGGAATATCCACTAGACTGCCCATGTCATCTCCAAAACCATCAAGTTTGTGCACTGACTCAATGGGCGATAGCCTCATTCCTCGTGGAATGTATTTATCATCCAACCGCCATTGCGCCGGAATGAGAGAGTTGAGCTGCTTCCATTTGCGAGCGGAGATGTCAAGATATGCGGGTTCCCCCATGTTTCATTTAGTAACTTCAATATTTAATTGTAAGAATTGGATTTTGGTGCAGACTGCATTCTTTCATTTCTGATTACCGTCGGAAAAAAGAAATGCGGGGAAGCTCTGAACGGCTATTCTAGACTTTGTTATTAACCAGAGCACCAGGCGGATCTACCTCGGCATAGAATTACGAGAAATTTGATCAGACCCACATTTATAGTAACTGATATTTTCGTGCAAAACCATCTATGGATTTTCCAATGCACAGTTGGAAAGAAACAAGACCTAGTTCTGTAATATTCTATTCTAGTGGTTGATCCAACTCATCTTCGTCCTCAGAGTCTTCTAAATTGTTGACCTCGAATGCGAATGCTGTTTCCTCGTCATCACTTTCATAATAATCCTCGTTGACACTTAAATCCCGATTTCTTGTTGAAGTGAAAAATTGATCATCAGCCTTTTTGCCCTGCTCTTCCACTTTGATATCTGAGAAGAACGGGTGATCAATCCGAAGCGGTAAGCCTTGACAGAGATACCCCATGGGAGTATGTGAAATATCCTGCCCTTGTCGACGAAGAGAAAGCCATTCCTGTAGAAAGCCGACAAAATTCTCGGTCTGGCTAGAATTATTGCTGGAGATATCAGGTTCTTCATCTAGTAGGTCATCGGAGCGAGGTTTCAACTGGCGAAGTAGACCATCATATTCGGAAAATTCAAAGTAAAGCCTGCCGGCAAGAATGCCAACTTCAAATGGCAGCCATGTGGGCGGAATCCACTTCGTGGGAAGACTGGGTAGGGAGTAGTAGTCTATCCGATTGAAGTGCAGCATATTCTTGGTGACAGGCGCTGCATAAAGAATCAAATGAATCGCCGCTGATTTGGGACTGCTACGAAGCACAGGAATCAACATTTCTGCTTCTTCTGGAATGATTACAACTGCCTGTTCCGATTTTCTACTCCAAAGAAACCAGTTGACAGGGCGCTGTAATAATGTCAGTATAACAGTCGAGGATGTCAATTCTTGGGGACATGTTGGTATGGAACTCACAATAAAACTGTCATATTTTTCTTTGTTCATAATCTGCACAGTTCTGACAAATTCCGGCGAGACATGAAGATGTGATACAAGGGTAGACGCTTGGATCTTGTGCTTCTTCCCTAATTGGGTTGACTCAAGCACAAAGGACGCTTTGATACATTCTGTCTCATCACCCAATATACCCGTCTTCACAAATTCGATAATGGATCGGGATAGACCTGGAAACTTTAGCGCTTTCATGTGGTCCGGTCGTTGTAGCTCCCTCTCTTCTTCTATTTCATATGCAACCTCTCGTTCTTGTTCAACTTCTTCCAGTGCAGATCCTCGTGCGGACTCACGATCGAGACTTGTAAGCTTGTAACTCTCTTGGAGTTTTTGCATGAAAAATCTTAATTTGCTACCAAATGGTGCCAATACAGGGCCGGTAGAGGGTCCGCAGTCAGTAGGCCCAGTAGTTGTAGTAGCGACTGGTCCATATAGCTCTTCTAACGTCTGATGTTCACGACACCGCAAGACTTTCAAAAGTCCCTCTTGGTGTACAGAGCTCGTCAGAAAGTTTTTAAAATTTCCCGCTGCCTGCATGCGATTGCAGAAATCCATGCCCTGGGCAAAATATAACGGTTGAAGATCCTTATTAGAGTTACATGTCTGGATTAGAAGCCATCGAAGAACATCTGAAGAGTCTATCGGCAAATTGAGGCCTCTCTGGCGAGTATCCATAATGCTTTGATGAACTTCTGGTGGTGCGATAAAAGTGACAGACTGTGTCGTTCCTAGCTGTCGCAATCGCATAGCCGCTACATACCAAGATTATTAGTGATTTCAATTTCAAAAAATTCAAAAATCAATAAAAATTTGTAGTTTAGAATAAATACCTTGCACTGTGTGATCCTTTGTCTGGTTTAGACCAAGTGTCAATGCCCCCTTGCTAAAGGCGGAAGCCTGAGGTCAGTTCCGCGAGTATGTGCCTCGTCGACATAGATCAAGCAATTTTCCATGTTATCTACAAACGGGGTAGCAATGAGGGGCACAGTTTTACCCGTTTGGTACTGAACCCAAGGCTTATTGTCGAGGCCAAAGTAAACCGCAGCTTGCGCTCTGTCCTCGTCCAACCATGCTTTCACGAGTGCTCGATTGCCCATTTCTAGGATGAATGCTCCAGCATCAATGAGTATTCGAATTCCTTCGGCTTTAAGACGGGCGAGAAGATCATGCTCCGAGTATCGTTTTTTATTGGTATTAATAGCTTGTATGTATCGCCGGTTTCTATCCTGAAGAAGATATGTGAGAACTTCTGCATTGGTGTGCGCCAACCCGGGGAGATCATGTTGTTGGATAGTAAGAGGCATGAGTCGGCGATTATCATTAGTGCCACTGAACCCAGTTGTTAGGCCTTGACTTTTCCTGTCCTCAGATGACAAGGCTGTCAAGTCTTGCATAAGTGGGATATCCCACCCAGACGCCTGCATCTTGATGCTGAACTGCTTTGCATGTACTGGAAAGACAAAATGGCTCAAAAAGTAGTTAATGATGACTATCTTCCGTCGCAAATGGTGCCATATTTCCACTACCTGTCCCTCGTCATCAACATTGATAATATTCCAATGACGCAAGGACTCTGGCAAAGTTGATGAAGTCTGGGTCCATTTATCATACTCAGTAGCTGGATCGTCGGACCTCAATACGGCCTGTAAACTTTGTCGAAGTTGTTTGACGGTGAGGCCTTCATGATAGAATGCCAATATGGTAAATAGAATTGCGACGTCTGGATGGCCCCATTCTGCTTGTTCTGACGGAACACCCTTGGCATGAAAAGGGACTGCCATTGGGTCTCGATTAGGATGTAGACCGTACTGTACATTCCAGCGCTTCTTGAGACATAGAAGGAGTATCCCGTGGACGAATAGCCCCCGAAGTAGATGAACGCTTTTATAAAGCTTAGGCCTTTCTGTGAGCCAAGTGAGTGTTTCATTAACGATGGTGCTGTTGGGTCTTTCTTCGCCAATGAAACTCTTCAATGCTTCCCTTTGCTTAGCTGTAAAATCTTTGATTTGGAATATCGCGGCTTGCCCAAAGCAAACTCTATCAATAAGCCTGTTGATGAGACTATGTTCGACATCGTCTCTGAGGAAGTATACGACAGGAAATTCCGTATAGGTGTGCTGAGTTAAATCTATGCTCTTTGGAAAATCTTGAGAAGCCTCTCTTAAGAGGTGCACAAGAATGTCCAGAACTGTCATAATGAGCCCCCATCGGTCCGGATGACCATCTAGTGCAAGCTGAGAACCACTAGGGTAAATGAGTTGGGTTTTGACGGCCAAAGTAAAATCGCATTCATCAAGAACATCGCGGCAAGTTTCATCAATCAAGCGCTGAATGGCAACCATCTCAATGGCCTCATTGATCTTAGAATCCGACACCCGCTGAAGTCCACTCAATTTGAATGACAATACATGTTCGGGAACAGCTAGAATAACCCCAGAATTTAGCAAAGTTTCTTTGTGTAGATTGCGATATTCCGAAATGATTTCTGTGGTTGTCGGTGTGCGTCTTGAAAATGGGATGTGAGTAATTTCCCTACCCAGCAGTCCTCCAAGACGAGCTTGGAGAATCTGCGCAGTTTGAGACAACAACGCTTTTGGAACCATTATTCTAGAGAGGGTTTGCCCATCAGCAAGAGCGGATGCTATCATTGGTATGATAATGGATGTTTTCCCTTTGCCCATATTCATCTGGAGAACAGAGTTGGAGTCAGAATTTGGAGCGATCATCTCTTGTGCAACGATGATCTGTTCTTCGCGAATTTGCATGTTGCCATCGATTTCCAATAAAAGCCAATCTGAATGGTAAAAGGGATCCCAATTGACATGCCCGCGGTTGCGATATTCATCGTGCAGCTTCGCTTGATCACGTTTTCCGAATGCTTCTTTCAGCCGCATTAGTCGCTGCAAATTTATTATGGAAAGCCCATATTCAATCAATGCCTCTTTCATGTAGCGTCCAAACCTACATTGTGATGTAGATCTAAGTTGCTCGAGAATGGTTACAGGTGTCATACAAGGCCAAAGATTGCCTTGATGTAGCCATTTGTACGCCGGATGCATCTGGACCAGAGAGTTTGTTATCTGGGCATACATTTCATCCACGACAGCTCTGGCCTCATTGATAATGCCATTCAGCCATCTTACACCCTCCACGAATTCGACATCCAGACTCGACTCGTTGATTGCTGATACTTCCACCATCTTCAAAGCTGCGATACTGGCATTAAGATCATTTCCGTAACTGGATTGTATGGGGCATTCCGAATTTGTAAAGTCACTTGTAATCAACTCTAGCTCTAGAGTCTCAGGAGCCCGAAGATATGGTTTTCTAGATTGGCCTGGCTGGGTGGAAGGTAGTGCTTCTTTGAATACCCAATCGTCAACCCAATTTAGAGCGTGATGGGAGTCAATCTTCGGGCCCGTTTGTCTCATAAGGTCTTTTCCAAGTCGAGGAATTGAAAAGACATAAAAAGACACCCCAAAAAGTTCGTTTTCAGTGCATAATTTGGGGTCCTTACTATTTGTCCTTTCTGCGAAGTGTCTATTGAGTATTCGTTGGACGTCTTCAATGTGAGAAAAGAGTTGTAAGTTGTGATACAAGCGTCGCCATTCTGGAATCACAGCATTTATTGCCGTAGACGTACTTATATATGTCGCGTGGAAAGTGCCCACAGAAGGTTCTGGGCAGGGCCACTGTTCAATCAGAAATCTGGAAAATCTTTTACACTCTTCCAAACGCTCCTCAGATAATTGATTCCAAACAACCCAAGCGGCTTGCTTTTTCTTTTTTGTCTTCTTTCCAGCCGGACCCGTATAGACTTCGATGAACGGCTTCATGAGATCTACCAATGTTTCAACTAGTGGGCTTTCGTTGACTTCAAAGCCGATGAAGGATGAATGCGGAGGTGGATGAAGCCCCTTAAGATCTTGCAAAAAGAAGAACGAAGCAATCGTTCTTAATAGTGTCATATCAGCGTTTTTTCCAAAGGCGACCATGCCCAATTGAAACATAATTTCATAGGTGACTTCCAACTGAGATTCAATGCACAGGTTAATCAGTCCGCCCCATTCATGAAAAAGATTTGCGATCAAACTATCCTCTAAAGTACTCTGTGAATAAGCCTTAGAGTATCCTCCGATAATAGGTTGCTGGTTTAGCAGGTCAATGAGACTCTTAGTTGTATGAACTAAATTAGGCCGTTGTTTAACTAGACCCACGATTTCACGGACGTTGTGCAAGCGCGATGAGAACAATCGGCCGTCTCGGGAAATGTATTTTGTATCTGAGGTAAGAAACGGCTCAGGATATAGTATGCCAGGGCGCTCATAAAGGAATCTACGCCAAATGGCTCTTTGTCGCAGGTGTGGAATAGTAGATGGAGGACCGTCTATTGCTGGAGTATCTGTTGGAGGCTCCGAAACCTGTTGATGGAATAGAGATAGACGGTCGGATTTAGCTATGATAGCATCTACTACGGGCTCGAACGCATCGTTTTGAATAGTTGTTGTCAGATTTGCGTTCCAATGCACCGTTTGCTGAACTTGTTTATGCTCAGGGTAATATCCCCGCCGTGGAGCTAGACTGGCTATTGCCCTAAGGATTTCCAACCGGTCCTTGTGTAGTGGAACAAATGGCTGACATACTCCAGATTGTAAGGAAGCAAGTGCTTCCTCTGTTCCATTGCGACCTGTCAACGGGTCGCAAATGAAGCATGATGTCAAGGCATGAAGCAACGCCTTGTGGTATAAAAGACGTGGCTCAGCTGGACTAGTCAGTCGTCCCAATACGCTATCAATTCCGTATCTAGCATGAGAGCCATCATTCTCTATATTGATGCAGACGTGCATTCCCTGTCGCTTGTAGTGGACCTTTCCAAGTGGAGTGATAATACTGCGCTGCATACGGTTGTAGATGCTGCGAAGAACGATCATACTCTGAAGTCCGTAAAAGGTCCCTGGATCCTGATAAGGATCTATCTCTGCTGCTAGCTGTCTGCATTGAAGGAGATTCCTTCTATTGACATAAAACGTAAGGTCCATTCGTTTTAGTTCCACCGAGATGGTTCTATTTAATGGCTGACAGACAGTCAACATCCAAGGCTGTTCAAAGTGGGCGAATATCCGAGCTATGGATTTGAAAAGCCTGCTATGAGGGTCAACAAGGGCCGTTTGACGTCGGCGTCCTGTCTTTTTGATAATATCAATTTCCCATGCGTTACCCTGCCAAATACGCGGATGTCGCCTAATGTGGAGAAGTCCTTGCTTTAATTCCACCCAGTGAACGCAGTTCTCGACCAATGGCTCTGGTAAATCAAAGTCATTGTTCCCTCTAAAGACATGGCGGGGAACCAGCTCAAAGATTGAGCCCAATCTCTGAGCCCGGACGATAAGCTCGTTGTTTCGATACCCGATATGAATGTAATTGTCCTCTTTAACCACTGAAAGTACATACCTCATGTTGGGCATGTTTGATGGGAAAGCCACCAAACGCTGATTACCAAACAATTCTTTCAGTATTTCAGAATCCCTGATATCTGCAGGCAACTTGCCTATAGGCTGCCCGTCGATCAACAAATGGCCCTCTAGCAAGTGATAATGAACTACCTGGGTGACTGTGTACTCAGTGGGCTCAATTATTGACGTTACCCAGAAGTCATACGGAGACGGTAAGACCTGCCAATTTGAGTATACTCGTGGGATATTGTTAGTATTTGGCCACACTGTATCAATAGCAGCACTGAGAGGCGCGGAGTTCTTGGCTACCGAGTCCTGAATAATTCTCCGTAGTGCCACGGCCATCTTGATATCACGGATCAACATGTTCCGGGTTGAAATTGAGAATTTGCTTATATCTACAACCAAAGCCTCCTGCATAGCTAGGGTTGCTTCAATGAAACACTGCAGAGAATTTGGGTCCAACCCATCTTCTCGAGGTCGTTCGACAAGAAATGTGCGACGGCATAATAAGGCTGATAAGAAGCAGTAACGAGCAGCCTTCTCCGCAATATCCACTTCCTGCACATTCCGCATTTCGTGGCGCAAGTAAGATATCCATGTGTGAGTGATACGTCGGATCTTCATTAGCATTTCTTTCGCTCGTGTAGATGCTTCTGGGCAGCATAGAACGTAAGTTTGAAGTGTCAAGGCGAGCATCGTTTCCATGTAGTTACTTTCCCTCCAGTTTTCTGAAATTAAATCTACATGCCGTCCTATTTGGTCTATCAACCGATTGCAAAATATGACGTCTTTGAAGATAACATGAACCACTCGTCGCACATCACTTTCAAGTCTTGGACCTGCCTGGTGGGCAAGGAGATAGAAAAGATAAGTGGTGTCTAGCAAGCTAAAATTGATATTGGAAGAGCCCAGTTCAGCAAGAATCGATAGCCAACGACGACATCTTCCACCAATAAGATTTTTATTAGCAACGAATTCATGCACTGTCAACGTCGAAGGACATTCAGTGATACTAGCAGCTGTTTGGTATGACGAAGGGCCATGTTTATCGGGCCAAAATGCACTGGTCGAGTAGAGCGAGCTAAACGGGAGATGTGCTGGTAGCTTTAAGGCAAAATGGTGTGCTAGTGTTAGCTGTCTGGGGAAATCCTTTAGCCATATTTTCCTTCTATTGTCATAGTAAGAAAGTACCATGCCGAAGGGAAACATGATTCTTTGAGGCCTTGCAGGCAATTTCTTCCACTTAAAATGTGTGCCAAGGTAGGACTTTGTGCGAGATGCTAGGGTGATACCATTTTCATTCCGGTGGCGGTTGTACTGCTTTAATGGAGTAAAATCTCCTAATAATTTCTCCGGCTGTCCTGAATTTGGCAATGGAGAATTGGCACAGATTGTCGCGATTATATTCCAAGTGGTGTTTCGGTAGGCAATGAGGGATTCTGGCATTGCCAACTCAAGTAAAACAGCGTTTTTCTGTGCCGAGTTCTTGTCGGTGGGAAGAAAATCTTCGTGGACTTTGATCTTCAGATAATATCGATGGCGAACGCAGTAGCAGTACTCGCAGCCTCGATCATCATGAGTTCCGTCTGGACGTCGTCGTTGAGTACATGACGTAGCCGCTTTTCTCTCCGTAAGATCCTGAAACCTGGCATTGACTCTGTCAAGCTCAGCCTGCTTCGCTAGCCTGGCTTCGAAAGATGCTTTATCTATTTTTTCTTGAAGCTTCTGTATCTCATTCCCGAAGCTGCTGTCGATATATAGATTGGCGAGACAGCCTGATGATGGGTCTGAAAGAATAGTGGTTTCTTTCACTTCTGCATTCGCACCACGTTCAAGGAGATAAAGCTGGATTTCCTGGAGACGCTCAAAGTCTTTTTGTCTCGACAAATGTAACACGTCGAGCAACTCTGGTTCAAACCAAGGATGAAGGTTTCTCAAAAGTGGATATGCGACTATCGCACATTTGTCCATATGAACCCACATCTCAAACAAAGACAAGATGAAGATACTCATCTGCTCAGGATTATCTTCGTATGCGTCACCCACCGCTCCAAAATAACTTTCTATCTCACTGGCCACAGTATTGCATTGAGTTTGCCGTCTCTGATCGATTGGAACGTCTCTTGTACTAGTTTCAATTGACATCTCAATATCCGCTAATGCAGAGTATTTCATAGTCAATGCGTCGAATTGTTCAGTTGTGGTCTTCTTCGTATTGGGGTTTGATAATCCTTTTTTTGCAATCTTAGACTCTAAGTTCAAGTGGCCAGTTTTGTGATTCAACACCTCTCGCAGATACGGAGAGCTGTTTGGCATCCTTAGACGGAAGTCATCATCGTGCGCCCACTGGGCAAGGGTTGGAATTTGACGCTTGAATGCGGCTTTAAACGACTTCCATGCTTCCATTGAATGTCTTGTGGTAATTTCTATGGACTTTTGGCAAATCTCCATTGTTTTCGTAGATAGACCTGGATTGGAAATACCAGGAAACTCGTCGAGTTTACCTATCTCAAGCTCCAATTTTGCTAGACGACGACACAATTTGGCTTTAAGAAAATTTGTTTCTTCCGGCTCCAATTCGTAGACTGAGCTTTCTAAAAGTTTTGCCAGGAAAATGCTTATCAAGGACTTGTACTGAACCCGTCCGCACTCTGAACCGAGATGTAAGTAAAGCAAGCGTTGTATACAAACTCTCAGCACCAGCCAAAATGGGCTTCGACGCCAAGGAAGCTCTGCCTTGTCCCAGCAAACGTCATCCCTGATGCGCTTTCGCAATAGTGGCGGGTTTATACTGTTTCCGTTCACTTCTAATACTGTCATCAAGAATTGTGTGATTATCGCTGGATCCGTGGTATCACGATGTTCGGAAATCATTGTGCCTGTCTTTTGCGTTTTTGGTACGAACTCATCTATTGTTTCGATGCTAGCTTTCTCGATGAACGTTGACAAACTATCTCGAAATACCGAATCCTCGAATTCATGCAAGGGAACAGAGACTGCTATGCCTGGGAAATCCCACTGCAAAGCCCCCTTTGACGCTAATGTCTGTTTTGCAGTTGGGGATGTTTCGAAGGCTTCGAACACAATTTCTTCGTCATCCCTATTTTGTCTGTCAATAGTGGTCATGGTGATTCAAACCGGTTTTTTCGACATCGGAGAGAAGAGGAGAACTGACCTCGACCTCCGTATAAAGAGGCAAGCATTCTGTAACTCAAGGTACAGAATAATACTCGTTCCAGAATGAAAATTGCCTAAAGCATTCAGAAATCCTTCTTTATTGATAAACCCATTTGCGTGCAGTAACAAGCACGACCTCAGTGATGCTTCTATTAACTGCCAAGCGTCCAAAGTCTCATCGTTGGCATTTTGTTTGAGAATACTGATCGCGTCAATCAATCTGGTTATCAGATCTTTATGCACGCTTATTGTTTCCTCGTCAGAATCACGAGTTCCTGGCAGATTAGGCGGGAAGGCGACATGATTGTAAATCAGTCGCAAAATAGGTGATTTCATAGACATGCTGACACCAATGGCATCTGAATTAAAGCAATCTGGATGGTGAAAATTCTTTTGTTGATGTTGAGAGAGGGCATGATTTTCATTTTATTTTAAATCGACGTTGCTTCGCAAGGCTGACAGACACAAACGCACGCAGGCACTTGTGTCACTATTGCGCCACAAAACGTTTCGTTACCCCCTCCCTTCTTTGTCCCTATTCCTTCGTTTGGTTGGATAAGCTCTTACTTAGTGCCCGACTGCAGCCTTCCGGTGGATTATAGACATTACGCGCCCTGGATAGTTGGGCTGTCACAGCTATGCATATCCGGCATGCATAATCGCCTCTTTACGCCAATAGACATCGAGACACTAGACAATGATCAAACAAACCCTGAAATAGAAAGTGCAAGCGTTCTTATCAAGTTACACAGAATTACGAACTCTTCGAACAAGAATTTTAAATCATCTCCTCCCTTACTTTTACTCTATTTGGTTTGTTGTTGCTGTGCCACATTTACATTAGCCATGCACAGCCTCACTGAAGGCTCCAAATGTGGTTGATGTGACGTGACTCACAGGATAAAACCATATACCCAGCAAGGCTATAGTTATTGCATTTTTTTTGGATCTTGAATTCAATATTGATATTGCTTCTACTTCTTTACACAATGTTATACTACCAATAGTTCAAAATACCATTGGAATTTTCTTGATCTTTTATAAGATTAGAGGTATTCAACACAAGTATACCCTAGAAACACCATCGACATAATGCAATACGTCCATGTAATCAAAGTACGAGCTAAGGACATTGCGTTGCACCATTATCACAAGTTTTCTTAGTATTTGGGACTACTCAAGTAGATAAGACAAGTAGATAAACTGTATTGAACCTTGCATCCATGTTGAGTATCTCTCCCACACGCGCGGGTCATATGTGTCATATATTTTATCTGAAACACTTGACCTCTCCCAAAACATGACAAATATCACGATATTTTCCATGTCTTGTTTTTTGCTGAGAGGTTTTCTATGTATCTCAACCGTTCTCTCATAGTTGTCAATTACGCAGCAATTTCACCTTTCCTCAATCCACAAGTTACTTGACCCACTTCTAGCATGGATCTTGGAAGTAACAATCCCCAACCCAGTTTTGAAAATTGCGACTTGTTTGTCAAGACTATACTCTGCGTGAGTATCCGAAATGCAGGTCCTTTCTTGCCTTGGGATTTTGTTCTCGCACGACAGCAGCTGTGGCCATTTTTCTATGTTATCTGTGGCTTGGTAGTGATATACGCATAATTCAAGGGTTGATAAAATCTGGTTCTGCTCGCCTAAATATCTGGGATCTACCAGACGACAAATTTCCATGATATCAAGCGGCGATCGTTTCTTGTCGGCGACACCCCCACGTTCGGCTCTCAGGGGGGATGCCGAGGCTCCGCCAGCGCCTATAAGGCCCCCGAATTGCCCTGAGCAGATAAGCGGCTTGGGGCGAGGAAAGTAATAGCATGCTAACGTTTTGGCACCAAACGGCGCAGGCGGCTTGGGGAATTAGGGGGCTGAAATAGATACTGTTTGTAGAATTCTGGCTTTATATATCGACCGAAATGCAACAATAAATGGTACCTACCAGGCTGACATCTGGACTTCTAGCATAAATAGTCGCCGGAGAATGAAGCCTGTCATTGAATAATGCCCGATCTCTCAACACTCACGACACTGCACTTTGGCACATTCGAGCTATCAATCAATTACTTCAAGGCGACTTTTTCACCCAATGCAGCAGTGCAAACATATCAGGCAATGCAAACCTCGGACGCCGCAAATCTTGATTAATAATGCACACAGTTTTCAGCCAGTGATCTCTCGAGTTCTGTTGGAGGCTTATCCTCGTTAGGTTTAGAGCGCAAAAGGCAAACCGCGTGCATGATGACGAAGTGAAGCATAACTTTCATTAAAGCAGCGCACTGGTTAAATGGGCCAATTATTGAAACGATCAATAATTATGCTGTAAGGCAGGACAACCAAGTGATATTTATCGCTTTGGACGCTCCCTTATATATTAGTAATGCTAGCTCGGAGATAAGGCTCTCCGATTTCTAATTTGATTTTAGATGTAAGAGTGCGTCTGTATTTCTGCTTGGTTAAATATAAATACCTCAACGACCCCCTCTCAACCAAACCATATGGAAAACTTCAAAAGATATTATTGCATACAGGACTAAATACACCCAAAACATCTTGGTTGCAATAAAGTCACACCCCGCCAGCCAAAATGACGTCGATCGGAAAAGAACTGTATGCTATCCAGCCCGGTGCTCGCATTTTGGTTACAGGTGCCAATGGCTATATTGGCTCGCAAATCGTCCAGCTACTTTTATCCCTTGGGTATGTTGTGCGAGGAACCGTGCGGTCTCAGAAACCGTGGCTCGAAGACCTTTTCAACTCCAAATATGGGCGCAATAAATTTGAGTCGGTTGTTGTCCCGAACCTGAGTGACCGTGAGGCTCTAAGTAAGGTACTGGGGGGCATTAGTGGAATCGTCCACGTGGTATGTAGAAGAGATGCTCCATGCATCCTCTATGATTTTTACCCAGCCATCTAGTGCACGGGCAGTGTTACAGAATGCATCACTAAACAAAGAATCATAGGCTTCAGACATATCGTTTAGCGCAAATGCTGCGGAGGTTATTACGAATGTTGTCTCGGCCACCGAGGCTATTTTAGAAGCTGCCGCCCAACAGCCAGAAAGATCTATCAAGAGAGTCGTGCTAACTTCGTCGTCTTCTGCGGCGCTAACACCACAACCTGGCGTCGAAGGAATTGTGGTCACTCAGGGTAAGTGATCATTAATTGATATAAAGAGTTCGAGATAATGAGGATGTCGGCCCACCTGTTCCTCAAGTATCACAACCGGTATTTAATATGAAATTTATATTAATACCTGGACTATATAGGTAGCTGGAACGACGCAGCAGTGAAAGCCGCTTGGGACGAAAATACACCGGCAAATGCCAAGCCGCTCGCTGTCTACGCTGCATCCAAGACGGAGGGCGAACGAGCTGCATGGAAATGGGTTGAAAATAAGAAGCCTTATTTCGTGTTCAATACGGTCTTGCCCAATTATACTGTGAGTGAACCAAAGTGGCCGGCATTCACCCTTTATTCTAGTGGTTCAGAGAATATCGTTTGATTCTAGACAGAGACCTTCCAGAGGTCTTCATCACGGGTATTGGCTAACACATAGTCGTCCCAAACAGCTCGGAACAATCCTCCATCCGGAAATAGCTGGTTCGACTATGAAATGGGCGGCTGACCTGCTTAAGGGTGACAGCGTAGCTCTTGGATTTTCTTCACGTAAGTATCGTGATCGATTTTCTATGCTGCTAAACCGATCCTATATTCACCTGTCACTGTTTCTTTAATTCGATCAATATACTGATCAGTGTATGGAAATAGAGTGGTACGTCAACGTTGTTGATGTGGCACGTGTACATGTTATTGGTCTTCTTCATCCTGAAGTCAAATCCGAACGTTTGTTTGCTTTTGCCTCGCCTTTTACTTGGAACGAGGTTGTCGGCATTCTACGAAAACTCCGTCCAGAAAACACCGGGATCACCAATCCCCCAGAAAATGAGCTCCCAGACTCGAGTGACATCGTTCCATCTAAGAGAGCGGAGAGCTTGCTAAAGTCATTTTTCGGGCGACCTGGCTGGGTTGGATTAGAGGAATCGATCCAGGATGGAATTGATAGTCTTGGGTACTAAGTGCTCAAAAGGCTTAGACGTTCATGCGGCTACACTACCATTTGTGAACAGCCAACTGTATTGAATCTCTATTTACTATAATCTGATGATATACATCAGTCGGTCTTCCTCTTACCGCAAAAAAAAGTTCACCGCGGATGAGTCCGTTTGATGGTTTCCTAACAGCTTCGCCTATCTCTAAACTATGTATTTAGTATCTAACAAAAGGCAACGCAATGTGAGAAAGATAATCCCTTCCGATATATACGACGTGTGTTCCGTGTGATGTAAAGTTCTTGGAACTCGTTAACACGTTTGAATTCTCCTCTCAGAAGTGAACGGATTCCATGCTTCCACCCAAATACCTTCACCAGCCTCATACTGTACACACAACACCCAAACACCGATCTCCAACTCAACATTGTTCCCAGGTGAAGTATACTCGTCGCTATCGTGTGGATGAAAATGATAATTCTCATGTATTGGCTACGACCTATCAATCGGTCGGCGAGAAGCTCGTAGAATTTCTAATGACCCAAAATGGAACATCAGATTATTCTTGATACTTGGAGGGACATCGTCAAGGTATCTGGACTAACGCCAAATTGCGCTAAGCTTGACCAGGGAATGTTCAAATTGAGTAATGGTTTACTGTTCTTATCTACATTTCGCTATGGCACCATCTCGCATCGATACAACGGACACCACTACCTCTGTAGTGCACAAACTGAAAGGACAAAACCCAGATTACCAGACTTCCCCGATTTCTTTCTGGGTGGATACGTCATTACCAAAAATGCCTTGTCCAAGGAGCGTGCTCGCAAATACCAAACTGTTGTACTCACTTGGCTGGAATCGTTTGGCCTAGGGTTTGATCGCGATGACAAGAAGACATGGAAAAGGAAAACCTTCCCCGGCGCTGGAAAGGTGGAATGCATCTCCACTTTTCCGCAGCTCCTGAAAAGTATATTTGGGATGTTAGATGGCAAGTCTTATATGATTGTCTTTGTAGAGTCATTAGGCCACATTTCTAATTGTGATATAGTGAACTTGGAGTAATAAAACCTCTTGCAAAACCCTGGGGTACGGATGAATTGGTTGTCTCTTTGATACCGTTAACATAACTCTGTCGCTATCTATAGTGGGGGGGTACGATCCCAAACCCTGGCCACAGGTTGACCAAGTCCCAAAACGAAGAGGTCAGCGCTGTGTATAGGGTATCGTAAACCTGTCTACGTCTGGTCCCCGAGATGGCTATCTTATTATGATAAAAGGGTCTTCCCCTATATTTGAAGAATTTTTGAAGTAAACGCAGTTCCTAGTCCTACTCCCTGGCGTAAGCGAAACACAAAGATTTCCGCCCATTCCAGGACAAAGGCCTAAAGATGTATCGTGCCCGGGGATGCGAGTTGATACAAGTATGTGCCAAGCCAGGGGATATTCTTCTGTGGGATTCGCGTCAAATGCACTGGGCTCAATTCGGAGATTCTGACCTGGTACGTAGAATTATCTACACGGCTTATACACCGGCTTCTTGGATGTCAGAGGAAGACCGAGCTTTGGTGAAATCGAATATTACGAGACTACAACATATTGGCCACACGCAAATCTGTTTACATGTACTTATAGAAAGGCAGCAATTACGATCAATAGCAACGAAGTACTAGATCCCCTAGAAAGAGATGAGCCGATCACCAAGCCTGAACGGAATGAGAGACTTCTCAAATTGGCCCGGGCTCTTCCATACTGAATCTAACGTTCTGTTGGGTTAACAAAGTGAAACTCTGGCAGTCTATCTCTAGTTAATTTATTTAGCGTAGATAGTCCTTTCCAGTAGCAAACGTACCAACTAACTGTTGCATGGTCTAGTGTTGTGAGCTGCCGCAACTTGGGAGAACTTTTGCGCACATTATCGATGCCAATGATAACTGCTCTGCACGATGCAGTTCAGAAGTACATTTGAAGAAATCGTATAGCTTATTACAGAGTAAGTGTCATTATCCTCGTTTGTGTATAGATATACCTATTCAAGCCATTCAAACGTCTCTAGGATATTTTGATATGCGCTTCGCCCACTTACACTACCTAAGATGCTCTTTTATATTGATGAAAAGTGACGATTAGTCAAGCGAAAGTCATACAAATTGTCTCAAATAAAATAGGAAGGATATCTCATCAGATAAAACCAGGGCGAGTTCGGGCGAGATGATTGAATTTCTCCACTTAATTTTCTCTGTACTATAAAAGAGTGACCCTTCTTCCACTGTGAGTAGAATAAAGATTAAAATGCATATATTGCAAGTATAATCGAGTTATCCCGTTGCCTTTCGTCAAAAAAGCTATCCTCCTTTTCGGTGCAGCTCTAGATTAAATGGCTGGTTCATTGCACAACTTTTGAAAAGCGAACGGCCAAGATCTTAAGAACTGAAAAGTTCCTTGTTTAATCCCACCCACTCTTCGAACCTCATGCTCGGCTTCCCTGTGTACAACTGGACGTTTTCAACACCAATTTCATAGTTTGAACGTACGATTTGATGCTCATCAGGAGCAGCAAGTACTCGAATCATATAATCTGCGTAAGGTTTGGGAATACCATTCTGTAGAAACTGGTCCAAACCCTCTTGTTTGGAAAGGCCCGTAATCTTAACGTCCTTACCCAAGATCTTTCCGGCTGTCTGAATAGCATCTCCCTGGGTTACGACTTGCGGACCGTACAGATACACCTTACGTTGCCCGTTTTTGGGTCCTTGCACCAGAATAGTACCACCGACTTCGCCCATGTCTCCAGGTGTGATACCATCCAATTGGAAATGAGAGCCAAAAATCTTCACCTCACCAGCATTAATACCATCTTTGAATCGCAATATATTCGTGGCAAACGTGCCAGGTCGCAAAGCCACGTAATTTTCCTCTCCAAAGACCTCATCGAGGCTGATCTCCACTTGTGCATGGGAGTAAGCGATCAGTTCAGTGGGTGGAACGTCGCGCAGCTCTCCCCCGATAGTGTAACTACTCAGGAAGACCACAAATTCAATACCTGCAGATTTAAGGGCTGTGAGGGTGGACCGCATATGGTCTGGAGAGCCCACGGCAAGATAGATGAATGCCCGCTTCGCCCCCGAGCCCGCGACAGCCGCTGCGACACTGTCGGGGTCGGTCAAATCGGCTTTGACCCTTTTAAAACCGAGCTCTTGCTCACGCTCCGGAGTCAGACCAGGAATGGGCTTTTGTGGATTACGCATGGCCAGAACAACCGTTGCGCCATGCTTCTGGGCAGTGGCTGCCGCCACAGAGGCGACACTGCCTGTTGGTCCAAACACAATCACAGTAGACATGAGGTCCTAGGGCTTGAAATGAATTAAGATGCTTGGGAGATGACAACAAAACATCACAATGGATGTGGTATTCCAAGAGTTCCTGCTCCTTTTTATAATACAAGGAGGGGAACAGAAAGTGTCACGTGTTTCGGTTTTATCTTATCTCCGCACCAGACTGCAGATGCTCATATTTCACTGACCACTTGCGGTATTTTAGATATATTATATTATTAGGCAACAGGCTGGGTCCCCAGCCGACCGGTGGTTTACCCCTCTTGGCCGACTGCCGTCATCTCTAGATGTCGTATTGCGTGAGAATCACATTGGTGCCAGCCGAGTTATACGCGCCACTTCAGACGTGCCTTCGCCGGATTGAGTGGTCGTGATGTTCGGCTTTTTGGGTTTCGTACGATATATTCGCCTCAGGTTTCTCATGACCTTCTCCCGTCTTTTCATCAAGTTTCTCTCGTCGCCGCCCAAGCCGCAACCGGACTCTGTTCTAAGAATACCATCTCGCGACAAGCATCGGGCCATCAAAGTCCATGTTTATCAGGCTCATGTGGAGGGGGCGGAAGCAAAAGCCCCTTTCCAACGTTGATAAATCTCTATGGATCTGGCTTTGCACTGCCTCTTCATGGTCTTGAGGACGATTTCTGTCGACTGATAACCAGAACCGCTGGTTATATAGTGCTTGATGTTGAGTATAGCCTCGGTCCTGAGCAGCTATTTCCTGCGGCGATCTATGATGTCGAAGATGTTCTACAGTACGTGCCGAGCCGCCCGGATGAGTATGACGCATCGCAAGCGTCTATATCTGGGTTTCTTCGGGCGGTACTCTCGCGCTCGCCGCCTCTGCAGTGTCTCCTCGTGATACATTCCAATCTGCAATTGTTTTCTATCCAGCCACGGTCCTCTCTAGGGACCCCGGTCTGAAGCAGGTTCTGGCTCCAGGAGGAAAGAATCGCCCGCCATTCTGGACTAAAATCTTTCAGGAATCGTACATCAAAGACATAGATCCTGGAGATCCACGAATTTCTCCGGCCTATGCTAACAAATCCAATTTCCCCAAGGATATGCTTTTTGTGACAGCGGCGCAGGACGCGTCGGTACTCGAGGCTGAAGAGTGGGCGTAGAAAATAAAGAACAAAAGCCAAAGATACGGTAGAATGCCGTGCTTCGAGAATGAAGGAGTGCGATCATACGTTCGATAAGAAATCACTAGCGAAGTAATTGTCGTGGCTAGAGATGAGACTTATCGGGTTGCTGTGGATAACTTTGTTGCAGAATATTTTACTAATCAACAAAACATCCAAGTGCCGGCCGAGGTAAAAAGCAGGGTCCGTCGGCTTCGGCTACAGTGATATCATCCATGATACATGTATATATCCCGTTGCACGTACATGATTTGCCAGGTATAAATCAGAATCAAATAAAACGGCACCAAAAAATACTCCTTCTCAGTCATATATCAGACCGAAAGAGTAAGTGTGTCTGCGTTTCTCGTATTTCTGCTGCAAAAGACTGTGGCTAAGCTTATCGGCTTATCGCCTTCGTCTCCGCATTGCAACAATAGCTGCACCCTCGTCTTTTATTCTGCAAACCCTTTTAAAACGCAGGCTGACACCCAATTTTCACAGAATCAAAATCACATAACAATACAAATGGCCAAAGAAGCTGCTGCGCAAGTCCAACTGGACAATTTCGGGTCCATCTTCTCCCTCGAAGGCAAAGTCGCCGTAGTCACTGGCGGCTCGCGTGGTCTTGGTTTGCACGTCGCGAGTGGCTTTCTTCAGGCTGGTTGCTCCAAAGTTTACATCTCATCGCGTAAGGCATCCGCATGCGACGAAGCCGTGGCCGCTCTCAATGCTCTTCCCAACAAACGGCCTGGCGCTCAAGCCATCTCGGTGGCGGCCGATGGCTCCAAAATATCCGAGTTGGATAGGCTGGTGGCCGAGGTGAAGAAGACGACAGACCACGTGGATATTCTGTTTGCTAACGCCGGTGCAACTTGGGGCGCACCGTTTGATGAGTATCCGGAACAATCCTTCAGCAAGGTGATGGATCTAAACGCCAAGGGGGTGTTTTACACGGTTCAGAAGTACGCATATACCACTGTTGCTGTTATCCTTATTTGCTAGTACTGACAGGGTAAACAGGTTTACCCCACTCTTAGAAGCAAAGGCCACAGTCGAAGACCCATCCCGAGTCATTATAACTGCATCTGTGGCTGGAATCGGCATTGGGACCACTGGCAAGAATGGTACCTACGCCTACTCTGCCTCGAAAGCAGCAGCCATCAGTCTGTCTAAGACTCTTGCCGTTGAGCTCGGCCCCCGCCATATTCTCACAAATGCAGTGGCTCCAGGCTTCTATCCATCAAAGATGGCCAATGGTCTGATAGAGATGCAGGGTGGTGCACAGGCTTTGGCAAACCAGTCTCCCAATGGACGAGTCGGCCACCCAGAAGATATTGCCGGGTTGGTGGTTTTTCTGTCTAGTAGAGCTGCAATTCATATAAACGGAGCTATCATTCCATCGGATGGAGGAAGACTTCTGGCTGGGGGAAAATTGTAAATTTTTTGTCTATATACCGATACCTTATACAAAGGTAATGTGGATTGTGAATGAAAGGTTGTGTAATTTATGAATTTGCCTTGGTACTCTCAAAAATGTCTCCAATGATTTTACCCGTCTTCAAGACATGTCTATCGCGATATCTTCCGCTCACCAGCGTTAATCCAATAGGCAGGCTCTTTCCTCCAGAAATGCCCGGCAGATTCAGACATGGAACATGCAATAGCGTCCATGGTCCACAAAATCGCGCGTCTCCAGTGAAATGAGTTCCTTCTGGAGCAATGTCCGGCGCGCTGGGGGTTAGGATCACTTCGAACCTTTCAGAAAACCTATCCCAGATAGGACGAAGACGAGCAGATCTATCCAAAGCATCCAGCAAGTCTTCCCTCGAGAAATTGAGGTTATTTTCGACTTGATCAACCAGAAATTGGGATAGGTTCTGCTTGTCCAATGTGTAATCTAGTTTAGAATTAATACTCGGCTTCCATTGCGAGAAAAACCGCATTACTTACGACCGTGGAAAGCGCTCCGTCCCTCGCCATTTATTATAGCCCAATGCCAATCGGTCAGTTTGTTAAAGTCATCATCTGGCCAATCAATCTCCTCCACAATCGCGCCATGTTCTATCAGTAAATTCTTTGCCTTCTCCCACACCTCTTTCAACCCCGGGCCTGCTGGAGCTAGATCCCACACGTGAGTTTTGATAAAGCCGACTCTTGCACCCTGAATCTGAAATTCTGTTGCTTGCTCTGGTTGAGCTACATCTTCAAATCGGTAGACATCTGTCAATAGCTCGAGATCCTCAATTGTCCGCGCAAAGAATCCTGGTGTGTCACAGGATATAGAATACTGTGCCAGCCCCTCTCTGGATATAGCGCCCCATGTTGGTTTAAAGCCGTATATGCCAGTATATGAAGCCGGCCGCACGATACTTCCACCCGTTTGAGTACCTAGCGCAATAGGTGCTTGAAAATCTGCGACTGCAGCCGCTGAACCAGATGATGAACCGCCGGGAGTATGTCCTATATTGAGCGGATTGACACATGGTCCACCGTCCGTTGTCGCCGCAAATTCTGTGGTGTGTGTTTTTCCTAGTAGCAAGGCCCCAGCAGCTCTGAGGGTGATGACACAAGCGGCATCGACACTTGACGAATGCGAGCTGCGGTATATATCTGAGTTGTACCGTGTGGGCATATCTTGAAATCGGTTAGCCAAGCGCAGCACACCCGCCGACAGTCGAGTAGATGATACCTTTCGTAAGAGCAATATCTTTTATCGCAACTGGAATACCATGCAATGGTCCCCTATGCTCTATAGGAACTCTATCGAGCTTGCGGGCTTGATCAAGAACATACTCGGGATCGATATAAGCCCATGCATGCACAATGGGGTCCCTCTGAGCGATGCGCGACAGTAACGCTTTAGCATATTGCTCTACGGTAAGATTGCCTTGTCGGATCAGGGACACCGCATTGGATGCTGAGAGTGTAGTACTGTCTATTGACATGACTATCTATTTTCATCCGCTATGACTGGGAATATTCTAGACTGTTAGAAGATATTTGCAGGGGCGGGGTCTCTTGCGTGATTAAATATCAGGTGCGAAACTACTTAACCACGGCTAATCGGGGGGTTCTATATTGCCCCGCCAGAACTATGCAATGATAGGCTTGTATTGATACATGCCAAGCAAAAACAAGAAGAGTTCGGGTATGGAAAGTGAGAGATGACAGAATAAACGCTATGAATAGTTAAACGCTATGAAATTAGTCACATGTTAGAAAGTGTTGGCCGAAAAACCACTTCACCAAACAGGGGTCCCGCCATTAGTGAGTGTCATCACCCAAGCCCTAACAATTGCTCGGAAACAAATCCGATGTGGGGCAGCATCACAGCATGAGCATACTGTATATACACGTGTATCTTCTGATTTGGATATACCTCACTTGATAAATATGCACAGATTATAGATTATCAACAATGTCCCCATCTGCTACCGTTATCGATTCGTCCGCTTCCAACGCGGTCGTTGGTGCTCTCGGCACTACGTCAACAGGCAAGAAGCTCAAGATTCGGAAATACCCCGATTTCGAGACTCTCGAAGCTGAGCGTCTCTATCGCAAGCAGCATTTAGCTGCAGCATTTCGTATCTTTGCCGACAGGGGATTCGATGAAGGTGTTGCCGGACACATTTCTGTGCGCGATCCGATTTTGACAGACCATTTCTGGCTGAATCCCCTCTCCAAGCACTTTGCTACGATTACTATGTCGGATTTGGAGCTGGTAAATGAGGACGGTGAAGTGGTAGTCGGTGATGAGCCCATCAATGCTGCTGCTTTTGCGATTCATTCTGAGGTACGCTATCGGTTTACTTTGGACTATCTCTATTAGCTAAATAAAATGTTTGCTTACGATCTGTAGATTCACAAAGCACGCCCTGATGTGCATGCTGCATGTCACGCACATAGTGTTGCCGGTAAGGCTTGGTCGGTATTCGGCAAACCCCTAGACATGATGACACAGGACGCCTGTCGATTCTACAAGAGTCATGCCGTATATGACAATTTCGGTGGTGCCGTGCTTGACCGTGAAGAAGGGAAACGCATTGCCAAAGCACTGGGTAATGGAAAAGCGGCCATTTTACAAAATCATGGGCTACTCACCGTATGTTCACCTTGGTCTTGCCAGCTTATTCTAGATTGTTAATCCTTCATATTATGTACAGGTCGGAAATTCGGTTGATGAAGCGGCTTTCTGGTTCATCAGCCTCGACAAGACATGCATGGCGCAGTTATTGGTCGATGCTGCAGCAGCGGGCTCTGGCCACAAGAAAATCATGATCAACGATGAAGAGGCTGCATTTACCGCTGAGCAGGTTGGTTCTCCAGAAAAGGGCTGGCTAGCGTTCCAACCATATTATGATGAAATTTTACAGAGAACAAATGGTCACTTCTTACAGTAATGGTGCCATCGCTTTCAGGTTTGTGGAATCATATTAGAATTATTCTATATATTCCACATGGCCCTATTTACTACTTCAGTTCTTCAGCCGCGGCTGTCTAATCATGATCTGTCGTCGCGTTAATATGAAGTCCGCATAACATTGAAGTTGATCAGAGAAGTAGATTGTAAACTTACTGTATAGGCAAGTTCACCCTCAAAATCAGGCGAGCTAAAACGAAAAATATCCTCTTTGACCGGCTCGAAGCCATATTTCTCGTATAGCGGTCTTCCCTCCTGTGTTGCCTCCAAATATGCAATCAGCCCTAACCTGTCTGCTTGGTCTAAGCCCCACTGCAGCAATGCCTTTCCAATGCCTTTTCCCTGGTGTTCCTTGTCGACAACTAGGAGATCAAGTGAAACCCTCTTGTACATCTTTTTAACAGAATTCGGGTCTGCTCCCTTCTCCAGCGCTGGCTTCGCAAGAGTCTCCCGCTGAACTCGCGCGAGCATTGCCCCAAACGCATACGTAGCATCAATACGTGCCTGTGGCATTGGTGGGGTTATGCGCTCTTTTGCCTGCTCTTCTATAGTTTTTGACACATCTTCGTCCTGATAATGAATTTCCCAGCGCGACGTGCCGACCACGGCGCCAGTTTCCGAGTCCACGGCCTTGAATGCGAATATCTTGCTTGAAGGGGGATTCTTTTCGTCTGCGTTTTCTTTCCCACTTGATGTTTCTTGAGATGGTATCATTCTGCTAGCCCGATATGCTGCAATTTCATCGAGTGACTCTTCGGTGAGGGGCAGCTCGTATATCAGCTGCATTGTGCGGGTCAAAGAATGCTCGACAATTTCCATGATACGTCGCATGTCGGCTGCTTCAAGAGGAGAGATGATTATTGCCATTTTGATACCTTGTCCCGCTATTTTTTGGGGGGTTTGAATGTAGTCGAATCCTCTTGTTTGTTGTAAGTCTTCTTGCAACAGAGAGTTGCGTTTGTTCTGTCGGGGAGGTAAAAAATAGTACAGTGAACTTAAATAGGGCGCGAGTTTCCCTTTATCTAATCATTCAAACTTGGTTGCCTGCTCGCTTTTCCAGTACCCTATTTATAGGCAAAATAACCTAAGTTTTAATGTTGGCATGCCTAAACATCATTTCCGATTATGAAAAATGAGTCATCATTAATCCACTAATTCGTCGATGTTAAAAAGACATTGGGCCTGCGGGACGCCGGACTAGTATATTTCTCCAGTTTTCTGCTTGCCAGGTACAATTGATATGTACATATGTAGCTGTTTGTCAATTGATGAGTTGGTTGATATAACTGAGTTAACAACTTCAATTCAAGATCTCAGCAGAAACCATACATATATGCTAATATTAAAGGTAGTATAAATGCTGTGCTTGGAAATGAGGATGGTGGGAGCGGAGTTTACTGTTATACTCTGCGGAATTGTCGCAGTATATTGTTTATCCCAAATAAACGATATCCGTATCTTGAAAGATCATCTAGAGCGCATATATCCCCTAGATATATGCTTTCCTTATGAATATCAATTAATTTCGTGGCGGCTCTGCGACCAATAACAGTAGTATGCCCCTCCCTTATCGCAGGTTTCCGCATCCCACCATATAGAAGATGCAGGGCCGATTATCATGCTTACATACAGTTAATAAATCAGCCACTAAAAAATCGATTGGTCATTTGAGATAATTCAACCCCGCTTCTCTAGGTGCAAGGTGCGGATGAAACGCTGCAGATGACCACGAGATAGAAAAGAGCCGTGTGTAACCGATAAGCTAAAGTTCAAAAGTGTTTGTAGATAGCCAATGCCACTTCCCTTCTCCCACGCTTCGCCATCCAAAAAGCGGTTCCAGAAAGACATACGGAAACATGGCAAAAGACGAATCTTTTGAAACATTTAAACTTGGTGACTGGGATCTCCAGAGCGGGGAGATAATCTACGATGCCCATATCGCATATAAGACGTTTGGAGATCCCAAGTTGCCGGCGATCGTCTATCCCACATGGTTTTCGGGAGGTAATTGGCCTCTAGCAATAAAATTCTTAATTGAAAAATGGAGTGCTGATATACATCTGGCTAGCGATATCCGATAACTTTTGGTTAATTGGTGATGATATGACGCTTAGCCCGCAGAAATATTTCATTATCATCACGGCCTTGTTTGGGAATGGCCAATCCTCGTCACCATCAAACCAGGGATCAGACTCCAAAAACAAGCCTTTCCCGAAGGTTTCCTTCTACGATAATGTACGCGCGCAGCACAAGTTGGTGACTGAACACTTCGACATCTCGCATCTACGTGCAGTTCTCGGCTGGTCAATGGGAGGTGGCCAGACCTTCCAATGGGCTACCCAGTACCCGGGTTTTATGGATTTAGCAGTGCCATTCTGCGGTGCAGCGAGGGTCGCCTTGCATAATAATGTCATGCTCGAGGGCGTCAAGAGTGCGCTTCTGACTGCCAAATCAATCCCGTCGCCGGGACCCGGCGAAATTTACAACCCTGCAGTTCAGAGCGAAGGCTATCGGACCTGGTCAAATGAAGAAAAGAATGTTGGTCTTAAAGCTCTGGGGAGAGTTTACGCAGGATGGTAGGTAATTGCCATGGAAATATACATTTACAGTACTGTGAACTTACATGCATATGATAGGGGATTCAGCCAAGCCTTCTACAGAGAGAAGCTATATGAGACTGTTCTAGGGTATAAGGATCTAGAAGATTTCCTGATTGGCTTTTGGGAAAAGTGGTCGTGTTCTAAAGGTGCGATTCAGGACTCTGTTGCCGTGTGATGAATGATCGTAACTAATCGCCATAGAGCCGGAGAACTTACTCGTCATGGTGCAGACGTGGCAAAACGCCGATATATCCAAACAAGAGCCGTACAATGGCAACTTTGAACTAGCGCTAGGGTCAATCAAAGCCAAGACTCTTGTTTTGCCAGCAAAAACCGACCTTTACTTTCCGTGAGTATACACTGAGCCTCTGGAACTTACGAGCTGACAATCTTGGACAGACCAGAGGACTCAGAGTACGAGGTCAAGTGTATGAAGGCTGGGGTCGGTGAACTCGACGTGTTTCCTTCTATCTGGGGTCGTAAGTATTTCTCACCCTGAAATATACTAGCCAAGGGTTGACCGGATAGACAGACTGGGCGGGAGGTCCTGGAGACAGCAAAGAGGATGTAAAATGGCTTGACGACAGGCTACGCAGATTCTTTGCTTCTAACTGATTCGTCTTGACTGTTTGAAAAGTGGCGTAAAATGATAAGCAATCCATCCTGTATCTTCGCCACTATGGCGTGGAAAGGTCTTGAAGATAGTTCTCTGTCATTGTAATCATATCCAACATATCTCGAAAATAATCACAGTAATTGTTGCAACATGCTAGGTGTGGATGTTTAGGGCGGGTGCAGGGCATCACGTGATACGATCGGAGAGCGGCCAGGCGCGGCGGCTGGGCAAATCGTGATCGCCGCTGCATTTCTCGATTCTCTCCTGCTCCTGCATCTTTCTCCCTCAGCTCAATCTCAATCTCACTTGGACCGCACCGCGCCCTTCTTTTTCTATCCTTTCCTTGTGTCGGTCATTTCGTTTCCTCTCTTCGCGCATCTGCTCCGCCTGCTAGCTCCTTGTTGTTATCCATTTTCCAATCTGGCGTTCTAGTCCATCTCCATTCGATCCGTCTCGCAGCTGGTGTAGATCACCTGCAATCCAATCGATATACCCTCGCGCCATTAATCATCCTTATTCATCATGGCTTCCCAGCAAGTGCGACAGTGGGGAGTGACACCACCGATATCAATGACTCTGCCGACCCCCGAAGAGGTGGCAGCAAACGACGATCTGATTGCCGAATTAAAAGCTCAGAACAATTTCGAGCTGCCTGCGGAGACTGAGAAGAGAAAGCAGTCGCTGCAGCTCATGCAACGTGTCACAGTCGAATTCATCAAGGTAGTCAGTCGACGGAAAGGCTTGTCGCAGGCTGCGATCGACGCATCGGGAGGAAAAGTCTTTACGTATGGAAGCTATCGTCTAGGAGTCTACGGCCCTGGTTCGTATTCGTCACACTTGACTCCTGTTTTACACTTTACTGACCAAATTAGGATCTGATATCGATACCCTAATCGTGGCGCCAAAACACGTCTTCATAGAAGATTTCTTTGCCGATTTCCCCCCTGTTCTTGAACGCATGTCCCCTCCAGGCGCGATCGAGAAGCTGACGCCTGTCCCCGATGCGTATGTCCCTCTCATAAAACTGGAGTTCTCTGGAATTAGTTTCGATTTAATTTTCGCACGGTTGATCATCCCATCGATCCCACTGAACCTTGATCTAAAAAATAACGACTACCTGCGGGGTCTGGACGACAAGGAGGTGCGGTCGCTTAACGGAACTCGCGTCACCGATCAGATCCTGGAACTTGTCCCACAAGAGAAAACATTCCGTCTCGCCTTGAGGGCAATTAAGCTTTGGGCACAGCGTATGTTTTGTCCGACCTCGTTTTTGTCTTTCGCTGATTGATTCTAGGCCGTGCAATCTACGCCAATATCGTTGGCTTTCCGGGAGGTGTCGCATGGGCGATGCTGGTCGCGCGTGTCTGTCAGCTGTATCCCCAAGCCACTGGATCCGTCATTGTTGGCAAGTTCTTCCGCATCATGAACAAATGGGCCTGGCCACAGCCAGTTCTACTAAAACCAATTGAAGACGGTCCCTTGCAGATGAAAGTGTGGAATCCAAAGGTTTGTTGTTTCTCATTGTCTTTTAGGCTACAGAGGTGAACATCGATCTAACTTCACAGATTTATCATGGCGATCGGTTCCATCTTATGCCCATTATCACCCCCGCATACCCCTCTATGTGCGCCACCCACAATATCTCGATGTCTACAAAAGCAGTCATTTTACGCGAGCTGCAAAGAGGTGGTGATATTGTTGACAAGATATTTGGAAAGCAACTTACCTGGAATGACCTTTTCACACGTCACACTTTCTTTTCAAATGATTACAAGTATTACCTTCAGATCACAGCTTCAAGCAAAACGAAAGACGCTCAGTCAGTCTGGTCCGGTCTGGTGGAATCTAAACTCAGACACTTGGTTGGTGCGTTAGATAGGAAATCTATAATTGCCGTCGCACACCCTTTCCCCAAGGGATTTGAGAGAGAGCATAGGGTAAAAGATGACGCAGAGGCAGAACAAGTCAAGAACGGATCTACTCAGTTCCAGGCCCAAGGAACCATAACTGAGACTACCGATGAGACTAACGACCCTTCTCACGATGCAGCCGCCAAAAACGGAGCCGAAGATGCTCAAGTCCCTGGCACTGAAACCACCAAGCCGGACGAATCGGATAGTCGCTCAATTTACACGACTACCTATTACATTGGACTGGAGCTCAAACCACTGGAGCCGGGCTCTTCGCGGTCTCTTGACATTTCTGTAGATGCGAACATCTTCAAATCAACATGCACTTCGTGGCAGGGCTTTCAGCAGGGAATCAACGAACTTAGTATTCTGCATGTTAGAAAGTACGTTCTTCTCACCGTCGGTCAAACCTACTCATCTACAATCTAACATTTCTAGTTTTGACTTGCCGGATGATGTTTTCCAGCCGGGAGAGACACGACCAAGTCGGCCAAAGAAGAAGGTTGCAAAGAAGCCTGCAACCGCGGTTACTCAGAAACGGACTATCGACGCAGTAGACGTAAGTCGCATAGAACCGAACTACTGGAGCTGGATGACTAAAAGCACGGCTCGTGCCAATGCTTCTTCCACTTATGACGGTGGGGGGAATGATACTGACGACAGGTTACAGGACACGATACAGCCACAAGCAAAGCGTCAGGTATCTTCAAACGGTTTACCTCATGCAGCGACACCAGCTTGATTTTACGAAAGAAAGAAAGAAAACAGACTTTAAAAACCAGAACAGGCATCGGCATGGTACCGACTATCCCGCCGGGGCTTGTCCCCTTACTACGCAGTATGACAACTACTTCTCAAGTTCATTGTGATCAACCACCAGGACACGTTAAGTCCGTGATACAAGCCACATGCCATTCTAATACTTTCAGTGATCCAGTAGCAGCTTTCCCTTGTGGTATGATCAGGATAACAGAGCTTGATTACTAGGTTGGTGAATTTCTTCCATAATCTCTGAAACCCCGCAGGCTTTCTTTTCTCTCTCTTTTTTCTTTCGTTAGTGCGAAGATGATGCCGATCCTTGTTATCACGAGAGGTGGAGTAATACTTTGGAAATGGTGCACAAAGCATCGAGTCCACAAAAGGAAAAACTTCAAAAACTCAGTTGTATGTATCCATTTAAGCCGGCGATGTCTCCAGACAGATTTGAGCGTATGTTTAGATAGCAACAATGAAGATACCGTAAATCTAATGCTTTATTTCGTCGGTAACGCAGTACTTTCGTAACAAATTACTTTATAGATACGACTGCATCGAGGTTCATTTAATCAAGAGTTCAAAATGAAATTTCTAAATCGATAAATAAACATAGGCATCACAATTCTAAGCAGATAATCGTAGTGTCTAAACGCCATCCTCCGCACGAAGCCTAAATGAAACACAAAACGGTAATTCAGGTAAATAACTATTGTCTCCATCTGGCCCTGCATGTCGGACAAGTAGCTGCACGCGAGCTATCCGCGCATGAGTGAATCCACAAATCCATGCAGCTTTTATGATAATTTTGTCCACACTGGGCTTTGCACCAGACCAGAGGTTCCTGGGGTGTTCTTGGGGTTATGCCCGACTCCGATTCCGACTCTGACTCATCAGAATAATCATCGTCGTCTTCAGAATCATCATCTTTATAATCATCATCATCTTCAGAATCATCGTCATCTTTATAATCATCGTCATCTTCAGAATCATCGTCAACTTCAGAATCATCATCCTCACGATCACCGAATATTGAGCGATAGCAAATTCCACATTCTCCTTCAATAGGTTTCCGGGTGACAGTGGTTGTTCTTTGTCTACTTGGTGCTGGTAAACGGCGCGGAGTGGTTGTTGTTGCCGCAGCTGCTATCTGCCTCTGTCTTGGTGTGGTGGTGTTTGTTGCGGCGCCACTCCTAGATGTAGCTACCCTTGTTGTCGGAGACACTTGCTGGGTGCTACGGGCCAGTGCCGTTGATGACGTTCTGATCTGGCTTGATGGAGAGTTGATCGCTGTTGATGTGCTCGTTCGTCCGGCGCTCGCGCTTCCAGATACAACATCAGGACTGGCATCATGCGAACCGATATTGAAGAAAATATTGTTTTGCTGGAATTGTATCTGAATTGGCCCCCCGAAAAAGAATTGGTATCCTTGATCTCCATGTCCTGTGTTCGGACTAGACCGTCTGTCTGATGAGCGACGTCCTCCGGTTCTCCTTGTCGAAGAAGCTCGGCGTCTCTGTACGAATTTGTCTACCTTCTCTGACCACTGGCTTGCGACTCCACTAGCTTGATATTGATGCCAGCGAACGCACAGAGTAAGTGGTGCCAGCTCTTCTAAGATATCGTCGATACACTCTTCACCAGAGGCCAGCAGAGCGCTTCCCTCATCGATGAGTGAACACGCCGCGGAACGATTTCGTGCATTGGTGGTCAATCGGCATCGACGGTGTTGGGTAGTTGCGATTCCGGTGCAGTGGTGATCGTCACCAGGCCAAACACCGATGATGGCTGATAAGTCACATACAGTTGACGGGCGAGGCATTGTAATTGATGTATAAAATCTGTCTAGTAGATATAAGATGGAATGAGTATCTATTCTGATGGAACAAACCCATTATTGCGAGAAACATCCGACCACTATATAACCTTCAAAGCCACAGGTGCTATAATAGAGACACCTACTCAATGACAAAAATGGCAGCGACCACATGAACCACGGCTGTGGCTTGTGTCAAGGTGTTCTGGATAATCGAATCAGATTGCACGGCGACACCGAAATCGCGCAAGGCTATGACACAGCCCCAAGTTCAAGGGGAACATAATTATGCAAGCACTGCATGCGTGCCGCCAAATTCAGGTGTGTCCGCGTTTCATCGCAGCTAGACCCTGGATCGAAAGACCGGTAGTGATTGGTAGACGGAACGGCATGTTGTGGCTGCGACCCAATTTCCTTGGTTTAGTCCATAACTAAGTGAAAACTAGGTGATGACTGATCGGTTAGCCACAGGACTACTTGCTCCTGCATGGGCTGTCAGAGGGGCTATGTTTAGATAAGTGAGTGGACTGACTGGCCGATTCATGATCGTGGGGGCCGGAAATAGCACAACTCGTCGACGTGCAGATGCTTTCAGAACCTCGAGTTGTCAGATGATACGGCAAATGCATCACCAATGCAGCCTTGCGACTTCTCCAGCAATGCCCCGTCCGCGTCCAGTAAATTCTAGATTCCATGGATTTTGTGGCACAGTTGGAGAGAAGCCTCCATGCACAATTTAATGCGGCTAGACTCCACGGGGACTATCTTTACGCACTGCCACGCTCAATCGGTACCCTAGGCGTTGCTGGGCGCGTAATGGCTTTATTGATCCCGAACCAGTTTATGTGCCTGTTGGCAGAATAGGTGATAGCCTTGCATGAACAAAATAGATGCCTGCTCTCCAAGCCCGTTTTTTGGCTTGTTTTGCATAATGATCGAATGAACCGTTTGGACATCCAGGCTCCAAAATAAGCATTCATGCATGATTGTGACTTGTACTTTGCTTTCAATGCCGAGGAGCATTATGTCACTTCATGCATTGCATATAGACTTGGCCGGCGGTAGCAAGGAGCCGACATGTGATAGCTCTCCAGAGCATCTTTATAAGCAAGATCAGATATGAGGTTAGAGAACAGAAGTTCGCTTGCCGGTGCCAGTGGCTATGTCTTATTCTAGAAGCAACCAGGCCTTCCAGGCAACATTAAGGGTCTGGGTTGAGAAAAGAATGCCAGCCTGCTTGTCGCGGCCAAACCTCTCCACGTGATAGTATGTGAGAATGGTCTTTCTTACAAGTGGACATTTTAACGCCTGGAATTTGGAACTCTCTGTTTGAACATGTCCACAAGATTCCATTTCTCAAAGGTGATACTCTTTTCTTTGTTCCAGGAGACAATGTGATTACAGTCTGTACCTTCCTTCAGATCCTGCCAGCCACCAATGGCCCTCCCTTCCGTACTTTCTTGAGGAATTGAAACAGTCAGCCTCAACAATCAGCGTATGCCATCTGTATTATCGATACTTTCGGCGTTTGAGCTGTTGGTAAGTTTTGTCTTAACATTGACTGCTTTAAGGGATTAAGCTGTCCTGTGAGTCTGTTTACATTTTCCAACAAATATTTTTATAATCGATGTCTTAATGATATCTCCTTTTACATTCAACTTGTATAGCTTTTCTACATTGAATAGATCCAATCCCACGATTCCAGCAGACATAGTAAGTATTTTGCTATTGTAGGTACCCAAATAGATCAACTTGATATTTTTTCGCCGCATGTAGGGCCGAACATCTCCATAACATCTCATCATCCTCCGAATGCGCCAAATGCCATTCCGCTACTAATCCGCTTATCGAAGTAAGAAAATCGGCTTTTAGTCCCAAAGACGAGAGATAACCAGACGGTGCAAGACATGAAATCATAAATTCATCTACAACGAGAAGTGCGCCATGTTAGTCTGCAGTATAATACAGGAATTGTAGAAACTCGATCGATGTAGGCAAACAACGACCTGATCCCTGGACCGGCACAACTAGGATAGTAGCCATTGTATTAGCCTCAGTCCCAAAATTTGTGAATTACACAAGCTCCACCAGGCCACCAGGACCAAAGCAATCTATAATTTTAGCAGCAAGTTGCTTTTCGTAAACATTTTCAGCGCCGAAATTCTATCTTCTTTACTGAGCTTCTGTCATTGCCAATACTACTTAATAGTTCAAATGTCCGAATACGCCCCCACTATATTCACTTGAGAAGTTGGTGAAGGTGTATCCATCAATTGAAGTCACTGAGTTGGCATTTGCAGATGTGATAATAAGAGGGAATAGCTGTTTGTAGAGGGTATTTAGAAGCATCTTGATTGATAGTGACAGAGCAAGGATTGCATGATGTTTAGTTTTCGTGGACTTTTTGAAGCACCTTTTCAGAAATTCCCTGCTGCAGAACATGTCTATCCTAGCCATCTTTGCTTTCTATTCATTGTTTCAATGTCAACTCTTAAACACTCATATCATTGACTAGGCAAATGGTGATTTTAACGGAACACATTAAGCAGAGAAAGGGAGATAAACTGCGGGGTATCATTCCTCATAAACCTTAGTGGCAGTTTCTAGGGAACCATGATTATCACAGCTTTACGTAAAGCTCTCCTTGAAAAGTGAGGTATATTTGGATTTAAGTGCTTGCTGAGCGCTCAATGAGCGGACAGCCATAAAATGGCACCGTGCTGCATGCATTGGCGTCGCACATATTTGTTATATAGGTACATGTGGAGATAGTGACAAATATGCTCAAACTCGCGCGCCTCTATTCCAAAACGGGAAACCGTGCCCTAATCTCCCTCGGCCTTCACTAAGCCACTTAGCATCGTAGAAAATCAACAATTTCCTGTTTTTGTCTCATATTTCCGATTAACAGTAAGTGGAACGGATTTGTAATGCTGTGGTATGGACAAGCGCGTGGTGGAGTTGGTCAGTTTTGGGTACCTTGAGAGGGAGGAGAGGGGCAGGACCCTAGCGGTTTGATGATATTATGATTGACTCCCCTCTGGTGGTCAAAATTCAGACACTCTTCGTTTTTATTTTACCCTCCCTTTACAGAGGACTTTAGAAAGTATCCAACTACAAAATGAGCTCGGCAACATATACACTCCCTCCCCTTCCCTATGCATATGATGTAAGACTGTCTCTGCGACTACGCATTGCACTCCAACTGACGTCGAGGATTAAAGGCACTGGAACCCGTCATATCCTCCCAGATTATGACACTTCATCACCAGAAGCACCATCAAACGTACATCACCAACCTAAACGCGGCGCTCGCAGCCCATCAAACCGCCACTGCCGCCAACGATATTCCAGCTCTCATTTCTCTTCAACAGAAGATCAAATTCAATGGCGGTGGCCACATAAACCACTCTCTCTTCTGGAGAAACCTCTCACCTCCCGGTAGCCCGGAAACAGAACTGAAAAACGCACCTGAGCTTGCCGCCGCCATTACCGAGCGATGGGGAAGTGTGGATGTTTTTGTGGAGAAGTTCAAGCAGACTTTACTGGGTATTCAGGGAAGTGGATGGGGATGGCTTATTGTTAAGAGTGGTGCTGGCGGTAACGGAGATGCTCAAGCGAAACGCTTGGAGATTGTCTCAACGAAAGATCAGGATCCGCCTGCGAGTGATGGAAATGGTGAGGTAGTACCGATCTTTGGTATTGATATGTGGGAGCACGCTTACTATCTGCAGGTGAGCATACCCCTTTTCTATTGTTATCAGTAACCCATAACGGAACTAATTATGATGGACTAGTATCTGAATAACAAAGCCGGGTACGTGAGTGAGATCTGGAAGGTAATTAACTGGAAAGTTGCTCAAGACAGACTATTGGGAGGTATCGAAAAAGAAGTTACATTTAAGTTATAAACGGCCAACATATATGGTGTTCGTAGCGATGTAGTGTATGTGGTTGGAAATGAATAGCAACGCAAGAGCATAAAATAGAACACCATTATCAAACAATCAGAAATCTAGTTCCACCCAACAACACCCCTCCCAAGAACATGTCCCATTCCATTACTACTACCAGCCGACAGAACTGTCACTAATCGTCCCACAATACCTAAATTAGATACTCCTAGATCGAGTTTAGATGGTAACTCGAATTCCATACTCGTTTGTTGCGCTGCATTGAGTTTGAAAGAATGGAGTGGTTCAGAAGGCAGTGGTGTTGAGAGATCACCGGATTTCCTTATAAAATTTAGCATCCAGATCCCGTTCAAAAATATTAATCAATAAAGCTTACTCGATTTGAAGACTGAGAAACGGATGGTTTTGTAGAGTTTTAAGGGTGGCTTCATCTGATGCATCGAATGTGGCTTGGGTGTGATTTGAGCCATCGCTATTGTTGTTGAATAAGATCCTGAATTCGCCCATATTATTATTTCTTGATAACTCTTCATAAGGCCGTATTACAGCGATTAAACCGCCTTTGCTGGCACGAGAAGGGATATCGCCGCACATTGTTTCAAGAAGTATGATTCAACTTTCAAGCATCAACAAGTCGAATAAAAGTAAGACTGGCATTCATTTTACATATACATACGACTTGGATATCTTACTATTCCTAATTGAGGCGTCTCCCAAGGTTGCTCAAATTTGCTCAAATCCGCGAAGGCTCCAGCGCTGAAAGTATGCGGTCCACATAATACCGCCCAATCATCATCGCTAGGGCCGAGTACCTTGGTAAGGTCCACACAACCAACTCGAACCAAATAAACCTGCCTGGGGAATATTCCTGTCACGATTTGCGAATAATGTAGCCAGTCAATTCTAATAGCCTAGCATGGTTTACTCATTTCCCTACAGAGCCCAGGAGATAGTTTCAGAACTAATCAACCTCCCTTTTCCATTATCTAAACTTAGCCAGAGATTTTACATGTATACTAGGACGATTGACAATAGGTGTAACCATTGATCTATTACAGCCTTGTAAGAGTCTAATATGATATATGATATCTCTTAGTTCTAAATAATGCCTGTCACTCGTTTCTTGCATGTAAATTAGATGCTGCTATAAACAAGGCCTACCGAGAGACGGTTATAATTATCGCATAATATTAACTAGGAAATCAATGTTAATAGATAATGAATTAACTCTAGTTCAGAATTCCCCCCTCCTAATAAAGATACAGAGAATATCAATTGTTTTCCCGGCGTTCCTTTACTTAACTTATACCTCTACCATCGTGATATTAATAAATATCATCTCTTGGATCCTGCCGTAAGTAATGTCCGTTCCACGGTTGATCCAAAAGGTCATTTGCACCAGTGCTCTCAATTCGCTCCGTATCCCACATAACATACCCCCAGCGACGAATTGTATCAGGGACATAATACCCATAAAGATTGTTGTACGTGCCTTGCTATATCGGTGTCCAGGCAATTGGCCGAAAAGGACGAAAAAGACGGTCATCGTTTGTTTTAGAAATTCGGAAGTCTTCTTGAAAAGGTAATGGTTCACGTCGGTCCTGCATCAAGTCTCGATCTGAAGGGTGATCCTCGCGCCGCCTCAGTCGAGGTGTCTCGCCTAGAACATCACTGACATCATCATTCCAAAGGGCTTTCCCACAATACCGTGGTATTTTATCCTACATTGTGGGAACCGTATGCAAAAAGTCTTGAGGGCATACAATGGTGTAAGTGCCAGCTGTATTCTGATTTGCAATGTGACTATTGCACAAAGGAAATAAAAGTACTAGTCTCAATGGTCTTGAAATTATAGGAAATAAAACCCTTCACCTACTATACAAAGCCGTCAGTAATTGCTATATCTTAGCAATTTCCAATTCACAACTTTTAAAAGTAGTTAAGTGTTTGCACACCTGCTTCATCTTATGCTGAACTCATAGGCCTCTCTATCATACTAGGAGATAACTGAAAATTGAGATTGTAATGAGATATTGTGATTATTTCAAGTTTTATGCCGGCTTTAATCGGCATCTGTGGAATATAAAGAAAACTATCGCCCCCAATTCCCTTCTCTATCTACTATTTTTCTATTCATAATTAATCTTTAGATTCTTCATTTCTCTATATTTGCTCCATCTGATCTATTCTATCACTCTAATCATACTTCTCGCTCGCTACTATATCAGCCATGGACAGCTCATGCGGAAGGGGTCGACAGGCGTGGTCTCCCTAGGCACCCCCTACTCAACTTGTTGCAAGAATCTATATGCCAGGATGGAGAAATTGCAAAGTGACCAGTTCACTTTGATTTACTTTTAGGTTCTCTTTCACTTTGCAGATTATTCTGAGTTACCTAGTGTAACAACACCATCGGCCAGAATCATTCGATCAGCCAGCGTACAGCGCTCCAGGACTTCAACGTCGTCAGTGGATTTTACAGCAACCATAAACTCAATGCAACCTCTTCAGTTATTGGTTCAACATATAAGCTCCGATATTGATTCTCTGGAAATGTTGGCGAATTTCTGGAGACATGGCTAGCCGGTGTCGATTCGCAGCCTACAACGGAGAGCAGTCCTGATCACCACCAGTTCGCGCGGCCCACAACGAATACAAAAACCTTGAAAAAGTTCAAGATATAGCTCACCAAAGATATCTTAGTTGTCGCGGGGAAACCTCCTCCAATACTACTTATGACCAGTGCCTCGGACGCATAAGATTAGCTGTTAAATGGGGTGAAGAGTTAGTGAGGTTTGTTCTCTTTCTGATTTAAAAAAACAATCGCTATCTGTTGTATCTCTACATGCAGTTAATCGCCTCATCAATTCTCCTCAATGAGGCTAATAAATCCATTTCTTTGAAACGTAGCTAAAGGCCGGCTTCAGTTCATTGACACCCACCGGAACGCGTACGGTTCGATACACGATATTGAAACCCGCATTACTGCTGCCAAACCCAACAGTCAAAGTGCTAGAAATGCTGTAGAAGAAATTCGTATCAACTACAAAAGTATGATTTTCGGATTGCTTTATATTTACATGTCAATAAAAAGCTTACCTATGTCGCGCTAAACAGAAATTTTTGAGATTTATTCTCGTTCGGCTCAACCCTGACGGTTTTTCCTAATACAGGCGGACCTTCTCACCCCTCTTAAGGGCACCTTACATTGAGTACTTGAGATATTGAAAGCTAGTAGTCTGTTTGAAATATTTTATGGCATTTTCCCGCATTGGTTATCATCAAAATGGTAAATAGAAGCCACTTTCTAAAGGTAATAATAAGATATCTGGGAAACATTCAGTCATATGAACATATCTATGTTGTTTTCGTCTGTTTCCGTTTTTTAATACATGTTCAAGAGTCAATTTTTAGACGACATGAGCTAGTGACGTCAACGGTTTATATGGATAATTTTGCAGCAGAAGTTGACATGACGTAAGTAACAGGCCAAAGGTACGAGTAGAAGAATATTGAAATCCTTCGATGCTGTACATGAAAAGGCTGCATTCGAGTGACCGCATACTAGGCCGGCCGCGGCGCTAAGTGGGAAGAATGACAAAAATCGATATTAGCCGCACCGCCGTCATGTTTCCGCCAATTTGGTACCATTTAAGGCTTTTTGAACCGTCCATCACAGTATTTGGTCTCAAACATGGTCGATAATCAATATAATTCCAGCGTACAGCTGGCAAACACCGCTAGCCAACGCGCCCTCTCACTCCCAGAAATTGTGTCAGAAGTCCTATACTGGATCCACATCGATGAAAACATAAGCGAATCCGACTTCAAGAAAGATGTCCCACAAGAATATATCGAACCAGAAAGCTTCGACGACCCGATACCGCCATCTCCAACATACTCGTATGGCAAATTCGGTGTTCTATTTCGCTGCTGCCTCGTCAACAGACTCTGGTACCAAGAAGCTGTGCCGTTAATGTGGGAAACAATTGAGGGCTGGTTCTGGGACCCCCTTCTCCCAATCTGTTTCGAGGGTATTTTCCACCATTCCCGTCGACAGTTCTACGCCAATTTTATCAAGCGGCTTGTTCTGCAGACTATCAACCAACAAACTGCCCAGAGGTACGATTTGCTACTTCGTGGACTTGTGTTTCCGAAACTCGAGTGGTTGCGGTTGTATTTGAGGGGTAATATCTGGGAAAAATACGGTGTTCCGCCCGTCGATGGGCCGAATCTCAAGACAATGGAATTGGATCCGCATTTCGAGAATGATATTACCGGGACTGATTACTTGACAAGTCAAGATGATTGGGAAAATGTCTTTGAGCAGGTACCTGTAAGTAATACCAATTCCTGCATATGACTATTTGGGGGAAAACAAAATTACACAAGCAGTGGTAACAATGCAAACTACAGATTCAATTTCCTGCACTTGAAAACGTGCGTATCATTGACCGCGCGCGAGTCTGGCCAGGAGCGCTTGAACGCTTCGAAAAGCGGCTCCCCCATTTGAAGAAATTTGATAAGAGACTTGTAATCGAGAGTTCGAATACAACGTCGGAGTAACTGACAGTCTGTCAGCATAGCTACTGATTCTCACGCAATGCGTAAGGAAAGTAATATGGTTCTCCCGCTACAATTAACTATATAATAACAAGATTAGCCGGCCGCTCCTAAAGGGGCCCCCAGGCAGGAGCCGACCAGGACGCTATGTTTTTTTATTTATCGACAAATTGAAAATGGAAGGGTTTGTAACTCAATTAGGAAGATAAATCTTATTTTCCAAATATATTGTTATTAATAAGTATTTATTGGCTAATAGCGGCGTATTATTTGGTACGGTGGTGAGAGAGTCTCTGGGTTGAAAATATATCATGATCTATCAATTAATAAAATTACTCTAATATTTAGTAGGGTAAGCTGTAAGTCACTACTTGACTTACATTATCCACTGATCGATTATTCAATAAATTATATGTATAACTTGCTCATGTATCTGAGATGGCGCTGCAGCCAATAATTAGGGTGGGCCGGTTCGTGTATCGCATATGCGGGCCGCTCTCCTATGCTCCGATCATCCGCGGACATGTGCTTTAGACGTCGCCATATTATGATGGCATCAGTCATTCTGAACAATGTCGACAATTGTCGATGAAGAAACAAGTGGAGCACAGAAAAATTTCGGCGGTCACATTTCCATTGTCAGACTATCGTCCTATCTCCGGACTGTGCAGTTTTCCTGCTCTGGTAGGCTCCAACCCTAACCTTTAAATGCATCGATGGCTGCGCTTCGCTGCTTTGCATGTATGCTATTCTCAGTACGCTTTATTCTACGAATTCGTGTTTCCTCTAAAATCCACTACACCGACCAGTACTCCCTAGTCGTGTCAAAATGTCTTCTGAACCATCCTCTGAAATTGCACCCAAGTCAGAGACCCAGCTCGAGTCTGGAGCGGTGGAGGAAAGCAATTTTGAGGATAGCCTTGTGTCCTGGAATGGAGCGGATGACCCTAGCAATCCCCATAATTGGGCCAAAAACAAGAGATGGGCACATGTCATTATTATCTCAATATTGGCTCTCATCACGTAAGTTATTCTATCAAAAGAAATTGCCAAGCGAGCATGCTCACAATTGTTCAGAAACATGGCTCCTACGATGTGTGCGCCGGGTATCAAAAGCATCGCTGCTGACCTGAACATAACATCCACTGTCGTCAGCACTCTGGCCATCACTCTGTATGTGCTGGGGGTCGCCATTGGACCGTTGTTAATGGCTCCTCTGAGTGAGAAGTACGGGCGTGTGCCTATCTACCACATCGCCAACATTATATTCATAGCGTTTCTTATTGGTAATGCACTGAGCCAGTCTGCTGCCCAATTCATGGTTTTCCGATTCTTCTCTGGATGTGCGGGTGGCACACCTATGGCTCTGGGTGGAGGAACCATCGCGGATATCACCACCATCGAACAACGAGCAATTTCAATGGCCTTGTTCAGTATGGGGCCACTTGCAGGGCCGGTGAGCTAGTTGATGCCACGCTTATGCTTTCCGAATGAATATTAACTAATAGACCTGTAGGTTCTCGGTCCCGTCATTGGAGGCTTCCTCGCTGCGGGCAAGGGCTGGCGCTGGACCTTTTGGTTACTCGCTATTCTTGGGGGGTTCTTTGGAATAGCAGCCGCCATTATCATGCGCGAAACACACCCCAAGGTTATTCTCGAGCGTAAAGCTGCTCATCTCCGCGCTACTACAGGTAATGTCAATATACGGTCCAAGCTTGACAAGCCTATTTCGCCCAGCCAGGTCTTCATACAAGTCCTTGCCCTTCCCATCAAGCTTCTTCTTACATCGCCCATTTTGCTCGTCATCTCGCTATACGTTTCTCTAGTTTTTGGGGTTATGTACCTCCTGTTCACCACCTTTACTGGCGTTTTTGAAGGCCAGTATGGGTTCAGCACATCGATCTCCGGACTAGTATACTTAGGTTTAGGAGTTGCTCTATTCGCAAGCATGTTCATTTTCAACATGCTTAATGGTAGTGTCCAAGCTGCGCGCATGAAGGCGGAAGGCGTGAAAAAACCACGACCGGAACATCGATTAATATTAATGATCTGGTTCAGCCCCTGCGTGGGTCTAGGGTTGTTTGTCTACGGCTGGACGGCCTACTACAAAGTCCATTGGATTGTACCCATCATTGGCACAGCTTTGATGGGGTTTGGTGCCTTTTTTGTCATTGTTCGTTACCCTCACACACGTGGCCCAATTCTCACTATGCATTCCGATAACTAATGATATGTAGATGCCTGCGCAGCTTTATCTCATCGATGTGTTTGGCTCTGAGGCCGCTGCATCCGCCCTGGGTGCCAATAACCTCTTGCGATATATTTCAAGTACATTTCTACCGCTAGCAGGGCCGAAAATGTACCAAGCTCTCAATTATGGCTGGGGGAATAGTTTACTGGGATTTCTCGCTCTGGCTTTTGTCCCGGGGCCTCTCCTGTTCTACAAGTATGGAGAACGGCTACGTACCAAGGCAGCTACCCAATCTTCGGGTTGACGGAGCACTCTGAATGTCGAAAGGTTAAATGGGCAATCGAATGGGTAAAATAATTGGGGAATTGGCCATTTCTTGTTATAGTAATGCTCTCTAAAGGTGACGAGTTTCCTGTGTCTATAATTGTACCAAAGGCCCTCGCCTTTTCTCTTTGATACTATTGCAGCACTAATCTGACAGGTTGAATATTATTGTTTTCAGTTTTATAAGTCCCTGCACATAGTTAATCGTCTGCATATGTACTACAAACTAGCTCCTTTGACGTCTGGAGATGTTCAAATGTGGCCCCCACTGTTATCGGGGACTTACACAGATCTTGGGCTCTGGACGCGTCCCAACAGTAATAGCTGATAAAGTCGATTTGAAGTGGCTGCCGGCCCCAGTAATCTAGAAAGCTGAAGATCAACGTCCTTATATGAGACCAAGTCAGAAAAAGTATGTTATTTTTGTATTCAGATATAAGTACTGTATTCGTTCTATCGATGCCCTTATAGTCCCTTTAAGACTACGGGTCTCTTGGGGCCCTCATGGCTGCCTCCAGAGGCTTTCTATAGAGGCATTGTCCTACCCGCTCTCTCTAAGCCGACCAATATACAAGCCCACAATTCAGTAAGGCCTTTTTGAGGGAGAAGGGTTCTTGTCAACTTTACTACAGCGCATCTAAGATTTAGGGTTAGGGTTCCGGTAACTATCCTCAGGGTTTACCGGCTGTAGTTCTTCAGTGCTTGCCATACGGAACAACTAGATCGTTGTTGCGAATTTTTGTAAGCCAACAATGGCTTAGACCATAATTCGTCTCGGGTAGTGTGAACAGCTCTCAATAGCGTTCTTTGCATTCAGGCGAGGATAGCGTCGGAGCATCGGAGAAAACGTCGGAGGAGGGGGAGGATCGGAGGGGCACCCGTGGTTCACTAATACTTGGCAAGTCTTGGCGTCCCTATGTCCTGTGACGGATTACAGTACTAGTCCAAAAGTATTCACGTTTTTACCCGTATTTTTATAAGTCGACAAAGTTGATCCCTTTCCCCTTTCTTCCCCTAGCATGCTCCTACACCTGCAGCTTTTTCCCGGCCCTCCTCGTTTTCACCGATCTAGACCGCTTAACTTGATTTAGCCAACTAGGTTATTATCTGGGAACGATTTTACCAGGAAGCTGACCGTTTGATGGGTAATTTCATGAAATCTAACCCTTTATTCCCTCTGGTATCCTCATATCTTGTACCTCATTAATTGACACTTCTAATTTGTTACTACATTACTAAGTGTTGTTTGAAGATAGTCAATCTGATATGGTATTCCTTTGCTGAAGAATTGGTAAAGACAGCTTGAAGAATGAAAAGCGTATTTACAATATTGCCTTGAATTTATCTTTCTTTCATTCCTATTCAGCTATACCTAGCTAGTGAAGATAGTCGCTATTTACAAAGTGCTAATTAACAGTACTTGAAGTCATCCAGTTTGGGAGTTCACACGGTAGAATTCACATTTAATACAATGGACCAAACCAACTTCTAGTAAAAAATTCCTTCATATCCGATATTTGGATCATTCATATACCATGTCACATCTCTTCCCTCCTCTTCAAGGACGGTCATACCATTACCCATAAACGCAAAGCGATTCTTCGCAAGCGGAGTCCAGACCCAGTCTTCATAGCGCGGATTGAGTAGACAGTGGATGTTCTGAATACGGCTTCCCGGATGAGTCAAAACCTTACCATCTTCTTTACCACCTTTCAGCCATGAACGACACTTTGTTCCCCATATGGTTTTCTGGTGGAAAGTGTCGTTATGATGGATGAACTCGGTTACTGCCTCTGTCGAAGGAACAACAGATTTGTAACTCTCTGTTTGTGCCTTCCAAATGATACGGAGCATGTACTTTGTGACTGCCTCTATGGTTGGGAGCGCGGACCCGTGAGAAAGTGGTGAACCCGGTCCAAGGAACACTATATTGAAGCTTGTTAATATGCAACACTTGTCATTCACCTAGTAACTGCGTGCTGCTTACCAAAATAATTGGGCATGTCGCGAACAGCCAGTCCAAAGTAAGCTGTAGGACGGTTCTTCCACAGCGCACGCAGAGTCACATTATTGCGCCCTGTGACAGGAAATCGCGGGATCCAGGAATAATCAAAGCCAGTCGCACAGACTATGACATCCAGTTTAATGATTTCACCTGTCCTTACCTTGATTCCCTGAGGGACAATCTCCGAAATCATATCTGTGACAAGGCGAACATTCGGCTTTGTCAACGTCTCAAGATATCCCAGTCCTGGGGTAGGTCGTCTGATACAACATGTTAGTAAAGATTATAGGATTTGCGCGTGGATTCCTACCTGCAACCAACGCCAAACTCTGGAACTAAGTGTTTGACCAGCTTATCCTCCTTCAACACTCCGATCATGTACTCTTTGAGCAGTGCTTGTGTTTGCTTTTGCGTTTCTGAGTCTTTGAGGTTCTGTTTCATCTGATTAACTCTGGAGCCACATTTGTGTATTGACTTGACAGACACTTACAATCTTAAAATTTCCAGTCATCGCCTTTTCAAGCGCCTTGCGGTACTCCAAAAATTTCTTTGGGTCTTCAGACAACTCTCGTTTCTTTTCTTCGCTATCTTGGGCAAAGTCAGTTCTATTGCAGTCAGAAAACTCATATAAGTGGCTTACAGTCAAAGTTTGCTCCATCCGGGCCAGCAAATTCGCCAGCGAAGTTCGGTGTCACCCAAGTCGGGCTTCTCGAAAATGAAACAAGAAACTCAACTTCTATATATCTGTTAGCCTTGGTGCATACGAAAGAACCGCAAGCATTAGAGTATCCTACCGGGATGGATAGCAGCAAGAACCTGCATTCCAGAAGAGCCATTACCAATGACACCGACTTTCTTGCCTCGCAGGTCAATATCTTCTCCCCAGTTTGCCGTATGCACAAGATCACCCTCAAAGGTGTCAATACCTTGAATACTGGGCCACTTCCAATGACTGAAGCAGGCATCAGGTTAGAGTCAATATATACCCATGAGAAGGTACTTACTTTAGATATCCTCCGCCGTTAATCAGAAAATGGCATGTTTCTGAGAACACCTGACCGGAAATTTCGTCCTTGATATTAAGATTCCACAGCCCACTTTCCTCTTCCCAAGTACAATCTAAAACCTGATGTTGAAGCCGGATGTACTGTCTTAAGTCGTATTTATGTGACGTCGCTTTTAAGTATTCACAAATTTCTGATGATGTAGCATAGCTGAGGTACCATTAGCCAATATTTTCTTTCGATCAGGCCCTACAAAGTCGGAGAGAAGAAGTAGGGGAGGCGACAGACAATTGACTCCAGTTTGGATTTTCAGCCCATGAAAATTGGTAATTATGTGCGGGAATATCACAGGCGCATCCAGGATACCTACATAGGCTTATAAGCCCAGGTACTCTTATTACCGTTAATCACTGTCAGGCGACATACCTATTCTCGTACCATGTACCACCAACATCTTTGTTCTTTTCGTATATGACAAAGTCGACGCTGCGCATGTGCTCTCTGACCTGGAAGGCTAGATTGAGCCCAGACGCACCAGCTCCGATGCAGATAATCTTCAGGTGTCGCGCGGTGCCCATTGGAACATCAGGGATTGAATAATCCCCATCAGAGGCAAATTCAACGTGTCCGAGGGGCGTGGCATTATCAAGGGAACCCATCTTGGGCGGTTTCGTTCTCCAAGCAGACAAGGACAGGAACTCTTAGCTGCTCAAATTTTGATGAAAACAGCAAAGCTATATAAAATATTTATATATTTGAATTACGACCGCCTATTTGCGTTCTCGAAACGAGTTCGGTGCGGACCCGGCGCAGGTGGGGCGAACGGCACCAGGTATTAAGGCAACCCAGGACGAACAATCACCCACTGTAGGAAGGTACAGAATGACAAACTTTGTAAAGTCACATCGCAACGGCGAACTGTTTCTGGAAGGTCTACGACCTACACGCCTATAATTAGTAAGCGGGTGATTTACAGGAGCATTCGCATGATCTAAGAGCGTTAAGTATTGCCACCTTGTCCTTATCCAGAATTCTGGCAACCCACGACGATGCAGCATTCGGTCGCTCATTATTCAATCCGGCTGCCTCTATTCCCGCCAACGCTTCCTCATCAATACCGAAGAAAGGAGGAGGTGTCTGGAGGAGGAGTGGAAATATTGAGGGAAACTGCTAATGGACATCCCGGATACACGAACCCGCGTTTTGAGTCCCGACACATTATCGGAAGGCAGTCCAGGACGAGGGTCCTAGATACGAAACCAAAGTTGCCGTAATTTTCATTGCGATGAATATGAGCACTCTCTTAAGATGTACTCGTTATCACCATTCATGGTGGGCTGAACTCAATTGTTGCTCGTCCTGAGATACTGATGGTAACCTTTGACATCAAGGAAGGCGACTAGAAGTATGTAAAAGGAATTTTGAGAGTTACCATTTCTTAACACATCATCTAGACTAAATAACAATGTTAGTAGGATCCAGTGGCGAGTCAATATCATCTTAACCCTACCATGTCATCCACTTGAAAATTCTCTGTGGCAGATGCTTTTCAATTGGCTGACCGGGATGTAAGTACTTCAAGTTTGTCAACAGATATGGAAAGGCCATTTGTACTGCTCCATAGCATAGTGAACAGTAAATGGACAAGCACTCTAAGGGATCGTGCACAGTGGACGTACGCAAAACTTGGTAGATTAGCAATAGTAGCATTTGCCACAAACAACATTCTCGGTATTGGATCATCTTCAATACTGAGACTCCAATATCTATAGCATCTCGGCCACCATTGTACTTTGAACGCAGCACCTAGAGACCTCGATCATGGCCATCAGGAAAGCCATAGAGGGCATCCTTTGTATCTGACTACTTCGGATAGTCAGATTACCGGTTAAGCATTAATAGAACGCACATTGGATTAGGTCTGAGTACAAATGGCAATACGATATCCTAGCCTTGGAGGTGTTAGCAGTTGATAGGCGAAGGTCGCTTCTGAATAAAAAGCACAACCTCCGCCCAGAACCGCAGTCAGGTTATAATGAATTGGAAAATATAGACCGTTTGTGATACTTTGGATACTTGGACTACTATAGCAGAATGCGTAAGTCCATTGAACTCTACGACTTCTCCATTGAGATGTCATGCTATATTTCAAAAAAAAAAAAAAAAAAAACCGATCACTGCACCGTGTTTGCAACGTCGAGCATATCCCAGTCAATATCTGGACCACTGAACTTCTTGCGGCGTTCAAGCCAGAAGAGGCAGATGAGAATAAACAGACCCAACAGAACAGGGGTATTACTATAAGAGCAGTTAGTGAATAAATGAATAATAAATACCATGAGCCTATAGGGCACCTACTAGTTCATCGAGCCAACGGTTGTCGGGTTTGTCTGGGGCATACAGAAAAGCACACCAATAAGGATCAAAAGTAAAACGGAACAGATATTTATGGGATAGCCCAACTTGCCTAGGTTGAAGTCACGATTTGGAAGCTTACTTCGGCCCTCTATAAGCAAGATTGCCTGCGGTATAACATAAGCTATGTTCAATAGTAGACAGTTTGTGTTGATAATAGAGTTGTAAGCTGTCGAGCTTGCAACATAGAGAGCACCGTAGATAGCGCAGAAACTAGCAGACAGGAGAGTTGTCCTCCAGGGAATCCCAAGCTTGGAATCAACATGCTGCCAGTAGCTGGAAAACGGAAGACCATTCTATGGCCTTGTCAGATGATTATATTAAAGGATACAAGAACATATTTCAACTCACATCACGCGCAAAAGCCCAGATAAGACGACTGCAGGTGATCCATTGACTAGGAATGCATGCTGGCATATATTAGTAGTTGCGAATGGTTTAAAGCGTAGCTTAGCAAGTACTTACTGTAATATAGCAAGGTCATAAATGCCTGCAAGCCTATTGCAGCGGACTTGCTCCTAGTAATCTGGGCGAAAACTTCCAGGCTGGGCAGGAAGGATGTTTGAACAGCTTCAATATCCTGAATACAATAGAGAAGGGCCACAATCCAGGGGATAACCAAAATGACGCCCATCAACATGGCCATATTGCTAACAAAATTGGTCAGTGCGAGAAGGACATATCTGAATACCTACTCACATGATTTGTGGGAGCTTTCGACCGGGGTCAGGTATTTCTTCAGCGAGGTGGATGACTGAGCCATTCCCAGCATAGCAGTACAATGAGTTAGCAATAGCCAGAAGCCAACCTGTACCAGGGCTCCAGCCAGTGATTCCTTTAAAGTCAACGAAAATAGAACCAGATGAATAGTGACCTCTACCCATGCCAAGAGTTATACCAATTGTGGTAAACATGCCAATTAAAGATAGGGCCATACAAGACTTTGTCCATTTATCCAGATATTTCTGGGGGATTGTGCATATTGGTATAACTGTATATCAAGGTTACCAATCCAATTATAGTGTCAAGGAGCACCACTGTGTTAGAACTTACGTGATATAATGATCACACCAAGATAGCAGAGATATACCTGGTATCGTTCTTGTGCAAAGTCAGGAAACCATATGGTGGCACAGCCAAAGGCTGAAATGGCAGTGTAAATTGTCCCAGAGCTAGTACCAATCAACCAGGCAAGGATATTCAAGAAGCCAGTCATATATGCAGCAAAGTTCCTTGTTTTTTGGGGGGCGACAACATAAGCAAAGTGGTATGGACCTCCAGAGGATGGCAATGCAGAGCAGAACTCAGCCCCACCCAAAAAGATAATCCATTGGACAACAGCCCCCACCAGAATACTAAACATTGCGGTTTGGCCGCCTCCTTGAGCCAGGACAAGACCAAAGAAACTTGCATAGGACAGCCATGGGTTGCAAATACTCCAATTCAATTAGCGCATGTCCAAGATTTTACAAACAGCAAATACCTGTAGGCCAGAGCACTAGCTCCAAGCCAAGTGAACGACCGCTCGAGCTGGGCCTCATGACCCTGAGCACGTAGACGCCTCTCATCAAGGTTCACGATCTTTCCTTCAATATCAATTGAAGAAGTAGGGACGATAGTGTCATCTATGTCTTTTGGTTTCGTGCTTGTGGTGCTTTGCTTGAGTTCGAACTCTACCATTGTACTTACAACTCTAGAAGTTACAACGAAGGATGTATAGGAGAAGAGAAGAAACCTAGGATTGGTGTTTGACATGAATTAGGTCTTTGATAGTGGATTTTATGGATAATTAATACCTTGTCCATTTAGAACCCCGCGGCTATGATCGTGGTGATGTTGGGTGTAGCTCTCTTCTAAGGAATCCCAGGACGAAGATAGGCTCGATGGTTCGAGATAGCTCGGCCAGGAGTTGTAAAGAGCGCGAATAGATAAGATAGCCGCCTATCATGTATCGTAAATCCAGGGTATGTAGTCCATCAGGTGCTTCATCTTCCACAAACTGAATATTAAAAAGACCAAATCCAGATCAACCTCGAGTAGTGGTGATAGGAGCATATCTGAAGCAGGTGCCCATATTGATTTGGTGATCCACATTATCACAACTACGGTAGATAATCAGGACAAAGTTTCGGGTCTGGGAATATGGTTTCCACCTTCGTCCTAGACTGCCCTTTTCGGGGACGGGTCGGCACCTTCACTGCCGGTTCGTGTACCTGCGTTCTTCATCGGTATTCCTTAACACTCGCCCTCGGATACCGCATCTTTTCGTCACGTCTGACAAGGAAGTATTGGTGGAAATAGAGACAAGATGAATCGAATGCCGAGCACCAAATACATCGTCGTGGGTTGCCAGAGAACCGGACAAGGACACGGTGGCAGTACCTAAGTACCCCGCTCTTGATAAGGTTCGGGCTATCCACACCCTGCAAACTGACAACTGACTGACGAATCTAGTCAAGATGTAATTTAAAGTATCATAATTCCCCAGTCGTCCGGCCAGTATTCCCTGCGAAACTTGAAGCTATTTCCAGCAGCTCAACAACAGATATTTTATTCTATATTAACTATTCTAGCGTGTATGGTGGTTAGTTATTTTATGGCCCTGAATTTCGCAATTTGAACATCGTGGTGCAGCGTGTTTTGTCATAGTTGAATCTGGAGTACAGATTCAGGAGGCTCCTCAACTATATACAACCTCTGCTTCACTAAATTGCTTAGGGTGGCCACTGACATCTTTTTTTTATTGCTTAAATAGTTTAGATATAAAATGAAGACTTCGCAGCACAGTGTACCATATGTGAGTACTCTAATCTACAGAAGAAAGCCTACCGTGCAGTCGGCTTTCGTTGGTCACTTATTGCGGCGGAAGATAGGGAAACGCTCTTACTGTATCTGTACTCGTCCCAGAGTTCGCTCTGAAGTCAAAATCCAGATAGTAATCTATCATGTGACTGGCTGGCGGGGTAAGCGACTCCAAGATAACGACAGCTTGCGTGGCTGGCCGACTTTCAATTTAACGGAGGCCTAGGATGCCTTGCATTGTTCAATGCAAGTTCCCCTGCATACTACAGGTTCCGGGACTGGACTAAGGTCCATAAGAAAATTGTGCCTCGAAGTAACTGCTGCTCAGAATGCCGAAACAGGTCCGTCGCTCCTTTGACGCGTGCTGGACGTGCCGCAGCCGGAGAGTGGCGTGCGATGCAGCCTTACCTGTTTGCACGCCTTGCCGGAGACGCTCTCTCAATTGTGGAGGATATAGTATCCGCCTGGTTTGGGTTGATATCGAGAGGGGCTTATATCAGACTCACTCACGGCGCACACTAGATCCAATTTTAACATGGGCGGGACAAAATCCATACACCGCAGCCCAAATACAACACTTGGCTGATGTGGACCCCGAGGATGTATACTGCGAATGCACCTTACACGCAGCTACGTCCAATCCATTCCGTATCCTCATACATTCCGATGGTCGACTCGAACCAGCTACGGCGGATTCCCCAGACACCATAACCAATGACGCAGACATGGTGGACTTGCCCCCCACGCCAACTACACAACTTCTATCACGGGATCGGCCCTGGACAGAAGCCCGGCTGTTTCACCACTATGTAGATCAAGTCGCATTCCTCATGATGCCGGTTGACATGAAAGCCAATCCCTGGCGCTGTGTTTATGCATCAATAGCAACTCACCATTCTTCTCATGCTAGCAGAAGTCTATATCACGCTCTCCTTGCACTATCAGCTTTTCATCTATCTGTTCTACACTCTGACAGATGTGATGTAGCAAATGAATATAAGCTGCAGGCAATGAAGCACTATTGCTCTGCCCTCGGGTCCTTGCGCACTAGTCTTGATCAACAGGTGGATGAATTTATTGCTTGCGCAGCTGTGCTTCTCACGCTAGCACAAATTGACGTACGTGAGGAATTCTTCTGACATTGCATGCGGCTAATATTGATGGCAAAAAGGGGTGTTATGCGCCCGAACTTGGCAGCTGGCGGAAACACTTCCAGGGCGTTATAGGACTACTTACTCAATTTGTGCAGGAAAGTCCTTGGGTTTCGTCATCTGATGCCTGGGTGATATCACAGAGTCTGTCTCTCTCCTCTGAGATAGCGCGCAGTGGCTCAGGAAGCTCTTTCGGCTACTCCCAAATCAATGATACACTTCTAGGGTCTGTTTCGCAAGTGTCACAGTTTGGCTACACAATTGGTGCGAGTGGCAATGTGATCCAGGCAATTTCAAAAATTCGTTGGCTTGCGGAAGGCCTGTCACGCGGTGAATCACTGGTCGATATTGACATTCAATCTGGAAAGATTCTCAGTGAACTTTACACCTCAGGATCAGACTGTGTGAGATCGCAAGCCTTGGAGAATCGCCAAGAGTATCTCAGCAACTTACACCGTCGCATCTTTCGTAATGCCACCATTATTTACCTGTATCGCACAGTTTACGACGTCACACCCTGTGCTATACAAGATCGTGTATCAGAAGTTCTTCATGATACAATAGATTTCCTTAATATGAAGGGTGGCAGCATTTCGATATGGCCCGTCTTCATTGCTGCCGTGGAGGCATGCACAGAACAGGGAAGAGAGATGGCGAGACGGTGGTTGGATTACTCCTGTAAATTGGGAATCAGAAATCGTCATTCAGCGCGCCATATCATACAGGAAGTCTGGAAGCAACGCGATGAGGAAGCAATGTTGAAGCACGCCCAATCTGGAGATATCGCTGTTGATTGGCGGCAGGTCCAGTCTTGGCTCGGTATTGACATTCTTCTACTTTAAAGACGGCCGCCATGGTCGACACAGTGTGCAACCAAGCATCCCTGGGTCCGCTAGACCAGCTAGTCCTACCTACCATGAGCGCTCACCCTAGCGCTCTACACAATGACTGATAGTTTGGCATGGCTTAAAGCACAACCACCACTATATCATTCCTGTGCTATCGCGATAGCAGTTCCGTCCTCATGCTTGGGTTTTTTCCACAAATCGACCGAATGGATTGTTCGTCTAGGATATCGTGGAATATTTGCTCAAACTCTGTAAGCATGTCGCCAAAGGACTGAGAAGAGATCGGTTGAACCTCCCCACAAAAGCACTAAGCAATGTTGCTGCTAGTTTAGAGAGGCGAGACTAGACCCATTTTACAGGGGAGACGGTGAAGATGTTGAGGAAGCTAACCACTTAGTTGAAGAAGTGTTCGGCGTATTCATGTATAGAAGAACTTAGAAAATATGAAGCGAGCACATATGACTGCCTTGCCTATTAATGGGAGGTTTACGGTGGATTTCGTTAGCCAAAATGTGTATTCGGTTTTGGTGATGCAACCGCAAGCCACCGACACCACGCAGGATATTGATTTCTAATAGTATTAATGTACAATAGCGCCAAACTTATAAAAAGCATCTTTACCTTTATTGTTGAGCTTAAAGCATCTTAGCCTGGTCAAGAACCGCTTTTATAGTGGGTATTGTGTTGACAATCGGCACGAGAATGGCGTTTTACATATCAAAGATTAGGCGGCACCCTCACCAACAACCACATGATCAGGCGATGATAGCAGTTCTTAGTAATTTAGCAACCTAGGGTTGGACCCAACGCATTCCCAACAGCGAATTTATGGTAAGCCGTACCAAGGATCCAGCACCGCAGCAGGAAAATAGCGTGAACGGAAGGAGGATACAGTACGGACACGGGGATTTACGGATTGAAGCATTAGGAGTGCATTCGTCTGGCTACGGCGCTGGAACTAAAACGGGGCCCAGGAGGAAGAGGTTAGGGAGCTGTGAATCGCCCTGGATTTCGAGAGCAAGCCAATATCAAGCCTCCATAAGCTGAATAGAGGGGATCATAGATATCTTCATGAGACGGTGGGGCCTGCTCCCGGTTCGTCGTCAGCTTCCTCAGAAATCTACCCTGTCCACAGTGGCGCAAAGTCTCCACATCTCTATTCGTTTTTGGTTGTCACAGCATTCTTTTCATTTTTCTTTACTTCGTCTTCGTCTTTGGCTTTTTCCTTTTCTTTTTTGCGAGGCCGGGGACCTTCGTCGTGGGTTGCCATGTTCGATTGCGGGCTGTGCGGCTCCTCTAAGCCTCAAATACCGCAGGCTCTCCCCCTCCTCTTTACCTGCCCTGTGCCACTGGAAGAACCCCAGGCGGAGTCCGTGTTTAATTACGTGTCGCTCAATTGACCCTAGATATGGCTATTCTCTCCGTTTCATCAGCTCTTGCGGAAGCAAGGGACAGATACGTCCAACGGAACCCTGTCTCACGCAAGCTCCATGAGGAGTCGTACGAGTACATGCCTGGGGGGAACACAAGGACAATTCTACATGTTTCGCCCTTCCCGATCACGTTTACCTCTGGCAAGGACGCTACGTTGACCTCCGTCGACCACGACACCTACACAGACTTTCTCGGAGAGTACAGTGCAGGCATCTTCGGCCACTCGAACGTCCGGATTGCAGAGGCCGTCCGTGAGGGTCTCTCAAATGGTTGGAATTATGGAGGTCAGACAATTATGGAAAAAGAGATGGCCAAGAAGGTCGTGACTCGCTTTCGCCCCAGCGGGATGGAGATGGTCCGATTCACCAACTCTGGTACTGAGTCTAATACCGTAGCCATCGCCGCGGCGCTGAACTTCACCAAGCGGCGTAAGATTTTGGTCTTCAGCAGCGGCTACCATGGCGGTACGCTTATCTTCCCAATGGACCTGATGAAGAACCCGGCCACAACGAATGTCAACCTTCCCCACGACTTTGTCTTTGCACCTTACAACAACATTGGGGAGACCACGGCCACCATCAAGTCTCTACCCACAGCAAGCCTTGCCGCTATCATGGTTGAACCTATCCAAGGTTCTGGTGGCTGTCGACCAGCCACAAAAGAATTCCTCCAATACCTACGCGAAACCGCCGACGCTCAAAAGTGTCTACTTATCGTGGACGAGGTCATGGCTTCTAGGCTAGGTCCCAATGGCTGCAGCGCCACAATGGGCATTAAAGCTGATCTCATGTCCCTAGGTAAGTATGTTGGAGGGGGCATGACTTTCGGGGCCTTCGGTGGGAGGCGCGATGTCATGGAGCTTTTCGATCCCGAGAAATCCGGCCTTCAACACCCTGGCACTTACAATAACAACGTAGTCACGATGTCGGCCGGCATCGTGGCGTTGGACATATACAATGCGTCAGAGGTGGAAAGACTAAATGCATTTGGCGCCGACTTCAAGACAAAGCTCCAGGAAGTTCTCATTCGTCACCATGTCTACCCCCAGCATCCGGCAGGCGCTTCCCGAGACATTGTTGAAATTGACAGCTTCAAGGACGAGACTCTGATCCAACCGGATGACCCGTCTTCGACTCCGCATGAGCGACTACCTGTGATGTTTGTCACTGGCCGTGGCAGCATGTTGAACGTCCGATTCAGCGGACCTCATGCGCCAGAACTCAGGGCTTTGTACTACTTCCACATGCTCGAGAACTACATTTATTTAGCTCCTCGAGGCTACACGCCGTTGAACCTGGAGCTCAAGGATCAGGATGTGTTGAAGTACTTGGCTGTCTTCGAAAATTTTATAGTCAAGTATAACTCCGTCGTCAAACATTGAAAATCGAACTAATGGTCAAGTATGGCGGGGGAAGATGGCGAGGGCACATAGGCCAGATAGCTGTCTTAAGAGAGGCACTGTAGTGCAATGTATCCTTCTGCCAGCACAAATATAGAATATATTTCACATAAGTTTACAGTAAGCGTGTCGAAGAATGGGTCACCTCAATTCTATATTTTACCGGTTTTATAATCATATTCGAAAATCTAAAACAGCATAGCTTCAGGGAGGTCTAAAGAGCCCACTTATTATCAGAAAAGCCCCAGTTAGAACTCGCGGGTCAAGTTTCTATACTTGTTGTTCGGATCTGCCTCTTCCTCCTCGGCTGACGGGACAGTCCTGACAACTCGGGCAGGTGATCCTAGAGCCACCGAATAGGGTGGGATACTTTTCGTGACCAAAGAACCCGCTCCAATTGTGGAACCTTGACCTATGGTCACTCCAGGGAGGATCGTTACTCCGCCGCCAATCCAGCAATCGTCTTCGATTCGTACTGGGTAGCCAAATTCCACAAATTTCCTTCGAGAGAGGATGCTGGTGTCGTGATTGACAGAGTAAATACTAACATTAGGCCCAATCTGCACCCGGTTGCCAATGATGACTAGACTGGTGTCCAAGATGACGAGGCTGTTCACTTCATCAGTAAATGAGCTTTCTTTTTTCAAGCTGTTGCGCCTGGGGATCGGAACCTACTTGAAGTTCGCTATGGAATCATTTCCAACGGAGACGTTACACCCATAGTCAACATGAAAAGGTGTCTCGAATAGTGATCCCTTTCCAACATGACCTATCAGGTCCTTGAGAAGAGCATGTCTCGTGTTGGAGATCTGGTCAGGAGCAATACCTCGGAGAGGAAGGTTATTATAGTCTTCGTTGGCGATTCTTGCGCGCCCTCGTACCTCAACAAGACTTGGTGCGTCTGGGTTGTAACTGGTAAACAAGGATAAGAATGTATTGGACTAGCTCTTGCAAATCATGTACTTACAGCATGCCAGAAATCATGTTATCGTAATGCTCACTTGATGGTACATGATTCAGCGTGCGCGCGAGCTCAATCAACTCATTGTTTTTCTCAATAGAGGCCATCTCAAATGAGAGTTGCTTGACGAACACACGAAATGGTTGGATGGTTCTACTGCCGTGCAAAAAATAAGAGAGCAAAAAGGGAAGGGGTGGGAGGAGACAAAGAAGAAGTAAAGCACTCGACCTATTAAACCTTCAACACTGCTCATAGGAGTGTTTAATTCTGGAAATTTTCTGAATACCCTGGTCACACGCCGGGGGACCTGAGAGCACAGCTCAAGAAGATTGGTGAGCATAAAAAGCTAGAAGGTACCTAAGCAGCATGTTACAACATTGAGAGGTCAGTGCAAGTGCCATCACAGAAGTCCTACAAGCACTTCATCCATCAAGGTAACCCAGGACGATGAAGTACCTCAATGCGGGGTGCTAGGAAATCATACATGGAGGTACAAGTGATTTCAACTGTATATGCCATCTTATTGATTGCCGCAGTAATTTTTCATACATGTTTCAATACAAGTCCATGCCTCCCAGCTCTTCGTTAATTATCAAAGCCAGCACTCCACAGGTGTGCTACTTTCAATGGCAAGACTAGAGGCCGCTAACCTAAGACACATCTTATCTTGCAGTAACTAGTATTGCTCAAGATATCCATAATTGTATTGCTAGCGCGCTAAACCCAGTTTGTATAGCAGTTCTGAAGTAGAAGTTCTCTTCCAGTTGTTGCCACTCCACTGTAGATAGCCGATATCGGAGCCGCAAAGATAACCAATACTATAGAAAGTCGCTGTACTGTTGAGCCACACTAACAAGCTCTGGCTCCGATGTACAATGGATCCTTTGAGAGAATATTTGGCCGTAATTAATCGTCATTTCCTTGTAAGACCACTCTAGAGGCTTGGCTCCCGAATTCTCGTCCTGACCTTCCTACTACAGCTGCCTAGTGGGCGTTAGGTTGGAGTGGAGATAGGTATTTAGTTCAAACTAGTACTGCGCGTTAATATTGATAAGTACTAGTGACTTTTTTCTATTACAGTATCCTGGAAGTAAGACTCAAGGTTAGTATCGAACCGAGCGAGGAACGAGAAGTAATATATATGCAGCTACACCATGGGTTTAAACACCCATTACAATCCCGATCATTAGCCCCTAATTGAGGTATCGGAATATCGGCACGAGCGCATATTGTCTATATCAGTTATCAGTTCAACACCATGTCCGATCCAGCGCTAGCTGCGATCTTAGAGGCATCCGCCAATGTCGACAACACTTATCCTGATTTTGAGATTCTAGAATCATACTACACCTCCGGCAATGGTAGAGATGAGATCCGACTGCATGTCCTTATGCCTAAGTCTCTTTTGGATGGCCACCAGCAGCAAGTAATACCGCTCATGGTCCGGATACATGGTGGTTATCTGGTATGTTGAAATCTTTTTTCTTTTTTCTTTTTTTTTGTGGCCTTGAGGTTCAAATATACCAGCCTCAGACATGACTCTATCTTTTAACCGGAATGATCCGGGTGATATGGAAACAGTCTATATACGGCCGGGCCAGCTACTTGGAAACTAAAGCGTCAGCAGCTACGAGAGCAATCACTGGTGTCTTGTGCTGATTTACGTTAGATAACTGGATCAGGTCTTTACCGTGCCTGGTTCAGCGACTGGACTTTGGAATATGCAAAGCAAGCTGGCGCAGTCATTGTATCCCCCAACTATCGCCTCATGCCTGAGTCCAATGGCACCGAGATCCTCGAAGATATGGACTCATTTTGGCGCTGGCTGCGCCAGGGTGGAGTTGATACCCTCTTGGCGAAAAATGGGTTCGAGTGTCTGCAAATAGATCATGATCAGACTTTAGTCTTAGGAGAGAGTGCTGGTGAGTCGTAACCACTCTTTTTAACCGGGAGGCAAAAGGAAAAAAGAAAATGAAAGAAGGTATAGAGGTATGTGGGAGCATCTTGCTGAGCGACTCTCAGGTGGCTACCTTGCCATGCAACTGGCACTAAGTTATCCCGATGACATTCAAGCCTTGATTGCGGTATATCCTCTTCTTGATCTTCAGTCTGAGTTTTATACAAGAGCCTATTCGAAACCAATAAGCGGTGTACAGAACCGACCGCTCAGTGTGATTGAGGACCACTTGGACAGCATCCGGTCGACCCCTCGAGACCGGCTTCGACCTGTCACGGAGGCAGACCCTCCAGACCGCCTGGAATTATCTTTTGCGGTTGTCCAACACGGACGGTTCCTAGAATTTCTAGGCCAAGATAACCCGAGACTTTTTCCCATAAAACGCATAACGGACGATATCGACGCTGACGCAGCGGGAAAGGGTGAGAGGCTACCACCGATGTTCATTTTTCACGGCAAAGATGATTCTGCTGTACCCTATCAAGGTACTATTCGCTTTATCGAGACGCTTACCAAGACTCGTCCATTGGCAAAATACCGCTTAGAAAGTCTGCCTGGTGACCATGGGTTTGACATCGGTACATCGATCGGAAGTTGGCGCTGGTTGCAGGACGGATTGCAGTTTATCGCCCTGGCCTGGCTGAAGAAAATGCGTATGCGTCAAGGGTTGGTTGAACCACAGACAAAAATTTAAAAATATCGCTTGAAAGTTCCTTTAGCATCTGGTATTTACCTAAAGAGAAGGACCATATATTTAAACGTATAAATGTAAAGACCTGCATCTCGTGGTAGAGAAAAGTGTAATGGAAGGAAGATAGGACAGGAGGGATCAATTAGGAAAGTGATAACAATAGTGTTTGACACTTCAGTTAAGACCTTCGAATATACAGAACGAGGGTCTCCTCGCCACCTACAAGCCATATGAAGTCCCCGTTTGCACACCGTTATCAACAGCCCAGCAGATGCATCTCTCGAAGTTCCATAATCCTGCGCTCCGTACATGTCAAATTCGACTCTAAATAGTAGTATCCCAATGTACATGACTGAAGTTTGGGAATCAGGATAAAGTCTACGCGGGGGGCTCATTACAAATGTGTTAGGCATCTTCAAAAGAGTCGAGACATCACCTCCATCCGCGAGTTATATACCATATTCAGTAACTATAGGCTTCTCACTTATCTATATAGATCGAACCTTAACAATAGAATGGATAAAATGGACAAATATACATGAGTATAGTATGTATATATTAGCTGATAATACTACTACTACAATTCTATGGTTGTTTACAACCGCAGAGTCACCAATGCAAACACCATACTCAGCTCCAGGCTACAACCAAGTCGTGCAGAGTCAATTCACTCCCTACGTTCCCTGGGAACACAACAAAAGGAACTCCTGGGTGCCGAGAAGTTGGCTCATCGCAACGCCAGAGGGGCACGCCGGCAGCAGCCTGGCCCACAACCAGGGCACGTTTGATTCGGAGGCCTTTTGTGGCTGCGTCGGAGGATGTAATTCCACCCTTGATAGATACAACATTAGCACTCCCTGACAGATATGAAACCTCACGCTAAGGATGTAAAGGTTGCTCAGTGGGAAGTAGTAGTTGATAATGTACCTTTGCAATGATATATCGCGGCCGCACCTCGATTCGCTGTAGAAGTCCGACCAATGCCTCCATAACTTTCGACCCAATTGCCAACGATGATAATTCGTTGTCTCCCGTAATCAGGATACGGGACGTCATCACCAGTGTATCCTTACCGGAGAGTAGATGCAGCTCTATCTTATTGCTGACTGCTTGGATTACACTTTCTGTAGTCTCCGCTGAAGTAATCAAGTCCTCAACTTTCATCTCAACGACGGCTAGATCGTTGCCGCGTCGATCGACGAGGGCATTCAGCTGAGCGGTGGTCTTGGGCACGTACGAGCCAGCTAGGATCAATCCTCCTATTTTCCTGGGTATGGATAGACCGAGCTCTGCGAGGCGGATAGGCGCTTTGGAGCGGATGCCGAGTCTGGTGGAGACAAAGGTAGCACCTGTGCGGTAGAGGTAATGTTTACCATTTGCTTCAGCTAGATAACATAGCTTAATTAGCCCAGCTACTGTATTGTATTTGCTTCAATTCGATAAGAGGAAGAGGGAGAGTACCGAGCAACAATCCCGCAACAAAAACATGCATATCCGATTCGGCGGCTGCATTGACAATCACCACTCCGCCCCGTGGTAGACTCATCAGTTTCTCATAAACTGCCTGTGGTCCTCCAATCCTGATATCCTGGATCGTAATCGAGTGTAGTTGCTCAGTTCCAAAACGCGCAGCCGCCTTCTCCATGACATAATCGCGGAGGTTGGAGCTCTTGTACCCAAACGTCGCGTCGCGCGCGAACGGCGTGTCACCGACAGGGACAAAATTTCCCCCCTCAACGACGTAGTGGACGTCATTAATGGTAAAGCGTCCTCCCTCGAAGAAGAAAGGGGCGAGAATCCAGGCGTCTGCGGCACCGAAGACTGACTGCACAGCGTCCGCTTCAAGCGGAAAATGGCCGCGTAGGGTGCTGTCTCCTCTGAGGACAATGTCGACGGTTTGTCCGGTCAACTTCGTAGCCTGTGCGATATTCTCGCAGATCGTGCGGATGAGTTTCTCCGCTTCGAGTGGTGGGAGAGCACGGGAATTGGTGAGGATGAAGAAGCCGGGAGATGGTTGTTGAAGTTCTTCAATTAGGTTGGGGATGTCCCACACGGTGAGGACAATGATGTCGTGGGAGGTTTGGGTACCTGTCGGATCATCATCTAGGATGATGAAACGGCTGAGCTTAGATGAGGAGAGGGATCGGGAGATCTCATCTTGCACATCGGAGGGGTATTCTAGGGGTAGTTGGGAGAGAGTCTTCTGGCAAGGGAGGACGGGATATGTAAACATGGTGGAACTTTTCGATTTTTTCTTATTTTTGAGAGATCATAAAGCGTGAACTAGGGGCATGAAGACAGTTAAATTCAAGTCGACCAAGTTTCAAGTATAGTTATAGCTTTAAATAGAGAACTGCCGAGAACCCAATCTGTGAAGTATATTTCAAGTTCGGCTCGTCCTGGGTTGTCGAGATTTCGGTGCGCCCCAAGGCGTTGAGTTGCTATTGGGCATTTACTTCGATGGCCATTCGTCGCTTGCATGGATTATGGAACTACCAGTTGTGGATCAAACTCGCCTGTTACTTCCAAGACCACTAAACTGCCCCTCTGGTAGCTGTATTTTGTGTAGGATGAATTATCTACTCTTCAGGTACTGCTCTCTTCTTGCCTTGATATTGGTGGGGGAGAAGTTCATACTGTTCTGCTCGTCCACTAATCGATCCTTCGTGCGGTACCAAATTTTGCCCCGGCTTACGTAGGGTTACTGTGATGAATTCTGGTCAATATTGCGGATAGTATCAGTGCTTCAGACACATTAAAGACGCGCTCTTCAGGTTGTACGATGATGCCTTACCGTTACCATATAGAGTAGGATGAGCAGGGACTATATGTTTGCCTGCTGCTTTTTTTGGGCTGCACAAACTGATGACTAAAATTCTATAGAAAATAATTTCCATTGGAATTTACTTCAACTATCTTGTATATAGACCTTCAAATACTCCCGAAGAGAATAAGAACAATAACACATCTACATACCTATTTTTTTGTTTTTATTTTTTAAAATTATTCTTCATTTCCTCCTGCCTCTTACTCGAGCGTCACAATTCAACTGCACAATCTCCTCTCATCGGATTATTTAAATACCCCAAACATGCTGTCAGTCACAGCTTCGTTTGGCGGTTATGAGATTTAGTAGAATTATTGAGTTCCCTAAGTACTCGGATACTGCATAGGGAGCCTTGCTCGAGAGCTCCGTCAATGGAAGCTCGCCAGCCGTGCGCCCAGTCGCCAGACGCAAAGGAGATCGCACCAAAAGGGCTTTGCAATTCGTCCTGGTACTTGCTCATGTATTCCGCGGGCCACCAGGCCGGACCACCGTTGGAGTAGGGGTCGGTGCACCAATTATGAAAAACCTGAGGGCAAGCTGCTGTAAGGTGGCATCACAATTGATCAAGTAGAACTAGTGGAACTTACCGTCTTTTTAATACGCATTGGATGTAGTTCGTTCCAGGCAGCGACCACCTTTTCAGGTTCAAGTTCAGGTGTGAAGTTTTTGCGCTCATCTCCTCCGAAAGCAACAAGATGTGCGTCCCCTTGCGCAGTGAGTCCGTCACCTTGCCCTGTCGCTAGTTTACCGGGAAATCTGGATCCATGCCAGGAGGCCAGGCCAGGGCCGTCCGCCACGGCGTGTATTTTTGACATGAAATTAATATGACCAATGTTAATTGCTTCCTGGCGCTTAGCAGAAAGTGGTGGACTGAACTGAATGGTCTTCAGGACATTGAGTGGGATAGTACAGATAACTCGGCGTGCTGTATACACCTCATTGTTGGAGGTGGTCACTTTGACATAGCCACCAATATCCCGAGTTTGGTCCATAATAGAGGTCACTTGAGTGTTGAACATGTATTCAAGACCAAAGTCCGCGGCCTCATCGAACATTCGACGGGCAAGAGCTGATTGGCCTTCGCGAAGCTTATAAGTAGACCAAATGTCGGCAAAGTTAAGTGACGAATGAATTAGGAGAGCCTGTGAGCGGATAATATCCCAAAGACTAAACTTCTCTAGAGTACCTCCACTTATAATCAGTAAGAGGGAGGAAAGCATGCCTACCTCCTCCGTAGAAAGAAGGTTTCGAATCTCATCAAGACGTTCTTTGCAGGTTTTCTTATCTATTTTCTCTACCTCCTTGCGATCCACCCTGCTGTTCCCAAGCTGGATGTGTGGGAGTGGACAAATTTTGCGGCACATGTCTCCATCAACGTTGACAAAAGTATCCCAAGCGTGTCGTAACATCTGACCGGCTTCCTCATGACTGAGCTTGCGAGGCTTTACTCCTATAGACCTGTATTAGTACATGTCTTCCACACTCTATCTGTACCCATCTGTTCCAAGGGTCTCCCACCGTCAATGTTCAATGTATAGTAGTCATTTTCATAACCTGGATGCTGCGAGACAATCATGTCCTGGTGCATATTATACCGGGTCATTTCCTTTAGTACGTAGGCAAAGTGATGCGTGACCCATGTGCCCCCCATCTCGAAAAGAAACCCTGAGCCTTGTCATTAACCCAGTAGTCAACAAGTTTATACTCATCAGACGTACCATCTTCATCTTCCAGAGTATATGTACGACCACCTACGCGATCGCGTGCTTCAAGGAGAAGTACCGACCGTTCTGCGCCACGATTAGTATCTGAGATAATTTTTTCGTGGAGTACTTACTGCTTGTAGCGAGGTCACGGGCAGCAGCAAGCCCCGCGTAGCCAGCCCCAATCACGATTGTATCATATACTGTCGAGTTCGAACTTCGCCGTTCGGGTGGAAACACAACCCCTCTACATTTGAAGCCGCCCTTTTTGGTACCGTGAGCTTCTGTCCAACTGTAGCCATCGGCAGTGGTTTCCATGATGTTTGAAGTTATAAATGCTACCAAAACGTTAAGTATTCAGTAAAGAGGAACCAGGCTTTAATGCAGCAGATAAAATGAAAGAGTGCACAGGCAATATAAATATATTCGCACCTAACATGATTGGGACTTCCTGATAAGAGGTGACTAGCCAGGACTGTGGGGCCGTCGTGAATTGCCTGGTACAGCGCCGCTGGTCGTCCTGAGTTGCCCTATGGCAGCTTTCGTGCGGAGTTACTCTCCCTAACTCTTCTACTAATAATAATTTCGAATCTATCTCGAAAATGCTTAGTGCCAAATATTCCGAGCATATATTGGAGATTAGAGATCTGACTCTAACTTACTTCTTAGCTCTTCTATGATCCCGCTTCAGAACCTAACCCCGTATAGCCCGCCTAGTCCAACCAGCTGTATCCCCTAGTTATAAGACCGCAGTGGGCGGCCTTATGGTTCAAGAAACATGACAAGAAGTATTTACAATCCCCACTTATATGGGCGAATCGAGAAGCTAAAAACAGTTACTAAGCTTGACATAGCAGGCAGTTAGGTGGCTATAGCAAATACTTTTGTCGTGCGACCGTATATACTTTCTACAGGTACCCAATCTGTATTGACATTTATTTATAGATTGTGTCAGGCTCTCTACAAGTATAGGTAATGATTTCATGGTAGAGAAAGAGTACACTAGTGCGGTCTTCATTTTCTTTCTTCAACTCCAAGGACATCGACCGACCCCAGCTAAGCGAAAGTTCGCTTCTTCTACATCTTGGTACCGCCTAAAGACAACACGTGCCGTTCCTTGTGTAGGTACTCGATATCTTCCAGCCCGTTGACAACCGTGCAGGATACCCAGAGTAGGTAGCAAGAGAACATGGGGATATGAAACCCACTTTCTTGATTAAACAAGCTGAAAGTAGGGATGTTCGTGGTTGATCTAGTCATCTCCTCATCCAGAATGTGCGAACCATTCACCGAGTTTTGATAGACAGCCCTTCGAAGTGTGCCGTAAAATCGCCCTTTTCACCATTCGGAGCAGGCTTCGCGACGTACGGACCGACCCAGATTTCAGTATCCCCTGGAATAGCGCCCCACCATGTGATCTCGCGCAGAGATGCATGTTGTCCATTGGGGCCAAAAGCGTGTACCGTAAGACTGCCATCATCACTAAGTCTGACCTCCACAGTAACGAGCTGCGTCCAACCATCGAACATCTCTCGTAAACTCGCATCAGCCCAATCATCCTTTACCACCGTGCATACACCAGGAACTCCATGTACAACTTCAATACTGGCTTTGACCCAGCGAGTTCGGTCCTTCGCTTTTATGGCAAGACAGATACCACCTTGGTCAAATTCGTCCTTGAAGTTGGCCGAAACAGTCACTGTGGCAGATATGAAGGCATCCTTAGTAGTAGACTGATAGATCAGGGGTGCATTGAAATCGTGAATGGAAGGAGGCTTGTCCCAGATATCGGTCCCTGCGGGACAGGTCATATCGAATGCTCCGGTGACATCGGGAATTGCGTGCATCAGATTCACACCGCGGTAGTTCGATGCCATTGTCAAACATTGCCTTTCCAAATAGGAAATTTCACAAAGGAGAATTGTGCCTGGTAAGCTTCTTGACCTCACAAAAGGTTCTGCCTACGGGAAGATATACCCTGTGACCTCATAGAGTTTTTAACCTGCATTTGTTGAATCATGAATACGCTGTGGGCCTGTGGGGTTTATTTGCATAAATCTCGCGTTATCGCAGGTACTTTAGCCAGCCCCGCTAAAATTGGACCTCACCACGGTGGTTTGTCGAACTTTATACGCGTTTCGTAAGATAACTTAGTAACAAATTGAGCTTAGTGGTAAATGCAACTCAACTAGATTGGAGTACATACCTGAGTTACAAAGAACTCATCTATCTAAACGTATTTATATGGGAATTTTCATTACTATTTGTCCTTTTGGGTAAGGGGTCAGTAATAACACTTTGTCACTTTTTGGCGTGAGGTTTTGGCGTAATTAACTATGGGCGAGCATGCTCATGTAATGCGCTTGGCACAATGCAGGTACTTGTTCAAGTAGATGCTCATTACTAATCTATCACAGTCGAACTCCAACCGATATTTGAAGCTGTCCAAGGAAGAGTTGCAGCTTCCAGATTTCGTACAAATGTAAGTAGAGAACTAGAAGCCTGTCAGCCAACTGCGTACCGGGAAACGGAAGGCCACGACGACGGCGGCAGCCCCCGGGTCAAAAAAGCTAGCGCCAAAGCTAAGCGTGGACCGCCTTCTGGGTCCTGCGCAAAATATGCTCGTCCTGAATTGCTAGATTTAAATATTATTTACTGTCAACCTTTAGATACTACTAAGAATCCACTTCAACGCCGATTTTTTTCCTAGTAGTCAGCGTCAACTCAGTCATGCTCTATTTCGTGTCCATTTCCTATTTTGGATAGCTAGTCAACCCCTATGCAGTGTGTTTTTAGTCGACTTCTACTGCTAGATTAGAAGAATTAGGCCGTTATATTTGGGTAGACGATACTAGTCGATACGCCTGGAGCTCATAGCCGACATTTACCCGGGTTTTAAGGTTTAAGTTTGGCATCGTATCAAGTTTCGAATGCAAAATGTAATTCCGGGGGGGAAACAGTTGAAATTTCAAAATTTCGTAGTAGGTTTTCCGGTTTCGTAATTACACCGTCCCTAACTAACCTACTGGAATTCCGACAATTATACGAGATCGAGTGAACACTGGCGCCCACACTAGATACAACCTCCTCTCCAAGCTGAGCCCTATTTTGGGCATAGAAGAAGCGTGAGATAAAATGCGTGTCTAATTGAGATTTGATATTGAGCTACATTCCTAATAGGTGTCTACTATGCGTGTAGTTGATCAATGTGCTTGCTGCGCTCTATACCCTCTACGGTTACCATAATACAGTTTACCTCACATGAATAAGCTTTTCTAGAAGATATTAAGATATTAAAGCTAGGTGTAAGGCTCCTTGACACTGCCAACCTCTTAAATGCCAAAAAGTAATACTGAGGTAATTGGGCCATTGCCCAATTCCAGGGCTGGCACGCTTATAAGCCTCTGTGAGCCTGCAGCACGTGCCTGCGCGCTGTGCGCTGCAGCGTCCCGCTGCTGCCAGGCCTGACATTAATATGAAATAAATCTTTATTATAATATAATAAAGTTGATCATTAAAAACAAAATTTTTAAGCTAATTTATTATATCAATAATTTTAATCTTAATTTTACAATTAATAATAATTAAATATTTTATATAAGAAACTTAACTTTCCCCCTCATCTAAGATTTGGATTAATCTGCTTCAGAGAGGTGCGAGGCATGATTAGAGGGAGGTTAAAAAAGAAGAAAAGATTTATGTCGCGGGTGCAGGGAAAAAGGCGAATACATTTTTTTGCGCGACTGTAGTTCCATACATGAACATTCCCGCAGTCCAAAAACATGAATGATGTGAACCTTTTAACCACCATAACAAAAGGACGCAATCCTTACTAAGGAAGGATTATTTTGGTTGCTTAGTCACATATATTTTCTGACTAAGAAAAATTAAAGTTAATCCTTCTTCCCTTTGGCGCTTGGAGACTTAGACCTTTAGAGCCCTACTTGACACTTAGCTTGTTATCCACGGCCCTAAGAAGATATCCGACGCGCTATCAATAACTCCATCGACCAGGTACATCCAGAGCTCTCCTCCCTGGGGCGACGGCTTGACCACTATCTGGTCTGTCATCATCCAATGAGCAACTGAGCCTTGGGTCCTTGAAATCGCCCTTGGATCCCTCATACTAGATGACACGCTGTGTCGAGGTAAATTAGATCCATCATGTCAACAAGCGATCGAACACATTCTGTGGCGGAATCACCTACACACGGCCAGGAGGATGATCTGTCATCACGTCCAGTACGTCCGGGGCCCCATCCCAGTCGGCGCCGGGACAAGCCCCAGCTCTCCTGTAATCCTTGCCGACGCCGGAAGTACGTATGCCACCTGTTGTCAGTTGTAAAGCTGTTTTGATGTGAATTTGTTTGTACAGATCACGATGTGACCGCCAAAAGCCGTGTTCAACTTGCTCCGCTCGAGGTCAAATATGTACATACCCAGGTAACCAGACAAGTACGGGGCAGTCGGAGCTTCCACGCGTTGGCGTACATGATCGTCTTGTGCAGCTGGAGCAGCTGGTTATGTCCTTTGTGACTGATTCGGTCGACAAATCCAATGCTAAGATGTCGTCTGATCCAGATCCACGGCCCGGGATTGGAGGCGTTACCCCAGTTGACACTCTGGATACCTCGATAGATGCCCGTTCGGAATGCGGTAGTATGCGTATCAGTGTGTCAGAGCATCGCTACGTTGGAGAGGATCACTGGGCTGCAATTTTGGACCGTATCGCTGACCTGAAAGATCATTTTGACCGGGAAGAACAACAACAGTTGGCTATCAGTCCAAAGCACTCCGAGTATGATGAATGGGGGGAAGAGAGAACTGATGCTCTGACAAGACCAAGATCAGGATATGCATTGCTTCTGTACGGAGTTAGCCGACCGGCTTCTCGAGACCAAATCCTCACTGCCTTGCCTCCAAGGGCTGCTGTTGACCGCTACATCTCTCGCTATTTCAACTACCTAGACCTCGTATCATCCTGTGCGTGTTGTTTCCTGATCACTAAAGTATATTTGCTAATCTAAGCAGCGGCCGTTCATGGCCCAAGCTTCCTTCGCCAGGTAAGAACTGTAACCTCTTCTTGAATCAGGGTGACTGACTTGTATAGTACGAGGCATTCTGGACCAACCCATCTGGTGTCCCGATTATGTGGATTGGCCTGCTTTTCAGCATCATCTGTCTGGCCTGTTTTGTGTCCGAAACACCCGACTCTGATAACGAGCAACAGTCGCTTCAGATAGACCTCTACCGAGAGAAGATTGTGCAGTGTTTGGTACTGGGAAAATATACTCAGTGCGGTCCATACGTACTAGAAACAGTGATTAACTATTTGTACACCGAGTTTTGTATCCACTCGGATGCACACAAGGATACCTGGTTCCTACTTGCGCTCGAGGTCAACCTGGCGATGCGGATGGGTTACCATCGCGATCCTAGCTATTTCCCTGGGATATCACCTTTCTATGGAGAGATGCGACGCCGACTCTGGGCGACCGTTTTAATGGGGGACATTCTCATTTCAAACCAAATGGGAATGCCACGCATGATATGTGACTGGAAATGGGATACGACTGAGCCGCGGAGTTTGAATGATGCCGATTTTGATGAGGATACAGTGGAGCTCCCCCCGTCACGGCCGGAAAGCGAACACACAACATCTCTCGGCCTCATCGCACGGAGACGTATATTGAAGGCGTTGGGCAATATAGCCGATCTTACAAATTCGGTTCAGCCGTGCAGCTACGCTGAAGTCATGCGTGTTGATGGTATCCTCGAAGAAGCTGCGCAGAGTATCCCACAGCAATTAAAAATGAAACCAATGGCGGCAAGTTTAACCGATATTCCGCAGGTAATTATCTCTCGTCTGTTCTTAGGCCATATATTTTACGGGGGAAAGATAATGCTTCATCGACGGCTCCTATACATGCAATCGCCCTCCCAGGAAGAGGATCCTTTTATTTACTCACGAAGGACTTGTCTGGACGCTTGTTTGGGGACTCTGGAGATCCAGAATGTGCTTGACGAGGAAACGTGCCCGGGGGGTCAGCTTTATACAGTACGCTTTCGGGTGACTTCGGTTATGAACCATCAATTTCTCACGGCTACCATGATTCTATGCTCGATGCTTTGTAGTGGGCAGACACAAGGGAGAGAGGACGAAGTACGATCTGCGTTACAAAGATCAAGAATGATCTGGATACGAAGAAGCACAACTTCCAAAGAGGCAAAGAAAGCGGCCGAAACTGTTAGCATTGTCCTTGCCAAAGCAGGGGTTGATCTTAACAAGACTACCAATGACTGGATGATGGAGATCGGAGGCCTGTCCAGTAACCAGCAAGCGATGCAGGAAGGTAATTTCGTGATGGGCTTAGATGGAGGTGGAATGTTTACGGATAGTACTTGTATGGATCTTCTCCAACCCTTGGATTATACGTCGTAACAAAATGCTGAGCTGACCGTTCTGTATAGCTCATCAATTCATCATTCCAGATTCCTTGCGGAATTTCACGGTTTTTAATCAAAAGGACCAGGATTTTGACTTCAGCATGGAAAGGTCTCTAGACGACTGGACGCTAATGAACTCCGCGGGGAGCGGTTGATCGTAAAAGTCGTATATTTGCTAGTTATTAGCCAGGACATAGTGCTTAGCCAAGTTTTGAAATCAATTCAGGGTCCACTACGAGAGAGTGATCTTTCAATTTGACTTGGCGCGCGTAGCCAGGGTTGTCCTTAGCATTTCCTCGTATTCAATGGATTAGATGCAGGATTAAAGCCTGGCAATTCGGCACGAACCCCTCACATAGTTACCGAACTGGTCCGTAATCCTATTGGAATATCTTTAAACTGTATTCTCTAGACTCTGAAAAAAATTAATAATCCGAGTGTTATTCGGCGTATTTGCGTAAACATTGTCTACTCCGCACTGCTCAGAGCCTATGCTGGGCCAATCTTATCGTACACACGTACGAATTACTACGATCCCTTTTGGATACCCAGCTTCGGCACTTTCTTGCTTCTTTTGATGAACGCTTGACGGACGTAAGCCGCAATATAATTTCATTTCCGAATGTGACTGACACTTCTGGCTGAGGAGACACTAATCTTATATACGACAGCAAGGGCTTGTGAACTTATGCAATAACTGCCGTGATACTTCCAGTACGTGTCAACTGTAATCGACATATTAAACAACATATACATGGACGCAACCCTAATCACCGTATTCCTTTAGTAAATTCATCCGAATAAGCATAGCAGAGGTTGGGAAGGAGGTGAATTGAGTCAATCCCAGACTAAATAATATGTGGAGTTTCATATTAAGATTAAACACAAGATTATAAGAATCAGCATCATTACAATGCACCATATAGCAGTTGTCAAGGTTTGGCAGGAAGATACTAGCAGAGCGCACATTGTTTCATCAGCCCGCTATTTATACTTGTATATCTACATAGTACATCTATACCAAAAAAGGGAAGAAAAGACCAGACGATGTATCAATCACGCAATACATGGATCGGAACATAGCAACCCCAACCAACCATAGAAACAGTGCCGCCAGATGATGTAAGAAAACAGGTTGATAACAAACAAGGCGGCGCTCGCTACATGCGCGGCAGAAGTAGGAACAAGGTGATGAAAGATAAAGGAGAATAAAAACCCCCAAGACTCCTTGTTCTACTAAGATGATGCTTGCAATCGACGCCTACCATAACTTTGCCCTTCGCCGTCGCTCAGAAAATTTGGTTCAATAGACAATGAAGAAGAAAATGAAACAAGACGAGAATAGAAATTTAAATGGAAAATAAGAAGAAAAGGCTTTTCTGATTTCATTTCATAGTTTTGACTGTACTATTGTTGAGATCCTCGTTGGTCGTCGACATCGGGGGGACTCATCAAGGTCGTTCCGTAGTTTTGTGATGGATCGCCGAAATAATTATTGATTACGTCCGGGGGAAGATACTCCAGCCACGGGTTAAAGTCGTTTGAAAATGCAAACGGGAAGGAATTCTGATTGTGGAAGGAATTCATATCGATATCCTGGCTCTCAATCAACATGTCTGACATCTGTGGAGTCATTTGCGGGGCGAGAATGTTGAGATTGTCGGTGAGCGGTTGTGAAGATGAACTGCCCGCAGTAGCATATCCATACGACGTCAGTTGTGACGAGACAAGATTCTGATTGTAGACATTATGAGTGCCCGTGGGTGTGCCGGTTCCAGAAGGGGTGTAGGGGTTAGAGGACAGCATGTTGTCGTTCGAAGCAGGAAATTTTGGTACAGATGCTGAAATACTTGCCGCAGCAGCGGCTTGACTCGACGAGTAGGCCGAAATTGTTGGTGGGTATGATGGTCCGGAACGTTGTATTTGCGCGGATGGAATTCCTTGATCTGCCACTTGCGCCTCGTCAAGCGGCGGGGCTGGAAGTTGGTACAATAAACTGATATTTGGCTGGGAGGAATTGATTTCCCCAGTAAGCGCCCAACCGATTGCTGCAAGAAGATGGATTAGTATATTTTTACGTTTAGCACCTATTAGGATTATCCTACCTTGACTAGGGTCGATCCTAGGAGAACTTGGGTCCCCTACAGCGCTAGATTGGGCTGGGCCAGCGGATTCGACCTTTCTAGCATTCAGATCCAGCGACAGCCGTCGACTAGGAGGCTGTTGCCAATTCGGTGACGCCAACGATTGGGTGATCGGAATCTCGGCGGTGCTTTCCATCTCTTCTGTTGTGTACAGTAGTGGATCGCCAATGCCTTTCGCTTTCTGGTCAAGAACAGTGAGAATGTATTTCGTGCCTTCCCAGTAGGTTTGCAAAGACTGAAGTGCCCGGTAGCAGCGTTGGTAGTTTTCTTTTGCTGCCGAAGCCAGGAGACTGTGCTTCGCATTCGCCTTGCGTTCCGTCCCGTTGGTAGTGTCCATGTGTGGGATAGTGAATGCGCTTGTTTGATCCGTCACTAGTATGCCTGGAGATCCAGCCCTAGAAGAAGGCGATGAGTAGTAGGCACTCTCCATAAGAAATGCACAGGCAGCAATATACATAGGCTGGCTAGTAAACGGATTACCAATAAAGCTCTTTGCATCAATCAATTCGGAGAAGGATAGAATATCGGCAATTGTTTTGGCCGAAGACATAGACAACTCCCGACTGTTTGGGTACAGTTGCTGAATGCGTCCACCGAACGAATTTAGAAGGGTGGGTTGGTGTAAAAGCACTATCAATGTATGGAACCAGAAATGCAAGAGAATGAAATTCGTTCCTTCTTGTGCTTTGACGTAGGCTTGAAAGTTCATGGTATTGAAATGCAACTTGGGAGACAAACGCTGATAGATGCCGGTTAGATCACTTTCCATTCCAGCTAATCGCTTCAAGGTCTCTGCATCGATGTGATTGTCTTCTTGTATGGCATTGATCAGATCCGTGACACGGCCGTAAAGATGAATGATGCGGATGAGAGGCGGAAACGGCGCGGGCCATCCATTTGAAAGGATCGATTCGCTTTGCAGAGGAAATCGTAGTTCTATGTCTTCATCTCGCAAGGTTACCGGTCTTCCAGTACCAGATGATATGACGCGATCCAAGAAGAAAATACTCCAGAACGTATCAACTCGCTCCCGCTCAACGGCTCGCTCAGCTTCATCCGTCGCTTCTAAACTTGCACCGCTCTTCGATGTCTGTGGACTCTCGGACTGTTCGACACTTAATTTCCCAGCTTGACCGGTGATAACAGCTTTTGGCCGAAGACCGGTACGCCCATAATTATGCTTAAGTCCCTGCAATTTTTGCATTCCAAGATCTTGTGCCATGCGAATAGCTATCCCCAGATACATCCAAAGGCCACTATCATGATTTGATCCGAATTCTTCGTATGCAAGTAAAAGGCAGGCCTGAACAACGGATAGTGTAGGACAGGACAACGCATCGACTACCTCCCTCATGGCACGGTGGGCAAAAGGCTGGCCATTATTCGACTTTTTGGCATCTGGCTGATCATCATCACCGTCGATGGGGCGCGCTTGAGGGGGACTCAATAACGGATGCGGGGAGAATCTCGCAGCCAAGGCACAAACCGCATCCACCAGAATCATATCAATTCGCTTTTCCTTCAGGTCTTTCATGAATCGATCGCGCTGTAGAAAGGGGAAGCTGCAGCCAAGATGGACAAAGAAGAGCTCGCATAGGTGCGTGACTAGATTGCTAGTCGATAAGCTGTCATCTGGGTCGTAGAAAGGGATGCTGTTTGATTCTCCATCTGCTAACGCAGCCGCCAAAGAAACGCCCGGAGGATTGAGCTGGGGACTCTGTACTGACGGCACCGAGCCTAGACATAGTTGCACGTTTAGCAGTTGCAAGACTTGGCGGAATAAAGTATTAAGTGACGAACCAGAAGAATGTGAAAGATTTCCTCTCCTTCCATCTCGTACCCGCACAACCTACACTGGTTAGTAATTCATCCATATCTCCGGCTAACAGCCTACCATTTGTTTGAAGCCCGGCACAATCGCTGTAGGTCCAAAATATCGAAAGTACGGCACATGAGTGCGGTTGACTGAGCTTAATGACGTGCGACCTGAACTCCCAACATACGTTAGTCATCATATTCATAATGTATCCAGTCAATCACCGCACGTACTGCTCTCAGGACTGTCCACAAACCCCATCTTATCCTGATCCTTTGTAGCCTTTGTGAGTGTGTCTTTTGTCAAAGGCAGAACTGCAGCCGGCCTGATGACCTTTGGCGACTTGGTTGCATCTGGTGGTGCCATGGTCGTCGCTGATGCGCGGGGGGTCGTGGGTGACCGAGACAGTGGCGGCTCATCATCGTCGACATCAAGGGGCGCTGTCTGGTCGTCTTTGGTTGTTGTTTGCGACGAGGGTTTCTCAGACTTTTCGGGGTCATTATAGCCGAGACAAGTGTGTCCGTAATCGGAGCACGTCTTGCACACTACGATGCTGTTAGGGTTACGCTTGTTTGGCACACGACGTGTACGTACCAGGCTGCTCACCCGAGCACCGGATCTTTCGTTTGCGGCAGGTACGGCATCTACTCCGAACAAAGCAACACTGGTTAGCCACGACAATGTCTCATCAAAATATCAAAGGAACGTGGAAAAGCAAGCGCATACGCAGCAGTCACACGGCGGCGCTTGGTCTGCGGCTGGCCATCGGACGAGACGAAGCGAATTTGACGGGGCTGCGGCGGCGCAGTCGAATTGCTGGTGGTATTGGAGGTGGAGGTTGTCGTGGTGAAGTTGGTGCTGGGATTGGTACTGATAGCGCCGTTCTTCTTCTTGGGAGAAGGATTGCTCATGGCGAGCGCTCGAAGAAGTGTGGTCGCTACAGCATTTGGGGCTCACCCCTCGATCGAGCGTTTGTGCTCTCAGCGTCTATGACCGAGGCGGATGCGCATACAGGGATATGCGGCGAGGCGAGGTGAGGTGAGTGATTTAAGGATCGCAGGTCCTTCTCCATGGGCTCCGGCCAGGCATCCAGTTCATATCCGGGGAATCGCTCTAGGCCGGGACTGATATATCGAAGAATGAATGAATAAGATATGAATAACAAGGAGTATGGTCGGAGATGATGCGGCGAGAATAGCGGGAGGGGAAGCGGCCATCCAAGCGTGTCGCTGACTCGTGTTGGTTGTTGGCCGGCGCTAGTTTTTCTGCTGGTCACTTGACTTGTTTTCTTTTATGATTAAATTATTATACATATTTTGTGTATTTTTCTCTTCTTCTTATATTTTATTATATATTATTGTCATATATTTAACTTATATTATTTATTTATTTATATCATTTATATTGGATATTTTATATCATTTACATAAATGTTGACTATGCCCAGCTAAGCGTGCAAGTTGATCTGCGTTCCTGCGTTTTAGTTATTATAACTATAATCGTGATTATAGTTGATAATCACGGTGCTCATAATAACTGCGGCTCTATTCTATAAAGACCTACTCCAGGCCTCGACAATAACTGTTCTGTAAATTCAAATAATAATCACAAAGATGTCGATGGCTAATTGATTTAATAGCCTAATATCACATATGTGGAAGGGCAGAGAGAGCGTTCTAGGCTTTGGCTGCTGATTCTAGCCCGCCTGGCGGGGCTCCTCGGTGTATGTCTCGCCCGACAATAATATTATCATTTTATTATTGTTATGAATAAATACTCCTCCATTGTATGTATACTCTATAATTAATTCAGGTGCCGATGAGTCCCTCTCTAAAGTTCCATCTCCTGCTGCAACTGAGTTGCCATGTACGAAACTAAATCTATGTCGAAGCGGACAGCTCAACAACAGCCCGAGTGACTCAGGTAGCCGGTCGCCCGATTTCGACTATCTCTCTAGTCCGACCATACTGGATGCCTCCTAACCGGCTCATCGGTCGCAGGACGTCCAGACTGATCGCATCCTGGTCCTCGTTGATCGCATCCTCGCGCGCCCAGAATCGCGTCCCCTCGATGATGGCGAGAACCGAAGTTTTCTTGCCCGGCTGAGCCCGACTTTCAAACTCCTTGACCTCGACGAGCTTGCCCTCAATAGAAAACACTGACTCCCGGACACGGGGCGCCTGTACCGTCGAGCACGCTGCCGGGTGCAGTCCCGCGATGCCAAACTCCGACACACCGTACGGCACAGGGGCAGCCGTCGCGTTGGCCGCGTCGAGGAAATGCTCCGAAATAATATTGATTACACACTCGCCCGTGTCAACCAGATTCCGCAGCGTGTCCTTGGCCTTCTCGACCGAGCCGACGAAGCTGACCACAAACAACGGCGGGTCGTGGTTGATCACCTGGAAGTAGCTGAAAGGGGCCAGGTTGACCGATTGTCCATCCTTCGATCTGGTGCTCACAAAGGCCACTGGCCGCGGCACAACCCCAGAGACAAGGAGTTTGTAGTTGCTGAATAGCGACCGGCCTTCTGCATAGGGGTCAATCTCTACGTGATTCTTCCCCAACGAGGCTCCCGCGTCGTTAGCCCCATCGCCCTTCTTCCACGCTGGGTTGGGTGGTTTGCTGTATTTAATTTCCGCAGCACGATCAAAATCTGGTAGCGAGCCTTCGAGGTTGCTCTTAGTTGCCTGGAAATGTTGACAGGCCGAGGCGGTGATGCTGCGGGCGCCAATGCGACTCCATCTTGCATTGGCTGACCAGGGAAGACGCCGCCTGCACCATTATGTCAGAGGCGGACAGCATCATACAGCAGGTGTTGATGCAATAACGCATCAGAAGACTTACAGTGAGCAATTGAGGGCTGCTCTGGTAGCTGCAGCGGCTCTTGGAAAATAAAAATAGGACATTGTCAATGTTCAAATACTTTCAAGGGTAGAAACAGGAGGTGTGGGGGCGCTCGGCCACCTCTTATTAGCCGTTGTAGCTCAAATGTTCCGTCGCCTTGGCGCTTCTCGCGTGCAGTCGGAGTCCGATAATTAATAATGAATTAACTCGCCGGCAGGTACAGTAACCCTATAAACAGCTATTATTGGCTTTGGATCCGATTGCTTATCGATGGCTAGATCGTAGATACGTTGACACTCGATTTACGTAGAACATATATGCAAAATCAAATGTCACCAACATTTTACACAACATTAATTGTTCCATTGCCAGTATATCATAACCCCATACTCAACTTGAAGCTCAACCAAGCTGATCACCCACTGCACAATGCACAACATGTCTGACCAGATTCTGCTATGCAACCATCAATTGATCTCTGATATTGTGAGTAGGGCTCGCGCAGCCACGTGAGTACATATGTAAACGTAAACAACTATATACTCCAACGACGTCACATTGATGTCATATCGCCGTCGACTGTCTTTATCTACTTAAACCATTTACCCCTTTACTTACTACCACATATGTAACCGACATTTAAAGCATTAATATCCACAATCCACCACGTACCACGACTATATAAATTCATACTACAGTTACTACTACCACATAAACCATGCCATTTACATCCTACATCTCGTCCTCTGCAACCTGCTCCGCGTCTTTCACCGGCAGCAACGGCAAGACTCAAAGCTGGGGTTATCGCAGCGCCCAGCAAGCCCACCGCGACGCGCAAGGCAATACATATGAGCGCTCGCTCGAGCAGAATCTAGGCGAGGATCCCGTCTACGAAGAACGCCAGTACGATAGCCAAGGCCGACAGCTGGTCGATGACGGGAGACAGCATGATCTGCGACACCCACAAGGGCGCATTGAGGATGTCAGTGAGAAGAAGTAATCACTACCCGGTGCTTGTCCTTGTGGTATTCAGTACGTGTCTTTTAATCTTTGGTTGTTAAAATGAGGTCAACGTTAAAAGTTGACGCAATGGCTCTGTGAACACACGTAATGATGTACGTCTCATGATCTGAATGACAAATTGCGCATTATTTACTACAAAATATACATGTACAATATCTGAATTTGAATGAAGAATATACATAAATTTCCCATGTACAAAGTCTTAACGCGATAGCCAAGATATAAGGCATCATGATGCAGACAGGTTCAGACAGGTTCAGATGTTGATACCATGACGTCACTCCCCACATCTCCAACATCCCCACAAAGCACAAGCCAGTTCTATCGTCATTCTGCCTCAGCCACATCATATCTTCTGGAACCAGCTTCTATGTGGCTTACCAGGCGATCTCCTCGCCAATATGACGTGCCACCAAGCCCGTTTTCCGGATTTAGATCCACACCGGCAGATGCTGAACAGCAGGGTTAGCAAACAAATCACGACGTCAGGAATGGATGTGTCGACGCCACCCACGATTGTTATGATGCGTATTGTATCATCGCCGTTGTAGATCGGTATGACAGCAAGGGGTGAATGGGGTATTTAAGGACGGTATATCTGCTTGAGTATCTGGTTATTCGAACACTCAACCAGAATATCAGACTACTTTACTACTTTACTACTTTACTACTTTACTACTCTACTACTTTACTACTTCACCTACTTCACTTACTTCACTACACAATCAAAAATCGATCAAAATTCAAAATGTTCGGCCGTCGCTCTCGTCATACCACCAAAACCACAAAACCCACCCTTATGACTAGACTTAAGGGCCGCAATGCCAGAACGAGAACCTACAAGACCGAAGTCACAGAACACGGTGGTCACCATCACCATCACCACAATACTACCACCCGGACCGCACCCGCTTTTCATCACCGTCGCAGACCTAGCCTCGGAGACAAGGTCTCCGGCGCCATACTGAGGATGAAAGGTAGCTTGACACGCAGACCAGGCGAGAAGGTATGTTTATCCAGCACTGTATAGCCCAGCCTACATGAAACACGGTCTAACGTAAACAGGCTGCTGGCACACGCCGAATGCGCGGCACTGATGGACGTAGAAGTCATCGTGTCTATTAAATGACCATACTATAGCTTGATGATTATGGAGGATGGCTTACGAATTATGAAACTGTATTATAATAATGCTTTTAATGTTGTTAATGCCGTCTTGACTTGTCGGAATAACACGAAGTTTTAACGTTCTATCAACCACTAGCCAGTGTAATGCTCTTGTAGGAAATTGAAGTAGCGATGCATTAGAAACGCGAAATATCATTCCCGAACACACGGTTATTCAACCATCGAAACAATATGCGCATCCGATTCCGCCAGCTGATACTCATACTCAAGTACGCCACTTTCCACACTAACCATGCCATTCTACCCGTCAAACCCTCTGGAAGGTATGGGTTTCGTCGTGTGCCGTTCTTCTTCTCATGTGGGATCTGCATTAGCGCATTCGCGTTACCGATATAGGCAAGTGTGCCCATATTTCGAAATGAAAACCCAGGTGCTTGGTCGATATCCCGACGATTGAGCCGCTCCGCCAGCCATTTTGCTTCCTGCGATGTTGCCTGTGCTGTAGCAGGCGGTGCACCGGTTTCCGGCATTGCATTGTCGCCAATGGCAAATACGTCTTTTAGAACAAAGCTTTGATTGTTTGTCTCATTTTCGAGCTGAACTCGGAAATGGCCGTCCACGAGCAACGCGCCAACCTTGGCTGCCTTTTTGACCCGCCATCCATTTTTTATTTCGGGATAGGCATTCTTCACCTGCTCTGGCAAATCATCCACCTCGTTCAATGCATATTTGACAAACTTGTTCATCGTATTTCCCGTCGCCCATACACATATCCCCACACCGACCTCACCTTCCTCTTTGGTTTTCAGAGTGAGACAACCCTTAGGATCCATCTCATGGGGTCCCTCGGTATTCGGTGGCCCCCATCTCAATCCTTCAATATGATGTGACGTCCTGATGTTAATACCGTCCTTGGACATCGTCTCCATCGCATACCGCGACAGCGACTCGTCAAACATACTTAGAACCGTTGGCGCAACATCATACAACGTCATACAAGCCTTCCCTCTCAACATTGGATACAACTCCTCCATATTCCTCGTAATAAAATCCCGCAACGTCGCCGCAAGCTCTGTACCCGTCGGTCCAGCACCAACGATCGCAAAATGGAGTAAATGCTTCTGCATTTCCTCCGTCGTGATAGGCAGAGCAGCGAGCTCAAAACACTCTCTCACCCGTCGCTTAACGCGGCGGGAGTCACCGATATCTTTGAAGAACATTGCGTTTTCGCGTACACCAGGTGTTGAGAATGTCTGGCTCACGCATCCAACCGCTACCACCAGTTTATCGTATGGAACTTCAAATGTCTGCCCCCTTTCCCACTGTCGCAGGTGCTCCTTTCCACGCATCGATCCTGTTTCAGGCCCTTCTTCATATGTGCGCTCCGTCTCTTCGACACGCGGAGTCTCAGTAACGCCGGACTTGACGACACTTGCTTCACAAATAACGACCTTTTTCTTAAAATCAACCCTTCTTGCGGCCGCCTGGATGAAATCTGCCTTGTTTTTTTTATCGCGCAACGGCTCGACAATGGACGAGAAGTCCAGATTTCCAGCCGCCGTGTCAGTAAGTAATGGCGTGAAGACAAAGTATGAGCGTGGCGATATCACCGTGCAGTCATATTCCGCAGTTGATATCTTGCGCGACAAGGTGTATCCGCCCCAGCCAGATCCCAGGATGACGACTCTTTCCTTTCTAGATTTGTCGCGCAGTGGGAGACTCGCGTACGCAGGGTTTTTGGCTAGAGTAGTTGGAGATGGCGATGTTTCAGCGGCATGATTAGGGTTGGTGTAGCTAAGATGTCGAGATGGTTTTACCGTGGATCTGCCTCGTGAAAGCTGTTTTGATCGAAGACGGGAATAATGCTGGATATGAAATCCTCGGTGCATCAAACGACACCATTTCCCTGTACCACCAGGAGAAAGTGGTGGTAGCGCTAGATTTCTCATTAAAGCTTTGCCCGACACATGCAGCACAATATATACCAGCCCAACTTAAAGATGCAATGCACAAGGGTGTAGCTGAGTAGACACTAAACTAAATAAGTGAAATGTGAAATCTTCAAAGTGTATTCTTTCATATTTTTCTTGTCAAAATAGCATACATTGATACCTCTTTATACGGGACCTCATCATGATATCATCATTATGGACCTTATCTTAGATCCCCCACATGGGAATTGATAGATGCCGGAATAGTTCTCCCCCAAAAGCTCGGAAAGTCATGTGAACTACTCAATTACTGTATTTCTGTTGACTGGAAACCCTAAATCTAGTTTAAAATTTGTTTTGTCGGTTCTTTTTCTGCATTGTACGGACGTAAGTCGTTTCGTCTTCCGAGTCCCTCCGCTGACGTGGAATACATCCGGGTATACCCGAGCGGAGGTCGTCGAGTCGTCTCGACATTGGAGCTGTCACGTAAATAAGGACACATGTGAAGATTGAAATCGGGGTTGATTAATTTGTTGACGTGCGATTAGCATGTGCAAGCTAGATAATACACAGGTAAAGATGAACGCGGTTGGTCGATTGAATATCAAGGGTCTAGGTGCATTGAAAAAACAAAGAAGTACAAAGCTAGGAGTAGTGGTAAGAATAATCGTCCAGTCATTAATATCCATATTCCATGCAAAGGAGGACAAGCCTTAATCCAGATGGGTTGCCGGTAAAGGCTGCCTTATCCCAAATACGCTGACTCCGGCAATCGTCAGCATGATACCGGTGGCCACAAAGGGTAAGCCTAGCAAAAGACCGCCAACTTTCATTCCGAGTTCAAATGCACCCACGAGGACTGGCTCGTTAGCCAGCTTACCAATTGCTTCGCCAATGGTCATCGCTGTGTACAACATTCCGATATGACCCGGCTCGATAAAGGGTGTTGCTAGACTGAGCACGGCGGGGACGAAGCCGTGGCCCAAAGCAAAGATGGTCAGTCCTGTCATTGTCAGTAAGCATTAGCGGATAATGATGATTTCGACATGGGGAGGAGGGAAAGCGCGAGCCTACCGGTGACCATGATGGATAAGATTGGGGCCAGCCCGACAATAAAAGCGCCAACAGCCAAACATACAATGCTCGCTCGGGAGATCCACTGGTCTTTTCGGCCAGCATCAAAGTTACGACGGAGAAGTATTTCGCTTATTCCCGGAAGAATTGTACTCAACAAGATGAGATTGACCACATTCCGGTACGTAAGCCAGAAGCTCGCCTGTGCATAATGTTAGATTGTGAAATAACGAATGGCAATTGTATCGACGAACCTGGGACATCCGCCACCCATAACGCTTAGATATGTAATTCTTAAAGAACTCCGCGGACTGGTCATATAATTGGCCGACTGATAAAAGCGGGACTAGGAGTAAAAGCTGGCGCGAAGCTATCAAGTACCTAAGATCTTGAAGGCTGGACATAATCTTCCTGACACGGCGCCAGATTGTACTCTTTTGTACGTCGGTGTAAACCACGGGGTCGTCTTCTTCTTCTGGCTCGTTTTCTTCGAGCCGGATACTCTGAACGACTTCAGTCATTGACAATGTCTCCGGAAGGACTAGCCAAGTCGCGAGCAGAGCCATAATGAAAGCAATCAAGCCAAAGCGGGCTGGCCACCACGGCTGGATGTTCGTCAACGCATCACTGGCTGGCGACAGGATCATATCCGAGAGGAGAGCAACTCCATAAAGGCGGAAGAATTTCGAGGATCTGATCCTATTAGATATGTACAATCGTTTATCTAGAAGAGATGTGAATTTACCTTTTCTCTTCCGGTGTCACGTCGGATACAATGGCAAATATCATTGCATTTACGACCAGATTGCCACCACCGACAAGCTGGAAGACTATTGATAACCACGTCAATCTCGCGGGAAATACCGCAGGCCAGAATACTACAAGCGTTAGCAGCGATCAAACTCAGTATACGGTAAAGCAGGGACTCACAAACTATTTGCGTCCAGATGGCGGAAAGTACTATCCCTGCCAGTGCGAGCGCAAGCACCGGGCGGCGACCGTATCGATCGGCCGCCATACCGTAAAAAACGCCAAACAAAATGCCTGTTCTGATTAGGCACACACAGATAACAATATACTGAAGACATTAGCTCACCAGGCGCAGTGTCGAACAGTTGTTGCCATGAAGTTAGGGTCGTCACTTCGTCCTGAACGGCTTGGACCTTGCAGTCCTCCCCCAACGATCTAGAGGAACCATATTCCGCCATACAGACCGAATCCTCCTTGAGCTGGATCAAGGGCGCTTGCAGTACGACATTTGCGGCTTGTACGAGAGTAAAAACTGTAAAACATAGCCTCCATATATGCTTGTTCCTCGCCAGCAAGTCGACCTCGGCGGTGTCCGTGGTCTCAGTGGTCGGGACGGTTTCATCATCGTGCGTTGCGGGAGATGACAGAAGCGGTGTCTGCTCTGATGCGGTGTCGACTGTGGACGACATGGTTTGCGGCGGAGAGGAATAGGCGGTTGACGAAGATGATGCTGTAAATGCAGCTTCACGCGCCATATCGAATGGCTGGCCGTACAGTTAGGTGTTGTCGGTCTTCGATCGATATCGATAAGACACCGGAACCCCCGGCTGGGCGATGCCTAAGGCAAAAGAGCGCTAATCCCCTTCTGCAGTAGCGCTAGCCTATCGCGGGTGACCAAATAAGCATGTGGGGAGCAGCCCACTAGCCACGAGTACCCCGTGACTGCGCCACTACGTCTTGTTTTGTGGCTGGTTCGTCTCGGACCCGAGTTCTGTTTTCGGGCCCGAGTGCGAGCGCCACCAGCCCGGTCGCCATTTGACACTGACGCGTCTTCCACTGCCTGGTCTCTCTATGCCTTACAAATGCGCAAACTACAATCATGGAATGGAATGGTGTGTGCCACCGAGGGCGCTGACTCGTCCGCCTCGATTAGAATGGCCGCGAAGCTTCCACTGTCTGAGCAATCATATCTAATCTATCCGCCGCGCCTTGCCTGTTTCGAGCTATTATTGCCACATTATTTGCTCAAGCTTTCGATGAAACCCGACATTTTGCTGCCTAGTTTGTTGGCAAGGAAAATGTATATAAGACCGAGCGAATTCTCCTCGTTGTCGTAACTCTCTCTTTTCCTCGTATCCATTATCATCTCACCCTTTAACAATTCTCTATCTTACACGACATATTAGCAACAAACAATCACCATGTCTATACACTGCATGTTCCCCCCTTTTCCTCCTCAACACCATGGGCCAATCCAACTTCCTCCGGGATTCGAAAATGGACCATTTTTTGGGCCACGAAATGACGATGGGGAACTCGGAGCTCGTGGATTTGGTGGACCACGCGGAGGACACCACCATCATCACGGTGGGCTGCGGGGCCGAGGCGGTCCCTCCCGAGGAAGACATCACGGGTTTGAATCTCATGAAACGGAAAACCCCCTCGCGAACGCCTGTGAAGGCCCATTTGGACCTTGGAGCGGGCATCATCCTAGATCCCGCCATCCACACCGAGGCCGCGGGGGCCGTGGTGGTCGAGGTGCCATGAGAGTTCCATTCGGCTTCGACTTCCTTGAGCGCTTTGCTGCTGAAATGGACAACGCACAGGGTCCTAGCTTGAACCGCCATGAACGAGAGACCTCAGGTGACGGTCAGGCCGACTTTGTTCCGCGCGCTGACGTATTCGACACACCTACTCAATACGTTATCCACGTCTCCTTACCTGGTGTACAAAAGTCAGATGTCAGCCTTGACTATGACTCCGATAAATCGACCCTCCATCTGTCGGGCGTGATTCACCGCCCCGAATTTAGTGAAGAGCTTCATGAAGCTATGATCATCAACGAACGATACAGTGAAGTCGGCGTTTTTGAGCGGAGCATCCATCTAGGAACTCGTTTCGCGCCGGTAAATGTCGACCATGAGAACATGTCTGCCAAATTTATCGACGGCGTACTAGTCGTGCGTCTACCAAAAATTTCAGCCGAGTCGGAACAATCCCAAAAGAAGATTGCCGTTGAACAAGACGTCGACACTACCGAAGAAAATGATACCAAGATGCAGAAAGACATTGAAACAAACGAATCAGACGCGAAGCATGCATCTGTGTTGGAAGTGCCTGATGAAACAGAGTCTATGCACGTTGATACAGAAACGGAACCTGGGGATCTGCTCACTGAAGCCGAGAATCGTTCTTATACCCCTTCCCACGACTCCGAGGAGGAAGATTTGTATGAATCCATTAGAGATGAATTTCCAAAGGTTCATTAAGGTATTTGAATTTTGAACTCTGAATGATTGTTTGCGACAGGCGTTCAACGGGCTGGAGGGTGTTAGGAACTGTCTACTCAATATGAAAATAATAAATTAAATTAGTTAGTATAGTAGCCAATACATTTGAAGGTGTTGCTACAAATTTTTTGTCTCAATAATTCCGATTTTGTTTCCTTGTAAGCGAATACTGCCATTGACGTAACGTAGAGGCTCTGATCCACTGCAATATTTCATTAACTGGATTTAGCTAGGTGCTCATCACATGTGTAAGTTGATCAACCAAAAATTGTAGTTGGCCGTTCCTTTTTCTCAAAGGTTTGAAGATGTGTGGCGTGGGAATCACAAGGTCAGCCCGCTGAGCTGATCTTATCCATCTTCAATACGAATCCCCACATATCACGAGTCGTAAATTGTACATCCAGGATCCAAATTATTAGACGTTTCTAACAACCTCGCCTACGCGAGAAAATTAAGTGTAATCAAGATTTCTTAGCGAAGACGCGATGTAACAATAGAGGTATCATTTAATACAATATCGTTATCAGCCGCGCCGTCTTGTTAGTTAGACTTGCTAGTTTTGGCCATTATAACTAGTACTTTACTAGAACTATTAGGCATTTCGCGTTTTAGTTTAGTGGAAAGTTAGTTTTCGACAGTTTCAACTTTTCACTTTCTGTTTTCCTAGTCGTTTTGACTGCACTACATCAATCGATGCATTGTCCTTGGCTGCAAAATAGTATGTTCTCTCGGGGATATGTTCTGAACTATTTTAAAACTTGAGTACCTGTGATCCCCATTCTACAAAGAAAATAGTATCAGGGCCAGCAGCCAATTACACCGTCAACATGAAGATCGTAACAGCCCTCCTTTTCAGCATCTTCGCTTCCTCTGCTCAATCTGCAATATGCCCGATTCTCTCGACACCAAGCTATGGAACCAAAGACGCAATCTTCACCGCATGCTCCAATATAACTATCGATGCACCAGCCGATCTCGTGTATAAAATCCTCACTGACTTTGACTCGTACCACGAATGGAACACTTTTGTTGTTAATGTCGAGCTCCTCAGCACACCACCGTATCAAGTAGGATCACGAATGCGCTTCACTGATGCCAATCTTTTTCCATTATTCAATACTACAAGCGATGAAATCATCACATCGTTATCGCCGGAAAATACTACTGCAGTGTGGCGTTATGACATCCCAACCCCAGCACTGATCCTAGCGGAGCACGTCTCACAACTCACGTCTCTAGGAGAAAGTCAATCTTTTTACAATAGCTGGGAAACGTACTACAGAGCTGCTAGCCTCTTGGTTGATATCACTCTTCAAGAGAAACTGATTTCTGCTTTTGAACAGCAGGGCAAGGATCTGAAGCAGCGTGCTGAAAGTCTGCAAACAACAAAAGCTTGAGTGATCGATGGGCAATGCGACCATTATTCTGATTCTTCTCGCACCTTGTATTAGCCAAATGTATATCACATCTGCTTATAGGCATTTTGGCGTATAAAGATATCTTTCAAGAACAAATATCACTTCGAGTTATTATATATATATAGTACTTGTGCGATATAATTTGACAGAGCCAGGGGATTCAAATATGAATCAAACACAAGGCTCGTAGTATGAAATTTGAGGATATTCAGTCGCTAATTTTTGTTGTGACATTTGTAAAATTTCAAAACTGGGGTAGCTTCCTCCAAAATTTCCAAGCATGATAAATAAAAGAGTTGCGCAGTCCGTTCTCGCAGATTACCTTAACCTAATCCTATAGCTTCCGTTTTTGTCCCGAAAGCCAGCTCAGCGGACAAGTAATGTTACAATGAAGGGAAATATAAGTATCAAGGACATTCGAAATCTGCTATGATGTCTCATTCATAAAACAACTCGAGCTCATCGTCAAGTAGTATCAATGAATAGAGTGATTTGGATATTGAAATTTGAAAAGATCGAAGCAACCCAATTGTCTTTGCAATTTCTCCGCAGCTGCATACCCCAGAATTTCTAGTATACAGTGAAACTGTCTAGCAGCGAAGATACAGCGATCTTTTTGTCTCGCCGATGGGCCCCTCGACTGATGATATGTGAAGATGGCGCCTGGGTCAGAAGAGCCCTCTTCAGTGTTGCTAATTATATCCATGAAGTAGTCGGATATAATGTCATTAGCTCTTAACTGGTATTCCTTGTATTGTCCTTATAGCTACTATTCTTAAAAAAAAACCAGCGAGTAAAGCCTATCAGCCTTGTTTTAAATCAAATAAAATGCCAACTGTTAACGACACCCCTGCCGGTTCAAGACAAACGACCTCATTAATATTTCCACTACGTATCTTGTCGCCATTGAACAAGCTATCATATGTATTAAGAAGTCTAGCGATCCAAATCACATTATAAACCTGACAAATGCCAAAAGCCAAAAGCAGTTCGAAAACTCTATCAAGAGCTGAACACCACTTCCCCTAACATCCCCTTCACCTTTGTCAAGATCTCCTCAGTGAATGAATTCTCATTAGGAACACCTAGAACCCCGATTTGCCAATTCAATGTAATCACCATGTCGGCATCTTTCAGTGTCACAATTTGAAAGTTGAGAGGTGCGGCAGTGACGTTTGCAGGTTGAGAGAATATGACCCTTCCAATTTCCCATGTCCTATTGTCTTTTTCTGATTTCCTCATGGCAGCAAATAATGAAGGATCAAATATACCAAGATTACTAATCTCATAGGACAAATTGCGATCCTGTCCCAGCTGTTTGAGATACCATGAGCGGACGTTGCCGAGATACTTCAATAACCCTATGGGCTGATCATTGAGTGTACCTGCAGCATCTTTGAGACGAGAAGTCGTCTTACGAACAGCACCCCAGAATGCTTCAGGATATGCGGTGTCACCACTGATCCTGGGTGAGTACTCATACATTGCAGATACATAGTTGCCCATGGTGTCATTGGATAGAGTCGATATGAGCGGTCGTAAGTCAAGAACAATCGCTCCAACAAAGTTGTGAGGTCCAGTCTCAGGTCTCACCATCTCGCTCAATGCGCGTACTACCAGCTGATTGAAAAGTCCAGTGAACTTGGCACCATGTTCTCTGCAGACTGTCAGTACTCTTCCCAGTAGATCTCTGTCTACTAACAGAATCTGAGACCCAGTATGAAAGGATTCGGGATTGTGGGTTACAGGTTCACCGATATAGGCGCTTGTCGATTGAGATGTGGGTGACGAATATAATCCGAGCCAACGAGATAGGTAACTCGGAAAATACTGTGCAAGGAAAGGTGAGAGAAGGTATGTCCAAGAAACTCTCAAAACACATGATTCTTCCAATGGTTTTGGAAGTTGTGAGAGGGGGGGCGAGTAAAGTAGACTTTGGTCGTAGTTAAGATGTGCGTGTTTGAGCCCTTCGAAAAAAGAGCGATGAAAGGCTAAGCCAGATTTTCCGTCCCCATGCGTATGTGAATAGGCGTATAAAATGTAGACCCGTTTCTTTGTGCCGTGCGATTGGTGTGGTAGTGGCAGAACAATGATCTTCCATGACGGAACTCTTTCAACGTTCAGCCATGGCCGATCGTGGATTTCGAGGGTGACTTGCTTGAGCAACTCGAGTTCATCCTCGGACGTGTAAAAAGTTGATGTTGAATCAATAATTTCGACATGATTCTGAAGATCGAGGTTCGTCGGTCGAAAGAATTCGGGGTATTCGCTATCTTCTCCGTGTATAACGGCGCTCAGGATAGGGTGCGCTTCAATGCACCATTTTAGGGCAGGAATGTAAGAGCTGATGCTGGTGGTATCGAACGTCACTTCACTTTCCACATTATACAATCCGCTTATGACTATTGAGTGATACCAGCCAAGTGCATGGCGCACAGTAAATCGTTTTTCAGTCTTGCCTGTGACAAAATTTTAGCAGTAGCTGAGAGCGTTATCCGGCGAATGCTTACTAGCATTTCGTAGCTTTTTCATTGGTTCTGAAGTAGACATGACTAATCTTTTCTACCTGCTTCAATGAGAAAGAGAGAAATAGGATATTGAAAACGACACTGGAGATCTATAAAGGTAGTCACACTGCTATATGACATGCAAAGTAGTCTGACATCTAGAGCAATTATATACATAATGTTTGAAGTAAATTAGCGCTGATATAGTATGTCGACAGGGCACATATGGCACATTTAGTGGAGACAACGCGGAGCTGTAGTAAGGTGTGCGACTGTTTCTCATCCGATTGGCTGCCTTGTCTCACTATTTGAACCTTCTGGGATGCCCCCCTTTGCCGTGCTTAAGTCATCTGTATAGTGTTGTATGCGATGATATTTTTACAGAGTTCTTGACTTGCTTGGGAGGTTTATGGTTTAATTCCCGGCACGCTTTGATATATCTATTCAAGTAAAGATGATTTGCCACAGAAATTTTAAATTACAATATCGTATAGACTATACGAGGCCTGGATATCTTCATAACAATCCGGGTAAGCCTGGAAGAACTCAGGACCCATTGTAAATCTTTGGATCGAGTCAGTTGCAGCCCTCCACGTCATTGTAAAGTGATATTTTCCCGAGTCTTTGTCGATATCGATAGTGTGATTAGGAGGAAATGGCCATTCAAAACGCATATTTCGAGAAAAGTAAAACCAGAATCGGTTTGTTAGTTTTGGATAGTTGGAAGCTATCAGTCTTTCGCGAAAATGGGGCCTGCAAGATATTAGACTAGTGAAATACAATTACACTCAAAATCTAGAGAGTTAAAATTTATAGGTTATTTTGCTGAGATATACAGAGCAAGCTCCACAACTTACCAAGCGAAGTAATCAAATATTAAATTATCGGGACTGGATACTTGAAATTTTCTGCTAAATTCGTATAAGCCATTTATTCGATCCAAATGTGCATACACCATTATGTACCTTGGTCTAAACCATGGAGCGACAGGTGGGGGATGATCAGGGAATGTCCAAGACTACATAGGTCAGTAATACCACAAATGCATAGCTAGTTTGCAGGGGCTTAACAAACCAAAAGTATTAGGTGGATACCTCGAAGAACGGCTAGACGAGTCTCTATTGCCGCGTTCTTAGTTAATAAAATATCTATACGGCTCAGAATACTCCATATAGGACAGGTAAAATATTCCTTTTGCAAAACGCCCCACCCATAAATAACGCCTCGAATTAGGGCGTCTTGATTAAATTGATCATTTGTGCATACTTGTAGTGGATTATAAGAGAACACGCTGCGAAGGGCCCCACTTAAAAAATCACGCATAGTTGTATCATCGTCTCTGTAGTCGCTGGATGAGAAACAAGGGATCTCAGTAGAATTAAAAAGATGACTGTTTGGAAAAGCCTGCATCCCCAGAGATTCACGAGTGCAAGTCATATTCAAAGTCGAGGGAATTAGGGAAGGTCCTGGCTAATTGCCAAACCGTCAATATATCCACGCCTAAGAGACACAAGGGAAGAAAATCTCACATTCAAAATATTTTGGCAAGGCCCAAAATAGCTTTTCTCAATATGGAACAAGCGGTTTTCCATGGACTTCACAGATTTCTTCAACCTATCCCTCCGTTTGGATTGAGAGACTCGATTCATTATTCGCTTACGTTCTCTTTGGGTCTGGCTCAGTATGCGGCCAGTGGACCATGGTTTCTCTGACAATACTTCGTCCATTATTCTAGTGATAGTTGTTGTTGTCTTCCCTGGCAAGATATTGTGACATGATGTGACGGGTTGATGAGGCGACTGCAACGAGTAGCCTTGATACTCCGAAAAGGCTAGAGGGGGGTCCAATGAAGCGCACAAAAACTTATCAAATTTGACAAGTTGCAGAATAAGCGGTACACGATCCTTGTGGCCGGCGAATGTTGATTGTTGCAATATTCGTATACTTGAGAAGTATGGTATGTAGGAAGATTGAGTTGAAGGCTTGAAATTCATCGTTAAGTGAAGCGTTGTGGATGTCCCACAGTGGATACCTTCAGGCCAATCAGACTTCAGAGAGTCGCACAACACAAGGCTTGAGACTATCAATAAGCACTAATAGGCATGCCAAGTCTGGGTAGGTCAATGGAGTAGGGTGATGGGGCTTGTAATTGAGAATGACGGAAAAGAAGATTTATTGCCGTGGCCAAATGTTAGAGTGATATAACTGGGAGAATACATGTATATGATGAAAACTAAGGGATCAATTGATATTTTTAATGTCTTATATCGTAGTCACAGCTCCGTTAATAACTAAATGATTAGTACTGGAATTACTGAAGATTCTGTAATTTTCTTGTATGGTACGAAACGGTTATAAGACACATACACACGTAAATTATCTCAGAGTATGCCCCGATGGATTCTCTTCCACTCTACATAGCGCTCCTTCCCTGAAACACCTTGCCTCATGCAGCGATCAAACTCATCTTGAGCTCCGGGCTGGCCGGGCCGGAGTTTTAACCTGTACGGCCATTTCTCGATTATAGTATGTTTTTCCTTCATCGTTGCGCCGAAAATTTCACCAGCCTTATGGAACTCAAAGTCCTTCACAAACCTGTTATTAGCGTTAATATAAGGTCTCGTTAAATTTGGACGAACTGCTTTATCAAAATTGAACTACCTGTCAAAAATGTGGTCATAGGGTGTGACAAGTTCACGACCAACTGTAAATTTGATAAGCGCGGCATCGTATTCGGAACTTTTGGTTCCGTTTGGAGGACGATAGCGGAGTAGATACTTTGTTGCTCGGCTGTGTAAAGTCAATTCCTTCATTTTATCTCCGTCGGTCAAGGTTTCGTCAACCGCGTTCATAAAGAGGGTTATCAAGGTGGCATGTGGGTTCTGTAAAGGAGTCTGAAGCAAAGGAACCATCAAGTGTAGTGTGCGGTGAATTCCCAGCCAGCCCCTATCGGAAATGTTTGATACCTATGTAACTTCATTAGTGTCTTGACCTGGGTACCAATATGGACGCGGACTTCTGGATGAACTATGATTTTAAAAAGATGCAACCGGTGTAAACACCTGGGAAGTGTGGACTGATAAAGTAGTGGTTACTTACATCGATTCGGCTAAAAGAATCGCTATCCAGATGATCAGGAAGGGAAGAGGCTTCAAGATTAAGAAGTTGAAAGGAAATTTTCGAACTAGAAATTCGATGAAAAAAGGAGTGAAGCAGTTCCCGAATGTGAAAATATAGCTTGCCGTAAATATCAGCAGTTGCAGCTCCGCTTGTTGTGTTTAAAACCTCTTCAAAAGACCACCCATGAAGAGGATCCGCGTTGTCTTTCATCGGCCAGGTATCAGCCGTCTGGAAAAATGTCCTGCCATGTGTCAGCATCACGTTTAACTCTTTATGTTGTCCGCTGACGAACGGGTTTGGCTCCCTGAAATCATGGCGCGGGAATCCGAAGGGAAGCAAGAGGCCGTCCTGACGAAATTTGTTAAAACAGATCCGTTGGATAGGCGAAAGGCAGGACATGTATCGGTCGCGATAGTCCCTCCTTGAACGGGCTAGGGTGTTGGCTGCGCGTATTCTCTGTGCCTGCTCGGCCGTTAAGCCGGCTGGTTTGTTGAAAAGGTTTAAAAGGTGATTCCACGATGATTGCTTCAGAGCAATTCTCAGTGAGCACCGCCCAAATGTCCATGTCTTCGCGAGGAGACTTCCAGATGGCTTCTTTTGATTTTTTTACAGACATCTTCGATCAGAGGCCGGATACGATTGTGAAGAATCTCAATGTCTAATTCGCGGACGACAGCCGAGTACCAGAGGTGAATGATGCAATCGGTGGCATCCTCAGATTTCTCAACAACTAGGGCAACAAGAAGCAGAATCACATTACGGGCCATGATGTCAAAATCTCTGTCATTTATCGTGACTTGGAGAGAATGTTTATAGCTGCTTGGAAGGTAGGAGATCGTCTTGACAACATTACGAAGGTCTCCCGAAGCTATTGGTAAAGGCATTTCAGTTCTGAACATCCATCAGACTTTGAAATGGTATGAACATGTACCTGCAAACAAGAGGCGAAGATCTCCAGCATATCTGTCTCCTTCATTCGATCCCAGTTTAACGATGTCAATGGCAGAGACGTTACCCCAAAGGTACTTCTCCGCCCCCAACGTCACTCCGATGCCGGTTCGGATAAATGCTGGAGTTCTTTTTTCGAGGACCCAGGCTGGCTGCCAGGTTTTCTTTCCCACGGTCGACTTACATTCGATTTTATGGTGGGACCAGTGTGACTTTTGGCATATTGGACCGCAGTACTGTAAGCACATCTGTTAAGGCAAACACATTTATATAAAACGTAATAGTTCAGGAGCGAACTGACAATGATGAGGCAACAATTTTTGCACGTGTATCTGCCTTCTTTTTTGCAAGCCGTCTGCTCGAGGCCCCAGTTGGCACATATGAACCCAGTGGCTGTCATTGTGCTTCGTTTTGTGGGCGATACGAGGCAAATTTGGGATAAAATAGCGCGTATATCCCTTCAATTTGGATAGAATAGTTAAAATGACAGTTGATAGCTGATTTGAGAATTAAAGGGTGAAAAAGTTGGCACATAAACAAAAGCGTGTGCACTACATATGACTGAAAGCGCCTTAGGCATCCCCCTATTCTCGCACGTTTCTGTTAGAATCGAACGGATGTAGATACAACTCTGCTGTGCTAAACGAGGAATTGAGAACTTGCGGTAAAACCACAATGTAAAGGGAAAGGATATGAAGCTGGCGGTGTACTAGGGCAGAGAGAGAAGTGGGGGAGAGAATGAACGAAGTTGATTACATGCGAAAGCCTGACACGTCCTGCAATCATATTGAAGTCCTACAACGCCAATGGCTGCATGCATGCCTGCCCAAATATCTGGTGGATTAAGGTATTACACGACCTTTGTGACAGAGAGTGTGGAATTACTCAGCCAAGCATGACCATATCGTTAACTGTTTGAAGCCTCCAATGTTGCCGAAGGGAGCTTCAACACCAGCTTGTGTGGAAATATTTCAGACTTTGAATGCGATGGTAAATTGAGTCGATGACTGACTGACGAAAATTCAACAAGCTACATGCAGTTAACTATGTCCAACCTTTTCTGCTTCATAAGACTACAAACCTGTAGCCTCGAGTCTGCATATCCCTTACAGTAGAATTATCGACTGGTGTGCAGTAATTAGCAATTCTGCAATCCTGATTCAGTAGCTACTACCAGACATTAACATATACAGGCGTGTCAATAAAGCACGTCCAAAAAAAAAAAAAAAAAAAAAAAAGAAATAGATTCATGTACACACTAGGAAATACACTGATGTATATAATCGATAATATTCACATTTAACCTATTACCAAGTTTAACCCTAAGTGTTCCGATTAAAAGTCGAATATTTTAGAAACAAAACGTATAACCATACTATGCACTTCTATTCAAATATTGTGAATAAACTCTAGTCATTACTGTTTCCGGATGGATATTATTTTAGTACCCAATAATTCATATTTCAATATTGTCCTATATACATGTATCTTGGCGTCTGTCTAATTCAACATCATCATTGTTCTGGATGTCCAAACTACCGTAAAGTCAAATTATGTACACTACCAAGCTTTTAACCAATCGAAAACAAGATCATCAATTCGTAACATCATCAAGAAGATTTTATACCAATATACATCCACTCTGTATCATACTAATTCCTCCTGAAAGGAAACCCTTGGTTAGGTATCCCACTCATCGGCCTGTGCGTATGCGACGAACTTCTGGGTCCTGCAGTACTGTGTGCAGTATTTCTCGTTGCGACTGGAAGAAGCCCGCCACCAAAATACTCCGAATCAACACTCCGTCTTGTCTTTGCCACACTAAGAATGCGTTCGATTTCAAGCGCTTGGGTAGCCATACTATTACCGAGCCCGCCTCGACCCGTGTCAGCGACATATTGTTGCTGCTGCTGGAAAATGCTCTTGGAGCCACCTTTCCTGCGAAGTCGCCATTCATGAATGCGTCGGTACGCTTCCCGAGCTCCACTACGAATGTCATCGATCGATAGAGCGAGGAGAATTAGAGGAATTGATATGGAGAATCCAATTCCGAATATGTATTTCGAAACATAGGAGATTGGAAGATTTGTATTCCCACTTGATTCGTGCGGAAATTCTGCGACATTGATAGCGAAGAACGATGCTATGAAGGACAATGGCAGGAACACGATAGTCACGATGGTGAACATCATAATTGTCTTACCCTGGCGAGTTGTCCCTGCAGCTTGGTCGCGAGCGAAGCGCGCTTCAAAGGCGTTAGCGTGCTTTTGCTTCAGATCGAGTAGATCTGTGATCGAGTCGTAGATGCGTTCGGTCTGTTTGTCCATTCGATCGACATCTTTGAGGTGCATTTCAATTATTCGTTGTTGTTCCCGAAACCTTTTCTTTATTTCACTTTGAGATTTGTGCTCTCCTAAGTATATTTCGCAAATTGCATCTTGGAGACCGGTCAGCACTTGTTTCTGGTATTCAAGCACTGTGCGGATCATATTAAGTTCATCACGAATATCTTTAGCTTCGGCAAGGAGGTCAGTTTCTTGACCAATATCAAGAAGCTTATCTACGAAGAGTGGTTGAGCGTCTTCATCGTCCTCATCATTTGGATATTCGCCTTCTGGTCCGTCCGTCGTTCGGTTCCCTCGTGGCATGGTATCCATGGTAAAACGCCTGGACTGCCTATGATACTTCAGCCACTCCGAAGCTTGTGCAGAGGCGATGTTGAATTCTCTAAAAAGAACAGTTTCGCGATCTGTTGCTGTGCCGATTGAAGACTCGAACATGTCCAAAAACTGATATTCGTCATCTCCCATACGATGTCTATCAAAAACACCAGAGCAACGGCCACTAATAACGCTAGCCAGTTCGTACACAGATCTTACCGGTTCACGTGTCTTGGAATTAATGTCCTCGATGATCCCGTCCAGTACATTGAGAGGGTCATTCTTGGGTTGTTCCCACCTTTGCGGGAAACTGGTGACAATCAAATTTTTGCCGAGAATCCACATCCACAACTGATCAACCATGAATATTTTTGGGTCTCGCGTTATTTGCTCAGGCCATCGTTTCTGGTAGCGGTAAACCACTTGGTCTGTATCACGAGTTCTAGTATCAATGTTGGGATAGAAGAATTGATCCAATGTTCGCCGAACATGCAGAGACGCGGTGGAGGAATTAATATGCGCACGGATCAGCATCTCATCCTTAGTAGATGCTCTAGTCAAACCCGGACGTGGTTCTAGATTCTCGGCTTCCATAATTACTTCTCGCATCTTCTGTTGACCACGGGTCGTCTCAAAATGTAGATATGGCATAAACATGCAGATGTTGCTTCTTACAGCTAGTGGAAGCTCTTTGGGGGAAGGTGATAATGGTATGCGCGTCTTTTTGTCTGTCTTGTTGCTTAGTTTAATCTTTTCTGATTTTACTGTATCTTTTGTGCCCTTATTGCGTTTTGATTGTGCTTTTGGCTTCCGACCTGAAGCGCTGTCATCATCCTGCGATTGAGACTCTCGACTCAGTCCAGTTTCTCGTTTCTTCAGAGTCGTTGGTGGAGTCTCTGGAAGCTTTGGAACTGCAGGCCCATTAATAACCAGGCGCGGTATAGTATTTTCGTCATTTGTTTCCTCATTTTCCTTTCCGACGTCTTCGTCTTCATCTCTATTTCGCGGCGCACGGGGAGTGCTTTGACACAAAGGTCTCATAAAGTGAGAATGCGCCCGTTGTCCACGGTGTTGATGGTTAAATGATTTTTCCAAGCCTTTAAATCCTTCCACGTCACCAGCACCTTCCTCAATGAACGACTTCGTCAGTAGTGCCTCAACCCAAGCCATATTATTAGCGGGTAGATGGATCCATCGAAAATTGGTCGCTTTAACGTTTGTTGGTAGTGTGGTGACTGCTTGTTTCCGAGGATTTTTCGGGTCCCGGCCGTACAGCAGCTCGTAAATGGAATATTTCCTAACGCGGTTTTCGTTGTGGAAGTTTCCAAAGTCAACAATTGTAGCATCAAAGCCCTTACACGCTCCAATAGCATCCTCCGAGAGAGCTTCAACATGATTGAATGACGCTAGTAGTCGTACAATATCGTTTCGCTTGGATTGAGCTGCTCTCAAGAATGGTGTACTGCCAAATGTATCGCGAGTGCGTAGTCGGATGTTCGGCAGTTCGAGAAGACATTCGACTACATCTGTATGGCCAGCCTGGGCAGCGAGATGCAAAGATGTCATACCGTTGAGCAATTGGGTATTAACCTCTGCACCGGCTTGTAGCAGCAATCGGACGATCTTTTCACATCCCTTTTCACAGGCATTGTGAAGAGGTGTCCATCCACCGTCACTGCGTGCATTGACGTTCGCACCGTTTTCCAACAATAGTACCACTACATCCTCACGATCATGAGCTGTGGCAATATGTAAAGCCGTTTTATTTCTAAGTTCGACCCCATTGATATAGTCCTGTGGACAACCTTGCGGCCGAGCGAGCAACATTTCTGCGAAATGGGTTTTGCCAGTAGCGCAAGCCCAGTGTAAAGGAGTTCGGCCGAGTTCGTCGCGTGCATCGGGGTCACAAGCTGTGCGCAGTAGCATACTTACAACATCGTCGCCCCAGTCACATTGCTTGTCGGCAGCCAAATTATGGAGGATATTGCGCTTTTTGTTGTCTCTCGCATTGACGTCAGCGCCCCGCGAAATCAGTAAATGCAAGACATGCCAGTGATTTTTCCAGGCAGCCGTCATTAGTGCTGTGCGACCTTTCTTGTCCCTGAACTCTGGTGTGGCGCCGGCATCGAGAAGCAGCTTAACGATCGAAACATGGTTGCGCTCGACGGCGCGAAACACAGGCGGTGCCCGAGTTCCTGTTACCTCAACGCTGGCTCCTTCTTTCAATAAATACTGTGTTGCCTCGACACAGCCCCGTTCGGCGCACTTCATCAACCCAAGGCCTAGAAACGTCGGATTCAATTGTCCCTTTTCCCGGGCTATTTCTACCACACTTTTCAGGCTTTGAACATCGTTGTTTGTAGCAGCGCGCAGTAATTGTGGCTCTAGGCGATCTCCACGGTTGCTTCCGGCGCTCGATCGTGATCGTGATCGCGACATTGTAACAGCGTCAATTTACGTGGAGCTATGTTGACAAACTTCCGTTCTTGGTAGACTTTTGCCAGTTGTTATCAAAAGGGCTTTCCTTGCAGTATTTCCCAGACTTTCTTCCAAGAATTGAGGCCACAGCGCAATCGTCTAATTGATATCAGCCTCTATCAAGTTCATGATCAAAATGGCAACGCAAAGTCAATCGGTGAGTCGAGTGCAAAGCGACAGACATCTCGGTGCGGGAAAAATCAGAGAGAAACGACGGCGCAATCCATTATGGCATCGTTGTTGGGATATCCTCGAGCAGCGCAACGTCAGTCTCGATGATGGCTAGTCAGGAGCTCTTCAGACAGAATAACAATGATGATGCAGAACAATGATAATCTTCGTTAGGGAGCACGAGATGGCCATTTTTCATCTCCGCAATAATTGCCCCGTGCGGGAGTTGTCCAGTCAGAGGGGGGCAGGAGCCGCACTAGTCTGCCCCACTGTTTCGGCTCAATGTGCTCCCATTGGATAGTTCCTACACTAGCTGCAACTTTAGGTTTGCAATTCCCTGGAACGGCTAGTGTACGGGGTCATCTAGCTTCAAAAGGCTAGGCGTGGGATGCCTTGCACAATTCTCCTTTTTGCAACTAATGCAAACTCCAATATTGAAGCTGCTTCTGCGCCCTTGTTCTTATTAATCGTTAACATACATTGTACCCTATATCTATTTCAACATATTACCAATTCCAACTCCTTCAGTATCTCCGTCTTGGTACCCTCGTCTGCCCAGCTGATCTCCACCGCGTTCCGTACCAGCGTCACCATATCCGCTTTCGTGAAGCCACAGTACTTATACACCTTCATCATATTCCCGTCGATCCAAACATTGTGCATATATGTCGGGTCATCGCTGTTGATACATATTTTCACTCCCTCGTCCCACAGTCTCCGAATCTTCGGGAAGAGAACCTCAGTGGCCTGACGACGATGATACGCGTGCGGGCACAGCGTTAACCCAATGCCACGACTCTTCAGGCCGGGGATCAAACCCTCCCGGTCGATCGCATTGAGGCCGTGGTCGATCCTTTCAGTACCTGCTCCGTCACAGATGTCAAAAATAGCCTCGTGCATATGCTCGACTGCATCCTTTTGATCAACGTCGCAGTGCATGGTGATGTGCAGACCGTCCTCCTTCGCTAGCCGAAAAGCCTCTTCGAAAAGTAATGGCGGACGGTTGTACTCGTTGCTAGCCAACCCAACAGCATGGAATAAACCTTTGCCTTTCCCATCTCTCGTGCGAGCCCACGGCAATGCGGCACGATATGCGTCCAGCCCGTCCTCCAACGCCTCGTCGCGCAGAAAACAAAAGATCCAGTTGCTTCGGACACTGTACTTTCCTACGCTCTCCTGTTGCGCGCGGAGGTAGCCATTTAGCACTGCTTCAGCGGGGATTCCTCGCCGTGTGTGTGCCTGTGTGTCAAAAAAGGGCTCGACATACCGCACGTTCATCTCGTGCGCCTTTTTAAAGTAGTCCATTGCTAATTCGTAGAAATCATCCTCGGTGCAGAGCACTTGGCAGCCTGCGAAGTAAGCTTCGAGAAAAGTCGGGGCACCATTATCACCATTGACTTCTCGCCGATGATTGTAGGTCACTTTGTATGAATTGGCCAGTTCGTCGTATGTCTTGTAGGGCAGTGAGATGTTATTACGGTGTGCCAATTTCCATCGCAGCGCCGGCGTCAGTGTGCCTTCAATATGGACATGCAGCTCGACTTTGGGAAGAGCCGCGATAAAGGGATCGATTTCGAGCCCGTTCATGTCTGAATCCTTGTTCCAGCAACATTCGATCGCGATTACAAACTGACGATTCTCTTGATAGCAAACGCCAACAGCTTAAATCTCCCGCGAAAGCCCCGCACAGCACGACCCGCAGAGAAGCCATCGGTGATTATCGGCATGTTTGCCGTGCTATCATTCACTTGATGATAAAGACACCACCCTGCCATTTCTGGGAAATCCCCACACATAGCATCGAATGCTATTACTCAAATTCAATAGTAATTCTTTACGTAGTCGGGAAGCTTGGCGAGTAACCCTAATTTATTATCGACAGCCGTCGACCACTAACAATCAGGTGCGAATAATACTTCCAATTCCAACCGGCTGCAAGCCAATACCATGACTTGGAGGGTCGCGCTTGGACTGGACGATTTCAATAGCACTAACATCGATGTACCCAAGCTCGACCAGGTAGCAAATATACTCCATCGTCCACTCTTGACACCGTTTATTCGTCGTCTATACCCCCGTGCGGGTTAGCAATTATTCCAGCAAAAGGATTTATACCTACATCGTTTACAGGAGCCATAAAGTTTTGGCTGATCCGCGGTGGTGAAATTCGACTAGCCGCGATCTCCACAGCGCCTCTCGGGATAGAATCTATGCCTTCTGAATCTGTGTCCATGATGTATTCGGAGTCGATTCGCCCAATTGGGTACTTATCGTAAGCCTGCGTGATTTTGAGAGGCGAATATAGTCGCTCAAACTCAAGCTTGTATCCCACCATAGGAGCACCGACTACGTTGATGAGCGTTCCAACGTCTTCGTTAGAAGCAAAGGGGACGAAGATGGCAAAATGAGCCCGCTGCTTGGCAGAGTTGCGGTATGTCATTAAGGATATGGCTCTGGGCGCCATTGTGTGAAATGGCAGTCGGTCTGTGCCACGTCTGATAGTAGCTATCAGGCTCGTAGAATAGAAGGTTTTACGTACATCAAATTGAAATGTGGAACGTTTAGTTGAATTTAGGATACCAATGAGTCGTAGCAGTGCAAATGTAAGGCTGCTAAAGTTGACTGGTCACCAGATACTTGAATTCACGTGATCTATATACTAGGCTGCCAGAGGCTCGACCTCGGTGTTTGTTGCTGTGCATCAAGCCACCAATTGACAACGAGTTCAAATGTTGTGAAGTTATTCATTTCAAATGTTGATTTTGATGATGAACTCAGTAGCTTTCTCCCACTCTTCCAAATTAAGGCAAACAGGCGCCTTATTCCGACATACCGCCTTTCACACCATCTTACCTGACCTAGAATACAGCTAGACTCATTTTTCAAGACTGTCCCGCAATCTCCACCTCTTCTGGCCACAGGCTCTAGGTCTATACTAAATTGTCCACTGAAGCGATAAGCTGTCGGTGATTTGGTGGCTCGGCCGAACTAGTTTTCGATAAGGCGGCATGCTTACCCGCAGGTCGTTGATAAGACGATGTCCGATGTCGAAACACAACCACACACTTGCACTACTTAATCGTAGGCGTGCCACCACCGGGCGGGATGTCGACCGAGCACACTCCATTGCTGGCCGATGAGACCTGCGCGGTCGGCAACAATAGCAATATGGCACAGGCGATAGCAGTCGAAGCAGGCCCAAGCGATGCAGCTGTCGTGCGTCGCACTCTGCGCAAGGTCGACTGGCGGTTGATGCCGCTGATGTTCGTCACTTATATGCTCAATTTCATGGATAAAACGATTTTATCTAGTGCTTCGGTGTTCGGGCTCATTGACGATACTGTATGTTTCCTGTCGACTTGTTAATTCACGAAAAGAAGGATAGAGGCTAACAGCGTCAAGCACCTGGTCGACCAGCAATATAGCTGGGTGTCAAGTATATTCTACTTTGGCTACTTCTTCTGGGAATATCCGACCAACATCCTCATTACGAGAGTTCCAGTCGCCAAATATCTCGCCGCCAATACTGTATTCTGGGGCGCAGTAGTCGCTCTGACGGCAGCATGCGTCAATTACGGCGGTCTGCTAGCCGTTCGCTTCCTGCTTGGTGTTGCCGAGGCTACTATTACCCCGGCCTTCATGTTTATCACCACCACCTGGTATACTCGTGACGAAATTCCGTTTCGGACGGGAATATGGTTTGCTGGAAACTCAATCGGAGGGCTTGTAGCGAGTCTATTAGCCTACGGCGTCGGTCATATCGAACATCCACTTCACCCGTGGATGTGGATGTTTATTATCCTCGGCGTCGCGACTTTCCTCTGGTCGTTTGCGCTTTTTGCGTTTTTACCAGATAGCATCTCAAACGCAAAGTTTTTGACGCCAGAAGAGCGCGAGATCATGACCAACAGAATCATCATCTCCGGCACCGGCAGCACGGAGAAAACCACGTGGAGATGGGATCAAACAGTCGAGTGTCTTATCGACCCGAAAACTTGGCACGTTTTTGCGCTTGCTATTCTAACGCAGATCCCAAATGGCGGTACTCAGAACTTTGGAAACCTTGTCATCAAATCCTTTGGGTTTACATCTCTCCAATCAACCCTCATCAACATCCCATCCAGCGTGATCAGCGCCGCAACAATATCCTTGACGGGCTTCCTCGCCGGACGGTATCGGCAATTAAACTGTATCTTAATCGTCGCCGTGGTTGCATTATCTGTAACAGGTAGTGCAATCATCTACGCGCGAAGCCATCACGTCCCCAAGGGCGCTCAGCTCTTTGGATATTTCCTCCTCGCCACTGGGCCGAGCATCCTACCGTTAGTCATGTCTTTGGTTCAAGCGAACTACAAAGGGGTAACTAAGAAAATGACTATGACGGCAATGATGTTCATTGCATACTGTGCGGGCAATATCGCCGGCCCCCAGTTCTTCAAAGCCTCTGAAGCGCCACACTATCAAACCGCCTTCAAGGCGATATTGATCTGTTACATCATCTCAGCTGGACTGGCTATCTCGTTGCGGGTGTATCTGCAGTTCGCGAATACGAGAAGGGATCGTGAGGAAGGCATCAATGGAAGTGCAGGGGCGTCAGGAGTGGTGGCCGGTGGGAAAATTGCTGATGTTGTTGAGACGGTTCAGAATGTATCGCTGCAGCCGGAAGATTATGATGATGTAACAGATTGGAAGACAGTAGGTTTTAGATACCGTCTTTAGATAGGTTGGAGAAATGCAATCGATACAGACTCTGTCGCGAGTCGTTGTCTAACAGTCGAATCTGCGTTTAAATTTTGACTAATTCCATGCAAAAAGCAAGATGAAGGTAGATTTGACCTCATGGTATTTTATCTAACTATAACAAAAGCAACTCTCCCGTCCTTGCTCTTCTCTTGCTTTTTCCGTTAGAAGTTTTGCGGGAATTCTCCGTCTTCTAGTCATTCTCCCGACGATGTTGTCCTTTATAGTTGAAAATTGTGACCGAACAGTTTGATAAACGAGTGTCGTTTCGTTTTCAACCTTGATATCCGGGATTTTTTGGTTCCCGACCAGTGTATTGGCCATATATCGAATGAATAGGTTGACAGGAGCACTTCATGAGTCGGAAACAGGAAAATGAGACTATTAGAATACATCAAATGGCTTCCATGGTATTCCTTTGTATACACCAGAGTCCAAACGGTCAATGACTGATGGACTCATATTTTGCAAGGTAGACTGCCCCGCCCTTTACGACCTCCACCGGCAGCAAACAAGGGTAACAAATTCTCCAGGGGTCACTCTCTGTGTACCTAAATACCAATTGGTCTTGTTCCAAATGGAGGAAGCTCGGTGACGAGGTATATAACCCTTAAAAGACTGTCGACTTATTAAATTGCGTCGTAAAAGAGAGGTAGGTACCCACGTTAAATGGCTCCATTGTCGTGATGCTTTACGCTCGGTGTAGCTCGAGGATTGGCTCACTATATAGTCACCAAGCATGACCTGCTCGTATCCAAGCGGATTATGGGGGACCTAATACATGTGATCAAGTTTTCGTTACTTCAAAAACCACATTTTCAGTAAAAGAAAAAGTCCCGACATAGCCACCTATTCGACCGTATAAAACAACTGATCGAACGGCTCGGTATCTGGAATAAATCCGTCGGCAAACTGCATGTCAACGTCATTCCAGTCACCATACTCATCATTCTCAAATGAACCAGCTAGTTGGAGTAGTGTATGCGCCCCTTTGGTGCTATCAGAGATAGGGTCGGGCACGCCACTCGTATTTGAATCGGCGTTTTCAATCAAGTTGGCAGCAGGGAACTGCGGCGGTTGCCCATTAGAATCCCAGTTGTTATTTAGTTGAGTCTCATGGTAGGAATCCAAAGGATTTTGTTCCACAACAAGGATCTGATCCATGTAGTGCTGGACTGTTCGCCGCACCTCGCCCGCCACTCGACGACGATGTCTGGTAACAGCCTCGGCAAAACTGGTTAAAATATCATGATAAAGACGTGCCTGGGGACTAGTGGTTGCTATACTGGCGAGGATATTTCTAGCATTTTCGAAGCATGTTTCAATGTCCTTTCGTGGCTCGCCGGCGAACATGGAAAATCCGAGGACGAGACCGGCGCCGAAGATCCAGGCTCTGTTGATGATTCATCAGTCTCTTATCTTATACAAATCACTTTTTTTTTCAATCTATGAATGAGTAAGACTGATATGGCATACTTGAGTAAACACAAATTCCCAAAAGTGAAACTCGACTCTTTCGCTTTTTGACACATGTCAACCATATACACCGCCGCACTCACGCAGACTTGGGCTAGCTTTGAAACCTTATTATTTTTAATAGTCACATCAGAAGCCTCCTCGGGATCTCTGATGAGGTCATCAGGCGCTCTACCGCGAAGCCGCGACATCAGGTATGCAATTAGATATGGTCTGGTAATTAGGATCACGGCAAAATAGTAAATGCAAGAAACATGCATGTTCCCCGCCAGTAGTTGCCGATCTGCAGGAGTCAAGAAAGAGGTTTCACTTAAAATTGATGGAATTGATGGATGAGGGGAAGAAGAGACGGTAACCGGTTTAAATCGACGTATGTTTGGAGGTAATGTGTGACTCCACTGGCGGAGCCGAACGAGGAGATCCTCGGCAGTGGGGACATGGAGGATGTTTTCTTTGCTGAGGGTGTTCGTAACATCTTCGAGTAGGTTGCACAGTTTAACAGTTGCGCAAAATGGTGTCGATTGTGTGCGGAATTGTTCGGGCTCATTCTCAGCACACCCCTCAGGTTGAACAAGATCTTGCCAGGCTGTGGGGAGACTTCTAGGTCTTCCGAGAACGAAACTACTAAGCATGTCAAAGTTTCGAATGCTATCCCATATCCGCCGTCTGTTCATCCAGTCAGTAAAATTTTAGAAAAAAATGTCTTCGGATATAGAGATTCACCTAGACCAGCACTCATCTTCCTGGAGACCATTGTAACTTCCTGAGATGTGGAGATCCAGGATAATTGCAGCCTTCGCAGCCACGCCCAAAAACATGGACGCTGTGTTTCGATGACATGCCCCGAGCATATAGAAAGACATAAGAAGAAAGAGCCTTACGGTGCTGATGGTTTGTCCCATCAACATATCCTCAAAGGCTACTTGACGCGCACGGCAGAAGTAGCCCATTGCGATTTCGACTTCCTCTGGTCCCCCCCTAACCTGAGCGCCAATAGCCAGCGCAAGATCTAGCGCGGCTGAGTCTTCGCGTCTGGAGTTTGGATGTATGGTGAACATCGAAAATAGAGATCTTTCAGAGACGAAGGACTCTATCTCATGTGGTGTAAAAAGGTCCAGAATTCCGCTAGTCTGTTATCATGGGTTAGTAGGTATATCATGCATCCGAGTTTCGGAAATCCACTGACGGCTTCAAAATATGATTCTAGAAGACAATATATTTTCTCTGTTGGTAAATCCAGCGCCGAGCCCGCTGGTTGTCGGATTTCCGTTTCGAGCATGATGTGATATAGCTCATAGTCGGTGAAGGAGACTGATCCCACATATGCCTTGACAGTTTTCCTCAAGAAGTGGAGAAATGACAACGATGATATTTCACCAACGTGGACTAGGAAACAATTAGACATTTTCTTTTTTACATTTCCAGTAACAGACTTGGGGGAGGGGTGAATTTTCGAACCTCTTCCAGCGGACAGGCGGCTTTCCGATAAGCTAGGAGTCTGGCCTTGGCTTTGGCTTGGGCTCTGACTGATTGAAGGAGGATGAGGAGGAACAACACTTGGTTTCCGCCGCCTTCCATCAACACCTGAATAGACGCATGAATCGGGCTGATCTCGTCGGATACAGGCCGCGCAGGGATGCCGAGCGTCACATCGGATCTTGGAGGTCTTGCAAGCCTGGCATGCTCGGGAAGAACGCAGCCGATCCTCGAGGCGTACTTTTGCGCGTGGCATCGGAATGACAGATTGATTTCAAATCGAAGGATTCTTTCGGTGTTATTTGGCGAAAAAGGTACACTGAAAGTTTGGTCGGTTGAGGGATGGTGGATGAGTTGAATTGGAATGAGCGTCGCAGTCCTTCGCAGAGCAAGTGAGTGGGTAATGTAATAGATAATCGATAAAACTTGCTTGGACCTCCTCCGTTCGTGCAGTCCGGGCGGGGCTGGTTGCAAGCCCCGAAGAATAGCCACTCTGACCATTTTGTGGGGAAGATAGGCAGTAAGAGTCAATAGTCAATTGCTCTTGAGTAATTCAGATACCATAGATGTGCTTGTAGAGCCAAACTTTGCTATATTCGTTCCTCTTCTATTTCTACCCGTCTAGTTTATGTGTAATGCCAAGCGGGAAAAGGACCCAAAAATAAAGAAAGAAAGAGAATGAATGTCGCGTTTCTAATAATGCTTTCTTACCATTCACATTTACTCTAAGAGATATGTGAAGACTAAAGGAAAATCCAAGTGGGAATGATAGCCGGAGAAAGGGCCAATGTCTCGTTATCAATGAACCAGAGAATAGTCAACACCAGCCTCCGCCACTGATTGTCTGGATCTTCTAAATATTCGCAAAAAAAGAATCATTCGTCCACTACCCGAACACTATACCTAAACATCTCATTCGAAGCCAGGCAATTCCTATCTCTCATTTTCTCTGCCGTCGCTCGCCCAGTTCCAGGCACTCTATACTCGGCCCTCTTCCCCGCTGCTGGACGCGACCCATCTGCCAATGGATACGGGTAAGGGAGATACTCGGGCATTAAGCCAAGCTGAAACAAAGCCGTTGTTTGGTCCCACGAGATATGTTCGTGGTACAGCCGGTCACCACGGATGTTGACGACTCCCGTAAAAGGAATTTCGGCTTTCCGGCCGGTGGGTGGGATACCTGGGAGCCTGCTCTTCTTTTAGCTCATGTTTGCCAAAAAAAAATAGGTAAATAATTATAAAGTAGTACAATGGGGAGTTCTTACAGCCAATCGATCTGCATATCGTGTGTAAACTTGTAAATAAACTCATCAACGACCCGGTCAATCCCAATCGTACGGCTAATTAATTCGAGTTCGGTGTCTGCCGGGTTCTGAAACACGAAATGGTTTTGATAAAAGTCCGAGAGACGAACTCTTCCGATGCCTCCAGTTAACTAAAATGAAATCAGTCATACACATCCTATCGTTCAATTGCTCCTACGATATAGCTATGCTTTTTGATGCGACATACCGTAGGAATATGGTTCACATAAGGCTCTTGGACCATCGTACCCATAGTATCCTTGACCGAGCGAGTATCAAATTCAAAATATGTGTGCTCCTCCCAAATGGCTTCTAGGTCAAAGTAGGGTCCGTTCATAAGAGGTTTGAGAAAGGTGAGATTGCGAGTGTGTGATACGGCTTCTGTGGAATACCTAAACTTCTCTTGAAACGGTGTTGCAAAGAGGTATGAGTCTACGCCGGAGTAATGGTATAGCTTTATGGCGTCCGAAGATGAGGTAGGTTTAGTCGTTGCTATACCAGCCAAGTGCTGCAACATGGGAATAGTAGACTTTGTAATTGGCGTATCTGTATTTGCATATACGACAGCGCCGACGATCTCAGGATGGTCTGTCACGTACGGTGCGATTTGGGACCACACTTCTGAGCCATACGCTGTATCAATTCATCGTCAGAAAACTCTAGCTTCGTAGCAGAACTTCTGAAAGTCAATTTCTCACCAACTAGACCGACTTTTCCCTTCGGGACACAGCTTTCACAGCTAGCCAGAGTCGCAAGTGCGGTCGACAAGCGACCTTGAGGCTCTGTACTCCCATTAATTTCGACAACAGTATATCCCTCCTCAGCCCATTTCATCAACGGCGAAGGAACGCCGTCGACTAAATTTAAGCCCGAACTGCCCTCATCAGACGGGAGGACGATCAAACCAGGTCCATTGCCTCGCCGCGATAGTGGATGTAACAGGCGAAGGCCAGGTTTGAGGTCAATTAGATTGGGGACCGGTAAGGATGACGATGCTGTCGTCTCTTGCTGAGCTTGGGCCATGATTGGCTAATCGTAACTAGAATTTAACTAGAATGTTGTCTCTCCAGACTATCTGTGTATATATAGATGGAAGAAACCTAAAATCTATTACATATTCAGCTTTACGTCCTATCATCGACGTTGATATAGTAATCGACAACTTGTCAACCGAGAATGGCGGGCCGACTGGCCCTTACCCGACCCTGATAAGATAGGAGGGGGAAGAGTGGGGAACGCCGGAAAAGGAACATTCAGTGTTGGATGAAGGTATTACTAGTTCGGAAGTTATGCCGACTGTTTGTTCGAGTCAGTTTACCACTTATCCGACTGCCTTGTAAAAGAATGGTAATCTAATTATGTAAATACTGCGCATTATTTTCTAGTATATATTTGTTTATTGTTATATAGCATTTAATTTTACTATTAGTATGATTATATTATTGACTTTTATAAAATAGAGTATTCAGTGCAGGTGAATACCAATAAAATAATATATAATTCTACAAAAAGAGGTATTCTCATTAACGCTCTGATAGCGATAATATGGATCATGAGAAAGCCCCTGCATAACAAAACATAAATGTCTGTCTGAAGCCTCGGAGGTTGTGTAGTGCTTAAAATAGAATTGATTTGCAGTACAGGAAGGGACCTGAAATCCCGAAAAGTGTTCAGAAATGTTAGATTCAATCAATGACCTTTACAATTTTGAAACAAAATGCATTGAAATCTCGAGTAAGGACTTGTCTAGAATGCTCTAATCTAGTGTGAAACTTTTTATTTGATCTCGCAAATGCATACACCTTTTCAAACAATCAATTCACAACACCAGACAGAAAGCTAGAGGTGTGGACGGGGTATCGCTGAAGCGTATAGGAGAGCTGAGGTATCAACCTATCATTTAAAACCCGATATCAGCAGGACTTAAAAAAAGAGAGAGGATTTAACAAGCCCCCGCAGTGGAGAATGGAACTTACATAGGAAGGATTTAACTGGTCAATACTCGTGACTCCAAGGAGTGCCATCGTAGTCTCAATCTCATGATTGAGAATCCGAATAGCCTTACTCACCCCCCTTTCACCAAAAACCAGAGAATACAGAAAGCTGCGGCCTAGTCCGACCGCTTTAGCTCCCAGAGCGAGAGCCTTCACAATATCCGTCCCACGAGTAATACCACCATCCACAATAACCTCGCATTCCTCAAAGACCATGGGGCAGTTCGTTCGGATCGCGATAAGGGTTTCGGCAGCTGAAGGGGCACCTTCAAGTTGTCTACCGGCGTGGTTGGAGAGCCAGGGATGGACGCCGTAGTGCATGCATAGCGTGGCGTCTTCCCATGTTTGAATGCCTTTGATGGCTATGGGTAGATCGGTGATACTCCGGAGCCATTTAATTGCAGACTGCCAGTGGAACTCGGTCCATACATGTCTCCCAAATGTTAAAAAGCGAAAGGGTTTGATTAAATGTGGAGAAATTGGGTCACTCACGAACGTTTGACAGTCGGGCCACTGGCAAAGCTGTCATCACCGTCATCATCATCGTATTCGTCGTTGGGCTAGGAGTATACTGTTAGTCTCGATATAAAGAAAGTCTCACTAGACACGATTCTATACCTCTTCTTGCAGACCCACTCGGACATCTCGCTCACGTTTCCCAGCACGAATTGCATCAACTGTCAATGCAAACCCTTTATATCCCAAGTTTATAGCCTGCCTAATCTCTTTTTCTGTTGTAGACAAATCGCTCAAAGCGTAAATTTGCCAATACAACTTCTGCTGCTCGGTGTTGCCAGCACGAGCATCTGAAATTTCTTGTTTAGTGCATCCGGAATTGTTGCACACCCAGTGTAAGACATTGTGTTTTGCTGCTGCCTTTGTTAGAGATACTTCACCGGTTGGGTGGGCGAGCTTTGCACCGCCGGCTGGACAGATGAAGAGTGGAGATGAGAATTTGTTGCCCAGGACTGTAGTTGTCAGGGTCACTTCCGGGATGGGTTTGAGAACTCGTGGTCGAAAGCGAATGGATTGCCAGCTGGTGCGATTCCATTGTGCTGTGTATTCGTCGTCAGCGCCGGCTTTGAAGACTATGTGACATTTCGTGATTAGTTTCATTTAGCTTTAGGGCTGGGAAAGATTGATGTCCCACAGGCGAAGGATCTTGCTGATAAGATTTGAGAAGCTGCCAATTCGAAATCTCGAATGGTGATTATAGATTTTAGGCTCGCCAGTTTTTTTGTTCCTTGTGTCTCCATCGCCGGCTTTGGTGCAGGATTCTTGTTTTCAGCGACCTCTTTCCCCTCCGATTCAGTCACTGGGCCGAGATTCAATCTATCATAAAACATAGTAAGTAGATAAACTATGCCAATAAATGCCAAGAACTTTTGCATACTCCGGTGAAAGGTGCTTTTCAAGTGTATCGGCTGAATGGATGGGATCAAACGCCTCGGTGGCATCTTTTCCAGCATACTTGAGGATGATGCGAGAGCCACCTGGATGAACATCCAAGAACGAGGTCAGGTCATATGCAACACCTTTGATGATAACCCAGCAGCTAGTTTTGGAGGCGTGCTCATTCACTTCGGCTCTGTTATAATTTAGGTTTTAATTATACGTATGTAGTCTTGATGCATAGGAATGGATCGTCGCGTACCTTGTCACCATGTCGAGTAGTCAATAGTAGAATGAGGTTATGAAGATCCTTCTGCCTTTGGCGTCAAGATGTCAAAATAGTTTTCTTTCTTTTTTTATTGACCCCCCGAAAAGGTGTTGCGTCAAATTGCCAAACATCGCCTGGAGACCAGGCACGGAAATGGGGAAGAGGGCTATCTCGGATAAGGGTAAATGCCAGGCAAATGCCCATTTCCGAACTCGGCTATTACCTTGCAATCAATGCGGCTTCCATTTGTTTTTAACTTTCATTTTTCTGGGGTAAGCAAGTACGAACAAGTAAGAAAGCTTGTTGAATCTGCCTCTATACGGAAGATAACCTACGTGTCAATAGTCATGGAGGCCGTCTTCGAAAAGATCGCACATGAAACGACCACATTCAACCTTGGCGATGAGGAGGTGAGTTTTTATTCTGATAATCTCTATCACGATCCCGATATTTCAAGCTGACACAAAAAATCGGGTTGAATTCAGAAATGGAGACTTCTATATGAGCCATTCTATACCGCACCACCCAAAAACGTCGCCGTGGTGAGGGACGTGAGCTATGGACCTGCTGAGCGAAACCGTCTAGACGTATTTTATCCTTTGGATAGAGACGGCGACGATAAAGGGAAACAGACAGACAGGCCGGTTTTACTATTCGTGCACGGTGGAGGATTCTTCTCAGGTGATAAGGGGTGGAGTGAAAAGGTGAATATTCGCAATAATTCTTTTTTTACTGGCCCCAGTAAAGTAAATTGGGCCTAACAATTATGCATGTAGTGCTGGGCCAATATCGGTTACTTCTTCGCACAACATGGAGTGGTAGCAGTTATTGCAAACCACCAACTCGTGCCTCACGTCGCATATCCCGGAGGAGCAGACGACATGCAACGAGTCCGGGAATGGATTTTTCGCAACATCGCTTCGGACAAGTACGGCGGAGGGTCAGTCGACAAAGTGATTTTGCTTGGGCATTCCTCGGGAGGAGCGCATATTGCTATGAACTTGTATGCAGCTGGTGAGATACCCTACGTAAATGAATACTTTCGGAGCAAGGATTCCCATAGAACCTGTCTGATGTGCTGTTTGTTTAGGAGACCCGAATCGAGTACCAAAACAAGAAGTCTTCCCACCGGTCGCTGGCGTCATATATCTCAGTGTGCCATTCTGGTATGATCGCAGAAAGCCGATTCGACAGAGAGTGATTCGGCAGTATTATGGCTCGGATGCTGAGGAGGTTTGGGGTGTAGGTTGCTCTTCCAGGGTTCCTGACCTATATTAATGAGAATCTTTGAAATAGCCTTTGTCGGCACTCGGTCTATTTAAAAAGCTTCCAGATGACTCCGTTTTATTGTAAGTGGCCCAATTTCCCTAAATGGTTACGGCTTGAACATGATATTCTAACATAGTCGACAGAGACTCTGACAAGATACCTGTTTATGTTGGCTCGGTCAAATGGGAGGTGTACGTCTAGGGATCTCATAAATTTCATACGACAGAAAACTTTGATGCTAACGCTCCATAATGGTATCTATAGAAAAGAAACTGCAGATGCAACCATCGCGTTTTTCAATGAGTACCGCGAACGCAGCAAGCCCGTGGGAACGTTGCCTCTGTTAGACGTTCTGGATAAACACAATCACATTAGGTGAGTTGTAGTCTTCTATTTGGCCTTTGCCCCAACCAAAGCTAACTGGAATTTTTAAAATCTAAAGCAATGTCTTGTCGATTGGAACCGTAGACATTGACCAGGCCGAAAAGCTTCTTGACTTCGTTCGGTCCTGTGTTGCAAATGTAGAGAAAAGGAAAAGTGGTAGGTCTGGTTCGGTATGTGTTATTTCTTTGAAAATGAATTGGATTAAGGGCTAACTTGCAGAATTGACGAGGGGCCAGATACAAGCTCGGTTGTAAAGGAGTAAACGAATCAATGAGTACATTAATAGCAAGAACATCAAGTATATAGATTACAATTAATCCAAGATATTCGATGACTGCTAAGACCATGAGTTAGAATTCTGAAAACGTGGCAGACCAATTAATGTTAGACGGGCAAACACAAGCTCATGAGGAAGCAGGAAGTGATGTCTTGATTGTTGCTTGAAGGAGAGGCGAAGCCTTAGCAAATTGTTAGCCGCAAATAAGAGCTATATTAATTAATTACCGCCACCCATGAGCGGACCCATTTTGATGTATTTAGTGGTTTTACGAGCTCACAAATCTGTCTAATAGTGTGCTAGATCACATGAACTCGGCTGTGTCTGACCCATGGGATCTCAACTGTATAGATGTATACTTCCTAATTAAAATTGATACTAACAAAGTAGAGCGCTGCCTTATTTACCTATACGTATGTATAGTTCTTTCTCTTCCACCGCCGACTTCCAGAAATACTCTAGAATGTGCTCTAATAGGCAAGCAGGCCTACACAGATATATAATTAATGTATCTCTACTTATTATTTGGGCATATATGACTTTATACAAAACAATTCAACCTAGAAACGTTGCACAACAGCTACATAACGGTTGCAAGGCGGTTTCCGGGACCCAGCATTTTCCCATATTGATTGCCAGATAATTTCCAATGAATGGATAGGTCGGAAAACAAGCTTATTTTGTCCAGTATGTTCGTGGATAAATGTAATTAAATTTGGAAAATACATATGTAATGATCCTCCTGCAGTTGAGAATTTATTCAACCAGCATTGATACGCGATAATTTATTGGTACCGTCGGCTCATCACGCAGCAATAGCCTGTTGTCTCGCAAAGTTCCTCTGGACAGACTGGATAAAATACTCTCCAACGGTCATGGGAGGGCTATATCAAAGTCAGCTTAAAAATAAAACCCTCTAAATTTTTGAGGTAGCAAACTCACTACTTCTTCTGTGGCCCCTGAAGAACAAAGCCTCGACGTCCCTGATTGAAGTAGGCGATGGAGTATCGCGAAGGCGTCTTGCCCGCATCCTTAGCCCGCACACGATGGAAATTGGATTTCAAGCGGTCATCGGACCAGGCCACTATAGACACAAAAACATAGTTAATCAACTGCCATATTCGAAAACATGGAGAAACTCTAAGCCAGAGAGGAAAATACGTACTAAGCATATCCCCTATATTAACGACGATCGGTCCCGTATGAGCAGGCAGAGGAGTGAATACATCTCCCATGGCAAAGCTGCTGTGAGACTCTCGACCAGGGCAAATTTCCAGGCCATCTTCGCCTTCTCGCTGGAATAGCAGAGTCAAAATTCCAATGTCTGTGTGGCTGCCAGCGCGCCATGTCCCCTCTGGCGTATTTTCCGAGGCTGGGTAGTGGATTAGACGGAGTTGGGTGAGACAGTCGGGCTCGCTGGGGTCGTTGGCCGTGAGAAAATAATTTTCGGGGAAATTGAGAGCTATGGCGAGGCAAGATACTATTATATCTATTAGTAAGCAAACGATGGATCGATCGTAGATAAGACAAAAGTTAAGAGACATACAAACTTGGTTTGAAATTATAGCACATTTGTCCATGAACTCCTTGGTAGCATCTCGGAATCCAGGCACATCCTCTTCACTTGGCCACTGAGATCCACGTTGCAACCAGAGAGACTCTTTCTGATCATAAGTTCCCGTACTCGGACGAAGTTGGGCCTGGTCATCAATGTAAGAAGAGGAGGAAGAGGAAATAAGGGTTCCATACTTTGTATTCCCAGCCATTATTTGATTTACTGTCATGAGGCGTCTTGCCCTTGGACTCAGCAGGCAGGTCAAAGAATGATTTGGAGATAGCAAATTGCTTCTCTATCTCGTCGACTGTGATGCCATGGTCAACCAATGTCAAGAATCCGGCGGTCTCGGCAGCTTTGACGAGTTGTTTGGTTATCTCTTCTTTGCGGTTCACAAAGTCTATTAGTATTAGCTTTATCTTTCATGCATGTTTCAACGGCTAGGAAACGATAGGAGGATCTTTCTTTACCTTTGAGAGAAATAATGGGAACCAGTCGATCAGCCATGCTGAATGTATGTATCTTTAGCTACTAAACAGCTCAAACTTAAAAGCTTACCACTTAATTGATGGAGGACAATTAGCACTATGGCAGATGAGAACGACATTGTAAATTTTATAACTCTGTCTGGCTTGCTTATACTCCTAAATTCGGGAACGCGTCAGGAGGGCATCGGGCACAAGAGTTCAGTCGGGGCCAGCGGGGGTGACGGTACACAGCCGGGCGATCCATTTTCGGTACCTTATCCGTCTATCATCGGCTAAGAGATTCCCGATAACATGACCCCTAGTTATCAATCCCAAGACTGAGCTCTAAAGCCTGAGCACCGAACTTTGATTTTCGCTTATCCCTCTGGTATGGTAGCGGCTCCTACTATGTAGTTTAGGCTTATAATGAGGGGAACTACACGATGTGCCAAACACCAACAAAATTTTACTACTGGTAATTTTGCACGTTGAAAAATGTCACAGCCAGATAAGAAGGAAATGGAGCCTAAATCCGATATTGAAGTCGGTTTGGTATGTCAATACATCTGGGCGTTTAGATACAATAAAACTGACCTTGAAAAAAATAATAGGGGGAAAGCCAGCCAATAGACTCTGAGGCCATGACCAAGGCAGGCATTGATGCCAATGAGGCTAGCAAGTCTAAGGCGTTGCATTTACTTGCAAACCGACAGATCGACTTCGATCCGGATTCTCCAGAAGCCAAAAGAGTGCTTCGAAAGATTGACATGAGGATCATGCCTATGGTGATTGGGATTTATTTGCTTCAGTTGATAGTGCGTCTATTTCTTTTTTCTTTCCCAATGATTCCCAACCTCTCTATCGATCTTGGCTAACTTTCGGTTTGCAGGACAAGAATAGTTTGTCTTTTGCAGCGATAATGGGAATCAAGACAGAGACACACCTGACTTCAAGTGAATACTCCTGGCTAGGATCGCTTGTGTAGTGAGTACGCCTTGAGTACGACTGAGATGTTAAGTACTCACAATGGAGTTAGCTTTGGATATCTCGGTGGCGAGATTCCAGCAACATTCCTCATGCAACGATTCCCACTGGCCAAATATCTAGGCATTATGAGCATGCTTTGGGGCTTTATAGTCGCCATGCACGCAGTATGTCACGATTTCGGCGGTCTCGCCGCTATGCGCTTTTTGTTGGGGTGTGTCGAAGTATGCACGACGCCCGTAGTCATCTACATTACCAGCTCATGGTACACGCGAAGGGAACAAGTGACCAGGGTCGCACTTTGGTACACAACCTCCGGCTGGGCCTCAGTAATCGGTGGTTTCATTGCATGGGCCATCTATCAGGCTCACAGTTTCCGGTGGCAGGGTATTTTCGTGCTTTATGGATCGCTTACCTTTGTATTTGGCATAATTATTTTCTTCTTCCTAGCAGCTTCGCCAACTGACGCTAGGTGGCTGACGGAGGATGAAAAGGCGATCGCGTTGGAAAGAGTTCGGAATAACAAAACCGGCACGGAAGTTTGGGGCTTTAATAAGGATCAGGTCAAGGAGGCATTATGCGACGTGAGGTTTTATTTGATCTTCCTGGTGATGGTCACAACCGGGTTGCCCAACGGTGGTTTGACAGCTTTCGGTAAGTAAACCCTTGCACACACACTGCTTGATGTAAATGCCGGTAGTTGACATCGGGGACATTTCTGTGCAGGACCCACCATCATCGCGGGCTTTGGCTTCGACACCAACAAGACCACTCTGTTGAGCATGGCGCCCGGAGCTGCCGCTGTTGTTGGTACAGGGGTAGCTTTACTCGTAGCAAAATTGACAAACCGTACGATCACAGGCATCTACACAGTGCTACTAGGATGTGTCGGCGTTATCATGATGCTCGCAATACCCAGTGAGAATTATACGGCTCGATATGGGGGTTATGTTCTTACTCTGCAGTGTAAGTTTTCTCAAACAGTTTCCCAACTTTCCCCCCCTCTGATCCTATTATACAGATCCTATATGTATCTTGTCAATTGTTGCTTTCATGACAGCCGGTGTAGGTGGCACAACCAAAAAATTCGCCTTTGGCGTTGCTTATCAGCTTGGGTATGCAGTGGGCAATATTATAGGACCTCAGACATTCCGAGCTCATGAGGCTCCTAATTATTATGTGAGTTTATCGCCAGCATGCGGATTGCTCATCCGGTCTAACCTGTTATATTTTGGCAGAGCGCAAAATTCACCATGCTTGGATCCCTAATTGTGACCATCATCCTGATTGCTATCATTGGTCTAGTCCATTGGAGGTGGAACCGTAAGCGGGACAATCAGGATGCATTGGATGCCCAGAGTAAGCTAATCTAATCCGTCTCTCAATTCCATTATTGGATGTGTAATTGATTGCTAACTGTTATCTCTCTTAGACGGTATTATGCATGCACATGTTGCGAATGAAGAATTCACGGATCAGACAGATTTCAATTTAAGGGCTTTCCGGTATCCCCTGTAATAAAACCGTCACTGTCACTTGGTCTGTTGGATATCAATTTTTATGGGACTATGGAAGCTGTTCAAGATGGACCAAATCAGTCCATTGATTGGTGTTGTTTCGTAGGGGATATTTTGTATCGTTGAGATCAGCGTATTCACATGTAGACAGTGGTCATATATACCAGTTGACATGTATCATCCCACATGTATGTCCAGCATGTTTGCCGGATCATTGACGGGGTCTAATTTGAAAAGGGAAACAATCCACGCTGTTTTTCAAGCCTTCAACCATACATAAGTATTAACGTAATAATTTGAAATAATAAATTAGGTTTATAAAATCTTGTCAAACTTTTAACCACTACACCAGAAACGGCGCAATCCTCATTAAGGATTATTTTGGTTTCTTATGTCAGGATCCAAGGGTTTCCACCTTAGTGAAACCATTCTGGCTATAGATAGATGTTCTTTGTATACCTTTGGCTATACATTCGAACCCTAGGTCCCTCTCATGTACCTAGAACACATCTTCCTTATATATTCAGAATGCAGACATTCATCAGATCGTTACATCTTAGTTGCATACTTTGTCTAACAAATCTCACTTCTTTACAGCTTTTCAATGCTTCTTTTCAGAGTGATTATGACTCATGTCATGACTCGAGAAGAACTAGCGTGGGTTAGGTGCAGCCAATCAGACACTACAGTGATAGTCTAATAATGTGGATACATTAACAAATAATTATTAATCAATTAATTTGACTTGATTTTTATGTTGATTTTTATTGGTTATTGGTATATGGTTCGTATAATTAACTCTATATACATACACTGTCAGTAGATATTAATTGGTATTTTGTATAAATTATGTAGTCTACCGCCCTGAGCATTTGAAGCAGGCCCTAAATGAACTCTGCTGTTATTTTACTTTTCTAGATTTCATCACTACTCCCACACTATAGTTCTATCTCTTCCGTATGCATCTACTCTCGACATGGATCCATTATGTCCGATAGTAAGCCGCCAACGGGTTTGCGCTATACCACGCTGTCACCCTGCCCCACCCCCCAGCTGAGTCAACATTTTTTGGAAAGCTAAGTTACGGTCCCGCAAAATTCTTTAACTTGCAGACAATACATACCCAGGTTCCTAGGAATGTGGCTCGATTGATCAATTTACAAAACCTGGCTTAAGTAGCGGACACATCGGTGGTTCTCCGAGCCTGTCCCGGGAAGGTTGCATATCTTTCAACATCCACTCTAGAATCAACTGAGTGCGATCCGAGAATGGAGAACTTTTGACTTGGACTAAGCTCAGATAAGGAATCCAAGAATCAAGATGTCCCAGGATAACCTCAAAGCTCTCGCTACGGGTGCTATCGGTCTGGTTCTTGTATCTCTTCTCACTCTTCCTGCAGTGATTGCCATTACGTCGCGCTGCCGACGAGCCAAATATGAGTCACAGCTATTATACGAAGACAAAGATGGAATTGCAACTCAAGAGTCGATGGCCGCCTATTCAGCAACGGCCCCGAAGATTGTAACGTTTATCAGCATGTTTATTGGATTTGCAACTGCCTCCTCTTTAGCTGTTTTGACCCCTTCTGATCGAAATCAAGACCTCGCCTTCATTGCACTTTGGATAAATGTTGCTCAATGGGTGAGTATCTTCAAGGAACTAAAAGGCTTGGCACTGACACTATCAAGATTCTACTTTTGATCCAAACACTCTCGATCGGTATCATCCGAAACCCTACTAAAAGCTACTCATTAGGGCTGTACATTGGGTTGTCATGCATATTATTATTTGTCGTCCTTATTTTCCAGGATGCTCTACTCGTACAGAAGCAATTCTATGGTGAGTCTAGACGGTTATTTTTAACACAGATTGCCCTACGGGTTTCTCAACTTGTGGCGGTGATTTCTGCTGGTATCGCTAGTATCTCTTTGCCTCGAAGACCGCAAGTCTTCTATAATGGCCATCCAGTGGACAGCATGTTTACTGGGTCTGCCATGGAGAGATTCAATTTTGTCTGGGTTCAAAGCTTGTTGATGCTTGCGAAGAAGACGCGGCATCTAGATCTACAGGATCTGCCCAAAATGGATCATCATACTCGTTCGAAAGATCTAAGTGAATCTTGGGCGGAAAGAGTTCATTCACGAAAACTCTGGATCGAAATCGTTCTCGCCCACAAGTGGCCATTATTTACACAGTGGTCACTCACGCTAGTTCAAGCATTTGGCAATTTTGCTCCTCAATTCGTCACATTTCACCTCCTAAAGATTCTAGAACAAAGAAGTATTGCTGAGCCAGCCCCTTCTGAAGCTTGGGTATGGGTCTTTATCCTCACAGTTTCAAGTGTCGCTTCGGCGTGGATTGAAACGTGGATGTTCTGGGTATCTTGGTCCGAGCTTGCTATTCCAATTCGTGCTCAACTCTCGGCTCTCATATTCCAAAAAGCTATGCGGCGCAAAGATGTAAAGGGGGCGTCAAAAGCACTTAAAACAGAGAGTGGAGAGAATGAAAATTCTACCGAGGCCACTCTTGGGAATTCTGCAAATGGAGACAATTCTAAAGTTGAGGGAGATCAAGAGGATAACGACCCGAAGGGAAAGCAGTCAACAGTTAATCTCATTGGTATCGATACGAAACGGGTATCCGACTTTTGCTCTTTCAACAATATCTTTCCAGGCAGTCTGTTCAAATTGATTGTCTCATTTACCTTCCTGTGGTCGATCATTGGATGGAAAGCTTTGATTGCCGGGTTTCTAGCAATGGCTTTTACAGTCCCTCTTAATATATATATTAGCAAACGCTACTCAGCTGCTCAAGATCGACTCATGAAGGCTCGTGACGCAAAGATGGCCGTGGTGACTGAAGCTCTACAGGGTAAGCCGTGTAGCTGAATGCTATTGTTATAATAGCTCTTACTTACTTCTTCCAGGGATTCGACAGATTAAGTTTTCTGCGCTTGAAGAAAACTGGCACAACTTTATTGGTAAAGTTCGAGCCAAAGAACTGGCAGAGCAATGGAGTGTCTATGTGTAAGTCTACTTTCCTCAGAGCTACTTGGATATCGCTAACTCCCTTTCAGTGCTGAAACGTTCTTAATTTTGTAAGTCACATTTTAGGTACTTTCAGGGATTTTTCTTTTTTGTTTACTGATTCAACACAGCTGTTGGATTGCAAGCCCAATTCTGCTCTCTGCAACGTCGCTTGCCGTCTACGCTCTCTTGAACGGCACTCTTACTCCATCCGTTGCTTTTACTGCAATTGGAGTGTTTTCAAATCTGGAAATGACCTTGTCGGTAATTCCAGAGCTAACTACGGATCTCATAGACGCGTATATCTCCATGGGACGAATTGAAAGATATCTAAATTCACCTGAGATCTCTGCTTATACGAGCGATGCTCCCAACATTTCGTTCGAGAATGCTTCAATCACTTGGCCATCAGATGAGGAAGAACAAGCAAATGACCAAAGATATGTTTTGAGAGACCTAAATGTCTCTTTCCCAAAGGCTGAGCTTAGCGTAGTCAGTGGAAAGACGGGAACTGGCAAGAGTCTCATGCTGGCAGCGATTCTAGGAGAAGTAGACGTCTTATCTGGCAAGGTCAATGTTCCACATTCGCCAACTACTCAAGAGCGACACGACCACCTAGCTACAAGAGCCAACTGGATCATACCTTCCTCAATTGCATTCGTCGCCCAAATCCCCTGGATCGAAAACGCCACTATCAAGGACAATATCCTATTCGGCCTTCCCTTCGACGAGCAACGGTACAAGCAAGTCATCGAAGTGTGCGCGTTACGAAAAGATCTAGATATGCTCACTGATGGAGAGTACACTGAAATAGGCGCCAATGGTATCAATTTGAGCGGTGGCCAACGATGGAGAGTCACCTTTGCTAGGGCGTTGTATTCTCGAGCTGGAATATTAATTTTGGATGACATCTTGAGTGCTGTCGACGCTCATGTAGGAAAACACATTTTCGAAAAAGGCCTTATGGGAGATCTCGGGGTCGGTCGGACTCGAATTCTTGTTACCCATCACGTTGCTCTGGTTAAATCAAAGGCAAAATACTTGGTAGAACTGGGAAGCGGTACCATTGAGCATGCTGGGCTGGTGGACGAATTGGAAGCTACCACCTTGGACGAGATTATCCACCACCAAGAAAGTGAGCACGAGATTCGGCAGGATGAAGGTCTCACCGAGGAATCATCTGATGGCGAGAATATGGAGGAGCTGAAGAAAGTGAATTCGAAATTAGCCCCGAGAAAGTTTGTAGAAGAGGAAGCGAGAGAACAAGGAAGGGTGAAAGGCAGAATCTACATGGCTTACCTGAATGCTGCTGGTGGGTTGCCTTTCTGGTTAGTAGCCGTCGTCGCATTCTCTGTCTTGCAATGCCTCGTAACTGGTAAGTGAATAATCTTTGGGTAGTTACCTACCCATATAGTACGCTAATAACGGTATAGGTCGCTCCTGGTGGCTCAAGGTATGGACTGGTGCGGAAGAGAAAGAATCCATGACACAGCTCAGCTACGCCCTTCACTCACAAACATTCATGTCCTCTATTCCGCCAAATTCTACGACGCTCGCAGGTCCGGATCAGAGACACACACTCGGTTTTTACTTAGGTATCTACGTTGCCTTCTCTGCTGTTTCGGCTATTCTCGGAACGTTACGATATTTCTACATCTATACTGGGTGTATTCGTGCTTCTCGAGTTCTCTTCGACAAAATGTGTTACGCCGTTCTTCGGACACCGCTAAGATGGGTTGATACGGTACCACTAGGTCGGATCTTGAATCGCTTTACTTCAGATTTCAACGTCATCGACGCTCGCCTATCAAACGATTTTACGGGTGAAATGAGGGATCTATTTCAGTTTTTTGGAATAATTGCTGCTGGGTAAGCTTGTCCTTAGTTGTGTTCTCATTTTGCATAATTCTAACCCCTTTATCTCCACAGGCTTTTTGTTTCCCCGTACGTTATGCTGCTCTCGATTGCCTTACTCTCCGTTTGTATCTGGATAGCGTCTATCTATCTATACGGAGCCCGCGAAGTCAAACGTCTCGAGTCCAACGCTAAATCACCTGTCTTCGAGCAATTTGGCTCTGCTCTCACAGGTGTTAGTACTATTAGAGCTTTCTCGAAAACAGACACATACATCAAGCGCATGTTCGAGAAGATCGACAACCACAGCACCACCTTCTGGTATCTTTGGGCCTTCCATCGTTGGATGGGGTGGCGCATGACACTTGTTGGTAGCTTCTTTGCGACTATCGTTGCAGCTATCATCCTACTCCTTCCCAATGTGGATGCATCACTCGCAGGTTTCGCGTTATCCTTTGCCTTGAACTACAGCACGACTATTATCTGGATAATCAGACACTACGCAAATTTAGAATTAGACATGAACGCTACCGAACGCATCATTGAGTACTCCAGCCTCAAGATCGAACCCCAGGATGGCGCCGATCCACCGGCCGCCTGGCCGAGTGAAGGACGACTCGAAGTCAACGACCTTGTTGTGGCCTATGCACCAGACCTCCCACCAGTTCTAAAAGGGATCACTTTCCACGTCGAACGTAACCAACGCATTGGGGTAGTTGGTCGTACGGGAGCCGGCAAATCATCTCTCACGCTGGCACTCTTCCGGTTCCTCGAAGCCAGTCAAGGAAGTATCCACATCGATGGACTCGACATCTCCAAAATAAAGCTACACTCACTTCGATCTCGCCTTGCAATCATTCCTCAAGACCCAGTTCTGTTTTCCGGGACTGTGAGATCGAACCTCGACGCTTTTGACAAACACACCGATTCTGAACTGCATGACGTCCTCGAGCGCGTGCACCTCGTCACTCCAAACACGGAATCCTCAGAACCGGCGGCCGGTTTAGCTAGTGAGAATACAAGCCAATCAGCAAACGAAAATGTCAATCCCTTCCGATCTCTGAGCTCTCCAGTCACGGAAGGTGGACTCAACCTCTCGCAGGGCCAACGTCAGCTTCTCTGCCTCGCTCGCGCCATTGTGTCACGTCCGAAAGTTGTGGTCTTAGATGAAGCCACGAGTGCGGTTGATATGGCGACTGATATGCTGATCCAGAGGAGTATTCGGGATGAGTTTGGCGATAGTACACTCATCGTCATAGCACATCGGTTGAGTACAATTAGTGACTTTGATAAGATTCTCGTCTTGGACGATGGACAGGTTGCGGAATTTGGAACACCTAGGGAATTGATGGGTATAGAAAAGGGCGTGTTTAAGGCTATGGTGAAAGACAGTGGCGAGAGAGAGAAATTGGAGAAAATCATCTTAGGTTGAGGCCTGGATGTGGAGCATATTGGCGAAGTTCGAAATTAAGTCATACAACTACACTCATTCTAAAATTATGACAAAATAAGCATGTTATATCAAAAGACTATTGAATTATACTATTTGATTACTGTATAAAGATAAATGACACATTCTTTTTGGCGCGAAACTTATTGAAGCCGACGAGCCATCCCAACTTAGGGCCACACGAACTGCATGTGATATTTTACTCACAATTCCAGCGGAACTTCATATGTATATTCTGCACCTCCAGCCCATTGCGGAAACGAATTCCAAGTTGCCTGGTATTGATCAATAGGCAGGAAGCTTTCCAATATCTCCTGGTGACCACATTTCGTTGATTGCAACGACACACCCTGAAATCGCTCCTCAATCCAACGCAACCACACTTGTCTACTTGCGTCAAGGGTTGGAACGTGACCTGTCCCATTAGATATGAGCGTTGTAATTTTGCTATTTGGATATCTTTCACAGGCGCTGGTAATAGTAGCTAATGTGACGTTGTATGACACGAACTGGTCTGCAGTGCCTTGAATGACCAACATTGGCCTTGTAATCGGCTTTGTACCCATATTGACCAAACTCGAGTATGCCCTGGTGTACCACGTCTGTGTCATATTTGGTTTTGCAATATTCCCACTGAAGAACCCAAATGCGGTGGCAAGGCCACCCTGTACGGTCTGGAATACCTCTGTTCGGTTTACGCCAAATGGCGTCAACCAGTCTTCAAGCCGAAACGTCGGGAATACCGAGGCTAGCCCCACACCCACAAAGGGCCCAACATATGTCATAGATGAATTGAAAACACTGGTCGTTGGGCTGACAGCTACGGTTCCCAGATGGCCCTTTGCGAGAGTAGAATTCTGGCCTAACAACTCGGACGTTGCCCACGATACTCCGCCTCCTTGAGACTGGCCCATTACCACGAACGTATCGCTAAGTTTCTTAGAAAAGGCTGCTTTGGCTGCTTTGTATGCATATATCGCGTCGTTAGCAGAGGCTGGTAGAGCGAGGTATTGGTGCGGAATAAAGCCCCCTTGAAAGTTCCGGGTCACGCCGAGTCCAGCATAGTCAGGAGCAACGACAGCATAACCAGCGAGCGCAAGGGCATATGGTGCACTATCACCAGCCCAAATATTGCGATGTTTACTCGGCGCTGCAGGGCCGAAAAATCCAGAGGTCATATGGTTCCAGATAACGGCTGGAGCTGCCATGTGTGGAGTGAGATTCGCAAACGATCGTGGAGAAAAGGGCCACAGAATGAAGGCAGAGGCCGGTATTGCCGTTCCGTTCAAATCCTTCGTTGTGTATATAAAGCGAGACATTGCTAGGTTGGGTGAGAGTGTGTAGTTTGTGATATTCGTATACGTTTCGAGTTTTATGAGAGACCCCGGGATTAGATGCCTGTTGTCTGGAGATTGCGCTGGTAAATCGTAGAACTCGTCTTGATCTGCTGGGCCCCCTGCGTATTGTGACCGTTCATGATTGATAATGTTACTCAAGGTCGAGGCTTCTTGGTCTGTAAAATTTGCTTTGAGTGCAAGTTCATGGGACAATGCGAAGGAAGAGTTGAAGCTGGTCAACTGAGGGCTAGCAATAATTTGAGCTGAAATGCCACAGGCAAAGGCCTGTATGTAAAGTAAAGCTGATTTCATTTTTGAGAGACTAGACTAGACACTTGGTAACGTTCCGTGTCTGGATAATCGTTTTTGTACCTTACTCTTGTCGAGACCCAACTCGAGCTTAAATACATTTGAAGATCGTAGACTAACTTGAATTCAACAATTTATTTGGATGACTATGTAAAATAAAAAATTATTTGTAATACCTCAATTAATACGGCCGTAAATGCCTACAAATGCAACGGCACACTACATCGAAATCCTAAGTAGGCTAACATGTCATCAGAAATCATCAGAAACGTCAGACAATGTCAGAAATCGTCAGAAGACCTGTAAAACTAAGCGTTAGCTCCAATTGATCCGTAATCAACTTTCTCTGCATTTCTTTTATTTTTTTAACATTTTTATAAGAAACGTGGGTCAATTTTTAGACTCTCATTCTTGTTTATTCTTCGTTCTACTCCGGTTACAAGCCACGTGAAATGTTGATAGAAGGAATAAATATCATTGATTAAAGTTCATTATCCAAGACCTCTCATCTCACAGCCGCTAAATCATAAGCTGATGTCATCAGCTAGCTACATACGGCTCTGGCCAAGTGTATAAAAGTACATCTAAAGAGAAGAAACCACGATGCAATAGATGCTATATGGCGACAGCGAAAATCAGACCAACACGCATGCTCCCATTTTTATGAATGAAAACAAACATGCATGTATTATTAGTTCGAAGTGCAGCGGAGAATAAGAAAAATTGATAAAATTTTTGAGACGTAGTGAAATGGTAAATGGTCGTCCGTATTTGCTTTTTGTTTATGCATTAGTGATATCCGCTGTTATTTATGGAAAGCGCATTGACGGAATCATTGTCTTTCTCTATCGTGGTGATAGACTGGATTTCGGCGTCAGATGGAAAGAGAATAACAGTCCATATAATGTTATGCCAACCGATAGATGCGAGTGGACAAATTCACACAAAATCAATCCGAGATGCTAAACTCCAATGCACAATATTAAAGGCTCAAAAGAAAAAATGACAAAGAGTTGCTCAAATCGAGATGGTTATGAGTTATTTCTTTTTTCCGTTGGGTATATCTTTCAAAATGTCATCAAAACTCATTGTTGGGTTCATGCGAGTAAAAGGTTTCGCAGGTGGTTCCACGGGCATGACACCGGCGGGCAACGGAAGAGCTTCCAATCCGTTGTAAATCGAGGCTCGAGGATTGTGGGACATGAATCCTGGGGATCCGGTGCGAGGGGCGGTAAGCGGCGACATGCCACTGTGACTAAACATAGATTGAACATCTGAGATCGACCCAATCGATGACTGGGGTACCGGAGGCGATGAGAAGACTGATGAACCATCCTCAGTTGTTATCGGAGAGCCAAGGACCTGGCTCTTTTCTGCCCATTGAGTGGCAATCTGCCAACAGTGGCTGCGGCGGTATACAGCATCGACGGCATTGTTGACCACATCTGAAGGGAGACTGACAACTCCCTGTCCTCCAGCAACACCAAACCAACTGCGTCCAGTTTTGCCATCGTTCTGCACCCAAGGAGCTCCGCCGCGAGGGGCGACGCAGAGGAAGTATTCTACTCCATTGGTGAAGCGCACATCGGAAACATCGATAACCAACAGAGGGAGTGACTGGAGAACGGCATAAAGGAACAACCATTGACCAATTCTGTTGTCCATGATTTCGTCCATTGTCTTACCGTGGGCATTGCGGCGCTCGAATTGCATGAAGCTCTCCACAAACGGAGTTGGCTTCAAGCTCTCCCTAGTGTAGCTTGCCATGAGGATTTCATTGATCTCTGAGTCCTTAAGTTTCCTCTGCCGCTCTTTGGCGTCTTTCTTGGGATCCAGAGGCCTGCGGTAGAGCGCCTGTAAATCGGGAATTTGTGGCACATCAAATGGAATTGGCGGTAGCACAGGAGGCGTGCTGCGATCATACTCGCTCATCATTCGTCGCATAGCTCGCATCACGACTTCATCTGGGTCTGGAACGTCAAGGTCTTCGGTCGCCATGTCCGTTGTTCGTGTCGTTAATAATGAACGGTCTACTAGCATGTCGTAGAGATCGGTGAAGTCATCGTAGACCTCCTTGAGTAACAAACGATTCAGACCACTCTCCTCAAACTCGTTCTTCTTGGAATTTGCCTTGGGTGGCCAAGAACCAAACTTATGGCGATAATAGCCCATTACATGTTTCCTGAAGGCGAGGAACGATAGCTTCCATGATTTGAAACGAACGGTTTTACCTTCAACTGCAGTGGTAGAGTTTGCGATGCCAGAAAACATGGCAGGGAAATCGAATTCGTCGAGCTTACCGCGCAAGACCGTCAGTCGATTTTCCAAGTCAATGTATCCACGTTCAAGCCGTTTCCTTGTCACCGGGCTGATCATGCCGTATTTTGAGCTCTCTAATTCCTTAATGTCGGCCATCTTGCCGACACCATGAACAAACCCTTCCAGGTAGAGCGGGTAGTAACGCAAGTTTTCACCCAGGATAACAGCTTCAATGGTTTTTTCTCGGCTTTTGCGAACGTCGGCGAGATGAAGCTCGTCACAATAATTAGCAAAGCTAGAATTGGCAACTTCGCCAAAATTAGAACCATCGAAATTAGAGAATTCGAAGCGACGCAGTAAAATGGATACCTCCATCAAGATGGAGAATAAATTTGGGCGTCTGGGCACGGCCACAAGAGCTTGGCCAAGCAGAAAGGCGAACAGGTTCCGAAAAAGTACCAATGTGTCTGTATCCTCCGGTAAAAGGGATGTGGCCGCGCTCGACACATCGCCGTGGAGAGGAACGGGAAGATAGAGATGAAGCTCCTGGACTTCCTCAGTAGGCTCGTCCACTAGCGCCATTCTATTGCTTCCATTGCTGGCAGTATCGTTTATCCATTGGTCCTCGGGCGCAGTTGCACCATCGGGATCCGTTACAGTAAGTGTACGAGTTGATTGTCGAAGCGTCTCTATTTTTGGATCGGTACCTCGAGCCAGAAACGTGAGGGAAGGCGAGTCTGCAAAGACAGATGAATCGACTCTAAACGATGGGGGTCGTTGGGTATTTTGAGGGAAAAGGTAAACAAAGGTGTCGCCTTGTTCGTTCCAAAGCTCGTGGACCTAAACGACATTAGGACAACCTGAACGCGTAAATATTATTCAATGACTTACCCGGTCGCCTCGCGTTAATGCTTCCAACTCATAGGGAATCTTCTGCTCTAGTCCGGCAATCCACGCATCAACCCCCGAATACGGGTCCTCAACCTCCAGACGAGGAATACCCGTATCCGGGCGAGGCAGTGACACTGAGCCCTTACCCAGCATCCAACTTTTCCTCCTGTTATGCGAGCGAGGGTCGAAAGATTTTGATGGCCCCGGGCTTGAGCTTCTGCTCCCTTGTCGGCTGTGGGAGCCTCGCTGGGACCCAGGGTCGTCCAGATCCTGATTGATGGAGAGCAAGGAAGGAGGGGGGGGCAGGGGCGTGTCCAGGTCTAGAGGCTCTATTGCGCCGTGGCTTGTTCGTGGGCGGCCTTCGCTTTCGCCGATATTGGGTTGAGGCGATGAAGCGTGTCGCACAGCAGGTCTTGAGTGACTTCGGGCGCGTCTGTGGTCAGGAGCGAGGTACCGGTCCGGCGACTGCTTCGGAGATCCTGATGAGGTGGAGGAGGCGGCGGACTCTCTGTTTGTTTTGAGGTTGAAGAGAGACGAAATGCGCCTGGCCGTGTTCGGTGCCGACAACATTTCGACGACTTGTGTGTAGCAGTCTCCAGACGCAGCGTTTTTTTCAACGACTGACGGCGGTCACAAAAAACCACGGAAAACCGCAGGTGATGCGGGATTCCTACGGCAGGTCGAGGTCGTGACCAGATTCCAGAAGACACGGGCGGTCGCAATTGTTTTGGGTGGCTCTTGCAGTGACGCTGGAATGGATCGGCACCTTGGCTGAGCTGAGCGAGAGGAACCAGGCGGCGGGGAAGCTTGCAGGAGGAAAGCAGGCGGTTGGGGGACGATCCTCACCGGCTGTAGTGCTGGTGCTGGTGCTGTACTCCTAGTAGAAGCAGGATGGTTCAAAACTTAGCCAGGGGGTGAGGAAAAATTGAGGGTTTGGCGCGATGATAATATTAAATAATAAACTAAAGAATTGTCTCGCAGCAGTTTGACGTCGGCAGCCGGGGCGTCCGCACAGCCAGCCGTCTGGATTAGCTCCCTGTTTGCGGGTGGAGTCGCTTTACGAGTCGATTATTTCGTGTGTTGTATTGTCGTATTTTTTAAAAGCAAAAAAGCTTTCGAGTCTGCAGAGCCACGCAGCGTATAAGGGGTGCAGGACGAAGATAACAGTGACAAAATACGATGGCTGTGGATATGGTGGAGCAGCAAGTGAGTGTTGTTGGAAGGAAGGGAGAAGGTACAAAGAGTCAGCTAACAAGACCGGCAGCTGCTGTAATTGGTGACACAATCGCGCGATGATGACACAAATAGCAATAATGTTGTTCTCAGCAAGGTAGTGATATTGAAAAATAGCAACAATGCTAAGTAAAGAAAGCCAACATATCATAAGCTGATCTCGCAGGCAAGGCTGTGCGAAGCCAACCTGGGCGCAACGGAAAGCTGAGTATCGACGCTGCTGGTATTCCGTCAGATATGCTGTTCCCAGGCGATGATATGATCTCCTCGAATTGCAGGGCAGCGCACTGACCGGAATCCTGAGTGTATGATGCCCACGTCTCAGATGGCGCGGAAAACACATGCCCGGCGTGAATCATGACGTGCACTAGACAGCGTATGGTAGCCACAGTTCGCTATACAGCCCACACGACGCTACGACGAAACAGTAATGGTAAAGAATACTAAGAGGAAACGGCCACGCCAGACGCCAAAAAAAGACACAGCCAGGCCCCTGGCTCGGAGCCTCATGCTATTGGTAGTCTTTGGTCTTATGCTTTCCGCATTTGCTGTTCCACCGTATTCCATGGATCGTTGTCGGACGCTTCGTCATCACAGACCATCAGGGGTAGTCGAGCAGCCGTGGTAATAGTGATACTGATGTGTAATGTGTAAGAGGCGCTGTTATTGCCAAGCACGCGGCCACACCCACACCCACACCCACACGCCTACGCCATCTCTTCCAATCGTAATCAATTGATGTTATAGTTGGATCCGTGCAATTGTCCTGTGACTGCGCTCTGCGTTGTCTAACGACGGCTGAGAACTCGGGTCAATAATGGATCTTTCTTGAGCATGGCCGTTGCATGTCAGCTTACTCTAGCAGCCCAAGCTTAGCCATGATCATGATCAATATCAGCCTTACAATACATTGATATATAGCAGTATCCGGGCCATGGCCCCTGTAGAGCTGTCGCCAGATGGAACCGAAAGCTACTGCATTAATGAGTGCCAATAATTGATGTTGATGTATCCAGTAATAGTACGACACGACTAAGACAACATTTGAACTATGTAAGCGATTGGTCGCGTAACGTGTCACCATTGAAATTATAACATTTATCCCTGCAACACTAAAACCGTCGATCGGAACACATAGATCCATCGATATGAACTATAATTAATGGTGGATACTAAAATAATGCGAGATCTCGGTTTCAACTGTGCATGTCAATTTTCCCCTCCCAACTCAACTCGCAACTCAACCGTTCAAATGTTATTTATTTGGTTTATCTACCTACATAAAGTTGACAGATCGTGGTCTTGAGACTAGACCAATGAAATATATATTTGGTGTAGCCGGATCATCAAATTCAAAATGTTCACATGCACCGAGGATCAACACTTGAATTGATGTGCATAATATAATTCAGATGTATCGAGTGCATCATCAGAAATATTAATGATCTCATAGATAATTCTGATATCATCGAGTAATCAATTAATTGATGTGATCTTTTTTTGGATTATGTGATTGTTGAGGATACCCCACAGCATGGGAGCTGCCATCGCGGGTAATCCCGATCCTTCGATGCTGCAGATGTCGCCCGCTCGCCCTTCCTCCACTAACAACAATTGAAGTTTTCGCGTGGACCGATTGAATAGTGCTAACTTGGCATTCAATCCTTCTGGAAGAAGCCGTCAGAAAGATGTACCGCGAACCCTCCAAACAGCTCATCGACCTCTTTCGCGGATGGCCGAACCCCGCGCTCCTCCCCGTCACTTCTCTTACCCAGGCAACCTCGACTGCTCTGTCGACCCCATCAATCTACCAGCCAGGACTCCAATATGGACCGGACGAGGGCCACCCGCCGCTCCGTCAACACATTGCCGACTGGCTTACCTCGTTCTACCGCCCAAAAGACCCTGTTTCCACAGCCCGCATATGTATTTCGGGCGGGGCGAGTCAAAACCTCGCGTGCGTGCTGCAGGTCTTTACCGATGCTGCATATACCCGGAATGTGTGGATGGTTGCCCCGACGTATTACCTCGCATGCGGCATATTTCATGATGCAGGCTTCATGAATCGCCTGCGGGGTGTCCCCGAAGACGCCGAAGGGATAGACATTGGCTTTTTAGAGAAGGCGTTACAGGAGGCAGAAGCAAAGGCCACCGCGGAAGGAAACCACAAGCCGGTATGAAGGAATCCTCTTGCTTTCTTTCTGACCTCATCGGCTAATTGGTCTAGCTTTATACCTTAGCACGCCCGTGGAGCAAGATTTACAAGCATATCATCTACCTGACGTCGACCTTCGCGAACCCATCGATGAAAGTGGTATCTACCCACCGCCGCGAACAACTTATTAGATTAGCCCGCCAGTACGACGCTCTCATAATATCAGATGATGTATATGATTTCCTCCAGTGGCCGTCAGACCCCAACGCAGATCTATCCACAGTCGAGCTTGCCTCGGTTCCTCGCTTAGTTGACATTGATCGATATCTCGACGGTGGTCCCATCGATGTCTTCGGGAACGCGATGAGCAATGGTAGTTTTAGCAAGTTGGTTGGTCCTGGAGTGCGTACTGGGTGGGTGGAAGGCACGGAGAAATTTGCCTATGGGGTGTCGCAGACGTTTGTAGCCTAGTTTGGACTCAATTTTGTCTACTATTTCGCTAACAGCCTATCAAAATAGCGGATCGTCGGTTTCTGGAGGTGCTCCCTCCCAATTGACGGCAACCTTTGTCGACCATCTAGTTTCTACGGGAGCTTTGCAACGGCATATCAAATCTAAACTAATTCCGTCATACCGTGCCCGCTATCAGCAAGTCCTAAGCGCAATCGATGACAATCTTGTGCCGCTTGGATTTCAGGTGGCGGCGAGAACCCAGTTAGTCGTTGGTGGCTACTTCATCTGGCTTGACCTACCCCCGAGTATCAAGGCAAGTGTTTTGACCGAGAGAGCATTGGCGGAAGAGAATGTCCGCATTGGCAGCGGGGCACTCTTCAAGGTCCAGGGCGACGCCAGTGATCATCATCAGGATTTTGAAGGAAGCGTCCGACTTTGCTTTGCATGGGAGGAATTCGATCAACTGTATGAGGGAGTGCGGCGGCTCGGCAATACAGCCCGCAGTATATTAAACAAAAGGTAAGTATTTGACGCCCCAAAATTAATCACCCTATTCACGGCGTCGCCTTATATTTGAAGCGCGACGAGATCTTGAAGACCATAAATAAGCCTCGGTTAGATACCCAATTAGTTTTTTAGGATATGCCCTTAGTAAGCATTGTAAATGTTTACAATTACTAGTAGGTTAAATGATAAACATGGGCACTAAAGTGTGGGACTTCTCTACGACAAGCCATTATTACAGCCTCTGGCTCAACTTTCTCGGCCCTCTGATCCAGTGGTGTTTCGGTAATGAAGTTCGACGCTCAGCGGGCTCGCTGGCAAATCTGGGTTGCTTAGGAGTGGTACTCCTAAACAGCAATGGGAAAGTAATAACTGGACAGGTGTCGTGCAGTAACATGTGATTTTCTATTCCCGAACTGATTTCCCAACTTAGCCGTCAGCATTACAGGCATAGTAAATCTGCTATATGACTATTGAATGTGGAAATTGTAGAAAATTGGATCTAGCCGCTGACTAGTAGGAGGGGCGACAGTTCGATCGCATAAAGATGATATATCGGGATCTATATGGCCAATGATATAGTCTTAGTTCTTGCAACTAGACAATTCTGCCACGGCATTTTGATAACCAATTACTAAAAATGTCGGCATTACTAACGCGAGTTACATGCAGGGGCCAGCCGCGATTTTCTTGCTAGTTCTCGTGGATGACGGCACGCATTACCTGCTATTCGGGCTATGCATGGGTGGCCTGTTTTGAGCCTAGGTATAGTCCCCCATATCCGATCGGACAAGTGAAAATACGCTTATATCGGACTAGCTGATGGAAAGGATCAAATCGAACGAGATCTTAAAGAGAGGGACTAGGACGCAAGCCTGCCTTTTCTTTAACCTAAGATATCAATTGATATCCTTCCCGAGAGATATCCTCTGGCTGGCCGAATTAAAAAATGTGTCGCGGTGCAGATGAAGCTCTAGAAAATCCCAATTTTCTACTAGGCCAGGGAAGATTGACTTCCTCGTGCAGTGCTAAGGTGGGAGAGTTATCCCCGCGCCATACTTTTGGTTTTAACCCTAACGCAGGCCCCGAGTAGGGCTTAGCCTACGTCCGTCGGGCTTTGTTTTAGGCTTCTGGCTGGCTTATCGGGGCCTTCGGGTACCGATCGGGGCCGCTCACTGAGCCAACGGGCTGACCCGGACCACTGATAGTGCGTCGGTGTCGAGAAACTATTCTATGAACAACACTCTCTATACCGACGAGATGAGTACAAAGCTCGGTAGACCCCTCTGTTCGCAGAGGGTGTCAGACAAGGTAGGTGTAAAGTATACATGGAAGTAGCGTAATCTAGTATACGTCGACTGGGTGTCTCGATTCTTGCCGTTCAGTTGCAGTTCTCATTCTCTGGAATTTGCATTTTCGAATATACCACGTGCTCAGTCAGACTCACGATGCCGGGAAAGCTTGGTGACAGCAAGGGCACAGAGAATGTGGCACCAGCTCCCCCAGCTGCCGCGTCTTTTCCTCTTGAAGAGCTTGCCTGGCAATGCACCAAGAATGCCATCGCCGTGAGCCAGTACCTCTCCGCCAACGAACTGCCGCAACCATCGCACGAGCCGGATGCACCGAGCAGCACCCTTCCCAAGGACGCGCCACCAAATATCCGTCGCGCGCGACAGAGTCTCATGAATGCTGCTCTACAGCTCTTCCAGCTCGCCGCCGGGCCCAGTGAGTTCATCCCGAACCTCGCCCCCGGCTTCCAATACGTCGCCTGTCTTTCTTGGCTCCTCCGCTATGATATCTTCCACCTCGTCCCCGCATCAGGCTCAATTTCGTACCGAGACCTCGCCACGGCGGCGTCTAGGCGCGCCAATAGTGCCGCCGACATTCCGGAGGCGCGCCTCAAGAGCATCGTTCGTATGGCTATGACATCGGCGCTGTTCCGTGAACCGGAACCAAACCGTGTAGGCCACTCAGCCACCTCAGCCCTCTTAGCACGCGACGCAGATGTGCATTCCTGGGCATCATATCTGAGCACCCGCTCAGCTCCCACCGCGCTCTCCATGGCCGCAGCACACGATAAATTCACACCCGCGAGCGTCGCCAAGAACGAGACTGCATACAACGTCGCCTTTGACACCCATCTGCCCTTCTTCGATCACCTCGCCTTGGACCCCGCCAACACCGCTGAGTTCGCCGGTTACATGCGCAACGTGACGACGAGCGAAGCCGTCGATGTGAAGCACCTGGTAAACGGATACCCCTGGGCGGATCTCGGGCATGGGCTAGTCGTCGACGTCGGCGGTTCAACTGGTAACGCAGACATCGCCCTCGCCAAATCCTTCCCGGACCTACGCTTTATCGTCCAGGATCTCCCTGACAATGCCAGCGCCGGACGCGAAGCCGCGGAGGCGAACCTCCCCAGCGATATCCTTTCTCGGATTAGCTTTCAAGGTCACGACTTTACCAAGCCGCAGCCCGTTGCCGGCGCCGACGTATATCTATTGCGCATGATCCTACACGATTGGCCCGATCATGTGGCCATCACCATCCTCAAGCAGTTGGTACCAGTTCTAGAGAACAAAAAAGCCAAATTGATCATCATGGACACCGTCTTGCCGGCACCAGGACAGGTCCCGGGCTCGGTAGAGCGCATCGTGCGCGTGCGCGATCTGACCATGATGCAGGTTTTCAATAGCCACGAGAGAGATCTCGATCAATGGAAAGCGCTGTTGGCTGCGGCAGATGAGGGCTTGCGGCTGCGCCGGGTGATGGAGCCTTATGGCAGTGCCATGTCGTTGCTTGAGGTGGAATTGGATAGGGATTTCCAGGAGGAGGAAGAGGAGAGCTGGGCTATTAGTGGCTAGGTAACCGCGGGCGTGCCATGCATATGAATATATTCAAGTCTGCCGACTACAAGACTTTGGCTGTTAATCGTCGATTGCGATGCGAACAAGGGGCGTTTTTCTTTACATACTTGGTTTTACTCTGCATGAATTGATTACGTTTGAAGCTGCATATCAAAAAAACAAGTAGACAGTTAATGATACTGGAAAGAAGAACGCCAAATTTCAAGCTTGAAAAGCGAATTTGGCTTACAAATAAATAAATTTCTCGAGTTACCTAAGCATAGCGAGGTAACTTAACTTAGCTGTTCAGCGGCTAGCCCTAAACCTGCCATTTATGGTAACTGCTCAATCCCGCTGTCTGTAGGACCAAGCGATCTGTAATGTCAGGACCTGTGACTGATACGACAGGATATTGTCAGAGCTGATATGATCAAATATCTCATTAGCTTTCTTCGGGCGAATTATTTAATATTTGTCTTTTAACCCCCAAGGGCCTGCATTTGGAGTTTTGTGAGTTGGGTATCCTTGGAGATAAGATTAAGCCCTTTGGAACAATGTTTGAAATGAAGAAATAATGTAAATATATATCACATATATTTATTTTATCGCACTGTATGGTAGTTATCGTAACTAATAGTTACATAATATGATGGTTGATTGCATCATTCATATCAACAGTCCTCCACATAGTATTGCCACCACTATTGACAATACCGTCTGTAGACCGTGAAAGCCGTCAGTATTTCTACCGCAACGGTGTGGAGCAAGAAAGCCGTTGATAAAGGTGATCTATCTATTCGACTCACTCTATCGACCGGGAAGCTTGAGCCCACAGTCTATCTAAAATCGCAACCTTCTATCGTACAACGAACTTCACGTAGCTCTGATGATATAAGGCTATGCAAAAAGTAATATCTATATGATCGACTTTTCACCGCTAAGATCGGTTTAAGAAGACCCTTTTTCCACATCTCGTGCAGGAGCTGAAGGAGACTTCGCATCTGGCTTCGGAGCTCCCGCACCAGCTGGTCCCTTCTTAACACTCTTCCACTCCAGGAGGACAGCAGGAAGAGCGCTCAAGCACGCCATAATAAGTGCAATCTGGAAGGACTTCTTCAGAGCCGAGTTATATGCGTCAACGACCTCGGTGAGACGATCAGCGGGGATGATGGAACGGTAGCCCGTAGCACCTGCATTGACCACATCCATGCCAGTCACGCCAGAGATGTTAAGCGCATTAATATTGCGTACCAAATCGGCATTTAGCACATTGTTGGCTGCACTAATCAATATGGTACCGCCTAGACTCTGGAAGAGCATAGATACGGAGATACCGGTAGGGATGTCACGAGGCGGAAGCACGACCTGCGCAGCAACCTGGGGAAGCTGGAAGCCGCAGCCGGAGCCGAATCCGAAGAGAATCTGATACCCAATCCACTTTCCTGTGCTGGTATTCGGATCAAGAGTAGTCAAGAGCCCGGCACCAATAGGTGCGAGAATTACAGCAAGGTAGATGAATGGCACGTAGTAGCCGATCTTACTCGTCCCGAAACCTGCGAACAGAATTCCAATAACGTTGGGTAGAATGACCGGGATAGTGTCGATACCGGATTTCAGGGCTGAATCTCCCTTCACAGCTTGGAAGTAGATCGGGATAAAGTAGCTGAGGAGAAAGAAGGTACCCGCGAGGCAAAAGGTGAAGAGACTCGAGGCGAAAATTGTGCGTTGCTTGGCAATGCGAGGTGGAACTATTTTCAGATTAGGAACTGGGAATATTGTTATAGTGAATTTTTGGAAACACATACCGGTTCCACCCTCACCGAGCCAGGCCTGGCTAGCAATGAATGCAAGAAGCGTTACGCCGAATACAACGAACAGAGCAATGATCGGCCCGCTGTTCCATGCGTAGGTTGTACCTCCCCACTGATTTAAATTAGTAACGAAATGGACATGGAAAGTAATGAGGATACGTACCTGGAGAGTGAACAAAAGGCAGATGATGCTGGGTACAAACAGGATAAATCCGACCGGGTCAAGATTCCACAACAGGCTCAGAACGCCCTGGTCCTTGAAAGGGTTGGGCTTCGAAGGCAAGCGGAGGAAAGCGATGATGAACGCAGCCGAGACAGCACCGAGTGGAAGATTGATATAGAAGCACCAGCGCCATGACACCTTGTCAGTGAAAGCCCCACCGACCAATGGTCCGACGACAGACGCAATGCCAAAGATACCACCGTAAAGACTCTGGTATGTGGCTCTCTTTTCCATTGGAGTAATGTTCGCAATAATGATGAGACCGCCGCTCGAGATACCTGCACATCCAATACCGGCAATTGTGCGCTATCGCAATGTCAGCGCACCATCTTTTTAAGGAACCTAGTAACCAAGCACTTACACCAACGATCAACATTGCTGAGGAAGTGGCAGCAGCACAGAGAACTGAACCGATCTCGAAAATAAGCAGAGCAGCAAGGAAAGTCCATTTCAGACTAAAGAAACGGAATGTCTTTCCGAAAGGCAGCTGGAAGGCTTGATGCTTGTCAGAATCAACGCAGATGTAATGAAGACGAATACATACCGCATTTCGTGAGGAGATATGATGAACCATACCAACCCACATCTTGCAGAGCATGAAACTGGTCGGTAATTCGTGGGATAGCCGTTGCAATGATAGTGCTGTCCAATGCAACACAGAAGAGAGAGATGAAGAGCGCGAACAAGTTGATGGCTAGAGTGAGGCCACCGGGGTATGACGGGGCTGGCGGCTGTTGGGCAGCTTGAGCTTTGATGTCGTCGTTCTTCAAAACGGCAGAGCCTTCACGGCTGCTCTCGTCGCGTGCCTCTGCACTCGTCTGTGACATGATTTGTGTTAGTGCACTGGCAGTAGAATAGTATGCGAGGTTGACTGTTGAGGGTCCGTGTTGAAAGTTACTTGAGAATTGGAAACAAGAAATAAACTGAACAGAGATAATTCTCACCTGTTAAATGTGGCTTTGAATTAGTTCATATCAGCTCCCCTTAAAGGCGCAATAACAAAAAGCTTGTGTGAATCATTGTATCAAGCGCGTGTTGGATATAGAATATTCGGGTATCGAAGATTCAGCCCAATTGGCTGGGACATGCAAATCACCCGGACCCACCCATCTGAGCTGTTTAGCCCTAACATTATTTGCTTCATTTTTTCTTTCCCCCGACATCCCCCGCTGTTTTCTTTTTTTGTATGTCGGAATTTTTCGTTCATTCGTTAGCATTAATTGACCACCGGATTCGGTATGGTTCGGCTAACAAAGTACTATCACGGGGGGCAGGCGGGTCAATCATTCTATTCGGGTTTCCTAGGGCTTGCAAGCTGACCTTCAAACCTGCGATGCACCGTACCCGAGCAGCAAGCTACGGACTCATGGCGGCGTCGAGTAATACGACTATGTTCAGCAGCTCTCAGTTTAGATGGTGCGATGGCAAACGATATCAATATATTAAGTCACCTTGTTCTGCTTAGAAGATGATTCGAATCAGTACCCAGCATCTAGATATAGGAAGGAGTCTATTCAACACCTAAACCATGGCTCTTTTCTCTCTTTTTCAGTTATACAAATTAGTTGCGTTGGCATTGGTCTTCACGGCTGCCAGCACTCTCTATGCATGGATTAAGCGTGACCGTCGACTGGATAATATGCCAGGCCCTGGAGGGTGGCCACTCATTGGTATTGGCATCGGTCTGCCCAAGAATTCAGTTGAGGTCCTTGGTAACTGGGCCATGCAGTACGGCGAGGTCTACAAGATTAGAGTCGGCTGGTACAACTGGGTCGTTATCAACAGCCCAGAAGCAATGCGAGACATCTTCGACAAACAATCAGTCAACACCTCGTCTAGATCTCCCATGCCCCTCGCTCATGATGTCGCCGTCGGTGGTATGCGCATGAATACTATTCCTTATGGAAAGAAGTGGCGAGCATACCGTACTATTGTGCATGGGCTTCTGTCCACCACTTTGACCGATGCATTCAATCCTTCTCAGGAGTTTGAGACCAAACAGCTCCTTCATGACTTTGCATTCAAAAATGACGATGGAAAGCAATTCTACTGGCACGTGCGACGCTACTTCTTCAGCATCTTGATGACAAGTTGCTACGGCTCGCGGGTAGATAGCTGGGAGCATGAAGATGTTCGCAGCGCTATTCACAGCACACAACTACTCAGCAAGATTTCAAAGCCAGGATCCTTTATTGTGGATGAGGTTCCCCCTCTCGCTAAATTGCCAGCCTGGCTGCAACCTGGCCGCCGTATGGCGGAGTCGTTGAGGTTACCAATTCTGAATGCCAAACTTCGCCTGTGGAACCGACTTGGTGACCAGATGACAAATGGTACTGCACCTATGTGTTTCGGCCGGAAGCTGAAAGAGAACGATAAATCGTGGCGCGATCAGGGACTTACTGATGACGACTTTGCCTGGATTGTCGGCGGTATCGCTGATGCTGGCTCTGGAACATCGACTGTAACCTTCAACTCTGCTATCTTGTATATGGCGGCAAATCCCCACGTCCAGGACAAAGCTTACGAAGAGCTTATGCGTGTTGTTGGACCTCACCGTTCGCCAAACATCGAAGACCTGCCCAATCTGCCTTATATCAACGCATGTATCAAGGAAACCATTCGTCTCAAGCCTGTCCCCGTCTGGTGCATCAAGCGCTTCGCCGACGGAGATGTTCGCTACAAGGATTATGTCATTCCAAAGGGCACAGTTCTTCTAGGAAACACGATGTTCCTCGGCTCAGATCCGAGCAAATATGAAGACCCGCAATCTTTCAAGCCCGAGCGTTATCTAGGTTTCCCTCGTTCCAGCTTCGAATACGCTGCTGGAGATCAGACCAAGCGTGATCACTTTTCCTTCGGCGTTGGCCGTCGTGTCTGCCCTGGTGCTAAGCTTGCTGAGATGACTCTTGACCTTGCTCTTGCGAACATTTTGTGGGCTCTTGCCATCAAACCGCCTCACGGTATCGCTGCCATCGATGATGGTCCTGGCTCCTGGGATGATACCGAATTTCAAGCTCCTAAGCCATTCTCTGTACGCTTTGAGCCTCGCAGGCCCGAGGCTTTGGACTTTGTCAAGAAACAGTGGGAGACTAGCATGGAAGAGGGCTACATCCTCAATGGAAGGCGGGTTGATGTGAAGGGTGTTGTGCATTGAGTCCAATTACCATTGCACGACATTTTCTTAGGAATTTAAGCATGCCATCGGGCAATTATCGCTCGAAATATGACGAATTTTCCTTGCCTCTACCTCGTTCCCGCCAAGGTACCTTTTCCTTATGTAAGTAGGGGGTTGGTATTCATCCATCCGAGTCTTCATTTACACCGAGCATATCCTGTTTATTGGGAGTATGCCATGGTTTGGTTATGTATTTCGATAAGAGTGGAATTAAAATTGTTACAATTATTAACTGACATTCATACACGCATGCGGGTGAGGTAAAGTAGCCAGCTCGTAGTCTCTCACCGAATTGTTTGATAGAGGGCTTCAATTAACTCAGCTTTTCACTCTACCAAAACTGTACACTAACTCCCGGAATAATTCCCTCGAATCTGATAGACCCTTTTCCTCAAGGGCACCCTAAACACTAGGTCTGCACCACACTTGGATCGATGATAAGCTATTATCTTCACTAGGGATCTTAGTGTATATCGTTGGAGGCTGAGACTGCGTCATCAATCGTATTAGGACTAGTGACCATATTTAAGAGATCAACATGTCATCGCCCTACCAATGGTCTTTGAGTGCTTACCACTAGAGGCCTAGTAGCATGCATGGGGCATTAATACTAGCCTGAAATGGGATCTCTACAAGCGATAGATATTCAGCCTATAATTCGCCTTACGTATCTAAACCAAGCAAATAATACGACAGTTCCAACTCTATACGTCGCCTATCCCGTATTTCCCTTTTTGGGGCGGCGCCTCTTCTCTCAGCATGGCTTAGACCAAGGATTCCTCCACCCGCCCCCGACTGGATATGATACCAATAGTGGGTTGGAGTATCTGAAGGACGACGATGCAAATCGCATAATGATGAGTTTGCAGTAGTTGGCATCCAGCTCGTTGCGGCCCTCATGTAGCGATAGTGCCCAATGACGATTCGTCTCAACCAATGTTTAAGTAGCCTATCGATGATTGAGAAACGTTTGAAATATAAGAGTAATACATTCGTAATAAATTCGAGAAAACTTCTGCCTGTCATCCGCCAGGTATGAAAGTCTTTTAGAATTTCGAGCTGTAAATTCAAACCCCGACTAAGTTTTAGACTCAGATCTTACGTGTCTTAGACCTCCGAAGTCATCTCGTAGGTTTTCATCGTTTGAGCTAGTAATTTTGCTTGCCCAATTAGGTTCAGCAATTAATTTATCACTGCAGCTATGCCATATAGCCATCTATGCTCCTGTCAATTAGACGGTAATATGACATGGATTACAGTAACAAGTAGCCTATCTGTTGTTCGTTTTCCACGTGGACTTCGTCTACGCAAATAGATTCTTATACCAATATCTCCATATGATACATGAACTTTGAGTGACACGCACTAGCTATTGCTGATCTCATTCCAAGGTTCCTAACATCCCGGTTCTTAGAGCATGTTGCTTGTTTGTAGCTTGTCAAGAGGTTATTCGCTAATGCGATGTTCTCTACGGCCCCAGATGTATCTCACGCCCTGATGTGTCGTGAAAGGGGTAGAACTGTCTCAATAGTACTTCGTGGGAGGCGGGTATTGTGTTGGTTCATCCTTGCGCTGGTAATGTTTGCAAAGCATGAAATATGGCGGAAAGATTGCGTTTTCTGCTGTGAGAGAGTACTCAAATTTCTAATTGGATCCCGACGGCCTTAGGTGACGCAATCTTAAACATAACGTGGGATTCAAATTTTGGTTGGGGTCTTTACAATGTCCTTGGTGACCCCATGGCTCGAGTGTCACAATGGCTAGGGAACTGTTGGAAGCTGAAGACTAGACGCCACAATTATAGGCAATTAAGTAAGGGGTTGCGTATTGTCTATCATTGATGAGTCACTAACAAAAATTAGAGTGATGATAATAGCGATATGGAAAACAATAAGACGTAAGCGCCTACGCAGCCGCCTAATATATTAATTCGTTATCGTATACGAAAGAGTAACTGGTTAGAGTTCGTCTTCCGTTGGACCAATAATCACGTTATCCGTTTGTGGCTTGACATACCAGGCACCTCGGATGATGAACTACAGTAGACACGGAGCATGAGCCACGATATCCCAACTTTGAAGTCGCAATGATTACAGGTGAATAGCAAGGCTGACAACGGATGATGCCGTGTTGGCCTGTTGGTGCTCCGTGCGGTGTTGTTGTGGGGGCCGGGGTACTTTTTGGCTTCCAGCCCGACACGTAGAACCATAAAAAAGATCGAGGTATAAGAAAATAATTCCTGCACGCACGTTGGCTGCGTGTAGCACAGCTCTGACCGTACAGGTGCGAAAATGAGGCAGCATTGTTATTGGTCCATCTTTTTATAGACACGAAAACTTAAAATTTGCTTGTAGACGATCAGTGATTCTATTGGCCTCAGCCTTATTCACAGGACCCACCTGGCGCATTGTTTATCTTGGCTTGCAGAATTACGTGTGAGAAGTCGAGAATCAACCAATTGTGTTGCAGATATTGAACGACGGGCGCAGAACTTTAAAGTTGGGCGACAAAAGATATATTAACGATAACAAGATGACTGGCTCTCGTACCGCGAAGCTAACTTCTATCAAGGTAATCCAGATGCTTCTGAGGGGCTAGTTCTTGAGCGGCAAGGCTAGTCTTGATTATTTTACTGGCTAGCTATCACTTAGAGTTGAGATTCTCGGGGTTGCCTCGGGGAATTATTCGGGGGCTTGTTCAGCACGATCTTTAGGCTACGTCCGTATTCGTAATTATGGAGCGGGAGTAGAAAGTAACTTATCAAATCACGCCTTCCGTAGCCGTAGTTCGTAGTCTCAATACGAACATTTATGTTTATAACCAGATAACACAAGTCTCAAAAGATCCACTCTGCACGTGTGGGAGCTGAACGATACGCAGTGCTGTAATCTATGTAACTATTTTGCTCCTCAACCGTGACCACGCAGTGCGTGACAGGGATCAGCTGGCTTGTTACATTGATAACAGCCCTGCGCAATATAGCGAAATAGCTAGAACGGGATGCTAGCCAAGACCGTGCGGCGCAGTGCATTAGGTCGATCATTAACAAACAGTAATAGGGCAAGTTTTACGCACCGTGACCTTAAGACATCAGATCCACTGTTGATTGGTACCCAAAATTTAGTTCGCTGGTTAATATGTTTTCAAGCTCGTTCCGTGCGTGGTCCCTGAAATGGGCCCCTGTGCTTCTAGCGGGTTTCTTGCTTAACCTCGGTTTCAATTCCCCTCGTTTTTTGGCCTGTCTACTATGCAGATAACAGGCTGTCAGTTCGGCACCCCTTACATATATGTTGACATTTAAACAGGGTGGGTCTGGAAACATAACCCGATTCCCTGACTGTTGCATCTGTTTTGCCATTTACTGGCTAGGTAGAAGGCCACGAGTTGCCAGAACTGGAATGAGCCGCGGTCTTGGGGCTTGTCACAGCTTTGAATCTTCTCAGGCCCTGTGATAGACCTCGTCGTGAATTTCTTGAAAGTTTCTGACTCCGTGTCTGGCTCCACCGGTATTCAGTTTAAACCGAGTACAGCTGAAGATAGATTTAGAGATAAGCCTCGATTAAGCCTCTGAAAAGTTCCGAGGAGGGAAACTTTGAATCTTCTAAAGAGAAAGTTAATACCACTCCGTACAGCGCCAAGATACGATTTCTCTATGCAAGCTGAAATTACCTCATTAAAGTTCAGTTAGTTTGTCATTTACTAGCCAGGGCGATCTGTAAGTCAAACAATTGATCATAGGTAACTGATGTAAGATTACTGACTGCTTGATTCGAGTTGACTTTCGGAAATTATTGTAGTAAGAATGGATGAGTGGAATATTACACGATTACGCAGTAAGAGATAAGAGGATCGAATATGTGCCCCAACACCGAGCCGTAACGCATTAGGGAATTGAGTAATCACGCATCTGATTTTCATCGTATCAGTAAGTGAGGGAAAGGAATCGTATCAACTCGTACCGATCATGAAGCCTAGTAGAAACTCACTTATAGGTTGATTAAGTGATCAAACTAAAAATAACCAACGGTCATGTTGCTGAATGCAAGTAAGATGCACTATAAATCTAATGCGGCTGACTATACATCAGACACGCGCGGTTGAGGAGTCTCGTGGCAAAGTTATTTGTTAGAGCTACTGCTCTGATATGCATACCGATACGGTACAATACTGAGTGTGTGAGCGAACCACACATTTTGCCCTTGCGTCCTGCTGGAGATTATTCCATGACCATGTTACCGTTTAACGGGGAAGCCTAACTACAGATTATACACCTTTCTGGATTGGTCCTTGATATGCAGGAAGTACTTAGTGTACTCTAGCCCGCCTGACTTATCCTCATCGAAGCTGACATTTGTATAGCAGTACCTCACATAAAGGAGTTGGCACAAACGTTCCATTGGAGGTACACTGATACAAGCATCGCATTTCCTTTGGGATTACTTAATATATATTTCTCTCTTCAACATTCGAAAGTTTTCTTCACACACATTCAACATATCGTCATCTCGATCATCGTGCTATTTACCACTCCCTACAAGGTTGTAGCCATGCTTGATTCACAACCATCTCGATCATCCTCCCGTCCGCCTCGGCCCTCAAAGTTACGATCCAGCTGCGATGCATGTGGTGCCGCGAAGCTAAAATGCGATAGGGGTAAGCCTGAATGTGAGCGCTGCATCTCACTAGGCCTACAATGTGTCTATGGCATTTCGCGAAAGATGGGAAAGCCTCCACGACAAAGGGCTCAAAGCAGAACAGCGAGATCTGATAGCAATGGTGGTGGCACTGAGAGTATCAACGTGGATGCTAGGCAGTTTCACATACCATCAGGGTGGGATTCAGAAGCTAGCTACTCCGATACCCGCGGTGGCGAAATAGATATGCCAGATATTTTACACAGCAGTATCTTCGGATCGTCGTTTCCTGAATTCAAGTCTTTAGACTTAGGCGATGATTTTCTTTCTGCCAATATCGACATTGGATTAAAGGAGTACACCGACTTTGCACCCCCAAATAGCGCTCCACGCTCTCAGATCGACGAGAATATGCATGGGTATTTTGATAATCCTCCTAGGACAGCAGCTGGTTGCAAAGGACAGGACTGTTCTCAAGAGGCTCACAATATCCTAACTGGCTTGTTACTCCTCAACCTTAACCAAGCACATTATGAGCATCGACCATCTTATGAACCTCGGTCAACTCCGGGACCTGCACCACTAACGCCTAATGTTGCCAATCGTGTGCCTCTAGATCATATTTTACATCTCAACCGCGACTCTAGTAAACGGCTCAGCCGACTCCTCACTTGTTCCTGTGCCAGATTCCCTCAGCTAGCGGTACTTTATGCCTCAATTATCTCACAAGTTCTTAATTTGTATTATGAAGCAGCAGATTGCGCTACCCAGAAATCGTTGAGCCCAATGACCGGCCGACCTAGGTCTATTTCTGGATCCTCGTCACCCTGGTCGAATCAGGGAGCTGGTCCAGTCAATTCTGGTGACTTCAATGCTCAGTTAATGGCTAGAGCCGCAGCACTCGCCATTGCTCCCACGCAAATGACTGTCGGTTCCTTTGACATCGATGATCAACAAGTACAAACTGCGCTAAGGATTCAGTTACTCTTAGGCGAGATCACGAAAATTGGTTTTCTGATTGATTTATTCACATCGGAGAGCTCCAGTGGTCTTGACGAATACAATTTCGGCAGAGTTGATGGTTTACACAAGAGCTTAAGTTCATGGTTAAGACAGGAGCACTTAAGGGTATCTGACATCATGAGATCTAGACTCAAGGATGTCAGTATTTGAATGGAGCCTGGTTTAGACGATTCTTTATGCCGTCCCAAACTATATCACTCGACATGGCAGTGATGCACTAGAGGTTCACACGTGTGATAGATTCATTTTCGGATTTATGCCGCGTCTTAGATGTTTGATACGACTCTTAATATTTCACTAGCTCTGTTATGAACAGGTATTCCTTATGTTTCGATGTGGTCAACGTGTCTTATGTGGTCTCGGTCTCCACTCGTAGTCTCGACTCTAGGTGGTTCTCTAGTCTTTCGTCCTTTTCATACGGAACTTATCTATATTTAAATATTTTCTTTCCTTCTTTTCTAGTAAACTAGATTCCCTCTCGTCTTGAGTCAGGATATAACGATCTCATTTTTATCACCACTTCTTTCATTTTCAATTCACTTCTAAAAAGGTTTGAATTCCGCTTTGACTTGAGCCAAAGGTAGAGTAATCTGGTAGCAAAATAATTGGTCTCTTGGCGAAAGAAAGAGAGCCTTGAGCACTGGAGGTGCTGTTTGTGAAACGAATACTTCCTAGCTGGTAGGGCGATGCAGGTGTGTCTAGTCATCCAGGCTTTATGAATTATACTATATTCAGGCTTGTTCTGCAACATCCTAACACCCACCAGCCTTGTTGTACCAAAAGTACTCGGTCTTTATACTATCGAACCTGAGAATTAATTAGCAACAGTTATTTATCAAATGCAAAGGGATATATCAATAAAGGAGACGGTTAATACAATCATAAGCTTAAGGTTGTGGTTTCATCAATGGAACTCCCGTTCATGCAACTACAGCACAAGTTTACACTATTAGAACTTATTGGTAAACATAGTAAAGGATCAAGATTCTGGCATAAATAGAAGGAGAATGATCTCAAGTATTCAAGCACATTTATTTTGTTCTATCGTGACCGTTTAAAGTAGTTACTGGATAGCTAACTAGGAAATTTTTGAAAGTGCCTCATTAGAGATCGCTCCTGGAACACATCCGCTTTTTCACAGCCCTTTAATAGCCTGATAGTCTGTCGAATGGACATGTTTAGGTAAACTTCTAGCCTTTCTACTTTTCTGGAGCATCCGCGGCTATGTCATAGAAGCTGGCCTTGCTGGCCCTTCATGCTATGCCCTTTGTAGGGAGCCTCGTCTTTTAAGGTTTAAAGGAACGAACTAAGCTATAATTTCTTATTCAAAACGGAAAGATCTATTCTGCCAACCCATTAGTACTTGTATTCAGGTTTCATTAAATTCACTTCTTCGAGGTTCATCCTACAAATCACTAACTACACTGTTTGCAAAACAGTTGAATTAATTCTGCAAACTACTACTAGGAGAAATGAAGTTGACCACACTCCTTATCATTTTAATCGCATGGAATGAATGGCATGGTCTCTACGTAAACTCATGAGAAGACTATTATACCTATATTACTAGAGCATATAACTATCACGAGCGGCCTAAAACGACTAATAGAAGAACAATGGGTACCTTAATCGTATAACGAGGACCTCATAAATACCAAACACAGTATGGACGTGCCACTACTAGCATTAGTGTAATATAGTATATTTGAACTAGGGTTAGGAACTTGTTACTACGTGTCTTTAGTTACTCTCGAAAGTTAATTCTTAATTCGTCGCATTCCACGTGGTGAATGTCAAATACGAGCTCTCATGACATTTAAATCAGCAGGTTAGTGAATCTTATTAGTTCAAAAGAGGATCAAAAAACCTTTCTCGTATACTCCCGGTTTCCTTCTGTGTAAACGATGCTTCTCTACTAGCCGACTTTATCCACGGTTCAATAACCCCCATTTGAATCTCATCCTAACACCCCGCCCTCCTAGAAGTTTTCTCGGTAGTTATTCAAGCTACGTTCGAATCTGGATTGTATTAAAAGGAAACTTTGGCGGGCCGTAGACAGCAGCAATGATCTTATCAAATATACCGAAGGAATTCCGGACACCCTCGGATGGGGCTGTTTCTACACAAGGCTATGTAATATCCATAAAAGGGTGCAGCAATGATGCCGCGAATTTGTACGTTTGAAACCAAAAACATATCAATTTCAATTTTTTAGCCCCGTAAAGTAATTTAACGACCTTAGGGGTTGTTGTATTGGGCATGTTTATCGATAAACATGAAAGGCCCCAGTGGCCTCTCCCTATCGTCTAAAACCGACATCAAGTATATTTTAACGGAATAAGGTGTGCTACATATACGATATAACTGTAGTAAGTGTACTTGATGGGAGTGTCTAAAAACGAGGCCATCTATATCTAAAAATCCTCTGTAGAACGTGAAACTTGTAAAGAAGTCTGGGAATTCCTGAATAAAAGAAGACTCGGCATGGTGAAAGGAATCTTAACATTCTTCAGAATGAAAAAGAAGCATAGTACAATAAATAAGACATATCCTAAGGAAACCCAGTGTGACGCAATGAGTGGGGCCGCGCTCTTTGGCATCTTCGGTGACCATTGCTAAATCATAAAATGGGAAATAAGAGCGAATTAAGATGTAATAGAACTCCAAATGACCATATTTTCATCATGAAGGCTACGCCATAGACTTTCGAAGGAATTGCGCAAGTTTCTGAGAGTACGGTTCACGCTGCAATTCGTTAGTGAAAGCTATGATATTGTCCGCCAAAGCATCGAGATATGCAGGTGGTATGCAACCATCAACGGGCAAAAAAATGTACAAAGCATACAAGGTAAGGATTAAGGAGAGCTGGGAAAAAAGACTCACCATCATAGAGAAATGATGGGCTTCATCAACCCTATCAAGAACGATGTCCCTCTCTCGACCTGGGAACAAGGCCTCCCAGCCATTACCTCCGAAATCTGTACGACGCTCCAGCAGGAACTTCATTCCTTCGGTATCATCCGGGTGTGGTGCCAGCTTTGGTAGACGTGGGTTATCCGCAATGCAAGTGGCTGCCCAGATGATGTTCACCTTAGGAACGTCGTAAAAGCGACTTGGCTGCATAGGTGCTGCCCTGTACTCATGCAGCAAATCAATAGTAGCGTTGAAGTGAGGGATGAGCCACGCAGGAGGCTTGCCACCGCTTACTCCGGATGCCTTATGGCCAAACAGGTGGAGGCTCTCGCAGTATTCATAAAAGTGTGGAGGAAGGCGGTCGAGACCGTGTAGTGGGGGTGGAGAGTCGATGAGATTCAAGCTAAGAACCTGTTCCTGGCTACTTGTCAGAATTTGGGCGGCGCGGTAGGCAAGGATTCCACCCGCGGACCAGCCGCCGAGGTGATATGGCCCGAAGGGTTGTCGGCGGCGTATCTCTGCGAGATAGCCGTCGATGATGACATCGTCAAGATGAGCAGCCCGCAACTTCTCGGGCTCCTTCAGGAATGGGCAGTTGAGAGCAACAACACATATGTCAGTGGCCAAGCTAGGGATAGCAGCATATGAGGAAGCGGAGCCGCAACCATCAGGGAATAGAAACAGGGTCTTCGCTGCTGTTTTGGGGTTTCCTTGCAGGACAAGAGAGCTGGCTCGAGGTACAACGATTGGGCTTCCCATGAATTCAGTATCTTCAGTATCCGAGGATGCCTCAGAAGATGAAGGGGTTGCACTGATGGGTCGCACTTGAATGGAGGTCTCAAAAGCCTTCTCACCTAACACAATTGATGCTTTTGGGATGCTCTGGATCTCCGTAAAATCCTCTGAATAGGATGATGCGGAAGTTGAATTTCCATGCAATGCAGACCTCAGATCGGCAACAGTCGGGCAGTCAACGAAAAGAGAATCCATAGGGAAATCCAGTTCCAGCTCCTCACGGAAACGACTGACAATAACGAGTGAAAGGAGTGAGTCGACGCCTGAGTCGGCAAAGTGAGTGTCATCGGTCAGCTCCTCAACTGCAATCCCACTCTCCTCTGAGACAATGTTTAGGGCGCGGTTGAAGTCGATAACGCTACTCTCATTGTGACTTTTCAAGACGACCACTGGTCCCTCACTAAGAGGTGAAGAGGCTACTAGCTCTTTCGCCACATTCGGTGCAGGAGGGCCTGGGTAAGTGGTGGGAGCCGGCGAGTAACTCTTGACGGTTTTGGCTTTGGCCACCTCCTTCGGCTCAAGGACGCTCTTCAATTCGCCAATTGTTGGATAAGTGACAAAAATGGCGTCAAATTCAATATCCAAATCGAGTTCTTCCCTAAATCGTGCCGAGATAGTTAGTCCGAGCAATGAATCGACACCAAAGTCAGCGAAGGCACTACTGTCGGTAAGCTCATCTAAGCTAACTCCACTCTCATCGGAGATAATCTGCAAGGCGATAGAGACCTTTGAAGGGCCCGAAGATGCTATCTGTGGAGTCAGGGCGGGAAGATCCTGGGTCCTGACGTGAGTTTCGATAGCCTTTACTGTCTTCGCCGTTTTGACAGGAGCTGATGTCTGAGAAGGAGCAGGAGCTACCTTCTTCGACTTGGCACCACTCTCGAGAGAAAGGATGACGCGAAGAACCCGTCGAGGGACGCATTGGATGGCGATCTTCTCGAACGCTGCCACAATAGTATCACCGTCGAAAATCACCACATCCCCATGCCAGAGTTTATCTTTGCCCTCGAACATGCGCGTATACGAGGTATATGGTCGATCGTAATGCACGTCCTCAAATACTTGGAAACGCCCCCAACCGTGATTCATAAATACCTCGGTATCCAGATCGCAATGGTCATTGCAGTTCATGGTAAATCCACAGGATTGTGTGAAGGCATCGATGATAGCGGGATGCAGCGCGAATTGCCCACCTTTCTTAATGGAGCCGAAGCTGACACTAGCAGATGCCTCTAGGGTAGTACTATCGAGGACCACCTCGTCGATAGCACGGTAGTCATCGTGAAATTGGGCGAGTGGACGAATCATGCGGTAGACCATGGGCCGGTTGAAACGAGCGGCTGTCTCCTTAGCGATACCACGACGGAGATTCTGCATGCGAGCCTTGATAGCAGCCGATTCATTTTGAAGCTTGTTCAGCAAAATTGAGCGGTCTGTGAAGCGAATAGTACATTTAGCATGTTCTTGTGGTTTGCCCTTAGCATCAAAGCTAACAAATTTCATGGCAGCTTGATTTTTCGTCCAATCTACGTCAGCATGTCCCTGAAGCGGCTGTGGGCCCTGTGGCTTAGCAATAAGAGCCTTGAAAATCGACATATCCGACACGTCGACCTGCTTTTTGACCTCTGACACCGGCTGTCGGCGGCCCACAAGATACCTTCCCAGTGTGAGTGCCATGTCAGCATACACGGATGGAGTGCAGAGTGGGATATCATCAACCATATGGCCCTGCACGAGGGGGTTCATATCTGGTCGTGCTATATCTGCCTCGACAACAATATGCTCTTTGGCACCGTCATCGGATGAAGACTCCTCTACGACCCGGTGGATGGTGGTGCTTTCAAGTCCTGTCTTCTTCTCTTCAACTTGGGGAACAGCTAGGGCCGGGTCACCTTTGCGTAAAGACCAGTCATTGACGTATTGGATCCAGTAAGGCTTAAGATCCCAACTATAAGCAGGCAGCCCGTTAATAACTTTCTGGGATGCCTTGAAGTCGTTGTGATAGGTTGCCCAAACTACATCGGCGCCAGCCTGGTAGACTACCTTCAAGGCGTCAGCGAGCACATCCCGAGCAGATTTACGGTTCAATGCCGAGATGACAGTCGTCTGCGGGCCCAACGTCGCCTTGACCATACCTGAAACGGCGGGGTGAGGACCGACCTCGAGCAAGATGGATTGTTCTGTCATGGTGCCATTTTGCTGAGCCGTTTGAAGAGCCTGGAGCAGATTGACAGACTCGCGGCAGTGGCGACCAAGGTAGACTGGTCCGAAAGTTCCCTCAGCAGTAACGAGGGTTCCATTCAGCGGGCACAAAACTGGACATTTTGGCGCAAGGTACCGGACCGAAGCAGCAGCCTCCTCGAATGGGGCGAGGATGGGATCGACTTGGGATGAGTGGAATGCGTAAGGAGTCTTGAGCTTAGTGGTCTTAATACCGGCATCGCCGAGCACCTGGTTTGCCATGGCTATTTCGCCGTCCGGTCCGGCCAAAACAGTCTCAATGGGGGAGTTCATGCAGGCAATCTGATGCGGTGTATTCTTAAGCGTCGCGGAGATGGTAGCAGCCGATCCACGAACAACAAGCATTGAGTGTGTTCCGCGGGTGCAGAGGTCTTGAAGCAGCTGGGCCCGTGTACCAACAAGATAGATGGCATCTGAGTCAGACAAGACACCTGCAACATTAAGGGCCGCGTATTCTCCCAAGCTGTGGCCAACAACGGCCTCCGGCAAGATACCCCACGAAGCCCAGAGCCGTGCTAGCGCAATCTGCATACAGACACTGGCAAGCTGAACTTGGATTGGGGGAAAGTCGTCCAGAGACCGGTCCTCTGCTGCCATGTACACAGGCATGATGGACGGAAAGCCAAGACTGCGGGAAACATGGTCGAGTTGACGAAGCTCCGTGCGGAACAATGCGAACGTTTCCATCATTTGGCGGCCCATTCCAGGAAACTGTGCGCCTTGTCCAGTAAAGCCGAACACCATCTTCGGTTTCTTAACCTTAGCACGGGTCATACCCGTCTGGTCACGAAGGGCGACGTCAATCTGCGCAAGGAGTTCATCGACTGAGGATCCGACGAGCATGACACGGTGTGGGTGGTGAATGCGCCGGGCGGTCGTAGTATACGAAAGCTGACCTACGGAGACATTCTCCTGGTTAGGGTTAAGCAGGAACCCCTTCAAGGACCAGAGATTGCCCTGAAGGGACGCAGGCGTCCTGGCAGAAACAGCCACGAGATTCGGGCTGGGGCCGCTCTGGTACTCCTCCAGAACTGGCGCTGGGGCTTCTTCCAAGAGGAGGGCCGAGTTACCACCCGCAGCGGAGAAATTGTTAACAAATGCACGCCTGGGCTTTGAGTCGACCGAATGCCATGGAATAGCCTCTCTGGCAATGTGAACGTTCCTCTCGGCTAGGTCGGTGGGAAACTTCGAGTTTATCTTGGTCTTGATACCAATATGAGGTGGAATGCAGTTATTCTTCATCATCAAAAGCACCTTTACTAGACTCGACACACCCGAAGCCGCTTCTCCGTGCCCAATGTTAGACTTCGCAGAGCCAAGATAAACAGGGTTTTGACGCGCCACCTGTCCTTCTGGTGCAAATACATTGAGCACACTGGTCATCTCGGTAGCATCTCCAGCCTGTGTTCCTGTACCGTGCATCTCAACGTATCCGACGCTATTAGACTCGACGGCACTAGTGTGGAGAATTTTGGAAAATATAGCACGCTGGGCGCCAGTATGAGGTCGTGTGATGCTCTCTGCCTCGGCAGAATGGTTTGTGTAAGCACCGAGAATCACGCCTAGGATGGGATCCTTCTCAGCCACTGCATCCTCGAGCCGTTTGAGGATCACAGTGCCAACTCCTTCGCCACGGCAGTAGCCATCAGCGCCGTCGTCGAACGTCTTGCAGTTGCCAGTGCGAGATAGGAAGTGACCTCGATCCAGCCCAGAGGTAAAATCTGGGTTTGTTAGAACATTAGTACCACCTGCAATAGCCATATCGATATCACGCTGCCATAGAGAGTTGACGGCAATGTGGATGGCAGAAAGACTGGATGAACAGGCCGTGTCGACAGCGTAGCTAGGACCGCTAAACTTAAAGAAATAGTTGATTCGGCCTGGAATAAAGGCTCGGTTACCACCGGGGATGAAGTAAGTATCGATATTCTGTGCGCTGTTGGTCTCCATCCAGTCGTTGCTCGTAACACCGTAAAAGACACCAACTCGGTCCCTTCTAGTTGATGGTGTGGCATCCGGAACCACACCTGCCTGTTCCAGCGCCTCGTATGCTGTCATTAGGGCAATTCTCTGGGCGGGGTCGACTTGGGGTGCCTCTCGTGGAGAAATGTTGAAAAAGCGAGCGTCAAAGGCGGCGGGGTCACTCAGCCAGCAACCGTATGGCGTTGCGCTGGTATTCTTTCGTGTTCCTGCTGGATCGACATGTGCCTTGGACCAGTGTAGAGGCGGGACCTCCTCGTGCACATCAAGTCCATCACGGAGAAGGTCCCAAAACGCCTCGTTGTTATTGGCACCACCTGGGAATCTCCCGGACATGCCAACAATGGCAATCTTTGGCCTGGCTTGAGTTGTACATTCATGTGCAGTCTCTGCGTCAGATGAGAGTCGCTCAAGCGAAGGTCGGTGGGCCAGTGTCCGCCCTAGTGTCGGCTGCTTTAGCGCCGCATAGATAAGCTGATCAGCTTGGGATCCGAAAAGCTCAACCTCGCACTTCTTCGTTTCCAGGGAGCCTCCGAGACGTGCCCGAACCCCTTCTAGAATGCCATTCCAGCGAATAGGCTGAAGAAGAATGTGCTCCAACGCTACTTCAAGGAGGTCTTTAAAGTTTGTCCCCTCAATCCAGCCACCAGTGCTGGACATGACAGGGATTTTGGCGACTGGCTCTACCCCGCTATCAAGTGCAAGCGGGGCTAGTATGTCTTCGATATCTACTTTCGAATAAAGATGTGGTGCGTGGTAAGGAGCATATACTGCTTTGGCCTTGTGCTTCAGCCCCTTAAAGTGAGCGGATGATATCAATTCATCAAGAGAGCTTGGCGGGCCGCTCACAGCCAAACCGCTAGGTGTGTATGCACTGATGAATGCTTTTGCAGTAGAAGGTAGTAACTAGATTCCGTCTCTGTTAGTTTTATATTTGGGAGAAGACGAAAATTCCCACTTACGCTTTCGTCGCAGAACTTGCGCACGGCATCAGCAGCAGATGGACCGGCTACCATCATGCACCATGTCCGAGACATCTCAGGCGGAGAAATAAGACGCCTCTTCATATTGGTAACACATGCACCGACATTAAAGGCAACTAGAACAGCTTCCACCGCCCTCGGTACTAAGTCTGAGAAGCTTCGGCAGCAGCTGACTGTCACAGCAGCCAGAGCGCCTGTGCAAAGACCAAGAATGCAGGCATCCTCTGGCTTTGGATATTTGTTTCCAGTTTGACTTTATTGGCTGCGTTAACATATAGAAGTTGGTACATATTGCATTCTGGACTTACTTCATGATGAAAGATCCCAATTGGTACATGCAAGTGATGGCCATGTCCATTGGTACACAGCGGAGGTTTCCCTGTGACCGCTTCCAAAGGAGAACATCTTCAATGCTTGTGAATCTAGGCAAATCTTCGCGAACGTCTTTAGGTAGTTGAAATATCTGTGTGCGCAAGGCATCATACGCCTTTCCGAGGAATTCTTTCAATACCACATTGTTGTTCTTGCCATCTAGTAGCTTCGGCAAATGTGGCTCCACGTCGAACGTTTGGTCCCCAAACAGGTATAGGGTTTCTTGGTGTGTCATGTTGAAGTATCTTGTGACAAGTTGAGAGTATGGGTTTTTCTTTTCAACAAAGAGTCCCTGCTCCTTGCTTCAAGGTGGGAGTCTTATACCCACGGTCTTTATAAGAAAACCACATGCCAAGGGCTATAGATAGCGAGCACATGGCTTTTCTGGCGAGGGGATAGTACTTGTTGCGCAACCCCGGTTTGAGCCCCGCCTCTTACCTCCCGGAAACCTATTTCTGCTTGATATCCCGACCTTGACACTCACAGAACTGCCATGAGCCGCTAGGGCAGAACGGTACCCTAGTCTAGCGGTACAGGACGCCAGTAGGTTCAAAATGCTTACCTCGAGCTTATCTCGGCTGTCTTCAAAACTGAATTGTTGGCTCCGTAATCTGGCTTAGTTGTAATGCCTTTTTCCCTGCTAGCAGAGGCCACTGGGGGCCAATTTTGACAATATTTCGAAACATTATTCGCCAATGGTGGCGATAGTGGCTGCTTACGGTACCAGGCTGCACCTGATTGGTAGTTATCCACTCAATCATAGTGTATAGTAGCTATGCAAGAAGAACGTGTCGACTGCACTAATCGGGGGAAATGTTCCCAGTAGCGGTAGCCACGAGGCCAGGTTCAAGTTCATTGAACACCCACGAAGCACTATAATCAAACATGTGCTGACACACTAGCCCTTCTAGTCTGGTCAAGTATCAAATGGTGGTTTCAACGGAAACCACACGGTATAGACATATTTTAGAAAGTTATCCTTTCGGGACAGCATCGGGACTCCAGTCGGCTCTTCCAGGGTCCCACCAGGACCATGGTAGTCTAGTTTCGCCATAGCTATCTGGAGATTGGTTAATGTAGCAGAAAATCGACGCCTCATTCGCGCGCTTAGTTGCTTATCAAGGACAGCTTCGTACGCGGTGAGATAGATCCCCCGGCCATTTTCGATATTGTCAGTGTTGTTCTACTGTCCAGATATAAGCTGTGCCAGTAATAGCTGACAGCCTAACAGGGCTTCAGCCACCCATACACTGCGTAAGACCATGCTGAGACAACCCGATTATGGTCGGGACATCTTGTGTTTACGATCCCCGGAAAACGGGCCGGACACGTGCCGCCCCACGCGCTTATGTTAGCCAGCGGGTCGAAACTACGGCGGACTGCAGATGCTCAAAGCGTCACAACTATTTTGGCGGGGAATCATAAGCACAGCCGCTTCAGTCACCAACTTCTGTTCCCCGAGTGCGAGCACCAGACATCAGATCTCAGACGACAGACTTCTCCAAAGCTCACGCTGTGTCATGTAATCCGATTATCGCAAACCTGCTAACCACGTGCCATGGATGAGCTGTCCCTGTTTCGTTCGGCAACCGAGCTCAACTCCCGGCCAGAGAACCTGCCATTCGAGCTTGACATGTTTACATCGCAGCACGAGCCCCTCACCCCCCGATCAACCCCGACGGTGCATTCTAAACTTCGGTCTAGCTGCGATTCCTGTGGACAAGCGAAGGTATGCTTTTAATACCTCCCCACCCTGTGATTGACAGGCGCAACTATCCTAACATGGTCGTCCCAAGGTCAAATGCGATCGCAGCCAACCAGCCTGCGCGCGTTGCGTCTCCCAGGGCGTTAATTGTGTGTATGGCGTGTCTCGCAAAGCCGGGAAGCCTCCACGCAAGCGACCTGCCATATCCTCTCCCCTTCCATCTGCCCGTCTGAGTAAACCCGACACTACCAACATCGACCTAACCAGCAGCGGGCACGATGACATGGACATCATGCTCAGCCCGCCGGACATTCCCATAACTACCAATTCCCCCTTTGCTGCTTCCTACGCCGACATTCAAAGTTGGTTTCCGCTCGATAGCCTGGGTAGCTTGGCTAACCTAGGCCCGCTTACTGGGGACTCATTCATGAGCGGGCAGAGCGTCTCGGTCGAAAGCTCAATAAGCACAGGGCCAGCAGCAGCAGTGCAACATGACTGCACGCGAGATTCTAAAGATATCATGCGCCGGCTGTATTGCGCCAACCCTTCCAATCCTATCTCTGACGGCGTGCCAGCCAGCACATTAGACCTTGGCAGCGTTCTGACGCGCAACCGCGACGTTGTTAGCCGTCTAGGACTTCTCCTCAGGTGCCCGTGTGCACGCTCACCACACATGGCCATGCTGTATGCTTCCGTCATATCGCGCGTCCTGCTGTGGTATCAACAAGCCACAAGTTCCACAGGACCGTCATCGTCGCTTTTCCCGCCCACGCTGACAACTCCGGAGTCAGTACCATCATTGTCAAGTAGTGCCACCTCAACAACTGGAGGCGACGACAATAGTGGCATCTCAGTGGTACCAACAGCCGTCATGATCGGGACCTTCCAAAGCGATGACCAGAGCCTGCAAGCAGCCCTTACTAATCGTCTTATTCTGAGCGAGGTAAAGAAAGTCCGTGCCTTGATTGAATCATTCATCTCTCTCGGCGCAGAATCGTCTGATTTACCAGCTGTCGGTGATGCTTGCTCAGCTGCTGGAGACTTCAATACTACAGTAGCAGATACGGGGTTGTTTACGAGTCTTGGTTTCTGGCTTCGGAATAAGCAAATTTCTATTCAAGATACCCTCGATGCTAATCTATCCTTTTGACACTCTGATATTACTACGTTTGTATATTTTATTTCATGTTATTAGTCTGAGCGATTTCTTAATAATTCCGATCAATTGATCCTCGAAAATATGTATATTCAGGGCGTTAATATCCTACGACGAACCGGAGTGTCTTCAAATGTTATCGGTAATATTCAACATTTGAACCGTCTAGTCTCAAAATTGCCATTAAACGGCTATTTTATTTTATATCAAGCAGACATGATTATTCTTTACACTGCAAGTATTGAATCTACATATATAAAACATCCAGGTGACTAATCCAATTTAATGGGCAAATGCACTCAGAAAGGACCAATCTCCAAAAATTCCGACGTTCACCACATTATATTTTCAACGTATATGGAAATTCGCGTACCTATTTTGGGCAAATGCTAACTGTTCTTCGCGTGGAAAACTCAACATCTAGGCTTCAATATGTAAGAAATTAAGATCCACTCTCTAGCACTAATCACGATCCACAACGCTAAAAACTAAAACGATCAGCTTTAGCGCTGAATGAGTCAATAATAATACGAGTTAAATTGCCCTAAGTTACTAATGAGTCAATTAATAGATCCCGGGACCCACATGAAAGAGAATCAACCAATTGGGGTATTTAAAAAGGACCCATATATTTTGAACCCCGAGAGCCCTAATATGCCGGGATGTAACTAATAGGTTCCTGCGTCTTGTGAGCGAGGTGCTGTTGTGATGCACATAGCCAACTTTACACAAACGAGTACCCATAGTCAGTTAGTCCTTTTGCTGTCCGACCGATGCCTGAACATAATCACCAAGCCCATATTATCAAAGACAGCCTGTCGGCTTAAACTATATATCATCACAACGTATATCACGACATTAGTTGATTACTGTATTCTTATCAAGGCCGTTAAAATTCAATGTTGATGGAATAAATATATCATGAGTACATATTTAAGATTATATTCATCTAATTGAATAGACAACTTAGCATTTCAAAATGTTCAATGCTCTTATATTTTCCGCAGCGTTTCAGGTCTGGATGCTTGAATTTGTTTAAAAACGGGAGGCGGCAGCGATTTGGATTGACTAGATCGTGTAGTAATAAACTCGATGTTATTGGGAGACTCAATAGGGGCAAGAACACTTCCACGCAAAAGGTTTGAAGTATTTAGGCCTTGAGTTTATTCTAGTTTTATCTGCGCAGGCTTGAGGTTGACTACATATGAGTAATTGTCCGGGAAATATCTATATTTCAAGGAATATAAACTACTCCATGTGTCACACTATCTCCTCAATACCATGCTTTTGTTCCATTTGGTATAAAGAGGTGCCTCTAGAGCACTTAGCTTTTTTCAACTAGGCAATTAATGTACCTTGCCCGTCACGTTATGTCTAAAAACGTTTTAGATATCTTAGGATCATGTGCATGTGATCTATATATATTGAAATGGGGTTAATATTATAATCTTTCCGGGTTTATAGATAAAAGTAGATATGTCAACTGGCACCAATTGACAACAGAATATTGAAGAAATAGACCATATTAGAACATTTGAAAGTTTCAATGTTCAAATGATGTGAAGAAATATATGTTATCATTCATTCTGTAATCATGAATTCATATGGTTGCACTTTTCAATATTCTGTGCAGAGTTTATCAGTCATATGATACATATATATTACTGACTATCCCCCAAGTCCTGTTCTCAATGTTTCAGGAAGCTGGATTTCTCGGAAAAATAGACGAAGAATCCTACGTAATGACTAAGGACAAAATCTTGGTAAGAGTGTAGATTATTCCTGGAGATTTAGTGACCGTCAGCCACGTTCTCTCTCCACAACGATCAGTATTGCATCACCACCCACGTGGCTCTTCTGTAGTCTCCCGGTTCCTTAATATATGAAACCACTGAATCAAAATACTAATCATGGTCTTGATTCAAACTACGTGAGACAAGCTTCACCACCCATGTCAGCCCAAGATGTTCGGAACTCTGTTGATTGCAGAGGAGACAACAGGTAGTAATTGGTCTAACCCATGTTAGTCTCATCGGAAATAGTGATAATAAAAAAAAAGATGGAAGCTGCTCAGCTAGCTATCGTAAATATAACAGCATACATAAGTCCTTCTCACCTAGCCATCATGAGAAATGAAAGTATTCTGTACTATGTATTCAGACATACCGCACCAGTGATGAGTTCTGGAACAAATATCCAGGTTTATCAATGTCGACAGACTGCTGAAGCTTTTAGCTGATTGTAGGGGTTCCTGGTAGATTTTGCCGAGAGACACTCAGAATCCGGATAACCTGTGGACATTTTCTTTCTTTCAGTGCGCATGATCAACTTTTATGGTACCTTGCATTTAATACGGTTCTGTTGTATGTTTCGCATGTTGAATTACCTGTGTTATGATATGGTATTATGCATGCGCGGGGTTCTGTAGGTGAAATCCGACGTTATACACTGGTGCTTCGGGTTCTAGATTTATTTAGAATTTGATCATTCTTTCATATTATATCCTCTTTCGGGCTGATACACGGTACAAAAGTGTTTTCACGATTCGTGTAACCGGCTACGTCAACAGTACATATGTATCGCGCTTTTAATGGAAATCGATAAAACGGCAAACCGCTTCAATGTTCAGGGAACAACATTCCTTGCGGATGTCTGCAAGCATCTTGCTGTTAAGCCTTGCTATCCGGCAAACATGATACAGTTTTTAGACCATTCTTTCTAATATCCCCCAGGATTTTCAATAATCATGTAGTAGCCCACAGTTAAAACTGCGAGTCATTTATTTGCATGTCTACTGGTGGCTAATCTGCATTGCATTGTACTTCACGGGTGTTACATGGCAGGAGGCTTGACGCCATCTGGCTGTGATGCCAGCGAGAAGCTGGACTAATAGAATCCCCCAGACATAAGTAGTCACTTGTCTAAGCCCTAAGTCCTCAATATACAGGTTATGTGATGGCCATATGTAATACGCTTTGTGGAGTTTATTCAATCTAAATGCGGATCTAGCCAATCAGCGCGCGGCATGGCGGATCCTCGATCAGGGCAAAGCTTGGCGGCGGCTGGCGGCGGCGATTGGCTGGGAGCGAGTTTCATGTTTACAATGCGAAACGCCGAAACAGGCTAGCTGAAACCAAGGACGACGATGGTCCTTGTTCATTTTCTTTCCTCAGTATTCATGATCCTGGATAATAAACGGACAAGGACAGGCCGAAAAACGATGTGCATCGGGCATTCTTTACGAGACGACTCACTGCCTAGCCGAGAGCTCTGGAATGCAGGACCGGCAGTGGTTATCGAGGCAACCCGAGTCTGCCGAAAAATGCGTCGGTCATATTTTTGTTCGTCATGGCAATGCCTGTCTGGACTCTCGAATAATGCCGGAGTACTTATTTTGTAGCCGTCTTAGAATTGGCGATCATGGAAAACGCCGCTGCCCTAACCTGAAGGCGCATTCCAGACCCCGCAGATCGGTTCGGACCTGACAACCTCGAGTGTGCTCGCCGCCTGGATCATTGCAGAGACTGGGCAAAAACACTGTATATGTATAGACCGGATGCCCAACGCGCAGCGAGACTGTCATCGTTGTCATAATTTTCCTGCTTGATACTGCATTCTCATAGCTCAAACTCATCGCAGACTATTCTTTCTGCCTGTGGACGTTTCTCGCCCATCCTTATCATCTATTAGCTCTGCCTAGTTTAGACCAGCTCCGGATTAATTGTTGACCAGGTCATCCGTTGGACGAGACTGAGTGACTGGTGTTTCATCTTGCGACAAGCTCATCAATAGCATTATTGTCTTTAGGGCTCGGGAGCGGCGCCGCCAGGGGCAATCCGCCAATCAAGCACCGCGCGTGCCTGCCACCTCAAACAGGGCGCCAGTCATCGTGTTGACAATTGACTCGGCGTTCATTATTACGGCTATTATTGTTCTCCTGGCAATAAAAACAAGACCAAGAATCCTATTGAAAGGTGGGGTTTGGTGGTAAGTGCACAGTAGGCCTGGGGTCGCTGATTATTATTGCCTCTCCCTGTTTGTGAACTGCTTATTTGATCTAGGCTCGCCGCCACTGGTGACTGATTCTCTTCTCCTCCCCTTTCCACCTATCCGTGAGTATCTTCTTTTTCTGGCTCATTTGTAGTCATCCATTCTTTCCATTCTTCTTTCAACTTCTGCGTGGCTCTGCCCTCTCTTTTAACCGAGGATACACTGTCCTGGCGGCAGCTGCCTGGCCATTGCACGCGCTCTTTCTATGTGAGTCAGACATCATCCATTCCTGCCACATTCCCGTGTTCTGGCAGCAAAATAGCTTCATAGCTCTGGTAAGTACCTGTGACATTTACCTTTATTATTATAATTTTTGTTTTGCCACGGCATTGACAAAAGAGTAGGAGTAAAGAGTGGTGCTCTTAACAGCACTATCGTCGGTTTTGTTTCTTCAAGATTTTTGCTCATAAACGCAGTTTCTGCCGGTCAGATAAACACAACATTCGATATACGACTTCAACATGATTTTTATGCGACTTTTCCTCCTTTTTGGTCTATCGACCCTGCTAGCAGCTGCGCCGACCCCTCAGGCCAGCGGTGCGCAGTCGTCGGGTTTTTGGATGGCCAACATTAAGCGTCAGGGCACAGTTGCTTTCGGCAATTCGACCGACTATCAGATTTTCCGCAATGTCAAGGACTTTGGTGCGAAAGGTAGGAGTGTCAGCTCCGTGACGATGGGTGCAGAGATTAACAACCACAGGCGACGGCTCGACCGATGATACAGCAGCCATCAACAGTGCTATTACAACTGGAAATCGATGTGGCCAGGGCTGCGACTCGTCAACAACGACTCCTGCTATCGTCTACTTTCCGCCGGGCACATACGTTGTCTCCAAGCCGATTATCCAGTATTACTACAGTCAATTCATTGGGGATGCCACCGACTTGCCTGTCTTGAAGGCGGCAAGCAGCTTCCAGGGAATGGCTGTTATTGATGCAGACCCATATACCGACTCTGGTGCGAACTGGTATACGAATCAAAACAATTTCTTCCGCCAGGTGCGCAACTTCGTTATCGATCTTACTGCTTTGCCTCAGAGTTCTGGTGCTGGTATTCATTGGCAAGTCGCTCAAGCTACCAGTCTTCAAAACATCCGCTTTGAAATGGTCAAGGGTGGCGGTGACGCGAATAAACAACAAGGCATCTTCATGGATAACGGTTCCGGTGGCTTCATGACTGATCTTACCTTCAACGGTGGTAACTACGGCATGTTCTTCGGTAACCAGCAATTCACAACTAGGAACTTGACCTTCAATGGATGTAACACTGCTATTTTCATGAACTGGAATTGGGCGTGGACATTCAAGTCGGTCACAGTTAACGACTGCGCGGTCGCGCTCAACATGTCGAACGGCCCATCTAACCAAACCGTCGGCTCAGTCATGCTTCTGGACAGTTCCCTTTCGACGACTGATCAAGCCATTGTTACTGCCTGGTCCAAGTCTAGCATTCCCACTGGAGGTGGAGTTCTGGTTCTGGACAATGTGGATTTCTCTGGCTCAAAAGTGGCCGTTGGTGGAATCGGGGGAGACACTATTTTGGCTGGTGGATCAATCGTTGACAACTGGGTTCAAGGCAATACATATACTACCTCTGGTACATCTGCTGGAAAGACAAAGCGTACCACTGAGTCTACAAATCGTCTTGAGGACGATACATGTCCTGCACCAGAGGTTGTCACTGTGACGGTTTTCCAGACTGGGGCGCCTGTGGGCACCACGGCTATGGTATCTCAACCCGACTCCACTGCTCGCATTAGCCAACCAACTTCTGCTACATCTGCAATAACTGCAGCCACCAATGCTCCTGGTTCGGTTGGCACTGCTGATGCAGTTGGAAGTTCGACTCCTGGATCTGCAGCTGCTGGCACCGTCACTGCACCCACTACCACCCCAGCCTCACATGGATCCAACACAGGTGGCTCAGGAGCTGGATCTCCCACCGGTAAATCTAGCCACTCCTCATCTCCCTCACAATCCGGCATTTCTTCTCCGTCTGGTACGGGGTCAACAGGAACCTGCGCGGCTTCACCAGTATCAAAAGCTAGGACCCAAGCTACCCTCGCCAAGTCGAGCAAGCCTTCTAGTCTTGTTGACAGTTCTGGAAAGGTTTATGAACGTTCAAAGCCGCTTTATGAGAATGTTGCCGCCTCTTCATTTGTCAGCGTCAAATCGGCTGGCGCCAAGGGGGATGGTTCAACTGATGACACTGCTGCTATTCAGAAGGTGCTGGATAGTGCTACATCTGGCCAAATAGTTTACTTTGACCACGGTGCGTATGTCATCACCTCGACTATTAAAGTTCCCAAAGACATCAAGATTGTCGGAGAGATCTGGCCCATGTTGATGGCCTCTGGGAAAGCCTTCTCCGACCAGAAGAACCCTATCCCTATGTTACAAGTGGGTCAAGCCGGCGACACTGGAAATGTCGAGATATCGGATATCATTCTCGAGACCAAGGGTCCAGCTCCAGGAGCTATTTTGATGGAATGGAATGTGGCAGGCTCATCCCAGGGTTCTGCGGCTATGTGGGATGTGCACTTCCGCGTTGGTGGTTCCGCCGGCACGGAACTTCAGAGCGACAAGTGTGCCTACAACCCTAATGCTACCCACAACGCGAACCCTGACTGCGAAGGTGCTTTCATGCTTTTCCACGTTACTCAGCAGGCCAGTGCATACGTCGAAAATTCTTGGTTCTGGGTTGCGGATCACGAACTTGATCTTGCCGACCACAACAAGATTGACATTTACAACGGTCGAGGTGTTCTGATCGAGAGTCAGAATGCAGTTTGGATGTATGGTACTTCCTCTGAGCACAGCCAACTTTACGAATATCAGATCAACAACGCGAAGAATGTGTTCATGGCCCTCATCCAAACAGAAACTCCGTAAGTTCCCCCGATAACTAAAACTTGGAGACAATACTAACGTAACAAGATACTGGCAATCGAATCCAACAGCCTTGGAGCCTTTCACTCCTCAGACCAAATTCAACGATCCTGACTTTTCTACATGCACAACAGATAGCTGTCGCAAAGCATGGGGCCTGCGTGTACTTTCCTCCTCCGATGTGACCATGTATGGCGGCGGTTTCTACAGTTTCTTCGAGAACTACAGCCAGACCTGTCTTGACAGCGAGTCTTGCCAGGAAAATATCGTCGAAGTCGATTGTTCCAGTGTTTCACTGTACGGCCTTAGTACGAAAGCCAGTGTAAACATGGTTACATCAACAGATGGAAAGTCGTTGGCCTTACAAGAGGACAACACAAGCAACTTTTGCTCGACAATTGCACTCTTCAAACAATAGTCAATCCTTGTTCACCCCTTCCTTTGATTTCAAACCGATCACACGAACCAGTTTCTTTTTTCAAATCATTCTTACTTGTATCATATTTGTCTCTGCTGGATTTGAGCATTATTGAGTGGATTGGATTAGGATAGAAATCATTATTAGATAGTACTCTCTTTGCAAAGGCAGAGTGAGCAAAATGATACCATTAACATTTCGTTCGTCTAATCTCTATGATCTATAAACCATCAACCAATGCATAATCTCTAGTTATTATCCCCTGCAGTGAAACGATTCCTTTCTTCATCCGTGAAATCATTTCCCCAAACTGGCCTAGGCAGTTCAAACAAATCTGTAACTCTAGCATACGTAATACCCCCCATCCTCGCCACAGGCCTCAACTTCTCAATATCAATCAGACTCCTTTCCTCATTCAGCGCATCTTCTCTCGCCCAGAACCGAACGCCCTCAACGACCACCATAGTCGAGCTGACCCTCGTCGGGTCCGTCTTTGAATGAAACTCCCGATTCTCAACAAGCTTCGCCTCAATCGAAAACACAGCCTCCTTCACTCGCGGCGTAGCAACAACCTCGGTATCTGCACGCGTCAATCCCGAAATATCGAACTCGCTCACACCGTACGGTGCATCAACACAGGCTATATTCGCAGCATCGATGAAATCCTCCGATATAATATTAATCACGCATTCACCGGTCTCGATGATGTTCGCCAATGTATCCTTCTTGCCACCCGTGGCACCCTTGCCGACTAACCCGACGACGAAGATGGGAGGGTCTGTCGCGACTACGTTGAAGAAACTGAATGGGCTTAGATTTGTGGTTGAGCCGTCTGCGGATCTCGTGGCGATGAATCCAATGGGTCGGGGGGTGATTGCGCTGATTAGAAGTTTGTAATTCAGATTCGCTGGCCGGTTGGGTCCGTAGGGATCGATGCTGACGTGCGTCGCTGATTCGGACTCGGTTTTGGTGAATGAGCCTGAGCCAGGTGTGTAGGATGGATTGAGCGTTTGCGTATAGTGTGGATGCGCAGAAGAGTCCCAGGGCGGCCGAGAGGCTTCCACGGATTTGAAGGGTGGGTGCGACATATTAACAGATTCCTTAATCCCCGCAGCGAGGAGATAGATAAGATCAGGCTAAAATCGAGTTGTGGATGTCAATTAAAGACCGAAAGGAAGACCGTGATGGGAAAGGAGTCAACTATAAACATGAATGTTTTCGTCTATTAACTTTTAATGTTAAAGGGTGAACAAGACCATTTTGAAGAAGTCGAAAAATTAAGTATCGAAGTACGCGATAAGCTGCGGGGTTATCGTCTTATCGCACTATGATGACAAATGGGAGCAGCACTGTGTAACAGAGCGATGGCGGTAGAATATCGCCTGATTTATAATATTTCAACGGTGTTCGTAAAGTTAATACTGCAAGGAAAACTAAATAAATACATAGCCAATCCATTCATCGATTTTTCAAACGTTGTATGGTCCATCTTACGGACCGTATGTTTAGGATTAGGGTTAGAGGTTCTAATTATTTTGAGCTATCATCGAGTCAATTCACTCTCTTCGAATGAACACGCAGATGAGATACCCCCCTCCCCTCTTCAATAATAAAGATGTAGAGATTATCTTACATATATACTTTATACAAGATGCGGATTCTAGGGAAGCAAGTATGCGCCCCATGCTCCTCTTTTAAGGGTTAACCCAATCCAAAGGCTGGAGATTTTTTTGTGCTCTTCGTTTATTTATATCTAATGCTAATGAAACTCTCATCCGTGCGGTGTTCATTTCTGATTTCGGTTTGAATAATTAACAAAACAATAAAAACAAGATTCCTCTGTATAAAATCGGCGTCAATCAAAATCTAGCAATTTGTTTTGTTTCTGCTTGTAACAAATCAATTAGCCACAATACCGTGCTTTGCACAAACTTGTTTAGCAAACTTGGTAATAGTAAGGCTTGGTGCAACAAGTTGCTGGAAGGGGATATCCAATTCGTATTCCTTAAATATCCAATTTCTCAAAGTGGAGCCAATCATACTATCCAGTCCGTAATCACCAATTGCCTTTGTGTCCGGCTCAAAATCATCGAGATCGACGAGCAACATGCGAGACAACTTATCAGTAAAGTGAGCCCCAATCGCCGCCACAGCTTCAGTCGGACTAGACAAGGCCTTGATGGCATTGACAATGCTCTCTGCAGAACTTGAAGTATTCCCTGCTCCAACCGAGCTTATAGTACTAATAAGATGCGAAAACCGGACGTCGTCCTTCCAAAAGATATCCGTAGCACCGCTTTCTGTTCCTGCCTTGTGTAGTTCTAGCGGATCTAGTCCTGCAATAACATGGTCCGCTCTATTATTTTGTTCTTGCAAGGAGGACACCGGACCAACCGCAGCTTCAAAGGTTTCAAGCAGGGCCTCTTCCTCAATACCGTACATACCTTTGCTCTTGAGCGACTCTTCAATCTGGAAGTTTTCTGCAACAACACCAACACCGAGAACCATCGGAAGGATGGCGGAGGTTGCAGCGATGCCTAGGCTTCTGCGATGGTGAGCTAAGGCGTCAAGATAGGCATTTGCTGCAGCATAATTGGCTTGCCCAGGTGTTCCAAGAGTGCCTGACACAGAGCTGGTCATAACAAAGAAGTCCAGTTCTTTACCAGCTAGGGCTTCATGAAGGTTTCTCGCCCCGTTCACTTTGGGATTCGTGCATGTTTTCCAGTCGTTGTACGACATGTTGGAGAAAATACCATCCTAATTTAACGTGAACATATCGGTTAACTGAAAGATTTCAATAGAGAAATAGAAAATAATTGAAGGAATAAACTCACTCGAAGAACCATGGCAGCTTGGAAAACACCTCGAATAGGGTTACTGGCAGGAACGCCGACAATAGCGCGATCCACGTCTTTCCGAATAGTTGCATCACCACGAACAACCTGGACAATGGCGCCGGCGGCTTTGATGTCCTTGACTAGGTGAGCTGCTTGTGGAGCATCTGCGCCAGAACGTGACAGGAAAGTGAAGCGGCGAGCGCCGTGTTTCATCATCCAGCTCGTTAGACTGCGGCCAAGGCCACCGAGACAACCAACGAGGAGATAGGTGGCATTCTCGTTGAATTTCAATTTTGGACGGGGAGCGATGATATTCAAAGTATTGTCGCATGGTTTATAGACTACAATGGTCTTTCGAGAAGAAAGGGTGTCGGAAAAGGAGGATATAGCATCATCTAACTCAGTAATATGCTTGACTACTACCGACTGAGGTGGATAGATGGCTCCTTGATGGAAAAGCGAAAGAACCTGACCAGAAACCTCGGACAGGATGGCAGGCTTGTAGCGGTAAAGATCTAACATATCAAACGAAAGATAGCTGGCACCTCGATGTAGAGGGGCAGTGTCCATAGTGGTGCGTTTAACAAAGCTCTTGCGGCCAGAGTCAATAAACCGACCAAACGGCGAAATGAACCTCCAGGCCTCATGGGCCACGTCTTGGTTGGAAAACCCAGAGCTAAAAACAATATCTGCCCCTGCTTTGCCGGTCGCATGTTTCATTTGTACAGTTACGGGTGCAATCCAGGGCTTAATTATGTTCTTGTCAGAAAGGCCAAAGACAGACTTGATCGTGTCGATTTCCTTTTCATTCTGAACAGCAACAAATGGTACACCTTGCATAATTTGTGCTATTTGGATAGCAGCAGCCCCGGCAAGACTAGTCCCATCAAGAATAAGAACCGTCTCATTAGCCAGGAGGTTACCAAGAGCTTTGAGACCGTACAGCGCGGAACCATGGCTCATTAGTAGACTGACAGCGTCGTTCATATTATCACTCGAATCTAGCTTCTGCACGAGGCTGGATGAGACGCGCTGGAAAGTAGCAAACTTGTCAAAGCTAAACCCAACCACACGATTGCCTAGAGACAACCCTTTGACCTTAGAGCCAAGCTTGGTGACCACGCCGCCAATCTCATGACTGAACGTCGTCGGGTAGTCTGTACCACCGATGACTAGCGTACCCTCCTTGGTAATTCCTGTGGCTAGGACTTGGATTTCAACATCATCATCGGCTAGAGCCTGCCCCTCCCGTTCATCAGCTTCAAATATGATCTTTCCTGAATCGACCTTGCCAACCAAATGTGCTGTGGGGTCATAATGAGTTGGCTCAGCCTCTTTCGCATTTGAAGCGTACAGGAAATTTAATTCCTCGTTGGAAACCATGCGACTAATGTAAAGGAGACCATTAGACACACAATACTCGGACTCCCTGGTTGTTGCCTTGTTTCCGTGTTGAATCTCGGCCACTTGGGCGACTAATTCCCCAATGGCTGAAAGAGGAGTAGTAGTAATGTCAAAATCTAGGGTAGTAATTCTAATAGACGCCTGTTCCGAGCTAATTGACCGGACCAATCCAGCGGTCATTGCGTATTCGGGATGGAGTCCCTTGAGTAGCCCACCGGGAGTAACCCATAAAAGGGTAGAAGCATTGTTGGTAATGTTCTGAAGAGAACTAAACTCGTTTTGGGTCATGGTGTCCACAAAAGGACCTTCCAGGTCGACAAGGAGCACGACATTAGCCCCTTTCATATTGACGACCTTTTCCACTGGGGACGCCACAGCACTCCATCCGTTTGTCTCCAAAGCACTTTTCACTTTGGCAAATAACTCACCCTGTATTTTACGGTAGACAAGGTGTACGAGCCTCGTAGTCCCATTCGCGTGATAACCATTTGTGGTCTCTTTTAGTGCCGTGGATATTGCAACCGATGGTTGGGCATTCGGTCCAAGGACAACATCAAAGGCCGTCAACTGTGCTCCATGGATATTGGCTAGAGGTAGCCTGCCCTCAAGATTCCAGAAGACACGGCCATGTGGTGCAAGAAGCTTGCGAACTGCCTGTGTGGTAACAGAGGACTCCATCAGCCTCCTTGGGGCTATTACTAAGTCGTATGACTCTATCGTGATACCCTGGTCATCCAATGGCTCGCTAATATCTAGAACAAGTGCCTGTGCATGCTTGTAGGTCTCAGAAATTTTAGATATTTCAGAAATCTCTTCGTGACTGACTCCAGTGCCTGTATAGTTGATGCCACCACACTTGGAGAGAACTTCCGCCATTTGAGTAGCACCGATATCGATCATTTTGAGGGCGGGGTTCTTGTGAAATGCTAAATCAATTGCAGAAAAGATGTCAATGGACGTCGTACTAGAGGTATTCTTGATGGTATCGATATCGAGCTTCCATTCCACTTTTTGGTAGGGTTGTGAGTCAATTGCCAGCTCGGCGCCTTGTGGAACTGCCGCTTCATAGTAGGTTGTTCGCATGTTGGTAATTTCCATCAACAATTCTCCGTCACTGGCTGCCAACTGAGAGCTACTAACTAGTGATCGTAGACCCCGTTGGTCGGTCCAAGATAACGCTTTGGCGGATCTGTCCTGTACTTGCATTTCCGTTGGTGGGAAGATGGCAACTTCATCAACCCCGATGGGGATAGCACCGCATTTCATATCCGCGACACGTCCAGCAAAGATGGAAACAATGATCAGTTGTAAGCAGGAATCAACAATACCTGGGTGGATGATGTGTCGGGATTCGCCGGGCATAATGCCACACTTTTGTCGAACCTCAGTGTCGCATGCAGCAATGTAGGTGGTGCCATCGGTCCTAATATTCTCCATGTCTTGGAATGTCGGGCCGTAGTCAAAGCCAACTTTGCGTAGAGCGTGGTTCCATGACTTACCACTCGCACGATGAGGGAGGTGTGGAGCTTGGCGTGGTTTCTGGCTGCGATCACGGACATTGATACCGATGAGGCCTGTAATATGATCTTTACGCTGTCCTTCCAAGGGGAAAGACGATGCACTAAAAGACCACCAGCCAGTTCTATTGTCTTTTTCGGAGTGAATAGCTGGGCACATAGTGAAGATAACTTCGATTCCGTCGTCATCATCTGGGGTCACTAGCGCAGCCTTGATTGATACATCGCGCAATACGTAACTTGTGATGGGTACCGGGGAGCTGCTAATTTCATTTATTTGTGTGATGGCTTCCATGGCCATGGAAAAGTATCCTGCCGCTGGAAAAACAGCCTCACCTCCAAGAGAGTGGCTCCTCAACCAGGGGACGTCTTTCATGCGGAGGACATTCCGCCAGATCATTTCACCCACTCCAGGAAGGCGCGCACCAAGAATATCATGCCGCATGTGTGTTGGATTACGATGTTCCTTGCTATGACGAGGTTCCGCCCAGAGCTCCTTGTTGTACTGCCACTGGTAGGTTGGAAGGTCGACAATTAGCGATCCTTTGGTGATCTGGATCTTACCGCTGGGAAGAGACTCCTCAATTGAAGTGGCCCGGCTGATATCAAAGGGATAGTCTCTGAGAAACAGTTCGCCAGCGAGCTTTAAGAGCTGAGAAGCGCAGTCCTCGCCTCGGAGCAAGGTAGGTAAGTAGTTCAGCCTTTCTAACTTGCATTCAGCTTTGATCTGCTTGATTGGACCCGAAAGTGCAGAATGAGGGCCAATTTCTACTAGCATATCAACCTTATCAAACTCGGGGCTGTTCGCAATTGTTTGTACCGCCTGGTTGAATAATACCGGGCTACGTAGGTTGGCGCTCCAATACGTCTCATCGATAACCGTATTGGAAGAAATCATTCTGTTGGTGACGGAGGAGACCATCTTAGCAGAGGTCTGAATCGGCTCATCCAAAGCGGCATAACGACGTCCATTACGTAGCAATCCTTCGTAAACAGCTGCGACAGTCTCCATGTGGTGAGAATGATATGCTTTGCCGCCTGTCTTGACAATACGAGAAAAAATGCTTTCAGCATCAAGTCGTGTTTTCACGAGTTCTAAGGCTGGAGAATCGCCACTGAGTGTCACACTCAAGGGTGAGTTGTGACAGGCGATTACCACGCGCTCTCTGAGGTCCGAAATGTATGGAGAGACGTCCTTCGCTCCAAGACCGACAGCCAACATGGCACCGTCAGTATTGACATCACGAACCACCTTGCCACGATAGTAAGCTGCGATAATGGCTTCGCTTGCCGAAATCATCCCTGCGGCGTATGCTGCCGCGATTTCACCGGAAGAGTGGCCAACAGTGACAAGGGGTTTAATTCCCCAAAGTGAAAGCAACTGGACGAGAGAAACTTGAATTGCAGTGCAAAGAGGCTGCGAAAATTCTGCTTCATTGATCCGAGAGCTGCTAGCGTCTTGCAAAAGTGTGTCCTCCAGCGTCCATTCAGGACCATCTGGTAAGTCTTCCAGAGCCCTGTCGAGCATGCGCATAGAGCGTAGAAAGCTGGGGTAATATGACATGAGTTCACTGCCCATACGAGCCCACTGGGCACCTTGTCCAGTAAAAACGAAGCCTAGAGTCGGTGTCTTCTTCTTCTCAGCAAATGAAAAATTCTTGGCTGCATTTGCTAGCTCCGAATCAAGGGTGGCGTAGCTAGCAACAACATATCCACGACTAGCAAGGCGCGATCGGCGGTTAGATAGTGTGTAAGACAAGTCTAAAAGATTGTACTGTGAAGTGACATCGCTAAATGCTTTGATATTGGCATCGAGTGTTGGTCTATCGTGAGCTGAGAAAGGGAGGAGGAAATATCGGTTTCGATTGAATGCACCGCGTGGTGGTTTCACGATGCTTGAGCCGCTCACATGAGTTGCGCCGCGAGGCAAAAAAGAATTTGCTGATTCCACAATGACATGGCCATTCGTACCACCATATCCAAACGAGTTGACACTAACGCGCCGAACTGGGAGGTGGGCTGGAAACGGAGTAGGCTCTCTAACTACATCGACTTTCCAGTTCTTCCAGTCAACTGTTGAAACACCCCAGCCATTAGCCATTGTTGTTTATTTTTAAGATAAGTGCTTACTCTTGGGGTTCTTGTTTACAACTCCTCGCGTTGGAGGGATGATTCCCTTTTCAACAGCCAAAATGGCTTTAATCACAGCCGACAAACCAGATGCAGCTTCGGAATGGCCAATGTTTGTTTTGACAGCGCCAATGGCCAGCGGAGGCTCGTCTATGGACCGGTCTGCATTCATTGCATTTGCTACTGCATGAACCTCGAGAGGATCACCGATTGGAGTACCTGTTCCATGGCACTCAAAATATGCTGTTAGCTTGGGATCCAGATTTCCTCCCCGGCTGTATGCCGCACGAATAACAGCCTCCTGGCCTGCTAGGTTGGGATGCGTAATTCCAACACCTGGTACCTTTCCATTTCTGTTTGGAAGTTAGAAAATACTTTTTTTCATTTCCCTCTTTAGGTGAAAAGTGGGTTACTCACGAATTGACGGCACTTGAACGAAGAACACCTCGAATTGGATCTCCATCCCGAACTGCATCGCTGAGACGCTTTAGATAAATAGCCCCAACACCGTCAGCCCGACCATATCCGTCTGCCGTTTCATCGAATGTATGGCATGTTGATGTTGGAGAAAGAACACCAAGTTTGGCTGTGTTCATGTGTTGATCCACAGTCAGGACAAGGTTGACACCACCGACAATAGCTGCCTCAGCTTCGTTGTTACGCAATGCATTGCAGGCATTATGCATTGCGTAAACCGAACTAGAACAGGCAGTATTCACTACGATTGATGGACCATTGAGATCAAACACGTGGCTAATGCGGTTGCTGATAAGTCCCGGATCTACACCGGTCGCAGCATAAGAGTGTCGGAAATCTGGCTCTTTGAAGGACATCTGTTGGTAATCGCTAGTGAAGCTACCGATAAAGACAGCAGTCCTTGAACCTCGGATTGTGTCCATAGTCACACCCCCAGATTCAAAAGTTTCATATACGACTTCCAAGAGCTTTCGTTGCTGGGGGTCCATCCACATAGCTTCGATTGGTGAGATACCAAAGAGAACTGGATCAATTTCCTGGAGACTGCTATTCAGGAAATAGCCGCCTAGAACGTTAAAGCTTCCCGGGCGCTCATTATTCTCGTGAAAATGAGCGTCTATATTGAACCGAGAGGCAGGCATTTTGGGAGTTTGGCCGGTTCTTTTGTTGATCATCAAATCCCAGAACTGAGAAGGAGAGCTAATGTCACCAGGTAGACGGCATCCTAAGTCATTCTAGTTTTAGTTTCACATTCAACATAGCATAACAGATAAGAAAAGTAGAGTAAAAATGATTTAGATGTGTCAGACTTACCCATGCCAACCACTGCAATCGGCTCAAGCTGTTCATTCAATGGCTTCTCGGAATATCCAGGGAAGTTAACGGCTGGATAGTCCATTGGGTCAATAATCTCCGACTCTGATGAACTGCCATCGAACTGATCCCAGATAGGGACTGAGAGGCGACTGTTGCTCGTAATGAGAGGCATCTTTTATTCAGCCTTAATATTGCGATTGTGAGTCCAGGGGAGAGGTAGAGTAGACAAAAATTTGTGCTAAATGTCGTTCTAGCTTTGACTAGGTTTAGATAGCCTTTGTCCCATACGAAATTGAAAGTGATATATCCAGACTCATTAGATAGGCTGGAGTTTCTGAGGCGTTTATCAAACAGCCAAGGATTTCAAATATTTAGAAGCAATTTAGGCCCCGTTCAGTGTAGTGGTCAAGAACTGAATCAGAAAAAGAGGATCAAGCTGTCTGTTTAACCATAAACCGATCCCTGACAACATCAATTGATCATTCAGATATTCATTTGTTTTGGCCTTTAGGGCACATCTTAGGTTCTATCATCATAATTTAACAACCAATAGTGTAAAGCCGTACGTTGGCGTTAGGGCTTAGGTCTACGGTTGTCTAACTGCCATCTAGCAAGTGGCGTTTCGGACGAGCGGCTCGGTTTTCCGTGTCCGTCGGTTAAAAGTAATCAATAATCAATAGCAATTAAGATGCAAAGGCGGAATTTCCTCATCCGTTGCCACTTTACTGTCTTAATCTCATCGATCAATGATAACACGTCGTCCCGATGTCAGCACGGGGATATGCGGGACTGGGCGAAATGGGGCGACAAGCATCTGGAACATGGTTGATCTACAATGTTCCATCTGACCTATTATCTAGTTCTTTTAAGATAGCCGTCAATGAAACCCTAACTTTCGGTAGCTATAACAAGTTGAACTCTTTACTGGCTCAGATAACGGCGCCTACTTCGGCCGAGATAACATTAGGATGGTTATTATGCTAAGTCATATAGAAGAAGACTGGTTCCCCTGAATTTTGGTAGAAGACTCGACGGCAGACGACAGGACATTCCATCTCATACACATAGGCTGCGGTATTGACTAGAGGCTCCTGTTATATTTGGGTCGTATCAAATTTTGGGGATATTCTGTTGTGAAAGATGTCACTCACATACATGCATAGACATGATTGTGTACGCGATTAGAGTACATATGTAATATTGGTTTGCCTTGTATGGAAAGAAGGACTCTAGCATCGCTCTCAATGAAAGAGTGCCGAATGATCAAATAAACAAGGAAAACAATGCATCCCAACCCCCTAGAAAGTAAGACCACACACACACACACTTTTTCTTTAGCTCTGAACCCAGTTTTTCGTTTTTATTATTCTGTTCAGTTGTGTTAATTAGACGCAAATCGGCAAAAACTGCATCGATTAATGGGATAAGATCTCGCCCTTCAGATTGACTTTCAAACCTATACCGCCGTCGGTGCACTATTTTACCTGGTGTATATGATATATTTTCAAATGGTGGGTGGCTCATGTAAATGTTGATGGCTATAGGGCAACGCTGTAGATGTGTTTGATGTCAATTCATATCTCACCACGCAATTCCAGTCATGACTTTGCCCAAATTGTTTTATACTAGCATTTGGTATTAATAAAATCAACATAGTTTTTTCTGAGTATTCCCTTTTTACAAAGAAGAGACCTTTTTGCATAACCTGGCTAAGATACAGAACTGTAAATTGTCAATTGATATATCAACATTAAAGCTTTTCGTACGCATTATTTTAGTTAAAATATATACTAGATTGAATATCAAAAACCAACTAAGATAAATCATTTTATTGTTAGAGAAAGATTCCCTTCAGATAGAGCTGAGGGTAAAATAACACATTAATTGATAATATCGAGATTTGAGGGATTTATTATCCAAGTCGTGCTAACTAGGTAGCATATCATCATTTTCGCCACCTATATATCCGTCATCTATAATAATTTTGTTATTCTCAGGGAGTGAAGTAATCAGTCACGCTTAACAATGGACCGACCTTCAGGTTCAACGAGGCTAGCCCCAGAAAAAAGACGCTTCTCATATTGCCACAGAGCCAGACTAACAACTGTGCTTGGTCCTAATAGGATAGTAAAAACCAGTAGAGCGATAACGCTTGAGAGAGATTTTCCAATCGGGAGAAATACAAGGAGCCGGACAAAAGAACCAGGTGTCGCTTTCCACCTGACCTGCTTGGTAGTAGTTGAAAGCTCTGGCTCAAGCAAAAGATATGAATAGATAATGGCTGTCAAACAGATAATGAGCCAGTCATACTGCAAGAACAAAATTGCTGCTTGTGTGAGACGTTGGGGCGAGTCGCGGTCCACGCCGATCGGGTTAGGCACAAAGACACGAAATATTGTCACAGAAGAATCGGAGGAGAGAAGTGCGGTGAAGCTGCATACTAGATGTACGACTGCAGAATAAACCGCAAAGAAGAGCTGAGTGGTCTGAATATAGATATTGCTTCTTCGTTTTCGTTCACTGTCCAACTGTGTACTTGTATGTTCTATGCCTGTTCTTGAACGGTCGCTAAGGCTCGCTTTAGTCATTCGATCGATTAGTGATAAACAGAATGAAAATGTATATTGCGCCGCTATCCAGACGAGTGGTGCAAATTGAAATACGGCGATAGTATTTTGATGCTGATCGGCGGAGTACCTTCCGCTCGTGGGAGATAGAATCATCATGCAAAAGGGAATCGATGAGACTAGCATAGCTGGTATCAAGGATTTTGCATGGTAAATTGAGATACCAAGTTCTTTTACTGGGGTTTGAATATGGATCAGAGAATAGAGCGGAAGGACAATGCCAGCCCCAGCAATATTCCATAAAACGCCGAAAACCCCAGGCCTATATTTGAAAACGAAGCGTCAATCTTTGTTTCTTTCAACTTGACCAGTTTAATGGGATTTTAGAACCTACAAACTCAAATACCACGGTTTTTTTCCGTTCCGAACGCTCTCGATTACCATCCAGCCCAGCGCGACGTGGAGGGTCGCGCCTAAGTCCGTCAACATCAGCCTAGGTCCCAGGTATGAGCCGTTGGCTAAGGCATAAAAAAATGCAACCAGGATTGAAAGGAGGTTATCAAAAAACGGTATCCCAGAATACGTCGTTTTCAGCGGTGTGCCATCTGGAAGGACATTGTTCTCTATCGCCTGGGAGATATCGTCGAGAGTACCGTTCAAGAGCATGGGCAACCATAACAAGGGAAGGCTAATCGCGCTCAGAGCGATAAAAAGGGAGTGAATAGCTCGCATTTTAGCTACTGCTGAATAAACTCTCTTTCTGTTCTCCTAGAAATTGTATAGGACGGTTGAATAGAGATAAAACAGTAGCAACGTTTTGGGCGATAGAAAGATATTCAGAGAAAGAGCACCCATTCTGTTTGATCACAGTGAAAAATAGTTCCTATGCTCCATCTGACTTCTTTGTCACGTTTTGGAGTACATTAGAACTCAGTGTTATGCATGTTCAAGACCGGGATTCAGGTCCGTAGGTGCATGGTGCATGAAGAACACTTTGTCCGCTCCGTCGCACCGAGCCGTATATCATTAACAGGGGGCGGGGACTCGGCTGCTCTCCCTCCGATTCGTCCCATATCGCCATCTGACGCTATTTACATACATTTGGCATAATCTTAAGGCACTTTGGTACTGGCAGCTAGAGCTGTTCAGACTGGCTGGTATTTGTATTAATCGCGGTCAGCATCCAGCTAGTGGATGAAGATTTTTTTCCTGTCCCAGATCATGTACTGTAGTCTCGTTGATGCCATGGATGAAGAAAGCTTTGACGTTATTATTGTAGGCGCTGGTAAAAATCCTTCTCGGTTTTAATTCACGCATAAACGCAAATGGCGCTGACTCCTGATATAATATAGGTTGGTACGGGCTCATCGCTGCAGCGACGTACTTGCAGCTAGCCCCTGACGTCAATCTCGTTATAGTTGATAACAGTGCCTCAATCGGTGGTGTTTGGAGCAAGGAAAAGATATATCCCAACCTTTTCGCACAGGTTGGCCATGGCCTGTTTGAGTATTCTTTTTACCGCATGAAAAAGGAAGGGCTCACACCGGACCGATATATCTCCGGTCAGACTATTCATGATTACCTGAATGGCTTCGCACGCGATTATGACCTAGTTCGTCGAATACGGCTTAATGTACAAGTTACCAAGCTTGACCATTTGGATGGGTCTGGATGGCGTCTTTATTGTCATGACGGCAAAACAATTCGCGGAGACAAAGTAATATACGCCTCCGGTGTGTCTTCGGATCCATACACTCCAACCATCCCTAATAAGAACTTTACGAAACCGGTAATTCATTCCTCCCAAATACCATCCTCTCTTGAGGCCCTCCAAGGGCCCGAAACGCGACGCGCGACAGTTGTTGGCGCAGCGAAGTCTTCATACGACACTGTATTCTTGTTGTTAGAAGCGGGCAAAAGTGTCGACTGGATTATCCGCGAAGAAGGCGCTGGTCCACTGGCAATCATGCCTCCTCGTCTTCTTGGCGTTCTCAACACTGTTGATGTTATGGCTACTCGAGCTCTGGCTGCTTTCAGCCCAGCTATTTGCAACACCCATGGCCTGTGGTACCAATTTCTGCATCGGACCAGAGTTGGGCGAGCCATGACCAAGTTCTTCTGGCGAAATGTCACCCGTGCTGCAGAGCATCATGCTGGGTACTCAAAAAATGCGAACGCAGCCAAGCTGAGACCAGAGCCACATGGATACGGGTAAGTTTTGAAATTTTATTAGAGGGATGATCTTAATCAGCTCACCAGTCCTCTCTGTGTTCTAGCATATTCTGGTGCAATGCCGGACTGGGACTTGCCAGTGTACCAAATTTTTGGAAGGTTTTCCATGCAGGCGATTGCACTGTTCACCGCACTGAGATCGCTGAATTATCTGACGAGAAATTTATCACCCTTGCGAACGGCGTCAAGATTGAGAGCGATTACCTTATTCTCTGCACAGGCTGGACTGCTAACCTAAGTAGCTTCGACGAGCCACTCCGAGAAAAGATCGGCCTGCCCTCGCAGGCTGACTTCAGCAAGGCGTGGCAAAAGTTGGACATAATAGGGGAAGAGAATGTCAATAAATTATTACCAATGCTGAGGAACCCTCCAGACACAATGCGACGCACCTCTGAACGGCGTCCCTGGCGGCTGTACAGGCGTCTGATCTCTCCTAATCTGGCTGCTCAAGGCGACCGGTCGATTTTCTTTCCAGGGCAGATTCATTCCGTATACACACCGCTGGTAGCCGAACTGCAAGCCCTGTGGGGAATTGCCTTTATGCTAGGCTTGATCGACGTCCCCGAAAAAGACGACATGAAAGTCGAGATTGCCACCTGGAATGCGTGGACCCGAAAGCGATACTTGGAACAGGGACGAAAACATGCCTATTCTATCTATGACTATCTTGCCGTAAGTATTTGTGAACAGACCGAGGAAAAGAATTTGTCTAACTTACAAAATGCAGTACATTGATACCCTCTGCCAGGACCTTGGTATCAACACGCGCCGTAAGAGCAATCCAATATCCGAGATGTTTACCCCATATCGGCCGTCTGATTATGACGGGTTGATTAAAGAGTTCTTGCAGGCGCAAAGACAAAGGAGCTCGTTAAAGGATAGTTACCACGACTAGGTAATTACAATACCTTGACATTGAGGTCCAGGGTGAAGCTTCAAATGCTCTGTTAGGCCCTATATAACCCATACAAGTGTTTATAAAGCTATACATTGTCAGTTCTGGGAGATAGATATAAGAGAATGGTTATTAATTTATTTTTGTTCCTGTCGAACTGTACATGATTGATGTTTCTGTTTCACCAAGTGGAAGAGAAAATAACCAATAAGTCTCGCTGCTTGTTGCCCAAAAAAAGGGCAATGTGTGTGAGTGCTGGTGGCTTCATAACATTTACCTGAGAATTCATTTAGATCAAATATCAGATATCTAGAAGTTCCTTTTATTCCGAGGTATTCTACTTTTGAAAATGAGAGCTGAGGTAGGAAGAGCTTTAGAATTAATGCAACATTCTATAAGGGAAAAGAGCCGGAACCAGACGACGACGTCCTTATCTAATCTTTTGTTCTAGCAAGGGATATCCGTTTACCGATGCGACGACATCCTGTACACAATTTCGATTAGTGTTTATTCACTCTTACACGTGAGAGCACACTTACATAGATGCTATCCTTCTCTACCAGCTGCGCCGACCAGTTTGATAGAAAAACTACCAGCACAAAAGGACTCAAATAATCCAACCTCCCAGTAATCTCAACAAGAACCATGATCAATGTAAATGGAAGCCGAGTGACACCGCACATAACAGACCCAGCGCCAATCAATGCATAGGTACCTGGGCTGATACACGATGAGTCAAGACTTCCGGCAGCTGCAGCACATTCTGCGGCGAGGATTGGAAATCCTCTTGAGGAAAAAGTATCCACAAATACTTGAAATGCGTGCCCAATGGTCTTTCCAAAAAGGGCCCCGAGAACCATCGTAGGAACATATATTCCAGCAGGAACTTTGAGCCCAAATGTGAGCACGGTAAGAAGAGCTTTAATGAGGAAGGCTATTATCAAGGAACGCATGTGTGATGGAATCTCATCCAATGAAGGACAATTATCATGGAGAAGCTGATTCGTGTGAAACTGTTGACACGGAGTTGTTAGTTTTGCCAACGTTTCTGCAACGCTCAATTTGGTATATCTATTCGAGAAGGTTAGCATGCCAGTGAGCACGGCTAGAAGGGCTGTTTCGAAAACCGGATTCCGGGCCAAAATGGAGACTTTTCGGATAATCAGAAGTCGGGAACGAGCAGCCTTAACGAATAAACCGCCCAGCACACCTCCACCCAGACCGATGCCTGTATAAACTGGTATTTCAAATGTTTTCCACTCAATCATGCTGTGGACGTGAAACATGACGATAGTTTTCGTGCCATATGGGTTCAAATACTTCAGAAAGGTCGTTGCCGTCTGTTTTCATGCGTCGGTCCTTTTGTATTTTCTGAAACCTGGGGAATGATTGAGGCACTTACTACGCAACAAAAGAGGGTGGGGATCAACTGTCTTGGTGTAAATCCGAAAGGCCTTTTTGCCGACGTAGAAACAATTAACATCTAGGTTTCGTCATTTGGGTTAATGCCAACTCACGATAGTTCTTCAATGACGAATATTGTACCCGAAATAGGTGCACCAAATGCAACAGATAAGCCCGCTGCTGCACCTGCTTTGTACAACAGTTCGCGCTGCGAGCGGCTCGTGTTGAATAGCTCGCCAACGACAGCCCCAATACCAGCTGCAATGTGTACATAGGGGCCCTCCTTTCCCAGGCAGAGACCGGAAGAAGCACTCAATATGATTCCGATTATCTTGCATATGATAGTAGAGAAATCAAAGTAACCCCGTAGTCGAAGACCTTGGGAACGAACTTTTAGTTCTGCCACACCACTGCCAGCGACAGGATAGAGTATTGCAGGTTTTGTTTCGATCTGAATGTAATTATTGGTCTAGTTTTTAAATCAGGAAATATAAGGCTATACATACACCGGTATTCTCATAACGCCGTGACAAAGTGACGATGGCCGAAGTAATTGCCAGCATAGTGCCAAGCAATGCCCAAAGCCCCCAATTCAACAAGGTGTGACCACGAGAGCCAGATATTCGAAAAACGTCAGACCATTGCAGCCACGACTGACATTCCGAACCTATTAGGTGAATTCAGCATCGAAGTTCCGACATTTTTTGTCTTAATAGGAGGCCCACGTACTGTCGGCGCAGCATCTTTGACGGTTTAACAGTATATTCTCTATAATAAAATGTCGGGTTTTGCGTTAGAAAGACAAACAGAAGATATAAAGTATAAACGATATACCTACTGTGGCAGTATCCGTCTTTGAGATCAAAGAGTAAAGGATCAGTAACCGCAATAACATATCCCATTACACCGATAAGCAAAGCGGTAACGAGAAGCAACGGCCATATTTCAAAACCTGCGACTTCCTCTGTTCGGTTCCGTCAATTCCCATAAACTTCCTCTATCATAAGTTGACTTAACCATACCCGGGGATGAATCACAGTTATCAAAGTCGAGGATCCCATTCATCAGAATACGGTCATCTCGAGGGAAGCTCTCCAGGCAATTATCATCGCCAAGGGTGCCGTAATTACTGTAATTGGCTGATGCGCTTAAGTGTGACTGGCTCGATAAGCCTGCCAATTTAGGGCGTGGAGATTGCATCGTATGAGTGCCAATGAACCAAAAGGGTTATTAAGGTTTGAGTGCCTTTTGGCATATCCAACAATAGCATGGAATTTAGAGATTCCCGGGTTTCTCCATTGCATAAAGTAAGCTGTCGTTTGTTAGTTTTGTGATTATTGTAACCCTAACCTTACGGAATTGCTATTTTCTTCTCTTTTATCCATCACAATTTCACATCATCAACAGAATCTCTCGACCGGGCTATTGACTCCGATGGTCAGCGATAGCAGACGCGCAAAAAGGAGACATCACTAGGGCCTTGTCCGTATTCCAAGCCGATTGGTGACAATCACCTCGGGTCAAAGAAAAAGGCGCCTCCTGTTGACTGATTGGGGCCCATTACAGGGATCGGAGAAGGCGGTCCGTGGTTGCATGACCACGGCCTGTCACATACATTGCCAAGCCTGGCATGCTTAACTCTTCGCTTGTAAAAGAACGAGATATTGAGTAGCTAGTCTTACGCCCGTAAGTTGTGAGTCATTCATTGGCTCCAATAAAAATAATTATTAATCAGATGCAAACATAATGCTTGCTCGATGAGCGCTGATCCCTTCCCTGTGAAGCAGTGGTGTAGTCATCTACATTGTTTGCACATCTTGCTAGATGGTATTTCAGTTCTATTTTTCAATTCAAGTAACATGCAAATAACAAGGAAATCCCGCCTCGCTTTCTCGGGTTTGCATGTCTGTTTTGCTTCATCCTTTTCAATACATTCAAAAATTCGCCGAAATGACGTCCACCAGCTCTGAAGCAGTCCATGATACAGAGGCCATTCCAGCAGTAGAGGCGCTAACTAATGGCGAAAAGAGTGGCATCCCAGCAGCTCCAGTTGAAAGCAAAGAGTTATCCCCACGGAATGTCCACGGTATTAGTGTATGAGTCGATTTCTTTTTGTGGGTGTCTGTTCAAATGCTAATCCAGCGATTAGTGGGTGATTGCTGTTTCTGCTATTCTTTCATCAACATTCCTATTCGCGCTAGATAATACTGTGGTAGGTGGAAGTTTTCTTCCCGGTTATTTTTAAATACTTTTTCAATTTTATGTTGATTATTATTCTTCATATACCCACTAAATGAATTTTTGCGTAGGTCGCTGACGTTCAACCCGCAATTCTGAATACATTTGGACAAATTGAAGACCTGCCATGGTTGGGTGTCGCCTTTGCTCTTGGTGGTATCGCAATCCTTCCTTGGTAACCCGACCTTTCCAATTGCCGATTGAAAGTCTTATGATCTGAAACTTACACTGTTGCAGGGGCAAAGCATACACGATCTTCAACATCAAGTGGGTGTACATCACCACCGTGGTTCTCTTTGAAGCCGGAAGTGCACTATGCGGGGGAGCCCCAAATATGAATGCTTTAATTGTTGGTCGAGCGCTTGCGTAAGTAGAAGGGTGGCTATGGCCAAGCCAAGTGAATACAACTGGCTTCTGAATGGAAATGTTGGGCTTACATGCTTTGATAGTGGCCTTGGAGGGTCCGGCATGTATTCCGGATGCTTGACATACTTGTCGGTTACCACAAGCACTCGCGAGCGACCTCTGTATATGGCTCTAGTGCTTCTAGCCTGGGGTGTGGGCACGGTCCTGGGACCCGTTATTGGTGGTGCTTTCGCTGATAGTAGCGCAACGTGGCGATGGGTAAGTAGCTTTAATTTTTGATTAAGCAAAATTATTTTGTCGGATCTAACATTAGTCATAGTCTTTCTATATCAACCTGGTCATTGGTGCTATATTTTCACCTGCCTATTTTTTAACGTTGCCGAACATCGACTTTGGGGCGAATCTGTCTCTTTCCCAAAAGCTAGTCCGAATAGATTGGATTGGTATTGTCGTTTTCTTCGCTGGTGCTACCTGTTTAACCATGGCCATTAGTTTTGGAGGTACTACATATGCCTGGAACTCCGGGTCCGAGATCGCTTTTTGGGTTGTTTCTGGGGTCTTGTTAATTGTCATGGTGTTGATAACCATACGGCCCATTTTGGTGTCGAAGGCAGATCGCCTGTATCCGGGTCACTTTGTGCGCCAACCGGAACTTGTCAACTTGCAGATCCAACTTTTCCTCGTCACAGGTGTCATGATGGGAACTGCTTACTATATCCCCTTATACTTCCAGTTCGCCAGAGAGGACTCGGCATTGAGGGCGGCTGTTCGCCTGTTACCCTTCATCGCAATGGCTGTCTGCTTTTGTGTAGTAAGCGGAGCACTGATGCCTAAACTTGGCTACTATATGCCCTGGTACACCTGGGGTAGTGCCTTGGTGCTGATCGGTTCAGCACTGATGTATACAGTCGATGCAAACACATCGCCATCCCATGTATATGGATACACCGTTCTTCTCGGAATCGGAGCCGGATCTTATCTACAGGCAGGGTATGCCATTGTCCAGATGCTAGTTCCGCCAGAGGAGGTCGGCAATGCAGTCGGATTTATGAGCGTCTCTCAAGATCTAGGCATTGTTTTCATCCTCGCCGTGGCCGGCACCGTCTATCAAAACCTGGCGTTGAAACGGCTCACCCCTCTTCTCGCTGATCTATCAGCCGCTGATGTGAGCCAGGTAATTGCCGGCACCAGCAATTCCGTCTTCAAGTCCCTCGATCCTAGTCTTCAGTCAAAGGTCGTGAACGAGATTACGAAATCCATGAGTGCAGTTTGGGCAGTTTTAATTGGTGTTGGAGCTTTGTGTTTCATTCTCTCCCTTTTCTTGAAAGTAGGTTTAACCTTTTCATTTCACGAGATTTCTATTTCTCTTCCCTTAGGCAAGTACGTGCACTAACACCCGATCTTTTACAGCGACAAAGAGCCTGGCCAAAAACCGCCTAGGACCAAGCCTGACGTCAACTTCGTTATTATTATCTGACTACATGTGAAGCAGACCTGATATAATCAAACTTGTGGCATCCATATCCTGGTCTATATATGTACATCTATGTAACTTTCTGACCTAATTGCATTTTATTGGGGCTATTTTGCCTGGGCGTTTGTTAGCTTCAAATTATCCGTTTGCTTTTCTGTTGAAGCTATTCTAGAGAAAATCCTTCTATTTGAGCACCTAAAAATGGCAGTATTGAGAGGAATTAGTTTTCTGCAAAGAAAATTACTCCAGTTTATATCAATCCTTTCTCTTCAGTGGTTGATATCCCAAACAATAAAGGTGTGGTACTAGAATTCTAGGCTGTCTAATACTTCTATTAATGGAGATAACATAACGGCCATTATACTTTTATACCCTCCAAATACTTCTCCTTCTAGCAATATTTGTGTAATTATTGTACAATTTGGGCTCGGTACGCATTTGTTTAAATGTATGGGACAGTAATATCTTGGGTTTCAGGTTCTGAAACAGATTTTTCTGTATTGGACATCCACCGATATGGACCGATATCGCATATGACTACAGGTGGTCTACATTCAGGCACTTTTCAAAAGAGCTTCTGGATATATGTCAAGCTTGGATTACTGCCAAGTAGCTTAATATAATAGCCTCAAAATAACTATGAGAGAAAAGTATATTGGTCAAAGGCTTAAAGCGCGAGAGCTTGGGACCATATTAATACACTCTCCTGCCAATATTCACGTCGAGACCATCTAGTTCATGTCGCAACTTGGAATGACCTCAGAGATACGCGACTCGACCGTGATGGAAAAGGGGTTCTGGGTAACGATAAAGCGACCATTTCCTACAAAGGTCTTGTTCTCTAGGTGCTTGTACTTGGGGTTACCGGTCTCGAAGGTATGGACGGTGGCTGTTTTGTTCCTGTTAGTCTTTTGCCCTTTTATTTATGACACGAAAATCTTAAAAGATATACTCACAGGAGATACCAAACGGGAATGTCTTTGCGTTGGGGTCTTGCTCGAACATGTCCAGAACAGGCTTGCTAGCTCTGGCAACACCAGTGTAGCCGCAGTTGAGAATCTGTTCATATTTTCGTTAGATATTTCTATTTATGATCCCTTATGCAGTTATCATGTTGACTGTGTCTTACAACTCCGTCATTGGTCCTGCAAGCATGAGAGCGATTAGTAAATATTCACTCCATCAATCTACGACAGTACTCACCTAGCCAGTAGCTTCAGCTGAGGGCGAGCGTGTCCATTATCAGGGTCAAATAGAAGCCAGTCAGACCCATACTCGACATTGGCCTCGACTGGGTGGTCGTACCCCTCAGCGGTTGTAAGGGTACCAGAGCCAGTTTCCTAGAAAGTCGGATTAGGTAAAGGGCACCAAACCAGGAGAAGACAAATAAGAATACACACCCAGTGGATGAGATTGCTTCCACCAACGATTGTTCCTGCCAGGAAAATAAATTAACTTTGGTTCGCTTTCACTTTCGCCGTCTATCCAGATTTCTACTCACCGACAGGTCTTCCGGTCGTGACGTTAATCTAAGGCATATTAATTATCCACCCCCTCACGAAGAGTTATAAAAAGCCAGAAGAGTAGCTCGCGTTGTAAACTAACCTTGAGGATATAGGCAGGCTTCAATCTTGGGTAACCTGAAAGGTTCTTGATTTCACGTTCCGTCGACAAGGGCGAGAGATTGGTAAAAACTGGTGCGGCCATTTTCGTCAAAGGATACTTCTGTGTTAATCAAATCTGAATATTTTTTCTTCTTTGTTTGTGCCTGTGAGTAAAAACACTATGAGAAAGGATGGGTTTTTAAAGGAAGAATTAACCTCGTCTTATAGACGCGCAATTAAAACTTTCGTTCGCTAGCAACACTTTCCCCATTTCCCTCCATCTTGTGTCTATGCGACAATATTCTCCCGGTGTTGACTGTTACAAAGCAAAGGAAATTTGAAATGAAAGAGAAAGTCGAAGCGGGGATCCGGAGCGAAAAATAGACCAGGGATCGGAGCGGACGGCCGACACGGAGAGGATATCGTGATTAGGGCTCGCTTCATGCAAGGACGGACCTTCTCGCCGACCAACGCATTTTCCAACAATAAAAAAAAGAAGAGAAAAGAATAACGAATATTTTTTTGAACTCTTACATGTTTTCTTGAACCATTTTATCTCAACCTCTTTACAGTTATTCTTTCATCGCCGCTCCGTCTTGCCTTCTTTTCCAACACGATCTCTGCAACACCCATACCGGGCAGCACAATGATTTCCCGTCGATTCCTTTCTTCAATTACTACAGCCCTCTTTGTCAGTGCATTTGGTGCGCCTGTGGACACATCCGATTGTGCTGTGAACAAAGATGCATGTTCCTGTCCCTCAGACACGACATTTTACGAATGCACTACCACTGCTGTGATTGGTGCCGCATTGGAGGATGTCCAGGCCCTCACGGGTGATTGTATGTAAACTTTTGAGAAATTTCATATCATTAAATCCCCGCTAAGCGGTGCTGAAAATTAGTCTTCCATACCGAATGGATGGGTCTTGCACCCGAAAGCACCAATGGCGAGGATAATGTGCTCGGTTCTACTCGAACATTGACCGTTCCAACGCAAAAGGGCACATACCAGTTCACTGAAGAGGTACTCTTTTTTCGTTTGGTGAGAAGAAACATTATTAACTAATGAGAACAGCTTATCACACTCGATCGTAAAGGCGATGGCTCGTATACTCTGATGTTCAAGCAACAAAATGGTTAGTATAACTACTACATTTCTTCCAATAGGCAAATATCAAACTTTGCACTCATACTTGGCAAATAGTTCCTGTTCGATACGATAAACAACATGGACCTGGATCGTTCTCAGGATTCTGGGTCACTCGCAGTTCTCACTATGGCGGTCCGTATCGCACAAAAATGGTCTGGAATGTATACGCCTGTTTAACTGGAACCGTGGGTACGTGTATCCAACCCATAGATGAAGGCCTTTTGTGTTCAAAACTAAATCAATATCGCTTGCAGGATTTCCCGAATTCCACCGGTTAGCACTCAACAACGCAACGGCGACGCTTCAAATGCTTGGAAAGATCAAGGGCGTTAGCGAGCCTCCGCACTCGGATTGCCAACCCTCGGGAGATTTCATGCAAACTTCTGATTCGTTTTACATTTATGACGAGTCAGCGGAGATACACCAAGGGCTGCGAATCCAGGTTGATTTTAAGAAACAAATAAATGGCTAATAGTACTCACGGTGTTGCGTGGGGGTTTTTCCATAGTTATTTTTTTCCTCGAGAGAGCGTTCGAATGTTGTTATCAATACTTAGCCATATATGTAGCTCCTTTTAACATGAGTTGGGTTTCTTCTGGGGAGCTATACATGGACATACGTTTCTTAATTAAGCTAATCAGTCAATAAGTAAGTCTTTTCAATTGGTTAAGTGAAGATATTCAAGCTCACCCCGCGGCAACCCAAACACAGGGCCCTCCTAATTAGGTCGCTTTACCTAACAAATTCCAATAACGCGCGTTCCATAAAATCTTACAACGGTTCTATTGGTTTCTGGCATCTTTGTATGCATTTTACCATAAGATAACCTATAAATGAATATTCATCTTTTACTCGTTTTTTAAATAATCATAACAGTTCAGTTGAATGCTGTCAGATCTGGGCGCTAATTCTTGCCCTAACTAACATCTAAATGCTTACTATCCGTATTCTATAGATTCCCCTAAAAATATATTAAATTAAAACAGAAATACTTTAACCAATTAACAAGGCTTATATATTCGATACATTGACCAAATTAGGAAAGGAGAGGTGTAGGAAGGCTCAGGTGGCATGCATGGAACATTTCCCCACTTTATGCATTCCTTTCTTCATATCAACCTCGGACAACAGTCCCGTCTCTCCGTGCCGTTATAGACATAAATATTAACTGAAGGCTCTGTTCCAGTTGCTCTACAAAGAGAAGACTAGCTACTGAACTTTTAAATAATTGAAAAATTGAATAATTGTGCTGGATAAAATACCAACATCATGCCTGCCATCACTGACGAAATTTATATCCTTGATCGGAATATAATAGAATCTGCGAGGTGGGGATGATCCTGCGAGACTGATGTATATCAGCAGCATAAAAGAGACGTTAACATGTATGATGGACAGACTCGACGAACAACATGCTTTTTTCGTGGACGTGATTGGAGGAAATCTCATTCACCCTTCAATTACGCAAGATAACCTTTTCGCTATTGCAGATATTGCAACTGGCACCGGGTAGGTTTCCACTAACACCAAAAAGGGAAAATAGCTAATGTGTGTAAGTGCCTGGCTGCGAGACGTGTCTCAACTGCTTCCTACAAAACAGCCAACCCAAGATAGTCCTCAGCGCTATTACCATGGATTCGATATTTCATCGGCCCAGTTTCCCGAAAAACCATTTCAATCCAACATGGAATTCTCGGTGCATGACATCCTACAACCGTTTCCCCAAGAGCACGTGGGCCGATACGACTTTGTGAATGTGCGCTTCTTGCTTGGTGCCATTAAGGAAGCTGACTACATGAAGGCAGTTATCAACGCCACATCCCTTCTCAGTTGGTCTTCTTGCTTTCCTTCAATGAGTGGCAAAACACTAATATAAACAATTTAGAGCCAAAGGGGTATTTACAGTGGGCCGAGCTTGACGCGGATCTTTTCTCTCAGAACAAGCCCGAAGAGTTCCCGCGCTTTAGCGAAATCGTCCGCTTGGTTTTTGCTCTGGATCAAAATGGACTGTGCAGTCATGCGTCTGACGCCGTCTACTATGCGGCACTTTTCTCTTCGGGCCTCACCAGCATCACTAAGCATGTTTACAGTTCATTGGATAACCCAAAGCTGGATGACAAAGCCCGTGTCTGGTGTGTCAATGGTTTTGGCGCCCTTCTGCCTGGCGGTCTGGTCCGATCGAAGACCTTGGCGGCGACAAGTAGCCCAGAGGAGGTCAACGAGATGACCGAACATCTATTACAGGAGGTGAAAGAGTTATTTGCACGTGGAGTAGTGCCAGATGGACATTTTGCCGTTGTTGTGGGCCAAAAAGGGCCGGCATAATTGGTCTAGATTAGAATTAGATCATAGAAGGTTACATGTTTATTGATACATTATTCGTATTGTTAGCCAATAATAATACTTCTTCTTTGCTACGCAACCCTGCCACCCCCCTTGTGTTGGATGCCAGCCTCAGTATTATGCTTACCGACAGTTTCCATTTTCAGCAAGTCTGTATGCAACCAACAAGCAGACACGGACTTGGCGAGATAAGAAACGGGACGGCATGTTGGTAAGCATCAGTATTAATACTACGCCAATATTACATGATGCATTTAACTGTGCACTAGCCTAGCAGGTCGCACTGACACTTCCTCGCCTCCATCGATGCAGCAGCGGGGAGGAGCGGGTGGGTCGGGGAGCCTAAATTAGGGCCCTCCGCCTCCGGGTCTCCCCCGTACTATACTCGCGAGTCAGCTGGTGGGACGGAGTGGAATCCTTGGCCATAACACAGCACAATATGGGTAGCTCCATGCAGAAGCTCTCTACTATCAACAACTCGACCATCGAGATCATTACAATCAAAGCCTAAAACAAATATTGTCCTCAATCTGCCATGTAATCCCAGTTTTCCCTTACCTCTATTATTGTTTGTCCGGATTTTGACCTCGTATCGACCTTTGCAAGTTACAATATGCCTATCAATGAAACATCTCGTCTCCTACGTCGATCCTCCGAGGAGGGGAGACCACCAGTAGGGAATGGTCACACTAGTATCAAAACTGGTCCAAATTTCAAGGCCATCTTCCGAATCTTACGGCCAGGCTTCACAAAAAAATACAACTTTTGGCTATGTAAAGTACCTTCTCGGTTTCCAGATATGACAATTATGCTAATAACTTATTCTAAACAGTCTCAGTTTTTGGCTTCTTCATGGCCCTTTTCTGTTTTGCACGACTTAAGTATCTATCCACAACCGTTTTAGAAGCCGAGCTTACGCCGGGCGATTGGTACTGGTTCCGCGATGGCACATTGCACATTGGATTCATGCTGCACCTTGCCACCATGTTACCAGCCGGACTCTTGATGATCTTGCAATTTGTTCCTCGTATTCGGTACAGGTTCATGCTATTTCATCGTCTCAACGGCTATGTCGTGATCATCCTGGCATTGATTGGCAACGTAACGGCCATGATCATTGCCCGCCACGCCTTTGGTGGTGATATGGGATCTCAAACATGCACCGGCTTTTTAGCCCTTGCCTCAACAGTCGCCATGATGTTAGCATGGTGGAATATTCGGTGCTTGCAGATTGATTTGCACCGCGCATGGATGCTGCGCGCTATGTTCTGGATGGGATCTATTGTTAGCACACGAGTCATCATGCCACTCATGTCCATCATCCAGACGGCACTAGGCGGTTATTTTGTTGCCTGGCCATGTGATGAGATTCGATTCATCCTGGCCGATCGCGAAGACTTGATGATGTCCCAGTTCCCGCAATGTCTCATGCCCAATGGCACGACTAGCGGCTGGGTTGCGGTGGAGGGTGATTTGGACTTTTCGAATCCAGTCGGATTGGGCGCAATTTTCAACAGTAATTTTGGAGCGGCGGTAAATCTACCTTATATCTTCCTTTTCATATTTTGTTACTACCTTTGACTGACTGGATTGTGATATCAGTTATGGCTCGCGTTGATTCTACACATGATTGGTGTGGAGATTTACTTGGCCATGACACCAATAGAGAGCGAGAGACTTCGCAAGGTAAGCTACGAACGACAACTAGCTGCTGGTTATGAAAACCCGGGTAATTGTGGTACAACTGTGTCAAAATGGGGAGATGTTGGTCCTAGGGAACCCGCTTGATCAGGACCACCTAGACTAGACCGAAGAACAGATTATCTGGCCACTACTTTTTTTTCTTTTCCTTTCTTCTTTTTCAGTTGCTGTTATAGCATAAAAGATCCTTTTGTTTTGACTCATTTTTCGTATTATAATCTTCTATTTTATGTCTCGGTTCTATGGTATAGAACACAATCATCGAATCTACTCCATCACAATACTACATTTAGACTAAAAGCCAAATTTCCAATCCAGCCTCGCCGCGTCTTTGGCGTGCATCAGCTCTACCACCAACCCAACGAGAAAATGGAATTGATAGCATAACCACCGAAGAAAAATACAGTAAAAATCATACGGTGAACACCCCACGGAAATATTATCAAATGTCATTGCCGTAACACCCCCGCAGAGGTCGGTCTCCATGATGAAGAGATCTTATGCAGCTGCTCTCCAATACCGGTGATCGTCTCATCCCAGGATCCTGAATCATCGTCTAATTCATTCATGGTTTCATGCAGTATTTCTAAAGTACCATGTAGACGTCGTTGATTCTTGCCCGGGTTGCTGCTATCAAGTAGTTGACTCAGGATTTGTGCGGCCAATGTTAGAGACCAGAGAATGAACGAATTGGCCTGTTTCATGATATTCATCTAGAATTGGTTGTTAGTAAAGGATAATTTGGGATGTAGAAGATCGTACATTATACGTATCCTTCGAGTGCATTTGGTGCAATACAGAAGCCATTTGCACTGCAGCACCTTCGCACCGCCGATCTGTCTCTTCTTTCAACGAGTCCGGCACCGCGTCGCTAATGGACTGTTCAGCAGCAATCTTATGAAGATAAATACTGACAGCATAAAAGTTCAGGTATACAATCAAAATTGATGCATCGCATGGCACGATAGCATTGCTTCGTCGCGGTTGTTGTTGTTGTTGCTGTTGGGTTAGTTGTAACTGTTGCTGTTGCTGTGCCTGGAGCTGCTGAAAAAGAAAATGAGAAACGACTTGAAGCTTCTTGTCAATGGCGAAATGCTGCACCCAAAATGGGTATTTGCCGCCTTCTTCTACTTCTAAGGGGCTGGATGTTGCAGATGAATTTCTTCTATGTTGTTGTTTTTGGACGATCCTTCCATGGCGGTTGCATATCGCTCCTAATCCACATACAATTGCTAGCCCAGCGAAAGTGGAAACTGGGGGAAGCGGATTATCCGTATCGCAACATATTGCCTCGTTCAGACGGATCACTTTTTCGACAGTATGAAATTCTGGAGATGGGGCGGTAGAAGGGAGAGAAGTAAAGATCTCGGACAAGTCAATTAGGGTTTTGGTAAAGTCGGGAAAAGAAACTCACATCATCGATGCCAAAGCTGATAGATGAATTGGTGCGATTACAAGCCCACGCATCCAATATGTATGCTACCCAAAACGTTCGTCTTCTCTCCTCGATCTCGGCCAAGCTAGTAGCTTTCTGGAGGGGAAGTTGGAATGCCGGGCCGGCAGTTGAATTATATGTTGACGCCTCCATGTCCATTTCATGCAATCCCATCAGCTTCGTCAGTCGCAATGCACGCCCAAGGCTCATCCATCCTCTCGCAAAGTCCTGTCGTTTGAATTCGTGGTAGGTAATCAGTAGCATCGCCTGCAGGGCATGGATGCTCAAAAAGCGAACACCCGGATACTCCCGCTCAGCATCTTCCAAGCATCGTCTTGCGTGGTGATGGCATGCAGAAACAAGATCATCATTATCCTTGCTAATTGCAGCACCCACCATGGCAATTGCATAAATTAGACAGTTGACCTCAGGAGTTTGACTGGTGCCATCCTCGAAGGCTGCAATGGAGCGATTACGATCAATCATTGGCATCAATGGGTGTACATAGTCAAAGTACTGCCGATGTCTACAGGAAAATATGTGAGTTTTGGATTTTTGGCTGAGGAAGGAATTATGAACATACGGCTCAACCAGAGTTTCCGGTGCTATGGACAAATCCCACTCTGGATGGATCGGACAAGACATCAAGTTGGCCAATGAATGCTTTGGCGAACCATATTGAATATTTTCTGGACTGGACATGGCCATATCTGGAGAAGGGAGTGAATCGGGATGAAAGACATGATCTGGGTCACGGTCATTTTCGACTTGACTTTATTTCGTTTATTAGTCCTCTTATCAATTTCAATTGTCTTTTCTTGTATAGAATGAAAGAGGAAGAAGACAAAGGGGTTGCACATACAATTCGTCAAGTGTCTGCTTCATCATCTCACAGCTGACATCTATGCCACCGAAAGACGATGGATCGAGACTAAGGTTCATGCCCGGTATATCGCTGTAGCTTACCTCTGGGTATTGGGTCATGGCTTGGCCAGTCTCCAGCCAGTTCAAGGAAGGATAACTGCTAGGATCTATAAAGGGACTGGGATAGGCCATTATGCTACTCTGTCCGAAAGCCAGCCGTGCTTCAGCCTGGGCTAATGACAGCAAAATGGGCAACGTTCGTCAAAAAACAGTCGGTACAATCTAGGCATGTATAAGGAGACCAGTCCATACCGATTCGTGAATCCAGCTTCATCAAGGCCTGCGGCACATCAATTGAATTACTCTTGGTGGACGGTGTGTAATGACATTTGTGTCTCAGGCGGAGACATCGGCCACATTGTGGATAGCTGCGGTCGCAGCGCACCTTGCGTTCTCTGCAGACATCGCAGGCTGTTCGTCGAGACTGGCTGGTGCGGCCATCCTCGTCGTCGTTATTCACGGCAAAAGTTGCGTTACGGCCAGGGTTTGTTGATTTCATCGTCAATGCTCCTGCGAGTGCCAATGACAATATCAATTGATCAATATGTATAAAAAATGTTGGAGTAGAAATTTATAATCTATGGGTGATCCTCTTCCAACCACCTGTCTAGGGGTGTGAGAAAGCTCACCACAGTACATTGAAGAAAATATATGCGGCTGTCGATGAATGTCATTCTTCGCCTCCGCGCCATGCACACTGCATAACGGCGTCATGCACGACCCCAGTCCGGGCTAGTCTCGTCAAGCACCGGTTTTCTTGGCTATACTGTGTCAGCCATCAGCCATCTTGCACTCAACTAGCTCCCAACATGCATGGGAACATGGGATGTACGTATCTCGAGCTAAGCAGACCATATGGAAACGAAAGCATTGTTGGCCGCTGCACCGCCCATTATTGCGTGTTATCACATCAGCATGCCCTGAGAGCGCCAAGCCCGGCAGAAAATCATTCTGCCGCCCCACTGTGACGCGGATCTTACGCCGAGGCCGTGCCATGCGCGTTTCCATTGGCCACAACGGCTGCGGAGATACTACCTCTGCAAGGGCGGAAGCTAAGGCGGTGAACAACATTGCTAAGGGCTGACACATGCAACAGACGAAAACACGTAGTAATAATTAATATTGTCACCCTTATATGACACCTATGGATACGATGCAGCTGCAGCTTTGGCAGACGTCAGCAGCTATCGGCGAATCTCGCAAAAAAAATGCATCCCCCGATATTATGAGACTAGTTTTCAAGGCTAGGGCTTTCGCTAAAACGTGCATACCCACGCCCCTCCGTTAGGGTAGATTCAGAGTAACATAAGCATAAGTTGCTGACACATAGGGCGAGATGGAAACACAGTCGTCAAATCACCGCGTTGTCTCAGAGGTGCAGCTTGACCACCACCCCGCCGCTATATCTTACTGCCTAAACTGCGCTTCAACCCGCAATTCTGGCGGGCGCCGACATATTCCATGCATCCTCCTCCTTCGGTGTCTCATGCCGTTGTCTAGGGCCAACTCTCTTCGTTGATAGACCCGCACCATTGGCGAGACCATACCGGTCCGGCCGGGATTGACACCTGATGGTTGCTGATCGCCTATTTTTAAAGTCGACGATTATTGAGCGTTGTTTACGCGGGCGTTACCACTAACACTTTAACAAGACCACCTCAAATTAGGGCCGCAGCCATTAGAAACACGCTATAAAAAAGGCGCCTACTCGACATATGTATGGCCTAGGCCAGTAGATCTCGACTGTAGGATTGGGGAGCAGCACCAGCCACATGGGACAAGACCGTCGATCGATGCCGAGTGAGTAATTTGATCCTTTTATGTCCATGCGCACGCCGCAATTGGCTGCGGCCAGAAGATAGGCGTAATGGGTGCAGGAGGCCACTGCTCATTCCGTATAAACATGCAACTAAAATGGTGCTTACCAAATAACACCCGTTCGCCTTCCTAATCAGTGTCTGTCGTCGCGACTTGCCCTTGGCGATCGCGTAGAACGACAGGCTCGTTTATTCGGTGGCACAACCAGTTGCAGCAAAGATCTTCCCTCGCTCAGAGACCAGTAGAAATCTATTTTCTCATTAGCGCTGTTTACATAACCATTACATACGTAAGTGACCCTCCAGATACAGATCGTACAAGGGTCTCTCTCGATACCCTGATTTTAGTAGGCTAACCCCACCAACACTTTTCATGCAATCAGTTTATCACAGACCTCAGGACGAATTGATTAAAATTGGTCATTTAACCCGGATTAATGGAACTATCTGGAAGCATGCTACCCCAGTAGTTTTAAGTTGTGGTGGTGCCACGCCCACTGGATACACCTAACTAGGGCAGTGCTTCTTTAAAGACATTGATAAGCATATGAAGGCCATCCAATTATGGTTAGAACCTACGCTATAATAGGCTTCTCGGCAAATCCTACGGAAACACGAAATTAAGCATCATGAGCAGAGCTAATTAGACGCTCAGCAGCATTTTCAAGGTGTATCCCCGTGGCGGGGACCAGAACAAAACGAAAAGTAAGCATTAGAGCCGTCTGAATCAGCAACGAGTGGACTAGTAACATATATCCTTCTTGGAGTCTGCTTTTAATTACTTATATGCCTTTTACGTACTGCACTGCGTCATCTTCATGTCCACAGGCAGCAACAACTCGAAAAATGATCAATATTACCTGCACTTCATAAGTATCTACTCCCAAAATAGAATCAAATTCTTCATGGCCGGTCTCACTGGGAGGAGCCATCGGTCAAGCTAGTCACCCAGCTGGGGACACCCTAGATGCCAGAATTTCGTCAGGGCCACGCCGGATTACTCTGTCTACCCAATTTTTCAGACTCGCATATTGCGCGGGTAAGATTCCTGTGCCTCCGTAAGCACGATACATATCCCAAGGAGCAATCAAATAACCACAATCATGTCATCCCAATTTGCGCACAGGCTATGCAGCCACCAGCATCCTCCATATTGCGTTATCGTAAAGTTTGTTGATAAGCGGGTGAGAACATGAGAACCACCCAGATCGTCGCATGTCTGTATGTAAGACCAACGCCTTGGACGAGTTTAGCGGTAGAGGATTAAAGCCAGCTTATAGCGTCCATCGGTTAAAAGTAACATATCTAAATACATGGAAGGTAAAACAGAGGACTCTAATTTTTAACTCTTTCTCCCTTTGATATTGATCTGTCGAACCAATTCCCATGCCGCAAGGATTGAATACTGAGTTCTTCGCTTTCCATCACTTCTGCGTAACCGAGGCTGATTTGATGACAATGTGGCTTCTTAAGACCACTTAGCTGGATCTTACCGACCAGGTTTTGGCCGAATTCGTCATTGGCTTTCCCAAAGGGAGACGTGAAGCTGAAGACTAGCTTGATCTCTTGAGTTGCCCTCAATAGTGGTGCATCTGGGCTAACAAGCTGGACTATAGAGCTTTCGATGATTTTTCACTGCAGTCCATGATGATTCAGATGATGATGTATCTTCTAACCGGGCATCGCAGATCTCGCCGTTGTATATGTCGCTCTATACAACTGCACTTGGAGGTGAGAGCCATGATTCATCTAATTTGATATATAGACTACCCTCTCCAGTTTCAAAGTCAAACTTCAAGCTGTGACATAGTAGCTAGGTGGTCTCCAAAGCGAAACCGTCTACCTCCAGCCTAGTCGAGACTACCGGCATACCACCCTGGTTCTATTTTGGATGGTGCCACTTGGAAAGTTTAAATGGTATTGAGAACATCCAACAGAGAGCACTGTCTGTTTCAGCCAGGTCATCAGCATACTAGTTGGATAAAGCTTCCGCATAGGTTGTTTCTAGGCGACGTTAGAAAAAAGGCTAGCAGGCTATCAGGTCCTTTTCTTCTCTTCTATCGCGAGATTATTGTTATTTGAGAGCACTGTATTTCAATGCCTCGGTTCCTTAGTAGACTACGTATTGTAAGTTTGTATCGTGTAGCATATATCTACAGCGAGAACTCTTTGTAAACACCAAAGACTGGCTACCGCTGCCCTGCTCTTTGCTAAATGACGCCTATGTCCGGCATTTTCCTGCAACAAATTCATGTTAATACTTGTTTTGATCGATTGATTATAATTCTTTTTGACATGTAAAATTATTTTTGGGACTCGACGATGTATGATACCGCCCGAGACTTAACCAGGATTCCCGAGTTAGCTGACTCTTCGGTACATTTCGAAAAGCATCGGGATGATTCGGGTTGTTGAAGATTCGTGCCACAAATTAGTTACAGATTATTATAACTAGGCATCCATTTGGTTTAGCTCTCTTTTACGACGGTAGCTAATCGGCCAAATCAAAATAATTCAAACCCCTCAAGAGTTAACGCCTTTACCACAGCTCTATATACATTTGGTCCGCCGGAAGTACCTTTACAGCTCCTTCTTCAAGAAGTGCTCTGGCTTGTGGGTAGTTTCATAGTCGACATGCACATACGCACGTTCGATGTCTGGTAGTGATTCGAGTTTGATTTGCAGCTCTTCGGCAACGTCATGTGTGGCCATGAGAGAAGCAGACGGGTCCATAACTACGTCGACTTCAACCAGCAACCGCGGCCCGGATGTATAAGCACGGACTGTGTCGATAGCATTGATCATAGGGGAGTGCGTCATAGCTGTTATGCGTCAGTCTAGCTCAAACAAAAAGGAAACAGGAGGCAAGATATGATGGACTTACAGATATACGTGATGAGCTGCTGCATTTGTGTATCCGCAGTGACTCCAATGAGGAGCTGGAATTCCGAATAGGCCGTGCGCAGCCACAGGAATGATACCAGAACTGACAAAATCACAGCTCCCATGGGGTCAATCCACCATCGCAGCTTGCTACCGCCAACCGACGTAAGGATACCGAATCCGTTGATGAAGAGATCATTACGATGATCCTCCCACAAAATCCGAACCTGAGAAAATTGATTGCGCAGCGCCCAGCAGTACAGGAAGAGCGAGAACTTGGTGGCAAAGGCAACTGCGACCGCAATAACGGATGGAAGATGGAATTTACTGGTCTCTTCATCGCTTCCCTGGCTCAATTCCCTCACAGCAAAGGCGATGATGATGAATGAGACAGCAGTCATGAGAAAGCAAAAGCAAATATTACCCGCTGTCTCAATCCGGGCCTTACCGGCAGGGAACTTGCGCGGATCGACACGAGATACAGCCTTATTGGATAGCAGAAGAGTCAAGTTCGACATGGGATCGAATATGGCGTCGGCCATAGTGGTGAACAGGGACAACGACCCGGATGAGACAGCACCGTACACCTGGATGACCGAAAGGACGATATTTGCCATGAAGCTCCCCCAGACGGCAATTTTATACTTCATCTGATTTTGCTTGTTGAGTTCTTTAGCTACACGCACATGTTCCTCGACTGGCGTCAGAAATCGTTCAATATTCTCATTCTGCGTTTCGTAGAATTCTTGCAGTTTGCCTGAACTAGTCAACCTAATCCGATTCGCGATAAACGACGGTGTGATTTTGTCTCGTTTTCGAGAGGTGTTGGCTTTGATCTGTTTGATTTCCTCGGCGGTTTTGATCTTTGAAGCAAGCTGGAGCGGGTCGTTGATCGGAGTATACCGAGGAGGGAGGCTACCTTCTTCGTCAAGCGGAGTGATCACCCTCCCTGGCAAACTCGGGTCACGACCTTCTATCACAGTCAAAACGGGGGTAGATCGAGAGGGAGATCCTCGGGCGGACTGGGATTGGAAGGGATGGGGGTGGAGAGAAATGGCATGGCGGAGATGAGGGTCGTCCATATCTTTTTCAGCGAATATGTCACCGGTAGTGTTGCTGTCGAATACGGTATATCGATATGCAACGTAGTATGCAAGTATTTATGATGTAGAAACTCTCCCCACAGAGTGTCTGATTGACCCACGAATAAATCACCGTGTAGGGGGAAAGATTGCAGGCATAAAAGCATCCAAAGCAGTCGGCGGTGAAGTGACGAAATTAAGCAAAGCCCCGGTGAGAGTTGACTCAGCGAAGACCTCCACCAAGGCCCAGCCAATCAGCTGCGGCGACGGCTCGTAGCTTCCTTGGCCCATCTTCTGCCTCAGAAATCAGGCACACCTCACTCTTGTATACTAATTAACCTCAGATATCCTTGGATAGATGTGATCATAGGGCTGCCTAAGGCATTTGGTCACGTGTGAAGCAAACCCTGAGTCCGCCTTCATGTCAAATTTGTCCCCTCCCTGTTTTCCTCCATAGTTACTCGGTCAACTATTCAAATCACACGGTTGAAGCATCTACATGTGTTCTATCCCATATCAAACCCGTATTTCCAACAACGTTCGGCAATTTATTCCTTATCCTTTGTGCCAAGCAGCGTTTCTCTGGGTACAAATCAAGAATGACATCTTGCGAGCGATTGTCACTATTCAATACATCAGACCCATGGACAATACAAAGAGCTCCAGCATTCCTAGTATTGATATGAGGATGGCTCCTTTACCCAATCTACGGAAATGCTCTACGATGTATATAAAAACAAAATAGCACTTATTATTTTACTGCAATTCATTACCAATATACTTATCACACCACCGGCCGATTCTTAGTGCCATATCGACCCAATACTTCTGCTCCTCAAAAAAGTGACCTTGGTTGGGATAAATAACCAGTTCGAATGGCAGTTCGTACCTCTGTAGCGCACGTCGTAGACCCCATGCCTGTGTTACAGGACAGCGGGCATCGGCTTCGCCGTGTAAGATCAGCATAGGGGGCACAATAGAAGCGCCCTCTGCATCGGCCCGCCGTGCAGTACCTTTGAAAGCCCACAGAGCGCTCGCGGCTCGGTTGCGTATGTCATCGTGGTCCATATTCCAGATCACACCGTCACGAGAGAGTTCGGGTTCGAATGCGCAGCCGAGGTCGCAGGTCAAGGCCATCGTATCGATATCACAGATGCTGGCGCCTGGCACGGCGGCTTGGAAACGCCAACCACCGCCATGCGATCCGTTACGGACACTGCACAGGTTGGTCAAGAACCCACCTTGGCTCCATCCACCTACAAGGAGCCTGCCCTTATCCGCATAACCCATATCGATCGCGCACTGCGTGAGCGCGATCACATCAGCGTAGTCGTAAACGCCAAGGCCACCGATGGAGTAGGATGCGAAGCGTTTTCCACGCCCACTGCTTCCGCGGTAGTTCGGTAGCAAGATCCCATAGCCGAGCGACAGCAGATACGGGGAGAGCATGTAGTAGTAGGTATTAAAGGCATTGGTGAGGCGGGTGTTGGGTCCACCGTGGATGAGCACAGCAGTCGGCAGCGGGCGGCGAGGACCGCCCGTAGAAGCGAAGGAAGACGGTGTTAAATAGAGAGCGTCCAGTTCAACCTCTCCATCCGTTGAGAGGCATGTCAAGAAGCTGCACGTCCCGAATTGGCGGTCAGCGAAGTCTCGTCCGTGGTTCGACATTCGTGTCATCTCGCCATCGAGCGATACAGTCGTAAAGACCTCGGTAGGGTGGTTTATATCTGATGTTGCGACGGCGAGAACGAGCTCGTTGCCAGGACCAATTGCGGCGTCGAAAGCTTCGAGCTCCTCCTTCCTACGGTACACCACCTTGCCGTCAGGGAGACATACGTGGGACTCAAGCCGGCATTGCACCTTAACGAAAACGTTGCCTTTCTCGTCCTTAATAAGGCCGAGGGAATCGTTCTCTACTCCGAACCCTACCCAGTCATAGTGGTGGAATGCTGAGGAAGAGCTGGTACGGTAGACGCCATAGCCAGCGAACATCTTATCGGCGGGAACACCTCCGCAAAAGTATAGATACCCGTCAGCAGCCCATGTGAGGTCAACAATCATTTTGGGGAAGTGGCACAGGTCTTCCACGGCGCCGAGGTCGGCGTCAATGGTAGAGAGGGTCGTCCCACTAAGATGTGACTCTTCGATGTCGGGGGTAAGACAGCTCGCGAAGCCAATGCAGGTACCGTCTGGGCTCCACGAGAGGGCTGTGACATGCCTGTCGAGCTCTAGGCTTCGGATCTGCTTAGTTCGCAAGTCGACAACCCTCAGGCGTGCATACCGCCAAATCTCGCCCCAGGCCCGCACATCGTGGGCGACATCTCCGTCCTCTTCATCGGCTGAGAGAAACGCAACGCGAGTGCCGTCTGGCGAGAAGGCAAACGCAGTGATGAGGCTTGTATTCTGCGCTGGCGTGATCGGGTATACATCGCCACCCTGGTTCAATGGAAGCAGATACACAGCCCACTTTGCGCCAGCGCCAGCGCGATCGGACACAAACGCGACAGCTTTTCCGTCAGGGCTCCATGTAGGGGAGTGGTCACGGTAAAGGCCAGGTGTGAGCTGTCGCGAAGAGTCTGTACGACCAGTCGAGGCCAGCCAGAGGGTGGAAACAGCTTGCGTTCCTTTACGGTGGCCCCAGGTGAGTTCAGTCGAGTAAAGGACGCTTTGGCGGTCTGGGGAGAGTCGGATGGTCTTTGGTATTTCAAGGTCGCAAAGGGATTGGATGAGGTGTTTATCTTGCCTAGCCATGATGGCAATGGAACTACCTATGAAACCTGTACAACATCAATTGATGTATGACGGTTCAAATGTTGTGGGAGGTGGTAAATAAATTAACACTAAGAAGCCACCTGGTGCAACAGGCAGCCGCATCACACACAACATTGAACGCATCTAACCGCCGAGCTCTGACTCGCTATCGAAACGAAACCATTATCCACGGCAAACAATAGCGTCCAAACTTTTCCCGCTCGGCTAAAAAAAGGCTTCGACCTTAGTCGCTCTCGTATAAGCTGGCATGATACATATTCAGTTCGACAAATAGGCTCTAACTTTTCTAGAATGTTTAATGGAGATCATCCATATGTATGCCATTACACAAACAATAATGTCAAACTTTCCCCCTCGGCGAGAATGGAAGTATGCATTTTGATATACTTTTAGCCAAAACTATGAGAATTGAGACGATAGTTGAAAGAGGGCGGAGGATTTGCTGATAGAGATATGATGAAGGTTGGATCCTGAAGTGTCGACAGTGTCTAGGAGAAAGGGCTATATGGTGCTTATAGCAGTTGGGTAAACAGTCAAACGCGTAAAGCCTACCTAGAAAAGGAATCTGAGAGGACATTTATGCAGGTGATCAAGGTCTATTTATTGCCTTGCAGTAGGCAGTCGAATGGTTCAAGGGTTATAATGCCAATACTGTTGAGATAATATACATACTGCTGCCTCAATTATCTCGCGGTCAGGCTCAACATAGGGATCTGGCCAGGCATGCCCCCAGCATATTAGTGTTATAATGGCGGACTTACATCAGAGAGAACATCTGTATTACGGTTTTTGGCAGTTTATTCAAATTCGCTAGTGCGGCGATCTGCTACCCAAATCCTCTTTAAGTGCCGGTAGGTAAACATGGTGCCCATTAAAGCGGCTTCGCGATTCAGATCGTCTCGAACATGTCTGGTACGGAGCTTAGATAGTCGGCGTAAAAAACAAATTCTGTACTGTGAATATAGTTTGACATCTCAGGGGCTGCTCCCCATATAGTCCATGGAGGCTTAGCCAAAGAATTATTTGGGGATTGTTGAAATGCTTCATAAATTTTTCTTAGCAGAACGCGGGTCCGTGGAATCGAAAGTAATCTGCAATACGGCGTTCTAGATGAGCATGTGAAATGCCTCTATAGTCAGCTGAGATTAATGGCCAACCACAAAGTACGATGGTCATGGAATTGAAAGGATTCTTGAATATAGTAACCAGATCCACAATATCATACCGACAAGCTGGCGAGTAAAACAGCACAGCATTGCTCACTTCCACACATAATATCCCTCAAGATATCTCTCTCTAAAAACATCACATAATACGAAATTCAGTACCAGGGTACATAACAGGAACATGCGATTGCGCATCACGTGACCCCGTTACCCCTTTGCGCCTCAGCAATCAGGCAACAAGCCTGACTTGAGGTTCGACATTATGATTAATAATATGATTGATTGGTCTCTCTGTAGCTTCTCTAACAGCCAAATAGCAGTCGCGCATATGCAGACAGGCTCGAAACAAGCGGCGCACGCGCCAAGAGGAGAAACTTGGCGGTTACGTTCACCTGAGGCTGTGCAGCCCCCAGAGTTTATGCCCTTGACCAACCGTAGCATGATATCCGTCAAGATGGAGCAGGACAAGCTTATTCCGAGCTGTGATCACATCAAGGACGCATCACAAACTCCCCTCTTTAGCCACGGATTGGAATTAGAGCCATGATGAAGGTTCTGTAGCGGCGTGTGACATATGCTTTTCCGCCACCATCAACTGCATGTGGCATAGCACTTCAAAATGTTGATATGGGTTGATAGATAGATAGATATAGATATATATTGCAGCCTAGAGATCGATTAATCTTTCTCTTAGTAGAAGACCGGAGCAGCGATCCTGACGCGTTGGGATACGCAGCCCTTCACAGCCTCAGAACCAGACAACTTATATTGACATTATCATTGCATTACAACATTGAAGTTGATATTCATTTTCTCCCCCATTTACTAATAATTAGTACGTCACCTGTATATACATATATACGGCCCGATTCGCACACATGTGCAGCATGCTAATTAGGCTACCGTGCAGAGCGGAGGGGTCTATTTTAGGAACAGCACAGGAACACTTAAAATAGTCAGCCTCCTGAACCTGCAAGCCTCAACGTCGCCGCCGGCACTCTCCAAAATCCAGACTCTTGCTTCTGGACCGCTCCTTGCAGTTCCTTGTCGCCATCATGAAGCGAATGTTTACCGGCCTGCAAAGGCGCGTCAGCAGTAAGTTGCTCCCTCCTGTTTCGTCCACGTTCTCTGCCAATGCGGAGAATACTTGCGATATACGAGCCCGTATTGTGGAGCCGGAACAACTCATCAACGTAACTCACATTCTTCTTCTCTAGCCTTTCCAACCCTGTCGCAAGAGAACAACGACACATCGCCATCAAGTTCAGGAAATGAATCACCCGAAGAAATTATCATCCGCGAAATCGTGCGTTCATGTGATCCTCTGGCGTTGGTATACAAATAACTAATTAGTCCAAAGAAAGCGTTTTGCGAGGCTGGCGGAGGCCCCAACAGCGTGGTACGACGGTTCTACAAAACAAAAATAACCTATGGCAATATTTCTAACGTGAATTATTGGACGCCAGGCCAATGATTATCTACACCTCCCAGCTATAGTCGAGGCCGCCGAGTCGAGCGCCACTGCTGCCAAAGAAGCCGCGACACGAATACGGAAGTACCTGTCGAGTCCCTCCAAGCCGCAAGGAGCGGCACAATACAATGCAATTATGCTTATACGGATTCTGGCGGAAAACCCGGGCCATACGTTCACGCGCAACATTGACGCCAAGTTTGTGTCTACGGTCAAAGACTTGCTCCGAGAGGGTCGGGATATGTCCACACAACAGATGCTGCGCGAGATGTTGAATTTGTTTGAATCTCAGAAGTCGTGGGACGAGGATCTCGCTGCGCTTCTGGCCATGTGGAAAAAGGAAAAGACCCGGGCAGCCAAATATGGGCCGGTGAGCAAGCAATTCGTTGACATTGAAAACAGATCATCTAATAATCACAGCCTGCAAACTTCCAATCGCCAGAACATCAATCAGCCTTTGGCCGTCCTTCGCGTCCTCCGAGAACACTGCCACCGCCAGACGAACTGGCCGCGCGCGTCTCGGAAGCCAAAACATCTGCGAATCTGCTCATTCAGCTGGCGCAAAGCACCCCTGCAGCTGAGGTCCTGGATCATGAGCTGATGAAGGAATTTTCAGAGCGCTGCGCCTCAGCTTCCAGGTCCATACAGGCGTATATGGCCTTGGAAAACCCGCCTCCAGATGAAGACACCATGCTCACCTTGATCGAGACAAACGAGCAACTCTCCGTTGCTTTGTCCAAGTACCAGCGGGCGGTTCTGAATGCACGAAAAGTCGTTGCCTCAAGCAATAACAATGGTGCTAATAGAAACGGCACTGGCACTGGCAATGCAAATGGAAATGGAAATAGTCACAACAACAATAATGCCAGCAACACACGCACTGCGCCTACAAATAGCGAGCAGACTGCCCCTCTTCCTCCTCAGCCCCAAAGACGGGTTTCTACTCCGCCACCTATGATCGCGGAGATCCCTCCTCTGGAACCATTGAGAACAACCGAAGAAGCGCCCCTCTCGCACTCTGCTCTTCCCGAACGAAACAACCCACGATCCATCTCTCCTCCTGGCCAACAATCCAGACGCTATGAATACAATGCCGATGAATTCAACGTTGAGAACCCGTTTGCCGACAGCTTGGCGGACGATGATCACCACAGTATTTCTTCTGATAAACACGTGCGACGTCACTAAGAGCTTAATGGGTAGGATTTTATTTTTCTTTCCTTTTTTATACTATACATGCGTTCTCTTCTGGTACATAGAACCCTCGTTTTGAGTACATGACTTGCTGGTAAATAGCAATTATTATACCCGTTTTCATTAGCGCCCTATGTGACCACCATTTGCATGTCGAGCCCACCTACACATTTTCCTTCGTTGTGATCGAAGTTACATAAATGAGACATTACCAGATACTACCAGATTTGGATAATGAATTCAAAATTCCTTGGATTTTCTATTTTCCCTTCATACAAATTATCTCTATAGCCAAACGCTATTCAACAATTTCGTCTCTTGAATCCGCGATCACGTAGGAGACAAAAAACTAAAAGTCGAATGCGCAATAAGTAGATTGAACATCTGTACTTGGAAACAAAGGAAAGAAGCCAGGGAATTCTCTCCTCCTTCCGTCATGCGCGTCAGAGTAGATAGTAGATATCAGAGGCGATCGTCATTTTCTAACCAAATGCGAGATGAAAAAAATGATGAAAATGTATTTGACCCCCTAATGATAATGATAAAAAATGAAAAGTGACGCCGTTTTGGAATAAACTTGTGATTGTTCATCGTCGCTTTGAGGAAAATTTCTTTTTCATTTTTTTGCCATGTCTGTGGTTTTGTGTGGTTTTTGTTTCAGATGTTGGTAAAACATGGATATGTTATAGAAGCACATCAACTCCCATTCCATTCATTAAAAACCCTTCTCCTCGTACGACCCTTCCTCCACTCCATAATTGTCTAAGCCTCGGTGATGGCGCGACGGATTTGGGCACCACGCTGGCGGGAGGTGAGACGGGCGGATTGGGCAACGGCGACGGGGCTCTTCTGAACGACCTCTTCACCCTCGGTAAGGATGAGCTCGATGTGGCAAGGGTTGGTCATGTAGGGGTTGATCTGTATCTTTATTAGACTGGAGTATGCCGGTTATGTTTCAATGGAATACATACACGACCGTGAGCACGGTAGGTACGTCTGCGTCCCTTGGGGGCCTGGTTGACCTGGATGTGCTTGACAACGAGGTTGCTGGTGTCGAGACCCTTGGTGTCGGCGTTGGCCTCAGCGTTCTTCAGGAGACCGAGGAGCTGCTCAGCAGACTTGGCGGGCCAGCGAGCCTTGGAGACACCGAAAGCCTTGCCTGTACCGAATTAGATATATCCCAAACATAACATAATATCATCCCAAATATAACACAACGTCCCCATGCAAATATTCGAACAAATCTCTTCTCCCAAGGAATTGACTCACCCTGGGCGGTACGACCAGTGCTTCCGGCATATCGGCGCATGGGCACGGCCTCCTTGTGGTTGATGACGTTCTCGAGGTAGACGAGAGCGCGCTGCAACTTCCATCCGTTGATGGCCTGGGCGGTCTCACGGGTGTTCTTGAAGCTGACACGTAGGTAAGAGCCCCGGGCGCGGGCGCTCTTCGCGTTTGGGATCGACTGTGCGGCGTAGCGGACCTAGATGATCGAGCAGTCAGTCGACTGGCAATTTCATCATTTTCGAGCGATTTTGACGGGTAAAAAGCACAGTGCCAGGATCGGCAGACATCGACATCGCAGGTTCACGGGCGAGCGCAATTCGAAGCGTGTGCTCTTTTGCGACCGAATAGAAATACAGCACTCACCATCTTGAAAGATTGCCGGAAAAGAGATGGTCCTCGGTGTCGGGGCGGATGCGGATTGATGTCTTCGTCGACAGCGTGAGATCTCGAAGGTGCTTGCGGTCCGTCGTGTGGTTTTTTGTCTTGGCAATGCTTGAGCCCTAAGCGAGCCCTCACGCTAGGCCGTTCTGGGTAGAAAGCTGTCACCTGATGGCGCTATCCCGAGCAGGCTAGGGTGTAATAGTTCTCCACATTATTTCCCCTCCTTCGTCAATGCTAACATTATTCTTACTCTTTAATATTCTCGACAGGACAAAGAATTCATTTCATTTCTATTCTAACCAGGCTATTTCTTCTGCTCAGGGATTTGCGTAATCAGCACCCCCTTCTCCACAGCAGAGCGCAGATTGTTCAACACCAACAGCTCCATATCCTTCTGCGTCTCGTACGTCATGGTCCCAATATGCGGGAGCAAGAACGCTTTATCCGACTTCAACAGCCCCTCTTCGACCTTGGGCTCATTCTCGTAAACGTCCAGGCCGACAGATGCAACCTGCACAAGGATACACGTTAGCTTAGCTACATTCAATGCAGTTCTACCACCAACCTTCCCAGACTCGAGGGCCTGAACCAGAGCCTTCTCGTCAATCAACGCGCCGCGCGCAGTGTTGACAATAACCACGCCGCTCTTCATCTTCGCCAACTCGTTCGCTCCAATTATGTGTCTCGTAGATGCGTTCAAGGCGAGGTTCAAGCTAAAGACGTCCGAAGTTGAAAGTAACTCGTCAAATGAGACGTATTTCGCTCCGACTTCTAACTCTGGCGAGAGACGGGTGCGGTTGTGATATTGGATTGTCATGCCGAACGCTTTCGCACGGTGGGCCATTTCCTAGTTAGCTGTCAGCTGTGGCCTGATAGATTTTTCTCGTAGAGGATTACCCGTCCGATTCCACCCATTCCTAGAATCCCAAGAACCTTACCTTCGGGATCGCGGCCTAATCCGGATTTTCCTGTCCATGTGCCTAAAAACTCATTAGCTGGCGTAATCCAACAGTTAATGTGCACATACCAGCTCGAATAGAAGACAACGGAACATGGGCCTGGCGCAAAGCGCCAATCATGAGGAAAATGCCCACGTCGGCAGTGGCATTATTCACAGCGACTGGCGTGCTCGACACCGCAATACCTATTTCAATTAGCCCTACCCATTTTTCCATGTCTGTATACTGGGGATATATGTACCTGCCTGTGTCACAGCCGACACCTCGATATTATCATACCCAGCCCCATTATGGCAAATATATTTGACTGATTTCGGCAGCGCTGACACTAACTCGCTATTAAACGGTCCCGTGTATTTGTTGGAAACATTGCTGCGATAAATCACGACCACGTCGTCATATTTGCCGGCTTTGCAGTTACTCAAAAATTCCTCTCTTGTCCCGCTTGGGAATTCCTATTATTGCATACAAAGTCTTAGCAATCCAGAAGACTATCTCCTTCGAAGAGAAGCTACCTTCAGTGTGAGTATCGACGACAACTGCTCCCATTCTGGTCGAGCATGCGTGATCTCACCGATCAGCAGAGCAGCTTGTGACGGCATGGTGGCGGGCTGGGATTGGGGCTGGAGCGTGAGCGTGAGCTTGTGGGCGATGTCAGAAATGCGTTCGCGGGCTTGTCGCGATCTGTTAGAGATGGAGGGACTCTGCATTATAAGAGGAAGGTGGATCGGGGTCACCTTGTCTGACTGACCAGACGACGGTCACTCACATGCCGGCGACTAATCCTACCATTCTCCACGCGGATAATTACATGTAACTTACTACTAATGCGGGGAAGTGACTGACAAGCTATAACTTTCTATGCTTTTTTTATTGCTTATTCTTGTATATAATCCAAAAAAGGTTATTATTACATATGTATTGTTCTAGAATATGATCCATGAGAATACTCACTCTGCCACCGAGGAATCGCAGCATCTCCGATCTTCTCTGCGCGCATTTTTCTTAGTTTGACTTCACTCGGAGTTTTGAGCGACGACCATGCACCGTGCCAGGTTACGAGGGCAAGAAAATTCAAATAGGCTTTCCCATTCAATCCACTGTCGGCATTTGAAAACTTCCTGTGGTGGCGCTGTTCAGGAATAATAGTGAATTGGATCGATCATTGATGCCATTGATCGGCCAATAGCCGACTACCCCCACGTCAAGACTGCTCAATAGCCGACGCCCCTCACTGAGGCCGGTCGCCGGATTTCTCTCCGCTGCTGCTGCGAAGATAAAAATGGGCTGGGAAAACATTGAGTATATTTATGGGTGTGTAGAATTTGAGACAAGATATTAATTACTGTTATGAGTTGTATCGTGCGTAATAAAGATATATATGTAGGTAATGAGTATGTAAACGCGGAGGTAAATATATACTTCGAGAGAAGAGGATTGTACAACCTAAATTCATATATATGTAAACAGTTGACATTGAACATCAATCAACTGACCCCAATTAGCGATTAATTAATACATAGACAGTAAACACAAACCAATCCACGCTCCTGTAGACGCCAGCTAAAATATATCGGCTGCTAAAGCGTCATTGCTATTGCCCAATGCCGTAGGGTGGACCAACCCCCGCATTTATAATTCCGACTCTTCAAATGTTGAATACATCTACTTATTTCATTGTTTTATCCAGCATTCAAATATTCACGTTGTAAAGCTGCATCTTGATATTGATTGCACCGTACATCAATTGATATTACATGTTCTAGTCATACTTTCATGTTGAATAGTTCATAGGACTTCAAGATGGCGTCCGCCACAGTCACCACCAAAGCCCTCATCCTTCACGGCGCAAAAGACCTTCGCCTGGTAAGTCGACGTCACGTACAAAATGATGCCGTCTAACACCCCCAGGAAACCCGCCCAGCACCAGCGCCCACTGGCAATGAAGTCCAAGTGGCCATCCGAGCCACAGGCCTCTGCGGCTCTGACCTGCACTACTACAACCACGGCCGCAATGGCGACTTCGTCGTTCGCTCGCCCATGGCCCTCGGCCACGAATCCGCCGGGCTCGTCACAGCCGTCGGCCCAGACGTGAAAGCGCTCAAACCAGGCGATCGCGTCGCCCTCGAGGTCGGCCTGCCCTGTCGCACCTGTCTCTTCTGCGCCTCCGACCGCTACAACCTCTGCTCCAACATGCGCTTCCGCTCTAGCGCAAAGGTGTTCCCTCACCTGGACGGCACGCTCATGGAAATCACAAACCACCCGGAAGATATGTGCCACGTACTCCCCGAGTCAGTCAGCTTCACGGGCGGCGCCCTCGCCGAGCCCCTCGCTGTCTGCCTCCATGCCATCCGGCGCTCTCACCCGCCCACCGCCGACGAAGCAGCCGTGGCAAAATCCCTGGGTGAGGAGACTGCAGCACTGATATTTGGCGCTGGTGCTATCGGCCTACTCCTCGCCGCGGCGCTGGCCACATCGCAGAACTTCACAACCATCGTTATTGCCGATATCGATGCAGCACGGCTCAAGGTTGCAGAGTCGTTAGGACTAGGGCTGAAAACGACGCTGATAGAGCGGCCCTCAACGCCTCCACCGCCTAAGGACGCACCGCAAGCGGAGCAGACGGCGTACACACTGACGACGGCGCAGAACACAGCGGCGACGATTAAGGAGGCGCATGGTGTGGCAGGGGGGTTTACCCGGGTGTATGACTGCACGGGGGTGCCTGCGTGTGTGCAGGCGGGAATATATGCGGCGGCGGCTGGGGGTGTGCTGGTGCAAATTGGGATGGGGTCGCCGGTGCAGACGCTGCCAATTGGGGCGGCGGCGCTGCGAGAGGTGGATTTGATTGGGGTATTTAGGTACGATAGGCATGCGTACCCAGCGGCTATTAAGCTGCTGGAAACCGATACGTTTAAGAAAGTTGAGAACAAGGTTGTCACGCATAGAGTCAAGTTAGCGGAGGAGGGTCAGGGGGACAGGGCGTTTAATTTGGCTGGAAAAGGCGTGGATGAGGAGGGAGTGCCGGTGGTAAAGGTTGTGATTGAAGGGTGATATACCTCTGTAATAATCTACATTTGGAGTGCGATGATTTTTGAGGGAAAATATCGATATATGCATTTGTTTTGACTATGAAAAGTTTGAAAGATATATATTCACAGTTAAATTGATTGGTTACTTCAGCCCCCCTGCTAACAGCAAACTCTGCCCTGTCATGTACCCCGTTGTAACCAGCATGGTGACTACATTGGCGACTTCTTGCGGCACCCCCAGTCTCCCCAGCGGGGTCTCGGTGCCAGCAATCGCAGTGGCGCTGGGGATCATGCCCGTGTCGCCAATCATGGCCGGCGAGACGTCGTTGACGCTGATATTGAACTCAGCCAGGCGGGTTGAGAGGTTGCGCATCATGCCCGTCATTCCGGCCTTTGAGGCAGCGTAGTCTGTCCAAATTAATAAATTTCTCCCATATATCTGCTTTTAAGCTGCTACTCACGACACCCGTTAATTCCCCCACCGTATCCGGCAATCGAGGACATGAAAACTATGCGACCCCATCGCTGGCTCTTCATCCTCTCCACGACGCCTTTGACTAGAATAAACGAGGCTCGCAGATTCACCTGAATGGTATAATCAAACTCCTCAAGTGTAATATCCCACACCTGCGGAACGCGTTTTCCATAACCCGCATTTGAAACGAGAATGTCTGGTCGTTGGCCATGCTGCGCGTCGATTTCGGTGAACATACGCTCAATTTGGCCGGCCTCGCCGACATCTACCTGGTGGATCGAGATGCGCAGTGTTTGGTCGAGTTGTTTGAGCTCGTTGACAAGGCTATTGATGCTGGTTAGGTTGGAGGAGTATGTTAATGCAAGATGGACGCCGCGTTCAGCGAGTTGGCGAGCGCATGCTGCGCCGATTCTAGAGCAGTTAGTTAGGTGTTATTGAGAAGCGGGATAGAGCGCTTACCCCCCAGAAGCACCGGTGATCAGGGCTAATCGGCCCTTGATTTCGTTGAGTTGCGCCATTTTCTAAGCGGCTAGATGTGAGTACAAATGGTCTGTTTTGTATTGGCTGCATGGGGGGGCTGCTTAAAAGGAAAGCTGGACACCCCCGCATGGCTCGGAGCAAATCCGGTGATCGGCGTCTGCTGTAGCCGTCCAGATCGGCAAATGCCTATGCATGCCCAAATAAAGTCAACTCAAAGAATCGAGGCAATTATTAAATAAATAATAAAATCAAAATAGAAGACTGTTTGGCATGCTCTCATTTATCCACAATGGCGCTTGCCACATTTGCTGCTGCCCAACAGGGCCACCATATAGACTACTTGTCGTGGCACCGTCCTGTAACCCATCGTATCCCAGAATCCCTGCTGCCGTCATTTGATCGCCAGAGACATAGTCACCTACTGCACCGAGATCGAGCCAGGAAAAGTCATTGGCTGGGCTAAAGTGCATTTGCTGAGGTTGCTGGTCGGGAATGTTGGTGAGACTGGGGATGGAGATTTCGCTGTGATTGTTTCGCCGGGATTTGGGGGAAGAAGCTATAGCAGTAGCTGCGTGTGGTTTCCATAAAAGCTCGAGAAGACGTGCGTATCGCGAACCCATATCGTCAGGGCCAGCGCTTGCGCGTTGTAGTTGCTCGGTTGTCCGTGATACTAAATCGCGAACGGCGATTTCCTCGGCAGGGGCTAGAACACCGAAGGAGCGGGCCTGGCGATTTGATTTAGTGAAGGCAATTGCGAGGATAAAGGTGAATTTAATACCTTATAAAGAAACACCGCCGCGTAAATGCTATATCTGCAGAGTGTCAGTCTGATAACCATCTGGCCGAGGGATAACCTACAGGTAAAAACGGAGCGGCATAAAACGTAAATGTTGTTCCGGGTTGAGTGTGCTGACGAGGATATCCAAATACGACTTTGCCGCATCGAGTGATTCGTATATAAAACGGGCATCAGACATGGATGCCACATTGCTAAATGTTGCTCTCAGATGTTCCCTTTGGGAATGCTGGTCACCCGATTTCGGTTTCCGGACCATCGCTTGCGAAATGGCGGCTTGGAAAGCGAACGCGTTGGTGTAGAGTCTGAGATACTCGTAGGACATTTGTAAAGTGACCTTTATGCGAGGAGAGCCTTGTATAACGGTTAGCAGAGTCATAAAGGCGAAGGGTATGTTCTTACAGTCTAAATTGCCCCATGTACGATTCCACCGAGAGATGGCGGTTCGGAAATCATCAGCATACTTGATATAATCCCCCATGAGCATCATCTGGTTGCTCGTTCGCATGCCCGAGTATAATATCTCATGCACGTTTCCATACAGCTGCGTTAGATCTAAAGTGGCCTGGATGATTTTCGCATAATCCTCATCGCCTTCATGCACAGGTTGGAGGGAAGGAAAATCCTGGCTGACAAACCCCGTCATAGGGCCCGGTCCTCGAGACCAAAACGCCCTTCCAATTCGCACTGAGATCAGTCGATCTGAGATGTAACAGCTCGTCCACGCTAGCCGCTTGCGCGCATCACAGTCCTCTGAACTAGGGTCCCCCCTGAATGATGTACGGTCTAGACCGAGAAAGTAGCCGGAACGCAGGGCGAGACCGACATGCATCCAAGCAGCGCGATCTTCTTCGCCCCTACCGACGCGTTCGACGTTTGGACGCAGACCCTGAGGTTCCCATTCTGCGAGCAGTATCAAAGCCTCAACAGCCTCTACATCGCAGTCTGCTCCAGCAGCAATCCCCGAGATCAATTCATGCATGTACTTGGAGCAATACTCGTGGATATGCGGGGTATCAACCAGGTCCTTCGATGCAATCGTAAGCACTGCAGTAAGTAAATGCTTTTCAGTCGAGGCAAACGCGTCAAGAGCAGCGCGGTCAAAGTATTTCCTAGGAACAAGCGGCTGATAGGGGTGGAAATGCTCTTCATATCGTCTGATAAGCTGGAAAATCAGCTCTGAATCCAGGGAGCCGTTCTGAACCAGCTTGTATGCTCGAATACCCGAGTTTGTTGGTCGAGGAGCAACGTGCAGTCCGTTATCAGTAAATGCATCCTCAGGCACACGAGGTAGGTTCTGTGATAAGCGAGCAGCATGCCCAGCTACCCCAGTCTCACCACCAGCACCACCCCGTTTCGCTATCCCCGTTAAACACTGCCATGCATCAGATGGGTTTCGGGGAACCCCTGAGTCAATGGCGCTGTCCGAGGTCGACGCCGCATCGTCGTCTTCTGCAGTAGCCGACTCCGGCGGATTGCCGGCTGGGCTGGCGTTGATGTCGGCAACGGAGTAGCGAGATGAAGCCGGCAACGATTGACTCTCGGAATATGCCGAGGAGGGGTCTTTGGTGGGTTGCTGTGTGATTGATTCGCCGTCGTCGATGTTATCATTTATATTAATAGTCCCGCCGACGGCCAGATTGATGATCTTGCTCTTGCGGATGCGCCGTCCTCCGCGATTCGAGGATCCCAAGACACAGTCTCGACCCTCGCGAACGCATCGTTGGCAAGGCGGCGTGCCTGGATTCCCACCACTATCTCTGCAGGAAGTTTGAGTGGAGGCTCATCAGTAGGGAAGACTCTATCTTACAGATCACACCTAGATTTGCGTTGGCGGCAGTGGAGACAGGCCCGCGACACGCGCTGGCCGGGGCCGAGTTTTCTAAATTGCTTGGACGCAGAGGGCGACTTGTCGGGACTCATACCTGCAACTCAACAACACCTGCTGTATATGCTTTTGCTCATGAGAATAGGGAGTGTTACGTTGAGCGCAAGTGCTTTGAGGCACATTTTGTGGCGGCGATCAACTGGGGAAGTTGCGAAACTAGGAACTAGCACGCGCGGGCCTCGTGGAAGTGCGGAGAGGCTAACTTAGCTCTACACTGTGGAACCGGCAACACAAATTAATAAAAGAACAAAATATAAAAACAATAATAGTGCAGGTTCAGTAAATAATAGGCTGGGCTGTAGACTCGAGGAGTAAATTGTAATTGCACTCTTCCCCACACAATCTGTTGATATAGTACTGAGATGGGCATTATTATATTCCTCGTCAGGTCTCGCATATTTCCAGTATCTTCAGTATATTACTATTCAGTATTATTACTACTGTACTGCTATCGCCATCTTGGCGTCATAGTACCATACTACTAATATGATAATATGATAATATTAATATGGAGGACAAGACAATGGCAATAGCCGACGCGGGGAAAGCCCCGAGCGTCGGCTATTGAGGCCGGCAATTGCCCCGCACGCCATGATCAATCATATTTTTATCACCTTCACATTCATATTTAGCACTCTCATTTCTGTCAATTACTGTCGCTATATTTAGTTGAACAGTACTGTCCTACCTAATTGAGAGAAGGCACCATGTCGCAGTCCCTCTTCTCTCTCCAGGGCCGCACGGCCCTGGTTACAGGTGGCACGCGGGGTATCGGCCAAGCAATGGCCGTTGCGCTGGCCGAAGCTGGTGCAGACGTTGTCCTTGTGCAGGCAAGTTAACTTGGACCTGGATGTTTTGAGCCTGGGCCTCAGCTAATGACCTGCAAGCGCGACGAGTCCAACACAGCCACCCGCGACGATATCACAAAACGAGTCGGCCGCAAGGCAGTCATCCATGTCGCTGAACTGTCAGACCGCGAGGCCGTCAAGAAGATCATCCCCGCACTCATCCAGCAGGGCCTCAAACCCGATATTCTCCTCAACTGTGCCGGCATCCAGAGGAGACATCCGAGCGAGAAATTTCCGGACGAGGACTGGGACGAGGTGTGTTCATCATACAATGACAATGATCGACATATCTGACGGCTTGCTAGGTGATCAATGTGAACCTGACATCGGTCTTTACACTGGCGCGTGAATTTGGAGCCTATCTACTCTCGCGCGATGTATCCGAGTTCCCAAGCGGACGCAGAGGCGCGGTTATCAACGTGGCCTCGTTGCTGTCGTTCCAGGGTGGCATTACGGTGCCGGCATACGCAGCATCCAAGGGTGGAGTGGCACAGTTGACCAAGGCCTTGTCCAATGAATGGGTCTCCAAGGGTATCAACGTCAATGCGATTGCGCCTGGGTACATTGACACCGACATGAACGTTGCATTGATCAACGACTCCAACCGCAACGCTGGTATCATGGCCCGGATTCCTGCCGGCCGCTGGGGAAAGCCCGAAGATTTCAAAGGGATCGTGGTCTTTCTGGCCAGCGCAGCCAGCAGCTACGTCTCTGGAGAGGTGATTACCGTGGATGGTGGGTGGATGGGGCGATGATCATGGCGTTTTCTTTTATAATCCATACAAAGCCTTCGTGTTCTTCTTCATCCTCTTTCTCCACTACACAATACGCTATAGACAACGGCATGCAAACAAAGCATACAATGTACCACAATGGAACCATCCCCACGCCTCGAGGTGATCGGTGGGTAATGAACACCACGGCCGATACGTATCTGTAGAGATGCCGGCATTTTCCCGATAGAGATCTCCATTGACGGGGAATCGCGGCATCGAGATCGTAATAAGCTTTCTTGGGTCGTAGCAGGCCACGGCGTCGCTGCTCAAACGTGGTGGGCAGTAGCATTCGCTGGTGGAGTGTGCTTCCGTTTGCGAGTGCCCGAAGGAGGCATGATGTCCAGGCAGTCTAGAACACGGCGTTGGGTCTCTGACTCGGTAGGGCAGACAGAATATAGCATACAGTAACACAGCAGAACCGAGGACAGTTCATGAAACAGTGTCGTCATGAAACGAGAGTGCTAAGTGTAAGATGAGAGACGGCGTAATGTGATGGTTGGCGCCGGCCTTCCGCTGTGCCTAGTCCTAACTGGCTCTAGCCAGTCCTAGGTAGTACCACCCGCCGCCGCCGAGCGCTCTCTGCCAATCCTCGCCGTGAACGTCGTCAACGGCCAAACGCCCAGGGGCTACCAGATCCACCTTGCAGATCCAATTATTATGCAACAACAATACAATACCGATCCTCAATAATATTGCAATTCGCGACTGTCTCAGCCTATGCAACCCCTACATGGGCGGCGCTTTTCGGCTGCAGTGACGCCGGCTGGCTCATAGGCCACCGTGCTCTCTCCAGACTCCTAGTGTGGAACAATCTCGTCCACCGCCCCTACTGCCATTGTTTCCGAATAGAGTGAGTGACTGTTGATTGGTGCTCTTATTGTCGCAGCCTCGAATAGACCGCCGTGGCCAATAATCCTCCCTCACCGTGACTCCTTGCGCCGTATTCAAACACAGGCTTATCTTCTTAGCGCACGACCGCCAAATGGCTATCGAATCGCGGAAACCGAATCGTCGAATCTTATAATCAGATTAATTAAACGGCGAAACTTGTTCATGACGCACATTGTCCCCTTATTCTACTGGCCGCGCATTCTGCTCAACGGCTACATTCTCCTGTATTGTTGTGTGCTACTCTTGAATACTAGGATGGGCTTGACTGTTGACTGTACTCGCTGTACTGCATTCGAGTCATGAATCGCGTGGCCCACACCCCAGCCACTTGCCTTATTACCTCTTCTTCCATATAATCAATTGTTCTGACTTTCTGATTATTTACCCTGGAATGATATGATGTCTTTCTAACATCAGCACACCAGAGCTAGCTCTGCCTGCATATCCATCCATCCACCTTCTTTTCCTAGCTCTAGCAACAGCGTGGACACGCCTCTATCTGGATAAAGGCTGTTTGCACCCTCATTCTTTTCCTATGCCTGGAGGTTGGTAGAGCAGGGGCGTGAGTTTCATCAGTTTACTGACTCACAGCAGCGCGATTAGACCCTTCCAACAAGCTATCTTCCAGCTGCCTAAATTTTCTTTTTCGACTGGATATGAATTTTCTCATCGCTAGACAATACTCGAAGTACATTTTCTAGAACAAGCAAGAATTAATCCGTGTGGTGGCTGTTCTGGTCTCGACGCTCGCTTTATTCGAAAACAGAAACCACCCTGGCGGTGTCGACATCATAGAACTTCTTTACGCGTGGGTCTTATTCTTAATTACTTGCAGCTGTCCCCCAACTTAATCTGGATCCTCTCATTTGTTGGCATTGGGCGATCCCGGCTTGGACTGACGTTTGCTGCAGAGTGCCTGGGTGTGGATAGCACATTCTCGACGGTTACCGGTAGTTACCGGTACCAACGTCGCATTCCTCAACATTTGCATTCGGAAGGCTTCCAGACTGGACTTGCCGTGATCATTAAAGGAAATTGTAAGTTCCAAGACCTGCCAGTCTGTTCAAAGAATGCCCTATGCCGTCATCTGTCTGTCAAACAACTAACATTTTACGTAGACATGCCCGTGTCAACTTGCATACAGACTGTTGAACATACACTGCTGCTGGCTTTTTTTCTTAATCGTGGATATAACAAGGTAGCAGCTTGAGGGGAGCGCACGGCGAGGGAGTTCCGATGAGTTCCTCTTCGGGCCCTCCGGCCCAGCCCTATGCCACAAATTACACCTACATATACGAATACTCAAGAGGCTTGAATGGCGTCGACGTGCCACTGGACAACCTCATCACACAGACAATATGTGCCTCATTAGGGCTCGTCGCAGTCACGGTCTTCCTAAGTCGGGTACTGGAAATCTGCAATGCTTACATCCGTCACATCAGCTGCCTTTCGGCGTCTCGAAGGCAGCAACACTTCTGGAGTTTGGAAGGATACAGCGTCTGGCCGAAGATCAAGAAACACATTATCCACTCGCCCTTGTTTAGGAAGAGGCATCATCGCGAGTTCCAGCTGTCATCGGCGATAAACATGGGAGTGCTACCCTCTCGACTCCACGCAATCCTTCTTGTTCTCTACCTTGCCAGTCAAGTGGCCTATTGCTCAATTCTCGATTATGCTGTAAATGAGAAGGCTGCACTGGTTGCAGAGCTGCGTGGCCGAGCAGGAACGCTGGCAGTCCTGAACATGATTCCTCTTTTCCTGTTCGCCGGACGCAACAACCTTCTCATCTGGCTTCTCGGAGTCAGCTTCGATACATACAACTTATTCCATCGGTGGCTGGGACGAATAGTTGTGCTAGAAGCAGTTGTACATACAATAGCATGGTTTGTCAATGCCTCTGCGGAGCAAAGCTTTGCAGCCGCCATAGACCGCATTCGCAACACCCCATTTTTTACCTACGGCGCCCTCGCCACTGTTGCCATGATTTTCCTCATCATTCACTCTCCATCTCCTATTCGTCACGCCTTTTACGAAACTTTTCTGCATTTGCATCAGCTCGCCGCCGTGCTTGCCCTTGTTGGCGTTTACTTCCACCTGCGTCTGGACGCTCTCCCACAGTCCCCTTGGATCTATTTGATCTTAGGCATTTGGATATTCGAGAGGACTATGCGATGGATACTCCGGTTTCATTTAAATGTCAGCCTTCGAAACGGCACTACCGTTGTCGTTGTCAAAGCCCTTCCTGGCGAAGCATGTCGCGTAACATTCCATCTCCCTCGACGAGTACATGTGAAACCTGGTAGCCATGTTTATGCCTTCATCCCGACCGTCGCGTGGTGGATGTCGCATCCCTTTTCTGTGGCCTGGGTTGACCCCAGCTCCTGTGTGACACCACCCTCACACCCGATTGCGGCGCTCAAAGGCACCGTCGACCCTTATGAAATCTTTGCATACACCCCGTCCTGTCTCGAAAAGCAAGACCCCTTCCTCCACAACGTCTCACATATCTCTTCATCGAATATCCCCACGCCCACTAAACCACAAAAAACCTCTATCTCCCTTGTCATGGCAGCCAGGTCCGGTATGACGCGCAAACTCTACGCCAAAGCTTGGGCCTGTCCCAACCATACCCTCCGCACATTCGGCTTCGTCGAGGGCCCTTACAACTCCGGCAACTGCGCAATGGGCAGCTACGGCACCGCAATCCTCTTCTCCGGCGGCGCTGGCATCACCCATCACCTACTACACGTCCGCGACCTGCTCGTCCGCGCCGATGATGGCTGCGTAGCGACCCAGCGCATATATCTCATCTGGTCTGTACGATCAATAGAAGCCCTGAACTGGATTCGCGAATGGATGGATCAGATCCTGCAACTGCCCAATCGCCGACAAATCCTAACAATCAAGCTCTTCGTCAGCAAGCCGAAAATGCAAATCAAAAGCCCCAGTGAAAACGTCCAAATGTTCGCTGGGCGTTGTAACCCAAGCGTCGTGCTCGACGAGGCACTACCGAAGCGCATCGGCGCGACGGTGGTATCTGTATGCGGCCCTGGAGCATTCGCAGATGAGGTGCGAGTAGCTACAAGGGACAATATTGATAAAGGCATGAGTGTGGATTTTGTAGAAGAGGCTTTTAGTTGGTGATTTCATTCACGGATGAAAGATACGATCGTCTTCGTTTCTTCTTCTTTTTTTTCCTGCCCTGCTCTTTGATCTAGCGTTTCAATGCGGACAGCACTGCATAATGAGCTGCTCTAATTTTCTTTAGAGTGGATCGACCAATTAGAACTTAGATATCAATTGATAAATGTATAGATTATCAAGCATCCCTTGTAGAAATCGATCACTCGATAGTCTGACTATTTTCCGTCATTGCGCTCACAACTTTTAGAGCTTAACCCTATGCGTAACCCTAATTCAACCTGCTTTATTCCTTCGCAGCACTAAAACAAATTCAACTTCAGATTACAAATCCCTGAATCACGATGCACTTCAATAATCCTTGCAGGTTGGTTGTACTGAAACAGTTTCAGGTAACTAGTCAAACGCCGAACTTATGTTTAGCACATGCCCAGGATCTGACCGACCCCCACCATGGCCATTTAGGGGTTAACTGGTCGGTTAGACATGTGCACAATTAGCCATTGGTATAGATATTGGCTGGTGTGTTTTGGATTAGTATCTATCAATTGATGATCTATAAATGTATAAAGTATCATGCATAAGACTTCGTACAAACTTTCCGGCATGCGAGTCTTTCTGTTTCGCTGTTTGATCGAACAATCAGTAGGAGGAATATGGACAAAGGTTGGCACACGGATTGTCGAAAAATTCAAACTGCTCTTGGCTGCCGATTCCAAATATCATCAATCTCCAGGACAAGGAGGGAGCGACTGCCCCACATTATACAGTCTCCAGTCACGCTGGCTGCGGCACCGGACATTGCGTTGATGCAATTAGATATTATGCGAACTAGCTCATCATCACCATCAATACTTCATGTTCTCATGCCGTTCAATAATGTGTGAGAAGATGACTGGGGTTTACTGTATGTAGATAAACCATGGCCCAGCCAAATCAGTATATCTGTATACACTCATTCGTTTTTTCTCGAACCCTAATCACAAAAATACACTAATCAGGACTTGGATTTTTCTGAGCAATTCCTGTCGTTGAATTTTATATAGAAAATAACCAAAATTCCATCTCGCCCCACCTTCGAAAATCATCTAAGGTTATTGACAATCAATAATACGCAGTCTAGAACCACGTAAGGGCATCTTCATGGTCTATGATGTGCATGACGCCAAATCTCTTCATAGACGATCATCGTGACGTAAACACGGAGAAACTGTCCGGTGAGATTTGTATATATTCCTCCGTCATTAAGTTGTCCGTCTGAAAACGAAGATCAACCATTAATGACATCCGGAAATCAACTTGGCCAAAAGCTTTCGGTAGGAAACAAACCATGTCTGCCTCGATCACCACAGATGTCAGCAACTATGAGGCTCGGGGACATCCCACGATGAAAGCCTTGACCTGGCAAGGGAAGAATTCGGTCAAAGTCGGTCAGTCGTTACGACCTTCACTTCACTTTAACCATCTCAAAATAAATCCTGCTCATACAGTTTTTAATAGTGGAGACGGCTCGCCCGAAGATCATCGATGAAGGCGACGTTATACTTGAGGTGACGGGCAGCACCATTTGTGGGAGTGACTTGCACTTGTTCCACGGTATTTCGTGGCTTTATAACAGTTAATGAAGAGTTAGTGGATCTGCTGATGACCGATTTGTAGAGGCCATCCCAGATCTTCAGAAAGGTGATATCCTCGGCCACGAGTTCTGCGGTGTTGTCGCAAGCGTGGGGCCGGCAGTAAAGAAGGTTAAAGTAGGTGACCGCGTTGTGGCGTCCTTCCAAATTGCCTGCGGGGAGTGTTATTATTGCAAGAAGAAGTTGTCCTCAATGTGTGAGCGGACGAATTCGAACGAGAAGGCCGTTAAGCTGTATGGGCGTCGAACAGCCGGTATGTCTCCTCTTTAAATGGCTATGTTAATGTTAGCGGTGCTATCATGCTAAGCCCCACCTCAGGCATGTTTGGATACTCCCACTTCACGGGGGGCTTTGCCGGTGGGCAAGCGGAATATGTTCGTGTCCCTTACGGCGACGTGAACCTCCTTCATCTGCCTGACGATGTCCCCGATGAAAAAGGTCTTTACCTTTCCGATGTGCTGGGAACATCTTGGAACGCTGTTGTTGACACTGGGGTTGAAAAGGGCGACACTGTGGCAATTTGGGGAGCTGGCCCGGTTGGACAAATGGCAGCTGAATTCAGCTTCTTCAATGGTGCTAAAAGAGTCATTCTTATTGACGGTGGCCATGGAAAATGGCGACTAGACTTTGTTAAGAAGATTCTACCCAACCTCGAGACTATTGAGTATACAAATCTCCCGAAGGGCGAGTCTGTTACCTCAACTCTGAAGAAAATGTGCGACGGCCGCGGACCTGATGTGGCGATTGAGTGCGCCGCTGGTGAGTATTCAAAAGGGTGGGCTCATTACTTTGAGAGATTACTAGGCATGGAAACTGACACATCTGAACTCATCAACGAAATGATTACCTCTGTTCGTGGGTTCGGGCGTTGTGGTGTCACGGGCGTATATGCCGGTTATGTGAGTGATACATTTCCAATGGCAAAACAATTGCGCTGACATGACAATGCAGTGCAATCACTTCAACATCGGTTCCTTAATGGAGACCGGGATCCATCTCGCTGGCAATGGACAAGCCCCCGTGCAAAAGTACTGGAATAACCTCTTAAAGCTTATTCAGCAGGAGCAGATTCACCCCTTGCATATGGTTACCCACCGGTTCAAGCTCGAGGATATGGAGACAGTCTATGATTTATTCAATAAGCGTGAACCGTCTATTCAGAAGGTTTTCATCCAGACAAAGTTTTCCGCACCTCCTGCACCAGGAGCTCCTACGTTAACAGCCCTCTGAGCTGCCTTGTGCTAGATAAAAGTTTTCATAACAAGTTCCAATGTCTGACATGGGCTTCATATCTGAAACATCGTTTTTAGCTCGGCTCTCAATAATAAAATTGGGGAAAGTGTTACGGGCCAATCAAAAAGATCAATTCAATACATACTGACGAAGCTAGAGAGGAAAAGGAGTGTGTTCAGATAAACACGCTCGCACTCCTTGCCACAACTCTCTCCCAGAATCGTCCCAAGCTCTGTCCAGATTCCCAGTCCACCCCTACTCGTAACAGAAAGTCTACCATGAATTCGAAGGAGCGTGCTACATAACTTCGCTACTCTGTTTCTTATGGAACTTAAAGCTCAGGTAAGAAGTTGAAACTCGGCATGAAGTAACCTTCCTCAGAGGAGAGAAGAATATGGGGAGAGCAAGCAAGCACACGTAGTAGAAGAGGCCCTTATTGGACTCTTATGTATTAGAAAAACTGCGTTGCTTGCCATGTTTGAAGTAGTGCGCACGGTCATATTCGCAGATAGATGACTCCGCGGACTTTTAAAATCTTTGACTAATTGACAAGATCTAACAGACTTAACATGGTTAACTTCATACCCTGCGGTTCAAGCGATACACCCCTGCCATGTAACCTAAGCCTCATGCAGCGACAGAGTCAAGTCCTGACCGATGACCTTTCCACCTTCCAGTCGCACCTGCTCGATGGGCTGAAACACGAAAAAGACACGTAAAACACCAGAATTTTCATTCTTTTCCGTCACATTCCGCCAAGAATGAGCTGTACCTCGTTGAACAAATACATCGCCCTTTGACAATAACTTTTTCACACCAGAATCAAGGACTAATTCTGTAGTGCCATCAATTATGACACCATAGTCGAGGGTCGCTGTTCGGTGCATTGGGACTACTGAACCTGGAGGCACCTCAATAATTGTGCAGGAGGTGCCGTTCGGCGGATTCAAAGGCGATGGATCCGAAAGCTGGGAGTGATAGTGCTTGATGTCGAGGTTGGCTTTGGACTCCGGGACTGCAGAAGTTGGAGGGGAAAGCCCTTGTACAGGAAATGTACTTGTGTTATAGGCCAGAGCATAGTCTGATGTTGTGGGTTTACCAGGTGGAACGGGGAAACCAGTAAATGATACCTGCTCCCCTACCGCGTCGCTAAATATAGCTCGACCGCTGGCAGCATCATGCGTTGTTATGATCCGACGAAGCGGCTTGGGCTGTATTCGTCCGGCTGACATATTGATGTCAATGTCAAGAAAGAAACGGCGGGATACTTTAGAGTATAAGTAGAAAGACTGAGGAGTATTCCAATCGATGTTTATTATATTATCAGAAGCATATGACTCAAATGTTAGATCATCGTAAAATTAATGAGTTAATGATGAATCCATGTTCTCGTCATAGGATGAGGGTGTCATTGTGACTTTCAATTCACCATTGATCACCTTACCAAGGTCTGGAGACCCAACGAATGCTTATGTATTACTGAAAGGACTGACAGTCATTTTTTTATCTTAAGATCATCGTGGCATCAGTCGAACTATTTATGGGGTTTCGTACGTTCAGCAAAGTCTTGGAGACAGCTTTACCGTACTGTGTCACTTGGACATAGAACAGTCCTTGATTTGCCTATCCGTTACGACACATTGGTTTTGTTGTCTACGAACGGCGACTATGGTATTGTGCATCTACTATTGAGCTTCCTATTACTCCCGAGGCTTGTACTGACTGTGTAGGCGTCGGTATCGTAGCCCAGGACGCAAATAAATCCCGTAGTTTCTCTGGGGCTTTGAGTACGACTTCACCTACACCCACATCGACGTCATGCTACCAACATCCTTTGGATGATATCCCCTTTGAGAACCCCGAAACCATGTTGTATCGGTCTTGGATCCGGATGGTGGATTGCTGTCCAAGGTTTGTCAAGTGTTGTCCCTATAAAACTTACTCTTTAGTAATAAAAATCTCACGCTGGCCGAGTCGTCTGGTACGTCGGCAATTTCTCGTGAGGCCTGAGCGCCCCGAAAGCGCGATTGGCATCCCATGCGGAGAAAACAATCCTTGCAGTGCTATATATTGGCCAGCGAAAATTTGGATAGCAATCTTTGACAGCATGTAGATACTCAGTCATCATTTGCTGATACAGTGCTAGTGGGGCCATATGGAACATTTGTAGCCAATGATGCTGGATCTATTCATAATCATTGCTCTTTCTTGTCGGTTTTTCTACTCTTTTAACTCGCAACTTCCCTTCCCTATCCCGTCTTTTCTAGAAGCAAAATCACCCGGCGTTTTTCGTTAGGAGGTGGGATGGTATGAATCCTATTCCCGCGGTTAGCTCCAAAGATTCATTTAGCATTATAGTACCAAATATGACATCTTTGAAGACCAGAAGCTGGACATGAGACAGTTGTACGAGTCCTGCTCAATGAAGGGGCTATAACAAACTTCAATGACTACTTTGGTGAAAATCCGCTATTGAAAACAGTGCTCGCCAGGAATGAGGCAGTGGCAAATATCCTACTCGCTGCTGGTGCTTGTATCAATTTCCAGGATGGGAACGGTAGAACACCACTTTCGTGGGCATTAGAAATCGGGCATGAGTCAATTATTATGAGATTAGTATATGATGAGTAGATTGAGATTGATTGCACCGACTATAATGGCCGCACCCCCTATTCATGGGCAGCGGAGAATGGTCATGCGCATGTCATTCGACTCATGCTTAAGACGAGGCAGGTCAACCCTGATTTCCGGGATGAATTTCATCGATCACCTCTGTTCTTGGCGGCTGAAAAAGGTCGCACCGACGTAGTAAGAGTACTCCTTGACTCTGGCCTTGTCAACCCCGACTCTCGAGATATTGAAGGTAGAAGCCCGAGAAAGGTCATGCCGATATTGTGCAACTCTTAGTTGTTCAAAGTACAGTCGAAATATGTTTGTTTGACAAATTTGGTCAGACGCCGTTCTCGAGGGTATTATCGCAAGGAAATATGGAAATTTTTCGAATTTTACAAGGTGCTGGCGAGCACGATAGAAAGTTACATAGTCTAGGCTTGAAGGAAGAGAATGACCCAGAGGAAAATATGTGGGCAAATGTAGAAACAGCCTAACAAGTGGTAAATCAGGGTCCTGGTGAAACTTCATCATGGAAGAAAAGCAAGGGCTCAGATGCAGATGCCATGCAACCCGTCAGAACCTCAAAAGCTGGTACACAACCATTGCCCTGGAAAAGAATCGACTCTGAATACGATACCATACGGGGAAACCCCGAGTATCAAACTCAGATCCTCCTCCTTGAGAATCAAAGGAGGAGATGATTAATGATGCAAGAGATTGACCAACAGGAAGACTATCAGTATCGATGTGCTGGAATTGAAGATGCTGTCAAAGGTCGAAACTCGCCTCCTTTCCAAACTAAACACATCATTAGCTCTAACAAGAATGGAATTTTGGGAATTTAAAATAAAAAAGCAAAGAGGTATCGTAATAACCCCTTAGAGTTATTTAGCTCTAATCTATTGATTTTACATGCCTTCAGTGTTGTACATTTCTGAAGTTTGACAATGAGCAGTTTCATGAGATTTCAAAACGGGACATAGTCTCATTTAGATTGTAATACTTTAATCAGGAGCCTAAGCAATCGATCAAAATTGATCATTTTCTTTTCTCGTATCTCTCTCGCTACCAAACTCTTTGAGTCAAAGTTATGGCTAAATGCAGACTCTCGGATCATAAACCGTCTTGGGGTCACACCAACAGGCCTCCAATGTATCTTGTCTCCCTGTTTGAGATATGAATAAAGTTTGTATTTTCACACGGCTTGGCCCGTAACAAAGCAGATCTCGAGCATCAGGTGCAAAAACTAGTTGTTGGGTCTCCGCTTCCAAGTTTGACTGTCGCTTCGGAGGATAAAGCCCGCCCCAAACGACAGTTTCACACAACCAAACAACAAACCTCAAATAACAATCACTAAGAAACTTCAAAGACCCTGGCAGAGAGTGTGCAAATATCAACCATCAGTCATCAGCCATGTCGATTTCCGTGTTCACCCTAACCGCTCTGTGTGTATGTATAAATATTTGGCTATCAGCTGTAGAAAAGTTATTGACAGTGTTGATTATCACAGGCAGCGCTCTACTACACCATAGCAATCGCATACAATCTCCTCATTAACCCACTTCGCCACATCCCTGGACCAAAACTCTACGCAATCTCCCATCTCCCGATCCTACGCCGCAACATCAATGGCACATGGTGCCTCTACGTCAGCAAACTACATGAAAAATATGGTCCAGTCATCCGTGTCAGTCCAAACGAAGTATTATTCATATCCCCCTCTGCATGGAATACCATTTGGCGGAGCAAAGGAACCCGCTCGTTCGAGAAAGATCCGCTCAATTACCCCCCTACCCTGACAGGAGTCGACAACATGCTCATCGCCAACTCAAAAGCCCATCTTCGCATGCGCCGCGCACTGAATCCTGCGTTCACTGATGGAGCAATCCTAGAGCAGGAACGAGACATTCAGAAATTCACAAACTCGCTCGTCTCGAAATTAAAACAAAAAGCGGCCTCAGGTACCCCTATTGATATGCAGCAATGGTTTAGCCTTTACACCTTTGATTTGGTCGGGAAATTGTTGTATTCTCGGCCCTTTGGATGCTTGCAAAGTGAAGAGCATCATCCATACGTTGCCATGATCTATGATTTGATAACGATGGTTCCGTATCTCAGTATCTTCTCACGTTTAACTGTTTTCCAGCTCCTGATCAAAGGATGGAATATGGATGGACTGACTTGGCTGGCGAGATATTTTATTCCCAAGAAGACATACAATGCGTTTAAAGAATTACTTATGTTTACATTCTATGCAACTAAGGAAAGTGTTCACAGAAGAGACACCCGCAGACGTGACTGGATCTCCTACTTCCTTCGAAATAACGGAGAGTCCACCATGAGCGTTGACGAACTTGGCGAAACTTCGGCTATCTTGTTCATTGCGGGAAGCGAATCTGTTGCTTCGACTGTTACCTCCACGCTATGGTTTCTTATGCAAAATCCCATCTCGTATCAGACACTAGTTGAAGAGATTCGCACATCTTTTCGTGATGAATCTGAAATCACCATAACAGCATTAAAGAAACTGCCATATCTCACTGCAGTGCTCGAGGAAACTATGCGCCTTCGACACCCGACTCCGCCTGGATTTGCCAGGACCGTTCCCAAAGATGGTGCATATATCGATGGCTATTTCATCCCAGAAAACGTGAGTTCGATGATCCTAACCTATACATTCAAGAGACACCCTGCTTATAAACCCATCTTTACAGACAAAAGTATCAATAAATAGCATGGCAGCTAACACATCACCACTCCATTTCAACCACCCTCACAAATACGCGCCAGAGCGCTGGCTTAGATATCCCGGCTTCGAAAACGACCAACTCGTAGCCTCCCAGCCATTCTATGCCGGGCCTCGTGATTGTATTGGGAAAGGGTATGTACATCATCCTATCAACTAGTTTTTATTTGAAATCTAAAAATGTCAAACAGCCTTGCCTGGGCCGAAATGCGTGTGCTCATCTCCAAGTTCTTTTGGAACTTCGATGTTGAGCTTTTGCCTGAGAGCTCCGGCTGGGATCAACAAAAGGTATACATCATCTGGGAGAAAAAGCCACTTTGGGTAAAACTTGCGCCTGTCAAGAAGGGATAGGAGATGAGAGCTAGTAGATGTAGTCGGGGATGTTACATGGGCCATAGGACTTGGCGTTCAACCGTTCTATCGGTTGGCGGTGTATGCTCTTGTAGCGGAACGTCTAATGCTGATATATCATTCATATGCAACCTAATCCCATCTATGCTCAATGAAGAGGAAATCGTTAAGTTAGCTAGTTGTTTGTATTATACATTCAAGCAAGCATTCTATTCTGCCTCATCTGCCTCGTCGTCAACATCGATGGATTCAACTAGGAGGTTACCACTCCGTCCAATCCTTTCTTTCACACTTCCACCATCTCCAACTTCGTAGACAGTACGAGGCATGGGCAATACCAATCTAAATCCATATTTATGCTCGAACCCTTCCGGCTCTGGCACGGACTCAGATTCTTGGGCAGTCTGCAGTAAATCATAGCATTCGACAAAGGCATAGACTTCCTCGAGCTCGGCATCAGCGAGGAACTTCCGAATCACACGCTCACCTGAGGGCAGCCGAATACTGATGCGGACGATATCCTTGACATCGGCTCCAGGTTCAGCGGGTAGAGATTGCGCACGCCATTTCTTCCACTGTTGGAAATCGCTGGCTCGCTTTTCTTCGGCCGCGATACGTGCGGCTTCTTCGGCCTCGGCGCGCTGTTGTGCAGCTTCCGCTTCGCGGCGCTGGCGTGCTCGTTCACGGTCTTGGGCTAGAGATCGTTCATAGGCAGAGTCTTGTTCCTGGCGCAAGGTCCGGGAAGCCTGTTGCTCGGCTCGCCGGGAGCGTACACGGTCAAGAGGATCTTTGTTTTGGGATATAACGGTACGGAGTTTTGATAGAAATTCTGAAGGGGTTGTATTTCCAGGGATTCTGCCAATATTGGACATGGCATTGGAGCCGGTGTTTGGTGTATGGACAACCACGGAGGCGAATGGGAACTTGGTGCAGCGCAAGGAATTGGCGACCTGGAACGCTTCCGAGTCTTGAACATTGCCTCCCCACAATAGAATCTCATTGCTGGGATCATTTATGTATTCTGCAACTTCGTTCGATAGTAAGGTTTCCTTGACCCAGGTGGTCGTATCATCATGCTCTGGTGACAACAAGACTACTACAAGAAACTTTAATTCTCGATGGGCTCGCTCCAGTGCCATGTTATAGCCATTCTCCATAAAGGGTAAAGGGTGACTTCCATATTCTTCCTCAAACTCTCGAATGAATCGAGCAGCTGTGTCTTTCGGGCCCAATGCCCTCCGGCCGCTTGTATTTCGAGTGCCCTGTAAGGACGAGTTTGTAGCGATATTGAGCCATCGTGGCAAGAAGGGGAATAGAGTCCCGAAAAGACGGAAAGAGCTGAACAGAATACGGTAGAGTAGATTGAACGGTGAGAATAACAAGCTCAGTATTAAAGGAGGTCGGAAAGCTGGTTGATCCTCGGGTTGCGTATCAATGCGAGGAGCGGGCTGGAGACCAGTCGTTTGGGTTGGCTGAGGAGGGGAGCGCGGGGGCGGACCATCATCATCATCGTACATCAGGTTCTGGGTGCGTCGGATATCCTGTGGAGCGTTCAGAGCAGCGCGGGCTTCCTCGACTGGATCAGGGCCCTCGCCGTCGAAGAACTTGGAAATGGCGATCTGGATCGGAAGAAGCGTCGTCGTTAGCACATGGACAGCACTCTGGTGGCATGGCTGAGCTTACCTGGACATTCCATTGTGATCGCTGAAGCAAAGGGATAGCTGAAACGGGTTCTTGGCCAGTCACGGTCATGTAAGTTTGAAGAGCCGTCTGCTGGTTCTCGGACAGCTCGCCAGTGTCGGCTGCACCGTTGGCTGAGGACATGGTGAGCAAGTCGCACTATTGGAGTGCGCACTCCATATGCTGGATTGACGGCGCCAATCAACACTTTCGACGACTGGGCTGCTGGTATTATCGAAAGGGACTGGAAATGCGCAGGGGGTACATAGGTATGGGATGCTGGCCAGAACAAGAGAGGGCAGAGAACAACGACGAATGGGTTGGTGTTAAGGCGAGCTTGCAGCTTCTGGCCCGTGCGCGATGACGCTGTGCCACAGCCATCAGGCTGCAGTCCGAGTTCAGCCTCGACAAGAACGATATCAATGTATATGCCATGATATTAATAACTCGAGGTGCTTACTACGCCATCTGGAGTACTCGGCACAACGGACTGTTTTTTCCCAGTCCAGATACTTTATATTCACGTCTTGCAGCTGTCTAAGCTGGCCGGCCATAAACTGTTGCCACAGATTCCTCGAGTCCAGGATTGGAGTGGACACATCATCCCGGCCTGCAGCAGCCAAGGCACATCGCGTACAACCAAGCACACATCAATCTACTTGTCTCAACCTCAGCTCAGCGCCTGAGCAGTGTAATAACGAAATAAACCAGCCCACGCCTAGGACACAGCCCAGGCTCCGGCGACGGCCCACCCGCCCGCGCTCCGTAATCGTAGTCGTCATTAGCTAGTGCCAATGTTAATGTGAATGGCAATGCGTCCCCCACCGCTGCTGTTCCTCCTTCATTCATATCAAGACCTCCGCGAGAGCTCTCTTGCTGCTGGCATTGCGTCGTCCCTTGACGTCCCCGGTGGCAGCCGATCGGCCCTTGTTATTCTTACCTCTCTTGTTATCGCCTTCTGGACTGAGCAGGCAACCCCAAGCCGCCTCCCTCTAGATAGCGTTATAATTTAGTACGACACGACTTCCACGCAAAGAGGAATGCACGATCCTCCCAACTTCCACCGCTCCCCGATTCTCCTGTGTGTCGAGTCCATGGATACCGTCTAGCGCTGAGATCCGGCGCCTCTGATCTTTCAATAAAACCATGGCTTCCGCGACCAAGTCGGGGTTGGACGATTCACGTCGCAGCTTAGGATCACCGAAGCTGCGAGGACGAGGTCGGTTCCCCCTGCAACCCATGCCTTTCTGGTGTCGTGCTTCGCTAACTCAGGCTGTGGAAGCAGAGAACACGAAAGATACTTTATGTCGAAATATCACCATATACGGGAAATGTCGATTCGAGGATAAGGGTACGCGTGCTCGGCGGAGGTGTCGCAACGTGTTGGGACGGAAGCTGATGTCGGGTTCTTGCTCTAGGCTGCGCATTCAATCACGACCCTCAAAAACTTTACAATGCGAATCAAAATGATAGGTTGGGAGCCTTGTTTGTTTGAATGCTACTTACTCCAAGATCTCGGTCAAATCGAAGCACGAGCTGATATGGGGGTCCCAATTATCACAGCAAAAAAAGATTAAATGTCGACTCTCCCAGTTTCACCCCGGCCGTTATTGGAGCCAATGGCTCGTCGTCGAAGAAGCCAAACTCCATCTCGCCCAAAGCCGCCGTCGCGGCTCCGTTTCTCCCCAAAGGTGCGGCATCGCATACTGGAATGCTTGTCGTTGGATAGCTTTTGCTGATCGTCTTCCTAGCTTCTGGCACGAGCACGCCGCCGATACGCCCTGACACAGCGTCTTCAGATTGGACAGTGGCGGAAGTGCCCGATTTTGTCCCTCAAGGACTCGATGCATCTCAGGTGGTGAGTAGGATAGTGAATCTTTTGATCGATTGAGTGTGTCGGCGTGGTTGAAGGGTGGGAGTGACAGCGACTGCCTGGGTTGTCCTGGCAGGGTAGCAACTGCCTTCTGCCAAACTACTCCTGCTCCTCCACCCTCCCTTCTTGGCTTCTTCCCTATGTTTTCTCTTTCTCTTTCTCTTTCTCTTTCTCCTCTTCTGCTTCTTAGACTTGACATGCAACGCCTGCGTCTCCCTGAAGAACCATGGCGCAAGCAAGCACTGCAAAGCAAGATCCCTCTCAAGCAGGTGATTCCCCTACCAGTTTGAACGCCCGCGCCTCTTCATTCGAACCTGGTAGTCTTCGGTCAACCTCTCTGCCGTTGGGGTTCTCGCCTGATTCTGCTGCCACTGCTGAGCATCCCAGTCGATCATCACAGTCCCTTAACACTCCATCTCCCCTCCCCTCTCACTCTTCGCCCCATGAGTCGCGGCGTGTTCCCAAGCGAAGCCCTCATCCCATTTCTGCTTCTAGCATAAACCGTAACCCTGATTCCTGGTCTAGACGTGTCTTCTCCAGTATTGAAGATAGTCCTGACACTAGCCATTTCCCCCAATGCGAATCCTTACCTAGTCACTTCTTTCGTTCGTCTTCTTTGCGTGAGGCACAGACTTCATACCGCCGTTCCGTCTCTTTTCCATCTTCTCATCTCGTTCTGGCACCTGTTCTCTCGGGTCCTTCTACGTCCGAGTCAAATCGTTTCCTAACTGACCAAAACGAAATGCAGGTATCCTTGCAGGGCAATCCAAATGGCGTTCTCAACCCTGCAGCCGCCTACGACCCTTTTGTGACAACCCCGGGCTCTTTGGCCGCCAGTGGCAGTGTTACATCTCATCCTGTCCAGGGAAACCCCTATTCACACGACGCCGCAGCAGCTGTAGCTGCGTCCATGGGAGGCACGGCTTTCTTTTCAGGCCAAGCAGGCTTTCAGCAACCAGTCCAGTATCATCTTTATGCCCCCGTTGGTCCTCATAGTCAGAATATCCACCCCCATAACCGCAATGTTCACGATCTCTTTTTACCAAATGACTTCAGAGAAGAATTGCAGAAGAAAGCTGCTGCTACCCTGCAAACTCTACCGAGTAAGCTGTTTTCCCTTATGAGGAGCTTTAGCTGACTGGTCTTTTTAGATTCCTCTTTGCCCGCCCATGTCGACAACTTTCACTCGTTGGTACCTTTGGATTTGTCTCACCAGAAGAATGCATCTATATTCGGGTACCCTAGTTGGGTTTACAAAGCGCAATCTGGCAAGGATGGAAATTTCTACGCACTCCGTAGGCTTGAAGGATTTCGCCTGACAAACGAAAAAGCTATCCGATCCGTCCAGGCGTGGAAGAAGGTTACGAATGGCAGCGTTGTGACGGTACATGATGCTTTCACAACCCGAGTGTTTCAAGACAGCTCTTTAGTCTTCGTCATGGACTATCATCCCTTGTCCAAAACTCTTGCCGAGCAACATCTCGGAGCAGGCAGTCGTTATGCTGGGCGTGCCACCACGGCGATTCCTGAAGCAGTCATGTGGAGCTACGTTACGCAGATTGCTTCAGCATTGAAGGCAATTCACAGCGCCAAGCTTGCAGCCAGAATCATCGACCCGAGCAAAATTATTCTAACTGGCAAGAACCGTATCCGGTTAAGTGCTTGTGCAATTATGGATGTAGTGCAGCACGATACTCAGCGATCTATTGAAGATCTTCAACACCAAGACTTGGTTAATTTCGGACAGCTTATGCTCGCACTCGGAGCAAGCGCTTCTGGTGTGGTAGGTAGCCCAACAAAATCCATGGAGTACTTTAGTCGCGCATATAGCCCTCAGTTGAAGAACTCGGTGATATGGCTGCTCAATGCGATGCAGATGGACCAGGAACGCAACATCGATATATTCATCAGTGGAATATCTTCACAGCTTATATCTACATTTGATTCGGCACTTCACATGGACGACCAACTTACTTCGGACATCAGCCGAGAGCTTGAGAATGGACGGCTTGTTCGACTGTTGACCAAGTTGAATTTTGTCAACGAGAGACCTGAATACGAACATGACCGACAATGGTCTGAGAATGGAGAGCGCTACTTCCTCAAACTTTTCCGTGACTACGTTTTCCATCAAGTGGACAGCCAGAATTCGCCAGTGGTGGACCTGGGCCATGTCCTGAACTGCCTGAATAAACTCGATGCAGGCACCGAAGAGAAGGTGACGTTGATCAGTCGAGACGAACAGAGCTGTTTTATCGTGAGCTACAAGGAGCTCAAGAAGGCGTTGGAGTCTTCGTTCCAAGCTCTGATGAAGCCGACAAGACGGATGCACTAGTCATCCATTAACGCGGCCGGTGTTGCCGCACCTCAGCTATGAGGATATGCTGACAGTATAACTTAGTATAACTTTAGGCGGGCACTGAGATGCTTTGCTTGTTTGGTATATGAAGTATAAGAATTCCAGAATGTCTGGTACGTGTATTGGGGATTGCAGGAATATATTGTAGCTAGAGCTTGGTAACTTGATTGTTACGTCACGTATTTAGTAACTATAAATTTAAATTTCTATTCATTTTCTCATCGCCAGTCATTTCAAACAGTCATCAGCTGAGGTTCAAAGAAGCCATCACTCTTCCTGCTGCAAGAAGGGGTTTGCGATCTCCTCACTGCCATCGGCGGGCGAAATGAGCACGAGCAGAGTGCCGCGAGCGACTATCAAGCCAAGTGAACGGGTCGTCTCATTTCCAGACTCGTCTGTGATGATCAGCACATTCCTCATATAGTGGCGATATAAGATCAGAAATCTCACCTCGCATTGTTTCCTTAACATCGTCCAAGACAAGGTTCATCAGCTGATCATATCCTTTGAGTATACCGCTGACTAGGCAAGTTAGCATAAATAAGTGAGAGAGATATATATAAGAAAGGGCTAGGAAACTCACCCTCTCGTCCCCCGTTAAACTTGACATTCACCTCCTTGTCCATATACTTGGTCAAATCCAGGATGTTCTCCTTCTTGGGCTTCTCCTGCTGCGCGCCTGCGCCCGCACCGCCACTAGCACCGCCACCTCTGCTCTGCTGGGTGGAGTGGGCGCCACGACGGTCACCGCCTCCGCCTCGACCGCGCCCGCGGAATGAGCCTCGCTCAGACATAGAAGAATGATTGATTGAATAGGAGGAGGAAAGGAGAAAGGGTAGGGGAGCGACCGTGTCGCTGGGTCACTGTCTCTCTGTCTGTCTCTGTCGCCCTCTTGGGGTCAGGGTTGCCACTGTTCCCAATCAATGCTAATTCGTCGCTGCGGTTGCGTTTGCTTAGCGGAATCAGCGTAGAAGAGTTTGCCGGGTTTTTGGCGTGTGTGTCTGTGATGTACTAGGTAGACTCTGGAGGACTGTGGAGCGGACAGTCAGTGCTGGCCTAGCAAGGGGGGGAAGCTGGCGAATGAGGTGCAGTAGCTAGTCCTGGAGCGAGGGACGCGTGGTCGTACTGTTGTAGTATTAGTAGGTCCGTTACGGACTGGTGGTAGTAGAGATTTGGTGGTGCTGTGCGGCGGCAAAAAAGTCAGCCGGGGACGATACGTTACAGTACGGTACAGTAGAGATTGTAGGAGAGCTAGGGGGACAGAGCGCGCGGAGATAAAGGATTACCGAATCGATACCACGCCAAGGAACCGCCAATGAGCGTGTCCGAGCGTGCCGGGCTGTCCGGGCAGCGGAACTCCGCTCTACGCACTCTACATATTCTGGCTGCTACTCGCACTGCAGAACCATTGATGGTTGTAATATAGGTAGATATATGAATACACATCCTGTAGAAGTATTTGTGTCATAAATAATCAATCCGTGCCGAAGTTGTTAGCGCTGGCTAATCAGAGCTTATCGCAGCCCTAGCCTGGTCTGCGTGCCGACTGATCCATGTCCGCTCCGGGTCCCCCCCGATTCCACCCTTCCTTCCACCTTCCACCTTCCACCCCCCTCGATCTGCTCTCCTGCCTCGTTCGCATGCTCTACAAACTCACCACCTTTCAATGTCTGCCATTTCTTTTCGCTGGTATTTAGTTTCCTTGTGAATTGTTCGTCTGGACTATTTCTGACGTCTGTCAGCCCTTGCCAAGTCTGCTCGCTGCAGTCTCGTTGGGTATCGTGATTTTTTCTGCTCCACCCCAGTCGCCCGTGGCCGCATTGCTTTTGCTGCGGAACCACTTCCATTTTCTGGTGAAAAGCTGGAACTGGTGAAACTACTGGTCTTTTTTACGTCGGCCGGCCTCAATCTGATACTGTCGATAAGGATAAGGCAATTTTCGACGGCTGATACAGCTATGCAACGCAGTCTTGTCAACTGCCTTGAAGGTTGCTTGCTGTCAATGCCTGTCGCCAACCGCACATCTTGCAGTTAATAAACACCCCAGTTGATTTCCAACCCGGTGTTGCTATGGAGGCCAGATTCGCGACAGGCGACACATCGTCGCAAAAGCGACCGCGATCAACCTCGGGCGATTTCTCGCCGAATGTCTCCAAAGTCCCTAGAACCCAGTCGAATCACCTGCACATCAACTACCTAGCCCGCCAGTACCCGGACAACCTCCCTCTTGTCTCAACAGAAGACAGTCTACCGAATATCTTGCGCCTTATTGGGGAGTATGATGGCGTCCTGCAACGACACGAAAGCATCGCAGGAAACCTCGGCGCATGTCCCCTAGGCCCAATCCTGATGAAACGATTCGAGCGCTTGTTTGAGGGACCGCCGCGCGTGCTGAAATCAAACGGGAAAGAAGGTATTAATATTAGTTGGCTGGACGTCGTGGAGTTTGCGAAGAATAAACCCGATCAGTTCAACCTGGAAAAGACCCGGAATGGGGTGCGCGTTTGTCAGTTTTATACGAAACAATGCAGAGTGGAAATCTCGGAGGAGGACCATGTGTTGATTGCGTCGGGCATGCCTCAAAAATTGATCCCGCCTCAGCCGATTGATGAAGACGAAGAGAAAGAGGTCGGGTCGCTGGAAATTCTGGAGAAGAATCTTCAGCAGATTATTGCAATGACGGATTCTGGTGAGTACAAAGACAGTATAGAAGATATGATGGCTAACATTCTGCAGCTGCTGCACGCGCAAGGCAATTGAACCATCGTTTAGAAAGCCGCCGCAAAGCTATCATTACTCGCCGTGAAACTGACCGCAACAAAAACTCTCAAAGTCCGCCATTACCTGAAAACGCCTCTCCTGACAATTCTACTGGCTTGAACGGAACTACACATCCTCAATCTCCGCCCGGCTTTACTGCGGTCAATAGCAATGTCGCCAGAACAGCGGAGTCCGGCGAGCAGTCTTCCAGCCTTTCGTCCCACTTCATGCTATCTCACCCGAATACAGAAAACATCACTATCATCAACGGCACCAACATCAAAGGAGCTTCACCCGCAACTCGCGAGGAGCTTATGAAGAAATTCTTCACTACCGCGGACCGCACAGCCCGTGGTTTAGACGTCGAACCTGCATCATCATCATCATCATCATCATCCCTTTCAAAACAAGCCTCGCGCCATCGTCCCAGAGGCTCAGATGCATCATCTGACTTACCTGCTGCTGCTGTATTCGGCAGCTCTGCAGGACCAGGAACAGTAGCCATCCCGAACACACCATCATCTCTACTTCCACAACCGAAACCAATTAATCACTATGAGCGCGATGATGGAGGGCCCTTTAAAATGGAAATGGTAGCCCGCATGGACGAACTCCAACGCGGCGAACGGATACTCCCTCCTTGCGATCGCTGCCGTCGCCTTCATATGGACTGTCTCAAAAATCTAACCGCGTGCGTAGGCTGTACAAAGAAACACGCCAAATGCTCGTGGAAGGACGTCAAAGAGGATGAACTCCGCGACAGTCAACTGCGAGTCCAAACACGCGAGTTGGGTACACATGCCCCAAACAGCACCGAAACAAACAACCACAACCCCCACAATAGTCCTGACCACCGTGATACAGACCATCCACATATCCCGCCAAGCGTAACATCAGTCGCCAGCAGCGGACGCGCAGAGTCGACATCCAGTGTACCGATCCAGTCGGAAACGCTCGATCTACCACCCCTCCGCCGCACAAACAGCGAAATCCATGCTGTGATGTTAAACAATAACGATAGCAATCCGCACAACCATGACCAGGGTGGTTATGATCGGCGCAGTATACACCAACGAAGCATGGCCTCACACAGTAATCGCGATGAGGACGATAATCTGATTCAGGCAATTCGCGATACTGTGCAGTCATGGAAGTAAATTTTCTTCTTCTTCTTTGCTTGTGTTAATGATACCACTGTCTATATCTTCATACCTTGAAGTATACGAGCGTCTTGGTTGGCTTTTATAATGACCTTCTTGTATCTATTGCTCTTATGATATATTACGCCCTTCGCCTCTGTACATAAACCCAGCAATCTTACGTGCCATATACCTGACCAGATCTGCTCCTATATTTACGCTCACAATATCTATACGTACCACAGTCATTTTTACATATAACATTATTATCTAGTAGGAGCATCAAGCAAGGCCAAAGGGCATTCTAGACGCTAGATTTCTACCTACAACGACCCGACTAAATACTTCCTGAAGTGAGAAGGTGCTCAGCTGCGCTCTTCGATGCAGGACATAAGAAATCGGCGCAAATGGACAGAAGCAACTGAGATAGTCCATGTCAACGATGAAGACTGTGGAATTCCTAGTGGCTATACACATAAAATAACCTAATAGGTGGTGCATGATATAATCCTAGGACATATTGAACAGGTGCGTCAATATCTTGAATCGTCCAGAGTCACATATCTTCCTCCACGGCGTCAACTCTCGAAAAATCTGCTTTTCAACGCTAACGACGACTGTATTGATGACGATAAAAATGACGACGACGAGTCTCCGAATAAATACGTCGAAACATCTGCCAAAACCTGCCAACATCTGACCGCTTGCGAGAGGTATCCGCAAATGGTTGAGCTTCTCCCAGAAAAGGGAGCCGATCCAAATGCCAGGGACGTTGGTGATTGTGAATCATGCACAAAAGAGAAAAGTTAATTACATGTATACAGCCGCCTCTGCTATAGTTACATGTAGCAGCAGAGGTGAACAAGGAAATTCCTTATGGATACAAAGGATTGTTTCGTCACTCAGCTAGGAGATTTCCAGGTCGTCTTTACCGAGAGAGGGAACAGGATGCAAGGGAATTAATTCAGATGGGTTTCTGTGAAAGTAGGTTATGGTCTTAAAATCCAGCAGCTACATATATATTCAACCTTTCAATGTATTCTGCCTTATAAGCGTATTTTATGATCTCGTATGCATTCGAATGCCATCAATTCAACCGATTGTTCGTAGCTCCACGTTGAGATTTCCTCTTTCAGACAGATAATTCAGGAACAGCCACCTTTATCTGGGATTTCCTCAATATGTAATTAGGAAATAGACTTTTATTGAATATGCAGTAATAATCACTAATGTATCTGATACAATGTTGACTTGAGCAACGAAGGAGGAATTCCGATGATAAGGGCACCCCATCGAGGAAATCACCAATCCCGAATTAGTTGTTACATCACTGGACATTCGGACCGTTACTTGATTGGAAATGCGGGGAAATCATAATTATTGTTCAGGTCTGTATATCCGGAGGGGCCGTTTGTTGTATTTCTACCTATATAAGTGACATTTAGTTGTCTGTATGAATATCTAACAATTACAACTAATCAATCATTTATTCTTTCTTGATTAAAAGCATTGATACAATATTAATTAGCAAGGCCTCTAGCAATTTCGGCAAGTGTATTGCACAGTACCCGAGAGGAATCCGGGGAGATGCAAAGTGTGGGCAAACATATTTCCGTATTTCCTGGAGTTGACTTTATATACCTAGCTCTCCCAGTTATTGCTCGGTACTTATACAAATATCTGCCCGGTAAGCTGTAAGGATTCAGAACATTGCGCATGTAATATGATCAATTATCTTGCAAACCCATACCTTACAAACTTTGAAATCGACTTATAATACCGTAACCGACCATTGATCAACATTCGGAAAAAAGAAATATCAAACAAAAGTGCTGAATAGTGACATTGAAATTACTGTTCAACAATAAAAATAAGATGGACCCGTCCCAAGTCAAAATCCCCCCGGTTAAAGACCTCACCATCGACAACATCACCGAAAATGTCATTCTCATCAACTCGCTCTGCAAAGACCCACGAATGAAATATGTTCTCGAAAGGCTTGTTACTCATCTGCACGACTTTGCACGCGAAACCCGACTCAGCTCGAACGAATGGATGGCGGGCATTAATTTCTTGACAGAAACTGGAAAGATCTGTACCGACGTGCGACAGGTTAGTCCGAGACCACCTCCATACATATACATGTATTATAAAACGGAGTACATGTATTGACCAGTTAGGAATTCATCCTCCTCTCTGACGTCCTTGGCCTGTCACTCATAGTCGACTCAATCGACCACCCGAAACCCCCAAACTCCACCGAAGGCACCGTGCTCGGCCCATTCCACACGCACGAAGCACCGACCATAACCCAAGGTGAAGACATCTCGCACGATGCCGACGGCGAGCCCTTACTTGTAGTCTGCAATGTCAAGGATAGGGCCGGAAATCCTCTCAACGGTGTGAAAATCGATATCTGGGAAACCGACTCGTCAGGGCACTACGATGTTCAGCACGCTGATCGCTCGGGCCCGGATGGGCGTGGCGTGATCCTTTCAGATGAGAATGGCGAGTTCTGGTTTAAAGCTATTAAGCCAGTTCCGTACCCAATTCCGCATGATGGTCCCGTGGGAAAGCTACTGGAGAAGTTGCATAGACATCCGTACAGACCGAGTCATATGCATTTCATGTTTGAGAAGGAGGGGTACGATCATTTGATCACGTATGTCATCAATTATCAAGGGGGTTCGTGCAACTAACGTAAATAGATCACTCTATCTTAGAAATGATCCCTACGAAACATCCGACGCCGTTTTCGGGGTCAAAAATACTCTGGTTGTTGATCTAGGAAAAGTCGACAGCGCGCTGGCGGCCAAGTACGGCATTGCTGAAGGATCGTGGCTGATGACGTATGATTTCGTGCTTGTGACTGACATGGAAACGAGCGAGTTGCGTGCGTATAATTCTCAGATGGCTTTGGAGAAGCTGGGTCGGAAAGTAAGGATTGTGAATGGGCTGCCAATTCCGGATTTAGATTGATTTTTAGGCCTGTCAATTAACATTCTAGGGAGATTACCGATTTACAAACGTGAAGAGATACTTACTTAGAAAGAGAGTCAAAGCCTTAATTCGAAACTTAAAACATACATATCAAGTAACATCTTGTGGCGTACAGGATACCAAGTCCGGGGGTTCAATGTTTGTCTGGGAAAATATATTCGCTACCCCCAGTTACATTTGTAACCCGAACCAACCCAGCGAAAAAACCGGCTTTTTAATCTTACTTTCGTGAATATATATATATATGAAACTATTTTAATATTAATCTAAATTGAGTCGGCGGCAACTTTAGGCCCCCCTATACACCCGATATTCAATGTTATCTAATAGATTGTTGCGACTGCTTTCTTCGATTGATGTTCCGCTGCGTGTCGTGGTGGAGTTCATGTGTAGGCTATGGCAGATCTATCGGTGGGATTTTGAAACGAAGGACGAACAATGAAACTATCCATTGCTAATTCTTATATGGAAAGGCAAATATAACTACATCGTTGATAACAATATGATACACGGCGCATTATATACCCGCTGACCCACCGGAGGGAATAGGGGAAGTCAGGTCGTCGGTCATTATTTGGAGATGTCTGGAATTATTGCGACTTTACCGCGCAATAACTCCATTAAATCCGTCAGTAATTTGCGTAGTTTTTATCGGAATAAATTCTATAAGTCTTGTCACATAAAGATTTTCGAACTCAGTGAAAGCATGCAGTTGGACAAGCTAAGTATTGGTGGATACAGGCAGGCCAATAAACTCCGAGCTACAGCCATTTATATTCAAGAGTTAGGATTTGAACGTCCGAATTAGTATTCAGATGTCCTATATTTTCCTTTCTTCAATGCCAAATCCTGTCAACTGGTAGGTGCTTGACACGGCTAGGATACAAGTAGGAAAAGCTTATAATATTGAAACATAAGTAGCAATCAGTGTTTCATCTACTGGACACTCATTTCTAGTGCTCCCAAGCCAAAAATAGAAGTCTGACTAATTCTTTCGCAAGACTAGTAATGAGAAACGTTATACCTTTCCATAAGTATGTAGTCAATCTTCATTCTAACTTTAGTTTTTTGTGAGCCAGCGATTCTTTAAGGCTAAACTTCCGCAGCCACTAGTCCTAATGAGAAGAGTAATCATTTGTCTCTTTACGGTCCCACCCTGTGAGTCGTCCAGATTCCGTATTAGGCAAGCTTTAAGTTGTCGAACTGTTAGTGCAGCGTTGAATTAACTCTCTATGTATTCCTATTATTTCGGTGTCAAGTAGTAACCCCCGATGGTGTAGTTGGATATCACGCCGGGCTGTAATATTACCGTATTGGAACCTGGAGGCCACCGGCTCGACTCCGGTTCGGGGGATCTTTTTGTAACTTTTTGCGTCACGCCTCTTTTCTTGTAGACATTTTGGAGCTGTTATTTCTCTTGTAATTATATCTTCAACCCAGCAATAACCCCCGATGGTGTAGTTGGATATCACGCCGGGCTGTAATATTACCGTATTGAAACCTGGAGGCCACCGGCTCGACTCCGGTTCGGGGGATTTAATTTTTTTTGTAACTTTTTGTGTCTCGCAGTTTCTTTTCTTGGTAGACATTCTGGAACGGTCATTTTTTCCTATTTGCATATCCAAACCCCACTGGTCTCGATCCATATCTCTTGAACTCGTTGCACAATGGTCATTGATGTACCAAGTTGGGTTTCACGCAGGGTCGCAGCTTACCCCGAGGGCGACGCTTGTGCTCTATTTTTCCCGTAATTTACACAACATCACTGTTAGATTAAACCCATGTATATTACCTTGATATGTAGAAATATAAATATTGTTGATATGATAGGCTGGATTAATCGACCACCATAGAAGGGAAGAAAATAGGTTTCTCAGTCTAAGATTTTTAAGAGAGAGGGGAACCATTTTAAAGGCTTCCATTGACACATAACAGGATAAGGTAAAAAGTGCACTGGCCGTGATGCTATTTCAAATGTTGTTGCAAGGCAAATGTCGTCTAATGCAGGCTAGTAATTTAACATTGCCCCTTGTCGAATTTATTGCGCACTATGCAAAACGTTGGGAAGTTACGACCGAGTTATTTATAAAAATATGTCTGAATTGTCATGTATTTAGAAAGACGGCTTCTGTCCCAATCGTTATCGTTGGTTAATAATCGACCCCTACATCTAGTGCGTACAAAGGTCTACACTCCTCTACAGAGATACGAAGGCCTATGACAGTAGATATCGATACTATGAGATCATGTTCCATTGGTATGTATAATATCTCAAATTTATGAATTAGTATGTCATTGATGTATATCAAGATTGATCAGCCGCCATAGTGTGTTGGGTTTGATATGTGTTTGTAACTCATTAGTTTGTGTGCGTTTCTATTGACGAGAGGAAATGTTCATGTACAACATCGATTTGTTCTAATTAAAACCATTACTGATCTGATTGTAGGCTTTTTTTATCCAGGATCTAGGGCCTCTTTAATGAGGATATTATTGGACTTGTAACACTCGGAAAACGGCAGAAAAACATACTGCCACCCAGACCCAGGCTAGCAACCAACAGCCGCGGGGAAAAGGCACGGTGGGTTAGCTTACACAAGACGGTAAGTGAGGCGGTAAGCCTTTTGATTCGACACACCAAGCCTCATCTGGTTAGAAGCCAACATTGAGCACGTAACTGGCTCCGGAATCTTTCACGCGTCACGCTAGGAACTGCATGCCAAAAGGAAAGGAATGAACATTACGATCGATTGCCCCGAGTTATGGACCTGAGGCACGTATTCTCAACGCCCTGGTAGACCAAGCCCGCTTGAGGGACCCTGCCGTGATAGCAATGTTGGCTGTGATTATTCGCTCATCAAAAAGGACTTTACTTGAGGATCTACACCTAGCAGCGGAGTTTTGCATCGCGTATCGAAAGGGGCCTATACTTTAGGTTGAGAAAAATCCCTTGAATCTGATCTGGCGCATGCAAAGATGTAGCAATTGCAGTAGTACGAGCATCGGGCATACTCGCGTCATACCTAGAATGCCCAGAGCGGGTCAAGCATATGGACAAGATGACCGTTGTTGGGGTGCGATCGCGATGGCGGTCATACCATACGTACCTATCAGGGCCTCGGCATGAGATGACGGGCCGTCAACGCAGTCATGACAGCGAATATGATACGCTGGAATGTGTGCTTTCCTGGAGCAACACCGATGTTTCGGGCTTTTCTCGCAAAACATGAGTGAAAAAGGTCGGAAATTTTGTCGCAGTTCACAATTGAATGCTGTTATTGGGTGATAGTCTTTTCACCGCAGACATTGAGGGCGAAAAGCTCAGTCCTTCACCCAAGGCACAGACCTCCAGCGAGAGGCTAATATGTATACTCAACTGGGTAATCCCCTCACTTGCTGGTATGATCTAATCCTGTCGAATGACAAGCCAAGATAAAAAACCTATATCGTAATGGAAGTCGAGGTATTGGCTCACAACGGAGTGGATAGTGATTGGTTGCATACTATAACCCATTTGAGTTTACTGTCCTAGTGTGCGGATCATACACGAGGTTTATTTTATCCAGACGGCAATTCTCGGCAAGCATGGTTGCTTCACTCAGCATGTCCTTGCATCCTTACAAAGGTTACCAAAAATACCAAGGTGCGAAACTTGAATTGTTTTACACAATTGGAACGGAGACCGTGAGTAATAAGTAATATCCTTTGCGGTGCACTCACGTATACCGTATATTTGCTGTCCTGCAAAAATTCCCGATGTAAGCCATACAGCCGGAATTGGTAGCCTCATACAATGATACGTATCACATATGGGAGACTGTGAAATGTCACAGAGTGCCCCAGCTTCTCGGGCACCCCGGCATTCAACCACAGTGAGGTAACCAATCAATCATGCCCAGCTTATCATTTCTACGGACATAAGCCAACGCTTAAACTTGGGCTTCTACGAAAAAATGCAAGGGGCCCTGCGCTCTGGTATTAATGATGGTATTATTAGGTGTCCACTAATCCCAAGTCAAGACACTATTATCTCATAACGCCACGTTCTAGCCATTGCAGAAAATGTAGGCTTACCGCACTTCGACACTCAAGGGCTCATCGAATCGGATTTCGGATTTGATCTGGAAATCAGCCACTAAATAATTAGTATGCTGACTCACGCATTTAACTTGCATTTATGCACAGATAGCTCTAGACACTGATCAATGATGACATAGTGTGTCTTGCTCCTTGTTGGGCCGGGAGAGCTATTCTGTGCCCCTCATCGCTCCATTGAAGTACGGTATCCCAGGTCGTACCAGCTAAATAATAAGACTTCCCCCCAAATCTCTCGGCTTGCTCTGGAATCATTCCACGAATATCTAAAACAACAGCGAGGGGTATATCTCTGCTGCTCACTCCCATTCATTGATATCTTTATCCCCCGCCACCACACATTTTCTTATCCTGTTGCCCAATATGCCAGGACGTAAAGCTTCCAAGCCGAAAAACATCACTGCCATTGAAACCAATAACCGCCCTGATGAATGGCGAATTGAACAGGGTATGGCAGGCGCAAAGCTGCCAATTATTGACCAGACTCACAAACCCACAACCTTCATACACCCTGTCGACCCCAGCCCGCCAGGTATTAAGGATGCTGAAGCCATTGAAGCAGTTGGGGACCGTAAAAAGCTGTTTGCCCGTGAGATAAAGGGCTGGGAAGGGTGAGCCCAGAGCATAGTGCCTAGAATCCCAAGGAAACCGAGCTAACAAGCTTGCTCCATGGACAGATACGTTGAATGGGAAAACTACCCCGAGAAGAAGGCCAAGGCCCATAAGATCCTCACTTCCCAGACTTTTCCGCCCATCCCTGATTACATGACCGGTCCTATCCCCGGTACAAATCCAGTGCTACCGGGCGAAGACTTTAAGGCGTGGCATCGTGCCATTGGTGGAGAGCTGACCGACGTCCCTGACAGCTCGTGGGACACCGTTCTGAAGGAAAAGCACAAGGATATGTTACATCTTCTACAGTTCCCATACAATGGTGAACCTCCAAAACGCTTGGTTACTGCCAAGTCCATAACGCCCAATCCGCTACACTTTGTGCGCAATCACGGTGGCATTCCACTGATCGACAAAGATAAGTGGTCTTTGACCTTGGATGGCCTGGTTGCCAACCCCAAGAAATACACGCTAGATGATATCATGGATGAATCCCGATTCCCACAGATTGAGGAATATGTCACTATCCAGTGCTCCGGTACCCGTCGTATCGAGCAAATTGCTTTGTATGGCGGTCAGGGAGACGAGGTGCCTCAAGCGCCATGGGCCGAAGGTGCCATTGGTACAGCCAAATATCGTGGAATAAGTCTAAAGAAGCTTATCAAGGACTGTGGCGGGCTTATCAATGGTGGCAAACACCTCGAGCTGTACGGCGCCGAAACATACTTCAAGGACCTGAATGCCATGAACTATCTGGTGAGTGTGCCGTGGTCCAAGGTCAAGGCAAACGAAGTTTTGCTTGCATGGGAGATGAATGACGAGCCACTGCCCAAAATTCATGGCTTCCCTCTGCGCGTCGTTGTACTGGGATATATCGGTGCGCGTAGTGTCAAGTGGCTCTATCGCATTAAGGCCATTGAAAACCCGTCTATTGCACCTGTTCAGAGCCGAGAGTACTTGTACTTCAACCAGCAGGTTGGTAAGCACAACCAACGTCCAACCGATGGTATTCAAATCCAGGAGATGCCTGTCAGCTCTGCCATAATGTCCCCATGGTCCAAACACGTTATTATACATAATGGCAAGATTAACTGTAAAGGCTGGGCATATTCAGGCGGTGGCCGCTGGCCCGAACGTGTCGAGCTTTCGGCCGACGGAGGCTTCTCGTGGTATGAAGTGCCGCAGGAAAATATGTCCAAGAAGGGGCGTTGGACCTGGCGTACCTGGGAGATAGACCTTCCCTGTGATGTTGAGGGTTGGATTGAGATTGTCTGTCGATGCTGGGATAGCGCCCTTAACACGCAGCCGTTGACTGTGCGCTCTGCCTGGAACTGGGGTTTGCATGTCACCCACTCTGCGCACCGCATTAGCGTGTATAGCATCAACAAGACTAGACCTCGAACAAAGGAGCGTCTTGCGTTGCTAGAGAAGCTGAACATTCCTTTGGCTCCAATTACCCGCTACGAAGTCGTGCCCACTATGACTGATCAGGAGATTGAGAAGTATTGGGAAAAACATGAGCCTCGTGATGCTGACAATTACTGATTTAGGCTTGCTGCAATTTTTAAATGTTTGCCGTAATAATAATTGTTTTCTACAATTGAAATGGAATATTGTTTACTTGATAACGATATTATAACGGCCCCTAAAATAAATAGGTCAATGGTGTTCTGATTGAACGCTTCAACCACGTCTTCCGAAGCTAATGGAAGCAGATTAGAACATTGAACTACGTGTATATGTGGAAGATTAACCAATTGAACCCAACTAATCGGCATGTTTGTTTCTTCAAGCGATCAACAAGTTCTGGGATGGGTTTTAGGGAAAGCTGCTTTTAACATTAACGCACAACGTGAGGAGGCCGCTGTTTGCCTAAATTCCACAGCCACTTGCTTGAACCTTCTATACCCCTTGCGTTTTTAATCTATGCGGTGAGCCTGCAATGCACAAACCCTAAACCAGCGGTAAGCGAAATGGTTGATGTCCGTTTCCTATTTGGGTAATATTACGGCACGAATTAAGGTTTTTCTAAATAACCCCGCAGCGGCCTGGTTTTAACTGCGACAATAGGACTTCAATCTCTTTGCAATAAAAACTGTATAAACCCTTGCAACTGCCCCAACACTACTTGACATCGTCTGAACAACGTGTATTTCTAGGTTTGAAAGCGGAGCGGAGCTACTCAGTTATAATAATGTTTACACAAAAATACAAAGCACAGGACTTTGTAACATCAGGTAATATTGAATACTACTTTCAATCATCTCCATCGGTTATAATCATAGCAATTGGATATCAGAAGTAGCGCTCGTAATGTATATACAGACCGATATAAACAGAAGATATTATAAAATCATCTCAAGTTCTCCCAGCACTAACCATATCACCAAAGTCATCTCCATCGTCTGTCTGGTTCGCTTCAACCCTGAAATTCTCAGAAACGGGTTTTAGGCTCCTCAACCCTTGATCATCCTCGACCCAACCCCCGCGTTTCTCCAAATCTTCTAGGTATTCAACACCTATACGAAGGCTTAGACTTGCACTGAGTGCCTTTTGTACCCGCACCTCTCGGCCCTGAGAGACGAGATCGCGAAAGACGTGTGCAAGAAAATCGCTCAGGATATCGACACTCCAGTCATCCGGTATCAGGGATAAAACTTCATGCACTTCAAACCAATGCGAGAAACGGGCAAGTAGATCACTAGTTCTTTCGATGCGATCTGAAACGTTTTCGATATGGAGGAATTCTGTGAGAAGGTATTTGAACATATCTGCTTGTTCTGACCCTTTGATATTTTCTGTGGTTGAAGATAAAGCGAATGCAGCGGACTGGGTGCCTGAGGTTCCACCTAAGAGACAATATCGGATTGCCGAGTCGTAATCACCAAGCCCATGAGTCAGAAGACGTAGTGCTTCTTTGTGTCGGCCCTGGCGACCGTCTAGAATGATACTTTCTGATACCAACTCATCTTGAAATGGTTCGATTCGGGATAGCACAGCCGAAATTGAGTAAGAAAGATCTCTACCAGCAGTTGAGGTAAATACTGTGTTAGGCCCACCTAAAAGCTGAAGTAGTCGTAAACGTGACTGCCACCACGCTTCGGGTGGAGCATTTTCGGATATAAAGTGAAGATAAGTCGGTTTTGGCAGACGTAGTGCACGGTATGTGGAGTATGACTCTTTTAATGATGCACGTGCATCGGGGGAAGATTGTAGGACGTTAAGGATTGTATCGAGATAATATGCAATGAGATCGTCCACATATTGTGAATACTATGCAAGAAGGTGATCTGATTAGTTGCCCGATGGATAATCAAGAAATCAGGGATGCTTACGTTTTTGGAAAAGACAAGATGCTCCAAATAGTCCTGTACCGCATTGGGAGCACGGGTTTTTAGCAACTTCACAACCTCGTTGGGGTCGAGTTTAAGGCGGCTGCTATCGTCTGAAAATACCCGGATACCTAATTTCGAATTTCGTGACGCTAACCAAGAGCCATATTCTTCGACCAGTTGCATGTCCCTTATTTTTCCAAGATATTTGCGAACGTGTTCTTCTACACCGGTAATTGTGACACTAGGATCGTCGTCTTTCTCCCCTTCAGCAATTCTGCGCCAAGTTTTCAGCACTTTGCCTAACATTTTTTTGCTCTGGTAAAGTCGACTCAGTACAAAGAGCCGCTGGTAACGCTCAAGTAGTGATATAGCACGATCGAAATTTGCTTTCCAATGATCGACTAATCCGTTCAATTCATTGTGGATGCTTGTGACTGGCTGCGAGTGGCGTCTGGCCTGTGTTTCTTGCTCTAGAATCAGATGCAAAAGGGCCGCATCAACGCTGTCAAAAACATTGGTGTCATTCGTGACGCTACCATAGCCCCGTCTTCTCTGCCAGGCAAAAAGGTAGCGTTTCAAAAGGTTAAGCACAGGGTCATCGGATAGTATAGTGACTTCCTTCGATTTTAATAGAGGATCAAGGTAGAATTCCGCTACCTGAGCCAGCCCATGATGAACCCAGATCCCCTCTCTACTTAGTAAAATTTCTTCTGAGAGAAAAGGTACCAAGTAAAGAATGAGACGAGGATCGAGATCACTCTCCACCAAGGCTTCTTCGGTCGCATGTATTGTCACATTTGTTTTATCCTTAGGACTCATTGAAAGTAGATCTGCGAACAGAAGCAAGCCGGCTTTTTGTCTTACGTAGCCTAGCCCAAGGAACTCAGCCTCAGTCTTCGGTTCAATCGTCTTGATCGAGTCAAGTAAATCGACAATAGCATCTCTATCGACAGAAACAAGTCTTCTGTCTTTCCAAGTCTGTGTGCTTTCGAGAAGGCTGTCTAGTTGCAACGCCAAGGGGTTTCTCAAAACCCTCCAAATTTGGTCACCAGACCAAACGATTAAAGAAGTCCGTGCCTTTCCTAACCCACGAGCAAATGCTGCTCCTTCCTTCGTTCTCTCTAATTCCCAGGTCTGAGATGAGCCAAGCTTCTTTCCAGTCTCGGAATCCGATGATTCCTGATATTCAAAAAGCTCTTTCTCCTTGCGTAACTGTTCAATGGTTGCGTTTGTTCGGGGATCGGTCTCTTCAGAGGGGGTATACGTGCCCCCGGCTTTTGGCGTCTGTAACTTAACCATTCGAAGTGAATCCCCCAATTCAAAAAAGTTGAGGTCGCTAGATCCGGTGGTATGACCCAATCCTACATATAAAGCCTTCGTTTTACTTGGATTCGGTATTTCAAGTAAGGATTTCTGACGCCCTTCTTCTCCTGGATTGACATCCCAACGCTGTATCTCAAGGCATCTCTGGGCACTTTCGTCTTCATCTACCTTCAGAACAGCAAGGACAAACCCTTCTGTTGATCCTGAGCTTGCCCCTTCCTCGCTCAAGTCCCCCGGACTGTCTACAATAACGGTCTCGGGGTATCTTTGGAATTCCATCGTTCCTCGAACCACATCACCATCTGTGTTGACAAACATACCAACCCCTGGTTCCGTCTCCGCAGTACCGGTAACTAAAAGAAACTCAGATGGCGTTGGAGACGCGATGTGCGGTTTAAGGCGGGCCAGATTTAATTTCGGCGCCGGAGGCAGCGGTTTTTGAGTGTCTGTTTCGGGCTCTTGGCCAGGAGTTGCAGGCAAATCTTTAGATGTATCCAAATCTCGGCGATCTCCTGAAATGGATCTTCGCGGGGATGCACCTCCTAACAGATCAGGAGTGAGATTACTAGATCGATCGACCCTTGAATGAGGGCTCTCTCTTCTACCTCCCAAGCCTTCGACGAACGTATTCAAACTAGTGCTCCTTCCATGAGTGTTCGATTTTCCAGGTTCCGGGTTGCTGTAGGATGCAGAGGATGACCGTTTAAGAGTAGATGGTGACGGAGGGATATCTTCCATATGGCCGAGTTCGAAAACGTCACTGGATGAAGATATAGGAAATAGCGGGATTTTCTGTTGATGCTCAACTTCCAGAAGCGAATATGAGTTTTCGTCAGCCACACAAGCAATAGTGTCACGCCGCGATCCGACTAGACATCCCGGAAATTTGATGCTCCTTATCCCGTGCGCAGTGTCTCCAATTTGCACGACCATTATCCGATTTTGCGCCGCAATCATGATGACCGGGCTATCGGTTGAATCCTCGCCCACATTCTGATTCAAATCACGTCCCCCAATCCATTGGCAGTTTCTGACTTTGGTGTTTTCGAAAGCAGGGCTCAGTTCAGGTAGCGAATAGAAGGTCACCACGCCGTTGCACAAGACGCAGGCCTTGCCCACCGCAGGGAGAAGTACAATCCGCTGAATTCCATCGGTCCTGTCTTGGTTGCCAGTTATTGGTAGCCGGGAAGCTAGAATAAAGTTGGGCTCGTTGGATTCATCGCTGGGTTGAGGCGGTAATGATACGAGGTGGAGGATCTCAGCCGCAGAAGTGCCGATATACAAGTTGTTATCTTACCGTACCAGTCAGATGAATGTTTTCAAAAGAGTGTTTCGAACTCACTCCAGTATTCTACACATGTGATATGAATATCTGATTCCCCCCCTCTGCGGCCAAGGGGACTTCATCGAGCAATTGGCGAAGAACATACGGCGCTGCCTGGGAAACAGATAGTTTCCTCCGTTTGCGAGGGCCAGCGCTTTCGGCCATCAAGGATTACAGGAAGCGATAGCACACCCGACAAGTCATATAATCCGAGAGACCGCAAGCACGGTCGCGGCGCAGATGGCGTGTCTGGTGTCGGTGGAGGAGGAGAGAGAAGCTCTGCTATGAGCTCAGCGAGCTAGATGGGGAAACAAGCCGCGGAGCTTATCATGGCTTAGTCATGGCTCGATACGGTCCAGCCAACTAGGTTATGCTCTCTGAAACCAGAGGGCAGAAAAACATGTGCTGCAACTAGTCAGCAAGGTCAAAGTGCCTGGTAGCCTCATAATACGAACAAATTTATATTATAGACGACTCAATAATCCTACGTCGACCGACCATTGCTGCCGCTTAGGATCCCTCTAGAGCGGAGCAACATCGGCCCGGGAACGCGCAAGTCGAGCTTCCTCCGCATTTGTCGATACATCAATAGAAAGCCGAGGCGATCGTGCTCCACCCTTACAAATTGTCTCGCTGCAGCGAGTCGAACGACAAGATTTGGGGTTGATGGCCGTTGCAGAATTGAGGGACTGCTTACAAGATGGACGTTTTCGCAGCGAGCGAAAGTGTCAACATGCCGGATCAGGAGAAGCCAGATGGCAACACCAGTACAGAAAGTCGTTCGGAAGAGGCGAACAAATTCCAGCGTGCTATTTCGGCTTGGAGAGGTATTTTTGTGTCCCTGGAGCCTATATCAATGATATACTTGCTGATTGCTCTGGTGACGACTTTTAGGCATCGATTTAACAAATACAATTCCGAAACTTGACACCACCGCTTCGGAGATAGTCGCAAATCAGCGAGATGCTTTGGTGCAAAGAAAAGACCTCGCGCAAAAGACAAAGGATTTTAGGAAACTCGACGATGCCTCGAAGCTGACGGAATACAAGGGTCTCCTGAAAGGTGGGTTTTACAAGGAATTTGTCCATCAAAGCCCCAGCCCACTAATAGCATATCTAAATTCTAGCATATCAAACGTTCATTGATCTCTTGACAAACCATGGCAAAACATCTTCGTCGTCTTTCTTGCAAATATACTCGTCTCTTTCCGAAGTGCCGGACCCTTACCCTCTCCTGGAGGCGTCAGTTGACTCACTCGTCGCATCCGAAGACACCGTACCGAAACTGACAGCAGAGAAAGAACATTTGCAAAAGTCAGTGGAGCAATTGACCAGCCAACTCGAGCAAACCGAAAAAAGATTGGAAGAGGAAAGCACCACCCGAAAAAATTTGGAGGACACGCAGGACTCAAAGACAAAGGAAATCGAGTCTTCTTGGGAAGCCGTGCTGTCAGAAAAGACCAACAACTGGGAAGCCAAGGAAAAGAGTTTGGAAGAAAAGATTGAAAACCAAGAGAGGCTACTGAAAGAACTAAAGGCGTCACTGGAGGTGTCACAAAGGCTTGATAAGGGAGAAGAGGTTGATACAAGTCTCAACGCCGCCACCGCAGCAGAGCTCGAAATCGTTACGTCGGATCTAGAGAAGACTAGTCTACGCCTGGCAGAGGTAGAAGCACGCAATGAACAAATGAGGCTAGAGCTTGCTCAGGCAGCATCTCATCCTCATGCCGAACAAAAGACCATCGATGACGACCCTGCATATCTTCGACTTCAGTCAGAGAACTCATCTTTGCTGAGAAAGCTTGATGCTGCAAGATATGACCGAGACACTGAAAGGCATAACTGGGAAACCAAACTTCGTCAAAACGAGAGAGAAAATGCCAAATTTGCTGCAGAGAAAGATGAGCTTCGATCAAAACTCGAGAAATATGCCGACTATGAAGAGATCAAGAGGGAGCTCGAGGTCATCAAGGTAAGCCCCACAATTTAGGAAATCTTATTTCATTTCATTAATATTCAACAGTCTATCGAATTTTCGACGGGAGACGACGATGATGCAGGTGACGTAACGGAAGAAATCAATAGTAATGCAAATGGTGCAGCCAAATCCAAAGAAAACACATTGGAGCAATTATTAATGGCTCGCAACAAAAAACTAACTAATGAACTCACCGTCTTACGAGTGTCACATCGTGATCTTCAAAGCCAGATAGACACTCTACAAGAGGAGGTCTCAAAGACAAAAAGAGATCTTGAGAAGTCCCAGCAGCTCTCCACAACACTTGAGAACGATCTGTTCCGGTTACAAAAAGGATCACATGCTCTCCCATCAGCTGCAATGTCTGTTGCAGGCACATATACCTCTCGATATCATTCATCTCGAAGAGGTGGAGGCACGTCACCTACTTCCTCGATAATATCAGGCTTTGACCAAGCCGCTGCTTCCTCTAACACAATGGAAGCTATTCGTGCCGGTGAACCCGTTGGCGGAGGCTCGGGTCTCCTCCCGATGATTCAAGCCCAACGAGACAGATTTAAACAAAAGAACGCCGAATTGGAGGAAGAACTATCAAACACATATGCAAATGTCAAATCCCTTCGGCAAGAAATCGCCGCCCTGCAAAAGGACAATCTCAACCTATACGAAAAGACCCGCTACGTCTCGACATACAGTCGCGGCCAAAGTTCCGCTGCAACATCAGCATCAACCTTTGGCAACCGGCCAAGCGCGACTTCAACACACCCTTCCGGCGAGTCTTCTTCCAGCCTCTCGCTGGACAGGTACCAGTCCGCGTACGAAGCACAAATATCCCCCTTTGCCGCTTTCCGTGGTCGCGAGGCCACAAGGGCATACAAACGCATGAGTCTACCCGAGCGATTCGTTTTCTCAGTAACTCGAGTTGTACTTGCGAACCGCACAAGCCGGAATTTGTTCGCTGGTTACTGCCTTGCTTTGCATATACTCCTTTTCGTCATGCTGTACATGATGAGCGCGGTTGAAATAGAAAAACATCACATTGACAATCTTGCTAGCGGTGCTGCTGCGGCTGTGGCTGCGGCCGCTGGGGGTGATGGTGCTATTCGCGGAGGTGCTGGAGCTGGTGGACAACATTTGCAAGGCGACGATTGGCAACAAGAAGGCTTCAGTTGATGTATTCTAATCAGGTTTCGTTTTGGTGTAATTTCTTACTTTCTCTTGGAGTTCATTTTGGCGTTGTTAACCAACACATCATTATTCATGTCGTCAGTACTATATTTATACGAACAGTGATACTCCGCATTTGCATGATAATGTTCAATAGTGATTCGATGTTTATATGTAATTTTTTCTACAATTCATTAATGTCTTAACGAGCCATCACTTTAACGTTGTCGTCAACTCATACATCACCAGTACTGATATCACTTTCTTCCCCTTGTAACCATTGTGAAAGAACATTGAACCCCATTTAGCCTATCAGGTATTTCCAATACTTGATTACAGATATGAAGTACCGAATGTTCTCATTGCAATGCAGCAGCTACAATTTAACCCATAAATTTACAAAAATCAGTCTATTTGATGAAATCAGTCGTCTAATCTTAGCGGGTTTAAACCGTCTCTTTTATAAGCTAGTATTGATCTCACAAAATGATGACAGAAAAAAGACATCGACGAGACAGTTTTCATTTACTGTACAAATAAAACAAAGGAAATATAAAGGTATGCGCTATAACACTACTATCACAGAGCCCATGTCTATCTATTGATCAAAAAGCTCAAATGAAAGCTCCAATTGACAAGGTATTTTTTCTTGTTTTTTGCTGGTGGGAGAAAATGGCACTCTCCGCTCTTAGGCCAGGTTGCGGCTCATGTCGTTGGTGATGCGTTGGTAGTCAAGCATACCCTCAACGTTACCGAAAGCGCTGATGGCAAGTTCCTTGTCCCACAGCTTCTGCTGGGCAAAGTCCATGACGTCCTTGGCGGTGATCTGTCCAATGGTGCGCTCAATGTCTTCGGCGCTCAATCGGCGGCCGGTTGTGATAATCTGGCGACCAATATCTTCGGCAACGGCGGTAGTACCGTCAAGAGACAAGAGGATGGAGGCCTTGAGTTGAGCCTTAGCGCGCTCAACCTCGGCTTCGGTGACATTGAACGACAAACGAGACCATTCACGGAGAGTAAAGTGGATGAGATCATCGAGCTGAGTGAGGTTCTCGCTTACGAGGTAGATACCCCAGAGACTAGGTGTGACTATTAGCAATGTATATTTCGCAGAAGGAGTACAACAAGTCTTACCCAGTGTCACTGTAGCTGGTAGAGAAACTCATGAAGCTGTTAGCCAGGTTGTGGTGAGCAACGTAGTTGCTGAGTTTGCCGCCAAGGTAGGTAGAGTTGCCCATGGTACGATCCCAGTTACCCTGCGACTGTCAGTGGATCCCCACAAAATCGAGAACAGTAAGATAACATACTACAATAGCCTGGGCAACGAGACCAGTGAAGTACAGGTCATCACTCCAGCTAACACCCTCAACAGCAAGGGCAATATGAGCAGTCGGGATAGTATCATCGCGGATACGGACTTCAGAACCGATGAATTCTGGCTTGCGCTTTTGCTCGGCAGCAATGACGGCAGAGGAGGAGGTGGGGGGAGCAACAGGCAGGGCACCGAAATGTTGCTCAGCAAGCTTAACTAGAGCATCGTGTTCGATACCACCAGCACCAACAAGGACAGTCTTCTCGGCCAAGTAGTTGGTCTTGATGTAGTTGACAAGGTCGTCGCGCTGGATGCTCTGAATATTCTCCTTGGGGCCGAGAATGGTACGGCCGAGTGGTTGATTCTGGAAAGCAGTTGCGTGCAAGTGGTCGAAAACAACCTCCTCGCTATGTAAATCAGCATGATGCTCTGCTCGCAATTGTTGGAGATACGTACGTCACTTTCTCTACCTCCTCAGCCTCCCGAAGGATGACGTCGCGCTCGCGCTCGATGGCAGAGGTCTCAAGCTTCGAGTTTTGCAGAATATCGGCAAGAATATCGACAGCCTTGGGAACGTCGGCGTTGAAAGACTTTGCGTAGTAGACGGTGTTTTCCCGCTGAATCACACAGTTAGAACGAAAAGGAAAAGTGTCGGCAACTTCGGAACGTCATACCGAGGTGTAGGCATTCAAGTGACCACCCATGTTCTCAATTTCCAACTCAAGCTGGTTTTGGGTGCGCTTGTTGGTGCCTTTGAAGGCCAAATGCTCGAGGAAGTGGGCAGTTCCATTGGTTTTATCGGTTTCGGCACGAGACCCGGCGTCAACGTAAACGCCGACTGTGCTGGTGGCAGCGTACGGGTTGTGTTCGGTGGCAATGGTAAGACCATTCGACAACTTTATCAATTGTTAGCTTTTTCCTCTCTTGATACTGACCATGAGCGAATGACGTACGGTAGTCGATTGTGTCTTGGATGGAACGCCAACAGGTGTAGCAAAGCCGCGCTTCACCGGCTGCACGCCTTTCAAGGCAGCGCGGTTGCGCAAAGCCTGGTTGAATTGAGAAGCAAGCCGTCTGGAAGCCATGGCGAAGGGAGGCTGGAATGGAGTCTAGGGAAGAGGGCAATTGGGAGGAGAGGAACGCCTGGCAAGGATGGTCGTTGAGGTTGGAGGTCGACTTGAAATCGGGAAGTCAAATTGTTCGCCAGCTCGGCCAGCCAATCACATGACCCGCTTTGCAAACCCGCGCGTGGTCCGTCCCGGGCCTTTCCTACACCTCACCAGCACCTGCAGACTGTATACATGCGCTCCAGCCGCATTTTTATTCTTATTTGTCCATCATCTCCTACCATATCATCACCCTGCGTAGTGTCTACTTGCTTAAATCGACTTTTACACAATTTTCTCAGAATTGCCTCGGCTGCACGATGACCGAGACGGAGAGCACTACCAATCGCAACGAGAATGCCAGAGTTCATTCGCTTTAGCTAACTACTGCATAAAGCATTACGATGCAAACGTGGCAGCAAACTTCTTGATATTCTCGATAAATGGAATATCGTCCAAGAATCCCAACTGCCGAGCGTGCGCGTTGTCGAAAAGAGGTGACCAGCTCTGCACAATCCTGTCGATATCGGCATCGTATTTCTCCTCCACCAACGCCCTCCTTTCCGGACCGCCGACCTTTTCCAATGCATCGAGCATCTCCTGCACGGTCACCAACAAGCCCGGAAGATTGACAGACCGTGAGTCGCCGAAAGCTTCCTTAGGCACCTGCCGAGCGTGCAGCAGGTTCTTCACAATGGTATATGGCGAGCAGATCCAGACTGGCGTTTCCTTTGCTACAGGCAAAATGGCCTTTTTGCCATGGAACGGCTCTCGGATGATGTCGCTCACGAAACTGCTAGCAGCTTGGGTCGGCTTGCCAGCTCGGACAGTAACTGTGGGTAGTCGCACTGAACGGCCATCCAAGAAGCCTCTGCGGGAGTAATCATTGACCAAAAGTTCGATGATCAGCTTTTGCGTACCGTACGACGAAAGTGGCACTGGCGGAAGATTTGTCTCACTGATCACAAACCCAGGTTTCGTAGGGCCGTAGACGGCGAGTGAAGACGTAAAAACTACTTTGACACCGGGCATCGTAGCCTTGAGTCTGTTGAGGATGTATCTTGTTGCGTCTAGATTGACCTTAATTCCCAAGTCAAAATTAGCTTCGGAACCACTGGACATGATGCCGTGTAGGAGGAAGACGGTCTCGTATGGGGCCGATGTATTGATTAGCTCGTCCACGACTTGAGAAGAGGTCAAGTCAGCCGCAACGGGCTTGACGCGAGAAGCATAATCCGGCACAGAGGCTGGTACTGGCGGTGCCTGAACATCGGTGATTGTGACTGTGGTATCTGGAGACGACGTGCGGAGTAATTCAGCAGCCAGTTCCTGGCCAACATAACCGCCAGCTCCTGTGATAAGTATAGAAGGCATGACTGGGTATCTTCTTAAACGAAGTATCGGTGGAGGGAAATTAAATAAGAAGAAATGTAGATTTTAAAAATTTTATCTACTGCTAGGCGCGTGTTAGGGCATCATCTCGTTTTATGTACTTCGACCGTGGGGTTGGAAGTGCACGGCGAGTCGCCGACACATGGATACGCCAAGCATGTTACTTTTCCCACAAGATCATACTGGCTTAAGATCTTCCTACTGGAATTCTCTGCGACATCAAACCTACAGTGGATACATCCGATGTCTCGTGGTTTGGTCTATGCAGGCTTGTATGATGGAAAATATACGGTATAGTACGGAGTGAAGGCCGAGTTGCATCATTTACGTCTTTTCAAATCGGTCCAGGGACAAGTTAAAGTATGAATAGTTACTATTCTTTGGCCCTCCAGACAATTTCGCACTGCATATTATGGTCAAATCATCGGAAAACCGGGTGTGGTGTACCCCCGCGCTCGCCCTTTCTCCGGTCTACTCGGAGCTGGGCCGAGGGTGCGAGGTACGACATACATGTAGAAATTGTTTAATAGTCATTACATACTTGAGAAATTTGTCCTTCTGAAATGCAACTGTTAATGCTAATTAGAATGATGGAAAAATTTTATGTACAATCTCCGAACGTTGTCCAATAAAAAGGACTTCGAGAAAACTCGTCCATACTATACATGCCATCGTCAGACACGAATATTAAATAATAAGCAGGAATGTTTTAATCATGCATGAGCAGCACCGTTGGTCCCGTTAGTAGTATTGGGCCCATTCGTTGCTGAAAGGCTGCTAAAGATCTCATCGAATGAGTCTTCAGTCACCTTGGTGCAGTCAAAGCCATAGATGTTTTTCTGGACATCGGCATCCGCCCACTTGTCAGGCACTTTTCCATTACCCTGCTTCAAAGCGGCAAATTGCTTATCGCGCTCTTCCTTGGCAGCACCGTCACCGAGATGCAATGTTCGTCCAGATGCAGCAGCTAACTCGACCAGGGTTTCGGCACGTTCTTTGCGGACCTGTTCATATACACGGAGAGATTTATTGATTGATTCGGGTGAAGTATCGGGTAGACGAGACAGGACAACGGCGATCACAGCTCCATCTTCAATGGCCTGAGCAGCGCCCTGAGCCAGATGAGGGAGTGTAGGATGGCAGGCATCACCAACCAAAGCCACTGTCTTATAAATCCAGGTTGGTAGAGGGGCGTGGACTCGGAGCTTCCATTCGCATACCTCTCCCTCCGGGACGTAATTTAACATTCGATGAATCATCGGGGAGAAATCATCAAAGACGCCCAGCATCGCTGTCTTCGATCCCTTGGTGGTATATGTAGCTGACGGAGCGGCAGCGAAGTTTGTGTCTGGTTGGGCGGTGGAGAGATTATAAATGGTCTTATTGGAAACGGGGTAGGCAATAATATGTCTCTTCTCACCGATCCACCTCGTGACAGTGTCGCTATCTAGAAGAGCAAGAAGCTCGGGATCATCTTTGATCTGATCCCGATGGATCATTATACGGTATGCTGCCTGGTTTGTGTTGGTGATTTCGGCATCGACGCCCAACAGCTTGAGCATCTCAACGCGGATGAGACTCTTGATACCATCTGCAGCCAGCAAAACATCTGCTTCTACCTTATACGGCGGTGATCCGTCGCGTGGTGTGGCAGTGATTATTGGCTTTGGCCCGAACGAATCGATGGATTCGACTTTTGTGTTGAAGTAGAAGGTAATAGCCTTCTCCTTTTTGCAACCTTCATACATCGAATTGGCGAGCGAGAAACGGTGCCCAACCATATGCGGATACCCGTAGGTTTTCTCAATATACCCCAACTCCACGTGGCCGAGTTCCTGATTAGTTGCACCCTCTGTATAGGCGTTAGAACCACAATTTTTACGAGATGCAGAAAACAAGACATACGTCTGATGCTAGTGTCCTTGATATTGGTAGCCTCCTTTGCTATCGGCTCCCATACTCCCAACCGGTCTAATATTCGAGCCATATTGGGTGCGAGCTGAATGCCAGCTCCAACAAAGCCTAGGTCCGACGCGTATTCGTAGACGTCAATTCTGTTGAATCCCTCCTTTGCCAAAGCCAAAGCAGATGCCAGGCCGCCCATGCCTGTATGATCGCGGATTAGCTTGCACAAAAATACGAAAGTTAAGGAGGAGTGCTACCAGCGCCGGCAATGACTATTTTGAGATCTTTCACTGATTCGATCATCGTGTTGTGTATGCGAGCGATAGATCAATATGTAAGTGATACCTCACAGCTACACGAAATGGAGATCAACAGCAAAAACCCCAGCTATCGCTTCGTGACAGTTGAAAGAGAGGGCTGAAAACAAGAATGTGATTCTACTCAAGATTGATATTTATCGAAACGAAAAACGATATATGGTGGGATCCCCGGATAAGCATTCTTCAAGAGGTAGATGTCACTTCTAGTCTCCATCGCCATCAGAGCGGACGGCATTTAGCGAAACATAAAATTGCCATTAGTAGCAGTCGTAGGGGAAGGTCGAGCTCACGGCCCTTTTTCCCAATTTTTTGCTGCCAATGATGAGATGATACTAGCGCTGATAAAATCTTATCCGGCCTGGAAACGTTTGCTGTCCCCGCATCTCTCCATACATTGCGGGACCTCCCCGAACACTTTACGCATCATACTGCGGTAAAGTAAAGGAATATGTCAGCTGTGAAAGACGAGTGCTATTCCTTGAACATATAGTTGCTCACGCATGATCATATTTTACGAATTCAGCCGGAAAAGACCGGGTTTTCTGTGAATATATACTTGCAAGGTTTACTCAATAATTGTTACTAGAGAGCAGAGCACGACGATTAATACAGATAGTCAGCCCCTCCGAGGGAACTCCTAATAATAGGCCGATTTGCTTATGTATGGTAAATGTATGCACAGTACGAATAATTCCTCAGCTTGTGGGGCTAGTCGGTATGGCCAGTCGTGTAAGACTTTATCCGGCTCAGGAGCAACACAATCAAACATCCATCAGACTCGTTGATGAGACAGCCAGAATTAATCAAATGGAGATGCTCTCTATGCGAATTGATAATCCTTCTCCTGAGGAATCATAGCGCCGGCTTGATTATTTCGTTTGTACGGGTTCGTTATAACTCTGTATCCTTCCGGCCGATCTGAATCGTATGATTCTGAGATAATGAGGAAACAAGAAGAAGAATAGAGTAAATATGATAATCATATCCGTATATTGGTGGAACTTTTTGCCCATGAACCTAGCATTATTGCAAAAACAAATGGTAGGTCTCGAATCTGAAAACGTAGTTGAACATGTGCATCCATACATAGAAAACATAAGAAGACCAAGAAGAAAAGACATTCACAAATCAATCACTTAAAACGCCGAAAATGTCACAAAACCAAGTTCGTCGAAAATCGCAAGATTTCGAGAGAAGTTTAAGAACGGGTATAAACACCGGCCACGATACAGTGATCACGCTCGAAAGGTTCTGCAATATGTTAGTATGACACCTGGTACTGTGGGCTGATAGGTTTTGGTTCTTACCAAGTGTAAGTTCTGTAAAGATGATGTTAGTATCTTGAATTTTTGATGGTATTCTGAGGTGGACAACTTACGTTCTTTGGGCTTAATCTTCTCGGCTCTGAGACGTTCAACTTCGTGAGCGAAGACAACCTCGGGCTTGGCCGTGCTGTCAATGCAGCTGGCCTTGATACTAATGAGAACACCACCCTCGTTCTTGAGAAACAGATGTGCGTTCAAGCCGACGATACGAGCTTGGTCAGGTTGGGCGACGTCAGCGAAAATCACATCCACCATGGGGACCAGCAGTCTGTATTTCATGGGGTGCTGGAAGGTCTATTAGTATACAACTTGACATATAGTCAGTCATGGCAAAAACTTACACGAGCGTCTTCAACGATGGGAATGACATTGGTGCGTTTTCTAGTCTTGTCAGTAATTAAACATTATGATCAGCAAAAAGAGACCTACGTAGCCATGCCAATCAGGTCACGACCGGATCTGTGAGAGAATTCAACGGCATAGACTGTTCCTTCAGGACCAACCAAGTCTGCGACGTGAGAAACACTAGTTCCAGAAGCTGGATTATTATTAGCACCAGCGATTTCCACAAGTTCCCACGAGAAGTCATACCGGCACCGAGGTAAAGAACTTTAGATCCAGGCTTCATGAAGATTTTGTCTAAACCACCAAGCACACCTGCGGCAAGCTTGCTCCTATAATAGTAGCTCCATTAGACAAGCCAGAAAAACAAATAGACAGGCAAAATAATAGGCAGCTCACCGGAAAGGATTCCAGACACGGTACTCGGTCTTAGCAGCAGGCGCATCATCTTCAGCGGGAGCCTCAACAGCAATCCGCTTTTCACCGTATACGGAGTCACCAGGAGTCAAGTTCTTGGTGACAAGAAGATCTTCTTTGGCGCCGCGGGCAACGAAGATACCAGCGTGACGATGAGGCTCAACGATGACTTTTTGTCCACCCTTGGCTCCTCGGGCACCACCACCACGTCCACCACGGGGGGCTCCTTCTGGATATTAGCAGGTATATTGGTTTCTTATTATAATCAAAAGCGCACCTCTACCACCGCCGCGTCCACGAGCGGGGCCACCTCGGCCTCTGGGAGCACCACCACCTGTGGAAAAGCTAGATTAGAGAGGGTGGTAGACACCGAAAGGTGATTTGGAACACACCACGACCACCGCCGAAACCTCCACGACCACCGCCAAAACCTCCACGACCACCACCAAAACCACCGCGTCCACCTCGTGGGGGACCTCCTCTACCTCTGGGAGTGAAGGCCATTGCGATCTTTAAGAATGATCTTGGTGATTCGACTGGACGATAAGACGGGTGCAAGGATGTCGCACAGCGTAATTAGCGATTCAAAATCAGAATTTCGACTGCAATCGTCTGGCAAAAACTAGCAGGTCCGTATTTGTCGAGAAAAGGTCCAGAACCCCACTGTGCGTTGATGATAAGTAGGTGCGTGCAGTGCAATTTCTCGAGGTGAACGAAGCTTTTTTTTTTCGAACTTGCGGACTAAAGCAACGCTAGTCTGCATGGGGGCTAGTATGGAAGATGCAAATTTTGTGGAATCTTATCATCACGTGATATCGCATCGATAGCGAGATCACGGGACTTGAAGGAGCCCTACGGTTTAGCATGAAGATCGAGATGTAAATTTTGGAAAAAAGTGTCACAAGACGTTATATTTTTAATATTGTCAACGGAAATTAATAGTAGAGCCTCCATATAGTTCCTATAAATGAAAAAAATCCAAGAAAAAAAAGGCATCATCCAACCACTCGCCATAAACTAGTCAGCATAGAAAAAGTATTGTGCCGAGTACTGCACTTGGAATTGAGCCGATTGTCCTTGACAAGTATTAGGAGCCGCGCCTCCAGCAGTATTGACTCGATAAACATGAGTATAGTTGCCCACCGTACCGGCGATGGTGTTGAGATACAGCCAAGGGACAGCACCATTACCGGAATTTCCTTGTCCCGCTACGGAGCCAGTTGGGGCATCCATTGTAGCATTCTTCTTGGAAATTGCAATTCCAAACTGCCTTTCAGCTGTCGTATCGAGGTTAAAGATTGGCGTGGTGGAGTCCCCAAAGTAGTGGTGTCCTAGCATGTCGAGGTTGGCAGGAGGAAATGGAGTGCCGGAAGACGATGATGGAATATCATAGTTTAGGACAATCTTGGAGACTGCATTCAATAGATCGTCATAGTTGGCAGCGACACAAGAGGCATCATAAAGGGTTGCAAGAGCACCCAGCTGGGTTGGCTTTGTGTCCGCGGTGGAGTCAGCGCAGGAATAGTTCTGATTGAAGTCAGTATGCAAATGATAAGCAAATTCTCGAGCAAGGCGGTGTCTTCATACCTGAGTTCCACGACCAATTGCAACATATTTCAAAGTCCCCGAGGGAGTAGGTAGACTGCTAGCTGCAGAGGGCAGCGAAACTTTTGACAGATCGCATCCGGTGGACGAAATGTGGTTTGCCAAATCTTTGATGTGGTCGCTTACCCTCGAGTAAAAGTCTTCAAGGTCTGAGCTGAAATCATAGGCCTTGTCGTAGATGGCATTCGTAGGAGCTGCCAAGACAGCGGGGGCCGCTGCGGCGAGAACTACGCACGCTGCGTTGAAACGCATTGTGAATCGAAAAATAGTGTCAATTGATGGGTTTGGAGATTCGTTTGGTTGAGGTGTGTTCTGTTGATCTTGGGATCAAATAATGCAGATATATCCGTGATAGAGCACCGGGCCCGATTGTAGGTAGAATGACTATAAACGCTTGCAGAATAATGAGGGAGAACCAATATATGCAATGACGGTTAAGAAATGAACAAGAATAATAGAAAGAAATTGGATATGAGGGTATGGGGAGAGACGTATGACAAACAAACAAAAACTATAGCACAGAAAAAGGGACAGTGCCACATGTAGCAGACATGAAGACTATTATGTATGCAACCTGAGCACACGCGATTGAGGACCGATTCTGCAGGCGACGCAAAGAATAGCAACCGCTAAGGACTGGAGCCAGCCTAGGGCGATCTAGCTGGCGTAGAGGAGCTAAAGATAGAGTCGGTGCGAGGGGAGAGCCTGATTGGCCTGGCTGATACGCCGGGCTTGGGATTGCTGGCCAACCACAGCACATTTTAGCCTGTTAGCGGCTACCACTAAGTAAGCGGACCCAATTGATCTAACTTCTATTCGCCATGCAGAAAATAGCCTCCTTCAAGGTTCGCGCGTAGCGAAACAACTGGCTTGCTGCTAAGGCTAGCGTAGCGGCAATCTTGTCTTCTCGGACATTTGTACGATCGTTTGTTCTCTCTTCAGGCCAAGAACGGTTAGGCTGCCCTGATATCAATAAATCAAGTAACGACTTAATCCATAGGTTAATTTAATACACTTCTCGACTACGATTAGTCCGACGCCAGCCAGGACCAGAGACATTGTAAGTCGTAAGTGCAAGCTAATAATAACACTTCCCCCGCGCAATGGCAAAGAAACACCTAGCCATTAGTCAAGCCACTTCCTTAACACCGCTGCCGCTACAGTCCTAGACCATAGTTAGCTGGTAGTAGTACGTTCGCTAACAAAATATACAAGGTATGCGACTACAAAATTGGACCTGGAGGCTGGCATACTACACCGGCGCCAAGCAGAGTAGCCGTCCAAGCGAGGTCACATTGAAACTCGCCTCTTTTAGTGCTCGTGACCGAATGGCTCTTAGCAAAGTACAGATGTCTATCAATAAATATATAAATAACAGCACCCTGCGACTCATAATCTCTCTGAATAATAATGAACCCCATCAGAATCGAGGTTCATTGTGCCTCATATAATGATGGCGGTTTAACGCTGGGGGAACCAGAAGTGGGTGGGCCTCGTCCAATCGGCAGAAAATCTTCAGAAGCATCTGAGGCGCGCTAACGATTTTAGTCTTCTTTAGTTCGGGTGTCCAAAAATAGCACTGCCAGTGCCAGATGTAGATTAGAATCACTTCCGAGGAGCCAGTGAGATCTCGGAATGGGGCAAACAGAAGTTTCTATGGTTATGCGTTGATTGGCAAGATATACCCTGGTCATGCAATCAACTTCATGTGACGCATAGTAGCCAACCCCCTCATACATATGTCCTCGAGTCGTCGCAGAGTAAGTCATTTACATCAATGGATGTTCAATGGGTCTTTCGGTCCGGTGATACCTCGGTAGATATATCTAAAATCAACCACTAAGATTTTCTTGCAAACTGCGTCATTTTGTTTCACATGCCACGACTCAAGTATTTAATGGCTTGTTTGACCAGGAATAACTCGACATATGGGGTGTTGTACTCTCCCATTTGACGGGTATATGTAAAGAAGTTGGTCAACTGGTGTGACGTGTGACTCGCAAAATATCATGCATAATTTTAGATTTAGTATATATGTACTGTATTTGCCCTAATAGGAAGGTCTAATGGAAAGGACGCAGAACGAAGGGTGCCACACTCGCTTATGGAAGGTGGAAAGCACATGAGATGCAACTTTTCAAGGAACAATCGGTTCTCGTTTTTGAATTGCAACCTTCTGGCCAAAAGAGTAACCCACAGTGCGAGACGCCAAATGCTAAAAACAGATTTCTTCTTAATTTTAGTTCTTCGTGATGGGTTTTTTGGATTCTACGTGGCTTACTTAGCTCCTATGATGGCGCTATTTGTCCTAGCAAGATGGTCATTGGCTGGTTACGTGTCGCCTGAAGACATCCTTATTCAAATAGTGTGAAGAACTAGCATAAGTGGAACTACTTTATAGAGGGCCTAACCAACAGAAATCTGGACTGATATCGAGGCACGAATGACTTGTCATGGCATGCAGTTACTTGCGATTACGTACTTGAGGGGCCTTCTCTGCTACCTATGGTAGTACCTAATCCTTCTGTGACCATACAAATTGTGAAGCTGTTAGTTCACCTAATGGGTTGATCAAGTCACACCTATCGCCTTTGCGGTGATTAAATCGAAGTATTACGCTGTCTTCATTACATCGCTAGGCATTGATGCTATCTTTTGTGCATCCCTTTTGTCAGAGACTCGTGGTCTTACGTTAGAGGAAATTGCCAAATTTCCCGGTGACGGGCAAGCGGGTGGGAACATGGAATATTTGGTCAAGAATGTACAAAATAAAGGAGACGTGACGCATATTAAGTATGTTGACTCCCCAATTCAATGTTCAGTCCTGTATCTTGTTCTTATACCTAGCTATACTTTTCAGTTCTAAGGCTAATTAGCTGTGAGATGTAATAACGACATATTGTGTGCTCTAATGAACTGAGCACTCTGCTACCCGTGTACATTAAAATTCCATCCTGAGGCGAACTCCCAATGCTCTCCTATTATTTCCCAACCTTTGAATATATTATAACCAATCAATAGATAGAAACCAAAACTTGAACTATTGTTTGTTGAGCGCTGGGTATTTCCTATATCAGTTAGGCGGATTGGGGCTACTTGAATTATGAGGTTATCTTGAATAATCATTGACTGTGTCAAATTATTATTCGATATACTCAGCTACTAATTAAAATCTGATAAAGATAGAGAAGCGGGGTACTGTCAATATAAAATGAACTCGGAAGCCGTTTGATATATCAATAATATATAAATAAACTATAAGACAAGTAGACATCCCCAACCGAAAGAAATCCATCACCTCATTTCGAATCGCAACATAACTGAGCAATTGATATAGAACATTGAAAGCCCGGAAGAAAAATGTTCGGCTATAATATAAATTTCAATCCACGCCCGTGTCAGTTTTCTCTTCGACAAGCAAAGCAGACTGAGCAGGCGATCGATGCGATCAATGTTGTTATAAATGCCTTCACATCATGACACTATCTATGGGAAGCAATAATGGAAAGAAACTTGATCCTTTTTTATCTCTATTGCTGGTACATGTATTTGACGCTTTTATTTATAGTCGGGTTTGGGGCAATTAACATTGTATTATTCTTGTATGATATGTTCAAAAGTAACATAGCTGAGCAGAACTGTATGAACAGCATCTCAATTGAATGTGCAATATATTCAATGATCAGAAACAAATAAAAGAAATCAGGGTATGGGATCGCTATACTTTAAGATAATATTGTCTATGAGTTGCACATGTCTAAAAATTGCAAAAAAGAATTCGGTTATTGAGCCACTAAACAAGTTCGGAAATACAATATGTGCTATTATATGACTTGAACCAAGCGATAAAGTCAAAAATTGCACACTACGAAGCAGCAGCAGCAGCAGCACTAGCACTAGATGCACCTGCCACCGCAGCACCAGTAGTGGCAGCATATATATTAAGCACATAATGTATCATTGCCAGCCCCGTCACCACAAGCTCATCCATAAGAAGCGGGCTGTTGTCTGTATTGCCTTCGTAGAATTCAAACCGATAGTCACTTTTAAACGCCCAAGTAGACACCGATATCTTGGCCACAGGCATCGAGTTCTCATCAAAACAATCCAAGTCTAGAGTCTTGAGATGACTGCTGGACTTCCAGGTCAACGTGGTGCCTTGAAGCGCAAGAGGGTTGAATGTAGTCTTGTGTTGTAATTTTGTCTTCAATGGGAGTGTTATCTCTTGCCCTTGGATCGAGATGTCAATTTTGGGCCGAAACGAATGAAATTTGACTGTGGCTATCTCAGTCTCGGGCGAAGAGCCGGTTTTTATGATCATTTGATTTTTGAGAGATTTGAGTTTGGCTTTGTAAAGGACATTGCCTGCACCTTCGTCGGTCACTTCCCAGGCTGAGTGCATTATATTTGTGGGCTTGAATCGCAGAGTCCGAGATGGTGCTTGAGTGTGGTATGGCTGAGGCGGATATTTGGAGAAGGAATGTTTGTTTTGGTCCTCATATCCTGGGTATGGTGGCAACTGCTGTTCATTATTTCCATCGACATTTTCATACTGTTGCGGCAGGTTAGATTTCTTCAGCATTGACGGACTTGGAAAACATACATATTGTTTCTCGGTTTTCGAATCCATTGTGCATACACTTGCGATATCGTCGACTTTAATATCCATAAATACTCAAACTTTTTGCAGAGTAGTTCGCTTGTATCCTTGGGCATTTCTTGAAATCACGACCAAGGCTTTTATCGATCAGTATTTATAACTGAAGGATGAAGGGTTCTGCCGCATCATCATATGTATATCACACTAACCATATTAGGAGTCATGCACCGCTCAGTGGCTCAGCACAGGGCGAAGATCACAAAGTCAAATTATTTTTAATTTCTGCCACGATATTGACAATAAAAATAAATATTAAGGCAAGAGATCCTTTGATATTTGAAGCCCAATTGGCAGACTGAATGTCCATTCTTAAGCCGTGATTGGCTAGACCCGAAAGCGTCTAATTTTCGGCACGAAGCCCGATGATTGAAGCCCTATAAAATGGGCCGGCATACCAAGAGCATTGATCTACTCCGTAGTTTATAGGTTTATAATTTAAAATACGCTAAAAATGACCTCGGAAACCTTCACACTCTCTTTCGAGGACCAGTCTCAGCGTCAAAGTCATGCCTTACCACGGGTTGATGGTGGTAGGGCAGCTATCATGAATTTAGTGGGGTGTTCGATCCTTCAACTGTCAAGTTGGGGTGAGTAAAATAAATAGACTAGCTTACGCAAGGTCAACCCTTTAAACGGCTAGTATTGATGGTCTTAGGGTTTGTCATGTCTTACGGCGTCCTCCAAGAGCAATACACAACCCATTTCAATATGCAGGGCAGCAGCAAGCTTACCGGAGCGATTGGGACGACCTTAAATGGCGTTCTTTACATGTCACTTCCTATCATATCAACACTGCTTGCAGGCCGCTTGTATCAATGGAGACGCATGGCAGCTATTCTCGGGTTGTTGATTTCCAGCGCAAGCCTGGTCATATCGGCGTCTAGTACTGCTGCCTGGCATCTACTAGTCACACAGGGCATACTGTGCGGTTTGGGAAGCGCGCTACTGTACAGTCCATCGACATTGCAACTCAATGAATGGTGGGTTCGACGCAAGAGCTTCGCATACGGTGTGACTCTGGCCGCCAAGAACATCGTGGGCACTGGTACTCCATACCTCAATCTGGCTCTGCTTGGTAGACTGGGACTGCAGAACACACTCCGAGTGTGGGGAGTGATCACCTTTGTCAGTGGTATCCTGGCATTGCCGCTAATGCACCAGCGGGGAGAATGGCCGACGAACCAACAATATCATCACTATAGGAGACGGACGCCGTGGAAGTTCTTGACTCATCCAACGTTTTATGTTTTTCATATCGGAAATATTATTTTCAGTAGTGGGTATGGGCTACCTCAAACGTATTTGCCGAGTTACGCCAGCCAGATATTGCATCGGTCACAGATGGAAGGCTCTCTCATGTTAGCCCTTTTCAACCTTCCGGGCATCTTTTCCTGTGTCGCGTTCGGGATACTTGGTGATGGTACTCCGTTGATTGGCGCTTATAAACCAACACCTTTCACAACTACATTCTTATCGGCCATTGGAGCAGCGCTTCCTGTATTCTTTATATGGGGTCTCGCCGCACAGTCTGGATTGGTTGGGCTTGCTCTGTTCTCTGTTACCTACGGCTTTTTCGCCAGCGCATATTCAGCAACATGGGGCGGGGCACTTAGAGAAATCGAGAGGGAAGCGGTCTCTCACAATGAGCCCATTGACACTGGAGTTGTGTACGGTTTGTTGAACGGCGGCCGCGGACTTGGGTACGTACTTGGTGGAGTTGCTGGGATAGAGCTGCTTAAGACTGGGGCAGTACGTAAGAGCAGCCTGGCTTATGGAACTGAATACGGCTCTGTGATTCTTTACACAGGGATCAGCTCTGCCATTGGCGGGCTGTCGGTTTTCTGGAATCTTGCCGGGCGTCGTTATTGCATATCAGAACGGACAAGGCCAGCCTAGTCCAGTATCCCTGCCGTGCCACGTAGTAAAGGATCCTCACGCGGTAGAGCAGCACTAGTAAGCAATACAAATCATCTTTGTGGTCGTCGAGGGGGTCGGACGTGCTTTTGTGCAGCTGGAGAAGACTCGACGATGTGCAGCACTGCCGATTAGAAAGGTGCTGTGGAGACTAAACTATTTGTGGACTAGCTGCTTAGTCATGCACGTGGTATGGTGGAGTCGCTGAGCGGAGAGGCCAAGGCAGATCGATCTTTGTTTTTTTCCTACTCTCGGAGACCCTAGTCGCCCCCGACTTGATGGATCGATGGATACAAGTCAGTTGATTAGACTTGCCATGCATATTATTATCTTAATGCCTCCCAGATCAATCTTGACGCTATCAACCGTACATTTCCGGGTGACATCGACATGACGCCATGCAGTCGACATGGATTAAGCCTGGTGGCGGTGGATACAGAAATCTTTAAGTTCTGTTTCAACTCCATTCCCACAAATCAGACAATATGACCTCGGCTTTATGTGCATTTTCGGTACTAGCCCAGTCGTTTGCAGATATTACTATCCGATGCACTCGTTCCCGGTTCATAAAGTTGCATTAATAGGAGACATTATTTCGATGTGACCGCTAGCATTTATCAATCTTTCAGCTTCTGGTTTATTCTAAAAGTATTTGACCCTGTCCTATTGGCCAATGTACACAAGCATTGACTGGAAGAGTCTGGCGTGGAGAAATCTCGGCTCTTGAAAGGCGCTGGTTTGCTGGTCTTCTCCATCCGGGCCATGCACCAGCACCTTCTTTTTCCCTTTGCTTGGTCCTTGATGGGTCAGTGGATCGTCATGGTAGCGTGATTTATAATCGACAAGAGAATGTCAATATGTCAGGGCCACAAATAGTTTGTAATCTGGCCGTACTCCTGGAAACATCGCTTGGCCTATATAAACTGTCCTTCCTGTCGGAAAAAGACATTGCTGTGACGCCCAACTCTTTCCCATAACATAGCTGTGTATCATACTATTGTTTCTTTCCGAATGCAAAGCCACCATGCCTGAAATCAAAGGCGTGTTTTTCAGAGATGTCCCATCAGGATTGCCTGTAAAAGGCAAAGACTTGACCATCGAGACACTATCATATCCTGAGGAAGCGCCTGAAAATGGTATCATTATTCAGCCACTCTATGCAAGTCTCGACCCTTACATGCGTGGCCGCATGCGTGGTACGCGCCGGATTTTATAGCTCTTCAGTCTTCGTTCCAACTAACACTTCCACATAGATCCTAAAACCAAGTCATACTTTCCTGGATTTGATCTTGGAAAACCCATCACAAATACCCAAATCGCCAAGGTTGTCAAGTCAAATAGTGCGCAATACAAGGAAGGCGATGTCGTCATTGGATTCCTGCCATTCCAGGAATACATCGCTCTAGGGGGTGATCAGCTTTCCCTCATTCGACATCTCCAAAACCCGCTTGGCATTGAAGATATTCGTGTATTCCTCGGCGCGTTGGGTATGCCTGGGCTCACAGCTTATTGCTCCCTGTATGAGATTGGCAAACCAAAGAAGGGTGAGACTATATTTGTCTCAGCCGCCAGTGGCGCTGTCGGTCAAATCGTTGGTCAGCTAGCCAAGCAAGAAGGTCTCACTGTCATCGGCAGTGTCGGATCCGACGAGAAGCTTGATTTCATTCTCAAAGATCTCGGCTTCGACGGTGGCTTTAACTATAAAAAGGAGAAGCCTGCTGACGCACTAGCCCGTCTGGCCCCTGAAGGTATCGATATCTACTACGAGAACGTCGGTGGAGAGCATCTCGAGGCAGCCCTGGATTCCATCAAGGACCTCGGTCGTATCGTCGTATGCGGCTTGATCGCAGGGTACAATAAATCTCGCGAAGAGCAGTTTCCTTTGAAGAACTATAACTATATTCTGACAAAGCGGTTGACGGTGCGTGGGTTTGTGGTGGGAGATAAGGGCATGGGCGACAAGTACCGGGAGGAGCACCTGGAACGTGTCTCCAAGTGGATTAAAGATGGGACATTCAAGTCAATCACTTGGGAGTGCCAGGGCATTGAGAACGCCATTGATGGAATTTTGGGCCTTTTCAATGGACAAAATTTCGGGAAAGCGGTGTTGAAATATTAACAGCAGTACATGACATTTCATCGTTTGGAGGCTATACCTGCAGAATATCTGTTAATAAAATTAACATAATAGCCTGAAAATTCATATTATTCGAAAATCTCAACAGATTTCATGCCATAGGATTAAATATGAATATAGATATCTATAGTATGAAGGATCTCGGCTATATACTTGGCTATTACCGCCGACGCTGATTGGACACGCACTGGCCGGGCTTTTTCGGCTACGGGCAGCCAATCACAGCGGGCCATAATCGGATGACCGCATTCTGTCCCGAGGAAGTTCGACCTCAACTTCACACTGCGGCTTGCATACCTCAACCACATCGCGCCTTAGCCACACGACAAGACCGACGCTTCGCTGCTTGCTGGAGGTGTCTGCCTTGTTGAATCCAATTGGGTCTTATGCGCTTATATTGATATAAAAATTTCCCCGCAGCTACAGCAAGCAAACCGCCATGGCCTCCCTCCTCCGCCCCTCCGGTGCGATGCTTGGACACATGTCGAGACTGTCGGCCACCCAGTCCAAGGCGACCCCTTTCGCTATGGCGCTTGTCCGCCAGACACAGATGAAGAGTGCGACATCGCAGACCACTTCTTTCCACAGCTCGGCCAGGAAGGAGATTCTCAAGCCTCTGCCACGTGAGTTTTACCCGGGTTGCACGGGCGTGCAATTCCATCCAAAATAAAGGTTTTAGGTATAATTTACTGACGGTGCTATCTATCAGAGGTCGTCCAAGGATCAAGTATGTTATATATTACGCTGAACGCTGGCGTTATCATTTTTCAATACCGTGTCCCGCGTCGCCCATGACTATAGAACACCTTGATTAAGATATTGTTTCGAATTGATGGCTGATTCAAAGTCTTTAGTGAACGATGCTGCCCCCATTCCTCACAGCTCTCCTAGCCACGGTAGTTATCACTGGACATTCGAGCGGTACGAACACATCGAAACAAGTATAAGAGGGTTTGCTGATTGTTGTTTCAGATTGATCGCTGCTAGCTTAGTTCCTCTAACCATCGCCCCATTCGCTGCTGGCACTCTTAACCCTGTCATGGACTCCGTCCTTGCCACCGCTCTCGTCCTTCACTCTCACATTGGATTCCAGTGTGTAATTCCTTTCCCTACTTAGAATCTCACGGCTGACAATCCTTTAGGGCCCTTATTGTCGACTACCTCCCCGCTAGCCGTGTCCCCAAGACCCGTTCCCTCTTCGTTTGGGGCTTGCGTGCCGCCACTTTGACTGTTGCCGTGGGCTTGTACGAATTTGAGACAAATGATGTTGGCATCACTGAGGCTATTAAGAGAATATGGACGGCATAGATGTATATTACAATTTAGCGGTCACCATATCATTCTTTATTCCTTTTGTCTTTTTTTCTACAAGTTATTGTACAGATTCCAATGGTTTTCTACTATCCGCCTAGGCTAGAGGCGTCTGCAATGCAAACAACGCAGTTGATTTAAGGGGTTATGAAGCAAAAGTAGAATGTGAACTATATATATGTCTTCCAGTGACTCAACCCCTAAAATTCCTCCCCGAGTAGATAGTGGTAAATTGCGAGCCAGCGCGATGAACCTCGCTTACAACGGGGCCGATGTTCTAATTCGTTACAGTCGTCGAAGTTGATAATAACAGAAATACGCTCACTCATCAAATCCCTCATCTGAGCCCACTGACCCATCATCGGGCAACCTATCGTCATCGTCTGCTTTTGCCACGACCTTCTCAATCAATTTCAAGGTCGCTAATAGCGGCAATCCAATGACATTATCATAACTCCCATCGACCTTTTCCACCAAAATCGATCCTAGCCCTTGCAACCCATAACCCCCAGCCTTATCCGCCCCTTCCCTCGTCTTCACATACGCCAGTATCAGATCATCCGTAATCTCACTATCAAACCGTACATCTGTCTCTTCAATATGCGTTTCCATCGCATACCCCGGCTGTCTCGCGCTCGCCAACGGCACCATAACCACAACCGCAGTGTAAACCTTATGGTCACGCGCCGCCCGTAGATCCTTCAACATGGTAATGTGGTGTGCCTCCGACCTCGGCTTTTCCAAAATCGAGCCGCGCACCGTATCAACCACGATGGTATCGGCAGCGAGAATCAGTGCTGGTTCGCCCTTTTCCTCATTCTGTGTCTCTTGCGCGTAGACTGTTTGCGCCTTTTTTGTGGCTGTCGCGAGGACATAGTCGATTGGCGCCATGGTCTTGGGGTAGTCTTCGGGTTCGGTGCTAGGGATGATTTCGATGTTGGGAAGGCCGAGGTACGACATTATCTGTTTGCGGCGGGGGGATTGGGAGGCGAGGATGACCCGCTTAGATCGGAGACCCTGCAGGACGGGGAGAGAGAGAGGGAAGGGTGGGCGCGGGCGTGATGCTGCTGCTGTGGCTGCTTCATATGTAGGAGGGTCTGGAGGCACGTCGGTCTTGCTGGAGTTGAGAGTGTCTTTGTCGGGCATGATGGATAATAATGGCCTGTTTCGATAGGAATGGGTAGAAATTGGCAGTGGCCAAGAAACGATCAATTGATTTGGGTGATGTTAATGTTGTTTGTTTGTGCTTGTTTGTTGAAAAGTTGAAGTTGGTTAGTCGTGCCTCTGCCAAATGTCCCGCCAGGTTCCGCTCCGCCCAATCTATTTGTGGCAAGGGCACGTGAGCTGGCGAGACCTAAATCTACGACATCTAGGAACGCTAGACACACACTCGGCCAATGTCAGCCTGCTCGAGGGTCGGTGAGCAGGAATGCGTGGTATTGATTGAGCAATGCAAGAAATTTCCGGGCCTTGTTGGCAAGTTATGCGCATATTGCCCCAGAAACTTATCTGATGAGACCAAGTACCTGAAGTGTAGTTCCTCAAAGAAATAGAACAATTGATGTTGTGCTGTAGAAAAAGCTCTCTAATATCTTTGAATTATTAGAGGATAGATCAAACATCATTAGTAATATAATATTTGAGAACATTAGTTATAATTGGTTAAGGAGATAGTTGGTAACTATATGAAATAAGATAGAATTAGTATCCGTTTAACACTGAATAGTAAATTAATGAAATAGATATGTATATAAATTATATTAGCAAATAACTTATTTATAGAATAAATAAATACGTTGAAGAATTAAACTTATAATTAGAGTTTGGCTAATATATTATAGAAAATGATTTAATGATTAATAAATTAATATTATCTAGCACTGGGTCTATTTTAAGGATGAGAACTTTGATTTTTAGAATTCTAGCATTTTTAACGCGACCAATAGCTGTATAATGATAAAGATTAAACAACAGTTCTATAGGCCCAACGTTCGGGTGGACTATAAAGCTAGAAATAATAGGAGAAACGATTATTGCGTCAATATTAGTTTAGCTGTGCTACGCTTCAAACCAGGGCTCATGGTCCTGTACGAACTGTTCCCAGCTTGTCGGTTTCTCAGTCACCTGTTCTAATGTCCAGTCCAGATCTGTTGGCCCAGTGGGACCAAAGTATGCGTAGACCGAGTACAAACCTCTCATCTCCTGCAGTCTCTTCTGCAGTGCGACTGGCCACGCAGAAGGCGCAGATTGTGTGAGGCGGACGTTCTTACCCGTTACCTTTGTCCACGTGTCTGCTATCTCTTGTAGAGTATAGTATCGCGTAGCGCAGGTTAATCTCTTCTTGTCATACAATTCCGGATCCAAAAGTGCTGGGCTTATGAACTTCCCTACATCTCTCATATCCATTAGAGGAATACGAGTATCCGGGTCCAGATTTATCCACCACCAGGTGTACTTTCCGGGCGAAACCTGTTCATCAGTCAGCATTAATTATAATTTCGAGTCTTATGTCCTTGGGTTTCACTTTAAACATATGGAATCACTTACAAACTGCGGTTTTGACCTTCCCAGGTTGTTCTGCATGAGCCAGCCAGCCATGAAGAACGTACTCTTTATATCTAAAGTGCGAATATATTCCTCCACTTCTGCCTTGCTATCGAAGTGCTCCGCCCCGCGGACCTCCCCTTTCGACATTAGCGTTGTATTCGGAAGGGTGGACCAGATTATCTGCGGCACCCCTGCTGCTACACAGGCGTCGGCGACGGCTTTCCCTTGGGCGATCTCGATGGCAGCAGAGGCCTCTTCCCAATCTATCTCCTTATATATCAGCTAAAGCACAAGGACTGGACTGGACTGGACTGGGAGGAATGGGTACAGACAGTTTGTCATCGCATACACACTATCGGATCCGGACACTGCTTTGATTAGTAACGGCGGGTCATTGAGATTTGCCTTGGGGCATTCCGAGGTCAGGAAACTTTGGTCTGTTTGGGGAGAGGGGTGGAAAGTTGGAGATACCTGGACCATCTCAACGCCCTTCTCTCTCAAAGTCTGTGCAGATGCCTTGAAGACGTCCCGAGTGACTCCGCGAAGTCGGAAGACTTTCGACAGCTCTGGATGTCCGAGGATATACTTGATTACAGAGCCCCCTTGGAGTCCGGTCGCCCCAAAGACGGTCAGAAGTTTGCTCATTGTCAATTGATATTCTGAGAATGTATCTTCCAGCAGTACCACACGAGAAATGACCTGGTCAAGGTACTTACTTATACGTCATAGTGTGGTTCTAGGACATGTTGGAGACACCATATTTTTATTGTTGGGCCACGCGGCAGCCAATCGGACCGGCGTCCGAGCCATACTTCGTCCCGCGATCGCCATCGGTACGTTGGAGCTTCCCCAGGCGCCGCTGGAAAAGTATGGGGTAATTAAAGAATGAGGCGGCAAAGCCACACGTGGATTACCCCTCCGTCAGACACAACCAGTATCCCTGTATGTGGTAGATGTAATTTAAATATCCAAGCTAAACTTGATTATTGTGAATAGCTACAAGCTAGATGTTAAAAATTGATGTCCTAGCAAGTTGCCTTGCACTTGAATACACAAGGTTTATTTATGATCCGAGAATGGAGATACGTAAACATTCTTGTTTTCTGCGTCATGAACTATTTGACACTTTGTTGAAATAGTTTTGAAGTCCGGTTCATATTGAAAAAAAGAAAATCCCCGACATGGCCATCTAAGACATTTTTGTCGCCTTATTTACATGCGGTCCGGAGCTCTCTATCTCTCGAAGCCAGAGGTTCCACAGGCACATACAAGACCACCGCGTCATCTTCTCTGCCGGCGCGTGTTCATCCGATCTGAGATATTGAAGACCTTCAGTATTTGCATTGCCGCCAAATTAGACATGGACAATTACATATGTACTCACCAAGAAATCTAGCCACGTGAAAACATGGTTCAAGTGGCAGAGCTGTGAGATCTGTCAGCCTGCGAAGGTATGACGATATGTCCTACATATGCAAAAACAAGAAGGATGTACGCTCACGTACTTACGATGCTGCAGTATGTGGGAGTCAGCAATCAAGGTTCACAGGTGCGACTGGGGCGATGGTTCTCTAGACGTTGCCATTGCTTTGGTAGGTGATGTAGGGAGCTCGATGTGAGAGCAGTCCGAAGCATAGACTGACCTTTTTCTACTGTGGAATAAAGGGTCCCGCTTGGGCTAGGCTCAAGGTCCCGCACGACAGCTTTCAGGGGCTTTGCATCTGCGGAAGCTCCGGCCGGCCAGTTGACTCCCCAACACTGATGTCTTTATGAGAGTAATGCTTTGTAATGATCTCAGGTGCACCAATACTGGAGAACCGCCTCGGCGGGACTAGACGCAGCGTTATCGAGGTGTTGCCTGAGGCGGTGATTGTCGTGATCCCCGCGTTACCCCAACTTACCCTTCCTTAGCTCAATCTCCCTCGCACCTTCCAAACCTCAACGCACTGAACTGGCCCTCCCAACGACGAGTTGGCTTTTACGACGGCCAGCGTGGACGCAATGGATGCAGCACGGTACAAAAGGCAGAAGGTGATGGTCGCCTGTGATCCCTGCCGCAACCGAAAGGTATGCCGTGGAAGGTGAAGTCCGCCGGGCCGCCTGACTTAAAGCTTGCATCCAGGTTAAATGCGACGGCTGTGAGCCTGGTAAGACCCGCGATCAATCATTCGTGGTGGTCCACCCGCCTGCTCGATAACGAGGCACGAAGCTAAGGAGCCTCGCAGTCGCTCTCCAAGTCTTCTGCGGATTTCTTTGGCCCAGAACCAAGTTGCCGATAAGACAGTCTGATAGCACGAGCTAACTGACACGTAGTGTGTGCGCCTTGTCGAAAGAAATCCAGCAACAGCGCGCTGTGCACATGGAGCGGCGGCGCTGGGCGGACCGATATACCGACCGACAAAGTCAAATGGCTCGACGAACGGATTCGACAGCTCGAGCACCGCAACGAGATTCAAGCCGGCGAGAATCAAATAGAACACACCGAGTTTGATCGATCGATCTTGGAGGTAGCCGGGGTCCGCCAATCTCCTCGCGCGGGATCCATTGCCTCAATCCAGCCATCTGCGGCTTCGCCGCCTTGTCAGGATATGGCATGTGAATCCACAGCGAGGGTGAAACCGTACTTTGCAAGCATCAATCCAACTAGTTCTACCATGTCGAATGCCAATATACAGCCGCAGGAACCGCTGCCATCAGTCGACAGCGTGCCTCCGTCGAATGACCAGTCGGTCCATGCTATCATAGGCGCCACGGTGGAGGAGCAGTATAAAGAAGGCTTTTTCGGTAGTTCCAGCGCGGGGAGGTTTATGCAGAGCGTCAAGATGATGGTCGAGCAACGGCAGACTGGAGCGAATCCGACTCGACAGCCTCTTGCACGGTGGGCTCACAACGACCAGCCCTTGCTATTTCCGAGGAGCGAGGTCGATGGGAAGCATGTAGACTATTCGCTGCCTCTTCGGAAAAAAGCGGATTGCCTGATGGCTGTGTATTGGAAATACGTACATACTCTCTATCCGTTTCTCGATGCCGTACAGACGCAGGAAGAGTATGAGCGTCTCTGGAGAGGCGACAGCTCGGTTTCGGAGGAAAGATCGTTCCTGTGTCTCCTTAATGCCATATTTGCACTCTCTAGCCAGCTCAGCCCGTCAGACGCGCCAGAAGAGCGAGAGCGCATGGCTGCAACATTTTACCTCCGAGCCAGGCAACAGCTTGATCTGCTGGGAACGGGCTCGGTTCGTTCGGTCCAGTCACTCCTTCTCCTGGGAATGTATTGCCAGAGCACTAACAATCCCCACCACTGCTGGATGTTTATGGGATATGGAATACGCACTGCGCAGAGCCTTGGGCTCCATTTGCGCGAAACGAGCGAACGCGCGCCCAACATACGGACGAGGGAAACACTACGCAGAGTGTGGCATGGTTGTGTAATGATGGATAGAATTCTGGCCATGACCTATGGCCGGCCGTGCGGAATAGGCCCCCGGATGGCCGCTGCTGTGCCTCTTCCAGTGTCCATGAATGAGGAGCAGCTTCTTCCAGGAGCAGCTCGGCAGGGGGGCTCCCACGAAGATGACCCGCACGTCATTGAATTCTTTATACACTCTCTGAGATTGTATGAGATCCTGCAGGATATCCTCTACAACTTGAACTCCCCTGATGTCCAACAAGCACAGTCTATCGATGACCTATACGAGACGTACTTTGGAAACTCCTTCTCGGACCAAAGGCAACTTTCTATCCTCGGCTTTGAGCGAAAACTGACCCGGTGGGAGGAAAGCATACCTGAGCATTTGAAGATCGGAAAACCACGTTCATATGATGGCCAAGAAGCTATCTTTCATCGTCAAGCAGTCGTTCTTCATCAGAGGTTGGCAAATTTAATTTAATTCAAAGCATAAAATATGGCGGGCTCACAGTTCCACTAGACATCTCTATATACGACTCTTGTTGTTACGACCCGTCCTCTCTTCCTTCATTACCTCTGAATACCGTGATATGGAGACCCCCACTTCTTTGCTGAGAGTGCTCCCGCGCCGAATCTTCCTGCAATGCGCGGTAGTTTGTGTCAAGGTCGCGCAAGATGCTATTGAGACAGTGTACAACAGGCGAGCCACGAACACTGGTGAGATAGGATATCTGTCCGCGTGGTGGTATAACGTGTTATTCCTGTATACGTCAGCAACGGTTCTCATTGCTGCCCGACTCAGCCCATCCATCCTGGCCGAGTTATCGGAAGCGTCAATTCTGGACTCCTCATTGAAGACTGTCGAGGCTCTTGAAGGATACGGCAACTTTGGAACCTCAATCAGGCGCCTGATCACAACCTTGCGCCTCTTATTCGACATGGTGCCGCAGCAATACTCGCGACAAAGGAAACACCCTCCTCAGCCGGAGACGTCGATTATTCTACCCGATCAGACTCGAACTTGCGATGCTTCAGATCCTCCTCCTCCTCTTTCTCCTAACCGGTGTTCCCCAAATCCCATGGGCGGACACCCGGCGGCACCGGTACATGAGCCTCAAGCTGTAAGGCAGCACCAAATGCAGGAAAATAAAAACCCCGCTGGTTCTGAAATCTTCTGGGGGTTTGATGATGCGTTCGATCCGAATGATGTGTCTTGGCTCACGACAGTACCCTCTGATAGCTTGTCCTACCCTCTAAGCCAAAACGAGTCCGTGTTCCTTTAGTCTTGAACATTTTCTTTTATTGAGTGTATTCTTTGTATTGTACGTGTCCTTGCATTGGACGGGTTACTTGGTATTGGATCCACAACAAAATATACATATGTGACGAAGGTAATTGAGCAGAGCACTCTACGGAACTAACATGTATTTTGATGTCAGCCATATTGATTTTTTCGCCTGGTGTATGTAGATAGGGCATCTAAGCTCCACAATCTGGACCCGAATTCTATCAATTAAATGTTGGACAGCCCGTACGTTAGCACAGGGCCTGACCAGTGCGTCTGATAAATTAAAGATCCTTGGTAAGGGAGCAACATTTTATTGGTGATGAAGAGAAGAGTATAAGTGAAGGTTGTAAATAGGAAATCCCTGTGCTTGATGGCTTCTATATCCAAATTCTAAAATTTCTAAGCAGTGAAATTTTGCATGCTTTATATAGCAATTGGAAGTTTAGCAACAGCAATCACCCTCCCAGGTTCTTACCCAAAGGAAAAACTTGTGAATGTCTTCCAAGGCCAAGACGTTCGTCGTGAACGCCATCACTACCTTCTCTGTTAGTGCATCAAGTGCGAAATAAGGAGCTTGGGTTGCCAAAGAAGAATTTAGAAGAAGTGGTCAGAGAAACTTTGGCGGAGGTTGGATATCCTGGATTCTAGAAAGTTAAAAAACCAAGGGAATTAAGTGATGATATGGACCAAACAGTTATTAATATTCCCGACAAACATTACATATGTCCTATTACTAAAACATCAATTATACAACTTGAACTATTTGGTATGCACCGAATGTATACTGTCTATGATAGATAGATCATGCCCAATCTATAGATTTTGGCCATGGATTCTTCGCATATGCGAGACGAGATTATCCTTTCGGCTAAAACGTTTGCAATGCGCATTGATTGGACAGCTGTATTGTCGCGGGTTCAGATGGATGAGTCGGATGTGGCGCAACAGGTCGTACGTGCGAGTAAAATGCCCTGCGTATGTACAGCCATGCCACCTACATTGAAAAACGGAGTTAACGGGGTTGCCTCTGTTTCTTACTGGTTAGTTAATTGTTAAGGATGAATGAGGCCGAGGCTTACTTGTGGTGTAAGTCTTCCTGGTGTTTCTCTTCCTCCACGTACGGTGACGGTACGGGTGGTGAAGGACATGGGGGCATGGGACAATAATAACCGGTCTGATTTATTGGTGCGAGTGGGTCGTTGGATTGAATCTGGGAATAGATAAGGTTGAACCCGAGATCGGTTCCAGTATAATATCCAGCGGGAAATTCGTTCTCGGGATGAGAATATGGCCATAAATGAGGATCATCCCGGTCGCTATTAGACTGCCAGGAAGCGTGGCGGTAGCCATGGGGTGATGCATCTTTGCTAGGGCTTGCGTCTACCATAATATCAACAAGGCTGAACAGGCGAACGATAAATTTGGAAAAGCGAGCAAATCGGAAGAATGGAGGAGTCTGGAGAGTGTCTTGAGTGCACTGGTCTTGAGACCTTGAGACCGATTAATATACATTTTGATGTTTTTGTCAAATGACAATAATCTTGTTGTTTGTCAAGCGCTCTTGTCAATGTTATTGTCATCTGTCAAGGACCCTTGTGTGATTCTCAGACCTTTCCAACAACTGCCGATCATCAGTAGGCAATCGCCAAGACTTCGCTTGCGTTTTGTCAGTGGACAAATGCTAAGACTTGACACTTGCGCAGTCGACAAGGCTGAACTCTAGCTGTGGCGTATAACAAAATGACCCCTCGCCCGCTGATTCAAGTAAGCTTCACCAAAATCGTTGCCGCCTCAAACACTGAACCATGGATAGCATCACTCCAGTACGGCAACAACCCATTTTGGAAGTCCATAGCTGGGTTTGGAACCAGAGGAAGTCAGCCCCGTCCCCATCGTCGGCATCGGTCATCACTCGATTAACTGGTGCTACACTTGTAAATTCTCCGTCTCCGGCGCCTACGCAATCAACCCCAGATACCCAACGTCAGGTTGATGTGTCTGCCGCGACGACTTCTAAAACCCCTCAGGTATACCTTACCTTCCATTTTCATTTCCATTGGTATTATATTTACTTTCCACAGACCTAGTTCATTAACAGTCTTCTAGCGACCCCAAACCAGAAAGGCCAAAAATGACACCATTCGAAAGATCTTCCGGAAATGGCGGAACACTCTCCCTAAAACTGATACATCCTATACCGTGAGGAAATCCCCGGAAGCAATGGTCAATGATCTTATCGCCCATTTGAACGCAAACTTTGCTGTTCTGATCGAAGAAGCTATACGAGAAAGTCCTTCGCAGACCCAGTCCACACTCGGCATCTGTAAGAATATAATGCGCACAGATGAGTGGTATCGTACCAATCGGAAATACGGCTGGCAGCAAACTGTCGCATTGGAACTGGCTAATAACCCGGCATTTCAACCCATAATTGCGTGCCGCAGGGGGAAAATTCGAAGTAACAAGAGCGTCAAGTGGCAGCTCACCTCAGGCTCCATGCAGCCTAGCACGATGAGTTCTACACCGTCAGACGCAACCTCTTGGCGCTTCCCACGGGAAATGCAACCGCCTTTAGTGGAGTTGCCAGCGACAAACGCCGCAGAGTTGCCCGAGGAGACCTCGACGAGGCAAATACAATCAACCGGCCAGGTGACTACGCCTAGTCCACCAAAGTATCAACTTATGGAATCACAAGCTCGACTATCAGGCGTGCAGACTCCAGGAAAGGCTAAGCTGAAGGACATTCATGCGGAAAATTTTGGTACTAGTTTCAGTCTGGCTATGAATTGGGGGCCATCGAAGGATGGTGGATATCCAAATAACTTCTCCGCTCAGGAGCCTGAGTCTTCTGCATCTGAAATTAGGCGGTGGGAATTATATGATAAGCCGATGTGCGCGGATCAGTTGGAAACAACATGCAACGAACCTACTCCAGCACAGAAGACGACAAGAAACCCAGCACAGCCGGATCAAACAAAAGACGCTGGAGAAGGCTCTTCTTCAGATTCTGACCGCAGATCTGGGTCGGATGAGCAGAAGCGTCCTGGGGGACGCTCTGACGATGGAAGCGGAGATAGAAAGAGAAAGCGCCTCTGGTCTCCAGAGAGAAACAAGAATAGGCGAAGATTCGCATGTGTTTATCATAAGTATGATCCTGAGACATACGGGGTTCACAATCGGAGGTACCTAGTATGTGCTGGCGCAGGATTTGAATTTACCTCTGAACTTGTGTAAGCATATCTCAACCCTTCTCAGTTGGATTTATAACTAATTGTCCAGTCGCCATCTTGGCCGTACTCATGGCGAGCACATCTGCGGAAGATGTCTGCGACATTTTGACAACGCCCAAGAGCGTAATATCCATAGAGGTCAATGTATTGTGCGGTTACGCTGCTCTCAAGAAGAACGCTGGGCTGGTCTGTGGAGAGCCCGATTCCCGGATATACCTGTTCCAGATGATCCATGTAAAATTTCCCTGGCTAAATTGTATTGAATAAGACTAAACCTGGCCTGCAGATCTCAATCTGTCGACCTCCATACGGTCACCTCAACCCGGACAAAATACCCAATCAGAATCAGTACCAACCCAAGCAGACAGGGAGTCGGGTTCATCCTCTACTACTCCATCAATACCATCACCGTACTCTGAGGCGATTTCCGATACCTCAAATGCCCCCTTTTCACATATTCCCATGCCTAATAACAGGAATCAGCAAGCAGGCGAGCCCTCTCCCCCTCTTTCTGCAACTATACAGTTGATGGAATGTCGCATTGATTGTCTTGAGAGACGTCTACCTGGGGTCGAAGACTCTCTTCGCTTAGTACTGAAGCTAGTTGGGTCGTCATCGGACCACACATTCAAAAAACCCATGACTGCCCCCGCTACCAATTCGGAAGGACTATCGCAAGAAACCTTCAGTTATCCCCCATATGCTGCATGTGATGACAACACACTTTCAATCGGACTTGATTCTAGGAATTCAAGTTCCGGAGTATCTCATACAACAAAAGAGGCATCGAATTGTCCTCCTCTAGGATCCTCTGAATCGAGCTCTTCAGGGTCCTCGTCAAGAAATCCTCTCAGCAGTTCGACCGACTCTCCACTCTTCGATACAACAAATAATCCGTTCTTTAATGACAAACGTGGGTGCTTTGATGATGATATCTCCGACCTCATCATGCCGAACCTGGACTTTGAAGCGTGGAATGATGAGCATAATCCTGTGAATGGTGCGGTGCCTCTACCGCCGGATATACACAACCTTCCCCAGTTCTGGGAGTCTGTATGATAATGTACGCGTCTAAGTTATCTGTCTTGGGGACCTTTTTGTTTGGTTATTTTATGTCCATATTTATCTCATGATTCCCCCGCCACTTCCATCTGAGAGTTAGAACACAATATATTCTAATAAATGCCAGGAGCATTTATCTTATACTAGTACATTGTCATCATCCAGAGTTTTATTACCCGCGGCCTTGAAGATAGTGGGGACCTCGGAGGTACTCACCATGGAAGAAATGGGTGCCTTCATAAGACATTAGCCTTAGAGGCAGCAGGTGCCATTGACTGCCACAGGGTGCTAGCGATCTCTGCACTTGGAACTCGTTATTAATATATTCTGTTTCCAGTTTCTCGACGGTGAAAAATTTGCTCAGAATATTTCAAAAATTACGTTAAATTATGCGATTGTCCACTGAGCTATGTACAAAGGCCGTTATTCTTTAAAAGATCCAGTCAAGGATCCGCTGCCATAAGGTGCTTGGTTTCTCTTGCACTATTATTTCCCCCTCATGCAAACGACCGGAATATAAATCGATAGTAGAAGCACGGGCAAACTACACTCTCAATGTTAGCACATATGTAGGCTACAAGACTAGGAGACGAAATAAATCAATGACCAAAGTCGCACCTTTGTTTTGTTCACAACCTTCCAGCAAATGATAGGCAGTATAAAAATGGGAATGCCGATGTATGAGGCGATGAAATCCGAAGTAGACCAATTTCCCTTAAGGAAAACGGGGAAGCCTGCCACCAAGGTGATAATAGTAGATCCAATAAAACCAACCCAGGCAGCAAAGGGCTGAAATGGAGCTTTCCATGGAAGACTTTCCCGACTGACCCCTTGTGCTTTTAGAGCGGCGTAGAAGCGAATATAGCAGAAGGATAGTGTTGCCCAAGCAATAAGGCCTGCGACGGTACTCAAATTTAAGAGCCATGAAAATGCCTGCGCTGCTCCTCCAGTCCCGAGACCTGTATTGACATGAGCTTAAATCGCGATACAGCGACTTCGGTTATTTTTGACTTACTCAGATAGGCAAATGGACCAAAAAGCCAGGCTGCAAGGACTGCAATATATGGGACACCTTTCCGAGTGACACGGCCAAAAATCTGCGGAAGTTGATGATCTGTCGTCATAGCGACAATCATGCGTGAGCCGACCCAGCAGTACGAGTTGCCAGCAGACCAGGCAGACACGAGGATGCAAGCATTCACAATGGATGGCAAAACGTTGATACCAGCCTCACGTATAGCGATGACAAATGGGGAGCTGTTCGCATTCCCACTATCAGATGTCAAGTCCGAGTTTTCGGGACTGACAATTAAACCGATTAAGAACGCACCGAGAACATAGAAAAAGGCAATCCGATAAGTAACACGGCGTGCAGCTTTAGGAATTGCTGTGTGCGGATCGACAGCCTCTGCTGCGGTAATCACTACTGTCTCGACACCGATAAAGCTGAAGGAGGCATTGACGAAGGAAGACAAAAATCCGAGAAAATGGCCAGTTGGACCCGTGATGCCATTGTAATTCGTCCACGCCCCCGGGTTATGCCAGTAGCGAAACCCAATACTTTCGTGATTTGGCCCACCTCCAGCAGTGATGACTATGGACACAAAGACCAGGCCAATAAAGCAGAGGATCTTGATAGAACCGCTAATGACTTCGGTATCACCATAGAAACGTACGCTTGTCAAATTAATGAGCAAGATCAGTACGAGCCCCACCGTGATAACAACGGCTGGCGTCAAATCTGTCCAAAACGAGACAATCACAGCGGCGGCTGAAACCTCGGACGCAATAGCGATAGTATAGCAGTACCCATATGAAATAGCAAGGGAGAAGCCGACAGCAGGATCAATAAATCGAGTTGCCCAGTGCGGAAAGGAACCAGCAGTAGGAAGTAACGTAGCTAGCTCTGCAATACTCTGCATCACACACCAGAGGACTATGCCCACGATCCCGTAGGCCAGCAGCAGTCCAGCAGGACCAGCTTTAGCATAGGCAGCACCTGTTCCAACAAATAAACCTGTCCCGATGCCACCGCAAAATCCGATCATGGATACCTGATAGCTACGCAGGCGACGCTGCGTGGCCCCACGACCGCCGACATTGAGCTCTAGTTCACCTTTTGACAAAGGCAACTCATTATCGTTATTGTAAGCATGTTTTTCCTCCTCAATAGCGAGCGACATGTTAGTTGCCGAACCCAAGGGGTGTCAACGGACATGCTTCAGATGATTTTCAGGCACATGGGAAGTGGAGTTGATATGTGAAAATCGAGCGTGATGACTACGCAGAAAACCAATTGCGACATCGGTCCGAGAGCTTGCGTTTCACAAGTCAAATTATTTGCCATTCGCTGCATTCGTCGAAGTTCGCACTGCAGGGCCCATCAAAGCGTTGCGTAGAGACAATTTTGGTGCGGGAAGTGGAATCGGTGGGTCGCAGTGGATCAGCTTGAGAAAATTTTATTCATCCTTCAACATCGTTGGCACATCAAAATTTCGAATAACAATTGCGGAGTTGATGTATTGAATATTGTTGCTGTTATTATTTATTGGCGCTCAAACTCATTTGTTGTTATTGGCTGCGTGCAGATGCATTCCAAAGCGCTTGAGTGTCAGTCTCAGACGGTGCTGAATCGACCAGCTCAAAGCTGGTGACTTTGGCGATGGCATCACCATGAAAGATTTGACCGTTATATCGCACGGTAGCTTTTCCTGCTGACCGTATGATTTCATTCGCCGTCAAGGGCTGTCTAGGCGTGTTGTGAATTGAAAGTGCCCCAAAAGCGCGTGCTATTTCAATCGGACTGAGGCTGACCTGACGTCCGAGACGCCACCATCCCCATAGAGGAGTCAAAACAGCAGCTAATGTGACGAACATGAGACTCAGCGCTGCTGCTAGGTACGTGTAGTCGGATTGAAAGATGAGTGCTAGGTTTGTGCGCTGTACGCTGAAGGTCTGAGAATCTGAGTCATCGGCAGCACTGATTGAGGCCCGGAAGAGAAAGGTCTGAATAGCGTCGAGCACCCAAAGGGTTGGATCGGAGAATTTCAAGCCACATTTCGGCATCATCGACGCGTTGTAATTCGACGGTGCAGCGAGAAAAAAGAGATCTGGAATGAAACCACCGGATGTTAACGTTTCATTGGATTTTACAACCAATGTATCCGTGGCGGTTATATCTTGGCCAAGAAAGTCGTTAAGTCCTTGAAGAACCCCAATACCTTGCCAGGGTTTAGCTGTAGATAGATCGCCCTCAGATATATACTTCTCGACGACGTTGGGAGGACTGAGCAGATCGTTATTCAGCAAAACCGTGCTGTTCTGTATAGTGACTGGATAATCAACAATTGCAGCCTCGACTGTGCAGTTGTTGTAGATAAGAGTCCCGATACAATTGTCGTCAATAGCTGACGGATGTACAGTGCCCACAAGTAGGATAGGCGCACCAGTTGCATTTGAAGATAGTGTGATGTCTATGGCAAATATTGGCTTGCCATTGCTTGACGGCGCCATAAAATCCAAGTTCGTAGTTGTGCTTACGCACGTATAGTCCATTCCGCTTCCCTTTACTCTACCCTGGCAGGAACCGACACATGGCGGTACGTTCCCGTTGGATGGTATCGTGATTGTTGTATTAGTCCACCAGTCTCGCATGATGCCCATTCCATTCCGGGAACCAATGATCTGATGTGAGGATGCGTTTAGTACCCAGCCAAACCAGCCATCCGGAATTTGCTGCTTGATATTCATGGTTATGTTATCTGGTACAACGATTTCACTAGCCGTTGTGCGGGTAGACCGTTGTAATAAAGGGTTATGGATGATCTGAGCGAGCGTTACTAACCATGCTAGCAAAGCAATCTTCTGTGTAGTACTGTTCGAGAAGAAGGCTGAAATGGACTTGAGGCCAAATCCATGTTTCCAGATGTAATGCAGAGTTTCAAGCGTTGCGCCGCTGATAGCGTATCGCCACCAAGCAATGGTTACGCTTATCATAAGGATTCTACCGAGCGAACCACTCCAAACCGACGAAACTAGAGCAAGCAGAACTGACGGATCAATGCTCCATGAAGAGACTAACTTGTTGTTGGAGTAGATAACGATTCCAGCAGAGGCTCCCATGCATAATAATGTGATGGTAGACAGGACCATCGCGGGCCATGGCGTTTGTTTGAGAAAAGCCCCCCAGGTCCTAGAGGGGGGATGTTGGCGATGGACATAATTGGACGACTGGTGTATCGAAAACTTTCCCATGGAAATTGATATATTTGGGATCCTTAATGGGGGTTTTGTGCACACAAATTGACTTTATAGCATCTTATGTTAGAGTGATCTGGTTGTTCCGCCTTTTTTTGTGGATTAACGAAACAGCTGGCAATCGTCTGGAAATGAGTTTAAGAAATAGTCTGCTGTCGCATCGAGTACTCCTTTTGGAGTGCTTAAGCATGACAGAGTCGTGCCCACTTAACTTTAATCTTAGTTTTCTCGTATTTATCCCTGCCTAGTGCCCGAGATAGTAGATTGGGGCCAAAATTAATTACAATTTAGTGACCTTTTTACTGAGTGCTCAGACTTGGGACGGCTCACGGTCCAATTAAACCCATCATGGTAAAGAGCAGCTGATGAGCTTTTCTTCTTGTGGTTTAACATCCTAGAAGGATGCCAAAAGGCTTAAAAAGGCCTCCAAATAAAGTTTCGAAGCTAGACATGTTACGCTTGGATAGGTATCGATCGACCGACCGAGACTCAGTTTGAGCCTTGAGGCTTGAACCGCGTGCAATTCAAGTGAGACGCCAGCTGAATCTGTTCCTCGGGGCCATGTAGGAGGAATTACTTTGGTTTAATCAGAGATATCAACTTACGCCTTGTTAGGCACTAACTTGCGATTGTGACAAGGACGTTAAATGAGGCTTTAAGCGATAAAATAGGAGTCTTGGTAGAATATTAGAATAAACAATCATTGACACCAGTCCTTAGAATAGTATTTCTTAGTTATATCCCCAATTTTGACATTTAGACAGGCGGTTGGATAGTGGAGAAAAGGGGAGAGAAATCTAGGCTGCGCGTCGTTCCCTACCACTAATTAAGTACACAGCAGCACGAGTATCAATCAACGGATCAGCGGATGACTCAATACCCTCGACCCTTGGGACAGGGTCGAATATGATTTTCTTCTGCTCAGCAGCGCTGTCTTCCTTCTTGATGGTGTTAAGGCTGACAGTGCCTAGTTTAACAAGCTTGCGATCCTCCGGCCAGTGGACAGTGCAGTCATTGGTCACATCATCAATATCTGCCAATTGAGCTACGATGTCAAATTCTATCGAAGCTTTTTCTAGTTGTGTAGATAGGTCGTCAAACAGATAAGTAGGGCCTTTGGCTTTAATCTGGTCATCATCTAGGTATGATTCGCCAGCCTTTGGCACAATACGATACCGAAAGTAAGTTTCTTTGCCATCCTGGTTAATAAACTTGAATGCGTTCACTCCAAAGTATTTTTCTGTTGCGAAACTAGTGGGGAATGGCTTCGGAGCCTGAACGAAGGCCTGCGCTGCTGGATGAGAGGAGAGATGGTCGCTTATCGTCCCGGAAGCGAGGGACCGAAAGAAAGCCAACGCTTCGGGCCCATCTTTCGCTGGGAAAAAAGGAGTCGAATGGGCTACAATATCCGTATGTACATGGCGCGGCGACTCTTCTAGTATAAATCTTAGAGCTAGGCCACGAGGATTGCCGCTAGGGTCTGTGTCCGATAGATCCGGAAATCCACCCGAGCTCGAGAACCGCGCAATGACGGTAGTTGATGTGCGATGGAAGTGGGTTGCTGTAGAAAGAGATGAAGCTTCAACTGTAGGCTTGAAAGTTCCCTGGAGTAAAATTCCTTTTGCATGAGCTAGTTTCAAGGATTAGTAGCCTGATCTACTGGATGACGAATACTTAACTGAAATCTATTCTTACCAGGTCTGTAGCCAGGATGAGGACCAAAAATTCCTTGGAGAACTTTGACGAGCCCATGGCCCGTATCAACAACTTCAGGGTCAGCTGGGAGAGGCATGTTTTAAAGGGTTGTGGGAATGAGTCACAGTACGGAGCAGGCAGTAGGCACTGGCGCAAGATTTGTGGTGACTTTATACCCTATGGCACCATCAATCAGTATGGTGTCATATGCTTACATTTTAATCTAATTTGATAGGCGCAATTGGTAATGTGGTCGGCACGATCTAAATCTTAATATTGAGACTGTCACTTTCAATGTTGTCATACACTGCGTGTGTAACACTAATCTAAGATTCAAGTTCACCAAGGCGTGATTTGTAACGCTTAGTAAGTTAAAGCTACTCCAAATCACAGCCAATCTACATACTGAATCACTTCGGGATGTAATGTGCTAGTGCATTCTCACGTCCCGAGTGGTGCCCGCCGATGTAAAGCTAATATAGAGTTCAGGTTGGCACTCTCGGCGGTCGCTTCGGGGCCCCAAATTATCATTCATGATCTGTCAAAGTTGGCCTGAGGAACAGTGTCTGTGTAAGATGTGGATGGACGATGACTAAAAGCTTGGAGGGTTTCTATTATAGTGCTAAACCACGGCCCCAAAACACCAACCCTGTATCGAGGCTCTATTCAATACACTTCTTAGTACCAATAGCTGTCTAATGCCCAGCTTTTCGCTCATCATTTCTAGAGCCTTTTACACTCAGTCTGTACAGGCGTTCTCGAAATCGGCTTCATCGGCAAACACATGATGATTATTTCCCTACTGCTTTGGTGCTCGTAATTTATTAAGCTATTTTTCTTACACTCTGTATTGTATTATATTATACGATACCAATCAATGTAATTTAGGAACTTATCTTTAGTGTGCTGGAGATACTCCATTTCACGATGTGACTGTTAGCAGGCGGCCAAAAAAAGGCTACTTCTGTGGCCGTTTTACGAGTCTTCCTACCTCAAATCATTATTATTCTCAGTATCACGTAAGCTCATTCTAACAGCACAATCAATTTTGTTAGTTCAATTAATCACTTATATTCATCACCATCTAGGCTACGGTGGCGATCTTGCCCCGCTGCGTCATACTTATGCAGTCCTAACCTAATCTCAGCCTAACGACCCGTAACGATCTATGTAAGTGGCATGTACATGTACACCCTACGACCCACCCCCATCAATAATGTCCACCATCTGTTATCAAATCCGAACACACATTCAACAAGAAGCAATTTTCTTGCCTTTTCGCAATGTCTTTTCATGAAAGCGCCTGCGATGTTCACCTGAGTCCGGGGCGTGAACCCGGGACAACTTTGCTGGTTGCTATATGCAATAACGAGGAAGGATCAGGTCTGACTAGCGATATCTTGCTCGATGACTTTCTTGGTAATGATGATGGTACGGTCTTGTATCTCTTTCAATAAGATTTCTGGCGCATGGTAATCACATCTCTACTAGGGCATTTCATCTGGGGCGGAAAGAACGTGACTCAAAGCTGTCGGAATTTACAGCTATGCAGGGAAGGGCCATCTCGACTGCCCATACTTCATGCTAATCTTCAAAATCGCTCGGGTGAATTCGTAGCCGCTGATTGTCATCTTGATGAGCATATCATCAACATCAATGGCGAACTTCTGTTGAAGCCAAACGAAGGTGTAGAATAGTATGCATGAAATGCCGATTCTTACAGCTTGAGATGGCGCACGCCAAGCTCTTGAATGAACAGATGCTATAGGTCAAGAAGGGATCTTCAGATTTGAATGGGAAATTCATTGTCTTGATTGATATTCGTATATTCAAAGCTTCACCAAAATTGGTATAGGAATAATTGTACTCTTTCCTCGAGATATATTGACACTTGCAAGTAGGAGACTTACTAAAATAAACCAAGGGCCAAGGATTGCAAAATGGGGAAATATTGTGTAGATTCTCACACCGGCGCCAAATCCGGTAACCCTAGTGAGATATTTCCTAAAGACTTTTTAACATCCAATACACATCCCTTAATTACTTGTAAGCTTGACGATCTTTTTAGCAGCTTCCTCGAAATCGGCTTCCAATAATACATTATCCAGGCCAGATTTTCGAATCTAGAGGTAGTATTAATGATTAGCAAGCAGTAAGAAATAGAAGATATGTACTTCCCAATTTGGAGCCCTTTTCGCAGTTTGTACCCTGTAGGCGAATCACGACTGGAATATTGAACCCTCCCGTTGCAGCAGAAGCAGCAAGTATCGAATCGGCAATCATATCACAGCGAACAATTCCTACTAATTAGCTAAAGTCACTCTAGACAAATATATACTCACCGCCGTATATATTTATGAGTAGCCCTTTTACGTGGGAATTGCCTTGTAGAATCGAAAATGCCTTTGATAATGTCTTCTTGGTTGCACCACCACCAATATCCAAGAAGTTCGCACATTTCCCGCCGTACGAAGTGACCAAGTCATTAGTTGCCATGGCCAAACCAGCACCGTTCACAATAACACCAATATTACCGTCCAGACGAATGTAGGAAAGACCCAGCTGTGAAGCTTCATACTCATCTTTCTCCTCCGGCAAATGTTCCTCGAGTCTAAACAAGTCGGTCTGTCGAAACTTTGCCGATTCATCAAAGTTCAATTTTGCATCTAGACAGATAAAGGACCCTTCCGTTGTGCGCACAAGAGGATTCAGCTCGAGGAGAGTAGCATCTTTGTCCCGGAACAATTTTACTAGTTGATACAATATATGTGAGACCACCCGCATTTCGTTGTCAGAAAACCCAAACTGTGCTTCGATATAGGCCATAATCTCAGGGGTGAGTCCAGTAGAGAGATGAAACCAAAACCGCTGGAGTTGATTCACGTTTGACTCGATATTGACACCCCCCTGATCAGACATCAGGAGCACAGGCATGTACCTTTCGCGATCAAAGGTAATAGCCAGGTAGAATTCCTTAGCAATATCAACAGATTTGTAGATGTATAGTTTATTCACTGGAAGACCACTGGGCGGAGTTTGGCTCGTGACGAGATAAGAACCGAGCATTTGAGAAGCGTTTTTAAAAGCTTCATCCGGTCTAGAGTTTTGTCAGAGCTGGTAAATTATCAGGTGTTTTCGCAGGAACCCACGAGTTGACAATGCGAACGCCACTTTTACCATCGCTGTTGAACTTGCCCTTACCACGCCCGCCCGCGAGGATTTGAGCCTTCAAAACTGATGGCGCATCTAGAGTTGTCTTAGCATTGAAGAAGTGTCCTGGAATTCCTCACAACGGTCAAACCCAGTCGCTCCATCAGGAACTCACCGATATTGTATACGACATCCCAAGCTGCCTCGGGACTCTTAACTACAAACCCATTGGGAACAGGAATATTGAACTGGTAGAAGTAAGTCTCAATAACTTCAGGCTATTGCATAGACGGTCTTCCTTACACCTTTCAGAAGATGGTGTGAATGGTGTTCTAGGAGACTTAACTGGCGTACATGTTTTTTGAATATACCATGATGCTGCCCAGAGATTAGCCTTCCAAGCATTCAATGTTGATATTAGAAAGTATCATGCCTCTCGTAAAAGAGGTAAAAGGGACCGCCAACGTATCATCTGATGTTGTTCAAGTTGCTTTCTTAGTAGCTCATTTTGCTGGCCATCCCGAAAGTCCTACCCAGCGAGCGAAGGCGATATTATTATGATGGGAAATAATTTAAACTTTACAAATGACATCAACGGTATAGGTTCACTTTTTTTGGTTAGTTTAATGAAGGTATTTTACAAAGCTCTGTACGCTTACCGTTCCATACCAGAAAGAAACTTACCGTGATTTACAAACTAAAGCCTTGGCAGTGGGGCAGGGAAAGAACCCACATATGTTTGCTGGTGAAGCCGATTTCGAGAACGACTATACAACAGGCGATATTCGTTTTATTGACAAGTAACTAAAAAGAGTCAACCAGATTGAAGATTTTCAAGTATCACTCGGAGGATGACCTTCCTTTCAACTAAATTTTGATTAGGTGTACTTCATCGATATTGCAGCCATAGGGAGGAGAGTTCTTAGACTGCCACGTTTTACTACTTCGGTCGAGCGCTCGATACAGTTAGACGAGGATTTTCGCTGTCCTGAGAGGATATGGTCGTGTTTGGGCCCTTTCAACCCTGGCGGCGATGTCTGGAGAGAACTGCTCTTCCCTCCGACCTGTGTGATCCATCAAGATAAGGTCGTAATCTGTCCTCTAGCATCAACAATCAGGTACCACCAGCTGGCTCTTCTGCGATCCATATACTAGTGCTTAGTCTCATTACACTGCCTGCTACCGACTTGGATTAATATGAAAGACTTCTTAAAAAAGTTGAAAGGACAACAAACTTAAATTTTTCGCCTGCGACAATTACAAGAAGCCTCACGACCTCGCGAAATAGCCGTTTTTCAAATATCATTACCCAAGAACAATTGAGTAGAAATATTAGCAATTTAAGAAAAGTTGTGTACTCAAGTATTCATAGCTGCTTACAAATACAACAGGCTGCTGGCTTGGTTGCCAAAATAGGAAATTATCGGAAGAGCCCTAACTAAAGATGATCCCTGCCCTTAACGCTTAGGCCTATTTTAAATATGTATTATTAACACAATCAATACTCGGCTTCGCAGAGTTTAGTGTGAGTAGAGTATATACTGCAACCTTTCCGATTACATATCATAATTCCAACTCGACTCACTCGTCACACTAAGCATTGACAAAGCTTGGCCGAATGCCAGTGAGATACTTTTCGACCCATCCCGTCGTCATCTGCATGCTGCCTGGTTCAAACATGCACGCCTCGTCGGGGCGCATCTTGGCTGGGTGATCTGGACCTTGAGTCGGCTTTAAGAAGAGGCTCTTGACACTATAGACGATGAACTCAACATATGTATCGAATGGCGCGATGGAGGCTCCTGCAAGCTCCGCGAGTGCCTTAGTTGTATCGCGAGTCTCAGAGGTGGAGGGGGTGATACTATTTAACCCTTACTTCATGCAGTAGAGAGAAATTAATGCCTTTAGATTTATCCGAAATATTGATTGTAAGAAATGGACTGTTTCATAAGTGCGTTTCCCCTCTCGGATGATAGCATCATATATCGAATTTCTAACCAGCCACAGGATATCAGCTTACGAATAAAACCTCTGTAGTGGATCTGCGCAAACATAGATTAATTTGTTTTTTTTTTTAAAAAGGAGGAATAATCCAAATCATTTTTAATATTGTTATTAATACAAAAACTATATATAGATAAGATTGATAGATTATTGTATGAGTATATCTCTTGTTGGACTTGGTACTACCATGTAATCATCCGTCGAACAACATAGGAGCCGTCAATTCGCCCCACGAACCCTGTCATGGATCAAGCACAAACAAGAACAAAACATTGAACTATTGCTGTATCCCATGTCTCTCATAAATCAAAGGGGTTGTCATGCAAGTAGGCTGCTTCGATTCTGTACGCATTCCACACTACAAACCCTATCTAGGTCCTACAAAACTAATCAGAATTTTGCGATGTGGGCTTTATCAGACGATCTCTATAATATATTATTGACTGAACATCATTCTGTTTCTTTTTCCTCGTCAAGAGGAATGCATCGGCGATATCAAATCTGTACATGTCAGTAAATTAGAAGCTTGACGTCAGTAGAGAATGTCTTATCTCGCTCACTTTGCACAACAGGTGTTAGCGGGCAGCTCCAGTACCGGACATACGGCTATTAAAATCCTGCGACTTGCTCTTCCTGACGCGGTCCTCATCTCGACTAATTTTGAGCAGTACCTCGGACGACGCAAAGCTCGTGGCGCGACCGTGACTCCCGACTACAACTTGCTAGGCCTTGTTGGTAGAGTAAGAGAGACTACTGCAGACAAGCCGGGAATTGGAGCAATGGTTAACGCAGTTAAAAGGGTCGTTACTGGGAACGTTTATCGGATGCAAACTATTCGCAGAACTGGCTCCACATACACTAACATACGGCCGTAAATCCATGTCAGTTCCCGAACCGGGATCATTGTTTGCTTCGCTCGAGAAGCTGCTCTAAAGTGGGCTGTACAGAGACCCATTGTCAGTCGCGGTGATGGTTGGGTGATTTGAGAAGAGCCTAGTAAGGTCCCGAGATATTGAAAACTGGCACCTCTGGGACTAAACTGGTAGTACAATTATTATAAGGTAGGATATGCTGTGATCAATACTGGTGGAAAATTGTCTCAGCTCGCAATATTTCAACTCGTTGTGAATGGTTTAGCACCTCAGCCCCAAAGTGTTGTACATCTAGCGATGTTGAATGTGGGACGGGGGGGGGGAGGTTTTCTACTCCGTTTTCTAGTCTTGTTTTAGTGTTGACTAGTTTATATGAGGCCGAAGAAAATGATACGGTCGTCTTGAGGCTCGGAATTAAACAAGAGATGAGAAATTGAATTGCCTCGTAATGTTTCTTATTAGAAATCAACTTTTTTGGTGGAGCTTCTATAGAACGCTTAGAGGGTACACAGCCTAGTACCATTGAAATTTCATTCCTTTCTATCTCGTATTTTGATGCTAGGTAAATAGGCAGTTTTTTTTGTTGAGCTCAAAATGATTGTGCAGAGAAACTGATACACAAATACATCAGTCCTATCGGAATTGGGGAAATTAGTGCCTCTATAGCAGTACATTCAAGCTAGAGACCAGAATCCACAACATCATTCGTCTGCGTCTCGGTAGGTCGAAAGTGGTGTGGTCGTGTCTAAAAGCAATTTTTATTTGTCCGAGGTAACTGCTGGTGTTTTACATTCCGGATCAACGAGAATGTTGAGAACCTTGGTGGAGATTGCCTCGACCTAGACGTTGCAAACGACAGCAGACGACATTGCTTCATCATTTCCTCGGCTCCTGGGATCAGATGTTGGACATGTTTTCGGCTTTCCTTTTTGCACCTGATGATGATGACGATGCATTTTTTGCATGCCTTTCGACATCACTATCGTCTTGCCATTCGCTAATTTCCCACTCGAAGGTTGTCGATTGGTCCTCATTGACACCAAAGCCGCGTCGACTTCTCATAATTCTGCCTAAGCGACTACCCTCGATCATCTCCTCAAACCAAGGTACGCCTGCTAATGTACCCTGTCGAAAAGATGTTACAAACGGAGATGGCCGCGACGCTATCGTAGTGGATGGCCCCGCTGTTGGTGCTGATACTGCAGTTGGCACACTGCTAGGGGTTGCCTGCGCCGCTCTTTCATCGGTTCTGGTCTCTTCTTCTGCAATGTCGACCGGCAGCAAGTCTAAATCCTCCAACAATCCCAAGTCGTCACCAAAGAGACTGCCGAGGGCCACGGACATGAAATCGGCCTCTTCTCGTGGCTCCTCCGTCCAGTACGTCAACGGAGTGCCGCAGTACCCACAGAAATGACGCTGGATGTGAGGTGCATGCAGCGGCGTGAAGGTGCGTCGGATTGACACATGTGTCTCGTCTGGATAATGGGAAATGGTGTGCGACTGAAACCATGTAAGTGGGACTCGAAGCCATGCAGTCAAGGGTCCCCCTTGGGCATGCCCTGGATTACAGTAAAATTGGGGGTCAGTAGAGTGCTTTAAGAAAATGGTTTAGGGGTTCATGTGCGTAGAAACACTGACTGTGTTCTCGACTGCCCGAGAAAAATACCTCGGCTTGGCTGGCTGCGTTTTCAGGAATGATGATGGCGTAGCGGTTTCTGCCGCAGGAACAGCCTCCGCGCAACGGCTCCACGGCGCTCATCGTGGATGAGTTGGATGCGAGTCGCACGTGAGGGCAGACGCTGATGAAACTTGTGACAGCTGCTCGGCGAGTGGTAGGTGTCACATTGGATTGAGGCTCTGCGAAGCACAGAAGAAGAATTGCGCGCACCGAGAAAGATGATGCCAGAGGTAAGGGAAAGTGAGCGCCTCGCGATGACGTCGAAGGGCCGATGCTCGATGCGGCATGCCAAGCCGACTGGGAGATGGAAAATGGGAAGTGCCGAATCGGGCTTCAGCCGTTCAGCCTTCAAATGTTCATTCTTGGCTTGGACCTCGGCGGCAGCGGCACCCGCACCGCACCTGCATCTGCACCTCATCTCCCACGACGCCGTTCTCGTTCCTGCGTGTAATTAGAGCCATCCTCCGTACATATCGCTCGTCCCGGGATATTCTCGTCGTGCTCTCCTTATATATACTTGGCCGGCCAGCGCTCTTTGTTGTTGTCGCTACGTACATATCTCTGGCCACGAACCAGCTATCTCCTACTCGCCGATCGTGTCCTTGGCGCACCCCGGATTCTCCAGCTCTTTCACTTTCACCGGCCTCACCCTCAATTTATCAGGTACACCTACTAGGCCAATATGTCGGCTCAAGGCAGCTCCATGTCCCCCGACCCGCAAGACCAGAGCCTTTCTGGCCGCCAAGCAGATCGGAACCGCGATTCAATGAGCTCAAGTAACGATCCATCCGGCGCAGGTGCGGATGGCGGTCAGGACAAACCGCGTTTGACTGAGCAGGAGAAGAAAAATAATCATATCGCGTCCGAGCAGAAACGCCGTGCAGCCATTCGCGAGGGCTTCGATCGTCTCACCGAACTCGTGCCTGGTCTAGAAGGACAGGGCCGCAGCGAGAGCGTGGTGCTGAAGAAAACCGTCGACTTTCTGCGCCTGAAACTGCAAGAAAGACAGGAATTGCTGGCCGAAATAGAAAGATTGGGTGGTCATGTGGACGAATCGTACCACAGGAGATGATTGCACAGCCAAGTGAATTGATTATTTCGCTTCCAAAATGTGGGCCAGAACTGTCGCAGTTCTCGGCTTGGGCTATACAGACACCACAAACTGCCCGACTGCATCGTGCGAAAGGATTGGAAAGAACAAAAATTGTTTTGCGAGCACATTGTTCTCCGCCATGTTATGCTTTTGTGCGTCGGTACTACTCAACGCCGCTAAATTACTGCTCACTGCCGAGTCGCCAAATATTACTCGACCACGTTACCCTGAATCATGAACCGGTCGAGCTCAATGCGTATATGTTGCACTCGAGCACACGACTTTGCAAATGCCGTTCGCTCGATAGTGGAGGCTTCTTGATCATATTTGCAATTGCTCTTATCTCTTATAAGCCATTGCTACCATGAAGATCAACGACTTTCTCATAACCTCTCCATTTAAGGTTTAGCCCCAGCTTCTTAGTGCTGTCTTAACAGCATGTCTGCCATGTGAATTTCTTGACATCCAGATTTTGATGGGGTTGTCCGCATAATGCCGCGACTCCGCGATGATCTACATCGTCGCACCAGTGGGACGAAACACGAAAGCCACCCCCGTAGTGCTTCATCCACACCTTATCTTACATTCAATGCATGGCTCCCGGTTATTTGGGAGGCATGTCATACGCTAAATGGCCAAGGGTTCAGGAACTGATTAATGGATAACCAGTTTTTGACATAGCGGATTTTCGTCCGTGGGTGTGGTGTCCATGATATTTTTGGTAAAAATGGAGTGTCATGACGTTGAAAGGCTATGGTTTCATCCTACTCTTGAGACTACGAAACTCGGGGTTAGGGTATATGAAGGGATGAGTGGCCGTCTATATCCTCGACTTCTCTGCAGACACATCCAAGCGTTTCGCATATCATGCTTGAGTTTATAATTCTACAATAAACTATAGCATATTTTACTTTTCAGGGCAAAATGTACGCCCTCAAAACCCTGTCTCTCGTTGCAATCGCCACCATCAGCGTGGCGAACGCCCAACAGAAAGCCACCTTCACTCACTACGGATCTGGAGACCAGAACGGATCCCCGAATTGTGCCACTGCTACCAATGCCTGCGGTGCTGCAGATCAATATGCGAGCCTATCAACCTACACTGCCGCTCTGAGTCAAAAGCAATTCGGCGTCGGACCCGGTCAGGGAGCCGGCCCGGCATGTGGAACATGCTATCAGTTAACCATCCAGACTGACCTGAGCGGCAATCCCGTGACTGAGAATTCGATCAAAGTGGTTGTGAATAACCTTTGCCCGATTGATGGCAATACCATTTGCAATGTGCCGAATCAGTACGGTGGAGAAATTCATTTTGATTTGTGCAGTGATACCGGGGCAGCAAGTGCTTTCTTTACTACTTCGGGTGCTGGAATTGGTACTGCAGAGGAAGTTGCTTGCTAAATATTCCTCCTTGTTTCTCTTGTTTGAATGCCGCCATTGAACATTCTGCCGTGGTGTACAAAGATAGGGGCAAACAATGCTTTGCTTGATATATAAAGAACCGAAGATGGAATGACAAATGTTGAATTGTATCTCATCAATATTTTTCAAGTCTGTTAGCCTCGACAGAAAGTGACTTTGTCGCGGAAGCTTCCTACATCCATGTCAAACAAGTTTGTGATTATGTTTGCTTTAATACTTTTAGCTGCCATCGCATAGGTTTCCGTTCACATAACCAATATTCCGATTCAATTAGCACTACGTACCTGTTATCAATACATTTATTTTCATATCAGTATGTCAACGACACGAGGCCAAGGCTCTAAGAAATCTTCTGAGAAGATGTCAAAGGTATGCATTCATGAATTTTGTTGGGTGAGATATCTGTCACACAGGTTTTTTGAAAGACTGGTGTGACGGATATCTCACCCACGTCGTTCAGCATGAGCTAACCACTGCAGACACTGAGTCCTAGCCCTCCAAGGAGTAACGCACCTTCCAAGACAAGTGGAAGGAAGAAAAAGAGAGGCTTCAAGAAAAAGCGAAACCCAACAGTCCACGCCGAGCTTCAGAAGGCCCATGAGAGCCAGCCCTCGAAGCCCAGTGAAGAACAACCCCAAATACCTGACGAGTCTTCATCGGTAGCTCCAGCTCAAGTCGATGCAAAGCCCGTGGCGGAAGTTGCTCTCAAGAGGTATCCTCAATTCGGAAACCTGGCTTACGAACTATATTTGCGTCCTCCGTACAGCTATTCACAGTGGACGACGGTATATAGTCCTCCAAATGCGGGTTCCAGTTCTGTTTCGATGCAAAAGAATGCGAAATCTCCCTCACGGTCAAGCGGTCCTAGAATACATCCCCAATTTGGGTCTCTGGACTTTGACTTGCATGTGCGGCCGCCAAGTGCCATTATTCAGTCAGAACTACCAAGCGAGTCTTCGATGCCTAAGGTAGTCGATTCTTCTTTGAAGAATGATAACATGCCCGAGGTTTCCAATTTGGAGGATAACACCTACCCTACGGTGGAAGCTCAACAAGGGGACGAACACTGGCAATCGGAACAGTACACCCCGACTACTGAGCCTCCACCTTACGATCATGGGGGCTATTCCGGTTATCCCGACTACGAAGAGTATGGATACAACTCATATAAACATGAGCATTATGACTACGAGTCTCAAGAACACACTTGGCAGTGGAATGACTATTACCACTGGCCACAATATGGACAGCCTTACCAGAATTACATGTACACGTACCCAGCTCCGTCCCTGGTTTACTGGAATCAGTTTCCAGTAAACGGTGCACCATATTACGGCCATAGCTCACAGCAGTCTTATTCCTCTCGTACATCTCGCATTTCGACTTTGAGTGCACTAGCATCGGAATTCAGGCCCAGAATCCAGAAATCGTGACGCTCGCGGAACCAGATATGCCGATTGCGTCGTCCGTCAACGTCTGATGGGGATAATTTGTCAAGCATGTACGTTAGATGAGACACCCCCGGAATTGAGTAATACAACAAGCTCCTCCTTCTTCAACTACCTTATCTTACTTTTGGAGGTCTCCAGGTTCCAATTATAGGCCTAATTAACAATAAGGGAGAAGATTTACTGTACTAGTGTACACCGCGCAAGTCTTCTGACATCAAGCGGTTTATATGATTTCTCACCTCAATTGACGTGACGCTCATCCAATTTTAGATATTTTTAATTAAATAATGAAAAATCCTAGTTCAATAAAGCTTAATTATTTTAGTAAAGCACAAGACACTGAAATTTATAGAATTAGAGATCAAAACTAGACTGTACTATAGTTCGGTAGTGCATATCTAATGAGCATGGTCATATTTACAGTTCTTGTAGGGTTTCTTTTTGTTTTTAACACTGTTTTGAGCAACTTTAATGGGTTTTACAATTCTCACTAATTTCTTGTTCGTTTTGGTGTGATTTGGTGGGGTGTAAGTTGAAAAGCATATCTTTCGGCGACATGGTCAACTCGCCGAGGCGGGTCCAAGGCCTTGTACTTATATAAATTGATAATGCACTAATTGAGGTATTCGTTTTCTTCTTAGTTCAAGGGTTCACTTATCCGGATCTATTGTGTATTTCTTGAATACTCTGGCGACTGTAATAGCTTAGCGTTGAAATCTAAATATTGTTCAAAAATGAACGCTTCGTCAACCTTGCGCGCTACAAGGTGTCTCAGATCTTCCCCTGCCTCGACCATTGCTGGTTTCTCAAGATATCGATATATTTCAACTGCGTCTTTTAATTGGGAAGATCCTCTCGCTACATCCGAGCTTTATACGGAAGAAGAACTCGCAATTCAAGACACGGCACGGCAGTATTGTCAGGAGCGACTGCTGCCCCGGGTTTTAGGTCAGTGAAAACACAATCTTCATTTCAAGTGTCAGCGCTGGATATACATACTAATTTATGCGGTTTGTTATGCTAGACGCATACCGGAATGAACACTATGACCGGAAAATTCTTGAAGAAATGGGCGAATTAGGCCTTCTTGGTGCCAGCATCAAAGGATACGGTTGTGCCGGGGTAACAACAGTAGCCTCGGGCCTAATCGCCAAGGAAGTCGAACGTGTCGATTCCGGGTATCGGTCAGGAATGTCAGTACAGAGCTCCCTGATCATGACGGGCATCAACGAATTCGGAACCACGAATCAAAAGGAAAGGTTCCTGCCGGACCTAGCTAGGGGGAAAATCGCAGGTTGCTTTGGTCTCACTGAGCCAAATCACGGCTCAGATCCGGGTTCAATGGAGACCATTGCGAAGGAACATCCGAATAAAAAGGGTTATTTTTCATTGTCAGGCGCAAAGACGTGGATTACCAATTCCCCTATCTCGGACGTTTTCTTGGTCTGGGCGAAGCTGGAGAGTACTGGCAAAATTCGAGGTTTCCTAGTTGAGCGAGAGAAGTGCCCGCCAGGAACACTCGAAACACCTGCTATTAAAGATAAGAACGGTTTACGAGCGTCGATTACAGGGATGATACAGATGGAGAACTGTCCAGTACCGGTTGAGAATATGTTAGAAGTCGAAGGGCTTACCGGCCCGTTCACCTGTCTTAATAGCGCCAGGCTTGGGATTGCTTTCGGAGCAATTGGCGCACTGGAGGACTGCCTGAGCAGGGCACGATCATATGCGCTAGAACGCAAGCAATTCCGTGGCAACCCTCTTGCGAAGTACCAGTTGATTCAAAAGAAACTGGCAGATGCGGCTACGGATGCTGCGTATGGAAGTCTTGCGGCTACCCAAGTGGCTCGACTCAAAGACTCGGGGAGTTTGACGCCAGAGATGATCTCGATGGTGAAGAGACAAAATTGCGATCGAGCCTTGGCTGGTGCACGCTTGTAAGTTTACCGAAGCCTTTCGATCTTTGGATAACAATGGAATTTATGACTGACCGCTCCTATGAACTCAGACTTCAAGAAATCTTCGGAGGTAACGCAGCAAGCGATGAGTATCATATTGGCCGGCATGTGGCTAACTTGTTTGTCGTACAAACTTACGAAGGTCAGAGTGATATCCACTGTAAGTTTCTTCCGACTTTCTTGACAGAAAACGATGCTAATATCAATAGCCTTGATTCTTGGACGTGCTATAACCGGAGTTCAAGCATTTTGCTAGCGGTTGTTTTGGAGAACTCGATAAGCTCAGTTCGACTGCAATGTACAATCTAGATGGCCATATATTGGATAAAAACATTCAATCGCTCGATATTTTCTTTATTTCACACTTTTGTCTCATTCCGACAACATTGTAGGCGTTATATATGTATATAATGACTCTGCATCATTCATAAAAGAGTCCACTGCGTGTGGTAACCCGAGAGCCAAATCTGACTGAGCTAGAAAGTTTTCCATTGTGGGTTCTAAGAAAGCCATTTCAGTAGTATAGCCACTTGAAATGTCACCTATCAAGTGTTGAGCATTGTTTAAAGAGACGTCCGGATCATTGTCAGATCCTTGTAATATTGAGGAAGCCGGTGGAATAACGTCGGGCCCAATAGCGGCTCTATTCCCAAGACTTTCTTCATCAGCCCTGTTATTCTCAACACGACTATCCAGGCAGATCTTAATCTGATTCAGATGAGGATAGAATTCAGCCGCAGTAAGATTCCCATTTCCCTTCATTGCATGTAGGAGTCTTAGTGCAGTTTCGAATGAATCTCTATCGGCTGTGTTCTCGTTCGAGATAAGGCTAGAAACTGCTAGAATCATTGCCGAAGAGAAAAGATACTGCGCATGAAAATACCCAAAGACAGGCAAGGAGCCGTTAATCCATTTCTCGAGAATGATAGAGTGGGAATGGCGAGCAGCGTGAATACATGCCTCGCTGAGAGTCAGAACGGCGTGAGAAATATCCGATTCACCATTTCTATTACTGTAGTCACGGGTATGAGGAGGCTCGTTTTCGTTAATCTTGTTCAAGATGTGTAGCATGGTGGGTCGTGTTGTGAGTATGACACATTGATTAAATGATAAGTGCAAGGATATAATGTGCTTTTTGTTTGACTCCGGATCAGGATTCAACCTGAGATGCTCGGTTAAGGTCTGCACCCAATTCCTCAAGGCCTTTAAAAGGCCTTGCACACGTTGAAGAAATGTCTCCTTATATTTCTTCCGACTGTATAATTTCGTGATAATATCCCCGGCTATTCTAGCAAGTTTTATATTAGCAACCATATACCCAGTATCGGTAAACTGTTCATTATGGACTTCAGCTGGCACGATATCGAAAGGCATATCAATGTGGATGTCATCATCTGAAATCTGCATGGGCAATCCCATTTTTGAGCTCCACATGTGGTCGAATATATATATAGTCCACCATATACGAATGCGATGCTGTCTTTCAACTGGGTCGATTAGTTGGGACTCTGGTATGTTGTGATTTAAACCAATGTTCAGGCTTAGGCGCATCGCATTGCCACTTAAAACGCAGGCTGAGTGACGTCGATTTAGAAAATAGGAGAATAAGGACTATTTCCAATCAGCTGATTTACGAACGTGCGATAGCTTATCGGGCTTAAGGCACTAACAAGCAGCAAGAGAGTTTCTAAATGAGTCATACTTGGCCGTTCTGGTACGATCTGAATCAAGTTCAACGCTTTTGCAAAGTATGTAGTTCCGGGAACCGACTCGGTTGATAGCCCTTGCCTGACTGAATAGGCCTCGCCAAAGGCAAAAAGCGCAAAATATTTAGCTCTGTTCTCCGGACAATAAAAGCTTCCATCCCGGTATATCTCTTCCAATTTGTCTAGCGTCGATTTATATAAAAACATATGGTAAAGGCGGCCCACATGAAGCATAGCTATTTTGACCAGGAGCCGAGACTGCTGTAAGCTCGGCCATTGGACTTCTGCTTCCATTGCTGAAGCGATGGTCGTCTCGTTGACATACTGCGTTCTTGGGATGTGGGAGGCTGCGTTGGACATGGTAAGGGTCCTTCGCAACCGTGTAGCAAATGCCGTACACGCTGCTTCCCCGATATATATTGGTGGTGCAGATGGATCATATGGATGAAACCAAGCCTTCTCGCCTATGAAGTGGTGCTGAATGCTGGCATTGGTTTCGTCGCTTTCATGGGCAGTCTCTGCTGGGCAGGAAGGACCAGCATCATCACCATCATCAGAAGGATTTTCTGCGGTCTTCTGGACCGCAGAATGTTCCTTGAGATGGCGAAGCTCTTGCTGCAGCTGCTGCAGATAACTAACACAGTATTAGAATATAGAGAATTTACATTGTTTCAATTTCCTGCGACCTACTTTTCACTCACGCGGACCTTTCTGTCTCGGAAAAAGTATGTACACTCATCCTGATGACCGACTTGAATACATTTGGAGCAAGGCTGATCCCCAGAGCATTTAATTTTGTGGGTATGGCATCGGTGGCAGCTAACCGTAAAGTTAGTCAATGGCATAATAGCATTAACAACAGAGCCGCCGACTCACGCGATAAATTTCTTAGGTCGCTTGCCCGAGTCGACAGGAGTCACCGAATTGTCACTTCGCCGCTTAGTGGGCATTGGGAGCTGTGGTTGGTTGAATATAGCTCGATGTCAAGAATATTGAGAGTCTCAAAGTTGATTCGCAGCAGTCGGCGCAGAAGACGTCTTGCCGCGGAGGTTAGACTGTCCTGATTGGACGACCGCCTTCTGCACACCACCATGACACTGTCTTTTTGTGACCCCAAAATATTCCTTCTGGTCCTTTCTACTACGAGGTGTGTACGGCTGGGCGAGCTCCATCAAAATTTGAAACACGTTTGAGGCATCTCATACACATAATGCCAAGCAGTCTGCCGGCTGCTGTTGGCCGGTGTTCGGCGTTGAGGGATACTTGCCGAGTGCCTCCAACCAGTCCTGAGCAGGAGAGAAAATATTAGCCGACAAATGTGTGCACATGTCATTTAAAAGTCATGCCGTGGAATAGATCGTGATGAGGAGACAGATTGTTTATCGGCCAGCTGAGGAATTTTTCTCGGGCATAACACAGTGCTACAAATCAGACTTATTTTATGGAAATCTAGAGGCGCGGGTTATAATATCAATTGATACTGGTAGTAAATGTAGAATTAATTTTCTATATAGTACATTGCATATCAAGCCATGAACCACCAAAACCCAAATACGCTATGATCACAATTCTAAAAGTCCTATTCCTGGATATCTATAAAACGAAACCAAAACAAAAAAGAGCCGTACAAATCGAAGCCGACGTGCAGAATGAATACTCTATTCATCACTGACGACGTTCATCAATTTTGTTAAGAGTATATGCAATCAACATTCTGATCGGACCGCCGCGCAATTGACGCTTTGGCTTTCGTCCCGAAAGGGGGAGAGTCGATGTCGCATAGTTTCCATCCGCGTTTCCTTGGTAGCTCATCTCGGTATTATTGTTGCGACCACGAGGATCATATGCGGTCTCTCCATTCTCGGCGGTACTGGTAGGCACGTAAACAGCCTTCTCCTTGGGATCCAGGGTCAATCCAGTGAGAAGCATGATATAAACGATGAGAATTTCCTCGATCACGACCATAACAAGCTGGATTGTCACGTTGCCGGTCACCAAGCTGAAATCCTTGTCGTGTTTGAAGGTGACGAGGAAGGAGTAGATCAGGCGGACCAACAGGATTGGGGTGCAAATGGTGACAGCACCCAGCAGGCGGTGCTCGCCAGTCTCAATACTGTTATAACGAGTCCACACCAGAAGAAGTAGAACTACCAGAGCCACCCATGATACGAGGTAGAGAATGAGACCGACTTTTGTCTGGGTATTGGACAAACCGGCTGTAAGGTTATCGGTGGTTGTAACGCCCGTAATGCTGAGAATCACGCCAATAAGTGTGACCAAGGCGACAATCCGGAAGATATGAGGCCAGAATCCGTTGCCGGTTTTTCTCTGGATAGAGTCGTTCCTATTTACCGTCTCGTTAGCTTATACTCTGGTGGGTGGAGAAAGATCAAATTTGAACGTACACTCGAGACAAGTTGTAAAGCAAACCCAAAGTCAGGGGAGACAGCCCAATCGAGCTACATACAGCCCACGCAATGTATAGGTTTTCATTGCTGGAGTTGTTGATCGTTGCCAGATAGCAGCAGTTGCCAATGATTCTGAGCAGAGAGAAAATAATAAAGAAGAGCCAACCGGAGCTGCGGCCAAATCCATGACGCCAGGCCAGCAGCAGAGCCATGACGAGGGAGGGGAAGTTGGCAACAACCTCCAAGATAGCGATGCCATGTCGATAGTCGACTGTCATGATTGTGATTGGATCTTAAGGGCTGCCGAACGTGTTTTCGAACTTGCTTTCCAAAATGCAGATTTTTTCTCTCTTTCTCTTCGAATTGGTATAACCAGATGGAATTGTAGTCCATGGCGAGACGCAAGGTATTTATCCTTCAAGCTGGCATATTGAAGCCCCAGCGACTATTCCCAACATGGTGCGTGTCGCGAGTGAGCGGCGTGCTTGGTGCACTAGTCCCCAGCTTGAAAAGTGGTCGTCATGGCCAGGGGTCAGGTAAAAGCTTAAATGGATTAAGCAGCCAAGAGCCTACGAGATTACAGCCGGGCGATCTACGAAGCAAATAGAAAAAGCGTAGAAGAATCGCCTTCAGCCTTCACACGCGGCCTGGACCGATACTCAAGAAGCGGGCCAATCAGACACCGCCTACGGACAGTAACTTCGCGGTGCATGCCCGATTGGGGCAAGCTCGTGGCGCAGGGTGTACAGCCCCACGACTGCCCTCTCAGCCCCAGCAACTGCACTGCACTCAGGCAGCAACTGCAGACAGCGGCCCTGCAGGCGTCAACGACCTCATTCAAGAACACAAGCTGCAGCTATCAGTCAAGCAGGAGGCCGGAAATTAAAAGAAAATATAGTAGTCAGAAGTCAGACTGTCGCTTAGAGACTCAGACCATGGAAAGACAGACAACGAAGTCCCTCTAGAGATAATCCGCGTCTTTTTGCCGCGTCGCCAACGCACTCAATGGTTTACTGCGGCAAGCCGAGCGCAGGCTGTGGTGCATGTCGCGCCCGCAAAGTCAAGGTTAGTTTTGAACCATAAATCCTGTCCTTACCCTCTATTCTTGCTGGTATGCAGTGAGGAGGGGTTGCGAGGGAGGTTGAAGGAGGACCCGGCTCGGGTTTGGCCTAAGCTTATTTCGGCAAACAGTGCGATCAAACAAGGCCGGCATGCAACCGCTGCATCAAAGCTAATCGGGATTGCCCTGGTTATCGAGACCATTTATCGCTGCTATTTCGTGATCAGAGTCGAGCTGTGGCCCGAAAGGCGAAGTCTGCCACCCCAGACTCCTCGTCAGCGTCGAGTCCGGTCCGTCAACCCTCTGCTGCTAACCCCTCGCTCCCTCTAAAGGGTACTGTTGGCGTCCATTCTCCTGCAAGTACACCTGACGAGCTGGATTTTAGCTCAGATGTTGTCGTAAACTCCATACCTTCTCACCCCTTCACAGTCAACAGGAAGTTTGAGGCGGCCTGTTTTTTCTTTGATTCGTTTGCATGGCTTTATTCAGGCGTTATGAAGTGGTGCGATCCCTATGGGGATACATCATCGACCACTCCATTGGGGAAGAAAGCTATGATGAATGCGATCGCCTCGGTGGGCATGGCTAATCTTTCAAGCATTCAAGGCTCCCATTCTCTACGCGTGTCTGCATGGCGCGAATACGCTGAGGCTTTGAAATGGACGAACGCTGCTATTTCAGATCGCACGCAGGTAACAGAAGACACCACTTTGGCTGCAATTCTCTGTCTATCGTTATTCGAGGTCTGTATACCCACTAGGTAAAGCTTGCTCGCGGCTGAAGCTGATAGTGTGTTTTAGATCTTGACATGTAAACATCCAGCGACAATCAATGATTTTATCCAACACACCAACGGTGCCATTGCTCTCCTTGAGCTCCGAGGAGAATCACAACTACAACTGCCAGACTCGCTCCATCTATTTTTTGCGTTACGCAACGAGGTTGTATGTACATGCTTATCACTCAACCTGAGGTTCTCTAATAGATTTCCAGGTTATCGGATGTATTTTACAGCGCCTTCCCGTACCTCGTAGACTAATTGCATTGTCGGAGAAAGCTACGAAGCTACCCACCGCTACTCCGATTACTAAAGCAGGGCACAACCTGAACGTTATCATGGCTAGCGTGTGCGATCTGCGCATATCCCACGAAAACCACAGGTCGAGCATTAACGCAGATCTACTGTCATATGCTTTTGCATTAGATTCCAGAATAGAGGATCTGAAAAACAATTTTTCGGAGGATTTTATGTACGAAACCGTTACCGCGGCGCCGGAAACGTCGTTCAAACTGACCGAATCGCGCCGAATATTCCCTCTGAATGGGATTTATCATATATATTCGAGCTGGGGAGTCACCAATGTGTGGAATGTCTACCGATATGCTCGCATTCTCATTAACGAAGTCATTCTCAATCAACTTAGACTGATGACGACCCATCCAGATGCAGACCCGCCGACGCAGGATTTGAAAGACCTTTGTTATCGATCTTGTTGTCTGGTCCGGAGCCTTGCAGATGATATCTGCGCCTCTGTTCCGTGTCTGCTTCAACTGGTCGGGTCTTCAGACCAGTTAGTCAAATCATCCGCGGGCGGGTTGACTATACTGTTCCCACTTTTTATTGCCGGGGGTGTAGATGGACCCGAACATCCAAAGTGCCGCTGGGCACAGGAATGCTTTCGAATTGTTGGGAGAGCCCTAGGTATTGACCAGGCGCTGACGCTGGCAGACATGCTGCCGGACGAAAAACCGATGACAGCCTTTGTCGATGCTTTAAACGAGTCTTTACACGAGCAAGAGAATGGCATATTTCACGATATGCAATGCAACACACCAGGTATATCAAATACACCGAATATAATAACTGACGAGGATGATCAATATTATGCACTTGGGGCTTAGAGAAGGGTTGCGCGAGGGTTGGACCGGGTATCGGCGTTCTCGGGCGATGTTTATTAGTCTCTTCGTGTAGATTTTACCAACCAAACCAGACGATTTTTACAATTTTGCGTGAACAACATCTGAATTTGCCTCAAACGCGGCAAATTTTGCTCGAGGCAGATTCTTTTAGTTAACACGAACTGAAACTGGCGCATGACGGGGTGCTATTGGACATTGCATACGACCAGAGCCTCAATCAGGCCTGACCTGGTGGCCATGCTTCGCCTTGTCACGCCCATAAAGTGCAATCCCAATAATCAATAAATCGACCTGTCAAATGCGACCTGGTCAGCAAGGCAGCTTCACGAATGAATGCCTTAGGCGGAAATGCCCCGCTACTAATCTTACGGGGGTTGCTATTGGCCGCCGGGGCTCAACCCTGAGGCACCGCATAGCCCTGGGCTTAGCCTTGCTCCAATCATGTGTCCCCATTAAATCCCTGATGTTGTATGGTCCATTCAACACAGCCCCGGCGGATCTTAAACTTCAATACTTTCACCTCAATAAATCCATGGAATGGCAAAATGCTTCGGCACGTTGGACCGAGAAGCCCGTCTAAGGCGTATTCAATGATGGCAGTTCAATTAAGACTTGGGACAGGAGATGGGATACTTAAGGATATGGTTGAACACGATGATGTCCATGGGAAGATCAGCAGAGACAAATACCAGCTCAACTATCATCTACTTGATCGAACAAATTCGAAGAAGTTCACAATATGACTTCCCTCAATCGCCTCAACTCCCTGTTCGGCAGCAAGAAAAAATCTCCCAAAAACGATTTGCTTGATGCGTTCTCTGTGTCGGCACTAAGCTGTGCCTCATATTCAAACACCAGAGGTTCATCTACCCATACCATCAAACCACAACAGCAAGACCCTTGGGGTCCACCCCCATACTCATCAACACCAGCACCAGTGGAACTGCCAGGGAGCGTACCAGATTATTCTCCCTCTCGCCCACGCTCTCGATCCTCTGCGCGATCTTCCCGGAACGCCAGTGCTGATGACTCCCAATATGCATTCCTCGGCCAGTTCGACACAATTTTCCTAGTCGATGACAGCGGGAGTATGGAAGGACGACGCTGGCGCGAAGCAGAAGCAGCTATTGCCGCTATCACACCTATTTGCACACAACACGACACTGATGGAATCGACATTTACTTTCTCAACCATCGGAACCGTGCGACTCAATCTGGTGCATACACAAACATCACAACTCCCAGCGCAGTCCAACATATTTTCCGCCAAGTACGGCCACAAGGCATGACCCCCGTCGGCCAACGGCTTCGCAACGTCCTGCTTCCATATCTGAAGCGTGTGAGGACGATGGCTGAGAATACGAATGATTATGGGGAACTTAAGAATCAAAATCTGGCGGTTCGCCCCATCAATATTATTGCTATTACGGATGGCGCTTTTAGTGATGACGTCGAGAGCGTGGTGCTGAATGCAGCGCGGAACCTAGATAAAGCTAATGTCGTGCCGTGGCAGGTAGGCATACAGTTTTTCCAGATTGGTAATGATCCGTATGCGCGACGGGATCTAGAGCAGCTGGATGATGGGTTGTGTCAGGCGATGAGGAGTGAGCCAGTTCGGGATATTGTTGACACTGTGCCGTGGAAGGGTGGGTCTGGGGAGACCATTTCAGCGGATTATTTGCTGAAAGTTGTTTTGGGTTCGGTGAATAAAAAGCTTGATCGTCAAAGAGGATAAATAGGTGTTTTTAATAGGGGCCAGTTTCGATGTTCTTACCGATATGGCAAATTGCCGGGAATTATGTTGTTTTTAATCACGTTTCGCAGACTATTTACATAGACGCATTCTTCAAATGTTATATTTATACCCCAGTCAGACAATGCACTTTCTATATTGCTAGATATAAAAGCGGAAGACCTAGCTGTTGATAGATTTTGACGGCTTGGGAGAGAATCAATTGATTAAAGTATGCTTGACTAATAATCAGAGGGGATTCAAACTCATTGAAAGTAGGGTCAATGACATGGAATTCTTCAGGTTATATTATGTTCTCTCAACCATTGGAATAAAATCTATGCTGTTGTTATTAAACATATACTACTCTTATAGCCGCTTCTATTTCTTAGCTAGATGCTAATATTGCATAATACTAACAATTTCGTTAACTCTTGAGTAAAGGAAATATGTCGATAGCATTTTAAAGGATGAGTTAGGAATACTGTTTAGGAATATATCTAGTTTTTATAAACTTCTTTTTAATAAGATTTAGAATTTTTAAGAAATAGGGAATGCTATTGATATATTTTTATACAAATCTGCATAATCACAAATACCTCAAATAATAGCCACCTCTATTTTAAATCAACCACATCCTTGACGACTTGACTACCAGAAACGGTTAGGCCGTGATTAGTAGGTTTACAAAGTTGGAGGCTTCCTTTTTACCGCTGAGGTTTTATCGCAATCTGTACAGCTCTCTGGCTCTTTCCCTTTATTCTCCCAATGCTCTTCATCTTTCTTATTATCAGTCTTCTTCTCGACATGACGATAGTTAAATTTAAACAGCACATCCTTCAGCGACTCCATTCTTAGTTAAGTAACAGCCTCTGATTGGGATTGCCTGTTCCTGACTTGATGCAGCAGGCCAGCTCCACTTCAGCCAGGGGGAGCAAGGCAGCACAGCCAACCACGGAACACACATGGCCCTGATCCGACGGCACTAATGCTGACTATTGGCTGGTGCGGGCTTGGCGCGATAGAGTATCTAACCTGTCGAGTCGTGATTTGACCTGTCTGTCCCTCGATAGCTCTGAATCAAACAGGTCTGAATCCGATGAGGCCAGGGAGCAAGGCCGAAACATGGTGACAGCTGGATGAAACAGTCTTTTATTATTGTTATGTTGTTATAATTACCCTGATGCTAAACAAAGCAAGGCAGCCAGCATTGATTGGCCGCTGGAGTGCGCGCTACGGCAGCCAATCACCAGCCAAAGCTTACCGGTGGGTCCTATAATAATCAAAGCTGCATGCGGTCCAGACTTCTTCTTTTCTAACGCCACGGCGGCAGTATTCTATGTTCTATGTTCTATAATGCAGAGTAGAGTATAGTATGTATTATACTATATACTATTTCTGCTATTTATAATACTTTTCTTTCAGTCGCGCAATTGTAGAGTCAATGTAGACCAGGGCACTCTGTATAATAGTGATGATATAATGTACAATGGCTTGGCTGCGGCCGGCAATTTGCCCGGTGGGGCAGGCCCACCCCGTTCGATCCGATCTGCTGCAGCTGCGCTCGTCACCGCAGCAAGAACCAGCTGAGCAGCTTGGGGAAGGAGCCACCGAGCTGCTGCTGCGGGCAGCATGGGCCGACGGTTCTCGTCATAGAATACTGTAACTAATTGCGACCATGGTCGTGATTCACATCTGTTACCTGCATTCATCCCTTAGGCAGTAGTACTTTTATGCTCTCCCATCGCAATCCAGACACCACTGGCTTCATCAACCGCCGGGAACACCGCCTGCAGTGCTAGTCACAGACCTGCAGCTTGTTTCTGCATCATTGGCCTTGCTCGAAGCGCCCACCTCCGTGCTCGTCTCGCCCAACCCCTCCGTCATTGGCCGCCATCTGTTCCATCTCGACCGCCGTCTGATTCACGCCTTCATGCGCCGCGTCTACTGAATCAACACTACCCAGCACAGCAACCCTCCTGTTTCATAGCGAATAATGGCCCCTTTGTGGTCGATCTCGCTGCTCCTACGCTTCATCTAGACCCTCGTGGACAAGAATAGAAACTTCACAACAACTTGAAACAAACGCCTCTAACGGCGAGCTACGCCTATATATACTGTTAACCGCAAGTCCTGCCTTGCGGTCTGCCTTTTGCTCTTCCTTACGAATCTTATTTCCTATCGTTTAATGTCGCCTTGTTGCTGCTGCTGTTTATAGCGTTCGGTCATTCATTTGTTTCTACTCATCCACTCAGTCTGTTTGTGTCTGCTTGCGTCTGTATATTTGTCTTTCTTCTCTCTCTATTTCTCCATTCCTCTTGATTGAAAAGAAGTTCCGGAAAAAAGTCTAAAAATGTCGTCCACCACTTTGATAACTTTTCTTTTGTAAGCTCTCCAAGCCCCCTAACTTGATATTGGTATCTAATATGAACAGGCGCACGCCTTCCAACGTGAGAACTGTCGAGCTGCTCGGATCATGGGATAACTTTACCCGTTCTTACCCAATGGAACGAGACAAGCGCACTGGCTCTGGCTATTGGCGAGGCTGCCATACCTTTACCGATATAATTCGCGATGGCTCATCTCCTAGTCAATCTCCCGGCCGGACCGGAGGATTGAAGATGGGAGGAACATATTGGTACTATGTGAGTTGTGTTCCATGCAATCTGAAAGCCGGCGCTCATTACCTTCTTACCTAGTATCGACTCGATGGAGACATTGAATATTATAATGAGGTTGAACCGGTTACCTCTCTTTGCCCTCTCTTACCCGGCCAACCGGTCAATCTCCTCAACGTACCCGTCATTCTCCCAGACACAGAGAGCTTGCATCGCCGGGATAACAGTGTCAGCTCTATCAAGTCGGAGCACCGGACAATGGACCCCAAAGACAAATACATGAATCCGAGGACCCCCCCGAAGCCGAAGCCGGCTCTTCCCCGCTTAAGAACGTCTCCTCCACTATATCAACACTCTGGGTCTTCGTGGTCGTTCCTCCATCTGCAAGGTAACGGCGAGGAGAATCGAGCTGTGTCTCAACCCGCAAGTGCGGCCCACAGTCCGCTGGGCCACCATGCGCCTAAAGTGAAAATAGCAAGACCTGTCTCCCCACCATTAACCAAAGGTCTACGAGCTGCATTTTTAAATATTGCTAGAGCTCGTTCTCCGAGTCGAGATCGAGGCGAGAGTCGCAGCAGGTCGAGAGATCGCCATGACACCGGAGCAGAACTCTGCGACGGGCCTACACTGCGTGTACCCGTGTCGAACCCAAGCTCCAATTATAGCTCACGCATAGCGTCTCCAATGAGTAGCTCAGTTGAGGTTTCGAGTTCCGGGCAGTTGCCTTTCCGCCGTCCTCTTCCTGATCAACAGGAGCTATGTTCAGCATCAGCATCTATCCATATTCGACGTGCTTCAAGATCTAGTCGTGAAAACACTCCTTTAGCCAGTCTAGACTTAGGCCCCTCTACTGCGGACCAGATGAAAAATGGGAACTCTTCATTTTCTCTTCTCCGGCAATTGGACCCCCTCGAAGAGACATTGTCGCAGCAGACTACACCCGTTCCAATGGGCACAAAGGGCCGGTCTGGTGCATTAGAGCCATCTACATCATTAGATTCTTCAAGCATTAGAGAGAAACGACTGCCAACGCTTCCAAACACACCGTCCTCGGTTATGGAGGAAGAATTGCGCGCTATCAATGCGCTCAATGAATCTGTGGATATGGAGTTTCTACAGAGCCACTTTTCCGACTATACATCCGGGGTTCCATCCCAATTTTATACCGAATCGCCTATGGACAAGAGCCGATTCTCGGAATGGAGTACTGATACTGAGCTGGTCTCTCCTGCCTCCATGACCTCGTGCTCTACTCTCAACGCCGATTCCTCACAGCACTTCTTTGCGGATGATCATTTCGCAGCCAAGGATTCCACCTCAGAGGCCGCTGCTCCTTCTAGCGGGCCCCCGACTCCTACGCTTGATGCCGAGCCTGAACTTCTGTCACCTACCAAAGTTGCGTCTGACTCACCTCTCATCGGGTCTGGTCACACCTCCCCAGGTGCTAACGGATTTTCCAACAGCAACTTCGAATTCTCGTCTCTTGGCATCGATGATTACGACGTCGCTAATGAGTCTGACCCTAAAAGATACGCTGGCATATTCCCAACCGAAGTTATTACTTCCTTGTCCGTCAATCGAGCCAAGTCGCGAGATCAGCCGGAGCCCACTCGTCAGTTTCAGAGCTATATGACTGAGTCGGCGGCAATGAAGGAGCTGATGGATGAGATTGGTTATTTGGGGGATATGATTTCATCTGGGCTGTAATTATTTGTGCTTTTGTTGTGTTTATTTGTTGCATCATCTGGTGTTCTGGCATAGCGATTGCTGCATATTGAGTGCATTATGCATGGCGTTGTTGATTTATATAGATTTGAGAGGTGAATTGTCATATACATAGCTGTATATAAATGATAATCTAAATATCTGTGATTTGAGCCATAAAATGATTTAAGCTATGGTTAATGTTAATACGACTTTCCAATGGCGAGCGCTACCCGCAAATGCAATGTGGACCAGGCACGCGACGCCAAGACTGCGGTAGATCTTTGGCAACAAATCCATAACAAATCAACAATGCATTACCTTCCCACTAACGCAGCCCAATAATGCCGATATGCACACGGACTCAGCGCCGGATGAAATGAGGCCCCAAAAGCAATCCACTACCACAAAATGAATGCAAACAATGATGCCCTTCTCCAGCCAACCCTCCAACCTCAACACTTGCCATCAGTCGCAGAAAAAAGACTGTCGGCGAAATGTAAACCAGGCTTATTCTCGTACTGTCCGACGATGGACCTCGTCGCTCTGGCGACAGAGGATGAACAGGTTCATGTTTTCCGTCTGAATGGCCAGCAAGTCCTCGGCGCTGATTTGGCGGGGGATCCGTATCTAGATGAGGTCAAGGGGGAGGTGAGGGGGATAGGGTGGAAACACGATGGTAGACCCTTTCCCCTCGAAATTGAAACTGGGCTTGATCGCTGATTATTATTATAGGCCAGTTACTCGCCGTTGCTGATGCAGAGAATAAACTCCGCGTCATCAGCTCTTACAGTGGCAAAACAGTGCATCATTACCCGTGCCACAGCAGTAATGATAGTGGTAGTAATACTTCAGCTAGAGTGTCATGTATTGGCTGGGGTGTTAATTTTACAGATATAAAATCCGCGAAAAGCTACCTGCAAGATGCAAATGGGCAGCTTACGGCTGAGGACTTGTTAGTCCCTGATACAGACCCCGTCAAAACCGCGATGTTACTGAAAGCAGATCTGCCCCGTGAATTGGCGCTGTTGGATGTGGAGAGCTCGCTGCCGAAATTAGCTACGCTGCCGGGGAATGGGAATGAGTGAGCTGTCAATCCATTTGTTGCTGGGGTAAAAGAGAGTAACGTTCCATAGTGAAGATGTCTTTAGCAATCGCGCGTCCATCGACTCCATTTTCCACTCTCCGCACAAAAGCTCAAGCGACTCGGTAGACGTGCTTTTTGTTGGATTCACGGATGGGAATGCGCATCTTAGGATTTTCAACTGTTTCGAGATAGGAAATTTTTCGCTACTCGCGGCGAGCAGTAATACGTCGGGTGCAGAAACGTTGGCGCATGCATCACATCCTATGAGCTCGACGCACTCGGTGTTGCTGTCTGAGAGTGCCCAAGATGGCGCTCGCTCGAGTCTGAAACTGGTTACGCTTGATCTGCGATTTATAGTCAAGTGTGGACGGTATCTTTCACTACTAGCTTCAAAGACTACTCAGCTGCAGAACTTGCTTAGATATATCAGTCAGACACAGCGTCAGATTGTGACTGAATGGAAGAATATCTCCGAGCTTCCAGCACGATTTATCCAGAGCATTGCGGATGATTTGCAGGAAAAATGTCATTGTGATTTTGTCACTGCTTTGTATCATCTTGTTGTAACCGGGAATTGTTTTCCGCCGGTGAAAGAGTTTTTGATTGATATTGTTGGGGAGAGAGTAAGTAATCTACCTTTGGATTGAAGTATTTCAGATAAATATTGACCGAACAGGGTCACAAACGGTGGGAAAAGACTGTTTCTTCAGGCTACGAAAACGTCCGACGCTTAATCCACGAATGTCTACTACCGGCACTCGAAAGATGTGAGGTCCTTCTGAGCCGTCTGATCGGAATATCCAAGTTCCACAAACTCAACCACATTCTCGGCCTCGAGACGCGGGATCTGCAGGATATTGTCGAGACAGCCGACTGTCTCCATTTGCTGTCACATACCATGCTGGCGAAAACCAGTAGTGAATTACGGCAATTTGTCGAGTTCGCGAAATGGCTGCGTCATGAAATTGATATCCAGACTGCTGAGCCTATGTCGCAGACGCTAGGCGAATTGTTAGAGAAAAGCGATATGATTGACCATGCCACGACGCTGGAGTATATCGAGGGTGCATTGACGAAAAGTGCTCTTCGGTTGTTTATCTCTTCTTCAGCTTTACCAAGTGTGTTAGGAACGAGCAAGAAGCTGGGTGGTGCAGATCAGAAAGGACAGAAGCAAGGGTCGTTTTACGAGGCATACAGACACGAATTAGCAGCTCTCCAAAAGGAGCAAGATAACGTGCAACCGGAGAAGGCGGAATCGACACAGGAAGATAAAATACCTAAATTGAACAACCTCATCGACCGTCTCAGCTCTCAATCTGATAAAGTCTTTGAACAGATTGCACTTACACAAAAAAGAAGCATTCTCAACCATTCCCTCCTCGAGCTTCATCCAGACTGTGATCGGGATGTCGTTGATACGACTATGCGGTATGAAGTTGTCGATGACCAGGAATTATTTTGCGTTTATGTGGCGGCGAGATTAAAGAAAGCTCCGCATACATGTAAGTTTACAGTCTAAGACAATTGTATGAAGGTATGCTGATTAATTTCAAGTACTTCTTTATCGGGCTGCCCTTGTAATCACCAACGGCGTGAGCTCATCGCGAGACATCTCGCTAGCTTCACTGCGCTTGCCAGAGGGAGAAATCAAGCAAGTTCAATTCGTGCAAGACGGGACTATTGCTATTCTGCATACAGATAATGGTACACCCTCCCTTTTCCCATCCGATTATTCGATACTAATAATTCCCTCATAGCGAACCGCTCATGCCTCGTAACCTTCCACGTCACTCGGCCAAATCTCGACGACACAGACCCAACCCCCTTCTATCCTCAATACCAACCATATAAGCCCTCATATAATAATTTATCCCCCCTCCCAACCCCCCTCCAACTCGATCTTGCCGGCGACCACTCCGATCTCGTTTTACATGCCTTCCCCTTCTCCGGATCCAAATCCAGGCCCATCCGATTAAGCGTCAACGGCCGGAAGGGACGGAGAGCCGTGTGTGTGCTTTACGCTGACCACATTCATTACGAAGTACTTGATATAGACAGCGAGGTGCAGGAGGAGGAGGAGGAGGAGATGGCGACGGACTAAGAATTAAAAGTATGGTATTGACGGACCGACACAAGCTTGACTCGAGTAATATCAGATATAGCAGTAGATACTAGTCAGCAGTTATGCATTTCTACCAATGCTTGCCTTTTTTTACAAGATATCCCTTCGTATTTCCAGTACACTTTTCAATTCTTATACCACATAATCGCACATAGAGGGGGCTCACGTGCTTGGCGCGCCTGTGATTGGCGGAACCCCTGCGGTCGGCAGCCGCTAAGAGCAGCACGGAGAAGGCCCCAGGACGCTGAGGCCAATAACGCCGGCAGCCTTCCTCCTCGAGACCTCCTCAAGACCTTCTGCTGTTCTGTCCTTGAGGGAATCCCCAGTTCTATTCTTCCAGAAAACCTCCCAGCCGTGTCTTGCACAGGAAACAACCCAAGAAGAAACTTGAAACCCCCTTTCGGTTCCTTCTTTCTTTGTTATTGGCAGTTTTCTCTTCTCATTCCCTCATTTCACCTGCGTTCTTTTGCAGCCCACACAAACAAAACATCCTGCTACCTGCGGCAACGGCCTCCACAAACAACACAGCTCTTCTTTTTTTTAACCCCCCCCCCACGTGCTCACCCACGACCTCTAACCCGTCTCTATCTGTCGTCGAGGCGTCTTGGTTTTTTTCGAGTTCCTTGTGGGCGACTGTGCTTGAAAACACCGTCCGCCGTCCCCCCGCATTTCTTAGGATTCCCTTGCGGTTCCGCCAATTTTTTGGCCCAGGTTCAAGATGAACGTCACCCAGGTGTTGGAGGGCACCCTGTCGCCAGGTATGTACCGTACAATTAGACTCTGATTAGGTGTTTGCTAAAAAACCTCGCTCGATGTAGATGCGACCACGCGTCAGAGCGCTGAGCAGCAGCTGCTCCATGCCGCTGAAGTTGACTTTGTATGTTGCCTAACTGTCGTACGAGGAAAATAATACCCCATGCTAATCCTTTCGTGCTAGCCCGCCTACCTGATCACACTGTCCGAAGGCCTCGCAAACGAAGAGTCCCCGAGCCACATCCGCATTGCTGCTGGGTTAGCGTTGAAAAACTCGCTCACATTCCGAGACATTGCCAGGCTGCGAGAGGTGCAAGTTCGATGGGCGCAGCAGGTCCCGCAACCCACAAAAACCCAAGTGAAGACACTTTCCTTACAGACACTAAACGCGAAAGATGTTCGTGCTGGTCACTCGGCCGCACAGGTTATCACCGCCATCGCCTCGATCGAGCTCCCCCGCAATGAGTGGCCCGAGTTGATGCAAACTTTGGTACAGAATGTTGGAAGCGGCACAGATGCTCTGAAGCAGTCTTCTTTGGCTACTCTGGGCTTCATTTGCGAGGAGAAGGATGCTGATATGCGCACTGCGTTGTCTTTGCATTCAAACGCTATTCTCACTGCTGTTGTTCAGGGTGCGAGACGGGATGAGGCAAACCCTGATGTGCGGAATGCCGCCCTGCAGGCTTTGGCCGATGCCACAGATTTTATCGGAAGCAACATGGGTAATGAAGGAGAGCGGAACTATATCATGCAGGTGGTCTGTGAGGCCACCCAGGCCGAAGACACACGCATCCAGGCAGGTGCCTTCGGATGTCTTAACCGTATTATGGCTACCTATTATGACAAGATGCGTTTCTACATGGAGAAAGCCTTATTTGGCCTCACAATTATGGGTATGAAGCATGATGAAGAGGATGTTGCCAAGTTGGCTATCGAGTTTTGGTGCACTGTGTGTGAGGAAGAAATCACCATTGAGGACGACAACGCCGGAGTCAGTTACTTCCCTTCTCTTTCTATGTGACTTGGTTGCTGAATTATTATAGACTCACGATTCTTCCATGTTGCGGCCATTCTTTAACTTTGCCAGGATTGCTTGCCGCGAGGTTGTTCCGGTTCTCCTGCAATTGATGACCAAGCAGGACGAAGATGCCACCGATGACGAATACAATGTCTCGCGTGCTGCATACCAAGCTTTACAGCTTTATGCTCAGTGTGTTCAAGGCGACATCATCCAGCCAGTCCTTACATTTGTCGAGGAAAATATCAAAAACGAGGACTGGCACCGTCGTGATGCCGCCGTCGCGTCTTTCGGTGCAATCATGGATGGCCCTGAGATCGATGTTCTCGAGCCGCTCGTTAAACAAGCTCTTCCAGTTCTTCTTGGTATGATGGAAGACCAGTCCGTCGTTGTGCGTGACTCGACTGCTTTTGCCCTAGGCAAGATTTGCGAAGCTTGCCCAACTGGCGTGGATACCGATGTCCACCTCCAGCCTTTGATCTCCGCCCTCTTCAACGGCTTGGCGAGCACCCCCAAGATTGCCGGCTCTTGCTGTTGGGCTCTTATCAGCATTGCTGAAAACTTTTCTTTGCAAGGTGACAGCCAAACAAATCCGTTGTCCAAGTACTTCCAAGAGAGCGTCAAGAACTTGCTTGCTCTCACAGAACGGTATGGGAATTCTCTTTCGGTTTATCATAGGAATAATTTTCTGACCCGCATATCCAGCCACGACACCGAGAACCAGCTTCGAACTGCTGCCTACGAAGTGCTCAACGCGTGGGTCATTAACTCGGCCAACGACAGCCTTCAAATGGTTGCCAGTCTTTCTGATGTTATTCTTCAACGACTCGAACAGACTGTTCCTTTGCAGCAACAAGTTGTCAGTGTTGAGGATCGTATTGCCCTCGAAGAGATGCAGTCGAGCTTGACAGTCGTGCTTTTGGTAAGCCTCTATTATATTCATGATAATTCCTTGCTAATGAAACCAGGCTATCGTCCAGCGTCTCGAAGGAGAGATCAAACCCCAGGCGGACCGTATCATGCATGTTCTGCTTCAGGTTCTCTCTACTCTGCCTCCCAAATCCAGTGTCCCCGATATTGTGTTTGCCGCGGTCGGTGCCGTGGCCAGCGCTCTTGAAGATGACTTCCTCAAGTACATGGAATCCTTCACTCCCTTCCTGTACAAGGCTCTCCAGAACCATGAAGAGCCTGGTCTTTGCGCAATCGGAGTTGGCTTGATCGGCGATATAACCCGTGCATTGAACGATAAGGTCCAACCTTTCTGTGATACATTCATGAATCAAATGCTTAGCATTCTGGTAAGCAGTATATTCATATTTTGGTGACAGCCTGGCTAACTGCGAAATAGACGAACAGCGGTCTTCGGGATACGCTCAAGCCCTCCGTGCTTGTGACTTTCGGCGACATTGCCCAGGCTATTGGCACGTCTTTTGAGACCTATCTATCGGTCGTCGCTCAAGTCCTTCAACAGGCTTCTAGTGTCACCCTCGCTAATGATGTTGACACTGACACCGTGCAATACGTCATTTCTCTCCGTGAGGGTATTATGGATGCTTGGGGTGGAATACTTCTGGCGTACAAGGCTGCCCCTCAAATTGCCTCCCTTCAACCATATGTGGAATCCATCTTCCAACTGTTGCACATTATCTCGCAAGAGGCCCATCGTAGTGAAGGTCTCATGCGATCTAGCATGGGTGTTCTAGGGTGAGTGTCTACTTTACTTATTCTCATTTTCTAGTATTAGATCTAACTTATTTCTAGTGACCTTGCGGATTCTTTCCCCAATGGCGAGTTTGCAGCATTCTTCCGCAATGACTGGGTGACATCCTTCGTTCGGGAAGTCCGAACCAGCCCCCATTATGGCTCGCGGACCCTCGACACTGCTCGCTGGGCACGTGAACAGGTTAAGCGACAGATCAGCCTGGCAACTGCTGCCGCCATGTCGTGAAGTGATGTTTGAGTGTGAAACTCTCATCTGGACCCCGGCATCCACAAAATTGCCGACTCCTTTCACGGTTGTCCCTAATCCTCACAGCCTGTGTTTGGATGACCCCAAATACCATTGGAATGGTTGGCCCAATCAGTCCATCTGACCGCAGGAGATATCCTACGATATCTTGGGATGGTTGGAGCTGCACCTTTTTGTTCGGAACCTGTCATGCATTTTGACCCCTGCACAATCCAGCCCTCCCCTACACGAACACCAACAGCATTCTCCCCAACCCCTACATCATATAACAACCCCTATTCCCTGCACCCACGATCCCCTTCCTACCCCGCCTCACCGAACATCTTGATGGCGCCATTATCCTGTTCAGTTCCTTCGCCACAAGGTTTCTGAATATACCCTTGATATAACACCATGCACCGATACTGTCCGTTTTAATTAGACCAAGACATTTTCATTCATAATCATGTATGCCCAAGAACTCATGTAATTTCCTTTATGATACAAGGATCACGAATATTTCATATTCTGCTTTCTCTCCTTTTAATATTTTTTTTACATTTTATTGGCTGGGGGAAAAGAGCAGTGGGCGGAAATTCATGTATGGAGGTTAGAAAAATCTCCTCGTATGCAGTTGTCGCTCTCTGCCTATGGAATATTTGTGTCACAGATGAAGCTGCTAATTAAGATCTTGATCTGCTTATAACTGATACTCGTAGCCGTTCATACAATCGTCACTTGATGAGTAGTCCAACTTGACCAGCAGCTTGTATACTGATTGGCGGGTCCGCATGGATCGTAAAGGTCACGTGATATTAGGGCATTCCGGGCAAAAACCCTAGCACCCACAGCTCCTTCCCGCCCGACGTCAACCGCTGCTCTCCTGCACGACAGCCAATTTCTTCACGTCCATCACATTCAGCGTCAACAGAGGTATGTATCTCCAGCAATTCCCTTTAAAAATGCCATACTTCAGATCCCTCAGCTAGCCCGAGGAAGGCAATCATCGGTAAACCTATTACCTAGGTCTTTTTTTTTTTTTCTAAAAAAGAAAACCAAGATGACACGCTTTTTCTCTCTCTGCGGCACGGGCTGAAGAACCCTTTTTTATGATGAGGGGGCACTCTTTACGCTCGATGGGCTCGAACTGAGGCTAAGACATTCCCTTTTTGGTTTTGATAGATACCTCATTTCCACGCATCCCGCCCGATTTGAGAATCTCACTATACATCCGTCAAGATGGTCCGCACTTCCGTTCTTAACGACGCTCTCAATGCGATCAACAATGCCGAGAAGGCCGGCAAGCGCCAGGTCTTGATCAGACCTTCTTCGAAGGTTATTGTCAAGTTCCTTACCGTCATGCAGAAGCACGGTACGTTGAATACTTTTCTATTATTATCGGGCTTGTCTGGAAACGTGTACAAGAGGGGGAAATCAGAGGGAAAAATTCGGGTTGATAACTAGGCAGCGATCTCGATTTTAAACCCACTCTACGACGCCTGCCCTTTAAATTCCCGAGATATCAATATTCAGAATTCTATTCTCGGCGGAGATCTTACACGTTTTCCAGACTTGTTTCCGTGCTTGTTAACGTTTAAATTTCCGTGACATCTCGCTGATTTTGTTTCTTATAGGTTACATTGGTGAATTCGAGGAGATCGACGACCACCGCTCTGGAAAGATCGTTGTTCAGCTCAACGGACGGTATGTTTTGATTCTCCGACCTGAGTCATGGTTTTGACTGATTATTGTACAGCCTCAACAAGACCGGTGTCATCTCCCCCCGCTACAACGTTCAGCTCCGTGACCTCGAGAAGTGGGTTGTCAAGCTGCTTCCCTCTCGTCAATTCGGTTACGTCGTCCTCACCACCTCCGCTGGCATCATGGACCACGAGGAGGCCCGTCGTAAGCACGTTGCCGGCAAGATCATCGGTTTCTTCTATTAGATTCGGATGCTCTGCGGGAGAAAAATGAAAAAAGTTTTGATTTTGGGACGATGACGAGATGAAAGGAATTCGAGCGCGTTCTGCTGCTTGTATGACGGCGTCTGTGGGCGATGTTAATAATGATACCATGCATGTACTGTTGATTGACGGTGCCTAGATAGCTTGAAAGTCAGACCGTTTAATTAATCATCTTCAGACCCATCTAAATCTTGACTACAGCGTTCTATCGGTGTTGGAGCCAGGAACCGAGGTATCTGCTTGCCTAGGATAAACTAAGGATACTTGCCCACAGCTTCCCCACACTTCCATCTCCAACCCTCCATAACTACTTTCATCCTTCAATGCTTCCTTTCTTATAAACGCTTTCAACGGTGATTGACGAGCTAGCGCACGCATAATGCCCCTCGATACAATATATCTGACCCGTCACGGGGTACGCAATCCCCTCCATCCCCTCTTCCCGACCTCTAACCCCCCCGATATGTATATAGCATCGCATGAACTGGACCATAGATTATTCCACTGGCACCTACCACAGCGCCTTCCCAACACCCACAGGCAACCCCGCCGATCCCACGCTGACCGCGCATGGCGTACGTCAATCCCACGAACTCGCCGCCCATCTCGCCTCTGCAGAATTTACGCCGAAACCATGCCGCATCTACTCCAGCCCGTTTTACCGCTGTCTACAGACCATCAAGCCCAGCGTCGAAGCACTTGAAAATTTGCAGGGAGATGCGCAGGGTGTTAGAATTGAGAATGGCCTCGGGTACGCTCACTCCCTCCCCTTCCAATTGCGGGTTTGAGCTTTGTTGGAATGGAGGAAGGGCTGATATGTGACGTTTATAGAGAATGGTTCGGCGCATCAACCTACTTTGACCACCCCTCCCCCGCGAACCCCTCCGACCTCCACGCCCATTTCCCCAGCATAATCACACAGTCCTCGTCAGAGCACAAAGCACACGTGATACCCTCGTCTCGAGGCGAGACGATCCCGCAATTACACAACCGGGTCGCTACAGCTCTAGCCAGTATCATAGCCGACATCGACGGTGAAGTACAAGCTGAAGAAGCTCGTTCGGGGCTTCATTCTAGTAAAGCGATTCTGATCTGTGCGCATGCTGCCCCGCTCATCGCCATGGGGAGGGCATTGACCGGCGCTATGCCGGAGGATCCTAATACGGAGGATTTTTATGTGTATACGGCTGGCCTGAGCACGTTTAAGAGACGGAAGGATGGTGGTTTGGTTGTAGAGGATGATGATGATGGTGCTGATGGGCGCAATCGTCGGTCGCGACTTGCGCCGGGCACGAAGCTGGTTCCTGAAGATAGGGTGCGTGTGCCTGATTGGCAGGGAGGGAAGGGGGTTGGTGGAGGATGGGATTGTGTGAAGAATGGGGATTGTAGTTTTTTGAGTGGTGGGGAGGAGCGGGGATGGTGAGTTTTATATATTTTTGGTATATTTCTTGTTTTGTACATTTGCTAATGATGAATCTTTTCGGGGGTAGGCATTTCAATGGCGAGGAGTCGTTTGATACTGGGCCGATGACAGGCGATAATGAGGGCGCTAAGCTTTAGGAGGAAGGTTTGTATATATCAGAGATTGGGGTTGATGATCTGAATTGTTGATACGATTAAACGTGAGCGTATTTCAGATGGGCCAAAAGGTTAACATTATGTCGTGTGCATTTTTGTTATCGAAAACGCTGGATAATCATACATTGCAGTCGGTACAACATAGAAAGAGTAAATACATCTTATGAAAAGAAACTCATGCCTGAACGCTCGGAAGGGAAGTTGGTAGATGTGGTAGATGTACATGTGCAATGCAAAATATATGATTCTTCATGCTCACAAGGCAGGTTTTGTGGGAAGAGAAAAATGAAACAAGGCTGTCGTGCGAGGATAATGAAATGGGGCTATTGTAGTCTTTTTCTTTTCATAGATACTGATGATCTATGCATGCTGCTGCTGTTCATTTTGATCGACATTGCTAGAACGTTCCGTCGTAGATGGTTCAGATAGTCCATTGGAATTAGGATTTTCAGCATTTTGAGCCTCATTACGCGCGCGTTCTTCCTCCTCACGCGCTTGCTGTTCGGCATTCCGAGCTGCTTCTTCAGCGGCATTGCGTACTTCGACCTGTCTCTCACCTACACCGGGAATAAGACTGGCGAGGAACAAGGCGATGGCACGTTCAATACGACGCCATCCATGTTCCGCGCCGCCTGCGGGTATGCGAGGCTGCTCGGGCTGACTGTTATTATCACCTCTTTGTTGCGGAGATGGCGCCGGTGGTTGTCCGTGTATGAGACCCTCGAGATGGCGCTGGACAGGTTCGACGACCATTTCAAAAAATCGACGCGTGATTGTAGATTCAGAGAAGAACGCAATGAATGCTGCCATGCCGACGAAGAAAAATCGTTCCCATGTTCCAGAATTGGTGAAAAGATAACAGAAAAAATAAAGACGTAGGAATAGCCAGAACCGGCGGACGTTTTGTGCGAAATTGTCATTGCCATTGCCTCCACCTCGTGCTTCGGGTTGATTTAATATAGCTTGTCGAACAATATTCTGCATTTCAGCGTTTGGTACAGCACCGCCAGCTGGGTCATTGGCACTAGGTTGTGTGTTCTGGAATGGAATATTGGATATTTGTGGTTGCGGTGTTCCTGATGGTGTCAAGATCATCTGTTCTCCAGAAGGTCCTGTGGCTAAATAATGCCCTGAAGACTGGACAATCTGAACTGCACCTCCGGCATAACTAGCAACTGGAGGAACCTGGCGAAGGTGTTCCATTTGACGGATTTGATATGCTCGAGTATAGATATTCTGTAAGCGTAATAGTAATCCCTCAACTTCGCTGCTGATTGCTAGATTGGGTTGACGATAGCGGGCGTCAAGCATGGCATATAGCTGACCTCGAATTCTAACGATGTTATCAATAGCAGGTGCATTGCCTCGTTGTATTTCCAATTCAAGGCTGATAATCTGGGATGCAATTCGAGCGATTAGCAAATTCTGGGCAGCTCCGTTGCTCCAGAGTTGATGTGGGTTGGGCAGGGTAGAAGTTGATCCTGGCAAGTTCACAGTGGGTGTTGGACTTGGTCTAGGTTGTTGCCCGGGCTGATTGGTGTTATTGACCCATTGTGTGTTCACATTCTGGATCCGCATACGTACGGCATGGGCGTTAAGTAGAGTGCGAGCTCTATCCACTGCCTGGTTTAGGCCATCTGCCTGACGACGAGTCTGTTCGATGTGCTCGAGAGTAGAGCGCAAATCACGAGGACGCTGACCAGCATCTAATGGTGGATTTATACTGATGTTTATTCCTGGCTGTGGTTGATGGTTTGGTATCCGACCTTGAACTTGAGCTCCAGTTGACAAAGAGGTAGGCTCGGGACTTATGCCAGTCGATCCCGGAGTATGAGTGCTGGGATCGGGTGAATTAGACGTAGCGCGGCTTGAAACATGACTAGATATATTTCTATATCGTAGGGTACCATCAGCATTTGTATTAAAGTTGCTCGAAGCTTCAGGTCCTGGAGGTAGGACCAGGTGGAGAGTATGAGCAATGTCCTGCGGGTCCACGTCAGCTTTGCACCGATTTGTCAGTCTCAAGATCACGTACAAAGGGAGGTCCTAAAAAGTCTTTCAAGGTAGCATTGGGATCCAACAATGGTTTTCCACGATGAATAAGGCGCTGCTGATCTGGCGTTGGATTACCAGGGACAAGAGGAGTGAGTCGCTTCTTCACATCTCGAATCGTGGTAGAGAGCGCAAGATTATCTAATGACAGGCCTCGGTTGGACTCGAATGATGGCGAAAGAATTCGCAATGATACACTCGAAGACACCTCGCCCTCTCCAGGAAGGGAAGTGCTCCCCGGTTTAGAGCTCTCCATATTAGAAGATGCCGTGACGACGCGTGGGAGGCGATATCGTATCAATGCCTCATGCTTGGGACGATAAGTGCTATGGGAATGAATTAGACATATAAAGTACAAAGCAAGAGTTATTAAGTCGCATAGGATGGATAAAGGGAATCAATGGTTCAGAACACTTACGAACACTCTCGCGGTTGATAGCTTGCGTTGGCTTAGCTTGGAATCTGTCCTCTTTATCCCCGCAAGTGTCACCCTGGCGTTGCGACGCTTAAATGCTTGGGGCTCTTGCAGGACAATATCCCTGTATGTGTATGTTCGCAAATACCATCTGTTGACACTATAGTCTCCCATCAACCAGAGTCATTGGCGAACAGGAATGAATCCGAGAGACCAAGTAGTTGCTTGTGCTTGTGCTTGTCGCAGAGCAAAAGCAGCCCGGAACATCATAATGCCGGCTATATCTCCGGTTTTGCCGGGCGGTGAACCCGCCGTTTTCAATGACCTCATGTTCAGGAACGTGCTCAACAAACACACACAACCTATCGAAAATGCGCACTACACACCAGCCGACTATTTGGCTTATCTATGAATAGGTAGTACGTCGAATACATTATGCCGACCTGTTTGACCGTTAGGCCTTCTGTCATCATCCGTCGAGGCTTTCAGACTACTCAACGGCTTGGAGGGCGAAATTCTAAGACATGGACCTACGGGCCGGGATCCCGCCAATTTACAGTTTCAAGATGTCTTCGTGAGGAAGAAAAGTCTGATTCCAAAAAGGGGGGCGAGTCTTTTGCATCGGAAGCGGGGAAAGCATGGAGGAATACCAAAATCGAATGGCATCCAATTCCTATCGGTCTTGGGGTGCTATTCCTTGGGCTATTTCAATTTTATCGTGCACAGAGAGATGCTGAGCGTCTTAGGAACAATGAGAATGGCGATGGTGACAGCCCCCCTCAACGAAAGAGGATACGACCGTCCGGCCCATGGCAGGTGCAAGTGATGTCGACATTACCGCTCAAAGCTCTGTCACGTTTATGGGGACGTTTCAATGAATTGGATCTACCCCGCCCTCTCCGAATTCCTGGATTTCGGTTGTACTCTTGGATATTTGGTGTTAATCTAGATGAGGTTGCTGAGCCAGATCTTCGCACATATCCGAACCTTGCATCTTTCTTCTACCGCGCATTAAAACCTGGCGCTCGACCAATCGACCAGGACCCGAATGCTATTGTGTCACCATCTGACGGAAAGATTCTTTCGTTTGGAATGATTGAGCGCGGAGAAGTTGAGCAAGTTAAAGGCATGACATACAGCTTGGAGGCCCTGTTGGGAGGCGCAAGCCCGTCCCGAGAGGCTATTGAAGGACATGGAATGGAGCCTGCAAACGACGGGAAGGATGGTAAAAATCTGGCGATGGATGAAGAATTCGCCAGAGTCAATGGGATATCCTATACTTTACCTCATCTCCTTTCTGGATCCAAGGACCAACCCAACAAAAAGGCAGCCATGGATGCATCAACTACTTCTCAACAAACGTCAGAAGCAAAGGTCAAGGCAGACCTAGCTCTAGGAGACGGCCGCCCATGGTATGCACCCAAAGCATCACACAATGCTCTCTACTACTGCGTGATATACTTAGCCCCAGGTGACTATCATCGCTTTCACTCTCCTATCTCCTGGGTTGTTGAAAGCCGTCGTCATTTCGCCGGAGAACTTTATTCTGTATCGCCATACTTACAGCGAACCCTCCCCGGGCTCTTTGTGCTTAACGAGCGAGTTGTACTGCTCGGTCGATGGCGTTGGGGCTTCTTCAGTTATATTCCTGTCGGCGCAACTAATGTCGGCTCCGTCAAGCTCAACTTTGATGCCGAACTGCGCACCAATAGCCTGACAACAGATACTCAAGCCGACAAAGCTGCTGCCGAAGCTGCAAGGAAGGGTGAGCCTTACCCTGGGTTCGCCGAAGCCACATACTACAAGGCTAGTCCAGCTTTACGCGGCCATCCGCTCCAGCGAGGTGAAGAAATGGGCGGCTTCCAGCTTGGTAGCACGATTGTGTTAGTCTTTGAAGCGCCCATGGGGTCGCGCAAGAGCTTTGACGAGGGCTGGGGCAGCGGCCGAGAAGGTGGTTGGCAATGGAACATTGAGAATGGGCAGAAAATCAAGGTTGGTCAGAAGCTTGGATATGTAGAATTATAAACGTTCTTAGCATCTTTCGGGCGGCTGGTGGTTTGAGACAGGCATTGCGTGTGTGGTGCAAATCATTTTATTCTTGTACACTATTAAATAAGACCTTAACTACCTCAAGTCATCTCATTATAATAAATTCAGGTAAGCACCACTATACTTGGGTAGAGTAGAAGTATCTAAATGTGGGGACAGCTGGATAAACCAAAAAATGTTAAATGCGCGGGGGTAAACAACTTCTCCGCACCAGCAGCCTCGCCCTCTCGCAATCCCAATCTCTGCAGAACTAGCTCGAAAATTCCCTAAATTTATGGCACGGTAGTACACACCTACATAATGTCGCGGCAACCGCATCGTCGCCCTCAAATTGACCCATCTACACCCGTCACAGGCGTATCGCAACAGCATCAACAACCCCCACCATTACGCGCGACAGCAGCCACAACAGTGCCCCCCAACCTCGAGACACCTCCCGGCTTCCAATTTCCTCCAGATGCTCTCCACCCGCGACGTGGCGTGGAGACTCTGGTTGGTGCCTTACCGACATGGCAACCGCAGGAACGAGAGCGCCTGCAGCGCCAACAGCAACGGCTCGCCGCTCTAGCAGCTGCTTCTGCTGACCGGGTAAGAGGCACGTCGGAGCTTGGGGAGACCACGGAAGGAGAAGACGAAGACGAATCTGAAGACGGCTTTGAGCACGCTTTCGATGGGGCCATGCAAACCGAGGATATCGAGGGAGATGACGAGGAATTAGAGGAAGGCGACGAAGAGGACGGCGAAGAAGACGAAGACGAGGAGATGCGTAATCGCAGTAAGCCAGATTTCCTGCGTCTCGAAAATCTAGAAAAACTAACCAATTGTCGGTGTCAATGCAGACCGCTCAGCGTCGCCTCTCCCCCCCGACCTCCGCGAGATATCCTCTCTTGCGTCCTGGACTGTGTCTACGCATAAACCAGGCTGCGGAGTCGCAGCACTGCGAAACCCATCGCCACAGCAATTCTGGCAATCTGATGGGCCTCAGCCTCATACGCTTACATTACACTTCTTCAAACGCGTTGCAATTGTTAAGCTACGAGTATACCTCGACTTTGAGCTTGACGAGAGTTACACGCCTACAAAAATGATATTCCTAGCCGGCATGGGAGGGAACGATTTGGTCGAGTTTGCATCCTGGGATGGCGAGTCGCCGTGTGGATGGGTCGATATACCGCTTGAAGGGGTTGGAGGTCGGAATAGAAAGAATACGTATAGTTCTTATCAAAGCGGCTCTCGTCCTCGTCGGTCACAGCGGGCTCGGCCATCTAGAGGCATTGGGTTGGCAGATGATATGATCTTCGAAGAGGAGACTGGCGGTGAAGATATTGATGATAATGGCCTGAATGAGGATCCTGATGATCCTTATGATGGAAATGTACTCAAAGCCATGGTTATCCAGGTGCGCATCTGCGAGAATCACCAGAATGGAAAAGATACACACGTCCGCGGGTTCCAAGTCTTTGCACATGACGATGATCGGCGTCGTATAGCTACTGCCGCTGCCGCCGCAGGACAGCAGCCTGGACATAAACGCCAAAGTCTGCATAAAGTACGACCGAATCCTGAGGGTGAAGTGGATATTACAGGCGCGCTTGGGAGAGTACAAGGTCTTGACGAGCCGGATTGGATGGGCGAGCCTGTTATTCGTTAAACATGGTGTGTTTCTTACGGGTGTTCAGACTTGTGGTTATTGTAGGCATTGCGTATGGATCGGGATAGGACACGGCGTTTACTTGTTAAATTCTTCCATCGATACTCATAGGTCGAGATACCCAGTGAATAGTTCTTCAATGGTACAGTAATTTATATGCAGTGATTCAATGCCGCATGGACATGCCTCGTTATGATTCGTTTCAAGCTAGTTCTATCTGAAGCATCATATATGTATTATATTTTTACTGAGACAGCAACTTCTCCAACTCAACAACAATTGCATCGCCAACCTCACTAGTCGTCGACTTTCCACCAATATCACCTGTCCGGACGCCGGCTTCAGTGGCATTTCGCACTGCCTGCTCGACTAGACGAGCCTCGGCGGGGCGAGAGAGGGAATATTGCAGCAACATGGCCATTGACAGGATAGCAGCGACGGGATTCACAATTCCCTTTCCGGCGATATCAGGGGCGGAACCTACAAAATCAGCCACAGTGCACATCGGTCGCAAGCAGGGAAAGAAGTAGACATACCGTGGATAGGCTCATAGATACCATTGACTTTGTTCTTCCCATCGGGCACGCCAGTCAAACTGGCACTGGGCAGCAAGCCCAACGAGCCGGGGATAACACTAGCCTCGTCGGAGATGATATCACCGAATAAGTTGCTTGTGACAATGATTCCATTGAGTTTGCGAGGATCCTTCACCATGAGCATAGCCGCCGAGTCAATCAAGTGGTGACCAAGCTTCAACTGCGGGAACTCATTGGTGATAACTTCCGTGACAACCTTGCGCCAGAGCCTGCTGGTGGCGAGGACATTAGCCTTGTCCAAGCTCCAGACAGGCAGAGGAGGGTCATTTTGCAGCGCCAAATGTGCGGCGAGACGGGTTATACGCTCGATCTCGGGGCGAGAGTAGGGTTCTGTGTCGAAAGCGAAGCCGTCACCGTTGTCTTCCTTGCGGTCACCGAAATAGATACCGCCGGTCAACTCGCGGATGATGTTGAAATTGACGTCCCGGCAGACGTCAGCTTTGAGGGGGGAGATGTCGACGAGAGAGGGCGCGGCGAAATAGCATGGTCGTAGGTTGCCAAAAGTGCCGAGCTCTTTACGGAGTTTGAGGAGACCTTGTTCGGGGCGGACGGCGCCAGTTCCCCATTTCTGACGACATTAATTTATTTCTGACATTTATGCAGACATGGATGGATAGATGCATTGAATGAATGGTGAACGTACAGGTCCTCCAATGGCGCCGAGGATAACCGCATCTGCGTTTTTGGCTGCTGTGAGGGCGGCGTCGGTCAGAGGCTCGCCATGGGCATCTATCGAGGCCTATATATCAATCTGGATTAGGCTTTTATGTTGGAATTTCGGCATGAAGCTGTATGCCACTTACACCGCCAAGGGGGTGGTCTTGGAAGTTGAACTGGATATCACTGCGGTGTTTTTCGATCACACGAAGAACCTATTTGCGCGATCGATTAGCCAGGAGTTTCATACTGAAATGAGAATCACAGCTAGGTGGAATATGTGGTATACCTTCAAAGCCTCTTTCGTAACCTGCAAACGAGGTGTCAGCCGAGCTCCAACAATATTTTCTTTTTTTTCTGTGCAGGGCCATAAGTTGAACTGACCTCCGGACCGCAATAATCGCCAGCGAACACCACAATGTTATAAGGAGCCATGACGAAAGAGAAACGAAATCAATACCTAGAAATTAAAGTCTCTGTATAATGAACAGGAGTTGGAGAGGAAACGTGGTAAGTTGGGATGATCTCGAAAGCTCATGGCAACTTCCTTGCAGGGCGGGGCAGATCCTCGCGCGGCCGATGTCGGACAGCATCGTCACTGTATGCAACTACATATAATACGATAATGACGGGGAGAAGGAGGATATGTTCAATGTTATTAATTATTAATCAATTAATGCCCGGTAAAGAATGTCGATGGTGATTAAGACAAATAGTAAAAAATGAGCGCAAGATTCTAGCCCTACTGGTAAGATTTCCGACGACGCCAGCCCCATCATATGAATTATGACCGTCATATACACAATCTCCAGCTGCATATCAGTCGCCATCCAATAGCCTCGCAGCAATTGATAATGCACTGTTTGAACCATCTCGCATACATCAGTCGCAGAACGACCAAATATTTGTTAAAGCCCCTAGAAAAGAACAGGGAGAAGAATTTTCCGTGGAATTTGGTCCGAGTTGTTCTCCTTGAAAATGTTGAAGTCTAGGCCAGCTTGCCCTCGGCCCGGTCAGCCTTGCGTTTGGCAAGGTCGCCCTCTGCGAGCCAATTGCTGGCCTTGATAAGCTGTACCACATTGATGAATTGCTTTGCAGCCATGACAGGGGCCGAAACCGCGGTGATTATCCACGGGATAGTGCTGTCCAGCTTATTGGCACGGGCCATTTCAAGTGCACCAGCACTCCAAGGACTGGCGAACAAAGTCGAAGGGGCTTGATGAGCTGGGTTGCCAGGTTGGGCCGTCAGGGGCTGGGAACCCGGGGTTGGCTGCAAGAGAGAGGGGGACAAGATTGGCGAGGAAAATGACAATAGATATAAGCCGATGAAGAAGAGCTCGTTGAGAGCGCAAAAGATGAAAAGCACAGTCTAGACAAGTTAGCTGATTCGTTCAAACACGGAAAACGGGACATATAACTCACCCGGCTTGTATAGTATTGGTGCAAGATCCAGCTACGGCTCTCGTCGACCTTTTTGTGACTATGTCCCGAGCCACCCATACTCAGTGTTGCGTACATGTGCATGTAGTGGCTGGCCAGATCCAAGCTAATCAAGCCCTGGAAGATGATTGACCAGCGTGGCCAAGCCGAGCTCAAGAAAACCAACAGGCACGCGGTTGTGCAACGATCAGTCACCATGTCGAGAACACTGCCGAAGGTGGTGGACTGATGGAACAGTCGCGCGAGATATCCATCCAAGGCATCTAGCAAACACGAAATACTGTATAGAAATGAACACGTGCGGGGGTGGAGGGGCATGTAGTATAACGATGCTATTGCGAGAACGACTCGTGCGTAGCCTAGAATGGTCAGCTTCTTAGAGATTGAAAAGACGCCGACGACGAGATAGCCCACTCACCAACAAGATTGGGCCAGAACAAGAAAATATTTTCGTACTGGTCATCTTTTGCGATCTTATCACTTGGTCTTGAACGTGGCGATCCATTGGTTGTGGAAGGGGTTGGCTTGTCCTCAGCCGCAGCCGTTCTGGCAATCTGTCTCCTGGTTCTCACACTCATATTGGTATTATAGTGGCGGGATCAGCAAGGCCCCTGATCGTAAAATAGCCGTTCGAATATTGTGTAAACAAACGTGTACACGTATACGAGAAAGAGCGAGAAATGAAGCACAAGGCTTTAGGCAGGGACGGCCGTGATAATATTTGTAGCTCTAGTTGCGAAACCAACCATCAGTACTGGAGCCCCACGACAGCAATTATTTGCGATATTCTTACCGCACTGTGGAAGCTTCACCAAGCAGAACAGTCAACAAAGTAGCGGTTTAAAAATGGACAGCTGTGTTGCAGCGCAAACGGCGAGCTGGAGAGGTTCAGCTTGCAGACCGGGACAGCCGGAGATAGGAGAAAAAGTTGAGCGAGAGAGCAGGAAAATGGAGGCAGAATGACACGACAGCAATTAGCGAGAAAGGAAAGTAGTCAGACGAGCGTGCGAGAAGTGCGCAGGCGAGGTCGAGAGATAAGGGAAAAGAGCGATGATTGATTGTTGGTGGTTAGTGGTTAGTGGTGGTGGTTGATGCATGCAGGCACGAGGCAGCGCCAGCGGCTGTTGTTATCTCTCCTAGTCTTGTTCTCTCTTATCCCTTGAGCCGCGCCGCCTCCACCAGCGCCACTGCTGCTGCTCGCTGCTTCGGTCCAGCTCTGTTACATGCATGCACTTTGCAGCTAATTGCATCAATGGTATATGCACAGGGAACATGGGTCGGCCTGCGGTTTTCTTGCGTCACTCTGAGAGTCAATGTGCGAGGGCGATTGGTTCCCCGTCCGGCCCTCTATTTACCACTTGTTTTATACATATTGGTGTAGACGTATAGAGTTCAATGCTGACACACGTCTATTTGTATATACCTAGATACAATATTTACAATACAATCAGGTTCGCGATCGGCGCGGATCTGTAGCTTCTTGCCGACGAAAATCGCGTGCCTCCTTCGTACCCATGCTGCCCAGGCCACCCTCGAGCCTGCGTTCCCAGCCTCCCAGTCGCACGACGAGGCAGGTCGCGTTATCGGCATCCTTGCTGACCTCGGTCGCAAAGTTAACGACGTCTCGAGCGCCTTGTTCGGGCGTGCGAGCTTCCTTGACAATGTCAACGATCTCTTGATCGCGTAGAGTCCCGCTAATACCATCCGACATCAGCACCAGAAATGAGAATTCGGCCGGGCCCATTTCAACTCGATGCATATCCGGCTCAGCAGACACCCCAATTCGCTTCGAGTGGATGTCTCCAAACGCTCGAGTGTTGGCAAGCCCACTCATACGTTCCTCCCCGAAGGAGTCGGTGACAAAGGCGGCCGCGTACCGTCGTAGGCGGTTCGCTTCTGTTGGGGAGGACGGATGATGGTCATTTGTCACTGGAATAGCGGCCCCAGTCTCTGTATTGCATAGGAGTATCCTGGTGTCACCTACATGCGATACTAAAAGCGAAGAGGGTGCAGCAGGATGCCAGAATGGGGTAGGCGTTGCGGTGGAAATCATAGCTACACTGCATGTACTCCCTCCATGAAATCTCTTAGTACTCCCAATTAGCCCCTTCGGCGATTGACTCGGGCTGTGAAGAACATCATGTACATTCAATGGCTGGTCTGATCGGACAGGGTCATCGTCTTTCTTCGCCGCCTGTGCCGATACAAAATCAAAGTCGGCCTTTAGAAAAGCGTATTCCACAACTTCCTCCATGGGAATTCCCCTGACCGAGTCCCTTCTGCTTGTACTAACCCCAAGATTTCGTGCGAGATTCTTGGATGCACCCCCAGCCTGTATGCAAGAAAAGTGAGCAGGCTTGAACCGTCTGAAATACCCGCCGACCACATTTCTCCACGACTCCACCAATTTGGATTCAAGTTCCGCTATCTTCTCGATATCGGCAGTCTGGAGAGTAGGCAGATCTGCCCGATTTAACCCATACTGATTTGATTCCTTCCTTTCGCTTCTCTCGCGCTTTTCCTCGGCAGGGGAGAGTTTGGTTTTTAAACTAGACTGAATCCCAAATTCAGCAGCACTCTCCTCAACATACTGATGTAATCGATCGCGAAGAAAGTCGCTGCATTCAGAGCCGCCATGGCCGTCAAAGACACCAAAGTAAAAGACCTGAGGGTCACCACTTGTGCTGTCCGCCGCGGAGGGCACAGCAACCGATTCAGAACCCGAAGCACGACGAATTGTCAATGACAAAGGTGAGCGTCTCGCGAATGCGGGTAAGCCAATGACACCAGCCTGGTAAGCATCCTCATTGTATGCTCGCGACCCGCGAGAGACGGACGCCCCGAAATGATGTTTTGCGCTGCGTAGTGGGATACGGACAACAGTTGTGTCACGAGATATACCAGGGGGCGTTTGGATCGAAGCCGGTGACGATGTAGTGTTTTCGCCTATATGCGGCGTGGACGCAGATCGAGGCAGCTTATGAAACGACGTCGGCCCGCGCGAATCGGGCATCAAGGAGGACGATGGTAGATGGGTCACGAAGTAATCGTGGAAATATCGCCGACGACAGGCTGGGACCTGGTGTCTGGGGTCGTACAATACCCTTGCATTGCCGCGTTGATGTGCGAACGTAGCGATGAAACCTGTATTTGACATGAGGCTCTGTGGTGGTTGTGATTGTGGATTCGGGGTTCGCAAGAGGGGTGCGTACTGTAGCTATCAGCCAAGCCCCAAGCCTGGACTGTGACCCGTCCGTGTTGAGAGCCAATCATGAAGACAATGGCATGTGGGAGGGAGGCCAGTGTCAGTCTCAAAGGCAGAGCATGGCGGGGGGTTCAATGTTGAGAGGGAGAAAGTAAGTAGAGAAAGCCAGATAGAGCGATAGAGAAAGCCAAGCCGATGATGTCAAGCCGGACCGGCAAGCGTCAACTGGTGGCTGCCGGATATCCACAGCGCCTTCTTGCTATTCAATCCTCAATCCTCAATACCTAATACTGGTTGGTTTGGTTTCAATCTGTATTCATTATGGCACTAGCCTGGCTATGGAAAGAATTACTGCTGTTTGTTTGCGATCAAAAAAGACTCAAAACGCCTGTGTCGATAGAATCCGACCTGTCAGCTCACCAACTCCTATCCTAATTAATTGCATCCCAACAATGCCGACACACCTGATAGCAGTTTGAACTGAAAACAGCAAAACATAAAGGAAAAATTCTAGGGTATAATCTAACAAGACAGCAAACGCTGGACAGTTCTTACGGCACTTCGAAAAGAAAATCCTTGATTGCATCTGAGAAGAGACGAGAAGAAAGAACCGAGCTAGAAGATCAGCGAGTGGGAATTCTACCAGGCGTTCTGCCTGGTCCCTCGCCGCCTTCTTCTTCACTGTTGGGAAGCTTCGTGTACACACTCGCAACACTCACAGTGCGCACGCGTGCGGGCGTATACTTGTTCTGCCCAAGCCGAATTGCAGGGGTGACGGACATTTTGACTTTAGCGTTAGTCGAGCGAGCTATGTCGAAACCTGTGTCGAGGTTGAGCATGATAGTCGGATCGTACGGCTCCTCGTTTTCTGGAAAGTGAACTCTGGCCTCGTAAGGGAGAGAGTACATGTCTAACGCCAACCCATGTGTATCCCTGACGACTTGCTTAAGCAGCTCCTGTGCAGCAGTGTTCCCTCCCCCAGGGAACAGCAGGGGCCCGAGTAGCGACATAAGCTGATACGCATGGTTGTCTTGATACTTCCGGCAGAAATCACCAAATTCAGGCTTTTCGCGTGCCGTGACTACCTGCTTAGCAATTGCCCCTAGAAGGAGGTACTTTACCGAACCCGGAGTGTCTGCAGAAAAGGAAAGTTAGAATACCCTTATAATGTCGTTGAATTTGGACTTCTTACCGTGAGAAATCTTCTTTTTCAGGTTGGTAATCTCAGCGTCGATCGCTTGGTCGAAGGCGCGGACAACTTCAGTGTACTTCAGTATGTCTTTGCACAGGTAAAAGTTCACGACCTTGGCGACGTACAGTGGTCGAGCCACCGCATTGTTCATGAACTGGACAGCTACCTCTGCCCTCGCATCGATCATCATGTGATCTTTCAGGCGTGTTGCGAGGTGCCTCGGGTGCAAAGGCTCGCCGCTTGCTCCGTAGGTGTTTGCAAAATGCTCTGAACTTGCCCAGATCTTTTGGAAGCGACTCGCTAGCTCACCCACTTTCATCTCAAACTCATAGCCAGCATAGGCTGGATCACCAGTGATGACAGTATCAGCCAGAGGGGGCTCATCAGAATTTATGATGGTCTGATGGAGTGGCCGCTGGGCATTTATCGCCTGGAGACTGGGCCGTCTAAGCTCTGGCAGTGGCTCAAATAAGCCCTGCAGCCTTGCTCCTGCCGAATAACCGTCCAGATACTGCTGCTCAGGAGCTGTATATGCTGCGTCAGTCGGTCCAATATGGGCATGATAGGTGTGATGAGCATGAGTTATGCCATGAGCATTCTGAACATGAGAATGTTGAGGAGCTCTGAAAGTCGGGTGAGGTACTGCTTCTGGAGGGGATGCCATGGCCATCATTTGCCGATGTGATGAATGGTGGACCAAAGATGGCCCCTGAATTGTCTGAGAAGCATCATATTGTGGCTGCAGGTTAGGTTGCACAGAGTAAGGTGGGTGCATGTGAGGATGTTGCAATGGCCAAGGCTGACTGTGGGAGTGTGAAAGAGGGCCGTTACCCATTAAGCGACGCATCCTCAAAGAACGGGGATCTTGGATCGTCTTTGATTGGTTTCGTATAGTGATTTCTTGTCTATTGATACGGTCCTTCAACGCCTCAATTTCAGCCTTGAGTCTGGCGATCTCTTCTTTTTTTGATTTGATTTCTTGTTGACCATAGGCCAACTGGTCCTCTAGAGTTTTAACTTTCCCTGCTCCAGCATACCCGGTATTAAGACCATGAGGAATGACAGGAAGCTGTTTGGTAGGCGTCATTGGGCTAGCTGTAAGCCTATGGCTGAAAGGGTCGTTCATCGTGACAAACAGCTAACTTCAAACTAATTGCATGTGAAAATGTCAGATAAGAGATGAATAAACAATGATAGCACAAGGCAATCCACTTACAGCCAGAATCTTTCAGAAAAACACCTAAAGAGTATGAAGCGTGTTCGCTATCAAGGATCCAGTCAAAAATGCACGACACAGCACGACAAACTGCAAAACAGCCAATGTGAACCTTTCACGTCAAAAGAACATTGAGAGAACACTGACAATGCAATGAAGATGGAGCAATGATAAGGACATAAGGTAAAAGAAACTTTAGCAGAGGAAAGAAGGAAACTAGAGATAGTTTTTGCTGCCTGCAGTCAAGAAGAAGAGGAAGAGGGGAAAAAGAGGGGGAGAGAAAAATATAAACAAGAAAACAGCATACGCTCTGCTGAAAGCGGCGCGATTCCTCAATGGGACAACGTCTTTGGTGATGTTGGCACTCCAAACGGTATATAAAACCCACCTTCGAAGGCGGTCAGCACTGAACAATGATGTGAGGTTTCTTTGAGAAAAACTTTACTAGGCATCAAGACAGGTGACAATGTGCTTTATCGTATATTGACTATGTATAGCAAAGAGTGACGCTGAAAGAAAGGAATTTGTAAATTACATATGTAGTTTGAGCTTATGTAGCCCTGAGAAATCCACACTGAAACTTTTGGTGATGCTTTATGTCGTTCGGGGGCAAACTGAGATTCGTCTAAATATTGTTTGCAAAGACCTCGATTTGCTGAGAGGCCGATTGACTACAATCATCGACAGAATTGATTGGCTAAGGCTTCAATCCAATCGCTCAAGATGCCAATATGTTGAAGTCTAGAAGTCTTAAACATGTGCAGGTTATGGTTCATAATTTGAACTGATTCATCTAAAGAAGTCATAAACGGTGATTTCTGATGGACGCTTCAGATGCAAGATACCAGGTTTTGATTTTACAGCTTACAAAGGCATTATTAATTGATTCGGTGCTAAGCAAAATGACTTTAATACGGATAACTAAGATTTAGACTAAGGTTACCAGATATACAAATAAGGACACATAACCGATGAGAAACGCCCCTAGAAGAGTAAGAGTAGCTACTAGAACGTAGTTGATCACATGGAAGTGATGAAGTCTGGAGCAGCACCTACCGAGGGTAGCATCGTTCCAGCCTATTTCCAATGAAGACAACTAGAGAGAGAACAAACAGCATGTAGCTGTGGATGAGGCTCCCCTATCGACAAGTTAGAATAGGAACCTACCAAACACCTCGCCATAAAAACCGCTACATGCTCGTGTCCAGTATTAGATGGCTTTGGTGCGGGTGAAAAGACTGCTGTAGACAGCATCGACGACAGGCTGGGCGCTGATCTGTTTGCCGCCAAAGAAACGTCCGTTCAGACCTTTGATAGCGTTCTCGCCACCTTGAACACGGTCAAATTTGAGATAAATATCTCCTTGCGAATTCGGGTCTAAAGCAATGTGAACAACACGACCGTATTTTTCCTCGCACTCAGCGCGGACATCGTCTTCCAGTTCTTTGATCCAGGCATCGCCCTCTTCCCTAAGGTAGCTGTTAATAACCCATCTTGTAGAAAAATAACTGACCAACTTACTCAGTAGGGTCAAACATGTTTCGTAGCATGACACACCGGCTTGCCATGTTGACGTTCACGGGTAGCGGCTTAGGCTCGGTTTTGGGTCGCAGCATTTGGATCTTTTCATCTGCAGAAGGCTCAGGTTCATCTGTTCTCGCAAGTTTCCTCATCAATGCATCTCTGCTATAATTGTTGAAGTTCACACCGGCAACATCTGTATCATCCAGAGCACTTGCTCCACCTGTGCCTTTCTCGTTCTCTCTGCCGCCGGCACGGTCGAAATTGCTGGCACCGCCAGCCTGGACACCGCGGCCTCCCTGGCCTGAGAAAGCTGAGCCCTGGAATTGTTGGTTGCCTTGACCTTGGAAACGGTTCAACAGATTGGCTGTTGATTCGGGAGTAAACTTATCGTTGCCAAGGCCAACACGAATAGGTCTGCCAGCAAGGTCAAAGCCGTTCATCTTTTCTAGAGCTTCTCTAGCCTGATTCGGATCGCGAAATCTGCAAAGTTGGTTAACACAAAAACGACACAAACGCCATAACAAATGTTGTATGCACAGGGTATACTCACTGCACAAATCCATAACCTCGGCTACGTCCAGTCTCATCTTTCTGTAGCTGAACAAACTCGAGCTCACCAAACGGTTCGAAAACATTCTGGAGATCATTTTCAGTAATACTGAAATGAATATTACCAACATACAACCTATGAAATGGCGCAGAGGCCGAGGGCTGGCCGGTGGATTCGGGGTTACGAGCTTGTCGATTCTTCTCCGCTTCGGTTAACTGGGCAATGATTGGGATTCCTAAAAGTTTCTGGCCAGTGAGATGAATCGCAGATTGAACAGATGATTCGTCTTTGAATTCGACATAGCCCACGCTAAACATTTCATTAGCCTTGTCAATATGCGGTGAGAATGAAGGGAAGAACACGTACCCTTTTGATCTACCACTAACACGATCTTTAACAATTTGAGCTTCTTTGACGGGTCCCACCTTTTCAAAAAACGCAATAAGCTCCTTCGTTCTCAAGCGAGCGGCGAGTTGCTGGACGAAGACGGTACGCTTATCACGTTCATCTTCATTTAGCTCTTCCTCTGGGGCTGGGGTACCACGCTTTTCATTCCGGCTACTCCTTCCACCATCGCGGTCACGTCGGGAATGTCTATCATCATCACGGTCATCCCGACGAGAATTGCCGCTTGGGCGATAGTATCTGTCATCATAAGGCGAGCGTGATCTTGAACGAGCACGTCCTCCACCCCGGTAGTAGTCACCACCAGAGCGGTAGTCATCACCATAACGGTCTCGACGACGACGTCGGTCACTGTCGCGGCTGCGACTTCTCCTTCTACTTCTATGGCTTCCGTTAGCACTGCCATGCTCGCTTTTCGGAGTCTTCATTTCTTCATCCTTGTCGTCCCGGTCGCGACGGCGATCACGACTTCGGTCTCTGCGTTTGCGATCTCGGTCCTTGGAGCGATCACGGTCGCGACGCTCGCCTGTGCCAGCTTTCGAGCGGTCATCACGGTCTCGATCTGACGACTCGTTGACGGAAGCAGCCGTAGACTCGAGCAAGGCTTCAACGTCGAGACCTGACATGTCGACAATATATTGAAATATCCCTTTCGTAGAATAAAGAAAACAGCACTGAATAGGAGAGGAGATTGATCACTTTGTGTGCGGTTAGAGAGGAATGAGTGAGGTGGCGTGGTAAGCGAACCCTTCTATTAAACGTCTCCAAGCACCGCACGAAGCACTTGCAAGTAACGAGATATCCGGGAGATAAATAAACTATAGACGATTAAATGGCCCGGCGCGAGAAACATGAGACAGGTGGTGAGGGCGATGAGTTGCACTGAAGGAAAATTAGTAAAGGCGCAGAAAACGTTGGGCTGTCGAAAACGGGCAGGAGAAGCACGCTAGTGTCACGTGAAATATCAAAGTTTAAACTGCCCCAATCCCCAATCAGATCGAGCGACAGGGCCCACAATGCCGGCACTTGATTCTCTCACGGATAATAATAGATAAGCCAGAAAAGCAAATATAACATTATTACGGAGAACAGCGAGCTTATGCTGTGGGCTGTGCGTGTGGAGGCGAGAAAGACTGGTTTATATGGCTGCATATAACGAGCAAGCGTTGCACCAATGCGAAATGGAGAGAGAAAAACAATGACATTATTCTTAAACGGTCTGTACAATACTTATTACTATTATCATATATGTGAGAAGCGATGAGCAAGCATCGGCTGTAATGGCGTAATGAGCTTGCCGCAATTTCGTGGGTGCAAAAGCAAGGCGAAAGTAAGATTCGTGGTTTTCACTGAATCGAATCGTCTTCAAGAATAGTCGCAACCAAATCCACCACAGAGGGGACAAGATTGAGAGAGAGAGAGAGCATGAGAGACGACGTCGACATCATGGGGTATATATTCATGCGAAGCGAATGACGGCGCAAATAGTTGAATAGTGGCAAAAAAGTCATTTATTCTGCCTTCAGGACCTTGGGAGGTGGTATTTCAAGCTCGGTGCCAAAGACACGGTCCCAGAAACGGCTAGTCACGCCAAATCCGTTCTCGTAATCGGCAAAGTGGTGTTGAAGATGATACTTCTTCAGCTGCTTATAGTAGTAGGGAAGACTGCGAGAGGAAATTGAAATTAGCCTTAATACTTTATTTGGGATATATTGCACGTTGAAAAAAAAACTTACTTGCGATGGTGAAGGAAGTAGTGCGTTAAATCATAGCATACGTAGCCAAACACGCCACCGCAATATCCCAGGACCCCAGCGTACCAGTTGTGGAAAAGGATCAAGTGTGCGACCTTCCAGAATGGGGTAGCGAGGATAACAAAGAGAGTTGGCGGCATGACTAGGCGATATCTATCCATTGGCAAATAATGATGGATGCCGTGCAGCAGGAAGTGAAGGCATATTCCAACCCGATTATCCGGAAGATACCTTGTTAATCATTAGTATTGGCCAAAGAGAAAAGAAAATTAGAAAGACCTACTTGTCAACGTGGAAAAGGCATCGGTGCAAAATATATTCAATGAGAGTCCAGACACAGGCACCCAACATCCAATACCCGGCGGCGGCGAGTCCATTATTCAGACCAGAGGCGCCAACATAGGTCCCGTATGCTATACACGGCAGCCAGATTGAAGGAACAACGTACCACGGAGTTTTCGACAGGGGCTCCAAAAAGTTCCCAAATAATGGGGCAGATTCTCCTCCCTTATAATGACGAGGGCGATGGACTTGTTCGAGGTAGAATGCTTTCGTAAAGCCACCGTACCAGAGCTGGGGGAACATGGGCTTTCTCAGATCTAGGAACTTGTGCTTGCGATAATCATCCGCATAGTTAGTCTCAACGGACAGATCTTCTTCAGTCGCGATACCGGTGCTAGCATAGACCCTACGCTGTGTTCCATTTGCTTGCTCTCCAAATTCCTCGCTGGATACAGCTTTAGAGTTTCCGTCTGAAATGAATCCCACATGATATTCATGAAGAATTTCGTAAGCGGAATCAGAATGTTCGTGGGAAAGGGAATCGCGCAATATTTCTTTCACATCTTTTCCGCCGTATTCCAGAATCAAATCCTCTCCTCCAGGATGATCGTACAGAAACTCAGTCACATCGTAGACCTTCGAGTCTATCACGACATAGCAGGATTTAATCGAGTCGTGCGACTGCACCTCGGCTCGCGTGAACGTTGGCAAAATTTTGCCCGGCATGGTGGATGCTGGCGGAAATGTGCGGATGTCGAGGGATTACAGTGTTTTGTAAGCTGATACAAAACGACGAAGTTGCGTAGGTCTGGAACGAGTAATCGAAGGGTAATAGAGGCCACAAACGAATAAAATATGGCAAATCGAGGAGTGCCACGCGTGGTGGAAGTTCCGAAGAGGATAGAGTGGCGTGAGCTGTGAGTAGGCAGGGGGGCTAACTGGGCGTGTACGTTGAAAAGTTAGACCGAGGCCGGTCTATCGTGTGTTCTAGGAAGCGTAGTATGATTTCCACTGTCCCTGGAAACAATACGCAGGTGCGGCGGAGAAATCCTCAGGCTCATACGATCTTTTTCCATCCACGTGACATGGCGATTGGCTTCAAGCCAATGGCTTGAAGCCCCAGGCCCGACTCCCGAGTGTCAGGGGAAGCGCTAACCCTGATCGGGATTAGTTCCGCCGATCCACTGTCCAAGCACCGCGAGATATTCTTCCTTTCAAGCAAAGGGCTCAACTTATTTTGATATAATTGATCCGCAATAGATTGGCGGACTTGTTGTGTGTGGTGGTTTATGTGGTGTGTGGTTGAAACACAAAGGTTTATCAATGCATGCATGCAGAAGAGACAGAGGTATGGATGTCTGTTGATTTTGCCGTCCACAAGCTACAGGTATGTCTATCCATACGCAGTGTCACATAAGGGTATGGGGGATTTTCGATGCACCATGGCAAGAATACATGTGTGATTCTGTAATGGATACTGATGATTCGCACGCTATTGCGTCCCAATTCGTAAGAGTGGTTGTGAACAGATACTTGCATTGGTTTTCATCGCCCGTGTCTTAGTCGTCCGAACACCCCCTAAAAAGTTGATCAGTATATTGTACTGCTTAGAGACTCAAAGATGAGATAGTACACTATATCCTGCGGTGTATCTGTGTCTGTTGCTGTTGCTGTACAAGATCCGGTACATTTTGTTTCAGTCCACCACACAGACTCCATGCTGGAAATGGGTTCAGCATCCTCCATTAAAAGCTTCTGATCCAGATCTGGAGGATAGTGTGGCCCCATCACGGTAACTATGTGTTGGCCGGAAAATGCCGAACAATGCGAGATATTCGAACAAGTAATGCCGGTCCCCGTAGGAGAAGCAATGGCGCCAGGTGCGAAGGCCACACCAGATGTGAAATCAATGGTGGTGATGGCAGCAAGTTCTTACAGTAGACCCGTCGGCTGTGCATCTCGATTTCCCTTATCGACAATTTTTGGGGGTGCTAACGATTGTACAGATACCCGAATATATATATATGTAGAGTACTCTTCTGGTGTAATACAATATCCATAGAGGGCAAACAACACGGGAGAATAATTTGCAGTGACCCGAAATGTGGCTTCATGGTTATGTAGATCTAGGAATTCGATAGGTTAAACTCGAATTCTCGGCCTACTCAGGTGGGTGCGAAGATAAATTGAAGAAATAATATCAACTGGGAGTTTAGAAACAAGTCTCCCGGTAACTATATCAAGAACAGATTAGGTAATTATCGGTACATATCAATTGATGTACCAGAAAAAGTTGACACTGTTGGCATACGTGGCCTTGTACAAACAGAAGCTATATATCTTTTCTAACTCCGGAACCACAAGCCTGTTGTAATTTACAGTGATGAGTGTGAAATATGCCTATTATGTCAAGCCTAATAGAGCAACAAGCAAAAGGAGAAAGAAAATTCTTGCGATAACCTGTGGCCGAAGTCTAAAAAGTAATTGGGCTACCTATTCATAGTTGATGCAGTTGAAACAGATACAGGGAGGTTCTTTAAGAGTTTCTTTGTACATATGTATATTTGCGCAACTTGAAACATCTCTCGAGACGTCGATCAATTGATATCGCTGAAACTGCAAGTCCCCTTTATTCCTGAGAATAAACTATTTGAAGTGCATGTGAGATTAAAGTGCTGTTAAATTCTTGTTCTTTGTATCTATACCTTTTTCATGTTAACATTCGATCATAATCAGCCCATGTGTGATATCGGCAGGGGTTGACATTGGGTTACCAGACAGATCCACCTTATCTAGCATACATATGCAAAATATATATAGTATTTCTTTGTGGTAAACCATATAAGCGCAGATCAATTGATATATTGGGGGATTTACTCTCCGTTAAGAGTAACCCCTGCTAAGACGTACACTTCACTTACAACAATGAATATCAATTGATCTAGTAATAGCTTTAAAGAATTGGAATTATCTAAAACTTCAATCTATTCATATGCACGTAGTCCTTGAATTAGGAGATTTGTGTAAAATTTAGCAAGGTCACTTATACGTTCAAGTGAACTTGATTCAATATGTTGGTCCTCGGGGTTGTTCATCAAGTAGTCATATCATCTTTTACTTTTTTTGAGCCTCAAAACTATTACCACACATGCCACACCTACTAATAAGACCCTTTTCAGCCGAGAATTGTCGGTGGATAATCGATGTCATCCTGAGTATTCCGCTATGGTAAATGACAACTATGTGGATGCTGTTACTGCTGTGAGTGATTTGCACGCACTATATTAGCTAAAAAAGGTGTCATTAATAGAAATTATAGGCAGCAACAGCAGTGACGCAGTTGGCGAATTTGAAGACATTTATAGCGACAGAGCCTCAGAGAGACACCGCAACTCTTTCACAGCGCGTGATCCTCGAAACCTTCGAGGCTATCTACGGTAGGATAATGTATGACGAAGGAACGCCAAATCGCGACACGAGAAATGTTTTGGGGCGAGCCAAGGTCAACAAAATACTGGGTGAGTAGGAGCTGACATGAAATGTTAAAATTAACTACAACGATATTCGCTGAAATATTGATGGCACTCTTAGTTCTTGCGTCACACATTGCCCAACTTAGAGAACCAGGCTCCCATCGCGGCAGTCAATGGCATGTTTTCTGTGACGAACACTTTTTTAAATTCCTGGTTACAATTCAAAGTGGTAACCGACAAGGTGGTATGAAATACCATCCCAATTTGTGAAACCTTACAGATAAGCTGGTAAAATAGGGTTTGAATGACATGTCTTGAATAGAATAATATCAGGATAGTCGGCCTTTTGAACAAGGTGGCGGTGCGTGGATGGACCTGAGCGTCAAAGGATGCCGTACGAATGCGATGGCCTACACATACTTGGGTCAGCATCTGCCCATGACATGACAATTTTTTGCACATCGTATGTACAAAGATGGAAAACTACATACAATGAGGCGGGGCAGGGTCGGCTTCGTGCCCTCCGCGACCTCACCGATGACTGAGATAAGCTCCCACAAGCAATTCAATTCAGTCAAGTTGCGACAAAGTGGATGACAACTGCAATGATTCATGAATTGTCACATGCGAAATGGTTACTGGGAGACCGTGCAACAGGTACGTTTCTTGCCCAATGTGGAACGTTTTGCGAATTATACGATTCTAATGATAGTTAAAAGAGGATTTGCTATGCCCAGGCGCGCCAGAAAACACGAAAGCCTATGGGTGGCATTGTATTACTCGGCTTGCTGAACATTGTAATACTAATTCAGTAGGAAACGCTGGTAAGGTTTCTTTCATTCATGGTTGCTTCAATTATGTGACCTGCCAAGTTAATATTGATGTATTCTAGACAGTTTTGCCTACTTGGTAACGGGTATGCAATATCATATCAATTGATTAAAATAAAGTATAAATCAGTTGCTAACACGGTTATTTCATCCTTCAGCATTATACTTGAGTAATGCGGACTGGCATGCAGGGTATGCACAGAATTACTAGACTTCCAAGTCAACCATAACCTCCAATGACTCGGCAAATCGGTGACAATGATACCTAGAGCTGGTGATGATGGTGATGGTGGCGTAGGGATCAATTGATGTAGTAATCGGGTTATGAAAAAACAAAATAGAATAAAGATATATAACCTCATTGCAGCTATGATATAGTTCTTGTTAAGTTTTAGTCGGTTCTTATTTCGAATGTTATACGGTTTACATTATAATCTCAGGAAATCTTTTAATTACTAGCAGATTCTACAGCCTTTTCAGCTGCACAATCTAGCATTCTGTAACTTCATTCTAATTAAAGTGCTTCCACAATTAGCATGGTGAACCAGTTGTCAAGATGCTATGGCTTTCTTGTGCGTAAGTGCAACCATTGTTTGTGTTGGAGTCAGAATAACCAGCGTCCCACATCATCACACCACCAAAAGTGGAATTGCCCTTGGTCTGAGATACGAGTGTAGCGAGCTCAGCTGGAGTAATATAGTACTCTGCACCACCTGTGTTGCCGTTCGCACCCAATGTCGAGGCTGGAACACCGACAAACAGCTTGGCGTCTTTCGAAGGAGTGTCGGCGATATACTTAACCCAATCGTTGTAGTTAAAAGGAGCGCCACCATTGTAGCCCAGAGAGCATGGGTCTGGTGCATAGTTGTTATTGTTATAAAACTGAATCCAAATATAATCAAAAGTGGCATTGCCAATGATCACTCCCATGTTGGGTTCGGGTACAGGGCACTGAGGTGCGCCAGTGATATAGTAAGTCTTGCTGGAGTCGGAGGCGAAGTTGGATCTTAATTTAGAAATCATGTATTGGTAGTATTGTTGGCCCTCACTGAGCTCGATATCAAAGTCCCAGCCATCAACGGTAGCATTACCAAAGGGTCGCTCCACGGTGGTATTTCCTGAGCCTCCATAGGATTCCCACAAGTACTGACCGATACTCTCAGCCTCCGCCTGGGAAGTCAGAGTGTAGGAGGAGGAAGCACCGCCTAGAGAAAGGATGACTTTAATTCCAGCTTCCTGGCACTTGGGAATGGACTGGGCCACATTGTCACATTCCTGGGGAGCACCGGTGGTGCTGACGAAGCACGAGTTTCCGATCACACCTGATGGGATTTCCTGTCCATTTCCGAATTCGTAGAGGAAAGACAAGACGATGACATCGATACCCGCATTGTTCTCGCAGTAAGTGCTTAGGTCGTTATTCTCAGTTGCACCAGCACCGTTCGTGCCCCAATATACTACGGTTTGAGGGGTTGATGTCGAGTTCGAGCGTGCTGCAACTTTGGCGTGAGGAACGGCAGAAGCAACGCTAGCTAGGAGCCCGAGGCCGCTGGCAATTTTGGAGAGATGCATGTTCGATGAGTAATCGAATGTGTGTTTAATATATTTACAGTGAAAAGAAGGGATGGTGAAAGGAAGGGCAAGGATCCGTCAAGGACCTCCAAGGCTAAGGAATGTCTGAATAGGGTGATAATCGCAAGCCGAATCAACAGAAAAAGAACGGCAAGACCAGGAGAGGGCCACATAGTCTATTTATGTTGATCGACCCCTAGAAGTGGACTGATGGGCCTACAAGGTTCCATCTTAAAGCTTGATTACGCCGATGGCTTCGGCACATGTTACATGAGATACAAATCACGCGGGGGAACGCGTTTGGTAACTGGAATGTAGCAGTAACTAGGCCTATCTGGGGTAGGAAGTATGACTAGGCTGTCATTTCCACTAATTTTGTTAGAATAATTAGAATATTTTAGTGATGAATTTTACGTACGGACATGTTGAAATTCAGGTAACCGGCCGTTTCATCTCTGATGCGACGATCCATAGATAGCTTTTGATGCAGTGTCATTGTGGCTTTCCGTGATGGGGGCCATTGGTTCAGCATACATGTAACCGGCAATGAGCATTTTTCTAGCATAAGATAGTGCCTTTTTAAACATTCTAATTAATAATAGTAAAAAGAACTTTTTGGGCGATTTCAGCTATGTACATTAACTGCCCGGGCCTGAATCGATCCCTGCATGTAGTTTACGCATACATATGCATGTATTAATACGTTCACGCATCTGAGGAGTACATATAGATCTGCCTCTAACTAGCTTGACTTTACCTTAGTGTATGAAGAGGTGTTTCAGGCTTAACTATGTTCCGATTATATGTTTAATAATAGATTGTCACTGTGGCCAATGTGGTCGACGTCTCATGCTATGTAGAGAACACTGAGGTCAGGGTTAAACAAGAATTACGTTTTGATTTCGGAAACATAGAACAGCAGAAACAATGCCCTATTTTTATAAATCGACCAATGATTTCATACGATCTGCATTATACGTTGCTGACTTGCTGTGGATTTGTATTCGGTTTCATCTTAGTTGTCGAATCTGGTATCGAACGGGATGTTCTGATTGGTCAAAACTGGCTGGTAGATGTGACCATAAAGGGCACTGTTACTTTAACAGGAATGGCAGGGTAGCAGTCAGTCATCGGTGTACCGCGGGCCATAAACCGGTCTGTTGAGTTATCTGTTCTTTCGTGACGTTCTGTCACTCTCTCGCACGATCACTGGTAATTCTCATCTAATCCTAACTCGAGAGTAGATCCGATAAGAAAATAATATTGTATGGCCAGAGAAATATAGTCCAATGATGACAGCGCATCACACCAAGCTCTTTACTTTTTTATCAAGTGATATATTGGTACCGAATTTGAATGTGGTGTGTTGTGAACGTAGCATCGGTTGGAGGCCGCGTGAATTTATGATCGCCATGTCAGACGACCATGTATATATTACTCGAGGTAAGATATCAAGTTATTCAATGAGTCAAGAATTTGATTAGAATATGGTCAGCAAGTTGAGTGTATAGCATTGAGTCTTTTGTTCTCAAACAATAAAATTGTAATAATATTTGAGGTCAAGCCCGGGAACCCTACCGATTTGTATAGTCAAATATTTGAAATATTGGAAGCTTAACAGTTTGAAAAGTTCAAGGTAGAATAAAGTTATTTGGTAGTTTCGGACTCCATTTTCCACTGAATCACCTACTTTTCCCAACCCCTGAGAATTATCCTACAATAACAAGTTATTATAGGCTCTTGGCACTGATGGTCCAGTTAACTTTATTGATGGCTAGGGACATGCTGATTGTCATAACTAGCAAATTGACGTAGTAGACAATGACCTTTCTCTGTCCAAAACAGAGTACAGGCAGCTTCATTGGCCACGAGACTATGGAATTCTTCTGGCATACGGAGCAATAATGACTTCGGACGGAGGACAGTTTTTAACAACTGGCAGACAGCTAACTAGTGAATGTCGTTGTAACTTGTTGGCTATAGTCATCCAACGGCGCCTACGGGAGCCCTAACGAGTAGCCTGGAGCAGGATTTTAGGCGGCGCAACCCGCGCCCCCGTCCCTGGGCCGCGCCGGTACCTGACCACCGAAGCTCCGCCGAAGCTCCGCCGTTGACGGCGCGGCCTAGTGGCTGTGTGGTCGTCCCGTTGAGGAATAGGGTATTCCACTCTCCACCCGTTTATTTGCTCAGCACTGGTAGTCTGTACAATCACTGCTTCGCCTGCCAGGCCTCATTTGCGCGATCGACGCCGCCTTTTCGACTGATTATTCCTGAATAGAAGCGATGGCCGTCGTTAGACTCAGCTAAGCATCGAGCATCACGATTCGTGACTCTTCAGAAGTAGCCAGTAGTGCTCACTCTGGACTGATTCCACTCTCGATTGCTTACCACTCTTGTTGGCAAAGATGGGCAGCATCTTGACAATCAAGCGCGTCGACTGCAAGCCACGGCTCGTTTTCTTCAGTGCACTAGCCTTTCTCGAATCTTCTGTATACCTGAAGGGAGTGACCGAGTGTTGGGGTCTGTTTTGACAGCTACGTCCCCGTGTAAGAGAATTTGGGGACAAATTATGTGCTGAAATTGGTCATTGGCGCTATATGACAGCACGCTAATGCACCCTCTAGCCCTCCGGTGGCTTTCAACTTTCCAGGCATTATTGAGGCTTGGCCGTACCCACTTCGCGAGACTAATATGTTCAGGCCAACCAGGGCAAGCTTGTGGCTTCCCTAGACCTCCTGAAGACCTGGACTCAGCTGTTCGGAAGACAGAAAATAAAATGCGGAGTATCTGTACCTTAAATGGTCGACGTTGTCCTTCAATCATCGCTACCAAATTCCTTAGAACTCGCGAGGTATTTTTAACGGATCTTGCTAACTCCAGCGATACGATCGCTTCAGATGTTGTGATTTCAACTTGAATTGTTTATTGCTGGGCCAATGAAAACGAACCAGACAACGATGGATACCACACAAGAGACGCCTATGCTGTTTCCCATCAGTCCGATAGTCTCTTACCTACGCCGATTGAAGGAAACCAAGCCAGGACTTCCCCACGGCCACCCGATATGTGTCTCAGCGTCTCCTGCGATATCAACGACCGCGGCGTTAGTTCGGCTGGCCAACCAAGTTGGGCCGCACATAGCTGTCTTCCAGGTTCAAGCTGATATAATTGATGATTGGAGCGCCAATACAGCACAGCAACTCACCTCGCTAGCTAAGAAATATGGGTTTCTATTGTGGGAAGGGAGGTATTTAGTGGTTGGTCAAGACTTGGCAGGCTTATCGCCATCAGAGGCCAGGTTACAAAGGCGGGATCAAGTGGAAACAGTGAAAAGGCAATATACTAGAGGGGTGGTGAGCATCGCGTCGTGGGCAAGTCTAGCAACCTTCTGGCCATGTAGCGCCCCGGCTCGCGAGCAAGAAAGTGACATAGTTATATCGGCCTTGAGGAGTGGAGCGCGCGAAACCGTAACAAAGATTGCCCAGGTCATCCGAACAGAGATAACTGCTGAAAAGAACTTAGCCGGGGAAGAAAATACTGAAGAGAGTGTTGCTATTGAGTCAACGCTATTGCTGCCTATTGAGCTTTCTAGCAATACTTTGGAGCTACCTACGCGGCGCATTTCTACTATTTCACTTACTCATTCTATAGTTCAGCGATCAGAACCATCACCGACATTTCTTGCAACTGATGCAAACCGGAGTGAAAGCGAATCTTTAGACCAAGACGCACAGTGGCTAAAACCGCCATCTCAATTCCCGGTACTCTCGAGAGGTCTACTTTTAGGGTTGCCGCGTCAAGGCCGTGATGCGTTCTCTGCTGCCTGGTATAGAGATAGCTGCCTAGCTGCCGGTCGAGCCAATCGCGACTTCATTGTGGGATTCTATTGTCTTGATTCTTGGCTTGAGGTGTCGCGATGGCATGATGTTCTACAGCCCAGGCAGACCGAGGATAAAGAAGAAACCTCCGCAACTGTGGCGACTTTTGACGAGAGGGATCGATTATTTGTTATATTCTCGCGTCTTCCCTATGATACTTGGCGGATCCGCGCCATGCACCTGAACCCTGTGAATGACGAAGAAGAAGAACTAGCAGATCCAGACGGCCCGAACACCGAGGCGAGACTGCTGCATATTATTATGGAACAGGCTATTAATTCCATTAAGGAAGCAGAAGATGGCGATGGTAGTCCAAAATCCGTCGATCCAGGACTGCTACATGTTCCAATTATTACTCTTGGGTGAGGCTTGGCGGATAATACCTTTCTGTGAAAACCTCTTGAGAGGTAGATGATAATTGAGTATCAAGTCATTTTGGCAGACATGTAAGACTTCATGCATAGCTTTACCTATATTACAAGCATGTGCAACGCTGGATCGCTCCACACATGACACGTTATGCCCTATAAAACTTCAATGTTATAAACCAGAATATCAAAATAAAGCCTATTTTAGTAATTACAAATCCGTATTTATCTTCTGCCTTGCGGCTGTAGCGCTGAATTGCGTACGGACTCTTAGGGTGTTCTAAAAGAATCATGCTGTCCTCTGCTAGACATAGCATGTTCTTTGATCTCCCGTTAGAGAAGTCACACTAGAAGCCCGTCCGAAGCTCGACATACTCGGAATTCTTCCTTCTCTTTAAACGGCATACAACTAATATTGGGATTTATTGAGCATAGGCCTGCTATAGATCCATCATCTACATAATAGATCAAGAGCTTAATACCTGCTGCCTCGAGGCAACAGTGCAAAATTTAGAGATTTAGCGTTGACTTTAAACACGCGTCATTATCTATTATAGCTGCCCAATATTTATTTCTCCAGATATTCTGGCCTGAATTATATGTGACTATTGAAGCGACCTGGGTATAAAGCACTCTCATTGGCCAAGATGTGATACTTCATTGGAGAGGGAGGCGTGCACGGACCCCCTGCAAGGCACGACCCGCGACAAGCCGTGGCGACAATTTTTGAACCCTTATTTATCTCGTTGCAAGAGCAGCAACAACATATATGCTGCGAGTGCCCGATCTGACGGCGCAAAATATTCCTCCCGTTCTTCCCTGTTGCCTGCAGCGTGAAGCTCCCCTCAGAAATGACGTGCGCTGAGGCTGACCCATCAGAACCACCACATGTGTGAGAGAACTTTGGTATCAGCTGAATCTCCATGTTTTGATGTGGCAAGGAGGAGAAAGTAATATCAACAGCATATATTCTAGCGCAGTTTTCCTTTCTGGCAAAAAGGTCCCTTAACTGTATAGTCAACACCGAGTTTGTTGGCAGCATGGAGTCTGATTATCCCCCGCTTTCCTCCCAGAGAATTCCTGATAGTCCCTCGCATTCAGGCCAAGCTCGGACTTCTAATGGGAATAATGCGCCGCTAAATCAACATTCTGATAATCTCTATCGCGGAATAGAAGTGGCTCCTAATGGCTCCAAAATCCGCTATCAAATATTATCACGAGAAGGCGACGCGGTCTTGGAGTATGTTGATGCGGGTCCTCGTGACATAGCTACCCAGTATCGTTGGCAGGTATCTAGCAATAACCTGAGACGAAACAGCCCCTTCTTTTCTGCTCTGTTAGACCCAAATAAGTTCGCTGAGGGAAGGCTTTTTCAAGAGAAGAAATTCGGAGTAAATCAGTCTTCCAATATTTGTACCGATGTCGATGTCCCTGAAAGCGAGCAGCAGCAATCTGATGAGAAGATTAAAGAAAACCTGCCTTTAATTAGTATCAACCTGGTTCCATTGACGGGCAAAGGCCGAATACAGAGTCTGGAATTATTCCTCAAATTGCTGCAATTTGAAGGCGACGATTATCAAATCGCGCAGCTGACAGAAGAAATTGACCGGCAGCCGATATCTGTTGTAGCTGGGATATTGGAGGTTGCTGACTTATTCAGCTCCTCAAGCATAATCCATAAAATCCTCCAACGGGGTAACTATAAGCCCTCTCTCAAGGGCAAAACCTCATTATCGATATTCAGTCCATCCTTGTTGGATTTGAGTGAAGATCGGATTCGACAAATTATATACATATCGTTACTTTTGGAAAACAGTACGGTATTCCAAGTAGCCTCCCATGCCTTGATTCTCCTAGGCTCTACATCGTGGATAGGCGGGCCTCGAAATGGTAAGCGAGGGAGCCATCAATGGGCTCGTTTTCCAAATGGAATTGAAGGTTAGCTTGCCATGTTACCGTGAGGATGATCCATTCCATGCTGACTATAACCAGAGGAGTTGTATGACCGACGGCAAAGTGTTTTGAATACGATCACGGACCTACAGGCTTATTTTCTTCGGGTATATGGCGCCTTGGAAGATGAACCAAAGCAGAGTCAACCATTCAAAAACAACATTCCTCCAGCAGGAGTGATATCGAACGTTCGACCGATTCAATGTCGCTGGGGCTTCGGTAATTCGAGAGCCTGTGACTCATACCACCTCGGTGAAATGGTTCGTTTCTTTTCGATAAGATCCAAAACTATCTTCCTAGGGTCTACCTTGATCGATCCATATCATGATGAGGATGATGAAGAAGAAGACGAAGACGAAGAAGATGAACGAGAAGATGATGAGCCGGAATATATCCAGAGCAAAGCTAGTAGTACTAAGAACAACGCTACAGCGGGCATAGCTTCTACCAACATACTTTCTATAACCGCCTCACTACGCCAAGTTCCCGACTATCAAATTGATGAAAACCATATCGGTTGCGGGATTCGTCGACGTCTACTTCCTGCTCTAGACCGAATTGATAGTTTCCTAGGCCATCGGCAAGCTCTCCTTGGCTTGAAGGATCCTAAGCTTTGGAAATCGGGTATCGCCTCTAATAAACACAAGCAGAATCCTGATTCATGGAGAAACTGTAGTTTAGGGAAGGTTGTAGCCGTAAATATCGATGCCACAAAGATTACGGCGGTTGAAAGGCCTATTCAGAAGCGCTCGCGTAGGATTTCTACGGCTACTACGAATGCCAAACCGTCGTCGGAGTTAGCTAGACAAGGAGTGGTGGCAATGTCCATGGTACCGCCACCACGTCCATTTATCATATTGAGAACTTACCTTGAAACGGAGGCCAGGCGACTTTTCACTGCCGAAGAACGGAAATGGGAATCCGGTAGACGATGAGGACATACCTAGAATAATCTTAGATAGGAAATACTAGCTCGTCTTAAAATGACATCGACCATGCTCGTGCCAAATTCATGGACCTTTATTCTTTTTCGCACTCTTTCTTTTGTACCACAATCCTACTTTCTCTCCATGTATCGAAAATAAAGTGTCTAGAAAAATTTTGGCCTTTAATGTGGTGGGTGACATGATACAGTCACCAAATATGAACGTTCACTCGGACCTCTACGTCGAACCATGAAACTTCCTAGGTTAAGCCATACTTACCATGTTTGCATCCGGATGTGGCACATTTCACTCGCCACTTTTTGGTGAGCAAATAACAATGCAATCACTTTGACGTCAGCAGATGTTTACAGGTCTCACCTGTTACATTGAGCTCAAACTTTTGGGTTGTGTATACAACACTGAAAAGACTCTTTTCATAGACATTGTATGGAACGGTTAAAAAAGTATCGAAAGTACTTTACGTTGTTTTCAGGCAGCGATGTATCCATAGAAAGCAAGGCTCATCGGTATTCTTACTACATCAGGAAGTAAGTAGTTTTAACTGACCCCTGTTTATCAATCATCAATCCGGCTCTCGATGGGGTGAGCTAGCTTGAAAATGCGTCCGGTCTAGAATATTATTCAATTTGTCCTAGACCGATCTAGCCCTTATTCATTTTATTGGTTCCGTATTCCCATGTTCATGGCTCAAACAAGGTTGAAACGGAGAATACCAAGAATTAGGGTAAAGTGTCGCGTGAGCAGATTTCCATTGGAGATTACAAATTTGAGAAAGACCAGGTGGATTTATTATTGCAAATAAAGAAAAAGAGAAAAAAGGGTGCCGGTGTTATGTATGGAAGGTGATAAAAAAGAAAATCCTCTTTTAAGTGAAAGATTGAATGGGCCTTGGAGTAAAAAGGATTTTGCGAAAATTAAAGCAACAATTTTCGAAGATTTTGTCAAAATATACACACCACGTTATCCACACTCGTGCTTCTGAATTCGAGTTCTGTACAACATTTGAAATGAAGGTTTAAAGAGAGAGCGCAAGATGAACCCCCTTATTAAAATGAGCCGATTGAATGTACAAGTTAAATGATTCGGAAGAAAGTAAAAATATAAAAGGAAATATACACAGTCTAGTTTTGTGCGATGCTTTTCAAAGCGCAAAACCCGTAATATGGAAAACCGCCTTTGCTAAATATAAATCCCAATAGAAAGAATGTTTGAATTAGTAAACAGAACTGTCCAACACATATGATAAATCCAGATCGATGTTGTTCGTTGGAAAGAATGACCCCGTAATTTGTCCGGTATTTGGATCATAAGGTAAATAATCGTCAAGACCGTCCTTTGGCATGAAGGACTGCGACTGGCTATGTGTTTGCTGCTTGTCAAGAAAGTCGAAAGCTTCTGGCTCTAAGTATGGCATCGGTGTTGGAATTTGTTGGTCCAATAGAGAACTTTCTAGTACAGAAGCAAAATTATCTACCGGGTCAATCAATATATCATCTCCCGGGAGATCACTGATATCGAGATTCAGAGGCTGTGCTAGACCGCGAAGGAATTCATCACAGAGCTTCCAAGCTCGATGAGCCGGAGTACTACAACAGGACAACTTGTGCAGCCATTTTACTGACTTTTTTGTAGCCTGTGAAATTTCTCCTGCCTTTTCAGGTACATGTTCAACCCGAAACGAGAGCTCCAATAGTAGCACTGTGGTGGCTTGCATGATATAATGAAGCAAGGACCACCACGGCGATATTTTGTGCAACAAGGAAGCATCGAGATTATCAGGTAGTAGACTGATTATCTGGGTGGCTGCTTCAATGCAGTCTGCTGCTGCCTTGAAACAGAATTCATATGTCCCGTCCGCCTGACATTGCTTTTCAAGCCGGCATAGACAGGGCCGAGTGATCGATATTCTCGTGCTGTAGTATGAAAATGCAAGACTTGTCTTCTGAGTGACCATGGTTTGGGTGGTGCACAGGAGGTTGAAATCATAAGACTCCGGTAGGTGTGATAGCCAGGCATTGGTTTCGAGGGTGAGACTTTGAATAGTAAACTCTAGGCTTGGCCATGGTGCTTGCACGGCTTCTGCGCTATACAGTTTCATATTGGCGCGTTTCCCTATCGATGTGAGTGTGGCTAAATGGAAGAAGTATAGTGACATGCTTGATGGTAGAGATTTTAACCAGTCAACCATAGTCTTATCGGGCTTGGTTCCAGTGCCGTCGGTAGAAGAATCCTCAGCTTGGGACGGACTTGGTAAGTTTGAAGAGGCTGAGTTCCACTCATGAACCCATATTCCTTTTCTGGAATGATTGCTCAGCATCTGGGCAGCCTCTTGTTTTGGAAAGTCACTCTCGTCGTAGGGAATCGGAATGGGTGTCGTGCAAGCCCCATCAATGATACATGATGGTCGACCCGTGATCACGTTTAATACATGGTCCATGGTGTATAGAGCCCACCACACTCGATATCGAATTTCTTTCGAAGTGTCTGATGTCTTGATATCAACATTTCGAAGGTGCAGCCCTAGAGCTATGGCACTACGAACCGCAATGCCAGACATCTTCCACGATCTAGTAATCAGACTGTCAGAGAAAAAGCTGCCTGTGATTTAACGCAGCGAGGAGAGAGCTGCATTTATTGCCTACCGGTTTATCTGGCCAGTCGTTAGAAGGTAGAAAGATGTCAATCCTCCAATTTGCAATTGTTGCAAATCGGGATGATCCAGAAATGAATCTGGCATACTTAGAGCTCTGGCCCTTGAAAAGTAAATCGAATGATCTTCTAGATCCGATTTCCAATCTGCAGATATTAAATGAGCGTACACCGCAGCAATGCCAAATATAAGGTTCAGAATAGCTAGCCACTTGTTTCCAGGCTTGATGTTTGGATGGCTGAAGAATAGCTGATACTGGGATATGAAAGTTGACATTCCGATAATTGGAAATGACGGATGCACCGATTTGAAATAGGCCCGAAGAAGTAATTCTGCGATTTTTTGACCGGGCATTGCGTGGGACTGCACATCCTCGGTAATAACGACATCACTAGTATCTTCATAGAAATTACTCGAAGAAACGAGAGTGTCGTCTTTTGCACCAGGCGTTGCGGGAGGAGAGGACTGCCCTGTCTCTTGGGAATCTCCATTGACTTTCTTGCGCAGATTCTGTAGCCAGGATACTTCTGAGCTATTGCCAATATATCCAGTAGCACGAGATGAGTCATCTCTATTGAAATCCTCCTCAACCCGATCAGTTCCGGCAAGAGACAATGGAGATGGGGATCTAGATTTTCGCTCTGGATTATCACTGTTAAATAGGGAACGACCTCTTGAGAATGCAGAAGCCATCTCAGATTGTTCCCCAAGCACAGAATGGTGAGAATCCTGCCACAGTCAGGCAAAAAAGGAATTAACAAAAGCTGGAAAACATACGCAAATCATAGCATTACTCATTAACTGTTCGTCCGAAACTCCAAATCGTGAACTCATCTTCCGTATTACCTCTTCATAAGTCTGGACTTTGGCGGATAGAGTTGCAAGTTGCCTTTTTAAATCGTTAATGGCAGTCGTTTTATACAAGAACCCCTTGGCAACTGAGATTCAGACCCACCGTTTCGATTTCTCTCTCTTGCCATCTGTATAACAGCAGATTATGCCAGCTTCCCTGCAGTTTCTACAGCCAGACTTATCTCCAGTGCATTTTGTCTTTCTCTGACGGCATGACTCGCATGCTCGACGAACATGGCGACGATGAAAACGTCCAATGGAGCTTAACGATGCTTCTGAGCCTTCGGGGAGCCTAGGGATTGCCATCTTTTTCGAATTCTTGGCTTGGGTCTCTTTCTGAGGGGAAATTTGGTCATCCTGTAGAATGTTTAGTTAGCCTTCAAGCTTATGGACGAGTGCAGCTCATGACTCTAAGGATTTAGCATACGGTAGCTGAAGGAGGACTACACAACTCGATTTCTTGAAATGGAAGTGTGTAGCCAGCTGGTTGCATTGACCATCCATTGAAGTTCATTCCATTCATTCTGGTATTCAATCAAAAAGTTTGGTGACTACAGCGAACAAGAATCCTAGTCATTTGGTTCCGATTGCAAGGCATTAAAACTGAATCCTTGAGTTTTAGGAAATTAATTTTGATCGTTCTTGCGAGGTCTAAGAATCAAATTTTTACTGTTGCATCAAACAATATTTAATTAGACAACTAGGCTGTCCTGATGAATGATGAGGTATGACGGATGTATCGTCATACGAAGTTCCTGTGCATCTCATAGCATAGTACTTACAGCCTTCCCAATAAACAGATTTTCTGGGGGCGAAGACCGGAAGAAAACTGCGAGTGGAGAACCCTTCCATTTTGAGGTGCTGCTTTTAGCATTCGTGAACTAAATTCGTTAATCCCATGCCCCTTCTGAAGTTAAAGGTAGGGGCTAGACCGATTCAGATCTGGAAACAATAGTCGGAACAGACCTCCGTTTGACTGTTTATTTCTCTCTGTTGTATTCAGGGGGGGCAACTACTGTGGCAACGGTGCCAGAGAGTACTGCTGGAGAGTCTCATAATACTCTCATGTGAACTCGCCCCTAAAGATTCTCACGTCTTCGGGCACTTAACCGGCGATATCAGTCTAGTTTTTTACTATGTGGCATTCTTTGGAAAATTAATAAACCGGTACCAAGTTCATTGCGCCAGAGATACCGGAAAAACCACTCAAATGCCATCTTCTGGGAATCTGGGATCGAAATCTATTATTCACCCTGACCTGAAAATGTATAAACCATCCAATGGTCTGAAAGTAATTCGAGATTTTCTCCGGCAGGCGAAAGTCGTTTAATGCCCGAAATGCTGTAGAGTTAGCCCCTTCTTGATAACCTTGTTAACGAACTGTAATCGTATATTTAGTAAGTAACTAGAAGAAGTGGACTCTGCCATCTCAATAGCAAGGTATTCCTCGCCCCTCATCTTTGTTTATCAAATACACTTTAAATATTCGACCGAACCAACCTTTTGGCAAATACCCCTGAATTCCAAGTGAATTGTCGCTTGACTCTGTGTCGTAAAGAAAGGTGGATATTGATTTTGATTGTAGAGCATTCGCGGTTGGAAAATCGTACCACAGTTTAAAGATTTCTTCTTTCGGATCTTGAAAGGTGGTGTCTAATCAAATTGGAGAAGATAGCATCTTGATCCCATGGATGAACTACCCGAGAACACCGTAGTGGAGTGGAAAAAATTTGGTTGACGTTTTTTGCTGTCATTGAAACAACCATACTGATTTTCACTAAATAGAGTGGCGATCGCAACGACTTCTCAGCACAGCATGTATTGTTGTCTTCTTCGTAAACTCTAGTAGAAAGTGGGTGAATATAATATCCCATGACTATAGGGTCCCATTTTGCTTTAACTTGATAGGCTGTAATCAGGGCAGAAGCTAAGTTGGGAGATGCGTACTGGCTTGATGCAATAATAAGCCTTGTGACGAGGGGTAAAGGAAATTGATAATGTCCTTTTCTTCCAGTGTTTTGACGTAAATACATGGCGATTATGAATGGCCTTTTGATGCGTAAATATCGACTTATTTAATAAATGGTGGTAGAGCCATATGAAGTAGAAGAGAAGCTCATCGATTCCTCGGAGGACGTTGAAGGGAAAGTTGAAACGCTGCTGGTCCCGTGAATGCTGAGAAAGGGTTGCCTTACCTCGTATCATAGATTAACTTTAAACAACATTATGCAGTATTTTCGATGTAAAACCTGATGTTTCAGCCCTAAATGAGACAAATTCAAAGGAAATATTATATCTAAACTCTTAGGATGTCATAATAGGAAAAGATACGTACTCTACACATTTGTCGTGGCCTAACAAACCCTGATACTTCTTGCTTTGCGATCACAAAAGAAGTCTCCGGAAGATGTATTAAACTCAGAATATTCATAGGTTAAAATAAAACGTTCATAACAGATAATACTTTCTATTCCCCGCTCATCGATGAAAATTTGACTAATTATTACTCGATTATGAATCCCTCAGCAACACTCTTCACATCTTTCGAAAAGCCAACGTCTTGTTCCATGTCGAGTAGCGTGACACTAGATACATCGACCTCAATGAAAGGAGTTGTCTTCGAAAAGCGGACGGACATGGGGAAGAACTCATTTTCATCGACATCAGGGTCGACGACTTCGAACTCGAAACTGCCTGAGCCGTTGTCCGAGTCAATCGTACCGATGTTCCACTCTAAGCTGTCGCCGGAAACCTCGTAGACGGCGTCAAAGCTAGAGACCATCGGCTCCGTTGCCCCGTAGGGTATAGTGACAGCGACGTCTCGCAAGTTGTCCGCCCCAGTAAGTTCATATTCAACCGTTACCGTTGTCGAGTCGGAGCCCTTATTCACCCATACAGTGAATGTGATGGGAAGAATATCGCCTTTGTCGGAGCCGGAACTGGCAACACGCCATCGCAAAACACCAATAGCATTATTAGCAGGGAAACGCTTAGACGTATCCTTGAGTTGAATAATATTCGAGTTGGTGAATAAGGCCTTGTCTACATTCGGATGCGTGCGAAATTGAGCGCCGTGACTTGGGATTGCATTTAGGTCCAATTTAATCTTGGTGAAGGCCTGGTCTGTGATTCGAAGTTGGAGATCGCCCTTCACTTCAAAGGATTTGAGAGCGCCTTCACGACTCAGTTTTGCCGAAATTGTCTCCGCAACTGTGATATGAACTCCCTCTCGGTCCGCAGAGAGCGAAGCACGAGCATCTGACGGTGCAGCGACTGGAGTAGCTGCCTGAGAGGAGACAAGAGGGGTGGATTCCTCCACTTCAGGGCCTAGATCTTCTCGAACCTTTTCGTAAATATCGGTTGTCTTGGACTTCTTGCCAAGTTGCATTCCCTTGCCACGGCTGGGAAGTGGTCTGCCACGGGTTAGTATTTGAGTGACCAGAGGTATCTGAGTGTGCTTACTTGGAAAATGTTTTCTGCTTCTCTGCTTCGTAAGAATCATATGTTTGGGGTACAGCGGGACGAGTCGGAGGCGTATAGACAGGATACGATGGGGCTCGAGGGGCCATGCCATGGCCGCTGCGGGCAGCCTCTTTACGCTGAAGTTCAAGTTGTTTCGCCTTCCTCTTCCTCTCTTCACTAGCTTCCAATTCTTTATTCTGCAGGTTGTCAGTATACTTCCAGGCTCGGCGCTTTGAAGTTGACAAACCCTTTCGATAATCTCTTGGATTCTCTCCTCGTGACTCTCCATTTCCAGGAAGGTTTTGATCTGGCTGAGGGAAAGGTTCTCCCTATACCCAAGAGTCACCAACTCATCGAAGGCACTCAGCAACTCGAAGGCGTTCCGTAATATCTCGCGCTCATCCAGAGTTTTGCAAATGCTCGTAGTAACCTGTGCGAACAGATGGAGACTGTCGATATCTTGGAGGATGTTTGATTGGCGGTTGGTAATGAGAACTATGTAAAGCTCATCCAGGGGCTGGTAGACGAAGCGCACATTGTCCTGTTCGACCGTGGTGTGCTGTGTCCCCGAGTCTGCAAGTTTTGGGAACGAGGCCAGAAGCGCCTCAATACGGGATCGTGCAATCTCTCTGAACTGGCGGGAAAGCACCGCCTTCCCGCCACGGGTGCATATCGACGCTGCCAGAACGACCTTTGTGTGAAGCCATTAGTAGCTGCCAGGCGGGAGTTCGGGGTAAGCTGTGCAACAAACCATGATGGATAGATCCTGCAGTAATTGGGTAGAAGGAGAATCCGACACAGAGGTAGAGGGGGGGAGGAGCGGAAGAGAGCGTCGAGGCCAGATCGATAGATAGATTGTTGGAGATGATGCCTCGCAGGCTCGCCATCCCGCTTTGTTGTTCTCTCCACCGAGCCCACTGATTGGGCCACCAACCCCACCAGGCTCTCGCTTACGGTTCTAACTCTTTGCAGCCGCTTACCTGCCTGCTAGTCTGCTCCTTTCTTCTCACAGCCTCAGCTCATTCTCATCATTAATAGTCTCTCTCGCCTGATCGAAAAGTTAACTTCGGTTGTTATATCTGGCAGTCTCGAGTCGACTTCCCTTCTCCTATGCACGCCTAAATGAGTCTCGCCACTTGTGGCCCCCTCTAGCAATCTCGAACGCGTCGCTTGCCGTCAACATTACAACGCGAGTCCACCCCGTCTCTGCAGCATCTATTTATCACTTATTGCGGGCAATGAGTGCCTCATCATCGTTGCTTTTCCCAGCCATGGAAGAACCCTTCGCCGATACGATGGAGATGGCATCCCCCTACACTGGCCATGTCGATGACTTCGAAATAGACATCGACATCATGGAGGACCATCCTGTGACTGCCGACATCGATTTTGACGTCCAGGATGCATCTCCTGCGGCAGGAGAGCAACCACATGATGCCGATATGATGGACGACGTGCCTGAAGTGACAGTGACGAACACGTCACAATATGACACGCAAACACGTTTACAAAATAATGACACATTCTATTCCGCCCAAGAAACGTATGAGTCTGAAATGGTCGACGATGAAATTGAAGTGGCAGGTGACGCCCTCATCGTGAATACCGAGACAGCACCGGCCGTAGAAAGACCCAACGAAGAAAATGGTTCTGCGCCTCATGACGCTCCCGAATTTTTGGATGTCCAGGACAACCAAGATGCAGGCTCTGGAGATAGTTCGAATATCGAAAATGGTGGCGATCGCGTGCTCGATGAATCAAAAGAATCTGACTATCAGGATGAGACTACACGCCTTCAGCCTTTGACTAACAACACACATGAACAAGCGGATCAACTACACGCTGGTGCCGACCTAGCTCAGCCAGCAGATCATACTGAGCATAAAGTCGACTCCGTTGTAGATGAAGTCGAAGTAGACGCCACAAAAGCTTCCGAAGAGGAGGCAATTCTAGCGAATGATAATCACGCAGACTATGAGGTAGTTCCAGCTGGACCTCGCTCTCCAGAAACGGCACATGTTTCGGAAAAGAAAGAAAATAGGGATTTTCTCCATTCTGTTAAAGTTTTATACCAAGAAAGCGAGATTTCAATGTTTCCCCCCGCGAAGGCGACTCGTCTGAGACATATTTTCTCCAGGATGAGGACCTGGCGTACGAAGGCATGGATCGCCTTCTAGGCGAATGTCGTACCATCCTTGGGGATCATACTTCTGATTCGGAATCATTGGTTTTTAACGTTGAGTCGCTTGGCATTCAATTAAGCGAGGTAAGGAAAAGGTCTTTACGCTCTTCGGGCTCTAGCTGACGTGGCTTTAGGATAATATTTTTACAAAAAAGGTGACACTTTCGCAGCTCGTAGAACTATACGTCAATCTCTGTCGTAACGAAGGTGTTGGACAGCCCGAACCGCTGTATCTGACACTGAACACAAGACCTAACCTGGCAGCAGAGGTTTCGACTTTGCTGAAAGCGGTGGAAGAAGGGAAAGGAATATCGGAAATACAGAGATGGGACGAATACGAACAGCAAAATACTGAACAGCTCGGCGACCCTCACCATACAATTTCGTCCCAACTGCTAGCCAATGAGGATGACGACGACGAAGATGAAGGAAAGGCTCGTGCAGACGATAATGGATTGTCCGAGGACGAGAAGGCTGAACAGACGGCTGTGACTGATTTCGACGATCAAGATGACGGAAAATTTGAAGAGGACGTAGGAAATGTTGGAGCAATTGATGCCACACCTAACCAGGCAGTCTCGAACGATCCTGAATTGGAACACAAGGAGCAAGATGAAGTAGACTCAAATACCATCGAACACGAGTATGAAACGGCAAAACAGGAATCCCGGCAAGAAGGTCAATACGACTTTGAAGACCACAGTGACTCTACTGGCACGTTGACACAAGCTCCGCCAGAGCAGCCTGATGATCAGCAACCCGAACTGTCGAATGAACCACAGCAAGTCGATGACAATAACGCCGAGACCGGCTTTGGCGATTATGACAATGCAGATTTTGCTGCGCAAGGCGAAGTTGACAGCGACCTAAGAGATCTTGTTTCTGCACAACTTGAAGAACAAGCAAAATTTGATGCAGAAACTAGCCCTGACGAAATCAACTATAGTACGCATGCCAATGCAGAATTTAATCCTCTGCTAACTAGCAATGCTGACGAAGGCGTTGCGGATGAGAGTTACGAAGAGTATGTTGAGGAAGATGGAGAAAATGCCGGTGAAGGAGACTACGAAGCAGATACCGGTGGAGCAGGTTATGAAGAAGATATTGATGAGGAGTATTATGACGAAGAGGAAGGGGATTACGGGGATGAACCTGAAGAAGAAACTTCTAAAAATCCTGTTCCGCAGCCAGAACAAGCTGAGGATTCTAACACAGTCCAATACGATGTTCTAGTAGAGTCTAATGAAGAAAACAGACCGCTAGCTCTCTCGGAAGCGAATGATGAGCAGCCAGATGATTTGTATGATACGAAGGAAATAGCCGAACCTGAAAACCGTGCCTCTGAGAGTGTTCGATCGACTGCGGGCCTCCCAGATGATGGTTTGGGCTTGGATGAAGATATCTTCGCCGACCAAGAAGAGTACGTGCAGGAAACGACTGCAGACCAGCCTACAGCAATCAGCCTCAACGATTCCACCAACGATGGTCTTGATGACCTACAATTTGAGGACGACTACGAAGATGCCGAGGAGAACATAACCGAGAGCACTGCGCCGGATACGAATCCTCTGGAGCGCCAAGAGTCCAGCACCGGGAAACGTGCTCGTGCGTCAGAAGACGATGATGGCGACTTTACAAATGCATCAACTTCAGACGCAAAACGGACCCGATCATCCTAAGATGTTTTCTTCCCGCCTTTCCCACCCGACCTTGATCTACTCACCTCCTGCTCTTGCAGCACCTTTGTTGCTAACCTTAGATGTAATCCGAAGCATGCAGTCTATACCAGGTTAGCATGGTGTCTCTAGCTGCACATCTCTCGACATTGATAGCACGTATATCAACAGTGAGCCATAATGAGCAACAATTGGCATCTCAGAAACAGCCGTTTCGAACAGGCGATACTTTGATACTTTCCAGGTACGTCCATCTTGCTCTTATCATCCATTGTCATATTGCAATGTCATTTTCTTCTGCCCATTTGGGATTGTATTATATTCCTTTTGGGTATATACCTTCATACTGTTTTTACCTTTTTTTTCCACCACGAGATTCCATGACCAGCTCCGAGGGTCTACTTCTCATTCAGGATGCATTGGGGGATGGCGCACTAGGCTCAACAATATTTCCTTCAAGGCTCACTTTTGGTCCCTTTTCTTTCATGGTGTTTGAATTTGTTGTTGGTATACATTTATCTGGAAACACCACAATGTGGGCTATTTCCGCGCGATGCTAGCAATCTAGCTTTTTGCGTCCGGCAATATATAGCAAATGAGAATATTTAAGTATAGCTAGAGCTGGCTATTCCTCCGCATCCCGTATAAGATCAATTGATGATCTGAAGTCGTCGCCAACTCAGGCACGGCGAGGTTCTATTATCTCTGTATACACTTATCCCCACAGGCCGAGCTTCGACCAAAGCCGATCCATAAATGCATGATTCGCGCAACAAATGAGCTAAGCGTCACTCCTAACCTCATCATACATGGCACTCCACTTAATCCCAAAGATAATAATAAATTGCAACGCGTCACAGGGCCGATCGCTCGGGCTTGTAACATGCCTGTGGAGACGGATGCGGCTTCCCCCTGAGTGAAACAACCTATGGCAGACCGCCGGCCCGGGCAGAATATGCCACCTTTACCATTTTTGACTTCGCCTCCAAGAACACCACTTGGCACCAACCGCACCACACTACCAGATAGTAGGCACCGCCCTCGAACTACTCGACTAGCACTCCAGCCCACCGCAGATACTCGAGATCCTTTCCCAACATCCCCCATCTATTAGCCTTGCGGTTTCTTTATCGTCTTCCGCAATCCTCCTTCTCCTCCCGAACCAGACCTGCCACTCCACTGCGCAGCACGCACGGCCATCTTCCCACCACGTCGTCGTCCAGCACTTTTTTTCTCGTCATTCGTTTGAACCACGCGTCCACCGGGACGAGCTGAGCGCACACGGCGCACCCCACTCACCGTCTGGCCGAGGCCTTCGATCGGACTGAAAAACACCAACTTGCAGTTACCTCCCTGCAATCGACTCGTGCGCCAGCAAAAGTCGCGCCTTTTGGATTACTGTTGCGCAGTCACAAAAAGTAAAGCGGAACGTGGCTGGCTCATCTTCCGTCCAATTGATGACTACGATCGATCTTTCTGCAGTTGGCGGCTCGGATTTGACTTTATTGTTTTGAATCGACCCTGGATTTCTCGCCTGCCTGCGCATGTTGCTGGACATAAATTCCTCCATTGCCAGCGTTCATTGATCCTATTCGCCGGTGAAACCGGGCACACTCGATCAGTTGGGGCAGCGGCTCCTGAATAGAATTTAAAGATGATCTCAGACAAGTATGAAGGAACTTCTTGATTCCATACTACAAATGGGTAGTTCTAACTTGTGGGTTTTCAAGGTACATTGGTTTGGCTTTGGCCATCACTTCTACTTTAGCTATAGGTTAGCCTTCAAGACAAAAATCCACTACTCTTCGACGCTAATAGTCTTAGGAACGAGTTTTGTTATCACTAAAAAGGTCGGTGACTATCCCAATCTCGGATCACATTTCGGCGTCCCATATCTTCCACGCGATACCTAACAGGTGATGTGGTAGGGGTTGCTACATGCTTCGGAAAACCACGGATTTGAAGGCGAAGGCTTCACATATCTTCGAAGTCCAATATGGTGGGGAGGCATAGGCACATGTGAGTTGCAGGCATTCAGTGCACGAAACGGACCTAATGATTGTATCTAGTGGCAATCGGCGAAGTTGCCAACTTCGCAGCGTACGCATTCGCACCTGCAATCCTAGTAACGCCTCTAGGTGCTCTTAGTGTTCTGATCGGGTAGGCCCAGCATCATGATATCCATATTGAAAGGCCCTGCTGACCTGATCAGCGCTGTACTTGGTTCTTATTTTCTCAACGAGCGGCTCGGAACGCTGGGCAAGCTTGGATGCGCCATGTGTCTCCTCGGCTCGGTTGTCATCGTACTTCACGCACCCCCAGACCAACCTGTAGAAACGATTGATATGATCCTGGATCTCGCTTTGACCCCTGGTTTGTTCTACATTACCCTTCAGATAGCTACATGTTGCTAATAATCGAAAGGTTTCCTTATCTATTGTTTGGCGGTAGCGATTTTCTCAACAGTCATGATTTACCGTGTTGCGCCAGTTCACGGAAAGAAGAACCCCCTCATCTTCATCTCGATCTGCTCCACAGTTGGCTCAGTTTCGGTCATGTCCATCAAGGCATTCGGCATTGCATTGAAACTTACCTTTCACGGAACTAACCAATTCACGCATGCGTCGACCTATGTTTTCGCTATTGTCACAGTTTTTTGCATCCTGACGCAGATGAACTATTTCAACAAGGCATTGACCGAATTTTCGACAAATATGTAAGTCAATGGGACATTCCTAGCCATATATAACATCTACTTACGCGTAGTAGTGTTAACCCGTTATATTATGTGACTTTTACTACCGCTACATTGTGCGCTTCGTTTATTCTCTTCAAAGGCTTCAACACCACTGATGCTGTCAACACCATATCACTTTTATGCGGTTTTCTCGTCATTTTCTCTGGCGTCTATCTCCTGAACCTGTCTCGACATGATCCTGACGGACGAAAGCTCCTAGCTTCGAAAGATGAGGACGATGATGGTGTGCCTACCGACGGAATCGCAAGTTTCTCGACTAGGCGCTCTATGCAAGCACGTAGGAGCACAGATCCCCATCGCCGGAGCTCTTCTAGCATTGCATTCTTGAATGGCCAAGGAGACAGAGAAGGGCTCATGCGTTCATATGATGTCGAGAACGGCGTTATTGGTCTTACTGACCTAAGAGAAGAGGATGATGGCGAGCCAGGTCCTACTCGGAAAATAAGCGAGGACGGCCACGTAGCGTCACCCCAACTTAAAACCGATGAGCGGTAACTGGGCGAGACTCTTGTATCTGACAAGGATGCGAGAGTCCGTGTTTTCTCTGATGCATGATCTCACTCGACGACTTTTATATTATCAGAACTATGTTTTAACGGATTCACATATATACTGATTTTCATTGCAACTCATTATCATTCTGAGGGAGGTCATACAGGACGACATTGTATGACCATGGGCTTGTGAATCAGGAGCGATATGGTGTTATTGGGCCTTTCCTTGGGAAGTGATCGTTTTGGACGCGGCTTGGAATCTGGCAGTATCTCTGGACACAAACAGCAACTGCTTTGTCCATACTGCAGCTGGATGTACGCAACGATATAATTAGATATCGCTCACGACTGTCGAGATGATAGTTCGGATCCTATGTATATAGCCTCACCACATTGTATTCTAGTGTATTGGAATATTGAGCACTTTTTTTCTCATTTTTTCGCATTCCCCGCGCCTTTTGCACTTGAATAAAACAAATGAGCTGAAATTGTATTCGTGTGTTTAAGCTGAGTGCAGGACGGGAGTGATACCGAGACCGACGTCATTGGCCTGTTGCTCTTCCCACCCGAGAGAGGCGGGGCCCACGTGCCATCTAATTATGATGTCCAGTGATGTAGTTCATTCAAGTGATTGCGGTCACGCTTCTTCTCTAACCTGATCTTCTAAAAGATCATGCTGTTCGAGCAATGCTTCTGATATATAATTCATGTGCTGCTCTGTGTACCTGAAAAGTCATCCCCCTTTCCCCATTCCTCGGCTACATATGCTGGCCGGTGTGGAGCAACATGCCTGGCTTGGTGAGAAAGCTGGCTATCATCGCCGCGGTCGACGGACTCATTCTCCAACCTCATGGCAATGGAAATCGCAATGGTGGTAATAGTCCTGCACCTATTCGCATCGAATATAGGACGGATAAAATCACGGCGCTCGCCCAGCCGCAGTTGGAGCTTGTGGGGAAGCGCGATGCTTGTCTTGAATCGCATGGTTTGATAGGTACATCGATCTCTTGTTCAATCTGCACAAATATGGTTTATGCTTTGTGGAAGAAATTGAAAATTGATCTTATATGCGGTTAACATAGGACTGCTCAATGTCGCATCATATTCTTTTCTTATTTCTATTACCCAGCGCAAACAGGTCGCACAAATACTGGGCAAGCCGATATATGCAGTGACTAGTGTTGTGGTCATCCCACTATCCTCTCAGTCAGATGCGAGTCATGCGATACTCCAAGCACAGCAAAATATAGCGCGGCAAGATAAAGAATCGGCCGAAGCTATCTTGGAAGTTGAAACAAGCAGTGGAGCGGAGGATGACTCCGATGCCACCGCCGAAGATATCGCCATCTCTTCTCCCGGCCTAGAGAGCACTGAGAACCCGGAAGACAAGCAGGGATCCACAAACGGTAGTAGAGTCGCACAAGATGTTATTAGCAATCGGGGTCGTAACGGCAGATTCTCTCTTAACTGGTTTTCCAGAAAGCGCTGGGGTTCCACAGGATCTTCTTTCTCTAGCCAGACCAAAGCCGACGAAGTAGAGGAAGAGGCTAGCAGCGAAAGAACAAAGCAGAAATCGGTATCTAGTGCTCTTAAGGAGCAACCTGAAGCCGAAGCAACACATGTTCTAGATGATGCCTCGCATGAAGAGAAGATTCAAGACCTAGTCGCACCCAGCAAGCCCATTGATCTAATGCCAAAACTCTTGAGATACACAAAGATGTTATTTTCGTCGCAGAACTTTTTCTTTTCTTATGATTATGATTTGACCAGGCGGTATTCAGTTCCGGATTCTCGAGATGCTCAATTGCCTCCTCATGGCCTGGCGGATTCGTTGGTATGATCAACCTTTATAATTATTTCATATACGTACTAACAGTCTACCTGCAGTATTTTTGGAATAAATTTCTTTTGAAGCCATTTATAGAAAACGGAAAAGCCTCGACTACATTCGTTTTACCGGTAATACAAGGCTTTGTCGGGCAGCGAGAGTTCACCGTCGCGTCAAGTAAGAATCAGGATGCGGATTCCGCAGGCCCAGACAAGAAGATGGTTGTTGCTGGCGAGACGGCCGAAGAAACAGCAGACGATTCATCAAAAGAGAAACACAGCGAGGATTTTCTCCTCACGTTGATTTCGCGGCGCTCCACTCAACGTCCGGGATTAAGATATCTCCGACGTGGTGTGGATGATGATGGTAATACGGCTAATACTGTAGAAACTGAACAAATTTTGTCGACGCCAAACTGGGAAACGTCTCGTAATGTGTATTCCCTGCTACAATTGCGAGGTTCGATACCTCTATACTTCTCTCAGTCACCTTATTCGCTTAAGCCTACACCTGTGATCCACCACTCTAATGAAACAAACCAGCTTGCATTTAGTCGGCACTTCCGTGATTTGAATAGGAAGTATGGAAAGATCCAAATAGTGTCTCTCCTTGACAAACGTGGGGTGGAAACCAAACTCGGAGAAGCCTATGAGGCATATACACGATCTTTCAATGAGGAGGGCCGTCATAATGATTACAGCTTAGGCTTTGAATGGTTCGATTTTCATCACGAATGTCGTGGCATGAAGTTTGAAAATGTTAAAGGGCTAGTGGATAGACTGGAAGGGACGCTTGAAACCTTTGGAGAGACAGTTATGCAGGACAATTCTATTTTGAAGGAGCAATCTGGGATAGTCCGTACTAATTGTATGGACTGTCTAGATCGTACAGGCGTAACCCAGTGCGCTTTTGCGCAGAGGGCATTGGAAAAGCAATTGAAAAATGAGGGGTTTGCTATCGATCTAAAGGAAGACTCGTCGACGCAGTGGTTCAATGTTCTATGGGCAGACAATGGCGATGCTATTTCAAAGCAATACTCGTCTACAGCAGCTCTGAAGGGTGATTATACTCGCACTAGAAAACGCAACTACCGAGGCGCTCTTAACGACTTTGGCTTAACTCTATCTCGATACTACAACAATCTCGTTAGTGATTATTTTTCGCAGGCCTGCATCGACTACCTTCTAGGAAACGTGTCCATTCAGGTGTTTTCTGAATTCCAGTTCCATTTGCAAACTATTGACCCCGGTATTTCAGTTGCGAAATTGCGCCAAAACGCTATCGATACCTGTAGCAGACTTGTGGTTGATAACCAGAGCGAAGAGCTTCTCGGTGGCTGGGTGATGCTTGGTCCACGACAATCTAATACATTACGAACTCTTCCCTTCGAAGAGACTGTTCTACTTCTGACAGATGCTGCATTATACAATTGCCGGCTAGACTGGAATGTCGACAAGGTGGTGTCATTTGAGCGCATAGACTTGCGCTCCATTAACTGTATCCGATACGGAACCTATATAACCTCCGTTCTGTCCGACGCGCAAACCGACGAGGCACGTAATGTCGGTATTGTGATTCTGTACCAGAACGGTAATATCAATGCTTTTCGTGTAAACACTCGGTCCATGCAGAGCAGCTTCAATCAGGATGCGCAGGACAATACGAACACTGGCGAAGAATGGGATTTGACAGCATGGCTTCGGGGGCCGAAAAAGCCATCAGCAAGGTTCATGGCGTTCAAAGCCCTCCCTATTTCAACATCTGCTACGAATAATCTGTCGGCCGAGGCCACTGTTAGCGAGAGCGTTGCGGTCAAATCGATATGCCAGGAGATTGAGCGTGCCATACGGGATCAGGATCGGGAAAATGCCAGCGATAACTCGGTGATTGAGGAGAAAGCGATTATTTCACTGGCTGAAGCCAAGAAAAGGACTGGATATCTTGAGCAATTGGTATATGATGTGAAGAAATTAGTTTGGGCATGATGTATGTATATAGCATTGACGTATACAGAACGGAGTAGCGTCATTGTCGTGTAGAGGCCCCGAGGAATCAAAAATACATAGATTGATCAATTAGGTAAGAAAATCGATAGATGGGGTTGGGATCACTTCAGAAATCCATTGACATGGGCTGGTAACTATAGGAAGGCAGCACGTGAGGACCCTTACCCTAACCTCCACCAAACAAGCGATATACAGACTGCTACTATATCCTCATTATACATAAACCTGTTTCTTACAAACGAATTTTATTCGTAGCCTAAGTGCCTACATATGTATAGTGATAGAAGTGGATGAAACTAATTGGATAACCGACTAGTAGATGCGTGTGAACATATCAAACTGTGAGAGCAACTTGGCTTGGAAAGCGTCGGAAACTTGCGGCCCGCCTTTTTTCAAAAGCATGTCATTTAAGCTGCCCCTTATTATCTATAATTCGAATTTAGAGATTGTTCTTCAAATTAAGAAAGCAGATGCAGTAAATTATATGGATATATCTGGTAATATAGTCCACATTTTCAAAGACTTTTCTACATAGGTCTTTAAGCATTTAGAACCCACTATGCCATCCTTCTAACACTTATAAACAGCTGCAATATTGCAGATGTCTTAGTCAAGTTTAGAGTGTTTGGTTTGCTCAAAGACAGGATGGCTCTACTAGAATTGTTGGCCCGGCTTATATAGTGCAGTACAGCTATTTTGAGGACGCGTGCACGCCGCCGAAAGCTACTAGCCATTTTGTAGGATTTCCCAGTATACTATCTGTCGTTGGTTTTGCAGACAAACTCTCTCCTTCAACAGGTTGATAGTGTCCCAGTTAGATCGGTCATTTCATTTCTTGCCCAAGCGACATGGTCAACGCTTGCTAGAGAGGGTTGACAACACCGTGTGCTCAGAGTCGTGGAATCCCTGGCGTCGTTATTGATGGTCGCGCACGAGATTTGGAAGAGTTACATGAACCCCAGTTTCCGGTAGTTAGCTCGTGCCTTGGATTTATTTTCTGATAGCTGTATAAACTCTAACTCTAAACAGGTCTTTGCTCGTTATATTGATACGGCACCTCCTCATTCAGTTAGGATGTTAGTAAAGTAAGCGATCTCAAACTGCCACACACCGCTGCTAGCTTAGTTAGTGCTGTAATCAGTTGCTTCCATTTCCGAATACTAAGTTTGCTCATTGTCAGGCGATTTTTAACATTGGCAGACAAATGAATCTACCATTTTCCGCGCTGAGGGAGGGGGATGTGTCATTAGCCCCGGAGACCTGCTGATTGCAGATATGAATGGGGTGGTATGTTTACTCGCGAAGTTTGCAAATAAGACAGTGGAAATCTTGAAAATAATTGTCAAAAATGACCACAAAATGGCGGAGCTTATAAAGAAAGTGGTGTCATTTACCGAAGCATCAAAAGCCCGATAAAGGAGCCGTTACATCATCTTGAATTGAGGACATTGTCAAATTTATTGACAAGGGGTAATGGATTGAGAATCCTTAGTGAAGCATCACAGAAACAATAATCATACTAGCCTTGACTTCCACAGTTAAGCACCACTATTACTTCCACTATTAGTTAATCCCAATAAGCCATATGTCTTGCCGTCTTCGTGTTACGTATGATTGTACCTGTTAGTGAAAACTTCAAATGTCAAAAGGCCGGTGTCTCAGGTAGACAAAACCTCCTGCAGACCTAGTCAATGCTCCTATTAATATCTAGGGTGGTTACATATGTTGTAAGTTCCAATTTTTTGGTTCTGGCTCTAGCTATATGGAAATTAGTTGGCGTAATATTGGAATAAAGTACTCTTCCAGAACGTTGAAGAAAAATGGGTGAGATAGGTAGAGCATCATTGCCGACTCCTATCTTCACGTATGAATGCAGCAGTGATAAAATAATTCGGAATTGTGTGACTATAGTTACTTTTGTAAGCAACGAGCTGTCAAGTCGGCTGGAATTCCGGGGAATATGATGCACAGAACTTTCTGTGATAAGAGCAAAGGTAGCAAAGAAATAGTATAGTATGAGGTACTTGATAATAGGATTCACGACATCTAGTGTCACACTTTTATAAATCTACATATATTAATTATTTGCTGTGCAGAATATGTTGAAAATTCCAAGTCAATCTTCATCCTCTCAAAATCTCGACCTCATAGGACATCCACCAAGCGCTGTGCCAGCCTCCATCTGAGTAATGACCCTACCTTGATAATCCCGCTTCAATCCTAGCTCTAATAAAGTTGAAAATGCGTGTGCAAAATCTCTGTAAAACAGTTCAGAGTCTTCGGCATAATTTTCAACCCACACCTTGAATGTCGGATCCTGGAGTAATGCCATATCACTTGGCAGCTTCATTAACTCATCCACTTCTTATTCCTCGCTCATGTCGCTATCTATATAAGAATACTGTTCAAGACCATTGTCAAGTATTTTCGGTTCCATCAGGGAGCCCCCGCTTACGATAGCTGATGCCGATGCCTTATCGGCGTTGGCATAATCTGTTTCACCCATTTAGCCATTTGATTTCTGGACCACCAAGTTCTTCAATGGATACGGCTCCGGCGAAGGTATAGATATCGGTGTAAGAAATCCACTCGAATCCGCATTCTTGTCTCATCTGATTCGATCTCTCCCGGGTAATCTCAGGCCCTAAGTTCGCAGGGTCATTAGCTTCCTCATATTTACTCCGTCGTCAACTAACATATGAACTAGTATTAGGATTTTTTTATATTTAATTTTAACAACGATGGGTGATTGCTATATTTCCAATATTTGATAACAATCCAATCCAATTATGTTCTAGCCAACGCTCTATAGTTAACTCATTTTTATCTTGGTATTGTAGATAGCTCCTCTCTATATAATAGATCAATCACACCAGTTGCCCAATACGAACGAAACAGAGTCATTAGCTTAAAGAGCAGAATAACAGAATTAATATAACAATCAATCTTAGACTTGGGCAACTCTCACTATTCATACCTAGAAGCGAGGATATACGGGCTCAGTATCAGGCTACAAACTCTTTGTACCTCATAGCTAGCAGAGTACTGGATAAATCCAACAGAAAAAGCGAATAACCAGGAAGCTGTATAAAAACAGCTAGCATTTGTCGTACTCTCAAGTGTAGAGGGCCGTCCTGCTCTCAATATGCCGCTCCAGTGCCATCGTTCTTGTCTCTCCGTGATATAATGTTAGCGCACCAGTCTCAAATGCCTCTGACGTCTAATTTTGTTAGTCATTTCGAGGGTTTCTGATATCTGATATCGAGTCTACGGGGTACTTGTTGCTCGAGGTGACGCCCGCCAATCAGTGTGCAAGGACACCCAGGGCGGTGAGGCCCCCCGCCCTCAAAACAGTCTGCGCTGCACTGACTCCAGCAGAAACCGCACAACGCTGAGAGAAGGTCTCATCGTTGCAAGTCGAAAATCAATTGCCGATCGCATCTGCTCGTCTTTCCTTTTTGACAGTCGTTTTTCGTTTAAAAGGTTGACTGTGCTGGCCTTACCAACTCCGATTTGGTGCGTCTCGGTGCGGTGCAGGGCGTCCTTCTCACTAGCCTGCAGTGGCTCTCCAAAAAAACCTTTCCCCGCTATAACCCACCTTGCAAGCCGATTGCGGATATTTCCTGTGCAATTCCGGCTCTTTCACAAAATATTTTCGCTGAATATTTTTTAATATTGTTTATTTTGATCCATTTGGCGAGGGGAGGTATTCGAGCTATCTCGTCAGCGCTGCGTGGGGTTATCGACGTTCGCGTTTTCCCTTCACCACGGGACCGAGTTTCCAAAATGGAGTGGCAACCTGAGGAGCAGCCATTGAGGCAGCTTGCTGGCTACCTTAGGGACTCTTTGAATTCATATGATCGCAATCTGCAAAAACATGCAGAGTCGGTGTGTAAAACCCAATATCTGGCGTGGCCGAGCTTTCGGAAGACGATTCAGCTGAACACTGAGCTAACCCTGGCATTACCGCTTAGATGCTTATTCAAGCTACCTCAAACGCTGACTTCGTGAATTACCTCACTTTTATATTCTGTACCTCGCAACCTCCACAGGCAGTGAGCATGGACCAGAATACGTACAATGTCGTGCGCCTCTCCGCTGCGCTTAACCTGAAAACGAAGATACGGGTTGCTTACAATAGTATCCCGCAAAACAGCCTCATCTTCGTTCGTCAAGCTGTCCTCCTGGGTCTGCGCGACTCTGATGGCCAGATCCGTAATCAGGGAGGAAGTATTATAACTGAGCTGCTTCAGAGGGGTGGGCTGCTGGCATGGCCCGAAGTGCTTCAGGAGCTTCTTGCATTGGTGGGAAATGGCTCTGGAGACATCACTATTCATACTCAGGAGGCAGCAATGTCTGCATTGGCCAAAGTATGCGAAGATAATCGCAAGATTTTGGACAAGGACTACGGGGGACAGCGCCCACTTGAAGTGATTATTCCTCGGCTATTGGAATTCACAGGCAGCCGCAGCTCAATGATTCGCTCGACCGCCCTAAGCACTATTCAGGTTTTCCTATCGATGAAACCCCAAGCTTTGATTTCGAACTTCGATACTTTCATGTCGAACCTCTTCCGTCTCGCCACTGATCCCACCACAGATGTGCGTAGAACCGTCTGCCAAGCGTTCGGGCAGCTGGCAGAGGTTGCACCTGACCAGCTCATTCCTCATCTAGGAGACCTTGTGGATTATATGATACAGCAGCAGAACACGAATGAGGACCCCGAACTTGCTCTAGATGCGGCTGAATTCTGGTTGACCGCTGGTGAGCAGCCCAAGTTACAACAGCCCCTCACTCAGCATCTCCCCAAAATCATCCCGCTACTGCTTAAAAGCATGATTTACGATGAAGATGAAGTGGAACTCTTGGCTGCTGAAAATGAGGATGCGGAGGAAGAAGATCGCGCCGAGGATCTGAAGCCTCGGTTCGCGAAAGCCAAAGGGTCCCGACTTGAAGGGTCCACTGATCCCAATGCGAAAGCTGAGGATGAAGACCGAGAAGATGGAGAAATAAGCGAGGAAGAGTCGGAGTTTGAGGATGACGACCCCGAGGATGCTTGGACGCTACGGAAGTGCTCTGCAGCCGCTTTGGATATTTTTGCCAACGTATACCATTCCCCTGTATTCGAACTTATTTTGCCATACCTTAAAGAAACGCTGCGGCATGAGCAATGGCCGAATCGTGAAGCAGCTGTTCTCACTCTCGGTGCCGTTGCTGATGGATGCATGGACGCTGTTACGCCTCATTTGCCTGGATTGATTCCTTACCTCATTTCCTTGTTGGATGACCCTCAACCAATTGTTAGGAAGATCACTTGTTGGTGTTTGGGTAGATACTCGGAATGGGCTGCTCATCTTGAGAGTCAAGATCAATCAGTGCAATTTTTTGAGCCGATGATGGAGGGCATACTTCGGCGAATGCTTGACAACAATAAAAAGGTTCAAGAAGCTGCCGCATCAGCTTTTGCTAGTCTTGAAGAAAAGTCAGACGCCAGCTTGATCCCATACTGCGAGCCAATTTTGCGGCAGTTCGTCGAATGTTTCAAGAAATACAAAGATCGTAACATGTACATCTTGTACGACTGTGTTCAAACACTGGCTGAATGCGTCATGGGCGAGCTTGCTAAGCCACAACTTGTAGACCTCCTCATGCCGGCATTGCTTGATCGATACAATAAAATCTCTGATCAGTCTCAGGAATTGTTTTCTCTTCTTGAGTGCCTTGGCTATATTGCGGCGGCTTATGGGGATGTCTTCACACAGTTTGCACAACCGATTTTCCATCGATGCGTCAAGATTGTATATGATAATATCCAGCAATCCATCAACGTTGGGCAAAATGGTTATGATGAACCAGATAAAGATTTTCTTATCACTAGTCTTGATTTGATGAGTGCTATCATCCAGGCGATCCCGTCGGACCGGAGTGCTGAGCTTGTGGCGACCTCTCAACCTAAATTCTTCGATCTGTTATGCTACTGTGTCAACGATTCTAACAACGAAGTCCGCCAATCTTCCTACGCTCTTCTTGGTGATTGCGCAATTCATATATTCTCCCAGCTGCAACCATATATACCGAATCTTATGCCTCTTCTCATCAAGCAGCTTGATCTTGATTTGATCGTCGACGATACTGCTTTTAGTGTTCTCAACAACTCTTGTTGGTCTCTTGGCGAGATTGCACTGAACGAGAATGCCGACTTGGCACCATGGCTTGAAAAGCTTTATCCAGCACTGTTAACTATCATTTCAAACGAGATGGTTGTCGATTCAGTGAATGAAAATGCTGCAGTAGCCTTAGGCCGCCTTGGTACGGGAAATTCTCAGCTACTTGCGCCACATTTACAGAGTTTTGCACAAGACTTTATCAAATCGATGTCCAAGGTTGAATTCTCGCGTGAAAAGGCCACCGCCTTCCTGGGTTTTAATCGCGTCATAATGCACAATCCACAAGCAATGGAGTCATGCTTGGGGGAATATTTTGGCACAATCTCCTCTTTTCCTCAGAGATCTTTGAATCAAGAAGAGTATCGCGATCTCCAACAATCCTTCCAACAGGTGAGTCTCCGCCAATCTAAGTTTTAACCATACAAATAAACTAACACATTCATTCTTCAGGTCCTTCAAGGATACCAAAAATTGATACCCACCTTCGAGACATTCCTTTCTCAGTTACCCACAGCTGTGAGCCAGAAACTCAAGACCGTCTATGGCCTCTAAATCGTCCGAACATTTGGACCTTTTTTAATCGGCAGACTGAAGTCTAATTACACTCTTTCTCCTTCATGTTTATTCATTTAGCGGTGTATCGTTTCAGAAATTCTTAATTCTTATTCTCGAAAATACCTTGCGTATATGCATCCCTACCCTTAACCTTTCGCAATGAAAATCTTGTCTCCCCGTTTCAATCTATTTCCTTTTTCCCGGCGTGATACCAGTTTCACCGACACAGGTTGTTATGAACTACAGCCAGACTTGCTGCGATACTATAACAACAAGAGTTGGGTGAGAATTGGATTTATCTTAGCTTCTGCTTCTCTCTTTTTCTTTTGGCATTTATGGTGACGTGGGTAATGTTTGCATGAATCCCTTGGTTGATCTTCTTCGTCATGACCTTCTAATCCATCATCTCTCATGCATGGAGACAAATTATGTCTGCATCCTCCTTGTTTTTATTGCGTTCTTCGATTATTTTAAATGTTTCAGCTTTAGGCCAACAAAAGGAGGGAAGATTGTGACATTTGTCTCATCCACGGCCGTTCACCAACTCATCAATTCTGCTTTGTAGCGATATTAGATAGATTAGATAACAACTTCCTCATTAGGGGGTAGTTTTTGCTGAAACGTTGCGATTCCAATTTTCATGTTAGTTGAAAATCTCATATTTGAGCTCGATATTTTAACTAGCTGTTTTATCTATCCCAAAATAATATCTTGAAGTATTTTTTGACAGGTAAAGTGTGGTATATTATTGTGAAAATCATTCAGTGTTTGACATCAATTTCAGTGCTCGATAGTATGTGTAGTGTACAGCAGTAACCAAATTTGATATTTCTTGATTGGAGACAACCTTCCTATTTCGGTAGCCAACTCATCCCACCTATTCTACTGTGACTAATTTCATCATCATTTAATTAACAACTTTTCAATAGAAAATACAAAGGACTTTGTAGTGTAGAGGATGCCACTATTAGAATTATGTGAGATTTACGACCTTGATTTGACCGACGTATTTCTGTCGTTCAGGCAAGCGTTGAACTTCAGATCCTGGGACCATCATTGGCAATTAAGAAGGAGTTGGTAGCTTGGCACACTCAATGCCATATCATATCTGATCACTTAAAAGTCGATAAAGCCATACTGCGGGGAAACCGCCGTTCGACCGAGGTAGGAGTCTTCATAGCAAATCGCTACTAACTTGGGAAACCTTAGGCCGATACAGGAGGAACCAAACTTTCGGTCATCCGGCCAAAATAGGAAGCTTATTGGATTCCAACACTGTTACTGGCTAGGGTGGTCAATTTACACGCTTTTTATAGATTTGAATTCACTCTCACTGTCACGTATTGTTCTGTATACTGTGTATCATGCATGGATTTACCCCTCATCAACCGGAGCAGTCCGACTAGTGGTGTGGGGAATTAGATCACTGTTGAAACCCACCTCCAAACCACAAAACCTTTCACTTTTCGAAAAGTCGATGACAGAAGTATCAATAATCAAGAAAATTATAGGTACTAATCATGACCAATGCTCTGTCTGCCCCGATACAGTCTCTTCTTCGATCCAAAATCGATACAGCATGCAGCAACACCCAGACTGACATCCCCGGTGTTGTATTTGTAGCCGTGGATAAGAATGGCGAAAGGTTTTCCCATGCAAGTGGTAAACGAGGTGTCGGAAGCGATGAGCCCATGACACTAGATTCAATCTTCTCAATCCTATCGTGCACGAAGCTAGTGACAGCGATAGCGTGTATGCAATTAGTTGAAAAGGGAGTTCTCAGTCTCGACGATCCCGATCAAGTTGAGAAACTATCATGGGAGTTGAAAGACATCAAAGTACTGCAGGATGGAAAGCTGGTGGAAAAGAAAAATAGGATCACGTTAAGGATGTTACTGAGCCATACTGGTTAGCCATAGTTTTCTGTTTGGCGTTACTAACGTTGAGAAGTATGGAAAATCGCTAACTGGATGTCCAGCTGGATTTGGATATACATTTTTCCATGAGGAACTGAGAGATTTTAGCTATCCAGTGGGATATGACGAATTCAGTGGCCATTTAACAGGAGTTATGCAGCCGCTTGTTCACCATCCTGGTGAGGCATGGGAGTATGGTGTAAGTGAGAGAATCATACCGAGACCAATTCATTAAAACTGATATCATGTATCAGGTAGGAATTGACTGGGCAGGCATCCTTCTTGAGCGTGTCACTGGACTCAAGCTTGGCGAGTACATGCAAAAGAACATCTTTGAGCCTCTTGGTATTGACAATATCTCCTTTTCACCGTCCAATCATACCGCAAAATTGGCATATATGAATTCTCGATCGCCCGATGGAAAGTTATCTGCCAGAGACCATCTTCTCAATCGCTCTTTAAATGTAGGATCGGAAGACGATGCCCAGAGACTCTTTCATTCTGGAGGTGCAGGGTTATTCGCGCAGCCACAGCAGTATGCCAGTGAGTTCAAATTGTCATCTTTCATTCATTCAACTTCTTTGAGTTCTTACCTGAGTTATCAATTAAGAAATATTATCTACCTTGCTGAATAATGGCGTATCGCCTCACTCCAATCGTCAAATCCTGCGCAAGGAGACAGTGGATGAGATGTTCAGAAACCAAATTCCCAAATTCCCAAATTTTGGTCGCAAAGGCGTTCCCGCTGCAAAACCGTTACTTACAAACCCTATCCCCGAATTATACCCCAACGGTGAGAAACCTCAGGGATGGGGGTTGTCATTTATGATTACTGGGGGAGCCACGGGCCGATCCGAAAGTACAGGTTATTGGGCCGGATTGGCGAATCTGTTCTGGTGGATGGATCGTGAGAAAGGAATTGGGGGTATAATTTGCACTCAGATCTTACCTTTCGCAGATTTGAAAGTTGTAAAGCTATGGGCTGAGTTGGAGGGGACTCTTTATGCAGCCATGAGTGAGGGTTCTCTCTAATATGTATGCACCTTTGAAGACATCATTGATGATGGGAGATTTACTAAACTAGTCAGTCTGATAATTTTGGTCAACTAGTGGTTGTCAAACTGAGAATAATGAGATTTTCTGTTTATTAACAGCGCCATGGTCTGATACACTACTCTCTCATACATAACAGTGAATATTCAAACATGTAAGCTAACCGTTTGAAGGTGGCTCTTGAGGCTGTCATTTCAATGTTGTTTCTAAGACATTTACAAGACTGAAGAAACGAAGAATATATCAATCAATCGATGAATTCATAAATTTAAAATATTCACAGAAGGTTACACTACATAAATAAATATTTATAAATTTGAATATATATATTAGTTAATAGAGCGAATTTCCATTCTAATTGATGTGAATACTATTAACTGATGTATTCAATATTTACGCTACCTATAAGCCCTAACCTCGGCATCACCCGGCTACCCGCCAAATGTGAATTTTACACCCCTTGATGGGCGCAATTTGAACTTTGAGGATATATTTTAACATTAGAAACTTGGATTAGTTAGATAAGATCCCTATAATTCTCAATCGCAAACCCAACCATTTTTGAGGAGCGCAGATTACTGCCCAGGGTCGAAGGTGCTGTCGCTAGATATCGCGATCTTGCACCCAACTTCTATTTTCAGATTGCTAATATATATTGGATGATACTTAATAAAATTTATTATATTATAGTTTTGATTCACATCGAAATCTGTACTTAATGGTTGCATGCTGAAGGTTCACGTGAAAGATCTGGGTTATGGACAATGAATCATTTCTTCTCACACATTCTACCTAGGCATTTATACAAACAATCAGTGATGTTTTAGTAGGTTTGACGGAACGTATTGGTTGCATAGACTGGAAGGTATTCGGCATTGTATTCTAATCCGGAGAATTAATGATGTTGGAATTACATGTATTACCTCGGCTCTGTTTCTGTTGTTGTAACTCACTGGTGATTAGTGAACAAATTGTCTGCCGACGTCAAGAATAAGGATATCCAATATAAATTGTCAAATTTCCGAAGAAATTGGGCTTGAAGCCCATTGTTCGAATTGTTCGAGAATAGCGTTTAGTACTACACGAAACCAAACAAAAATCAAAGATGATTCCCTCCCCGGAACCAGTCGTTATTCCAACTTCCTATGAAGCCGTGCCTACCACTGATATCAAGGTATTTCATCATCCGCGAGGTAGCAAAGAGGCTACCTCTGTGATTGTGGTGACTCTGAACAGGCCACAAAATCAAAATGCATTTACCATCAGTATGATGGATGATTTCGAAAAGTTGTTCCCAATTTTTGATGTTGATGAGCGGGTTAAAGTGATTGTCCTCACTGGGGCAGGAAAAACATTCTGCGCAGGCGCAGACCTAGACATCGGGTTCCATGGAGATGGAGGACGATCAGTGGACTACCGTGATCCGTATGCTTTTCTCTATTCTGTTTAACTAATAATAGATTCGGGCGGAAAGATACTCATGCATCATATCCGTAGTGGAGGCCGGCTTGCACTTGCCATCTATCGATGCCGGAAACCTACCATTGCGGCGATGCAAGGATCAGCGGTTGGGCTGGGTATGACCATGACTCTACCAGCTGCTATCAGGTACGACACTACATCGTAGAGATCCATTGATCAGAATCCACTAACACATGGACAACGTAGAATCGGCTACGAGCGTGCAAAATACGGGTTTGTATTTGCACGCCGTGGAGTGACAATGGAATCTAGCTCGTCCTTCTTTCTGCCTCGTTTAATAGGCTACTCGTGTGCCATGTATCTTCTCACCACTGGTGGAGTATTTCCTCCTAACTCCAAGCATTTCGGTACTCTATTTGCAGAAATCTTTCCGGAGCCATCGCAGGTACTCCAACGCGCCTTGGAGCTGGCAACAGAGATCGCAGAGAATGTTAGCCCCTTAGCATCGTACTTGAACCGATCGCTTATGTGGCGAAACCCAGGCTCTGCAGAAGGGGCACACCTGGTTGACTCCGCAGTTCTGAGTCATATGTTCAGTGCAAAGTAAGAGTGTCCAGCCGTCTCTTATCTCCCCCTCGTTTCTCCAGATCAGGTGCAACCAATATAACGTCAAGGATGACCATATGTATGGCTGTTATTAGATGCTGATGTCACTAGGGACCAGAAAGAAGGAGTAAGTGCCTTCTTTGAGCGACGTAAACCGAACTTTACTGCAACAATCGAGGAAGATGGGCCCCCTAATTTTCCTTGGTGGCAAGAAGTAGACACAGGCAGTAGAGCCAAAGCGGGCTCAGCAAAAATTTAATCAATGGCCATTTAATGTGTTTTCATGCTCGACTTGCAATTCGAATTCTTACCTACGAACATCTATTGCGAACTGGAGCCTGGAGGCCGATAGTAATATCAAGTTTCCTAAGCCTTTCTAAAAGGGGGGTGTTATTGAAGGGTACCGAGAGCTATTCGCACAATCCTGTCACCGTTTGATTTATATTTCGAATGCTTATTAGTGATTCGATAGGGAGTTGAAGGAAAGGCGAGATGGAAATGGAATATGTAGAATCTCATAATCATTCAAAGGATGACTATCTATCAAGAAATAAGGACCATTGTTTCCTCGGCCTTGATCCCTTGGTTAAATTACACTCTGGCCGATTGGACGTCTATCCTTAGTTATTTCTGTCACGCAAATGACAGGCCTCCTCTTGGTGGATTTCGGACCACGAGCTCAGCTTCATTTCCATGCCCGAACTCTTTGGTACATCTGTTCAAAAGTCTTGATAGCAACAATGTAAGATTATCTAGATCATTACCGATTGACAGATAGATCTAGATATACCAATAGAAGCGGACGCAATCTTGGACCACGGTGAAATCTAGTTCGTCCTTTAGGTGATACATTGTTCACATGTAGGCGACGGATCATATTAAACGACAACACCTACTCATAGACTTATAAACCTGCATATAGCTTTTTTGAATCGTGTTCTAATGCCCTAAAATATGTGAAAACAATGAATTTTTTGATCACATACCATCTGTAGATAGGGATGTTAGGTCGGGATAGCATGGAAGTTGATTGGCGGCCCACAATTACTGAGATGATGTATCGACTAATAGAAAAAATACATGTAAGACTCTAATTACTTTTCTAGATTAATTTCTTGTATTGATATGTGCTTGTCAAAATATCGGACGTAGTAATGGAGACAGTTTGTCCTATAGAGTACCTACACCATCGTCTAAAGTCAATGAGGTGTAATTGATAGATGTAGAATATCTACTTTAACCATGAAAGGCAAGATGGGGCAGTAGCATTATTGACCATTGCATGGTTCCCGTTGGATAATAACCGAATACGAAATTTACTCTTCTTGTCATGGTTAAGGTCCGAATTTCGGGTTTCAGCATCGAGATTCATCAGCATGGGAACCGATGTTGACTCACTCAGTGTGGACCAACCGAAATTCGTACCTGTGCATACGTATCCCATTGTGGAAAGACCTGTCTATACCCTTGCTCTTTTTTTACCCACGCGGCCGTAGGAAGGTCGCTGGTAATCAGGTAATCATATGGCCGCCGGGTCTAAGCCATGCCCGTGCACGTTTTGTGATTCATTTTGGGGGCGCATTTCTTTTAGTGTACTCCGTTCTTTCCCCTCCATTTAGCTTTTAAAGTTTCTGGTTTTCAGCTGTGATGTACAAATTTGACTACGATTACGCCGCGCATGCGCTGCCTGCCCGTTTTCTCGTATTCTGTATAGATATGCTTAACTCTATGTTTACTACTCCGTGCAGTGCTAAGCCTGGATAGCGAGACATTTAATGATAGATCAGTAATCATCTATCATCGAAAGTGACAAACCCAAAGCAGCATAGGTAGTACTGTTACACTCATGTCCACTCGCGGAAATTGTCGCCGTTACCTCCCGATAGAACATGCTCAAGGGGAGGATATATTAAAAAAAAGTTTGTTTACTCGCTACATCTCCTTTTGGATTGCTGATCAAGATAGGTTAGATACGGCAAATGAAGTAAAAGTTTGAGCTGTGGGGGTTTCCTGAGGGTCTGGGTAAAAGTGCTCAATTGACTACCAAACCTAAAGTTTCAATCTACTTTGTTGCCTCATAGAAAGTGGGAAGCTCACTCGGTCAAGTCGGAGGCCGTCAATGTGGTCTTTTGTTCTCTATTGAGATCCTAGTGTTATAGTGCGATTTCAGTATAGACTGATCAGCGATGATATTGTTTCTTTTCTAATAGTCCCGGCACAGTCAATAGACTAATTAGTATGTTTTATTACTTAGCGAATCTCTGTTCTTACATTAAAACGGCCTGGCCCAATATGCCTACGCTAAGTTTGGCTAGCGCATGACACTAGACGAGCGAGGTCGGACAACCGGCCAGTGAAAAGCCAGATCGGGGTTTGGTCCGCGTTATGATTTGCTGGTAGCCGAATCTCAGCCCGAAACCTTGTTATAGAGATTCCACCCTGCTGCCCGCCAAGACCCTGGTCGTTCCGCTCCGCCACAGAGTATACTACCATCTCATGCCTCCCATTAGGGAATAATATATTCCGTACAGAGTGCGGTACGCAACCTAAAGATAGCATCTTGTTCCACTTTATCTCGATGAGGGCAGTGTCGCGGTTCTCTCTCTAGGATCCCCAATCAATATCCATGTATATATGCAGTGAAGGGAACGACGGTTATTCGGTCCACTCATGGCAATAGCCCCCCCTTTAAGATAACCCGCGCGGGAGTAACAATTGATTGACGTGATAAGATGATGACGGGTGCTATCCAAGTAAGACCCCTTTTTGAGGCTCTAAGAGTCAGTCTGCATTGTATCGTGCGATTGGTGGATCTGGAGCGTGTCAACGACTCAGGGTCCATTAATGATCTTTCCCGATCTGCCTGAGGAAAGGGTTTGCCTGGGGTTAGCAACGGGCTATCCTGGTCGTTTTCTGACAAGATACCGTCTTAGGTATAGTCTGTTTCCAGCTGTCCAGGGTGGGGCCCGAGCCGAGTTGGATTGACATAGTTGGCACTACCACTGAGGGTGGACGAGATGATAGAATTAGACGCTAGAACCCCGACGGTTCATCTTTTCCTTTGGCACTATCCTTCGGGGAGCTAGTGTAGGGATAGTTTCTAGCAGGGACCTGGAAGGTACTTTTTGCTTTTCATCGTGGTCATCCTGATTGGATCCCTCTACCTATCTATCAGTCGTGGACTCGTGGTCCATGCTATTTCTTCGTTGCACATCACTGGGACCATGTGGCACCCTGAACATCCTTAATTCTAGCTAGACTAAGCTAACTAATCACAGCTCGCAAGTTGGGAATTTGGGAATTTGGGGGCAGTAAGTGAAGTCTCATAAATTTGACCAGCTCTAGTGTTCTAGAAATGTAGTAGAAGCAGGGGGTCCACGATCCACCCTAGCACGTTAAGACATCTACTATACCACTATAAGTGTGAAAAGCATCAGCATCGAGATTCCTCGGGTTATTTCGTCGATGTAGTGAAAAGTACGTGATCTGGGGCTAGAAGTACATGTAGATACTCGAGACTAACTAGCGGGCTAGGACTCTACCGAGGAAGTTGTGACCGTTAACTACGATAGTTGGGTAGGGATCGGGAACATTCCGTGAAGCTTTTCATGCTGTGCAAACCATCCCTGATGTGATAGGGATTTGCATCTCATTTCTTTGCGACAGCTAGTATCCGTACATAAGATCACTTACTATTAAGATTGATTTCAACACTCGGAGCATTATCCAATCGCTGCACCCTGGGAGGTTGTTAAAAAAACTGTTGGCGCCAAAATGATTTCAGCTATAGATTGGTCAATGCAAAATGAACCAAAGTCTTGATTGGCATTTCGCTTAGAAGTAGATTCATCAAAGGGCGCGCGGGAACTGGGGCGTCGCCGGGTACTGTACCCCCGTCTAGGATGGCCTACCAGGAATCGAAATGTTCTCTTTGTGGTTACCAAGACCTCGGTGCGTGATCCACCTGTGTAGTCTGAATCGACAATAATCTTGTCAGAAGATAATGAGTCTTCCTTTTTGCCAAACATCTCCCTTGATGTCGCCAAGGCTCAGATCAATTAAAGAGGCTTAGCCATCAGCATTCTAGTTTTAGGTTTGCTTTTTCGCTTTGCTTCTATTGTTCGCCGATATGGCACGATACCAAACGGCAAGGATCTACTGTGCAGGGTATATTGTCAACTCATTAGATCATTAACGTGAACAGTGTACTAGATGAGATAATGAAATCGAGAGCTCTGCCTTTGTTGCTATGGTTGGTCATGTAATATCATTAACAACACAGGCTCCCGAGTAAGGCATCTCGACTCCTTGAGCAGTCAACGGCCAAAGCACTTTGTAGCCTGGCCGGCCGGCTAGAAACGAGAAAGGTAACGGGCGGACGGTGGAGCAAAGTTACTTTCCAGATTAGGAAGCTGCATTGTCTTAAATGGTTGGCTGCGCTCTTCCCAACGTGGTTGGGTGGGTACCGCTCTCGGTCACTTGTCTCTTTGCGTCTTGTCCCTTTTTCTTTCTCTTTGACATCGACCCGCATCACCTGATCTACCTATTTTGTATAATTAAACTTCTGCCTAGCGAGCCAATCTCTATAGTGTGGCTGCCCAGGATAGATTCTATTGGTTCGGAGATGCTCGTCAATCGAACTAGCTTTCGGCATGCGTCTGTGTGCTAATGACTGACTCACCGAAGTGGTGGGGTGCTTTGGGTGCTTTGGATGCTTTGGAAGATCGCGATACCTGTTAGGCTTGCGGCCTCGTACCTTCACTCTCGAAATAGGCAAACTTTTACCCGACGGCAGGAGAATTTAACTTAAGCGTTTTTGGGCAAGCATTGAGTCCGTGGCTTGCAAGCAGCCTGTTGTGCAATCGCTTTAATTTTTGAATGGCTATCCTGTCTCATTAGCGTGCGCAAAAAAAAGAAAAGAAACGAAAAGGAAATCGCCCCAAAGTTGACGCGGGGTTGTGTGGAATGGGAGTCATATGCAGCTTGGTCAGGACCACGTACACCAGGCTGGTGCCTGCAGAGAGCAATGTTCTGGAATTTGGGATGTTTCATATTCCGACTTGATGATACCATCAAAATATACTATCGATATGGACTCACGGATACAGTCACACGCCCGTATTTGGAGGAAGGTAAATCATGGTGGTGTCACCCTGGACGATCACGACGAAGGAGGTTAGGCTAGCCTGAGCTCTCAATTTAACCTACAGACTAGTCTCCCGTGCCGGTAACGTAGGCGCCGCAATTTTCTGGTTGCCCCATTGCGATCCATTGGCTGGATGACACGCTAATGCTAAAACGGGCACCAATCTGCGAAGCTACAATTTCCAACGGATATGATTGGTACTAGCCGACTAAATAGACTTTCTACGTGCCCCAATCTTCGGCACGTCACCACAGATGCGTAAGTAGCAGGCCAATGAGATGATAATATACTGCGAAATAACCTTTTTAAGCGAATTCAAGGTCCATCACTTTCCTATTGTAACCTAGTTCCACCTACCATTCCTGTGGCGTGGGGCGTGTATTGGTCGAAGGGCAGTCTCCAGCTGAACCTCCAAGGGCCCAAACTCTCTTGGGTTGACCTGGCCGCAAAGTAAGCCCCTTGCGACTTTGACGTGACAAGTCAATAAACTGTGCTGGTGCTGGGACCTGCTTGTGAGGCCAGCCGCCAAAGCATGAATGAGACAACTGTCAAGAATATGATTGTTTGGAGCTAGCTTGGGTTTTAATTGTCTTATCCAGTTTTGAATACTGTCTATCTCTCAAACATGCAGTAAAGCTGAGCTAATGAGAAGTTGCTATTAGATTGCAACCATAGTGAGGGCAAGAGTGTTAGATCCAACTATTCGAGGAGAGTGCTGATGGGGGTATTCGCAAAATCATGCCCCTCTTGGTATACAAGTCGTCATTATTTTGTATTGAAACTGCTAGTGCTCTAGTCTTGTCGTCCTGGAAATTATTACTAACCCTTGTCTGATCATCCTCCTGTTATTATTTGGTCATCGTATCAACTCATCCCGCGGAAGTGGTTGATACTAGGACTCAAAGGAGTCAAGCGCATACATTTCTTTTCCCTTACGGTCTCCACTATGATGGATTCCTTAGGATTAATCAGCCTGTGATAGTACCTCACTCCAACCAGAGCCTCTATGCCAAGCTGGTGGCTTCTGGATATCGGTCCCTGCCGCCCACCAGTCTCCACTACGGTCGATTCGAGATTCTAACGGGGCTGTCATAATCGCATTTTATTCGCAGTTCATTCTCCTTTCATCCACCTGATGAGGCAGACGTTACCGGATGCGGCCGACAGAAATGACTACGTATGAGTAGGCACCACTCTCGAGCTCATCGGCGTCGCCCATCCTTCACCCGTGCACGGGCTGGCCCTTGTTTTCCTTCCTGCTTCCAGTCGTATTATCGCCTATCAAGGAGGTCCAGAATGCTGAGATCATCGCAAAAAGCCGGCACCATGGCGGTCATGGCCTCCCTAACGGCCCCATCCAACACAGGCCACATGGCCGCTGGGTAGCTGAAAAGGTGACCTGGAATAGCCCCCCTCCCCCTTGACAGGCTAACCTAGATAGGATGGTCGGCTACGCCTTCTAAGGTTGTCTGTCGGAGCTTTGGTTGAGGGCCCATCGAGGCTGTTGAGGAACCGGGTTAGTGTAGGCTGTTGATCCGCTAGAGTCATTCCGGGGCACCAGCATTCGCACTTGCTATTGACACCATTGTAGCGGGTCCCTATTGTGTCTCGACTGTAGACGTTTATTATTATTACTCTTAATATTATGGGACAGCCCTCCTCCTTCCTTCTTAAAATCGACAACACTGCCCCTTCGCGTATCAATCATCAGCTGAATACACGAGCCTCAAAAGTAGGACGTGGTATTGATCCTGGGGGCTTGATTCATCTCAGCGGGGAGCATTAGATGAACCGCTTGCGATTATCTATTCGCCTACCTTCCAGAAGCCCTCTACTCGTATTCGTCAACACGTGTTTGCCTCACCCCTGCAGTCACGCCGTTATATTAATTCAGCAGAAGGCTGCATCTACTAGTACACTTGTTCCAATTTTGACCTCTTGCGCCTTTTAGTCGCATTCTTCTGGCTGCGACCCCAAACGATACGTTAGGTTTCAAAAGAAAGACTGGTACCTAACTGGGATACATAAGGAAATAAAATCTTCAGCCTTGAACCCCGCCAATCTTGAACTCTATATACAACTCTTCACGACATCTGAAACTATACACACCTGGACTTGCTGAAAGACTGGGTGATACCTTCACTCTACACAGCTCTCCAATCCAACATATCTAATTAAATTATCGACCTTGTTGTATTTGAAGTGCTAGGAAGCAAAATGCCTGGTCCTGGAGGCGGTCCACCGCGCAGAAGCCACACCAAATCTCGAAATGGCTGCAAGACCTGCAAGCGCAGGCATATACGATGTGACGAGACATTCCCTCAATGGTGTGCTTGGCCTAAATATTGCTAATTCATCGCTAACAATATCTTAGCCGGAACTGCACCAAGCATAACTGCAGGTGTGACTATATGGACTTGCAGGCCGCCCGAGAGGAAGCTCCACGCAGCTCGGATGTTCCTAATTTGATGATGACATCTGATATCGAGGCGGAGATTGAGAGCTGGCAGCTCACTGGCCTTCCTCCCTTTCCTGAGTTGTCTCAAGGCGCTCGAAATGACTGGTTTCGATTCTCAAAAACCGACCTTAGGCTAATTCATCACATCGCTGGTCTTTCAATCGACTTCCATCGTCGAGGCCTAAGCGAGGCTACTGTTTGGGCGCTTAAGATGCCATGGTAAGTTGCTACCTCGTATGATTTGCCTGAAGAAAGGAATATATTAATAACAGTCTATCAATCCAGTCTTCTTGCAATTGCCGTGTCAAGTGACTTTGTTATGAATTCAGTCCTCGCATTCTCCGCCTTACATCTGGCATATTTGACAGGGAGCAAGGAGACGAAGAATCTTTCATATCATTATCGTGGAATTGCCTTTAAAGGATTGCAGAATGCTATCGGGACATTTTCTAAGAAAAACTGCGATGCAATACTGGCTGCCTCTCTCCTTCTGTCTTGGCAAGCTACAGATTGGGCGTCCTTGGCATATTTGCAGAAGGGAATATCATCGGTCCTAGACTCCATGCATCCATATTGGAAGCAGAGATCAGAAATCGCACAGTTTCTAGAGAGCCAAAGGGCTCTCCGTTCCGTGAACACGACTCTTAACCCTGCATATCTCGCTGGCACCACACAATACCAAAGCGAAAACCTCGAACGCATTGACGGCTGCATTGCGGACCTGCAAAATGTTCTAGAAAATGTGCAACAGATACCCGAATACTCCGAGAGAATAAACGAGCTGCTTATGTTTGTGAAACAGCTGCGCAGCGACATGCCAGTACAATCTCCGGAAAATGCTTTCGAGAGGCTCCACCCTCTGCGCACATGGCTGTTCTGGTTACCGACAAAGATGTTAAGAGGTGGGGAAGGTGACCTGGGGGCCTTATCTATCCTTGCCCAGTTTTATTCCACCGCTCTCGCCCTTGAGCCAATATTCCCTGAGATTGAAGGCTCATATCTGGGATGCATGGCGGTGACCCCTATTGAGCATATCGACGCAATTTTGACATCTCGGAAATCCTCGCTTCCGTACTTGCCCATTGTACAACTAGCAGTTAGTCTTATGAGCTTTCCTCGGACTGTTATCACTGACTACAAGAGCTGCATTCAATGGTCACACCACCAGATGCCGCGAATGGGTCACTTCGAAGCAACGCCTCCAAGCCCTTATCATCATTTTCCTGACATGTCCTTCCCATCTACCGCACCATACACTCCACCAATTCATTCACCGCCAACGCTTGCAGTCCTCACACCGCCTTTCCACCCTCAACATATGTATACTTCACGCCCCAACTTGTCAGCAGTCTATGTAGGATCTCCTCTTCCGTCAGAACCAGGGGATGAATGCCTGTCAGACTATAGCCGAGGAACGCTTGAGCCTTCTCCGGCCTTTTCATCGCCGTACAGTGACGAGATTCATCACCAGCTACCCTCAACCGATACGTCTGGAGCTTTGAATATAGGCCTACTTCAGGAATCGCCTATTATGTCAATAGGATCAGTTGCTCCTGAGCTTTGGACGTGACGATGAATGCGGTATGAATTGTACTTTTATACGGATAACGAAAAGAAAAAGGCCAAAGTCTCGCCTCGACATGCGACGCTATTTCGGGGTAAATCATCACATCCGTCAAGCCATGCGACTCCACTATAGCGGGCCAGATAAATACGCGTCCATTTAATGTGCCCATAGCAGACTGTCCATTTCTATTGTCGTGATTTACCTACAAGTTTTATCTTTTGTATTTGATGATTGAAGGATCTAATCTTAACAACATATATACCAATTAGCGGGGCTTCTTTTTTGGACTTTGGGTTTGGATTCAAATATTAATATGGTGATTTATTGCAATGTTTTTTTAATACATGAAGAGCGCTACTTTTGCTTTTTCAATATTGGAATGGAATTTATGGGGCTAGATAGATATATTCATTTACACATTCTCCCTTCTTGCACTATTCGATACGAAATGGGAATATCTCCATTTCTCACACCGCATTTTCCTTCATTGAATTCTGATATACAGCAATTCTCGGAACTCCATTGCCAATAATAGTGCTTGAAGCTGACTTAAGAACACGAACTTGCGTATGAATTGCCCCTTTTTATCTTTGAGTGATGCCAAGAATAGCATCGACAAATCATGATTTAGCATAGGCTGTGCTTCATCTCGTATTCCAAGCGCCTTGACATCCTAACATTTCCAACCAAATGTCAGCCGCACCTTAATATGACATGCATGAATTGGGCCTGTTTTTCTCTAGTGTTAATAATTCAGACATAAGCTATGGCTTTAAGATTAAAATAACTCTGTAGATTTTTAACAATCTAAAGAAGTAATCAGCTAACTTATACATTTATCTTCTCCCAAAAAGTCCTCTACACATGTTTTCCAGCGAAATTTCGCCGATAAGTGACTTCAGCCTCCTAATGTATTCAAATTCTTAGAAATTATAGTTCTTATGAAAAGTGCCATCTTTTTATTTGAGATATAAATATCCTCTACGTTCGTATATAAAGAGGAATTTCGAAAATATAATCCCATTGGAGAAGTATTCAGATCTTTAACTATCTCTCAACAACCCGCTCTAATTTGCACTTCGCTGCGAAGCCCCACAGCCTCCAACCCCGCATCTTCAGAGTCCCGTCATGTGGTGCCAGCTACGACTTGCCATAGCTGCCCTGGTGCGTGAAGCAAAAGTGACACAAGAGTTTCCGTGGTAAGTGGGCGAGCACATTAAATACATGTATTTATCCGAGGAAACCTTTTTCTTTCATATATTTTAGATATATCTATACGATTCCAATTGATTTAAAGTTCATATAGATGATTACATATTGAACATTGAATGACGATATCGAAAAGGATGGCATTGATTTTACGTCGTACCTGAAACTTGAGGCCGCTACTGCTAAGGGTGTTGATCTGAGAGCGTATTATGAAGCATGGTGGGAGGTGTAGACGCCTGGCTTCAAGTTACTGCCACACCTGTACAATGACTGCAATGATAGATTTCATTTGTCAATATACAATTCATAAATATTGCTATCAACATTGTAGTAGACGTAGAGCGTCTTCAATACTTGTTAGTGCCAGAAGAGCCAGATATTCTAACAACATCCCACTACTTGCATAGATCAACTGCGAAGGTTGGAAGTTAGGGTTGGAGACAGTTGCCCTACTTCAAGTCGCCTAGCGTCTGTTGTGGCCGGGCCACACTCACCGCTGTAGAAAGCATGAAATGAAACTCATATGATTCAGCAGAATATCGAAATTAGTTGATAAATTAGTTGATAAATTACCTGATAGACTGTGGAATCAGTCAATTGTCGGTCTTCCTCAGCGATGCGTTGAGTTTCTCGCATGTTTGCACATCCGTCAAACAGGGAAATGGGCTATATTACCATTGCGGGACTAGCTCCGTTGTGACGCAAGCTCCAACAGAAGCTTGCAGAAAGCACGCAAACTGGTTGCTTTCACTGTCGCATCACAGACGCATGTGATAAACCAGAATTCTTGTTGGACAGAGTTATTGCATCCTACACAGGAGGTCTTCATAACACGCGGGTTTATTCGCTGCAATTCGACTCGAACCATTCCTGATAATTCTGGATTGCTGACATTTGTTGTCCATTGATTTCGGCTCACCCGCACCTTTCAACAACGATCGCAGCTTACGCCATTCACGAGTATCACGCGCGTCACGAAAATACGAGACCGAAGGTCTAGTCATCGAGGTACACGCCGCATACTCACCATGGCCGACGGTGGAGGCTGGAGTACAATTGAGTCTGACGAGGTGAGCATGTCGCGTGTCCTCACCGACCCAAAAATTTCTAACCACCTGTCATGATCCAGGGCGTATTCACATCTCTAATCGAGAACATCGGCGTGAAAGGCGTGCAGTTCGAAGAGCTCATTTCCCTCGATGCCGACACAATACGCTCATTAAGGTAGCCCACACCGTGGTCTTTAACCACTCGTTCCTGTATCTCACTGACTTGTCCTATCTAAGCCCTGTCTACGGCGTCATTTTCCTCTTCAAATGGATCGGCGGCCAGTCGCGCGACCGAACAACCCCTGCTGACGGCACATACGACCAACAAGCCGCGACAGAAAACGGACTTTTCTTCGCCGCACAGACAATTCAGAATGCTTGCGGCACCCAAGCCATTCTCTCCGTCATCCTCAACCACGACACACCTGCATCAGGCACACCTGTCCCCATCGACATCGGTTCCGAGCTTTCCTCCTTCAAATCCTTCACTCAGGGCTTTCCCTCCGACTTACTTGGTGAGGCGCTATCGAACTCGGAGGCGATTCGCACGGCTCACAATGCGTTCGCCCGCGCAAGTCCCTTTGCAGACGAGACGCAGCGCACAGCGCAGGACGAGGAAGGCGATGTATTCCACTTCATCGCATATACGCCTGTCCACGGGCAGCTGTACGAACTAGACGGCCTCCAGCCCTTCCCGATCAGCCACGGGGCGTGCGACAGCGAAAATTTTCCGGAGAAGGTCATCGAGGTGCTCCAGCGGCGCATCGCTCGATACCCGGCCGGCGAGGTGCGGTTTAACCTGATGGCCGCAGTGCGCGATTTGCGGATAAGGGCGCAGGAGATTGGCGACACGGAGTTACTGGAGCGGGAGAATTCGAAGAGGAAAGCGTGGGCGTGGGAGAATTCGCTGCGACGGTGCAACTTTGTGGGTTTCATTGGGGAGACACTCAAGGGCGTGGTGGATCAGAAGGTTCAGCAGGGCCAGTATGATTCGTGGGTGGAGGCAGCGAAGAAGGAGACTCTACGAAGAGCAGAGGCGAGGAAAGGTCTATAGACATATTCCTATAGTAGGTTCCGTGGAAGTTGTTTTTAGCATGTACTATACCGCCACGCATCTAGGAAATTGTATGATGATGATATCATGAGCAATACAATACAGCATTAACATTCAACTCCAACACTTAGACATAACAATTGATATGTGTGTAAGGGTATAATGATTTTCAATTTTGATATTTAGGTGGTTGTGCTATGTATTCACATGAAACAATCAATAAGATTATATAACACCATACATTCCGTTTATGCATAAGCTGTCAAATTCAACATTTCAAGCACATGAGGGTATCCGCTATGCATGAAAACAGAGGATCAGAGTAGATGGATCATTCTTAATCAAGGATATGCAAAATAAAGTGTCAATAATTCACAACCTTCGACTTGACGATTTCCAAAAGGCCCCCAGGAAGCTCATCCTCACGAATCAGGCCCATCGATAAAACATCCGCCCAGAAGAAAAGAGCGCGGTCCTGGGCGTAGGCGAGGTAATCAAACTCGCTTTCCGAGTCATCAACGTCACCTTCGGTTTCATTATGATTAATGTTATTAGTGGTATTAATTAGTGACGACGTGGGATCTTCCTGGCACTGTTCCTCCAGGGCGGGCACTTTGGCTTGCACAATGCCCCAAGCGACCCATTGTGCGGAATTTGCCACCCGCCATACGCGCGTTTGCCGCATCAAATGCTGAATTTCGGAGTCGTGAGACTCGTCGACGGACATACGATCTGATTCCAGACTCAAGGAGGTAGTAGATGCGGAAGTTAGGCTCGGTACAGCAGGTGCATCGAGAGAAAATGGGGCTAGACGTGGTGTGCTGATCGATGCGGGGGTAATGTCAGGTGTAGCGAGGGGTGATGCCGTCGAGCCGACTTGCGAGTGATGCGAGACGTAGGCAGAAATGAAGCGATGCTGTTCTTCAGGAGTTGGATATGCGCGTGTGTTGCACGCCCATGAATACTCGGCATCGTGGTAGTTGTAGCACCATTCGGTAAAATGGTTAGCGAACTCGAGGCCACGTGTGTTAGCGGACGCGTATTCGAAGTCGATGACAACGAGCTGTTTGTGTGAATTTGCGGGGAGAAGCAATGGCGATTCTTCCTCTGGTTCGAGGCGGAGAAGATTGCCGTATTGAGTCTGGAGTGAGAGGTTAGTGGTGTTGAAGAGATTATTCCTCTGATACTCACATCGTTATGTGCAAAGACAAGATGTCGATTTATCTCCTTCACGCCGCCCAGATGATCCGTGAGCCAGATACGATAGTTCTCAACAGCCTTTCGAAACGTAGCCCACGGCACACCGCACACAAAACCACGTTTACGCCATGGCTCGGTCCTGTCTCTTCGATCCGAAAGAATTTCATTGTCCAGCCACGAGATCACCTGTTCGCAGCGATCCACCCATTTGTCCCAGTTTCGAAATACAAATGGGCCTGCACGTCGTTCTTCTTCAAGCAATTCAATCCCGTCATGAAGCTCTCGCATTCGTTTTGCAATCTGTCGTGAAGTCGCTGGGATTCGCAGCTCTTTGGGGGTCAACGGGTGAGCGTTGAAATACTCTTCAAAACGACCATTATTGAATGTACCGAGGACTCGTGGTCCAATATTCTTCCGCCCTAAGCGCCGTAAAACCTGCAGCTCTGCTTCTCGGTCAATCAAGTGTTCCACCTGAGGCCCATAGATACGAAGGAGCAATTTTCTAACCATTGTTAGCAAGCAGTAGAGCACTAATACGTTTAAAGAACACTCACGGCGGTGGCCGACGCGGGACTAAAGGCTCCCTCCTGTCTGCATTTGGACGCACGAACTTTGGAGGCTTCACCATATAAACAGCATTTGTAAGAGCACCGCTGAGACGGGTAACTTCAATGTCTCCGCAGCTCTCCATATCAACACTTCGCCACCCTTTCAACCGAAGCGTATGAGCTAAGCGTAATATTTCTGCCTTGAATACCAACCAAGGATTCTTCTCTCTTGAACCACGAGTGTGCGGGTCAGAAACAGTCACAAGATTCTCTGTCGAGGTACCACCGGTATATCCCAAAGTCTTTGTATTGTCCAATGCAGCATCAACGCTTGGAACACTCATCTCGTCGTAATAATCAGACTCGGACCCCGAACCCCTCCTAAGCCCTTTAGAGCGGCCATGTCGATGCTTTCTGGACAGCTGGCGGTGAGGAGGCTGTTCTTTTGTCGGGGCATAGAGCTGCAAAATCTTCTCCAACTGATCCAATGCCAACCCCTTTTCCGAACCAAAAGAATGCCTTTTTTCATCGAGTGCTAAACCGCCGTCACTACTTGCAGCACCGCTGTCAGCGCCATTGCGCTTGGTTTGTTCTTGTCGCAGCCAGTTCAGGACTTGGCCGAACAAAGCTTGCTCGGACTTGTTGCTGCTCTGCACATCCTCCTCGTCCTCGGGGCCATCGAGGCGAAGATTCGAGATCTGGCTGCGAAGAGAGTAGACTGGCGATGGCTGTAATATGGGTGACCTGGCTGATATCCTCTTGACGACAGATGCTTTGTATTGTTTTGCCGCGGTTATTTCCTTGGTTGTTGCGGCTCCGTTATGGTCTCCATTACTTTGATGAGATGTTTCTTGCGAGGCTGTGTTCTCACCAGGACGGTTTCCTAGAGATAGTTCGTCAATAAATTGAATAGCAGAGACATAACAGGCCCAGGACCGAGCAATAGGTTCGGGATAGCAAAACGAGTTTAATTTTACAAATATAATGCAGGCGCAGGCGCAGGTTCATACAGGAATATTTGAATATTTGTACAGGGCAAGATAATAGATCACATACCCGGTAGTGCAGTGCTCTCGTGACCCATATCATCATGGGCGGGAGACGGCATCGTCCTTTTCCTTTCCCTTGCTTTTCCCTGGCTCGCCTTAAGGCTTACTTTGCGGTGATAAGAAGTGATGAGGATCTGGCCAATAATATAAGAACCAATGGAAAAAAAGGTCGGGACTAAAATTATACACGGAGAGCAACCGACCCGGAGAATGCAGGGTTGCAGAAAGGAGTTAACGAACGAAACGAAAAGCAGCCAAGAAAGAGAAAGAAAAGAGAGGAGAGCGATAAGGCACGCGACCCAAGGCTAGATGTCGATAAGCCCAGAAGAACCGAGGAAGCACGACTGGCAAAAATACAAGGAAAAGAGAGAAATTGGGACCCCGCCGCCTGGTCTGCTTTAGTTTTTGGTTCAGGCTTAGTGGGCCAGCAAGAACTCAAGAGACAGCTTAGCTTCTTTTCTTTCTTCCTCTCTTCCTTTGGCGGACCGTGGCCGAGAACATGGGCCCGCTGCAGCGAGGCTAAATGGAACTGCAGGCACGAAGCGCAGAGAGGCTAAGCTGGGGACAGTTGTATAGATGTATTAGATGTCGATGTAGATGAAGAAGCAAAAGTTGGAGATTGGGCAATTTATGCAGTGGGCGGTCTGCTTGGCGTGCAAAACAGCGTCATACAGCTGCGATCTGCCGTCTGATTGGCTCTAGCCACAGGGCGGGGCCGTAGCAGGCGCTCTAACTGGCTAGTTGCCCTGCTCTCTATGGCTGACGTAGGCTACTTTGTTCTTTTCTACGTAATGGTGCATAGTTTACAAGAGTAGTAAAGAAACAAACAATATGTGCATTTTTGTTTTGAAATATGTCCCCTACGTTTGTGATGGTTCGGCCTAGCTATGGTACGACACGCTGTAGACCTTGAAGCCAAGCGGGCTGCTATTCCCGCTGGTCAGTGTTCCATTCTGTTGAATGCTCAAGTAGGCAGTATTGTTCGGAAGGGCATATTGTATAGTATACCCTTGGCCATTTCCGAGATAAGAAATCTGGAAGTCTGTGGCGAGTTGTTCCTGTGCAGCAGGGACTAGTGTAGCGCCCTGAGCGATCCAGCGACCGTCAAGGGCGCTGGAGACCTGGAATATACCGCTTTCCACGCCTTGTGAATAGTGAATGACCCAGCGTTGGCTGATGCTTTCATGATTGGAAGTAGCGTTGCTAACAGAGACGACGCCGCTGCTGTTTGCGTTGGACGATGGGTTACTTAGTGCGTACCCATTCATTTCGAAGGTTAGATAACGACCCTCAGTGAGGTAACCAACAACCTCCTTGAACCCATCTTCAAAGAAAAGCGAATCTTCCAGTGTCTGCTCGCCGTATGGAACAGGCGGCTGCGCCTTCGAGAAGTTTGCTTGGCACAGCGAAGATCCATCAAAGTTTCCACTTGAATCCTGATGAGGCGGGTCGGCTACAGGAACATCAGGGATACTGTAGTCAGGCTGTACAAGAAAATGTGTCAGACAAAATGTGCGAACAGATATTAAAAAAATTGATACTGACATTTGAGAAGTCAAATGCATTGACATAGTTGCACATATGTTCGCGACGCCATGGGACCATGCCATCCAGCGTGTAGTTTGAGTATCCCTTGGCCTTCAGCCACTCCTCAACAAACAAAATCTGAGAATTGTGGTCGCAACGTTCACTGAAAACACGTCCACCACGTGTCCAAGGTGACACAATCCAAGCTGGGACACGGAAGCCAGGGCCTGTAAAGATCTGACCAAATTCGCCTAATGGATCATTCATCCACTCTCCTTGTGTTCCTTCAGGTGAATGGTATGGGAGTACGGCATCACCCCATCCACCAGTTTCTAGACAGTTAATCAGCGTAAGGATCAAGCAAGGATGAAACAAAGATATGTCCTACCATCGTATGAGACGATCAGAGCAGTGGAATTATACTTTGGACTGTTGACTACGGCGTTGAAGATCTGCTGGTGAAGCCAGGCACCGTCCTTGGGCATCCATGGAGGGTGCTCAGACAACTCGTTTTGTCCGATAATGATACTAACCATGGGAAGAGTGCCGTTGGCCGCGGCAGCCGTGAAGTCATCCAAAGTGTACAGGAACGAGTTTCCGTGCTCATATAAAGGAGAGTCAGTGGCCGCCTCCTGGTACTGCTTGAACCAGGCATTTGGATTGTCGTCGAAGTTATCTTTGTCCTGCCACACTTGCCAGGTCACCCCGATGCTTTCGTAGACTTCAAAGGTAGTCTGCCAAGTTAGGGGATAGCAAGAATAGTCGCCATCCGCACCTGTTTCGCAGCCTAAAGTATATAGAAATTAGCTCCTGTCCATGGGCAGTATAAGAAATTAATGGGGATTTTGTACCCGGAGTCTCGTTGTTATCAATATAAACGCCGCCCGTTCCATTGGGGTTTGTCGGACTACCTGGCGCATTGATAGTACCACTAACCCATGTTACCCGATTCGGGCTTGTCGACGTGATTTGGCCTTCCTGATACATATCATTGACGGTATACGCCTCAGCCATGGCAAAGTGTACAGGGAGATCTTCTTTTTTGAAGTAACCCCAGCTCCAGGGAGTATTGTTGACGGCCCAGTGATTGTTTAAATCCCCGTTCAGAGTCGCATGGTTAGCATCGTAGCCATTGGAACCAGCCACCATACATTGAGTCGAAGCTGACCAATCCCCGCCTAGGTAGTTGAGATACCATGGCAGCAAATAATCAGTCTTAGTGGACAGGCTTTCGTCAACTGTTCTGATATAGTTGTTAACAGGAAGAATGCTGCAGACTGAGAAATCAAAACTACTAACTGGTACCAGACAGACCGCCCATCAGGATTCACTTGAACATTGGGGTCATTGAATCCCCTTACACCGGCCATAGTACCAAAGTACTATTGGGAACAATTAGTTCGCATCCCTGAGAGCAATAAAAGGCGAGGCTCTTCCACCTACATGGTTGAATGCCCGGTTTTCTTGCATGAAGAGAACCACATGGTCGATTTCCTCCAATCCAGCGCGCACCGGGCTGGCCCCAAATGCCAGACCCAGAGCAACACTCACGACAAGTGCCATGGTGTGCAGTCGCAGAAAATAAGATAGGCAATCTCCCTAGCTTTGGTTTGGCCTGATTAACGCTGCTATACTCAGTCTCTAGCACTCCTCGCCGTGGAATGAAAGAAGGGAGAAAGAAAACAAGTAGAGGAGCTTGACATGAATCTAACCAGCTGGTACTTATTAGTCGCACATCATATGGCAGCCAACTAACACAGCCGCAAAGCAAGTAAAGTAAGCAATCGGATTTCATTGGCTGCGGGTCATCAGCTGTCCGCTATGGACGGGAGACGGTCCTTAGTTCCTGCATGAGGCGTGCCGGACTGCTCTTAGTGGCCAGATGCACACTTCAGGTTACAGCGTTACACTGCACATCATGCGGAGTAGGATGGAAGAATCGCTATTCTGCAGAGAAATCGAGCTACAGTAGCGGAATTTCGAAAGGAGAGAAGGGGCTGGAATACACGTGAGGCACATCGATCTGCTCGCAACGGTGGAAAGTAGAGTCACACTGCTCATGAGCCACCTGTGTGGACGTAAATGCAGGGTGTATATACGCGGGAGTCAGCTTGGCGGATTCCTTAGTTTTGTGGAGGCTCGAATTGGGGTCCTTATACTAGTCACTGACATCTGAATTACTTCCTTAGGTAATGATAAACGTCCTTTCATATTGGGCCGTTTCTTCTTCCCTCGTGTCTCAGATGTTGCATCGATCTCGCAGTGCCTGGCAGTCTGTCCGGCAGAGCAAAGCAGCTATCGCACCGCAACATTCTAGCGCGCCTTTCCGGGGGAGGCACATACAACGGCCCACTAAGTTCCTTAGCTTGGCGGCGTCAACAGGAGTGAGGGGCTTACCTCATGGGTTGGGTCGGTTGAGTGTTGATAAGTAGACGCGAGTGAGGGTGATGGAAGGAAAAGAAATCCGGCAACGACATGTCTCGATGTCGCAGACCACTGCAGAGTTGGCCGTAGGGCAGGCGCGGGGGAAACAGCAGGCGCGGTCGCGCTTGCTGTCGTGGACAGTAATCCTGCCGCTCCTGCCATTTCTGGTTATATTAGTGCTTTTCGCCCGCTTCTTCTTCGACCCGAACGAACCCAACCGCCGCCCGTTACCAGCAGGCCAGCAGCAAAAACAACATCATGAGGCGTCGCAATCGACAGAGTGGTTTTCGAGCATCGACAGTCTCATTTACGACAATGGGCAACTCCATCCAGAAGGCCATATTCATCGCGAGGCAACCACGCAGACCCTCACATGGCGGATAAGCACTGGGCAGCGGCGCCCGGACGGGGTTCAGAAGGATGTGTTTTTGATAAATGGTTTGTATGAATGGAACCAGTGAACGCACAGGTGTTGACTATGTTCCCAGACCTATTTCCTGGTCCGATCATTGAGGCCCGCTCGGGAGATACCATGAACATTCTGGTACATAACGGCCTGGGAGAGGATGATATAACAATGCATTGGCATGGCCTCGAAATGAGAGGTATATATACCGCCATTATCAGTTGATGACGCTCTCTAACTGTCATACAGATGCAAACTCGATGGATGGCAGTTTAGGGGTTACGCAGTGCGGTATCCAACCTGGCCAGTCATTTTGGTACAACTTCACCATCTCAAACGACCAGAGCGGCACATTCTGGTACCATGCACATTCCAGCGTTCAAAGGGTGGACGGGCTGTATGGAGGCTTGGTCGTGCACAAGCCAGCTATAGCTGTGTCTTTGGATCGGTTTGGAAGAACTAGTGAACGAAGAGATGGCGCTTTAGCGGACAGTATGAAATACAGCTACGATAAGGAGCTTCTTTTACTTATTGGAGACTGGTATCACCGCCCAGCTCAGGATGTCGCTAGCTGGTATTTGTGGTGGGGGTCCATGGGATATGAGGTGACTGAACATCTATATCAATTTGCCGTTCTTTTGACTGATTCAACGGAGTAGCCGGTCCCAGATTCCATGCTGATCAATGGTGCTGGTCGGTTCAACTGTTCAATGTCAATGCCGGGTCGACCGGTAGACTGTATTGGCGACGCTTCAGATAGACCGCCAATCAAGCTGGATGGGCAGAGCTCGTACAGAATACGAATTGTGAACACGGGGTAAGAGCAAAATATATTGTCTTATAGTTCTAGTGAACCACCCACTTAACTATTATCTGATCAGATCTCTCTCCGGAATCACAGTCAGCTTTGCTAAAGAAGCAGTTGATATAATTACCCTGGATGGTGGAATACCAGTAGAGGCACGAATTGGCATGGAGGGCATGTCATCAGCGGGTATCCTATTCCCGGGCCAACGAATGGACCTTGTCTTGCGCCCATCACAACGTCTCGGGGCAAACGACGGCCCTTCATTAATAACTGTTCAATTGGATGAATCGTAAGATTTACCCATGGTCGACAAAACATGCATCGATATTCCATATCTAACTTGATTAGTGACTATAAAATCGGAAACCCATCCTTGCAATCTCGACAGTCTTTCCCTATCCTCAAGTCTCAAAACCATATGACCGGCGTCGTCCCTGGGCTTCTAGCTGACAAAGAACTTGATTCTCAGCATATCGACATCGAAAAGATCCCCTCAGCCAGCTCTGTCCGAGCAATCTTACCACCAAAAGCACAACAAACCCACATGGTATATACAAAGGTGGAGAAACTCTCGCGACTCGCAAATATCCCACATGGCTTCTTCAACCGCACGACATGGAAGGCACAAAGTAGCCCACCGAACCCACTAGCTGGTCTTGCACGACAGCAATGGGACAAGAACCAGCTTGCTATTGTGACAGGGTCTGAGCCTGTATGGATCGATTTCGTCGTCAACAATCTAGACGAGGGAGCTCATCCATTCCATCTCGTTCGTATCCTTCTTCCGAAACGCCTTTATATTAATATCTACTAACCACAACCCAGCACGGCCACAACTTCTACGTCATCGCCGTCCACGAATCCACCCACGGCTGGGGCTCTTATAACCCCTGGGATGAAAAGTCGCGTATAGCAGCAGGATACATATCGACAGCAGATAGCGATTCCTACGATCTCAACCAGGCTGTCCTCCGCGACACCGTACAGATTCCACGCCGTGGATATGCCGTCCTCCGCTTTCGGGCTGATAATCCCGGCGTCTGGCTCTTCCATTGTCACGTAATGTGGCATTTGGCAGGCGGAATGGCCATGGTTGTGGACGCAATGAGCGTGGATGACTCTACTGCACATAACCCGGCGCTATCAACGGCGGAATGCCGTGTTTGAATGCACTGTAACATAAATAACCTATCTTTCACGCTTCACATATATGGGGCATAGTATAAACAATGAACAATACATATGTAGGTATCATCAATTCATGACTATAGTACAAATGCTAGGGTAAGAAAAAGCAAGCCTCTCTGTGTCCGCGAGGAACCGTCCATGTGTATATGTATATCAAACGATACCCTTTTCTCCTACCAGACCGAAAACAAACAAGCAGCGTGTATCAGGATATCAATTGGTTACCGAAAAGTCAACTGAAACATGAAAAGGGACATAGAATGGGTATAACGCCGGATGCTCATGCTATGACGATAGGGATAAGCAGGGTGTGGGGGAGTTAAGGTATTATGCGCTGTGTATGTGGGTTTAGGTATTTATAGCCGTAGCCCATTCAACAACTTCGAGGGCACACATTACGAGAATCAAAGTGGAGGGGAGGATCCTGGATGGTGTTAGTATAACTATGATGTATAGAGGCAACGAGAGGAACTCACCAGACAACGTAGCTTTGGAACAGTAGCTTGGACATGGCTCCCATAAACACGTTGTTGATCTGGCAGATCTGAGCTAGTTGAAGAGCCGACGGTGCGCCTGCGAGTAGAAAGCAGACGATGATGAAGATCGGGTCGTCGAGGATACTGATTGGAGCGTACTTGGCGAGCAAGGCTAGCAAAGGGGCCATGATAAGTGTTGGTAGTAGCATTCGCGCTATGAGGGAGGCGATGATCAGGTTGCGCTCCCCTTTTGCATCGCAGTCATCGTCCTTGGCTTCTTCTGGGAGAGTGTTGCGGGCCAGGTTGGCACCGAGAACAACCAGGATCAGTGGTACGGCGACTTGGCCGTTTTGATCAATGGCGCGGGTGATGGAGTTGCGGACAAAAGTGCCCTCGTCGAAGAAAAGGTGTTGCAGAGACGGGATGGAGGCGACGATGATTGCGGCAAGCATGGCCCACAAGGGTGGGTTCATGAAGTCCCATAGTCCGCGGAAGAAGATCCCGGTCCAGGAGGCCGACTTTGTGAGTCCCGTTTGAAGTGAAGATGGAAGCGACTCGTAGATTTTGTTCCTCCTGTTATCGAGGGACTTTGAAAAACCTGCATACCATTTGCCCATAGATCGCTTATATCGGTAATAGACTCCCTTCACACCAGTCGCTGCCGGCCCGTCACCTCGTCGAACTTCTATATCAGGGAAAGTGAGGATGTTACCAGTGGAATTTTGACGAGGGAGGAATGGCCCATTGGGTGGCGGTCCGATGATGGATAAAGGAGCGTCTGCATCTGAGTTATCGGCATCGCTATCGTCCTCAGCATCACGGTCTTCATCGCTCTGAGGGCCCGAGCGTTTACCACCCAAGCCTGAGAGCTTGGTATAGGACAAGGCACCGTCGTTGACTGGAGTCTGGGAACCAGATTCGAAATAGGTCGAGTGAGATGCCGTCACCGTGAGTCCGTTTTCAATCGACGATCTGGTCCGGACTAAGGGCTCGTCTGGGTCTGTCTGTAGTGGATTGTCCGTATAGTGTTGTTGACCACTTCTGATTGAATGTGCATCGCCCTCCTCGACATATCGTTCCTTCGGAGCCAATAAGACATGATAACCCCAGCTCCATCGAACCAATTGTCCCAATTGTTGGAAGATAAGTAGATATAAAATACCCCGCGCAGCAACTTCATCGTCATTGTCGTTGGGAACACGCTTCCAGTGTAGGCCCTGAAGGGTTTGCGACAGAGACATGACGAGGGATATGGGGAGGGAGTTCGAGTTACCAAACACCTATCATCATCAGCTCAACGGTGATCAATTCCATACATTTTTGAGATTGCTTACCGCCATGGCTGTGACGAAATTAGTCTGTCGTTTTTTTAAGCGAAATAGTCGCGAGACGATGGAGGAACAGAGGTAGGAGATGCCGGTCGTGACAATGAAAATGATGGGAATAATGGCGAGGTCTGTGAGCTTCTCTGCAGTGAGCTGCGAGGCTAGCTTCGTAAAGACTATCCTCGTGTTAGCAGACAAGTTCTTTCCCACCAATTCATCATCACATACCTAGACATGGCGTAAAGAGGGTGACGTTCAAGTTGGCGACGAGCTTCTGGGCGTCGGCATCGAACATGCCCTGTCTTGCAGCGATGTATCCTGGTAAACTGACACAGATCACCTCCAGCACGGCCTCGAAGACCAGCAGGATGAGATGGAAAAAGCTGGGATGGCTGGAGTGGGCGCCAAAGCCAGCGACCAGCTGCGGCGAGTGCCCATCAGGCAACAGGTAACGGGCTTGCAGGCCCTTGAGCGAGTGGAATGCGGTGGGCGAGGTGAAGATGGCCATTTGGCAGGGGGTGTGTTCCCAGGTGGCCGTGGAGGAGAAAGATAGGGAGAGCAGAGGAAGAGGCGAGAGCATCACCACTGTCCAGAGAGATGTCGTGCTGCCTGCTCTTGGCCTGAGGCTGCTATCGCGTCTCGAATATTATTGTTATCTGACGCTGCTGATTGGTGGCACCGCCACTCGAGCCACTTCGGAGTCCGATAGAGCAGGCGGCACGGCCAATCAGCGGTCACACAGAACCGCCCATGCAATGTGATTGGTGGCGATGGGGCATTTGCCAGAGGAGGCTTGGGGCGGCTACAGCCACTGCGCGTGCTCCATTGGCGCACGAGAGTCGTTTCGTCATTGACCGCAGCATTGACATCCAGACATGCATACTCCGTACATATACATACATATACGTATGTATACATACATACGTATACACCGCTGTACCTACATGCATGCATGTATGTGATCGATATAGTGATCTACAGCTGCGTGACGATGCAGACGCCGAGTAGCTTTGAATCAAACAGGTATCGGGAATGTAAACAATAATAAGAATAAAATGTTGACTCGACGTCATGCCTACGCAGCGATCTGCATCCCTTCACTGTGTACAGTCTGATTCAGTGGAAAAAGCACACTGTACTCCTTGGTAGCAAGTTGTGATCCTGCCGGACCGCAACCCGCCAATCAGCTCCCTGCTCGCATCTTCTTATTGTTATTTTGGAGTAACTTTCTACCATGCCGGATCCTCAGGCACACGCATGCACTCAGTGGTTAGTCGATTGTCATTCTCATTCTCATTGCAAGTGTTGTGTTTGCGCTGCCGGTGGCGACTTTCATCCTGCACGACAGCCTAATCAATTGATAATCAGCCACACCGTTGGAATGGCCCATGGAGCCTGCCCAATCATGGCGCGCACACGCGCAGTCATCAACGATCGTGCATGAGCCTTGATTTGGCCTGGCAATCTTGAATCTAGCTCTCAAGGCATCAGCATCGTTACAATGATATAATCAATGCAACGAGGCTGCACGCGACGTAATCCTCCCCGTCGCTGGATGTTATTTCCTCCTCTGTCAGTACACGTATTCAATCTCCATCTTCAACACTCGGTACAGTCTGGTACGGGGCCTGATTGGCAAAGGCTGATTCATAATTCAAATTAGCAGATGATTAATCTGGTGGCTGAGAGTGGGCATTTCCACCATAGTATCCATCCTATCTATGACCCATCACGATCGCACGCCGACTAATAGTGACAACTATTTCGCGCACACGACCACCTTCGCCCAGTCACAGCGCGCAGCTCAGAATAAGGCAAAAAGGTGGCCACCGCACGCCCAACGACGGTACCTTCTCCCGCGCGGGCCCAGCCTATCGCCTCCCCGCCTATAGAGCCCTTTCTCGCCTTCACCCCGACCGACTCTACTCCGAACACTCATCCTCGATACACGACCCCTGCTCGTCGCCAACCCAGCTGGTCGTCTGGATAACGCCCAGTTTTTGGTCGTTCCTTCTTTTCTTGATTGCTATCGCTCCCCTTTTGCTGCGTCTGCGCGCCGCTCCCCGTCGATCTTTACAATCTTATCGGCCTCCAACGAACGTTGATGTGCATCTCTCGCTCTCTTTGCACGCGTTCACGAGCCAGCATCTCCTAGCTACCCGTATCAACCGTCGCTGCCTAGAATCCGTTGTTATCGACTTGTCTTAATCGGCCCAATCTGCCCAAATCAAGCTGGCGACATTAAATCAGCCACAGCCCCGCAACAACTTTTTTGCCAATCTAGACGTTCGACTCGGACCGACGGTTCCCCTTCCAGCTTACTATCCTCGCTTACACAGTACGGCGTGCTCGTCAAACCTGCGCGTCCGCCGCAAATTGGACTCTTCTCCACACGAGTGCGCCGCCCTCTACGGGCGCGGATCGAAGGCCTGACCGTGTCGATTGCCAGCTGCTCGTTGGCCACGCATCGCTGAAACATCACAATGGAGGAAGACCAGAAAACTCCGATTGTCGAGGATGTGCCAGTCTCTCCGAGCTCCGACATCGAGCCGGATGCGCCAAAGTCGCCGTCCTCAACCCAGACGAGATTGTCCGGTGCAACAGTCCCCTCGCTACGGCCGGGGACGGCTGGGAAAATGAGCGAATCCTCGACGCATATCGGTCAATTGAACGCTGCTCGAAGAGGAGGAGCGCTGCCTCCGCGACCGGTAGCTTCCATTGGTGGCCAGTCAGGCGGTTTGAATCAGGACATTATGGCGCGGATGAAGGCATTCTCGCTCTCAAGACAAGGGACGCCTGCCACTCTCGCGCACACAGCGTCAACAGGGGCCATTCCATCGTCAACACAAGCATCGCCGTCGCCAACCATATCAAACTCCCCGCATGGAATCCCCTCTGGCGCGATTACCGGGGGGTTGGCAGCCAGCATCCCTCCTGGTCCACGACCATCCCCGCCGACCTGGTCATCGGCTCCTTCGGTAACATCCCCAAATGTGTTAACCCCAAATACAAAATTGGGCGGACTGGCAGCAAAGCGACTGAAGCCGGGGCTGAAATTATCAGATGCCCAGGGACCACTGGTCAATGGCCATTCTCCTAAGCAAGAACAGGCATCCGCTGCTCAAAAGACCGCTGGCCCAAGTGATTCAGTGTTTAGCAAGTACTCCGAATTTTTAGACACTAAAGCAGGCACGTTGAACTTTAAGAACAAGGCTATCATTCACGGCGGGGGTATTGAATTTTCGTCTGGACAGAGCTTTAGCATATCTTTGGATGAGGTCGATCGCCTAGATGAACTTGGGAAAGGAAATTATGGAACAGTGTACAAGGTACGGCATAGCCGGCCTCATCTTCGTAAACCAGGCCTTGGCCTGTCTGGCATTGTGAGCCGACCAGCAGGGTTGGAAGATATCACCTCTCCGAATTCCAGATCGCAGGATAATCTGACCGGCGTTGTCATGGCTATGAAAGAGATACGCCTAGAGTTGGATGAAAAGAAGTTTGCACAGATTATTATGGAACTTGACATTTTGCATCGATGTGTATCGCCATTTATCATTGATTTCTACGGTGCATTCTTCCAAGAAAGTGCGGTTTACATTTGTGTTGAATACATGGACGGAGGATCTGTTGATCGATTATACAAAGGTGGCATACCCGAGAGTATCCTACGCAAAGTCACCCTGTCCACAGTGATGGGCCTGAAGACGTTGAAGGACGACCACAACATTATCCATCGCGATGTGAAGCCTACCAATATTCTGGCTAACACTCGAGGGCAGGTCAAGATTTGCGACTTTGGAGTGAGCGGCAACCTGGTTGCCAGCATTGCCAAAACGAATATTGGGTGCCAGAGCTACATGGCACCGGAGCGCATTGCTGGCGGAGGTATGCAGCAGTCTGGAGCCGTTGGTGGAGGGACATATAGTGTCCAGAGCGATATCTGGAGCTTAGGACTGTCGATAATTGAATGTGCCAAGGGGCGATACCCGTATCCCCCAGAGACATACAACAATATCTTCAGTCAATTACACGTATGTAGTTCCACGTCATTTAGACATTTTGGATATTAACTAATTTGCGTTTAGGAAATCGTCAATGGCGAACCACCTGTTCTACCTGATGAGTTTTCAGACAACGCCCACGCATTTGTTCGAGCTTGTCTTGACAAGAACCCCAGTAACCGCCCTAGCTACGCTCAACTCCTCCGTCATCCTTGGATTACGCCGCTGATGGCACCGCCAACCACGAATGGAGCTTCAGAAAATGACTCGCTTGATGCATCTGCTGAGACCCCTGCCCAACCATCGCCACACGCAACGGACGATGCAGAAGTCGCTGAATGGGTTACAGAGGCTCTCGAACGTCACCTCAACGGTACATCCGGAATTTCCAAGAAACCGGCATTGCATACTGTCGCATTAGATGCGGTTGGAAGCAGCCCATTGTTAGAAGAGAATAGCCTGTTTTCTGACAATTGACACCTCGCTAACATCCTTTCGTCATTACTCGCCCTCTCTTCCTTGTCCTCCCGCTCAAGCTACTGATATACATTGGCTAGCATTTACATTGCATCTTGGTTGTATTGCGTCGTCTAGCGGACGATGCTGTCGCGACAATATCCTCTGTTGCTGTGATTTCTTTTTCTTCGCTAGGAGGGTCACGGTTGTACTGTACATAGTAGTTGCATGAATAGAGACACGCAGTGGCCGCAATACATTTGATTCATCACTAAAGACTCGCCCTCTCTTCTTGATGCAATTGGCATGGAGAATGGCGTTTGTTAGAGCGGGGTAGCTCAGAGAGAGCTCACGTAATGCATCGCCAGTAGATGACAAACTAGGGACAATGCTTACAGCAATGCGTGCTCAAAAATGTAAGAGAGGCGGATTTAACTTGGGAGCTATTATCAAGCAGAGCCGATTTCTGGGGACGATTAATAAACAGGCTGCATCTAGACGCAGGCTGGGTGGATGGTAGAGAGATCGGCTCCCCACCCGCTGCCAATCGCTTTTCTCGATGCAAGAATGTTGACTATTATCGTTTCACAGCATGCAAGCCCCTCCCCCCGCCTGTCGTTGCTAGCTGTCGTCACTAGCCTGTCGTGTTATCTCACATCATTCTCCCTACCATTAACTAACTATTTCTCTACTCTCCTCACGTGTGGCCTACATATACCCTGTGGCCCGCATCGGCATGCTCGCGCGTCCTCTCACCACCACCGCCCTTCCCATTCGAGCTTCCAGACACTGGCTGAATAACGCCTCAAGAGCATCATCCACTCACTGCACACCTCTGCCGGTTCCCATCCCCCCACGAAAAGCGTTCACCGTCGCAGCCGTCCACGCCGAGACGGGAGCAATTCTGGATCCGACCAGATCCCCTCACCCATCCGCAGTGCTCCCCCGTCTCGCCTCTCTCTCCAGCCAGTTTCGCTCTTCCCCCCCTCGCTCTCTGGCACCGCTCGCTCGCAATACTCGACTATGGCGCCAGTCGACACCAAAACCTACGATTACATTGTCATTGGGGGCGGCAGTGGTGGCAGCGGCAGTGCGCGACGGGCGGCTGGCTGGTATGGCGCGAAGACGCTGATTGTCGAGAGCGGCCGCTCGGGTGGGACATGCGTGAATGTTGGGTAAGAAATCCAGAATAAATCTATACTTTATTGAATGGGTTGGCTGACTGGTTCCAGCTGCGTGCCGAAGAAGATGACCTGGAACTTTGCGTCCATCAACGAGAACATACACGCCGGCCGGCACTACGGATACGACATCCCTGAGAACATTGGGGTTGATTACGGCCATTTCAAACGGGTACGCGATGCCACTATCAAGCGCCTAAACGGCGCCTACGAGAATAACTGGGCCAGGGAGGGCATCGACCTCGTGCACGGCCATGCTCGCTTCGTCGAGCCCAAGGTCATTGAGATCACTGCCGCAGACGGCTCGGGAAAGACGCGGTACACAGCCAAGCACATCCTGCTCGCCGTCGGCGGGCGGCCGATTGTGCCCCAGGTGAAGGGCGCCGAGCACGGGATTACGAGCGATGGGTTCTTCGAGATTGAGGAGTTGCCGAAGAAATGGGCGGTGGTGGGCGCCGGGTATATCGCGGTTGAGCTGGCGGGCATGTTGGCGGCGGTCGGCGTCGAAACGCACATGTTCATCCGCGGCGAGACGTTTCTGCGTAAATTCGACCCTATGATTCAGGAGACCATGACGGAGCGGTATGAAGCCGTGGGCGTGAAGATCCACAAGCTGCACAAGGGATTCAGCGAGGTGCAGCTGCTGAAGGATGGAAAGGGGTCGAACAAGCTGTTGAAGTTGATTGGCGTGGATGGCGAAGAGCACGAGGTGAATGAGCTGCTGTGGGCGGTCGGTCGCGCGCCGGAGGTTGAGGACTTGGACCTGAATGTCCCGGGCATCAAGCAGACACACAGTGGACATGTCATCGTGGACCAGTTCCAGAACACCAACGTTGATGGCATCTATGCGCTGGGTGATGTGACGGGCCAGGCGGAACTGACGCCAGGTAAGCACTCTACGTTCTACATCTCTACATCTCTACATCTCTATGTAAGCCTTTGTACATAACTAACGACATACAGTCGCTATCGCAGCTGGTCGGCAGCTCGGAAGCCGCCTCTTTGGCCCGCCCGAACTCAAATCATCCAAACTGTCGTATGAGAACATCCCGACAGTGGTGTTCTCGCACCCCGAAGTCGGCACCGTCGGGCTGACTGAGCCGCAGGCCCGTCAGCAGTTTGGCGATGACAATATCAAGGTGTACAAGACGCGCTTCACGGCGATGTTCTACGACGTTTTCCCGGCGGAGGAGAAGAAGCAGAATCCGACGCAGATGAAGATCATTTGCGCAGGCCCGGAGGAGAAGGTGGTTGGATTGCACATCCTCGGCCTGGGCGTCGGCGAGATGCTGCAAGGGTTTGGCGTCGCGATCAAGATGGGCGCGACCAAGCAGGATTTCGACAGCTGCGTCGCGATTCACCCGACGAGCGCTGAGGAATTGGTATGTCTAGGTTCTGTTTAGGCTTGCCTGTGCTAACGAGTGTGCTACAGGTGACGATGCGGTAAATAGTATCAACCGAACCGATGTCATTGATCTGTTTTGGATGCTTGGAATAATCGAGTTGTTGCATTGATTTGGGCGGTCATGTTTACCAATTTACCAATATCAGCGGGATATAGCTCCTACTTAGTCGGCAGCAAACACAAAAAAAGCGAATGAAGAATAAACTTCGCTAATCATGATTATTGGAGAAATAGTAAGAATAGAATATACTGTAGGTACTCGGCTCGGCCAAGCAAGCGGCCGACGGGGCGCAGATAGTCTCAGCAGCGAGTCATTTGGTCACCTTCGGCATTCTACGGTGCCAGCCGAGTCGACCAACCAACCAGATAAGCAGTTCCACAGACAAGGACTGTGCTACCGTACTGCGTACACAGCTGTCGAATAGCATACACTTCTCCAGGTTTTAGCCTCCAAGCTTAACCTCTTGACAGCGAGCGTATGGATACATGACATGATACTTGTGCAGCCCGGCTGGGTCAACCGGCTTGTTGACGCTGATTCGGCGATATCCCCGCACGCGCGCGGCCATTTCATCGCTCTATCAGGCTCATATCTCCGTATATCCTGCATATCAGTGGATCCGCTTGATAAGGTCAGGTCATAGCATGGCCAAGTATGGGGAAACCTCGCGCCGGGCCCGAGATGTGTTGGTTGGTTACGGAGTACACGCCTGTATTTAACTGCCATCTTCCCGCGGGAAATTGCCAGAAGTTTGTCACAGCTTCGGTGATCGCATAGCTGAGTGCTGGTATCGACAATGGCTGCGCAAGTAACACATCCCACTCCCAGCATGGACATCGACAAGCACGAGAAGCTGGGGCTCGACGACAATGTCGGGGTCAGCGTCGAATTCGGTTCTGACTTGACCAATGCCCATCTTGACCCTGCCAAGGAGAAGAAGCTGCTGGCCAAGCTGGACTTCGCCTTTGTGCCGGTGATTATGTTTGCGTATCTCTCATGCTTTTTGGACCGGAGCAACATTGGTAAGTATATAATCAAAATATACACCTCTTGTATATAAGCAAAATATTGATGGGTTTAGGAAATGTCAAAATCGCAGGCATGCCCCAGGATATTGGCGCCTCGACAACACAGTTCTCAACCGCCGTGTCGATCTTCTACGCCACCTATGTTTCCTTCGAGGCACCGCTGGCCATGTCGATGAAGAAAGTGACTCCACGCAACATGCTCACCGTGTTGTGCGTTATCTGGTCGCTGACCACTATTTTCACCGGTTTCATCGTCAACGTTGGCGGGCTATATGCCACCCGGCTGATTCTCGGTGCATGCGAGGCCGGGCTGTTCCCCTGCCTGAATCTGTATCTTACCATGGTCTACCGACGTGAAGAGCAGGCAAAAAGGGTGTCGTATCTGATGAACTGTGCGGCTCTTTCTGGCGCTGTTGGCGGTTTGTTGGCGTATGGGCTGTTGCAAATGGACGGCGTGGCAGGGAAGGCTGGATGGAGGTAACGAACCTTGACCCGAGTTTTGATTTCTTATACTGATCATATCAAGATGGGTGTATATTATCGAAGGCTGTTTCAGCGCTCTCATCGCCGTCTGGATCTGGTTCGGCCTGCCGAATAACCCAGAGACCGCATATTTCCTCTCCGAGGAGGAGCAATGGATGATGCAAGTGCGCAACGAGCAGCGCCGCCAATACATGGGAGCGGAGAAGTTCACCTGGGACGAATTCTGGATTGAGATCCGCGATCCCAAGCTATACTTCAGGTTAGTACTCTCCAGAAAAACCAAAAAAAAGGATGTATATCTGACTCGTTTAGCGGCGCCATTCAATTCTGCCAGGATATCCTCCTCTACGGCTTCAGCACATTCCTCCCCTCAATTCTCAGTAGCATGGGCTACGATACCCTCCACAGCAACGCACTTACTGTGCCAGTGTACATTTTCTCTGCGATCGTGTTCACCATTGTCGCGTTCTACGCCGACCGCCTGTCGCGGTTCGCCGTATTCCTGTTCGCCGCGAACATCTTCTCGATTGTCGGGTACATCCTGCTCATCAGCGTCGATAACAACGCGGTTAAGTATTTCGCAACCTATCTCTGTGCAGTCGCGACGTATCTGGGGCCTGGTTTGAATCTGGCCTGGCTGAATGTGAACGTCGCCCCGCATCATCGCCGTGCCGTCGCCGTCGGGCTGCAGCAGTCGATTGGGAATACAGCAGGGATTGTGGCCGGACAGATATACCGTACCAAGCCATATGTTCTCGGCAACTCGTTCTCGCTAGGCGCGATTTGTATCTCGCAGATGCTGATTGTTGGGCATATGTTTTATTTGAGAAGGGAGATGTCGGTCAAACGTGCAATTGAGGCCGGAGAAAGGGAGGATAGCCGGAGAGTGAAGACGGGAGATGGGGAGGTGGATTTTAAGTATTTGTACTAGATGCCACACCATTAGGAAGTTTCGATATGACTGTTGATTCTGTGGATTGGAAGATACGGATCAAAATGAAGAGTATTGTCAGGGTAAGATCGTGTATTATATCTGTAGAAGCTTAGGTCAATTGCTCTAGGCTTAAAATGAGATACGCTATCAATAGTATACCGCAAAGTCACACATCCCGAGATAAATCAAAAGTAAGAAGAAAAAGAGAAAAAAAGAAAAAAGAATAAACTATATGTTGCCAAAGAAAATTGAATGAATTCAATGACCCAATCGCCGTTGATGTTCCGCCAAATTGTCTTTCCGGTTGTATTTCCTTCCACAACCAGCAGTATGGCACTCATACAAACCTGGAGAGACATGCAATGACTCGACGTGTCTCATGAGTGCTCTTTTGTGTTTGAACTTGCCCTCGTAGGCGCAGCCTTTCCATTCGCATTGGAATGATATTGTTTTTGTGGTGTGACTGTAAGCAGACGTTAGCATTGATACGGGTAATGAGGGTCAGACGGAACTTACTTTGTTATTGCTGAAGGATGATGTTTTTCAATAGGGTTGTCCATGAAGGTGTTACTTTCAATATTTGGCTTGGCATGACCCAGCAGGAGGCGCGGTATGTCGTCTTGGTCATGGCCCATTTCCGGTATGATGGTTGAATGAGGTTGAGGATCATTCTTGTTGATTGTAGTACCTTGGAAAAGGGAATTGTCGAATATGTCATGGGCCATATCGTATGTTCCTGTGGGAATGGTTGGATATACCGAACTTTGAAGCAGTCCATCAATACCGGGGAATTCAATTTGTGATGAGCTTGGATGCCACAGCGGGTCATGTTCAAGAAAATCGACATATGAAGACAAAGGTTCTGAAAGTGAAGGATAGGCGAGGCCGTATTGATTAGTATTAAAATTTATGTGCGACCCAGATGTTTGTGTTTGGCTGTCGTCATCTGGGGAAAGCTTAGACCTTTTCGGGGTATGGGTATAAGACGGAGGGGCCATCTGGGGTTGTGGTTATATGAATACTTGGCTTAGAACGGTACAAATTGAGGATTGTAAGACTGGAAATTGTCTCCTATTTAATGGACATCAAGGACGTTGTCCGCCATTTAACAAAGGTGGGATTAGGGGGGTTTATACTACTTAATCGGACAGTGACAGGGATTAGACGACGATAAAAATATTGTTGAAGTAGCAAAGAGCGAATAATAATAATAATGGTGAGCGTGCATATTTTCATTTTACAAGCTAGCTTATTGGAATTGGGCAAAGGCAATCGTAATCCCGATTTTCTTTCATCACCCTGGCAGCCTATTCGCCGGTGGATGACTGTCGCAGAGCTACGGACCCGCTAATATAGGGTGCGCTGGACCTGCAGACATCTGCGCCCCAGGTCCCTGCACCGAAATTCTCGATGGACAGGGGGATTTTGTCAATTACGGGTGTGCAAGGCCGTGCCAGCAGCAGTACTGTCGACCGAAAACTACTGCACCAAAAAAGGGGCCCCTCATTGGAGAGGGTAATTAACTTGGTACTTATTGGCTGACAAGTACTCTCTGGCCCACTGGGACTAGGACCAAATACCTATGACGCGGCTTAAATCAAATCACAAGAAAACAGAAAGAGACACACAAAGAGTCGGGCTAGCAAGCCCCCAGCTAATACGATATCAGCGCACTGTAGTTATTCAAACGGTGGAACGAGTGAAGTAACGATGTCTTGCTTTTTGCAAGCATTGTGGGTTCTTTTATAAGGGTTTAAATAACTGATGTCAGAGACACACACCGAGGTGGTAACGTAATTCACACCCGAGTTGATCACCCAACCGAGTTGGCCACCCCAGAACACATACAAAATGGCCATTTTCATAGCGTTGTATCTCAACGAAACTATATATAAATAGTAGCTTGAATTTTATATATGTATATATGTTATATTAAACCATAATCCATGTAATTTTTATAATAAAAGCATATAATATTTATAATGATTACATAAAATTACATAAAATACCTAAAAATACACTGTATTTTTTGTAATATCGATCAATTCATATATGTTTTCATTATAATATAAATATATTATTTATGTCATTATTTCATTATTGATATATCACTGCATCTAATGCTAAAGACTGACGTTCCTTCCGCAGCCCACTCTGTAAAAAGAGCTATAAGAAGATCCATGCAATCATCAACACTATTCTCACCATCACTATAATCCACCGTCGCGAAATATTCTCATTGAGAACACGAAAGATGAATTTTGGTCCAACGGAGACCACGGTGTCTGCATATTTTCCAAGTTCGTCAACAAATTCCACAATTACACCTGGCGGACGCTGGTGTTCTCGAACAATATCTTGGAAGAAGTAACCATGTGTCTTTATTGTCCGGATTTTGTTAGTTTCACAGGCAAATGCTCATTTTTCCATGGAGTGGAGTCATTCCATTCAGGCTATTGTGCATTTTTCAGAGAATCCTCGAGGAAGAAAGCATTTCGTGGTGGAAGTGCAAAGGCTCAATGATTTTTCCAGATCATACCTTCATCTCGTGTATTTTCTCGAGTCTTCCATTCCTGACTGCGACGGCGAACGTCTAACAAGGCAACGGCATTCTCTTTATGTTGCACAATCAGGTCTTGGGATCGAATAGCACTAGCCACTTCGTTTAGAACTTTCATGTCGCTGTACTGATTTTCAACAAAGGAGAACAGAAGCTCGCGCCGCATTACCACTTTTTGATATTTGGTACCAGCTTTTTTGGAGATAGGTTTGAAACACCCAAAATTACGACTGATAACACCAAAATCAAACTGGCAAAGCGTACTCTTCAGAAAATCTATTACCTGATGACAATTATATTGTCAATTCGTATATAAATACATCTAAATAGATAAGTTCCTTGTAACTCCAACTTGTATCTTAATGTAATCGAAAATTTATTTTCAACCCAAACTATTATGACGTAATCTCAGCACTGCTAAATACGTTAACTTTTTAAATCTTTTTGAATAGTATTATTTCAACCATCTATATGTAAGGCTGCAACAAGGTAATCGAGCTTATGCACCACATCTCGCACCAACACGCTAATACAATGGAGTGACAAAAGTTTAACACGGTTAGCGTGTCAAGGGTAGAAATATGCCTTGGAGGTATTCGTGGCGTATAGTTGGGCTCGAGGCTGCAAGTTGACGAGTCGTAAACCTGTTGCGTTGCGGCTGACCCCAACCAGGCAGCCTCTTGTGGCGGTCTGACCCTGACCAGGCTGAGAATGACAATAGTTAATTAAGAATTGCTTCTTTCCAAGGATCTTCCCACTATTTACTGTATGCGCAGCCCAAGTTTCCACTTGCACTGAGACTCCCTCACTCTTGAACTTGCCCCCCAAATTTCCAGGCGGGGTTGGGTATCCTATCTCATCACATTGGGATCGCAATATCCTCGTCTTGAGACTACTTGAGATCCCCGCTCTCTGTTCCACTTCTATGAGTGCGGAGACAATTAGCTCGCTTTGCGAGCTATTTCTCGACAGGTTGAGAGACAATTCATCGTGGAACCATCATCGGCGTCGATTCCTCTCCAACGGCACGGCGCAAGAGGTGTTTCGGAACAACCAACGTGACCTGCGGAAGTTGCTGGCAGAGATACTCCACATATCGCAAAATGACACTATAATACTACCTAGAATCCTCGAAAGCACCCTGGCCACGCTCAGCAATGTCCTTGCAATTCTAATATGGATTCGAGCTCCACTCGAGGTCCTGGGACGCTTTCGGGAACTTTTGCCCGAATCCAGAACCATTGACTTTGATCCCCGCGACATAATCACGGACGGGAACCTTCCAATATCGAGAGAAACTGCGTCGCGTCTATTTCCTCATCCCAGTCGCAATGTTTCGGGGGAATTCTACGAGAACCAATTCCGCTTCTACCCTGTAACGCTGACGCGGGGGCATTGGTCACCTATACGGATCACAACTGTATACTTCCGTATCTCGAGGAGAATAGTATTGGCGAAGGCTCCTTCGGTCGGGTGTGGAAGGTCCGGATTGAAAAAGGGCATGTGAAATCACATAATGGAGAGAATACCAATGCTGAAAGGTTGACGTATGCACGGAAGGATTTCGAATTGAACAGGGAGCAAGCATTTCGTGAAGAAACAAATGTGCTACAACGGATCATGGAGTCACCGCGACGACATGTGAATGTCGTGGTCGCACTTGCCAGTCTTCATTACGGCAGTACGTACAGTTTATTCTTTCCGCTTGCCTCGTGCAACCTCTGGGAATACTTAATTGGCGAAAATGTTCCTGTTTCTAAACCCACGAGCCTGGAAGACAAGAGCGCCATCTTTTATCGAGGCGCCACGCTGGCAGGGGCATTGGCATTCCTCCACCATGAATTCCAAAGTACAAATTTGGAACGTCTAGCATGCTACCACATGGATTTGAAGCCGCACAATATTCTAGTTTTCGACATTAATACCCCACAAGAGAAATGGAAGATATCCGATTTTGGGCTGTCTAGAGTCAGAGGCCGGGGCGGTGTTGATAACGCCCAATACATCGATCTTTCTACTCCTTTCTTACGTTCAACACAGCTGACTCGACCGACTCGAGATCCATCTACGGCTCCCCGTCGTGGAGAAGGGACGTATCTCGCACCGGAATGTGCTGCTTCCGATGGACGAGTAAGTTCATCAAGCGATGTTTGGTCCTTTGGGTGCATCTTCAGCCTTGTCATGTCATTCTTGGATTCGGGGACACAAGGTGTCGAGGAGTTTAGGCAGCTTCGTCGCAAACAAGAAGCCGGCGATTTCTTCTACGTCACCCGGCACGGCAAGCCTATGATCTCTCCCTTTGTGACAGCCTGGTTCCAAACGCTGAAAGATAGATCCCGTTCAGGAGGCAGAAGTGCAGAACACGCTGTTGTGTGCCAGACTTTGGAGTTCTTGCAGAATAAAGTGTTACTTCCACAACCCCGTGGCAGAGTGAGCGCTTTAGAAGTAGAAATTACCTTGGAATGGATTGGCAAATTATTCTTCCGCCGACCAACTGCTCCACGTCGACCAAGTCTCATAGCACGATTCAAGGATGCGAAGGATTCACTCTTTTCGCACTCATCAGTAATTCCGCCATTGCAGCCGCTCCCAGTGAGTAAAGGCATGCTCGGGAGCATGTTTTCGCCGAATGGTGAACTTCTGTTATACTACTCACGACTGAAAATGGAGGTCTTCGTGGTTGATCAGATAAGGGAAGCCGGAAGACATGGAGAATGTAGTCCGGATCCTCTTTCCATTCCCACGCAAAAGAGAGAGTGGGAGCACTTTGCTATCAGCTCCAACTATATCTGTGCCAGTGTACGGGCTAGTAGCTATCAGAATTCCGAGGTACGTTATCTTCTACCCTCGTGATCGAAAGCTAAATGAGCACAGTTCTACATCTATCCTGTATCAGCCCTGACCATAGGAGACGCCGAAAGCTCTCCACAGGGAACGAAGGTTATTTATCCCAGCCCTGGATCCATCGAGAAGATTGCAATGACCCATGACGGTAACCTTACTGCCTTCATCCTCACAAACTTTACTGGAAGGAATTCTGAGGCTATAATTTATCTCTTTTATACGCAAGATTTACTTGGTGCTGGAAGTGAACTGTGGGTTTTCTCCCCTACCTTGCTTCTATAGCGTACAATGCGAGGACTGATAATCTACTCTTCTGACAAGGTCTCCGTCCCTGCCTGGGAGTCGAACAAATTCTAGCGCGTCAAGTGTAACCTCGGAGAGTATTTTTACCAGTGCGAATCGCATTAATAGGGATGCGCGTATTGGCTTAGTTGAGCGTATTCGGTCTTTAACCTTCTCCGGTGACGGGCGGTACTTAGTTCTGGTCGCTCAATCCCAGCAAGGACAGTTACTCGTCAGGGCGTGGGAAACATACACTGGCACTCCATGTGCGGAGCTTCCTATATCTCATCCGGTATTGAAATTATTTAGGACGGTTGTGTCGTTTGCCAAAGGTGCTTTACTGACGTGGCCTTTAGGGATTGGCCAACTTAGGCCATGCAACCTTCACCGCGTGCTCTGTCTTTAATAAGGGGCCAAATCTAGCGCTAGTATTGCAGCGTAGGCAAATGACCTATCTCAACCTCTGGGAGCGAACGGCCCTTAAGCAAAAAATGGAATACGAAATGCTCGTCGTTTTTGTACAAGATGATGATCAAGGTCTAGTCTTCCTTGGGAATAATGGCATTGACCGCGTTCTACGAGTGTTCGCACTGCCCATTTTTGACAGAGATGAGCTGCAAAAGCCAACTGAGGTAGCAAAGATCGGCCTCTCTAAATACGAGTCATCCACAGATAGTGCTGTTCTGGCACCCCGAAATATGAATAATCAAAGGGTGTTGCTCATAGCCACAGTTGACGGCTCCTTCGTCGCCGTCTCCCTTCCAGCCAGTGGCCCAGTCATATAATTGGCTGGAGGACCAGGAAGTAGATGAAGATGTAAACCAATCTTGCGAAGATTTTCCCGCTTCAGTCTAAATGGAGCGATTTCACCGCTCTATGATTTAACTTATCTAGAAAGGCATTATTATACAACCAATGCGGCTTCATCTTTCCCTCCTTTGCGAGGATGCCTTCTACTCTTCAGCCACCAATATAACACAGTTGCTGCTGTAAGAGGGACCGAGCACACAACAAAGATCCAAAATTGCGGTGATGCTACAAGCATGTGGTTTTCATCCATTCCAAAGAAAGAGTTCATTCCAAGAACGGTCTACGAATTTTGTTAGCGTTACAGATATCTCACAAGCTAGGGCTTTCTTCTTTGCGGGGGAGGGGGAGACGCACAGCTGTGAAAGTCGCTGGGAGATATATGAGGGTTACAATCGTTATAACTCGGACCGTGGTTGAGTCATCCACGGTTGACATTGTTAGCTTCAGCATGTAATCGTTCTGTGATTGAGCACTATATGAGTTTTTGAAAGTAAGCGTGTCGGCGATAAGCTCCGCTGTTCGCGCGGCCCGGCTCTGCAGGAAAGAGGTATTCTGTATATACGCCTCCAGATGGGATGAATAGTTATCCAATAATTGGCTCAAAGCCTCTTTTGCAGGACTTTTTAGAATACCTGCTTCAAGTAATGCGTCATTTGCCCTGCGTATCGACTGCAGCGACTTTTCCATAGCAGGCAGGATAGCTCTAAGTGGCAGACAGCGATTCTCCATGAAACGCACCGAAGTCAGTGTTTTGTGGTTAACCCGTAGTGTCTCCTGTATCTGCTCACTCATCGTTGTATTCGACTACGTTGGCTGGTCAGAAAATCGATTGCCCGACATTATTCGAAGCAAGCGGCGTCACTTACCAAAGAGAGAATCTTGCGTTCATAATAGGCCAGATATTCCCTCCATTGAGGAAAGACACTCGAGAAGAGAATATTATGAAGAAGGAGCGGGTGCTCCTGGATCTTGCGACTTCCTTCTGTCGACTTCAATATCTGGTTCAGTCGAGTTTGGAAGACTGACACATTGGTTGGATGCAAGAAGATCCAGGTTGCACTTTTCGTTTTCAGGTCGTATTTTTGGTAAACTCCTGTTTGGCGAAGGGACCAAGGGTCTTTTCCTTCTTCATTGGGTTTAAAGAAGGCGTATTTGCAAATGTACGCAACTTCTGCATAATCGTTGGTGATATGTCCTGTATGATTGGTCATCGGGGCTGGTCTTACCGATGCTCTCGGCGTTACACTTGTACAGTGGTGCGCTGCTGAATGCCTCTTCAACAGCGACATCCCGCTGATAGAAACCTAGGGCAATGTCGAGGAACTCGGGGGAGACAGCTGTAAAGCCCACAATACTTCTGAACATTTCCCTCGTGACGTTAAGGGGCTTCCAAGAGTTTGCTTGGCAAATGGATCTACGGGAGAATAAGTTATTGACACAAGATTCGAGAGCATTAAATCCACGCGTACATGACTCGGATCCCATGATTGCTAGTGGTAGATTGGCTGGTATACAACTGCAGTTCAGCCAGGGATGAGAACTTCCCGGCGGTCGCTGTGGACATCAAAGTTCAATTAGAGAAGCTTGCGAAATGTCTTCGTCCAACTCCCATTACTTACTCCGCTGAGACGAGTCTACATCAATGCATTCAACCTTGATTAATGACTCAACGCTCTTGAAACAGTTTCGCAACTCAAGTCGAGCCCAAAAATCGTCTGGGTAGGCTGCCAGCGAGAAAGGGTGGAATGATTCTGGTAACGGCGCTGGGACTTCTGTTTTCGGTCGCGTGACGCTGGGTTGGAAATCACCTTTCTCCAAATCCATTGGTCATTAAAATCACAGAGTATTCTTGATGCTTGAAATTTCTGAATTAGTTTTGCAAGTTGTGAAATTTACTCAAATATATATTTCCCCAAAATATAGAGACAAAAGAAGAGAGAAGAAAAGATTAAAAAAAGAGACACACTCTTGGCTGATTCCGCCTGATTAATATACAGGAACAGTTGGCACCCACCCTCCTTAGCCCTGAACACGAGACGAGCCAAAATTAAGGTATTATTTATTATTAGTCGCATTCAGACGCTGGTGTATTCTTCAGTTGCTTCCCTATTAAAGAGGAAAATGCCGGCCAGTCAGCTATAAACACAGCCTTAGGCTCATTCGGTGTTCGGAAGGCGCCTTACTCAAGCTCAGCCTAGAAACCGTGGTAATTAGCCAGTGAATTTAGTGCTAAGGTTTCCTCGCTAAAATCCCTCATTGGTTGTGGCGATAAGAGGATGGGCTTTGGTCTTACCTCTGTCACCTTTCGTGGAGCATCAAAAGACCAAACATCGTCAGCGATCTGTGACGCAATGGTTTTAGTCATGTCACTCGAATCTCTACTACCACTGTTTAACGCACTCTAATATCGAAGTTCAGGTCGGGTTGATTGGGAAACAACCGTTCCAGAAGAGCTTGGAGCTTCGCACGCATGATGTACCGCGCAGACACATCCTGTCTGGGGAACGAGCCTGGCGAGCTTACGGTCTCCATGGTCGCACGGGAGGAAAAACTGAATTGGCGCGGTATGGAAGACATCGTGATATGTTTGGAAACGCCGTTGAAACTGGCATAAAAGGGTGGTAATTTGGTGTGTCTACTGGAGTATACAAATCGTGAGGAAGTAGAGATGGGAGCGACATGGGGGATGCTTTTTACTTGAACGCGGTGTAGCAAATAGTGAAATAGCTTCGGCTTGATAAGCCTCTTGAGTGAGGCTCTGCTTCTTGCAAGATACGAGTATTGGCGTTTGGGCCGCAACTCGGATTATGCTGAACCTTGGAGAAACTCGGTGGGCGTAGTAATTTTCGGTTTAGGATTACCTGGTCTTGTAATTGTCTATACGAGTCAAGCTATGTAAAACACAATTTGCCTACTTTGGTTGGTGTTTAGGGGGTCAGAGGGTTAGGGTTTAGAGAGGATACAGGTCAGCCTTAAGGATCAGAGTCTTTAGAAGGTGGGATTAGGGCTAGAGAATTACAAAGGACGTACTAAAATTCTGTATTAATTACGTGTATACATGTATTCCCGCTTTATCGTATTGAAGCTTCTCCCGCTCAGCTTACTTACGCCTCCCACAGCAACCTCTAGACAAGCGATAGCCTCGCTTCGCCTTGACATTTGGGTTAAATTAGCCCACTCATGCTAGATGAAGTAACCAGCGGCACGGCACGAGGCGCAGCATCAGCTGTTCGTGATGCGTTCCTTTTCTCCCCCACCCGCTCGAGCCGCCTTTTCTTCTCTCGTTGCATGTACATCGCCCCTGCTCCTGACAATCATGGCTCTCGTCAACTACTTGCTTCTGGATCCTCTGAAACTGTGGCAATATGGGTTCCTCTAGGAATGATGATACGGAGATGAGAGAGATATTCCAGCAAGTAGATTGGCTTTCAAATGATTCTCGACTCACGCGCGATGAACAAAAGACGATACAGTCTCGTCTGTCGATGGAACAGCTGCACTCCTCATCGTCACGCAGTTCACGAAGGGTGCCGGAAAATGTCGTCATAGCTAACGAGCCGTCTAATGCTCCAGTGCTCGATTCAATATCCACGGAGGATCAAGATCGCACCGTTAAGTACGACCCTTCTGCAGAAATGCGTATTCCACGTGGCGGCGATCAATTGAATACTAATACACTTTCTTCAGCCGTAAACTTCGCGGCCTCCACATTTTTGTACGTTGTTTGAATGATATCTTGTGTGGCACCCCCCGATTTCTTTCTAATAATACGCCCGAATCCATAGATGATCACTATCAGCGGTATTCTTGGTATCGGACTGTATGTGAGAAGTGGTCTAATCCTCCGGTTAGGAGGGCCGGCGGCGGTGCTCATTTCTTTCACGGTTTTGGGCTTGCTGGCTTGGTTAGTGATGCAATGCCTTGGAGAAATTCTCACCATATGGCCAATCTCCGGCGCCTTGATAGAATTCGTTGGGACCTTTGTTGATGAAGATCTGGGTACCACCGTTGGTGTCTTATACTGGTATTTACTCATTATTTTTCTACTTTATTTGCTTCCTGAAGTGTTTGCGCGGTCTCGATGCAGGGTTGTCTACTGCAGATCCTTCGTCTCCATGCATCCACCTCTTCCCGATCTCTACCCTGTCCCTAGCATTTCCTGATCCATCATGAATTTAGGCTCTCCTACTCGATTAATTTCGCGGCCATCATTCTTGCTGCAGCCGGAGAGGTAAGCTTTTGGAATCCGGGAAAGGCGATTCAAGGGACTATCATGTTCTTTGTAGTTCCCTCCTTTCTTATCATCTTGAACAGTTTTGGAGTCCAGGTATGGAAATCACTTAATTCAGCCATATTGATAAGTATTGATCCAATTCAGATATACGGCCTGACTGAGATTATCGGAGGTTCCCTGAAACTGATCGGTGTCCTCGTAGTCATCATTGTTATGATTGTGATCAACGTTGGAGGTTTGCTTTCCACCACGCAAGACTTGCAAGGGGTTTCAGCTAACCGGGATAGTTGGTTCTGGTAATCATATTGGTACAAAGTGTGAGTTGTTCTCTCTACTCTCTCTACGGGATAAATTGCTAACTGTCCTTTGTTTATTCGAAGACTACAAAATATGGTCCAATGTTCCCTCATGACCCCGCTGTTGCTAACAGCTGGGTGGCTGCCTTGTTGTAAGCAGATCGTGCCGCATGAAATTGGATAAATCTCTAACCATCAAAGTATCTCATTCTCCATCGCAGCTTTTGCCTACGTTGGTGTGGAAATCACTGCTGCAGCTGCATTGGAAGCCCGCATTGATGACCAGTCTCGAAACACCGCACCTAGTTACGAACCCAGCGAGAGATCGAAAAACGTGGCTAACCGGCGAGTATCAGTACGGTTCTCATCGACATGGACAGCATTCATTGTGTGGATCATTTACTTCGTGGGGGGGCTATTATTGACCTTGAACTTATCGTGGGATGATGATCGATTGCCTCAAGTGAGTGGCTCGACCACCCAGAGTAACTCAACCTCCAATACAGACTCCGGGTTTGTTCTCAGTGCATACTCGTCCAACATTCCTGGTCTCGCCGACCTGGTAACTGTCATTACGTTCATTACAGCGCTGACGTCTGCGAATACCAATTTATACGTTGCATCACGGACACTCTTCGGGTTGACCCGCAAACTAGACGGAAGCCGCTGGAAATGGCTTGCGTTTTTCGGGCGGACAAACAGTTACCAAGTACCTGTGCGAGCGATGTTCCTGTCCTGTTTCTTTATTTGGGTACCATTCTTGTACCTGTCTCCAAGCAGTTCCACAACCATCACTGATGTAAGGCATCTCTCAATACTGAAGGCTGACGAAGAATGAACTTCTAATCTTTTATTGAACTGTTCAGCTTCTTGATATCCTGTCTCAAATGGGCTCTGTCTGTTGTATAATAGTCTGGTCCTGTGAATGTGGGGCATATATCCGTTTCTACAACTGGTATGTCCCCCGGAGATCAACCAAATCGTTCTATTGAACATGCACCACAAATCCGACAGGGCTAATGAATACTATAGCATGTACTTACATAGAAACGAGTTACAGGAGAAACCCCAGTACCGCCACGTATGCCGATTCCGCCGTGACGAGCTCGATGCTTACCCCTGGCGTTCGCACGGCCAGCCTCTCACGATGTATGTGGCTCTGGCTGGATGTCTTTTTGTTCTCTTCGTCGCCGATGGTGCGGCCCTCTGGGCAGGGTTCCATTATACTTCTTTTATTTCAGGGTACCTTGCAGTGAGTTTACGGGCCTTCAAGAATCTTCCTTTCCCCTCTCCTTAGCACTCTATTTCTCCGCCCTTTCCCATCCCCCGGTTTCATACCAGCGTCAAACATAATTTTAGCTTCAACTACATCAATTGCTAATGAATCTTCACGCAACAGCTGTTGGTATTTCTCGCGCTGTGGCTATTCATCAAAATCTACCGTTCCGGAGGCTGGCAATTCGTTTCCTGGAAACTCGAAGATCTATCAAACTTTAACATGGTCATGCAGAAGATCGATCGATTAGACGAGATCAGGCATCGTGCTACAACGAAGGAGGTTGATCAGCGTAAACCAGCATGGCGTAATCTATGGGGTATACTGTGAGATATCTCTCATGGTAGGGCAACCATTTTACGAGAGTCGTGCACTGGGCTTCAGGTACTTTTATCTCTAACTAAACCACATGTAGGATAACATATTACGTCATTGCAATGAATTACTTGCAATGACTTTAGTAGTTGACATCATGAACATAATAATATTAATAATCGTGCGATCTCAAAACTAGGGTATTTCACTAAATTACTAGAAGAATCTGTTAGGAAGCCAGGCTATACAGGCAAGTAGCCATCCAATTATTCAGCACCTGGAATAGCTATGGAATAATAAATGTGGCTTGAAGAGTCTTACCAAGCAAGTACAAGCTAAGTATATGATTTGGTGGTGATCGTGTGCTTTTACTGAATTTCACTTTCAGCCTCGCATTAGGGTTGCGTGTCCTATCATTTGCAAGTCGAACCCGGGACCTATTGCCAGTCTTAGAATAGAAAATTTGCAGCAAGCTAAGCTATTAGCGATACTTTGGATTTTTCCTGCTGTTTTATTTTTGAGTTGTTTGGCAACCAACTTGTGCTACGTTAATATCCCCAGCAAATTCTAGATAAGATGATATCTCGAAGAGACTGACAATCGTAACAAAAGAGTTTTTTGAAAAATTCAAATACGATGTCAATACATTTTCGATCGGAGGACATCGCTAGGTGCTCTCACCCAAGGTAAACAAATAAACGCACACGTAAACTAGACCCACAGCCTCTCGAGCAATAAGATGCCTACCGCACCCAACTTCGACCTCCATCCCACCAAGAATGATCTCGAGCCTTCGATATCAAACTTACTCAACCGAGAGCCCTGCCGAAGGTCATCTGTCTTGATGCACTGTATTTCGAAGAGCTGCCGGGAAAACTCTCGCTAGATACCCTGCTACATCCTCCTTTTTATTGCCGAAATCGCAAGGAGTGTCTAGATCAGGAACAGTCCAATAATTTAAGTGAAAACCTGACGTGCCTGGTGGTCGCTTGACCCGGTGTACAGAGTGCTTAAACTCTCCAACCAGCCTTCTCAGGACGTGGCCAATCAAAAGAATAAATTCTCCCGGCTCACAGGTTGTTGGAATGAAGTCAGCAACCTTTTTGACTGATGTGGTGGATATATTTCCCGTTTCATTGCTAATGTCAGCCACTTCGAGACCAGCAAGAGAGTCTTGGAAGCAGAATAGCATGGTCGTAGGGTCTATATGAGGAGGAACACGGAGGGTATTATTGTCTTCTTCATCTTTGAAGCAATAGTAATAGGGGGCGAAGAATGAATTTCGTACACTGTGTATAGAGCTCAAGGACCGAGGAAGATTCATAGCTGAAGACAAACAGGTCAATAAATTCAGGTGGACACGATTGCATTCCTATTATTTACTCATCTACTGTGTAAGCTTTTGCAGTTGCATGTGGTCGAGCATGTAAAAATTCGAAAAGGTGAACATACCTCGTGCAGATACTTCGAAGTCTCAACTAGTTGTCTTCCCGGCTCAGACCAAGTTCCGGGAAGATCATAGACACTATGTTGAAATTCCAACGTTTCATCCAGATGTAGTTCGCCTCGAACTATTTCACTTGCAAATGGAACAAACCGTGAATTGGTCGTTGTGCCAGAGTTCTCGTAATCTGCAACTTTCTCTTCGAGAGGTCTTTCAAAAAATGATCTACTCTGTCCAAATATCCTGATCAATTCAAGTGAAGAAAGTAGAAATATTTAATAAGCCAGCTCACTAACCTTCTCGAAGCAATTATCAATGATATCCTGTGAAATACCATGATCTCGAATCCTGCAAGCTCCATAGGCTTTTAGAGCTTGTGCGAGTTGTGTTGTTGCCAGACACCTGACATTATCGTCATCATTAAAAAGTTCGGCATAGCTTATTGACGGGATTTTATAATCTTCTGTATGAGAGCCCATTTCTGAGAAGTGTACGCTGTGTAGTGCGAAGTAGCTGTTGCGAGTTAAAGAAGCGTTGGCTCACTTCACACAAAGGAAATGGTTTGGAAGGATGAGAACACCGCACGAACACGTCACGCATTATTCTTAAAAAAGTCAGGCAACTTTAAGCCTAATCAATTGCATGTAAGTTATCGGCTGTGGAACATTGGCTGTCCATATATGCGCTATCAATAGGTGGAGAGAACTCGCCGCTAGTTTTACTTATTTAGGTGGCCATGACAATTAATACTGCATTTCAAGATTCTAGAATGGCCTAACAGAATTAGAAGGAGTGATCAAAGGCGTTCATGATCATACTAAGGCGGCTAAGTGGATCTACATTGCCGTGGATAGATCGATCAGCTTGTAAGTAGATCTCGGAAATCTTCGCAACATTGGAAATCGGGCCTGGCCTGGCCTTATTATAAGACCATACCTACAGGCTACATCAGAAGGCCCGGAAAAAATATATATTGGCACAAAGCACATTTTTATAAAAGGCGGTATAGAGAACAACTCTAGAACTGTGGGACTCGTATGACTTGTTGGGGTTTGATTGGGGAAACTCGGCGGTCCTTGCATGTTTACCGACTGCAAGCCCTGACCAATTAAAATTGGGTCGCAGGTTAAATGGCTATGCCTACCAATTGTTTAGGCAGGTTTTAGTCGACGACAGAAAGGACTCCAGGTATCTCAGTGGCATTTTTAGATTGCCCCTGCTTCGCTAAACCGTTTGGTACGTTTGATTGATTCTCGGGTCATTGGAGACACCTAAGTGATCCTTTACACCCATCTCTAGAATGAAAATTCCAACAAAACTTTCTTCTGGAAGTAAAAAGAAGGGTTCATAAGCAAATAAAATAAACTCACGCCTATTCTTGGAAGAAACTTAGAGATTCTTGCTTTCAAGATAGTAGCGAGTAGACTAGACTTCAACATTGCTTTAAATCTCTAGCTACGTTACCTTATTGAAAACGTTATGAAAAATAACAGCGATGCTCATCGAATATTATAAATGTCATGATATCACCACTTCTAGAAATTCTAATCAGCCCATTTAAATAAGTACTTACGACAGAGACCCTCATTCCTATACTTCATCATTACTTTTCAATAGGATATAGGTGGATATATGCTACTTCCCAAAGAAATCTCTGTCATAGTAGCTGTCATTTTGTCGACAGCTACACTACGCCACTGTCAATGGCATCAATTTGCTTGTCACTCATCCAATTTTTGACATCAACCTGTGAGGTGTAGAAATTTCACTCGACTTTCCGCAACTTTTTACTTCCAAGGTGGCGATATGACCTTGTGAAGAACTGCACAAACATGTATGTCAAAGGCGCCCCATAAAGAAATCCCATCCATAGGACAGCTGCCTCTCCGCTGTTTTGGAGACAACTAATCGTTTCATAACCATATTCGCATTCGGTTTCTGTCAAAACTGATTTTTGACTAAGGTTGGACGGCCGCTGTTGATTGCAGATGGTACGGTCCCCGTTGAGGCTTGTTCGGAATGAGACAGGAATATCGTAGCGAATAAAGAGGAATGGAATTGTCAGCATGTAAGCAATGAGGAACTGAGATATCTGGATCCCTGTCATCGCAGCCTTGGCCGTCTTTGGAACATGGACATGAACGGCTGTCATCGTATAATACGAATACTACGTCATAAACGTCAATAGGTACCTGAGAATTCGGTCAAGGCAAAGACAAACCATAAGAGTATGGACAGCTGAATTGAGAAACAAAGGGATCGACGCAGGTGGTGAGCGATACCTCACTGCCGCCCAAGCACACATGATTATTCCAGCATGATGATAGACATGGAGTCGTGATGTTTGGCGACCTTTTGCAAGGATAATCGCAGTGTCGACGATCTCATACACTTTGGAGAGATAAAATATCCACCCGATAATGTGAATTTCGTCTATATGAAAGCCTTCCGGTCTGTCGTAAGCAGCAAATGGGTCACGCATCTCCCCACTTCGACAGACAAAATCAGTTACACGCAGTAGATATAATGGATCTGACCACTGCGGCCATCGGATAGATGCAGCAATATATGATTGACGCAATATCCAGCCAGAAAATAATGCTAGAGCCAAATTATGTATGACAATAATTGGTTTGAACAATATGAAACGACTTATTGCCCATGGCTTGTGGTTTCGTTGCCGGTTGAGTTCACTGATGCATATAGCGACGGCCGTATATATCAAAACTATGTACAAAGGAAATGTAAAATTCAGTGAGTTTTTGTAGAAAGGCTTTAGCCAAGCATTCTCATCAAAAAATGATAGACTTGCGGCTAACTCTTCTGTCGTGTACAGAAATTTTGGAAATTCCCATATAGAAGGGGGTGGTAAGGTGTAGTACAGAGACATAGCGGTGCGGAAATATGTGACTTTCAATTGAAAAAGCAAGTTTCGGTGCGTAAAGTCTATGAGAGAACAGGCATAAAGTATTTGTACCGACTATCGCGCTTATGTTACTTACGTCACACTTGTTGGGATATTGACCTTGACCATATCAAGGATAGCAGCATGTGACAATTTTCATATACCGTACAGTTCAATAGTCTTTTATTTGTTTTTTTTGTTTTTAGACCAATCATTATAAATTGTTAGAGATACTCGGGGAAAAAATGGAGAAAAAGAAAAGGTGGTTGAGAGAAACTTGGTTCCGATGTGCAAAATCGTAGTCACTGCATATCCCGTGTCACACATGAGGAAGGTTACGGACTATGCATACGTTTTCATTTTTTGCCCCATTCACGCACTTGTAGATCGCCTAAAACATAGATACATACGTTTATATAGACAATATGGTTTAACCAAAATCGGCATGCTCATCTACGAAAACCAAATACGCCCTTTGAAGGATCGATATCTTCCTATATCTACATTATATGAGAATTGTAGGATTGGAAATTTCGTGCCAAGGCTAACATCGGCTTAGCTGCCTTGCTATGGTACCGAAAGACAAGATATCATCACTCTATTAATTATAAATTATCATTCCATTCTTCGCAACCATTTCTGTTCTGTGGATTCCAATTCAGTGGACTTAATACTGGTATAGCGTTTCTGATGGTAGATTAATTGATGCTCTAATGTTAATTTTTAATCAGGATGCCACCCTCTATGGGCACACAGATCCTATTAAATGGTGGGCGCGAGAGCCTTATGCCCACCATCGGTATAGAGATACGGAAGAAGATCCGTACAACGTCACTAAAAGATTTATCCACGCGCACATATTATAGATGATACTCAAGCAACCCAAAAGATCCTGGTATAGTGACATTTCTGACTTAGAGAGCTATCCAATTGTCAAGTAGTTGTTCCGAGTTTTCGAGCCATTGTCAGTCTTCATGAGCTGGGTACTGCCAGCACTCGTTGCAGGTAAATTCTGGAATGAACGGCAATGAGGTTTGGTCGTAGTAGGGACACTGCGAACCGAACCTTTGCAGTACAAAGGTATTTTTACGTCAATTCCCGGGCATATTACTGAGAAATACTCAGTCATCAGTTTAACGTTCTGAAATGGCTCATATATCTATGGGAGAGATTGGTCTTGCTTACAATCTCAGGTGCTTCAGAAAAAGCTCAAGGAGAGAGAATGACTATATTTGAGGTCAAACCTTGGACGAGCTTCTAGTTATTAAATGGAACTACTATCAAAGCAGGTCAAGAAAACCAAAAGAAACTTTGTATCGAAGCAGTTGTACATGATTTCAAAGATTTCATCGACGCACCCTGGAGGCGGGAAAGGCTGCTTGGAGCTATGTTGGCAAAGACGCAACAGCTTTATTCAAAGGAGGTCTCTACAACCATTCAAAAATGGCTGGAAATATTTAGTCAGGATGTCGAATTGCTATCAATCGTAGCGGAGGCGAACTGGAGGAATGGGAATGACATAAGACTGCAGACTGCAAGCTAACGGTCAATTAGTAACAACTAGATATCAGTAGCTTGGTGTAACTGAATGCACAAGTACCCAATACAAAACTTCGATCATCTGCTTAATTAATTAAGGACACCCTTCAATCGAAGGCAATTTTAGCGAAGCTGTGCAAATACCAATTTTTGGCTCTTCAATAATGCATATCTTGAGTCATGTCTTGCGCCGTCCTGCCATGATACCCATCCAATTCGGAGTATCACAAAGACGGTTCGTCAAATTAGCCTCTCTAAAAAAAAACCAAAGTTGCCGTACCTAATAGTACTATCAAAGGTTAAAAGTATTATTTTATCTCATTGGCTGCATGAGAACATTTTCTTAACGCGAACTCCAGTATTAGTCACATTGCCTAAGTCGGAACCCGACCTATTTCTTGACCTATGGATGACACTACACGTGTCATCTGATCTCATCATCCTATGATATTGAATTGACTTCTTCTGTGAGAGTCGTAGCCAATTGTGTCCTGAGGGTACAGGGTGACTGGAGTAACTAATACCCCGACTGATAAACCATCAAAGTGCAGACCACATCTCCGATGGGTGGCTTGCATAACTCCCAGACCCTCAAGATTACTAAGAAATATGTCCGACCATTGATGCCCAATAAAATTCTCTCCTATACTCTGCCAACCAAACAAAATCAATCACTGAAGTGTGATGGTCATACGGGGTTTCTCTTACTTCGAATAGTAGCCGGAAGACTTATTTATCGGAATCGGAAATGACGTAATTGGAAAATTATACAGACGTTTTATGAGACAGGTTTTATCATCAGATCGATAGCATATCTTGTCCAAGACCGGCGGAACGGAACATAAGTCGAAAATGTGCAGACACTTAACACGATAGCGACTACGCAAAAACATCGCCGATCAAAAATACTTTTCTATCTAGGAAATAAGCGGTGTGATCCCTGATTTGCCTTGCAGATATGAGTCATGTCGGCCACCTTTTGCTCCGGATCGTGATCTCGTGGTTTATGTAGCTGAGGTGAAAGGTGAATTCAAGCCCTCTCGGACATCTCGGTATCCCCGAGAGATTCCCAGTACAGCATCTAGCACTTAATCCACCTTATTTCACTGATTCGTAGTTTTAGGCATCATGTTTATCCTCTTAGCGAATAATATCCGCATTCCTCGGTAGTTATTCCCCAAATTGGAACCAGTATTTTCTCTATCTTTATAATATCATTACAAGAATTATAGACCGTAGACATTGAGAATATATTACTCTTTATAGCTAACAGCCCCTACTAATGTCCCATCACATGAATCATGAGGAACATCTCGTCCTAGTCAGTTGTACAGGCTCCGAACCTCCTAGACAAGAATGTCTTCATGACAGTTTAAAAAGGTGGCTAAGTTGAAGTCGGTTTCTACTATAATCTATGACTTCTTGAATTGTTTGAACTACAAAAAATGGCCGAATACCTTGTAGCGCTAGGATTGATTCCAATACCGGCAACTATAGTACTGGCTTATATACTATGTCTCGTTGTATATCGCCTTCATTTTTCACCTCTTGCGCATTTTCCAGGATCGAAGTTAGCTGCAGTAACAACTTGGTATGAAATATACTATGATGTTATACTGGGCGGTAGATTTATGTGGGAAATTGAACGCATGCATCAAAAATACGGTCCAATCGTTCGGATTAATCCATTTGAGATACATGTGAAAGACGTCAGATTTTACAACACACTCTATACTGGAACAACCAAAAAGCGAAATAAATACCCATGGTTCATTCGCGCTGGAGCACCAGGCAGCTCATTTTCTACGGCTGAATACGATCATCACCGTATCCGCAGGGGAATAATTAGCCCTTACCTTTCAAAGCGATCAGTTCGGAGTTACGAGCCTATTATCCAGCAAAAGATAAACCGATTATGTGAGCATATGCTTGATACTATGAGATCAGGAACCGAAATTGAACTTCATATATCCTTTCTATCTTTTGCGGTGGACGTCATGTCCCATCTCTCTTTCGGGCCGTCCAGATGTTTTAATCTTTTGGAATCCTCGTCTTTAAGCAACAACATCAGGTGGAGAAAAGGGATAAAAGCTCTTTTCGCGAGACTAATACCACTGAGACATCTTGCTTTTTTGGTGTTACTCTTTCGTACACTTCCGCTATGGCTTTGTGCTTTGGTTGATCCTAGTTGTGCTGATATTGACTTTGTGGAAAAGGTTAGTGTCTGATCTCAACCTGACCAAAGATGACTGGGTTAAAATATAAATACTCAAATCGAAACAGGAAATTGAAAATCAGATGAGCAATGTTTATGAAGAATACAAAGACCAAAAGTCCCGTTCCGTGGAAGAAAGCGGAATTTTCTCGGAGATTTTGAGAAGCGAAACATTACCATCTTCTGAAAGAGCTTTAGATAGGGTTTCTGATGACGCAAAATTCTTTATTATAGCTGGAACGGATGCTCCATCGTTAGCTATGGCTGTAATAATGTTTCACATTCTCCGGGATTTCGAGGTATTACAAAAATTGGTGGAAGAATTGAAAACTGCTCTTCCCGATCCAGCCAAAGACCCTTCTTTAAGTAGGTTGGAGGAGCTTCCATATCTGGTAAATTCACATTTATATCGCTTTGAAGGAATTTATTTCTCAATAACATCATATAGTCTGCAGTCATCAAAGAAGGATTCCGTATATCGTCTGTGGTCACCACTCGACTCCCTCGCATTGCTCCTGGTGAAGTTTTAGAGTATCAAGGATGGCGCATTCCTGCAGGAGTAAGTCTTGATTCTTTTTACCATCGATTCTTGCCGTTTATACTTTGATAATACAGACACCCGTCAGCATGTCTACATATTTTATTCATAACGATCCGGATATTTTCCCCGAGCCAAATAGCTTCAAGCCTGAACGCTGGATTTGTTATAGTCCTGACTCAAACCTTGACCAATATCCAACATCTTTCTCAAAAGGTGGACAATCCTGTCTAGGACCAAGGTCGGTACAGTACTTCTATTTCAATATATCTCCTTTAATATAACTCCTTTTCTAACTGTCAATAGTATGGCGTATAGTTGGTGTTATCTGGCTTTTGCGACAATCCTTCGACGCTTTGAACTTGAGCTCTTCGACACGACAGAAGAAAACATTAAGACTATTAGAGATAGCTTCAATGCACAACCAAAGAAAGGCTTTGACCGAATCAAGGTGAAGGTCCCAAGGCAGCGAAAGTAAATAACTATATTACCAGATGAGCTTCAATATTTACGCTCTTTCTTTTCTTTTCTCCTGCACATGTGTCCGAACTCATTTAGCTTCCAATTGCCTCATTTAAAATTTTTAATGTTATAAAATCATTGTATATTATGTTAGGCTAATGCTTGGTTTTCTGCAGTCAGGATATATTACAACATAGGAAATAGAAATATACGACAAATATTAGAGAAACAAACCCCGAAATAGCATCAATCAAAAAGCAGAACCATCTACCATTGATGGCAGCCTTTCCGTAAATAGGTTCTTTCGTAACATGGTAACCACAAAACCCGGCAGTTTCATGGTGTTAAAATGCCCAGTGCCAGCCTTCTTGCCAATCTGTACACCCATTGCTGTAACAAATTCACGAGTTAGAATTATTTTGCAAGAAAAATGAATCTACAAAGGTCCACCTCAAGGGAAAAGAACCTACCACGAGTATTGTTCTTATATGACAGCGGAGGTTGATTACGCAAGATCAAGAGAATATTCTTGGCCAGATGGGTAGACTGCTTGTCGACGTGCAAGAACTGCGGTGGGCCCATATCGGAGACGTCTCCAATCGCCCAGACGTGTTGATCGAGGCCCTTCAACTGGAGATATTCGTCGACTTTTACGAATCCATTCGAGTCAAGATATATCTCAGGAACATACGATGAGTTGGGAATCAGACCGTACAAGGGAATGTAAAGATCTGCAGTAATCGTACTATCGTCGGAAAGACTGAGTTCGATTTTATTGGCGCCATCTTGTGTCATTCGGCTTGAGTGGACAACCTTTGTTTTTAGCTTGACGTCAACGTTTAAGTTGCCAAGAATGCCCATCGCGGTTTTCGTAACGCTCGGAGGAGCCGTCTCAAGAATTTTCTCGGCACTAGTAAGCTGTTTGTAGTTAGTAAGAGGGTGACAGATGTATAAAGAAGGGAGATATTACGAGAATGATTTTCTTCTGTTTCCCATATTCGAACGCTAGTTCTCCAGCGGTCTCAACACCAGATGGACCGCCACCAGCGATGACAATGGTCTTCGCTTTCTTCACTTCAGCCTGAAACTCATGAAGGGCATTCTTTGTTGCTTCAGTCGAACCGAGGCCTTTGAATGGAAGCTTCACGATGTCATTTCCCTTATTGCTGGAGCCAGTCGCAAGGACAAGAAAGTTGTAGTCAAGCGTTGTTGTTTTTTGGTTCTCCGAGCTAAGCGTAATTTCGACCTTGCGGGCAGCAAAGTCGATATTTTTGGCAGAGCCAAGAACGAATTCGAATTGTTTAGCTGTGTACTGTTTGAATCCGGCTGCAATGGGCTGGAAAACTTGGTCGTCAGTGAATTGTCCAGGTACTATCGCTCGAGGCGCGGCAACGTTCCAATATAGATGAGTATTGGGCGCCACGAGAACAATCTTGACAGACAGCCCGGCCTTTGAAGCTTGTTTCAAAACTCGATGTGCCAGGCTGACTCCAGCAAACGAGCCTCCAAGGATGAGAATGGTCTTCATTTGCAATTGAAGTTGGTGAAACTTGTTATATTGGAAAGTGATGATGAAAAATGTTGGAGTACAGGGGCCGGCGATCAGGCTTTAAATATTGACGGAACGTATTCCTCCAGCCACAAATTGTAGATTCTTCGAGACGTATTAACAATCAATTCTTCGTGACATAAGGTTACACGCGATTACAAATTCCAGAGCCATTATGATTTTTCGTGGGTTTTCTTCTCTGTTATTTTTAATCATCAACATTATTTCTTCATAGAGTGTAGACGAATGTCAAGCTCTTGGCCAATTACTGACTGGAGCGCTGAAGGGATCCAATCAGCGGGTGTAGCGCACCGCAGCCAGCCACCAATCAGAAAATGGAGCGTGCACAGCTCACCCCCACTCGGATAGAGGAATGAGGTCGGCATTGGCGCTGGTGGGGGAATTGGGGAGCTGTATCAGCTTCCACATTTCTGAAATTTGTCAGCCTAGGATTGGGCTGGTTGAAATGAACAGCCAACCATGGAGTTAGCTTTCCTTCTTTCGTTTCTTTTCCACCGCCCCTTTTCCTTTGCTCTGCATTGTCGATCCTAGTATGGGGTGAAGAAATACTCAGGCGAATCATGGATATAGTCTACCAGCAATTGTAAAGAGGCTGGTGTGAACGTGCTCAAAGAAGCAGAATATTGTCGACTAATGCAAGAGTTTGATCCCATGTAAAGTCAGTTTTCGATTGTCTTCGTCGCCATATTTCCTCTAAAGCTGGCAATATTTTCGATCGATGCTCAAATAAAGGATCCAGTACTGGGGCAGACGAGAAAATGTGTCGGAAAAATGTTTTCTCTTCTTCATGTCTTGCCACAGATCCTATCACATACAGAGGGCATACCAAGGCCGGTAGAAGATTGCTAGGAATTTGAGTGTGAAGCAATCCCATGGTTGCACAAATGGTGGTGTTTAACGAATCCAGATTTTGAAAACCATAAGCAACCAGATGAAGGTAAATCGTCGCCATATTACCAAACATATGCGTGACCAGAGTGTCCGAGTTCAATGGAATTGTCGAAGGCACTGAAATATCATCATTGACACCGTCCGAAAAGTTGAGACCTTCCAAAGCTGTATGGGCAAGGCCAGCCTGAAGTTCTCTAGTAATGTCACCCACAGTTTCTTCAAACTTAAGACTTGCCAAGTCTTCTTCTTTCAGGGCTTGTATTTTTCTTTCATGAAATGCTGCAATGCGACCGATCTGGAGCATCACCCAATTTCTACAGCCCATTACATCCTCGAGTTTGATGGGAAAAGATGCCGAAGAAATATACTGGGAATGGTGAGCCAGTAACTGTGGCGATGTTCCCATCGTAATTGCAGATATAATGTCAAGCCATATTGTTGTGCCGGCGAAGAAAGTAAATATCGTGATCTGTTCTATAACAGATGCTCCATCCTGCACAGTAAAATGGCTACCAGCGAGGATATCCTTAGACCTGTCACTCAGGCCCAAATTGATTAAACCCTCTCGAAATTCTCTTCGGCACAGGTTCGTAGCTGCTCGAAGATGAATCTTCCATTCGCTACCCTGGCCTGTAATAAGCTGTTGCGAGGAAAAGGAGATAATGTGTTAGCACTAGAGTTTACGATTGACACTTCAAAAAGAATATTGATATCTGTACCTCGAAAAAGCTTAACTGAACAACTAAAGCTAGCACTCCAAGTGCTTGGCTCGGGCAGGGTGTCTGAATAGACTTGTTAATTGATTTCAGCAACTGTTGGAATTCATTGAGGCAAATTGCAAGATGTTTCTCTTGCTCGACCAAGATAGCCACCCAGCACGGATGGTCACGGAGGGTTGTAAGGGTAATTTTCCGGCGATGATAAGAGCTAAAAGCTAGTGATGCATGATATAGGGGCTTTGTTCGAAGCAAAAGAGCCAGTAGCCATCCTCGGCCTCCCATGGGAGTGTTGGGCTTGTACATGGGATACTGCAGGCGAAATACATTGTCGAGATAATGCATCAAGGACATAGATTCGTCTGGTGAGATAGGATATAGAACTAGATCATCATTTTGATCATGGGGCTGTGGATACTGGCAGATTTATATGTCAGAATTTGTCATTTACTAGGAATGCGTGTTCTTACAGAAGATGGCCTGTCCGGTAGCGAGTTAGCTCCATCGTCTGGAGATGAGGCATGATCCGATGACTGTGGATGGAGGTTTGACCTCGGACTCGAAGAAGAAGAAGAGGACTCATTAGAGCTCTTCGGGGCTATCTTCATCAAGTGAGCAGGATTCTTTAAAATTTTGCCTGCAATTTTCCGCCTTGAGGTATGCCTCACGGTCTGTTTGAGTTCGTTCACAATAGATTTTTCTTTTTCGCCATGATCAACCCAGTCTGGTTTTGGGCCGTATCCGTAGCAAGTAATCGAAAGCGACTCGCAAGTCGAGCACTTAGGGTGAGCCCCATCGCATTTCTTCCTGCGCACGCGGCAGGTCCAGCACCCCTGCTTGTTCCGGAGGGAGCCACTCATCTGGAGGGTCTAACGATTGGTGTCACGCTTGACAATACCAATATCTCCAAGTTATAAAGACCAGACTTTTTTAATTCTCATTGCACGCAGGCAAAAATGCAAGCCCTCGGGATTCTTATATCGATCTTGCATAGGGTCGCGTTTTCATAGTAATGGTGTTGTGGCGCTGATGACAAATATAGGATCAATCGACCGGAGACGTCACGTGAAATGGCAGCAGGCCATTCCACATATTTCATGTTAGGAGCTTTTTATTACATGTTTTAGTAATGTGTATAGTTATTTAAGGCGGAATAGTCGATATGCGGATAATGTCTAAATTCATAGATTTGGCTCCTTACTTAATGTACATTGCTGAGCGAACAGCTGATTTCATTGAATATATATTACTTTATTGAAAAAATAATTTACCTGATTGTTCTTTCCGATCTGCTCTTCAGACTAATTGACATAAATCGATGTACTGCGTATAGATTATGTAAAAAGTCCATTGCTTTTGATTTACCTTGTAATTGTAGGCATTGAATAATCTAGCGAAAAATAGGTTCATCGCTTCTAAGTTCTGATGTGTTGCTACAAAGATCAATGAGTACTTCATGAAGATCTACACCAGTTGATCCCAATACATGTAGATGTAGTCTCGTATGTGTAAACGTATTGTCTTTGAACTAGCTCCAACTCTCCTGGCTACTTTGTATACATTCCAACAAATTGCCTGAGGTAATCAAACCTGGCCATTCAACCAATCAAAAGTGCGGAATCCTCATCCCCTGCTCTTAGCCGAACTAGGGTTAGAAAATCCGGCGTGGATAATGGTTAATAACTGCCGAGCGCTGTCCAGTGCATGGATGTCACCCTCTCATCTACCTAGGCGCGAACAAATGACAGGGTTTTGCTAGTTGGAGAGGAATATTCCCAACGCGCACGACTTGAAATTTTCGGTGCTTTCAATACGAGTAAAGAAATGGTGTAAAATTATGTCTCATATCTCTACACGTATAAATTAATTAATGGGGATGCCTAGAAGTACGTACGAAAAGCAGGGGGAAAGTTTAGACAGGTCTCCTTCCCACCAGGGAACAGTGGCGGCACTATCTTTTGATGCTAAGATCTTGAAACCGTTAGTTTGCATATCAGAATTACATGGCGATTGTCTACTGCCGTAATCGCATGCATTGTTCCTCACAATGTTGTTATCAAACAAGAGCATTTTTAGTGGGCTTCGGTGGTGGCGAAGACAAAGATGCGGTGATGCGGCTTGATTCTATAGCAGCAATAGGCGAGTGCTTATCTCAGAGTTCTGTCCGATCCGATGACTCCTGAGTCTTACGATAGCTTTCTGGCATGACATGTACCGAGTACAGATACTAACAGCCTGCTTTGACGGCTAAGAGGCAGGTGCAGATACGGCCGTTGTTGGTGAGTAGCCGGGCCAATAACCAGCCTCCGCATAGTGCCGGGTGTTGGCAGTGGCTCCACCACGCACGCCAGCTCGACTCGGTCAAGTTAATTTACTCCCCTGGTAAGCGTTATTTCTTATTCCAGCTCATGCTTCTCATGAGTCACATAATAATAGGACATAGAAGTCAATGGCATTGTTTTGTTGGCGAGCAGGCACAGCACACCGCCCGATAATTGCTTCTTGCGTATTGCAGACATGTGATGCCGCACGTAGCTTTATCGGGCACTCTGTTAAGGTTCAGCGCGGCGAGAACTGTCGCGTGCATCTGCTCCGCAATTGGCTGGGCTGGCTTTAGCTACGCCACCATCCGGGTTAATCGCTGCCATGGCCAATCAGTTGCGGTAGTAACTCGGACCCACGAGGACGAGGACCCGCCCAAAACACCCAAAACGGCTCATTATGTCCGTGGCCGAAGCCCGTGACCCAACCGCTGCTTCCCTCTGATGCGGGGTCCACGAGGAAAGCGCAGAGACAGCCATGGGCACAGGGCAATGCGCGAAAATATGCCACCACCACCTCTCTGCTATCTCGCTTCGTACAGGCAAAACTCTCTCTCCAAGCGGCGTCCGAGTCATGGATCCATGGCTCATTTGTCCCTGAGGTCTGCGGCGCTCTGTTATCGGCGAGAAGGATGAGATTCCCACACACGAGGCCCGCACATGCCAATCAACAGGCTGGAAAGAAATGATATTCTTGCGATCCACCGCCTCGCCTAGCGCGCTAGCCAGCAGTTATCGAGCTTCTCCATCGCATGTTATTAGTTCCATCTCGCTCTCCCTATCCGATCCCTCCTCCCATCGTGCTGATTGGCTTTGGCGAGCTATCGACGTTATCTGTGTCCCCGCTCCGGCACGTCTCGGCGTCTTGTGTCAATGGTTGAGAGATATTTTTACTCGATGCTACTAGCCTCGTGTGTTTTGTCTACAGCATTCGACATACAAGGCAGACCTAGCTCAAGTATCGATCGAATGACGCCCAGTTTCAGCTTCGACGCTTCTTGTCCATCTCTCGCCTTGTCGTCTCGCCCAAGCAAGGTGTCTCGCAGACAACGTACTTCGAATCCATATGACTAGCTAGCCCTACGTCAACGCCGATGCGATTGCAGTCTCTTGGATGTACTACAAATGGCTCCCTACTGTGCGGTCACCGATCGAGCAATTCTAAGGCACTGGAGATTCTGCAACTACCGCCGAAGTAAATGAGAACCACTTTATTTGGCACACCCCTAGGTTGTCCCCGTGCTGGGCTGTCGTGCAGACAGTAGGGGGAGACTGCCAGGGCAATGTCCTTGTTGCTGTCGACGCTGGTAGCCCGGGGAATATACGGGAGTGTCCCACCAGATCCTCATACTCGTGTACAAGACAATTCAACTTTGCTGGTCAGCTGGTGGTGCACGGTTTTCTCCTTTGCCATCATTCTGGTGCGAGTTGTTGGTCGACATGTGCGGATGAACAGACTCTTTACCGAGGATAAAGTCATGATCGCCAGTGTATTCCCGTTGTTTGTCAGGATGGCATTCGTCCATGTGGTGCTGATTTGGGGAACAAATAATACAAAAACGAGTACGTTGACGGAGTTGGACATACAACACCGCGAAATCGGTAGTCGGCTGGTCTTGGCGTCAAGGATCTTTTATGCCACCTAGTAAGCTACCGTCATCAATACCCGATTGCTGAAGCTGGATTAACTAACATATCTGTGATATCATAGCATTTGGATGGCTAAATATACTGTCTGCGAGTTCGTCAGGCGCCTTACCGGCATGGTATGGACAAAGACTTTCCAAGTTGCTTTACGATGTGTCGAGTACTTCCTGGCCAGTACACTGGTAGCTGTGATTGTTGCCACATTGACGGAATGCCAGCCATTTAGTCACTATTGGCAGGTCGTTCCAGATCCTGGGCCTCAGTGTAGGCTGGGATATGCAAACCTAATGACTATGGGAGTTTGCGATATTCTAACAGACTTTTTCCTCGTTGCACTCCCGATAAGCCTCTTTCTGACATCTGCTATGTCCGTCAAACGCAAGATTGGTCTTACCATTCTTTTCGCCTCGTCGCTGATCCTCATTGCCATCACCGGATTCAGGGTACCTTCCGTCATCAAACGTGATGGGCTACAAAGCTACCGGTCTCTACTGGCTTCTCTTGAAATTCTTGCAGCTACGGCGGTCTCGAACTTTGTCGTGATCGGGTCTTTTATCCGCGACCGAGGCCTCAAGAAGGCCAAGTTTAAGCGCCCGGAGGGTTCGCTTTCTGTGAGCGAAAGCGTCGATCAGAATTCCGTCCGAAGAACCACACTCACTCAGCATCAATGGGGAAGCGATGCAGATCTTGTCAGCGGCCTAGGTATACGGCTCCACCCTGAGCTTCATGCCACAGAAACAAACGTAATACGACCGGCACCAGTTGCCATGGTTAGCGGACCCGGATTGCATCCGGGCTGGACTTTTGATGGTGGTCAAAGAAAGGATAGAACTGGTTCTATCTCTAATACGACCACACAGGGTATTATGAAAACCAAATCACATGGTTTAGAATCGACGGGTTCAGTGAGCCCCAAGGCATCACCGCGACGTGTATCATTCTATGATGTCGGTGGCCTCTTATCCGACTCCGCTCCATCACCCCCTATGTCAAACAATCCCGTTCGAGGAGCATTGTCACATGCTTCATCTGGATATTTCTCGCAATCCCACACCTCTGCCGCTCCACACTACACACAATTCGACCAAAGAAGCCAACCGCAGTGGCAACCCGCAGGGGATCATCTCCCATCGCCTTCAACATCCTACACGGGGAATTCCCCGACCAGCACATTACCCCCATCACACCCAGTTATACACGACCAAGAATCTCCTCCTTACCGTCTCCGCGAATCAGACGACGATCCACACTTTTTGAATCTCCCACTGCATGATCCGGGCGGACTGTTATCAGACACGGACGGTGGTCGACGCCGATGACAAAACCTACCATTATTTGAAAATTAACAATCATCCTTTTATTATTATTTCTTTTAATATGACATGTATACATATTTATGAAGGCGGTGGCGTTGATGGATATACCCCGGAATGACACATACATATTTTCTGTTGATACTTGATATATGCTCATACAACGAATAAATTTTGTCTCTAGATGGAGCAATGACTTCAATACAACACGTACAGCATTGAAAGTGCAGCTGATATCGATTGACTTTGAGATTTGAATAGAATGTTGTCAATACTATTTCCTGTACATGTATGTTTAGAGCTATCTTTTTCGGAATTAACAAGAATGCGGTAGCACTGGAGTTCTTCCCACACTTAAGCGTATTGATCAATCAATGTTGGGCTTAGCTTCCAAATTGTGAGCAGTCTTGCCAGAGTACATGCATGTGGCTTTTCTGCCGCATCGAAACTTCCACGAGGTGAGGCTAACATATAAAGCTCCAGCAGATCCTTTAGCGCAAAATATGTAGGTAATGTACGTACCGTTACTAATTGAAACCAGAGGCTCATCTCCAACCCACTTAAAAACTATCCCCTATCTAATAATTAAAAGAGCGCTCTGATTTCCATTAAAAATAACAAATATTTAGAACAGTCGCCATTTACCAGGACTTAGAAAGCTGGGGATTATTTGGGTGGGGCGGGCCCCCCTTTTACCTAAAATAAGGTCAACCCGGCCGGGGTCAACACTCCAAAACAGCCTACTTCTCAAATTCATCGTTAATCATGGATTTTGATCGCCCTCAGTCACCGGAACCAATTCGATCTGGCAGTTTCACGTACAGCAAGAATGGAATCGCAGCATGTAACATCTCTCGAGCGCCCCTTTCCGAGTTGAAACAACTTTTTCGGAAGAATGCCTCGAGCACCCGTGTTGCAGTTGCTACAAGGCCATGGCTCACGGCCCAGTTACAGCTCTATGGAATCCCCTTCCAGAAGTCAAGAACTGCTCCTCAATTGAAGGCTACACTTGAAGACGCTGTGCGTGCTGGAAAGGTCCGTTAGAGCACCTCAGACTTTTACTCGCGCCTGTGAACTCAGACTGAACATTGGTGTTCTAACTCATTATTTAGTGCAATTCTCTTGCACCATCCATAGCTGCATTCGAAAAATCATTATCAGAGGAGTATCAGCAGCAATTAGCGGCCCATTCTGAGGATGTTAATTCTTGGAAAGACGCCGTGTTCTCTTCGCTGAGTTCACCAGTTGAGGAAGCCCACTTCGACCTTGATCGATTTATGGCCAAGTACTTTCTTGACCACCTTCATGGGCAACCCGCGCCAGAAAAGACAAAGGAACCACTAGTTCTTGAAAACTTCAACCATGGATCAGAACTACAAAAAGCTACACAAGCTATCCCAGGTCTTGCGGCGCATACTACGGACCGCCTCACCGTGGTTGGCTGGGCCACTGAGCTTCAACGTGGGATAGATACAGCCTTTGCAAATCTGTCCTCACCTGATGCCAAATTTGACATTCCCACATTAGAGGCAGCCTTCGATCTCGATCGTTTTCTGGGGAAATACTTTCTTAACGGCTTGAATGGAAAGCCTGCACCATCTAAGACTCCAAATCCAATCACCCTGGACCCATTTTTCCGACACATTTCCAAACTCGAGATGGCAGTCGCATCGATCCCAGGACTTAATCTCTGTATGGTTGAAGGTATTTTCAATTTAAAGTACACAGTCATCGGTTGGGATCTCGGTAAGATAAAGTTGCGGGTAAGGGAAATCGCAGAGAAGAAAACCAGATATAAGGCTGAGAAGGCCGCTGAAGAATTGGCTGAAAAGGAGAAAAGGTGGCAGGAGATTCTCCAACCCCACCAGGAATATAAAAACAGCCACCGAGCTTTACCTGGACCTCTTGCTTTGGGCCACCTTGCTGGATCATATGTCGTTCGATGTGAGCCACTTGAGGGATATTATGATGAAGGTGCAATTATTACGCTTAACATCATGCAGCCAAGCAGTATCCACGGGACTACAGCAGTATTTGACTTTGGAATGATTGAAGGTACAATGCTGTTAGCATTGTCCCACGACGCACTAGAACCACTCCGACTAGAAATGGATGTTGATTCTGATGAGGAGGAACTTGATCGAGAATCCGATTCTGACGATTACACCGGTAATCGGAAACGAAAGAAGAAAGAATCCAACAACACAAACCAAATACAGATCAAACGCAGACTAGGGGAAACTCCCGTTCCAAATCGTCTTTACTTTCAATGGGCTGGGAGAGAAACAGGGAACGGTGAGATCCAAACGGATCCTGATAACAAGCACACTGGCTATCTTGATTTCAATGAGGGCAAGACGTCTGCTCGAGGGGAGTTCCTCTATCCTGCATTCTTCCTCAATGAGAAAGTCAAACTTGAAATTTATAAGGTTGCTGATCAACCATCCGGAACCCCGGCGCGCTGGTCGAGTTTCAGCGAAAAGCAATGGGACTATGAATGCGATGCGCGATGGGGTAAATGCCGACCAGGTGTCCTAGTTGGCAGAACACGCATGAAGGCCTATGATACAAGTACGATAAGCTTCTAAGATGAATATTAGGGACAGAAGGTAAACCCGACATTTAATAAATAACGCTTCTAAGACAAAGAATATTAGGGAAGATCTTATTTCAAATACAGCATGAAGGAGGTTATTAAGTTTATCTAAAGAATTTCCTAGCAATAAGATAATCATTTAAAAGTATCTAAGAGATAATAAGATCATCTAAATCTTATATATACGAGTGAAAAAGAAATGGATAAGATTGATAAAATGACCCCTGCTCATTCCAATAAGAATTAAAGAAATATATAAGATAAAGATGGAGTATAAAAAGAAAAAATCTATATATATTGACAACATTGATGGCTGTGCTCCCATTTTGAAAGCTGAGTCCAACATCAATGCGATCAAGTGTGGGAAGGACTCTCGCATTATTGACAATCCTGAATAAGACAGTCCTAACCCCGAATGAAATAGCATGGTCTACGAAGTTGATCATTGCATCGTACCGTGCTAAGCTTCGCTTTCACAATCCACATTCCACGATAACTCTGCCTCACTGGCATTTTGCCTTAGGCCGCTTTAACAGCGAAGACAACGAAGTTTTAATGAAAGCAATAGTAATTGTAACTAGACCGGTTCAAGTTCAGCATTCTTCACAAGTAATAGTTCTAACAACGCAGATGACACCATCGCTGACCATAATAGTGGTGCACGACCATACTATCTTTCGATTTAGTAAAAGCATTATTTCTAAATAGGAGCTGCACTGCTGCTTCATGTCCCTTTTTCACGGCCCACGAGAGCGGTGTCAGACCAAAATTATCCTCACTCTCGATATCAGCGCCTCTCAGCAACAGTAGCTCTAGTACCGACGTATACCCATCTTCGCTGCTTCTGATAGCGAAGTCTGTCCATAGTTATTCTTGGCCTCGATTTCAGCACCCTTCCCAAGTATTAGCTGCTCTGAGTCTGTGTGGCCGTTCCCTGCCGCCACTAATAGTGGTGTGCAGTCTGCTTCCTGATCCTTAGACTCAAAGTCAACGCCCTTCTCAAGCAGGAGCTGCACCATCGCCTGAGATCCCTTCATTGAGGCCCAGAATAGCGGTGTCCGACCATTCTCATCCTTAGACTCAATGTCGGCTCCTGTCCCAATAAGAAGTTGTACCATTTTCTCAAGCACCCATCTCGGCAGCTTTCGATATTGCCGTCCGATTGTACCCTCATTATCGGCGTCCCTCTCAAGCGATAGCCGCACAACCCTCTCTCTTGTCCGTATTTTGCCACCCAATTAAGTGGTATCCTCCAGAGTTTCTCGTCTTCTTGCTCAATATTTGCGCCGCTTTCAAGCAGCAACCGTACCACTCCTTTATGTCCATTCTCCGCGGCCCAAGGTAGGGGCGTCCGACAATCGCCCGATAAGCTAGATTCAGATTCTGACGCAGACCAAGTCTCGGTGTTGTCGTCATCGCTGATTGTTGATGCAAAGTTATTTCCAGAGCCGATGTTTCTGCTGTTTTGAAGTAGTAACAGCACCACCGCCTCGTGTCCATTCTTTGCAGCCAGAGAAAGCGGTATCTCGCCTTGAGAACCATCAGGCTCAATGTTAGTGGCAGCTGGATGACTTCCTTGTGTCCTTTCTCCGCAGCCTGTGAAAAGACTGTTTGTCCGCCTGGTTCTTGCACATCTGCACTGGCATTGCTGACTTCCTGCAAAAAGACAGCCATTTGAGAATACGAATACGCACCAAACTGTCACTGCCTAACTGAGTAATGCCAACCCCTTGTCAAGCAACAATTTAACGACAACCACGTGCCCCTTCTCTGTAGCCCTGTGATAGTATCATCTGACCGTATTTAGTTGTGAACCCCGATTCAACCCTATCATACCCCAGCAAAAGCCGGATGCTTTCAAGGGTATACCAAAATTACGTTAGGGTTAGGGTGCGCGGGGGTTATGCTCATCGCGACAGGCCGCAACCGGGAAGGCGGCGAGGCAACAGCCAACGTTGTGACTTTCAACTTTTTCAAGCGTGTAATCATTATTGTCGTGAGAAGAGATAGTTTCCGGTCCTTCATGTTCGTCAAGGAATGATGGTCGGGCGACGTATTCGGTGCTTATTGCGCAGATCCAACCAACGGTGTAGTCATATAGATTAGACATCTTTCATTGAAGAAAGAGCAGTATATGGTAGCGGCGGGGTTAGATGGTTGGAATAGGTTCCTTGTCAACCAGTCTAGAGCTACTCCTCGAGTGGAGTGATATTAAGATCATCTAAACATCGAGGGATGGAAAGATCTGGAAATTGGTTGAAAATACAGCAGTAGGAGAGAAGGAAAGGAGGATGAAACTGAGACAGAATTATTAGAATTAGTATCGTGTCAACTTGCGCCTATTGAGAAAGGATATGCGCCGAATGAGTAGATAATGCAGCCTGAATCCAGAGGGAGCTGAGATTAACTGGGGTTGTCGAATGGATTTCCTCTTTCAGTTTAGTGAATAGTGTTAGTCTCGAGGCTAAGCAAACACCACCTGCAAATCCGAGATGAGGGACGTTCTGGAGCGTTTTGAGGGCGGAAAGGTTAAGGGCCAATGAAGGGCCCAGAACCGGACCAAGCCTATGACACTGAGAATTCCAAATAATTAACGGTATCTCCAGGTTGCGATTATCCCACTGGAGTATTTTATTTACGCGAAGACTCTCCCCAAGAAGATTGCGAATTAATCTCTACATTTAGATGGAGACCAAGATATGTCACAGAACCTATTCTGTTGCCAAACGTACTTTACGTCGCGATGCCAAATATCGGTCGACCAAGTCGTGACTGCTATAATTGCCGAAAGCGACGAATTAGGGTATAGTCAATTGTGCCGAAAGAATAACCAAGCAATTACCAACATCTGACTCAATCTACAGTGTGACCTCGCACGTCCCGAATGTAGCCAGTGCCGAAGGAAGGGCTATTTGTGCGCCGGTTACCGGGATGAGCTGGACCAGCTCTTTCGGGTTGAGACTGTGCACTCATTCATTTCGAATAGGGCCCTGGACCGCCGAAGGGCAAGCAGCAGTAGACCAATCCCACAGGCCTTGTCTAAGCACCGATTTGGTCCAATTCCTACCTTTGGTATGGTAGTTGATGACTCCAGGAACCCGCCTGCTTATCACTTTGACAAGGTGAAGGCTTCTTCTTAAACAAAGAGTTGTCGTAATAAACTGATGAAATCATTTCCTTCGTCCAGGCAGATCCCGGGCCTCAGGTCCCCATTGTAGAGTCATGGACTGTCCACATGTTGCCCCTGGTGATGAGCAAGTTTTCCTCTGATATCCGAAACGGTAACTCCCAAACTATCTATAACGCTATCCCACGACTTGTTTCCAAGGCAGGGGCAGGATCCGCTCTTCACCTCGTCTGTGATGCGATTGGACGCATTTATCTATCAAAGGCCACGCTCTCGCGCAGGGAGCGATCTGCACAATACAGTGCCTACGGGAAAGCGATTACTGCTATAAATGCAGACCTACGCGATCCACGACGTTGGGAAAGCGACGAAACCTTGGTAGGCGTGTTTTTACTGGGCATCTACGAGGTGAAGACACATATTATTATTTACTACCTGCTTTACTAACCATCCGTCTTTCAGCTTCTATCAGTTTCTGACTTCAGCCTCGTGGTCAAATCTCCCGGATGGTGTGCCCACACTCAGGGCCTGATAGCCTTGCTTGACAGGAGACAAGCAAGAAGCTTCAAAACAAAAGAGGCCAGGGACTTATTCCTGGCTATCTTTAACGCTCTTGTGAGTATAATTTCCTTCCTTCTTTATCCTCATTGTTTCCATACTTTCCCTCAAGTGACTAACAAGGGCGTTCAACAGCAAAACCAAGCACTCATGACAATTCAAGACTATTCCTGGGAATTCATGTCATGGATTCGTCATTTCTACGCGAACTGTGATCTAGATGAACTTAATGTAGTTCGCACTGCCGTATTCGCCCATCATTGCAGCCGTCTCTGTGTTGTGATCCAAGACCTAATTGATACCGCCGACCCCGAATTGTTACTTTCCATTTACCCCTCAATATTACATCATGTGGAAAGCGTCGAGAGCCAAACTATGCCCCTATCTCACGATAAATTTCTGCGAGATTGTACGATAGAGCACCCTTTGGACCCACTTTGCTCACCTATTTCTATCCATAATACAGGGCTCTGGGGATATCGGAGCAGCTTCCGCATGCAACTGGCATCACAGGTACATAGACTTCTTAGTTTTGCATACCAGGCACGCGGCTGTACACCCGAACAACAAACACATCTTCTTCAAGCCCAACGGCGCTGCATTGCAGAGTTTCGGGCCTTAGCGGACCAAGCTTTGCGCATACTGGCTTCATCTTGCGGGTTAGAAACTTTTAATGGGTTGGATCAAGTGGCAAGATCAGAGAATGATAGCAACAGTTACAAGGTAGGGTTGTGGGATGCATTTCGACTAATGTGGCCACTAAGATCTATTATTACTTGTTATATCTCGTCGGACTGGGAGAGACAACTAGCGAATAAGATGCTTAGCACGGTCCACATGCAGATCCAACTCCTATGACTATTCAAATCACATTTACTTTGCTAGCTTGTATGTACTTTGCAGGTGGTGGGACTTGTCTATCTATAAAACATTACCAGCTTTGTTTGCATTTGCCTATAATACTTTTTAAGAGTGTGGATTATGTAAAGGCTTAGATGATCTTAACTAAGTTAGATGTACTATTCTCTCAATATTCTTAAATGACTGTCTTGTTACTAGAATAACATTTTAGATAAGACGTAGTAACCCTGTTAATACTATTTATGACTCCGCTCCATGTAATATCTGTTGGGTGCACTCAGGCACCCCTCTCCGCCCAGTGCATTTGCACGCAGTCTTATTACTTAGATATCGATATATTCATATTGACACTTTCATGTTCTCACAACGTCCCCTTTTTTGGCAGCAGCGCTTTACTAACCGTAAGGTTTAACCACAGTCTCTATCCACCTTAGTAAGCACCCAACTTTCCAAGGCTACATATCAAGGCCTTTCAGGGGTGTACTTACACTTACTACCCTGTTCTGCCAACCCGGTCGGTTTACGCATCGAAACCTCCACGTGGTGAGGCTCAGCTCCTATGTATGACACGATACGATGTACATACTCGGACTATGTGGAATTATTAGAACGATCGAGGCTATGGCAAGCCACGTTTGCCCTGAAAGAATACAGGCGTGCGTACAGAAAGACAGAATATTAAAGTCAATACAGACACCACCGTACCGCCAAGACATGCAGAAACAACAGAATCAGGAACGTGCGGCCGTTGGCTGCTGCGATAGGCGGACGAGCAGCCGCATCGCTAGCGGCTTGTTGCCGCCGCTTTACACAAGTTTACATCTGTTTACATCTTGTGCCTCGCTCCTCGAATCAGCGCCTGAGGTTTCAGGGGGAACGCCTTGTAACTTGGGCACGATGCTGTATCGTGCTTTCCAGATGATACACGATCGCCAGTACAGTGTATACACCATACCGTCGTCGATACCCTGCTGTTATCGATGCTGGGCCCGTATTATGCTGCTGGATGGCGGATGCTCGGACATTTTCTGCTTGACAGTTGATTCACAGCGTTCTTCAATCGGGCGTTGCCCTGCCTCTCCACGCCAGTGCGAATCTTGGTCTTTCGCCCTTCTGTCTCATATCATTTCAGTAGAATAAAGATACTATCCGTGTTAAATAGGCGCTGCCTTGCCAGACTCGCTTCCTTTCCAGCCGTATCTCTTTCCTACACACTATTGCCATTGTATGAACGCGCACAGTCTCCGTGCACGTGTCTCTTGAGACACGTGGCGACGTTACAGACACAGATCCTGCTTATCCACTTTTCGTGTTTCCCCAGCCGTCGATCTCGCCTCGATGAGTTTTGGATGGTCGGCGGGTGATATCTTTACGCTTGTAGATATCTGCTACAAGCTTGCTAATAACGCTCGTCAGGGACTGACCAGTGCCTCTCTTCAAGTCAAGAGTTTACAAAATGACATAGAGGACTTCAGCAAAGTGCTTGAGCACCTAGGTGAAGTGGTGAAGGAGAGCCGGAATGAAGCCTTTCTTGATTTTACCGACATTGTAAAAACAATTGAGGAAAGTAGGATTTATCTTAAGAAGTACAGGAATCTCCAACTATCGAAAACACCTACCCCTGGTGACCCATCGGCATCCAACTCCAACGCAGGCCAAGCGCTGCCAAATCTGCAGCGCCGGCCGTCCTCTTCAAGAATCAAAGAACTGTTAGACAAGTACAAGGGGACTGGTTTAAAAATCGCAGAAGCACTGAAATACACAACATGGGGTGGTGAACCAGAAATACACGTGCTCCAAAAGAAACTCTCACGCCACCGACAGACCTTAATCCTTTACCTTCAAATCCTTGAACAGTATGGTGCTCCTATTCTTCAGTCCAAGTCATGTTATATTAGCTAATGTTGTATCTTATAGCAGACGACGTTCGAAAGAGGATTCCAGTGTCGATACACGCCTGTCCAATGTCGAGGCAATGGTCAAGGACATACATTCAGACAGACGTCTGTCGTACGTGGCTTCCCCAGAAATACTTCCGTCGTCTTCACGCTACTATCCACAGTCCCAGAATGGAATGGATTTTGAGGACTACGAAGCTATCTTCAAGGCGCTCAACGAGCAGAAGCGCCTGGCGTTGATGGAAAGCGAGCGGGAAGATGATGACGACACGCTACAGGAATGGAACGATATCCTTGGCCATCTTGAAACCATCCACCGAAGAGTCTTGAATGCAGCTGAGCGCACTGCAAGTACAACGGCACAACGACGCACAGCATCGGCCTCATACCAGAAGTCTTTGAACCGTATCCTCACCCATACTGCAGGAACGCCTCCATCCCCACGGCTAATGTATAGGGTTGATACGCATGATAGTGGTTTCTCTGAACTTCCTCCGCTGCGTGAAGAAAGCTCTGGACTAAATGAAGAGTTTGTTCAGAGCGGTTCTTTTACCACGCCCGTGGCTTCTTCCTCTTATCACGTAGTTGACGGACACCGAGTGCCTTTGACCCCACTATCCTTGCTAAGAACACGCACTCAGTCTGTAAACACTGTTGAACGACCAGTCTTGAGTCCTTCTTTTTCTTCCGAATCTGTGACAGAATCCACCGCGCCGTCCTCTTACTCTCCACGCCACACCCGAACCACTAGTATATCCTCATCCAACGTCTCGTTGGCTTCTTCTGTTACGCCCTTGGAAACTATTCAGTTCAATGGATGGGTCAGATGGTATGGATAGCATTTGCGTCCCATAATTTCCGGTCATTATACTGACTCATTCATAGTTCGATTGGTTCACGCAAACATGTTCCCTGTATTTTGAATGCGGGTTATGACACCCATGGCCAAGTCTATGCTCTTCAAGTCCAAGAAAAGGATAGCAACAGTCAATTGCTAATAATGAAGCGTAAGTTTTGATCTTATATCTCATGAGATCCCCGGAAGCATCGCTAATCAGTAGAGTTCTAGTGTCGACTCACAGAAAAAGGCCCATTTCCCACACTGAACCACCCGGAGGACGCGATAATGCGGATGATGGCATTCCCGCGTACTTCATAGATCATATTGATACCGAACCAAAGAATGAGAAAGTGCAATTCTTCTTCCAAGACGAGAAATGTTTGTGTTTGCCACCCCAGCCTTTTTATAATTCTCTCCTGTTGTGATATATGGTTAACAACCCGTTTTAGCTCTGAACAAGTTCGAAAGCTTGGTTTATGGGCAGAAACTGCTGCTAGCGATTGTTGTAGATAAGATCTCATCTTCTGTTGGAGGCCTCAGTGACCGTCAAAGGATTCGCGTTTGGGGGAAGGGTGACACCATATCTCTACTTTTCTACTCGAGCAAATGTAAGGGCTCTCAAAGGCGGTATATTTCCATTCAAGGTTAGTTCTTGCTTTCCTTCTTGACCCTATTTTTTGTCGAAATCTTATCTGAGTAACAATAAAGCCTGCAATGCGCACGAGTCAAAGCCAAAGAAGAACGTCCTAGAGTACAAAAAGCTTCAAGGCAAAAATGGACTAGACTTGCATGATCTAAAAATTGTATTCAAAGATGAATCTGGTAAGTCATACCCCTTGCAACTTTTTATTTCCATATTATATATAATCGAGTTTAACAAAGCTACCCTTCAGACCTCGTGAAATTCTCGAAGAAATTCTCAACGACATAGCGAGACGCAATAAACCTTAATTCGATTAATTTTGATATGACTTTTAATTATATATTGCGACGACGGACGCAGTTGACATATATGTGATGATATTTATAGAACCCATTATGAACTGGATGCATGTTATGACTAATGACCATTTTAATGCTGGTGACGGCGCTCAGCGATTAGTATGAGAATATCAATGGGAACTACTCCACAGGGTGAGGGGGTTCAAGGCTGGGAGGTGTTGATTTATGTACCGTATGTATCAATTGATGCACATCAATGTAGCGGTAATAATAGAATAGAGCTTGGATAATTCTACAAGGTTGGAGCCACAGACGAAACAAACATTTGAAAACTACTAATTACCCCTATTTTATATTTGTCTCCAAACAAAAAATCGTTGAACGGTGGTTTTATGCGCCGCTGCAATAATCGTATCAAGCCGAGTCATACGCCACTGACTTCGAGGCTTTGCAAGTGTGAATCGATTTAGATATTTTAACATCCTTACCCGGAGAGACAGGCAAAAAGACGCGACGACTGCAGATATAAACTTTTGGTACATGTATTTTACAAGTTATATTGTGCTGCGCCTCCTGGCATGCGGCTGATACAGCAATAAATTACTAATTACATGTATGTATGTAATGTATACTCACGATACATCAACTGATACGCCGAGCTTCTTTCCTAGTGCGAGGGGAATCTGCCTGGCTCAGCCTCAGCCTCGTGGGTAAAGGGGATTATATTTATTTATCTTTCATTTCTGCATCAGTTACTGTATCGATATGGCCTCTTTGTTGTTGTCAGTTGTTAGCTACAAACCGAATGCAACTTTGATAGCATTGGAATTCAGCAACGATTCATACTCTAGTGAAACAACTTTCCCAGATGAAGAATCCATTCACCTTACATATCAAGAATCGGACGGTCAACTTTGACCATATACGGGTACGTGTACTCTCTTCGGGTCGTGCCCATTGCTGATTAATGAAATAGGATCTCAAACTTAGAAGACGGCGCGTTCTTGATGAACTCGACCGAACACATTTCCAATGGCTAGTGGTGTTTGTATCTGGAGTCGGCTTTTTGGCGGATGGGTATGATGTATGTTTAAAACATAAACATGGACCACAGTCAGCGATATCCCCTTTTAACAACCTATATTTTACAGATATACGCAGCTTCATTGATAATGCCCATGATAAGTCATGTATACTGGGAAAATAACATGCCTGCACAAGTCGAGGCTGCACTTAATGCCGCAATTTTGGCTGGAACGGTAATTGGTCAGTTGGCATTTGGAATATTTGCAGATGTTTACGGGCGAAAGACCATGTATGGCCTCGAGCTTATGATCATCATCGGGTCCACAGTCGGCATAACAATGTCCTCTGAAGGTGCTGGTGGTTCTATGAACATGCTGGGATGGCTTATTTCATGGAGAGTTCTACTTGGTGTGGGAATTGGTGGCGATTACCCATTGAGTGCTGTGATTACCTCCGAATTTGCGCCTACAAAGAGTCGAGGTAGAATGCTGGCAACTGTTTTTTTCATGCAACCTATCGGCTATCTGCTAGCCACTATCGTCTCGGTGATTGTCCTGGCAGCATACGGATCTGATATCCGTGGGCACGCGACCTGTCAGGACAATATTCAGTGCCGTAGTGCAGTGGATAGTGTTTGGAGATGGGTAATTGGGTTAGGCACGATCCCCGCCGCGTTGGCTATCTTCCTGAGGTTCAGCATCCCAGAAAGCCCTCGATATACAACCGAAATTCTGAATCGACCGGGCGATGCTTTGGAGGACGTCAATCAAATGGATTTGCCAGCCATGTCACCCACGCCTGCGCCTGCGCCTGACATGGAGGCAAATGCGGAGTTCGAGATATATGGCTCTGGTGTTCCGGGATTTAATGCAACAACCCTGCACAGGAATGAAGGTTCGCTAGATGAGTATCACGCTTCTGACAATGTTGAAAGACGCAGTTTGGCTTCACCACATGGGTCGCCAATGCTCCGTGGTGCATCTTCCACAACCGTCAATGAGGGACTGCATCATAATATCACTGATCCGAATCTTCTTACAGCCACTGCCGGGGCTCGTACTTCCTTTGGCAACAATGGTGTGGTTTTCACACGGCCATTTACAGCAAATGATGAGCGGCCAGCCTCGTTGGCGTTAAGCCCAACCATGCTCACTCATGCGGAATCGCATGAAAGCGGCCCATCATCCGAGGAAGATGGGGGTGGTATTGAGTCACGAAATATCTGGGCCAATTACCGCTCTGTTATGAAGGAATACCTTTGGGACAAAGGATGCTGGGTTGTTCTCTTTGGTACATCGTTGACATGGTTCTTCTTTGACTTTGCATTTTATGTCATGGGGCCCAATTCAACTCATGTCAGTGACAGAGTTTTCAACACATTAAACGATGAGCCTGACGTGTACCTGAGTCTGATGAGACAACTATGGCACTCGCTCGTCATTGTCTCACTCGGTTCAATCCTTGGAGGAATAAGTATGATCTATCTCATCGGACGCTTCTCACCGCGCACACTTCAACTCGCAGGTTTTCTACTCGTGTTCGCTCTCTTCCTAGTTGTCGGCCTAGTGTTTATATTCCTCCCCCCGCCAGCTCAAACCCCACTTGTGGTGTTTCTATACGTAATTGCCATGGTTTTTTTCCAGATTGGCCCCAATTTCACAACATATATCATTCCCTCGGAGCTTTTTCCCACCCAATTCCGTTGTACGGGAGTTGGTATCTCTGCAGCTGCTGGGAAGACAGCCGCCGTGTTTGCTCAGCTTTTTTCCACTCTATCTTCCCTGGCCCCTCAGCGCGACGGGTCGTCCAAATGGTTTGGTGTTGCAATTATTGTTTTCGGCGTTTTCATGTTAATCGGAGCCGCTTTGACTAAGTGGTTGACGCCAGAGACCAGGACTGCGGACGGACAGCCTAAGCCGCTGGAGGAGCTGGAATATGTTGGTAGGAAATATCCCATACGATATCTGTCCATGTCGAAAGGGGAGAAAGAAAATATCCCTATGGGTGAAACAAATATAGAAGATAGTCGAATTATGCCTGAACCTACTACTGATGCTGCTACTCATGTTCAAGGTCATAGGCATATAGTTACTGATATGGAGGAATGACGAACTTGGGATTTGGTGGCATCGTACCCTCTATGGTCATGTCAATTACGTCGTTTTCTTTGCATTATTAATATTACCAAATTTACCAGAATCTATGCAGGACAATTGTATTTAATCTTTTACTACCATAATTTTCACGTTGTTCTCATCACACGACGATATTGTGCCCAAATCTGGCAAATAATCAGAACCCCACCAGGGACGAGTGGAGGTGAATCAGGAAATAAATACCTCCATTTAAAGCAACTGGAGCTTTTCAAAACGCCGATGCCTTAGGCAACACATCATGACCAGCATTGAATGAAACATGAGTCTTCTCATCTAGTGGCGATAATAATCGATTTAACAGGTATATGCTCTTTTAATTCCTAAAATTAGATAGCTAGTTGTTCCATGTAACGTAATTCAAGAAGCAAACATAAATACATCATGGTACAATCGAGAAGGCCGACCGCCGGAGCTGTGCCTGGAATGTCAAAATATCAACACGTCAATTTCCCCACGCCATTACGCCATGCTGTCTTTCTCAGATGAATGGTTCTTTTGTTTTAGTTTTCATCCGTTCCCTATGCCTTTTTGTAATCTTTGTTGTCATGGACTCCGTCGCCCGAACAATACTGGCAGAGCTAATGCCCCCAAATCATCGCCATCTTCAAAGGACGAATCTAGATAACCCAGCGGTAACTGGCATATCGACCTGCTGTTTCACTTTTTCGGATAATCTTCACAACCTGGCCCCGGCGCAAACCAAGATAACGCGAAACAGGATCCGAGACCTGTATACGAGGCAGCTGTGACTCCTTCAAACGATACCGGTCTAGCAAGCGCGCCTTTTCTTCTGCGCTCAACAGGACATGTTTGGGTACAAGTTCATGACGCGTGATATTGACCAGAAGGTCGGATTCCTGGAAATGCTCACAGATGTGCTTGTCGAGGGTGGTTAAAAGACGAACGGCCGAGGGCGAAATGGGGGTTTGTGTGATGAATACGCCGGAGTGGTAGTTTCCTTCATCAACTGTGTGGATGAAAGCGCGCACTTGTTTGGCGCCGACCCCGCTAGAGTCGTTGCAGAATTCGACGTATATTGTTCCGCAGTCAGGAATGGGTTCAGGGTCAGTTGATCGCTTTTTCAGCGGTGTGTATTTGGCCTTCATGGCATCGGAGGGGATGGCGACGATTCTCATTCTGGATCGACTGTAGGACAAAAATTGCCAGGTTAGCTAGCCTGCGAAAAGCTGTATTACAAAGGAGAGAGCCGTACTCCACGAATCCCATTGCATCTGCATATTTTTGCCGAAAGGCATCGTGGGAAATGCTCAACTCCTCGTCGGAAACTTCATAGCCCTGTAGACGAGTGTTAACTGGCTTCACTGCTTGGTGCCCCATGTTGCTCTACCCACCCGGTCGTCGAGCATCTGGTGAACCGTCCTCCAGGTATGCCATAGCCTGGAGATTTGGCGCATGTTCTCATCAGTGAGAGAGGAATAATCGTCTTCCATGGTGTATTTTGTCGGATGCGCCGCAGCGCACGCTGTGAGAATAGAGAGTAAAAGCTTGCAGATGACCAGCTGGGCGGCTCTTCAGAGTAAGATGCCTTTGTAGAATTAACTAGGCGCTAGCATCAGATGCGCTGTATTCCACCGTCTACCAGACACCAGGGAAAAAAAGACAAGACAAGGCGAGAAGTGCAGTCGACTTCGATTTGCTTCTGCGCTAAAGACTCGCAACGTTAAAATAAATTCTAAGCGCGGGTAAGAGCCTAAAAAGGGCGGCCTTGGCAGTCGGGCGCCGATTGGCCAGCCTCGCGCGGCCAATAATGGACAGTGGCAGAAGAGGCCAGAACCGGAGAAAAACAGAAGCGCACCAAATCTCACAAGAGTCACTTCTGGCTCTGCTTCCCGGCCCAATTCGCTTTTGTGTGATCGGTCACCTGTGCCTCTCTTCGCGAATCCCCGAGTCTTTACTTGGTGAGTCCTATCCTCGCCCAAAATCCCATACTCCAGTCAATAGCGATCCTACATTATTTATGTCCATACGAGACGAGTCACTTGAGCAAAACCCATGTGACTTTCACTTGTCCGACAGCGTCAACAACGCCGCATCGCTATTTTGATTTTATTTTACTGACTTATCCCTAGTCTTCTATCAGGCAACATGGCCACCGCTGCCTCAGACGCCACAGCTGATGCTGTTGGACAGAAGACTCGCCCCGTCAAGCCAGATGAGGAAGCCTACAAGGCCAACCTCGCTAAAGCTGAGAAGGAGCACACCGCGGCTCAGGAGAAATTGGTGCGTGGTGATGGTACCACAATTACTACAGGTGGCTTACTAATGATTTTCTATTGAATAGAACCAAATTAAGGCCAAAATTGAAACCGCCAAGCCAAACAACCAGGATTCACCTGCTGCCCTCAAACAGAAGGAACTCCGCACTGAGCTTGCATCCATCCGTCAAAAGCAGCAAGGCTTTAAGTCCGCTCGCTCTAGCACCCAGGAGAAACTCAATGCCCTCGACTCCAACCTCAAAGCTCGTGTGGCCGAGCAGAACAACTCTCGTAACAAGATCGCCTTCAAGAACGTTGACGAGATTGACAAAGAGATTGCCCGCCTGGAAAAGGATGTTGACTCTGGCAAGATGCGCCTTGTTGATGAGAAGAAAGCGCTCTCTGATATCTCCAGCCTTCGCAAGCAACGTAAGAACTTTGCTGGTTTGGATGATGGCCAAAAGAGCATCGATACCTTGAAGAAGCAGATTGCTGAGCTGAAGAAGACTCTTGACAACCCCGAGGCTCGCGCCTTGAGTGACAAATACAACGAGATCCAGAAGGAGCTTGATGCTATTAAGGGCGAGCAGGATTCTGCTTTCAAGAATCTCAACTCTCTCCGTGATGAGCGCACGAAACTGCAGAAGGACCAACAGGCCAAATTCACAGCAATCCGTGAAATCAAGGACGCCTACTACAAGGCTCGCAAGGCTTACAAGGAACACGAGGACGAGGCATGGAAGGCGCGCAGGGAACGCCAGAAGGCTGAACGTGAAGCTTTCGAGCGCGAGAAGAAGAAGAAGATTGCTGATAAGAAGCTTGAGGAGGCCTCTCACCCAGCTTACAGTGATGAGATCTTGACTGCCCAAGGTCTCATTCGTCACTTCGAGCCTTCTTATGACTTCGCTGCTCTCGGTCTCGATGATAGCAAAAGGACCACTGGTGGTACTTTCCGCGCTGAGATCGGCCGTACCGTGGACGACGCGAACATCAAAGGTGTCCGTATCGTGAAGAAGGATGATCGTGATGACGACTACTTCATTGGCACCGGTGGTAAGAAGGGCAAGAAGGGCAAGAAAGTTGCCAATGGCTCCCCTGCTCCAAGCACCCCAACGGATGGCAAATTCAACCTCAGCTTCGGCGTCATTGAGGACTTTGCCAAGGTCAAGGTTGACCAGCCAATGAGCCAGGCAGATGTTCCGGCTGTAGTGGAGAAGCTGGCAGCCAAGATCACCGAGTGGAAGAAGAACCAGGCTGCTAAGACCCAGGAGGTAAATCAAACCCACAGCCTGTTTATATCAACTCTATAAAGCTAATCATATATAAATAGAACATCAAGAAGGCTAAAGAGGAAATCGACCGTCTTGAGGAGGAATCTCAGCGCGCCACCGATCATGCCAAGAAGGTCGCCCAAACCAATGCTGGCGTTAATGGTCACGTTTCCGCCGAGGCTGAAGCTAAGCAGGAAAACGACGGTGCTGCTGACGCTGCCGAGGAACTCCAGAAGGCTTCCATCGAGGATAAGGAGTAGAAAATGGAAACCAGTTATCTTTCCACCTTTCGCGCATCTGCGACGTATCAGAGCTCAAAATTCGACCTTACCACCACCTTTTTGCATACCACCTTAGCATATTCCTTAATGTTGCTAACAACCTCATATGCTCATCATTTTTAGTTTGGGGCATATTGGACATTTGATTATTCATTTTCCAGGTCACGCCTATACACATCTCATCTCCTACTATTTCTTATAATATTTTGTGTGCTATGACTCCAGAAACAGCGTCATTGTCTGAAAAGTATTTCGACCGCGGTCGGTTTTTCTTTTCTTTGTCTATTGCCTTTATTGACTATATGAGATTAGCCTGGGGGTCTAGTGACTCCCTGGCCTATCAACATTGTTGTCTATGTTATTACTTTTACCAACATTTGTATGGACATGATTTAATTGAACGATACAAAACATACTCTGAGCCCGAGAGATTAAATGTCATATTTCCTGTGGTAATCTCGTTTCCCGCAGTCTCTAGGTTCCAGACTATATGCTTGAAGCTAAAAAATATGCACCTATGAGTCAACTAATAACTCACACCACGTGTTCTTCAGGATCATGTTGGTTCTACCATAGTAAATCTAATAGAAACGAGCGCGAATACGCATAAGATCGGTGAATTCCCATTGGTCAGAAGCTGGTATAGTTACGGGCCGACAATCTTCCGGCGCAGTAAAACGATAAAGTTAGCTCATTGTAGCTTCTGAAAATCCCAATCAGTGGAGCGGGACGACAGCGAGAAAACCTTCGCGAATCGTACAACCCTAGCCACGACTCGCAATGGGTAAAGGCAAAAAGGTAAATACTCTATTTATTCTCATTTCTCGTCTCACAATCATAATAACAAGTATTCCTTGCTAACGAAACTTCAATTCTAGTTTGGCGGCAGGAAAGGCGGAGGCGGCGGCGGCGGCGGGCGCCAACAGCGACAAGAATACAAAGAACTAATCAAGTCTAATCCCAGATACGAAAGTTATTATAATGATCATGGGATTATACCTAAGGATGAGCAAGAAGAGTTCTGGGCTGCTCTGAGACGAGATCTCCCAAACTCTTTCCGCTTCACTGGTTCAAGAGGGTATGTTAGACCCGCACTGATAGACAGATGCTTAACATGTGCTTCTCACACTTGCTAATGCTTGCATTTTATAGTCATGCGCTTGCAGTGAAAAACCGATTGATAGATATGCACATCCCTCAGATCACCTCTATCACCTATGAAGGGAACTTTGTCGAGCCCCCGAAGCCTGTACCGTGGTATCCAGATCAGTTAGCATGGTTCATGACGACTCCTAAGAACGTCATCCGTCGATTCCCGCCCTTCTCGGCCTTTCAAAAGTTCCTGGTGGCGGAAGCAGACGTTGGTAATATTACTCGCCAAGAGGTCGTCAGCATGATCCCACCTCTGCTTCTCGATGTTCGGCCTGGTATGACGGTGTTAGATATGTGTGCTGCCCCTGGAAGCAAATCGACGCAATTGATGGAAATGTTGCATGCTGGAGAAGAAGAGTCAATACAGAAAGTTAGAGAGGAAGTCAAGCAGGGCACCTACGATCCCTCCAAGCTTCCTGAAGGCCTGCAGGACGACGGAAGATCCACGGGTCTACTCATTGCTAATGATAGCGATTATAAACGAGCACACATGTTGATTCATCAGATGAAGCGACTTAATTCGCCTAATCTTCTTGTCACAAACCATGACGCTACCGGATACCCGTCCATCAGGCTTCCTTCCCTTCCTGGAAAAGAGAACATTAACGTATATCTCAAGTTTGATCGCATCTTGGCTGACGTTCCATGCTCTGGAGATGGCACCATAAGGAAGAATCCCAACATTTGGTCGGACTGGACACCTGGGAATGCTCTGGGATTGCATGCTACCCAAGTGCGTATTCTTGTCCGTGCTCTTCAGATGTTGAAGGTCGGTGGACGCGTCGTCTACTCTACCTGTAGCATGAATCCCATAGAAAACGAAGCTGCTGTTGCGTCCGCAATTGAGCGTTGTGGAGGCTTGGCCAATGTTGAGATCATTGACTGTGCGGCAGAACTGCCCGAATTGAAGAGGAAGGAGGGGTTGCGGAAATGGAAAGTCCTGGATCGTGACGGTCGTATTTGGAATAGTTGGGATGAAGTCGACGATCATCGACAACAGAATGGAGATACTGGACTAGGCCGGCTGGCAAAGACAATGTTTCCTCCATCTGAGGATCTACCACTGGAACGCTGCATGCGTGTCTATCCACATCTGCAAAACACTGGTGGCTTTTTCATCACAGTTCTTGAAAAGAAAAGTGAGATCAGAGCGAAACCAGAAGACAACAAGAAGGTCGTTCCCAAAGCATCCGTGGCTGCGGTTGTCGAAGAGCTTGAACGGAGAGCGCAGAATGGTAATAGCGGACCGCTGGATAAGATCGAGAGCCTTGATGAACTAGTGGCCCCTATTGAAGGAACTGATGGAAAAGATGCAACAGTTGCTGAAGCTTCTAATCAGCCTCCGTACAGCGTGACCTTAGGTGCATCGTCTCCTTCCGGAAAGCGTTCAGGGGACCACCTGGATTATCAAGTTCCCACAAAGCGAGTTAAGGTGGAAGGCGGCACCGAACTCATTATTGGAGACCGCCCAGTCCACTACCCACCTCCACCTGCTGCGGAGAGTCAGGAAGACACCACTTATGAGCCTAAAGTGAAGGACTTTGCGGAAACTGGTGTAACCCCTAAACGTAAACCGGGGCAGCCATTTGAAGAGCCATTCACTTATATCGATGGCAACTTAGACGAAATCCAAGGAATATTTGATTTCTATAACATATCTGAGCGGTTTCCGCGGGATCGTTTCATGGTCAAAAATGCAGCAGGTACCATGACGAAGACTATATACTACAGCAGCACTCTAGCACGAGATATTTTGACAGAAAATGAGGGCCGTGGATTAAAATTTGTCCATGGAGGCGTGAAGATGTTTGTCAAACAGGATGCCCAGCGACCCAATCAATGCCAATGGCGCATCCAGACTGATGGTTTGTCCATAATCGAGCCATGGCTCGGCCCTGAGCGTATCTTGACCTTGACCAAAAAGGAAACCTTACGGAAACTGCTCATTGAGCTATTTCCTCGGCTAGACGCGAAGACATATCAAAGTCTGGGCGAAATTGGTGAGCAGACAAAGGATATAGAATTAGGATGCTGCATTATGAGAATCGAGCCAAGTGAATCGGAGGACGGATTAAAGTAAGAAACCAAACCTACCTGACAAAGACGCGCAACTTAAAACTTCGCAGGGAACGAATGGTTCTTCCATTATGGCGGTCAATGTTCTCCGTCAACCTTATGCTTCCCAAGGAGGATCGACGTGCTATGCTTCTCCGTATTTTTAACGATGATACACCGGTACAGCACTCTACGACACCTAGAGGTGTAGCTGTTTCTACAGAGCAGGAAACAGATATGCCAAATCCTCAACCTGACTTGGCAGACCAGACCGCCGATGTGGTATCTGGAGCTGTGGATTCGGAAATGGCATACGACGAGAACGAGAAGAATATACCGCCTCCTGTCGGCAAAACAGAGGAAGACATCATCAAAGTCGAGAATATCCTGGCCGGTCAGGAACAGGAGGACCTGATGTCTACGCGGGAGACGTACCAGCGTGATGGCGACGAAGAAGACCGCTTCAATACAACAGTGTAGATAGTTTGATGAGTAAAAAGTTTTACTATCGATGAATCAATTCCGTGTACTATTACTCGAATTCCTATTCCGGACATCTGCTTTGTAGGCTATGCAACGATACGCATTGGGCGATCAATAATTTCGATTGTTGTGCTTATTTTTATCGGCTCTTCACGTCATTGAATTGAAATTACCTGTCCCGCAATAACTAGTCCTGTCCATTAACGCAGATTCTCATTGAAGCGAACAGCTAAGCCAACCCAGCCAAACTTTACTGTAATAATTCGCAACGAATAAAGTTAGGTATTTTGGCGCCAAACAAATCAGCATTGCGTGCCATTCTCAAAGTGACCGTGGCGCAGCACGGCCGTAGCGCCATCGAATCTTGCCCGATTGGGGGATAGTGTACGAGAATAACGGCCGAGAACAGCCACTGTTGATATTCATATTCAATCAGTTTCGGGGTTGAGGAGTATATAAGATTGGTAAATCTTCTTGATGAATTTGTTATTTTCTTTTTATTCAAATTTATTTCTGTTAAAACAAGACACACGCTCAAGCTATTTGCGATATAGACTCTTTTCTTATCTAGATCAATTAGCAGTCAAACAACCCCTATACCTCCAGTTCGGAAAGAAATACAAATATATCAGCCTAGAAAAACACCTATCACAACCATGGGCATCATAAAAACCGCAATCCTCGTTGGTGGTGGTATTTACGCCGCGAAAACTATCATGAAGTACGGATCTTCGCCTATCCTTAATACATATGATGCTAACAATAGTCAAATCAGAAAGCAGGACAAGAAAGAAAGAACCAGTAACAACAACCTGAATCCAAATATGCCTGCATCCAGGTATCCCCCAGGCCCACCTCCGGCATATTACCAAAACCAGTCCTATCAACAAGAAGGCCCAGGGTATTACAATTATAACACGCAAAGTGGTCCTCAAACTCGAGAAAATGGAGGATTTGTTGACAATAATCCGAATGGTGGTTGGAACTTGGATTATAAGGGATGTGATGGATCTTCACAGGGGAAGACGAATGGGGTTGACAACATTCGACGTTAGCCGGTTGGAATGATTAGGTTTTTTGCAATGGTGTTCTGGTTGTGGTTGAATTTGTTATTTTTTAGGGGCAATGTTTTCAATGGGACAGCTAGGAGTATTTCTCTATAATTGAAGCAAGATTGTGATTGCACTACAGAAATATAAGTAGATACATGATAGATACCAGTTGTTATATAACATTTAAACTTGCAGTCTTATTTCTTCTGAAGCCATTACAAACATGAGTCTCCAATCCTATACAATTTGTTTCAATTACGCCATGGCAACATGTTTGAGCCATTCCTTCCTTCACTTTAGAAACGATCTATTTTAAAAGAGTGTTATCCTTTCAATCCGTCAGACCAGGAAATTTGGTAGCTTGTAATACGCTACCCGACTCGCTAGTCTTGACAGGAGCAGATGGAATTATGACAGTCATGAAACGGCAATGATCACTACCAGTGTTCTTCCAGCCATGCATCGTTCCTCTATTATGAAATAATGAAAAGGCCGTTAGCATAAAAAGTCACATTTAATACTCATTAATCAAATTATATATGAACATGATCTCACCTCTGCACAAAAACATCGCCTTCTGATAATGTTTTCTCCACCCCATCGTCAAGGATAAGCGTGATCGATCCTTTCAAGATCACACCATAATCCAAACTTTGATTACGATGCATAATGACTGGGTTTTCTTCCACATTCACATCACTAGAAATCGACAGTGGTGGAACGTCAACTATTTCACAAATAATGTCACCACGCGCATTCTTTGAGCGAGCGAGGTTTTCGTTGGATAGTTCATATTCCGGTCCCTGCGGATCAACAGGATACTTTGTCGTTCGATGTACGAGATATAACCCGGGAACGGAATGTTCATTCTCGGGCGAAATGTCTGCGCGTGGGTTGACAGCAGTGATGTAGTCGTCGTGAGTGAATATTGCTTTCCCGTCTGCCGAATGGCCTGTGACAAATCGCCGTGTCGACGGTAAATGAGGTAGAGGATAGAATGAAGACATTATCAATTGATTTATTTTATTTCTTGACAATCTAAGACCACGAAAAGGTAAAAACCGAAAGCTAAGCCGAGAGACTATTGCTAGAATATCGACGACATAATATTAATGGTAGAAAACGGTACAGCAGTATAGTATGGAAATAAAAGCAAATTTTTGTGAATTGAAGAACATACATAATTGTGAAAACCCGATATTTCGGTCATGTCTGGACCTCGGTGTTATATGTTCAACTTGGCCGAAGTATCGGAGAATTATAAAAGTCGCATAGTGCAGTTTTCCCTAATAACGCGCGAATGGCGGATGTAGACTTGAAATCTTTCAGAATGCTAGCCGAAAAGCTTATGAAATATTAATATACTCCAGCTTGGATCCTTTTTTTGTAAATCACATATGTAATTATCTTGACTGTTTTCTTTACCATCGAAATTAAACTTATGGAAAGATGGCTGTGACGCAAGAACAGTTACCCCACCAGCAGCGATTATCAGCAGCAGCTCGTCTTCGTGCTGCCCTCGCTGAGAAATCAAAGACGATTATTTGTCCAGGAATCTACGATGGCATTACCGCTCGACTTGCCCTCAATGAAGGATTCGAATATCTATACATGACGGGTGCTGGCACTGCAGCAACCCGCCTGGGTCTACCCGATCTCGGAATGACTACTATGAATGACATGGTTGCAAACGCAGGATCCATTGCGTCCCTCGATCGTTCAGTACCGTTGATTGCTGACGCCGATACTGGTTATGGAGGTCCTTTGATGGTTGCTCGGACAGTTCAGGCATATATGACCGCCGGTGTGGCCGCAATGCATTTAGAAGACCAAGTTGTTACGAAGCGGTGCGGCCATCTCGCCAATAAAGAACTAGTCGATGAAGATGTTTACCTCAGTCGGATACGTGCGGCCGTAATGGCTAGAGAGGAATTGGCAACAGCATGGCCTGGAATGGACATTGTCATTATTGCACGAACAGATTCTCTGCAATCATTAGGATATGATGTAGCAGTCTCGCGTCTTAAGAAGGCAATCTCACTCGGCGCGGACGTGGCATTTCTAGAGGGAATGACAAGTATGGAGCAGTGTCGAAGTGTCTGCACTGATTTGGCACCTGCACCGGTGCTTTTGAACATGGTGGCTGGTGGAGTGACGCCTGATTTGAGCGCCGATGAAGCTGCAAGCTTGGGGTTTCGTATTATCATCTTTCCAGCCGTGTGCCTTGGTCCGGTCGTAAATGTTGTGGGTCAAGCTCTCAAAACTTTTAAGACGACGAGGAGGAACGACGTCAGTGAGTTCCAGAAACAAACCGGAGTGAAAGGATTCTTTAATGTCTGCCGCCTAAATGAATACCTAGAGTTTGATCGTCAAGCAGGCGGAAATGCATTCAATGGAGGGGTGTAATGTCTAGATAGAAAATGCGATGTTAAAAGACTACCTGGATCCCCTAGAGATGGAGACAGTCACATGCAACCTAGTAGATAAAAAGTTGGGCGAAGAGGTAGGAATAGGCTTAGGGTTACCCCGTTCCCCCAGTTCTGGGCCTTTTCCCCCGGTCGGCGCTCGGCAGTCGTGTTCCGGGCGCCTGGCATTGCTAGCATCCCCGCAACATCCCTGCTCTTGAATCACGTAATGTCATCCCAACTCTTAGCTACCATTTCACAATCTTCTCTACAAAATGCCGGCTTATAGATCTGCCATAAGGAGTAAGGCTTGTGTAGAATGCAGACAGCAAAAGGTATGTACTTTTGGTCTACGTCACGCCAGGCAATTAACGACTACCTGACAGCTGCGCTGTGATGCCCATTTGGATCCTTCTAATCCGTGTTCAAGATGTCGTAAGACGGGGGTTGACTGTGAAATATCTGATACATTTCGTCGAAGGCCAAGGAAGACGTAATTTATACCGATGAGATTTTAAGAGCTAGAAGAGCTAAGTGAATCACCATGCAGGAAAGCGCAAATGCAGCGTGAAATCGATATCCTACGTCAACAGGCACATCTTCAAGTGAGTCACACCGCGACTCGTGATGAAAACCCTCCAGCTATATATTTGAGCTCTCCATCCGAGTGGGCTGCCCATGAGGAAATAGTGGCAGAGAATGAAACTAGTCTTCGCGAAGAGCAACACCAAGCAGCGCCTTTGCCAGCGATTCTGACAGCACCCCGGAGTTTGGATGGCATAGAGTTGGAATCTTACAAGATCAATGACTGTTTCTCACTGTATGTTTTCCAGTATTGCTCCACAAGGCAGAAGCTGACAAGCTTTTTGTATATGCAGGTTCTTCGAACACTACTTCAAAATTCTTCCCATTGTGGACCTAAGAAATGACCCAAATTGGTTTTATGACTACTCGCCACTTCTTTTCTGGACAATAGTAGCAATCGGTGCAAGGAAATATATACAAGACCCAACAATCCTCGAAGCTTTAGGCCCCAAAGTCGTGTCTATGGCTATGCAATCGGTATTGAAGCCCCACGAGCATATACAAACTATACAAAGTTTGCTTCTTCTGTGCACGTGGCCGTTCCCAATGGATACCATGATCACAGATGTGTCTCTTCCATTGACCGGGGTGGCAATGCAGCTGGCTATCCAGAATGGTTTGCATTTCTTTGGGCGAAGGCAAGATTTTATTACCCAAATAGCACAGAATGAAACGAAGGATGTCTTCCGGCCGAGGTTATGGTCATATTGCAAGGCAGTTTGTCAAGTGTATGCTATCTTAATCTCCTACTCTGAATTTCATGCTGACGGATGGGGAAAGTACGAATATTGTCAATGGCTTACAACCGCCTGCAATTACTGACGCATTTGACTTGCCACCTGCCCAACAACATCAGGCCATTAAAATTCTTTCGAGCGATATATTCTGGGCACACAAGTTGCAAACCGTTTTCACAAACGCAGTTACGGCTCTAATGCAGAATATTTATCCCGTAACAAATAACCCGTTAGGTCCTCTCATAGACAAATGGGATAGCCAAATTCTGGAAGTCATCAAACAGGCTGGTGAATATCTTGGTAAGTCATAATTCCCTGTACTCATGGGAAGTTGCATGAAATCTTGCATAGAGGATACCCAAGCTAAGATATTCAACAGAGAAGGATCAAATAAGCGTACTATGTGCTCGTCTGAACATTGGTGCGTTCCATTTCTACGAAACAGACGAGCCTGCACGGCGAAATCGTTTGATAGCGCTGTACCAGACCGCATGTTCATTTATCGACGCGGTAACGTTAGCCGATAAAAGTAATGACTACGCTCTATACAGCCCAGAGTACATCTATCGAACTTTGAATCTGGCAGCTTGCACACTTCTACGTATATCGCGAAGCAACCTTCGTGGTAATGTCGATGTTGTCATTGGTGAACGCGCTTATTTCTCATGCATCTATCTACTTAAGCGCCGAATGATTCGGAACAATGATCTCAACGGGCGTACTGCCGGTGTACTAACTCAATTATGGAGAAGCCCACAAGCGTTTAAGCAGAAGGACGGGTCATACAATAGCTTAGTGGTTCGCATGCGAAGCCGTGGGGTATGTTTCTTCCTTACTTATTCCGCAGTACGATAGAAGGAAAACAAAGCTAATTCTGTCATCATAAGTCCATGGGTATATTCTTCGACTGCTTCTGGTATTGGCAGCGAGAGTTCAACAGCCAAACAGACCCGTATTTCGAACAGAACGAAACCCCCTCTCAGCCCTCTGCCAATATGTCAGAGAGCTCAGACATATCTGCTCCACTTCTTCGCGATCCTGCTATTGCATCTCATGTCGAACCAGTCATCACTACCAGCGATGAGCAGTTATTTCCATTTCTGAACAATGATTTCTTCCCGGATTGGGATTCTATGACCGGGTTTCAAATCCCGTCGTCTATAGCTTGATCTGAATTTATTGAGTGTCGAAACACACTATAATTGAAAAGAAAATTATTTCTTCGTTTTCCTGCATAAAATGCCACTAATGAAGTCAATCACTGCCAAATATTTCATGGTCTAGTTCCATAGCGTGGGTAAAGTTGGCCGAGTATTCGGGCCGAGAGACGGGTGGCATGCCGACTATCCGGCAAGGCCACAACTTCAGCTTCTAGATACACATTCAATAGAATTAATAATTCTGATTCATAATCAACAACGGTACGTAGATGAAGTTTAATATGCAATGATTTGTAATTTTTGACGATCATTTTGTTTGTTACTTCATTAGTGGTTCTCATCATTCTTTAACCTGCGCGATTCACGCTTCCACGTGTTGCATCGAAAAGAAAAGAGAGAGAAGATAATTAGACAAAAACAAGATGCTTGAGGTAATCATCCACCCTGGTCCCAGGACCGAGTTGATTGAGTCGCCTATTCCGATTCCCAACCACGACCAAGTTGTTATTAGAGTGGTAGTCTCCGGAAGCAACCCAAAGGATTGGAAGCGACCAGAATGGCTGGACGTGCACATTAACCAAGGTGACGACATTGCGGGATTTGTTCACCAGGTTGGAAAAAATGTAACTGAATTCAAGGTAAGTTTTGGGAACCGTGAAAACGTCGCGAGAGCACTCTGAATTAGAAGATTCAAAGTCTATTCATACATGAGATGCATACTGAGAGCAGCAGCCCGGCGATCGAGTTGCCGCATTCCACGAAATAATGGGCCCTGGTGGTAGTTACGCAGAATATGCATTAGCGTGGGCATCAACGACGTTTCATATTCCTCAAAAAACATCATTTGAAGGTTTTTCCCTATATTCTGACAAACCCCGAACCCCTGATACTAATAAGAGTATATAGAAGCAGCGACAATCCCGTGAGTTGGCTCCGAAGGATTTTAAGTCATGTTGAACTGGTCCTGACAAACGAGAATCAGGCTCGCAGCAATGACAGCTGCATTAGGCGTCTTTTCACGCCTTGAACTCCCCGATCCATGGGTACCCAGCCGCCAGGAAACCCCGGTTCTGATATATGGAGGGGCTACCGCTGTTGGGGCATTCGCTTTGAAATTCGCCATTAAAGCAAATATCCACCCCCTAATTGCTGTTGCTGGCGGTGGTGCAACATACGTCGAATCACTAATTGACCGCTCAAAAGGTGATACTATAATTGACTATCGCAAAGGTGCTGATGCTTTGGTTGAAGAGATCCAAAGTATTCTCCACAAACACAAGGTTAATAAACTTACACACGCCTTTGACGCAGTTTGTGACCATGGAAGTATGAAAAATATACTACGTCTTGTCGACCCAGATCGGGCGAAAGTAGCTTGTGTTTTGCCTCTAGCTGATGATCAGCTACCCTCACCCATGCCGCCAAATATCACACTCTTGCAAACCAATGTTCGGAGTGTGCATGGACAACCAGGAGCTCTCCCAGGAGATACAGATTTTGGTTTCATCTACTTCAGGTATTTTTCCAAGGGCCTGACGGAGGGCTGGTTTTCTGGTCATCCTCATCAGGTCCGGGAAAACGGGCTAGAGGGAGTCGAGAGTGCATTGAGGGACTTGAAGGAGGGCAAGGCCAGCGCAGTGAAATACGTCTTTCGTATTGAGGATACGCCAGCGTTGAAGAAAACCTCAATATAACTGAATATAAATGCACGGAATCTGTATCTATGATGCCAAGTTGGTATCGCTACAGTCATTGATAGGGTTTCAATATTTTAAATTAGACTATAGACATCTTTTACTTCGTCATCAATGTTTACACAGTTTTCAGTAAGAGCATTTTTGAAAATTCCAAATTTCTATATCAATCTATTGGCAAATGCCAACATTTATTTATTGGATAATCTAAAATAACATATATGCAGCCACTTGCCGATTCTATAGAAGTATCTCTTAAACCGGCTTCGTATAGCATAAAACTCCGACATCCGTAATGTTGTGCATATTATGTACTTTATATGGCACTTCAGGAGTCCTATATGCTTGAAAAGGATTCATAATATCACTTCCGATTTTTCGGACTTGGTTTCCCCGTATTCTTTCCTTTCTCCGCATTCAGATCGCAGCAGCATTCTACGCGGGGTAGTCTGAATGATTTATATGACTGTTTATTATAAATTGTGGAATTTTACTACGTCTACAATGATAATAAAATTGAAAACTCCAGTTCCTCAGATAATACCATTCTCATCCAACAGACAATATGCCTCTCACTCCAGAGCAGGAAGCTCTCCGTACCCAATTCACGGATACGGGAAGCACCTGGACGCCAGCCTGGGAACGAGTTCTCCAAATAGACCCTTCCTACTTCGCGGCATACCTCAAATTACATCATGCCGCGTTTAACAAAAGACTCCTACCGCCCAAACTCCAACATCTTCTGATTCTATCAGCAGACGCAAGCTGTTGCACGGAATACGGACCGGGGATTCGAGCTAACATGGCGGCTGCACTCGCTGCCGGAGCAACTCAGGCGGAAGTGCTCGAGACACTCGAGTTGACATCGGTCTTGGGAGTTCACTCAGTCAGCTGTGGCGTACCTCTTCTTCACGAAGTTCTGGCCGAGGAGGGGAAGCCCGCTATATTCCTCGGCGAATCCCAAATCTGGGATAAACGTCAATCGGACCTCAGAGATCGATTCACGGCTACACGGGGGTACTGGGATCGTCATTGGAATGAGGTACTTTGCCTGGACCCCGACTTTCTTGAAGGATACCTTGCTTTTTCCGGAGAGCCGTTTGATGAACGAAAGAGTATCTTTGATCGCAAAACCAAAGAATTGGTGTATATTGCCATTGACTCTGCCACAACGCATATGTTTCTACCAGGATTGAAGTTACACATTCGGAACGCTGTCAAGTTTGGAGCCACTCCATATGAGATCATGGAAGTATTTGAATTGGTAAATCTGATGGGTATTCATACCATGTTAGAGGGAGTTACGGCCCTGAAGGAGATCTCGAATTAGTGATATGTATCCGTAGTGGAAATACGTGGCTATAGTTCCAATAATGCATTACATTTACTCTTAGTCTTAGTAAGTCACAGTAGAAAGAAACTTTTCTATTCCTTATTCCTTAAAATGAACAACTACCTCGTAAGTCCTTCGAATGTAATTTTGATTTCAAACCACTCTAAACATTAGTTGAAGATAAGCAGATCACAAAATGAGTCAGCTAATCTATACCCATATCCTGGAAGTGGTAAAGAGGTATATGGGTACATCCCGGAGTTTGAATAAGTGTAACCTTATAATATTCTATTTCCCACACTTCATAGTTTAATCGGCGACTTTGAATATCGAGAATAATGCAAATGGGTCTTGGGGTGGCATGCCTATGGAGTCAGAAGATCTAACGAATGGCATCATAGTCTTCATAATATGACCACATAGTAATCCTCTATGCACAAACAAGTTTGTGTGAGGCATAAGTTACATTATTAGAATATTGCCGATTATCCCATAACTGAATCAAACCACAAGGAGTACCATCTGTGGAGATTCTGCCGACTCTTCGGGCGTTTATTGAGATAATCCCTTGTCCCTCAAGATCTCTATTACGTCATTCAAAAATAATTTAACAATTTATTCCTCAATAAACATGTATTAATTCTCTAACGTTCAATTACCCATGGGAAATACGTCGCAGTTAAGGGTGTGGCGGCACAGCTCCGAATTTTCGGACTGCGGGATATTGGAGGTAGTCATACGACTTGATTCCCGGGAGGTGACTAAATCCAAATTCCAATATTTATTGCAAAGGAATGAATAATACATATGATTAAGAAATCAATTGTTCAGAACTATTTCATCATACACGAAAATTGGCACGACCTAATCATCGAAAGTCCAAATAGCTAGCTACCCCATCAAAATCAACATGCCCGGCCAGAAACTCCCAGAAGTGGATCACTTTGTCCCTGTCGAACCTTCCAAAGAGCCTATTGAATTTGTTGAGCTCAAAGTCCTTGACTTTTCCAAGTACAATGACGGGCCCGAAGCACGCAAGCAGCTGGCGGAAGAAGTGCGACAGGCGATGACCACTCAGGGGTTTTTCACGATCATCAATCACGGAATCAGTCAGAGTGAAATCGAGCGTCAGGTTGATATTGGCCATACCATTTTCAAACGCACCCCTCCCGAAGAGAAGGAGTCACTCAAAGCCCCAATTGTTGAGAAGGGTTCGTACTTTGGATTCAAGCCGCGTGGTCACTGGCGCTTGATGACCGGCAAAAAGGATAATATCGAAAACTTTAATGTCTCGTGAGATTTCTCTTTTATCATGCTTGGTGAATGTCCATGTGTTTGAGCTGATGGTAAATGCAGTCGAGATATGAAACAGACACCCCAACCTACTGCCATGAAGCCGTTTATTCCAGAGATCCAGAAATTTATTGACTTCACACACAATGACATTCTTTTCAAGGTAATATTAAACCCTAAGTAAGGTATATAGGGATACATGTCTGACTTCGATTAAGATATACCGTCTTTTTGCGATCGCTCTTGAAATCAATGACGAGGACTTCTTCGTTAAGCTGCACTCTTATGAAAAGCACGATGAATCCTGGCTCAGATATATGGAATACTACGACGAGAATCCCGTAAACACCGCAAACGGCGAGAAAACCTTGTGGCTGGGAGGTCACCAAGATCTTTCGGCATTATCGCTGCTTTTCAGCCAGCCAATGTCTTCGCTTCAGGTTCGCGACTACGATGACGATTCCAAATGGAAGTACGTAGCTCACACTCCCGGAGCTATCATTGTTAATGCCGGGGAGATTGTGAAATGGTGGACTGGGGATTACTTCAAGGCTGCAATTCATAGGGTGATAGAGCCACCCAAGGACCAAAGGGGACATGATCGTAGCAGTGTCTTCTATTTCGCCGTGCCAAATGACGATGTAGTGATCAACACGCTGCTTGAGGAGAGTCCGGTCCTCAGAGCGGCTGGTGTTGAGAGGGCACATAGACCGGAAGATGCGCCAACAAGCAAGGAGTGGGTGAATGCGCGGGTGAAAATGACGGGCCAGAAGGCCGCATTTGCTGGCGAAAGTAGTGGGGGTAGTGTTGTTGAGAAGGTGGGCAAGGTAACGACGACCTGGTTTCGATGATTATCAATATCAAATGCTTCTAAAAACCACATGTAATTAAGATCTTTGTATCAACTAAATTCTATAGTTTTCATGTTCCACATCGTTATTACATATGTACGTAGTAATGCACGTTTCTCTGAGCCTTGTACCATGTTGGATTTGAAAACACTCATTACTAATGTTACATCTCATGATTTATTCACATAAATATCAATACAGCACTTGAGCTCTTTACATATGTAGGCTGCTACTAACTATCAAGTATCCACGGGCAACCATCAATTGATACAAAACTCTTCATCTATTTTAAATGCTCTCACTCCGTTTAGTACATGTAGTTGACATGTTACCCTACCCCTATAACTAATTCTTTAAACGATATATCTAAACAAGATATGGCGATCCTGCAGATCCTCCAACGTAAGATTCTCCGCCACGTGCGGATGAACCTCTCCACGTTCCACATACTCCGCCACAATCTGATCTTTCTTCTGGTTCAAACGCCTCATCCACCAGGTACAAAACACGATGCTGAAGCCGGCAAGCACATTGAGCGCCAACACAATCGAGTGGCCTTTAACATAGCGTGGCGGGGTATCGTATATACGAGTGGCCATAATAGAGAACGTCATTGCGAAAACCTCCGACGTCGCCCATACACAACTACGTTTGGTGTATCCGGCGGTATTGATCACGATCCATACGGGCAGCAATATGACGCCGGTGTAGCAGCTGGCGGTTATGAAGCAAGCGGCGACGATACCGACGATTGTGGATGTGGTGGCTAGGAGGAGAGTATATCCCAAGACTGCCAGGCAGGAAGTAGCAAGCAGAAACGGCGCTTTGGTGTTCATCCGATCGGATGTGATACCGATACAGATACAAGCCACGAATGCACAAGCATATGGTATGATGCTGAAAAGTTGGGTTTGGACTACCATCAAATGGTCAGTTAACGAATTCTACTATCCATATATCTGTGAACTGTTCTCATCCACTCACCAGCGTTGAACCCGAAGCCGTTTATGAATGTTGGTAGGAAGTTCCCGACAACAGCTAAACCTAGCACATTTGCTCCTTGGACAAGCCCAAAGGCCCAGGTTTTCACATCCATCATTGCATCGAGAAGCTGACGAGGTTGAAATTTGGCGTCATTTTGATTGTAAGCTAAGTTAAAGTCTTAGAATAGCGTTCACTGATATCGAGAAAGGTCAGAAGCATTACTTACACGCCTGACGATCAGTAGCGAGATTAATTTCTTCTTTTGTGAAAAGCCAATGACTACGCTTACGCCGCTGGAGGTCGTCCGGCATACGAGGAAGAAAGAGAACGATAAGAATCCCAGCTCCGATGGCTATGACTCCTTCTATCAAGAAAAGCCACGACCAAGGATACCGCCCGCTTCGGACATACGGTAAGTTTACCTCTATTCCATACGCGATAAGACCACCGAACGCGCCGGAAAGCGTGGCACAGGAATAGTATATTGCTGATAATTGTTAATAACAATACCAGAAGCATATACCGCAATTTATGTGTGCAAGAGAAATAAATTCAGCGAGCCTCACCTGATCTTGTGCCCAGTTCATCTCTCTGATACCAAAGCGACGTATAGATTGTTAATCCCTGGATAAACGACTGACCAACCCCGAGAAGAAACCGCAGCCCCATAACTGCCGAGAAAGATTTGGCTACAGAGAGACTGCACATCACAACTCCAAAGAAAATAACTGCAGTCCCGATAGACCGGTTCGCTTTGAGCTTACGGAGAGTCAGATTGACGGGAAGCATGAAAACCATATATCCGACGTCTAGGACTTGGTCAGATAGAGCCTTTTTATCATTGAGAATTGACGCGTATGACTTACAAAAAATGGTGAGACAGCTGTAATATTCATTTGGCGACAAGTGCAAATCAGTCGCGAATCCCATTACTTTAGCATTTCCGAAATTGTTGCGGTCCTGCAGCATATTTCATTTAGAAGTCTACTCGTTCATAAACATCAATGGGTTCGCATATACCATATAGGCTGCAAAGTAGCCAAAGGCAGCCAGCGGGAGAATCACAAGGTCTGCCTTGAGCAAAAGCCGTTTCTCGGCAGATGTCTTTGGCTGGATGACATGCGAGGTTGCCAGTGTGGGAGCAGAATGGTACTCTTCGTGGACCACATTTCCGGGCTCTTTGTCCTCAATTCGATTGGTGTCCATGATGGCGTGGGATATGTATTACAGCAAAAGTGATATACATACAGTGAGAACAGGCAAATCTGCTTCATTGATCTGTATATGTATAGGGTCTCAGTTTATTGCTATTTCGTCTACAGACAAACAGAATGCGCCACCTCTGCCGAATAGTCGGAAACTTTCAAGCAAAATAATCCAATAAAAGAGAAATTAGGGTTCCGAGATATCGGCAACCAGAATTCATGTTGATTGACTTGTAATCAATATATTCTACACAAAATTAATTTATGACGTTTCGATAATTTGTATATATTTGACAAAGTTCCAGCATTTGTCGTTGTAATGGTCCATGAGATTTCGTTCTCCTCGGGGTTTCTTGGTTTGTATCACATCAACCCCGCAAACGACCCCGTTTTCTCGGAGTCGTAGAAATCGGCCGGAAAACTTAAATGCGGAGTTGTGGGGCGTATTAAAGGTTTTGATTACACATTATATTAGACCCATTCTTGGCCAGACGTTCCGACTCGATGCTTATTCGGTTCAGAACAAGATATATATGTTTGCTCTGGTATTGAGGTGCAATTGGAGTGCTTCACCTGGAGCGACGATGCCTTCTCTGGATAGTTTCACTCACAATCGCGTCAACGCGCCGAGAAGTAGTGCTACAATTTATCAGTTGATTGATTGTCTTTTGACCTGATGCTGTCGTCTTGATTTGTAATGCTCTGCTCAAGTGGTCTCGTTGATGTCTCGACTGAAGTTCCCATAGTCTTGTATTCGTAATGGCATCGCCCCCGCGGCCTCGGAGTTCCTCAAGTTCCTCGGCAACATGGAGCATTCAATCCCTTCCACGAGTATTTGATACATATGTTCAATCAGCCTCCGCCTGACGGTCTCGTCAGCAGCACGGAAAAGCTTCAGGGCGGACATGGAATCAACAATAAGATTAGCCTGGCAGTCGCGGACGCCATCGAGACCATCAAAGGCGGCTTTGATGGTAATCCACATTAGCCCTTCCATAGTGAGCAAGTTCTGTCCTTGGTTATCATGGTCGCCGCTTCGAACAAGCGCGACATTGAGGCGGTGTAGAAAGAGCTTGACTAGTGGTAATCGATCACGGAGGCGCCAGATCCCCGTCAGAACAATGAAAAGAGTGAGGTACTGAGCGGTTTGAAGGGCGTAGCGGCTATATATCGAAAAGTTGGGTCGTAGATAACGGCAGAGAAGGCCGGACGCTAGTAGGAGACGAATTGTTTCATTGAGATCAAGGCTCATTGACGGCGTGAATTCGTTACTTGCGGATGGGCCCGTAAACAGTAGTTCGGATGGGTCGACGGTATTTTCCCCTTTGGAAATAATCTCAAGTATTCGCAAGGCATACCCGAGAGCTTCAGGCCCGAGTACAACATCAGTTGCTGGTGGTTCGGAAATAAGATACGGCATCAAGTGGCTTGTAAACAATATTATATGTGTTTTGGAGGCCAGAATCATCTTCCTCAGCCCTCCTCTTGTCTGGACGGCTCTTTCGTATCCCTTAAGATGTATATTCGAAGCATCGCGTTGGGATATGCGTGACTCAGTCATAGTTGCCATGATGAGCATGTCGACCAAGTCATCAGAAACGGGACCCTTTGCTGGACTGTCAATCAGATTTTTACGCATCGTTTGGTATGCAATTGATTTGCGACGGAATATCGACGCTGACGGGCCCTCTCCTCGGCGGCCTGCGACAAAGGCTGCAGCGGCTATAAGCATCCATTGTAGTGTCATCGACGATCGGAGTGACAGGGCAAAACTAATATCGCGGACAGGGTTGAAAACGGCGTCTCCCCGAGTTCCATAAACATCTCGCGATACGCCGGTCAGGTCTGTATTCCCAAAGCGTCCTTTGTTAGCGCAATACCGTCGAATTTGCAAAGGTATATGTGTTTACAAAATTTCAATAATTCTTCATCCTCCTTGGAGGGGTTGAGCCCAGTTGGCAATGCACAGAACGAATCCAACACCGACGCTATCAGCGAGACTTCCGCATGTTGAATGGGTTCGGTCGAGGGCGTTTTAGTCAAGGCAGAGCTTCTGTGCCGCTCCTGGCTGGTTTTTGTCCGTTCTCTATTCTCGGGGTAATCATTCTTCGCAGCATGCTTGGACTGCGATGAAGCCTCGACGGGATCTTCGACGTGCTTTTCGACGTGCTTTCGCTTTGGTCAGTACGGCCTCAGTCTCGGTAGCAGCGCCATTGAGAGCGCACAGGGACGAAAATGGGGACGTACTCTGGCAGGTTTAGGCGGCGCGCTCGAGAAACGCCAGGAAATGACCTGCGACTGAGGAAGCGCCGGGGTCACAATTCGCCGTCGCGGTGGTGCTTTGCCGGCTCTGGCGGGGTGTAGCACCATGGCGCACGCAGAAACGAGTTGAATATAATGTCATGTGATGGGGTTGCTTTTCAGTCCAGACGCCAGAGATCATGTCACCTCGATAGCAGGCATTGTTGTTGCTGCCGCTGTTGTTGTACAGAGAGAGAAATTAATGAGAGGGCGCGGGCGGGGCGCAGTGGGCAATCACGGGCCGGCTCCATCTGTCTGGGGAAGACGCCTCGCTCTCGGCCCCGAAACTCTTTTCACCAAGTAAGAATAGCTTGCTGCAACGTGATATCTTCTAAACTCGCTGGAATGCGTCAAGCCCAGGCTCTGCAAGACAACCTCGCTGTTCGCAATGTGGTACAGTGTTCTGCTGGTTACGCAGACATCTTGACAAAATATCAATGAAAACAACAATACTCACGGACATCGATTAATACTAAATGCATGGCATTGGGCCCCTACTTCCATGGTGGTGACAACCTGCGTGATAGGGGATGTCGCAGTGCCTTCTCCTCGATTGTCAAGTTTCATTTTGCTTTTTCAAGCCGATAATCAACTCTAACGTGAAAGAGCGCCTGACCCTTATTATTTATAGCCAGGGATCCTCGTTTTCGCTCAAACCAGCCCCAGCTTAGCTAATCTTAGGTAAATGCGAATCCGCAAGCTAGAGCGATGCGCCACAATATTCCACTTCGGGAACAAGGTCGTCATCTCACAAGTATCGTGCCAGTGCCTACAGCGGGGTAAAAGAGTGGCGAGACGAGAGAAATAAAGTTTTCCTGTGTTTATCACAAGCCGACGCTGTGGAGAGAAAAACCTGCATTGATGGCGTATTCGGGGCATTTATTTGTGGTGCTCTCGGTTTCTTGCCCAGAGAAGCTGCTGTGGTATACTACCAACCCTCGGAATTAGAGGATAGGTTGTTCTGGTCACGGTTATAGATAACCTTTGGCAGTTGCGATGATATGCAACACCCGGGCGCCAGGTGGTATTGGTATGACGCTGTCGACATTGAAGCCGCGTAACACTGCACGTCGTTGCAGGGAAGCAATTGGGGCGGGCGGTAGATTTTCCAATTTCTCAACAAGGCTGTCGAGGCTACAAAATGAGGCGCGTGGGGAGCCTTATATTTAAATCCCATCGGGACTGCTGTCATTGACAGCGCGGTATATCAGCGCCTCTGATTAGTCTCGATCTCGCTTGTCGAAGCTAAATATATAAATATTTACGGCTGGTCGTTCCGAAACGAACCCCAACTCAGGCAGCCACTCAGAACGACGCCCGACCTCGTTTAAGCACCGATAAATGTTTCCACGGAGCAGCATCAGAAGAAGCCCTAGAATCAGCTGAAGACCTCGTGTTGGTGGAGCCTCAGACAACAGCCAATAGTAAGCCACATCACAGTAGTGAGGAAGGGTGATGAGAGAGAGACTTGGGGTGTACCACCAGGGTTAATGGGCGAAATCTAGGGTGGGCGTTTGGCAGAACGTGCGTAGAGGTCGAGCCAAAAATAAACTGTTTAAGCTACGCTATGTAGGCAAATTTATGCCCATTTCCTCCGGACTAGTAGTATTTAACGACTGTCCATATTTCTTAGCCTTGACACAGTGCAGCAGACCAGGCGCTTTCTTGGCCCGTTCGTATCCTCGTTCAGGCTCCTTGGCGCTCTAGCTAGTCATCTCTTACAATTGATCAATGAGAGTCTATCGCTGATCGAACGACTTGTATAAAAGCTGCGGCGACCCGCCAGACTGGATCTTCATGTAATGCAGTGTACAACATAGCCCAAATACGAAATACTAAATACCCAGCATTTTGAAATACTCTTCAAAAGCTTTCAAGTGTTCTGCCAAGTACTCGATCATTACTCTTACCCTCTCTGCAGCACAAATGAACTTTGATCAGACCGATGTTCTGCTCCTCCCGGGCAATCCGGACGAGCGCTACTGGTTCTACAGCAACCAGGAGATGAATCTCAAGGAATTCGACTATCCCCTCGATCTGCTCGTATGTATCATGTCATATCCTCAATATAGCAGTGGACTCAATATTCAAATAGACAGTAACATCCAGTCCGTCGCAATTTAACAACGCTACCAGTGCGCACGATCTAATCCAGAACAATTCCGCCTTCGACTCGTACATGCCAACTCCGTCTTCCTCACGAACAACACCCAGCCCGCAAATGTCTCTCTCGCGACCACTCCACACCAGCTCATCATCTGCAAAGAAAGAGAAGCTGGGTTCCAAGAAAGGCCGCTCTGCAAAGACGGCGACTGTCTCGGAAGACGAAACGCCAGAAAACAAGTCCTTAGTACGTTAAACCCATCAATTGATCAATCCAGCCGCGACCAATCTAATCCGTACAGCGACGCCGAGAACAAAACCGCATTGCGCAACGCACATTTCGCGAACGTAAAGACCGATACATCCAGACGCTTGAAACACACATCAAAGAGCTCAACGCGCGACAGCATTCGCTCGAAGCCAATTACAAGAAATCTACCGACCAGGTCAGCGTGCTGTACACACAGCTGGCCGAGCTCAAAGCCGAGCTTGACTACTGGCGAACCGGTGCGCATAACCCGGCACCGTCCGAAACCGAAGCCATCCCCATGCGCAACACCGAGGCGGAGTTGACGCACAATTTACAAATACATCCGTTTTGTTCGCCGCGGTAGTCGGATTTTAGTCGGATGTCATCATAGATTATTTTCGCGTTTCCTTTTATTTCTGGCTCTGCATCAACATCGAATTGATCGGTGTTAAATGATGTATAATTAAAGCGAATGTTCTATAGAAATAATGCATATTCATTCACATCTCTTAGCTACGGCATGCACTAAGCGACATCTAGAAGGGCCTGAAAACCTAGACAGACAAAATAAATAGAAAAATAAAAAAAAGTCCAAAAAAGTCAAAAAAAAAGAGGGGTCAATGGGTCATGCATGCATAGATAATACATTAGACTATAACCAGCAATTCCCCAATTGGGCAAGTCACCAATTGCCCTCTTCGGACTAGACAGTCCTCACCTCATCCCTCTACGGCCTAGCTTACGTGTCCTCAGCCTTGATCAATTTATGTTCGATGATTCATTGCGCCGTCTATATTTGCCCAGTGCTGCCGGGCGCAGAAGTTGGCTTTCGCCACCCTGAGAGTCTGAGACTACTGACTGACTGAAGGCGCGTGATGGGCGTACATTGCAGTAGCACAAAATCCTTTCGTTGAGGTCAGCTCGAGCCCACATAGTAACGACAGGGTTGAAACAGTAGTACATATGTACTTACCTCGCTATTGTACGTAAAAGGTCGTAAAAGAGCGTATAGAGAGGGGAAAGGTGGCGCCAGCCAATGGTCATGTCCACTCTGAATTAGCCGTCGTGCCCAGCCGGCCGCTACGAAAAGCGTAACCTTTAATTCTTCATGTTGTGTTATTGTATGAATCCATTGGCGTCACGCATGTGGTCGCATGGACGACCCTATTAATATCGAGAGGAAGACATCGACAGGGCTTGGCTGCGTATTACTCAACATTTGACATGGTAACATAAGCAGCCTATTTCCCCCGCTTGCCCTCTTGGGAAGGATGCATATAGGTTTGCCTTTGGTTTCTGCCCTAGCCCTGCACCAAGATCATCCGCCAATCGTCAGAAGGAAACAAAGCCAGGCTCCTAGGACACCGCTTTTTGCTTCTAGAAATTTCGGATGCATATCGGACGGCATAGTTATTGGTTGCGCAGACCGTGCAGGGTACATATATGTATGGCTTAAGCCAATCAGACCCGCTGGAGATGTCTACAGACAGCCACAGCGAAGACTCACCGCTTCCTTGGGGTCATTGAGGAGCGTGAAGTGGCGGATGAAATGTGGTGGAATGCATGTTCCCCGCTTACGATGTCTTTTTCTGATGATTTGAGATGAGCTGCACGTGAAACGTCATGTCATCGAGGTCAAAGCATGCATGTGTCTTTTTTGAAGGTAACCTAATTTTACTCTTTTACCCTAATCTGTGGTTAAGATCGAATCCCTTAATTACCGAATTAATGGCCCTAAAAGTTCCCACTTATCGTTTTCCCGGCGTGCAAACTGTGCAGCACAACTGGCAGCTCCTGCAGGAATCGAGTCACTTCGGCCTCGGTGCCCACCGTCACTCGCAAGCAACCTTCACATCCATATTCTTTGCCGCGGAAACGGACCACAACGCCTCTCTTCTCAGCCATGGCTTCATATGTCGCCAAAGCCGTCACGTTATCCGGATTTCCAGCACTATCCAGAATCTCCACAAGCAAGAAGTTCGATGCCTGTCCACCCAGGAATCGACCAACGCCAGTGATTTTGGGCATCTCAGCGAGCATGCGCTCACGTTGAGCAATGATCTTTTCTCGGTTTGCGTGCATGACAGCGATGTTTCGAGGAGACAGCGCAGCCTGCGCGATCACGCTGGTTGGACTAGCGATGTTGTAGGGCGCTTTCATGCTGTTAAGTAGCTTTGCAATGTCGGGGCTCGTGAATACCTGTCCCAGCCGAATGCCGGCAAGACCGAACGCTTTGCTGAGCGTCTGCATGACCACGAGGTTCGGCCACTCGGTCGCCCACTGTGCCAGACTTGACCCTTCTGGCGCAAAGTCAATGTACGCCTCGTCGACGACAACAACGCCGTTCCATGTTGGGTGCTCGAGGACCTTTTGGATGTCTTCCTTTCGAATGAGATTCGCCGTCGGGTTACCTGGGGAGCAGATATAAACAAGCTTTATCCTATCATCTGCCGCCAAGGCAGCATTGATCTTGTCGGGTTGGAGCTGAAAGCCGTTGCTGGCGTCGAGCGGAACCTTGACAATTTCGACATCGTTGACGTCAGCGCTGACAGCGTACATGCCGTATGTCGGTGGACATGTGAGGATCTTATCCCGACCAGGAGCGCAGAAACAGCGTATTAGAGCATCGATTGCCTCGTCAGATCCAACACCGACAAACAGGTTCTCGGGCTGCAGTTGCTTTTGTGTATGATGATTGGTGTTGCGTAGGTGGCAGAGTAATTGCTTCAAGTCAATCTGGTGACTTAAACAGAAACTTGAGTATTCGCGTGTAAATTCAAGTGATTGACAATATCAACTCACGGATCAGGGTATCGATTCAACCCCAGAAAATCAATCTGCGGGGAACCATTCCCATTGTTGCTGTCAGGCAGGCTACCATCTTTATTCAGCTCCAACCCCGGCCCATATGCATTCTCATTCGCATCGAGCAGAATATTCGTGCCGTCGTCTTTGTAGTCGCTGCCAATTGAGTCATCGGTTAGCTCCGGTTGCGGAATGACGTATACGGGAGCATTCGACGAGAAAAGCTGGGAGACTCACTCTCTGGCACAGCGATAAGGGTGCAATTTCAAGATATTGGGACGCGCGCATGTCGCAAGATCGAACGCCGATGTTCGTGTAGCCATTGTGTGGGTGAATGGGTTGTGCAGATACAAAAAAGAGGACGAGGAAACTTTTCTTGTCGGAGGCAGGTGGGGTTCGCCGCAGATTTATTGCAGCCGGTTGAGTCATCATCTCTTCTTGCTACGACTGACAACTGGTGCAAATACAGATGACTCATGTGGACGATTGAATTGGTATTTAGTTTGCATTTAGCTAGGTCTATCTGGGCACTTCTCTATTCAACGTGGAGTCAGTGTGCCATCAGGATTTTGTATTCGGCGGCTCTCTATGCCGGCAATATACATCTCTATATACATGCATGAATATGTAATGTCAATAACGCCGTTAATGCTTCATCTATAGTATGATCACCCTTTCCTCCCGTAAACAAAAGAAATAGAGTATGTGGAAGGGTAAAATGAGAAGATTAACCCTTCTTAGGCTCCGGCGAGTCAGAGGATTTTAATGATTGTGTCGTAGGCTTTTTCGGGCCTGGCTCTGAGCTCTTCTTTTTTGTGGAATCGGCATGTTTCTTTCGCTTCTCGCGCACATAAGTCCATGCCCTACCGGCACCGGCAGTCAGTGCGCTCTTCACTGTTTGCATCGTCGCTGGCCAGCGAATGGTTTTTGTGACAGCTTCCTGGAGCTCTTGCTTGAGCGACTCATCGGCAGCAATGCGCTGCTCAAAAGGACCGCCCTGTCGTCGGTGGATGCGCTCTGGATCTTCGTCGTTGGTTCTCTTCATCATCTTGAGAAATTCGGCTCGTGGAATCTGATACCGCCCTTGGAATTGGAAGTATAATCTTTCCCTGAACGATTTCGGCAGTCGACGGACCATGTTTCCTCTTTTCACAGGATCCATGTCCTGGTTGAGCTTCACGTTGGCCTCTGGGTCATCGATCCAGTCTGACTCGGTGCAGCGAGGGTCGTTAAAGTCGCAATTAGGCAAATTCTCAATCAGTGGCGCATACAGACGACGGAAATAGTCCATTTGACCAGAAACAATATTATTGACTTTTCCAGGATCTTCCGCAGAGACAGTCATCCGTGGGTCGCCCATGTAGCTTAATCCCGCAATGGTCGTATAAAGTTGGTATTCTGTGAATTCTTGCGGCAATAAGAGAAGTGCAAGACGCAAAGCTGATATCAGGTTGACTTGGTTCGCTAGTCGCACACTTGGGTGATCGCGAAGGATTTTCACTGGTTTTTGCAACCGACCTGCGAGATACATAGTATCCCATTGGCTGAGGTCTTTGCACAAGGTATCAATATTGACGACGCCATATTTGATCAATGTGCCATTGACAGTCACAAAAGGGTTAAAGTAGACCCCAGCACCCCAATTATCTTGTACCTGAGAAACTGCATAGGACCCGAGAGACCCAAGTGCCGAATAGTGGTCTCGGTGCTCCTGTAGGTTCAGAGAATGCCAATGCTGACTATGAGAGACGCCAAAAATGAAATCTATCATCTTGCCCTTTCCTTGCTGAACATTCCGAATCGCTTGAGGTGGCGACGGGTGACCGGGCTCATTTCCTGGGACGGATGTTTGCGCAAACACGCCTGAGCCATAAGCAAAGGCATACCTAATCGGAGCACGAAATTTCCAGAGTATCTGCCGCAATGCCTCTTTAAACTCTTCATTAATTACCATATGCTGGTTCACTCCGAAATTCTTTGAAGGCAGTTCCGAGAAGGTCGAAATGGACAGGTTCGGATTGTCCTCCCAGTCCGGGGCATCTCTCAGCATAGCCGAGGTTGAGAAAGAAGCGGTTGATCCGGTTCCATTGTGCGATGATAGCGGACTGAAATAGGCATTTTTTGACGGCGTCTGATCGAGTATGTGGGTTGTTGTCGTTGAGTTTGTGTGAAGTGTGTGGAGATTATAACTCAGAGTTCGAAAGGAATGAACGTAGGGCGCACAGTCTCGGAACGGTGCTGGAAAGAATGACCGCCGTACGGGAAATCTCAATCGGTATACGGTATTCATGGTCTGACAGTATCTATGTGAGTCTTCAAATACAATCCAAATATCCAGGCAGCTTACCCCGAGCTGTCGCACCTTGTCGGCTTGGGCGGTTCGGAACGGAGCAATTGCGGCGACGGAACGAAAGGATTGGAGCTAAGCGAGGATAACGGAGCTCAGTGAACTATTCCATGATTTGTATTTCGGCAAGGGAATGTGCAGGATGTGGTGTACTTCCCACAAGCAGTGAGCGAAATAAGGTAGGGACGGTAATAGGAATTGGAAGAGTAATAGGAATAGGAATAGAATAGCCGGGCCCAGAGCGCCTCGGATCGCCGCGGCGGATCACGTGGGTATCGTTGGAAGCCCGAGGTCACGTGCCCATCAGCCCGCTTAGTCACCTTGCGGCGCGCGGGTTGCGGTTGCCGTCCAAGCAACCAAACAACAAGTGAGCGGGTGTAAACACGACCGCAGCTATACAAAATCCTTCCTATCCAGCCGCCCAACGCGACTTCCTTATGAGCGCCCCTCGGTAACAGCGCCTTCTCTCACCGGCAACGTGAGACTACCGCAACAATGGCCGATAAAATGGAGACTTTCGCCGCCCGCCTGGCTACCTTCGACGCCATCTTGCCCTCAGTTAATTCGAGGACTTCCAGCTCTCGCGCCATCCAGCCCATTGCTTGGCCGTACGGCTCACCAACTCCAGAGCAGGTATGGACGTGTTTATCCAGAGTTTGCACTGAGCGTTATTGACAGGTCGTAACAGTTGGCCCATGCTGGATTCTTTTTCAATCCCTATGACACAAACCCGGATAACACGACGTGTTTCCTCTGCACACGCGCCCTAGATGGCTGGGAGGAGGGCGACAATCCCATCTCCGAACATTTGAAACACTCACCCGACTGTGGGTGGGCCATAGTTATGGATATTCAGCAAAGAAGTTCCAATCCTACAGAAATCCAAGATCCGACCAGTGATGCCATCACCGACGCCCGGAGAGCGACATTCTCCATCGGTTGGCCACACGAGGGCAAACGTGGATGGCTATGTCAATCAACCAAGGTAAGCCTTGGTCTCATCTTCATTTCCATTCTCGCGTTCTGACTAGTGAATTGATGTACAGATGGCAGAAGCGGGTTGGTACTTCTGTCCAAATGACGAGAGCCCAGACTTGGCTAGCTGCCCTTACTGTAAGCTGTCACTGGATGGCTGGGAAGAAACGGATGACCCATTGTGAGTATTCAGCAACTTCCTACTGCACATCGGATAGCATATACTAATTATCATAGTGAGGAGCATCATCGGCGCTCGTCCGATTGTTCCTTCTTTGTATTTGCACTGCCAACCACCAAATCAACGAAAAAAGGGTCACGGTCGAAAAAGTCACGCGTCTCAAAGGCATCGCGACTTTCAACACAGTCTGTCATGACAACCACTTCAGAGGCACCTATCATCGATGAAGACGCAATGGACATGAGCACGATATCTCAGTCAGCAGCCAAAAAGACGAAAGGTACAAAGAAAACAACAAAGTCACGAGCTAAGAAATCAAAAAAAGCAGAACCCGTGGAAGTAGAACCTATCGGAGAAGCAGAATCGCCAGATGTAGAAGTTGTTGAAGCTCATCACGCAGAAGAGAAAATACCCTCGCCACCCAAACCTACACGCGCAACTCGAGGTCAGAAACGAACTAGTGAAGCTATCACTCAAGATGCGTCTGGAGATGGAGTTTCTTATACAGAAACTGAATTAATAGAACCCTCCCCAAAAAGAAGAGCGACTGCAATCCGAAGCAAGACAGCACAATCTCAACCTAGTACACAGCAAACTGATCTCGATGATGTGGTCGACGAAGAAATGACGTCTCCAGTAGTGACAAAGAAAGGCCGAAAAGGCACTAAGAAGAGTGCAAGTACTAAGGCACGAAAGACGTCGACAGCATCCACTACTGCGAAGGCTGCAAGTAATCGTGTCCGAGATGAATCTATACTGGACGCTGCCATTGAAGCAGATCTTGCTCGCAACCTAGAGGATACGGAGCCTTTCGAATTTCATTACAAGGACGAGGAAAGGGAGAGTGCCAGATTTAGGAAACAATCTATCACCGCTTCAGTGACGACTGTTTCTGGAACAGAAAACGGTCCGGACACTTCCCAGATGGTCACTATCGAGGATCATCATGAACACTATCATGAGCCCGAGAATGATGCTGAAATTAAATCGGTCCCAGAGGTTATTGTCGAAGTTCCCGCCGAAATCAAGGCCAAGAAACAACCCAAACGCAAACCTGCTGCCAAGAAGTCAAAGAAGGGCAAAGCGTCTTCTCAGCCTGAGCCTGAGCCCGAACACGAAACGCAGCCAGAGTTGATGGAATTGAAGCCTGACAATTTCGTTCAAGACCAAGACCTGCCGGTCGAGCCAGAGAATGTTAGACAATATGAGAATCACTCAGCAGATAAGGAGGGCATTGTTACGAGCCCTGTACAGAGGACACTTGATTCTGATGAGATTGAGCCCATAGAGCCCCAACCAGTTCCTCAGCAGGAGACTGCCAAAGCTTCGTTGAAAAAACAAGGGAGAAAGGGGGCGACAGGCAAAGCAAAACGGAGTAAAAGAACCACCAAAACTGAAGATAGTGTGATGGAATCTTCTTCTCCTATTGCAGTCAGGGATGAACCCCCACCTGTATCCAACCAACTGACAGGAAAAAATGCCTCAAAACGAAAATCGCAAAACTTGGACCGGGACATTGACGAATCTGATCCACACGAAATTCCAACAGAGTCCGACGCCCCCGAAACGGAGCCTGAGCAAGTCAAGGTAAAAGTAAAGCGAGGACGACCATCAAAAAATCTCGACGAACATCAGCCAGAGCCCATACCACAGGCGAAGACTAAGACTAAGCGAGGTCGTCCGTCGAAACAAACTCAAATACAGTCACAAGAAGTTCAACAAGAGATCGAGATTAAACTTCCCTCTAGTAAATCAGCAAAGCAAACTCGTGAGCGTGAGCAGAGCTCTGATCAGCACGGTCTACCACAAGTTCCCGAGCAGAGCCAAGAGTCTGACCAAGAAGCTGTCCAAAAATCTAGTCAAACAGCTGACGATAGACCGAAGCGTGGGTTGTCTTCAAAGGTCGAATTACCCCCAAAGACCGCGAAGCGTTACAGTGATCTCCCTAAAGACAGGCATCGGGCCCAAAGTTTCATAGAATCGGTTACAAATGACAATCACTCCCCGAGCAGAACGGAAGTCCTTGGGCGTACCGGAACACAAGAAAGAACACCATCACCATCGCCTCAATCATCTGATGCAGAAAATCAACCACCTTCAGCGCGGTTGCCATCTGCGCGGCCGCCTGTGTTCTCACCTGCGAAAGCACAGATTACACGGGTACCTCTCGCAGCAAGCACACCAACACTGTCGCCATCAAAACGCCAACTTACTACAGGCTATCTGTCCTCCAGTCATTCATGGAAACCATCGGATATCGAAGAGCTTCTTGGTAGCTTGGGCGATAAAGAGAATATTGACTTTACCAATGCATTGAAAAACGGAAAGGAATTACTCACCAGCCCGGAGAAAAGGATGACTGTAGAGGAATGGGTCGCATTCAATGCGAAGGACGGTGAGGAAAGACTCAAACGTGAATGCGAGAGGCTCATTAGCGTTTTTGAGACCGAAGGTGGTCGAGCCATGAGAGCGTTGGAGGGTATCGAGTGCATTGAATGAGTAATATGATAAATTTGCTTGCATGACAAGGCGTTTTAAGGATATGTTATTTGGGTAGGAGTTGGGATCTTGACAATATCATTGAAAGTGCATTTTGATCAAAGACTAAACGCTGTTTTATTGTAAACTCTCGTAACGCCGCGGGTATACCTATCTATGCATTCACAAATAATGAGATGAGCGTTAACAGATCCCTCTGTCTTAAAAAACATTCACGCAATAATCCCCAGCCTCCCTTCCCATCCTTCGTCCTCTTCTTGTTTGACTGCCCTCCGCTTTTGCCTTCGCTTTGCCCTTCTCTCTTCACGCTCTTTGGCTTCTTCCACCTCCCTATCTCTCAATCTAGAATCGAGATCCAAATTGAGCGCCTTCCGATCCTCCTCTTCCTTTTCTCTCTTCTTGTGCGCTAACCACCGCAGCCGATTCCGCACGTCCTCAACAGTCGCCCGCTTAACCTCCCCGCTCTCCCCAATCGCCACCAAATGTTGCTTGCTATTCAAATGCTCCACAAACTGTATATTATCCTTGAAAGTAAGATCACAATCAGAGCAATAGAACCCCGCTCCTCGCCCTCTTTTCCCCGTCGCAGCGCCCGCAGGCACCATGGTAGTCTTGCCAACCATCGACGCGACATCCAGTCGCCGCGTGCGGGAGGAGGTTGTCTCGAGAGTACTGTAATCCACCGGCGCATGCCATTTTTTGCCCGCTAGTTTCGCTTCGTACCGAGCTTTTGCTTCTTCGCGTTGCTTGGCCTCGTCTGCTTTCGCCTTTTTCGCGTATTCTTCGCGATCCCATGTTTTGCGGAAATCAGTATCGGAGGATGCGGTGCCGTAGGCGGACCGCTTGGTGTCGTCTGACATTGTGAGAATGCTTCAGTAGTTAAGAAACGTATACTTGAAAGGAAAACGGTTCAATGTTCGATGTTGGAGAAGGAAGCTGGGAGCCTGGGATGGCAAATTCAATGTTAAATTAAGTCTAGCGTGTGGCCCGTGCGTCTTACATATATTGCGGCCCAGTATAACCCTAAGTCTCTTTGGGGTTATCTCTACTAAAATTTCATTTCCTCGACGCTACCGAGTCTATCGATCAGGCGATTTGGAGTGGTAGATGCGAGGGAAGCCTTACAATCCCGCTTCGTATAATTATAGTGCATACATGTAAATGTAGGACCGCCGTAAACATACAACGCCCGAGCTCTAGGGTGATATCCGATTGCCTCGGGTTAGTACTAGTGCCGAACCAAACACCCTTTCTTTTTCTCATTTGGAGCTTCCTACAGGCCACTAATTTATAGGTTCGTATTGGGGTAAGTAAACCATCCCGTTCGGCAATGGTACGTCTTGGTACAAGAGGCTCCTAGCCAATCAGGTGACGGCAAAACCGAGCATGTATATAGTACTGCATCCGTATCCAATCAATCAAACCGAATCCTCTAAAACTACACTAAAGGTTTGTTGCTATGTCACGAATACGAGGCTGAAAGGTTGAATTTCCCCACCCCCTTGACCTTATGATGTTTATTCATGATTCAGCCTCATGCATGCCAACGATTGCGGAGGCCTCTCTCATGACTGTGATGCAATAGCTGCTTTCTCATTCGGTATTATATAATATCGCTGAAAGACTGGGAGCCATGTTCAAGTTCGCTAGGGACGTTGTGCTTTATTATTTTCAGCCGCAGAAGCTCCAGGATGTAGCAGAGCCGACAGTCAACAGAAACGATCGACTACCAGAGATCTGGTTTGCTGATATTCCAACGTGCACCGCAAGTCATCAAATTCCCCTTAAATGTGAATATCTCGAGCGACTAACTTTTCTTTTTGACGGCTTTAGTTACGATGTATATATCCCATAGCTTTAGAATGCGGCTGTGCATACTCGGATTTCGAATGCATTTGCAATTCCTTTAGCGACATCTCAAATCAGGACAACGTCGAGATTTGTTACAATCAATGTCCTGCGAACGAGGATCAACGATGTCAGTATCTGCAAAAGAGTATCTAGAGACATTTCATCTAACCGGAGAAATTACCTAGGGGCACCCTCGCGGATTCTCGATTTTTGCGAACTGATGGGCGTCGACGTACAGCTTCCGGAATATATGGCAGAGTTCGCGCATTTGCATCGACGACAATCACAAATTGGACCGTCCGTCGGAAGTTATTCCGACTTTCCAAGTTATAGCGAGACTGGTGCAGCATCACCGTCGGCAACGAACACCGGCGGCCTCCCAGATGTCCCACAATGCTCCGTATGTTTACCTTTCTTTCACCCTCGCTTCATGGGCCTTGGCTACTCTATCCTATATGGAGCCGCGCTTACATATTAGTAGCTTTCCTGCTTTGCCACCGCTCTTAGTAGTGATGGCTGCTCCTCTCTAGATGACTTTGCCTGCCACTGCGCCAAATCCGGTCTTGTCAGTGATATCAGCTCGTGCTTGGAGAGTAATTGCAGCAACGCCGATCAGTCCTCAGCCTTCAGTGCTATTTCCTCCATATGCTCATCCGTCGGGCATCCAGTCAGTGTCTCTAGTGCCACCGCTACCGCTACCGCTACCTCTGCCGTCACCACCACGACTGGGACATCGGCGTCGGCAACAACGACAGCGACAGAGACAATAGCAACACATGGAATTACACCAGGGCCGACGCAAACAAGTTCAACCGATAGTAACAATGGAGCTGGCGGGTCTTCAGGTGGTCTCTCAACGGGGGCAAAAGCCGGAATCGGGGTTGCAGTGCCATTAGTGGTTATCATTCTATGCCTGGGCATATTCTGGTATTTCCGCAGGCGAACTGCAGCCACAAAAAATCAACAGAGCCCTGAAAACAATGTAGACTATCTGCCCGGTGGAGTTGGAGAGCTACCAGCCAAAGAAAAACTCTCGTCTGCTGGTGGTAAGCGTTTTGATGGTTATGGAAACGAATTACCGGCGGAAGCGGATGGAAATCCTATTAATGAATCGGACAGTCGACCTATACATACAGTACCCCCACCCATGAATGAAAACACACAAGCTGTTTATGAGCTGAGTGGCCAGTCAGCGGCCGTCGAACCTCTGGTTCCCACGCCTCTCGCACCACACAGAGGTAACGAGTCCATGAACAGACAGTATTCAGAGGCGTCTTCGACAGGTATAAGCCAAAAATTAGTTGGATCACCTATTTCTGCTGCAGGTTCGGAAAACGCAAATAACAGAGGCTCTCAGTTGAATAATTCAACTAGTGCCGATGACGCTGTAGTGAGTCCACAACCGTCGGAGCGAAATGTGGAGCAGAGCGTACGAACATCAACTACGTCCCAGGAGACAGAGCTGATGCAACTGGAGGAGGAGATGGCACGAGTTAAGGCACAGAGAGAGCGGCTTCAACACTTACAGCTCTTAGAAGAAAAGGAAGAGGAGCTGAAGAAGCAGATTGCAGCAAAGAAAGCTTCTACATCCACGGAATAACGGGATTTTATTTTATAATATTATATGCTAATACCCATTATCTATTTAGTCAATTGATGAATCCTAAATAATGTCAAAATTTTGTCAAAGGTATTTTGTGTTGCGTCCTGCACTAAGTCACATCATTTCTAGCCACCTATGCCTCTGTAACAGGACGAATAAAGCTACTTTTAAGAATTTTTTCCTGCTCCTCGCTCAACCCCTTAATTATGGTAGGTGACACTGTAAATATTGAATCCAACTGGGGTTCTTGAAGTCGTAACCCCTCCATGAATGTTAATGCTCAAATAGTGACCATTTTCCAGCTGTATAGCATATTTGCTGTCCCCGAGGTAGGTGATGTTATAGACTTCTGCGCCCTTCAATGAAGTCGAGAGGGTGGAACCTGGGGTAATATATCTGCTGTCAACGGCACTAGTGACCCTGAAAGTAGTTCCTTCTGCCTGAAGGGCATGAAGAACCCAGCGCTGGTGGATATCGTTATGGGAGGAAGAAGCCCGGGTCGCCGTCAGCCATCTGTTGTTATGTCCGGTGTTGGTCAGGGCATAGCCATTGACTTCGAAGACAAGGTATCGTCCCTCGGTCAAGTATCCACGTACACCCTTGAAACCGTCTTCAAAGTAGAGCGCTTCTTCCTCGGTCTGGTTGCCGTAAGGGACGCCTGAAACATACTCACTTCCCGAACAAGAGCCAGTCCATTCCTTGGAGCAGAGGCCGGTGTAAAGGCCGATGAGTTGACCATTAGAGTTTGCCATGGGGGTGTTTGGAGTGGGAAGGACGGGGATGCTATAGTCGGGCTATATAATTCGAAAGCGTATTAGAACATCTAATTTATTGCACATGCATTTGGAATGGGAACTACGGTCAAAACTTACGTTCTCGAAATCGAATGCGTTGAGGAGATTAGACATGTGTTCACGTCTCCAGCTGGACAGCTGAGGCGTAGTAATGTTATTATATCCCTTGGCTATGAGAAATTGTTCTGTGTTGTGAAGATGCTTAGTCTTTTAATGGGAAAAGATCCAGGTTGGAGTAATTACCGAGAAACTGGATGATCGAGGAATGATCTCCACGTTCTGTAAAAACATGACCACCACGGGTAAATGGAGAGATAATCATCAGGGGGATACGGATGCCTGTGTAAACGTTTTAGCGTTTCCAAATTCGATATAGAAAGAATAGAAGTAGATGTGCTTACCAGGGCCAGAGAAGGTATAACCTAACTCTCCATATGGATCCTCAAACCATTCTCCCTTGGTTCCATTGGGAGAGATCAGAGGCGAAACGGCATCGCCCCAGCCACCGGCCTCTATTATAGCTTATCAGTTCTGGCTCAAGGGTACTCTTAATGGCTTGTTACTTACCGTCATAGTTGAGTAGGATTACAGTACCATCATAGTTTTTACCATGAATGGCGGCATCCACTACCTGGTTGATGAACCACGCACCATCGTTAGGTGCGTGGGGAGAGTGTTCTTGCAAGGAACCAGGTGGGAAGACCCAGCTGACCGTGGGAAGGGCACCATTAGCAGCAGAGCTTTTGAAAGCGTCCAAACTGTTATCCCCGTCGAAAACCAGACCTCGCTGATACAAGCTAGAGTTCTGCGCAGCTTGTTGGAAGGCCTCAAAGTAGAAAAGACCGTTGTTGGTAGCCCAGTCATAAGAGTTTTGGAAAGAACGCCAATCGACACCGGCTTCATCAAGATACTGAGCATAGGCGGGCCACTTGAGTGGGACACAGTTTAGGTCAGTGCCTTCGCATGCTGTTTCATGAATTAGGCTTTACCCATAAAGATGGGGAAATGGAAATCAAAGAATTCATACTGTTGCTCTGGTTATCATCTAAGACAACACCACCAGCACCAAGTTCCTGGTACCCTCCAGGCACGTTGATGGATCCAGACTGAAAAAAATTCTATCAGTACCATTACAAAACTTGCGTTTGACAAGCACTCACCTGCCAGAACCATCTATTGGGATCAGTGTTGGAAGTAATACTGGCCTGAAAAGGAGTCGCATCAGTCGTCCGTTACGTAAGTCAGGATAGGAAATCCATACGACATACAGGATAAGCATCTCCAACAGTGTATGCATCCGCAAGAGCAAAATGGTACGGGATATCCGGGCGTTTGAAGTAGCCCCAGGATTGCGGGGTTGAGACTTGAGCCCACATGTTATTAAGGCCACCATTCAGGGCCTGATGAGTCGGGATCCAGTTGTTAGGACCGGCACAAAGGCACTGGCTCTTGTTATAGTTCTCCTCTCCACCGAGATAGTTCAACCAGTAGGGAAGAAGCCAATCAGTCTCATTTGAAAGACCAGTAACATTCCTAGACAGACATGCCTATCAGCAAAAGTAACTCGACAAGTATGTTTCATTGCTATAATATCACGCTTACTGGTACCAAACAGATCGACCATCGGGGTTGATCTGTACATTCGGATCGGCAAAGCCACGGACACCAGACATAGTACCGAAGTACTATACATTAGCGGTTAGATGATGGACTGCATGTTCAGGTAAGATTGGGGGCAAGAATGTAGGAACTCACGTGCTGAAATGAACGGTTTTCCATCATCAACATGATGACATGCTTGACATCCTTGAGAGATGCCGCACTAGCAGCGCCGGCAAGAGCCAGCAATGCAATGGACTTGAGCATTTTGCTGTTTAGTGATCAATTGAATAGACAACAAGTCCTGTGAGAGTGTTTATTGGCAAGACGTAGCATAATTATATGGAAGGGATCACCTTTTGTGTTTACATCTATCTTTTAGCGTTTTTTCGATAACACAATGCTTTTTGTAAAATTCTCGGATGAATTGCCGCTACAAATTCTAGAATTGTTCTATCTTGCTTCTGACAGTGTCCAAATAAAAAGCTGACGTGGGCATCCCCACTGGTGGAGAGCCACGTGTAGAAACTGCTTCGATTTACTTGGTGAGAGCATGACCTTCATATGATTTTTATCATGAGGGTGGTGAATGTCATTGTTCACGTGTGTCAGTTTCATGGATTCTGTTGGCTTGACGCCAATTAGGCATGGAGGGGAGAATAAGCTTGCAGGTGATATAGCGGGGGGAATCCGGATATTGAGGAATAGAGCTAGGATTAACAAGGCTTAGACAGCTCAAGTGTTGGGATAAATCTTGTAACAAGATTGGACCGTTCAGGGGGGTTTACCGTTAGGGTGCGATGCCACCACAGTCCGTCAACTTGACTAAGTGCCATTTTCCCTCCGAATATCATGAACATAAAATTTAATTTACTATGCCACTGAGTCAGCATATACAGCCTGGGTTATTTAGATGAATCATGATGTGCCAGGTTGATGCTCTGAGACTCGATAGCTAGCCACAAATAGCGAATATTTGCGCATTAAGTGTAGTATATTACTGGTGTGACATCACAAACTTTTATACACAAAGGCTTGATGAGCAACTGCAACGTTAATATACAGTAAGGCTTGTTTCTGCCGAGATGTACTAGAAGTCTCGAGTAGCCTATGAAGTTCAAGAGACTTTGGCTATATCTAGTTACTACCAACTAATCTTCCGGTCAATGACTGCTGTCCGTGGGCCGAAAAACATCTATCATTGGCTACTGTACAATCGAGATGAAAACGCTCAATACTAGAGCGGGGTAATAACAACAAGAAATGATGCAGTTGTGATGAGACCATCCATTCCGATTGGTGTTCTAAGAGCCATGCAGATGGAGGGAAATAAAGCATCGGGATATGCCGACTTTTTGCCTGATTCAGAGCACTTTGATGAAAGTGAGCGAGATAAGAATTGGTATTTGAATATTTTGAACGATTTAAGCTTTGAAAGTGTAATAATATACTCTTCCTGATGCGTGATTTGCTTGAAGAATCTAGGCTCGATGGGATTAGACATCATAATCAAAGCCCAGAGCCTGGATCGTTGATGCTATCTCGGTAAAGAGCGCGGGGTGTCTTTAGCTGTGACTATCTGTACTTGATTGTTGTAAATCGAATGATTTGTAAACGTGCTGCCCCGATAGGCTACCTGTGAATTACCCTATTTTATCTAGTGCCTAAAGTGCTGCATCTTAGGGTTTGTTAGTTAGCCAAATGATTGAAACCCCACTCTATAGTGAACTCCATTATTCTACTCTACATACTATCAATTGATCAAGCGACCTCGGAGAAATTAGATATTATATAGAAATGATTTATCCTGTTATTAAGGCTATTATTATCACACATGGAATATAGGTTAGGCCCCTAGAAAATCACGTGGGTGTGAAAATCGAATGATATCGCTTCGGAGGATTAAACAGGACAAAGAGAATGTTCCTCATCTTGACAATAATTGTTTGAAGGTATATTTAAGAGATTTTCATCCTTAATCTAGCTGGTATTGGTTATAGCTTGTGACTAGGTCTTCGTACGTTTCTTGTGTTTCAGGGTCGGGAAACGGAATTTCCTCTTCTGTTGAGGTGATCCAGGCGCCAATGACCCTGTCACATATTCGGCGTAGGCCATCTTTGAATTCTAGGAATTGGCGTTGTCTCTCAAAGGGTAGATTGATAAACGATATTGAGCATGTCTGCCATGTATCAAGCCACTGCAAGTTGCTTCGTATATTCACAGCCCCGAGAGCCTGTGTTGGGATATGTAAGTCACCATATGCAAATTGGGTCACTGGTATTTGGTATCGATTCATAAATGCCCGAGAAAAAGTTGCTTGCCGATACATATTATCTTTCCAAAGGATCAAAAGGTCATTCTTCACATCGGCAGCATGAGTAAGCTCATTTTTAGTAACTCGAGCATCCGGATCGTATGCATATTTCGATAATTCATCTAAGCGAAAGCGGTCAAACCCATTTTGAAGAGGACGAAGTTCTGTTCTGAATGAACGCTTTATTTCTTCGCTTTGTGTCTGAAGCTCAACGTGAAGCTTAGCATAGATGGCCTCTTCCTGATCTTTTAACAGTATTCCAATGCTCTTTATAATATCTTGGTTGTTTACACGGGTCCCATGCCGATCATCCATTCTCATTCCCATTTCGAGGTAGAATTCCTGGATAGTCGTTTCTGCATAAACTCTGAGAGACCTTTGATGTTGCTATCTGACTGCACGACCGCTCTCTGGGCAAGGGTTGCACCTCAATATATGCTAACATCTCATTGATTGATAGCATTTCTCGGTTCGACACAAGGAGTGCGTTAAATGCGAACATAAAACAAAGAGCATCAAATGCTTTGCAGATGAAACTATTTGAAGACCTCAAAGTTATTTCTTGAAACCCCCTCTTTTGACCGCAAAGATAGCATTATTTTATCTGCGTGGTACTCTAGGGCTAAATATTAGTCTTTGTTATGGCGTTCGAGATTGGTTACAGATACACGGCTCAACAAGGAACGTACCATTGAAAGAAAGGAATGAAACCATGTCCAATCTCATAGTCTGATCTTTAGTAAAACTTTAGAATCACAATTAATGTTTAGTAAGAAAGAAAGTCTATTGAGATAAAAATTGCTAATCTTCCAATGTTGCTTTATCAAGAAAACAAGGAGGACAAGGAGAACATAGGAAGAGGATTTACATTGCGAATAAACCTGCCACCAGTTTGCCCGATCTAAGAAGCTTTTTTTTTATTTAAGGCATTTAAAAGAAAATTAACCCTGGTATAGATTCTCTGTAAGATCCCGCAATCTTTACCAGTTTATAAGAAACAGTTATTCAAAATGAGATTAGCAGTGAGTGCCGAGAAACGGCAAATAGTATGCCGCTTATGCCACATGGTCACTTCAAAAACCCCAACCAAGTCATCCTAAAGCCAAATGGTAACGAGGAATCGGATTTTAAAATATTCGTTACATGAAATAGAAATTAAATCAGAATAATTATGCAAAACCAACAGAAAAAGGGTCCATGCCAATGGTATCTTGAATCTGCATCCAGGCATCATACCATGTCATGTGCTCTTTGAGTAGAAGATTTGTATTAGTCAAACTGACAGCCTCTTGAATCACAGTTTCTATAGCCGTCCAACGATCACATTCTTTATCAACATTGAAAGACGGGGAAAGGAGCCGCTGTTGTTCAGAGAGTATCGGTGCATCGCTCATCCCGTGAGCATGATTCTCCAGCAAATCATACCAGACCTGTCGGATACGGTCAATCGATCGTAGTTGCCAAACGGCAATTTCCATGTATTTGCCAACGTCTCTTAGCGCATTGCAACAAGTGCGAAGATCTGATATTGCGGATTTATACTGATCGAGGCGATGCATACTGGTCGTACAAGCCACATACAGATGGACGATAGCAGCTGTAAACATTGGATGAATGAATTGGATGTTCATCCGCCGCAAGGTCCATAGTCGATCATACATGCGGATGATTTGGCTGATCTTTCTAGCTGATTCTGTACATTTCTTTTGGGTCTGTAGGGAAAGAAGTCCGAAATGCCCGTTTCCAGTCCTAGGCTCTGTAATAAATGGATGGTTTGCGAATATCATCGCTTCGTGAAACTGGGCATGTAAGACCAATACATGCGGCAGATAAATATTTGATATGCTATCGCAGTCCACGGCTAAATCGGAGGGAAGCTCATCCATCCATTTATCCAACGCCCAAGTCACAGCAGATGTGTGCATTCGTAATTGGCCGATTGAGCTTGTCTGTTTATCGTATCTATGGGCCGATTAGACATGAAACACGAAAAGTAAACAAAAGGAACAAAAAGGAAAAAAAGACTAAACAGTAATATTGGATGTACATATGTAAGTACTCACAGCGTATTCTGAAATCGTTCCATGATAAAGCATAATTTTAATTGTTGCTTCCACATAGAAGCGACAGGGTCCACGTATTGACCACGATAGTTTGGTAAATCCGCTAGGTCATCTGTATAATTTTCCCAATACTGAGATTGGGTACTTCGAGTTTGTGAAGGTGTCTGCGCAGGATTTCTGTTGACATTGACGACCGGCCTTACTAAACGACCAAGATAGTAGCTCCATGCAGTATCAATAACATAGGTTCCCCAAAAGGTGGTATCCCGCAGGGTTGCCTCGTTCTGAGTGATATCTCCAGACCTCACATAATGACCAACATCCATGTGTAAACCCAGGTGATGTGCGACTTGTGATGCCATTCCTGCGTAGAGCCAGCCGCGTGAGTCTCGCCCTCTACTCGCTTCGCTACCACTCATCATGGCTAAACCTTGCACAGTCGCAATAGTCGGGTTATCTAGATCGCGTTCCAGCTTTTCTCTTGCCTGTGAAATGAAAAAATCATGTAAGGATGGTAAGTCGGGAAGTTCTCTGTCTGTGAAAAGCGCGCCCCAAGAGCACCTGTAAGAAGAGATGAAGTTAGATTCTTTTAAATACATCTATAGATCCGGTTTTCAGCACTCACATTGCATTGACAAGGAATTCTGAGTAACAGAATGGTCCGGGCAAGTCATCTTCCTGATTAGATCTGGACAGTACTCGCCTCCGGGCACTCATGAAAGCATCTTCGTCAACAACGCGGAAATAAGGATTTTCCCAAGCAAAGTATAGCTTTATCAAGTGGTCCTCAAGTTCTCTGGGTATCGAAGGAGTTGCTGGGCTAATGTATTCTAACAGTGACGACTCCGATGGACTTTTGTCCTTTTCATGAGATGAAGGCGGGGCATCCGGAGCTCGGACCTGAAAGGGAATCGTGTCTCTTAAGAAATGAACGTTGGAGGTAGCCCCAAAATACTTCAATTGGCCGTGATCGGTGAACTGGAGGGACCCAGTTCTTTTGACAAGGAGCTCAATTTCCGGATCAAGGCCTGGAGTGAGGCTACTGCTCCTGTCAATACGTTCGATGAGCACGCGCTCACGAGCAAGTTGTGTTTCATCATTTTCCTTTGTGTACATCAACGGCTCTGAAAACGGTTGCGTATCGCCATTAATGGAGCCACAATGGAGATTTTGAAAACTAATTGCGGTTGTTTTCGAGCTCCGTATAGATGTTGGTATTGGTATATTATGTTGTTGTAATGTATGCTCAAGCAATCGAACCCGTTCCACCAAATTGGTGACTGCCAATTTTGAAATCCTTGTTCTCGTCAATATTTTCGAATTTTTAGTTAATAGTCCGTGTCTAGTCTATGAACTATTGAAAAGATTTGAAACGTACTTCCTGCGATCTGGCCGTAGATAGGTACATTCCACCTGCAGCTTGTTGCAGTTGGCACATCTGGGAGATGCAGCGTCGCATCGTACCTTGAGCCGGAAGCACTGGTCACATGCCATTTAGAAACCGACGTTCTAACGTAATGTGCTAGGATGATAATAGATGCAAGGTTAATTAGCCCTATGTGCCATCGATCGAGTTATGATGCTTTTTGGACATGGTCAAACTGCGGGGAAACAAGAGGGCATTTCTGGGGAACTGTGGGGGACTACATTTACCACAGGCCAATCAAGTCCACCAGCAAATTGCGGAGGTTACGTACTGTATTGTCAACCCAAAGTACCAAAAAGGGGTTTCCAACTAGGTGCGCCAATGTAGGCCTTCATAATTAGAACCTCGTTTTTTACCTATTGGAGTAAATGAACAATAAGCTGACAATGGGGCTTCTGCCTGGACAGTCAGGCAAGTTGAGATAGTAGGATAGAGGGTTCATGTCTCTGGGCGGCTACGATACGGAAACTTACATTTGTTCGAAAATGCAAAATGCAAGATGTACAAAGCATTGCTTTCGCTCCTGACCGAGCAGCTGTTCGTTCTACATCGTCTTCTGCCGAGGCCTTTACCGCCTCCCTGGTGAAAAGATATAGCTGCGAGATAGCTAAATCCAGATTGAAATTTATAACCGTGCTGCCCTTCCTATGGTCAGCAGAAAGGCCAGTCAAAATCTAGTCAACAAAAGAACCGGCCAGGTCCTTCGCCGTGGTATGTTCCTCTAAATCCGCAACTAGCCATCCGCGCCGAATTTCCGGATTTAAAATATAAAGCTTCGTAAAGGCTCGACTCAACATCGAGAGCGTTTTGAGTGCAGTGGCCAAGGATGGGAGGCATCCTTAGCCAGATTCCTGGATACGGAAGTATCAAATTACGACATGTTTCCAGTTAGCGGTTTAATCAAATAAATAAGTATTTGATCTTGAAGCTCTATTTGCATACCTCAGTAGTGGACCATCAAGCAGGCAACTTTTATAAAGTAAGCGAAGCTACTTAAGTAGAGGAAGCACAATCACGTAGTACAGGCAACATGTATATAATGTTTTAGGCAATGCCCAAGACTGGTTAAAGGAGAGAAGCTAGTATCTGCGTCACAAGTTATTGCAGACCCTAATTAATGACTAGGTACCTCATCAGGAACGTGCATTTTTCCCTTTTTATGTTCATCCGATGCCTCAGTAGCTGACTTTCACCAATCCCAGCACCTCATAAGTGACGCTGAAACAGAGCCTATATCAGAAAAATAGCCATTGTTAAGGTAAGGATAGCCAAGACACTGAGATCAGCTGAAACGTGCAAATTTTCTGCTATATTCGTGGCGCTGGGGCTGGAGCTACCTGTGCTGGTCTGTGTTCCGCTTGCAGTAGATGTGCTGCTGGTGGTAGTCATAATACTGGTAGTGGATGGACTGCTTGTAGTGGATGGACCGCTGGTAGTAGATGGACCGCCGGTAGTAGATGGACCGCTGGTGGCGGTTTTACTGCTGGAGGTTGTGGTTGTCTGACCAGCACTTGGCGTACCGAGAATGCCACCTTGGGCCGTGGCTGGCACACTCTGACCATTTGCACTAGAAGCTGCCGACTTGAATGAATCAAGCGTATCTGAGCCACTAATGTTGAGGAGAGCATTAGTCAGTGCTTCTAATACTTTGTGGCTACTGATATACTTACGACGGGTTAATCACACCAACCATGCCAGCTTGACAATGTCCAACTTGTCCACAGTAGAACCAGATCGGATTTGTATCATTGACAGTCAACGACCAGACAGGCTAAAACGTCAGAAAGTTATAAAACCTGAAACGATGCTCATGAAATCACCTTTCCATTATTCGCGGATGCCATAAATCCACTGAAGAAGCTAGTATCGCTCATAGGATGGCACGGATTATTAAAAGCGGCCTGGGCAACTGAGTGATCGCCTGCATAGAAATGGAACTCAACTACACCTCTCGCAGGGATGTGGATAGTGTCAGGATTAAAAGTAAAGCCACTTTCACCAACACGGACCGATTGGGTGGTACTCGAAGCTGAACTACTTTCTGTTGAGCTCGCAGTGGTCGTAGTAGTATCGCTAGAACCTCCTCCTCCTCCTCCATACTGGGCACCCACAAGAGGGAGGCACAAAATGGTGAAAGTACACAAGGACGCCTTGATCATCATTGCAACTGAATTAGATGAGAAAACAATGAAGGTAAAGGTCTGCGTGGAAAGCCCAGAGATCGATTCCAAGGGACCGGGTATAGGTCTCCTTTATGTGGTTTAAGCTACGGTGTCCGTGAAGTACCATAAAATCCCTAAAGTTACGATGAATGCTTAGAAGCTTTAGCGGAGCCATGGCATCATCAGCGTAAGACGGCTAACTGACTGTTTTCAACCAAGGGTCTGGGCAGTTGATTGCTCAAAATAGAGAATGAGAATACGGTTCGCGTTCATATTGAATCAACCACAGAAAGACGGCATGTGGCTTTTACTATCTCCAGCAAACTAGTCCTAGACCGGCCGATTATTCAAGATGAAATTTTGACATGGTTCCCCAACTATGGCTTGCCATCCTGGGTGCGGGGCAGCTGACTAAGACGGAATCTATTTCTGGGGCGGAAACTGGGAACAAAGCTCTGATCAGATGTTGGTTACAAGGATGGTCTAGACCGCGACGTTCTCAAATGGCAAAAGCGATTGGTGAGCCTCGCAGTCTTATGATGCGGTTTTCAATGATTGCTATAGCCGCAAATTATAGAAATATTTCTTGGGAAACATGATTGACTGGTCCTCGAACTGCCATCTTGGGTACTGTTTAGCAAATTATGACGCCTAGAGCCAATTATTTCCGCAACGCTGGCAACTCTAAATCACAGAACACTTGCGTCATTAGCTAGGGCAATGGATTAGTGATGCCCGTCAGGATAGATGTTGGAGGGGCGTAGATATCGTGTAATACATATTTTCCGAGATATCACAACAAGCGAGTATATTTCAGGTCTTTCGCTTGACGGGCAGCAGTACACCGACCCTTGCTCCGCGATGGCGAAGAAATACGCTTATTTTTGTCTTTTTACTCCCATTTTTACACTTGCTCAGTTACAAACATTCATGCCTCCCGGGCAAAATGGAATCACCTATACTGTTAATATACCCCAAGCCACCGCGTCCTCAGGCTCCGGGCCGATTTTCTTCCAACTCAAGTCCACAAACGAGCTTCAGTGGTTTGCTTGGGGCCAGGGCTCTCGAATGCAAGGAGCAAATATATTCATTGTGTATGCATCTAGCGACGGCAATAATGTTACCGTCTCCCCACGACTAGGGGTGGAGCATGTTATGCCACTATATAACTCTAAAGCTCAATTATCAGTATTGAATGGCAGTGGGATCAGTAATGGAGTTGTGACCGCAAACATCCGATGCGATAGCTGTATCACATGGCCCGGTGGAAGTGAAGATCTGAGTAGCTCGTCGAGTACATGGGTTTGGGCAGTGAAATATGGGAGTCCACTCAACACGAACAGCTTAGCAGCATCTATCAACATACATGACGTCGAGGGGATTGCAGCTATAGACCTTCAACAAGCAACAGGTGGCACGTCTGATAACCCGTTTGCAACCTCGAACAATATAAACTCCTCAAGCTCGTCGCATCCGATTTCGACTGTTGGTACTGGATCGCTTGAAAAACGCAGGAAGGCCCATGCTATTATTATGATACTGGTCTTTGTTATATTTTTCCCTTCATTTGCTCTGATGCTTCATATTATTCCATATTCGAAGATTGTCTATGTCCATGCTTCGTTTCAGCTTTTTACTCTTGCTTTGGCCATTGCCGGGTTTGGAATTGGGATCTCAATGGCAAGAAGCCTTGGTTTCATACGAATGTATCATCCAATTATCGGGATGGTGACCGTCCCATGCCTTATCCTTTTTCAGCCCGCGATGGGCTTTCTTCAACACAGGTATTTTCACAAAACTGGAGGCAAGAGTGTATTTGCTTACCTACATCGGTGGCTTGGTCGCTGTCTTATAATTCTTGGCGTTATTAACGCTGGTCTAGGTTTTCGCCTAACAGGTGTCGGCCTTTCGATCGCTCCTCTTGGGGCAGTTATCGCATATAGCGTGGTCGCTGGAATCATCGGACTGGGGTACGCCTTGATCGTTGTGCTCTTGCGTCTCAGAAAACGCAGAATATCCTCTTCATAGCAGTTCCTGGGCGCTACCTCATGTGCTGCGGATAAGGCATTGCATGTTCAGAATAGCGTTAAAGCATAATAAACTCTCTAGAGTTTACTTCTCATGGGTAGCTACGGCCTGGTGATAATACCCAACGGATTTTCATGATGGTATCTATGTTAATATTGACAGATGTTTTTTTTGAATACATCTTATTTCCCCCTTCTGAACCAATATAATCTTGGGATTTTGGTATGGCTGTTTGAATTAGTTTTAAGTGCCAAGAAGTGACGGCAGGGATTTAAGTAAAAAAAAAGTAGGAAGGTATTGAGAGTATCTAGTAGCCAATTAATTTCGTATCATGTTTCGACATGACACTGGAAATTGTTTCCACGTACCGGCATGGGTTATATTTTTCTTTCTCAAAATTTCTGGATAACAGAACAATCATAGATATAACTACAATTAGAGATTCTATAATATGCCGCTTGGGTATGATTTGATTGTTGTCTTAAGCCCAATGGTGAAAAACAACGAGAACTAATTTGTTGACGCATTGGAAAAACCGATTGTCTCTTCGAGGACTCCCGGTGTATTTTTGTCCTCAGTCTCTCCAGCATGATCACTGTTCTCCATGTCGCCTAAGTAAGCTGTTTCTCCATAAGTTGACAAACTGATATCCGCATCGCTTTTGACGGAAAACCAGCCCACCCAAAGGAAGCCCGGGGTGCCAACCAGCAATGTTATCATGTTAGCCCAAGCTTGGTACTTCATATCCACGTTAACTGCACCGATAATGAACGCAGCAGTAGATCCCAGCGAGCCGAATGCATTACTATATAACCCATATGTTATTATCGAATTTGAACACCAAGCAATGGGATTATAGGAGCCTACCAAAGCCCGACAATAGAGGCGATCTGGCCTGGATTAAAGGCAAGAGAGCCCATAAGCCAGTAAATGACAACCATTGCAGAGTTTTCCACGAGGCCATAGAGAATAAAGAGTAATAGAGACTTGGCAAAGATCGGGTCAAAAATATCAATGGCAGCGCTAACTGGTCGATTTGAGTACTGATATTGCACTATGAGTCCATATATCCCTGTAGAAGCCTCAGTGAGTAATACATATCAAAATGTGGCCCAGGTTAAGTGGCATACAAGTTAATACAGCGACTATGAAGAATGATGTAACTCCGAGGCGGCTACGATTTTGACGTGGCCACTTAGGATTGTCAAGGAGCAATCCCTGAATTGGACCGATAATAGTGGGACCGACTTTCGAGCATTGAGTTAGCTGTCTTTCCAAAGTTGCATTAAAGTTGATTTTACCAACCAAGATAGAAACATGTGCTCAAAACAGCCCTCGCACGCACGGTGTGATACGTCGCATTCCACGCCCACATATATGATAAGTCCCATTGCTACATTTCAAAGCTCATGTCAACACCCTTCCGTGTAGGTCTTGTAGAAGTAATTGAACTTGGGGGATTGGGGTAGGTCTCACTTACGCAGTATATGAAATACGGAACCAAAAGCAGGAATTCTTTTCTCGTAATTATTTCTGTAAAGCCGCGAATTTCCTCCTTCCATGACAGGAATTTATGTGGCCTGACACGGCTGCCATCAGTGCGAATCACCTTTTGAGGGTGGCGAGGGACTGTAAGGGCTGCTGGGAGCCCTAGGCACATAATAGAAGTAATACCGAAGAATGTAGCTGTGAAACTAAATGAGAATTTCTTTGCCTCTGTTTCTGAAAATACGCACCATCTGACACTCGTCCACGGGCTGCATTGGTAGCATTGAGCCCAACAGCAATCAATCCACCAATAAAGCCCCCTAGATTCTGAAGTGCAAATTTTGTCGCCACAGCCCGTCCTCGTTGATGTACTGGGGGATCTACGAAATCAATTATGTCAGTTCAATATGATGATCAGTTACAAAGTTGGGTTTTATACAAACGAGGTTTACGGCGCCAGAGGATGTCCATAGAAACACGGCACTTATACCACAAGTCAATCCACCGAGGATTGGAAACCAGCTGGATGATGTTTCAGCAAGTCTATACGGGCTCGAAATGAGACGTAGAATAACGCATGATGTCATACTTATTGCCAAACTTTGCATTAGTATACAAGGCGGCTAGATTGACTTTAGTGAAAAATTTCGTGCGAGTGGGAGTTCGTTGGCTAAGCATACCACCGTATGGAGCATATCCCAAAGTCCCGATGATCAACGTCCACTTGACTCCAATTCTGTTGCAAATAGCACCACTGAAAAAGCCGCCTACGAATAATGATCCAAAAGTCACTGCATTAACAATATTGGACTCCCCGGACGATTCCTCACCCCCCGCCTATCAGAGTAAGGTTAGAATTGTTAAAATAAAAGTGGCGATCAAAGTCACATACACCAAGGCCCTGGAACATCTATTAGCATCAAGAAAACGTGTTGTGTCAAAGAAGGTAGGCCAGTGAAGGAAATATTTACATTCAAGGCACTGAACATTCCAGGGTGGCAGAATGCCGTCCATGCTACTACTGATACCGTGTACCTATTATGGTCATATTAGCATTTTCTATTACCGACCAGGCTAGGGGGTTAACCGGTATTCTATACCAGGGATGGTAGCGAAACTTCAGAATGTCGGATGTGAGACTCATTCTTTCTGTATATTTTTAAATTGCGAACTGTTTAAATCAAGCAATGAATGAGTTGAGGGTAGAACTATATCACTGGTTAAATACGCAAAAGTTAAGCAAACTGCGGATTTACATCAACAAAGTAACTCCATAGACTCTAGAACCTGCGAGTCATTTGGCTGGACACTAAGCTTCTGCTAGCAAATAACGTGATGGCTCGTTGATCTTTCGCCATATAGTTACAGCCTTTGCAGAGATAACAGCTACAAACGGCAATACTAGGGTGCCATTAATGCCGAAATAATCACGCAAGATCGTCCTAAAGTGAATACATGAAAATTTCTAAGCCTTCTTGACGACTAGAAACTTACTACCTTGACTTTACCCAATCAGACCCAAGGAACTCGACAAACTTCCACCAGGAGTCTATGGGGCCTGTTTGATTTTTATATCCACGTGGGAACCCTGTCATTCTCTCTGATCTATTCTAACTACATTTATCTATTGTTGTAGCTTTGAATTCCGATCTACGCCATCGGGCTTTACCTTTATCCACGGCACCCTCGTGATTTACAATTTTGCGGATTCCTGCACACTAATGAACTGACTCGCCGCGTTTCCATCTTGCACTTCATCAGGTAAAGCATTTCCGGAAAGGCGAGCATTCTCCACCTCAATGGCGTCTTTACAAACATCAGCGATCTGGAAAATGGGCCCAGTCAGTTCAAATTATGCGTGTTTTCAGTGCGGATTGTTCTCACCTTGTAGTTATAAATCCAATGCCCCTTTCGACTCCATGTTTGTGCTATAAGTATAGACACGGCATCATCGAAAGATAATGGTGGATCGTGGGATCTTATTGATTTATCAGTCGCGGCATACTCATCCAAGATCGCGTACTATATACCCCAACTTTCAGAGATTTTTACAGAGTTTGGATTGGAAATTACGTACCAGTCTTGCGTAATGAGGAGATCGAATCCGGTCAACTAGGTTCAATGCTGCTTTAACACTAAGCCCCTTCTCATGAGCCCATTTTAGGCTTTGGCCTAGAGTATAGACGTCTTCGAGAGCAAAACCAGCCCCGGATCCTGTTGTGATATTTCATTAGTTGAAAATGTCGGTGAAACAAAGGTCAAAAGTAATTTACCAAAAGCGCCAGATAAAGCTGCGATTTCATTAGAATTGTCAAGTTCGTTAGATAGTTTATAGGCTTTACATACGGTGAGACGCATCTCCAACCAAGACCACAGACCCAAGGGCGGTAATTTCCTTTAATTTCGGACCAGCGAACATTGCATACTGCTTGATATCCTTCGAAAACTCGGCAACTTGTCGGACAATTGGTGAGAAATCCTAAAATACAGTACCATTAGATATAATTCAGTAATTCTGGTGTAGTTTTTCTACCTGAAAATGCTGCGTGTGTTGTTCAACGGTGGCATCCTGTCCCCAGCTGACTTTATCGGCGTCTTTTTCTGGCTCTCGGCCCATGGAAGTGAGTTCGTATTTCCCACTACCTAGCCCGCACGTATAAAGCCAGGAGTTGGGGCCATGCCAAAAGGTAACTGCGTCTGGTATGTTGAGATGTGCGATGTCTTCTTCATTCACAACAGCGCGGTAAGACGTCCTCCCCGTGTAACTTATTTTGTGCTCGGGAAAGATAAAATTTCGAACCACCTATACGATGTATGAGAGTTTGTTTGCAGATTAAATTATACGAAGGTCACCAATACATCTCATATAACTTACCGAACGAACGCCGTCAGCACCGACGATAAGATCCACGTCATCGGTATGCCCATTTTCAAAGCGCAGTGATAGACGTCCAGATGGACTTCTGATAACTTTAAGTAGCCGGTGGGCCACCGAGATCTTCGATGGATTGACTTCTTTCAACAATGCCTGTTGTAACGTTGATCGCAGAGTTCGTGCATGGAGTTGATTGAGAGGCGTATCCACCTGCCCATGGCTGGAGAGAAGCTCCCCAGTCCGACCATTACTTCTCGCATCCATCAGTTATTTTGTCTCGCACAATAAACTACGAACCAATGAATATAATTATACTTACCGATGCTGAACAGCATGATTATCTATTGGCCGGTAAATATCACGAGAGTGGAAGTTTTTGGCTGCGCCTAAGATCTCAAGCAATCGCCAGGTGCTGGGCTGAATACTGATCCCGGCGCCGATCTCTCGAATTGCCGTTGCCTGTTCATACACTCTCCACTCGACAAATTCGAGTTTGTTTAACTCAATGGCAGCGCCAAGGCCAGCAGGACCGGCTCCTATAATAGCAACCTTGAGCTTTGTTGCAAATGGCATCTTTGGATTCGTTTTTGAATACTTGTTGATGCTCTAATGTTATCTCATCTCCGAAACTTAACGCATTGTGATTTATTTGAAACCAGGTATAAATACCCTATGTCTCTGGTCTAGATAATGCATGTAACAACATCGGCCTGGCTCCGATTGAACAACCAATATGGCGTGATGTGTGATGCAATTTTAGTGCCTTTTTCACAAAGAATTGCAAAACTAGCTTTAATGATATCGAAGCCACCTTATTCGACAGGATCGCTAATTACTGGCCAATCGGGTTTACGACTCACCCTATATCAATGTAGCTCAATATTATCATCACTAATAATGTCCTCACAATATGTTGGATAATTCAGAACAATTTAGCTTGGTTTGAATGGAGAATAAAACACACTTATCATTTAAGAGATATCCCAGCGATGTCGGCCTCATTGTCCAGCTTCTTAATCTGCCAACACATCTTGCTTACAGTATCAATGTTTCTGAGCGCCGGGTGAGGCCGGCCTTTACGAACTTTTTTCTAGTGCCTGATCATTCATTGAAGCATTTAGGCTCCCTACCGCGCGCGACGCGTGTTTCTCCAGTATAGAACCGTCGTTCGTTGTCGAAACAATTTTCTTCATGGGGCCAGATGTTCGGATCTACTCTTCTGGGTCTGGTTCCGGATTTTGATCATATTCGGATCTTGTAGAGCATAATTTTGATACTCGTGTGGTGTTACTGTCCTATTAAGAAGTCCAATCGCACCTCCGTGACAAAAACTAAACTTACACTATAAGCCGTTTCTTGGGGTTGTCTTACCAGTCAATTCCACAGCCAAGGGATGAATTGTCACTACGACTCGTTTGACATCGCCTAAAAAAAGGCCCATATTTCTGGCCCATATTTCTGATTTCCCAGTGAATTTGACAACAGTCATCAATGACTCAGTGGATTACAGTGCCCACGTGTACATGGTTTATTCCGCAAAATTTCCCACCTGACCGATGGCTGTTTCTACCCTACACTATCTTTCGTCTAGTTTTCAAGTTCTAGATAGGCTCCTGGCTATCGTTTTAGATATTTTGAATACCCTATTTAGTAGCTCCGACTACCTTCGCCAAGTCACGCTTGCCTCTAAGGCATACACTACTTGTATACCTTTTTTGTACGAGAACGGCTGACTGAATACATCAATTGATCTTTTTTCCCTCGATTTCAAGTTAGGTGTTGGGAAGCGGCCATTAACACCAATGATCATTTTTATGTATTCAACCCCTCGATCAATATATGTACTAGGCAGGAGAATTACACATTAGTAACCATATCCCCCTATCGAGAAATCTGCAGACAAAATTCCCATTCATTGATAGTTGTGTTTTTTACCCAAAAAGCTTAGAAGATTCAGGGAATTTTTCATTCACTTTTACTTTTTGCAACAGACCTTATGAGTATAGATTGAGTATCGAAGCCATGGATTGGATGTATAAATTTTGATCTAGGATTGATTCTTAAAATCCCGGTCATCTGGTAGTGTTTAGTGAGTTGGCTAATTCTCATCACTTTCAATTACCAGGGTAAAACTAACTAGGGAACGATTTCAACCTGGGCATCGCTTCCTTTTAGCTCTTCATCGGAAACAACACCCATCTTTGCTTGAGAGTTTATCTCACGCATAGCCTCTGCAGCAATCTTCTCGCGCTCCTCTTCCGTGGCGTTGTACCAATGTGAAGCAACGCGATCCCCATCACCGAATAGCTCGCCAATTTCCTCCAGTGTTCTTCCTTTTGTTTCGGGAAAGAAAAAATAGATGTAACAAATGTATAAAACAGACGGAACAATAAGCACAAGGTAAAATTTCCACCCAATACTGTTGAGTGCGACTGGGGCTGCTACTAAAGTGACTTCAGATGCCAAATAATATCCACTCAAGCCAATAGCCACACCCTGAGTACGAAGATGACTCGGAAAAATTTCGGGAACATACACGTACTGTGTTGCGTCGACAAAGAAACACCACCAAAAGCAGTAGAAGAATATGAAAAATACTGTTGCTCGAAGAGCAGCGGTGTTGTCTGTACCCAAGTATCTCGCAGTCAGAGCGCACAGGAATACCAGAGAACATACGCAACCAATGGATCCAATTAACATGAAGCGACGACGACCAAATCGGTCTATATAGAATGCCGTCCATGTATTTCCAATCAGCGTAAAGCTTGTCCAACAGGCGTTGAGCAGGAGTGGCACAGATCCCGTCAGGCCGAGACTGGCATAAATAAGGACTCCGTAATTAGTGATAACGAAAATACCTAGAAATTGATCTCCCCACATGAGGAGGAAAGCCATAAGAGCACGTTTTCGGTTTGCGGCAGTGCGGAAAATCTCGAAACGACGGGTTGTCATGGATTTGTCGAGCTCGTGTTGTTTCTCCATCATGTATATCTCTTGCCGAGCTCGAAAACTATTTGGGTCGTCCGGCGTTTTGTGCAGACGCTGGACAATAGTCCAGGCTTCATCTCGTCTGCCTTGCTGAAGTAACCAACGAGGAGAATATGGAATAAAAGGGCTGCCCGCTAGGACAATTACTGGGAAAAGGACTTGAAAGGCTAGAGGAAACCTCCAAGCGAAGGAAGCATGTAGATCGGTCGCTTTCATGTGGTAGCATGCATACCCTAACCAGCCTGCTAGGCTGTATCCAACTGCGTACATGATGCCCGTAATTGCCACCATGGCACCACGAGTCTCCGCAGTCGACACCTCTGCCTGGTACATGGGTACGACGCACGCGAGAATTCCCGCTCCAGCACCAGCCACGAACCGACCGACTAAGAACATGGCTATATCAACTGCTCCTGAACAAAGAGCACCACCAACAATTAAAACAACAGAGCCGATCTGCATCGTACGTTTACGACCGTAAAAATCCGCCGCCCAAGCCTGAAACAAGCAACCTGCGATAGCACCTGCCGAATTGACACCATTCAGCGCGCCAATGATGTTTGTTGTATGCGCATACCCAGGCTCGCCTTGGGTTGCTAAGTTAAAATAGGTGTAGAAGTTGGGCTGGCCTACGGTTGAACCGATGATGGCCAGTCCATAGGCACTAGAGATGATACCTATGGCCACAAAGACCACAACCCATAGGTTGTAGGTATTCACAATGTGACTTTTGAAAATCATGACTCTAGCTTTTTAACGATGTTTAGATGCATGAATATCTTGATGGAACAACATTGAGGGATTCAACGTAATGCACGCGGTATATATACCTGATAGCGTTAATTGCATATCATTGGACGACTGGTTCTCGGGGAATTAGGAATGATATCATACCGTATCGATACCCGTGCCAGATATACCTCAAGCCAATCGCAAACAAGCGTTACTTTCAAATCTCAGAATGCTGTGGAACGTGCGGGGATTAGGGTTTAGCTCTGTACAAACGGACGGGGTGGAAATCCGGGGTGTGTATAACCGACAGCCGGGATTTGTTCTTGGTTATTCTTCGGCTTTGTTTTCTTGATCTGAATGATACTTGTTTTATGATTTTTTGATTTGAAAATAATCCATTGTATATTAATGATTTTCTGGTGTACTATATCATATCCTCGGCCATTCGACTATAGATGCATTATATCTGTTTTCGAAGCCACAACCAACTCCAAACTAAAAGATCGCAATTGCATTTGCGTGACTGCTCACGCCGCCTATTTTAGCGTTAGCAATAGGACTAAATTTCTTTCATAAAGATACGTAGGCACTTACGTTGGACATTTGCCGGTGAACTAGTCAGGAAAAAGAACCACCTCTTTTCCTCGGCGCACTTAGCAGCTAACCCCTCCAGGTTCCACATCTCTCCCAAAGGCATACCCCATAGAGATAAGATGTACTCATGAAGATGATAAGATTGTTGCGTGGGCCATCGTTCAAAGGCAGGAGCATCCCCAACGACGCCGGCGAAATAACAGTCATGTAGCCAGTCTATTATTTCTTCTTCTTGTTTGACACCTGCAAATTGAAATATGCCTAGGTCCCCATCATTTTCAGTTCGGTGAGCAATTAGTTTCACTCTTTCTTCGCGAGAAAGCTCGCCATGTCGTTCAACGAAGCCGGCACGGATCATTAGGATGTCGCCAATTTTGATATCGCCGCCCTGTGCTTCCGGTCGAATGTCAATGCCTTGAGCTCTTCCACACTTTACAAGTTCCTGAAAAGGAATAGCGTGTCCACTGCAAGGGTCATAGTGAATTCCATTAGCCTTCGCATATCGACGGTAATCTAAGAGAATCCCTCTGCCTGCAATACCATGTTCAGACCAATGATGAATGCTACATTTCAAATTCGCATTAGGGCCTGTGATATCGCTCGCTTTTGCCTAATATGTATTGTCAACACAAATCATGGAGTTTCATGTTTATAATTACACACTCCATTATAGAAAGTCTTTGTTGGAAGATGAGCGAACTAGAAAGATAGGTTAGTATTTTCTATGACTTTTCCCTAGAATATAAAGTCATACATGTCTGAATCCATCCCATTGTGTTGAGCTTTGGGTATTCAGTTCATACAGATCGTCGTAGCAGGTTTCATCGGCTAGCTCCTTGATTGTGTGTTTGAAGTCCTCGCGATGAAATGCTGGTGGGTCGGGATTATTCAATGGGAGACTGGAAAGATATTAGCATTCCATTTTCTTAAATAACCTGGATTCGAAATGAAGAATAAATCGAGAACACCGACTTCAACGGAATTAGCTCCCCAGTTTTAATCAGAGAAGATGCATGCAGTACACGTTTCGGCGTCAGAAGATTAAGTCGCCCAATCTGAAATATTTTTGTTATTATGAAATCGTTTTTATGAATACAACAAAGCCTCTCACATTATCGTCCTTCCCCCAAACCCATGCTGCCCCTTCGGGAGCTCCAGATATCTTAGGCAGATCCTTTCGACGGGGAAAAGCAGAGGAGTCCGGGTTCCATGGAAGAGATGACGGGGACTGTTGGCCTCCACCAAGGAAGTTCACAGTTTGAACGAGCCTTTGCTTAACAGAAGACATTATGAAGACAATAGACAAGGTTTTTGATTAGAAGTTTGGCTATGTTGATGATTCGGCTGCTAAAATCGACAACGAAATGAGTATCATAAGGTTTGTAAAATGTCACTTGCATAAAGAGAAGTGATTTGTGTTAACAGCATGGGCATTTTTGGTTGACGATAGTAATTAGTTACATCATATCCGAGGCTCTTCACTTTACACATTTCTGACAAATACAAACCAGGCTATGTAAACTCGGTTATTTCGATTTCGAACCGGGTTTCTTTCCCCGCTCTCCTTTACCGGGGGTGGACAATGATCTACCCGGAGATATGCCCCAATTGGTCGAAGCCCCAATTATATGGTTTAAATTACAAATAATCATACAAGTATGAAACGTATAAAAGTGGTCGGACTCTTGAAATAATGTGCATAATTCCACAATAGGATAAACCTTGATAAAGGTAGAAACTATCTGAACTCAATTGACTGAAACTTCTAGCAAATCCGGAAAAATCATACCAACGCCTATGCGCTTTCTACTTTTATCTGTGGTAGCATGCCGAGCTTGGTAATATCACCGTACATTTCAAATAGGCTCTCACGAGTATCTACAAACCCTGTCAATCCCATAAATTGAGCCTTGCTCATTGACACTGACAGTGAACCCGAGCGCCGGAAAGCAGCATCACCCCAGATAAACGTTCTTTCAATGTCAGCAAATTGATCGTACGTCACATTCGGATTTATTGCCATAATTCCTTTCCGTGCCTTTTGGTTTTCAGAACCATTAGCCCAGTTCACCAGAGGGAAATCCAGTTTTGTGACAATTAGAGGGCCGTATCCAAGTCACAATGATAGATTAGCCCTTATTATGCCATACTAACTGCTTGTGCCGTGAGAAAATACCGCGATGATCCGCTCGGCTTTGACGAAATGGGTTCGAAGAATATAGCCACAGAGAGAATATAGGGATGTTTGTCTTTGGCAAGCTTGTCTTTCGCGGCAGCCGGCTGGTGAATAAGTGGAAAGATGATGCCGAAGTGGAAGGACTCAAAAGGGTGGTTCTCTACTCGACAGCATTATCTTTTCAGGGATACATCCAGTTGCTTGCAACTGGATGTATCCCTGTGTTCATCACCCTAACCCTATGGAAGGCCTTTAGTATGACGGCATTTTCCTTGTCAATCGTCTTGATGTTTCAAATGGTCGCGCGGCAAATTCCAGTGGTTATTGAATTCTACAGGGAGATTCCGAAAGTGAGTTCTATCCTTTATTTACCTGTTATGATGTATGTTGTCTCACTGATTGGGTTGATTGTCCTCGCCTTTTATTATTTCTCATCCATGTCCGCAGAGATTTATGATGACGCGCGATGGATAACGGTTTTCCCTCATTTCTCTTGATGGCAGAGAGTTTAGGATAAGCTATTTAGATTCGGGAACAAAGGCTGATATATGTGCAATTAAATAGTTTCAAATAAGTCTTATTAACATTTACATATGCAAGCCTTTAATGAATTTTAATATTAACAAAGACTACCCGTCCATCTGTCCTTCGAGAAGACCGCGGACAAGTCACACGCTGCATCCAGAACCGCAAAGCGGCAACATCTAAACTACGAAGCCATATCTATAATCGTTTGACCCGACTTTTCGGTTTCAATTCTAAATTTGATTTCTCAGCAGGTTACACTTTGTTGCCTAATTTTTAATATCTGACGTTGGTTCTTTGTCCTCCCAACACATGTTACGGCCGTATACTTCTCACGGACACCCTTCCAAGTACTTAAGGCCCCCTTCAGTCGCCGCAGAAATTTAGGATCGCGTCTTGTATTCCTCATTTATCATATATTGCATATTAACTCGGTTTGAATCAAAAAATTTCATAGCATACTTTCGCCTGCCAAGAATGGATGTCCGAAGCCTGGAAAACCCTGACTTTTCAGCATTTCTCGACTCGCAGGGTCCTAGACGCGTACCACTACCAGTTACCACACCTTTTGAATACCGTAAAAATACGAACTTCTATATTAGCTCGCTGCTCAATAAGCTTCCGCCCTGCGATGTGAAGGAGACCAAGTATACAATTACTTCTTATGATGGGGTCAATATTGATATTTACCACTTCGTGAGAAACGATCACGACAAAAGCGAAGAGCCTCAACCTGCATTGATTCATGCACACGGCGGAGGTCTTGTTGCATGTAGCATTAGCGACGTTAGCCGTCCAACTCCTGCTCGGATTGCAGCTGAATCCGGCGTTCAATGTTTCTCGGTGGAATACCGGATGGCACCAGAGTTCCCCTTTCCGACTCCGCTGGAGGACTGCTATGCAGCCCTAAAGTGGGTTGTTGATAATGCAGACGAACTGAACGTGTCGAAGACACGCATCGGCCTTATTGGCGAGAGTGGAGGCGCCTGTCTCGTTGCTGGTCTCTCGCTCCTTGCTCGAGACCGTAAACTTTCGCACCTTCCAAAAAAGCAGATTCTCATATATCCAATGCTAGATAACAGGTCATCGCAAAATGCATTATCCAGGCCTGACGATCCGCGTAGCCAATATTTTTCGAATTTCATACAGATGAATGAAATCTGTTGGAATGCTTACCTGGGCTATACTGAATGGGAGTCACTAAATCCGGACATCCGACCTTACGCGTGTCCTGCCAGAACCGGTAATTTTGCAGGTTTACCATCTACCTACATTGACGTTGGCTCGCTGGACCTGTTCCGCGATGAGTCTGTTGCCTTTGCAGCGGAGCTCACGGCTGCAAACGTGGATGTTGAGTTTCATTTATACGACGGAGTTCCGCATGTTTTTGATATCATCGCCCCTAATATTCCAATCACGAAAAACGCAAAAGACAATCGGTTGAGAGCCATACGTTCTATTTAGGCTTCCTTAATAAGGAGCTCTGTTATCACATACACATATACTAGTGGACGCGACAGGATTTGGAAGTTTTATCAAAAGCATGTACGTACCATGAGCGGGTCGAAAAACAATAAATTACAAAGCCATGTTACATTTCTGCATATTCCTCGGCCTTCTTATTTCTTTATGCGGGGTTAAGCTTTCTCCGCATTTCTCGGTTATGACTGGATATAGCCGATCCGCTGTATATTTGAGTATCACAAGTGAGAGGGGCTTTTCTATAAACTTACATTCATTGCTCTTTCACAGGGTTCAACCTACAAGGACGTTAAGATGCCATCTTTCAAATCACTACAACCCGAAGTATTCGGTAAGAAATCGAGCTGTAGTGGTTACCTAGTATCCAGCTAAGAAATTCATGACCAGTCCCAGAGGACGTTACTATTTGGCAATGGCTCTTCAACTCAAAGCACAGTCCTATCAGCAATAATTCCGATTCGGAGATTGCGGGATACAGTAAGATGTAGTTTCGGCCCTTTCCAAACCTTACTGACACTAGCAAGCGAACGCTATAACCAAAGAACATCTGAGCTACCTGGACCTGAAGGCTCATTCCACGCATTTATCGACTGCCCTGACCCAAAGGTATGGATTTCAACCTGGACAGACAGTTTCGCTCTTTTCACCGAATACCATTTGGTATCCATGTGCTATGTTCGGTACTCTCCGAGCTGGTGGCATTGTATCTGGGGCATCGCCAGCGTACAATGTTGAAGAAATGACATATGCCTTAAGGCTTAGCAAAGCCAGGTTTCTCTTCACTGTCCCAGAAAGTATTCATGTGGCGGAGAAAGCTGCAGCTGATGCCGGTATTCCCAAAAGCCATGTGTTTCTTCTCGAGGGTGCTGTTGCAGGGTTCACCACCATGGCGGAGCTGCTAGCAGTAGGAAGGTTATATGCGAATCAAGTACAGCAATATTCTTTGCCTCTGGGCAAAACCAATCGAGATGTGTGCGGCTTTTTGTCGTTTAGTAGTGGCACAACGGGACTACCAAAGGCAGTCATGATTGCCCACTCGAACGTCATTGCACAGTGTCTACAAATTCAGCAACTTACACCGGAAAGTCATAGACGGATTCTCGCGGTATTGCCTCTTTTCCATATTACAGGGCTAGTGCATCAGCTACATTTACCGGTGTTGCTCAATGCAAACGTATATATGCTACCATCTTTCACCATGGATTCTATGTTGCAAACCGTTCAAGATTATCGAATCGAAGAGATGTTGTTGGTTCCTCCAATTTTGATTCGAATGATTCGTGATCGCAAAACCATTCAAAAATACGACTTGAAAAGTGTGAAGCGATTTTCCAGCGGCGCAGCGCCTCTCTCGGAAGAGGTCCTTCAGCTCCTTCAAAATGAGTTTCCAGGAACAGGTTTCAAACAAGGCTACGGGATGACAGAATCATGTTCATGTATTACAGCCCATCCACCATCTATGTATGATTTCAAATATGCTTTCCGTGTTGGTACCATAGTCGCCAACACTACTGTCAAGATCGTCGATCCCGATTCCGGTAGAGAATGTGATGTAAATGAAGTGGGAGAAATTTGGGCTAGAGGCCCTCAGATTGTGATGGGTTATTTAAATAACCAGAAGGCTACAGAAGAAACATTCGACAAGGATGGATATTTGCACACAGGTGACATCGGCAAAATTGATGAAGAGGGAATGATTACAATTGTGGACCGCATGAAAGAGATGATCAAAGTAAAGGGCATTGGAGTTGCACCCGCTGAACTTGAGGATTTGCTTCTTGGTCATCGAGATGTCGATGATGTGGCTGTTCTAGGTATTCCTGATGATTATGCGGGACAGAGGCCCAAGGCATACATCGTTTTAAAGCCTTCGTCCACCCAAAATACAAGAGATACCGCTATCAGCCTGTTAAAATATGTTCGAGAGAGGAAGGTCAGAGACAAGTGGATTAGCGAAGTTGAGATTATTGATGAGATCCCCAAGAGCGCTAGCGGAAAGATCTTGAGACGAGTTCTCCGAGATATTTCAAGAGCCGGTAGCAAAGGACTGGTGGTCAAATCTGACCGTCTCTCCGCTAAGTTGTAATTATGAAAATATTTTTGAAGACAGCCAAATCGCACGAGTCTAAATGGTGTATGCTTCATACGCGTTTCGCATTTTCACCAGCACGCAACATCTTTCAAACCACGTAAGGCATTATTATCCCTTATAGTAATAGCGATGATGGACTAAAGGGTTCCGTTGATGATATCGACTTTGACTTTCCCTCTTGATAATCTAAAGGCCCAGATGAGCAGGGTTATACTCACATCAACGAAATCAAAGACCAGAGCTCCACCGAAAATGATCGCATAGTAGGTCCATACAGTAGCTTGTGGGAATGAAATTTTGGTTACGACTATAGCCCATGGTAGCATCCAAAGAAAGTTTGAACCGAGGGCTTGGTACAGGTACCATCGTGGTGATGCAGCAAGAAGAATGGCGGCAAGTTGATAGTTTAATGCATAGAAAATGTATGTCCAGTCTATAGCCTAATCGAGGTTCAAAGGATTAGTTTAATTTAGCTTCAGAGTTAATCGCGGTTCCTTACCTTCCACATCATCTGAGTAATTTCAGCAACGACTTCAGAATTAGATAAATAGTATGCAAAGGACTGAATGCCACGTGTAGAGAGGGCAATGCAAAGGACAACTTCGGCTACCGTTACGATAGAACAAGAAACCAGAGCAGGTCGGATTATTTCTGAGAGTTATTAACTAGTCTGCTTCTTGAATCTTTCAGGGACGTACCAATAATGTCAGCTTTAGATGCTCTAGGACGACGTAAATGCACACCGACACGTGCTCGCCATATACCCCAATTGTGCCCAACAAAGGTAAGCGTTGATGCCTCAAAGGCCTGTACTGGAACCATAACGAGGCCCCATCGAATGGTGTTAAAAATTCCCCATGCTGTCGCATAATTCTCGCCGAGCAGAATGATTCGACTAACAATCCAGAGGTAGATAGCGTTTCGAATAGCCGATTCCGTGAAAGTATAGATACTAGGTCTTGCAAGAGTTTGAAAAGCTGAAAAGCTTACTTTCACCTTGCTCTGCTCCAATTGGTGGAGGAGCTTGAAAGTGATGTAAAGGAAATACATCAATCCGCAAGTTGCTGAAGTCAAATCACAAGCCAGTCTGATCCAAGCTTGCGTGTTAACTGTTGGCGTGAACGAGCCAACGTGAAATTTTGATATGATTAGAAGGTCTAGTATAATATTAATGACAAACTTTGTTGAGCTAATGAGCAGTGGCACATCGGGATGGTCTAAAGCTCTTGTGCACGATGAAACTACCGTTTCCATTGCTGAAGATAATGCTTCAACGGAGGAAATGCGTACATATGTCAGAGAACTTTGTCGAACTGCTTCGGGGACAAATGCTGCAGCGAGTTTGTCAGAGGTCGCCAAAAATATCACAGTCATTAGAGTGCCCAACCCAACCTGCACAACTATCATTGTATAGGACAAGGTAAGTCTAGAGGATATGGTACGCGTTGACTTGTCTCCAACGATTAGCCATGCAGACCTCGGGAGGCCATCATTCAAAACTTGTGCAATAACACCAATGTAGGTATACACGTCAGTTGTAACCACTTGACTTGAATCAATATTGGCAACCCAGAGTTTGCTCAGGGTGCTGTAGAGAGCGGGAAGTAGAAAGGCACCGAAGTTGAATATAACAGATCCTAGATAGCTACCCTGTAGTTAATAAAATCTCAAAAGTTTCTGGCCACAGATCTTGGCTTACGTTTGCCGGTTCCAAGGTAGGCGAAGCTTTTGGTGCCGGTCGTCAGAAGCATCATTTGCTCGCCCTTGTTCAATACCAGCAGCAAGAACAGCTACACTGCTTTTGGGTGAAGGCATGGTGGAGAAAGTGGTTCTTGCTGGGTATTGATCGAAGTCTTCCAGGTATCTCTGCAACATGGACAGAGCAAACGGGGAATGGCAGTAATTCATGCAAGTCACTGGCGGTGGGGTCATGAATACTGCAAGGAATAAAGTTAGCTAAACTAGGTAACTAGATGCGAATAGAGCCAGCCATTCAGTGCTGACGAATTATATTGGAGAGGAAAATGTAGGCGCGGTCAACTAAACCCATTAAAAGAGCTGTGCTATAAAAGTCGTCGAAGGAACTTTTCATCTCATGCCCATTTTTCCAAAGACGTCATCTGCTCGCAATCGTCTGGTGGTTTTGGATTGAAGATCTCAGCGTTACATTACGGCATGTTATTAAATTCAAGTTATTTTATAAGAATAAAGGCTAGGGTCCGTTATTATACTATTAATTTGTCCGGACTTTTTCCTTTTCTTTGGAATTAGCGAAATGGTTGTCAATTCCCAACAAACTGCATTTGGACAATAATGGCTCGATCGTCGCACCAACCGTGTGACTCGTTATGCATTAGCAGATCGGAGTCATAGGACAGCTTCTAGCACCATACGAGTTCCTTCGAGGTAGAGGGGTCCCAGATTATACTTGGCTTATATTTTAGTACTATAGTGCATGGATCATGATTTATGTTCGTCTTTGGTTTCGATTACTTTACTTCACATTTTATCAATCGAAGGCCCCCACTTCATAGTGACGATAAAACAGTCTTTGTTCACTTCTGATTTTCAGGTGATTTGTTCCTTGTGCATGAGTATTTGAAGACTGTAAAAACTATACCCAGTCCTTCAGGGTCTTCCGATTGTTTATCCTCTGGTGTAGCTAACATGAGAGAATGGGTGAAATGGGCCAACTTCATTGGCCAGCCGCATTGGAGTTGGGTGGGTCACATGGATTATGACTCATCATTCTGAGTCAGTGGTGCGACATCCTCATATTGACAACACACAACTGTTTTGTATAGCGCTAAAGTCCCTGTTGTGTATCTCTTTTTATGTCCTATTGATATCGGTGAACATAAAGAGAACTAAAAATATCAGCTAAAATCGTGCGATATATTTTTTTATTTGGGTATCAACTCCACACAGTAGCAAATGGCAGCCTCCAGATGTCAATAGCCTGGTCTTCGTTATTCATGGCATCAGTTCTGTAGCCTTTGGGAATATCGATTCAAGGCGTATTTCTCGATCGCCGGGCCTCTGCATCGATGATAATCTCATGTCGATTCTGATCCACGAGAAATCTTAGCCCGGCCAGGCTGTTACATAACGATAGGCAACAGTGTTCTGCCTGTATACGCACTGAGAGCTTTTTATTGATAAAGAGACCGCCGTCTGGATGTCAGGATACTATAAATAATAACTACTAGTGATATACGGACAATGGATGGAGTGCATGAACAAATCGAAAATATGTCAGAAAGTGGCATGACAGATACATCACTTCCTGTGTCAAATTCGACGTACCTCATGGATCTTCCCACAGAGCTTCATTTACACATCGCATCGTTTCTCTCGTACCCAGATGCCCTCGCTTTAAAACATGCTAATCGCCATTTCTACTCCTTTGTCTATACAGGTGTACATCTGAAGGTTGACTGGCTGGTCGAACGATTTGAGCACAAGCTTGAATGCCCCATGGAAAAGTGTTCCTTTCGCACCGACGAGGCATTTTGTAATCGGCGAATCAGGAGGATTATGGAGAGACGAAGACGGCATCTTGAGTGTAAACCAGGCGCACGGGGCTGTTTTGTGATCGAGGGAGGAAGTTGTAAGAAGGACGTTGTGCCAATTTGGCTAAAGAAGGAGCTGAGATACTGGAAAGGGTGGAAGTATGAGGGTAGGATACCAACCAAGCTTGTCATATTTATACTACAAAACATCTCTGACTGGATCATAGTTTTGATATTCGGCTTACTGTTCCTGTTCTGGACCTTGGTCTGGGATGCTGTTGGCAGGTATGCTGGCTCCTGTGTCGATTGTCAAACACCATTCTATGGGCTAATTCACGAACCAGAACTCTCTTCAACCAACATCCAACCAGCCTGTCGCTGCTGGCTCCATTGTATTCACGACAGCTGTGAAACCAGTTCTTGGTGCTAGAACAATGCAGAGGCAGCCTGTTTGTGTCTTTTTATTTATATCCATTGAGTGGGTGAAATACGACCAACTAAGTATGTATTTATGAAAAGCATGTCAACGTGGTGGTTTCGAAGGCGAACTCGAGGGTGGTGCGTTTTATGTTTTGTTTTTCCAATGTCTCGGATGCAGGTGATGTCTTACTATTGCAAGCGTTGAAGTCGAAATCTTTCTGTTCTCGCAACGCCTCAAGTGCTAGTCATGGAATAATTGTGCATATCTCATGTTTATATGAGAACGAAATGGGCTGGTCCCGGTACTTTCAGGATTCATATTCAACAAATTGGACGATCCAACTGTCATAATCTATCAGATTCCAACAAAACCGATTTGAATTTAAACAAAACTGCATGTACAAACCTCCATATTCCATTTTTCAATATTTTATTTCCATCTTGGGCGTGCAATTAGGGTTTGCCAAGCCTCAGGTGCTGTCAATGTATGCCTACGTCATGACGACGACAATTGCATAAATTGATGCAATCAGCCCGAGATATTGGTAAGAGCTGCAAGACGATGACGAACTGTTAATAGATCGCATACTTTTATTCGATTTGTGATCATTCTGATCAGCGTGGACTTGTTTCTGTCCGGTTTGTGCTGGATACGTCATTGCATACTATCTAGTTTACGTATCGATTGATATATGCATTATTCGGAACACCAACATTTGCCCCTTCTCAAATGCAATACCAATCCTTTCATTGACCAGAATTATCGAATATAACTAAACAATTTATCAACTACACCCAGAATCCAAAAATTGTCTCTGACAGAAACAACACAGCACAGCTAACATGTCATCCACCATCTCCACAAGCGTTGGTAAACAACCCGCAGACCCTTACAAGTCCAAAAACTTCGATCTCAGCGCACCTCTCAAAGAGAAAGTTGAGGATCTTGTGAAATTCATCCAAGATACTAAATATGGCATGCTCACCACCAAGGCATCGGATAGTGACCTACTTTCATCGCGCGCAATGGCCCTTGCTGGAACTGTATGTATTGCTCTTTCTTCTTTTCTCACATGCAAAAGGTTTAGGATTAATTTGCTGATAAAATTACCTGTAATTAGGAAAATGGTGGTATTGATTTAATCTTCCACACAAACCTCCACTCTGCCAAAGCCATAGATCTCACCGTGCATCCCACCGAGACGAACATGTCATTCCTCAACATCGCCACTGGCGAATGGGCATCTATCTCCGGAACTGCATCAATTCTCGCAGGCGAGGAGATCGTCCAGAAATTCTATTCTCCAGCCCTGCAAACATGGCTAGGTGATTTGGGTGATGGGGTGCATGACGCTAGCCCATCGGACCCGAGAATCGGTGTTATTAGGGTAGAGGCGAAATCGGCGATTCATGTGTTTCCGCGTAAGGGCCTGGTCGGAAGAGCGGTAGATACGGGCAAAGCGATTGCGAAGGGCGAGGTTCCACAGATTAACAAAATCCGGGAGTTGAGTACCGATGAGCTGGCTCAATGTGAGTGCTATTTTCTCTGCATGGGTAGGTATGGCTTTGGGAAATACTAACATGGATACCATAGGGCGGAACACACATAAAGAATAGGTTTTTACTACAGAGTATAAGAAATTGGAGGATATTCATGTAACTGGTAATATATTGGTTGTATTGAACCATTAGCATAAATCATTCCCTGCCTGGGGGTATCTCAATCGACTTCGCTAAAAAAGAATTTCCTGCCCACCCGTACGCCAAACACATTGAAAGTTTATATATGCGTGGTCTGAAAAATACCTATGCCATCCGAAATCAAATCTACTTGAAATTTAGTAACTGGTAGATTGATGATCCATTAAAAGGAAATCATACCAAACGAAGAGGAAAGCGGGGAGGCACGCGACCATCATGAAGCAACATTGCAACAGCTTTTTGCGGAGTAGCCTGTAACTTGCGATATGCCTCACGGATATGTCGTGGTTCAATCGGGGTGCGACCTTCTTCAGGCGGATCGAAAAGCCCGGTTTCGCGCTTTCGCTTTTTAGGATTTTCACCGTCACCATTCTCAGCAACCCCACGGCCCTTTTTCTCGCGATCTTCGCGATCTTTGACTTTGAGCGCTTCTTCTGTCAAGGTTTGCACAATCTCAAAGGTAAGGAAACCAAGGATATCGACAATATCGTCATTGGGCTTTGATTCGGTGACTATGCCAAACCCAGCCCATTCGCGAAAGCGCTTTCCTTTGCGAAATGTGAATGATGCTTGACGACAATCTGACCAAAAGACGTACTCTTCCCTCGTCATATGCTTAGTTCGTTCGTCAGCAGTCGCGAGCCGCTGGAGGGTCGCATAATTCTGCTCCTCTTCCTCTTCGTCTTCTTCATCTTCACGTTCAGGCACTTGTACCGAGTAAAAGCTATTTATATCCCAAGGAAGTCCGACCTTCGCCCGTTTGTTTTTCGGTTTCGCTGCTACGTCCTGAGGTCCAGCCACTCCCGCACCAGCAAGGGGGTCGTCGCCCGCGGCGAAATCAGCAGCGTCAGGACCAGCCTTGTCGTCAGAATCCTTCACATTCTTGCGCACATCTTTCCAGGAGAGAAATGTTCGGAGACGGGAGACTTTTGCTTTGTCGTGGCGAATTAAAAAGATAAGGTCATCGGTGGATATTGAACGATTTCCGCGGCGAGTCGCTAAAGCAGTACTACGACTAAGCTGGTAGATAGTTAGCTAGGTACCATACGCCTTGAATGCGCAACCATACCATCTCTATAACTTGCTGGCGCACAATTTCCTCAATAAGCGTCGTAGTTTCCTGGGACGGTTCGGCAGTTTCACCAGAGACAAACATCATCTGTTTAAAGAAAGTCATCAGGTTAGCCTTGAAAGCCTCTCTGGATTCAGAATCATTCGCCATCCTCCGCATCTTCGACCAGTTCCTTGGCAATGCCTCAATTCGTGGTTGATAGCATGCTGGAATGAGAGAATAGAGTTACATGTTGGGCAATTTGAGTCACGGAGTAATGGATGGTCACATCAGATGACAGCAGTAAAAAGTAGTTGATAGTGAGGCATCAGTAGGTTGATTGTGCTCAGTTACGACCATTCCATCCACATCCTTATTATGCACAAGGTAATTGGCGACAACAGAAAAGGTATGCGATCTGGAGAATAAAAAATATAGGTAGACGTACCTGCTGGATTTCCTGCCGGTATTTAGGAGCGCGTTCTGCTGCCATAGTGATCCCTTCTGGCAGGCGCCAGACTCGCTCCTAGTGCGCACCTATACAGAGATATATGCTGATGAGACAGGAGCCGAGACAACCAAGTGCTATGCGGATTCAATTAGCATGCGTTGTGGTCCGCAAGTCGGTGTCAGATGCGACCTGACTCGATCGAGTGGGCCCGGGGAAATGGTGGAAGATCTTTGTTCCGTGCAGCTTTCGGTCTCGAACAAATTTTGGCGGGGGCGGGGAGGTTTGTATTTTTTTCATTTCTGTTTTTCATTTCCAAGGAGATTTCTTTTTGCAGGTCAGGGAAATTTCCCAATTACCACACGTCAAAATGCTTTATCTCGTGGGTTTAGGTCTCGCGGATGAAAAGGATATCACGGTGCGGGGGTTAGAAGTGGTCAAGAGCGCGTCCAGGGTATACCTCGAAGCCTATACAAGTATACTGCTTGTCGACAAGGAAAAGCTAGTGCGTGGAATGCGAATTGCTCTTGATATATGCCTAGACTGACGAATTTCTGTGATCAATTAGTAGGAAGCTTTCTATGGACGTTCTGTGATTGTCGCAGATCGTGAACTCGTTGAGACTGGCAGTGACGAGATCCTTTATGGAGCCACAGATGTCGATGTCGCTTTCCTCGTTGTGGGAGATCCATTCGGGTATGATTATGAATTATTCTCTCTCCAAAAACTTATGCAGTTGCTAATTGCGTATATTACAGGGCAACGACGCATACAGATCTAGTCCTAAGAGCTCGCGAGCTTGGTATTCAAACAAAGTCCATCCCCAATGCATCGATCATGTCGGGTATTGGCTGCACAGGCCTCCAACTCTATAATTTCGGCCAGACCGTGAGCATGGTGTTCTTCACCGAAACATGGAAACCCTCCTCATACTACGACCGTGTGAAGGAAAATGCAAGCTTAGGGCTACACACTCTGGTACTACTGGATATCAAAGTGAAAGAACAATCGCTAGAAAATATGGCACGAGGAAGGAAGATATACGAGCCACCTCGATACATGACTGTCGCACAGTGCGCAAGCCAAATGTTAGAAACGGAAGAAGAGCGAAAGGAAGGTGTCTACGGACCCGACAGCTTAGCCATCGGCGCTGCTCGCGTTGGAGCTCCTGATCAAGAACTTGTTGCTGGGACACTGAAGGAACTTGCAGAGGTTGATATGGGTCGGCCGCTTCATAGTTTAGTGTTGCTTGGTAAAAGAGCGCATGATTTGGAGAAAGACTATATTCTGCAATTTGCTGTGAATAAGGAAACCTTCAATACTGCCTGGAAGCAGGGATATGGTGCAAGCTGATCTTTTAGCTAGATTGTCAGCTACTAATGTATTAAATCATGTGGATGAAAAATGTTACGAAAACTTGCTATATTTAATATACAGCTATTTGAAAAGCCGCGCGAAATCTATCAGCTTGAGACGTCACAAGTTATAAATTCCGTCAGTAATCCACCTTAAAATGTTATTCCGTGATCATATGTGATCATACAATATCACCCATCATAACAATGCAGTACCTAAGTGTAAGATCAGTCCTGAATCGGACCAAAACACGTCGGATTCAATTAGAAAGACTTCAATCCTAACATCACATCAACCCACATAAGACGCATCCACAATTGTAAGATGGACCCAGAAAACCCTACTCCAGACTCCTTTGATGCCATATAACAATATGTTCAAAATGCACAGTTTCCATAACCCCAGCATAATACTCGTTCCGCCTGCTACGTTACTCCAGCTTGTCAAGATGCTCAAGTCGCGTCAAAACCACCTGTTTACTCGTCTCTTCGATTTCGCCTGCTAGGAACACTTCATCGAGAATGGCATATACCTAGTTTTGCGAGTTAGCTAAAGACGCAGTTCAGCCAGATCATCTCACTAAGCATACCTTGTAGAAATTGAACACGAGATCCAATTCACACACATTTCCGAAGAACTGATCGAGCACTTCTACGAAAAAGTGAATTGCCTCGAGGTATGCCAACTCGTTGTCATTTGCATCCACACACACACAGAAGAATAGGCCGGCATATCGGCGATACACGATCTTGGTGCTGCGCTTGAACTCGACGAAGTTGGATTGGTATTTCTGATCTCGGGGAGCGACGAGGCGATGGACCTAGAGATTGTGATTGGATGTGAGTGATTGGATCTTCAGTGCATGAGGGTATAGCATGGAGGAGCGACGTAATCGCAGCGGGACAGCTAACCTCGCCTTTAAGCTTCACTTTTTCATCGTCCTAGACAAACCTACAGTCAGCAACCATGTCACATATACAATCTATTCAAGGAAAAACTCACACTGTACGGCGCGTACCACTTCGCCAACCTCGTCTTGCCCCTGGTCATCCGCAGTCATTAGCATGCAGTTGACGGGTATGGGTCAGGGGATCCGCACTGGCGATTTTGTATGAGGATGAAAGAGAGAACCATCGCGTCGAGTCACCGATGAGGAATATATGAAAGGCTTCACGATCGGTCCTCAAGTATTGACATTTTATCGTAGACGTGTCCGGCCAACAGCACCAGAGAAGTCAATTACTGATGCTGAGAGGGCTAACAAGACAGCCGCGGAGGGTGAAATATACTGCTAGCCGCCACCGCCCGGGCCAGTCAATGGCCCCAAAGAATCGCCTTGTGGATACGAGTTTCCTTAACTCGTACAACCATGACATATGCTGTCTTCACTGGAGCCGGCCTGGTGGCTAGCTAGTCGTGGAAGCCACATCCTGTCATTCGCACCTGCTTCGTGATATCCTTATTCCATGAGCCCTCCTAATCACATCGTTTACTTGCCGGCTACTACAAAGAAAGCTTGAACCCCACTGTCAACAATGCCCGTCTATAAAGTCCATGGCTTCCAATGGCCTCGCGGTGGCATACCCAGTATTCGTGTGTTCATCGTCCTCGAGAACCTCGACGATGCAGCAGCCGAGTATATCCAGCAGAAACGGACCTCGGAACTCATCCTGGGTGCTTTGAAGAAAAACCATCCTCAAGCGACAGCACACCTACCAGACCTACAATTGATCGAGCAATACGACCCGCTAGACACGTCGAATGCCGCCGTAAGCCAGCCGTATGCCTTTGTGGCAGATCGCGTCACTGTTTTGCCAGATCACACCAGACCGAGACATGGTCTGAGTGCGAGTATTGACCAGCATCAGCTGGACGAAATGATCTCGCCGGAAGCACGCGACTCCCTGATCGAGATCAGGGATGCCATTGCCCCTGGAGAGAAGATTGGTTGGTGGATGGTTTACAATGGCGACCCGGAGAGGTACTACCCTGAAATAGACGAGGATAACTACATGTACGACGACGAAAGTATTTTGAGCTCTGAAACTGGGCATTCATCCATTTCTGAGATTCCGGTAAGCCTGTGACTGGTATAATGCTATTTCATGATCATGGAATAACCGACATAGTCTGAACCTCGTGGAGGGGTTGAAAGCAATACTAGAGCAATATCTCGAAGCGGACCACCACCTGTACCTAGTGTTCCTGTAAGTTATGCTACAGTCCAGACTCGGTGGCTATGAGTTTGACTAACTAGCATAGCCTGAATCTCCCAAAACCAATAGCCCGGGCTTGAAAAAGAAGAGATCGTTCTGGAAAAGACGCGCCTGAATGTTTTACGACAATCTTGTCATGTGCTAATGCGATGTAAATGAATTATGATCACCAACTGAGCCATTGATATCTAACAAGGAAATGAAAATTATAATATGCATCTTATTAGCGTTGTCATGAGCCGAAATTTCTTTAACATATGCTATGTGAAGAAACAATTGAATACATCAACTTCCGCTCGAAAAGGATATTTATATGGTATAACACATTTAATCATTTCCTTAAGTATTCTCGCAATCATCACCTTTTCAGCGCAGCAAACCGTTTAGATAGCTCATCTACATCCGGAATCCCCTTGCTATTCTTCCTTTGCGGCCCACCAGGTCTCTCACTTGTAGCGTTATTATCCTGCTCGCCTGGTATTTTCACTCGAGGCTCTGGGTTATCACTACTTGGTCCCGGTTTCGCGACGCTCACTGGGCTCTTCCCCGTTACGTCGTGTGTGCCAATATCCCTCGGTGGTGTAGCGCGAGACAACTCGTCTGCTTCAGAAGCTCGCCGCAAATCAGCAACATTCTTGCGAGGCGTTTGTGGCGCCGACACATCCCCGATATCAGCGTCACCAGAGTCTGCTGGTGGTGGTGGTGATGACGACGATTCCCGCCCTTCTTCATGCATTGGCTCTGGAACATCGCCCTCTAAAGCTGCCGTTGCTGGCCAAGACACGCTGTATGCTTTTGCAATTTCCCGTAGATAACTGTCAACCAGCTCCTCAGAAGGAGGCTTTACCCGAAGTCTTTTGACCAATCGATCGGGAAGCTTTACTCCAGCTTTATTTTCTTGTGCAAGCGTTGCGAAATCTTTACCCCAGCGTTCCATCAACAGTGTCCGCAGGGTGGAGAGTTCCTTAACTTCACGTGGGAAACGAGGACAAGAGTAGAATATAGCTGCTGCAGCTTCATCCAGAGCAAGATTGATATAGCTATTTTCCTCATCAAACTGGTCGCTATCTTCCGAGGTAGATTCTGGTTGGTTTTTGGGTTGTTTTTTATCCGGTGTCGAGGAGGTTGTGCGTGAGCTAAACCACCCTAGCCCCTTCCCACCACTTTCTTTTGGATGTGCTGGAGATATATTTGGGTTACCTTCCAGCATCTGTTTGGCCTCCTCCTTGGCTTTATTTCGTCCCTGCACGCCCTTATCGGAGAAAGCAATTTGGTCGAGAACTGCAGCTCTGGCAAGCAGTAATTCGCAGTACAGCTCGACAATCTCCATCACCTCGACTCCGATGTCATTTGCGATGACATTTTCGACTCTGATCCGCGCAGACGCTTCGCGCCCAGTATCAAGGAGATGCGCGAGCTCTCTGCGCTGGGCGACGGATGACGCGGTGTCTTTTTTCTGAAGAAGGCGAAGACGTGGTATGAGGAGACGTAGAGTTGACTGTAGTTTTGTCTGCAGTCAATAGCCATATTAGCAATGGGATTAACATGGTATGTAGAATGTTAAGAAAGTGCGGGGTAAGCTGGACATCGCGTGTGACTACATAGACATTCTTACTGTTTGAACAGTTGGTGGCATTTTGCAGAATGTGGTTTATGGTTAGGTCAGGAGCATGAGGAGGTGTAGAAGACCTTCAAATCCGAATGTAAAGGTCAATGCTGGAGAGTGAACAGGCAGTCGCATACAAATGGCTGCTGCCCCACGTGGTATTGGGTCTAGTCCAGCACATATGTACTTTTACCCAGAATCTCCGGTACAATTATTGTATGAGAAAAGAAAGCCATTGACCATTTAACTAGTTACATATAATTAACAGAATTATATTTTATTTACCATTTGTGTAAACACACCCACACTGAAGGAGGACTTAGGTTTGCAATTCGTCTCGTAGGTTTACAGCACTCTACGTCATCGATAGACTTGGCTTGGCATAGCGGACGCTCACAATTCACTTCTCAATGAAAATAACTAGAGAGCTCTGAAAGTTCCTATTAATCTATTATATATAATCCAAATATTTAGAGGAGAGTGGTGTCAAATGAGATACATGTACTCGATATACATGAAATATGGGAATTAATAGAAATAGAGCATCGTATTCGCCATTCAATACATGTAAATAATACATAGTCAACAAAGAGAGAACGCCTTTTTATATGTAACTTCAAATGTCTGACTGCTGTCATCAATAATAAAATAAGAATTACGTAGTTAATTGTTGCCGCAAGAAGGGTATAATAAGCAGTCTATATGAAGCACATGTATCTTGATATCCTAGCACATCCCAAATTCACTCTATATTCTCTCTGATTCAGTTTCAATACTTTGGACTACACTATAAAATAGTGAATATTAAATTAGTTTTCTGTACCTAAGCGGCGGTTTTAGCTCCTCTGATTAAGTGAATTTGTCGATGGGCCCGGAATCTAGGGTATACAAAATCACTGCGAGCTTAATACCGATCTTGTGCCCTATGATATTCAACGTTTGACGACTTTGGGAAACCAGTTCTGGTGTCGACAAAGGGCAGTGCACAACCAGCCAAGTCGGCCAGAGAATGATAAGACTAACAGCTGCACTTCCACTCCTCACTCCATTGTTGTCGCTTTCCCTTAGAGCATCCGACGCGCTTTTAGATATGTTCCTCAAGTATTGGTATATTCGGCTTTGTAGCACCGACGCGGTATTAGCGTCATCCTCTAGCTGCAGGGAGTCCCGCAGGGGCGACAAAAGGTCACCGCAAACGTTGCACCATTGAATTAGGTTTAGGTAAAATATTATGCGTACCGAGCTGACGAGGGAGAGAAAAGCTACGATACATTGAAAGGTCCCTGGCTGTGCTTCTGCAGCTTCAGATGGAAGCCCCAGTAAAGCTGACTGCCAGTCTGGCGGCATATCTCGGTCCCAGGCATCTATTTCAGCCAATAAATGACAGGCAATCCCTGTCAGATTGTGCTCCTGTTGGTCAAGGGCAGGTCCCGCCATAGAGCCACGGAGAGCCGTGAACTGCTTGACAAGCGAGCGAAAGGCAAGGATTTTGCACACGATACGGGCAAATTTCAGCTCGTAAATTTTAAGGTCATCGGGATTCAAGAGATGCATTAATTCGACGTGTCGGTCCTCTCCCCTAATGATGGATTGGATCAGCTAACTCCGGTTAGGACACAATTTCTAGCGAGGAGTGACATCTTCTGGCTTACCAGGTGACTAACGGCCCAACCGAAGAGATAAAGACCATTCTTGGAGTGGACCAGTTTGTCTCGCTGCAGCTTCACGAGTCGGTAAATGCCGAGGCTGTGTACGTTTAATAAATTATGTCTCTCGTTGTTCACGTCCTACTTCAACCTAAGTAATTGCCTAGGAGTTATGATTGGACAAGGGAAAGGTACTAACCACAAATAAGCTTAATATAATGATAGATGCTAGCGTTTTATCGGTGAGAATAAATTCTGGGTTATTTAGGGCGGTATTGATCCGGCCCAGTGCAATACCATAGTTATCTCGACAGTTGACATATAACTGGGCATCTCCGGTTCTATTATATAATGTTAGGTAGGAAACAGCCAGCATGGCCGATTTCAAACAGCTATTTTCGGTTTGCACATGATATAAATCTGGGATAAATCTGAGATATCCGGGAGAAACGCCATCTGGAGACGGAATTATATACTGGTCGATGAAAAAACAAAGGGACGGCAGCTCCCACGCCGTGCTCGGTGACAATGGTATACTTGAGGTATGTCTAGGACAACTTGAAATGGTGGTTGTCTTTCCACTTTTAGATTGAGATGTACTTTCGCTTGTGGTGGTGGTGTCGGACTTGCTGGGCTGTCGTCGTCGGCCTTGTTTGACCACCTCTGCCAGCAGTGGACGAAAGTTGAATCTGTCGGGGTAACCAGGGCATATATGGCCGCGGATTGTACATCGATAACACTCTGGTTTAGCGGCATCGCACTATAATTCGGTTTACTCACACATACTTCAGGTTGCAAGACTCGGGATACCTACTTTGACCTTGCGGCGTCGACACTCAATGCAGCCGGTGCTCCGGTGGCCAGGGTAGACCATGACTAGAAGAAAACACTAGTCAAAAAAGCAGGGAACCCTAGATAGCCAGTATGTAGAGATATTCAAATAAGGGGAAAACTTGCGAGCGATAGCAGCCCAACATCCAGTGCCGGGACTAGATGAAGGAAGCAGAGCGGCGCATTTGAGTGTCGTATCACGCCGTTCTTAAACGGTGGAGAGCTCCCAAGGGACTAACCCACACTGGGAAAAAGCTTGCGAGGATGATCCCCCCCACTTGATCGTCGGGATTGGGCTTCGTCTTTTGTAGAAGAAGGAAGACTGTGGGGTGCTCCTACATTGTAACAGGTATATGATCGCATTGGCAGTATCCGTGCTCGCTCTTCTTGTCAAACTCCTCCGTTTCGTTCCACCGCATCGAATTCTCCTCATCCATGTGGGTCAGTATGCCCAAGCCTTTTCTGATAACATTTATGGAGGAACAGTACAGTCCACAAGTATTAACCGGGTAACAAGATGCGCATGCAAAGCAGAATGTGTTCAGTGTTAATTGATCGATCGATTGATGGATCAATGTATCAATTGCTATGTATGGTAGGATTTTAGTTTTCAATGCATAGAGTCTCTTTCTGTATTGGCCGTTCAAATGTACCGTTGCCTCGACTTGCACGTAGTCCCCTATACATATTCTAACCGCTTCTGCTGCCTTGTTTTTTTTAGCCAGTTGATTCTATAGAATATGTCTATAATGTCTAGTGGTATCACTGTGGTGGTTAAGTATCGGGAATGCATTTGACCATGCATAGCTACCTTTGAAGCTCTTCATCTAACCATCTCTCGAAGTATTTCTCGGACTCCGATTTAGCTAGATTCAATGTCCGATTAAGAACCATTTGAACATGGGCTTCATTGGCAGCAATGTAGAGCTGTACGCTACGATTATGTTTCTAGTACTCCAAGAGCTTCTAGTCAGCAGTGTTGTTTCGCGTCTTATAGTGAAGCAAATATCAAGATTTTACCTTGAGATTGTCTGCAAAATGCACAATATCATTCAGCATAAGCTCATGCTCTCCTGCAATAATAGCTGTATCCTTCGTCCTGATCCCTTTCCATAACACTGACGAGGCTTTCAATGGTGTACTATAGCAATCTTCTTTACCATTGGTGAAGTCCAATGCAGCTCGGGACAACGCCTTAGGATTTATATAGTCGCCATATAAATTTCGGGTCTCTAAAACGTTAACATCAAACGTCACCCACGGTGAGATTAAAAACGCCACAGCAAAGGCGTCTTCTCCCAAGTCCAGCGGAGTCACCGTGGGATGCGGCAGGGATGAATGGAGAAGGACTGCAGCGACGAGGTTGCCCCCAGCTGAGTCTCCAGCAAGAATAATCTACCAATGTGTTAGTAAAATTAGAGGAACCAATTCAAGGCAATATTACCTCCGATGGTTTGATTTGCTTCACTCGCAATAAATGGTGAATTGCAGATACTGCCTGCTGTAGCTGGAATGGGTAATGTTCTTTTGTCGCGAGTGTATATTCTACGACGGCCACTGCCAGGTTGGGCTTACATCTGTCCACCTGGGACTGTAGCATCTTCATATGGCCAGGATATGCAGAATTTACGTAAGACCCTCCTAAGCTTGGTCAACTCAATTCACTACCACCTGGAAAGCTAGTTGGGGAACGATGAATATATTGTACCGTGAAAATATACCATACATCTCCCCTGTCCGAGCTTAAATTCGGAAAGCCACATGATTTTGACTCCATCATCGCTAAGGTCGATAGCCTTTGAGATATTGCGTTTTGCAACAAAGTTCTCGTATATCTTAGAGGTTGTTGGCGGCTGAGAGCTTGAGGGCGATCAACAGATTATCGGGAAAGATACGGGATTGAGTGGGGTGTATTACCGTGTCCACGTCTGAGAATTATATCGTAAGGATGACCGAACGAAAGCGAGTATAAAGAACTCCTTCCAGGGCAGCCCCTTTGGACGGCATCGTAAACCTCGTAGGGCCGTAATTAGTGTGTTGGACACTTATATTTCGGAAATATTAATTGATGTTTAGTGGATGTGAGATCGATGGAGATAAGTGCGTTATGCCCACCTATAAGGAAAGCTGCAAGCACTGAATAAGCACAGAGTGCGATTGACTTTCCCCAAGACATAATGTATTCAATAGCTCGAGGATATTACTTTGAACATACTCCTGATGGTAGCAACCTGGACCTTTATGAGGAAGCTTTGGCTGTGAGGCCCACTAGGCAAGAGCCGAGACTAAAATAGTCAGCTAACCATTTCGAGAAAAGTGTTCCGAGGCCAAAATAGGCAGCTATCCATTTCGAGAAGATGTTGCGAGGGCCAATGATGAGAAGATTGGTCTAGAAGAAATTCTCCGAAGCTTTGTCTCGAAAATATGTTGGGAGTGGAAATTAAAATATACGCAAGAAACGTAACTTCAGGTCGATTATCATCGTTTGACCTCGTCACAGCCTGCCTGTTTTTACACAAACTTCCGCCAACGGGATGTGTAAGTAGATTAGTAATATAAAATGTTCTAATTCAGAGGCATGAAACGTTTATAAACCTTAGTCACGACTCAATGTGGGCAGAATTGACACCAGCCAAGAGCCCGCGAACGAAAGGTAGTTGGCAATAGCGAAAAGAAATAGGGTTGTGGGCCAAGTGAAGAGTGACGCTATTTCAGCCCTTAAGCCTGACTGGGAAAAAGCTTGCGAGTCAAGGAAATGTGGGGAGAGCGCCATGAGGTACTCTGACCAGGAGCTATGCGGGCCCTTGTCCAGAGGAAGAACACAGGCAAACTTGAACTCAATAATAACAGGCTAATTTGTAGGTGTTCATTCTTGACCCCAGTACCTCGGCGGTACAATACGCATGGCAATATTATAAAACTCAGACGATCGTCTACCTGCATTGGATTGGCAGGCGTTGAGTAGGGGGTACTCCAAGCAAGGAGGGACAGTGCCACACCTATTATTCAGCTTCAGCCAGTGGCAGTGAGCGCAGGCAGCCCTCTACAATAGTCAAGCTCAGGTAGTCGTCGGCCGCCAAATAGCCCCGAAGTATATGCCGCCAGTCACTGGGGCCGTTAGGCTCTACTAGCTTTCATCGAGGATATCAAGGCACCGGAGGGCTAGCCGAAGGCAACGGTGCTCATCTCTTAGACGGTCAATACAAAGTGTCCCATTGTATGACCGTAATTGTATTAAAAACACGGCTTGTCAAGTGCAGGGAAATATCTGACAGACCAAGTGCATGGCATGGCCGTTCGCCGCACCCCGGAAGATACAGATGTATACATGAAAAAAAAGAAATTCTCACCACCTATTCTACACCCGAAATTTATTTGATTGGAGTTTTTAAAAAGGGCCGATTGTAGATTTAATTGTACCTCTTTTACTCTTTCTAGGAATATCCCACCTCAAAATATTTTTGTAAAAGCCTTTAGCGTTGCTACTATGCTTTGGTAATGAATGAAAATCGTATAGCCTTCACTTAAACATGTCTCTATCCTATCACCAGAGGATATTTACTTTTTCCCTCTGTGACTTTGAAGTCCCAGCTTGTGCCTTCAAACTCCTTCCTCGGTCGTACGTTGACATTAAATGACTCCTTGGGTGGATTCATAATAGATGTGATGGCCATTGCATTCGCCTTCGGGTCCTTCCAGACCCCTCCAACAGGAAGAACATCGAAGCGCATAGCCGTCATGGCAATTAACCCCAAGATCTCACCGCTAGCAAAGTGACGGCCGGGACATATGACTGGCGAGACGCCAAAAGCCATAAAACCACCCACCCGCCGAGGATCCTTCTTTCCCTCTGACTTCTTGTCGGGAGCTGTGGGCTTCATGAATCGTCTCGGGTCAAAGTCATCGTTTGTCGCACCCCAGACATCACTCTTCCGGCCGATGGAAATCGCAGGCATCACAACAACATTTCCTTCTTTCAACAAATACCGCTCGCCAACCATGACCTCTTTAGTGACGAAGCGCGTGGAAGTCGATGATGATCTCGTGCGAAGAATCTCCTGGAATGTGGAAATCATGAGCGGGCAATCGTCACGCAGATCGGCCAGATCAATGATATGCGTGCCGTCCTCCATGACATGCAAGGCATTTTCCCGTACTTCCTCGCGGATCTCTTCCAGCAAGTCGGACCTGGAAAAGATATCGTACAGAACCCAAAATGCCGCCGGAGCAGTGTTGGAGAGCAACCCAAAAGCCATGGTGGCCTCTAGCCGCGCAATATCTCTCACGCTCATGCCTGCATCCCGTGGAATTTTGAATCGCGCAAATGTTAGGTCAGAGGAGTTCTCGTGTCCTCCTCGGTTATAATAATCTTCAAGCGCATCGATAAGATTCTCTCGTCCCTTCCAAGCCGGACGTGCTGTCAGCAACGGTAGTATATTTGCTATCAACGGACTGAGGTAGTTATCAAAATCCCTTTTGCCCATTTAATCAGCATGGAGGGTCGTCAAGGATTGTAGAGCACAGACCAGAATGCATCCTCGATCTTTTGGTCCTTATAAGGATTCATGTCCCCGTACGAGGAATCGGTACTCGCAACCGTAATTGCGTGGCGAGTCCACTCATACCAATCAATGGTCCCACCACTTCCCAACTCATCGATGAAAGGTCGTAGCAACCGAATCATTCGCTCATTCATACGATCCAGGGATTCACCCAGCAACGTAGGGAACATGCCATGCAAAATATCTGTAAAGAGAGAATGGCCACTAGCCTGCTTCAATTTCAACATTTCAAGCGCCGGCGGAGAGAGGCCCGCCATGCGCTTGGCGGAAAACTCCATGAACGGTTCAAAAGTCAGAATCTTGGAGTTTTGTTGGACGTTGCGCACCAGGGATGGGGAACCGATCACGTAGATCTTGACGAAGATTAGATCTAGCGAGAAAATCGGGTATATCGAGTGCTTTATGCTGTCGGCTACATCAGCCCAGTCCAGAATAGACAGTTGTAGGGGGAGATATATAAGAAAAGAAAATGAGAGCTCACGCTTGCTGGCCAAAATAGGAAATGCCATACCAGAGCAACCCGATCAAGTGTCCAAAAATGGGGATGGCACTGGCCACGACTGGTGGTTCCTGGGCATCATGACTTCGCCACCGATAGACGACGAACCCCAAGACGGCGACGAGGCCTAGGATGAGAATCTGGCTGAGATCCAACATATTGAACCTGATAAAGTCTCCTGCATAACAATTTGTTCCACCGCATTAAAGTCGGCGAGAGAGGCTATTTATCATTCATCAGCAGCGACTTGATAGGGGATGCGTGCTAGCTGAAGCTGAACCATCATTGTTCCTTAGCCTAATCATCTTGCGAGAATTGTTTTGCTGGTAATGCCATATACGGCTAGCGTGAATCAATGCAATCATTACTTAATAAGATAATTCAGTTCTAACCCGATATTGATACATTACGAAATCACTGGATTGTACTAAATTTAAGTATCTGTAATTTTTATTTAGCTCATGAGACTGACAAGAAACATCAATGATTTTTTTATTAGCTGCCAAGACTGGTCTTCGGCCTGAAAACAGGAGAGTGGCGGCCTTTTACAATTTGACCTCAGCTGTTTCATAGGTTAAAGCAATGAAATACAAATAAGTACCAATTCAATTATAGTAAGAGCTGCTTCCTTAGTTTCCTATTACAGCGTATAAAACCGAGAGCTTGTGCAATGCCCCAACAGCAACTGGAGTATGCCATACTTGTTTGTCATGCACGGTTCCACCAACCAGGAATAACTAACTATACGCCTCCTTACAGGTTGAAGGCATTGTCATTGTTGGGATTTGATCACTGCTCTAAGTGAGTGACTTGATTGGCCTTTATTGCGGGAAGCGATCCACTTAATTATGGGGCCTTCCCACAATCTCGGGTGCTCGGTTCTCGTGGAGAAGAGTATCAACAATATATCACGTTATCTACGTTTTTCAGACGTTTTCGAAATGTAGAGCTGTACAAGACTACCCGAGAGAACGATGTTGATATGAGGTGTGATTTCTTTCCCCCACGACCAAAGGATTTGTATGAAGAAGGGGTGAAGGTCATTATTGGATCGTCTTCAAATGTTTGGATATAGGTTTGCTGGAGTATATCAATGATCTAAAAGCTAACAAGCAGTTACTTGTAAGTATCTTATCTACTCATGATCCGTATACATATTCACAATGACTGTTTCCCTATAGTTATCGTTTCGTATGTAAAATATCAGACTTCGTCTAACCAAAATTAACTCAGTATCAATTACAAGAGTTGTGATCATTAAAAAAGGATATCATTTTGACAACGGTAACGAGAGCCATTTTCATCTCTCCATCAATTTGTATGTAGTGGAGAAAAAAAATCCTGCACTTCTTTTCATCTTTTCAGCACATCTTTCAGAGGGACATAATGTACATAGCAATTGTAATCATGCTGGTTTACATAAATTGATGAGAACACCACGCAAGACCATGCTCCAATCTCCGTCACCGCCGATCGCAATTGAATCACGACGACAGATCAGAAGCTAAACATTAAATCACTGATTAACTTTCAAAGATAAGAGTAGACCAAAGTCCAGAACCAAAACCACGCAGATCTGCACCAATTTCCACGTCTAGACTCTTTCAATTGTCGATCCTGGATGTTATACAGGTTGGGATCTACTATTAATCAGATTAGGTTCGGATGATGACCAGCATTAAAATTATTGAATTGTAAGATTTATATATCTACTCGAAGATATCCATCCACCCAGCCACACATACCAGCATGGCCATAATGAACAAAATAAAAGATGCAAGATGCCAAGAGCAGGAAAGAAAAAGCTGTGTCGACAGCGACTCAGTTGTGTAACCAAACACATGCACATAAGTTCAGAAAAAATGATTCTCACTCAAATTGAGACCGTTCTCTGAACGGTATCTCTTTTTTTTTCTCCTTCCTTTGCTATGATAAAGGCCTCCTTGTAGGCATAAGGAATGAGTGTTGTGACGGCACCCGCTTTCGCTTGCCAAGATCCGTGGCGTTGTAAAAACTCCAGTAGGTATCAAAACATTATAATACAGCCAAAAAGCTCTCCAAAATCCAACTCCGAAATCATGGTGATGCTGTTGCCAGATCCCAATCTAGAATGAAGTGAAATAAAATAGGGGTATAAGATCGTCAGATCAAGAAGCAAAACATAAAAGGTATCTGGTCGAAATATAGTCAAATCATCAATATCAATAAACGCACGTGATCTCATGGAAGAAGATCCTGACAATTGAAAAGACAGGGCTGTCTGTAATATATGTGAGATGAGCTTAGAGCTGCATCATCACGCCAGCGAACAATCCCAAGGCGAGACCAGCAACCGATCCGGTGGAGATAGGAGCAGCGCCAGAAGTGGTACTAGGAGAGGCAGATGCAGCAGCAGATGAATCACCGGCTGCTGTAGCGGAAGGCGAAACTCCTTGGGTAGACCCAGTTTCAATGAAAACGTGGGGGGCATAGCTATAGCTTGCCGATGGGGTTTTGGAACTAGGGTTGGATGAAGAAACCGTGACTTTGGAGGTCGCTGATGCACTGCTAGAAGTGACTGTGGTTGAAGATGTGCTGGGTAGGGTTGCACTGGTAGAGGTAGAGGTAGTGCTTGTGGTGGTCGGAGTGGTAGACGTGGAGGTAGTGCTTGTAGATGTGGTAGTGGGAGCAGCTGATGTAGTCGGGGCGGGGCTGGAACTGGAGGCTGGGCTGCTAGAGCTGGAACCGGAGCTACCAGCACTATCTCCAGCCTTAAAGACATTGATGGTAGCTTTCTGGCCGCTAGGAACGGTGACGACACAGAAAGCGCCGCCTCCAGCACCGTCAGCAGCTTCGTTAGAGGTAACCTGGTTCAACGCATTGACTGAAGGGTCGATCTTGCAAGGCAGACCATTGCAGCCAGCGCCTTCATCGCAGAGAATTTCGACACCGTAAGTAGCGGGAGTATTACGGAAAGGAGTAGCAGCCTCCTGCACAACAGGGTTGTAACCAATTTTAACGAAAGTGTCTCCGTTGGCGACGGTGTTGGCACCGGCGACAAAGTACGCCCAGTTTCCGACAGGGTTTGCGCTGGTACCCCACCTGCAACCCTCTACTCCAGTGCCAGGTTCGTTGATATAGTAACTAGCAGCGGCATGTCAGTTATTACAAGTTATTACGAAACCTTGTAGTCGTGTACTTACTGCGCGGCAGTTGAACACCAGTAGGAAGGGTCAGGGACGGCAAGAGTGGCGGTATCCTCAACAAGAGTAGGGATAAGCATCGATTCGTCGCCAGGAAGAACTGTTTGGCAGAAAGACAGGGGCTTTCCAGCCTTGTTAATGGCGGTAATAGCACCGGTGCCATCCACACAGTAGGGCTTTTCGGGGAATGGCTTTTGAATGTTGCCGCTTTCATCACAGTAGAGGCCACCGTCCTGTGTTCCTGTTAGATACCAGTCCGTCTATACAGTATCGTAGATACATACCATTGAAAGAGGGTAGGTGTAGGAAGTAGCCTCAGGGTTCCATTGCATCGAAACCTGGCCTGGAGGGCATGCGTAGGGGCAGTAATTCCCCGGTTTGCAAGGCTGGTCGGGACTCATAGCCCATCCAGCATTCTGCTGGTCGGGAGTGACAGCGACCAAGCCAGCATTTGTTGGAAACTGGCATTGTCCACCTCGCTTTTCGACCACTTCCTCCCTGGCGGTATGATCGTGTCTTCGGTGATGAACATGGCCGTGGTTGTGGGCAGCTTCAGCCATTGCAATAAGGCCAATGAGGGCCGCGACACGGCATCCCATTGTGATTGACTTCATGATGCGGTATGGTTTGATGATGTTGGTATCGAGTATTGTTTGTCCGGCTCGACGTCGCGCAGGCGCGAAATCCGATTCCAGCAGCGGTCAGGAGCAGCAAGGGTCGTCTTCAAGGAGATGAATCGAAAGTTGCAGTCGCACTGTGACCCAGAGGTCGAATGATACACGCACCGATGAACGAAAGACTATGGTCAGAAGGAAACGAAGGGAACGGCAGGCCGGCAAGCAACGAGGAAGAAACAAGAAAGGAGAGGAAACGGCGGGCCCGGGCGAACGATATGGGCGTGAAAAACCTGTCTGGGAGATCGGGGGGCCACCCTGGGGGCCACGCGATCAAATCACGGCGCGCGAAATGACAGCATCAGTCTGAAATCTGAATTAGCCGCTGGGGGGGCGAACCCCGAGGCAAGGACTGCAGATCGCTAGAGACGGGCTCGGGGTTGTACCATCGCCCTGAGCCATGAAGAGTCTACAGCCTCCAGTCCTCCGCAAAAAGGCACTATACGCAGCACTGCGCTTCCATTGGCCAGGCGGAGGAGACGGGCGGTCTTGGCAGGCACCGGTTGCTGCCGTTGCGCCCGAAGAGGGAAGGCGCCAGGGGCTCCCCATTAACCCAGGCGCTTGTGGCGTCGATCGCGAGTCGCTCCTTCCTGCACCTGCACGCACTCTCCCAATGCGGAAGGCCGCTCCTGCCTTGTTGTCACGCCTCGAGCTGCTTCTATTGTTGCTGTTACTCCCACCGCTCCTTCTATGTTGTTTCAATCTTCTCTCTATCCTCGTCTATCACCTGGCGCCCTACTGTGATGATAACGCCGTACTTCATTCATGATGCCCAACGCCCCATTGCGCTCAGCCGAAGTTGAAGCCAGCAGGAATCCTCAACCGCCGCCGCCAAGAAAGCTCATTTCCGAGCGAGCAGGCTTGTAGCCAACCACCGCAGCCTCTCCGCTGGTTGGCCACGCCAAACCAGCGTACTCCGCAATAATAGTAAGGTGAATATAACGGAGCCGCTTCATTGCTTGTTGACTTAGCCTCGAGTTGCCTTGCCGATGGGAAGGCATTGTTATTTACGGTTTAACAGCTCGTCGTGTCTTCGAACTTTTAGGTTATAAAACCCACTTTCGAGAGTCCAGACTCTACACTCGTGTTCGTCTTAATTAACTGTTCGCTTAGCACTCCCAACGGGAACTTCTAACAGGGCGGAGTTACGTGGTGGCGTAGTAGACACGAGGTGCTGCTATTTTGAGTTACGATCGCGAGATTGAATAACGCAATTCCATCGCGCCTGACGATTGCTCGGGTAATCGAGAGAAACTGGACTGGTTGGTGGACGATCGCACTAGCCAAATCTTGCGTTCGACAATCCCTTGATGAATCAATGGTCAGAGGTCACGCATCTGCATCTGAACCATCGGAAGCCGAATTTAGACCGAGATCTATTTGTTGCGTACGATGTCGACACTAGAAACATGATAGAATATAGACATCGGAGAACCCTCGACAGGAAAATAGTCAAGACTCTTGAACAGAAAAGCTGACTGTTTGACTCTTATTATAACTATAAAACGAACGCGTTTTCTATGATCGTGACTTAGTCGTTACCCAGGCGACCTGCTCAGATATCACAGACACCCAAAGCCATCGACGATTCAATCGTTCTGTACCGTCGGATAGGTTGTGAGCGTAAACATCAGGTCAAATTATACTATGTATGACATTCCAGATGAACAAAGATTGGTTCCACGTGGCAAGCGTGATGCTAACAATTTCAGGAATGCTGAATTCCAATAGTGTGATGAATGGAGAAATCATCTACAATCAATTAACGCCAATCTCAAGCAGACATAACACATCAACGGACCAGCCGCCATCATTTAACTATTCAATCATTATAGCAGGAACGCCTCCAATAACCAACATTTGATATGCTAATCCAAAATGCAGTGTATACAGTGTATACAGTGTATACGCAGTGTAACCGGCCCCGTCGCTAGTATTCTTACAGCATAATGAATGCGCCTCCAAACACCGCCAGCAGCATCACGAGCATCATATTAGCTAATTCTTTATGGCCTTCTCCAGTAGCCTTTGGTGCCACTGCCGCCGAGGATGAAGCAGCAGCGGCTTTACCAGACGATGGCGATGCTCTCGGGGTCTGCACAGCTGCGCTAGATCTCGCAGCACTAGCTCCCGACATAGCGAGAGATCTAAAATGTTTGAACGTCTTGGTCCCGTTTGACGGTCTATCGATTGTGAGTAAATAGATACCGTAAAAGAAGAATGAAAGGGCAAGTTGAAGCAACATACGGGTTGACGGCGAAAACCATTCCTTTGGCGCAATGGCCAACCTGGCTACAAGAGGCCCAGATAGTGTTTGTATTATTAATCTTGACCGAATATATAGGAAAGTCTTTTGCGTCGGCTGCAACTGGTTTGAAGCCAGAATCAAACCCGGTGATGTTGGACTGCACGCTACTAATAGGAGCGCAGGGCGCTTCAAAGGTGGATTGAATCACTGAGTGGTTCTATAAAGAATTCCTATCAGCTATTCTCTCATCTATGTTATGTTGGGGACAATCCAGACCTTTTGATGAAACTGGAAGTGAATGGTGTCCCCCGGCTTCGCTTTTACGCTAGATGGTGAAAAGACAAGCGACGAGTTGACCCCGACATGTACGAGATGAACTTTGGCGGATTTTGTGTGTTCAGTATACTCGGAGTGCACGGTGGTGCTGGAGATTGCGAGTACGAGTGCAGAAACGAAACCGTTGAAGAAATACATTGTGAAAACTTTTACGATGCAATAAAGTGTGAGTATAGTGGCGTTTTTTGATAAGATAGACTGAAAAAGCACCTGGCTCTATACAAATGGAATTTAAGAAATAAAAACCAACATATAAGAAGGCGACGATAAAGTAAGAATACTTAATGATTATAAATTAAAATCCTAAGTCAAACCCCAAACTAGGCATCTCAGTTTTATACCAGTTGATGCGCTGTAGCCACATTCCCTGGAACAAGAGCTTAACATCAACTGTCACATCCCGATTAAAATCTCCGATTTACGCGTAAGCTTTTTGAGATATGTCAAGTATCAGGGAGTGCCGGAGGGATGGTTTCAATTCCATTTAAAATCACATATTCCGGCAGCGTGGTGGCTCAGTTGTGTCGGCTGCTTAATCTCAAACACTACATGTTGCAGATCTTGCCGGTGAAGAGAGGCCAGTACTAGATGTCAATGTAATGACAGCGGCAACTCAAAATTAATCTATAATAAAAAATAATTCAAAATAACTCTTCAATGCGGTTTGTAGTCAATAATGGCGTTTTTGGCTGGTGGTTGCGAAAATGGTTGATGCTCAGGAACTGTTGTCAAACCCTAGGTAGAGTTGATGCGACCATTTACACTTTACCAATCACCTACACTGGAAGATTTGTAGTCTTTCTGATGCAGTTAAATTTACAAGTCACTAGACTGAGAAATTGTATTTACTTTTTCAAGTTCAGTTATTTTCTGAATGTCTCACAACTCGAGGGTTGGTTTTAGATCGTCCTAAGTAGAGGCCGTGCTGCTTGTTACATCTTAGAGAACCTTCTCAACCATTTCGAGATATCTGCCCATGTCAACTAAAACTCTTGTTTCCATGCTACGACGCTCATGGCATGCACATGGAACACTGAAAAAGCTTATTTCTCAGTCGGTTCTCTTATTTTAGGTCAACGTATGCTAAACTAACGACGATTCAGGTGTGTCCCAAATAGTGTCTCACGATTAACACTGCCATCCATACTCATACTAGAGCAGCTATTAAAAAATTCTCAGATCCATCTGTTATTTTATTTCTGAACTAAAGTAAAACTCCCCAACCCGGTATCTTATATAACAATCCCTCAATTCCTAACGCCTCATAATAATCGTTATCTAATCGCCTTTTTTAAAAGTCGAGTGTCATTTGCGGTGCCAATTTCTCGAGATCCTCAACCTATAAACCGGAAACCATCTCGTTAGATATTTTGAGACTTTTAGATCTTTTTTCATGACATATAGCAACATACCTCGAGAAATCCATCTATTGCCGAGTTCCCTCCCCCTCCCTCAGTTCGTTCATATGCAGCCCGAGCCAATGCCTCTCTCACAAATATATCCATGTACTTCGCAACAACCTCATTGGCATCTTTCGTAATCTTGGTTTTTTTATTCTGGAAATGTTGATGCAGGAGCTTTGTAAGCAGTTTTGGCGGGATAGCAGGCTCGCCGGATTCAATATTGTGGGGCTTCTCATTCGTAATAATTTCTGCTAGAATGTAGTCTGGTTCCTGCGACGCAGAGCGCTCATGTCCTCCTGATTCTGATCCAGATCCATCTTCTGAAGCATTATTATCATCGTCGTCCTCGTCGTCGGACTCTGGTAGGGTCTGCGCTTTTCGTTTCTTCGACGTCATTGCCGTCGATTTTCGCCGAGCTGTAGCTGAGGCCGTAGACTTTTTCGTCGCTGATTTGGATTTCGTTGTCTTGGGTGCGGCGGCGGAAGACCCCTCTGCAGCAATGGAAGATTGGCGTCGCGGCGGCTTAAAGGGTAAGCGATTGCGCTTTTTTTGCGCAGCATCTAGTGATTCTGGAGCCATAATCTGAAAATAAACTGTGGGTGCTATCGCCAGAGCGCTGGAAAGTCAAGGGTTGTTGATAAGAAATTAATGTTTGCCCACTTTCATTTTCATGTGCCAGACGCGTCACCCGCGTCGGGCCTGTTTCAGGCTAGCGTGCCATCGTCTTATATTGTTAGCCTCAGATTGTTAAATGGTCGTAAATATATCAAGTGTTATTTTAAACAATATAAATTTGCGGATTAATGTGTATTAATTAGGCTGTCCATGTGAATCTGACATATATTCACTATCAATTCAATGTTGTTTCAATGTGGCTACCATTCTTGGTAGTTAGGCCCGACGGTTTTTACATAATTTTATGATTGAGTAATAAAATTTATCTACATTTTTATGATATAATTGAGTAATGACTTTTACATGGCAGAAAATCTTGGCATTGAACTATGACTGACAGACTAACTTACAAGGGCTGAGTCTTTATGACGCCATAGATTTACTAGTACCAACATGTTCACTTCTTCCACAAAGGCTTCGCAAATGACATTTCCTCCACAGCTCCCAGTCATCTTTCTTATTCAAATAAGGCACGGCTCCAAAGGACTTAGTGGGAATTTTAAATGCCAGATGGCTATTGATATCTCGGCTCCACTCGGCTCTAGGTTCGAAAAGAAAAATATTCTTCAGTGTCCACAAAGAAATAAGTTATATATGTCAAATCGCATTCTCTACTCTGGTCATATCACACTCGAACAATGTAGGCTAAGCATGCTATGCTTAAAAGATATACCGACCAGAATCTTCCAAATATTAGCAAATTATGAAGCCATCGGAGTAAGAATAGAAACTAGATATACATACCAATCCCAACTGCGCTTCCGGTAATTGATTTATTTTTGGACAAGCTTATGTAAAGGTCTGCCACATCTTCGATATCTGCCAGTTTCTTCAAAGCAGATTTGTCCTTAATGCCTTCAAGATACTCGTCGCTGAATTGTCGGCCCTATTATTCGTTAGTTATAAAAGCGCCCATGCGTTAATCAATTATTCGACAAAGTTTCACCCAATCAGTCAACAATACTCCAGGACACACGGCATTTATGCGTAGTTTAGGCCCTTTTGTCATTGCAATACCCTTCATCATGTGAATTGCTATCCGCAGTGAGTACATATTGACTGAGACAACAAATCAATGAAGACCTACCCGCTGCTTTTGTGGTTGCATATGGCAGACTGCTTCCTGACGGATACTTCCCCTATGTGATATTAGTAGAAATAGAACCGAATGTATTTATTACGGCAGACATCCAACTTACAGCAATTGAACTAGTGATTAGAAACACACCGCCATCTGCGTTTTCCTCGAACCGTGGCATCGCGTCTCTAAGAAGGTGGAAATGTCCTTTTACATTTACAGCCCAGCACTACGACAACTAGGTTAGTAAAGAGATTGGATGAATAAAACAGCGAATTATTGGTGGTTTACCTTGTCCCATTCTTCCTCTGTCATAGCATAGAGGTCACCGAAGTCGGTGAATTTGGTCCATCCCTGTGTGAGTCAGATGCTACATTCTTCAAGTCCAGGTTTCGATGCAACCCACGGCATTGGAGATAACGATATCGACATTTCCAAGCTTTTGAGTACATTCACTAATCAATTTCTTACAGTCGGACTGAAGTGCAGTATCCTGAATATTTTTTTAACAGAAACTTTGCGTGGAAAAATGATAAATATACTAACTCCTTGAATAGAACATGCAGTGATGTTGTACTTCTTTCTCAACTTCTCTGCTAGTTCTTCCGCCACGAGTTTGCTGGATAAATAATTGATGGCAACATTACATCCCTCGGCTGCGAATCGTTCAGCAACCAAAGCACCTAAGCCTCTATATTTATTCTCTTGTTAGAAAGCTTCATGGCTTGAAAAAGCTACTAGGGATCGATCACCTTGAGCCCCCCGTAATGAGCACTTGTCGGCCTCTGAGAGCGTATGTCATTTTGTTTATTAAACTGACGAGAATGTGGACCCCGTAAGTATGTAATTAGAATGAAAAATTGAAAATATCCGGGATATCGAGAGAACTATATTTACCACTTTGATCGGAATACATTGGGTCCTCTTCGGCCGGTCTTCACTGCGATTCGGGGATCTTCCGGGTATCAATGCCCCGCAAGCACCCCCTCCATTTGGCAACAAACAAGCTATTAAAAGGAACAAGATGGGCCTCCACATCCCGGAAATTGAGCTAGGAGATACCTTCTACCATACACTGGATATATCGTAGAGTTCAATTGTAATTTTCCGGGATACTATACTCGTATGAGTCTGTGCAACTTTTGACGCCACTGAAACGCACCTATCAATGGATACGACAATTATTCCGGGCATGATACGTCACTTAATCGAAGATATATCAATCAATTTACATTTGTAGGATTCAATGTTGTTTTATAATTAGGTTTTGTGTGCGTTTGATGCATCTGTGACTATATGTACCCATTGACATACACAACTGTACCAATTGTTGGTGTGGCACCTGGAGTATCAATTGATATATGTCTCGAAATATACTGACGCAATTAGAATATAACTGCAATGTTCAAATGTTGTCCAAAACCCACCTTAATGCGTCGATAATCAAACCTGGTTCAGTCAACTGAATATTATGCCCACTCTTACTGGCAGTTGTCCAGCGCGACCTGTTTGACAGCGACAGCATTTCTCTTTGCCATATCTCATCTTTTGAATCATATGTTCTGAGCCACTCCCGAAACGATTTTCTTTCCTCATCAGTCCCATTGCCAGCATTGCTTCCGGCTTCAAGAATATTTTCAAAGTCTCGATGAGTCTGCCCCTTCAGAACACATATCGGCCGGTTACCAAGCAGAGGAGGGGTCGTGTGAAGTTGTTTCTTTGCTGCAAGCACTGGTCCACTTTCACGATATCCCGCAGCCTCTGCGGCAGCAACTCGACCGCGTTTTTCAGTGCTCTGATCGTCCAGGTAGGCCTGCCACTCGGCTGGCAGTAGCTTATGGTTCTTATTTAAGCCAGTGACGCTGCAGAAATCGAGTCCCTGAGAGATGGTGTTGATGAAATAGTCAGGCGACGGGTTTTGGATTGTATGTTGCTCTTGGTTTGCGTCAACAAAAATGATTCCGGATACGTCATGGGTACTCAAATTTAAGAATTCTCGACTAATGACACCACCATAAGAATGGCAGATCAATACAAAGGGTCCGGAAATGTTGATAGCATGGAGAAGACTGTTGAGTTCTACCGCCATGCTGACGGCAGTAACATGCCCAGGGGCTTCAGTGCTTAGTCCGTAACCAGAACGGTCGTAGAGCATAACACGAGCAAAATGCGAAACCAAGCGATTCACAGCGGCCCATTCCGTGGCACCAGAAGCATGGCCCGGGATAATTATGACTAGTGGTTGGCTTGGTTGTCTGATAGGGCCGGATATGTTGAGGTGAAGAGCATGACCTGGAGCGAGGGTGATGAGGCCAGATTTAGAATTTTCTTGTTCCCAAGGATTCGACATCTGAATTTGGAATTTAATGGATTTTGTTGGAATGAATGTATAGAAATAGCCTAAAGGTATAGAATGTCGACTTGGGTCTGTAATTAAATGAAAACGTAAATACGCGTAATTGGCCGTAAGAACAAACCAAATTTACAGGGAGATGACCATTACAACTTCTAATAATGGGAATGATGATAAATTCGATGATATTGATAACATTGACGATGATGTTGATGGAAAATTGCAAGTGTTGATGGAAGACTGGTGCCAATCCAGCCCTAATTAGTGTTGATGTTGGTATGGAAAGCATAAATACTGTAAAGATATTACGCCGGATCATAGTGGGGCGGGCTTGGCATCGCGTGTGATCATTGTTTGTCCCGCTCACCAACCTTGGCTAGGAATATAATGTATCGGTTTTGCTGCTATCGAACAAAGTGATGGCGAGGTAACTTGTCGAAAATGAACGATGCAGCCACCTCCCTGCTCACTGAGCACTTTAGCTACACTCCTCTGGTAAGTCAATTGTCGCCTTAGCGCTATCACCTGGAGCAAATCCTCCGACACCCCTCCCGCGATAGAAAGCAACTATTAACGTGATGCGCCGCGCTTCCTAGTCATTGATCGACGATATTATCAACTCGATCAATAATCTCATCTATCAAGCCATCTCGAGTCTTGAAACCGGCCTCCTGAACACCCCTCCTGAACGCCTTGGTTTCAGCCATGCCAACAACACATCCACGATACCCGATACCGATGCCGATGGAAACATTGAATATCCGGAAGCGAGACTAGAGATTGAGAACGGACTTCACCAGCTTGAGACGTTGTTTGAATCTTCGGTCGACAAGTCTTTTGATAAATTTGAGATATACGTTTTACGAAACATCCTTACCGTGCCTGACGATCTCGTCAAGTATATGAAATTGGGCCATTATGAAGTATGTCACAATTGTAAAGTGACTGGAAAATCCATACTAACCTGTCTTATTTTCGATTAGAGTCTTTCCTTCAACCCGAATGCCGAAGCCCCTACGCCGGAGTCAATCAATCTTCAACGGAAGAAACTGCAAGAAACTCGAAAACTTCAGCAAGCGCTTCGTCGTGAAAGCGCTCGGAATGATGCCGTCATTGCACAATTACGCGCCGTTCTTTCTGCTACCCAAGATGCAAATGCCACTTCGAGCCTAGGCCTTCCAAATCTGGCCTTTTTGACCTCTGGTCCTGCCGCAAAAATGCTTAGGGTCGGTCAAAACCAGTCATTAACTACGAATACTGATTTTGTTTTGTCGCAACTGCCGTCTTTGCACGCCATGACGGAGAAACTTCGAGAGCAATTAAAAACCTTGCCAAATTCTGTCCCTGAAGACCATACTAAACGGGACGAGAGAAGAGAATATATTGATAGTAGAATCAGAATTCACTTGGAACGTTCTGGTCAACCCGCTTTTGGTGATGGAAATACCGTTATTCCTGGTAGGAAGATAGCCAGTGCCGAGGCGCGAGCGCTTGAGGCGGCCGGGAGCATACTTAATGAAAAACAATGAGCGATATTATTTCACCTCTTTGGAGTACGGTTTGGTTTTATCGGGATGGGCTGGCTCTGGTTGGCGTGGTCCTGGATTAATTCATTTGGGTTGGAATGAGTTCAGGAGTATAAGTTTTCTGCTAGGAAGGAGATACTGTTTCATGGCGTTTTTTGCTGTCAAAGACTGGTCGGTTTTCTTCGAAGATGGTCTGCATGCTACAGCAGCTTGTATATCTCGCATAATATGCGACATGGAGCGCCACAATGTCCAATTTCGACCATCAATTTCCCCTCAGTAAAACATAGAATGCTCACACACGTGACGGCCCAGTACTTGGAATATTGAAAAGAAAACTAATGAGAATCCTGAATATACTCACCATTTAGTAACAAGTTGATGAACGGCCAAGGTCGGGTTAAAAATAGCACTCGATGTATACAAAAGCCGGGCCAATCGCGGTTCCGTAACTGGCACTCTGTAAGCGCCGAGCTGCACCTCTTTTCACACCGCGTGCAGAATCCACTAAGGCAGAACCCAATCATGAGGCAATCTTCCAAATGGGCGCTTCCAAGGCTGCCCTATCATATTGTTGAAAGCTATATTCTTCGCAAAATGAACTGTTCCCGCTAATTACGCAGTGCATCTTGAGACACCCAAAAGCCGTCTGGCTTGCTCTGGATAATCATTTTAACCAACCAGTGTTGCGCATGATCTCAACCTTAATTATGAGGTATCTAAACATATCGCTGGGAGGGTGGTATTCTCTTGGCTCCACAACATCTGATTCGATGCCACCAAACTGCCTAATTCTGAGTACGGCTTCACCCACGGAGGCACAGATATCCACGGGCGCTTAGACCACAGAACAATCACATTAAAACTATAAACCAAGATCTCAGTTTTATAACAAGGGCGCATCTCCTTCCATCACATTGTTATGCATTGTTTCTGTTTTTGTTATTTTACTCTTAACTTGGTTTAAGCTCCTCAAGATTGCTCTGGTTAGCATCTTGTTTACGTTCTTTTCTCATTCACGAAGACATCTGCAATACTTCGGTTTAGCCCGATCTCTTAGCCATCATTGATATTTTTATTTTCTGTTTGTTTTTAACATAATTCAACGCAATGGCGTCTGTATCAACTTCTTCCCTAACCATATATCCGCCATCCCATGCTTCAGATGAACAGGAGTCGGTTTATCTTTCCAAAACCCGAACCCTTCACTGGGTTCGTCTCGGTATTGCTGCCACTATCCTTATTGCTGCCGCTGCGGTCATTGGTTGCGAAAGTGCTCCTCTACACCGCTATCATGAAACCGCAAAGTACTCGACCGTGTGGCTACCTCTTTGGCCATTGAATCTAGATATCCGTCAGACCAATGCCCTTGTAGCATGTGGTGCTATTATCGCCTTTCAAGCAATTATATACATTGTTGCTTCAGTTTTGCCTTCGGTATGCCAAGTCTCACATCTACAACAAAGATGCATCATTGATATACTGATTGAAAACCTCACAGCCTCGTCCTCGCGCACGTCTTCTCAATTTCCTTGCCGCTGCTATCGCCATAACTGGATTGATCACCGCTACGATCGGCGTGGCCTTCTCCATCTACCTCCCATCCTCCAACCCCCGGACGGATTCACTACGAGCGAAACAATACATAGCTGGACCTGCAAGTGGCAATCTCTTGGCAGCGTGAACGGGACTACCTCAAGTGGTCAATCCTTAACCGCACCGACAGACTTTTCGCGCATGTGTGTGGAGAGTCGTGCAGGTTTTGTCCTTCTCGGCTTACTTATTGGTCTAGAGATTATCATGGGCTTCGCTGCTGTCGCAGGGTACTGGCTTGAGCGTGCAGTCGTAAGGCAGCGCAAGATGTACAACCTTGAGGCTAATCAGTTTGTCATGGAGCCTAAGCAGTGAGATACGGGGCATCACATGTTTGACGTTTTATCGTTAAAGTACCTGTTGTCGGACGGCTGAGTGAATTGATGTGAATAGGCGACAAACAATGGAGCGAAAGGGCGATCTATGTGGGATATGTTTCGTATGATACGCCTGTATTTGAATGATATAATGATAGGATGCTCTATTGGGAATGCATGTATAATGGTTTTTAAGGTTATAACGAGGTTTTTGGTATTATTTGCGCTTCAGCAATGTTTCCACTCACATTCAAAACCCCCCTGTTGGTTTTGACCTGTAGCTCAGCTGAATCTGTGCCCTGTATTTGGTCATTCAAAATCCTGATGGTGACAAATGAATATCTAGAAATTTGGAAATGACAAAGGCTTTGAACAGAAGGTAGCACCGATTTATTTGGTATGAAGGGTATTCTCTTCTTAGTGAGTAAAAGCACATCTATTTGATAGGCTGCTGCGTCTTCCATGCTCATGATTTGTCACACCATTTATTCCTGTCCAATGGGGTTCGTCGTGTCGACACCTAACACATGTTAACTTGCTGCTTCCTTGACCACTAGCCAAGCAGCTGTGGAGGCTATAGGCAACAATGAGTGAATTATTTGGTAGATTGGTAGCCTCTATCTCCAAGACCATTCGAAATAATAAGGTGTTTAACAAGGAGTCACTATTGGCTACGAGATACTGGAAGATGCATCGAAATATACGAAATGGGCAAGAGGAGTCTGTTTATCATGGGCCAGTCCCTGAAAATGCTGAACGTGCATTGATATTCTGCTCTAGCGTTAAGTTATCAGGCTTTCAATCTCCAGGCTGTGAATGCCTTTGACTGATAGATATTAGTTGATTAGTTGTTAACACGCTTATCTAGGGATTGTTAGACTATTTTACTTTTAGCTTTGAAAGAAAGAAGTAGCAGTATTATAATCAAAAAGCTCTCACTATAGTGAAACTATTTAGGCTATAGATAGATATTCTTTATATATCTTTAGCTATATATATGAGTCCTAGGTCCCTCTCAAGTACAATAGAACAAGCTTCTACATATAACCAGAATGTACACAGACCTTAGATTATCACAGTAATATCCTTGACATCGATTTTCATCTATTCAAACGCCTGGTAAGAGGTTCAGTGCTCAACAGAGTCAACTAGATTTGACTGAACGGTTTGTAGGGTAAGAAGCTCAACCCATGACATAGGGTTAATGATATCACATGTAACCTGGCCGTACCCAATGTGGTAACCAGGACGGTTGCAGGCCTTTCTTGAATGGGAAATGCTAAGCCAGTAGAGTCGTTGCCAAATAGGTCACTATCTCCCAATTGACATAATTGAAACTTGTATCGGTCAAATTTATTCATTTAGTTGATAGTTGGATGGTCTGTATGAGGTGCGTCGGAGCCTAGACTTGACAGATAGATCTTAACATCACGTCCTACATCCTCGTATCCATGTGGCCATAGAGTGCTTCTGTATGACGTTGAAACTACCTGTATGTATAATACGTATTCCAATAACAGTTGAGTCTATCACAATATAAGCATTCCTATTAAATCTAATTTGGTCAAAAATCCATAAGCCGTGAAGCTAATGACTAGCCTCGTCTTTCTTTCCCTTTTTTCCGACCCATAATGGCTTGCTTCCAAAATCTGTATGTAAAGCCGCTCCAAAAACTCCAATTGATCCAGTCGTCATGAGTATGGGGCCCCATAGGGCTGGAACGAACCGCCCTTGCATCAGGTTTCTTCTCGATGATAGATACCGAAAGATTCCATAACCAAACGACCAGAAGCTGATTGCCTGGCAGATGTTACTAGCAAGACCATCTGCCCCAGCCAGGCGAGGTTTTGACTCGTTATTTTTGGCGATGTTCTGCGACTCTGGAGACATGCTTGGGTCGTCCAAAATTACGTTTAATTTGAGGTTGCCATGGGTGCTGAGGAAGTGGTCAATAATGTGCAAGCGACCAAAGGCAAGGCCCATAGCGGCGAAAGCTAGTCCCATGCGGGTCCATGACAAAAAGGTTCGTTCATTGGCCTGATGGTCACGCAGCTGTGATCCAGTATTGGCGACTGACTTGGGCAACAGGAAGTGGCGGATCCGTGACATTATCCTATCCAAGCGTTCGAATGAGAAATTAATGAATAGAAAAATACTTAAAAACTTCCAAAAACTTAACAAACCGGCCAGCTTTGTGGGCAGCTTTGCTAGAATCCTTAAATGAAATTGGTTGGGATGACTGGAATGAAAAGTCGAAGTTGATGTTAAATATTGGGTTTGATCGCCGCGTACTAGCTCCAGCCTATTTTTAATCAGCGATCATTTTGTATGGATCTTCCGCAACGAAAGCATGTCATCAACAAAAAGTTAACGAACAGAATTAGAAAATGATACATTCTACATACTCATCTCCATATATTCACTACTTTGAAGGTCTCTCTCAATCATGGTTATATTTCCGCTCCATTTACACCTCGATTCTATGCCACACCCTCTCCTTCCGAAACCACCGAGAGAACATGTCACATCTCCTCGACTTCGGTCGATAGATAATACCCTTTGACTCGGGTGCTCTGGTATAACCACTTCTATTATCATATGAACACATTAATAGGCCTTGGATTCGTCTTTTTCGACCCGTAATGATTCGATTCCGACCGGCCGATTCTCTGGTCACACAGCCGCTGCGATTCTGACTCACATAGTCGAAGTACTTTGCTGGATATGTCCATAGCACTGGCGATGGCTGTCCACGAAGAGGAGGATTCGAGCCTTTTAGAGGTTCTAATTCTTCTCGCTCCGTTGCAAAATCGTTTTCTGTATCGTGATATGTGTGTAGCCACGAGCCGGCTCGATGGTTATGTGAGGGGACTGGGGCTCGTGCGATAATCTCCTCAACGACTATATAAGGAAATGAAAAGGCATCAGATTCGACGTCGTTCTCGGTGCTTTTTTCGTCGAGTATCTCATCGTACTAGACAGAAAGTAAGTTGACTACTTTGATAAACAGATAGACGTCGAAATTGAAATATTCGGAGTATTTGGTCCAGCTTACGTGATTCTTTGGTTTCTGGTTGCTTAAAGCAGAACCCATCATATACTAGGTATCACAGAAAAATGAGATGTGAGGAGGATTGTAAAATAAAGATGTTTTATTATTTCGAAAGAGAACTTTTCTTTCTTGATGCTTCAAATGTTGGAAAAATAAGAATAGTGTTGATTGTCACCGAAGCGCTCTTATTTATCCATTTTCCCAGGCTGCTTCCCACCCTTCATGCCTGCGCCATAACAATCCGATGAAACATAAATTATTGCATATGGAGGTAAATTTAGATTGAAATTCTGTTTTCCGCCCAGTCCATAGACACGAGGAACGAGAGCGAATGGATCTGTCTGTCATACGATAACTCCGGTTTCGATAGCCGCCGCCAGGGGTTCACACAGGCTACTCCGAAACAAAATATGTCGCAGCCATACAAATTACTGGTGAAGACTTTACAAACTCCGGGTAGCGCCAAATTTCGTGCCAAATAAGCATCGTCGAACTTTAAATGTAGCACATGAGAATCTCCCATGGGCTAATAGTGAGTCACATATCTGGCACATAGTTTAAACTTGTCAGTATTTTTCATTACGTCTTCAACATTATGCTCTCTTCTACCTGAATGTAATATCCATAAATTACGTGAGTACGTGAATTGATCAACTGCACAATAATATAACTACATAATGTCATAACACAGATCCGCCCATCGCAAGATGGGCCTACAACTTACCATAGACGAGACCGACCCTACCTTGAAAGAAATAGCAGGACGCTACTCCGACTAGAAGGCATTCGGAGTGCTTCGGCGCTATCTTGAACCAGAAGGAGACCTTTCCATTGAGCAGACCGCGCCCTTCTCCACGAAATGCTTCCCACCAAAATTGAGAATCATTTAGCTGGGGAACCGTCGATGCTTAGTTCTGTGATCCTGGAGATTGGCCGGCGGATTCCCCACGCCCATGAGGCACAGATCAAGTTGGGGAAGCTAGTGAAATTAGATAAATCGACCCTTGTTGTGCATGCATATGATGAAGTACGGTCTTTGAGTGGATATTTTGGGTAACACGACCTGAGCTTACCTTTGCATTGGTCTTTAGGAATATTCCTTTTATGCCAGTATGACTGATTTCAAAATGAGTTGCGAGAATCATATCCTCCCTGTATGTTACATCTCTCGGTCATTGCTCTATCCTCAACTATTCGCTCGCAGTCATGCTATTCATAAATCTATCACACACGGGTTGTTATAAAGTAGAAGGCCACGGCGTTAACTTATGTGCATTGTTTTCTTGCTTATCAGCATATGGGGCAGTTGATGGATATCCTTCGCAATATGGGATATGAGAGAAATTTTTGAGAGTGATATTGACGCTGATTGCCATAATGAATTCATTAACGGTGCGACTATGTGGATACTGTGTGCTGGTCAATGGTTTTCTACTGAGATAATCCACGTTCCTCATCCTCCGTCCTCCAATAGAGATTGCAGAAGGCGAGCAAATCTGAAAAAAATGGCCCACTATACACAGGCCCTATTATTGGACTAGAACGATGGAAGTCCTGGCAAAAAGGGTTTGCTGTAGCGGCAGAGAGTGAACGTTCAAATGAGGAGTGTAAAACACTTACGCTCAAAGCCGCAAGGCTCATGGGTGCTTTTGCCCAAGATATCATCTGGTAATGGCCATTGATTTACCATTTTCTTTTACTTTTAGCCGTTCGTTTTGGCTGTATTATCTATATCTTGATATATCAATTACATGCGTATACTGCTTGAGCATTTATGTGACATCAAGTGTGATAACCAATCTATCTCGCGAAAACTCGACGCTAAAGATAAATCTATGAGGCGAGGCTTTCGACAATAGACAACTCTAACCCTAAACTCCCACCTTAACCCTAACCCTACGGTTTGTTGGAACACGCCTCATATGTGTTTGATTAGTAAAGATCCTGGTATATTTGAGACTTATTATACTATAGCCTTTAATTATTATTCAACAATACACGAAAACGATACGCTTCACTGGAACATGGCTGAAATCATGGATGCCTGGCAACCACGTGACCCGGACATAGCCCGGAGGACCCGAGCGGTGGCTGCGATTATTACGCGGGAGATAACGTTTGTCAATCGATAACGATCGACATTCGCATTGCTCCTGCCTCCCCATCCTCATTTGAGAGATAGACAAGGCAGAAAGGTGACTTATTCACTACTCTCACTATCTAGACTGGCTGGTATCACAATTGAGGAGGATTCACAACCATGAGCGGCTTCCGTGGGATGATGAAAGATGGATGGCATCCCAAAGGGAAAGAAGGCGGCAAGGAAAGCTGGCGGGGCGATTTCAAGGGAATAAACCAGGTGGTGAGGAACACATCATACATTCATAGAATGGTCTATCGCTGATATATTTGAATGGATAGGCTGGATGGGTAGGCAAAGGCAAAGACCAAAACGCAGACCAAGCCGAGCATGTTTCGCGACCTCTTTCATCGCTTCAAGATCCAGCTTCGTTTGGACCACCTCCCAGGCGCAATACGGCGGGCACTACCACTGTATCCTCTAAACAGACAGCAGCACCGACATCATCGCCAACACCATCACGAGAACGGCGAGGCCAGGTTGCTCCGTTGACGACGAACCAGGTCCAACAGTATCACGCCCCGCCTGAAGAAGAGAGACCGTCGCCGCCGCCTCTGCCATATCGAGTTGATCGAACGGGACTTTCTACAGATCACCTTCCTCCACCCCCTGGTCGAAATACAGATATCTCAGCACAGCCAGCTACCGCTCCGAGTTCTAGGCTAGGGCTTCCTCCCCGCTTGCCAGCGCGAGACCCCGCGTCGGCTCCTCCTCCGCCGTACTCGGAAACTGACAGCACAGTGCAGATAAACCAGGGCGCAGTCTCACGTTTGGGACAAGCCGGCGTATCCGTACCGGCTCTGGGGATCGGTCGGAGTGGAAGTGAGCAGTCGAATACGGCACAGACAAACCTCAACAATCAAGTCAATGAGCTTCAAACCCGGTTTGGGAATATGACAACAAATAAATCACATGGCCCGCAAAATTCGCCAAGCCAACAGAGTCCAAACGGTGTGCCTACAGATGGGACTACGCTTGCCGAAAAGCAAGATGCGCTGCGTACCGCGCGGAACGTACACAGTGACCCATCATCTGTATCAGCTGCTGACGTCCGCAGCTCAGCGTCGACAGCAAACAACTTCCGACAGCGCCATAACGATCAATTCGAAGCTGGCAAGGAGAAATTGAGTGCTTTCAACCAGAAACACCGGATCACAGAGCGTATACAAGCTTATTTTGAAAAACCACCGGCAGAAAACGGACAACAAACCGATCCGCCGCCTCCACCTCCACCTCACCCTAGTCTCAGTCGTCAGAGTTCGAATATCGATGTGGAGGCACTCAATAAGAGAAAACCCCCACCGCCGCCTCCGCCAGCGAAGAAGCCTGGATTGCAGTCGAATCCGGTGGGAAGCTCGTCTCCATCGCCTCCGCCATTGCCATTAGGCACTAAACCTCGATGAGACAACGTACTACTACATGTTACGGGGAAATTTCAGTCAATAATGGTGTAGTCTGTATTCTGTATTCACTACTTCTATTAGGCCTACTACATATCGGCTTTGTCTGGCAGGTTTCTATTAGCGCAATCCATATTCAGTCTGCATTACTTGGTACTCTCGTTCCACCTGTTCAATCCTTCCAGTTGAATTGATCGACAGCCGAGTGAAGGTCAGATCACGGTCTCAACCCGAGGATAGCCTGGCACATGCGCGAATGTTATTATCGTGTTCTTCCTGTCCGAAGGAATTCGCCATTGAGAGCCGGAGACGGCGTCTGATTGGCTCAACGAAAGACTGCCGTTTTGTTGGGGACGATTTTTGCCGCACAGGGCGCGCGCGCCGATTGGCCCGAGCCTCTGCGGGTGGAAGGGATAGTATCATATATCTCCCCCATGAGCATGAGATTGTCCATCACGGATGTCCTGTGAGTAGATATTATTGCTTGTGATTAGAGAGATATATATCTGTTTTTGTATTACACTACTTGCACATGTAAAGTACCTTGCGCTTTACTTACAATGCGGGAAATCCAGCATTCTGATTGGCTGCATGCGCTATACTTCGAAGCGGAAACGGATCGCGTGAGGCCATACATCGAGGTCCGCGGTCGTGAATACAACATATATTTATATTTTTCAGCTCGGTGTCCTAGCAAATAGTTATTTATTGCGTAAAAATGATAGTATTCTTATCCAACACTGTATAAAGAACAAACCACCAGGGCCAAAGCAGTCGCCCATCAGCCGAGGCCGCCTTTTCCCAACAAATGCAGGCCCGGCTCCACCCTGGCCGCTTCCGCCTATCCCGCCACAGCATTTGCGAGGTTGCGAGAGTCATAGAAGTCCTGGCATGGAGATAACGCATAGGCGCTTTTTCTTCTTTTTCTTTCTCGTCTATTTCTTGTTTAAAAATTGACACCACCTTCTCGCCCTCCTCCAGACTTTCTCAACTCGATTTCACCAGCTCTACCTGTGCAGTTCTGAAGCTAGGTAGCTCCATCGCTCGTATCTAGCACCTTCGCCTACAGCTTGCGCGTCGCTTCTCCCTCAAAAGGGAGACATTCACCAGCTTGGTGGGAGATCACACAGATTTCAGCAACATGCTCGACGCATTTCGATCCAGCCCGGCCGTGGGCTTCAGACTTCCCCCGGCCGCTTTCTTCAAGCTGCCTAGCCAGCAGCCTATGAGCCTTACGCCGCCCTTGAATGAGCCCTCGCTCGCCCAGCCATTCCAGATTCCTCCCTCCCTCTACGCACAGCTCCTCGACTACAGAGTCCCCATCACAATAGCTGCTGTGTACGCTACCACCGTCGTCATCCTCAACCGTGTCAACAAAGCTCGCGCATACAGGCCCTGGGCCATCAGCAAGACCAGCTGGTTCAAGGTGCTGGTCATCCTGCACAATGTCTTCCTCGCCGTCTACTCCGCATGGACCTGTATTGGCATGTGGACGGCCCTGCGCAACTCAATTCCTCGATTCAACAACGAATACGGCGCTGTCGGTGTCGTAGATGGTTTCTGCAGACTCGCTGGTCCTCGTGGACTCGGAAATGGCGCCAACTACAACGCCACAAGCGACCAATGGAGTATACCAAACCCCGAATACCAATTGGCCGCCAATGGACTCCCAGACCCAACTGACGTTGGCCGTTTGTGGAACCAGGGCCTCGCCTACTACGGATGGATCTTCTACTTGTCGAAATTCTACGAAGTCATCGACACGGCAATTATCTTGGCAAAGGGCAAGAAGAGCTCGACATTGCAAACATACCACCACGCTGGCGCTATGATGTGCATGTGGGCTGGTATTCGGTACATGGGACAGCCAATTTGGATTTTCGTCCTGGTCAACTCATTCATCCACGCAATGATGTACAGTTACTACACCGTCACAGCTCTGCATATTCGAGTCCCCAACGCCATCAAGCGTTCGCTCACCACAATGCAGATCATGCAGTTCATCTTTGGCACTTTCTCGGCCAGCTCATACATGTTCATCCAGTACTCAGTCCCTATCCCAGTGACTCGCGTGCTATCTTGGGACCAACTTTCTAAGGCTCTCCCTGCTGCTGCCTCTGCCGCCGAGTCCGGTATTGCCGCTGCAACGGCCTCTGCTGGCGTCATTCCCATGTTGAAGAAGCTCGCCATCCGCGCTGCCGGGGCCGAGGGCATTGCCGAGAATGTGCTCAACGGACAGGGCCAGCATTTTGGCTCTGATGCCCAGCATGCCGCTCGCTACTCTCAGCTCCAGCAAGAAGCCATCAATTCTCTCCGCTATGAATCCATTGACTGCGTCGACAATAGCGGTCAGGCGTTCGCCATCTGGCTGAATGTGATGTACCTGCTGCCACTGACTTACCTCTTCGCGCGCTTCTTTGTTAGGTCGTACCTGCGCCGTATCGAGCCTGCTGAAAGACAGAAACCCTCAACCCAGATCCACCAAGTCGAGCAAGCCGGCCTGGATGCACTCAAGGGCGTCAGCAGGGAGATCCGCAGGGCTGCGTTGGTACAGAACGGCGACGGAGACACATCCGCGACAGATGAGGATATTGTGCAGGAGCGAGTGCGACCCCTCACTGCCATTACAGAGAAGAAGGTCTCAACCAAGGAAACCAAGCCCAACTACCAGAATACCAATAATTTCGAGACAGTCCCCGCCAAACGCCGCGCAAAGCGTGGTGAGGCTGAGAAGAACGCTGCTCCGGTTCAAGCGTCTAATACGTTTAGCGTGTTGAAAGATAATGCGTAAAAAAAACTAAATAAAATAAATAAGAAAGAGACGCAAGTGTTTTGGTTGCTTTTCGTTTTCTCGGTGATACATAAAGCACAGACAAACGATGCGATACAGACGATACAGGTTGATCTGAATTACGATGATGTTTTGGGAGAGGCTTCATACATGCATACATGGAGTTTGTTAGGTCTTCAAATATTATACATTGAACAATAAAATTTATCATTGATGTCAACAATTAATACTACACTTGACACCACCCGTAATAATCCCTGCATTCTTCGATTAAAGCCGTATTGATAACTGGCTCAATACCTACATCATCTATGAGATTCACTCTGACACTTGTCTCTAGCCATCTTTGATGATTTTATTCAGTTTCATGTAGGGGTTGGACGCGATGACGTCACTGCCTTTTACCCCAACACGTTAACACTTACTCGGGTGACCGTAACTATGCAAATGTCGAGCGGTTGGTGAGCGAATATAATATATAGCCACAGCCCTACTTTGGGCCATGTTACATAATTAATATATAATCTTAATCATTTCCTTTTTTATTTATAAAAAATATTGAATATTCTATTAATAAACTTAGAATTTAATATATTATTCCTAATAAGTAGTCGCGTCCGGATCCCAATCTATTGGCTGTGAATTAGCAATATTAAGTGTATGTCTCAACGTGAGATTTGCCTTGCGATATCGTTGAGACTGAACGAATCCCACAGCCGCAAAGCTACAGACAGCTGAAGCTAACGGCAACGTCGCCACGCCAACAATACTCCAGAGAACGCGCTCGGCGCGTCCTACAGAACAAAATATCGTTCGCTTTTGGCCCCAATTCTATATCCCTGTCCTTGTTCTGATTTATACCGGGCTTTTGCTCGGCCAACAACTTAGCAGTATACCAGTACTTACCAGTAATATAATTTGACTGTCATTGTTATAATATAGTAAATATGATACTGCTGCTGAGTGGGCGGCGGTGCTCGGAGCTCCTCCGATGTGACGAAAAGGGCATCTCCAAGTCCTGCCCTTTGCGTGCGTCCCACCCTCCACTGCCTGCCGGCATTAGCCGCTTACAGTATAGCTATCGGTCAGTCTACTCAGGCTAGATATTCAATCATAATTTATCGTCTACAAAGATGTAGAAATATAGAGAATAAATAATTGTATCCTGCCAATTCCCTGGCTACAAAAGGTGGTCTATCCTCAATAGATACATCAAGCCCGACATTTAGCCACTTGCGTCAGGGGCAGCGCACCCAGAAGCTTTCCAATAAGATTAAAAATTAGGTTACGGTTTGGCTGTGAAGTGTATTCTGATTGCTGCCTGAGGCTCTCACCCCCCCAGGCCCTCTCCGCTTCCCCACGCCGCCCCACTCCTGAGGTCCCTTGCTCCAGCCCATTCGTCTGATCATCCCCAGACCGACTTCTGCATCTGGTCTCAGGCCTCCGCGACACCCCACGCGGGATGGCTTCTCGGTAATTGCTTCTATGGTTCTTGGTGCCGAGTAGCAAGAGTTGATTAATTCTGCGGGGCCGTGCAACCAGCGTGGGGGTCCATAACTTGATGTCAAATATAAGATATGCGATACAACCCCGCCTGTCTCGTTCCCATAGAGAAGTTCTATTCTTTACATTCAAGCCCGACACTCTAGGACTGATTATCCTGAGTAAACAAACCACCATGGCCACCCCAAGCCAAATCGACAGCCATGCTCCCCCGAACCTAACCACCTCCAAACCCGACTCAACACATGTCGACGATCTAGATGTCGAAATCGAGGTCGTCGCGAACTCGAACCGACCAAACCCGCAAAAAGAAGCGCCGGTCTCGGTCGCCAGACTATCTCCCGCAGAGCGCGAGGCCGCTGAACGGGCGCTGGTTCGCAAAATCGACTTGCGGTTGTTGCCGACGATTGTGATTATGTATATTCTGAATTACCTGGATCGTGAGTACAAGCTATCTATGTAACAAAGAGAAATGCTTATTTGGCAGGAAATAACATTGCGGCGGCGCGATTGGCCGGGTTGGAGGATGATTTGCATTTAGTTGGAGCTCAGTATCAGGTGAGCCCACGCCGCACCTCACAATATGCAGAATGAAGCGCTGACAATTGTTCAGACCAGCGTTAGCATTCTCTTTGTCGGTTATCTGTTAATGCAGAGTAAGCCCCCATATACGCAGTGAGAAGCTTTTCCACTAATGTCTACAGTCCCATCCAATCTATTCCTCAACAAGATGGGAAAACCAGCCATCTACCTGCCCGCCGCAATGACCATATGGGGCATCATCTCAACTGCTACTGCCGGGGTGCAAACCTACGGCGGACTCGTGGCTGTCCGATTCTTCCTTGGTTTTGTCGAGGCTGCCTATTTCGTACGTCCTCCACATATTAAGTAAATTGACTGATCTGACAATGTCTAGCCTGGTTGTCTGTACTTTCTCTCCGCATGGTACACCCGCAAGGAACTTGGTCTGCGCACTGCCATGCTGTACTCTGGTTCCCTGATCTCCGGTGCCTTCTCAGGCTTGATCGCGGCCGGAATCACGGGCAACATGGACCACACACGCGGTCTTCGCGCATGGTACGATATCCCCCCTCCCCCCCAACGCCACAATCACACCCGCTTCTAACACTCTCCAGGAGATGGCTGTTCATCATCGAAGGCGCAATCACCATTGTCGTCGCGATGTTGTCCGCGCTCATCCTCCCCAACTTCCCTCGTACCACCAGCTGGCTGTCTGAAGACGAAAAGGAGCTCGCCGCGTGGCGGCTTGAGGAGGATATCGGCGAGGACGACTGGGTGGACAGCGAGCACCAGACATTCCTCCACGGCGCGAAGATGGCCTTGGTCGATATCAAGACCTGGATTCTGGTACACCCTCACCTTCCCTTCCAACTATCACACACACTAATCTCATATCAAACCAGATGATAATGATCTTCTGCATCGTCTCCTCCGGCTCAGTGACCAACTTCTTCCCGACAGTCGTGCAAACGCTGCAATACGGCAAAATCGAAACCCTCCTGCTCACTGCACCACCGTATGTTCTCGCCGTGTTCACCGCGTTCGCCAACGCCTGGCACGCCGACCGCACTGGCGAACGGTACTTCCACATCACGCTCCCTCTCTACATCTCGGTCATCGCCTTCGTAATCGCGGCGACGACGACCTCCACTGGCCCACGGTATCTGAGTATGATGCTGATGGTTCCGGGAATATACACGGGGTACGTGGTGGCGCTGGGCTGGATATCGAATATCCTTCCGCGTCCGCCAGCGAAACGAGCAGCGGCGTTGGCGTTTATTAATGCCGTGAGTAACGCGAGTAGTATATATGCGAGTTATATGTATCCGAGTTCGGCGGGGCCGAGATATGGTGTGTTGCCCCTTTTCTCGTCTTTTTCTTTTGTTTTTATTTTGATGGTTGGCTAATGAATGCAGTTGTTGCCATGTCGGTTAATTGTGTGACATCGTTTATTGCGATTGTCTCAGCTACCGTCCTACGCTTTATCCTAGTGCGGTTGAATAAGAAGCTGGACCGTGGGGAGTCTGTGCAGGGGGCTGTGGTGGGTGTGCCGGGGCAGGCAGGGGCGAGAGGATTCAGGTTTTTGGTTTGATCTATCTATCATTCTACACACCAATTGGTGTACCTTGAGATTTAGAGGATATAGGATGTTAGTCAAGGCAATGTATTACGCATGTCATGCATGTATCTGCAATGCTATAGCTATATGCGCACCAATCACTAAGCTCCAACCAAATAGAATAAAGTAATAACTCCTGCACAATCCAAACCACTCATGAAGATGAAAGATGATACACGAAAGAACAAGTACAGAGACGCTCACTCAAAGATGGACATTTGATGACACAAATATAGAATTCATGCTGACAATTAAAGACAAAAGAGTATATCATATACCATCGCATATGAGAAGTCTCGAAGGTTGAAAGTAGAATCGAAAGGAAAGGGTGGTCCAGAATGATATCAAAGTGGAAATTTACAATCGGTCTATCTGATCCGAATACAAAAACTGTTGGAGCATTTTCTCAACAAGCTATCCCGGGTCGTAACAAGGAATGATGCAAATGCGAAAAAGTAGTCTGCTGAACGCCAATCGAAATGCCGTTAAAGGAAATGCGTGTAGACTTTTGATGTCTCATGGACTTCCATTTCCTACGCCAGTTAGTACCTTGCATAGAGCTGTGATGCAGGCTGCTCACCATTTTGAAGGTATTCAGCTCCTCCTTGATCTGCTGAGCCAAGAGAGGAGTCAACCTGTTGCACGTCGCCGGTTCTCCCCGGCGGTCGTACTCGCCGCTAGGCCATGTCTCGTGGAATTGAATCCGTGGGCTGAACACGATGCCTCTGCTGGTCACCGGTTGGGGTGATCCAGGCGCACTTCTCGAATCAGACCCAAGCTTGCCCGGCTGCAGGAAGTAGTCTTCTCCTTCAATTTTGACTGTGTCCGTTCGTCGGTGTCCAATCCGATGCGAGCGGTCATCTGGGGTGCTAGGTGCGCTTGAGTTAGGTGAATTAGCGACATATGGCTGGGTTGTCTCTATCGGTTTGATGACAGGAGAAGAGCTCCCAGAGCCTAATAAATTAGTGCAAGGAAATTTAAAATATGGTTACTAAACTTACGCTTGAGGATACCTTTCTTCACAGCCGCCAAAACTTCGGCACGCTCTCGTTCTCCGCCAACAATACTCTTACGAGAGTTGTTGATATCGTGGGCAACTCGTTCCGTAACCACAGAGACATCGGTCGTCTTTTCTTTGGTGGGTTGAATCTTTGGGAAAACAGTACCACCCCCAGTCTGATCACTAGGGTCAGGGTTGGCAGTAACGGTCTTTCGTTCAGCTTCTATATTGACGACTGACAGCTGTGGCGCTGTAGGCTCGACCACAACCGAATCAGTCTGCATATTGGATATAGACTTTGGGCGGAACAGTCCAACGAGCGACCGGCCAGACTTCTTCATACCCCTGCCCATTTTGCGCAGCATGATCGATGCAGAAGAAGCAGTTGAAGAGATGGAAAGGTTATCCGTGGATCCCAACTGATGACTATAAATGCTATTGCCTAGACCATTTGCTTCTTGCTGTGCAGCAATCGCAGCTTGTTCTGGATCCAATTCATCACCGCCTGTCTCTGTATCTCCATCTCGCCTACCCATTGAGTTTTGAGCAGAAACCTTGCGAAGTTCTGCTGCACTACCAAACGAAAAAGCCCTCCGCAGACGGGATTTTCCTGGCTTTTTACCGCTCATTTTGCTAATGTCGGCAAGACGCTGTGCTGCAGGACTGTGGATTGGCTCTGGGGATGTCTTGGATGCCGGGGAGGCCGGGTCGGCAGTCATTTGATTCGATAACGGCGACGGGCTGTGAGAGGTGTTTACTGTAGGTTTGTTCTCGGTGCCAGTAGACACGGAACCTTTCTCCGAATGAATGCTTTCTGATGAGGTGTTCTTTTGCGAGTAGGAAGACACAGGCCGATCTGGCTCGGTGTCGAACTTCAACTCAGGCAGAGGAGCAAAGAGAGTCGAGCTAAGTGGTTCCTCCTGCGAGTATGCTCCAGCAGCATCCATGTTAGCCCAGCTCCTGCGTCGATATCTCTTCGCCAACTCTGGGTTTGCCGGCTTTTCCACGCGGGTGTCATCCGCGCTCGGCACTCGTACGTGGCCAGCCAACGCTGGCCGTGATGTTTGAGGAATCGGGGTGGTGGTAGATGGGTCATACGACGAAGACCGGGTAGGAATAGGTGCGGCCATGTTGACATTGTCCTGGGAACGCTTGCCTCGGCGGTAGCGGTCGGGTGACGGCTTAGCCCCTGTGGATGGGGAAGACAGGTTCAGGAAAGGGGATTGTGTCGGCAAGTTCACGGTCGACAAAGGACGAGGGGCCGCATCGCTTGTTCGTCGTCGGGAAGAGAGAATGCTGTCATCTTGAGATATGTACGAGGGGCGTGATGAAGAGTTGGTTGAAGAAGAAGAGGACACAGAACCAGCTGCGAAGTGGGACACATGTTGGGGGGTGGTATTCTGGGTGTAGGTTGAATACATGTTTTCTGGACGACTCTGGAAGGAAGACAATTGACGTTGCTGGGCATTTCCAGCAGCAGAAACCAGACCCGGGGTGCTCGTGAAGGCATAGGGAGCCACGGAGTTCCTGTTGGGAGCGGACCCGCCCACGCCGTTGTAGCCCAACGACATGGCTTGACCACGCGTAAGCTGGGGCTGGTTTATGTGCGAGGCAGAAACGAAGGTCTGTCCAGAAGCGGAGGATGGACGGGTTTGGAGGAGGGTGATAGTGCCGTTCTGCTGGGGAATCGTCTGGACCAATGCAGCCATGGTGGCTTCCTCACTAATATCGAGCAACTTTGGTTATCAACAGCCTGGGAGACAGTTGTACCGTATCAATCGAGCCCAATGGTGGCTGAGCTTTCTAGGTATTCACTCCAAGTCCTGTCGAGGAGGATATAACAGTCTGTTTGATTGTGGTGGTCAGCAGTGCAAAACCAGAAAGCAGACGACTCGATGAGAACAATCAATTGTTTGGTGCGGACGAGAAGAGATTTTAGGCAGACACAGGCGGCTCGGTACGTACTTGCCAGCGGTGTACGACGAAACGAACGGAACGGTCGGTCAGGAGACGGCAGCCAAAGATCACGAACGCCACATAGAGACAACGAATGGTGAAAATGAATAGGAATATGAATATATGAAAGATAAGTGATAGCGAATGCCGACAAAGCAATGCTCCAAAAAGCAGTATTCAAGACAAGACTGAACAAATCACTCACAGCGATGTGCTCGATGGTTGGTGGCGGTCGTTGTTGTGTCGTGGTCGGAGGAAGAGGGGGTCGAAAGGACACGGAAACGCAAGGCCGGCAGCACGAAAGCCAAAAGGGGAGATTAATCCATGTACCTGAACACTAAACGCATGGGCCGGAGCGACGCGGTCGAAGAAGAAAAAAGGACAAGAATATTAGGAGATAGCCAGATCCGCAGTGATGAAGAGAGGGTTGAATCAATAATGGATAATAGTCGATGGCGGCAGTCCCTTGTGGAATGCGTGCAGCGATTGTTGTTGGATTTAGGGGGGAGGGGGAGGACGGGCAGCAGGGGAAGGGTAGGCAGGGGACGGCCAGGCGAGCAGGGAGGAAGGCGAGGACGAGGGCGAGGAAAAGAAAACAAGAGGAGAATAAGAGTACAAAGGAAGCAGTAAGAAAAGGAAGAGAATGGCGGGTGATAGAGGAGAACGACACAGCGAGAGAGAGACAGGCTGCGAGCTGAGAGCAGGAGAGAGCGTGGAGGAGAGGAGGCGTTGACAGCGGCTAGCAGGAGCCCGGCCGCCAGGGGATGCTGCGGGCGTATGATTGGCTGGCTTCGGGTGCTAGTGCGGAAGAAGCCTAGCGCCGTAGCATCTACCTGCTCCTGTATATACATAGACATACAAGTGCACATATCCGTGTATATACATGGCTTGTATATCGGCGTATATATACAAGTCTATACATGTGTGCATGTACATTATCTGGCCATTCCACGGCGGTTGCTGTAATGCTGCCTGGGATCATGCCATCATCGAGTCAGGAAGCAGTTCGGACGAACTCCAGCCAGGACCCGCTCGTGCTTATGCTACTCGCTGGTTGGCCCGAGCTGCTGACTGCCCCACACATGTCTCTCCTTCTATGTACTCTCGCCTCTGGACGACGGCCATTTCAGTATTCCATTATCTTACACAATTATCAAGCATATTATCATGTAACTATTATATAGCATATTATACAGAATGAGTGCTAATTCATTATTCTGGACCTGCCAGGTGAACATCGACTGTGCGTTATATTACTCCGGCTCTGTGTGACAATCCAACCTTTGTCGACGTTTCCTTTCCATGTACAAGTCTCCAATATCATACAGCTACATACGTGTATCTGCAAATGCTTCTATCCCACTCAAAACCACGGATTTGGGGATATGTAGGAATGATCATCGTCGATTAGAAGCAGACGCTACCACTATCAGTATAGCCCGTGCACCGCCAGTCTCGAGATAGGAGGTGTTCCGTGTGATCGACCGACTCCACTTGTGCATACTGGTTAGTCTTTACGGTGTCTGCACTTGCAGGGCTTCGCTGCCGTTACACCTATTCAGTATTGTGATGCCTGCAAAAATCTAGCTAATTCCATGAAACATGCAGTTGTTGGCCATTCGCCAATTCGTGTCCGACCTGGCCTGGTCCGTCATCTGGGGTCTGGGGCAGATCCTGGGGCGAGGTCATATCAGCCTATAACTCGATACTACCATCGACCGACCAATATTTACTACCACTCTCCCAACATCGTTGATTGTTGATTGTTGATTGTTGATTGTATACAGAATTACGATGGTCTGTTTGATTAGCAATTATCCAGTAAATGAATCGGCAACAAGCGTCAACGTCACATGTACCATCTGTATCGAATTTCTCCATGAATGCACGTCATTCAACCTCCGAGCCAGGCCGCCACATGTAGCAACAAATTAGAATACTAAACCCCATCTCTCGGGACAGTCTAAACAGCGGTCTGCCACCCATGCTGCATCGACTCAACGAGTGACTCTGCATCGCATTAGTGTGTAGCCAGTCGTAGCACTGTATGGGTACATACACACTGGCGTCCGCACGAGCACCGCGTCCGGCTCATGCAGCCGGCCGAATAGGGAAGTCAACTTTTCTTTCTTTTTCTTCCAGCACGTTCGCCCATTCATCATTTGATAATCATATTTGGCGATGTTCCGAGTACATTGTCACAACATGCCATTTTTAATTTATTACTTTGTTTTCGTACTGCAAATGTAAACAATTGCGTGTATTAACTACGTGTTTCATGTGATTTCCCCACCGTGGGCTGATAGCATTCCACAACCCACTCACATTCCTTCCGATCATGTCAACCCGTCAACCTATCAACGTGATGGGTTGGTTATCTTAATACTTAAATTCTTAAATCCATAATGAATAACCAGAGCGGCATATGTGTGGCCGCAAACAGCGTGTTTTACTGATAATGCAAGCTAGTGCGAGTGCTAAATTACGACGATAGAGACAATTAATCAGCCAATACAGACAACATCCGCTTCCGGCCTGTCCCTGCGCGACCCGGAATTGTGGAGTCATATTCCGTAACGTCGGTGCACATTGTATGTGTGGCTAGTCCTTTTTGGACAACTTTGTTTGGTAGGCTGAATGGACTGAAGGACTGTTGATACAAAGATCTCTTGTCTTGTTTGACAACGCTGCTTTCTTTCACCACCAACTTAGACTTAGCCAACCTCAGACATACGCAACAAAGCATTGTGATCGAGCGACAGATTCTCGACATCAGCTAACATGGAAGAGGCTATAAAATGCCGTCGAATCATGTGTCCAGGCATCTCTTGACCGCAGCAATCATAACGATACAATTCTGGAACCTCAAAACCTATCACATCAGCCAGCTACCAAGCTATCATCGCCTCGTTAATCTGGAACCAACATGCCAACACCCCACCGCGACACAATCTACTACTTCCGCAATTGTGACCACATTGTGGTAGGTAACCAACTCGACGCAGCCCTCGCCCCTACCGAACACCATGTCCAAATCATTCCCGTGTTGACTGTATGTCCTGAATGCAAGGCTGCCGCTATAGCAGGAGAATTGTCTCCCAGCACCAGCCAGGCCTATTCCTTTGGTCTGTCTGAGTTGGACTTGGAAGAACATCTCTGCATGATCGATATCAATGTCGACGACACATCTTCCGTAGATGCTCGTCATTATCCTCGTGCATCTCCCCCACCTGCTCCTACTACTCCTTTTTCTTCTTTTCATCCTCTCTATTCTTCTATCAACCAGGAATTGTCCAGCTACGGAGCCTCCAATTCTGAAAGCAGCTATGTCGTGATAAGCTCCTCTGAACCGTCTAGCAATAACTCCCAATTACAGGGGTTGTTCATTGGGGGACCACCTGCCTCTGAGAGGAGTTATGTCGTGATAAACTCGTCTCACTCTCATTCTAATGACACGAGTTCACACCAAGAACAATATGACGCCGACCTGAGCAGCTTTGAAGCCATCATCCCTGGCTCTAATCACAGCCTGGCACATCGTCACAGTCATCGAACCACGCACTTCAATACCTCTCGACCAAGCAGAAAAACGTCGAAAAAGGGCCACAAACACTCCAAACGCAGAAGAGAGCGAAAATCCCCTCACCTATTGCCCTACCACCAGCAAAGGCTCCGTTCAGTCCACGACGGTACGATAATCAAATACGGACGACAAATGGTTTATCCTAACAGACACATCTCTTCTCTATCGTCAGTATCTGAGCGGATTCTGAAACGGAGGCATTGCAACTGGGTGCGCGCGATTGTACTTCAATTCGAGCCTGGTCTTTTCCGGATGGTTAAGAGGGATGATGATTATGAGGATCCTACGATCGGGATGAGTGTAGACGAGGAATTAAATTATTATGATAGAAAGTTGTGTGGATATGCGAAGGTGATCAGGGAGTGGCGGCGTAGGGGGAGGAATGTTGACGTATGACAATACTAGAATTGGACTATAGAGTATGATATACTGATACCAATGTTGTATTGCCTAGTTATTGGCTACTATTTGAAAGATGCTTGTAGTTTGTGTCTAGAAGTATAAGTTAGTAAGTCGGTAAATTGAATCAACCAATATTACAATATTGAAGGTTGAATCATAAGGTGCCCCCAATATAAATTGACAAGCATTGATTTTTCCAAGTTCAATATCGGGCGATCATCTTATTATGATATCATATTTTCTTAAATTTTGATATTGGTATTGTCTAATATTAACCATCAGTGTTTACATATAACCACCAGGATTGATACAATGACAAGGGAAATAACTTCCATCGCGTGTTTATATGACACGACGGCATAACATTCATTCTTTTTGTCTGTCTCGGCATTAATTAAAGCAACCCTCCGCATACAAAATATCTCATGAACGTCCCTTGTCCAGTTGATTGTAGCAATTTTTTAAAGCTATCTATTCCATTTAGCTGATGCCTGTCAATGTCTTTCGAAAGCGTTCGACCAGCTTCACGTCCCTTGATTGAATGGTTACGCAGTGACCGTGAATTGCGGACAGATTGGTTACTATTTTCAGTTAATGTCTTCATTGAATTGCTTCGTTTATAAAATCTACGCTCGAATTCTGACACCAGAGATGCTTCTGAAGCCTCTTGTATTGCGCCTATTGCAGATGCTTGAAATCGTAAGTCTTTAATTGCTGTTGGAGCGGGACGTAGAATGCTAGGCACAACTGACCGCCTTGGCAGAATGACTTACCACCTCTCGCCACAACGCGACTATCTCGAAGCTCTGCACTCACACACAAGAAACGTCACGTAATTACCCAACATGGCGGCCGATTTAGCAGAGGACCCGTCCGCTGCGGCGCTCGACCTCGACAACTCAGAGGCCTACGACTCGGCCGAAGACGAAGACTTTCAACTTGATGCCGGCGATAATGACGAGGAAGCTGGCGACGATTCCGGGTTCTCCACCTCAGAGGACGAAAACGAGGCGGGGGATAGCAGGCCGAACAAGAAACGGAAACTCGACAAGATAAGTTTAAAAAGAAAGAGAAAGGGAGGGCGTGATACTGCCGAGGTGGATCGGATGGAGTTAGATTCGGGGGATGAAGTCACGATACAGAAGGCAAAAAGCAAGCGGAAGAAAGTGACAAGTGGGAAGGATGCTGAAGAGGAGGAGGAGGAGGATATATTATTTGACGATGATGATGAAGGTGGGGAAGGGGGATTTGTTAAGACCCGGTCTATGAGGATGAAGATGTGAGTTATACTTTGAAATATACATTTTCAGGGGATGTACTAACCCCGGACAGACAAGAAGACCGCAAACCCCTCGCCAATATAGACGGAGCGACAATCGACGTCAACACATTATGGGCGAAAATGAATGCGCCAGATAGTGACTCCGGTCTTTTACCCACGTCTAAGCCGGCAACAACAGAAAACGAGACGCAAGAACCCTCTTCCGACCAAAATAAGGAAAACATAACCGAGGCTTCAGAGAAAATCCCCTCCGAAGACCTGATCAAAATCAAACGCACCTACAAATTCGCTGGCCAAATACACACCGAGGAAAAACTGGTCGCGCGCGACTCCGCCGAAGCAAAACTGTACCTCGCGGAAACGGCAAATGGAGAGAAAGGGACACCGGATACGGAATCACAATCGGATAGTACGACGAGAAAGCTGCGTCGTCCGCTCCGCAAGGTCTCCCGTTTCGACCCGAACCCGTCTGGGGTGATCAAGAAGAGCTGGGAGAAACAGGCCATCTCGATAGCAGGCGAGCAAGATGCCAAGGGGCCCAAGCTCAATACAGTTGAGAAATCACGGCTGGATTGGGCGCAGTATGTGGATGTATCGGGTATTAAGGATGAACTCAACGTGCACAGTAAAGCGAAAGAAGGGTTCTTGGGTCGGATGGATTTCTTGGACAGGGTTGATGCGAAGAGGGAAGAAGAAAGAAGGAACATTCGTCTTCAGGGTTTATAGATTTATCTTGGGGTTTAGAAGGGCGGGTTCAGGCATAACACTGATTTCATTGTACGATAGGTATATGTACATTTTTATACGTTGCGTGCCTCAGGCAATTTGATGAATTCATGAATACATTTTATAGATAGAAACACCATTCCAGGCCGTTATCGGGCAACATGCCTCCTAGGTCATACAACGCCCTCGGTGATATTGCGTTAGCAAGCATCATTTAGTTGCCTAGTAAGTGTTAGCTTTGTTCAAAATATATGCGTTAGTAGAATACATACCGCTCTTGGGCAGATACTTGATGCCACTCGAGGGGCAGTTAGACTTTTGAGCTATTCTGGTATTAGCACAGCCTATCAAAATCAGAGGAAGAATACATACGGCTGTCGACGGCAACGTATTGTCCGTTGATGGCGTTACCGCGGAGGTTGAAGTAGTAAGAAGCAGCATTAAGTTCGCCGCTCTTGCAGGAGAAGTAAACCTCCTTTCCGTTGTGGTTCTTGCCAGCAGCTGCCACGATATCGCTCAGGCTGTAGGTCTTGGAGGAGGAGGGAGTAATGCCAGCAGCGTTGAGAGCCTGCGAGATATTAGTTTGGACGCTACGTTTTTGATACATTTAGATTAGATGGCAGACGTACAGTGTAGGTGTCGAGGGTCTTGAATAGGGTGACGACGCGCTGGAAGAAGTCGACGGCCTCGTCACCTGTCTTGTAGTTGGAGTAGCACGTGGGGTCGATGGTGTTGATGCAAGTGCCGTGGGTGCTCCACTCGTGTTCCCAGAAGGCCTCGGGGGACTCGTCGTTGCTCTGCCAGTACTTGTTCATATAGGTGAGCAGGTCGCCCTTTCCGGCGTTCTGGAGCAGGGTGGTGATGTCGTTGTAGGCACGAGACGAGTCACAGTTTGACTGGTATGTGCCGTCGCAGTTGTCGGGCCTGACAGATCAGTACGTTTTCATTTTTATAGAGGAGAGCGAACATACCAGAGACCGTGGATACCCCAGGAGTCGGAGGGGCCGACGGCAGGGTTGGTATCCCAGAATTGGGTCTGGAGCAAGAGACCACCAGGAGCCTCAAGGCAGCAGGAGCCAGTGGCGGAACTGCTGCCGCTGCTACAGCTGATGCTCGAGCTGTTGTTGTTGCAAGTCTGGATGGAGGCGAGGACGCCGTTGACAGCGGCGCCGATAGCAAGGAGACCGAGAGCGCGAGACATTTTGAGATAGATCTGATCTACACTGTTCGGTATGGGGGGGATTTGGGGTTGGGACGGTTGAGAAGAGTACCGGATATCGGCCAGAGAGAGGAAGGGACTATTATATAGGTTATGTGCTGGTGTGATGTGCCTGATAGTGTCGTCGTAGTACGGTGTCCCCCGCCGCACCCGCGATAGGGACCATGGATGTCTGGTGCCTGCCGATCGCTATCGGGTCAGTATTACTGGAAACAGCAAGAGCCAAATCCATTTAGACCCACGAGCATCGTGTTTCGAGGGCGATCGTCCGCTTTGCAGAGTCACATTGCCGCGTCTGCCATGCTGATTCGCGGGAAGCGCCTAGGTAAGCGAGCCGGTATATACACTGCATACGGCCGTGGTCGCAATACGATGGACTTCATTCTTCCAGAGTTAATTTATCGCTGTGAAAAGCCAGGCCAGGATTTGCACCGTCCAATGCGAGATCAGATGGAGCGCATGTCATTGTCAAAGGTCAGTGCATAAGGGAAGAGGTAGCATCGACTTTCACTCCTAGTGACTGGTTACTAGTCTCAGGCTGAATGGTTAGGGAGTCAATCAGGTCGATCACGAACAACAGCTCAATGACAGTCATAACTAATAATCATCGACGATGGATCAAGGTTGTAAACAGTAAAACGAGGTGGACTCGCCACTGACTCGATTAGGTTTTGTGTGTCCTATCAGTGCAGGAATCATCGCATCCGCCGGAGATCCCGACCTCAGAAGCCCACAGCAGCCCCAGCGACAGGCCCGATGCATGCCACTGCTTGGCCATGGTTGGTCGGCAAATGGTTGCATCACTATAAATACCAATTTCCCATCGGGCTGGGAAAATAAGCAGATAAGCCACTTATCTGCTTGGTTTTCGGCAGCTTCAAGGCTAACAACCTGACAAGCATTGTTGACGTTGCATTGGGAATAGTGAACGGACGTTGTCGCGCCAATGGCAATTAACAGCCACTCGATTAGGCAGGTCATACCCACGAGGCGCCCATCAGTCAATCCTTCAGCCCGGTCTTTGTTGTGGTTGTTGTTTGATAATTACGGAGCATCCGAAACCGCTCGGTCGATGGATGACTTCATGCTTCTTAATTCCTTGCTTGGCACGTGACAACTTCAATCAATAGATTCAGTACATAGTATCGGTCAATATTATTTTTGAAGAGTGAATAAATTATGAAATGATGTTGGTCCAGCCAAACTCTAATGGAAACCGATCCAAACAAAATGCAGCAGTAACCTGCTTTCTGTAATGACTGAGCAGCATGATTAAGCTCTATTATGCACCCTCATGATCAGAACTGGTATCAAACTCATCAAAAACAGCACGGATCCAAATGCAAACGGGAGGCCGGACCACCTCAGCCCGAACTGCATACCGACCACATAGAACTTGGCGAATGTCGGGCCAGCGACAATGTTGCCAAGAGCTTGAGACACGGACATGGCACTGAACAGTGTTGCTACGTGCTCTGCCGACACAAAAGACGTGGCTACGCTCATGACTGAAATCACGAATGGCATGGACAGCGACATGAACACAATCCCGACAATGAGCGGCGCGGTATGTGGTGCAATGAACACCAAGAAATACCCAATCACACCGGCCATCGCAGCCATTCTAGCGATAAACAGGTCTTTTTGTAGGGCGGTGTAACGGAGTTTGTGGATAAGTAATGATGATATTAACGGGATGATTGCTAGGTAGAGTGTGAGAGTCACGGCGCCGCGGAGGGAGATGAGATAAGCTGCCTGTTTGTAGAGGTTATTACGTGCTCTCTAATCAGTTGATTTGTTGGGTGAAGACGGTACTTACTTGAGCGATGGTCCAGTGGAACTTTGCAGAGGCATACTGGATAAGCAAAGCCAGGTTGCTCTTATCCAGACTTCCAGCAAAGACAACAAGTAGAGACACAAGAACCGACGGTTTCTGCCACATAAAAGCTGATGAGTTGAGGAACTCTTGAGCTTGGCTGACGACGATTTGGAAGACGGTATCCTTTTGCGAGGACGGTTGCAGCGACTCTGGGATTTCCTGTTCGTCGGCTTCCTCCATTATCGGTCTTGCCGTTCCTACGCCGAGGGTCTCGGGGATGAAAAGGCTAGACAGGGACCCTATGAGCATGATAACTGAGCCTGCTATATACGGAATCCATGGGCTAACAGCCATTGTGGAAGCGCTGATTGGAGTTGCCGTGATTTCAGCGATGATAGATAATGAGGTCAGGCGGAACAACGCCGTGGCCCTAAGAAGTCAGCATGTCAAACAAAGGAAGAAATAGTAGCAATAGCCAAATACCTTTCATCCGCATCGAAAACATCCGCCACAACTGTCAAAAGCATAGATGTAGCGACCAGATCACCGCCTCCAGGAGCACGGAAGAGACCCGTCAGCCAAACTAGCCGCAGAGGCCATCCAAACCAGCCTGAGTTCATTAGCTATTGAGCCAGATCATTACCGTAAGTGAAAATACACGTACAAACAAGCCTCGGCCAGACCTCGCTCAACCCTGTCGCGACAAGGGACACAATGGTAATAGGCCGTCGTCCGATTTTGTCGGCCAACACGCCAAACGGCAAGCCCAGGGCCACAGCTATACCCAGTCTTATTAACAATATTATCACGTATAGATGCACATTCATGTAGAGCACTTACACGGTAGGATATCCAGCGTGTTCTTCCACCCCGTCACAAAAGCGAGCTCACTCTGCACCGGCTCTGACTTACATATATCGCCGTCAGAAAAAACAGTGCCATTCTGGAACACGCCTTCGCCCAGCGATTGTCGATGTTTCTGGCAGATAATCTCTTCGAAGATCTCCAATTGTGGTGGAGTACCCAAGAAACTCCCAAAATTGACGGTCAACAACAGCCAGGCACCGACTAGCATTACCTGCCATTGGATCCGGGACCAGTGAGGAAGCAACCCCGGAAGGCTTTCTGGTTGCGATAACCTGCCGAGGAGAGGCGTGTTCTCATTACTGGATTCTGGGCTGTCATTCTCAACTGGCCGTTGTGGTGGGGTCGCCATCGCTGCAGCTTAATGATACTTCTAATAATAATCCAACCAAACGTGCGCATTCAACGGTCGTGGTACGTAAGGCGTCGAGTCCACTGCAGCGGCGTGATAATGAGGAATTTCTTAATCAATTCCACTGGCATGTAGGAAGCAAGACGACGACACGGTCTCCAACCAGGTTTTCAACTCAAGGAAGGAAAATGGCAGCACCAAGAAGGCAGAAAGTTTCACAACTTATCGGCATCAGCCGCAGTGTATCTTGTGCACCAATCACAGGCGGCTACCAACACAATATCAACAGTCAACAAGTAACAACAACGCATCGAGCTACAAAACCAGGATTCTGGAAGAAAAAATCGGATGCAGCTTTTGTTGCCGATAACAGTCGAGCAATGGGATTGGACCAGCGACGAGAGTTGGTGGTGATTGACAAGGATTTGGTTAGGCTACGACATTCTTGGGCGGCTGCCAACTCCGACGCCGTAGACGGAACCTCGCGGAGTTCACATTTTACTCCGTGATAGGTAATACATATTCACTATTATCGAACGAATATTGATTATCAGGTGTATAATGACCAATTTGTACTGGTGACGCCATCACTATCAGTCCGAAATCATTATAAAGAGAACCCGAAGATTCTAATTGATAACAGTACGTATCAATATTGATGCCTTGTTTCTAAGGCTCCCCCTCCATTTAGGGGATCATTATAGATCGACTGCCAAAACTGAGACTACTTCAAGTAATAGCCAGTAAAACCTCGGACTTGCGTAATTATTATTAGATATTAAAAATGGCTGGGTGACAACACTAGACCTCAACACTATTGAAATGAATTTGGAATAAAGCGTCAACCTCAAAATGACGCATACACTAAAAGCAGTGAACCCTCATATGAACAATATTAATAATAGAATACATAGTAACCTGAAAACCAATATTTTAAACATATTGCTGCAACCAAGACAGGAAATGGTCAGCGAGTCTATCAATTACGTGCAGGAACACTCTTATTAACGATCCAAGGGGGAGGCAAAATAGGACTCAGGCGGGAGACTATTGGCTACCATATAACATCTATAATACATTAATGGAGCATCGACTCTCGAGCAATGGCACTGGGGAACGGATGTGCGGGAACGCAAGGGAGGAAATATTACTGATGATGATGAAACTTACTAGTGTTGAAACATCGTGCAGACTTATTCAATATCGATTTTTAGGACTCAGGACGGATAGTACGACTGCGTTAGACGGTAGTTTAATCTCTTTCAAGGGGTAGATTGTCTAGTATCAATATGCATGATATTTGATTCTGCAGTGATCGACAATGACAGAGTTTTTTTGAGAAATTAGTAGGCACCTATGTGTGCGAGAGTAAAAGTATGAGACAGTTGCTGGTGATGGTACAGATGAGCTTTCAGAGGAAAAAAAAAGAACATGAACGGGAGATAGCAATACAGAAGTAAAAACCAGATAGCCAGCCCACCAATAAACCAGTCCACTATGCGGGGAAACAAAGGAAAATAGCACGAGGAACAAATTTCGATTAGATAAAGAACATGTGCCAGATACCCAAATATAGAGGATATAATGATATAATGCTTCAGGGTACTTCTTCAAAATTGTACAATATGATGGTGGTTTGCGTTGTCGACAGGGTGGCAGCGGTAAGACTTATAGAATATGAGATGTCTTTTTCAAGGGTATCATGCACGCCTCTTAGCCCTGGTCGTTTGTAATTTACTCGTCCCATAATTCCCCATCGGCATCGTTATCCATGGGGATCGGATCATCTAGCTTGGATCCATAAATAGGACGGCCATCGGGTGTGAGCTGGCCTCGGAATTCTGGGTCGTAGTCGGGGCTTGTCTCGTCCAGCGTCGCAACATATCGGTTGCGGCCGCCACGTTTGCTATGAGTCTTCGTATAATGAGCATTAAGGTTGTCGCTGCGAGAGAAGCCGCGGTTGCAGCCAGGTACCCAGCAAACGTGAGGCTTTTCTTTGGAATGGCTCTTCATATGCCGCTTGAGGTGCTCTTGTCTCTTAAATCGTCCTTTGCAGCCAGGCTCCTTGCAACGAAACTGCACCTGTTTGATAATGGAGGGTAGATTCTCCAGTCGGAGACTTTGCTTGGAAGTCGACTTCTTGAGCGTCTTCTTAGAAAGTTGGCGATGTGTTTGTCGGTGTCGTAGACTCTCACGCATACCCGGAGAGAACCACTCCTCATCCGTATTATCACTAGGACCACCAGAAAGACGAGTCATGGGGGTTTCGGTTCCAGAACCCATTGAGCTCGACCGGACTGGTGTCACAGGGGTGTGGGTTCGCAGGGTGTTGCCAGACCCTGGAAATCCAGAATATGAAGATGGTGGAGTCATTGGGGCCTGTGGAAATGCCTGCGCAGGGGTAATGGTTTGCGGCTGCATCATATCGGCTGATGGCATCCAGTGACTCATATTCGTCATGGACATGGCATGCGGAAGTCGATCCGTCTGCTGGAAAATAGGCCGAGATAGGCATGGGTTAGATACTGATTCAGGGAGATAGTTTGGCTGGTTGTTCCGGTAGCAGTTGCGGACCATCTGAGGGTATTGGGGTGCCATGTTTGGCTGGCACGCAAAACTAGCCGCTGGCTCATATGCCTTTGGCATATCCTGGGGTATCCAGAATTGCTCGACATTGTCTGTATATCCTGGCATGTAATCAAACAGAGGCACCCGGTCGTGCCCCTCGACATTATCATATTGATGCATCATACCATCGCCGGCTGTAATATCGGCCATCCGGAAGCTGCTCCTCAAGGGGGTAGCAGTTCTGGTGGCTTCCAAGCCATGAGAATATGTACTACCATCATGCCACCCCGGGGAAGCAAGAGACCCTTGACTATAGAGAGATGTCGGTGTCGGTGTGGGCGAGTCCATCGGTGAGAAGCTGGAGCATGTACTGGTACCCAGCGGCGGGCAGTCGACATCTATGGTCAATCTGTCTGCCATATTGTATTCTGAGCGCATATCTTCGCTGTCTGGTGTCGGGTAACTAAGATCCTGAAGGGCGGGATCGAGTTCGATTTCTCTTGCTGTGAACTAGTCAGAAATGTGTGCCTTCCAGCAAGCTGTCGAAGGAAAGGAAAGAAGGATCAAGTATGATTAAAAGAAGGAAAGAATTTTGCCCGTGCTAAAGGAGTGAACGTGGGTAGGATAGGATAGGACCTGTTGATAGGGAGGGTAAAAGAATGTTGAGGGTGGTAGCAGAGAGAGGGAAAGAGGAACGAGGGCGGCAGCGAGATCAAATATCAAATTCCTGGCAATAAAGTGGCACTCGGCTAGAAGGGACGATCAGACTTACCCTCATAGGCCATAATGTCGTGGAATAGAAAGGTAAGAGGAAACGCGACGCGTGCCTGTGATGCAAATGCAAGGCCTGGAATGTGGGCTATTGAGTTGCTTGGTAACCACGACCGCGGATGCTACCACCTCGAGGCTGCTCTGCTGGATAACAATTTCCCCCTCAAAAGGGCTGGTTATTCTCACGAGGGAATCAATGCAATCGAAACCAATGTAATCATCCGAAACCTCGTGTGTGAAGGAGCCGCCCTTAAACGCGCAAACCGAATTGGGATGGGAGTGGGCTGGTGTTCTGGGGAGGAGTCTCAGCAAGGGGACGGTCGATATCGTTCTTGTACTTGTTTTTGAATCTGGTAAGAGAGAAAATGGCTACGATGCTGGGCACAGGAGGGGTGGATTTGGTTTATAGCTTTTCTTGGGGCTTCTTAGCCTCTGGCAATTCTTGCCTTGCAGGGCGTGCAGACTGACTCAAGGATTACCTTGATCGAGATTTAGTAGTTGGTTCTCGCTCTTACAACGAGTTCAGGAACCTGCCTTGAGAGTGGACCTTGGTCAGTGCTGGCTATCACTAGACCATTAGTAGTGACTCCATTGATAGAACTGCAAGCGTCCTGATTTGGACACAACTTTCCGCTAAATCAAATTTGACTGAGAGGATGATTATCGTTTCAGGAATGGGAGATGGAATGCTTAGGTGCTATCAATGCGGCTCACACTGACCTCTTCTCCCAGTATATTGGAAACTCTAAGGACGGCGCAATCTAGTCGAATAGCTGACGACGGGGCGCATCAATGACTCGATTAATCTTGGTCTTGGGGCAGCTAACCGTCAAGGGGACGGTCAAGACTGGGAGAGCCTTGTCCGCTAACCTGTTTGTTCCGGATCGACAACTGGGACCTGCGTACGGACAAGTTGAGCAGGGGTCTTGATGAACGGTCCATCGCTATCGATGTGCTTGAAGTGTGGAGACAGATCTCGGCTCCTTATGGGCCCATTTCCCGCCACCGTCGTAGTCAGAGCTCTGGACTGGTGCCAATAAACATCACTGGCAAGTATCGAATATGACCTATGGTATGATTTCGTTCCTGTTCTCCCAGGAGATACTAGTCTTCAGGGGAGGCGAGATCAGACGGATGACTTAGACAACGGCTCGCTCTGGTTCAGAGATTGCCAGCTTTATGTGCAGAATCCTCATTCCTTCAGTATATAGAAGGGACCCCTCCATCAGATGTGTGTTTTTGATGCTGTGTCCCCAGGCATGATCCTTGCCACCAGACTGGGTAGACTTTGAGCATGGACCTTGTCAGAGAGAATCCCCGTACGAATCATTTCTCAATACGAGAGCGTTGTAATATTTTTACGCTGTCTATCACGCAGCCTAAGTCTGGATAAGTGGGTCACATCGACAAGAATGGTAGAAGACACCTCGGCAGTCCATCGTAACAAGTTACACACTAGTCTCAACCAGCGCACTTCACAGGTGCAGAAGTCCACCGCAACTGTCTCATGATGGGTACCATACAACCAGTTGAGATCACCGGAATGGGCCAACATATGCAGCTTTGCCACAGGCCTGCAAAGCCACTGGCTTGCATAGCATGCTTCTACGGTATGTCGGGGAGCGCGGGATCATTCTGTGATGTTCAACACAAGCCTCAGTGGGTTTCAGCTAAGCCAAACCCGTACACAACGAGATAGCTGCGATCATCTTCGTCTCACGACATGGGCCCAGACATAGTCTTCGCGGACTGGCCTAATCAAAGACGGCGGATCAGCTTCCGGGGTAACCGACTCTCGACAGTGAGTTGACAGTGGGCCATGGCAGTCGAATATGTGGTGGCTGATGACGAGTGCGATTGGCTTCAGCGCTAGTGAGTAGCTTTATGTATGCAATGACAATAGGACGAGTGCTGCTGTGTGTGTGACACGGTGAGTTGGTGCTGCTGCATCTAAGCTGGTGGAGGGCTGAAACGCTGCGCGCCTTTCCGAAAAGAGCCTGGCGCGATCACCTAGAGCTTCCCCACAGTTGCAGGTCTTGGCAAGACCCATATGGCAGTTTTCTCCCACCAATCGCTGCCCTCGATCGCTCCGGCCGTCGTCAGGCGGCGCACGGTTCAGGAACGTCCCCATCGCACCTTCCTTGTCCGCAGCTACTGCGGAATGCGCCCTAAGAAGGAAGGCGCCAGCCAGCTTCCTGTTACGGCCATGTCGACCTGCGCCTGCCTCGTACACACACTGCATGACGGCTGTGCATCAACATCAACTTCGACTTCATCTTCATCTTCATGTACTTCCCTCAGTCTTTACACCGCCAGCTTCGACATCACATCACTATGCGTCGCAGCATTCTCCTCTGCCCACCTCTCGTGAATCATCTCCTCGACCGCTCATCTGCAGCGTGCTCTCGTGAAATGAGACCGATACCATGCTAGTCGCACTACCTCGGCCAGTCATCGTACGCATCTCTCAAACCGTGACAAATACTCCATATCAGTGCGTCTATTGCTATGTTACCGCTCACCTTTACATTCTCTCCCGCGCCTAGGGCGAGTCAAATTTAGAAGTGAGCGCCATTCCATTTTGGCGTCGTCACTAATTATGGAACAGCCAGACCCTCAGAGCAAGCTTAGCATATCGTACGACGGATAGATAACATACTACAGACTAACTACGTAGTAGTTAGTAGCCTTGCGACCACGCTCAGCGCTTTGGCCTAGCTAGCGTATCGGAATTCCAGCGCAACGGTTAGCTCCATGTTCAAACTTTTCTGATCTGTCAAACTGCAGGTCTGATATTTGGGTGACTGACGCCAACAACGCCATAGACTTAGGAATGCAAAGCCACAGATTCCTCGGCAGTCGCTTTTCATTGGGCCATTAGGCGTCTTGTTCACCATCTTGCGATCCACTTCTCTCTATCGTTCTGCATCTGAGCGTCTAGCGCCGACCCTCTCTGTCTTTGCTGCGCGAAATAACATGAAATTAATACCAGGCCCGTCATATCATAACGCTTATTGCCAGCCACTCGAAGTTTAATCGGGTAATCTGGTGGACACGCCAACGACCGAATTGGAAATTTAGGGTCGCGCGGAACATGATGCTGTGTTCCGAAAATTGATAATACTACAGGCAGGCGGGTAGATGCGACGCTGTGCCTTAGCATCATTACAATGAGCAGTCTGACTCCTCCACCGTAGTCCGTCATGAAACTTGCCCGACTGTTTCGTATGGGCACTGCAGCTATTTCGTCGCATCAGCTTGGCAACCACAGTTACCTACATGCTTTGTGATATAACAAGAAGCCAACGAAACTTGGCCCTCGTTCTCTATAGCTTATGCCTCGTGGTTCTGTGTATATTGTTCCCGCAGCCATATTCTCATTTTAGTCACCACATATCTAACCAAGGACTGAAAATAAGTTTCCAACCTCATGTCACATTCCAACTGCGCCAGTGTCACCTTTATAGACGGCCCGTATTACCCGACCCAGTCTTTGATTGATGACAGCCTGCCAACTGCCATTTGCAATGCCCTTTTTCAGAATAGCATTGCATTAAATTGGGCCCTTCCAAGTTTTACGCAATAACGCACGTACCCTGGGGTTGGGGAGGTCATCGGGTGGTGGGTATTATCGTTTCCTAACACGTATGGTGCGTACCACTGCAGTGGGTATAATGGCAGTCCATACTCTGGGCGGGGTCCACGCAGATCAACACCTATCGACATGGCATTCTTGAACGGCTTATCGTGTGGTCTCCGCTCTTCCTGATGTTCCGTCTCAGGCTAACGACGTGAATGAGGAGAGTGCTTTTCGATTCATATGCTGTCGTCATGCCCTGGCTCAAGATTCTTTTCGGGGCAAATTCCAATTCTACCTCATTGTTGATGATCAACTACGTGATGTTGATTGAGCATGCCAAAACTAGCATGATTTAAGGCTTACTTCAAAAGGTATCCCACTTTCTAAGCCCAGGCTTGCATAATTTACCAAATATAGCCGAATCCATAGATTGATCATGAGATGCATGAACCCCATCCACCAATTAATATCGGCAGGGTTAGTGGGACTTTTCTGCCTCGAGAAGATGATTATTCCAGCAATCCACCGGCGTGGAACACTAACCCAGATTCTACGAGACTAATGACGACCAATGACAGAATATTCAGGAATTAGCCTTTTAAACCATCCGGCCTCGCAGAATCACTGAAGTGATCACTCACTTTTCACAGCGGGGAACGAAAATTCCCGAACTTTATCTTCCGCTGTCGACCAACATGCAGCTTTAAGCCCTCTAAACCGACTCCAATCCAAATTCTCAGCTCAGCTCTCTATTCAAAGAGGCGTTCAATAAATCACAAACTTACCCCGCGTCGTTAATCGCGATGAGATTCAACGGCCTAGCCTTTCGTTCCCCTTTCCTATCGCCTTAATGCAACACCAAAAATATAACTTCAGCAAGGGGTAGCATTCAGGGCTACAATTAGCAGGTGCCTACAACTTTATGGTTGTTCCTGCGTCGCGCCAAGACAATATTTGATCAAGCCCTTGTACCATTGAATGGTTCGCGATTTGGCTGGTGGTGTTCGTGTTGACAGGGTCAGTGATCTGCCGCGATTTTGACCGTCTCTTTGATGATCTAGGTAACTACACTTCTTACAGCTTGATGACGGACGGGATGATTTCCATACTTGGATCGAGATGCATTGTTTCAGACCTATTGAGGTCTTGGCGTTCCGTCGATCCTAGACTCCTCCTCTCCAAACCTTACGCCACACAAGGTCATTAAGAAAGGCAACACAATTATTGAACACTGCATTATCTTTATATTGAGTAGTACTTGCAGCCGGACGAGCCGGGCCTCGGAAGTCTTCTATCTCGTCATCGTTCTGATTGGCTCGGACCTGGTTCAAGAGGCTCAATCGATCCTTCATGCATTTCATTCAGAACTGCAGCAGTTCACGTTTTGGTTGCATGTCGCACGATTCGATTTTGGTGAGAGACGCTTCATGAACAATTTGGAGTCTATGACTCAATTAAATGCCCTAAATAGCGCTAATCTCAATTCTATGGTATGGGCCGTAACTTTCAAGATATCCACCTCAACCATATGAAACTAATCTCCAACTATTAACATCTAAAGTCATTATCTAGAACTTTGGAACTCGAAGATCAACAATACTTTGTCAAACAGATCATTACCGCGATAGGCAATGTGGAAACATGTTTGCTTCCCATATTGTTAATCATTTAACTGGTTTATTGCAATTTAAAAACGAAGCTACTGAATTATATGCAGAAATCCACTCTTTCCCGTCTTTTTGTCCCAGTTATATTGACGGTACCAGCATCGTTTGTGCATGCGTATGCAGAGCTATTTGGAAACCGCGATCAAACGATCAGAAAGTCGATCTTTTTCTTCAAACCTTTTAACTGGCTACTTACTTTTGCCTCATTGAGGCTGGTTGGTCCAGATTATAGCCTTATTTGGAACTGATAATTGACAAACCCCCTTACAGAGACCCGCGTCCCTGCTGCCTTTTTCTTGATGTACATTTACACACGGACGCGCACACGGACGCTTCTGGGGCTCGGCCGGAGTTGGCCGAGCACAGGCCTTGAAATAACTTTTGATTAAAAATGAATTTGATCTGTGGCTGATAATGTCATCTGTGTGGCGATCTGTTGCTCTAGTTTTGATTATTGAATTATGGCTAAGGCTCATGACTGAGTATTAGTTAATCACTAGTGGATTAAGTATTGAGTCATAGAGTACGGAGTTGTTCGGTTGCAAGGCAAAGGGTCATGCGGTTAACGCAGATATGGATAGATGAGTTACGGATATCGGGTTCCTGCTTTTGGATAGTATGTTCGAATGAAAAGGGAGCATGCATAGCCTCTTTGAAGATTTGAACGGCGTTGAACGTACTCTAGGCTATTTGTTGTAGATTCAAATGGCATACTGACTTTCTAGTGAAGCTTGGAAGGCTTGCGGTTTTTACTGCCTCATTGCCCTGTTTCGGTCTTACAGAACCAAAATTGACGGTTTAATAAGCTCTAGAAACTGATACTATGCTTCTCAAAGAGCTTTGGCTTACGTTCAGGAAGATATCTGAAACTAACTCTGAGAGAAGGGTTTCAGAGACAGAATGTGACATCAATGCATTGATATATCCATTAAATTTGCATCCACCTATCTAAATATTTCGATTTTCAATATCATTTCGAGCCTTAAGTTCTGTCAATGTCTCACCTACACTATCCAGGTGACGATTTCCATCTCCTGAAACATCCAAAATCTTAATCCATATCTTTGAAATCCAGGAATTTGCCCCAGAGATATTATTTGACGTCTGTTCTTCAGCGTTTTGCCACGAGCATACCTCCATACCCGATTACGTAGCGGTTATCATCGGCTAATAAACTACATACCAGGATCCCACATTTATTAAGTTATGACAAACGTCCAAGAAAGCAGAAATAATGAACTAATATGATTTGTTCTCGTTGAATAATGCTTGTATAGTACAACCATCGTTACCAGGCTCTTGTGTAAAGCAATGTAACATATCATTAGGCCACGTAGTTCCAACAGCGAATGACAAAATGTGATTTATTTTAGTGATCGACTGGAAACAGCATTTGAAGTCGGACAGAGAGTTTAAACTTGCAACCACGAAACAATTCTTATGTGGTTCCAAATAGTTTGGTTCCATTAGGCGAGATAGGTAGGCATGAGCTGTTCACTGGCGGTTCTGTCTCTAGTTCATAGGCATTAGTCAACCTAATCATTCTCGTTCGAATATCATTGAGACTATGTAATCCACCACATGTCCTAGAGCCTCGATGGCGTGGCCTGGTTGTGTATCATGTGCAGATCCAATGTCCCCCATAACCTCGTTAGTCAAATGCACTGTCCTGGTTACCACGCATCCACCGTAAAGAAGTTGATATCAGCTATATATAGAATATAAAACTACTAATTGTGTCGACTGAGTTCTCATATTTTGAAATATAGATCAGGATATGATATCTCTACTAAATATATGAACTACCATACAATTATATGTCGTCATAGCTTACTACAAATCTCCATCCACTCGATCTCGCCGAGCCTGAAAATAGATATCTTAATGACACGGAATATATCCTCTCGAAACGTGATATTCGGATAACATATACCATATACAGAATTAGGTCAAAATATGAGCTATCATATAAGAACCACCGATCGTGGAAACATTATTAATTCCGTGGGGAAAGAAAAGGAGAGAAGAGGCTTCCCAATTGGTAAAGAATTACCCAGTCAAGCCGACCTATCATGCACTAAAATTCAATGTTATTGTGGTGTCCCCCATTGAACGGGTACGTAGGGTCTAGACCTTTTCCAATTCTATGATCCCGATATTATATGACATATCCAGCCAGAGATCTCAAATAATCCTTCGAAAAGTGCGTTCACTGACTAGGAACAGAGATTAAGGAGTTCCATCTTCCTTCACCCCACAGCGGGATTTTGCATACATGCATGAATTCCCCGCTCTGTAACTTCGGAAAAAAGAAATATAATCATCTATATGAGGGGTAAATCAAAAACAAAAACATAAAGAATGAAATGATATGCAGATTGAATTTTAACTCGAGGTTTTGACCGAATCAGACAGTACGTTTTTCTTTTTTCTTTGTTGTCATTATGCATTAGTGAGTATGCACATGCGGCACAAAATTTTTTTGGCTCAGTCAGAGTATCCACGTTGGGACTTGACACATCGAGTTTTCGTTTTGCTCTTTTCTTTTTTTCTATTTCTAAAGCTTCTCGGTATTTGGCGATATTACAAGGAACAGTATCCTTTCCAAAGCTAAAATAAAAAGGACTAGTGAGCGCTGAGTTGTTCTTTTCAAAGTGCAGATCGGTATAAATTCATCAATCCGATATCGAGACATTGAAGTTGGACTGATGGTATGAATTGGGACAATCTTGAATATTCTTTGATTCAGACAGCTTCAATGGTCATATTTGTTTTGATTTTATATTTTGGCCAAAATTCCATCAATGGGTATAGTTTACGCATTTTTAAATGGCAACATTGAACACATAGAATTAAACATCAAATTTAATGTTTTTGAATATTTAAGTCTAGTTATGTACAGGTACTTCATCTTTCAATGTGATTTTACACGTATAATCATATTTTAATAGCTTTTTCATATTTACGTAATATACCCTCAGTCCTATTCAATGCTTTTCTTTAATAAATTCCTAAGCTCCACGTCCCTTTCTAAGCGTCACGATAACAAGTTGACATTTTTTGGAACTTGAAGTAATTGAGGGCTACTTACCATGTTATGGAGATCCCATCAAGCGCAAATTGATGCTATATCAACATTTGAATTTATGTATCCAGTCATTAGTGTTCAGATGTTAGAACTAATTGATCTTGAATCCACAATTTTAATTTCTGCGACAATACATTAATATATATCATAGACGAAAACAACATTTGGACACATGTAGGGTTAACTTGGACCGTCTGCTATAGATGTAAAAGTGAAATGAACATTGAAAACATTTTTGCAGTAATAACATTGAACAATTGATATTTATATAGGAGAGTAAATACGAGGAATATAAACTGTGAGGCTCTAAATATAGTACGACTCTAGATATCCCAGCTCTACCATGGTGTGGGTGCCAAACTACTACTTCAATACTTGAAAACTTATGCAAAATAATTTTCAGTTGCAGAACTACTTACAATGTCACAATGCGCAGGCGTGAAACCTAAAGGAAAACCTAGATAAGTTTCATGTACAACGAGCAGAGAAGAGGGGAAAAAAAGAAAACAAAGCAGGAGCGAGGACACCTGGAATAAAATGGTTCGTAGCTCTAAAAAGGGACTCAATGAGGCTTTTTCTAGCTTGAATATATGACATCAGCATAGGCCGAAGTGAATCGAAGAAAGCAAAAATTCGGATTTCGAATAAAAACCTAAAACGGAACAATGTTTAGGGGCCCTGATGCAAAAGTGGTATCAACTGTATGCAATTGAGGCTTTTTTCAGACTCAATCAATAACTTTGAGTTCGTTCAGCCTCCCGTAGAAACAGAAATAAAGCTCATGTAATAATGAAAAAGGATAAAAGAAAAAATAATGTATCCCGCCACCCATTCTCCCCAATGAAAAAGACTCCAGAAAACCCGTGTAGAAAACAGTGTCCCTCTCCAAATCAATAGATCATAATTTGCATCGTTCCATGGTGAGCAAAAGGAGTATGCATAAAACTTGGTCACCTTACCCACTGCGCCGGATCCAGTATAGACACGAATATATATAAAAAAAAAAGTAGTCCGTACAAAAGCCATCTTACTAGATAGACATTATTTACTTCCCCATACCGTTTGCCATCATTTGTTGTTGCTGTTGTTGCTGTTGATGCTGCTGCTGCTGTTGCATCAATGCAGCATGGCGAATCGCTTGTTGTTCTTTCCGCATAACTTCCATAACAAACGCTCTCGCATTCTTTTCCACTCCAGGCCCATATTGTTGACCAATATGAGCCGGGAAATTCTGAATCGACCCGTATTGCGGTTGGTATCGCCTTACCATATCCTGCCGAAGCATGACGACGCGCTGTTGATACATCTGCTGGTGTCGAGGGCTCCACTGAACAGGGCTTTGAGCCATCTGTCCACCGTTCGCCTGAGCCTGGGCCTGAGCAGCTGCCATAAGCATTTGCTGCTGTTGGTGTTGCTGCTGCTGCTGCTGTTGAGGAGTCATCTGCATTCCTCCTGGCTGCTGCTGGGTTTTTTGCTGTGCCAATTGCATCTGCGCCATTTGTGATCGTAGTAGCTGGGCTTGATAAGATTGCTGAGACTGCATGTTGTGTTGCATCTGCTGCTGCTGATTTTGCTGCAATTGTTGTTGTTGATGCAATAACTGCTGCTGTTGATGATTTTGAATGTTCTGATGAGCCTGCAACTGAGCCATCTGCTGTGGAGTAAGGCCTTGCTGTGCGAGCATTTGTTGTTGTTGTCGCTGCTGCTGTAGAAGAAGGTGATGTTGTTGTTGGGGCGTGAGATTCACTCCAGCTCCCATTTGAGGCGTGGTCATCATGGGTTGATTCATTACAGGAGTTTGAGCCATAGTAGAGTTCGGTGGGCTACTATGGTTCATGCGCTGCGTCGGTGTAACGTTACGCATCACTGGAGTAGCGTGTGTCATGGCGGGAGTGCCTTGAGCTAATTGAGGCGTGCCGTTTCGGCTTTGACTCTGTTGACTTCTTGAAGGCGCCATTGGGTGGCTCATAACACCTGGATGAGCATGCTGCATTGTTGAAGGAGGCCTTGGCGGGCTGCCAGCTCCTTGCGCAGACGCACTCATGCTCATAGACACGCCGCCTTGAGAAACCATGTTGTTGCCAACGACCGGAGATGAAACATTGTGGGGAGTTTGATTGCGAACAATTGGCGACGACATTTGACCTTGTGAGACTTGAGACAAACCATTGGTCAATCTCTGCTGTTGCTGAGCAGCTATCTGGGCCTGCGCTTGTGCAGCGGCAAGTTGCTGGCGGCGCTCTTCTTTTGCATTCTCCTCGGCTTGTCGTTGTTCCAAAGCACGCCGTCGTTCTCGCTCCTGTTCTTGTTGCTGTCGTTTCACGTGCTCCTGTTGGATTTGCATTTCGTGCTCTCGTTTCGCTTTCTCTTCATGTTGAACACGAATGTTCTCAATCGTCTTAAAGCGTGAGAAACGTGGCTCGAATGGCACCGCTCCAGCAGTGTCATCAACAGCGGACTTGGCATTACCGGCTGCACCAGATGTAGCAGGCTCCAGTCTCTCGTCCATGATAAGCATAAATCTTTCCTCTTCCGCAGCCAGGGCTTCGTCTGCCGCCAGCTCTGCAACAGTTCGCTTCCTTGTCTTAGGCGAAGGTGGCTTGTCAGAGTGAAGTGGACTCTCCATAAGATGTAGAAGCTGCTGTACTGATTCAAAACTGTCTACCGGATCTAAGTAGACTGGAGGTGCCACTGCTCTAATGAGTTTGGCTTCAAATTCGGGGAGGTCCTGCGGTTCAACAAGCATCCTTTGCCTCTTTGCCGGGGGCTGACCTGCTGCTGACGTGGATACCTTGGACGCACCCTGTGGAGCTGGTTGCTTTTTGTTTGTGTTTGAAGTCACATTTGCATGTGGATGTGGCGTGGTGGATAAGTAGACCAGTTCGGCCTGGATAGAGAGCGGAGTAGGGTGAAGAACTGTGGTAAAAACTTTTGGTTTAGGGGCCGGTTGCTTAATTGATTCATCGGCCGTGATAGTTCCGTTCGTAACGCCATTCTGTCCAGTTGTAGATGCTTCGGTCGCACCACCGCTAGTCTCTTTACTAGATGGGTCGGGTTTGGGAGAGTCGAGCTTTTCTGATCTAACTTGATTTTGTTTCGGGTATGGGAGGTAAGGTGATGGTGTGACGTGCTGATTATAATTATGAATAGAAAATGGTGTATTCTTTTCGTCGGAAGATGGTACTGTCGACTTGCTTGTCTGGGCTGACATAGATTTGTGATCCACAACTTTGACTATAAGGCAGCCTGATGTTTTAAGGAGGAATTGTCAACACCAATTTCTCAAAATACGGAAACTTCATCTTTACCTTCGTAAAATTTAACACCAGCACGAAGAAGTTCATCTAGCATATCATGAGGTACAGTCTGAGACCGAATATGTTCAATGATGACCTTCATCTCTGAATTGTAGGGAAAGCTGCCATCCTGCTGCTCGAATCGAAAATGGGTGGGATGAAGATGAAGAATAAGAGATGGAGAAGAATTCGAATATTTCTTTAGGATATATGAAGTTGTTTTAACTAGAGAAAACCCTGTTAGTCAATCTTGCCATTCTGCGCCCAATTGTGCCGGAACCCACCAAATGGCTCTGGAGGTATTTTTGTCTGCCGACGATCAGTTTCGGCAACTGAGTTTCTCGTCGAAGGCCGTTGTAGGCGTGTTGGGGGGTCTCCGGGTCTCTGAAGATCTTTCCGCGACTTGTTGACAGGGCGGCTGTTTGCGCCATTGGCCACCGCGCCACCTACGGAAGTAGCAGAGGAGGACTGGTTGGCACCGGGAAGGCGTTTCGAAGTAATAGAAGGTGATGAGGAAGCGGAGGGGGACTGTTTGATGCCGTTGACTCCAGTCTGCGTGAACGAGGGCGGAGGGCGCTTCATTTTCGGCGGCTGAGAAGCCAGCTTAGAGACGGCGGTGGCCATGCTGCTGTGTTGTGTCGGGTGCTTGGCAGGACCGGATCGTCAAGCCAGCAAGCAAGCGGCACGCGCCTCACAAGTATGCGACTTCTGGTAAGGAAGATAGACCCCGAGTTCCAGGAATTGAGGCTATCACCGACGCGCGAGACATGTGGGGAACGGGGGTGAGATATCGGGTGGGCGACGGTAGATGGGGGTTTTCAATGCGAGATATTTTGCCAGTAGGACCCGAGGGTCCGGACGCGGGCTGGTTCTCGCTGGCCCGGAGCAGCGATGACGGGCGGCAGGGAGAAAAAGAAGGACAAGACGCTGGGAGATATCGATGGGGGGTGGTGGTGAGGCCGACAAGGGTCGTTGTTCTCGTAACGGCAGGTGATGTTCTCGGCTTGGCTGCGTTTGCTCCATGATGCGGTACCGCGCCGGTCACGTGAGCCACCGCATCGGGCTAGCGGCATCGGACCTTGCCCCGGATTCTTCACATTCTTATTATACTAGTCTTAATAGGTGTCTGAAGATTGACATGATTAGTGTTTTAGTTTATCTACTACGGAGGAATTGTGTATCCCGGTAGTACTGGGTAATGCTAGTAATGAATTATATTTTAATTCTAGAGTACAATGTCGTCAAAGGTATATACTGCTTAAGAGATCATAAACAATAATCCAAGCCAAGAACAGTCAAGTCAAAATAAGAAGAAAGGGTCATTGGAAATCGAATGGAATCGGAAAATACATTGGCGACAAAACAGAAACTGTAATCAGGCCAGCAGGTATAGAAATAGGAGATTGATTCGTCAACCATTAGTCATGTCCCGAGACTCGACGTCTCCAGTCGTCGCCAATCTTCAAGCTGTCGACAACATCAATGTGTTTGCCAATACCGGTGACACCTTCCTTCTGCCACCACTTTTCACGGTGCTCTCCGCCAAGTGCGGATTCGTCCTCGCTGTCGACCAGGCCGCCACGGCCGCCCTCATCACCGACGACGACTACGACATGTCTGACCCAGTTGGATAGCTGTTTCACGGTCTCGCCTTCGTTGCCTGACAGTGACTGCTGGATGTAAACGATATCCGGGGATAGGTGACGCAAAAGGTGCAGATAGCCATTGGTGGTGCTATATGGCATGATCATAGTATCTTTATCCACGATCGCTTGAGCTTGGGTGTACAGGGTCTTGAACATCGGGCTCGTCGCTTCAATATCCTCGGTTGCTTGTGGTTCAAGAGGTGTTAAGTCATTACCAGACAATTCGCCAGCACCAGCAGCCTCTTCATGGGCGATGTTGGAATACGAAGAATCAACTGATGGGGTAGGTCGCGTGGATGTCTGTTGTCCAATAGCGTGTTTAAGGCCCGGAGCATAGATCAGAACAAAGACTCGAGCGACATCAGGGTTGACGTGGGTTGGTAGATGGGAGAGAATAGACTATAATTCGTCAATAAAAAGTTTAAAAAAAAAGTCACCCCGATTAAAAAAAGGAAAACATACCGCGTGTTCGGTCAATGAAATATCATCACTCTCTCCGGACAACGGGTCAGCCGAAACGACAAGAGCCACAGTCCTCTTCTTGTTGGATGAAGGCGCCGTTCGAAGACCGGTTTCAGCTGCACCTCTAGCTCTTGAATCCGCTTCTTCTGACCAGCGCGAGTGGTCCTCGAAGTCGCCGCGCTCCTCTCGAATAGAGCTCAACGCGCCTCCAACCATAGCACCCGCGGCGGCCATTCCGGCCGCAACCCGCCTGCTTGCACCATCCAAGATCTGCTGGGGACTAGGTGTTCTGCGTAGCGCGCCTTGCATGCGACCCATAACGGTACTATCATCCTGGCGTACATCGGGACCAGTCGATCTCGCAAAGTCTGCGCCCTCTGCGCCAGGCGGCATATCTGGACCTGGAGGAGGCGGGTAATCATCGGGGAAAGCGCGGCCGTATTCACCTTCATCATCATCCTCGTCGCGTTCACTCCATATCCAAGCAGCTATACTGATTGTCGCGACTCCAACCGTAATGGCTAGTGGCACCCAGTACCCCATGAGCGTTCGCCTGCCCGTCGAGCTGAAGCCCAATCCGGCTGGAGCTACCCGGCGCCGGCGGTCTTGAGGGTAGGACATGGCGACAGGGCTGGGGAATCAAAAGGGCCGGTAGTGCTGAACAGATCAAAAGATATTATTGAGTTGTAGAAGCAGTCGCGTAACTCTCATTTCACCAGCTCGAAAAATGCGAATGCCAAAGGGCAATGATGGGGAGGAAGAAAGTAGCCGACCAGCCTCGGAGGACGAGAGGGGAGCCAAAACATGTGGCTGGAGCTGCCCGCGCTGCATGGTTACCATTGTTTATGCTGTTTGTTGTGTTTGCCCAAAAACCCGGAGGCTGGTGATCACGTGACCTGCGTTTTCCCGTTTTAGCCGTCATGTATTCCAATAAGTTAGCCCTAAGCATGTCTCTACATTTCCACTCAGTTGATTTTGGGTCTGGTGGCACAGTTATATCCCACAATATCTATAGCAGCAATATACAGAAAGCCTTCTCTTACAGTTTCCTCCCTCCGTAATCAGGCTTATACTCCCGAACGCCTCCCATTTTCATCAACTCCCTCAGAGCCATCGTCGCGTACTGGCTTGATCCTAGCTGGAACTTCAATACAACAGCAATTTTGTCTGCTGTCTGTTCAGGCTGACCTTCATTGCTGAGAGGTTCAGGCTGCCCACCTTTGAGAGCCTCCATATCAGTCTGCACAAATTGCTGGTCATCCACGGAGTATGTCTGGATATCGTAGGAGAATTCGGCTCCCGGTCTGCTGAGGAGCTTCCGGTAGCTGCCACTCAGACTTATATCTCTCCATTTCCGACGCATGTCGAAGGGATCTAAGCCACCGCCTTGCTCACTAGCCATAAAGCGTTTATAGAAATCCGTCATCTGGTTGGCAGGGTACAAGACGTCGTAGCCTGGAAGAGGGAGCACAATGTCAAAGATGGTGAACTCGCCACTCGCGGCTTCTTCAGCCGAGAGCGGGCGCGCGCGAGTAAACATAGTGTCTACTGCGTTGGCGGTATCGTCGGCGTGCGGAGCAACGACAATTTCGCCATCGGCGTCCACGGCTTCGTTGGTAGCCGCTTTCTGCTGTGTGTCGACAATCACCAAGTCCCCTTCTACAACCTTGCCGCCGTAGAGACGCCAACGTTCGCCGGCTGCAAAGTTCCAAACTAAGGATTGGTATGCATGTACATACATAAGTCGTAAGTTTCTAGGAATGTCTTGCAGCGCTCCCAGATAGTTATTTGGCTCGCGCCCAAGGTGACGAATGATACTGGTTTCAGCCGAAAACTTCCTTGGCAATTTTCTAAGTGCATCGCCCACACTCCTCGTTGTCTTGAAGATGTGAATCGCTTCGGCTCGCGCCTTATCATCGGAGCTGATCAGTGGGCCTATGCCCTCGGTGTCTTGGCCCTGAGCTACGTCGAGTAATTGAGGATTATAGTCCAGAACCATATCCACAGCGCCGCGGAAATCTCCTTGTAACATTTTGATGCCAATCTCATGCGTTCCTCTCGCATAGGTGCCAAATCGTTGTAGTCCATAGTAATTTAAATAACCACGGTCGCGCAAATTCCGCATTGCGCTACCGACTAACTCTTTGGCCTGCTCCACTGCCAATGGAACCTCGCCAGTGCGCGGAAACTGGCAGTCACGAAGGGTGATAATAAATTCGTTTCCCTCCAGCTGTCCAAGCTCCATTCCATACTTGCGGTATTCAAAATCACCCAAAGTAGCATTGCGCAGACTCTTGTTGAGACCCATCAAACGCTCTGCAAAGACTTTGAAAACACATGCTCTTTGTACCGTAACGCCCCGACGATCCTTTGTTCCCGCAAATTGAAAAGATTTTGCATTCATCTTGAGTTGCCGTGCCAGAAAGGACACCACTTCCATTGTATCCTTGTTCTCTTTGTAGATAGTGAAATGCATATATGTGCCTCCGAGCTCGTCCCACTTGGATCGATCAACCCGGTGTCCGCTTTCGCCTCGAAAAATTTTCGGCGATTTGTTGTGTCTGTTCGGTGCCGCGGAAATTATCATGTTGTTATCTGCATCCGTCTTCGACTCCAAGAGCGAATTGAAGATGCGGCGTAGATTAATGTGCATTTTGGTGCGCACATCCTTGTTCTCAACAACGCCAGCTTCGATTTGGCCAAACTTCCTAGGCGGAGTATTGGGAGATGCGTGGATGCTCGCGTGGAAATCAATAATTTTCAGGGCCGCTTCGTCCCCGAACAACGACTTGAGCAAGGCTAGGTCATCGTCTCCGATCTCGAACGGCTTTGGCGGCGCATCGTTCTCTTGGGCAGCACCGTCCCCATTTTTCTTCTCAACATCAGTGGAGGTTTTGAGTTTATCCTTCTCTGCATTTTTCTCTGGTCTCGATGAGATGTTGGCAGGCACACTGGTACTCCGCAGGTGGAGAACTTCGCCAGACGGGAGAATTTCGTTGACTAAGAAATCGGTATACCTACAAACAATTAACAATTCGCAGGCAAAGTGGGCATCACTTCGTACGCACCTTTTCTTCAGAATGCCCTCAAAGCCCGGGATATCTGTGCTAACAAATTCTGTAATTCCAACTTCCGCTTCCCTGCTGTGATTCGGGCGGTCGGAGGGCAGTGCGGTGACCAGGTCATTGCCTTGAGCAGGTGTGTCATCGATTTTGAGTCGTTTCCGTGGCGACTCCACGACTTCCTCTCTCTCTCTTTCCATTTTTAAAAATCAATGCGAAAGATGGCACGAGAAGATTGACTTCGGGATGTTGGAGCGTGGAGATTGAAAAGAAATTCTCGGCGGGACAAGCTCAGATGCGGGTCAAATCGGGGTTATCCTCGCCTGATTGGCTGATACCGTTCTATCTACATGATACTTGATTAATGGAGAAAGTCTCGATTGTTGAGAATTTATGGAGTGGTATTGCCAGATATATGTGGTGGGTTGATTTCTTCGAATATCTGAATAATATATACACAAGATTCTACAACATATCGAAATAGCCTGTTGCCGCACAATATCGGCTAATGGCTCTTCAATGAAGCATATAGCCCTAGACTTCGAGGAATAACCAGTACGTAGAGAGCGGCCTCCCGGTTCTCATTGATCAATGTCTCTGGCAGCTGCCACTAGGGGGTGTTACGTTAGAGAGGAGGTAAAAATAGTGTTGATGAAGCGTGTTTAATAGAAGTAAAAACACATCTTAGAGTTAAATATACATAGAGTGAAATTTCTCATGTTCATAATAGTTTATACTATAGCTGATGAGTTGTACAAGATCAATTTTATGCTTGTATGCGAATCCATACAAATTCGGTATCCTGATGGAGCCGGGATGTATCATCTGTCATTGCGGTTAGGACGAATATCTAGGGTGGTTAACATGATTGATCACTCATCGTCTTTGACGGTCTTAGCATGTCTATCTTACAGGGAACACGTTGTTAGGGGGAGATGAGAATTGATTGACACGCCTTTGATGTTGAGCATTTGAGAAATTTAATCTGAAAGTTAACGGCAGGATTGCTCTATCTAGTACTAAGTTGAATAGTGGAATAGTTGGGTCAGATATAATTGAGATTTGCTCAAAAAGCTGCTTTGCAGAAACAATAAAGATTATTGAGAATGCAAGACGATTGATACCATCTCACCAAACCGCCGTCTCAAATAGTCTCGTCTTCCAGGTTGTTTTGCCCTCCTCTTCTGCAAACGCTACCGTCACCTCGTCACCTCGTCATCTCTTCAGCTCTCCATCTTACCTCGTCTCACCTCCATTCATCTATCTCGTCAATCTCACAGCCTCAATAATCACTTCGTAACCCGACCGATCGCGTCAAAATGACAAAACGCAAAACCTCCTCCCTCGCCTCCCACGAACGCTCATTTGACATCGCAATAAACATGCTCCTCCGCTGTGAGCGCTTCATCCGCGATCTCGCATTCTTCCGCGGCGAAAAAACTTCCATCCTGGCGCGAGAATTATATGAGAATATGTTCCACATCGATGGGCAAATCCTCAAGTACAAAGTAGACGGCGAGCTCAACGACTACGAGTACCGTCTTCTATCCCAAGTCAACGAGGAGCTGACCGACTACGCCTTCCTGGCGAGTGCGAATATGCATCCATACGATGTGGAGCGATTGGTGGAGAGCGAGAAAGGAGGCGTCAAGTTTTCGCGTAGCGTCGAGTTTCCTCCCGCCAATTGGGTGAATCGCGTGGCTAGAAAGACGCAAAATCCGCTTGCGGTGTATCCTTTGGGGAAGGTGAAGGAGGAGTAGGTCTGTTGTGAGTGTAGACTTGGCATATATGCAACGGGTGGCTGATGAGATAGATTCAAATTATCATCATGATTTATTCAACAAACGAAGGGACGGGTTGAAAGACGGCTCAGTTGAACAGAATCATTCAAATGGGTAGTTGCGGATGGCATGTCATTTCAATTCGGGGAATTGATGTTCATGAGATAATTCGTATGCGGAGCGTTGCTTTAATTAATGCTGAGACCGACAAACGAAATCAATGGTATGGCGTCGTGTGACAAACACCGCGATTGAAGCTGGCTCTACTTTTATCGTAGACTGTTAGGTTGTATGCACAATACTTACCAACATGAGAGTTTGCGAATTCATCCAACAGGAGTCTTCGACATTTGTCCACCAGTGAGCTCGACATGTTACCATATATGCAAATTCATATCCCGGTCTCATATACAAATCAAGAACCGCACGTAGTCATCTATTCGCAACGCTGGACGACGATCTCTGTCGTGAGCGACTACAGTCGCCCGCCAAATATACTTCAATCTTGGATTTCCCCGCCCACTGATCTTTCATACCCTGGACGACGTTCCGCACCGCCGCACGAGCATCCTCTCGACCAGCCCCATCATCAAGCAGACTATCGTACGAGGTGTGCTCGTGTCTGAGATGTGCCTCTACCGCAAGTTGCGCCTTTTTCTCTGCCGACTTGGTCGTCGTTCGTCCCACTCTTCCAGACCCTTTTAAGAACGAATGCTTGAGGATCCGCTCTGCGCAGTGGGCTGGGATCTTTGGAAATGTCTCTTTCAAGACCTCCTGTGCCTTTTTCTGGTCTCGTGCGTCTCGAAGAAGAACAGCCTTGGCGCGATCCTTGGCTGTTTGGGTCGCGAGATCGGTGATATGGCTGTATACCTCCTGTTTGACTCGGATGCCAAGCTGTTCTTTGCCTTTGCTGTCCTATACATTTGTTAGTAAAATTCAACACTGAAGTGATATAACCTACATAAACCATGTACACCACACTTCCTTGAGCCTTACTCTGCGTCTTGCAGTTTCTGGTGACATAAGGATCACCCTTAGCAACAAAAACATAACCCTCTGGCATGGAATCCGCACGGAAGCAAGGCTGCACAACCCCGCGCAATGGTTAGCCCTGATTCTGTTACTGTAATATCCTGCTAACATACCTTTTCAAGAGGATCATCTGATTTCATATTCTCTCGCTCGTGAAGAGGGGGTCTGGTTTTCTTCTTTCTGGGCCCTGCTCTCCTCCTTTTTTTACGACCCCCCAGGCGAGATTTTGGTACAGTCATTTTATCGAATGCAGACCAAGGCAGACGATGGGCTTGATGCGGTCTAAGGCATTACAGAGGAAGACGAGACGAGATGGCACTTCTCAGAGTAACATTGACATGATGGAAGGCCTTTTTGTAGCTGCAGTGTGAAACGACGCGGCAGCCTCCTAATTTCTGGGACACGTTGGCACGTGGCAGGTGTGGCGCAAACTGGCCGTGGCGCAGGCGATACTATCGACCTCAAAATATCAGAGTATTATGTAGTATGTAGGTATGTAGTATTATACTACGAGCCATTTGTAGTCACAGCAGTCGCATGTTGACAAGACGATCTCGGACTAACGGCGCTACTACCAGGCTGCTTCGGCGACTACCGCGAGGAGTTCAGCCGCCGCGGTCGATAGATGTACATTGGTACACACTACTGGGAAAAGTTGAAGCATTATCTTTTCAAGCAGTAGGCTTGTCTACACTGACATTTAACGAATTGACACGTATTAATATTAAACATTTAAATATTGTTTATTATTTTATGCAGTGCGGGGTGTGGGGCTTGCAAACTTAATCGGTAGCATTTGCCACTCTTTCAAAATTGAAACATTATCGACCTGATGCTGTATATTCAACATTGACTGGGTATTGACTAGCTGATGTTCTTGCACATCCGCGATATCCTGGGCAGAACCACAACATATTATATTATTCTCGACTCTTTTATACATATGTAATAGTTACTATTTTTGAACCTTGTTATTTAATATTAATATAAACAAGTTCAGCCCTCTGGACCCATAATACTACTTGCTAGTCTTGTACTAAATACTACCAGATCGAGTTAATGACGTCAGGCGAGATCCCTTACCTGGTTATTAGTGCAGTATTTTCAGGAATCGTTCGATCGGAGTGAATACTAACACTAGTAACTGAATAGGGGTAGGGAGCAGTTCAGTGCTGCATTCATATTCTGCTCTCGATTACAAGTATACTATACGGCTAGCCCTCGCCGTGTCAGGCTGTCAGCAGATAGTGATAGTAGTAGTAATATTATATTCATGCGAGCAATGCGACATAACAGCTTTGACTCGATGTCGGCTTCCATAGTGTGTTACAGACCGGTATAAAATATACTGTGTACAGTATGCTATTGATAGTATCGCGCTTATCTCTCTTCTAGTCCATAACTATAAGTCATGCGTCTCCTCCTACTCCAAGGTACTGTGCACATACGGTGCAGTGTCGGTGATACTTCTACAACAGCAATCAGAGCAATTCCAGTAATACAATGGAATCAATGCTGATTGCTGATGCTACTCTACCCGGCCAGAGCTCAGCTAACTCGTACCTCCGTATAGCGCGGTCCACATCGCCGTGAATGGCAAACCATCCATGACATCAGCTCGGTACACGATTGCGCTGATCTGGATTAAGACGGAGTATTCTTTCACTTGCAGGAGAAAAGACTGTGCAATTGATAATAAGCAGGAATTTGAGTAAATCATGAAGATGTGTTTAATATGGCTATATATTGTACGTCCATGTATTTGTACCTGCGTCGAAGCTGACCCTCGCATCAGGCGGGCAGCGGCCGCAGGGGTTCGCCCAATCATGGCGCCGCCGAGGGCCCAGCCAGGCCTAGAGTCCTAACGAGAAAGACGGCAACGATCCCGGAGATTACTCTCTCCTTCCAGGACTTGCCAGGTTCTCCGGTACTGGAGAATAGAATAGAGCATAAAAGTGAATCCAGAATATATGATAGAATGTGGATTCCATAGTTACAAATAATTCAATGTTATGATGATAAGTAGGTGACCTGACCGCAGTACATAGAAGCATGCATGTATCGATGTAGCTGCTCGATCGATCCTGCACTATCCCGATGTGCGCCCGCATCATCTCATCCCTCGCGACGATAATTGGCCTCAGCTTCGCTAGCCCGAGGCTGGCAACACTCCATTTATTATCGCTGGATTAGCAGCCACTCAGGACCGCTACCTTCCAGACAGAGGGAACCAACGCAAGTAGAATAGCCGATGAGCACGACAGACGGTCGTAGATAATGCAAAGGAATCTATTGTTTGATTAGCATCATCTTTTCGATGTCCAGCTGGATGCTGGCACTTGCTGCTTAGGGTTGGCGGCCTGTGGAGCACGGCGAAAGAAAAATCCCCATTTGACGCTAGATCCAAGCCCAAGACAGCAAAACGAAAACACTTCCAACCTTACTAGCCTCAGCTCCAGCCAGCCCTGCCGTCTTTTCTCGTGCGCACCCGAGCGGCTCTCTCACTTAAGCTGCGACTCTGGATACGCTTGCCGGCAACTGCAGATCAAGCGCAGATAGGATTAATAATTAGTAGCGAATGTGAATAGAAAGAACAAGGGAGAAAGGAGGAAAGCGCATTCCTGGGCTTCCTCGCTCCCTTCGTTCCTTCCCGCAGCCCCTCTCGCACCTACCTGCCTGCCTGCCTGCCTGCTGCTGCTGCCCCGTTTGCTCCATCCATCCACTCTTCTTCTTTCTCTCTTTCTCCTCCTCCTCTCTCGCTGAACATCTCTCGATTCTTGACTCTTGCCCCGTTATTCTACCAACAGGAATAAGATAAGACTATGCCGTAAAGGCTTGTCTGCCTAGCTTCCACCTCGTTAGGGCCGTGAATCCGCCCTGCTGCCTGTTGGCTGTGCGAGCTCGGCCCTGTGCTCCTTCTCCGCACGAGATACTTAAGCCCGCCCACTAGCATTCCACATCTCCCCCGATCTGCGCTTCCTCATTCGAGCTCAAACTTTCATGGTTGCTGGGCTATCTTTGCGAACATGACTTGGGATCGCCCTGTCCACAGGTATGTCAAAACCGGATCTGACAGGCTGGATATTGTCCGTGGTGGAAGCAAACGACCTGCTTTGGATCATGGCTGGCCTTGCTGGTTCCTGACAGTCTCTGCCCTCAATTTTGCATGGTCCAACCATCTCGTTTTGTTTCTGCTCGCCTCAAGCCATAGCCTGAGCATTGCTCTGTCTAGTACTGCACAATGACCATGCTGATCGATGCTATGAATACATTTAGTTTCAACTACCCGAATGGCGAACCCCAGACTCCGACGAGGACGCCCACCTCGGGAGCGTTCGGTGATACTACTTTTCAAACCCCCAAGTTTGAGTCCAGTTTCTACGATCCCCGGGTGACATGGGACACCGCAGATCCGTATGCGTCGAGTCCAGAATTGCTCAAGACCCCGCAAAGATTCGCCTTTGGGACGCCGTCTCACTCGATGCAACCTCTGGATGCCTCCTTTGGACAGCACATATCACCCAATGTCACCGCTAAAGGGCCGGTGGACACTGACACTGCCAAGCGCAAGCGGGCTGCGAAGCCAAACACAAATTTCGTGGAGGAAGGACCGGGCACTGTCAATTCGACTCGATCTGCAGCCACTATACAAACTCCCCCCCCAACAAGCACGTCTCGGAGGAGAGCAGGAGATCCGGCAGATGAAGGACAGGGTTTTGTAGAAAGTGCAAAAAGGCTGTCAGCTGCCACTGAAACCCATTTGGAAACACCAAGCCGAATCATCGGTGCTTCACCGCACCTGTTTCCAAACCTAGAAAACTCACCTGATTTGTTTCGATTTTCAACCATTAACCAGTCTACCTCTCCTTTTTTCCCGCAACAGAAGCTCTTTCTGGATCAAGATGCCAATGACTTCTCTCACCTTTCAACAGATCCATTTGGCGGTGCAAACAATGACTTTTCTACCGCAATTAATGCAGCATCCCATCCTCAGTCACTGGACGTACCGCCACTCCCTACCATACATGGATCATTGGATTTGTCCGAATTTAGCCATGACCCTAGTTTTGGCATGGGGACAACCACTCCGGCCGACGCTGCTCTATTTCCAGCCCCCTTCTCTACTTCCCCTCGCGTATTAATTGCGAAGGCAGATGACCCAAGTCTATTCCTCAGCTCGCCCGCTCGACGGTTCGGGCCTCCCCAGGCTGTCTCAGAACCAAGGACTGCTCCTCGACCATCTCGACAGCCTTACCATCATCAGACAGAGGAAGCAAAACGAGAGCAACAGCGCCGTACAAGCCAAGTTGACAGCCGACCTCCATCTGGTTCATTTTCCGGTGACGAGGGGAAGGATGACGATTTCACCCCTCGTGCTCAGGGCTTCAGACCAAGCTTGAACAGAAGCCATACCACAACTGCGATTACATCGCTTTCCTCACACTCCCGTCAACAGAGCCAACTCTCCTTCGCCAGCAGTCACACTTCATCCAGCGGCGTCAAAAAGGTTCCCCCGAAAGGACGCGTTTCTCCGGTCAAGACAATGCGGCAACCCTTGCCACGATCGAATTCCTCATGCCTTCCTACTCGTTCACAATCTTTGATCTTGAAGATCGATAAAGATGGTAGGGCAAAGACCGAATTCCAAGCCCCTGGCAGCAACCAGTTCACCGGTCTCACCGATCCGATTTCAGAAATGGACATTGATGGGTCTGCCACCGAAAGTGAAAGCGATTCTGCAGAATTCTCCGACTACCCTGCTGTACAAAGCACAAATAATTCCTTCGCATTCTCAGGCCTGTCTCTCACAAAACCACAGCTCAGCCGAACCGGCTCGATCTCCCGACCAAACTCTAAGAGTTCTTATGCATCATCATCCCTTTCGGGACGTCGTTCACCGTGGGCAGATTCACGACCTAAACGGCCTCAGTCGGCGATCATCCCATCAGAGTGGACCAACACGCCGAGACGGTTTTCGATCCCATCTAATGCCAATTTTACCCGAAACTCGGCGTCCACTGATAGTACTTTGCCAGATCCTGATGAGGACTCAGGCGATGCTCAACATGCACTCAGACAAGTTCTCCAGGGACGTGGAAGAAACACGGTGGGAAGGTATGCAGGAGGGCGGATGCCTGTATCTCAGTCGATGAACCATCTTCCCTCTTCCCCTCCTGGCATGGGGCGATTCGACATTGGCTCTGGCGATTCCACGACATCCCCGACTACCCTCACCGATCCCGATTTAGGGACCCCGAATAGCGACAGACGGACCAACCCAGGGAATGGCACTAGATGTGTTTGCAAGTCAATGGAAAACGGCGGTCACTTGATGATTCAATGGTAAGTTTCACCTTTTATCATTTTATTTCTGCTAACAAGGATTAGTGAGTCATGCAATCACTGGCTGCATACCAAATGTGTCGGCTTGAATCGATCCAACCTTCCCCCAGTGTACATCTGTGTGTACTGTTGCTCTACCCCGATGCGTGGAGGTCGCATTCGTGATCCTTTGGTCGGAACCTCACATGCTGCCTCCTCACCTCTGGCACGCAAATCCTTCCGATACCGATAATATTATCCTCTGAATCCGCCTGTATCTTACAACATCGATACCATGTTTTGCACATCCGATGAATGGTCTCATCTTTCTTTCAGACTGTCCATCTCATTAGATACCCTAAAATTGCTTTGTCGAGATTGACTAGCCTCGACTTTCATTTGTAATTACGTCTAACATATCTATTTTGCATGTGTAGAGAACATGATAATCCGTTCACACACTGAGAAATTTCAATCGATATCCGTGCAGTACATTTGTATGTAGTATCATAGTACCTTGGCTTTTAGTACGACAGATTATCTACCTACTTATAATCATCCGGAATAACATTTCTCATCAACTCATTACTCTTACTATAATCAATAACAACCTCCACAATCGCCACGCCTTTGACCGCGAGCGCTGCTCTCATCACACTCTCCAACTCCCCACTCGTCCTCACCCTGAACCCCTTCGCATCAAACGCCTCTGCGAACTTCACAAAATCAACGCCACCAAGCCTAATCCCCGAGCTGCGTCCGTACTTGGCCTCTTCCTGGAACTCGACCATGTTATATGCCGAATCGTTCCAGATGAAATGCGTGATATTACACCCCTGCTGCACCGCCGTCGCCAATTCTTGCGAACTAAACATAAACCCGCCGTCGCCGCTAATACTCACCACCTTCTCCGCGCACGGTACAGGTTTCTGTGACAAGCTCGCTGCGATTGCCCAGGGTAGGCCAACGCCCAGCGTCTGCTGTCCGTTTGAGCAGAGGAGATGGTGAGGGAGATATGTGCGGAAGTACCGCATCATGTAGATATACACGGTGCCGACGTCTACGGCAACCACGGTTTCCTTGGGTAAGAGATGCCGGAGTAGGTACACGAATTGAATCGGCTGGACGGGCTCGTTGAGGGACATCCCCACCGTCGCCGTGGCTTCCCAGCTATCAAGCTCCTGTCGGATACTCTCGAGCGCGTCCTCTGCGCCATTCCAGAAACTCGGCCGGGCCGTGTGCATGCTGGAGTTGAGCTCGTCGATGATGTCGGCTGGGTTCCCGATCAGTTCGATGTCCGGGAGATAGTGCTGCGAGACCTTGGCGTCGGTGTAGTCGATATGAATGATATTATGGCACGAGGGCTTGACGTTCCAGGACTCCGCGTCATATTCAAACGGGTCGTATCCAATAGCCAGGATGACATCTGCCCGCGCGAGCACTTTGTCCCCAGGTTGGTTCCGGAATAGGCCGACGCGCCCGTAGAATCGGTGAAGAAGACCCTCGCTGATGGCCCCGGCCGCCTGGAAGGTTTCGACTACGGGGATCGTGTAGTCTTTAATCAGCCGCTGGGTGGCAGCGACAATGGCCTGGTTAGCTGATCGCATACCCAGCAGGATGACGGGGGATTTGGCGGCGAGAAGCTTGTCCAGTGCGGCGTTGCGCAGGCGTGGATTGCTGCTCCCGTAAGTTGGTGGGTTGAAGCTGAGGCTGGGGAAGGGCGGGGTTTTGACAGAGGTGCTTTTGATGAGGTCCATGGGCAGAGCCACGGCGGATGCGCCCTGCGGGTATCTGCGTGCGCGGCGGAAGGCATTGACGACGACTTCGCTGACCTGGTCTTCGACGCTGACCTGGGTGACGGACTTGCAGACACCCTCGAGGACTTTGACGACGTCGAGGGCCTGGTGGGTGTGCCGCGCGGCTTGGAGGCGGGAGACGGTGCCGGCGATGGCGATGACGGGGTCGCCCTCAGAGGTAGCGGTCGCGAGGCCTGTGACGAGGTTGCTCGTGCCAGGCCCCGACGTGACGAGACAGACACCAGGAACGCCGGTCAACCGCCCGACTGCAGCTGCCATGAACGCGGCATTCTGCTCATGCCGGCAGATGATCAGCCGAATGGTTGGGTGGTCGCTCAGCGCGTCGAAGATGCCGTCTACTTTGGCGCCAGGGATGCCGAAGACGATGCTGACGCCTGCGTTGGCGAGGGAGTCGACGATCACGTTGGCGAGGTTGCGGGTGGACATGGTGTTATCTCAATCGACGTTGACCTGGCTGGGATGCTGTGTCTGTATCTGTTCTATTGAAGTCTCATATTCGTGAATTGGTAGTCACAGCTGAGAAATTGAAGAATTGGATCAGTCCGCTGATGATATATACCAGATATATCGGATATATATATCGGATATATAGGTTTTATATAGACGCGATCAATTGAGGAAGAGGGAGAGTGAGAGAGAGTTGGAGGTGGTGGCTGCTGCTGCGGGGCATCGAGATAGAGAGAATCCGTGCAAACCCGGTGGCTGCTCTGACGTAACCTTGTCTCAGCATTTCCACCATAACCCGGACACAGATCAGGGTTATACATATACATGTACACGTATATCTATGTGGGTGTGTATAAAGCGACATGGCAGACAGACTATATCAGTATTCCACGGCATCTGCCCTCATGGCAGGAGTCGCGTCGAGAGGCATCCGACTATCGCACCTCCTCGCGCATGGCAGCCATGGCCTGGGCACAATGACATCGATCAACGGCGAAGTCGTGATCATCGACTCTACAACCTACCATCTCCAATCAACGGGCGCAGTACGCGTGGTTGAGCCTCACGAGGAGCTCCCCTTCGCCATGATCACGTCGCTGCAGGACTGCCGGACTAAACAGCAAGCAACCTTTGTCAACCTGTCCAGCAAACAGTCCCTCCTTGACCACCTCCGCACTCTATTCCACGGTATTGACAACCGGTTCGTCTTCTTCCTGATTCCCCGTCTCCGCCTCGACTATCTCAAGGCCCGCGTCGTTCGCGGCCAGCAGTATCCGCGCCAGCCATTGTCCGAACTCGGGGATGCGCAGAAGGTCAATACCTACAGGGATGTGGAGGGGAGTGTGGTAGGGTTCTGGTCGCCGAAATACATGGACGGCGTGTCTGTGAGCGGTCTACACATGCACTTTTTGTCAGAGGATAGGCAGTTTGGCGGCCATGTGCTGGAATTGGAGTCGACGACGCAGATCACCATGCAGGCGGCTGTGCTGAATGAGTTCGACCTGGAGGTGCCTGGACACGACGAGTTTGGAGAGGCCACGCTGGGGACAGACGGGGAGGCGCTGCGGAAGGTCGAGGGTAGCTACCATTAATTAACATTGATATTGATGATAAAATTGAATAATATGATGAACAAGGACTGTATGTGAGGCACTGTGCCGAAGGTGACGGCGGCTAGAGTCGGCGGCTCCGTTATCGCTGGGCTTATCTCTTCACCGCCTCCGATGCTGCTCCCGCTTTTTCCCTTTTCTTCGATATCTATTTCATTTCATTCCATATATTTATATAATATAGAGTCCTCATCTTGCATTGTGATTGACCTAGCGTTGGCATCGTCTGGAAGGCGAAATGTCCTCCTCCATTCCCGGCAGCAGGGAACTTCCGCGCTCGCAATATGATCTGACCACGTACTGGGGTCGCGTGCGCGAGGCTGCCGGCATTTCAGACCCTCGGTCAGTCCTGACTCTTGACGTCGAAGGAATAGAATTGTACTGACCGTTGTAGAATGCTCTTCGTCTCGTCGTCCGGCCTCGAAAATGCCAAGAAGGCCATTACCTCATACAAGAAAGGCGATGTGAGGGAAATGTCCCCTGAGTTATGGCGGGCAAAGCAGATTGTCGACTCGACCTTGCATCCTGGTATACACCCTCAACTTCTCCATGATCGCAGCCATTGACAGTTATGATAGACACTGGCGAGCCAGTTTTTCTTCCCTTCCGCATGTCCTCCTTTGTCCTTTCCAATCTCGTTGTTACGGCAGGCATGCTCACGCCAGGATTGCAGGTATGAACCCACACTGCATGTTCCTAATATCCAAACTTACGCAAGTAGACCACCGGCACACTGCTCTGGCAAATCGCCAATCAATCTCTCAATGTCGCCATCAATGCCTCCAACGCTAACAAGTCCACCCCTCTCACCACCTCCATGATGGTAAAATCCTACCTGATGGCCGTATCAGCCTCATGCTCCGTCGCACTTGGTCTCAACGCCATTGTGCCTCGCATCAAGAACATTTCGCCTAACACAAAACTTATTCTCGGCCGTCTCGTCCCGTTTGCCGCCGTCTCCAGTGCAACAGCCTTGAACGTGCTTCTTATGCGCGGCGAGGAGATTCGCAGCGGCATTGACGTCTATCCCGTGCTCTCTGAAGAAGAGAAGAAACAACGCGAGCTGACCGGCGAGCCCATCGAAAGCCTAGGCAAGAGCAAAGTCGCCGCCAAAATCGCCGTGGGCGAGACCGCCATCAGCCGAGTCCTCAACGCCACGCCGATCATGGTGCTGCCGCCATTGATTCTTGTGCAGCTCGAGAAAATGGACTGGCTGAAGGCGCGGCCGCGCCTAGTTACGCCGGTGAACCTCGGCTTGATTTTGACGACTTCTATTTTTGCCTTGCCGTTAGCTTTAGGCGCTTTTCCGTCGCGCCAGGCGATTGCTGCTGCGAGCTTAGAGCCAGAGTTTTGGGATAAGGGGGGAGAAGGAGGGAAATTGGAGTTTAACCGGGGCATGTAGAGGGTATATTTTAGCTTCTATTCTTTTATATAATTATAGATCATTTGGCTTCAGCATTTGCTTATGCATGACAATTGGTTATTCCTATGCATGAAATATTTTGAGCGGCCATACTTCCTGTTTTGCTATCATCGATTACCAAGATCAAGGTATTCAACAAAATACCTGATTTGTTTCGAAGTATACTTGTTTAGTTGGCATGAATTTGTCGTCTTGAAAGTCTAGACTACTCTGCCCGTACATGATCGGGCTCTTTTACGCGGTGTGAATTATGAATATCTACCTGAATTATCAATTGAGGACTGCTCAAATGACTGAAGGCTGGTGTTGAGATGAAGCTTTAGAGTATTCTCACAGAGCAATATCTATAAAGTTATGAAGTAATTCCCTGGTGTGGTGCAGTTTTGGCGCTGAACTGTGTTCCCATGTCGCTGCCCCTCGCTTCATCCATCGAGCAAGCTGCGAGTACCGCAGGTTATCGTATTCAATGCCTAAGAAGACTTAGTGTCACGTATTATAGCACGAAGTTCATAGTGATGCTATTTTACACAAAGATCTACATATGTATATACAGTCGACAACCCACTATAACCTCCCCTCAGCTTTCATCTGCCTCGCAATCTCAATGGTATGCGGCACTACCTTGGCCGAACCTTTTCTATGACGCTCCAATATCTCCTCAGCCTCCTGCTTCTGTTTCTCTCTATCGGTGATCTCCGGATGTGGGAAATCAAAGGAAAAAGTCAAATACAGCTCCTCCTCATTCTCCGTATCCTCTGATGCATATGAAATGATATTCGACACACGCATCCCCGTTGCTGGGACGTGGAAGTCGACCTATTATTTGCATAAGCGTCAACATTCTACAGATAGGGTGAAAATGGACATACCCTCGTAGGCGGATAGAAATCAACCACCTCCTCGACCTCCTGCTTCTCGAGTTTACCCATAGTGCCAGCTTTGAACATGACCTTCCGTGTGAGCCCGTCGGCGTGCTCGTGTATGACGCTGGAAGACTCGATCGGAGCAACGAAATCCTTGGGATACCGCGCTTTGTAGACGAGGGCGGCGTATAGGTCGTTTATGCTTAGTTTTGGGGATGATAAGGGGGAGTTGACGGGGGCTGTGGCGGAAACGGATATGAAGACCATTCTCTTTCTCTTTCTCTTTTTTCTTTATAGGACAAGTGTTTTGTCTGTATTTTAAGCACTGATCGAGATGTATACCTTCAAACTTTCAAACATCAATGTCAGTTTTCGATGTCTGGTTGTATTGAAGAGAATACTGCCGAGGTGGTCGCGAACCCCACTAGTGTGATATTAACAATAAATCGCATATTATATTCCTCAGGCCAGACTTGACATCAAGTGATGTATTATTTCGATCGTTCTTTACATATGTAGTTGGTTGTCTACTTCAATAACTATGTATCGAATGTTCAATATTTCAAAAATAAGTAGTTATGATAATGGAGAGAGACAGTCCATCGAGACTGAAATGCTCTCCTGGACAGTCGCAGGGCCGATTTATAGGGGTGGGACGCATTTGAGGATGAGGAGGCCCCCAAATAACCCTGCGTAGATAAGCGGCTTCGGGCAGGAGACGCATTAGAGCATTTGAACGTTCTGGCACCAGTTCGGGGCAGGCGCCGCGGGGAATTAGGGGCCTAATGACCTCCTTAGTGCCCACTAAAACGAGACCTTCATAGCTCAAGGTTAAGGCTGGGTAAGGTCGTTAAACTTGATGATGGTGATGATGGTAATATCGAGATCTGGCACAGGTCGGCCAGGATGCTATATTGCTACACACATTTTCTACTGGCTTTATTCTTGTCTTGACAATCGTCTTGGCATGGACGTTTCTTTCCATGTTCGGCTCTTTTCCGCGCGGCTCTGTCTAGCGTGCTTTATTTTACCACGCATGGCACTGATCGCCTATTTCCATGTTCAACCTCTTCTTGACTCCTATCCTCCCTCTCACACACCGCTATCAAGATTACAATCCGATTATGGCTCTTCCAGCTTCCATTGCGGCCTCAGCGTCTTCCTTGGCTGCGAGCTGTACAGGAATGATTGATTCTGCCCATACCCTTGACTTATTTCAAAAGAATGACAATCGCCTGGTCGACCTGTTAGACGTGTTACAGTAATTGAGAAACATAATCATTTAAGCCTGAACTTGACTGATATTAACAGTATCCTGTCTTCAACACTGAGCGCCATGGCCCTTTTCTGGACTATCAATCAATTGGTAGCCATCTCGGATGAGCTTTCAGAGATCTTGCAAATCCTATCCATCTCCTTTAACCATTGTAACCTCAGCTTGGAAAAAATCCAAGGGGCCTTTGAAGAGGGCGAAAGAGAAATTCTCTCAAGCTCCGATATATGGTGCAAGCGAATTCAAGCCCATGCTGATGCCACAGCACTTGTTTTGGAAGCAAGTATTGGGTAGGAATAATATTAACTTCATTCCTGTATATTTGGTCTCTAACTATGTACGATATAGTGGTCCAGATATTTCCGCTGTTGACATAATCAGTGTGAAACAACTCATCAAGGATATGAAACAGGCTGTTGAAGAACAGGAAAATATTGTAACGCTGAACAATACCCAGGGTATCGAAATGGAGAGTATTATTAATAATATGGAAATATTGATGGACAAGGTCCACCAGTATGGTATAATCATGCGCAGTGAAGGAGGAACAATTTCAGTTTCTACAGCCGAGGAAGGCCCTTCTGGTCCGAATACTGCCAGAGTCTTGTCTTCAGCACAGGGCTTTATGACGGCTAAGGAACGGATCCTGAATGAGTGCCACAATTTCTCCAAGATTAGAGAGCTCATTTACCATAAGGAATTTACCGCAGTGCAGGAATGTGTGAGATTATTTCATACCGAGGTTGCCCTCACACTTGAATCAAGGCGATTGTTGGCAGAATATTACTATTTGGGGGCCATGTTTGGACAAATGATTGAAATTCTAAAGTGTCCGCGCGAAATACTGGAAAGGGACAAGTTTCTTGCGTCGAATGTTCAGCACCTCCTGGCGAAGGCCTTCTTTGGGATTGGGGAATTTGACAAGGCCATTGAGTATTCCCATGCCAGTCTGGACACCCGAAGAGATCTTATAGAACATGACCAGCCGACGTTTTTGGAATCGGTTGAACTCTTGGTAGCTATTCTTCGGGCCACTGGACGGTTTGAGGAAGCCATTGCAGCAAGGAAAGAGTATCTATCAGCAGAATACCGCCAAAGCTTTGAAATTATTGATACCATAGGTGACTTATTTCAGAGAGACAAACCTGCTGCGGTGGAGTTCGTGATTCAGATGCTGGATAGTAACTATGGAAGGGAAAATCTCATGTCGAAAGTACAGGGAATGAATCAATTCTTGGAGAGTATCAAGGAACGAGAATTTCACGATGTAATTTTGGGCTTCGGGACAGGTGTTTCGCTAGTTACAGTGTTTACCGACATGGATGCTGGAGCGTGGGCTGGGCTACTAGGAATTAGGGGTATTATCTCTAGGGATCGTGTGCCTGGAAGTCGATGCCTAGCCTTTGACAATCTTCTCCGGAAAGCTGCTAAGCAAGGCGTCCTCTCGGAGGTGTATGTACTCCGCAGCTTCGGTGCTGACGTGGAAGCTGGATATGATTCTCTCGCTTGGTGGCCACAGTTGCCAGAAAATCTCGAAAATAGATCACCATTGTGCCTTGCTTCAGAGGCTGGGCACAGCGATGTTGTTGCGCTTCTGCTAGGTGGCCATACGAATATCGAGGCACGAGGATATTCCCAGATGACCCCTTTGATATTCGCCGCGCAAGGCGGAAATGCCACGACTGTCCGGCTTCTCCTACATAGAGGCGCGGACATTGAAGCCAAGGATGAAAACCAGAGAACGGCTTTGTCTCATGCCGCACAAAGTGGACATATTGAAGTTGTTGAGCTCCTGCTGGATTGGGGAGCCGATATGGAGACAATAGACGCAGATGGAAAAAACCCGCTACAATATACTGTGCCGTTTGGGCATCTCCCAATATTTAATCTGATGTTGCAAGTGGGAGCCTACCGTCAGATACAAATGAATTAAGGAAAAACGCATGTCACAACGCCAGTCCTGGCTTGACCAGATTAACAAATGGAAAAAGAGACGGCCTTTTTCTGACTACGGAAGAGCTGAACGTTCTTGTTCCATTAAGCCGCAAACTCTCATTGAGGAGATACACAATCTAACAGCCGGCCGAAAGGACTGCGCCTATATCTCGACTGTAGTTGGTCAGCACAAGATGTGGGTTGCTCAGTATTTCCGCTGGTGCCCCCCTCGCACTCTCATTACATGTGGTGACCTTCGAACAATGGGATATGTTCTCCCTGCAGCGATTGGGGTCAAGGTTGTCAAACCACATGCCCTTGTTATTGATATTGATGGTGATGCATCTTTTGCCATGACCTTGAACGAGCTGTCAACTGCTGCGCAATTTAATATCGGGGTAAAGCTCATCATCCTGAATAATGAAGAGCAGGGCATGATTACACAATGGCAAAACCTCTTCTACGAGGATCGTTACGCTCACTGCCATCAAAAGAACCTCGGCCTTGTGAAGCTAGCGATGGCTATGGGTCTACAAGTCCGCCATGTAGTAAAACCAGATCATGTATTTAACAGTCTGAAGTGGTTGATCGACACTGAGGGACCGACTCTGCTTGAGGTTATTACTGATAAAAAGGTACCAGTGCTGCCGATGGTTCCTGGAGGATCAGGCTTAGATGAGTTCATCACCTGGGACCGCGGTATGTCTTTAAAAGTCTCCATACACTTTGTTTAGACTCATCGTAATCATGCTAACTACAACGGAGAAAAGCGAAATATAAAGAATGACGAGAGTTGATGCGCAAACGCACATTCGGACTTCATGGCTAACAGCGCTATCTTGAGAAACTTTATGGGCCCCTGTGAGAAATCAGATGATAGTCACCCCTGTTTTATGTAATATCCCTTGATTTACCCATTTTAAGAATTTTTGAGCAAACTCTTTCAGGAGGATCATGGTTGCGAAGTATCAATTACATTTAATATTTACGTACTTCTTTTTGTATGTATGATGGTAGTTGGGTCATCTTCAACAAATTGACAACTTCGTGCTAATGTACACTCTACAAGCAGCACCGAAATCTCGTCAACTAACTGAGAATTCAAATACAAATATAAAAATAGTCGATAAGCGAGAAGGGATGAATATATCTCGCTATAAAAGGAGCTGCAGGTGTAACTTTAATCATCGCAATAAGTAATAATGTCGAAATCATCATTTCTGTTTCGTTTCGTTGTGCTCTGAGCATATGCTTTGTGTGCAACCTGCTCTTAAAAACAGATCTCGGCCGGTGTTGAGAGAGGCTTTATTACCATCACTCATAATCTATGTGTCTCCACGACCATGAGAAAAGGACTCCTATAAATATACGTTCTGGATGCAACGATTAAACTGCATGCCTAGAGCTTCTACATCAAGTTGCTTAGGGCAAAGAATACTAAGATTAGAAAGGAAACGAGTATTTTCACATGATTTATATCACATTGAAGAAAGCTGAATATCTATTAAACCTATTCTTGAAAGAATATAGACGTTTCAAGTCCGCATGCACGCTCATAGCGAGTATCTGACCTATCATTACGCCTTACCCATCAAACCAAGATGTCTCCGGATCTTGCCTTCCAATGGTTGATCTTTCAGCCTGAAGTTCGTAAAGAGAGGCAGTCCTTCTTGCAGATACCTCCATCACCACAGGCCCTAGCTCCTTTGCTCCCCCATTCTGAAGAACTGTAGGATGGTGAAGATTAAGGGCGGAGAGCGTAGTACACGTGCCATTCTTGGCTCATACGTGTTCTTTTGCATCCATTTCCTTAACGGAAATAACAGAATAAAAGAGAGCACAGTCAATACTAGTCCACCAATGCTACCCACAACCAACCCGATACTTGTACCCTTGCAGATATATGATGTAGATGGGCGAACGTCGATAGCACTATTCTAATATCCAGAGCAGAGGCCCAACTTTGTAAGACAAAGACCAAGCCTGCTCGAACATGACAACCAAGCTGGCCATGTGAAGACGAAGACTACGAAGGGGACGTACCAGAATTGTGAATGGATTGTATGTATAATTTGAACGTGGATGTATGTGGAAAGGATAGAACACGCCTCAGCTGATATCAAGTGGTGCATGAACTGATATTGGTGTAACGCTGCAAAGAACCATATTAACCCGTTTTTTTACATGTACCAGCCATGAATACTGCATTGACAGAATCAACAAAACCAGAGTATCCTGAAAATGCACCATATAGAAGAGAAAAAAGAAGAGAAAAAGGAAGAGATGATAATTACCGATGTGAAACACATCCAGTTAGATATCATTGCAACTCATTGCATCCTGAGACTCAATCAATCGAGGCTCTACTGTCCTCGAACCAATGATATATAGAACAACACAAAATATAGCACAACCATGCGTCATCATCGTCCATTACGGCGAGGCCTGCAAATATAACGCCCATGTTATACCCAAAAAATCAACAAATGTAGAACACGACTAAGACGAGTAGAGTATATAATGAATATGGATACGAGATCATCCTTCCCTCACAACCCAGCCTGACACCTAAATGAATAAAAAACAAAAGGTTCCTAGCTCTTTAAGAGCTAGCCACATCACATCATATATATGTATATCCGTATCTGACAGCATCAAGACACTCAACACCTGTCATGGTAGTGGTTCACACTCGCAGTCAGCGGCTCAATTGGAAGGATGAGCCGGGTACCGACGGTGTTTGAGCTAATTAGCACGTTCAGTTTCGTGACTGCATACGATTATGGAGTTTGGCAAGCCGTACAGCTTCAGTCCCATCATCGACCATACTCTCTTTGAACCACGGATGTTTGAGTGCTTGTTTGGCTGTCAGCCGCATTTTAGGGTCATAGACAAATATTCTCTGAAGAAGATCAAGGAACTGCTTGTTGAAGCTAGTGCCTCCAGGTAGGAATTCCTAGTCATTGGTTAGCGAGGCGTACTGGGGAGTGAAATTACTCATCTTACATGTAATTGCTTCATGGCTTTGACGTATTTACGAGACGCCCGGGTTGTCTCCTCGTTCGGGTAGTCTAATTTGTTGCGGTTGAAATATCTGGACATGATCAGCAAGTGCATCAACAAGGTCACATTGTTTAGTAGCATACTTGGCAGCCTGGTTTTGACTATTACCCCGACCTTGCACAACCTGTTTGACTAGTTTGGAATCAATTTTGCTCCCTATCACACTCTCCATCATTGCTAAATGTTCGAGGTTATCGTGCGTCTGGAATAGGGCATCCCCTGTAAAGAACTCTACGAGGATGCAGCCAATACTCCAGATGTCACAAGGAAAACTCCAACCTAGATTTAGAATGATTTCAGGTGCCCGATAGTGCCGCGTTGATACGACGGACGAGTGGTATTCGTCGTCAAAAGTTGCCGAACCAAAGTCAATTAATCGAATTTCACTGTCGAGCAAGACCCGGCGGTGACGGGCATTCCGGGCGGTGGTGTGGGAGGAGGAGGGGATGGTGCGGTTGTAGGTGAAGGTTTGGTATTGGCTGTTAACCAAGAGAATATTCTCTGGTTTGAGATCGGTATGGATGAGGTTGAGGTCATGGAGGACTGGGATAGTTAGCAACGTTCGCATTTTCGAACACTGTTCTTTCACTAACATGCAACGCTCGTGAAAAGTTGACGAGCAAAATTTTGAATTTGACTGCTTGGAAATGGTACGAAAGAATTGCCTTTGAGAAAGTCAAAGACACTTTGACCGAGCAGATCGGTGACAATGCAAATGTGATTACGAAAGTCAAAGCAGTCTCGCAAGTGAATACACTTGTTTCGGTTTGTTTTGTCGTTTTGGGCTAGGGTGGAGAGGACTCGTAGTTCGATTTTCGAGGCATCTCGGTATTTTTGCACTGATCGAATGATTTTGACAGCACATCGAACCTTGCGTTGCTTGTCATATGCCTCGACAACCTTGCCGAATGTGCCTTGGCCGAGTAATCGGACAATCGAGTCTAAGAATCCGGCGGTTAGGGTATATTTTAGAAAAAAAAAAAAATCCATGACTTACATCGCTCGGTGAGCGGCGTATCAGGGTTTACGATGTAGTGTCCATCGTCATCATCCACCTTCTCGTGCCTCGAGTATGGGAACTGCGGAGATTAGCATGGTACAACACCAATGCAACACGAAACTTACATCACGGATTACTGGCACAGGCACTTCTTTTGCTTTGACTGGAGGCTGGGGTGGGGGGATATAACTGAGAAAAGCATCTCCCACGCCCTCGAGTTCTCGACGCTTGGCCTCTTGTCGAGTCGAGGTCCGAGTATTGCGTTTTCGCTTCTGGCCAATGTTGGCATCCTCGTAGTAGACACCATTGGTTGTTCCCACACTGCCAGCCGACCCGAGCGATGTGGGAGCGGTTGTATGCAGCGATGTAGTGCGGTCGGTCGAGAGGGACCCGACGGAAGAATTCTCACCGTAACGTTGCGGATTCATGGAATACGAGGGACGGTCATGGTAGCTCAGGTCATATGCCGTCTCAACACCGGTCCTTCTCTTCTTTCCAGCAGGCTGGCCATTAGCCGTTGTTGTCGTTGTCGCGGTTGGCATCATCGACCGAGAGGCGGTGTTTTGGTCCGGGGGAGGGGTGTCGTCGATGACGATGACCTCTTTCGGCAGGCCATTTTTATAAAACTCTTGCCAATTCGGCTTCTTCCTCCGGGTCGAGGCGGTGGCAGACATCGAGGCACCGCTGGTATTGTTCACGTAGGAGACGTTGCTCGACGAAGTGCTCGGCTTGGCGATGGACGGCAGAGGCGGATGAGACTGTGCAGTAGGGGTGCTGGCAGAATAAGTGTAGTTATTCGCTAGACGAGCAGGTCCCGACGAGGGGGCCGGATATGTGCCGTTGGTCTGGTATGCAACCTGGTGATGGGAATAGCCATAGTGTGGATGTGTTGCGGTGGCTGTTGAAGGGGTCGACATGATGGGACGGATGCAGACACGGGCAGTTGTCTGGTCAGGCCAACCCGTGAAGGGATGGGTTGTTGCAGCGATTTTTTTATCGTTTAGGCCCGATGCACGCGATGGGGGAACTCACATCCACACGCAGCAGGGAGTAACTATTTCGTCTGGCGAGGAGGAGCGGGCGTGAGGAGTCTGGACGCTGGACGACGTTCTGGCGGCGTGGTGGAAACAGCCGGAAATGACGACTGGAGGAGTTGTGCAGGGTGTGGTCGGTCGGAGCAACCAGACTGGAGAGACTGGCTGGTTCGCAGTATGGCCCTAGGGAGAGAAGGGTTCTAGAACAGCGGTACGCAGCAGCAAGCCATTTGGAGGGATTGCACGATTGTTGATTGACGGTGACGGTCAAGCAGGAGGGGAGACTGCGTAGGAACGGTCAGGCGTGAGGGTGTAGAGGCAAGAGCATCGGCCGGAATAACGATAATGAATGGCGGTTACCCGTGCGTTGACTTGCCAGCTTAATGAATGCACTACGTCCTCTGCAATAATACGCAGCGGGCATAATAAACCGGACACTCATCTAGTTATCACTTTTGATCACTCTTTGTACGATTTTCCTGACTAGTCTCTCGTCGGACTGGTGCTCGACTTCGCCTCGCGGGCAACGACAGCCATCCATTTGGACATGCATTATTATTCGCTTTACCCTAGTAATAAATAACTACTAAACTACGCCTCGCTGCTGTGATCTGCGAGACTCGCCCAACTATGCGTTTTCTCGCCAATTGGCCAGTCTTCAAATGGGTGATTGCTGTGGCCACGATGGTCAAAGAGTTGACTGTTGGCAGCCTCCTATACAACAATGCTTACCCGAACCGCCTGGAGCGTCCTATGTCGCAGTAGGATCCGGGTGGCGACGTCACCTGTCGGTTCTATTCCTTAATTGCGTCCTCGACTGCCTCGCCGTCTTCTGGGGCCGATCTCGCCGAATCAGCCCCTCCCCACACCCTCACGGAGTCCACTGGCCCGCGATCGCAGCCAGACATGTAACAACGTTAGGTTGCTACTTTTTAATTGTTGTGTAGAGCTGCTAGCAGGGGCACCTTGAGTTTCTGTTCGAGTGCCATGGAGTATAAACACTTCCATCGGGTGCGTAAGCAGGCATGTTGTCTAGGAGACCATATACAGCGTTGATGTAAACATGGTTACACCACCGTGGTCTGGTGATTGAGATCACTCTTCCTTGGCCTGGGGGAATACCTCTTCTGCATAAGCTACATGTAGAGATCAAAGCAGCATCCATATAACTGTTATACGTTCCATCACCAGCTTGTATTTTGGTTGGGTGAGTATTATAAATCAGTCCTGAACTAGCAATGCTAAAGAGTAATGTAAAATGGCATGAAAAAGGTCATTATGATGATACACAAAGCAGCTTGTCAAAAATAAGGTAAGTGCTTCCTAGTCTAATCGCTCTTCCTTTAGATCCTTGCTGTAAGCCTTTTGGACGTGCCTGGCGCCTCTCCCATCTTGCTCTAGTACGAACAGGATATCACGCACTTGGATCCCCGCAGCCTTGTCTTCTCGCCAGCTGCCCAGCTGAGTCGATATTGGTGCGGCAACGCTATCGTTGCGTGTCTTCTCATTCCGATCAGAACCTGCCGGACCAATTGCGGGAGAATGAGGTCGGGGCGATGAGGCCGCGCTGGCAGCAGAGCCTTTGTTCAGCCAAGAGTACTGCCGCTTTTTGGAGCTGCCAAACAGTGTGCTGGATAACGCTTTTCGAGCCGTTTCAACAGATTGTTGATGTTGCTGGGCCTCGCTCACTCGGGCGTCCAGTTGCTTTTTGGCTTCTTTTTTAGTCAATGCCTTTTTATCGCCTCCAATGGGAGTTTGGGGAGTAGGGGTCACAGCGCCAGAACCAACGTCCAACGAAGGCGCTCTGCTAGTTGCGGTTTCGTTGATAATAGCATCGGCGTTTCGTTTCGCCCGCTTGGCTGCACGGGCTTCTTCATCCGAAATGTCTTTGGTAGACAAAGCAAAATATTTCTCTGCTATTGGATTGGAGTTCGAAGTCTCAGTTCCGGCCCGTGGACCTAATCATCATTAGTCACTTTTCAGAGTAACAACATGATAGAGTACATACGCTTTAGTGTAGCCTCTGTGACCACCGGGTTTGAGTCTGTCGCGGCCAGATCCTTCCATTCTACTGGCACGATTCCATGAGAGTGGGCACGCCGGCTTTTTGCTAAACTCGCAGAGTATTCAATCACCCCTCTGAGTCGTTCTTCACAACATAGTGACATGAGCGATATGATATCGACAAAAGGAGCCCCTTCCTGGTTAACAATGGTATGACCCCTGCGCACGGTTGATGAACCATCAGGACCCGTGACCTCAATTGGTTGTCGGGACCCAGGCATAGGATGGAAGAGCCCCTCTGTCGGAACACGAACACCTAGTTCGAACCCGCGCTTTTGGATTTTTTGTTCAAGGACCTTTGTAAATAGAAAAGGCTCCTGCAGATGATACTGAGCCCTCCTAGCTGCCCGGGTTTCCTCGTACGTCGGTTGATTGTAAGGTGCGTCCTCGGAATAAGGGGGGTAGACTTGTTGCTCTTGCGTGGGTGTAATTCTGCTCTGTGACATGTCGAAACTGGCCCCGGCTGAGGTAGTCCCTGGCGTAGATGGATTCGACACAAAAGAGGTATTCAACCCAGGAGGCTGTGACCGTGGAGCTGCCTGGGGTGCGGAATAGCTCTGCGTGAGGTATGCCTCCTCTTCCTTCACATCAATGCCAGATTGCGCCAAAACATCCGTGAGATCGGCAGCGTCCGTTGGCTTCTCAGCTGGTCGAGATGGAGGCCCCATAGTGCCAAGGGGAGCTGGCACAATAGGTGTAGGGGATGCACCAGGTACTGGTGCAAGCACGGGAGTCTGCACCGGTCCCGGTGTTGAGACTCCATTCATATTTGTCCCATTCATGACCGGGGAGGGATTCTGAGGTAGTTGTAAAGTGCCAAAGCTAGGGGATTCATAGGGAGGTTGTGACTGCGGAAGTGGAGAGAATCTTTGGCGTTTACTTGGAGGAATGCTCCCGACGTTGGCGGGCGAGGTGGCGCTGGGCGAGGGAGTCGAGACGGGCGGCGAGAATGACTGTGATGGGTACTGTGAGGGATGCGGAGGCTGAGTTTGCGCCATCTTGATGGAGGTTGAGGAGAGGCGTGAAGGTGATGGCGTCAAGTGGTAGAAGATGCCTCAGTGACCAGGATTCGTTTGCGAGCAAACTGCTCAGACCTAACTCCTGAACGAGTCGTAACCATCTCAGAACGACTCACTACTGACACATCTGGGAAAGCAAATCGACCATCGTAGGTTGGACGCGCGAAGGAGTGGATGCAGCGAATGCGCAGAGGGTGAGAGACGAAAGCGCACTGGGATGAACGAGAGCTTGCGAAAGTTGAACCGCAGATCGCTCGTCGCCTTCGGCCAAGCGCGTCGCGGCTCGGTCACGTGAGTCGCGTCCAGGCGGCCTGCCTTGAGCGGAGCGGAAAGACAAAGCTCTTTCTACTTTCTGGTACACTGCTTGTCGACGACATATTGACACATTTACTTGGGCCTTGGTGTATGACTCTTGGGTGCATGATTTGCCGGTGGAACGGCTCTCTCAGCGCTGTATGATGGCTCTTCAGATGCTCTCGTCCCTCATTTGATATTCGAGCATTTTTATTCTCTCTCCTCCGGAGCCCTCATGTTATCAGTTCGTCAATAATCACAGCAACACTACAATGGCATCAAAGCGAAAGGCGTCCGCCTTGACGGCGCCTGTGGATGAAGAACCAGTCGATCCTTCAGATGAGCTCGCTTTCTACTGCTTAGGGGGCGGCAATGAAGTTGGGCGATCGTGTCACATCATTCAATACAAGGGGAAAACGGTTATGGTAAGCTGATATCTTGATGCTCTGCTCTGGTTTTTGCTAATGGGATTTTGATAGTTGGACGCTGGCATGCATCCTGCCAAAGACGGCTTTGCAGCTCTACCCTTTTTTGATGAATTTGACTTGAGCACAGTGGACATACTTCTACTCAGCCAGTACGTCTCATTCTCCTATTCCTTAACCCGCTTCAGTCTTTCGCGTTTCCAGAAGAGAATATGCATTTGTTTCTATTTTAAATATCCTTGCCATATCTTTCTATTCAGTCGAAGGGGTGGTCCAGATTGCGCAAGCTATGTGCATAGCTCGATGTATATCAGAAATGAATGCATTTATATGAAGCTTGCCTTGATTCCTAGGATCGTACATTATGTATATATTTTCCACAGAACTAGACGACCCTATGCGCAATTGGTCTCGCTTGTACCGCTCTAGTCAACAGTGAAGGCTAATCTGAACTCGCCTGTGCAGTTTCCACGTCGACCATTCATCCGCGCTTCCATACGTGCTCAGCAAGACCAATTTCAAAGGTCGCGTATTGACAACGCACGCCACAAAAGCCATCTATAAATGGCTTATCCAAGACAACGTCCGAGTCAGCAACACATCCTCCTCATCTGACCAGCGCACTACCCTTTATACCGAACATGACCATCTCTCTACCCTTCCTCTTATTGAAACAGTCGACTTTTATACAACGCACACTATCAACAGTATCCAGGTTACCCCTTACCCTGCTGGACACGTTCTGGGAGCTGCCATGTTCCTTGTTTCCATAGCCGGCCTCAACGTACTCTTCACTGGAGACTACTCTAGGGAGGAGGACCGACATCTGATTCCCGCCGAGGTTCCCAAGGGCATCAAGATTGATGTCCTGATCACAGAATCAACCTTTGGTATTTCATCAAACCCTCCGCGTTTAGAACGAGAAGCCGCACTGATGAAGTCTATCACTGGAATTCTTAATCGAGGTGGCCGGGTCTTGATGCCTGTCTTCGCTTTGGGCCGGGCTCAAGAACTTCTTTTAATTCTTGATGAGTACTGGGAGCGACATCCTGAATATCAAAAAGCACCTATATATTACATTGGTAACATGGCTCGCCGCTGTATGGTTGTCTATCAAACTTATATCGGAGCTATGAACGACAACATCAAACGACTTTTCCGTCAAAGAATGGCCGAAGCCGAGGCTAGTGGTAACACGAGTGTCAGTGCAGGTCCTTGGGATTTTAAGTACGTGCGCAGCCTTAGGAGCCTTGAGCGGTTCGACGATGTTGGCGGTTGCGTTATGCTTGCTTCGCCGGGTATGCTTCAGACTGGTACTAGCAGGGAGCTCTTGGAGCGGTGGGCCCCCAGTGAACGTAACGGAGTAGTTATGACTGGATACAGTGTCGAGGGAACAATGGCCAAGCAATTACTCAACGAGCCAGAGCAAATTCCAGCAACCATGTCCAAGGTTTCAGCCGGTCCTGGCAGCCGTACAAATCCAATGGCCGATGACGATCAGAAAGTGATGATTCCCAGACGTTGTACTATTGACGAAATCAGCTTTGCGGCCCATGTCGATGGTGTCGAAAATCGAAACTTTATTGAAGAAGTTGGGGCACCTGTTGTGGTAAGTATTATCATTAAAGTGGCGGAATAATTACTGATCTTTTGTCCTTAGATCCTTGTACATGGAGAAAAACACCAGATGATGCGCTTGAAATCGAAACTGCTCAGCTTGAATGCCGATAAGACCGTTAAGGTCAAGGTCTACACACCAGCCAATTGCGACGAGATTCGCATTCCTTTCAGGAAAGACAAAATTGCGAAAGTTGTTGGCAAGCTTGCTGAGGAAACCCAGCCCTCAGACTTGGATGAGAGTGAACTTATGGCGGGAGTTCTCGTGCAAAACGGGTTCGACTTGTCCTTGATGGCTCCAGATGATTTGCGTGAATACGCGGGTTTAACTACAACCACAATCACTTGCAGACAGCACCTGACGCTCAATTCTGCCACCATGGATCTGATTAAATGGGCTCTCGAAGGCTCTTTCGGGGTTATCGAAAAATTCGGGACCGAAGCAAAAAAAGAGAATGGAACAAATGGCAAACTGTTAGAAGAAGCCGATGAGGAGATTGAATATGCGGAGAACGAAGCGTACCTGGTGATGGGAAGTGTGATTGTGCGATACATGGCGCGTACACGCGAGGTTGAGCTGGAATGGGAAGGTAATATGATGAACGATGGGGTGGCTGATGCAGTTATGGCAGTACTCTTGACTGTTGAGAGCAGCCCTGCATCAGTGAAGCGTGAGCTAATTCTCCAAATTCTTATCAAAACGATATACTAACTCAACTCAAGAATCGTGCAAACATAAGCACCACGACCACGACCACGACGATAATCTAATCCAACAAACCCACAAAAACCTCCGCGCACAGGAACGCTTTGCCCAGCTCCTGATGGTCCTAGAAGCTCAATTTGGCGAAGCCGTCGCACCAATTGAGCGCCCGCGTATTAACATGAACAAGCCCGCAGCCGAAGCATCTGGCGAGCTGGCGACAGCCGAAGGCGACGAAGAAAAGCTGTCGGAAGAAGAACTTGCCCAAGCCGAGGCCGCAGAGCTCTCACGCTTACACGCCCTTGGTATCCCGTTTCCAGGAGTTGAGATCAAGGTTGACCACCACGTTGCGCACGTGTACCTGGAAGATCTCGAGGTTGAGTGTGCCAATGCTATACTGCGGGATCGAGTCCGGGTCGTGCTCGAGAGGGCTGTGGAGACCGTCGCGAGCATGTGGACTGAAGAGGTGAGGAGTAAGAATGGTTATATTGCAAATGGGAACGGGGTCGCATACGACCAGAACAAGTTGGCGGAAAAGAAATTGGCCATGATTGAGACGTAATATCTACATCTATGAAGTCTTGGGGTAATTATTCGGGAGAATAAATTACGATATATGTACTATTAACAATTCAAAAGGAGATAGCTACTAATACTATACCCAAAGTCATCACCAACCTAATAGTTCCTTCCAACACTTCAATTTGCGTCAACCAGACAAACCTTCAACCTCAGTAAACGTATCCTCAACAACCCTTTGCACAAGCTCCGCTATTAGCACTATCTCTTCCTTGGTGGTATTATACGGCGGTGCAAGCAAGACGTGATCACCTTGGATTCCGTCTGCTGTTCCCTGTCCTCCGTATATCGAGATACCATACGGAGGAGTTAGTCCTTTATCTTGGATTTTGTATCCAATGCCTAGGCTAGGATCGAATGGTTCTTTGGTGATTTTATTTTTGACAAATTCAATCTATCATCGTTAGGTTTTTCTCTTTCTCTCTCTTTGGAGGAAGAACGTACTCCCCAAAAAAGGCCCTTCCCGCGAATATCTCCTACATGCGGATGGCTGGATAACCGCATTTTCAGCTCACTTTGCAAGACGTCGCCCATCTTTCTAACGTTCTCAAGTAGATTCTCCCCCTGAATGACTTTCTGGACCGCCAACGCTGCCGCCGAAGACACCGGGTGGCCCTGATAAGTATGGCCGTGTCTGAAACTACCAGTGCCTTTGTCCAGCGCATTGACAATCTTCTCGCCAATCAGTAAACCGGCAACCGGCGCATAGCCGCCTCCTAGACCCTTGCCAATCGTCTGCATGTCCGGGACCACATCTTCCTGCTCCCATGTGTGAAGAGTCCCGCACCGCCCCATGCCAGACATTACTTCGTCCAGAATGAATAGCGCGCCATACTTGTCACAAACGGATTTCATGGCGGTCAAGTACCCAGGAACTGACGGTACGCATCCCAAGGCCTAATAACCAACATTCATAGACATGGATTAGAATTACACAAGGATCATTGATTGGACGAGGGGCATAACGTACCGCGCCAACCACAGGTTCAGCAACAAAGGCACAAACAGTCTCTGGCCCGAGACGCCTGAACTCACCATCGAGCTCATCAGCCAGACGTGCAACATAGTCAGCGTCTGATTCACCGTCTCTCCGGCCCCGGTAAGCGTTACAGGGAGACACATGGGAGACGTTGGGGAGAAGAATGGGCTCGAATGGCTGGCGTCTGAATGTATGACCGCCCATGGAGAGAGCGCCGAGGGTGATGCCATGATAAGATTGTTTCCGCGCAATGAATCTTGTGCGTTGAGACTGCGGGTTGTCGAGCTCGAGGTAGTACTGTCTTGCGAGTTTCATTGCGGCTTCCATTGCTTCGGAGCCTAGGCGAAAATTCAATAGGGAGAATATTAATCTATATAGAAGTAGGGCGCACCGGATCCTACGATGTATACTTTGCTCATCCGGCCACCGGTCGAGTCTCTGAGGAAGGCGGCGAGCTCTTCGAATGGCTTGATGGAGAAGAACGCGGTGTGGCAGTAGGATAGTTGGGTTATTTGAGATACCATTGCCTGGGTGACTGATTCATGGCCATGGCCCAGACATGAGACGGCTGCACCGCCGGTGGCATCGAGAATGCGCCTGCCGTCTTCGAGGGTGATGTAGCTCCCCTTGCCAGACGACGCCAGGTACGGCACACGGTGGAGGTGGCGGTGCAGGACTGCTGAGGGAGGGGTCATCTTGTCTTGTAACTTATACATCAATCGATGTAATGGAGGATGTCCATTCCTGGAAGTGCGGGGGGAACACGCCCTGCTTTATACAGCGCCTTCTCCACTTGTTATCTGAACGGCCTGCCCAATGGGGAAATCGGGGGGTCATGGCTGGGCTAATGCACGCTCGGCATGCCTAGAAGAAATGCCGAGCAGCGGATTGGTAGATTCCGCCGATGGATATTGCTCTTTTATTTCATTATTTCTTTTCTTGCTATTCATACTGTTGGTTTACCTTCTTTTCGGCTTCTAGAATCGATAAGCTTCGAGCCTCCGTCTGACTTTTGCATTGGGGCTGTTTATATTGCCCATGTGGCGTGGATGAGAGTACCAACATTAGTCCAACACGAATGGCACGACGGCTAACGAGGCGGCTAACTAGCATCAATATGAGGTACTGGGACATGCAAATGACTTAATTATGCTTATTAGGTGTCTACGCGATAAGACATGTTCAATTTCTTTTCTCTCAAAGTTGATCTATGTTTCAATTCTATTCAAACCATTTTCCGGCGAGCATCTTCATACTCGGGTACGGAATATAGGCCTACTGATTAGATCCCCAGTGTTGGGCTCTTAGTATCAATCCTTGTTATTCATGATCCATAATTTACTATACTACCGACGCTGATATGACTAGCTCAATCAGCCTCGACTAGGCGCGTTGGAGTGGACGGCAACGTAATTAGCCCTAATTTCCTAAACGGGATATCCAGGCATGGCTAACACAACACGTAATAGATACCCGACCACCGAAAGCCTGCAGCGATCCCCAGCAAGAAATAAGCCCTTCTTGTCTGGGGTGGCTCGACGAGAGTCGGCCGCAATGCGATTTAGCTTGTGACTGCTGCTGGATACGAAACCATCACAACGGCATCACCGCGGAACCACAAGTTCGTAAAGAAACTCGGGGCTGTGGCGGCATTCGACTACGACAGCCCAACTGTCATTGACGATGTTGTGGCTACCTTCAAAGACCGTGTCAGCGTCGGTGCCTTTGCTATTGGTCCTGGATCTTTCGGATATTGCATTGATGTCGTCGCGTGATGCCAGGGGAGAAAGTTCGTTACCCAGGCGAGCGTCGATTTGCCCGCGAGCGGATTCCCACAGGGAATTCCTGACTGGCCAGCATTTAGCCTGCATATGGGCGTATTGATGATGTCGCTCAATACCAAGGCAAGGCTGAAGAGAGTACAAGTCAAATTCATCTGGGGCAGCGACAATATGTAGAATGAGATTGGCAAGGCTATTTACGAGGACTTTCTCCCTCAATGCTCTGCAAGATAGACGGCCATCACTGCTCCAGAATCTCACATCATCATAGTCAATAGCCCAGACACTAGTCTTGATGCCCATTTCTGGAATGTTTAGTTCAAACAAAGTGTAGTTTTGATAAGCAGGAGTTTTAGAGGAAGTAGTTCCATTTCTGAGCCGAGAACCGTACACATCGTAGAGCCATGGTAATAGTTGACATTCTTCATCCAAATTAGATCCAGCCTGGTATATTTGGAAAATATCGGGCTGAATTAATTGCTTTTTATCCAGGGGTTACTGTATATATATATGTACATACAGGTGCAGTATGTAGTCGTATATGCACGGAGGATATCTATCCCCGCGACCCACTAATTTTCCTCCCGCACAATGAGCCAACGCCGCATGCCGCTGTCTCTCGCTCCATTTGCCCAGGAAGAATTAAGAATTGCAAATTGCATGGACTATTATTGACCGACAATCACAATGTCTCGCAGAGCCCAGGTAGAGGAAGTCTCCGACTCAGACCCCGAGGAGGTCGCGCCATCCGACCCGCTCCCCCAAGACGACATCATCTCGCCCTCGATCATGCATCCTTCCCCCGGAATGGCCTCGCGACCTCCTCCCCAGGCTCCGCAGGACATCCCCAAACACTTCCATTGCCTCTACGCCGTTTACTTCGACAAGACGAGGACCCGCACCGAGGGCCGCCAGGTGTCCAGCAAGCTCGCTGTCGAGAACCCGCTCGCGCGGGATATTCTCGATGCGTGTCAGCAGCTGGGGCTGCGGGTTGGCTTCGAGCCTGAAAAATTACATCCCAAGGACTGGGCGAATCCAGGGCGCGTGCGGGTGATGCTGAAAGACGAAGATGGCAATCTGCTCAACGAGCGCGTCAAGAATAGTAATTCTCCCTCTTCGCGTGGCGTTGTTTGGCGTCTTCGCTAACATTTGTGGGTTCATATAGAACACCATCTGCAAATCCTAGTCGCGCAGTTCCTGCAAGCACACCCGACGACAGAGAAGTCACCGTATCGACTACGCATCCACGGTCTGCCGATGCCAGACAAGTTGCCAGATGCTCCCGCGGCTCCTCGAGGCTGGAAAATCGGCAAGATCCTGCCCATCCACTCGCCAGCCTATTCAGGCGGTGGCGTAAGCGATAACCCGTTCAAAGAAGCGATGGCCGAGATGGAGAAAATGGGAGGTATGCCAGGCATGCCTGGGGGTATGCCCGGTCTTCCAGCTGGCATGGCGAATATGATGGGAATGGGAGAGCCATCCGGTGGAGGCGAGGCGAAGAAGAAAAAGGAAAAGAAGAAAATCAAGGCCTGACATGTTTCTTTATTTCGAGATTTCTTATATTCCCACGATTGCATGGCGGTCGGCGTTATTCGGTTTATGCTTGATAAAATGTGTGAGATGCACTCCTGTATGAACGATTACAGCTCGAATATGATAGAAACACATCACCGGGACAAACAGTAGTACTATTAATTACTATATCCTTGTATATATATTTCAAAGATGAAAGATCAATCATTGACGGGAAAAGAGATATCAAGTCGCCGGCCAATCAGCGGCGTGCGGTACCACTTACCCCAGAATCCTAGATCGGCGGAGACATTCAGACTGCAAGTTGCTACAACATCTGCGCGCTTTGCTATATCCAACAGCCCAGTGCGATGCAACAGAGTGATGGTGTAATCGAGCAGACCTCTCTTTCCACGCGCTGAACGGTCAATCACCCTCCACCGCGACCGTCTTCTGATTGGCGACCGAGATACGTTACGTACCCCTCCAAAGACGAAACTTTAGCAGCAGGATGATGGTCAGCTCGCACGATGCGTCTAGCGCCTACAATGTTTTCGAGCAGGCAGGGGACCCGCACATACCAGGCGACGCAGATTCCATGTCATCTCAATCCAAAACGCCAGGGAAATCGTCGAGCAACCGGCAAGGCGCACTCGCGGGCGGACGTCACATTACTCGAAACCGTGCGAGCTACAGTTGCCACACTTGTCGGAGAAGGAAAGTGAAATGTGACAAGGTTGGAGAATTAAAGCCTAGAGCAAGACATTGAAAGCTGATTTTAGGTTTATCAGGCCCATCCGATATGTGGCAATTGCCTGAAGAACGGCACCGAGTGTAATTACGATACTGCCGCGCCGAAAAAAGGCGATACAGATGAGGGCGACGAATTTTCGCAACATGGTGTCAAACGCAGGAGAGGGATGTCGCAAGTATTGAAGGACGAAGATGCCGGGGCGCAACCTTTCTCAAACGGGCGAGGGGTGCTGGATTTACGAGGTGGCTCTGCAATTGAAGCCCGACTGGACAAGCTCACGAATATGATCGAGAGGCTGAGCAAGGCAAATGATTCAGTTCCCATACAGGAAATGAGCCGGCAGCTACAGTCGATGAACCCGGACGTTGATCTCCGTGCCCTCTCTAAACCAGCTACGTCGGCGACTACTGGTCCTACGCCGAAGAAGACGGCAGTTTCAAGAGCTGCCAGTCCTCGTCGAACTGCAGATTCAAGTGGCGATGAATTTCCCATACCGTCTGGAAATGCCATGGACCCTGTTGATCCAATTGGAAGCTTGAATCTTGGTCATTTGAGTCTGGAGGATGGAAGGTCTAGGTGAGCAAGACGAGTGTACGGTAAAAACAATGCTGATAGAAGTAGATATGTTGGTACGACGTATTGGGCTTATATTTCAGATGAGGTATCCCATGCATTGATTTAATGTCTAAAGAATTATTACTAATGAAGACAGATCAATGAGCTTAATCAATTGCTTCGCGACCAGAACAGAACTCATGACGACTCGCTTCTTGATGAGAGCTCAAACGATGATGTCACGACAGATGCTGCGGTCAAATCACCTAGGGCAAAGGTTTCACCACAATATGCAGCTTATTACCAGCATCAGCGGCGATCATCACTTCGACGTGACCATTTTCACAGAGCCATACTGTTCCCAACAGGAGACTCTCCAACGGGTTATGATAAGGTGGTAGAAACTCATATGCTGGAGGATCTTCCATCCAGACGCCAGAGTGATATCCTGTATAGAGGGTTCATGTCTGGAGTTCACGCTATAAGTCCAGTACTACACCCCCCAACGGTTTTAAAATTGTATTCTGCATTCTGGGACTGGTACGACCATGGCCACTACTCAGGAGATCAGTGTCCAGACCCTTCTTTCATCCCTTTGCTTTATACCATCTGGTATGGCGGCTCAGTTACTATATCTCTCCGCACCATTAAAGCAGAATTTCCCAACGTGTCCTCCCGTTCGACTCTATCAGAAATGTTTCATGATCAAGTAACGATATGGCTCACTAAGATTTCTTTTCCCCGGAACCCAACTCTACACGGATTAGTTGCGTTTTTACTTGTACAAACGATCTTGTCACGAGAGGAACAGCCTCTGGCAAGCAGTCTTTTCATCAGCATGGCTCTAAGAGTCGCCCAAACCATGGGTCTTCATCGAGACCCCGCTCAATTCGGTATTCAGTCAAGTGATGCTGAGGCTAGAAGGAGAATTTGGTGGCATATAGTGCATATGGATGGCGTTGTTGCCATGTCTAGTGGCTTGCCACCGTTAGTCAACGATGAGAATTTTTGGGATGTTCGCGAAACTAGTGAAGTGAAAGACACGCTCTTGGGAACACCACAAGCTGAGCAGTATTCGAAATTGGTCGCTAACAATTTACGGCCTCGCGATAATCCTGACGATCCGACTGTTTGTGGTGGTAAATCTATGGTTAATGTGTTCTATCTGTGTGCCAGGGGGAAGTATATCATGGCTCGTGAGTATACTATTCATTTGAAATCTGCGAGATTCTACTAACCTTGCTAGGTGCTATTCGAAAAATATTGAAAATCCAGCTAGGAACAAAACCGATAACTGGAAGTGACATGGAAGAACTGAGATCAATATTAATCGATCTCCAATTTCAGTTAAACTCCCTTGTCAACCGCATTCCACTTGCCCACCATCCCAACACAACCAGCCAAGATAACAATACGACGCCATCGGATCTGTCCGCTTCTATTTCTCCAGGCGGCTCTTTGACTGGAGAAGGAGCTCTACCGGCAGACGGACCAAACAGTTGCTCAGAACAATACCATACCCCTGTCCTAGTCGCATTCCACAAATGGGCCAGAATCCTACTCTCCTTATTCATCGACAAAGCCTTCTGCGTCGCCTATCAACCTTTCCTGAAGAACGCCAAAAGCCGAGTCTGGCCGGCAGCGCGACAAGGAGCTCTCCGACACTGCCACGGCTTTATGGAAAAGTTTATTGCATTAGCTACCGATACCGATTTTCAACCGTTCCAATGGAGTTGGCCAGGAAACCATCAACCTATGCATGCAACTATGATTATGCTTATTGACCTCTACGAACGACCGAACACCCCCCAGGCGCTTCGATCCAGAGCATTCATTGATAAGATCTTTTCTATCTCCGGACCTGACGGAGGCGTTGTTGGTGGTGAGGACGGAGTCACCACCGCGCGGCCGTTGAAGGATGGGGGTAAAGAAGCGTGGGACCTGATGCGACGACTTCGAGAAAAAGCATGGCAAAAAGCCGGGCTCGATCCGCAGCAACTGTGGACAGAACAGGCGCAGATCCGGGCTGGCATTACTACTCAAGACGGAACGCCTTCCCCATACATGAACCGTCCAGGTTTCATCTCTATGCGCGGAAAACCCGACACATATCTAGGGGAATTTGCGAACCGATTTTATGAAATGACACGAGCTCAGACACTGCCTAACCCTGTGGTGTCATCCCTGCGACAAGAAATACCACGGTTGTCACCAGCTGCGCCAAAACTTCATGGTGAACCCTTAAACCAGCAGCAAACACAGCAATACATCCAACCCAGCCCTCCATCATCTAACCTTCCAACCGTATTACCGCAACAACAAAGCCTCGATGCAACTCTCACCCTCGCCAACCTGGCCACCGAAACCGTCAGCACGCCTTCACCCTCCCGCACCCTCTTCCACACACACCATATTCCCATGAACCATCCTTCTCACCCCTCTCACCCATTCCCTACCGGCTCACCATCACTCAACTCTCCCGCCAACTTCGCCATCGACACACCACCGTCTACCAGTCCTCCCAGCGTTGCCGCAGCACCAACACCGCCGTCAATGATGGACCCGAATTTGAATTTCGACTGGGACCAATGGGACGCGGTATTTGGACAGCAATTGCCCGTGGCCGACGAGTTGATGGAATTGGACCCAGTGGCTGGCTTAGGGCTGCCTGATTTGGGCTTAGGATTGGGGAGTAATGACGGGTCTGGGAATATGTGGCCTGATCTTCGGCTGTGATACCCTTTCCGCTTTTTTATTGTTCAATGTATACCCAATTGTCAATTGATAGATATGATATGATGTATGCTATATTGGGTTATGAACTGGTTTACTGTAATATTGGGCATAATAGATAGGTATAATCAAGCATTTCAGCTCGATATTGTACGTCTTCTATTCACTTCTTTTTTCCTTCGTAGCGACATTAGATTTTGACCTGAATGGACAGACATAGCAGTGGCAGGACATGATAGAAAGAGAAAGAAATAGCAGAGGATATCATCAGGGTCTGCCTCAAAAGTTGTGTTTAAAGCAGTTTAGACCTTCATTTCCTCGAGACCGTGCTTCCAGACGGTGGCAAAGGGAGTCACACCATCCTCGCGAAAGTCAATCAGAACGTGCATGCCGTTGGGGTCCATGGACTGGTTCATCAGGATGTCGTAGTTATCGTAGTTGGCGAGGATCTTCTTGACGGCGGCCGCGGCGCCGGCCTGGAACTCCTTGATCTGGTCCTCGGCGACACCCTTCTCCTTGAGCTTGTTGTTGACAGCCTTGACGTAGGCTATAATATCATCAGCGTGTAACAAAAACACTAGAAATTAGGGTAATACCCTTGAGGTGGCTCTTGAAGTTATCCTTGGACGGCTTCATGCCCTCCTCGTCCTTGAGCCAGACGAGACGGAACTGGTCCTCGATATCATGGACCATGACCTTCTCGCCATCGCCGCCCTCCTCATCATCACCACCCTCGGCAGAGGGGTTGGCGCCCTCGAGCTCGAAGTTCTCACCACCCTTGAGGTATTTGCGGCAGTCGGCTGTCCAGAGGACGGGGCCGTCGGGGATGATGTTGTAGGTATCCGAGATGATCTCGTCACCGGTGATAATGTCCTGATTGATTGGAGTTAACAGAAGAAAAATACGTGATTATTGATGCAAATATTTATGCGCGACCCTTTTTTTTTTTTTTTTTTTTCCTTTACTCTCAGGCGAGGGACAGCCCCGCTCGCGGGGTTGGGAGTGAAATAGGCGGGGATCCTGTGTACACACCTTGTAAATAAGCATGGTGAAGGTCGTACAATCGAAGATCAGGGAAAACGGCGACAGCGGGCGTGAGAAGCAGATGGAGAGACAAGAGTCTGGAGGAGAGAGGCAGGCCTGCACAAGGAGAGGAGGGGCAGCAGCAGCTGTGGGCGAGTGAAGTTTTTATCCTCTCTGTTTGGCTGCCAGCCGCGGGCGGCGCTAGTCCTGAACGAGCCTAGCTCTAGACTATGATTGGCCTGTCTCTGTATACTACTACTGTTTCTACATGTATATGATATATCATCGAATATATAATATATAATGTACAATGTGATATAGGATAATGCTATATAGTGTCTAGCATTATATCTTACATAGTCTATATTATATATTCACGTGTTATTTATATATGCACCCATGTAGTATAGCGCATAGAACGGAACAGCCAATCCGAGTCTCGCCACCCGGTGGAGCCGGGCTTCCCTAAGCGGGCAGTTTCGCTCTTACTAAGACCTGCCCGGCTTAACCCTTAAGGGGCTCCAGTCCGTCCTCAGTTTTATCGTCTGATTGTACGTTCTTCTTCCACCTTGCCCTGATTCATCGCCACAGGCGCTCTCATGGCCTGTTGGACTGCCTTTTAATTAATCTAACCTACGCTCCTTGATTTGCTACTGCCTGATTTCCTACTGACACCGTGCGACTTTCCCTCCGGCCCTAATTCTCCCTCTGCGCGCCGTCGCCTCCTTCCGGCCGAACCACGCCATCTCGACTGCTTCGCGTCGCACCTTGAAGACGTCGTGTCCTGTCAGCCATCGCTGCTATTTCAGCGCTGACCTATGCGCCTTCCTAATACTCACTTTTATAATAATCGCCTCGGCCTGTTGAATACGACCACCTGAGCTAATCACTGCTGTTTCTTTTCCGCTTCCTCCAACCAGTCCGCTATCCTTGACGCATATTTATATTTATTAATTTTGTCTTCCTCAAAATGGCCTCGAATTCGTCTATCCTCCTCGACCTTCCCCCTCTCCCCTCATATATACTGACGCCACGTGTGCCTGTCCTTGCGCCGATCCCCGACAACATTCTCTCTCTCATTCTTCCCGTGGTCGCCTATTGGGTAGTCTCCATGATCTTCCACTTCATCGATGTTAACGACCTTTTTTCCCAGTACCGATTACACACCCCTGCCGAACTGCTCAAGCGAAACCACGTGTCTCGGATTGATGTCGTGCGCGATGTCATCCTGCAGCATATCATTCAGACCATCGCGGGGCTGGGGTTGTCTTTCTTTGATGAGAAAGAATTTGTTGGGCGAGAAGAGTACGATGTGGCTGTCTGGGCACGCCGTATCCGCATCATGCAGCGAGTCATTCCGACCGTCCTAGGATTTATTGGTATTGACGCAATTGGATTGTCCAAGAGTTTGTCAGCCTACCCGGCTCTGTCGGGCTTTTTGGCCGGTGGAGTATACCCGGATCTTGTCCAGAAATTGGTCCTGGATAATGGCAATGTGTCGATGGCCCCGGCTCATGCTACTTGGGAGCTCGTCGTTGCCCATTTTATCTATAGCTACTTCATTCCGGGCCTGCAGTTCTTTTTCGCCATCGGTATCCTCGATACATGGCAGTACTTTTGGCATCGGGCGATGCATCTTAATCGCTGGCTTTATGGTGAGTCTCATGCTAACGATGTGCGGCTGACATGCTAACGAGCTCTAGTGAACTTTCACTCCCGTCATCACCGCTTGTATGTGCCATACGCCTTCGGTGCGCTGTATAATCACCCCGTCGAGGGATTTCTATTGGATACTGCGGGTACTGGTGTGGCATTCCTCCTAACCCAAATGACTCACCGCCAAGCCATGTGGTTCTTTACTTTCTCTACGATCAAGACGGTCGATGACCACTGCGGATATCACTTCCCATGGGACCCTCTCCAGCTCATTACATCGAACAACGCGGCTTACCATGACATTCACCATCAAAGCTGGGGTATCAAGACCAACTTCTCTCAGCCATTCTTTATTTTCTGGGATCGCTTCATGGGAACCCGTTGGCAAGGAGACGTGACTCTCAAGTACGAGCGAGCCAGAACCGCCGCTGAGAAGCAAGTCGAGCGCGAACGGAGTGAAAATAACGGCCAACCCGTCAAAACTGTCTTAGAGTCGGAGCCAGGTCCATTGGACGCAGGGATGGAGGATGTTCCCGTCCAAGAACGGGCTCCCCGAAAAATCCTCCCTCGAACAACCCGGTCTGCCTCAAAGAGAATCCACGGCGTGAATGGTAGCATTCGCCAAAAGTAATAACCGGATAGTCTGTGCATCCTGTGTTTGATGACTATATACGAAAAAAAGAGGGTGGTACCGGCTATTCTCCTAATTCTTCTTCTTTTCATCTTCCTTCGTTACCACTTCCTTCTTTGTTTATACGGATTTGTAATTTTCTTTGAATGGGGAGTAGCTGGCCTGCTACCGTTGATTCGTTTGTTCCTGTACATCAGCTTAGATTCGTACCTGTATTAGTTTTACTTCAATGTTACCGAGAACTGTTACGAATAAGGCATGAGAACGGGCAATAAAGATCATGATATATACCGATATCTCCCTTTTATTGTAGGATAAGATAGCCACTGTACTACACATCTGCTATACAACAAGTAGAGACTGATATTACTAGCAAATGACAATCAAGACTATGTTATACATTGAAAAATAATAGAACCCCTATCTATACAAAGAAAGGAAATGAATGTCCAGCTCAATGCACCTTTTTCCCAGCCTTGACCTTCTTTCTCTTCGCCTTGGTCGCATTCCACAAGCTCTTCCACGTAACCTCAATAGTACTATCACTCCACCTCGAAACCGGCTCCGGCTCATCTTGCTCCTCCTGTCGGTGCTGGTGTTGTATCGCACCGGAAGCAGCAGAATCAGAACCCTGCGGCGTATACTGCTGCTGCGTCTGACCCGTGGAAGAAGACGATCCAAAAGATGCCCCCGAATTTAGCCATTGTTCGCTTTGACTCCCCGCGTGCGGCATTCTCAGTCGGCTGCGCGGGGCATGCGTACCGTCGGAGTTGCGGAGAGTAAAAGACGTGAGCGAGTCGTCGCTTGAGGCGGCGGCGGAGGAAGAGGAGTCGGGAATGTAGAAGGTAGAGTTGTAGTTGGGGCTGTTAGTGGTAGGGGAATCATCGAAGGTGTCGTCGTCGAGATTGAAGTGGTCCGAGTAAACAGAGCTGGGGCTCGGGGGTGGTGTGCTTCTTCGCCGATAGGGGGGTTGGGAGGGGGTGAGATTTCCGTGGAGTTGTTCAGGTAGCCTTTCGGTGTGAGGAAAGGGAATTTGCTGAAGCGAATGGGTGTCTGAGACCCTTGAAGGGCGTGAGCGAGGGTGGTGGTGCTGGTATAGGCTTGTGGTTGATATTGCGAAGGCTTTGGGGCAAGCCTCGTTGGTTTCAAGGGTCGAGCAGGAAGATGTTGGTGGCTGAAGGCAGCATAGACAGCATCAACTGTCTTTGTCCGGAAGTTGTCCAGGTTATATCTCGCCGCTGTTATGACAGAAACTTGGTATTCGGATTGGTTGATGAGCTCGTCTTTGCGGTGAGAAAGATTGATCCATGCGTCCACGAATGATAGGACGAGAGCATCGCTGGGATTTATGCAGTACGGATTGGACTTTCTTTGGTCTTCTTCAATTTTGACGAGTAATAGAGTCCTGAGGTCACGGAGAGCTGGAGGGTTGGAGGCAACGCGAGAAAGCATGCATGCCCTGCACTTGTTGGTCTGTAAATCCCAGTTTCGCATTTTCGGCGAGAAACCAGTAAGATTTAACCACATTCCCTGGATTGCTGATACACGGCCTACAATGAAGTTCTCTTCAGGGCCAAGACAGAATGCGAACTCGTTTATAAGTTCAATCGTTGTTTTCAATTCTTTCCTCAGCGAGTCGAATATGTCGGTTACCAGTTTCAGGGAGATAGCACTGTGGACGGGGCATGGCCCTTTGGTCTCACTGTCAGGACCAAGAGGAGGAAGTTCGATATGAGGGAGTATCGACTCGCGAAAACGCGGTGGCAGGTTATTGATGCAGGATCGGATTCGCCAGTGATCCGCGTTGAGAAGTGTTGCATCAAACTGGAAGCATTTGGCCAGGATAATCACATCACTGTGTGTGAGCTGTGACATCCTGGTGTATGGGAAGAGGCAATGAAAGAGCCTTTGCATATTGTTAGAGCCGTTTCTGTGATTTTGGCAGTAGATGGTTGAAAAGACAATGCTTCAAGGAGATATATTGAGGAGAGTTGATGACAATGGATTGTGTGTTTGCAGATATGAAGGTGGCTAGATAGAAAGAATGTCATTATAAGAACTTACCAGGTTGCCTCTGCTTCTTGTTTCACAGCGTGCACGACAGCTGGAGCAGGTCTTTTGTTTGCCAGTATCGTGACGAATAGACACAATAATGTAAGTTGATGGGATTCTCCTATCTGTCCGAGTAAGTGTCTGTCGACAAATGACTCTTATAGCTGATCTCTTTGTGCTGGACTTGTCATCAGTAGGTGAGAAAGAAGTACATTGTCATTGTTATCTTTCTGGATACAAATTATTGTGAGCTTCAGCCATGATAACTGTGCATGCTTACCACATTAGAGTTAGATCAAATATCGAAGTAGATATGTCGAGGGCGGCCTGCTCACCAATATCATGAAAAGAATGCAAAACTATCATGATTAAGAGACCAGCCATAGCCTTGCTCCATATACAGGAAGATATCTGAGTCACTGCAATGCAGCGGCTTCTGCATCTCCCAGCAGACAAAGATGCCATGTTTGGGCGGTCACCAAAGTGTCTACCGGTGACACAGAACAGAACAGACGAATTGAGTATTAGAGCATATAACTTCTAGTTGAGAATATAATATAATAGCGGATGTAGAAATAGGGCTAGGTCCGGTTGAGGAAACATCGACAGGTCAGGTGGAGGCCTCAGCGTGGAAGTGCTTGTGACACGCCAAGATCGTCATGATGCAGGCAGCACGGCCCTCTCTTTTCCCAGACATGCTCCAACTTCTACAACCTCGTCGACTCAACTATGCTCCATTTCCCTGTTATATAATTGATGTCGTCGTGCGCCCTTATTGTTCCCATCATGGTGGCGGCGTACTATATACCGCCTCAGCCCGACACCGACACCGACACCACCATGCCGCTACCATACACCGCCAGCCCTCTCAAACTGTTGGCAGCTGATATACTGCTTTGTCTCTCGAGTATCCGGTATCTACCAAATATTGTCCGTCCACTGCGACCATGCAGATCTGGAAAACTAGACGAGCTGTATCCATCTTGGGGCAACATCACCGCCCTCGCTATACATGGCGTGTTGATCGTCTACCAGCTCGCCTTTATTCTATCGCTACCTGCTTTATTCTTTTTCCCAGTTTATACCAGTATGATTTACACTGCTGCGGCACTGGTGATCAACAAAAGTATTTGCATGATTTTAAATGGCAGTCGCCGATTTTTGGTTTCCCAGGTCCCAGTCGACCCTTGCTCGCAGCATGGATCGGAACACTGGGTTTTTATTAACGGAGTCGGTGTTGGGTACGTAGCTTCCATTTCATCTCAGGTTCAATTTCTGATAGACAAGACAACACTGGCTGCAAAGTAATCTCGACCGACTGTCGCTCACTTTTGGGCGCAAAGTCACTGGAGTTCATAATGACACGTAAGTCTCAAACTAAAGCCTAAGGAGTAGGAAATACTTTGCTGATTTTTAAAAGAACTGGGATTATCTTTGATATAATTCAATGTCTCATTCAGCGATGCTTTTGTTATGCCACTGACCATGTCCGTGATGCACACGTTCTTGTCAAGGAGGCGCTGCTAAGCCCTGAATACCGTAAGGTGATTTTGATACTTCATAGTCAAGGCGCTGTCGAAGGCGGGCTTATCATTGACTGGCTATTCGACGAACTGGACCAGAGTGCGTTAGACAAACTTGAAATATATACGTTCGGAAACGCCGCGAATCATTGGAATAACCCTATCAGAACCTTATTGCCAGGTCTGAGCAATGCGCTCGAGAGGCGTATTCGCTACATTGAGCACTATGTCAATTCTAAAGATTTTGTCGCCATTTGGGGGATTTTGCATTTTATAAAATTACCATACCGTTATCGGGGAACCATTTTTATTCGTGACGGCTGCGGCCATCAATTGAACCAGCATTATCTTGACACCATGTTTCCTTTGAGTCTGAATGGAGGAAAAGTCTTGGAAGAGAATGATTTTGTGGGACAAGAAGTCGAGTTGATCAGCTGGGAGAAGCTGGACGGCGTCGAAAAGGATCCCAATAGTGCTAATAATGCGGAAAGTGCTGCTGGGATTATCACGCAAAGCGGAGGCTGTCAGAACGACATGCCGACCGATGGAAACAGGCTAAAGCTGAAGAGTTATAGTCGTTTGTGGCAATACCGAAACGGAGGGTCCCCTCCTGATTGATTGCGTTTGATTTGAAACAATATTAACGTGACTAGAGATATGTTTATATACTTTCACTTTATTACCAAGGCGTTTGACAATCGTTGCTTGGCTTACGGGCTACATGGGACGTTATCGGATTGGGGGTGGATCATATATTGTTCGTATTGAATTCATTATGAAGATTGTATACCGTTTTATCCAGATGTGTGTGGCGACTCAGTCATTGCTTGATATAAGAGAAGACTAATCTAATCTGCAAACCCCTCCCATTCTGACTCGTAATCACTTTGGTCACCACCAGTGGCGTGTTCTTCATGTTCTACCAACTCATCTCTCACAAACCCAGCAACAAAAAACCCACCCGTACACTCATCGTCACCAGGCCAACATCGGAGACAAGCATCCAGCTGTTCATCCGACAGATCAACCTCGACTTGATCATCATCCTTCACTCCCGGAACGGACCTTATACCTCTATGATTCCACTTGCGAAGACCCCTAGGCTGTTCATCTCTCCGCATTATCCTCCACCCTCTTCGTTTTGCTACCTCCGATGCTAGAATTCTTGAAACAACTGACTCGTTTTCTAGAAAATGTGTTGAGCATGTACTATACGTTACTCGTGTTGCTGCAGGAAAATGAAGAGCATGCTCCACGATGTGGGTTTGGAGATTGGACAGCTTGACAAGGCGTTCTCTGCTCATTGGCTCTGGCTGGTTGGACGCGGCTACTTTGGCAATATCACCGTCATCCGCCTCTGCCTGTCGTTTGCGTTTCCTTGCTCTGTTGGTCGAGTTCGAAGCTTTGTTGTTACTCTCTGGTAAAATCAACTGGGGAACATCGTCGCGCCCTATAATGCCACTGCCCGAACAACTGGGGTCTAGAAGTAACCCAGTCACACTCTCAAACTGTTCATCCGTCGGGTCTAAAGCTAGAAAATCCTGACCAGCAAGAACCGTCACGATCTTGTCGGCACCTGCGACAGAGACCATTTTCTGCAAAGTCTTTGAACGGGGAGCAGAAGCGTCCATGGATATTATTTTCGATTTTCTTGTCTTTTCAGAGCTGCTTTGTGACTTTTTCCGAGCCGCAAGTAGTGACGCGAGATGAGTAGTCTTGTTTCCGGGTGCAGCACATCCATCAACCAAGTCCATCCCGCTCCACTGTCCATCTGCATCTCCTAATAGGAGGTAAGCAGGGAAGCAGGATGCCTTGTCTTGTAATATGATCTCTCCATTCTTATACGACTTTGTCGAAGAAAAGTCGACAGTCCCTGGAGCCAACGCAACCAAGTCTGGAATATGAGCATCAACGTAAACCTGGTTCCCTGTTCGCAACTCGCCCAAACTCTCGACTTTCTGATACCCGGCAAAGGTACCGCTCAATTGTTCATTGAGCGTGCTTTTAATATTATTAATCCGCACCCATCGCGGATACATATTTTCGGTGAGCCCATCGGGTCCAAGAAACGCTTTCTTTTCAGCAAGTATAACCGCTTGAAGATCCTGCAGCGATGCGCAGCCTCGCCGTACACGTGCCTTTGTGAGCTCTGCTTTTAGACGCGCTTTGTGCCTCTCAATCGCTTGGCGGATAGGGTGGGAAGCAGGAGCTGCAATGCCGTTTTTACTCAGTAGATAGTCGTGCGCAAGTAGTAAGCATAACAACGGCGTTAACTATATTCAGATCTTGAGTGTTAGTTAGTAATCCTAATCTCCCGTTTTAATTTCGAATTGCACAAGCAATAGAAAAGTTTTTTTTAGCAAACACACCTTTGGTTCTAATGACAGTACTCCCGCATGTTCAATAACCTCTTTCAAGAGTATATCCCATTTCGCAGCCTCTGTCACAAGCGCATAGATCTGTGCTGGCTTAGCTTTGAGGGATTTGGAGTTGTAGATGCGCGACTTGAAGGAGCCGCCTTGAGAAAAACTTGACGAGGAGATGATATTTTCGGCATCATAGTATAGCGACATAGTCGCGGCTCCTTCAGGCCTGGGAACTACTTCAGAAGTGAAGTAGCGATGAGCTGTGATAAAAATGAGTGGCAGAAAATGTCCCTCCGGCGGGCGGTGAGAGGCTCTTTGACTAGGTTGCGGGGTTGGATGTGATTGGCTGAAGTATTTATTAACAGAATTTGGCATAATTTGCTATATTGTTATTAATATCTTATTTGTACTTAGTCAAACCCACCAAAAGGTCAAACCCTAGAAACTTGGCGTGAAAATTTTCAAATGATGGTTTTCTATCTGTTGTTGGTAGCGCTTGGCTGAGCATTAACTCCACTGAATAATGCACATACCTCAATCCAAATACCAGAACGTCTTGTATGATGTATGCAACTTAGGGAATTGATCTTTTTATAAGCTACATAAGATAATTCTAATATTGATCTACATTAATCGTATGACTCCGATTTCACTACATCAAACGGAATGAAGTATGACACTTCTCCTTTATACGAATAGCCACATACCAAAGTAACAACAATGGCTTTTGGCATAAGATATAGATCATTGCACTACTTCCCGGGATGGAATCACAAGTTAAATGTGATAGCCATCATATGCCCAGTCTGCCGCCGAAATAAGGAAAAGTCGGAATCCCCAACCTTAGAAAATGATGCCACCACCTCTGAAATGGGCCATGGCAATTCGTGAAAAAAATGCACACGTAACGAAGAGATTGTGGGCAACGGCCATGTCACTCCAATTGAATCATCTCTGTTGGCGCTGCGGTAGGCTTGTGAGACCCATATTCTACAGATTCACTATTCAAGGCCACGGTTTTGTGTTCCAACTCAACATTCTGTGGTGGAATAACGCCTTCCTCAGCAAAGTAGTTGGTATCGGAAACGCATTTGAAAACTAGATAGAACAAAACAGGAAATGATACGATCATCCCGCCGCCCTGTACGATGGTCTGCGCTCTGTCCAATTGATCTCAGTTGTCCCATTCGGCATGGCAAGGTGAAGAATACGATAGAACTTACAGATAAGAGACAGAACCAGCCTCGAGTCCAAAGGCGACGCAGAGACCTGCACTGAGCATTGCCTTGAAGAAGCCTCCATATCGAGCCAAAAGCCGGGGCTCGTTACTAAACGCGCCAAGAATCCACATAACCGCCATTTGATCAATTGCTAGGGAGATTCCAGCCAGTAAGATCATAATGACAAACTCTCCGTAGACAGGATCTGACCAGTCCCATTCCGGGCTGGGCTGATGTCGGTTGAGGTTGTGTTTGATCTGTAGACCCAGGACAAGCGCCCAGTTCGCAATAACGATGATGGCGCCAACCGTCAAAGCCATCAAGCCGCGCACTCGTCGCTGGAACCGCGTGTTGTCGAGAATAGTACTATAAACAAAAGTCGCAGGAATCTGGACCAGCCAATATATCACACTGTTAAGTGACCGTGTTCGTAAGTTGAACGAATACGCACTCAGGGTGGGAATCAGAGACTGAGACATTTCGGTCGCTGCCATTGGAATTATAAGGCTAACGATTCTCCTAAAAAAGAAATGGGAGGTTAATGATAAGTCACTGTAACACTTGTCGCATGTCGTATTCCGTACCAATCTTTGAGAAGTTCAAAACAGCCTAGAACCTCTGTACGAAAGTCAGGGGCAGTAAATACAGCTAGATGAGTGCCATCATCACGTCGAACATCTTCTGGTGGGACGATTGCGAAGAAGCTAAAGTAGTTAAATAAAAGACGTTTAGTAAATAAAAAAAGTTAGAGGAAGGTAAACAAGGATATATAAAGATAACATACGCCAAAGCGACAGCGGAAGTCATGATTATGATAAAAATCAAGTAAACAGAAATCGGAACACCATTGAGAGAGGTATCATGGAAATTGATGCCGAACGCGACAGATGAGCCGATTGTGCAGCCCAGATTGAGAAGAAACAGTTGCCATGCAATATATGTTCCTTTATCTTTTTCCTCAGCGTAGGCAAATTGTCTGCCCTTATTCATTAGCAAACCTCCCCCCTTCCTTTGTTTCTAATAAGCGAATGACGATGAATGCGAGCACGTACATGAAGCCCGAGACAGTCCACAGGAGCCCTGCACAAAGACCAATGACGACACCACCAAGTAATGGGTACCATTCCTGGCCTCTTGCATCATAATACCAGAGACCTGATACGTAAAATGGGTAGCCAAAGGCTCCAATCTGAAGCAACACTGAATCAGCACCTTTGTCATACTATCACCTTGTGGGAGGGAATTGTTGGAACAAGGCCCTAGCTGGTCTTACTGTCATGGTCCATTTCGGGCCAATTGTATTCATGATACTCCCACCAAAAAATCCAGACAAAGCGAAAACAGCGTACAAAGTCGTGTAAGTCGCTGTGGATACCTGAGCAGAGGAAGCCTTTCCTCCACCAGCTCCAAGTCCTGGATTGTTTACCGTTGTATTAGAACTAGGACGACATATGATAACTAGAGTGCAAAGCACAAATCTTCATACCGATAACGGCCAAGTAGATCCCCACCGTCAGAAGAAGGACAACGCCGGAGATGAAGTTTTGTGTCCATGGTCTGGCAGAGGAACTTTGAGTGAGCAGTAATTAGGGCGTGAGGTAAAAGTCATCCATACCTTGTCAACCGCAGTTTCGATTTAACGCCGCCCATAGTGATCAATGATATTCGTTACGATTGAGATTGTCAGAAGAAGGGGCGAGCAAGGAGAGACAAACGATGGGGAAATAAGAAGACTCTAACGAAAACGACAGTGAGATGCAAACAGATTTTGCTACCAGTCATATACTAGAGAGCTAGATCTTTGCAAACCAGCCGATATCACTGGGAGATGACATCTCCCTTTTCATATATATATATATGTATTTATCATTGCTCTAAATCGTTAGCAGCTCTCGCCAAATAATTCTGGTAGCGCGCACGACATCTGGAGCCACAGCTCCAACGATACCGGGTAATTCTCATGGGATGCACCAGAATTTCGGTTTATGTTGGGAACAGAGGGTCTGGCATGTACCGTATGAGGCTATTTCCCACAATACATTCGGACGAAGGGAACGATATGACCTTTAACTCATGGTGGCCAGTATGGGGCTCCGCAAAACATGGCGACCTTACGCACGTATCAATGGATGCGGGTGCGCATGAGTAATAATTTGCAGCACCATCTCAGCCATGACAATAGAACGCATGTCAGGGCGGTCAAAAGAAACTCTAATAAAGCCTAATATAAAGGTTTGACTAGTTGGGAGAACTGATTTTTATCACATCTCGGTGGAAGCTTTCCCCGAGCGTCAGTTCTGTAGCCTGTTCCATATTGCCGAGATGCCGCTTTTGCCATGGCAATATCTCGGCAATGAAGGGCTGCGAAGCAAAAGCGATGAAGGCAACCTCTCTGCAGAGTAGCCTATAGTGACGTGAATAAATATTATAAACATAAGACTTATATCACCTGCAGGGTTTCTCGGTCTAGCAACAGACTCTTTTTTGGCACCGAAAACACAGCGTGTCTTTTATTCATACGCAATCAGATACATTGGATTCTCGGTGCAGAAGCAATGGTATATCTCTCAGAAGAATCAGTTGCTGTCCTTAGTGCAAAGCTCGATTCATATACTTCAAAGGCAAACGGGATTCCCGGACTTGTGTGTACAGTCGTAAACAAGGATGGCAACCGGATATTCCATCACGCTTCTGGCCACCGTGGTGCTGGTGTTGGCCAGCACATGCGCCCAGATGACATATTTTGGTTAGCCTCCTGTACCAAGTTGATAACGTCCATTGCGGCCATGCAGCTGGTCGAGCAGAAGAAATTGTCCTTGGATAATGAGGACCAGGTGGAGAGGATTGCCCCCGAGTTAAAGCGTGTCCGGGTGTTGGAAGAAAACGCCGATGGATCGCTGGAGCTGGTCAATAAGAAGAGAAGAATCACGCTCCGGATGCTGCTAAGCCATACAGGTCAGATAACCTCCACCTAAATCAAAATGGAAAACTTGTATGAGTCAAGAGACTGACTGAAGCCGTATGTATATTGCAATAGCTGGGTTTGGATATAGCTTTATGAACCCTAAACTCAAGAAGTGGTCTGACCCAGTAGGCGTGGACGAGTTATCTGGTGATTTTTTTGACATCTTTGAACAGCCGCTGGTAAATCAGCCAGGTGAGCGCTGGGAGTACGGTACAAATATTGACTGGGTTGGGTTGATCGTGGAACGGGTGTCAGCCCTTTCTCTGAACGCTTATTTTAAGAAATTCATTTTTGAGCCTATTGGTGTTGAGAACATATCCTTTTTCCCCACTGCACTTATGAAGGATCGCTTAGCTTTTATGCATCATAGGCAGACAGATGGAAGAATTGACTTGCGTCAGCATGGGCACCTCTATCGTCGTCCATTAAATGTTCAGAGCGAACAAGATATCTCGAAAATAGTCAACTCTGGGGGAGCGGGCTGCTTTGGAGATGCGGCGGGATATTGCGGTGAGTCGAGTTTGATTTTTGTCAGAAATCCTGCTATATGATTATGCAATGCTAATCTCCTGAATGATGTTGGGAGCGGACAGAAGTACTTTCCGTTCTCCTAAATAATGGCCTACACAAGAAAACAGGATCACAGATTCTACGAAAGGAAACAGTTGATGGTAGGTAACATCTATTTTATGAGGGCAATAAAGGAAAAAAAAATAATTCCGACAATGAAAATTTTCAAATACCGGTGCTGATAGAAAAATGAATTGGCATTAGAAATGTTTACCAACCAAATTCCACAATTCCCTGACTTCGGACGTCAGTACACGCCATCATCAAAGCCTGATCTCATCCGCCCAAGCACTGAGACATATCCCCAACCTCATGACCAAGCTCAAGGATGGGGGCTATCATTTTTTACCTTGATTCATCCATCTTTCACTGGACGCTCAGCTGGCGCAGGCTATTGGAGTGGTCTTGCAAACCTAGTCTGGTGGGTAGATCGGGAACAAGAAGTCGGAGGAGTAATATTCTCACAAATTCTTCCCTTTGGAGGTAAGTAAGGAGAATGATATTTGGGGTTGGGAAACGACAAGTAGCTAAGATTTGTTGAACAGACACCGAGTTTTGGCGGTGCCAGACAGAAGTCGAGAAGCTATTATATAATAATCTCTCCACGAAGGGTGTTATTTCTAAGATGTGATGTGTGTGATTGGGTGATGTATGAACATAACCAACACAATCTAGATTGCAGTGAGGAGGGGCTTAGTCGATGCTACCATCAATTGACGTAAAAGGTATAGTATCTGGTTCGAAGTTTTGCGAGGAATGATGAAATAAGATGTGGCTCCAATTGGACAATCACCATTGATAGGTAAATGGCAAGCTAGATACCAGTTGGCTATTCCTAGGCCAGGTGGAATACGCCAATGGACCTCAAGTAGTATCGGCATTGGTCCATGCGTATTTGACAACCCAACTAAAATCGACACACATCACAGGCATGACCTGGGTTATCCGAGTCCATGAGTTTATTCTTAGGATTGGCTTAAAGAAAAAGTGAAATAAGTCATAAGAGAGGACTTAATCAGCTGCTTGCTCTAGTTTTCCTTATCTCTTTTGAAGTTCGACATAATCATAGAAAACATTTTGTACCCATTAATCCCTAAGGCGAGAGACCAATTCCATAACACCGATCCTGCTTATCAATTGATAACTCCATATCCATGAAAAACCCTTACGACCTGACATCCCTGCTGACACGCGTCATTCACGCTTCAACACGCAACGACATGACACCAAGAGACATGCCCACGCACACTGATGAAGCATCACGGCTCCTCCCTCAAGAAAGTCGACGACTCGCCACCCTCCTTCGACAATCTATCGGCCCTCCTGGCTTCGCGAGCAGCATAATATAGTCCCATTCGATTATTATACCGCACCTGCCGCATATATTCAAGCTGTTCCGGAGACGGCTCACGAATCAGGACTTCTGCTGCGCCATTCCAGAGACGGAAAAAGGCAAAGGCAAGGAGAACAAGGAATCCTGCACCGAGAATGACTAGGAAGACCACCAGGTTGACCATCCCGAGGGACATGCCTGCGATTTCGGTACCCATGTTGATGAGGGTGTTTTGTTGATGGTTTAAAAAAATGATAGAATAAAAAGGGATCTATAGTATGATCAGTGAAAAGTTTCTTTGGAAGGGATGAATGTAAATACCTAGTGGATAGTGGTAAATAGATCGTGAAGGTGCCAAGTAATGATCCTGATGGAGACGATGATGTTCGAGGCCTACCAGAGAGGGGCTGAATGAACGAGTCAAGAGGTCTAGAAAGTGAGAGTAGTATAGAAATGATATTACTGAGATATGTGTGCTTCGTAACGAATGAATAGCGTTGAGAAGGTATCAATAGCGGTGGGAAAGAATGCTAACACCGGGTAGAACAGACAGAACGACTGAAAGCAAAAAGCAGAGCCGACACAGAGAACCCCCCCAGTGGCATTCCTAGCAATTAATATATGCTACTCGCGTGCATTCACCACAGCCCTTACAAATCCCTTCATCGGGGCTGACAGAGGCTTCAGGGGTCAAAATATGGCTCCTACGCCCAATCATCTCGTTCCCTTCGGCCTGCTACGCCACATTTCACTCACAAACAGGAAAGGTCGCAAGCGCTAGTTGCTGTGCAGTCGTGTTTTATCCACTTGCACCTAGCAGAGTCTGCATCTATAAATATTAGTAGGTTGTGAACTTGTTGTATCGCTGTAGGGCAGATGAAACACAGATGCCAGACTATTTCCCGATCGGGCAAACTATACCCGCAGAGGGATAGCGGCTCCAAAAGTGATGTCATAAAGCGAACGGGCCAATGGAAGCTAGTCTTGGCATTGTTAAGTTGACCAACCACAGCTGTTCGTAAAGGTCCGCCAGCCCGGCGTCTTTTTTCCATCTTACGGTTCTGCCTGTCCAGTCCAGACTCGATCCGAAGCCGTGAACCAGTACTGCATTTAGAAGCATCCGACGCTGCTAGATATGATTGACACGCTTGCTAGGCTAGCGTGAGGTGCAGGTTTTGTTATTGGTCGAACGAAATTAGTGGATAGTCTGGAAGTGCTGAGATTGGGGATGGACTAGTCAGGTCCATGCTACCTGGATTTCCCGCCATAACCAGCCTTGTCTTCGTTATTTGAGAGCAACCAGGAACGTTCCGCCTGTCGGACATGTTCAGCTCAGGCTCCCAATATGGCAGACGCAATGGAGCTCAGCTAAGGAGCACGACCGGCTGTCTGCCATGCAAGTATGTCAACGTCTGATCAGACACACCGCAGCGCTAATATAGACCAGAGCAGGTAAAGTCAAATGTGGCGAGGAGAAGCCTTGTTGCCGTAGATGCGTTCGGTTAGGAAGGGAGTGCAAGTACGGCAGCGGTAGTAACAATGACAATGACAATAATAGTGATTCCCAGAATTCCTCTCCCAACTCCGAGGAAGAGAACCTCGTGAAGCTCGAGAAACCTACGGTAGGGTTAAAACTACTGCCATTATTCGGAAGAGATCAGGATGAAAGACGTGCCTTTGAATTCTATTTCCGGTATGCGGCACCAGCAATGTCGAATGTAGTTGACATGGCATTCTGGCGCGGCATCGTTCTTCAACTGTGTCAAACCGAGCCTGCTATCTGGGACGCGTTGATTACGATCAGCTCGTTATATGAGAACCCGCAGTATCGAATCAGCGCGTATACACCATCGAATATATCGGATCGATCTACAGTCGATGACAACCATCGCCGGACACTCCGATGGTATGCGCGGTCATTATCCAACGTACGTGAGCAGCTGCAAGAAGGCAAGGCGGATATCCACATATCGTTGATTACGTGCATACTATATATCTGCATTGAAACAATGCAGGGACACACTGAAGATGGATTGAAGTTATTTCAACAAGGAATTAAGTTAGTAACTCAGTTAACGTCACACGATAACTCGAATAGAAGAGACCGACGGGCCTTGACGTTTCTGGAAGACGTCACGTTGCCGGTCTATGAACGACTCAGTATGGTCTCAACGATCATTATAGGCACTACGAGCCCCTTGAGCACTTCGATAATACCGAACTCACCGAGCTCCAGTGACTCGCATAACAACCACCTTAGCACGATGTCCGAAGCCTACATGTCGCTTCACAAGGTTGTCGCGCAGTGTGTCGAGTTCCACGATAGGGCAACGGAGGTTGTGCGCAGGGGCGGAGCAGAAGTGGATAAGCAAATAGAATATTTCCACATGGAAAAATCACATCTACAATCCCGACTCGATGATTGGCAACAGGCATTTGAGATATTAGACGAAATTCAGGCATTAAGCAAGTCTACAGAATACAAGGGGCTTGCTGCTCTACTCCGTATGTGCTGGAGCTGCGCATCGATTATCACCGCAATTACGCCGTGTCAAGACGAGACCGCCTACGACCAGTACATGGACCTATTCGCCGAAATGGTCAAAGATGGCGAAACATGCCTGACATACACGGCCGTTGCGGACGGGAGCCAGCCCGAGTTTACATTCGAAATGGGCGTCGGACTGCCACTCTTCTTCGTGGCTATGAAATGCCGCTCTCCACGAATTCGCCGCGAGGCAATCCGCCTCCTGCAACGGGCGCCACCTGTGCAGGGGCTATACAAACTAGCCCGAGCGATCTTCATCGTGCGCAAAATCGTCGAGTGGGAAGAAGGACGCCCGTTTTCGCTTGATTGTGACGAGGAGGATGCAAACCGGCTGCCGGATCAGAATCAGCGGATGGGAATGGTGCTTGCCGTCAGCGATCATTTGCCCACGGCGGAATTACGCTTTCTGAGGAACCGGTGGAATTCCGGTGCCTGTCGCTGGCAGCTAGTGGAGGAATCCGTGTCGTTTGGAGCTACGGAGAACATAACTATGTAGTATTAGGTCCTAGCATTACTACTAGCAGTCGACTATGGATTGCCATGTGGCTACTACGCACGTTCACACTGATTATGAAGATGAATTGATGATGAAATATGAGCAACCCTCCACCAACCTTCGACTCGGTGATAGCTTAGATCCCCACAGAAGGATGAAGGAACAGCCCCCAACAAGCGGTCAGGAGTCCGTGGCGGTAGCGCTCAAGTCGTGGACAGATTTTCAAGCGTAGGTCCGCCACAGACGCACCTGAGGCCGGCATTCTAGGTGTCTGCCGAGACTACAGTGTAACTGCGCATCTACATCTGGTCCTGCGAGCAGCTGTTCGTTTGGCATGCCAAGCGCCAAGCACTCACCGATTGATTATGCAGAGGCGATCATCTATCTTATCGATAAACTTAGTGAGTGACTCGAGAAGGGATACAGAGTAAGGACTGTGGTACAGGATATAGACGACGTATTGTGATTCTTTAATTCTCGTTCCACAATGCAGTCACTATCGCCGAGTACTGGAATAGTTGAAGTATAGACGGGGGCTGATTACTCCCGTGCTCCGGAGAAAGCTCCAGACAGATCAAGAGAAAATGGAAAATACAGAAGAAGCTATGGCCACACTTATACTCGTGAACTCAGTAAGCACTATGCACATGAAACGCCGCAGCAGCCAATGGCTATCAACCAACAAAATCAATATCCTAAATGAGAGTACGAAGGGGCCAAGGAGGCGGCTCTACTCGTATCCTAAAATCAGCATGATTTCCCGCCTTTATTATTATTATTATTCTCCAGCCAAAGCCTCAAGGGAGTGCGACTTGCAACGTCGGAGTCGCAATTAGTAAATAAGACCCAGCCAATCAGAGCCCCCGTAAAACCTCCGTCAACCCGGGTCTCGTGACCTATCCAGCGAGGCGGGTCGGCTGAGGAATTAGCCGACCAGAACTATTTCCGCGGGCACACGACCAGCATACCTCTTCGATGTAGGCACCAACAGTACTGCCTAGTGCCTACTGAACCAGATCCCTGGACAGTACGATGATATGTAGTGAGAATCCCCGCCAATATTGTTCTTATTGTATCCGTGAGCAACCATGCATAGTTGGAGGATGTATATGTTGATGCTGTGTCAGCACCAGGATCTGGCCTGTTCTTTTGCACTCACTAGTGCAGCCGCGGTGTACATGTAGTTTGCACTAGTTTATATTAGCATTCGAAATACCACCATAACCATTGGTTCGGCCAGCTGTGGCGGTCCGCGACCCGAGAAGATCACCCAATAAAAGCTCGACAACGCTGTTTAGCCAATGATAAGCCCGCGATAAGGCGTCCCGGGCGCGGCCTAAGTGGGGTGACCGTGGCGCGGACTCGAGCGATGCTACTTACTAGGGCCACTACTACCACGCTGTCGTGAATCTAGTGATTGTCGGTCCGATGATCTTCGGCCACGAGATTGACTGACATGGAGAGTACGGAATACTGTTAACTATTCCATATTAAATGATTTTGTATTGATAGACGGGGAATCGCGAGTATACTGTGCGAGCTTGACAGTCGTCCGAAAAACACTATTTCATATGCTTATTATAAAGAGAACGCCCCTGGCGCGATCGGATAGAGTAGCTCAAACGGGCAAGTCACTAGCATGCCCGCAGCAAATGGCCGCAACGGCGAGTCTCCGGGCGGGTCGGGTGGAGCCGGGATGGCAAATTCTACTCATGGCGGCACTACGATTTGTTGTTAACATGTTTGTTCATATGCTTGACTCGTGCGAGAAACCAAACTATATCGATCGACCAGTAAGTGTTGCGTGGATTCGGTTATTATCATTATGAGAGAGAAACAAACGCGCGAGTCCGATTGGATTAAATAGTAAAGTAATCCTGTAGTGACCACTCCTATGAGCTTGTCTCCACATCCATATAGGGATATTTCTCGCGTGCCAGATTGATAGAAATGCATTTCCTCTTCATGTTGTGCGAGGATAAGAATAAGAGAAGAATACGACGCATACATGTATTCATATTCATAGTCTATAGTGATGTATCAATAACACCTGAATAGGAAATGCGTCATGATCAGTACCATTATCCATACACATGGACCAATCATAGGGCGCGCCGAAGCGGCGGTCTACAATGGCGGTCAACGGCGCGCCTCTTTCTCTGATCACGGCTGCATGCTCCTTCATTCCTGCCAGAATCAGATATTCAAGAGTATCCTAGGAGGTGTGGTCAGCCACTGCATGCCCATAGAGAGGACTGATTACGGTCTTTGAGTTTCTGATAACGATGGGTGCTGAACGAATGCGCACAGTCGCTGACGTCGACGACTCGCTCCCAGGCCCGGTGGTCCCCCGATCTTCAAGATGATGCCAGCATGATGATGGTGCATGAGTAGCCATAATTGGTGTATAATGTATAATTGATTGTTGTTATTATTATGATGATGGGGATGATAATAAACTTGGCATCCCTGCCCAGAGTGATCCGTTATGGTGGGCACCACCGTCATCACACCCTCCTATCCAGCCGCAAGCCGGCAACAGAGAGATCTTAGATGGTTCTTAGGATAGAATATACAAAATTATATATGATTATATGTCATTTCATATCATATTGCGGATGATATGAATGCAAGTTTATTATTGCCACCTCCAATGTTCAATGCGATAATAATAATCATAACGGATCCACTGCGTTAAGTTCGCCCAGAAACGGCGGCTCCGGGGGCGCACGGCCAATCAGCGCGCGGCTGCCGCCAGCCCCGTCGCAGCGCCGAGGAATAAGAAAGTAATTGCATCCACCAACGCCGCCGCCTAGTATTGTTCCTCCTAATAATATCGAGGCCTCCTTTCGTCCTGTTCTTCTCCCCTCCTCTCCTCTCCTCTCCAGTGTCCCCGGGTCCTCATTACTTACGTCTGCCTCGATCGCTACTGCGCACCCTGCGCTGTCTACTGTTATCTATCACAACTGCTTCTAGCGACCAGCACACAGGACCATGGCCACCATCCAGACGGCCTTTCCCCCGCAGGCCATCGCCAACCCAGGTCAGATCTCCATCTACGGCCACCCCTCGCCGTCCAACTCCGCCAACAACACCCCTTCCAACAGTTCGCCCGCTTCACCTCAGATGAGCAACGCAACGCTGCATTATCCCTCTCAGTCGCGCCAGATCCGCCCTCCCAAGGCTCCCCTCTATGTCCCCGCAGTGCTGCGTCCGACCGAGCGTCCTGCCAAAACCTCCTCTAAGGACTCTTCGCCCATCACCCCTCCACGCAGCGTGCACGGCTCGCTCGACAGCCTGAACGAAGAGCCAGCTCCTGTCCACCGTCAGACCACCATCAACTCGACCAAGAGCGGACCGACCAAGTGCAGCGAGGATGTGATGAAGGATGAGCGACTGGGTGAAGTAACAGGTGTGCCCACCCGCGACCACTGGAAGGTTAGTTTATTTTTCCTTGCGTTTCACTCGAAAGTTGCACAGAAATGCAGTGATGGAACTGCGATGCAAAACGAAAACGACCGCGGGGTCCTCTCTTTAAATAAATGCTTGGTTTTCTATTGAGCCATTTTTCTTTCCCATTACGTGCTCGGTTGAGTACCTTGCATCCCAGCTCCACTCGCCCGCCGCCTGCCATTCGCAATTATATACCTCAATTAATCTCTCCCCGTTGCTGAATTTCCATTACCTATTTTTGATTTGTTTAGTATTTCATATATTCCATGATGCTGATTTTTTAGGCCGACGCTGCCTCTCAGACCTGCGACTCGCCCACCTGCCGCTCCTCCTTCGGCATCTTCACACGCCGTCACCACTGCCGCCACTGTGGCCATGTCTTTTGCTCGTCGCATACCCCCTACGTGGTGCCTCTCGACCAGAATGCCCGCTTCCACCCTGAAGGCGCTGCCTCGCGGGCCTGCGACCAGTGCTACAAGGCCTACCACCGCTGGGAAGAGACCCGTGCCGCGAGGATGAGCCGCATCCAGCAGACACTCGACGAGCGCGAAACACAGTCCGACTCAGGCGAAACCGAGCATAACGAGCAAATCGACGCTCCTCACCGCCAGCCTGAGTTCGCCATCGCCAGCAGCGTTCCGCGCGGCTGGAATTGGAGCACCTTCTAATTTTCAACATTCTTAATATCAGACTAGTTAATACTTATCTGATTCGCGTGGATACCTTTCTTACTTTTCTTTGGGGTGGTTCTGTCGACTTTTCTTTTCCTTCCTGTCGTGATTCCCCCTTGGTTCCGCGCATGTATTAGCGATATTCTTTACTTTTTCGTCTACTCGGGTTTTGCTTGTTTGGAGTTGACGGCATATTAGATCTGATCTGCCAGCTTTTGTCATCTGGTTCTTTCATCATTTCGTGGAGTTTGCTGGGATGGCCTTTTTTTTTCTCTTTCTTGCTCGCATCGTTCATCTTCGTGGCGTCTTACTGGCATGGTGTTCATAGAGGCTGCTTTGTAGCTAGTCGGGGCCGATACGCACCTGGCTTCTTCCGACTGGCAGTTGTGATAGACCTAATATTCTCGTCTCATTCGGGATGAATCAACTTATTTACATATCAATCCCCATCTCTAATCTATACTCTAATCTAAGCTCACCCTCTTGAACATACCCACATGCTCTATCCCCTCCTCATCCCATCTCCCCATCGCCATATCCGTCTCATATCCAAGCCGCGCATACATCTTCTCAACTTGCACCTGCGCATGCAACCCGATCAACCCATTCCACCTCCTCCCCCCCACCCCTCCGTCTTCCCTAAGAACATACTCCATCATCTCCTCAACCCTTTCCCGATTCCTTCGCGCCCAGTCCTCCAACACCTCCATCAATTTTCGTGATATCCCATACCCCCTAAACTCCCTCACCACCGCGACACGCGTGACCTTGACGTACGGTTCGTGCCGCACATCGAACTTGTCGTGCTCCGCGGCCCGGTCTGGATAATGCAGCGTTTCGTGCGGTGCGTGCGGTGGAGGCACAAGGCGGACCACACCAACCGGCCTGCCCCGATCTTCTACCTCTGATGGTGGAGTCGTGGTCGTTGTTGTTGGCGTTGGATGAGCGTAGACAACAAATTCCCAGCTTCGCGCATCGTCCGCGTCGATCTCAGCATCCGCTGAGCAGCATTGTTCGTCTACGAATACGGCGTGGCGGATTGCCATGGCGTCGGTGAAGACGGGGTGGTTGTTGGAGGGGGAGGGGTTGGAGGCGGAGGGATAGATGAGGGAGGAGTGGGAGAGAAGGGAGGGGGGGTGCGAGGATACTGTGAACGTGAATGACATTTTATGAAGTGTCAATTGATTGATCGTGAGGGTAAATTTTATGGTAAATTGGGAGATAAGGGAAAATGAGGAGTGGTTTAAATTGTGACAGTGGCAGAAATGACATAGGGCGTGTGTGGGGCTGCTTACTGCAGGGGCTGGCGATAAGATAACAACATCAATCCATATCAATTGATCGATAATTGGTCCATATCCCTGTGTTGGTAGTCTAACATGAAGCTCGATCTGGTGTTTGTCTTTGGTATCGCGGTTCTGGTTGAAGAACATGTGCGGGGTGTACACCATGTATAAGTGATCGGACGGGGCCGTGAAGCTAGCTCAAGGTTACTGAACATTTATTTCAAATCTTAGTTCGGAAAGGTTCAAACGTTATATTACACATCGAATTGGATGAGATAGTTTGATTCTCGTTATTGGAGTTGTCAGGTTTAACATCAATTTAGGTTGGCTCTGGACCATCGATATTATACCTGTTACCAGATTTAGAAATATATCATTGATACTACAGATATAGTTGATATATTTGAGATTATGAAAAAATAGAATCTGGATAATCGACTCATCATTAATTATCATTTGAATTGATTCAATATTTGGATCAATAACTTGTCAACAGGAGCATCACTAGGCCAACTTCATTGAACACTAGAGGCAGTCTTGCTGTTGTATAAGCATGGTCTATTTTCATTTTAACTGAACGCCAGTCGTGGATTAATAATAAACTAATCTACGGAGTAGATTGGCACTTTATTCCCGCTCGGACAGACCCCGTATTTGTTTACCAGAGTTTTGTGTTTTCTTGATTTCATGTATGTAACTTTGTCAGATAGGCACATACAAACTCCATGCTGTCTTCAAATGCTGTTTCATACTACACATCATATTCCCCTACTAGGATTCATTCTCGATGTTCCACTTGCAAGTAAACACACGTCCCTCTCATAACCTACTCCATCAGCCCCGTCAAGGAATAACAATACGCAGCCCAAGCTCATCGGGTCTCGGGTCTCGGGTTTCAGCATGCGTGACGCGTGACACCACACTAATATACTATGATACAGTCGCGAAGTTTGCAATAATGATCATTGATAAAATTGATGAAACTGTGGAGCTCGACAGCGCGGTTCCGATCACGGGTCCGCCTACAACCTACTGCGTCGACAGTACCTTGATCGTTAAGGGACTGTATGATGTTAGAAGAAGCCCCGAACAATCCCCGCATAGGGACTGTTGAGTTTGGCCGTGCGGAGGGGCTGTTGGGGAACCCCAGGCGGCTGGCCCTATCAGGAGCCGCGCAGGCCGCACCCCAGCCCGAGTTGCCGCGGCTCGGAGTCTGCTTAGCCTGATCGACCCATCCCCTGGCTCCATGTGAGATACACCTTCTTACATCTTCCTAGTATTTATGCTGGTCGCTGCATCCTGGCTTGAGTCGCAACTGAGTTCTAGTAGCATCTTGCGGGACTATTCCGAGTGCCGATTCCAGAATCCAGATCCATTGTTATTATGTCCAAAAGTGCAACTGCAACCGACTCTCGCATCATGCAATAATCTCCTGTACCACATTGTATAACACTCTCATTCATCTCTACCACCACCACATGACCAGCAATTCATTCATCTACAACACTGAAAATGCCTGAATACACCCCCCTTGAGGCGCCTCTGTACCCCATTTCCGACGATCCCATCTTTAATGACGCACAATGGCAAACGCTGCTGTCTCTCGCTGATGTCGTTATCCCCGCGCTGACGTCTGATAAACCTGGCAAAACAGCCAACCAAAAGACCATCCCCGCGACAGAGCTCGATTCTACCCTTTCCACACTGACTGCGCAGATCCAATCCCCGGGTCCTACGCAAATAGCACGCCAGTATCTGCAAGAAAACGCCTCGTCGCTGCCAGCCTTTAAGGAAACGTTGCGCCGAACGTTTGCCTTGAATGTGCCCCAGGAATCGAAGAATGGACTGTCCTTGATATTGACTGCTCTAAAGTAAGCTTTTCTGATGCAGTCGGCTTAATCGATTCGAGTTACTGACTGAATAGCACCCGCACCGGCTCTCTTCTTTTAACTGGCTCATCGACACCTCTTCAAGAGCAGACATTCGATGCAAGAGAAAAAGTGCTTCAGAACTGGCTGACTTCGCGCTTGCCGCAGCTACGCAAAGTTGCACGATCAGTTGTTCTACTGTCAAAGAAAAACTGGGTTCTCAACAGCGAGATTGTGTTGAACACAATTGGTTTCCCTAGGGTACCCGTCTATGGCAAACCTGCCGAGACATTTGACTACAAGTTTCTGCAAATCCCGCCGGGTGACAACGCCGAGACCATTGAGACTGATGTTGTCATTGTCGGCAGTGGCTGTGGAGGTGGTGTCGCGGCTAAGAACCTGGCCGAGGCGGGCTATCGCGTGCTCGTCGTCGAGAAGGCCTACCATTACCCATCAACGTACTTCCCCATGACGCAAAGCTCCGCTCTCGGACACATGTTCGAGCTTGGAGGAAACGCAGTTTCAGATGACGGTCACATGGCCATCTTGGCCGGAGCTGCCTGGGGTGGCGGCGGAACAGTGAACTGGGGTGCATCTCTTCACACGCAGAACTACGTGCGACAGGAATGGGCAGACGGTGGCCTGCCATTCTTCACATCGCCTGAGTTCCAGAAATCTCTAGACCGCGTCTGTGAACGAATGGGCGTGACGACCGAGATCGACCAGAACTTCCAGAATCGCGTCATGCTTGAGGGCTCGCGCAAGCTAGGGTATAATGCGCAGGTGGTGCCGTCGAATGCAGGGGCTGGCAGGGGTCATTATTGCGGGCATTGTACCCTCGGCTGTCACACTGTAGGAAAGCAAGGCCCCGTTGCGTCTTGGTTGGTGGATGCTGCGAATGCAGGTGCTGTCTTTCTCGAGGGCTTCAAGGCTGACAAGGTCCTGTTCGATAACGTCAATGGCAAGAAAGTTGCATCTGGAGTCCAGGGTGTGTGGACATCGCGAGACGCCCATTTGGGGACGTCTGGGAAAGATGTTTTGCGAAGGAAAGTAGTCATTAAAGCCAAGAAAGTTATTGTTTCGTGCGGCTCTCTCCAGAGTCCATTGTTGCTCTTGCGAAGCGGGCTTAAGAACCCTCATATTGGCCGCCATCTCTATCTTCATCCAGGTTGGTACTCATAACCCTAAGACTGGCGGGATGCTAATGGAAATAGTATTGCTTGGTGGTGCTGTGTTTGAAGAAGATACTCTACCATGGGAAGGAAACTGTCTGACGACGCTCGTCCATGACTTTGAAAATCTCGACGGCCACGGTCATGGCACCAAGCTCGAAAACGTCGCGATGGTGCCTGCCATGTTCTTGGCCACCATGCCATGGTTGGACGGAGTACAGTTCAAAAAGCTAGTCGCAAATCTGCGCCACATGGCAGGATTCATCACACTGACCAAAGAACGCGACCCCGGCCGAGTATACCCGGATCCAGTAGACGGTAACCCTCGCATAGACTATACGATATCGGCCTTCGACCGCAAGCACATTTTGGAAGGCTTGATTGCTTGTGCTAAAATAGCGTATGTCAGTGGTGCCAAGGAGTTCTACACCTCTTACCGCGACATGCGTCCATTTATTCGGTCAGAAAAAATTGCAACAGGTGACGAGGAAGGAATCAACGATCCCGGTCTTCAAGCATGGATCAAAGAGTTCCGCAAAAAGTCCCCCCTGAACCCGGAAAACGGTACCGCCGCAAGCGCCCACCAGATGGGCACCTGTCGGATGTCAAGTTCGCCGAAGAAGGGAGTGGTCGATCCTGATGGCCAAGTCTGGGGTACGCAGGGGCTATACGTTGCCGATGCCTCGGTCTTCCCCAGCGCTAGTGGCGTGAACCCCATGGTCACGAACATGGCCATCACAGACTGGACGAGCCGGAACCTGGCCAAGGCTATGAATCGAGGCAAGCTAAGTAAGGCCGGGACTGCTCGATTATGAGCGGTCCACCAAGTATCTTTTACACATGACAGGTTTGACTGGAGACAGATCGATGATGTTCTTTAGCATCAATTAGCATCAGCGGTACCGATTTCTATTCTTAGTATACCATTAATTAACTGAGCTGTGCACTGTCTTCCTCTACTGCCAGTCGTACATTCGTAGAATGCTTCTAAAATGCTTCTAAAATGCTTCTCGAAGCCTTAATAGAGGTGGGGTCGAAAATAGGTACCTATCATTGGCCAGACACTTCGTACATCATCCCCCATCCGTACTAGCGCCGCTGGCATTCTATCAACTGCTGGTCTTATCCGTCGAGTATTTGTAAACCCTGTACCCCTCGGACGATCCTTAACCCTCATCATGCTGGCGGGGACTTCATGTCATACCAAAAGAGCAAGAAGTACGAGGCGCGATGCCATCACGACGCTTCCACAGCAAGAGCAGACACGGCTGCATTGCCTGCAAGAAGCGAAAGGTCAAGGTATACATCAGCCCAGCCAAAGAAAGGAATAACGCTAATTGGATTGTATCCTTAGTGTGACATAGAGAGGCCAGTGTGTAGTAACTGCGCCAGGAGAAAAGAAGAATGCGTCTATCACCTTGGGGACGACCCTGCATCCCCGCATGCTTCTAGGGTTCCACCAGCCCAGGCTGAGACTGTGGCTAGTAACGTTAATAGTAGTGGGAGCTCTGCTCTGAGAGTAAGGCGACAGGAGAATGTTCCTCATCTGTCGCATGAGGCGGACTTGTCCTTTCTAGAAAGGTTCGTCTCTGAAGTCAGCCGGACGCTCTCCGGGAGCCCTGAATCGCAGCAAACATGGGCTCTGGAAATTGGACGACGACCGAGCTTTCAGCCCAGCGCATCGTATCTGTCGCATATCATAATCGCAGTGTCCACTCTCCATATTTCGCTGACTCAGCGATCATTGACGGCGCAAGAAAGAACATGGTATCTGGAAAAAGGGCTCCATCATCAAAACGCAGCTCTAGTCCTAATGCAGCCGGTTCTCGGGTCACTCAAGAACGAACGGAGTCATATAGAAGCTTTATTCGGAGCAGTATGGTTAGTATTCCTCTTCAGCGTTTCGCTGCCGAGGCCATCCGAGCGTAAAGACTGGATTGTCGACCAGATCGTCGAACTAAGTGAGCTGGCTAAGGGGGTGATTGTCATTATCACAGCTATATGTGATATCTCCATTGAGGACGAAGAGGAAAGAAGCACCAAGGTGATGACTGGTCCGCTGCGGGCGTTTTTCGCGCATTTCCTGCCTTGGAAACACCGTAGCGTATCACCGTCTGCCCGACGAAGGAGTCTCCCGCCATCCCTCCAGCAAATCCTCGCCACGATTGAATCTGACGAGGCGTCATCATCTTCCTCGCCTGCTATTAGCCCGGCCAAACGCGAGCTGTATTACCACGCCATCGATGAGCTGGCGCAAACCATTACTGCATTGACCTTCAACTTTAGACATCCCGCGATAGTCTTCATGTGGCTGATTGGCACGCACCGCGGGTTTATGGAGCTGGTTGCACAGCGTGATGAGCTTGCGCTGAGGATATTCAGGATTTATGGGATCTGGGCGACTCGGGTTGATTGGGTTTGGTTTGTGCGGAATTGGGGGAGAAGTGTTGTCGAGGGCGCTGAGATGGCGTTGAATCAGAAGTGAAGAGATACTGTTTGATAATAAGTTATATTATTGTATCAGCGGATGCTTATGAATTATGTCTGTATTTTATTTTTATCCTGTTCTACGCCGTTAAGCGGTCAATTGATTTAGCACCATCTTTCTTCGGTAATAATCAGGTAACTAAGTGCTGATAGGACATATCAAGGGCTCACCGACAGATCGATACATAAATTCCAACGATACAGGCCCACCCATACCAACACTTTTAAACATGGACCTATCACAATAATTATCAAGTAGCACCGGAAATCGAAGTGGGGCTATGGAAGTAAAAATGTTTGTTTTATCTCCGGACTGCGGACAGAATCAATGCATGGCCGGGGCCTAATTAGCCGATGTGCAGCGTTCGCTATGAGAACAATTCTCTAGTCAAGATACCTTATATTTTCCGCTGCTGCGAGTGGATAGGCTAGATCGTCGATATCTCAACGGAAAGGGAATTATTGATCTGATTGAGCGGACCGAGTTTTGGTAATTCAATAATATGCGTCAACTGGTACATATGTAGCTGAAAATGTTGGTGCTGGTATAATTATAGTTTTAATGAACACAAAAGCTGAGACCAATTGGCATTGCTTATGGATCAACCAGGTTGTTGGATATCGTAGTAATTTGTATTATATTACATATGTAAGCAGGCACCAGGGCACATGGGAAACATCTGGAAAATCACGTTCGACTTCGTGGCAACGTCGTATGGTAATTTAATAATAATAATAGGCTTGACTCATTCCCTTTTAAAACGCCTATGGTCGCCCTAAGGTTCACCCCCAAACCTTCTCTTCCTTTATTTCGTCTTTTCTTTATAACAGCTAATTTATTATTCTATTATCCCATATCGGGTAATGTGGAATAACCTCATTGGGCACTCTATGTAGAACTATACGTTTAACTAAACTGACTCTTTCAAGCCACATGGGGAGCCTCCTCACGAAAATGCCCTCTTCTTCCTGCAGGGCCCAAGCCTCTGACCCTCTGCTAAATGCCAAGAATTACGTACAGGATCTCATCCCCAACATCGTCGATCGCCATGCCACCGAAAATCGAGACAAAGTCTATGCTTCAATACCAATCAACAATGACGATCTAAGTCAGGGTTTTCGTGACATAACCTACCGAGAATTTAATAATGCCATCAGCAAGGCGGCCTATTGGCTCGAGGAGAAATTGGGGGTTCCCTCTACGGGCAGTTTTCCGACATTTGCGTACTATGGCGCACGGGACTTGAGATATGCCATTTTGTTGGTTGCGGCGATGAAAGTTGGTTATAAGGTAAGAATAAAGAGTCATATTTTTACTTTTGTATAATATGGTTATCTGCTAACAGTTCATAGATGCTTTCTTCCTCCTTGCTATGTACAATCGACGCGCATGTACATTTGGTCAAGGAAAGTAACTGTCATACCTTCCTCTGCAATGCGTCCACGCTTCCCCTCGTTGAGAAGATTGAGAAAGCACAGCCCTTATCCCGGCATATACTAGTCCCGGACCTGCTCGAGTTTCTCCCGTTCCACGAAGTACCGAATAATGACTCTTTGTACCCCTATAATAAAACATGGGATGAGGCGTGCCACGAGCCCTGTTTGATTGTTCACACTAGCGGTTCCACCGGCGTGCCAAAAGTCGTTGTGTACACTCAGTATATGCTGGCTGCGCCAGACCGCAGTCGCGTAATCCCCTCATACCAGAATTGCCAGTCGATGCTTTGGGAAATGACGGGTCGGAGAATTTTCACTTCCATACCTGCATTTCATGTGAGCTCTCCACCCATCCCTCTCGCCATTTCCTAGTAGTTGATTGGATACTGCAAATAGTTACTCGGGTATGCCGGTTTCCTTGTGTTACCTGTCTACCTCGACATAATCGGGATAATGGCACCGCCCGACAAAGTCATTACCGCCGAAGTGGCCGATGAAATCCACAGATACGCCCGACTAGACGGGGGCATATACCATCCATCACTGCTGGAAGACGTTGTACGAGACGAGCAGAAACGCGAGGAGTTCCGGAATTTCAAAATAGTGTTTTACAGCGGATCGCCCCTGGAAACTATCACGGGAGACTGGCTTGCAACAACATTCGGCATTGTTCGGAATATCGTCGGCAGTACCGAAGGCTTTTCGTGGCCTGCGTTGGAGATAATCGATCCCACAAAGGATTGGAACTATACACACTTTTACCCAATAAAGGGGCTGACTTTCATCCCGGTGGGGCTGGATGGTGCTTATGGTATTGACGGTGAATTATACGAGCTTGTTGTTCAGCGTACTGCTGAGACAGAAAAATTCACGAATTTTTTTCACGCAAAACCAGAAGCCCAAGAATGGCGGACAAAGGATCTATGGAAGCCTCATCCCGATTCCGCGAAACCAGGGCACTGGCTCTACCAAGGCCGTACAGATGACCTTGTTGTGCTTAGTGGCGAAATAAAAATGTACGCAGGGGCCTTGGAAGCCAAGATCTCGGCGCATCCGCTCATGCGCTCTGCACTTGTTGGCGGCCACCAACGCAAATGGCCGTTCTTGTTGCTGGAGTTGGTTGACCAGCCGGCCGATTTGGCGGAGGCTGAACGTGTTCTTGACGAGAGTATTTGGGCAGAGGTCGACGTGATTAATACTAAAACTGCGCATGATTCGGTACGGCTTCGTCGGTCACTTGTTTTGGTTGCTGATGCGAGGAGGCCTTTTGTGCGACTGGCGAAAGGGTCAGTGGCTAGGAATCCGACGTTCGAGTTGTATAAAGAGGATATTGAGAAGTTGTATGCGGTGACTGAGAAGTGATGATGTTTACTTAATGCACTGAAACAGGTGGTTGATTTGGATTCGGCGGCTCATCTGGCGGTTTGATCAATGTCTATAATTGAATGTAGACTTTTGTTTCTTTAGTTAGACATCTAGGACATTAATACTGATTTGACAATATTTCATTTGACGTGTAACTTTATTGCTTCAATACTACTTCTCAGGCCGTATAAATCTTGGACCAGGTGTACGCATATATACTGATAAATAAAAGCTAATATACTCAAGATGCATAAATCGAGTAAGGGAGCCGGAATTCTAGACTTGTGAAACCTATTGACTCTCAAAATCCATCACTAGATGCATGTCTATGTCCATTCCGATGTCTTAGATGACCAATAGCATCATGCTCTTCATCCCAACGAGCCAGTTCCTCATTCGGAACCTTGACCAATTTATGTGAAATAGAACCATTTTCAAACTCCAGGACTGTCTGACGAAGTTCATAGCCTTTCCACTTCGGCAGAAGTATCACCCAGACATAGTAGTAGATGCCACTCAGAACAAGTCTATTTTCTTCTGTCAGAGTAAAACCAAAAACATAAGAGGGAGAACATACAGGCCTATGCTAACGACTAGATAAGTTCCATACCAGAAACTCACATCACCTCCATTCGCTCCTTGAGTGGGTGGGTACCATGGAACGATCAACATGTACGCATTCGTCAACAGCGAAAATGCAATTGCGATATCCCAAGCACGGTAATCGGCTGTGGGTAAGTTGAGTCGTCGACGACGTCGTCGGATGAGGACTAGTCCGCCGATGACAATGAAGTTGAAGAGGGTCGTTGGATATGTGTTGAGATCGACCACTGGACACGATTTCACTTGGATCAGGACAATGACTTGGTGGATAATAGAGGAGAATGGCTTGGCTTACCAAAGTTGAAAGCATCTCCTGCTGGAGGTGCAATGATCATGACTATTGTAATTGACCATTGAAATACGTATGGCCCTAATGGTGTCCCGAATGGCTTTACATTGGTCCAGAACTTTGACCACGGAAGGACTCCTTGTCTGGATAGCAGATATTAGGACTTTAATTCAAAATCTTGATGTAAAATGAGCCTGCAATTTTGTCTCACCTCCCAGTTTCCCGAAGGATTCGAGAAGAATTAATCATGACAGCGACCAAATTCCCGAATGCACTCATACAAATAAGCACGTTCAATGCACGAGACGCTTTATTAGTAGACCCGAACAGTTTTTGAAAAAAGATTGCTGCGGCAATCTGCTTGGACTGTAAAATTTCCTCTCTCGATGCGGCAGAGAAGTAAGCGACGTTGACCAGAATGTAAAGAACTGTGACAAGGAGGAGGGAGAATGGAGCACTCCAGCGAAGTGTTTTAGTGGGGTTCTGTTGTAGCTTATTAGTAAATAGATATGGAATGAATACCAATATTTTTCACCTTAATCTCGTTTATAACCCCAAACGCATTGGTGTAGCCGGCATAGGAAAAGATAATTTTAATCATGGCATTTGTTGCGCCGTATGCCGATGCAGTGGACGTCCCCTCCCAGGCATTCCTCCAGTTGATGTTGGGATCAGCGATTTTCGTATGTCCTCCAAGAACGACGAGACCCGCAATAGAGATTCTGTGCAACATTGAAGTATAGTCAGAAAAACAATCAAGGGTTCCGTAACTGGGTGACTTACAAAATCAATGTCGCGATTTTGACCACGCCGAAAAATACGACAATTCTTAGCGACCACTTAGTATTTGCACTAACCACTGGTCATCCAGAAAAGGATAATTAGCACTTTCAATGTACTCCTAAATTCATAGAAAGAACAAACCGATCAATGAGACCGTATATACAGCCACAGCCACCCCTTTTAATTGCCAAGCAGTGTACGACGACCCCGCAAGCCCAAACATATATTCGGCAAAAACAATGGCATTGCTGCTTGCAAATGCAAATACAACATGCTTAATGGCGAAGATTGTAGGGAAAAAGTATCTTGGTTTCGGGTACGCTTGTTCGAGATACACGACCTCTGATCCGGAGCGGCTGGGGAAACATGCGGAGAGTTCTAGATATACCGCCAGCGTACTTTGGGATAGAAGATACCCGATGAACCAGTATATCATTGTCAGACCGACAGAGCCGACACCTTTGAGAATAGTGGCGGCTGTAAGAATCAAACATTAACAGAGGTCCGAAGTATGAGAAACTGGATGATGGAAAGCCTCACGCGTCGAGAAAATACCCGTTCCGACCATCTGGTTGATATTCAGAAACAAGCTAATCCAAAAGCTCACTGAGTACCCCAGTGGAGAGTTTTTTTCGACTGGTGCACCAGCTGCATCTTGATATGTCACGGTGGTGGAGTTTGCACCTTCTACTGCGGTGAATTTGATGTCACCATCGCGAATAATGCTCTCCTCGGAGCTGTTGTTAGCCTGCACTCTTAGATTCCCGCCCTTCTCCTTATCTGGCCAGAAAGATAGACCCATCTCTTGCTGCTTGGGTCTTCCTTTGTAGACATCAATTGAAGCAATTGGTATAGAAATGATAAATGACAAGAGGGAGTGAAGTGAACAGGTATCGATATTTCCAGCGCAAGACTTTTCCCTGATTATTTTTACGGAGTACAGGGATATCCTCTATTTCTTATAACATCACGCAAACTGTCTCCAATTCTGCGCATCCATCATGCAGATCTGGAGGGGACCCTGCGTTGCTCATTTCCGCATCTAATGGCGCGATCCCAGCTCGGGTGACAACAGCTCTGACTGGATCATGGTGAATCAGTCTTCTGCGTGCTCGGCAGGGATCATCGCGACTTTCCACGTGTGTGTGGTGATTTTTTGCTTTTTACGATGAACCGGAGACATTTTGATGCCAGCTGTATCCGCAATTATGCAATCTGCCAATGCACTAGTCCTGCATTTCGGGGTTTGGAACGTTGAAATAGAGCGGATTTATGCATCCGGCGGAGGGATTCGACTGTAATGTTTATTTTGATTTTATTCGGGTTCTTATATATCAACTGATATAATTTATAAGACCGTTGAAATGTTGCGACTTGGTTGATACGAATGGGCTTTGCATTATAGACCCGAGATTGCAGAGGTAGGCATCTACAACCTCGGCATCTATCAACGCTCAGTGCCATTATTTTCTTTCTCGGTGCCACTTATTGGCATATTAAGATAAAATTGTGGTCAAAGCCCCTTATAGCTAGCTGCATCAACTGTCGTCATAAGTGGAAGGCCTGACGAGATGCTTTCTGAGGCGGAGATCTCCGCCTCCGCTGCCAGTCGTTCATTCTAGGACGTCTCTGACTCTGTCTAGAATGTCACTCGAACACATGAAATTAAGAAAATACAGAAAGGCATACCACGACACGATTTCGAAAACTGGAATCCTTCGGAGGGCTAATGTTTCCAAATGGCTGAGTCGCTTAGGGTAAATAGTCCACGTGACTTCCTTAAAAGGACATCAATTACAACCCAATTTGGAAAAGAAAACGTTAATTTTGAATACGGTGGAAAATATTAGGGGCTGGACCAGATAATTTGTAATATTGCTTGACTGCGGCCTCTCATAGACATACTCGTATGTAGGTGTGAGAAGTTTGTGTTTTAACGCAGAGATAAGAGCAATTTATTGATGGCCATGAAGTTTGGCTTGACGCTAAAGATATGCTGGAAATATTCTAAAAAGTCTTCTTGATGATAATTCCCTTGGATTGAGCTTGCAGGAAGGTCACCTCAAAAGTCATGTATTTATGCGGTGCTGATATGATATTGTACATGCATGTGTAGGAACCGACCCTTGTTTTTGATTTCATATAACTCGATATCCAAATTCATCCCTTTACTGCTTTCTCCAACTGTTCTAACGCATTCGCGAATTCCGTTTTCATTGCCTTGGTATTCTTTATAGACTTGGTTTGTTTCACGATCTTTCCCGCACGAACGACCTTCTCACTCCTAACTATGGTCTTCTGGAACCACAAACCTTCACGGTGCTCAACGAGTGACCATGCATGGCCTGATTTGCCTGCACGCGCAGTACGCCCAACACGATGGACGTAGGTGGTGATGCTCGTTGGAATGTCGTAATTGATAACCGCACCCAAGTCAACGAGGTCAATACCACGAGAGGCGCGGTCAGTAGCCACAATTATTTTGACTTTTCCAGCACGATAGTTTTTGAGGGTTTTGCGGGATGAGGAAGAATTGTTCGATTTGACAATAGTGCCGATTTTGCTCTTGAGAGATGGATTCATGAGACCAAGGAGAAGAGATAACCGTGCTGCAGATTCGGTCGATTTTGTGAAAATGAGAACAGATGTGCCGTCATTCTTGGCGGCGGGTTTAGCTACCGATTCTTGGACAGAAGCCTGGTCAGATTGAGACCCTACATCTGAATCAGCATCGGATTCTGAGCCCGACGTATCATCTGTTTCATTGTCCGAGCTAGAGTCTGAGGTCGAATTGGATCCTGACGTTGAGTTAGAGTCACTGTCACTATCGCTTTCACTTGAATCATCATCTGAGCTAGTGTCGTCAGAATCAGAGTTTGCATCGCTGTCCTCTGCTTCATGTACGGCGTGCTTTTCAATCTTTTCAAGTTTGTATGCATCGGTAGCAAGAGGGCCCCAAACAGTTTTGTTGATCTCTTGAAGCAACAATCGCATCAAATGAATTGGCTTTTCAGAGCCATCATTCGCAGGTATATAGTGCTCCTTCAAAGTGGAAGGGAGAACGAATTGCTCGCTCTCATGAGTAGCTTCGTCTGCCTCCGATCCAGACTCCTTTAATCCAATGGCAACTAGCTTAGGGTTGTTGAGACGAAGAGAATGAAGTTTCGTAATGTCGTTCGTCAGCGTTGCACTCAAAATAACCTTTTTTGGGTCTGGGGACTTCAACGGATGACCCATACTGTCCATGACTGGGCCACCCAAGTTGACGGTTTTGGCTTTGTGTAATTCGGTCATAAGAACACTAACCCATTCCTGAAAGCTTTCATTAAGCAGACGGTCGGCTTCATCAACGACCAACCATTCCAGATGTCGCAAGCTAAAACCTTGAGTCTGGCGGATGTGATCAACTAAACGACCCGGAGTCGTGATCAGAACGTCGACATTTGGCTGTGGCACCTGGATGTAGTGAGGTATGGAATTTTTAGAAAGCTCGACTTCGTCTTTGTATTTCAAAAGATCGAAATTGGCCCAATCATCCTCCGCCAGCATTCTTTTCTGATTTTCAGCGAACTTTTCAGGATTATACACTTGATCCCATCGAATGAGTTTCTGCTGTTCATCTTTGAGGGCAACATTTCCAACAGCAGTGCCAATTCGCAAATTACTACCACATACCTCAAATGCTTCCCGGGCCTGCTTAACAAGCTCTCTGGTCGGTACTACGATGAGACCGCGAAATCTGGGTAGTGAAGCCCGCTCGAGTGACTGATCCATTGGAAGGACGTATGACAGGGTTTTCCCAGATCCTGTTGAGGCGGATACACACAAGTCTCCGTAATGTCGGTAAGCCTTGTCAATGAGAAGTGGAATGACAACCGCTTGTACCTCCGTCGCTTCGTTGTATCCATGTTTCTCGAGTTTAGAAGCGACTGTCCGATCAAGATTCAAATCACCAAAACCAACAGGTTTTCCGTCCTTGTTTTCGTATGGAGACTTTGTAACAGGACTGGTGATCCAATTGGGCATCGTGGAATAAGTGGGCTTCTCGTGCTTCTCTGGAACCGGCTGTGGCTGTGGAAGTGGCTCTAGACCCTTAGCAACAACTGCTGTTCCTTCCTCCAGAGTGGCCTTATTGTTTTGTTTATCATCCTTCTTCTCACCATTAGGGTTTTTGGCCTTTGTGGACTTTTCGAATTTCCTCATTATTTTAGAATGTCTTGTAGCAAGATCGTCTTCCACTCTCTCTTCATGTTGATGCTTATGTTTGCGACGTGCATCTATAGTAATTTCGCTCGTTTCTTTAATATCATCTCCACCCACTTGACTTCCTTTATTATTCCTTCTCTTGAGTTTCTCGTTCTTGGGCGTACTGAAAAGTGTTCCCACGGCATCGTAATTGTTGTCAGGCGTTGATTTGCTCTTTGTTCTTAGATCTGAAGTGCTCGCAACGGACGTAGTAGGAGAAGGACTCCTGTGCTTTTGTGAGCTCTTCTTCTTGGTTCTCTTGCTTTCTGTATCTTCATGGTCATCGTCCGCCGAAACAGCACCTTTTTGCCTGGCTTGAGCTTGCGAAACACCTTCGCCTGCAACCTCTGGTACCCGAATTTTATCTTCGATCGCTCCATATTTCCTAGGTTTCCTAACATCAGAGTCTGCGTTTTGTTCTCTCTTTCGCCTTTTCAATTTCGGAGCAGGACTTGTGGGCGAGGATGGCAGAGGAACATCAGAGGGTTCGGGGTCACGGTGTCGTTTCTTTGACGATGACTTCAATGACTTAGTTACATTAGCCTCTTCACTGGCCAACTTCATCTTTTTAGCCATATTTGATCAAAGCTAGCGCCAACACCAAGTTGGGCGGAATGTACGGAAGCGGTATCCAGGTAAAAGGTTGGACGGAGCGATGGAATGACTCGAAAAGTGGGATAGAAGATAGTCTGAGAGGGAAAACAACGGGGCTAGGAGAAGAACGGGTGACTAATAATCGTTGAAGTGTTATCGTCTATTGTCAAACATTTCTTTCAATTCCTTTTCGCATTATTCACCTTCTTGTGTCGGTAGGAACGCCTGACAAAATTATTTGCGGCGGGCGCTGTTTGACATGGTACTGCCGGCATAAAACTCACCGCCCTTGGCGCCGCTAGGCGGTGACGAAGGCCATCAGTAATTGCCAGGGAGAAACGATGTTCACGACGAACTGTTCACAAACAACCAACTTTGTCTGATAATGTTTGGCAGAATGGAATAATCGAACTGGCTATCTGATACGCTCGACAGAGCGAGTCAGGCGATAAATTGCCCCCAAAATGCCCTACAACATTGCGTAAGTGAGCAATCAATTCAAAGGGTATAAACTCTCGGCTGAAGACAAACCAGTATGGTTAGCGACTTCTTCTTTCCCCAGCCAGGTATGCCTACTTCACTCGCTCAAATGTCTCTTTTGAAATCTAATGACCTTTTAGGCGGTGTTGAAAGCCATATTTATCAATTGTCTACAGTAATAGATGCCCCATGGCACGAAAGTTGCGTGGAAACTAAACTAACAGCCAATTGATTAGAAACTGATTGATCGCGGTCACAAAGTAATCATTATCACTCATGCATACAAAGGCCGGACCGGAGTCCGGTATCTCACCAATGGCCTCAAGGTCTATCATGTGCCTTTCTTCGTTATCTACCGCGAATCAACCATGCCGACGCTCTTCTCCTTCTTCCCCATCTTTCGGAATATTATCATTCGTGAACAAATTCAAATCGTACATGGCCATGCTAGTCTGAGCAACTTTTGCTCTGAAGGAATCCTCCATGCGCGTACAATGGGGCTGAGAACGGTGTTGACCGACCATTCTTTATTTGGGTTCGCCGACGCTGGATCGATCCTCACAAACAAGCTGCTGAAATTCATTTTGAGTGACGTGGATCACGTCATTTGCGTCAGCCATACTTGGTATGCTACCCTGGAATTCTGCCTGACGAACTATACTGATCATAGAGAAGCAAGGAAAATACGGTGCTGCGAGCCTCATTGGACCCTTTGATGGTATCGGTCATACCTAACGCCGTTGTCGCAGATAACTTTCGGCCTTTATCGTATCCACCTGCAGAAAGCAGTGTTGGTCCTGCGCTACGACCTGCTCCTCAAGTTATCGGCCCTAATGACACAATTACGATAGTGGTGATATCGCGCCTATTTTATAACAAGGGAATTGATCTTCTCATTGCGGCTATCCCTCGAATTTTGGAATCGCATCCAAATGTACGCTTCATTATTGGGGGGTCTGGTCCCAAAGCGATTGACTTGGAACAAATGCTGGAAAGGAATATGTTACAAGATAAGGTGGAGATGCTGGGTCCTGTGCGGCACGAGGAAGTTCGAGATGTAATGGTTAAAGGCCATATCTACCTGCATCCGAGCTTAACAGAAGCATTTGGAACGGTATTAGTGGAGGCCGCAAGCTGTGGTCTTTATGTTGTATGCACTCGCGTGGGAGGTATTCCTGAGGTATTACCACAACACATGACTACGTTCGCCAAGCCTGAGGAAGATGACCTAGTCCTGGCAACTGGGAAAGCAATTGCGGCACTTCGATCTAATAAAGTGCGAACGGAACGTTTCCATGACCAAGTCAAGATGATGTACTCGTGGACAGACGTTGCGCGACGAACAGAGCGTGTTTACAATGGTATATCAGGCGCAATAAGCGAGTTAGAATTCTACGGCCACTATCCTGATGCTGGTTGGGACGTGGTTCGAGGACGAACACGTAGCTTTGCTTTAATTGACCGGTTGAAGCGCTACTACGGATGCGGTGTCTGGGCTGGCAAGTTGTTCTGCATGTGTGTCGTGATTGACTATTTGCTATTTGTCTTTTTGGAAATGTTATGGCCACGAGCCAATATCGATATTGCTCGAAGCTGGCCTAAAAAGCCAGTTCCACACCCAGATGCAGCAGCGGCAATGACTGGCAATATGACACGAAGTACGAGGGAACGCCTGCGTGCTATCTCCTAACAATCCGTATATTCGTTCTGGCTTTTGTATATTATTTTTATGATACCCCTTGCTGCAACTATGTAACTTCAATGTGCTGCATCTACTAAATTTATATTATCATTGGGTGCGACCCTTGTGCATTTGTTCATGTCCTAACTTTTGATACATGTAATGAATTTGAAACACCTCGCTGCTACTGACTTGTCAACCTCCGCGCTTTTGTAACTCATTCGTGCTCCCGGGCAATAGTCTCCGCACTTTCAGGAAGCATATCCTCTGCAGCCGGCGCACCCTTATCACCTCGTTGTCCGCCGTGAGTCCAATCACGCTCAAGACCTCTCTGGCCATGACCAGTCCCGCCTACACCCTCATATCCGGAACCGTGATGCTTGCGATGATGCTCACCATTATGACGTAGCTCATTACTAGTTTGGCCGTCCATAGGCTTGCCGAAACCTTTGTCAACGTCGGCAGAAGTAGCACCTGGGTATGAGTCGAGGGGATTGGTGTATACACTCTCTTTCCCATGACCACGGAGAGTGCTGTCGTTGTTGGCCTGGCTCGGGGTTTCATTGATGGGATTCGGGAGATAGGAGCTACTAGCCGGTGCAGTACCAGGTGGGAGAGTTTGCGCATGGAATTCAGGAGCCTGGTCATGTGCAGACACCTTGGCTCCAGGTTTATGCTACAATCTGTTACCAGGTAATTCATGCCATCTGGCTGAAATACTTACCCATTTCTCGGTCTTGGGTGTCTCGCGAGGAGGGTTAGGATGGAAAGCCCCGTGGCCGGCCGCGTCGACAGTTTGGGTGTTTCGTGATGCCATTTTCATATGAATAGTGCGCTGGCTGGTTGCAGTAGCTTTTGGTGTTGGTAGCGGGTATCTTGTTAGAATCACGATGAGGATTTTGAGGAGATAGAAGTAGAATGAGCAGGTTATTAAATACTCAGCGACATTAAATACTTATATTTGGCAGTCACTCTGTCGATGTGCACAAATAGCTGACGAGGGAGTTGGTCCTGATAGCATGACGTCAAACTGAGGTATGCAGAAAACTCAACCAATGCACTCCACGAAAACAAGGACCTAGAAGTTAGTAGATACATGCCACACACATTCATAATAATACACTTGCTCAGCTGTTTTTTCCTCTGTGCGTATCTACTTGTGACGTCATCTGACATCAAGCGTTGGACTATCTAGGTACAATGAACGAGACTGGGAGGAAACAAGCTCAACCAGATATAAATGGAAAATATTACAGTTTCTACATACGGAATCCGCATAGAATGTATCCGGTCATTTCTACAGGTGTCAAAGCCTTAATTACATAATGAGATGGCAGAAATAGCAGTTGAACGAATCCAATGTGATATGCAGGCACATATGCGCCCTATCTATAAGTAACTGAGAAAAAATTTGGTATCTCCAGTAGGTATCATGACATCTAAACCAAAAAGTGTCGAAAATAAAAGAAGAAGAAAATAATGCCGGCGTAGTCAAGTCCACCAAACAACGGCGTTATCGCATGAGGGGGGGCCGGCCCTCCTTATTCCATTTAACGCGGCTCTGAACCCATTCCACAGCTTCAGGAACACCAGTCCCAAGCAGGGCACTGACAGGAAGGACTCGACTGTCGCGTACACCCGCGCCCTTCTCACCTTCAAACACTTGTCGAACAAATCCTTCCTTGATTCGGACCACCTCAACACAATCCTCACGGTCTTGTTTGTTTGCCAGGACCAGAATCGGTACTCCGGCCACATCTGCATTCTGCAGGACAGACTCCAACACTTGCTTGCACTCGCCGAGTCGGCCATGCTGCGCGCTGCTCACATTGTCACCACCGTTACTTGCTAGAGCGGCCCCTGATGAGAAATCGTCCAGTCCTTCCCCGACATCTGTACTGTCAACAACAAATATTATAGCATGACAACTAGCATAATAGCTCTGCCACAGTCCTCGCATGGTGGTTTGTCCACCGACATCCCAGATCTTCAAGTACATGTCTTTCAGCGGAATCGTTGCCACGTTTTGGCCGACGGTGGGGACGGTGCGACCGACAGTTGTAGCTTGGGCACCATCAGCTGACGGTAGATATATAGCTTTTATTTGGGAGAGAAGGGTCGTTTTGCCGGCATTGTCCAAGCCCAGCAGAAGGACAGAGTATTCTGCGCAAAGAAATTAGCTCGAGTCTGATATCAAGGATAACTTCTTATTTGACGCCGCATTGCATATGCCGTGATCAATAAGATTATAGGGCAAAGGTAACACTCACCCTCCTTGCTTGTAGCATATAAATAAAGCGACTTGGCGAGATGGTACATGTTTATGGGTAGGCCGATGGGGGCATGGCGGTAGGAACGGGGCCGGTCAACAGAATGTCACTTAAGACCTAGGCGTCATTGACGGAACAAACCCCACGAGGCGGACTCGTATAGAATGGCGAGCGACGGCTGTTGCTGAATCGAATATTAACAATAATGTGTGTGGTGGTAAGCAAGAGCTCAAGAGACATGGTTATTTTTAGGTCAGTGCCAGCCGCTTCCAGGCCACATTGCGGGCTGGAAAGCGCTAAGCCCTTTTGGGAAGATTATGCTTTTATTGATGATATCGTCTACAGCGTTTACCTTGTTCACCAAGCTATTTCTATACATGGCCTTCTTATAGTGAATTACGGTCTGAATTTGGAAGGATTGGTATGGTTTCTTCTCGGCTTCACCTCAGTCAACCATTTCCTTGGATCTATAAAAGGCCAACTTAAAATAAAATTTCAAGCTTTCTACATGTATTTTTAATTAAGATTAAGATTAAATCACTAGTTGCCCTCGGTAGCAACCCAATCGCTGCTGTCGGGATAGATCAAGTAGCAATAACTAGACCTGTAAACGTGTCCGTATACATTGTATAATATATATAACGTGCACTCTCGTTATAACAAGTGATGGAATCCTGACCGGGACTGGATATGTTGAGGCTGATAACAGCAGTCGCCTAGCGCGCAAAACATGACAGAGTAAAGAGACGAAAGAGAGTAAAAGAGGTGAAGGCGGTTTTACTGTAATCGGAATAGCGAGTGACAGGAAAAATTGGGGAAATAAAGTTTGAGGAACAAATAAACGAGAGCATTGGGAGAAACCAAAAAAAAAAACACTCTATACTCCATGGGACACTGCAAATAGAATGAAAAGAATATGGGGTGGGTTGAGGCTAGTAAATTATGAAGCTCGAGCTTCTGGTTAAACACGGCATAGTATCCCGGGCCTCGGGATTGTGTAACGGTACTGCAAGGTTTTCGGGGATAGGCGAGGGAAGTTCTAATCATAAGGGGGCTAGGTAGGATGCAGAACAGTGGCAGGCGAGCCGCATCGGCGAATCTTCAATCTTCAGGGGAGGGCTCTGGGCCTCCACTAATCCCCAAATGTCCCCAAGAGCCTCAGCCCGACCCGAATGATGCCTACCATACGATTTATTCTACTTTAAGGCTTAATAGATAATTAGCTATGTTACGTCCAATGCATAGTAGTTTTAGCTTGAAGACCAGAAGGTATGTTTTACTGATGATAGTGGTAGGAATCATGGTCTATAATCGTTGATTGCAATTTAGCTACAGTGGGATGTCCTACCAGTAATCCATATAACATATAGAGTCGTATCCCAACAATAATAGTAATTAATCTTAAGTGACTTAAATATTATTAAAGACCAGACTGTTTTCATTATATGAAACATGTACCGAATATGATTCTACTTTTACCTTTTCATTTCATTTTCTTTCAATATGATCCTGTATTTTTATATTAATATTCACTCTTTCTTATATTATATTTGGTCTCATGAAACATGAAAGACAAAATATTGGTGGTTATAAACTTTGTCATTCATTACCGACCGGAAAAGGAGTTTATTTACCCTAAATTCTTCAAGACCTGCCTTACTTTTTCTTTTAAGGGAAGATCCTGGCATTGTGTTGGCTTGGATTGTACCTACTGATAGAATGATGTAGGCTATGCTCTATATCTGATATTTTGCTACACTTGGATTTGTGAGAACCCTAACCTCATCCTGAGATTGTACTCCTATCGATGATATGAAATACAACATAATCGTTCACCTGCTACCCTCCACTCGCATACATCGCATTCTTTTTCGTCTGGACTTGTCATGTGTTACGGGAGCGGATGCCGAATTGCCAATGTCACGGTGTGTCACGCTGATACATAACTCCCAGGTATGAGATATTCCATCCCCGTTTTTGAGATCGGCAAGTCTGCGCCCAAGTTCATCGATGAAGGCAACGCTCCGGTGACGGCCTTTTTCGCAGCATACCGTCAATATAAGAGATGCATCATGGAGGTTTTTTGGGCTCTCTTCCAAGTCAGAAATATTGTCAGGCTTGAAGACGTTCCCTGAATTACAGTCTCTAGTCGCAGCTTTCGCTGCTTGTATAGACTCAGCCTCTATCCTGAGTGCATCAATGATATCATTTTGAACCTTGCCCAAAATCGCTTCCACACAATCATTATTGAGGAACTCCTTCTGTAACCGTCTCGACAAGCCATTTGAATTGGCCCGAAGATTTCGTGGGGGGTTTGGCAGGTGTCGGATGCTGTACGCTAGCTGTTTAGAGGAGCGTCCTTCAACCCCAGTTTGAACAATCGGGCCATTAATGTGGCCGTACGAGAAGAGAAACACAGATATCACTGGTGGCGCTAGACCCGCTGCTGTAGGACCAGTAGCCTCCATATTGGATACCTAGTAAGGAAGGGGCCTAATAAACACCGTTGAAAGCTCCAAGGAAAACTAGTGAACAACGAGGCTGGGGGGAACTGCACAGTTTACTCAGAGCCCTCGGACTAGTAGAGTTTCTGCCGCCGCTAGATGCGGTTTTCATTGTTGAGAGATATTCGGTGGGCAGGCCACCTTCTACGTTAAGACTAACTAATTCCTGTGGCGTGGAGGCATGATGCCCGGGTCCCGAGCCCATTAGCGGGCTGCCTCGCTGCCTAACTTCTCGGGAGTTAGTGGTAATTAGCCCGCCCAGAATCTTATGCAGTGCTTCAGAACCCACCCTCCAAGGGCATATACATAAAATTGTTGATTGGGATATTGATCGTTGGACTGAGCGTGATCAGCATACGCGTGCGTGTGGTACCCTTTTATAGGGTTAATGAGGCATAGAGATTTGTTTGCATTAGAGCACGTTATTAAGAATGCGGTGTTATTAGGGTCGTGTGTTCAATGTTACATATGTATGCTGTAATAAATCCTAGGAATATCGGGTCAATCAATAACTAGATTAAATGTTGGTGTCTATCTACTGAAAAACTAAGTACATGTATAGAAAGAAGAAATATCTCGTCATTACTACAGGTATTAATTTATTATAACGAAACAATACATATATGTGCCATTCTTAGTCCTATACAAATATCAATTACATCTGATTCCTATTGCTACCGATATGAAACTTGAAGTGTCGGCTAAATACATATAAAGTATTTGCCTGTCAGGAATGGGACACAGAAATATTACATACCGAGTATCTACCCAGCGTAAGACGCTATAGCAGGTTCTTTGGTAGCTTTGGGATGATAGGCAAGGATATTTGGTACCGCATTCACTATAATCGACTCGCCCAAAAGGGAGTCCAGGCCAGGTGCAGCTGCAGCCTTGCATAAGGTCTGAATATCTAGCCGACTTATCTGGCCAGGCCCATCATGAGTTAGTGCATCTTCTATGAGACCCCATGCCACAGAGTTGTAGAGCGCTCCTTCATGTAACACTATCTGTGTGGAATTCGAACAGACAGATTGAACCTGGTTATTCGTAACACCAACATTTCTTGCATCAAGTATGTACGCAGACGCATTCTTGCCGTCTTGTGGCTGAACAATCTCGTCTGTCGAAGAGTAGAATGTTGTAGTGGGAACGTAGGCACTATCCCCGCCATTATTGCGAAGTGTTGCAATGTATTCCGATGTATTCTCTTGCTGAAGAATAGATGGCTCGCAGAGGTCCCCGGTTAGGCCTGAACAGATAAGGATGGCCTCAGTAGTACCCTTAAAGTCCGGACTCAAAGCGACAAAGTCGTTTACCACCTCCCGAGTGGATGGCCAGTACTTCAATGACCACTGTATATTAGGTCCGCCCTGTGACCAAGAAACTAGTGATATATTCTTTCCTTTGCTAACGCCAGCGATGTAGTTAATTGCGTAGGCGACGTATTCTGCGTTTACTTGAGCATCCCCAAGGCTGTATCCAGGGATATTCACCCATACAGGATCCGCGTAGGAGGTATTGGCCAGCAGTTTGCCAAAACCATTGCTGTAAGTTGTGCCTGCTGGAAGTGAAGTTCCCGGGATCAAGATAACGGGGGATTTTGACCCGGAACCGTATTCGAACGTAGATGGAATGTAGATAGCGCTACGAAGAGTATTCTCGCTGAGGCTGAAAGGTGCATCGCTGGATGCTTTTTGCGGGAAAATGGTAGTTGCTGGTTGGGCCAAGTTCGTATTATTAAAGGAGTTTACCCCAGTTGTCTCGCGGCCCAAGAGTCTCAAACTTCTATGGGTAGGGCTTGCGAGTGCCACAAGCGGCGTGAGTATAAGAGAGAAGATCATAGATTCACTGAATATCATCTTTTGTTTTGGTGAGAGGGATGTTTTGCCCGGTATAAGTTGTAAACCTGTTAGATGTTGTATTGACAGAGTATATATCAAACAAGATATTGTCGACTCTATTTATTTCATATTTCGACAGGAGATATCACTTGCATGCCGCGGAGAAATTCTCTTTGCATGTGCTTAGAAAGGAAATTTTCCATCACATGTAATCACGCGATAATTTCCAATACAGCCTCCTCGTATTTCAAAATGTTTTCTTCTCGCTAAAGACAAAAGGCTAATAATGAAACGGGGCTTACAGAATCCACGATTTGAATGTTGGTATATCCTATATAGAAAATATGAAGGTATGAAAGTAGCCGAATGGAAATGGGATAATAAAACCTTTGATATATATAAGTGACCAGTTGGCAGCTTTTAACAATGAATGTTTACACAATTATCCAATTTTACGACTTTTGAGGTGTAAAGTATTGATTGTAAGTTATTTTCGATTGTTACATGTAATAATCAATCCAAGACCTTATAAATTGTTGAATATTACTTGAATGGACAGTAAAAAGTGTCAGCTTACAGGCAGGTATTTTCTGTTGACATGGTTCTGCGGTTCTCGATGCGTATAACATTTGAAATGCCCAAATACAACATCTTGGCAGAACTACAATGCTGTAAAATAAAGCTCTACCAATCGGCCTGCAATTAACGAATTGGATAGACGAAGACTTAGACGGTGCCAACATATCAACAGGCATTAAGTTTTGACCGACGGCGTTTATCGAGACAATCATATGCTTAACTACTTAGTAATTTTCTGAATTACAGGACCTTTAGAGGATCATCATCCTGGTTCTACAACATCAATTCAATCTCCGAGCCAATAAATTAATCACTAGATATGTAATACTAAAATGCACCTGACGTGTCATCACTGGATTAATACATCAACCGATAAATTAGAAGATGATCACTTAATAAGACACTTGTCGGGGTATCATGATGGGGCTTCCTGTTGACTTTACCTTTTCTTTTACATCTAAAATCTTTAGTATGGGATAAATCACAAATATATGTTCAACGCTGCGTTTTTCTTGTTCCAATTTGGAGGCTTCAAATATCGGGATTAGATACACACTCGATATATCGCTTTTAGGTATTTTGAATTACCTAAATAATCCTTCAACGGGCATAGAAGACGCTATCTTGACATTTGAGAGTTTCATCTATAAGCATGTGATTTCAATGTTATATTACATCTGCGTGGGGTAAAGGGTTGTTGGGGTGCATATGAAATCGATCTACATCGGAACAACCTCCAATCAGAAAGCAGTAGTTTTCCTCATGTAACAACTTGCAGATTTGCTGAGTGTAACCACACTGAGACTATAGTTTATTCGGTTAGTCTTAGTATTTCTAATTGGAAAAAATATTTAGATTTGGTTTGACTTTCCCCCCAGATTGTACTGGTATTGTCTTTTTAGCCACCGGTCTTCACGGCCTCGGCAGTTTACTTAAGCCCCCATAAATTCGGGGTAATACTCCCCCGCATTTATCGCTGATTTGACCATTAAATTTGATGAGGCCTTGTCGCTTAGCGTTACCCCTGAGAAAAGAACCCGGCGCCAACAAAAATTCCCTGTGCATGTTAGGTATATGCCGGTTGTCTATAGAATTCAAGGTAGATTGATGTCATCTATAACACCGAATCCATAGACTACCACGAATTTGAATATCTAAATAAGAGAAAGGAAGACTTCACTATAACAATGAAAATTATATCTGCAGAAAGTAGAAGAAATAACGTTGAAGCCAGCACATGGGTAGTTTGAGAAGTCGCAAACGGAATATCCTGATACTACTGGAAATGCCCATTAACTCGAAACTCCTTGGGTTTTCGATGAAGACACGTGAAATGGAAAAAGGTGTTGAATTGGCTTTACATGTGGAAGATGAGTAGGCTAGCTGTTTGATCCAACTCGCGTGTCGACATGACTGTGCGTGACCGAAATTTCCGTACATAAGCCTAATAAAATGAGTTCCCTACAGCTTTACATGTGATGTGAAAACCAGCCAATTAATTATTATTCATCAATCGAAACGTGTGTAAGAGGTAGAAAGCTATTCTGAACATAATTCTCACCAACGCCGAGGTAACGTTTAGTCTAGCTAGGGAACCTACATACAATTGGTGTACAAGGCAGGAAGCACTATCGAGGGGTTGAAAACTGATTGAGATCGATGATAGTCCGTAACTGACCCCCTTAATAACCATTCATAGCGCATTATATTGATGTAGGGTTATGCCCTATCTTCCAGAGTATGTCGCAAATGAGGATATGTAAATGATGGATTTTAATGTTTTGTGGTATTATTGCTAGTATATAACTGAGTCGATTGTCCACCGCTTGCCTTAATTCGTGTCATAATCTTCAAACGTTCTATTTACCAGACAGACAAGGCAGTCGTGCTCCGATTTTCGGTAATTGAATATCTGGGTTGGACTGCGCATTACTACTACTGCTACTGCTGCTGCTAGTAGTTTAGCATGCGATACTGCGCAAGCTCTTGGCTAATACTAACTCGTAGTCCTTTGATAGGGCCTTACTATGCTAATTGCTAGGTGAGTCAACGGCCTGGAATGGCCGCCTGTCTTATGCCGTGTGAAAAGCCAAGTTCTTCATCGTAGCTAGCTTGAAAACACATCTCATTCCTAGTAGCTCCCAACTTATTTACGTTGACTCATCGCGAATCATCAGGCGACATGTTTCCCAGACTGATTCAAAAGTCATTTCTTCTGGGCTGGTAAATAGGCAATGACTATAAGCTGACCTGGAATGTTTTTCAACAAGCTAGTTAATTGCTGCAGAGTATCTCAACCAAAAAATTTCTAATAAAGTGTCAATTTATATTGAATTGTAGTCTCTTCATTGTCGTTTCTATAATAGATCAAGAATACACTTCTATTGTTAAATCAGTGCTGACTGAGGCAAAAACCAACGGCCCCAGGAATATGATGTCATTGTTTGGTGCAATGCGGATCCACCTTTTCTTCCATTTTTCCTCCCCACAGACATTGATCTGTTTCATTGATATATTTATTTTCTATTATATACTTATCTACATTAGATTGTGTAAGAGAAATCTCTTCTAGGAGACATATCTTGTATCATCAGTAATAACATGCTTGTTCTGCAGTTTAGAACATCCGATGCATCTGAAAGACGAACTTATCCACCAACAGGTGGAGCAATGATCAGTCACAGCCTCACAGCTGATCTTGGCATTCCGCCTTCTGGAATATAAAAGGACTGATGTATCAGTGACATCTCTCTGACCCCACATCAAATGTGAAGACACGAACTTTGGACTTTCTCCTACTAAGCCTGAACTGTTCGAACAAATCGGTATTACCACAGCCACAAAATGCCCTTGAATATCAGCGCTTTTGCCCCGGGACCCGGGGGTACGACAATGCTGGGAGAGCGCGGTGGCCTCGATGCAGCTGCTCAGCGAGGTCTGGAGCGTCAGAAACGAGAAAGAGAAGAGGCAGCAGCACGCGAAGGCAAGGTTCTCGACGACACCATGTCTGGAACGACTCTCGCCCTAGAAGACACAAAACCAGAGATCAATGAACAGTACCAACAGTCTCGGTCCAATGGTGAACTAGAAACGAAGAGTGCTCCTCACGGCGACACAACGACCGATAAGAGCAAAGGCCCCGCACCAAAAGAGGGCGAAGGTAGATGGGAGAGACTCAAGAATCATTTCCGATGATATATTTCTCTATCTACGTTTGCTCTTACATTGAATCATTTGTGCTTGTCTGTTCCTTTCAACATCATATTTACACTACACATGTAGGAGCATCAATGGCTAAGTTGTTGGGAAATTGACCGAAAGGAAAGAAACTTTTCTTTCTGTATATGGCGCATGGACTCGCGGTGACACAAAGAAAGCCTTGGTACTTTTGTATTTTAGTGTTGTTCCTTTCAGAACCTATCAGCTATAAATGTTATATACAGAAGCATGTGAAATAGTACGTACCATCCGGATATATTTCTCCTATATATAGCCTTTCTGACCAAATTGGATTGGCGCTTTCTCGGCTACTCTTATACCTCGAGATTTCCAGCGGTTACATCAATCGACATGTACGGTCGAAATCTTGTTAAAAGTATAGAATTGATGGATGTGTAGACACTACATGTACTCTGGTAAGTTATAATACCTAAAATTGTTGTTTGCTTGTGCCACATGTCGGACCTGAATATCACCTAACTCGTTTTCATTTACTCTAGTCTCAATTTCGTGCTCACTTGTAAAACAGAAGCGTTTGAGTATGGCCGCGCAAAGGCAGCCCTTGCCTGCGCCATTCGCCACCAATCAACTCTATTTCTAGCCAAAGAAAAAAACTATGTGGGTTAGTGATCTAAAAGCTATATATGTATAGACAGTGCCTACCTCTAACTTCCTAGCATCTGTTCAGCTGAGCTAAAATCACAGGACAATTTTATACTCATTTCGTTTTGAATAGGGTTAAGTAGAGATGGCTGCTTGCTAGAGGTGTCAATTACGGTCTGTTTCACAGCATCTAAGACTTCTCGGGGCTTAGGAAAGATGTTTAGATGACCGTGAACCCTTTTCGTTGCTACACATTTGACTGGAGTAGAAGAAGACTACACTAGCTATCTTACGAGCGACTGTATCTACATCAACTTTGGGGTAAATTATACCCGCGTCGTTCCTTCCAAGCGCTAGAGGGAACCGCTTTAATGATTTCTACGCATTCTGAGCCACCCGCTTCTCTGTGGAAATTGATCTTTTGAAGCTGATATTGTCAATACTGGAGTGAAGCATCACAAGACTGCTGATATTATTGTCTCCACTAGCGTTTGAAAAACATCGGCTGAAATAATTGGAACCGCCAGTTCAGCGAACTTCAAAGTGGCGCAAAGTGGCATTGGCGAAGGCTTAACCATGACTCTGTTACCCATAACTGGGGCTACGGCAATCTTTGCTACTGCGAAAACTAGCGGGAAGATCCAAGGACATATTGCAAGGACATATTGCTCCTATAACTCCAAGAGGATGATGTGTAGAGAAGGTCTCGAGTTGATAATCCTCATATTCAATCTCACCCGGCAATTAATCGCCCATAAACATATGTCAGTACTTCCATGATAATTCGGCATCTGGTTGACATTACCATTAAACCCCCAAAACTGCAATGTAACATCGATTTCCATGTTAGCAAGTAGGTCATATAAATTAAGTTTCAGTCCAAGAATTCAACCATTAAACCCAAGAGTGTCAATTTACGAATTTTCCAGTCTTCTTTGCTAGAACTGGGTGTATTTCACCCCTTCGGTTTTCCAGTTCATCAGCCAGTCCGACCAAGTACCCTCCCTCTTTCTTTGACAGATACAAGCACCAGGATGTGAAGGCTTCTTTTGCTGCAAGTACAAAATCATTCAAAGCTGACTCATCGACGGCTGGCATATCAGAGTTTCCCTTTGACCCTAGAATCTACTGTTGTTGTTGTTGTTGTTGTCACCACCAAGCACGCCTCTCAGAGTTGATACTGTTGAAGGATATTTTAGAACCAGAATCAAGGCTATCAAATTGTCTCGGTGATGATCATGGATTCCCTCAACCCTAAGATGTTTCTCACAGACTACAAGGCATGATTTTTTTATTTCAGCCAAAATTATATGTTATTGAATGCCGTGCTCAACAGTCGATAATGGGGGGTTCCCACAATTTAAGTCCTTTCCATATTCTATGTGGTGATCATTGAGGATAATTTGTTAGAGGTACAAATCCTTGGAAATTTCCATTGACAAGTTCGGATCTTGTTTCGAGTTTTACACCAACATCCGTTTCAGGTCTTCTATGTGCTTCAACTTCTAAAGCTTTGAAACCGGTCTTTCCATCGTTGATACTTCTGTGAAAGCAACCCAGCTCAATTCTACACAATCGGATAAATTTCTGATCACAATCCCTTTTTACTCTTTTCGCGATTTATCGTGGTGATAGTAGTGCTATTCTATTGTATTTTTAAGTTTATAATATGCCTTCGTTCTATGTGGCGGGTTTCTGCTCTATGGCTTGAAAGTAGCAAAGCTGGCTAAGTAGAAGCCTTGTGTCCAAGTAGTGTAGATTTTAGTATATGATAGAACTACATGGAGAAAGTGAGAGTGCCATCAGAAAACAGATCCGTATTCTGTATTCTAGGAATCGATCTATCAATTATCAGGAAAATCAGCGAAGGCCTCCTACCTCTACCGGGAAATTCCTCCATCTGGGGTCTGGAAGATTGAACTGGTCGTAATACTCTAGTCTTTCAATGCTCATATTTTTTCATGAAGATCAAATTAATTATGTCTTTTCAACCCATTAGTGATTCTAGCCTAGCTTTTGGTTCTTAACAGACACTGTCCGACATTGTCGTTATGGAAATCTATCTCTGACATAACAACTGAGGTCACGGCAAATAATTCAGTTTCTAATAATACCTAAACACAATTAAACTAACTAAAGAAGACAAATTTAAAATTCTACATTCAAATTCTCCTCCACTTAGGCTTTTCTCCGTCCAGCCCCTTTTATGGGTCCGTATTACTAAAATACCTTGTTCGAACTTTATTTTGTGAATTATTACAAACGCGTTGAAATGTATTGAAGAATCTTGTTGCCTAGCGAAACTAGCTCAGGTCATTAAATCCACATGCAGATTGTTTAGTCTGTCTTTCGACGAGGACCATGTTTGAAGGAAGCACTGCAGGGGGAATTATATATATTGACATGGAAGTTTTGTGACTTTCTTCGTTATCAACACAATTGGTTAAGAAATCAGGGACTTGTACGTGAGGATCGGTTTTTCTCTATAGGTTCACACAATATGTTGTGAACCAAATATGATAGTCCATATATCAGATAAGTAATTGCGCCTTTCTTTTCTCGACTAGATAGTAAAAGTAATTAGTTTTAGTTAAATTAAAATATCTATTGATATCCACTGATACCCTCGATCAGCACTTCTGAATCTTGAGGATGCACATAAAAGGCTATCCCTACAATAACGTACGTTCCCATCAGCAAAATGCCTTCTAGATAATTTGCCTGGCCTTCGCGGACAAGACAATTCACGACAATGACGGAGAAAGAGAGCACAACAGTCTCAAATGTGTTAAAATAGAGCGACATAGGCTTCCCTATTATCCATCCACAGATGACCAGAAACGGCGTGACGAACAGGGAAATTTGAAGAGTCGCGCTTACAATCAGACTGACTCCAAGACCCATTTTCCCGGCTCTTGCAGCGCTGACGGCGGCTGTAAACTCGCCCGCATTGCCGACGATAGGGACGATGATGAGCCCGATAAAAGCACGACTGATATGCCATGTTTCGACGATTCCGTCAACTGAGTCAACTAGAGCATCGGAGCAAAAGGTAACACCAAGCGTAGCAAGAAGTAGGATTATGCTCGACGGCCACAGACTGAGCTGGACTTCATTGTCCAGGGTCTGGTCGGGATCGGTGTTACTGTCATCAAAAATGTCGGCGTGGCTTCTGAGCTGAAAGTAGAGGTACACAAGATAGAAAATAATAAGGACAATAGCAGTGGCGCGAGACAGACTTAGAATACTGTCATCCAATTCCGGACGTTTCCATGGTGTCATTGTCCCTAATGCAGAAGGGATTATGAGCGTAGCACAGGAGACGACCATCAGTGATATCATGACGCCTATCACATCTGCATTGAACTTTTGGTCCTCTTTGTTGTAGCAGCCGAAAAAGAAGGTACAGCCCAGGATCTTTGCCACATTAATCAGCCAAGTTTTTAATGGAAAATGCTGCGGACCAAACACATACCAAGAGAATGCCAGAGAGAATGCTCCCCACCATACTCGACTGCACGATTCGAATCTCTCCTTGCCTTACGGCTGTAATGCCGACCTGGAGAAAAGAAATATTAGTCCGACCATCAAGCACAGACTGCTACATAACAAAAGAGCAAAACCTACAATCATTTCTAGAGCGTTGCCAAACGTCGCATTTACCAAGGCACCCAGCGTCTGGCCTGTACTCTTTGCTAACTCATCTGTCGCAAACGACAACACTGATGACAATGCTAGAATAGCGAGAAAGTTGAGAACAAAAACCGAGGACGTGTCCCAGTCATTTGTGCTAGCCACCAGGGCCACCGGGACAAGAAAAAGAAACCAGTTCACAATGCTCTGAAACCAAACCACCTTGATGATACGGAAGGTCTCCAAGGTCGCATTTTTAAGCAATGAATTTCTACCTGAACGAGGCGCTGACGACGGGGTACTCCGGTTGAGCAGAGGAGTGGTCGGTCCCGGCTCTTGGTTTGGCGAATCTTCCGCAGACATCGAGCATCGATGAAATGGATGGTATCGGTGCTCACGTAACTACGAATGCAGTCACCATATCAGAACCCTCGGTGCTGGGGATCTGTGTCAGTATTGTTTAAGATTGTCTGGTGGATAAGGTGTGTAACATGACGGCGTCACGCCGCACTGGAAGGAAATGCACAGGGTTACCTAATGCCCCGTACGATACCGTACGCAGTAATTAATTAATTAATTACTGACTAGCCCTGAATAGGTCCCCTTGCATCTGAGGGATTTTTGCACCCCGCCATTTCCAGCCGCCCGACTCCAGTGTGACGTTTCGAGACAGACTATGTCTTTTGCATCGGTTAATATATATGCATTTTTTTAAGCAACGGACGTGTCTTTCTGATAGCTGCTGAACACATCATTTACGTCCTGGCAGGAGATAAAGCTTGATACGCAATACGGGTCAACGAATATAGGGCGTCTCGGCAGTTACCGATAACACTGATACACGGTATAATGTTTTATAATACCGTATTATACGCGTATTCAGCATCCAACATTACGTGGTGGGGATGACCGCAGCTAAAGCGCCGAGACTTGACGAATCTCATCCAACACACTTCACCGACGTGTAATAACAAAATCAAATTAACAATACGAACCCGGATTATGATAGTGACCATCAATGTGTCACAGATTTCATTTCCTCTCTTTTACAAGTACACACTGGGGACAATTTCAAGTCGTTAATGCAAATCAAGGCTTCCACGTTTTCAAGAAGTCCTCCTCTTTTCTCAGGCCATCAACACAAGCTGCCAAACTACCCTGGCAGCACGATGGCCACTGACTCTAATCAGCATCAGCTCTCTGCCTCTGGAAACACTCAATATGGGCTAGGTCGTCAGTCGTCATCGCACCCATATCATAAGACTAACGCACGTATCGTGAGCGGTTACTTCAATCTGCTCTTGATCTTCGTTCCGCTGGGGATATGTTCAGCAGCACTAAAGTTTCCCCCCGTTGCTGTGTTTTGCCTTAACCTGCTAGCCATCACTCCACTTACTGCCTGGATTACATTCGCAATCGGCCAACTATCCTTTCATATTGTGCGCATCGCGGATGAATTGCTCAAGGCGACATTGGGAAACCCAATTGAAGTACTGGTAGGATGAACGGCCTCTCCAACTTTAATAACAAAACACATAACCAACTTTCTTCCTTCAGATTGGACTGGTGGCTCTGAGCCAGGGCCAGACGCTTAATGTACAACGTATTGTGATAGGGAATATTGTGCTTTTTTCGCTTCTGGTAATCCTGCACACTCTTAGTTCTGATTTCCACCTTTATCTTGCTGAACCATTGCTTCTTCAGGTTCTTGGATGCTGCTTATTCGTGGTTGGAAGCCAGCAGAAACGAGTCGAGTTCGACCGGACCACCACGAGCATCACGTCGTCGCTGACTATCATTGTTGCCATTTCACTGATTGTTCCAACTACCATGTCTGCATTTCCACCCACAGATGAAAATGGGACCGTGGTCCGTGACTATGCTTCCATTCTCCACGTCTCTCATGCGGCTGCAATTATCTTGTTGATTTTATGTATTCTTTTCTTCTACTTTCAGTTTCACACGCATCCTAGCCTTTTCCGGGTGACTTCCACTCAGCAGCTACCGGCCTTTGACTATACAGACGTTGGCTGCCGTGGTAATCTGCATAGGCAAGCATTCTTAAGCCTTAACCGCTGGGTCGCCGCTGTTGTCCTTGTTGCTGCAACTACTGCTCTAGTTTCATGTATCGTATTTCTACTAAGAACGGTTGATGAGGTTGAGCGCACAGTCGGAATCAGCTCCGCTTTTCTCGTGACAGTTCTCGTGCCCCTGATTGGAAATGTGAGTAAAATTACTACAGTTGTGGCTGTCGCAAGACGCAACCCCGTTGATCTGGCGATTCGTGCTATCATGGCAACCAATTTGCGACTGCTCATCCTGATTATGCCTGCTTTGGTGATAATCGGCTGGATACTCGACCAACCGCTGACGCTCCAGTTCGATCTCTTTGACGCTTCCATTCTATTTCTCGCCATTATGGTGATGAACTACCTAATTCAGGATGGCCGAAGCAATTACTTCGAAGGGCTTGTCTTGATGGGAACGTGAGTTCTTCCTTCGATCACAGTTCGTCAGTATAATCCTCGTCCCTAACCCTCGACATAGGTACATAATTATTGCGGTGGCTTTTGAGGTTCGCCCGATACCTCCTGAGGGGGTTATTATTTTATAGGTGGCTCTCAAAATATAACAGTTGCATAACGACGTCAACCAGCGTAATCCTTGCCAATAAGCTTCCTGGTGAGGTATTCGATGGCGTAAATAATATGATCGATAATTACATGCCTAGCGGACTAGTCTCCATGTAGTGTAACGACTAGAAAACAACATCCCGCCCCGTATTCGTTATGTATCGGGATCATCAAAAACAAGCCTTTTTTCGATTCCTCTTCGCGTTGGGCTCGGCTCTTAGACACCCGTGATCTGCCAATCATCCACTGCAAAAGGCCCACGACGGATCGCCGGACAAAAGCTGAACAGTCATTTTCCAGCCTATGAGTCGCGTGGACTGAGGACCCAGCCCGAGTGACACTGATGGTCTGGCACACTAGAGCCTGACTAGCTAAGCCTCAGTCCTTCGCTGATTTAGTGCTAGCCTTGGCTGACCAGAGAGAAAACCAAAACAAAAGCAAATCCTTGTGCGGCCAAGCAAGGTCAAACCCATGACGCAGTCGGGTTTTTATCTGCGATAGGGCAACGTGTGGTATCAATCATCATCGCTGCTTTTCCATCTCATCAAGGAAAACACCATGCCAGGTGCCGGAGAACAATGGGCCGTAACAAGAGAGATGCCCCGACACCGACCGAGGCTGTTGCTCCCATCATTACGATAAGTACAGCCGATGTACGTCGCATATTGCACATACACTCATAATTCCTATCCCGATTGACCTCTGTCTCTAGCTGCGCATTAACTAACTAGTATAGTTATCTCCATGGGAGCCGGAGTCCCCTGTTGCTAATGAGCCTTTACCGGATGACGGCTTACATGCAGACACTCTGCGGCCAGCTACTTCTCCGCATAGCCTAGTTCTGCCCTCCAGTGGCAGTAATGGTAGTAGCTCGGCTGGTAGGCCGAGGGTGACTTCGGTGACTTCACTATCTGATGGAGAAACTATGGTAGCAACCAGCTCATCTTGTGGCTCCTACCGCACTCGCAGCGTTTCTGAGGTGACTGCTGTCTCTGTGGCCTCAAATTACCAGCAACAGCAAATTCCTACTGTCTACAATTTCCCTCATGGCGATAGCGACTCGTTTGGTATCTCACCCGACGCTCTCGATACAATATTCGATCGAAAATGTCTTGAAGATATCTGGTCTGTAGGCGGTCTATCTGGTCTAGCATTTGCCTTGCACAGTCACTGTGCTCTCGGAATCAAGTCGGACGAACGCACGATGTCCACCCAGACACTTGACGCATCAGGTCGACGCTCACACGCGGACAGAGTCAAGATATTCGGTAGCAATCGATTGCCAGAAAAGAAAACGAAAGTGTTTTGGCGGTTCATGTGGGAGGCACTGCAAGATAGGGTCCTGATATTACTGACTGTTGTCGCCACTATTTCCTTGGTTTTGGGATTGTATCAGACGTTTTGCCAACCGCACAAGCCTGGCCAACCGAAGGTAGAATGGGTGGAAGGGACTACTATTATGGCTGCAGTTATCGTTGTGGTCGTTGTGAGTTCCTTGAACGACTATAAGAAGGAGACACAATTTGCAAAGCTCAGCCGGAAGGTAATATTATCTTAAAATGAAACATATCTATATATAGAATGGGCTAACGAGATATGTCTTATGTAGAAAGAAGATCGCACTGTCACGGCGATAAGATCGGGCATGGCTTGTGAACTATCGGCGTTTGATGTGGTTGTCGGCGAGATTGTGCAGTTAGAGGCTGGTGACTTGATTCCGGCTGATGGGATCCTCGTCTCAGGCTATAACGTTCGCTGTGACGAGTCATCCATGACTGGCGAATCTCACTCGATAAAAAAAACAGCGGGGGATGATATTGTCCAACGAAAGAAACAAGGAATTCCCGCCGGAAATCTGGATCCGTTCATTGTCTCGGGTTGCAAGGTGGTCGAAGGAGTTGGAACATACATAGTTACTAGAGTCGGAGAGCGAAGCACTTATGGAAAAACAATGATGTCTCTTGTCATTGAAAACGCACAAACACCTCTGCAGCAAAGATTGGGGGTTATCGCTGATCAGATCGCTGTTGCTGGAATTACTGTGGCAGCACTGTTATTTGCAGTTCTCACCATCAAATTCTTCATTGAATTACCAGGGAACACCGATTCAGCTTCAGAGAAAGGACAACTCTTCTTGCGAATTGTGATTGTCTGTATAGCGGTCGTTGTAATCGCTGTTCCAGAAGGATTACCGTTAGCGGTGACTCTTGCCCTAGCCATTGCAGTCACTAAAATGCTGAAAGACAATAATCTGGTCCGAATACTAAGTTCTTGCGAAACGATGGGAGGCGTTACTACTGTTTGCTGCGATAAAACCGGTACCCTCACTACAAACCAGATGGCAGTTGTCTCAGGAACTGTCGGCATGCAGTATGCTTTTGAGAGCGATGAAAATACTCAAGCCCCCAAACCATTCATGACTCTATCCACTGAGAATCTGGTCTTGCGATTATCAGAACAAGTGAAATTTATCCTAGCACAATCCATTGTCATCAACTCGACTACAGTGGAAAGCGAGAAACATACATTTATTGGGTCACGGACTGAGATGGCGTTGCTCTCTTTTGCAAGGGAACATCTCGGTATTCGGACGATTGCCGAGGAACGTGCGAATGCAGAGGTTGTCCAAATGATTCCTTTTGACTCCAACAGGAAATGTATGGCGTCTGTGGTTAATCTTGGTGGTATATATCGAATGTATGTGAAAGGGGCTCCGGAAGTCCTTTTAGACTCAAGCACGCAAATCGTCATCGATGCGTCTGATGAAATCATGAATACCGAACCTATAAGCGAACATTACGATCAAGTGATTGATAGCACACGAAACTACAGCAATCGTTCGCTGCGTATGATAGGATTTGCATATCGGGACTTCTCCTCTACGTGGCCTCCTTTCGATGCAAACACAGTGGAAGGCGATCCCACCCAGGCTATTTTCGAAGATGTCATGCAAGACATGACTTTTATTGGGCTTGTCGGTATCCAGGACCCTCTTCGACCTGGCGTCAATACTGCTATTCTCAATTGCCGTAAAGCTGGCGTGAGTGTCAAAATGGTTACAGGAGACAACATTGACACTGCAAAGGCGATTGCAGTCCAAGCAGGTATTTTGGATGCCGACGGGGTATCAATGGATGGTCCAACTTTTCGAGAGCTATCCAAGAGTGACCTTTATGACGTTCTACCACGATTACAAGTGTTAGCGCGATCAAGCCCGGAAGACAAACAGGTCCTAGTAAAAGCCCTTAAAGAGCTTGGAGAAGTTGTTGCCGTCACGGGCGATGGGACCAACGATGCGCCTGCACTGACTGCAGCAGATGTAGGATTCTCAATGGGGGTCTCTGGGACCGATATCGCCCTAGAAGCGTCGTCCATCATACTGATGGACGACAATTTTTCTTCCATCGTTAAGGCCATCGAATGGGGCCGAACAGTCAACGATGCAATCAAGAAATTTCTTCAGGTGTGTTTATTGTGTATTATTTGTTTTATTGAGACTTTTTGTACTTTCCGTTTATTCTTACTACTAAATACGAAATTGGCTAATCTGCGGCTCAGTTTCAACTCACCGTCAACGTCACGGCTGTTGCCCTAACCTTTGTTTCTGCCATTACAAGCGACCATGATGAGTCAATATTAACTCCAGTTCAACTTTTGTGGATAAATCTCATCATGGACACTTTCGCCGCTATGGCTCTCGCGACAGACCCTCCTCCGCCGGACATTCTCGATAGGCGACCGGAGGAAAAGTCGGCTTCCATGATAACCCTGACGATGTGGAAGATGATTGTTGTGCAGTCTATATATCAACTTAGCGTGACCTTGGCCCTCAACTTTTCTGGTAACCGAATTCTTGGATACACGGGCACCAAACAAGAAAGTCTAGAAACTGTTGTCTTCAACACGTTTGTCTGGATGCAATTTTTCAATCAGTACAAGTAAGTCCTCTTTGTGATATCATAGGATTCATCCATACTAACAAAAATCTCTATTAGTAATCGCCGGCTTGATAACAAGCTCAATGTTTTCGAAGGAATTCATAACAATTGGTACTTTCTCGGCATCAATTTAATTACCATCGTAGGGCAGTTACTCATCATATCCTTCGGTGGAAGTGCCTTGTCGGCTGTCCGGTTAGATGGTATTCAGTGGGCTATTTCTCTTTCCCTTGGAGCCTTCAGCCTCATCATTGGCGTTCTTGCTCGCCTGGTCCCAGATGACTGGATCCGGTCTGCTCTTTACCTTGATAGGTGGCAAGGCTTGTCCAGCTCCCGTGGAATCAAACATCCTGAGAATCTTCCTGACGAATTCACTCCTCTCTTGGACAACTCTTCATGTGAATCTGGGTCTATTCCTCCAAATCAAACAGGTTTTCAGCCAAGGAACAACTGGAGTTTCTATTTCTTCGGTGCTTCTAGGCCTCATGTTGATATCGAAGCTGCATAGTTTGCCTGTACCATTATTGTAATATAGAGGGGCATTGTTTTGTTACAGCGCTTGTTTTATTTCTCTCCTTTTTCGTTTCCTATAGATAACTAGTGAATTTATCGTCGTGAGTTATGATACTTTTGTATCAAGGACGAGTATTGAATTACGTCGTGGTGGGCTAATCCGATAACAAATCAAATATTGTCGGTGTCATTTAGTAAAATTCATATGACTTACTGTATTATTATTGGAAAAACGTCGAATGATTATTGCGAAAAATGGTAATGCCAGTTCATACATACGCATGACCAGCCAATCGTAGCGCGTGACGCCGGACTTTTGCTCCGCCACAGTCATCAAACGTAAAAACACTCCCGTCCATCCCTTTTACACTGCCACTTTATTTCTCACAAACCTATATCTTGAGCGTGCCCGAGCAAGGACGTGAAATTCAGGCTATATGTTTCAATTTTTATAGTAGCAGGCAGAGTATAATTAGGCGGATAACGCCAAGCTCGCCGAAGCACTCAAATGGATGCTCCCGAAAGCATTATTGACACCAAGCTCGCTTTCAGTCAAGCTCCCAAAGCAACAAATCACCAATTTGGGTGCACACCCAAACAGCTGCAGCATTTGGCCGAGTCTCGGGATCTGAGTGCCCTCCAAACGTTAGGGGGACTCGCTGGCTTGGAGACGTCTCTCCTGACAGACCGGAAAAGCGGATTAAGCCCAGACGAGTTTATCCGTGAGGATGCTACACCGCTCACGGATTATGAGAAACGCCTACCTACCCTTTCTACGGAGAAAACAGTATTTAAACCTCCTTTTGACGCGAGAAGGAGAATATTCGGAGATAACCGACTGCCCACGAAGAGAGAACCCCCTTTTTGGCAGTTGATGTGGATGGCCTACAATGACTATGTTTTATTTCTGTTGACTGGAGCCGCAATAATATCTCTTGGCTTAGGCCTCTATCAAGCGCTAGGAACTCCTCGAACACCTAACAACCCGCCCATAGAATGGGTGGAGGGGGTCGCCATTCTGGTGGCCATCGTCATCATCGTGCTGGTCGGCGCTCTAAACGATTTCCAGAAACAATACCAATTCCGCAAGCTTAACAAGAAGCAACAGGATCGGAATGTGAAGGTCATTCGCTCCGGCCGTCCGCAAGAAATTCTAATCCATGATGTCGTCGTCGGTGATATTGTCCAAATCGAGCCGGGAGATGTAATTCCAGCGGATGGCATTTTAATTCAAGGCCTTCTTCTCCGATGTGACGAATCTTCCATGACTGGGGAGTCTAATCTACGACCAAAGTGTCCTGCTGATGATGCTGTCCAAGCTAGTTACTCAGGGAATAGCAACACGCAAGTTACCACAAAACTAGACCCATTCATTATTTCAGGAACTAAAGTCGCGGAGGGCGTTGGTAGTTTTCTCATTATCGCTACAGGTCGCAATTCAGCTTATGGCACAATTCTTCAGAGACTTGAGGATGAGCCAACACCAACACCTTTGCAAATGAAACTTGGTGGGCTTGCCAAGAGTATTGCAATATGCGGTGGCGTTGTTGCTCTGATCTTCTTCGTGATTCTTTTCATAAAGTTTCTGGTAGAGCTACCTCACAGCACAAGAAGCCCGGCCGAAAAGGGTCAGCTTTTTCTCAACATATTCATCATAGCGCTCACTGTCGTTGTGATAGCAGTTCCAGAAGGGTTGCCACTAGCCGTTACATTGTCACTCGCCTTTGCCACCACTCGAATGCTGAAGGACAGAAATCTGGTTCGGTCTCTACGAGCATGCGAGACTATGGGAAATGCGACGTCTATTTGCTCAGATAAAACTGGTACCCTAACACAGAATCGGATGACTGTCGTTGCAGGGGCCTTTGGCACAAATTCTAAGTATACTGAGGGTGCCTCTTCGTCTATTACCGAATACATAAGAGGCCTTTCATTCGATGTCAGATCAATTCTGAAGAGCTCCATCGTTATTAACAGCACTGCATTTGAATCCGATGACTCTTCGTATATTGGCTCTCGGACTGAATCTGCTCTACTCACACTGGCTCGCGACGCCATTGGCATGGGCCCCGTTGAGGTTGAGAGATCTGATGCACGGGTCGTCTACTTGGTCCCATTCGATTCGTCTAGAAAGTGCATGGTCTCTGTGGTCCGTCTGGATAACGGGGTACATCGAGCATATATCAAAGGGGCTTCTGAAATCCTATTACGTGCCTGCAACACGGCTCTAGAGAATCCAGAAGCTGGACTCTCCCCAATTCCAGTTTCCGATGACATTATGCAGAATCTGCAGGATATTATATCGAAATATGCAAGGCATTCTTGGCGAACAATGACTCTTGCCTACCGGGATTTCCATGAATGGCCACCTGTTACTAACGCCGATCCCATCAGCGATGTTGGCCATATAGTTCCTCTCGATGAAATACTTCGGGACCTAACATTTCTTGCTATCATGGGTATCCAAGACCCACTACGCGACGGCGTTCCAGACGCCATCCAAACATGTGCAAAAGCGGGAGTTACTGTAAGAATGGTCACCGGTGACAATCTCTTGACAGCGAAGGCAATAGCAGAAGAAGCCGGTATTCTTACCGACCATGAGGACATTGCTATAGAAGCTTCCGAGTTCCGCACTCTCCAGCAATCGCAGCAAATTGAAATGATACCTCACTTGAAGGTACTGGCAAGGTCTACTCCTGAGGATAAACGAATTCTTGTCATGCGATTAAAGCAAATGGGAGAAATCGTAGCGGTGACAGGAGACGGTACAAACGATGTTGCCGCTTTGATGGCTGCAGACATCGGGTTTTCTATGGGAATATCAGGAACAGAGGTTGCCCGCGAGGCGTCCTCGATTGTTCTCATGGATGATAACTTTACGTCTATTGTCAAAGCTATTATGTGGGGGAGAGCAGTAAATGATGCTGTCAGCAAATTCTTGCAGGTAGGCGTTCTGTGGGTGTGGGAACGTATGATTCATAACCTGACGATAGTTACAGTTCCAAATCACAATAACAATTACCTCTGTCGGATTGACTTTTGTTTCCGCAGTCGCTAATGGAAACCAGCAGTCTGTTCTCACAGCAGTGCAACTCATGTGGATCAATCTTTTCCAAGATACCATGGCGGCACTGGCACTTGCTACTGATCCTCCGTCGTCTAAAATCCTCGACCGCAAGCCCGTGGCTCAGTCCGCTCCTCTCATTACTCTTCAGATGTGGAAGATGATAATTGGCCAGTCAATATATCAAATGGCTGTTACTCTGGTTCTCTATTTTGCAGGATCTTCCATCTTCCATTATCATACCTCGCAAGAAAAAGCTCAACTACAGACGGCCATTTTCAACACGTATGTGTGGCTACAGATCTTCAACATGTTCAAGTAGGTTTACTGTCTCCCTTGCATATCTTGCCACTACTTTTCAGATTGAACCACATAGAGATATTCTAGTATGTATGCTTACAAATTATTGCAGCAATCGCCAGCTCCAAAACACTATCAACATCACCGAGGGCCTCCTCAGAAACTGGTTGTTCATCGCCATCAGCTCCATCATGATCGGAGGCCAGGTCCTGATCGCATTTGTGGGGGGGGAGTCCTTCTCCGTGGTAGGAATGAGCGGTGCGCAGTGGGCCTACTCGGTCGTGCTAGGCTTTTTGTCCATCCCAGTGGGATATCTGATCCGTCAGATCCCCGATGGGCCGATTGAATGGTGTGCTGAGCAAGCAGGTCGATATCTGTCGACGCTAACAGTCTGGCGGTATCGGTGGAGGGAAGGCGATGCGGCCTAAATAAAAAACCTAGAGAATCACGAATTAGACAAATTAGACATACTAGTCTTCGAAAGACAGAATCTCTGAAAGAGACTGAATGTAGATGGTGTATAGAGAGCATATGCTATGCTTGCCCCTTACAGTGGATCCGCATGTCGCATTCAGGACCGAGCAGGCAGCAGGAGGATGGAAGTCATGTTCCGACGTAACGTAACAGGAAAAATCTCAGCCGATCGGGCGCATAGTTAGGTCGTCAGTAAACACACCCACGTATTATTACACATCGACGTCAAGTTGCGTTCAGTTCCTTAAAAAAGAAGTAACCAATAAAAATTGGCGCTTGCTTCGGCTTCGGCACAAGACTGTTACAATACAGTATGTGTATATAGATGTATGTTATGTACGGTATGTATGGTGTATGGTATGACAGCCGTACCAGATCCGAGCTGAGGCCACCCACTTTCTCCGCTACGTAAACTGTCACGACCCAGAACATCTTTCATATCTCTGTCTTGTTCTTGGATATGGAAGGCCCCAGCATTGATATACAAGGAACAGAGGCCGCTGACCACCCACTAAATGGTGGCGATCTCCGATACCGTCATTCTCCTCTTAGAACCCCAGATGAAGGACAACCAATAATGTCAAGCAGATCTGGAACAGCTTCCTCAACATCCTCTTCATCTACTACAGCACCGTCATCGCCTTCGATGTGGTCACGGAGATCTACCTTTATACGAGTAGAGACCTGGGCACAAGCTCTATATTCTCCTTCCTCAAGCAACATTTACCATCATGCTCGCAAGGCTGTCGCCTACGGTGCTAATCCCAATTTACTTCTCTTATTCCTACCGCTCGGTATCCTAGGCGGAACGCTTCGCTGGAATGCACTTCTGGTGTTTTTCTTCAACCTCCTGGCTGTCATCCCGCTTTCAGCCCTGGTCTCGGATGCATCGGACAAGCTGTCTGACAGTGTCGGTGCCCTGCTTGGGAGTTTGATCAATGCGACGTTTGGAAATTCTGTTGAATTGACGGTCAGTACTGGCTGTGATATCTTCCATTATACTCCATTCTATATCTCAGTCGTCTTATGGATTTGTTCTTTTCATTTGTTTTATCTTCGCGTCGTCTCGCCACTAATATTTCGTTTATAGGCCGGTATCCTCGCAGTTGTCAATGGACGCGTCACAATCGCCCAATCAATCATGATTGGAAGCATACTATCGGATATACTCCTAGTTAGCCCTCTTCTTCATTTCCATTTTATCTTAGTCTAAAATAGAAAATCGATTTTCTAATACTATGAAGGTTCTAGGGCTCTGCATATTCTCGGCCTCATGGGGTAAAAACATATTGCTATTCAACCCCACTGTCGCCGACACATTATCCTCGTTGATGATGATCGCGACAATGGCAATCATCCTACCAACAGTACTTGCTTCAACACTAGCAGTGCATCACTCGCAGATCGAAGATAGAATTCTGTCATTCTCGCGCGGAACTGCCGTGATCCTTCTCATTCTCTACATCACTTACCTTTTTTTCCAGATGAGAACTCACAAACATCTTTTCGAGCAAGCGCAGCATACCAGACAAGATGATCCTTCTCAATCTACTACCCAGCTTGCAAGCCCATTGCAGAAATACGCTCCCATAGCTACTCTAATCGCGTCTTCAATCGGTGTCGTCGTGTGCACCTATTTCGTGTTCGAGAGTATGTCGAGCACGGCCCACATAACACATATGTCAACTATCTTCATTGCGATGATCTTGATACCTATTGCCAGCAACAGTCCTGAAGGCTCTGCGGTGATAGCCGTTTCACGTAGCGGCGACATAGACTTTGGTATCAGTGTCATAGTTTCTAGTATACTCCAAATCAGTCTCTTCGCCATCCCCTTTCTAGTTATCCTAGGCTGGATCATTGAGGAACCGATCACCCTCGATTTTGGCTCGTTCAACACCATGATCTTATTTTTTGCGGTCGTGATAGTAAGTTACATGCTGCGAGAGGGAAGATACACCTATATCCACGGAACCATGCTGGTGGGATTGTAAGTCTCTTTCTATTTTCTTTTTACACAGTCAGCTAACTTTCTGCAGCTATGCCATCCTGACTGTAGCATTTTATTTCCGTTAATAGTTTGTGATAGTCTTGAAAACTATACATGTAGCCTTTGTGAAAATAAAGCCTAAACAATTGATAGTGCTGGGAACTCTGCAAGTTCCTAAGAAGTGCCTTAGCGCTCTAGAGGATTTTTGAGGGTGTATGGAAGACCAATAATTTTAAATTCATTGCTAGCTAGAAAACGAACCGGGAAAGTCATGTCTACAACGAGGTACTAGGATGCGTCATTGGTACAAGGAGTGTTTTGGGTATCAAGACAAATGACCGGTATTCGTCGTCACGAGATGGTGATAAATCTGCAGGGCCATACAGTTTGGCTAGCTAGGGGGCAGTGAAAAGTGTATTAGGGGCTATTTTTGGTGGACATGTGAACTTAAGTTGGACGGTTGGCCATTTCCTGGGCGCAAAATCGGGTGTGACACCGTGAATTTCTTTGCAGCAGTCTAAAATACCTCAACTACAATCTAACCAATCATCATCGTAAGTACGAGCTCTCTTTCCACATTACGAGAAGTGCAATCAGTATTTGCTTACGATGTTGTCGATCTCATGGTTGAACAGATTCGCGACAAATCGAGTTGAACCGTGAATGACTGGAATCGTAGTGAAATGATATGTATAGCATAGCCCCTGAAGTCTTTGAGAGTTCGCTCGAAAAACAACCGGAACATTTGAATCGTTGCCGTGCAAGTATCATGCTGTCTGAAGAAGAGCTCGACACTGCGGCCTGCATGTAAGGGTAATTAAGCATTAGCCTTGTTACTATACATGTCCTGTCGAACGGAGCTTATTGGTTCGGTTTGGGTCTTAGAAGGAACATGCCTCATAAGCAAATCAAAACTCGCATAGAGCCGCTGGGTGAGCAAAGTTTCCTTCAGAAGATCCAATGAAGCACCCGGGGTCTGGTATAATGCGCGGTATTATAATGAGATGGTGCAGACGTGATGGCTCTGGTGTAGAGCTTGCATTCATGCAAATTTTTGTAGGAAACAGTTCAAAAGCTTTATAAGACATGGCTATTCCTTGAGCATTGTTCAACTTACGTACACATTCAAGGAAATTTACCAAAGAACAGATTTACTAGGTCATTGTGTGTGTTGAAATTTTACATTTTCACCCCTTCATCTCCAAGCACATTCCAATATGGGTTTAGTCGGCGGTCTTCTCAAACTGATCATTATCCCAATTCTGGCGTTCATAATTATATCTTTGATAATAGTCGCTGTGGTTTACTTTTCACGCGCAAAAAAGAATAAAGAGTTAGAACTGGAAGCAAATCAGTTCCAGCCACCGCCTATCCAACGATGGGTATTTGACCCCCAGCAACAGGCGCTGCAGCAGACTATCATACAACAGCAGCAGGAACAACACCAACAAAAACAACAACAGCCGGGATCACCACAGCCACCGCCTCAGGTGCATATACAATATCCAAGTCCTGTTGCTGGTGGGCCTCCGAGTTACTATACCCCAGCAACCAATGGCCATGCACAGTAGAATGTGCTAAAGCGAGGGTGAGTCTTATGGAATATCGCAGATAGGATGTTCTTTTTTTGACGAGATAACATTAGCGGTGTTCACATACCCGACGTAGTACATATAGTCCTGTTTTGAGAAAGAAATCTGCGGTGAGTATTTGGGTGATTGTGTTGAGTTTGTACGTTCTATCCAAGTTAGCTAGTACTTTTTATTGTTTTTACTGTTAAATTAAAATGTGTCCTATCTGTTTGTAAATTCATTACAATTATGCCTGTTTCAACTGGTGTCCTCGAAGTATTCTATGTATATAAAAATTGTTTCAAAATACCACCCTCTCACTGTCTAGACATGTAGTCTATGTCGTGTCATACAGGTTTCAACCCTACACTTTTTGCTGTAAGTTTTATCCCATAAGGTCTTTACTATGGACATATGGAGGCTCATCCATAGCTAATCACCTATCTTTTCGTGTCTACCTCTTCATTTAGGCTAACCCTAACAGACACAATAACCCTAACCCTAATACTGAGAGATTCACGGAATATCATTATCCCGTGCCCCGCACACGTGACGCGCGTCAGTCTTGGCGGCGGCGGGAAGCGCGGAAGTTTCCGATCTTTTCATTTAATTCTTTAGTTGCAAATAGTAAATATTCATATTAATGTTTTTATTTATTGTGAAGATATTACTGTTTAGCACTTTGTAAATTGTACTTTTCTTACAAAATTATTGCCATCAGCTTAAATCTTGGTGGCCAGGACATTCTCCTGTAGTTGAAGCTAAAGGAGGTCTATACTTGTATCCTTGTGTCTTATACACCCCCACGCCATCAGCAGCCAGCCTGTGCAGTGTTGAAAGGTCCTAGCAGACACCGAACACGAGCGCTTAATAATACACCAGAGCCTACAAATCAACGGATAGAAAGCTATTTAAAAGAAACGCTTTGTCAGCGTGCGCATTGCTGTCCCGCAGACATATCCATTCCGGCTGTCAAGTCACTGGCAGTCAGTCTGGAGCTGTGCTGAATTTGGCTTCCTGGCGATCCACTTGCTGAATGCAATTTTTCTCTCCAGCCTCGACTGCTTCTCTACACAGCACAATCCCCAACCGTCCTGTGGTTCTACAAATCATGCCTATCCTCCCTGCAGCCTTTCTCCTTTGGTAGTCCATAGAGCGGAAATCTCTTTATCGCGCTCCCCGCATCAATTAATGCCGTGCCTCCACCATGTCTCCGCCGTCCGCCGCGGATACAAAAATTGACACCATAGTCATCGGTATGTCGTAATTCCGTCCCAATGGAATCCTTGGAAATAGCTTCTCACCGCCTGTCGGCCGTGTGCCAGGCAATGGGCCGTCGTCCATGATCTTGTCGTACATCCTCCATGGCAACATTCCCTACTATGCCCCCGACCCGCCGCATCCCGATCCGCTGCTGCATGCCAAGCTGCGAGCGCCGTCGACCTGTCTATTGCGGCCGGACCTCGATACCCTGACGCATCACTTCGCTGCGTCGCGTTTGTCATACTCGACACAGGCTCTCCCCATCAACGTGTTGCTGGACGCCCTGCTGCGACCGCATGGCGAGACGGACGATCTCGGAGACGTGACGAACATTGAGTGGCGCTACAAGCCTCACCGCGCTGTCCCGCACTTGGTCCTAGGCAATGCGTCGAGTCCAGGCGGTCTTTGGGCCGTAGATGACCCTGTCCGCGTTAGCTGGGATATCGGAACACTGAGCTATGCTGGCATGCTCTCCTTACCCGGGTACACGTTTGCTGCGCACTATCGCAAAACCAAGAATGCAGATCTAGCGCCTTTCACTCGTCCAAGCCGGAAGGAATTGGCAGAGTACCTGCGCATGTACCCCGTAGAGGCGGGGATTAGCGATTCCTTCTTGAATAATATGCAGGTGGATGGGATAGAGCGTACTGCAGACGGCTTCTATATACGGTCTCATCGTCTGAGATGTAAACATCTCGTACTGGCCACGGGTATCTTTTCACATCTCATTCAACCACCGGCTCTTCTCGCGCCTCTAGCCACTCTTCATAACGCGAATTCGTCTAGGACACCATTGCTAGTCATTGGGTCAGGGTTTACCGCCGCAGATGCTATTATATCAGCACCGGTTGATCAGCCAATTTTACATCTCTTCCGTTGGAGCCCCGACGAAAGACCTTCGCCGCTGCGAGCCTGCCATCAACAGGCATACCCAGAGTATGCCGGGGTCTATCGACTAATGAAACGAGCTGCACTTGCTTCGAATTCTGCGAAAAGACCCAAAGCCCGGCGACTAGTGTCGACATCCTTTTTAGAGAGCCGAAATTGGGACGAAGTCTACGAGGGTATACCGAATGCCGAAATTGTCGACGTCCAGATGAAAGATGGCAAAGCAATTGTGACATTGTGTCTGACAGATGGCACCACAATTCAACGTCCTGTATGTGGCCTGGTTTATGGTGTAGGTCGAAGAGGGTCGCTTGGCTATCTTGATCCGGCCCTGCGTGCAGAGATTCTTAGCGGTGTCGACAGCCCGGATGAGAACAAAATATCGGCAAAAACCTTGCGCAACAAGGTCATGGAAGACCTGGAAGTCGCTCCAGATATTTTCGTCATAGGTAGCCTGACTGGTGACTCGCTTATCCGGTTCGCGTTTGGGGGGTGTGTTTATGCTGCCAGCACGTTGATTAGAGACTTGGATAGTAGCAGCGGAACGTGTACTCCCAAAAGACCCGCGGGTACGCCAACAGGGGGCCGCGGTGCGCTCATGAATGGGGTAGATGGACATGGCCAACGTGCACAGTATGACGACCGGCCGCAGAAGCCACTGGTTTGTCCGTCCAAGAATTCTGAAGATAAATCCCCTTGGCCTCGAATCAGTCGCTGGTGGACTGCTCTTTGTAATGCGCTTTTCAGCTGATGCATGATAATTGATTCGTGGATGTACAATGATACACATAACATACATACATACATACATATACATATTTAGTCGCACATTTGGTTAGTGCTGCGTTTATTAGTAAGGGAAGAGGCGTCGAGGGCCATGAACGTACCATATGCAGTGAAGCTACTACGTTGTAAAATTGTTTGAATATTGCATAAACAGTCGTGATCCATGATACATTAATTGATATTGTAGAAAGTATTCAAAAGGCATCGTCATTAGAACTGTTTATCTAGCTACATATAACATTTAATCATCATTCATCGGCCATATATAGAGGTGTATTTAACCCATCAACTGCAACTGGTCATCCGGTGGCCAGCGCACCTGAGCAAAGCTCAAGCATCGTTTGATACTCTGCAGATACTTCCGCGTGCTCTCGTCAGACATGATATGGGCCTTGTTATCGCTTTCATGCAACTTCTCTCGCGCAGATCGTTCGTGAATACCAACCATGGTAACACCAATTGGCCATGCTCTGTACAATTCGTCAGTATTGATTAAATTTTGAAAGGGGGAAGGGGGCCTACGCTTTTCCGATACTAAGACGTAAATACCCATTGTTAGCATCAACATATCGTCTTTCTTGCGCGCAATGAACAATCTCAACAATCGCCTCAAGAACCGTATCGTCGATATCTGCGGCCTCGAATTTCTTGAACAGAGGTCTCATATTCTCTTTGCTTTGAAGCATGGCATTGTACGCCTGTCGACCAGCAAAGCTCTGCTTCACGGAAACGTCTCGTTTGGCCAAAGCAATCTCCCATTCCTCCAGGATCATGTTGAAATACGATGCGAGCTGCCTGAAAAGGAATGTCTTCCCGGCGCGATCTTTTGGCATCTTAGTTGGTATTTTCATATCCTTCTCAGCCACCAGTTCCAACGTCGTCGGGATAGGTCCGTTGGATAGCTGTGGCGTGAGCGATCGCTGGACAAGCCGCTGATAACGCCGCAGCCTCGCCTTGTGCGTTTCACCAAACAGTGTAATCGGTTCATCTAAATCTCGGAGCTTTTTGCTGAGCTCTTCAGCGTCGATATTCTCTTCCTCCGGTACTGGAGTCCCATCTTCATCCTCCGCTTTCTTTGGTGGTAGCTCAGGGAGTCCCAGCCTTTTCCTTCGTTCCCTCTCCGCAGCCTCCTCTTCCGCCTCTCTCCTCTTCTTTGACTCTTCTGCTAATTTCCGCTTCTTTTCCTCTCGTTCCCGATTGCGGTCGGCTTCCTCTTCCTCGTGCTTGCGCTTGAGAGCAGCCTTCTCTTCGCGTTCGCGCTGTAGCTTTTCCTGTTCCGCATTGTAGGCTGCGATACGCGCAGCTTCGATATCTGCTCGACGGACGTACTTGTTTTTCTCATCTTTGGATTTCTCGGTGGTGCTGGGTTTGGCCTTGGAGATTTCCTTGGCCATGAGCGACGCAAAGTCCATGTTGAGGGGGTGCTGGAGACCACCAGGTGGTCGATTTGTCGCGATTGCCTGTAGTATGAGAGAGAAAACGTGGCAGAGAATGAGCGAGTTCTGCGAGTCAAGTGCCTGCCTGGTGTTAGGTGAGAGGCGGAGTTTAAAAGTTTCACGCGGGTCGAGCTCAATGCGGCAACGACTCCAACGACCAGCTTAGCTTCTTTCTCCGCCCTGTTCCTCTTCACTTGCCGATTCCCAACAACAAAAGACTCCCAAGCAGGAATTTTACTTTAACGATTGCGTATATCCGACGTACATTATCCATACTTGTGCGATCCCAACAACAATCATCCTAGTCAGCCCCAGTAACTGCGCACGCCGCTCCGCTCGCAAACCCATTCAACGGCACCCATCACAATGACAGTCAACCGAGAAACAACAGTCCCTTTCCACCTCAAGCTCTTCTACCGCCAGAATGCCTACCACACGCTCAACGACTTCCCCATCCCTACACCCACCGGCCCCAACAGCACCAGTCGTCTTCCCCCTCATCTCGAAATCTACACCTGGCAATCCTGCACCCTGCGCGAGCTCTCGAGCCTCCTAGCTGGCGCATTACCCTCACAATTGCCAACCCCACAGTCTGGCACAAGGCTGTGCTTCCGCCTCATATACCCAGACACGCGCGGCGCAGCAACCGAAGGACGAGGGCGGTATCTTTCGAAGGATATTGGGAGCGTGATTCTGGGACAGTCAAGGGATGAGAGCTCACACAACGACGGACATGCGAATGGCGAAAAACGTCGACTAGGTGACAAGGGCCTCTTTCGGCAGGACGATGCAGATAAGACACTTGCGGACGCACGATTCGTGATTGGGGATTATGTGGATGTTGCGATCGTGCCGCCGCTGGATGATGGCAGTGTTGCGCCGCCGGTGCAGGGTGGGAGAGGGCCGCCGGTGGGCCCGATTGGCGGTGGTATGAGAGCTTTTGGACCGCCTCGTGAGGGCGGCGGTGGGAGAAGAGGAGGAGGGCCGTCGCGAGGAAATGGGATCCCGACCGGCGATTGGAAGAGAGGCGAGAGGGTGCCAGAAGAGCGAGGTGGATGGGGGAGAAGGAGAGGGCCTTACTAATGAGACGGAGATCTGGAAGTTTGAGGTTATGGATTATGGAAATTAATGAGGGACAAGACATCGATCTCGGGTTACTTCAGTGAAATTGGATGGAATGGCGAAGTGTGCTATGCTTTCTGCTTGAGAGATATCAAGACGCGCAAGTCACACGCATAAATTCCAGGCTGTAAGAGGAACCTCTACGGCTGTTATTAAAAGGCGATTGTGCTGAAGAAGTCATCTGGACAGCGTGTGGATGCTATCAAATCCACGAGCTACGAAAGGGCCGTGGACTTTAGTTTAGACCATGATTCTGTCATGAAGGGCTACATGTATGGAAGATCATATGTATTTTATCGTTAAAAGTTGTAATGGATATGAATGTCTTTCCTAGCATGTCAGTAATCTACCATCTTTCCGTCTATCATTCACCGTGCAGCTGTAGTGTAAAGTATTGGAACAAATAAATGAAATAATCCTCGCTAGTATAGTATATACACAAAACTCCGCGATTTCAAGAAATCGAGGTAAGCGGAGCTATCTGACGATAGCGGAATATAGCCAACTTTCAACATGTTCGTTCATATCGCAGTTGTATGCATGGGTTGGCCTTTCTTGTCAAACGCACATCGCATCTCACAGAATAACCTGCCTGATACCCCCATGTCTAAAATTCTTCTTCAGCTCCACCTCACAAGACAAGCATATCTGAACCTTTAATATTCAGCAAGCGTGTCTCCCCTTCGCTTCCCACGGAATTCGTATTTTCCCTATAAAATTCACGCCACGCGTCAGCCTCTCTCCAACCCACAGATTTGGCACAAACTCACTTCCGTCTTGATTGCCACGTATCCGATAATTCCCGGGATAATGCCGGCGTACAAGAGAGTCAACCACGCATTTCGTGGTGTCCAGCGGAAGTATTTGTACCGGTTTGCGTTGAGTTCTAGATCGAGTCTGTTAGCAGCTCGCATTTCCTGAGGTTTATAGCCGACAGAATATAAATAATGTCGGCGATGTCGGTTAGGCTGGAGGTAGGTGGGTGATATGTACCGTAGTATTTCTGCAAGGCAGGATCGAGGACAAGTGCTAGAATCATAGTTAGCAACGCCTAATCTGGAGCTGCCAGTTCAGGCTCGCAGAAACAAGAGGGCATGAGAGCGTACATTTGCTTGGGCCAGCCATTATGGACAATTCAGTCACGCCGACTGCGAATGAATGACTCGGTACAAGGAGCGATGCGGTGTTGCAGGAGGATGCGGTAGTGATGGCGGGTGCTGGAGGTGGGCGCCAAGGCTAGTGGAACTAGTCCGCATTCGGAATGGCCATTCTCTCGATTGATTCAGCGAGAATGCCTTATTTTTGATGATTGAATCCATTGAAGTGATGGCAAAAGTGAGCATTGAATTACAAGAAATTACTATCGATATATACATCACATCAATTGATACAACAGCATTACAATACATCACAATGAAGCAACAAATCGTCCCTCAATCTCTTCAATCTTCTTCGCTGCATTTTGGTATCCCTCGTCCTTCTGCAGTCTACCCGCGTAAGCCACGATCTCAGGGTATTCCTCCTTGGTGAAAACACCTCTGCCTGTAGCCGCAATGATAGGGAAACTCATCAACATATCCGCGGCATTGAATTTAGGCCCGCAAATACCCCCCTTTTGGGTCTCTGTTGTGCCAGGAACAGTCTCGAGTTGTTGTTCCAGGAATGGGAAGTGGACGGCAAATTGCTTGTCGAGCCAGGTACTCTGAATCCTGGAGGCGACAATACGGGTGATAGGCTTGACGAAGAATGGAACGGGGGCGTTTCGTACGCCTGGCATGCGCAGTTCATCAGCAAACGTATGATTCGTGTGAAGAATAAAGTTCGGGGAAAGAACTCACCGTCAATAATCAAAGAAGTAACTAGCTGCGGCATCAAGCTTCCCTCGATATAATGCAGATAGAATCTGTATCTCAACCACTCCTCCGTCTCAATACCCTTGGCTTTGTCTTCCTCGCTAGCATAGCGTTTCGGAACAATTCCCTTCTCTTCGCCACCAAAGTGATCAACTAGGTACTCGACAATGGCGCCGGATTCGGCCAGGACCAAAGGCTTGGGGAACTCTGGGCGTTCAACGCTAATAACCGGCGACTTTCCGAGAGGGTGAATTGCTTTCAGCTCTTCGGGCGCCAGCATATCAGGGCCGCGCTTGAAGGTCTTCAACTGGTATGGAACCGATAGGGCTTCCAACACCCAGAGAATTGACTGGGCGCGAGACTGCTCCAACCTGCACCGTACTCATTAACTCGTGTTCCGAACTCAGGGTTTGACGAGGATTACCAGTAAAGGGTGACCTTGACATCAGAGCTGGATGTCGTCGCTGCCATTGTGTATACCGTTGCTTCTCAGCTTCGTCCTTAGGTGGTCAAGATATGCGCCAGGTATACTCAGCTGGTGCCTGCTGGCGGTCCCAACAATTGGCAGCAGCAACAAGAACATTAATATTGGCTTGCGGTTTCACATGCGGGCGAGCTCCCCCAGCTCCTTCTGATTTTACCAGCCGGGGCAAGTTCGTCATCGCGGCCGAAAGTGGCAATTGTGGGTCTATGGTGCCGGACCAGCTGCTTTTTCGAGGCGGCGCTACGCCCGCCTAGGCATGACGAGGGGCTTTGATGCCGAGGTTGGTCGCATGATGTCCAAATAAGTCCATCAGAACATTAACAACTGTTTATTATTGTCCACAGGCGCCAGTATTGTGCCAGTATTGGTGCAAATGCTGATTAATATAGCGTGGTCTGGACTCTAGTATTACATGTTCATCCTAAAAAGGCCCGTTTTCGATTCCGCACCCGCTGGCTCGTATATACGTCCAACTTGACGGCGTGAAATACTATCTCTAGTTGACGCGAGGAGTCTGGCTGCACTCGTAACCGCCACTGGCCATTGTGCACCATCCACTGGCCACGCTCTACCGCTACATCTTTGCGTTTGCGTTTGGCGGGAGGTTCCTCACCAGCTAGGTCTGCATCTGCAATTGGGCTGCCGAAGGCATCATTTCCAGGCACGTACGCCTCGTTATCAACAGTGATATCGGCGTCCTTGTCAATGCGGATTTTAGGCCGATCTTCACTCAGCGGCGAGTTGCCCGGGCTCGCCGATGTCTTGCTTGCGCCCGCCATCATCATCAACCCGAGAGGCGCTTTATTGGGTAGGTTCAGCTTGTTGGCGATGACCTGCACCAAACTGCTGACTCGTGCCTTGGCTAGACCGTGGAATTCTGCGCGCATTGTATTTAGATCGATGATAGTGCTTTGGCCCCCGATCTCAATCACCAATTCGTAGACATTGTCGTCTACGAATGGTCTTGCGTAATGCACCCACCCAGCAAATGTCGACGCATCGGGTGATGAGCCATCACTTACGACTTGAATGCCAGACTGGCGGATGTCATTTAATCGGATAAGGATTTCATCACGCTCTCGTCCCGGATTATAACTGATATGATGAGGGATCAACCTTTGTTCAACGCCTCTTAAATGATAGTATCGACAATCGCGTAGTAATTCAAGCCGGTGGCTTTCATTCTGGATATGCACTGGGTAACCTCTCAGAAGGTGTATGAGTTGCGCAAAGATAGCCCCCGATCGACCAGGCACGCTAGGCGGAATGATTGAAGGCGGCCGTAGCAAGCCCGATCTCTGTAAGCCTGGAAAAACATCCGTTGGGGTGGCAAACAATATAGCAAAACCTAGGTTGAAAAAATTCGGAGAGTCACCAGGACCAGAAAAGATATCTCTGGATACCTGGAAATCGCGGTCTCCAATCTGAATACAAATCTCTGATTCGAATAGTCGTGACACCAGTCGGGGTACTGTATTACCCGCACATTAGTATACTACCTGGTTGCAACAAGCCTAGATGGACTCACAACTGTAGAATTGAGCATCGGCAAATAGTTTTACATACTCCATGCCATCACGTGGGTGAATATGATATCCTATAACTAGTCATTACCCCGCAACAGCTAGAGTCAAGGAGCCTTTGATAATCGGACTGACCTTGGAGATGTCGACATATCTCACGGAATGTCGCTGGGTCTCGGTCGATGTAGAGCGTCCTCACGTTTCCACCGCTTTCAGTCTGCCGAAGCTGCTCTTCAAAAAATTGAGAAAAATATGACGGTGCTCTAAGAGTTTAAGTCCAAGCAGTCTGAAAAGGAGCAGAGGAGACTGACCATCCGAGGCTATTGATGCGCCTGAGAGCCGAAAGAGCTCAGACCCGAGCTGGATTGAAAATACCTTTTCTGGTGGCAAAGAGCAAGCTGGGGGGCTGGCATTTGTTTCTCCTTCAACTGCACGATTTCTGAGCACCCCGTCTCGAGAAACCTTGACGCTGCTCGCTTGTTCGCTCGACCCTGATGGGGCTCCATTTTGCGACGATGATTTCAACTCGACATCGGGGATTTTATCAAAGGTCTGTGGCATTGACGTAGCGCTTGAGGGGCCAGAGGTGGAGGATTGTCTTGCCGTATTCTCCATTGCTGGTTTGAGTGCTGATTGTCTAGGGATGCTCATTGATGGGAGCTTATAATGCTCTAGTGACGCCGACCGCTGAGATGCGACGAACGGCTTCCAGGTCTATTAAACTGCGATATAGCTGGGTTTCGGTTACGACTCGGTTCTCGACATGATATTATTTGGCATTTTTGATATCGAAAATAATAGCATGCGCTGCGAATTGCACCATGGGTTCTCTGGACGCCTGGATTGTCGCAGAGCTGCCGCGATCAAGGAAGGAGCTGTAAGCTGCTAGGAATTGTTGCGCCGGGAGACAAAAGAGCTTGGATTTCTCGCACACAATATTCTGTTCTATCACACCAACGACAGTGTCGAAGACGGAATATATAGCGGAATTGATGTAAGCAAGATGTGTCTGTCAGTCACTTTCAGGTGAGGATAACGACGATGACCCTAGTTGACGGAATTAGATCCGGCCGAAGACGACGCTAAGCTACAACGGCTCTAGTGTACTTGTCAAGCTTATATTAAGCGAACGTTTGCTTCATGTAATCGGTAAACGAGCCCCATATACCATATTAAATGACCATTTTTTTATTCTTATATCCCAACAGAAATATATATAAACAGTCGCTTAAATTTTAATATAAAGAATAATATATTGTTGTTAATAATAAGTTTATATTATAATGAAAATAAATAAGAATTGATTGAGATTGCTAAAAATACAGTCCAGTTTACGTTAGTTGTGTAATGGAATTTTATATAATCGTTGTATATATTATATAATTTTGTTGTGATACAAAATAGAAAAATAAACATTTAACATAGTATATGGGGTTGGACGGTTCGTTTACATGGCCAGGTGGCTTACCGATTGCGTTATGAAATACCTTCATGCCTCAACATCACCATAAATCGCTTTTACTATTATTTGATAAATGTAATGACACTTCTATTTTGGTATATTCTAAACCGGATCTCCATGCGAACAGACGGATGCCCAATTTCCCATTAAAAGCTACAGTAGGACATGGCTACAGGAGAGGGGTGTAAATTATGCTGAGAGGTCTGGATCAGTAGAGCATTTATAGAAACGAAAACGAATATTAGCCCGTTTAGAAAGTATAGCAGCAGAAGTGGAGCGTTGGGAACTTGTATCACGCTTGCGGCGTGCGCGCCTACGGGTGGAAGAAATACTATCAAGGGCTTGTCAACGATCAAGACTGTCAGGGAACAATATCAAAAGACTTTCGATTTCGGTGTTATTTTGCAAAAGGATTCCAAACACCTTCATTCTTGGAATGCCCAAGCCGCAAATATTTCTTTGAAAAGATGACGCTGTTTCATCAATACTACGAAGATGGTCATTTTTATTAACACTAAGGTACCTAGCTCATAAGGGTGACAGCTCCGAACGGTCTGGCAGGCGACGGCCGCACATTGGGTCTCTCGGAAGGTGGCTGGGGCCCTGCCAGCCCCTACAAGGTCCCCGAATTGCCCTGCGCAAATAAGCGGCTTGGGGTGAGGAACGCGTAAGTGCATTGAAGGTTTTGGTATCAGTTCGGGGCAGGCGGCGTGGGGAATAAGGGACTCAGCCCTTAAAGACCCTCCTAGTGCCCACTAAAACCAGACCATAACTTCAAACTGGGTAAGGTCGTTAAACCTGAATAAATAAGTAAATGCCTAACTCATAGATTTACTTAAATTAGATCTATCATTCTACGGTTTCGACTATATCAGTTTCAAAATGTTAGCTAGAATCATCATCGATAAAGACGCATCTACTCCTATTAGGGTTGTTAAGCTCTTATGTCATTATGTCATTTACATTCTCTTATACATGTAGTCTCAGCCTGTTGCCAACTTCATTTAACTGAGCTTCAAGATATAACACAACCTAGCAGGATTAGTACCTGGTTTAGAACATTGTATCTGTATCTTTCATGCAGGCCGTGGAACGACTTGGTTTGCTAATAGCTTGGGGAGCTTAGCTATCCGTTTAATGATAACTATAAATGGTGCCTCTTCAAGCATTCCTTTTCATAGTATAATATACATTACACATATAAGCCACACCGATAGCTTGACTGATATGATAGACAAGAGTCGAAGTAAACAATTTAGTCTAGTGGAAAAAGGATCGATAATGCTTAAACGCCTTTTCACACCTTTTTTGAACGCTCAAAATTATGAGCAAATGGAACAGTTCATCCAAGACGAGATATAATAAAATTGACCACGTCTTGATTGTATTTCTCAACGTACGTATGATGGGCGGCGTTGTCATCAAGGGGTAGGGGGCTGCAACATTGATTATCACCGTAGTCGCAATAACTTTGCAATGATGCCTGGAAAGGATAACAAGCCCCGGAATTTAAACGAGGGAATATCTGTTTTCCTATTAATTATCTTGATTCAGAAGGCGAGGGGATCGTGACTTACTCCAGCACCGATTGTACAGTTGCCTACATTCCATGGTTGGAAAGGGGCATATGTCTCATCACCATAGGTGAATATACCAATCACTACCCATGTCAACCGTGTTTTTCTCATAACTTCGATAACAGTGGAAAATGATACGCACCGTAGTCGGCATATTTAGGGTCGAGAGGTGCGACATAATCGTATATCCCAATAGAACCTGTGCCGCAAATTCCGTCCATTAAAGCGACAGCTCCCTACTGATAAGTCAATGCTAGAACCTTCATTCCCATTTTGCCTTTCATATTATCTGGCTGCTTGGAAATTTTGCATTTCCTTGTTCAAGCAAGCAAGTCATACCAACGAGTAACCCAACAATGCAATCTTTGAGTTCGGGCAGCTAGCCGCATACTGTTGAACATACTGCTGGAAGAGAAGACTGCCATTATAAGCAGCCGCCTCCTTGTCGCTATTGCCGTGATCGTAGGGAAGACCAAGCACTGTAGATCCGGGTATCTGTTGTAAAACCAAGCCCTGAACCGTAGACAGAACGTTCAAGTCATCACCGGTACCCTCGCCACGAGCAAGAAGAACATGGACACTAGACGCGCAGTCGTTGCTGCTCACCGTCTGAGCTAGAAGAGTAGGGAGAAGGAGCGTTAAGGAAAGAAAGAATTGAAAGAACCACAACATTGTACCGAGAAATTGTGCTGGCGACTGCGCGCCTTGCAAGGTTCCAGTTAGAATTTCAGTGTTTGCCCTGGCGTGTGATAAAGCGCAATACGGGGGGGGAGAAAGTGGATAGAAGCTCCATTATGTGTGCCAAGAACGATATTCATTTATCGGCATTTAATAGGAATAATAACGATAACGATAACAATACTCATTGTATTTTATGAAAGCTTCACTTACCCCTAGGCCCTAAGCGGTATGTAATAAATTAATTATATGTATTCACTTCCTCGGCGCTCGGTACACTCGTACACTCGTACCTGAGTATCTATCTAGTGGATGCGTCTGATTCGATATCAGATGCGGCGATGCGCACTAGAAGATGTTAGTGAGCTGGCTGAGGGTAACATGGTGGACTATGGAAATGCTCAGCATGAAATAATAATATTATGTACTATTACCGTATACGGAGTTCGTGCTTAGTGTGAGCTCCAAATCTTGTATTGGAGCCAATCATGCTGCGTGAAGTGCGGAGAACCTCGGTGTTACCAACCTTGTTGGTTGGCTATCAAAGCGATCGTCATGCTCAATCGATGGTAGCCCATTCAATCTCAAGGTTGAGTCTAGCAGTCGACTTAGTATCTCCCAGTTCCCGCGCTGCCCCGTTCGTAATCAATATTTATCTAGTCGCTTATTATTCTCCACACTATTTCAGATTACGTATTATTATATTAGAGAACATGGGCTTACAAATATCCAGCTGACTTCTAAACGTGATGGAGATTCTCCTGCAGGAGAATCGGCCTCGCCGGCGGTTCTAGTGCTATCCCAACTCTTTGCATCTTCCTCAGTCTCGGATGATATCAAATTAATACAGCATACGCGGTCCCGTTCGTGCCGGAGCTGCCGAAGACGATAACCAAATTTGATGTACTAGGTATGATGTACAACATGCCAAGTCTTCTCATTTGTTCCTCAGAGGTTTAATTACGACATTGTTCTATAATCAAAGAACGCCTGATACGATTTGCCAGATAAGGATCTCATGCCGAATCGGCAGATTTAGCATTCAAGATAAGTTCCTGAACTGCGAATGCCAACTCTGAAATCACCGGGCCAGCCCGGGGGATGGTGTGCCCCTTTCCAGTGTCAAACATGATAGCCGTGTCTGGATCACAGACATTATATAGGGCCAGTGCGCCGTATCGATAGGGGTCTGCTGTACGTCAGTAATAGACCCGCCTCGGGGAAATCCCGATGGGACAAAGAGAACGAGAACAACACTTACCATTAGCCCCAACCACATGCAAAGTAGGTACATCGATAGTAATATCACTTTCATCGGCCAAAACAAGGCTGTTATCGGCTGCAGCCGGCGGCCATCCAGTGAAGAAAAGAGCACACTTGATTCTACGCGGTCTGCTCTCTCGCTCCAGTCGATCTTGCTCATCGAGAATATATGTGGCCCCCATGGCAGACCCCTCACTGTATCCAATGAGCCCTTCGACTTCTGGATGTGTGTCCAGCATATCGTTCAGGTATTTCATCACCGAATCTCTATTTTTCCACATCACCTCTTTTGAGGCCAGAGTTCGCATGACATCTTCAGGGTTATGACCAACAGGAAGCTCTCGAATGCGATTTAACATTGAGTCTTGACCGCTACCTCCATCGTCCATCCATCGATAATGAGGACCAGGCCCAAAACACTCCTTGAAACCTGGAACTAATGTGAGAAGTGGCTTTTGTACGATTTAGCAGCGCATGGAGCGAGATTACCTTCAGGCGGGTTTACTGTGACCGGTGCCTTGATATAGTGAAATGTTGCTGTCTTATCTTTGGCGAGCTCCTTTTCTAGCGGCGCTGGAAAGTTGCGTGTCAGAAACAGAAACCATAATTAATTGCTTCAGTTTTCAAACAGCTATAAGTCGATGTACCTAACTGTATACTTATATTCTGCAACTGTTAGTCGGCCTGGCACATTGTTGTTATATATGAGCTGAACGTACATCAATATTGCCAATGGCTCCATGAAGGCACAGAAAATGCATGGTCGGATGATTGCGATTGTGATTGCGATTGCGATTGAAATGTTGGTGGTTTTCTAATGAACCTACTCCATTCAATAGAGTTCAGGAGAGTTGCTTTCGGTAGCAATAATGATACCGTAAAAGGGAAATTACACAATGATGACTTGCAATTGGCCTGGAATAAGAAAGCTTGATAGCGAATCAGAGAGATCCCGAAAATGCGTTTTGGTAAGGGATAAACATGCAGTTGTTTAGCCCTATCGCTAAGGCTCAAGCACTTCTAATTAGTATCCGTGCGCCGTACGAGACGTGCAGCACCTGTCAGACAATGCCAGCATGACAGAAATCTCTAGATTTCTCCGCGCGAATCAGATGTTAGGAGCCCTTACGAGGTACAAGCTCATTGCGTCGTAGTGAAAGTTAAAAGTCCACGTTTCCTGGTAGCTGTGGGCCTTGTAGCAGGAATTATGAATCATAACAGCCGCCCGATCTTTAGGGGTATATCTCAACCTCTCAGGGCCTGTTCTACCGCGGTCTATGTCGATCACTTCAGCCATGTTCGCCGCTAACGACAAGCTTCGCTTCGTTGGTACCTAGCGATTTTATTATTCCGTCCCTGTATCTCGGATACTTCCCAGAGTCAATGAGATCAGCAGGCGCAGAGTTGGAAAGCTGAATTGAAAGTCCCCTAAAAGGACCCAAGTACGTCCGTATTTGGAAAACTGATTAATTAGCCAGTAATCGCAAGAATGCGCAGATATCAAAGATAAACCCAATGAACTCACCTATCCATTTCGAGACCCACATAGGTTTCCTGGACTCGCTCGGGCCTCAGAGGCTGGTTTAGGCCACCTGAGAGAGGCTTTCAAAGAGAGCTGAAAAAGGTCGCAGTATGTCTATCGTCATTTCCCAAAGCTAAGAGTTTCTTGACATTACCAAGAAAAAATCTCCACACACACCACCTATAGCACCTGGCAAGCGCAAGCCGTCTTTCGATATATTGATTATAAAGGAACCGAGGGAATCGTTTAGGGAGAAACTTATCATGTGAAATGAACAGGGTAGGACTTCTTGGAGTTTCTTGGAGTTGTCTCATGGTATCACAAACTCATGTAGTAGTCTGCTGTTAACCTTGTCTTGTGTCTCTGTCACATCATCTCTACGAGGTATGGAGCCGATATCTATTCTAGATGTCCGTATGCGTACGGGCCGGGACAATAACAATATATTTCCAAATCCATCTAAAACATCAGTTGACGAATTAGCCAGTCACCTCATATCATAGCCCCCAGATGATGCTGATCAAAGTAGACTTCGGCTCCACTATCTATACTATGGAATCTCTAAGCGTGAATTGTGTAGACAAAGAATTCGATTTGTGTTTGTGACGAGGTTCATCCTGATAACCGAGTAATGCGTATGTGAAATCCCGGTAACGTATCGCCACTGGCGATACTATTAGCACGATCCTCTGTTTCAGGTTGACTAAATCAAGACCTTGAAGTAATTACTATGTAGTGGACGTTCATGTCTTAAAACTTAAATAAATACAAGAGGATCCGTACTCAGATCTAGATTTACATTACATGGCACAAACCTTTACACCCATGCAATTGTCATTCTCTGTATTGCAAGCCATCTTTGAATCTTGTCTCAACAATGAATAATTTCTCTACTGAGCTAGGGACGAGACCCATCTCGACAGATCCCATACTAAATGGTCAATTACCAGAGAATAAACGTTCAAAACAACCAGTGGCTATTATAGGATATGCATGCCGACTACCAGGGGATGTCTCCTCGCCCAATGACTTGTGGGAGCTTTGTACACGTAAACGAAGCGGCTGGTCAAAAATTCCCAAAGATCGTTTCTCATCAGAAGCATTTCATCATCCTAACCCAAGCAAAGTGGGAACGTTTAACCCGGCCGGCGGATACTTCTTGCAAGATGACATTTCACGTTTCGATGCCCCCTTTTTCAATATATCTACCCAGGAGGCTATTTCCATGGATCCTCAGCAACGACTATTGCTAGAATGCTCATACGAGGCGTTGGAGAGCGCTGGGCTTCCAAAGGAGTCACTCGCAGGGCGAAATGTGGGTGTTTTCGTGGGAGGAAACTTTGCCGATTACGAGCTCAACAATGTGCGCGATGTCGAGACAATTCCTATGTATCAATCTACAGGATGTGCTCCGGCTTTGCAGTCAAATCGCATTTCGTACTTTTTCGATTTTCGTGGTCCCAGTTTTACGGTTGATACGGCCTGTTCTTCTTCCCTAGTAGCACTTCATAATGCCGTCCGAAGTTTGCAAAATGAAGAGTCTAGTGAAGCCCTTGTTGCAGGCTGTCGACTAAATATTGTTCCGGACTTGTTTGTTTCGATGTCGATGTCACAGTAAGTGCAGCCAGCCCATATACATTAAGCGTACAGCGATTAATAGCAGAATTTCTCATTGAAGCCTTTTCAACGATGACGGTAAAACATACTCCTTTGATGATCGAGCCAAATCCGGTTTTGCGCGAGGTGAGGGTGCTGGTGTGGTTCTGCTCAAACCTCTCGACGCCGCAATTCGCGACCAAGACCCCATTCGAGCTGTTATCGCAAACTCTGGCCTTAGCCAAGATGGTCGAACTCAAGGAATCACGCTACCGAATGTCCATGCTCAAGAACAGTTAATGAGTCGAGTCTATCGAGAAGTTGATATCAAACCCGAAGAATGTGGGTTTGTCGAGATGCATGGTACAGGAACAAAGGTCGGCGACCCGATTGAAGCTGCTGCTGTGCGTGCTGCTCTTGGAAACGGTAGAACAGCAAGAGATCCTCTATATATCGGCTCTGTGAAGTCGAATGTAGGCCATCTAGAAGGGGCTAGTGGAATAATATCCGTCATTAAAGCTGCTATGATGCTGGACAATGGCCTTCTTCTCCCCAATGCGGACTTCCAGAAAGTTAATCAGAATATACCACTATCTGAGTGGAACATGAAGGTTGGTTCTGATAATTTTAGAAGTTTATCAGGGACAAATAATAATTTTTCTAGGTTGTGACATCGACAAGACCCTTTCCTCGAGGGAAGAAATACGTCAGCGTGTCAAATTACGGTTTCGGAGGAACAAACGGTCATGTTGTTCTTGAGAGACCACCACTAGAAGCCAAATTGGCGACTAGTATGACCACTGTCAATAGTGATGCAATTGGCAATGACCCAAAACAAAAGCTGATTATCATTTCAGCCAATGATAAGGATTCTTTGCAGGCAAGGATCAAAGACTTCTGCATATACTTTGAACAACGTCCTGAGGTTTTCGAGAAAATGCTATTCGGCAATTTCGCCTATACATTAGGAAGCAAGTTGTCTCAACTAGCATACCGAGTCGCACTTTCTGCGAGCTCACTGGACGAGTTAGGAGTCCGCCTTGCGCAATTGAAAGTAAACCCGGCTCGAGTTCTTGGATCCCCTTCTATAGGTTTTATATTCACCGGTCAAGGAGCTCAGTGGGCACAAATGGGTGTTCCGCTTATGGCAAAATACCCAATATTCGCCTCGGCAATTGAACGAGCTGATGCGTGTCTTCAATCGATAGGCGCTTCTTTTTCCCTAGTCGATGAACTTGGTAAGGATGCTACAAGTTCTGAAATTGATTCACCGCATCTCAGCCAGCCTGCATGTACGGCCTTACAGATCGCCCTGGTAATACTCTTAGATTCTTGGGGCATCCGGCCTTCATCAGTTGTTGGTCACAGCTCTGGAGAAATTGGAGCTGCTTATGCGGCCGGAGTTTATGACCTGGAGTCGGCCATGAGCCTCGCCTATCACCGGGGCCGGATGACTCGTTTACTCAAAGAGAAATGTCCAGAGTTGAAAGGAGGTATGCTTGCGGTTGGTGTTGGTGCTGAGACAATACGGCAGATGCTGAAAATGCTTCGGGGTGGGTATGCTACCATTGCCTGTATCAACAGTCCCACAAGTGTGACGGTGTCTGGTGATCTCCAAGCTATTCAGGAGTTAGAAGAGGCTCTTCAATCCAGACAAATCTTTAGCCGGAAATTGAAAATTGATGTGGCATACCATTCTGATCATATGAGAAAAATTGCGGAGCCATATTTCTCCGCAATATCATCAATTCAGCCGAAAAGCACTAGCAGCGCTACGTTTTATTCGTCGGTTGAAGGCCGTATCATTGATCCCTCTTCACTGGGCGCCGCGTACTGGGTACAAAATCTAGTGTCTTCGGTGCTGTTCTCCGAAGCTCTCGGGAAAATGTGTTCCAGTGACGGTAGACCAAATCTACTTGTCGAAATTGGGCCGCACTCTGCGTTGAAAGGCCCTGCAATTGACATATTGAAACATCTCGGGCCAACTTCCTCTAAGGTTGCCTACACACCCACGATTCTTCGTAAGGTTGATCATATCGACGCTCTATTCGATACTGCCAGGGCGGCATACGTAAGAGGAGCGAAGCTAGACATGAATGCTGTCAATTTCCCTTCTAGTGGAGCAAAGAATAATGCTTTCTTGACGGACCTTCCTCGTTACCCATGGCAGCATGGTACGCGATATTGGCATGAAGCCAGAATTGCGCAAAACCATTCGATTAGAGATGGAGCAATCAGAAATGATATTCTGGGCGTAGTCGCCAATTATTCAAATGATCTGGAACCTACATGGCGAAACATTGTGCGACTAGACGATATCCCATGGCTGCGAGACCATAAGATGCAGGGTATGGTTGTTTATCCCTTGGCAGGATATGTGAGTGCTTTAATTCTCTGACGTACGTATACTTGCGAACACTGAAGCTAACAAAATGTAGCTTTCGATGGCGGTCGAAGCCGCGAAGTTTCGCGCCCAAAAACGTAACCAATCCTTCTCTGCTTACAAATTTCGTGAAGTTGTTGTTGAATCAGCTTTGGTCATAAGCAATGACGTCAATATAGAAACGACCATATCCTTGCAGCCCTACGATGAAGGAACACGTGGTTCATCCGATCTTTGGGATGAGTTTAAAATCCACTCTTGGACATCAAAACGAGGCTGGATTCAGCATTGCCGTGGACTTGTTGGAGTACGCTCGAAACAAACCGACAATACCCTCGAAATCTTCTCCGCGGACAAACGCATACAAGAACATATACTAACCGAAAAGGCGAAGATCCGCACTGCTTCTGTAAACCACGTTCAAACAGATCATTTATACCAAGTCCTTATGGAGCTGGGAGCAGAATATGGACCTACATTCCAAGGATTGGAGAATACACATGCTGATTCTCATCATTCACACGCCGACCTATATATTCGTGACACCGCGAGAGTCATGCCCAAAGGCTTCCAGCCAGAACTAGCCATTCATCCGGCGCTTCTTGATGGATTGCTACATCTCGTGTGGCCAATTCTTGGACATGGAAAGATGGATCTAGAAACATTATACATGCCCACTCTCATAAAAGAGGCAATTATCAGCCGCAATATTCCTTCCTCACCTGGTCAGTACATTAAAGCTTACGGCACTGGAAGCCCTCATTTGCCCTGGCCGGAACCAACCAATTTTGATCTCTTTGCTACACAAGATGACTCTAGCGAGCCATTGATAATGCTAGATGGGCTCGTTATGACACCGATTCGTGACTTAGGGCTAGGGCAGCAGGGTGAGGTGAGGAAGCTTTGCTATAAATTTGAATGGCTACCATTGGTTGAAACGGCTGTTCCTTCTAATGGGATTGAACCGTGTCAAGAGACACCATCCGATGGAGAATTTATTCAGACAAACGGAACTATCCACACGAATGGCGTTACTACGGAACAGGAATCATCTAAAAGTGATACCACTTTACCTTCAAATGGAACAATAGTAATACCGAGTACGAATGGTCATTTGGAGCGTGAAACAACTATTCTACCGAATAGATTTCATGCTTCTAGCGGCATCAACGGTCATGCTATTGCGAATAAAGATGGACATGCCTCTAAAGACGGACATGCCTCTAAAGACATCCCTAATGGCACTGGTGGATTTGCCATTAACGAACTTAGTGGTGATAAAATTTCTTCACTGAATGGAGTCTCTACAATGAATCTGACTAACAGCACGCCCGCAGAAGCAACTAATGGGATTATACCCGATAAACGTAATTTGCTAATTGCAAATTTTGGAAATAGCAACCTTCAAAGTTCCATTAGTATTGCTCAAGAACTGTCTGCGGGTCCAGTACTAGAGATCGACGAAGTAACCAAGTCTACATGTACAGAGAAAAATGTTATTATCATCCAGTCCCCATCGAGCTCTCTGCGCAATATCACGGCTTCACAATTCGAATGCATCAAGACTACCTTACTCAACGCAGCCAACGTTTTGTGGATTTATCAAACGAATACACCAGATGCACATATGACAGTTGGACTCACGCGGTCTGTGAGATCCGAAACAATGGCCAAAGTGAGTACGCTAGGTCTAGATACTGAAGAGCCAAATGCAGCATCAAGTGCCATTCGGAAAACTATTGGGATAATTTGGTCTGCAGACGGGGCGGAGATATGCCCTGACTTTGAATTCAAGTCGAAAGGAGCTGACCTACATATTTTGCGTGCGGTTGAAGACGATAGCTGCAATACCTTTATTCACAACGAAGTCAGCGATTTTGCACTCTCACTACAAGCTTTTCATCAGCCAGGGAGACGTTTCAAGCTCGGCATCACAAACCCTGGCTCTCTTGATACTATATATTTTGCCGACGACGATGCCCCCATTTTGGAGGATAATTCTGTGGAAGTAGAAGTCAAGGCTACTGGTATCAACTTCAAAGATATTGTCGTATCAATGGGTCAGTTAAATCAACCGTACATCGGTGTAGAGTGCAGTGGGATTGTCTCATCAGTTGGAAAGAACGTGAATGACATCAAAATTGGCGAAAAGGTGATGTGTATGCCTGAAGGGGCCTACTCAACATACGCGCGATGTCTCAGCACAAGTGTTATACCTATTCCAGAAATTTTATCATTGGAAGAAGCTGCCACAGTCCCGATAGTCTTCTGCACAGCATACTATGGTCTTTTTGATCTCGGTAGACTTGAGACCTCCGAACGCGTCTTAATTCATGCCGGCGCAGGTGGTGTTGGGCAAGCAGCCATTCAGCTAGCTCAAATGGCTGGCGCGGATGTTTTTGTAACTGTCGGAAATCGTGACAAGAAACTATTCGTCATGGAGAAATACAGTATTCCCGAAAATCGTATCTTTTACAGCCGCGACAGTTCTTTTGGGAAAGCAGTCCGTCAGGCCACTAATGGCGAGGGTGTGGACGTTGTCCTCAACTCTCTCGCAGGTGACCTTCTTCGAGAAACATGGGAGTGCGTCGCACCTTTTGGTCGATTCATAGAAATTGGAAAGGCCGACATTACAAAAAATAGCCGTTTGGACATGCTGAAGTTTGAGTACAATGTTACATTTGCGTCGGTTGATCTGACGAAAGTGGCAAAATATAAGCCTAAACTGATGAAACGGCTACTGAATGATGTTTCTCAGCTGATCACAAAACAGAAAATAAAGCCAATCTTCCCGATTACAAAGTTCCGCATTTCCGAACTCGAGATGGCGTTTCGAACGCTACAGACAGGGAAGAACATGGGGAAATCGGTTGTTGTCCATGATGGCGATGATCTGGTGAAGGTATGTATCTCAATTTTCTACCAGTGCTGATGTTCTGTAGCTGATGATTCTAGGCCGTGGCATTGAAAGCGGGACCTGGTCTTTTGCGTTCCGATGCTACTTACATTATTGTCGGTGGTGTCGGTGGTCTAGGTCGTGCGATGGCAAAGTGGATGTCGCAGAAGGGGGCACGAAATATCGTCCTAACTTCACGCAATGCCTCCGTCAGCAATGAAGTGCAAGTCCTTATAGACGAAGTCCGCATTCATAGCACCCGTATTCTCGTGAAGGCTTGCGACATAACTAGCAACGAGTCAGTAAATAATCTTGTGAGGGAGGAGCTTAAAGATCTTCCTCCTATACGCGGTGTGGTACATGGTGCAATGGTTTTACGAGTAAGGTTAACATTACCATCTAGATATTCATTCTAACATGACACGCAGGATATGCTTTTTGAGCAGATGGCATTCAATGACTTTGAGACCGTAGCAACTTGCAAGGTTGAAGGAGCATGGAACCTACACTACAACTTAGCTGAGTCGCCATTGGATTTTTTTATCGCCTTATCATCCGTCGCCGGCGTGGTAGGAAATCGTGGTCAGGCTGCTTATGCTGCCGCAAATGTTTTCCTAGACGGGTTCATGGAGTATCGCCGTTCACAAAACCTTCCAGGCGCCTCGATAGATCTTGCTGCGGTGACAGATGTCGGGTATCTGGCTGATAGTGACCCGTCACGGCGACAGGAAGTATTGAAAAACGTCGGCAGCTCCGTTATCAATGAATCAGAAGTACTTGCCCTTTTAGCTCTTGCTATTACTGGGGAGTTAAAGAAATCTTCTCACAGACAGTACATAACGGGGTTGGAAATCATGGAGTCAGCAGATAGCTTTTGGATTCACGATCCAAAATTTCAGGTCCTCCGTGATGCAGCAGGATCAAATCTGAAGTATTCTGATTCAACTGGTCAGAGTATCCCCCTTAGCGTGGCACTCAAATCGGCATCTTCTAAAGAAGAGGCGTTGGAACTATGTTTTGGGGGTTTAGTAGTGAAGCTGGCAGAGGTGCTGGGCCTCTCAGCGGAAGATATGGATACGCTGACCCGCCTTTCGTCACTCGGCCTCGACTCTCTGGTTGCAATCGAGATTCGTAATTGGATTGCAAGAGAGGCAGATGCGAACGTGCAGGTCCTGGAGCTGCTGTCGAGTGAGTCGTTGAGTCATCTATCAGAGCTTATTATCACCAAGTCTAAGCTTGTGTTCAAGTTTTGATTTTCCTAGAACATACATGTATTATTTCTGTGTCAGTATAATCATAGTAATGATAGTAATTCAATTAATTAGATTTGTATCCACTTTCACTAATGATCCATTGTTCGTTTACTTCTTTACTATCAATTGATAACGGGCGATTCATGACAAATAACTTATTATAAATTGAGGATTGTGCGAATGAAGAGACCATACATTCATGTGTGCCACGTAGTTTGTTTTAGAATGCTCTGTCTCTGGTGCGTTTCCATCAACCGATTTGAGGTTAAAACTAGATATTACTATCTCTCATCTTGTAAGAATTGAATCTATGCTATGGTATGTTCAAACGAATGTGGTGGATCTTAGAAGAGCGTGTTGCAGTAGTAGAAGGCCCTTTTGGGATGCTGTCTGTTTTCCATTTACGGTGGACAAACAAATACCCGCAAAATCTTCTTACCGAGTTATGCGTCATTATTTCTCACAATGTGCGAAGACAGCACTCACTAGCGACATGCGATTGTCCGAGAAAGTAACTATCTCAATTGCATCATATCGTATAAAACAACCTAATTCCCAAGCTGGCCTTTGAAGGAGTAACCAATACACAAGTGAAGGCGCCTACATAATTCTCTAATATACATGTTCCCTCTATTTAATAACGATATGTATACACGGATGATTAGTACGCTTTATCCTCGTTTTAAGTCGATTACCATGGCAGTGTTACAAGCAATAAAATGACGATACAATGCATGAACATCTTGTGTTATTACCATTGAAGAAGAGGATGAAAGTATTTCAATATTCTGGAGATGATAGATACTTTTGGACGTATGCAATTTCCTAGCCGATGAATCAATCTTCGGCATCAGAAAGCATCTAATCATGCCCTGCTATGTAGGGGTTCCGGAGCTACAGCCAATTTCCCTTGTATCGGAAATAAGAGTTGATTTTACCTTGTGTAAGAAACTTTCAGATGCGGAAAACATGCCCTGTTAGGACGGTTTTGTGGAGTTATAGCCAATTTCCCTTGTATCGGAAATAAAAGTTGATTTTGCCGTCTGTAAGAAGCTTGCAGAATGCGGAAACTATATTGAGGGTGGTTTAGATTTATCCAATTGATCGTTCACCGTTCAACAACCCATATATCACAGGCATATGTATGGTAGATTTGATTTAGGTGGCCGGATATAATGACCTAAAGCCGATAAGCGGGTCTAAACTATCCAAGGCGGATATCCAGCGTTAATTGTGTCTATAGTGCAATTAAACACGCTTAGAAATAACCCCGCACATGAAATCAAAACATTTGGAGTCCTAGAAGGGATTTCGTCCGATGGAGTTATCTTTCAGGTATGTCAGACGGCGTATGATAAATTGTAAGTTAAGCGGTTATCCATAATGTGATATAAAACATTCAGCGAAGAATCATATAATTAAGTTCTTTTATACCACATGCTCAATTATACTTCAAATAAAACTTTTCCTCGCCCATATAGGACCGAGACCTCCATAATAAGAGAAACAATGCCATCCATCGCCGATCAATCAATCCTCATCATCGGTGGTTCATCCGGTATCGGCCTCGGGGTTGCCCACCTCGCTCTCGCCCAAAAATCTCGTGTGTTTATATCCTCATCTAATCAAAGTCGTATTTCCGGTGCAATTGAATCCCTCCGCAAACTATACCCCGATGGTGCTATCGAGGGCTTTCCGTGCGATCTCAAATCTGCCGACGTCGAGTCCAACCTCGAGAAATTATTAATTGAAGTCATTACCGCGAACAACGGAGAGCTTCTCAACCATGTTGTTTTCACGGCAGCTGATTCACTTCCCATAAAGCCTCTCTCAGAGGTAGACCTCTATTTCATTCGTTCAGCTGGACAAATCCGGTTCATGGCCCCTTTGCTGCTTGGGAAACTTGCTCCTCGATTCATAAAGCCAAGTTACGAGTCCAGTATCACGCTTACTAGTGGTACAGTAGCTAGAAAGCCAGTTCTTCAATGGCCTGTCATCTCGGGGTATATGTCTGGTTTGGAGGGTGTTACTAAAAGCCTTGCTCTCGAATTGAAGCCGATTCGGGTAAACTTAGTTATGCCTGGAGCCGTGGATACCGAGCTTTGGGGAAAGGGGGAGACGCGGAGAGCTACGGTTGAAATGATGAAAAGTATGACGTTTCAGGGTAGAGTTGCATTAGCTGACGAGATTGCGGAAGCATATATCTATATTATGAGAGATACAAACGTGAATGGGGCTACCTTGAACACTGACGGCGGAGAGGCTTTGCATTAAATGGGGTTAATGGCATTCGAGGTCCTTTTTCGTCTATATCTAGTCATTCATGAGCAATATGAATTTTCAAACGGCCCTGAACAATAAAAACGCCTTTTTCGGGTACCGCGTTTCTCATTATAAAGATTGTATCCAGCGAAGTTCGGAGCGACAATGTTTATGACCATGAATCTAGACAGTAATCGAAATAGCAGTTGCATGCTTCTATGGCGAACAGTTCGTTGTCGCACTTATTCTCAATTCCCACTCAGTAACTTGATTAGAGTACTAAAATGGTGGAATTTATTCGTCCAGAATTGCGCCATATAAATGGGCTGATCCGTGATTCGAGGGCATAACGGCGATGTGCCAGATTCAATTTACCATAACCGAGTCCACCTACCTCCCCAGCTTTCCCTCGATAACCAGGTCAAAATTTGCTCCTCCACACGGCCTTGGAGGTCATCTAATGTCCCGCATTGTACTGTCAATGCTTTCGCGAAGTTTTGACCACCTAATATAGATCGGTGCGGCAAGGAGTAATTCACCATGGAACTCGGGGTACTTTTGCGTCCGTAGAGCTTGCCCCCAAACAACAGTCATCACGTAATGTAAAGGGTGCAGATCTCGTAAAATATAATTATTGTACTTCTTCAATGAATGAAGTCTACTTACTACAATGTAATGAGTTTGGGGGGAAGGGGAGGAGGGACAATAAAAAACAATAACTAGGTAACATTTGAAGACTACCAGACGATTACACCTTCAACAAAGACTCGGCACTTGTTTCAATAGGGCAGTGATAAATATAAGAGTAATTACTTACAATACATACTTTCCCAGCAGTAACAATGATCATTTTCAAATATCTACTAGTAGAGGCTATGACTCCAATGCACTTGTTGGTCGGATCTCCAAGCCTCCTTTCCTATACGTCTCATCGACTACCTCCATCTGATTGATGCTATCTTGCCTGTCGATCCATACCCCGCTGCCATTGCGGCCTTTAACACGGTTGACAAATTCTTCGAGTTGGTATCGATATGTCGTCCACCAGTCGGCACCTTGACGGCCGTCCGATTTGTCCAGCCAGTCGTAAGCCTTTACGTTCTTCTTCTCTGTCCATGATCGCACAACTTGCAATTCATGTCTAATGACGTGTTTGTCTTCAACAATAATACAATGATAAATTTGCGGAATGAGATGATTCAGCATGGTGACGGTTCTTTGGACGGTATGAGTCTCTCTCTCGCCGATCTTTTCATCGTAGATATGCTTTTCATCTAATTCAGCGACGCATTTCGGCCACCCGAAGCTTGGGAGATTTCGCGTCCACGATGAAGGTAACAACGGCCAACCTCCAGTCGTTTTCATGTCAGCGACTATGCGACCTTGGGCTCCGCTTTTAGACTTGTAGGTTGCTGTTACAGCTTCGTCGATTTGGTTTGAGTCCTCTTCCCTTGCTGCTGATCCTTTATCTACTACCATTCGGAAGTTGGTGGATTCTACTTGCGGATGCTGGTCATCGAAGATTTGCCGAATATGTGAAATATTGTACGTTGCAAAGTCCATTGTACAGCCGCCAGACAATGAGTACTTCAGACGAATATCATCACTGGATAAAAAGCCTTTCCACAAGTAGGATTGACTATATGCGCTTTTCACGGGACCTGCTAATGGGTCCTTGTGAATCAGCGCAAGAAACTTCTGCCATGCTGGGTGGAATCGGTAGTGAAAAGCCTCTAGCAGCACAGGCGCATCGTCCGCCTTCATTTTGGAATGGTTGAAAAGTCTCTTGGCTTCAATTGCATTCGAAGTAGATGGTTTTTCAAGTAAGACATGTTTTCCAGCTTTGATTGCACGAAGAGCCCATTCATAATGGTGTGAATTGGGCAAAGCAATATACACACAGGAAATTGATGGGTCATTAATGAGATCTGCCACAACCCGATGTGAGCAATTCTCGCTCCATCAATGCCAAGTTGCCTGAAAATAGAACATACCCTCGTAAGTGCTATGAACAACAGGAATGCCGTGCTTTTTTGCGTAGAGTTCCGCTTTAGCACGATCTCGGGCAGCTACACAGGCGACGAGAACTTCGGGATGCGACTTAGCAGGTAGAATCAACGCCATGGGCCTAGATGGGAATGTTAAGAATGCATTAGCGGCTATTGTACGTATTTCGTGCGGGATCTGGCAGGTTACAAGCTTACGCGATAAATGAGGCACCCAGCACACCAAATCGCACTGGATCATCTACCTTCGATGATTCAGGAGGGGATATGAACCCGGTATAAAGACGGTTTATGAAACTTAGCATTGCGGACATAAACTTGACAACTAGCTGATTGCTTAATTAATGTCTTTGGAAGCTGATAATCCAAGGGATTTATTAGAAAAGGAAACCGGAGGTATAAAAATATCTCTGTCTGTCAGCTTTGCGGTGAATTTATATAGTTGCGAAGAGAAATTATCATCCACTAGCAATTTGTCTATGAAGAGTGTGGCATCAATCAGCGGGTTGACTGTATATGTAATCAAAGGATGATGTCATGTCCACGATATCCTCACATATATCATACAGACAATACAGCCAATCATAAGACGTGTTTTTAAACAAATATACTACCACGTTGATGAGGGGAAAAAGTGAGCTATTCACAGCTAATAGTGATCATATTCACAAGTATTCCGTATTAGACATATATTCAAACATCAATAGCATAGTAACAATGTAACATAAGTTATTGCGTAATACACTCGGCCCATCAAGCTCATTCCGACAAGCTATTGAAATCAATATAATTAATATTTAAAGCATCTATAGAATGAAAAGTGACCAGGTAATAACATAATGTCACAAAGTTTGTAGAACGTGTGCACAAAGAGGCCAAGTCTGTAATGACTACGAAGGCTTCAATGTTGTGCTTACACAAACGTATTAACAAGTACAAAACAAAATTTTTGAAAGAGGGTAAGCAATATCTGTGTTAATAGAACGATAGGTACATAGCTATGTGTACTTTGATGCGGACTGCTCCTGAAGTTTTAAAGGTATTGAGAAAATATCAACTCAAGATGAAGAGAAACGGACAACAATGAACAATGTGAGCATGACCATCTCTTGGAGATTATCATCACATGGATTATAGAAGCTTCATGGCTGGAAGCTGCAACATGATTGACACCCAGATACAGTATAGATGGAAAGAGCTTTTATCGGAAGCATTGTCGGTCTTAGTCACGAATCTCAAACCAGTAAAACCACCCAGCCCGAGTGTCAGAAAATATGCATACAAGGGCAAGTGTAAGCAAAATGGGCAGAATACAGACCAGAAAATCAAGCTGCAAGCAAGTGTCCAGCGGCTGAATTTGGGACCCATTATTAGGGGTATTGTGGTACGCCCCTTGAGTGCATCACCGTCCATATCACGGAAGTCTTGGGCGTGGATGGTGGTGAGAATCATAAGACCAAAAACCAACATCCACAGACGAGCATCCCGGGTATCAGTCTGATTGGAAACAATAGTGAGACTACCGAGCGCGTAAAATATGTAGCCGCCAGCGGCGAGAAGATTGCGCATAAACCAGTTCTCATTACCGCCCTGGTTATCGTACGCCCAGTATAAGACAAACAGTGCTACAGTCTCCTGCAGGGCTCCGGTGACATAGCCGATTATCAAGCTCAGCACGATCATGGCTTGCAAGAGCCAGGATGCTTCAGTAGGATGAATACGACCGGATGCAATGGGTCGAGAAGGCTTGTTGATCCGATCTTCTTCAATAGACTCGGGAGAGTTTTGATTGTTGATGTCAAATACCATAAGTACTGCCCATAACCATATCAGTGCTCGGGGAGAGTTGTGGATTACAGTAGAAATAGGTAGAGGGTCGACTGTTAAAATCGAATTTGTGAGAGAGCCCAAGATAGCAAATGTCATGCCTGGCATCATCACTGTTGTGATATCTGAATAAAAGAAAAGATAAATTGTATATGCGTGGAAGAGAAGAGATCGATTGCTGCGAAGTAAAGGTGCCTGGTATTTCAAGCTGTTAGCAAAGCATGTTAAAGTGTACTGGTGGTATAGACAAACCCCTTTAGAATCTAAATGTTGTGACTCAATCTGATAAGACTGGATATGGGACGGCATAGTCCTTGTCGTCCACATGTTGGTGAGTTTTGTTGTTACTTTGTTTCAAGAGGCACGTTTTTGATTCTGTTAATGGAGGTTTCGACAAGTTGTATAAAAATGAAAATTGGATATAAAAGGATGGTATAAAATTTAAAACGTTGTTTATATGGCTGAGGTAGCAGCCGTACTAATTTTGCTCATTATCTTCTCGTTGATCCTAATCGATAGGCAGATAAATGTACATTTATCAAAGATTCATATCTAGGAAAGAGGCCCCAACCTCTCCTTTTATGTCGTTCATTATGCTCCACAAAGTCTAGATCAACACTGGATCCGATCTCAGCTGATCTACATATATCATCAGAAAGAGTGGGATTCTCTAAGTGGCACAGACTATCTGAATAGCGATTTACTTGTCTATCTCTTTCACTGGATGCTATGTTACATCCAACCTATCTATCGATTGCTTCATTTTTGAAAAAACTATCCCAGATAACCAGATAATTCTGGATGCAGATGTGGGGTGCATGCATCGGTTAAATCCGTCTTGTCCATGAATGGATGTGGGATTATGTATCCAGAACAAATCATTGCTCATTGCAGTAAACACTCTGCCTTGACGCGCATATCAATCGTTGACAAATTAATGAAACCTCATCTCTATTATTGAGTTCTTGTAGGCAAGGTCCAGAACGAAATTATCATGCGGGACGCTGAAAATGATCTGAGTTGTAAAAAGCAATTTAGATTAAACAGCCCAATAAAACCATGAAGGGGATTATGAATTGGTGATCATGGACAAGAACGACCATTCGGAAAGAATGGAAACAACTCGATAGGGTCTCAGTTTCCTGCATTCCAACTACCGGGGAACCCGGTGATCATGCGGTGTGAGTGATTCTCCATTCATTGGTATCATTAAATCTCCGTGGACTTGGCGTATATACAATGGATTGATGCACAGCCACGAATGCCTAAAAAAACGAACTTGCATTTCGATAGTGTGACAAGATGTCCCGTGCTTCATAATAAGGTGGCACAAAGCTCTGCAGAACCCGGTCTTTCGGTAACTAGGCTCTGATTTAGTAAATTTTTGCTTTTTCTTCAAAAAAAACAAAAACAAAACACACCTAATCATTTATGTTGAGGGTTTCCAAACCCGGCACCCGGTAATAATATACTTTACTAGTAAGTCATCTACTCGTAAAATGAAGCAGATGGCCGATGATCGATAATAAGCAGAATTATTGATTTCTTGCTTTGTAGATCCTAGTGCCTCGAACGTCTAGACTCCCAATAAAATGGAACAATAAGTTGTCACGAGAAGGATGAAGGGTGAAGAAAACCTTAGGATAGCTCTGCTTTTTCCAAATAGTCCACCCAAATTCCCCAGCTTAATTCTCTTTTACCAGGCAAGTATAGGATATATCCCTAATAAGTCTAGACTGACTCATCCCTCTGTAGTAACTTGTTCATCCCCAATCTTTTTGCTCAATCACCGATTTCTCGTTCTCAGTTCCGGACGGTTACACGTGCGGTTCGCAAGGCCCCGTTGCACTGCAAGGGTGATCATCGTGCTACGTAAGTCATATTCGGTTTATTCCATAATCCAACGCACGGTACACTTTCCTAACCAGAAAACTGTCCAGAGACACCAGATTATTTGTTCGGGGGATCAATCTAATGTTGTTAGTTGCATCTGGTTTATCGGGCTTACTCGGCCTAGAGGAATCGCTAGTTGCTTCACCATGTCGATCACCAACTACATCGGCCGGGCCAGCTTCCGATTGGTCACCAGTTTGAGTATGACCAAAGACTGGCCCAGCCATCGGATTTCTGGGTGGGTTCAGAGGAATGGATGAAATAAAACAATGCATGCAGGCTATAATTGTTTTGTGAAACGTGCGGATGCTGTGCTCATGGTAAATAGTTACCAGTTCTCTGGGTCGTTTCATATGCATTAGCAGCATCGAAAATAATAATTGTTAGCTCCATATCCTACGCAGGGGATGAATTGATAACTTGAAAGAATTGGAAAATGCAACGTCACTTGATAGATATTAATTCACGGTTGAAAGCAACCGTTGCGTTGCTATGTTATTAATACATACCGTATTTGACTAAAACTAGAACTCATGTCGCAGAACTTAGGCAATGTGGATTATATTGGTGGGGATCTCCTAATACCCTAGCTCGATCGAGATTTGAAGACATAATTAACTAGGTTACACATCTAGATTAAGTTTTGGAAATTTGTCATTGGCCAAAGCTCAATAATCCGAGTCCCGAATTATTGTTGGCATTCCTTAGCTTATTGACAATATATTCATCCAGTATAAATGTGCGAAGCACTGCCAAATTGTCTACTCTTTTGGATGCCTACATAGTCCTGAGCGGCTCTCTACGAGCTTTTGTCCAACAAGGCCCTTTTGAATTCTGTGAGTTTTCGTTTCAAGTATAATGGCCAGCTGGCCAAATCACTAAAAAGTAGGTTACTGATAAGATCTTCAGTCGCAGCAGGTGAAATCGTCTGATTTACCACGTTACCTTCCATCATTTGATTGTTGTTATTGCCGAGTTCTTCCTATCGAAATGACCCGTGGTTACTATGGCTCTAGATAGATTAATATTCGAGCCAGTCGGGTTTCTGGAATACGCCTGAGAAAGTCCTTAGATGTTAAATCTAAACAACTCTCTGAAAAACGACCTATATTAGCTCTATCGTATGTGATTGGGCTATTAAGATGTCCTGTTTAGCTCTCCCATTTTGGGTCTTAGGGCTTAATCCCTCCCGCGTACGATTTTCCAAGACCTTTAGACATATCAACGGATATTCCATCTTATGCTAACGTCTTTTACGCCAAAAGAATTACAACCCGGATAGACCGGAGACTTTTGGTCAAGTAGTGAAGAATCTTCAATCTTATTATGCAACACACTTTCAGAGGATTCGTTTCATTATAGCAAGCCGTGGCAGGTCTGCCTAGTTCAGGTAGATAAAGAATAAATGCCCAAAATGTTCTAATACAATTTAATATTACCAGGCAAGGCTGCCATTGCTGCCCAATCTTCAAAGATCAGCCCGAGCAAGGAGCGGGATACCTGAACAATTATCACAACCTATTTGCCAATATCATGTTCTAAATGCTAGAATTTAGCCTCGTGTAATCTTACCTGCACCCCTGTTCCGCTTCTATTCTCAATCGCATGATGCAGTCGAATGCGTCCGTCACCTTCTTCCATGTTCTCCATCTTGTCAAATCTCTGACAAAATCTAATGACGACATAGCCGGCTTCGGTGAATGCAAATTGTTCTAAGCCCCGCAGTCAGATAACATGTCTTTCAAATATGTAAAAGAAAAGCACTTACGGCCTAAGCATTTTCTATCGCCGGCCCCAAAAGGAATAAACTCCCACCCAGGTTGCTTATCCTCGAACCTTTCGGGCCTGAACTGCTCCACATCCGGCCCCCAAAGATCTTGTCGATGTTGCATGGCGTAGGTGGGAATTAGGATTTGGGTCCCCGCCGGGATAAACACCTTACCATTGCCACTCTCACCACCACCGACAGGTAGAGTTGTGTCGCGAAGGGCCACTCGTTCGTTCATAGGTATAACTGTGGCAATACGAAGTGCCTCTTTCATGACGTATTGCAAGTATGTGCAGTTCCGCAAGACGTGAAAGTCAACTTTCGACTGAGTTGGGTGGGCGCCAAAAGTGCGAAGGACCGTTTGGCGCAATTTCTCAAATACCTCTGGATGACGAGCAAGAAAGTAAAAGACCCAACTTAGAAGGGAACCTGTTGTATCGCGCCCAGCGACAAGAACATTTAATGTCTCACCGCGTAACTCGTCGATGTTTCGCGTGTCCTTGGCTAATTCATCCAACAAAACAAACTTTTGCTGCTTTGGTTCATCATTGGGGCTTCTTTCTTCCTTCAGTTTTGACAGCCTGGAGGCCACGATGTCATCTACCCATCGATGGAGAACACTGCATGACGTTCGGAACTTCTTGCTGTTGAGTAGCCAGTAGAACTTGTCAACTTCAATGCGCCTGTGGACAGCCATCTTGGCGTTATGGAAATGAGTCGCCATTTCGATTCCATCTTTTGTGCCTTGCTGCGAATTGACAGACTTGCCGTAGAGAAACTCAGATGCTGTGTCGAGTGTAAAATTGAAGAATAATGGCTGCAGATCTACTTTATCAGTCCACTTCGACTTTGGCTCAACAATTAGCCGCGTCATCAATGCCTGCACGTGTCTTTCCTCTCTTTCAATATCAGACACCACATCTCGTGAGAACTGCGGGCGCAGGCGTGAGCGAGAATGTTTCCAGTCCCAGCCTCGGGTCGTAAAGATACCCTTTCCAATCATCGGCATCCAGCTCATCTGCCGACAAACCGAAATGTCAAAGTCACTGCTCTGTGTGGAGAAAATAGCACGCATGTTCTCGGGGTCTCGGGTGACAAATATCTCGTAGTCGAAGATAGGAACACGAACAGTATGGCAATCTGGTGAGATGCTGTTCATAGTTTCCATGATATATTGGGGGTTACGGTCCTCGTTCGTCGCTTGAATTGACTCTAATAGATATTAGCTCTCGCAATCAATAAAGTGTTGAGACTGATTACAGACCCTTCTTGAGTGGAAGACCAAACCCATTGGTAAGTTGAAATACTGGTGGAGGAAGACATCCTAACTCTGCTTCTCTTTGTCGGATTCTTCGCTTTCGATTTTTCGATTTGATTATTTTATAAACAATGGTCACGATGACCAGTAGGATGAAAAACCAGAGCAAAAACATTTCTCGGACCACTAAAAGAACAGGAATAGTAAGAGGCCGATTGATTTGAGAGAATAGTGAAGCAATTAATAAATCTATTGCTTTATGACGAACTCGAGGTTATTTGGAGATTCAGGGGTTCAGACCCGCATGGCTGACTGTAAATAAACAAGTAATCATTCACTTAACTGATACGTCGCATCTTTGTAGCTCATGCAAGGCTATTAATGGCACAAGCAATTAACTAGTCCGCTTGCTGTCCTATCTGCCTTCGTTTATCTCTTTCGAATCTGCGAGGGGGTCATGCAGGAACTCCCACTATTAGATATATACTGTTTAGGTAGGCAATGACTTTAGTACCTGCATCCCTTTATTGAGTTTTTAGATAAGTTTCCAGTGAATTAAGTGTGAAGATGGGGTGAACGATGATATATAACACTGACCTCCTGCTTACGGTTTCTGTTTACATATAAAACAGCCTGAAAAAGCGGAGCAGTGTTGTACGTCCCATGGATTGACATTATCATAGGGAATTATACAAGAGCGAATTAATTCAAAACTGTCCAATGTCGACATTAAGATAAATCAGCGTGGCGTTGGATAGTTCAGACGGAGTAAATATGATCTGTCCTTTTTTATCCCTTGCGTGTTTACCCACCGTAACGATTGGGAAACCGAGCAAAGTCAAGACAGTGATACAGTTAAGATATATCTAGTATAATACTCCATCGCATACAATAAATTTTTTCTGAAAGAGAAAAGGTATCTGGTTGCCTTATCTAGAGTGTCAAGTTGGCTAAATGAAATCACAATGAACAAATTACTGTCATTCCCATTCAACCCATGTATACCAATGAATGATCTCTTTGTGTTGCACCCTCTGTGCATTACATATTTCTTCAATAGTTCTAAGATCGTCATTGAACCGTCAGTAAACTATCGCTGGGCATGTCAATCAATTGATATAAGCGAACCAAGCTTAATATTCTAAAATCCGTCAGTATTCGAATAAGCGCGCAACTATTTGTTCCAAGTGTACTAAAATGAGGTCAGTAGTGAAATGGACTGAATTTTAAAGGTTTCGTTTCATCTCGGAAAAATTCCCAAAGAATTCTCCGAAGCTGCAAGTCAACGTGATTATCATTCTTTTCTGAAAGATCGGTGCTTCGGGTCAGCGACATCCGAGTTTAGATGAAACAGCACTAAAAGAGCATAGAGCTCCTCCGCAATTTCACGGCTGGCATCCCTGGTTTAGGTTCGGCTTCTGCTTAGCTACTTTAGCATCAGTAAATGGCGCCCCCGCAATCTATTCCAGTGAAACGCTAGACGACTCTTTTTTCTCCACCAATTACTATAACCAAAACAAAGTGGTCTCTTATTATTCATCGTCTTAATCAAGCTTATGCGGGTTGAGTGTGCGATGGGACAAGTGAGTTGCGCTTATCAATCTCATACTCTGGAGTTTGGTACCTATTGGTGGTCTGCCTTTCTCCGGAGCCTTGGATCATCGTCGCTCTATACTTATTTTCGATCATAGAATAGGTAGGGTGGCAGGGCGAAAGTCAGGTAAGATATATGCTTGTGCTGATTATTGCGTAGTTAAGAGAAACGCAATACTATTTCCATGCGATTCCGCGCTGAAACAAAATGCAAATGGATGGACTTTCTCCTGGTTTCCACCCGTCCGGGCCTAATTCGATTTGGAGTGGTTAGGTTTGAGCTAGTGTGGTGTATAGCCTTCATAATTTTATATAAAAAGTCAGAGAGTTGTTTTTACTTCTCAACCTTCGTTTATTTGTCAAGTATAATATCTGATCACTGACTCAGAGGGTCATATAGAGTCGACTATGCACTACATACTGGCATTCTCACTACTGCTGCTACAGCAAACAGTAGCTCAGCTGTCTGGAAGTGTTGGTCCATTAACAAGCGTGTCAAGCAAGAAAGCTACCAAGACTTGCAATGTTCTCGACTATGGCGCCAAAGCTGATAAGGAAACTGATCTTGGTCCCCCACTGACTGATGCCTTTACGGCCTGTGCATCGGGTGGTCTTGTTTACGTCCCCTCTGGTGACTACCTACTTAATACTTGGGTAACTCTAAGTGGTGGTACGGCCTGGGCCCTCCAGATTGATGGAATTATTTACCGAGGAGGCACCAACGGAGGAAATATGATATATATCGAGCATGCCAGCGACTTTGAACTGTTCTCTTCTACTTCATCAGGCGCTCTCCAAGGTCTTGGATATGAATTTCACGTCGATGGAAATATTTCCGGTCCTAGAATTCTGCGATTGTATAAAGTCACCGACTTCTCTGTCCATGACCTCATTCTTGTCGACTCTCCCAGTTTTCATTTCAGCATGGATACCTGTGAGAATGGAGAAGTTTATAACATGGCAATCCGCGGTGCCAATGAAGGCGGTCTGGATGGAATTGACGTCTGGAGCGACAACATTTGGATTCACGATGTAGGTGCTCATTTGAAAAGAGCTCATGTATCTTCGCTAATACAGGACACAATTAGATCGAAGTCACCAACAAAGACGAATGCGTCACTGTCAAGGTATGTACAACCTGATGAATCCACGGACGAAAAATACTAATAACAACAGAGCCCAGCACACAATATATTGATCGAAGACATCTACTGTAACTGGAGTGGGGGATGTGCCATAGGCTCACTCGGAGCAGACACAGATATCAGTGATATTATTTATCGTTACATTTACACCTGGTCTTCTAACCAGATGATGATGATAAAGTCAAACGGAGGAAGCGGTACACTCGAGAATGCTGTGTTCCAGGACTTCATCGGTAAGCATCGTCACCATTCATTCTTTTCATGTGCGTACTAATACTTTTAGGTCATGGAAATGCCTACTCACTCGATTTCGACTCGTACTGGTCTTCTGAGTCAACTCAAACTGGCGATGGAGTGACTTATAAGAACATCACATTCACCAACTGGCACGGCACCGAAGCCAATGGCGCCAAGCGCGGTCCCATCCGCGTAATATGTCCTGATGAGGTTCCTTGTACTGACATCACCATCAGTGACTGGGCTATGTGGACTGAATCCGGTGACTCGCAGACATACACTTGCCGAAGTGCTTACGGAAGTGGCTTCTGCCTACGGGATGATTCTGGCGGCACAAGCTCGTATACCACCACGTCTACAGCGACTGCTGCCCCCAGTGGGTATTCCGCCGCGACTATGGCTGCTGACCTGGCGGATTCCTTCGGCACTACTGCTAGTATCCCCATTCCTGCCATTCCTACCAGCTTCTTCCCAGGTCACACTCCTATCAGCAAGTTGGCTGGAAGCTCTTAATTTAAATCTAGCTTACTGCCATTAACATGCATTGAAAAGAATTTGTTTAATTTTAACGAGAAAAAGTTCAGTAGATAGTTATACTTTATTGGCTTCCGCAGCTGGATTGCCTTCCAATACAATTATTCTGAAATGATGTAATGTGTTAGAGCTAATATTTCATTGTGATCTAAATCTAGAAATCCATTTGTTGTCCTTGATTATAAAGTATTTAGGCCGCCTATATTGTGATCCCGTTTCAAGACATAGTAGTTGATTATCCAACAGTCGTCTTCGGGCCAGTGTACCATTTCCTGGCGAAAAGAACATAATACAACCAAGCACCAAGCCAGAGAGCTCCATTGATAACGATCGTGTAGTTCATTTCATCGGCTAAAAGAGTAGAGTTAGCTGATAATTTCCATAGGAGGAAAATGTTGAGAAAGTATGACATACCCGACGGATCGGGTCCCCCAGTTGGGAACATGCTCAAAATAATTGCAAACAGCAAGTAGGCAACCGCCGTAATAGCAATGGGCTTACTCAGGAAGCCTGTATAGAACACGCCAGGACGGAAACGACCTGTCTTGTCACCCCATATTAAACGGCAGAGAATGGGGACGCCCCAAGCAAGGTCATTGCCGGCGACGGCGAGAGAGAAGAGGGCGTTGGAGGCAGCTTGGTCAATGAGGGTCAATAGGCCGATAATGATGGCTACGAAGGCAGAACCCCAGATGGTTCGAACTGGCTGATAAAGGACTCGTTTACTGACGTGTCTGAAGAAATTTGAAAATGGAAGAGCACCGTCACGAGAAAAGGCCCAGGTTTGGCGGGATGCCGCGATAAGCTAGTGTTGTTTGTTAGTTGTGTGTAATGGTAAGAGATAGAAAACTATAAGGAATACGAACAATACTCAGTCCCATGAAGAATTGGACGATTGCTACAACTGCCATGAAACCCAGAGCACCAGACTTTCCGAGCGAGTCATAGTATATTTGAGCCATTGGCTGGCCGAATGCGCTGCCGAGCAAGTTGTTCAGGTTTTGGTCCATGCAAGCAACCATAACAGCGAGCGACAGGAAGCCTAAAATACCGCAGAGGCCGCACGATAGTATAATACCCATTGGGACAGCGCGACTGGCATGGGTGGCCTCCTCGCTCATGTGAACGCACGAATCGAACGCACCAATGGTCCAGATAGGCGACAGCCAGGCGAGTATGAAGGTCCATCCTGTTGGCCACGTGGTGAGATTTTCCACGTCGCCAAAGACGTAGGAGCCAGAGTTAATAGGGACACCATTTTTATGGTTCCCAATAGGCAAAGCAATGACTGTGGCGACGACGAGTCCTATATTGAGGAAAATACAGACGGATTGGATCTTGTTCATAATGCGACCACAAAACGTTGCTAGAATCGCATGAACCACCACACAACCGAGATAGGTCGCATAGATGACAGGCCGCGAGGCGGACCATTCGCCATCTCGAGCAATCGAGATGAGGGAGAGTAGCATCAGCGCGAAGCCATCTATTATTTATTAGCATGATTATACAACTGATAGTGTGGCAAGTATATGTGCGTACAGTCAATCGAGCAAAGACCACCTATCAGGCCCAGAGTGTTGCTGTACCCGACTATAAAACTGAGCGGATTACGCCACCTCTCACTCGCAAAGTAGTGAGTCCAGAAGTATAAACCACCAGCTGTAGGCATAGCACTCGCGAGATCGGCCTGTCGGAATTAGCACATATCAACTGATCTTTCACACCGTAGCCTTACCATAGCTAGACCAACAAGCAAGATGAAAAAGCTAGCGACAAGCCATCCTACAATCATCTTAGTATATTTGTATATATCACATGCCGAGAGTATTCAAACACACCCTAGCTAGGTTAGTCGTGACGTGGACACAAGGGCGAACTTCACACATACCCAAACCATGCCCACGGGTCCTGCCGGAATCGAAAACGACAGAGTCGATGCGATGGATGGCAACAGGGCCATAATGCTAAAAGCAATGGCAAAGATCTCGATCGTCGAATACTGACGTCTCAATTCCTGCTTGTAGCCCAGCTGGGCTGAGGGTGGACGTTAGCAACTGCAGCAGTCATCACTCGCAGGACACCTACCCAGCAGCTCGTTATCGCCGGCCTCGACATTTCCCTCTGCAATAATGGTGCCCTCAACCGGAGCCTCCTTCACGTCCGATGGCGGGCTCATTCGTTTCTCCAATTCTGCCGACATTTTGTGCTGGTCCTGGGAGTATGGGCAGGGTAGAAAGGCATGCGACGCGCAGACCAGCCTTTATCACCGTTAGAGGACTCGGATTCTTCCGATGCGATTCCGCGATATCACGCCAGCAGGCTCGAGCAAGCTCTAAGGCTTAAGCGGTATTCAGACGGGCCACATGGATGCTGGCCCCTGCTTATCAAGGGATCAGGGGAGCGTCTGGGCGCCATTATTGGGCGAGCGCGCGCCTTATCAGCGCCTCTGCAAGTTTGCAGTGCCTATCTCGGCTGCTGCAACCAGTCAGGTCGATCTCACGCTGCAGACGTAAGTTAGATGTTGTAAGTTATAACTTACTCCAGCCGTTAATCCGAGAGGAATACTGGCCAGTTCCGCCTTCTAGAACACCAGACGGCATTGGAGCATCAAAGATAACGAAAGTCAATTATCATATCGTACCGTACGTACACCAATAATCGACTAGGATTATATGTCATACAAAATTCAACGAGCTTTAGTCCCGTGACTAGTGGCAGCTTCAAATTCCATGTCTGTAACGATCTGAGGGATGTGGGAATTCTGATCTAGTAGATAATTAGCTCGTCGCCTTCGCATAGAGGTGCTAACAAACATGGAGGAAGAATCGCAACAATGTACTCCTCTGTACGGAGTGGAGCTCTCCCCGCCCGAACAAACCTCGGCTAGTCGACGTCACCGCTCTCGTCGTTCACTGATAATGATCATGTTGCAGCATCCAGTATTACTATATGCCCCAGCGAACAGCGTCAACTGAGAATATTCGTCTAGAGAGAATTGCAATTCCAGTGCGTCAGCAATTGGTGGGAATCGCGGGTGTTGCGGAGTGAGCTTCGTCTTGCAATATTATTAATCTCATCCCGACGTCCTCGGCTCATGCTCATCGCAAATGATATATCAAGATCAATTACACTTCTCTTCCGATCCCATTTATAACATTTGAAATCACCTATAGTCCACAGCACAGTCGCTGAAAACGGGAGTTGATACGCTCTGACAACTAATTTGTCTAGTTCTTGCTGCATACAATCACAATGCCAAAGGCAATCTTCATCAGTCCGATCGACGGTAAACCCGGCAAGCCCGGCCAGGTCTACTACCCCCTCGTGCAGAGAAATGTCCCTCAAGCGACGCCTAATGGCAGCGAGCTCCTCATCAAACTCAGTGCCGCTGCACTGAACCACCGCGACCTGTTCCTCCGTCAACACCTCTACCCCGGTCTCTCATTCGACGTCCCGCTGTGCGCAGATGGCGTTGGTACGGTCGTCGAGCTCGGCTCGGGTGTGAAAAACCAGGCATGGAAAGGCAAGCGAGTGATACTCAACCCAGGCACGGGCTGGCGCGACGACCCCGACGGACCGGAGGATCCCAGCGGATACAAAATCCTCGGCGGCACCAAATTCGACCCTCGCGGCACGCTGCAGGAATACGTGGTTGTTGACGAATCAGAGGTCGAGGAAGCGCCGTCGCATCTGTCAGATGCGGAGGCAGCAGCGCTGCCATTGACGGGCTTGACGGGCTGGAGAGCTCTCATATCAAAGGCCGGGGAGAAGAACTCGGCCTCGGGTGCTGCAGTGCTGATCACTGGTATTGGCGGTGGTGTTGCGCTTATAGCATTGCAGTTCGCCGTCGCGAGGGGGGCTTCTGTGTATGTGACTAGCTCAAGCCAAGAGAAGATTTATAAAGCCATTCAGCTGGGCGCAAAGAATGGTGTCAATTATAAGGAGGAGGGATGGGAGAAGAAACTTCTTTCTCAGCTTCCGACTGGGAAGAAGGCATTCGATGCTATTATCGACGGAGCAGGTGGTGATATTGTCGAAAAGGGCACCAAGATACTCAAGGTAAGCAGCCTCTCATTCATAATTATAAATAGCATCGATTAATTCTGTCTAGGCGGGTGGTGTAATCTCGGTGTATGGAATGACGGTGTCCCCCAAGATGCCGTTCCTCATGCAGACGGTGCTGAAAAACATTGACCTCAAAGGCTCGACCATGGGCTCGCGTAAGGAGTTCAAGGAGATGGTAGACTTTGTGAAAGCGAATAAAATCAAACCAGTTGTGTCGAAGACGCTGCAGAGTAGTCTCGACGACATTGCAGGTCTTGATTCTTTGTTCGACGAAATGAAAGCCGCGAAGCAGTTTGGCAAACTTGTGATAGTGTTTGGGGGGTCGGGGAGCAAGCTGTAATGCACACCATTTCCATAACATTTGAGCACATGAGGATTATATATAATGAATGATGAGTTGATGCTACATACATACAAGTACATCAATATGTAGTTGACGTGGACGATAGATACAGCTTAGGATACATGTATCGATCGGATATATTTTGATTTGATAGATATTTATCATAAATAGGATTTGGGAACAAAATTTGAACGTAACAAATATATAAAACTTGACAAATTCGACGGTATGAAATTCTCAACCCTACCAAATGACATTAATCAATTGATGTGTAATCGTCTCATTCGCTACACATGTATTCACAGCAGGAACTCAACTGCTACAATAGGATTCAGTTGATCACATTTAAACGAAGGTATTGTAGAAAACAGCATACGTCCATGATATTAATTGACGTAGAGGGTTGACATTTACTATCAATCACTACCCTTAATCAAGCATTGCTCAACCTCAGTCACTAGTGCTGGATAATATATTAGACTGACCGTCCAATTGGTGCATGTTCATACCCCTGGAACACTGAATCAATTCTGCTGCCCTAAATCTCCCCTAGTTTCCTATAACGTCAATACTTCCGGAAGCCTAGCAAAGTTTAATCAACCGCCGCAGCGCACCACTCAGGTTCACTTTCTACTCTCCAGCCAAGGAGGAACTAATACTAGTGTTAGTATTCGTCGCAACATCTGACCTTTTTGAAGCGATGATCCATGGGATGCCACTAGCTGTCTTTCCCCCGGGGTGGCAGAGAATATTCAGCATTGTTATTCTTCTCCGTGATCGGCCTCACGATTTCCTAATACAGACACATACAGACATAGACGACCGGGTGGAACCGACAAACCCTGCAGAAGAGAATATTTGCTCAAATCGCGCAGCTGCATGGCCTTTGGCTAATTGAACTTTCTTCAGGTAACTTTATGCTTAGTTGAGGATTTCATTGGTGGTGGATTATCGCCAATGCCAATGCCAAGTTGCCAACCCTCGACACCGCAACTAGCCGAAAAAAAGCTGCCTTATTATTTCCTAAACAGTTCAGCTTAGAATATACAATTCTCTTGGCGAACGAACCTCAGTACCAATTCAAAATTTTTTTATTGATTTGGGATTGGGAGCTCATGTGGGTTCGATACTCCGATGGTGGATAAAAAGGTTTGTTCTAACTCGGGACTCCGTGCTTCTATGGAACTAAAACCGGGAAAAATTAGGAGTATTTTGGTACTGGCACCATGATCGAGGAGGAATCAGATAGTCTGATTGGATCGCATTTCACGCATCCATAGACTCCATACTTGGTACGATGAAGTCTGCACAGCGATCAATTGCACAGTTTGTCGATAACGTTAGTCCGATGGAGAACGGTTAACAAGCTGTGAGAGCCGCGGTGAACATACTCGAAGCGGAGCCATACTCCGTACCCTGCACTACATGGTCAACTAAACAAAACAGTCACAAACTTCTTTGGTGTTTGAGGTGGCGCAGCATTTAGCTCTGAAGCAAAAGCCGAGAATGGCCCGATCTTGAAACGAGACAACACCCCTTTTCATTTCATCGCTCTGTGTATTACCTTGCCCCCGCGCCGGATGAGTGAACGGCTGGTTCCAGATTGATGTCATTATCCACATGGTCCAAACATCGCCTTAGCTCAGTCTACCGCTTCGACCTCGTACATATAGTTTAACTTATACGGTTATACGGGGAGTACGATTACGAGATAAAGCCCCAGTGCGCTAGCCTGACGTCAATAGCACAAATCAATGACATGGCTTCGAGGAACAGCAGTTACGGATTTTTCCCTTTTCCGGGCTTCGATGCCAATACCGTAGTGGTCCGATCAAAGGAACGATGGACGCCGGTATCATGCACGGTCGATCCATGGTCGGGGACGCTTTTCAGTCTGGGAGCTGAAAATAGGACACTGCTGCATGTGGCAGGCGATGATTTGGCACCGAGCTGCCAAGGGTAAGGTGTTGAGGCGATCTCGTGATGATGGAAAGTTGATGTGTTGACAGTGAGCTTGGATCAGCATGATCAATGTTGTATCGAGCATTGAGCAGGTCAGGCAGGGTAGTAGCAGCGTAGCATCGGGGCGACAGTAGTGTCCGCGCTACGGACATCAACGGTCCCCCACTTGAGCTGGAAGTACGCTAGTCTGTATTTGCTCTCGCGTGGTGATCCGGTAACCAATTATATAGTTGGGACAGCGGGTCCGCGTGCCTTGATTTAAAAATAGACCGCATTAGCGCATCGTATGATGCCCGCCAGCCTTATCCGGAATAGGCTATTGCACTAGTGTTCCATATATAGTGTGCAGCCCAATTGGAGTTGACGCACTTGCATCTCGTTTACGCCTGCCAATCAGCGGCCGCACTCTACTTCGGCTTCCGGCACGGCCACGACCCCTTTGGCTCTCTTCCCACAAGGGCAAATCGTGCGCTCTTCGATTATTGTTGTTGCCTGAGGTTGCTGTTGCGCCGTTGCTTCGTTGCTTATTTTCTTGACCTCTGTTGGCTAGTCGACCTGCTAGGCCCATTGATAGTCTGTTTAGCTTTTTACGTAGAGTAGTAAACAGGCTAAATGATCATTACCCAACGTCATGATTGGCGTGCCATGTGTTTGGAGTCAAATTTTTGGGGCGATGACGATGAGACTTGTCCTTGACCTTTTCGACTGCCCACCCAAAGGCTCAACCAATCTGGTGTGTTGTAGCGTGCTACGTCCAAAAATATACAGTTATGATATGTGAATCGCCGAATTATCCGGCAGGCACTTGTCGTTGTGATTGGGCCAGCTAAGAATAGAGAATCAGGACCAGATCATCAAGAGTTTGGTGACCTTGCAGTGTGCAGCTGTCCTTAGGGTTTTCTTTGTTGCGCGGCGACTGGGGATTAAGAACGTTCGCCTCATTTTCTGGGAGTCGTGGGAGATGCATGGTTTCGTGGCTACCATTGTATGTAACCATTGTCGAGTTGACTGATCATTGGTGCGACCAGCTGACTGGTAAGCCGATCAGCGTTGGCCCTCACATACAGGACATGATACGGCCGAGATGATCGGCCGCTAATTGTATCATGATGTCGAAATCACTGTGACCGATGGCTGATCATCGATGGCCAATACGAAAATTATCCCAGGATCACTAAATATCCCTATCTCCTGATGGAAGGGCTGAGAGCGGATCAGGTGACATCGAGTGCATGTGCGAAGCGGTGAGCTTGCTCTTTGGGACATGTGAGTATATCCCCGTCATTGTCTTGCCTTACGCGGTTAGACCCTTGCAGGGGCTTGTCTGATTAATCATGATTTCGTGCTAGCACAGGCGCTAGTCTGGAATCAGCGTCCATCGGTTTCTATGTTTAGAACCCATTGCTTGCTAATAACATTTGGCAATATGCTTGGGCCGGTGATCGGGTAGTAAGCGATATCCGTGTTTAGAAAGTAGAGACTGCATCATAGTCAGCGCACGACAACACATGCTGCATGCAATAAGAAGATCAACGATTGGCGTCGGCAGTTGCCCGAGTCCTGCTCGGTGTCTGTTCACCCATTGATCAACTTTCATAACTCCCAGTCGGATTTCTGATTATCAGGGCAGCCGGCTATTCGCCATCACCATTTCAACGCCAGCTGCATAAGCCGGAAGTATATCTAGTAGGCATGCACAAGTCAGTCGACTAGTCAGAAGCAGCCACGAGATTTAATTGTTATTGGCTCGTCGACTCTGGCGTCCACAAGCTCAATGATCAATGATCTAATCATCAATCTTTCAGCTGGGGGTCGATTCGATTCGATTCGATATTTGCGACTTTGCGTGGACCACTGGTGACGGAGCGCAGGCCGCCCTTTCGGCGAACAACTCAACGACCATGGATTATAACATCAAGCATTGCAATAAGAATGACTGCTGGCATATCTGTTAGCATGACAGATGGTCCGTGTGAAGCGAGGCGGTGCTGGCAGCCTGCCCGATTGGGGTAGCGCGCAGCAAGGAAAGACACCGAAGTTTGCAAGTTGGTCAGCCACTCTAACTGTCTAAGTAATTAGTAAGGACTCAGTAACGAAGCTAACAAGTCCTGGTTCGAGGGGAACTGCTTAGTGCAGCACTTCAGGTAGTAGTTACCAAGTAGGTAATAGGTAGTGCGCTTACGCTGCTAAATACAGCTGGTCGTTTCTTTTCTCGAAGCGCGGCGGAAGGGTGATTGGACCGCAGCAGCCAGGTCGCAGCTAGGTCAGACGCAGAACTGAATCACGGTAACATTGACAGCGAGAGCATAAAAATAACTATGAACTACCGATAATTCCTTCAGCCCTGAAGCTGCATGGCAAGAGAACAAACTAAGGAAAAACCGTGGAGCAGCAAGCACCTTCCGCCAGCTCGGAAGGGCTAAAAGTTAGCGCGGAAACAGTGGGCGTGGGCAGTGGACAGCAGTGGGCAGCAGTGGTGGCACTCGCACTTGCGCTCGCACTGGCAGCTGCCCCCTCCTTCCTCCGGGATCCCTGCCGCCTGCCGCCTGCTACCTTAGGACGTCCTGCTGCTAGTGCAGGATATATGCCCTTGCCTTCCCGCCCTCCGGCCTCCTCCTGTTCTTCTTCCCTCCTCACACCACCACCCTTTATATCCCTCCTCAATGACGTGAAGAAAAAATACCAAAACCCCCATTTGTCCTTTCTAGTTCCACCCCACACTCGCTATTACGCTCGCTTTGCAACTGTAATACATTCGCTATTCATCGCTACAGCAGAAACTCCCCCCCCTCCGGATTTCTCGCTGTTCTAATTAATTAATTACGACACAAAGGAAGGAAGAGAGAAAAATAGTGAAAAAGAAGAGAAGGAAGGAAGCAAGAAGAAAGAAAAGAAGAGAGAAGAGAAGAAAAGAATAAAAGTGTGCCGACTGAAATCCATCACGACAAGACCGCTGTACTTGGAACGACTCGACTCCACGCCATACGCCGACGACAAGCCCAGTTTATATATACACCTCGGCCAGGCACCGCCTCGATCTATCGGACCCACCAATCCTGTTGTGATCATCCTGCGCTCTGGACGTGTATTCACCCCGCGGTTGACATCGTTGCGAATCACCGTCAAAGGAAGATTGTTTGCCAACGGTCTCTCCGCTCAACCAGATCAAGGTTCGTTCCTCTTCCCTTGTTTTCCGCGACTTGTTTGTGGAACTTTTTGCCTTGCATTTCAATTCCACCGCCCTCTTATACTCTTCCTCCTTACATCTGGACGAATTCCCTGCTCGCCCTGCGTTACACCCACGTTGAACGTGTACCACGGCATGCCCGCGCTCGCGTTCTTCAGCCTTGACCAGTGTGTTTTGTGGGTGAACGTTCGTTCTGATGGAATTCAACTTCGTATTATGTTTTGTTTTGCTTTGACGTCACGCGCTAGTCGCCCACGCTGTGTTTGCCCCTGTGGATGCTGTGTAGGTGCTAATTTTCAAACAGAAAATCATATCTGCCAATGCGACCCGTGTGCTGAAAATCTGAAACCCTTCTATTTTCGTCCCACAGCTGCATCGCTCTCGCAGTTCCGATAGTATTCCTGAGAATCTTGCATGCTTCTTGATCCTCAGGTGCCATCAAGCCTCTAGAGACTCGTTCTGTCTCTGCCACTCGCTTAGTTCCGGAAAGTCGCTCTCGTGTCTTTCCATCTTTCAGTCGCTCCAATTGTATTTTCAGTCGCTCGCTTTATCGAAAAGAAAAACAAAATCCGTTGATCACTTGTTGCACCTTGTGCAACACAGTCAAGCTGGCTTACTCAACGATTCCTCGTGTTCAAGTAAGCCGTTCTTCTTATACACCCAACGATGCAAGTTGTTCTAATTCAAGCTCAGTTCAACTCCGATTTCCAGACTCCGCTGATATTTGACGAGTCTGCGGACTTTTCGGATCCTGAAGAGTCAAAATTCGCCGGGGCTTTTTCAGACGGCCTTTTGGCCAGGTCTGACCTCAGTCTTTCGATGTCTGGCTTCGACAAGACACCCTATCGCGGCTCAGGAGGTACGTTTTATGGTTCTTCAATATCCTGTGGAAAACTGACATGGTCACTCTAGACTTCAATGATTCCGTACCCAGTTTGCCCGACAATGCCTTCGCCTACAGTCAAGGGCTCTACATGACCCAGGTTTATGCACCGTCCCAGGAGGATCTCGGCAGTCCCGATACCGACAGCCTACAATATCCCCCTCCACATGGCTACGCAGGCTCAACGTTTGAAGAGGCTCATTCTCCTCTCTTTGACTCGGTTGCGACTACTTCCCCAGAAGTTGTGTCCTTTTCTCCGCACAGAGGCTCTGAGAATAGCGAGGTCTGTGTTCGTGTGCTGTCGCCCTTCGACTTGCACTCGACTGCTCGTGCCATCTTCATTTCGTTCGGATCTCGGCAGTGCGAATGCAGTGTCAATGTGCTATCCAACCAGCCTTCTTTCAGCTATGACTTTTTGGCTAAAGTGCCCACTTTCGCCTTGACCATGTCGCCGTCATTCGATGTGTCATTGCACCTAGTGATTGACATACCAGCTGCTAGCGGCCCGATTATGCTGCAAGTTGGTGTCTTTACCTATGAGCAATACTTGCAACCCCGCATCGATGACTCCAAGAAGAGAAGTCTGTCCGCATTTTCTGAGAACACTGCTCTACGCCCAGCCAAGCGTCATTCAGCCCACGAAATGGAGACCAAGCCGGAACATCACACCCATGCACGGTCAGCATCATACTCCCCGTTCATGCACACCCCAGCAACTACCAGCACTTTACCCGGCCATAGCTCCCCTAGTCTCGCCTATGATTTCCTCGCCCCTCCTACCCAAGTCTCCTACACCTCACTTCAGGCAGTCCCCCCTGTGAACACTGCCTGGAGTCCTTCAATGTCGACCACCAACACCCCAGCCCCGGCTGTTGCCATCTCTACTCAGGATCAGACCCCTACCTTGATTCGTACATCGACATTGCAGCAAGGCCATGGCTTGGGCTCCTCACCTGCCTTCAACCCATATGCTATGTACCCTTCTAAGGCTGTTTTGAAGCTCAATGGAGATCTCGATGCGATGGCCACGGGTTGGAGTGATGAAGAAAAAGTTACACAGCGCCGTCTGGTTCAATTCACGCGCTCGCAAAGCGGTAGCACTATTCATGCCGATTTCAAGCCTATCTCCCCGCAGGAACGTGCTCCTAACAGCATTTGCATCAGCTGCATTGCTTGGGAGGGCAAGAACGAGTGCTTCGTCACGAGCGTTGACACTATTTATCTTCTTGAGTCCCTCGTAGCTGTTCGCTTCACGGTCGAGGAGAAGAACCGCATCCGCCGCAACCTGGAGGGTTTCCGTCCGCTTACAGTGTCAAAGACCAAGGCCGATAGCGAGGAGTTCTTCAAGGTCATCATGGGCTTCCCTGCACCTAAGCCACGTAACATCGAGAAAGATGTCAAAGTCTTTCCCTGGAAAATTTTGTCTCTCGCCTTGAAGAAGATTATTGGCAAATACGTAAGTATTTCTTTACCTTGGATCGCTATCGTTGCTAATTTAAATTTCTAGTCTGCGAGCTATTCGTCTACTGCTGGAGCGCTTTCCGCCACATTGAGTGCTAGTCATTCCATAGGGTCGGACATCGGGACTGAGTCCCAAAACCCATCGTCTCCGCAGTCGGTGTCTGAATCCACAACTTCCAGTGTCTATCCTGTTAGTTTCACATCTGCCAACCTGTCACCAGCTATGATGCAGACAACATCCAGCCTTGGCTCTGATTTCAATACAGCCATGGCTGTTTCAGGTCCCGACTACTCTACGTTGCCAACAGCCTACGGATACGATGCGTCTTTCCAACCTAACCCGATGATGGCAAACGAGCCGTCGTGGGATTTTGGTTCGTCTTCTAACCCGGAAGATTTCGACTTGACGTCAAATATCCCATACTAGCACGGCTTAGGCAACGTCCTGAATCGCGTCACCTCCAGCTGCCATTGGAGATGGACACCATTGTGGATTCTCACCGCTTCCTTTTTATTACCTTTTTGTTCCTCTTGCACTGGCCTGCATTTCCCACGAACTTCACGTCCACTACTGTCTATCCTTAATATACCCAGCGATAATGTGTTTTAGAGACCTACGAGTTTCCTTCAGTCATTCCTTAATACCATCCGAAGCGAAGGCGTTTTGTCATCCTTTCCTTGAATGTGATACCCGGAACATGATTTGTTCCACCATTTCCATGAATCATGCCACTCCTTTCATGAGTTCATATCTGCATGCCCCGATGCTAAAATAGTTTATGTCTGCATTTTGAGCGTTGCTTGTCTGATTCACTGTTTTTCATTTGATCTGTACGCATCGGGAGCAAAAGCGATCATTCCTTACCTGCATCTGTTGCATAGCGTGGACGTGCTATGGAAGTCATTCCTTATATACCTTGCATTTTGGGCCAGGTGTTGTGTTTTTTTGGTCGTTTGGTTTGACAGGCTGGCAGGCTTGTTCGACACGAGGATTTCACTTTTCGTGCAGTCTGCTTTTCGATTCCTGTTTATGCATATTTGGAGTTCTCGGGCTTTTTCGAATACAATTGCTGCTTATGCCTTGTTTGATTGGTTTGCTCTACAACAATGTAAGTTATTGTGTTGTTTGTTGTATCGGCGCCGGAAGCAATTATCGGCGCCGGAGAGTATTATTGGCGCGCCGATGACTACCATCGACGGGGATAATCATAATAGGATCAGCTGGTTTATCTTTATCTCCATGGATTTTATAGAATTTGAGACTTTCCATCAATTGATTTGCAGCCAACCCTGGCTTCTCTTTCCACGTCCCCTTGCATACGAGTTATCTCTGTCTATCTAAAGCTATCTTATCTCAAGTCACGTGCCATTGGCGATAGTGAAGATTGTGCCTGCGATAACGGTTGACGTGGGGTGTTCATTTTTTTGGTGACTCATCCGCGGCCGACTCAGGGCTACATATTGCTTGAAGCGACCGCTCTATTTCTCGTCTGTCCTCCTTCCTCACTATACACCCATATACCCCGTGCATGCTTGTATAGTGCCCTTTCTGTGTGAAGCAGACTCAGTCATTCTTTCCAGTACATTTCAGCATTCTTGGGTTACTTGCTAGACGTGGGGGACATTGAATCAAAAGTCTGGCAATGGAGGTCATCAAGGAGACCTTTGCGAAATGCAAGGCAGAAAAACGGTCTGCCCTCGTCACATATGTCACGGCTGGTTATCCTACCGTCGATGAAACTGTTGACATTCTTCTTGGTCTTGAAAACGGTGGAGCTGGTACGCAATTGACTCGTCCTTATCCTCTATCCCTGCACAATCAATTAATCGCCACCGCGCTCTACTACCAACTCGAAGGCTAACAAATGAATTTTTATTGTTTAATTAGATGTAATTGAACTTGGTCTCCCATTCACAGATCCAATTGCAGATGGCCCGACCATTCAAAAAGCTAACACACAAGCGCTGCTGAATGGCGTCACAATCCCGATGGTGTTGGACATCGTGCGCACAGCGCGAAAGAAGGGTCTCCAAGCCCCCGTTCTCTTCATGGGCTACTACAATCCTTTGCTACAGTATGGAGAAGAGCGTATGCTCAAGGATACCAAAGAAGCAGGCGCCAATGGTTTCATCATGGTCGATCTTCCTCCAGAGGAGGCTGTCAGGTTTCGAGATCTTTGCACCTCCATAGGGTAAGCTACGCTGGTGATTCCTTCCCGATTTTATTTTAATCATTTTCACTGACTACATTTATAAAGGCTTTCGTATGTCCCTCTCATCGCGCCAGCTACATCCGAATCCCGCATGAAGTTACTATGCAAGATCGCCGACTCGTTTATCTATGTGGTGTCGCGAATGGGTGTCACCGGAGCTACGGGTACATTGAGCACGGGTCTCCCTGACTTGTTGAAGCGAGTCCACCAATACTCTGGAAATATTCCTGCGGCACTTGGTTTTGGCGTCAGCACACGTGAACACTTCCTTGCCGTGCAGAACGATGCAGAAGGTGTTGTTATTGGTAGCCAAATCATTAACGTTCTTGGACAGGCTGCAGAAGGCCAAAGAGCGCAGACGGTCGAGGAATATATCAGCAGTGTCACGGGGCGTAAACTAGAGCGTGATGCGCAAGGTAAAATCGTCAATGTGAAGACGATTCTTGAGGTTGTTGAAAAGAAGGTTCCTGAGTCTAGTGCCGCTCAGCCTAGCACAGTTATTACTGATGGTGAAGCCGGTGCTGGTTCCGGGTCACAGCCTGGCTTAGCCGACCAAATTGACGCTCTCAATAACACAGGTGACCCTTCTGCCCTGCCGTCTCGGTTTGGGCAATTCGGTGGACAGTATGTACCTGAGTCACTTATGGACTGCTTGGCGGAGTTGGAGAAGGGTTTCAATGAGGCCAGGAATGACCCGAAATTCTGGGAAGAGTTCCGTTCATACTATCCCTACATGGGCCGACCAAGCAAGCTCCACCTTGCTAATCGCCTGACAGACCACGTTGGAGGCGCAAATATCTGGTTGAAGCGTGAAGATCTCAACCACACCGGAAGCCACAAGATTAACAATGCCCTTGGTCAGATTCTTGTTGCACGCAGGTTGGGCAAGACCAGGATCATCGCCGAGACGGGCGCTGGTCAGCACGGTGTTGCGACAGCCACATGCTGTGCTAAGTTCGGCATGAAATGTGTTGTCTACATGGGTGCGGAAGACGTTCGACGTCAAGCCTTGAACGTCTTCCGCATGAGACTTCTGGGAGCTGAGGTTGTCGCGGTGGAAGCTGGTAGCAGGACACTCCGAGACGCTGTCAACGAGGCGATGCGAGCCTGGGTCGTTGATCTTGATACTACCCACTACATCATCGGCTCTGCAATTGGGCCTCACCCTTTCCCAACCATAGTGCGGACGTTCCAATCCGTGATCGGAGACGAAACCAAACAGCAAATGAGCGAGCTTATCGGCAAGCTCCCTGACGCCGTTGTTGCGTGCGTTGGCGGAGGAAGTAATGCCGTCGGCATGTTCTACCCATTCTCCAACGACCCCAGCGTCAAGTTACTCGGAGTGGAAGCTGGCGGTGATGGCATCGACACCGACCGCCATTCTGCCACCCTGAGCGGCGGATCGATGGGCGTGTTGCATGGTGTCCGTACTTATGTTCTGCAAGACAAGAATGGCCAGATATCAGATACCCACTCCGTCTCAGCTGGTCTTGACTATCCCGCCGTTGGCCCGGAACTCAGCAACTGGAAGGAAAGCCAGCGAGCCAAGTTCATCGCCGCAACAGACGCCGAAGCATTCCAGGGTTTCCGTATGCTGTCTCAGCTAGAAGGAATCATCCCTGCTCTTGAGTCTTCTCATGCTGTTTTCGGCGCCGTCGAGCTCGCCAAGACGATGAAGAAGGGCGAGAATATTGTTTTGAACTTGAGCGGCAGAGGCGATAAGGACGTGCAGAGCGTTGCTGAGGAGTTACCCCGTCTTGGTCCGAAGATTGGCTGGGACCTGAGGTTCTAAAACTTATTAAGAATAATTTTCATGGTGTTAAACAAAAGCTGTGATGGTTTCGATGAAATATTAGTACGTTATTGGTTGTAGGAGAGATTTGTGATTTGTGTAATAAATCCGGGCACATTTTTCAGTTCAATAAAACAAGCCAATCCATCCTCTTAATCTAGTTTCTTGCTGGACGCCGTCAGATGATGGCATCAAATCACGTGATGCTGACGCAGGTAGCTTCGGGAAGCTCCCCACTATCCTATCCCAACGTGCTCAGTCGCTAGGCAGCGTGCTACATTCAACAGTTGTGTTTGTACGCAGCTGCTCTCTCTCTTTCGCCTTCACCACTCTTCTCAACCGCCCTCCTCTTCCGCGCCCGCGGAGGGTCCCAGCCAGCATGGCTCCCGAATTCGTTGATCCTCGTATGACCTCGATCAAACCTCGCATTCGTTACAACACCATTGGAGGCGTGAACGGACCGCTGGTCATTCTCGACAATGTACATTTGACAAACCAATACGAGTTTTGGGTTAGCAGTGGTGGCTAATAGGACGGCAGGTCAAATTCCCTAGGTATAACGAGATTGTATCCTTGACCCTTCCTGATGGCACGGAGCGGTCTGGTCAGGTTCTCGAAGCTCGAGGTGGGTGCTTATCAATAAAGTGTGCGAGAGAACGTGTGCTAAATTATTTGCGTTATATAGGCAACCGAGCTGTTGTACAGGTGCGCAGAGTGTGGTTTGAATAGAGCGACGGGCTGAAGTTGACTTAAATACAGGTATTCGAAGGTACAACGGGTATTGACGTGAAAAAGGTACTGTGCTTATGGATGGAAGTAAAATGTGTCTTGCTGATTTTATTAGACGAAAGTCGAGTTCAGCGGTCACAGTCTGAAGCTGGGTGTTTCTGAGGACATGTTGGGTCGTGTCTTTGACGGTTCAGGTCGTGCGATTGATAAGGGTCCTAAGGTGTTGGCGGAGGACTATCTCGACATTAACGGCAGTCCTATCAATCCATACTCACGAGTAGGGATATCCAAATGTTGACTTGTCAAACGGTTGTGTTGATGTTATCTTTCAGGTCTACCCCGAAGAAATGATTTCAACTGGTATCTCTGCGATCGATACCATGAACTCTATTGCTCGAGGACAAAAGATTCCGATTTTCTCAGCCGCCGGTCTTCCGCACAACGAATTGGCTGCCCAAATTTGCCGGCAAGCCGGTTTGGTCAACAGACCAACCAAGGACGTGCACGATGGACACGAAGAGAACTTTTCGATCGTCTTCGCTGCTATGGGTGTCAACATGGAGACTAGTCGGTTTTTTACACGGGATTTCGAGGAGAACGGCAGTATGGAGCGTGTCACTTTGTTCCTTAATTTGGCCAATGATCCTACGTATGTCGAGTTTCTGGTTCTGTGATAGTTTATTCTAATTGGAGCAGTATCGAACGTATCATCACACCTCGTCTTGCTCTGACAACGGCCGAGTACTACGCATACCAACTCGAGAAGCATGTGCTGGTCATTTTGACCGATCTAACGGCATACTGCGATGCTCTTCGTGAGGTGTCCGCTGCCCGTGAAGAAGTGCCTGGACGACGTGGTTATCCAGGTTACATGTACACTGATTTGTCGACAATCTACGAGCGTGCTGGTCGTGTCGAAGGCCGTAACGGTTCCATCACCCAGATCCCCATTTTGACCATGCCCAACGACGATATCACTCACCCTATCCCCGACTTGACGGGCTACATTACCGAGGGACAGATCTTCATCGATCGTCAGTTGTATAACAAGGGTATTAACCCGCCAATCAACGTCTTGCCATCGCTTTCACGTCTCATGAAGTCTGCCATTGGTGAGGGACGCACACGGAAGGACCACGGTGACGTGTCTAACCAACTATACGCTAAGTACGCTATTGGACGAGATGCTGGTAAGTCAAACGCACACACATATTCAAGACAGATGCTGACATTTGCACAGCTGCCATGAAAGCCGTGGTCGGTGAGGAAGCTCTTTCGGCTGAAGACAAGCTGTCTCTAGAATTCTTGGACAAGTTCGAAAAGTCATTCATCTCTCAATCCGCCTACGAATCGCGCAGCATCTACGACTCTCTCGATATTGCATGGAACTTGCTGCGTATTTACCCTAAGGACTTGCTCAACCGGATTCCCAAGAAGGTTCTGGACGAGTATTATGCTCGTTCCGGCAAGGGGCGCCGAACCGGCAACAAGGACACAAGAGACCACACAGCGTCGGAGCAGCAAACTCAATCCCAGCAACAGGAGAATCTGATCGATGCTTAATATATGTATTTATCGACAGTGTGAAGTGCGTTTTGTTGATTCCTTTCCATTAGTTTATCATCATATATACATTTGTGATACATACAAACCGACTCATCTTTAACACCGATTGATGTAATACTCTAAATAAAGTATAACCCTAGTATAATAAATGCCACCAACTTCCTCTTTTCAACAACACAAGCCGTCGTTCCCGACGACATACGCCGCCTGATCCTCAACCAGACTCGTATCATTATATAACGCCCCATAATCACCACGCTCTGCTCATCCCTCAACATCTCCCGCGCATCATCATCACACGTCTCCCCTACCGCCCTCACAAAACACATCCTCTGCTCCTGCGGTAGTGCCGAGTTAGTTGTCGTGGCATTCGCATCACCCTGATTGATAAACGTGTCATTACAAACTACCCCCATACCCACACTCTCACCACTACTCAAGTCCGTCCCGAGAATGATCCGCGTGAACAGCGTGAATATAGTCTCCGGCTGATACTCCGGCACGAGATAGCCGGCATCGTAAATACGACTGAACGAGAGATTCGCGGCCTGCCGCACCACACCGCCGACATACGTCGTATTGGCGACTATCGGCACGTAGCCAGCGGAATTGAACATGATAGAATAATTCTGTGCCGGCTTTGTCGCAGCAGCGAGCGCGAAGGACACGGCCTCCCTCCCAGGCCAGTTGCAGACGCAGTCTCCATCGCCGTATTTCAGGTTAACGCGTACGCCCTTGGCGAGGAGGGCAGAGAGATTGGCGATCTGGCCGCCGCGTTCGTAGCCGCCTGTGTTGTGGACAGCTGGGGCAACGGAGTAGCTTGTTTGTGTGAAATTCAGCGCCACGCCGATTGCGGATTGGAGGGGCACGGTGTTGAGGTACTCGAGCTACAGGCTCGAGGGGTATGGGTTGAGGGAGGGTTGGGATATGTCGTAGGTCTGGCCAGTCGAGGAAGGATGGAGCGTCTCTGCATTGGTTGATCTGCAGTGGAATATGTCGAATTTGAGCGGAAAGTTCCATTCAGTAGGTAAGGTGTAGACGTCGAATAAGCTGGTGGAAATACATATTCCTCGGTTAAAAGATCCAGAGATGCATTCTGTAATATATCGTTGTCAATTCGAGATTCGAAGAACTAGAAAAATGAGGTGATGGTGTAATTCTGCTCAATTGGTGATAGTGTATATGCAGGCATATTGATATACCCCGTATACTGTTGTTGCGACGAGTAGACAGTCTCGCAGGCTCCTGGAGGGGGAGATTAGAAGCGTATCGTGATGTTACTATTTCTTGGTGACGTGATAGTTTTGATGGTTGGATCGGAGGCTGAAGATGCTGGGAATTGTCCCTGTGTGGTTGACAAGAGCGTAAAAAGAAACCACGGGGGTAGGAGAGCAAGGTAATGCATTCTGATGTTTAATCATTTTCTCTCCTTGTTCTGCGTCTTTGTCAATCACTGTACCACTCAAAGCAACCAACATCAATAGACTAGTCCTCTCTGCTCATTTGACCGAGGTAAACCGTGTAGCTGAGTATTGTGTCACGTTGGCAGTCGACCTCTATCAGCGCCTCTCCGAGGTGTGGCGGGTGAGGGTTCGGCAATCTAGGACGAGAGATGAATGTAGTAAGAGTGGGTGAAGCCAGTTTACTGCTTTTGCACTTTCCAATGATTTTATATTCAAGAATGAATGGCAATGGAAGTGAAAATATGCAAGACTGGTGACGTGCAAATAAGGTGAATTGAGGTCTGGACTAGGCAAGATAAATACGTCCCTGCAGTTACATGTGCATATACGTTTATTCTCGATATTTATAGAATTTCATCCTCTCATCGATTCCGTGAGATCATTAACATTTGAAATAGTTACAATTCAAGTATGCAATTGAGCAGAAAGGTACCATAATAATCATCAGAGTAGCGTATATACCGCCAGGTATACGCCATCGCTGATGTGAACGCCCATAACTCCATTTCTCCATGAATCAGGCCGAAGAAGTCGAGCAGTAAAAATACCCACCGTATCGTCATAATATTAAACAACAGCAAGAAGAGTAGAGGGGGAATAATCGTGGCCGGAGTCTCATTCGAGATAAATTAATTCATCAATCTATCTTGGCTCCAGCGAGTCCTTTTGAGATGGTAAGGTTGTTCGATAGTCGAATGCGGGTCTTTTTAGATTGCTTTCGCAGCTTCTTGCGAGCGACCATTACCGGGACGGAAGATTTTGTTACGAGGTAGTTCGAGAATGAGCCGAGTAATACTCTGAGTGATGTTAGTACGCACTTGTTTGTTAATGGCAGGGAGATTGCTCACCCTTTCAGAGCACTGCGACCTCGGGATCCGAGAATCACTAGAGTAGGGTCTAGTCCGTCGATCTAGAAAAGTCAGATAGAGAATCATAAGCTTCTAGAAGGATATCTTACAGCCTCTGTCAGCAGATGCTTTGGACTACGACAATGGATAACCTCAACTGCAACGCGTACTTGCAGCATCGTCTTCCTCAATAGGCGAACACAGGTATCTGAAATATCTTCAATCGCACGAGAGCGGTCTTGCTCGGCTCGCGACAATGTACGCGAATCAACAGAGTTATTCCGCGAAGTAGCCTTGCTGTCGTTGCCGAAGTAGGCTGCTAGAGCGTTGGGGAGTAAGCTAGACGAGGCTTGGTATTTGAGTGCCGTTTTCTCGGTTTGCTTGCCTACAACATCAGTCGTGTGTTTGATGACGGTCGCGCCATCGCCAATTTGCACGCATGTATTAAGATCGACGCCAGAGGCATTCTCATCGGCGACCGCGTTAACAGCGAATAGCGTATCTCCATCACGCAGGATCGTTCCAATTGTCCACTCTAAAGCATAGACGGATTCCTCACTAAGATCTGTAGCAACCAAGTATTTCCGCTGCCGTCGAGATCCTTTTTCAGCTTCTTGCTGTAGACGAGGGAAGTCGCCGCGGATGATGGTTCGAATTGCTCGATCTGGAATGGATGTGTCGACGGATGATAGATGGATGCTCAGATTTTGGGCTTGTTTCAGATCCGAAAGGTCTTCTTCATCGTCAGAGCCCACTGGTGTGCTCATCCCAGATCCGTTATGATCAAAACTGGTATGAGGGTGAACGCCAGACCGCCTGGCTCCTGGCGACAATGTTGTCCGTCTGGGCCCTGGCGAAAGAACGGTTCTTCGCCCATTTGCTCCTCGATGTGTAACTAGCGGGCCGTTGAGTTCTCCTGTGAAAAGAAAATGAGTCAGCACGAACTTCAACGCCCAGATACCTGTAGCCTACGTTCTTCCTCGAGCTCGTTAAACAGACTCAGCGCACCGCCCACCCGAGGACTCCCGGGAGGCAACGGACCCGGTCCGCGCTTTCCACTCCAACCACCCGGCGGCATTGGAGATGGCGCTGGCGACGTCCCTGGAGAAGGCTCAACCTTTTCTTTACTCCTCCCACGGGGCTTGGCCGGGCCCTTGCGAATATCAAAGGCTTCATCGTCGGAACTGGTGTCTGCATCGCCGCTACTATCGGCAGAATCGGAGTTATCGTCAGCGCCATCGACTGTGTCTTTCGCAAGCCGTACATTTCTGTCGTCGTCGCCCGTCGTGCTCCGGTCGAAACTGATAGCGGTCGACACACCTCCATCGGAGCCGGGCGCAACGTCTGGCGACTCCTTGTTATCGTGCCCCATGCCGATGAATTTTCGGGCGGTTGTTAGGTAGCGACTGGGATGTGTGGGTTTCACGGATTGGTGTGCATCGGCTGCATTTGACGGTCTGCGGGAGTCTCGCACTATGCAGAAGTGGACAAACGTCAGCCCCTCGGTGCCCAAAAAACGTAGTCAATAATAGCACTTTTTAACTCATATCCACACCACGACTGCAAATCTCAACCCACCAACGTAATAGTGGACCTTACCTCCTTTTGTAGAGTGTCTGGCGGACGCGAAGTGGGGAACGCTTCCCTGCATGCCAAAGAGATAGCCAGCGTCAATGTCAATGTCGCGATCTTCCAGCTCCTTCTTCCTGCGTGCATGTGCCAGCTCGCTGACGCTGTCGGACGAGCGACGCTCCTGCTCGGGCTCATCGGCGTCAGTGTCGTAGATGCTGTCATCCCACTCAGACAGCAGGGTGTTTGTCCAGGGCGACGAGCTGGCCAACGGGCTGCTCATAGAGGCGCGCCGGGCAGCAGCGAGTGGGATCTTGCTCAAGGCTGCAATAGGCCCAGCACGCTGGCGGGCGGGGCCTGACGACGAGTCTTGCTGCTTGCTTCGGCTAGCCGGCGCGGGGCTAGTGCGGCGCTCCGCATGAGAGTGAGAGGCCTTGGAGGATTTCTGGCCGTCGAGCAGCTGCAAGATCTCCTTGCGATCTTGCTCAAGTGCCTGGGCCAGCGACATCGTGTCGGTTCAGGGTGACTCTTTTCTTCTTTTTGCAGTCAGCGCGCTAGTCGGGGGTTGGCCGAAATTTTATAACAAGCGCGACACCAGCAGACTATCCGCAAACGGGACAGCGACCGAGGGGGAGCAGGGAGGCGATCTCTCCCCGAGGTAACAAAGACTGGCTGTCGATTGCGGAGGATGGCGATCGCTGGCCTTGTCAGAAACGTCGGTTACTGCTGCTAGTCAGTACTAGGTGCTGGACATCCATTGAACATATGTCATTCTGCGACGATCACTCGCACTCACTTGCTCTGTTGTGAAGGTTGCAGGGTCGTAGAAACCCATCCAAGGATGCAGCTGTTCTGGTACGCGAGACTCAGCTTGATGAGCGCAACTAAGATGGCGCGAGGGAGATATAGAGAGATATAGAGAGAGAGAAAGAGAGAAAGAGAGAGACAGGGGAAGGCGACAAACAGAGAGCAAGAGGGAGTGTAAGCTGTGAGTGGCGGGAGCTCTCCGCTCCTTCCTGGGGAAGCTGTGTCACGGCCACTTCCTTCCTCGCAGTAGGCAACAACAGCTTAGCCAACACAGCATTAATCACAACAACAAATCATGCAAGACAATACTATGTTATGATCTCTTCTCTTCTCCCTCTCCTCTTCTCTGGGAGCCTTCCCTCTTAATATGGCGAATCATCTCCGCGCGAGGGATGCCAGCTGCTTGGCTCGCGGGGTAAAAAGAGGCTTGGAATGGGGACTAAAGGGCTCGGCATCGCGAGTAATCCAGTCGAGTCTTCTTTGAGCCCGCACGCCCTCTGTCTGGACTCTGAACAGTAAGGACGCTGTTGTCGCGGCCAGTAAGGGTCACAGCGAGCATGGAGCCGGTAGGGTAGGTAGGTATAGAATGTAGAGTCTACAGACCGCACTCGCCTACGTTTATATACAGAGCACGCTCTCGTCCACTCAATAAAACCCGCACTCTACACTCATCCTCGGATCGCTGAGCTGCGTCTGCTGCCCTGCGCTCATCTCTGCCCTCCGATGCGTATCAAAACGTGGCAAATAGTGTCCTCCAGCTGATGCCAAGCCGAGGACTAGCTGGCCAAGGCCTGGACTAGTGCCGCTGGTCGACTGCGTTATAAAATGGTGGCCAGTCACCGAATGGATCCGATCAGATGGCGCGAGGAATTACGTCTATTCGGCCTCTTTGCTTTTGGCTTGTCACTGCAGTGGCTGAGTGTGCAGTAGTGCGCATTTGTCATGATGGAATAAGACTAGTACAATATTAATAATAATCTGTCAATACCAGCTATCCCTAGCCCGAGATTAAGCATCACAAGTTCCCAATGTGATAATATCCCGTATAGTTAACATAGCCGATCCTTCGCCAGAACGCCGTCGCTGCCTCATGCAAGTTCCATTATCAACCGTGAAACAGTAGTATAGTAGTGGTATTCATTATTGTATCGCTGGCTCGAGTCAATCAATCCCCTCCTACGTTTTGGCACGCTTGGAACGCGCACTGCCTTTAGTCTGGCGCGCACCAACAGCTGCAAATGCTTCCTCCGGCGGCTCCTCCGCAGAAGACCGTTTCTTAGCTTTGCCTTTGGGTGCGTACTTGGCCTCGAGGTCGTCGAAAAAGTTGGCGGCCCGAGATTTCTGGCGTTGCTGGATCAACGCCGCCAGCGCGTTGTCATCTTCCTTGCTGGGCTTCTTTTTCTTATTTTTGCCCTTACCCTTCGCACCCCTTTCCTCCAGCTCCTTGGCAGCTTCCTCGGCCTCTGCTGCTTCATCCTGGGCGTGCTTCAGCCTTTTCTTGCGTTTGCTCTCGGATTCTGCTGTGTACTTTTTCCAAGCCTGGACCTCTTCGTCCGCAATCGCCTTGTCGATGATGGCGCGGAATCGCTCGTCATCGTCAATCACGCTGCTGAGCATGATGACCTCGTACACACGGTCCAAGTCGCCTTCAAACTGCTCAAAGGCGGCCAGTAGATCCTCTCGCTCCTGATCCGAGCCCTGGTACTCTTTCTTAATCTTGTCTATGGCCGAGGCATCGACCATCCCCGAGAACTGCTCCTGGTAGAACTGCGCCCAGTCAAAGTCGTCATCTTCCAGGTCGAGAGACTCAGATGTGTTTCCAGTAAGATCGTAGCGGCGGCGGCGGCGGTCGTCGGACAGAATGGCGTAGGCGAATGCGATTTCTTGGAATTTCTGCTTGGCCTCATCTCTAGTTTCGGGGGATGCCTTGTCTGAGAAGTGAGATGATGAGTATTCTTTCCTGGGCACTTTCTGTCAATGGGGATTCATACCCGGATGGTGTTTCAGGGCCTTTTTCCGGTAGGCGCTCTTGACCTCGTCTGCCGATGCCGTCTGTTTGATATCAAGGACCCCGTAGGGGTCGATGGAGGCGGGTGGGTCGCCCAGAGCTTCGTCGTTGGACATTTTATCAGTGTTGACTGGGTGTAGTCAGAGAGAGAGAGAGAGAGAAGATAGACTACGCGCTCTGCCGCTCGCGGGGGACGCGCCTCAGCCCCACCGATTAACTCCTTCCTCTCGCCTTCCACTGTTAACTTGCAGTTCTCTCGATTTACTAATTGTCTCTTCATTGAATCAATATTATAGCAATATCCGAAAAATACATCATTCGTGAATTCAATAATGTCATTCCATTCATCTTTTAATATTGACAGGTCATCCTAGTCGTTTCCCCTCAACCGTATGTCTGGTGCCATATAAAACGAGGGCTTAAGGACTATAATTTACAAGCTTCTCTAACCCGCACCCGGTCGCAACAATCTTGTCCTGTAATTGAAATTAGCTTGACTACGAGCCAAATTGATGTATCTTACCAGGAGGAATTGTGTCAAACATTCGTTTTGCGTCGCTGATGTCGATGTCGAGGGCTGGCGAGAATTGGTTGACGGCGGCGTTATTAACCAAGCCGTCAAGCTTGCCACTAGTTTCTAGCTTCACGGCGTCGACTGCTGCGGGCGATGCTGGAGGAGGAGGTGACGTCTAGAACGAGCAGTCTGATAGAGGGCAGTGGTTCACGTACTGCCATCTTGTAGAGACTTCGCGCGGTTGCGAAGACTCGCAGACCGCGAGATCGGAAGGCTGTGTGAGCGCGGAGCCAATGCCGCTGTCGCTGCAACCTGTTATGAGGACGTTTTTTTGTTGAGACATGCTGGGCGATTTTGGGATTTAGAGAGACAGAATCGTAACTGAGAACGTGGTGTTTATTGTGAGGGGTGAGGACAAAGGAAAGCGACGGCCTGACTGTGCTGTAAATTAAGGAATCGCACCTGCCATCACTGACTGGCTGTTCGAACAGGCTAGATATGAACTATCTTGGGCACGATAATTTTGGTGGGCTCAACGTGAAGGAGTCGAGTCTATTCTCGGAATGAGTTGTTCAATAACATTTGAACATCCCAGAATAATCACAACTTTGCCCTGAATTAGGCCAAGAATATATCTGACAAAGTGAAGTGTATTATCTTCCTCACCGCCACAGCAGTTTATTACAGCAACCGCTAATACATGATTGCACCGGCGATACATTTCAAAAATAATCAATCAATCATGCTTGGGGACATCTTGCTCCGGTTCGTCCTTCTCCTCCGCGGCAGCAGACAATGGCATCAAAAAGTTCGTGATAATCCCACCAAGGAACTTCTCATCGACCCACTTCACAAACGAATAAAACGCCCAACCCCACCCCCAAAACATTATACCCATCGATCCTGTCACCAGCAGTACGGGGCCGAGAACCAGCAACGAGAGCAGAGCCCAGAGAAGGGTGGCCACCGCCGCGAACAAGAGCACACCGGCTAGAAACACGAGAAGCGGCACGCCACAGCATATCAACTGGCAGATGATAAATGTAGCAGCCATGGGCCTTGACATGGCCTTCTTATAAACTGCCTCTCGCCGATGCACCGGGAAGAATCGTGTGATTAAGCCCTTTACATAGCTCTCGAACTTGTCCATGAGCGACTGGGCCAGCCCCGAGAAGGAGAACGAGACATCGGGCATTTCGTCATCTTGAGACCGAGCATTTTTCTTGTCGTCTGGAAATTCTCCGGGAAGCGAGACGCCGGTCAGCGAGCTGGTTGTCTGGTCGATTTGTTGTTTGGGCTGTTTGACGGTGCCGGCTGTCGTAGAAACACCCCTGGCGGCTGTACCGGCGAGACCGCCCGTCGCCTTGTTCAGCGACATGGTGAGATGAATGCGTGACAAAGGGGTTGAGTGTCATTTTCAGCTGCGGTCAGAGAATAAATAGAAGACTTGATCGAGCTTGGATTTCTTGTTTTGACCTGGCGGACCTTGACGTATGACAGGCGCTGGCAGCCAATCGTTGCCGCCCATGACCTCATCGAACGCCTCTATTTACACTCCTACACTCTTCGCCCTTTTAAGATGGACCAATATTCGACAGCGTCTTCGAAGTGGAAGCAAATATCATCGTGACATAGCCTACTCTGAATTTGCCAGAACGCGCGAGGCAGGTGTCTTTTACACTTTTATGCCCTTCTGGCGTCTGCAAGCCGGCTCGGACTCGGTCTTCGGGGGGTAAATGCTTCTCCGAGCGATCGCGGCGCCATGACTGTCGGAGGGTACGTACTGCAGACACTACGCGCCATCTTATCTGATCTTCTCGATCGGGACTGGTTATGGGATATTTACGCACTATCCGAGACTCAGCCAATATGATCGTTGACTAGTAGTCTAGTGTGCACCTAAACCCCGCGGACATTCCATCGGGCTCGGCCTGCGGACGGAGGTAAGGCTCGTACGAGAGCCACGAAGTAGAAGTTACAGGCAGCAGTTATTAATCCGCATTACCTTCCGGCAGCTAATTGTTTTAATAAATCCAAAGGTAATCACTCCTTAGTCTCTCCCTTCTGCATTTCACACTCCCATACTACTGCATATGTAATATCCAGACATGGCGAATGATAAGCTGAGGCTTGGTGTCAAAATCATCCAGGTCCTGTTTCCTTTTGCTTTTGAGATCATTCTACAGCGCCTTCGAGCTCTCGCCCATTCATGGACCTACCGTGCCGTACCGGACCCTAAAGACATTGTTGTGATCGGCGGGTCGTTCACAGGCATTCATGTCGCGCGTCGCCTTACTGAAAGCATCCCCACGGGTTACCGGGTTACAATGATCGAGAGGAAATCGCATTTCAACTATCTCTTCAACTTCCCTCGTTACTCGGTTCTCGCTGGCCATGAAGAGTATGCTTTCATACCGTACGATACGCTGTCAAATGCTGCACCAGAGGGCTCATTCCGCCATATGAAAGACACAGTGACAAGCATCAAAGATGGTCAAGTCTATCTACAGTCTGGTGAGACTGTAGATTTTGCGTACCTGGTTATTGCCACCGGATCAAAACAGAGTCTGCCGTCAAAGGGCGTTGCTACGGAAAAGGAAGACGGGTGCCGGGAGCTTCAAGAGGTACAGAATGACATCAAAGCCGCTACCCGCATTGCTGTCGTTGGAGGCGGTGCAGTTGGCGTCGAAGTCGCGACAGATATCAAATATTTCTATCCGGAAAAAGAAGTTACGATTGTCCACTCAAGGGATAGGTTGCTACATCGATTCGGGCCAAGACTGCATGAGTATGTGTTGAGCCAGATGCAAGAAATGAGAATACATGTGCGTCTGAAGGAGCGGCCTCTGATTATGAGAGAGGAGAACACATTACTGTTTTCCAACGGGGAGCGGGAGGAATATGACTTGGTCGTCAGTGCAGCTCCACCGCGCTAATAATACTGAATTGATCCCTAACGATCAGATAGTTGCCTTGTGCTGGCCAGACGCCGAATTCCGCCATCATACAAGACCTAGCCCCCAGTGCGATATCCCAGCAGACAAGAGAAATTCGAGTCAAACCTACATTACAGATCATGGCAGATTCGAAAGAAGAAGACTGGTCATCATCTAACACTTTTGCTATCGGCGATGTGGCCGCGACCGGAGGTGCGAAGATGGCACGTGCTGCAGTGTTTCAGGCAGAAGTCATTGTTCAGAATATCCTAGCCATGATTAGTGGAAAAGAGGCATCTAGTGTATACAAGCCGCGCTCTGACATAGAAGGAAGCATCAATTTGAGTTTGGGAAAGGTAGGGTTCCGTTACCTAGATAAAATGATGACCGAGGTACTAATGCCCACGCTAGGACCATGCGGTACTATATACGGAAGATGATGACGGCAGTGATTATCTGATACCCGTGAAATCAGGCCAGGAGGACCTAGAGATTAAGAACGGATGGAGGATGCTAGGTGGGAAGTTTCCAGGAAATAAGTAATTCTTCAATGTGGTATCTTTCCTAGCATTCTGTGTACAATGTAGATAGATATTTTCACTCCGACCCAATCAATTAAAGCTGAGCATCACGATCAACCATGATATATTGCAGATTAATGAGTAGGATATATTCGGGGCCTGACACTCTTCATGATCATCGATGTGTTTCATCCTGGTTGGCCAAACCGATTCCCTGCATTAGTAGATCGTCTCTAAATCTCATTAGGGAAATCTGCTAAATATTGTCGAGGAATGGAGCTGGGCCCTGGTGGGTTGTCTATTAATTTTTCGTCACCTACAGGCTGGACATGGACAATAAACCCGATTACTTTGCTATCCACTGCACTATAAGCTGAGGACCTCAATCTTATCAACTTTGTACTGACTAGGAAGGCTTCCCCTTCTAACAGATAGTTGTATTGAATTCATTTACTTAACATCACTCGACATTCCTCGTTACCGCAAGCCGACACTGTTTGCCTGTCAACTAGTTACTGAAGATGACCTCTTACCTAAGCCTTCCTTCAGAATTTCGCGAGCAAATATACCAATATATCTTTTTGGACCGTTACGTTCCAGCAGCATATTTCAGGTACTTATGTCTCGTTCCGCAAAGGGTGTAAGAGAATATAAATATAAATTCCAATCTTTCTTCCCGGCCATCTTACGTCTCAATAAACAAGTCCATGCCGAGGCGGATATTCTCTCTATTATACTACTCGCTTTTCACATAGCCAAATATAAGAATCAGAAGGAACCTCAAGCTCCCGCTCATTGCGAAGTGAATTTTCTCGACCATTGTCTTAAACCAAACGAATTCAAGAATACGTACTTAAATACATTCCTGAAAATCGAGGAGTTACGCGTCTCAATTATCACCCATGAGCGCAAGCCTTTCCTTCCTCTTACTTGCCGATTGCAAGAAGGACTCATGTTGATGTCGCCATGGATAAGTCAATGAATAAAAGCACTCTTTTATAATTCAAACTATTCACTCTCATCAGAAATTTTCAAATCTTACGTACTTTATGTATACGAACGTTCTTGTCTACTTAATGGAATTTCAGCAATAGTCCTATCTCCTTTCATGAGGAATAAAGTCACCGAGCTCTCTCCCCCTTGATCATCGCGCGCCCTGGGGATGTCTTCAACAAATGCAGATAGCACTTCGCTGCCGCCTTGATCCGATTTCGTAACCTTAGCTGAGACAAAGGCCCCTGGGGGTTCGAAGAAAACATTAGCGTTGGTGGAATCGGCAAATAGTACCTTTTCAGTTAAGGACTGTGGTAAGGTGAATTGAAAGGATGTCATGACTGCAGATTATTATTTGTTATTAATCGCAAACAATAATATGGTGAATACAATGATAATTTCGATTAGATTGAGCAGGTTGACAAGATTGGATGAATAATGTAGAATCGTACAGGCACCAAGGTTACATTGCTTATAGTTGCTTGTTGCTGCCTTGACATGGAAAGCTCATGTAAGCCGAGGAAAATGAATGACGGGCCGGCCAACTATGCGATGTAGTTAGCCCAGGTAGTAAATTGTTTCTTTATTACAGGTAAATTTAAATTGAGCTGAAAATCTTCAATAAATTGAATCACGCTGATACATCGAGGTACTTGAAAGGTCATTCAAAAATAAGAAACGAAAAGAGAAGAAAAATAACAACAGAAAGCTCCACGTTCATTCATCCATCGTATCCACATATAGCTCGTAACGTGAAGTTCCTTCGAATGGAACGTATCTACATATGTACTGAATGGATTATCTCGGGCGCAAATACTATAGCTCCGAGTATGCTGGCAATTCTTCCATTCGTTCGAATTCTTGCATTGAAATGTCATAGCCCAAATGACGCTTGAGCAGTTCATGGGTGACAAATCGTTCTGGACAGTTTCCCTGCGCATCTACAAAGGAAACGTGGTGATTGAAATCACTGATCCTTTGAAGCTCGTTGGCATGCCTATGGTGATGAGGGCATCCATCAACGCCGATGAGAAAGATGGTAACATGTGCCCACGAGAGGCCGAGAAGGTCTAGTTCAAACTCGTCCATATCGGTGGCCTCTCCATCAAGTAAGAGTAGTAGTCTGAGAATCGGGGTCTCAGGTCCGGCTTGCCATCCATAAACAGGGTGGTGAATAGCCGACTCGGAGTGGTTCTGGAAATGGAGTTCCTTCACCTTCTGCCATCCAGTCATGACGCGAGTTCCTCCGCCAAAACGAACATTGTTACACCACATCGAGTCGAAATTCATATGACTAATTTTACCGATATAATGAGACGTGTTTGCAAATGTGACCAAGTCGTAGCCCTCATGTTGATGGTCGTGATTTGCCATTGCGTCCGCAAATCTGCGGATGATTGACCTTGCTACGTCTATATATGGTCAGTAAATAAAAGACATGTTACCATTTTTGAATTCGCCTTACCTCCATTTTTAGGCTGTGTTGATCTACTAAATCCCGTTATCAGATATTGATCATAGATTGGCCGAACGGGATCAAAGTCCATAGATCCAGAGACATCAAGGAGGATCATAGTATGATCCGTCGGTCTTTCAGGCCGATCATACGGTTGGAAAGGAGCAGGCATAACCTGTTTGCTGTACCCAGACGATGTGTGCTGAAGATGGCAGGTGTCATTAGCCGAATAATACAGCGGGGGGGGCTCAACCGCTCTGGCCATTCTTGCTTGAGCCATGTTCATTTCAGATATGAAATCAGGTTTCATTCTCGTTCCGGCGCTTCCTTCTCGGTGGTTCAGCACCCAGTAAAGTCGCTCTTCTGCAAGATCTTCAAACCCTCTCCAGCTGGGAGTAATTCCCCTCCACCCCGATGCAGCTTCAATACTGAATTTTAAAGGGTTGGATATTTGGTTTGCCCATGCGATAGGAATTGGCTCGAAATAGCCTGCTCTTAGGAGATGGAGGTATTGAATAGGTCGAGTAGCTCGAAGCTCCGCAATCTTTTTGGTCATACCGACTTTGTGCTGATATGCTGCTACGATATAGCGCCACTCTTCGTCTGGCCATCGCCCACGCTCTTCTGACAGAATCTTTTCGCGGAGAGATATGGCTTTTTCGATAGCCTTTTCTTCCGATGATCTGATGCCGACGGCCTTTTTTAGGCCTGAGAAGCTTAGGCCGGTTTTTAACTTGGAACTATTGGATTGAGTACGGTTGTGTGATCGTTTATCAGTTATATCTTCCGGTACTGTTTGGTTTGAAGCCTTGATATCTCGGGCAGGTGGGCTCTTATCTGCTATTGTCATACTTTCCATGGAGACGGATAAGTTGTTGTTCTCCCAGATGCTCTGCCTCGGCTCTTGTGCATCAATTTTGGCCTGGGCTTCAGAATTAAGCTGTGCGTTTAGCGCGATAGTTTCGCGTATCGACCGCGCGTGGAATAAGGGAATGGGCCTTTGCGGAGCCCAAAGACCTTGTTGCCCGTATCCGTATGGAGAGACAACCCGAAATGTATAAGGGTTTCCAAAAACCCCTAAGCCGTTTTGTATGTCATTGTAGTGTCTCTCTCCTGCGAACGAAAATCAGTATTTTTCGTTGTGGGTGTCAACTTGCACATGGATGTATGTTTCCGAACTCTCTTTTCAGTACCTTACTTACCTGGATACATGATGGCTTTTGACCACATCTCTTGAACCCCGCGCCGATTCCATTTGCGTTGTTGATACTGGTGTATTGGACAAGAGCACCAATAGTCCGCTTCATGCTCAGGCTCAATATCGCTGTTATAAATGCGATACTGATATTGGAGACCCTGTAGCATCTGCTGCATTTGTTGCTGTAGAGCAGTCAGCTACCAGAATCACCAGTCTTGAGCCGCAACTACGGCCACTTGAAAACGTACTTCGTCTTTTGCTCGCCATTTACCAGCTTCAATAACAGAGTTCGTGTAATGATATGGCTCGGAATTGGACCTGCTACTCGTGGTCCGTGGAGTATATGATGGTGGTGGATTTGATGGGGTTGTGGAATTATCAACGTTGTCCACATGGTCCCGGAATGATGCCGACGACGGCTTACTGTCCAGTTTTTTGGCCTGGTGATTCCCAGGCTCTTTGCGCCGCTCAAGAAAGGAGGTGATAAATTCTAGCGACTGCGGAGATTCGCCTAGTAAATTTCCCAAGTGCGTGGCGGCTTCAGCGTCGTGCAGGTTGTTAGTATACGATAGAACCTGCAGAAGCTCGGCGTCGTTCAAAGGCAGAAGCGCTCTCAAGCGGGGTAGCGCCCAATCATCCATGTCGGCTGTATTCTGTGAGTTTGTATATTCAATATCACACAGATCACCCTTCGGAACACATGGGTTGAGCTGCTCTCTATGATGAGAATGACAAGTGGGCAAGTCCAGAGCACGACATGTCAATCTACTCCAAAGATATGCATGTACGTGCGTGGTCATTGCGTCTTAGCGGTGGATTTGGTGTGTGGACTGCGGCCAGGCCCAGCCAATAATGCTCGCGGACCCGGGGCTAAGCCTTGCTAAGCCTCACAGTGATCTCTATGTCGGCGTCCCGCGACATGCCTAAATAGTAAAATGATAATCGCGACCAATCAAACACATTTCTTGTCGAAGCTTATCAGTAGTATTGGGCTGGGGCCGCTGAGCGAGTAGTTATGGGTACATTAAATAAGCCTGAGAAGGCTTATGGCTTTGGATTTTTTTATTTTAATTAGTAATAGGAAATCGATAGTTAATACATAACTACGGTTAAAGTATGGACTTCTCATACCGTTTTGTTTAGGTACCGCTCAGGTCTATCAAGCGAAAAGCCGAATCTTCGTCAGCTTCCGGGCGAAAATCATAAGTAATTATTAGACAATCCTGGCTCCTTTCTCCCGTCTAGCTGTAGTAGACTCCTTATGAGACGAGTCCAGGTTTTCAGACTCTCACTAGTGGATGTCTCGTTTCGCAATGAACGATTGCCAGTGTTTGAGGACTGGCTAGTGGCGACAGACGTTAAAGGAACCCAAAGCTTGTTGTGGCGACATGAAGCCATGGTTGCATGTTAGATAGGCAAGCCGCAGTAATGCCCACCGCAGGCTCGATACACGTCCATACCGAGCTTTGGACTTGGTTATCTGAGATTTCATTAGTACTGGCTATAGAAGTGGAACAGCAACACTTCTGGACGCTCTATCAATATAATTAAAACCGGACCGCAAATTTTGATAGAATGACTGCAAAACATGTAGCTGTGATTAATACATATCGTAGGTATCAGTCTCGCCATTGGGCTAAAGGACACACTGATATAGACGTTCGGATTTACGAGGCACTCGGATATCCAGATATCGGAGCGGGAATGGCTTTGCATAAAAACGCAATCGATGCCATGGAGCTTCTAGCCACAGGCATGGAGAGGCATATCTTTCGCGCGCCAATCTCATGGCCAGCGATGAAAGCATTGAATTATCAACGCAGGTCATTCTGGCCCAGGGGCTACACCAAGTTATGTATTCGGTCGTCTTGACTAAGCTAGAGGAAGAAAGACCAGATCGAGATCCGATTTGATCGATACCTGGAAGGAATTGCTCCCAGACAATTGAATCGTGCACGGAAAGAGATTTTCAGGTATTAAACAGCATGATGGCAAGATTAAACTACAATTTGGAGATGGAAGCACCGAGGAAGCTGACAGTTTGACAGAGCCGAAGGAGTTGGTAGCGTTAGAAGGAAGTATCGCTTGGGTGAACAGCGCCTTGCAACAGCACAAAAGAACCACGATGGATGGCATGTCTATTCAAGACAAGTTCCTATGTATGAGGCTCGTGAGGTCATCAGTGAAGAATGGACGAGAAATTTCCAATCCTTTGTGGACCAAAAGGGTACATGTGTTCATTGCCAATTCGAAAGGGGAAAAACTCTCAGTTGCACTTTTTCAAGCCCCAGGAGCCCTTCTAGACTGCCAGCCAGCATCGTTTTCGAGTGAGCAGTTATAAGATTATAGCGAAGACGCCCGCGTGATTGCTAGAGTATGTTTTAGATGACATATCATTAGCATTGAAAATAACGAGTATGCTAACAGCCTCAACAGTTGATAAGTGTCGACCCGCAACAAAGCTGGACAATATATGACCATGATTCAGCTCATTGTTATTTTGATGGTTCTATTGTAATTATTGGCGATGCGGCACACGCAATGGATCCATTTGCTGGTAACGGAGCTGGTCAGGCAATCTAGGATGCTGCTGTGCTGAACGCTCTATTCTCTAAGATCAAGGATGTCAGCCAGATACCGGTAGCTTTTCTGCATACGATGAGGGGCGAAGGGGTAGATCTCAGAAAGCGGTAGAAATTTCCAGGAATTTTGGCCGTTTATACGCTTATTCCCTCCAAGAAGTCGGAACAGACCCTCAAGCTATGACTGGTCATATTCGCGAAATGGGATCGTTTCTCAACAACGTTGATTTGCAGGGACAAAATGTTCAAGCCATTGATATATTTGAAAAATTCACACGCAGACTCAATTAGATATTAGATGAAAAAAGGCTATTTACACCTAGTTATCAGAGAGCTGCATTCATGTTGCAATAGGTTTCTACGGTTTCCTGTCCACACCGAGGGATGAAAGCGTTCTACTACAAATTTAATAAGGCTGGAAATGTGTTTCGTACAATCAATATTAAAAAATGGCGCTCTTCATTCTGTCCATTTTTAATATGGAAATTCGCGAAAGGGAAAGGAAAAGGAAATCAACCTGCTCATCCCGATTCCCGATAAACTCTCGGGAATCTATTGCCGAAATTGACGTACTTATTTCCGATCAAATTCCAAGTCTTTATTATCATCCCTTGCGATTTTTAATTAATAAGATAAATTGACTATCTCTTTTGTCTACCTTAGTTACCTATTTCTTGACCTAAACCCAATAATATTCTTGATGTCACTTTGGGTTATCTTTCTTCTACCCCCAATTTGCTCCAAAATCAGTTCTTCCCACTCATAGTGCTGAGCCGCTATATCCATTACACTGATTTGAATTTATCTCCCACACTATGCCGTCATCTGAAGCTTGCTCTGGGCAGTCCATTTTAAGGTACAGCTTTGTGGACGATTATAGCGAGGGAGCACATCCCCTGATTCTGGACTCTCTTCTGCGAAACAATTACACACAACAGAGGTCTTATGGAGAAGACGAGTACTGTATTCGTGCCCGAGAACTCATCCGACAACACCTCGACTGCAGAGAAGATGATGTCGCGATTTATTTCGTCCCAAGCGGAACTTCAGCAAATTTGATATCTATAGCCAGCTGTCTACGGCCTTTTGAAGCAGTCATTGCTGTCGACTCGGGCCATATTGTGTGTAAAGAAGCCGGGGCAATAGAAGCAACCGGGCACAAAATAATTCAAGTACCAGCCGTGGCGGGAAAATTGACCCCGGTGACTCTCGAAAAGGCATTCAAACTGAATCAATTCTCACCTCATATGGCCAAACCTCGCCTCGTATATATTTCTAACGCTTCCGAGATCGGCACGGTTTATACCAAATCAGAGCTTACACAGATTTCAGATACATGCAAGAGACTTGGTCTTTGGTTGCTAATGGATGGTGCCCGGATTGGAGCTGCCCTGTCTTCGCATAAAAACGATATGAGTTGGAGAGATATCGTAGACTTGACGGATATCTTCTGGATCGGTGGTACAAAAGTGGGCGCCCTACTGGGTGAGGCGATTGTGATTAAAAACACTCAAATCAGACAAGACTTTATCTACCATATCAAACAACATGGCGCCCTACTTGCAAAGGGGCGAGTGATAGGAATTCAATTTTCAGAATTTTTCGGCTCCAACTTATTCCTTGATCTGGCATCGCATGCGAATAACATGGCACAGAAAATCGCAAGAAATATTACCTCGCTCGGCTATCCATTGATTGCTGAGACGGAAACGAACCAGGTATTTGCGAAACTACCACTCTCACTTATAGAGTATTTGCGCGAAAGATACGATTTTTACATTTGGGAAGAAAGTGGAGATGGTGATGCGGTGATAAGGCTCGTCACATCTTGGGCCACTGAAGCGCTCCAGGTTGACAAGTTTAATGCCTGTATATATCAATGGTCTAAAAAGTTCCATTTGAATGACTCGTGACGTGTTGACTTGCCGGACAAAGTTGACGAGATAGAATGTCCGGACGCGTGACCAAGTGCGAGTCTGATATGAGCAAATTTGATTTTTAATTGCGTTAACAGATCATATATGCGTGTTCATATCGAAATACTTCTAGATAGCAGGCAAGATTGAAATTATTGGGCTTTTCGTGCTGCTATTGGCATATACAGAGTAACATTGGACCTCAACCAGGACAATTTGAGAAAGGCCGGGCTTCTTGTAGTCAGTCGTCAATACACCTTCGCCACTGGACTGATAAGCGGTGGATTGGTTCATAGCATATCGCTATCATAATAAGTAGTCTTTTATTGATGTCTGACATTAGGCATGATAGTATGTACGTTCTATGATAGATTAATAACAATGAGTTCGATATGGTTGAGCCCCACATTATTTAATTGGCCACCATAAGTCGATTTCCGATGCTGCACATTTTTCTTACATTGTCAACCACCGGCCATGTTATCTCAAGTATTATGTCCTTATCTATAATTATGCTATTCGCTTCCCGAAGAGATTTCCCAAACACAAAGCATTAGTTGAAACAAGCCGGGAGAAACATATGATTAAACATGCGCCTTTCGATATCTTGCGAGCGTTGTCGGTGAGCACTTCATCTCAACTCCAAGTCCCAGGAGGTGGAGGCAGTTTTTTCAAATTCCAATGGTCTTGAAGACAAGTAACTTATATCTATATTAGACGGGCCAAAGTGAAATGCATTCATCAAGGGCAGCCTCCTTGCCAGCGTTGTCAAAAAGGTAATATCCAAGGATGTATTCTCACCAGTCCTCGTTCCTCTTCCGGAAAGATGAAAAGTGCAACGGGGAAACATAACGTGAAAAAGATCTCAAATACTCGATCATCTTCTGTAATATCAGACACATCACTGAATGCAGCTATACCTGTACAAATACAAACCGCGAATACACAAGATCTGCGAACAAATCCAGTTTCAGGCATATCGCAATCCACTATTATTAGTGCTTGTGATGTTTATAGAAAACGATTCCCGGTTGCAAACTTCCTCCACTACCCATCGTTAGTGGCCGATATTTCCTCGAACAGGTCAAATGTCGACCCCGTCTTTATTGCATCACTGTTATCAATGTGCGCACGTTTCATGCCTGATCATGAAGTCCAAAACGAAGAAGTCTATGCTCAATACGTTCGATCCGAGCTAGCTCAGCGTGCATTTGAAGCCCCTTCTCTTGATATTGCCCAATCATTGGTGATAATATCTTTCTATGAATGGGGGTGTGGTAATTCATATAAAGCTTGGATGTATATTGGTAATTTCTTCACTGAGACCCCTACTCTCGTGACTGCGAAATTTTAGAGTGTGAAATACTGATCAAGCTCTAGGGATGGCTATGTATATGATCCAATCTTTGCTGAGAACAGCAGATGACACCATGGAGCAGAGTCCACAAGACTTTCCTGCGTTTCAAACACAATATGAGAAGCTAGTTCGCACCTACTGGGTGTGCTTCTCTCAAGATTGTGAACTTAGCTCCGGGGCAAGGCAACACTTTGCGCTGGCTTTCCACTCCATTTCAGTGCCATTGCCGATCAGTGACCATCAGTTCATATTCAATCAATCCGCGAAAGAACGTCTAATGCCTAGGAATCTAAGCCTGGACTGCCTTGGCTCGCGAAGGCTTGGAATTGACTATGGTCCAGCGATAATTGCACGTGGTTTTGATATTTTCGTACGAATTCTAAGATTCGCAAACGCAAATCGCCGAAATGATCCTGTATCGTCCTGTTTTGCGCCTCGCCTATCGGTCAATGCAACATGGCAGGGTTTGAAAAAGGAACTGGACGAATGGCGACAGCTTCAAGACATCACGGTTCACTTTCCAATAACTGGTGTTCAGGCGCATGTGGCATTTGGGTATGGTGAAGTATTCACCTATATAAACCTCATATTTTTTATGAGGTGCGTATTTTTCATTGCTATCGCATTGTTCATTGAAATATTAGAATGAGTCGAGAAGGACCCTACGGGCTGACAATACAATAGTGTCCTTTTCCTTTATCGCGACCGATTTTTATCTGGCTTGAAACGCTACTCAGAATTGTTTGAGAATAGCAATAAAGATTCTAATAACGGCACAGATTATAGTAACGATGACGACGAGAACAATATCATTTTTAATATATTCGAGGCAGCGAAGAATGTTAGCGAGATTCTGTGGGAAGTGGAAGCCTCACAATCGCCAGTCATCACTCCATATTCCGGATTCAGTGTTTTTGTCACTGCTCATGTCAATATGTATGCTACTATAGTCCCTCATCATTACCCCGGAGGGCTACAGGCCGCAGAGGCAGAAAAGAAAAGGAATATGGTATACCTCGAGCGCCTGACTCGGTTCTGGCCCGTTGGAAACCAGTGGGTGAGTTTTTCCCATCTTAATTGCTTATATGAAGCATATGAAGGAATTACCTAGAATGTCACTACTAAGGAGAAATTAGTGGAAAGCAGTTCAGGAAGCGGATAAGTTTTACGTAGCCGCAAAAGAAAACGAATCTCTTGAGGTTCGACCAGGCCATTTCGCCCTTGCCAGCACACTGGATGAATATGGAGACATTCGCCACCAACGTCCCAGGAATGACCGACAAAGGAAGGCCACCACTGCGAAAACCGCAAGTATAGATTCTTCTTACTCTCAGGGTCATCATAGGACAAGAAGGAGTGACATAGACCGAGCGGGTTCGGATGAAGTTGTCAACAATCCCACGTTAAACGAGGTTGAAAACGGCAATATTTTATCCCATAGCTTGGAAAGCGAACTTTTACAATGGCCATTCATAGATGAGACTTGGACTACCAACCTTGATTACAGGTGGTTCACTTGACTGTCATGTTTGGCACTGTTGAAATAATGGTTCCGAATTAGTGGAAAATAATGCCTCTTATAGTCTGATAGGAGAATGTTACAGTCAAAGTATAATATTTATATATTAGCTCCCAAGAAGAAACTATACGTAAATAGTAACTATTTGTATAGATCCCCCCTAGTTTCAGCTGGCCTTGCGAGTGTGAGGTGCCTTGCAACTGAATGCCCAACGCAAAACCTTCTATTTATGCTTGATACATCAATAAATTCAAATAGTATGTTTAGTATTGCTTAGTTAAATGATTTGAATGACAACAAAGCTGGTGTACGATAAATATTGATAGCCCGATTTTTCAAGTCAGTGAATAATCCAGTTACGGCATTTTTGATTGGCCCATCTCTCTTGTTAGAGTGGATCTAATACCTGCCTCTAATTGGCCAAGTGCACAGTCAAGCCTATCAAGGAGCTAGTGGTGGGCCCCATGGGTCGCTAAATTCCCGACCCACTATTGAATGATGGAATGTCTGGCAGAAATTGTTAACAGCATCAATTGATCTATACGACGGCACAATTCCTCTCCGCCCGGCCGAGTTCACGACAAAATCAGCCTATCTAAAATGACGGTCATAAGTCTAGGTCTACTGTCAAATTTTACACAGGCGCGATATGTCATCCATCTTTCAAACGGCAAGCGATTAGTGTTGTTCCGTTTGCTGACCATTGACAAGTCCCAGCAGAAGGCCAACGAGAGCCTCGATGGATGGTCTTACTACGCTATGGAGGCCGAGTGCCCTCATGCGGGAGGACCGATGGCAGAATCGAATGTCGACATTGAAGACTCGTCCTATGTGGTGTCATGCCCGTGGCATGCATACGACTTCAACGTAGAGACAGGCGAGTCTAGCGTAGGTATTACTACGTGCACATTTCCCATTGAGATTAGAAGAGAACAAGTGATATTGCGTTATCCGCTTAATGGTACCACAGGAATAACACTTACAAAGCTAGACCCCGTCAGCGAGAAAGTGAAATTCAAGCGCGATAGGGAACTTGTGTCTGTCAAAGCTAGCGTTGGAGACGTATCAATTCCTGGTCATCTAGATGAAAATACGACCGTGTGTGATTGGGCAGTGCATATCCTGAATACACCAAACCCGGAGAGGAAAATCGAACTTGCGACTAATTTGTTTTCCTGTTTTTCATCGAAGGAAGCCTCCTCTTCTCCCATGGAATTGGGTAGAGGAACCGTCTCTCCTCCTGATAACCCACCACGTGAGAATTTGATAGAGGTAAGCCCATGGTCAGTGCCAAACAAAGGAAAAGGTGGCTCTACAAAGAGCAGAATTTCGATTCTACATGCTCTTGCAAACATAGAGCTATGGGCAATTGATCTAGCCATCGATATCTGCGTCCGATTTGCAACTTTTCAAACCGAAGGAAATGGCAAAAAATTACCGCGGACCTTTTTCCATGACTGGTTAAAGGTAGCCAGTGATGAAGCAAAGCACTTTTCATTGCTTCGGGCTAGGATTGAAGAGATGGGATCTTATTTTGGTGCCCTCCCCGTACACCATGGCTTGTGGGCCTCAGCATTGGAGACAGCTCATGATCTCAGATCGCGAATCAGTATAATCGCGTTAGTGCACGAGGCTCGTGGACTAGACGTCAATCCAATGACAATTGAAAAGTTTCGCAAGGCAGGTGATATGGAAAGTGTGCCTGTGTTGGAGGTGATTCATAACGATGAAATTACCCATGTCACCACCGGCCATCGGTGGTTGACTTGGATTTGCGAAGAGGAAGGAACCGATCCTATCCAAGTTTTTCGCAATAATGTCCAAAAACATTTCCGAGGTTCAATTAGAGGGCCATTCAATGACGACGCCCGGCTTCAGGCTGGCATGGATAGACGTTGGTACGAAACTCCCGACAGCAATACTAGTATGGTGGCTACGTCCTAGGGAAAAAGAAATACATTGGCCCGGGAAATCGTTTATTGATATTCCCTGCAATAATCTAAGCTTTATTTCGGCAATATCCATCCGGATACAGCACACTAAAACAAGTCTCTTAACAACCAATCCATGGTAAATCAAAGGAAAGAAACTTTATTTTGTTTTAGGACTAATATTAGCCTCAGGATGCTATACAAACGATACATTTGGTTCTTGGATAACGATATTCATCGCCAAAAACTGTTTGCTTATAACTGCTTCGCTTGGCTCATTTCCATTTTTGTCGGGGATAACCAGTGTTTCCAGCAATACAGGCACGTTTTAAACCCAATATGGAACTTCTTCCAATCTTATTTCCTGAGCTTTCTACCTCGATGTTGTCGGTTATAATGATGGCTAGGATACCCCTTGGTATATCTCTCTCGAGTAGGCGATTGATGGCGTCGACCAAAATAATGCGGTAGAATAACTAGGATGGCATAGCGTCTTGGATCCTTGTCCTGGGGATCTGGAATATCATTGACTGCTCATGATAGCTCGTTGAAGAATTGCTCAATTTCCGATCGAAGTCTTGCGGAATAACCGATGACTAAAAATTCATACATTCGATACAAGGATGTTGCTGGCTTGTTACCTTTAGTCAGCCACTTCTTTCCCTGTCTTTCCTTTCGGTAATTTAGGAGCCATGTGACATTGGGGGTACAAAATTCCTTGGCTGGGTTTTTATTCTCCTTTAGGCGTATCATTGGAATCAGCTCCAAGAACCGAGGCGTATGGGGACATTTTTGTGCTATTATTAATGCTATTTGATGATTGTGATCTCAGAAATGTGAACACCGACGAACAAAGCATAGATACTTTGTGATTGTCCACTAGGAGAAATGTAGATTTAATTATATAATTGGTCTTTACTTGGTGGCAAGTCTACTTTGCAGCCAGACGTAATCTGATCTAGGAAGAAGGAAGAGATCTGGCTTATCCGCCCATTGATCTTTAAGCCATGACGCATGATTTAGCTTACATTGGCGTTGTTGCGATATCTAGCCAGTCATAAGAAATTATTTACGACGTTTTATCTGTTTGGATGTATCAGTTTGGGGACCAACTGCATGATGCTACTCATACAAAGTTTGGTTTATAGCAACAATATATCATCCGTGGCAAACATCTAATTGAGAAAGCTGAACTTGTATACCGATTCCAGACCCAAATTTCGCCAGCCTCCTGTGTTTTAGCGTTTTTCCCTTCCAACAATATGCTACTGGTACTAGAAGTCACTTGTTGAGTATAGTTTATACACAATTAGCTTTTCGGTATCTATTTTCTGTCGAAACTTCTAAGTTTGAGAGTCAGGAATGACTCTGTATGTTCTCTTTCAAATTTATTATCCATAAAAAACTCTACTTGAGTTATTCGATGTCGAACTATTTAGAAGATTTATTCTCACTCATTTTTTTGTGGTCCTCTGCCAACGCATACTGCAACCTGGGTTCCTTCATTCTGTCTCATAGTTAAGGGAAGGGATAAGAATGTTTCTTAATAATTCACAATAATAAATGAACTGCAGTTATATGCCTAGGTCTTTATTTGATACGGATTTTACAATATTTAGAATTATTAGCAAGATCATATCACAGGCAGACATAGTGTAGACAACCGTTAAGGTTCTGTGCACCATTCGGTAAACAGTCAATTACTTTCATTGAACTTTGGATTTCCCACCTTCTAAGATTGGGAATGTCACAATAATCCCATTAAAGGAAGGAATTTTGACTATGTTCCTTCCTGGGCCGGAGACGGTTACTGATTTACCTTGAGTGGTCGACAAGATGAGAACGCCACTCGTACCAAGGACCGTTTCAAAATTTCCACCAATTCCCGCTGAGTTTTGCGACCATGAAGTCGAAAACTGTCCTGTTGGGCTTTTAAAACCTGCTTCGACGCTTTATAAGCCACCAAGTTCAGGCGCGTGAGCCAGGTTTTACCTCCAGCACCGGTCAACTGAATTCCCGCCTCTCAGGAAGTAAGTGTAAATGCTGGGTCTGTGGCCCAACATTGTTCACGGCTGACTCGTGGATCATTACTGTACGGGGCATAACGAAGACTGCCATTTGTAGAATGGCCCTCAATTAAAAATCTATTGGTCATACAAGGGCCTTCTAGCATGGAATCACCTCTCTCTGCTGAACCATGTGTTCCATATTGAGTATTTATAAGGGCATAATATTCATGTTCTTTTGTTACAAACTCTCCTTTTTGTGCAATCTGTTGAATCTTGAAATCACAAAGCGGGCGAGAAATAATATGAATGCCTTAGTTACTTGATATTTCTCTTATATTCGTTGTGTGTAGTGCTTAGCGTTAATGATATCATGGATTCACATTAGATTGAAGTTATTAGCATTTGAAATTCTCAAGAAGAATGTACCCTCTGTCAATGTGCTCCACCCAGCCATACTTGATTGTAATGTATGGCTAAGAGTAATAACTCCGGAACGAAACCTGTCAAATAATCACACCTGCTATACATATAGAGCTTCATTAGAGGTACCCAATAATGAGAAACATCATTTGGGACTGAACTTGTATTTTTCAACCATCATATCACCTCGATATGAGTTTTGATATACCGCATAGAAATTTTATAAGGCTTAGTTGCAACATGAATAGGCTCATGTAAATTCCTGGGGATAATTGAATATCAACTAGTCGTTAAAGTGTTGGAGAACGGAGTGGAGTCTGTCTTCCATCTCCTGGGAAAGATTCTGATATTGCAAAGATGCGGAACCTATATATTATTGTTAGGCAGCATTCTGTTCTGTATGACTGTAGTCTGGAAGGGACGAAACTGAAAAAAGCAAAAGAAGTCACCTACCCATCGGTGTGGGTGCATGATCCTCTGAGTTTTGACCAATTAATGTATCGCTAAGTGTCATGCATGCTGGTGGAACTCCGTCGATTCTTAGTGTTCCACTACTGGGCGAGGTGAACACAACTTGGGACTGGTTCAATTCACTCTTGCATAAGCTACCAGCTGGTTGAGGAAAGCTTGCAAATGCCTACCATGATGACGTTACCACGTTTGAAAATTGTAAACCATGGAAGGATTGACTCACATCTTCATCGCGCATCTCAATTTCTATATGATTCCGCCTTTGCAACGTTTTGAGAGTAATCAATACGCCTGCAGGAAATGCTCCACTTGTGTTGATTATATTTAATCAGTCAAAACGATCGCACTATTTCCATAGCATTATAAGGACACACGCGGCACCTAATAGGACTCCTTCCAGTATAGCAGGAGGTGCCGGACAAAATTGAACCATGAACATAATCATAGCAACAACCAGTGCGCCTAGATAGGTTGGGGGCTTCATTGTGTCAATCAAGAGCCTAACCAATCTAGTTAGGCGTTTAAAAGTTTGAAGATGAATACGTCGACTGTAAAGTAGAGGAAACATTGAAGATTACCAACCACACACATTCCAGTGGTTACATATATATAGCGAGACTCAGACTGTTCCCATGTTCATAGATTTCCGAAAGTCATATGTGCAATAGTCAGAACAAAGATTGCAAATATGTTTCGCAATGCTACCTTTTATTCAAATAGAATAGGGAAGCCTAAGACAAAATTAATGGATGACGAGAATGGCATAACAAAAGGTTTACTCCATTCCGTAGAAAGATTGAATCTTGGTGAAAGAGTCTACTCATATTAAATAAAAGGTATACCATTAAATAAGAATCCCGAACAAAAACTAATTCCGGGTTTGGGTATGAATAAGGCTCTAACAAAGTACTGTCAAAGCCACTAGTCTATTGTCGACCTGAATAATTAGCTAGCGAGAGCGGGACTCGACCTAATTATTTCCCTGGAGTACATCTATAATAATTCCGATGGACTGTATGATGTCTTTCCAGCTAATCACAACGCGCCCTAGTCTTTCTATAGACCGTACAAGGTACTTAACCAATCTCCGAATAATAGGTGAGTTTATATGTATTATATAATAACGTATAAGGCTCTGGTATATCATGAGAACAATAAATATCATATCTGAACCTCTGGAGCTTGAGGAGTTGAATTTATTAGAGGCATGTCTTGAAAAGCTCAATGTGTTTCATGCCAATGCATTAACATATAAATTTGGAAATTTTTATTTCTACAATAAAATATCAAGTTATCACAATCGAAGTATTCTCCTTAAATTCCAATACAAAATAGTTGAAAACGACCTTTTTCAAGAATTCTGTAGCATAGATTTATCATGAACCTCCGTCTTTGGTAGATTAAACTTATCCTTGCTCCAAAGATATATGGCAAATCTTACAGACCTAATCAATGTGTAGGAAAGTAGACCTGGAGAAACGATATTACGTTAACTGGAATCAACTTTACCCCAAGAAGTTTGGGGTTGAAAAAGATGCAAAGGATGACTCTAGTAGTGCTAGTAAAATTTGATGATAAAATAATAAAATTTATGTAACGTCCTGATTTCTCAACCATGTCGTCAATAGCATCACCGGTGATTGAAAAGCTTCTCATTCTAACTGGGCCAGCACGCTAGCAGACGGTGCAAAGAAGACTGTACCAGTCACTGGTGTAGAAAAGTCCAAAATGCGATCATGTAGCCCAGGCGGTGATCCAATAAACATTCGCTCGAGCATTTTCTCGATGACCCAGAGTCGTCTTGAATATCCAATGAAGTAGGTACCAAACTGACCTGATCCAGGTGATCCAAAGGGCATGTTATCACGAAGGATGCTATACTCATTGTCATCTTCATCTGTAATGGTAGCTAAAGACTTATGTGATTGTTGCTGGTCAGCCGCCGCATCATCCAGTTCTATGTTGTCGATCTTAGTTCGGCCAACTATTGCCTCTTGTTTTTCACTCGAAAGCCCTTTCCATGCATTCAGGTCATGTAAGTACTTCTGTACAACCACATAGCTCCCACCAACGTGTGCTGAATCGTCATCCTCTTGAGCAACGAGTGTTGCAGGATGCACTGATGACCCTACAGGATTCGCCGTGCCATCGACGAAGCCAAGCAGGTCTCGCGTGTCGAAGTACCGGAAACCAGTAGTCTCGTCAACTACCGCAACCGAGTTACCGAGTAGATCAAGGAGCTGCCGTTCGAATTCAAAACACAGGTCTTGCCGTTCTGCGCGAATATGGAATAACAAGTCCCCCGGCGTTGAGACCGCGACATGGGTTTTCCCCTTGATAACGGGGAAAGGGTGCAGTTCCGCCGGCCGTGGCAAACCTGTCAACCGATCCCAGACACCACTACCAATAGCAGCAACACATGTAAAGCCCGCACCTGGGTCGCGTATTGCAACATTCTTCGACAGGTCTTCAATGCTTGCTAGAGCCGATCGCACCGTATTAGTGGCGTTATCAGTTTCGGCCACAGATAGCACGAGAAACGTTGCCGATGCAGTAAGCGGCGCGTCAACGCGTTGTGTAGACACAGACATGCTGGTATTTCTGTTGCTATTTGTTGTGTAAAACTTGATTGGTGTAGGACTCACAGACCACGTATGCGATACGTGAGTTTTACCGAGCGCCAGCAAGTTCGGATTCGAATATATTGATTGCAGTGAAGGCAAATGACACCAGGCCCTGTTCCAAAATATTCGATGCGGGGCAGAAGTACGCCACGATTTTTCGAGGATAGTTCTGTAATTATTCATCTCTCAGCCAGTCGTAATCTGACGAGGATATTTTAGTGAATAGCGGGTAAGCGATTATTAATAACACAGCTCTTCGCGCAGGGTGAGTAATAGACTATTGGAAACTCAAAATATATTTACTGCTCCATCGCTCGATGCCGTTTATGGACCATTGCATATGGAGCGGACGAATAGACTGTGTTTCATGCTAGAGAAGCCGGGTCTGTTGCGGGGCAAGTCATGAGGTCAGACATAGAAATCGATAAATGCATTCATCCCTTGACAGGAAAAGCGACTGCTGATTGGTGATACCTTATCACCGCTATCAGCTCTACCCAAGCGTACCAATTGATATAGCCATGCGGATAATACAGTAGTAATGTAATTGCCAGTACATGTTTTCAGTTGAGTTGAAGAGTACATTACACGAACACAGAATCTGGGTTGGAACAAGTGAATTAATTTCACCAAAAGTTAATACAATATACTATTTTAGGAACAAATCGTAGTGAATTATTCCAACGGGCTAGCCAGAGGAATTTGTCCCGATAAAGCATCTGATTGGTCATCTACTATTACCGGAATCAGACCCAATGGATCTTGAGATTCCAATGGAATCTACATGGTAATAATTTGATTTGACAAAAATTCAAGAAAAGAAAAATTCGAGGCGCAGAATACTGAGCACTTCATATCTACCATAACTGTCATTAAGCCCTAACTATGTCGATCTGTCTATAAAGATTGACAGTCGCAAAGTAAAATTGGTATGTTAGATATTTTCGGAGAATGATATTTAATTTCTAATAATGCTGTTAATCGGTTTAGAATGGCAATTAATTTATGTCAGCATGAGATCGGCACGTTGAATGAGCTACATATGGTGTGTTACTCGGTATGTACACGGAGAAGTGATGTTCAAGAGGGAGTTATATGGGAAAGTCAGGGTTTAGATTGACTTAAATGCCTGGATTCTTCCATTAAAATCTGAAGTATCGTTTTATGTACATTGGAAATTTTGATATTATGTTTGGGTAGAAGAGTAGTCATACAAGAGGAGACTGAGCATTAATCCTCTCTAGCGTCGCTGGGATTAGACAGGGGAAGCATGAGTTTTGAGGATGCGATTGGACCAAAAATTGAAAATGTCGTGCTGGGATAGCGAGGCCTCCCATACTTTTTGTTTGACAGCACTTGCCACTTCTGGCCGTTATAATATGCCGTCAGAGCTTTTATAGCTCATTTCATCTCTCAGCAATTGAAGGAATGTATGAAAAGACGTTCCGTCGCTGTCACTACTGACTGACGGTGGTGATGGGATTGAAGGTGAATCACGGCCCAGTTCAGTGATTCCTTCAGTTGCGGATATAAACTGCGCTTCGCCTTTACCAGGAGAAGCTATTTTCGCCTAGTTAGCTATTGCATATGTATTATACATGAGTTTTTCTAGTCTTGAAAAACGTTGTGGGATCATTATGATTACCTTGTACGCGAGGGTCAGCGTCAAAATAATCGAGGTTGACCTGGAGAGAAGCAGTGTGCCGTTTCTTCTTTGCAGGAGATTTTAAAAGTGAACGTGAAATGGCACAATTATCATCTTCTGATCTTAGATCTTTTTCATTGGTTTCCAATATACCCAGCTCGTTCTGAGGGTTATGACTCTCATCCTTACACGGCGCATTGGTGTCGTCATTGCCATTGAGGTGACTATATTCGTCATCCGTTATAGGATGTAGGCCAAACACGAGGTCCATTTCGTTCGTCTCAAGGCCTAGGATGTCATTTTGTGAGTGTCCAATAAGAGCGGAATTTGTGGGAGAAGAGACGAGTGTCCAAGGAACTCTAGTCCCTAAGACGATTGAAGGTACGTGACGAACTTGTTCAGGAAGAGCAGTTTCGTTTGGAAGTCTGCCAAGTGAAAGGCCGTATTCGACAGATTTGGAAATGTAAAGATACGCACGAGGATATCGCAAATATGCTTCATTCCAAGTGGTAGCTCGCGGCTTGAAGGATGAACGTCGCAATATGGATTTCCTAGATCCCGAAATATATTATGTTATTCGAAATACCATATCGATATCGTAGATATGACATACCCTTTTCTTCGAAGAAAAAGCTCCTTTATAATGGCGTACGCCAACTGGAGAATCTGGTTGGTACCCGCTGCGACGAGGTCAGTCACCTCGTAAAGTGATCGAGACTGCCGAATAATCTCCGCAAACTTATTAAGGCGATTTCTCCTCACAAGCATTTGCGAATATGAAGGGGATAGTTTTAGGTCGATTGCAGAAAGTATGAGGGGCATTCCTACATAAGCCAGTCTGCGGGAGTCTTGTTAGAAAGATCAAGCTTAACAACATCTCACACAGGCTAGCCTTACACGCTCAGTGGTAACAGTCCGCCCCCTCTTCGCGCGTTGAAATAATCGATAACCAAAATAAGGCCATCGATGGCCCTACGTAAATCTCGTGCAATTTCCTGTATCCGAGTAGTGTAGTTTATCTTGATATCCCAATCTTCATTCTCGGCGAGTAGAGCCTCGTGGTGAGCAATTGATATTTGAGCCGTGCTGGATCATTTAATATTAGGTAGGAAAATTGAAGCAAGGAAGGGGTTTCATTTACAAGTAGTACATAGACGTAACCTGAGTTAACAGTATGACCGATTCATGAAGTGCGGAGGTTGATTCGGGGTGAAAAAACGTTGATTGTTGACTCCATTGGATCAGTCGATGCTTTACCGCTTGGAGGACAGACATTGATCCATTCATATTCGTGGATGAATAGGTTTGAGGCAAGGGGCCGGGCGGAGGGAAAATAATGGACAATCCATCATTCAAAAGCACAGCCAGCTGGCACTGTTCCTGAAGAGCCGCAAATAGTTGACGTTTGACGTCTTCAGAAAAAACGTGTGAGTTTCTAATTTCGTCCTCAAACTCTTTCTCTACAAGGCGATTCGAATCTGCCATGAAATTGACGGCTGTTACTTGAGGATGTCGCCGCAACCCCAGACACAAGCTACGGTCACGAAGAATGATTGACCACCACAGCCGCTTGGTCATTGATTTATCGATTTCGTCACCTGGTAACATTGGATGAGAGTCCAATGTCATCGCAATTCGAATTCCAACAGCCAGCCAGATGCTTGCTGCTTGTGGGTCTTCAGCAGAGCTGTGGTGAGAAAGCAGAACAGCCCCCTGTGCCTTAGCTAGGCTAGAATCTTCTGCATTAAGATCAAACAAAGTCTGTTCAGGATAATTAATTGCCAATGAATTTTGAGCTTTGACTCAGGTTGTGCTTGCCTTTGCCCTTTTGTATAGCTCTCGCCTTGCAGCACGCTTGTCATTGAAACCGCAGGCACGCAGCGTTTCTAGGGACACAAACTACACGGGTTATAAAGTTTTGATCAGTGTTATCCGTGGAGAAAGATAAATCATGAGTCGTACCGCGCAGCAAGAAAATAACATAGCCTGAAAGACGAATAAGGACAGCTTTTTCACGTTTCCATGGCCCAAATACAGACGCCAGAACTCGGCCTCGTCGATCATTGGAACAAATGGGTGTACTACGGTGAAATACTGCTTCACAAAATCGTCGAGGGAATCTTTGAGCGGGACATGTAGACACCGCTTTAAAACGAGGTAGTCAACATCATCCTTCGGAAGAGATGAAAGACGGTTGACATCCAGGAACCCGTAAGACGAGTATATTATGTTACCATCTGCAGGAGCATTATCGAAGATATCGCTGCTCGGGTCATGTGAGTTGTGAATTGTATCTATCGTATGAATATCACCTGAAATATTTTCCAGAGATGCCGGAATACCCAGTTGGTCAGGTCTTGGTTGATTTTCATTTTGTGTAATTTCATCTAAAGCTGTGCTAGATGCGTCTGGTGTATCTAGTGGGTTAGTGGCGTCGTCGGTCGCAGCAGCTTTTAATCTATTTGCAATATTCAGTATGTACAAGGTTCCATCGAAACAGACTCAAAAATCAAAAGTGGCAGAATCTGTTTCATACCCATTGGAGTTTTTGGAACGAAGTGCGCAGTCATCCCGGCCATCCATACGGCAATTTGTGCAGGGCAATCCATGAATTAATGCATCGCATCTGACCTTCCTTTTGTGACATGTGTAACATGCTGCAGCCGCACGGCGAGTTCGCCGAAGTATGGGTTGGTTCCGTGGTCGGTAATCAAGCATCATTGACCTTCTGCCCTCTCAGGAGGAGGGAAATTGCGCAGCTGGTAAAATGAGCCTGGTGTGCGTGAGCGTGAGAGAGAGATGGGCATATGCAATGCGTCTAACCCAACCCGTTCCCCCGCTAGGCTCGGCCTCAAGGTGGCTAAGTTGGCACTGAACTGCCCCGAAAAAATAAATCCCAGCAAAGTTGGGGTAAGCAGATACAAATCAGACAGTCCCTACACTTCGCTAATGATGTTTTTTGATTATTGTCTGGGAAAAATATTATTCCTAATTGCTAGACAGTGGGCTAACCATGGAGTGTCTTATCCGATGCAATCTAATACATCGGCAAGTTGGCTGTATGAAGCCAAGTTCCCGCGCAAAACGCATATAGCCTATTCCGCGAAGTAGCCTTTTTGCGCCAAGTCGAAACAGTAACACCGTAAGCAACGAGCCCTCTTTCCCTTCAATCATGAAGGGGCGGTATAGCAATGACAAGGAAGAAAGAAGGTAGAAAGAAGGAAGTAAGAGATAATGAGAAAAAGAGAGGAAAGACAAATAAGACAACATTTGAAAAGAGCCTCTGTATATTATAAATGCCATATGATGCTGCACAATTCGTAATCTATCTTGAAACCAGTGGAAGAGAAATAGCAACTTCTATCTTCACGTTCGTACTATGAGATGACTATTCTCGGTACTGGTAGAAAGGCATATTCATCTAACAGGCAGCGTAGCAATTTTAATGCTAAGACTTGTGGCCATTTTTAAAATTATAAACAATAATACTATTAAGTATTATTGTAACCCGGGCTTTGGCTTCTGCAAAATACCCCGCAACAGTTGGATGGAAAAGGGAAGGCGATGCGGAAGGTAGAGTTCCTCGGGATCTCGGTTGCAAGCCTATTTCTCCACTTCCAACTAGTCTACGTAGCTCTTTATTTTGTTACACATAGCTAGAGACGGAGCTCACTTTGGTGCAAGTGTGTGCTTGGCTGTCATCCACGTGGTGATGTCAGCTTTCGACTGTTATTGCTGTGGAGGGAGACCTTGTGAGGGGTAACCTGTAATATACCCTGTGCAAGAGGTATATAATCAAATGACTATATTTTTCACTATTATACCAAGCATACCCACGCTAGCTGTTTTGTGTAGACTACGAATTAAAAAAATATAATGTAGATGTGGCAAGAAATTAATTGATAGTGCACTAACCAAGGGCTGAAACATATCGTTCTATTTAATTTGCCAATCGACGTCGCATATCTTTCAAGTAATACCGCTTGGGATACGTGCGAATGAACCTTGGTAATGCTGGGTAGATTGCACGGGTGATCCCTAGCGTTATTTTGTAGCCAACTCTGCGAGACCTACTAGTTTTCAGCCCAAACTCCTCACGAAACCGCTTCGGCAGCATCTCCGCTGTAACCAGACGAACGAAAGGAAGAGTAGCACGGACTTGCAACGGTGCGGTTTTGTTATAGAGCAAACCCTTGGCTACATTCTTGGCATTCTGACTGATTTGCAAGGTCTGGATTTGCTCATCCCAGTATTGCCAAAATGATTTTCGGTCCTTGGGCCACATCGACGGTGGAACACGTAACGAAACAGCTAGAATGGCGTATTCTCTGTAGATTTTTTCAGATGTCTCTTCATCTAGATCTCCAAATATTCTTTGATACAAGTCGATTCCCACTGCATAGAGTGTCGCAGCAACCCATGTCTGCAGAACAGGGTCGTTGGCAGAGTAGTCTGATCCTTGAACAGGGGCATGGGCTTTGTTGACTAGATCAATGATGGCGGCTTTCTCCTGCTTGGTGCCATAAACCATACAATATATGTATGTCATAGTGGTCCGTAGCCGGTCCAATGGACGGTATGCGAAGTTGCTATGCTCATCAACTCCTTTCGCCACCCCAGGGTTGGCCACTTGGAGAAGAATTGCGACTGCCCCGCCCGCAAGAATAAGCCCCTCTTGCACAATTTTGAGGATTTCCTCGGGCCTTTCCAAGGCCTCGAGAAGCTTTTCGTCGACTGCTGAGCTATCATCTACCGCGTTTGAAGTTTGGTGGGTAATTGCATCTGAAGCCGACTCATTTTGCGATTCTGGTTTTTCCTTTAAAACGCTCATTTTCACCAAGTTCGTTATATGTCTAGACAGTGATAAATGGCGCGTTCTTTCTACCGTAAAATTAACTGGCTTAGAGTCTAGACAGAAGAATATGAAGAATTAAATGTCTGGATGATCATATATAGCGATTGATGCAGTTCCTGATACAGCAATGGATTGACGTAGGTATCAGAGGTAATTAGAGCAGGCCGAGGAATGTGGTACACATCATCGTGTAACCCGCTCCGATTTGAACGCCCCGGTGCATATCTTCAAGATGGTGTACAAATACACCCCTTACCTCGGACTGTTCTACCGCGGTTCGTTACAGCACAGCGAAAATCACAAACTTTCTCAGTTGATTGATTGGCTGCTCTCACAAAGTCATATGTTAATAATATCCCCATTATGCTCCTCCTCTATTTAGCGAGCATCTGTTCGAGCGACTAATGCCTTGCGACTTCCACTCGTATAGTTCTCCGCACTTTCTATAGTCAATCTCAAAGTCGAATCAAGTAGTTTTTAGGGTAATCAATATGAAAATTAAACTGTGCAACGATGGTGGTTCATATAAATTAACTTTATGACCTTCAAACTGAACCAGCCGGGCTAAGATGTTGTAAACTCCAATATTTGCCCGTTATATACCCGTAATACTTTTCAGTATCGGTCAGGGACCTCTGACAGAGGTAAACAGTGCAATCCTTTGAAGATGGCTAGGGACGTCGGAAGCAGCAATACGGTGTCGAAGAAGTGGCTCCAAGACAATAAATATACCATTGGTTTCAAACAGACATCTCAATATCAAGCGGCGGTACTCAAATCTAAAGGGAGTTTGCATAATACAACTGGGTCATTGGAAGAGGGTAAAGAAATTGAGCATATTGAGAAAGTCGAAAATATAAGGGCTAGTAACACAAATTCAAAGTGGAAAATTTTCAAAAGACATTGGAGGAGGTTTTGGTGTTGCTACGTTGTTGCTGGCGTGGTTGGTCTGGCAATATTTTTGCCCCTTTTGTAAGCTTTCATCAACACGTCATCGAGAAAGATAATAAATAGGTTGACATGAACCAGCTTTATATATGCCTTCCCAGCCATTGCACAGTTGATGGTAAATAACGCTGATCTTCCAATCTATTCGGTTATGATCATGTCACCTCGACCGGATAATGTGATAGTGTCATTGCAGGCAGGGTTAACTGTACCAGCAGGCATCTCTGTCAATCTTGAATCGATTACTCTCAGTCTATTCAATCGCAATGTTACGCCCTTTCAACCCTATGTGGCTGTCAACGTGCCGGGCCAGCATTTGAAAGGCAGGTCGCATGTCGACATCTCTAATCAAACAGTTACTATATTGAACAAAAGCCAATTCGTTGCCTTCTTAAGAGAGGTAGTGTATAGCAAATGCTTTACATTGTCAGCAAAGGGCTCTACAACCGCTCATATTGGGGCACTGAAGGTTCCCCTAACACTCAACAAAGATGTACAGCTTAATGGTTAGTATTATCCAAATCCAGGATTGGAGATAAACATGAAAAATGACATAGTGTCAGGGCTGGATGCCCTGTCAGGATTTTCCATACAAGAAGCTAAACTAGTTCGACGTGAGAGCGACGGGACAAATTTCCGTGGGGTGGCAGTTATACCAAATTATTCCATTGTTTCATTTGCTTTGGTAATTCCGAGTCCAATGTTAATTTTCAAGGTACATCTTCTGACACCCAACAGGGAAATGTCACTCTGAATTTGAAAGCGGCAGATTTTGTCCTCGGACAAGGAGTGATAGAAAATGTTGTGCTCAAGCCAGGAAATAACACTGTTGATATCAAGGGTTCGCTATCCATCGCCACAGTGCTTGATAACTTGATATCCATTGCAGCAGCGGAGAAGTCAGCAATTTTGAAAGGTAACTTGGAGCTGTCCGCGTCTGGTAACGCCACCATCTATGAGGGTGTTCATATTACATACTACGAATCCGTACTCAATAGTTTAGTTATGACGGCTGATGTCCCCATCCTGGAAGTACTCTCCGATACAATAAGTGGCCTTGTGGGCTCCAATACTACTCTTTCCGCGTTGCTGAATGGAACAAACAGTACTCTTTCTAGACTGCTTAATGGAACACTCGAGTCTGTCGGCCAAAGTGAAGTCTATGGGGCATTGACGAAGTTGGGCACAATACTGGGTTCATAATGAAACATATGTCATTTTATCTCATGCTCCAAAAACATCACAATAAGATTACACCATAACATCTTATGTCGACAATGGTGGTTTGTGTTGGAATTATCTCACTGTAGCATGGGTGCTATGGCTCGGGGCTCAGGCACCAGGTAAATAGATGCTCGTGGCCCTTAGGCTTCCTTTATTTACTCACCAAACAAGCAACCTAGTTAATACACACGTTCAATATCTGTTATTATGTGCCCTCGTAATGTATTTTTAATATTTCAGTTCCAAGATTCTGCTGAGCCAAGACTTCATACGGGGCTAAGTATGTGCAATATTGGTTGACTAGATTGAAGGATTTTCTGCGATAAACTGTATTTTTTAATTACCTTTTCTAGTATCTATTATATTTGCCAATATAACTAGTAAAGTCCTCTCTGCCTGTATATAGATAAATAAAAGAGTTACTGTGGACATCCAACATCTACAGCTTGGGCGTAATCTGGCCGGCGTAATAGTCTTTCTTACTGTCCTCCCTCAAAAGCCTCTTCAATATTTTTCCACTCGCATTTTTAGCTATCGTATCCACAAATTTCACCCCCCCTGTCAGAGATTTGTATTTCGCAAGACGGGTGGATAGGTACTCCTTCACTTCTGATTCAGTCAGCTGGGAGCCTGCTGGGCCCGGCCTACGCACTACATAAGCACGAGGCAACTCGCCATCAGCTCCAGGGATACTTAATCCAATGACTGCGGCATCGACAATCTGAGGGTGTGAAAGCAGAACAGCTTCAAGCTCTGGAGGAGCTACTTGAAAACCGCGTACTTTGATAAGTTCTTTTTTGCGGTCCACAATATACCATTTCCGCGTTACCTGGTCGCAGTATCCAATATCGCCTGTTTTGAACCAACCATCAACATCAAAGCCCTCAGAGTTGGCCTTTGGATTGCCGAAATACCCCGGTGTTACCGTTGGGCCACGGACACAGATCTCTCCGCGAACTCCGTAGGCGGAAATATCGTGGCCCTCATCATCCACAAGCCTGGAATTATACAGTTAGTATACGTCCAAATATTATCACCAAGTTATGAGCATACTTGAGTTCAACATTGGGAATTATCCGGCCAATTGAACCTGAATCATCACGTTCATCGTGAGGAAACATGGTAGCGATACAAGATGTTTCTGTCATTCCCCAAACTTGATTGAATGTAGCTCCCTCGCCCATCAATTGGAGAACTTTGGCCTGCAAATCTTTATCAAGGGGGGCAGCTCCGCACGAAGCGTGTCGGACGGACTTCAAAAAGGGCCTTGTTCTCGTATAGGGCGACATTAGAATGGCAATGACAAGAGGCGGCACCAACGCCATTTCAGTCACCTGGTATTTCTCAAACGTTTGGAGGAACAACTGCAGCTCAAACCGACGCATCATGTAGATGACCTCCCCCCCAGAAAGTGCACCAACGTGTGTTGACGGAGCTGCGGCAGCATGAAAGATCGGGATAGCAACAACGCGCGATACCTGTGGAATAACAAAGTATGGTCACTAAGCTTACCAGAATATAGGGACTTGAAAAACTTAGACAGGGATATTCCTACACTGTGGGGTCGCGGATGAGCTTTGGATGTCAACTCTTGTTGTGCAATTAAATTCAGGTGCGTGATTGTCACTGCTTTGGGCAGACCAGTAGTACCACTGCTAAAAAGTCGTGCTGCTGCAGTATTGCGCGAGGCATTCGCGTCCTCAAAACGGACCCAGTCTTGTTCGCCGTGATTCAGCAAGCCTTTCCACGACCGACTACCAGGTGGAAGTGTTTGTCCTTGGGTGTCAAATATCCATATGTTCGCCTCTGAGATTTTTCTTTCTTTGGCAGCTACAAGAAGGGGAGCTAGAATCTCAGGTTCTGATATGAGAAACTTGGCTTTAGAAGTTTTTATGTGATGAGCAAGCTCTGCAGCTGTGTAAGACGGATTAGTTCCTGTGAACACACCACCTGCACCGATGATGGCGAGGACTAGCATGCAATAGTAAATCTGTTCAAAATATCAGTTTCAATGGCAATATGTGCCTATATCTATTACTGCTCAGGTCTTACATCGTTGAATGAGTGGATGGCGATGCAATCCCCTTGCTGGACTCCCGCAGCTCGCAGGCCAGCGATGAGCTGGCGAACGATCTTCCGCGCCTGGTTGCAAGAAATAGATCGTGATGTACTGTGAACATCGATGTATATCTGGCTTGGTTAGTTTTACTGGCCGTAGATTTTATCAGGGGCTTCAGTAATTAACGCACTGGCTTGTCCTGGTCGTAGTTAGGGTTGTCGAAAATATAGGAGAGAATATCCTTAGTCGGAAGATCGAGCTGTCTATCTGCTTGAAACATAGCGACGAATTGACTGTCCAATGTGAAAATATGGTTATTCCAATGACCTTTGAAAGGCCTTGACAAGTATGTACTTCAAGAAAGAATGCGGAGAGGAAGGTTCGTATGAGAAAACCTGGTTTATGCAAGTAGGCGCCAATGACGGTCCAACGGTCCGAGGACGCGTCTTGGGGCCAGGCTCCTCGACGGGTCGGCAGCTCGGGAAGCCTATTAGTTTGGGCCAGAGGCGGGGGTTGCGGGGGTTGCGGGGGTGTGCTGAATGTGGTTCGATCACCAATTGGACTCGTCTTACGTGCCACTAAGGTCACCAAACATGGTTAGCACGCAACTGGAGGATTGTGATTCAACAGATTGCTGGCAAAGCTATCTTGTTGGTTTATCCTGCATGTAACCTGGTTATCTCCGCTGTTTTCGACCGGACCACTCGGCTCCAAGTACTTACGAGTCGAAAAGCCGATCAGATTGGCCAATTAAAAAAAAGGGGGAAAGGTAGGAAAGGAAGAAGAGGAAGGAATGCAGCACAGGAGAGGTGAAAAGTGAAAATGCAGAGTGCGAAAGTGTCGGCATGGAAAAGCATAAAACGGCCCTCTTCTTTGCTTCTCCCCTCCCTTCCACAATTTCCTCGGCACTTAAATACGTAGTCTCTCGGTCTATTTTGGCAGCTGTCAGTCGATATCAGTCTTATATCTCAATTGTTGCTGGTAACTTTTCACGTATATCAATCCCATTTTGCTTTATTGGTTATCGTAGACTAGTGCAGCAGCCTTTGGCCCCGATCCTACAGGATGGCCGCTTATACATCGGACGAAGAGGTCGACAAGTCATATACTAGACTGCGTGCCACTTTTCTCTCTGGGAAAACAAAGTCTATCGCTTGGCGCAAATGGCAATTAAAGCAGGTCTGGTGGCTGGTAAATGACAACAAGCAGCAACTGCTAGATGCACTGCATACCGATCTAAATAAACATAACTATGAGTCGTTCTTTACGGAGTGCACAGGAGTTCTCAATGACGTTTTGGATCATCTTGAGCATATAGAGGTGTGGACGAAGCCCAAGCATCCAGAAGGGTCCTTGGTCATGAACTATCTCATGGGTGCTACTCTCAGCCCAGAGCCACGAGGTTTAGTGTTGATAATTGGTCCATGGAACTTCCCAATATCGCTTATTCTACAGCCGCTGGTTGCTGCCATTACAGCGGGCTGCACTGTACTACTTAAACCATCAGAAATGGCTAGGGCAAGTCAGGCTTGCTTGGAAGAGCTCATACCACGGTACTTAGATAACGATGCCATTCGCGTGATTACAGGTGGCCCAGCGGAAACAACGAGGCTTTTACAGAGACAATATGACCATATCTTTTTCACAGGCTCACCAGGAGTTGGACGCCACATTGCACTTGCTGCCGCCAAGCATCTGACGCCGACGGTGCTCGAACTCGGTGGACAAGGTCCATCAGTTGTTACTGCATCGGCAGACATTGATTTTGCAGCGAAGAGTATTGTGTCAACAAAATACATCAATGCTGGCCAGATATGCCTTGCCGTTAACCATGTATTGGCCCATCCTTCCATCGCAGCAAAACTTGTCGAGCGTATGCAGTATCATCTCAAACAATTCGACTTGGACGGGTCCAAAGCAATGACAAAAATAATCAACAGAAAGAACTTTGATCGCTTGAAGTCTGCTATTGAAGCAAGTAACGGAACCGTTGTCTACGGAGGAGTGGCAGATGCCGAAGCGCTGAACATTCGACCAACTATCCTGACAGATGTAAAGGCTACTGGTCTGGCTTCCTTTCTTTTGGTTTCCTTCCTTCCCTTAACACTGGAACCTTTCTCTAAACAAACCGTAAAATTGCGCTGACTCTAGCATGTATCTTGCTATGTGCTGATTTTTGATGCGATAGATCCGATCATGAATGATGAGATTTTTGGCCCTATATGCCCCATTTTGATTGCCACAACTGCGGAGGCCATTCAGTCCATCAATAGGTAAGAAGACAGCATAATCTAACATCAACTCACGGCCCTGACACTCATAGCAAACCGCATCCGCTTGCTATTTACATTTTTAGCCATAATCAGAAAGAAATTGACGAAAGTATTTGCGCCTCAATTGAATGACTAACAGCATCGGCATGCTAATAAGATTTCGCAGTAATTGCGTCAACTATATCCGGTGGTGTCACCGTCAACGATACGTTACTTCATTCTGCTGTCCCTGGTGCCCCATTTGGTGGTGTTGGGGAGTCAGGCTACGGAGCCTATCATGGAGCATACGGCTTCACGGAATTCTCCCACATACGCATTATTTCACAGCCGGGCCGTCTTGTTAGGTCCTTTTTCTCCCTTCGTTTCCCGCCGTATTCAAAACAAGATTTAAACAAAATTGATATTAAAAACCGTCTAGGTTTCAAACGGGGTGAAACAATGGCAGATCAGACAATACGGCTTGAGCAGGCCCTTTGGAATAAGGGTGGCCAAATTTTGCGGTGGACAATTGTATTTTGTTTTGTTGTTCTAGCAGATAAGTGGTCCGGAAGTTGGCTTGGTCTGTGGTGGTTGACGACTCAGGCTGGTCGATTAGCTAAACAGCTGGAGCTTTCAAACGCAAGTATCTTAAGTTTTCATCGGCGAATATGGACTTAGTTTACACATCCTTTATGTTTTAGTTGCTAGAGGGCAAATATATATATATCAATTGATTGGATAGAACATTGAAAACCATCTAAATCATTTAAGGAGATTATTTCAAAGTCTTATCCAAGATATAATTATCTACACGTAGTTTTGGATGTTCCATAGAATTAAATAGGCTTAAATACATGTGTTTCAAACAAGGATTCCATGTTTAGAGTATCCTTGATTGCCGCTGTATTTGAGCTTTCTCGGATCTAACCACAAATCGCAAAATCAACATCGCTACTACCGCTGAATCTTATCAAGCAATCTTGAATAAGCCATACCTCCATACGACATTGTCCTCGGAAAAACTTTTCAAAGTAGTTAGGTTTCAGAAAGGACAACCTCCCTTTCTATTCCTCCTTAAAGTTGCCATGGTCTCTTCCATTTGTGATACACCCTTACCTTCAAAAACTCTCGGGCCAACGCTCCAGCTTTGATATCCTTGCGGACAATATTTGTCACCGTCGTCACCAGGTAGAGGCAAACCAGTCAGCCGTCTACCCCAAGCGCCGATACCCCATCGATTCCATAACGTGGGCTTAACATAGTATGGAAATGCGTCCCATATCTTGAGGAAATTTCGACCCTGATCATTTGGTCTTTCAGTGAAAACGTCGTAGCGCATAAAAAAGGGTCGTGGAAGAGCTAGATGACGGAGGAAAGCCCTTCTTATGGCCAGCATCGTTGAGAAAATAATTTTATAAATGCGATGTGGGGGTTTGTACCTATACAGATGAAATTAGCGCAGTCAATAAAACAAACCGAAGCACTCACATCATGGCATTTCGCAATCTGTCATCCATTATGAAAGAAACAAATGCGACACCTGTCGGCTCCAAGAAGTGCGGTAACGTGAAAACCAAAACATCGGTAGTCTTATCAGCAACTTCTTTGTTTTTCGCATGGGGTTTCATATTGGCAACTTCATATGCATCGCTCCACGCACCAATCTCCTCCAGCCAGTGCAGCCCATCACGAAATGTGTCTGACTTTTCTTTCTTTCCCGACGGGAGACACTCGTAACTGATTCCAAGGGCATCACCCAGGCTCTTCCAGTATGTACCAAGAGCGCATCTCTCAAGTTCAGTCAACTCACGCCATTCGTAATTCTTGATAAAACGGATAGGCTCGAGTGCAAAGAGACTGAGTGTATAAAGCATATCCTCTTCGAGAATCTTGCCACTATTTCTATATCCAGTGTGCAGAAATTTGGTACGAGCAATAGCTTCGTGCGTGCGGAGAGATGATGGTTCAAATGCCATGAACTCGCCGATCAAGATAGCGGTATCAGCATAGCGCTTGAAAGATGTCGCTGTGCTCGAAAGCTCCGTTGTCCTGGCTAGCAAACTCGATATCGTCGGGATGCCGTATGTCTGTGTCACTATTAGCTCGAAGAACTCCAAAAAAATCGTAAAGGAGCGAATATGTACCCGGAATAGCGCGAATTGTAAAGATTTCAAACTGGTAAAAGGGAATTCAAGCTGCAGAATTGCTTTTTGGATTTCCCATGCGTCATGGTCTGTCATTCTCCAGAAAGTATCCCGTGTATAAGGGTATTTCTTTTGCAAGTACCGAACTCTGGAATAGCGAAGAGAGGCTACGATAAGAAGGTATAAAACAGCACATGATATCCCATATATGAGAAACTCTTTTGAAGAATGTAATTGAATGTTTTGAAACTGGCTCATAATCAAACTTGCTAGTTCACCAGGGGTTGGGTCGTTGATCTGGGTTATTTGCGGCATCGTAGACGTGGTTTAAACAGCAAATATGGGTTGGTTGATAGGTCTAGAGGTTTCTACAACGTCTCTTCGTTGCTTTAATTGTTTTTTTATTGACTGAGGGTTCCTTAAATATTATCTAACATTAAATACTGCCGTTATAAATGTCTATGCTCTTAGATGGTTTATATTCACGATTATAGAGGCCGAGGTCAAAAAATGAGACATAAATTCGACTTCTTGCATTTTTCTGGAAACCAACGTCCCAATAAGCCTAATTGAGGTCATAAAAGTATCCGGCCATCCGGATAGACAACTTCGCAGCATATGAGAGTGCGGAGATACTACCGTGATACCGACAAACCGAGGAACCGCAGCCATACATTGGTCTAAGAACAATTAAGCCGTAACCGATACACAAACGTTTCATCGAACATGTTTGAACGGGTTGCATAATTATTAAGCCAAATAAACTTTGCAGCGCCGTAATAATTTGGATATGTGGCGGTCCTATATGAAATATGGTGATTTTGATTCGCCTGAGACCGAATATAGATCGTTGTTGGTAAACCGAGGTTGGAAATAAGTATGCATCAATGACCTGCGAAAGTTAAAGCTCGTCGTTGTGGGTGCTTCGGATGAGTACTTTCCGGATCGCATGATAGGGTTCATACTCCTCAGGATCCCCGGATCTCATTAAGGGCCAAATATTAAGGGTGAGCAGGGCAGTCTGACTTTGGTCATAGGTGGGACTCCAGTTGACAGTGCAGGTGCGGGGTAAAAAACGCTATGAATATCTCCTCTATCACAATATTGTGGGGGCCAATATCATAATGCCAGCGGCGTTTTAATTTTAATTTTTGTGAATTTCAACAGCCATTTTAATCTTGATTTACTCATCTCTATCTACGAAAATCTACCTCATAACAGGTCTCGCGCCTAAAAATTGTAATGGGACCCATATGTCGGTACGATTTCATTCAACACGTTAGTCATCTCTCGGTTAGAATGCTATATCCATCGAAATACAGAGAATAGCAATACAAAAATAATAATATTACAGATGAATGCTAAAAGAAGGTAACGGCTACATTCCACTCAGCATTCTGAGGTAGCGGGTCAAAGTCGGTGAGCTACTTAAATAGGCTGTTTTATTCGAAAGAGTTGTGACAACCTTCCCACTATTTCAATGTTACCATCCAATTGTCACAATCTATGGGATTCCTTCACAGTGGATCCATTCTATGCTATGGATAGATGCTCTTTACGTTATCTGGATACCTTCGGCTATATATTAGAGCCCTAGATCTTTCATAGCACCAAAATGCACACGTTCCTTAATCGTTATATCAATTGAATTAAAATTGTAATGACCATTCGATGGTGAATATGTAGCACTTGAGGTGAAGACAAGCTCTAGATGCATTATTTATAACCAGTGATTGAATTTGTTGAGAGCAGCCTTTGGATTATATTGATATACTGACAATATCTCTCACCTAATAAATACATTTAATGACATTGTCATAGTTCCAGATGGAACCCTTCAAACTTAGCAGTAGTCTCGATTGTATCAAGGAGCACCACCAATTAAACGAAGTAGGCATGATCTGAGAACCGCAATGAACCGCAAAAGCAGAAGTATTTCGTGCCACGAGGGTAACAATACGCGTATCATTTAAGATTGTCCCAGGATGGCGGCCGCAGCCAGCGGAACAAGACAAATAAGGAACAAAATTACAACGCAAAAGCCACCAGCTCCGCTGAGGTTAGGATCAGCGTGAGAAAACGATTTCATTAGCGATGATCTTGGCCGGACACGAGCAAGCCATCTTATCAGATTGATCATTTATAGCATGCCCACCGGTATCGGCCCCTAGTTGACTTCTGTGCCAATGCTGTTTAGCCGTATAGACCCTAGAGGATTTCTTGAAAGGTACAACCGCAAGACACTAGAAAATGTCGCAGTGGGCCAAGTTTGAGGATTTCGCCAATAGATCTAAGATCTCGATCAGATAAGATTACTTTCCCTTACAGATGGCCACGCGCACTGCCCACACCGTATTTCGTTCTTCTCCTGGAAGTCCACGGCCCGATTTTTCAATTTCAATTCTGCTGCCGTAGTCATTCCTTGCTATATAACGCCGCTTTCCAGGTGATGAGCCGATCTTCCCTTTAACTAGCTTTTCTGTCACTCTCACTTCCCTTCATACGTGACTTATCTAATAAATGACCGACACCGTTCATGATGCGAGGATTTCGATTCCGTAGAACTGGCATCCCAGAGGCGGTCGAACCCCCAATAGAGGCGACAGCCGAGGAAAATACAGCTGCAGAATCCAAGTTGGAGTTTGACGACAGCAACTCAATCGACCGAAACGCGCAGCACGGTGTTCGAAGCGCCCAGGCAGTCATTCAGGTCTGGACTCGCAACCAGCTCTTTTTGCCTATGCTAAGTATGACCCTACTATACCCCTCAGATGAGTTACACTAATCGGAACAGTATCTGGTTCATCGAATTTATCCTAGCGTATTCTTCCGGGGTAACAGGCACTCTTATCCCTTATGTCACCAGCTCCTTCGAGGCCCATTCGCTAACTGCATTAGCCTCGGTCATTTCAAGCTTCCCTTTGCCAAGCTGATTGATATATGGGGCCGTCCTCAAGGCTTTGCACTCGTTGTCTCGTGCATGACACTAGGGTTCATCATGATGACTGCCTGCAATAATGTGAAAATTTATTGTGCCGCCCAGGTATTTTACCTTACTGGCTACAACTGTATCGATTTTTGTTTGACTATATTGATCACCGAAACCACCTCCTCGCTGCGGAACCGGGCCTTGGTGATCGCTTTTACCGCATCACCATGGATTGCTACCGTTTGGGTGTATGGTCCCACAGCTCAATGTATTCTTGCCACCATGGGTTTTCGTTGGAGCTTTTGTATATGGGCCATAGTAGTCCCCGTAGTTTGCAGCCCGCTCTTTGGTTTATTCTACTACAACCGGCGCAAGGCTGAGAAGGCAGGGATATTGAGCGCCACGCCAAGTGGCCGCACCTTTACTGAGAGCGTCATTTACTATAGCCGTGAATTTGGTCTAATTGGCATTTCCTAATTGCCACTGGTCTGGCCCTTTTCTTGTTATCATTCAACATCTACGCCTACCAGCCTCATGAGTGGAAATCACCATTGATTATCTGCTTCATTATATTTGGTGGGCTACTAATAATATCCTTCGCCCTATACGAAAGATACCTAGCACCAGTGACATTTATTCCATGGGCTTTACTGAATGGCCGCACCGTTTTCTTCACTTTTACGATGATTGCCAGTCTGTACACAGCGTGGTACATATGGGACACCTACTTTTACTCCCTTCTTGTCGTTGTCTTCGACCAGAGCGTTACACACGCTACCTATATTCAAAATATTTACACTGTCGGTTCAACATTTTGGTCTTTGATCATGGGCGTGATAATCCACTACAACGGGAGGCTAAAATGGCAAGTTCTCTACTTTGGTGTGCCCAATACGATTCTTGGTGTCTGTCTCATGATCAAATTCCGACTACTTGACATCAACATCGGTTATATAATCATGTGTCAGATATTTGTAGCATTTGGTGGAGGCACGCTGGTCATTTGTGAGCAAATGACTGTCATGTCAGTCACCACGCAGGCACTGATCCCCTCTATTCTGTCAATGGAAGGTATGATGAGCTCAATTGGTAATGCGGTTGGTTTTACGATCGCCGAGGCAACCTGGAGTAAAAAGTTAGTCAAATATTTGCCTGCTGAAATTGCCAGGAGGATCTCTCCAAAATCTATGAGTCCATTACAGTGCAATCATCTTATCCAGTCGGCAGCCAGGCCCGTGATGCAATAAACCATGCCTATGTGGACACGCAGAAACTAATGCTGATTGCGGCTACATGCCTATACAGCATCACCTTGATCTCGGTACTCTTACGGAAAGACATTAATGTTAAAAATATCAAGCAAACTCAGGGTCTCATTTTTTGATCGTCCAGTCTTTGAGCAGCCTCGTGGTTTATTAAAGATAATGCCAACCGGTTGACAATGATTTGATATATTTTGGGAAATAATATAAACGGTTCTTTGATTCCTAAAGAAAGCCTTCGGAATATATCGGTAGAGAATACTAGCTTCTTTGTGCCATATGCACATGCAGATATCAATCAATATATTAACCCTAAATACAGCACTGAGTGTTGACAATGTCTATCCAGACTGTTTGTAACCTTAACCTCAACATTTGAACTACATGGAGTTGCGGCCCTGTTTGCTTCCGCAATTCTCACCTTATACCACTATAAACATGTGGAGTCTACTTTTCCCACAAGCGAAAGAATTCGACATCAAAAACCTCCGTAATTTCATATACATCTTCTTCGCGCTTTAACTACAATTTAGAATCTCCCTTGTCATTGACTAGTACATAACGATATCGTGCCTTCCCGTCGTACATATCAGCAAGAGCTTCATTCACTTCCTGCATCGGTCGTTGCTGGATCCATGGATAAACACGCTTCTCAGCGGCCAGATTCAACATCTGCTTGATATCCTTGGGCGACCCAATATTAGACCCGGTCAGTTGAATGCCTTTTTGGATCAGTGACCATGCGTGTAGTTGTGGTAATGGTCCCTCAGGTGCTCCCACTTGAACAAAGGTGCCTCCAATTTTGAGCAAACGCAAATATTGCGCCAGTGGCATTTCAGACCCGTCGACTGTACAGATAATTAGATCCAAAGTGCGCGAGTTCTTGCGGGCCCATTTCTCCTCCTCATCCGTTGCGATAAATGCATCCGCACCCAAGCCATTTCCATTTGCCCCCATAGCATCCGTACGTTTCTTCGAGCTTCGCGAGATTGCCACGACACGGCTACAGCCGAGGGCCTTAGCAAACAATATCCCTAAATGACCCAGACCGCCAATTCCGACGATACCCACTGCTTTGCCCGGTCCAGCTCCGTATTTATTTAGCGGCGCAAACACTGTCACTCCACCGCACATCAATGCTGCGGCTTCGGCGGATGGCAAAGCGTCGGGAATTTTAAAAACAAAGTGTGCAGGACCGCGCCAACGCGTCGCATAACCACCATATGATCGACTACCATCAGGATACCGCCCATTATACGTGCCGACTATGCGTGAACAGTAGCTCTCTTGTCCGTCAGCACATGCCTCACAGTCAGCCTTCAGACAGGCACCACTTTGAGCGCCGATTCCAACCCGATCCCCAACTTTGATTTCCGAACGAGCCGGCGATAAGCCAATTCGCACCACAGTTCCGATTATTTCATGGCCCAGGACACAAGGATAATCCGTGTTGCCCCAGCCAGACCGAAGAGTATGCAAGTCGGTGCCACAAATACCGCAATGCGATACGGCAACTTCGATGTCCGTGGGAGCAAATGGTTTCGGTTGAAACGTGGTGAATGTGAGAGGACTGTCAGCTGAGTGAGCAACCCAGCCGTTAAAGGTGTCGGCCATACCCAATCCCTGTTGTTTGGTCTAGGTACTGCGGATAATTCATATAATGGCAGGCGAAGGTAAAGGAAAAGTTGGGGTAATTATTAGGAGGTACTTGCTCGAAGAATGTGGAGAAAGAGCTTTGCCGAGGTCCTCCAAGATCTGCAACAACCGCGTCGCCAGTTAAAACTAATTACAATATGCCCATAGGAGTACATTTATCCTATTATCCCTTGTAGATCCGTTGTATGGATGGAAATTGCATGTTATCGAGATGAGGCATATTACAACTACCAATTACACCAAGCAAGATTCAGTTTACTTCCCTGAAAAGTTTGTCGCTGTGAGAAGGAGAGGAGAGTTGTGAAAGTATATTCATTAGCCTTGGATTTAAGCCTTTACCCCTCTTCATTTAATCAAGCGTGAATGATTCGGTCTCGTGTATCTTATACGCTGACTCAGCAAATTTCAGCCCGAAATAAGAGTGGTTGGAATTCTTCATCTTAGATTATTCCTGATTTATCGTCCATAGGTGCTAATTTCAACGCAGTACTTTTGTGAGTGGAGGATTGAGCTCCAAAGGGGTACCGGATTTCGGATTATCTGCAAACTGTATTATATCACAGTTTGCAGATGCTTGGTACTCAAATGCATTACTTTTCTACTCAATTGCGAGTGAAGAATTCAACACTGAACTTGGGAATGATTGTAGACAACCAGCACTGGGTATTCGAGAAAATAAGTAAAGTGGTTCAGAAGAGCATATTCTATCGTGCAGAAACAATTCACATAGTATATACTAATTTTCTCCCACTCACGGTACCTAATCTCAGCGCATCTAACCCCATCAAAACTCCCTCTAGACCGCCTGTTCTGGATTCGTTTTCATTCACACTTATTGGGTGGTTTCTTAGCTTCCCAAGTTGAAGCAGCCTTTCCGCAAGGTGAGTTATTTTGACACCAAAGTCATGGTCTGACGGCGTGGCGGGGAAAATATCTCCTTCAAAATAAAACTTAGAACCAAAGCAGGAGTAGCCCAAAAAAGCTCGTTTTTCAACTTCGACAGACGTGTTCATTGGCATTTCCGGGTCCAAAAGGCATACATATAGTCTAATATTCGAACCTGAAACTTCTGCACTGCTCTTTGGCAAAAAGGCGAACGACCCTACACAGATAGCAGCGGTAGAATCTGTAGCCACGGTATCGAGAGCATATTTAAGATTAGTTGACGTAGCCGTTCTGATTAAGGATACTATCTGTGGGTCTTTCTAAGCATCCGCCAAGTTTTGCTATCATTAGTATTATCGTTCTCTTAGACCTTCCTAGGCGACTATAAGGGAGCTTTATAGAACATACATAATCGAAAACCGCGTCAGCACCGAGACTCATCACGAGCTCAAAGTTCCTTGGAGAACATGTTGTGACAACCTTATATCCAGCCCTGTAAAATAGGTCATCAAAAACTAAATCTTTAGGAGAAAGTAGAAGTAGACTGACAGTTTTGCAAATTGTATTGCAATGCTTCCTGTTGCAGTTGACCCTCCATAAATCAGAACCCATTCTCTATCGTCACTGTAGTCATCATTCTCTTCCTGGTTGCCAGTGAGACTGGTAAAATAAGAAGGATATTTCAAGTTCCCAACGTGAAATAACCCCATCCCTGCAGAAAGTACACCAACTCCCAAACTCGCCGCTTCTTCAAATCCCATATGATGCGGTATGTGCATCTGTAGATCTATTTGAACAACGATATAATCCGCAAAGGCACCGGCATTGGGATCCAGAGCATTACAGCCATACGCACAACCACAGACGCGATCTTGAGGATTGAATATCTTGTTTGTTGTCATATTAGAAGTAGCCCTAGATGCACCAACTGGCTCAACTCGCACAACGATGCCGGCATAGTCGAGACCGACGACAGCGCCCTCATATCGACTTTGGCTGGGGGTCACATTAACTTTAGATAATTGTACCTCGTTTGGTCCGGCATAATCAATGTCAGTCCAGTCGGCTGGATTTAGAGCTAAAGCCTTAACCCGGACTAGCATGAAACCTGGTTTGAGGGCAGGTATTGACTGGGTGGTGATTGAAGCCTGACCAGGAGACATCTTGACAAGAGCCGTACGTGTTTCGGGAATTTGTGCCATCGCTGACTTTTCCACTGCGTTCCTCTTTCTGGACTTTGGTTCTGAAAAATATAGAAACTGCAATCCGTTGATAGATAGTATGATGCTGTATTTGATCTGTTACCCCGGCTGGAGAATCACACCTTAAACTCAATCCATTAATAGAAATATATAGAAATAAAACTACTCATGGTTCAATCTGTACTACAAGTCCTACAAAATAATAAATTTGTCGCTATTTATGGTTTAATTCTTTGAGCAGGCAGGCCACCCCGAATTAACTCCGACCATTCGGGGTTTCACGGAGTTCCACATCTTGTCGCGAGAATTTCGAGATACGAATCAATGTAATTCTACGGTATGAATAATGTGCCGAGATTTATTATATTGCGAATTACTTATATATTGGTGAGTCGCTAGAAGCTATTTACCATGCTTTACATGATAGTTAGACTGGATGGCACGCAATCAACAATCATACCTATTTGGTCAGTTATATGTGTCGGTTCAAGTAACACGCAACAACCAAGACTTCGGCATTAAAGTAACATTGAAAGACTTGCATTTCTCCCAGGGAACCCTGCTAGGCTTTGCTGCTTCAGTTTCACCCCGCGACCTTCAAGATTACAGACAAGAAGGACACAGACAGCAATCAAATATATACACACATTTGACTTGTCTTTTCGCTTTACAACAATACTTTATATGGTGGCATTTTAATTACAAAATAGAATAATTCGTGATGCTTTCGGATTAAATAGCTGGAGTATGACCATCCATGGATTTCCATCACGGTTTATTTTGAGATAAATGGCGTGTATTGTGACGCTTAGATTTTTTTATTATCTCAACACTAGTCTAGACTACGTGCATGCCTTGTTATCGTCTTGACTGAAAGCATGCTTATAGCCTAATAAAATCAATTCTATGGCACGGCTTCCGTCCAAAACCACCGAGCTTCGAATCATCTCGACGACGAACAACTGGTGATAATCACTGTATTATTAATCATCATCTGGCAAGCCCCACCCCTAATTTCCCCCTACCCAGCAGCAGTAGGATTGTCATTAATTGTCGAACTGAATACACACTATACTTTATACTAGAGCTATTAAGGTGGAAACCCTTTAGCCTAGTGGGCAAAAGTTTGACGTATCTCATTTGGTTAGACGGCCTGGTTATGACGAAAAAGAAACAACGATAATCTTTCTGGAATAATCGTCATTTGGCCGCACATAATGGCCGAACGAACTATCAGACGCCGTGTGATGCTATCCAAGGCCAGAACAGGGTGTAAGACATGCAAGTATGTGTCCTATCCGAAATATTGACCATTCCAAAAATTTCCTAATGCTTGGGTAAGGGCAAGAAGGGTTAAATGCGATGAGGGCAAACCGATTTGTCAACGGTGCATTACAGCCAATCGCCCATGTGCTGGTTACGCCAGTATTAAGGAAGCTTCGGAGTCGAAAGCCAATTCATTGAGGATAACATACTACGTTCCTGGCTTGCTTTCTACGACCAAAATCCTAGGCCAGGCAGTCATGCCGGCTGAAGATATTCAAGAGCAACATGCACTCAACTGTTTTTACCAATGGACCATAAAATGCTTTCCACCGGAGCTAATAGCACCATTTCAATACCCAGGAATTCTCCACGAACCCGCACTAAAGCATGCTATGGCTGCACTAGGCTTGTTACATGAAATCTATCGACATAAGATAACCGGCAAATTGCAAGTACAAAAGTCTATGATAGCCTTTCAACATTATGATAAGGCGATCAATTTGCTGTTGACACGACAGCACCCGGATTTAAACGAGGATGGCATTTCTGTTACATTACGTGCATGTTTCCTCTTTGTATGTCTTGAGGCTGCCCAAGGCCACCATAAGTCGGCCCTAAGCCATCTGCAGACCGGCTTCAAGCTTTTCCAAGAACTCAAAACCGAAAGACTGTCAAACAATAAGAATAATCCAGCAAACTACTTTGAAGAGTCTACGATACGTTCCCTTTTTGTTCGTCTACTATGCCAACTTACCAACTTTGATTCATCGGATTGCGCGCGATTCTTTGGCCTGCCTAACATTGCATCTGGCGTGATACCCCAGAGTTTCGTCGACCATGATCAGGCACAAACTAGCCTTTTTGCAATTACGGAAAAAATAATTCACAAACGAAGTCTATGGATGTGTAATTTTAATCATATCAGTACTACCGTCAACAAAAAAGAGCCTCAACCTATGAATAAAGATGCTATCAGCTGTTTAGCTGATGAGATTCTCGAATTAGACAGATGGATTCTAGCATTCAATCTTTATCTAAGTCATGGAATTCCTGTCTCGCGTATATGCGACTCTTACGTGCTTGGCATATGTGGGTTTTTTCTGAAATTCCGTACTACCATGGAATACCGCCGCCATTTAATGAATGACATGGGGAAACCCCTAGACATTGATTTCTCGCACATAGCGAGTCTTGGTGAGATTCTCGTTAATGAAGACAAAACCTTATCAATGTATCGAGGTAAACCGACTGTGGATGTCAATGGGGATCGTAAAGAAATACAATGTCCGCTCCATCGGCTTTTTGTTGATCGTGACATGCCACAGCCAACATCCGACAAAGAACCCTCTAGTGGTGTCTGCTTTCAGAGCGACGGGCCTTTTCTCTTCCTAGCTGTATTTTGTTCTTTGTTCGTCGCATCGATATATAGCACCGACTCTATCATCCGTAACAGATCCTCTGATATGGTTTCAAATATTTGCCGATGTGAGAGGGGGTGGGATTCGACATTAACACACTATATTGCTCGTCTTCTTTCTCTTTCTCCAGCTACAAATACACCAGAAAGTACCATGTACGGCAAACCGCATGGTGCGAATACAATATATGACGGGAAATTTTCGTCTCCTGAAACTGACATGCTACTTTCTCAACTACAGTTTTTCAGTATGCTATGACCGTTTTTATTGCTACGGTGCTATTTAACTCCTTTAACCGACATTTCTTTACACTTTCAATCATCGTCACATGCCGTTCGATTCCACACCACCTGACTCACAAACCTTTTGTCCTGTTCCATTGACGAACTACATCACTAGGATCTTGGAATGTCGAATTGATTTTGACTGTGCCATAATGCTTGGCAGCCAATGCAGCTTCATATGCCAGGCGGTATTCCTCAATGCCCTGTGTGAAAGAAGGACGTCTCTCGGTCCATCCAGTAATGGAACGAACCTTTTCCGAAGATACCCACTGTGTGTACTTTAGCAACGCCTCAATCATTCCCGGAACAACTTCGCCCATAGGCTTTGGCTCGGCGAACTCAACCTTCAATCCATACGAGCTTGCAAGTGCATTGCAAATGTCTCGAAGGGTCTCGTATTTAATGTTTGATATATTGAAAGCCTGGCCGCTGACTTCCTTTCGCTGAGGATGCTCCGCCAATGCAACATATGCCGTCGCGCAGTCATCAACATGGGCAGAGTGCATAATATTCTCAGGCTCAGCCTCTATTCGCAAAATACCTCCCCTTTCCTGGCTTTTTGACGCAAAGGCAAATAAGGCGCCGTAATAGCTAGATCCATATCCATATACATTTGTGGGGCGCAAGACAGTGACATCAAACGGTAGCGACGTATCTGGCTGACGGCTTTCTTCCATAAGGTTGGCCGCGCTATTCGTTCGTGGAAGAAGAATGGGGAACGCGGTGAGGGGACTTGATTCAGTATGCGGCGCAAGGTCAGGATCGCCATGATAGCCTGTCATGCCATAGTCTTTGCAGCCACTGCTAAGTAAAACGAGAGGCCGGATACCAGTTTTATCCAAGGATTGTTGGCCCAGATGCACCAACATCTTCTTCACATCGTTGAAGTGGGTTATATAATCGGACCAGTCTTCCGTATTTGAAACGATCACATCGAACGTGAGATCATCGGGGATGAGGTTCGCTGATATCACCTCCTTCGGACTACTGATGATGGCGTGGATTTCATGTTGTTCCAGATCAGATGCATCTTCAGCCCGACGGATCAAGCCGTACGTTTTCCATCCAGCTCTGTTGAATTCCTTTGCCACCGCGTTGCCAATATATCCATTGGCACCTGTGACAAGAACTGTGCGACGACTCATGTTTTTCAGTATGTTTCTTAACAAGTTTAGTGTTTGATTCGGGATGAGGGTATTATGTTTATTCTCTCGAAGAGGAGACTAATATCTACAGGTATTTATACTTGCAAGTCGGCCAAATATCATACCGAGAATTCACAGAACTCTACGAGAAGATGGCGATGACTGTGCATAAATTTCCGTGAAAGAACTGTTGATAAACCGCTTTCATGCGATAGAATGGAGAGCTTCCGGCGGGAATAGTGAATAGCAGCATGGTCAGCACCGTAAATCAGACATCTCGTGTAAGTCTAGCCATTAACAGAGAAGCGGGTTGATCGAAATACGAAACAAATGGCATTCAAGTGAATGTTGGCCTGCCACAAATAGCATGATTGGCCAGGTAGGCTCTACATCTGTATGCGTGGAGAAATCCATTTGCGGTTAGTTCTACACGAGCTAGTGGGCCCATGCGGATTACTGATTCATGCATGATACCGCAGTGCTGTCTCGTCTATCGACTAGCAATCGAGGTACATTGTGATAATATTCTAATATTTCCTCTAAAGGATTTATATCTAATCTAGCCAAAACTGACATTGTCATGGCTTCAAAACGCAGATATCGAATCACGTTGCAATAGCTTAAAAGCGATGTTTTAAACCAGACCCGAAGGTGTCTTGGGCGGCGACAACAGTAACTACCTTACCATCTCCCTCCAGCCCAAGATCCGCAGCAGGAACCGCCTCACCTTGCTCAGCCTGTCCCTCGGGCACAATCTTCTCGGCAACCTCCCATTCAGTTCCGGCTGCGACTTCAAGATTCTTGCCCCGTGTTTCCTGGGCGAAGAAATAGGTGAAGACGGTTGCCAGGATATCAAAGCCCATAAAGATGAGGAAGGTGTACTCGCTGATGTTTGAGATCATATATGGACTGGAAAACGAGAAACAGAATGAAGATGCCCAGTGGGCGAGCATACTGAAGGCTAGACCCAAGGCACGGATGCGAGTTGGGAAGATTTCGGGGACGTAAGCCCATGGCACGGGGCCCCAGGAGCAGTTGTATATCTGCAACGTTGCTGTCAGTCTTTCGATAACATAATCGACATGATCCAGTTATGGGAGTGGGAAAGACACTCACCACAATGTCTAGGTATATCATGGCTACAGTAGCTCTCCCAGCGTTGGTTACAGACCCAGTAGACTGAGTGGGAATGTACTTGACAATTAACGTGATGATCAACATGCAAAGGGCCATGAGCGATGATCCACCCATGAGGAGAGCGCGACGCGAGAATCTCTCTGCCATCAACCAAATGAAAAATGTGCATCCAACGACTTTGATGGCGCCAAAAAGACCAGTTAGTAGCAGATCACGGTTTCCCGAGTTTCCGACAATGAGTTTGAAGTACTGCGGCGCAAAGACAGCCAGAGCACTGCTGCCAGTGGTATTTTGGAAGATAAACATGGACGGTCCAATGATAAAGCGCAACCGGTTGGAAGGATGCCAGAGCTCGCGGATTGTGAAGTTGTCGGTGGCCGCTTTCTCAGCTCTTAGCCCCAGTTGCGTCTCATTGAATTCAGCGAGCGTATTCTCTCCTTCGTCACCCCGAATCCAACTGAGAGACTTCCAAGCTTCGTCGGCCCGTTTCTGACTGAGCAGCCATCGGACTGATTCCGGGAGGGTAAACATGCCGAGGAAGAGAAGACCACTGGAGACTATTTGCAACCCGACAGGAATCTGCCATTCGCGCGATGTTCCCGCAATGCTATTGCTTGATGCTACACCCTAAATTCCAACATTAGACTTCCACATTAAAATATTGCAGGGAATGCCTACGTAGTCAATCCAGTAAGCGGCAAACACTCCCCACGTGTACATCCACTGATAGAACGAGCCACACCGGCCGCGAATCTCCTTAGGAGTCATCTCCGCCGAATACATAGGCACGACGATGCTGAGACCACCCATGCCGACACCAGCAACGACTCGGCCGACGAACCACCCGCCAAGTGACCCCGTCTTGATTGTCTGGATCACGGCGCCAACAACAAAGATCAGTGCGGAGGCGGCGATTACATATTTGCGCCCGTACTTGTTAGTGAGCGGGTAGAAGACGAAGCACGACAAAAACGAGCCGAGCTGTTCCAGACCGATGGTTAGTGAGCTCACTTTGGACTCGCTGGAGGCAGCATATTTAAAGTCCGACTTGAAAGACTTGTAGGTGAGAACACCACCAGCCACGCCAGAATCATAGCCCGCGAGGAACGAGGAAATGCTGTGAAAAGTCTCCGTTAGTGATATCGCATTGAACCTTCTGTGCCAATTATCGCGGCGGATGGAGAAGTACTCACAAGACGATCGCAGCTAAATTATAGGCGCGCAACGTGCCCTTGCGCGTGTTTAACTCGGGTATCTCGAAGAAACCCATGGCAGCGCGGAGTCGTCGACGCACCACATGCTGTTTCTCGTCGCCGATACTGGCAGTAATCTTATACAAAAATTGCCTTTTACGCGGACCCTGCGCCAGCGCAAAGAAGCTAAGGCCGGCGTCGTCAGCTGTAGCAGCAGTGGTGTTCCTACAGCCTATCGCGATGCCGGCGGCGCTAGAATTGCGTGCTGGGGTCCCCGCAAGCACGCAATAGCCCTCCCGCGCAGCGTTGCAGTGTTGGTTGGTTTTCTCTTCACTGGCAGAGAATATGAATACAACAATGGCGGTGCAGCAGCAGCAGTATATACTATTATATAATATAGTAGATAGTAGTGCTTACCGCCACACGATATCGTGATAGAAGCTTGTCTAGTTTTCGTTAGACGATTTCTTCTATCTCCCCGATCGCATCTCGCCTCGCGGACATCGTGTTGATGTCTGACATCTCGACTGGACACATACGTAGATGGTGGTGGCGGTGGACGTCTGTCCAACATAACTGGCGGCGAAGAGTGGCATTATTGTCTCTTCACAGGAAAAGCGCATCGTGGAATTCACAGTTCAGGCAGCTCGCCTCTCATGTTCTGCCACCACATGCTCTGTTTCCACAGCTCGCCATCCATGCCAATCAGCAACCGCCACTTTCGCAAAAACCAGGGAGCAGCCTCCCAGCTACGCATATCCCATGGCTGACCACCAGGGTCTTTCTTTGTTCCCCAGCAAACGAGGCCGCCACTGACGATATCCTTCTTCAGCTCAAGCGGATCAAACAACTGCGGTGAAGTTGCAGCCAATGTGATCGCGCGTGCTCTGAGACCCGGAAAGGGGATCAAATCAAGTATCGGGTGATGAGGAAACAGGATCTGAGGTAGCGTTGGTCGCAGATGAGTCGGGGTGTATGGGCTTGAAACTGTGGCTAGAAGCGCCATGGGATCATCTTTAACGGTCGTACCTGGCCGGTAGAAGGGCGAGCAGAGCATCATGCAATCCCAGCCAAACATTCCAGCAACGTCAATCCCTAGCCAGCGCGCGTTATGAACACAGATCCTAAGAAGTGATACTTGAGACAATTCAATACTGTTTGTATATGGGTCTGCAACCTGGGCAGCCTGCATATCGTAGTTCACGAAGCTGTTGCTGCCGGCATCAGGCAAGATACTAGTTTGCTTTGAAAGACTGCTCGTATCGCTTGATTTCATAGTCCCGATTTCTTCAAGGCCCATAGCGTCCTCTAGGTGGTCGTGTTCAGAGAACGTGGTTGGTGGTATGTTCGGATCCGCCATTGCGTCGAGTGTTGAATCCAGCACGCCCAATGAAGGTACACAAGCATCTAGCAGTCCCATTTGTACGGGGCCTATACCCAGAGATGTCATAGCACCCCAATAGTCCAGGTCGAGTTGGTTCGCTTCAGCCACAAGTGGCTGTCGATGTGCCACAGATTGCGAGGACGTAGACTCGTCATAATTTGAGTGCAGAGTTGGATTCCATGATCCGTCACTGTGACTGGGCTGCCCTGCCGCAGTATCAATGTTAACTTGATCCTCAGCGTCTGGGACAGGCTGCGGCCTAATCTCCAAATATCTGGGCGAGACATTTCTCGTTTGCAATTGCTGTTCTCGGCGTTCCTTTTGTCTTTGGCCTAAGCTCACATTGAGTCATCACAACAAACAGAAAGTAAGAGGAAACAAATTTGGGCCGCAAACACATCAAATGAGCTAGGATAAAGAGTACCTACGGTATATTCGCTGCGCGACTCGATTTTGCTCTTTCCGAGCCGGCGTATTCATCCGCTTGTGACGTTTCTTGCCATTGCTAAGCTTGCCTCGGCCTGTCATATCACCTAGATAACGCCGGCCATTCAGCTAAAACTTTGCGACTCTAAATGGTGGTGATGATGGACTGGGGGGAAATCTCCAACACAGGCAAAGTGCACGACGTCCCATAAGCCCCGGTGCCAAGACCATTTGGTGGCTTACGCTCTTTGAGCCAATCAGCGGCTCTGTTGTCAGTAAGCCAACACGAATTACTCACATATACAACAATATACTAAGAATGATGGGATTAGAGGAGCTTAATGCTGCCTGGAGTATAGCTTTGGGTATATATATTCCTCTCAGCAGCGTATTCGGAAAACCGATCAATCAATCCTGCATTACAACACGGCTCATCATCGATTGATACAGCCAACTTTTGGCTGCCATCTGAAATTTCATCATACATATATATATTTCGGTATTGCTTTAAAAAGCCAGTTTCTCTTTGCTTTTCCAAGTCGACGAAACAATGGCAACCACCAAGACTATCGTCGTAGTCGGCGCCACGGGAAATCAAGGATCCTCTGTTGCCCACACCTTTTTGGGCCTGCCCAATTGGCAAGTACGATGTATCACACGCAACCCGTCATCTGCCGCCGCCCAAGAGCTAGCAGCGCTCGGTGCCGATGTTGTTCAAGCCGATTTGTCGGATATAAACTCCCTCCGAATCCCATTCAGTGGTGTTCATGCCATCTTCCTCAACACTGATTTTTGGGGTCCGTACGTCGCCTCGCCCGATGGACAAAAGAGACCTCCCGATAGCGACAAAGCTTTCAATATCGAGGTAGATCACGGTCGAAATGCAGCCATTGTTGCTGCTGCTGTTCCAACTCTCGAGCGTTTCGTGTATTCCGCCCTTGGGCCGATGAAGAAACACTCCAAGGGTAAATACTCTCATTCTTACCACTGGGATTCCAAAGCTACGATTGTCGAATATATTCAGACGGAGCAGCCGGAGCTTGCGAAGAAGACTTCTTATATTTATATTGGCGCTTTCACGAGTAATCCGTTGGTCAAGCCTCGCAAGTTGGACTCAAACACCGGACGGTATCAGTTCATAATCCCAATGAAGAAGGAGCAGATTATGCCGATAATCAATCCCCGTGAATCTACTGGACCGTTTGTACAAGCATTGATTGAGACTGAGGACCCAGGCGTCAAGCTGCTCGCGTATGATAGTCTTCCCACTTTGGGTGAGATTGTTGACCTGTGGTCCAAAGCCTCAGGGAAGCCGGCCGACTACGTTGAAGTGACAGCCGAGCATATGAACCGCGAGTTTGGAATTCCAATGGAGGTACTCGACGCAACGGGGTATTTGCCTGAATTTGGGTATATGGGGGGAGTAGATGGCTTCATAGAGCCTGATCAGTTAAAGGTCAGGCCGAGGACCAAGCCATTTGTGGAATGGCTGAATGAGCAGGACTGGGAGAATATTTTATTAAACTAAACACTACCAATCAAGGGAACTGTTGGAGAAGTATAACGCAATCTTCATTTATCATTTTAACATTAAAGTTTGTATCGTAAGGCATATAAAACATATGGAGCACACTGCGCTCAAATAGTATACGATAGTATATCCGACGGATTTTCTCGTGAACAGACTCCTAACAATAAATATCAGTTATAGAATTATTAACATTGCAATTGTGCTGTCTCTTAAGCGCTACTACATGTAACGGATACTTTCAAACTAACGTCTGTCAGACACAGAAGATTCTCATAAGATACAAGTATAGATCATCCAAGTGTTAATTAATAAAGGTCATACAAATTACTAGGAGTACTACCTAGGTACTAAAATAATCCGACTAGAATGATCATCTATTTGAATATAATTATTATTAATAATGATACAACCATGTGTTGCTATGTGCCGTGAGGTATTTCGCTTTCTTGAACGGAAGCGGCGACAGTCTCAGTTCTTTGTGAAGAAAAACGAGAAGGAATTCCATTCCCTCCCATTGCTAACATTAGGGGTGGACTTTGAAAAGTGAAAAATCGGTGATGATCTTTTGGGGAAGATTAGTGGCCTTGAAGCTTCAACCAAACAGCAAGAGCGTGCGCGCAGTTTGCCTCGCCGGTGTCGATCATTCAGAGAATGAAAGGAGAGCGACAAAAGCAAAAAGACAAGTTATCAGCAAACAAGTCCCCTATTTCTCCCTCGTTATTACCCCAATAATCCTGAAAATAGAGCAAATAGGACGTCCTACACTAGTAATGCACGTGGCTTCGCATGCCATTAAAACAACAAGAGGCCGAAATGGAAAAGTTAAGTCACCTTGCGGCTAGGAAATTGAGAGTACGTATTCATGGTGGTACGTCCATGTTATCTCGTCATCAGCAGTCAGTATAGTTCTGTACTATATACTATACGAAGAGGTCAGTCTTCCAAGGTCTTGGATTCCTCGACTAAAGCAACTAGACTATTCCGGTCGCGATCATCGACAACCGGTCAAAGCTGAGTTACATAGTTGAAAATTTAAATCATAGATTTCAACCGCTATGTATTCGTCTGCAACATTGCAATTTAAAAAATCAGAGCGTCGCTGATCGTTGTCGAATATTCACTGCAACATTGATTTTAATCGCAACTATTATGTTATTGTTCGGCTCGGGTTTGTACACGTCCAATATACTTACCAGAGTACATTGGGCTAGAAAAACCCAAGGAATTGTCGTGCAAAACTCTAATGTGCATCAAAATGGTTTAGATGCACAAATGTTACGACTATTGATTCCGCGCATGCTGACTAGAGAATATGTCGTGATTCTTCATATTCGCGATTCGATTCACTTTCCACGATACCTGCCACAAGTATTGCGCCGTTGATTGGGAGAGTCAGCAGCACAATAGCGACAATGATGGTAGATAAAGAGCCATTGTTACTAAATTAGGCTAACACGACATCGATGTATAGTATTATTGACATTTTGTGTCACTGATGTAGTGCACACCGCTTGATCGTTGAGAACTGATCAACCATCTAAGGCAGGGTCTCATCGCGCTTGAAACCTCTGCCACCGATATTGTTTCGCAACTACTAAACCTATATACAGAGAGTTTATAAACACCGGCACCGAACGTCACAAATGTCGCTGCAACTACCGGGGATAAATGCCGGTAAGCAGGATATATTAGTATGTGTGTGATACCGTTCACGCGATAATTCCAGCCTACAGTCAGAGTTAGCTATAGAATTCATGGACTCCTGACTATATTGCGCAATAATGAAAAAATATATCGAGCCACACCAGTATATACTACACAGGATGGCGATGGGGTGGGCGATGTCTCGAAACACAGAACGCTGATGGCTACGAAAGAGCTAAGAGATTCCAAACTCTAATTAATCCCATCCGATGACGCGTCGGAATAAATGTTTTAACGCGATGAAATATCATGTTTCGAAGGTCTAGACTTGAACAGAGCCATTTTCTCTTTTTGTGCGAACCCCATCCAGAATCAGCCATTGCATGGTTCGCGTGGGTCACTTTCAATGACCAGGTCTGGCAATCTGCTGCGTCGTCAGTACATGGCACACAGTGGAGATCGCGAGGCCTGAAACTTGTAAGGACCCAGAACCATATGTGACATTGGTGGGAGTAGAGTGATGGACAACGGGTGCCCACATCTGTTTAGACTGGGGCTGTGGGCTAGTTGCCTCCGATAAGTTACGGCTCAGTGAGAGCGTGTTTCAAGTGCGGCCACTGGAGTTCAGCAATTGCCTCGCCTGAATTTGCCGTGGTCGTTTTAATTCTGATCTACAAGATCGTTTTTCTTCTCGTAGGCTCGAATCGCCAGCAGAAACAAAATTGGGGCAGAAGTATGCCCAGTCAGTACCGAGATTACATCACACGAGGTCAATCATCGGGCTATTCAGAGGCGACCTAACGCTGATATAGTAGCAGTCGCTGTATCTATTCTAGAGTCCAGGTTTCTAGAGCCAGCCACTTGGTGTCATGTATGTTTCAACAAGCTTTTTTATGCCGTCGGCCCGGCCCCCGGCAATTGGAGTGGCCTTTCGTACAGGTTTACGAGGGAAGCAAATTCTGACGGTCGAGTGTTAGTTTTGGGATTGACGGGGGCCATTTAATGGCAATTTACCGGCAGGCCCTGGCCTATAATGGCCCCTTTAACATGGTTCCCGCCAAATCATCTCATGTTCCTTTTCTGCTCTCAATGCTCTGTTCCTGGCTTCGGGGCTGGTGGCCAATTACATTCAAGTAGCCCGGCCGTTTAGAATGATAAGTCTATAATTTGCGTCTGTTAAACGTTTCCGTGTTTCTTCTACCACCACAAGCGTTGATGATCTTCTGTTACTGGTTAAAGAGCGAGACGCCCGGATGCCTAGATGCATCTCCATATACTATTGGCTGGTTTTCATGATCGAACTGTATCTCTCCCACCCACCAGCGCAACCACACCACCCAAAAAGTCAAGCACGCTCTTGATAATGGAATGGTGGGCTGCTTGTGCTCTTTGCAGATCCACCTTGCTCGCTCGGTTATTTCGCTTTGATTATCGTGTTGACTTCTAACTTAAGCAAGATGGCCCTATCTGGCCATAGGGTCGCTGGGATATAAGAGTGATGACCACCTGGTTTTATGATCTAATCCTCTATCCTCTCCGTTCTATCTCCCCAGCTTCCGGCAAGCGTGTACATAGTCGGAAAGGAAAGAAAATAGAGACCATAAATTCTTTCATTCACCATTCTCTTTGAAAGTTCGCACGGCACCTTACTGACAAAACAAAGGATAAAAAAACGAACAGATAAGAGAACACTCGACAATGCACTTCTCTAAAATCATCATTGCCGCCACCCCGTTGATCGGGCTGTCTGCAGCCAGGCCTAACCAGCAACCATCTGACAGCATGCCTCCTTGGCCATCTGACAGCATGCCTCCATGGCCATCTGATAGCATGCCTCCTTGGCCATCTGGCAGCATGCCTCCTTGGTCATCTGGCAGCATGCCTCCTTGGCCATCCGATAGCTTCACTCCCCCACCGCATCCTAGTGGTACTCCTCCCCCAGAGTTCCCAGGTGGTAGCAACGGATACCTCGACAAACGTGAGGACGACGACCACCACCGGCCTCATCCATCTCACTCCCACCGACCCCATCCTTCTCACACGCGTCGCCCTCACACTAGCGGAACAACTAAGCCAGTCCCTGGAGGCGCCATCACTAGTCTCCCTACGGGATTCAATACTGGCTTCCTCGGCGGTGTCCCCTTTTAAGTTATGGATGAGTATGAGATCATTACGGGAAATTGAGCTATTTGAGCCCAGTAGGTACTCCACGTCTCAAAAAGTCTGTTCATTCTCGAGAATAAGTACTAACTGTAAGACAATAGCTCACTCGATATCTCGATCTGTTCAACTGGTAGTCGGTTTTCAATTTTCTTCTGCTACTTGGCTATGGTGACATTTTTTTCTTCACTTTGCTTTCTTTCGGCAGCAATGATGTTATGTTATAGATTTAAGAAAGAGCCATTCGATATCCGCTTCTTAAATCGATGTTCTTTTACGTCTTCCTGCATTTGGATAACAGGATGGGATATATCTACGGCCCGTCTAGTTAAGACCATATGTTGAACTTAACATCATTGAATTAATTGTCTTTTCAATATATTCCGACTCTCAATATGTAAAAGAAACGATAAGACTTCTAGACCAAGGCTCGTAAAGAACCAACGCTTTCAGATGCCGTAGCCAAAGCACAACTAAGTTCTAAAACAGGGAATCTTCCGTTTGTGGTCACCATTCCACAATAAGTGGGGACATTATCGGTAACTGCGCAACACTATATTTATTCCTAGTAGTTTTTATTCATTTGAAAATCTTAATAGTTGAAAGAAGGCCTGTAAAAATTGATACCACTTGCAGTCACGTGATATCAACTTGTGTGCCTAAGGCACACACTCGCCGCCTTTTTGTCGCAAACTTCGTACAAACGCGCAACGTTGCCATCAATTTTAGATGACTGTAATAAGTCAAGAAATCTTTTTTTTCTTTGGATATCAATTTAGCGCCGAATCCCCTGTTTTCACCAACAAACCCAGCGCTTCATATTGAAGACTGACAATTATCTCATGTGATCAAAGACAGCAAACAGGACAAACATACAAATATCCGATGTTCCTCCACCTTGCTGCTTGCATATGGTCGTCGATCGAAAACGCATACTTTGATAATAAGGTCAATTCACAACGCAAAAATGGATATAAGGAGACTCATATCATGTCTCATCATTCTAATTCAAGTAGCACACGCTAAACGATGCATCATGTATCTTACAGGGTGAGATCGTCATGTTCGTCCTTGTCCCAAGTGGAATCCTGATTAACTATCTAGCCAACATAACGTTGTCCCCGAGCCGTCGCTCGTATCAAACGTGACACACGTTGCTTTGGCTTTCATGCCTTCGTCGGCATTTAATGTACCCAATGCATCGAGTTGGCCCCTATTCACCACTGTTGAGGACGTGCGTGCTAAATTCCCTGAAACCACTGCGGTTATGATTGCTATCGGGGGATGGGGCGATACCGATGGCTTTTCAGTGGCAGCCGCCAGTGAAAAGAGTAGAAAATTATTTGCTCTGAATGTAAAAGCAATGCTCCAGCGAACTGGAGCAGATGGTAACTAATTCCATGCCGGTATGGTGTAAATTGTACTCTGACTCTACGTTAGGTGTGGATATTGACTGGGAATATCCGGGGTAATCTTTTTAGCTACACCACTCTTTCCAGACGCTGACCAATTTACAAACAGTGGGAATGGAGAAGACTACAAGACTGTCCCAAATACCAGGAAATCGTGGGAGATCGAAGCGTATCCTAAATTGATTTCTGAAATTCGGAACGCCCTCGGTCCAGATAAGTTGATTTCAGCGGCTGTACCAGGATTACGGCGAGACATGATTGCTTTTACCAGAGAGACTGTTCCAGTTCTCAATGAGCTATTGGACTTTTTCAATATTATGACCTACGACCTGATGAATCGACGTGACAAAGTCACCAAGCATCATACAGGCCTGCAACTATCGTTGGATGGAATACATACTTATCTTGAAAACGGGGTTCTGCATGAAAAGGCAAATCTAGGTTTCGCTTTTTATGTGAAGTGGTTTAAAACAAGCTCCCAAGGAGGGTGTTCGGTAAACCCCGTTGGATGCAAAACTGTGTTGATGGAAGACCCGGTCACAGGCGCTGATCTCGGGCAAACAGGAGCGTTCTCCTGGCATGATGAAATCCCACCAGCACTAGCCCAGTCCTTTGCCAAAGCTTCAGAACACGGCCGATATGATACGAAAGGCGGTGGGTATTACTATTGGGACCAGGTAGAAGACATTTTCTGGACATGGGATACAACCGATGCGATATCGAAGAAGATCCCGTTGATAGTCGACAAGAGTCAACTAGGAGGAGTTTTTGCCTGGGGGTTAGGCGAGGATGCTCCTCGATTCGACCATCTAAGAACACTAACACACAGCCTAAAAGAAAGATCGCAGGGACTGAGATTGCAAATGAGTGATGGATTGACCGGCGGGCTACCTCTGTCGGAAGAACACTGGAGAGAAGAATTATGAGAACCGGCTTTTTATCCCTTGAATGAATAATTGAATACGTGGCACTATATTCCGGGCCACAACTGTTATATTTGTTGGATCGAATTACTATGATATCTTTGCCTGATGGCATAGCAATGCATATGATCCATATCCCAAAGACAGTAACCTGACAGCATTATCTGGTATAGAACAGATTGCTGAGTGGAGATTAATTCAAAACACATGGAGGAACATTGCAACATCAACCTTGTGACGGACCGGTGTTCTTGGCATGAAGAGAAATGAACCATCGTGCACCAAATACGTATGAAGAGTCTGTTCCCGTTTTCAGAATTAGTAGTCTTTCTGATAGTCACAACTAAAGGCTCATCTATGAAAGAAGAGCATCAGATCTATCAATCCTTGAGAGAAGCGAACTTAGGAGCCAAGATTTTTTCAATGGCCACCTAATTACAGTAGACAGTCTACATACACGAACCTGATTGAGAGGTCAATTTCTCCAGGACTATCTCTACACCCGAGATTCCAGAATCAAAGTTGAAACAGGCCCTACTTATTCCTCAGCATCTGAGCATACTAATGTGGCCGCACGGAATAACCTACGCGGTGTGATTGGCTGGGTGATTCCGAGCTCCGAAAGCCGAGACGACATCTCAAATTTCGCAGATGCTCGAACAGCATTTGATACCGACGTGGATCGCCTAATTGGGTACTATTGCAGTAGGACGGCGACTGTAATCTGGCATTCATTAGACCTGGGGGAATATGTTCTCATTTCACTCCGAATCTGCTACCACTCGTCGGAATGGCAAGCCCCAGTCCTGCGAACCATGCCGCAAGTCAAAACTGCGATGCGACCACACCCGCCCTGTTTGTGACCGGTGCACTGCCAGAAATATGGTACAGCATTGCTTCTACCACCCTTCGCCAATGACAAAGAGACCCGCGCCTGGAAATACTGGGGTTTTAACTAAAAGTCAGGGGGACGCGTCATACCGTAGTGATGATAGATACAGGATTCACAAGGTCCTAAGTCCTAGGTAAATACTTTCCGATTCATGATTAGTTTGAAGGCTTAAACCGCTATTATTAGCTCTGCAGTTTCTAGTCCTGCACTTGCGGCTCACCTAGCTCCTACAAAATCACCAAGATTGGAATTGGCCACATCACCTGGCTACTTGGGGTCCACGAGTTATTCGGCAGTGCTTGCTGAACACCAGAAAGACATCCCTATTGATTCCGAGACTCCCATGGGAACCGTTTCAGCTGCCGTTGACCCCGAGCGTGCACAAGCCGGATTCCGTGTCCTTGCCTTGCTATACAACCTAACTTTTCTCGATCATCTAATCACCCGCTCCTACGCGAAGAAATGGTATAGAATATATCCGTCTTCTGTCATTGAAAAAATCATATCTTCCACGCGCCGGGTTTATGACAGTTTCGAGGCCACTGAGACAGAGACTCGATTGAGTGAGCTTGCTGTTCAGGTGTTTCGCAACTCGTTTAGACCTATTCCCCGGTCAAAGACGATGACTGTTGATGAGTATACCGATACGTTCACTGGCGAGAATATGCGTTGGGAGACAATTGCACTCATATTAGCCCTTGCAGGAAATTCAGTGCTCGCCTGCTATGAACAGGATCCCATTTTTGCTGACCTCAAAGGGAATGGTGATAATCAGAAGGGAAGCGCAGAAGTGAAGGACCAACTATTATCACAGGTATCTGACGCTACAAGTACGTGTCTTACATTTTGTGACCATGCTGCCTCTTCAAACGAAATACTCGCGTATGCGCAGTATACCGATGTGGTGATGAAAACACAGCAGTACGGTGACTCAAGTGAGTTTATACATCTGAAAAGGATATATTTTTTCGGGATTAATACGATTTCACTAGGCTACCAAGCATGGCGACGACTTAGTGAGCTCTCGGCGACAGTATACGCCTCTGGCCTTCACAAGATCGATGGCCCAGCTGATGAGAATTGCCCATTCTTTTTGAAGCAGCTACGACGGAGCTGCTTCGCTGCTGCATTTTTCGTCGACAAGAGCGAGGCAACTTTTGTCGGACGACCACCTTTGATTAATTTCCGATATTGTTCTCTTGCTCTCCCATACGACATCGATGATGAGGTGCTCCTTACACCAGGTGATGCTGAGCAAGAAGTTCTCAAACGTGTCGATGTCAATGGATGGGACAAGGATGGGATTAAACACCGAACGAGTATAATTCGCATTAGACTCCAACTTTCGGTTTGTCGAGAAGAAATTCTCGAGTTGGCGTTGGGGGATGGCTATCAGCGAGATGTTCCCCGCAAAGCAGAGTATGTTATTCGTTCTTTCTCCATTCTTCTAGGTTTTATTTGTTCTTTTCAATTTTAATTTTATGCTCTCCGTTTGGAACCAAAAACTAATAAGTCGAGGGCGAGCAGGGCAATTTTAGAACGTGCCAGGAAAGCATGGGAGCAATGTCCTGCGCATCTTCGATATGACTATCTCTCTCAAGAAGACCTAAATCACCCGCTTTATGATCAACATATGGGAATATTCCTCTTATATGTCGACTATCTTCACAGTCACTTTCTTTTACACCGCACAGTAGTGAAATACACTGAGGCTAGCCCAAAGCCTCTATTTGATACCGCCCGAATTTTACTTTCCACCGTCCTCCGCATTTGCAACGACCGCGAAGCTACTACCGACAGAAGTAAACAAGTTTCGTGGATTGTTCTGTACTATGGGCTGCCTAGCGCATGTGTGCTTGCATTTGAAGTTTTACGACAAACTCAAAACCCAGAGGCACATCGTCTTCCATCTGTCCACCTTCCACGATCAGAAATCATTCGTAATCTCAGTGTCTTTGTTTCATGTTTAGCCTGGGTGGCCAGCCCAAGCCCAAGTCACGGTAATTATGCCGTATGCAAGGAGGTCGAGCAGAAGCTATCACACATCCTTGACCAGATTCTCGACCCACCACGACGCATTTCTGCGCCGGTTGAAGATTTGAGTTTTGTGCAAAATTTTGCGTCCGGGTTAGAAGGGTATTTGGATTGGAATCAATTCAACAATAATGCCTATGACTTCAACTCGGATTACTTTGCATTTTAGAATTGCGCCTTCCATCATGTTGAAATGAGAAAGGTGAAAAGGGTATCTTGCATACAATTGCAATAAACTACTCAAAGTTCTATATCACACCATCCAGATAAAATCCGATGTAGAACGACGCCGTTCCTGAAAAAAAGCTTGGTGACACATTGGGCACGTGTAATGGCTCCGCAGGTACCATCTCTCCAGGCACTGCTTGTGAAAGACGTGCAAACATTTTAGCTCGTGGATCTCGTGCGTACGTTCAACCTGGTCGAAACAGATGACACTGCAATTGTTATCATTCCCTCATACATCAAATATTGAAGCCGGGAAAAGATTACCAGACAAAATTGTCACACCCCTGCGACAAACCCAATGACTCCTTAACTGTTGGCCACCATTCTCCCAATTTACGAGTCGACGAGACAGCCTCGAGCTTTTTCAGACGTTCTACCGAGTTCTTGTCGCCGTGGTCATCGCCTTTCTTACAAGCACGTCGGTTGAGGTACACTGCAAGACTATTTATTCCGGGTTAGACGGGTTTATTCCATCAAATGTGGCCGGGAATAAAGGAGCACGAACATCATGCTACAAACAAATAATAGTGCAATCCCTAAAACAGCCCCAAGCAATGCTGACACCGATTGGGCTCCCGGGCTTGTATTGTTGTCGCCGCTCGCTTGGCTATCATTGCGCCTGAATAGCGAGATCGCCAACTCAGCATGGTGCAGATCATTCATGCTGGGCTCTTCGGTTTGCAACAGGTACCATTGGTTGATCACGAGCCAGCATTCAATAGAAGGAGGATAACAAAATGGAATTAAATACAAAAATCTCCCAGTTTATAAAAATTAGATGTCAGTTTGAATATCACACAAGAAAGTAGAAAATCGGCAGGTTTGGTTAAACTCCCAATCGCTGTTCAAGTGTTAGTGGTCGCAATGCTAACAAGGCCCGTGTGCTAGGTAAGGGTCCCCCGCCTGTGCAACGGACAAACAGACCGGATTCTTCACCAGCGCCAATGAGGCCAAGTCGCATGATTCATTTTGTTCGTGTTCCTTTTAATTTAATTCCACAAGGCGGTTTTCGTTTCTCTTGGGGTTTCCGATTCATATATGACGATAGAAGGGATTCGTTCGATTTATTAAACTTCGAGACTGAGAAGTGGCGCGATAAGCGCACATGCCTGTACCAATAATGAGTCTCCTTGTATCACTACATATTATTATTGTCTAGTTAGCTCCAGATACGACGCTTGGGGCACGGCGGCGAAAGAAAGGCGATTGTGAGTTTGGTTATCGTCCAGAGGGCTCGTGATCTAGACTCCTCGGGTGGTCCTGTGGCCTGTCAACTGGTCATACCGTGTACAACTAGTTCTCTAGCCTGGCCAATCCAACAAACCTAACGGCAAATCATCGTCTCCACCTCAATCAAGCTTTCAATGCCAGTGCAGCGTTGGCGTGACTTGCTTGCTGGCAGCTTTTGTCGTAATTGACGCACTCAACTCATGGTGCAAGGATTTTTGACCAGACATCATGCAAGCACACATACTACGTTGGGGGCGGCCATCACTGAATTAATATATGGACGAGAACAGGTGTACTACTCGAAATACTCCATATTTCTGACTCGGATTCTTGACAAGGGAGATGGTTGGGGCTTCGGCATGTTCTCCTACTACGCAGAACTTATTTCAGGCCAAGACAGAGGGCAAGAATAACAGCATTCTGCGGAAAACTGTCAGACTTCGCCGCTTCCGCCTGCCCAGTGCAAGCAAACCATCAGCTATTAACTAGCATTGCTGCTCCCTCCCACATTAGGACACCCGACAGTGCGGGGATTTGACGTAGCACCGCAGCGATCGACTGCGCATATTTTTGTGGCTTCTCTCAGTAGAGCAAACGCGGCTTTAAAAAGGCCAAATGTAAAAGCCTTGAGTTTGAATTGTCTTGTTACTTTCTTTTCTTCGTCCATGTTGCTTCCTATAGACCCCGAGAATACTCCGAGAATTAGCGGTGGCGTGGCTGGATTCCCACGGCTCGTGGTGTCATCGACTCTGTGATGGCGACCACTGATTCGCACAAGCTGATCTCCGGAAACTAAATACAATAATGGTTTAGGCTAACATTCGATTCTTGTGTGAAGTCGCAGAAGCTTTTAGCGAGAGTGAAGTTACACATCATAGCTTTCCTAGCTTTGAAAGCTATACTATTGACTTGTCAATCTCGGCAATTCTCGGGTGGGCTCTGAAACTGGGTGAGAGACTATAAATACGGATCTATATAAACATGATTTTCTAAGTCCAGTACAGCATGCATACTAGGATAAAATTCCATGAAATTTCTGATTACGTTACCCTCCAACACCAAACCGCAAAATCCGTCTTACATCTCTATTCAGTTTAAATTTATAACTACGACCTCCATCGTGGCACACCTATTCAGTCCACGTAACTGAAGACCTTGGTGATCAATAGGTACCCCGGCTTTTAAAATTTGTATGTTTATTAGACAGCATTGTTGTGCAAATTTGTCGTAGTAGGAATATTTTCAACGCTTTATTCTAATGTGCTAAAATTTTAAGAATACATAGTTGAATAATTACCTATAGTGGCAGACAAGAATTCAATCGGTTCTCAGTGCTATCATAAGATCTATCTTTCTCGCAAACTATCAAGAGTCATGGAGTGTATTTATCATGGGATCATCATGATATACATTCGGTACTAGACATCAGTTGAAGCCATCCAGCAAAATGATACCATATTAAATTAATAACAACAGTTAAAGCTAGTCAAATTGATACTAGACTATGCTGTATATCATATACATCACAAGTGCCCCAAAGTATTAGTTGTTACATCATACTTTTGAATGGTTAAGAAGGCCGAAACCGCCAAATTTCTTACATTCAAGCGCTCTCACGTGGTCAGAATCTTGTGTAGCTATGGCTTCTATGGCATCCATACACCCTCATTATAACATATCTAAAGTATGTACTTCGTAACTGGATATACTAAAAATTCTTTAAGAGCGTATAATTTAGAGTTGGGATATCAACCGTAGCCAAAGGCATCATTAAATTCTTCAGAAACGTTATGTAGCCAAAGTTAGATTACACGTGATTTTGCGTCTGATCATCAAGGAAGGAGAAAAACAAGAAGCAGGAATAAAAAGAGAAAAAAGAAGTAAATTTTGAAAATAAATCTCATCATAAAAGAGGATAGCGCATTGAAAGTCATGATGTGTCTTTAAGCATAGCATTCACTAATTTGTTGCTCAATCTCAAGTAATACCTGAATTATGTAATACATATATCTAATAAACCGTTCGATGCACAACGGTCCTATATATGAACGCTTGTAGTTAGCTATATCGAATATATAAATGAATGGTCTCATACTATTGCGTCAACACGTTTGATGCAACATGTCTAACAGAAAAGGTGATACTATCGAACGTTAATTCCATGAGTAGCTATCTTGCTAGGCTCGATCACACGGTAGTCTGTTATTTAGACCACGAAATGCCCCTGCTGACGTCCCTTTCCAAGACACCATGATGGATGCAAAACTGAATGGCTGGTTCTACTAACATAGCGCTGAATAAGACTTAATTCAGCAGGCAGATGATTTGGCTCAACGGATCTCGGTGGAAGGATCGGCAACGTGAGGTGTTAGAGCCTGCACTAGTGCTTATGCTTATTTACAAAGAAGGCTTAACTTGGATATAATCACAAATCCTACGGAGTACTGCGTAATCTATTTTTCATTTAATTGGGTTTACAACCCTGGGGGGTTGCTGTGTCCCCGACACAAAGTGTTACCTACTCAGTCAATTAATGGTATAGCAAGTTTCAAATATTAAGCATGCTGCCAATATATTGGCCTCTTGATCAATACACACAGACTAATTTAAAAGACCGCCTTTCTTCAATTGGTGGACTTTTCCTCGTTTAGCATGACATCACATGTGCTTATCCTGCACAGTCACCAAAGATCCGACTTTCTCTCGAATGCTCAAACTATAAAGGTCATTGCTTCCCCCTTGCAGGTCTACTCCGTATTTCCATCTGTTTTTACACTTTCATATCAGTTTCAAAAACCTAAATATCTAAAGGCGATACGAAATCAACATGCGCATCATTTCGTTTCTCATTATGACTCTTGCTGCAGTTGCAGTTGCACAAGACTGCTGCGAAGACCCACCTGGCTGTGGCTGCCCTGACAACTGCTCTGGTGTAAGGCCCAAGTCCTGTTATATATAAGCACGGTTTTATCAGAGACTCATTCTAAATCTAGGACTGTGCTGGTTGTTGCCCGGCAGAGAATATGCTCAAGCTCAATTAGCTTACTTCGTGAACGGCTCTTACGAAACAGCGGTTTTGAGTTGTAATCGCCTGCCATAATATGTTTTTCTCGGTGCATCTCTTTCTTGGGTGACTAGCCTGATTACCGTCTTTCGACATGGATGGTGCGACGATATGGTTGGAGATTAGCCCCGTATGATCTCAGCATTACGAGCCTGGCAGCAACTGATATTACTGTACCTTCTTAGCCATTCATCTGGAATGTCAATACGTTAAATATCCAAATTCCTTTCCCTCTCGATCCTGTAGAATCTACGTAAGAGAGTCGCTCCTTAGGGTTAGGGTAAGGGCACGGTCTGCTAAGTCCGCGGATATAAATCACGTGTCTCGTTGCTCCGCCCACCTCCATCCAGAAGCAAAGAACCCACGACACGGGGTATCAATTGTTTTATCCCATTTATCCATCTAGTGCCTATGAATTCTCAAGCTTCTATGTCAGCCGTCAAGCGAACTTATAAACCAGCCCGGCGCTTCCGTGTCCCACTGTCATGTGACTCCTGCCGCACTAGAAAGTGCGTATCAATCTTCGTCTGTATGACCAATGCTGACGCAGTTAGACTAAAATGTAACCGTGAGAGACCCTGCCAGAACTGCACAGTACGACAGGAGCAGTCGGATTGCAAGTACGAAAATTCTAAAAATGCATATCCTCTCACAGACCGCCGTGATGAACATAAAGATAAAATGCAGCAACGAATAGATCACTTGGAGGATCTGGTGAAGAAATTTATAACAAAGAATGAAAGAGTGCCGCCATCTAGCAGCAATACGGTTTACAGTTTCGAAAATTCAAAAAAAGGGACCAAATATGCTATCCCTGCCGTAGAGTCTGATGTGTCATATAGTACCGATACAACAGTAATAGATGAAGCGCATTCCGTATATGGAGGTGCGAATGATTGGTATGATGTGTTGCAAGAGGTATGCTTGTCTCTTATAAATGTGAATACAGCGTACCTCAACATCCAGCTAATCATCCTTCAGATAAACAGCCTCAAGAGGATCTGGAATCAAACGCAGGATGATCAAGTGTATTACCAAGACATACACCCCAGTATCTCGCACAATGTTGACGGATCGAGTCTACTCTTTGCTCAGGTCAAGCCGATAGAAAAAATGGAAATTCTATCAACTTTACCACCTAAATCTGAAATTGACAAATTGATATGCCTTTTCTTTGATCGCACGACATTCCCTATATCAGTTCCTCGTGAGCCAAAGCCCTATCCACATGCACAGGACTAGCATCTCACATCTTGAACAGCTATTCTACATGAGCCAACCTTCATGCGCGAAGTAAGTGCCTCCTCCATCTTCACCCAAATCTTGGCGTACATATTCTCCTTGCTAACGTCATAGTTAGTATTCTACGCACTGGAAAGACCCTTCGGAGACAAGCATTATATGGCTAGGTCTTCTTTTCTCTATCCTTGGCATCAATATGCTTGCTTATCATCGATTTGGTGAACCACCGGAGTATGAGGGAATCTCAGAGTCACTTTTTCAACTGTACCGGATGCGAACGGCTCAATGTCTATTAATTGGTGACATTGCCAAATGCTTACCATATACACTAGAAACATTGCGCTTCAACGCCACCGCAGAGCTCAATCGTCGAGAGGATAACAGCCGTGGTCTCTGGATTATGACAGGTGTCATTGTTCGAGTAGCAATAAATATGGGCTACCACCGAGATCCTTTTCAAAATTCCACGCGCTCCTCCATCTCGGCTTTCCATGCAGAGTATCGTCGTCGAGTCTGGCTTTCCGTGATAAGTATGGATAATATGGCCTCATTCCTTGGCGGATTTCCTCGCATGATTCCTGCCATTTACACGGATACTGCTGAACCGCGCAATATTTATGACTGGGAGTTATCCGACTGCCATGATATCAATCTTCTGCCGCCTTCAAGGCCGCTAACGGAGCCCACAGCCGTGACTTATTTGATTATCAAGGGGCGTCTATCACAGGCTCTAGGTCGCGTTGCTGACTTTAATAGCAATCCCCAGTTGACCTATGACGCCGTTCTTGATATTGACAGCACTTTACGCGAGGTACATCAATGTATACCAAACCACATGAAATTCAGCAGTGATACAATGAACTCGATTAAATCGTATAACGAAGGAACTTACATGGACTTTTCAAACTTGAATCTCGAAGTCATGTACCACAAGGGAATGTGCACACTACATCGGAAATTTATGGCTAAGGGTAGACAGGACCCTCGGCACAGCCTTTCCCGGAGTAGATGTATCTCCTCAGCTCTAGCTCTCATTGGCTGCCAAAACTTGTTAGGGCCATCGTGGTACCAGTTTGCGCATGTTAGGCAAACAATCACTCTCGCTGCCATGGTACTGTTTCTAGAGCTAGAACTACGACGGCGAGGTTCAGCTAATGTCGATGTGTCTTCCCATACCAGCTCCGCTTTATTACAAGCGTTGGAAAAATCTTGTGCTCTATGGGAAACTACAAAGAGCTCCTGTAGTGAGGCTTGCAGGATACATAACATTCTTTCCAGAATGCTGTCAAGCTTCCAAACTGTTGAAGCTTTGTCGAAGATCAGCGATGCTGCTAGTAATACTGATATTGGTCTATCTCAGAAGATAATAACCCCGGAACCATCTTTAGAGGAGTTTCCTGCATCGAGGAAGGCTTCCTTACAGCTGATAAATGGTATTGATGGTATTCCTTGGGAGAAGGATTTCTTTGCGATGCCGAACGAGATGGATTTTGATTGGGTCAGTTTCTTGACATTTAATTCAGTTAAGCATACACTGACAATGATACAGAATACTTGGGATTCATTCATCGAGGAAATGAATTTTGAAGATAGAACCATACTTTAAGGCTATATTCAGCATCGCGAACCCACGCATTCCTGCGATGAAAGAAGACCAAATGCCCACTTTTTTTTAGGAGGACTTATGAGGGTCGCGATTATAAGCCTCCCTAACGTAAAGAATTTTCCAGAAATTTATGCTCAAGTGTCGTATTCCAAGCCCATATTTCCAGCATTTGGGGCTTTCATTGAGAGTTCATTACTGATTAGATAATAATATGACACCGCTTTTGCTTGAATAAAAAATGGCGAGCGAGTCCCTCTATAACCGTCTTATTTGGTTACTAATTTATTATTTGCGCAATAACGTTCCAGGGATCGTATGTAATCATTTTTCCATGACTAATATACATTACCTGCCTCGCCTAGCTTCGTAGCTAGTTGCATATACTAACTAAAACCAACTAAAGAGCAGGGCTGACCAGCTGGGTGCAGTCCGGCCACCGCTGTCGCAGCTGAAACGACGGATCGGTCGGCTGCTTGTTTGATGTTAGCAAACATTCCGAGTCAGGGCAGCCGGAATGAGCGAAAGTTATTATGATTCTAAGGGATAATATTATGCTATTTATATGTATAACCATTGCGTGAAATTCGCTTGTCGAAACATACGTGTAAGGGAAAAAATGTGCCGGACTAGAGGAATTTCATGTAAGCTGCCATTCATACGATGCATTGTTAGAAGTTTGCCGTTGATTGTCGTAGTCAGATCCCGCTGTTTTCATGTAAAAAAAATAGGGAGTAGGAATTAACCGAAACACCAAGCCCTCCTTGTACCCTAACTTTTAGCCCATATCCATCTAAAACTCCAAGTCAATCAATATTCATGGGTCAAATATAGATGTGAAAATAAAGCCCTGCGACCGGCGGAGGGATTATAATGTGAAGTGAACACCTTCCTGGTCAAATTGAATATCCAGGTTACTCTGTACACCATGCGGCCAACAACCACTCAGCGAACTGCTTCGATGGACTGTTAACAAGCTGGTGAGGGCTCACCCAACTGTAGTCATATCGATCGTGCAAGGTAGCCATCAAATGATGAAGGCGATATTGCTGTGAAATGTTGTCCGTAGCTACAGCATATGAAATGGCGTTTCTCAGGGCATTTTCGTCAACATATTGTCGTTGAAAATCAACACCTAACAGCAAAAGCTAGTTAAGATAGAAATCCAAAATATAAAAGATAAAAATAAAAGTTGAAAGAGAGAGGATGCATACCACAAGCCAGTTCCGCCATAGTCACAATATCACCTACTTTCATTCTCTCGGCTGGTAAGAAGAATTCCCTCGGCCAGTCAGGAAGATCAAGCGCAGCAACAACGTAACGAGCCACATCTTCGGCTGAAGTCATGCGTACATAAACTTCATTGGAATGGCTAAATGGAATTATTGCCGTTCGTTGTCTGAGATTCACAATATAGTCTCCTTCTCCAGAAATATGCGTTCCAGCGCCAAGCTGCAGCGATGCCATCCCTTCGGGGTAGAACCTCTCGTAGAATATGCCACAGCTAAAAACTGCAAACTGCATGCCATATAGCTCTTGCTTCTCGACTAAGAGAGAAAGTGCGTGCTTTTGCCCGCGATCAAGAGGGTCACTTGTTGACGGGCGCTGATAAAGAGGGCCTTCGAATTCGGACGGCACAAAACGCCGTACATGTACTTGGGCAGCAGCATCGATGAGAGAGTGTTGAGCTTGGCCGGATACGGTCGATATAACGGTGTCGACGCCCACGAGCTTATACCGCACGTCGTTGAGGTTACCGTAATCCACAGGGAGGACTTGCCACCCTTTTGCTGTAAGGCCGGGGTTCGGCTATGTGTCCATTAGCTATGAATCTATGATGGCATATCGCAGATATAACAAGAACTGACGTTGCGTGATAGGAAGAAAAATTGGTGGCATGTCTGCGTCGATATATAGTGAGCGATGTATTGTGCGAGACCACTCGTCCCGGCCAGTGCAATCTTAATCATCTGGTACAACGAAGGCGGACAAACAAAAATTTATTAAAAAATATTTTCTTTCAGAAATTGGCGAGATAAAAGGGAAACGAATGGGATGCCAATTCCTAGAATGAACGACATGGAGGGGGGGACAACAAAATACTGAAAAAATCAAATAAGACAGCCATGAAATGAAAAGTTTCCTGTCAAGTCAGCAGGACAGCGCTTCTGCCTGCTGAAAAAGACACGAAAGGTGTTGTAGAATAATACAGCACTAAAGAAAGGGAAGACTAGAATAAAGGAAAACGGATAGAGTGAAGTAAAAATTGTTTGCAGATAGAGGCAGGCATGATAAAATATAAGTCTCTTTTACAATTTCAGGAATAGTACGGAACAAAGATTCTTAATGAAATTTCCACGGCTCATTTAAACCTACATGACCCCCAACCTGATATGGTCAAGAGTGTCATCTGCACCACAGCAGTGGGCCCGTTTGAGGGAAGATTGCATTTCAGTCTTCGGGAGTTAGTCGAATACGTACGTATACCACTGGGTCTGATATTCTTTTTCATTGGCCAGGAAGAGCGCACCTTGGTATTCTTTGTGCATTTATGGACAGTTTGAGCTTTTCATTGGTACAATAATTAATCAAACCAAGAAACGGTCGAAAGACCATCGGACTGCCGCCTCGTCGAATGAGGAGGCAGAAACGAGGTATAACTAGTCAGCCCATGAACAGGGTTGTTGATCATCTCACCCACTCCGCCCTGACCCGGGTGTTAGGTAGTGGGCACTGGAACTTGGGGCCCCCTTTGGACGATGAACGGGGAGAAAGTCAAAGTCATCGGGCTGAAAGCGGGAATACCGATTCGCAGGGCCTTTTCTCCTAGCTCGAAGAATCACTTTAAGAATAATGGAGGGGGGAAAGACGGGCGTGCAAAGCCGTCCATGTTAAATGAGCCGGCCTGCCAATATGGACAGGAGGGCGATGACTGATTAGTCCCGCGGACCAATTGGGCCAACCCTTTTTTTCCAACGGGCTTCGCCTGGCGTCGCACTATTGTTGTAGCGGAGGCATGCCGTAGCCTAGCAATAGGCTCGATCCGGATTCCGTCTCATGAAAGAGGGCTGGAGCTGGAGCTGGAGCTGGAGCTGGAGCTGGAGGGGTTGGCCGTTGAATTCCTTCAGCCCTTCCTAAACTGGCGGTCTGACGGGTGGGCCGTCTTTCAGCCGCATCTTCTGAAGGCCAAAAGCGGCATAGACCATGTTACCATGTTACCTGCGAGTAGTGTGCACGTAATCGAAATAAGAATGTTTGATCTTAGGCCTGGAGCAGCTCACAGTACACTGAACAGGATATCACTACCGTGCAAGATCAGGTTCTGCGAGTGTGCCAGCCAGGTTGCCCAACTGTGCAGATGTCGACGGAGTCTGTGTGAGGCTTGTTCTACGAGGCCATAGCGATCAATTAGTCCCGGGTCACGCACTGAGTATCATCGATCATAGCACAGTCTGTGAAACGAGCAAGTGGAAGCAAAAGTGGCCGAGTGGGAGGATGTTTCGCAGGCAGCCAGACGGCAAGGCAGCAAGGCAGATTCCACACGTGACGCGGCGGAGACGCCGGATCACGGGACTCCGCGTCAGTCACGTGTCCTCAGTCGCGCGCAAAAGACTCGCCGTCAAGTGAGTGACTTCCCATTCAGCGATCCCAGACGAGTATTCGCGACATTGAAAGCCAGCGAATTGCGAGGAAGGAACGAGTGCTAGCCCTTGTGCTATTACTTACTATACAAGAAGAGGACAAACCCCCCCACGCGCATGGCGTGGTTCAAGGAATGAGGGGGTAATGGTGTGCATGCACTCTGTAGTCTCGTAGCATTAACCAGCGGAGTGGCTCGTCTGAGTAAACCACCCAGTCGGACAGGCGAGCGGATTAAAGGCCACATAACAATGTAATGATAATGATCAAGGAAGACCAAGACAGTCCCGATGGCCATGTCGGGAGCCGCGCAGAAAAAGGCGCGTCGCGGGTCCCCATAGGTATAGACCGTGCAGGCCGCGTGCAACACCGCCCACGCGAGTAATATTCCACTCACGGCACGAAGCACTCACTAACTTCCTCCTGGTACGTGGTGCGTGTGGGATTTCTCTTACCATCACCCACACCTCTAACCTCAACGAGCTCCAACATCGACGACCATGCCTACGCTCGGCTCGTCGTCGACCACAGCTGGTTCATCTTCGCCATCGCAGACTCAGGTCTCCGAGCCCGCCAACCTCAACTATGCCTTCCTCATTCATTCCCAAAAGACCTTGACCCAGAATCTACCGCCTCGCGTTGACAACAAGCTACTGGCCCGGCAAAAACGCAGGCGTACGAGGTAGGCCTGCTGTACTACTTTTATCTCACTGGCATGCGCTAATAGCGTCCCTACGTAGTCCCGAAGACCATGCCATTCTGGAGGCAGAGTACAAGACGAACCCCAAGCCTGACAAAGTCGCCCGCGCAAGCATAGTCAGTCGAGTGGCTCTAGGCGAAAAAGAGGTGCAGGTACGCGTCCGACGCGTCTTTCTCGCAAAAGCGATATTGTGGTCTCGCTAACGAAGAGCTCCTAGGTATGGTTTCAGAACAGACGACAGAACGACCGACGGAAGTCAAAACCTCTAGAACCACATGAACTCGTCGGACCCCGTGCTTCCACCAGCAATGCAGACAGTTCACCAGACAATCGGAACTCGGGGCCACCAGAGCCGAGCTTCTCGTTCGGAAGTGTTCCAAGTGACGATCCAGTCGGGTATCTAGATGTAGACGGGAAGGCAAAACTAGATGCCAGCAAAGTGCCTGCGGATATACTAGTCAGTAGCAGTGATGGGCCAGAAGTAGACCTTCCAAGCTCTCAAGTGCACGGCGAAATACCCTCATCCCAAACAACTCGTTCACTCTGCCACCCGTCTGAGATTCTGCAGGAGACTCCGCAGGAGCTTTCACTTGACATTGTCGACCACAACAAGGCTGTCGGAATTTTGGCAGAGCTTACAGGTCTGGGAGTGGAGTTGAATCCAAGAAAAAGGGCATTGTCCACCACTGACGCTGTGCCACAAGCGATCGATGTTGAACAGCCGCGAAAGGACTTTAAATCCCCCCCTTCGCTTCGCATTTCCATGTCATTCGACGGGGAAGCCCTTGTCAGGCATGATGGGGAGCCGACGCCATCCCCTCCGAAGCCGCGTACTGCGGTACGAATCTCCCTATCTTCAGATGGTGAAGCTCTAGTTCGCGGTGAAGACGAGCCATCGCCCTCTAAAAACCGCATGCGCATGATCCCCAGTCGTACCAACCGACAATCTGGACTAAAAAGAAGTACAAGTGCCGTTACCTTTGGTTCCTCCCAAATTATAACGGACCGAGAAGGGTTTAACAGACTCTTTGGGCGATCTCGAGACGCTCGTATGTGGGAGCTTTACTGCGACACAGATGCCCGAAGTGCGTTATCAACCCCAGGAGGCTCTCAGAGCGGAAATTCAGCACCCACACCGGGACTTAATCGATCGGGAAGCAATCGATCGCTTGTCCGAACGAACTCGTTTTCCAAATCCTTGTGCTCTACCCGGCCCGAAGCTGAGAGTCATTCAACGTCTGTCGAGTATTCAAGCAAGAAAAGGAGGAAGCTCGGCCGTACCGTATCTTCTTTGGGGCGATTGGAATCGGTCCAACGCGTCGTATTAGCAGATCACAGTGCTAAAAAGCCGGTTCTCTCGGATGGAAAGACATTCAAGGACTATGCAAAGGAAGTCGATTGGGAAGCAGGCGATTCGGATAAAGAAAATTGGGTTCCAGGCACACAACAGCGGGCAATGCCAGGCCGTCACCGTAGGGTAAATTCTCATGCTCCTCGTCCCGTGCTGAGGGTTAATGGCGTACGAAAAAACACCGCGGTTGACGATCTGGCACTAGCTGCTAACGGGAAACGTGGTCGAGTGTCGCGTGGCGGGCATTGTGGCAACAAGGAAAATGAACTCTATCATCCTGCCAAAATTGATGCCGAAGTGGCTGCGTTCATGTCCAAAACGAGTTCCTCCAGTCGAGAAGAAGATTTGGATTGCATACAAGGACTATTGTCTTTGAGTCAAGGAGCATGGAAGTGAGGCTGTGGTTAAGGGCAAACATTCATGTCCATGACCAAATCTAACGTAGTTTCTTTCCTTTGTTTCTTTCCTTTGGTTCTATGTATTTTGTCGCGCTTCATGATGCCTCGAGAGCTGATGTGGGATCTCTGGTGGTTGTACAGTCTGCAGCGAGCGAACCTCACCCTTTGTCTTCTTTTCATCTGTACAATTACGATGAGATGTAAATGGTGGCAATGAATGAATACGATATTAATATTATTCCAGTGCTGGCAGCGAAGTTGATTGGATGAGGGGCATTGCCCCTTGCTGGCGATGCGCCAATGAGTTAACTAGTAGTACTATAGTATGCCTGCGCCAATTCCGCAAGATATCACACTTTCACTTTTGCTTTTAGAATTCCCCCATTTTTAATGATTGTGCCATCTGCATGTCGATAACAATACCAAGCAAAGCCTCGCTAATTCACCTTTGACCATGCCGTTGATTTTTTTGTCGGAACTTGATTCAATGACACTTCCAGTCGCTATTCGAAATGTCCCTCTACCAGTGCTTGCAGCATGTCCACAATGCAATCGAGTTTCTTCCCAATCACTTTTGATTGGTGGACTTGGGCCGCCGCATAGGCAAGCAGGACATCGTTATCAGAGGCCTTTGGAGCCTGGCTTCCATGGACATGCTCAACTTCGCTGTAAGCATATTCAGAGCTATGGCTCTCCTCCTGAATAGAATCTTCAAAAAGCTTTAGTGGCTTTCTGATCTCGGCATCAAGTTCCCCATGCGGAGAAGCTTTACCCTTCTGCATCTAGTCAGTTATACAATTTAGCAAGTCGAAAGCTAGAGTATACCAACATGGTGGTGCAAGCCCCCGGTTTCGTCTTTTGGCTCCCCATGTCTTAGCTGGTACCTCTAGTGCTAATGACTGGAGGATGGAGAGAAGAATGAGCGTCTCGCAACTTGCAAGAATGCTACTGAAGGATTTCTGCAAATGTCGTATGGGGTGAAGGTGAGAGAAGAGAGTGAGAGCGAGGGTGAGGAAGGAGGGGAAAGAGGGACAGAATGAAGGATGGAAGAATACAGAAGAACTTTGCGAACGATGACGACGACTTGGGCTCGTCATATGATGTTCTTTTGTTGATGGCAAACGAGGAAGACGCCCGCCCCTTCTCTATCTACATTGTCTATATTGTTTACATCGCTGACATCATTCACGGCCAGTTCCTCTTTCTTTTCCTTCGGGCCAGCCCTGACCAGGCACCCGGTAGGCTTTCCCTCGGTCAGCCCACTGTCTGCTCGCTTCTCCATCGTCCAAGTCGCAGTACCCGAATGTCTGGCAGTTACACATCTTGGGCTCGAGACAGTTCTGTGCGGGCTTGCCAAATATTACTGCATCTAGATCAGTCTACTATCTAAGACCGACGAACCAGTGTGAAGCAGAATCCAAGTTTGGATATTGTACGTTCGGGGCGAGACAACTTACTGTGCCATGTGTATTCTAGAATTTGTCCATCAACCTCGTCCTTGAGCGACCTTTCTATCGACCACTATCGATATTTGATATAGTCTTCTCTCGGTCTGTCCAAGATCGTCTCCCGAGATATTGCAAACTGGTTACCTGCCGGTATTGCGACCACCTCAAGACAAGTCCACACCCGGAAACAACTTCGTGAATTCGAAGGGTACTGCACTTTGCTCATCACCCTCAAGATCTTCTCCAACGCAACTACGTTTTACAAATTTGGCTACGCCTCGGGGATAGTTGGGAGCCTTTTCTCATTGGCCGTGAGGAGTGAATTCTTTCTTCCAGTCATGCTTCGAAACTGCTTCTTTTTCCTTTTATCGGTTCATCAATTAGACAGTAAAATGTTAGATATATAGAACACTTAATCAGGTCCAGTGACGCTAGAAATCCGTCGCCAGGACGGTGTATACAAAATTAACAACTCTATGGATGCAATGGAACAAGAAATAAGAATGATTAACAAATCAGTGCCTTGGGCACCTGGATTGGATAGAGAAAGAGAGGCTATTGCGTCCATAATGCTCTTTCTGCAGGGGCTTTCTTATATACATATCTACGGCATATTTTTAGAGACAAGAAAACTATTCTATGAAACATGCGGCGATAAACAAAGGGCATGCAAAATCACTAGTCGTCAAGTAGAGTGCCCAATGGTAAAACGAATCAAAATAGAGAAGTATGATTGTCGGCTGCGATTGGCTGGGCCAGCTCGTAGACCTACACTGCACGGCCTATGGCGATCAAATCAAGCATTCTCTAGTCCATTGAAGAATAAAAAGTATAAAAAGTAACAATAAAGTGATAACGGTATCCTCATTGTCAAGATTTACAAGATACCTGCCCAGTATTGTATACTCATACATAATCAGCGCAGGTTGTGCTGGGGCCTGAGGAATCAGGCCCAAATAGAACAGTTCTAGCCCTGGTGGGTCTTGTTGGAGAAGAGCTGATTCGCTGCATGAGGGAGATGCCAGCCGGTGATTGGGTGCGTGAGAGGACCAATCACAGACCGGACAGAGACAACATGTGTGGCTCTTAATAACGATTAATTAATTATGAAGGTAACCCTCTCTCTTTTCTTCTTTTTCTGTGCCCCGTCTCCTCCAGGTATGCATATCCAACATCAATATCATCATCATCATCATCATCTTCTTCTTCTTCCGGCACGTTGCGCAACTGCTCAAAGCCAACCTGTTTCAGTCTGCACCGTGGGGCCCCGTCACAAGATCCGATTCTTATCAGCCCCCCCCCGTATCACTGTCACCAATAATGTGAGTGGCACATTTCCCCTCTCATTCTTGATTTTTGCTTTTTCCTGCATAATCCGGCTCTGTCGGGGCGTTTGTGTCGCCGATCCTGAGGCGTCCGTCGATGTCATCCATCGCCTCATATCGAAGCAAGGGCAAGGGCCAGGGCAAGGCACCGAATGAGAACGATGCCCGTCGCTGGAACTGTGCTTTGTCGCGGTAGCCGCGGAGCTGCCCACGCTTCGAGCTTTGTTTCGGTGGAATCGATGCAGTCAGATGGGCCCGTATGCAATTGACGTTCGATCCTGCGGGCTATCGGGCTGTACCTGCCTGATCCATCGTGCGTGTCTGCACGCCAAGCGCCAAACTGGTCTTGAGGTTATGCTGTATGCATAGCCATGGAAGCATGCTTCTTGGTTACACGCTGCCCTAAGCTACTGGTCTTTCTTCGCTTCCAGGGAGCTCCGAGGCTTCATTGTTGTGAAGAATACCAACAGAAGAATTGCCTTCCTGAGAACGATTTTCATCCAGCCTATCTCAAAACATATCTATCCAATACCCTACGTTGAGACCATTTGAACCTTGACCTACATCACGGCCATCAACAGCAGCTACAAATATGGAGTGTAAAGCTAATAGATTGGCCCAGCTTGCCCTCCAATTCAACTATCCGATTCCTCGAAAACACCGTGCCAGTGCCAATCCAGCCTGTGTCGGTCGAGAACTACCACTTTCCGCCCACGTGTACTATCTAGCTCTCATGGGCAAGATTCCTCATGTCGGTATCATAGGTGCCGGGGTGTCTGGGCTTAGGTGTGCCGATATCCTGGGCCAGAATGGTGCCAAAGTCACGATTCTGGAAGCGAGAGATCGGATTGGAGGCAGGGTATATATAAATATATATATTAGCTCCATTAGGAAACATCTGCTCACTATCTCTTGCAGATAACGCAGGCTGAAGTTGGTGGGAACTTGGTTGATATGTTCGCTCTCCATTTCGACTTCTGCTAGCAGAGAGAGTTAACAATTTACGATAGAGGCGCAAACTGGATACACGGGACAGAAGGGAATCCTGTTGATCAAATAAGCAGAATATCAGACACGACAACCTGCGAATGGGATGGTCGAGAGACAGTTTTTGATTCGTCTGGTAAGTTGCTCGACGAGGCCACCACTATAAAAATTGCAGAATGGATGTGGACGACAGTCGACAAGGGTTTCGACTACAGTACCAAATCTAAAGATATTATCCCACCCGATATGAGTCTTTTTGACTTTTGCTGCCAGCAGCTCGAAAAGACGAATTTCACTCCAGAAGAAAAGTTAGCGTGTCAGGAGTTTGCGAAATTCTGGGGGGCATACGTTGGTGAGCCTGTTGAGCGACAAAGCATGAAATTTTTCTGCCTAGAAGAATGCATAGAAGGGAGTAAGTGGCTCAAAATTTGATACAGTTCTGGCTTTCATAAAACTTACATACTGCAGCGAATTTATTTGTGGCTTCAACATACAAGAACATTCTAGCACACATCTCAAAATTAGCCCTAAAACATGCAGACCTTCATTTGAACTCACCTGTGATCAATATCGAGGCATCACAACGAGATTTTAATATTGACCGTCAAATAACCGTCACAACAGCCGGTGGGCAAAAATATCATTTCGACGACGTGATTGTCACGTGTCCATTGGGATGGCTCAAGAAGAACAAATCAGTCTTCAAACCGTCTTTATCTCCTCGCCTTTCTTCTGCTATCGATAATATTTCATACGGCAGGCTTGAAAAGATTTATGTCACTTTCCCACGTGCCTTTTGGCATATTCCCACCGAACGCAAATCTATGGGTGGTATTGGAATATCAGTTACAAATGGGCCGGATATTGTCTTTGACAGCAACGCAGAAGACTATCCTCCAGTACACACACAATGGCTACAACCAAACTATGTTAAGGCTCCTTCAACGGAAGGAAGCTGGAACATGCAGTGTGTCTCGCTTGCCGCTCTTCCCCCGAACTGCGCCCACCCAACACTCCTATTCTACATCTACGGTCCCTGCGCTGCCTATGTTGTGTCGAGCATTAAAGATTTAGAAGAGTCGTCCCTAGAGTATGACGAGTTTCTCGACAATTTCGTCCGTCCGTTCTACTCACTTTTGCCTGGCTACTGCGCTTCATCGAATGACTGCAAACCAACTGGCTTCCTCGCATCGAAGTGGATTTCCGACGACTACGCCGGCAATGGATCATATGCGAATTTCCAGGTTGGTCTTCAGGCTGGTGATAGAGACATTGAAACCATGCGCATCGGCATGGGTCCTGATCGCGGGATATGGTTTGCTGGGGAGCATACGGCTCCTTTTGTTGGGCTTGGCACCACAACAGGTGCCTATTGGAGTGGGGAGCGCGCGGCAGGCCAAATATGCGATCTTTACAGCTTGGGTCAGTTGGGACTTGGGATAAGGAAAGATGACTCGCTACCAATGGGATCAAATTCGGGCATTGGGTCTGGGAACACGATGTTTCACAAGGGAAATAATGCTGTTAGCCCCAGAGCATCGACCACGGTTTTGGCGACTGCGGTTCAGAGTCAGTAGTAAGATTATTGTGTGATTTGCATAATGTCGGCGTGTTTGGGGCTGATAGATAACCTTCTTTGGTTTAAACTGCATTTACTCGACACATAGTTACCATTATATAAGAACTCCATCTACAATTTCAGTATTGCTATATGCATACCTCATAATACAATCTGCATTGTTGAGTTGTTACAGATCCATATTGCAATCAATAGAATTGAATAAACTGATACATTTACATCTGCATTGAGACAGTAGTCAGTTGTCTGTAACACATGTCAAGAAAATGACAATAATCTCCCATCAATTACATGTACACATGTCAACTGGTACATGAATGATTACAAATTCATATCCGCTTCAATGAAGAGTACATGTACTAGTTTATTGGTAGCTTTTACATATACATGTAGCTGAAGTGCATTAATTGATGTATACTGGGAGGTCTTAGAATTCCTACAGTCTCGATTCGATTGAGAGTCAAAACTATTTATTACTCTTTCACAAACGAATGATAAGCTACTCGAGAGCTACAGAACGGACTTCAATGGCTTTTGAGCCACCTGCTCAGCTATTTTGATTCCTGCTGTTCTTCCTGAAAAGATGCATCCACCCAAGAACGTTCCCTCAAGTGAGCTGTACCCATGCACCCCACCACCACCAAAACCAGCGACCTCACCGGCGGCATATAGATTTGGAAACACTGATCCATCTGGGCGAAGCACATTTGAATTGAGGTCGGTTTGCAGGCCTCCCAATGTCTTTCGAGTCAGCAGATTCATCCGTACGGCGATCAATGGCCCGTGGTTAGGATCAAGAATCTTATGAAGTTTGGCGACCCTGCTACGCTTTTCAGGCCAGTAGTTGCGCGCATTTTGTATCAGCATCAACTGTGAATCTTTTGTGTACTTGTTTTCGGTTTGAATATCCCTGAGTTTAATTTCTCGTTCAAGTTGCTCAGGTTCGAGCAAAGGACCATCTCGCTCGTTGGCCAGTTTGTTCATCCCAGCAACCAAGTCTGGTAAGGACGACTCAACTACAAAGTCTACTCCGTTCTTCATGAATGATTGAACAGGGCCAGTAGGTGACGATCCAAAGATTCGCTGCAGCGTTCCTAGAATACTTTTGTTCGTCAGGTCTGGATTCTGTTCTGATCCCGAAAGCGCGAATTCTTTGGCGATGATAGTTCTATTCAAAATAAACCAGGTATAATCGTAGCCAGTGCTGCAGATGTGTTTCAAGGTGGCAAGGGTATCGCACCCAGGGAATAAGAATGAAGGCAATCGGTGACCTCTAGCATCCAGCCAGAGGGAGGATGGACCAGGAATTACTCGAATTCCATGCTGGGGCCATATAGAATCCCAGTTACTCAGTCCTTCGGTATAGTGCCACATACGATCATCGTTGATAACATTAGCTCCTGCTTTCTTTGTGATTTCGATCATTCGTCCATCGACATGAGCTGGTACGCCGATAACAAATGATTTTGGGGGAGCTCCGAGCCTTTGTACAGGCCAGTTCTTTTTAACCAAGTCAATATCGCCGCCAATACCACCGCTTGTTATGACAATATAGCTGCCATACAACTCAAAAGCGTCGATTGTCTTGCGGCTGCTTTTAACACCGCGCGGTGTTTCAGATGGCTCAAGGACGTGGCCGCGAACTCCAATCGCCGCACCAGTGTCCTCGTCAACGATAAGCTCATCTACTCGGTGCCGAAATTTGAACTCGATGATTCCTTTCTTCGCTGCATCGCGAACTGGCTTCTCGAACGCCTCCACAACTGCTGGCCCTGTTCCCCAGGTGGTATGAAACCGGGGGACTGAGTTCCCGTGGCCGTTCGCACTCCCACTGCCACGTTCTGCCCAGCCAACAGTTGCAAAGGACAAACCAGCCTCTTTCACATAAGTTTCCAGTTGATCCGTCGCAAAGTTCACGAATGCCTCCGCCCACTTCCGAGGCCAAAAGTCTTCTTCCCGGTCGAATCTAGCAGTGTTTAACCAGTCCCGCATCGCCAATTCGCGACTATCGTTGATTCCTAAACGACGCTGGTTGGCCGAGTTGACGCAGAAGATGCCTCCTAATGACCAAAATGCTTGGCCACCGAGGTTTGATTCGTTCTCTTGATCGACAATGATTACACGGACTTTTCTTTTGGAGAGTTCTGTTGCAGCTACGAGCCCCGCAAGACCTCCTCCAACGATGATGACGGGTGCTGCCATCGTTGCTTGTCCTCTCTGCTGCGCCTGATTTTGTCGATCTGTACAAGCAAGTAAAGGCCTGGAATTGGAAAAGCACTATTAATGCGTTTCAAATGGCAGTCAGATGGCCCGGTGGAGAGAGGGACCTACTCTACCTTCCCTGTGACAGCCGTGATTCGGAGATATTTAACCTCGGCACTATTTCATACAGTACATTGGATCAAGCAACCTGAGAATAAGCAATCTCTCAAATGAAATAATTGAACACTGTATTAAATTTGATTTCTTATATAAAATTGTTTAAAATTCTGGTTTAAGGTAATTGATTTGTTTTTGGTTCTTTTTGATGTAAAATTATATAGTAGTAGATACATTGCTAAGCTTATTTGATATTACAAAAATTTATTCTATTTTTAAAATAGAAGAAAATTTAGTCAAAAGAAAGTGGAATGCTATTCTAAATTTTATTTATAGTCTTAATTGGTAATATAGTTATTAAGTAGATTTATTAGCTTTGAAAATTCAATATTTATCAATATATTTCCTATAACATAGTTACCTCAGTTGCTCTCTCGGAGAATGGGGCTCGGATAAATAGCAACACTTGATGCTTAATATCATATATGTATATACCAGACCTGTATGAATCAATTTGATAGCTGTTCTAATACAATCCGAACACTGCAAAGATTCGGTGATTGATAGCGAATCGTCGACGTATTTGAGAATGGTGAGAATTCCAAGGTAAGCCATATCAATTGATATTAAGTACATATATGCTACCTATTAATTGGCGCATAATCACGGTGCATGACCTGCGACCGCTCGTAAAAGATATAGCAAGATGCACAGGAATAGAAAAGAGACCAGCCCGTTGAGAAAGACCAAACTCCTAGTGACCCAAGTACTGCTCCCATACTCCCAGCGCGAAGGAACATGCACGAGTAGCCTCTCTCGTATCTGGGTATCAAGGCACGATGCATTACCAAACGCCGTCGCAAGATGAAAAAAACCCCCGCTAATAAGAAAGAAGTAACAGAAGATATTTTTTAGTAGAGAAAGAAAACGTGGGAACAGGGACATGATAGTGGTTTCTCGTGTCCTGTGTTTGATGACGCAGCGTATTTCTTCTGGAAGAAGTCACCATTCCAGATGAACATCAATGCGTGCGGAAAAGAATTAACCAGCTCAATCCTCCCATATGGTCTCAAGATCTAGATCTTGACGTCGTTCTGCTCCACATACACTCCAGCGCTTGCGCTTGTCAGTCCTTTGTCCGTAGCCACGTGCAGTGGTAGAGGGGGAGTTTTCCAAATATGAACGTCGACGCATACCGTCTGCATCAGCACTATCCGCTGCTGCCTTCAATCGCGCGATTTCGTCGGCTTCAACCGCTTCTTCCTCTGCATCCGGGATATCGGGTATTGTCTCTAGAGACGAGATGCTGGGACTTCGCGAGCGTAGGCTGGTTGGCGTAGACGGCATCGATGAAGTCGACGAGGTAGGGAACCCCGGAAACGGCTCGTTGAACTTCGTAGCTAGCATGACCGGAGAAGAGTGTGATGAGGATGGGCTATTGCTGGCTGGATTGCTTGTGACGCTGGAAAAGGTGGTATGAAGAGGAGCAGTATGCGGACGCCTGGAAGAACGGGGAAACGTATTGTGCATTGGCGGGGGCAATGATGGAGATGGCGGATATTCCGAGGGTACTGGCAAAGGCGTTTGCGACAGCTCAAGCTCTGCGTGTTCTGAGATCGTTTCCGAGATGTTGAGTGAACCCAAGCCTATCGTCCGACTATCCTCCACAGCTCGTAGCGGGCTATGTCGCCGCATCGCACGTTCCATTGGACTCTCTGGCCTGGATATATTCGGGGGTAGGACGTAGCGACCGCGCGAATCCAAGCCTGGCGAGGAGTGGGCTCTGGTCATGGGGTGCGGTGAAGCAAGAGAACGAGACCGGGCGTGAGTTCGCGATAAAGGCGAGCGGTTGCGAGGTGGGACCAGAAAGCTCGCAGGTAGCGGTGGGATGGCAAGGAAGTCGTCGGGCGTGGGTTTCAAACTGGCTGGAGGGCTACCTGGCAACGACGACGGTGTTGGGCTGGGACTCGGGCTGGAAGGCAGCCGAATTTGCTCTGGAGGCAGCAGTGACTCTGACATGATGATGGTTACGTATGATGGTTATGACAATGGCGGAGATGATGAGCCGATGGAAGAATCAAAGGAAGGAGAAGTCTGCTCGCATGCTGGCTGCCAGTCCGCGACGGATGGTTGAGGCGGAGGCGTGTCGCTGCGCTGCGAGAAGAGTCGGGGTGGTGGTTGTGAGGCTCACGACGAAGCAGAATCAGCGTGAATCCATGCCACTGTGCTTGCAGGGAGAGGAGCCGTGCAAGGTGGTCTGGGACGAGGAATGGATGGATGGATGGATGGATGTAGTTGGAGACAGAGAGAGGTGAAAGGGGTGGGGGGGGGGCCGCCGATACGATCGATTCCGGATAGCCTAGGCAAGTCTAGTTAGGCCTGCAGGTCAGCTGCGCGACGCAGATTCCAGATGGTCCCTTAGTTCCTGTGTCTGGCTAAGGCTCTGCTCTACTATTGAATATTACTGGCAACAATAGCGTCCTGTCTATTGAGATGATTGTCACTTGGGGCTCGTGGACCGCGTTCTCTAACGCCCTCTCGCTGACCGTTTGCAGCTGGAACAGAGTGATTCTAAGCTATGCAGGATTGATCTACACCACCTCAGTCAAGCAGTCAGAATCGGTTCGATTTGGCCATTATGATCTCGCTCGCATCGGTAGCTGCTACTTAACATACATACTGGCATATCTAACACCAATCATGGAGGGGATGGGCAATGCAACATGGTTTCTGAATAGCACGGACTAGGACCAGAAACGCCTTCCTGGTCAATTAAGATAATGCTTGAGTTCGAGTAGACTTATGCTTGTATGTACTGCGGTAAGCATATTCATGCCAATTGTCCAGAACGGCAGACGCCATTGCCAGTCTCTTCGATTAGCAACGGCCTGCCTGCCCTCTTCATGCCTTATCACGGGCTCTTCCAACGGTAGCGTAAGTATACATCGCAAATGAACAGATGAATTATTTACATTTCTCTCCCTACTTCCCATCGTCGACTTCAGTCTTCTTTGCCTTTTGCTTACGAACGTACGTCGCTCGGACTACGTCGTCGTCGTCCCTATGGACCACCCATTCTCCAATTCCGTACTCAGATGGTGCTCGTCGGACACCACGGCCACCGCCTCCGATGATCAAGTTGCCGGGTCGGTAGGTTGGGTCATATTGGAGACGCCGGATAGCTGAAACGTGAATCTCTGCATTGTTGGGAATGTCGCGCACTTCTCCGCACGGCAGCGGCCAGCGGATAGGTTTCCATGATCCATCAGGCTGCAAGTCCATTCGGCGAAATGGCAGGTATTCCATGATGCGCCAGGACAGTACCGAGGACCATGGCAGTCCCTCACCATATCGAAGACAATCATGGAGCCGGCTCTTTGTGCTCGAGTGCTCGAGCGCACTGCGGAAGCGATGCGCTGCTTTGCTGGAGTTCCATCCGTTTGTCGGGTTACTCCCAGGCAACTTAATGTCGATTTCATCGGCGCCATTCTGGTTATGGTCATGGCTCTCATCCAAGCACCAGTCTGGCTCTTCTTCATACTCGTGGATAGGAGAGTATTGTCCCTCATATTCCTCAACGCACTCAAACTGCTTCAATTTTTTGGCGTCAAAGGCGAGGCCAGCTTTGATTGCTTCTTGCACCATCCAGACCAGGGGAGCATGGCTAAGAGGCCAGACCTCGCCTTTCTCCAGCTTCCAACCGCCTCCAATATCAGCATGGCCACCCGGAAACCAAATTTCGCGAATATCCTGCTGAGTCTCGTCGTTTTCCTCCATCGCCAAGTGGGGAACCTGTAAGGATGTCACTTCACTGTGGGTCGACGCAACATCATCTGTTGACGCATTGCGATCAGGTACCACCAATTTCTGGCTCCAATTGGGAGTAGGTGACGGCGCGCGATATCGATCAGTGTTTGGATTACTGCCAGCACTTGAGTCACGAGGCGTTCGGTAGACCGACTCAACTTCATCGCGACCGCGGTGGTGAGATAGCCGAGGGGTGTTCTGTCCGTCTCCTGTATTTTCCAAGTCGACACCGTCACCTTCGTTGTTCAGAGTGATCTTTGGAACCTCTTCTGGCTTCTCTTCCGGCTTTTCGTGATGGAGTTGATGGATATGCCGCCGGAGGTAATGCTCATGATGTTTGCGGGTGTGCCAGGGTTTCGACTCTGAAAGCAAATCCTGTCGGAACTTGGCTCGACGCTCATCGATGCCCACTGCATGCCGAATCACCCTAGCCGAACTACGGGCAGTGTAGGGGAACTTGCTTCGCTGCATCCACGCGGACTCGAAACGAGGCACACTGTTTACGGTGTCAAAGAGCCCCATAAATCGGATCCTGCTAATAGGACGACTAAAGGTCTCTCGGAATGCTTTCATATAATGGAAGAGTTTTTTCTTCTCCTTCTCGTCCTCCTCAGTATGGCCTCTTCGCTGTTGCCATTTGGCAAATGTTTTCCACGCAAAACGGATCAGTTCTTCATTTCCGGCTTCCAAAAGACCGATATAGTCCAGCATCTCAGCCAAAAAGCGCGCGATATAGGCGCCACGACTGAAACCGAAGAAATAGATATCATCGCCGGGGATGTAATATCGCATCAAAAACTTGTACCCGCCCATGACATGTTGGTCGAAAGACGAACCGACGGCCGAGTCCTTAGCCTTTAGATACGCTGATTTAATGCGATGAAATGTGCCCGTACTGGACAATGATGTTGATGTTACATATGTGCCAATTCCAGGCTGGTAATAATGAAACTGGTGACCGCGGCTGCGATCAAGCATCTAGACAAGTCGACAGTTGGCATCGTTATGGAAACCAAAAAAAGACAGAATGGGTAAAAAGGTCAACCTACACGAAAGATTTTCAAAACATTGCTGTCGGATTCATCTCCGGAGAACTTATTCCCTGTGCCGTCGAAACACAAAACGAATGTCTTAGGGGCCTGCGGTGGTCCTACGAAGGGCTCCATGCTGGGGTTGTGCTGCAATTGAAGACTTGCCTTGGGTGGGGATACAGGAATGGAAACCCTAGGAAAAAGCCGCGTGGACAAACAAATATGAAATCTTAATGGCAATATTATATAGATAGCGATGGGCGAGAACGTTTGGCTCATGCAAATCAGTGACCCTTTACGTAGCCAGGATCACAAGCATCAATGGATACTCTTCGATGACGGCAAACCCTGCACGTCACCCTGTCAGAAGCCAGTTTTGATGAGCGTGTAGCTGGTTCGGCGGACAGAGAATGGAGACGAGAATTCCAGGGATAAGATCGAGCGCGATAATCCCTAGGATGAAAACCGGCCGGTGTAGGAAATGCTATTTCTAGCTTCGGGCAGTACGGTGCCGATCAACCTGTAGTGGGGGCCTTGGTCAAGCTGGCTGGCTGTGTGTCTGCTCTTGTGCACGTGTGTTGAGCATTGAAGGGTTAGGAAAGTGAAGCCGAGTCACGGCCGCAGCTGATAATAGCCGGTTGATTGATTAATTACCAACAATGTACCGTTATAACGGGTTTCTGGTCCCAGTGCACATGTTGTAGCCATGTAACTGCAGCATCCAAGAGCTCTAGGGTCCAGCTCTTTGGTTATGAAATATGGCTGGGTCCTCCCATTTCGAAAGGGTTCGACAGTCTCTGAGTGGTAGTCCACTGGTGAATGCATGCTACTTAGTTCGTCCACTTGGCGGTATAGCTGCGCGATCCGCTCGTGCCTTGTCCGGGTCCATGTCACCACGGGTTGCCTGGAAATTTTATGATGGCTCCATTTATTGGTACGTGTTGCATATGTGTCAATACTAATACGAAGTGTCAACTTGGTCGTCCACCGGCATGGACGAGCATGATAGGCTGGCCAAGAAGAGCTAGCTAATGATAATGGGGATGCGCGGCCCGTGACAGTCGGTGGTGGGGACGAAGAGCTTCCTGAATTTTGGCTTCTTCTAACCCCTTCAATCTTGTCATTTTGAACTTTGAGCGCCGACGGGTGGAGGCAGTACAACCGACGGGCTTAGTCTAATCAAAAGCCGGCGACGTGAAGACCTCCGCATCTTATTTCCTAGTGGTGGCCTCGCTGAAGAAAGCACGCTTGGGGCAAGTTAGACTACTTAGCACGAACCCCGGGGGGGGGAGGAAGAAAAAGCTCCGCCCGTCAGTCGAGAGTAGTGGGCCAGCCCGGCCAGTAGTGAGACCACTTGAGGATTCGAGGACTCGAAGCTAAGGGTAGCACTCGGCAACTGCATAGCTTAATCTGTTTGGGATCTTAATAGGCACTGCTAAGGTTCACTCACAGACCAGTCACCCAAGGGCCAGGGTATTTTTAATTTTCACTAGTTCGTCCGTCCTGCTGGCGCCACCCCACTGGTGTTCATTCCAGGTCCCTCGGAAGAGTCAGAACCAGTTGTGACTTTCAGGAATTGCGCTGAGCCAGGGGTGTGCTACTCTATGTGTGTGTGTATGGCTTAAATGATTGTATCATCACATCGCATGGATACGCGATAAAAAGAAGAGGAGGTTGTGTCTGTGCTCCCTGGAACTTGGCGGGTTGATACAGACACAAGTGACGACTGGCGACAATCTTGTGACGTGACACGGATTCTTTTGACAGCAGTAGTGAGTGATTACTGTTCTGGGAGGGGTGGACTGACTGGGTTGGCGAAGGCCTATGAGAGCGACGACCGGCGCAGGGAGGAGTGTCAGGTCACGCCGTCATGAAGGCAGCTGCAGCAGCACGGTGGCTAAGAAAGATCCACCGGGATTGCGGTGTGGGATCAGCGCAATATTAATCAGGATGCAGGGGAGCAATGATCATTATCGGTAGGAGGACAGAGTAATTTGCAGTGTTATCATTATTGTTGATGCTGAGTTGACGGAAGCTGGAGGGAAGCTAATTACCAGCAACGAGGAGCAAGCATCGCCCGGGCGGACCCGTGACTTCCCTGGGTCGCTCCTTCCTCTTGGAACTGCCTTGTGTCGTCTACGTATGATTAACCATCCTCGGCGCTGGTCCTGCCTTCCCCCGCTTCCTGTCTCTCTTCCTGCTTCCCTTTCGACGTCGTACTCTGCCGACTTCATCGTCAACTTGTGAAACCGATCGTTTAGTTGAAGGCTTGAAGTTCGCTGTTCTGCTCCGTCGCGTCGCCCACTAAGGATTGGCTGTTAGTATCATCACTAATGTCTCGACCGAGCATCGCTAAGGCTGGCCTATTAGGCACGGATAGTGGCCCGCAGCCGCCCGTCCGCCCGCATTCTTCGCCAAGTTCGCCCATCCCATCGCCAATCGCCATCGTCGCAATTCGCGAACCACTGGTCGGTACAGGGTACTAGGTTCCAACTACCCAGTGGTTGAACCCGATCTCATCATCTCAGATAATTAGTGGGTTCGCTCTCGGGTCTCTGACCATTCCGCCGCTCTTTATTTGCTGCAAAACTGCACAAATTCATCCAAGCCCGCGGGCCATTATGCGGGCCTTGGCGCCGCCTCCCAGCAACCACCTTGCACCAAGGTCCAGCACGCTCGAGTACCAGTGGCCCAATTGGCCAAAGTACGTATCTTCAGACTTCTGGGCTATATTAACTGTGGAAGTTTGAATACCTAGACGCTAGCAGTGGTAACTGTGTGCTTACTCCGTCTAGCTCCGGGCCAGTCCAACATTTTCAAAATCCTTCGTCACAGATCCCTGCCGAGCTGCCGCTAAATCTAATCCATTGTTTTGGCTTGCCTTGCGGGGACGAGGTCTGAACCCCACTAGCTCAGCGTCACGCCGTCACAACAGAGCAGGTAGCGTGTCTGTGGCGGGCTGAAAAACAGTCTCGGAAAGTAAACACTCTTGTGGGAGTCGTACATACGTATTGTTACATATTGATCCACCATCATCTAACTTTATGCCGCGATGTAGCCTCCTCGCTTCTCCTGCTCTCAGCATTATTTGTGCTGCATTCTACGGGAGGAGATGGCCCCTACTTTTTTTGGAGTCAGTGATAGGGAGAAACTCAATTACTCCACAGTCGTCTTCTAAACTACTATCAGCGAATGCAATTGTGTATTGTTATTGGGCAGCTTTGTACAGAGTAGCCCCTCTGTTTACCGCGAGAGTAAATAATACGGTCAATGGAGACTGCATAATTGAAACGCCAAAGATGATGTCCACACCGATTGGCGGTGCTCTTCGTGTAGTCTATTGAGAAGTCACCTGTATGGCGTCGCACAGAAATTCCTGTCTTTGTAGGCCGCCTTCCGTATTGGTAAAGGGATTGCGACCCGCAAACCTCAATCCAATTTGTGTTATTAGTGAGTGTGATCACCTCCAGACACTGGTGACCGTTCTGGGTTTACCGGCCAATTTTTTTCCCACGACAGCTACCAGAGTGGAGCTAGCCTCAATCAAGCTCGAGAAAAATTCAAGTACGTACTGACTTTTCACGGAAATCCGATCTCTCGTTTTTATGGTGAATGTCTCCAGCGGCATCGACTAGCCTACACCAAAGGAAGCGGCCCGCTCCACTGCAAGTTACGCCTCCGACTGAACAGCCCGAGCTGGACCCCGGCATGAGATGGAGAGTAACGACTGGCTGGCCAGCTGGCTTCGATCTAGGGCGGGGTCGATATGCGGCACCTACGACCCTTTCTGTTCTTCCTGACGGACTCCGGGCCCACAGCTCTGCGTCGATCGACGCTTCGACCTATATTGGTGCGAATTGGCCTTGGATCTATTGGCGTTACTGCAGCTCTTCAACAGAGCCATTGGTTTCTGACCAATCTCGCGTGTATTATTAGTAGCATTGTGACTTATGTCGTTCCGTATGCCCAGATATTGGTCCCGATACGTGCGATCTGCTCGGAGTCAGGAGCAAAACAGGACCCACGCTTTGCGGAGACATCATGAATCTACTACGTATGTCTGCACAGAGGGATGTCTCGCCACGCGCTGACAAAAGCTTCGGCAAGAGTAACGTGGTGTACAGCTCCTCCTGGAGCTCTGATACGCTTTTAGGACCGGGCTGAAGCTCGTGTGGCTCCCTTACGCAAGTCCCACTGGGCTTTTGTTTTCTTTTTCTCCCTTAAATACGGTTTTTCCACCAGAGCTACTGTCTTGCATTCATCTTGTCCTCTGACACTGCCTGGGTAACTTTTGGATCTACTCTACTTGTACTAATCCTAAAATTGTCGCCATGATGCGCAGGCTCTCCACCGCCTTCAAGAAGAAGGACGAAGGCAAACCCAAAGAAAATGTTGTTGCCAATGGAAAAGCCAATGGCAAGCGAAATTCGAAGGCCTTTTCGAAATCATCTCCTCCAGAACCGGAGGACCACAGCGCTGCGCGCAATGAAGTGGCATCCATTTTCGAAAAATATTCGCAAATAATCCATGCTTCCCGGCGTCCAATGCCTACTCAGAGCGGTGATGGTACTTACCTGGAACACGGCCATGATCAATCGACTACCTTATTCCAGGATTTGCGAACGCTGGGCTTCAAGGATTACGGTACCTTGGTTGAAGTCGTGAAGAATAAAGCATCAGGTGAATTAGTGGACGACAAAACTTACCTAATGGAACGCATTATCCAGCTTGTCAGCGGTCTTCCATCCAATTCAAAACACCGGACGGAGTTGACCAATGCTTTCCTGGACGAACTCTGGGAATCTCTTCCACATCCACCTCTCGCGTAAGAGCTATGATCATCTACAAGCTCCGCTTTTACTGATAAAAAAAATAGATTTCTGGGCCCCAAGTATGAATATAGATCTGCTGATGGCTCTTATAACAATCCTACGCTTCCCTGGCTTGGCGCTGCTAATACTGAATACGCTCGCTCTATCGCTCCATTGACTATTCAACCTGGTGGTCTCCCAGATGCGGGTCTTATCTTCGACAGTGTCATGGCTCGCCAGAAATTCACACCACACCCTAATAAAGTCTCAAGTGTCTTCTTTGCCTGGGCCTCCCTCATCATTCACGGTAGGCATTTCTCGGGACTTTGCTACTTCTCTCTAATTGGTTGCAGATCTTTTCCAAACCGACCACCGGAACCCGCACATTTCGCAGACTTCTTCGTATTTGGATCTCTCAATTCTCTACGGAGACAATCAGGAAGATCAGGATCTTGTCCGTACATTCAAAGATGGCAAACTCAAACCAGACAGTTTTTCCGAACCGCGTCTCCAAGCATTCCCTGCGATGTGTTGCGTTTTGATGGTCATGTTGAATAGGTATTCCGCACCATGTTGATGTCAGGCCCTAGGAGCTAAAGTATAATTGCAGGTTTCACAATCACGTTGTCGAGCAACTAGCCCTGATCAACGAGAATGGAAGATTTACCAAGCCACGAGCTGACCTGCCACAAGAGTTGGCGGAGAAGGCTTGGAAGAAGTATGACGAGGATTTGTTCCAAACTGGCAGATTGTAAGTTGGATAATGGCCGTCGTTGACCACACTTTCTAATGAATCATAGGATCACCTGTGGCTTGTACATTAACATCACCCTATACGACTATCTCCGCACGATAGTCAACCTTAATAGAACCAACAGCACATGGTGCCTGGTAAGTGAAAAAAAAAGGAAACGGGTCTTCTTATTAACCACAAGCAGGACCCTCGCGCAAGAATGGAAAGTGCCCACTCTACCCCATCTGGCCTCGGAAACCAATGCTCCGTGGAGTTCAACCTTGCCTACCGCTGGCACTCCGCAACTAGCGCCAAAGATGAGCTCTGGACCGAAAATGTTTATAAAGAGCTGTTTGGCAAACCAGCTGAAGAGGTTTCCATGCCCGAGTTACTGATGGGTCTTCACAAGTACGAACAGGCTCTTGATCCTGATCCATTGAAGCGCACTTTTGGGCATCTTGAGCGTCAGGAAAATGGTTACTTCAAGGATGACGATCTTGTGAGGGTTTTAACGGAGGCCGTTGAAGACGTTGCAGGTATGGAAATATACCACCACTCTCCTAGATCAAATACTAAAATTGTGTAAGGTTCATTTGGCGCCCGCAACGTACCCAAGGCTATGCGTTCAATCGAGATTCTTGGTATTGAGCAGGCTCGCAAATGGAATTGTGGTTCTTTGAACGAGTTCCGGAAGTTTTTCAAGCTGAAACCCTACGAGACTTTCGAAGAAATCAACTCGGACCCGGATGTAGCCGATTCCCTCCGTCACTTGTACGAGCATCCTGACTACGTTGAATTGTACCCTGGTATCGTTGCGGAGGAAGCCAAGGAGCCCATGGCTCCAGGTGTTGGTATCGCTCCTACGTACACAATCTCACGTGCCGTTTTGTCTGATGCCGTCGCCCTTGTCCGTGGCGATCGCTTTTATACAGTAAGTTGAGAGAATAATCATAGCAGTAGCCGTATGTTGGATACTGATAGAACAACAGACCGGCCAAAATCCCAAAAACCTCACCAATTGGGGGTGGCAAGAGAGCAACCACGACCTCCATATTAACCAAGGATGTGTATTTTACAAACTTGCTTTCCGTGCATTCCCGAACCACTTCAAATCAGACTCCATCTATGCTCACTATCCAATGACCATTCCCGACGAAAACAAAGTCATCATGAAGGATCTTGGGCGTGAAGCTGAATACAGCTGGGACCGGCCGATATACACCAACCCCCGTACTGACCTGACTTCTCATGAAGCGGCTAAACGGGTTCTTGAAGATTCCCGGAACTTTAAGGTCACTTGGGGTGAGGCTACTGCTTGGGTATTTGGTGAGAAAACCGGTACAGACCACATGTTATCAGGCGATACTCCCTTCCATAGTCAGCAGCGTGAGCAACTCGAGAGAGCTCTCTACCGTGATGGTTGGGAAGCCCAACTAAAGGAGTTCTACGAAGAAATGACTCTTCAGCTACTGCACGATAAGTCATGCACTCTGGGCGGGAAAAAGCAGGTCGATATCACTCGAGAGTATGTTCACGTCCATAGCGTTGGCTTTGACCAAATTTGATTTAACATTTTTAGTGTTGGAAATCTTGCCCCCGTCCATTTTGCGGCCCATGTGTTTGGTCTTCCTCTGAAAACCAAAGGAAACCCACGCGGCATCTTCACCGAGCACGAATTGTACATGAGCATGTCGGTCATCTTCCAAGCTATCTTCTTTGATTACGATTTACTGCGCTCGTACCCGCTTCGTCAGGCTGCTCGAGCTGTGGCTGCAAAGATTGGCCAAGTCGTCGAAGCTAATGTGAAATCTATTGGCTCCACTGGCATCCTTTCCCACTTCATTGATGGTCTTCGTAAGCAAGATAATCCTCTATCGGAGTATGGTGTGGACTTGATCAAGAAACTTCTTGATGATGGTCTCAACGCCCATGAGGTGACCTGGACCCAGATTCTGCCAACTGTTGTCTCCTTGGTGCCCAAATTGGGACAGGTAGTAAGTTATCCTTTCATTGCTACTTTGGGAAATTTTTTGTGCTTCGATAATCATGTAGCCACGTTTTTACTAACCGTCATACAGTTTACCCAAATCATTGATTTCTATCTCTCTGATGAGGGCAAAGTTCATTTGCCTGAAATTAACCGACTTGCCAAATTGAACACACCGGAGTCGGATGATACCCTGGCCCACTATGCACTAGAAGCTGTCCGTCTTAACGGCACCTACGGCGCCTACCGTGAAGCTCAGCGGGATGTAACTGTTAATGACGGGGGCAGGGAAGTTCAACTTCACCAAGGCGAAAAAGTATTTGTTAGCTTCGTAGGGGCATCTCGTGACCCTTCCGCTTTCCCCGAACCCGAGAAAGTCCGTCTAGACCGTCCTCTGGATTCCTACATTCATTACGGGGAAGGCTCTCACTCTTGTCTTGGACGTGATGCCAGCCGTGTTGCTCTCACTGCCATGCTTCGCGTCGTTGGTCGTTTGGACAACTTGCGACGTGTCGCCGGCCAACAGGGCCAGTTAAAGAAGATCCCTCGCCCAGGCGGCTTCTACGTCTACTTGAGAGAAGACGGTGGCAGTTACTCTGTTTTCCCTGCTAGTAAGTTCTCCTTGACTTTGGTCCAGGAAACACTCTCTGACTGGTTTCCTTTCATAGCCTTCAAAATCAACTACGATGGTGAGCTGCCTGCTCTGAAACGCCGCGGCACATGGTAAATAAGACACCAAATAGCCCCCAATTCCCGTTGTAATGATACCGAAAGTTGTGTAATTCAATGATACCTGGCGAGGAACAGATTGATTTTGTCTACTCTGGCGGCGATGACACTGAAAGTTATGGAATTAACACCTGAAATTACTAATTTTATGTATTTAGCTGATCTCTCAACTAATATCCTATAAATTATATAAATATGTATCGATTCATCACACTAAAAGTGCAATCTGAGCACAACTGCACGTAGAGTTTTCGATCTGTTCAGCATTGCAAGTGTGGCGGTAGCTAATTATTTCAGTATGCATGCCCTTCGTTTCATAACATTTGAATGCTTCATATTTTGAGCGTCAGTATATGGATATATACACATTGTAGTCCATCACCGATCAATGTTTGTCTATAACAACAAGATATACATTCAGCTATTCGTACACTATACACCGATTTTAATATCGTCCTATCTACTATCGTTTCTTAATTCATGGCATCGTCATCTTTCTTCGGTTCTTCAGGACTTCTCCTAGGCTTAACGCGGATCAAATGACTGTCCTCTCTCGAGCTTGCTGGCGATTTGCCCGACGAACTTCCATATCTCCAAAGCCATTGTATCCATGAATTCCCCTCCTTGGCTGGTCGTGCTGAAGGCTCTCGTGTCTCGGCTAAAACAGTCGGCGCGAAAGGCAATAAATGGGCGCTTTGGGGGGAATCGTATGCCTGAGTATCTAGGGCAGGTTCATTTTCAGGTGCCTGCCTAGGTTGAGTTTCTTGCCTGTCGAGGGGTTTCACGGTGTCAGCAGTTTCTGATGTCTAACTACTTCAAAAAAAAAAAAAATGCCATTTCCGAAGGCCGTCTGGGGAGAGGTAAGGCTAACTGACCGCTGATCTGTTCTCTTCTCGGTTTGCAATTGTTGGAAAGCTGGTTGGAAAGTGTAATATCCTGTTGCAGGCAATTAGCCAGGAATACCGGCTGAAATATTGCTGAAGGACAATTGCGTGCCTGTGAAAACACCGACTCCGATGGCTACTGTTGCCGGGACGAGACCTCGCATTCCACTCATGGCTGATTGCTTGTTTGAGGGACGATTGTGACCCAAAGGCGTCTTCTCTGCAGCTAACAGGGGATCCGCATTTGCGCGAGGCAAAAACATGAGGTCACACTTCCACTTAACGCGGGCTCGTTCCCGAATCGCCCGCCGCCGGCTGCCCCACAAAACGCGTCGCCTCTGGTTATCAGCATCAAGTCAACACAGCACCATTCCACTCTCGTGGTTCTACCAGGTTTACGACGCACCCGAATATGGCACTGGGATATCAATCCTGACCGCTTAAAGACATGGGCTGCAATTATCACGAATCCAAATGGAAACATGGCGGGCTAGTGGGTTCGTCCCGGATTCAGACGATGTCTTTACCAGCCAAGGCTCCGGGACCGTGCCTGCAAATGACGCACACGCAGAAAAATTCATCGATCAGGCGCGATTAGAGGATGACCGGCTGGAATTCGAGACAAATCAGAGCTTTGAAGATAGAGAACAATATTATGATGGGATCGGACAGGCACAACTGCGACGCTCGGTCGAGTTTGGCTCGGAAAGTGAGGAGCTTGGTGAGAAGACCCAACGTCCAAGTCTTGTCAATGCAGAAGAGCCTACTTTTTCCTTCGATATAAGGCCAGTCAAAAAAGACAGCCGGCACCGTTGTGTGGGAGATAACTTAAATTCTTCGGCGGACGAACTCCAAGTCTTCGAACATCCTCGTCTCAATCCAAGCCTAGTTCATACGCCGAAGAAGCTTGCTCCACGACTTGATTTCATCTTACAAGATGACGACAGCCTTTCCTCGCTTTCCTCCCCTCCATCGGCTATATCCACCCCTGGGCCTTCGCAGGGAAACTCTCAGGGGTCATCGTCACCAACAAATCAATTTTCGGAGGACGAACTGCAATTCTTCAAACATCCTCGTCTTAATCCAAGTCTAGTTCATACGCCGAAGAAGCTAGCTCCACAACTTGATTTCATCTTACAAGATGACGACAGCCTTTCCTCACTTTCCTCCCCCCCATCGACAATATCCACCCCTAGGTCTTCGCAGAGAAAATCCCAAAAGTCGTCGTCACCGACAAATCAGTTCTCGATTACACTATCTCCACCCGGCCAGCCTCGTACGGAACAATCTAATACTGGGAATACTAATGTTCTTGCCAATGAGCCTAGAATATTAAATGCTTCGGAGGATCTTCATTCCTCGCTAGGTATCCCAGACGACATTCTGCGAGAACTCTCTCAACCCACGCGGAGATCTTTACGGCAACGAAATCCTATACAACTGCATCCATATTTAGTGGAAGATGTGAAATACCGTGGCCTCCTCAAGGGTGCTGGTATCCAACCAGTACAAATAGCAGTTGTGAACTCTAATCCTTCTCAACCACAGAATGACAGCCAGGAGTTCACTATAGACTCCGTTGAACCTCCTAACAGCTCTCCAGCCGATTTCATGTTCCCACCATCACCACTACCAGATTCTAACAGGTCACCTCGGTCAGACGAGCAGAACCAAAGACCTCTCTCGCTCTCGCAAAACGCCTTGAAAGATAATCATTTAGAGTCATACGTCTCAAAAAGAAGAAAGATGTCGCACATCAAGGGATCAAAAACCCATGCCCCAAAGCAGATATCAGTAGAGGTTGTCATTGACAACACAAAACGGCTGGAAGACCTAGAAATGGCAAGTATAGATGCACCTACATCCCCGCCTGGTTCAAGGGGTTTGTCTGCCGGCGGTATCGTCCACCCTGTTGGATTCCAATTTCCTCAGGGCTTCGACCCGCCGCTCTCTATGTTAACGCCAGTGCCTGCAATACAGACTGATCTAAATGATGAAGTGGAAGTTGATACGCCTGTTGAAGTGCTAGACGAGGCACCCATTCCAGAAGCTGGCAGCACCTCTGGAGACAATACGCAGTGGGTGGTAGATGATCAAATGAAGAGAGTGCAACGTCGGATTAAGGGCATCCTACCGGCTTCGTGGTTACGCTTAGACTTCAAACAAAACAGTGATAAACCTACTAAGGGCTTTCTTAAGAAGCAACAAGAACCCCAAGCATCTCAAGCGGGACCAGCCAAAGGCGTTGCAAGAAAGATAACGAGGACGAAAAGCGAGGCTATCGACTCTTCGCTACAAAAAAGTCACCATGAGATCTCGGTTGATTCGTCCAGTTCGGGAGACGAATTTGTGCGACAAGGTTATGCAGAAGAGGCCCCTACCGATTTGGTTGGCTTTGATGATTATTCTTTCAATAATATATACGACGAAATGGATTATGACATCCCTGAAGACAATCACATCGATGACATATTTCCACCTGTGCCCAAGTCACCTTCCAAGTCAAAGAAATCCCGCTCAAACAATCTCAAGACGTACAGTGCAAGGAGAAAGAACCAATTCAGTCGAATAGCTCTACAGCAGCGTATAAGAACTGAAGCGGCCTTACCACGACACCCTCAGCCGAAACGGAAGGCGCAGGCACCTATATTGGGCGTACTCGATGCCCCTGACGTAGCCGAGTGTCCCAGAAAAGAGCAACCTCATTTTCTGAGAATTGCGGCTAGACAAGCACGGTCAAGACTAGATCAGGGCAGGTCAAACCCACACCACAAGGTTATCAAACTAGTCAGCCGAGAGGACACGGAAGATACGAACAAGGTGCTACAAGCATGGAAAAGTGGCATCATAAAAAAATCGAGACTGCCGGTTCCCAAGATTCAAAAGTCAGTAGTACGCAGGCCCCGTGTTGGTATCTTAAAAATAAAAAGACACAATACCAAGGATCATCAACGTTCCTCTGCTGGAGTTAATCAACCCACTATCCCAGCAAGCTCACGAGAGTTGGCAGAGTCAGGCTCAAATTTCAATCGTGAAACTCCTGCGCTCCCAGTGGTTTCGCCAGTTCATAACCGCTCTGACAATACAGTTAGTGCAAAGACTAGTTATCCTGGGGGCAAATGGGTTTTCCCTCGGGAATTTGGGATTTCATCTTCAACCAGGAATTTGTCGAGAATGGCGGAATTCGAGAGCAGTTCACAGGCCGGCAATTCAAATATCCCGTTCGGCACTCCATTGGCTGCTTTGAAACCAAAATATCGTTATCCCCAGAGCCGAAATAACTTTGGGCAAGGTCCCGCCTTAAATCGCTTTCTGACAGCTACTCCATCAACTAAGCCAAGTCCTGCTGAGGATACTAGACAAATTCGACTCCTATCTAGAAATCGAAACGAGAAAAGAGAGAGAATACCTAGGAAACGAACTCCGACTCGTTTTGAAATGGAGAATATCGATAATGGACCTAATATTTATATTATCTCCGAGTCACGGAGTGATTCTGCGGTGTCTTCCGATGGATTCAAAACTTCTAGCGTTTTGGGGGAACTAGAGAACTACAACACACTCCCCGTGGATTTTAATATCACCCCTCTTCGAGCGGGGACATATTTTCACGATTCGACGTTCCTCCGCAATGATTTTGCGCGTACTTTGAGTATCGGACACCGAGATTTGAATCAAAACGCAGGCATTGCTCCGATCCACCTTAAAAATCAAACATTTCGCTGGGGGGCGTGGAATGACACAGTATCAACTGAGCTAGGCTATGTTTTCGAGGTAATGATGCAAACCAGCATAGTGCAAGACTCAAAGTCCGAGCCTTTGTTGACAATGCATACCGAATTGCAAACCTTTGAGTCCGTCATCCGATATGTCACTGATAAGCTCTTCTTCATTGATTCTTTTGATCGAATAGCCTTTGTGGATCGCGCAATATACCTTTCGTCCAAGTTAAGGAATTATGTTCAGGTGGCCTTGCCTCTTAAAGACGACGTACAAAAGCGATGTTTAAAATTAGCAAGCCTGAATATAGTATTTGCTAATCAAATCCGGCAGATCGCTGATCATAGTTTGGTCAGTCGTTCGAATTTAGAGAACACCTTGAATCTAGTCAAAGACCTCAGTCAACAAATTCTTTTCCTCGTGCTCGATAAAGCTGGAATCGTGGAAATTCTTCAGCTATACAAGGACAGCAAATCCACAGAGCGTCGCGATGCGGGAGTACGTGGTAATTTTACTTCGGTGGAAGGCTATGTTCTCGTATTCCAGATCTTAAAGTCATCCGATATGTTTAAGCAATGGTTTCAAGAAATTATACTGTCGGTCACTGAGATAATGCACTTTCCGCAAGATGTTCACTCCCTGGAAAACACATGGAGAGCGATATTTACTATACTCCCACTCAATGAAATTGATATATTTGGAATTGGAAGACCTGGATCCCGCTTTCATGGCAAACATGATAATTGGCCAGTGGTGCAAAGGCTGGTAGGCAACGTTCTAAGCGCTTATGATCCAGATTCAAAATTTCCAGCCTCTTACATTAATTACTGCTGTCTCCTCTTTCACCGATGTTTTGCTTTGATGACATCTTGGGGCTGGCGTGACTGTAAGCCCATCCTGGATACGTTATTCGATTTCTTTACGAAGCATATGATGTACAACCTCAAGAGTGAGGAAACTTTTGGTTCGCCGTCCTTTCTCGATCATCTTGAGAGCAACCCCTCTTTGGATGTTCAGCCGGGTGATTCATGCTTCCACATATTTCTCAAGATCCTGGGCTGTGGCCTTAAATATCTGTCCGGAATATATGACAACAAAAAGATATCTAACATTTCCTGGCGCTTTTTACCGAACCATGGCCGCGCGTACCCAAAAGAAAAGCCCCTTCGCTACGACGACCTAGATGCGCTTCGGAACCACCATGATCTCCTATGTACCCTTTACTGGGCACTTCCAGATGACTACAGGCCCCGCCTCGAAACTCTACGAGGTCTAGTAGATCCGGCGACTTCGCATTTAGAAACCTGCAATTTGAGTATCAATTCATGGAGACGACTTTGCTTGTTTAAATTATCTACAGGCGAAGATATCTCTGGCTTGGAACCATTTGCTAACTGGTACGAGCATTTTGCATCAGAATTGGTGCAACAGCATGTACTCGCACGAACGGAAGCGGAAGAACAGGCAAATGGCCAAGTTCTTTTTTCGAAGGAGCTTGTAGAATTGACGATTGCTCAAAATCAAGGTCAAATTGAGTCATTGCTATGCTTCACACTTACGGCAATGAATGCATCGATTAAGTCAGCAATTTCACTGAAACATGCCAACTCTCTGATAACTGGTGTGCCTTTTGGGAGATTTTTGAGTTTATTCAATCCAGCACAGCCTAGAATCGATAGAGTGATTAAAGATACTCTCCAGCTTATCGTCACATTTATTGATAAAGATCCGGCTCTTGGCACTACATTGGTGGGCTCTGTTGCGAACGATGACAGCCGAGAGTACGGAGACTGGTCGGCTACTGAGGAAATCTACGATATGCAGAAACATAATGACGTAGTTTCGTATCTGAAAGACGTGGTTCAGCCTCATATTTTGCAACTCATCTCGAATTGCTTTGGAGATGATCGATGTCCTGAGGATACCCTGCTCCTGAAAGTAACTGAATGCTGGTCTTGTCTGGCTTGTGTGCTTGTTCGGCATCGTTTGCATTCTTGGGATAGCTATCTCAATCGATATGGCAAGCACTCTTGGACAGCTCTTCGAACAACCCCACAGACACAAAGATTTATGCCTCAGTTCTTAGCGAGCTGCATAGCCAAAGATCGCAGCTTTTATACCGAGTGCAGAATGAAAATACTTGTGATGTGGATGTCGTGTCTAGTGGAGAGAACGTCGTTGCTTAAACATCAAAATTACCTTACTGAAACAGTGGTGAATGCGAATAAGACCTCACCATTATTTCAAAATCTTCCTTTCGCCCGCGACATAAAGGATGATTGCTACCGTGTTCCACTTTCCGACTTCACAAATAGGCGCATAACACTGATATCTACCCTTCTATGGAATATGCGTGAACATTTGCACAATCTGGAAGACTCCGATCAAGAGTTAAAAAATGCACAGGAGGAGTATAGAGAGCTTATAATAGCACTTATGACATCAATGAAAGAAAAGTACCAGGAGCTTGAGCGGCTGGATAAATCCGCCCAAGGGCAATACGTCGAATTTGTGCATCGTATCGTTGGTCTTATGCAGCAACATAGCCAAACGATGTGTCCAATTGACAAATTCTTCATGGATCCGATATCCTTCCCACAACCAGTGAACGATCCTACCTATATTGTAGATCGTTTGAAGGGTTACGGATTCGGTTTGAGGCTTTCCCCTGAAAAGTGGGCTAAGCAATTGATAATGTTTGTGCAAAGTGTTTCGGAAAAGACAGCAGTGGACGGTCAGCAAGATCGTCTTGTTGACCAACTTTGCACATGCACTGCTGAGACTTACGAAGCGGGCAGTGCTGAAAAACCTTCGCTTCGCTCATTTCTTCTGCAATGTGTCTTTCCTGCTTACATCGAATGTTCGTTACGCAAAGCGGCATGGATCTTTGCATGGCCAATACTAAAGGCAATATCGCGAATTTTCGATGATTTGGTTTATGAGATGGATGCGAATGATTCGAGCTGTATCTTGTCCGTCAACGGCATGGTTGAAGCGATTTTTCAGTCAATCTACGATTCAATGAGCCTTATCGTTGACCATCCAGGATTGGTTGAAGAACCATATGTGCTTGTTACTCTGCAGTGCTATGTTGATGTAATAACCTCGTCGCTTCCAATCATTGACTATATGAAACGGACCTCGGTCGTAAATATCCGGATTATCGCACTAGTCAAAATGCTGCACAAACATATACTCTTCGCAGTTACGACACTCATCGACCCCTCTATGGCAGTGGATCCAAATGCTGAAGATGCTTTATTGGAAGCTCCGTCAAGCGAAAGCTTGTGTTCAGCATTTTTTGTGAACTCTCTCTCGTTTGCCGCTGAAGAATTTCAAACTTGGCTCAACACAAAGTGGTCTATAAATGAGGGAAAGATCTTCTTCCGTCAAGGTGACCTGTTGAAAGAGCTAAATATCGGCATTGTCACGTCAAGCGAAGTTGGTCATATCGAGTGTGCCACAACAGCATTATTTGATACAATTGAGATTTTTCTAGCTCGGATAAAGTTACTAGATTTGCTTGATGGAATTGATAGTAACCAAATATGATTTAAAGGATCAAGAATCAACGGTTACAACAGTATTGAGATTAACATTATTCTTGGTTATTTTAAATGAAAAGCTTTCTTATAATATGATAAGTATTGATAGATGAGATGATGCATGGCATATGGCGTTTTTGGAAGGGGCGCAAGTTGATGTTGGCATTTATGCATGAGTATGATAAACTACTAAATTCAAGGATGTTGCTTCTACTGTTCACTGTCTTCATTTTGTTGGTTTTTGGGAAATCTTGATTAATCATATTTTCAAATTATTGTAGTATGAAACATCTACCAGATTGACAACATGAGATGGTTCCTTAAGTTCCCATTTTCTACAGTATTTTTCTGATTTTCTCTTCCAAAGTCACAGTACACCTAAGAAAGCGCCATCGGGTGGTTTAGATTAACTCCTTGGGCCTCCTTTTATGAGAGTATAAGTAGCTTCACTCGTTTAAATTCAACGTGTCGCCCTTAGCATACAAGCCACATTCCTAGGATGAAATACTAACCATATAGCGGGTGGTCTGTAGGCGTATACGGGTCGATTCTTATCCCAATCTGTTCAGGCATCGAACTACTAAACTTGACAAAATTCGCCTCCTCATTAACACACTTGAACTCAAAGGCAAGTTTTTCATCGCATTGTTTGGCGTGGTTGTAAGTCTTGTATAGTATCGCACCGCTAGATCCAGCGAAATGACTGGGTGCACAGATGCAGATTTCTTGCTGTGTGCCAGCTTTTATCAAGTCGGGTAGGACGCTGCAAATTGTGCCGCTTCGAATTTTGGTGTCGACATCGTGGAGGTCAGTGTCAAGATAATTGTTTATAGTGAGTATGGTTCGGTACGCAAGAGGCATCTTCCACTGTACTCAAAAAAGGGAATACCTCTGTTAATATCCGTATGAAAATGAAGATAACGTTGGAAAAAACGTGATAATTGTATTTTAGTTAAATTATGAAATCATCTTCACTGCAGATACATCCAACAGAGTAGCAGTGGCGCTCTTGATACGTATGACATCAGCGATATTTTCCAGCAGCGACAATCCTGTACGTAAAACGCAAAACCGCAAATGGCTCACTGAATGCTACGTATATAACTGCCCAGGTAAAGTTACTCTAGTTGCTATATTGAAGTTCTTACTCTTTCAATATTGTAGATTTTCTAATTAAAGTTGAATAGTTAGATTTAGAAGTGAAATTTAGGAATCGGAATAATCAAAGCCTCTCGGTTTCACACCTTCCTCCACGAAATCTGGCTTTGATATAGTATACGATGCTGTAACATGAGTCATTACCTTGACACATCTCTTCGTAAGAGTCATAGAAAATATCTTCAAGGCACTCACCGTATAATGGTCGGTCGTTTGGGGCAAATGGTTGAATGTGGACATTAAAAGTATCCTCCTTTGTACATGCCATTTCAACTTGATTATCTTCATTATTGTTACATATAAACTGAAAGGCGACGCGCTCGTCAGTCCCGCCAGCTTGAGCGAGGTAACTCAAGGTTCCTTCAGATCCGTGGATTTCTGTAATGACAAATCATTATTACTGCCTCTTAGGTATAGGACGGGACACGAAGAGAGTTACCGTTTTCGATATCTGTTCCATCTATCATTATTTCTTGTGTACTTCCACAGGAAATAAGCCGCGGAATATTTTGGGATGTTGAGCCCTTAGCTATGGAGAGTTGGCCGTCCCGAAGATCCGTTTTAAGGTTGTTGGTAACGGAGACAATAGTATTATAGGCTGTAGGCATTTCAGTAGATAGGCTAGGTCTCAATATATAACAATATTGACTTCATAAAAATTGCTGGTGTAATAAAATTTTGGGCAAATGAGACGGATCTTGGTCCAATACGACCTGCTTCATATAAGCGGAAGAATTTCCAATATTTGAAGTAGCAACCAACATGAAATTCGATAATCAGTTTTCATGGGGCTTTTGAGCAGTAGCTCTAGTTTGATGAATGACATATTTGCCATACGCTAAATGATGCGAGCGTTGTGTAATCGGTAGGAACTTGAGCCCGGCGGTTAAACTACGTATGTGTTATTTTTCATGCTTTAAATAGTGGCCAAGAACGTAATTCAATGTCGAATAACGATTCATTTCCCTAAAATTTCAATGATATTGCCTTTCTAATTGATTTCTCATTACAGAAACCCATTTTCTCATTGAACATATTTTCGATCCACTAACAAACATGCCCAGTGGGAGTCTGCATAGATAGAATTTATTCTTTTTGATAGATTTGTTCATTCCTCAATCAACCAGTGTACATGGAGGAAATCAAAGCCTGATTTTGCGGTCGTCTCCTGATTTAGTTGCTCGCTCATATAATTCTACCGTAGAATCGTGTTGAGAATGAGTTTATCCATCAACATTTGAAGCGATTTTGTCTGTTTAAAGTTGACGGAATTAACCTTAAATCGTAAACGCCAGTAGTAGAGCTAAATATATTGAATTACTCGAATGCATATCATTCGATTGAATTTTTATAATTGTTGTTGATCACTGCTATTTAGACATCCGCATCCTTGAAATCGCCAATCTTGAATAATTTCCTCGCGTTATCTTTTCCAATCTTCCTATAATCGATGTCATTCAACTCTAAATTTTTATCAAACCAGACACACGCATCCGCGAAATTTTCAAAGGGGTAATCAATCGAGAACAAGATACGATCCGCGCCGACCTCATTGATACAAAATTGCAGTGTTGGTGTCGAGAAATTCCCACTCGTTGTAATCCAAATATTTCGGGCAAAATACTCGCGAATGGTCTTTTTGCATGTCTCTTTCAAGCCCAAAGGTTTCTTGACATCCTCAAACCAGTGGTTTATGCGCCAAAGGTCAAATGGAAGATGTTCACCCAGGTGCCCGATAACAATTTGCAGATTTGGATGGCGATCAAAGACGCCATTTGTGACCATTCCCAAAAGATGGAGGCTGACTCCTTGAGCAAAGCTCAATGGCGGGCCAATCAGCCATTTTCTTTTGGCCCAAAGCTTTTCGTGGATGGTACCGGTAGGATTACGAGGATGAAGATAGAAGGGGACATCAAGTTCGGTTACGGTCGACCAAAAGACATCCCACTCAGGCCCGTCATAAAATATCATATCGTCACCATCTGGCCCAGCACGCTGGGTGTCGTTGACCAATGCACCTTTGAAGCCGTATTGGGTGACAGTTCGGCGCAACTCATCAGCCGCCTCCTTGGGATCATGCATTGAAAGTGTGCTTATAAACTAATTAGCGTTTTCCTATAATTTAACTCCAGGAACAAGGGATCGTACGCAAAAGCTCCAAAGCGATCGGGATGCTGCCTAACAATTGGTGCAATATAGTCGTTTATCTCTGTAGCCAGTGCTTGTGCTTCTTTCGGATCCCATATATCCTGTACACCCGGTGCAGTATACGACAGGATGGTGTATCCAACCCCATGCTCATCCATATATTTGATACGTTGGTTAGTGATGTCGGTGATTTCGGCGGCGTGTTTTTCTGGATCGATAGCAAACAAAGAAGCCCACCATCTTGTCCGCTCCTGAAAACGTGGCAGGGCGAATGCCTCTTCTAGGGCAACTTTTCCCAACATATTGACTTACTTCTCTTCAGTGAACGAGACAAGTTTCCACAACATGAATTACGACACGGATAACAGTCAAAATGGGAGAAAGGGGCTTTTTTATACGCCGCCATCATGTTCCCTGGTTTAATAACCGGCCGCCTGAGTCGTGAGGGGGGGCCTGCTGAGGTGGGTGAGGGCATCCCTAAGAACCGGGCCGGGACCACGGCTAAAGCACCACAGTTACACAATAGTACCTAGAGTATTCTTATCCGACGATAGCCGGGCCCTTATCGTAAGGCCTCCTCCGCACCCCGGATAATGCACCTCGCCCTCCACCATGTTCTTTCTTCTCTTCGTCCACACCCCCGAAAATTATTTGTTGAATCAGAATCCCCCGGTAACTATATTCAATGACCCGCTATTGAAAGCACATGCCTCGCCCCAAAGTCAGACCAGAAGATCGCCAACGCTCATCTAAAGCATGTTTGCCATGCCAGGCTTCCAAAATCCGTTGTGACTCGCAGTCGCCATGCATGTCGTGTATGCGACGAGACCGCGCCTCTACATGTTCGTACAATGAAACCAGTAGACGACGATCACATGGACATGTTCGCGATCGCCCTCGCCCAGTCAGGTTTGTCTCTCGGAAGACCACTAGGTCTACGACCAGTAGTGGTCCTTCTTCTGCACCACCCCGACAGTCAACACCGATAAATACTGTAGATTGTAATGACGACTCACACGCAAAATTGTTCCGAGGGAATTCCCCGCAGTCTGGCCCTGTGTTGGATTCACCTCAATGCACAGAGAGCCGGCTACTGTTAAGTTCTAAGGGTGAGAAAGGTATTGTCTGTTCCATTCCATATTTATTCATTTCAGCTGAATGGTAGATGAAAGTATATGTGGGGGAGACTTCGGCACTATCATTCCTGCAGTTTCTACGTGGAATCATGAAAAAATACATAGGACCTTCTGCATTTACAGAAAATGGGCGCGTAAATTTCATGCTAGAGGCCGACACAAATGAAGACCAAGAAGTGGCCTTGGAAGAGAGTCTCGAAGAAAAAGAAGACCTGATTCAGACTTTTTTTGAAGCAGTGAGGTGACCCAAAAGGTTTCGTTTTACCATTTACTAACTCACCACAGTCTAGTGGCTTTTTGGATCTTTTTGATCAAACTGATATATTGAGAATTCTTCAAACCGAAGACTCTTCCCAGAAGCGAAGACTAAGCAAAGAAGAGCTAGGCATTTTATACCTCGTGATTGCCATTGGTGGGCAATGCCGGGGGCTAAATTCCATGGACTCTCATTATGCAGTCAAATACTTTTCAAAGGGCCAGCAGCTAGCCTTCGACGGCATGCTTAGAGACCCTAGTATCAATATGGTACGGATATTTCTTCTGATGACGTTCTATATGTTGGGGGCATGCCATCGAAATGCAGCATACATGTACCTTGGGGTGGCATCTAAAGCAGCTGCCACTTTAGGATTGCACATCAGCAAACAATATCAAGGACTTTCAGAGAATGAACATCTACTTCGGTATGTTTCTTATATCACTTTATCTTCCTAGCTGAACAACTAGATGGCGGGTGTACAAATCGCTCCGAGTTTTCGACATCTTAGTTAGCACCCCCTTGGGTCGACCGGTCAGCTCACTTCCTTTAGACTACGACGAATTACTTCTACAAAATCGAATTCATACCCAGAGTATGACTGCTGTCTCGGCGGCATTCTCTGGGTCCGCAATACTAGAAGACATTGTCCAAAAATTGAGAGCCACGGGTAATAACTTCGATAGTCCTACTGCCGAACAGTTTCTTCATCGTCTGCGCCAGTGGACTAACAGCTTGCCCCTAAAATTTCGCCAGTTGGCCGCTGATTATGATACAGTCGCTGTCATTCGTGAAACAGCTATCGGCAGTGTTCACATTAGTTGTATATATTATTTCGCCATTATATTAACTACGCGGTCTTTTTTAATATTACATCTGATGGCCCGCTTGAAAGAATTATCGATTCTGGCATCTAGTCCGGTCAATAATCCAACTCTACAGTCAGAGCCCGATATGAAGACCTCCCGGCTTGCCAATGTTTGTATTCAAGCCGGAGCGTACATGGCAAATATGTGCGAGAAGGCGATGCTCTCGGGGCTTTTGTTGAAAAATATGTGTATTGTGAAGTGAGTCGCTAAATTCTTGCAATTCGTATAAACTCCTTTATATATTTTATATTTACTAACTAGGTCCCAGAGCATGGGTCTTTGCCGCCGGTCTGGTTCTTGGATTTTCGCTCTTCGCCTATGACGACACGGAATCTCGTCGCGATACTGAGGCTAGCTTCCAAAGTGCCCGGCACGTCCTACGTAATCTAGCAAATTTGAGTCCTCAAGCGAAGCACTACGATGAAATATTGACTTCCTTTGCCGAGGCCATTATTAATCACCGACAGCAAATCCTATCGCATAGACAGAAAGTAACGAGCAAGTTCATTGACTGCATTTTGGATATTGATATAGCGCCAACAGACAGATTGATGTCTCAGGGGGGAGATATCAATTCGAGGATAATAATAATGACGTCACTGAGTATTGTTACTCTGACTATGACAAGACGTCCCAGGCATTGCCGGGGACTGCAGCACTTGATAGTGGCAGTGTCGAATTGGCAAGCTCTGATGATATCGGGGATGTTGGCGTTGATCTTGATGGATTTAGTGGGTTCTCTTTCCAGGATGGGGGTAATTGGTCAATTGATTATGAGCCTTTTGGATTGCTCTTTGACGGAATGTAATTTGGTTTACATAAGGGTTTTCACTGGCGAACATGTTGTAAATCCTTCGCCTTCCGTATACTAACGATAGTTATAAAAAAAGAAATAACATCAATCAATTAATCCTGTAGCCTGGTTCCCGACGCCATTTGATAGGATTAATGTGTTAGCCGAACTCGCTCGAATTAATCAAAAACTCGGCAAATTATAAGGACCTTGTAGCAAAAGAATTGTTTTTTTTTTTTAAATATCTGTATCCTTATTGTTCCATTAAACTTCGTAGATAAAGGTCATAGGTTGCCTGTTAGAAGATCGACATCTTCAACCGGACAAAGTGATGGCTTTACATTTCCACTACATTAACGTTACGGTGGTGCAAAGAGCAAAGAGGGGCACAAGAGCTACGTTTTGCGAAAGATCGACGGTGTCCTTTCTTTTTCTGTTTAGTCTACTGGATCGATGCATATGAATCACAGATCGCCCATCAAGAAAGCAAGGCTATTCATACCAATTGATTTTCGAATTTCGTTTCATACTTTCAGTGTAACCAAAGACACGGCTACTCAGAATAGGAAGAGCTGCATTAAAGTAGAAAAGACGCTAAGGATCAGGTTATCATGTGCACTTTTCGCTACTTCAGGAACCCGCTTAAGCTCTCGGCACCCATTCAATCACAGCTATAGTCATAACAGCGCAAAATGTCTCCTGTCAGCGAATCTACTCAACACGTGCCGTTGATTATCCATGGGCAGGATGAACCCAGTCAGAGTGCTTTCGAGGTAATCAGTCCATATACAAACAAGGCCTGTTGGACAGCTGCATCTGCAACCCCAGCTGAGGCCATTCGCGCGGTTGACTCTGCCGACAGAGCATTTCCAGCATGGTCGAACACCAAGCCAAGTGTAAGGCGAGACATCTTACTCAAAGCTGCGGATATTTTAGAGTCGCGACTTGAAGAAAATGCGGAGTTTATGCGGGTAGAAATGGGCTCTGACGTTGCTTCGTCAACCGGCTTTGTTGTCCCGCTGAGTATCAAAATACTGCGCGATATTGCTTCGCGGATTACTTCCATCTGTGGCCATGTTCCGGTAGTCGAAACAGAAGGGCAGAGTGCAATTGTGTACCGAGAGCCTATGGGGGTGGTCCTGGGTATAGCTCCTTGGTAAGCGGGTATTTGATGATTAAGTTTGGAGTTTTATTCTCAGAAAACCGAACTTAGGAATGCGCCATACGTATTTGCCATCCGTGCTGCTGCCTGTGCTCTAGCAGGAGGAAACACCACTATTATAAAATCCTCTGAGCAGACACCCCGCTGTTATTATGCCGTGGCACGCGCCTTTCTAGACGCTGGGCTGCCTGCTGGCTGCTTCAACCTGATTTCAACCCGGATTGAAGATGCACCTGCTGTTGTCAACGCCATGATCGAACATCCTGCAGTTCGTAAAGTTAACTTCACTGGTAGTACGGCAGTTGGTCGAAAAGTGGCAGCCTTTTGTGGAAAGAATCTCAAGCCGTGTTTGATGGAACTCGGAGGCAAAAACACCGCTATTGTGTGTGAAGATGCAAATCTGAAGACGGCAGCATTGGGTATCTTGATGGGCGCTTTTATCAATGTAAGACAGCCGCAGCCAAGTTTTGAAGAAGGGCAAAACGTCGCCCATAAGCTAATCCTTCTTGAAGTCGGGGCAAATCTGCATGTCGACTGATCGCATTATACTTCACTCTGCCATTGCTAAAAACTTGAATGATACTTTCAAAAAGACTTTCGAGGAATTTTCGGACCCTTCTTTACCAGCTCCGACCCTAGTAAGCATGGCCTCCAAAAAGCGTGTAAGTGATTTAATATCCGACGCTCTATCAGCAGGGGCAGAAGTGGCCCATGGAGCGTTCAACAACGATATCACGTCCGACCTGGCAAGCGTGCGCATGGCTCCGGTAATTCTAGGGAATGTCAAGGAGAACATGCGTGTTTGGAACGAAGAATCGTTTGCTTCACTTGCAGCATATATGGTAGTTGATAATGACGATGAAGCCATTCAAATCGCTAACTCAGGCGGCTATGGTCTGTCAGCAGCTATTTTCACAGAAGATCTTCGCAAAGGGCTGGCAATGGCGAAGAAAATACAGTCAGGTGCGGTGCACATCAATAGCATGACTGTTCATGATGAAGCAGCCCTCCCACATGGCGGAGTAAAGAATAGCGGATGGGGTCGTTTCAACACTGATGAAGGTTTGAAGGAGTTTTTAGTGACGAAGAGCGTCACATGGATGGATTGATACGTCAGTTGATCACCCATCTACTGGACAGTGTTCAAATATTATAATTGTGACTTAACAATCACTTGGGCTCGGAATATTATATGCTCAAACTTTTTCGATGAGATGTTATCCCAAGCCGAATTTAAGGACTTCGTCAGATAGATATTTTCATTAGATGGATAGGGTGCTTTTCTCTAGGATATTTAGAGACAAACATCCCTCGTTTAGTACCATACTCCGGCTTGCGCCACCTTGTGACGCCGATTTTCTTCTTAAAACACTATTTTGTTCCCGTACAAACTCTTTCTCTTCGTGACTTTGCCCCCTATTTCATGGCTTCGATGCTGTATATGCAGACCCTTCGGCGTCAAAGCATCAACCATTTGTTAGACTGTAAATGGGTCGAGAATTTATGCCAATATTAGGCTAGAAAAATTGCTACGTAGCTTTTTAGCCTAGAGATAAATTCGAACACCAACTACGCCCCACCCTAATTGTCTCTCTTTTGGTTTTTTTTTTGGCCCAAAGAAAGAAGGAGGCCTGTAAAGATTTATCGTTGGGATTGCCTTCGTGTTCTCAAATACCAAGTGTCTGACGCTATGAGTTAAAGATTACATTGAGTTCCAACTTACTCAAGTTAATTAGACTTCAAAAACAATAAAGATAAACAATGAATCATCAAAGGTGTGGAATTGACAACAAAAAAGCTGTGTTTAAATCATCTGTGTCCTCCTTGTATATAAAGAACAGCATATCAAGGCTCCCTACCATGTAGAATGAGTCTTTTGATCATTTGGTTCTTCGACTTCTTTAATTGTAGGGCACTTGATAGGGTATTTGAAATAAAGATATCGTTCCATAGGCAACATTCCGTATTGTTGTATATCTTCTTCAATGTTTTTATGTATGTAGCGATCGACAGTCGTCGGTCTACTAGTTGGAAATGTAGCGAGTTTGTAAAGGTTCGCCCTCACGTTCCAGTCGCTCCGCATCTGCTGTGATTGAATCCTCCCAAGTAATCTCGCTAGTTTCGCTATGTGCTAAAATGTTTTGGTTAGTCAACGCGGCGGTGAGGAATGTTTTTTCAGGCCGTTTCAATTTTATCGGTGACACGGGATTGGTCTGACCAGAGTATGGCTCAGGCTGGGCAGCTAGATAAGCATGTAATCTAGGTGAGATCAACTGTCAGTATATACATGTATGTTACATATGAACTTAATTTACTGGTTTGCTTTATAGTAAAATAAATAGTTTGGATACGCTGAAGATTGTCAACTTTAATATACTGAGAGCTATATCTAGTTGGTTGCATTTGGTCCTTGAAGACTGCGTGGTTATTTTGTTGCTGTATTGGACTCATTTTGGCATATTTAGTTTGATGATTTAGGGGCTGTTTCGAAACTGCAAGATATATTCTCTAGAGAGTTGCACCTTAGGCGCTGGATGTAAACCGGAGACAATGAACTTGAAAGCGTGAAAGGGTTTATATCCCTATAATGTAATTAAAGCAAGGAAAGTCATTTGAACTTAAACAAGGCGAACATCATAGAATAGACTAAGTTATAGAATAGACTAAGTTCTGGTGGCAATTATCTTGTGCAATTTTGCATAAGGGAAACCACAAACGCAGACTGGATAGTGTGAAATGACGAAGGTTCATGGAGCTTGACACTAGCGGAGGTGACACAAAAGGTATATCGGACATATAATAATGCCAGACATTGGGTTTAAAATTGCCAGGTAGTAGAATAAGATTAACAAATCTTTCTTTTGCGGATACAACTATAATAAACCCTAACTATTTAATACAGATCCCACTATGATAACCAGCATGGTTCCATTAGAAATGTTACTATAGAATAAACGAACAACGAGTGGCCCAGTCACCCTGGGGGGAGCTACTGGAAGCCGAACCTGAAATCATTATTCCTACGTCTAGTTCAAAAAAAAGCCTGGCTGTCCACAAGGATAGCACTGCCAAATAGTATAATGTTCTTGGATACCACATGTATTATTGGGAGGTGCGCCAGTGCAAACCAGTCGATCAGAGGAATAAGTGTGTAAGGTACGTATGTAGTATCTAACTAGCTTGCGGCTCTTGCTGAACCCAAGTCCCGAGAGTTGGAAATTCAACACCATATGATGGTTACCAAATGCTATTCATATGCATTAGCAATTATGTATTATGCACTAGTTCTGGCTCAGCACGAGTCAGTCATGTCGAAACCCTGGATTTAGATGAAGCACAAAGCGGTGATGGGCCGTCCAAAACCACCAAAAAGTAGGCGTGCGTGTGTTTCTAGGTAATAGAGAGATAAAATAGTATGCTTAATGATTGCGAATGATAGTTTCTGGTGGCGATACTGCATTACTATGCAGAACTTGTGCCTCAATTGCAACCTTGTACTCGAACCCACTCGTACATTACAGGGAATATCCCTGTCTCATCACTGACTGGTACTCTTCGCTGTCTCCAGACACTGCAACACTTCATGGATGGCAGTTAGGCGACAACTAAGGACATGTCCGATTGAGAATATGCATGTGGCCAGGGGAGGCCGTAGGGGTCGCGGAAGTTTTCGCAGCAAAGGAGTGCCCGCTCAATAATAATCAGTTACAAGTCAATAGGTTGATGTTGCCATTGTATGTGCACAAATGAAACATGCAGAGTGAGATGCTTCAGCCAGAAACCAGAAGGTCCTTTGATTGTTTTTCACACAGCCCGGGTAGTCAGATTAGCACTACACCCAGGTGTTGGGTTTGTGGGAGACCGGCAAAACGACAATACCGCAAAATGGTAGCTTGGTGTATTTCCAATCAATTACACATGCTTATGATGCTTCATCTTGGGTAAGAGAGTGAGTGGCGTTACAAGCAAGTATAGCTTACGGTTTTAGGCTGCAGAAAACAATCGAAACACATTATCCGGATACGAAACACAACATAGATACGACGATGATGAACTACATCTGTAAAGGAAGCCGTTCTCCTTCTGCCTTAGAACGGCTATTATCAAGCAGGATTCGGTTTCGCCTCCCGCGTTCCATGCTGACTACCGCGGCCTTGGTGTGATCCCTACATAACTGGTCATGCTTATTTTTGAGAACAATTAATTAATTAGTTTCCTCAATAAGCAACAATCTATGGAAGCTGTCAATGTCCTCGGAATCTTTCACGTATAAGGCATAGAGTCTGTGATGAAGACAAGAAATAAAGTAAAGGTGTTCACATTTCACTTGCTTGCTGAGAACCGCTATTCGAGTTTGGACTAGCATCGAAGGGCAACCCGTCATCAGTCATTGTAAGGCAAGCACAATCCTGAATGGTTGAACATGTGGTACAGCAGTTGTTGTAGCAAATCGATTGGATGATCGACTAAGGTACCAATTGTCAATTCATAAGGCCTCTCAGAGGTCTCTCGGAAACGCGCGTGGATACAGGGCATGGCTTGACTTGTTAAACTTTACCACGCAGAATGAATTAGTAAAACCATGTTGAGCATGAATTTAGTAAAAGGGTGAGCGTTGAACAGTATCAAGCTAGGAAATTCGATTATTTCGAGAACTCGGGAGCTGTCTATCTATTGCGATGTAGCTCAACGTTTAGGTATGCAGGTGTGCATAATATCAAAGCATTCGAAATACAAATGACTGTAGTTCTCTTTACATGCGCGGTCGATTCATTGACTAAGGTACAACTACGCCACTGTAATAATATATCGATATCTATTAGCGCACCAATCCCATTCCATATCCAGCGCCATAAACAGAGTCACACACATGCTGGGAATAATACCAATCCTAAACCTCCTCAATAAGCTTCCCCCCTGAGAAGCCACCAAACGGACGGCCAGATGGAGTACCTAGTATCTCATCAGGAACGTAGGCCTTGCAGCCATCACGGCCACTAACCCAACGTATCATGGTAGGGTCTGGCTTCTCGGAGTCGATTGGGAGGTCTGGTGTAGCTTCTCCGACAGTCTCGGTCGCCGGAATACGGCCGCGTCGTTTAGGGGCTTGTTTTTTAAGCAAACGATTGATGGTGTCCATCTTTACTTGTGGTCAGATTGATTCGGTGTATCTATCGTAAGATGATCAAAGGTACCTTTTCTTCCTCATTGCGCTTCTCGCTCAGATTCTTCCTCCGTCGAGCCATCTCAGCACGTCTCATCGCATGTTCCTCTGCGGTAAGATGTTTTTTGACTTGTGGTTCTACAAATATATTTTAGCAGCCGTTAACTTGTGTGAACTAGGACAAATAAATGGACTCACCCATGGGAAGCTGTAGAAAGTCTTTGCCTAATGAACCTCGCTGGCGTTTCGTCAGTTTAGTCAAATCCGGGGTGCTACTGTCATCATCACTGCCTAAATCGTCTTCTTCATCGTCGTCGTCGTCTTCGTCGTCGACTTCTTCCCCTTCCTCTTCCTCCTCGACGCCATCACCCATCTCTTCGTCTTGCAGCATGGTGTCATCGACTTCGCCCTCAGCATCGCTGTCCGGTTCTGATAAGTCTTCGTCATCTTCCTCGTCGTTACGAGAAAGCTCCATTTCTTTCTCTTCCACTGATTTGACAGCCTTGTTTTTAGCCTTGGCCGCAGCTGCAGCTGGCCGGGTGCTCCTCTTCGACACCGGAGGCTGCGGCGTGACATCTTCCATATCTAGATCGCCGTCTGCGTCAAGTTCTTCGTCATCTTCGCCGGTGGCATCTTCAGAGTCTTCGATTTCCTCGTCCTCCTCTTCATCTATTTCATCGTCATCCTCGCTATCTTCTTTGAGATTTCTGGTGTTTCTGCTACTACGCTTTCCAAGAACAACCGGATTATCGGTGAAGATGTTGTGGCGATTAGACGCAGTGCCACGACTACTTCTACTGTTGGTTACCTGGCGAAGTTTACTAGAAGACATCTTGACCGTCAAATGAATCGATTTTTTGGATCCTTCGGCCAAGCTCGGCGGTGAGCGCGAAACCGTCACCGAAGAAGCGGGAACACCAGCAGTTGCTCCGCGTGTGAGTCGACCAGACCTGGTGGATGGGTTAGCAGCTGGTTGGCCAGAAGGTTGAATCAACATCATAGGCGTAGCGCGCGAACGAAGTGTCCGAGACGAAGGCATATTTGATGAAGCCGTATCGATTGTGCATGAAAAGAAATTACACGACACAGGTCAACAGCAGATGCACGATAAAATAGCTGGGGCAGGGCATTGACCCACGAAGGCTGTCATACGGGGGCGCGGGTGGGGTATTTGGTGGTTGGCGACAGTTGAGGGTAATGGAATCGATCAAGTTGAGCGATCCCCAGGCCCAGCAACTGGCCGCGTTTGTGCGGGGTGGGCGGGTTTTGTCAACAAAAAGGAAAAATCGCAATATCAAAGAAGCACGGTGGAGGGGATTGGCCACGATGATTCTGGAAAAAAACGCCAGTGACAAACGGCCAACGGGGTGGTTGAGGCAGGACAAGCTAGTGGCAGAGGGCTAAAATAGAGGCATGCATCAAGATCATCCCAGCGCTGGCAGAGAATGACAGCTATTTATTTTTTTTCCGCCCCTGTGATTCCCTTCTGCTTGAGCTGCTACCGGTCGAGGAATCATGGACACGGGGACATGGAGCATGGTCTCGCGACCGTCCAATATTTTTACTAGCAGGTACCACAGCAGCAGAGGAGACCGAATCAGAAAGAATGGCTAGCAGGACGGTGATAAATGAGAATTATTGACTTGCGAGGGCGCAGATGCCAATCCGACAAGGGCATCCCCATGGGCAGAAAAAACAAATAAGCCAAGGGAAGAAACAGAGACTGGTCGGAACACTCGCGACAACGGCGACAAACGCAGAGAGCGAGCTTACCTGGCGCTGGGTCGCGACTGGCGGCGACTGTGATGATTGGGGGTGTCGGGCTGCCAGTGGTCGCTGTCCTGGCTTTCCTCCGAAGACTCGCTGTGCTGGTTGTGGTGGTACAAGGGTGGCGACAGCGGTGGTGGTGCAGGCTGCTGGGTCTTGGGCCCCTTTGCAATAATAGCAGCGGCAGTCGGGTTTGTGGTATTATTATTATTGGCGTCAATATGAGGGACGGTAGGATTATTGCGAGGGCTATTATTGGCACTTTGGTCGCTGCTGTCGTCCTGCCCACGGTGGCGCCGGCCGCGAACAAGACGCCGCACAGGCGCCATGCTCGGTTCAGAAGGCGGTGAGGCGGCACGAAAGACAGAATTATTGCAGCAGTTGTAGTAGTAGTCGTAGACGAAGTCGCAGCAGCAGTAGTGTGGCTGTCGCTGGTGTAAATATTGCGGTGGCCGTGTACGTTAACGATGCGGCAGAAACAATTATCTCCTCTGATGCTGCAGGGCCGTCATAGTCCGCGGTGCTGCTGCATTTTGGACCGTGGCCAGCAGCAAACAACCGGCCTACGGCAGCAGCCGAGTCGAATTGGCGATCAGATGAGATGGGATGGGATGGGATTGAAGAGGAAAGGAGAGAGGGAGGAAGAGAGAGAGAGAGAGAGAGGATAAGAGAAGAGAGGAGGAAGGAGCGCATTGTCGTGGCAGCAGCAGTCGTGGTTGTAGTGCAGCCTTCATACTAATAATGATGAGGCCTGACAGCCATGTAGAGTGACTCCGACCGCCTGCCAGCTCACTATTACGGCAGAGGTACCGATACACCCCCGGCGCCGCATTCCCCGCGTCTCGTGACTCTCTCGGCCGGGCCCACTTCCGTAAAAACGGTAAAATACCTTGCATCACGTGATGTCGTCGGCTGCCTGGGTGTGTAATCATAGCGTATTGTAAGGTTGCGGCCGGGCCGAGGCATGTCACTACAACTACAATTAAAATACTCAGATCTACAACATTCAGTCTTCCTCAACAACTCCGAGTAACAATCACAAATATATAACTGGCCCTGATCTTTCCTCCCATGAGCTGTGGCTGGCACTGAAAGCAAGCATCAAGCATGACTGGCGACTCGAAAGCAGCAATCCCCGAATGGCAGCGCAAAGCCTCGTCGCTGAGCGACACCACAAGCTCCGACGACTCCTCAGCGGACGTTGACACCCCCGGCAGCGAGACACCGACAAATTTCTCAGAAGACAGCTCTTCCGAGGCCAAGTCCAGTCTCCTAGAGCAAGCAAAGACTTTCCTCTCTGATCCCTCTATCCGCAATGCGTCGACCACGCGCAAGATTGAATTCTTAGAATCAAAGGGCCTTAGCGGCCACGAGATCGAGGCGCTGCTTGGTGTCACCCGAAACGAGGAGGCTTCTTCAGTAGCTTCGGCAAAAGAAGACAATAATCGACATCAAGGCCGCACGACTGCGCCGCCGGCAGAGAGTAGCACAATCTCTCAGACGCAAACCTCAACCATATCCAACGCCACTGCCGCTGCGACCGCGTCATCTTCCACTCAACGAGATATACCTCCCATCATAACCTACCCCGAATTCCTTGTAAATTCCTCCGCCCAAAACAACAAGCCTCCGCTTCTTTCCCTCCATGGCCTTCTCTACACGCTATACGCCGCAGCCGGTCTGGGCGCAACGATCTATGGTTCAAGCGAGTTCCTCGTAAAGCCCATGTTGAAGACATTGACTGAATACCGCCATGAGCTGGCCGAGTCCGCCCTGAGCAATCTCGCTACTTTGAATGAAAAGCTGGAGCAGAATGTTTCGCAGGTTCCTCCGTACACGACCTCCAAGTCAAAGTCTGGAGACAATGACGATGTCGACGACGGCGACGACACCGAATCAATAACATCAGACCCGACAGAACTTTTCCACAGAGATGTTGCCACACAAACATCCGCAGACTTAATGACTGACGAGGCTGCAACAAAAAATGACCCGAGTTCCTCAGAAGAATCCAACACCAAAGTCATTGATACCCATACGCAAAGCCTCTCCGTCCTCACCTCCCATCTCAAAGAATTTCTTTCCGACCATACCTCCTCACGTGAAGTCGACGACTCTGCCCGGGATAAAATATCGGATTTACAATCTTATCTGGATGGATTGACATATTCGTCGTCAAGCAGCTACCTCGGGGGTAACTCCATGTATAACATATACGGCTCTTCCGGTGGCGATGCAAATCGGAATAGAAGTGGGAGTACAGGGCGCAAAGAGGAAGACGCTATTGCAACTTTCAAGGCTGAAATCAGAGGCGTCAAAGGCGCCCTACTGAGTGCTCGAAATTTCCCGGCAGGAAGAGCTGGCATTACTAGATAGGCTGTTGTTGGATTCCTCCTACTTTGGTTTATTTTAGCTATAAGATATTATTTTGTATAACTACGCTACAGCGATCAAATGTGTGACCAGGTCAATCTCTTCCAATAAGTGTATATCATAAAACAAACATAAAAAGAAATAACAACCACGGCTACAAGTAACAAGAAAGCTTTTACTAACCCCATGGGTATAGCATTTACATTGGTTTATCGTCTATTATCAACCACTCACGGAGTTGCTCTGCTCATGCTGATCAATCGTTTAACTCCAACCTATATGCATATTAGTATTTTATTTCCAACCACCCTATAGAGCTCGACTCGAAGTACGTACCATCCAGTTCCCGCACTCATCTGTTCGGTTCGTCAGAATTTCCAAATGGATATTCTTGGCTGTCTCGTAGTCCTTCGCCTGTATCGCCTTGGACAATTCATTCATGTCCGCCACTGTGTTCGGTTTCAACAAGTCTTCATTGTTGAGGTGGTCAAATAATATATTGAGTCGTCGTTCGGCGTCATCAACCTGGGCTTTGAATGATGAAGGGGCGCGTGATTTCACCCGTTGCATATCATTTGAGAGTAACTCATAAATTGGGACTGCATCTGCCGGGATATGGGATCGGTCACCAGGCGCTATTTGTTTAGTCAGTAATGTATTCATATATTGCCATGATCAAACGCACGGTATTTTGGTGGCGGTGGAGCGGCTTTCTTCTGCGACTGCGCTGTTCCTGGTCGAGAACCGGTTGCAGGAGGCGGTCCTCCAGGAGCTCCCGCTGGTGGTGGAGCAACACCAGCAACTGGAGCATACGGGCTGGGAGCCGCCGCTGGTTGCTGTGCATATGGTCCTGTAGGGGGGGGGCGAGTTTGAGGTGCAGCTGCCTGGGCGGCAGGGCTAGGGGCATATCGATTCGTTGGTGGTGGCCCTGAAGGAGGCGCGTTGTAGGGAGAAGGGCCTCGTGGAATTGGTGGGGGCATGGCCATACCCGGCACAGTGGGCGGTGACTGAGTCACCGGAGGTGCATATGCATTTACGGGTGCTGCCGCGTTAGAAGACACTGAAGGAGGTCTCGGAGGTCCGACTGGGGGAGAAATGACAGGGGGTGGTGGAACACTACCAGCCTTTGGTGGAGGTGGAGGGGGGGCTTTTTGACTAGCAACAGGAGGTCCAACAGGAGGAGAAGTTGGTGGCGCCAGAGGAGGTTGACCAGGGAATGGAGAAGCCACTGCTGCAGGAGTACCTCGCCTAGATGCAGGTTTCGCAGTTCCAAATCCTTCGGGCAAGTCATTCCACGCAGGGAGATCGGTTCTGTTTGTATATGTAGACACTTGAGGCCCGGAAGGAGACTGATTGAATCCTCTAGGTGGAGGTGGTACTCCTCCAGGACCTGGAGGAGGAACACCGAATTGTTGCGGAGGGGGTGCAACAGGTGGTTTCGCTGGCTGAGCAGGCTGGTAGCCTCCAACAGGCTGGTATGGGTTGGATCCAAATGAAGCATAAGGATTAGCAGGCTGAGGAGGCGCAACAGGTGAGGACGTATTCGTTGCCGGAGCATATGGATTACTAACAGGTGGTGTCGGGCCGTAAGTGGGCTGAGGTGGCTGGAAAGGGATTGGCTGGGGTAGCGAGGTGGTTCTGGTTTGAGGAACTTGAGCGGACTTCTTCACAGTAGGAGCTTTCCTGGTGGCTAAGCTGATTCGGTTTCTGGCAATCTCAGCTTCACCATGCTTCTCGGGAACGAGGCCAAGGTAACGGTCCGCGACGTCCAGACGGCCATGTGTCGCAGCAACATCCGCATACTCGACGTACTTATCATAGAGTACACCAAGCTTCCAATCTGCATCTTTCTGGCAGTCGGTATCTTGGTAGTTTGTCACCTGACGAAAAATAGTGACCTTCTCAATAAATCCTTGCAGAGCACGAACGTGAACAGAGAAAGTAGAGCCTTCCTCGGCTTGGTCAATGCCATGTTTCTCATTCGCCTTGAACTCGTCAAGCCAGATACCAACCACCTTCTCCAACTTAGATCCTGCTAGGTAACAGAAAGAGACATTCTTACGAACAGCCCTATCAGAGGTACTCTGAAATTGCTCTTCTAGCCGATCACCAAGAGCTTCACAGAGATCAGGGAATTCCTTCTCGTCGGCGAAGGTGCACAATGTTGCCATTACTTCCTTCCAGTTCGATAAATCAGCGTTGTGGACGACGTCCCATAGATTCTTTCCAACAATCGATGCAAGGAGACGGACATAATTTGGTCCTCCATTCTGTTTCGAAAAGTATACCTCTTGTACCTTTTCAATGCATTTGTCTCCACCGCAAACAGCGATCATGAAGGCATCTGACAACCTGTCCTCCTGAAGAGCAACATCCAGGGCATGCTCAAATTGACCTAAAAGAAGGGATCTCGTGATCTTCTTGTCTGACTCAGATTCGCTTCCACTGAAAATGTTGAAGGGATTGTTAGTCCGTGCACCTTTAGACGCAGCAAGATCACTCAAGAAGTTATCTGGTGCGTCAGGTCCGTCGAATATTGACTGTAGACGCTTGTGCTTCTTTTTCGAATCAGCAGCTGGCTTGTCAGCCTCACCATTCGTTTCTTCCTTGAGATCTAATTTCGCCAGCCCATCCGCAGCCTCATCTGCAGTATCATGAAACCCAAGGTAGGCAGCAAGGCCCTTTCGCGGATTCTCCGAAAGAAGCGTCTCAATGACTTTCCAGTCAGCTTTCTCTTGCTCACTTGAGGCGCTCTCAATACGAGATTCACAGATATTTTTGAAATTTCCTTCCTTAAGGTCGCTTTCGAATTGCTCAGTAGCACTGCCAACTGCGGAGTCTATCTGGAAAGGTGTGATCCTAACCTTGGAGGAACGCTTAGTGCTGTCAGCTAGGGCCACTGATACAACTCTGCCGCCAAAGCCAAATGATGCTGATACTGGTCGTTCAAGCCACTTGGGAGTCTTGGACAGCGAAAATGTCGATGCTTGCGGTTGGGTCTGCGCTTTTGCAAAAAAGTCCTCCCCATCCAGTGTCTGGTTCTGTGTGGCCACATTCTGGACAGCTTCTTTACTGGTATTCTGGATAGTTTGTATAGAGATCCGGCCATCGAAGGATGCGGTAGCGAAGAAGTTGGGGTTGTGAGGGTTCCATCGTGTCTGAAAGGTCCAGTTTGTAACAATAGGGAATTCTCCATAATTCTCACCGGTTTGAGGGTTCCAGCAAATAGTTCGGTTATCCTTGCCTGATGACAAAAGGAGGTCAGGGTCTTGAGCACACCATGACAATGACAGGACACCCGATTCATGTCCCTTGAGAACCTATAGAAAAGTCAGAGCGGTTGCATTGCCAGATTAAGTGGCACTTACACGTTCAGGAGCATGCGAGTTTCGAAGGTCCCAAACTAATATTACAGGATCAGACTCTAGTGGTATGGAAGTGACGAGTTTAGTTGGCTGTTCATGTTAGCTAATAGTAAGGAGACGAGCGATTTGCGACTTGCCTTTTCTGGGTCCCAAGCCACAGCACTGACGGGTTTCCGACCTAGATTATTCAATGTCAAGCTTTCCTTCTTCGTCTTAACATCCCAAACGGTAACAAATCCCGCGCTAGACCCCGTAACCAGAATGTGAGCAACTTTCTTGTTCCAGTCCAGACATTCGATGTCGTCAGCGCGCGCGGCTGTGTTTCCCAAGCGGAATGGGTTCTCGACATTATTCAAATCCGTGATAAACAGCTACGCATCGGTTAGAATTGAGTAGAAGAGAGAAGGCGAGATGAAGTAACAAACCTCTCCTTTAGCTCCGCCAGTGGCGAGAAGATTCGAGTGCTTCGGATTGAATTGCAGAGACTTGATGGCACCGGAGTGCTTCTGAGATGACGCTGTCAAAGAGTTGCTACGAAACATTAGCAGCGAATAGCTTTGCTTTCCTCGGCACGACTAACCCTGTCCCACTAAGAAGTTTGTCGGCATCCCAGAGTTTGAGCGAGCCATCATCGAGCGCGCCAGCAATGATTCCCCTATTGTTGTCGTCATACGGAGCCCAGGCGAGATCATTAAATCTATCACGAGATCAAAGAGTCAGCAAAGTGTGAGATATGTGAAGAAGAAAGAATGGGGACTAACCCAGAGTCCGTAGGAACCTTAACTAGAGGCTGCGGCTCTCTGCCAATGTCGACACTTGTATTCAAGCCCAAATCCCAGAGCTCCAGGTTAATCTCATTGGAGAAATCAAAATCGACAGCACCTGCTCGGGTTCCAGTAGCTAACAAGGGAGCCTGGGCGCCGGGAGACCAGGCGAACGTGGCCGTTCGAGGAATCTCCCTAACGCGCACCATGGCGATGAGCGGTGGGCGTGCGTATCTAGACTATTTCGTGAGGGGCTCCGGAAGTAAACAATGGGTTCATGAACGCAAGTTGCAGGAGGCAAGAGAGGAGTGTGCGGGAGAGGAAAGGGACGGAATTGCAAGTTGCCTGGACGGGGAGCACCGACGCTGCAGAGAAGAGGGAGCAAGAGAGGATGGTGGATGTATGGGACGAGGGCGTGAAGGTGGCCACCACACTCCGCCGACATGTCTCCAAGTGGCCTCAGGGCCTTAGGCTTATTTGCTCGGGCCACACTGGGATTAGCGGGTGCCTTTCGCGGCCTGAGGCAGCAAGGACGCACGTGATATCAGTGGACTGCGGGCGAGAAGTTAGTACGCTACTACAAAGCAGCAGCGTCTGCAATACTAACAATGCGATGCGAAGAGTCCGGCCAAGCGAGCTGCGAGACACCACAGCCAGGCTTCTGATCTTGCGGCCACGACACACAGACCACACGTACACACCACAATCATGAGCGAAACTGCTCGTTTGAAAAGCACCGTCTATGTCGGCGGTCTTGACCAGGCCGTCACGGCGCAAACACTTACGGAGGCTTTCCTGCCGTTCGGTGAGGTCGTCGACGTCTCGCTTCCAAAGCCTGATCTGCCGTCTTCGGCAGACAATCACAGAGGCTTCGGATATGTCGAGTTTGAATTGCCGCAGGATGCAAAGGAAGCAATCGACAACATGGACCAAAGCGAACTGTACGGACGTATCATAAAAGTTGCGGCCGCCAAGCCACAGCGAGATGCCAATGAGGGTCTTGGAAGCAAGACTGCTATCTGGGAACAGGTGAGTCATCAGCATACAATGCAGGCTGAAGCTGGCGCAATCTAACTTCCACCTTTACACAGGAGGGCTACTTGGCCAAATACGCAGTGAGCGAGGAAGACCGGAAAGGAGCAGAAGAAGCTCAGTTGACAGCCAATGGGAGGCCCGAAGACCCCATGCAAGGCCTTGAAGGGCTTGACGTCGCAGGGCCGAAGCCAGAATAGCAATGATACTAGAAAACTAAGAAGAGAAGGACAAATGAAATTCTAGGTGCACAGCGATATCTTAATATTGCTACATTGCTTTCTGCAAGCCGTTTTCGAAAATCTGGGAACCCTGCGTATATACAGAAAACGACAAACAATCTGTGAAGCTATCGGGTTTGCGCAGGGCTCGCCTACACCTCCATCCGACACTCTCTCCTTCTACCACGCACCAAAATTTGATTCCAAGGATAAGCCACTTAGTGGCCCCGGTCCTCGGGTTTGTTGCGGCTCAGGCGAAGGGTCTTGTCGGTGAAGAGCTTGCGGCCACTGGAGTAGATGGCAGCGCCGACGGCAACGCTGATGACAATACAATTAGCTCGGTTATTGAGAGCGAAGGATCGTATCCATGTATGTAGCTGATGAGAACTTACCCAAGGACGACACCTGTAGACACTGTTAGTTGGCTTTATCAAAGGAAAAGAATTAAAGGGATAAACAAATAGATAAACAAGTGGATAAATAAAACAAATTCTCAATTGGCCAAGTCTTCAACATACCGAGGGGAATCAACTCGGGAGGGATCTTCTTGAGCTGACGGATCCGTTGTGAGATGGTGTGGGCTGGCAGCAGTCAGTCGACGAGCTTCATCGGCTTGCGTGGTCAGTAGAAAGAACAATCAAGGGGGCATGTACCGCTCATGTTCTCTTTCTGTGGCTACCGGTCAGCGTACATCACATTACGAACATGCTGGGAACAGCCGAGCACGTACCGGCACCGCCATCATCGGGCGTGTGGCGCGCATGGCGAGAGGTCGAGTAGGAAACATCGTGACACGGTGCCAATGGCTGGTAGACAGCAGTTGGAGGACAGCAGCAGCGTGGTGGGAGCAGGGTCAAGGCAATGGGTGATAGTGACGTGAAGCTTTCGCAGGGTTGGATTGTCGGGCTCGGGTGGCATGGTCGTAGTGCTGGACTAGTCAGTGGCTCGGGTATGGCCTGACACTCGCGCCACGCGTGGCTAGGCTCGCTAGGCCGTTCCCGGCGCAGCAGCCAAATCTCGCAACGTCCCGTTCGCCTTCTACTCAACCACGACCACGACTCCTCCAAGCAGGACCACCACCCCTCTTACCCAGCCCAATTGCCCTTGCCCGCTTGACAACCCATCCGCAATCCATTTCAAAATGAGCGCCATCCCTGAGGCTGACCCTGATGAGCCTGTCGAGACCAAGCCCTTCAAGTTCGTGACAGGTTAGTTGCTCCCAGGTGTGGCATGGTGCAAGCTGCCGCGTCACCGGCCTTGGAAACGACGCCAATTGCTAACTACTTCACAGCTGGTGCGTTATTCTGGAGATTCTGCATGATGCCGAGCCCAATTGATCACCAATGCTTGCATCCGACCGTATCTTGCCGTCACTGCATCCGCTGACCGAGGTTATCATATAGGCTACGACGCCCGCTTTCCTCACCAGAATCAGTATGCAGCATTCCCGTCACCCATCACCATGTACTGTGGACGAGAGAACCATTGCTAAGAGCTTCTAGGACCAAGCACTGCTGGCAAAACTACGTCGACTACCACAAGTGCATTCTCGCGAAGGGCGAGGATTTCCGTCCATGCCGCCAGGTACAATCATGTCGAATGCACAACCCCTTCAGCCAAGCTAACAACCCACCAGTTCTTCCTTGCCTACCGCTCTCTTTGCCCCAAGTCCTGGACTGATCGATGGGACGACCAGCGTGGTTAGTAAACATGTCTTCTAATTGGCCGAGCGACTACTTATCCTAAACAGAGGCCGGCAACTTCCCTGCTCACCTGGAGCACTAAACAATGAAGATCTTCTCCGGCGTTTAGCTATCAGTGTGACCCTTCTGTATTCTACCGAATAGATTGGCAGAGCTTCACGTCCCGTGCCAGGGTCCATCATGAAAGCGGGAAAGTTGTACATAAAGCAGGCTTGAGTCTAAAGAATAGAATGATGTCTTGAATTGGAACTACGTATCTGACGTTCAGTTTATCGACAACATTAAACTAAGAAGTATGCAGCTTGTAAATGGCTCATACAATGGCATGTTCTATATAGTATCTAAACTCCTACCCCTCACAATTCACCAAACATGCAGAATATCAAATATGTAGGATATGAGAAATCGAACATCAGTGATAAGGACATGAAACCCCTTCCAATCAGTTCTAATCATTTCACTCAAAGGAAAGAAGAAATAAAGAAGAAATCAATCAAGCCAAAAGCCAACGTCTATATAGTATCTATCTACATTCAATGTTATTGTCCTCGGAATCCAATCGTTAGACATGCTATGGTATCAAAATGTACGAAAATCTATAACCCTTTAATCTTGCGATATATCTTCTTATGTTCTTCCAAAAATAGAAATGTTGCAATGGTATGAGGACCAAGGCGCATGAACGACGGCAACCAGCCTCGGAACATCCAGGACACGCCCTCTTTGCGGTATATTTCCTTGAGCAAATGCATGATACCGCTTTTGCTCTCGGCAGGAGACGCGCTCATAACACGGGTCTTGATGACATCGACGGGACTACAAACGGTGGTAGCCACGAAGCCAGCTGCAATTGAAGCTGTAAAATGCGCCGACAGACTATCAGGCATACCCAAGCGGTCAGTGCACATCTGTTTGAATATGTCGTACGTGACAAGCTGAGAAGCGGTCATGAGCACCGCTCGTGTAGAATTCGGCCAAACACCACGAAACAAGCTCGTGACACCCTCATCGCGAGTCATGCGAATCAAGCCATGAACGGCATTTTTATAATTTCGTCGTTGCTCAGGAGGCAAAGCTGCATCGGACTGCATGCGCACGTTGAGGACGTCAGCGGGGTTACCAGCGATGCCACCGAGAAACCCAGAGAAGCAGCCCATCCATAATAAACTGAGCAAACCCGGAGGCGCATCAGGACTGGTAAAGCGGGACTTCAACTCCTCGTAGACACCGAACCGAGTTGTTGAGTAGGTCATCTGTCGCAGAATGGCTGCGGAAAGCTGCAAAGGACATGATCAGATAATGATATTAAGGAAGGAAAGCTGCCAATCTAGCCCAAGCATACGCCACTGTATAGTCCCAGGATACCACCATTCTTAAAAACATGCACGAACGTGCCCAGCATGGACTTTGGAGATCCGGGAGCACGCGTTTGTAAGCGGACCTTGATCGGAGATGACTTGTTAGATAGTGATTGCGCAACGGCGACGGTTTTGCGAACGATATTCCTACCTTGACTATGATGAGAAACGAAAAGTCAGCAAATTTTCATGTTCAACCCTTTTTCAGAAGCCAGATCGAACGCACCGAGATCCAATGGATGCGTGACCGCGGCGGCAAAGCATGAGGCTGAGCCGCCGAACCAGAACGGGTAGTGGATTTTTTTGACGGCAGGCTTGGGTTTGCGCTGTTGTTGAGGTGCAAGAGGCGTTACCTCCGCGTGGACACTGGTGCCAACTGCCATTGTATGCCGCAGGACACAGTACACATTCCGAATGCCAGACTGCTACTTGGTAGTTATGGGGGAGGAACAACAGGAAGTAGTATTGCGGTCATAAGAAGCTTGGAAGTAGGACGACGGGCTTGAGGTGTCGGCAAGTTCCAGTTAGCCCGAGCCGGCTTCCCCCACCGAGTCGGTTTCTCGCTCGCCAGATATATGGCCGACCCAGTTCTTCAAAGACTGTCACAAGAATCGATTATCATAGTCAATGGGTCAAGGTAGGAACACGCTACATATGCTCGCTATACGTAACAAATAAGTACAGGAGTCTGCCAGAAAAGTAGATCTGCTCAGCGCGCACAAGGTGAACACATAACCACATTAGAGCAGCGACTATGATATGGTATAGTGGAGATACGAAATAAAACAGAGCAGTGCTATGATATTTATCAATGCTCTGAAGTAATATATCAGGTGATATAACAGACTAGTATATATTGACACTCAATTACCACCACACATTTAATCTCCTGTGTTATCAATCGATATTTTCAAATTTAATAGCATACTATTATTTGGTATTCAACAATCTTTATTATGATTGCGATAATATCAATTGATCCCACTTGTTGGTATCGATCTTGCAGGATTCCCCTCTTGTTAGCAGGACATCCTTAGTGATCTCCGATCCCTGTTAAGAAATGTTGACCACTTTGACGAAGATATTACAATACCTTCATCTTTTATGCGATTCCCCTGCTATCGAAGTGACCAGAATGTCCGCCCAGGGAACAATTTTCTTATTTACCAAACTTTAGTGTAAAAGGGAATTTTTTCGATTTGGTTTCCTTGTCTTTGGTTTTTAAGCTTCCAATACGTAGCCTTTCATCATATTTCTGTAACGTCGTTGGACGGTGATATTTTCGGAACTTTTTTGACGCATCTTTACCCGCTACACCTTTGAGAACTTTGAAGATCGTTGCTTAGCATGGGGTAACCACCTGAGAACTAAAGAATATACTCACTTTTTCCACCGCCTGGATGCTCCGCTAGGAAGCTTGTCACATCATACACGTTATCATTGATGATCATCCAGAAGTTGTCTGGGCCATTATGCTTGGCGACCTCAGCAGCTGTGTATGTCTTCAGTTCGCTCTCAGTGGATGGACTCTGTAATGTCTCATCTGTAGGTATAGGTGTCGCGTCATCCATGCTTGATGGAATACTAATGACTAGTAGTAGCGAATAACAATTCGAAACTTGGTATATTATCAAACATAGCTCGATTATGTTCTTCGTGACTTGAACCATGTACGACAAATGGTGGAAGAAAGAAGGGCAAAAAACATAGGAATTCACAGACGAAGAAACAAGGGGGATGAACGGCTTGTTTTTACCAACAGTAATACAGTCGGCATTATTGCTTTAACAGAACATTGGATTGCGGGGTAGACAAAAATGCGATCCGAGGAAAGTATAAACATACTACTTGGTAATAGTGCTTTCCAGACTGGGGTAGAAATCCCGACATGTAGGTGCGTAGAATTTACTTTATTTCCCTATTGATTAAGTCTTCGGGTCTATAGGCTGGGCCTTTCTCAGTAAGAAATGATCCAACATGCCATAGGGAAGAGCTGTAGTGGATGAATGAGACTAAATTCTAGTTATTAGATTAGTTCAAGGAGCCTTCATGATCTCTACAGCTATAGGTAGTGAATAAAACGTATGTAAATCAAAAGTCTTCTGATCTCATTGGAACCGGGCATTTGATATTAAACACCTTTATGGCTTGGTAATTGTTTGCCTTCCTTCTTGTTCCACCTATTAATGCTAATGGGGTAATGCTATATGTCTCGCTTAAGAACTATGAAAACATTTTGAGAACAATTTTATTAACACTTCTAGGATCATCACAACGACCAATTTCAATCTTTGCCTCGGCAGCGTTGAGCAAATAGAGCAACTTACCGATGTCGCCGCTACTACACCACTTAAGATTCGCCCACCGTGCGCTACCGGTGGTGAAACTGATTCTTCCTATAGCTTAGTCCAAATTTCTAAGCCGCTATAGTACTATCAAAATACGAAAACGCAAGGTGGGTAGACTAACCAAACATTTAGGAGGCCACCAGGGGACTATATTAGCGGTCCGAGGTTAGCTAACCCTAAACTGACTCGATATCCATCAACCCAGAGCCTACATATTGCAAAATAAATGATTGACTAGGTGTACACTGACATAATCCGTATTAAGCTCGTTCGAATGTTCCATATGGAACCGTTAATATAGACGTGTCCTCAATATATGCCGAAGCCAAATAATATTGTGAGTAAATAAGCAATTCCTCGCTTTTGTATGGTGGTACAAGTGTTTGAATCGAGTCATATAGCTCCACGGTCCGAAATGGCTCGGAGTAATAAAGATCTAAATGCGGGGATCTTTGTAGAGTACATGAAGAGGAGGAAGGAATGGAGATGGTGTGCTAGCCGGCCGATTTATAGAGAGGACTTAGTACTCCATTCATGATATCTTGATATTGTGATTAATCTTTTACATCTTTGAAAGTATAGACATACTGCATTACCAATCCTGTAAAAATATGGAACAACTACGCTCGTCTGAGTCAGATGGCTCTTTTGCTATCACTATTGAAAAAGAGTCCAGCAAACCGGAGATCTCACAATTAGAATTATTGGAACTCAGAATGGTTGCGCGTGAGAGTATTACATTGGTTGGTGGTCCAGCAGCCATCCTGCTCCAGATCGCACATCCTCTGGTCGGCCAGGGGGTCGCGGATCATAGCACATTTACTACAAGAGCCATCAGCCGAGCCGAGTACACTCAGATGTATATCTACTGCATGATATTTGGATCAACTGAAGAAAAAGCCGCCATGAAAGCCTACGTTGACAAATCCCACTCACGAGTTGTTGGCCAATATAAGAAAATCGCATACGATGCGAAAGACCCCGAACTTCAACTTTGGGTTGCGGCGACAATATATGCTTCTATGATAGGCATGTACGAATTAATTTACGGCCCTATGTTTCCCGCAAGAGCCGAGCGAGTTTACCGAGCTTTCTCAGTCATGGGTACTTCACTTCAAGTTCCACGAGAAATGTGGCCGAAGAATCTCGGTGCATTTAAGAGCTATTGGGATGACATGATTAACAACAAGCTACATGTAACCAGTGATGCTCGCGCGGTGCTGAAGGACATATTCTATCCAACCAAAAATTTACCGCTATGGGCACGACCACTTGGAATAATTGCCATGCCGTTCGTACGTTGTATTACCATTGAGCAGCTGCCGCCTCCTGTTCGGGACGAGTTCTTTTTGAGATCTACCAAAACATCCCGTGCTATATCTAGCCTCTTTATTAGTGGGATGGCGGGTGTATACCCCTTTATGCCTCTATTTCTGCGTCAATTTCCGAAGACAAATATGATGAGACAGATGAGAAAGCGTATGAAGAAACGTGGAGGCCAATTGACGAAACCTTAACATCATCTTCCAGAGCAAGTCTGTACATCGAATTTCTATGGTGACTTGTTTTTTTTTGTTTTTTTTTGGTTTTCTGATATTACCTACATACCTACATGCATGCACACTTACTGTGTTGTTTTCGGTTTTTGTAATGATATATAATGGTATGAAATTCATATCATAACCTACATATTTACTCTTGATGAAATGGCAATAACAGAACGTCGTAGTAGTACATGTTTATATATACATCAATCTTCTTTGAATTGATATATTTGTATTACATAAAGCACTTTCAACACTGTAAAGAGCTATAGATGTAATTTTGATAAACAGATTCGGATGTGAAATATATATGAGTTGTATTAATAGGCTAATTTTTAATGTGTACGTAACTTGATTTGTTGACATTTGTATCTCGACTAGTGTGAAATATAATTATTTCTTGACAGACAAAACAGTGCATAATAATGCACATCTCAATACCGTGTATAGGGTAGATGTCACCCGAGGGTCAGTGACTTAGTGGCAAGTGGCGCGGTCTCATTTATATAGAGGCCAAGATTGATGTAAGTAATGGCAGTAACTAGAGAAAGCAAATATGTTAGCATTGATAATTGAAATCTTGGAACCAGTAAGCTAAGATAACTTACTGCTACAACAGCTTTAACCAGCGGAATCGCGTTTTTCACTAGCGATGTGAGAGTATTTCCAGTAAATAGAGGCAATACTGCATTAACAAGCGCCGGTATTGAATTCAGTATTTCGCCAATGTCGTTGATGAAGTCAGGTGTCAAGATACCGACTAGGTCATTCACAAGTTTCGAAACGTAATCACCATTGAGTAACGGCAGAATACTGTTGAGAATCTTTGGCACTGCATCAAGCAATGATGACACTGCCTTGCTGCTTATGACGGATAACAAACTAGTGAGGATTGGTGGAACATCATTGAGTACTGAACCAAGATCTTTCACGAATGTCTGTGTTAGAAGATCCTTGAGAATATTCTCTCCTGGCTTAAATATGTCGTCTTCAAAAAAGGCATTATATCTTTTAGAAGTGGCGGGACCGTATTGATCAGAGACCCAACTTGACCAAGGAATTCAGTGGTCAGGAGAGTTGAAAAAACGTTTTCAATTGGCGAGAGCAGCTCATTTCCGAAAACAGGGATGATACTACGAAGGAGTGGTGGAACTGCGCTGAGTACCGTACCCACGTCATCAATGAATTGCTCAGTAACAAGGTTCGTCAAGGCCTTTTCAAGTGCCAGAATGGTGTCTACTTTCAAAATAGGAAGTAAACCCTCTATGATCTTGGGCAATCCGGCAAGGAGATTCTTAATAGTATCGCTTCCGAGAATGGGAATAACGCCTGTGACAACCGGAATTACCGCCTCAATAAAGGAAGTGAGATCGTTGACAAGTGTCGGTGTTATGACAGTGGTCAGAAGTTTTTCTACCGCATGTATGAGATCTGCACTGAAAATCGGTAAAATATCGTGCAATAGCGGTGGAATGATTCCAACGACAGTTCCAACATCGCTGATGAATTGCGGTGTGAGGAGTTGAATAACTATGTGCACTAAGGATGCAATGAGATCGCCATTTAGTAATGGCAGTATTTCCTGTACGATTGACGGCACTGATTCGATCACCGATATGATGGAATTGATAAATTGTTTTGTAAGTATCTTCAGGATAGCGTCCTCAATTGGTGGGAGAAGTGGCAAAAGGGAATTTAATAATCCAGGAACTGCAGCAAGGACATTTTGAATTCCTTTGATGAAATCCGGTGTTAAAGTCTGGATAATGAGGTTTTCAATTGATGGAACCAATGGTAGCAAGGCATTGATGACTCCTGGTACATCATCAAGCACCATTTCGATGGTCTTGATCATGTCAGCGCTAAATATCTTGGTGATGAGACCCTCGAGAGCCGGAATGAGGGGTAATAGGTCATTGATGATGCTGGGAACTGCATTGAACAGTGACTTGAGTGTCTTGATAAGCTCTGGAGTTAGAATATCTATAATAAGATTCTCAATTGACGGTAGAAGAGGCAATAGGGCATTGACTAGTCCTGGAACTGCATCAATCACTTGACTAAGTGTATTGATTAGTTCTGGTGTAATGAGATTCTTCAGAAGATCTTCAAATTTAGGAACCAGGGGTAAAAGAGTATTCAGAAGACCAGGGACTTCATTGAATAAGGATTTAAGCGCATTAATGAGATCTGGTGTGAGTATATCTTTGATAAGCTCTTCAACAGAAGGAAGAAGAGGTAAAAGAGCATTGACTAGTCCTGGAACTGCATCAATCACTTGACTAAGTGTATTGATTAGTTCTGGTGTAATAAGATTCTTCAGAAGATCTTCCAGTTTAGGAACCAGGGGTAACAGAGTATTCAGAAGACCAGGGACTTCATTGAATAAGGATTTAAGCGCATTAATGAGGTCTGGTGTGAGTATATCTTTGATAAGCTCTTCGATAGAAGGAAGAAGAGGTAAAAGAGCATTGATAACTCCTGGAACAGCGTCAATTACTTGGCCAAGCGTTTTGATTAGATCAGGAGTGATAAGCTTCTTGAGAAGATTTTCCAGAGATGGAATCAGGGGTAATAGAGTATTCAGAAGACCAGGGACTTCATTGAGTAACGACTTGATCGCGTTAATGAGGTCTGGTGTGAGTACATCTTTGATAAGCTCTTCAATAGAAGGAAGAAGAGGTAAAAGAGCATTTATAACTCCTGGGACAGCGTCGATTACTTGGCCAAGCGTGTTTATCAGAGCAGGAGTGATAAGCTTCTTGAGAAGATTTTCCAGAGATGGAATCAGGGGTAACAGAGTATTCAGAAGACCAGGGACTTCATTGAGTAACGACTTGAGCGCGTTAATGAGGTCTGGTGTGAGTACATCTTTGATAAGCTCTTCGATAGAAGGAAGAAGAGGTAAAAGAGCATTTATAACTCCCGGGACAGCATCGATTACTTGGCCAATCGTTTTGATTAGATCAGGAGTGATAAGCTTCTTGAGAAGATTTTCCAGAGATGGAACCAGGGGCAACAGGGTATTCAGAAGACCGGGGACTGTGTTGAGTAAGGACTTGATGTCATTTATAAATTGAGGTGTTAAAATGTCCTTGATGATTTCTTCCAGTGGTTGAAGAAGTGGCACTATTTCTTGGATGATTGGAGGCAACCCGCTGATTATTGACCCTATCTCCTTGATAAAGTCTGGCGTTAGAAGACTCTTCAACATTGTGACAATTGGTTCAATGATATCTGAGGTCAAGAGAGGCAGCAGGTCATGAAGGATTGGCGGTATGTCTTTGAGCAATGTTTGAATGTCACTGATAAATTCTTTTGTCAGAAGACTCTTCAGTATGTCTTCAAGAGGCGATATAAGAGGCAACAAGTTGTTTATAAGTGATGGAAGTGTCTTCAAAATGGACTTGAGTTCATCAATAAATTGAGGTGTCAATATATCAGCAATGAGTTCCTCAAGTGGCTGGATGAGAGGTACAACATCCTTAATGAGTGGTGGCAAGGCATTGACTATATCCGAAATTTCATTGATGAAGTCTGGTGTAAGGATATCCTTGAGCAGATTCACCAACGGGTTGAGTATACCAGTGTCTAGAAGAGGCAATATTTCCTTCACGATTGGCGGCAATGCTGTTAGGAGCGAGTCAATTTCAGTGATAAAGTCTGGAGCCAAAATAGACTTCACAAGGTTCCCAAGTGGCACCATCGTACTATTTTCAAAGACAGGTTGTAGGTCATGCACTAGTGGCCGTAATGCACTCAGAATTGATGACAGATCATTGAGCAATTGTGGAGTTATATTGGTTGTTATAAGGGATTCCAATGCTTTGAGTGTGTCAGTCTTCAATATCGGCATTATACCATCTATTAGTGATGGGAGAGCCTGAAGGAGCTCTTTGACATCGTCACTAGTGAGGATTTTGAATATCTCTTCGATTATCGGTGGCAGTGCAATGATATCTTGGATTATATTCTCTATATCATGCAGGAAGGTTCCATTGCCAAAGAGAGATGTAGCATCATTTCCAATCGACGAAATAAACGGTTGGGCATCCGCAATCATTGCTTTGGTGCTGTTGATAGTTTGATCATCAAACAGATTCGATGCTTGGCTTACAAGCCTTGTAGCATCTTGAATGAAAGTCGATGTAAATAGACTGTTGAAGTTTTTCAACCCATCCTCAATGTCGGATATGAAACCGCTCGAGACACCAGAGCCACTTCCTCCCAACAGACCCGATAAGAGGTCTCCGAGGTCTCCATTACTAGCTGAAGTAGTTGGTTGCGCCTGATTACCTGGACTTGCTGACGAGCTCGGGAGAGACAATGATGTCGTTGACGTAATTCTAGTTATAGAAGCAGAAGACAACGGAATCGTGGTAGGTCCTGTGGCCTGTGTGGGTTGACTTAATTTGTCAATGACTGAGGATATTATAGTTGCCACATCTGGTTCGTGTTGTACCGAGGAAGATTTATCTTTTTGGGCCACAGAAGTCGACAAACTGGAGGTATCAGCTACATTCGGGTCATTGCGTGTACCATCACCACCAGATTGTGCTGTCGCAATTGTCGTCGATAGACTAGCTGACGCAGAAGCTGTCCTTGGTCCTAGATGTTGGCTCGAGTCCACAGATGCAATAACTTGATCCGTAGACAGCAAGGCTATGAGAACAAGAGGTGTCCTCATCTTGACCAAGAGTTTGCAATGGCCAAGGACAATCCCACGAACGTGTAAAATCCGAAGGTAAAACTGGCTTGCGTAGTCAATCGTGGGCGTAGCTCTCTAGCTAAAATATTGATCTATCCTGAGCCTTACCGAGGAGCGCTTTAGTAGTATCAGCCTTTTTCTGGTTCTGCCGTGTCTACCTTTGCGGGAACCCGGCACGAAATGTCTGCTACGAAAATCATAGTCTAAAATATAATGCGGGGGAATATTTTGAAAGGAGTCCTTCTGTCCCTACTCATAGTTAAAATGTTTATTAATGTCTTAACCGCTACGCCGTATTACATTTCGGTGCAATTTTAATTTCAATATCGTCTTGGGCGGGGCGCATCCACAGCATTCTGCAATATTTGAAAGGGTGAACCGAGATAACGAGGTTAAAAATGGTCCTGGGAGCAACCTAACAGTATATCCATTAGCGCTTACCTCGTAGTCTAGTTACATGGAAAGCGTTGGGTAGGCGAGTCTTTTGGTCGGCAGCTTTAGCAAATCATGCCAACCTCGGAGCGCAGGCCGAAAACTGCGGGTCGTGCGGGGAAGGCAGGGGAAGTCCTGAGTTTATTTTAACGCTACCCAACTTTCCGGGTAGACGTGTTGCGGAGCGAAAACTATACTTGCGCTGGTGCCAGCGATATTCTATATATGGTTAGGATCAGCCTTGCCACCCAGCAAGAATATCCTAAAGTAGGAGAGATATTTACGAAACATGGCCAATAGCCAATAGCCCACATTTGCCTTCCTGTAGCTTCGCTGAGGTATAGAGTGCAACAAACATTAGGTTAGATGGCCATGAATGAACAGAAACTAAACCCAGTACTTGGTCATTTCAGCCTGTTAATGCGGGTTATAGAAATTACCACCAAGACTTGGAGGAATGAAGTATTATTACTGGGAACTAATCACATCAATTTGGTTCAATAAAGTCCCACCCTTGTCGAGAAAAAATTGTCGTTGACGAGTATTCACCCATTAGTTATACGACAGGTCTGTTTCTCTTAGTATGCTGGTAATATTCTGAATAATCCCAGAATTAGAAGAAATTAATCCAGTTATTGTTCCCAATAAAACCTGCAAGATTGGCACTTCTGTGCTAATAGTTAAGTTGTTCAGGACCTTTTCGAAGTAGGGAATATGCTGGCCATTGTAAATTGTCGAATTTCCGGATGCCGAGAGCGAAAGGTTACCATGAGTGAGAGCACCGCTTTCTGCCGATAGCAGCTTGCCAAGGTTCTGAATAATATAATTGAGGTCCAAGTTTCCACGTAGTGGCACTGTATTATTGCCAGGTCTCAGAAATACGTTCTGGATTGTTCCGTTCCCAAGAAGCATATCTCCCTCCTTCAAATTGAGAGTTACATTTCCCTGCGATGGAAAATCAGCGCTAGATCATTCACCAAGTCAAATGGGCTTTCGTACTAGACCAAATGTTACTAGCGAATAATTCGGTAACGTTGCACTTCCTATTAGGTTCGATCCGTCTTCTTTGGGCGGGAGAGCCAAACTCGCTGAATCGATTGAAAAGCCACTCAGCAAATCCAGTCCTTCAAAAACAAACAGTTAGTATACCGAATCTAAAAACGTATCAAAACAGCCTTTGTAGAAAGGCAATTACCGTTGAGTTCCACATCTTTATTCAATTTCAACGGAGCCTTTAACTTGCCAAGGCGTGCAGTTGTGGAACCAAAGGCCGATAAGGTGAAGGTTTTTGAGTAAACCGCCTCAGACAAAAATTGAGTAAATTGGTCCTCATCCAGAATTTTCGTAGTCTGATTGGTAATGGTAATATTGGATTTGCCCTTAAGGTGAAACCCTGAGAGTGGTATTGTCAAATATGGCTGCATTGGCTGTACGTCTCTGTTGAAAAGGCTGAGGTTGAACGGATCAATATTAACAGTTAGGCCAAGTGGAACGTCCAAGGATGCAGAGAGAGAGAATGTGATGCCATCCAGGGTGGGATCAAGGACTTCCACTGAATAAATTGGAATGGATGCATCATCGACTAGCCTTTGCGCAATAGCCGGGAAAATGACAAGAAAGCTGGACACAATATCAGGATCACGAAACGGAAAGGAGCTCCATGGCTTTTACTTACAAAACAGGAAGAAATACGGCCAGAAAAACAAATCCAAGGATTCCATAGCAGAGCCAATATCGTTTGAAATGCCTCCAAATCCCGGGCCAAAACCCTCTCGATTTCTTGTATCCCAGTCCTCTGCCTGTTGATTCTCTACCTTTTGATCCTACACCTGTACCACCATTGTTGGAACTGGATTCTTCTTGGACTTGCTTGCCCTTCTCAGAAACCAGCGAGTCAACTGAATTTTTCCGTGTTCCTCCATTATCGTATGATCGAAATGAATCACCAATGGGCATGATGAGTCGTCTTTTTCTGTGATTTATTTCCCAGTTAAGCACTAGTATGAGTCATTAAAGGTCGCAGGAGTTTTTAAAAGGTTTCAAAATCCTCCATCTAAAAGTATTTTATAGCTAGGGGATATATGCATCTCTGGATCTAAAGTAAGCTACACGTCTTTAGGATCTAGTTAATTCAATTAATTCCGAATTCATCACGAGTTTTACGAGCGGTCTCCTTTTAGGCTTAGTGACGACAGTTGTGCTACGGAAAGAAATAAAAAGGCAAACTGAAATCATGTAACATTGATCATCGTTCACTGCCGCGGTAGGCGAACCTCGGTTAGGCACCACTTCAACTGTCTATTCCATTATGGCAAGGTTTACATGGAATTTCTTAAATTTATACGAAACATAATCCAGTCATAAAAGAGTTTTTCCATGCTACTGAATTTCGCTCTCACTTCTAGCAACTTCTCCCAAGTTATAACACGAACCAGTTAATTGTCAATCTGTTCCATTCTATACTCGTTATTCAGTGTCCATTTCGATGATAAAAGAGCCCAAAATGGAGTTAGAACCCCATAAAATTCCACAATCCATTCAGGACAAAAGCGTGGAATCCCGAGAATCACATTTCAAAGAAAAAGGGTTGGACCTTGTGCCTAATGATGAGTTACTCAACAATCTCCAGGAGACACGAGAAGTACAAAAGGTCGTCCGAGAAGGAATATTACTTGCTACTGGTGCTGTAGCCATTTTGTTACAGGTAGCCATGCCTGGGGTTGCAAAAGGTGTCGATAATCATAGCAGTTTCGCTTATCGCCCGTTGCATCGACTTCGGACCACCCTGACATTTGTCTACTGCATGGCATTTGGAACAAAAGACGAAAAAAAGGCCATCATTGAATTTGTCAATCGAGCCCATGCTGAAGTTAAAGGCCCTGACTATTCTGCTGATGATCCGGAGCTTCAGATGTGGGTTGCCGCTACACTTTACGCTAGCGGTATCTATATGTATGAGGAGGTATATGGAACCATAGACCCCAGAAGGGCAGATACTATATACGAGGAGTACTCAGTCCTCGCGATATCTCTCCGTGTCCCGCCTGAGATGTGGCCCAAAAACCGCAAAGCATTCTGGCAATACTGGGACACCACAGTAGCACAACTTGAAGTCACTAGTCACGCGCAAAACATTGCGAAAGACCTCCTTTACAACAAGCATATGTTTCTTCCATTAAGGCTGGCCTTGCCAATAGTCCGATTGATGACGGCTCAAATGCTTCCTGATCGGGTGCGTGAACAGTATGGCCTGAAAACAGGGCGCATCCGGAGAACTATGTACAAATCCATCATGCTAGGAGTGCAAATCGCATACCCAATTACACCAAGGTTTATCCGCACAATTCCTATGAAGTATTACATGAGAGATATGCGTCGCAGAATGAGAAACATGGTTTGAAGGCTGATGGCGCTCGCTCCGGCGCTTGTATGGATGGTAGACATGTCTTGTCATCATACGGGGTTTTTGTTTCCTTTTTTCCTTCAATTAACTGTTTCTTCTCAGTCTTGTATGTTTCAACTAGTAACCAGAGTACGGAATCGTTTGTAATCAATTGAACATTTAGAACATCGATCAACCCCCAGTCGTTGTTTCTAGGGCATGCTCGAATCACATGAGATCTTCTGCGGCCAAGTTACTAACGGCAACGCCGTCGTACCTTGGCCTTCTTCGATCCGCGACCAATAACTGTCGGCCATAAAATCGACTGTCACCGCAAAACAGACACACTTGAATTCTTAGGGCTTAGGTCATAACTCGGCACTTATGTGAGCCGACCACCACAAGTACTTTACGTGCGGGGTAGCCAGCCGCACTTCCGAAACGGTCAGCAAACCTTGGATTACTGAGTTGTGGGGGAAAAACAAACTAGAGCGTCGGATGTACCACGTTCTTGGCTGGGGCGGTGCTCTTGATCAGCTAGCGGCTTGCATGATGGCCGTGCGGTTGAACTAGTAATACGCCAATAAAGCCACTGTCAAAATGACGAAAAAGATTCAAATATAACAAAAAGATTCGGTCAATTCCGACACCCAGCCACTAACTTTAGTCTACACCCGCCAGCCCTCCGAGACACCCCGCTCAACCTCAACCCGCAGTCACGGCTCTGAGCTTGATGAACTAACCGAGTGAGCTGGTCATATTATACGGTATCATGTGGTTTTTTCCGAAAACTGAGATCTTAGCTAGCTCTTTCGCCTTTTTCTTCGGCTTGTTGTCATGCTTATTCTCATCGAAGGAACTTGCATCAGGCGGCCTGAATGTATCTGGCCTGACAATTAAAATTCCCTAATTAGATACAATTGCAATTTTCGGTTCCAGCTTTAGGATCAGACACCGATGACCCTTAAGAGGGGTCAAAAACATTAAAAGCTTAAACTACTCTCATTAACTATCTAGATATTTGATTTGCAATGTTTCTTTGGCTTGGTCATATATAGATGGAGAAAAGAAGAAGTCATGTTATCTCGAGGATAATTCTATTTCCACTTCCTTCCCAATACGATGAGTCTCGCAGACTCTTCTGCGAAATACATTCACACAAAGCGGCTTATTCAACAGTTGTTGTTCAATTCATTGGGAAGAGGAAAATGCGTCTCAGACCGACTATGGCCACCAGAACAGAAAAGACTCAAAGTATTCAAGAGGTAACTATAGCAATGATTAGCAGATCTCAATCCACTGTAGATAACGACCATAAACATACAATATAGGACGACAACTGCTACAAAAACGATTACAGAGCACATGTAAGCAAGTAATCGTTCCAGCAGACTTTTCACCGCATCCCATCTGTATCTTGAAAGGCCTAACGTGTACGGCCCATCGGCCGCCTCGAGATCTACACCACTCTCCTTGCGAGATAGGAGCAAATCGAGCTTTTCAGAGAATTTGGTTACTTCGAGTCTCTGCATAGTCCCCCAAGTCTTCGAAATTTCAGCTTCATTAACACTTGGCTGATGTCGCACTAAGTCTAGTGGTTAATCCCTAGAGTCAGGTGGACTTTGGTGGTATTATCGAGATACAACGGCGGGGTTATTGAAGTGAAGCTGAATTGCAATCTGTGTCGTCTAATTCTTAATTTTCCTCCGCGGAGACAGGATATTATCGATGGATACTAATTGATATATTGGATCCCCATCATGATACTATCATAATCCATGAATCACATGCTACGTAGAGTTATAATATAGAGAGTCTGGGCCAACCCCAGCCATTCCTGTGCCATTCCTCGGCTTTCAGAGATTTGAACCTAAGTCTAGCTACCGAGTAAAGGTATTGTTGTGAGTATGTCTATTACTAAACGCGGCGAGTTTCTATATTTCTTAGGACGAACTTCCGCATGCGGTACCGTTTTAGCTCAGAGGATTAAAGTTTACCAACAGGGGCTCTAGCTAAATTGCCATGCGGGGTTACGATGAACATGACTCGACTCGAACGCCAAAGTTAGACAAACCGAGAAAACTGGTACCTAAAGTGGAAAAAAATACTCCGCGCGACTAGTGCTTACTGCTTGCATGGAGCGGTCCGAGGCAAGCATGCATAACTAGTGTGGTGTTTCCGAAATCCGCGCATTCAATCCTGAGTTGCATCTGACAACAAGGGAAGAGAAAGCACCAGAAAGCACCTTACGAACATCTCCGTTCTAGCCCCCCTATTATTAGTGTTGTGTTGGATCAAGATATACAGATAGTTTTGAATCAAGGCTTCCTTTCAGTATCAATGACCCTTTATCTCTAGTATAAGCGCATCTAGGAAGCGACTGCTATCATCCATATCTTGTACGTGAGATGGATCAGGAGAAGATTTCGCGGCGAATGGAAAGACGCATTCGCAGAGCTGCTGCAGCCTGCTACCGCTGTCACTATCGCAAGGTTCGCTGTGATGCCGCGATTCTAGGTCACCCCTGCACCAACTGTGCTCTGGACGGAAGATCAGATTGCACTTTGCGTCCCAACGCAACATCACGTTACAAAAATCTTCATCCGGAAACTCGAGATTTCTCACAAAAGTCACCAGCTATGGAGGGCTGCAAGAGCCAAGCCCAAGGACCTATAAACAACGAAAACGAACGTACATCTAGATCCGTTGCACCTACATCGCAACCTCCTATCGTTTTTGCATCAGCAGCGAACAACGATCTTATACCTACATCTCATTTCAAAATCATTCAGTCAGAAAATCATACCGCCACACAAAGTCCAATTGTCGCTGTTGATAGCTATGAGCACCAAACCCAAGATTCGATAAGTAGCGAACACGATCATACTTCTGAATCAATCACACACACATCACAAAACTTTACCCATTTCGAATCAGTAGTTTCTAACGACCATATAACAAGCGTCTTTCCGCTTGACCTTGAAATTGCATGCCCAGAACTTCCTATATCCGATATCGATTTTGTGGATTTGATACCCGAGGATCATGACTCCATTTTCTCTGGCCAGCACTTCTTGGACTTCGACCGTCTATCTTCTCTTCCAATGGAAAATGTACACAGCCTTGCGATAAATGGTTGCTTGGAGATTATACCAAAAGCTGCTATCGACATATTTGCCAAAAAGTACTTTTTACTAATCCATCCACTTGTACCCGTCTTGGATGAGGCACATTTCTGGAATATTTATCTGAAGTCTCATAAGAACTTGGTGCACTCGCAGAAAATGTCTTTATTTGTTTTTCAGGCAATGCTTGTAGCAAGTTGTCCAGTGCGTGTCTCTTGGTTTCTCTCAGTCTACAAGTCATCCGATTAACAGAAACTGAATATTGTGATATAGTATGTACCTCTTGGCATCATACACCAGTGCGGTTTTCGCGGGATTCATGACGCACGAAGAGCGCTTTACAGTCGTGCTAAGGTTTGTTTTCTTGCCTGAAATACGCTCGTCATATCGAAATAACTATTTTTAACATCCTATAGCATCTCTATGACACAAATTTCGAGAGTGACCCTCTAGCTAGAGCGCAAGGAGCGCTGCTGCTCACATTTCATACCACTGCCGAGGACCCGCAAGCTACGATGACTTGGAACCTATGTGCACTCCAAAATGCTTTGTCTACCGGAAATTATCCAAACACATCCATTCATTATCCCATGAAGCCAATGATCAAACGGTTATGGTGGTCTATATTCGTACGGGATCGGATTCTCTGGCTGGGGCGACATCACTGTCCACGATTTATTTCCGCAAACTTCAAGTTGAAAATTGGATACCCAGAAGAAGATGATTTCAGAGACGAAATAACGACTTCTCAAGTTTATGATCCAGGTGATAAGTGTCTTCTTGTGAAGATTTTCCAAGCACAATGTCGCCTGGCAGTTATCTTGTCGGATATCATTTCTATTGCTTTCCCTGCCTCTGATGGTTTTGTTCCTTCTTTTTCTGGGGAGGACCTCCGTAGGGAGTTGACAAAAACCAAAAAGTTAAAAACAAAACTTTTACAGAATGAACAGGATTCCTTTCCTGCGCAATACCAGACCAACCTGCCCGAACATGAAAGCATCACAATCCTTGTTCGTCTAACTTTAATGCATTATCAGTAAGTGCGCTATTGTTGTCCTCTGGAATTCATGAGGAATGATACTAAGCGTTTATAGAACAGCACGCATTACATTGGCACACTACGAAACTCTCCTCGTAGAAAATCACCTTAGCTTACTAAAAGACGAGTCGGCCACAATGTTAATGACAATCGCAGCAGACTTGAGTAGCGCAAATCATCAAATCGTTCAAACTATGGAATATTTTGCCTCTGAAAATCTCCTTGAAAGCATACCCCTTAGTGTGTAAGTATCAATTCCACTACCAAGCACCCTTTTGTTCTGGATTCAGATGCCTCGAGTGCGAGTAGCGCGGTAACTTACAGTGGTCATAGACTCGCTTACTGCGGCACACCAATGGTTTTAGCAGCAATTGATGTGAAGCTTTCAGCATCATATTCAGAAATGGCTGACCGGAAGCGCTCCCTAGATAACTTTTCTGAAATAATCCGCCGATCTCGAAAAATTTACGATGTCACTGATTTCTTTTCCGAAGGCACCAACAATATTCTGCAGCTAGCATACGCAATCACAAAGGAACTCTTCATTCAAACAGAACCACACAAAACATCATCAATAACAACATCAACCGAATATTCTGATCGCTTGGCTACTTACCTCAAGCCACATGACCAATTCAGAACCTCTTCTCAAAGCCCTCGTGTCAGCAACTGGACCGAAGCCTTTCTACGATACCCTCGCGCCTATCTGCGTATATCCACGTGCATTGATTATAGCCTTGCGACTGGTCGTCTTCCACGAGATGAATGTCTCCCCCCGCTGGTCCGTCATACAACCTCCATGATACTAGGGATTCCTAAGCTTCCATGGACCCTGACATTGAACGATGAAATGAATGATGATCAGACTATTTCACCCACCCGAAAACCCAGTGGCGGCTCGTCCATGAATGACCCGTGGTACCTGACAATGCTACACAAATTGAACACCGAAACTATAGATGATAAGATTGATTCTCCTACCAAGCAATTTAATGGTAGCTATTCCAATGATGACGACTGGTGTCAAGTATTTTTACGAAACGGAATTGGCAGTTCTGTTGGGCTACAAGGTGGTAATATTGTGGAAGAAATTCCTTATAATAGTTCCGGTGGTATCATTGAACAATCTATTGATGAGAGCGACCATGACGAAAATGAACCAACCAATACATATTTGGACTATTTTGACTTCAACACTGCTAGAAAAAAGCTGCAAAAATAGTTTTCAAATTAATTTTAATACCCTATGTCTGGCCCGAAATTCTTTTGTCGACAGAGACATTGAGTCGTGAGGATACTTGGACATTATTTATATGTATTCAAAAAAAAGGATTCTATGGTCTACTTCAACTCCGTGAAGCAGATATTAGGCCTAAGTATAAACACGGTATTAGCTGAATATTCATTGTGATTTACGTCAACTTCTACTAGAACTTCAGAACCTCAGGGGTAGTACAGCAAATCTTTTAATAATATAGTAGTAGGATAATATTACTTTCCTACAACATTCCTTCAGTTGGATCGGGCATATATGACTACGGAATGTCTTCTCTTTCTGGGGCATCGTAAAGGAGGAATCGTGCCGTTAGGCCAAGTACTCGGGATTACTTGCCTCGGACCACTCTGTAATCTGGGGTAATATTTTTATTCAGTGAGCGTCACTCTAACCACACTAAATTAGCTGCTTTATTAGTCTTGTTCCTTGCCTTGGACCGCTAAACTGATGGTCACATGAGAAATGGATCACGCAGAATAGCCAACATGTTGAATATACGCTAGTAGTGCACAATATAATTAGTTTCTGAGATTCTATTTCGGAATGTAATACAAACAAAAATAAATCAATTTTCTTTATACTATTCTAGACTATTATACCGAGCTTCATTACACCACAAAGTGCTGACTGAGAATGATTCTCACGGCACTCTCTGTGCTTGCGCGCCTGGGCGTACTTGCTGCATCAATCATTGTTCTAGGCTTAAATGGCAAGTTCATTCAAAATCAAGCATGGGCCACAGGACCTTTGATATACATCGAAGTGATTGCTGCAGTCAGTGCCGTGGCAGCAATTATACCACCTTTTCCTAATTTTCTATTCGATTTGATACTTTTTGTGGCATTAATATTAGCCGCTATCTTTGCACTGGTTGTGCAAGTATGATTCCTCCCTTTACTTATTCTCTTGAATATAGTCAGTATCATATTTATGGCACTCAATAACAATTTTGTTCATTAGGTCTTCGAGTCAACCTGCTATGGATTCCGAACGGATAGCGGATTGTCTTGCGCAGCGTACAAAGCTGGGACTGCTTTTGCATTTTTAGCGTCCTTTGCATGGCTTGCAAGTGCAGCTTTTGTTCGTCTGGTTCCTTTGTAGATCTTGTCACATCTACAGTCTAGACTGATATCCATAATACTTCAGGGAGGTATCCGCATTTTAGGGAGTATATTTAAAATTAGTTCGAACATAAACCGACCGTAAGCCAAATTTACTTCACATGATTGTAAAAGCAATGACATATGCAGCTGACAGCCGTTTAAAAACAGTATCCATATCGGGGCGGATCGACGAATTGAAGATGGAAAATCCCCTAGTAATGATATGAAGAAGAAAATAAAGTCAGATGATCTTATATAATAAATAACATGTGTTTAGGGTCCAACTAACTCGTGAGAAGAGGACTTGGAAACAACCATATTGCAAAATATTTTGTGTGTTATGGGCTTCTTGCTGTCGTGTTAGTTGCTGTTGGACTTGCAATGCTGTGAGTGACATGTCAGGGCTTCCATAATACAGAGAAATTCTGTATCCCTCCTACTTCAGCAGCCTAGACTCATTCACTTGCAAAAATAATACAGATTTCTCTTCGCAGCTCCTGCATTTGGCGAGTATCTTCTCGCCCGAGTACCCATGCCGAACGTGAATATAACCTTATCACACCCTGCCAATAACAGTATCTCTTTTACTGTGACCAGCAACGTCACTGTGCCAGACAGGCTAAAAGTTAACGTCGATTCAACTACAATATCTTTCTATCAGGAAGGCCCTGAACCAGGCACCTATCCCTTCGCAGTAACACATTTGCCACGCCTAACTTGGGATTCTAACCAGCGGGTCGGAGTTGAAAATCAGACACTTATTTTACAGAATATTACCGAATTCACAAAACTGATTTACCAGGTAGCCTACTATCCTACATTCAGGGTATCGGGTCGAGCTAGAGCCAAGATTCATGTTGGTCCATTAAATACTTGGGTGAACCTGTACAAGATTGTCACGTTGAATGGTGAGCACAATGCCATTAATCCATGCAGAAGCTACAATGATTAACAGCAATACAGGGTTCAATAACTTCACTGGATTTGATATCAACAAAATAGGAACACACAAACCCGATGCGAACGGCTACGACGTAGACGGCCAGGTCATTGTTTTCAATCCAGCTCCAGCAAGCGTCACATTAGTAAATTTTTAACACTCTTCCCTGATGTACCGATGACACTAACTCCATATTACTCCAATCAGGGAAACATGACGTTGGCAGTCTCAGTTGGTGGTATCCAACTCGGAGAGGCAGTCGTAACAGTGAACAATATCGTACCTGGAAATAACACAATTAACGTCAAAGCTAAGCTAAATGCTACAAGTGTGCGCAACAATATTCTTCCTGTACTCCAAACAGAGATGCCATACCTCCGACAAGAACTTGTAGTGGCCTCTGCATCCGGTCTGTCGGTGGTATACGAAGGACAGCATCTACCATATTGGGAGAAGGCATTCCAGGCGTTGACGATTTCTGCTACTAATCCCGTCATACCACTTCTACAGCTTCTTGTCAATGGTACTCTAAACAATATGCTTGGGGAGAACCAGTTTCTCAGTCCGATACTGAATGCATTGTTGGGTACGCTTGTTAGCTCTATCAACAGTATACCGGAAGAAGATGAAGCTGGATTTGAGGAAGCTGTGAGCAGCCTTGGAGAACTCATTATCAGAGTATTGTCGAATTTAGGGTTAATATAGCTACCCCTAGCTGGACTTATTACATACCAATGTAATTGTAGAAAGTATATATCGAAATAGTGTCATTCGTTCAACATAATCAGTACAATGCTTCCAATAATTGCCAATACATCAATAGAGATAGATAAATGCAACAATATACCTAGGAGGAGAAACTTTTGAGTGTTCAAACTCGCATGAAGTGATAATTCCTGTGAAAACTGGGGATACCAAATTCTTTCCTATTTGACTCATCGCACATTGCTTCCAATCAATTATCTATGTTACTCCTACTGCGCGCTTGAAATCCGTACCCATTGCGTAATGGCGCTGCGAAACTGTGTTCTGGGATAAGGTAATCGCGATCGGTTGGCGAGCTGCCAGACACAAACGAAACGGTTCTCAAAGATTGTGATTGATCGGAGAAGCAACAGTCTGTTCTTGGAGACGGAAGTGAAGGACTGACCAAAGCACTCTTTCTTTCCGAATCAGATAGAACAGTTTCCAATGGCAGCATGATTATTTGTGAGTTGGAACCATTTTGATTCTTGACCTTTCTTCCTGATTGGGATTTCAGAAGTTGCCTCCAACCTTGAATCATGGATGAACGAAAGGTCAAAATGATTCCCCATATTCCACATATCTAACTTCACGTTAAAATACTGAACGTATAGTATTAGGAAAGGTAAACGAGTGCAACAGAAAGATCTAGCACTCACAGCAAACAGGAAGAATACGCTCACAACGAGGTGCTCACTTGGACTGAGCCCAGCGATATACATACTGCAAATCTTTTCATCTCCAAATTTCGATAGGCAGTTGATCCATGGGATGATTTTATCAGTTGGAGAGGTATAAATCTTATTCACGCTGAGAAAAACTCCGGAGAAGAGTGCCACATGGAGAAGTGCGATAAGAACTATTGCAATAGAACGCCATTGCATACCAAGAATATTTTTGATCCGCAAGAAAGCATCGTGTAATTCATGATGTCCATCTTGCCGGGGTGATGAGTTTGGGGCCCCCGGAAATATCTTCGCGCGATCTTTATAGATCTGGTGAATAACGACTCGCACACAGTAGATTAATGTCCATGACTGAAGTATGATAATAAGCCCCGCGAGAGTGAGAAGTGGAACCCAGAATGTTCCCAAGCTCTTACTTGGATTAACGTAACAGACATTGCCCAGTTGGTAGGAGACCCCAGTGACGGCAATATCCAGCACAATGAAGACAGTCGAAAAGAGTGAAATGCTTGCTAATGAGACAAACATGAACTTGCGACCGATTCCCCTCTCCCAAACAACGTGCAAATGAAATGATAATGCTCGAAAGAAACCTAAATATAGATTAGGGCCAAGGCTAGATGTATAAAATATTATATGCCAAGGAGCCTTTGCATTAAAATGGTAAGACGGCAAGGTGTGCACTTACAGGTAAAAGCCACTATCCAGATACCCAAAATGAGCAATATCCCAGTGGTAGCACACATAGTGTCAGAGTAATTGTCATTGGGGGTGATATCGTCATAGCATTGCTCTGGAGAGTGCGAGAGAGAGACGATAAATGCCATCTGCATGCAGGAAATTAATAAGTGCCTAACTCGATTGATGTTTTTCAGGTAATGGGTTGCCGTACAGAGAATATCACGAACCCGAAACCAGCCGAACTGGTGAGATAGTGACGATGGGTCACTTTCGGTGGCAGGACAACGAACGTAATGGCAAATAAAATAAACAAAAATAGGATGGCAGCGGAGCACCAGCTAGCGAGATCCAACTTCTTTGTAAATTCTATATTCAAAGAGATCATAGTTAGAATCCCTTTTATGAGCGTGAGGAGATGCCTACCTTTGGAAAACCGGAAAGCCGCAGCTGGACATGGCAGGCAGCATGATACGGAATTAGACTCAAATAAGAATTCTCTACACCAACGGCCAGCTATGTCTAAAAAGTCCAGCATATCAGAAAATATTTGGTTTAGACACGACTACCTTGCTACTCACATCCACCCATTTTTGGAAACTTTTCCTCCCCAACGAAAGGAGCAGGGCAGGCAATCTCTTGGGGAGCGTGAACCATTATAAAACAGCTTATGCTCCGCGGGTAGAATATTATTTTATACAAGGATCCGAGGCGAGGGCTGAAATCCCGGTGTAGAAAGGTGCAAAGCACTCTGCCTAGGACAGGTTTAACCTGTGTTGATACAGTAAGGCTGAACAAGTATCCTGGTGTTCAGATTTGTAAAATCTTTCTCATTACTTTTTCGGATATTTTACGGTCAGCCCAATTCATAATCCAAGTCCTTACCTACTTGAACAGGTGGGGGGATGGTGCACAGCCAGCTCCCCCGCGTTATGCTTCCCCGGATATCAAAAAGGCCATCTGGGGTTGACGAAAAGCTTCGTCAACATAGCAGTCTAGGCCCCCGAATCACCGAAAGAATCTACAAGACTCTAAAATCACAAAGGCTACCCCGCTAACGGTCATGCAGGCGTCAGGAAAGTTTCTTGAGCGGTCCGAGGTCCACGGACCCCTATTCCATCGGGGTGAGTTCATAGCAGATTTCATCCAGCCAGCGTAGAAGACCATCTACGTTATTTACATGGAAGACTGGTCAACGACCTAAGGGGTCGGAATGCATAGATTTATTACTTAATACCGCTAATATTTTATTAAATTATGATAATTTGATTTTTAATATCGATGTAGACTTTAATTGTACATCATGTGCTGTTGCTGTTGGATGGTTTCAACATGGTGAAGCCCCTTAGACCATGACTAGAACTTCTACTATACAATACATCAACCCTATCGAAGCTCAACGCCGATCAGTTCTACAAGACTCTTTCGAACTTTTTCGTGCACCTCGTTGGCTTCTTCGTTTGTTACCGTGTGCTTCAAGCTTCGATAATTGATTCGATAACAAAGGCTTTTCCTGCCAGTTTTGGGATGCACAAACTCATCAACAAGTTTGACGTCTTCGGCCATGTCTCCGGCACAATCACGCACTATTTCCATCATGTCATTGTCGTGGAAGGGCATAGCACCGCCGGCAGCGCTTGCCCCTGTACCACTTGCAGTTGCTGATTGTAACCAGAAGGCGACGTCTTTATAGCACCCAGGATATTTAGAGAACGGTTGAAATCGCACTATCTTTCCCTCTCTGAATTGGTTAATAAATCGCGGGTCTGCCGACCAGAACAGACGAATATCCGGGATGTTGAATAGAAGCATGGCGATGCGCTCCAGTCCCAACCCAAACGCCCAGCCAACGCGGTCAGGGACGCCAGAATTGTTGAGTAGTTCTTGTTTGATGACACCACAGCCGAGTACTTCTAGCCAGTCGCCCTGCCAAAAAACCTCCAATTCCCATGACGGACTAGTGAACGGAAAATATGCTTCAACCCACCGGATTTTCAAAGGCTCCTGGAGTTGTTCTTCCCCGGCTTTCATGGCGTTACTAGTAGCCTTAGAAGCCTCTATGAAAATCTTTACAACGACATTTTCCAACGACCGTTTGAGATGGGCTGCAACAGCTTCCACTTCCTCTTGGCTGTGGAACTGCGACTGAAGCGGGTTGCGCTCTGGGTGCGTCACTGGGTTTGGGTCTTCAACCTCAACTCCATGCGCAGGAAGCTTTTCAAAATCCTTCAAAATCTGCGCGGCACTTTCGGCGGCCGACATTCCCTCGTGACGCTTCCACAGCCGAGCCCCCTCCATTTGATGGAAAACTGGATAGTGACTGCGATCAATCGCATCGCGACGATAAACGTCTGCTACCACCGTATACCCTTCCTCTTGATTCTCATTGCTACTCATCCGCCGAAAGTAATCTGCCTGGTGTGCGCTGGTATGAGTTCGAAGGACTGTTTTCTCGTTCAGGTAGTACGTATCCGAGCGACTCCGTCCGGGGTGGTCTGAGGGAAATCCGAGGACATCAAAATTCTGCTCGGTCGTAACGATGGGGAAAGGTTCTGAGTAATTCCCATAGACAGGACCAGGAAATTGACTTTCGATCAATCTTCTTGTCAGATCGAGTGGATGGTTTGGTTGAAGATAGATATGGCGATTAATGTGAGACAGAATATGGGGAGGAGTGTTTGTCCATTTATCGACGGCGTAGCTATTACCGTCAACCTTTGTTGCTTTCCTATCGTGCAATTGTGTTGAGTCGAGCGCAGAATGTGTATTGGCGCTCGCTTTGTTGGGGGCGGTGGTAGTGATAAATCGAAGAGCCGAGTCATTAACAGGCGTAAACAATGCGAATGTCGCTCCCCTACTACCGCTGTAAGCAGGCCCAATTAACCACCTAGCGCGGCCCAATCTTAGGGCTCTACCCGTAGCAATCAGTCGCATTTTTGAGGGGCCTCCAATCGCCCAGAAATCAGGCAGAGATTTTGGGTCTTTGATGCTGACTTGGGCTCCGCGTTCTCGGGACTTTTTCCTCCTACGGAGCTCGGTGCGGGTCAACTATGACACCGATCTAGTATGAATTTTGTCAACAACTTCTTTCGCGGTGTTCATATTTACAAAGTCAAGTGGATACATTGGATTGACTTGAGCATTAATTGAGACTACATTAAAACTGGTATATGATCGATCTATTTCCACCTTCATAGTAAGTCGCCTTTTGTTCCCAGCATGAAACCCTAGGTCTATACCAACAACTAATCGCTCATAATGAACAAGATATCAAGCCAATATAAGTAGTAATAGAAATTGATACACGGCAAGTATGCCACCACCGGCTGCTGCTCACATGTCAATGCACCGCCAGAAAATAAGGATGTTCCAAGGACAAAACAGATATTTATGATGTCACAGAGAGGAGAGTGTCGTCAAGAGCAGGATAGTGTTCGAAGATAATTTACACGTCAAACGAATTAATAGATGCATATTCCACGCGATATAGTACACCACCAGGCCGTCCATAGCCAAATAGGTGGATCTTTGATGTTTCAAGCGCAGCCGAGAATAACGCGGTATTCATGAAAGGGTTTCCATAAAGTAATCATGCCGTATTGTACAGTTCAAGCAAAAAAAAAAGCCCGTTATATCAAGTTTCAGAAGAGAAATCGGGTTGTAAAGGTATCGAAATCGAAAAGTTTTCTAATCGTTCTTGACAACACCAACCTTGGCGGCCTAAATATGCTCGAGTCAGTGACTGGGAGTGGTATGATAAGAAAGTAATGACTTACGCGCAGCACTCGCCCGTTCAAGCTGTAGCCCTTGCTTTGAACATACATGATGTCGCCGTCCTCCTTATCAGCGGCTTTGGCCATGAAGGTGGCCTCGTGAAGCTTGGGGTTGAACTTTTGAGTTTTGCCTTCAACCAGCTCAGCAGGGTCAAAGCGTTCTAATCCATGCTTCTTCAGTGTGCCCATCAAGATATTCTCAGTCATTTTGAGACCTTGATGAAGATCTTGAAGATCCTTGTTGGCCTCGGCCTGAGCAGCAGTGAGCTTGTCAGCTGGGACAACAGAGAGAGCACGATCAAAATTGTCAATGGACTCGAGAAGGTCGACAGCAAATCTCTGGATGGCAAATATGCGAGCACTATCAATATCACGCTTAGTCCGTTCTTGGAGATTTCGGAAGTCGGCAACCGAGCGTAGGTATTTGTCCTTTCGACGCAAGTTAGCTCATTTTGTATGAGAAGCCTTTACAAGTAGTAGTGCAAGGGAAATAATTTGCCGCTTACTTTCAAATCGACCACCTCCTTGTTCTTCGCTTCCAATTCTTTTTTGAAGGCATCTTCGGGGCTCTCGGCTTCTTTTCCATTGCCGTCACCATTGTCCTTCTTGGCCTCTTCCTTGTTTGCGGTCTCGTTTTGCGTCGAGTAAAGGCGAAGCGGAGAAACGCTGAAAGGGGCCTGCTTAAGGCAAAGCTGTTGAAGTGGTGACGCTTGCCTAAACGGCGCTTGTGATGAAAATGTGGAAGGGGATATTGACCATGCAGATTGCACTGCTCGGCGCTGTCTCAGGATGATGCGCTGCAACATTGTTGGATGCGGATTGGTTCCGTTAGTAATGGGTATTAGAGCAGATCTTGGATTTGCTCTTTCGCAAAGTAAAAGAAAAAAGCCCAGGTGATATGACAAAAATGCTGTTGGGGGAGCTTGCACCGGCGGCGTCGCATGACAACTTGCTCCAAAAATTAATTACCTGCTGGAAAAACGACGGGCCGAGTATCTAGTGTTACGTAATCGACAGCTGCTTTGGCCCAACAAGTTATGTTCAAATGTTCAATAATTGCGAACTCGGTAATTGGAAAATAAATTTCAGGAGGCGTGGAGAGAGGTAAGGGCCTACTTTCTGTCTATCCAAAGGAGGATGTAGGCGGTTCCGCGAGTTTCGATAAGTATATATCACCATTTACGCCGCTACATATATAACATGTATGTAGTCGGTTAGCTCAGTTGGTTCAAATGTTCAAATGTTTAGAGCATGAATGGATCAATCTCCTATTGATAAACGATAAATAATATAAAAATAGTCCTTCTAGGCGGTGCTAATAGCCTTGTTATACGCCAGGATCGCGGGTTTCCGCCCCGATGGACGAACTTGCGTACTGAAAGTCCACGGAATGTATACATTACATGTATTGACGAGAAGTAGCAGTGAAACAGCCAGGGATTGCCTGCACTATATCATCAATTGATGCTGGGGCAAGTCAGGACGAGCCCCTGTAAACCCGAGAAGGGTAGTAACTTCCCAAAACAGCAGGTGGCGGTGACAAGTTATGTCATCGTTGATACCACCGCCACGGTTACTGCCAGTAACTACCATCTGCCTCTCGCACTTCCACACTCGACTTTTAACCACCTCCAGATTCCAGCCTTCTCTCATATCGGTAGTGTTCCATTACCCAGCCAGCAAGCCCTCGCCAGCATGACAACCTTCGCTGCGCAGCCGTCGCCGTCCTACGACCCTTCCTCCACCTCCTCAGAATCATCCCACCTCAAATACCTGCGCAAATGCCTCGCGCTCGCCGAGAAATCCCCTCCACGCCCTACAAATTTTCGTGTCGGTGCTCTCCTCGTCCTTCGTCATGACACACCAGATGCGACGACCAACGACAAGCTACTATCTACGGGATACACACTCGAACTTCCAGGTAACACGCATGCCGAACAAAGCTGTTTGAGGAACTACGCCGCCGCACACAATGTCTTCGAAGAACAAGTAGCAGATGCATTCCCCCCAGAGAATGAGCGCGAGGGCAGGAAAATCATATTATACGTGACTATGGAACCGTGCGGGGTGAGGTTAAGTGGGAATACGCCATGCGTGCAACGGATTATCCAAACAAGACAGAACAACAACAATAATATCCAGAAGAATAACAATGGAGGAAATGGGATAGACAAGGTTTATTTCGGGGTCAAAGAGCCAGGCACATTTGTGGGTGAGTCGCAGGGTTGTAAAATGTTGACGGCGGCCGGTATACAATGGGAGTTTGTGCCGGGCCTGGAAAATGAGATCCTCGCCGTTGCGACAGCCGGGCACGAGCAACAGCAAAAGCGACAGGAGGTAGACGAGAGGGACAAGAATATAGACGATATCTCACAGGAAGAGAGGGAAAAACAGCCAAGGAATCCGAAGAAGAGGATGATGGATACTGGTAGGCCGACTCTTTTATACTAGAAAATCACCTTTGTCGGCGTACTCACAATGCAATGATCCTATAAATTGCGGCTAAGCAAAAAGGTAAAAATGGTTATTAATGTTTACAAAGAGCTGTACTATTATACAACAGTGTTTACACAATAGTATATATATCGCATGTCACGTGACCATGACCGCTTTCACGATCCGAGGAATCGGACAATCGCATAGTCAAGCACGTTGATTCCATCAAAGTCAGGCATATTGCGATACAATGAGCAACCACCAAGCTAACTTAGCTCAAGCGTACTGTCTTAATATCAGTCGAACAACGGCAATTTTGTCAAAAGAAAAATGACCACATGGCCGAAAATGCCTCTGCCGCAAGCAACACCAACACTGTCAATGAGAATGCGAACATACCCTTCTATCCCGCGTTCTGTTTTCAGGCCTCACCCACGCATTTCACCTGGGTGAAAATGGGTATAGCCGAAATCCATCGATTACGCATAAAGAAAGGATTTGAGGGTAATAGCAATCACTCTTCACCGGCGGTATTCAAGCTGAGATGACTGTGTTCAGGCCAAAATATATTTTTCTACCAAAACCATCCTATACAATTCGTTTCCGTGGCGGGCATCGTCGTGACACGCGAAGAGTACGAGCGACGAACTGTCTTAGTCGTCGACGATAGCAGCGGCGAGAATATCGAGGTAGTTATTCTCAAGGCGACAGCCGAGAGTTCTCGCATCGCGAGAGATATTAAACATGATATCAATGAATACAATGGTGAAAATGGCAGTCTAAATGTTGAAAATATCGTTCATGTGACTTCCACCACTCGAACCTCCCTGGACATAACACAGATGCAGATTGGGGCAGTTGTAAAAATAAAGGGCACGCTATCGACATTTCGAAAATGCATGCAGATTGTTCTCGAGCGGTTCTGGGTTCTACCAGATACGAATGCCGAAGTAAAATTCTGGGATGAGCGGTCTCGCTTTCTTGTTGATGTGCTTTCTGCGCCATGGGTGCTGACAAGTGAGATGATTGAAGCGCTTCGAACACGAGCTCATGAAGAGGAAATGAAGGTAGCAAAAGAAAGAAGGATAATAGTGGGGAGACAGAGAATAGTGGAGGAAAGAGAGAAAAAAGACTATAAACGGATTATAGAGCGGTGGGAGAAGGAGGAACGGCTGCGAGAAAAAGAGGCCGCGTGGATTAGAGAAAGCAATAAAAGGTTCGAGCAATGGTGGGCACAAAGAAAAGGCAATGAAGGCTCAATACCTGAGAATTAGTCGCAAAGATGCGTGAGACAGAAGAATAAAATAAGTGCTATCAGACTATATTACATGAGATAGCGATCCAAACTAAAGACTGCAAGGTATCTCAGAAAGAAAGATCAAACTCCGAGCTCAATGCCTTTTCCATCACACGTCAAACCATATGTTAAGATAAGTAGAAGATATACAAAATTATTACAGCTCCCGGGGAAACTAGCGATACTTGTAGTCATGACCACCCACAGGGCCACTACCCTGTCCACCCAATAGTCCACGGTAGTAATCTTCATCGCTCCAGGTAGCCCGACTATTCAAATGGTCGTGATGCCGACGTTCTCGGTCACGTTCTCTCTCGCGGATAAATTCGTAATCTCGGGCATCGTCTCGGTCATAGTCTCGATATCGACGATTGTCGTCATATCCATCGCCCGCTGTAGAACTTGTCCTGTAATGACCACCTGACCCAGAGCCCAAGTAATCCGAATCAAATGAGTTGAGATCCGGCTCCGAATGTCGATAATCGCCTGGGCCACCAACTCCAACCGAAGAGCTGCGTGTGCGGCCACTCTTGGATGAAATAGTCCCATGGTGGGTGTGGCTATTGTATCCGCCACCACTAGTTGTCGTGGTTGACTGGCTGCCGGTGCGCATGTGTGGTGCGTCTTGGCCGTATGTGTGGGATTGTCGGTGTGTGGCCGTGATAGGTGAAGTAAGGAAATCCTTGCCCTTGCTTGTTTCATTTTTAGAGGGCTGATCAGCCCCATCGTCGTAGAATTTACCTCCTCCTGGTTGAGCGCTGTACGGCTTCCTCTCCCGTTCAATTGGACGTGGAGAAATCGTTTCCTCTTCGTCATCATCAACTACCGCTGTGCTTGATGAAGAATAAGTCTGCGGTTCTCGCTCTTGAACAGGGGGAGGAGGCGTAGGTCGTTCGGTTACAGTTGGTACTCGCGACGGGGATTTCTCTACGGGTACTCTTCGAATAGGCGATTTCGAACGCTCAGAAGGAGGACTCTGAGGAAGGTCAACTTCACTGTGCGTAATTATGGAAGCTTCTAGCTTCTCGAGAAGTTTCAAGTCCGCTGACTTGGGGAATAAACGTCGAGGAAGCTCTTTTGGGAACCTTTCCTTTTTGTCGTCCGGATTGCTGATTGGCATATCTAGAACGGTCTTCTTGAGGCGTGCAAACTCTCTGTCTGGGTTGGCTAGGATCATTACGGTGAACCATCGTTCAAAGCCACGCGGAGTCAATCCCGGTTTGTCTGGGCGAGCATTAAGGTTGAGCGGTCCTTGGACTAGATGATGCTCGGCTTCGATGTCACGGTAAATTCGTGAGATGGATGAGGCTTGATCGTCAAAGATATCTATAGTGCTTAGCAAAGTAATTTCAAGGGAGTTATAAATACCAACCATGAAAAGGGTATGTGTCTGTCGAGACCTTGGTATCTGCGTAATACTTTTGCATCTTTTCTGGAATCACTACAAGAGTATTCCCTGGTTCGTAGTCTTCAATCTGTCCACTACGTTTAGCAATGCGCCGTGTATTGAATCATAATGAGCTTACCAAGTGAACAGCGATTCCCCGCAGTAATTGGCCAAGTCTCGGAGTTGGTTTGCCATCCTCGAATAGTATACCCCAGATTCTCTCCAGTGTTGTCAATTCACTCGATGCGGGGGCCCGGTCAGAAATGACTGGTCGAGCTTCTGGTCGAGCTTCTACTCTGATGCTGTCGGCCTTGTCCGGACTCGGCCGCGGTTGGCCATCTCGTGCTTCGAGAGGCACCGTATGAGCCGATTTGAGCTCGCGGATCTCCGGAGACTGGCTCTTACTGTACTGCGCTGAAGGAGGAGGCTTGTAATATGTGTTATCTAGTGCGGAAGGTACAGACTGTGGTGGAGGCGGTGGTTGTTGTGGCTGCTGCTGTTGGCCACCTTGCGCCGAGCCTAAACCATATGCGTGGAGTTGCTGGATCACGCTTGCGGTGACTTGCTGGATGAGCTCGGGGGAGAAAGTGTTCGTATGATCGGCCTGGTTGACAGCGGAGGCGACAGCATCGTCGATTCGGCCGCCTGTAGAACTGATAGGCGCTGGGCCTTGAAAGGAGGGCGACGGCATGCGGGGCTGAGGCATCTGGACCTGATCGGACATGTACTGCGAGGGGTATGGAGGATGATAAGACGAGGGCACGTAGGGTCTTTCATCAGGGAAGCTATTGGTATTGGCACTGCTATTGGTAGCGCCATTGCCATCCCCGGGCTCGTAAGCACCTGGTGGATCGCGATAGGAGTCGTAAGCCATTTTGTACTATCCTGTTCAGGTTTCACCGCGCAAGAAGACCGCTGAAGCAGCCACTCGCTTGGTTGCCAGAGGAAGCGGGTTGCCAGAGGAAGCGAGAAGACGGCAGAACGCAAACGGGTACAGAGCCGGGACTGGCCCGAAAGAGCGTCGAAGGCCGGTGTGAGTTGGTAAATCTCTGACAGGTCTGGGGAGTGGGTGGGTTGAAGTCGGATGCCGACCAAGCGTTTTACTATAATTATTGCCGTTGACTTTTGACGCCTGACCAAGAGGGGCGAGTCGACGGCTGGGCTTGCGATTGGGACTGGCTGCCAGCTGCACCGTTCCGCGCCAGTAGCAACCCGGTGCGTTGTGTTCTCTTTCCAATAATTAATAGCGACTAGCAACGGAGAAGAGCGAGCGAGTGAGTGCTGTTTTTTATTTGTTGTTTGTACGGTTCAGCCATGACGCAGAGAGAAGAGGGGACAAGGGACAGAGCCGACGACGTCACGCTGGAGCCGCTAGCGCTAGCTCCTCCATCATCATCCATGTGGCTGTCGGCCTGACTACTATCTTATATTAATTCGAACAACCACAACCGCAACAATATTGTTATTATAATTATGGCTGCTTTTGATTAGTCAATTGATGTGTTCGATGTCATCATGATTGGCATCCGCTTATTGCCGGTTATTGCTCTGCTCGAAAGATGTTTTCAATAGTCCATGTAGATCGTGGTTGATCCTACTCTGGAACCCAGCGCAACTATTACGGGGTAGTAGCCTGTATTATCCTGCAGTCCGAAGGAAATCTATGGATATTCATTGCCATTTTGGCAACGCGTGCTAACAACAACAGCTATCCACCCACCCATCATGTGTCAGATGCGCCATGAAAGCAAGACAAAACACATCTACCCCTTCTTGCTACCCAGCTAGAAAAAGCTGCTAGACTGAGCAACGGAACCACCAAACCCACTACGAGTGTCATCCATCTCGGGGCTTCTGCGCTCATGCATTTGCATTTCTTTCGCGCTGCGGAAGGGGTCATGAGCCTGGATTTCAAATCCAAAGAGTCAGTTCGGTTACAGGCACGATTGGCACATAGAGCACAACATACCTTTATTTTGGCCCATTTATGTGACTTTGTATTTGGCAGTTGGCCGGGCTTTTTCTGGTTCAACTGCCAAGCGTATTCGTCATTGCCAGCCCTGCGTCCCATGGCAGTACTAACTTGGCCTTCCGCATGAACAGTAGAGGAGGTCTCTTGTAAGGAGCGGACGTCTTCAACAAACAAACCGCCCTTAACAGAGTCATCCTCGTCATCATCGCTGCTTGGGTGTGATGGGCGTGAGAACCGGCTTGCTACCTCGGTACCGCAACCCTTTTCCTCGAATTGGCCGAGAGCCACTCCACCAGCAACGCTCTGTTTCCATTGAGTAAGCAAAAAGGTCAGCTAAAGACGGTGATCATGGCCTACCTCGGTTATGACAGATTCATCATCCTCGTGAGAGTTGAATGCATAGAGGTCCTCACCCCTATCTCTCAACTCATTACTTTCGTAGGGGGTCGACAACAGGCCATCCGAGACACAGTTGACGCACATCTTCAAGAGTAGTAAGGTAAGCAATCCAGTATGGCTACAGAAATTTAAAGGTGGGGCATACGGCAGTGTCGATATTGCGGCGCTGTTTTTTGGAGAAATCGCTGATGGGTTTGCGCATAGTACACCGAACACAAGTAATCTCAACAGGCGGTTCGCCTCCAGTGCACTGCCGGCATCGAAGAGGATAGGTATCGATAGCGCTCCGGCCCTTGGAAGAAACCTGTCCCTTGAGACGAGTAATCTGGGCATTTGAAAATGCAACAAGAGGACGAGATTTATTGCAGCCACAGCATCTAAGCCTATATCCATCAAGTTAGTCGAGCTCATATACATTCCGAAGACTGACTCACGTCTGCGGAATCATAGCATTTCTCACCCTTCATCCCCAGAGTTAGTTTCGATAAGTCGAGGGAACTGTTCCCATCTTTCTCACCTATCGACCTTGGAAGCCGACCACCCCCCAGCCATAATGAATGAAGCCTAATTCTTGAGTGTCAGCTAGGATAATGCGGCCTTGGCGGAGTACATGTAGAGACGTCTGATCTGTCCTTGGATATAGTCATGTTTAAGAGGCTGTGGGCACGGAATAAAGTGTAGACAAGATGGTTGGGTTGGATCTATATGGATAAACCTACAATCAATGATGAACTTTCAGGGCTATGTGATGTTATGCAGCAAGAGCTCCACGATGAGCGAGGTGATAAGCTATGTAAAGAAGCAAGAAGAGAGGTGAGATGACAAACGAGCTGAGGAGTGAGACAGTAAGCAGGATAATGACTGATATGAGAAGTCTGGTCAGGTGAGATGAGGTGGCAAAGGAAAGAGCGAAAGCCAGCAGGAAAGAAGCTGTTGGCAGCTGTGGGGTGTTTTAGATGCTGTTTGCATATGCACATACACACATCACATGCACAGAATCAATGGGCGGTCTTGTCTGGCAGTTCAAGGGGGCTGTATATATAAGCGGTGGCTGAAAACAGAACAGTTCCTTGTTTGGTACTAATGAATGTTTATATATGTTTTGGTGGCTGATTACATCATCTTGATTGTATACTGAAGTATATATGTCAGTCTTATTATATATTTATGCTACAAATTTATATCATTATATAAGTATCAAATGATCTTTTAATTATCTCTTAGGTTATAGATACTGTATGTAGAGAACATAAATAAAATGGAGACTTATCAATTCAAATATTGATGTTGTGTGGTAAAACTATATCAAGAGAAGAGCACTCTTAACAATTGTTATTAATCTTAATACATATGATATAAAATTGTCTTTCATCTGTTCAGGGGGTTGAATCATGAGTTGAAGTATTGTGACTTAGCATTACTAGATATTTCTTAAGGATTATAAATATGCTACTATATAATTTGATGAAAACTGTTATGATCTATGGGATTCCAATATAGTAGATCCATTCTGTACTACAGATAGATGCTCTTTATATACCTTCAGCTACATATTAGATCCCCAGATCTTTCATGTATCTCTAGAACACATCTTCTCTATATACCCAGAATGCACACATTCCTTAGATCATTACAGTCATGATCCAAGGGATATCATCATAGTGAACCCATTCTAATGCTATTCCTTTATCCTAGATAAATTATTGTGTACTTCTGGCTATAAGGCCCTGCTTGTCTGATGTGCCTAGGGAACCATTTCCCTTGTATTATCGGAATGCGCACACTTCTTAGGTTGTTACAATCACCCAAAATGTGGACAAGCAAGAGAAGACCTGGTGGTAGACACATGGTCTGCCCATGTATTCGGTGATTAGTATGAGCTCCTTAGTATTTGCCAGGGATACCCTATGCTGAGTCGTTTGGCGATTTATTGTCTGGATACTGAGCAAGAGATCATCAAACATCTGACCCAACAGCATATTCCACCCTGCAAACACATTTCCGAACAGTTCACCATCAGCCTCGGCATCGATGATTCAATACTACTACTAATAATAACAAGTTTTCAAAAGAGGCTGCCGCTCTGACTGGCAAAATATCGTCGGGGCTTGAACCCTGACGGCAGCCAAACAAAGCAAACGCCGTCTGTCCTCTGTACCAATGGGGGGCCGCATTAGCCAGGAACACTCGTTATTTGCTATTCCGGCAGCAAATAACTGTGGACTGCTGCTGCGATGCTGCCCAAATCGTCCTGGAAACCTGCTTAGGTTTTTTACTAGCGAGAGTGTGGCATTATTCTGGTGAGTCGTTGCTGCTTTATCATCAGAATCGATTCTCTAGGCTGGTCTTGACTCTCGAGTTGAGACAATTGTGCATATTATTGCAGCGTTGCATATATGGAGCAGGAGTGTCTGATCGTCAAACATCGCAAAGGACTTTTGAAAGACGGATATAATTATTCAGTTTTTTTTATTTATTAGCTAGTTGGCATCGGAGTAAATGGAAAATAAGTACTGTGCTATATTAACTACAACGAGCGAAACCCCAGCCTTCTAGTGACCTCTTCGAACCCCGACGAACTAGATATAATATACATGTACTAGTTAGTAGAACTACTGAGTGTAGAGCGGAGTAGTAAATAATACATCAGTGGGAGGTGTACCCATGGAGTCAATGATTATTATTATTGATAAAGCAACTGTTAAAACCTAACGTAAACTACGCTGTAGTGTCTGGCTTGGGCAGCAGCTGGCCCAAGCTATATCGGAGCTTTGATTGAACAAACAATCGCTATGATTGCTGTTTGATCTCCCGGTAGCTTTGATCAGTGATTTGTATGAAAGTTTGACCTGTAGGTCATGCGGTAGGATTGGGATTTATGGGGTTCAATTGCATCGCTGACTCGCACTCCGAATTTCAACTTAACCTCTTCTCAGGCTAGCAACAGTCCAGCAGCGAATAAATAATGGTTCGAACTTCGAAATCAGTTTGGGAGACAGCCAGAGAAGCCCCATCGTCGGTCATTACCCAACTAGTGGTAGTTCTTCCAAGAGTCCAGATAGGCATGCAATTTTCTTTCTGCCTGATCTGCACTATCCGAGCTAGCAGTGAAATTGAATTTCCTGTCTGGAAACGAGGGTGACGCTGAAGCTACGCGTGCATGGGGATTGTGACGAACAAATAATAATTACTTCAACGGATGTTGTCGACCTTCATGGACTGGAGTAAGCCATGGGAGTACGCAATCTATTGCTAGAAATCACTCTTCATTGAGTTCTTTACTAATGATGATAGTAATAACAACCAGTATGATGGCGTATCACTGCTGATGATAGATTATTAGATACCCTGTCGCCCAATACTGACCCCCACGAACTGGCCGTTGGGCTCCACACGTCTGGATGGATGGATTGGACAACGACCAGTGCAGGACTCGAAAAGAAGGATTTGGCATGCAACAGTCCGGAGTAATCATAATCATAACCATAAGACCAAATAATACGGAGTACACTCACTACTGTGGACGCCGGTTGGATCGGATCGTGCTGAAAGAGCCGTAGCTCGCTGGTAATTAGTAGTTAACTTGTAATAATGTTGAACGCTAACAACGCAACAACAGCAACAATAATAATACCCTCGGATTATTGCTGCCGTTGGGGCCTTTCTTTGTTTGGGCCCCCTTTTCGTTTTTGACTAATTTACTTGCTCAGTCATGTCCATGTTGATCGAATAGCTCCCAAGGAGCGATGGGCAAACCATGATCAGTTATGAACATCATTATTATGCGTACTGCAGGCAAACGAAAGACATGCAGTGCAATTTCTAGATTGATGATGTCGACACATAATATTAATAACCTGACGCGCGCAAAGTCATCTGCGAGAGCCGAGAGGAAAAGGCCGGGACGTGCATGTACCCGGTCGGACGTGGGGGGAGGGGACGGTACCTGACGATACATTCCGGACGCGGATTTTGCAGGCGCCTTGGTGGGCGGGCCCGTACCGCGGAAAGGGCGTCGTGTCCCGGCGGCTGGGGCGCCGTACGGGACACGCTCTTGTGCCATTGGCTGGAACGACACCATTGGCTGAGGCCAGACCGACGCGTCTTAAATTTAACAATAACAAGATCGTATTGTGACTGATAATTAACACTATGGAATATTGGCTAGGGAGGCAACACTAACAATTACCACTGAGTAAGTTAACAGTTAACAGCGGTGCATTAGGCAGGTTAGGATTGCGCAAAAAATTACTCGTAGAACATACTATTATTACCGTAGTATTATGGGGTCGCCCCTGAGGGCTGACCGCTGACGGCAACCCAGCCCCTTGCGAACGGAGATGGCCCACTTAGCAATGTATTATTAATTTATTACTAGTGGTTACTGTGACTATGTACCAATCTGACGACGTCCTTGGTATGGGTCGCGGGGCGGAGCGAAGCGCAAACTCTGTGCCCATTATTGTAACTTGTGAGCAGTCACCATGAAATAAACCCGACTCATAATTAATACCGGAGGCATGCAACGAAAACGATAATGTTAATGTGGCGGGCTTGGTCGCCTGGTTCTTTGCACATTGCGACGTGTATTATACTCTTATTGAGTCATAATAATAATAATAATATTATTATTATTATTGTTTCTATTATTGAGTACCATCATATCATGGGCTTCTCCATATCCCTGCGCTACGAGCAGTCCTATTCAGGATTAGTAGTAATCTAGCACGCATGAAGCATGTCGTCAACACTAAACACTAAACATGCCGGAGACGCCCATAGCTCGCTGTGCCCAACGCGGTTAGGCCGCCGAAATTGGGTCTGCTCCTTCCCCCTAGCTCTGGCTGCTGCCGTTCCTTCCTTCCCAAGCTCCTTCCATGCTTAGCTCTTCCCTTTCCCACCCGTCAAGGTACTAGTAAGCCTACTTGGTAAGTTACTTGCTACTGCCTCCTTCCGAGTGGTGAGGCCCCGTCCGTCCCTCCTACACATCACACTCAAGTTGGTTACTAAACGCTGTAAACACTAAACAGTGACCTCTGGAGATTCGAGAATATCTATTCGACATGCATCGCGTATCACTGCGCTGTTAAGTCATCGGTCTCTTGCTGCCAGTTGTGCTTTTCTCCTGCTGCTGTTGCTGCGGCTGCGTCTCGGCTGTTCACCGTCAATTGAGCATCCACTGCTAGTTCACTAATAATTATTCCTACTTGCCTCCTTTTCATCATAAAGGTGGAACCCAACTCTCTTTTTTCCATCCGCTGTCGTCCATCCTCGCTAGGGCCGAAACCTTTCGTGGCCTAGTCCCTCGTCCCTCGTCGCGCTCGCTGCTCGAAAGTCTTCGACATCAGACGGGTCACGGGCTCACGGCATCCACCTGTGCACTGAATGCTCGCTCATCCATAATAATTTACATGCGTTGTCGTCGTCCTCGTCGTCCCAATCGCCTCTCCCCACGCTGCGCACTTGCTATTATTAATGCAATAATTCCGCCGCAACGTTGGCTTCCTACTCAAGCTTCAACCATAATAATCCAGGTGCACCCTGCCTGTGCCGTCCAGTCCCACGCCCCCTACCCATCCTGTGTGGATCGTCCGAGATACCCGCCACTGTGTTCTTCCTGCTGAGCTTCCCATACTGTTGGAAGGCTGGCGCATCTCTTGTGCGCTTGATCCGTGCGAGAGCAAAAAGAGGGCCGTCGTCTTGCCGTTACGCTTGAGTCTCCACGAGCCCCGTCCATATCCTATTAAAGGCCCTGTCATTCATCCAGGGGCTTCCACATTCAGTTTGGACCTTGCTAGCGCTCCTCTGGCTCACGATCCGTTTCCGCGGCCGTGGAACCTTCGCCCACCGTTCCAAGATCTCCTTTCCCTCCACCTCTGTCCCCCATCTTGCAGGAAACGTGTACAACCCGTCAACCACCCTGTCTTATTCCATCAACTTTCGGTGTGAAATCAACCAGTCTCTCCTTAATATAACTTTTCTTGTCCTTGTGTTCACCTGTCATTCGCTTTCGGTCTTCAGAACCACTTATTACCCTCTGTACCTCAAATCATCCATTGTCTCTTTGCTATTCTAACCAAGCTTAACTACCTAACTCCTGTTCATCGTACCGCCCCCAGAGAATGAACAACGCGTCTTGTTGAGTATTTCTGGAGCGAAGGACAACCGGCCTCGTTTGAAAATCAGTGGTGGTAGGCGTTGTGTCAGCCTCGCTTGTGCGAGCATCGCTGACCCGTACTAGGTCATTCGTTTTCTCTCATCTATCTGCAGGCAGAGGAAAAGAGTTCGGTCATGGCAATCTCTCATGAATATTCCCTCCGGGGAACGTCACAGAGCACAATGGCCTTGGAGGACCGCTTCGAGGTTATGAAGGAAATCGGGGATGGTTCTTTTGGTAGCGTTGTTCTCGCCAGAACACGGACTGCTGGATCCAACGTGGCACGCCGCGGCACGATGGTAACGCGGACTCCCTGCCTAGAATTTTAGAACCGGGTGAACTAACAATGGTGTAGGTTGCTATCAAGACAATGAAGAAGACCTTTGAGTCATTTGCTCCTTGCCTTGAGTTACGAGAGGTCATCTTCTTGCGAACGCTTCCTCATCATGCACACTTGGTTCCAGCCCTTGATATCTTTCTCGACCCTTTAAGCAAGAAGCTCCACATCTGTATGGAATACATGGATGGTAACCTGTATCAATTAATGAAGGCTCGAGACCACAAATTTCTAGAAGGAAAACACGTGAAGAGTATACTATATCAGATCTTGTCAGGTTTGGATCATATCCACGCCCACCACTTCTTCCATCGCGACATCAAGCCAGAAAACATTCTCGTCTCCACATCGGCACCCAACGATTCGGCTTTTACTCGATACTCCAATCTAGTCACCCCGCCTTCGACGCCACCTACATACACCGTTAAGATTGCCGACTTTGGCCTCGCACGTGAAACACATTCAAAGTCTGCATATACCACGTACGTTTCAACTCGTTGGTATCGGGCGCCGGAGGTACTTCTCCGCGCCGGTGAATACTCTGCCCCCGTCGACATTTGGGCTGTTGGCGCAATGGCTGTTGAGATAGCGACCTTGAAGCCACTGTTTCCTGGTGGAAACGAAGTTGATCAGGTATGGAGGATTTGTGAAATTATGGGCAGCCCCGGAAATTGGTACACCAAGGGTGGTGCAAAAGTCGGTGGCGGAGAATGGCGTGACGGTAACAGACTAGCACAAAAGCTCGGATTCACGTTCCCCAAGGTATGCTCTCGCCCTCGTGCCGTGATGCTTTGGATATATGGCTAATAAATGTAGATGGCTCCCCACTCGATGGAAACAATCTTGCAACCTCCCCATTGGCCTCAATCATTGAGCAATTTCGTGACTTGGTGTCTGATGTGGGATCCTCGTAATCGACCGACATCCACTCAAGCTTTGAATCACGGGTACTTTGCAGATGCTGTTGACCCATTAAGACCTAAGTCATCTACTGCGAGACTCATGGGACGCAAACTGTCAGATAAGAATTTCAAGCCTGCCGCCAAGGATGTCAGCGAGTCTCCTGCCTTGTCTAGCAAGTCTTCTTGGTTCCGCAGGTCATTAGTAGTACGATCCGACAGCCCAGCTCCCATTGTCGAACCCGAAACTGCACGGCCTCCGGTTGTGTCTTGCAATACGGCACCCGAGATGCAGGCATCTAAAGGACGACCGGCCAAGCGAGCCACGTGGGCCAACGGCGCACCTATGCCTATTCTTCCTTCTATCAGACCTGTATCCCCTCTTTCAAACGCAGTCACCGCCCAAGCGAACTCGCGTGTCACGCACAACCATCAAGCATCGGCTACACAACAGGCAGAGACAGGAAAGTCCAAGAAGATTGGACGCCAGCTATCTGTCAACTCGAACGGAAACCATTACGCCGACATTCATCGACAAGAGGCCGAACGAGCTTTGAATGGAATTGGTAATGGTGCTCATTCGACCGCCCAAAAGGAAAGCTTCTTCTCGCACCTACGGAAGCGTGCTCGAAGACTATCTGGTCGCAACCAAGCCGCCGCAGCCAACTACGACGTAGAGGCTAATGCTGGGTGCTCTCCGTGGCCCAACCGTTCGTCTGTTGCTTTGGACGCCAACTTAGTCGACGCAAAAAACGCTGAGTTTGCTGACATGGAAAAAGCTGTCCAGAATGTTAAATATACCACAGACTCGAAAGACCTCCCGCCCCAGCTCACTTCGGTACCCAACCATGTGTCTTCGAAAAGACAATCTGTTCCTCAGGCATCTGTTCGGGGTATAAGCGAAATGCCTACACCAGGCGTCAATGGGCCTGTCTCCAGTCGCACACGCAGAGGTTTGCAAATATCGTCGTATCCAGTTCATCGCTACGAGACACCTGAAGAGGAGGACGAACTTCTCGATGAAGTTCTCCATTCGGCCAGCAAGGCCGCTAGACGTCTTGCACAGAGGTATGAAGAGGATTCAGCATCATCAATTTACAAGGAAGACGGCAACGTCTCTGACTTGGTCAATGACTCTACACGGGCACTCAACCCATATCCTACTCCTTCGCCATCGGCTAAGCGTGATGGAGTCTCATTTGGCCAGATCAATATTACACCCACCAGACAAAGAGACCCGACCAAGCTGCATGATGAAACCCCGACAAGTCAATGGCCTACTCCGCCATATGGCGAGCAAGAGTGGGCCGCCTCGGTAGCTAATTCCATTCTTTCAGGAACAGTTTACAGGTAGACCCCTGATGTCAAGTGATTTCATGCGGATATATCACCACCATCTATCGATATTCCTTGCCATATTTCACCTTTGTATTTGTTTTGGTGGTTGCTAAAACGAAAAGTAAACGGTTCGAGGATACTTGGCGTCTGGTCTCTGCGATTTTTTCCTTTATGCTCGCGTGAATCTGAGTATTCCCCATGGATTGCCTGGGCTTTTCCCGTTTCATACCCTATGTTGTGGCATATAGATGTATCATTTTTTCGCTCCCCTCCGTTTATATTTCGATTCTTTCATTTTATTCTCTTCCACATACCCCTATTGTTTGTGTTGCTTTACACATCACATCAACGCCAGTCTCTATTACGTGGTCCGCGCTAGACGCGAGAAATATCTGGGCATAGCGTTTCTCCCCAGTTTCACGTTCCCGTCTTCTTTTTCTTGTGTTGTGCTATTACCTATCTTGCCTCTTTCCTTGTACATTTCGTGTACGGCCATTTGATATCTCACCCTCTTCCCCCATGTGGGAGAAACACAGCATTTGCAGGGCTACCGATTCATTGGTCATGTCACTCATTTGCTCTGGCAGCAAGGAGGACTCCCTCCGTCATTTATAATTTGTAATTATATTATATGCGGCAGTCAATACTGCTCTGAACATAATACACTCACTATTGCTATCAGTCTCCATCGTTTCATTTCAATACCGCCTATCGCACCACCTAGCTGAGTACAGTGTGACTGCGTGATAGAATTCATACCCTGAAACCCTATGGCTCCATACGTAACATTCAATAATGGGCTCAATATTAATAATAATAATCATAGTGTTCGTTTGCATCATGAACTCGACGCAGTCCAGACGGTGACAAGGACTAGCAGATCCGGCCCCACTTTAAAAGTTTCCTGGCTTTGACTTCATCGGCGCAAAACCGGCCTTGTATTCACTCTCGACTGCACAAGCCAGCGGATTTCTGGGACGGCAAATCTTGTGCCTCAATTCGACACCTCATATTAAATATACATATTGCAGTGGCACAAAATCGTGTTGGGAAACGGCTGCCAAAGCGAGTCTTGCCTCGCTGCATGACTAGTACGGCGTGTTACCATCACCGCAACATTCAATAAACCCAACTGCCATGGCACCTCCTCAACAAACCTCAGCGTCCCAGACACCTCTCATATCGCCCGCTGAGCTCTCATATCTCTATACCTCGCTTTCACTGCCCGAAGGGCCAATCCGACCGGACGGGCGGTCTCCCACCCAATTTCGCCCTCTAACCGCTGAGACTAGTATCGTACCTGGTGCAAATGGCAGCGCGCGTATCGGCTTTGCTGACGGCACGGAAGCAATTGTTGGCGTGAAAGCGGAGATTGAACGAACGCTAGCTACGGATGCGCTCGATCTGCGGCAGTTACAAGAGCTAGAGCAACAATATGATGGTGGTGGGGGTGAAGATAGTGGTGCTGGGGAAGGATCGACAGCTGGGGTTATTGGTGGCCAGAGCTCGTGGGTGCAGATGTCAATCGAGATCCCTGGATTTAGAGACGACGATGCTTTACCTGTGTTTCTGTCGGAAATGATGAGAGAGTCGCTTGTTGGGGCATCAGTAGCTGGTACCGCGAATGATGGGGAGAATAACAACAAATTGGTTGGTGGTTTGAAAGGAAGACTGGTGATTAATCGTCGATGGCATTGGAGGTTGTATATTGATGTGAGCTCCGTTGATCATATTATTAATTCCAAGTGTCTAATGTTTTCTTTTAGATACTTCTCTTATCACCACCACAATCCTATCCTCTGCCCTTATTATCGCTAACAACACATCTGGCTCTGCTATCGACACGACTACCAAAACTAAAATCTCAAGGCGAAGAAGACCCTTTTTTTGAAGATGACTGGAATCTCGCTGAATACCTTTATCCACGCGGGGAGCATAATAATCTACGAAACCAGGCCCGTCCGCCCGTCACACTACTTGTGATATCGGCAGACAAGAATGTGATATTCGATCCGACACGAGAAGAAATTGCCGTTGCCGATTTCGTGCTTGCTGTTTCTATTGGTCGTGAAATTGACGAGACGGCCGGAGGCGGTACAAATGCAAACCTGAAACTGCTTTCGATCCGCACCATCGACCCTCCATCGCGGTTGACTCAACACGGTATTCCAGATTCTGAAAATGCAGCTACAATGGGTGTTGCTACGACAGACATTCCGGAAAGAACAGACGAGGAGGTCGCCGGGGTATGGAAACCTCGAAGAGGTGGCGTGTCGAGGGGTGTGATATCCCACATGATTAAAGTGGTGTTGGAGAGGGGGGGTGTTGGGGACGAGGTTATGGAAGGATTGGAAAGAGTTGACGTTACCTAGCATGAGATAGTAATCTACAAACAACATATACTAGTTGCTTCAGCATTGAAGTTTCAGCACGATTGATCTTGAGCTCCAGCCTCCGCGTACTTGCAAACCAATACTGTGCATAGTATGTGGAATATTGGCCAGTTGTATTTGTTCAGCGGTTTACTGCGAAAACTAGAGATATTTCTTATACTTGTCCCAGAAGTCAAATATTTGACTTGTCTATACGGCGTGACGGGGATGATCACGTGACCAAAACGCGGCTGAAGTCGGCAAAAATAAAACGAAAGCTGCATATTCACCCGACGTCACACCACTATCAATATAATCCCCGGTGGTATTAGCCCTCCCAGAGGGTTCAATTCGAAGATAGAAGATGAAATTATCACCTAGCATTCCTCAATTCCTTCTCCCTCGCGGCATTTCATCTCACACATTGCGATATGCCGCCGCAACGCGAGGCTTTTCATCCTCGTTCAGATGGCAACGCAGCCGGACGGGAGGAAAAGAAAAGGAGGCAAGCGACAAACCTCGGACTCTAGCCCAACCCGACAAATTCAGGCCCCCATCGCATCCTGCTCGTCGTGTGCTGCCGACTCGCAATGGCAAACCGGTCATAGTGAAAGAGCCATTTAATTATCCTGGCCCGCCACAATCGGCAGTGGAGAAAGAAGCACAAAAGACGAAGAGATATCCAAACATGTTTCCACCAGAGGGGACAGTGATGCATAAATTCTTGACGACGCGGTGGATACATGCATGGATTGCAATGGTGTGTATAATGCGCTATACATCATCTTTGTGAAAAGACGGATTCTAACATTATGCTAGGGCGTCCTAACTACCCTTGCTACATTCACATTCACTGAAAACTTCAAACGTACCTCCCCTTTCGCTCATCTTCTTCCACCGTGGTCCGGCTTCCTCAGTCACCCTATCAACACCGTTTCGCAGGCGGTATCTGTGTGGAAAATGCACGTCGAGCACAACTCCGTTGTGGCGCGTGAAAACCGGCACAAACGCATTGACGATGCCGAGAAGCGCCGCCAGTACCGGATTGCGCATGGGTTGGAGGAACCGGCTCATGCTGGGGCTTCTGTAGTTGAGGATGACCAGTCGCCAATTGCTGCAGGCGCTGCAGATACAATGATCCCCATGCAACAGATACAGACGGAAGCTTCGGGTGACAGCCAGCAGTTTCGAGAAGGCCAGAAACGGCCGGTGAAGAAGTGGCTGGGGATTTGGTAGTGAGATTGGCTACATGTTATTATATTTCTCTTGCAGCTTGGGCATATACTGGCACTGACTCGACCAAATAGTGATGCCATACTCAACTATGATGGCTGCAAAAAGACCCGAAACGGAACATAGAAATATCAATTCTAAATTATCTACAGCATGATTAATATTGTAGAAACGATATATTATTGTTATTAAATATGATGTTAAATATACTTATTAAATATTGTAAAGTTAAGTTTAGTTACTATAGAAGTTTACAAAACGTGTTCCGGTTGCGCCCGCGGTCCCGTGACCCGGCTGCAAATGGCCGTGCCGTGATTGGCTGGGCTGCATCCTTTGATGGCTTGAGACCGCCTGTTGTCTTCGGCCCGCCGAAAAACTTGCTCGTCCTTTCTTTTCTTCTCCTCTTCTCTTCATTCCTCTCCCTCTCGCATTGATTGAATATTATTGAATCGATTCCCTTTACAAAGCTCAATCTCCTGCTTTATTCTTTAGCTCTTTTGCTCATCTACGCTTCTCCCTCTCTCACAATGCCTAAGGAAGCCGCCAAGTTCTCCCCAGGTAAGAAGCCCGCAGCCCCTTTCGTTGTGCATACGTTAGCAATTGCCATCGCATTCTGCTTTGCAATGTTTTGATCCGCTGCCATGACCGCCAATCTCTCTTCTTCTTGCGCTCCATTCCGCGAATCCCGCGTTACAGTCTCCGTGTCTCCCGACTGCAGTGTGACTGGGGATGTCGGGTCGGCGGAATACCAAGCTAGGAACTGCGATAGGGCGGCGCATGGAATGCAGAATGAGATGCGGATTGCTTGCAATGCATTATTCGATGGCCAATGCGGCGTATTGATCGATTGTGTCAACCGCCAGAGCTTCCTGTATCAACAGCTAGCTGACGCGACTTTGCACAGGTGACGCCGGAAAAGGCGCCAATCTGTTCAAGGTATGTTTTCCACCTACCATGGCTTCTCCTGCTTCCTCCCACTCACGCATCATCAGACTCGTTGCGCCCAGTGCCACACTGTCGAGGCTGGCGGTGCCAACAAGATCGGTCCTAACCTGCACGGCCTTTTCGGCCGTCAGACCGGTTCCGTTGATGGCTACTCCTACACCGATGCCAACCGTCAGGCTGGTGTGACATGGAGCGAGGATACTCTAGTATGTTGATTGGCATATGCCTGTGGAGTGGGAACGATCGTGCTGACCACTGTAGTTCTCCTACCTCGAGAACCCCAAGAAGTTCATCCCCGGAACCAAGATGGCCTTCGGTGGTCTTAAGAAGGGCAAGGACCGGAACGATCTTATCACGTAGGCTTTAAATCCCAGCGATCCCGGGATGCCAGTCACGCTAATTTTATTCTTCAATTCATAGTTACCTGAAGGAAAGCACTGCTTAAACAACACACTACCAAAATACCGGTCCCCGGCATCGCCATCTTCGTGGATCGTATAGATGGTTCCAAGACAACGGGAACGGGACATACAAAACCTGTAACAATATATTGATTCTCCCATACATGCGATAGAATTGGGATTTCCTGCGCTGTTTTGAGTCGGGAGAAATTGGTCGAACGAACACAGAACAGTGGGGGGAAATAAATGGCGGTTGATATAGACTCTCTTCACCTTGTACCCTTGTGGATATTTTTATTTCTTTTCCTTTTGGTTTCGTTTCTTATGGTGTACCAATTCTACCTAGACCTGAGGGCGCTTAGAAATGTAATGAAGACAAACGCATGATTCTCCTCTCTTCGTCTTCGGCTCTCCTCATGCTACTGTAGTATACTTGGCTTGGTCTGTCCCACTGTTCTTGTTAAGCGTACATATGTACCCAGATATGGTTGACGTATGTAGTAGATGTATACAGGCGCCTGGGCCTGTTTTCTAGAGAAGCCTGCAGCTCTGCATTCTACAATTATTACATTATATTTTTTATTGTATCATTTTGATTTTCTTTTTACTTTCTCTTTTATCTTAATTAATCTTAGAAAATGTTCCTAGATTAATATGACGATTTTCTTTAAGAAATAGTAGAAACGGTAAAATAGTGATGACGTGCTCAATTGAGGAATATAATAAATAGAGCAAATTTGGGAGCCAACGAAAAAGCACCGCCAAGATTATTATTACAAAACAACATGGTTGGCTGGCAGTGAGCGTTCTGTGACTTCTGCAAGAAGACTGCAATTGCCGGCGCCGATTGGACCAGCCACCACTATTCTTGCTGATCGCCCGCCCTCCCCTCCACTGGACTGGTTGGCTGAGCTGTGCCAAAAGTGCTTCGTCCTGTGCCGTTGAACTCAGTTCGCTACCTACCTTATCGCCAGTTCACCTGGTCGCTCTCCCCCTCCCTCAACACTGCGGAGCTTTTGAATAATGCACTCTGGCCCAACCATTGCGTCGCCCCCTTGCTCTGCCATCGTCGTCCCTCTATCGCATCGTCGCAGCCTCCTAAATATTTATAAAGTCCCCGACTAACCCTGTCAGGCACCTCTGCGGCATCAGGCAGCCCTATCTTCTCGTTTCAACTGCAGCATCGCCTCGCGACTCGACATCTCGATTCTCAGCATAAGTGCCGACTGGGACATCCGATTCGAGGCCCTGGGACCCTTTCGCGCGAGAATGTCCCTGCCGCTCCACGCGATATCCTGATATACCCTGATATAGCCAGATTCTAGACCACACCTACCTGTCTGCATGACTACACCAGTGTCGGCAGAGACAGATCTGAGGACAGCCATGGACGACGAAATGGACGCTCTTTTCGACGACCACCCGTCTCTATCGGCTTCGTTGGAAGACTTTGCTGCCTCTAACAGACGATCCCCTTTGCTCGACTTGCCATCGCAGCATTCCGGCTTCCGATCAGAAGATTCAGATGACGGCCGACCTGGGCCTCAGGAGCGGTGGTCACCGCCCGCCCTACGACGGCCAGAGTCACTGGCAGGAAGCCAGTGGTATCGTCATGCGCCCTACGACCATTTACACATGAAGCCGACCTTACTACAACACAGCGCCCCTCAATCCCGCGAGGCAAGCCCTCAGTATGAAGACGCCCGGGAGGCGCCTCCTCTGCCGTCGCAACTGAGGAATCCGATTGACTTGGGTGATATCACGCTGGCGGCCAACGTGCCCCTGCCACCCGGTACTGACTCCCCGCTGAAGGGGCGATCGGTTTCGCCAGAGCCTAAAGTCAAGGGACTTGTGCAGCAGGATTTGAATAGCGATGGTCCAAGCTCAAACTGTAGGTGACAATTGGCATGCTGATGTTATCGGCCACTTTTCAATTGACTTCTTTGTTTCTTTGCCTGTCTTAGATGTGCGGTTCAGGATGTCAGCCGAAGTAGCCCAAAGAGAACCACTGCAGGCTGTCTGGAATGCCATCCGACTACCACTCGACAGGATGCATGTCGCCATGTTCAAATCCACAACTAGCACAATTTTCACCGTGCTCGTTGCCTTCTTGGCCATTTTGCTCATGCGTGTCCTCACACTTCCTCCGAGCTCTCAATCAATTCCAAATCTGGTCAAGTTATGTGCCTTTGCTCGCAATTTTGAGCCTCTAATATATTACTCTGAAAACGGAGTGCAGCATATAAGTAATTTACAAGAAACTGGCATCGCTGTCTGGGATCTGGGTGAATCGGTGAGAGGAAGCAACATGACTAGTGCACCAATCATTGTCAAACAGTTGGATGAGCTATCCGGGTCATTAAAGGACTTATCTCTTGAACTGACCCGGTTCTTCGCCAATGTCGACTCGGACATCGACTCGATTTTGCTGGTAATGGACTGGATACGACGAGAGCTTACGGCTATCCACTCACAGCCGCCTGCTACTCTGCCTGGCATTGTAATGGACAATATCTACGGCATGATATCTCAAGTTGCTACGCTGGAAAAACTGAATACACCTACATCTCCACCAACCACAGACGGGGACTCTACGTCAGCCAGCAGTACAACGCCAACTATGCTCGGAGCTGTTGTGGCAACTGTCCTGGGACCAACCTCAGCCCAGCGCACACGCGCAGCACTAATGCGCACATTCACCGAATTCCTAAACGTGCTGGAAGAATCCATCAACAGCGAACTCACTCACTCAACGGCGCTCGTTGCACTCTTCGAGTCCATCGACCGTCAATTCCTCAATCTTCAGCGCGTCGTCGTGCGCGAATCCGATACCCAGGAACGGGAAGAAGGCGAAATGCTCAGCTCCTTATGGACCCGAGTTCTCGGCCCTAACGCGGTGGTGTTACGCAAATACGAGAAAAACCGCAAACTGCTGGGTGACGTGCGTCGACGAACAGTCAGTAACAAACATCAACTCATGGACCACCAAGCACGCCTCCTTAACCTTAAAGCCAGCCTCGAAACTCTGCGTCGCAAACTCGTCAGCCCGCTGGTTCGCCCGAATGATTCGTATATGTCTTTGTCATCGACAAGGACAACTAGCGCGGTTGATAGCACGAACAATGTGCTTGGCGCTATTGAAGGTCAGATCAAAGGCGTCGACGAAACCTATGAGTATCTCCGAGGACTGAGAGAGTCGCAAAAGGCGAAGTTGATGGACATGGTATACGGAGCGGGGCGGAATACAGGCAACAATAACAACTATCTTGGCCTTGAGGAGATGAATGAGAAGGGGATGTGATGGTCTTGATTATTACCGCTTGGAGAACGGAGTTGAGGTATCATTTTTTGACATTTGCAATCATTTTTCTGCTACACTTTGTCATTACTTGTCGCCACTGGTCCCATTATTTTTGCTTAGGGAAGAGATAATCACTTTTGTGCGTTTTAGGGCTTTGGCGAAAGGCATGCTGTCATGATCTATGTGTGATGATCTATCTCTACCATTGTGAGACTACTCAAAGTAGATATAGAAGGCTTTTATATGCTGTAGGCTATATATATTAGGCCTTTAGCCCCCTATGGATTCTATGCATAATCTCCTTTATACATTCATAATGCCACTGATATTTAGATCATTACATGTTTTATACAGTTTTCAATGTTTGGTTTATGGGACAGTCTAAACATACAAATGTAGTGTGTAATGTATTTTACATGCCTGATTTTTACATTCAATGTTATTTCCGACGGTCCTTAATAGCACGCTCAGATATTCACGCATGGCATAAACTACTGCCGACATGCCAAGAGCTATAATACAGCAACAAACCAGCTGACATGTAATTACTACAATCCATAAAAACCAGAAACTCTAGACAACTATGAACATGCTTTTATTACTTTGTACACTCTCTTTGGTTAAGCCTGCCGAGATGTTGCTGCCTTAGGCTAGTCTGGTACAAACCCTAATTCATAACCCTAACCCTACCCAGGACATGAGTACATAATCACTACCGGGGTAGCCTTGGCAAATATCAATGGGCCAGACAGGACTCAGGCGAAACCGGCGCTGATCACGAAGCTCACATCGTCGTTGAATGAAGCAGCGGCATCAAAGAAATGAGGACCACCGTTGCTCGCAATATAGCCCAATGCGTTGAAATGGCGCCAATAGCGGGTTGGGTAGCTCCAAGACCGTATCGAGTTGCCCTGGCCATTGAGGCCGGCCTGCGAGCAGAACGTGGCGTCTTCAGAGAACTGCTTGCTGCCATCATTAGCGTTAACCATAAGCTCGTAGTTAGAGTGGCGTATGAAGCTGCCGGGAGTGTCATTAGACTCGAAAGAGAAACACGCGCTATTGCCAAGGCCGGTGCGAACCGTCCAGCTGGCCTGCTGTTTAAGGGCGGTGCTACTGGATGACGAGACAACCTGGGTGTTGACGGTGGAGCCAGTATGGGCGATATAACGTGTTGTGCAGCAGGCTGTTGTGGCTCGCAGCGAGATGGAGGAACCAGCAGTGAGTTCTGGGCCACTATTTAGAGATGTGGCAGCATATCCAGCGGCTACGATATTGGCCTGCACAGAATTCTCAGTGTCATCAGACGGGTAACCGCTGGTCATGACGCCCTCGTAGAACGTGCCCTGGGCGCTATCACTATTGTCACCGCCGATACCAAGAATAATGGCACCCTCCTTGCTCATCGGATTATAACCACCGGATGGGCGTACGCCGCTGTAAAACGTCGACAAGGAGCCGGACGTAGCGTCACCGCCGCGGATCGCCCACTGGTTCGGCTCCCCCTTAACAACCGCAGTTACGAACCGGGAGGAGATGGTCGGGTCCGCCGGGTTATTGATAGGATCGACACCAGAGAACAGACCGTTCTCGAGGTCGGCCATGATCCAAGGACCGCTGCCGGAGCCAGTGCCATGGCCGGAGCCATCACCGGTGCCAAAGTAGATAGCCTCCATGTGGCCGTTGCCTGTATCGTGACTGTTGACCTCAGCATTGCCGTAGTCGAAGCAACAGCCTGTATTATAATGAGTCCCATCCAAGACCGCATACAAGCCCTGCGGTTCGTCGCCTGTAGCAGTACCACTGACGGCGTTGTTGCGGTAACCAGTGAATGGTGAGATGAAGACCCCATACGCCTTTTGACCGTTCAGCGTGACCGGTGCGCCAACAGCGCTGGCCAAGTAGTCATAGCCATTGGGATCAGGACCGCTTGCAGCACCTCCAGGTGGAGCCTGAGTGAGGTGATTACCGCGGCCGGACTGGTCGTAAATGATGGTGATGAGACATGTCGTGCTGGCACAGAACGAGTCTTGGGCGGTGGCATTGGCAACACCGCCAGCCGACAGAGGTGTAATGTCGACAGTGGCACCATCAGAGCCACGAGACACTTGGTAGAGTCCGCCGGTATAGGCGTCGTATAAAGCGCGAGTTGTGCTGTGCGCGGCAACGCATGGCGCGCCGCCAGAAGAGTAGATGTCGCAGGGCCCAGCGTTGACAAGGGAGCCTGTGACAACAAGGCCTAGGGCGAGTACGCTATCGAGACTTGGTCGTGAGAACATGTCCGATAAGGTGTATTTTTGATAGGATAACAAATGAACGGGCACGTCTGTGAGTGTTTGGAACTCTCCAACGACAAGTTCAAATGGCCATCGAAATAGTAAAGGCACATAGTAGGTTTTTAAGCGGAGTGGTGCCTCTACTATAAATGATAACGTGATACCAGCCGTCCGGTTTGCTGAGTGTTACATCGCATACGACAAACATATCTGTAACATAGACGAACGTCTCCCAAGATGACTGGTACTTCTCTTTCACAGTAGGCAGCTAAGATTTGCGCTAAAGGCCTAAATGGGTCTCGGCAAAGCTTGGCCCTGGATAGGGTTGTAGTCAAAAGTGCAATGGGGGTAAGGACCGCTTTGGCCGCTGAACATGCATTGATGCTGACAGTACCGTGAAGGTGACTCCCTACAAGGCGGAGATATACACCGGCACCATTCATCCCAAAACTAGTAGCAACACGTATAATCGCAAATGATTCAAGATAGGCGGCTATATGAAAACCTTCCTATCTAGTGGGAACTAGCCCTAACCTGTGTTAGCAGGGTCATCGAGGAAGACATTCCCAGGTGGTAGGAATAAACCTTCAGGACACTGCCTACGGCGTTACTAACTCATACATAGTAATAGTGCCGCTAGACGTAATTTATTCTTGCAAATGTGGGCCATGCTTACTTTTTGTAATGCTAGATATAGATACTAGCAATATAGAGTCACAATCTCCAAGCCACAACGGGCCGCATGCCCACCAACATGCTCATTCGAAGGCTCATAAAAGTCATCACTCCCTCATTTCCACCATTATCAATGCTTTTTTAGGATATCCATTCGAAACTAACTTGTGCAGGATCGTCGACAGAAATGACATCTCGAATTTTGTCCACCAGGCCTAAAAAAGGATTGTCGTTGAGCTACCATGGATGCAAAGTAGGAGTTGGTCAATCATATTATTGGCCAAAGGAGCTATTTTATGCTGTTGCAACGCTCTATGATTCATTACCAGCGTGCTGGGTCTAGGGCTGTTAAAAAATCCCGTTCGATTCACGAGGTTCCAGTCAGGCAACTCATCAACCAATTGGGGAGAAACACGTTTTTTTAGTGAGGGGCCTGAATTCTTCAATCTTGAGGATTGAGGACGGCTAGCCAGATGAGAAAGAGCACGAGGATGTCATAGTTAAGCAATAATAAGAATAGGTTGAGGAAAGTAATCAATATTAATATTGATACGTATTAATATTAATATTTTACTCGATTTCGTGGTCAACCCCTATTAGTGATCTTTTGCGAGTCCACGTGACATCTTCAGTGCTAAATCGGACCAATGTCGGACCGACATCCGTGAGGAACACTGTTATACATTCAAAAAAATACAACTACGTACCATCACTATTCTTTGACAGTGCAAAACTTCCTTAGCAGGTTGTTTGCATACTGTTATCAAATTAATGCATCCTGATATAATATAGACGATGAATCTCTAGCTACATAAGGATCCTAAGAATCTAATATATAGTACAAGGTACATAAAGAATATCAATTGATCTGCATGTATCTAATGGAAACCGACAGATGGTGACAAGGCCCTTAATCGATCTGCCCTTTTTTGGTTTATGCCTTGTCCTATAGAATGGTTCCCAGAGGTGGGTAAGAAAATGTCTGTCTTGAAGATCATCAATTCATTTGAAACTATTTTCAATATTTGTGTATATCAATGCTAGGTATAAAGAATTTCTTATTTTTCAGACTGTCCAGGATTCCTACCAATTGTAGGCTAACTGGATTATTAAAAATGCTCCTTTTTGTTTTGTGCTTCGTTTTGAGTCAGAAAGGTGCAATACAGTGGACATTGTCCCCCATGAAACCATAACAAAAGCCAAGAATATAATAAGATTCGAAGAAGAAACGCCGATGGATGCTACACAGAAAACAAAAAGTGAGTAACAAGCGGAAACAAAGTTCCAATACGACCCAAAAAATGATGAAAACTCGGGGACCACTCCAATCTATATACCCGGATCGTCATTTGTGTTAATATCCACCGTAGTTAGTCGCACCGTATGGAGTAGCCCCATACGGTGTCGCTCCACCTCCCCAAGCACTTCTATTCCCGCCATTTGCTGCCTGACCATACGCAGTGAACCCGCCTCCTAAAGCCGCATCAATTTCAGGCGGCTCGTATGCATCTGGCGAGCGAACCCCGCCCAGTGCCATGTCGTCCTCTGTATCACCCAACCCGTTAACCTGAGCCCCGGGGCCGCTGGGGTTCGTGAGCGTGTCCATTATTGTTGCTAGTTTTGTTTGCAGCGTGTAGATGCCTTGCTGCACAATTACGTCTGGCTCGAGGTTGCCGATAGATTCCACGTCCACGTAGAATGTGCTCGGCTGCGCATCGTAGTCGAATGGCTGATCGGGAGGGTTGGGTGTTTCCCATTTTCCATTCTCTGAAATAGGCCTAGTCATGTTAGTGACATTCTCAAAGATTTCAATATAGAAAGACGAACCATTCTTTGACCGGGTCCTCCTCATACCAATAATCGATATGCTTCAAATTATTGTGCGGGTCATACTCGAAACCAATCGCAGAAGTGGGTGCCCATTTCGAATGCTCCTTCGCAATACCTTTGCGAGCAATGCACGACAATTTAAGCTCTTGCCCTTTGATCAACTTGGCAATCAACGGGCCTTTGCCTTCCGGATCTGTGATAACAGGGTTGCCAACCCATTCATTCGCTCTATCGCCGGAGACCACCAGGTCGCGTGAATAAACTGCCATGACCTGGTCGGCTTGATTGCAACGAGCGTGTAGCGTCAGCCGCACACTACATCGCGAACACCAGCTCTCACATGTGCAGTCGCGATTGTACTCCATGTCCTGATCACAGTTCCTGCTGTTCAGTGGGATCAAGCCTAATCGGTGCGCGAGAAATTCATCTGGAAGAACAGAGGTGTTCGCTTCGACTTCGACGATGTCGATGGCAACGGTGGGCACCTCGGCGAGCATGGTGCGACGGAGGGCATTTGCAAGAGAGAGGTCCACGCTGGCGAGTTTGAAGTCGACGCGGTAGGGCTCGGCCTGTTCGTTTAGTTCGTGGGCGAGAATTGATGGGAGGAGAAAGACGCACTTCTCTAACAGTAACTTGGGGCCCGGTGGGCTCGATATCCATTTCGTAGTCCATGGCGAGGCTCAGCGGGAAGGGGGAGGGGGGATTTCGGGAAGCTCTATCAATCGACATGCATCGGTTGCAGGACAGATGTGCTACTATTCAACATTCAAGAATTGGTATAAAGGCAGGAAAAGGCGAGAGCGAGGTTGCGACAGCATAGCAGAGCAAAGCAGGTGGCGGAGGCCGTTATCAAAAAAGAACCAGCCTCGGCGACCCGCTAAGCCCGATCTGGACGCTACACTCAATATTATTAACCATCAACTGAACTACCAATCGATGCCCATGGATCATGCCATAACCATACATACAGAGAAGAGACTACGTCGTTAGCGGAATCAAACATCCCCAGATGTCGTTGCATTGGCATCGTACACGTATTGTACAGTTTATTTACAGTGAGTAGTAGGTATACTCCGCAAAGCATAGCAGTTTTCTATCAGCTCCCAACTATGCCAGATGATGCGATAGTCCAGGCTCCCTCGGACACGCCAGCTCTATCTTAGGAATCACACAGCAACCAAACAGAACAAAACACACAAGCAAAGACAGACACAACTTCACGCAGAGTACACATGACAAGAATGACCATAGTCACACAGTTAACCAGAAAGGCATCATAGAATGCCTGCTGGTCTTCTGTTTTCCATTATGCGCAGAATCTCCCACAAAGACATCTTCAACAACTTTCGCCATCGCTCCGCAAAGTATGCTGGATTTCGTATGCCCAAATCCCATATGCAATGCCATACCATTTAAGCCGCCGGTATCATGCGTAAACCCCTTATCACAACATGGTTGCAAGGATGTATGTGGAACTTAAATAAAATAGGTCCAAACCCCCACGCGTAGAGAAAACGGTCCGAAGAAGATAGGCAAGATGAATATGCAAGTTGGCAAGAATTTCACGTAGCCTCCCTGGAATGTAAGAGAAATAAAGGTGATGATAAAAGAAGTACAGCGAGATAAAATCAGGCGAAAGCAACTTTTCTAGCATGTCGGTCATATCAGGTCGTCATCTGCGGGCCACAGAAAGTAGTGTGGCTAGCACTTGCACAGTAAAACCCAGGTACTGATTAACGTCGCAACGAACTCCGATTTAATGCTTCGAGCAGCTCCGGACGACCGGCCAAAGCGGATGCAGCCTGAGAGTAGGAAACCCACTGCCGTCTTCGCTTGTGCATCTCGGGCCATTGCGCTTCTTCCCGGTTCACTATGGCTTCGAAGAATTGATATGACGCTTTTGGCGCATGAGTGGTCAGAAGGCTCATCGGTCGCATGTCTGGAATGACGCCGAGGTCTCGCTGAACGGTACAGATGACGCCTGCTTCCTCCCAAGCTTCCCGCTGGGCTGCCTGTTGAGCAGTCGGCTCATCCAACTCCCAGCCTCCCTTTGGCAAGACCCATCCTCCAGGACCAGCAGATTGAATCATCAAGACCTTGGTTTTATCTGGAGACAGGGGGACAATGCCGGCGACCAGCCTTTCACCTTTGGCGCCATACCCTAGAAAAAGTCGTCATGTTAGTTTCAAAACACTCTTCAAGTTAGATCAAGAGAAAAAGAGACAATCAAAAGAAAATTAAAAGAATAAAATAAGAAAGCTATAACACAATAATTGTGGTATGCAGGGTTGCAGGCTACCCCAGGAAATATGCACACGTGCTTCATGGGTCGAGGCAAGACTCACTCTGATTAGTCCGGCCAACACGGGACTCCATTGAATGCGTTGTAGCCGCCATTTTATCTGTCTTACGCCACGCTTGCGGCGATGCGAAAGCTCGAAAGAAATAGACAATTAGACAACCAGGACAACAGACAAATGGTAAAACCCAGCGACGGAAATGCTGACTGACGCAGCGGAACGGTGGTTGGGATGATGTGGTGGGTGGCTCCGGACGTGCGTTGGAGTGGAGGGACAGGCTCTCTCCGCACGATGCAAGACGGCACGATCTGGAGCGGAGCGAGGAGAGAAGGTGGAGAAAAGGAGGCCGGGCAGAAGACGGTGTTCGTGACCGGCCACCAGCGCAAGCGGAGAGGGAGGAGGAAGAGGAGGACGAGGAGGACGAGAGGGCCAGGCGAGGAAAGTCCAGAGTCAGAGAGCCAAGTTAAGGCCTGGCGGATAGCGGACCAAGCCTGGGAGCTCGGCGGTGTCGGCTAGCTCTCGGGGGGTGTTTGGAGGGGGCGAAAGGGAATTTTTCAGGGCCGGGTATAAAGTGGCGGAGGACAGGACAGGAAGGCGAGGACGAGGATGAGGACGGATGACTAGGTGAGTCCCCCGGCGAGGGAGGTCGTTGAGGCGGAAGACATCGTAGAAAGAAGAAGAGGGCGTCGAGAGAGGAGAGAGACAGAGGATCGGAGGAGGTAAAAATTAAAACACGAAGAAAAAGGATGAGATGAAGTGGGGAGAACAGTCGGTGCAGTGGAGGGGAGGTACCAAATCACAGCTAGTGGCGTACGGTACGGTACGGCCGTCCCAACGAGTAATACTGTCGTTGTCGTGCGAGGGCATGTCCGGGGCGTGTACCATCACGTCCTGCGTATTGTATCGTATTGTGTACTAGAGTACAGAATATACACATCGCAAAGACAGGTGTATGGAGTCTAGGGCTGGGCAGGGACTGGAAATATCTCTTTCTACCGCCTCAAGCGCCGCCTGTGATCCCTGTCGTCTGTTGATTAAGTTCATCATGCAGATCTGGCTGGACTGGAGACCCCGGCCTATACATGTACAGACGCATGTGAGGACCTATATATGCACAGTATTGAGTGTCCGCTGCAGGCCGAGCCTTTTGCTGTTGCGCAACTATTAGAATCATATTGTTTCTTGATGACATGACGCTCACTCGCACTTGTTGCCTGTATGCATGTATTTATGGACAAACCATGGATTGAATACATGTACCAGATGCAGTACTTATAGGAGTACATAGGACAAAGTGTAACCATGGCAGTCAAATCTGCGTTTCGAACACCTTATTAATATTATTCCTTACGAGGCACGCGTTAATAATATCTTATTGATAGTAGTGAAGTGTCTCTTCTAGAAGCACATATGCAGCTGCCAGTGCTATTGGCCGGCGGCTCCATACATCAGGATAACGTTATGTCACACGTATTCAATATTAATATTATTATTATTCCCACAACCAACGACCAACGACCAACAACCACCCAGGACTTCTCATCTCAGCAGCAACCCGCATCTGCCGTGCGTCCGCGAGCATTTCTACAGGGTTTCTTTCTTTGCTTCACGGCTGGTCTCCTAGTGGAATCGTACGCAGAGATCGCTGTGGATCGTTGCTCGCCCCTCACTCGGCCGCCCGCCACATCGACTAAACAGCACTGAACAGTATTATTAATATCAACAATAAAATTACTGAGCTGTGATCACCGTGTTACCCTCGAGAACAATTCACACTCGACAATTCAACCAGGAGCAGCCGAGCGAAACAAGACAGCACACATTCAACAACATGGACGCCGAGACGGCCAGGTCGCTCTCACTCTTCAGGCCTCTAGGTAATGATTAACCAGGACATCGGCCAGTCGGAGTTTTGCACAGGGCCTCGTGCCGAATCCACTGGTTCGCACCGTGCCAATCGTCCGGCGGTATTGGCGATACGAAGGGTGAACTGAACTGCACGCTGACTCGGACCGCTCTTGTAGGCTACCAGCGCAACTCGTGTGGCTACTGCAAATCCGACAACGGCAGTCAGTCTTCTGCTCCTTCTTATTATTTTAAAATAATAATAATAATAATAATAATAATAATTATAATTATAATAATTATTATTATTGTTCCAGCTGACAGCCCTGTACAGGCGCCTCGTACTATGCTAGCTCTGTCGCCGTGCGGCCGGAGCATTATGAGATCCTCGTCCGCCGCGGATGGCGCAGGTACTGATACCATATGCTCGAAGAGCACCTGACGCTGACGACACTGACGGCGACCAGATCAGGTACCTTGTATTACAAGCAGAACCTGCAGCGATCATGTTGTCCCCATTACACGATGAGGTACGGTCTCACTTGTTCCTTTTTTACGAATGCGATGGAAAAATTACATCCGTATTAACTACCGCAGGCTGGAGGCATCCGAGTTCAAGGCCAGGCGCGATCAACGCAAAGCCATCAATCGCTGGAATAAGTATGTGCTGGGCCAGGAGTATATTCAAAAAGTTGCCATGCTGGCCCCGAAGAGTCGAGAGTACGTGGGAATCAACATGTTCGTCCAACGCCAGACTAAACCCTAAAGTGAGAAAAAACGAGCAAAGCAAGAATTTGACCTCGTGAAAGCCGTCCACGCATCAGAGTATTCTTCTTTACAACGCCCGCTCGACCCCAAGACCAAGCGACCCATCGAGCCCGCCCATAAATTCGAGGTGACAATCGAGGGCGACTCTGTATCACAGAGAAAGTGAGTTTGACTATTGACCCTCCTTTTGCGATATTCATGTTCCTCCCAGGTTCGATGTGTTTCTTAAATACCAGAAGGCGGTGCACAACGAGTCGACCGACCGATGGAAGACAGCAGACTTCAAACGTTTTCTCTGTTCAGGCCTGAAACGCAATGACCCCAAGCAGGGCTCTGACGAGAAGAAGCTCGGGTCTTGGCACCAATGCTACCGTTTGGACGGCCGCCTCATTGCTGTTGCTGTGCTGGATCTATTGCCGGACGGCGTCAGCTCAGTATATTTATTGTAAGTCTTTGCGACAGGTATGTTGTTCTGTTCCTCCGATTGACCGTGGCGATAGCTATGACCCGGAATTTGGCGACTGGGAGTTTGGAAAACTGAGTGCATTACGTGAAATCGCATTGGCTACGGAGCAGAAGTACAAATATTACTACATGGGTAGACTCTTTTCATCGATACTCGTATTGAGTCCTCCATACTAAAGCATGCAGGTTACTACATCCACTCATGCCAGAAAATGCGGTACAAGGCCCTCTACAGACCGCAGTACATACTTGGTATGCAATTTACTCAACATCCACACAAACGGTCACTCCGGCGTAGTTAACGTGAAATAGACCCGGAAAGCATGACCTGGGATCCCCTTGACGGCGAATTGTGTCAAAAACTCGACAAACGCAGTTATGTCTCTCTCTCGCACGACCGCACTCACCCAGACGAGAAAAAAGACGACCTCCCCGAACTGGATAATGAAGAAGAACTGTCCCTTTTTGATATTGACATGCCCGGCGTTATGACGGCCACCGAAGTGTTATCCAAGATAGACCTTGACCATTGGCTGCTGCTTGTGCATGGTACATTCGTGCATATGATTGATTTAGTAGGATGGGAGGATGCTGACATCAAGGATGCACAAAGTGTCAAGGGGATTGTGGGCGAGCTGGCGGCGGTGCTGGGGGAAGAGGTTGTGCGGAACAGCGGGTGTGTGCTTTTTGACTAGAAGAGAAAAAAACAAATCTTGTAATGTGTGTAAAGATGTAAAGAACAGACATAAGCGAACTGAATTAATCTATCCATCTATCTATCTGTTTAGATGACAGTATCCAACCTGAGGTATGCAAGAGGCATATGCTATCCTATCCAACGCCGGAAATAGACCAACGACTGCTACTAGCCCACATGTGTGTGTAAATGCAAGACATGGCAAGTGAAAACTAGACTATGCACCAGACCAACCACAACTCCATACAAACATCAAATGTAGATTACATCAATTCAACGGGCGGCCGTGCCGTATGCGCGAGGATCTTCCTTTCAGACTCGCCATCCACAGGACTCGGATCTATCATATCCAAGTCAGAGTCTGTGCCCAAAATCGACGTATCCTCAACCATGACAGCCGGCAGATTCGGCGAACCGCCATGGTCGCTAGGGTGGTAAATCAATGTACTCGAGCGGCTGCGTCCGGCACTGGCCGACGACCCAGAACCAGCCGGCCACGAGCCCATTCGCGCAACGACGGGGCTTTGTTCTTTGTCGGATAATGGTGACGGAGGACGGTCATTATTGCTGTTAATCTCACTTTGCGTGGCACCTGGTGCCTCACCAGTCGTGCCTAGACGAGAAAGCGCCTCGGCCAGGTCGGTGGCATGGACTTCCTTGTTCGGGGGGTCCTCTTTGCGCATCACCCAGCCATGCGGCGGACTGGGAGGAGGGCTGATAAAGAACAGCTTCTGCGCGTGTGGCGCCTCGAGCAGTTTCCTGCGTTTTGCCACCTCAGCACTCTCGATCGGGGTGTGTTCGCCAAAGTAAACACGTGAACGCACGCCGGCCTCACCGAAGACAGTAGTGGTGCGTTCGAGATGCTGGCGGACTGCGACAGCGTCTTGTGTAGAGAGGAACGAGCAGACGATACGCCGGAAGCTGGGCAATGGGGAGAAGGAGTTGAGCTGCGCAATTGATGTGATGGCCTGGCGGATGGCGGCGAGCGAGGATGGTTGGAAGAGCAGGATGTTGTGCAGCTCGGTGATGATGAGAGTATTGCTGGGAGGCGACGGCTGGGAGAGCGGAGGGAGGTTGGAGAGGTCGATGCTAAGAGAGGGTCGCGATTTGGCGGGGGCCGAGGGAGCTGTCGAAGCTGATGAGGCCATCCTCTTCGCGGGAATTTGAGAGCGGGGGGAAGATGACGGCGGAGTTTTGTGGATTTTCAGGCGGACTGTGGAGTGGGAGGAGGAGGAAGAGGTGGTGGTGGTGGTGGTTGAGGAGGACGACGGGTGAAGAAGAGTTGCCACAGTCATGATTTTAAGTTTGCGTTGTTAACCACAGACGCCCTCTTCTGACAATGTAAGACCTAGTCCTGGTTTTGCCGACTACCTGATTGATTGCTATCAAGAACAATGAACTAAATGCCGGCCGCGCCCTCTTATATCTTCTTCTGAGCCCGTGGAAGCAGCGCATCCGCCGCGCAACAAGCCAGGCCGACCGTGGCGCAGCGAGTATAGGACAAGAGCCTGCGTCAGGCATTTTCCCCGCAAAATCGGCTGTGTCCTGCCCGCCATATCAATAATAGGGGATATTATTTGATTTGCGACGTAATCCGACTTGCTCAGCCCAATAGAAAGTGTCTGCCTACGCTGTGGGTGGCTGATGCTATGGCGATATGAAGTCCTCTCGTATGATCCCCTATGTCCGTATCGCGTGAACCATAGTAATAGCCACAGTAACGGCCTTCTCCGCTTGTCTGAGAGATCTACCTGTGTAGGCGTAGCATCGCCTCCCTCGCTAGGTATATTTCTAACTAAGCACCAGTAAGAAATTGTGCTACCTATGGTGATGGACGTGCAACTGTATGATTGCCGTGTCGCTGCGTGACAGAAACCAGCCGAATATATCGCAATCAACGTAATTATCCGAAGCAAAACCTGATAAGACAGACCTGGATCTATCAGAGAGCACTGTCCAAGAACTTACGGGGCAATGGTTGCTGATGACATGGTTCCTGTCTACTCCTGGTGTTGTGGAATCCATCAAGTCTCGAAGTGTCGGAACGCAATCCGGAATAAATAACAATACTCTCAGAGCAGGACCAACATGACTCAACCTCCATAAGCTAACGTTGTTGTATCAGAAAAGACACTGCCTTTTCCACAGTTTGTCTTTATTGCTGATATTATACGGTGGGTTTTACGAGCATTACGATAAGCAGTCGCCATACTGCGCCGCAATGGAAAACCCACCTCCTGCGAACCATGCCGGATAGCAAAAGTGCGCTGTAATCATACCACCCCACTTTGTCGTCCATCTCAGCTGAGGAAAACAACTAGCCAGGTATACGCAACATCGTTAACTTACTGAAAAGGAATGCCGCCTGCATCTTTAAATAAGGTAACAGCGCCAGTGGATGCATTACTATGGGTAATTACAGTAAGATACTTTAACTATCTCTATTTTGATTTAGGCCGATTGACTGATTCTTAAACTTTTAAAATCCACCAACCCCCTCCTTTATTAGAGAGTAACTGTATTCAATCTTAAATACTTAAAAATATACATTAATTAATTCTTACTGCTTCTCCACATATTCAACCACTGATACAGTGTGAAAATCTTAAAAAGTCTTAGCATAGCTTTCAAAGTCAATCTGTCATCTGATCCTATAACCTATACATTAGTACTGAATTTAATATTTTGAAGAAGGTCTGTAATAACCTTTTGATGTTAGCAACAAACCTGCTCTATAGAGCATGGGGATACGCCAATAATTTTCTCTAGCCAGGAAATAGACTTGAAAGATCAGTACGTCCCTACTACTTTTCTTTGCTGCGAATAGACTAAGAACGAGTCGTTCACAAACCATCAAGTAAATATTCAATACTTTCAAACCTTCCCAAATTGTTCCAGCAAGTGAACCTTTCTCTTGTAGCCAATGGCTCGCTAAGGCTCTCAAATTCTCATTACATAGTATCCCCTCCGTTTTTGCACTCTCTCGGTTCTTGAACCATTCATAAAACATTTTCAAATTTGGCAGTTCAGCAACAAGTTGAACCCCGTATAATATGTTTGCAAAATGTAACAAAGAGAACAAGACGCAGTCTCCAATGGTCACGTTGTTTCTACTCTGTCCTGTTTCTTCCATCTCATCAGAGATCTAAAAACGCGAATCACCAAGATAATAGAGATTAATGAGTGCCAGGGTCTTGTTGCAAGAATCCATGGCAACTCTTGCAGTAGCAGGGCTCTGTTTCTCCCGCAATGAAAACATCGCGCTGCCTTTATGGCACGCCAGAGAAAATAGCTGGTGGCCTCATCTGCCAACTGCATGACTTCCCTCGTCTTGGCCCTTTCTTCCGGTGTTTGTCCCCGCATGCTGCATCCCGCCTTTCTCATTGCATCTCCATCTGGGATTGTATTTCGTGATCAGGGGCCTCCTGGTGACGCTGGAAGTTATCACACATATCCTCAAGGTACTCAAGAGTCGCGATGGATTGTTTAATAAAAGTCCCCTTGTTCAATGCAAGAATCGCCACACTGCCAGGACGTTTACCTGGAGCGGCCATTTGGAGAGTGGCCATCGTAGTGACCGGGGTAATTTTCATTAGTGCAGCAGGATCGGTACTTGTTGTGCTAAGATGTTTTTCTGAAAGATAGATTAGTACTTGGCGCGGATATAGGCTGCTAGGAAGAATAAAGAGTTCTAGACGCACTATAAGCCGAAATGACGTCTCAGTGAGGAGCCCATACCAGCATCCCATTACGGAGTATGGCGCAGCTAATACGGAGTAGCTCACAACATTTAACGTAAGGGAGTCAGTCATGGAGCAATGAGATCTGCCTGTGATCGTCGGGCATGTAGTTGCATTATATAGAAACTACAGCAGTTCACTGTAGTCAGAGCACAGACCACAAAAACCTGCTTAAATTTTGGAATCTCTGTGCTTTGAAGATTTGGGGTGCTCACTTTCACATTTCTCCTTTATTCCCTTCGCAACCTCAGTCTTTTTTGTGAAGCCCTCAAACAAAACCAGGATCCCGCCGCCAAGTGTGCGAATATCTATCAGATAGCCCATCTTAACATCTATATATATTATTAACCATTTAACTTCAGCAGCAATAATCTACAGCTTCAATAAAATATAAAACAGTAGAATAGCTGTTTTATTTCGGCGGTTAACATATCATACACGGTAATGTCAAGCTACTACCTCTCCAAAAGCCCACCAAAAGCCCCCCAGAATGATAATTAATAATATCTTCCTATAGATCGTTAAGAGGCGAGATCCTGTTCGGACTAGGTCTGCGGATCGCCTAAGCCAAAGCCGGAAGCGGAAACGGAGTGTTGGCGTTGCTCCGGTTGCTCCGCGCAGGACCCATCGATGGATATAAATTGATACAGTTATATACGGCTTCAATTTGGTTCAGACTGGTTTACCTTCTATCCTAGTTGTTGGCATGTTGCCGTGCTCATCATAGCTATCACGGTGTTTATCACAACTGGCTTCGTACTATCTAATGATGGCTCTGCCGCCACGCAAGATCCTGCTGGTTGTCACAACTGGTGGCTTTACTCATGCAGGTACCTACTATCTGGAACAAAAAACGACAGAGTTACTCACTGATTGTGATAGCACCTGTCCTCGATGTGGCAAAGGTCCTGGCTGACCGCGGTCACACGATCGAGTTCGCCACGCTGAATGGGCAGGGGCACTACATCGCCAACTACCCCTTCGTATCCAAGTTGCATCTGCTCGGTGAGGGTCCAACTGAACAGCAATATGAGGAACACTACCTGCGAATGCGTCGCTGGAACCCCGACTATCCACTTGCCGGAGCAATGCCGTCAAAGTACATGTTCGATTCATTCTGGCCGGTCGCTTACCACGGGTTGAAGAAAATCATGGACGATCCAGCCGACCGACCAGATTTCATCTTTGGCGACTTCTTTGTTGATGCCATCAAGGACATGCACATCCAGTATAAAACCCCCATAGCCATGATGTTCCCGCAAATGCCGGCCCTCATGTTCCCCTGTTCGTATATCCCAGGGGAATCGGGGTTTCAGTTACCGGGAACTACAACTTCTGAGAATGCGTCGATGTGGCTCCGAATAAAAAACGAGTTGGTTGTCGTTATGGGACTTCCAACAATACTGCCCTTTTTTAGATGGACCAAAAATATGCGCCGTCAACACGGCGTCAAATACTCATTTCCCTCGCACAGCAAACCCGATTACCTTGTTTTCATCAACTCATTTTTCGGCCTTGAGCCCCCTCGCGATCTACCCCCGATGGCTGCAGCCATTGGTCCTATACTCAGCGATGAATACGCGCTCCTAGATGAGGCTTGTCGGAAGTTTCTTGTCGCACATGAAAATGTTATATATGTCGCGTTAGGAACACATGTAATACTGTCCGGTAATGACACCGCCAAAATTATAACCGGGGTGCTTCAGCTCCTAGACGACAAGGTCATCGATGGAGTGATTTGGGCAGTTAGCAAGAATGGTCGTCAGGACATGGACCGCAATCATTGTTTCACAGACCGTCAAGGCACCGTCCACAATTTGGGTGATCTCCTCGACGGGAAAAATCCCTCCTGGCTGTTCCCATTCTTCGCGCCGCAACGAGCCGTGCTGGCTCACGAATCTACAAAGCTCTTCTTTACCCATGGAGGAGGCTCTAGTGCTAACGAGGGAGTGTATCATGGCAAGCGCATGCTGACTATGGGGGTATTCTTCGACCAGGTTGCCAATATGGAACGACTAGTGCACGGAGGTGTGGCTGAGCCTCTGCACAAGTTTTACTTCACCCCCGACGAACTGTACACCAAAGCGCGGCGAGTGCTCGAAGACAAGGACGGAAAGTATTCGCGAAACTCGCTTCGAATGCAGCGCATCGCGCACGTAGCATCACGGCGGAAATACCACGCCGCCGATCTAATCGAGGAAGTCCTTTATGATAACGAATTACGGCTTCAAGACGGCCGCGAGCTGCGCCCCATGCATCTTCAAACAGCCGATATGCGAATGCCAACGTATAAAGCGCGGAACTGGGACCTGAAGGCTGCTACGATACTTAGTATGGGGGCTATCGGTTGCTCATTGGGACTGGTCGCGAAATATGCCTGGAGAAATCGGACCATTATCCAGCAAGCGGTCAGCTCGGTACAGTCTCGAGCCTGATCAAATGAACACGGCGTATATTGAGCAGAATTCAACCAACGAACCTGCATATTACTAGAGCCATCAATTTGGCGAAGAAAGATACTGTAATTAGACTATTGACCATATTGTACATGTGTGGAGACATTCATATATACACACACCCCTGCAGGGTTTAGATATGCAGGAGATGGATTCCGTCGTAAATAGTGTTCATAACTGGCCGCCTAAACGGAACTATGGATGTTCTCATTAATGAATATGAATATGATATTGATATTAAATGGGGGCGACTGGACAGGTTCTCGATAAGGTCTAAGTATCGCAGTTCACTGGAGGTCTGAGCCTCAGCTGGCCCGCAGGGTTAGTTCAGGCCTCCCCCACTGGATGATGCGATTACGGATTCGTTATCATCTAGAGCTTCAAGGATTCGAGGCTAAATGGAAGGGAAGGATCGTACCCCTTGATAGTAAGGCTTTTGATATCGCAGTTCTACCTATGTAGTGCCCGCTTCAGCTAATGTTGTCCACAATGAACAAAATTCAATGAAATAAAATCTGAAATAAAATCAATAATGACTATAGATACGATAGTAATTCAAACACATCAAACGATCCCAAGCAGCAAAACGCAAAGGTCGGAAACTCTAGCAAGGTTCAGGGTTTGGCGTGTCGCAGTGCATGCATAAATGATGAATCAATCGAGAAAGATGGGCATGATCACATGAACTGACCACAATCGGGTCATCCATCATCCACAGAGGATACTGGGCTGATGGCGACTGAATTTTGGCCCAACTATACTTAACTATAGATAGTTCGTACGGCTATCCACTCGCGCATTTCTTGACTTGATTGGGAATGTCGTATAAGCCCGTTGAACCGAAAGGAGGGGGGAATCGGATGATTATAGGCGAGTTAAAATCATTGATCACTTCGAGAAGAGAAATTCAAGACAAAATAGGTAGGAGATCTATCTAATAGCTCCTAGATCAAGATAAGCAAATTTAGCGTCTATTTCTCTCTTTTGCTCTTCGGGGTGGTGTTTTCTAGAATCGTCAACCGGACTCGCGTGTCAATTAGGATCCGGTTAGTTGCTAACGGCCATCGCGAACATGCAGAATGGAAGTGCCGTCGACGGACGCCTACAAGCTTGTATAGGTTAGTCCATCAACTGAGACACGTCGTGAGTGAGAAATTTGGAAATACCGGCTGCTATTCTCGAGAAGCTTAAGATGTGATACTCCTGTCCATTGCATCATCGCCCAAATTTAGATGTGATTAATTTATATTGGGTTGGAGATCGGGCGAAACATACGACTCATTGATCGCTTCTCAACGTCTCTGCCAGGGGTAAACTTGCCGATTACGCAGTATTTGTCAAGTAATACAAGTAATACCAAAGTGGTCTGGCCGTGCGGCGGACATGGGTGTGTTACAGACCGGCCCCTCATGGTGAGACGAACACCCTTAGTCCTGAGGAGACTAGACCAGAGCGGGGAGCTTGACGGCCTAGTCCATCTTAGCATGTTCTCACATTTGGTCAGATTCCCAATTAATACTAATCTAGATGGCTAAGGCGTTGGAGCATGGCCTGCGTAACGCGTACAGAGCAGGTCGAAATCAGTTTCAGCATACGCCAGCTCCTCTAGTACTACGCCTAATATGTGATGTGTCATATCCCCGAATCAGGAGTGAAGGCTGAGCGGGGCGACCGGAATGGTTTCGCGTTTGCGTTCCTGGGGAAGGGGTCATGGAAAGCATGATTTCGAGTTTTGCGACAAACTAGTTCGATTTCAGAGCTGGTGATAGCGGGTCTAGCCCCAAGCAGAACACCGGCCCGGAATCCTTCGCGGTGTAGTTTATTCGCTCCCCGAGAGCTCTGTGCTGGTGAAAATTTCGATTTGGCAGGCGACGACGACGATGCTGCTGCTGCAGATGAGATGATGAGATGGCGATGGCAGCATGGCGGCGGCGAGATAAATCCGACCTGAGACGAGTCTGGAGCAACAGTTAATTAATACCCACAGTCTAATCCTCGTGGCGGGGCGTGGAGGAGGGGTAGAACTAGACAAGTCTAAACTAGGATGGCGATGTTAGCCGTTTATGGCTGCCAGACACCGGCACCCTCATACGGGCAGTGTGATGATCGACGAAGGGGAAAAGGGTGAGGCCGCGACCGAAATTGAGAACGGATAGTCATGGTTGACACGCGCTAGGCTGGATGTGGGCAGCCCCTCGCCTTCCAGAACAGGAAGGAACCTCTTTCCCTTGGGCTTCCCCGTGCCTTCCCTCTCCCTTCCGCTCCTTCCCAACCAGCCATCCTTAGGGTTACTTGATCCCATCAACCACCAGCATCCAGCAGCATTCCCTCTCCAGTGCCATCGCCAGCGTTCTCCAGGCGCAAGTACCAAGTACTAACCCCGCTGCTGCCTCTGAGTCGCGACTGGTTAGGCTGCCTGTTGTTGGTGCAACCGGATTGGCTTCCTGTACTGATAACCTTAGCCTGCTGCATCTGGTTTCACACTGCTACGCTTAACACGAGCACGGGGCGCCTCACTAATATACAAGATTCCGACGCTCCCTCCGTCATGTGTCTGGAGGTGCGTGTGGGCGTGCTAGTCACAACGCCACTGCTTGATCGTGGTTGTCTGAAGATATTAATCATAGTCAATTGCCATGGATAATACTTTAATCCCCCCGCCTCCCCCCATGGACAGGTCGACCACGGCCGAACAAGACATGGAACTGCCCGCCAACTATGTCAGTCTTGGCCTCAACAACATCGTTGCCAGAGAAACTCGCGTCGAGGTAGGCGGATCGTCGTCATCTCATGGCTAGCAGAACACTTACTGTCGACTAGATTGAAAACAATAAAGTCCAATTTCCCGATGCCTACTGGAGGGCCGGCAATCCAGCAACAGAACGGCCAAAGCATTACAACTTGTGGCCTGTCTTGAAGAAGGCTGTCTCGGCAAATCTGGTAGAAGGAGCCAAAGTCGCTCGCAAGTTAACGGAAACCCACTTCAGCACGTCTTTGCCAGCCACATCGACTCAATCTCCGCCCAAGATACGCTCCTTATCAGCCAGGCGAAAACTTAGCTTCCCAGAGTTGGGCAGAGGAATCATGGTTGCCGGTCACCATCCTCGAATGGATTCTCGTAAGTATACGTATCGTCGAGGCCGAAATTCTACTGCTTCGGATGCTAAATATTGCCTTCTAGCAACCATCCCAGGGAGGTTTCCCGTGCATGAAAGGTCATACAGCGCCCCCGGTGGGCCATCAACCCCCTCTATATTGCACGAAGAATCAACGTTGATTCCTGTTTCTGAGCGTTTCATCTGGTTCGCAGATAGCGATGATGAAACCAAGATAGCTGCCGCTACTCCCTTCAACGACAAGCTGAAAGAGGCCGCCGAAAGAACACCGACCGCAGATAAAACATCCCCTTCGGCCAATATCGTTGGAAAGTCTTTTGAACTAAAAGGAGACTGTGATGAGGAAGAGAAACCCCCGGTGCCACCCAAGTCACCTCGCTTGACTACCCGTGCTGCATTGAATCAAGAGGGACGACTAGCCTCCAAGTACAATTTGTCATCACCGAAGTTGCCCCTGAGAATCGACACAAATATCGCCAAGGCCGAGCCTTCAGTAAACATAGTGCACATTACCCATCAAGCACGCCCACTAGTAACGCAGCCTCGCGCATCCACTGCAATGGACTTCTATCCACCTGCCCCTATCACTGCTCGGCTTCACAAGCGAAGCGAGAGCGCATCCGGCTCTGTTATGCCAACAAAGACCGAATGTCCAGAAAAAAACCGAAAGCCGATCCCCACCAAAGAACATGTGAAATATGTGTCGACTGAAAAGTCGATCATGGCACGTGGCCGACCGAACAAACGCCGCGCCAAGGGCGAAATAGTAACTAAGCAGTCTATCTCTTCGGAGCGGATTAGCTTCGCGACAATACCTCCGGGATTTGATGTAATAGATGCTCCAGTACAATTTCCTCCGTCAGATGTCGAGAAAATACAAACCCAGGCCAAGATTCAAGCACAGAAATTCAAGGTGCTGAGATATGATGATGTTAAAGCTATGTCGCAGGCAAGATTTCCCACTCATTAACCCGAGCCTTGACAAAGTACTCATACTTTACTAAAGGAGCTTCGTGTTCTCGACGAACGCTGCGATTACCTTCGCAACACTCATAAATCTCTTCGCACAGGGCGCAACCGTTTACACGAGCGGATGATCAACTTTCTTCGTTCACCACGGTCGACAATAAACTATCGCGAGAATATGCTGAGGCAAGGTGAGGCTCTGGCGGAGCTGGATCGTTCCATCGACGAATGGATTAACAAGCTCGAGCAAGTTGAGCACAGGCGAACTTGTGTTCGTCAGAAGCTGCTAGAGCATGTTGCCGCCTCTCTAATATTATCGGCCACGGCATCCTCACAAGGTCCACCGCTACCACACCATACTCCACCTCAAAGTCCTTTTAATTCCGAGACTGGCTCCGACGCTGCTCGGGAGTCAATAAAAATCTACGCAGATTCTGGAGTCTATGCGGATGCAGACATAGAGGATCTGCTTGCGGATATTCAACGACAAATGGACGACATGAGCCCATCCCGAGATCCCTCTCCTTGTCTAGAGAGTGCTGTGACAGCTTAAACACATAACGATATGATGGAATAATTGAAACATACTAATGATGTTGAACGATGTTGTATGACTAAGATGAACCGTCAAATATAACGTGCACAACGCCACTTTACCCTGACAAGACTCTTTGCTCATGACCGTTATTTGCTTTTCCCCTTTTTCCATTTCCGACGTCATGCAAATCGACGAAAATATTTCAATTACATTTCTTCCAACCAGCTACTCCACGGGCGAGACCTATATTTAATGCCACCCTGGTCTTTCGCTTTTCTTTGTGATATATCTATATAACAACGGGGTGGTGGTGTGGAAACCCATTTGAGACCACGACACCACCCGCGTGTTGCGGATTAATACCGAGATATTGGTGTAATGTGAGATGGACCAGGTAATATTGGATAATATTACTGTCACATTTACTCGAATAGCTAAGCACTGAAAAGGAATCTATACTTCGTGAAATTTTATCTATCGTGTGTGCAAACCTGACCGCTGCCTGAGCGTGTAGGCAGCACTGGCTGCACCCTCACATATTGCATCCGATCCTTTCTTTAAAAAATTTATTTCTATATAGCCTAACCTATCCTCCTCGGTTGCGTCATTTCGACAGGTTGCATATTTTTGCTAATTAACATGACAACCACCGATTGATTGGATGTTTACACGAAGAGAGAATCTGCGCTAACCTTCTAAAGGAACATACGCCGCCCTAATTTTGCGAGATCTCCACCGTGGCATTTTATGGTATCGTAGTATTGCTACGTCGGGGAGAGGGATCTGCAGGAGTCGTCAACGCCGGCAAACACGTCTAGGGCCTGTGATTCGCTTACAGCCCTTAAACAGAGCTATATGTTCCTAGATTTCTCCACCACAGTAATCAAAGTTGCCTATCATCCGTCGATCGCACATGTCCGGGTGCAAATCCCCCGATACTCAAACAATCTAGAGGAAAATCAAGGCAGCCGCAATCCTGTCCCAATAATGTAGTATATAATTGCACTATCCCGCTCCTTTGTGTCCCATTCACGCATCCAATTAATCGAGAAACGCCACAATGCGCGGCCTGACTGTGTTCACATCTCTCGTGGCTGCGGGAGCTGCCCTGCAGAGCAACCCGCACTCCCTCGCCAGAAAGGCGGGGCCGATGGTTTCCACAGCCAACAAAGGCATTTTCGAGGCTGAGGCCGAGTCGGCCAAATTCCAATTCCTGACCAATTCAACGGAGAGTAAGTAGATCGTGTTCTGACTCGCTATGGAATACGAGTAGCTGAATTGAATTTGGCAGAATTTTTCGTCAACGGCACCAACTTTCCTTCGGTCCCCTTTGATATCGGCGAATCGTATGCCGGGACTCTCTCCAACACACCACATGGCAGCTCAAGCCTCTTCTTCTGGTTTTTCCCGTCAATGAATCCGGCGGCAAAAAAAGAGATCACCATTTGGCTGAATGGTGGACCTGGGTGCAGTTCCCTTGACGGACTACTGCAGGAAAATGGGCCTTTCCTCTGGCAATCCGGCACATACGAGCCAGTTCGCAACATGTACTCATGGAACAACCTTACCAACATTGTCTATATTGACCAACCTGCTGGAACAGGCCTTTCCCCGGGACCAGCCACAGTCAAAAACGAACTCGATGTATCTAAACAGTTCAATGACTTCTGGCGTCGGTTCATCGATACCTTTGCCATGCAGGGCTACAAAGTGTACATAACTGGAGAGAGTTATGCTGGACAGTATATTCCATACATCGCAGAGGGGTTCCTTGACCAAAACGATACCAAACATTTTAACCTGAAAGGTATCCAGATTAATGACCCATCTATTAATGATGACGCTATCCTCATCAATGGTGAGCTGCCTTTAGCATCAAGAGAAATAGTGACTAATAGAACAAAAAAGCCCCGGCTGTTGCAGCACTCAATCACTTTTCGTCTGTCTTCAATCTAAACAACACATTTATGAAGTACATTAATGCAAAAGACGAGAAGTGTGGTTTAACAAAATTTCTCAACGAGGCGTTGACATATCCACCACCAAAGACCTTCCCGATTGCACCTGATATTTCGAGTAACGAATGTGCCCTCTGGAATGAGATCACAGCTGCGGCTGCACTCGTTAACCCGTGCTTCAACATATACCATCTAACTGATTTTTGCCCTTACCCCTGGGACGTCATGGGCTTCCCATCCCTTGCAGGTGGTCCGAATGATTACTTTAATCGCTCTGACGTTCAAAAGGCGTTGCACGCACCACCGACAGACTATTCAGTCTGCGTGAATAGCGTTCTCCCAGAAGGTGATACCTCTGTACCCAGCGCTCTGGGCCCGCTACCAAAGGTTATCGAGGCTACCAATAATGTCATAATTGGCCATGGGTGGTACGATTACCTACTATTTATGAATGGAACTCTGGCAACGATCCAAAATATTACTTGGAATGGTGTCCAGGGTTTCCAGAAACCGCCTATTGAACCATTACTCGTTCCCTACACCTCTGGTATACTTTCTGACCCGAATACCTGGGATGGTGGCGCGGGTGTTCTGGGTACGGCCCATACAGAGCGTGGCTTGACATTCACCACCGTATATGGTTCGGGCCATGGTAAATCCCTTTTCTCTTTTTTAAAGATTCCAAATTTAATGGATTATCATAGAAATTCCACAATATGTCCCTGGCGCAGCATATCGCCAGCTCGAGTTTCTGCTCGGACGCATTCATAGTCTTCACGAACCGGGTCCATTCACGACGTTGCAGTAATTCAGGACATGTCAGTTCGCTATATATCAATGGACGTAAGTAGAAACCTGTGAGACGTGACGATTCAGTCGATTCCTGTACATGTACTGTAACAATCTAAGCATGCTCTGTAATCCAATAATATATAGAAGATGGTTATTTGGGTACATGAGGAACACAGAGCTCTAATATATGGCTTAAGGTATACAAAGAATCCATATATCGTAATGGGAATGACATTAAATGGTTCCACTATGGTGGAACCCCATAGATAATGACACTGGTCCCTCATCGCCCATTACATACTTCAACTTTCTCAATTTACGTTCCTCGCATCGGAGCTATTTCGTAAGACCACATTTAAGGTACATGGCATGTTGTCGGCTACCCTGATGATCAATTTCGTATCGCACCGTTTGACCGCGCAAGCAATTACCAGAGATCATTCGCGAATAAGTATCTAGCCGACCTTAAAACTCAGCGCAACCTCACTAATGATCCAGAAATTGCTCAGAGATAGTTCGTTACCCATCTCAAAATATTATGCTGAGAACAATAGACCATTTATACTATTACGCAATAACATGCAACCGTCGAACATACTTGTAAATCCAGAAACGCCAATATTATTACCATGCTTGATTTCGAGTCTACGAATGCCATGCCGGCCGAGTTCACGTATGGTCCGCCTTGGTGGTGTTGCGTCTGGACCGGAAATGTGGCTTGAGCTGTAACGATCTAAGGAATTTGTGCATTCTAAATATACAGGGAAGATTTTTTCTAGCAGTACACAAGAGACCTAGGGCTCTAATATATAGCCAGAGGTACACAAAGAATATCTATCTATAGCTCTGGATGGTCTCACCATGGTGAAAACCCTTATATCATGACATGAGTGTTACTCTATGGATAAACTTTTGGCCCTATACGAGCCCAGAATGGATCAAGTCCTACAGGCGCTGGTACAAGTGGAAAGGAAAACAACATTAAAACAATCTAGAGGATCGGTCATCTCTTGCTACTCGGATACGCGACTCGTGGAGGACTGGGCGTTTATGGTTCGCTTATGCAGCAAGAAAGTGCTTTGATGTGGACATCATTTATTAGGCTGCACTGCATGACGACAGTGCGTGCCTCAATCTATTAGATTCCGTACTATAGATCGAAACTCTTTATGTTCTTTGTATACCTTCGACACTATACTAGAGCCTTATATCCCTTTTATATAGATATCTATACTATCGTTTTTTTTATATATTTACGATCTATAGATATCTTAGATCATTATATCTATTATTCATAATTTATATATAATTCATAATTTTACATTTTTAATAAATAAGCTATATATAATTATAGTAATTAATTATAATATTAGTATCTTAAAGATGATTTCCTTTAACCTCATCTTATCCTCATGCCAGTTGGTTTCGTAACACTTAGGGGTCTGACTCATACGCGGGTGAAATACGTTATTAGCGGCTACATTAAAAGCCCATTTTATTTTGACGCCATGATTAAAATACAGCACTTTGATTTGCTAATTCGTAGCAAATCTCTCCATACCTTATTTATAGTCGAAAAGCCACTTCAGCAATCATGGGACAGTCCTCAACGCGTATCGAGTCATAACACTAGGATACCGCGGGGCCACCACCAGAAATTGCATCTACATAACCTCGTTCCCAGATCAATCATATAAGACTTATAAGTGTCTTTTATTGAGGTATTATCACACGACTAATTTTGAGTGCTCTTTTCCAATCCTCATTGTTTCAGGCCCGCTGTGCGCGGAGCGCGTCGAGTAATATTAGTCGGCTTAGTTGTAACAGTCGGTCGGTCGTAGCTTTTCTGTGAGTAAATTAATCAGCCTAGATCGGGCTTTTTATTGGCTGAGTTTTTCACTTCTGACCTTAGCCTCTCATGGATTTCCCGAAAAACAAAGACTAGCGTTAATTAAGTTTACCTAGCATTAGAGAGCTGAATAATAAAAACTCAAATATAGTCGATATGGTCGACATGGTCATGTCTTTTGAACTCCGATTTTATTCTTAAATTAGATTGAAGAAGAGTTTAGCTGCCATCGTAAAGGTCGACGAAGCCTATTTCGGAAACCCATTCACAAACTATTCTGTAATGAGAACACGCTTCTATCTAAGCTCAGCTCGGTGATTATATTCTGTTGAAATTGGGGTCCGTTTCTCTGGGAGTTTACATTGAAGGGGAAAATCGATGAGGAGGCTTAAGGGACCCCACCAGAATACTATTATGCACCTGATAACATGGTACAGATTTAGGGTCCCTAGTGTGCTCTTCTACATTTGATTAAAGACCGCCAAGGTTGCTCGACTGATACCTTTCTCTCCTTTCTCTCGTCTCTCCTCTTCAAGACTTCTATACGGACTACTTCCACGATCTGATTCCTTCTCGCTATCTAGATAGATCGACTTGGCATTACAGTATCACCGTGAACATGTCTGAGTCCACCGAATATCAGCAGATAAAATTAGCTCTACGAGACGCAAAATGCGCGGCCTACGTCGAAGGATTCAAGCCTCCGTATAACTATGTCCCATCTCTAGGCGCTGGAGTGGCCTTTTGCGTCTTGTTTGGGCTTTCCTTAGCAATCCACACAGCACAATTTTCCTGGAAGAGGAAATGGTCCTATGTGCTATTTTCCATTGGTACCCTGGGTAAGACTGGACATTATGAGCAACTGGAGAATTTCAAGTTTAGTCAAATGGCTTATCATTGCATAGTTGAAATACTGGGTTGGGCAGCCCGGACATGGTCTGCACATTGCCCCTACAAGATGACTCCTTTCTTGATGCAAACATCGACTCTTATTCTTGGTAACCCCGCCTTTGCAGTCATTTCGGTTGGAAATGTTATTAGAAGGAAAAGGCTGACTGAAAGAAGCTCCGACCTTTTTTACGGCTGGTATATACATCATTCTCGGGGAATTCATTCGCCTCCTTGGGCGTAAATCTTCCATCCTCAGTCCTACGCTATACCTATGTATCTTCAGCACCTGTGATGTCATCTCACTCGTCATACAGGCTGTTGGTGGTGGTATGGCCTCTTCTGCAACCAACAAGATCAACGGCAATACTAAACCTGGCACGAACTTGATGGTCGGCGGCATTGTTTTCCAGATGGCGTCAATAACCGTCTTTGTCATCTTCGCCATCGATTTTCTGGTTCGCGTGATACGACTTGATCTGTTGCGTACCTTGCAGGGCTCAGTATTGCCGTTATTCAGCGCCACTGCCTTTTCTGTACTGTGCATCTATGTCAGAAGCATATACCGAACGATTGAATTGTTGCAAGGCTGGTCCGGTCCTATAATTTCAACAGAGAGATATTTCATTGTTCTGGATGGCTGCATGATGATCTTGGCTGTCGCCATATTCAATGTGTTCCACCCCGCCTGGTTTCTACCACACCGAAAGGAGGTCGATTTGACGAATGGGGAAGCTGATAAGGCAGACACGGTTCGTGTCTATATGAGCGAGGCGAAGACAGCATAGTCAAGCCTCATTGCATGAAGAATAACTCTAAAGGGCTACGCGTATGGAGATAGATAGGGTTAGCTACGCGTATGGAGATAGATAATATCTACCGCTTCGGACGTTAGAAGGATTTACTTGAAGGCTGTACGGGGTAAATAGAACTAGATATCTCTTGACTTGTACGAATTGGGCTCGCTTCTATCGTTCGAACACGTGGGTCCCGAACACCCACATCTCCTGGTGAAGAGGGGTCTATGGCAGCACCGTGATTAGGAATGTTGTAGCAAAAGCGGTTCTACGTGATGTTATTGGGTTTACCTTCTTTACTTAAAGTTGTTCAGTAAGCATCTAAGTGAGTAATACTAATAGTACCGTTTATAATTTTTCTTAGTTTCAGCGCCATATTTTCCTCATTTGACAAGCCATGTTGGAAAGCTAACTCTAGATGGTTTTAGAATTAGGTTCCTTAGAGGCATTTATTCCCTTGCGGGAATGACAGAACTCCAGATCCCGGCTCTCAAGTTGAGGAATGGAAGCAATCATTGTATATCTCCACTCCCAGTAACATCTGCCGTGAACTACGCCAGCGGCTGGTCGAGTTTTTAGGCATCATTTAGATACCTCCTGTTGGGGAGGCAGGTGTAGTTATTGCCACAACAGCACGTTGCGGCATCTGATTCTCGAGGACAGGTGCGGGTTGAGGTATAGATCAATGTAAACGAGGCGGGCATGAGAATACTTATCGGGATCTGTAGCTGAAATGAGTGAAACTTTACTCGCAAGCGCCTGAAGTTCTTCAACGCCGCGACGTTGAAAGTGGGTGAAACTGATTCGCTGCTCGGGTGTGCAATATGGGGCTCTAGAAGCTTTGGAGAGAAATTCCAGGATGTGGTGTGAGACTCGCATTCTGATATGGATTTGATGGATGTATTGATCTATAGAAAACTGGCCCACTGGATCAGTATCACTGCACAATACCAATGGCGGTTCTATAATATAGTCCGTGATGGGATTCTCATGAGATAAGGGGTACGTTTCCTTTTCGAGGTATTCCATGTCTTGCAGGATAGAATGTGAATCAGATAGCACCTTTTCAAGGTTTCCTAGATTAAGGAGGCATCTAATACGACTGCAAAGGGCTGAACAGTGATAGGAGAAAATAAGATGTCGAACCACGGGATATTCTGATGGGTCACAAGACTGGTAGAACCCTTGAATCCATACCAAGATAGCTTTGGGAGGGGGTCGGCCAGTTACGATAGCTTGCATTAACTGGGACAAATGTCAACTTGGTTATTAAATATAAGGTGAATAGAGACAAAATTAGTCTTACCAGCATATTATAGAAAATTACGAGCAAATTTCGCTTATCCGGTGTGCTAAAATTCTCCAGACCTCGTAGTTGAGTTAACTGTATCAGTCCAGAACTGTGGACTTTCCATTCAGAAGATCCAAGAACAGAGTTCACGGTGGTTTGTCCAGTTGAAAAAAGCTTAATATTAAGCCACTTAGTAAAATAAATGATGTAAAAAAGATTTTATTCCTGCGGCTCACCTTATACATGGATAATAGCAAGATGCCCAAGAAAGTATTGTCGGTTTTGCTTTCTCCAGCTTTATGGAGGGCTAGATTTATAGCAGTAATAGCATCTCCGTATGCCCTTGGTTGATGAGAGAGAACCTCAATAGACATAGTTGTGTTTGCCATATAAGAACAACCAATGACGTTACAAGCCTGGTAGAGAACAGACCCTGTTTCTGCTTTAGAAACGACGCGTAGAATGGTGCTGTAGATGCGTTCATCCAAATAAAGGGATAATTTAAAATTATGCATGGCCAAAGCCATAAAATGATCCTTCATTGGTTCAGCTAGACGATACTGGAGAGTGTAGCATCGTTCAGATGAATGAGGAGATGGATCAGCTGGCGTTGGATGACATTTCAGCTGGCCCGTGACCGCACATTGAAATCGGGTGTCAATCAAGGCAGAAGGTTTACCCTCATCTTGATTGCTTGTTCTACGGCGGTCTTTACCAATATGCGACTGAAAGGAAGAAACGCTCTCCACATGGAAACGCATGTCCAACTCATCTCGATATCCTGGGCATGGCAGTCCTTTTCTTTGACACTGGTTACACTCTGGTCGTATGAGGTCGCACTACTCGGTTCAGATCCTATTAATGAATTGTACATTCTAAAAAATTAAACAGGTTACTATACCTTAACGCGTCGTTTGCGACATGCATAGCAATCGCGGCTAGGTCGTCCCACATTAGGCATGTTATCGTGTGGTGAGAATGAATTACTGTACTCTGTAGATGTGAAGCAGACGTGGCCATATACGATTCACCTTCTCGATACGGAAACAGATTCGTACCTCTCAGTCAGAATGCAAGATTTAAAAGTATTTCCCAGGTCTTATACTGTATACTAGCCAAAGATGTGTCAACGTGTGATTGGTTAAGCTACTGTGGTCCACCGCCCAGTGCACGTTCCCGCCCAATGCACGATCGCGCGAAAATCGACCAATTTTTTAAAATTGAACAACTTCTCCAACATGGAACCAACTAGGCATTCTGACATGAATTGAGTGCTGTTGCTTATAAATAGGGTCAGATGGCATAAAAAAACGATTTCTATATATATGGTACTATTCATTGCTTTAGATCAGACAGTGGGAGTTGGAAGAAGGGTTCAACACATGAACAATAGTAATGAGTTTTAGGTGCGGCTGTAATCTCGTAGGCTCTTGGCTGCTTAATCCATTTAAGCTTTGACCTGTCCCTGGCCCATGACGACCACTTTTCAAGCCGGTCTTCAGAGTCTTTTCGGAGTGGAGCCGTTTCTAGCTTAACGTATTTGGGAATTCCATTCGACACTAGGAAATTGGCCCCTTATTCGAACCTGTACCCACTTAGTGCAATGATTGTGCCAAAGTTAGGAGTAAGGAGAATAGGTGGTGGATTATTTGCAACTAGGCTAGACTCACCTCATTTATGAGTGACTAACCACGGCCTAGTCGCAGGTTAGTACTAAGTTCTAACGTATTTTTTAAACCCCACGAGCTACCCAAGCTGGCACCATGTAGTGTCTTAAATTTGGTTATCCGATTCTATACACAGATTCGACCCGGGAATAATGAATGATCTTCTTCTGCCATTTCAGTTCTACAATGGCACACCGTTCAACAACACTCTCAAGAGTAGCGAGTCCTTGATGCCGTCGGCACGAGCCTTCAGTTCATCCACATCCCAGTTGACCCAGACGAACTTCCCTTGAGAAATTCGGCTTCACGGGATGCAAGTCAGACGTGGAAGTGAGCAGGGAGTTTTACTACAAATAGCAATCAGCCAACGCAATAAAGACAGAACAATTGAACAGTGGAGACACAGAGATGGAAGAAGTGGGAGAATGAATGGACATCTGCTTACTATCATCTTGTCCCACCCCTGCCATCTCTGTATCGGCATTGATCTCGGTGTTCACGACGCCGGTTGGACGTTGACAATATGTAAATCCGGATGTTCAGCCTGCAGGTAGTCGAACATCTTAGTGTTTGCCGCCTTGGTTGCGGCGTATTTCCATGAGCCAAGCAGGGGACTGATGTGTGCAATACACGACGAGACGTTGAACACCTTGGCTTTGGGTGCCAGCAGGGGCAACATCGCCTGGGCCGTGTTGAACGCGCCAATCATGTTCAGCTCCAGACCTTTGCGGTACTCCTCCTCGTCGTAGCCGGCGACAGTGCCGAGTGTCTGGAGGATGCCGGCGTTGTGTATGAAGACGTCAATCTTAGCTCCGCCAGCCTGCTTGACAGCACTGGCGAAGACGGCGTCCACTGCCACATGCTGGCTCAAATCAACACCGTCAAAAATCACGCTGGTTGTCCCATTGGTGTTGGCCTTACGGATTTCTTCGGCAGCCGACTGCAGTCTGTCGTTACGACGCCCGAAGATAGCGATGACTTTGGCACCGGCATGTGCGAAGGCGATTGCGGTGGCCTTGCCGATGCCGCTACCGCCGCCCGTAATAAAGACGAGTCTGTCAGTGGTCCATAGCTCGGGGCGGACGGGAGAGATTTGGGGGTAAGACTTGTTGTGCCATGTCTTGGTAAAGTATTTAAACAATTCATTTCCTGGATAAAGCTCGGCATTGCTACCCATCGTTGCGTTGGGTTCACGTAAACTGTCTTCACAAGGGATATTGAATTGTATGATGCTTCCAGGATACGTCCAATTTGAAGAAACTTTCTGGGCATAAAGTGACTGACCAGTCTATATCCTTTTGAAGGAGAGAACTTCCCTCGACTGGTGGCGTTTGAGATTACTTATATACGCGTGCTACCATTCCGTATCTAACTAGCAGCTAAACAGTCCGAAACTGGACCTTCTAGCAAGATGGTGGCAAGGAACATCTTTCCTTGGAATGGACCCGCGAATATTGGGGCATCATACTAGTTATTTAAAATTTAAACTTCTTCCTTTTTATAATTTAGTAATATAGTAATATTATATTAAAAAATTTATACTAAAATTAGCTAATAATTATAAGCCTAGAATGATTTATTAAATATTAATTATTTAAATAAAAAATTAAAAAAATTAAAATAATAAATTTCTATTTAATTATTTTTTAATAATAATTCAATATATATTAGATATTATGAAATAATTAAGAATAGTTATATCTCTTCTAGAATAATAATATGATAGTTAGCTTGATATATATATATTTAAGATAGCTAGGGTTTAGGTTAGTAAGGTATGTGCTTTGAGGTATGTATGATGTATCTCATACTGGTTATATAACTGTGGCGCACAGCTGTACATAGTCAATTCCTTTCCTCATGCTTAGTATTCTAGTCAAATGATACCATATACTCATCTATGTGCTGATCGTAATACCTCTCCCTGTCATGATATTCTCGTTCGATAGCTACCTGGATAGGAATACACAGTCATTGAATTGATTGGTGTAGATTTATACGTCTAGACCGAGCGACCGTGACAAAAAGGCCATGGAACTTCCATGGGCGGCGTTGGGCATGGGAGTTGGGAGCGACTTTTGAAAAGTTCCATGGGAGATGTCCACGCCTACCTGTAAACGACATAGATCACGTGGTATATACTGTCACCTAAAGCTGCTTTTTAAGTGTGAGAACAGCATTTTAGCTTCGGCTAGAAGGTCTTGGTCTTTTTGGCCGTACGGTTTAGTGCGACTCGGTGAAACTTGAGAATGCTCCCTTAGGTGGAACCGTAACACACTTCCATGTTACTCTTTTATGGTTACATCTGCCTAAGCCTCGCGTATACCCATGGACTACCCATTACCCATTTCTTGACAGGTAATGGGTAGTACCTGAGTTGGGCCATGATATGCTAAATAATATCTATAAGTGTTCAAAAATAATATATTTATTTTATATATATTCTATATTATATTTAGAAAATTTCTATATTTCTAATTCAATATATCTTAATTAGGCTTAATATAAGTATTTTATATAGAAATAGGTATTTAGTGAGTAACCTATGGGTTACTCACGATAGATAATAGGTAGATGGATATGGATCTGGGTAGCAGGATTGGACCTGTGGGGCCCGGTCCGAGTCCTGAGATCCTACCCACGGGTGGCCCATGTGAGGCCTAAATCTGCCTCTGGTCGTCTCCGTTCTACTTCCTTGGGAGGAAAAAAGTTAGCAAAGGGTTTTTTAATATACTCTTAGGATCAACATAAACGGTCCGATAAAAGACACACAATTTCCTAATCCCAACATGGCCGACAAGAGCAAGTACGCACAAGTCGACGACGATGCCAGCGACTATGGGGAGGAATACCAAATGCCTGTGCGGCAACAGCGGGGATGGATTTCAATATTGAGCTCATTTCTTCTTGGCCTCCTCACAATGGGAGTCTTCATGGCTTTTTATTTAGCCTTTATAATGCCAGAACCGTCACACGCACGCAACCTACCGGACGCTCGCAACGGCTCTGATCCCGACACTGGCCTTCCCTTATCCTGGTCTCATGGCGACTGCGGTAACTCGCCCGAAGACGCAAAAGCACGAGGCTGTCAATACAGCATCGTTCTTCACTCGTGGCTGCCAAAGTCTTGCCTTACAGAAGCTGATGTTGAAGACGCCAAGGACATGTACAAAGACCGCAATTGGCCCTATGAAACTGCGTTGGGCCACAACCTTACCATGCAAGAGCTTGGCGCTGGCGATTATGGACACTTTACTACTACGTTTGACTGGCATGTCACGCACTGCATGTATGTCTGGAAGCGGCTACACAGAATCATGTTGGATCCGACGCAAGAGCTGGATACATACACGGCCAACTATCATCATACAAGCCATTGCGTAGAGATGATTGGCGGCCATCCAGAGGGCATGAAGGACTCAGGCACAAAAATCTTTGTAAAGTATCCGAAATGCGCAAAATAGAAGTTTCCAATTTGGGAAAGTCGCATGTGAATAATTGGTACCGCTTCAGCAATAAAGTAGCAGAGTTACGAAGTATAAGACTCATCAACAATAAAGAAGTGGAAATTTTATATTCATGGCTGATTACCATTGCCTTTGGCCATGAAGCCATATTGAGGCTGTGCCTACAAAGAAGACTTGGAGGGCCTCTAAAATGACAAAAGTCCCCATTCGCCTAACACTTGCTTAATATTATTTATCTTTTCCAACTGTCATGATATTCATAATATCATATCGTATATTACAGCCTTGTACTCTAATCTTGTCGTATTGGTGCTCCTTTTACATACTTAAAGAAGTCCAAATCGGTCTGGGCCTTATGCTCTACCGCCCAATCTCTAATCTTTTCAAAATTCTTGCACGTATGCGTCGTCCTCACGTTCCCAAACATTTTCTGCTTCTTCTCACTCCATTCCCAATATATCGTGCTGATATCTGACGAACATTGGAGCGACTGTCTCAGTTGCTCGTAGCAATGCTCCATATGATAAATATTGTCAGCAGCTTCTTCCGAGCCTGATGTCAAATCAGTCTTGTAGACGTCGGGATATGCCAGCTTGCGCAGCATATTAAGGCAATGTAGTTGATGAAAAACATCGAGTTCCACAATGTAGCGACTAGCATCGTTTGTGAATGGGGTTGTTGCGTTGGGGAGTTTTGCAGCTGATTCGGCAGTAATTTGGGATATTAACACTTCTAAAAACCGATTAATTAGTTTTCATATCACGAAACTAGGCCATTTAGGGGCGGAACAAACGATTGTAAAGTTCATCCCATTGAGCGTCTACATCGCTTGAAGAGCCTTGGAATTTCGACTTGTCATCTCGCAGACCACCACTGAAAACAACTGTTTGATATTCAACCGCAGATTGTGCAGGTGCTTTTGTCGTATTAGAGATCTGGTTGTTGAAAAAATTACGGAGTTTCTTACAGTATATCTCATTTGGAATATACGCCTTGTTCGAGTCGTGTCTTTGCAAGATCCATGTGGCGAGTAGTACTAGTAGTAGCGTTATGTTCAGCACGCCAGAGTAGGGCAAAAGATGTGCCCATTTTTCTCGTCTCGACAGTCGCTTCGAAATTATAAAGACGTCTTTCTCCTCGTCAGCAAGAAAAGGCACCTCATCCGAGGTTCGATCAGTCGTCTTGTGCTCCATCTAATTCAATAAGACTCAAAATCTCAATGGGAACTCTCAAAATGAAGCCGGGCTCTGTTGACGCAGAACTGGAATGTCTTGCGGCGTTGATTATTTTGCTGAGCTACTACGTACGAACGAAAAGTCCTGTGTGAGGTGGTTTGCCGCGCGTGGACCTTCCTGTACCATGTACCGTGTACTGTGTGAGGAAAGTAATATGATGAAAGCCTGTTCCTGCTTAGAATCCACGAGTGATCCTTTAGGAACGTTGCATTTCTAGTTTTAGAAGGTTACATTTTCTTTTAGAACCCATAAAAACACCTGGTACCATGCTGACATGAGAATTGTCAGTATCATTCAGTTTGTATGAGCGGCTATTGGCCACCGTAAGTAAAGTCCTAGTTGCATCAGATGGCGTATCACTCAGATACCTACGCATGATAAATCACTAGCTCAGCCTACATGCGGAGGAAAATCAATAAAAAAACGCATTAGTGACTTGGTTGGTTGGTTTGTTGGTTGATAGGTTGATAGGTTGATTATTTCAATTATAGTGTTGCAGCCCCCAGAGTTACTTTTAGTGCTATGCAGAGTTCCCCACAGATTAAATACACAGATAGTGCCCGTCGTAGTATCACTGGTGTCCATTTCTTTCCTTAGTTATTTAGTCACTAGAGCTATACCCCACGTAGAGGCGCATTTTGATATCGATGAATCAACCTGGTAACGTAAATGTCAAGCAGGACACCTGCTAACGCTGCATTGTAACGTTCCGAAGTTAATGCTCTACTTTAATACATTAGCAGTCAGATATATAGATATCCAGTACATCCATGCTATATTTATAAGAGCATCCTCACACATTAAACAACAATACTTGTCTCAAAATATCTATTCATTCTGACAAATTTCAAGATGAAGACTGTTCTTCCCATTGCCTTCGCACTATTCAGTGCTGCCATTGCTGCACCAATTCAGCCACAGAGCGCTGACAGCAGCAAGCGTTCTGAGGCTGAAAGCCCCGATATTCTGTACAACAACGGAGCCGGTTGGGGGAAGCGTTCTGAAGCTGAAAGCCCCGATATTTTGTACAACAACCAAGCCGGTTGGGGGAAGCGTTCCGAGGCTGAAAGCCCCGATATTCTGTACAACAACCAAGCCGGTTGGGGGAAGCGTTCTGAAGCTGAAAGCCCCGATATTCTGTACAACAACCAAGCCGGTTGGGGGAAGCGTTCTGAAGCTGAAAGCCCCGATATTCTGTACAACAACCAAGCCGGTTGGGGGAAGCGTTCTGAAGCTGAAAGCCCCGATATTCTGTACAACAACGGAGCCGGTTGGGGGAAGCGTTCCGAGGCTGAAAGCCCCGATATTCTGTACAACAACGGAGCCGGTTGGGGGAAGCGTTCTGAAGCTGAAAGCCCCGATATTCTGTACAACAACGGAGCCGGTTGGGGGAAGCGTTCCGAGGCTGAAAGCCCCGATATTCTGTACAACAACGGAGCCGGTTGGGGGAAGCGTTCTGAAGCTGAAAGCCCCGATATTCTGTACAACAACCAAGCCGGTTGGGGGAAGCGTTCTGAGGCTTAAATCCTCGATGTTTTACATAACAACGCGACTAGTTGGGAAATAACCTGACGTATGAGCTTAGACTATCACCACCGTTATACTCATAGTTGTGAATTAAGACATAGTCTACTCGAATTCTACTTTATAAAACCCAAGCTCATGGACACGGCCCTATCCCAGGCCGTGTTACAGTATATTTAATTTATCTGTTCTAATTATTAAATACTAGAGCATATTTAAATGTACTGTTTAAACTGATCTATATAGAAATTTAAGCAATTTATTGGTGTTGGATGACTAAATGTTATAAAATTTAATTTGGGGGTGGAAAACGCGGACCGTTCGGGGGTATCATTCGCTAGTGAATACGTTAAGCACTACAGTCCGCTGGTACCGTTACATCCACTTATTCTATTCGTACGCAGTTTGCCAAACTCCTTCCATTATAACTTACTAGAGTCTCGAGATCACCATAACTCGCAAATTCTTGTGTGCTTTTGCCGTACAACCATGTATTCAGCGCGACCTTTGATGAAGGACCATGACCCTACAGATTCAACAGACACAGAAAGTCTCCTCACCGTAGAGCAATCGCAAGAAAAGCTCCTACATTCTGTACCATCTAATACATCAAAACGCAACAAAGTACTAAAGACTTACCTGCATATTGCCGCTATTGTCTTTTACAGCGTCATCACCGTTATACTATATACATGGAGTACAAGAATAAATGAGAAACAGTGCGGCTGCGATAATGCGGCGATCTATTGTAAGAAAACAGAGAGCTATCCATGGGTGAGAACGTGATGCTGATAAGATATGTTAGCTCCCGCGAGAACAGCTATAGAGTACGAGAAACAAACCATTGTTCATAACCTTGCCGACAATGGCAAATATAGAGGCCCACCACGACCAGAGCAGGATGCGGCATGGGAGGACCTTCTGAGATGTACTTGAAAATTGCTACTCCTGATACCGTCAGAATGCTAACAACGTGTCAAGATAACAACCTCCGCATACAAAAAGAAGACCTCGAAAAGGCAAACACTACCTCTGTACCCTTAAACGACGACCAGGGCGGCTACCTCGCGACTCTTGATGTCTTTCACACACTCCACTGCGTGAACAAAATCCGCAAATCCTACTACTCCGACTACTACCACGACCCCAATCCTCTTGTAGACCAACAGGAGCACTTCGATCACTGCATTGATTTGCTTCGCCAAGTTATCATGTGTCACGGAGATATATCTCTGCATACATACGAGTGGAAGGATGACTATAGATGGCCATGGCCTAGTATGCGGACGGAACATCAGTGTCGAAATTGGGATAAGTTGATGGTTTGGTCGAAGGAGCATTACCTTCCAAGTTTGACGGGTCCGATACTATCACATCCAAGTTTGGGTAAGCCGGTCTATACGCGGCATTTTCTACAACATGACAGGCCAAGTACTAATTCAGTGACAGGTATATCCTTTCGAGGGGATGAACCTCATAGTTGATACCAGTGCCACTGCTGTGACAGCAAGGCTATTCTACACGCTGAGAGTAGTCTTGATAGTGAATGCCAATGTGAACTTTCTACTCTAACTAGGCATTTATCATGAAGCTAATTATTGCTGTTTAGAGTTAGGGCTTAACCCTTCGATGAAGGGCTCTTAATGAACTTGGTTGAAATAGTTTGTGACATGCTCAATCCCAATAAAACATATTGAATTTACCCATAAGTCCGGTTTAAACACGATTTGTTAAACTTGAGCAAAGTGGTGGAAATAAGATGTCTAATCCTCAACTTAGAGGACATACATGTGACGGTTCAGTCAATAGATGCCTGATATATGCCTTGGAGCCTGGCATGTGGTCTCGCTAATATATCAATATCGCTCACACACTCTCATCCTTGTTTTCCGTTCTTCATGTTTGGTATTCTCGTACACAGCTACCATAGATAGGAAATGGGATATTTTTGAGTTCTAAATTGAGCAATCGTCACATAATACTAAAAATCCCTCATCCAAACAGCCCTTGACGGAGCAGAGACCAAAATTCTGTTCTATTCTTTTTCTCTGTTCTGTTTCTCTGTTTCGTGCTGTCTGTCTGCTCTGAAACTTCCAACTCTGCAATCGTACAACTACATGCGATAATCGGGTTAGATTTAAACTCAATATTCGCCAGTGCGATCTTCTTATTCTGTCTAACTCTCTCTGACTCTGAATTCTGAATTCTGATCTGTCTGCTTACCTAGATCTTATTTAATATAGATCAACTCGCCCATTTGCGCATTGAATTCAATGCTGCTGTCGAAGCCTTGCATAGCGAAAATCAACTTATTAAACGTCAGCTAGATTAATATACTCAGTTTGTTAAATCTTTTCGTCTAAAAGTTACATTGTTTGATCCCGAGAAAATTTCTGGACAATCTTTTAAATTTGATACCTGACTCCCAGTGATTAAAGTTAAGCTTTGCGTTAATAATGCAGCTATTGAAGATACCTCAGCCTAATTTTATTATATTTATCTTAAGCTATGATATTGCTTCAACTCAACTATGTAGAAGATAATGGCAATCAAAACTATCGAATGATATTAGGTCAACTTATATGCATCTATAACAATCTTAATAAGATTTAAGAAGCTGAAGATTGACTTTTAAGCTTCAAGCAAGGAGATAACAACCTTACAACCTATGTAGCTAAATTTGAGCGTATTCTTTACGAAGCTCACAGTCAAACCTGGTCAGATGCTGCCAAAATTGAAACTTTTTACAGACTATTCTGGTTTTCTATGTGTGATTCAATAACTAGCTGATTATTCAGAATGTTAGAACTCACTGGAATTTAATATTCTTAATGCTTCGATGTGTAAAGATATTTTCCTATTAAATGTTAAGAAAGTGGCTCTTTCTGACATAGAGCAATTCATCTAGTCTATGACAGCCCTTGGGAGACTCTTTCCTTAGAGAATCTATAATAGTTTATCCTTTATTATATAGTTAAAGGCGCCGGAGATACTAATAGAGAGGAGTGTGGCTATTCCTTATGCTTTCTAGATTATGTAGATCTGTTCTATTAGAATGTTTAGGACTGTATACATAGATTGGTCTTTTCATGCTTCCATCTACATTTCTGAAAGCACATAGTATTTCTCTGCTAGATCGTAAAGATATCTCACTGTTATTGTTTTTATCACCTTATCTATAGTGTTCAGTAGAGCTATAGATCTCTATTCCTCTGATCTAGAATATTCTGGTGTCCTTCTTTTCTTAATGAGTATGCGATAGGCATTTTGAAGACCCTAGGGATATATTTCTAATCTCAGCAGGCCTGGATAAGTCTGGCTAGGGTACTCATCAGTGGTTCTTTCATTGCTTATAGGAACCCTATAGGTATGCCATCTTCACCTAGGACCTTATAGGGGTACATCCCCTGCAAGACTTCTCTGATCATATCTTCTGTTGCTTAGACCATTTGTTTAGCCTTCCATAGCGATATTTACTATTCTAGGTTCTTATTATTTGGTTCTAATGGGTATAATGCTTTCTAAAAAGTATATACTTTTTCATTAAATAATATGGCCGGTGGTACTCCTTCTCTCTAATACAAAGGGGAGACCTTCAATAGCTATGAAAAGATATGGCTTCTATCTTTAGCCTATTTTGCTAGAAATCAGATGCCTTTCGCTCTATCTTTTATTTGTCGGACTGCCTCTCTCTATACTCTGATTTTAACTTTCTAAATGGCCTTAGTGCAGTTCTTAATTAATTATTTCATATATATACTAGAGAGTTTAGATCTTATGGTCTGTTTAGTTTCCTTAGCTATCTGATTAATCTCTGACAATCACCAGTTATGCTTCCTTATCTTTAGTCCTCTCTTCCGTTTTAGAACAGACTATTCAGTCAGTTATAAAGTGAAGTGCTTTGAATAGATCGTGTATTCTTCAATATCTTACCTTAAGATGAAGATTTTCTTAATATGGATATGTTCCGCCTCAGCTCTAACAGCTATAGTGTTTATCGTTTTCTATATAAAGCTGTTCTCTCTATTAATAGGGTTAGTTTCTATAAGTAAGGTTATACATATCAGTCTATAGTCTAATCTGAAATATATTATTCGGTTTATACTATATTCCATGTATCTCTTTACTAATGTTTCACTGACAAAGATAAGATGGATAAGATGTATTATGAAGCATTTTTTATCTTGAGGCCTCTTTGTCCACGTTATCAGGTCTCTAGGGATGAATAAGTGTAGCCTAGCTAGAGAGATAACTTCTAGAAGTCTTTTAACCTTTAGATTTCCAGCTCCTAAGTGTGATAGAGTCATTCTTTGCGTATCAGAAAAGCCACTTTTAAGTATTAATCTATTGAATAGAGAGCGATAAAGCTAGAATTAGAGTCATAGTAGATTGTAAATATGTCTGATCTTCCTGCTGGCTCCTATATCGCTATAATATCGTATCTTCCAGTCTCTTTATATGTTGAGAGAAGCAGCATGGTCTCTTTTCTTTGATTCATATTGTACTATCCAATTATTAATGACATTAATTATCATTAATATTTAGAATATCAGTATCTTCTCTGTTTGCTGTACTAGTTTGAGGTTGATTAGACGGGATGAACTGGGTAATAATATAATCTGTTAAGATATAGAGGGTAATCTTAGGTCTGCCCACAAGCCTTTTAGCTATCTGAGGGTTAACTATCGTGTCACTTATCCTCTTTTAGGGGCGCTCCTTGCTATAATCTCCATAGGGGGGGGGGGGTGATTAGGTTAGTAGCGAAGAATTAGGGTCTGTTTTCAAGGGCTCGCTGGGCTTACTAGGTCTCCTCCCGATGTCTCAGGCGGTCTTAGTGCTCTGCCATATGTTTTCCTCCATAATTTACGCACTGTTCCTTATCCTTCTTTACCTTAGGTCCACATTATTCATAGATGTATCCTTCAGCGCCGTAATATCCTCATTTTGTATTATACTTATAGCTTCTCATTACATGTCTATATCTCTGACAGTTATAGTAACGAGTGATAATACATCTTGGGTCAAATAGCTCTGTATTCTTGATGATAATGTCTACTACTAGGTCTTTACCCATGAGTAGAGTGGCTCCCTTTGGGCTTTTAATATTAAGTATTAATAAGCTTTCCTTTTTCTTTAATCTCAAGACTCGCTTTCTCTAGTAAAATCTATTTAATCTCACTTCTAGATCCAGTACTGGGTTCTATTAATCTTCTAGAATTCTTCATTTTGCTTTATATTATTGAAACTTTAAACCTTGACCCTATAAATCTAGACTGAGTACTTTTTAGATTAGACTGTCACATTATTTTTAATAACCTAGATTCAGACATTTACTTTCTTTTATATCTTAGCCTTACTCGTGATTGAGTCTACTATAAGAATAAGATTGCTTTTTAGAAATTTCTTTTCTATTAGAATTCAGCTGGCTTCTAGATGTTTAAGCTTCGCGTTAATATCTTTTATAATATCTGCGATCTCTTAGTCTTTTAATTTCATTGATAGCTAATCGGCCTGGATTAAAGTTTCTTATTATTCGCGTAGAGAGATTCTTCTTAAGGCTCAGGATCATGATGTGTACCGCGGACGCGTATGTCAGGGGGGAGTGCTTGGGGATATAAGGGTTTTACTGGGTTAGGTTCAGTATAAGCCTTTATAAGAGTTTGATTTCTAACTGATTGGTTGCAGTCAGTAGTTTGACATTTCCGATTGATTGAGCTTCGGTGTCAATGATTTATAGAAGCTCAATAATCTTATTATTCACTTCGATTTCATTGTTTTCGATCACGACTTATAAAGTAGATATTCTTATAATCAACTCTTTTCTCTTTCGTTTGGTTATAGTATCAAGGGTTGCTGTAATGATCTAAGGCATGTGTGCATTCCGATTATATATAGAAGATTGTTCTAATAGTACGTGAGAGGGACCTAGGGCTCTAATATATAACCAAAGGCATACAAAGAACATCTATCTATAGCCTGACTGGTTTCACCATGGTGCCTTAGATCATGACAGTTGCACCTAGAGGTATACCCAGATAGCAAAATGCGAAGAGTTTTTTAACTTCAATTAATACAATATTTAAACAGTATTCTTGTTATCTAATTATGTTCTTACTCTGATAAGATTGGATTATGTGATAGAGAATCTGACCATAATAAGAATTAGGATAATGGTTGTGAAAATCAAATATAAATGAATATAGTTAAGTGATGACAATTTACCCAGTAGTTTTATGATTAAATAGTAATTGAGACGGTTGAATTGAATTCGGATTATTGCTCTCTGTTCTCTTTGATTGACCCGTGTTTCTTGGGGCTTATAAAGTTATATGATAATATCGCTGCCTACAGGCTCTGAGAGTAGGGCGTCATTGTCTTACGTATGCCTTCATATGATTAGTACAGAAACTGAGCTTCATAAAGTTTGATCAAACCGACCTATCCCTATGATGGGTCGGGTTAGGTTATGGCGATGTCTAGTCTTGCTCATTCTTACAATAATTTTTACCACACACACACATACACACACATAAAATATGAATCTTAGTAAGCTTCATGGATCATATCTAGGGGTTATGTGCCCGAAAATTTGTATGCGGATATATCCATGTGTCTTAAATTTCATGGATCTTATCCCTGGAGAGCACTTAGATGTTCCACCATGATAAATGATTATCTTTTCTAAGCAATTTTACTCTTAAATATCTCTGTCCATATGGACTCAAGAAGTAGTCAAGGCCATTCTAGCCAAGAAACTATTAGCTTTAATATTCTTTGGCAGCCAAAAACTCGCTTGAAGCTGCGCTGACGGAGGCATCTGCCTTCTTGATATAGTATTCCGGGCGGAGGAAGATATAGGTAGAAATTCTGAGTACTTTAAAGGGAATATATTTGCTCGATCTGCCCGATGGCATCTGGTGCACGTCGGAGCTTTTTTGGTCTCAACTATTTTAAACCCATAGAGTACTCGTTTTGTGCTCGTAGCTGACTTATTGGATATTTGGATAGTTTGATTCAGGACTCAGCACGGTTCGAGAATGACCGTGGCCGAACCGGATTTCGTTTCAGGTGTCAATGGTGATGGCAATGGTCTAGTAAAAGAACCTCATTGCTCTCCTCGAGCTTCTTCAAGGCGTAAGCAAATGGCAATCCGTGAGAGGAAGTAAAGGAGTGACTGCAATAAACTTTGAATGGCGCTGAGAGTAATTATCATTGCTCCTGCACTTTGCGTAAGGCTTGGTGTGAAACCCAACCCCGTACAGTCTCGAACATTACTCCAGATCCATTATGGACTCATCGCGTCGGTATTATAAGCCAAATACTAGTGCCCAAAACTAATCATGACAACATGTACGGTTGAAATCTCCTTTATCTTCGTAACAACCCGCATGGCATGATCGAGTTTAGAAGGGACTTGGTAGTACATCTGTACAAGATGTCTTCACGTATATAGACGTTGCAATGTCCTTCATTGAGGCTATCATCCGACTGGGAGATCTGGAATGACTACAAAATGTACCATCAACTGTTGATGGGCTTAAATAGTTTATATGAGCAGCAAATCCTAATGTATATCTAATTTATTCGAGTCTAGATACCTTAACCAGTTTTTTCGGGAAATGTTGAAATTGTTTTTCGTGAGCCAAAACCGCTCGAAAAATTTTCTACTTATAGGTTAAACAAGCTCACAGTTAAGAAAGAGGAGGACAACAAGAAGATTTTGCTAGGATAAAAATGCTCCATGATTCTCACTGGAGTTGATGGCGCTTCGCTGCCTGTCCTTTGCTAATTCAAATAGACCAATATTTTGGTCCCCGAGAAACATCTGACCTCCGTCATCCTAACCATTTTCATTGACCATTTTCTATTTTAAGGCTGATATTTCAGGACTGACATTTGAACTTTTGATGCACTTTTCATGCACAGAACAGCCCGTGTATAATAGGCATAGAGCTTGAGGGAGAGAAAAGATATGATAGAATATCGATTTGATTGTTGTTAGTTAAGAAACTAGCTTGACGCTATAATATGCTTTCAGTCAAGCTATATGTTTCCTCTATATCGATAAAAATGAAGTAGCATTGACGGGAAAAAAGCTACAACGATGATGGGTCAACCCCTGTCAAGGAAGAAATGGTATAACAATCATCGACGACTCTGGTCAGCGAGAGTGCCACACTCCCCGGCATATACAGGGGATCATCGACATGAGAGCCTTCTTGACACCAGATAAAGGACAAGTTGGCAAGTGGAACGAACCATCCGCCATCATTTTGAACAAATGCGAACTTGGGGTAATAGACAGTAGTAGTGTTGTGATTCTCTAGGACGTCAAAACGCACACTGCCGGTGTAATTAGAATAAAGCGTATAGCCGAAGCGTGTCTCGCTGCTAATATCTGAGACAGTGGCTAGATGCCCTGTTGAATTATCAAAGAAGAATATCCCTGGTGCTGCGCCGGTAACAAGAACGCCCTCTGTATCAGTTTTGTTGTCGTTAGTGGCATATAAGGAGTCACCATTGAGTTCGTTGTACGGAGAAGACATGAAGAGGCTGAATTTGGACAGCTCGTCGTCGGACACATTGGAAGAGACCAGTTAAAGCTTAGCACTTGTAGATAAACTAAAGATTATAATGCTGAAAGAAAACCTACCGGCAGTGCATGATGCTACAAAAGCAACAAACAACAGAAGGGTGTTCATTCTGCCTGTGAATTGACCGTGACGTGAGATAATGCCGAATTGGTGGCGTTTTTGATGTTTTGTTGTTCGTAGCAGACCTAGTAGCTTTAATTCATAGCTTGTGGTCAGCCTTCACGTGAGATCACCCCTTGAGTGAGATTTATAGTTCCCGATGTAACTATGCAGCTTACATAGTTACAGTGAAATGAATTATGTTTGCATATAGCGCTAGGAATTAGTGCTTACATTGCCATATATTAATATCCCACTTGGCCAAAATCATGTATTGTTTATTAGGCACTTTATTGAATTTATTAAAACAACCTATCACTTCAATAATTGAAGTTATTTAAATGTGTCAAAATGCACTCTATAAGACGCACATCTAGGAGCGCATTAATCCTTTAACTACGCTCTTGATTATGCGAATTAGAGGTATATGGTCTCTCATCTACAAAAACTCACTATATTCACTCTAGTTATGAGTTGGCTTGGTCCGAATTTAACCGTGCCATCCTGCGCACCAACACTCCCGCTTTTGGTGCGCACCGGTCCAATCCAAATTTCAGTCCAACCCAAATTTTTTAGGATAAGCTAGAAATAAATTTGATTAACTTCTTTCATTCCTCTTTATCTATAATAAATGAAGTATTAGGAGTAGTAGAAAGAGCAGTATTAAAATTTAATTCAAAAACTGAAAATAATAGATCGCTTTTTATGTTCTAAATGGCTGATTCTTTTTGACATTTTTTAGCCTTGCATTCATATTATAGTCATTTTTTTCTTATTTCTTTTATCTTTTTGGCCTCAATTTAATGATTTATATTTTTAATACTCAATATATGTCCTGTTTTGATTTGATGATGAATTCTTTTTTAAGATTTATACTAATTGAGTGTTATAGAATGCTTAATATTATTAATAAATTAAGTGTTTAATTTAGTTTGTATAAGATTGCTGAAAAAGATCTTATTAAGTTGTTATATTTTAATAGAAGAGAGATTAATCTTATATAAGTTTTTTTAAAAATTTTTAATGTATTTATGAAGTTTTAGTAGGTTGTCATTTGGTTCAGTTCTGGTCCTGAGTTTCTGGACCAAACCCAAAAGTGGGTCGGTTCGGTTTAATCCTTAATATTGGAACCAGAATCAAAAACTGAACAGTTCTAGCTCTTTAAATCAAAACTGAATCATACTAAAAAAATATTATTAATTATAATTAGATTGGTCTAAGTCTAATCCAGTTTTTATTTAGATAATCAAATCATATAAAAGAATTTTTAACTATAGTTAGATTTTATTTTTAAAAATATATTAAAATCTCTCTAAATTTTAATGAATTAAATAGATAAATAATATAAAAATTATAATTAATTATTTAAATTATAATTTTTTATTTAATTGTTAAGATATACTAAAAAATAGATAGATAATAATAAATATTATAGAATAGATATAGAAATATATTAATATTTATTCTATTAGATATACTATATAATATAATTCAAAAAAATATATATTAAAATAGAAAAAATATTATCATTATTTAAATAATTCTTAGATTGTAATTTAAATATTAAGAATTTATTATAATATTTATAAAAATATCTAAAATAAAATTCTAATTTAAAAAATAAGAATTTAATTTATAAAAAGTTATTTTAAAAATAATTATATAATTAATAATAATTATAAAAGATTAAGATTAATTCTAAATATATTAATATTATTAATAGAAATTCATTAATATTTAGATATTTAGATAAAACTAAACTAAAAATCTAAACTAAATTAGATCTAAATAGACTTTAAAAAACTATATAGTTCTGAACTTAATAAATTAAATCACTTCAGTTCACTGTATATAGGACCAGAGCTGGACCATTCAGGTTTCAGATCAGTTTTGGTTCGGTCCGAACCGAACCAAATGACAGCCTAAGTTTTAGAGTAATTTTTAAAGATAAAATAGATAATATTATAGAAGAGTTTTAAATATCTTTATTTAGTATATTAATAATAGATTTAGAATTAAAATTAATTATATTTTTAATAGTGTTAATATAATCTTAAAGTTTAATGATTAAATGCTATACTGTATAAATTCTAAATGAATTATATATAGAGTGAAAGTTTATTATTAAATATTATGAAGTGTATATAAAAAGTTATTTTTATTAAATATTATATTATCTAGTTAGGTTTATTAATTAATCACTTTATTATGAAAATGCTTATATTGTTAAAAGATATAGAATTAAATAATTAAAGAAGATGTATTATATGAGTTAGAAAGCAATATAATATGATTTTTTATTTATTATAATAAGTAATGAAGTTCTATATTAAATGACTGTTATAATTATTTATAATAATTAATTGATAATTATTTTTTACTATTTTATAAGTTATAATATTAAAATAATAAAGCTATTCTAATATAATCTTATTATCAATAAAGTCTTTTTTTGATATAGTGACTAGATAATCACTATTAATATTTTTAATTTAAAATTAATGCTCTATATAATTTTTATTAAAAATAATAATTAGTAGAGAAATAATTATACCATTTATAGATATATATTTAATAAATATAATAAATTTATAATTAGAAATACTTTTAAGTTAAATATTAAATTTAGAATAAACTGTAATAATAATCTCATTTTTTTCTTAACCAATTTAGAAGTCTGTCTCGTTGAAATTATAGATATTTAATAGAGTAAGCTTATATATTTGATAGAGAATTTTTATATAATTATATTATATCTGGATAATATTTAAATCTTTGGAATGAAGATGTTTTAAATCAATTAATTTTTACTTAATTCACTTATATTAATTTAGTAGTTATTTAATAAATTGATATAGCTAATTTAGTCTGATAATAGAAAGAGGTTTTTTATGAGAATTTATTTATTATAAGATTAAATTTATATAATTTCTTACTATATTTATTATAAGAGGTACTTTAATATTATTTAGATATTTAATCTCAATTAAAGTAAATTATATTTAGTCTTAGGGGTGGGTTTAATTCTAGATATAGGTATTTATTTACTTACATATTTTATAGGCAAAGGCATAACCCTGTATAGTGGCGATAGTATGGAAGCTAGCTTTATCAGGTCAAAGAAATCTACTACTACTACTACTACTACTAATATACGACAGATAAATCTTATTCATACAGATCCATGGGAATTGGCCCTGGAAACAATGTATAGAGCTCCAGGATTACATCTTAAGTTCCTGGAAAGCAACACATATCAAGTTACCAGCGACTCCGGCCGAGATCCTGGAGAGCGATTATGTACTAATTTCCCGAACCACCGTTGCTCCACGGGATCTCTTAGCTCGACTTATCCCGTCATCCTGAATAACATCTTGGACATGGCACTCTCGATTAGGCCGTAAACCCCACACCCTACGAATATATTATTTCCCTTATACTCACTATAACACTTTCTATAATACTATAAGGCTAAAAACAGCTTGGACAAGAATGTCACAAGTTAATTTATAATAGTCAAAGTAAGGCTTTATTATTCGTGTACAAGAAATCCTCTATATGATAGTTTTACTCTTCTGATCATGTGAGAAAAAATGGAATTTCCGGCGTTGGTGGTTTTGGCGGAGTCAATCTAAGGTGCCACCGTAGAAGATTCCGGCTCAATGCAAGCAGCCTGTTTGACAGTGAGATGATTGCTACGGAAATGCCACAACGTAAGGCATCCTGACAGCTGAGGGGTAACCATTCCGTCTCCTGGTTCAGGCTTTCACAAAGAGGTTGAACCCCACTTTCATAGTACGCACAGTAGTGAGAATGGCGGTGGAAGCGAAGAACATGACTCCACACCAAACGATCAGACCGGTCCAGTTCCTATTATTGCTGTCCCCGAGAATAGCACCCGCTACAGGGCTGCCGATGAGTGCGCCGAGGCCAATGATGGCAAAACTCATTCCCAATCGTGTTGCCCAGACACTTTTATCGGGTGATAGGCTCGTCACTATCGGGATAGGAAGAGAGACGTAAGGGGCGGAGACGAAACCGTAGACGACGGTGAACGCAACGACGCCACCTGTGGTCTTAATGCCTAAAAGAGCAAAAGCCAAGGCACCAGAAATGACTCCGAAAATAATCTGCACATTCATGAGTCCATAGCGCCCAGCGATCCAGTTGGGGATGAGACGGCCTAAAAAGGATCCGGCGTTCAGGATGGGAAGGAGGTAATTGGCAAGACTCTGGTCGGTACCGGCCACTTCGGTGGCGTAGAGGGAAATATAGTAATAGAAGACATAGAGTCCCAGGAAATTGACGAAGAAGCTCAGACAAGCAATGAGGTAGAGCTTGTCCTTGAAATGTCTGAGGTCGATAACTTTTCTCTTTCGTGGATTCTTTCCAACTCGTACTCGCATCACGGCAGCGGCGAGGAGCATGGTACCGAGGACCATGAAGCCCATGATCCGTACCGTCCATGGAAATCCAATCTGTCCTGCAAGGCGTTTAAGCATTATGGGGTATATGACAGCACCTGAAGAAGACTTAATTGCGTGTTCCTTTCCCAGAGGACGATCAACTTACCAATACTTGATCCGCTCACCGAGATTCCAATTGCGAGAGGAGTGCGAGTAGAAAACCACTGCGACACGACTGACGAAGCCGGCAAGAAGATGAGACCAAAGCCAATGCCAGTCACGATGGTCTGGGCCAAAAAGAACTGGTAGTATGAATGGCACAAGCTGACCATCATTAAGCCGAAGACCGTGACTACGGTTCCAATGCCGAGAAGGAGGTGGAGGTGTCCCGTATCCAGAAGCGGACCGGTGAAAATGCAGACGAGGTAGCAGACGAGGAACTGGGCCGAGCCAATCCATGCGATTGTCGAAGCAGACTCATTCTTGAGAAGATCCGTCTCATAGATGTTTTGAAACTGACCATACGAGTTGAGCAAGCCAAGGACATTGAACATGATCGTCCAGGCGCCAGCAACCTGTAGCCAGGCCATAAAACCCCCATTTGGCGGTGTAGGGGGCTGTGGATCATCTTGCTCTTTCTCTGAAGATGGCGCGTCCGGCGAGGCCTGTAGCGCGTTGCTGTCTTCACGGAGCGTTGAAGGTTCAGAATCGTGTTGTTGTTCCTTGGAATCCATTTTAGAGGACTTTCCTAGAGAGGAGAGGAGAGGAGAGTTGAGGTTAAGCGAAATGATAAAAGGAGCGGGTGTAAATAAAAGATATGGTCGACAAGTGCCGGTTTGGTAGCAAGGGGCTGTTAGCTGTCAAATTAATTAGTAAGCTACGCCTGTAACTCCTACTGAATGTCCTATCACATGCAGGCACAATTAAAGGCACAGTTGAGGCACAGTTGAGGCACAGTTGAGGCACGGTTGAAGGCACAGTTGAAGGCGCGGTTGAAGGCGCGGTTGAAGGTACAACTGAAGGTATAATTGCTGTCTGGCTTGATTAGATGCTGGCTTAAACGCGGGCTTGAATGCTGGCTTTGGCTTGACTGAATGTGCGGAGAAGCACGACAGTACGCGAATATGCTACTGTGAGTTGTTAATGGGATGCACGCACTAAAATTGTGGAATTCTCTTATAGCGGCGGTGCTGCATAACTAGCATACCAGGTGTGCTGATGTGCGTGGACCCATTGCCGCGCATAGTGTGCTGCTGCTGTATTACCAATCTCACCCCTCCAATAACACAATCAGTAAGCCACCTGGCCATGTAAGCGACCCAGCCACCTATATCATACAAAATAGCCATTTTTCTATCCTTATATCTTAAGTAAGCTATATATAAATAGATAATATATGAAAAAATTAAAAAATTAAAAAAATTAAATAAATTAAATAAAATTTCTAAAGATATTTATATGAGTACATAAAATTATATAAAATACCTAAAAATATATTGTATTTTTAATAATCTTAATTAATTTCATTTTAATTTTATTAAAATATAAATATATTAATAATAACAATATTTAATTATATTTATTAGAATTTGAGCTACTATCTATATATAATTTTGTTAAGATATAAAAATAGAAAAATGGCCATTTTATATGGTGTATGGAGGTGGCTGTCGCAGTGGTCAACAACTTCGTCCTAAAGATCAGAGATCACTAGGGGTATTCTGCTAAAAAGAGGGTTTCGATAAGTGTTAAGCAATAAAGGGCTCTTTATCGCAATGATAATAGTAGAAATACAAGTATATTGAAGACTAAATAGTAGTATGCTATTAGAATTAAGAATGTAACACGATCAACTAAATACATTATGGTGAATAAGTGTCTATATATGTTAAGTTCCAATCATACCCTTGGTATGTCATGTCTGAGCCTAAGGTATAAAATATCATATCCTAGATATGCTATTTCATATCTTAGCTATGATGGTCACATGCGGGCTAAGACGTTGCCGTAGCCAGTGTCTAGATAACCATAGAAGCGTACACTCATTAATCCAGCGTGCTTAGGCCCCACTAGTGCATTTAAGGCATAATCTATTAATAGATTCCGCTGTAAAGCACTTCCCTTTGTTGCCATCATCCGCTAGTCCCATAGCGGTATTGTTATTTTATCTTTATTGGCTGTAACAATCCAAATTCTCACAGTCGTACTTAGCCATCTGTGACGGTGACCAGGGTCACTTACATGGCTGAGTGGCTTACCAATTGTGTTATACATGGGTTAATTTCCCTATATAGGTATGGCGACAGCTGTCCTAAGCATTGCATCATCTCAACAAATTTTCGTCCACTGATAACGCCTACCTTAGAGTGCTTCCTCCAATTAATTACATCATATCGATGTTATGAACTCGTCCTATGATAGGACTCCTATCATACAGGCTCGAACCCCTATAGGTAGCTGTTACACCTGTGTTGATCACCCGAATAGCAATCAATGCCGGATCTTTTGCCCTGTGGCGTATTGGTCTAGGTATTGGCCTTACAGTCGGGTAGGTACCATGTTAACGCACAGCACAAGTTGCGACGAGGTCGGTAAGATTTCCCCAACCATGAGGCGATTCCATTCAACATGGAAAGTAGACAATATTCAAAATATTGAATGCAAAAGTTCTCATACCACATTGCCTATGTTGATTTCTTTCTATTTATACGGCGTACAATCTAAATGCATAAACTATCATACGCCTCACTACAACCCCGCTAAAAAGAAATGACTGGCCAAAACGCTCTAAACAATCGAGTGAATTTGACGGTTCTCATCACCGAAGCCCATCGATTGGGCTTTCCAGGCCATGTTTGGTGTCATGCCCACTTCCTCTCTGACCTTCTGGTTGGTCTCTGCCTCGGTCTCCAATAGATACGAAGTATCATCCACGACGGTGGCACTTGAGCTGATATTTTGGGCTTGAGCAGCATCATTCTTCTCATCACCACTGAGCGATTCAGGGTTCTTACCGCCCCAGCCGGTCAATTCCCTAGCCTCGGTCATGGCGTAGGAGAATTGGATGTTCTCGTCTTTGTTGGCGGCGAGGGCCTTCTCGGCGGCACTGCTGTATTCATGTACGTCAGATATAGAGAGTGCGACGTGGTGGTAGAGTTGACCGGTTCGCATGCTCTCGTATACTTTGGCAATCATTCCGCCCATAGTCACACCTCTCTTGGAGTCATGATGAGGCTCGCCCCAAGTAAAGTCGCCTTCCTCATCCCTTGGGGTAGAGATGAATTTGTTACCAATGAATGGCACCCCAAGTTCGTGGCGGATAAACTTGTACATACGGCTGGATGCACTACCAATGTATGGAGTGGCTTCTGGGTTGGCATAGTATGCCTCTCGGTTCATCTTGAAAGTATCAAGTGCAGTGGCACAGCATTTCTCTGTCCATGTCTGCAGAGCCTGCATCGCTTCTGTGGTGGTCCTGATGTGTTTGAGGACTAGTGGCTGCAGGGATTCGAACGTAATCGCAAACCGCCTTGGCGAGTCGAAGGAGGTGTATGTGTCGAGCGATTTTTGAAAGGCTGCCCAGATTGCGGGCAAGAACACCTCCGCAGTTTCAGGCGTCAGCAGGTACCCCGAGAAGGCTTCGCTGGTCATATCCTTGAAGATCGGAGCCATCGTCCCCAAGTACTTGCAGGACATTGCGCGAAGATCCAAGGCCTGACAGCAGGCAACGAGGTGGGCGGCGGATAATTGTGAAAGTGTCTGGATGGCCTCCAAGGTATATCGGCCGGAGATGAGGGCTAGAGAGTTGATGGATTGGTTGCCCATTTCTGCTGTCTGAACATGGCTGCCAACCGGATTGGCTAAAAACCCAAGTTCGGCCTGAAGGGCAGCGATCATAATATCGGTACCTTTCCATATGAAGGATTGACTTGGTTCCTCAGCGACGAGATTTGGTGGAAGTCCACGATTGGTTGCAGGGTTAATGAGTTCTGCGCACTGGGAGAATAGCATGCGACCAATGGTCTGAAGTGACTGGCGGGTCTTCTCCATCGCACTGGTGACGGCACGAGCCTGAAAATTCCCTCCATGCATCATCTTACCGTCCCGGGCGGGGTCAATAAGAGGGTTGTCGGTCACTGAATTCATCTCAATACCGATTTGCTGGTGAGCCAAATGCAAATCTTCCAAGACAGGCCCAATCCATTGTGATGCCGTTCGAACCGAGTATCGGTCTTGGCGTAGCTCTCCCTCTTCCGTGTCGCTGTGCTGGACAAGCGACGACTTTGAAAGAAAAGCATGGATATTCCGGGCCGTTTCAACCTGGCCGGGATGGGATCGCACCTCTCCAAAGAATGAGTCAAAACTCTCATCAGTGCCGAGTAGGGCCTCGACACTCATGGCAGTCAAAATCTGTGAAAGAGTGGCTTGTCCCATGGCGTCGTGCAACGCCAGTGATCCGACTGCGCAAGAGACCGCAGTGCCGTTGACTAGTGCAAGACCTTCCTTGGCGCCCAGAGAGACAGGCTTGATGTCTTTCTCCGCAAGTGCGACGTCAGCCCTCTTGAGGCAACGCTCGCCATTGGTGTTGCGTGTCCAAACATTCAAACCGGGCTTTCCCTGGACCACACCGGCAATGTAGGACAGAGGGCTAAGATCCCCAGATGCTGATATGCTTCCCTTGACGGGCACTAGTGGCGTGATACCCTCTTCAAGGATCTGGTGCAAAGTGCGAATGGTCGTCTCTTTTATACCGGAGAAACCAGAAGCGAGGGAGTTGAGCCGGATCAACATGGCGGCTCTGACCCAAGATTCCGGCATCGATGTTGAGGCCAGTGGGTCATCAAGAGGGAGTGCTGATTGGCTGATGATATCGTTTAAATCTGTGTCTTGCCGCGACCCCGGAGCCGTGACTGTTCGCTCTTCTGCGATGACGCCGTATTGAAGCATGCGTAAAAGGTTTGACTGGAGTTCCTGAACTTGATTTGTCCGTGTGTTGGCGCTGCCACCGAAACCAGTGTTGACACCTGAGAGAATGTAAGCTTGAAAGTCAGAGTTTGAAAAAGACGGGTCTCACCATATATGACCTCTCCTTTGTCAATACTCTCCTGGACCATTTCGGCGCTCTTGACGACAGCCTCGATACTGTGATCAGACAAATGTGAGGATATTCCATATCTGGGGTTGAGTCAGTATATTGGCGTCAATACTCTGAGCAGACTGCCGTACCTGGCAATTGCGATTACGGTGGCCAAGTCAAGGCTCTTTCCGTCAATTCCTTGATTGGCGGAATGCCCTTTGAGTTTTGCAGCAATAGCGCCCCAATGGGACAGATATATATCGTTTATCGCTCCTAACGACATCTTCTTAGGGCTAGGGTTATGTCGGTGATTCTATGTTCAACGATTGTGCTGAAGAATGAAAAAAAGTGGTTGGTTAACAAGAGAAGGATGGCTGGAAGATGATTGAGGAGTTAAAGAGGAACTCTTGCATCTAAAAAGCAGGAAGGGAAGGGGCGGTACCTGAAGCTCTCTACCTGCTGACACGCCTTGTCCACCTCAGGCTGGCAGGACCTGGCCATGGTTGCTAAAAGATGACAGGCTGCGTAGCGTGTGCATGGCACATATTGCCCCCGTGATAACCCACACTTGCAGCCTGAATCCACGCACGCGAGCCGGGGATGAGTTTATGAGCAAGATTGATCAAATCACCAACAACTACGGCCTGCATAGCAGCCCAAAGAGGGAAGTAGTGGGTTCTGGACAAAAATGAGAAATAATAATGTGTTCTGTTATAACCACTGCTCGGTGATAAAAGAGGGATTTCACTGGCAATAGTCTTGCGTATATGCAGACTCCGGCTCCAGCTTGGTGTTCTGTGCTAGGCTCTGAAATCACGCAACCACCAAACGAATATAGGAATTGAACCTGTGCACAATGGTCGCACAGTGTAGGCTCATAACCACTTGACCAAAAAATACGAATCTATACCTAGTCATAATATATAGTGGTTTATATGCCAACTAGAAGAAGAAGAACTTTGGGTTGTGGCTAGACTGCCAGCAGTCAGACTTTGAAATTACATCGATCAGGCAGAATGAGATGGTCAATCATTCCAGAGAGTTTACCACCTGAAATCCTAGTGACAGCCTTGTGTATGTTTTCCGCCCCAAGCTTACCTCTTCAACGTGCTGATCTAAGTACTCACATAACCTGACGATCCAATGTAATGTATTTTTGGTATGACGTATTTCTTTCGGACGGCTCAAAGTGAAGCCGAAGCATATCGCAGTTGTTTGGACCCCTAAATTCTCGAACACGAGATCGTCGTCAGAACAATAGCCACCCGTCCAAGACGGGAAAGTCCACATTTTCAGCCCTCGGGCACACGTTGGTAAAGCTTTGCCGCGAAGTGCTGTACTATTCTTACCCATGCCGCTGCCATGAACCTCGGTAGAATCTTCTATAACGAGCACTGATAACAGAAAAATAGCCTAGAACAAGAAGGTAGCGTCTAGCCTGCAGGTAGGATCCTCTATGGCGAGCGCTGATAACAGAAAAATAGCCTAGGATGAGAAGGTAAGCGTCTCATCTGGCAGGTACAGTGGCACTGAAGTAGTTTTAATGAAGCGCTAATAACTAGTGCTTATAACCCATACTTATTTGGCATTAAGCCGAAATCATGTATGGTTTACATATGCTGCTTTAGCAAACTCATTATTTTGCTTCCAAATGTCAATTTTTGAAGTTATTCAAACGTGTCAAAATGCCCCCTATTCAATATATTATAAGGCGCGAATTAACACCTTCAATATATTCTTAACTATGTGAATTAAAGACATAAACCCTTTTTTTATATAAAGATTTATATTATATACTAAAATATTTCTATAAATATTATTCAACTTAAACAACTTTATAATAATAATAAATCTAAATCTTATTTAAGCTAATTATATAAAATTATTAAAAAGAAATAAGATTAGCTTATTAAATATATAATTAAATAAAATATTAAAAAAAATATTTAAAATATTTAAAAATAAATTTAGATCTTAATATTATATAAAATTAATTTTCTTATGTAAAGATCTTGATTTAATGTATGACAAAATTATAAGCTATATTATTTATATATTATATTTAAATTTTAAATATTTCCTTAATAATAAAAAAATATTCAATTAAATTATTAAAATATATATAATAATCGTTTATAAATAATTATTAGAATATATAGATAATATATAAAGTATTAGTAATATACTAAGAGATTTTTTAATTTTCAGCTTAGGGTTATTTATTAGTGTTGGCATTAAGGCACACCTTTTTTGCGTCTCATTAAAACTACTCCAGTGCCACTGTAGGATCCTCTATGGTGGGGCGCTGATAACGGGAAAATGGCTTAGGATAAGAAGATCAGTGTTTAGTCTGCACTAACTAATTCCTAGGCTAGTACGAGCCCTGCCTTTGCTCGATCTCGTATAATAAACATATCTACGTCATAAACTAGTTAACTCTAGGCCAATAATCAGAAAATCAAACTGAAGAGTAAGATTCCTTGGTGAAATCATAATTGAGCCATATGCGAGCCTCTATAAGCAATGAATGAAACTAGCCCTTCTCCCCTCGTACTTTGTTTACAACGCATATGTATGTATTGATAATATATCGATACATTGATATATAGGCATTCTATAACCCTAGTTCCGTACGAGGCCAACTATAGGGTAGGGATGTGCAGGGTTACCAAAGTCGTCCTGTCATTACGTCGCATTTTCTTATATCTATTAGCTGGCCTAGGGAACGCTACAGCTGCAATTTAATTTAATCCTCAGACTAACAAGCAGCCAGAGATAAAGTCGCCGAATTGCCAAACAGTAACAAGTACATGTAAAGTATGTAGTATTATGTAGTACTATATACAGACTAGAAATTAAAAGTTAGATAGGCTATGTTAAGCCAATCTACTTTGTTTTTATTTTATTTATTTATTTACTGTTTTTCCTTTCATATCATTTTGGGGAGTATAAGATCCAAATAATATACCCCACGTAGAGTATTATTGTATCTAGTATCTTAAATAAGAGTACGAGTTATACAAGACCTCCCTGCTTGCGTGCGTAATGATCCAGTTGAACCCTAATCGCTCCAATGGTTGTATACATACATATGTAATTTAATCAATTAATTACTGTTGCGGTTCAGGATGAGAAGGTCAGCGTTTAGTCTGCAGGTAGACTTAGGAGATTGGACGATGTGTGGTTGCGAAGGCATGCGGCACGGAGCGGCTGACAAGGCAGTGAAAAGGTATACCGAAGGGTGCACGGCTAGCATCTGTGCATGTCATATCAGCGTCTGCTTCCTGCTTACTCCGTGCCATCCTTCCGCGGAGTATTGGACAGGCAGAACGCGCTAAGAATCGACATAATTGCATAATTGAAGTCATCGTTGACCAATAGTACCGGTTTAGCGACCTCTTCAAACTGCAGCCGCAACGCACCACCAACTACATGTATGCTATAAGTGGCTTCGGCGGCAGCTTGAGCTTACGCATCCCTGTGCAGCCCCCAATCTATGACATATGTGGTTTCCAGGCACATCATCTATAACAACTCGGATATGCTACCTGCATTATTCCCTTTGTCAACACTTCACATCAACTGTGTTGCCTTTATCGATTCAAGCAGCAGTCCTTTCTTAACCATCGCCATGGGTGAGAACCTGATCTCTACCGTGCTCCGTGCCGACAGGCAAGATATTCTTCGATATGCTCCGTTTATGGGGATTGCCCTTTTGTCAATTCTAGTTATTAATTATTTTCGAAATCCTCTGAGGAATGTCCCTGGTCCATTTTGGGCCAAATTCTCGAACCTATGGCTCGTTTATCATACTCGTCAGGGGAGAATGCACCGTAAGATCATTGAGGTGCATGAGAAGTATGGGCCGCTGGTTCGACTCGGACCGCACGAAATCAGCACAGCGGACATAGATTCTCTCAGAACCATTTATGGTTCGTAACTCGATTTAATTCAAGAGTTCATGACACTAACAACCCCAAAGGCTCAGGCAACGATTTCCGTAAAAGTGACTGGTACATGCCTTGGCAAGGCAACCGCAAATGGGACTTATTTTCGGAACGTAACGAGAGCATTCATCGAGCACAGCGGCGATTAGTCAGCCATATCTATTCGCTATCCAATATGAAGAAATTGGAGCCTTATGTCGACAGCGCTATCTTATTCTTGCTCAAAAAACTGGCTTCCATGGAAGGTGAAAAGATTGATGTAGGCAGATGGACTAGGCTGTTTGCTTTCGGTCAGTAAATCCGCTGGCATTGTGAGACAAAACCTAATTTCTACAGATGTCATTGGTGAAGTCACGTTTTCCAAGCGTTTCGGTTTTATGGACGAGGGCATAGATGATGGTGCCTTCACCATGATCGATAACATCTTGCAGTGCGCTAATTGGGTGGGACACATCCCCTGGTTCTACTACCTCAGCATATGGCTTGCTCCTATAATCGGCAATCACCTCGCGATTACCCAACGCCAGGGCAAGCTTCTGCAGATATCCCAACAGAATATCAAGGAGCGTAAGGAACGAGGAACCGACCGGAATGACATGCTTGAACAGCTCTTTGAAGTTCAACGGGAAAAGCCAGACAAATTGGACGATATTTGTGTTGCATCGATGGCTGCCAGCAACATCTTTGCCGGAAGTGACTCAACATCTGTGTCTATCTCAGCCTTCCTCTACCACACCCTTCGAAACCCCGAGGTTAAGAAGAAGCTGATAGACGAGATCAATGAACATGCAGCAATGAACAACATTCCGCATGGTACCGTCTTTGATCTGGAAATTATCAACAACATGCCTTTCTTGCAAGCGTGTATGTATGAGGCTCTTCGCTGCCATCCAGCTGTGGGAGTCTCCCTCGGCCGAGTCGTGCCCCCATCTGGACTGCAAATTGGTGAACAATTCATCCCTGGAGGAGTAAGTCTAGTCTCTCTTAATGAGTATTATGCATACTAATATTGTGCAGTCTGGCATTAGCGCAAATGCCTGGGTTATCCATCAAAACAAGGACATCTTTGGCGAAGATGCAGACAAATTCCGTCCAGAGAGGTGGATGGAAGAGCCCGACCGTGTTGCCACCATGAGTACGCAATTTTGATCCATACGCTAAACCCCAGTAGCATTTTCTGACATGAAGACAGGGCGAAACTTCCTTAGTTTTGGTGCTGGATCTCGATACTGTATTGGACGAAGTAAGTCTACTCAAGGCTTACTATGCCACTGAATTTGGCTGATACCTGTTGTAGACGTGGGCTGGCTTGAGATGTCCAAGGCAAGTTGAAACTACCCTCTCCCTCTCTGGAGCAATATTAACAACATATAGCTTATGCCAACATTGTTCCACGATTACGAGGTCGAGTTCTGCGATCCTAGCAAAGACACGAGAGAAGTCGCATGGTAATTTCGAACACACAGAACCTACCACTTTTGAGTGCAAATGTAACTAACTTGTCAAAAGGGTTTTCATTAAAATTGAGGACCTCTTTGTGTACGTGAAACCGAGACCAGATAGTCTGCCAAACTAGGCTATCCGCGCCTAGCACTAGGGTTTAGGCGGGCATTTCGAAGGCGGGGAACGTCACTAAAACTTTGCAGGCTGGGAAGGAGGACGCGAGGTCGAGCAAGCTTAGAAGTTATATAATCCGTATAAGTACGGACCACCAACGTAGTTGTGTGGGGGCAAGGGAGATGCTAAAGCAGGTCTTTACATATATCCACTCAGATCATTTTGACACCTCTTCGCTAAAGAGGACAAAATTGTGGAGACAGGAAAGGTGAAATAGATTGACTAGAGTTACCTTGAACGACCTCGTACTGGGGAGACATATGAGACAGCTATGCTGTCTCAGGCTCTTAGACAAGAGGACTATCCTGCAGTAGGGGTACAGTCTGGCTGCATCCAATTTCATTCCATTTTGTTTTGTTCGTAAGGCATCTGGACTAAGAGTCCGTACTTTTTTGTAAATAGTTCTTAAGAACATATGAATTTCCTAGTTACGTTAAGATGGGATAGACAGGGATAATGACATGGCTTAGACTGCTCGCTTTAGTGGTTATTAGGGTCAAACTTCACCAATAAATTCCGCCCGTCGGGGTGTATTCAGACCTCAGCCTCAGTTATAGGCCGAGCTACCTAAAAGTCTCAAGTTTCGTGGATTCTAAGGAAAGAAATTCCATATCACTGCATGATACGTGAGCTCAGATAATGATATAAAGCTCTAGAAATATGGAGACATTACTGTAGTCTGAGATGGATTAAGAAATATATAAAAGTTAGTAACCTTCTAAAAGCTTCACTATGTTACCTTAGAAGCCATGGCACTGTGAATGCATGTATGTCTCGGAGAATATATAATGTGATATCTCTGCATTAGGCCTGCATGTTGACCGCGAAATAAACATGATGCATGAGTTCAGATAACAACATAATGCTGCCACTGTCGGTTAGTGTCCGTCTGAGAGAAAAAATCCCGTGAACAACTCAGACTGTGATTGGACCGGGGAACATGTCTGTAAGAGCCGGGGCGTCGAAGCTTGTGCTGCGGGCCGGCCCATGGTTTCAAATGCTGACAAAACCCTTCTAGCCGGGACAGCGCCGCATTTTTATACTCTATCATCAATGCATAATCAACCGACTAGTTGGTTAATTTAATTTTGCTGATAAATGTTAGCGTTGTGTTAGATAAATAAGAGTTGGTTGACTTATTTATTTAATTACTCCTATCATATTTATATTAGAACAGGGTTCTAAAATTTCATTAATTATTTATTCTATATTAAATATATATAAATATTATTAATTCCCTCAGGGCTCCCCCAGGTGTAACGCCCCTATTCGAATGTATAGAGGTTGGTGTTGATTCTATATAGTGCACGTGACGCAGACACTAGTGAGTCATGTATCTAAAGATATCGCTTATAAACACTAGGCTAAATCCTCATAATAAAAAGGAATAGCAAATAGCTACTCATATATAAGACATATACTAGTAAAGCCTTATTTAACATAGGAATCAATATATTTATATTCTATTAATTCTAATCTTTACAGTCTATTTACTCTTATATTAAAAAGAATCTATTTATATTAATTATTATATCTAAATATTAACTTTAATCTCATTTAACTCATTTAAATTCTTTATTTTAGATTAATAATTTAATTAATATATTTATAGCTAAAAAAAGATCTATTAAAACTTAGAAGATAAAAAATAATAAGATTAAATAAAATAATCTTATAAATATATATCTAACTAATATTATTAAAAGTATAATTAAATAATTAATTAAATTTAAATAAGACTTTAATAAATATATATTAGATAAATTATTTATTATAATATCTAAATAATTAGATTAACTAAAAATAGATTTTATAATTTAAAAGATATAATAAATAAAATAACTATATATTAAAGTCTTTTTTAGAGAATTAAAATATTAAGAAGTATTCTAAATAGTGACTTTTTAGAATAGAGAGAATAATTTATAAAGATAGAATTAGTTTTTTAAAAACTATTAGATATCTTAAATATAGATTAGAAGAGACTTTATGTAAAAATATATAATGATAATAAGTCTTTAAAGATAGATCTTTTAATCTTTAAAAAAAATTATATTATAAATAATAGATATTTAAAAATTATTTAAATATATATTTCTAAAGAAATTATTGATTTTTTAATAAAGGAAATATCTATAAATAAAAGATTTTAATAGTTATTAATACTTTTAAAAATAATATATTAAAAAATAAATTATTTATTAAAAAAATAAATTATTTATTAAAAAATAAATTATTTATTAAAAAAATAATATAAAACTTAAAGATATAATATAGAAATGATTTTAAAGATTTATAATAAATTTAGTTAAATTTATAATCTTAATTTAATAAAAGATAAATTCTAAATTCCTAATAGCTTAATAAAGAAAAAATTAGATAATAGCTGAATTTAATACTATCTTTTATAGATAAAAAGATTATTTAAATTAATAATATACTGAATTTTAAAGATAAATATATTTTTATAATAAGATTCTTTTAGTGATTTATAGAGAATTAAATAAATATCTAAATATTTTAAAGAATTATAAAGACTTTATATTTTATATTTAGATTATTAAAGATAGTATATTAAAAAGATAAATAATTTTAAAATAGAATAAGAAAAAGAATAAATTATTTAAATAAAGATATAATTTATTAAATTATAATATAAGTTTAAAGTTAATATAGAAGAAATAATATAAAAAGAAAAAAATATCTCTTTTAGATTAAAAAAAATCTTTAAAATAATAAAAATTTTATAAAAGATTTAAAAGAAAGAATATTAATTTAAAAAAAAAGAAATTAAATATAATTATTATTATAAAAAAAAATATTTAAAGAATAAATACTGAATTAAGAATCTATATTTAAGATTAAAGTACTAAAAATAATTTTTTAAATTAATACTATTAACCATTATAGTATTAAATATTTATAGGAATTAAACTAAAGTAAAGCTTTATATTGAAATATATATATATATAAAGATAGTAAAAAAAATTTAATAAATATTAATTCTAATAGATAATAATATATAAAAGAATTTTATAAGCTAAGAATAAGCTATAAAGCATTTATATTATAATATTGAGAATATAGTCTAGATATAAGCAATTAATAGCTATATAATTAATATTTTTAATAAAATATTATTAAATGTTATTACTCCTAATTTAGAAGATAGAATAAAGTTTTTTATATAAATATTTAATATTATAAATATAAAGAAATATAACTTTATATTAAAAATATTTTAATATAAAGAGATAGATTTAGATATTTAATATATAATTAAATAGTAATATTATTATTAATATAATTTAAATAATAAAGATTCTATATATTATTATTATATTTCAAAGAATAAGATTTAAAAATAGAATTTAAAGATAATTCTATCTTTAAATTTAATAAAGATTGAATTACTAAAATTAAAGATTAAAGAGATCTTAATTTAAAAGATAATATAAAAAATTAAAATAGGATATTTAATATTTATAATATATATATTGTTTAGAAAATTATAAAAAGAATTAGTTCTACTAGTTTCAGTTTAGAATTTAGAATTATTATTCTATATATAATGATATTTAGATATCTTTTTAAAAGAAGCTATAGATATATTACTATTAAATATAAAATATAATTATATTATTAATCTTATTAATAGAAAGAAATTATTTTATTATTTAATATATTAACTCAGTTTAAAAAAATAAAAAGTTCTATAAGAATATTTTATAATAAATATTACTAAAGAATAGATTTAGAAATTAAAGAGTCTAGCTGAAGTTTTAATCTTTTTTATATTTAAAAAAGATAGGACTTTAAGATTATATATAGATTATAGAGATTTTAATATAATTATTATTAAAAATTAATATTTACTACTTTTTATAAAAAAATATTAAATCAATTAATAAATATAAAAGTCTTTATCTAATTAGATCTATATAATATATATCATTAAATTTATATTAAATAGAGAAATAAATAGAAAATAGTTTTTTATATCTATTATAGATATTATAAATATATTATAATATTATTTAGCTTAGTAAATATCTTTATAATATTTTAATTTTATATTAATAGAATATTTAGTAATCTATTAGATATATATTATATAGTTTATCTTAATAATATTATTATCTATTTATAAGATTTAAATGAATATAGAAAATATATTTTAAAGATTTTAAGCTATTTATATTAATATAAGCTATATACTAAACTGAATAAATATATATTTAAAGTATAAACTATTTTATTTCTAGGATTTATAGTGAGCCTTAAAGAGATTAATATAGAGAAAAACTATATAAAAATTATTAAAAAATAATTTAAATTAATAAATATAAAAGAGATATTCTAATTTTTAGAATTTATTAACTTTTATTAAAGGTTTATTAAAAAGTATTTAAAAGTAATAATATCTTTTATAAATCTAATAAAAAAGATTAAATAAAAGAAAAAAGATTTAATAATAAATTAAAAAATAAATAAAAATTTTGTTTTTAATAGTAAAGCTAAGATTATATTTAAATATTTAAAAAGGCTCTTTTATACTATATTAATATTATATCATTATAATCTAAATCTATTAATTTAGATAGAGACTGATATATTGAATTTTATAATTAAAGCTATTCTATGTTAGCTTTAAGAATATAATAGATAATAATATTTAATTATATTCTTTTTTTAAAAACTAATAGAAGCTAAAG